TTCCTTTCTCCACACGTTGCAACCAATGGTTTAGCCATCTGCCTCTTCCGATTATAAAACTTTCCACGCATGACAACCACGTTCGATATCTATTCCAATGATACCGTTCGATGTGTGGTTTCCACATTTCGTTTGTCCGCATGATGCTTTTCGCCTCCTTTTGGGCATGACCTTTAAGGTCTGCTAATGCGGCATTACATCTTGGCCATTCTGAAAGGTCATCTTGGGAGGCATTTTCACAACATTCCGCGCATTCCCACTGTGGTTGCACTCTGCACGGATCCTCAAAGTAACCGTGGTGACAACTCCCGGCTCGTTCTTCTGGAGTTAATGTCCTTTGACTCGCTTCAGGTTTAACCTGTTCCTGTACTGTGGTATCTTCCTCACATTCGATTGGGGTCACGCTTTTATCCTCAGAGGATATTTCAATGACCTCTGGTTCTTTTTCTGTTCGGTGACCTTTCAATTGTTCGAGTGCCTTGTCGCGGATTTCGCTTGTAAACATCTGTTCCTCTTCAACTATTCGTTTCAAAACTCGTAACCTTTCACTCTTTTTATCCTTCCCCACTTTAGCCGTCTTTATTTCCAGTGCCTCTGGTACTGGGATAGGCTGCCCACTCCATGTCTGGCACAAGAGATTGTTTCGCTGCAACTGCCGCTTCTTTCTGTGTGGCAATTATCTCTTCAATCGTTGGTGACCTTTCGGTAGCAGGTCGTGGTTCGAAAAAGGGTTCCTTTTGAGATTCACGTTCTGTTACTTCCTCTTTGGTTTTATCTGGTAGCCTTTCATTTTGGGTAGCAGATCGTGGTTCGAAAAGGTTCGAATTACGCTCTCGTTCCAAGTTCTCAGTTGCTGGTGACCTTTCGTCTTCCTTTCCCAGTGCCTCTGGTACTGGGATAACTTTTCCGACTTTTCCATTTTCATTTTTCGTTTCCAGTGCCTCTGGTACTGGGATAATTTCTTCCTGCTGCACTTTTGTCATTCCCGGTGCCTCTGGTACTGGGATGACCTTTTCTCTTCCCTTCTGTGCCAGCAAGGTCCGATTTAATGTCTTTTCGATCTCCTGCTGAATCATTTGCAACTGCTCAAATGGTGACAATTCTTTTCGCGTCATCTTTTTCTTTTCGTTTCCCGGTGCCTCTGGTACTGGGATTAGCGTTTATTAACCAGTTTGAGCATTTTCCGTCTGTTTTACAAGTTCGGTGACCTTTCCGACTTGAACTTTGGCAACTGGTTTTGGGTCATCTTCTTTCTCTTCTTCACCTTCATTGTCCATTAGTACGAATTTCTTTTCCAAGAAGTCAAATCCCAATAACACTTGTACGTCGTCACACTTCGGTCGGACGTAGAATGAATGTTCGCTTTTCCTTAAGGTCACTGGCGCTACACAGTAGTGCGTCACCAGGAATCCTGACGTTCCACTAATTCCATTTATTTTCACCAATCTGTCAGGTGGCAATGGGAGCATATGGAGTCCATTCTTCTCGCAAAACGGTTTGCTGATCAGCGACGTCTCAGCGCCGGTGTCCAACATTGCGTTGACCTTTATGTCTCCCACTTTCACTTCGTGTGTGTACGCTTCAATTCTCTTGGGCAGTTTTCCATTTTGAATCTTCAAAGTATGAATCTTACATTTCACAGGAATAAGCGATACTGGTCCCGGGTCCATATCGGGAAGCACTTGTCCTTTTGCTGGAGTGCTATGACCTTTCAATATCTCGCTCAACTTATCAATCCTGTGTGGGACGTCAGTTCGAACATCGTAATATTTTCGCGGCTTTGTCTTTTCCGTTTGCTTCTCTGGAGCCATTTTACCACTGGTGACCTTTTGCACGTTCTGCACTTGCTCATTTGCTTTTGTGCTATCCATGTGACCTTTAGTCACTTCATTTATCGTCTGATGGATCAATTCCTCTTTACGATTTTCATTTCGTTTATCTCTCAGCTTCTCAATGACTTCACTTGTTATTTGGTCAGCTCGCTTCAATTCGTCTTCTTCGCTATCTCTCATCTCCTCTGGTGACCTTTCATATGTGACCATATTATATCCCTTTTCGGTCATCCATTCGATCACTTTCGCAGATACTTCATTGTTCGTTTTCGTCGGATCGATTTGCGAAGACATCCCGTCTGTTCGGGCTGGTGACTTGTCATTGGCATCCTTTGCAGTGCCTCCGATAAGTCCCGTGACCTTTCAACTGCGCTACTCTGTTGCGTTTGCGCCATTTCATTTGACCTTCCTTTCTGTTCATTTTGCGCTAAGTCCTGTGACCTTTCGTTGCGCTTCATGACAAATCCGCCACCTGTCAGCTTTTGTATGGGGACTTTTTCTCCATAATTCGGCGGTTTATCCTGTGGTGGAGCATTACGTGAATGATTCCAGTCAGCGAATGTCTTCTTATATTCCTCTGGATTGAATACTGGGACTGGGTTCGATGACCTTTGCGCTGGTTTCCCGGTAACCAACTCTTCCAGTCGCTTTCTTTCACATTGCGTTCGCAACTGTTGCATGTCCCAGTAATCCTCTTGTGACATTCCCGCTTTCTGCTTCGCTTTTGGCGTTACGGGTATCCACATCCCGTGATTGCCGTTCGGTCTGTAGGCCACTTTTTGCCACTTCTCCTTCTGTTGTAGTGTTACTGCGTCCACAAGTGAGTCGTCGGAGTTCTGTGCCATTTCCTTATTCTTTTGCTGCGCTGTTCGCAGTGTCAAGTCTGTTTCTTGACCTTTTAACACGACGCTATCGCCGTGACCTTTCACATTCACATTCGCTCCCTGACCTTTCACTTGGACTTTTCCAACAGAAGGTGACCTTTCATCTTTTCTGTTAGTGATATTCTGCTCCATCCATTTTTGCCTTATCAACTTGTCCTCTGAACTATTCCAGAACTTTGGCTTCGGTTCTCCGTAACAATCACAATTTGGCCCATTCACCTTATCGTTTTCTTCCAAGTATTTCCGGAATTTCGCATGTTGCTCATTTACCTCTTGAGCAGTATCGTTCTGCGGTTTCTTCTGGTTCAGCAGCGCCTGTTTAATCTTTGCGTTCCGTTGTGCGCGTCGTTGCGCTAACACTTCTTCGCTGCAGTACGGTGACCTTTCATTTTGCTGCGCTGTTCGCAGTGTCGCGCTACCGTCACGACAATTTCCACTCGCAGTACCATTCTGCGGTGACCTTTGGTCCCGTTGCGCGTTTCCACTCGCAGTACCATTCTGCGGTGACCTTTTATCCGCTTGTACTGGTTTCCCGATAACCAGTTCGTTTTGCTGCTGTGACGGCATCCTTATAGCCGTTTCAATTTCTTTTTGCAATGACGACATCCATATAGCCGTTTCCTGTGGTTGCGGCATCCATATAGCCGGTCCACTTTCGTTTTTCGCTGACGGCATCCGTATAGCCGTCGCAGTGGTCACATTCACTGCAGTACCATTCTGCAGTGGTGACCTTTCCCTTTTATCCGGTGGTTTAGGGTCGGGACGATCAGTAGGCTCACCGGTGCCTACTGATCTTGCCCGTTTCCCTGAACCGGCGCCCCACCTTGTTGCGCGCCCTGCACATTTCCTTGATCATTCACCGGGCCGCCTCCGTTTGGCTGGCCACCACCATTATTTTGGCCACCACCCTGTTGGTAGTTTCCGCCTCCATTTCCACCGCCTCTGTAATTTCCGCGGCCATAGCCTCTGTTCCTTCCTCTGAAGCCGCCGCGGCCGAAGCCACCACGGCCGTAGCCACTATTTTGGCCACCGCCATTTCCATTATTCCCGTTTCCTTGTTGATTTGGGAAGTTTGCCCGAGCCTGATACCATTGCGCAATCAGGTCATATCCGTTTGCCACCGCCTGACGCCAGCCACCCGTGTTGCGCAGCCGTTGCCATTCTCTGAAGGCGAACAGATTTGGGTTCTGATCCGGCGGCGTATTCGCGAACTTGCATCCTTGCGTCTGGTGGTTGCCGTACATGCAGTATTGGCACATCTGTACGCCGTTTGCCACCCATCCGTCGATCATCTGGAACTTGAATTCTGTTCGTGACCCTTGATTCTGTTGAAAGTTCTGATTTCCTCTGTTTGGCTGGAAGTTGCCCTGACCTTGACCTTGGAAGTTTCCTTGACCTCCGTTCCAGTTCCCATTTCCGTATCCATTTCCACCGAAGTTTCCGTTACCCCCTCCTTGTTGTGGTAACACGACATTCATAGGGGCCATATTCTGTGGTGCCGGTGGGGTTAGATTCTGAGGTGCCGGTCTCACTTGAGCCGCCGCCTGTATCGCAGCTACCATTGCGTACGTGAGTGGCTGTCCCGTCTGACTGTCGATAAAGGTCACTTCTTTGGTGACCTCTTGCACCGGAGCCTCCCTGCGGTATTCCACCGGCTGCTGGACTGGCGCAGCTGCCATTCTCTGTTGCGGCACGTTTTCAACTTGGCCTTGGCGGATGGTCACGTATTCCTGATTACGTTGACCTTTCGGCGCCTTATACTTTTCCTCTCCCGTTGCCCAATGTCGGAAGAAGTCCTTCACGTCCGTTGGCGTCTTGCACTTTTGTATACGCAATGCCTTGTAGAGTTCATTGTCTCCTCTACATCCTTCAATTAGGAAGCCGACTGCTTGCTTTTCGGTGATAATTCTCTTCGCTTTGAAGCGCATTATCGCCTGATAATACTGGTCAAGCGATTCCTTTCCGAGTTCAAATTTCCTCGCGTAGGCCTCACGTAAGCCTAAGACTTCTTCATCCCGATCACCATATTCGTCTTTGAATTTGTCCATCCACTCTGTTATTGAGTATTCAATTCTATCTTCGGCTGCGATGTCCTTTTCTCCTTCAAACCATGTTTTAGCAGGACCTTTCACCGCGCTAGCAATCTCAATCATAATTTGGTCGTCCGTTAGCTGGTAGGTTCTTTGGGTTTCCTTTACTAGTCGTGTCCAGCCGCTCACTGTGTCACGACTGCCGTCAAAGGTCATGAGTGGTGTTTTCCGGGCCATCGAGTTGAGTGCTTTTGTCAATTGCACCGCTGTATTTTCTGCTCCCTGGTCATCGTCTTCTTCACTACTTCCATCATCGCTTTGATTTCGTTTCGCTTTTCCATAACGGGATTTCCTTGGACGCTCCTGCCGGCTGGGGGGTCTGTCCCGTCGCCCTTCATCGATGAACACGTTTGTTTCGATGTGCGGAGGAAATTGTGAAGGGTCACCTCGACTCATATGCGGGTAACTTTCCGAAGGTGGCTCTTTGTCTTCTTTGCCCTTATCTCCTTCTCTTTCATTTTTAACACTTCCCTTACCGGTGCCGGTTCGTAGCGGCATTTCGAAGTGGAAGCTTTTGCCCGTGCCCGTTTCGTGCGCCTTGCTGTAACTGGGCGGGGGCGACTCCACTGTTGAAGTCCTGACTCCATATTGCAGCAGTTGTTCGTCTTTGTGTTTATTCGACATGTTGAGCGCCTTATTCTCGTCTTCCAGGCGACGGACTTTCAACTGGAATTCCTCTTTTTCCGTTTTCAAATTCTGATTCTCCTCGTTGACCTTTAGCATGTGCTGATGGAGTTGGAAGGTCTTCTCCTGGATGACTTTTTCAGTATCATTCTCCATCCTCTTAATGTGTTCCGCCAACTGGGTCACATCCCTTTCCAACGTCGTGTATTCCTCAGCTGCTATTTTCAGCTGGTTTTTTGTACGGGTGACCTCATCTTCCCTCGTCATTGCCGTTTGGGTCATATCGATCAGCTCCGTGTTGAGTCTGATGATCTCCTGTGTTTTCTGATGTACCATTTGTTGCCATTCTTTATCTTTCAGTTCAAGGACCGTGACCTTTTCATCCAAGAGGTGTGCCTCATGTTCCCACCTCGCGCCTCGTTCTGCAATTGTCTTGGCGGCTTCCTTCAACTCTTTGATCTCATCGGTGACCTTTCTGTTGTCCTCCTTCAACACCTTATTCTCTTGCATCATCTGTCTTATTTCGTTATTCAACCGTACACCTTCGGTGGCTGTTTGATCTCGCAAGTCCTTTGCCACCTTAGCGGCTTCATCAGCCCTTCTCTGGTGATCGTATGACTCCTTCTGGAGGGTCTCGATATTCTCGTCACGGAGCTTCAGGTCATTCCTGAGCTTGAAGACTTCAGTAGTGTTTGTCAACAACCGCTGAGTAGCATCGGCGAGTTTGGTTGCGTATTCATCTCTTTTCGTTTCGGCTTCAGTGACCTTTAGTTTCAGTGAGTCACATTCGTCCTTCAGTTCCGCTAAGTGTCGTGACCTTTCCGCTGTTTCTTCGGACATACTTTCGTTAAGGTCACTGACTGCAAGATGACCTTCCATTTCTCTGTCATCCACCATCTTCAAGTATTCTTCCGCGAGTTCTCTTTGACGTTCGTATTTGATTTTCCATTCGTCCGCCGCGCTTTCCAAGTCTACCTGTTGTTGTTCTAATACGTATATTCGGGCTTCCAGCGACGACAGTTTTTCCCGGTTTTCTCTCGTTCGTTTCGTTGCCTGACTTTCCTTGGCCTCGAGTTCGTCTTCCAACTCTCTCACCCGAGTCCTCAAAGTCGTTGTGGGACTGTTCGGTGATGGCGATCTAACATTGATGACCTTTCCCATTTGTGTCCGTTCAATAAGGTGCTCGGGTATGTCCTTGAATGGTGTCATCCCTTCAACACGGTCAGCTTCCTTCATCGCAGTCTGGAAGGACATATTCATCGTCGCTTCATCATCCGTGAAGTATGATTCATTCGATTCATCTGAGACCATTGGAGTTGCCCAAAGGTCATCACCTGCGGTTTTATCGATCAGTGAAAGGTCATCCAGTCCCAGTTCAACGAGTTCTTCTTCGGTGACCTTTGTCTTTTCCATTTCCATTTGAGCCAGGTTCACGTTTTTATCCTGCTCATTCATTCCACTGATGGTAGCATCCGACTGTGATGCTCCAACTGATTCCGCTCCTCTTGCTGTGGGTTTATCCTCCCCGGTGACCTTTGTCTGGTTCATCGGATGACTTCCCGCCACAGATGCGGGAGTATCCTTTCCGTCACCGCTGGAGCTCTCCTCATTCTGTGTAGCTCCCAGCGCCGCTTGGTATGTGCTATCACTGCCTTTGCTGTCTTTTCTTGCAAAGGTCACAGCCGCTCGGGTCTGTCTATCATGTCCGACTGGACGCGCGAGCGACTTGTATTCCTTCTTATATGGATCAACTGCGCTTTGTTGTGATCCTCGGGAGCTCCTGCTTCCCTGACTGCTGGTAGATGTCGGTTCCTCTTTGTCTTTATCCATGTTGATCGGATAACTTGGACGTTCCTGCCAATTGTTCTCACAACCACGTTATTGTATGGTTTATTCAATTGTCCTAAAGGTCACTTTCGTTCTGTGAAATTTTCTAAGTCCTTAGTAAAGGTCACTTTCCAGTTGAAAAATTTCGATTAAGTCCCGTTTAAAGGTCACTTTTTCGTTAAAAAGTTCGAGAGGTTTGCCCTAAAGGTCACTTTTCTGACAAAACTTCGAAACCGTTTTTTCAGTTCAAACCACGTTTACAAATGAAATCCTACAGCTGCTGATATCGCTGTACTACTATGCGCTTCAATTTCACTTCGTTAAAGGTCACCGTTCATCAATTCCGGATCTTAAAGGTCACTCGAAAGGTCATTTTGATCAGTTAGAACTTTTCGGTAAAGGTCACTTTCCGATGTCAAAGGTCAACTTCTGATCTCAAAGGTCACTTTCCTGCTCGTCTCAACTCAAAAGGTTACTTCTCAACTCGATTCGAGTTAAAAGGTCACTTTCTAGCTCAATTAACTCAAAGGTCACTTTTCCTTTGTTTCAACTCAAAAGGTCACTTCTCAACTCAATTCAAGTTAAAAGGTCACTTTCCCGCTCAATTATCTCATCTCAAATCAAATTTCCCATTACGACTCGAGTTCAACGGAAAATCCCCATTCGGGTTGTTTACTTCATTCCTATTGGTCAGCTAGCACAAATCATTCAGTTCAAATTTCAACCAATCACAGCTCAGATAACTGACCAATCACGTTGCTCCTCTAAAAATTTATATCTGCCTGACGTCACGGTCAACGGCCAGACATGTGCGCCGTGTGCAAAACTCCGCCTATTTTTACGCTCAGCTCAGAACGGACCAATAAAAATTGACAATTTTACCGTCTAACCAATCTCGTAATTAATAACGGTTTTCTACCTGTTAACCGTCCGTTCCACGGGGAAAACGATCCAGATGATCCAAATTCTTCTTCCACTATCCGTTCCCGCGCTGCCGCCGGTTTTACCGTAACGGTGGTGCCGCACGCTTTTGAAAGGTTACTGTGCCGGCTGACTGCCGTAGCAACAGTGGTGGCGCTCTACTCCAGTTTGGAGGAGTCTGATCGGTCTTTTCCGTACGCCCCTTTCGGCGTTTCGGCGCTTCTGCCCCACGGCTTAGGATTCGCTGAATCCTTGCCGAGTACCAGTGACACCAGTGTAGGTCTTCGCTGAAGACTCTACACCGAGGAACACTGGCGACTGCTCTCTTGAACTCTTGCACAGTCCCTGCAACAGTACAGGTCTTCGTTGAAGACGCTGCACCGAAAACAAGGCTGGAAATCCACGTCAGATGAGGAACTTGCACCGCTTGTGGTGTTGCGCTTTGCTGTGGTACAGACCTGTGCCTTACTGGTCGGGTTCCACGTCAAATAACAGGCCAACTTTGCCTGGCACAATTCAAATCAGAGAACCGCTGTCGGCTCTGCTACCATCTAATGGTAGATCCAGAATGGATCCACAGACGGAGACAGAAACGGAATCTATCCCGTGGAGTGAGCGACACGATCTGGGTCGCGAGCTATGCGGAAACACAAAACGTCGCACCGTAATCGCTGACTTTTTAATAATATTGAAAATTCCGACAACAGAAAATCAACACTGATCGGCGCAGCTCGATCGTAAAGCGTGGAGCCCATTCAACAGCGTGCAACGCTGTGCAGCACGTGCTATGCCGCGCCCACTAACAAAACACAAGCCAATCAGAAGCGAGACACAACACAGGCCATAATCCAAAGGCGTAGCGCCTAGCGCCACTGACGTGAACGCTAGTGATCCCGGTCTCACAGTAGCAAACTAGCCAATGGGCAGTTTTGCCAGAATCACCATAATATAATTATATGTGTCCAGCTCTGTTACATGCAAATGATGCAATTAATAATACTCCTTTAATTAATGCTGATTACTCGATATCATTACGATGTAACCCATAACTGGTGATAACAAACCAGAAACCGCACTCAACTATCAAACTACAAGCCAGTAATTTTTGCAAACTGTAAAGCCGCTTAAAAAAATGGCCAAAAGCGTGCGCCCGCAAGTCAGTGGAATACACACCGGAGGTAGCGGAATACGTCGTCTTAGCTTGCCTTGCGCTACATAATTTATGCGCGACAGTACCCGGGCGGGATCGCGTCGGTACGTTCCCGCCGGGTTTGTTGATGCAGAGCAGGAAAACGGGGAAATTTGTAAAGGAGGGTGGCGAAAAATTGTTGAAGAAGGTGGTAGTGGTTGGCAAGCGTTCGACAAACGTCCTTCCAGATATCAAGTTAACACGATCAGAAATAATTTTTGTGAGTACTTTATGAGCGAAAAAGGACGAGTTGAGTGGCAAGAGAGCAGAGTGTCGGGTCTCAAAAAGACTTCCGAGTAGAACCGTTTACTGATATTTCGCGAGTTTTGTTATTTATTATGTGCCATTTACTGTTTACCTTCAATTGCTGCCCTTTCTGCGTTGTTTAGTCACATCAAACTATGCTGCCTCGCTCCACTGTTAAAACCGTGTTGAAGTTTTTGATTTACAGAGCGGGCTATGCATTGATTTACTGTACATAGCGGGCTATGCATTTAACTCCATTTATGTTATCATAGTTTATTTTGTAGATACTTTAGTATAGCATGCGACCATGATTGATTTACAGTACTGATTTGTAAACTATTCGTATGATGAAACAAAATAAAATCCTGTTGCTTCCGCTGAATAATAATAATAAAAATAAGCGGGATATATCCGCTAATCGCGTCTCTGCTGGGCTGGCTCAAATTTTAGTTGTGGTCAAAGTATGGCCGGGACGTGTTGCAGTTTGCAAAAATTTTACAACATTACTACAACATCCTGGAATCTACGACTACGATTGTTGAAATCGTAGCTCCCATTTTACGACTACGATTTGTTGTACAACTTTTTCTTACAACTGAAGTATGGACCTAGCATAAAGAAACGCATTCAAGTTTTTGTCCATTCAGAGATTGCGAGGAAATGCGATTTGAATGCTGATTGGCACAGTTCCGCGGAAGATAGCCTAGATCAGATCATCAAGGAGTCTTTCTGTTATGATTAGTAGTTTAGATTGTACGTCACCTAGCTTTATTAATTTGCGTGGCCTTGTCAGACTTCTTTTGATGATCGTTTCGTTCACAGCGGAATTTGGTAATGAATGCGATGTCGCGCCAGCGGCGCGGGTCGATAGATTAAAAATTAGTAACAAGATTAAATAACCATCTTAATTTTACTCTTAGTCTACGCTTCGGTTATACATTGCCCGCAAAAGTGAATGCACTTTCCTAGTATACGTAAATAGACGTACTTCTAGAATATTGCTGTCCGAGGTGCAAATATTACTTAGCTATAAAGTCGGCGATTTGTCAACATGCAGTACTTACGAGTTATAAAAGCACCTAATCTGGCGACCGGGGAGTGTGGAGTGCGAACTTGGGACTGTAGGCGCTCCGTAGTTAATTGTACTGCCCTCGTAATTCGCATCAATCTATAACTGTGACCCCAGCTTTGGCGCTGCAAGCCGTAGTCCGCCACCATTCTGTGCGCCTATTTTGCAATCAGTTTTGATAGTCTAATAGTGAAGCATAAAGTCTAATAGTGAAGCAAATCTTTTTGTTTCTCTTACCCTTGCATTTAAACGCGGTGGGCTAAACTGGGATGCATTGCATGATCTGCTTCTATAAGTCTTTCAGAAATGGAAATTAAAAGGGTGATACATGTATGGTAAACCTTCTGCCAGCAGACAGCAGAAGTGTACATCTTCGTGCAGATTAACAAGAACAGACCAAGTGTCTAAACTCTATTATTTATTATAATAAATTTATTATAAATCTCGTGACAGGACTCTAAATAAATCTCGTGAACCAGTAAACTTTTCACCGCGTAGACTCGTACTCTGTCGAAGCTGTAGTTCGGACACTACGAGTACAAGTACTTACTTACTTGTTAGTAATGGTGTTTAATACAGATATCAGAGCAGACTCAAAATTAACAGACCATTTACTACGAGTACAAACACCTTATGGTTAGATAATAATTTAACATTAAACTGATTTTGAGCTACTTCTTGACTTTGTCGAATTATGACTGTGGTGTGCACTCATTACGCTGTATTGTAAAAAACTCAAATTATAGCAAGCCAAGCAAGGTAAGTACTAGCAATATTGTTATCATTTTACCTAAGTACCTAAGTAGTAATCCGAAATACTTGTATAGTTCGGACACTATTAAGTCGCATTATAATGCGTGACCCTATCGGTACTGCAGCAATGTTATACTTCTCTAAGGTTGAGAATTCATAATCCATGATAACAGGATGCACACTCTGACAGCTAGAATACGACTTCTTCACATGCAATCCGAACTATGTAGCAACACTTTTTACACAAATGTATTATTTGAAAGCAAAATATGTTAATGATCAGTTTGCATTCCATAGGAAAACAAAAGCGCTCCACATAGCCGATTATATTGTAGTCTAGCTGCTCCAGCAGCTCCAGCTCGTCTAGCTATTTCGCCCATTGATGAAAAGTGATGATAGTTACAAATACACGTTTGCAACAAAACAGTTATGCTTTTTACCGGCCATTGATACCCAGGCCCGGATACGGTACATACGGCCACTGATAGGATGGCCATCCAGGATAAGGAGCGACAGCGTTGGGGGGTATTAGATAGGGTGCGGCAGGGTAACCGGTTCCACTGATGCCGAATGGGAGCACTCCGTACCCCATGCCTGGGTGTGGCTGCCATACGGCGTTGACTGTTGTCACTGAAAAATAATAGGTTCACTGCTCTTTTATGATCAACACAAAAATCACAAAATTTTGATCACCGCGAAACTGTAACAAACTCACTGTCTGCAATCGCAATTGCTAAATTTTACTCCACCCCACAATGAGCCTGCCTCATGTGCACCATGCTTTAATAATGTATCCAAAGCTGTAATATCACCGCTTGCCGATTGTTGAGCCATTGCCCAATGCCGATTGACGTAGGTAGAACATTACAGTAAATAAAGCTGTAATTTATTCGACGCTGGGCATGAAAATCTTAAACTTAAACCTCTTAAGTGATTAATATTAATCACTTTGCTTAAACGAGGAATGTTTATGGGTTCGTATGTAAGTCTGAAGTTAATTCTTTGCACAAGCTACACTTTTATCTATGCAATATATGTACGCTACTCGCTACGCTGTAGTTGTCACCTTCCTTAGGAAATATTTTGCTTGTACGTTTTAATTAAGAATAATCTGAATTTCGAAAATTAGTTGCTCTGCGGTACTTACCAATCACCACAAAGAGAAAGCCCAGAATCTGCATTTGCCGTAAAGTAGGCATAGCGGGATCGCAAAAATGGCGCAAAGTAAATTTTTCCGCAGATGTCATTAACAAAGATGCTCAGGTTCTCGCTAATCTGTTGGTATTTTCTCATCAGATGAAAGACTGTTTTCAACTATGCATTAACGGGGGCATTAGTAAAGATTCATAGCCGGAAGTGAGAATCTCAAAGTAGGCTTACGACCAAGAGCTCAACGCATTCTATATAGAGGTATACACACTGTGGTTACTCGATGATTTGCCGGTATTACTGCTTTTTTTTATTGTATCTGTGCCTGGCTGGTGCTTCCGAAGAAGCTGGCGCAGTCCATCATGTACGAATGGATTGTTTGCAGCCAGTTTGTCGATAAACATGTGCTAATAAACGTGCAAGATAAATATAATATATTTATATCCCACTTTCACCGTACTGACCGTAATAAAACGTTTCTTGGTTTTGTTTAGTGCGAAGACAATACTTATTTTCTCCAGGTCCTGCTCATGAATTCTTTGTCCACATTTACAATAAACAACTTACAACTATTTTCCTTCTAAATGTCTGTGTTCGCAATATATTCGTCCCGTTATTTCATTCTAAATGTCTGTGTTCGCAATATATTCGTCCCCGTTATTCATTCTTCAACTGTAGCATGCACCAGCTTCTTTGTCTGGGCTGTACACTGCTCACATTTCATGATTTATATCGGGTCAAAAGTTATTTACGTAACCGTATCCGATATACGCCGTAGCAATATTTTTTCGAATTTTATTTAGGTGACCACTCCGTACACACCCTTTCACACGCTTTCACTCCGTACACAACCTTTTGCACTCCCTTTCATTCCGTGCACAACCTTTTTGCGCACTACCATTCACTCGGTGCACTACCAAACTTTTATATATATTATACTTACTAAATACTTGTAAACTATATAACTACAGAAACGCAAAACTACAAAAAAAAATATTAATACTTTTTTGCAACATCATGGGACCGTTCCGACGAAGACGTCCTGGTGCATGACAGCGTCGGCTAATAACTCACGTGGCAAGCGAAGATTAAAATATTAGTTTTACGTGTTGGTATTAGTTTACATTATAGTCAACTCCTTTTGATTAAATGATTTTGGTTTTCATTCATATAAGGTTGCCGCTGCTTATATATCTATCTATATATAGATACAAGTATCGGTCGCGCTAGCGCGCGACCAGTTGTGTTCGAGGTATGGAAAAATGAAAGAAATACAGTGCAAAATACACTTGTACAGCAATAAAAACGAGTTTGAGAACTATTTCAAATATAAAACCCCAGCGAAGCCAGCTACGAAAATATTATAAATATGTGACAATGCGGACAGTTTTCAAGCTTTCCGCTTAAATTTGACCAGTTTTATAAAAACTGAAAGCCTCCGTAATTTTTTTTTGTTTGCCTTTTTCACGGTTCTTTTTCCCGTTTTTAATGTAACTTTATATTGTCGATTCTAACGAACTGAAAACCTGTATTTTTTGGTACGACAGATAATATTTAAACGGTGATAAAATGGATAGAGTGGGATCATTTACACGATGTCCATAAAAAACCGTTAAGCCGATATTTCAGCGCAGAATTAATGGAAACTTGTGGGAAACGATTAACGGTTGCCCAAGGTGACCTCGCAGGCTGCATGTAAGATTGCGAGATTTTCAGCCTTCAGTCAAGCTCTACTAAAATAAAATAATACATATGTTATATTCGATTTCGAGCTTAGTGAATACCCAAGCTACCGCCAGTATTACAGAGCAACGTAGGTTAGGGAATGCCCAAGCTACCACCAGAATTACAGAGCCGCTACGTGAGTGAATACGGTAAACAGGCCGCGGGCCGGCTTTTAGATATTTAGAAATTACATATAAATTAGACAATTTAAACCGTGGGATATTGAGATACTCAGATTTCTAGATATTTTTAAAATTTTGAAACTCTGGAGGCTCAGAAAATTAGAGGTAACGGCCCCGCTGCGCGGGGCCGAGTCGAAATATTTAGAAATTATGGAAATGTAAAAGTTTTGGAGCCGACTTTGAATAAATTTACAGTTATTTTGAGGTATTCAAACGCATTTAAAAACATCTTAAAGGTTTCAAGAATTTAAAAAAGTAAATTTAAAAGTTCGATGTAATTGACAATTTCAAATAACTATTGTTTAGGTTGCTAAGTTGCAAAACCTGTATTTGCTCATTCGAGACGTTTCCAGAATTTACTGGAAATTTCTATGAATTTTGAACGCTAAGTACTGAAAGTTTAAAAGGGTTTTTGAAAGCTTTCCGAAAACCAAAATTTTTTTCCAAGCAGCAGGTAGGAAGCTTTGGGAGATGCTGGATTTTATAAAACTATCAAAAGCTTCACAAACGGAATCTCGAATTAGGAGATATTTTCCAAAACCAACAACCTTTAAGTACTAACAACCTTTAAGTACTACAACTTCTAAAAATTTTTTTAGACCTTCTCCAAAACTTAAGATTTTTTTAAATATAAAGGTAGGAACGTTTGTGCGATGCTCTATTTTTTAAAATCATCAACTTATTGAAAAACTCAGTCTTGATTTAGGAGATAATTTTCAAAAAATAAGGACGTAAGGATATATGAATCTATTGATATTGATACTCTGTACATTGTAGTGACTGCCAGCCTGCTCTTACTAGACATACAGCGCTTGTACGTACATATTTGCTTCGGAATTGCATAAACTATCGTATTTTGTTATATACTTTTTGTAGAAAACTTCGGGACAGGGTCATAAGAGTAAGGTAAATAAGAGTGCCTTAAATGCAATCCACAAGCACAGGCATATGGAATCACTGAAATTTTTAATTCAGTTTTGCCGACCAGCGGCAGCATGTAACCAGTATAAGCGGCACAACAACATAAGTACTCGTACACTGTAACCGCACACACAGATGCAGACTCCAGAAAACTGCATAAAAACTTGGAATTATAATATCACATTATTCACATAATATGACATGTGGGCCACAATCAAATTATGAGCAGGAATCATGGGTAGTGCACGGCAATATAATTTATTTTCCTCTTGCCGGCCGACTGTATGGTTTACCATCGTCGTAAATAAACAGGTAAGGGCCGTTAGCAAAAGGGTAACCACCGTAATATCCGGGAAAAATGCCCTGGAAGAACGGTCTAATCGGCGGCGGCTTGTATGTGGAGTTACCAGTGCCGTAATCCGATGCGCTGTAGCCACCACTGTAGCTGGATCTACTGTCAGGCACCGCCCCTGCACCGGCAGCTCCACCGTACCCTCCCATTCCGCCGTAACCTCCAGCTCCCATTCCGCCGTAACCTCCAGCTCCCATTCCGCCGTAAGCGCTGGATGCATCGGCACCATATCCAGCGCCACCTCCGCCGTACCCTCCCACGTCCCCTCCGTATCCGCCCATTCCCCCGTATCCGCCCATCCCGCCACCCATTCCTCCATATCCGCCCATCCCACCGTAACCGCCCATACCGCCATAACCTCCCATTCCGGCTCCGCCCATCATTCCCATTCCACCAAAACCTCCCATAAACTGAGCCAACACTAGCGGTATCCCTATACATAAAATAAATATACAAGCAGTTTACAATAACTGTAAGTTTAAGATAAATGCAGTAGTCGGATGGCGTATTAAATATGTGCGGATTTATCGAATTCAGTTAACCAAACACCAGCCATACTCATGTATGTGTTCATGTACAAAATAAATATATATATTAGCGAATACTGTAATTTTAAAAATTATGTAGAAGTTATGGAGGGCTCGGTTACCAGTTGACTAGTAGAAGGTACGAGAAAAATACGCTGCAATTTTCCCCAGTAAATTAACAGTTTCTCTTACCCGCAGACAGGAGGATCAACGGGATGAAGAATTCCATATCAGTCAGTTATTCGGTGCTCGGGGAGTTTTGGCGAAGCTGTCCGTGAGAAAAAGCGTGATTGGGTTCTGCGGAAACAACACTGCAGTTTTCAGCTAATCAAGGTACAAATGATCTATTTTGATGCGTGTAAACCTCCGCGTTCGCTCAGCAGTATCTTGACATGATTGCGCATCAAGTCATCTTTTTCAGCACAACAGGCAAACTGTAGACACGTTTCTCGGAGCGTAAAGAACATCTCTTCTCCTCGGGCGTTTAAAGACTAAAGATCTTTACGGTCTTTGCACTAGGTTAAATATGACCATAAACTTCTGTGAAATTTGCAGATACTTTGCTCCAAATGTGCGAAATCATTGTAACAAACTAAAAACATAGGCTCGTGCTATAATTACGTAGAAATATATAATATTACGTAGAAATAATTACTGTGTATTAGAAATGCAAATCATTTCATATTAAAAGATTTTTATTCACTGACTGGGAGTTTTAAGTCAATTTAGCGATGACAATTCGCAGAATGCGCATAACACACCAGCATATCTCTTTACAGCATGTTTCCCAGCTTCATAAATTATATAGGCGAAAAGAAAGCATCTACAAGTCCGTCTTCAAGTCGAACACATAAATTCGGATATATTAATCCAGTGTTAAATCCTTGCATTTGTTATCCAACTACTACGGTTCCAGAATTAGTGAACTCGTAAGGCGGAACTTCCAGATTAAGCGGGGCCGGCCCTTTACGAATACGCGCGCTGGAGTCGTAGTGGGAACCATGACAAGGGCAATAGTACCTAAAAGACGTTCGCCTTTAATTCTATTCATATGTTGCACAATATCATACCGTAATTAGCGCAAGAATAATTACTTACTTAGGGTAAAAACTACTTTCAAGTTTCAATTACCATATAAATTGTTACGCTATTGTTACGCTTGAATATGCTTTCAGGTTTGAATTACCATAATTGTTACGCTTGAATATGTTACAACTTACAACTATTTAAAATTAAACGGGTACCTGGTTTCTTAACGCATGGTTACTTGTAAGGTGTAATATAACGAAATATGCAAAAACTGCAAATTACTTTTGTGGTAGATTTTTTCCTCTTCTCTTAACCTGTATACGAAGTGCTAGCAATAATATTCAGGGAACGAGATACTATGTAAGTGAAAAGCAAGAAAAATGAATACAGAAAATGTAGGTATTTGCAGTTCAAATCCAGATTTTTAAAAAGAAAAATGAAGGAAGGTGCGGAAAAAAAAGAATACTTCTATGGAAAGAAAAAGCCGCTCACGAATTTACGTAGCAGTTAAATAAAATCCAGAACTCAGCAATATCAATATCTTACCCTCCAAACTCTCCAGCGTTGGCGATGGGCACACAACCTAAATGTGTGCACACTCCAATGACAATCAACCAAGCTGGATCTTTCACACGTGCGGAATCTGGCTGTGGATCACGAAGACTGCCCACATCAACATTCTGAGCCTAGAAATAACATTTCAAGCTAACTTAATGCCCAAAACTACCCAAAACTGCGATCTCCCAGCATTCTCGTTTGTTGTTATCAAGAAACGACTGTGAATGGACAGCAGCCCACAATACGATACCTGTTCAATGATATCAGGCGTTCGGTGCCATATAAAGAGAGGCTTGCCGCGCCACTGAATGGTCTGATGTTTGCCTTCTGGAATATCCGCTAAATTAACTTCCACTTTAGCCAAAGCCAGAACATCCGCGGAAGGGCTCATACTGCCGACAAATTTGTGTACAAGACTTTTCGCCACATATGTCGCTCCAACTCCAATAGCTGTAAGGTAAACGATGTCACAACTTTCCACTCTACTAATTAAAAGCTTCAAAATCTAACCTCCTAACGCCAACAACGGCACCGTTATTTTATCATTACTGAACTTTTTACCACATCTATGATAATATCACAGAGGTGGTAAACAATTCATGAAACAGCGGTGCTGTTGTTGGAGGTTGGCAATTGTATATGTTATAATATCGTCAAATTATTATATTACCAAAAATAATTCTAAATTATATCTTTAAGCTAGGAGGAACTTCCGAGCTTTTCTGTTTCAGAGTTTCTAGGCTAGCTGATAACATTTTTTACCACTCGGAATTGGAACGAAATTCGTTTCAAACATCGATCAAGCACTTAATAAAATAAAAATCGAAAGAGTACCACGTTCACAAATATTTCAGCGTACCAGCAGTCATCATATAGCTGAACGCTTTTCGATCGCCCTCCGAAGCGCTCGATCGCACAGCAGGATCCTTCACAGACGGTCTTCGGTAGTACGTCATATCGGGAATCCGAATATCGGTATGGGCATATCGAACTTGCATCGGCGCTGAAAATTTAAAAACCGTGAAGTTTAAATTTCTTTAAAACTGCAGCTTGCACACTACCGTACAAACCTAGACATAAAGTCGGTAAAGAGAAAGTGATTTTTTTATTTCGTCGCCTTCATTAAACAAACGCAACCAGCTTTTCCCTGTACAAATGCTGCTAGCGGCCATAAGACCGTACAGATTGAGGCACAATATGACATATTTACAAAATACAGCAAATTACTGTATTGAAAGCTATGGATATTTTACTATGATGGTAAATCTGTTTAGCAATTTTACCGTTCAAGGAGACAGTCGCTGCTTGGTGGCATCTTTTAGGCAACACAGCGAACATCGACTGCGCTGTAAGTTTATCAGGAGGAGGAAGCGATTTCACTTCTCCGTGATCTTCTTCGATGATTTCTTGAGAAAGAGGACGCACATGATGGTTGGCCACATACGTAGTTGCTATATTAACATTCGCAGGGATAACAGGACGTGCTGTGTTCAGACAAGGGACTACACTTCTTGAAATTGCAGTTATCATTTTGCGATATTTACGATTAGCTAAACTAAAATACTGGAACAAAAAAAGCCGCTTCTGCTAACGAACAAACGGACAAACCCCCTTAAAATGTAAAAAATGATGCCCCGTAGCTCCCGTCCCGATTGCTACTCGACAGTCGACACTCGTACCCAAAGACAACATTGACGCCATCGGCTTGGCAACAGCAGGCGAAAGCTCATGGTATGCGCTCTGCGTCAAATCTTTAATGGGCGGTGTGCTTGCACACCATGCAGTGGCCAGTTTTACAGTTTTACAACAATAGTTACTGTACTACACTGTAGTACATAATTTGCTTGATCACAGTTTTCCTTTATTTTAGTTTTTAAAACGAAAGCTTAACCGCGCAACCTTTTACCTATTTTGTAAACAAAAATGTTTTGTACCGTATCTGGCTTAATTAATTGGACATAATATTATAGAACTCGTACTCGGATTAATATTACAGTACATGTACAAGTTCATGTACTGTTTCTTTAAGAAACCGGTATTCACCCTAGAAATTATTAGTGTTATTTTTATTAGTATCATTGCCACGTATTTTTAAAGCTAAGCCTCAATAAACATGTAAAAACATGCAAGAATAAAGTACTTAATGCAAAACCAATACGTCCAAGGACGGTGAGAGACTCATTTGATTTTGTATTTGTGGGTTTCGATTTCTAGGGTAGTTATAACTTATACGAGTACTGTACCAGTATTAAACATCACCATAATTATGGGAGTGACTTTTCAAGTAATCAGGAATTATGAGTTTTACTTAGGCTTAATTGTCAATTATTATATTATGTTATGTTCTCACAATTGTCAAAACTTATTAAGCTTCTTCAAATATTATACGAACAGAAATTGTGTTAACCAATTTTTAGTTTGTTTTTAGTTATAGCAGTTTTAGCATTAGCAGACAGTTCAAAACGATCAAAAATTGATAGAATCATAGAAAAACATAATAAATTATAATTAAAGAAATCGAATGGACCATAAATTGTACCATAGTCATTCGAAGAAATGTGCTAGCATCAATATGATGCTACCATAGTCACTGTACAATACAGTACGATTCCCAAAACATACAGCAGTATATTGTACAACAAATTTTGTCAGACTACAGCTGAATACTAATGTGCAAGTCCATGAACACAAGCTATTTATAAGGTGATCATGACATCAATAAATGCTACGCCGTCCTGTAGTCGCTTTGCAGTTTGCATACAAGACCTAAATGGTGCACCGGAAACTCGTAATGATTCCCAGCACAGACCAGCGTGAACCACTCTTTCACTAGGCTTTTCTGATCGATCCGGATGAACCACAACATAAGGCTGTCATCGCCTTGCAGTTCACGTGTACAATACTTGGGAAGACTTCCATTTCTTGTGGTTAGTTGCTGCAACGGACGATGTACTCCGTAGGCTAAAGCAATACAAAAGTTTCGTTACTTTATATTTGATCATAATGACCATTGTGGTATAACTTGCAATTTGGGCACTGGGTTTAATTTTCGAATTTCGCAGATCCAGGTACAGTGAGTACTTATGTATAATGTAAATGATTGTGGTTTGCCGCATACATTGCCCATAGCTGGAAAACTAAATATTAACTTGCGATTAAAAACGCAAAATTTACTTGAATAAATGTCGACCGTTAGTCTACTCCATAAGTGCGTATCTGTACAGATACTCGTCTTGTAGATTAAACCATGTTTTTTTGCAGTTATACCTTTATTAAGAGTACGAAAATGGAAAGAAGGCCAAAAACCGTACCAAAAGGAGTAAGCAAGGAAAGTTTCAGAAAACCTGCATCGATGACTGACAAGGATTTGGACCGCGATGACCAAGAAACCGGAAATCCAGCCACTCAGGAATCGTCATCTCCGCTGACTCCCATCCGCACCGTGGTCGTGTTTGCAGTAATAATTGGATGTTTTGCCGTGATCTATCCACGCTTTCTGCATCCCATGTTCAGTCACGTGTTCGGCGGGTCAGCTGCGGCCCGACAGCAGATGGAGGAGAAGTTTCTCCCACCGAAATTCCAAAGCCAACATCCCGCGCACCAAATGCCCAACCAGCGCGAATCTCATTCTGCCATGCACATGCGACCCACGCACCATCCGGGTGCACGTTTTACCGGTAACGAGTACCAAGCACCGGAATCGAAAGGGGCGCTGTACTTCATGCTACCGGTCTACACCGTCGGAATCATTGCGTTCCTTCTCTTCACGTTCTACAAAGTTCTGTCCAAAACCAATCAAACGTATGCTCCCCGCCCACCCACTCGCCCGCGAACTGTACGGTACGATCCCACGGAAGGAGAATTCGTCAACACACCGGCAACGCGTCGGCGTGATATCGCGGGAGTAGAACCAAAGATCACAGAGGAACATTTACGGGCTCTGGAAATAAAATTAGCGGAAACGGAAGCGCAGATGAATGCGCTGATAGAACAGATGACGCTTCTCAAGTCCGATCAAAATGTGGTCAAGTACCCAAAGGAGGAAGAAGACGAAGTTTCTAGTGAATCGGATGAGGATTTCCCTTCGGATGACGTAAATTCGGATATTGCCCAAGAAGTGCGGATTAGGAAGGAAGAAAATGAACGAAGTGAGCTTGTCGAAACGACCACCAAAAACGAAACCACGGATTTGAACCAAGAATCCTTGCTAAACGAGTTAGAACAAGAGGCAGACTCTGTCAGTGATGAACTAGAGCTAGAAAATGTCGACCCTGAACAGTGGACACCGATACCGAAAGCGAAGTAACTGCTGTTCAGGGCTGAAATTCAAGTGACCTTCCCAATTATCTTTTGTGTATTGTTTGGTCGCTGGGTGTGTATTCTTACGACGTAGTACTAATAAATGCTTGTGCAGATGTATGTACCCGCCTCTTTATGCCTGCATGGGTATGTTAATGATTCCTTCGCACTTCCGTAGATGAATACTTATGGTTAGTACTTCATGTTCCCAAAACCCGGTACGGCACACTGATGGCTGCTGTGCACATGCGTTTAGGTGTGAACTTTAATGAATCACTTCCTGTATAAAAGTCAAATTTTATTTATGTAGTGGTGGTTAATTACTGTACCATTCTTCTTTCTAACTGTGGCAATACATTTGCTTTGATTTGGCAGTGCCAGCCCCAGGTCCCACAGTTCTAACTAATTACTTATCACACGGAAGTTTTGATGCTTTAGTTTTATTGTCCTTTAGCAATTTTGTAAGAAGAACATTGTATATATACAGAATCTTTGGTATAACAATTAATCCTTGTGAACGTTTAACAACGTTAGCACCGGTTAAAGCAAATCACCTTCTCACATACACTGTATGCACCATGCAGAACTCGTTCGTGGGACAGTAGATCATCAAGTATAATAACCAGAAATCACAAGGAGCGTATCAAACGCTACACTGACGAACCCATAGAAAGACTATCTATATGTTCAGAGCAGGTTGTACTGCTCCTTGATCTTAGGGGGCAAAAGCACAGTGTCAACAACTTGAATGATTCCGTTGGTAACCACGCCATCGAAGAAGATGATCTTAGCATCGTTCACCTCGACTTCGACTTCCGGCCGAGAGGGTCCGCGCTGGACATCTTCGTCACCTGGAAAATAATTAAATGTGGCTGAATTAGGGAAATAAAACCTAAGCAGACATCTGCAAGCTGATAGGATCTATGAATGGTAAGCTTTTACAAATCATTTCGCTTACCGCGGTGTCGGCGGATGTGGACAGTCAGGCTGTTGGCCTTGTTCAAAGTGGGCAAAACATCCATATCTCTGAAGCCACGGGCGAAGTAAGTGCGGTTAGCCAGGTGAAGATCCAAAACATCTATGCGCAATGTTGTGTATTAATTAAAATAGCAACCATTCCGACTCAATCGAAACCGGCTTACTGGTCAAAGCGGTTTTGTCCTTCAGGAGGGCTTCCCATACACCCGGAGGCAGACGCTTGAAAGCCTCCTCGGTGGGAGCGAACAAAGTCAGAGGTCCAGCTGTCGTTTGCAAAATAAAATTACCAAAGTGTTCTTACAAACGAAAATATTAACACGGAACCTACCACTCTTCAAGCTTTGGTCCAAACCGGCAACAATCAGACCGTTGTACAAGGTGCTGAAGTGAGTCGATTTGGAGATCACGTCATAGGCGCTGAAGAAAGGAATGCCCAAAATGACTTCATCGATGATGTGGACAACACCGTTGCTGGCGGCCTGATCGACGTGTCGGTGGCTAATACGGGCGGTCTGGATGATGCGGGACTGTAAGGCCGGCAAAAAAGTTAAATTCAGTCCTAATATCGCAAAATTTTTGATAAATCATTGTGCAATCAAATCAGAAAAACATTTTCAGTAACAACATACAGAATAATAGATAGTAATACTGTCTGTCCATTCTATTAAGGGCTCTTTTTAACCTATTTAGACCTGACTTGGAGGAAAAAATTTACTGGAAACAAATTGGCCGATTAGGTTTAAATTTATGTACTTAATTTAATTACCGCCTACCGGTATCCGTATAGTAGCCGGTGTATGCGCTTACCGTATAATTGATTGAAGTATGGTTGTACGCGTCATATCGAAGAGTCCAGTCCTTTTCCAGAGTCTTGTAGGTCTGATCGTTAACGAGATCCTTGATCATGAAAACTCCTTGGGCAACGTGGTATTTGAGGAGAGCAGCCAGCCTGTCGGGATGGCGAAGGAAGTAGAAATAAATATTCTTAGGCAGGCGGGCAAAAGCAGCGTTAGATGGGATGAACGCCGTAATGCTCTCTAAAAACACGGTAATAAGGCGTTGTACATATGCGATTTTTATTGTTCAATAGATCATTATAGCATATAGATGCATTTGCTCCTTAATAGTTAACAGCGTATTACACTTACGAGTGTTCTTGAAAGTATCAGCGGTCTTCGTGTAGTACGCAGCATGCACGAAGATGGTCGCTCCCAGCTGCTGGGCCACATCCAAAACGTTCTTAGGATCACCGAAGTTGGATGCACCAAAGTCCGCGGACATGCTTTCATCGGCATTCATGAAGAACGGCATGTTGAAGGTGTCTGGATCATCAGCGGCAGCCTTGTTGGCTTCCTCTTCGTACCAGCTCTCGGGCAGGATAGTCATGAAATCTGACTCTCGCTGCAGAGCAGCCACAGCTGCGACGAGCACGGCTAGGATAAGGAGCTTCATGGTTTGTGAGAGGTTACCACTTGCTGAGAGAAAAAATGAGATGAACTACGAATTCGTCCGAAAATTCGAATCTTTTATAGCACGGCCTACAGTCCCTGCACCGTTTATCAAGTGCGAGCTATACAAACGACAATAAACTTATCGTCAGCTGTTTGCTGTTTGTGAGTGTCGAACGGCTCAAGCGGTAGTGGGTTCTTTCCGCACAGTGCGGCTGCACCGAACCGGTTCAGCTACGGGATGCGAAAATTAAAAATCATGGTTAGGTAGCATGGGTGGCTTCCTCAGTTCCTCCAAATGGTTAATGCCTTAACAGAGAATCCAGTACCAGGATTTTCTTGTGTTAGTTATTTAATAGTATAAAGCATATTTAGTATAAAAAGTAACATAATAGCATAATAATTTAAATTATTTGATAATCAAAGAAAGCTGAGCCGCGGAACCGTTTAATTTCACCGGCCGGTGAAATGTTGGTTTTGCCGATCTTTGATAAGCTTTGTTTACCGTAATCGTCTTTAATGAGATCATAGTGTACGGTGCAAAGTTTACAAAACCTGCAACATCACGGTTAGTGTCAGTAAACAAGATATTTTATTGTTGACTAATTGTCACTTCATCGTATTCAACTTTGTTAGAATTCTTCCGTGCAGCGCTTCTAAACAAAGAGGAATGATGCATGTTTAGCACACAATTTGGACGCAGTGGCTAGCTCTGTCCCTGATATGTACTTGTATTACTTAAATAAATACGAGTACACTTGTCTAGTAAGTATATCAACGTGGTCTGCTGTGGTGCAACTACGTACTGCAATACAATCTATTTTTTGTGTATCTCACCATGGTCAGTCGAAAAAATGGGGACCGATAGTGCCAAAACTGCAACCAGAGTCGCTAGTACTCTAACATCACTTGGTTTGCACGTGATCGACTGCAGGGAAGCTGTTTTTGTTATTAACTACTTCGTTCAGCCATTATCTAATCAACCGGCTTCAGAAATTAATTTAAACCACAAAGCACCCTTGCTTCAGGAAAAGTCATGAGACGTTTTTGTATATACGGCTCTGTGACCTTTAGATTCGAGGGGTTATCGGCTTTTTTAGAGGATTAGCTTAATTACGTAGATATAATGGCCCGTGTGCGATAGTGGACCATTTTGCAATAAGCATTTTGCAATAAGTAACTACGCTACACCAGAGTCCAGGCATTTCCACTTTCCGCTGTTGCGAAACATAGAGCTACAGTGCACACCAACTTAACACATTAGCTAGTGGTGAGATTTCGTGATAATTTACGGCTGCTTTTATTGTTTTCCGTTTTGGGTTGCATTCACAGCAATTTGTATATACAATATCAACAATAAAAAAGAGCAAGACATCAACAATATTAACACAAACAGACTTATACGAAAATTTCGAAACCCAAAATATCCGTAACATATATGGCAGTGCATGGCTGCATGCAAGAAAAGTCTTTCCTTTTCAGAATATATTCTACGGTGGGAAGTGTACAGTGTAGCCGCCTCACCAGTGTGTAATCAAAAAGGAAATCATATAACATCAGAGACAGCTGTTATACCGTACAGATGAAAATTTTAGACCAATTGAAGCACATATTATGTGTGAGTGAAATGTCCAAAGGCTATTTTATTTTGGCTTTTTACGAAATGTATATGCAAAGAAGAAAATGTTTGTGCCATTTAGCGCGCGCCGCGCTTTTCCGCCAGTACGGAAGGTCGGGTTCACCAGCAGGTTTGCTCCACTACTTGACGACGGATCTTTAGTTTTTCCGCTAATTCTCCCATGAAATCTTTCTTAGGAGGACGAGAAAAATTTGGGACCGCTATAAATTGATTATCCGCTAGTAAATGGATTATTCTGATTAAGTTTCTTCTCATTGTATGCACTGTTCTCCTTGTTGAAATACTTATTCCACATTAGAACTATGTACATACGTAGATAATTATTTTGTTATTTATCATCGATACGAGGTATGATCGCGTGTCATAGCAAATTGCTACCTTTCTTATCCGGCTCGGTTTCCAAATTAGCTACCCTCGATTTGACATTTCCCTTGAGCTGACATGCCAAATCCTTAGCTTCCGTGATGACATCCCCATCAACGCCGCCATCGATGACAGCGGCATCCTTGCTACCGGCCTTTTCTTCGCATTCCAAGGCTATCCTGAACAGATTCTTCTCCGGTGCAAACTGTTTACGATCAGGCTGCACTTTCAAGCCCGACTTGGGCATGACGGCATGACGCTGGCTGGCATCTGGTGAACGCGGTCGATGCGCCATATGCGGAGCCGGCGGAGGTGGCGGAGGTGGAACAAAGGTCACTGAGTGACCGCTACTCGGTTTCGGATTGAGTGCTGATCGGTCGGGAAATGGCTTGACTGCTGCTTTGTCAAGGTCTCCATCCTGTGGGGTTTGTTCTTTCTTTAGGCCGGCTGAGCTTTTACCGTGCATTTCAGGCTGCTTTAAGGATGGTTTGCGAGGAGAATCAGTTTCTCTCATCGACGATTTGTATGGTTCTTTCAATGCTGGCTTCATTCGTGGCGATTCGCATTCGGGACTAACGCCTCGTAGAACACGATTGATTGGCTCGACAAACTGAAGGATATCCTCGTCAGTGTCAGATGCAGGGAGCGGTGTAATTTCTTCCGAATTCGGATCATCCTGGTGCTGAACATGCTGTCTAGGAATAGGTGGCAGCGGTGGATGTGCTGTGACCGGCGATCTGGGTGATGCCGGTAAATTTTTCTCATCGTCCTCAAAATACTCCGTCGGGGGCTCTAAAATGAAAACGGATTCATGAAAAATTTAAGACAGTTTTTTCGTAATCTGCAGACAGCAGCTAAGAATTTAAAATATCATGATTATCTTTGTGACAACAACATCATGAACATCATGATCGTCTTTATGATTCTGCTTTGCCGGTTTTAATAAAAAGAAAGATCAAGTTTCGCTTGCCTTACCATAGTGTGTAGCGTAAGGTGGCTGTTTAACGCCCAACTTGTCCAGATCATTTGTTGTGAAGCAATGAGCCAATCCATCCGTTAATTTAACAAAATATTTTACAACGTCATTGAGGCACCGGAACTTAGGATGCTACAATAAAGAAACGTAAAGCGCGTTAAAATTTCGCTGTTATTGGTTCTCAAGTTATCCGATACACGTTAACATCTCTAGTATTAACACGAACACAAATTATGTATCAATATTTATGCACTTAACACGTTTATACGGCCTTACCATTAGTACCACAACCAAAAGGGCTTTTTTTGTCACACGTTAATTGAAATGTTAAATCACAAACGTTGACGTACCCTTCCTTCCATTTTAATTTCGTAATAAAGCTCCAATGTGCTGTGTTTTCTGATAGGGCTGATTTCATAATGAAATATTTCAATGCTTCGATTTATTGTGCTCCGGAAAGACAGTGCATAGCTGTTTGGATACGATGTGCTCCTTCGCATCAAAACATTCCCGTACATGTCGCCCATAGTCAGCACTGCTTCCGCCATTTCTCGCGAAACGTTTTCGAAGAAATAACTATTAAAAACATTACGGTACAGCTACAATCGGTCGTACTCTGTTGTACTTCTCTGCGCTCTAACGAACTACACAATCTATAATTATTAATTTAACGAATCAAGTACAACTCAACTGCAAAGCAACTGTAAATTCTAATAATAGTTACAGATTTCTGAAATTAGCTTACGAACGTCTTCATCATTGCGATAACTTACCTCGGAATACCTTTGCTACCATCTTTATAAAATTTGTGGCCAGCTTCCTTTGTAGCATTGGCTGCGGGATGGGGATGCAGACTTTTGGATTTGTGCGCGGACACTTTTCCGCCATGCCGGCGACTATGGGAAGACGGGTCATCGGAGCTGGAAGACGACACTCTGGGTGTTGACGTTAGAGACCTTTCCGACCGGCGCTTTTTTTCTGTTTCAATCATTTTCTCGATCTGCACAATCTGGCCAGGCAACAAGATCACATCCGAATCTTTTGGATGAATTCCGTCAACCAGGGCCAAAATGTACGTCTTCCACAGGTTACGCACATCCACGGATTTACACTAAAGATTATAATCGCAATAAGCAAAATTAAGAAAATAGAAGTATTTGCGGACCCAATATAGCGGTTGGATTTCTTAAGAATTATAAACGGGTAGCATGACCCGGTGACTGCATTTCAAAAATAAAGTCGTAGATACACAGATGTTAACCAGCACTGAGTTCGCAAAAACGTAAACACACTATCTGCTAGGCTGGTGTAAGCCACAAGTAACTATGCAACTTTTACACCAATAATCTGTTGCACATGATTTTTCAAAATTTGGCTCGATGAAATCATACTTTGAATTCATGTTTAGTGTAGAAAGACTCATCGAATTCCACTGCCCGACCGTGACCTGAGCTGCCAACATGTAGCTCGAATTTCACCATTTGACTGGTACTCGGCATGTCGGAGGGACTGTTGTTGCCGTTGCTGACATCTCCATTGCTGTCGTCCTGCTGGATGTGAAATCGGACTCCTTTGTCTAACCGGACTGTGGCTATGATCTACCAACATACAATGGAAGTGACCCAATGTAGTCGCACATACAGAGTACAATTCCAGCTTACGTACTAGTTTACAAAAAAAACCTGCATTTTATAACGTTTCCACATTGCACATAATGAATGCACTTTAACGCAATACAGTATTAACCATCAGTAGCAATACACAATAAACAACTTTTGTAAATCTTGTCTGCGATGTATAGAATCATGCTTTTCTACCTGTATAGTATGCACGGCATATAATGCAAAATTTAGTTTTTCTGCTACGTACAATGTTATAATGATTAGATTTTAGGAAGTCAACAACGTTAACACTTATACACTACTACTTATTGTGCTACATCGGTTTACGTAAATTCTGCACGGAATATTAGCGCATGCATTAATTTTCTAAGTGAATTTTACCAAAGCTCACGCGTACATGATGTTTCAAAGCTTGCATGACTGTTAGATGCGTATGATTCGCAAGAGCGGTTTGACTAATGAACAATTAAAGAAACTTTACTACATGCAAACTGTAATTATCTTGGTTGAGTTCTTCACTTGTAAGCTCTGTATACGTGCAGGGCGTACAATGGATCGACAGACAAAGTCAAGCCGGCTTTGAACCTTAAAATAGCTACTAAAATACCTTTTTATCCATCTGAAGCCGATTAAACATTAATTGCCTGCACGAGACGTAAGTAACTATTGGCTGTAAAATATGCCGCACAACACAACGTGCAGGTGTACGTTCCGCTTATCATTACAATACTTCTACTGCTAATACAAAATTTGCCGTCAAAGTTTTGAAAGTGTTTTACAAAATATGGGCAGTGAATTAAGACATTTTTTACAGCTATGCTTGCGCATTACAAACGTGCATCAATACTTCTACATCTTGTCGATAAACCAATCAAGCAACAATTTATCATCAATACGCGGAGCCGGCACAAATAGCAATAAGACTCACATTTTCCAAGTGTTTCCGGTCCCTAATGGAGATATGGGTCGATCGTAACAAAGCAAGACAGTCTTTATACTTCTAAAAAACAGGACCGCTTTATTTTAAAATACATTAAAATCAATTACAAATATATAAATACAGAGTAATTCTATTGTACTATGTTATTTGCCGATAATTAAACTGTTATCTACACTGTCCACTACCAAAGCAAAAACATCAAGCAATAAAAGAAATAAAAGAATGCACTTGTAATCGTACCGTATGTAATCTAATAACATATTGTATTATACGAGTATCTTCAATCTATTGTTAGATTGTTAGATCGCAATGTGGCTTCTGTTGTTAGATCGCAATGTGGATAAGGTAACAGTAAGGTAATTAGGTAATAATTGTTGCGTCCAAACCTGCTGCACAGGTATATTGATTACTGTATTAAATTCAAGCATACAACGTCTTTTGCATTTTAATTACTAATTTCACTCACTCCATTCAACTTGAACTTCAACGCTCCGTAGAAGTGGACATCCGGTTGTTCCAATAGACTGCGATGTTTTATTCCAGCACGTGAAATAGTAAAATCATGCTTTTTCCTTCGTAATATCCTCATATCTGTGCCGCAATTTTTGCCGCAGGATTGTCAAAAACTTTCCATATTTAATATGTTTATCGTTGCCACATTACCCAGCAAAGAGAATTATCTGTTTATTTTTTACTGGGATTTACTGGGCAAACCAATTACCCATAATAAATTTATTTAAAAATTTAATCATTGTTCGATAGCCTGAGATAGTGACATCTGACTGAAACGCAAGCAGTTACTAATTACAAAGAACGGAAGTTACATTCTTTGAAGCGCACACTGACACAAGCGCGTCTTCAGAAGCTGCTACAGTTTTGTTGCGGATGGCTGGTCAGTGGAAGTTCATTGTCAAGAACCTTACATGACCAGACAGCAATAGACAAATAAAGATCAGCTGCGGAATTTGTATTTCCAGTCTGTGGAACATAAAATTTGCTACAAGCTGTCGCACACGTTGCATATGGCACGAAATAATCATTAACGACTACATATTAAAATTTCCTAAGGTCGAACCTATGCATATGAGAAAGGTTATAAGCCTAGGATATGCAGCTTTTGCGAGTATGTATTTGTACATAACATGTCTCACTCACTCTTACTAATTCGTAACGTAACGCCCGATTTAAGATTTCGACATTAAAATAGTTTGTTACTTTATTAGTGAGTTCGTTTGGAAAATAAATTACGCGCTGAATACATACGTATATACGTTCAAATAACAGCTAACACTGAGAGCAACATGAGACTTTTTTGCAGATAATGGACTCGAGGGTCACAGTAGCAACGTTAGTGGTATTGTTTATGAACTATGGCGTAAAACCATACAAAAGCAATAACTGTTCCGAAACTTTTGCACGAGCGCTTCGATACTGAATTTTAGCGTGTCATCCCTACGAGCGCCAGCAGAATTAGACGTTCACCGCTGTTGAGTGCTCGTCGATACACAAAGTTATAAAACGTTTTTGACGGCTCACTAACTGAGATTATAAGGTTATTTTATCATAAAAAAGTAACGAGAGGGGTATGGATACATCACACGTACCATATCTTATATAAAAGTGCTACTGCATAATTTTTTTTTGCGTGTTCCCTTCTGCGTAATTGGCATACAATTCAAACAAACACTATGGATCACAGTCTGACATATTTTCTTTGGCGTTTATGTTTGTTCGTGTTATATTCTAAAAGCTTGCTTACGGTTGCATCTTCAACCGGACTGAACATTGTTTATATTCTCGCTGATGATTTGGTAAAACAACTATGAGAGTGGCCTTAGGAACGCGCCGCAACAAATCTTGAGCTGTTTGGTTTGGGATAGTCAGCAGAAATATATTAATTTTGCCTTTTAGGGTTTCAATGACCTGAGCTACCTAGGATCAACCCAGATCCTCACCCCCAATATTGACCGCTTAGCCCGCGAAGGAGTGATTTTTGCGCGGCATTATTCGCAGAGCTTGTGCTCCCCTAGCCGAGCATCTCTACTAACCGGCAAATATCCCATGCATCTAGGTAGAACGTTTTCTTAAATCTGGATGAGCAAAGTTAATTTGTAATTATACAAGTGTTTTGGTTTGTGTTTTTAGGAATGCAGAACGGCGTTATCAAAGAAGGCGAGCCTTGGGGATTAGATTTAAATGAGCGCACACTTCCGCAGTTATTGAAAAAACTAGGCTACTCAACATACGGTATCGGAAAGGTTAAGATGACCACACTCACACTATCAAGTGGTTCGCATGTGGAGACCTGCAGTGTAAGGTTTTAATTAATAAAATGTAAAGCTGTTTCATTTTAGTGGCACCTGGGACATCATAAACTTGATTATTATCCAGGTAAATTGATTTCAGTATTTCGAAGATAGATTTAACAGCGCTTTCTACGTACCAATCTTGACCCCAACTTGTTTTTTGCTGGTGTAGTACGAAGAGGATTCGACTCATGGTTTGGATTCATGGGAGCAGATATCGATTATTTTAACTACACAACCGGATATGTATGCTCCTGTAAAAAAAGATCTGCTTAGTGCATAACGAAAACTTCACTACTCTGGAGGCCTTTTACACAATGTTCTGCTGTTTCTGTCTACATATTATATTACTAGTAATTTTAACAATATCCCACTTTTATTTTAACAATAATTTCAGTACATAATCATAAATTATTGTACCATATAGTACGTTTTAAACCAATTTTTTAATTCATCCAGCCCGGTCTTTTCAATGGAGAAATGGGACGCGACATGGTCCGCAACACAGAGCCAGTATTAAATATCACCGGGATGTACAGCACCGATTTATTCGCCGAAGAAGCTGAAAAAGTGATCCTACAGGCTGAAAACAATGTTGTAAGATAAACTACCTGTATGGCTGCACGCCAAGCCGATGATACCGCTTTTTCCGTTACTTACCATTAGTGTGCAGTGACTGCATAGTGTACATATAAAATTATACGATATACAATACACGTATAAATTCTTCATTTGATTGCATTTACTGAGTGGTGCTCGTTGATTTGCATATTCAAAAATATATTATACTTAAAGTATAGATAAGTATAATTGCACATATGTATTGTACTAGAGTAGTACTACCGCCCTACCATTTATTTAAATACTACTACGTATTGTAGTACTGTACTCGTATAGCGTATATATACTATATAATTGCAAATTTAAATTTTAATTGACAGCCTTATTTCATCTACTTTGCACCTAACGCGCCACATGTAGCTACCTATCGAGAGCCATTCCAAGCGACTCCGCAGTATCTTTTGCGCCCTGGAATACAGGAAATAACCGACAGCAATCGACAAAACTATGCCGGTATGTGTACATGTAGAGAAAAATTTATTTTTGTTGAAATGAGTTCTTAAGCCAAACATTAAAAATCGGGAAGATAAAAATTTTACCAGGAGATACACAATGCCGTTCAGCGGTCTATGTTTTGGCATTCAAACGTCAGCACTACGTCAACCTAACAGCACTACTACGAGACTACGAGTACTAACTGTCTGTACGAGCAGTAGTTTCTGGCAGGAGAAATGATTGTTTTAATCTGTGTAATTGCACTAGCAATGGTTTCTGGGTTGGATAATGCGGTCGGGAGGATTCACGCGGCTTTGACTTCCAAAAACCAATTACAAAACACAATAATCGTTTTTGCTTCGGACAACGGAGGACAGATTCCTCAACAAGTCATCCCCATACAACCGATCGGAGCGGCAAACAACTGGCCATTTCGCGGCGGAAAAGGCATGTACTTTGAGGGAGGCATACATACACCAGCGTTTGTCTGGCTGCCGGCAAAGCTCAGAAACAACATCGAACCGATTAACGATGACCTTTTCCATATAAGCGACTGGCTTCCGACGCTCTACGAAGCGGCTGGAGGACGTGAAGATTCGTCAGAAGACATTGATGGCAAAAGTCAATGGAAACAAATTTTAGGTCACAATGATCAACCAGCTCGTACAGACATTTTGATTAATGTCGACGAAGTAGCTGGTCAAGCGGTACTAGTAACTAGCAACTGGAAACTGCTAATTGGTCCTGATAAATTTCTGCAAAAGGGAGAAATAAAATGGTGAGTGTTATTTTCCATGAAAAAATTCACTAAACAGTGCGAAACATGATTGAAAAGGCAGTATATGATTTATGAACATGTCGTACTCGTTGTAGGTATCGTCCTCCTGGTACTTCTGATACTTTTCCCCGGCGGCAAGAATCCAACGCTTCCATTAAGTGTGCGCCAGCGGCACTAACAGAAAAACGATCGTGCGACGGTACAGTGAGATACTGCCTTTACGATTTGACGAACGATCCATGTGAAACGGACAACGTCGCAAATGAGCAACCGGGAATTATGACGCAGCTATTAGGGACAATTGCCCAGTACAGCAAAAGTGCCATAGCCGGCCGGCAGAAACCGTTTGACGCCCGAGCCGATCCCAAATTGCACAACGGAATGTGGACAGCCTGGGATGATAGTAACCCGTGAATTAACACCTGGATAATCCACCTACTGTCCGCTGTCCACACACAGATTTCGAACAATAAAATTTACCATAATATTAATATTTCGTATACTGAAAATGCTAGTAAGGAGCTAACAAAACTCACAGGCCACAGCAATTGTCGTTCAAAGTATTTATTTTCTCATTTATGACAACCGACCATCGTTTACGGTCTGTACCGATCAAGTACAGTAACTGCAGGGCGCCGAATGTAACTGCAGCAGAAGCTACGATCGAAAATGGCAATACACAGAAGTTTGGAATTAATGGAAGATTTCCGAACGTAATTCTAACAAGAAACAAATGGTAAAGTTCTGTAAGTTTAATCTGGAAACACAAATCTGGTAAAACACTATATTTTGACAAAAATACAGTGCACAATGCATCATATAGAATCGTTCAAGCATACGAGTAGTGCATGTAGGGTATAGGTTAATAAATAAAGCTATACTGTACTGTAACTACTGTTATAAGTTAACCACCTACAAAATATGTGCTATGATTGTGCTTTGGACGTGAAATACGGCGACTGACTGACTACAAATTCCAGTCGCGCGATAAAAAACTGACTGTCGATCATTCTGCCACGGGCAGGAACCAGTACATTGCGGCATACGGTTTCCACATAAGCCTGCAAGAAACAAATTAATAAGGTTCAGAATAAGCATACTGTAGCAGGCAGTAGCTGAAAACACCGGTCAGAGACAAAATATTTACAAGAACTCTAGCGCAAATTTTAAGGGAGGATATAAAAAATCGCTACGAATACTGATTTTCCTGCACATAAATCTTTCGTTTTTCTGCTGCGTTTTTGCTTACCACATATATAGAATTAAGAAGCTCTTTGAGGGAAACAGCAGCGAGATCAGACATCATCACAAATTTCAACGATGTAGGCGACTCGAAAAAATGCAGACGATATTTGTCCGTGGCATACGACTGGAATCCATCTTTCCTAAAAGAGGAATTTTGTTATTCGGCATCAGCCAGGACACCTATCAAAAATGCCTGCGCAGGTTTACGTTAAAGTACTGTACTTATAATGATCAAATACTGAAAAAAAACATCCAAAACACATCCAAAATCGTTAGTGTCATTAGTATTACCATCTGTATTAATGATCTTACAGTTAGAACGCGCGTTAAATGTATCCAAAACAGCAGCTGCATTTCCTCTGAATACCGCTAGCCTTAAACGTTTCCTTACTTTTTAATAACATTCAAATTAAAAGAGGAATTCAAAACTGCCAAACGAAATCCAAGATACGATATGTATAAATTATAATGTACATAGCCCATAGGCTCCATAGCCTATTTATGCATGAAAGACTTTCCACCGGGTAGTACTCACATTTCTGTGGGAGAAATTCTGGATACAAAGGACTTTATAGATGCGATTAAACCATACATCAACTTGAACTCCTGCAAAGACCGATACGTAAGTGATCGTTTCGAAAACCAAGACTACCAGAGATGTTTACGGACCTCCTCCTTTGCCATTTTCAAGTGACGCTTGCGAGCCCATTCCTTGTAGAAAATGCAGCAGCCATTGGGATCAAAAATATATAAGGTATAGATCATTGTAAATACTTGGTGAAATTTTAAAAAATACCCTACGCCAGCGGAAGTGGTCAGGATCTTCCGTTCTTGACAAGTAAATATTCATTATCCCAGAAAATATGGATCTGTCAGTAATCCACATTTGTGCAAGTACTAGTAGTTTTTGCAAATTTACCACAGCGACTAGCTGTGCCTAGTGCGCACTACGGATAGACGCAGCTACATAAGTACTTATTCGTTATGCGGCCGGCTTTCGTCACAGTTGTTTAAAATCCAAAGTAATTTGTATTGTACATCTAAATGCACATTAAAAGATTAAATAAAGAAAGTTTGTGTAGTTCGTGTAATGTGTTTATGTTAGTTGTTATTAATTGTTACTTATAATTGTTATTGAACACTGATTTACCTAATCTAAAATTTCTCGAGGATCTAAATTAGGAAAAATCTGCGTACAAATCTTCGATCATTTCCTAACTCTTGGAATACCAGAAAGCCGTGCCTTCTCTTAGAAGAGCGTCTGATAGCACTGCTTGGCACAGCAGTTATACCAGGGCCCTGGTTCGCTCACTGTTCACAGTTTAGTTCACCGTTTACCTGGAATAACGAGCTAAGTGTCCGCAGCTCCTGCAGACCCCATTAGACAAATCCGAAAATGGCTTCGTCCCTACGGATACTCTCTAGAATTCTGTGCAAAGCGTATCCATCAGTAGCGCTCGTGCATAGCGCAAGACTTTCCACATCCAGCGCTGCGTTTGCTGGTGAGCCGTGAGTTCTGTTCTTCAAAATTCACAATTGTTACTTGTACTTCGATTGATTTGTACAGTTTTCACTTTGACTGTGACAGCTCTTGTCAGTATGCTCATTTCTGTGTAAAATCTGTAGAGAGACTTTTTACTACGAAACATGAATGGATTTCCGTGGAGAAGGACGAAGGTACCGTGGGTATTTCGGATTACGCGCAGAAAACCCTGGGCGACATTGTGTTTGCCCAGCTGCCCGATCCTGGCAGTGAAGTGCGCAAGGATGGTAAGGTTGCGCTCTTGCTGTTGTAAGACTTCCCCGTTAATTGGCGCTTATGCTTAGAGGAGTGCGGTGCCGTGGAAAGCGTCAAGGCGGCCAGCGAGATATATAGCCCGGTGTCAGGAACCGTTACGGACAAGAACACAGCGGTAGAAGAGAAACCGCAGCTGATCAACAAGAGCTGCTACGATCAAGGCAAGCGAATGGGCAGTTTTTCAGCAACCCAGCTGCGTGCTTAGACAAGCATTGATGATTTATTTTTCAATATATTGACGTGACTCAGCCGCGAAACTAGTTTTGATTTATCACCCTTCAAAAAACTGTAACGCTAAAAAAGGTATATACAGCTCTACATAAATGCGGTTTTTTGAATTAATTTTATTTGCATTCTACCTATAGCAAAACCAGAAGTCCTACGGGTAGTATATTTTTTTAGTCGAAAAGCTTTTTTAGGATGGATGTTTAAAGTCAGCCTGAGTGATCCGTCGGAACTGAAGTCGTTGATGAAAGAAAATGCATACGAAGCATACGTCAGATCACTACAAGTCGAAACTTAATGGATCTGAAATTTTGAATGTCTTGAATTGTGGCCTAGTGAATACGCACGTGGAAATGAAAATTTTATTGTTATTTTTCAAAACCCGAGGATTAGTCTGTGTTTAGTGTTGCACTATTCAGTGCAGATAGAGTTCACTGGTGTGCTGTATTCTCAAGGAATTCGTGCCACTTCGTAGCCGGTCAGTTTTGGTGACGGAACGTTATTTTTACTTTTTCTTAGTTGTACCTGTGTCCAGACAGTTTGCTCAGATGAAAATGGTTTATGGTATTAAACAATAAATTCTTGCCGAAAACCATAAAACGAAAAACGGACTTAAACGTCTTTTTGTTAACACTTTGCATACACTTTGCATTATTGTACAGACATTATCGGGTGTTTACTGGTTAAAGTCAGTTGCGTAGTCCGTGTATGTGGTTATCTAAATTTTGAAACCAAGATTGTTTTTATTTTAGTTGAAAAATATATTTATTTTCTGAGACAGCTAATAATGTTCCAGTCACGCTAGCGAAATTTTCTTTACTGTAGTAAGTTAGTAACTGTACCAATGAAACTGACCGTGGATGATGGTTTAGCAGTTTACGAGCAGCAATTTTTTGTGCATTGTTAATTTCAAGATTGATTCGCATTGCTAAATATCATTATACCGTATGCACACTCGCATGCATTTTATATTTTATTCGATAGAGAATTATTGGAGAGAAGCTCGAAAGCATTTAAAATTAATGGCACTAACGGGTGCCGGATGTCGTCATCATGTCTCTCACCCTGCACTTGATGCCTTTGCGCGAGTGTACGTATACACTGGTACAGTTTTAGAGTATATTTTACAGATGGTAATTCTACAATCAGCAATGCATATAATCGCTCGTTCGTGATCGCATTTTGCGGTTCGCATGTAAGCAACGATGGAGTTGTTGTTCTCTGCAGTTCTAAAGCTTCTGACTGCGAGTTTCTAACGGTTTTCGCTAAAGACAAAAGCTGCCCATCACACGGTGGAAACAGAACCGGGGTCAGAATTCTGATATGCAAATACTTGTAGCAAAAGGTAGCTGTAATTTATCACTGGAATTGGAAAGTATTATTTTTAGCAGTAACGTATGTCGCGCAACCTTTGTAAATTCCCCTTCAATGGCGCATTTATGACTTACGCGATTTGGAATTCGAAGGTTCAGATTTTGAATTCTTGTATACGGAATATTTTGTGAGACGTCTGGAATGAAGAAATGATATCGGAAAGGAAAGGTTATTTTGCAAATGTTACCGATCATTGGAACTGAAATTCATTTGCAGTACGAAATATGGCAGTGATTTTTCTCAGTGACCATACCGTGATTATATATCTTAATAAGATAGCAATATCTCTGGCTCTACTTGCACTGGGTACTGTTGTGCTCTGTGCTTCGGAGAGACGAACGATTTCCATTGTAGCAGGAGGAGATTCCATGCCGGCCAACGCCATACAAGTTAGTGTTTTTCTTGATATGTTAAACTAATAATTCCTGTGCGCTATCATTATGGAATGGATAGATGTGTGTTTGTTAACGATACGATTCAGCAGGAGTGTAGAGTGTATCAACTGTATCACCCGGTCCCAAGGCATGATTTCGTACGCTCGCCTAGCGAGCACAAACGGGTACAGATTTCGAGCACCCAGCGGATCGCTTGGCGGATACGCAAAACTGTTTGATTCAAAATGGCTATAACTTTATTCTGCCATTATGCGCGACAACTTCTTAGGTATCAAAAATCTTCCCATAATTTTCCTCATCTTTTGACGCCTTGGTTCGCAGACTTCATCCAGAACTAGATCCTGTTTTAACAGGATCTGGTTCTGGATGAAATCTTTTGTTACAACAGGATGTGATTCATGAGATCTGTCAACCAAAGCGTCAAAAGATGAAGAAACGTTTGGGAAGATTTTTGATACCTAAGAAGTTGTCGCGCATAATGGCACAATAAAGTTATAGCCATTTTGAATCAAACAGTTTTGCGTATTCGCCAAGCGATCCGCTGGGTGCTCGAAATCTGTATCCGTTTGTGCTCGCTAGCCGAGCGCACGAAATCATGCCTTGGGATCGGGTCAGTTAATTTAGGTAGATAGATTTTTGACTAAACACGGACGGAGGTTTACAGTACCTAAAATTACGATAAGCTGAGGGAGTGACCTTTGACAGCTTATTGGTTTGGCATAGCTTTGGGTTGTTGAGTCTATCATTTTTTGGTCGAACCTTTTTGTAATTAAACTATCTTCATGCCACTTCGCGTTGTTAATGTTTTCAGATGTGGACACTGTTGTACCGCTCTTATCGATCCAAATACGTCAATATTAACTTAACATATGAAACTAACGGAGGAGCAGCGGGAGTAAAGGGCGCACTTACAGGAAAATACGATTTTGGAGGCTTTACAGACACTGAACCACGCGGCATATCTCTCCGGAATCTGACAGACTTCGAAATTGTTCCCGTGATGGCGATGTATGGAAAAACTACAATTTACTTCACCTGATTTCTCCGACAAACTTTCAATTGTGGAGTTACGAAACAACCATGCATTAACTGATTACTCTTAACAACCGCTGAGTGTAACATAATTATTTGATGTTATTTTGCAGTCCAGTCGTCATAACTTACAATGTACCGGAACTCACCGACAACTGCACCGGACTAGGAATGAGTGGCAGCACTTGCCTGAGCTTGACATTCGCCCACTTAACTGGAATTTTTAATGGCACCATTACGTACTGGAATGATCCATTACTGGTGCAGCATAATCCGGCACTGGAAGGAGTTAATGAGAGCATTGTTGTTATCGTCCGGGCTGACGACGCTGGAACAACGTCCATCCTCACCAGGGCGTTCGCTGAAAACAGCAGGGCGTGGAATACTACGCATTACTACTTTTCAGAAGGTTTGCAAATGATTTACTGGCATAGCGTGATCAGTTTTTGCAAGCATAAAAATATTCTTTATATAAAAACTATCCAAATATACCCAAAGAGTTAACGAATTGTGGTAATCGATAAACAACTTCAGACCTAATTAATAATGCGGCTTAATAAAATAATTATAATAAATTAATAAACATAATTAATAAAAAACATAATTAATAAATAATTTAACATAATTAGTAAACAGCTTCAGACTGAATTAGTAAAGCTTAATTTTGTGAAACAAAACTTGACAAATATGGCATCTGTTGTTTATTCCTGCGGAATCCTGCCTGAAATTATATAATCTAGAGTAGAATGATTTTTTCGTAACGTGTAATGATAAACAAGTTATTCAATAGTAGGGCGCGGTTGCATTGAAAGTAGGTACTTAATTTACAACTTATAGTTTTTGTTTTTAGGGTAAATCAAGTTCCCTTTCTTGGCATATACGACAAAGAATATTCTGTGTTAACAGGTTGCAATAAAACTACGGGGTTACCGCTCAAGTGGAACAGCTCCTTAAATTATCGTTGTGGCGCGGGTTTACGTGGTGTCGCCAGTTTAGTACTGCAGACACCTTACTCAGTCGGCTATATGGGGAAATCCGATGCCGTCGATTTCTCCCTTCCGCACATTCGCCTGCGAAATGCAGCTGGTTTTGTGGTCCATCCCAGCAGTGAGTCTGTGGAAGCCGCCATGAACGCGTCCATTCCCAAACTGTCCAATGTCACCCGATTGTCGGTATCGCTGCTGAACCAACCAGGAAACCGGTCGTATCCGTTGAGTGCATACACTTACTTCATCATGCCAAAGCACAACATCACCAACTGCACGATGACTATCGAACTGCACCGGTGGCTACGATATTCGCTGACCGATCCGTTGGGCCGAAATGTCGTCCGCGATTTCCATAAAGCTCCTTTAAATGCCAAGATATTGGAGTTTATAGAGGAACGCTTCTTCCGACAGGCTGTGTGTGCCGGAAAGAAGGTCTACGAAATGCTGGAATATGAGATTGACTTAGAAGAAGGACGTATCGGAGTATGGAAGCTGCCCGTCGCCATTGTCTTATCCTTGTTTGCAGCGTTTACGTTAGTGTTCTGCACAATTCTGGCGGTCATCTATTATTCACAGAATAAACACGCTGTCTACAATTCCTTCGTTATTTCACTGGATAAACCTGATGCCGGGGGCAAGTCACAACTATCGATGGGCGAGCCGAGTATTTTTTCCGAAACGGATCAGATGGTCACCGACTGGGAGGGACTGGGATACCAAACCAAGACTGAAGTTGTTTACCAGCATCCGAGAGTGGACACGATGCTGTTGCGAAGCATGTGCGACCATATCGCACCGTTGGAGACGATGCGTTGGAGGACCAGGGTGACCTTGGTGAGGCTGTGTGAAAGAACCCATCACGAAAACATACTACGATTAATCGGGATCTCAATGTATAACGGAGAATGGAAATACGTTATGAAATGCCCCGCTAAAGGTCAGTATGTATTTCGGTCTTCAGCTACGTGATTTAACTGTGTCCTCTCTGTGTATTTCATGTGCATTGGTTGTTTGTCTCCGCTTTTTTAAGCTACTATGCAGTACGCTCTGTAGTTGTAACATTACGTTTTTCAGGCGTACTGCAGACCATGCTTCGTTCGGGAAAGATTCACTTAAACAACGTCTTCCGATATTCCTTGGCGATAGACATCGCTAACGGCATGGATTATCTTCATCGGCATGGCATTGTGCATGGCCAGCTGACTTCCCTGGCTTGTTACATCGATGCGCGCTGGAGTATATCCGTAGGACAGTGGTACGATTATTCCATGCATTCCGCACAAAAGGGACCATTTCATGCATTTGAAGCCGAGTACTTTACGGCTAAAACTGATCACAGTAATAACAAAACCGCTCCGCGTCTCGCTGAATATTACAAGCTATTGTTCTGGAGTGCACCGGAACTACTGCAACGCGATACGACCGACATGTTCACGATTCGAAAACCTACAAAGAAAGGTGATGTATATAGTTTTTCCGTTGTTGTCTACGAATTATTCACCGATACGATACCGTACGAAGACATTTTGACCTCCACGGATAAGAAGACCAAGCGGGATGCCGGCAAGATTTTAAATGACGTTGTAGAAAACGATATGCGACCAGTAATCTCTACCGAGCTGACGATGACTTATAAACACATTGACAAGTTAATCCGCTCGTCATGGGATAAAAATCCCCAAGAAAGGAAGAGCTTTCACGATCTGTACCGCAAGCTGAACAAACTGCGGCCCAAAGGTTATGGACCGGTGGATGCGATGATGAAAGCGCTTGAGGAATATTCTACCATGTTAGAAGAGCGAATTGAAGAAAAAAACCGCGATTACGAGACAGTGGCAAAAAACATGGAAAACCTACTGAACAGTATGCTGCCCCAATCCGTGGCTGCCAAATTAGCACAAGGAAAACCTGTTGAGCCGGAATATTTTGATAGCTGTTCGATTTTGTTTGCGGATATCGTGGATTTTGCTCGTATTACGGCATCATTGTCGCCACAGCATACGACCAACCTTCTCAATACCTTCTACTCTGGTACGTAATGAAAGTGGCCTGCTAAATTTTGTCCGCACAGTACCACTAAACTCTAGTACAGTGCTGTAGTAGCTATTAAGTACCTTGCTGTGGTCAGCAGATTTGTTAAATTTGCCGTTGTATTTCCTTTGCAGCTGTAGAAGATGAGCTAAAAAATTGTGATGTGTATAAGGCGGACAGTACAGGAGATCTGTACATGTTCGTGTCCGGTGCACCCGTTCGGAACGGTAATAAACATGTGGGAGAGTGTGCGACCTTAGCGCTGGACATGATGTTTCTTTCCCGCTCTTTGGTCGAACCGCATATGCCGGAGAAACCGCTACGGTTAAGAGCCGGAATCCATACTGGCCCGGTTATCGGGTGCATTATCGGAAATACCGTGCCACGATACTGCTTCTTTGGTGACACAAGTAATGTTTGGTAGCTACTAGCTACCTTTCTTTATTAACGCACTTAGAAGATCAGTTAGGGACTTTGACTATATTTTTGCGACCACTTCTCGGCTGTAGCAAAGTGACTGGTGCCGTTGACGTGCACGGATCGATAGCGACATTATAAAACGTGTAATTCGAAATTTATCTTTGCAGTACAAATGACCATACTCGTCAAAAACACGTCGTTGCCAAATCAGATACAGGTATCCGGTATTTCTAAATATTTATTGGACAGCACCGGTCATTACGAAATGGTGTCTCGAGGACTCGCAACTAATCAGGTAATTTTTAAAACTTGGATTTGCATCTTTTAGTTTCGTAATTATGCATAAGTGTTTAATGCATGTTGGTTATCAATATCTGTACACGTAATTTCCGTTTTGAGTGGTATAGAATATATATTAATAAACCATCAAGTTACTGACATCGGTATTTACGAGAATCGGTCCATAATATATTCTTATAGAAAGTGGTGGCGACAAATTTAAATACGGTAACTTTTTTAGCGTTTGCACATCGGTGCTACTGCATAAACGATGTTTCTGTAGGGTGATGGACCGGGCGTGACGTATTGGTTACTCAAAAAGGAAGGTCATCCGAACCCGATCGTTCCGCTGGTGGAGGCGGCCGCTGGCGATGTGGCCATCCATCTGTTTCCCACGGTTCACACATCCGAAACCAGTTTACGATCACACAATCCGTCGCCCCGTGGATCGCCTCATGGATCGCCAAGACATACGCCTATGATTGCCCGCAGTCCATCGGGAAAGTCCACGCTGTCCCGGGATCCCTCCAGACTTTCCATCAATCAAGGCGCAGCTTCGCAGAGTCGGTTGTCCATTTCGCGGCAATCGTCACGGCAAAGCATCCTCTCGCGTCACTCGTCTGGCGCATCACTGGTGGCGGTGGTGCCTCCGGTTGATTAATATTGTACAGTAGCTCTATAGTCTGTTGTCTTGCTAGATTTTAACAAGTCTTAAACTTTATTGCTGTGAGCCTGATGAGTTAATTATAAGCCTGTTTTATGAATTCATGGGCTATACCAGCGCAGCTGTTATTTACATATAAATATATTGTTAATAGTGTATTACAGTTCTCAGTCACTTGTTACTTACAATTGTTCGTACTATTGTACTTCAACAAGATTTACGCTACTTTTCCCCATCGGTCCAATGGACATTTGTGTGGTTTGCTATTTTGCTATATTATATGCGTAGTTTAATACTTACTGTATACTTATTATATAATACATAGCCAAGGGTAGAGGTCAAACATCCAACACTGCTGATAATATAGATGAGTTGCCTCAGGACTCGGGTGATCTCTGATCACGTCGTGAAAAAAATAGATGAACCGGAAGCGGTTTCGCCCGTGAACTGCAACGGCCCATGTTTTCGGGCGAAACGGCCCATGTTGCAACGGCAACCTGCAACGGCCCATGTTTGTACTAATACGTACTTCTACTGCCTACTAACAAAGCTGAGTTTTCACAAACGAATTGTGCTAAAATAAGTAAAACAAAGGATAATTTGCACAAGCGGAACGTAGAAGCACAGACTTCTACAGCACAAAGTTATGACTATAAGCGATTTTCATAGTAATCCATGCGGCCTCCGCGGGCCTCGCATTTCCGGTTGAAAATGCATACAGTAGTTTGTTGCAGTAGATTATTTCTGTTGGCGCTTCGGGTAAATTCGCTGTCGGTTTTGCACCGGTTCGGCTTTTTCTCGGGTTCGTGACGTCATGAGCTCTGTGGCAACTCATCGATACGAGTAGTGATGAATGACGATACGTCACTGACAGTCATCAGGTTGGCTTTAGAAATTTTTGTAAAAATTCTCTTCGCAATTACGTCGATTATTTTAAAAACTTTAGTTCTAAAGACTAAGATCCGATCTTCCTAAACGGGATTTTCCCGAGCTTTGTTTACCTCATCTTGATTTGTTTGGTTTGTAAATACGACTATCAAAAAGGGAAATTATAGACTTCGAGCTGTATTATGATGACGTGAATTTGGGACTTCATGAAGTAGACATCCGACACTCACAGAGCGTCCGTGAAGTTCCCTAAGGGAAACAGGGATAATCTGCGAAGTATACAAGTGGAAGACTGGTTTCGAACTAGTACTGGTCTGTCAAACCAAAATGGCGTTCACTCCGTCCCAGGCTCTTTGCAAGTAAGTGCTGGGAAATGTGATGGTAGTATTGACAGGAACGGGCAGTATGCACTCGTACTACCTATTGAATCAGTCAAGTGATTCAGGTCAAGACTGGTTACCATGCATTCATCGTCAATTTCGTAATACTAAGGTTCTTCGCTGCTGGAGACTGCAAAAGGGAAGACTGCGTGTTTGCTCATGATTTGTCTGCACTGGACAGCAATATTTGTCGATTTTACCTGAAAGGGATTTGCTTCTACGGAGAGCATTGCAGGTAAGTCTTAACGGATGATCATTGTTTGATATTCGGAACTATATACGTAACTAGATACATAAGACTAAGTACTTACCATTTCGTCTTAGTCAGGTGCACACTGCACATTTGTTTTTTTTGTAATATCTAGGTGAATTTCAAAAGCAGTACTTGTAATAAGGTGTCAAATGTGGCAGGTGCACTCTCGAAAACGAGTACAGTAATTATTGGAAACTATACAGAAAAATATTTAAAAAGTTTTCTCCGGTTTTATGTTTGAAATTTTAATTTTCTGACAGCTTTTGAACAATCCAGCCAGCTGTTTAAACGGAGTTATGTAAGACGAAAATTATACGGATTAGTGCATTTTATGGGTATAGAGTTAATTATAAAAGATAAATTCAAAAATTAATGCAGTCTGGACCAGTATGTTGTACTGCTTTGTTGTTATATTTTAAAAAGCTTAAACCTCTGGCTAACATTTTTGTCGATTTATCAGATACGCTCACGTTGAGCCGTACGAAGTGCTTGCTCAGTATGGATCCACTGACGGAGCGCAGGTGGATGCGGCGGGCAATTTAGTCTCGACCGGTCGCGCTGCTCGTTCCTCTATTCGCATTTCCCATCCTTCGACCGAAAAGCCCGCATCCAACAGCCCCTCTTCACGTCCAAGTATGCTTGTCTGTTGGTTGAATTGTACATAGTTTCGAAAACTTAAGATGGCATAGTCCTGCCCGGAAGTGTAGAGGGAGAAGAACTGAAAGTGTTATGAAGCGCTTACTGTTTTTATCCACAGCACTGGTTGACTCTCCTGTCTGCGTGAAACCGGAGCGACCACCTTTGTGCCAACTAGGACTAATCGGCACGTGCACCCTGATTGATTGCCCTTTCCGGCACGGAGAAGTGTGTGAAATGTGTCGTTGTCAGGCTCTCGATCCTTTCGACGCAAACCAGCGAGCCGCTCATGAACAAGTATGCTTTTTGTGTCCTCAGAATGGGCGATTAGCGAGGATATACTTTACTGGAAACTCTTAGTTTGCAAGTATTTGTATATCTTGAATTTTGCAATACTTTCAGAATTTGCTCTTTGCGGATGGTATATTTAGTGATCAAAAATTAAATGGTAACAGAATCTGCCCTTTTTATAATAAGTTCATGTGGATCAATCTTCGACATGGATGAATTTGTGCAACAAAGAATAATCATATTTCTGCCATGGTGGTAAATAAATCTGGAAAGTGCTTAATGAATTTGGGTTTGTTTTTTCAGGAATGCTGCAAAGCAGTGGAGTTGCAGATGGAATATTCATTTGCACTGCAGCGCAGCCAACAGGTTGACTGTGGAGTCTGCTATGAAAAAGTTCTTCAGCAGACAGATGAAAACAGACGCCGTTTTGGAATTTTGCCCAAATGCGACCACGCTTTTTGTTTTGACTGTATCATGAACTGGCGGAAACAAGCACGGGAAGGCTTGGAAGAATCAGCTCTTCGGTAATTTTGCATCTTTATAGAGCCCTGTTGCCTTCCACTTGATTTTTGCTGTTTCAACATCGTGGTTTAAATATTAATAGCGATGTCTGCAGGTCCTGTCCAATGTGCCGTACTCATTCGGATTTTGCCATTCCGTCGCTGCTGTGGCCAGAAAACGCTGAACAAAAGGAGAGAGCTATAGAAGAGTTCAAAATAGTTATGAAGTACGTATTGGCATTGGTGTTAATGCGGTATAAAAAAGCATGTGACATGCGAGAGCGACTGTTGAATGATATTTAAATGGTAAAACTGATACGGTGTTTTTAGGGAAAAGCCTTGCAGAACTTTCTTGGAGACCAAAAAATGTCCGTTTGGAAGCTGTTGTTGGTATAAACATGTCAAGGAAGATGGAACGGTTGTCCAGTGTAAGGCTGTCGAATGGCGCTACCCGTTTTAGCTCGTTGTAAGGAATATGGTAAACATTGTAGTGAAACCGCCTGGTACTTCACGTCGGCGACGCCGTCGTTCCTATAATATGGATGATGATTTGTCGTTCGGTGATTTGATGGATATGTCGGATTATTCACCGAACGATAGCGATGCGGACAATAATGATGATGATGATGATGATGAATGGGAAGAGGACCTGCCATCACCGGCTATCCCTGTTCATCTGGACGACGATCCCAACTTCACGGCGGATATTATGGCGCAGTTGCAAGAACAGACCGCGGGCGGTGGAAATGCCCATGCGGAGTATCTCAGTCTGTACTGCGGCCAGCGCAATAACGCGACGCAGGAGTAAGTGGCAGTTGGAAAAAAATACAGGGTTTTATCGACGGATTGTCCACTGTCCATTTGGCGGAATGGATTCGGATTTTGTTTTTTTGTGATATTATCTTGTCCGAACGGAGCAGGATCCCGATTTTGCCGATTGTTTTGGGCCTTTGTTGTTTTATGTGAATGAATGCATTTCAAATGGACCTGTGCAGTGTTTCTTGTTTTGCATGCTGGGATAGCTACAAATATTTTTGGTAATCTTTTTTGTTTAGGAGAATGGGCTTACCGTGATATATCATAGGAATCGAGACTACAGAGTTTATTCTTATTGTGTTTATATTCGTGTTTCCTTGTAGGAAGAATTTGGTGTTACAGTACTTTGAATGAATCTTGGTCTTGAGCGCATAATTACCGAAAAACTTTCCTGAAGAAAAGAGAAATTAAATTGGTTACTCGTACTAGCTAAAATTGGCTGTGAGGCCACGTATCTGGGTACGTATAATATGTGAGACTTGAGAGTGATGCCGTCGAAGTTGGGTGAGCTGCTTCTTTGTCATTCATCGGCGCTTTCCGGTAATTTGATTTGACAATATAGTGAATTACCTGTATACCTACTCGTACCTAAGTGGTGGCTGTGAAACAAAATTAGTAACCTGAACTGCAGCGCAGTGAGTGCTTTTGTTATCTCAACTACTTAAGTTCAAACCCTACTTACTTTATATGAATCTTTGAGAAAGTAAGGGGCGATTCATAAATTACGTACGCAGCGAACCAGGGAAGGAGGGGCCCAAAAAATGACGAGCTATGACGGCCTCGGCGAACCCAGGGGGAGGGGGTGGTCCGCTCCATGTATTACGGTTGAACGAACCAGGGGGGAGGGGTCAAGCAAACGTGACGGACCGCTACGAAGGGGGAGGGAGGGGTGAAAAAATCGTGGTTTTCTGCGTACGTAATTTATGGATGGTCCCTAATTCTATGGTTACGTACTACAGATCCTTAGGTTGATTCTGAACAGAGACTACAGGACCCTAGCGAGGTCCGATGGATGGGAGGTGCGCAATTTCGTCGCGCCCACTGCGCTGTTTTGAAGTACGATTGGTCTGTGGCCACAGATTCCAGAACCTGTGCCCTTCTGAATTCATTTTGCGCCTACCGTATCCCTCAGACTTCTCTACGGTCTTGCTCCCGTTGTACAGCAGGTCGACGTCATCTACTGTGCGACACAATCCCAAGTTTACAAAAGTTTTACGCAAGCTACACCGCACCGCGCATACGGCACAGGCGCACTGCTAGTGGCGCCCACTGCTGTGCCCTTAAAAAAATTCCATGAATTCGCCCGTGCGCCAGTTTCGGACGCAAAATGAATTCAGAAATTAGTCGAGGAGGGGGATGCGTGCGCCCGTTCACACCCGCCTCACTACGGCTGTGATCTTGAATATGACCTTTAATGCAATGCTTTGCATTCACTCGGTCAGATTCGCGTACGCGTATTGTTAGCAAGTTACAGTCGCAATTAAATTTTGATAAAACGGTTTACCGCAAGATGACTAATAATTCGGTGTGAGCTACTACGAAATCACTGCCTAGTGACTGTCTTCCTTTCTTCTGATTTGTATCATTCAACATTTGTCAGAATAATGCCTTCTTGGAGAAATTTATGGCGTGCCTGTTTCGCACTACAATACTATCATGGTGATTAATTACCTAAGAACATTCCTACAAGAAAGGATACAACAACAGCATGAATGGTGGCACAACATGCCGGTGGTTTTGGTCCAGCTTAATCTGGCGACAATGTTGAAATTATCTACCGTAACAGGTTAGCTTGTTGCGCCCATCACATTGCCGAAATTTTGTGAATAGTTCAGTGACATACTGAAGTACTCATACTAAGTACGTTTCTGTGTAAATTATTCAACATCACAGTTATTGATTTATAAGTTGTACATAAGCAAAGAAATTGTTATAACCAATGTTCTTAATCAAATCATCCTAATTAATCAAATATAAATAACTGCTGTATTTTTATAGTAGTCTCTCCATAACTAGGCCAAAACTGTTTGAATAGGCGGCACACTTAATTGTTTGCATTTTGACAATAATGTGAACCACGGAGGCGGCCATTTTCGCACAGACGGCTTGGCGCACTGATTCGAATAATGCACTTTTCGTTGAACAACAGATCAGTACACTCAAATAAACCGCTCAATTTTTCCTTTACATAACGATAAACAGAAGGCAATTCTCAATCTTATCTCCCGTGCCGAAGAGGCACAGTTGATAAGATGATATAACCTCGTAAATCAAGAATAAAACCCATTGAACGACATTTCGAATGCTTGGCGATTAAGCTTCAAGACATAAAAGACCGCACTTACAATATGCGGCGATATAAGCCGTGATTTATCCTGTTTCAAAAATTCTGGTGTAAAGAACGTGTCACCTACAGCGGACAAGAGCTGATCATTTCGCACCGAATCGATTGGCCGATCGCTTGGGCAGTAGCGTGTATTGTTATACTGGGCTTTAATTAATCTCGGTGCCCTCCAAAATGTGGTTTCTAAACCCCCGCAGTAGCATCGAAGACCTGGGCCGGGTAAAATTCTGGAAAGCCTTGGGCGCGGAATTCCTGGGGACGGCCATTTTGGTGTTTGTGGGATGTGGCTCAGCCGCGTCCTCACCGGTGCCCACGCAGAACATGGATGCCTTCTGCACCCGGGTGGGGATTACCTTCGGGCTGACGGTGGCCACCGTTGTCTGGGGTATTTGCAATGTATCCGGCGGGCATATTAATCCGGCGGTGACCATCGCTTTTCTGTTGACCCGCAAGATCAGCCTGTTGAAAGCGGTACTGTACATGGCGTTCCAGTGCTCGGGCGCGGTAGCCGGGGCGGGGCTGCTCTTTGCCGTGGTGGATGAGAAGACGTTCCAGGGACCTTTCGCTTGCAACGGTGTTGGAGGCGGTCTGAATAATATGCAGGCCATCCTAATAGAAGCCATCATCACCTTTGTGCTGATCTTCACCGTCTTCGCCACATGCGACGGGAAACGGTGTGATTTGAAGGGATCCGGACCGTTGGCCATTGGAATTGCCGTGCTGATCTGCCATCTCGCTGTTGTAAGTGCCCAGAATTGTGTTGGAATGCCGAATTCCCGAATAAGCTCGAAAATTTTGCCGACAAACCGAGATTTTTGTTTAATGCCTGTGGACAAAAATAGCTGGTGTTTTTGTTGGTAAAATCGTCATTATTCAGTTTTCGTAGCTGTATACTTAAGCACATTCATGCCGGTACTGTACTTGATATTGATAATTTGACACTGCCAGCCTACATCTTTAGAAAAAAACTATTTTAAAGGTTAGCCCTTATTACCTGTTATATATAACAATGCTAGATTGCTCGCACGTACTACTAGTAACGCTGTTGTTCTTCTCACTTTTACCGTCCGGTCCTTACAGTTTATGTTATATGCCCGTACCTCAATTAAAAAATTCTTACTTTAATGTAATTAAATTAAAGTACTATAATTAGCATGTCTGTACATAATAAATCTGCCATTTATATTTACATTTTTAATGCGCGATCTGATTGTATGCATGTGCTGAATCTGCTTCTCTAGCAAATGTTGACCATGTTGCCAGCTCGTCACCGGCAAATGTTTGCCGTTTTGTATGATTTGTGTACTGCGATGTAATTGTCTAATGCTTTTTGCAGATTCCTCTAACAGGATCATCCATGAATCCCGCTAGATCTTTGGGTCCAGCGGTTCTGCGCGGAGATCACTGTTGGAAAGACCATTACGTAAGTGTTCATCATATCTTTACGGAAGTACGCTTTCCATCAAACCCACATGCGTAAAGTTTAAATGCTATACTCCATAAAGCTTAGTGCTTTACTTCATAGACAATATTTAATTACCCTAGTCGGTTTATTCGGAAGAGTTCAGACTTGAATTGACCTTTATCTTCTTTACCGTAGGTGTACTGGGTGGGGCCGATGATTGGCGGCGCGGTAGCTGGTTTAGTGTACGATTTAATCTTTGCTGCCGATGCCAGCCTCAGAAAACTGGGAGAGTGCGCAAGTTCGGATGATTACGAACCCGATGAGGAGCGCGACAATGATGTCAAGCAACCGGTAGGTTTAATACATCCATCCGTGACTGTACCGAGGTTTATGAACACTAAAAACATCGCGCAGTAATATCTTAATTTTTGCAGCGAGTGTAAATCCACAGGAATGGACTTCCTTGCAGATTATCAGTCGTCTTATGACCGCGCTAGCGCATTTGGCAACGATCTATCGAACACAGTAAATTCTTTTATAAATGATAAAACTCCCAAATTTTTGGCAACCGGTGTGAATCTTTAACTGTCTTACCTTGTTAATATTGCACAGGCATTTGGTCTGCATTTCATTGTTTCTTCCGCTCGATCGAGGTTTTTAAAGTAGCATGACCTTTCATCGATTCTGTTTGTTTATTTTTTCCACCTCTGCTTGACGTACTTCTGTGTCTTTCGAGTGTACTGTTCGTTTCTAGCTTTTCGAATTCTGCATTTTCCTGTTTCCTGTTTCTGCATTTCCCTGTTTTGTGCGACGTATAAGCCTGCATGGTTTATAATTATATCCTTACCTTACCTGACTATTTGCTCAATGTTGTTACCGAATATAATTGCAATAATACAGTCGTGCACGTGCGTGTATCACATAAATTAAATTAACATAATTACTGTGACCACTCCAGAATAAATTTATGGTACAGATTAGATACTTCTGCAAAAGATTTTGTTGGAAACATGCATGATGGTCAGTTCCCTTGTAGCGATATTTTGGGTTTGCGGGGCGACCGTTAGTTATTGTTACTTGGATTCTGTGGGTCGTTTAACAGGTCAAGGTACTCACACTTGTCTTCCTCCTTGCATGCGAGTATCGGTACTGGAAATTCTGAGGTGGTACAATGCGGGCACCGCCTCGCAAAACAATGTGCAGCCACACAACCACACAGGTCACAAAAACCCACTACGAAATTATTTGTATTTGCCATTAAAAATCGGAAATTATTTATTTGAACGAGGTTCAAACAGCTTCTACCCTTTGCAACACAGAACCCACTACGAAAACCCACTACGAAATATTAAAGCGTACGAATACACCGCCGAATTTAACGTATACACAGCCCAATTTTTTAAATCACCCCGTGCAAATGTATTTCGTAAGTTTTTAATCCGAACTGTTATCGCAAAATCGGATATTCTAGCGGTTGATTCATAAGCGTCATCAGCGAACTGGTTAGGACACCGGGAAAGAAGTAAAGCCGTTACAAATTGTATCCGACCACGATGAAGACCAGCACCGCCAAATAATTGCCGCTGGCAGTCAAAACTTGAAAACCGATGCTCAGCCAGCGTCTACGCGCTTGGACGTGAGTAACAGTGTTCGTTAAAGCCAGAAAGTGTGAGAAAAATGTAATTGAAAGCACCGCAGACATTTGAGAACCGTCATTTTGTAAAATTTATTATGCAGTGTAACTCACACCGGTTCGATTACGGTGTTCCGTGTATGCCAAATTTCGACCTTATCATGCAAAGGGAAAGAATGATTATTACCATGTACGTGATCGCCTGAATTTGGAGTACTGACCGGTGAGCACAATGCCGCTCTCTGTGGCTAACTCATTCAGATCTCGAAGATACAGGTATGTCGGAATTAATGAATATTACTTAATGTTGTGCACTTGCCGTTTACACAAATTTATATTTTTATTCGAAAACATCGTTTGTACGTGTCTTGAAGCGTGCGCAGCAGCGCTGGATCGAGAGCAGGTGAACCAAAATGCGAAGTTATGCAAGATGACAGCATTACACGCGCTGCACTGCAAGCGCTGTCATATCGTCAGAAAGTGGTGATCATCCTCGGAGCCGCTGCTCAGACGTTACAGTACTTTGCGGAAAGTATGGTCCCGCTGCTGCTGCCACCCGAAGTACGTTTAACTTTAAACTTAAAGCACTGGAAAAGCAAAATTGGCTCAAAAAACATTTCGTGCTGCGTCTGTATGCATTGTTTCATATATTGCACCGGATATTGACAATCAGAAATTTTTCCGCGCCGTTTTTTACTGCTGTTTTACCTGTACGCTACAATACAGCAGCTACAATTGGCGATATGTTCGGCGGAATTCTTTGTAGGCAATTGCGAAAGGTATTTCCCACATCCAGTACGGCATAATTATGGCCGTGACACCGCTGATGTTTGGACTGGTGGATCCATTCACGTGTTACATAGTAAGCCAAAAGCAGAACTTACTCGAAATTGGTAATTTGGATGCGCTCATTACACATTATTCCGAAATCATCACTGTCTTAATTATTCTCCTAAACTAGGTTCCTATTGTGGGCATCAAACCAGGATTTGTGGGGTCCACGCTGGTTGCCGGTGCGGGTTATCTGAGCTTTGGGTGCGTGTATCCGGTAGTACGTAGGCGTTACCCTTTTATGATGTAATGACTTGGTTTATTTGACTAGACAGCCTGCTGCATTGGTCAGTCCATGAAACGGTTTTCTTTATTTGTGCAACGATTATCAGATTTATTTTGGGAATCAACTTTGCAGGTACGTGTACGTTTATGAGAGTGTAGTATCTACTAGGTCAATTAATTTCAGGTAAATGCTCCGCATACCAGCTTTTACCACCTTGGCTCCTAGTATGACCTTTTATACCCCGGCTGGCTACCTGAGCAACATCACTTTTGAGTTTTGACTCCGCATACGTATACGACCATTCGATGCTGTTTTTTAGACGTACTACCAGTATTACAGTACTGTAATTGTTGCCAATTTTTATATCTTCGATGTTTAAATGGTTTGGATGCGCAGCCAGGTCCATATCGACGCACTGCGCTTCGTGCATCCATAAACAGAAGATAAGTGCAAAATCAAAGGATAGATTTATAATTATTAGTTCAGCACGTTTATGGGAATTATGTACCAGTTGTTTTTTTCTCAAAACATTCCAGCACCCATTTTCAACTTTTATTTGGTACCTAATCGGTTTATAATGGTTTATAAGAAGAAGATCGGTTTATAATGAGACTTTTGGTACACCTGAGTCACTGAGTGCATTTAAACTTTTTGGGATTTTGATGCACCCATACTTTCCAACAGGATGTTGCGCGCGCAAACGGATTTCACGTCTACATATAGATATACAAATATTTTGGCTACAAAGTATCATAAAGCATCGCAAAAAAGTGTTTGGGAGTGCGCGACAGCGAAAGTTCCGTGGATGTACCCGAGTTTGGTCCTATATAAGTTACCGGGCCAAATCCCTTAAGCATAGTAATTTTGCAAACATCTCAAAAGATTTTACCGGCAATTTGATCATACAATACTGCTATGATTATTGTATTGCTTTATCTCCAACTTTTTAATACAGCGACATCTTTAAATTGTCATTTTATTTAATATTTAAGAATTCAAAATGGTAGTACGCACTATGCGGGGTTAAACATGATTTTCAAAAAGTGGTATCAGGGGCCAAAGGTGGGGAAAAGGTAAGGCTACAAGTCACAAAGGTGGTTGACGGTGTCGTACCTTACTTCTACAATATGACAATTCATCGAGGCATTTTGTAAAGTACACCGTATGTACGTACCTTAAAAGTTATTGTTGAACTGCAGATTTCAACTTTTCAACACTTTAACAATTAAACATTTTGACAGTTAAACAAGTGACTGCAACTTGACTGAAATGATGCTAATCACATTCGGTTTTCTTTTGGCAGTGACTATTATTGTGGGACTGGCAATGATGTGTCTGATTTTGGGCGAATCAGCCGGTTTGGGATTTGTACGTATCGCTCCTAAAAAAAGCAATCATAAACTATTATTATACTTTCACTCCTAATCCATGACTCTTTATTCGTAAAATTTATGATGGTAAGGAATTGTCTTTCAGGCAATAGGAACTTTTGCGGAAGGTTTCGGATACACACTCGGACCGCTTATCGCTGGACCAGTGGCCGAGATGACCGGTTTCGCGGCCCCTTTCGTGCTTGCTGGCAGTTTCATGTGCATTTTGTCGATTGTTTCGCTATTAATACTGGAAAAGCAACTTGTTTCCGGTAAGTGTGGACGCCACTGAACGGTTTTTACCATGCTCCCATCACCAATATTTGGCATATTGTTGCATAAGATTATATGGTCGTTAATTAGACGCTTATTGTTCCTCTGAATGACATATGCACAATGTTCTTCAAAAACGTTACTTATTTTTCATTCGTACCTGGATCCCCTTTTTAAGATCGTTGCTCATAAAATATCCAGTACAGTTGCAACCAGAAGTGTACCTGCAGCCAGTTTTTATTTATTGTCAATATTTCTGAAATACAGACTGCATGACCTTCTGGTGCATGTAACTATTTGATAGTTGCAAACACAATACGCAGAGGACAAAGACGGAGTCACATATTACGTAGGTATATTATGTAACCTTAACGATATGATCATTAAAAAATTTTAAACGTAATTTAAGACCGTCTGCATGTTAAAGATTTATGAACTACTTAATTTGCACGTGCATGTTGCAGCGGAAAGCGTCAAATTCCGATGGCGCGATATAATAGATTTGCTTAGAGACCGATTGGTTATCGCTTGCTCGATTATCCTGGCCATTTCCAGTTTCACGTGGATGATGGTGGAGGCGACTCTGGAGCAGCATTTAGCCGAATATGAGTATGGTTTAACCGTGGAAGGAATGATCTTTACCCTCAGCAATGCTTCATACGGTTTGACGGCGCCGCTGTGGGGCTATCTTGGGAAAAAAGAAAAATTTGCCTTATATTCTGTACTGTTCAGCCCATTTCTTGGGGCTCTGGCCAATATATTTCTTGGTCCAGTTCCTGGACTAGAAGCCTTAGATGGGTATGTCGATGTATAGTGCAGATATTTACATAACTGAAATGTCAATTACGAATAACCCACCTTCGTCCATTTTTTAGTCATTTAGGTTTGGACATTGCCTGCTTAGTCGTTGTACGGATCAGTATGTCCATAGCTATTGTTGGATCTTCATTAGTGATGCTCCAGCAAGCTGAGTATGTCTGACCTTTAACGGAACAGGTTACAGTGCAAATGTGTTAATTAGCTGTACCGCCTGTATGGACAAGAATGGCACTTGCTAATGTAGTACGTGGTAGTACAGTATCAAATTGCTCGCATTGACCGCAAGTCCGAAACCAACATAATTTGATCCAGTATCTTACGAGATTGACGTTTTATGACCGTTTTATATGTATTATACAGATCCCAAGGCTTGGAACACAATGTGGCCACATTTGCACTCATCGGAGCATTATGGTACACGCCGTATTGTTTCGGGTATGTGCATCTACCCGAAACATCCCTTAGAAGTTGTGGTTAATGCATTATATAAAGTTTTCTTCGTTGGTGCTGCAGGGAAGTAATCGGAACAATATCCGGTTCCCATATTTTTGCTACAAAGGGCTTCTCGATGTTGACCTTAGTCAATGTGGTTTTCCTACTGGTTGGCGGCATTATTTCGCTGTTGGTTGCAATTTGTTCTCGAGACCGTCGACATTATATTGTCAACCTACATTGGCCGTTAGCGTTCTTATCGAGGTCTTTTGGAAATTTCACCCGGTCCCCCAAAACTCTGAGGGAACAAGATCTGAAAATGTGGAATGGCCAAAAACCCTTATCTGTTTCCAGTAATTTTAAGTCATCCAAAGTGAATTACGGGGCCATTTCTGCTGATATTGATTCTTAAGCGTGTTAACGTTGTTTTGGCCTTGTCCTACATGATTCGTTCTTATATCGTACGTACCTGAAATGTACGGATACGTCGTATTACTGCTGTAATATACTTTGCTGCAGCATTTTTGTTCTGTGATACAAATACATAATTAGGTTCTTTAGCGCTGGGCGTAAAAATCGAATGTACTGTAAATTGGACGGACATGTAGTCATTATGTGTCTGATGTCAAAAAAGCCCATAAACATGCGGATACTCGCAACGTGACATGTCTAACGGCACATTTTTAGCAACGATATTTATGCATCAACTTCCCAAGCCTGCTGCTGCAGCACTTTATGCGGTAGGACTGCCTCTTAGTTCTGACTTCCTAAATGGTAAGCGAATATGAGGAAATTAGTGGAATCCCGTTACAAATTCCTTCTAAACTTACAGTACGGTCTAAAAACAGCGCAGAGGAAACTGAGACCGGTAGAAAATTATTAGAGAAGATTTTTGTTTGACTTCTTCCACATAACTGTTACCGCCATAATTTCGTCATGTCAAAACAACCGTCCAAGTACCAAATTACCAATATTTTGAATACTTCAAATTAAGACAAGAAAACACCGCAAAATTCACTAAAACTCGTACAAGCACGGGGTTGTGGCTAATACAACAAAACAACTAAAGCCATAAAAACAAACCCAAGCACATAATAAAAATCGTACCAGGGTAGCTAAAAGTATTAAGAATAACCCAATTAATAGTACAGAAATGTAGTCCAAGGGTTAATGTAAAAGTCATAAAAAATTGATAAAAGCAATAAAATAGAGCGGCAAACACAAAATACAATCCCGGATTCAACGCTGAACCAGGCGATGTACAGACATGAAAACGTTCACATGCAAAATACACAAATTATAACAATTAGGCCGAAACAGCATGCAAATTTTCTGTGGTCTTTTCCGGCTCCTTTTCCAGACTGCACTGCTGCGCACTTTCCGCTCTCAGATGAGTCTCATGAACACTCAAGCAGTGCATGATTTTTGTTAACCCGACCAAAGTGGGCTCCGGTAAGCGAGAATCAATAATGAGCGTCCAGATGCGAGACTGATACTTGCTAAGAAGAGTAATACCGTTCCGGCTAGGGGAAGCGCCGATGAACTCCGCCACAGAGTGGAGAATTTCCACACATTTTCGTAGCATCAATACATTGATGCCGCTAGCTGACTCGCCATTTTCTCCTAAAACACAGCATCAATGGAATAAAGGACACAGTTTGCTGTCTTTAGAATTCCTACTGTTGCCTTATGTGCCACAAAATTCTGCACATCATAATAAGGTCTGTCTGCCGCTTGAGAATTATAGGTTATTGGTTTGTTTTCTTAATTTCAAAAGATGCTATCAGTAAAATTAAGGCTTAAATCAAATATCAGAATGGAAATTCCAAACATACAGATCTTACCGGTAACAACCAGCTGCAACAACTGCATGCCCTTGGCAGCGGCACTCTTGGCCCATCGCGCGTACTCCTCCAGCATCATCAGCACATACTCAACGCCCAACGGACATTCCAACAACATACTACACATCCTATCCTCACTTGCCACCAATGCCGCTAACAATACCACCGCAAACTCCCGCACAAGTGGCCCTTGGGTGCCTAACGGCAGCAGCTGCACGGTAGTCTCCACAAACTGCATTAGCTCGTGGCTGCTCGGAGTAGCAATCAAAAGATCCACGTTACCGTCGGTCACTGTCAGTTTGGATAGCGCCTCCAAAGAAAGTGACTTGGCAGACACATCTCCCGACTGTGGTGGTAGTGTGGTTAATGCGTCCTGCGCCAGCGATGATGGACAGATCGCCATGTGCAAAAGACCCTCCAGAATGGGCCTGCACGTGCTCTCCTCACAATCCGATAACTCTAAGTGTCCAGCAATATTAGCCAAAGTCACCAGGACATTCTCCCGCACGTGTTCCATCGCCTGCTGCCACCACTGACCCACCGCGGTGAAATCACAAGTGGCGACACTAATGCCTGCCCCCTCCTCGTCAGCATCCAACACCATTGGTTCCGGTGCACACTCTTTGATGTGGCGATGATTAAAAAGCACTAATTTACCCAGCAAGCGTAACAAACGTTGGTTTTTACTCAGATGATTCTCGTTGCCGTGAATGGCGGAGAAATTGCGGATACATGTGGAGATGGAGATCGATTTTCGCGCCATCTCCTCATCTGCCTCACTAACCAAGTTCATAAACGGCACTTCAGGAACACAGACTTCCCAGGATGGGTTTTCTCCTGCTGACTCCAGTGCATTCGCTCCCTGGCCACCCGGTACCTGGCGGTTACTTCCGATGAAATGCGTCTCAAAATAAGACAAATCCCTGTCCAGTGCGTCAATGTCGCTCTGCATGTTAACACTATATACAATGGAAGTCGATGACCAATTTGGCTGATCTCGCAACAAGCGGTTCAAAGCCACTTCCAACCAATCAATAATGGTGTCTAAGAAACCAGCCGGCAAGTTGGCTAATTTAAACTGCGACGAATACTGTTCCTCGGAAGAGTAGATGTTCAACATCTCAAAAGCCCAACCCGATTCGGCTAACAGACCACTTTTCATTCGCATATGCAGCTTCCACATGTCCAGGCCCTTGATGTCACCCACATCTTTCGCGGTCAGTTTCTGACGACTACGAGACAGATACTCGGTAGCCTCCACACTGTCCGGAGGGAAGACAATTTCGGCTGCGGCCATGGTGTGATTGGACGCCATCTGGCGCTGCCGGGCCGCCGCCAGTAGTTGTTGCGTTGCTGGCGGTAGTTCACCAACTGGTTGTTGTCGCATATCCTTCGCTGGAATGGGCAGAGAACGGACGATGGGTTGGCCAGGGAACCCAGGTTGGGCATGCTGACGTTCTGGACCAGGGGTAAATGCTTGAGGAGGTGGCTGCTGTTGTAAACCAGGGAAGCGCTCCTGGTTCATATCTGGCGCTCCTGGCATTTCCGGCATCTCACTAAAATATATACATTTTACCAGCCAAACCTAAGTAGGAAGAAACACCTAAAAATCCATAGCGGCTTCAACACGTGGTGGCATGGTACGATAATTACCGAAATGACATCTTCAGCTGTATTAAAGCAGTACTTGAAGCTAAGCGCAAAACTGCACTATTATTTCATTATTACGATTCAGGTAAACAGCACCTGCAATATGACTTACTTAAGGAAGGGCCCAGAAGGCTGCGGTCTTGCTTTCATGTTCATACGATACTCATTTTGCATTGCGTAATCTCCACTGGGCTCAGCATATGCTTCCATTCCAGACTGCACTGCAGGTGGTGGTGGTGGTTGCTGCGGCTGTTGTTGTTGCTGCTGTTGTTGTGGCCAATACATTTCATTTCCTCCAGCCATCATGTCCTGTGGATAAGCTGTCCCAGGCTGACTTTGCTGGAAAGCCGGGGGGAAACCCATATGGACACGCTCTTGACCGAACGGCATTGAATTGCTGTCCCCACTTTCCATCGACGCCGGTGTGCTGGTTTCGGCGCGCGATCGTTTACGATGTGAGCCTCCGGAACTGCTGCCACCCCCACCGGAGCCCTTCGACGGAGAGCGAGCAACGGCCGCGTCAGCCTGCTCGATGAGGCTGTTCACATCAACTCCACCGCGTTCATAACGGGCTTCGTAGGGCAGCAAGAATTTCATATATTGTTTCTTTAACGTGTATGCAGTATTTGGATTAGGTGCCGAGATTCCCAGATAACCTGCGATGTCTTTCCAGTGCTTCGTCTTTTGCACCTGCAAGCACACTTCCGTAGAAACCAAGTTATGAAAAATCGAGATACCGAAAGCAATTATTTTTTAAAAATTTGCAAAGCAAAGTTTTTCCTAGGGTACAATCAATAAATTTTGCAATTGTTTCTAAGATATAGCTTGGACATGTACCCGTTAAAAAGCCAACTCTGTTAGTGGATGATTTCTGCTCACAAGGAAAACCAAGCGAGGCAGCGACTGCTGACGGTGTCGGACTGACTGAGTCAGACTGACCAATAAGTTTACCTCAACAAATCCTCCGCGAGACTGCACGTATTTGTAGAACTTGAAAAGATCCAAGGAAATCTTGCTAATAACCGGTACATTGGTTACCGCTACGCCGGTCTCTTCCAACAACTTCAGTAAGTGATCCAAGAAAGGACGTCGTTCCGGCTCGTCCCCCATGTCGTACAGAACATTCAGCTTATCGACTGACGATTTCTGTAAAATCAACAACTATCACAGTGTACAAAGAATGAGTCAATACCGACATACTGTTGCCGGTGGATGATGCGGCGCAGGTGGTGCACTCTCTCGACCCCAACTCGATGTTCCACCATCGGAAGCCGACAGGTTGGACATTTCGCTATCCGGAGGCGGAGCAGCAGCGGCCTGACTGGCCGATGAGCGTTTGCGCGCTTTCTTCGGAGCGGGAGATGGAATATCTATGGCTTCGCCCGGTGGACCGCCACCTTCACTAAACTGAATTCAGAAATCCAATTCAGAAGCAAGTTGGGACACGAGCACAGAATTCCCCAACAACACAATCCACGAACATGTTTACAACATTTTTAACACATTTATAGTTTTATACCTGTGAATGGGAACTGCTCGATGGTGGTCGACCCATTGACATCGGACTTTTATGAGATCCTCCACTTCGCTGAGCCTCGTCATCCAATTCTACAAATCAAAAGATATAATTAATTAAACACAGGTATCTTGGGCTAAGATTACTGCGACATATCAATCACAAAATAACTGAAAATAAGGGGAATTTTAATACTTACTAAACGTTCATATCACCATCAGGCGAACAGAAAAACAAGCTGGCCGAAACAGTAGTACCAAAAAATTTAAATCTTAAACCATACCCATAGTGAAAACTGAAAAGGACCACACGCGTACCTTGAGGTGCAAAACGCTGATCCAGCGGAATCTGTGACTGCATCGGCTGCTGTTGTCTTCCGTAGGTATTCTCCATCCCACCATATTGAAACTGCTGCTGAGGGGGTTGAGCAGGACGTCCATACTGTCCGCCAGACTGTGAAGCATGCGAAGGAGAGAAATATCCAGCCATGGAGTCTGCGCCAGGCCCCGACGATCCCATAGAAGGATACGATGTCCCAGCAGTCCGTTGCCCGGACTGATCAGCGCCCATATTCCCGTACATCTGCGCGCTGGACTGTTCGGGTGCCATTCCCGGCTGCGACTGCAGATGCATTGGAGGGCCGACACGGCCGTAATATTGATTACTCATCTGACCTTGATCAGAATGCATGCTGGCTTGCGGCAGGTTTTGCCGCTGGTAGAAATCAAACGACGACATATCCATCTGGGACGCCTGCGGGGGTTGTTGCTGCTGCTTACCCTTCCTATTCGATGAACCTGGAGCAGAGCCGGGCCCGCCTGAGCCCATCGGGCCCTGCTGCATCTGCTGCAGGACTTGCTGCTGCAGCTGCTGGGCAGAGGCACGGGGCGCTCCCACAGCCATCTCGCCCGCGCTGCTGGGGGACATGGCGGATGACGCCGCCGCAGCGCTCTTCTTTTTTTTGCTCTTACTTTTGGCAGGCGGCGCCGGGGGCACTGCGGCAGCCGGCGGCGGCGCGGGAGCAGACGGGAATCCACCCATCCCCCCTCCACCCCCCATCGGGGGTCCCATGGACTGTGGCATCATGGAGCCCATCTGGGGCGCGAAATGCGACGACTGCCCCGACCAGTCATCCATGGGCATTCCGTAGGGCGATTTCGCCGTGGGGGTGGGTTGTTGCGAATGTGACGGAGCCATTCCCATTTGGGGGACGTTGGGAGGAAAGGCGCCCTGGGGGGAAAAGGACGACATCCCCTGCCCCTGACTGGGATACATGGGCATACTGCGCATGCCTTGATTCTGGGGCATCTGGCCGTAGATGTTGGAGTAGGCGGATGGCGTGGAAAGGAGATGGTTGAGGGTGGAAGACTGGGAGTGCTGGGGGGCCTGCTGTGGTTGGGAGGGATACATCATGCCCATCTGTGAGTGATACTGCTGCATCTGGGGGTGGTGGGACGGATTCATGGACTGCTGGTGCTGCATGGAAAGATCGCCAGCGCCCATGCCCATGCCAACCATGCTGCCGTCGTCGTAGCCTTTATCCATTATCCCTGGCTTAGATCGATAAGGACTAAGTCAGTCTAAGTGCGTAATTTCACACCATTATCGGCGTTACGGCATTCGGGCTCCACACAGTAATCGCATAATACTGGCAAATGGTAATAATATACAGTCGCGATACCAGAAGGAATCACATCAATGTTTTGATTCGGAATCGAGATGAAGCGTTCCAGAGAACCTTCGCCACAGTGACTTTGTATCAGAAACCTGCACACATGAAAAACAAACGACTTCAACTCCAATCACAAACTAATTTCAATCAAACTGCAACATATTGCAGGTTCGTACGCAAAAATGTGAAAAGAAGTTTTATTCAAAAATCAAACGCAAGTCCACATTCACGTTTTACAAGGTGGCACCGTACCGTTTTACAAGGTGGCAAGTATTTCGTCAAACAAACTCCGTTAACCAGAAAGCCCGGCTGCTAGCTGTGTCGCAACCCGAATCTGGACTGGCTTAACGCGGTCCCAGTGGCAAGCCTCGGCACCTTGCTATCAAATACCGAAGTGAGAATCTCGATCGCGCAGCGCATCGGCGCAACAGTATGTGTTGAACACCGGTGCAAATGCGGCAGCACTGTTGACGTGTGGGGATATCATGGGCTGGGATGTAAGCGTCTTAAAGCGAAGATTTCCCGTCACAATGAAGTCAGAGATGTTATTCATCGCGCGTGTGGTTCGGCCTGCATCCCTTCAGTTCTGGAACCACCAGGCCTGTACCGCAACACTCTGAAACGACCGGACGGCATGACCTCGGTCCCCTTCAGCCAAGGCAAAGCTTGGGTTTGGGACGTCACTTGCCCGGACACCATGGCCACTTCCTACATCGCCAAGACGTCCCAGGAGGCCGGGGCTGCCGCCATGATGGCAGAGGCGAAGAAAAACAATAAGCACGGATATTTACGCGATAATTTCAATTTCTCTGCTTTGGTTTTTTGAAACAATGGGCGTGTGGAGTAAAGAAGCGAAGTGTAAGATGTCTACTCTCGGTAAGATGCTTTTTCAGAGGACACAGGAGAAAAGGTCCACTCAGTTTCTGAAGCAGAGAATCAGTGTTGCTTTAATGCGAGGTAACGCTGCGTGTGTTCAGGAAACGTTTTGTATCGGTAAGAGACTGGATGAAGTGTACTATGTGTTGAAGTGATGAGAACTGCGTAATTTTGAGTTTAACCAATGTTAAGTTGAATGACCCAATAAATCTGCATACTTTCACAGCATCTGTTAGACTGTTACAGATCTGTGCAGTCCAGAGTGACTCAAGACTCCAGGAGAGCATAGTATTACCAGCGTAGGTACATCAGATAGTAGTTCAGAAACAGCCTGTAAAATGCCACCCTTTATGATTTTGACCAGTTAAGCGGCCCCAGTGAATCATTGGAGTGTACCGTAAAATCTGCATCTTCGCCGTATTTCGATCCCTGTTCATCTTGCACTGCCTGATTAATCAGACACCATTGTTATTGTTTATTTTCAACCTTCGCAGGCAACTACAATAATTACAATAGCATTTAGTTATTTAACGATGTTTATAGTGCTGTAGTAGTGTAGTAATAAGTTCACAGTAGGCCCTCTCGGTGCGCACTTAAGGTGCTCTGTAACTTAAAAATTGCGTTTTCAGCTTTTAGTTTGTTGCTGCGTGCAAAGTTACGAATATTCTGTATCTTAAAGGAACACAGACAGTTCCGTTAACTTAAGAAATACTCTAAAATTTGAATCGGTTGGCTGGTTGGTTGAAAGTTTAAACCGAAATCGCACGCTGCTATTACCTTGAACAGTAGTAAATATGCCTACTGAATTCAGTGGATTTTGAGCGATTCTGTGAAAACTTTCGTTATGATTGTCGAAAATTATTGTCGCATCTGCTTCATTTGTAACACGAAAACTTATAAATGATAGGGATTAGGGACACAGCTGCTGTGATAATAATACTAATCAAAACCTGCCATCAACACCGATATAAACGAAATGAACCTTCGGTGGCTATTAATTCTAAAATTAATATCAAATTTAAAGCAATTTATTGAATTGGGATGAAGAACGGCAAGCGCTGCATATTAGGTGTGACGCATAGATTAGAAGCCGCCTGTTTTAGGCACAGCCTTATAGCAGTTTAATTTTCAAAGGCAAGGCCGAATCAGTATCGCATACATTTGCGCCGGTGCAGCCCGGTTGATGCTTATACCGTTCGTGATAGGGCTGTGCCTCTGTACGATGAGTGCAATACTTAAGAAAATCAGTGTGGAAAGATCGGGAGTTTGGTACCAGTTTAAAAAGCCATGGTATTACCGTGCAGACGTATCGTTTAATTTAATTTTTATCTCAAATTTGCGTGAGCTGCAGCACCGGACCAAAACACCGAGGCGGTGAGCAGGCGACGGGCAGCGCTGGCAGTACTTTGTTCAGTGTGACTGCTGCCAAATTACGTGCAAATTTTAAATATTCGAAAATTTATAACTTTGTGTATTCTTTAGCAAAAATTGTATCCATAGGCTTGAAAAATACATAATAATATACACTTTTTGACAGTATGAATGCAATTTTTTAATTTTGATTGCAAAGTAATGATAGGACTCTCCGCATTTACCATACTCCTCTATGGCAAACCCGGTGCTGGCTTTTATCCATTTTCTCATAGAGGACTATGTTAAATGCGGAGAGTCCTATCATTACTTTGCAATCGAAATAAAAAAATTGCATTCGTACAGTCAAAAAGTGTATATTATTATGTATTTTTCAAGCCTACGGATACAATTTTTGCTAAAGAATACACAAAGTTATAAATTTTCGAATATTTAAAATTTGCACGTAATCTGGCAGCAGTCAAACTGAACAAAGTACTGCCAGCGCTGCCCGTCGCCTGCTCACCGCCTCGGTGTTTTGATCCGGGGCTGCAGCTCACGCAAATTTGAGATAAAAATTGAATTAAACGATACGTCTGCACGATAATACTATGCTCTCACTCCAGTTTCACTAAACATGCATAGTTTTATGCTGTTCTTCTTATTAAATATCATCGCTACTTATAGTACTTATGTACTTTCAGTAATCGTCGTTTATCAATCTCGAAATAAGAACTTACTATAATAACTCTGAAGTCCCCAAAAAAATCTGCAATACATTACGTACTCTCCGTCAGGCGACAAAGACAACAAGGCAAATCATTTTTCAAAAAATTTCCAAGTTGGAACGAGAAATGCGAGAAATGCAAGAAATGTGTTTCGTTTCGCTGCGATGGCAGGCTGCAGCCCGTTGGGTGCTTGCAATTACATTGTATTGTAGTATTAAAACTTAAAACTAACCAAATATGTAAATAAAATTCAAGTGGTAAGTAAGTAATAAATAACCAAGTACTTCAAGTGAGTAACTGCTACACAGTACACATATACCAGTCGAAATAAATAAATCTAATTTTAAAAAAACATTTTCGTTTGAGATTTCGCGAAACATACTGCATACTTTTACCAATATGCGGTGTGAAGGTGTGAGCTCTCGATCCGACTTCATTAGTTATAATAGATTCTTTTCTGCACATCGAATTACAGAGTATAATTCAAACACGACCCCTCCCCATTTGCATCCCCCCATTTTCAATAAAGGTGGAAATGTGGCAGTGCAAAACAGCACAATTATTGTGGGAAGATTTCTCATAAAAGTACAGGGGATTTGCTGTCCAGGGAAAGACTGTGACCTTATGTAGGTACTTTGTATTTTACAGTTCAGCGCTTCATAACCAGACCGGTCAATGTCCACCTCCAATACTGCAACACCACATACGAGTAGCTTTTTTTGCAGTTATTATTTTTTGTTTGGTATCTGCACTAGCTTTCTGCTCACTGGAGCGCCCTTGTAATGTCGGAGAATGTTAATAAAATATTCGATCACGGTGCTGTATTGTATTGCAATAAATTGCATTACGTAATTATTTTCCCAAACCCATCATATTGTGTAATGCCGCAGCTACGGATACTTAATAATTAACAAAATATAGTATAACATTGGCGCAACTGTTATACAAATAAATACAGAGCATGTACGGAGATGGTACGTAGCTGCAAGCCTGCAACTGCAAGCGTATTGTAGGTACATGTCATATAATATGTATTGTACATTATTGTTTACTTGGATTGCGTTTCTCTAACAATTGTAATTAAATTTAATACAGAAATACTTGCTCAACGGTCTGCGTTTGTTCTGTTATTGCAGTTTAATCGTTCATTGAAAGCAGATCAAGTAAAAACGTGTGCGCTAATCAAGAGTACAAGTTCGTAAACCGATGTGTCCCAAAGATCGTAAACTGTCGTAACTAACTTACGATGCGAAGAGTACAAGTAGCAACGCATATCTAGTAATCTACATGACAATATACGCCCGAATAATTACAGTACGAATTTTACTAATCTGTTTTCTCACGTAATATTGCGTTTTAATACGTGCAAGGTCAATATCTTGACCATTATCATTAATTTTTTAATTCCGATACTAATACGAAATGCACCGTGCATCAAATCATTGAAATGACAAATTATAGATATGCATAATGTGGACAATTTCCCACATGCATACCGGATATGTAACTGTAATTTGATTACGTCATGGTGGATATATCGACGTTTTTTACGTTCGGGACATTCACAATCTGGATTCGCGTACCGATCACCAGAGACGCGATATTCTATGCGTTGTTCCACATTAGAAAATTTGATGGTTTTTCATTAACCTCATGCACAAGCTTGTATAAAAAACAACTATTATTACGTAACAAATTTTTGAAAACTTTTTGTCAGTTGCAACAACGCGAAGAATAGCGTGCCTCTGGTTCCGGTACGCGAACCCGTATTGCTGAAAATGCCGGGAATGCGAACGTCGAAGTACCAAGTCGAATTCATTAATTCATAAATATATGAATACGAAGGCGTATTCATTAATTATTATCAAATTATATCACATCTAACAATTTATTCTTATAATTTATCCACCTCAAGATCAGTACGAGTACTGCTGCCGTTGGGAGTTATGATACAAAGTAGCTCGCAAGTCAATATTTGAATCAGTTTATTACTATCAAATCAGCTAGAATCCTGTTTGCTGATATATTGTGTCAATCCCAAGCATGCACGGCTAATGATCTGCGGCATATTAGAGTTTGTAATGGCCACTTCATAGCTGACCGGTCACTGGCGTAAATTACATTTCATCCACCGTGTATCTGTACTGCGGAAGCGGGTACCGAAAATCCAGGCAATTATAGAGTGACTTTTGAATCTTTGTGACTGACGCAGTCGAGTTGGGGTTTGATCGACGCAGTGCCACCGCAATCTGCATCCAAACAGTTAAGGGGATCGTCGCCAAGCCCGCATAATCCATTTGATTTGGCCGTTGTACGCGTACGTGGTCGAGTTGGTCCTCCAGGGATTGTGTTTAATAGACTTCGCGATGCACTCATCAAACATCAGCAAAGTGGATATCCAATATGTTGATGGAATAGCACTATATTACTTTTATCGCTACTTGCCATCACTTCACTTGATTTTTTATGACCTTCAAAGTGCGAATTGATCACGCAGAACTGTAATCCACATAAAATGCATGTTTAATCCCTACTATATGTATATCGGAGTAAAGCTGCATATTTTATGTTGGTCAGCTGCTCGCAACTGTTGGAGCACCATTTCCGCATATCATCTATTGCGCACTTGTTGGAATATCAAATTGTCATCGATTTTATTTATTAATACTATCATGCCAGAGTTTTGTTGGATGATTCTGTTTTGAATTTTAACTTAATGCGGCAAAAGTATATCATTCTGACCTAAGTAGTAATAATTTATAATGCTATTAATGTAATTAATTATAACTGTCCATCACGGTTCTTGTCCAAAAATTGTTGTTATTTTTAACCATGCAGTCGGAAACCGATGGTATTGCTGTGGAATCTGACCAGACCAATGAATTCCACGGTTTGGTCAACGGATGTCCTCGAACCATACCGCAACAGCCATACACCATTGTGACGGAGATAACCAAATTTCTGTGCAAGCTGCAGATACTGTGTTGTTCGAAATTCAAGGGGTGTTCTCGCCAATTAATCTGTGTTACGATTGTACATTTGTATTTGCTAATGATTCTTGCGCATACTATTTTCTACATCCTGGAACTGGGATTCGGTTATGCGTCGGTTGGACGCGATGCCAGCATCGGCACCCTAAAGGACATCGTGTACAACAGCCGTTACACCTTTATGGTTTTAAAAAGCGCCATCATCATGGTCAGCTTCCGTATGCGCAGTTGCAGCATACTGGCGGTTGCCGAGAACGTCGTTAAGGAACTGTATATCTGGCCGGTGGACACTCGTCGCACCGTCTCCCGTGTCACGTTAACCTTAGTATGCATTCTTTTGATCTTTGCATTATCCTGGGAGGTCATGGAGTTCATTCGCTGGGAAACGGAGTTTTTAGAGACATGGATGCTCCCCGTGACGCTGTCGATGATTGGGCAAAAAATCCCGTTGTGGAGGCTGTTAGCGGCCTGGTATACGCTGGCCACACCAATTAACATACTGATGAATGTCTGCATGATCTATTACGCCAGTATTGTGCTGAGTATTTATCTTAGCTGGAAGAGCGTTAACCGGCTCATTAAACGTCAGGGTAAACAGTATATTTTCGATGGATTCGAGGCCGATTGGGAACGGTTACGGAATTTGGCGGAAAGCGCCGATGATACGTTCGCCATTTGTGTGTTTGTTGCGTGGGTAGCGGATATTGCCTGTGCTGTGGGTTATTTGGGCTCGGTGGTCATTTACGGTGGAGGGCGTCCCATTGAACAGGCCTACACCATCCTGGGATTATTTATTCATGCTATTTGGAATCCGGCCTGCTATCTGATTCCTTGCATACTCTTTCATGAGGAGGTCAGGGTGACAATTTAATTAACACTGGCCAAATTTCCTTTTTAAATAACAACATTGCATACATACCAAGTACAAATTGCTTTTTTTATATAGAATGTCACTATCGTTTATACGCTTGCGTTTATGTAGATGGCGCAGACGCAGAGGCTGGTAATAAGCGCTACACAAAACGGTGATCAACCAGAAAGATACAACGTAAGTCTGACAGCACTCCGTTTATGTTTGACAGAATATTGCTTATTTTGTAGTTTGGGAGGCAATTTCTAGCCTTGCGTACTGCTTTTTAATGAGCAGCTAAAATGCTTTTGTTTTACTGTAGTAGTGGTATGTTTTATTGAAGTAACAATCGAGAAAGTTTTAACCGCGCAATTTTAAAGACACGCATGCTGTGGTAATGTAAGCCTTACGTTAGGGTTTCTTACTAATCACATTGTATGGGTAACAGCTGTCGGCAAGGAACTTTTGCACATAGGTTTGCAAAAGCAGTGCATCGGAAATGAGTCCAGTAACCTCAAAGCCGTTAATCCAGAGGGTGTAGCAAACAGAATTATATATTTTTACGGAATTGCGTCAATGATAATAACGGCAGCATATTGCAAACTCGACTACTTCCGGCACTCGACTTTATAGTTTTTCCTGACAAACAATACAGATGGCGCCGGCAGAGAAGACCTGGATAGTATTAGCCGCACCATCTTTGTCAGAAAATTTTTTATAGAGTAATTTATTTTTTATATTGTTTTCAAGATGTTTAAGACACCTTTCATATAACTTTTAAAGACTTTCATATAGGATTATTCAAGATCATGCTATAATATGAAAGTCTTTAATATAATACACAGTGAAGTCTGTATATCGTACCGTCTGTTTTATGTGCAACCTGGCTGTGTCATGACAGTTGTGCTTTGAAATACTGTAATAAACATTCAGAGCACATTTAAAATCGAAGCCAAAGTAACATTGTACATCGTGCCTAGTGTAAGAAATATGTAGCAAGAGAAATAACTAGATTCCTGTTTTTTATAAACATATGGATATTGCAGGGGTCCTTTCAAGATATGATCTTGCATTCCAGCCTTATTCTGCAAAAGGTTGCGTATCGCCCGGAAGCTTTCACAGCATGGAAATTTTTTTTCGTGACAAGGAATATGATACTGACGGTACGAACGGACAATAAAACAATTTTATAATAGTGCTATTATACCGTACTTCTAGGTAGTTTTACTCCTTGGATGATATATATATATAATGACATTTTGTAGTAGTAAGTATTAGCAGTTAATACTTATATTGTTCAAGCATACTGCATACTGCAAATTGGGATATGCTAATAGTTAATACTAAAATTGGCAGAATTTTTATATACCGGTAATATAACCTGTTAAGAAAACATCCATAACCCTTAAAGTTTTACTAATTGAACGTCCTAATTGTTGCAGATATCGACCGTCCTTGTCTCGTATGCGCTTGTGCTTGTGCAATTAGTTGGTCGAAAACAAGATGTACAAGGCGTTGTAAACCTTATTAACGAAAAAATGAATTACTCTGGCTCATTTTAAATAATTTATTCTTGATTATTTCTAATTTGTTGATGGTTTTCCCAAATGTTTAACCAAAATGTTTTGTATATTATATACAGCTTTGAGATTTCTAATGCCGGTGTATGAATAATCGGAATTAGACTAAAAGGAATAAAGTTAAACAACATTGTAATCCAGTCACATGGCATTGTAACCTTAATCTGAAATAATTATTGTGAAAATAAGCAAGCAGTTTGAATGTATGGAGTACATGGTATAGAATATGATAATATTATCTGTGGAGTATCGAACAGTGAAACTCAGCTCCCAACGTTTATGTAATTGGCTGGTACCACAAAGTGAAAGTTTGGTGCCGGAAGAGAAAAATTTCACAGTAATTCCTAAACGGAAATGAATTTATTCCGCGTTTCCCAAGTGACTGTGGCAGTTTTTTGAGAAAACAACGATAAATCCTTATAGCAACCAATTTCTCGGTACAAGCACAGTCTGAAATGTAAGCTGTTTTCCCATGGATAAGCAGTATATCCTGGGAGAATCCAAATATAAAGGCAATCTAATTGCTTGAACGTACAGTACAGTACTGTGTTGTATGGTTATACTACTCGTAGAGGTCACATTGACGTCACCAACAGAGTTACTTACATACTCCTGACTTTTTGTAAGACGTAATAAAAATACATACAAACGAGCCGAGCATGGGTAAGGAGTACTTCTATTGCAATTTTTAGCTAAACTTCTAACAGTTTCCACTATCCACGAACTGCGCTAACAATAAATTTGAAGCTTGCAGTAAGTACAGAGCGCACATACATGCGGCAGACCTTTTCAAGCAGCAATATTCCTTTTTCCTTAATTGCTTTGTCTTCCGATCCATTAGCTGCTTGCAGTTTCAAACGATACTGTAATAAAAATATGAAAAATCAACTACAATGCGTGTATGTGTACATGTCTATATGTACAGACTGTGTTTTCCTCTTGCATGAGTATTGCTATTATGCACCATGTTATCTACAGTAGTAATGATTCTAGTTGCAAATTGGTTCCGCCTACACACATCATGCATGGAGGTCTTTTAATACGTTGCTGAGATGAGAGTGAAGATACGAAAGATTGTCCTATTTAAAAATCTTTTATGAGTATGGCTATTTCACTGACATATGCAGTGTTGTAGAGTTTCCGTTATACATCGGCTTGTTCAGTCGGAAATTGCAGTAATCCCATTCCTGCATTTTTTTACAACTAATACTGCAATAGCTATGAACTGTGCTAATACAATGGGAACACTTCGGCCAATTCGCATCCGTAAGATTCTTAAACAATTGTTGATGTCACGGTATTTGAAATTTGCAAAACCCATCTTACGATGCCAAAAATTTAAACTTCGGAAATTAGCTGCAGTATTTTTGGTAAGGTAGCATGATGATTGCACGCCGACCGGTGATGCAGTTATTCATACTTCTATGGAGCGAAGTGTCCTCCCTTTCACAAACACAAATAAGCTGGTTAATGGTGATCTTTCCATTGTCAGAATTTTAAAAGGTCCGGCCTGATAATTAACAAAGAGACTACTCTAGCAATATTAATAATACTCACTAACTGATCACTAACACGGTTCGCTGGTATAGTGATACTGTACCAGAAAATATCGAGCGAAAAACCTCATGCAACAAAAGCGCAATCCAGTAGTAGTATTAGTAATTCTTATCAACAACAGATTATGGGATAGTCATAATTATGTACAGCAATCGTCGAATAGTTTTTAGTACCAAGCCTTGATTAAGCGCGCAGATCCGTGCTTGGTACTGCTTGTAATGTTAGTACTACTGGAATTTGCATAATTACTTACTTATTGATATAAGTATTTACAGGTATTGTCAAATAGAAAAAAACCTGTATAACATAGTACATCGCTTTAATTTTCATATATATCATTTTAAAGTAACAAAGAAGCAGTGCGGCGTACATATAGGAAGGTATAATGACTTTTGCTGGTTAGCATAAAATAATTCCATCGCTTACTTGCTGCCGCTGAATACGCACACCATCCTCCTCCGTTGGCCTAATTTAATCACCATGCATGATGCCTGCTATTACGTGTTACATGTGAAGTCTTTTGTACTAATTTTCAATAAATTTTGCACTTTGAAAACTTCGAACAACAAGCTCACGTGTAATTTTTTGCCCAAGACAGAGGTGGAACCGAACTAATCGACATAATCGCCGCATCCGTAAAGGTGTTCGTTCGGTGCGTTCAAAATGTACTTTACTGCATTTGATTTTCGGACATGAAAATTTTACGAATCATAATAAACGTCTACTCGGTTAAAGTGTGGTAATATTTCAAAGGAATTGTTGTTTCCCACAGACACATTACGTTAATTAAATAAAGATGATTATTTCATATGACATCCCAATTGTGTTATCGCTTCTTATCTTGTCCGCATTTCCCTTTCTGCGTGCCAGCACATACGAAGATTTTGAGCCGGTATGGAAAAGGCTGCTAGCAAAACAGAACAATTCGCGGCTTGGATATTCGAAAGACTGTAAGGAACATTTACATTTGCATGCAAGTAAAAATTAATTTCATCCTGCCTAGGTAACATACATAATAAATGCGATTTATGGTTAAGTAAACGGCAAAGAAAGAATTAAAGAACTTGTGTTACATCATCTCTGTTATGGTCAAAAGATTTTAACAATAGAACTTAGCAATTTGATTACCAACGAGATTTTAATTACGAGCAATTAGATCCGACCTCAAGTCTTGTGATTGCAGGTATAAATCTGAACTGCAAGTGGTTCAAAAATATTTTAACTTAGTTATTTATTACTGGCATTGACATTTCTGAAGATGTGACTAATTTTACACGGTTTCAACCTTATTAATATTATTTTATTTAAATACCAGAAAAATGGGCGCAGCAGTGCAGTGCTGTTTGGTTAATTTTTGGCTCCGAAAAAGTTAACGCTAATATGAATTAAAAATGATAAATGCGACTATGAATAACAAGAGACGCGCCGTTCTAATAATTTTTTATCTATTCGCATCAGTGAACCAGTATGGCGCTGATCGAGTCCAAGGTTATGGAAGTTCATATATAACGCCTAACAGCATCCAGTACTTAATCAACGGACAACCATCTTCTGCCACAACTTCGACCTACCCACAAACCCTTTCGTTGGTATCATCAGCGACCGGAATAATCGACAGTGATGTGAAGTGTGGAACTGACAACCGGAATTTCTGTAATTACCCGGCACTTCCGTTCGTCGAAACCCTGAATATTCCCCAGCTCTTGGCCAGTCCAAACCGGCTAAATCGTATTCCGAGCGGCAGATGCCCAGACGGATATACGAAACATCCCACAAAAGATTGTATCAACATTGCGCCCGCCGTCATCGAAGCGACCTGTTGCGTCTATGTATGTTACTTACTTTTGTTAATTGACTCAAAAATCATTTTCTACAAAAGATTTCTTATGTACATAAGAAATATGATAATGTTTTGTCACATTTGTATTAATTTAGGATACACCTGTAGTGAATCTCACAGATTACTGCTCCAACCGGCAAGCAATCCAGTTTAACGCAACCTTTGAATTATGTGACGGCAGAGATTTCATTATTTCCGGTGCGCATGTTGGATCTCATCGAAATTTACTGCTGCAAAATAATCGAAATTTTATAATTTTATATTCAAATTTATGCAGATTCCAGTGCATGGCAGATCAATGATGAATTCAAGATTCTGGGTGGCCCGTATAGCCTAAGCACGCTTACCGGTGGTGCTGTGTCATCATCGGTCGACTCGGCGTTGGTAGACTCATCATGCAATGTGGGATTCTTCCAGGTAATAAAATCGTGATCATAAACGGTTAACTGCTGAATAAAAGTAGCAATGTTGATCTGTCTCCAGGGCAAAAATTTGCATTGGATGAATTTCCCCAACCGAACAGCTAGTACTGACCACACTCTGTCGGAATTACTGGGAACGATTCCCACGAATTTATGCGGTGGGAATACTGTGTGCACTGCAACGGCCGTGAATTTTGCGGTGTGCCCTAATAATGGATTCTGCTTGACAAGTGTAAATCTGACCGCATCGAATGGCACAATTTACAGTAAGGAAAAGTTTTCTATGTTTCAAAATTTTGCAACGGTTTTGTGCGTGAGTAGCTTGCTTTTCCCAAACAACTACATACTAATTTTACAGAACAATTATTTTTGCTGGCCCCGGGATTTAATTCCTTTTTCAACTCAACAATATTTCCACCCGGCATCGCCGTACTGAACAATCAGGGTCTCAACAGCAGCTACCAGAACTATATAACGGCAACATATTTGCGGAGCACAAATCGTTTAGCATTTACCGATACATCCAACAATGTTTACTTTTATGATCCCACCGGAAAGGTGCGTGTAGTAATGTCAACATTACAACTAATACCAGTTTTCGCATTTAGTTTGCACTTTGGCGGTGATTTCTGACATTCCATTATGATTGTAGCTGCTCTCTGGCCCAACTAATTTATTCGATTTATTTGGCACTTGCGGCACCACTCCATCTTCCACCGGGGGAGGACGTTATACAATCTACATTCCGTATCCGATCTACGGGGTGTCAAATCAAAGCAATCCTTATTTACCACAGCAGCTTCCAGTGTATTCGCAGTTACCGGCATCTTATGACCCTTCCCTGCTATCCGGAATCAACTATGTTCAAAATCAACCATCGTCATATGTTGCTGTCCCATCTCCACCGGCCCCACACACTTATTATGACATTCCAAAACCCGAGCCCTACAAACAATACCAGACACCGGCTCCGCAGTACCAACCGGCCCCCGCGCCTCAGTATCAACCGACACCGGCCCCGTCGTATCAACCGGCACCCGCACCGGTCGTCCCTGTGTATCAGCCGGCTCCCTCACCCCAATACCAGCCGGCAAACCAGTACCAATTTGCTCCTGCACCACCGGCATCCTATCCAGAGTATCCGACTCCACCCTCGCCTCTTTCTTACCAATCGACCCAACCGGCAGTTTATGCCACAACACCGGCACCCCAGTACCAATACCAACCGACTCCGTCACCGCCATCCTATGTCAGTCAGCCGGCACCGAACCCGGCATACCAACCAGCTTCCCAACCTGCATCTTGGCCGTCGTACCCGACAGTGGACGTTCAAGGTCCTTCTTACCAGCAGATCAACAACGGAAACCAGTATCCAATCATAATTGCTGGGTCATCGTACAGCGCACCGGCATCCACGGTGGCACCGTATAATGCCCCCGCTCCGACAATTGGTTACGCATCGCCGCCCCAGTATAGTCAACCGGCTCCTGCGCCGGCACAGTACCAACCCGCCCCTCAAGCGCAGTATAGTCCATCCCCGCCACCGTACGACGCTTACAGCAAACCAACACCGGCGCCGATGTATCAACCCGCCCCACAAGCGCAGTATAATCCATCCCCTCCAACGTATGACTCCTACAACAAACCAGCACCGGCGCCGGTATACCAACCCGCTCCGCAGCCTCCGTATAGTCAACCGACGCAGGCTCCATACCAGTCTCCGTCACCATCGTATCAGCCGGCTCCGGCGCCCCAGTACCAGCCGGCCACGACTTCTGCGTCTTATCAGTCAACTCCAGCACTCGTCACAAACGCTCCCGCTTACCAGAACCCATATAAGCCAAATGCATACTATGAGGACGCTACCCCGGCGCCGTACAGTAGTCCCTCCCCATCGGGCTATTCCTCTCCGTACCAGACACCGTACCTGGTTCCGCCGATGGACTTACCCATGTACGTTCCTTCCGTACCGTCGTACAACTACCAACCGGCAGCCACAACAAAGAAGCCCTATAAAGTTACAACAACCTCCACAACGCCCACGACAGTGAAAAAGTGGAGGACAGCGGCTCCGTCCATTGTTATGAAAATTACGGGCAACGACAATAAAATGAAGCCGGACTTTCAACCGCCAGGACATCAGTTCTTCGACTTGTCGGCTTTTGTCAGAAAAGGTGGTAGTTTCGTGGATTCTGATGACAATGATGATACCAGTCAGTCAACCGGAAACCGTATGGTTCTGATTTAAATGCTGATACTCAGAAGTAACAGACTCTTTTTTTATTTGCTTGGTTTATGATGCGTCTGCCTATGTGATGTTGTAGCCTACATTAGGCATCGCGATCTTGTCCCGACGTATTTATATCACTGCACATACGTATGTGAACATCGACTTGCTTTTCTGCAGCATCTGGCATGCTGTAAATTCTTTTGAAGCTGGGTTCTGAATGTTCCGATTAAAAAATATTTCATATATACATTTTAGTGGGTAAAATTTTATTGGATTTATTGTGCGATCACGCACGCTTATTACCGGTACCGGCGGTACGTGCGTGTACAAGAATGTACTGTAGTACTGTAGTAATGAATGTAATGCAGTTTCTGACGATAAAAGTAATTATATTTAGGTAATTCGTAAAAACAGAATGTGAATGCAACTATTGTCAGTGAAGTATGAAATTTAAAAAACAATCATTCGATTTTGTTTTGGCTCATTCATGAGTCGCAGTTCAGGATTCAATTGGAACATTACTGTAATCACTTGAGGCTGTTCTTGTAACGCGCGGCGGCAATACCTCAATACCGACCGGTATTCCAGCTTTGATATCCAGGGGACCCATAGAAGCCTCCGCCGAGCATACCAGGATACATTCCCATACCGTACAGGCTCATGAACATTAGCGGGTTCATCATGCCCATTCCCAGCATCCCCGGATACCCCATCATGCCGGGAAAACCCATCATTCCAAAAGGTGACATCATTCCCATTCCTCCCATGCCCAGCATTCCCAGACCGCCTCCCATGAGTCCGAGTCCACCCATGCCTAACAGGCCCATTCCACCGCCCATCATTCCTAGACCACCCATGCCCATCATTGGATCATACATTCCCATGCCGTAGCCGAGGTAACCTTGGCGACTGGTCAAGGAATTAGACTGATCGGTGCTGGATCGGGAAGAGTAACCATCGCGATCGGTTTGACCTGAAACAAAAATTGTCTTCCTCGACAGCGTACTTTTGTCATTAATCGTCGTTTCCACGATATCCGTTACAGTACAATTAAGTTGTACTGTACAATGTACAAACTACAAACCATCCGCAGAATACATCGAAACAATATGCGCCATGTAATCATAGAGATTTACTTACGTAAAGCTATAATCTTTTAGCTAAGTTTTATCTACAAGGTCGTTGTAATTCCGTACTTGATGTTTTGGCTCCTAAAGTATTCCGAACATTTTCGGCACAGAAGAGCAGTACGACTGCAAAGGTCAAGAAAAGCCGCATGGTTTTAATCTGGATTAGAATTCTTGTACAGGATCGAGGACACCGCTACGTACTCTGTACAGCTAATAATTAATCAATCCGCGCAGAGCAAAACACAATGCTACGATCAACTTCAACTGATCAGGCTTCGCTTTTTATGATAACTCAGAATTTATTTACTACATTCTAAAAATTAATGTGATAATTTTTATAGGTATATACGTAACATATCGTACAGTACAAGGAACGTTTAATACGGATAATAGAACGTCTCTTATGCAGACAAAACACAAATGAACCATTTCCGTTCCAGTTATTACTGCCAGATTACGACATTAGCACTTAACTTTTCATGTATTAACTCATCATCAGGCTACGTTTCCAGCAATACTTAACAAAACGCGTGAAACTTCTGTCCTTTTCATCTTATGAGGATGTAACTACAACATGTACAGATACGACCGTAAGTGCCTCATACGATGGCTATAAAACATTTTGCTCTTGATAGGCTTCTGGTTCTTCACAATGACAGAATTTACCGCTAACAAATGATCGTAATCGATTATCTGTTAACAACATGGTCGCGGCATTCTGCTCATACGAAACCCATGTCATCGTTTGATAGCTGAAGAATTTACCTGGGACGACTGCTCATGCAGTCAATCTAATGGTAAGGAACGTAATCATTTCAGAAAGTCGTACAATCGTACCTGCCATCTCTCTTACCATTAGCAAATAAATGTCATAATGTAATGCAATGTGGTCCGTGGTTATGCGGTTTTTCTAGATCTGCAACAAATAAAATAACTATCATATTGCTTGCTAATTGCTTCTGGGCCTGCACTGAACGTTCAGATTACGTCCTTATTGTACGAGTACAGAACTGCAAATGTAGACCAATTTACATATCTTGCAACGTGCGCTATTTTCAGTTCAACCTATTTCCAGCGAATGCCAAATTTAATATTTGTGCGAAAAAAAACACTAACTTGCACAAGTTCCACATCAGCACACCTTTTTTGCCAATGAAGTTCATTAAGAAATCCAAAAATTAACAAAACAGCTCAGAATACTTGGATCACATCTACAGATATACAAAGTACAGTACTGATTTTTAGTTCCAAGAGAAACAATATTACGACTGAATTAACTAGAAAACAACGACCAACGGCATTCCAGTCCGGCATGCCAAAAAGGATCATACGGTCTTGTCAAGCCTTTTTGAAGCTCCTGAGAATCGGGTAAATACTTTCAAAAGCCTCGTAAATCTCCTCGCGGACTTTCGCACCCGTCAGCACAACTTTGCCGGAGACAAAGATCAACAGCACCACACGGGGTCGCACCATACGATAAATCAAGCCGGGAAACAATTCCGGCTCGTAGCTACAAAACTGTGCATGCTGCAACACCAGTCCCTCCAGTCGAATGTTGAACTTCACATCACAGCTGCCCACCATGTTCTGGATCTTGAAGTCGGTGAATTTGGTATCAAATCCCAACTTCTGGATAATGCGAGCATATTTCCGAGCCGCCAACTTGGATTCTTCTTCACTTTTGGCACCAGTACACACCATCTTCCCGGAGCTGAAGATTAAGGCGGTGGTGCGCGGTTCGCGAATGCGCATAATGACGGCAGCAAAACGCTTGGGATTGTACTCAGCATTGCGAGCGTGCTGGGCAATTTTTTCAGATCTAATTTACATCCCAGGTTTATAGTGGCAACAATATTTCTACAACACAGAAGTACAAGATTTTAAAGTAGCTGCAAAATAAAACGGGTACGATTTCAGAAAAAACAAAAAAGGAAAAATTATTGTGAAAATGCGTTTGATTTTTTAGAAGGCAAAATTCAAAGCACCCACCACTATCGTTAAAAACCTAAATATTTTAGTACGCTGGCACAACTATGCTGTAGTACTTAATCGTAGTTTTAAAGAAACAACAACAGGGCACTTACTGGAGTTGAGGAACAATTCCGCTGTCCATTGTAGCGGGGGTCTGTGGAGTCATTGGCGTGGCGGGTGGAATTCCCAGATGCGACGGCTGCGAACGATACGCACTGACGGACGGCACCGGGTTGCGCGGCGTCTCTGGATGTGCACCTCCTCCGGAACCAGACGGCGTCATGGGTGCCGAGAACTGTTTATGCAGGTGTGCAGCGCCAGATGCTGACGCGGATAACGGGCCTCCCAGGCGATCATCGTTTCCCGACGGCGTCTGCGCTGTGTAAGCATGACGATCCTCCGCTCCCGAAGGAGTATGCATAGCATAGGAGGTTAGGCGGTCGCGTTGTGGTGTGCTTCCCGGGCCACCAGGATAGCTCCCGAAGATGGAATGGTCGCCCGAGGAAAACGCGGGACTGGGAAGATCCAGGTTGTGCTCCATTTTCAGTCTTCACGCGTCCTGCGATACCGCAAGTGGTTGCTAAAAGACTGCAACGGGATGGCAACTAATTCACTATGTGAACATCGAGAAAGAAATAGAGATATATCGAGGACGTCCGGGGGATCGCACTAGATAACAGAAAGCAAATCAAGTGAGAATGTGAGATTTGGGTTGGAACATTGAGAAACTTTCCAAATCGAAGACTCTCCCGGTTCCCACTCTAACGACTGGAAAAGACTACAAAATACCCTAATTTGGATTCGTCTGTTTGAGCAGTTAGATCATTCAGAAGAAAAGAGCAAAACGGATAAAATAGCTGGAAAAAGCTGATTTTGAAAGCGTTTTTGCCTTCAGAGTTTGCTTTTGAAGTTGAGGAGTTTTTGCGACATCTAAACGTCGTGAGTATAGTGGAGATATGCATTTAGTGGAGACCGTAGACAGGCATCCAGAGTATTGCAAAACTGCCGCACCGTGATGGCAGCCACTAGCACAATGTTTCACATAGGCAGCTGTTTCACGTACGCCACTTACAGTAAGTGGCGTACGTTTCACCCAGGGAAAAGGAAGGAGCCTCTGGGGGTTTTGTAGTTCGAGGGGAGCTAAAGTAATTCATCCAACAAAAATTGTGTTTTATGCGTCTGTTTACGAAAGCCAAACCGTTCAAATAATTTCAATTTTCCCAAACTCCCGCTTTAGTTTCTCCGGAATTGTGGTTTTAAACCGTTTTATCAACTCGTATTGCTCATGTAAGTCACAGTAAGCGCAAGTTACTTACTACGTCGAGCTTTTGTTATCAGCACTTTCAGTCGTTCTCTTTTGTTTTTCTGAATTTTCTCATTTCCATTTTTTAACACACACTAGTACGTTTTCTTCCAGTTTATTCTGGGGCTTGAAAGACTTTCCTAGCGTCTAGTAACGGCGTTGCGGACTTTGAAGCGCGACAATGGCCATTCGCTACGCACCCAAGCTGGTGAGATACTATCGAAGAGCTGTCAACGCGAAGCGACGAACCATAGGATCGTACATCGCAGCTTACAGCTCAGCAAACAGGTAAGTCAACGGTTGAAATGGTAAAACGTGGTTCTTTTGTATGATTCTGCGAAGCAATGATTTGCTGATGATCATAACAGAATACTGTGTTTTGTTAATCGCGGTGGTGTGAATTTTGAGCTTTTTTGATAAATAGTTTCATCATCTTCATCGCTTATTGATGGGCTGGTGCAGCTTTTTGTTTATGAATATTCTGTTATACTTTAAATGGATTATAACTACGGCAGTTATCATATGTTCGTATTTCAGTCATTTTCCGATCAGACCGACTCAAGGGCGCTTTATCGGAGCGGGCGCCAGCGACCACTACAAGAGTTTTTACTTGTCCAGTTTCCGTCTGGGTTCGTTGGACTCCTTTGACTTGTATGTCAACGACCGCGTGCCGTATTCCCCTGTGTGGACGGTATCCTCCGACGACTTTTATGCCGATCCCAGCACCACTACCGCGCAGTATCTGTCACAGATCCGCAGCTGGGAGACCATTCAGAGCTATCACGCGCATTTCCTGCAGGACTGCATCCTGAAGATGCAGCCCCAGGCAGCTCACTTGCAGCAGCCAGACGACGCCCAGCCCAAAAAGCTCACGGAAGAACAGGAGAGAGCTAATCGTCGCAGAGATCAGCTCCGTGAAATTGCGGAGAAGATGGGCGACAGCCTGCCGGATTTCTTCACGAAACGCTTCGACTACAGTGATTATTCCCTGGATGTGGTGTTTGAGAATCGGATTCGGGGACTTGTGACTAAAGGACTGAAGGACTATGCTCTGCAGTTGAATAAATACAAAAGCCTGGGACATATCATCTATGCCCATATTAAGTTGGATGTCTTGAAGATTACCGAACATCCGGAAGACAATACGGTGCGCGTTCGATGGAGAATTACGATGATCGGTGGTCTGCGACCGTTTTTAACATTCTGGAGACTGTGGACAAAGCAAGGTAAGGAGGAAGTAAGGGAGTACCTGGATGGGTTCAGCACATTCGTGATTGGGGAAGATGGGAAGATACACAAGCATATCGCCGATAAAATGATGCCGGACGACGAGAAGGTGACGAATAAAATGCCGGAAAAGCTAGCTAAATTGGCGGCATTTGTTGGATTCATTGGACTGTCATCAATGGATTGAGATTTCAATTGCTGAATAATTAAAGCAAAGCTGTGACATATGAAGGTACTTCTTTCGCATTTCGTTTCTGACAGCGTTTGAGATGTTGGTGTTCTTTGAGTAGATTTATTATCTTCGTGTTCAGCGAAACTCTTCAGTTTTTGAGCAGTTTGTGTGTCTGCGGTTTTGGTTAACAGTGTAAGTAGCGCCTTAAACTGCTGGTGCGCGAGTTTTAGAAATAGAGCAATAGAAGATGGACATCTGAAGGCATGAGATCACCGTAGTCGTATAGCATTATTGTATTACTATAGAACGTTCATACTATTACGCAGATTTATCTTGGTACTAATTGTTGTAAGTATTAAAACAAGACGGCGAAGACGCGTGTCATTAATTATTGGCGATTTATTCCGGCTTTCCATCAAGTATAACGTCTCTCGACATCGCATTCATTTACGAAGTCAATGTTACCTTATAATTTTTTTCAAGCGGAAACAAAAAACGAAAGCAAAGAGCGTTATGACAGGCATTGTAGTATTCCAGGGAAAATAAATAATTTCAGTGAAAGCACCCAAACATATGTATTGCAATGGCACGAAATCATTTCACGTTCCAGTTGTAAAAGTTGCTTCAAAGCGGGTAAATTTTAATAAATAATCAGAAAATATGGCCATTCCCTGCACCGCGAATATCACAACTATTTCGAAGCGATTTGTAAACAGTCAGCCACTCCCAAACAAGCCGAAACCAAGGGGACAACCCACACTAAACCGGTAAATAAGTGTTAAAGATTAAAACATTTAAGATGAAAACAGCACACGCCAAACTGAAAACTTTTCGAAACGAGCTATACTCCAGACTCCAGAGCATCCAAGATCCAAAGGAGATTGCATGAGAGAATTGGCAGATTAGGGTAATCAATAATAATCATTCAATTAGCGCCATAATTTATCATCGCTGTCATGGCTATAAGAAAGCATTGGTATTGGAGGAAGGCGACTGTGCAATGCCAGTAAAAGCTTGCCCGGCACAACAGATCATCGAGTAGTTCTGCCCGTAATTACTATCCCAGTATTCAATCCCACCAGCTCGAAAACACACCGCAAACTGTAAGGTTTGTCCAATATCGAAACTGGGTGGAGCACAAAGCAGAAACTGGAAGCGATCCGAGAAATTATCGTTTGAATTAGGAACGTACTGGGCGATGGTGTCAAAACTGGTCTTCCAATTATCGAACGTATACCGAACCATCACAGATTTCTCAAAGGCAATGTTCAGAACTCGAACCAATCCGGTCACCAAGAAATCAGTCGCCTGCACCGAATCCACGCATACTTTCTGGTTGCGCACCCGATCGAGGTAGGAGCTGGATAGGCACGGCTGAGGAAAGGCGGGCGTGAGATATTTGGCAGTGAAATGCCGATACTTTTCATCCGGTAGCGAGGATATCGGAGTGTCCTCCACGCCAGTGTTGGGTAGCTGATCTTGAAAGAAATGGCGCACTTTCTCAAGATCCAGACCCATGGCATCGGCAAACCGGACCATCTTTTTCGGACCAGCGCTATCTAAAAAAAATAAATTGTTTCATAAAAGTTAAAACTATAGGAAGCATAAGGGATGCACTATTCTATTAGCATTTACTCCAAATATTTTCAACATTACGCTTCAAATCTATGTTATTGCTGTAATCTCTGTTATTGCTGTATTATTATTAATCTATGTTATTATCTTTATTTATGTACACAGTAGCAACTGGAGTTTTTGAGGCAGGAGCAGGAATCGAAAAACCTAAAAAATAATTATTTATTTAAACAAATTACCTTTTATAATAATATTATTTTTATTTTCAAAATTTTATATATAAAACTTGATAACGATAGCTGACAACATGCCAGTGCAAAATGAACATTTCTCATTTTCTTTAACGATATACTGTACTTCCACATCACAAGTATAACTTAAACATATTTTTTGCGTAAGTTTTGAATAATTACTACGAGTAGTTAATGTGTATGAGAGTTATCATTCCGAAGAGTTTTCACCATTCGTATTAATCGTACACACAAAAGTGGCATATTTTGAATTTCCATACTCGTATCTTAATAACATGGTATTATTACGTTTATTTTGTCTCTTTAAGTTTGTAACAGAGGCTACAGTACGCTTCTGACACGCACTGGTATCGTGATCAGCTGCTGCATGGCGAAGACAGACCCGTGGCATTCTAAAAATATCTATGTAGCTGTGGAAAACAAACGTGGGCAAAGTGCCATCGGTTGCGCAGTTCAACTGATTTCAAATTTTGGCTAACCATGCACTACGGGCGAAAACTATATTTACCGCGCCGGCAAAATAGTGCTCGTCGTCATCAACACGGCGTAACCAGAGCAGGGGCAATTCCCAAAGAGTTTAACTTATTTTCTGGTTTTTAACCACATTGTTAAACAAGCAAAAAGACGAAAGTTTCGAGCGTAAATATGGTAAAATACACAATCTATGCCCTAAACAAAAATACAGTTACAGATACAGACGGCATAAGTCGCCACATAATCGATAATACTGTACCAATTAACATCAAAACATCTATACAACGACTGTGAAGAGTATCAGGCATGTCTTCCCGCTGTAATATTGTTGACTTTACTACTGAATCACTTGTATTTTGGCGATACAGCATCCCTACATCTGTGAACGAAAATCGATAGCATCCCGACAAAGCAAGCGAGAATCGCATTACTTGATCAATCGGCCGAGACAACAAAGCCGCGTAGAAACGTTTTCTGTCACAAACAAATGCGCACTCATTCCCAAGATTACACCATATGACCTTGACCATGTCCCTGAATTCAGCTAAATTCGCCGAGTCTCATCCTATAGGAAATTGCATCAGCAGACGATGCTGTGGATGAGATCGCATGCGCCTAGCTGCAGAAATATATTCCTAAAAAATTGCAGACAGTAGCAGCTAATAGGTCATCGATGTGCTATTCTGGAGCCAATGCAGCACATTCTGTCAACATTTTCAAATGCAAATAGATCTGCAAAGATTAATCTTTCGTCGTCAGATGCATATCATCGCACGCACAAGCTGATCATTATTATCAATAAAATCCCATCCAAATTAGGAAGTCCCATCCAAAGAACAGAGAGGAGGATGCTAAAATATTCTATAAGAAATAATCAAACTGGCCATATATAAATCTAAACTTTTGAAAAGCGCGATCTTTTGACAAATTTTTATAACCTTATTCGATCCTGAAATTTCATAACTTCTCTCTTCTAACGATGTCACCTTCCAGACGTCCTCATACAGGATGCACTTGAAGCAAACAAGCTCATTTTCAAAAATTTCTAAACCATACAATATCTCCGAAGCTGTTAAAAACTCTACGGCTACTATTAGATGCATTCTTCTTCTGCAATTAAAAGCAAGGTCAGCAAAGATACAGATCTCTAAACCGAAACCTGCTACCAAAAACTGCCATTGCATCGACCATGGCATTAAGAATCTGCAGGTACTAATTCTTATTAAACCGAACTTGACTCATCGATTTTTTACATGACCCGGAAAAATCTGGTAGTAACCGAATTATTTAATATCAACAGAGTTACAGACAACATATTATATCACACGATTCTTTGGATAATTTACGTACTACAATTACATGCCCTAATTATCATTATGCATCGGTGCATCCAGATGCAGGCAAAGTTAATTAATGTACATAAAGCATTACAAGTTGAATATCGAATCTCAACATAAGTTTCCAGCTCATAAATACACGGATTTAAAAAATTCGCCAGTGCAATATTAACTTTGGCCAAGTTACCACACCAAGGACTTAGAATTAGCTTCGCAACGTTCCACCAAGGAATCGTCAGCTTGACTACTTCAACTGACTAGCTGTTCTTCTTCTCAGAAGAATTTACTAATTCTACAACACGTAACAACACCTCAACCAATCTTTACAGTAATCAATCTTACCAGGAGGTGCTTTGTGTGCTTTCAATGAAAGGCTCCTTCGCGCCGGAGGCACGATTTTGTGAAATTCGCACGAATCCTCCTGATCATCGCCCCATAATTTATACATGTCCTGGTAGCTTCCATGGGAAGGGGAAGAGGAGAAACTGCCCATGACAGTTGAATCGGCCGCCGCCGAAGCGGGAGTTCCCGACGCCGCGGGCATGGAGGCGCTCTTTTTCATGGGCACATCCACCGGAGCGGATCGCGCTGGCTTGTCATCCCCACCAGCGCTGTGTGTCTTGAGGATTGAATGCATGGGCTCCTTGTTAACGGGACTGCTGTCGTGATCCCCGTGCGCCTTGCCATTAGGCACAGCATTCTTCGTTTTGACAGGAGAGACTTTCAGGCTATGCGTCAGATCAGCCTCGGGATCGCGCAGTGCCAGCTTTTCCATGCCTCCATTGAGAACGGACACGGGATGCGGGGTGGTGTGGGCAAACAACGCCATGATAGACAAGGGTTGTGGGAAATTACGGGATTACGCACACACAATTACTTACAACATTTCAAGGTTGATGAACTTGATGTTTTTCAGCGAATTAATTGCCGTGGCGATTGCCAGGCACAAAATCAAGCAAACAACCTGATAAACATCGTGTAGTTTATCAACAATTGATGTGCAATAAACTGAATTGCCCGTGGGTTTCTTGGGCCTTGTTAAACGTCAGCAACGCAAATAGACCAACTGGTAAAATCAGCTGTGAGCCTGTGCGCAAAAACTTTATCGCGTCCGCTCACGATGCGTTTTCGAAATAAATATGCGTCCGCCGCCCGGATGCTTATAACAGTATAAAGTAGTTAACATCTTATACAAAAAACACTTGTGGTATAATAATATTATTTATCATAACTCATAATAAAAACAGCAGGTATCGATCGCACTAAATACAGTATGTATTCCAAAGTTGCGAATTAAAAAAATCGATGTGTCTCTGCTACAGAAGTTCAGCTAGCATCGAAAATCTACTGGAAAGCGGCCGATACATATACGCAGTTTCCTTAATAGCAGCAGCAAGAATACCACGCCGTACTTGCTCCTCCAGTGCACAAGGTCGTCAGAACCGGAAGCAGAAAGCTGCATACAGTACACAGCTGCTTTTAATTTGAATTCGTTCCACTCGTCCAGTTCTGTCTAATACATTTACTGCAGATTCCGACTTTTATAGCGCAGCTTATACATACAAGCATACTTGGCCAGTACAGCTTACACGCGCTTACATAAAAGAGTGCTATTCTGGTTTTCAAGATCACGCAGTGAACACGTATAAGACGTACCGACAGGCAAAAGTCACCGGGAGTCATAAAAATGTTTTATCTCTGTGATCAGTGATCACTATACTTAACCATCCAGACTTAAAGATTTCCTGCAGTACTGGAAAATCTGTGAAGTACGGTATATCTATATAATAAGTACTTGTTCGGGCTTACAGCAAGGAACTACTACTACAGTTCCTGTTTGACTGTTTCCGGTCGGAAATATGGCCAGGAAAACCTTATTATTGTTACGAGTACTCTGAGTTCTGCCAGCTGCTGTTATCTCGCAAGAATTAAGAAAATTTACAAAATTAGTATTAGTCACTTATTACTATGTAATACTTTTAAGCAAGGGCAGGTTATTATTATTATTATTATTATTATTATTATTATTATTATTACCTACGTAAGTACACTGTACACTTAAGCGTGGGTCACCAGATACCACGGTAAAACAGAGGAAGCAGTCCACATGCAATGAATTTAATTTTATTTAGGAATTTCGTACAAAATGTAACCATGAATTATTGCACGATACTACGATACTACTACTGACAACGACTACATTTACGCATTACGCTACTTTCAAACTGAAACAATAATCAATTAACATTTCAATGGCGGCATTCAACTGTATCACCACATATTTCTTGGTTTATTTTTTCCAGAGGATTACGAGTAGACCTCAACGGTGCTCACCAAATGCACCAATCAACTTTACATTAAAAAAATTTTATCATCAGTTATTTTAGTCAACTGCTAAAATAACAATAGAATCCCCGAGAGCCCAGATTCGTCTGACAACCAAAAACTTGTAAGTACTGTACTCTGTACACCCATCAACTCAAACTCGGGTTTTCCCTCTTTATTTCGCAGAGAATGTATACAAACGATTTATGCGGTACGGACTGTGGCACTTTTTGGAGCTTCCGGGAGTTTCCCAAGCGTTTCTATCACCAATCTGTTAGACGGATACAACTGCGACAGCGTAGCCTGTAATAACAAATTACCAATACATAATAATAATAATGATAAGCTAATAACGACATTCATCTGTAGATTCCCAAAATTTTTAAAATAAGCGTAATCTGAATGCTGCATTCGCACCTGCCGCTTAATTATTTCCAAATTCGTCTGCGCTTTAGAAAACATTTGACTAATCTTGCGAGGATCCTTTTCGTGCAGGGACCTTTTGAATTCTTCTTGTACCCGTCGAATCGCATAACATCTACAATGAACTGCAAGTGTAACTGTGTAAGTGGCGCAAATTAATCATTTCTAAGTAAACAAGTAGATTTACTCCCGAAATTCTTTCAATGTCACGTGAAAGCTGCTATTCTGACAACAATAAACGGTTCAAAGCGCAAATTACACTCGAATCAACAAATAAAAGGTAAATCGTAAAAATGCATCTTGAGTCTTTTGACAAAAGATCCCGTATCGATGCAACTATTCGGCAACCCGCAGTTCACACTCCGCACTATCACACTATTGTTACAAGTTATGGCTATATCTACAAGGGCTGGACTCGGACTTCAGCCACTAATAAATACAACATTCACTATAAGTGTGTGCAGAGCATAACAAAAGCAAAAGGGGAAGACTCAAGAATATGACTACGGACGAACTACGATTTCATACCTGTAGTTATAATTCGAAAAACCATTAGAAGCACGTATAAGCTGTTTGTACAGCGCTAAAGCCTCTCGAGTCATCTCTTACAATCAGCCAACAAAATGTTGGTCAAAATAACAAAAATTACATCAGACTGGAACAATGTAGTCGGAAAGATGTTGGGGTGTCAAATTTTAAAACTCAAAAAAGGAAGATTTTTGCGAAAATAGGACCAGAGACAAAATGTATTCAATCGTCAAATTACAGTACTTGGCAATGGCAGACGGATACATTGAAATTAAAGCAGTCACCACTCCGTGGTCATGGTTGCTGCGACACTGCCAACTCCGCTAAAATTAATGGTTAAAACTTAAAACCTAAACAAAATTCAAAATAAAAGCTTAATGATACTTACATCATAGACCATAGTTCATACGTAAACCTAAACTGTCCTAAAGTCGTAGAAATGGTGTTTGTTTTACGAATATGTTAATTCAGAAATCTTTTTGAAATTTGATTTTTAGAGTAGTCACTTCAAGTGGCAAGTGCCATTAAATTGGGCTCGTTACGGCTACGGAAGGAAGCCCCCTACGAAGACGAAGCAGGCAACAGTCATTTTGCCTTGCTCTGGGTTTGGCTCGCAATCATCCAAACTGAACTCTAGTTTTGTTCGCGAGGCATAGGTGTTTTTTCGTTTCCGACTCCACATTCTCCAAAATGAGTTCGTCGACATTTACAGCGGGAGCTGTCCCCGTGAGGAATGAGAAAGGACAAGTTACGATGCAGAAAGTGAAAGTAACGCGATACGTTTCTGGCAAAAGGTGAGCTATGAAGTCTACTCTACTGGTTATGACAGGTTACTGGCTAATTATACTTTGGTAAGCACAAACTTGAAAATACATGATCATTTTCTGGTCGTACCGTTAAAATTTTCTAGGGCCGCAGTTGCTTCTATGGTATAGAAACCAAACAGGACAAATTTTATTATCACTGAAGACTGAAGAGAATTCAAATCTGTATTTTGTTTGTAAGGAAAATGTGATCACTTGTTTCCGTTGCCATTGCAGACCTGATTATGCTCCCGAGTACGAATCCAGTGACGAGGAGGATGAATTTCTCGTCGAAGGGGATGCTGAATCACGGTACAGTCGTGTGAAACCAGTAGTTGCAGATGCAGAGTATGACGAGAAGGACTTTCGAGATCCACGACTGAAGCGCCTGCAGAGTCGGCTGGCGGAGGCCAGCGACGAGGAGCCCGCAAAGTCTGGCACGGACAATCTGCCGTCTTCCTCACGGCGACGTATTATTGCTGAACCGGAAATTATTGCGGGCGCTGATGAAGGTTATTCCGAGCAAATCAACCTCCAGAGAATAAGTCTTAAGGCCGAACAAGATTCCGATGAAGATGAAGAGGTTAGTGTTAGCGGCAGAATGGCTAAGAACACGGAGAAGAAAGGGAAACCAAAATGTCTTTTAAGTGTTCACTCAGAATTTGTTCTCAGGCAGATATATGCTTAATTTTAGTATTTGCTTCGAATTTCAGTATTTTTGTTTATAAAAAGTACGTTGACGGATAATTTGAAGAGCATCAGCGTAATTTTATTTCACAAGAATACTGCGAATGAGTACCCTAGTATTGCGCTTCTAGCGCAGCTAATGCTATTGACTATTAAGTATTGACAACGCTTCGAGCTTCCCAACCTTATTAAGTTTTCGCACAATTGTTGTTGACCTTGCGTCGAACGGTTGTCTCTTTTAAATGTCAGTTTTTGTTGTCCGGTTTAATTTTGCAAGCGTTCTGCATTTTATACGACGAGTACGAGTACTGTGAAAGAGCTGTATTTTGTGAACATTTTCTGAATATTTACATTGCAGACTATTGAGCGGAGGCGCGCGTTGATTCGGGAAAGGGCGCAACAGCGTATGCATGCCGAAGAAGCGGCTGTTAAGTTGGAAGAGGAGGAGGTCAGTGACGAAGAATCCGAATATGAAACCACCGACTCCGAAGATGAAACCAGCGCCCGTCTTAAACCCGTTTTTATCCGAAAGTATGTGCCGTGCGCTTTTGTGCATTTAAGAAGCTGACAGCGTACTGAGCGTAGCACCAGGATATCGCTGTAAATTTGTGACAATGTTTAATAACTCCCAAGTCGAGCACCGGATGCCGAAGGAAAATGTCTCTAAATTTGCGAGCCAGTTTTTTGGTTTAAAGAAACTATCGTGAACGAATTTTTCCTTTTTTTGTGCTATTTTTGCGAGAAATTAACCTGGCAGATATTTTCGAGCACTGGTTGTTTATTTTAACGCAGGCAGTCCATTTGCTTTTTAGACACGACCGTGTGACTTTGAAAGAACGTGAAGAAGAAGAACGGGTGCGCATTCAACAGGAAAGAGAAGCCGAGCGGCGTGCCGATGAACGCAAAGCGGAATCGCGTCGGATGGTGGAAGCAGAAGTGAAAAGAGAAATCCAGGAACAGCTGCAGAAGAAAACTAGTGCTTTGGACGACGGAAAGTTTGAAATACCTGTTGTAATCGATAATGAAGACCCGGAAGCGGAATACGAAGCATGGAAAGTTCGCGAGTTAACCAGATTAAAACGGGATAAAGATGAACGTGACGAGTAAGTTGCGAACAGTGCATTCCGGGATTGTTGAAATTCCGGCAAATGATGGTTGACCGAGTTTTAATATTTGCATATGTATTAGTTTTATATGTACAAGTATTCTCAGTCAGAAGTTTGTTGATCGGCTAATAGCACAAGCTAATCACGAACGAAGAGTGATGTGGTTACATGTACTTGCTTGGGGGCGAAACAGCCACGCAGCTTACCCGTCCCAGTAGTAGGAGGCCAGCTATCCCGGACGAACACTTTCTCATGTTTATGAGCAAATGAACTAATGCGGGATAACAAATTTCCAAATTATTTCTCACTTGAATCGAAATTTGTTATGCATCATAAGCAGTTTGAAGCGCAGTGTATGTCTGCGACTGCCACTAGTATTAATCCTAGCATCTTAAAATACTTCGAGCTACTTAATTGAAATAATTTATCATCTTGTTTCTACGTAAATAAATATGATTTCTGTCTGTACAGACGACAAAAAGTCGAAGAGGAACGGGAGCGCCTTAACGCATTGACCGAGGAAGAACGGAACCAGCGAGCCAAGGCGGAAAGAGCAGTCATTAATAAAACTGATAAAGGAAAGATGAAATTCCTGCAGAAGTATTACCATCGCGGCGTATTTTATTTGGACAAAGAAGATGAAGTTTATAAGCGGGACTTCACTGCTCCGACTTTGGAAGATCATCATGATAAGACAGTGCTACCAAAAGTGATGCAAGTCAAAAATTTTGGCCGAGCAGGTCGGACAAAGTATACACATTTGGTAGATCAAGATACAACACGCTTCGACGCTGCCTGGACGGAGCACAGCAATCTAAATTTAAAGTATTTCGCTGGCAAAGCCGGTGGTACCAAGCAGGTGTTCGACCGGCCATCGGCTAAGCGGAGAAAACCGAATGTATAGATTTAGCTTTAGTATACTGTAATTCTGACAGTGAGTGTGTCATTCCGTGCATGTTTGGGAATTTGGACGAAGTCTGAACTTTTACGGAATGGGCTTTTGTATTGCCGATGGTTGAATTTGTTGTGGTAATATCTGATCATTGCGAAGGGACGGCAGAGTGTTAACTGTTAATCTGTTATGAACTAAAAATAATTCTTACGCAGCTGATTGAGAATCAGTTCTTTTATGATACCGCAAAGAAAAAAGTCAAGAACCGCCAATGCGTAAAGGCCACAAAATCATAACATACAAAAAGATCTTAAATGAAGCAGTGATTAAGACCTCCACGATACGAAAACTTCATCAGTTCGGAACCTGCAAAGCAAAACGATAAGTGAGAATGAGAACAGAAGAATCGATTGTTCATCACGCACCGCTGGGTCACGAACGTATCTTCCAAAGCCGTGGTGCATCCCGTTAAATACTGGCAGTAACCGGCTTGAGCAATCATGGCACCGTTATCAATACAGTAGCGGTCGTCGGTGGCATGGAGCATAGCTCCTCGCTCAGCGGCCATTTGCCCCATCATTTCTTGCAACCGCAGATTACATCCGACACCACCCACCAGTAGTACTTCCCGAGAACCACAATGCGCCATTGCTCGCTCTAAAAAGAACATTTCTCGTAAATTTCTCCACAACAAATAATTTCCCTAAAAAAATTTGAAATATTTCAACAAAACAATTATTGACAAGTTAATTCAAAATTTCAAGTATTCAAAATAAAGTAAGTATAAACGGTTTATCACTTTCATAATTCATTTCATGTACAAAGTGCCCTATATTGTGAACGCACCTGTTATCTCCACTAGCATAGCGAATACTGTCTCTTGCAGAGAAAAGCACAGATCTTCTGGAGTATATTCGCCTTTAGCCAGGAGGTTATCCGCTCTTTCTTCGATAAAACTTAATATTCCGGAAAAGGCCACATCCATTCCTTTCACAGAGTAAGGCATGGGAAGAAACTTCTTTCCATCTCTTGCTAATTTTTCAATATTAAATCCCGGACTGGGATCGTTCGATAGTTTCAGCACTCTAGCAAATCGATCCAAACAGTTTCCTACAGCAATATCAATTGTTTCTCCGAAGATGCGGTATCTTTGCTGGGAGTACGCTATCACCTGTAGAAATTCATTTCCGAACAACTGGCAAAATCCAGAAAAGCTAGAACAATACCGCTGTATTCGAACTGTATATGTACGTCAGAAGAAGGATTCAACTGGATCAAACAAAGAGGCATGCAAAAGAAACAATTCACAGAACGACAAAAAAAACTCAGTTAATACGCACCTGTGTGTTTCCGCCGCTCACGTACAAAACAGTCGGATTGTCGGCTCCAGTCACAGTTCGACCCATTTCGATATCTAAAAAACAAAAACACCGAGGTTGTAAAAATTACTTGTTACAACGTGTTCAAGTTGTTGTTAACTATATGCGAAATTACTCCAGGATCTAACAAGCAAGATTATGTCAAACATGCTTACGCCCAATGCAATGGTTCACTCCAATAACAGGTTTCTCCCACAGCTGAGCAAGTGTGCGCACTACGACGGCGACGGACATGAGCGGCGGCGCCATTCCCGGTCCTAAAATAAGCACTTTAAGAATCACACTAAAAAACTTGTCACGGTTTCTGAAAAGGTTTCCTCACACAGTCACACCTTTTGTGTAGCATAGCACGTCCACCTCATTTGATGAGATTCCCGCAATGGTCAACGCTTCGTTAACTAAATTTAAAATATGCAGCTGATGGTGCTGCGCAGTTTCGTTGGGCAAGAAACCTAAATAAACGGAGTAAGCGTCTAGAATTGCAACTAAACAAAAAGAGTAACCGTGAAAAACTAGTTATACGTGGCGAACGGCGAAGAGTGACTATGTAAGTACTGATTACGGACTCTGTACATCAGTACATGTAAAAAACTTACTGACTTACAGCCTTACCGGTGCCCGGTGGAGTGATAAATGTTCGACGCGGATTCGACAGAACTTCTCCATCTTTGATTATTCCTATACCCAGCTTATTGGCAGAGCCTTCAAATCCCATGGCAATTACCATTTTCAAAATAAATGCAACAAGTCGTAGCAAGGAGTCACACTCGAAGGACCACAAACTCGTGAAGTCAACGATGTCAGCAAGGAATGAGAATATATTCCGTAAAATTGTAAATTACAAATATCTGCTAAGAAAGCTTCGCCTAAACTGTACAAATGGTGTCTCAAAAGTCCATAACTATGTTATGGCTAACTAAGTTATGGCATAACTATTGCACAAAAACTCATAACCAAAAGCAAACCATCAGCTCTGGAAAGGAATTAGAAATTTTAAACAATCGGGAAAGAAGATTCGTTCCAAACAAACTTTATTTTGTTAGTCGACCTCGTGATTGGGTGTTGTATTTCAAACACCCAATGAACATTGTTGTTGTACACAAAGCCCACCTTACTTGTCCAATGCCAGCGAATCGCACACAATCCTTAATTGTGCCGATGATTGTGCATTTCTTGCTTCGACGTCGCGGATCAAAGATGACATTTTGAATTATTATGTGATTTACCAGATTCCAGACTACATAGATTCTCCACACGTCAAGATTTTTTACGGCTTCCGTTCCTGTGGCCGAAATTATTGAGAAAACTATTACCTGAACCATGCCTGTTCACACCGGTGAAATTGTCGTGAAACGCGTAGTTGTCCATCCTTTGGTTCTTTTAAGTGTGGTTGATCATTTTAATCGTATGAAAAATGTGGGAAACGCTCGCAGAGTTGTTGGTCTTCTCCTGGGAAGTTTGAACCATACGACGGGAGAGCTGGATGTTTCCAATAGCTTCGCAGGTAATGATTGGCCGCTTCAAATGTCTGCTCATTGAAAAGTACTGTAACTAAACTCTGTTGACTTTCGTTGTAGTACCGTTCGACGAAGACGAGAAGAATAAATCCGTTTGGTTCTTGGATCATGAATACCTTGAGAACATGTACACTATGTTCAAGAAAGTTAATGGTTAGTAGAATTCACTGTTCACTAAAGATTCACTGCATGCCATAATAATTATGTTCCCATGTTTTTAGCCAGAGAGAAGATCGTCGGGTGGTACCACACTGGTCCGAAGCTTAATTCTAATGATCTGGAAATTAACGAGCTCATCCGCAAGTACAATCAGAATTCGGTATGTGAGGATAATAGTTGGTTCTCCGCTTGTCACCGTTGTTCGGTACCGTGTTTTGCAAAAAAATTAACAAACTGTTCTGAGAGAGTCGTGAATATATCTTATCTTGTGATAGATGGGTACAGTAGCTTCCTGCTGCCAACGTAGTGCCCGCTGTAGCTGTACAGTGTACACTATACTAAAATTAATTTTACAATTTTCACAATATGTGCGATTCGTACATATTGCTTTTAGTCAGTGCTCGCGAAATAGAACTGTTATCGATTATGTTAAACGGCGGATTGTGGATATCTGCGGTTGCTAGAACCGAAAAATTTGACTTTTGCTTTAGGTGCTTGTTATAATCGAAGTCAGTCCAAAAAAGAATGAATTGCCAGCTGAGGCGTACATCGCAGTAGAGGAAATTCGGGATGATGGAACTCCGGTCCGCGTAACATTCGAGCATGTTCCCAGCGAAATGGGCGCTGAAGAAGCTGAAGAGGTCGGAGTGGAGCACCTTTTGCGGTACGCCTTGTACACAATCAGCTCACTGAAATAATTTTGGTTTTGTTGTAAATTTAGCGCTAATTTAATTTGCTGTCCATAGTGATATTAAAGACACCACTGTTGGCTCCCTTTCTCAACTGGTTTCCAACCAGCTTTCCGGATTGAAAGGCCTGCGAACTCAACTGGGAGGCATCGTTTCTTATCTCCAGAAAGTTCAGAATAAAGAGCTTCCCTTGAAACCGGATATCATTAACAATTTGCAAGATATCTTTAACCTCCTGCCCAACATCAATGCGCCTTCCTTCACCGATGCTATGACCAATAAAACAAATGATCAGCTGATGGTTATCTACTTGTCGACGATGGTGCGATCCATTCTAGCCATGCATAACCTCATCGATAATAAACTTCGCAACAAATCGGAAGTTGAGAAGAAAATCAAAGAGAAGAGCGATCTGGTGGCCAAGAAAGCCGAGAAGGACAAGGATGAAAAAGTAACGGACGTTAAGAAAGAGGAAGAAAAGAAGGCAACAAAATAAGCATGAACTTTTGTGTAAACTGCGCTTCTTTTTTGATCTACATTGGCTATATATAAATGGATGTGCGCGTCTCGTTTATACAGATTTCGCAGTTTCAGTAGCGCTGTCAAGCCTTCGCGAAGTTTTAGAAAAAACATACGTCTTGTTGAATCCAGGCGGTTTTTGTTATTTTCTTGAATAAATTTGACAGTCAATAGACTCAGTACCCATTCTCAGTAATGAAACCGGCATTATGCTTTTCTCTGCATTGTTCGTCTTACAATATCTGTAGTTTAAAACGTCGAATGTGATTATGTGATACAGTAGGCGATTAGCAATCATCATATAGCAGGTTGAATTAAATCTAACAACAATTGTAACTGTAAGCGATGAAAACCAAGCACCGAGCGTAAATCAAATCAAACATGCTTCAGTAAACAAGCATAAAATCTGATCAGCTTTAAATTTATAAATCTACAAGTGTCATGTACATTTTTAACATAGATTCACACATTCATTGAATGGAGAAATTTAAGCTCAAAAGTAAAATACTACAGGAACCGGAAGAAAAAAAGCAGAAGTCTAGATTAAAATTTGATATATAGCTAATACTCAAACAATATCCGCGTAACGAAATATTCACTCAGATGTGCGGCTTTTTCTCGGACCAACCTTGATCCTCGGCTTAACTCCAACAGAGATTTGAGGCATTTCAAACGGCTCCAGAGGTGGTAATTCACCGGATACGGAATCCGTGGCAAAAGTAGTGTCAACCGATTTGGATTTCTCAGAAATAGCAGCACGACTTGTCGTAGCATTTCGCTGCATATCGGTCGAATCCTTGACACCTTCCAACTGTGTGATGGTCAATCGCAATCGTCCATTCTCTTCCTTCAAGGATTCTACCTCCTCTAGCAAACCAAATACAAGGTTTTTCAACTGGCTATTATGTAACTGCAATTCTTCTAAGACTTGTTCTGTGGGTTTTGGCAATTTGATTGCCGACGTGATGAGCGCGTCGTTTTTCCCATGTACTAAATCGTTTTCTGATTTCTGAGACACCAGAGTTTCGAGGAGCTTATCCCCCTTAGAAATTTCTGTTCGGATGGCCAATTCCAACGCAGAAGAGATATTGGAATCAATACTTCCTCGAGGCGCAGTATCGTAAGGCGTTTCAGGAATTGAAGTGCGCACAGGACTGCTGTCCACTTTCGATAAAGACACTCTCGCACGTTTGGTACTATTTTGGTGCATTTCTTTTAACAATCGAATCCGGTGTTGATGGGAGGCTATCTGGTCATTCAGTGACCTTACGGATTCATTCATCAAGTGATTTGTCTTGACTGCCAACAGGTGTTCTGTACAACGAGAACAAGATAAAGACAAATTAACGATCTTATCCAGTACGAGTTCTGATTTGATAACTACTTCAAAGTATCTATGAGAATACCGGGCTCACCAATTGCCTGTTCTCTGCACTGGATAGCCTTTTCAAATAGCTGCTTCCTGGCGTAAGTTTCAGCGCTTCGATCCAGGATATGCGCCTGAGAAATTCACAATTCAACATTAATTTACAATTAGCAGTAATTAATTAATTAATTAGCAGTAACCTAAAACTATGTAAAAAATTCACAGAAATTTTGAAATTCACTTAATTATACACATATACCTAACAAATTTCGAATTTCCATACCTTACGGTTACATTACCAGAACAGTAATCATACATTAATCTATAATTATTAAAGAAAGTTCGAAGACTGTATGACGTAAACTCCGATATACGTCACACGTAAACTGAAAAGTATTGTATTGTACAGAGTACAAAGTATAAAATTAATAACCCTGTCGCACCCATAGACTTCCTGTCGTTTGTCCTAAGATGTCTTGTACTCTAACATTTCTACATTAAAGAAGATTTGAGGAAAAACTAGAAGGAACGGTGCTACAGTAGTAAACAGTGCTAAACACATGAGCAAAACTTATAAAGCAGCTATTTATTTTTTTATGCAATAACGCAGTATCTGCAGTAGTATTCATAGTATTCGTGGATAACATCATAGTATTCAAGATATGCCCCTTACATTCAAGCTACTGAAAAACGATTATCACGAAATCATACAGTAAGAGGCAATGTGAAAACTTATTTAAACGTTTTTTGCAGCAGTGCAACACAAATAAAACGATGCCGTCATATCCTGCCACAATAAACACATAAAAGGATACGATTTTGTTTAGTGTTTACACAACATAACTATTAACTGCTAATTCTCCTGAAAGAATCACAACAATTATTACGGTAGTTACTGTTAATATCGTAATCCGTGCTCTTGTGATAATTATTATCATAAAATTTACAAAAAAATCATAAACTTACGTACGTACAGTTAGCATTGGTTTAACAGGCCCATTAGGGTTACGTAAACAAACCGTTACAAACGCCAAACTATAATTTTCCACTGGTTCCAGGCTTCCAGCTAATACATGTCACATGTTGTATCTTCAAGAGTCCCCACTTAACCAGTAAGCTGCCTAGCGCCTACCTTGTTAAGAGGTGCTCTAGCCAGTTCTTCCATCATCCCAGTAGATCCTCAAACATAAATCGTGAACATGACACAGTCGTTTTGTCCATAAAGAACAGCACCCAGAACGTCAAATTCCATCGTTGTCATGTCATCGTGCGACAGTTGACTTCGCTTCTACTGTAACAGCGTTCTGAGAAATAATCTGGTACCAGGAATCTACAACTGTGCGTTCCAAACGGATAAAATATTGATAAAAGCCTTCTTTCACTTCTTAATTTTATAAAACAATTTAAATTCACGATTATTTCTTTTAAAAAATTTTTAAAAAGTAAAATAAAAGCAAGGCTGGTCCAGCTGGAAAAGTTCAGGTAACTGAATCCATGGGAGGAGATGTGGCTATCCGCAGGCAGCATGCGGGTGGCGGTATCAAAACACTAACATCTGACTGAGAACTGTACATACCGTACAACAGTGATTCATGACTGGTTTTTACGAGTACAGTAGTGTATGTATCATACAATGTCATATGAATATCTATAGACTATACAAGACTATACTTCTACTTATTATTTTATGGTTTTCATTTTATTTCAGAGGGTACATATTTTTTCATCGTTCGAGGTTTCCAGATTCCACAGATTTTTTTTTAGTTTTGCAGTTTCGTGCTAGATTCAGACTATGGAAACCACAGATTTGGTATTTCATAAGTACTTCTAGTGATTGCGTTGATAAGTATGGACATGTCATCGATAGCGGAGACTATAACAAAATTCGGTCTTCCCGAAAAGATTCGACAGCGTTTATCGCAACGACCTGCATGCGCGGATGCAGCGGCTGAATTGTATGCTTTATCACGCCAATTGGAATCAGATGATCTGCGGATCTTTGCGGCGGCATGTTCGGAAGGAGTTGCTGCTTGTGAGGGTACTGCAGAAAATCCAGTGGCAGAAGCCGAAGCATTAGTTCGCGCAGCTCGCCTTCATATGGAAGAAGAGAAGGAGACCTACAAGCTTAGTTTACCAACAACTTGGGATTCGTTGTACTTCGCCATTGATAACATTAATAAAGCTACTGGTAAATTGTAAATATCAGGCCTGTGTTCGAGATTGAATATGCAGTTTCTTGAAACTAGACGATGCAGTTAAAATGTTTGTTCTAGTAAAATTGTACAGTAGTCGTTTTGAACTCCTGCACATAATCTGTAAAATGGCTCAGTGTAAAATGGCTTGGTGAGGATGATGACTGGGTACATTTCTCGCTAACAAGCGTATAATTCTTTGAGTTAAAAACTATGCAAATTAACTGAGCTCCTGTGCGTTTTTTAGATATTTATGAAAACCTTGGAGCGACCCATTTAGCCGTAACTACATTGCTGGAGCTGGCGAGAGTGATGCTGAAACTAGCGCGTCCACACGATGCCATACAAACATTCCTGAAAGCCCTCGATCTTAATAAAGCGCAAAACGGCACTCGTGAGCGCCTAGTTATTCTGCGATCTCTGGCTGATGCCTACATACAGGCCAGCTGCCTTGTCGATGCGCTGAACACATACGAAGAGATCTGCGTGTTGGCTGGATTCCTGAAAACAGCACCTGGCAAACTCCCAGGATACTACCATAAATTGGCACAAAAATGCGAAACACGACAGATTCTGCTGCTGCTCATTACCGAACCCACTCCGAAAAAGATGTCCCACTACCATAGCCTAATGTTTTCGTACTTCACAGATCCCAGAGCGTCCGTTGACGGGCACAGTTATGTCAGTTTTCTCGATTTGGTGGGTTTGCTGAGGATGAAAGATTTTGTCTTGGCTATTCAACAGAAAGATTTCCCACGAGTGCTTGATGCATCGGAAAAATTATACCCTCTCTTGGACGAAACGGAAACTGCTCTTGCCGACTTTCTTGTTGATCGGACGCCCCATCATTCCGGATATTAGAATGTTTTTGTCGAGGTAAATGTGGGTGATATGCGTGAAATCAGTTTTATAGGTTTTCATACGAGAGAGAAAGCTTTGTAATCGACTCTTTTGTTGTACTCGTAGTATTCCGGAAATTAGTGTCAGGCTGTCACCATAAGTACGAGTATCAAATTAATTTTGTACTCTTAGTATGTGATTCGCTCTTATAATGCCGTTTGTGGTATAAACGGTTTGTGGTGAAAAGCGACACTGTTGCGCAAAATGTACTAGCAAGTACTGTAAATTGGCATTAATATTTTGTGTTAATACGAGTGTATGGTATTTAGTACTAGTTAATTTCGTTTTAAACACTGTGTGTAAACTGTAGACCAGTAAATACAAGCGTAAGCGCTATAAGCGTTTAGTATAAGTGCTTGCTATAAAATTTGTAGTTCAATAATGTAAGTTAAATTTATAGCTTAATAATGTTTCTGAAGAATTCGATACTCATGGCCCTTCGGTAACTGAGGAATTGTACAGTATAATAATTATTATGGATCGTTTTCATTTAAACAATTCATTCTGCCTTTATTCTTGCTATTAATGGGGCTTATCTTGATTGAGGCATTTTAGACTGGTTTGTTCATATGGGTTTTTATCCCGTTATGGGTTTCGGTTGTCCACTTTGGTACGGGATCACAGCCATCGTGAATAACCTGCAAAGATTTGAAGAATAATGACAAAATGCATTAGACAAGCTGGGCATTTTCTGTGAAAGAATTCTGCCGAGTTGTTAGCACAGGATTTTTTTGCCATCGCGGTAGTTGCAGTAATTTGGCAGAAATTCTGGAGCAGATACAATAAGTTAGGCTATTATATCTCATAATTGTTAGGCTATAAAGTGTTACTATTAGACCAAGTATTATATTTGATTGCGCAGCGTCAGTTGCGACTTGCAAAATGATATTACATTATTTGTTTATTTTATTTATTTTGCTGGTACTGTAGGTATTTTTACATTATTAAGATTTGAAATAGGCATTTCCGAAGCATATTTTTCGCAACTGCTTTTGATGGCTCTAGCCTTACTTGTAAAGTCTGATACGCAGCGCCCATGTTAATTAAAGATTATTCCTTATTTCAGTCTGGGGTATGACATTTAATGATTAACCAAATGGAATACAGGTTTTCAACAAAAAATTCGCAGACAGCAAATCTACCAATCCTGAAAACATGACAAACGAGATAAGCAGCAGTCTAAAAGACAGATTCCCCACATGTTGCACAAACTAGGTCACTGGTTAGCGGTCGAAACGCAAAGCGTTGAATTAATAACCCCAGATCACATCGTGCGCAACAAGCAGAAAATCCCGCTCCAGACTTCCACGTCCCATTCGCCAGTCCATAGAGCTCGGAAGATTCACCAGCCAGGAGGTTCGCGAAGATGACCACAGACAGTTGAATGAAACGAGCTCTTTTTTCTTTTTTCAGTTCACTTCTTACTGTTAATTGATTATTAAGTTTTGGGCTAGGAATGATATACGAGTACAGTACTTACAGTTAGGTAAAAATAGTATTGGATCGAATTGTATCGAATTTATTTTTAACGCTGACTTGTTTCTGCGTTACGCTAATTTTTACATTGACTTGTTTTCACAGTTCAGATTTCCGATAGATATCAAATAATTATAAATTATAATATATCTTGTAAGGAGAACAAGGTTTCTGTACTTCTGCTGTACTTAATTGAGTTTTGTTAATCCATTTGTCTGCTTTGGTACGAGTACGCAAGATTTTACACAGTTAAGAATTATGCACCAAATGTTTTGATTTGTGGGTATGACTAAAATGATGTCTGCAGGTGTCACGCGCACGCACCATAAAACCGGTGTCCTGCACCGTCAACCAAGGATCTTTCAAATTCCGCGTTCCCGAATGCCACCAGACATGTCCACTTTCTGCTCTTAGAACGAAGTTCCCGTTCGAGAACAGGATAGCATGGATTCCTGGGGTAAATTTTCCCTCTGTACCAGAAGTCCATAATTGCACGCGATCGATGGTCCGATAAACAGCCAGATTCCCATCTTTGTCTATTGATAGTTCGACTGATCCACCGGGGGAATGTAAAATTTGTCCAAACGTTAGTGTGCTTCCCGGATGGAGACTGTTAACTCGTGGAGACGATTCACAGGAATTACCGTTCGGTTTTATTACTGCAGAGATCACATCCTGGAAATCCATTTGCACAATGCTTTCATTGAACTGTATTGCTAGTCATAAACTGCTCACCTGACACTTGTGGCTTTTGGGGCATTGCGACAAGTTACGTTTCTTTCAGCTGTTGGCGAAAACGTGTACCGTATCTTTTCGAAAAACCCAGGAATTGTATGTAGTACATAAAAACTGATGTGCAAAATACACTCGATTATATTCTACTGGATACCTCCGTAATAATGTTAATAATAATAGGAAAAGTTACTAAACTCCGGTATACATTAGATGTTTCTGTATTGTAAGTACTTACTAAAAATTGTATTGCACCTTTTTAGTGCACTTAAAAGCTGTCTACAATCGCCAGTTGGTACAATATGTTACAGCAGTACGGTCTAATCCACTGACAAAAAGCTTTTAGCTTGCGGGTGTTTGTTTCAAAATGGACAAATCCGTAATTGATCGTTAGCCGAAATTATTAGTATCGATTAAATTATTAGTATCATTAGTATATTAGTATCGTTACCATGTTTTTTTGTGGACACTGTAAACAGGCAAACAGTTCACATTTCTGATAGATATCAAATAATTATAAATTATAATATACGAGAAGAATAATAATAAATAAGAATATACGAATTATAATATACGAAATTATAATATACGTATCTTGTAAGGAGAACAAGACGATTTTCTATAGATGTAAATAGATAAAAAAGAATTTAAGTGGGGGTAAGTGCTATATACCGTGTGCAGTCTGTACTTTACGAAACGCGCTCCATTTCGACATGCTTCCGATTCATATCTACTAACGTAAATGCTAACTACAAACGACGAATTTCATTCTGAAATTATGAAAAATGAAAACAATCCTATTTTGTACAGGTTATGCATATATATATATAATAAATAGAAATCCAGACATCCGAGAGTACGATCTGACTGTGAGATCACCTGATTGACGCTGCCCAGGATTCATCACGCATTTCCGCCGCGCCCACAGCCGGCGATGGTTGAAAATTACATTCTGCGCTCAATCCGGCGCTCAGCTCTTATTATGTGCCTTTGCATAAGTACTCACTGCCGCCTGTTATCCTTCATCCCATTAATTATTGCTGTTTCCCGCAAATACACCGTACCTACCTGGCCATCATCTTTTTTCCAATAATTCGATCTATGATTTCCGTTGCCCATCAAAGGGACAGGAAGCCCATTCATCGCACTTTCCCCGGCTGTGTTGCATAGCATCAGTACACACACAGGCAGCCCATGTTGCACAGCTGCATTCCATGTGTTTCGCGTCTGGGCTCAGTTGTCAGTAGCTCCGTGCACCGTCAGATCGTTGCAGCCTTTTTTTCAGCCTCCTCTTTCGCCACGATGAGTGCCACGAAAAAAGCTCCGCGTCCGGTGGTCCTGGCCGGACCCAGTGGTTGTGGAAAATCCACGCTGATCAAGCGCTTGATGGACGACATCGGCAAAGACAAAATCGGCTTCTCCGTCTCCCACACCACGCGTAAGCCGCGCGAAGGCGAACAGGAGGGTGTTCATTATCATTATGTCTCTCCGGAAGTTTTTGAGCAACTCATCCAGGATAATGCCTTCGTGGAGCATGCCACGTTTTCTGGGAACCGGTACGGTACCAGCAAACGCGCGGTATTGAATGTTCTGCAGCAGGGCAAACTGTGCCTGTTGGATATTGACATGCAAGGCGTGCGCAACGTCAAGCAGACGGATTTAAATGCAGTGTGCATTTTTATTAAGCCTCCGAATGTGCAGGAATTAGAGAAGCGATTGCGCGGCCGCGGAACGGAGAGTGAAGAAGCGGTGCAGAAGCGACTGAATGCCGCCACTGCCGAGCTGAAGTTTGGCGAAACTCCGGGAACTTTTGATTATACCATTATCAATGATGATTTGGATAAGGCCTACTCGGAGCTGAAGGACGTCATCACCAAAGTCATGAAGGAGAACAGTGCTCTCTAAGACGTTCGCCGGTTTTGTTTTGTGGCAGCTATGTAATATGTTTCCTTCGGGTCTGCGATATATTAGCGTTGTATTTCTTTAGTCTCAGGTACGGTGCAGAGGGCCAGTAATGACGAATTTGACTCTGGAAAGTTATTTAGCTTCGGAAATTTTGGTTTTTGCGCGTGTCATATGAATCTTTCATTTGCCAAGTTTTAAATTTTACTCCATAGATCGTTTGATTTTACGATTCTTTAGAAGTACTCGTATATGCTACAGCCTGGAACAGCTGATCATAGCCTGAGAAATTCGAGATTAAAAGCTGGCTCGGGTTGCGTGTTGACTGGAAGCCTTTTCGGATATTGCAAAATCGAACTCAACATCGTCAGTTTTGTTAAATAAATTTTATGAATTTGATATTAAGCAAATGCCTTATAGTTATTGCGCTTATCCGCACTCTGTACTGCAACTTTAATTTTAGTTCGTTTAAAGCCTTGCACAGAACATACGGTTCTGGAAAGTATAATTTTCCATATATTGATTTTAATTTCAAACAACCATCTGATGACCATATTTCCAAAGCAGAAACTAGAAACGTAATAAACCCCCTTCTCTTTAAGCATATGCGCACGGTTTAGCGCACGGAAATTTTCATTATCCGACAGGTGCGGCCTCAAATATTGAGAATAATACAAACAAGAGAGAATACACAGAGTGAAAGAGAAGCGCAAAAAATCATTAATCGATCCAGTGGCAACGCGGATAAGAGGGCTCAGGGAGTCTATCCATATAAAAACCCATTTCAGTAACAGCACCGTCAATCAAACAACATCCCATCCATCCATGTAGCCCGCCAGGCATCCTACCGATCAATTATCGGACACAATTAACTCCTCTACACTCCAGTCCTCGAAAGTGCCGTCAGGTAAATAGCGTCGCACAATCATGGGGATTTTTCCGGCTTTCAGTTCTTTCTTGGCAATCTCGAGGGGGTCGGTCTCGTTTTTAATTTCAACCATAATCGGCGCATTCATGGCAATCTGGAGTGCACGGGTCCCCAAAACACGAGCACGTTCGTATTTGGTCATGTAAGGAGTCGTGATGCGCTTGTCTTTCGGTGTCGGATGTACCACGCCACTTGTTACCACCTGTCAGACGGAAGCAACACAATTATTATTCGAGCCGTGCTTAATTGTCTGTACATCACATTGTTAAATGTTAATTACCTCTTTTACACTTAGAGTACCCGTATTCACAAACAAAATAAAAATCTGATTCCCCTACGGCTAAAACTACGAACTGATACTTATTCCTGAGCTTGCACCATTTACTGTATGTACTGTACCTACAATAGACGATTACGAGGTACAGAAAAGCAAAAAGCAAAAAAATGCAAGCAAAAAAATGCAGAAAGCAAAACAATTCTGTAAGCAAAAAAATGCAGATTCCATTTCACAATTAACCATCACAATTTACTATATTCAAATCTGTTATTTACCAACGTTAAAAAAAAACTTACTGGTGACTATTTGTAGCTTCGTTGCAGTAACTATTGGGTAATTTGAGATTCAATATAAACTTTAAACACCAAGAAATTACGGCTGAGAGCGGTGATACCAGATACAACTCTTGCATCGAAAAATTAAAACACATCAAATTAAAACTGTCATTTGCACCTAATTTACAGAGCAGTTAAAATACCGCAAACCAAACCTCAGCGTAAATTATATCAAAAAATCCGAAATCGAAAATGTGTGATTCAGTAACCCAACGTAATGACTGAACCATTTAACTGAATAATGGAAAATCATAACTGAACAGTTTACTGTTTACACTTCACAGCTTACACTTTAAAGTATAAAGTAAGTAACACATAACGACGATCAGGGATGCACACCTTGATGAAAACGAAAAAGAATATCCAGCCTTCAAATGTCTTTAATATTAGGAAGTAATAGTAAACAAGATGTAAGGATCAGATGTAAGCTAGAAATGTTTTCTATTAATTTGAAAATTCATGCTTTATAAATCCGTAACTGGTGAGTTCCACAAATGTCTAGCGCAGTCCAGAATCCAGCAAAAGAAACTGACTCCAATCAAGGTTGTCATGAAAGGAGTTCGTCTCTTTATAATCAAGGGAGTGATTTCACGAACTACCAACTCTTTCGTATTACTTATATACCATACAGCTTATCAGTTATCATCGACCCTAATAGTTTACAAGAGGAGTCTAGAAAATTGATTCACCTCAATGGGTTCCTGATCCTCGTCTTGCTGTGGTTCCAGCGGCTCCTCTTCTTCTTGAGGCTCGAAGTCATCTGCCGCGAAATCATCTCCCCCCTCATAATCGTCATCCATTATGACCTGATGCTAAATGGCCGCCTAAAAGAATTAGAACAGTATCCACTCACAAAGCAGTTTTCTGCAATTCGGAAGCTTCAAATTTAACCAGTTTTAAACTAATGTTTCTGTTTCAACTCATTATTTTTTAAGCTATGAAAATACAGTATGAACCAGTGCAGTAGCGAATAGCGATTCCCGAATGGCCGAATCTAGCGATGTGATTGTGCTGCTAAATGCAGCCTAAAGCGGTACAATTGCCAAAAACAACGTAATGATCAAATCGGTGCGGTCAAAAGTTACTTTGTAAAATTTGACCAACCGCACACCATCCACAGGGTGGACTCGTAGCACAGTAAGTAATCGACCGAACGCTTGTTTTTATAATTTATTCATTTTATTGCACTTAATTTTCAGACCCATGGGGCATGGTACATACATTTGTGCTTTTAAAATCTATACAATCGCTTCACTTTTCACAAAAATCCAATTAATATCTTTGGCAGCAGTGTCAACAGCACGCTTTCAGCGCCTCTTAGCACAGGAAAGTCCTATTCGAGAATATTATTATTATATACTTTGTAAGTAAGTGCAGTCCAGTATCTGTACATATGCATCTGTACTACAAAAGTTAACCGGCAGGAACGATTTTAAAAGGAAGAATATCGGAATTACATCCAGATCAGTTAATGCTATGTACGACTCAGTATATTTCAAATTCGAAGGAACAAAACTCCAGTTCAGTCCTCGTCATCATCAGAATCCAAAAGAGCCAACTTCTTAATTTGCTCCTGAAGATCCGCGCTTGTCTCATCATTCGCTGCGCCTCGTTCCTCCATCGCCAATCGACCGGCTTCCTCGGTGATTTCGAGATCCAGTCCCACGTCGTCCTTCTGAATACGCACCTCTGCCACTTCATTGCGAAACAGTTGATAATCTTCCGACCCTTCACCAATACTCTGGATCCACACACAGTAATCAATGATATACAGGTCATTAAGAATGTAACGGTTTTCTTGACTGGAACTGAAAGCGGCTCGAACGTGCAGCAGCGTTTTCAAAATGGCACTTCTTCCCAATGCAACAATATTTTTTACGTCACGAATTACAGTTTGAGATAAATTCCAGTTGCGATACAACGGATAACACAAGCTGCGCCGGATACATGCTCTTAGCGCCGCGGTGACAGAGGTGAAATGATCGGTACACGATAGCGACGGTGATAGTTTCGCTACAGTCCATGAAGATTCCACCTAGAAGCAGAATTTTAAAAGCAGTCAATTACGGCTTCCAAGAAAATACTAACAGTTTCAAATGGCAAATAAAATTCGAATAATTTTTTTAAAATCTGAACTAAATAACGATACCATGTATTACTTAATAATAATAAACAATGCTAACAATGTTTAATGCTGAGTGCATTTTTTGACGAATCACAATCAATAAAAAGGCGCGATTTAGAAAAGGATTCGCAATCTTGGCCTGTAACTACTTACTTATTTTTAACCAAATACTAACCGTTGAATTTCCCATTGTCGTTCGATGATCGTAGGCATATGCAAAAATTATTTCGGCCAAAGTAGCCCACACAATCGGAACCACATCGGGGGAAACTTTTATCTCATGCCTGGGCAGTTCTTTTAAAACATCCACTTCTTCTCCATCAAAATCCACTTTCTGCTCGCCATTCCCCGCTAGTGTGGTCCACCACGGCTGATAACAGCAGATCTCCTCAATCTTAGTGAGCTCTTCTTCATCGAACAAATTTGACCTGAAATCATAATTTGAAATAAAAATTCTTAAGCATTTTTCCACTGCTGGCAAATCAGGCCATTACAAATAATGTTCATCATTGTGGCAGAAATCATCCGCTTCCAGTGCTTCGCGCTGCTGCGTAATTTCATCCGGTGACAAATCATCCACATTTTCCAAATCTAATATCATGCGTAATTCATCGCTCAATTCGCAGAATACTCCCGTTCGGCGCAGGCCGAATCCGTAGCGATGTCGCCGCACTGTCTTCCCCGACACCGAAGCACCGTCGTCGTTTTCAGGAGGCATTTCCTGTGGATATCGCCAATCGAGATCAGCGCCCGCAATGGAATCCACGTCGCCATCCACACTGGCGTCTCCATTGATTTCCACGGGAAGCACCGGCACTCTCCACGTTCCACGCGGAGTCAGGAGCTTTGTAATCATATCCAAGTCCGCAAAATGTGCGCCCGGGTCTTTCTTGGCGATGCGAATTTCGAAAATTCCTGCAATCGCGAAATGTTAGACTGCTACGCAACGCACTTCAGTATTTCCGTTACCGTCAGTTGCACTGTACTCGGTGGCCACGCCATCTTCCGCGACATCTCCCGGAAAGTACAAGCTAAAAAGAAAACGTCTTCGTTAATTCGAAGTCCGCAGAAAATGAGCGCGTGACGATCGATGGCGTATTTCAAACACGGTATTTGGTGATTTACCGCAGATGATATGGTTTTGAATAGAACTGGAGTTCGTTATCCACGACTTCGATCTCGGCTTCAGAGATCTAAAACGCAAAAAGCATGCGTGAGAAACGGAGCTCCTTCCAGTACATTTTGCGAATCAGTTTCGCGTTGTCTTGCGCCGAGTCACATAAAACTGATAAAAGAATAAGTAAAACGAAACACTGCACAATCACTCACCTTAGCAAATGGAGCCCGAATCGATACCAGTATACTCTCTGCGTTCTGGGAGATCTTGAAGCGCGGCGTCAACATTTGGAGGATTTCATCCAATCCAGACAACTGACAACCAACAGAAAATTGTGAAATACTGTATAAAATAATAAATTCTTCAAAAAACTTCACATCAGTAAGATATCAACCAATAATATTTAATAATCATTCAAATCCAGATACCTTAGATTGCAGGCAGAGTGCAATCCAAAAACACAAAAATATTGAACTGCTATCTCAAAGGAAAGCGCAATCGTAGAGGAAACCTAATCTGGCGCTAAAAAATGTTGAAAAACGGTCGATTATGTTCGACTTTGAACTGCTCTTATGTAATCCTCCTTTGTGTTAGGACTTTGACTACGAGGATGCACGCAGTCAAACCGACAGTAAATTTTTTCAGCGAGACCAACCGACAACCGTGCACATGAGTGCAAGCGACTGCCAACCATCCACGGATGGCTGTCACCTGTACCACGCATACAGTGCAAACGACACCTCCCTTCCACGGGTGGCCGTTATGTGAAAAAATAATCCACTTGTGAGCGTGGTTGTCGGTTGGTCTCGCTGAAAAAATTTACTGTCGGTTCGACTGCGTGCATCCTCGTACAGTACTACGGTACTGTACTTTATACTGTACTTATGCATACACAGTATTTGTTCAATGTTCAGTGAGAAGCCGAACTGCACAAAGTTAAAAGTCTCCTGGCGGTCAGCAGCTGCTCAACACACAGCAGGAACCGGAAGTCTGTACAACATGCCGGTCTCTTCCCATCTTTTTCTTTTTAGTACTTACAAGTTAGTACTACTTACTTGTCTTAACTTGTCTTGATTCAGAAAGCTTTCGTTATGATTCAGACCTTAAACAGTAAGAAATAATTTTGCATAAGCATTTCGTACAATAGTTTATCGGCTAGTTCACTAGTTACTGTACTGTTCATTGAATTATACCGTAGTATAAAACGTACATGAACTGACTATGTGCAACACGAGTACAGACTCGGTGCGCTGTAGATTTTGCAGACTTCGTGCCGGCTTTAAAACTTTCGAAAAAAAATTCTACGGTATCAAAACGTGTAATAAACCCCACGAAAAAGAACAAATTAAAACAAAAAAAGCGAAAGGTATCTTATTTTATTTATTTAGGCACATTCACCAGTGGACCACCACGTACTGTGTGCCGTAGTGAACAAAAACGTAACTGTTTTCTATGGTCAAGTTCATCATACTCGTATGGAATCACCCTTTGACTTTTGTTATTATGCTGTAAAATACACTCGCAAATGCAATAGATCTTCTCCAAGCAGGATTTTTACAAAATTTCCGAACACTGCAGAATTATGTAATTCAATATTGCTATGTGTAGTGGCTCTATCTGCAAAAAAATGGGACAAAAGTTTTGGATTGTCATGATAACTAACTACTTGACTTCTGAAATCTACATACAACAGTAGCGCAACTGGCAACGGGATGCCTATATATTATATGCCCAAGAGACGGGCCAAGAGTAAGTCAAAAAAGTTAAAAATTATGTTGTTTGTCAATTAAAATTTTCGTTGCAAGGTGCACCGTTATTTATTAATGCTATCCGATTCCGCACACTCCAACCATTACACACATTTACTGATTTCCAGTCCCAAAAATTACTGTAGGATTTTTACCGGTATCGACGGTATGTATTCTAATCAACTGACGTTACTAACCATACTGTATGGCATATGCTGCTGCCGTATGCGGTCGGCTTGCCAGAGCCGTAACAAAAATTTCCCCCAAAAACGAAAAATCTTGACGAACCGGTTTTGCATGTAGGCAAGTGATACGTACTGAACATTTGAGTGAGTAACATCAAACTTCCGTTCAAATCATGCCGGCCATAACGCCAATAATGGTTGAACAGTTTTTGCGCCGTAAGCAATCAGCGTACTCAATAGACAGGTAGAATACTACAGTAGCAGTAACAAATAAAATGTCTACAGCCTACTTATACATGCTACACACTACCGTGGTGCTTAGCATAAGCCATTGTTGACGGAAGGTTTTTGTCCGAGTGCCAGGTAGAAAAAAATCTTCATTAGTAGTCCTTACTCTAGAAAATAGCCGTTCCGTCTTGCGCTAATGCAGTTTTATACTGAGGTGTTTAATCTCTCCTGCTCCACCAATTATCGATCTCTTATCTGCCGCGGGTTTTTTATATATGCGGCCAAGAATTCTTAGCCTTCTTGTCAAATGTTCCTTACTGGTTGTAAAATTCAGAAACATCGGGCGCCTTTCCGAACAGCTGTCGTAATATAGTAATATATCCCCAAACCCCCTTAATAATGTGTAAAATAAGATAACTTCAAAAGTAAATTTTTTTTCCATCCTATTGCTACCGGATTCTATACCATGAATTCCGACAATTTCTCGATATCGGAAACCTTGACTGTGATTTTACGAAATGAGAGCCGGAAGCGATTGTTTCGGGATATCAGCCTCACACAAACTTTATTTGGACCAATATTCTTCATAATGTTTGCAGTTGTACTACATGGTAAGTAAATGTGGATAACAAATTACGGGTTATGCACAATATTACAAAGATCTCAAGTTTTAATTTCCAAAAGGCATCGAACGCATATTTGTATTGCGTCTTTACAGTGCAACTTCCGACTGCGTTATACTTCGTCACGTGGATGACCCTGACAGGTTTGATTGGGTTCTGTTTTACACATTTCCTAATGCCCAAAACATCCGCACACCCCAGTCTGGTGCCCTGTTTGTACATATGCATGCTGTCCTGTGGACTGGCACTGGGTGTGGCTACCGTGGTGCAGGGAACACTACTGCTAACCTCTCCGCATTTGCGGAAAAATACTAAAATTACCGGATCACGGATTGCCGACGGACCGGAAGTGGCCGGCTTGGGACCGGCAATCGGCATCGGCGCTTTACTGACATCTTTGGAACTTGTTGCCGTAATTATGGTCATACGTGATTTAATTGGATGTTCACGATACGGATTACCACAGTCTAGACGGAATTTGACAGACACAAGACCGTAAGTACCACTTGCCGGCGCACCCGTATCGGGGAAATACAATTTTACACAAATGTTTTTAACCCACAGCTTACACTATGCTTCATAGTATATTTTACGTACTCCAATGTATAAGTAGAATAGTCAATCTTGAGCAGTTTTGGTAGATCCTAACAGGATTATCGTTCAATACCATGGTCAGTTTCTTTTGTTTGATTCAGTTAAAAATTATGCTTTTTAAGTTTTTACAGCGCACTGATAGAAGATTACAACGGGATTTAACCTTAAACGTATGCGCATTATTGTGAACTGCAGAATAATCCGCACAACAGTTGATTATCGAATTGTACGCGATCCGCGAGGACTGGCCATCGGACTGCCGACCGAGTTGCACGCGTTAAATGCTCTGAAGATGGACAGTCCACCGGGATACGACCAGATTCCACCGCCGACCTACGACGAAGCGGTGCAGACGGAGGAGATGGCAGGCGAACAGACTCCTCGGAATACCACTTGAATAAAGCTCAAGCATGCAGAGCTCAAACGCTTTTTAATAAGAGAGCTCCGCTCACACTCTGATTCTTCCGGCTGGTCAAACCTTCGCTGAGCAATAAGTAATTGTCAAACACATTAATTTGTCGTATACAGAGTAGTTACAATAAACATTAAAATATACGATAAAGAATGTGTAACTGTGAAGAAAAGTTGAATGGTTCCGTAATATATTGCTGATCCCGGGTCTTTGATCGAAGCGGTTGCACTAGATGTACATTTTCTTCGATAAGAAAAAACCACCACAATTCGAACAACGCATAAGTTTCGTCTTCTAACTATAATTGTTAAGGTGTTTCGGTAATTCCTAAGCCAACCTGGTAACATCAACAACGATTTATTTCTAACAAAACGAAGATTCTAAATGCACCAACGTGAGCGGTAGGCGAGAAATATTTAGAAACAACTGAACAAGAACCTTTACACATAATAAAAAAATATCAGCGGTGCAAATAATATTCAGTTAAAGAAAGGTAAAAATACGAACACATACTACTGTCATTTAAAAACAGTTTACAGTTATGTACACTCAGTAAGCTACCAACGTTAACTGATCCAGATATTGTACGAGACATTAACCACATTAGCTCGGCCAGCACATGGGCCAATACATGTTCAAATTCAACTTCATGGAGAGGACGGCAGAGAATTCCCGAGCAACTGCGCTAGCGTCTTCTTGGTGCGCAGCGCAGTTGACCTTACAGCAGGTATATCGTGCCACAATTCCTCCATCAACGAAACATATTTACCCGTTACCTGCAACGAAAAGCAAGCCAACTGTAAATGTGCACCAAATGAATACGTACTTACTTCCAGTTATAATGTGTGGTAGACTGGCGCAAATATTGTCAAGATGTCCAGATTCTCAATGTTTTTGAATTTCTTACAAGTATATCCCTATAAATTACTGCAGAAGTAATTATCGACACAGCATACTTCGTGTTTGCGCCAACAATCAAGGATCGGTGGCCGCTGCCCATGTTGGCAGACCGGTCGGCACCTCAAGTCATCCATTCTTAAGCGAAGTTTCTCTAACTTCTCTGGACAACATACAACTTGACGCATTTCCTCCAATTTCGGATCAGTTCCCACCATACCGTGAAACGGAAGCTGGTAGCCTTCACAAACTCCTACAGGCACACACCGATTACTAAAATACCGCACTTGGTGGTGTAATATCCCTTTGTGCAGTACCGGAAACATCAGCACATCGAGCAATTTCCCACAACACCAATCCCAGAGAATAAATATCGCAACGCTTGTAGGAATCGAATTCCTGTCGGCGGATGGAATCGTCCAACAGTTCCGGAGGCATATACCGCCGTGTTCCTTCTCGTTTTGTTAAATCGTGCATTTTGCTGCCCATACTGTCCTCCCTTTTAAAATGAAAGCATTCCCAGTTATTGCCGATGCATAAACGCAATGCTTTCCGTTTTTTGGACAAATTCATCACTTGCTTCTACCTGATAGCCAGCCCAAAATCGGCGATCACGCAAGTGACCCCGTCCATCTTGATGAGGATGTTTTTGCTCTTCATGTCACGATGTGCAATGGACGGTTTGGCTTCAGTGCCGCGTATTCCCGAATGCAAATGATCCAGTCCGCATGCGATCGTGTGGGCCATTTTCACCATAGTGGCTATACTTATCCGACTTTGCAACTGCCGTAAGTGGTCGTATAGCGAAGCCATGTGGAAATCCGTTATCAGCAGCATTTGTGTGCAGGAACCAGTTCCGCCAATATCGGCAGCAATAAATCCTACAGTCAAAATTAACAGATTACGCTATATTATCGCTATATTATATTTTGAAGTTGTAGTTTCGTTTCAGTTTTTGAAAACGCATTTCTAATGAGACATGATTTGACCATTAATTTTACCTTACTTTCATACACCTGACTGTGCAAAAACAAACACAATTGTGTACGTTCTAGTCAGATCCGTGTCAGCGCAAACCATTAGAGCTTCCTTTTAGACATGTGAACGAAAAATTACAACTTTACCCCGGTTACTTTACAGTTTAAAATATCTTTATTAATGACATTTTGGTTGTCCAAGAGCTTGTTATGCGGTTATGTCGTGTCACCGTGGCGGCAACTAAACGTTGCTATTTTGTCGACATACACAACCTACTTGTCACGCTGCTGTTGACTTATCATTTCACGGCGGCGCCAGAAACGTTTACATTAGCACATTTTACGGTTAACTACATGTCTACGTCGGTGTTCGTGCCACTGAAACGACCGTACACTCACCGAGGATGTTTTCATGCCGCAACATACACGTCTGGTAGAGATCTTTCTCCGATTCCCAGCTGGCATCGTCCAGTGTTGAAAAGATCTTCACCGCCACTTTTTCATCACGGTACCGTGCCAGCCAGACCTCGCCGTAACGCCCGCGGCCAATATTCTGCTGGAACTGCAGTTGCCGGGCCACTGTTGTCTGCACCAAGCGCGGAAGTCCAGAACCGGAACCGGAAGTCATCGACTGTTCCATCTGGTCTTTGGCCGCACTGGACGATGAGAACAGCTTCAAAGGTCCCATTAAGGATTGACTTTCCAATGCGGACAACGGATCGCCGGGAATTTTCCTTCTCCTAAAACCAACCGGATGAATAGGCAGCTGTTGCGCAAAATTAACGACAAATAAATTAATTTTTTTAGTGAAGCAGTACATGTTAACTTAAGAGTCATAAAAAAAGCAGTACATGCTAAGAGTAATAGAGATACACATAGTTCCATAGCAGTACATATCTAAACCCATTTTCGAGAGCGATTAAAAAACTTTTTTCCAATTTAACATTTTGATCTCTCGATAGTTAAATTCAGTAGAAGTAATTCTAAGAACGTTGTGCAAGTACTTAAGCTTTCGCACCGGTAACAACAATAAAATCCAAACGCGCAGGCGATAGCCACAACGAAGAAACTAACAGCGGCAGCAATGGTCCAGGTGAGATACTTGTGAGCGGGAACCATTTCCGGCGCCGGTGGTAAGGTGGGCAAGTGTGGCTCCAAGAATTCGTTGCATCTGTCTTCGTGGTCACAACAAACGATCCACGAGCGGACACCTGGGCGGTGCGGAACCTTGTTGCCTTTACACTGCATAATACTGTTTTCATCCTCTCCCAAGCAGCCGTATTCGCGAATTTCCTCGATGTGCCCTGACGCATCTTTGCTCTCCCTGATCGATGCAAAACATTTACTTTTCCCCTTGGCCGTGCACGTATTGTTGACCGCATGCTCCGGACAGCCTGCATCTTCTTCGCAGAAACAATCCAACGCGAAAACTGCAAAACCATCCAAATCGAGTTGCGTTGCATGAAAATGATTACACATGCACTACGTACTTGGAGCAACTTGGCAATTAGTTTCTAAATTTCGAAATCATAAATGAGAAAGTCTTGTACTCCATGTTCTCTCACTTAATCCGGTCGGCGACTCGGCAGCAACACAATCTATACAGTTTATTAAGTTTTAAATAAGGTACAAGTATAAAAACCACATATATTTGCATTCGGCATTCCCTTTCCATATCGTAGGTCACGCTAGATGCAGGAAGTCACAACATCAATAAAGAAATGCACAGCAGTAACGTCTCAATCCCTTTCACTGCTAATCTTATCACGGTGATTTAAACCGCAATACAGAAGAAAAATGGCATCGTAATTCATTCCGAAGAATTATTTACAATATCAGCGTTGCGTTTTACGCTGTACAATATCACACATCAGTTTATCTAATTATCCTGCAACTAGCTGCACAAACAGATGCATTGTAAGTACTGTATCTCTACAGTAGTTCTCTACCTTCTGTAGGTACTGTACGTACTGTAAAGTTCACTACAATATTGGCTGACAACAATTCAGTTGCATTTTAACTGGCTCAACCAGGCATTACATAATTATTATACTATCAATCTATAACCAGGTAAGTTCAAGTTTTTAAAATCCAAGGAGCTGAATTAAAAAAAAATGTATGAGAAAAATATTCTCCACCAAAAACGATGCTCCGCAAAAATTTTGTGAACATTTATGCCCAATAAGCATTTTTATCATTCCACCATCTGTTTATAAGTGACCAGTACTGGTTGGCAGTAGTGGTTTACAGGTGTAGTGTTTAGGTTTTGCATAACACAAACATTTCGTTGCTCACCGGGAAAAAATAACTGGATAATTACACAACAAGCGCATGCTACAAATACAGGAAGATGATCCATGGTGCCAACAGTAGAAATCCTTAATCCGATAGAAGACCAAATAGTCGTAAAGCAAAGCAGATCACATTTTTGCGGAATTAACTGAGTGGCGGCAGATGCAGTGTCCTTTATGCTTCTGTCCCGTATAAATGGGTCAAGTACCCGAACCAATCGCTTCCAGAAAGTAAGTTTTTATTTCGAACATCCTTTCATACAGTCTAACAGGTTCTTCGCTAATCATTCGCGATCGTAGATGTAGCGCAGGTCTTCGCGCTGTCGACTGGTTATTGCTTATTAGCTGTGCGATAACCGTCACGCGAGTATGGTTATGATGTGCATATCTATCTGCCTTGAGTCATATATTTGCAGCGTTCTCTGCCAGCTTCTTTCGCATGCACACTAAACGCACTTACCATTTTGTCTTTGCCTTGTTACCATTCTTTGTTTAGTTTTATGGGCGGTCTGACTGGCAAAATATATGCCTCTCTTTCTGTGTCTAAAAGAGTGACCGATTTGTACTGTACTACGGGCGCTCTCACGAAACCTTTTCCTTTTCGGTTCACACTGGAAACGGAGCTGGAAGTTGAATGCTGATGTCTGGTCTACGAGTACTGTGTGTCTGTGTGTTCAGAATAGTACAAACTACAAAGCATTATCAATAACTGTTGTACCGTGGTTTTAAGTTTGTGTGGCGAAAATCCATGTAATTACTTAATTGCGAATATCTATACACGTGGAAAAGTTTTAAAATAAAAAACTCTTCTGCTGAATGCTGGCAGTATTTGAATGAAATTGTTTAAAAGTTTAAAAACGTTTAAAACGTTTAAAATTGCTGCACTGTATCAATATTACGATCACTGTACTACTACATAGTACATAGTGACTACATACTATGCCGTTTATGTTTTAATACTGACATAAGACCGGTGTATCTTTTGTATAATATAAAATATATACGTATAATCAGTAAAATGCGCATTGTTTCCCCATCATACTAACAATAAGAAAATCGTAAAACAGCGTAATTGTTGACGCTCTCTGATAATGTCATTATGAATTTACTCAACGGGACAAGTGAGAGAACAGAAGAAAAATTATGATTTGCAATATTATACAATGTCTTAAAATTAGAATACTTCCTATAGGAACTTTATACTCGTACAATCCAAGTATTCTGTGTAAAGCGCACTGTGTATTCATTAAGAGTATTTATTGTCGTCCACAGAGGCACAGACTGACACTACTTACCGTGTATAAAACAGCATGATACAATAATGAAAATTTTAATTCAAAAATGCCTTTTCATCGCTTACAAAGTTATAATCATGGTGGGCCGGCCATTCGTGAGCCTTATACCGGTAATCTTGAAGTGAATTTACCGAGTAAGTATGTCAAGAATTTCGTAGTAAACAGATATTTTTTGCAAGAACCATTCTAGGGAATAGATATTTACAAGCCTATCTGACTGTCATTTTTTCGGATGAAAAGGTACGAGCACTAATAAAACTTAAGATTCATGATTCATCGTAAACAATATAAGTAATATTGTCATTGTCAGTTTTTGTTCCCAGGCACCACTGGGGGGCAGTCACGAGCATTTCGTTGCGCGTCTTCGGCTTCTGTCGCTGGCGATTGATTCCCCGTGCTTCGCTGTGAAAACAATTTCCAAATTAGAAACGGTCGCACCAGATCTGTATTTTATTTTTAGCAGAAATTCCACAGTTTTAACTTTTATTATTAGCAAACGTGACAAGGTTTGCTTATGAAACTTTCCGTTTGTCAAACACTGTGATCTCTGCAATCGTTAATATGTCATCTACTCAACTTCCTTCAGAGCCTTCAAAAACAGATCAACCTGTGTCAACAGACGAGGATAATATGCAGGAGGATAATCATGTTGGGTCGGACAGCGAAATGGATGAGTTGGAGATGGAAGACTTGGAAGCTTCGGATGAAAATCTTTCCACTGATGAGGAGGGAGAAGAGGAAGCGACTGGGGAAGTAATGTGGCAGATCGTACGCGACAACCGCGACGAAGACACTGGAGAACTCCAGCGAAGCTCCGATGAGTACTCCGATGATGAAAACGAGCTTGACGAGCCACCCGAGTCTGATACGGAGGCCGAACATCAGCCGTCCAGTGCAGATCCGCTTAAATCGTCAGGGAAGGAAGATCTTGTGCGGAATAGTTTGGTGCATCCTATGATCGTTGACGAAGATGATGATTCTGATTATTCCAATTTGGAGCATGGTTTGCCTCCGAAGCTGGTTATCCCGTTTACATTTGAGACTATTAAGAATCGTAAGTCTTTGTGCTGACTCTTGTTATTGTTTTTGTAATTCGTATTGTTCCTAAGTGTTTCATGCAGCGGCTGCGCTTTAATAATTTTGTCAATATATTGTTATATTAATAGTATTACACAGACGCGCTCTCAGGTTTTAGTTTTATTTCATTTACGAGTGCGCGGTTTTCTCGGAGTATTCAGATGACGACCCGACGCTCTGCTACTCGTAGTAAGCCGCCCCTTGCGTAGTTTGATGGGCTTTCAGTATGCTATTTGTCCGTGCTCTCCAACCAATTTATTTTTTAAATCTAAATAACTGCTCACACTTACTAATTTAACGCTCTGTTAACACTAACCTACTAGTTTGAGAACAGGGAGGTTTTGTTTTGATTTGGATAGTTATAAATGGTTCAATAATTGCATGTTTTAAATATATTGTATTATAGCGGTTATGTTTACCACCGCGATGTCACCCTTTGTTTTTTTCTGACCACTGGTGATTAGCTGAGAGAAATTGGTGTACCAGTTGTGAGTCGTATTGCAGCTTTGAAAACATCGTAAGATAATATTATTGCATTATGCATGTACTATGCTTTATTCATAAAATAATGTACCTATGATTTTGTTTTGCTTCAGAATATTTTCCCAATGAATCCTCTCAGCGAAGAAGTAGTAAACAGCATCAGAAATCGAAAAATCATAAATCACCAGCTTTGTCCAGCCAGTCCCAGCCTAGTTCCTCTAACCAGTTGATACCTTCTCCTCTGCGTAATATTCCTTCCGCCGCGTGGCCATCCACTGCTGAACCGGAGAATACTTACCCCGAGTTGCCCCGCGAGCCGGCCCGCTTCCCACCGAAGACGGTGCGCCGAGTCATGACTTTCCTTACCTGCACGGAGGACATCCGTGTTAGTCATCCGGCCGTCGATGCTGTCTCCATCGCCCTCGAATGTTTCGTCAGAAATTTCACCAAAGAAGCCTACCAGTATGCTCAGCGCAAAGGTCGGAACGTGCTACGCTACGATGATCTGGCCTACATTGGCAACCATTACGCTAATCTGTACTTCCTCCAGGATTACCTACCGCCCCAGGAAGCGGCGGGATATGTAGTACGGAAAGTTCTAGAGGAGTCAGGCGTTGGGTTTCCGTCGGAGACACCACCGAATAATGCAGACGCAGGCGAAAGTTCAAGTGGGAAAAAAGCAGTTGAAGAGAAGAATTCAAACAAGGCAGCCGACAGCAGAAGCCAAAGAAACAAACCGAGTGACAACCCGCTTGTGGAAACGGCAACGGAAATGGCCAGGATGTGGGATGCGGATTCAAAACTGAAAAAATGGAGGAGTATGAACCGGCATTCGGGGAAGGGCAAAGGAAGTAAGACATAGAGAGAAGAAGCTTCATCGGAGAGAATCGACTGATTTGAGTGGGAATTTGTTATTAGTACGTTGCATGTGATCAGTGGACATTTGAAAGTTCTTACGTTTGTTGACGCAAACAATTATCGGAAGTTGAAACCTACGAGTATTATGCAGTGCTGTTTTAAACTGAAAATGGTGTGATTGCAGATTTCTGTTATCAGTGCTACCATTGCTGTGGGTGCGGAGAGTTTGATTATTTTATGCAGCCTTCTTCAAACGTTTTATAAAGGTGTTCTCGGGCAGCAATACAATACTCGTACTTAATTATAGTGTCCTGCATGAACGTACACTTTACGCCCGGTCGGAAACGTTTAATACTTTTTGAATACAGTTTATATAGATATAATAATTCAAGAATCATGCGTACGTATTACGAATATTGAGCATTGTTGGGGCCGTAATTCCTGTCAAATTCCTGTATCAGTTTTCAATGCGTGTTTCAACTGTCAGTCAACTTTCACTGCCCAATTCTACGAAATCGCGCGAAAGTTATATTGACTTACACGCATTAATATAACAAAACGGTTAAAAACTTTGATTCCATCGCACGTCTCGGTTTCGGCATGGCCTTTTCGAAAACGATATTTTATGCACAAGTGGCAAGAATGCAGTATACCGTATGTACTGTTAAATCGGTAACGCCAGTTGTCAACAGTCAACAGAAAATGCACTACAGTCTACAGTGTATTGTCATTTGTCATGTAAGCAACAGGCATCCCCATCCAGAAAACTACTGCAATCTAAAATCGATCAATTACTAGAGTAGTACCTGTAAATGCACTTGTACTACCGAAGTGATCTGCAGTTACACTATGTCGGTGCAAAGCGCCAGCGCTTACCTTGTGCATACATGTTATTATCCACGGAAATTTCATAAATAAACTGATGGTGAGGTGCGTATACGTATGCGCCTATGGACTATTTTCCAGCCCGTCACCTTTACACGTGTCTCTCTTTAAATCAAAAAGATCATTCAAACACTTCGTCAGCCAAGATTAAAATTGATGAGAGAGGCGAATGAAATAATATTAATATGGAATCAGCAATACATACCGTATTAACATATTGGTTCATCCATTCGGATTGCGTGTCTGTCCTTATATGAAATGTGTGGGTGCCAAAACTTTTATTTTAACGAAGCGCTCCGTTTCCCATTAACAGTTATTAACAGTATGTTGTTGTTTATTAACGTATTGGTTCATCCATTCGGATTGCGTGTCTGTCCTTATATGAAATGTGGGTGCCAAAACTTTTATTTTAACGAAGCGCTCCGTTTCCATTTGTATATCCAACAAGTGTGAAGAAGCAATTTGATATGGATCTTTTCCTCGCAAATAAATTGCCTGTAACTTGTTCGAAAACTTGTGTGATCCTGCAAAGGCTGCAAGTAAGTTACCTGCTGCTTCTTGTCTTCGGTAGGAACGACTGCCCGAGAATGAAATAGGAACGACCCTACGAATGACCTTACTTATTTTTATTTTGGGTGGACATATAGAGACGTGCACGTCTTTGTAGTCACTACAGTCTGGTGATTGTGGTTTGCAAAACAATAATTTCTACATAGATATGCAAAATTTGCACATGCACGCACCTAGATGTCAAGGCACGTGTACACGGTGGCCGCGGCTTCTTAATATTATTATTATCACAAGAAGAGGTCACACACCACACACACCAATGAACGCCGCCCAGATGGCTGCACGACTTTTGCATGGAAACGCGGATTATGCCTCGCTTGGGACGTGACCTGTGTAGACACTGTTGCGCTTTCACATGTCAAGGCCACTTCCACCACAGCCGGAGCGGCCGCCATGCAAGCAGAGTTACGGAAATCAGGACTATATTCCTATCTGGTTGGCCGCTACCTATTCGTCCCGATCGCCTTCGAAACACTGGGCCCGTGGGGACCGTCGGCGATCGCCATCTTCAAAGAACTGGGAAAAGACTGCAGCAGCACACCGGAGAAGCACGCTCGCACGAATTTCTGCGGCAGCGATTGTCCAGAAATTCAACGGGGAAATACAGGCGTCAGTGCTTTGTGGGCACGATGGAAGGACTGGATAAGCTGAACGAAATTTTTCTGTTATAGTTTAGCGTGTTTTTTTTCTTGAAATTGGTGTATTGAGGCATTGATTTGACCAATAAAGTACCTTAGAAGAGGTCAATATTAATGATGAGCCGTCAGTCAAGTAAGACATGCAGACATATACATATCTGCATACTGCTGCAGTACATACTATACTACATAATGAACCGAGTTCATAATTATTAATTAGCTAGACTAGTACTGCACCGTGCAGTGCAGATTCTCTACAAATGAACAGTTAGTTCGAGAAATCATTCGATCGCTGGTTTGAGTTGCGGTGCGGTTCATTAATATCAACTACCTATTAATTAACCAAACTAATTGCACAGTGTGCTAGAGATCAATTAGTGCGTGTATTATGTCGGCGAGTCATTCGCAGTCAATTAACGTGTTTAGGGCCCTTGTCGGTCGTCCAAGGTCAGTGCATGCTTTTGTTGTGGATTTGTAGGGCGTTGTACCGCGTGACTTCCAGGGAATGCAAAAGTGCCATATTTTTTAGAGATATGACTGTAGCGAGTATAGTCTGGACGTTTGCGTAGAAATGAATTCTACCCCAGTATTCCTATGTTCTATGAAAATTTAGCCCTACGTGAACAATATTCACTATTTACTAGTACTAGTACTGTAAATATGATTTACGGACTTAAGATCAGCGTGAGGTATAAATTTGCGTGCTAGGTAAATATATACAAAGTACTTATTTTGACAATTTAATTTGTCACGGTCTCTGATAATCCAGTGAAAATTAAAGTAACGATGGATACAGTCATGCATACAATTGCTTATGCCTAGTCATCTTGCCGAATTTCTTAAACCCGGTCGTACAAAAGTGCCTTCCGACAGTTTCGATACTAACACAGCCTTTATCACTTTAATTATGGCAAGATCAATCTTTATGGGTAGTGGCTAGTGCAATTTAAAATGTATCATGTAAAGAAAATTAACTTTGTTTTGGAGTGAGGCTTTGTGCAACTGCAGTAGCAGTCCTTACTGCCTTATATAATTACTTGTAAGTAAGATTTTGTTCGCCACAGTGCCTAATTGTGTACTGTAATAACTGTAGCAAATCACCGACGATCATCGACGGTCGAACGGCATGCGCAATGGGCGTCATCGGTTTCATATATTGTGTGCATTTGCTCTATTGGTGGTAGTTACAATTATCAAAATATGGAATGGAATAAGCCAACCACAATACACAATTTTCATACGTGATACTGTGCCCAGAATGTTCTGTACCCCGTCCACTGACCACTGGTCAGCTTTAGAACCTGTTGAGCTTTTCCCAGTTTCCTAATGTTCCAATGCGGAGTTACTGCATGATCAGCTGGTTGATACCCGTACGGCTTTAACTGTTCGATGCATTTCCCATCAGGCTCGACGCGCTAAAGTTTTTAAAAGTTTTGATGGTCACTTAGTTTTGTGTGGGTTATTCAGAACAGTCGCAATTATTTATTACACATTTAGGGCATTTGTATCCCAGGAATTCCTTACTGCAACGATGGAATTGGATGGTGACGATTGCTGCATGTGTTATACCGGCAAAGAATTAGCCCATCAACCCAAACCAAAGAATTCGTCAAAGTCGGCGATTCGGTCCGCTGTCCCCACTAAACGGAAAAGAACGCATCCCTCCAAAGCAATACAGCCGGAGGAACTGAAGAATCGTCGGCTGCAGGCCAATGCCAGGGAACGTCGACGTATGCACGGTTTAAAAGAAGCCTTCGATGTGCTGAAAGAACGACTATTGCAGATTCCCGGATATGCCGAGCAGGTTGGAAAAATGTCAAAATATGACACACTGTTGTTGGCACAGAGTTACATTACGGCTCTCAGAAGTATTCTTTCCGAGGCTCCGGCAAAGGTCACCAAATCGTCTAAATCGTAGGCTTAATTGGTCGATATTTAGAGTGGTGTTATGTTACCTCTTTGTCGCTCTCAGAACGTATGTTTGCTGTTTGTTTTGCCTGTTTTGTTTTTTAATTATGTTTCCCTGCTGTTAAATGAGACTTCACACAATACTAATACTTTGATGGAATCATGCTTTCGATAAGTCCGCAGGTGCATATAATTAAAATACGTATGTATAAGATTATTGCAAAATAAAATACGTATATTGTTCCATATAATAGCACAGGGATGACACGAAATATTATATTGCAATTACTTACGTACTTATATTAATTACTGGTATGCTTGCGAATCTATGTAATTCATATGTTGCCAAAATCGAGTGCACAATTAGAGTGTAATAATTTTGAACAAAAAAAACGCAAAACTGAAATGTCTTAAATGCGACGTCTAATTCCCGAATGCGCTTTCGATCCCCAGCTGGAGACAATTAAATTAACTTCTCGTCGTCAGTTTGTGCACAGTTAAATGACCGTTGCCCACTTAATAAATCTAAATACAAGCGATTCACCTGGGTGGTCAGTGGTCACTTTTGAACCATATCAATCTGCATGGCGCTCGCCATCGACATCTCAATCAATTTTACATTGTTATCAGCTGTTACTGAATACAGTAATATCGCAAAAGGCGCCCATGAGGTCATGTCGCGGTGCAACCGTTGTATATGATAAAGATTATCAAAGGGCACATAATTGCTATAATAAACCCCTTTGGGACCGTCAGAACCAAGATGGAAAACAATGTGGGATTTGGTGCGAAAACTGATGATGCTTATCGTAACAGCACGCCAGCGCCGTATGTGGAAGCCGGACAATTGCAGGTTGTCTTAAAATGTTCACACTCTTCCATATTAAAATGGCTAATTAGCTTTTGCAGTCGCATTTTGCAGTTAAACAATAACAAGAGGGACCACTTCACGGATCATATTTCCCGTCGACTTCGACACTGCTTATAATGCGAGTGTATGAATAGGATTTAAGGATTAAAGTGTTGTACGTCTACAGATTAATTCGGCTAATGTGATGCTTTTGCGGCATCAGGATTTTTGATTTCCCCTGTTTTGCATCGCTTACGTATACAGTAAACCTGACTATACAGAAGCATATATAGTCTTAAAATAATTACATCTATATTATATTGTATACAAGAAACAGCCTCGGCTTCGCCTCCGCTTTTCTTGTGGTCTCCAGTCTACGGCCGATTTATTCAAATGATTTCGATCAGCTATTTAGTTAACATCAAATCTTACAGCGAAACCTGTCTTTACATACACCGGTAAATACACCTGGAAATTACATACGCGGAAATTTTAACCGGCGCGTCCCATAGACTGTGTAATACATACACCGGAATAGCACATACGGTTTTGCTTTAACCGAAGGTGTATGTAGTAACCAGGTTTCACTGTATTCCTTCAACGAAACAAAATGATCCGAAAATACGCTAAAACGCAGATAGAATAAAAAGTGAATTTATGGCTTTTGTGCACTCAGACGCATTCACTCAGAAGGGAATTTTTGTTAACTTCTCCCTCCCGAATTTGATCGAGTCTACCAGGTACTAAATTTCCACTAAAGGATGCTTGCAATAGATGCTGGTAGCGGTCACTCGTTTACCTAGCGGTCTGTGTGCTCTGGACAGCAGCGGTAGTTCGGTACTCGTTTACCTAGCGGGCTGTGTGCTCTGGATAGTAGTGGTAGTTCGGTCACTCGTTTACCTAGCGGGCTGTGTGCTCTGGACAGCAGCGGTAGTTCGGTACTCGTTTACCTAGCGGGCTGTGTGCTCTGGATAGTAGTGGTAGTTCGGTCACTCGTTTACCTAGCGGGCTGTGCACCTGATAGTAGTGTTAGTCTCGGTACTGTTTACCCAGCGCATGTGCCTGGATAGTGGTAGTTCGGTCACTCGTTTACCTAGCGGGCTGTGTGCTCTGGATAGTAGTGGTAGTTCGGTCACTCGTTTACCTAGCGGGCTGTGTGCTCTGGACAGCAGCGGTAGTTCGGTACTCGTTTACCTAGCGGGCTGTGTGCTCTGGATAGTAGTGGTCGTTCGGTCATTCCTTTACCTAGCGGGCTGCGTGCTCTGGATAGTAGTGGTAGTTCGGTCACTCGTTTACCTAGCGGGCTGCGTGCTCTGGATAGTAGTGGTCGTGACAAGAGTCATCTTCGACTTCGCTTCAGATAGTAGTGGTATTGACTAAGAGTCATCTTCGACTTCGCTTCAGATGATCTTGTGAGGAAATTACGTGTCGTAATTTCCTCATATAATTTATAGGAGGAAATTACGACACGTGTAGTTTCTGTGAGACCGGAAACGTAGGCATAGGTAGAACTCCGTAAAAGTATTGTTTGTATATGGGTTTTACCAGAAATGCAGCAATAATCAGGTAAAGAAACGTTGTATCTTAACGTATCAAGGCGGCGACGTTAAACTACAAAGAAACAGTAACAAGGGGTGCATATTATATATCGTGTTGCAGTCTTTGAATACCATGGAAAACTTATACTGTCACTAGCCACTACATTAACATCGTTCAAGCAAAAAATCAAATAATACAAACACAGACAAAAAGAAATGCAGTTTTCACATGCTATAACAAGAAAATTTCCTCTAACTTCTCTGATCCGGTATTGTGCCCATAACGCACATAGTTTCCTTTGAATCTGTATGGAGATCCGCTGCCGGAAAAATTCTTTCGCGTGGTTGCCCGGTAGTGGTCGCGATGAGCTGTCCGGTTTTATCGACCAGCATCTTAGCTCCGTCGCCCAAAGGTCCGTATGTTTCAAAGGCAGCGGCAACAAATTGCACCTTGGCTGAAGCCACGCATGTTTTATGAGCTTTTTTGCTTCGGCTAGTTCCGCGGCACCGACATTGACGGCTGTACGGTCGAGATATGAAGTTGCCAGAGTGTCCACACAGGTTACGTCTATTGCGAGTGGTTTACCACGTTCCCAGGGGACAAGCGTAACTACATCCGGTCTTTTGTTACCTACTAAGGCCAATCCTTTCGGCTCCACTCTGGCAGGGAAACCACCCGTCGTTAACGCGCGAGCGAACTCCTTGCTGATGCCATGTCATGTCTGGGTAGTCGTCCGGCTGATCGTTTGCACCGCAGTCCATGTCTCCCGAACTCGTCTACCCATTCGCCGCATTTACATTCATGGGGAGTTACAATAGGATATATATCGTAGCATTGTAACTCCCCTCCCCCTACGAATATATTATATATCGTAGCATCCCCCTAATAATAATTAAACAGTGTTTGCTGTTCCGTGTCGTCTTGAGAATAAGTTCAAGTACGTCATACGTCTGATGCTCATGGCGCTCTTTAAGGTTCTTTGAAAAGGTTTTTTTGTGTTTCAAAAAAGTTAATAATAATGAAGAATTATTCCCATAGGGACTAAGCTTTTTGAAGACAACTGCAGAGACGTATGTACTATGGACCAGATTTCAGTGAGGTACAGGTACGATGTACAATGCAGTACTTACAATTATTTTGTGTTTTATGGCGGTAAAGTCTCCCTATCTTTTATGCCATGTATCGTTTATTGTTCGTGCTGTGAAAGATCATAAGTCAAAAAAGTTTTAAACATGTTTTAAATTGCAAAGTCTACGAATTTTGTATTTCAGAATTACGTACGTACGGAGAGTATCGTACACGATAAATACTCTTATTAATTTTAAGTATACGAACTCACAGACTCAAGTACAGCAACCACTGAGATTAAAGTATTTATTATTTAATTAATCTTGTTCGAGTTTTGATATCCAGTTGAGAAGACAGATGCTGATTTTAAAAAACACCCCTAGCCAACGAGGACTACCGACTGACGAAGCAACTGCACAGGCACATAAACTTTAACACAGAAATCTTTCCAGCAAATTTCCACCAAAATCGTTGCTTTTATTTTGAGAGACTGGCAAGGTTTTCTTGAGAAGGGAAGGTGGAACGATGAGACCAGCGTTTGCATCTTTCTTCCGTCTCTTCTTACTGGAGGCTGACGGGCTCGGCGAACACGGCGCTGAATAAGAAACAATTTTCGGCGAGGAGGTCTTCGCATGCAGGGAGGAAGCGGAAGCTATCCTGGATAAGAACGCCGACAAAGCAGGCTGAGCAGTGTTATCGCTGTACACCGACGACGTTCGCGAAGAAGGAGACAGAATGTTTTTCTGGACGTCCCGCGGCAATCCAGGTTGCGTGCAACTTCGATGGCAGGAATTGCAATAAAGAGTCTAAAACAGAAATATATGTACCAAGTTTTAATTTTGGGTACCTGCGGCTTGGAAAAAAAAATGAATCGAAAAAAACTGCACTCTGGTGAACTAGCAGCTGCTCACTTCTTCGATCCCCATTGTGCGTGCATAGAAGCATTTACATTTTACAAGTCTTTTTTAAATCAACTAATATTCATCGATTCGTACTCTTACCAGTCTATTTTTTGATTTGGCGAATCGTCCAATGTGTTTTTCATCTATCGCAGTACTCGTTGTGGTCGCAACATTAGAATTTCGTTTTATGGACTTTGAGACTTTACGGCCTAAGGATCGTGCAAGCGCCTTCGTCTGCCTTTTACGACTTTTTATGCGAACGCGTGTATTCTGAGCATCCCGTGATGTACCACAAAATGGGCAGTAAATCTGTTCGACCCTCTTCATCCAATCTGAAAAGCACGAAATTTTTCTACACAGATAATTATATGATGTATGAGCGTAACTGCGTAAACAGCAAGCCTCACAGTTGAGACTGACATCCTTGTGCAACTTCCAGAGCAAATTGAAACGAAACACAATTATCCAGGCCAAATGGTAGCCGGTACAGCAAGACATACTTGCATTGCTACTTGGAAATTCCTGAACCCAGAGCGAGGAAAAATAAGCTCCAACAGGGTTGTTTTTGTCGTCGGAGAAAAGCTGAGCGGCGGACTTTTGGAAAAGAGAGGCAGATAATAAGAAATCTGTTTCGTCGCGATCAGATGTCCCCCCGTAACCACTAATGGTCGAGGCTTCCGTGCACATCTCGAAAGAAATATGTTTCAAAATTAAGCTAATACTGGACGGAAATCTTTCCAGGTTATTAAAAATAAGATATTACGGTTAAAAAAGATCGCTCTGAAAGGGCCAAAGCGAAATCTCCAAAACGTTTTTTCTTTCAAAGCACAAGCGAAGAGTACGCACTGTTACAAGTACGACTGCCCTTTCGCGGTGCATGCCAATGCGACAACGCAATACGAAACCATATACAGACGTAACTGATAAGGTTTGTCTTCGAGCAGCTGGTTTCGTACTTCTACGAGTATTCGTATTTGTGGGGACCATTCTTTCCGAAACTTTGAAGTGCAACCATTCTACATCTGTCTGTCTTGTGAAACTGTGATCCAGTGTTGTGATTTAATTGTTTTTACTATTTGTAACGGGGGATTCCTGTCTCATGTATTAGTATGTACGAGTATGTGCTTGGTTGTCCCGCCTCTTGTATTTCCTGTTCCTGTACGAGCGGTTCAGTATATATAGCGATGTATTTCCTGCGGTATCTTCAGTCGTTGGGTTAGCAATATTTCGAGCAGTATCAGCCGGTTCCGTTGCCCGTTATACTTGGAGTCGCATACCGAGAACGAAATTTTTTTCAAGTCGACAGTTTCAGTGCCCTTTAACTTTTACCACCGCTACCCCTCCGCCTCCCTGTTGAACAGTGCCCTTTAACTTTTACCACCGCTACCCCTCCGCCTCCCTGTTTCAACAGGTAAGTCTTTATGTATCACGTCCAATTTTTTTTTCTCAAAAAGAACAATTTCAACTGTTACCGATCCTAATACCATTTTCGAATTCCGTAACGCGCCATTTTTTAAGTAATTAATTAACGATCGTATAGTCAGCTTTCCGCAGTTATGGGCTGTTTGCAATAGTTAATAAGTACTAATTACCAGCAAGTCAGGATCATGGCTCTAGACCCGCAAGCACTGCAGAATATTCTTAACACCGTTAATGCCGCTTCCGCTCAGCAGAATGCAGCTTTACAGCAAAGCCTACAGAATAACGCTACTGCACATCAGAATTTATTGAATTTTTTGAATAACCAGAATGCCGCTGCAGTTACCCGTATAACATCTCTCGAAATGGGTGATTTGCCGAAGTTTGGTGGTTTTCCACGAAGACGCTCAGGACTTTTAACACAGTTTGAGACGATGGCCGTTGCTAATAACTTCACACCAGCTAACAGAATCCAACATTTTGCGCTCTGTTTGAGGAATAACGCTCTTCGCTGGTATACCGCAGAACCAGCAGGTATCACATGGCCAGACCTTCGATCCCATTTTTTAACAGCTTTTGGAAAAACTCGTTTTGAACTCGATCTCGTGAATGAAGGTTGCCGTACACTAGCATTTACAGATCCTCGTACTTTTGTCCATCGTGTCCTTGATTACGTGGAAGTCATTAATCCCGCAGCTACCGAAGCAGAAAAGACAGTTCGTCTCTTCGAAGCTTTGCCCCTTGAATTTAAACCAGCTTTCGTGACTAACAGCCCCAGAACCGTAGCCGATTTTTTTCAATCGTTTACGTGATGTGTCCGTTAAGCAACACATGTCGCGATGCAGAATCAAAAAATTCGTCATACCAGGCGTCCAATAATGTTAGATCAGTCAAATCTCTCGTCGCTATACAGCCAACCGACAGCGCCTAGCTCTAATCAGATAGAGATTGTCGCTCATAACCTGAAAGGTTTGGATGAAAGACTAAAGCATCTTGCTGAACAAATAAAGTGTTTACAGGAGAATAACGAATCACAGGGCATACGATCTTTCTCAGAATTACTTAACGGGTAATGCGAACCAGTCAACCCTTCGACTCACAGATGCGCCAAGCCAAGACAATGGATGCTTTAATTGCGGTAACTATGATCATCTTTCGTATGCTTGCCCGTTTGGAGCTGGCCACTCTACGCAGGCACAGTATGCACAGGCAGAACAAGATTCTGAAGATCGTTATCCGATGTCATTCGGTGCAGCACAGCATCCACCAACAACGCAGCAACTGACTTTTAACACATCCGGTAAATTACCATCTCAGGCGCAACAGTTTAGGTCTGCAGAATCTCAGGACACCGGTAGTGCACAACCGGCGTATTCGAGATGGCAGATTTAACTTTTCTGGTCTAATTGTCGTTCGTACGTGAAAATTTGTTTCGGTTTTGTAAACTAAAGTGCTCTTTGAAAATTTTGTTAATATTATATTATTGTACTGAGTTATTAATGATGCCTGCCCGTTGATTTTGGCTGCAGCAGTATTTATTGTTATTGAGAAAAGGGCAGATAAGTGAGAAAATTTTGAGGTTGACAGCGCTGATTCGCTGAATATTTGTTTGATGATGGCCAGATGTGAAAAGCCTCGCGATGGTAACGGTAATGGTTTATCTCAATGTAATGTGCAGAAATGAATTTTGGGATATATTTAAATTGTTATTGCATATGCGCACCGCTTAAATCTTATCTATCATTAATTTTCCGCCGCTGGTTCGGCTAATGACTTAAAACGCCAGATGTTGTCGTCTCCTTTTGGGCAGCCAGAGATCGTTAATGTCAACTTAAATTATAAAATTTTCAATAAAATCACTAAAACCAGATGTACCATCATTTAAAGTTAAGAATAAATTCCAACTTATCGCATTCCACGAAAATAAGATCCTAAATCTAAATGTCAGCGTTCACAACACATGACGGCATGCTTGGCACAAAAACATGAACTATTATTCGAAATTCCCATTAACTGTATATGCATTATTGACGGTAACAGACAATTATGAATGTTTGCTTCGACTGCAAAGAAAAAATTGATTGGTTCAGTTTTAAGGTTGTGCAAAGTTTATGGTAACAGTAATGCGCGCATTAATTTGAATAATAATTCCGCCGAACAGAAGACGCAGCTTGATCACCACTGTGTACCACGGCAGCTCAAGTAAGTATTTGTGTTAAACCGAATTACGCTAATTACGCAAAATGAAATTAAAAGTAGATCTACGAAATTAAGAAGATCACTGAAAATTTATGGAAAAGGGTTTTGCACACGAGCAAATCTAATTTAAATAAATGAAGTACAGATTCGGAAGTAGGTTTTTTTCACGTTCATCTAAATAAAAGAAAGATAAGCCATAATTAGTGGCCCTTGTGCATGATGTACTTACACAGGCGTCAGCGGAATCGATAAACTCTAAAAATAAAGTCCGTTTCCCATCATCAGCTGTCGCCTTAAGTTTCTCAAAGGGCTGCTGCCAAAATATCTCCCGTCTGGATGGATTGGCCGACATCAGTGTGAAGCCGTTCTCCCAGTGAACGATGAGCTTGGAATCATGGTTCTGCCAGGCACAAGCTACGGAGAAAAAAACTATCATTCCCAATCAGATCGGACGCACTCCGCAGCTACGCACCCCATGACATTTCCTGTATGACCTCCACGGCACGGAATGTGCCCTGAATAATGGCTTTCACCCAACTCGACAAGTCCCGACACGTTTCCAGCTTGAAGACATGACAGTCGATACCATTACGCGTGCCAACGCGAATCAGGAAGGTTATCGGGGGCTCCGACAGATCGATATTTTTTTGTATTTTGGACAGGGTATTCTGCCGCGATGCTGATGATGAATATAAAACTCTGCAATACATGGTATCGATGTCTGACCAGAAATCTTAACAGAAATCTTAATGCAGTTATCTTAATAGATTAACGATTTCGAAATTTAAAGCTGACAAAGTTTCTCCAAAACATTCTAAATTTGTAAGCTAAGACCTTCGCCAAGCGTCAGCTACCGACTGAGAAAATGCAGACATTTTGACAATAGTAATCTCGCCAGTGTGGACAAAAAATAGCTTTTAGATTGCCCTAACACAGCTAGCAGTTTCATAAAATTTGTATGAGCAGAATATTTGTATGAAACTTTTTGTTTCCTGTCACTCGTAGTGAACATGATTTGCATGCACTAAACGTTTTCAATGGAGCCGGGCACTGTCAAGATTTGACAATTTCCGCTAAATCCAACATCACATTCCACGCAAATCAAGCGTGTCGTAAAAGCGGAATAATCTACTCGTCCTGCACACACTGACAAACACACACGATCATGTGTAGGGAACGATTGACATATCATTGACCCAAATTATTTCACCACAGACAGCTCTGTTTTTCCACAACATAAGTAGCACCCCATTACCATTATCTCGCCAGCATGCATGTCAGCCCAAGCCAAAAAACAACAAAAAAACGCTCCGATATGCATTGTTAATCGCAATCACGGATGCTGCAGTACATGTATATACATATGTACCTTGTCGTCAGTAAATCGCATGTAAAACTGGGTGTTGCCCATTCCTCTTTGGTCCAGGGCACCGCATCAAATACCATAATCTGCCGTTCCGTTAAGGCCGCAAATACCGGTTTAAGCTGCACCAAACCATCCATGTACACCTGAATGAACAGTAATGCATCAGGCATAAAAGTCAATTCCCAATCATTCAGCAATCAACAATAATTTCCGTCTGCAACATGAAACAAGTTATCGGAGCATATAATCGATAAAACACTGTGCAATAAATGAGGAAATGCCTCTTTCGATTAAAGTGGACATGGTAGCGACTCTTTTACCAGCCGATCCAGTTGCTTCCAAAGTAAACGTATGCACAACAAAATAATCTACAAGCCTTCGAAGAAATGGCCAGTAAACTAACAATTTATGGTTACAAAACGGATTGTAGATTGAAGACAAAATAAAATTTAAAAAAGCACTGAAACCTAAACATTTTTACCATTTCTTTAATCATTTCGAAGAAAATCAGTAACTCGAATGACTTTTTACTGCTACGAATCGCTGCAAAACCATAAACTCTATCGGTGACCTATATAGCAAGCGCTGTTACGTACGTAAGTCTGACAGTGGTGGATGGGACTATTAATTTATATTCAGTAATAACTTGAATTTGCATTTTCCTTGCAAATGGTGACAAACTTAAAAAATCAAAGTGTGACTTAAATCTTAAAAAGCATAAAATTCCAAGTTCAACCTACCGAAAATTGCATGAGTTAAAATATTGCGGAGCACTTGAACGTTGACCTAGCCACCGCTATATCCAACGCTTTGGAGCGGAAGCCCTTCCATTCCCCGGCAGAACATTTACACTTTACTCTTTGAACATAAACGCTTGCTTACCCTCTCGGCCATCCAGCCCAATTGCGCCAGATGACTGCCGCCCAGTACTTTGGGCAGCACCCGATTGCACTGCACCAGGAGCTTACTATTGAGTGCAGCAATATTGGAATGGATCATGTTGAACCATGAAGTCCCATTGGTGGGATCGGCAAATTTCAGTTGGCAGGAATGTCGCAAATTGGGCGATTGAAGCAATAATATTGTGGCATCAGCCTCTAGTGATTGCTCCACCAGGCGTGATAGGTAACAAAGTAATAAAGGAATGACTTTACTATCGGAACGCAGGTTGCGGGCTGGAGAGGAAATAGCTTCCTAAATGAGCAAACAGAACAGTAATGAAACAACACTGAAATGGGTTAAACGCTCATGTGACACCAACAAAATTGTTAGATTTTGCGATCGGTGCACCAGCCATAACTTGTCTTTCGCTTCGAAAGAAATACTTGTAAGTTCTTATTCTAAATACTTATAAGACTATCCAACATTAACTGGCATTCCAAACCCACACATTTATAACAGCAAGCAAATTTGTAAACAATAAGTGTTTTCAATTATCAGTCAACTGACTGATCCATATCACTAGCCGACAGTCGAATATCGGCATAAACTATTTCCAGAATCCAAGGTTAACGATAAGCATTGTCATCTTTTTAGCACGCGTTAGCATAAACGCAATATCCAAAAGCTTCGTGGATGTCAAGAACGTTCTAATTTAAATCCCAGAAGTAAGAAAAGAATAACATCTTGCAATCATTAAAAGAGTGAAGTGAACAGCAGTACGCGCACCTCAAAATTCAGGAGAGAGGAAAATGCTAGTCGCAGTGGGCTCTGTCAACCAAGCATACGAAAAATGTAAAGAAAACGAGCCACTGGCTTTCAAAAACGAAAAAAAAACGATTCTGTACTAATACGGTTTCATTTACCTTTAAGAAACCGTGCGACAGCTCCCATCCAATATCATTCAAAGCGATCCTTTTTGTGGCTTCCCGCCAGAATTGCACTACGAAAATCAAATTGTAAAGCCTACAAAAAAGATGATCAGGAACTGTACTACGTGCTTCCAAATCGAAGAATAAGATACGGAAAAAGACATAAATTAAGAACAGAGGTACAGAACTAACAATATATTTTATCACACGAAACTGCACATCAAACAGCAAGCAATGAAAAACGCCCTCGTCTCTGATGACCGAACAGACAACTGGAATACTACTTTATAGTAATTTCACTAATTTGTTTCAGTTATATAATAATTCTGCCGTTCCTTATCCTTTACATTGCGTGATACAGCATGACCCAATGCGTGCTCTTGTTTTCTCGCCAATTACTACTCAGGAGGCGAATATGACCAGCCAAACTTGGGAAAATTAGATCAACACCTACGTAAGTAGTACTAATTTCCATGAATATTTTCCCGTACAGCAATGTGAAAATCGCTCAATGAGCCTCCACTCTCCTACCTTCTAAAATCACAATATTGCCGGCTTGCTTGAGCGCCGTAACCGCATCATCATGCGAGGCAGCACTCAAATCATGGCCATTGCATGATAATATTGCATCGCCCACATGCAACTCATGCGTTTTCTCAGCGGCCATATCGGAGAAGATTTTACTGATGACGATGGGCATCCGGTTCTCCTTGCCTCCCTTAATACTGATTCCCAATCCACTATCGGCATCCTTAACTATCTTTACTGTCCGTTTCTCACTGGTGAGCGGCGGCGGCGGTGGTGCAACATTACTGGAACTCGAGTAGGGAAAGGAGGACATGTCGTGGTTGGCGAAATTAAATCGACTGTGACTGTTGGTGTTTGTTGTAGACGCTGCGATATGGTTGTAATTCCGATCTGATCCATAACCGTAACTGCTTCCATAGGGATAACCGGCATCGTCATCGTTCAGTGTATCCTCGAAGTTCAAAATCAGGGCATCATCTTCCAGGGTGAGAATGGTCCGTATCCATGTGGAATGGTGCTGGCTGAGCACGTAGGCTGCATTGAAATTAACGCCGGGTTCGGGATTGCGTAAAGCCGGCATTCTCGTCCGTCCAAGAGAATTGTAGTACATGACGCGCTTTCAGGAAACAGCGCGCCGCATCAAGGATGAGTGATTTTTCATTGATGCTGGGATAATTATGGATTTTTTCAGCACAAAAGCGCATGAGTCTGTAATAAAATTAAAAGACAATTGAATCGATGGCCTCAATTAGGGCAAACGGCTCAAGATGCTGTTACAGTGTTACTCTACCATATATATAAATATAAGCCCGTTGTTGCGCAAACACAGCAGAAATGAAACCAATTACCATGGTTAGCGTTAAAAACGATTCATCTGTTTTACTACCAAGGAAAATTAACACATATTTATATTGCGGACCTATACAGCAATGCTAACTGCAAGAGAATCAATTACTGCAAGCAGTATACAGTGTACCCTACACATACCGTAAAATACGTAATCGCAAGGTTTTCAAGACTGAACTACGTTCATGTAATCGAAAATTATGAATAGTGCATAGTGCATACTGCATAGGTTGATCTTCTCAATTCATCCCGATATATATCCCTGCTGAAGAGCCATTTAAATGATTCTTAAACAAGTGAAACAGATCACAACTCTCAAGAGAATTCCTGAAGTGCGAGAACGCCAGCTATCACTACGCAAGAGGCCATAAATCATTAATATCCTTCTTTGACTCGTGATTTTCCACTAATCACAAGCACAGCGCGTCAGTAATAAAAATTTAATGAAAATAATTTCGAGATTCCTCATACATTAACAGCTTCGAAATTCCAAATATGTCTGAAGCATGCAAACTGAAAAGCCGGGTAATCGGCTAACAGGTTAGAACTGTTGCAGTGCGTGATACCGATCGATAAACACTTTGCAAAAATACGGTCCGAAAAACGGAAAAGATTACTGGTACAAGTGGCACAACAGATTCCAAACCTGTCCGTTAAAACGACCAGCAAAATACGGAAATCTATCACTTCCGCAGGCCCGCGCACAGCATAAACACACTGGTATCCGTTCCGAGCAAATTAAAAGGAAAACCATTTGCTGCTGCACCAGCGGAAAAAGTCTGGCCACACTTAACCAGTTAGGAAAACATGAGATTTTTAGGATGCTAATTTTCCGCTGAGCTAGACAGCCATGGATATCGATACAGTTGCACAAAAGATTCATTCATTTCTATCTACACGACGTGTTTATTTTTCTCTAAAGCTAATGCAGTCATGTTATGGCGCACTGCTAATACTCGACATTAGCTGTCATCGCTACCACCAACGCTTAGCCCTTCAAATGCAAAAATAATTCCAAGTGGCAGGATGCAATTAACTGCACTCAATATTCATATAAACAAAATCCTTATCAGTTTCTGCACTGCTCCGTCCTTCCTCTCGGGCTGGAATTGCTTGCGTAATCCGCTTAAAGCTAACGTGGTAATTTTGCCGTTTAACTCCATGTGATCTCATTAGCCCTGTAAATCCTTCGACTAGAAATTTATCAACTGCATCTGCTAGGAAACATTAATACATTAATCTCCAAATTAAGGAAATGAGCTGCGGAAACAATAAAAACTGCACTTATCGTTACGACAAATAATATAATTCCCCTTTCTCAAAAGTAAAAACTGGAAAAAGATTAAAATACTATAATCAGAATCTCTGCAGACAAGCACCACTCCAAAGATACTGAGAAAAAGAACTGCTTCAAAAAAGTGCGATATAAAATTGTCACAGACAACCGGTAGTTTTTATGAAAAAATTACAAAATCTGTAAACACAGCATTATTTACTTTTACGTACTTCACGCGTTTTATAAATGCGATGTCCAGGCGATTAAATCACGGCACAAGAATTTATGCAACATTCAACAATGTAACTGGTAACATCCAAGTTTTCAAAATATTATGAAGCCGTGCAAACTGCAACCTTTATGTCTCAATACTCAAGTTCTCAACATATGCCAGACAACAACAAAACGGATGCATTCTCACAGGCGTCAATCCAGTGAAGGCATAACACTCTGGCAAACAAAATGTAAATCAAACACAAACACATGAAAGTCGCTATAAGAACGTCCTTGTCGCGTCAGAACAAGCACGCAAGACTGAATAGAATGCCATAAAAAATGACAAGCTGACTTATCATACAAATTCCAACCGGTCACCAGCATCTACACTCTCGGCCAGTTGATGTCTTAATTCAAATTCCATACTCACATAACTATTGCAACGCGATGTATACCCACAAAGTAGATCAAAATAATGACCAACAAGTCATTAAAAAATTCTTCCAAAGCACTGGTAGCTCAAATAAATCATGAAAATCCCTTCAAACCACTGCATGCTGACTGGGTTTTTTATTATTATTATACATTTCTTGTTGTAAGGAACTCGCAAACTTACACTACAAGTGAGGCATCCGCAAGGTTAAGCCGACATGACCCAGTTCCGGTGGAGCATGGAGAAAAAACACAGGAGTTCCATGCTGGCTGACGTTGGCCCACTTTAGCGCAATAAGCGCACCCCAGCAGCCTGCGACACGAACTATTGTCATAATACCATGCCAATCCGAGCTTTGCAAATAGACAAAAGTATGATAATCTTTGGACAGTAGCAGATAACATAAAAGCAATGCAAATAAGGTACTGGAAATTTTAAACTTCGTATTTTGTTTGATTAATCCGTTTCAGCGTCATGGAATGTGTTTGTGTTTAGTGTTTGGCTTATAATTTCTCAATGCGGAATCGATGCTTGAAAGAGGGGACATAGGCAACCGACCAGTAGTAAGGTCTGTTGGGCTGCCCCTTCGTCCGAGTTAACTACCCTCAAAAGTAGCTTCGTGACGCCACTAGCCAAAAAATTTTTCGGCTTCAAATTCCTCTTTTGCCATTCATATGGAGCGGGACACTCAGCGGGAGCTACACCGTTTGTCTCATATCTGGTGATTTTGCCAGGCATTTTTTTGTCAGTTTTGTTCTCTTGGTAAATTGCGAAACAGCTGGTTATCCTAGCAAAGATTTGTGCATTTTATTCATGCGTGGTTCCACAGGTCGCATGGGAGGCTGGAAGCACAAGTGTGACCCACGAGGAACGTTTGCGCCGCAGTGACGCACACGACCTTTCTACAACTTTTCTTAAGCCTCCAGCTAGGAGCACTTCACGGCGTGAGAAACATAATACAAAAACAATAAAATGTTCACCACCGTTGCAGGCGTTGTCGTTGAAGGCGTTTTGCCTGCAACGATAGTAACGTAAATCGTGTATAATGTATATCGTTTTAAATTTGTTGAATCTCTGTTCTTTCCGTAAACTGAATAGTACAAATTACAAGAAAGCGATGAAGCGGCTGTGTCTGTTTCACGGAAATCAGAAAACAAAATCAGGTACAAATGAGATGCAACAATTCCACAAGACTACCAGCCACCTGCCAGTCGTAGGCGACTGAAACAAGCCAACAAATAAATTCATAATTCAGATCAACAGCTTATAAGAAAGGCACGGCAACCACATTCGTACAGATCACCAGAAATTAAATAATCAATCTTACATGGACAATGTCTTTTGAAATGCAAGATGGCCAAAAGAAACTTTTCGATTTACTGAGCAATCTTTCTGATATGTCATAGATGGTAGGCTGGCAGATTTTTTGTGCGCGTCAACGGCAGATAATCTGACTTTTTCGGAGCTGTGAGAGTTCGCTTTACAATTGGTACTGCCGGAAATGATCACCTCAAGGTCATCGTCATCCTGTGACACATCCGGCGCAACCGACTGAGAAAGGGGCTTCAGTTCAGTTTCTTTACATGAATTTGTGGGTAACTCCAGCAGACGTTCAACTATAAGACAATCATCGGAGCTTGCGAAGTATCTAAAAAGGAGCCCATTAAGAGTTACAAAAATCGTGAAAGCTTCTGAAGACGGAATTTATACCCGCTATGAACGACATCTCCCTGCTTTTCCAGTTGCATTTTTGCCGTAGTGTTAGGGCGATATTTTAAAGATCGAGTCTGTTTCGTGGAAACCGCCGAAAAGGACACCATTCGCTTCTTTAAAGGTTGCGGAGACACCAACAGACCGTTTTCGACGCCGTTTGTCCACAACTTTCTTTTGCAGTGATTCACATCACAGGACGAAGTGAAGGGATTTTTAGACAAATCCGAAAGTTCAACCCCTACAAAACAAAAAACAATAATTTCTGTAACCAAAGAAACGAAAAGTCAGTCTTCTCTAACCAGATGCACCGGACATTTGATCGATAGGATCGGCATCGAGAACCACCGTTTCTCCCAAGGTGCTTCGTCTTTTAACCAGCGGAGTCTTGACAGGAGATGTAAATGGCATCGGTTTTCGGTAAGTTTTGGACCATATTCCATCAGTAGCTTGTCGTTCCAAATCAACCGGAGAAGAAGTAATCTAAATGACAAAACTGCGCTCTACAAGGAATGCAACAAGCAGTTTCCCGCTTTACCTGAGAAAATCGCCACTCTTCTTCGGAGGAATTTTCCGCATTTTGTCCCACAGGGATGGCTCCGACAGCAATTTTAAACGCTACAGTATCCGTTAACATACCGCTAAAACCGCAACGTTGTTTACACTTTACCGTAGTCGGAAATGGGTGTCAGTTATTAAAATATCAAACACAAAACAAATTTTTGAATTGCTTTCTTACTGTCCCGCAAAATTCAGCTTATGAGAGTCCAGATTAGCCGGCAGAGGATGAAGCGGCACCAGCTTTCTTTGCGCAGGATCCAACACTATTTGGTACAGAAAAGTGTAATTCGCCCTCATGAATTTTGCTTTGAATTCAGGTGTCACAACCAAATGCATGTTGTTGAGGTATTGTGGCAATCTGCTCAACATCTGCAAACCGAGATCTTGTAAATATAAATGAAAAAAATGTAACAAGCCAGTCCATTTTAAGCCGTCTCACGTCCAAAAAGCAGAAAAATTTCCCTTACCCGGTCAACAGAAATAATATTGCTACAACCCATCACAACCTTGGACGCTTTGTACAGCCCGAGACCGTTAAATCCTCCCGGGTAATAATCACATCCCGTCAAAATACAGGCATAGCGAAATCGTGTAAACAGCATTTCATCACTGCTTCTTCCGGGAGACAACAGAAGTTTAGCTCGATTTCCCAAACATTTATGAAGATTGTGTCTTTCATAGAACAAGCCACTGCCGTTGGGATCCAGTTTGAAAAAGATCTGCACGAATCACAGAAAACTTATCGGCGCTCGGTTCCTACGGCTGCGAAAACACATAAACAAAACAAAGAATGAATGTGCATACCCGTTTGCATCCGAAAGGAATGAGATCGGAATCTTCCGTGATCACGAAATGAACGTATCCTTCATTCAGTAAGTACGTTAACTGTGCATCCGCTTCGAACGGCGATACTAAACAATCCACTCCAGCGCTTTTGCAGGCCTAAGAAAAATGAACAGAAAAAGTGCAATCAGTATTGCATATTGCAGATTGCTCTAGATTTTTTTGCACGAATGCTCTACACTGCAGCACATTAAACATGTTGGTATCTCCATTTTCACAATTCAGCACGTATACTACCGCAAAAGTAAATGAAAAAAACTAAAACATTTCGCTTCCACTAAGTACTTTTCAAAACCGGCGAAGCAACTTTAACGTCAGTACTACCCTAGCTAGTATTATTTTACGCAGCGTAAAATTGCGCTATTCAGTTCTACTTTCCGAATAAAACAGTATATATTCTGTATTTCCATCAATTTGCCAGCTTTATTCAACTTTTTGTAAATTGTACGTACCTTGATAACTTCTAAAACCATACTAGGAGTGATGCTGTAACTCTGACCAAAGCACTGACGCGCTTCTTTATGGTTTCCTTGCATTTCGTATTGTTCCCCTTTCTGTTTCATCAGCTCGCGGCGCCTACCGAGAAACATAAATCATTCCTGGATGGAGTAACATCTGGTTATAGACAGTAACAAAACGATGTACATCATTAATTTCGATTTTTGTATCAACTTGAACTGTCAGGTGCACTGTTCGTGATTATCAGCTTAATGAAAAAAAACGATAATCAGGTCTTGATAAAATATTTAAGAAATAGCAAAATGCGTTGATAAACAACTCACTCAGTCCGCTGTTTGTGAATGCCGTTTTTCGCGGGAAGAGAATGACCATCGAAGACAATAATGGGCCGGATTCCGTGCTTTTTCAGAAGTTCGATCATTTTCATACAGAATGAAACGTATCTACAACAAAATTTCAAACATTGTATGCCTGTATGATTGAATCCAAAAGCCAAATTACGATAAGTAACAAACCGAACAAACACAGGGCCCATATTTTAACGGACAAAGACCGCTTTCAAGTTACTCAACATTCAGCTATAAATAAGTAATAACAGTTATAAAACCATCGAAAGTTTGCTCATACTCATAACCACTTTTACTGCTACTATAACTAGCAGGTAGCTTGCTTGAAAGTAGCTTCTAGTTCTGTCCTTGTAGGCTGCATCGTCGCACTTACTGTGTTGTGGCTTGTCCCTTAACCAGCTGCTCGGCGCAAGAATAAACTGCTCGATGCAACCAACAATGCCCATCCACGGCAACAACAGCACCAGAAAACTCAGAAATGTTGACTGGACGACAAGCGTTTTTTACAAAAGGTAGCAAACCTTGGATACCCATTTCAACAACTGTAAAAGACTACGTGTGAGCGCTTCTCAGTTGCTGTTGAGTGCTGCTTCTCGTATGCCGAGGGATAAAATGTTCCCAGGAAGTTACTATTAAATTGTCAACGTTCAGATTACTCCTTTCCTTGGCTTTCTAGCACCATGAAGAAGAATTTGTGGTTCAAAAACAATCAAAGCGCATAAAGTAAGAAGTTTCCTAACTTTTCAAGTTTTCTGATTTTTCTTTAATTTAAGTAAAAAAGCGACTAGGACAAACAGCTGAAGATATGCCCAACCGCTTTGGATGCGCCACACCGGCTGCACGTAAGCGCGCACGTTCAGGCTCCCAGTTCGAGCGGCAACCGTAAATTCTGTAAAAGAATTTCAGAATTTCATATTAGCGCATTCTGTCATTCAAATTCGCACTTTTTTATCCGAAGGAGTCAGTACAACAGCTCCCGATCTTGGCAGCTCTTGAACGCAGCTCTTTCGTTAAGCAGCCATACAGAGACCCATTAGTGCGAAGCGAACTGCGGACAAGATCAACCACCACTCAGCGCAATAACACGACGAGCGGGGAAATTGCCATCCGCTAGCTGCCGCAAACGGCAATACCAAGGAAAGCTTCACCTACCTTTGACGCGGGACAAGGCGGCATCCAACTAACGAAGCCTGCAATTCTATTGCGCGGCAAGCGAGGCCCTCAATTGCGGCCCCTCCTACCCTCGACGCACACGGCGGCCCCTTCTACCCTCGACGTAAAACGGCTGCGCCGTTTTATGACGGTAAGTTGGTCACCTATTACGGCCGCATCTACCTCGGACGGCAAAGCAAGCAACCAATGTCCCCTGCACCTCATTCGGGCGGTAAGGCGGCCCACTCATCTACGGCTCCAGCCAGTGAGGTCTCAGGCGACGGCCGCACCAACAACCGTCGGCAATAATGCCCACCAGGAACGACTGTAAGGGCCTTCAGCGGCAGCAGCACTACCAGTGACGAGTCCATCTTCCTCGGACGGCAGAGAGGCCCCAAGTCTCGGCGGCGCCTTCCTCCAAAGGCAAGGAGGCTGACGGCTAACCAGGCCACCAAATCCGGCTGCGCCCATCTCCGACGGCAAGAAGACCCCCAGCGGCGGTTGCACCTTCCTCGGACGGCAGTCAGGCCCCCTAACCATGGCGGCGCCCTCCTCCGACGGCAAGCAGGCCCACCATCGACGGCCACACCTTCGTCGGACGGCAGTCAGGCCCCATAACCACGGCGGCGCTCTCCTCCGACGGCAAGCAGGCCCACCATTGACGGCCGCACCTTCCTCGGACGGCAGTCAGGCCCCCTCACCATGGCGGCGCCCTCCTCCGACGGCAAGCAGGCCCACCATCGACGGCCGCACCTTCGTCGGACGGCAGCCAGGACCCCTAACCACGGCGGCGCCCTCCTCCGACGGCAAGCGGGCCCACCATCGACGGCCACACCTTCGTCGGACGGCAGTCAGGCCCCATAACCACGGCGGCGCTCTCCTCCGACGGCAAGCAGGCCCACCATTGACGGCCGCACCTTCCTCGGACGGCAGTCAGGCCCCCTAACCATGGCGGCGCTCTCCTCCGACGGCAAGCAGGCCCACCATTGACGGCCGCACCTTCTTCGGACGGCAGTCAGGCCCCTAACCATGGCGGCGCCCTCTCCGACGGCAAGCAGGCCCACCATCGACGGCCACACCTTCGTCGGACGGCAGTCAGGCCCCATAACCACGGCGGCGCTCTCCTCCGACGGCAAGCAGGCCCACCATTGACGGCCGCACCTTCCTCGGACGGCAGTCAGGCCCCCTAACCATGGCGGCGCTCTCCTCCGACGGCAAGCAGGCCCACCATTGACGGCCGCACCTTCTTCGGACGGCAGTCAGGCCCCCTAACCATGGCGGCGCCCTCCTCCGACGGCAAGCAGGCCCACCATCGACGGCCACACCTTCGTCGGACGGCAGTCAGGCCCCATAACCACGGCGGCGCTCTCCTCCGACGGCAAGCAGACCCACCATCGACGGCCACACCTTCGTCGGACGGCAGTCAGGCCCCCTAACCACGGCGGCGCTCTCCTCCGACGGCAAGCAGGCCCACCATCGACGGCCGCATCTTCCTCGGACGGCAGTTAGGCACTCTAACCACGGCGGCGCCCTCCTCCGACGGCACGCAACCCCTAACAACGGCGGCTCTCTTCCTTTGACGGCAAGTTAGGCCTTCTACTACAGCTGCACTTTCCTGGGACGGCTAGGCAGGCTCCCAGTGACGCCAGCTCCACCTTCTGGGCGGCAAGGCATCACACCTACTACGGCGGCACGTCGAGGCAGCTCTCTAACTACGGCCGCACCTACCCCTCCGACGGCAAAGATAGGCTTTGGAGAAAGCTGCCTTACTTCGTACGGATTGGTAGCCTTTCAACTACAGTAGCATCGTCTTTTAATGGCAAGATAAACCACCAAGGAACGCCCGCACCTTCCTTTGACGGCAAAGCAGACCATTTACTGAGGCTGCATCTGCCTCCGACGGCAAGATGGAGCTGCAAGGATGGCTGCACCCTTCTAGGACGGCAGACAAGCACCACAGCACGGGCGGCGCCCCCCTCCGACGGCAAGCTACGCTTTTCCCGTTGCCAAAGAATGCACCCAACTAAGCCTTTAAATCCTATGGGCAGCAAGACGGTTCGTCCATTTTCGGCTGCACCTACCTCAGTCGGTAAAATAGGCATCCAGCAACGGCTGTATCATTCTTCGCGGCAAGGTGATCTTCCGACTTCGGCCGCACCTGATTATGACAGCAAAGCCGGCCGCCATTGACTGCAGCATTTCCTTCAACTACAAAGCAAGACACCAACGGCAAACTGCACCATTTCTGACAATAAGGTGGAATGGTTCCGTCACCTAGCACGAACCTAAAATCTCCATTGCGACGCCCGTACAGCACAGTTCACCTGCAGTATGAACGGCTCCGGACGTCATCGGTTTACTGTATACTGCCGAGCGCATGGCGAAGGCAGCCTGCCGGCGACAGTGGAAACCCTGCTCTTGCTACTGCACATCTTGTTCCTGCCAAAGTTGCTCTATCCAGTGCATACGTTTATTGCAAATCACGCAATGCACGGCTACCAGCGGTTATCTCGAAACCGTCGCGACTAACGTCTGCATATCACTGGGTACCATCAATCACAAGATCAATCACAAGATCTCTTGTGTGCTACCTTCAGTCCTTCACCACAGCCTTTTGCGGGTTCGGGGAGTCCGCAAGTACACGGCATCATCACCAACTTACCATGCGTACGCTGCTCCTCAAGGACATCACATTATCCTCGTTCACACGCATCGGCGACAGTATCCTCGTGTCCTTTACATCGACTAACAGTAGGACCGATCCGTACAGTCACGGTTACAAGCTATCACTGCGTACGACAGGGCGCTCAGTCTATCCAGTTCATGCTCTCACGACATACGCGCGGCTAAGACTTGAACTAGAGCAAGGACGGGCAGTTTTTACTCTGTCTAGCAGAGCTTACCTGACTCGTCAACGCGTTGAACGTACGCTGGATCATCTGCTGCGCCTCCTACCTGGCCACCACCGTCACGAAACCCATCGCTCTGCATCTGGGGCACGACAACAGCCGCTACCGCTGGGTCCAGCGACGTTGGAAAAGCAACTGTGTTGCCATCTATTTTCGGAGCCAAGTGCCGACAGACGTAATCAATCCAGACGTCTAATCATGGATGTTGTTTGGGGTTTGTTTGGGGCCTTCGGTTGCGCAGGGCACTGGTCGCTCTCTTGCGCCGACCCCCGGTCGGCCGGCTTCTCGCTGACCCAGGGTCACCGCACACAGCCGATCACGAGAGTACCAGCCGCCCAGCAGCCGGGGTTCCAGCACCCCCCAGTGGATTCCGGAAGCGGTAACATTAAATGACAATTAACAACGTTAATTGATGTTAATGTTAGCTGGAGGATGTGCGCTCCCGCGTTTCCCTTTTCACCGTGTGTAGGCAGCTACCTGTGTTGGTGGCGCTGCGAGTCGGTGTGGCCGCTTAGATCAAAGCAGCCGCCGGCACTCACGCGCCTGCTTTTTGCTCTCGGCACTGTTTCTGTGCCCGCGTTGGGTTCTGCATTTCTGGCCGATGTTCTTTGCATTTCTTGTTCGTGTGCGCGCGAGTGATTTGTTCTTTACCACCCGCCACACCCTGCTTTTTGTGCTGCTGTTATTTCGCGTTGCTCAATAAAGGGGCCTTCGGTTGCGCAGGGCACTGGTCGCTCTCTTGCGCCGACCCCCGGTCGGCCGGCTTCTCGCTGACCCAGGGTCACCGCACACAGCCGATCACGAGAGTACCAGCCGCCCAGCAGCCGGGTTAGTCAGTAGACTGTACTGTACTTGCACTATACTCGTATTCGTACTGTGGTTTTTTTATAAAAGTAGTTCTAAACTACTGTAATACAGCAAAGAAATTAATGAATCCTAAATAATTTCGCTCACTACAATTACAGTACAGCAATTCCTTGTTTCCTTTCATCTTTTCATTTACAGGAGGTTCCACTGTATCTTTTATCTTTTATGTGGGGAAGAGTAACCAAAAATGACCCGGAACCAGAAAGACTTTAATTTGTATGCTAACCATAAATCCGAAAACGAAATGATGTTTTGTTTCTTCCTTTTATTATTCACATACAGCTGATCACAATATACTGCAGTTTGTATTTTGTGATTTGTACATTAAAAGGGCGAGACTGTCTTTGCAGTCTATGTTTATCTCTTGTCATGTAAGGTTGTAAGGTCATACAGCCTATATATATTCTGCAGTTGCACGTCGCAGTAAGTCTGTATTTTTACAATTATTTTTTAAACTCTGCTACAAATGTAGTACAGTAGTTGTATACGATTTATAATTCTTCGTTTTCCGTATGCGCATACGGCTTAATATGTTATTAAGTCCGCAATTAAATTAATAAGTTTTGCACATGGCATCAGTAAGCAAGAGATGTGCGATGCACAATAATCTAATTATATAAAGCAATTGTGTAAATATTAGTACTGATATGATGAAAATCATACATAAATTGAAATACGTAGGTACTGTCAGCACTAAATTTTATACTATAGATATAAAATCTTATTAGGCTAGGCTGGCTAGTTATCTAAAAAAATTTGTTGCGCCGATAAACAGCTTCACGCCAGTTTTGTATTGGATGTATGAACACGAGCAGGGAGCTGGATGATTCAATACGTACTACAAAGTATTATCACTAATAATTCTATAATTGAAGCAAGGAATAATAAAGCACTAGCACTGTAAGTAGATATATAGAAATACAGAATAGGGTGTCCAAGAAGTAAACAGTGACTACCCCATTATTACTCGTAATACTCACAATTAATAGAGCAAATGATTAGAAAAACATATTGTGAGGAGTGTTAAGGGACGCCGGTGTCGTGTTGAGTAGCGAAAATGTCGTGTTCGAAGCGGGGACGTTGGCATTTGCTGTGGTCCAGTTCCAAACTCCGCCACTGGGCACGACTGCCGTATTGTTATAGCCGAACGTCCATCCACTATAGTTAGTAGGAATAAAATTTGTAAGACCTGTCGCCCAAATTCCAGTTGTGTTAAAGCTGGAAGATGGAGTTGTCACGCCGCCAGTTGCATTGAAACTCGGGAATACACTAGTGTGTGGTCCTGTAACATTAAAATTTGGGAAAACCGTGCTAGCGCTTACGGTTCCTATTGTGCCATTTAGGAAAAGAGTGGCCACACTTCCGGTTCCACTAACATTCGGAAAATTTGTTGCTAGATTTCCGGAAGCAGTGGAGAGCTTGCTTGTGTTCAGGGTAGAGCTTTGAGTAGTTGCACTTGCAGTTACAGTAAAATTCGGGGAAGTAGTCGTAGCAGGAGAATGTGTTCCAGCAGTACTAGTCGTTAGTGTCGCGTTACTGGAAGCGGGTGTAGTTGTCCAGATCCCTGTTACATTAAGATTTTGGGCGGAAGTGTTGAGAATTCCGGTTGTACTGTTAGGGTAACGAGTGACCACAGTTCCGGTTACAGTGAAATGTGCGGGAACACTGGCGAAAACAGTTGCGTTAGAAACTGCCGGTAAGGGAGTGGTCAGTGTTCCAGTACTGTTAGTGTGGTGAAATGTTGTGGCGTTTCCGGTTACGCTGGAATTTGGGGAACGGCTCGTCAGGGCACTTGTTGCATTCAAATTAGGATTAGGGACGGAAGTTGTACTATGCCCTGTTGTACTGTAGTTCGCAGAAGAGGTATTTGTTCTGCCCGTCGTTGTGCTAGCAACAAAAGTCGTAGTTATCGTCGAAGAAGTCGTTGTACGGGTAGTGGTCATTGTACTGGTACTGGACACAGGAGTCGTCGTAGTCCAGTTCGTCGTCGCTGCTTGGGTGGCAGACGTTGAAGAAACTGAGTTCAAGTGGTTCGTGCTTGCATTCCAACTGCCGGTAGAAAACGTTGCAGTAGTAAAGTGTCCCGTGGTTAGTGTGGTACCTGATGTCGGTTTCGGACTAGATGTGGTGGTTACCGCAACCGTACTTGTCAAACTGCCGGTAGTCGGTACCCACGTTGAATTAGTCGAATGCCCTGTAGTCAAAGTGACACTGGATGTCCGATTGGAACTAGTGGTTGTGGTGACTACGGTAGAGATATTTGGACTACCGGTTGTAGATAGCCCCGTTGCATTAGTTGAATGTGCCGTGGTTACGGTGAAGCTGGATGTCTGGTTCAGGTTGGGGGTGGTAACGGAGCCATTCGGAGAGGTGAATCCAAGAGTTGCAGTGGTTATCAAACTACTGGCTGTTGTGCTAAAGGCGGCAGTGCTGTTAGGGGAACCGTGTCCAGGTGTCGACACCGCTTTGATGGTGGTCGTAGTTGAAACTTGCTGCACGGAGGGCGTTGTCGTGAGAAAGGTGCTCGATAATGTTGAATTACTTGTGTTACTGCCGGTTGTGCTGGAACCCATAAATGTGGTGCTGTTTGTAACGCTAGCTGGGATTGAGCTTGGCGTGGTTGAGATTGAAAAATTACTGGGCATCGACGATGCGGATGCGGTCCAATTTGTTTGCACGGGGACTTCGGTCGCTGTGCTTATCTTTCTCTCTATAACACAAAAAGCGTTGATTGGTCGAAAATTTTGTAAACGAAACAGCACCCAGATTATTTCAGATCTGCTGTGTAAAAAGAGCTCTCAAAATATTTCGCAAGATTATGTCGTGAAATTATTGGTCTGCTGAGTTACAATAACTACTCTAGCGCTACAAATACTGCATCTGTATGTATATGCGAGTGTGATGGTGCATTAATACACAGTACACGATAATACTACTTTGTAGTTTTAATGTTCTATCATAAATCGTACGATCGAACGTCCACACTCCACAGGCACAGCTAACTAATAGTGGCGAACGATAAAAAATTTATATAGATCTGCCAGTCCATGATTGGTACTTCTACATATTCTGACGTGACATGTTTTTGCAATACCGTTTTGATAATTAGCGTTTCGGCAACCGACATACGTACGGAATGTACAGTACATCACTATCTAAAATTAAAGCCTAAAATAATATCATTTCATACAGGTGAATGGACGAAAATTTTTGTTTAGTCTTCTGCATTAGTCAACTTTCGTTTCTTGATAACAGTTTGGCTGAAGGCCCAACAATAACAATTTCCTGTATGTCTTATTTGTTGAAGGCGTCTTTAAAAAACTCCTTCGGAACGCTTCCTACGGAAGCCTTACGCAGGCGCGTGGATTGGTTAAGAATAAATGCGAAAAAAAACCAAAATACTGCAGCCGGGCAAGAGAATGTGCGTAATGAAAATTTGAATTTCATTGATGCTAGTCAAATCGGAACAATGCGTTATCTGCGACTCTGCGTACGAGTTGTCCAGTTCTAACGTGGAATTTCTAGAATTTGGGAATGTCTGAACTATTCTGATGTACAGCAACACGTTTTCTTGACCTGCATTCCTTTTCATTTCATACTTTCCTGCTCAGCCTGGACACTGCATTTTTGTCCTGGGAAACGAGCAATTAAATGTTCTAGTTCAATGATTTTTTTCTAAGCGCTGAAACATAGGATGGAGAATGAGGGGAGTCATCCACTGATACTATCGTATTACAATACGAATGCAAGCCTGCTGCCCTACGATTGTGTGATTGCTGTTGGAATACCGACAGTCTATATAATTCAGCTTTGCGATACACGTACAGCATCTCTTCGAATGGGAATCCGACAGAGAATCGGCAACTGAACAGGCAGGATAGAGGCTAACCTTTAGTGTCCTTTACTTTCCATCTTTTCCCCGTTAGAGGATAGACAGACGCAAAAGCTCAGAACAGACAGAATCATCCTGACCTTTCAGTAACCTTTCAGTTACACGTTGGATCCTATACTAATATAATATATAGACAGACTACGTCTGCCATATGTTATATTAGGCTTGCCCGTTTCAACCGTGCAGCGCCTGCGTAAAATTGATAGGATTAGTTTACCGTTGTAGCATAGGATCAGTCGCTCATCGGTGACCTTACAAATAATAATTAAAAATCACACTCGTTGTACTCTGTATGTACAGATATGTAATCTACTGTGACTTGTTAGAACGCCGTGCGGTTGATGTGCTGGGATGTGTTTTGGCGTGTTGTAAACTTACACCGTAGGTCAAAATGTGGTATTTTTTGGGCTGATGAGAAACAATTCAATGATAACAGCACTGCAATCGCAATTTTTTTGGTATATTTAAACTGTATTTGCTCTACAGAAACGCAGTTAATACTAATTTGTAAAAAAAATCTTTGAATTTCTATTTTGGGTGGCATGGGGAGAAAAAAGGGTAACAGAATGCAGTGCTGTTATCACTGAATTGTTTCTTCACAGCCCTTTTGTACAAGCAAAGTCTCCTGCAGAGCAAATACAGTTTTTAATTCTTATTGAGTCAAGCCACATTAATATCTGCAATACTAAAATGGCAAACATTAAGATAATAAAGCGTTTCCACAGTGCAATCTAGAATACCTAATCCAACATGTACGGTAAGATGGGAAATACATATTGGAACCCTGAAAGCACCACGCTGCTTGTTCTCCTGGCCAAACTGTTGGACCAGTGTTAGCCGAGAATATTTAATGCCGTTAGCATCTAAGACGATCCAGTACCTTCTGACTCTGTGTTATCATCAATGCTGTCGCTGGATGTTTCCTTACCCTGTGCAACTAAAACGCCGTGACCTTTTCTTTGTGACATTTCAAGTTCGGGCTTAAAGGTGACCTGCTGGTTGGGCTTGAGGGTCACATCGATCGCCGGAGTACCGGCCGCCAATTCCGATTCGGTCATGCCGGTGCCGGCATCTGTGGCGCCTTCGGTCGATTGACTAGATTCTTCGGGTGCCTGGGTGGTTGTTGCGGCTTCCGTGGTTTCTGCGCCCGCCTCACTGGTCTGCTCTGGTTGTCCGGCTGTGGTGGTTTCAGCGGCAGTTGTTTCTTCAGCGGCAGTAGTACTCTCTTCTTGAGAGGCGGAAGTGGTTTCTTCTGCCGCTGAGGTTTCGCTGCCGGTAGTCTCCTCTGGTGTTGTGGTCTCCACGGTTGTGTCGGGTTCGGGTTCCGTGGCATCACGGGTGGTTTCTGTGGAGATGGCGGTTGTTTCGGTTTCCGTTGTCCCCTCGGTGGAAGCTTCCGCAGTTGTCTCCACTGAAGTTTCAGCCGCTTCGGAAGTTTCACTTCCGGTGGTTGCCTCCGAAGTTTCGGCACCTGTGGTTTCAGCGTCAGTAGACGCCTCTGCAGTTGTGTCTTCCGGGGACGACGACGCCGATGTGCTGGCACCTTCGGTAGTTTCTGCAGTAGTGTCCTCCACAGTCGTCTCACCAGCAGGCGAGGAACCTTCGCTGGTTTCCGCAGTTGTCTCCTCCGCCGGACTGGAAGCTTCCGACGCGGCGGTAGTGTCACCTTCCGTGGATCCAGCAGTTGTTTCGGCTTCGGTGGTAGCATCACTCGCCAACTCGGTGCTGGCTTCGGTTCTGGGTGTATCATCTTCCTCCGTTGTCGTTTCCACTGATTCCGGCGTGGTTGTGTCGGATGCAGCCTCGGCGGTTGTTTCTCCGGTGGAAGCTTCCGCAGTGGTCTCCTCCGCGCCCGTTGTGCTGGTGCCTTCCGGAGTGGTTTCCGTCTCAGTCGACGCTTCCGGTCCGGAAGTGGTTTCGTCGGCGGGTGACGTGGCTTCCGTTGTTTCGGCCTCGGCAGTTGACTCTGCTTGAGTGGTCTCCTCAGTGGACATGAGCTCAGTGCTGGCCTCGGTGAATGGCGTCTCATCAGGCTCCGTCGTCGTTTCCTCTCCTGCCGCTGTTGTTGTCTCTTCGGCTGGTGATGATGCTTCGCTTGTCTCGGTATCGGTCGTTTCTCCCGTGGTTTCAGCAGTCGTTGTATCCTCAGTGGAAACCAGCTCGGTGCTGGCTTCCGTAAACGGTGTTTCGTCAGATTCGGTGGTGCTTTCCACCGATTCGGAGGTGGTGGTCTCCTCAGCCGGGGATCCTGATTCGGCTGTCTCAGCAGTGGTATCGGGGGCAGCAGCTGTTGTTTCGTCGGAAGACGAGGCATCGGTGGTTTCGCTTTCAGCAGTGGTATCGGTGGTTTCGCCCTGGGTAGTGTCTTCGGTCGACATTAGCTCCGTGCTGGCTTCTGTGAACGGAGTTTCATCTGGTTCGGTGGTGGTTTCATCTGACGCCGGTGTCGTGGTCTCATCGGCTGGTGACGTGGCTTCGCTGGTCTCACTTTCGGCAGTGGTGTCGGAGGTGTCACCTTGTGTGGTGTCTTCGGTGGAAACCAGTTCCGTGCTGGCTTCGGTGAACGGGGTCTCATCGGGTTCGGTGGTAGTTTCGTCCGATGCCGCTTCGGTGGTTTCGTCAGCTGGTGATGTGGCCTCCGTGGTGTCGCCTTCGGTCGTCTCGCCAGTGGACTCACCGGCTGTTGTGTCCTCGGCCGGGGATGATTCACTCGTTGCACTTTCGGTAGTCTCAGCCGTGCCTTCGGTGGTTTCCTCCGTCGATACCAGTTCGGTGCTGGCCTCGGTGAAGGGCGTCTCGTCCGGCTCGGCTGTGGTTTCGGCCGATTCCGCAGTGGTGGTTTCTTCCGCGGGAGTCGTAGCATCTGCCTCCGCTGTTGTCTCATCGGACACTGATGCTTCCGTGGTCTCGCTTGCGTCAGTAGTTTCGCCTTGAGTGGTTTCTTCTGTGGACACCAGTTCAGTGCTGGCTTCGGTGAACGGCGTTTCGTCGGGCTCGGATGTGGTCTCATCTGACACCGCTTCGGTCGTACTCTCGTCAGCTGGGGTCGTTGCTTCCGTGGTATCACCTTCGGTAGACTCACCAGTGGTTTCCGCTTGTGTGGTCTCCTCAGTGGACACCAACTCGGTGCTCGCTTCAGTGAAAGGTGTCTCATCGGGTTCGGTGGTGGTTTCGGCCGCTTCGGAAGTTGTTGTTTCTTCTGCCGATGGTGTCGGTTCTGCGGTTTCCGTAGTGGTGTCCGCGGCGGTGGATTCACCGGAAGGAGACGATGCTTCCGATGTTTCGCCTTCGATGGTTGTATCAGTGATCTCGCTGGCCGTTGTCTCTTCAGTCGATATGAGAATGGTTGATTCAGTCGCCGGACCTTCTTCGGTAGTTTCTGCAGCGGGCGTCGCCTCGGAAGTCGTTTCCGCAGGTGACTCGCTCGTCGTTTCCGCGGACGTTTCCGGAGTGGTCTCCGCACTGACTTCCGCGGTGGTTTCCGCTGTTGTTTCCTCGGGCGTGGTTTCTGCACTAGCTTCGGAAGTGGTTTCGGCGGTTGTAGTTTCGGCTGACGTTTCCGCTGTGGTTTCAGCAGTGGTCTCAGCGGTAGTAGTCTCGGTTGTTGTTTCCGTTGTCGTTTCGACTGTAGTGGTATCAGTGGTAGTCGACTCGGTGGTAGTTGGTGTAGTCGCTTCTGTTGTGGTCGTTGTTGGTGCCGGTGTGGTAGCCAGATGTGGCACTTCGGTGCTGGGTTTCGATGCTTTGGTGGTGGTGGGTGTGGTCGATGGGCCAATGGTTGTTGGACGTGTAACTGATTTACAATCAACTAGACAAAATATTTCCATCAGTTTTTGTCTCGGTTGATATTTCACCTCTGAATGGACAAGTATGGTACTGGTACAGTACAATTACAGCACTTACCGGCGTGGCAATTTGCTGCACTGCATTGACGCGGATACTTCGACGCCAGTTTTTTACAGTCACACAGTGACAATTCGTCCAACTGGGGAATGAAATACGGCGCCACTTTAACGTGGAATACCGGCTTGCCGGGTTTGCTGAACTCTTCCGGTTGATTGTGGGTAACGGAGCACAAATCGTACGGGCAAATGTTGGCAAACGAGTTGTCATTATATGTAGGGAAAGCAATCTCCAAACCTGAACAGCCAAAATCATCATGCATATTTCTTCACTTTGCAGGAAGTAGCAACTAGCTACTAGCGCGCCTACCGAAACTTGCGTTTTAAAAAAAGTTCACCATTGCTGTATGCCACTTATAATGCCAGTGAATTATTTGCGCCACATTTTACGGTTACCGTGTTACGGTCAGCTAGCAGCTCGCTTACCAGGAATGATATTGTTGAGGAACATCTCGATAGCGTTGTGGCGATCGGGACGTCTGTGTTCCGAGTTGAGACCCAGTGAAATGACGACGAACTTCATGATGCCGCGCACCGTATTGGAGCAGGCATGTGGACCGCGTCCGACGATGGTGATTCTCTGTTCAGTGGCCAGACTGAAGAAGGCTTTGGAGTATCCAGAGTATGCGGAGCAGCGGGTGGCGGGAGTGCGGCTGTTTTGCGAAACAAATGAATGAGCTAACGGTGTTAGTATAGTGATATCATTTACAGGCTACTTACTCGTCCTTTTCGAAAGGCGTGAACAGAATCTTAAACGTCCAGCTGGAGCGTGCCACCTCTTGGAATTTTATGCATCCGTTCATATCTTTTGTGATTTTGTCCAGTGCTTTCTTGATAAGCCTGACATGCCCGTCAGCTGCAATGTTGTTTCGTTAAAGAGTGTAAACGCACACACTGCAGAGAGATGTTGAGTTTTGTGGTCAATGGTAAAGAAACGTACTGAACCCTCTTATGATGGTGTACGGGATAGTTGCGCTAGGCCACGAAGCTCCGACTGTTGGTCCGAAAAGGCCCCTCGTTTGAGCATGTTCCACAGCATCGGCTTCGTCCACGGATTGTACAGATTTGGCTACAAACAGGAACGCTTGTATAGTGGCTGTACGCTGCACACGCTCAACCGGGACAAACACAGATACCTATGTGACACTTTTGACATTTTCTGTATAGGTCAGGTCATAGCTCGGCAACTCTGAAGGCGAAGAATGAGCTAGTACATCTACAGTAAACTACTCCAACATGACCTTTACCATAATTACGTCCCTGTTTGAAATAAGTGTTGCCGATAAATTGTAATTTATAACTACACAATTTTCATTTGCAATCGATCCCTAAAAACTGCTGTTATTCTGCATTGGAGTGTCGGAAGAAACGAATGTCAGAGGAGGTAGTCAACCGGTGGCTTACCGATTTGGAGATAGCAAATTAATTATCGAAATTACAGATTTGTTAAATTATGGGCTTACCGGCTATCCGCGAAATGCACAGCACCACCAGCACGGCCGTTGACAGTAATAAAGAAGATCTCATGGTATATGTACCGGCTGTAGCGCCAGCGTATCAGCGACGGAAGATATCACAGCAGTCAGTTAAGGCAGTGTGGATTGCTTCCTGCGTGCTAGTCCGGATGTTATTGGTTTACCGACTGAAATCGGCCGCTTTTTGGTCATTTGGATTATCTACCTGTTCTCTAATTTGGTTCCCTGAATTTCTGCTTATTTGGTTATTAGACATGATTGTCAGCAGCTTTTCGATGGGCTAACTCGGTGACCAGAGCGAAGTGTTTGCGCCAGCGGAACGTGTCGCTCGAAAGACCGAATGTCCACGCATCCAGCGGTACATATAAAACTGTTTTTACTATCGTTCACGTGAAATTGGCAGAAACACACCTAGAAAAAGGTTAACAAGTGGGAACAAAAATATTACAGCAAGTCACTGAGGTGCTTAGGTTGCAAGTTTGAATGGCTTGATCCTCAGGAAAACTTCGATTTTTCCATGCACTTCAAGCAGAAAAAGTAGCTAAAACGCCTTTTTTTGCCTTATTGTTCGAACCGCTGCAAGTGGTTGTTTTCAGTTGCACGGGTTGCAACACTGTTGCAACCCGTGCATATGTGTTGCCGATTAGCATGTAAGTATATAAAATTGATACACCACGAAGAATTACTGCAGAAGTGTGCATACGCACATCTACCCTAGTGCTACAAGTATATAGAAGTACTGCAGGAGTTCACAACGATGACTTTAAGGTGCTAGAGTAGTAAAAGGGCTTTTTCGGCACTCTTAAATTTAAGTAATACACCTTAAAACACTTATTTTTCTGATGTATTACTTAGCTCTAAGTTAAATACTTAAACATATAGTGTAGAACTTAAAATCTGCCAGGATTAAAAATCGGACTGACGAAAACAGTAGAGTAGTCTTGAAGTTTGAATCAAAGTGTTTCTGTATCGTTTGTTTCAATTAAGTATCGACCTACGATAACAACTTTACTACGACTTCAATTTAGTGACCTGTCGATTATCTTCTTTATTTTACAATAACCTGCACTGAAAATGATGAGGCAAACAGAAAATTAAAATTATTCAATTCCTTTTTAGTTACTTATCATGTGGCGGAACAAATTATATACGCCAACTTCGAAGCGACTGTGTTTTGCGTTAATTTGTCACTTTTGGAACTGAATCTGTTCTGCTTTTCTCTAAAATTAAGGTTCCAATTGCTTTAATGCCGGAATCTGATCATGAGTTGCATTTATTCTCCGGCAGCTCGGTAAACTAATGCAAGCTTCGTCGAAAAATTTTTTCGATAATATTTGTTGTACAAGGGTTAATTGGTTATTACTATTATTTATTATTATTACGACGCAAGAGCAGGAGAACCCATCAGGGACGTTAAGCCTGGTCGATCGATCAAATGCGAGCACAAATCAAATAACAGTTTTTTTATATCTGCATAAGTACGTAAGTATCACAATGCATAGCGACACTACTAAGCATCAGAGTTTGGCTACAGTGAGCACGTCTGTAATTCCGTATAATTTTGCTTTTACATAGAACATAGTTAAGTATGTGGTGGTGCTAGCATTTCTTTGACATCTCCATTCGCATGTACACACTGCTAATTATCAGCTGTTGGCGACCCATAAGGGAGCAATTAGGATACTGGGCCGGCAGGGATAGAATTTGGTGGAGGAGGCTGTGACTCGCAATCAACTACAATTACAAAAAAACACAGGTGAAGTTTTTGAGTTAAAGCCCGATGGAAACGTAAAATCGCGCCGCTGGACAATAATGTACCGCATAATTAGTTATATGTTTTGCGGTTTAGGTTTGCTATCTCTCTAAGTTCAAGTTCATTAAACATACACCCTTTTCCAAAATTTGTACTGTAAACTGTGCAGAGCATACTACAGAATCTCATCTTTTAGTAGATAACTAAGTATATTACGGGAGATCACCAGGAAGGTAGGAACTACTGTAGTTGTAAGAAAAACGCTGCGAATGGTCATAATACGATAATTTAGCATCGGAATGTCAACCGCTAAACTTCGATTGTCTGCTTACAGAATTCGCAGGTAGTAGATGGACAGCCGTAAAGCTCCGTAAGTTCTTTACAGTCGCACCCACTGAGTCGGCCAGTTTTTGGTATGTAAAACGGAGCATTCTTCACTGTGAACATTTGCAGTCCCCGTTTTGCGAAGTCGCTCGGTTGGTTATGAGTAACTGAGCCTGCGCAATAAGTAACTACGTTAGTTTGTGGCACAATAATACAGACATATATTGCACTTAATGTTGTTCCAAAATTACGTACAGTAATCATAATTGCAAATGTAGAGAAATGATTCCACTGGATGAGGTCGGAAAGCAATTTCGGCACCTATTGGTCAACCGCAAAAAAATCAACTAATTGGAAGCCAACGTCAGATATATAGCAGTAATTCGAAATTTTCTTCCGAAAATCATTTTTTGCAAAGTGAAGGTTCTTTCAACCCAGGCTATTGCGATACAAAATCATTAATTACCTTGTTGTATGTTACTCATATTTACTGTTAGATGTTCGTCCCGATCGTGGCGTTGATGCTCGTTGCGCCTTCCTGACAAAGAAAACATTGCTAAAACTGCAAACCATTTACGCATATTTTATCTTCATTATTTATAGAATAGCGCGCTCGCAAGCTAACCATGCTATTCATTGTTCGCATTACCCATGCTGATAGTGAACATTTTCATAAGGTCATGTTGAGTTCCCATGCATCCATCGTCGCCACGAGCAATAACCAAGCGCTGCTCCGACTTCCTTTTGTCGGCCAAGTAAGCCTTGTAAATTCCGGGCCAGGAGGCACAATACTTAGCAGCCGTTTTGCTGGTAAATAGATAAATCAGTAAGTACACACTTTTGAAAAAAATTAATAAATAAATGCAAAGTCAGGAATAACTTTTCACGCTTCCTTAACTTGTATTTTATAAATATTTCTGTAGCAGTGTAATGGCAGCAGCACATACTTGTCTTTTTCAAATGGAGTGATTCTCAGTTTGTATTTGGTGACATTGCAAGCCACTTGCTCAAATTTAGTGCAGTTCCTGACACCGTTTTCTACCGCTCTCATCGCTTTCGTCATTTGGTCTTGCTCGTCTTGAGCTGCAACGTCAACGCACAATTGTCAATTGCGTAACAAAAAATAATATGAGTTACAATGTAAGTTATAATGCGGCCGACATACAGTACGAGGCATCGAAACAGTAGGTGATGGTCTTTTTGGGCCACAACCAGAACTGATGCCGGGTGCTGTAAGGGACGAACGCCGCCCGCAGGTTGGATCTGGCCGATGGTCTTTCAAATCCCAGCGCATCCCTCAGGTCCGTCTGAGCTGAAAACTTTCATTTATAATAAAAAAATACTATACCAAATACACACGCATACCGACGATACGCCGAAGACTGCCTACCTGTTGCGCTGTTAATTGCCACAATAGCGACAATGATAACGGCACTCGTAATAAACATCCTCAGTGCTGTCATCTTGACTCCGGAGCTACTGAATCTCACTTCCGACCCGAGAGAAAATCTGGGGATCGGAACTGGAAGCGCGTGGTAGTATCGAACTTAGCTGCCGACTCCAACAGTTCAAGTCACTGAAATCAAGACAGAAACTGGGCGTAACCTACCAAAAGATAAAAAGTTAGGTATATTTTGCTTAATTAACACATTCAGCACGTTTGCCATCTTGAACCGGAAATTTACAACCAGCAGTATGGGGTGAAATTGCTGCGGAAGCACGACTGAAAATCTATCTCGCTTCGGCATAAATCGTCACAGGATGCATGTACTCACATATATACACGTACGAATAGTAAGTAGCTGTTGTACAGGCTCGTTACAACATTTAAATACTGTAATTGCTGTAACTACTGCAAGGTGCGAGTGCTCGAATAGTATGCGAAAGTCACTTCACCTGTTTTAAGGCCATGGCTATTTTGGCTTTAATGCTAAAATGGCATTTTCCGTAAAAACTCAGACATACAGACAGACAACTCAGACATCACACGCAAGTGTGATTGAAGCGGTCACTCGGCTGTCTGGATAGTCTCTGTGGCGGGATGCATGTGGTGAGTGGAATCAGCCAACATGTGCACAGGAGACATAAACTTGCATGAACTTTCGAAAGGAGCCGCTAAAAATGCATCCAAATAACTTTGAAAATTAACTTCTAATTTCGGAGCTATAGAACTTTTTTGAAACTCGCGCAATAAGATGGAAGAATATCTCAAAAGCTTAATTGCGAGGGCGAATTTAAAAATATTCGGTTTTACTTGAGTTATAACGATAACCAGCAATTGTAAAAGTGTTTTTTAAAAGCTGCAAGTTTAAAAATTTGTTTTTTGAAAAAAGCCCTCGCAAGGTGCAAGAGGACTAAGTTCTTGATTTTTTGGCTGCTTACATAGAATTTTCCCCGTAGCGTGTGCAGACTAGTTAATTTTTTAGTGGAATTATTTTATTTCAATAAACTCTGAAATGGCTGACGACTTTGACCAGTCGCCAAATTCAACTTTTCTGGCCTCTCTCGAGAAGGATGTTACTTGACTGCGACTACGCTACCTTCCCGGGTAGGTGGTTTCGTTTACAAGAAAACCGAATGCTACTGCACACGCTACTGCAAAATGGTTATGAAGCAAAAATTTGCATCAGATGTTTGTTGCTTTGCTTTTATTCGGATCTCGACAATTAAGTAAATTTCTTGCAGTTCTTTTGAAGGTCAGGTGTAAAGCTGCTCAGCCTAGCGTCTTGCAGTCAGGATCCTGTTTTAATAGTGTACGTTGCGACTGTAAAATGGTTGCACAGTTGAACTGATTATTCTTCCTCGAAACTTCGCATCGAAAACATGCGCTAAAGTACAGTATATCACTAGCAGTAGCAAGCGTTTTCGACAGTTTTTCACTAGTAGTGACAGCAGTTCTGGACTTAGAGTTGGAGATCTTTGGGTTGTGGGATCGTGTCATTGATTTGCACCCGTCCTCATCTTATCTGAAGGGCTACGCTTACTGGCTAGCTTCTACGAGCACGCGCTGGAATGGACGGAAATAAAGGTATGGTTGTCGGCTGCTACAACAGTTGGGCTTACATAATTTTTAGATTTTAAGACTTATGTATGGGAACAGTAGATTTTACTATGTGAAAAGTGTCGAAACCTCTGCTGTTCAGTGTTCAGTAATAGTGATTTGTCATTTGTATGTAAGCTGTAAACAAGAATTTGTAAGCAGATCGTTTCCGAAACGTTTTAATGAGGCAGCTTGATATCGCTCTGCTTGTTTTCATAACCATACACTGATGATACACATAGCGCTATCGGCTGTTGGTATAAGTACATCTTTACGAAGACCACTTGTACATCCATTGCCATAAATGTGTTGATTAAATGTATAATTAAGGACCTTACATGGAACGGTGGAATTCGGAACCCTAACGTGTAAATTTGACTACTCGTACAAAATGGGTATAATATATTATCGGCTTGTATCTGCTCAAACGCCCTGCTCTTTGCCACCAATGGTTTGATTGTTTCCGCAAGCCTACTTTTTTTTGCGAAACCCATGGAAATGACATTGTATGAACATTGTACTTGTAATAATACCGGCAATTCCGTTGGGGTGTGTATCAGTGTACGACGACTCATTATGGATTTTAAACCAATTAGCAGTGACAAAGCCAGATTACGATCATTTCAGCGGAAGGTGTTGTTTCGGTATACAGTACCATGGCCATTATCGTCAGCAAATATCTATATTATTATCTTTGTTGAAAGGTTGTGCTTGTGCTGGAGCAAGGCGAAGTTGTACGATCAGTGTCACGCTATCCTTATTAATTTTGCGGTGCCACCGTAGTTAAGAAGTCTATAAATACTCGTGTACAATCGGCTTTGATGTACATAGCGGTTTAAAAAGCTGCCACTGCAGCAATTTCTGCTTACTATTGGCTAACTAAACATTTGGGAAATGTTCCGTTTGATTTTATTTGTTCTTGCTGTGGTTATTTTAGGTGATTCGGCTAAAGGATTGTTGTCTTCTAACTACGATAGACTACCTGCCGAAGACAAACAGGATCAACTATGGCAGAAAATCGCCCGTGATCCGTATCGGGAAAATGAGCTTCCTACGGCTAATCCCAGCTTCTTCTCCTTGCTCAATCTATTTTTTCCGCCATTTCTCAAGAAATCCTTCACCCATGATGGCGATGAGATGCCCAACACCCGGCAGAAGCTGATTCATACATACGGAAGTGTGGCCAAAATGGAATTCCGTACCAACCCTAACATCACCACGTCGTTCACGGGATTGCTCCGATCAGGCGCCATCGGCTTCGTGCGTCTCTCCCTGGCCAGACAGAGTGAGGATACGTTTATTCCGGGAATGGGAGTGAAATTTTTGATCGATGGTAAACCGTCTCTCAACATGCATGTGATGAATTCGCTGGAAGGGCAAGGGGGAAATAAAAATTTCTTTGAACGGACGTTCCGGAATATCATCCCCGCTCCCTCATCAATGAAGCTGAAGCTCCTGTCCAAAGCTTTCGCAGTGGCTATTTGGTTTCTACCGGGCGGCAGAGACGATCGCCCCGAATCGGAAACAAATCTGCCACTTTACGAACATGCGGCTGTCGATAATGAAGGGCGTGCCGTTTCGCCGGTGGTAGCGCCATACGAAATCTCGTTCACACCTAATCCGGAGCTGGCATGGTCACCGGATACAACCGAGGATTTGCGAGTGAATCTGGGGAAGATTCCGGTGGGGTCGGTTTTGTATACGGTTACAGCCAAAAGAGGACTGCGAATGGAAGCGGAGACCATTGGCGAAATTATTAGCACTAGCCGCTTTGTTGCATCGCGATATGGAGATGAAATATTATTCTTTCAGCATGCTAGACACCGTTGGCAATCATCGTAGTACAGTTGAACGGCTTGTGCATCTTAAAGGTTTGCAGTTTACGTAACTACTCACTGATACTCCTACAGCTGAAAAAACTCAAAAATGGGTAGTATCTCTTGTATGTGAATTGTGGTATTAAAAGTTACGCGTTTGGAAGGGCCCTGACTTTTGTATGTAACCCGCTCCTTTTGCAAAACGATTGTATTTTCGAAGCACCAATTTGTTTCAGATTTTCAGTTGCAGATATTCAAATACTTAAGTATAACAAAGAACGCCCGCTGCTTATCACTACAGATTGACAGATTACACCCGAGCCATGCAGTACACAATGGTTTTGTTGCTATGGTGAAACTGACTGAAGTTTTTACAGCGAGCTATAATGTATCATTTATGCAACGATCTGCCGCCATTGCTTCATTGACCTTTCTGTAAAAACAATTCCAGATATTACGTATTTTATTTGTTCTGGGTCGACTGTCGATTACTAAGATTTCCAGATTTTCTTCACCAGAAAGTGCTGTAAGTATTATCTGCTCGTGGAAACGCGAAACACAGTTAACGCTGTTCCTGATAGCTGCGATACAACAGTATTCTGTGGATACACATCTATTAAATTATTATAGTCCGTGCGTCATTATTATACTAGTTAATAATACCTGCTCACTATTTTTTTTTTCGTTGCAAGCTAATTTTACTTAACTTCCGCCCAGTAATAGATATAACCCTTCTTATTACAACTGTAGAATTTACAACTACGAGCGTCTGCCTACGAGTAGTGAGGGCCCGTAATTGTTTGTGAAGGGGCAATCGGGTATACTGAAAATACAGGTAGAGAAACAGAGCTAATAAAATGTTTGTATTTTGTCAATAATGATAAATACACACCTGCGTTTGTGAAGTACTCTGTATGTACACTGTCTTTTTGTCATAATACAACATAATGCTGCAATGCGTTGCGTTTGGTGATTTAGCATTTCCATAAAAGTTTTGCAATGATATCACTGTTACGCACAAATGTATGCCCATAATAATATAGTACGGGCACTGTCTTGCTTGTAGGCATATCTATATAGACCTTTATACAAGTACTGTATTTTGATACACAATTACACACTGATACAATAACCTACAAACATGGTTTGCTGTGCGGTATAATCATTATAGAGATTTAATTAAGTTCTAAAGGAACGGGTTGGGTATTACTGCTGCATCGTTCTATCTGTACTGCACTTACATTATTTAGTCACCGCATCATATTGTCAGTAATACGAATTGCAACGTTCGGTGAAAGCTGGAAACGGATAGTGCCTTCGAACACTCAAGATTACTTGTTTTTAGAACGTTGCTTCCACAACTCAGATGGTTACCGATTTAGAATGTCGGTATGGAAAGCCCGCGAATACTGGGATGCCCCACGCATGCAGGAAGTGACATCCAACGAGAGCATTATTCCTGGTTGTGCCGCCACTCTGGATGTTCGCTGTTCGCGTGGATGTCTCTGCACCGTCAGACTTGCCGAAAGCCCCGGTGAATAGACATTAGCAACTATAAGTAACTGGTTAGCGATGCTTGTAAAATCAAACAAATCTACTAGATCTAGAGATGCGAACATGTGTAATGTTAAAGACATCAGAAATTCCTACTAAAGTATTCGAAGAGAACATGTGGATTTAATTGTTAGCATCCGATGTCATAATCGTGGGAACCTGGAATGGCATCCTCCGTGGTTTTTTTCCAGACAATGTACCCTATGCTTCTCAGCAGCTGCTTTTTGAGAAAGCTCTGGATGCTCCGGTACTGCAACTGGAAGTCGGCAACTTCATACTGTAAGCATAATGCACTGTGCCTGCCGACTTCTTCTGCTTCCTAACTGGAGCTATTACGCACTTTGCAGTGGACCGTCGACTTCTGGACCTGGAGGATTCCAGTTGGCCGTACTGCACTCAGAGAAAGTCAGCATGTTTTATTGTACGATTGCCAAAAGTGATTCTGAAAACGTGGATTTGTTTCCCTTACGAAGTTACAAATTAACAGCTCCCGCTTACTGCATGGTTATCGGCACATTCGGTGGCGTAAAGGGTCAGTACAGTCTGTACGGGACGTTCCGAGTGATCCACATATACGACTGTACTTATTATTTTTCCATGCGTATGTATTAATTTCTAGCTGAAATAAATGACCCCGATGTACATAAAATGCGTAATATGTTATTGAAGTCTGTTTTGTGCAGGTCGGCAGATGTTGTGCGTTGCTCGGTTGGACGGGAAACTGACACTGATCGACCAGGAAACCGTTACAGAAACACCAACTTTGGATGATTTTCTCCTGCCAGGACCTCTTTGCTATGTGCCAAGCAGGGACTATTTCATCATGGGGACATCTTCGTGGACAGCAGAGTGCTATTCGTGAGTTGTAATTCTCTCGTTTAAAAAGGTTTTTAAGCAATTTGTGGTCACAGTGCGATGTCACAAGTGTCTGTTAACACGGGTAAAATTTTATTTGACAGTAAAATTCGTCAAACAAAAATTCGTCAAACAAATTCATTGTACACTGTAATACATATTATTAACGTTTTGTAATTTCTAGATACAGCGAATTGGCGTCGAAAGCCGGAATCGGTACATCGAAGCCCACGCAAGCTGTGAAAATAAGGAAAACGTGGGTATATAATTGCGGCGAGCACTTAATCGATATTAGGCATACTGGTGATGGCCCTAAAAATGGGATTGTCGTGCTCGGTAAGTTGTCTGTAATAATCTGTGCATTATACCTAAAAGTTATACCTAAAATCTGTGCATTATACCTAAAACATTATACAGCTCACGTATTTATGCTCAAATGCCGCATTTATCGAAAAAGACCTCGTAGATAGAATTAGTCTAATTATGATTATGTTTGTGTACGTTAGGTGGATTGTGTTGTTATATTATAAAGAGTCTATATCGTTGTGGACAATTTTTCTTGTACAACAAGTCATACAAACACATTGTTAATGTAATCTCATGCATCAGGTGAGCGACATATTTTCCTCCTGGATCCCAATGGTTCCATGCGATCGATACGTCGGCTCGATGCTCCTGCTAGTTTAATTTACCTGTACCCTGCAGGTAAGGTTAACATAGTGCCGGGATACGTTATGTGTCATTTTTACTCGTCCGTGCAACATGGTCTGCTATAATTAAAACAACATTGTTGGTACATGGTAGTTTATCAAATCTTTGCAGTCTTAAAAATCTACAAATTTACCAGTTTTCATTAAAAGCCATTTAGAATTTCGCCGTAGTTACAATAATACGCAACATCCTGATTGTACGAGTGTGCCGCTATGTTTTTTGACTTCAGCTAAAGAGTCAGCGTTCAATATGCTTTTGGCGTCAACTTCACAAACCTTATTGGTGTACGAAGATTTTGTTCCCAAGTGGACAACACAATTTCCGTATACTATTATGGATGTCAAAGTGGCTCGGATAGCGTAAGTCGCGAGAAGCTGCGTGAAACGATGACGTGCACGTAGCGGTTGGAGTCGTTTGACTAAGAAAATATGAATGTTGTACATACTTGTAATAATCGCTGCAGAAATGGCGAGGGCATTCTCGTTACACTCGCCGAAGATGGGCACGTAACGGCATGGTATCTTGGTACCGATCCGGAAATTTACGAAGTGAAAACCGTTGTGGCCACGCGCAAATTTGGAGAAGAAGAAATGAAATTAGAAACCACTCGCCTGGCCAGTTTGATAAAGCAGCATGAGGACAACCCGAACGAAATAAAACGGGATCCTGTTCTGGGAACCGACGCCAAATTGTTATCGATAACTGTGAAAGAATTCAGTACCGTCATCTATGCTTTTGATCCAAAGAGCAGCTCCGGTCAACGCTTTCCCTCCACGAAAAGCCAGTTAGGCGTTACTCCAGTGGGGAGCGGTTTGACGGATGTCAGAGCCGAAATTCGTGTTCCGGTTCCCTTTATAACACACCCTGTGGAACTGCAAATCGGGACACTAAGTGCGTGTGTGGTAGGCAGTTGCCATCTCATTTATTCGAACTGATAGGTCTGCTTTTCAGCGAAACTGACGAACGTCGACTTCGCATTGCAAAATAATCTCTCGACGTCGCCTTACGATTTACGAGGGGAGGTCATTGTGTACGCCACCAATGAGGGTAATATAACGGTTATCGCTCGCATGCTCAAGCTAGCTTGTGTTTCATCACGTTACACACTTTAGATCGCCTGTACCTTCAAAAAGAACAATTTCAAATCCCACTGAGCATGGTCGCCCAAAGTGCTCCTTTATCAAAAAAGGGGTCGATAAAGTTGGACTTTGAAATTGGACCGAAATCTTTGAAAGTTGCGGAAATGTTCCCGGGTACGATCGTGGAAAATGATTTCGCTACCAAAGACAGAAATGTACAACAGCATGTTTTCAGATTTCTCAGCCCAACAAGATGAGACTGGGATGACTGTGGATTTTTACGGGTTAGGATTGGTGACAATGTTGATCTCGAAGAAACAAGAATGTTAGTACCGATTTAGTTGCAGCCTTTGGGCACGTCGAAAAAAATATTATTGTTTTTAGCAAAGGTTCGCATTCAAAGCGACAATTCCGGGTTGCTTTGTGTTATTTGCGAAGAAGTGCGCAGACGTCTACCATTCATCTACCCCGGGAACAATATGACATGTGTTTCTCCACTTCCGACTACATATTTACAAGAACTGTTAGATAAAAAAGTTCAGGTAATGAATGCCTGTGATTAGCGCAATGATTTGGACTAGCGTAGTTTCTTGCCTTGGTTATACAAAGTAATTGCCGCCAGCTAAGTGCGCCATTACAGAAATATTGTGAAGTACAGTAACTGAATTAAATAGAAATATTTTACAGGTCCAGAAATCATATGATGCGCTTAAAGAGGACCTAAACGCTTGGACAATACAACTGTTTGCCGTTCAAAAACGCTTTCTAACACGCTTAAAAGACCATGATGCCGGTATTGTACATCAGCTGGAAGAGCTGCTGGATGCCACGCAAGACAAAGTAAGTACACATGTCCGACTGCTTACATTTGAAATACAATATATGGCCTCTAATCCACGTTGAAAATGTCAACACAGATAATAGCCATCCTACAGGAACTGGAAAATACCCAAGCGAATCTGGCTACTATTAGATCCACATTGACGAGTGCCATATCCCTGATACACTGGCTGATTCGAATAAATAACCAGAAACTTACAGTGGCAGAAAAACGTTTAATCGAAGCGGTCATAGCGCCGGAATCCGATAACGTGGTCAATGACGAAGATGAGGTTGGTGTTATGATCTACAGATGCCTAACGTTTCCTTTTAATTTCCAGCTTCCCCCTCTGCTGCACGATAACCCTTTCCTTTTGCAGTCATGGGAAAAGGTCACCAGCGATTCGGTGAGCTTTTACAAGCAGAACGTCTTAAAAGAGGACGACGAAGTTGGAGTGAAGCTTAGCGAAACCAATGCTCTTTCCAGTGCTGTTGAGCTGATGAAACGTGCGTACCACAATCAGATTGTCCCAGGAAAAGGCGGCAAGCCGGGCGTCAGGTCGTCAGATGTTGAGAACGTTGTTGCATAGAGAAAATCCGTGTGGTGTTGGGACGTTTTTAGTATTTTATTTATTTCTCTTTATAATGCGCAAAAATTTGCCGGTTTGTTTCTGCTGTTTAGTTTATACCGAGAGCCACAGCGATCGAATAAAGCAATTAAGTCAGCTGAAACGAATGCTTTGACTGCATAATGAAAACTACCTATTCATGCTCTACAGGAAAGTGGTACTTCTATGCGATGTGCAGCTTGACTAATTGTACAATTAGAGAAGACCGTGCACTATTCGTTGCAATTTATTGTTAGCATAAAACGACTTATTGTATTTAAAGTATTATTCTCTCTTAGCTTCCAGAAAGAGACCGAAGATCAGATGCCGTACCCTTTCTAAATTCACCGAGATATTAACTCGAGTTTATGCTTGTTGTTGTACTAATTTGATAGACTGGCTACAATTTTCAACAAGGTTAAGTGATATTTTCTGCTTGTCTGACAAAATCGGCCTACAATAAGCGCTTTCGTTGCAATAAAATGCCCGATTTCCAGGGTCGAAAAGAACAAAGAAGTCAAATTTATAAATATCTGAACTCGTACTTTCTACGGGCATTTCAAGTAGTTTTTCTCCAGTTCGTTTTGTCAGATGGTCAGCACAAAATTACAAGGCTGCCTCAGGCTTATAAATACTGTTTAGAGGAAAACTCATTACGTCGCTGTCATATTGGGCGTTCTCATTTTGTTACCTTAATACCAAATTCTTCAAAATGTTCTCAGTTTTTGTATCTTTAGCGATCGCTTTTGCGGTGGTCAACGCCGCCTTGCCATCCGGTTATGAAAGCAAGACAGCCGCCGAAAAACAGGGCATTTTATGGTCCAAGATCAGCGCCACGCCCTACGCAGCCGGCAGCCTACCAAAAGACAACTACGGCCCCATCACCAGTCTTCAGTTGTTGATGTCAGATTTCGATAGAAAGGCCTTTACATGGGATGGCGATGAAATCGAATCCGGGCGTCCCAAACTCATCCATACCTTTGGAAGTGCCGCAAAGGTCACCCTCAAGATCTTCCCTAATTCCACCTACAGCGGTCTCTTTAAGGCCAACTCTAGCAATCTCGGCATTGCGCGTCTGTCACTGGCCCAGCAGGATGACAGCAATTACATTCCCGGAATGGCACTCAAGTTTCTGGTTTCCGGCAAACCTTCGCACAATTTGCAGGTGATGAACTCCGTGGATGGACAAGGCGCCAACAAAAATTTTTTTGCCAAGACCTTCACCAATTTCATTCCGGAGGCGGAAAGCCTCAAACTGAAGTTTCTGGCTACCCGCTTCCATGCGGCGATCGAGAGTTTGTCAGACAAAGAGTGCGAGCGACCGCTGGATGAAGGCAAATTGCCGCTGCTCACACCGGCATCGCTGGAGCACAGTGGCAGCGCTGTGGGTCTGCCAAAAGCGCCCACGGTTCTGAATTTTGTTCCTAATCCGGCAGTGGGTTGGAAAGAATCTTCCACGGATGATCTGCGTGTTAACTTGGCCAAGATTCCCGTGGGCTCCGTTCTGTATACGGTCAAAGCCAAGGCCACCCAGACGTCCACTAAAGAGGATCCGATTGGACAGTTGGTGCTGGACAGCTCTTTCGTGGCTTCCGAGTACGAAGACAAGACTTTATTCTTTAAGCATCATGCACAGCGCTGTTAAACGCATCTGGTATAATAGGCATTGGCACCATTATATAGAGTATTTAGCGTGGCATTGTTCCATGTACCCTTATAAAAAATAAAAATAAAATTTTGTAGTACTTATTTGGAATGTTATTACATGTTATTACATAATTGTTAGTGCCGGTAACTGGATCATCAATGCACACACCAAAACTGTTAGATAATAATACATATAACGCAGGTATTAATTTCTTAACATTTTGCAATCTTCTGTAACTTGCGTTACACTGAGAAAACGTCATGCACTACCGTTGAGTGTGTTTGTAAAAAGCCAGCAAACAGGAGACAGCTTAGTCGACACATTGCGCATTAATTATTTCCAAAAAATTTATGTTGTTATACGATTACCGATCGTGAGAGCAGACAAAACCGTATAAGGAGACCATGATTACGAGGTCAAGCAAAAAATCTACAAAAACAGCAGAAATTGTTATCAGATATCCAAATGCATAAGAATTGCAAAAGATTCGCGTCGCAAAGGATTACACTGTTTGCTTTGATATCAACCAGCCCAAATCTGCGCCCACAGTATTTGCATAATCGTGTCATCAACATGCCTGCGTTGACAACATCACATATTATAAGGAATTCTGTAACGTGAACACAACGTTCAGCTGTTGCACTGTCAGCTAAATCCAAAATTAAACGCTTTCTACAGCTTATCACTTGTGTGTGTTTTGTCAACTGTATATAGACAAAACCAGTCTATCTGTTTATTTTTTGAATGTCTGAAAAAGTTCATATACAGGAAAATGTTTCAAAAGTTTAGCTCAATACAGTCTGAGAAAACAACTATTGACTTTTATTGAAAATCTTTGAGTGTAAGCAATTTAATTTCCGTTCCGGTTCATAAAAAAATAAGAACGAAAGTTTCGCTTCGCTATTTACGGCACGGAAAGAACCTCACACCTAGCAGACGACTTTATGGTACACCTAAGGTATTTCTTAAGGCCAGTAAGCAGACTGCATATATCCATTTGCTGCGCTAGATTACACATGGTCCATTTAAAAATGTCCACATTCATAAGCTTAATTGCAATAACCGTTTTGGGCTCTTTGAGCACATCACATGCTACTCTGCCGGCCAATTACGTGACCCTGACAGGAACAGAAAAACAGACGACATTATGGAACAACATCATTTCCAGCCGGTATCCATCCAACAAGCCGTTGCCGACCCAAGGTCCGGATCTAATGAACACGGTGCTGCCCAACGTACTGAATCCAACCTTCGCTCAAAAGCCCTTCACTATTGTTTCCGATGAAATGCCGCCCGGCCGACAGAAACTCCTTCACAGTTTTGGTACGGTGGGAAAGGTCACGCTAAAAATGCTGTCCAATTCGCCCTACACCGGTGTATTCAAGGCGGGTAACAATGTTCCTGGTTTGGCCCGACTGTCGGTGGCACTGTACGATATGACCAATATCCTCCCGGGTGTAGCGCTCAAATTATTCATCACTGGTCAACCGTCTGTCAACATTTTCGCCATGGATAACGAGAAGGGCTTGGAAGGTCAGGGGTCTAATCGAAACTTCTTTGCTAAGAATTTTAGTAACTGGATCCCGAGTCCGAGTCCCAACAACGAATTCCTACAGAACCTGGGGAAATCATTTCATCAAGCTATCAGCACACTGCCAGGCGGTGCGTGTGGACGTCCTTTGGATGAGAACAAATTGCCGTTGATGCAGCACGCCATGGTGGAGCCGAACGGACAAAATGCGTCCAATGCGAAGGCGCCTTTGATTCTGACTTTCGCTCCGAATCAAGCCATTGCTCTGAGCCCGACCGACTCTACAGATTTCAGAGAATCTTTGGCCAAGATTCCCGTTAATACGATGCTGTACCAGATATATGCCAAGACGGCGCAGAATGGACGTGACGAGATGATCGGGCAACTGATCCTGAACAGTCAGTTCGTGGCTTCGGATTGGGGTGATAACAAACTGTTCTTCCAACATAGCGGAAAACGCTGTTGAACAGTTCCTGGACGCCGGTTATACTACCCGCCACAATACCCATCCCTAAATGCATATGGATAAGGGCGTGGTAATCCTCATTTACTATTATTGTATGACTACAGATAACAGTGCGCCTTCAAGTTCTTTGATAATGTGTAAGTAAATATGGATTATGGAAAAATTTTGCTTTTTAAAAGCTTTGTGCCGGCACATCCGACGCGCATTCAGTTATAAAAACAGCGTTAACACATTAAAAACTCGTGTAATAGAAAGACATTCGGATTATTGCGGCATGTCGCATTGCCTAGTTATGACATTAAAATATCCTAACGTACCTTTAATATCTACCAACCGTCATGCACCTAAAAAGAGATCTTGTTTGAATTACAATTGAGACTAACAACATAAAATGCAAAGGAAAGCACAAGGTATGCAATTTGTCAAAACGCAGTGAATGATTGGTTGGGATAAAATATTTCCTTGGGGTCTTTTGTAGCTTGGTATACTGTGCCTATCGTAAATAAGAGGCCGCAAAATTTAATTTAATACTGGACGCTCGGATATTGCAGCAAGAAGTTACTGCAAAAAAAAGTTTCGCATTCTGCTTCCGTATTCAAAAGTTCATCTCCGCATTGAAAACTGCTGAGATGAACATCGCAAAAGGTTTACAGTGACCGCTTTGGCAACAAAATGGTACAAAATTATTACGATAACTGATTTCAACTAAGCCACCAGCCAAAATATTGCATCAAACGACTGTTAAAATTGTATGAAAACGAAAAAGAAGTTCCGCTCACGATTGTTAAAAGCATCCATCCATTCTCAGAAGGGATTCAAGTTTAACCGTTTTAAAACTGCTCCGATATCACGGACTCAGCATCATTAGGATCTCTACCTGGCACAAACGTCCGCACACTGACCGGCAAATTCAAATGACCTTCGTAGAATTCAATCAGCTGAATCGGCAGCACAAAACGGACAACGCGTTTACTAAACAGTTCAGCTACTTCTTTCCCACCACCTTCATCCAAAACAACCACGACCAAGGCATCATCGTTATCAAGAGGACGTGTCGTAGAATGTTTATTTCTTTGCAAAATTCCTTGAACCCGAAGAACACGCAGTGCTTTAGAGCGGAGATCTTCAATTTGAGTGTTCTGCAAAACACGAAGAAAACCAAATATGAATACAAACCAGATCCTAACATCTTGTGGATAGAACCCTCAGTTTTCCTACCTCCTTCGCCAGTTCCGGTGGAATGGGGCATGTTATAGGATCATCATCTATGTGCTCAGTTTGAACACCCCGATTAGTGCATTCCTTTCCTTTGCGATTTATGGATATTTCGCGTTTCCGCTTTGCCTGGTTTACGGAGGGTTTCGTACGACTTACTGGTCGAGGTTTGCGAAATGTATCCGCATCACCTGCAAAATCCGAATTATTCAACATGTTATCACATGTTACTGCAATAAAATTAATTAAAAATCTGGCAAGCAAAAGTTCTTCGATGTAAATAAAAATCTGTATTATGTATATATACACTTACAAAGGTATCAAAGAAATTAAACCAACGCACAAGTGCCGCCTCAGGCGTGCAACCATTGTCGAGCAACAACAAAAAATACAGTAGCAACTTGTACGTACTTACTGTATCTACGGTACGTACTGTATCAATAGTATCATCACAGTTTACTATACAGTCATAACTCCTAACATGAAAATATTACCACAACATGAATACTTACCAACAGTTTTTTTAGCGCTGGGTTTTTTTAACGGAACCGTAAGCGACATTTCCATCCCAGTAATAGGAGACTCCTCACGGTCTACTGAAATTCGTTTCCCATGTATGCCATTTGATATTTCTAGAGAACCAGCTCCAGAACGATTGGGAAGCTTCTTAGCGGAAGTGGAAACGCCGTTCTGCAGCTTGCTGCTTGGGTGTTTGAGTACTTTGCCTGACTTGGAGCCGCCTGGAGTTCCTGGAATAATAAAAAAACACCCTCCGATATGAATCAGAAACGTAGCAGGTATCTGTAGTTACAGACTGTACAGTACTTCTAAAACGACGTAGACTTTCATATTTTTTCAAACATTTCCGAGAGGAAAACTCCAGATCTGCACCACAGCATAAGCGAAATGTACCTAACACAAACACTAAATAAAAGATCTACCTTTTCCTCGCTGTGCAGGGTTATTTTTATTCTTTGATTTTCCAAGTGGCACAGGCGGACAAACAAATGGAACCTCCGCGGATTCTTCTATATAAGACAACATTATGACAAAAATATTACCGGCTTCGTACTAAAATTGCCGTATCATCAATCACGTCGCTTGATGTGCCATGATACATAAACCCATTACGTAAAAAAAGCACTGAATGCATTCACCACAGTTAATCCAATCGGATACATTTCCAAAGGTAAAGCCTCAAGAAAACACTCACGAAAACATAACAATATTAAAATTCAACCATCAAACCAAATACCTGTTCCAGCGTCCGATACTAAAGAATCGGCTACGGATGCGCGTTCAGAGTTTCGGTGGTAATCAACCATGGCCAAGTCGGACGATTTTTTGCCACCTTTAAAACAATCAAAGCAGTCAGCGAAACTAGTTAACTAGCCATAAATTTACCAGACCAATAAAATATTTTAAAATTCAACCTTAAAAACATTTCTTATCATTACTTTGACAACATTACTCACCATATTACATTTGATTAGCTTAACATCAAGATCTTTAACATACAACTCAGCCCAGCTGCCCCAGTATCGGAATATTGAACGCAGTAATTTATTTCACGTAATCAACAACTTTTAAAAATATTTTATTCTAATTACATGTATATGTAGGAAGTCGAAATCCCCGTAAAGCACGCAAGTTGTTACGGTTACGGTTTACTTGTCACTAAACTGCGACCCTTCGCGCTGGACCCTTCACTGACAGCTCCATTGCGACGCTTTGTGTCGGTGCCTTTAACCACAACAATTTTCTCCTTCCCTGTTGTCGCTGTATCAGGCATTTCTTCGCGCTGAGAATCGTAATCGAGATCTGCGAAGGTCCGCTTCTTTTTCTTTCCTGACTGCTGCTTTTGTCGCTTTGTCTTTTCCCATTGTCGCAAAGCCTCTTGGCACTGTAGTAAATTCTCCTGCGGCTCCCAGGTGTTAGCCTCTCGGCCGTAGCCTTTCCATTTGATGTAATACTGTATCTTATCACCCCTTCGTCGCTCGTCTTCGATAGCTTCCACATCGAAGGTTTCTTCCGACAATTCCGAATTATCTTCTGCGTCGCTGACATCGCTAACCGCATCAGCGACTTCGTTATCCTCAGAAACGTTTGCCTTCGGCATTTGCGCTGTAAAATTATCCAATGGGTTTCAAGTCAGTCCGAAAGCCCCAAGGCCTGAGCTGAGCAAAACCCAACCAAATTCCAGAAATAATCACGAACAAAAGCAGGAAAAAACGATGCGAGCTGCAACCTGCATTACACACAGCGACACTTATTAGTAGCCACTAAACTAAGTAAGCCACTGCCGTTCGACGAGAGCGCAGACATAACCCTCGTCCCACCTGAATCATTCTCAAGAGCTTAATTCTGAAACTATCGTCAATAGCGAATGACCAGTTGCCGATACCAGTATGTAATCAGCAGCGCAAAAGAGCACCAGATCGAACCCTCGGAATGGCAAACCGCCGCAAACGCATAACTTTTCACAAAAACAAATTTACAAAAGAAAAAAATGAAAAAGGGGGAAGACTATGTCACTACAAAGCACTGTCAGCCAGGGTCAGGTACAGTACCGTAGTAACGGTTAGCGCCGTTTGCAAAACATCAGCATAATTCCTAGAGGTGGTTGCGCTTGCGACTCTATTGCCTTGCAAGGGCAAAAGTGCCAACACTTCATCATATACAACTTTTACATTATTAATTCTGCAGAAGCTGGCAAGCTGCGAAAAATTGTGTTGAATTTGTCAAATTTAGGTTAAATGTAAAATGAGGGTTACAAATATGTACACTAATTTATCATTTATTTATGCGCTGTAAATAACAATTAGTACCACCAATTTTTTAAATGATAAAAATGTACTAAACAGCTTGATAGATATAAAACTTGATTTTGTCGCGCTTTCAGCTCGGTTGCATCTGCCTTTACCGGCTTTACGATACGAAACCTACTCTCCGAAGTCAAAACGAGAACCCATTCGTGGAACCTCACTCCCCGAGTGCAACTGCCGACGACCGGAAATGACCTTGCTCAACTCAGAAGAGTACTCTTTTAAGATTTGTTTTCGTGTCTGCGTTGACAAGATCTTCCAGAGAAACTGGAGGAATGTGATAGTCTGCAATCGGATGTGGCAGAATGAAACCTTTGAACACGGACGAAGCAATGCTGAAGCGCAACTGCTGATTCTGCTCGCCGGTAACCTACTGTGATCTACAGGAATGTCAAGCGAAATCCATGAGGTACAGTATGGTAGTGATTTCATCTGGAATAAGCTAGCAGGTTTTCTTGGTACCCGCTGTTAATTCTATGATAACGCTAGCGTGAAATGATGAAAACTCCTGTCAGATGTGGGTTCTTTAGAGTGCCTGGCTGCTGACATAACCACCAAGAGCTGATTGCTAGCCAATAATTAGTCATAGTTCCATGTAAAATAGAACTTTAGTTTTATCAATTTGAAAGCCAGATACATACATACTGACGGCCTCGGTTTTTGCAGATCGTGGCTGGGATGTCTGGTATCTTCAATCCTCCTTGAGGATATTAGCCGTAGGTGAGTGTTTATTAGTGTAGCCTTCACCTCACCGTTTTCTACGAAATGGTTGTGATGAAAACCTCTGGTCTCCGACCTTATTGACGACAAACTTGCCCTCGCTGACTGCATTCCAAATAATTAGGTGTTAATGCAGATATCTCTTTCGTTAACAAATAAATCTGGTTATCTTTTTTTAGGATGCTGTGAGAAGGGATTGTACATCAGTACCGTCGGTGATCCAGTCCTGAGTGCCTGATCGACTCTGGTGCGTACAGCGATTCGCACTTTCGCCATTCAGAGATGGAAATAATAACAGATTACAATCATCACTGGATATGGAAAAGAATACAAGATTGATATTGTTAAGAATGAATCTGTACACCGTCTGGTAATGAATGTGTATACCGCAGTTTGGTTGATAATTAAGATTGGTAATTAATTGGTATAATTCTTGTAATTACAAACGATTTTGGAATAGTACATAAATACTGGCACTGTTTGCGTCGTTAATCTCCGTCATTGTTCCGGCATATTTTCGATCTCCGTAAAAATGCTCGTAACCTTTATGTTAAAAAAAGCTTTGAAGCCGGCATTGTATCCTTCAGTAATGAACTGAAGCGAATATTAATTACTCTTTAAGAACATGGCATTCATCATAGGAGAAATTAAAACAGTTCTCATTCGTTACTGAGCAAGAATTCCGAATCTCCAATAAAACATGCGCAATGTATTTCTCAATAAACTCTTTATCACCGGTCCCGTTGGCATGTTTTTCAAAGCACTCCGTCATATCCACCAATCGAAGGCTTAAACTGTCGTAGTTTTTCTTAATCACACCCAGTATCTGCGAAGGACAACGAATGAGTCAAAGCAGAGTCTCAGACAAGTGAGTTTCGAAGACAAACAAACCTCTTCTCTTTCCATGGTAACTTTTTGATACTCAGCCGAAAACGCTTCGATTTTGGGAGTGAAGTGGTTAATCACCGAACGAAGGTTTGTCATGGCACTGAGGTATTTTCGCGCTGCGGCTTGCGTACTTGCCGACTGCACCGCACTGTACCGCAGTCCCATGGCAAAGGCATTATTCACCATAGAACTGTTGCGGACGATTTCATAACACAAGTCATCGTAGCTGCCAACTTGGGACAAAATCGCATCACCGCCAATTAGAAAGATATTAAGGATATTCACAACCTGTGTGAACGAAAGGATGACAAATCAAACACTACACCTTAATGTTCGGCAAGTGCAGGGCGTGTAAGGTTGGTACCAACCTGGGTGCACAAAAGGAAGAAATTGGACATTTGCTCCATTAAGTGGCTCTCGTTAGCCTCCAGAAATTTCAGCAAAGACAACAGGCTTCCCCAGAGTGTTCGCCATTGATAAGGTAAACGGAAACGTGTTCGCTTCTGATAATCCATCAAGCGATAAACAATAAGCAAACAACGGAAATACAGATCGTGAGGAAAGTTCAGCATCATGTGGGTCATGATGAATTCTGACAATAAATTCAATACAGCACAAGCCAGCGGCTCCGGTTTGGAACTTTTTAGAATCTGGCAAGGATGGTAACGCGAGGCAGCACGGAAAAACTGCACTCGGTAATTGATGTTGAAGTCATGCATAAACTGCGTCGTGTAATGGTCCTGGGAAACCGAAATTTTATCCACAGAAGAAGAATAAAGTGAACAAATTCGATTACCTCGGTTATTGTGCAAAGAATAACTAGACTCATTTTTGCGTGGAGAAAGGGCTTATCTTGGCGAATATGTTGTAGCACTATGGAGGAATACTGGAGAAATTCCACGAACAAATTGGAAGGTTCATTCACTGTATTCGCCTGGTCCAAGGGGGTCACCACAGCCGGTTCACTCGCTGTTTCCGGAATCTGGTTCTTTTCGTTTTCGTGTCCCGTTCCGTTTGTCTGGGGAGGGTCAACGAGAATTTCGGATTGTGCCTAAATCAACAAAATTAGTCAAATATCATCACAAATGTACAGATGTTGTATTTATAATTTTTAGAAAACAAAGACTCACGTGGGAAAACGCATGAACAAAATTGCGCCCAATTTTCAAACCAGTACATAACCCGAGCAGTGCAGCATCTTCCAGCACCACATTCAACGAAGCTGCAGGGGTCCGAGTTACCGTCTTTGCTATCTGTAAATTTGTAATGCATTATGACTGCGATGCAGCACTCCTATAATTGCATTTCGAGTTTGTACGAATACAGTAGTCCACCACATAAACGATATATTCTGATATTCGAATATCAATCTTAAAAACAGCATAAAGTTGCTCCTACCCAAGTCATCCACGAACGGTCTTTTTGTAAGGCAATTACTTGTTGGAAAAATGCTGTCGTACAATTTCTGAAAGACTCCCCAATAACAGCTGCAATGCCCTGCAACAAGCAAACACTCGCTAACCTAAAGAATACATACAAGCTCCATAATTTTTGTGTTTTACCATCAGTTCAATTGCAGGGTCCAATACTGATAACTGCATGTAAGGATTTGCTTCTGGCTGCAACCAAAGCAAAATTTCATCATAAATAAAGTGTACTGTGCTTCAAGTTTTAAAAACGATAACAATCATTAGTGAACCATTAAGCGACCACCAAAAGATAACACAAACACATAAAACTATTTCTGGAAGAAATATGCGAAAGAAACGTGAAAACATACCTCAGCAGTAAAGAAATGCGGAAGTATTCCAAGCAAAGTAATCACATCATATCCAACCACTTTGCGTTTTCTGGGATCCGTCACTATCCGCATGAAATCCTCGAAAAAGGAGTAATGCATCAAATAAGGCAAAAAAGGGTTGTGATTGATGTTGTCATTTAGCTGAAAAAATAAAGCACGAATAAATTCAGAGTGCATTTGATTTGCCAACTCCAATACAAGCAAAATTATCTACTTCTTTGGCATGGACTGCCATGGAGACTGGTGTTCATTCCCAGAAGAACTGCAAACTCACCGCAACAAGTTTTAGCAGCACGCGAAAAGCCAACTTCACAACGGTATCGTTTGTGCCTCTTATAGTAGCCCTTAATGTCTCAGAAAATATCTGCAAGTTGTAAACAAGCACCAGTAAATTCAGCCGTCATATTCAGGATCAAAATGATTAAACTGTTCCTGAGGACCAGAATGCAAAATTAATGAAAACATCACTCACAAAGTATCAACTTTTCGCAAGTCATATAATCATCTAATTGAGCCTCACCTTGCCTTGAATTTCTCGACTCGTCTGAGTATGTCCAAGCAGAATTTCAGAAACGTCAATATTCCGTTTCGAAAGAATCTCTATGAGGATACAAAGGTACTGCAACAAAAAAACCCCGCTTATCAATGCACGCTTATCAAGGGCAAAACAGCCACAAAGTTCCATTTTTTATTAATACAAGGAAACTTAAGCTGCTACTAACAATGTCTAGCACCAGATTAATCCGGAATCGAATATTTTAACATTGTGCAAGCTTAAAAGTCTACTTTCTACAAAAAACCAACCAAAAAGACAAAACAACTTACAATCAGTGCATGATACGACGAACTGCCGGATGAATGGCCATCTAAACAGTCGCTCTCCAAACGCTCCACAATTTTTTGCGAAAACTTGTGCAGTATTAGCTAAAAAACATACTTTGAATTAATCTAGCTTCACGCACCTCTAGTGCAAAACAAAATCCAAAATCTTAAATATCTGATTACGATAAAAACCATAATTAATGCATCAATGACAAAGCACATCAAGTACTTCAAAGTTCAAACCTTTTTCTGATTCAAATCCGTTTCTGAATAAGAGTCTAACTGCTTGGTAAAATACAGAACTTTCGGCTGCAAACAGAAGGAAAAAATTGAACAGAAATGCTCTATAATGTGTATGTATACGTCCTTATCAATCAACTTTTGCGTACCTTTAGCACGAAGAACTCATCCCAAAAATGAACATGTTGCTCAACATTCTTCGCCTAAAAAACACACCAGCCATAAATATTTAACGTTTTTTGTTAAATTATTTTTATACTAATTAGCAAGCAACAAAAAGGAAAATTAGCATTCATTTGTAACTTACACAGAGCAAATCGTCATACATCTGCACAATCTTTTCTCTCAGCTGCGGTTTCGGCAGCCCAGAGGGCCGCTGTGCCTGTATCATTTTTATTATCAGATAAGATGGCTATAGTGTAAATCCTCGGTGAATACTAGCTGATGGAGGGAGTGAATGCACGGAATTGCAGGAACTGGGACTTCTTTAATTGGACGTTTACAATACATCGACAGCGACAACGCCATTTCCTGCATCACCACACTGCATCACAGTGCATTGTATAGCCTTTACCACAACATCCCGAAAGACACCTGGAACCGGTATTCAAAAATAACTCTTCGTCCAGCCATGAAAACGAAACAAGAATTCAGAATTAATAAGTAGCTAGCATGACGTACTTAAAAGTACTTCAAATTAGAAACATTCCTATTCACAAAAATGAAAAAATGCTTTTTTGGCTTTTTTTGGCTGTTTGCTGTGTGAGACACAGCCGCCGCCTGTGCAAGGCTGCATATGAGTCTCATTGTTTTGCCTGCTGTTGATTGCTGAATCGCGCAGATTAGTGATCACCGATGTAAGTATCACTGCTCGTAACTCAGCCTCGTACAGTATTTCTTATTTTTCTACATTTGTCTCTTGTTCTCCACCTCATCAGACACATCTTCGAATTTATTTTGGCATTTTTTTGTTGCCGTCAACTCTCCCTCCGCTAGAAAACCTGGTCACAATCTGATTGCCAGTATAAAATGGCCGACCCAGGACTGGACGATGCAGATGCTCAGGGATATCGATGGGAAACAGAATACGAGCGAACATGGTAAACACATGTCGCGTTCCCGATCCCAGACACAAACAAGCGAGAAAAAATCGTAAACTTGAATTTTGTTGCAGGGAAGTCCTACAAGAAGATGCCACGGGATCGTTGACAGCCAGCGTACAGGATGTGGTTCTGGGCATGAAGCGTCGACGGCTGCTCGAGAAAAAACCCAATTTGCGTTTGGGCATGGTCAGGGATTTATAATGCGTCTAAAGTCTGTAACGAATGCGAGTGCACTTGGGACGTTTGTATTATTTTATGGTTTTGCAGATGCGACATGTCTTCGTTATCATGGACATGTCGGATTCTATGAAAGATCAAGACTTCAAACCGAATCGAGCATTCTGTGTGATAAAGGTAGGCGGCCATTCATGTTGTCAGTTTGTAGGTGGCAAGAATACAGTCCCGAGTGAGTTTTTTTGCAGTTACTGGAGTACTTTGTGGGTGAATTTTTCGATCAAAATCCGATTGGACAAATTGGATTCATTACTACTAAGAACAAACGTGCAGAGCGAATGACGGAACTCAGTGGTAAGAATTAAGAAAATATGCGCGTGCTGTATTTAAAATTAAATACATTACGCGCATATTTTCATATGTGTTCTAGCAATTTCAGCGTGCAAAATGCATTTCAGTATTGGCTTAATGGCTTTCTCAGTTTGTTGCTTTGCCCAGTACTTTCATTTAGTGAAAACAAATCCTACGAAATCCCGCTTTTTAACAAAGACAATGCTTTAGGATCCTATAATTTTTGTTGGGGACACTTTGGGGTTATCTAACTCTAATTTGATTTTTTTAGGTAATGCCAAAAAACACCTGGCAGCTTTAAATTTATTACGTACAAATGATCTGTCTGGCGAGCCATCCCTCCAAAATTCCTTGGAACTGGCAGCTGAGACCTTGCGTAACATTCCGAGCCATGCAAGTAGAGAGATCATCGTCGTCATGGGCAGTTTGACTTCCTGTGACCCCGGAAATATTTTCGATACTGCGCGAGTGAGATTTTGTTTTATCCACTGCTTCCGGAAAGCGATACATACAGCCGAACTGGCTCTGTTTTGGTGTTTTTAGATTGTTCATTATTCTCAAATATTATATACGGTGCTTACAGGTTTAATAATGTGATGTATTTATAGATTTTTATTTACCAGCAAGGGCAGCGTGTCTTATTTTAATTGTTACCACGAGGTGTTTTTTAGATGCTTCGAGAGTGCAACATTCGATGCTCGGTGATCGGTCTATCCGCAGAAGTTTCAATTTGTCGAAATCTGGCGAAAGACACTGTAGGAGAATACAGCGTTGCTTTGGATGAATCGCATTTAAAAGATGTTATGATGGCACAAGTATTTCCCCCTCCTGTTAGTGTAAGTCAACTTTCCTGATGTTTTGCTGGGGTACTTGTACATTAAGCAGTGACAAAATGTGTATTCTCTGGTGAATTTGTAGGCGAACTCTGACTCGTTCCTTATAAAGATGGGTATGTTTGGTGATCTATATTTCCAATAAGTTCCTTCTGTGGCTTGTTGCGAACAAATTGCGTGCTAACTGTAGGATTTCCTCAGCAGAAAGCTCATGAGCGTTTGGATGAATACTCATTTTGCATATGGTAAAGCGGCTTTAGTTTTTTTTATCAGTCATGCATCATCTGTTGCATACAACTTTAATTAATGTATTGTATTGAAATGTATTGAAATTAGAAGACTGTGTCTGTTTTCAGCCATCTGGACCAGTTGAATTCGTCACTATATGGGAAACCTGGATACTTTTGTCCAGTGTGCATTAGTAAATATTGTGAATTACCAGTCGAATGCAAGGTTTGTGGGCTAACCTTGGTGTCAGCACCACATCTGGCCCGCTCTTACCACCACCTTTTTCCTGTGGAAGCTTTTCAGGAATTATCTTCAGAACAATTACGTGCCTTCACCTCAAGGTATTTTGCAAGCGTTTTCATTCCCGAAATTCATGCGTTTTTAACTTGTGTCATTTGCAGAACATGCTTCGGATGTATGGCCAAAAATGAAGAGGAGAAATCTCATTGGTTTCAATGCAAAAGTTGCAAGAATATTTTCTGTATTGATTGTGATTTATTTGTCCATGAAACACTGCATAGTTGTCCTGGCTGTGCTAGTAGCCCGGTAAAGCCGGAATAGCTTTTTTGAATACAGGTTCTCTCTTTCGTATTATGTCGTATGCAGCCGTGATCACGTAAAATGCTGCATGTCAGACGTAAATGAACGTTCCAGAAATAAAGCGGCTTTGCTGAGCTACTGTGCAAGTAGCAGTGGTCACAAGCAGGAGTGAACTGTTGTTTTATTAAACGTAAAACGAACGCGTTCGTAAATCCAAGGCCACAAAAAGGTGTAAACGATACAAAATCTCGGGAACAAACTAGTTACTTTTTCGGCTTATAAAAATAATCGATTGTGGTAGGCAAACATCTGCGAAAATCCAAATCTACACACGAAAGAGGGTCCTTCTTGTCAAAACGCTGAAAATCTAAGCCGCGGCCGATTTTCACCGTCCATCCATTATCAAATCTAAAAGTAGGCGAAGCGACAAACTTAGCCTCTACTCTTCGTAAGCGTAGCTATCAACGAAAACATTCATTACTCAAGTACATGCACCTTATTTCTCTATCATGAAGATGCGGGTTATTTTCTACATCCAGCGTAAGATTTCGTATGGCAAGCGAGTTACGAAAACTTTTCAGTTGCTCGTTTCCCTTCTGCAAAAATACTGACTGTACAGTTTCAATAAAGAGCGTTTCATGTGCATACAAAAAGGAGCAGATACCGGAGAAATTCTTGTCCGCAGGCAGATCTTTCGTAAACCCGGTGCGAGTCTTAAAACAACGGAACAAAATTCTACAAACCGTTGGATCTGTAAAAAAAAACTGCTAAAGACTCACACAGAAATCACCATTTATTATGAGCAGCACTGCAGCAGAAAACAAACAAAACTGAGTGGATTAACATACTTGAAACGGCGACTGAATAAATGGATCATCCACCTCAACGGTCGCAATGTTTGAATCCAAACACCTTTCAAATATTCTACGAAAACCGAACCTTGTCCCGTTTTCCGGAACGGTGATCTGCTCGTGAAATCCCGGAACAACTTCTTTCGCAGCTTGCGCGGCCAAAAATGTGTCAAATACATCTTTCTTTTCCTGTGCGCTTAACATCATAATTTTTCCAAAGAGACATGGTAGTGGATTGTGCTGTGCATGAAGGCAACTTGAACAAAACCAATATCCGCACGTTACGCATCGGATTTCGTATGGTCGGTCATTTCTAGGCAGCTCCATTGGCGTACCACACGTATCGTTCGGGCACCTTACCATCAGCGGACTGAAAAATAACGAAAAGCATTTTTCAAAAATTCAAATTATTATTTCGTTCTGTAAAACTTATCACGATAAGGAAGTGTTCCAAAAATCACAAAATTAAATTCCACAGTAAATATCACCAACAGCAATAAGAAGGTTAACAAGTACGATAATCTAACAACGTGGTAACAGGATTTTTCGAGCAACAAGCCGTAAAAATGTACTCACTTTTCTGAAAGAAACAACTGGGAAATCTTGTCTGAATACTGATTAAAAGTGGCCGTATCGACCAGTTTTGAGATCTGCAAAAGGTCGATTTAGTGACTTTTTCCAAGGGCAATCAAAAGCATCTACCATGGCATCATCAGCAGGCGTCGCACAATTTTCATTCAAGCAAGTTAAACGCTTCAGATCTTTCCTTCGAATTCGGCTTCTGAAGTCCAAACTGACGCACTGCCGACAAAAGGCATGCCGACATATTTCAAATATCACTGCCGAAATGCTTGGGACGCTTTCATCGCAAAGAGGGCATTTGACCATTTTGGATTTTTCGACTTCATGCCGATGAATACTTGTTTGTGGAGACGAAACGCGAGCAACTATCGTAATGCAATAGCAGAGGTTAAACAAAATCGCTATGTTAGTATCAACTACTATCAAGCCAGGTTAAATTAACGGAAACAGAAACATCAAAATCGAACCATCCATTTTCATACGAACGAAAGACTGCAACAAGTTGGAAAACAAATCTGCAAAGTGATTAATATTAATTTTATGACATTATATATTAATCACTTTGAAATGTTAATCACTACCGTGGCATGCTGATGCAGTTTAACCGTATTTACAGAAAAAGTGACGTACAGAGTACAACAAAATACTTTACGTTTCTGTAAGATCTGGTCACTGCACAACAATCAAAATCACTAAAGAAAAATTTAAACATGTATTCGGATTACTGGTGGATTACAGCCCATACCTGAGAATACTTTCTTCTTGTGCACATTTCCTGTGACGGAGTCTAAGCACTCCTGGATGCATGCTGCTTGCGAAGAGGAAGTGATCACCTCCGCACCTTCTGGATGCTTGGTACGAATAGCGCCAACAGCTGATAAGGGGATCACTTCCGAGCTTTTCCGTTTATTGGTTCCTGCAAACCAAGTTTTTACAGATCCATGAATCCAGAATTCCAAGCGTAACATTAACTGGAATAATTCACCTTGGGAATCTGACGCTTTGCCATGAGACTTGTTCGAATGCGAACGTATTTCATCCACGAAAATCACGTCCTCGTCCACATCGGAATCATCGTCCAATACGATCGTGCCATCCAGAACGGCCGACATGGCTTACTGATCACTACTGGTTTGTTTTTTGCTGAAAATCACAACTGCTACAATTGAAAATGATTAAGGTAACATTTTGGTGGGATCACGAATACCACAGCATGCAAAACCGAATTAATGAGGAGCCTGAAAAATTGGCCATTGTGAAAACGAAATGAAGAAACTGAAAATGCAGGAAAAAATTAAAGAGAATTTACTGCACTTATTTTGCGAATCGCTGGCTGTTGCGCCCGCCAGGGCGGGCGGTAACTTTCTGAAAGAATTCTTCGCCAGTCTGCCTCGAGGCCCCCTCGACTCTGCTGCCTTGGAACTTGAATCTGTCAATTACTCTGTTTTGTGATTTTTCCCGCATGTTGAAGTGAGCAAAACAAACAAGCGCCGTAACATTTATTGTTCATAGAACCGTTTAAACTTTGAATTTATTTTATGTAAAATCTTTGAAAGGTTAAGCTTAATTTTTAAATTACAATCACTTCAAACCGCTTCAGACCGGAAGCAGAACGGTTTTGCTCGCTCGTATCCAATGGCTGATCAGGACTCAGAAAGCCTGCCCCAGCTCTTCAACCGAGCGGAAATTCAAATGGAAAAGTTAGAAGACTCGGAAAGGAGCCCGGTACATACCATTCATTTTATTATTTACGATACGAGATAAGCCATTAGCTGTTTTGATGTTCCAACGAATACTGCCAGTTTTTGCTAAAGGTTGTGTAGTATTGGCATTGCGAATCATGAGCGTCATCCATGTATTACTACTTTAGTAACAGCTAGTTACGAGTAGTTACAGAAATATTAGTGTTTTGTTTTGTTGTATTTTGCTATTTGTTTGTGTATGTGCTTTAGGAAAGCATCAGTGCCCTCATCAAACAGTTTGAAACAGCAACCAAATTCGTATCGATTTTGGGACTATTTAGCCGTAACGAGAGCGCGGACGAAATTTCGACTGCCGATTTGAGGTAAGCACTAAGCACCGCAAGCTCTTAGAATTTTTGTGTAAAACCATAAATGCAAAGCGGAAGTGAATCCACCACAAGATATGCACTCTGGGTTTCAGATTTTTGGCGTGAAGCCGTTTTGTATACTCTTATCAATTGTTTCGCTCTACTATTTTTTATAACGAGGCAGTTGTGTTGTTTGTGCAGGTATCTTCTGCTGCCAGCGTACTTAGCCAGACTTACCTTAAAACTAACCGACGGTCGCAAAGCTCGCTTGGATGCTGCGGAGATCTATATCGTCGATTATCTTCAGCGCTGTAAAGATTACGGCGTTCCTGGCAGTAATGCTATCCCAGATAAAGATTTGAAAATCAGTATTCAGGAAAACGGTTCATCGGACACTGATGCAGTGCAAACGTCCACCGTGAAATCCCCGCAAGACCAGATAGCCGAAGCCGTAAATAAACGGGCAGCGAAGATTGCCGCGTTCAAGCACAAACTGGAGAGTAAAGAAAAGGCTGCCGCTTTAAGAAAAAAGTTGGAGGATGGGAGTGCTGATGAAAATGAACAAGTAAATTTCCTCAATAGTAAAGCGCCCATTATAGCGTTTTATATAAAAATTCGGTACAGTACTTGATTTGTACTAAACGACGAATCACTGCCATGGCATTGTGCCAAATTTTTTTGACTCGTAAAATCGTTATTTTTAGCGTGGATATTATTACAACCTTTTTAACATGTGGATTTTGGATCTGATGGAGGAGCTTGATTTCGTGCGGGAAGAGAAACGATTATTGGAACACCGGGAGAAATTGTCCAGAGGCGCTTCGGAAGACGAACAACAGCCAGTGCAGTCTCCCATGTCGAAGACTTTGTCGAAATTTGTAAGAAGTGAAATATTGTATGGTGGTGTAGTTTATTTCCAGCTGGAGGCAAACAATTATTCTGATTAATATTGCGCATGCATTTTAGAATAAGCCCGTAACAATAGTCAAGAATGAACTCCAGAAGCAAGTTTTCGGTGCCGGCTATCCGAGTCTTCCCCTGTTAACCGTGGACGAGTTTTATCAGGAGTTGGTGCAAGAAGGAGCATTGCCCGCCCCAGGATCCAAAGCCGCAAAGAACCTCAATTATATGGGTCCTACCCAGGCTGAACTGGAGAGTGATGACGTTAAAAAAGAGCAGGATGTTGAGTCCGACAATCCGGAATACCTCCGTAACGCGCGTGATTACGACGACTGGAAGGACGGTACGATTCGGTGCTGTGCGCTGCTTATGTAGTCGTAATTGTGTTTCATGGAGCTGAGTCAACTTACTGAGCCGGACTCTTTACCTATTTTGTATTTACAAAAAGTTGTTCGCTTTTGGCAGACCATCGACGGGGTTGGGGAAACCGAATCGGACAAGGATAATACAGTGCTTAATCGTTGGCTACCGTCATTGGGATGCCATTCTTGAGGCCGGCTACTGATTCCGAAGAGCCGGCGTATGGAACAAATTGGAACACGGGAACTGCTGCTACTGCGCAATCAGCTGATCGGGTTTTTCGGTTAGTTGTTGACTTCACTAGCTTTGTGATCATTTGGCAAATACGGTTTTGTTCTGACAATGAGTTAAGACTTTTAGATTAAGTTATATAAGGGCGTGTGGATTTTAAAAGTGTCTACAGTAGATAATTTTTAGGGTTTTGACTGTGCACTTTAAATGCGAGAATTTCGAAAATTTTTAGTTTGACCACTCACTGTCCACAGAATGACATGCTTTGTAATAGTCTAAAGAAGTAAAAACAGAATAATCTTCAATACAAAAAAACAACGTAACAACTGAACAATTGGTGCAGCGCTAAAGCGTAGTCAAAATCTACATCAGACATGTTACACTGTGCTGTACAGGGTAACAGAAGGACCAACTATGCTACAATAAATTCTGCCTTTACGCCCCAAACGACCAGGCCACACAATGCCCGGTCATTCTATCCGCCAAAATGCAGCTACCGTAAAACCAATTCACCGCACACAAACCAATCAAATTTTAACTCCAAGAGATGAGTATCTTTGGAAAGGCAATCGGAGATTTTTCCACCATCAAACACGATCAGAATTCAAACTGCTGAGAAAAACATACTGCCTTTACGAGGACGAACCAGTGGAACCGGCCGGGGAAGGCATTCCGTACGGAGATGCGGGAGAGGGCATGGCGGGGGATCTAAACTGTCCAGGTTGCTGTGTCGGAGAGGGCATTGAATACTGACCAGAAGGAAGGGGCGCCGTATATCCTCCTTGAGAGTAACTGTTGGAGGGGGGCTGCATCATGCCGGAAGGATGCTGCGCGGGGACATGCTGCTGCTGATGTTGCTGTGACTGGTGGTGCATCTGCTGTACAGATTGCTGCTGCGATACTTGCGAACCGGGATATTGCACTTGCTGTTGCTGCTGTGCGTAATTATCCATGTACATCCGAGACTGGTAATTACCCTGTGGCCGCTGTTGCTCGTGGACCGGACCTGACCGAATAAAGCAGTTTGCAGAAAACGAAAATTTTTTTCAAATTTAAACACACAAAAAACAGAAATATCCGCGCAATTCTAAAACTATGTACATGTATCAGGTCAAATTCTGAAGGAAAAACACTTAAACTCAATAAATAACTGCCTGACCTTGAGGCGCAGCAGGACGATAACCGGGAGGTATGCTCCGTTTAGGCTGCATTTGGGGTGGAGGCATTGCAGCGTAGTTAGGGTCACTGCTTTCTTGAGTAGGATAACCATATCCGCCACCATAATTTTGCGTGTTGGCACCTATTTCGTCAAATAAGCAAGGGCATAAACACATCTGGTCATCACCACGCATCAAAGCTCAAAAAAGGATGCTGGACAAATAAATCACTCACCCCTTGTTGGCACACTGTAAGGGTAATTCATGGGAGGAGGCATGGGATTATTCGTCACATTCCCTGTCGGTGATTGCTGTTGGTGCTGAGACGTTACCGGATTGCTCGCTCCCATGGGAGAATTGGCCATATATCCTTGTGCGTAACCCTGTGGTCGCGATGGACCGTTGGCCGTCGGCTGGAACGAGAGATTCGGCGATAAGGGCTGACCAGGACCCTGTGTGCTTTGCGTCAGGGGGGAGTACACCGGTTGCGGTCGAGGCTGCTGCGCTGGATGACCGTACGTGGAATGCGGCGACGGCTGCGGGAACTGCTGCTGTCCATTGGCCATATACGACCCTGGTGGAGGACTCATTTGGGGTGGAGTGCCTTGAGATGTTGGCCTCAACATATGAGGACTTTGGGAAATTCGAGAATGGTGTGATGGTACCGGTTCAGAAGGAGGCGGCATAGAATTAACGGCAGGCGGTTGGGCCGCAGCCGGCTGCTGCTCAGTTAAACCGTTGAGATACAGGATATTTTTGTTTAGAACCGGCATTAATTCACCAAATACTTCCGATCGACCGTCCATAATGGCTTGATTAATTTGCAGAATAATCTGAGCATTCTGTTCAAGCATCTAAAACAAATCAAAGGAACGTTCTACAGTTATTCAGTCAACTGAAGTACAACACCGTATGAACCATGCTATTATCGTTTGTACCTTAGAAACTGTATCACGGTCGTTCGTGGGATGAACACTGGTCGAGGGCGACGGACTAGAATGACTGTAACCATTCTCCACAACAGGACCCGCCGGTTTGCCCGGTTGGGAATAATTAAACGACGAAGGGGTCCGACACCACCAGGGGAACTCGTTAGCCCGTTGGATCGGCCCATGGCACCGGGGACAGGGGGTGCAGAATGCATCGGCATATTGTTGTTTCCGTAGTTCATTCCGGGAGGCGGTGCCATTCCCATGGACATGGCGTCTCTATAGCCCGGATAATATGCCCCAGGGTTCTCCCCTGGGCGGGACATCATTGCAACATCTTGATTTACACCGGCGGTACGCAGTTGTGCATCGTCAAAAATATGATTCGGCTGCGATTCAGCCGATCCAGATGAATTAGAAGAACTTCGCTTGCGCGACTTCGGTTTCGGATTTTTGCTCGGCATCTTTCTCGATACCATTCCACTTCCAACGAACTATCCAATCATCATCCACAATCGGGATTCTTCTAACAGGATTGAATAAAACTTAATTTTCCAGAGGCAAGACTAAAAATTATGGATAACATAACAAAACATGCCTTGCACGACTAAGTCAAAAATTAACAAATTTCACGTTTCCGCTACATAATCGTGGCAATCATTAAAAGCTTACACCCACTGCACAACGACAGATCGCCTGAAACTGACTGAGGAGGATCCAGATGTAAGAACGGATAATAAAAAAGCATTTACGAAGAAAACGTACGCTGTGGAAACTAATAAAATTAAAGTACACAAACCTACAACATGCAGAATACAACAAGGCCAGGAGAAAGAAACCACATACTTAGGTCGAACTGTTAATGAGCTTTCAATAAACCGCGAATGCTTCAGCAGCGAGAGCTGGGTTTCATGATGGTTAAACACGCTCCCAGTGCTTCAAATGCATCCATAAATAGAAAGATTCCTGCTTCCAACGACGCGGAATCCGCGAAAGAGGTTCGCACACAAAAATCCGAAACTTTCACATGATGCACAAATCAAAATTCCCTAAAAATTAGCTGTCGTCAGTCTTGTCACACTTATGATGAGAAACAAGTAGAACCCAAACAATGCTCATCTGCGCTGGTGATTTTTCAATTTGTCTCTCACTTACTGTTGCAGCTATAAGAGCAGAAGAGCGAGGATTAAGCAATTAGTGATAATTAATCCAGGGTCCCTGAATCAGGCCTTCGAATTGTGAAGTAAGAACATCAACAACGCAGTATGATCCGTAAAGATCCAGTTTCTTGCCAAGCTCACGCGAGGATCATCGCACAGCTCCAGCCTCCAGGTGACCTCTGGTATATAGATACTTCCACTACAATCATTCCTCAGCTTTCTCAAGATAAATACGCACCAAGGTTTTCGTTCCGTAAGCATCAAAATCTAAAATTTCACAATAAATACACCACACTTCTTTTGGCATTCATACGATACGTTGAAAGGACCTATTGATCCCGAATAAACACAGTGAGGGACGTACAGAAATTCACGGCATCAGTAAAGTTTTCCATTTTCGTAGTTAGCACACGGAGAGGTTGTCAAGTTCAGTTCCGAGATGAGAGATCTATACGTCTCCAGTTGTAGATGGCGCTACCATAGGATATCTCTGCATGGCGCATGTCAGGTGCGTCACGTATCTAGGGTATTCGAAGATAACCGGCTGGATTTTCACGCAAACTTTAGTTTGCCGTTTAAAGACAATAATGATTTCAGACTCGTTTTCTTTAGTAGGAAAGGTGCATTAAGTTCAAAATTTGTAACCATTTCCAGTTAGAGATATCCCGAGCCAAAACAGTTAACTCAGTTAATGCAACTGTATACAAAAAAACAATTACTACACCTTTCTATATGCCTCGTTTCGCAAGTAGTCGGCTACTACTCGTTACTGCTTCCGCTCCGAGGCTGATCTCCTGAAGTCAGTTATGAACTGTGACACTGTCCCAGAATCCGGTTAGTTTTAGGACTGCGCAAAATTATGAATCCTAAAAGCCTCGAAATGTATACCGTTTTCCAAGCCCAAATTTACAACGTCTTTAAAATCCAGTTCTTTCAGTAAAAGAAGCCCGGTACTGACTATTTCTGTCCTGGATTTATGGTATACCTACTGTAATCTGGCTACTAGAAAAATGTTTTCAATCCTCTAAACCCAGTCCTCCTCCTCCACTACCCGTAGCGCTAGCGGATGTCGCCATTCGCCAATTTGGAGTAAAGCTACTGTTCATGTCCAATTGTCCATGTTATAGTTTGTGGAATAATAAACTTCGCTAATCAGAACGTTTTCGAAACTAATTTACCGGCATTACTGATTACTGATTACTACACATGCACTTGTACCGTCATTCGTGAGTTGGTCAGCAACTAAATATTCTACATACGTACTTAACTTGACCCAAGTCAGCAAAATTTATTAACATGAGACGCAAATACTATATCTCCAGAAGTGCAAAACAAGATGTTTCTACAGCTATTAAGCTATATAAAACCAATCATTTGTTAAAAAATGGAAAACCAATAAACGAACGAGAAAAGCAACAAAGTGTCCACTTTGAAATCAGATAGCAACCAACCGTCAACTTTGGCTGGCAAACTAACTAAAAAAATTCATACTGTTTTACGAGAGTGTTTCTATAAGGGAATCTCTCATCTGCGTTGCGATTGCGGAAGGGTGATGCCCTTCCGTCAGCCTAAACACCGATTCTATAACCGAAATCTCCGTGCTAGTTGTGTCCAATCCACAAAACGCTATCCAGTCATTTACCACCATTCCGCCTCCAATAACGTCACTTCCCCGATTAACCGTGCCAGCCTACAAAGAAAAGGCGACATAATTAATCACAGCAGAAAGTAATTACCATAAACCGCTACTATCGTCGACCGGCATAAATGAATAACGACGCCAATATCAATTTAAAATTAAACAAACAGACGTCAGCTCGAACGAATAACTTTGTCAGATAGGGTGGTCTCGTGGTGCAATTAACGGTTTTGAGCCTTACAACGAGAGGCACTTGTAATAATGATGATAATTCGTCCTGATCTTCGATTTTCGTACGGGAATGCACCAATCCACCTTGATTGCTCAACGCACAATAGCTTCCAACAAGGACATTTTCTGCAACCGCATGCCGGAAAACCTCCACTTTTAAAACGTCAGCAATAATTTCCTCAGTTTCCTATGGAGAAAAGATAAATAAGAAAAATACGTAGTCAGAGGACCACCCAAGGACAACGAACCCGAACCCCTATACAAGCTTTCGTGTAACTGTGAAAACTACAAAAATGAAATGATTATAAACCCTCAATCCTATCTGCCACAGTTCACAACAAAATCGTATCAGCGACACAGATACCGACAGCATGCGGTAAATTTCTTACTCTGTCCAAATCGGGATGGACTAAAGCCACATAGTCATTGCAAGCGATCACATTTCCCAGAGCGGACAGGCGCTCTTCCACTCTCTGAATGGCAACGGCATCCGGAAGACTGTTACGAATATGCTGCAGCTCCTGATCCGTTGTGGCGTAAGGTACAAGGAGACCGTTCCGATTCCCTATGAAACAACGTGAAGATTACAGATTCATAGATCAAGAATTACTTAAATTAATTATGTAATGCCTAAATTTACGATTACATTTTTTATGTCGTGCGACTGCGACTCTGTTGTCCTTTCAATGAATGATGTGAATAAAAAGGGGAAAAAATAGAACACAGGCCTAATACCTATGTGAAATCCCAATTTAATTCTGCCATTTGCTATTAACGAGCAAATCGTTTAATATTTAAGTAACTTAACTTACCGGCAGTCAAACGACCAATTATCCGACTACCGCCAATCGATGACTGAAAAACGGGAATTGAGTCCGCTAGATCCGCTTCAAAAGTGCTAAACAAGTACAGCAGTACGTATTAATCATTCACAGGTCACGATAAAACATATGGGTGCACCAAATAACTGTTAAAAGCTTAAGACTCAAAGTCAAGTGTTTTAAAGCCATCAGTTAAGATCTCTACAGTCTACAGTACTCGTACGCAAACAAGATGATTAAATACCTGTAGAAATTTTGAGCTCCTCCGATCGCCACCATGCAATATGAATTGGTAAGTTTGGTAAAAACTCCAATTTCGTTACTGCTCTCGAACTGCATACGAACAGCCATATTGAAATAAGGAGAACCCAAAGTTGGGTTCAGAAACCTGAAGGACTAGTTCGGTCCCACCGGACGCGTCTCTTGCGGAGTTACTGCAAAACTCAAGACTTCCGCGATATGTACATACGCGCACAGCTGTTGTCGCGCCAAGTTGGAAAGTGGAACCAGTTTGTTTTCTCGAAAACCAATAATGGTATCAAAAACAACTAGTCTAGCGGTAACTGTACTCAACAGTCAACTAACTATCCTCTATTAGTTTTTAAAAAAATGATTAGTTATCAACTTATCACTTATCACCGTTACAGCATCACTAGCACACTTTTACAGAATATGTATGATGTCATTCACTCTCCAAAATATTCCTGTTGCCACCCTTATGCGGAAGTGATGCTTACGCGCTGTTCCATAGTTCACCGCTCGACATCTGGTTGAGAGATACTACTAAATTACTAATACGAGCCACAACAGTTACCTGCTAAATAACTAACCAAAAACCATTCAATTTACATTTATGTATCTTGACTCTGGCAAAACTGCCGGAAAATTTGGGGGTAGTACCGTACCTGGTACCTTTTAGCCTTCGGGCCCTTATCCTTTGTATTTTTGCTTTCAGAGTCAACGGTTAAGTTTGCAAATGTAAGTATGATCAGCTTATCTGGAATTCGCTGTGCCGTGCTTTCAAAATTTTTTGCAATATTACAGACTTTACAGTAGTATTGCTGAGGAATGACGGAACAGGAATTAACCGATCCTCGATTGAGACAGATAGCGTCCTGTTTTACAATCCACGACGACTTTCCCATCAAAGGCGTACGATTCAGGTTTGGAAGAGCTTACCATTAGATCAGATTTTATACATATTTATTGCAAATTTGTTAAGATATACTGTAACCTGGTTTACTTTTACTCTGGATTACAGTCATTTCACCGGGCGTAAGCAACAAAGCAAGTATTAAAATTACGCCAGGAGCGAGTTGTTATAATTATGTTTAACTCTATTATTTAAAACTTACGTCATCAAACTCTCGTCAGTAAAGTACAGGAACCGGAATGCACTTACTGCCTTTTACAGGAACATTTTGCCACTTTTCCGGAATCCGGAAATTTTCCAGCTACTTGTTGACGTGTGCGTTGAACGAATCAAAGAAAAGTTCGGTGGGCCTATCGACCTGATTGTCGGTCTGGAATCACGAGGATTTTTGTTTGGTCCATCGGTTGCATTAAAACTCCGTTGTGGATTCGCCCCAATCAGGAAGCCAGGAAAACTGCCGGGAAATGTGGCGCGTGTTGAATTCGCCAAAGAATATGGCAAAGTATAGAACACTGACTTACGGAAAATTAATCATAAGATCATATTAATTCATAGAAGGCTATGCAGTTATTAAGTGGGTAGATTATGATTTCCACTTTGTCGGTTTCCGTGATTCGTAATTATGCTAGCGCGAAACGTATTGAATTGTATTTTTGCGAGGAGTGGCACAGGTTGAGGATGTAATGACTCTGGAATGATAATTTTCTTGTGCTTTGTTGTGTGGACTGCTTGTAGCTATCTGTATGTTCACATCACTTCGCAAGATATTGTTGTTCGATTTACTTATGAACGACGAATATCTTGTCGCTTGGTGTGATTTTATTTCATTGTTTTCGCGAAGCATTAAAAAACCCTAATTGTAATCTTTACAGGATGTTTTTGAAATGGAAGCCGGTGCTATCAAACCTGGTCAGGGTGTGGTTGTGGTGGATGATGTTTTGGCCACCGGTGGATCCATGGCTGCTGCGTCAGAGCTGGTTCGCCATGAAGGCGGAAAGCTATTGGGATGTTTTATTGTTGTTGATTTGTCGTATTTGCATGGTCGTCAGAAACTGCCACCAAGTATTCCCTGTGAAGCTTTGTTCTCATATTCCAGTTGATTCCCCTTCCCTTTGAAGGTAAGAAAGTTCTTGCATGGCATAATTAAATTTTTTTATTTGCACAGCCACACCACATTCTTCTACAGTAATTGCGCATCTTAAACGAAATTTGGAACAGTTACATTTTCAGTAAGTTCTGCTGATTGCAGCTGCTACTGCTGTTTATAACTTACTTGTCAGAATATAATTACTTAATTAACATTCTAATGGAGATCGTAGCAGAGTAGATATGTAATATAGTGTGGAGCGGAAAGGTTTACGTTCAAATCACTTGAGCAACTGCACCTGTTCACCACTTGATTTTCTTGCATTTTGCTCGATCAAATTGCAGGTTCCCCCGCTTTCCCCCTTCATCAAACCGTACATTGTTATCTTCGGACGGTCACAATTGCAGACTTTTGAACATTACTGTTGATGGATAAATTATTGAAGTGCCTTATTATTTATTTGATTAGTTTGAATTTATTAATTGATCATCTGGCTGATCGATGATTGTGCTCACCCGATGTACCATGTCAACACTTGCTGATGCGAGCTGTACACTACTATTATGTTGTTACCGATACTTCTGTGCTTATTGTCAATCTTCCTTTTTTCCCTTGTTTTGATGGTTTGATAATCTGCTGTGCCGACTCTTCGTTTCCGGCACACCGTTGAGATATTCCTGCCCGTTGAAATGATTTTAACTTTATCAAAAAAGCAGAAGCTACCCTAGTTATTCTAGTTAAAAATTACAGAGTCCAGACAGTGCTCACTGGTCAATATTTCTCTCGCTCTAGATGAGCATCTGCTGTAAGAATAATATGTTGCAGAATTAATTTTATTGTGTTATGAGGTTTAAAGTCATTCTATGAGGTGGCATAAGCTTCCGGAATCCGCATGTCGAATGAGTGTTGCTAATCGAACTGTTGAATACATTTCGTTATACGGTATTTACACCTTTTAAAATACCTGCAGTTTACGCAACCGAATTCTCCAACTTTCTCATGCTACCATATACACAAGCCACAGATCCATATTTTTGTTAATTTGGATTTGTAATCATTTGTTTACGCCATTGTAAATTTGCAACTTTGCAATTATTTTACTTTGAAGGTGGCTGCAGTTTCTCAATACGTATTAAATTAGGTCAACAAACCGAACCTCTACAAAATTAGGGTTGGAATAAGCATGGCAGCAAGCAATTAGTACGAATTTTTCGGTTATTTTTCGGCCTGCCATATGATGGCCCCAGGGTTGGGTGAGTCATGGTGCTTTGAGTTCGTCGATCAGCTGATTGGTGCGCGTATTAGGCATGTCTGCTACGTCATTTTGGCTCTGCTCCAGTTTTCTTTCGGCACACTTATTTGCCTGCATCTTATTCATTCTTCGCAGTCTAATATGTTGCAACCACCTGCAATCCGTGGGAACTGGATTAGCTGGTTGCTGACAGGACACTGGGATTCAACGTACAATCCATACCGTTGGCTATTGTAGTCTGAAGTTTAATTAGATTTTATTTGGTGGAAGCAGCAGCACTGCTCCGTTTATGAACTTATGCAAGTCGGACTGACTTTCAAATTTTAATGCAGTTTTCTGTGTTTCGTTGCAATTTTTCGAAGGACTGATTTGCAAGACTCGATGGCATTCGGATTTTCCTTTCCACTGGCCATGTGCTGAAGCTGACAAGATAAATCGCCTGAATGCTTTCTCGAACCCTGCACACAACGTTTGCCTACTAGAATAGATCTATTCATTCCGCAGAGAACCATGATTGGTATCTCCCAACCGAAGAACCAGACTACGCTGCAGAGTACTGGCGGCGACAGTATTGCAGTGAAATATGTGTTATCCAGTGCCAGTGCTTTCGTAGCCGAATTTGGTAACTGCTGCTTTCGATTTCGCTTCCCATCTGCAGATATCTTCATTTTTAAATTGGTGCCGTAGTGACGTATCCTCTGGATTTGGCCAAGACGCGACTACAGATCCAGGGCGAAAAGAGCGCTTCAGTGATAGCAAATGGAACCAGAAAAATTAGTTCGCCGCAGGCCTATCGAGGGCTGTTCAAAACGGCTGTTGGAATCGGTAAGAGTCAAGACTCGAAAAACGACTGATTCGTATCCCTTACAAAAAGCAGCTTCCTCGTATATCCAGCTCGGCGATGTTGCATAATTATGGTGACAAGAATTAAAAGAACACAGCCTTGTGTTTACGTGGGCAGTACTGAGAATTTTGACAGTTGTGGTACTGTATGTATTTTGCCGTTTCGGAATTTGTGATGCTTTTATCTTGTTTTAACTTTTAGTCAAAGAAGAGGGATTTACAAAACTGTGGTATGGATTGCCTCCCGCACTCGTTCGTCATGCAAGTAAGCAGGAGCGTCTTGAATACCGATGATACTTGGCTGACTGAATTTTTTATTACTTTCCTGTTCCCGTTGTAATATATTTTTTAACGAAGTCTGACATTGTACAGTTTATACTGGATCCCGGATGACGATGTATGAACAAGCTCGGGAAAAGCTTTTCCATGCTTCGTCGAAAGATTCCATTGCTTTATGGTAACCGCCCGAAAACAGACAACAGTTTGAACAGACAAGTTTTTACAACAACTTTTTTTTGAAAATTACTACTCTTTTTTTTAATTACAACTTTTACAGTTACAACTTTTCTCCTTTAGGCAGGCGACATTCCTCGGCATGACTTGCGGTGGAATTAGTCAAGTGATAGCTAATCCAGCGGATGTGGTGAAAGTGATGTTGCAGATGGAAGGACGTCGCAGGTTAGAAGGAAAGCCACCTAGGTATGCATTTGAATTTGGCGAACCTTTTCTTCTAAATTCCTTATGTCGAATGTGTTGGGTTTTCTAATTTTCGGCGCATTTTCATAGAGTTTTGGGAATGACCCATGCTTTCCAGACTGTGATAGCCGAAAGTGGTTGGAAAGGCTTAATGCGAGGATGGCTTCCTAACATGCAGCGCGCAGCGCTGGTCAATCTCGGAGGTGAGCAGTTTTTACACAATAGCATCTCTTGATTGGTTTCTGTAAGTTCTTTCTCTTCAGACTTAACCGCTTACGATACTGTGAAGCACGCTGTTTTGACGCATACTCCCCTCAAAGATAGCCCTGTGACTCACGCACTGTCTAGTCTCTTATCCGGAATTGTAGCGGCGATCTTTGCTACTCCAGCAGGTTGGTGATTTTCTCTTTAGGTGTTTCTGCCTGTGATTATTAATTTCCCCGCGACCAATCCTTGTTGCGTTTAGATGTTGTGAAGACTCGAATGATGAACCAGCCCTTTGATGCTACCGGAAGGTATCTTCCTTTTCGCACAGTCTTACGCATATTGTGTACATTTTGTGGTTTTGTTGGGCAGGCCGTTGTTCTATCAGTCTTCTCTCCAGTGTCTTTCCAAAACCGTACGAGAGGAGGGCATGTTAGCCATTTATAAAGGCTTTTTTCCTGCATGGTAAGCCATACCTTGTTAGCTTTCATGATTTAAAAGATTGACATTTCGCAGACTTTGTTCGACGTTATGGTGTTATTTATGATTACATATTTACTTTCTCTAGGATGAGAATGGGTCCTTGGAGTATGACTTTCTGGCTGGTATGGGAATCTGTGTCGAAGAAAAAGATTGATAGGCATTTTGTTGCGGTTCTCGTGATGTTCGATTAGTTTTATTCCGTTTGGAATTCTGATGTTCTACTTGACTTGCTGCAGGTGTATGAACAGCTGAGAAGATTGGACAAACCAAGCCACAGTGCTCAACCAGTGGATACTATTGTTTTGTAATATTGCTGAAGGCCAGACAGGACTGGTGCTCATGGTCAGTAGGATGGTCCCGGTTCTGTGGTGTTTCTGCTGGTTCGTTTGAGGTTTGATACGTTGTTTCTTTTCCTTATTGTTCCTTGAAACTTGATGGATTAGCTCTAGAATGTTGCAGATTTTATCTTTTAATATATTTCTGGTATTCTGAATTTTATTGCACTTGTATTCATGTAGATAGTTTGTATGCAATTTTGTTGTTTTTACGGAGATTTTAACTGTATTTCACTTCATATCAACTATGGTAGTCGAACAGAATTTGTTAAACGAAATAAAAATTAAATCTCAGGATGTTTGTTGCAATTATATTTGAACTTTATTTATGTATTTATGTATACCGAACAAAATTGAATCGTTATCGAAATAGCTATACATAATATGCTTGCTAAGGAGGAAGTGTGGGAACTGAATTTCTTCCACTACAAGAATCGTTTTAGAGCTTAGTGATTACTTTAGTAATATGTAATTATAGTTCCTTGAATCGTAAGGTTTGGCAAATACGTAGGCACTTAATCCAAATCTGATCACGGGATGTTGCCCGATTGTCTTTGGATAGCCCTACGTATTTGAAAGGATTATCACGAGCAGATCGTTTCGATGGCATCAAATGCTTTTTACCAGTTACTTAAGGGCGTTGAAGTGTCTTCATGGCGATCGGGTCAAAAAAATCGAACGATCTGGAAAAGTAATGTTGCAACTAATCGTAAGTATAAGTAAAACAATAATGGTTGCTGCCGCATAGTGCTTCCTCTACTCGTCTGCAGTACGTCGAAGTAGGCAATAGGCATTACACAATTGGCTACCGGTTTGACGGTTATCCAAATTCAACTGTTTTCAATAATATTTACTGTTACAGCCGACTGAAATGTACGGAAACACCGGTTGATGATTGGTGTCCTAAGTTTAAGCAACGTACCTATACAGTAGTCAGTATCCGGACGAATTGGTGCGTAGTCATGGATCTTCTGTTCTGAACGACAGATTGATCTGATTTCGTAATATCCAATAAAAATTGTGCTGTATCGTCTGTACTGTATACCGAAGATCGTGAAGTAGAAATTGTTAGATTCATTTTTTTACAACAACTGTACACCAATTAGTCTTCTTGCAAATCTGCCTGTTAGCGGCATTCATGTTTCCGAATCACTGCGATCTGTTTTACAGTAGGTCGTACCGTTCTTGCCGCCAGTGTTTTTTTTTCAGCAAAGTGGTAACATGTCTGGTGCAAGTTAAATCAAAAATTGTGTTGACTGCTTGATATCCGGTGAAATCGTGATCGCAAATGATAATCGGTTGTTATTATTAAATCCTTCCGCGCTACCTGCGTTACAAGTCGGCAGTTTAAGATTACTAGCAGGTTGGTGCTATCGTTCATAAATAACAAAGCAGTTAATTCTGGGTGCATTTTATTTTGTTATTGCGGAAAATTATAGGCAGAGGTGAATAAGTTCACTGTTGCCTGCTCTATCCAAGACTAGCTCAACGCAGCTCTGACAAATGGATTTGACGCACTTTTTTGCCATTGTTTATGCTGTTTTCCCAACCGTCAACTGTCTCCTCTATGGAAGCAATGATTCGTTGGGGCCGGTACAGGTGAGATTTAACCACGTTATCCTTATTATTTTGCCCACTGTGTCGTGGGTTGTAATGCCGACATCAGAATTTTTTTCAAGTGACGTCTGTTGTGTATATATGATAAATTTTTGTGGAGACTGACTGACAATTTAATGTAATTAAACTGAATGGATATAATCATATGCAGTATTATAAAGCAATTTTGATGTCTTCCACCGAACAGCCAGATACCAAATAATACCATGCCGGTATCGTTTTATACCGATTAACTATAATCGTAAATAGTACGTTTACTAAGTACAATAAACTTTAACAAACTACCACACAGAAGCGCTAAAGACTGTATTGAAGCTGACGTTATTTAAAGTAAACAAATGCTAGCTGCTTTCCGGTATGTTTACCCGTTTGCTTGGAATTCTTTGTATCAGGAGAAACTAGTTTTTCGGAGCGAAGAAATCCAGTTGATTCAAGCCAATGATACCATAGACGATAGCGCGAATGAAATTCCTATGCAAATGACCGACGGGAGCCTTTTCATTGAGGATTCCACTGCGAAGGACTGTGGTGTTGGTCTTAATGAAACGATGACAGTGAATCTGGATGATCAATATTGTCCACTGCCAAAGGGAACACCCATGGTTAATATAGGAGGTGACTCGGGTCTACCGGTGGAGTACTTCGTTATCGGTATGCATCCGTAAGTACGATACAGTACAGTACAGATATCTGTATACCCAACATGTCAAACTGGTTAAAGTTTATCTCGGAATTAATTTGCTTATTCAGTTTTCTGTTGTATATTATTTTGTTTTTGACTTGTGGCGCTTGTAGTTCTGAGAGTATATCATACTTATTATTTCCGATGTTGCAATAACCAGCTTTAAATTAGGTAAAAACGTTTTTGCAATCAATAAGTCACCGTATGTGATCACAAGTGTATTTCGTGCATTCTATACTCAATGTTTGTCGCGGTCAGCGTTTTTCAAAGCACAAAGGAAACCTCTCAGTGTTTTGTTTTCTCTTTGTTATCCGCAACGTATGCCGACGTACGCCGGTATAATTGTGCATAATGTATATTAACGCAGAGGTGCAATACCTTACATCTGCAGGCTTTTCTTCGCCTTAGCAGCGTTGTTGCATCCGGTTGGAAAGGTTCCGATATGTGCAATGCTGAATTATCCAGTAGCGTAAATATTCGCTTACTTATTCGATAGTAATGTTGGCATTTTTGCAGGGTCTTTTCGTTTCCGGATTCCTCGGATGGCACTTTAACACTGCAACAGCCCATTAACGCCACTGCTAGCTATAACGTTTCGGTGGCCGTGACTAGTATCTGTGGGACTTACGTTCTGGTGACCGTGGTAATCAACGTGAAATGCAATCCAACTGGCCCGACTACGCAACTACCGGTCAGTGCAACTGACTCACCTGCTACAGTTCATGGGAAAAGTTTTTCGCCAGATTGTCCACCGCGGCTCGTGTCGCCGAGTGATGGCACTTTAGTTGTCAATTGCGTGACACTGGAGAGCGATCCTAACATTCGATATATACCGCCAGATCATATTGTAGGAAAATTGATTATGAAAGGAGCGAAAAATTACTCCTTTTTTCTGCGATCCAGAAGGTGAGTATCATTTTTATGTACAGAGGAGTAGCAGGACTGCAAAAGTATTTTGAATAGGCTCAGTTAGTGCCAATTGTCTGATACATATTGTTTGCCCAGTGCACTATTGCAAGTGCTAGCAGTAAGCGAATATATAACCTGTTGCCGGTGTTGGGAGGTGAATCAGACATATTGCAATACATACCACGTCTATGACCGGAATTAATTACGGCTGTATTTAATCGTCGGTTGTACTTTTAGGACCGTCATCTCAGAAAAACATTGCACAGAGCAGAAAGTTGAAGAATTTTGTTACGTCTTTTTAGCAATTTTGTGGTGTTTAATAACGGGAGCGTGGCAATGGGAGGATATTTGGCAGGAGACGGGTTTAAAAGCGTACTATCGCTAAATATTACGGACAGTTTGGGTGACTGCGCAGAATCGCTGTTGGTCGATGTTTCTGTTCTGGTGGATTGCTATCCCGAGCGTCAACGAGACATTCTGCCAGCTTTTGACCATTCATCAACAGAAGTCAGTTCAGGTGAGTACGTCGACTGTTAGGGTTCCTTAGCATGCGACCGGTACATACCATTAAATGCTATTAGCCGGCAGAACAAAGATACGGAATAACTATCATATAGTACGATCATACAGTGATACCGCACCTAATAAGTTTTTCTTTTTTGTTATCGCATGGAAAATACGAGTATGTGTAAAAGTATGACTGATTAAATAAAGACTGCAGACACATTGGTTACTTCTACAGTACAGTAAATGAGTATTTCATAACCCGATTGCAAGTTGCTAAAATTTTATAGAAAATCGTGTGTCAAGCGAAAGCACAACTCCTTCAACCACCGCTTCCATGCCGGATGGTGTTCTCATGAGTCCATCGGAACATGTGGATCCCACTCCACCCATGGCCCAAACACCGCTGTACATCTTACTAGGAATCCCTCCTGGAGTTGACATTTGATTGCCTTACAGCATTGTTTGTTCTACAAATCATCGAGCACTTCACGCTACAACCGTTGTTTAACAGGCACACGGATCTGGATTTGTGTTCGAAAAAATGCTGGATATTTTCTTCCAGCAATGATAATCATTGCAATTGGAATTTCTGCAATTAGAAGTGACCATGGGCTCTCGAGATGCAAATATTATTTATCTAACGTATAATTATAATAGTGAAATACCTGAATTTTTAAAACGAACTAGTTTTATTGTTGCTCCACTTTATACCTTAAAAAAATTTAACAAAGATTGTTTTAACTTGACGCAATTACCAGTGCAACATTAACGGATTACCTTTCATCAAAACTTGTGACCGTACAGATCAATAAAATGTACTAATATACTGCAAGCTTTACGGAAAGATAGGATGCATTCACAGAACTGCACAACCAAATCATTTGTCTTGATCTTCCTCAGAACAACACTCTCATGTGCTCTAATGCACAAAAAATCGATTTTGAAACAATCGCTTGTCCTTCAGGTGAGGAAAGCAGTTCATCCAGCAGAAACGCATAATTTATCGGTTTTTTTCAGTTAAAACAAGACGGTCAAATGCAGAGATCCACAAGTAAATATGCCCGCAGCGTTATCACAGTATGTATCGCGAATTTTCAGTTAAGTGAGGGAAAAGTTCCAAAAATTTGCCGCATCGATGCAGACGTCAATCAGGTGTCCACTGCTTTCCAGATAAACAGCTTATTCTTGGCCGTGCTTATAAAAGAACCATCTTTGGGATGATGCGCAACACAGGTGATGACAGTCTCCCCTAACCCGTGATCCAGTTTCTGCACTATTTGTCCCGTAATTAAATCCCAACAGTAGACCTGGCCATCCTCTGAGCCAGACAAGACATGGGTGTCTTTCGCGTTCAGACCGGCATCACACCGGTAGTCGGCACTCTTGTGTCCGACGTATTCTCCCAACATTTCCCCATTATCTTTATCCATCAACATCACCGCGCTCTCCATGGTGCCCAACAGGATGCCTTGGCTGTCGTTGGTGAAGCAGACGCTGGTGACGGATTTCCCAATGTAGTCCTGGTGCAGTTTGCCCGCGCGCAGATCATAGCGCCGAATCCGTCCGTCGAGCGATCCCGTGAGAATTTCGTAATTGGTAGCCACAATGGACATCACCTGGTCTTTAGCTTCGTCTAGGGTCTGCACTGGTTCCTGCTTTTGACTTTTTAGATCCCAAACCTAAAAAAACTACTATGTCGGCAGTGGACAAACGAGATGGCAGACATCCTGAACCATTCAATCATACCTTAACAGTGCAGTCAAGACTCCCCGAGAGAACAACTGTGGATTCTTCATTGAAGCACACGCAGTTCACTTTGCCCATGTGGCCTCGAAGTTTCCGCAAAGCCTTTCCACTCCCAACATCCCACAGCATTACCGTTTTATCGGCAGAACCGGAGGCGATTTGTGAGCTGTCAAACGATCCTCTTGCGTCCAAGACTTCGAATCCATGGCCCGCGTACGTCTTGAGTAGCAGTTGACGATAAGGATTCCACAATTTTATGGATTTATCCGCACCGCAGGTGATGCAGTAATTGCCGTCCACATTTAAACGTGCTGCGCGAATGGCGCCCTGCTTACAGTCAAAGCTCTCCGGGGAAGACGAGTAAAGTGTCTGGGAATGCGCGGAACTCATTGTCATTTAGCTATTCTTCTAGAAATTATGACGTAAACTTAAGAGGTATCACGATTAACTTTAAATGAATTAGAATCGCTGAAGGCTTGAAGCCATAAAAGCCGTAACAGATGTTATTCGTTTTCAGGGCAAGTTGGCAAAATCAAAAAGTTAATATCTCAACACACACTCATTCCGCAGTGTTTCAAAACAATTCAAAATTGAAAACATTCCAAAACAATGAAAACATCAACAGATCTGGTCACCAAAAATTCAAAATTCGTGTAAGTTCAGCTTCCCTTACGCGACTACGTCACAGCAAGTCGTGCATTTGCCCCAATTACAACCGCCCCCGAAAGATGATCAGCTGCCGACAGCCCATGAAAACTCTGCAGTGCAAAAATCATAACTTTAAACTTTGTAAGTCCTTTGCAGGTTGCTGTTTCGGTTCCAGCAGAATATTGTTTGTTTTCGCATCGGGATCGCACTTTTTATATGCAATTTCTAAAATACTGGAATACCTGCGATAAAGTTTCAGTAGATTTTGAACGGTGTTGTTTGCTTATTGCTTATCGTGAATGCCGCTGGACTTGTCCAATGGAATCCTAATACCTCTTCGAGTAGTCTTTACAAGATTCTCTCAAAACGAAAACAGTATTTCTGCAGACGCCGGAGAACTGTATGCATTGCTTTAGGATGGCTCTCTTTTCTCGACGAGCGTTAGCCTCTGCACGACTTATTTTACCGGTTAATTTTGGTAAGCAGTTTGCTTTGTAATGCCAAAAATGTAGCATTAGCAGCTCGGCTAACGTTTGACATTTTCTTATAATTCTTATTAGCGTCGTCTCCTATAAGTTTTCCGTGTGGGATTCCTCTGCATTTCCGATGTATATCCGATGATAATCCAAAGGACGGGAGCAACAAGAAATTCCCCTACTCTAAGAATGGACGTGTCAGTTTTGTTAACACTTTGGGAGATCAAAGGTATTCGTGGGGTTTTCTATCGCTCATTCGCAGTTTGTTTTCTTGTTTGCGGATTATGGTGAAGTAGAACTACTGAGTTTTTTAAATAGTTGAGTTTTCTTGTAGCAAAAATCCATTTAATCCTAATCTGTACCCCGAAGAAGTGAAATACGGTGATCCTTTGGAGGGATTGAGTCCCGTTGAAGAAGATATTTATAAAGGTAATGACGATCAACTTTGACAAGTATTTAAGAGAAATCGCATACTACCGAATGCTGTAAAGGATTATCGCTGATCGATTTAACTATTTGCAGATATTGTCGGGAAAATAAATACCCAGATATCTGAGGAGAGCTATGGAAGGCCATTTGCGGTGATTCACGTTTCACAGAGACAGTACCGAGTGACGGAAGGAGATATCATCATGGTCGAGCATACATTTCCGTTGGATGTTGGAGAAAGGATTAAATTTGAAAAGGTACAAATTTGTATTTCATTAGCTTACTTTTATGGTTCTGAAAATTATTATTACAATGTTTTACTAATGGAATGTTTTTATACGTTAACTGACTTGCGGCACTGATTCTGGTGCAGTATTGGTGTTTTTTAGGTCCTGGCAGCTGGTTGTGCTGACTTCTCGCTCATTGGTCGTCCAATATTAGAGTAAGCAGTTCTTCTGCAGTTGCTCTCAAACCGCGTTTCTATTTAATTGTAATAGTGCCGTTGTTGTAGCCGAAATCTGGTGGATATCGAGGCTACCTGCATCGAAAAATCTCTGGCTTATCCCATCATAAAATTTCAGCACATTAAACCTCTTTCTTTGCGAAGGCGGCGCTGTAAGTTGATTCATGAACATTGGTCTGATTGTAGGTGAATCCTGTGACTTTTGACGCACGGTATCCATAAAATTTTTTTATTTAGTTTTCAGAAACCCGGAAACTATGATAAGGATAAACAAGATTACTTTTAAAAGGAAGCTTAACGATTTGACGCATCCGGATGACGTTGTACATACGATTCATTAATATTTTGTCTTTGTTTCGTTGCTGTTGGGCATTGGCAGTGTTTGATTGTACTATTACGGAAAATCTCTACATTGTCGTCAGTTTTTAAAGGAGTTTGACCTCTTCGGTTAATAAATCGGAAGAAATGCTACATAAAAAGGACAATGCATCGACTGTTGATCTGGGTTGAGTAGCGCAACTGATGCTGTCACATCGGTCCGGTTTGACTTGGCGAATTGCGCTGGGATGTTCGCACTGTGCCAGCGGATGTCGAGCTGCTTGATGGGCATACATGCGCTGCTGTGGGGACGTCAACATTCTTTTGGCAATCTTGTTCCAGTCTTTGCATTTGCGCTCGCACTTCGCCGACGACGCCGGGCATCTGGATGATTCGTATTCACTCACAACAAGGTACAGCGGTTTTCCCCATTCAGGAGTCTCTGTAAATTATTAGAGTTTGTAATTGCTCATAAAATCACAAATTATTGGGACAATTTACGGGCAGTATGGCTGCAGAAATTTCTTCTGGACGAGAACAGGGGTTCGCATTTCCGGGAGTCTTTCTTAAAGCATTTCTGTGAGGGATTTTCTCGATCATCCACTGGTGCGTGCAGGCATGGAGCTTTTGTGCAGGATGGGAGATTCTGGCGGTTGCAGCACGTCATTAAAGAAGATTTTGGGGGGTTACAACTTTTCTGCTCGCATCTTTTCTGATCCTCCCGGATAACTCGTTCTTCGTCATAACACTGCAACGGAGATTCCCGGATCGGAACGCTGCATTTATCCGTACTGGCTAACGGGCTTTTGTAGGATTTTTTCACCGTTTGTGTCGTTTTTTTCTCGATCTGACACGTTCGGACGGCTTTCTTGGGGCATTGATCAGACGTTTCGCAACCGCTGGAGCATAATTCACTGAGACTGTTGTTGGAGCAGCGACTAATCTGCGCAACTTCGTACTTGTTATACCGGTTGGTAGAAGTTTTTGGTTGGGAACAGGAACGCTGCCGGCGTGACAGTTTCTGGACGATTTGTTTTCGCGTTTCGGCATTGCAGTCTTCGTTAAATGCACGGAACAACTGAGAATCCGATTGCAAAAACGATGCGACTTGTACTGCTGGTTCTTTTCTGCACGTTTCAGGCTTCTTCACAAGTGGTTTGCAAGTAGGAAGGCTTTTCTCACATCGCTTTTTAATTTCGGTTAGCGGGCAGTCGCCATACGCTGGTGTGATGGGGCGTGATTTACGACCAAAGCTGACCTGCAAATGACCATTGGCCATTGAATATGTTTGACGTAAACCGGAAATTAACTAGGAAAGTGAACTTATGCCCAGTAACATGCACAAACACCCAATGCACTGCGTCCGAAATTAAACAGAATACGGTATAAAATAAGTAACTCGGTCATATAAAGAATAATGTTTTCATGCGTAGCATAAGTTATACTGACGGTGAATCAATGATTACTTTTTCAAAGACCTCTAAACCATTGCAATCTTTTTCTACTTCCGGCGGAACAACGAATCCAGCCCACTGGTCAATAACGCTGCCACGGTTGCATGCATCAGCTGATTTTGGACGATTACTCGATAAGCGTGGCATTGTTCTCAACGTTCTGCATTTCCTGTTGGCGCTCGGGCGCACAAATCCGGTCTGTAACGGTTTGGGAATTTCACACGCTGACACCGGTGGGAAATCAGCATCTACAGCAACGGCCAAGACGCCTTCGTCCAATTCGAGATCACGGACATTATGCTCCAGCAGGAAATTCTCTTCATATCTGTCGATCAGTTGTTTCTGCAGTTCATGAATTTCCAACGCTTTCTTCCACAATCCCTCATTTTCCGGAGTTAGCATAACCGATACAGTCGGGCATTCCTTGTCACACCCATGCAAGCTCAGGAAAAAGCGGCGAACTGCAGCTACATCCGCTGGTGTTTCGCCGGTCTTCACTAGCTATCAAATGGTCAACGAAGTGATCGACAAGATAAAAAAACTTCATTTTAGGCTGTTTAAGTAATAAGCGTGTACAGGTACAATATAATGAGCAAATCAGTAAAAGGACTGCAATAATTTTTACCATAATAAAATAAATTTTTTATTTAATATGGTACGTACCGTAAAATCCGATATTGACGCCCCCCGAAATTAACGCCCTCTGCGGTTTTAAGCGCCCCCTCTCGAAGATATCGAAAAATTAAAAGCCCAGGGCGTCAATATCGGATTTTACGGTATATACTGTAATTATTAATAAGGGGACTAGTAAATGCGATGTATGTACCGCACTTTATGTTATATGTTTTGTGACCTTTGTTTAACGAATCAGTTGATAGAAAATTTTTCTATCACGAAATGTCATGTGTCAACTAACTTCATCAGTATAGCGGCGTATCAGACAGTCCATATCCGACTTTTGCTGGCGAATATGATCCAGTTCTTCATTGAACACCTGAATATCTTGCTGCCTCTGACGAATCTGACAACTCCGCTCTTCTAACTGCTCGCGTTGTGCATACTCATTGTCCAGATCGTGCTGCTGCTGTTTCGTCTGCAGTTGCATTAGTTTTTTACGTTTACACTTCAAATCATACTTCCAGTTGGCCAGAATGCAGGGCTTCTTTTCAATAAGATCTTCCAGATGCTCGGCATGGATCATCTGTCCAGCGCGCAGCACCATCACCTGCGCACACCGACTGAGGATCTTATCGCGCACTTTGCGCCGATTACGGGATATCTTCCGTTTTAGTTCGTGGGCCTTTCGCTTATCACACTCAATCTTTTTTGCCACATCACACTGGATTTTCTGAATGGTTTTGGCTAAATTACTGCGTTCACTTTGCAGTTTATCCACAGCGTCCTGTGCACAGACGATGCGCTGGTCAATGGACGTGCTTTCCTGCTCCAGCCGACTGATCTCCTGTCGCAGCTTCCCAATACCGTCCACACAGCCATCTCTATTCTTTATCAGCTTTTTAGACACTTCGCCATGTTTGGGCTCCTCGTGGTGGAGCTGAACGGCAATGTTCGTCAGCCAGTCTTGATCAGCGTTGTTCAGAGCGCACTGCAGCGCTTGAAAATCGATGCTGCCGTTGATGCCCGGGAATTCTTTCTGTAATGCTTTCCATGTTTGCATCCCGCGGGGATTCCTTATTTAATATCACATATTTGTACATTATCATAATCCGCTTCTCTGCAGCAGCCTTGTGCATTACTACTACCCTATGGGAATAGTTTTTAAGTACTTATAGTATAGCATGTCAGTTTTGGCTGCTTATGCTTAGTAACAGAGTTTGAGTTAGTATTATGGCAAACCTTTTATGCAGCAAGAGAGTAGTACAATAAGTATACGCGGTACTCGATTATACTTACTGTACCGGTATTGTTTTATGTTTTTTTAAACATTTTTTGAGGAATATTTAATAAAACTTATGGGCTGAGTTGACTACAATTATAAGATATGCGGCCTAATGCAAAGTTCTAAAACGCGCGCGTCCGTAAAAAAACATACGGGTCTATGCGTATTACAACACAATGTACTACATTCTTGTACATGTCGTCACACTTTCCGTTATTTTTCCATGGATGTACTAGCAAAGATAGTAAAATCCTTAAGATGATAAGGATCTTAACGATTTAACGCATTGTTTGTAATTATTACTTATATAATTTCTCAAGCGACAATAATCGTGGTAAAACTACAGTGCAAAACGAGTATTTGTCGATGTGGTAATACAATGCGCTCGACAATTTTCGTTGCAACTTTACCGGCGCCATATAATTCTGGTAATTCTTTATTAACACTTCAGGCGACCACTTTTACTCAACCTGGTTCGTTTCGTGTGCTGCGATTTTAACGACGGTTAGCGACCTTGATTCGCTGCTCTTCATACGGAAAATGGCCAAAATCATTAAACGGTCATCACTAAAGAGTTTCCGTACTAAATAGTAGCGCTAAATTTTATTGCAGCACTCCATCTCAACGCCATTGTAATATTATTGTTATTTTTGCAAGGTCAGTAGCAAATATGGCTTATCTGCTAATGGAAGTAGTGCGTTCTTGTTCGGTATTATTACTTTTATGCATATGTCTATTGTTGTTCACAGGTAAAATAGATACTGACCCAGTAACTCAGTATTATTCACATTCTTAATTATCAGCGAAATAATAAGTTTGCTTATCAACGAAAATTACGCTCAGAATCTTTTTCGATCTTCTCAGGATGCGGATACACGGACGTGGTGTACACTCCGACCCAGTTCGGCTACGGAGGCCGGTTAGGCGGATGGTCACTGGGCGGTGGACTATATGGATTCTCCGGTAACTGCTCCTTCCGGCCGGTCGGATGGGGCTACTACACAACCACCGCGTCGCCCGTGTCCACCACCATCGGTCCCGGGGATTCCCAAGTGTATAACTGCGGCTTTGATCCCGCGGAGAGCAAGACCTTTGGTTACTGGGGCTACGAAGTACCGGCACCGCCAGTCGGAATGTCGTATCCCAATGTCGGATGGCCGTATTCCATGCCGTATCCGTACTTTACGCAGCCAACATACGGACCTGTGGGACTTCCGTATTATGGCGTCCCGGTAGCGTATTATAATCCGTATCTTTTTGGCTTTGGTCGATATGACGGGATCTATGGAAGCGCGCGTAATCCTGGCTACGCGATACCGACACCGAAACCTCGTTTGACGCTAAACTCCCCGGTAAGCAAAAATCATGCTGAAAATATGGTCGTTGTCGATCACTACGCAAGTACTATCGCAGTGCATGCCTCTGAAATTTGAAAGAAATTGTGTGTAAAGCAAAATGTGCACTTTGAATCCAGACTTTTGCCAGCGGAAATCGGTTTAATAATTTTTGCCACATATATACTAACTGAAAATGTGTCAAATATTAGGTTTTTGTGCTTATCAGGTTTACAAAGGATTTCGCTTCGGACCTGGAGGACAAGTCGTGGACTATTACAAGAAATAACCGTGCAATATTCTTCTACTAAAGGTGTAATTTTTTCCGTTACAACGGAACTTTCTTTTGTTAATAAGCGCTGTGTTTATTTTGCTATTAATTTTTTTGTTTTGTTTGTTGCAAATTCGTTGCTGATGCAGATGTTCCGAATGATAGTTTCGAATATATGTTTGTAGTAGAAGTGCCAAACGTTTTCCGCAAGATGGCTAACAAAATAGTCGTGACATTGTGTATTGTCTACTTGAAGGCCTACTGGATTACTGTAAACCGAAAAGACGATGATATTATAGAACCGCATTGATCAAATTAAATTCTGAAACAGTTCATAACAACTTAATAATATGATTATGAGTTTACATTATTGTAGCATGCTATCTGGTCGGATAACTGAAAATACACTTCCCAAAATCTAGCTATATACGCAGTAGGTAAATTTCTAACTGACGTTCTTAAGGGCCTACGTAATCGTTTGGCAGTTAAATATAATTAAAAAATTCATGTTTATTAACAAACATAAAATCATGAAATTGTGTAATACACAGCAAAATCTTGTCACTAGTTGAGAAAGCATATACTGGATACGCGGTCGGTAAACAAAATCAGTGCAAATTTGCAAACTGAAACGAGAATTGTATTGCTTTGCCCTATTACTGTCAACAATAAGAAAAGTACAATACTTGTACTGTTTTATTCGAGCAAAGCGTATGTCAGATTGTAGGAAACACTGTTTACCGCATATGTTTTTGTATGTAGCCGCGATGCTACCGGTACTTTCGTAGTGCACTGCACTTACAATTTTTTTAGCCTAAAAATTAATGGATACCGTAACTTTCAATTGCTTTAACTGAGCATACTTCTTTATATAAATATAACACATGAAAACTCCATTCCCAAATCTATACATTCGTAAAAACTGCACTTTTTAAAATTAGTATTTAAGACATGCTGTATGGTGGAATGCGCTGATAACTGCAAATTTGTGCGGATTTCTGTATACTTGTACGAGTACTAACCATTAGTCAGCGCATTATTACGAACATTAGGCAGATATTGTACACATGACGCACGGGTACATTCTTACACCGTTTTACTACTTCTGAACTTGCTTTTACGTATACTGCAGTGACATCTGAGAGTACTAGTTACTTCGAAGCTAAAAAAAGACCCAATATAAAAACAAAATAAACTACAGTCATGTAGAAATCGTACGTAGTAATAACTTCCCCAACACAAACTGCATTAAGATGGTAATGCGGTTCACAGTGGTCATGAAAAATAATCAGCTGCGTTTTCGCGAGCACCAGATAAATGGGTTTGGTCGGCCGATTGAGCAAGTGCGTTGTGACCGTTTCGTAAACAATTTCATGGTCGCCCTTTTCGGAGCCGTTCATACGCTTCATTAGATAATTAAACTAATTATAACAATGACAATATATGATGATTCAAAACATTCATACCGTTTCACTGTGAAATAGGTTAAGCAAAAATGCCGGTAAAACTGCTAAAAACGATCTGGGTTACCAACAACCTACTGGCGCTTTTGCTTTCGGTTTTATATGATCATCACGTCTCATCATGGTCTGTTATATTGGAGCATCTTCTTCGGCGCACTGTCCATAGCGGGGGAATATGACATATTGGCTTTAGTATCGCGAAAATGGCCATAAATGTGTATTTAGCAGATATCCTTATTGCTTCGGTTATTACCTTGCTACTCACCGGTAAGAAGCGATTGTGATAATTATCCAAGGCGATGTTAATGCGTTTATTATTTTGTGCTTACTATCACGAAATTTGTAGTTGTTCGAATTATAACCACAACTATCTCACTGCATTTTGCAGGTGTTTACTACATACACTGTATTAGTAAACGATAAAATATTTGAAGCCTGTGCGAGCCTATTCGAGAGAAAAATGTTAAATTTCGAAATATGTTCAGATATTTCATTGACGTAATCCTAGCTGAAATGCATTAGGAAGTACCTGTTATACAGAGTCGTTCCAAACGGCTTTTAATTTACTTTGCAATTCTAGCTATTCCATGCAGCGGTCAAGCGTATGGCGGTTATGCCGGCCGGCTGGGTGGTTACTCCTTAGCCGGATCCTACTCTAATTTCGTGGGCAACTGTACACCCATGTACAGCTCCAGCTCCGGATCCTACGGATCCAGCTACGGATCCGGAAGTTCATACGGCGGCGGATCTTACGGTTATGCCACAACAGCCGCCCCGGGAGTCAATCTCACCAACTGCGGATACGACGCGGATGCCATGAAAGTCTTCGGCTATTACGGATACGATTTCCCCAAGCCGCCCATTGGTCTGAGTTATCCGAATATCGGCTGGCCGTATTCCATTCCCTATCCCTACTACACACCGCCGCCATACGGACCCATCGGCATCCCGTACTACGGCACACCGGTAGTCGGTTATAATCCTTATTTGTTTGGATTCGGCAGTTATGATGGCATCTACGGCGGGGCACGGGGTGGGAAGTACGAAATTAAGGAAGTACCGGCAGCGTATAAGCCCAGTAATGTCTACAAGGGATACAAATTTGGCCCGGGTGGTCAAATCATTGCCTACTATTAGGCGATCGGCGGCCCGGCTGCAATGTGATACCACGTGTGTCATTATGCTTCATTTATGGCGGACACCGAGCTTTCAGTTTGATTGGCCCCCGGGCGGACGCTGCAGAGATTGTATTACATGGAAATTGATGGCACTCATAACCTATTTGCTACTGTTTTGTTGTTTGTTCCACATCGTTCCTTCTTGAATTCGTTGGTGTTTTGGCAATCGAAAGAGAAAAGAGATCTTGAGAAATCGTTAGCGTTATTCCTCATTTCCGCCTGTGTGTAATTTACACCATTATAATTATGCACACTTCTAAAATACAACGAATAGCGTAACTGCAATTAATGTTTGTATGTGTGAGGCAGTGTGCTCAGTGTGCATAAGATTTTAAGCGCCAACACGCACATTGCGATTAACCTCTCATCTTTAGTTAGAGTAGGGCTCGAATAAGTACTTGAATTATGAATTTAAATGTTCAGTTATATAATTCTATAGTTAATAAAAATCAATAAGTGGAAAAACGAGCAGAATTATATTGCTACAGCAGTGTGGATACACAGTTATGGGACACAAATATAAATACGCAAACGAAGATAAGCACTTTTTTTCACGTCACAGCCTAAGTTGAGTCATACGGAGGCTTCCAATAAACATCAGCTTATCTTGTAAGACTAAGCTGTTAACTTTGGGAGCCCCTTTGCGTACCGCCATCATTTAAATTATAAAACGACAACAAATTCATCAAATTGGTTAATCAATACTATTATTTAGAGTAAATTGTTAGGGCATATAGAAATGTTAGGAAAACTTCCAAACAAAAGTAAAAAAGATAAATTATAGAATAGCACGCTGCTGTAGTACGAGAAATAAGCCACTTATTTGGGTTGCCATTTCAAAAAAACTACTCCGGAGTAGTTTCTTTATTTTGCTTATCCTGGGCGGGATACGCACGTTCTGCATATCTGCGTCACGCATTATGGACCAACTGCCGTAAAGGGGAGGTCGCTGTGACGTGAAGAAAAGTGCTTTTCTTGGCTTGCACATTTATATTTGTGTCCCATAAGTATCCAAATTCGTGTATGTATTATGCGCATTTCCAGTTTGCCAAAAATAAAACCATATTCTGGAGCACATATTTAAGACATGTTTCAATTCCATATTAATTATTAAAACAGCCATTTTAGAATACTTACATTGTACTTTTAATCTGGTCTGCTTTCGCGTACATAGACTGATTGGTCACTGTCCGACATATATCCTTGTTAATTTGTACGAAACAGGGAACAACTAATATGTGTTGCGATCACCGCATCTGTAATACATTGAATATATGCCAAACCCAAAATACCGTACTTTTGAAGTATACGTAACTGTACACGAGCACGTGCGGACTGCACACCAGAGACGAATGCACAAAAATACAAGATCTATATAAAGTAACATTTGTAACAAATACAAAAACGTTTATATCTATAATATGCAGCGCACACGCATACTTCGTGAAAGAGTTTGTAAAGATGACCGGGCTTTGACCTTTGATCCGGTCGGCCGGGAAATTGCGGCGTACATTGGTTGGCACTTGGCGGTAGAGCTGATAATTAAATATCGAGACTGGACGTGTATCCCACAGCGCTCTTTGCACTAAGGGGTACATGTTGGATTTTGGGGGAAGCCTTACACGCCGTATACGTGTAACTTGATAGAGTATTAACACGCATCAACGGACTGAAAACAAGGGAATAGGAATCGGGATCGCCCAGCACGTGATTTGTTGAAGACTGTGCATGGGGAAAACTGCGCCGATGCCATTTGCGCCAGGCTAATTGTGAACGATGAGCCATGTGGAATGCCCCGTAGACAATTGGATTTAACACAGAATTGCTCATGCCTGCAATAGGCAAATAAAAATTCCAGAAATAATATTAATACCGGTAGTACTTTCAGCGTAGTGACGTTTTCGCACTTCTTTAAAATGAACAAGCTGTGGACATTACTTACAAGCTGTGTCGTTCTTTAAAATGGACAAGCTTATACGCAGCATGGCCATAATAGCCGCCCTTACTGTATGTAACATTACAAATCTACATTACTTACACTGCAGATATTTACACTGCTCCATGCAAATTATTAAGTATTATTTACACATTGTGCGTACCAAAGAAAAAGATAACTTGAAAGAGGTGGTAGGCAGCGGCGGGTTGTCCGTCACTTGAGTAACTTAGTATCACGTAATACAGCACGGAGACATAGTAGGGAGCTGAAAAATTACCGGGGTTTATCAGAACATGTAAAACAAATTCACGTAATTTAATACAGTAAACGCTATATGTATGCGGCATGACCTACATTATTCTTTGGTTCCAATCTTTTTGAAAAAGTCACGCAAATATCTTGTGATTAATTACTTACCCCAGCACAAAAGAAATGTGACGATAACCAAAATGGAAACGCATAAGGCTTTGGTTTTGGCCTTCCGCATCCGAATATCCCGCTTTTCAGCTGTGTTACAGCTGAACGAATTAACACGGCTGCAGTCGGCTGATGAATTAATACCTGTAAGCACACATTTAGCTTTTAGAGTCAACATATTGTACTTCGTACCTATTTATGATACAGCATACACAGCTTGAGATGCAGCTTATTTATTTTGAAATTTTTGTTAAGTAAACTCACAGCACTACCTAAAGTATTTAAATTTTATTCTAAGATTTCGTGGGAAAGTGATATTAGCCGAGGATGCTCTTACCTTAGTTTGCTCTGTAATAAATTTAAAGACTTTTCTTTCGTTGATAACTGTATAAACAGCACAGTTATCGTGAACACAAATTAAGTTATAAGTTATTCATTAAGGCGTTATTACAGTACTTCTATGTGACGATTTAAGTATGAACGTTCATCTTACTGCATTGTGTTTTGGCATAGATTGCTGTTCACTGCAGTAGCGACTCTAAAGCCGATGCACGATCAATAAACTTGTTAATGTTTTCCTTATCCATTTTTGACATTAACAGTACTTAGCCTTCCGTAGTATTGCGGATTATTGGTTTCGACGTTTAAGCGCACCCCAGAGTTAGGATCATGTAAGTTTTTCTATGGTTTACATTAGTGCGAAATGCGAATTATGAACGCTGAATAATAGTGAGCTATCACAGCTGCTAAGAACGGTGTTATAACACTGGCTTAAAAGGTTAGCCAGATTCCAAGCATTTCTGTCGACGATGCATCGTGCCTTGCGATATTGGAAACTGCTAGTCTATTTTAAAGGATGTATTAAAACAACAAACAGAAAGTGTTTGCATTTAGATTTCACATCACAAAATTAAGGTATTACTGACACCCGCTTCATGTCGAAACTGTTACTCGCTAACGTAACTCATTAACATCATTGTTAGGAAGTGATAAAGTATGCTGCATAGAAATAAGTAGTGATAAAGGGCACTCTATGAAGTAAAACTTAAATTACATTACGTACCTTTCATTGGTATTATTGGGCTAATCATGGTTACTAGTAATTTTAGCGCACCCATATTTAATTGTGAGTACGACCTGCCAAATTTTTAAAAATCTCACACATGCAGTTAATACTCGAATTTCAAAATGCTACAAACTATCAAGCGATGGCAAAAATCATATTGTTTCTATTTTGAACGAATAGAATTAGACTATTAGTCATGCTACACACGCTGTACGTGGTCTCGGCACGTTTGTATGTTGTCTGCGCACAAAACCACATCGAAACAATAACTCCCGAATCTTAGTCATTAATTTTGTATACACCTTTATCTACGTATTTTTAATCATGGATTATGTTTACAACCTATATAGTCAGCCTCTTGCCCGTAGTGCATAAGACTCTGGACGCACGCATGGTTGTGTCGTCCTGCGATTTGAATAACTAAATCCACACTCCTTATGTTGCATTACCGCGTAAAACCCGGAAAACGAGCTCTGTAGTCGAGATATAAAGACTCATGCAGTATAATTCTGTAATTTCTGCCCACACCCACTCATAGCGCAAGAAGAGGCGTATTTTCATTGTCACTCACATTTAATTTTTACTGATTTGCCTATCTGTCCAGGGATTTACATTTGTATAGCGGAGGGGAAAAAAATCTTTTGTGTACCGCTGAATGGCCAAATATGTAAATTCATAAAAACAGCCAAACTGAGCTGGTTAATCTATCCATTCGAGTTGATTAATACTTTGATAAAACGGTATCTTCCGCTCACAAGTGCGGCAAAAATTCCAACTATCCCGTAAGGTCATTACCGACCGGAAATTCAATAAGCAACGTGCATTACACAAGGGCATCGCCAACGTCCCGAATGACTGTTACACCATGTGCCACTACGATTTTAGGAAAAACCTGATAATGACAGATATCAGTATAGTATTGTTTGCATATCCCATGAGCCTTCCCAGTTCTGATTCAGATTTTGCAGATAAGTGGCAGTTTCCCAGGCAAACCGCAGATGCAATCACATTACGTATTAGCGACTGGCAGTATTTTCCCAAAGCTAATTTGGAAGATAAATCTATTCAACATTGTAAGCATGGAAATCGCGCGAGACAGATTGTCTATGGGATACAGAATGTCACAAGCACGACGTCATAAAAAATGTTTTGTTGCAGCGTTCGGCGGTACAGCCGGAAATTAGCTAGAAGGACTACGAGTGCGTTTGTTCACTGTGCACAAGAGGTCACCGATTCTACTTTTCCCCTTTATCCTCAAAGACGTTAAAAAGCAATATCTGATACTACAGAGATAATCGTTTCTATACAGAAAGTAAATAAATACGTCACCGGTAGAAACGATACGGCTTCAGTCTCTTTTGACTGACGTGTTTACACTGCAATGGTAGACGGAAACACAACGCGGAACTTGTAACCAGACGCTGACAAAATATACATAGTGTTTACTTTTCATATTTACAAATTATGACATGCCATCACCAAATTAAACAAACAAACAATGAAAGCTGTTTTGAGGAGGAGCTAACAACTGCTTGCCTATTGTATGCAGGAAAAATAAGTAAATTTATAATGGAACTGAATAAACGTTCAAATGTTTTCGTTAATCTTATAGTGGTTCTTAAAATCTTATGGTTAAATGCATAAAATTTCCCAAAGATTTCCCAGGGAAACCACACTCTGATTTAGAAAGTTTTTTCAGCAAAAGAAATATAGAGGCTGTCGCAATTTTATGACGAATAATGACCACTTGCATAATGTGGAATTTTGTAAAAATTGTACTACTCGTACTTAACATAATAATACTGCGACTTGTCTGTGAATTATGGTTAAGTACTTCGCGAGCGTGTTGCATTAAATAATTTTGTGCTGATCATAACTATATTACACGTCTTTAATATCGATATTTCTTACAGATTACAAAACACACTGTGCAATTTTTATAAACGAAAAATGTTTTCCATAGCATGCAAATTTATGTTTTGTTAGACGATGACGTAAGACGCGATCATTGCAGATGCGAGGATGTAAGTACTACTCGTAGCTCGTGGGAACTTACTTGATTGTGGACCAGACTCCCTTTTGATTTTCACAAATATCAACGTATAGCTGATAATAATTAGCAGTAATGGAATAGCAAACATGGCACAGAAGGTAAAAATGATATAGGCTGGTTCCTGCCAGTCCTTCGTATAAGCGCCGTATGTCACGCACTGCTCAAATCTTCCTGATTCAATAGTAAAGGGTGCCCTTAAAATCCGAAAAATAAAAATCTGCAAAATATCGGTACATGGTGAGTTGCAAGTGCTAGACATATCGAGTATTAAAATATTACCTGAGGAAGACTGCAAAATCCAGCGGAAATCCATGCCGCAGTAGACAAATATCTTACAAGACGTTGATGGTCAAATCTGGTGATAGCGCAACGAATGGCCACGCAACGGTCAACACCTATGGTGACGATTATGAAAGTGCTAGTGTACAGTGCAAACATCTGCATGTACTTGACAAATTTACACATGAAATCCCCAGCTAGCCACTGGTAAGTGGATTTCCAGATTCCGTCAGCCAACAGACAAAACGCCGCCACTAACGTATCACTGATCGCCAGTTGCAGAATCAAAAAATTGATATTACTAAATGACCGCGACTTGTGACGCTTCCGGCATAACGCACTCATAATGGCTACATTGCCCACAGCCGCCAGGCCAGCCAGCGTAAACAGTACATAGATCTGTACTTGCCGACTTGACCTTTCGGCACTATCTTCCGCCAGACTACTCTGATTATTCATCCTAGATGTTCTGGAATATATTAAAGGATTATGCGTAAAAATGTCCTGGTCAGGACATGCCGACTGGAGATGAGAGCAAGGCTGGCAAACGACCGAAATTAACCTTTACAATCTTCCCAGAATAGACACGTTGCCGGCTGGCGGGGAGTGTGGGAAAGCGGAATCGAGTCGAACACGGTCATAGTTAGCACGATCCTGATGGATTTTTTGTCCGTGTTGTCGAAGGGACAGCCCACTGGAACTGTCATGGGAGTGTCTGGAGTCTGGATGGAGGAAGAGACTAGACTGATGTGCAGCGCAGCGCTCTTTAACAACCACCCATATCGTATTACGCACCGATAAAGACTTGAAAACTAAGCTAAGCCCTACTCGAGATAAGTGCCGGCTGCGGCCGCCAGGTGGTCCCATGCCGTCATGCTGAGGTGCAAAAAATCTCATTTTTTAAAGTAATCGGAACAAACCGTGGATACCAATACAATTACAATTATCTCCGACTGTAATCTTGACCACGTACGATCAAACTCATCAAAGTACTGTAATACTGCACATCCCGACTGTTACGCGTCAACTGATATTGTATAGACAAAAGTAATTAAATACGGTGGCTGCTTTGCAGTTTGTACTGCAATTGCTGAACTTTTTTACCGCTATAATTTTCCCCCCAACAGTGTGGACCAGTAGAAGTATAATTCTCTTAATGCACGGACCCTTCTCACACTCAAAAGTGATTTAAGAAAAACTGAATTCTATTTTAAATATTAAATTACTCGCAGTTTCTGCTTTATTAGAATGTCAGTTTCTATACCACCACTAGGAGTTTGATGCAATATGAGTGCGCTACAATAATGTTTTTCTTATACTCACGAATAGTAAAAGAGGGTGGCACCGCCTTTCGTTTATTTATAACGTTTTCTATAAACATTAACAGGTTTCACCTGATGATGTAATAAGTACCTAATTATAATAATGATTTTATAGGCCATCAAATATACAAAACGTGCAAGCGCAGACACACAACTTACAGTTAAAATTTGAAACAAAAATTGTATCTCCGGTGGGTAACGATGTAAAATATATATATGTAACGTAATTATACTTATAGTCGTATACGACACTAGCAATCGTTAAACTAAAACACTGCTCGAGGAAACCAATAAAACGCGCTCCAAACCAATTACACAGTCAATTCAGGAATTTTTCGGCTTATGTAAAAAATGTAAAAGTTCGTTTAAAGCCGGGTTAATCACACCCAGCGTTTCGATTAAAGTAAGGGATAAAAAGATATATATTTTTTTCCGGTGTTGTACTTCCGATGCTTCGGGTTTTCTGCCACAAAATTGGCTCACATATCAAACCGGTGCACAATAAGAAACCGGCGTGTGGTATTTATTATTACAAGGTGCCAGAACGACTCGTTTCAGTACGAGTTTTGAATGGAATTCAGGAATTGCATTCAAAATAGCGGCACTGATTGTCCTTGTGATAATATTAATTCTTTTCTCAAAGGCAACAAAAATGCACGTACGCCTCTTTCGTACGTAACAGTGGTAGCAGTAATACACGTATAATTATAACTCATGGTCAGTACTAACCATCAATAGTAAACTTAACGTACTTAATAGCATGCAGGATATACTGTACTTATATCTATATCTATATAATATGTTATTATGTAAATACGAGTACTTGTATAAGATAAAATTAATAAAGAGATGTTGTGCTTAAGCATAATTGAATAATTATTGTGTAGGGATGCAATGAATGAATAAAAAGGTGAATTGTTGTAAGTCTTTGACCTTCTCCGCATCTATCCCATGACTGCAATCTGGGGCTCGCTTATCGTAGGTACAAATTAATCCCAAACTTTGTCTCTCAGCACGTATACTTAATGGTGATCCAAGATGAAGATCATGATTACAAACCATTAACAACTACGCAACAAATATAGCACAATATACATCGAATTTGTATGACCATTGCGACCGAAACCTTAGAGTTGGGACTTGTACACGAGGCCTCACGTGAGGGCCAATGAACTTTTTGTTGCGTATAATGTAACAAAGCCGGTCAGCTACTTCCGGAGTGAATTTATCAGCGGCTGTTTTCCCTTACTGCTTATTGTTAGTACTCGCACTTGATTCATGCTTTTAAACTGTACAATTTATATTTGTATGCAGTTACGAGCATTTCGGCGTGCCGCGTTTGGCGATTAAAATTCAGAATAATTCTACTGCAATTGAGTATGACTGTGCGAGTATGTAAATGCGATCTCTCAACGTGCAGTGGAACAAAAAGAAAATAGTCTTATAATTAATTTTAACTATCACTTTCGCGATCTCTAATGTTAAAATACAATAATGTCGTCGTTATGCATGCGCTGTGCGACTATTACATTACATTCTGCTCTATTGATACATATTCATCTTATTATAACCTAAGTTTACATACCACAACTTCTTAAATAATAAATTTTGACGCACGTTAATAAAATTATTCACGACACTTATGTTGTAAATACAAAATTTAATAGTTGTCTGTTATGAGATGTATGAGAGAGTGATGACTTAAGACAATACTAGTAACACTCGGTTGAGATTTCAGAACGGTCAATATTTTATAAATGAATGCTCTGCGCTTGCGAGAACGTGCATGTTTAGAATATTTCCGATATGTTTAGAAGATGTTTAGCATATGTTTGTTTTTTCCATATGTTGAGAATATTTTGGAAATGAGAGTAAAATTGACGTACAACATTCCTGCACCGGGGATCTGGGACCATCAGTCGCCAGTTAACTGTTTAGTCTGTTTCGTGTTTCAGTGCTTAATTTTTCATGGTCAGATTAATAATTTAGTTTTAACGCTACGTGCAATTCTGAAAAGGTGACAGAGTGTGCCGAAATCAGTTACATACACCGAAATCAGTTAGTTTTAATATCCCCACTCTTTCTCAGTTTTCTAAAGGCACAAACCTTGAAATCGTCTATAGCAAAGGTCAACAACTCAGAGCTTGTACACTTCTACCTTAAACATGTCCCATGATCCCATTGCGTTTCTAACGGTTCTCCCCATAAATTTCCATCCATGCCATTTTTTATTGGACCCGCATTCCATTCTGGTGTCCTATTTTTTAACTGACTTTTCAATTAAATATGGCAGGCCGGTGATGCGCAATAAGTTCCATATTTCGGGCTGTCGCTGAGAAACAGCTCTTCGCGCTTCGGGTAAAAAGAGTATCGTTTTTGCCTTACTTTTTCGATAGTGCGCTTTAGAAAATAAAACGATTTTGCGCGGAGGTGTCCGTGACTTTACAAATGCCAACCAAAATGCTTGTGATCTTTCCCATAAGGCCGTAACTATGGTCTACGTACGGTAATTAACAACTGGGACACTGCTGCCGACATAGGGACAGTGTCCAGTTTTCAGCTTTAAAGCTACCTGTCAGCCGCCATGAGAAGCCACTTACAAATTACATACAAACCGCGACCTCCGGTCTGGCATGTTTGCCCCTTGGTCCTTCAGGATAAATATCCCGCCTTCCAGGATCCGAGAACATGTGTTTACTTTTCGAATTCGAGCTAAGACTTTGCTTTGGCGTACAACTTATGGCGCTTAACTTCGATGGTACTTATGTGAATGCCGTTCTGCAGTAGCAGTCATATTTGGTTGGTATTGGACTATTGGTAATGATAGCGCTAATGAGTCACCCGTTCGCAAGTTTCACTTTTCAGCGCAAACCTCGTAGACTGCCTACATTTGCTACAAGTTACAATCGCCACAAGCAATAAAGTAAGTACTTCTACTACAACCCAAACAGCAATCTGCAGTACGCGCTGGCTCAGCACGCAGTGGCATGCATATTTTAGGGCTATTTGCGTACGTACCTAAATTTTTCCTGGGACACACCGCAAACTGGGTTCCTAGCATCTTAAATAATATTGGGAACCGAAAACGTTCCAGTCCGGAGCACCAATTGGCAAGTGTTTTTTAGGTCCAGCTTGCTGAATGTTTTTGCTTTGCGCGGTTTTTCTATTGATTTGTTGCAGTAATTTGTGCGAATTGTGAAGCTCGTCTTCGAGTTTTGCTTGTTTGTTAAGCGCAGCAGAAAGAAACAGCCTAATGAATGATTGTGCATTGTTTGACAGCGTTTCTGAATATCTACAATCCACTGGAAATGGACGTGCAAGCTATGCTGGATGCAGTAGCCCGCGGTGCTGCCACTGCTCGCTCCGAGATGCGACCGGAATTCATGGGTACTATATGTTAATGCTCTGTTTAGTAGGATCTTGTCATCCGGAGCTAAATTTTGGTACTCTTTCTCGGTGCCTCGGCAGGCAAAGTTTTCAAGGGCAAAGTCACTTCTTTCGACACCGCGAAAGGCTATGGATTCATTGAAATGTGAGCTGGGAATTGTCGCGTTAACAGTACTTTCCTCCATCTTAACGTGAATTACCGTCGGTTTAGCGAGCCTGGCAGTCCTCATGAGATGATATTTGTGCTGCAAGGACTGCAGCGGGTTTTCTTCCATATTGTGAGTGTCCGGCTTGCTCTTATGTAAACAAAAATTTTTTGCGCGTTTTCTGTTAATATTACCGTAGACATCGTTGGTTCCGCGACCACGCACTAACGCGGACGCCCATTCAAACTTCCATGGAAAGACAGTCTATTTCGCCTTGGGCCCAAATCCACGTAAAAGGGTACAATAAAAAAAATCAAAAATAATGAAATTTCACGGTTCCGAAAAAAACAAGTTGTAATGAAGAAGTGCTGGAGCATACAAATAATGTGCACATACGGACAATTTTATGCAACTGGCTACGCCGCTGCAGGGACGAATTTGTGCACAAAACGTTAGCCTCCACTCGTCAACATCCGGAAGTGATGATTCTAGTGCTTCGAATTCTGTGGAATTACGGCATGCGCAAGACGAGCACGACGACACAAGCGATTCGGATATCTCGGTAAGACTCGTATCGTTGTATGTTACCGCCCGTATTTTTTTTTAACAATGTGTTGCAATAAAATGGGCACTAATGAGTCCAGATTTGCAGTAGAGAAATGCCATATTTTATCAATTTGTATCTAATAGCGAAGTGCTGCTATCATAATTATACGGTATGATGATTATCATCTGTTTGGAGTGAGGTAACTTATCTGATATTTCTGCGATCGTTTAATCTTTGAGTCTATTCGCTGACGACACTTGCGCTATTCTGAATGAACACACCTTTTCATTGTCTGCATAAATGCTGTGTGTGCCGATGTGCGAACGAATTTACTGTATGAAGCGCGGAATGAATGGCTATTTTTCGGTTTCAGTCGCAGTATAAGACGATAAGTAATTGTATTGTGAAACGTCCGCGGTATGCGTGTTTGCTATCTTACGCGCTTCCTGGTAGTTTTCTTGTTGGTAGCAGAATGTATTTTAATTTTTCATTTTATTAGGATTTTAATCCAAATGAAATAATGTTGCCTCTTGATCCATATGAACGGCGATGGAAAGGTGAGAAGTCTGAGTTTAATTTTTTCCAGCTGGTTAAAGTGCGGAATTTGAAATTTTCAGAACGATTCGGACAAAATAATAACACTAGTGCGCACAAGGAAGCTGCGACGCCAGGAAGACGCAATCTCACGCGGATGGAGCAGGATTTGAAGGATGAAGCCATTAAAATGGGATTCGTTCTGCCATTGATCGAGCGTGCTCTCTTCGCAGTGGACGGTGTGGGTCAGCCAAAGACGTACCACACATTTTCCGATTTGCTGGAAGAGCTACTTATTTTGCAGGACTCCGATAACGCAGATATTATGTGAGTCATTCAGATTGATTAATTATTAATTGAATAAAAATTGTGTGTATAGTTCATGCTGCCTGTTGCATTGTCAAAAACTTACCCCGTTACTGATCGGTAGAGGATCTTTTGATAATTCTGAGGATTTTCGCCTCAATTCTTGGATTCAACAAGCTGAAGAGATGGGATTTTCTTCCGGAACGGTTTTAGATGCCTTGAACTCGAACACTGTTCCCTACGAACACTTCGAGGATTTAATTGAAAAACTGATGGAGATGCAGGTGATCAAAGAACAGCAGCGCGTGGCCGCTACTAACAACCAACCCGTGACTGAAGGTAAGCTTTGCGCAGGCTTGACTGCCAGCATTTTATGATTTTCTGCAATGTTGGAGATCATTTTTGCTTTCTTGTAACAGAGTCAAAATTGACCCTTTTGCGCAAGGAAAATCAAGATTTACGGGATTATTTCACATGCAAGATCTGTATGGAAGAAGATTCGGCAGTCGTTTTCATACCGTGTGGACATCTCTGTTGTTGCCAAGGTTGTGCCAATAATCAAGAATCATGTCCTGTATGCCGTCGCAAGCGATCGCAGATATACTTCAAAAAGGCGGCAAAAATGGACGAGTACGTGGTTGGTCGGTAATTGGTATTGCTAACTCATTTAGAGACATGATAGTCTTCTTGCAGGCGAATTGGAACTAGAGCGAATAATGCAACATTGTCTTCTCGCACAGGTATTGCGCTGAATTAGGTACTAATTGACCAGTGGACTTCTCTACGTAATTGGGTGCCTTGTTGATACTAACAACATAATATAGTGTAAGATGTTTGGGGTTTGTGGACGTTTGTAGCGGAAAGTTGATTAAATTAAATCCATATTTCACACTGACATTTCGTTCCATTGCATTCATCGGCATGGAGTTGATATTTGTATTGTAATGGCGATTGAAATCTTATGATAATTCTCCTTTCCGGTCCCCTCCCAATTCTTGGTATTTTCAGACGGCTTTGTATCATGCTTCTAGCTTTCGGTTGAAGTTTATATAATAAATATATAAATATACCGTTGTTCTAGTGGAAATTGGCTTATTGGAATCGGAAAACCAGTATTTGCGCGGGAATCGTGCATGCCACACCTGCAAAAAAAGGGACCGTACTCAGCTGTATTTGCCCTGTCTTCACGTGGTGTCCTGTGGAGACTGTTCTAAGAGTTCTCACTTTTGTCCGGACTGCAAAGCGTCCGTACTCGGCCGAGTCCAGATTTATATGGCCTGAACTGAGGCTCAACTGGAAAAGATTCCTTATTGATGTACATAGTTTGTTGTTCGCTTTCTTGCCTTTCTCTGTGTTTTAATTTTGTATGTCGGTGACTTTGATTCGTTCCTGCTCAAGTGGAAGGGCTAATCCTGCGATCTTATTCTGCTTGAAAAATGTGCACAAAAAGGTGCAAAGCAACAATAGTGGTGACGTTTGTGATTTTTGTACGTATAATTATACTTGAATAGGTACGTCATGTTTATTTGGTGATACTGTGTTTTGCTAACTGCATGTTTGATTTTTTGACCAGTGTAACGTTAATAAAAATACTTTGTGGGTAGCTGGGTACGAGACATAATAAGGATGAAGATTTTGAATGTAAGAGGAGGAATATGCATCGTCCAATCCTTGAAAAAAATTTCGGACTTGTACGCCGTACGGACAAGTCAGACAAATCACAGATATATATTTAATTAATAATCACTTACATCGATGGAAACATTCTTTGATACAATTACATTATGTAATTAAATTTATTTAAAGCTAGAACAAAGACGTAACCGTATCGAGCGTTCAGCATCTAATTTCTATCATTTCCAGAACTAAACTGCCAGACTCCATTGTCAGCAATCATTTCAAGTTGTAAACCATTTCATTTGAGAGGAAAAAGACGGAGAAACTCACACCGAAAAGAAACCATGGCATTTCGAAATGCAACCATGCTGAGTACGTACCAAGTTAAAAAGTTAAAATTACGCTTTTATAATTTTATTATTGTTATTGTAAGCGATGAATACCGAAGAGAGTACCAAATAATACCATCACAAAACCAGCAAAATTTTGTTTCAGGCTAGTTCCAGCATTGCAGTGATCTCGTTCGCATAAGCAGGCCGTCACACCAGCATCCGCTGAACATTTTGTTACCCTCACATCCGGAATGCCACAAGTACGGACGATCTTCCCTTGAGCTACCACCTTCAGACAGGTTTTTATCTTCCCGCGCTCGGATTTACACTCATGCAGCTGTTCCTTCTTGGGCTGTTCACAAGAATCATCGCCACGTGTACATACATAACACTGGAATGCGTAGCCTACACCAAATTAATTCACGTTATGTTAAAGGTCATGACTGCCGTGATTAATTACGACAGCACAAAATGGTAATGCGGATTTTCGGGTATGCTTTAACGACATGTACAACAAATTGGCATATGAAATCACTCTGAAAATGCCAAGTTTTATGAGTAAATGGAATGGCGACTTACTTAAAGCTACTCCCATCAGGATCAATGTAAAAATACGTAATAAATTCCTCCACATTTCTAATGAACAAGCTTACACTTGCTGCTGTCAGCTAATATACAAAGAAGTATGGTCGTACTTGCGTTCATTTGTTCTAAACTTCGGAATTGCTTAAGTTAACCACTCTTTTCTTTTGTTACCAAGGTGTTTTGACTTCAGTTCGCATTAACGGTTTCTCAAGGGCACCGTTTTTGGAACACACCACGATCCGACACGTGCAATGCTTTTCCTTCCCCAAAGTACTGTATAATTAGCATCGAGGTCTAGCAATAGCATGAAAAGTTAATATTAAACCTACTAGTATAAATGTGTGGGTGATTTTTGACCTTTTTTTAGTTTCGGTTGCAGTAAATTGTATGCCGATGTAACTTTCAAAATATGTGTGGCGTCATCATAAGCCTGGACACTATCTACAAATTCATACAGAATAGTGCTATCAATTCGACGAGAATATTAAGAAACATAGTTTATTTTGTAACTTCACCGAATATCTATTCGATATTATAAACTTTCCCATGCACAAATCTATTCTTTCTCATAAGATTTTGCTACAGAATTCGATACAGGCAACTGAGAAAACCAGACCGGCTTAAAAACTGTTAACGAAGTTTGTTCGACTTTCCCGATTTCTGCAGTTGATTGCGAAATTCCCGTTGCAACATTATCAATAACGGTCAATACAAGAAATAAATTTTTAATGGCCACCGCATGCACCGCCACATTACGTTCCAAGTACGGCAAGAACACGTTGTAATCAATGGGATCGACGAACTGCGCAATCTGATCCACTACAGCCTGCATGCTCCGAACATTCCCAATGGGAAAGGCCTTTCTTCCTCGTGCTAGAGCCATCGCCGTCTTCACGTCAAAGATCATCTGCAAAGCTTGATTTTTGGTTAAGCGCGATGGTGGTCGTAGAGCTTCGTCGTAGCACTGCGATAAGACCATAAAGCACCGATTGATGGCAGCATCGTTAATTAACGATTTCGGTTGGCCATTGGCAAAATCCAGTAACTGATCGTGAAGACTTTTCAAGCACTGACAGAAAGTAAGTGACGTTTTGGCGGGAATATTCATGGCGTATTTCACTGCTTCACCAGCTTCGTTAGTCTCGTCAACCGTTACTTTCGCAAAGGGAATGCACCGCAGCGACCACATGACCGGATCCAGATCCTGCTGTATTTGTTCCAGTGTGGATAGTTTCCAGTTCTGTAGAACGATGGACAGCCACTGCTGAAAGACTGCCTGAGCACAAGCTTCTAAACTGCTCGTCACACCGTTCAGGGCATTTTCTCGAAATAGTTGGCGCATCTGATCATCAATAAACTCGGTTTTGTGCGCAATCAGAAAGCGAATGATTCGGTGGAGAGCCACCAAGGCACCGGCATTACAGCGGGGGATAAGCGAGCCAATTAAATCTGTAAAATCTTTAAAAAAGGCAGCGAACACGGTGACAAACTCATTATCCAACCAATGCGTTTCCAGCTCGTCCGATAAATCTGCCAGGCGCATGTCCGATAGCAACGAAGAAAGCCCACTGCGAATGTGTTGAACGATGTCCAGCCGAAAATCAACAGGTGAATTCGGTTTCGAGGCTGCGGAAGTACGTTTTATTCGACCTGCAATTTGAATACAAATTAAATTTTTATCGCAATGACATTCGAGTGTCGGTGTGTGTTAGTTGCGGACCGTAAACAAGACAATTTAGTTCATGGTTCAATTCTGATCTTCATCAAGGTGAAAAAATTATACATGCTAATGGGTGAATGTATGTTAAAATTGTCAATGCAAAACCGTAAATAATTCCCTCGCCATTTTCCGTGCCATCCAGACTCCATAAGCATCGATAAAAACTGATTAAGTAATCAGGTGAGCCTTCAGTCGTGTCGTATTTCACAAAAATGCGCATGTAAAAGCAAAATAAGTCATCGTGCATTATCATTTAACACTTTAGTCAAACTATTATTGAAAACGCCTAATCGTAGTTAGATTTATGAATGCTTTCATTTACTGTTCAGCACAAAGCAACATACCTGGGAACCGTGTTCCAGAGGTTGTCAAATGATTTCCGATTTCTAAGCCGGTCAATGAAGCGACAAAAAACACGTCAGATCCATGGAGAGCACTGGAATCGCCCAAATACCTTCGCAATTTTTCAGTCACATTCTGCAGCAGATCAACTCGTTTTTCGTTCGCTAACTCCGTAAACCGTTGCTTCGTTGCAAAATCAAAGCGTCCATACACATCAATGACATTGATATCTAAATCTTTAGCCAGGAATTTCACAGAAGGCGATTTCCGGCTTTCGTCGGACAGAAGCGCTCCAAGACATTTTCTCACGGTCAGCACGGACTGAATTGACGGGACGCAGCTCAACAATACATTTACCAAGGCACTGAATTTGGAAAGCACCCCTTCCAGCCACTCTTTTAGTTGTCTCCGCACTTCCAACACCAAATCAAAATTCTGATCGTCATCACCAAAATTCAAAATGCCATCGTATGAAACTCCGAATTCCGATAGCGGAACAAATCCGGGAAAAAACTTGGAAAATATCATCGCTCTCAATTCCACCACTTCACTATCCATAAATTTCAATAAATTATGTGTCACAAACACCTCATGGACGGTTCTCAACGTGGAAAGCAAACACAGCAGCGAATCACGCAACGTGTCACGAACCGACGCGGATGAGCTGGTCAATAAATTATCCAAAACACGCTGGCGTCTTTCCAAAAAACTCTTCAGAGCATCCAGAGCATTAGTGGAATTCGCCATAATTAAAAAAGCACAAAAATATCGACTGCACTCCAAAGCATCATATTCGATCTTCTCGAATAAAAGGTGCAGATGACTGGAAATAAAGTTCCCATAGGACCGCAAAAACAGCCACTGCGGCTGCTGCGTGAAGGCCACGGGTCCCACGTTCCACTGCCAGACGACGTTCTTTACGAAGGAATACACGACTGCTGCCATCAGCACGTCGTCGCTCTCCAGAGCGCGGAAAATGATTTCCGGTGCATCGCGGAGAAGTTGACTAATCGACGGCTCCAAAATGCTCGCCGTGTTTTCCGTTTGAGATCGGGATTTATCCGGTTTCGCTTGTACGGATAACTGATGAACCATATGCAGATGGTTGGTTACACTGGAAATTGACCCGTGCATCCCTTTGATTTTGTCGGCAGCATCAATCAGCTCGCGATAGCGGTTGGACACCAGCTGGCGCAAATCCTCCTTTTTGCGCTCGACATCGGTGCGCAGTTTTTTTTCGATGTCTTTGAGCTGCGCAACTGTATGGGTTTTCAGCAGATTCTCCACATCCATCGAGATAGCGGATGCAACTATAATATTTTAATACCAACTGTCAAGTTGCACTGCCTCACAAGCATGCATGAACCTTGAGCAGTCAAGCTCGCAGATGGAAGAGAAAACATTACAATTGATGCAGGACTGAGGAGCCAAATTGTTACTGGTACCGTGCTACACAGTACACACAGCTGTGGCACAAGCAGTCGATAAGTCCGAAAGAGAGAATGAAGAGAAAACCTTTAAAACTGTCCCAGAAGCATGAATTTTAAGCGTGAATTTTGAAGCATGAATTTTGAAGCACGAATTTTTATTAACTTAAAATTTCAAACAAAAAGTGGCTAAACAATAAACAGAAGCAAAACTGCCGAAGGGCAGTGCAACGTGGTCCAAGCTTGACTTGCTAACAAGTAAAGCATCTGATCGTGTATGTTTGGTTTTTCGGCTGCGATGACGTCACTTCGGCTTTGGAACGAACGATACCAGGAAGTTACCGGAAGGGTTTCGCGCTAGACAAATTAAGGCAATAAATTTGCAGAACTTCGTGTATGGGCGGTTTTCCACAAATGTAAAACAGTTAAAAGAAATTTGTTTTAAGAAGCCATATGGAAAGAACTCGAACAAATATAACTTAGAAGCTTCCCAAGAGAATAAGAGAAGAGAACATTGAAATATATTGGCGCTACGTGTTTCTCTGTGTGGTATCTACAGAGACACCGACTTAAAAAATTGCTATTTGCCAATTTTCGTCGTTCATTTTTTTAAAAAAATCATCGGCTTAAAAAGTTGATCGAAGGATGCAGACATGCATGTTATTTGAATTTTCCTTCTGCACTTTACGAAATCTGCGGTACTTTTGTAAACCATCCATCTCCTTTGCGATTTCTTCCTGTATTTCTGTTAAAAATATTAGTCGAGGTTTCGGGACAACAAATATTCCCTTATCTACAGTGATTCTCAGACAAACAACACCGTATTGCTCGCCTCAAACCCCTACCTTCACATATCACACCGGTAAGGGCAACGTAGAAACAGTCATGCAATGCTGTGTTAAATAGCAAAAGAGTAATCACTATTCCGTGCTGCATAAGCATTTCATTTCCAAGAGCAGCATGGTTTGTGGTCTGCCATGGTGTTTTTGCTTTGTATGTCCATATTCAGCAAACCCGCGAACGAACGTCATGGAGAACATTGAGAAATTGGGACAGGTTTTAGACGGCAAGCTCATTGCTGGGTGAGTTCCTTGAGCAACTTCGTTCGTCGCATTTTCCAAAATTGGTTTCTTTAACTAATAGCGATATCCAGAAAAACATCACTCAACAGGTGACTGAGCTGCGGGAACAAAGCAATGTGGTTCCTGGATTGGCCATTGTCCAGGTATTTGCATAGTGCATGCACTGCATAGTCGTTTTCAATAGCATGTTACGGAGTGACAGATCGTTGATTTTCAGTTTGAAAAATATATGAAATAATTACCTGGAATAATATCACAGTATGTATTATGCTGTACATTTTGTAATTAATGCTTTCAGTTCTTGTGCGAAATTAAGCAGTGATGATGATGTAAAGTATGCAAAACTGGAATAGTCGTTTTTATTTTTTTTGCGCAGTTAACAATGTATAGGTGGCGGTTCTGGTTTTCTGGTAGCACTATTTTAGCAGTTTTATAATTTGCATAATGCATACTGAGTGTGATCGCAAAAGTTCCCATCCTTTTGATTTTCGGTGAATATTGATGTGTGCACCGGGAATTTCCCGTCGCTGTCGTGTAGGTTAAGATCGAATTTCTACAGGTTGGTGATCGATCCGATTCCAATGTGTACATTCGGATGAAGACCAAAACCGCGGCCGAAGTGGGAATCAATGCACAGCACGTGCGTTTGGGATCGGACACTTCCGAGAAAGAGGTGGATCGATTTTATTTGTCTTTTTTGATTTTCGGCCTGTGATGATAATCACGTGAAAACTTGTGCAGCTGCTACAGAAAATTGACGAACTGAACGCGGACCCCGCAGTCCACGGGATCATACTGCAGGTGAAATTCCTCTGCCAGACGCATTGCTTTTTTGGTGGGGCTTAAAAAGCAGCAGCTGCTTGATTTTAGTTACCCTTGGATTGCAAAAATCCCATTAACGCGTCCAAGGCCACAGACGCGATTTCTGCTCAAAAGGATGTCGATGGGTAATAAAATTTCGGAATTTTGACAAAAGGTTGTTTTGTAAAACAGATACGCTTATGTTTTTGTAGACTCACTACAATGAATGCCGGTCATCTCGCTCGAGGCGAGTTGAAGTCCTGCACCATTCCGTGTACGCCGCGTGGATGTTTGGAACTGATCAAACGTTCTGGTACTGGCTTTTATGCAGTTGTTCTGTTTACATTGAACCATTGATTGCGAGGTTTTGAGCAACCAAGGGAATTTGGTTTTTTAATAAGACTTAAATTTTTTGCGCTGGTTTCAGGTGTCAAAATTGAAGGCAGTCGAGCCGTTGTTCTGGGCCGGAGCAAAATCGTCGGCAGTCCCATGGCGGAATTGTTAATTTGGCATCATGCTACTGTCACCGTGTGCCATTCCAAAACAGTTGATCTGCCAGCAGTTGTGCGTTCTTTTTTTCTAGTACTATAATAAAGTATTGTGTATTTTATTATTAGTACTTCCAGTATCCTTTTGACTGTAGATCAGGGAAGCGGACATATTGGTCGTTGCCATCGGCAAAGCAAAATTCGTTCAATCGTCGTGGATCAAGCCGGGTGCGGTAGTGATCGATTGCGGCATCAATGTCATTCCTGGTAAAGAACTTCAATGGTTAATAGCTGAGAAGTGGACATTGACATGCTTTGAGCTATTTTTCGTTGGTCCAGATTCATCCTTGAAGAGTGGACAACGTATTGTCGGAGACGTAGATTATGCTGCAGCGAAAGATACGGCATCATTCATCACGCCTGTTCCTGGAGGTATTTAACTTTATTTTTCAGTGAACTTAGGAAATTGAACTCAGTTGAATCATGCAGGGTATTTGATTGCATCAGGATTGCAGAAAATTGTTTTTCTTAGGAGTCGGCCCAATGACCGTAGCCATGTTACTGCAAAACACTCTGGAATCTGCTCAGAAATCTTCCAAACTATAATTCGGTGGTCTGTACCTGTTTTCGAATCTCTTTTCATTAACTTTACCGCCCTTTTGCTTTCATATTTGGTCGTTTAGATATTTTGCCTTTCATATTTTGCTTAATTATAGGCTTTTCTTTGACATATTACTCCTTAAACCTAATTGTAAGTATTTGTTTGCGAATTCATTGTGTTAAAGGTTCTATGGTGTCTCCGGTTTGACTTCGTTATGTTGTTGAAATATATACTTGGATTCATTTATGCCATGACTCCATAATGCTTGCATTTCGTGTTTTTTATTGTGGAACTGCAACGGATGTTCACGATTGCATAATATTGTGTAATCCCTGATGTTACATTTAAAGAATTGGTGGTCGCAATGGGAGTTGAAGAAATCACCAGCCGATGCCACGGTTTGCGTACGTATATAATAAGGAAGTGCAGAAGCCTTTAAAATAAGGGAAGGCACACTTCCTATGCCGATACAGTTGTGGTACATAGTGGTAACCGGGGCTTGTAGCTCTCCACTATGTGGCTTGCACCTGTGCCTGTGTATCTTTTAAAAATAATCTGTGATCGTATTCACCGGGCCTCTGTATGGCGTCCAGTGGATCAGAGATCAATAATACTCATATTTGATCATGGCCGGCATATGGCGTTATCTCCGTTCTTCCGGTAAACACGAAAATGACTTGATGGTACTCGAAGTTATGATACATTGCATATTTTCTGCTACGTATCATACATACACTGGGTTTGTTTGTGGATGAAGCACAGGCGTATCAAATTTGCTCATTTCAAACCAACTGGGATCGGTCGTAAGCATAAAAACCTAAGTACTTCCGGGATACTCATGAAAATATCAACTGTGCGCAGAAATCTAGTTTTTGAATAACAACTCGGTCTATTCATCTCGAAAAGAAGCGCACAAAATGAATGGGTCGTATACGCACAACTGTTTGCGCTACAACAGCAACAGCTGGAGCCTGGACATGATTCCAGACTTTGACCTTACGATACTTAATTACTGATTTGTCAGTGCCGGTGCACAAATCAACTGATATGCTGTGAGACTTTACTGCTTGTTTACGAGGTCAATTATTAATCCCTATAAATCGATGAAACGCAATTTTTTCCGACAAGTTGTCGCAGTCGTTTGTACCATTAATCATTAACTTCCGTGAGAAATTGATTACCGATGAACGAAAAAACATTGACTTAATTGTGAAGAGTTGTTGTACGCATAGTGTAATATTGTGTGTTCGCATCCTTGGTCCATATATAAAAACATGCCGGAACTCAATTCAGTAGAAGAAGATAAATCGCGCAAAGAAAAAGAGCAGAAAGTCAGGAGAGCCGATAATCTCCCAATACCGCTGCTGTTCGCCATAACCCGTCACACGGACATGGGTAGTCGGCGACCGTCGGTGTTTGTCAGTGCTTCAACGTTCCCGGAGCATTGGCTACGTCGCTATGTAATGGGCGATTGTCCGGCTGTCTCAGTGTGGGTGGACAGCTGGGAGCATCCGATACGATGGATCTTACGCTTCCTTGAATCGCTTCTGCGCACATTTGGAGCGTTAATATTTGTCAATAACTTTTGGAGTGGAATATTGTTTTTGGTTGCTGTTTTCATCCATAATCCTTTCTCCACCCTGATTGGGCTTTTGGGAATGGTAACGGCGTATTTCACTGCCATGCTGCTCTGTGCACCGGCCAGCCGGCTGCGGAATGGCGTGGCGACCTTTAACGGTTTCATGGTAGCGCAGTTTATTGCCAATGTGGCTGTTCCCTTTAACGGGACTATATGGAATGCCTGGCTAATATTTCCTGCTAGCTTTTTTGCCGCTATCAGGTACACTGCGGGTATTGAAATGGTATTTTATTCTCTTATGAGTGCTATCAGAAATATCTAAATAATGATATGTTATCTAGATATTATACTTGTAAGTACTGGGACTATCAAGGATTATTATGTATGCGCATGCGGCATATTCCTTTTGTTTATGTTACACACAATTTCTGTAAATTAATCGAGGCACTGCGTATACGTACGACGTTTTAAAATGGGGTCGATTCCATTACAGTTAGAATAGTTACGTGTCTGCTCATTTAACGGCAGCCATAGTTTTTTTTTAAAAATGCAAATCCAAGCACAGAACTGTAGAATTTAGAAGGTGGAAGAAGTTCACGAAATTTGTGAAAGCATTCTTTATTTTCTCGTTGCGTTGTGTTTTGCTAATAAGATTGCCCACCTGGAGTAGGGGGTGCGTTTCTACAAAGTGCTTTTTGTTTTTCCTGTTACGATGGAAAATCAAATCTATTTAAATTTGTGTACCAAAATCTGTTCAGGTGCACGAAGTATTAAATTAAAACAAATTAACTTGAACAACGTCAAAGTCCGCTTCGATGAACCGAACAAGCATATTGCACTACATATGTACAGTAGTAACCGCAGTGTGGCTACATTTTTCCCTTCTCAAAGAATTACTGTAATGGATTTTGAGTTGCGCCTTGTGTATTAAAATTATGCAAGTAATAATAATGCTACATGATTCTTTAGTTGCAATAGATTATGAATAATATGCCAATGATAGCAAATTAACACCTGAAATTAAAGCTCGAGTACGTCACCATCCACTTGTATGAATTTGATTTCAGTACCGTTATAAAAGCTGCCTTTCACTCTGTCCTCAAAGATTACAAACTGCCCGCCTTGAATTCCCCATTTAGTATTACGACGCTCTGCTTCTTAGCTAGTCAAGGATCCACTCCGTCTCCGCTGTTCCCGGCTGGAATGAGTCCAGTTGCCCAATACAACAACTACACACAGCAGCACTATACTGGCAGTCTGGTGCGTATCCAAAATTAATTAACGTAGTACGACACAAAAGAAAATAGCAAGAATATTATATCTGTGGAGTACCGCTTCCAAATGTACTCAGTGTGTCTGCAATAACATATCGAAATCAACCCTGCACATCGGACACGCTTTGTCTATAAGACTACGTATTTAAACTGCAACCCTGCTTCAGTATAGACTAGAACATTATTATGTGCGTGTGTCGTTAATATGAATACGAATACGCATCTGGATTGCCTGCAAGGATTACTATTTTCGTCAGAAGAAATAATGCAAAAATTGTCTGTATCCGCTATGACATTGTCTGAACTCATTTCCGTTGCTTCTATTAGAAAAGAAAAGCTTTCACAGTGATCTTGCGATGTAGGTAGCCAGAGGAATCTTCTTTTCCATCAGCAACATTTACGGCTGCGACAACATCGCGTCGGTGACCTTGGCCTGGTTAGCGGTATTGTTGGCATCGCCTCTGCTCTTCACACAGTGCATCCTGGGATCCTGCGTGGGAACCGGCATCGCCGTAGTGCTGGGTGTCAACGCCCAGCAGTTAGCCAGCGGAATGTGGAGTTTCAACAGTCTGCTGGTGTGCGGCTCGGTCGGCGGTTTCTTCTACGTCTGGAATCCAATCATCTGTATCGTGTCAATATTTGCCGGTAAGCGTTAAGTAATACGTATCAATATGACCTTGTCCTTGTTTGCCAGTGTGGGATAAACCGGATAGTTGTACCGTCACGCAGCGAACTGAAGTGCCGGGTCAATTTGTCATTCAAGGCATAATTACATCAACGTCCCAAATTGAATGTCGCACTTTTGCAGCCGCCTTTGCGTGTGTAATGGCCGGAACACTGTATCATACGCTGGGATACTTCAATCTGCCCTTCCAGGCGCTCCCATTGTTTCTCACTGATTCCATATTCCTGCTGGCCGTGGGGGCCTATAGGGCCAACTGGTTGCCGCGCGTTGAGACCGTGGATATTCGCTATCCCGAACTCCATTGGGAACTGTACCATGCCAGAAAGAAGATAAGCAACAGCACGGCGACCATTACCAACAGCACGACAGATAGCACTATTAAAATGAACGATTTTTCTCATGAAGCATAATTTGGTCATTTTAGTCGATATCTCAATATCGTAAATTATTCACTTTCACTGCATTTTCTGGTGATACGGTTCGGTCGATGCCCAATCTAGCAAATCAACGAAACACCAAGCGAAGGAAGCCTTAGGAGGGTTAAGTGATGGCTAAAATAATTTCATGAGATCATTTTAACATTGTAGAAGCTACAGTGCAGCGTTCTTATGATATTTTTTCTTTTACTGACTTTTAATAAACGCTGCAAAAATGTATAGTATGATAACATGTACTTTTATTCTGTTCGCATAAATTTAGGGAGCAGTTCCGCCGTATCTGTTCACAGCAGGTTAACGACTGAACGGAACACTTTCACACCAAAATGTATTGTACAGTACAGGTATACGTCACTATTTTCAGGGTATGACACAATCACAGAACAGCGGAAAAGCGTCATAAGTGCGTAATTTCGAAAGAATTGTAGTCACACATTAGGAATGATATCATCTAACCAGAAAAAATGGAAAAAAAACAAAATAGAAACATAAACAATGAAAACACGAAACAGATACAAAAAGAAAGTACAGATTGTTCTACACATCAAGCCAAAGAGTGTTCAGCTAAAATTTCCAAATCCATGTTTCTTCGAATGATCTCAAGCCAGGTTTTGTTGAATCCATTATCCCAAAACGGGACAAAAAAGAATATCTGAATGAATACAGGAAGAGCGTTTTCATTTGTATGGAGTACTAAAATCTCAACAAATTAATTTCTAACTCGCCCACACTGTACATCTCGCTTAATGTAAGACTTACCACATTTAGAATAAGGGGAATTGGAGGAGGAATCATTAGGGGTAGCAGACCAGATGAGAAAGAATAAGCCTAAATAACCGTAAACAAATTTCAAAACTACAGTTCAACACATCTTGCTCAAAGAACCCTAAATTACAGATTATGGAAATATTATACTACAGATAGATTGTTAGACGCTTACTTTTCTCGGCGACTATGCAGGTTGCGTATCCCTGGAACCCATACAGCGGGACGTATGACGGCCTGAATCGGGGCTTGACAAGTGGCAAATAAACACGACATTCCCTTAAAGTTTAAACTGCAAGTTATCCCAACTATCAAAATCCAAATGGCTACTTCACAGAAATGCAGTTCCTGTGGTTCTCATTCCAGCATCTTGTTATCGGCGGAGTTGTGCAACACAAGCAACGACTTGTCGTTATCGCTTTCTTGCTGTCAGATATGGGCGATATGAGCCGAAGAATAATATATTCACGAGTCAGCTAATCAGTGTATTTTAGATTTTACAAGGTTTGTCAAGACGAAAAATCACAAACCTAACAAGTGGTTGAGAAATACATTTTAAACGAAATTTGAAAAGAAACGGGAAAGATTTCGTAACACTTAAGTATTTGTAAATGCTTAGAATAGTCTGACACCATGAACTCTATTCTATGCACTACAAAATATGACGTAAACCGTAAACAGTACTGTATAAACATAAACAAGCTTGTCGGCCTGGTGGTGCGACTACAGCAGGCGACTCCTGCCCGCAGCGGTGCCCGTGGACACTGGAAATGGCAATGAGAAGTTTTGAGTTGGTTTTGGTTTTTTTAATGCGTTCCTACTTCCTAGAGTAGTAAGATCTGGTAAGCAATAAGACTACAAAGCCCAAAGGCCAAAGCAGTTGTATTTCCGTACCTCTATCGCGTACAATTAAGGGCAGACCTTTGATGTTCTTAGTCTTCTACGTCTCGCAAAAATCGGGATACGTACTCCTAAGACCTAACGGGGTGTTTTGTATAAACATCTGTACGAGTATCGAAAATGGATGTTGATGATGAAGAGCGTGGAAACTATGGCAAAAGCACTCCGCAGAGAGGAGGTTGCGAGGGACCAAATGCAGAATTCGTCAAACTTATATCTCAGGATGGGCATGAATTCTATATCGCCAAAGAATTAGCTCTCACATCGGGAACCATCAAAGCTATGCTTAGTGGACCAGGTACTTATTTCGTCTCTGTATTATCTTTGATAGTATTCCTCAGAAGCCGTACCCGAGACTTGTTTGAAATAGTTGTCGGGTCTCGGAATATTTGCTGTGTCACGTTTTGGCTTCTTGAACGTCTAGCTCATTTTATTTTCTGCAGGTCAGTTTGCCGAAAATGAGGCGAATGAGGTGCATTTTCGAGAGATCCCGTAAGTTATCCTTCTGTTTGAGTCTGAGTACAAAGTTGTATTTGCAGTTGTTTGGCTGATTGGGCGTGCTCATAGTTTCTAATCTCATTGCTTTCTGTTAGATCGCATGTTCTGGCCAAAGTATGTCAATATTTTAATTACAAGCACCGCTACACCAACAGCTCCACCGAGATTCCTGAATTTCCTATTCCTCCGGAGATCGCTCTTGAATTGTTAATGGCTGCCAACTTTTTGGACTGTTGAGAGCTGTCGCCATTATTTGGGAAGATTTTTTGTTGAAAGTTGAAACTGATGTCAGTGATGTGGCTTCTGTTTCTGATTTCAGATTGTTGCGTAGAGCATTACTCGTAATCTCTCATCCGCAGTTATGCATTGTATGCATGCTAAATTATGGGATTTGGAAAGTACTGAGCAAAAATAACGAGTAACCTGTTCAAAAATAACGAGTAACCTCCACTTATTATTTTGCCTAAGACATGATGAAAATTATTAAAAGTTTCAAATCAAAGTTTCGATAAAGGCTAAGTTACGGCACGATGGCGATGGTACAAAGCAAGCGCCTTTGAAAAGTTACTGTTACGAACCTGTAAACAGAAAAAACATGCAGTTCTTGAAACCGTTTAATTATTCTTCTCGAAACCGTTTAATTTATCAGTTTTACCAGTTGTTACAAACTTTCCAGTCATACTAATGAGTAATGACATAACTTACAACTCACCACTGTCACAAGCCGAGATCATTTACAAACACAGGTAAAAAAAGACAGCCATTTATGGTTTATGGCAGCCACACACAAGAAGCTAAAATTCACTTTGCAAAACCATTCATACTCAAACAAAACAGTCAGTGATCGAGATCAATAATATTTGTGTCCAGCGCAGGAGCCTCACTTGTCGGGACAGCAGATCTTGCGCCTTCCTCGAGATCATCAGAATCAAATCGGTGAAACGGATTTTGCTTGTACTGAAAGACATCTTCCTTCAGATCCATCTCCACCGGAAATAAACCAATCAGGCCCTTAATTTCTTTGGCAGCTTCTTCGTTGTACCGACACAGCGCCGCAACAAAACGTTGCAATTGGAATAAAATGTCTTCAACTAATGAACACAAAGCATATATTCACAGAGATGTCATGAAATGTGTACAAAACCTTTTCGTACATTCATTCTCTTCTTTAATATGACAGCACAAATTGTTACGTATCTTTGGGAGTTTTAACCAAAAACTTAACACTTAACAATGAAAACACTCCCACAAAAAGCACAGACAGAATAACAACAAACTTACTGTGCTTTCGGTCGAGAAGATCCAATTTAATGGATACATCCGAGCGCAATTTAGAGAACTTGCTGCGCGCAAGCTGGCGACAACGCAGTACGAGCCGATACTCGTAGTTGCCAGTCTCCACACGATACAATGATTCTTGTAACTGATTGAACGTCACCTCTTCATCATCCATTTCCTTAACTTTAAGGCAGTATGACTAAAATTACCAGCAGCGTATGTCGAGTTCCGAACCAAGAAAATGTTTCGAATTTAACTGCGCTTATGCTCAAGAATGGTTTCCGGATCGAGAAATATTTTTTTTCATACCAGATATTCAAATTTCGCGTCTGCATATTTTTGAACGGTCAATTCGGTATCCGGAATGGCCTTATTAAGGAACGTACCCAAATCAGCCAGAATCTACGAACAGAATTATATCTAGGTCAAAACCAGAATATTTAAATAATACATGAACTGAATCTTACCGGTTTCAAAATTTTCAACATTTTGACACCCGTTTTGGCCATGTTCCGATGGGTCTCTCCATATTTATGGAAAGCATTGTTAGCTCTTTCCAAGGATTCTCGCACCGCAATTTCAGAAAAAACATCCCCCAATTCTATAACTCGAGATGTTCGAAATGCACGAAAAAGACGGACAACAGTTCCACTCACGTTTATGCACGCGAAAAAGCTCGAAATAATGTTTCATCAGGGATTGAATGTGCATAATTAACCCACGGTAAAGGTCAGCATTTCGTTCCAGTTCCTGAAGCTTTTTAACCAGCGTATCTGTAGCCAGAAGCAAACCACGTTCTTTTCCACAAAATGCCGTTATCGTAATTATTTACTGGAATCTAACGTTTTCGTACCGTTACACAAGATAGCACGACTCAAGCCCAACGAGTCTGCAGTGGAACTGCTCATATGCTCCACAATCCGGTGCTTAACTTTCTTCAAAACTATAAAGGCAAGCCAACGCACTGAAAAACCGGAACTGCAGCACAGTAAAACTTAACTAACCAATATCCAAGGAATTTCCCTGTTCCTGTTCCGCGTGCAGTTTGTTGTAACTAAGAATAACTTCTTTCTGCAAACGAAGTTCTATTATAACTCAAATTCGCGCTGTTTCTTCGTTTATGCGATTGCCAACAAATTACGCCAAGTACAAATTTAAATTGTGGGTGATAACCATGACACGTACAGGGCTGTTTTGAATGGCGCGAACAACTTCATTTTTGGTCTTTCCTTTGACGGGTTTATTATTAACTGCAGTGATCTCATCTCCAGACTCCAGTATCCCATCTTTTGCTGCTGGTGTTCCATCAAATATCTGGACTACGTAAACGCAAGGGCAATTCGGGTAGCCTCCTGTAACACCACACAATATTCGTTAGCTCACGGGAACAGATAACGGTAATTTAAGACATATGATTAACATTAACACAGTATTAACATTAATTACACGAATTTCACGCCAAGATACAACTATTATTAACCATTACCAGAAAAGTCAGTTCCAACAACATTTTCAATTATAGCTAAAATCCATTTGAACATGGCTTTAATAAGGAAATAACAGACATTCAAATTGAAAAATATAGCAAAAAATTATAAAAAATTAAAAATCTATAAAATACTGTACATTTTGCAGTACAGTACTAACTACTAAGAGTACAGTACTTCACTTCTTGGCAGGTGAAGCTATAAAAACGACGGGATGTCATTGAAAAATTGTCATGCAGCAACAATTTCGAAAGCCATTTTTCAGGTACGATACTACTAATAGTAATCAGAACAATTTCGAATAGCTGAATAAATTAACTGCACACCTCCAATGGAGATTCCGACCATATTTCTATCATCTTTGGTTAGCACTAGCTTCCCGGAAGTGATTTTCAGTCCCCTAAAACAAAAAAACCAAACGATTATGTCTGCGTCGACAGCAAAGTAAAAACCAGCAAATCTCGCAGAAATCACGTTCGTGGGTTATTACAGGCTGATAACTGTTTACATGGTGTCTTCGTAACCATAACCTCCACGACGACGTCGCGGGGTGTCTTCGTCTGAGCTCGAATGGGAGCGTACCACATAGCGACGCGGAGGACCGTCAAAGGAACCATTACCATACTGATTGCCAGGATAAAGTCCGTATATACCATACGGCGTAACCCCTGCCATTGCTGCTTCAAGAACCCAATTCCTATTCATTGAAATTGTCCCAAAACACAAACATATCACGGGATATTATGCTACACCTACAACTGAGAAATCGGGGGACCCATGCGAACAGCGACTAAAGAGAAACCTGGCAACATGCTTATCACTTATGCTATTATTCCTCATCAAAATGTCAGCATCACTAACACAGTATTTATTTTTGACTTGTCAGTAAATGTTTACGAAGTTCCATTTTTATTGATAAGTTCCTTGTGCCATTAACCTCGAATTCTTACAGACTGTCTTCCTCGAGATAGTAATCCTCTTCGTAATCGAAATCCTCGTTCTTCATTGTCGCAAGGACACAAGGTCGTTGTCTCGTTATCGCCCAGACATAATCTGAAATCGTCTACCGCAGGTCTTCCATTTCATTTGATTTGAATTTTGAGCATTCAAAAAACAGATATTAGTGTTTCCATACTGACACAAGCACTAGTAAACAAATTATTTCAAGAATTCCACTAAGAACACTTGCATACCCGTAAGGCGTAAGCAATGTTACGATCAATTTATCAAAATATATGAATCGAGCGGAAATTCATTCACCGATCACAGACTGGATACCAGCTGTCAGCTGGCAGCTGCTATACTCCTGAGCTGCTAAGCTCAAAGTAGAGCACAGCTAAAGCGCTTTTTCTTTAAAATCTGTGTTTATTTTATATTTTTTACTTTTACTATAACAGCTGTACGTTTCTAGCACAGTATCGTATCCAGTTTCATGCAACTGTTTTCTGTACTGTACCAGCACTGTTAAAATCGTTGTTTCATTACGTAAAAATTAATGCATTGCGTTATTTTTCTCATATGGATATGAACCCTTTCTTTCGCGCGTTTACTTCATGCCGCAGAATTCTGAATTAAATTTAAGTACAATGCTTGGTTTTTATACCAAAATGATGTGTAAGTGCTTTGTTAACAAAAGTAGAAGAAATACAGTATTTATTATGGTCTACACCGACTATACTTGTAATGTACAATAGTATGTGCCATAACTGTAAAACTAAAATAAATTCAAATTTAGGTTAGCTCCGTTATAAAACGCAGTTTCCAGTAAGTAGCATCCCAGGGATCGCCGGATCGGTGTCGTCGGACTTGCAGGTTAAGGCCAGCTGGTGGCAGCCAACCTGCGGTACTAGACAGTATTCAAAGAGGCACATCCCCTTTTCCTCTGCATATCGGTTTTTTAGTATTGTACGAAGCGAAGTACGGTATTCCGCTCGTATTAGTTATAATTATTAACTTTATTGTGCATGCCGCACCTTGAAAACCTACTCTACTCGGTAATCTGATGATTATCATCTTTAATGTACTACGGGTAGATATTTTTTTATGCAGTTGTGCATTTTCACAGAGCCGAATCAGCCGACGATACACAAAGACAGCTTCCGCACAGATTTTGGACGCGTTCAGTACCGACAGTACGATATCTTTAAACGTTGCCCATTGGCGATCGCAGCACCACGTACGTACAGTATACCGCTCGCATCCAGCACCGCACAATTCTTCGAAGGGCTGTCTGGATTTATAAACGAGTGGTTCGAAGCCGACATTTCACCAGTCTGCGTTTTGCCAGCCAGCTATCGCGACATTTTTATTGCTACTCCAGTGTTACTTTCCATATATTTCCGCATAGAGCGTTTTTATAGTGGTTCACGTAGTGTGAAAAAGTCACCACCATGAAAGTATGACCTTTGCTTTACTACACTTCATTTTTTCATCGTCATGTGAAATTTTTTTTGCATGTGCTTAACTGTTATGCTGTTTCCTGCAGACCACAACATCCCTCTGGCTTTTCGCCGTACTACTCCTTGGATTTTTGTCCTTCGCTGAGTGTGGATTTGGTGGCGGATGGGGTGGCGGCGGATGGGGTGGTTGGGGCGGAAATGGCTGGGGATGGGGCGGTGGCGGCTGGGGAGGGTAAGTGAAACACGCTGGTCGTAGCACGATTAATGGTTCAGGTTTTTCCGTTGACCTTTGGTACGATCGAGTAGCTTTATGAACTGAAACAGCAATGCTTTTGCAGAATTTGTGTCTATAGCTAATATCTGGGAAGTTACGCTCATTTTAATATTCGCTTTTGGTAATCTGGGAAAGGGTAATCTTTTGGATCTCCTGGTCGTACTTTGGCAGGTTAATCCTCAACTTTTGCCTAACTGCACGTATAAATTCCGTATATTGAAAAAGCTTTTTGTAAGCGTGACTAGAATCGTATTTCTGGAGATTATTGTGTTGCGTGTTACTAACTTCCGTGTTTGTGCTTTTGCAGTTGGGGCGGACCTTGGGGAGGTTATGGCGGCGGGTAAGCTGCAGTTGAAGAATAGTAATTTTGCATGAATACTATCGGTTTGATTTGCAGTTGGGGTGGATGGGGCGGTTGGGGAGGATGGAAGAAGTGAGTTCGTTTTCCGGTTTGTTGACCCCGGCTGCGACGCTTACGGTGGATCCCATTCCTCATCGCCTTCGGATCATGTGCCATTTTGTGATTCCTGTGATCATGTCATTAACTTGTCCATCTCGGTTTTAAAGTGCATGTAATTTTACGGTCGAATATTTATTCTCAATGTTTAATTTACTATATGGTGGAAAAGTTATTAAAGGTCGTGGGATCATGATCAGTCGGACCGGTGCTTTGTGTAACTCTTATTTATTAGAATTCACTGATAAGCGGCAATTAGCGACGCAGAACTCAATGGTGATCAAGCTATACTGACTGGTCAATCTCACATTTACATATTTATACTTTACTTTGCAATGCGTTAATAATCCGAAGAAATGTAAGCGCAATATTTAATAAAAATGCAGGAAAGCACCAGAGATGTAATTACGTGCAGTAATGAAGCGTAAAAAAAAGTTAATAGAGCAAAACCCAAGACATGTTAAGTACCGCAAAACGTTATTCTCTCCGCAAAGTTAGAAATGTTTTCATCATTTTACCTTTTTGTTGTCAGCATTTGAGAGCAGAGTACGCTGTAGGTGTGTTAGTAATAATTTGTAAATAATCGTAAAATTAGCACCCCGTTTACGTTTCTAGTTTTTTCTCTAAGTAGATTTCTGTCAGCTGATTGTTACTTACTTTAATTTGTCAGTTTGTCAACAACCGCCTTAATGCGCATGCAGGTCGTGCGTGAAATCATCTATGTTTTTGCATGATTACGTTTGCACCTTATCTGCACCTAATTGTAAACCATAACAAATGCGCTCTATGGATTTCGCCAAAGATTTGCGCTGTTGTAGCTATTTGTCTCTATTGAACCAAAACGTAAATCGAAGTTGAACCACGCAGTTTTTTGGTCTTCAGTCATGGATGTGCTGATTACTGGCAGTCAGTTTGCGCGAATCCAACAACATCCACTAGTCTCTTGTTTCAAGCAGCGCAATTCTGTGTCTGGTTCTTTGTTTTCGGAATGACAACTGCGGACGCTGATGTGGCTGATACTCCCGAACCGCCGCGCAATCTGCTTAATTCTGCTGATTTATCCCCAACCCGGGAAACCACCAAAGATGCGGATAACGAACTCATCGAGGAGGACGAGCCTGATCTGATCTGTGGATCGTTTCGTGGGCTGCAGGCCAACATGGCCCGTGCGCGCTCCGTCATCTTTGCCAAGACGTCACCCATTCCGTTCCAGTATTTCACATTGCGCAATATCAAACTCTTTGCTCTGATCCTGATTCTGGTTTTCATAACCTACCACGGAGTTCAGCGAAGTCGAAAGTCCAATGATTCCTGCCGATGGCTGATGCGAGAGGGAAGAATTCAGGGAGGATATTTATGGCAACCGAACGGATGCATGATGCATCCATACACTTCGCAGTAAGCTGCACACCATACAATCGTTTGTTGTGTTTTGTTCAGTGTACCTACTTTGGTAAATTCAGAAAAACCGACTTTAGTATATTTTATGTAGTTGAGAAAGCCAAACAAACATCTCTGATTTACATATAATTACTGACGTGTAGGATACTTCAGGAATTGTTTTGGATTTTTAAAACTGTATTTGTATTTTTCAGGGATGCCAGAAGGTGTATGCACCACGTTACGCAGCGGCGCACTACTAACCGAATAGTTTTCGTCGGTGATTCCCGATTGCGTTATCTGTACAATGCCACAGTTCTGTACATAACGGGCAGAAGTCCTGTCTACCCAGCGGGAAAACATAATAATCATACTACTACCGACACAGATCTCAAGTTGTCATTGGAATTTTACTGGGTAACCATGGTCGACTGGCGAATGCGGTCGTTTATCGAGGAATTTCTCGGGAAAACGAGGAAACTCTTCCCACGCTGATTTTGTTCTCGTCCGGAACTTGGACGATGAAATTGTCGAATTCTTCCGAAACAGCTTTTCGGGAATACAAGGCGAATTTAACGTCTCTGCAGCCGCTTTTGAATCGGCTAGGCCAGCGGACAAGGACGGTGTGGGTGCAACAAGACCCTGTTTTGCATTATCTCCTCTCGCCGGATAGGGAAGTCATTACGGATTATCACATCTGGAGATATAATTATGTAGCGGAAGTAAGTGCCGTTTAGGAAAACCTTTCCAAGCTTTTCAGCTTTGAAATAATTTATTCTGTGTGATACGTTCGGTTAAAATTGCAGCAATTACCTTGTTTTAACTGTTGGGTGTAGTTTCAAAGCCGTGTTCGATCTTCGAAGTGCACATGTTATTGGAAGTGCAAGTAATCATCACCTAAGTGGACACTAATTAGCTGCATAGCTGTGCAGATCCGTGTTGATTTACAGTCCATTGTTCTTTTTAGGAATTATTACTGGATTCTTACGTTATGGTATGGTTATCTGGAACATCGGTGTTTTCCTCTAACGGCGATTCCCCTGACGGGCTACATCAGGGCAATGAGTCCTTGCGTATGAATACGCAGATATTGTTGAATTACTACTGCAATCGAGAATTGAGTCATCGCGATGCCACTTGCTGCGCTCCGCGACAGGAATTGAATTCTATGCAAATTGCTGCTCTGAGCGTCTTCGGAATATTTACTGCATTGTCCATAGTACTGACTGGCCAAAAATATAGCGCATTTGTTACTCGACTGATCCGGATGCGATTTAAGAAATACCATCTCCTTCCGAGTTACACTAACGGTGTTGCCCATCACGATAAAATCAGAGTCAAGGATGCTAAGCTTCCGAAAAAAGTCAAATCCCCATACGATGTGCTCTATGAAGTATGCCTGGCGATTTCCAAAATGGGTTTTATTATGGGATATTTTGTTCTGTGTGATCGTACCGACTTCTTCATGAAGGAAAACAAATATTACAGCAATATTAATTTCTTTGTCCCGCTGACGTACATATTCCTTTTGGGGATATTTTTTTCGGAGAATTCTGAACAGGTATGAACTATGAACGAGCTTGATTGATAGAGCTTGTGTTTTACAATGGTTTCCTTTTATGAAACAAAATTTTTGTTTTAGTCGTCTTTACTGCATCGTGATCAGACGGATGAGTGGAAAGGCTGGATGCAGTTTGTGATTCTGGTGTACCATATGACAGCAGGCAGTACACGGTTGTCCATTTACATGCACGTTCGTGTTTTGGTTTCATCGTACCTGTTTCTAAATGGATACGCACATTTTATGTATTTTTGGAATAAGGGCGACACCAGTGCGCATCGATTCTTCCAAATCGTTTTCCGGATGAACCTCCTGGTGTTTTGCCTTTGCATTGTAATGAACAGATCCTATCAGTTTTACTATTTTGTAAGTATCCCAGGGTTAATTATACTGTGCGCGTGGTATTTGACTGTTTTCAGAATTGTACTAAATTTTTGAGTAAGCAAACAAAATGCAGCTGAATTCTAGTTGAATGTGATTGAAAAGAAGTTTCTACAACAATGTTCTGATGTTTTCAATACGCTGTTATTTATAAACTATTATTTTTGCAGGTGCCTTTGGTTACATTTTGGTTTCTTGTGACTTATGCCACAATGGCACTTCCTCCTCGTCTAACCGATGCGTCTTCGACAATAAATACCAAACATTATTTCTACATGGTGCTCAAATTTGTTGTGGTTTTTGCGGTGATTGGGTCACTTTATTTATCGCAGACATTCTTCGACAGAATCTTCCTAACTAAGCCCTGGTCGGCGTTATTCCTCTATGATGCTTCCGGTAATGAGTGGTTCTTCCGATGGAAACTGGACCGCTTCTCTGTACTCGAGGGTATGGTATTTGCGTTTTTGGTGGTTCTGGCGAGGAAATTTGGCTGGATGAATGAAACATTATCGGAGAATTTATTTCCTCTCCGCAAATCTGTGATGGTGGTTGGGGTGGGCGCTCTGGGAATGATCGGTTATTTTGTCTTCGCCATTCTGTGCTCGAAGAAAGTGGATTGCAATGATGTGCACAGCTATATTGTGGTCTTTCCGATACTGGGATTTATTATCCTGAGAAACACATTTGGTATGGTGCGAAGACGGTTCAGTGCGCTGTTTGCGTGGGCTGGACGGATCTCACTGGAATTGTTTATTGTTCAGTTTCATGTGTGGTTAGCGGCTGACACTTACGGAGTTTTGGTGTTCGTGCCAGGTTATCCCATGCTGAATGTGGTTTTTACTAGTTTCATCTATATCTGTGTTGCCCATGAGGTGCATGTGATCACCGGTGTCCTAGCTGAGCATTTGGTACCGAAAGATTGGAAGTATTTACTACTGGCGCTTGTTGTTTTCTGTCTTCTGTTGGCCTTGTTGGCTGTGTGTTACGGATTGTAAGTTAGAAAAATTTATTGTTGTCTGTAATTTTTTGATTTATCATGCGGTACTCTGAAATATGTTATTTGTTACAAATACGACCGATATGTCACAGTGAATGTTTCGTTTTTTATAAGGTTATGGGCTTGGTAAGAACGGTAAAACACTTGATAGTCACGGAAAAGAAGTAAACGCAAATGAAGTGGAACTTGGTCAGTTGGTTCAAATCGCCTTTTTTGACATTAGATCATTTTAGGCTCATACGACACCGATTTTCTTCCAAGTTATATTATCGTACGCAGTAGAAATGTTCCTTTTTAATTGTTGCGTAGTAGACATTCGTGACGTAGGCGATTTAAATAAGTACTTACTGCAAATTGGATTAGGATCATGGCGTAAAAGCATTCGTATTAGATGTATTCGTATTTAGTATTCGTATTAAATGTGTGCAATACACAGTACGATTTATCTTTAGTGACACCTTACCGAACTGGTTTTAATTTTCTTCAAAAGCTGGTGGTTATACAGGTAAATCCATACAAAATAGTTTTCCAATGTTAACAGTAGTAGAACCATTTAAAATGTGAATTCAGTAAAAATAACTCAGTCTGAACTTGCCTCTAGAGTTCAATGCAGTTTACGATATCATTTTCTAAGATATCAGTTTAAAAAAAACAACGAAATAAATATAGCTACACAAAGCCCACCTAAATCGGTAATTTATACTCGATGCCAGTTTAAATCAGAATATTGTGGTAAATATCGGATTTTATATTGTACCGTAGAAATGGTCAAGTAGAAACAAAACAAAACTCAAAACTGCCACGATTAGATTCTCAAAACTGTTCAACAAACCACAACATTTTCCAGCGGCAGGAATAAAACAAGGTGAACAGCATAGAAGGCAGATCAATACCAGAAAGGAAAAAATTCGAAGGAAAGCGTTGTTGCAGTCGTACTGTAATCGTTCTGTAGAATCTGTACTCGTACTTAACTTTAAGCGCTATTTGTTTCGTTATATGCCGACACTGACCGGAGGTCATTTTGAGTAGAGGCGGAAGTTGCGGTACTACCGCTGTTTGTCTGACTATCAGCACTGATTGTCACTGTCACGCTGGGAGATTCCCCTGGCGCGGATACCGACTGCGTCGGAGTTATAGTCTGTAGCTGAATATGCTGCTCATAGCTTGGTGGTGGTTCCGCACAAACCGGTTTCCACATTTCGTAAGGTGGTGGTGGATCCTGAATTATCTGCGATATAGTCGGCAGCGGTGCTGTCGATACGGCTGAAATAAAGCATATCAAAATAATATTACCATATTGAAACGGATTATCATTCATGAATCAAAAAGCTATTGAGGAAGTGATCCGTCAGTTATGCATGCCGGTACATTGTTCAAACAGTTATGTGGAGCGTTTTTTAAAAAATATAATCATGTAATTCATGCCGGCATGCGAAATACTCTATATTACCGATATGCGCGTTGGTGTCCGGTTGAGAGCTGGATCCTCTAATAGCGCTGATTAAGCGGATTCGCCGCAGCCGGTACAATGCCATGACAAATATTATGCCGATAACAAGTAAACATAATATGAGCAGCGTAATGCCAATAACAATGGCTTCGTAGCTGCCGGGAGACGCCTGCTCACCATAATCACTGCCCAATTCCGCACTGGAATCCCAATCGGATAAGATCCCATTTTCATGTGCATTTCGAAAGCGCATACGGGGATTGGTGGCCATATCGGCAATATGGCGAACGGGGTAGTGGCTCAACAACGTGCTGTTTCGGCGGATGTGGGAATGCGGTTCAGATTTGCCTGTGTAATAAAATACTCGTAAACTTCAAACAAAGAACAGTAATATTTTAGGTGAAATTCGGTTTACCACTGTTTTAACGTTAATTTTGTCCTAGAGATTTACTAAACTAATGTTTTCAAAAACACCATAATGTATGCAAGCGCTTCGATGACTTTCCAGTATTAACTACAATCATGATCAGTTCAGCGAACGCCGGAAAAAAAATACCCTACTGTATGTTTAATACAGGTAATATCGACTCATGGCGCACGGTCGAACATATCGTATAATTAGCCTGGTACTACTGCAGAAGACAAGAATAAGTAATCTTCCAAATTGTAAAGCTGAAGTTTAATTTAAGTCACTGCATACAATAAAATCCGCGTGCTACTGATAAGCTATCAAACAACCATCGACACTCCCTTCGATATTAAATTGTTCTTCCTTATTTTCGCGAATAGGTTTTACCTGGAGCACGATCGGCGGGGCTATTTGCTGCTCCCAGTATTGCCCTGGTGAAATTGGTCAAAAATCCAGCTAACCCGTTTCGCTCTTTCCATAAACTGTTCGCATCATCACATAATCCGTTACAGCAAGGATCCCGCATGACCTTAGATAAGCCACATTCCTCTTGGGAAAACGGGCAAAACCGTTCTCACACATTCTGCCTGAAGTGAAATCAAAAAGGATTTGTTCACAGACTCAATGAGCTGTGCTTCCAGAAGTTTTCGTGAGCGCCGGTCACGCCAGCAAAACTATAATGCAATGTTTTTTGCAGGCTGAATAACAATAAAACGTTCAATATGATTCGCTTAATCTGCCCGGTTGCATGTGGATTGTGGCGTTCGACATTAATTAGGAAGTTCAAAATAACTCAAAAATGGTATTGGTTAAAATCAATTGTGCGGCGTCAATTACAATCAATCACAGAGACACATAATTTGGAGTAAACATTTCCTTTCCATCTTGCACTGGAAGCAGCTGCAATCAGCAAAAAGGAATGGAGTCAAAATGAATACATTAATGGAAAATATACCATCAATGTTTACGTATAAAATGGGTCGAATATATATTAACAATAGATGCGTACTGGAATCTATAATCGGTGAACCAACTGTTGATTACCGAAGCCGACATACAATGTACTCAAAATAATGCGAATGCGGAACAGACTCTTGAAAAATTTACGTCAAATGCGGTTACACACAGATACTGTGGTAACGATATGTGCCATCCATAAAATGTATCATTGAGTAAAAACCGAATCGCAATGAGAGTGCTTTGAAATATTCAAATCAGAAAGTATATTTGGACTTGTGCTTCCGTATTCAGACTACGAATTAACAGGCCGCAAAGCGGCGACTGCAAGGAAATATTTCAAAACCGGTAGAATGCATGTAAATGTATACCAATACCGCAAAAAAACCAAAGTCAGCGAAACCAAATTTGGTGATGCAGCGGTGTGGTAACTGCAAACAGCAGACGAGAAAAAGTGTTGTTTTTATGAGGCACACACGGTAGACGCAGTCTTAAATAACTACCGGCATCTGAGTTTTTACGGGTAGGCCTTGTAATATTAAGTAAGTAATTGTAAGACTGGCATCCATTCAACCGATAAGTTGAGATACAATTTCCATGTGGTGGCTGTGTATGCATAAGTATCACCATTCTAACAATGGAAATTTCTAACAAATTTTTAAAGTGCGCCAAACACCTCAACCTGCACTGTCAAATGCACTTACCATTAGATGCCTGGTTTGCATACAAACACTGCTGCTGATTAAGCAAATATTACTAAAGCCATTACAATGGATTTAAAGGTTAAGAAAAGTGCTTATTGCGGCAATTTCTTTTTCGTTCTGGACGATTGACGCCGGTAGGTTAAAATTGCAAATCAGAACGACTTTCTTCAATATCATTTGTTTAGGCTTTAAATTGTCATTTAAATGTCTTATTCAAAACTTTGACCGTTAACGTGAGGCACTAGAAATCCAAGTACAAAGTATACTGGCGACAGCTTTTTTTAACAGGCTAAAATTTGTCTGATAAATGCTGTATATTGGCAATGTATATTGGCACGGCACACGAGCACGAAGTTCAAATCTCTAATCGTACCGCACTTATCAAGCTCGTGATCTAACGTCACTGTTACATATTTTATAAGAATTTTGAATGGGACCTTTTTCTGAGGAAAATGACTTTAAAAAGGGGAACGAGTTCAGTAATGCAAAACTACCCACTAGTGGAATCTTTGTTGCGGGGTGGTTTTTCAATTTGGGAAGCGTACTAATTACACAACACGGTGTTTATAATTATAGTTCTTTAATTTTCTAATATGAGTAGAGCATATCACTCCAAATAATTCCAACAGGCTTGCCTCCTCCAATAACCTGGAGGCTCCAATAACGCAACGGCATTGTCACCCATTTTTAATGAAAAACACCTTATATTAACGTAACGATTTCTTACGATCGTTCAAACTTCTTACGATCGTTCAAACTTTATAATAACTATGGTCACTTCTCACATAAAGTGCGAAACGATCAGCACAGAGAAATTTACCAAATTTCAAGTACATATGTTCATGAATTTCTAAAAAGCGACTATTAACAGACCTGTCTGTACATAAGCCACAATTCACTGCTGCGCTATACACTTACTTGCAAGCGTGTAACACTCAACGTTCTTATATTAAAAAAAGCTGAAATTGTAAATTTAAAAATCAAACATTATCACACTAACAATATGTACTGTATTTTCACGAGTTTAAGGAACACGAAAATACCCTAGGTCTGCTTGCAGCCACCCGGGGCCTGAAGCTACGTTCAAACTGGTTCACTGACAATGCATTCTGCAACTCACATGTCAGTACTGCAGAATTGAGAATACCACGTAAACACTCGGACTGATTCAGACAGTCTTCAAATACGGTCTTACCTCGTCAAAATTAGGAATCCGAACAAGGAAAAAATTAAACTAAATGACAGCCCAAGCTTAACGAAGCCTGCTGAAATACAGATTTACGATGTTGCCCTCAGGGGCGCCCCCAGGGCAGGCCCTGCCACACACAAGCCAGATCCATTTCTGGGCCAAAATCAAAGCAAATTTGGCCATAATAAAATAATAATGGATACCTCAAAAAACAGTAATGTGCTTCTGTGAATTGTAAAATGGTGCTCCGTAATGAGCTGCAGTAAATTCAAAAATGATGTAAAATGCAATTGTTGATTTTAGAGCTCACTCAGCTCAGTGAACAGCTTTGAACATAGCTGCAGGCCCCGGGTGGCTGCGAGCAGACCTAGGGTATTTTCGTGTTCCTTAAACTCGTGAAAATACAGTACCAGCGCGGGCCTATGCATACATACTTTACCAGTTTTTTTGCAGCGTTTGACGGCTCTGCCTACTCGTAGAATAAGATACCCATTTTGTGCCTCTAAGGCGAACTCCTTCCGGATGGAGGGTGGTTTTATAATTTTACGCGTCAGCCTGTCACGCAGTGCGCCCCACAACTTCAGTACCGTGCACATTTTGGACATAACTGCTTGCCATTAGGTTTGCAGTGCTACACGAATAACTTCGCGAACTGAAGAACCCACGGAGAAATTTGTAATCCAAATCCATCTGGTAATTTCTGAAGGATTACATTTGCATCCCATTGATTGATTTTTCGGGAAAATTGTTGCATTCTTCTAGGTAAGCTGGTTTTGAACATCTGGAGATCTGTTATTCTACCATCGGTCTACAGATAGCCGCTAATTAGTTTCTGTTTCTGGTACAGCAGTTTATTGAAAGCAGGTTCCACGATGCATTACCGCAATCAAGTCATCCACGGCAATCACTTCCACAAGAAGTGGCAGAACCATGTCAAGACCTGGTTCGACCAAGCCGCTAAAAAGCAGCGCCGTGCCAGCCGTCGTTTGAAGAAAGCCAGGGAGATTGCCCCGCGACCACTCGGTCTTCTGCGCCCCGTGGTGCGCTGTCCCTCCATCAGGTACAACAAGAAAGTTCGTGCCGGACGTGGGTTTTCCATCGAGGAATTGAAGGTAATTTTCGGTTGACTGTGAGCCCCTAACCTTAATTCCCAAAAAACGACAGAATTTTTGGTCCTGTAGGCTGCTGGTATTAACAAGAAAGTCGCAAGAACTATTGGCATCGCCGTGGATCATCGGCGCCGTAATAAATCTGTTGAAAGCCTCCAACTTAATGCCCAGCGCCTTAAGGAATACAAATCTAAACTCATCTTATTCCCGCGCAAGAAGGGAGCTGCTAAGAAGGAAGGGGAAGCTACCGTAAGTCATGATATTGTGTCGGTTTGATCATAGCATTCAGAGTGCGGTAATATTTTGCACGCTCTTGAATCCGTCTGGCTGTGATTGGTAAATTTGGATTCGAGTCAAACTGCATTGCATTTCACATAATTGTGTCATTTAATTTTTACATCGTTGAATTAATTAATTATTTGTTATGGGAAGAAGCGCAGCTAATTAGTTCAGGGAGAAGCTAATCTGTTAGCTCTGTAATGCTGTAAATAATTATTTGTTAAATCTAAAATTTCGTTAATCTGAAACTTCTTTTCCCGCGTTGACCCTTTTCTAATGGTGATGGTAATTGGTAAGGTGTACTGTCAGCTGGTAAAATGTGAACTGAATGTCTACAGGAAGAAGAGCAAGGCAAGGCAGTTCAGATTCCGCGTGCCAGTGTGATGCCAGTCCGTCAGCAGCATTCGCGGGAGAAAGCACGAAATGTCAGTGACAAGGATAAGGGCTTCGATGCATACCAGTTTGTCAGACAAGCCCGAGGCATCGCAAGATCCGTTGGCCGCAAGGAGAAGAAGGCTAAGGAGCGTGAGCAGGAAGTTGCGGCCCCCGTCAAACCCGCCAAGGAAAAGGAGCCCAAGAAGAAGAAGGGTGGCGAAGAATAAACTTGCTGTGGTCATTTGGTGTTAGTTTTATGTTGCATAATAGTTACGTTAATTATTGTACGAGTATCGAATAAAACCATCAAAAGCGTGACTATACTCTTCACTTATATCGGTCTGTTTTCGTTTGACCGTCCGGTGCTCTCGTACGACTGATACGAGCATGTGCGGTGCGTGTGTTCAGTGACTTCCGTTTATGGCAGAAAACTTTTTCATATTCTCTCCAGTAATTCCCGTCACGAGATCATTATTATCGTAGTGGAAGAAATTCGCCCCTCTGCATTACAAATAACACAACATCGATATTTCAAAACTACCTATAAAGTTTTGATATGAAGTCCCACAAGATTTTCAGTACAGTACTGTGTTATGATATGTACAGTAATTACGTTATTTACGTATACGAAATTACTAATATAACCCCAATCGTCTTTTCACACTTCCGCAGGACTTAAATTTGAATTCTACTCTAGTAATTACAGTTAATAACGGAACATTTAAAGTCCATAGTCTCAATACGGCACGTTTAAGTCACGCGAAGACTCAATTTTTCATTGGACTTGACGTGAAGGCGCACGTCTTCCAATTTATAACTGTTACTGGCAACTTACTGCTGTTACAGTAGAAGTTTTTGTCCAAAAAGCAATTATAAATATAAATACGGTCCTCTGTGGTGGAAATGTAATGACCAAGACCTACCTACGAGTATCATTTGATTTTCAACTGTACAAACTGCGCAAAGGAAAGCGGGTGCAGTCTGATCGGTGAGTGCGTAACACGGGCTAATAATGAATGTCCAGAAGTTGGATTTTGTTAACTTGTATTATCGATTGATTTCTGTACAGTTATGTAAAATACTGAAACTGTCAACGCAGTTGGCAGTGGCTCGACCCCTTTTCGCATAGAAGAAAAGGGTTTGCATAGACAGCATTGTTCAACACAGCAAAATGATTCCCTTAGCGACACTAGCAAAAAAAGGTGCAACAAAATTGGGCCAGTCACGCCAGACAACAAACGAACCCTTGGCCAGTCAGGAACTCGAATTCAGAATGAAAATGACAGTGAAAAAGGGCAACGACAGCCTTGCTATGATGCAATGCACGAAATCAGAAAATGTCAATCCCTATCTAATTTTGACATTTGTTTTGTTTTCTATTTGACATTTGTCAAATCACATTCGCATTTCCGGACTCCATCGTCGCTTGGATTTTCTTTACAAACCACCGGAGCTGCTCTTTAAATATGGAATTCGATAGCGCCAGTTCATAGACGATCGTTTCGGTTCCTTCGGTTTCCAGTGCACATTCGATCGTGATATCCTTGATCCTACATGAAGGCCAAAATAAATGAATTCACATTCCGTCCGAAACAAGTACAAACAGTCAAGCAAGTTAGCAACTAAAAAAACGATGCGAAAAATTTATGGTACACAGCAACAACATAGACTTTTTTGCTTTCACTTACCAAGCCGGTGCGAAAGGGAAGTGAACCTTGTACCTTGGTCCTTCCGAAGTCTTTACAGGCTAACAAAAACAATCGGCGTTTGCTAATTATGTCCCACAAAAATTACAAAAATCAGCCTACAACGTCTTTCGGATATGAGTTGAAACATGTAGTACTAATGACACAAAGCAATTAATTTTAAATTCTGCTTACCACCAGGTGCACTTTCACGTAATACTCATTCAGATGCGCTGTATATATAATCCCCATTTCGCGCAAATACTGTTGCAGTTCAAGGGTTCGGTTTCTTCGCTGCTGCTCCGCCGCAGTACCTAAAATAATAATATCTTCGCACTCAAAAGCAGCATCAGAAAGCAAATTTGGACGCTCGCTCTGCATCAGCCAAATGACATGCACTGTACCGTTGTTTTGCGTCATACTGCAAAATTAATAACAAAATACTTGACAAGTCTGACAAGCTTTGGATCTACTGATGTTTTATTTTATTACTACAGGTTACCGCTTTTTCTCCTGTCGTCTAATACAGTGTTAATTTGCAGCGGCACCCGCTCCCCTCCCTTAAGAGAGCTGGGGCGTCTGGAATTGTGGTCAGTCGCAACTTGCAAAGAATACTACAGTACTATACTAGTATAATAAGTATATATAGATATAAGTAAGTTTTGGGCAACACTTACACAACAACTTGGGTCACCGTTACATCTACCGGAGCGAGATAAAATAAAAGCTTACCCAGCGACGCGATGAGTGACGAGCGAAACTGTCCAGCTAAAGGATCGTCCAGCTTGTAATCAGGCCGATCATTCTTCTTTGGCTTAGGATGGTTGAACATATGGTTGGTTAGTTCGTCCGGAGTATCAAACGCCTTATTGCAGGGATTAATCAGGCATCGAAACTGTTTCTTCGGCATGTGCGTTTTGATGTGGTGCTCCATGAAGCGCGATTCATGGCGCGTCTGACGATTATTGCTCACACTGCAGGTATCCCAACGGCACGGTCCCTTAAGGTTGGCCTGCACGTGGTTCTGCAGATGATTAAAGAAGACGTCCGGTTCGTCCGCAAGAAAATTGCATTCATGCCATAGGCAGGTGTAGGATGTCGAGTTCATCTTGGCACTATCGTTGGTGCGCTCTTTGTTGGCACAATCCGAACTGCAGGATGATGGCGTGTTTTGGGAATCACAGCTATCTTCGGACTGGAATGCCCTGCCTGGCGCTCCGCTGGCACTCTGATGACTCTTACTCCGGGGAGAAACCATTGCAGCTTCTATGCAACACTACCAGCAGAGACTACCAGCAGAACTAAGCAAACGCAGAAACTAAGAACTGTTTGGATTCCAGATTTTGATGCAGGTTGGCCGTTTACATCAACACAGATTTCAAAATGGAAAGACGAATATGCGGTATCTTTTACTATTACTAAAGAGGATTCACGTCCTGCAAAAAAATCCGACTGCGGGCGAATAAAAACGGACCCAATAAAAACGAGTGCGATTTTTTATTTTGGCTTTTGGCTTTATGCGAAATGTACTCTCGAAAAGTGACTCTTCTGTTGATTAGCGTGTTGTTCATTTGAAAAGTGACTGCCGTCCGTTGAGGCAGCTCCATCGTGAATCACGTTTTCTCACTTTTTGGGCCTTTTCCCGTTTAATACGGGTGCCCTCATTACTTCGGTGTGCTGCGGGGCCTCATAAAAGTGCAATACAGATACTTGCGTACCCTGTGAGGCAGATGCGTTTCGAACCATCTTCTGAACTGGAAAATGGGAGTGCCACAAAGGCCGCAACCTTTACACATGCAAATCTACGAAATCCAGAAGGTATAGTATCTGTAGTACAGATACCGGTTGGCCGAACCTCCGTAGTCGGTACTACTGTACAATACATAATTACCATGTGTCGACGTTTGTTGATTACAGTAAGTATTAATTGTACGTCGGATCGCAATCATAATTATTATTATTGTGCGAAATTACTTAAGAAACCATTTATGAGTATTATTGTTACCTCAAGTAGCTTGACTTGATCATACATACCTATGATAACGCCGATTATGTAACTGCACTTTCGTAATAATTAACTTATTGTTATTAGTTAAAGGACGCCTTCATCTTCCAGGTTGCAGCAGCTATTCAGCTCGTGGGGCAGCGAACCGCAAGTAGAGCGGGAAACGTTTTTATTTATTTTTAATAGTCAGTAATTGTTAAACCGTGCATCCACAACCAGCACCGGCGCAAATATTTATCCATGAAATTTATTACAAAGTAGTACAGTACGTCTACGTATTGTATTCAAGCGATGCAGGACAAAATCGATGAAAGTCCGTACTAAGCGCTAAATTTGTTTATTGAATATTATACTTTTAATGCACAAGGTTTTTGATGTAAACCATTTTGATGTGGAAGCAGCAAAATAAAAAAATACAGCAATATTATATTGTGTGAGCACACAATGACAGTGGTACCGTAATTATTAAACTGCCTATAGGATACCACCGAGATTTTGAGGACGGTTTAGCTATATGGCCAACGTTTTACAACGTAAAAGCACGATGTCGTATCCGGTCAACCAGTTGGTCGGTGCTCAGTTTGGACCAGGTTCGTGATCGGAACGATCCAGCCGAACTTGTGGCGCTGCTGCGTCGGCTTCCGGTGTCGGCGGGCAAGCAGTTACCAATATTGTGAATGACTCGGCGCAGACCTTTCCAGTAATTATCACTCATAAGCAAGAAGATTAACTGCAAAATAAAATTGACATTCTTAATAACATGACAACAGTTGTTAAATGTCGTGACGCGCGATCCAAGAAATCTTACCGGATTCGTCGCATAACCAGTGTGAAAAACACTGCGCAGAATGAGGTCGAGAACTGGCATTTGTGTGGCCATCTGCGAATTTGATGAGATTATCATATAGGGTAAATAGCATGCACACTGCCAAACGGACGAGACGAACAGCATCTTGGAAATAATTAACCGTCGCCGGCATGTTCGGCGCTGTTTGACGAATTCCTCAGTTAGGATAGTCTCCACGGAACGAAGTCGTACGACATTTGTCCGGCGCACCGCCAGCCACGAGAACATAGCAATGTAGATGACGCACACAATAATCAGTGGCGCATACATTCCCGTGACCTTTGAAAGGGTAAATACCACATTGCTGCCGGCTTTGCGGACGCCGCACGCGGACCAGGGCGGCACAGTGGTAATGGTACCGCCGATGCCGAAACAAAATGGAACAGTACATAAAAATGCCATAAACCAACTGCTAATGGTCATTTTGGCTAATGTGTTATTTGTACTCCATGCTCCGTATTTCAAGGGCAGTATAATGGCCGTGAAGCGGTTGAGTGCCAGAAACAAGGCCACCCAGGAGCCGGCATAAGCGGTGGTCTGAAAGGTCATGAACACCACCGCACAATGGTCCATGAGACCGGCAAAAATTTCCGTGGCAAAAACCCAAATGGTATTGATTGGGAGATGAATGGCGCACATCATGAGATCGATAACCAATAAATGAGCTATTAAACAACCGGAACCGATGCGTGCTGTCTTGTCCGACATAATGACCACTATCAGTAAAAAACACAACAGGGCGCCAAATGCACACAGGAAGAGATTGGCGATACACCATATTGTCATCCATTGCTGATTTGCCAGTGTGACGTTGGAAGCCGAAAAAGGCTCAGCGGATGAGATGTTGTCAAAAGGAATGATTAAATCCGGATCGGATACGAGACCAGCCTGAAGGCTGGAATCCGTCGAAGGCCCTGACAGCATCATGAGGAAATTTCACTTAACACTTTGAGATAACTGATTAACCGAAGCCTAAAAATGCCTAAAAATTATTGAAATAGGAAGAATGTCACGATAGTGTGACCGGATGTACGCTTGTGCGGTGCAACAACGCCGATGCCACTTCAGTTATATGGAGATGTGCCGGTATGCGAGTAACACATAGTCTCCACCTGCTCACATACGCTATCATTACTATCCAAACCAGATATTAACAGGACGACCAAAGGATACATAGAATTATTGTCTCGCAAATTCCCTTAATGTAGGGATAATTACGAATTATATCAATCACTAATCAGTCACTGAATCATCAGACTTGTCACCTAAATCCATGCCGGCCGATCCCTGCAAATTCCGGATTTTCCAGCTAATAAGACACGCTCTCTGGGGGAAATCAGTCGGATAAAAAGGTGTTAATCAGACCCCTTCTCCATTGATAAATTACACTAACAAAATGATCAAATTATAATCTACTGCGGGTGTAACCTTTCTGTAATAGTACTGCAGTAGTCATATAAGCGCACTTGCTGCCCGTGTTTATAAATGATGTACGGCGCACAATATCAACAACATGAACAGCGTCATATCAGATGATAACAACAAGAAAAATTACATGTGTCAATTGGTCGTGTGGATGCGCACAGCTTTACATTGACAGAAAACTGGAATCTGTCACACTCGTAGAATGGTCGTGATTGAGCAGACGTCCCTAATGATGATCCCTTATCGTGCACGACTCTAAGAATAACATCCCGTTTCCCCTCAGCACTTGAAAAACAAATGATCCATCGGGTGCAGTCAATTACATTAAATATCCTGGATTTTTGATCACCATTCATGTTGGACGCTAAAAATAACACGCAAATCTAGAGCGCTATAAGGTGTTTCCCTTCGGTAGCGCATATAGACGTACCGTCGTGCACAACATACGTGCATGTACGTCGCAGGCGCTAATCAATAATTGAATGTACTGTGTTGATCTGTTAAAAAAGATCATTCCCATTTACTCTAGTCATGTAACCACAAAGCGGTGTCTTATGAACAACCATCAATGGGGTGTGGTGTGCACATAAGCGGAACGGGATTTTTGTAAACATGCCACTTGTTTGTGTACGCGTGCCGCGTACATGTTACTATTTATAATTGATCCCGCATCTATGCAGATGTGCACTAGTATCCACGTACTGGCAGTGCGACGTACCTACGGAAATGCACAATTTGATTGAAATTCTCACCAAGTGGTAATTCCCTATGGGACAAATTGATCGATACCTCCATCGATCATCGATGAACCCAGTTTTGGCCTTACCGTATATTTCTGCCCATCCTTGGCCGTCATAGTCGGCACACAGCAAAATTATATTACACAAAGTACCGGTACGTTGGGATATCCTGGAATCTCATACTTCTACTTTTCCAGTAATTGTTTCTCAACTTGCTGAATATGCTCTTCAGACTCGTACGAAGCGTTTTCAGAACAACCTACCTAACTGTTCTCTTCATCTAGCTTTTCTCTCTAGTTATTAAAATGTACATAGTTTTGACGCCGACTGTGTTTCTTTTCGAAGATTACCGTAGTGCGTCTCGGTTGCAAAAAGTTTAGCTCATAGTCAGCTAATTTCCAGTTTGGAAAACATTAGCTGTGCGTTAGTAAGCAATTAAAATCGATAATCGAAATACGAGTACCAAACTAACATTAATCATCGCACAGGAAAATTCCGGTTGCAGTCACTGCAGTGATATTTCTGGTTGCACTCATTATAATACTTAACGTTCAACCATGCTGAATGCGTATGCATGTGCATTCTGTAGTGAAAATATGTCATTCAGTATTTCTGCATCATGGTCGTTTGCCCAAATTGTTTTCGTGACAGCTCTCACTTCTGGATCTGCACCAACATATTACGTTAAGGTCAAACAACTTACCGGATTATATGGTAAAGAATTCATTACCACTCACAACCGCAATGCGTAGTGTGTTGTCACAACAGCTGCCGCAATAATTACTGCGTAGCAAATTAGCAATCAATCGTGTTGTACGAGTTAAAACCGCACATTGCAATATCATTCAGGAGTTTATAATTATCTGTGCTCGTGTTAGTTGCGTATCTGACAAACAGCACAAAACTAGTGCTGTTCGACTCCAATAGTTTTGTCAACATTATCGAAATGAATGTGTTCTGTGTACTATCGTACACAGCTCGCAGTCATTTCGATAAAGTTACCGCTAAAAATACATTCACCGCCAATTGACTATTTGTGTTAATCAAAAATCGAACCACAAACAAGCTTCCACAAATAAACCATTTCTTGAAATCCAGTTTCGTACAAAATCAACAAATATGTGAAGATTCAACGTGTCAGGTGCGGAAATGGAGCACAAACTAGCAAGGCACATAGCAAATGGTACAACTGTACAAGTAAGATCGTCTTGCTCCAAGAAAACAAAACAATAACTTATTCAAAATATAACCTTCATACTTGATCAATATTCAAGAGAAAGCTCTAAGCAGAGGGAACGGCAAAACGGGGAAGGGTGAATTATCACAAAGACTAGCGGAGCCGGTGTGTGGACGGGGACAATTATTGTTTTCACTGTAATCGTTCCATTTGCATCTGACGGGCAAAACAGAGCTGCGCCACCTTCGTAAACAGCTGTAAAGATTCACATAATGCAGACAGTATGACAATTTATGAATGACATCGGGAAATTACCTCAAAAACATTGCGATTGTCCTTTGCGCTGGTTTCGAGGAATTTAAATCCTATCGATACGGCGTAGTCGTGTGCGCGTTGCGACGAGACGACCTTTAAACTATCATCAGAGTCATCCTTGTTCCCAACTAACAACACAAAACCATTTCGTGAGCAAACTGTAAAAGCAACCTATGCTGTTTATATTACGCATGCTCGTATGCAGAAATAAGTTCTGCAACTGTTAGTTAAATATTAAAGCAAAGTACCAGTTATAAACTCACAGCAACCATCTTATCCCACAGCAAAATAGGTAGACACCTTGGCAAGCAGTGGTTACGTACAGCATACTACCATAATTGTGATACCACAAAGTGCGCACGGCAGCTCGCGAAAATTTCGAAAAACACTACACTAATCTGAACCATCATCGTACTTTGACACAGTAATGAATGAACAACGAGGTACTACAACGTACTGCCGTATGCAATTACATTAATTAGTTAAAAGATATTTTTAAAGGCAGAACAGGAAAGAAAGCCGAATGCCAATATTTCTCGCCCGATGTTAGCGAAAACGATTCGGCAGATTACGTTACGTAACACCTGCATTTACTTAGTAAACTGCAAATCCAGAAGCGAGACGAAACTCCACTCTACTGAAATCCTGCCAATTTTTTCTCTTGTCTTCTTATACTAAATTTGATAAAGATGCACTTACGATCTGAATGCGAAATTAAAAAAGATCGAGCGCTAATGAGTAATGACTTATCGCATAAACTTACCAAGTATCCTTACTACATCATCGTCACAAAACTTCTCCACGTCCTCCACAAAATACCGACAGTTTTTGAAACTGTTTAGATTTCGTACATCATACAACAAAATAACCGCATCCGCACTCGGGAGATATTGCCCATTTAAGGACCGAAATCTGTCCTGGCCAGCAGTATCCCAAATATTTAGAGTCACTAATCGTGCAACAAAAAAACACAAACGTAGGTATCTGCGACAGGTCAAGGAAAACACGAACGAAAATATTCAAAATACGAGAGTCCAACGAAATTATACGAAGTGTAGTATATAAGTAGGCACCTTGCTCTTTATAACCAGGACCTTCGATATCTGCAAACGGAGAATAAGTCAAAAATAACCAACAACGACAAAAAAAAGCAAATAAAAATATAAATTAAGATGAATTTTGTCTAAAAACATTCGTCAATCGATTTGTTCAAGAATCAGACCCATATGGTCAAAACCTTCACACCAAGTTCAGACTTCTACACTAAACCGGACGACACTACAATATTCAGATAACACATCGCTGAAATCAAATGTGCCAGTGGAAATAATAATTAAACCGCAAAACGAAAATGCTCCAGATTTCTTATGATTGTATGCATTTTCTGCAGCCTGTAACTTCGTATACAGGTGCTGAAGGAGGTCCGGGTGAAGTCAGTTCTGGCTACGGTAAGTACTAAGTACAGCCAAATAATTCCGATATTCAATTTTCTATCGGCATACCTAGGATTTTTGATTTAACGTCCAATCCAATTGTCATTGGAATGAGTTCTGCAAAACACGAAGTACAATTTAAACTAAACGCGACCGGGCTGTACCAATAATCAGCAGGTAATCCCAGTTTCGACTCGCGCATGGTCACCGAAAGCACCAGCAGCTGATTATTGTGCGTATATCTATAGCTATACAGTTGCCCTTGCGACTGCGTATATCTATAGCTATACAGTTGCCCTTGCGACTGCAAGGGTTAACTGTATAGTTTCATCAATATCAGTTGCTTGTATAAAAATACCACTTGTTTATAGCTTGTTAATAAAATTTAAATTTCCGCTATCGTGCATTCTCGAATTGTACTCCTTTGTTTTAAGAACTGCTGGAGCCATAATCTCTACACGCAAAACCAGTATCGCGATATACGGATAAGTCACAAGAGAATATAGTACTAATTAACTCCCAAAGTGGCTCACATCGCTTACTCATATCTGCATCTTCGATGAAATCATTGGCATAAAAACGCAGAAGTAGACTGGATTTTCCAACACCTACGACAAACAGGCAGTGCTTACCAAACATTTCAATAACTAGCATCTATTGTCCAAAACCATATAAAAAATAACATAGCAAGTACTTACAATCTCCAATCAACAGCACTTTATAAGAATACTTCGGCTCTTTTTTCTCAACGAAGTCAGAAACCCACTGACGGACAGTCTCCGTTGGCGATACCATTTTCCTCCGCTAAGTATTGAATAGGAGGAAGTTTCACGTTTCAGTAATTGAAAATTCGGCTGGAAGGCCTAATATTTTAAAACAAACAAATCCCAAATAATATATTGTTGAGTTAAACCATAAATTATTGTCAAATTATTACTAAACTAACCTACTAAACTGTTAGTTTACTAAGTTTAGCAATATTATGGTTAAACCTAAAACCAACAACTTATCCACAACATATGGGATGCATCATAATTCTTTTCCATCTTAATCTCACAGGCTTTTAGTCCGTTCAAATTTTAAAATTACGATATCGCTTCGAGATTTAAAATATCGAATTCACTGTTAAAATCGTCTGAAGTCTGCTGATTCAAATCACTTAAACAACCTAAACCCGAATAAATTAGTAGCAGTTAAGTACAGTACCTATAGTTTTCGCTTTCCTCAGTTACCTGCGGCTGCGACCTCCACGCATCTACAAACTCATTACGAGTCTACGAGTGAAGACGGTCCAAGTGTTGTTATTTTGTGTTCTTTATATGGACTCACCGATCGATTGAAGTTTTTACTAATTAAAATTTTTGGAAGATAAATTAACAAAAGTAAAGTACTTATACGCAAATACGTATGACGACAAAAAAACTTAACATTAATTTTAACAAATCCAAAACACTGCAGCCCATGGTGCTTTGTTTATAATAATATTCGTTCATAAATTCAAACGTTACCGCCCATGTCGGAACGGACCAACTATATTTAGCGAAAACTTTGAATTGGCTCGAATTTTATAAAAGTCCGCCTACTTTTTGGAGTCACCTAATCCAAACCGCCCTGGCTGTTGCCGCTCACACCGACCACGCATCCGTTCTTTAAAAAATTTTCACACAGGCTTCATTTCAGTTTTCAGTGGCTTTTCTCCTCACAACGTAAGGTACGTACTCGTTGATTGGAATAGGACCTGGAGTGATTTCTTGTGAACCCTGATCTTCCAGTTAACATTTAAAAAGACCTGTGAGCGACGATGGTTTAGCTACGCGTGGTCCTATCTCTGATCTACTGACTTTGGTTGATTGTCAAAATGGCACAACCAGTGTTGGACCGAGAATCGTTTTTCAAGCGCCTGAAGCGTGTATTTCAAAATTGGAAGGTACTCGACCGTGGAGCGTAACATCTGGATTTCCTATTGATTTTAATCATAACGTCTGTTTCTAGTCGAGCAAAGATGGCGGTGGTGCGTTTGCTTCAGTGGATGCGCTCGTTATCGGACTTCAAAAAGATGATGAAGCGGTGTACTCCAAATCCCAAGCGTTTCATGTAAGCAGTAAGCATTAAGAATCTGTAAGATGGTTTCTGATTTGGGTGCTCCTAAACGAAGGTTGTACGACTTACCAGTTAAATATCTGTACGTTCCTGCTTTTGGCTTAAACCTTGCCAAATTTTGAATAAACTGAGCGAGAGAATATAATATTATTACAGTAAGTAATAAAAATTCTCTTCGAAGTCAATGATAAATTTGTTGCTGTCAGTTGGACCTCGCACTGTGAACGGAACAAATGTTTAACTGCAGGAGTAATGATGTCATTCCGGTGCTGACTTTAAAGAACATCTCTTTGTCTTGCCGTAAAACACTAAACGCAGGTTTTGAATCTAAACAGGCAACAGCCGCACCACAATGAAATTTTAGTAAGATAACTTTGAAGTAATATAGGTACTACAATTCACAATCTCGCACTGTTTTGTGAGGATTGAAAATCGATCTGTATGGCATACATTTTTTGTGCTGGATGGGTTTGCAGTTATGGATTTTTGGCTATGAACTGATGGAGACTTTATTGGTGATATGCGAGAACGGAATTTATGCGGTGGCTTCCAAAAAGAAAGCTGAATTTCTGAAACCTTTGGAAAAAGTGGATGAAACCCTATCAAATGGGTTGCCGAGTGTTAAGATTATGGTCAGAGAAAAGGGAGATGCTGGCTCGGCGTACTTCGGTTCCCTGGTTGACGCTATCAGACAGAGTCGAAAGGTGAACCCTCGTTGAATAATTTTAATGGGAGATGGAAATGACATTGCTTATGGAGCGTTGGAATTTGTATGAACGCGAAGTATAAGAGATCTTAAAAATTGTTTAGGGCAAAACCGTGGGTATGTTCACCAAAGACAAAATGGACATCGACGTGTATAAACCGTGGAATGAGCGAATGGAGAAGGAGGGATTCGCGAAAGTGGATGTTTCCGTTTATATCGCATACCTTATGGCGCCCAAGGATGAGAAAGAGTTGGTCCTTATGAAAAAATCCTGTCAGGCCTCGTGCGACATCTTCAAGAAATACTATTATGAAGAAGTGGTGAAGGCTATTGATCAGGAAAAGGTTTGTAGAACTGTATGGATTAAGAAAGGGATGTGATTTGCCATTAATAAAATGTGATATGTGATTCTACAGAAAGTGAAACACAGCAAAATATCAGACGGATTCGACTCTGCAATCAAGGACAAGAAATTCGTACCAAGTGTTGATAAACTTGATGAACTGGAAACGTGCTATCCGCCCATTGTACAGAGCGGTGGGAAATACAACTTTAAATTCAATACTACAAGGTATATTTGAAATTTTGAACATGAGCAGGAAGTTGAGAGGTTTTCATATGAATTTCTAAATTAGTAACACCGACGTGATGCACTTCGGAATTATCTGTGCGAGCTTCGGCCTGCGGTACAGGGGTTACTGTTCTAATATTGCGCGGACGGTGATGGTAGCGCCCACCAAATACCACGTCGAAGCGTACAATGTGGCGTACGACTTGGAGGAATACATCATCAAAAAGATGGAACCGGGTGTGAAGTTGTGTGACATTTATGAAGCTGGTGTTAAATGGCTCGAGAAGAAAAAACCTGATATGGTCGACCACATGACCAAATCATTTGGGTATGACTGCTGGCTAGCATTTGCAAATATAAACCATTTTGATGGAGTTGTGCAATATCTTTTTTAAAAAAATTTGAATTCCAGTTTGGCATACAAATGCCATCGACAGTCTTTCATAATTTCTTGTTAATAGTTGAAGAGGTAGCGGTTTCGGATCCATGGCCGAGGTAATACAGCACTGCTATAGTGACTGTATAATTTTAGGTTTGCCACTGGGCTGGAATTTCGCGAGGGTACCCTGGTGATCAATTCAAAAACGACAGCGTTCGCACGGAAAGGAATGACTTTCTGCATTGTTCTGGGTTTCTCGGAGTTAAAGAATCCCGAAGGAAAGGCGGAGGAGGAGAAGACGTTCGGCATCTGGCTGGGTGATACCGTAGTTATTAGTGATGTAAGTTACCAGTATTTCCACATAGATGTATGGGTTATGGTTTTTATTGGCGTGCCTGTAGACCGGAGCTGCAACAGTCCTAACAGCCGCAGCCAAGAAGAAGCAACAACAAATCAGTATGGTGCTGGAACCCGAAGGGGGAAAGGAGAGCGAAGAAGAGGAGGAAAAAACTATTAATTTGGCCGATAATCAAAATGGCAATGCCAGGAGTCGACGTACAGCTGTCTTGACAGATCGGCTACGAAACGAAGCGTCTGCCGAAGAGCGTCGAAAGCGCCATCAGGAAGAATTGGCCGCTAGGATTAACGAACGCGCTTTGGAACGGTTGAATAAAGGCAAGGGGGAAGTGGCGGAACCGAAGTTGAGAAAATCGAACGTGGCCTACAAACGGGCCACGGATATGCCCACCGATGATGAAGTCAAGGAGCTGAAGATTTTTGTTGATCGGAAGAACGAAACTCTGGTAAAGTTTGGTTTCACGATTTGCAAGTTAGCCGTAAAATTAAAATTTTTATATTGGTGAAAAACCATAAATTGCATCTCAAAGTTTGATGCCGATTGTCTGACAGATCTTGCCTCTGTTTGGTGAACCTGTTCCTTTTCACATATCCATGATCAAAAGCGTGGCGATCTCCCTGGAAGGGGATTATACATACCTGCGTATCAATTTCAATCATCCTGGTTCAGCGGTTATCGGTGGCAAAGAACTAATGCAGTTCCCTCATCCCGAAGCACAGTTCGTCAAAGAATTGACATTCCGCAGCAGTAATACCAAAGAACCCGGAGAATTATCCGCTCCTTCGTCCAACCTGACCAACACGTTCCGCCTAGTCAAGGAACTTCAAAAGCGTTATAAGACACGAGAAATGGAGGAACGTGAAAAGGAGGGTGTTGTGCAGCAGGATACCTTAGTTCTTAATCCTAACAAAAGTATGTAACATTAACTGCGTTTACGTTTTTTTGTGGTAATTTCAGCAGTTACGAGACGCCAGTTTCTGCGTCTCACTGGTATCATATGATTTGTTTCCTGCTTCCAGATCAACCCCGTCTCAAGGATCTCTTTATCCGTCCTCCGCTGTCGCAGAAACGAATTTCCGGCACATTGGAAGCTCACGTAAACGGTTTCCGTTATACCACTCTGCGTGGCGAAAAAGTAGATCTCTTGTACAACAACATCAAACACGCTTTTTTCCAACCGTGTGAGGGTGAAATGATTATTCTGCTGCATTTTCATTTGAAGGCAAGTTGAATTGCGACATGTTGTCGTTTTGAGAAGTTTATTCTGATGATTAAGATATTATTTTAGAACCACATCATCTATCAGAAGCGAAAAATTATTGATATCCAGTTCTATACCGAGGTCGGCGAATTGACCACGGATCTGGGGAAGCATTATCATATGCATGATCGCGATGATTTGGCCTCGGAGCAGGTAAAAACTGTATATGACAGATCACGACTGAATGTGATTATGTTATGGTTATGACATGGAAGCGCAGAGTTTTAAGCAGTGTAAATCTTTGGTAGTAATTTGAACATTGTATCGTATACTTGTACCGAAAGATTCACGTAACAAAAACTGTTTCTGGTAGGCGGAGCGGGAATTGCGCACCAAATTGACGTCGGCCTTTAAAAGCTTCACAGAGAAGGTGGAGTCAATATCGCGAGGTGATGTCGACTTCGATACTCCTTTTCGCGATCTGGGATTTCCGGGTGTTCCACACCGTGCTACCGTGTTGCTACAACCCACCAGTACCTGCTTAGTGAATTTAGCAGAAACCCCACCATTTGTGATTACGTTGGAAGAAATTGAACTCGTGCACTTTGAACGTGTACAATTCCACATTAAAAACTTCGACATGGTTTTCATTTTCAAAGATTACAGCCGTAAACCTGTTCTCGTTACGGCTGTTCCGATGAATTTACTGGAACACGTTAAGGTAAGGCTTGAAAAACGATAATGCGTTTGATATTTAGAACTGGCATTGTTTTGCAGTCATGGTTGGATTCATGCGATATACATTTTACGGAGGGCATTCAGAGTCTCAACTGGACAAAGATCATGAAAACTATTGCTGATGATCCGAAGGCTTTCATTGAAGAGGGTGGCTGGGATTTCCTTGAGCCAGAAAACGATGCCAACGTGAGTCTTTCTGAATAGTTTTGAATAATTACTGGTGTGGTGTGAATGATGAAGGAAGGGTGTTCAAGCACAATTTTTTTGCAGAAGGAAGCACAAGCGGCTGCAGATGCTGAAGAGGAAGAGGAGGACGACGAAGCTTACGCTCCATCCGAATCTGAGTCAGCCGAATCGGAGAGTGAGGAAGAAGCTTCGTCTGCGGTAGACGAAGATGAAGATGATGAGGCCAGTGAAGAACTCAGTTCCGGCGAGGAATCCGGAAAGGACTGGGATGAACTTGAAGAAGAGGCAGCCAAAGGTTAATTACAGATTTTTAATGCAGCATACTTGCGTAATCGTAATTAAATCGCAAGGTTTGAGATATTGTATGAATTAATTCTGTATACTTGCGGTGTTTTGGTACTCGTATACGTGAGCGTATTTACACGTTTGTTTGTTTTTAGCTGATAGGCAGAAGGCCATGGAAGAGGAACAAGAAATGTCAAGAATGCCGAAACGACCGGCTCAACGAGGCGGTGGTGGGGGCGGCAAGAAAATGCGGCGTTGATAACAAGAATCGTTATCGCTGTGTATTGTATTATGGTCACTGCAAATTTTGTTGGCAAATCTCAGTGTTTTTCAGTTTTTTATCAATTCCTCTTGGTCATGCAGAACAAGTGCAGGATTGGACAGCCTGCAGAAGTTTGATGTTTTTGAGCAGTTATTGACTTGGAACTATGGAACTTCGTTTAAATATATCATGTAATGGTTGTTGTCCTATCGTTTTGATTTTTTGGTGAATTAAATGTGACGAACTCAGGAAGCAGAGTTACTTCAATAACAGTATACTGCCAGCTATGTCACTACCATTAAACCTGACGGATAGCGGTGCATTCATGTACCTTTTCAAATAAGTACGAATAATAATCAACGCCAACTACTGCACCTTAAGTACGGCTGAAACGGTTATGATGCTAAAATCAGTCAAATCCATGAATGTGGGAAAGTAAGCTTCAAAGGAGAAAACGTAAATTAAAAGCGATCGGCAAACCAGCATCACTATAGGTGACAGCATCCAAACGTATAGAGTACTAAAATAGAAGTACAAGCTTTGAACGGAAAATGTAATAAAAGTATCAGTATTTTATGGATTTTCAGCCGATTGTAACGAACAACTCAATCAACTCTTAGCTACAAATCCTAATCAAAACTAATCAGAGGTGCTTCATCTAAACCTCCCGAGGTAGGTGCATTTGGCACATGTGGTTGTTGGTGGTGCAGCTGAGGATGCACGTTATCCACTTGTGCCTGATTTTGATAGCCCATCTGAACTGCGGGTGTATGCGCAGTCTGGTATCCTGATTGTGGGACAGGGTTGTGATACTGCTGCATCATCGGCATACCCGGCAACGTCATAGATGGCTGCGGCATGGGATACGTTCCGTATTGGCTATTTGGCTGTGGGTAATTCATCTGATTCTGGGGTCCCGTTGGGTACATCGCGCTCGGCATCACAGACGATGGATAATTTGCTGCAGACAGTGGTGGGCCTCCAGCTGAAATCCCAGGTTGAACGGACGGTTGCATGCCGTAAACATTCTGCGGATGCTGCGGAACCGGCTGGTACATCTACGAAAAACATCGCAATTCTCAACGCAAATGCATTCAAGAAAGTTCCTTTGTTCCAGCACACTCAAGAACTAGAACGCACGCTTACGAAAGGTTACTTCTGTTCTAAGGAACACCAACTTAAATTAAAAAATCAATCATTGATTGCTTTAGCAAAAACTTTACCAACCTGTTCGTTATGATTATATCCCGCCTGCATCGCGTACCCCGGCGGCGCAATGGACACAGGGCCTCCAAAAACAGCAGGCTGCTGATTTTGCGGAAGCCGCTGATCTCCCGGCAGAGACGCAGCGTAGCTCGTACTGCCCCCACCCGGAACATACGAATACGGTTGGTAGACTTGTTTCCGTCGCTGCAGCTCTTCCTCTTGAGCCTGCATCTGTTGGAATGCGATTTGCCGCTGATATTCCAACAGCTGTCGTTTATGCACCCGTAAATTATCTAATTTAGCAATCATCTGCATTTGCATCAGCCGATGTTTCTCCTCCGCTTCCAGACGGATCTTGTCCCGATGTTCTTGGCGTAAGACGTCCAAGGCCTCGCGTGCTTCCTTGAGACGAGTCAGCTTTTCCTGCAGCCGTTCGTAATATTCCTTCCAGTGGTCCTGTGCCTGACTGTACTCTAGGAGCTGCTGGCGCATGGGAAGAAGATTGTTGAACATGGAAATCACTGTCGCGTCATTTCCTAATGGACGTTTGCGACTAATATTGGACTTCATTCGATTAGTAAAGACGCTGATTTGAGATTTTAAAGCAGACATGAACTGCTGGATTTCGTCGTCCGTTTCGCCATTTTGATAAGAAAATTTTTGGTGCGACATATCTCCAGACGTCACCGTCGCTAGAGAGACGACAAAAGATCAGCACTATCATATACAGAAGAAAACTAAACTCTCACAAGCGAAGGTAATAAATAGGAACACCATCACATATTTTAAAAAAGAAGTTATGATCAAACAGGTGACGTAAAGGCAGGACTTACATGGCGTTGATGACGGTGTTGGTGCCGATGGCGCATTCGGAACAAAAACAGGACCTGAAACTGGAGCGTCCTTCTGTCGATCTTCCCAATACTGGCGATTCAAGTACTTATCCAGTTCATTGCTACTGCTGTTGGTAGAATTGTTCAAAGTCATGTTCGCCACTTTGTCACCAAGGCTTGTCCCATTCTCCACTGTCTTCTCGCTTGGCGTCTTCTGGGCGTTTAAAACAGATGAAGACCACGAGTTAGGCTGAGAGTGTTTGGTTTTAGCTTCCGCTTCACTTTGCGAAATCGCCAAGGCCAGCTGCAACTCTTCCTCCTCCTGGATTTCCTCAGCTGTCTTTTTCGCTGGTATCTGTGGTTCCTACCAAAACCGCCAATACGATAAAAATCAAAAAAACAGTCTGGCATTATTATTGCACATATCAAATAAATTAACTAGGAATATAATGAATGATAATTTAAATTATAAGGGAATCGTCTGTTAAATAATTAGTTTCTGGAGAATTCCTTAAAGTAGTGCAATTCGTTAGATGATTTTCAGTATTTCCACCAAAATTTTAATGCACAAATGAAAACTGCTCGAATTAAAAAATACTGTAAAATCCGGATTCCCTCACTTTAGCCAGCGCGCTGTTCAGATATTCTACGGGTAAATCGTTCTCCTTATCAGCATCTTTTTTCGTGACAGCAGTTGTTGAACTGGGTTTCGATACATTCAGCTGATCATAACATGAATCGCACACACGAACTTCCTTCTCGATTCCGTACTTTGGCAGAGGTGACACCTTAGACGAACACTTGGAACAGAAAATCTGTCCACAATTTCGGCAATGATGCTTCCTGGTGGTGATTGAAAATTTATCACGACAGCGATAACACACATCGCCATCGACCCAATCTGGAGCTGACTCAGCAACAAACAGCGCATCAGATTCCTTCATGACAGGAAATTTGTATCCTTCCATCTTTAATCGGTCCACAGTGTCTTTTACCACACGATACTGGGGTTTATCGCGAAATCCATGGGCCCAACACTGGACCACCTCCAGAGTACGATTGCGAATGTCATCCGGACCTTTTCGCACCAGCGCCACCAGATCATCCATGAAGGCCAGCGTGATGATCTCATCGTGAACACGTTTGCCACAATTCTTCACCACAGCATCATACAACTGGAGGCACTGCAGCACGGAATGCGGGTTTTTGTCCTGCAGTTTCTTTCTCATGGCTTCCGCGGCAATCTTCAGATTGACGTCCTCCTGACGCAGAGCATCACAAATAGCCAGGATGGCGTCCCAGTCTGGTTCCAGTAACAGACTGCTGGTGGCACGGTCCACGTTCTTTATGAAGGAAGTCGTGTTTTTGAACATTTTTGAAAACGATCTGAAGAGCTCACGGCAACAGTCACTCAACTCATAAAGGTTCTCATAGAAGTTTAAAATTATTCACAGTGGAATTCTGTGCTCCTACGAAAAGTGAGTCTGTCGACTGTGATCATCGAGTGTCATGTGATACCAAATTTTTAATAATTTAATTGATAAAAGATACGGACATTTAATTGATAGAAAATGTGAAATTTTTATCATGTCATGCTGTACAGTGTACTGTACACGTCACTGTACCATCTTTGCACTACGTAACTGCCTTCCGCGGCGCATACCGGTAACAACAAACGTCCACGTATGGCGAGAAGAATTTAAAGCTTTAAAAAATGTCTATTCTTTCTACCGGAAGTAAACTATAGGTGCTGTGTGTTAGCGATTGGCAGCGAAATTCTGCATTTTTTTGCATACTGTAACTGATGATGGTACGCGCATGTGTACGTTGGAAAACTGGAAAAATCTGGTATAAATCTGTATTGTATGTCCTAGAGCTCAACTTGCGGTATTTGCCGTAAAGTTCGTATACGTATTCTCATAACTTCGCGTCCTGCTGTGTTAATGTTGCCACATAACTTTTTAATCATAATGCATTCAAATTTTTATAGTCATAAATGGTTTACAATTTCGTAATATTCAAGAAGTTTTAACTCACAAGCCAAGCAAAAAATTCCAAATTTGTGTACAACGGGACAAAAGTTCCAGCAGAGGACAATTTGATTTCGCAGAAGTAGCAAAACATTTCTGCAGGCAGCCATGTGGCCATCACCATCTAGTATTCAACAAAACCTTTAAAAGAGCTGCAAAATAAACGTAAACCCAGCCTTAGACACACGAAAAACCCCGCAAAGACTACTTGCGTAAAGATCAACCACACCAGAAAGAACGGCAGAAAACAAGCGGCAAAAGGGACCAGAACGAAGGACATATTCCACTTAATATGCATACAACTAGTCATTTCAGTCCGATATCACTCCATCAAAACCCCATAAAATTTCAAGATAAAATATCCAAAATACACTTTCATCTTCACCAGATAAGCAAGCACCTTTTCATCACCTCGAAAGCACACCTATAAACAGGATTCACTGATCTGCCTTGCATTGTCTCGGCTATGATTCCAGTGACGCTGATAAAAATGTTCATTCGGGGCATGCGCACTGGAGACATGCTGGGGCGGAGAACGATCAAAGCCGTTGGACAGATTCCCGTTAGGCTGGGAGAAGGAATGAGGTATACCCTGTGATAGGATCGGAGAGTCCAAAGACTCTGGCAGCACCGGCGGAAGAGCAGAAGAATCAGCGACTGGTTTATGCACAATCAGCGGCCGTCGAGTGTATCGAGGCCGCGGCAGGGAAGCATATATTTGAGCGGTTCGGGTGAAGCCGTTGCCAGTTTCCTCTGTATGGGTGGCTATCGGGCTTCTTTGGTCCTCATCTGCAACCATGGACGGGATTTAAAACCGTAAATGCTATAAAACTGAAGGCACTTTTGCAGTACCAGTGAGCGCGTGGGGGATATCTTCCGTCGAGCGGGACGGACGCTGAACAACCGGGCACATCTTGTAGCCATTATGTGTCGACACCTGCTCGAAATCATTGTAATAAAGGTTGGGATACGTTTCCAAAGGATCGCGCTGGTAAAAAAGAAGATAAGCATCCTTGGTCACAAGTTCCCGGGGATCGCTGACGGTCTTCACCTTTAAGTCATCGTACATGTACCAGGCACCGTCCGCAGGGTGGCGACAAAACGCTGCAAAACAGTGAAGCAAATTTTTTTTCTTCTCCCAACAATTTGTGAAAAGCTGTAATTTAACAAATTTATCTTGTCTCACCTGTATAGTGTCCTGAATTCAGCCGTCCCGTGTGATTCACAACACCAAAGAGACTGTACGAGTGAATATTATGCACCTCCGAATCGGGTGGCCGGCGCGGCTTTGGCCACATAAACCACGACGTCTTGCTACTCTTAGTGCGGCGATCCCTGTTGAGATCTTCATCTTTGGTTAGATAACGCGCCATGTCCAGGTGGTTAATAGGAAAATCTACCATAGTTGTCAATTTGAAACGCGTACTGGCTGATTGTCGGAAACGTTTCAAATGGATGACCAGAATCTCTGGCAGATTCCACAATGTGCCGCGTTTGGTCGTGCCCATTTGGCGGCCGCCGCAACTGGGGCATTCCCAACTAAGATCACTTTCATCCATACCCACCTTTTCTTCCTGCATCAACAGGTCCAAACAGTCAGAAAGAGCGGTCTTTTTGGCAGACTCTGGCATGTTGCGAATAGTAGCTACGCTGACATCGTCCACAATTTTTTCCCGGATCAAGCGGTGGGCAACGAAATCAGCGTTCTTATCATCCCATTCCACGTACAATTTTAAGTGGCGAGGGCCAGTGGACGTTTGATTAAAAGATAAACATTCATCCACGGCTTCCATATATAACGGATGATCCACCTGGGCAGTGATGTATTCCGATCGCTCTACAAGACGTAACCGGAAAGGAGCATCTATCGTTTCCCTGAACAGTGTTGCGGCCTCTATGTTGGCCAACACGGCTTCCACCAGCTCTAAAAATAAATGCACTTCACCAATTCGGTATGCGTTATTTAGCACAACGAAATCACCTCTGTAAGTCACTTCGCGAGACACTTGCACGACGCGTGGATCACTTAATTTTCTGAAATCCTGATTATTGCTTCTGGAAGTGTGCATAAGAAGAATAAAGATATGCTCTTCCTCTTCACTGGCTCTGGCTTTAGGCATTTCGATAACATAAAGTTCATCCACATCTTGCAGTATGTCACTGCCGTGTTCACTGGATAACGTCCGCTCGAAACCTTTATTGCTCACTTCCAATACCACCATCTATACCAAATTAAATGAATAAAAGATATGCAAAAGAATTCACTCTCCCATATAATTATATGTTAAATAAATACCTCTTCAGCTCGAATTCCGGTTCGCTGCCCCACCAGGTCCTTGACATCCATGACGGAACAGTCCACGCTGGTAGAAAAACCATAACGCGTGATGCGCGACTGGAGATCGAAGAACACGACGTTGACGTAGATAGGCCGCATGTCCACTTGGGGCAATGGAACAGAAAGACACATAAAGGGGTCGAAGGTATTGCTCTGCTGACCACACTGCACGCAGGTAAGGGATGAGCGGAACAAGCCGCGATACAAGCGCGAAATAAAGCTGCGACCCCAGGCTTCTTCCGTCATAGCTGCCAGACGATCGTCCGGTTTTGTCTAACAATAACAAAAAATTTGTTTATGTCACTCTTGAACCAGTATAACTTTCATAAAAATGTGTACTGAGAGAGCGAAAATTTACTAGGGGGGGAAAATTCTATAAATTCGGACGTTAGAACGGAAATTACGTTAGAACGAGCATCCCCATACTTTTCTAATCTTGAGTTTCTTCCTAGCTTTTCTATTCAAATCTTCATGGATTCTGTCTAGCAGCCAGTTCAAAAATTCCTGGGCATCTTGCTCTCCACCTCCACCATCATGGAACTGCTTCCAATGTCTCGCGACAGTGCCAATCAAAGCGGTACTGTTCTCGGTTGTGTAGGTGGCCCGTCCCAAACTCTGCACTAGCATGCCACAGGCTTCTGTCAACTCTCCGTTTGTTCCATATTTTTTAGAATTTTCCCGATTTCTCCTTGCCAGTTCTTTCAGATAATGGCCCGAAATAAAAAAATCATAAATCTGTGCTGTATTATTCAAGCACTGGAAGACTGCGTTAATGTAGCAGGAGTTGCCGTGATTCTGCAGACCGGTCACTGGAACAACCAGCCGACCAGGTGTCTCCTCCACGTAATGCACCACCGGTCGACGTCGCCGTTCACTCAGATTATCAGTGGATTGGTACTGACGAAATCTATCCAACAGAACTTTGAAGGATGATTTGCGGCGGAGTTTTGGTTCGGACGCACGGGACTCGTTGTCAGAGTTGCGGAGAGATTCGCCCGGAACCAGCGGAACAGCACGCTGATCGTTTTTATTATTGTTGTCCTCCGATTTCATTCGCATGAGAAAAGCCCGCGGAAGTGTCACAGAGGAGCCAGATCGGCGTGGAGGTTTCTTCTTCACGGCGAATTCGTTCATCAGCGTCTCCGACAGGACTGACTGCTGTTGACCAGACGTATTGTTTGCAGGCGGTCGGGTCGGATTGAGCAGAACGGCGTGATCGTCATCGTGGCCTTGCTCGTTCGGAGGAAAGCTAGAGCTTCCGTTGACCATGTAGCCCCGACTGGAAGCCATTCCCACTAATGGCCCCGTACTCTTTCTGTGCTCTATTAGGAAAAACATAACGTTCAACAGTGGCGGTACATGTACGTTCTATATATAATCAGTATTTTAAATGGCAGAACAAAGTACTGCAAAGCGGGGAAATGCTACTTTACAGATATGTTCGCAATTTCGCATGACTCGCTCAAGCTACTATAGACTTGCTTCTTTCATGTGTGACATTGTGTGTTACTCAGCGAATTCGACGGCCCCTCTTCATTTCGCCTACTACATTACTGCTGAAAGGCTCGAAATAAATAAAAAGGGAAGTAAAGTAATGTATCACAAAAATCAATGAAAACCAGAACAACAAATTCCTTCTATGGTCGAAATCAACAAATTTGTACAATACATACCTGCACGTTATCAAGTCGGCACAACCGCAACGTGCCTGTTGTGCACATTGGTGTAGCATCCACTTATACAGGGAATCTATGCAGGATTCACGGCTCACCTGCAGGATGGATTTGCAAAAATTTAATGAGACAAAACCTTGAAGCTGGAGAGCGTTATTGCTTCATATTCGCATTCAGAATGCCAGATTCACGCTCTACTGGCTCTACATCGTGAAATTTCTTTCCTTAAAGTCACTAAAAAGTTTTTCTTTCTCTAATCACAACAGAACATCAAAACGCACAACTGAAAAAAGAAATGCGTAGTAAACTAAACAAACAGTGTTTTTCAGCTCCAAGTTTTTTATAGGTGAAGTTGTAATGCAGTACATAAATGGCATCTCTGTATTGCTAGTCTTGGGGTGAGTGCTCCCTATTACGCCTTCACTACTGTATAGAGGATAAAGCAGAATCATAGCAGATGCGCCAGATACGTTTTACGAAAAAAATATTTTTCTTTGTCACACCTGTTCATAAATTTTCAAAAAAATTTTTGGTAGGCTATCACTCTAATAACTCTCTGACTCATAACAGAGAATCTTTTTATAGTTCATTATTCATGTGTAGTTCAGTAGTTTAGTTAATATTACGGATAATCACTCTGCAGTCTGCAAACTTCTGGACCTTCCGCTACGCTTCGTTGCAGCGATCCAGACCATTCGTCCGAAATCAGGCGAAATGATTCAAGAAAATCATGAATTCCTTGACTGCGTTCGAGGATAACGCCATCATGACGGGTATTATTTGAGTATCTGATGCGTTTATTGTGAACGTTGGACTATGCATTTCATCTGCTTTTTGTTGGCGTTTGCGTCTGCAAAGGCGTCTGTGGACCTGTTTACCACCGTAGCCGAAAACAAAAAGTTAATCGGTACGTGACAAGACATTCGATGAATGGGATGGCTATCCGTAAATACCTGGTTTTATCGCCAGGCTTAACCTTATTTGACAGAGTACCATAAGTTAATACGAAGTTCCGATTGACGATTAGCAATATTTTAGCAGCGTTAAATAGTACTGACGGCTTTGAGATGTTGTAAAGCTGATTGTGCTTAAATACGAATACGAAAACAGTATCTGTACAAGATTACACATGCAACGGCATGGCGATCACGCTGTTACGATGGCTTGGTTCCACTTTTAACTTTTTCTTTCACAAGGGCTGACGGATTCCCATACTAATCATACTAGCATTTATAATCAATGCCAGTACATGATTTTCGCAGGCGTGGCGGGGGAAATCTACTATCTGCGGGATTTGCAAATTAATGAGCAATCCGCCAACTATAATCTGCACATAAAAGCCAACGTCTCATCTTTACAGTTTTTCTGGAGATCAAAAGGAGCCCTAGTAAGTGCAATTTGTTGCATTAATGGTTTTGCAGTGGAAGATTTTTGAGTTTTGGTCACATAGTGACATCAAATCCATTCAGATAAGTACTTGGAGTGTCTAGGCGTACTTATTGTATTATATTTAATGGCAAGCTGGGATCTTTTCAGTTCTCTCGTGTGTGTTTGTTTTTCTTTCTGTCCCACCATTCGTTTGTCTAACTACTAGCTTCGAATGTCTGTGTGGTAAACAGTTTCAGTTATACTGCAAATTCAGAAGCTATAATTCACGAAATTTTGTTAGGCAAAATACTCGTTGGATGTCAGTTATACAAATCAAGCAACAACAGTTTTGGAGAAATGGTCATCGAATATTTCTGCTGCGGGTGTAGTTCCGAAGCGTTTGCAGAGTAAGTAGCATGTTTCTGTCGCGAAGAATAATTGAGTAACTTGGTTGCAGTATACGTATATAGTGGCAAACGCTTGTATATTTTGAGAAATTTGCCGTGTGCAACAAAAACAGGTGTTGTGAATTTGACAGGTTTTATCGTTACTCTGCCCTGCGCCGTCAAAGCAGATGTGGCGGTGGACGTAATTATCCAACTTAACATAACAATCGGCCAGGAGGTGACGAGACTCGCTCTGCCGCGCAGGAGATTTTGCTCCGCAAGTAGGTCCAGCTTGTGATGCTGAACCGTCAGATATGTCATAACAATTATGTAATGTGATTTCGTTCGCAAATTTTTGATGGTGGTACAACGTATGTTACAGAACCCCAGGCGGACGCTGTTTCGACTATCGAAGATCCTGCTCTCAATGTTAGCCGGTTGAGTGACGATGATAAATATTTTAATTCCGTTCAGCTTACTCAACCAACGACAGTCGCGACCAACAGGCCGGTCATCACCGCTGTTATTATTGCATCGTTGTTTACAGTTTTTGCAAGTTTTATTGTGCTAATCTGCTGCAAATCCCGACCGAAACCTGGCTCTGTTCCCGTTACATCCGATGAACTGCTTTCGCCACCATTGCTGGATATGCAGCTGCGGGAAGTCGAAGAGTCTAATTTTTCGCCTCAACCGCGAGTGTATCCATCCTTGCAGCTCCAGCCGAATATACCCGAATCAGACCAACAGCTGTATGATGATAATTATTCTGTCCGAGCTCCATCTGCTCTTCATCCTCCTTCCTTGGTCCCCACGTCCTTGATCCAGCCCTCCTTGGTCGGACCCGTTTCGGTTGATCCCATTCAGCGTAATCCACTAGATTTCGAAATCAGTGGTGACTATGTGGAGTGTGGTGAATTAATTCAGAGTGGAGCATTTGGTGTTGTGCGGATGGGTTACTTGAAACTCCCGGGTCAAGTGAAGCCGCCTACAGATATCATGATTAAAACTGTGAAACCTGATGCGACGCCCATGCAGAAAAGATTGCTGTTAGAAGATGGATTAATGCTGCGTGGGCTGCAGCACCCCAACGTGAGTCCGCTGCTGGCGTATGTTGACCGGTCTGAGTCGCCGATGGTTCTCTATGTCGGATTAGGACAACTGAATTTAAAAATATTTTTTCTGAAACCTATAAACCGCCATGGTTTGGGTATTTCCCATTTGACGAAGTTTGCTGTGGATGTTATTAACGGGTTGGAGTACCTTCATTCCAAAAACATCGTCCATAAAGATTTGGCGCTGCGAAATTGTTTGTAAGCGTTTGTCCTGATTTCCGTCGTTAGAAATCAAATTTGTCATTTACGTTCGTGTTGTGAAAACTTCATTTTTAGAATATCTCCTGATCTGAAAGTGGAGATTTCTGATAATGCTCTGGCTCGCGATTTATTTCCGGAGGATTATCATTGTTTAGGAGATAACGAGAACCGACCATTAAAATGGATGGCTTACGAGAGCCTAACGGTTGGAGAATTCCATCGTCCCAGTGATATCGTATGTGTCAGTAGTTACTAACGCGCACTAAAGTTTTTGGTGAATAGATGTACTGTAAAACTTCCATGTTCCTGAAAGAGACCAGTTGATACTGAGTTATTGACTAACAGCAGACAGTGATGATAATTTGGTTTTTTCTTTCTACAGTGGAGTTATGGCGTGTTGGTATGGGAGGTACGTCTCTAACTCGGTCTTGGTTCCGCTCTTTCTGATCAATAATTTTTCTTTCAGAATACTGAAGAATGTATTAATTTTTGAAAATTTGTATTATTTTTTTTACAAATTGTATTAATTTCTTGAAAACTTTCAGTTGTTAACGTATGGTGACATGCCTTACGCTTTAATCGATCCTTTCGAGATGGAACTGGTTTTGAAAGACGGATGGCGACCTCCTCCTCCAACTGACTGTCCAGAAGACCTGTAAGTTTGAACACTATTACAGTTTCTCGTCTCTCAAAGAGTTGAATGTTATGTTACAATGATATGATTGAGTTACGCATTGTGTTCGACGTCGACAGTACTTCTATCCTTCATGAAATCTCGTTTAATATGATGTTGTATCGTATAGGCGAAAAATTATGCTGGCTTGCTGGACGTTGGCGCCCGAATCAAGGCCACTTGCGGAGCAACTCAACTTCGAGCTTACTGCATTCAACTGTAATTTAATGAATTATGTGTAAATGTTGTTTAATATTGGTGGTTTTGTACTATATAGTGTTTATAACTGTTGCACAAAATACAGCTTTCTTGCTGGTTTGACCAAAGCATTTGTAGCTTCCTTTGTGTTTTTAAACCAATGAAGTGGAAAGGCAGTCTTTCGTAATTTGTTGGAGGCTGCTGGTTGTTTTTTTTGTTATTTTTAGTGGCGACTGCTGTATTGTGCTTTAATTTGCACACTCTGTAAGGCATGCGCCCCGGAAACGGTGATGTTATGTAATTCCAGTTGTTTGCCAATCGTTTGCACTCTTTCTGGAAGTTGTATGCCAGAGTTTGTTCATAAAATAATTTGTACCGTAATAGTTTGCAGTTTATAATTTATTTGTTTATTTATTTTAATTACAGCACTTTTGTTGTTGTTAGATCAACATTAAACGTGCGAGAATGTTTTGGTGTTTAATCTAAAGACCTAAGACCTTGGTTTCAAAACTATTCAAACTGACGCGTATGGCCGTATCGCGTTTGGTTAACTGCAGTACTCTAGTTAACTGTTTATGTATTGTACTTTTTTTATGCACTTTTAGTACATTTCACGTTGCTGCTGAAAAGATTATCAACGCGCACTACTCGTATTGGTAGTCCGCAACAGGTTCTCAGTATATCTGTACAAGTCTTTTTGTTCAAGAACAGCGAAAAGAATTTCGACGATCATTTAAATAAATTGTTCTCGAAAACTACAAGAATTTCTTTAATGCGGGGTATCAAACTTTAGAAGTATCCAAAAATATCCATGCTGCATTGTAAAGCCGGGAGTTGGAATAATCATAGTAATTCACTGATCTGAAACACGACAACTGGTTGACAACTAATAATTCAGTCAGGGACGCTTCGTTTTCTGGCTCTATTCGAAATTGTACTTACTTGGAACAATCGACGTTGAAAAACCAGTCGCTAAAACACAAATAGTAATGTAAAAATTCATACAGTGTACTGCCGAACCCTATGTTATAAAAATAGTAAACAAGTCTCAAACTTGACGTACCAAGTAAGGGTAATCTGGTTGAAAAGTGTCGCATTCGGGCAAAGGTAACTCCACTGAATCGAGTTTGCATCGCAGCGGCGAATAACTTGACACCGGCTACTGGGGTCAGCGTCAGCATAAAATCCAGGCTGATTTACTCGTTCACAGCTGAAACTGGTGTCGGGAATAGTTACCAAATTCGGATAATCCTGTCCAGGGACAGCGGCCGAGAGAATCTGCTGAATGGAGGTCACATCCATTCTTTCTCTGCCGCGGAGGTCATCCAACGCAGACCATACTGATGGATTCTGAACGCTGGGTTTAGTCAGTACCTTGAAGTTGGCAGCAAACTGTACTCCGTCTTGTTGATTGCCCGCTCCTTTAAGTGCTCGCGCTTCCTTGATCGCTCCTTCTACCAACGCGTTGTTATCAGCAACGTCAGGCACCACCTCGAAAACTGCGCTTTCCGTGACCGTATCGATGCCTTCTTCCGGAATCGGAGCGAAAAAGGCAACCGTCTGGTTGTCTGCGGCATCGTTTGTGGATGCACCCATTATTCTCAATTCAGAATCGGCAGTGCTGTTCAGTCCTGAAAAACCCTTTACCTCGGATTCGCTGATATTTGTTACAGTAGCAACTGCCGGCAGTTGTGATCCCAAGGTTATTACAGCAGTGACTGTCGCTGCACCAAGATGTGCAGCGCTAATGTTCGTAGGAGGAAACACTGCATTACCGCTGCCAAAAACTGTGCTGTTGTCCAGCTGCTCCGGCACTGGAGACTGCTGTAACTGTATATTAAGAACCTGTACTGTACTCTGGTTTTCTTTAAGCGGTAGCGGTTGGACCAAGAAAGCAGGTTTCCCGACAAACATGTCGTTTGCATCGATATGCGCTATCATTGACGTCGTTGTTGGTAGAACGGGCTCAATTTGATCTCCCGAAGAGAGAACTTCACCGACTGTTCCGTTCACATTAATTGTGGAAGACATAGGAAGACCGGTCGTGGCTGCTGACGGCGGTTCTGTAAACGTCGGGTTTGTCATGAGGTCACCAGCAGATAAAGTGTTGTTCAGTAGCTCATTATTTGCAGTTCCCGTTGAAGAAGACACCGGTGTCTGAGCGTCGATTACTAACTGCAACCGATGGAAATTCACTGGCGTTGCATCGGTGTTTACAGGTAAAATGAGTTCTTTAGTACTGTTAGCGGAAATCTTTGGTGGCATTGTGATTCCGTTAACTGATACAGTTGTCTGCAGCTGAACACCAGTAATGTTACCGATTGTATTTCCCTCAGGTTGTACAAGTATAAGGTCATGATCGGATGCGAGCAGTGTTGATGAAGTCTTCACAGCGTCTTGTGCAGTTGTGACATTAGTGCTGCGTGTACCGGAAGCTAGTGTGGCCGAGTTATCGAAAGGACTGCCATTAAGTTTTATGCTGGTCGAAGAACTTCCTTCTAGTACTTGTGGAGTGATAGTGAGTTTAATTGTTCCGTTTCCGAGAGGAAGCCTAACCTGGACGTTCCCAGATGGAGATGGAATGATCAGAGATGGAGCGGAAGTTTGCAATGATCCCATGCCGGTATCAGCGCTAAGGTTTCCGCCGGCAGCGCTGGATTCGTTCTTTGTCTCTGTACCTTCTTTTTTCTCTGTGGAAGTAGATGCTAAATGGGGAATTATGACTGACTGCGATTTATTGGATGCAGATAAGCCGGGCAAATTTTGCACTTCGTCATCTCGAATCGATACCTGCAGAGAAACAACTACAAATTATACGAACCGTAGCTATACAGTATGGACTAGATGATATACAGTATTCTATAAGATTCTAGTGCAATAGTTAACCATTACAGTTTACTTATTCGTCAGTTTTGTGTAAACATGTGATGATGTGGCATGAAAAAAATATCTTAGTTGTCGCTTGAGTGGATCAACAAGAAGTGGTCGCCCCGCTACCTAGCATCTACCTGGGATACAGCACTGCAAGCGGCAAAAATCGTTAAAATCAAGTAGATGATTCGCCCCGTATGATGTCCCATTCTATATTGTGCCCGGATAAATTAGAGAGCGGGATAATGCGCTATTACTAGTATTAACTTGATGCTGTTAAGCCAGGGAATCAGTAACTGGGCAAAACTGGCTTCTTTAGTTTTTAAAATCAGTTTTGGATCAGACGGCGCCGATTTATATATCCGCATAACGCATTCAGCACAAAGCCTATGATATCGGAAATCAACATACACTGTACTGACTGTAGTCACAAAAACTGCTTACCTAACATGCAATTAGTCGATCACTAGTGCTTGATGCCAGGTCTGACCAACAAATGCTTGTAAGGATTTTTCCCGCATTCATACGGATGAACATATCAGTGCTATACTACGTACGAGTAATTTATTTGTTATTTTGTTTGTATAATACACTGCTTATGTGTAACCCTGCAAAGTTTGTCCCAATACTCATAACTCATAACCAATGTTTCCTATACAGAGCAGGATTCTGCACTACTTTGGGACTTTCATTTGTTATACACTAAGCCGGCAGTTAACGCTTCATCGAACGTAAAGTGAGAATTGCAATTTGCAGCCCTGACAATGATCTGTCACAAGATTTACTTACTTTTCTTGCACCCGATTTTTGCTACCGATACTGTAATTTCTACATTATTGCACCCATGAAAAATGGGCTTACAGCGCGATCGTACGGCAAATTTTTTAACTTTTTTCGCTATCTCCTAAATACTTGGAAAATCGACGGCCAATGCATCACAACATCCCACACTTACACTGCAGGATCGGAGCGCAACAATCTTAATGCTGAGAGCTAACCGGTCGAATACACAGATATGCAGATATCTACGTATGTTACAGAACAGTCTCATGATCATCTACTCCAGATTCGCTGTCGATGGCGCCGTTTCCAAGCTGAACTTCAGCATCTCCAGATCCAATGTTGTATATACGTAGATTATCTCGTACTCTGTGGCTCGCTTCAAGCCGGTTTCAAACTGTCGCGTCTTCCCTACCCTAGAGTAGGTCAGCCACAAGCAACAACTGAATGTGCGACAACGTCAAGATCGAGATGCATCGGCCGATCAGCCATAATAATATACCGTAATAATAACCGTATATCCCAAGGTAGCCCTCTTTTTCCAACGAGGTTACGTTTGATGGGTTGCCAAACGATTTAATCAAGAGGTTTCAGGGGCTCAGTTCGTTTTCACTCCGCCTCGAAAATACGATTATGTTTAGTCGTTCTTGGACTGGTTTTTGTCCCGCGCTGCATTTATATACAGCTGGAGCAGTGGTAGCCAAGGCCGTCCGCTACAGTAGGTTGCCGAAAATATGTACACCGGCGTGGAATGCATTATGCATACAAGTACCGGTACTCCCAAGCGTAGTATTAGAGCGACTCTTGGGTTGGATTGATCTAAAGGTTCCAATGGACGCTACCGGAACTGGTCCGGAAGTGCTTTGAGCCTTGCGCTGATTCTGAAACATTCGGGCCTGGCGGGAATCTCCTTGCTCGCAGCTGGCAAGTGCGGCCTGATAATTTTGACCATTTCCACGTTTTTCTTTGTATTTAATTTTACAAATTCTTGACATGACGGAGTGGATAGTCAATGAAATAACCAAACAGTATCACCTAGTTTTGTCAATTTCCGGTTATTCACAGTCCACAACGAGTACGACCTCACCTGGCATGTGCATTGTGCAGACTTGTGAGCGCCCGCGGGACGCGATGTGTAAAATACAGCGCCTTTTATTGAAAACCTGTAGAGTTCGGAATTTTTGCCATTAAAATTTCAACTTTCCAACCAAATTTTGTACTCATCAGCCGCGATCAGTACTGCATCATTTTCAACAGACTAATGAGTAGGTCAATAGGAGGACCCGATTTTTGATTGCTTATCAGATCTTCCAATTTTTGATATTTTTTCCTGTTAGTCATAGTTCACGCATTGTGCTACAAGATGCTTAATTTCTTGTGATACAGGGTGGCGGGTGCTGTGATTTGTATTTGATTTGTATTTGTGAATTAAAGAAAAGGTTTCTTCAAGTTACGACGGTACGTTACGTCTGTCTGTTGATTTATCCAACGGCTTGCAAGGCAGCAATCTACGTATCAAAAATTCTCTAACATACAGCATACGATTACACAGTTCAGGTAAGAATTTTCGAAACTTCGACGGACACGGAAACGGCTTAGGTGTAAATGGAAATCAGGAAATGTGCGTAGCTAATAAGTTATACTGCATTACTCATTATTCAGAAGGATCTCTGACATCTTTCAGTTTCATCGAAGGACCATGTCGCTCTGCAGCATTGCACTGAGCCGTTCCTTGGCGCACCAGTTGCGCATCACCAGCTGCAGTTCTCTGCCCGTACATCGTGATGGTTTTGCGTCGTTTTCTGGAAATGGAATTTTACCAGCTAGCAAAACTGCAGGCTGCGATGAGTTTTTGCCAAGGAAGGGAATGCCGAGTATCTTCGTAAGAGGTGTGCAGTCGACAGCTTCAGGCCAGGAACAAGAAGTAAAGCGTAAACGTCCGCCAACGGCCTACAATCTCTACTTGAAGAGCGAGCTGCTGGCGCACCGCGGTGGGAAAAAAGGTGAACACAAGGAAGCGTTTATTTCAGCTGCGAAGAACTACAAACGCCTCAAGACAGCTGAGAAGAAAAAGTTCGAAGATCAAGCGGCTCAACTGAGAGAGGAATATTCACAACAGAAGGCGGCTGAGGTAAGTATTCAAAGCTGTTAATTGTTTAATCAACATTCTTTGGCGATTTCAGTACTGTAACTTACATAGAAATATTAATTACTTGAACTTGGTTCTGGTCGGTAGTTGGTCCGAAAGCACAGAAGTTGTTGCATCGGGCAATTTGTAAATTTAACCACATTAGTTAATAATGAATGTTATAATCGTTATGGTGTCGTGCAGGTAGCTGGTAGATTTGGTAATCAGTGATCTGTTACCATCTGTATAAAGGAACAATGTTTGGAGGATAACTCGAGACACTACTATCGTTCTAGGAGGGACCCAAGCGTAGCCTATCCTCGTACAATTTCTACGTTCGTGACCAAGCACCTAATCGTCCGAAGGACCAGAAGATGGCAGACTACGTGAAGGTGTTGGGAAAGCAGTTCCAACAACTGGATTCCGCCGAGCGGGCCAAGTACGATCAACTCCACGCCAAGGACGTTGCACGGTACCAGGAAGAAAAAGCAGCCATGCCAGAAAAGCCTAAATCATACAAGCGCCCTCCCACAAGCTATGCGTTATTTCTCGTCGATTACGGCAAAGCTTCCAGAGGAAGCGGAAAAGCCATGCTGTTAAGTGATGCCGGCGTGGAATGGAGGGCTATGGATGACGCCCGTAAAGCGAAGTATGAAGATCTCGCAAAAATTGCTAAGGAGGAGTTTAAGAAGGCTAAGGGAGGCCAGAAGCCGAATGAGCAGAAAAAGAAGTAACTTTCATTAAATGTTGGAATGTTTCCCATTCTGTTAGGTAGGAAATGTTTTGATTTTTTTACACTGACTGGTAGCGCTCTCTGGACAACGTTCCTGCTGTACAACTTTGTTGATAACTTGATATCGTGTAACGTGTTTCTTGATGCCTTCTCATTTGCAGCATTTATGCAAAGTTTTGCGTTCCACGCTTGATGTTCTAAGGTGGGCTATCAATAATAATCTTCTAGCTGCATTCGATTTCATATGTGGAAGTTAAATGTGTAGTCAACGCGATCATATGCTAAACATTTCAAATTTTGTCGGCATTAAGGCTGGGGCACAAAAATCGCTTAATTACACTCATGGTGCTTAATTAATTCAATTTTTTCTTACTTATATTTATTTTCCTTAATTAATTTTCGTACGTATATTTATTGTTAAATAGGATCATTATCAGCAATTGGCCAACACTCGTGTGACTCTCGTAAGGGTGCATTAAGTTTATTTCACAATTTATGTCCATTCGCCAGTTGTGTTCACTGGAATGCAATCAAATGCTGATGGCATTAACGGCAATAGGAAGCGGTATTATGGGGTCGATTCGCTTGTTTGATCTGCATTCACAAATGGAAATGAGGTAATCATATTGAAATACAAGAAACAGCCTCGGCTTCGCCTCCGCGTTTCTTGGGTTCTAAACTCCTACGCCCGTTTACGGATTGTTAACTTAGAACGGATAAATCTGAAGAGCCCGATAACAAAAATTTTATAAAAAAATGGATGTTTAGGTTTCGTGCAGTCGAACGCAATTACTTTTACTTTACAGATCATTTTTTGTTAAATTTTCGTAGCGAAAAACCATCCGAATCTAATCACCCATGAGAGTACCACATTACAAACTAAAAGGACGCTAAGACTAGACAATGGTGCTAGGTAGGTCACCCACTAAGAACTTAGCGGGCCCTCTTCTATTTTGCTCAGTAATATTGCAGTTTGGTCATACGTTCACCTAACGGGATCTATGCACTGGACAGTAGTTGTAACTCGGTCACTAGATCACTTAACGGAGTTTATGCGCTAGACAGTAGTGGTAGCTCGGTCCCTAGAGCATTTAACGAAATTCGTGCACTGGACAACAGTGGTAGCTCGGTCACGCGTTCACCTAAGGGGCTCTGTGCCCTGGACAATAGTGGTAGCTCGGTTACCCATCTACCTAACGGGATCTATGCACTGGACAGTAGAGATAGCTCGGTCACTATATCACTTAACGGAGTTTGTGCACTGGACAGCAGTGGTAGCTCGGTCACGCGTTCACGTAAGGGGCTCTGTGCCCTGGACAATAGTGGTAGCTCGGTCACTAGATCACTTAACGGAGTTCGTGCACTGGACAGTAGTGGTAGTTCGGTCACGCATTCACCTAACGGGCTCTGTGCACTGGACAGTATTGGTAGCTCGGTCACCCATCTACCTAACGGGATCTATGCACTGGACAGTATTGGTAGCTCGGTCACCAATCTACCTAACGGGATCTATGCACTGGACAGTATTGGTAGCTCGGTCAGCCATCTACATAACGGGATCTATGCACTGGACAGTAGTGGTAGCTCGGTCACTAGATCACTTAACGGAGTTTGTGCACTGGACAGTAGTGGTATCTCGGTCATTCTTTCACCTAACGGGTTCTGGGCACTGGACAGTGGTGGTAGCTCGGTCACTTACTGACCTAGCAATTTTTTGAAGCACTCAATCACTAGGTGAGTGACTGACCGAGCTCCACCTGTCCAGTAAGGAAAATCGCTGGGTAAGGAGAAAAATCGCTACTCGTAGGTGAGGAAGTGACCCTGCTACAACTACTGTCCAGTGCACAGAGCCCGTTAGGTGAGCAAGAGCAAAGCCCGCTCGATGACTCACTCACCTAGAATTCCGCTCAGTGGGCAGTTATGGTGTTTCGGTCACTCACTTGTCTAGAGATTTTTCGTACTGGTCAGTGGTGGTAGCTCGGTCACCCACTCATCTAGAGATTCCGCTCAGTGGTCGGTGATAGTGTTTCGGTCACTCACTCGTCCAGTGATTTTTCGTATTGATTTTATATTTCATATTTTTACATTTATATCGGTTGATTTTAAACGTGTTTCGAGCTCGGCAACACCGTCAGCAATGTTTGAATAACGCGAGTGTTTGAATAAGTACAATAATTTATTTATTTTTCGGTTTAATTAGTGTAATAAGTATGTCAATTGGTGTTTTGTATTGTATCTAGGCAAATATTTCTAAGTTTCAAGGTGACCTTTAAGATGGGTTGGATCAATCTGGTCCTGATGCCGGCTTGATGCCGGCTCGATATTTTCATAAAAAAAACACATGCCGGCCACTTCTGAACTATCCCGGATCTAATGGCGTTGTCCGTTTTTCCAGAAGTTTTATGGTTATAGAGATCTCAAAACTATGGGGCGCCGCGCGTAGTATAGATCTTGTACTTAATACGAAGTTCATACGCATCCTTTGAGTTAAGAATGTTTAGAAACTAACATTTACTATGTTGTCAATCAGGTTACTGTTTATCAGTTTGACTAAACTTCTGTCTGTGTTGGCAGGTGATAAGCAACAATGTCAGTTAGCGAAATGATATGGTGTAATAAAATTCCCTTTTCTACTGCACATAATCCTGTCTCTGTCACTGATAACAACATTTTAGTTGGCCTCGCGCTAAAGATCGCTGATATGCTGCAGAACAATTCGTCTTTAGTACGGCAAATAACCTTCCTAATAAAAATAAATAGTTTATTAGAGCGAGCGATTAGTAGAGCGCTATTTCGCTGTCATATTTTGGGACTGCAAAGATGCTTTTCTAGATTTGCATTATTTATCCAATTTTTTACGGCCGAGTTGTTCCAGTTTGTTTGTACCAGCGTGCAGTATTTTGTCTGCGCTTAATAAGTGAGATTCCCCAAAAAATGGCCTGGTTAGGCCTGTTGATATTGGGGGCGTCGCTACTTGCCGGAAATGCGCTAGGTAATACCAGTCAAAGGATAACGTGCTCACGGTCATAAACAGATGTGATACTAATTAGTGAAAAATGAATAATACAACTCGTTGCGAATAGATGATGTTGTGGCGGGCACGTTTTACTGCAACTTCGAAGTGGACCTTTGCGGATTGCAGAACAGTCCAATTGGTGTTCCGTGGACACGTCAAAATAAGGCATACTTGCTATCTGAGCATATTCCCAATCGGCCAAATGAAGTGGCTGGCGGTAAGGAGAGCAGTATTTTAGACGAAACCGCAATCTACAAAAATTTCTCACGAGACAAATGTAGTTACCACCGTTGTCACCTTGGTCAACACAAATTTCGATATTTCGCCTGGTTTTTCAGATCAGTGGTATTTGTATTTGCCGCTTCGGCACACCAGTCAAGTGGAAGAGCCGGGTCTGGCCGTGGCCCGTACAAATATCTTAGCTGGAGGTTCTGCTCCAGTTAATCAAATGGCTGATCTTTGTTTGTCGTATTGGATATATATGACCACCGATCAGGAGAACGAATTTCGAATTTCGGCTGCGGAACCGGACGGAAGTGTATACCGGGTGCTGCAACGGTTTATGGGCAATGCGGCACCAACATGGAGATTCAAATATATTGATTTCCAACAATCTAATCCTTTTCAGGTGAACACAGTGGTACCAAAATTAATAACAGGATCGAAATTTATGCAAACTGCATATAATGCTAGTAGTAGACTAGTAGTTACTGTGCTTTATCAAACGGTGAACTTGGTACGGTTTTTCGTATACGGCCATCAACATAAAAATAAAAAAATCATCTACGTATTCCCGGAAATATTATTTGAGTGCTCGAATCATGTTCGAGTAAATTAATTTAATACTGGTTCAAAATGAGCATTTATTATTCAGTACAACTGTAAAAATATCTGGTGAAAATAAATACGCAACACAAGAAATGTTAAAGCAATTCTAGTGCAAATTTATGTTTGTTGCAGTTGGAGTTATACGCAATGATTTTGCCGACATCCACTTCGAATTTCTCTCAAATTGCTATTGACGATATTGGTTTAGCTCCGGGAAAGTGTCCTAACGGTAAAAAATATTTTTCGACGTGGTAACAGTGGCTTGGTCTGCTGGATTAAATTGCTATATATAAATATTCCTTTTGTTGGTTATATAACACTCTGCGTACATCTTATAACGCGTTCTGCAGGCCTTTTTAAAATGTGTAAGCTAAACTGAGTATTTAAAAGCACTGGAAATAGGAGGTCGCCGAGGTCGGATATAATCTTGATAGAAGCATGAATAACCACTTCACCCATCGTAACAAATTTTTTTAACATAGCGGTTGTCGGGAATCAGATCAGCTGTAACTTTGAGCAAGGCATGTGCGGTTATGAAACTGAAAATGACGACGGTGGCGACAATTGGTACCGTACATCCAAAAGCACTTCACCTTTGGGCCCGACCGACGTACCACAAGAAGATAGTACTTACCATACGGAAAATGGTGGGAAAAAACAAATACCTCGATCCTAAAGTTGGTTTCACAGGGCTGTTTCTGTATATTAAGGATATTACGCCTTTTTTCGTATCCGAAGAAAGACCGGCTCAGGAATACGAAGCGCCAGTCTGATCTCCGTACCGGAACAAGTAGTCGGCTCGCATTGCATATCCTTCCACTATCAAATCTCCCGGGTTACTCCTGGTTATTATCCGATAACATTTATGCTGAAAGCCATATATGACGAAACGCAAACCTCAACCATTTGGTCAACATCATCGGCATATGGATTTCGATGGGTGGCTGCTGAAGCCGAGTTCACTGTTCCGGAAGGAATCAATCAGCTGAAGCCGTTCAAGGTTTGTCATGACTTTCAACAAAAGCAATAAGGTCACACTGTTCGGCCATAGTGGTTCGGCTAGTATGGTATGTAGCTACTCATCTTTTTAGGTTGAATTTTTGACTTCTTCCCTATCTAATACAGAAGGTTATGTCGCGTTGGACGATATATCGTTTTCTACCGGAAAATGTTTAAAAACAGGTACGAAGATTGAGTCGGTTGGTTCAAGAAGCCAGTTACAGACCTAATGCAGCATCCAGTTTCAAGTGCACGTACTACATACGTACTGTATTTGAAATAATATACTTGAACTATTAACTGGACTTAGGCGACTGCACTTTTGATCTCAATGCTGAAAATCCCGATGGATATTGTGGCTGGGAAGTTGTTACGGGCAACCAGTTCCAGCTCAACATGATTTGGGCTGTCGGCCAACCCACTGGCCCAGTTAGCACAAGCGGTAAGTTCCTGTATAGATGAATCACCTTTCTGGCCTGATGGTATAATATACCTTCGATGTAGGTGATTATCTTTATTTCCGCGGTGGACGTGGATCGGGAAACATGTTGAAAGCCCGCGCTCTTTTGGCTAGCGAGCAGATGGTCTACGATACAAGCAAATGCATGACCTTTCAGTATTACATCAACAAAACTGGCGCGGCGGAAATTCGCATCCACCAAGTTCAAGATATCGATCAAGAAAGGATACTGTGGGCCGACGACGGACGCGTATCGGAAGGCGACACATCCACGGATTATAACGGATGGAGACTGGCCCGAGTGCCGTTGTTGTCGCTGAATCACGCAAATTTTATCGTAAGAAGGGAACTACTTATTGGCTCATAGTTGGGTTGCGTTGCATTCGCAGCGCATACAGTACAATTTTCAACGTTATATTATCCAAATAAATATTCTTCAGTGTTATTGCGACTACCTATGCTGTTAAAAAAGATTCGCCCTTTAGGTGACCATTGAGGGAATAATTCGGCGCGAAATCTCTGACCAGTATATTGTAGGAATCGATAATGTTAAGTTCCTGCAGGATCCATGCACCCGTATGTACATAATTATTGTGGCACCATATTCTTTGTTAGTTGGGTTTTCAATCGTTTCTTCTGTTCTGTAGTGGCCCCTCCAATTGCTGCCCCTCTACCGATCGAAGAAGTTCCCGAAGAACACGGAGGTAGCTTTGTCTGCAAATTCATGCGCAATAGTTGAACGAATTTTCAGCGGTGTTGTTTTTAATTAGCTTCCGTCTGCAACTTTGATAACGATGACACAAATGAAGATTGTGGTTACATCACGGATGAAGACGCTACGGCGCAGTTTCATATCCGAACTGGTAACACTCACGACGAGTATTTCAGCGAGCACGCACCGATGTTTGATCGTACCACCCTGGAGGAATACGGGCGCTACCTGTATTTCCCCCCGATCAAAGCCGAACGCGGAACATATGCGCGGCAGATTTCGCCGGAATATAAGCGAGAAAACCCGGCCGATCCACGATGTTTGAAGTAATACGCAAAGCTCGTCACATCGTCTCAGAAATAATGGATTACTGCTTTCTCAGATTTTGGTATTACTTCCGCGAAGGACCCGGTGCTGGACAGCTTAATGTGTATGCGCGCGTTAACGACACGGATAACTTGGTATGGACTTCGGCTGAGAGCACGTGGTGGCTGAATGTGGCGTACGAATGGTCACTGGCCAGCGCCAGTATTCCCGCAGCATCCACGTTTCGGATTATATTCGAAGCCATGATTATGGAGGATAACGGCTATTTGAGTGCCGCATTGGATGACATTACGGTGTCCATGACTGAATGCAAGGTTATGGGTATGTCATAATATTTTTATATTGAGTGGGCTGGACGGTCAGTGACCTTTTTGCCTCTTTAATGTGATCCGTTTGTGCTCTAGATTGTGATTTCGAAGAAGGATTTTGCAGTTGGCACAATTACTTTGATTTCTTTGGAACGGCGGATTTGGCGTGGGAGTTTACCAATGAAAATCTTATCCCGGAAGTGCAGAATCCGGCGCAGCCACATGGCCGGTTTATCTTCGTCCCCGTGGAAAGCACAACGCCGGCCGGTCACCAAGCCATGCTGGAGCATTACGAAGTGATGAAATCCAACGAACACGTGTGTCTACAATTTGACTACTACATCACCGCGGTGACAACGGGCACGCTGGCACTGTACTGGTACGACAAGGAAGGCGAAGTGGTCGACTATACGAAAATCTGGACTACCGAGCAGACGAGAGCATTCGGTGCATGGCAGACCGGGCAGGCACTGATCCAGTCGAATAAAGCATGGAATGTCATGTTAGTGGCCACCGCTCGACCGAACAATTCCACCATTCCCGCCGAGAAGCTGCAGATTGTAGCGCTTGACAATATCCGACACCGCATCGTTAGTGATGCTCAGACGTGTCCTTCGTTGCCGGTGAATTCGCTGGTAACGACGACCACTACGCCGGCAACGACTACGGTGTCCTCGCCGCATTCGAATAACTCCATCGTTTACATGTGCACCTTCGATGAAAATCTTTGTGGTTTTGAAACTGACCCGGCTTCCACGATCGAATGGCAGCGCTTGCCGGAAGAGTGGACGGTTCCTAATCGACCAAGTGCAATTAGAGGCATGTCTGGAATATATATATAAACGATTTTGATTGAAATTAATGCGTTTTTTTTCTCGAAAAACAGGCAACAAGTTCCTGTACGCTAATTTCTTGAATGAAGAAGCAGTGTACCGATTTGGCTCCATCACATCGCCGACAATTGACGTTAACGCCAACGAAAACCAGTTTTTCTGCATTCGTTTCTGGGTGTTCATGGACAGCTTCTCTGATAACCGATTACTGGTCTCACTGGTTGATGGACCAATGCAGCCGTTGGTTCTAGAAACCTTTGCCGGTGTCGTGCGTCCTTGGACGGTCAAAAGTATAAATGTTCGACGCAACAAAAATTTCCAGGTTGGTGGCTAACGATTTTCGTCAAACTTTCGTACTCTGTTAATTTAGCGATGATTGCCGATGAATATATTGTAGATTCGACTATTTGTGCAAAATGCATTGGATCTTGATCGGTACGAAGGAGTTGCTGTCGATGAATTTATCGTGGAAAACGGGAAATGCTCGGCAAATGGTAATACGATTATCACGCTTTGGTATTTCCAAATTACAGCCATATTATAAGCTTTAAACTTGTATACCCTTACTTTTGTTTGACTTACAAAATTCTCCCATACACTTTTAACCGCACCATCTGTTACTTTTTCCATTAACACTATTATCCCAAGCAGAATAGATTTTTCCAAACTACGCAATAAATTTTTGTTGTCGACACAAAAATAACTCTTTTCCTCGGCCAGTAATTTCTGTTGATATTTTAATTGCGAACCAAAAAGAAGGGCTGTAAACCGACTGCTGACCTGTGTTTTATTCGCAGAGCCTACGCCGACCTTCGAATTTTGTGATTTTGAAGAAGGGCCCTGTAAGTTTAGCGTCGGGTCAACCGTGGACAATTTCCACTGGCGGATCACAAACGGGCACGATGTCGAGACGGACAGTGATGCATTTATAATGTCGGTCAAGCCAACCGAAGACCATACCTATAACGCCCCAGGCGGTATATTCATACCATCTGCAATATATTTTGCTTTCATTTTATGCAATACCGTTCTACGATATATAGGTCACTTCGGCTTCCTGTACCTTGGATCAAATACGGATGCGTGGACTGGCACTGGAGCCCAGAAAGCAGACATGAAATATTCGCCCATCCCAGCGCTTTCTGGCGATCAGTGCGTCTCATTTTTCTACCGTTTACTGAAAGGCTCGGTCAAGAATGGTCCGGAGTTGAAGGTTCTCATGAATGCGGGAGGAACTCAGCGAACGCTCTTCACGAGTAATATTCCCCACGGGCGCAAATGGATAGCTGCCAAAGCTAGCGTTCTTTCACGGGGGCTGGATGACACATACGACTTGGATGTATGTTCAACTGTATAATAAAGTTTGTATTTGAGTGACTTCCGGTAAACGTTTTCGTAACATTGGGGATTGACTTTTAGGTAACGTTCTCGGTTAACAGTGCAAAGGGAGCCAAAGGAGCCGTTGCGATTGACGATTTTGCGGTGACACCAGGCGCTTGCGAACACCCAGGCGATTGTAAATTCAATACTGGAAACAACGGAATATGTGACTGGCAGCATCTACCTCTTGGGGACTACGCCACGATACAGTGGACTAATCGTATGCCAGCAGGCGGACCGGTGTCGGACAGTGAGTTCACATATCTGTAAGTGTTCGCTTCCCATGATTTTTACCACTTTTTTGTGATGTTGTAGGCAGCTACCTGTTCATCGAAGGTGGCCGTCCTACCGGTCACCTTCCGGGATCGCGCGCCGTGTTGTACAGTGAATATCTTACCTGGCCACTGGAGCAAGCGATGTGCATGACCTTTAAGTTCTTCTCTAATGCTTCGGGTGCTGCGGCTGTGCGTGTACATCAGGTGGAAGATCCCAGCGAATGGAATCCACTGTGGGAAAATTATGGTCGACAAGAAGTGAACATGTCTCAAGGGGAATCGGTGTGGCATCCAGCGCAGATTCCGTTGCAAAAGCCTAAAGATGGAGAGGAATTTTTGGTTAGGATCTGTTGCTGTCTGTCTGTAAATGTACATTAATAATTGCCTGCTGTTGTTCAGATTACCATCGAAGGGTACATCAAACGCGAAGTGGACGCTGTGTATTTCATTGCAGTCGAAGATGTTGTGTTCTTGAATCAAGCTTGCATTCGTAAGAATCGCAAGTAACACAGAAATGTGAAGTTTCCACGTATTAACTGCATTTCGGTATTTTTTTCTAGTAATGCCTATGGATTCAGTTCCGATTCCAACCGTGCAGCCACCTACTGATGATACAGGTACCTGGTACACTAAAATTTTCTGCTGACAAAAAACGATTATCAACGTTCTGGTCTAATGCTGGGCGTTTTTGCTAATAGCGAATGTGTGCACATTCGATGACAGCGATATGTGTGGATGGACTCACCAATCAGTCGGATCGCGTCCGTACAACTGGGAGCTTTTATCAGGTCGAGACCAGGGAAAGGACCCCAATGTTCCTCCGTTTGATCACAGCACAATGGAAAGTTTCGGTGAGTAACTGTAATTTACTCTGTAATCATAAGCCCTGGTAGTACGACGCGGTGTTGTGTGAGAATGACATTGGTTATTATTAGGGAAATTCTTGTATTTTAACGCAAGTGCGGCTCCATTGGCTGGAACTGCCATCACGAAACCATATACCCGTCAAAATGCTAACGATCCAACATGCCTACGATTTTGGATGTACATGCAAGGCCACAACCCCGGCGAATTACATATTAGTATGCAGGGACAGGATTTCCCAGAAAAGGAAATTTATGCCATTGCCGGCTGGGACAGTCGGCGTTGGAATCAGTACATGGTCCAGCTGCCGGTGGGAGTGAAGCAGTTTTTGTTAAAGATCGAAGGCAGAGACCAGTTGGATTTTGCTGACGGTGGAATTTCTTTTGATAATCTGGCTGTTTCTCCTGGAGAATGCCGACAAGTTGGTAAGTGGGCTACTGGGCTTGTAGCGGCGAATACGGTACATAATATGTACCGTATTCGCCACTACATATTATATTTGTTTGTGTCCACCGTACTTTTTATAGATAGTTTTGGTAACGTACAAGTTACGAATAACTTTGGATTGATCTCGCTCTTTAAATTATAATTACATGAGGATGTTTTGTTTGCAGACTGCAACTTTGAACACGGAATGTGTAGCTGGGAAAACTATTACGACGCTTCGGGAAAACAACAATATGATTTCGAATACGGCACTGCCAAGACGCTTGAAAGTGAAGACGATTCAGTAGATCGTGGTGTCTTCGTGTACCTACCCGTTCTACGAACCACCCCACGCGCAGCTCAGTCATTTTTGCGACACGATAGTTTTGTGGAAGGCAATGTGGAGCGAAATTTCTGCTTGCATTTTGACTACCTAATAACAGGAGAACAAGTCGGTCGTCTAACACTGTGGCATTACTGGGTCAACGCGGAGAACGGATACGATTATGCGACTGTCTGGAGTAGCCGCGGCGAACCAGAATATGGCTATTGGCAAAAAGGGCAAATTTACCTTGATAAAAATTCATCTTGGACGGTGCGTTGAGCGTTTATCTTTTAATTCTGGTGGTTTATTTGTGTTTGAAATCCGTTTTTAGCTGATGTTCGAAGCCGTCGGGAACGAACAAGGCGAGCTGACCTCCAATCGCTTGCATGGTATCGCCGTTGACAACATCCAGCACGAGCTGGTGTCCAGTGCTGACCTTTGTCCCCAGCTACCACGCCCGGCACCCGCTACAACTCGCCGCACCACAACGCTTGGCACAACCACGCCTCGTCCGACGTCCGGCATCGGCAACCCGATTTTGCAGTCGTGCAATTTTGACAAGGATGAATGCGGTTGGACTGTGGTGTCGGGCTCTACTATCAAATGGCACCGGGCTCATCAGACGATCACTAGTGGCGATGAGGCATGGGTTATACCTTATCGCACAGATAATATAAGTATGCAGATTTACAAGCATTCGGATAAACCCAGACTCTCACATCTGTAATGAATACTGACAGGCTAGCTAAATATAGGAATTCCGAGTGAGTGTGCTGCATACTTATTTACCGGAGGTTTTTTTTAGAAAATGATTATTTCCTGTTTGCTGAAACAACCGGAAGACCGAATGGGAATAAAATGGGATCAATCACGGCGCCGCTTGTGCAAGCCCAAGACCAGTCGTTAGATTACTGTCTTCGTTTCTGGGCTTATGTGGAAGCGCAAGAGAACAGTGAAATCAGCATTATCCGAAAAGATAACGGAAATCGTGAGACCGTTTTGGAGCGCTATCAAGGGGAAGCACGGCCGGAGTGGTCTGCCGAACATATCCCGTTCCAAGCAAAAGGACCTTTTCAAGTACGTGCTATACTGTTTTGCAGTTGCGAATTAAATAATCGCTAACGCTGTGCGTGCTGTTTAGATAATGTTTCGAGCCGACGCTCCTCGCGGAGCAGATGCTTTTGGAGTCGCGGCCATTGACGAGTATGTGCTCGAACTTGGAAAGTGCTCCAATGATCGTAAGAGCAGCTTTTAATTTCTGATTCAATATCGATGCTAATTGAAAATACGTGACTTTTTTACAGAACTACCTGAACATCCTGGTGTATTTTGCGATTTCGAGGAAGATGACTGCGGTTATGTTAACAGAGGAGGGGGCGAAATTGTCAGCTGGACTCGTACTTCGCGCGAAATGTTAGGCACCACCAGTGATCTGATGCTGATTGACCTTACACCGTCCGAGGACAATACTTTATCGTCCATCGAAGGACATTACGCTTTTGCATACTTAGGCCCCAAAATGGAAACCACCACCACCGCCGCTGCAACCTACTCATCACGGGTACACACGTTGCGCGGTGAACAGTGTGTTACATTTTTCTACCGGCACGTCAGAATCCCCAGCAGCACCAGCACGGCCAAACTGTCGGTTTCCGCCACCGATGGGGAGCGCGAGTGGACAATTTTTAACTCAGACATGGCGCACGGAAAGAAATGGGTGGGCGCGAAAGCTTCGTTTACGCCCATCAACAAGACAGCCGATTATCCATTCACTGTAGGTTGACTGAATCGAATTAAAAATCCGTTCAGTGTTGCTGTGTTAGTGTTAGTATCTTGATTTGGCGCCTTTTAGGTCTCTTTTATTGTATCCGGATTTCAAAAAACCCGGGCTGCAGTGGCGCTTGACGATATTGCCATCGTTCCCGAAAATTGCCAGCACGTAGGGGATTGCAGTTTTAACACCGGGAGCGTACAGCTGTGCATGTGGCAGCGTCATGTCAGCGAGGAATCGAAAATGCAGTGGAAAAATGGGCTTCCAAATGGTGGACCAGCTAAAGATAGTAGGTTCCGCGATTTTTCAGCTTCCTGTTATAAGATACATATTCTGCCATTTTTGTCCAGGTGGCTACATATATTTCCAAGGCGGTCCACGATCCGGAAATCCCATTGGTTCCCGCGCTCTCCTTTACAGCCCTACCATGTTCTACGAGGACAATCTGTGTATGACCTTTAACTATTTCATGAATTCCACCGGTGCGGCGGTAGTACGAGTTCATTTGGTTGAGCAAGTAACCGGCACGGGAAGCTATAATCCGGTGTGGGAGGATTATGGGCGAGACGAAGCCAACACCACCCTGGGCGGCAACGGCTGGCATCACGCGCAGATTCCGATTCCTTCAAATTCCGTTTCTGATTTTTTGGTTAGTGGCGGATAAACGAAGTGAACACTTATCAAATCAGTACTACAGCTGCATGCTTTTTCTAGGTTTTAATCGAAGGTGTCGTCCGTCGTGAAACAAACGTACCGTATTTCATGGCTATCGACGATATGGTGTTCTTACGGGGACCGTGTCCGCGTAAGTCCGCATACGTTTTATGTCGAAGAAGCTCGATTAATTTTATGTGGTAAAAATTTCAGTAACTCCAGCGGACGCGCTACCGATTCCCACTGTTACGCCGTCGGTCGAAGATGTTTGTAAGGAACATAATTGAAAGAAAAATTTTCGACTATGTCGTGCTCAGAGATCTGCTGTATTGTACGTAACATATATTAATTTTTTATTTAGCGGAGGTGTGCACATTTGATGACGATATCATGAACCATCCCATGTGCGACTGGCAACACGATACTTCGCAGTCGTTGAAATGGGAGATGCTGACCGGCTACGCTGGGCAGACATCGGCCAATGTCCCGACTATCGATCACACCACTGTGGAACCGATGGGTACGAGGTGACCTTGAACCATTTATTTTATTATGCACTAATGCCAATGGTATCATTTGCAGGAAACTTTTTGTATGCTAATTTAACCAACGTGAGAGTCAGCAGCACGGCATCGGTGGTCAGTCGGGGTTACGATCGTGTTAAAGCCGACGGATCCGCGCTGTGTAAAATTCTGGTATTACATGTTTGGCGATCGGATTGGAGTTCTAAATGTGCGTGGAACTTATGGGGACAACCAGGCATTCACGGCGTTCTCCCAAGAGACATTCTTTACGGGACGTTGGTACATGCGTGAATACGAAGTGCCCCTGGATATCATGAGCTTTAAGCTGAAATTTGACGCATTCGCCACAACGGATACTGGACAAGGAGGCGTTGCTATTGATGACATTGCTGTGTTGCCGCATAACTGTATTCAAGTTGGTAGGTGGAAAAAAATCATAATGTTTGTGGCAATCATAATTTAACCATACTGCTACTAGTATTCCAAACAACTTTAAATTCACCAGCTTGGTTTCTGCTGGTGTGGGTTATATTCGTTTTGTGAGATAGACAGGCATTCATTTTTAGAGCACATTCAATGTACCTGTTGCATATTCATTGACACTGAAATGTTTTATTCTAGAATGCAACTTCGAGCACGGAATGTGTAACTGGGAGAACTACTACGATGGAACCGGCAACATGGTTTTGGATTGGTTATATGGTGTGTCCGGTATGTTACCCAGTGCCGATGATGCGGTAAATCGCGGGATTTTCCTTTACGTCCCCGTCCGTCCATCCACACCAGCTAGGCAAACGGCTTTGATGCGTCATGATACGTTAGTGCTGCCGGGAAACACATTCTCCTGTTTCCACTTCGAATTTCTTATCACAGCACGAAATGTCGGGCGTATAACCATTTGGCTGTACTGGCTCAACCAGAATAATAACTATGATTACAAGCAAATATGGGTAAACCGAGGACTGAACAACATCGGAAAATGGCAGACAGGACAGTTTTTCATTGACCGAAGCGAAAGATGGACGGTAAAGTAACCGATGAATTCATGTTGTAATCTCTGTGAAGTGTGAATCTAGTGAATTCATGAAAACTGCGCTTATCTCGATTTTCCTTCGACCTATGGAAGCTGTTTGGTCTATTGTTATTTTATTTTGCAGTTGATGATCGAGGCTATGGCTAACGACCTGAACGTGACAATTCCATCAGGGTCACATGGTATAGCTGTTGATAACTTCAAACTCGAGGTCGTGCCTGACGCCCAGCACTGTCCAACGGTTCCGCAGGATGCTACGATCACCACTCCGACACCGTTCACGACGACGACGACGCGTCCCACGACCACGGCAGCACCCAGTAGTTTCGAATGCAACTTTGATGCTGGCCACTTTTGTGGTTGGACACAGCGAGACGACACCCAGTACAAGTTTTTGCTCGGCCAGAAGGGAAGCACCGAGACATTTGGGCCGGCTCTGGGTGATGATTCGGAAACCCGCGGTGAGCACCGGCGTTTGTTGATTGTTTCCTATACAACACCTTTCCCGTAAAACCGTGATGGAACAGTGTGGATTAGGTCACATTGAAACACAAGCTTGCGTTAAGACAATTGTTAAGCTGTTAAATGCAACAGTATTTTATTCGCGTTGTAGACGGGAAATTTATCTACATCGATGCTCCGAGTGGAACCACTGGTGACGAAGCGCGACTGTTTTCGCCCACCGTTAACCAGCGAACTCCATACTGCTTCCGCTTTTTCTACAATATGAACGGAAACGGAATGGGGCAAATCAATGTTTACACAGTCAGAACGGACGGTCCATCCTTTAGTACGACCTGGAAACCACCAAAGTCATTCACCGGACGGAATTACGGCGACCAGTGGATCGGTGCAGCTTGGACAATTACACAGTCCACCGTTAGACAAATTGTCCTTGAGGCTGTACGCGGAACCTATGCAACATCCTACATCGGCATCGACAGTATTTCCCTTAAAAATGGAGCGTGCGAAACTGAAGGTAAGCCCCGATATTTCTTAGTAATTTTACTGCACCTTATTAGGTTAGTTAAAATTATCAACACGCGTTAGTTACTGTATGAGAATCAGCACTTTCCAAAAACTATTACAGGAAACTGTGATTTTTCCAACGGTTGGTGCCAGTTCAATCCCTATGCCATACAGGGGATGGGGCACTGGGATGCGCCGCCCACGCTGTATCAAGCGATTGTTACCGCTTATATGTCCAACGGAGAATCGGCCATTTTCCGGACTGATATCTTACCAGCCCAGCAGAAGCTGTGTCTTCGGTTCAAGTTCATGGCGGATGCGAAAGCTGTCCTCCTTGTCAGATCCATCGAGGTATTGGGGCTTATGTTGCAAATCCGTTGTAACGGAACATGAATAATATGTGCAATAGTATCCACCGGAAGGATCTCGTCCACCCGCTGTCACGGATATTTGGAGACTAGAGGGCAGTTTGGAGCTGAATTCCTTTGCTTTTATCGATGCCCGCGCGCCAGTTACACTGGACAACAAAGGAACCAATCCCATTCAGGTGCAGAATTTTACGGTACTTCATACTGAAGTTGTGATTGTATTAAAACTCTTTGTATGGTTGCAGCTATCGTTTGAAGCGCACTTCCTTGATTTAACCGACAGTACGCCGGGACATCACCGAACTATTACGGTGGATGACGTATTTATTGATACTGCCGCCTCTTGTTCATGTATGCATCTTGGTATTCCGCTAAACATCTTTATGGTTTTGATATAGTTTGTTTTTTCCATGAACAGATGCTCCCGATTACGCTAACCCATCTGTCACAACGACAGCTCCATCTACAACATTGGACTTTACGGTCGAGACGGTGCAACCGTCAACAGAGCCTCCCGTCGAAACCCGTAAATGACTTTCTGATAGCTTGAAATTATTTGAAAAACTGAAACACGTTTCTTTTCAGCTGTAAGCAAGTATAACTGTAATTTTGATCAACGGAACTTGTGTCTGTGGACCAGCAAAAGCGGTATTCTATGGAAAGTGTCTAACACTCAAGTTAGTACCGCTTCGGGACCGACAACTGATCACAGCGGCAAGTGAACATTGTTTGCAACGGTTTTACTTCATTTGTCTATATCTAGCCGAAATTTTTCGGTTTGGTGAATTTTGGTAATATATTTTAATACTGGTTTATTGTAATCCTGTTTTGTGTTTATGTTTTGGGAATTGCAGGACACGGATATTTTGCTTATTTGGATCCGGCGAGCAATATTTTCACCACTTCGGGCCGCCTAGAAAGTCCCTATATTGAATGGAGCGGCAGCGAGGAACGACCGTCGTTTTACGTTTTTAGCTTCTGGTACTATATGCACGGAAGTGCCATTCACGAACTACGCGTTAACACTCAGCAGCGCGGCAGCAGTTTGTGGGAGAACAAATGGACGCTGCGTGGCGATAAGGGCAAACGGTGGTTCCTTGAACAGTTGGTGCTGCCGGTGGGCGTTGAGGACTTCAAGGTGGCTCTGGAAGGTGTTCGTAAAGAGGACTTCTTCTCGGACAGCAATGCATACATTGCAGGTACACACTATTTTGAACATACAAAACGTTTGCTTAATTATCAAGATATTGGTGTGTTGTAGTGGATGATATCATATTTGAGGCTGGAAAGATCCCTGATCAGTTTGACGACACGATCTGCGATTTCGATACAAATGCTTTCTGTGGTTATGCACCGGAATCGACGGTGCCGGCATTTATGTGGGCATGGCGGAATGGTGATGATACTGCCGCTCTTAACGATACCGGCCCACTTTACGACAAATCTCAGAATTCCGCATACGGTTGGTGAAATTATTAATGCAGTAGCGTACACAGTATACAGAAGATTGTAATGGTTGCTGATGTGTTACTGTGCGCTTAAGGTCACTACATGGCCATCAGTGCCAAGGATGCCTCGGTGGGGGATTCCGCGAAATTGTTTTCCACTCTTCACGATCCTACCACCGGTGTTTGTGTGAAATTCTATTACTACCGACGGTAAGGTAGTGTCTGTGTTTGGCTTTATTGAATACTGAGTGATTTATTTTGAGATTCTTTCAGCTCTGTGCAGTCGTTCTCGGGCATACTGGACGTTTACCTCCTTAAAAATCAAGAAGCAACCGAGTCAATTTGGTCGGACGAAAACATGATTGGTGGTGATTTCTGGGAACCAGTTATGCTAGAAATAGCATCCCCTGCTGAAAACTGGAAGGTTAAGGAAAGCTTTTAGAACTTTTCGGCCTTTTATTTAACACGGGTCGTAATGCTGCAGATCGTTTGGAACGCAGAAGTTGTATCTCCAGATCAGCCTGTCGTGTAAGTTGTATTTTTCTACATTCCTTTACAGAGTACGAACTATGTATACTAGTACTTCTGTATTCGGTAAATTTTAGGTTAAGAAACCGCATTATTTGTATCGTTTGGCTTGTGTAACACACAAGCAGGGTGACACCACGTTTAGTGTTCTCTCTCAGAAGTTCCATTTATTGACCTTTTCTGTATTGTTACAGCGCCATTGATCACGTTGTAATAACGGAAGGTTTATGTCCCCGAAATGTAATCCAATGCAGTTTCGACGAAGACACGTGTGAATGGTACAACGGTCTTTCGGACGACCATGTCAACTGGGTGCTGGAGTACGGTCCGTCACAAGTACAGGGAACCGGCCCGGATTCCGATGCTCTGAACGATGCTGACGGTAGTCATTTTGTACATTACTCGAGTACCGCAGTTAAGTTTACGCATTGGTAACAAAATAAAATTGCGCTCTTAGGAGGATATCTTCTGTTCGAAGCTGTTTCGGCAGATGTGGAAGATACTGCTCGCATGCTGAGTACCCCAATCGACAACGAAGGGCACGCGGCACTCTGTTTCAAATTTCATTATCACATGTTCGGAGTCGATGTTGGTAAGACCGGTTCAAAGATGCGCACGAATGTAAAGAAACACGTACTTACCTTACGTTGGATGATACAATTATGTCTATTCAGGTGAACTGTTGGTTATTCAAAAGAATCTCGTGGAAACATCGGAAAGGGAAATAGTTCGGTGGCAATTATTTGGTAACCAACAAAATCAATGGCATTCAGCGCAAGTGAAAATTGCTCCTGCAACCCGCGAGGCGCCTTATCAAGTATGATTGCAATTTATGTTTTGCAGTTTTTGTAATATTAAACTCCGATTTGCGGCTATGCCATGACATCTTGCCGAATTTATTTAAAATTAGGTAGCCGATGTACACAGTACGTGCAGTTCCAGCGCTTTTTTATTCGAAGAAATTTGTTCCAGATTGTTTTGCAAGCCAAGCGCAACGGACTTCTGGGCAACATTGCTGTCGATGAAGTGGACATGTCATATGTCGATAATGATGCGGACTGCAAACGTACGCATTTTTATCCGTTCTTATCGGCTAGTCTTTTATCAGTTTTATTTGACGAAATGGTTTTTTAGTGAAACCTGAAATCGCCGTTCCGCTGCCGACCACACCACCCCCCACCACGCTGCAACCGACACAAAATCCTAACGGTACATGTACATTCGAACAGGACACCTGTGGCTGGAACAGCGACACGCTGAGCGGTATGAAATGGAAACGCACGCGGGCGGCAACCCAAAACCTGATCGGCAACGGTCCAGCGGTGGACCATACGATACAAGAAGGCTCGGGATGGTATTTAGTGTTTGATCCTCGAACGGGCAAAGAGGGTGATCGTGCGCGAATACAAGGCGGGACGCTACAGGCACCAGCCTGTGTTCAGTTTTATTACCATGCCGCTGGACAACGCGTCGGTACTCTGAATGTCCGTTCCCACAGCGTACGTTTAATAAAGGATGCTTTTTAAAGCTTGATATTAAAATATTAGCTTTGTAATAATTACTAATGTAAGTTTTATTATTATTTCTGGCAGCGACCCCGGCTTATGCAGAAAGCAGCTAAAATTATTTTCTTATTCTATGTTTCATCGCAGTTATATTTAAGTCGTAACATTACGAGACCATTTAGACTGAAATTTAAAATGTCTGCGATAATTAGAGCACTGGAGGCGAAGTTGTTCACTGGAGTCGCCATTCACCAGATGATGGCGCAGTGTGGCAGTTTGGAGAAACCACAGTCAGCGCCCATCCCATGTCTCATGATGGTATATACCAAATTGTTTTCGAAGCCATTCGCGGAAAGGGCTCGGAAGACCAGATCGAAGGCGATATTGCTGTAAGGTCGTCGGCGAAACAAGCTCGTAAAATAGATTCTTAACCGTAATGTCTTACAGCTGGATGACATCACCGTTTTACCAACGCCCTGCCAAGAAACCGGTAAAATGCGATGATACCATTATTGTTAACCAAATCCACTGCCAAAAGAAATGCGCTTGGCTCTGCCACGAGCTTTACCGTAGATAACTTCCGATCAGCATCTGTACGGTTTGTTTGCAGTTTCGCATTGCACATTCGAGAATGGACTCTGTGGTTTTACGCATTTCCCTAACGAGGATGGCATGACCTGGCGTCGTGTGTCAATTAGCAGAACATTCAATACTTCGGAACCACCTAATCTAGCACCGCTCATCGATGTTACAACGGGCACTAAAGAAGGTATTCTTAAAAATAATAATTATTTAAAACAGGCCATAATATTTAGTGGCCGCTGGTTGATTGGCAGGTTATTTCCTAATGGCTAATCGTCACAACACCGCCCTGACCAGCTTAGCCCAGATCCGGTCACCGGTGTACGATTACACCAATGCCCTACAGGCCAACACGGACCACTGTTTCCGCTTCTACTACGCCATGCAGACGCGACCACGCAACAGTACGGATAATCTGGTCGTTACGTACACTCCCCTCCAGGGTGCACAACAAGTCTTCATGGAACACTTAGCCGGTGATCAGGGATGGGAGTGGCATATGGCCACGCACCCGATTCCTCGTCAAACGGGAGCGTTCTCCGTTATGTTTACCGCTACCATTGATGATACGGCAACTGTCTTTGCTGTTGTATGTCGTGATTTATTACTAAATTGTATTCGGTAATATAGTAAATTGGTAATGGGCTTCGTTCTTTTTAAGGACGATGTGTCGGTGACCCCGGGACCGTGCGTTCATTTCTTGGATTGTCAGTTTGCCGGGGATTCGTTGTGCCTATGGAGAAATGCCGATGCAGTTCCAAACGCCAATCAAATCCACTGGAGAGCAGCATCTCCTTCTCAGGGTATTTCCAGCGGCCCTCCTGTGGATTCTTCGGGGTAAATAGTTTTCGATGTAATAATTACGATTATAATTACTAAAAGCTGATACACCGGACTTACGAAGTGGAGTAACAACTTTTTAACCGTTGAGTCCGCTCTGTTTGTTACTGTATTTTAACCGTTGAGTCCGCTCTGTTTGTTACTGTATTTCTGTTTTTAGATGTGAGCGTTTATCATGTGTTTTTTATTTTATTTTAATTTAATTTTATTTTAATTTTATTTATTTTTATTTATTACTGTGGAAAACGTTTTATTGTGTGACTATTACGCAGATGTCATTTTGGGTTTGGCATTTATAGTGCTCAAAATGGGTGGTTTGCATTGATTACATCGGATGCTCCCTCGAAACCTAGGGATCTGGCATGGCTAATGTCTCAAACCCTTCCGAAAGACACGTCTATTTGTTTGACATTCTGGTACGCCCGCAAAGTCAAGAAGCCATACTAAAACTTGACACTTAATCTTGTTTTGCTGCTCTGATAGGTTTTATATGGGATCTGTGGATAACCAGGTTAACATCCTCCGCATTCTCAGTGTTGATTTTGGTAACGAGTTTTACAAAAAAATGTTATGGAGAATCGAGACGCCTGTGAGATCCGAATGGACAGCGGGGCAACTGGAAGTGGACGGTGTGCCCTGGCTTCGCAGTGTGAGTGAACAAACGGTTGCGAAACTATTTGTTAGTATACTGACAAGGGTCGGTTTATAATTTTATTTATCGCATGCCTGTACGTTTTCTTTTAAATTAGTTGGTCTTCGAAGCGGAAGTTGGTAGCATCCGAGGTCTGTTTGTGGCCATTGATAACCTGGTGGTCCTGGATCATGCCTGTACACCAAGTAAGTTTGCCGAAGTCGTTTTTGCGCTTCGCACAGTATAAGAAAATGACTGTTGGGTGTGCGCAGATGTTCTTCCCGAAGAAGCTTCCCCGAGCTATAACCCACCGACGCCACCACCCACAACACACAACCCATTAGGTATATCCCGTAGCCATGCTGCAACGACTAAAACGTTGCAATACACCTGAACCGCTTGGTATAGGCACTTTTATTTGTAGATTTTGATGTCAGCTGCGATTTTGAGGGAAACAATATGTGCGCTTGGCAGAATGCCGCGGACAATTTAGATCAGTGCACATGGACTGTGCAGTCGTCTCCCGTCAACGTTCTGCAATCTGTTATGACAGGCCCGTCATCGGATCACACACTGGGAGATTCAACTGGACATTATCTGCTCTTTAACAGCCGATTTTGTAATAATGCTACATATCCTAACGTCGGCTTCCGCGGTACAGCTCTGACCACATCGAAGACCGTAGCGGGAGAAAGGAACTGCTTAAAATTCTGGTATTTCATGTTCGGCGCGCCAGGAATGCTAACCGTCCAGATCAATTCAAGTAAGACCAGATTTAATATCAATAGCATCATTAAAAAGAAATCTGTGTTAAGTGGATGAGATTGGCATGAAGGCTTCGCTGTGTGACCTTTGGACGACTGGCGAATTTTAAGTACAATTAGATGTTTTAATTATGGGTGTTTTCAGATTCTGGAGATTCGTGGATTGAATTCATGCGAAACGGAAACCAGGGCAAACGATGGATCGAAGCTCGTGTAAACGTTCAGAATGTCAACGATCAGCCGTACTGGATAGTTTTCGAGGCCATGATGGGTCCATCACGATTTGGGGACATTGCTTTGGATGACATCCGTTTTGATGAAGGACAGTGCGAGGCCATCAGCAATTACCAGTGCGATTTTGAAGGAAAATTTTTCTGTGGATACAGATCCGTTAAAGAAGACGGGGCTGGTAGCTTCTTCTGGAATCACGTAAAGGTCATGGATATCGTGCCTCTTGGTGTGGATCATACATTCATATCAAATCATGGTACGTTTTGTGAAATACCTAAATTATTAACATAAGGCTAAAATGACTCATTATTGAGTATCCTTTTTTGAACTTCAGCACCAGGCGCGTGACCTATTGTACTTATTATGAAATAACAGGGACTTTTTGCAGTTGTTTATTAGCTCTAAAATACGTACTCGTTGTTTGAGAAATATTTCATATCAGTTCTGACTTCTGAGCGAATCTTACTTGTGCATTATGTCTTCAGGTCACATTGCACATGCCGACGGCCGCGGTGCCCGAAAAGGCGCCCGGACATACTTAGTCAGTCCGCCTTACATCCGCATCCCCAACTCACCGCAGTGTGTAACCTTTTGGTACAAAATCACCCCCTACCCCGACGGAGGCCGTTTGGCGGTTCACATCACACGCGCTGCTTCCGGCAATGACTTCAGCAGCCCGAAATGGTCAGTAACCGGCTCCAACATCGATCAGTATACTTGGGAATACGGAACAGTGCCCGTGGAAATCGGGGAGGATTTCAAAGTGGCTTTTGACGCCCGCAACGATAACGGGACAGCGTTCCAGGTGGACGATATTAACATCATCGATGACGAGTGTCCAGGTCTTCTGGCTTGCACTTTTGAGGATGGATTGTGTGGATGGAGCAACGGCATTCTGGACAATATTGAATGGATTGTGCATCGCGGCGATGGTGTGCCGAATGAGGTGTCCGGTCCGTCCGCCGATGCTCTGGGTAATCCCTATGGACATTATATCTACATTGACAACGACTATCCTAACGCAGATGATTACGATGCGGCCCATCTGGTGTCACAGCGCGTGGTGCCGAAAGTGTCGTTTTATTGCTTTAGCTTTTATTACCACATGTTTATCGATGGACGGTCTAATGCCTCGTTGGATTTGAGCATTGTGTCCGGTGGACAGACATCGGATTCTATTTTTTTTCGCAACGAACCGGGACGAAATCAGTGGATGCGCGAGGCGATTGAACTCAGCGAGGGAATCGACTTTGGTGGGGATTTTGCCCTAATGTTTACAGGAAAAGTTCATGGAGAAAAAGGAAAGAGCGATATTGGTGAGCGGAAATTTTGTTAAAACATTTCTGATGTCCATATGCGTAACTAAACTACTAAACACTATACTAAACTAAACTAATTCTCCAACAAATTTAGTAGCTAATGTGTACCAATTTTTTTCTAGTATCTTTTCCTTACAATTAAACTGTTGCCTGTTTTCGCAAATTTAGGACAGGACGCTAAGAAAGACATTGAAGAATAAATGGTTGTGTAATTTCTGTACATTCTGTAGCGCTCGACGAATTTTCCTTCTCCGAAGGAAGGTGCACAGATACCGGTCCACATCCAGTTTTCATGTGTGATAACGACATAATGATCGAAGGATGGAAACAGTGCGATAATCGTGTCGACTGCACTAACGGCAACGATGAACGGAACTGCGGAAACTGTGGCTTCGAGAACGATCTGTGCGGTTACACGGTATTCCAAAACAGCAACTACACCTGGACCCGGGTTCCATCAGGATTCGCCGGCGCACCAGTCCCGACGAACACCGTGGAAGGCAGTCGGTACTATATGTTAGCAGATAACAAAGATGGACCAGATCGTTCAGCTGCCTACCTCGACAGTCCCATCATCCGTCAGACATCCAAAACCTGCAGACTGCAGTTCTGGACGTACGTCTATTCCCTGGAAGGAGATCCGGGTGCGATGATTGTGACACTACGCAGCGGCGATAGCGACGTGACCATTGCCATTTTCGACCATAATACGGGAGTGAAAAATCACTGGAATTTGTGGATTGTGGATGTCGGACGTCATAGCGGTGAATTCCGGATTGTTTTCCGCGCGCGAAAAGGTTCCGAGACGAATGGAAGCATCGGTGTGGATGAGGTCATATTTAAGGATTGTGGTTTTCCGGAACGGCAGGCGTCCTGTGGTGCCAACGAGTGGCAGTGTCCGCAGAGCGGAGCATGTATCATCCCCACGGAATTCATGTGCGATTTCGCCGATGACTGTGGCTACTACGAAGACGAACAAAACTGCCGGCAATCCCATCCGTTCCGATGTGATTTTGACGACGATTTCTGTGACTGGACGCAAGATGCCGGGGATAACTTTGATTGGCTCAGGACGAATTATCGTACTTTAAGCGGTGCGTTTAACAGTTTGTGATTTTATGAATTTTTATCAAATCGTTTCTAAGTTTGTGCAATTGTGTTTAGGTTATACGGGACCGATTCGAGACCACACAACCGGACTGCGCAATGGCGGATTCATTTACGCCAGTTCCACATTCTACAACATTTCGTCCGGTTGGTCGGGAAATCGTGGCCGGTTACTATCGCGACCACTGACATTCACTAATGATTGCATACTGCGATTTTATCGTCATATGTACGGGAATACGATGGGAGCCTTGAGAGTCTTTAGACTCGGTTCATCTGCCGAGTTATTTATTGACAACGTCGGTCTAGGCGATAAATGGGTTAAGTCTGTGGTGCGCATTGGTGGTCCAGCCGCCAACATCAGGGTCGTCCTGGAAGCTCAACTCGGTGGTCTGGCTAGTGATATTGTAAGTGTTCCCTTTCACTCTTTACGAACCATATTTGTATAAAAGATTTTCAGGCGGTGGACGATATTTCATTCAGCGGTTCGTGTTTCAACCAACCTGACGTGGTAACGCTGCCGCCCACCACAACAACAACAATGGCGCCAACCACAACCGCACCTTCGACGATTTCCACAGGGTCCAGATCCACAGCCACAACGGCATCCTCCTCGACTACCTCTTCGTCCACCAGCACGACTTCCTCGACGACACGGTCGAGCACGCAGTCTCCTTCCTCTACAGTTGCACCGGTCAGCCGCTCATCGACTTCAGCGCCACCACTACCGACCACTTCCGCAGGCAGTACCACGACACATTCACAACTGACCTGTCCTGACCGATTCTGTGCGACCAGTCGGGTGTGTCTGGAGCAGAGCGCCATCTGCGATGGGAAGAAGGACTGTGAGGACGGTTTTGATGAGGCCAACTGCCCAACGGCCTCACCCGCGAGCGGACTGGATCCGGGAGCCATTGCGGGGATAGTGATTGCGGTGCTAGCTGCTGTAGGAGCGGCAGGAGCTGGTGCATATGTTGTGATATATAGGAGGAGAAAACAGAATGGAACGGAGCGCAGTACCCTTGGTTATGCGACATTCGGTGCACTGGATGGACCGGCGGATGAGGACAGTGACCATGTCGGGAATAAAGTTCTCCATGATGTAAGTACCGTTTATTTACCGATGACGTTCGCTGGTTTTTAAACCCATGTTTTTTGGTTTTGGAAAAACCCGGTAAACCGTAAAGCATTTCACTTCTAATGGCTGGCCCTTTAGTGTCCATATTAAAATTGACTCTTAGTTTATTATCTAGTAACTGTACAATGTACATTGTAGTGATTGTACATATGTAATATTAATTCGTAAATCGTATTTATAGTTATGAAGTTTTACTTCTACAAAGGCATGCATCGATTATTTCTTTGGGACTGAAATTTTCGTTCCTGTTCTACTTTCAGGATGTTTTGGATCCTGATAACATAATTTTTTTTTTCAGATATTTTCAAAGGATCTGTGATTTCGGCTTCGGGAGATGGGCGAATAAGAGGGCGTTATATAACAAGCAATATTTGATTTTTTTTTCAAATTTTCACTATTTTTGTCGGTATTAATAGTGAGGGTGCTGAAAGCTAAGCCCTTGCTGTTGTGTTTTTGTGTACAAATGCTGTTGGACTGCGTTAATAATATGCAAATTAGCATGTGCAATAAATTACTTGAAACAAATCGATATACAACCGTTACCTATCGACGCTGGGCATACGGTGGCGCCTGACCAAAATGGAAAAAATACTGCACTCGTTGTATAAGTGGTAAAATTAGGGCTGTATCCCAATTGTATGAGCACCATTATGGATTCAGTCCATAAATGCGCAGCACTGACGATACCGTACATGATCGGGCGAGACAATCTCCATAATGCGAGCCGGAAGGGATATTGATACACCAATTATCAAAACCACGGTGTCCAATTTTATGGTTTTTCATCGCTTCCTCGCCGTAATGGTTTCCTCGGGATGTGGCGTGAACTTTTTTGGTGTATTGTTGATACGAGTATTAAAACGGGATTGAATTACTACCGGCATACCACCGGTACGGGCATACATTAGTGTCCACCGGCATTTGTGCGCAGTATGAAATACAATATGCGCTCATGATCGCCGACATAGTATGACCATCAGGCGCAGTTATTAATATTATTGTGGAATATCCATGCATATGCCTAGTATTGTTTGAGCCTTGCCAAACGGTAACGTGGTTCTATGCGTGTTTTATCATATAATCGTGTTCCAAGCTTTTCCACTTCCGGTCTATGGTGAAATTGCCGATGTTAAATGCCATTTAAGATACTCCCACGATTTTTGGTCGGTTTCGATCACGTTTAAGAATTAGTCCGGTTACTCCGGTATACATTTATATGCTGTGAAATCTGTTATCAAGTACAGTACATTATTCTGTCGCGCATTTGATGTTTGCGTTATGAGATCTTTCAAAGAAAATGAGTACGAGGTAAGTATCTGTACGACGCTACGCTTTTACTGCAGTACGATATTTTAATTGATAATTGATATCTTCTCCGACCGCGAGAATGTCTGAACGAAATCCGTGCAATGTAACATGGAACCCCTTTACCAGCAATATTTAAAGAAAGCAGCTGTAATCATATTTGACATTAGAAAATTTCATTATGATTGTACTTTAAATTCCGACGATTGGCTTAATTTACCTTACTAACCGACAATCAAGAAAGGATTTAATTACTTAGATCAAGTTCGGCACATGAAAATATGCACACCTCAGGCATTTCTATTCGTTCTTTAAAATACATCCTGAAATCATTTTCGGTTTGCTGCGAGCGTTGCATAAACTATATTTTAATAATCTGTTTTTATATATTGATTTCCACAAAGGATGTTAATTTATCGCTATGAGGTGTACCATAACTGCCAGTTTATGGATATCCTACTATTCTTCAGATATGTGGGCACCGTATGCAGGAAATGTGAATGTACATGTGTATGTATGTGTGTATAAGACTTAGTATGTTTTGTATTTTCAGGCCGTATGACCCAAGCAACAAAACCAATTAGTACGAATTCCAGAATTCGCAATCCAATCCGCGCTAAGTTCCCGTATCAACTTTGACGAACTGGCTCATCATATGTTACATAAAAATTTCTTCTCTAAATGTGTTGGGTGCCGACGCTATGTATGTTGTTATTTGCTGCGAATTAGATATCCAGTGCCGCATCAAAAGAGTTACTAAATTGTGTTGGACAGTAAAGTTGTGATTTCTTCGCAGACGGTGTACGTATGCCGGTACGCATGACGTACTTACCATTAGCCTGCGAGTACAGTAGTCTATCACAATCTTCCGATCCGTCGTCCAGTAACCTTTCCTGGTGCAGTAGATGCGTGTGAATCAGTCGATATTACCTTCGTTAGCGTCTTTATTGAGGTTCCTAGAACGGAACTTTTCATACGACTACGATGGGTACTGTGTTGTCATATCTGTTTAGGTATCACATCGGCGAGAAACCTGCAACATCCGGAATTCGATACCCACATGCCACAGCTAATCTTGACCTTTTTCCTTTACATTTCTAGTACTAGGGATACTATTGTTATGCCTTTGCTGTATGCACTACTCGAGTGGTATCTCGAGTTGCATGCTAATGATTTAATGTCATCTGACGTATCCCGTTCATCAACCTGCAACTGCGTATCCCCATCCAGGAAATTGCAGATTAATTAATTTTGCATCAAATTACTCACACCGCTGGAAATTCTCACTGATTTTGTGGAAGCAACAAAAAAAAACCACCACATCACTCACGATGCAAGGCTGGGTCACGATAATTTTGTTCAGCGTCGGTTTTCTGCCAAATTTACCGGCGCCGACACAGTCGTCGCGTGTCAACATTGTCTCATTCGCCTACGCCGGCAAAGAGGCCAGTCAGGGCAACGCGGCCATTGTACCGACCATCGATGTGGCCATTGAGCGGTCTAAGCAGCAGTATCCCAATGTTTTTAGCAATATCCACTGGATATCTAAAGCCTCACCGTACAACGGGAGCAATATTGCTCCGTGTGATGCAGCTGAAGATTCGGCTATTAGCGAAGGTGTCGCACAGTGGCTGAATGCATCCAGTGTTTTCTATGGAAGATTGGACTTCTCAGGCCGCAATCAATCAGGATTAACTGTTTTTGTGACCTCAGGTATCATGGTTGTCATATCGGCTATTTCAATATTGGCTATTATATATCGGCTATTTTATTTTACGCATAAAGACAATCGTACTGAATATATGTATATACCTTTTTCGATAACAATTTGTTTACCTGCAATCGATTTCAGCATGCTACCGAGCGTTTTCGATTTTGGGAGACATTGGTAGAGGTACGAAAAAGACTCACAAAAAAGTTCTGGTAGAAAAAAATAAATATCAGTATCGTAAAAAGCTGTAAACATGGGATGACCTTTGTTATTGCTGCTTTCACAGAACTCGATGTACTAGCGATAGCATGGTAAGAACTACGAAAATATAATTAACATGATTTTGTACTGTGCCATTAATTGAGGTAAAACTCAGTTAGTGAACTGCGACAAGAAAGTTTTTCGTAGCGGGACGTTTGACGAAAAAATGAGTGATAAAAGCCGGTATCCTTCCGTGCTGGCGTTTGGCGCTCTGTCTGTCACTCAAATGGCGTCGTCGTTGTCCGCCTTTATGGACCAGTATCACTGGCAGTCCATTGTCGCTGTGTCGGATACGCTTTCCAAAGGGGCAGACTTGTTTAACAGATATAACTCCATGTGTATCGGTTCGTTAAAAATGCTGGAAGGTCGCATGCAGAATGGCACAATGCAGTTCTTGCGAATACCGATTGATTCCGATGCAGCTGGGTTTGAATGGCCGTCAGTATTGTGGCAAATATCCAACTTTAGTCGAAGTATGGCTCATTATGCAAATTTTGCAGCTTTATTAAAATTAATGCCCTTCCCCGTGTATGTGGATGATTATATCCAATGCACTTTTCTTTGCAGTTGTTCTGTTGTGTACAACTACGAGAGTGCAGAGGACGTTTCTGGTAAATCAATGTATTCGCAAGAGATGAAAAAAAATGTCGCAAATGTTGTTATTTACATGCTGAAAAGAAGTTGCGTAACTTTGGCAAAAATCAACGGTATTTCGTTAAAGGTTTTTTTGTCATACGAGTACTAACAAACCGTTACAAAAGTACTGTATGTTTTTTTCTGCAGTCTGCCGCCTACGAAAATAACATGGCTAACGGAGACTATGTAAGCGAACCGATCAACTGAACTTGATCTTGACTTTTTTAATTGTTGCATGATTTTATACGGCCCTAAAGTCATATGTTTCATAATTAGGTATTCATAAGCCCTTTCATTGGATCTGTTCCAAAGGATTTAGCTCTCAAATGGAACCGTAACGAATCCATCGACCAGGTATGTACGAGTAGCACAGCACAGTATGTTATACACAATATATTTGAAGTTTAGGGTTAACAATACGTATATATCGTAATAAGTGTCACACAATATTTTTATAGAATGTGAGAAAAGCTCTGCCAAATGTTTTCATCTTTCGGCATCCCCCTGTAAACTGGACAAAAATAGAAGATGTTACCGATGCTATAATTGATCGCCGCATAGAGTATTATCATGAATCTTACGAGACAGCAAGTTTTTATAGAGTAAGTAATTGCAGATATATGTCTATGCCATACCAAGTCTGTACTCTAGGGGTGTAACCCCTAGAATACAGTCTCGGCCGTATAGTTAATCTGCTACTTTCCCTTTCATTCTTTGTTATCACCAATTACTTTGTACATCGGTATACGCGCGTATTTTTGCAGGAAAATGACTTGTCACTTAGCTGCTTGGAAGCGGTAGAAGCTCTGGCTGAGGTAAATGGAATAAAAAATATATTTATTTATTTCGCTGGATCATCCAATCTAATTTTTACGTAATCCTTGCAGGTACTTAATGAAACTTACACTTCGCTGCCGGATTACATTAGTGGAAAGGAGTTTGCTCGGCGGTTTTTTAATAAATCCATAGAAATAGAAACACGGAAACTGACAATTTCGCCTAGCGGAAGTCGGCAGACTGTGTTAGAGGTTGTACAGTACGACGTCAACAAGAAAGATTTCGAGGTAATAATCAGCTATGGCGTTAAAAGAAGCTTCAAAACCAACATATACATATATCTAACATTTTCCGCAGACCGTCTATGTGACTGATCCAGTCACAAGAAGACTGGTGGCAGTCAAAGGCGCAGTTATAGAATGGAAAGGAAAAGAAGTTCCACGCGATCGTCCAGCGTGTGGGCTTCATGGCGAATACTGCATCGACCATACGTATCAAAATATGATAATCGAGGCGGTCGTGGGAGCATTTCTAGCCATCGCGGCTATCGCGGTTGTCGTGGTCTTAAGACTGAAGTAGGCCTGTGAATGAATGACCTTTACTGTAACTCGCGGCACAATTAAAAGATGCAAGCGTTTCCAGAAGTTTTTTAAAATTTAAATAATTACTTTATATCACAGACTAACCTTAGTTTGATTTTGTAGCCGGCAACGTCGCGAAGCTGAATTGTTATCTCAATGGTGGCGCGTAGATTTCGCTGATCTGTCAACGCTGCCCGTATCCACTGTGCACGGCGCAACATCACTCTATGCTTCCCAAGCAGTGTTTAGCCCCGCATATCAACAGACAACTATCAAAGAGACTCTAACTGCAAAAAACAACACAAACAGTCATCGGCTGGCAATATTTAATGAGCGCATGGTGTGGACTACCTGCTTTGTAATTCCAACGGAAAAGGAGAAGCAGAGCATTATTGTGCCCAACAGAACATTTCTCAAGTTTATGCGAAAGGTCATTAACAAGGCGTGCAAAAGTTACAAGTAATCTATGTTAAGATTTTGTATAGTTTAAATCTGGAAGTTCGTAAACTCCTTGTTTAACAATTGTATTTAGAAGTCTCCATTCTAGCCACATTTTGATGTTTCCGAACATAATATTAATTTTAACTACCGGTTTTTGCAGCTTCACACAGTACAACATCGACACATCAATGATTTTGTGGGAGCATGTTTGGAAAAAGAGTACAATTTTGTGGAAGAATATCGAAAGAAAGGATCCATCTATGACATGAATCAAAGCAGTTTTTCAAAAGGGAGCAGCGGTTTTGACTGGGACATGAAATTCTCCTTTCTCGTTGACCTTGCGGATGTGAGTAAAGTTAGCGTTTGATTACCAATGCATGGTAACTATTCCAAGGTATAGAGATGAAATCTTGTCGGTTAACCTCGCCCACATTTTGGCAGGCTCTGCGCTTTCTGCATAGTTCGCAAATAAAGTTCCATGGAAATCTGAAAAGTACGAAATGCCTGTTGGATAATTACTTCACGCTGAAGCTGTCGGATGTAGGCAACGAGCGCATGTGGTGCTACTTAAGCCGGCGTGCACAGTGCCCGGCATCTGTCTATTATACGCTATGGACGGCTCCGGAAGTGCTGCGTGGTGGGATGCCATCGGAACAAAGCGACATATATACATACGGAATAATTGCTGTTGAAATCTTCACACAATCCGGGCCATTTAATACAAAAACTTTGCACCCTGCGGACCTCGAATGTAAGACGCAGAATTTAATAATGTTGTGTAGAGAGACATGCTAGTCACGTCCAATTATAACCAATTAAAGAAAACCTTTTTTCTTATGTTTAATAACTGTTCTTGCGCGGGTGAAAACACGTATACGATTACACTTCCTCCGGGAATTATGCAGTTCCGTATCTGAGAGAATTCCAGCTGTGCTATTGCTCCTATAGTGTCGCAATAAATACTAGGACATATTAAAATGTATTAATTTTATTAATCTACTGCACTGATTTTGCTTCTTGTGTTAATTTGTTTATCGTATTAATTCTGCTTTTCAAACTTGGTCGTCCCTTTTACATGACCATTCTTTAGTAATATTACTATAGGTACAATACATGCAGTGGTTTTAAGTTAAGCTGATGTGTGCTGAGGCTGCATGCAACAAATCGATTTTAGCAGCATTTTCATTCATCATCAAAAAAAGCCCATTCTTTACCTGTCTTAATTAGTGTCTGAGTAAATAGTTATTACCAAAATGGTCCAAGAGCTATACTTTTACAAGCAAGTTTATGTTACATGATTTACATCTGATTGCTACGCTAACAATCTTTTCCTCTGCATTTCTAGCAATGGTGGAAAAAGTTAAAAAAAATACTGAAGAATTTCCATTTCGGCCTTCGCTGGAGAGTCTGCAACTCATTCCGGCAGCCGAGAGTGCATTCAAAACGTTTCTTCAGGGATGTTGGGCAGAAAATCCCGATGACCGGTTCACGATGCGGCAGGCTGGGACGAAACTGGATACTGTTATGGAACAATTGAAAATGCGAACAAAGGGATCACTTTTTGATCGTTTAATGCGACGCCTTAACGCTCATGCTCGAACGCTGGAGCATACTGTAGCTGAAAGAACACAGGAGCTGATTGAGGAACGAAACCATTGCGATATGCTTTTGAAAGAGATGCTTCCGAAGTAAATTTATAACACATGTGTATATATATAAATAGTGCAAAATAATTATCTCATAAAACTTATTATGCAGTTTCAGGTGTAACACACACATATACATAGGCTTTGTATTTTTGTAGGGAGATTCTGAAACAATTACGAGCCGGTCAGATTGTGCACCCCGAACACTTTGAATGTGCCACAATATACTTCAGTTCAATCTTCGGATTCCTAAATTTTGCTATTTCATCTCCTCCTATGACTGTCATCCAGTTTCTTAACGGTGTCTATTTGGAATTCGATGTCAGTATTGATGGACTAGAAGTCTACAAGGTGGAAACAATCAGCGACTCGTACATGGTTAGAAAGATTGACCTTTACGAATAATATAGCGTTGCGTACTTCCGCTTTTTTAAAGCAACATTTACATTGAATTTAAAAAATTATAATCATAATAGCAGTTATGTTGCCAAAATCGTTTGTAAATTGTAAATTGTACTGTTTGTAAATTGTAGGTGTGCAGTGGTTTGCCTACGCGTACATTCAACAACATCCATGCCGCTCATGTTTGTGAAATGGCTCTGATATTGCAGAGTCGATTCGCTGTTAAGTTCAGCCAAACGCAGTTGCAGCTCCGTGTCGGTATAAACTCAGGTACTCGTATCAAGCAATTAATTATACAATTTTATGCACTCATGATATGCACTAATGACGTAATTATTATCAACTTGCACAACTTGCACAAACTTGCACAACTTGCACAAAACGTTGACGCAATTATTATCAACATTTTGTGCAAGTTAAATCATTCTATAAGAAATCAGGAATGTGGAAACGCGAAGTCAGGATCCACAGAATGGCTGTTGTACGAAAGGGCGGAATTTTTTAAAGACTGCTGTATTTTACAGCGTAAAATATCTATATCGTGGCATAAAGTAATAACTAACACGCGTGCACCTGTAGCTTATCTGTAAGTTCAGCTTGCCTTTGATACGAATTGTTTTCAGGTCCCGTGGTGGCTGGTGTAGTGGGGCTGAAGTGTCCTCGGTATTGCCTGTAAGAAAAAATAAAAATTAAAGAGTGGTCATTCTTTTAGTCAGTGTTAGTTATGTTTTTATTCCGAGCACACTGCTTCCGCGTGTAAAAAATAACTGGCAATACAATAGTAATAGTGATGCGAAAACTACATAGTACAGTACCATAATTACAACTGCATAATAATGTATTCGGCAGTTAGATTGTTCTTTACGGCATGCGTTCTGCAACTTTACAGGTTCGGCGACACAATCAACACAGCATCAAGGATGGAAAGTAATGGTGTTCCGTCCAAAAACCATATGAGCGAAGCAGCGGCTTCTCTGGCTAAAGAATACGGTTTTGTAATCGAACCGAGAGGTGAAGTGTTTATAAAGGTATGCATGTAAAAAAGCCCGAAAGAATGAACGATATATGCATGCATTTATCTGTCAGTATCATGACGCTTGGCTTTCAGGGGAAAGGAAATTTAATTACATATTGGCTTATCAGCAAAGATGGCGCAGTTAAAGATATACCTGTGAAGAAGTTGAAAATCTGAACATCTGAACCGAAAAACCAAATTCATCAATATTTGCTGCGGACTGATTCTCTTGCCTACATTTTCATGCATGTGATTTTTCGGTTTACACGTTGAATGCATTGCTCAACCGGAAAAAATTTCTGTTGATCCGTATTTTCGCGAATTTGTGTTAAATAAGAAGTTAATGACCAGCTAGCAGTTCAGGCCGTGTTTTAAGAAGGAAAGATAAAGACAGTGCAGAAACGAGCATACTGTACACTCGTAGAAGACCAGGGGTCAACAGTCATTATCAACAGGGTAATTCTTCGGTCCAATTCTTATGACGTCTGGGAATAATTAGTAACTATTGCACTGTTAAATGCAGTTGTTTACTTATGTGCGTCGTTTCTGATTTTTTAGGGTTAGCTGTATGGTTATATCGTCTTCCAAAGGTCCAATTAAGAGATTTCACTACAGTTATATTCCTATTTATGTATTTTCCAGCTGTTGTACCGCCGACGTGCTCGTCAAGACATATTATGAAGGTCCATTTTGCAGCTTAAAAAACTAAAGTCCGCCCTTAAGTTCATTTTTATTAAAAAATAAATTGATATTGATTATCTCTCTGCGCTATTGCAGTATTACGTTCAGGGTGCAGCATGTATTATTTATAGTACAGATACCAAAGCTAGCAACATGCAGCTTCCTGCCGCACCTGCAACTATCGATTGGTTTTGCTCCCAAGTCAGTCTGGATTCGAACACATACTGTACCTGCAGAGTTATTTGATCTGATACGGAAAGCATTCACTATGTATTGCACAGTACGCAAGGTGCTGTGGCTTTCGCGTTTAAGAAACTATTAAACGATGACGAAATAAGCAGCAAATTGTAAAAAGGTAACTGCATAATTACGGAAACCTGTAACTGGCATGAATTGTGTACTCGTTTTGTTGAGCATCAAAATGATTTCTTTTTTGTGGTTAAGCTGTTAATAGTGCTACTAAATGAAAGACGCAAGCATCTCTACCCACTGCACACAGATGCGAATGGTCTGGCTTGAATTCCAGCCCTGGACGCGGTGTTATGATTCAACCAATTTACAGCACTTGCATCCATTGCACGACTGACCCCGAGAAAACTGACGCAGAGCCTTCTGTGAACTTCCCGGATACTGCAGCCGTGATGCCTGTCCAGGACGACACACTGTTGCACCGTTCCAGTTCCAGCTCCTCATCGGGAAACGGTCCGGTGGCGCCAGCACGACCTCGCAAGCTGCTTAAGCAGACATCGCCGCTCTCCGTCAAAGCGTCCTCTTCTTTCTACTTTACACCGCAAACCACCGCCGATACCGTTCCTTTAAATCATGAGAATTTTCCCTCGCCGGGTGAGATAACGGGGCAGAATATGCAGTCGGTCCGCGGTGACCGATCCGGATCCACGCTGGTATACGGTGAGAAATTCCATGAACTGAGCACGGCCGATCTGGTGGTGGTGATCGATGCACAGCAGGCCCTGCTCGACAAACTCAACACGGAGAACCGTGATCTGTCGTCTAAATCGCGGATGCTGGAGAGGGAGCTGTCGCTCGTTACGGAGGAGAACAATCAAATGCGATCGGTGGTCAGTCTGCGGTCGGCGCAGTCCAACATGGACTACCTTCTGCAGACTGTCGGAACCATTGAAAATGTCCCGCCGACCAATGGTATGACAAAATGTACACACGACACACTTGCGTACAAAATTAATATACATTTGTAAGATGGTTAAAATAAAACAATCCTTATATGTCCTAATAAATAATTTCGCCAAACCTTTAAAGGTAATATTAAAACTGGTTATATCACTTTGAAGAAATAGTTAAGTAAAAAAATTAACTTTAGTTTAAAATTTCAGAAATAAATTTATTTATGCAGGGAAAAGCCAGCTTTTGCAAAATGGATTTTAAATAGCACAACCAAAGAATCAGTTTGCTGAATTTTTTAAATAGTTGTGCATTCCAATGCTATTACCCAAATCGCTTCTATAAAGGTTCGGCCAGTACAGTGAAATCTGTACAGAATGCCTTAGCATCGCAGGTCCAAGCGCTGGAAGCCGAACTAACCGCCAAAGAGCAAGAACGACAACGCCTGGCCGATGAAATCACCTTTATTCGACAACAGCTGCAAGATAAAATTTCGGCTGTGGATGAGCTGCAGGAAAAGCTCCAGAAAGCCCCGACAACCTCCACAACATCCGTATCGGATATGGAAGGTTTAGTGGACACTTTGTCCAGTAATATTAAGACACTCAAGCTGCGTGAAGCAAACCTTTTGACGGAAATTGCTGTGGTCAAAGAACAACTTGGACAGATCCATGCGGAGAATACCATTTTAAAAGACGTTGTACATCGTCAGGAAATTCAGAGTAGCATGACGAAAACGCAGCTGGAAAGCGAAATGCTTTCGTTGCAGAGAAAATATCGGTCCGAGAATGAGCGGCTGGTCAGTGAGTCACGTGATAATGCAGACGCGGTACAATTGCGCCAGAAAGATTTGGATGAGCAGTTGCAGGTACCGTACTAAAATATGTTAGAATTTGATTGAAATCTAGGGTAGTGCACGATAAAACCGTATCAATACAAACACTTTGAAAAACTAGACTTGTTTGTTGCACGATTACCTATTCAGTACGATAATTATTTATCATGTAATTAAAAATCAATTCTGTATCGAAACAATGGTTTGTTGAATTAAAAATAGGCTGGTTAATTTGATTTGATCGATTAACGGTGTGTAGTGCTAATCTGTCTTACTAAACGCTGAATAAAATATTTAGCTAAGTTTGTTAACGCCTAAATTAAATTAGCAACAGAATTACAGAAGTATCCAGAGTTTGATGTAAACTTCCTAGGCTATTCAAATGAAGCTCACTGAAGAGCGGTTACGCCGGGAAAAGGTTGAAGCAGAAGTGCATCTAGCAAAGATCCGCTCAGGCAACGTAGACGATATTGTGGCGGAGAGCGTACAGCAGCTCCAGTCGGAAATGGCGCAGTTGCGTGCAGCGGCCAGTGCGGCCGAGGAGCGCTCATCCATCCAGCATCAACATGACGAATGCGAACGCCAACACTACATGACGAAGTGGAAAAACAACGAAGACCAATTGTTAAAATTAAAGCATGAGCTGGAGCTGGCACGGACAGCCTCGGCGGCCGTTGGGCAGGAAAACGCCCAGCTCTTAATGCAACTGGCTGACGTTGATCGGCAGGTTGAGCACAGTGCAGCCGTCAGTAATCATCGTCCATTATCGGCTGATGCCGAAATTGATGTCTTAAAGAGCCGCATTGAGCAGCGTGAGAAGGAACTGCAACAGCTGCGCCAACACACGGCCGCGGCCGACGAACAATTGCAGGACTTGTGGCAGCGTCAGACCCAGCTGATTGAGAAATTCAAAGATGAATGTGCCGGGTTGGCCGGACAATTGGACAGTGTACGCGGGGTACAGGAGAAAGAGCGGTTGGAGAATAGTGTGTTTCATGTAGATGTCAGCCATAAATACGGCAGTGCGGTGGAGCTCAATCGGCAGTTGTTAGCCGAGTGTCAGAGCCTGGCCGCCCAATTGTTGGCTATACAGTCCACCCACAAAATTAGTCGAGAGGAGTAGTGAACGTGACCTTCGAAAATTATTTGCCAGTGCTAGCTAGCGCTGTACTGCCTACATCTTTCATGCTTGTAATCACTTAATTAATCTTCTTTATTGTTTTTTATTTGAAGCAAATGCAACTTGAAAACTACGTACCGAGTATGCTGCCATAAATATATGAATCTGTGACTACATATTTTTTGGTTACTGGGAACATTAGATTTTGCTATCACAGACTGCTCTTCTAATGACACGGCTCAGTACACGCATCTACAATCTACATAATTATATGGCTGCAATGCATGGAATCGTTTTTTGGCAGTGGAAGACCGGCTTCAAACAAGTGTGATGTCTAGCTTTGTAGTAATGAGCTGGATAACTTGTCTTTGAATTCAAATCTTTAATATTAATTTTTTTATTTTCGTAACGTTATTTTAGTTTTTGCGTATATATTTTTGTATTTTTTCAGTAATCTGTAATCATAATCATACAAGCTCATGTCCGTAATCCATCGCATTCGTGATTCGATTACAGGTTTGTCCGTTGTTGGCAGCATTTTGTAGCAAGCAGTGGTAGCAGTTGAAAGACAGGAAATCATGAAAATGCGTGGTCAACCACTGATTTGCCAGACGTTAATTTCGGGGATTTATTCTTGAGAAATGCTTTAAGGAACTGTGTACTGCACTGTATAGTTGATTTCGCCGTGTGTTTAGTGTTGAGTAGGTCATCGTCACTGTTTGAACTGTGGAGAGTCTGTGAGTAATCGTATTTGTCTGATTACGACTTGTTCTTGATCTTGACATTTCGCTAATTTTAATCTTTTCACTTTATAATCAAAGACCATTTACAAATTTTGCATAATGTGCAATGATAGCTATTTCCAACGGTAAAACTGCAAAAGGAAATGAATCCAAATCGTTACTCATTTTAGGAATTTAATACGCAAAAAAAGCTTGCACCTCTATAAATAATTAAAAATGGCGGTTACAGGAGCTTACATCAGCTCTGTATTCACATTCGCCACTTTTGACATGCCAACATTGCAATAAACAATTTTGGAATAAATAATTTGTTACAAGAAGATCTGTTCTAAATAATCTATGCACGCGCTCTCCTAAAATACATATATTTCATTTGTCGAATGATTGCCAAACTAATGAAGATAGTTATTGGTATAGAGCGGCACTAAAAAACTCCAACAATACTTGTATAGTTGTACTATCAATAAAAAAATTGAAGTGCGTGCTATTATTGCTAGAAGTAATTGTGATCGTGAATATTCCCACATGCACGCCTTCCAAGCAACATAGACAGGTACCGCGTTTATCCGTTTTCAATAAATAAAATAACTGATGTTGTGCAATGTGCCGCAAATCCATTTGAATACAGCAAGTACTACAGTAGCACTGCATATTTTCATTAGGACGATAATCATGGCGACTTCCACTGCAATGGATGATAGATCACGGGAAACTTAAATTTTGAATACTTCTAGTGCTTACAAGATTAGATGTATGCCGAAAACGTCTAAAATGCTATCGAACATGCAAGCCGCCTCTTTGTGGTCAGCTGCTAATATGTACACAATCCATTCAGATAGTGCGAGCCGACATTAAGCTCTGATCGGATTTTTTTCTCAGCGTTTCCGTAAAACACGGAAGGTGGCGTTGTGGATCACTTGATTTGCTTAATGATAACGTCCCTCAACTTGTCCATACCATTCAGCTAACCGATACTACTATAGTTTATACCTGTGATTATGCACGTCCGGACGAACTACAGTACCATTAGAACTGTAATGTAACTTAAATTTCTTCTGGTAGGATTATACTGTGATTAACCTTGTTAGAGAAAATTTATAATAGTACGGCAAACACCGGCAAATGTCAGTTTTGCACTGACAGCGGTCATGTTCGCAAAGGAGATTGGTGTTGCCGGACAGAACATTGGTGATTACATAGAACATATCAACGCGCGTACCTGCATCTGCATGTGTCTGTGTGTGCAAATCGTATCTGGACAAATGTGGATGGATAGAAAAACTGGTTCGTGTTGAAATGTGAACTGCTAATCGGTAAACATAATTAATTACGCGAATTGACCGTTTCGTGGTTGGCACGCGGGAAGAGACGACGTAGTGGATGGTGTGCAATGTCTTCTTGGCCCAAAGGCGCGGTACGTACCAATTATCTGTGTGTACCCAATACCTACGGTTCAACTTTACACACAGTGTCCGATTTGTGGATTTTCAAATAGATGGTCAATAACCACAGAGTCTGACCTCTCTCGCAACAGGAGACGAACTTAAACTTTAAGAGCCTCTGAAGAAAAATTGATTCAAAACCAAAGACGTGTATCGCTCGATATATAAGTGAACGATTTGTCCTTTTTCAGCTCTCTTAGTATGAGGACACGTATTTTCACTTTATGCGGAAATCAAATGTTGGATGCTAATGACTGTCAATGATAAGCAACGCTAGCATCTAACCCACGTTAAGGACTATATCCATACAATTGCGTCCATCTGCGACTGCAATTATTAACGGTACATTATCGCAATATTGCATCTTATATATATAAATGGCTCATATGCAGGTACCGTGCCGGCTATCAGGTAGCGTATCCTTATTAGTATTTGTACGTCAAGTGTGTGACCCCCTAATTCATTTCATCAGACGCTGAATTTTATTTGTAAATTTGATGTGGGTCGAAATTATTGCGCGATTTCGTTCGAAATGTGTAAATATGGAGGGAAAGTGTAAATTAGCCGAAAATGACGTGTGGCATTACGCTGACTGTATCAATAGAATTTTTTGTCATAGAGCCCCGAACTAGTGCCTATAGACCGGCATTTAATTATTGACTAAAGCCTTTAGTCAATAATTAGATGCAGATCGGCCCCTTGTATACGCAGGTTTGTATACAATATTTCATTTTACTGCTCATGCCGATCTGTACAGTGGCGGTGTGAAGGCTAGCTATCCGTATTATACATTGACGGCGCGCGTGCTCAATTAGAGTATCATAAATCTCTCGCATATTGTACAATGGCAATTTTTCAATCAACGTGTGGAGCCAGTTTTTGCGTTGCACTGTTGTAGGATCTAGGGATTGGTTTGTACATGTAAATGCACCGCCCCCACACACTGGTTAGCCAGCAAAAACAACTGGAGCAGTGTTAAGAAATGGACTGGTCAGCCAACAGGACTATCCCCGACGACGGGGAGGGCTCTAAGTTGCATATTATGTCCATGTCTATATAAAATGCCGCTGTACTATAACCTCATGGAATGTTAGATTGTTTGTGAGAATACTATATGCTCGTGCGTAAACTTTGAGTTGGAATTAAGGTGGGAGCATTTCAAAATGAAGTATATAACTTAACCCTCATCTCTTAATGTCTATCAGTCTAGTGCATACATACCTGCCTTGGTCTCATTGGACGCTAATTCCAATCGGTCAGGAATACTTGTTTATTGCGGTACATCACCGCATTATATCTGTACACCCTTGCCTAATAAGCCGCCGAATCTTGATTTGCCACAAGCCGCTATACCACGTATAATTTTTCAAAACGGATCTATCCTGCCGCACATCTAGCTGTCGCTAGCGAGGACATGGAGCTAAGGCTCATCCTGGTACGTGTGACCTTTACCCATGTAGTAATAGTCATAATTTATGTTTTGCACTTATCGTATGTTAATTTTTTAGAAAAATTATGAAATAATTTTTGATGCGGCACACGCCACTAACAAACTAGCAGAACAGTTCAAGATTTCCGTAGCATGCTGGCGTTTGTGCGCTACGCCTGTATTAAGTGGTTTACTTATGTCCTTATTGTCTCATTATCTATTCTATTTGGCTTTAATCTGTTAGCCGTGAAAAGTCATTCGTTTGCATAGTGAGCTCACCTCACCATTGATCCATTCGATTATGCTAATTATTGTCGGCATGTATAATGCGCTTATTAACATTGGAATTTGTAATTGTACCATTTTTTCTTTTATACAGTTATTGTTATTCCTCTCCACATCACATTTCCACCATGTTATTTCCGCCGCCGTTAGACCCAAACACGACCCCAGATTATCCCTCATAGCGACGGAAGAACCCGTTCCTCCCACCAAACAATCAGCACCGACATCGACAGCTAGTCAAAGAGATGCCATATCAGCCTTAGCCAAGCAGCTGACCAGTCAAATAACCAGCCAATTACAGGCTAATCAAGTTGTTATTGGAACACCCGTCGGCGGCGTCCCGCCGACCGTTATTCAAGGTACACCAGTAGCAGGAAGTGTGATACAGGGCGTTCCCGTTGGCTCGTACGGTACCGGTGGCGGCTACGGGGGTTACGGATCCAGCTACGGTGGTGGCGGTTACGGTGGCGGCGGTTACGGTGGTGGCGGTTACGGTGGTGGCGGTTACGGTAGCGGTGGTTACGGTGGCGGGGGTTACACCAATCCGTATTCATACTACGGAGGAAGTGGATATGGAGGTTATGGAGGTGGTGGATACGGAAGCTATGGCGGTTACGGAGGATACGGTGGAGGGGGTTACGGATCCTTTGGATCCGGTAACGTTATTGTCGGCACCCCCGTGGCTGGCACCGGAGGAGTGGTGGTTGGGACCCCCGTAGCAGGCGTAGCAGGCGCAGCAGCTGGTTTAGTGGCAGCCGGGACTACCAACGTAGCAGCAGTGCCAATTGATCCAACTACAACAGATGAGATTGATCGCGCCCTCAACGTGGCACTCAATGCCATTGCTAGCGGCGGCGGCTTAACGTCGCGCCAAACCTCTAACCCTATTTCCGTTACAGTCACAACCGGCACAGCGGCTGGCTCAACCTTAACTGATCGTCAGAACGTGATTGTGGGAACACCTACGGGAACCACCGGCAACGTTATTGTGGGAACACCAGTCGGCTATGGTACTACCGGTACTTTCGGAGGCACGTACGGAAGTGGCTTCGGAGGCTACGGAAGTTACGGAAACACCGGCAATGTTATTGTTGGGACCCCCGTCGGCACCGGAAACGTTGTTGTTGGCACACCGGTTGGCACTGGGACGACCGGCAACGTAATCGTCGGAACACCGGTCACAGGCACCACCGGCAATGTCATCGTTGGCACGCCGGTTGGAGGCGGTTACGGAGGCGGAGGCTACGGCGGCTATGGTGGAGGCGGCTACGGAGGGGGCGGTTACGGTGGATACGGCGGTGGTGGAGGCTTCTATGGGGGGAATTCGGGCTACGGAGGGTATGGTGGTGGATACGGCTCTGGCGGATATGGCGGCGGTCTCTATGGCGGGGGCTACGGCGGCGGAGGCTACGGTGGTGGCGGATACGGCGGGTTGAGTTCGGGATACGGTGGTTATGGAGGTGGTGGTTATGGCGGCGGTGGTTATGGCGGTTATTCTGGAGGCTACGCGCCGTACGCAAGCTCCGGATACGGTGGCTATGGAGGTGGCGGCTACGGCGGCGGTGGTTATGGTGGCGGCGGCTATGGCGGAGGCGGATACGGTACTAATTCATACGGCAATAGTGGACTTTACGGAACGGGCGGTTACGGCGCCCTGGGAAGCAGTGGGAATGTGATTGTTGGCACACCAGTTGCAGGCACAGGAACAGGAGGAGTGGTTGTCGGCACCCCTGTTGCAGGAACAGGAGCAGTGGCAGGACAAGTAATAACTCAAGCACAATTAGCGGCAACACTTCCAGTTGATCCTGTAGCAGGAGTAGATGAAATTGACCGTGCACTTGCGACAGGTCAAGGCCAATTATCCTTCATGCCCACTCAAGGCCAGGGCACTTCGTCATCGTCCGTTCTGTCAAGCCCATTAGCCCGTCAATTTGCTATTAATACCGTGGTAGGAACGCCAGTCGCCGGCTCATCAACCGGTAATGTCATTGTAGGAACGCCAATTGGCGGCGGTTATGGCGGCTACGGCGGTAGCAGCGGTTATGGTGGATATGGTAATACCGGCTACGGCGGCGGCGGTTATGGATTGAACCAGTATGGAGGCGGCGGTCTGTACGGTGGTGGATACGGAGGCGGCGGTTATGGTGGTGGGGGATATGGTGGTTATGGCGGATATGGTGGTGGCGGTTACGGAGGTGGCGGATACGGTGGCTATGGAGGATATGGTTACCGGTCCGGTTCATCGAAATCCAGCTCGAGCAGCTCCAGTTCCCCGTCTTCATCGTCCCCATCCAGCTCCGCTTCGTCATCCAGTGCGTCGTCATACCGACCGCCATACGGAGCGATCTCAAGTTCGTACAGGCAGTCCGGCAGCAGCAGTAGCAGCAGCAGTCCCGGCGCTCAAACGTATCCATCGTCATCGCAGTTTTATAAATCACAACTTTCGTCCTATGGGAAATATTAAGTTATTTAACTAAATCTGTTGATTAATCGTTTTTTACTTGGTTCAGTATACAAGAAAAATTTCTTCCAGTTTTGACAGTTTTGCTCGTTGGTGTACAAAATGCCAAAATGAAACTTTTTGTACAGGCCGGGTTTTTTTTCCAAGCGCGATATGTCTTTGCTGTTTTTTGATTCGTCGTGTTATATTTAAAAATGCCAAATACAGTCGCTGTTCTGGTTAATGTAATAATCTTTTATATGTAAGCGCCCACTTCTATATGTGCCTTTGCATTATCATTATTTTTGCACTTTTAGCAATACAATAGGTTTGTATGGACAATGTCCGCTCAATATCAGGAATGGTTTCAATATCATTGTGCCATCATAAGTACCTGACCATTGTCACAAAGCGTTAAATCTATAACGTTTCATTATTGAACGAAAAACAACCCATCACCGCTGCAATCATCTACACACTTCTTAATTAGCAAACGGTGTCAGCCAAAAAAACAGCACAGTAAAAACAAAACGCGTAACAAAAGCGCTGATCATCTAGGCAATCAACGTTGTGCAGGTTACCGTATCTAATTTCAAAATGCCATTAACAACAATTAGACTGTTATGTTAACAAAAGCGTGGCTGTATTCGCCGGCCGCGTTGGAAATTCATGCTGTATCTGAATAACGCAACATGACGTTATGGGTTACGAGTGGAGGTTATCGCGAGAAAATATCCAATTAATCAAAATAATAAAAATGTAGTGAAGTAACACTTTCAGCTGAAAATCTGGTACATCACAAAATGCCGTTAATATCGTTCTTACAAAGCCATGAAAACAGCGTTGAACATGACCGTTCATAACGACATTCTCGAAACCCAAAAAACCTAATTGTAAACAAGTCTACGTTTTAATCTTCAACATTGATACCTAAATTACTTACTCTCAATGCTACTGTAGCACAATGGCATCCGATAATAATAACAATAAAAAATTGCAATCAACAACGGCTCACCAATACGTCCTTACAACCAGGTGCCCACAAGGCAGTAAGTGTACAGCAGCTCATGCGAAATTGCAGACGGCCCAATACAATGGTTAATCAAGTTGCGTGGTTACTTTGTAAAAATTTCAGCAATCAGAATACTGACTGAAAATTAATATCTAATACGGTTTTTGCAGACAGGGCATCCGTTTAACTGCAGTACGTATACTTAGTAGTCCGTTTCTTTACTAACACATACTGCCAAAACAAAGTAAGTGATAACATCATACTGCAATATGCAGAGCCTCACAGAAACATGTGCGTATGAAAACATGACCTTGTAATTTTTTGATAAAAAGCCGGTATCTCACGGTAAAATGCGCAGTACACAGATACATTAGAAAGTATGCGAGGACAAACCATAAAAAAATCTAGTTTAATTTACGATAAAAATGCATGCTCGTGAGAACGATACAGAACCTCAGGGAATCGGGAATTTTTGTAGTACTCGTACACATGCTTTAACTTTCTGACATACTCCTGCGGCGCAAAGCGTTAACGTTCGACAATGTCACAAGGACAGTTAGTCGGACAGCCGAGCGCCATTGTCCGCGCCAGCGCCCTTCATCGATCAAGCTCGCGGTTTTTCCGGTCGAGTAGCGCACAGCGTACTCCGGGCGATGTGTTTGAGCTGATGTCGCTGCAGGAACTCTGCAAGCGTTGCATCCTCCGACAGTTCGGCATTGAGAACATCCAGCACTTGGAGTTCATCCGCATCCCCCGACGAATCCGATCCTACCTCAAGAAAATCCCTACAGAATACTTTATCAAGCCAGACAATTTTGGCTGGTTGCACTATCTAAATCACTTCACTCTGCGCAATATCCATGCCGCCGAATGCCTGCTGGATCGCCGAATCTATACCGTCAAAATGGTGTCATCCACATTCGTCTTGCCCAGTGCAACTGTTGAGGCATGGAAAGCCATTCGCCACCCTAACATCATGCAGTACATCACAACAGTACGGGAAGTTCCGCCATGGCGGATTTACCACATTTTCCAAGGCACCAGCATGTCCCTGCGTGTCTGCGACGAACTGAAAACATGCCGAAAACTAATCATTCCGGAGTTGCTTTTATGGGATGTAATCGAAAAGGTCGTACTCGGTCTGATCCATATTCATCATAATCGCCGATTGGTTTATAACAACTTCAGTTTGGACCATATTTATTACGCCCTCGATGGCTGTCAGTTGCTCCTCGAAAACCCCTTACTTCATGATTTTCCCAATCTTTCTTCGCAGGTATCGATATTAACTTTGATTTTGGATTACGGCGAGAGCATACTATTTACATACGAGAGCATACTATTTACATACGGCTAGTGATTTTATAATACTCAATTTTAATTATTCAGATTCCGCGGAGCTCGGGTCACTATCGACCGCCGCCCTACGTGGTGGTCACCGATCTCGACGGCGCCCTGCCCGGCGGCCACGATCCGCTTTTCGACATATCTCCGGATTATTATCTCAAAGAATCCGAGAGACGCGCTGTGCAGTGCTTGGGTAGAATACTGGACAAGTTATCACTGCCGGCCGATGCATCCACCGCGCTGTTCGGACAATCTAACGGCAATCGTAGGGAACAATCAGCACAAGTGCAGCGAGCCGTCCGAGCTGTGCATTATTCCAAGCGCCTAATTTCCCTGGTTGAGAGCATGCGTGCCGCGCGGGACACAACGGAGTGGCCGAGATTTTTGGATATCTATGATACGGTGAAGGAAGCACGTCAGGTCTTTCAAATGGCGCTAGCGGGACGCCATCCTATGACAATTATGGAGTATGTGCGACCGGAAGAAGGCCCGGTGCCGTTGATCAGGCGATATCTTTCACCGTGGACCGAAGCAGATGAAGATGAATTACAATCATAATGTCCTAACAAATTACAAGTGCTGTACGGTTTTGAATTAGAGTAAATATTAAAATATTTACTAAACGCATATTTCTAAATTAGAATAAAGTACAAACAATATTGTCTTCGCAATTTTATCCATCGTCTTCCTTGTATTCTTCGATTCGGTCCGTATTTAATTTTTATTAAGTGCTTAATACTTCAGTTACTTGGAAGCCTGTCTGTCGAGCAAGTTGATTTTCGCAAGTGGCACAAAAAGAAATGTCCACGCTAAAAAGAATACAAATATTTATTGTTTAGTGCTGAAGCGTGTTCATGGCCTGTTATGGGCCGTGAGAAAAAGCGCAGCCACAAAAGAAACCGGGCGGTAGTGCATCATTATGTGAAGATAGTACGAGTACAGTAGAATAGGGAAGTACTTACTCACTTACAAGTTAACAGTAATTACGTAGCTTTTGTTAAAGATGGCGACTTTGGGCTCATGGTCAGTTGAAAACTTCCAGAAGTTTGCTGACCTAGATGAATGCCACCTTTCGTAGGTATACTCGTCCACTTATTGCACTGATCCCATTTTGGTTCGATTTGCCCGTCGACGCCCTGCCGTGCACTTAACAAGTTAACAACTGAGTTGTTTTTTGTATCATCCTTGGAGACGAGACCGGTTTAATAGATTTAATGCATTTTATGAGAACAGGTTTAGGAAATGCGCCTGAAGAAAAACTCAAGAATTTAGTCTTTGAAATTCTTCGAACTATTTTTTCATGATGCCGTCACCGCGGGATGACACGGGAACTGTTACCAGCAACTAGCAAGTAGCTTAAGATTTTTGTTGATTAATTTTCAACGCAGTCTCAAAGTTTATTAAAATTAATGCTGTACGACCCGACCCGTTCGAGTATCCGAATATCGTACTGTACGGGCAGGCGGGCAGCTTTATTATTGTAGTATCGTTTTTGCTTTCGAACATTTTTACCAGGTTTCCGCTAATTAATCATTATAGCAACTTGCACAGAAGTACCGGTACTCGTGTAATAACTAATAAAGTACACGTATTATTAATTTGTATTTACAGTACATTATGTTCCTTACCTCACATCAGTTACCTGTACCACGGCCCTGCCTGTAGGCCCTGTTCCGCAGGTTGCCTAAATGAAAAGGTTCAGAACTAGTCATGTGTTCTGCTATGAAGTGCTTTGGATGCAAAAACCTGTAGCCAATGTCAACACTCATTAATACCTATCTGCCGATGACGGTGCAGTTTATGGTTAGAATTTCATCAGCAGGTGATTAGGTAAGATGCGGTCTGATCCTTATTTTGCATTACAAGGTGCACCACATTTAGTTTTTGCAGTTTCCGGACTGCTTCTGTGGATTGTACATGTGAACTGAGCTCGCTAGCTGTAGCGACAACTGCGAAAAATGTCCAAGACCGTGGAAGCTAATTTTAAAATGCTGCACGAAGATCGTCATAAACAAGTTGTTTTTATTCCCATCCGCCACGAGGACTCTTTATCCGGAGAAGAGGCGAAACCGAATTCTCGTGGATATGCAATATGGAGACGAATAAAGAAATGCTTACCCGAAGATTTCTCAACCAGTTCCCCTTCGACCGACAGTCGCGTCTGGTCTTGGCTGGCTGTTTATATTCCATTTTTATCGTGGATCGTAAAATATGACGTCAAGGATAATCTTTTTCGAGATGTTATCTCTGGTAAAATGATTGCCTTCTCTCCCCAATTTCGTATTCCAGAATTGCCTGATATGTTTTAATGCGGTCTACATTCCAGGATTAACCGTTGGCACACTGGCTGTACCGCAAGGTAAAACAGCCATTCGAAGTCTGATTGCCGAAAATGTCTGGATGCAGTGCTTGTCTGTTTAGCTTTGGGATACGCACTTGTGGCGGGTGTTTCACCGATTTTTGGATTGTACACTTCATTTATAGCCCCGTTTATATACGCGTTGTTCGGCACTTCCCGGCATGTGTCCGTTGGTAAAATATTAAGACGTATTCTGATGTCTCGAATGTAGTACAAGTTTTTATATTTTATATTTATTCTGTTTTTTTCTAAGGGACGTTCGCTTTGGTGGCTTTGATGTGCGGAGAAACCGTGGCGGATGTGATGGAGAGACAGAAAATTGCGGTTATCGTGGTTGATAATGCGAACGCTACGTTTAATCGGTCATCGATAACATCAGCGCCGGCGGTATCTTCATCGGAAGTAGCGTCCGTGCTAGCAGTTATGGTCGGTGCGTGGCAGGTACGACTGATTTTCAGTGCAAAGATAGCGTCCTGAAAACTGTAAGAATTTGTAAATTTCTTAATTGACTGTGTCGGTTTTAGATTCTGCTGGGCTTCCTTGGTATGGGTGCTCTGACTGTGTTTCTCTCTGACCGCGTGATCAAGGCGTAAGGAAGAAAAAATTCATGCGAAACAGCTCATGGCTTATGTTAGCAGCAGATGGGTAATTTCTGTAGCTGTTTGTTCTTACGTCATTTTTCTTGTGTAGTTTTGCATGTGGGGCCGCTGTTCATATATTGTGCACGCAGTTACAGTGGATTCTTGGTTTATCTCTCCCTAAACGTCGTGGACCATTCAATTTGTTTTATGTACGTCTTTCTCTTGTTTCTCGAATTCAGAATTTTCTTTCTCCATATCTTACGCATCAGGACTTTTTCAGCATGTTGGAGTTTTGTTTTCATTAGCGCGCTAATTTAAGGGATTTGGCTCGGTACATAGAACCAAGTTCGTGTACATCCAGGGGAACTTTCGCTGTTGCGCGCTCCCAAACACTTTTTTGTATTGCTTTATGGTATTTTGTAGCCAGAAGAATTGTTCCATTTTGTATGGAAACTTTACCGTTTCAGTTTTTTGCAGAGGCTGTTTGATGTCGCCTGTAGGATACCGGACATTCATCTCGGTACATTATTGGTGTCCGGTATATGCTTCGCCGTGTTGGTCTTAGCGAAATTCCTTAACGGAAATGCTCGTGTGATGAAAATAATACGATTTCCTATCCCGATTGAGTTGCTTGTGGTACGAACGCTATTTTTGTGCTGGTTAATTAAAGAAGTTTGTTTGTGTACAAGTGCCTTAATTTCGGTGCGCGTATTCACGACTAATATGACTACTCGTATTATTATAAGTAATAATTATTATTATTATTGGCTTTCCGGTTTACTGTTAAACATAAAATTTATATTTAACTTTGCAGATTATTTTCTCATCACTCACGTCGTATTTGATGGATTTGCAAACAGTTTACCGTGTTGACACCGTGAAGAGCATACCACTAGGACTGCCGCAGCCGCTGCTGCCGCCCTTTTCTCTCGTGCAGGAAGTTATTGTGGATGCATTCCTGATTGCGGTGATTGCTTTCTCCATGGCAATTTCGGCTGGTCGCGTATTCTCACAGAAGCACGGATACACTATAAATGGGAATCAAGAGCTGCGTGCTTTGGGGTTTGCCAATTTCTTTTCTGGATTTTTCCAGTGTTTTCCGTCCGGTGTCGCGTTGGCACGGAGCCTTGTGCAAGAGTCTAGTGGAGGTCGCACTCAGGTATATAACTGTCATAAAATGTCCTTATCTGTGCACGTTACATAAAGCTTTCAGTATTGTTTTTTATTTTCTCAACTAGATCGTCAGTATTCTGATGGGTCTTGTTGTCGGTCTGGTGATTGCCTTCGTCGGGCCTCTTTTGGAACCAATACCCAAATCCTGTCTGGGATGCATCATAATCGTGGCTCTTAGTCCAAGCTTGCTGGGCGTTACAGACGTCAAGCGTCTGTGGCGCATTTCTAAAACCGAAGCAGTACGCGAAAAAAATGAAATCTTTCGTATTTTTAGTTGTGATTTTACTACTATTACCGTGAATCGTGATATTGAATTATTAATGTTCGGTTTCATTTTCTAGGCCATGTTTCTGGTGCCCTATTGCAGCATCATCATATTAGATGTGGAAATCGGCTTGGCCGTGGGTGTGATCTTTTCGCTTATAGCCACCGTTATTTATCAGTCCCAACAGTCCCCTGTGGATCAGTTGGAGGCAGTAGAGAGAAGCTACGATTGTTTTCCGGTGACAGATCTGAACGAAAATTTTCGTATAATTAGAATGAAAGGTCCGCTATACTTCGCCAACGCGGAAGCCTGCTTGATGCGGATGAAAGAGCAAGCGTGGCCGGAAATATCTAGTTTTCCGCCTTTGCCTGCCGGTGCGAAATCTGAAGATAGGGATTATCTTCTCAAGGAAAATCCGGCTTTAATTGTCGATATGGTAGCGGTGACGTTTGTGGATATTTCGGGAGTGGATGCATTGAAGAAGTTACACAAAGAATGTACGAAAAAGAAGATTCAAGTATTTGTTTGTGCTGTTTCAGGTGAGACAATCTTTAAACGTAGTGCAGCCTGTAAGTATTCTCAATACAGACATAATCAAGCGTTATTTAACTGATTTCATGGTCTTGGCGCTTTTATAGAAAATGTCAAGAAAATGTTAATGAGGTGTGAATTCGTCGTGGAAACTGGGAAGTCAGTCAGCTCTTCGGGCGGGCAGTTATCGGAAGATTATCTCAAGGATTCGGTGATAGATGCCGTTTATGGTATTAGGAAATCCCGGTCTCAACTTGATGATTGATTTTACTGTGACATATTGTGCATGTTATCGTGCAGCTGGTTTCTGTTTTCTAGTCAGATTGTTTAACATTAACCGTCCTTTTGTTAATATAATCTGCAAAATTTTCGCGATATTCAGTTTTTTACGTTTGCTGAATTATGGCCAGTCAACAAACAACGGCTTGCAAATAAATTATTGTTATCGGTTTTGGTTTGGCAGTTGTAAACATCGTCCCCGGATAACATTATTATTTTTAAACATTAATTTTGTGCGACGATGTCGGCGACTTGAGAGTCATTTGCGCGAGTATGTTGGAATCTGACCAAGCATTCTGCCGGCAAAAGTACAGTAGTCGGCATTTGACTAGATAATCGGACTTTTTGATCCGCTGGATTGTCCGGTGGCTAGGCATAAAAATCGTAAGTCCATTCGCGTGCGGGATGCGGAAAGATGGTAGGGAAACAGGATAGTGTTAAGTACCATGGCCTGCAAGGCCCTGCATGCCACCACAAAATGCATTAGGTTATCAATAAAGGTGTAAAAGGAGTGCGGTACACCTGTAATTCCGGTATCAGTGACATTGTGCTGCGGACTATGCAACGGTGGCACAAAATCATATTCTGAGCTCGAGGGCTTTACATGCATCAATTTACTACTTTGTAGCAGTTCGAGCAAAATAAGGTAATCAGTGCTAATCACTGATCATCCGTAATTACAATCTGAAATCTGAATCACTGTACAAGGCTGGAAAGTACGTATGTCGAAATAAATGCACCAAATTTAATAAGCATATCTCACGATCACCTGAAAAGACTGAAATCGATACCTTAAGTACAAAAAACGATACATAAAAATAATGTTAAAAAATAAGTGGAACATAGTAGCTTTAATCACTGAGGTATAAAGTTGCAGTTTCGCGTCTCTTAGTGAGAGAAATTCCAGACCCTGCAATCAAAGTTCCCTAACTAGAGAGGGAGTGTATCGAGCTTGCTGCAACTTTATAATATATAGATATATACATATCAACAGATTCATATATCCTTACGTCCTTATTTTTTGAAAATTATCTCCTAAATCAAAATTGATTGTTTCAATAAGATGACGCTTTTATAAAATAGAGCATCGCACAAACATTCCTACCTTTAGATTTAAAAAATCTTAAGTTTTGGAGAAGGTCTAAAAAAATTTTTAAAAGCTGTAGTACTTAAAGGTTGTTGGTTTTGGAAAATATCTCCTAACTCGAGATTCCGTTTGTGAAGCTTTTGATAGTTTTAGAAAATCCAGCATCTCCCACAGCTCCTACCTGCTGCTTGAAAAAAAATTTTGGTTTCCGGAACGTTTTCAAAAACCCTTTTAAACTTTCAGTACTTAGCGTTTAAAGTTCATAAAAATTTCCAGTAAATTCTGGAAACGTCTCGAATGAGCAAACACAGGTTTTGCAACTTAGCACCTAAACAATAGTTATTTAAAATTGTCAATTACATCAAACTTTTAAATATACATTTTCAAATTCTAGAAACCTTTAAGATGTTTCTAAATGCGTTTGAATACCTCAGAATAACTGTAAATTTATCCAAAGTCGGCTCCAAAGCTTTTACATTTTCAGAATTTCTAAATATTTCTATATATTTCGACTCGGCCCCGCTGCGCGGGGTCGTTACCTCTAATTTTCTGAGCCTCCAGAGTTTCAAAATTTTAAAAATATCTAGAAATCTGAGTATCTCAATATCGCACGGTTTAAATGGTCTAATTTATGTGTAATTTCTAAATATCTAAAAGCCGGCCCGCGGCCCGTTTACCGTACTCACTAACGTAGCGGCTCTGTAATTCTGGTGGTAGCTTGGGCACTCACTAACCTACTGCACGTTGCTCTGTAATACTGGCGATAGCTTGGGTACTCACTAAGCTCGAAATCTAATAATATAATATATGTATTTATTTTATTTTAATAATTACTGAAGAGTTTGACTGAATGGCTGAAAATCTTACAATCTTACATGCAGCGTGCGAGGTCACCTTGGGCAACCGTTAATTGTTTCCCACAAGTTTCCAATAATTCTGCGCTGAAATATCGGCTGAACGGTTTTTTATGGGCATCGTTTAAATGATCCCACTCCATCCATTTTATCACCGTTTAAATATTATACTGTCTTACCAAAAAATACAGTTTTCAAGTTCGTTAGAATCGGCAATATAAAGTTACATTGAAAACGGGAAAAAGAACCGTGAAAAAGGCAAACAAAAAGAAAAATTACGGAGGTTTTCAGTTTTTATAAAACTGGTCGAATTTAACCGGAAAGCTTGAAAACTGTCCGCATTTCCACATGTTTAAAATATTTTCGTAGCTGGCCTCGCTGGGGTTTTATATTTGAAATATTTAAAATCTTTTTTATTGCTGTACGAAGTGTATTTGTATTTCTTTCATTTTTCCATACCTCGAACATAACTGGTCGCGCGCTAGCGCGACCGATACTTGTATATATCTATTCCCACAAAAACCGCGTAGCCACAGTATTGATTATATTATAATCAATACTGTGGCTATGCGGTTTTTGTGGGAACGATATACGCATTTATGATGATGACAATAAACGGAAAATTTGCCGTAAGTAAAGTACCGAAATAATAATCCTATGACCAGCATTCCCGGTCAGACTCCTGCGACACCGCGAGCACAGCATAACTTCAGCGTGTTATTTTATTTTTCATCTGCAAATTTCCCGAAACGTATGACAATTTCCCAACCACAAAATTATTAAACATTTTGAAGCACAGGTGGTTCATATCCGTCCGGTCTCTCAACGGCTACCCCTTCGGCGTTCGTGGTCACTGTGGCACCTTTGCCACCTTCTCCGTGCATTTCGAGCAGTTTGCTCACTGCAAAAGAAACAGATCAGCGCAATCCGAAAGAACACCCACTATTCCAACATAAGTCTACCTTCGTTTTATTATTCAACTTTTATATGCTAATATTAAGCACATATGGATACTGCCATATGATAATATATCAGTATTCAGTTTCAGTATACCCTTATTAAAATTACAATTAATAAACTGTCACAATCGCCGTATTACGCCAAAAAATTCGGTACAAATTTACAGATTTGTCATAAAGTCACTTGCTTGCTAATTTAGTTTTCTAGAAGTCACCGAACAGTCTAGCCCATGTGAATGCATAGAAAACTATCAATAGGATGCTTTCACTGTAGAATTATCATATTAATACTAATCAATCGCTTATAAAGCTTACATTCAAACTTGGGTTTCTTCATAACTTTGACTTTTCGCACATAAACATCGTGCAAAGGATAAACCGTCTGGCATGCTTTTTCAATATCCTTCGCGATGGAGTCTGGCAGAAGCTTGTTAACAACTTCCTTCAGATCGCTGGAGGAAATTTCTCGAGTCACGATGTTGATCATTCGCTTTCGAATCTCTTTGACCTAGCAAATTAAACATTTCCTATTAAAGCATCGCTCCGGTACGCTAAGAAGTAAGAACCCTTCAACAACCATTCCATGGGTAAAATGTCTGACAAGATTTTTAGGCTGTTTGCTAACTGCACAAACCTGCGAACTTTGCGCATAGCAAGTCTTTCGGAGCGTATTCTGGCGCTTCTTGGTAAACCCGATGACAAAGACGCGCAGCAAATATCCATCAGTGGTCTTAACATCGGTGTGGGCTTCGATCAATGTCTAAAGAGACAAACCATGCCGATTACAGTAGAGCCAGACCACGTAGCCAGACAGATGTGGGCACAATAGTAGTGACAATAGTGTGTGTGGTATTAACGATTAACTGGTAAGCGAAGCAAATTTTTTTCGGACCTGCCATTTTTTGACCATGGAGCGAATCTTGTCCGTAGATAAAGTCATTCCATGGAAATTTGTCAAGACATTCTTCCCACTGACATCCTCCGACATCAGCCGGAATTTACGGAATCCAATGTCGTCATTATGAATATCAGCTTGCGCGACCTCAAAAACGCGGTTCTTCAAACCTTCCGATGCGATCTCTGAAAACATTCATGACCCACTCCTTAGTAAGTTATCAAACGCACTCCCGTCATTTTGGACTCGTATGAACCGCGATAAAATGGATTTTGCACTTCAGCTCAGCTCAGTAATAATTTAAGAGCTAGTACTCCTTCAGCACCAGTACATTCACCTGACTCGAGGTGCCCGTAACAAAACTAATTCTAGAGACAAAAATCGGAGACTTACTAGTTCCCTGGGTTCTGTTGACAATAGTTTTTCCAATGGTTCTCGTATTGAACATCGAAGGGGCACGGATATCATACCAATCCTTTCGAGAGAAAGGATCAACACTGCAAACACACGAATTCATGAGTAACTGAAGAGCCATCCGTGACCAACCGGCTGCATACGCTCATCATGTTCGCGGCACTTACATCTTCTTTTTTCCACCTTTTTTGCCTCCCTTTGCCAAGCGCTTATTCTTTCCTACCGCCATGATTAAAATTCGAGGAATCAAGCGACTTCAAACTGGTAATCAAAACGGAGAACCAATGCAGGTAGAAATGTTGGAACCGCGCTCTCACTACACGATAAGAGTCCGTACATCGTATAAACCTGCACGCGCATACGGAGTCGTGCAGGGAACATTTCGGCTTCTGCATTCATATGAACGCTTTGAACCAGTCGCAGCGCTCATTGGTTGCCATTCGCAGGGTAAAAAATCGCAATCATGATTGGCACTTCTGCAATATGGTCCAACCCATTCCGATCAGTCTACCTCTCAAGGGTGTCAGTCACAATATTCTAAGATTTTTGAATACGAGTATTATTGACGTTGTTACAGAGTACACGTCGAATTCTGGAACGAATTTTTCCGAAATTTCATCAACAATAAAAACTTACAATTTCGCCGGTGTACAGTGCCAGTCTGCTAGAAACCCTTTAGAAAGAAAGTACGAACTAGAGATACCAGATCTCAACATTCAGATCAGAAATCCGGGACAGTCTGCCAAGCAACATTTTGTCTGGTACAAAGACATTTGCAAACACAAACATGACACTGATGAATTATTAATTCAGTAGCGTGACAGATTTTTCTCTCCATGCCAGCAGTAAAGCGCCAACAATTACAAAAAAAAGACTAACCCTGCAATTTGTATATTCCAGATTTCAAAAAAGTTTCTATATCGGCCTCAGTGGGATCTTCTACGTTTTTCGCCATCGTTGCAATGCAGTCCACAAACGCTCTTCGGTATTTCTTTATAAAATTTATCTGATCGATGGCAGTTTGCTGCAGCTCAACTAATGTAGGATTATCCAAATTGGGGGGAAGCTCGAAGTTAGCATCGAGAAGAGAGGTAGCTGTCTGCGGAAGATGCCGTGCGGTCCACAGAGCTTGCGCGGCAGTTTGTTTGAAGGTATCCTAATTCGGCAGATTCGAAAATGAACGCGCAGTTTCGCAATGATAGAACAAAAAATTCAGTCTATTTATTGCACGAATTTTCCCCAATTAATTTTACCAAGGTGGACAACTCCTGCAGCAGCGCATAAATTTCCGCATCAGGTTTAATGTCCAGCTCAGCCAACATTTTATCGTCTGCATCTGTGACACTGAAAACATGTAACTGTGATTACAAAGTCGACTACTTTTTCAAAAGGGTCAGAGCAACATCTGCTAGTGATACGGTACTGATACAGTACCTGTCGGACAATCTTCCACTACCCTCTCCGGCCATCAGACTTAAATTTGATAGGTAATTTTGCAGAAACACGGCATCCGCTTTGAATTGCGTCTATAAAATACAGTAAACTGGAATAGGGTAAAAATACTGTAATCTGCATACAACTGCCAGAAAGTCATAGACTGCACTACACAGACGCATAAATGCGAAAAAAAGCGAAGTGATAAAGCGAAGGATGGAAAACGCGCAGCGGGAAGCAGCAGACATCATAGAGTAGACTGCTTAGAATCAAACAAGTCTACAAACTGCCCATTTTCTCCAGATTGCTTAGCATCGCGGACGGTCCAATATTACTTAAATGCACGCGGGTGCACAAGCACAGCGTTATTAACCGGCGACAACTTGCTTTCATACGAATTACGAAAATAAAGTAAGAAATACCTTGAAAACCTTTACGAACAGCTTTAAGCAGCAGATTTACCCCAACGGCCGTTTCGTAGTTGTCAGATAAGGCTTTCATAGTGGTTTTGATGTTTCTGAACGAAGGTCCACCCGAGCTGGCCGAACCCGACGGAGTGAAAGTCAACGTGTTGGCAAGTGGTACAATCGGAATCGAAGCAACGGTAGAATTCGTGACCGCCGTCGCACCAGGGTAACCTCCATGGATAGCTTGAGACATCTGACCGGGACTTGTAAGATTTGAGCCGGCAGCTGCTAAGGAACTGGTAGTGCTACTTGGAAGATAACCAGGCGGCTGCTGCGTGTTGCCTGCCACCGGATGGCTATCGAAAAACGGCTGCGGGACGGTTGCGCTATTCGAACCAGGGTTCATTCCTTGAGGTCCCATTCCGCCGAACTGAGGACGATGCATTGCGGAACAATGCAATAATACAAATCAATAAAAACGAACTAGCAAAATCCAAGTAGAACAAGCATCGATGCGTCGACGCTAAAAGCAGCGCACCCTGCAAAACACAGAATGGTGATAACCGAAAAAGAAAACAGTAAGTTGTAAGTACACTTTAACAGGCTACTTAGCACAGCACTTACTTTTTTTAGCAGGCTTCACTCAAAGTAAATACGGCGAAGTATGATACTGAACTTACTAACTTATATAAAATGTGAAATGGTTCTAGCCTGTCCGAAAGCGTAAAACTGAAAATTAGTACTTAAGTAAGCTGTAAAGTGTAAGCTGTAAGAGATGCGGATAAGGACATGCGACTGCACTGCCAATGCGTTGAGCGCGCTGGTGTTCGTTACGACGTCGGCCAAGTGCAATGCGGGTGACGTCGACAAGGCATACTACCTCCGGATGTCGCAACATCGGCAATAGCTTTACTGTGTTTAACTACGCAGTTTGCAGTCTCATAGCTTATTTGAAGTTATTTCTGATTTTTTAATCGAAAATAATTACTTTTTAATATCTTTGTCATTTGATCTAACAGTAAGTCGACAATTCTAACTAGTGCCAAATTCAGTAGATTGCTAATGCTGTTCATTACGTACGTCAAAGTTTAATTTATAATTCACCGGAACATTCTACGAAATTCCAGTTTACAATTTTAAAGAATAAGCTCTTATACGCTCGTATTTTGGCTGGTAGTGCGTTTCAGTAATTTCGCGACGCCTTTGGATTTTTGTGGAATGTACCGGTGAATTATAAAATTGTGTGGCGAATTTTGTGGAATGCATCGGTGAATCACTTATAAAATTTTTAATGAGGCACCAGCATAAAAATGCACTTTCTGACTCCCCGTTTTTTAAAAAACTCCGTCAAAAAAATTTAAAATTTCCGTTTTCTTGCATTCACTCGGGTGAAATTTTCGCTACGCCAAAGACTTTGCCGCAGTTTTTTTCATCATTTTTTTGCATTGAATTGTAGGTCAAAAATAAACACTTCGAAGTAGGCAGATGCCGGCTTCCAGAGTACTGTAACTAAAATGTTTTTTCACTTACAATAATAAAAGCATACAGTCTAAAATTCTCCAGTAATACCAATAGTACCAAAAAATAATACTTCGTAAGTTACACGTACATACTTACCGGGGATATAATTTTTAAAGAAATGGGCTCGCAACATCAGGCGGCTAAACGTATTAAGGTTATTTTTTATTTGCCAGTTACCATTGATCAGGTGCTGGCCGAAAGCCGACTACTGTACTCTGTAGCACTCGTGCAAGTCTGTAGTTTGCATCTATAAAGTTATTTTATATAATTCCACATATAATGTTACACATATAATACCAGATGTGGTGTTAGTATATCTGCGTAATATAACGCAAGTGAGATAAAAATTAATACTGCAACAGCAACACATTTAATTTTGAATAAAAAAGTTATAAATAGCCGCAGGATAAAATTATGATTCTGGTTAACCGTTAACAGGAGTCACAAGCACACCAGCACTATGCGCTAAATGATTATTTTCAGAAAAGTTATGAATTCTTTTGTGGTGGACAGTAATTATCGGCATTTGGAGACACCGTGGTGCACAACAATGCCGCACGACTAGGACTAAATACGAACTAATGACTCATTGCCGTTGTGTATTTTTTTACACGAGTATTTTTAATTTTACATTTTACTTTGGTCTGCCATAAATGATAAATTCATGCCTTAAACGAACGGTCTGTTTGCCGTCCCTCCAAATGTTTTGGTGTATATACGAGAAAAAAAAGGTTATCGTAGCGCACAAGTGCTTATACTTATTTATCATTATTGTATGATCTGTAAGTGTTTAATTACAGTGCAATCAGCTCCAATACCTGTAAAATGCAATTTTTTTTAATTCTCAAAATCTGTAACATACGTAAACTGTAATTATATAACGAGAAATTCACTATTAACTTACTGCATGCGTGAGTATTGATTGTTAGACCTCAGCATTATAACCTGGTTCATAAGCACTCTAAACAACAGCAAAAGTTTTGTTTGAATAATTTAGCATAGTACGATCGAAAGTACAGTGCGGGCTCTGAATGTGCACTAATTATTGTAATATTTTTAAGATTTTACAAAATTTATGAATACAAAATCAAATCGACAAATTTTCAAAGTGAACTATTGAAATCAACAGCAGCGTAGAATTAAACTTTGATGTACAAGTGCATAGTGAACAGCATTAGCAATTTACTGAATTTAGCAGTAGTTGGAATTATCGACTTATTGTTACCTCAAATGACAAAGATATTAAAAATTAATTATTTTCGATTAAAAAATCAGAAATAAGTTATGAGACTGCAAACTGCATAGTTAAACACAGTAAAGCTACTGCCGGTGTTGCGACATCTGGAGGTAGTATGCCTTGTCGACGTCACCCCCACTGCACTTGGCCGACGTCGCAACGAACACCAGCGCGCTCAACGCATTGGCAGTGCAGTCGCATGTCCTTATCCGCATCTCTGTAAGTTTTGAAGTTGATCTTCGTTTGGATTTTTAAATTTCACTGATTGAAAAGAACTGTGGAGCCTTTGAAGTTGGACTTCCAGTTCCAGGCCTGTCTAAAAAATCATTCAACAGGCCCGCCTGGCGGTCCGTCATGTAGAACAGAATACAACAAACTACCGCCTGCGGACGGTGATGCGATCAGGTCCCGAGGTAGTCAGATTAAAATACGCTTCGACTTCCGAGTCATTTTTGGTTTTGGTGTTTCATTTTATTGTTTTAACTGGAATGTTGTATTAACTATTAACTTGTGTACTGTACTTGTATTTCGTACAATAATGAAAGAACCCACGAACCCAAACAGCTGAAATGAGCAACCTTCCAGTGATCTTGTGATTATTTGGTGGATGACAATACTGTCAATACACAAATAATATCCGGGCTGGAGATTGTTGGAAACTGGTAAGCAGTAAGCCGTAAGCGTAAGCTGATAAAAATTTTAGGATGGCGATGAATGTTTTTAATGAACAAATGCTTGTACAATACTTAACTTCAGAGTCTTGCCCAACATTATTCTTATCTTTTAGTAGCTTTTCATCGTAATGGATTCTAATGGTGCGGCTCACCAGGAGGTGAGTGGGGACCAGATCGCCGAAAACCGTAGTGGAGCGGAAAAAGCAGGTATTGGCTGGTTGTCACGTTAGCACTATGATCAGTATGATGCATTACAGTAAATTACGAATTTACGATGATGTTAATGTTATTATTGTTGCAACTCTAAATTCTGAAAGGCTACGCTACTGTAAATCGCTGCACGATGCTGTTGTAACTCACCATCAGTAGCCTGAAGTTGTTTATTTGGAGCCCCACATTGTTCGTGGTTCGTTGATCTTCCTTTTTAAAATTAACAGTATTACATGCCATGGGATTGCCAACGGGAATAGATCCCGAAAACCTCCAAGGGGAAGATCCTGTATCTACAGCCAGCACGGTCGAACTGAAAGTTACTCATAATAAACAGCTGATGAGCGTAACCATTGCTCTGGATCAGACCGTCAAAAACCTAAAGGAGATGTTGGCCGTCCTAACCGGAATTCCTGCCGATAAGCAGAAATTAATGTGGAGTAAAGGCCCTTGTCCAGACGATAAGGTAGTTTATCTTGATTTCTGCTGCGAATGAAAGTCCTGTTTCTCGAATGTCATGTGAACAGTTTTGACCACGTTTGATAAATCGTAGACGATAGAAGAACTTGGTGCCAAGAATGGATCGAAATTTATGATGGTCGGCTCGTCTGAGAAGGAAATCAGTAATGTCCAATCGAAGCCAGATCTGTCGACGCTCAACGCCTTGCAGCAGAGTAGCGACAAGCCCGAGAAACTTTGCGAGCAGACCATGCACCGAAAAGTGATCGATAAAGGAATGCCGTCCGATGTGATGCCGGGAATTCTGAACGAACGCGAAGCGTTGCCACCATTTCCCCTATCAGGAATGCTTAACAAACGAGGCAGTTCGGTACGGTTGACTTTCAAGTTGGAGATGGATCAAGTATGGATTGGCACCAAAGAGAGAACAGAAAAAGTGCAGATTGGATCTATTCGAAATGTGATAAGTGAACCCATCGTTGGACATGAAGAGTATCACTGTACGAATTAACTTAATGGTTTAAGCAAAGTATTTTCAGCTGTTTAATTCGCTTGCTTTGTTTGTTTCACAGTGCTTGCTCTGCAAATGGGTCCAACGGAAGCTTCCCGTTATTGGTAAGAAAGAAGTAAACGGTATTAAAATCTATCGTTAATTTTGCCCAGAGTAGGAGTGGAAGTGTGTCGATTCTGAAGTTTTCGACATCGCTTCATTTACTTACTGACATATTAGCAATTAGACAGTACGTTCTTTTTGACTATCATGTCGTAAAATGGCTTTGCGCTGAATTTTTTTTCTTTGTTGACTATGTGTGCTTATCTTTTATTGATAGGTTGTACTGGGTTCCTGCACAATATGTGGATGCGATCAAGGAAATATTTTCTCAGTTTGATTTATCAGCTGATTAATACTAAGTCCTTATCTGCGATTACTTGGATCGAAACCCAACTCACGACTTTCTGTTAATAATGTTCTGACAGTATAGTTTGAGTTCAAAATGATTGGAAAAAGGTTAATAGCATTTAACGCCCAAGCGTTAAATGAGATTAACGCAGAGCGAGCGAGTGTGTCTAGGCAACACCGGAAGCTCCCTTCAGCGTGCTCCACGGACATGTTGTCATTCACAAACTCATTATTTCGCGACCAGAAAAAAATGCAGAAAAAAAGCTTTTCGTGAACGCAGAAACTTTTGTGTACATCCCACCCGTCGCTTATCACCCGCACAGCAGATGGTCTTCCAAATGCCTTAGAATCAAGAAAAGGTCGAATTCTGTATTCCTGCTCGACGGACGCTTGTACCTTGCCACGCCCATCTCACAGCCTACTGAAAATTCCGTTTCGCTTAACATCACACCGTAGCCGAGAAACTGCGAACCAGGATGGCGCAGATGCCGTGGATCCAGCACCACCGTCTCCCGCGACCATATCAGAACATTATACCAAGCGTTTGTACACATTATGAAAAAATTTTTGGTATTCTGTAATAAAATGTCTGGAGTTTCTAATACCATACAATATGTGGATGCGATCAAGGAAATATTTTCTCAGTTTGATTTATCAGCTGATTAATACTAAGTCCTTATCTGCGATTACTTGGATCGAAACCCAACTCACGACTTTCTGTACATAATGTTCTGACAGTATACCAAGTATTATACCAAGCGTATTATACCAAGCGTTTGTACACATTATGAAAAAATTTTTGGTATTCTGTAATAAAATGTCTGGAGTTTCTAATACCTTACTTAGCATAAAAACTGCTTAATATTAACTTGACAAAATATTGCCTTTACTGACAGTTGGGCACGTACCTAATTAATTATTTCACCGTACTGTTTCCGTATTAATTTATACGAGTACCATAAGTTGAAACTGTACTATTTACACAGTTTCTAAACAAATCACCCGAAAACTATTGTACCTGATAACTATCACAGTTCTCTTCGCACAGCTTGCTAAAAATTAATATTATCAAAGTTCGATACCATGAGGTTTAAGATTGTCTAATTAACCGAATATTTCTGAACATTAAGTATAATTATTAAATTATATATACATAAGGTTTTCAACTTTGCATACGTACTCAGTTCTTATCATAATAATAATTAATGTTTGTTTGCTTGCATAACGCTAATTTGTAACAATATTATAATGCAATTAGTACTTGTAAGTTGTACGTGATCTCTCATGATCATTATTCGTACTGCAATAATATGTAGCCAGTGCAGGCAGATCATTCGCATTTGTTTTGCATGTTTTTACATGCGATTTCGGGATCACATTACACCACCTGGGATTTCAAAACCAACGCGCTGCCACGCCATGTCCCGTAGCCTTTGGCCATTCTACTGCTGTATATTGCGGTTCCTACCATTCCGTGCAACCCTCCGCAATGCGAAAACCATTTCCTGTCGCCCATTCCTCACTGCCCCACATCAGCTGAAATTTTTCTGCACACTGTTTGTGCCCAACCTCTTTCCATTCCTTTCCACTGAGTTTTAGTCTCTTCATCTGTTTAATTTCGCAATTTCCTGTAACTTTCGACTACATTCCTGTATGCCGTATTGCAGATCTGTTTCGCTTTTCTTTCCCTGTTCTCTCTGTCTTCCGCGCGCGGTTGGGGCTGCCTGTCGGTTTGGGGTGTCCGGCGCGGCTCGTATCATACACCTGGTGACCGGCGACCGCCCTTCAGTGCGTCGTCTGGACATCACCCAGGCTGACCATGATCACTTGCCCCGGCATCCACAAGCGGCAACAAATGATCGCGAGCGAGCTCGACAAGCGTTAATAGCATTTAACGCCCAAGCGTTAAATGAGATTAACGCAGAGCGAGCGAGTGTGTCTAGCAACACCGGAAGCTCCTTCAGCGTGCTCCACGGACATGTTGTCATTCACAAACTCATTATTTCGCGACCAGAAAAATGCAGCCCTCCCTCCCGCTGCTTTTCACGCACAGCAGATGCGTTATCATCATGTTCATACGTACAGCAGATGCGTCCTCATATTTATACGACATACGCACAGCAGATGCGTCCTCAAACTTCTCATGTTCATACGCACAGCAGATGCGTCTTACCGTATACCCGCATAGCGGATGCTTGTTTTTTCGTTATTCTTCCTTGATTCTGTGTTCATTTGCCATTGATTCTGTGAATTTGTTCATTTATGGTGATTAAAGGGTGTCCGGCGCGGCTCGTATCATACACCTGGTGACCGGCGACCGCCCTTCAGTGCGTCGTCTGGACATCACCCAGGCTGACCATGATCACTTGCCCCGGCATCCACAAGCGGCAACAAATGATCGCGAGCGAGCTCGACAAGCGTTAATAATGACATTACTGATTTCGGGCCTGTGGTCCGGTGTACCACAGTGTACTTCTTATTGTTTATGACTCTTAACTGTGACATCGTTCACGTAAGAAGGTTTTTTGATAGCGAAAGCGAGCCGTGTACATACACTGTACAGTACTCGTACAGATTCTTCAGATATTACAGTATGCTGGACGATTATGTTTCGATTTACTGAAAGTGAGAAACCAGAAATGTAGATAGTAGTAATAAAACTGTTGAAGTAACTAAATTTTCGCTGTTTTATTATTTTGATTTAACTGGACGTTGAGTTAACGAAGTGCGAAATGTAAAAAGACAAACTCGCATGATTTTTCTTACTAGTAATAATCCAGTAGTCAACACACTTCGAACTTCATCTGTAGAAGTACGAGTATTCTTAAAACCAAACTAATTGAATTCTAACAGCATGGATACAACTAGAATTACAATAAACAAATAAGGTGATCAGATAAACTTCGTTCGGTGGTGAATAACTTCGTTCACAACCTTTCGTACCACCCTTCACTCCGTTCAGTAAGTTCTGACAATACTTTTTATTCTGTGCAGTGTGCACAACATTTTCCGGCAGTGCCTTTAATTCGTTAATGTTTACTGGCGAGTGCGAAACAGATACGTCATTACGTATTATATTACTCGTATTACGTATTATAGAAGAGTGAAAAGTGAACTGATTGTTAGTGAAAAGTAGTGAGAAGGTCGTCAACCGAGTGAAAGGCTGTGAGGGTGAACGTAGTGGTGACCAAAAATAATCCTGCCTAATCATAATGAACTTAAAGAAAATATCGAAATTTGAGAGGGTAAATAATAAATGCAGATACTGTAGTAATATATTAAAGAAGCAACACCAGCAACACTAACTGAAAAGTAATTAAAGCACATAAAGTTTAAGCTACAATATCCAAAATTTCTTTAATAAAATGGCGTGCTATTAATATCTGAAGTATTTCTAAAAATACTTACTACAATTATTTGTACTGTTACTTTAGCACTCTCGAAAATACCATATCAACGCAATTATTATAATCCTCGTAACAACTCTGGTGCAATAACAAAACATTTACCGATTCATGCTCCCGAATGCTCATGCCAAATGCGCCGCATGTAAACCTGACAACTTTGAGAAGCGAGTTTCCAAATTAAAATATCCGCGTAAACTACGCACAAAAAAAGCTGTACGAGATTAAGCATTTCTACTGTTTAATCGCTTAATAATGAAACGTAAAAACTAAAAATCCACTGCGACCTTTAACCAAAAGCCACCAATATTACATTTCTTACAATTAGTGGAAATGCTGCAAGCCAAATAGCGATTAGGCATACCACCAAACAAAGTGAAGTTACTTTAACATCTTTGTAGTAAATCCCGAGTTCCATTCGAACTTGCAGATGTACGTTCATCAACAACTCATTTCAACGTATCCGAGAATCGTGGTGATACAGTCACGTCCAATGCAGATGTTAATGTCCATATACAGATTCGTCTGATACAGCGATGTACAGAAAGCCATCCTAAAAAACATGGCAACCACTGATGACTGATCACAAAAATTAGTTACATCACAGAAACTACGAATCCTGTGTAAGCTAGCAAACGTTATCGCATAGAAGTATTCACAGCGTTGCGCTGTTGAGCAGTCCGGATGAATGTATATAAGTCAGAACACCGTTTAAACGGTTGGTCGTTAATAAGATGTTATGCGAAAGTTTATGCAGTGCTGCAATTACGTAATCCAAACGTTCAGCAAGTTATGATTACCTTATGAATAAAACTGTCAATCAAGCTTTGAAGCGAATGGTCTTACAATACTTGCCAGTGCAGTTAAATTTTAACGAGCATTAATCAAGACTGTTGTCGTTCAATTCATGGAAAAACAGCAGCAACATCAACTTTAAGAAAAGGCAAAGCTCAAATAAGAATCGAAAGAAACATTAAATAACAATAACAATCCTAATGAACATAAATTCATCAGTCTCTTTATGCTTACCTCATCATGGTGTTCCTCATACAAGGAACCCATTGTGGCAGAGCTCGGTGGTATCACATTATTCACGAAGAAGAAGAGAGCTTCTTCCGGTCGGAGCTGCAAAACGAAAACTACTTCACAACGTACGTACTAGTACAACATTTGAAAAATACTTAAATGCACGATCAGTGTTAAATTTTTGGAACGTCGGCCACTCATAACAAGTACTTCCACAAATTACTGCGGACAGTCACACTTACATACAATGATACAGCACAAAAATTATTAGTATGGTACTACGAAAAAATCAAAAACACTTCTGACGCAAAAAAACAACGGCGGTAGCTAACACTAATATTAATAAAACACCAAACCAAATAAAACATCACTACCAACACGTAAAAAACGAGAGTTGCTAGTGGTTGAACCCTTAAACATTTTCTTCCCTGTAATAACATGCTACTGTCTATGGCCATCCGTACAGTAAATCGTAACCAGGAGGCTGATTTACGAGGGAAAGCGCTGAGCAATGTTGTAAGTACTTGATACTAATAAACGATTATTTTTTACAGTGCTACCCGATTCCTACCTGGATGCGCTTGCGCACAAGGAAGTAAAATTGTCCCACGGTTAAATCACTAGGAACTAGGAACTTTGACTTTTCGAGGTCCGCAAATCGCGCTTTGGGAGATTTTTCGACGATCACAGGGATTCGATCAGGATATTTTCTGCGCATCTTTTCCGCTTCAGCCTTTCGCTTTTCAAATGAATGATTTTCCTTGTACTGCCAGCGCATTCTCTATCAAAGATATAGAATAATTACAGAACTTGACAAATTCTAGCAAACTCGAGAATTTAATATACTTAATTATAAAATACATGTTGTACGATTTATCACAACAAGCAATTAAAGTTCAATAAGATACTGTACTTTCGGAAAAAGAATACGGTGGCTGCTGCGACTTAAATTTCGTCTCTTTGTCTACTCACCTGTAAACAAAGTGGGAAATACTTCAAAAAGCAAAGGGAATATTTTTAGGGATTTTTTAGCACTGTTGCGAAAACGTATTACTTTTAAACTATTAGTATTGGATTTTAATATCGTTTATGATCGGTAGTGACAGGATTATATGACTGTGCCAGAACTACGAAAGAAAAAAGGAAAAATGACAACATCGAAAGCGTGTTGTTGCTGGGGCGAAAGTGGTCAGATGACTTCGATGATCAGGCAAGCGGATCAGTAATAAAGTAACGCCCCAGTAAGCCAAATTTTTATTTCACAATCAAATGTTAGCGAAAGACATGATCATTTGTGTGCCAATAGAAAAGAATCTCCCCCAGGAACAGCTGCGCCTTAGAGCATGTGCATATGCGCCTGTGAGCCGCGCCGTGCAGTGTTCATTTTCCAGAAAAATCGCAGCTGCGCAGTGTGCAGGGGTGCAATACAAGTCCGAAGTTCTTTTTCACATTTTTTACTTCAAAACTTAAAATAATTTGAATAAAATTTTTAAAATTAATTAGAGGCTTTAGAGCCGTACTTACTGTTTGCTCTGAATAACTTAGTATAAAAGTTAAAACCGGTCCTGGGACAAAAACTTCGAAAATTTACAAAAATTCGCTTGCCTTGCCTTGAGAGTTGAGAACTCCAAGATTTGAAATTTTCATTTTCCGACTTCGAGTGAACTCAGTGAAGATTTTATATTTTTATGATTGTCATTTGTCAGGTTTGGCGATTGTCGATCGGCGATCCAGTTTTTGAGATATTAAAACATACTGTCAGAGTGACGACGACGTTGTGAGGATAATTTTCTACTCTATCTTTGTGATTTGAGTTGTGATAACTATGGCGAAGTGGGGTGAGGGTGATCCGCGTTGGATTGTGGAAGAGAGACCGGACGCCACAAACGTTAACAACTGGCACTGGTAAGAATTGGAACATGAATGACACCGTTACGGGCGTTACTGCCTATTTATGTCATTGTGGATTCCACATAGTCATAAATTGAGGAACCTCGATGAACTAAGAAAGGAGACTAAGCGGTTTTAAACGGCTTGTTACTTGTATCGCTTCGTATGGTCCGATGCAGCCAGCAAGAAACTGTTACACAAGGTGACAAGGGGGAAGTACCTTGCGATGGTGGCTCGAACTGCTGGAGGATACTTTAAAATTTAAATATTGCGAAGTTTTACAGCTCGTCTTAGCGACGACAAAAAGTATCTAACTAATGAAAAATAAATTTTCTAGGACCGAGAAAAACGCAACGGAATGGAGCAAACAGCGTATGAAAGAGTTGTTCGACAAACTGGTAATTGACGACGAGAAAACCGGTCGCTGCGAAATAACATCAGTCTCTGAAATGACTGGAGAAGCGTACCTCAACAACCGCAAATCGAAGCTGATAGTGTTTTACGAATGGCAGCTAGAACTGGAATGGAAAGGTAAGTCGAAGCAGCTGCTGTTGTGTCTGGAATTTTTCTTGACAAGAGCCGGTCTGACACGTGCGGATGCGAACAGGAAACGTTGCGGGGAAAGATTCTGCCCACGAAGGGAAAGTTAAAATTCCGAATTTCAGTGAGGAGTATTCGGTAAAGGAAGTCGATGTGGAAATATCTGTGAAGGGTTCTTCGACCGCCGATGAGCAGCTGAAGTTGATGATGAAAACCAAAGGAACACCATTGATAAAAAAGAAGCTGGAGCTTTACTTGAAAGAACTGCGAGAAGGTATGGGTGTGTCACCGTATCTTCCCGTTTTTCTGTCTTGAGGTTTCGACTTTGATGTATGGATATAGTATTTATGTATATATTATGCATCCTTTTTTGTAGAATACAGTAAAGACGTGATTCTCCCTACGAAAGGAACCGAAAAGCCCAACTCTGCGCCGGTTGTTGCCAGCTCAGTGGTAGCCAAAGCGGGAGGAGATGAGTGCAAGAAGCCGGTCGGTGTTAAAATTTCTACAGAAGATTTGGAATTAACTGAAGAATTCCACTGCACTGCGGATGACATGTACAAAGCGTTAACTGTGCCTGAAATGGTTTTCGCATTTACGCGTTCGTCGGGAGGAATTTTTGAGCCAGACAAAGGTGGAAAATTCAGTTTGTTCAATGGACACGTGACCGGGGAAAATATTGATCTCGTAAGAGTTGTGCATCTTAAAACCGTTTTCGCCCTGTTTTCAACGCAAATTGGCATGTAGAAAGCTGCTTCCCGTCGAAGCATCCTTTTGCTTGGTCTGTTTTCTAAGAGGCTTTTTTTCACATTTTTAGGTTAAAAATGAAAAGGTTGTTCAGACGTGGCGATTCAGATCGTGGCCGGATGCTCATTTTTCGATAGTTACGATTAATATCAAGCAGAACGACAGTGGCACAACTGTGCAGCTTAGGCAAACCGGTATTCCGTCGAACGATTTCGTCCGCACCAAAGAAGGTTGGAAAAATTATTACTGGGATAGTCTCAGGGCTACTTTCGGTTTCGGGGCTTTGTTGACCTGAAATACTTCTCAAATGTTTTGATATTTCTCTTGACACAGCGTTTGATCATGGAATTTTTAGTCGTTTCCAGTTCGCTGTTGCATTTGCCTGTTTGAATTGAAATGTTATGTTATAAAATCACTTCGCAGTTCACGATATCGTATTTACAACAAAAGTTTTATATTGAGTTATGAACAAACTACCGTTGTTGGCTGCATGAGTTTACATTGCATATTAGAACACTTCACTCTGATGCGGTTGGTATTTACTGTTTAACATTAATGAATCCCAGAACTGGAATAGTTTTAATATTGGTGTTGCAATTTCTACGAAATCGTGCAGAATCAATATGTTCACTGGAACAGTCCAGCAGGTCCGCACAAATGCATGTACGTGCAAGCGGTGCAACGTGCAGTACGTCTCCACTACCTACAAGTTAAAATTAAAATCGTCCAAATCCCGCCAAAGTCCTGTACGAGGAGCGAAAAAAAACTGTAGTTTTGAACTTTTGTGGGATATTTCATACTGAAACTTAGACGTTAAGAAATGACACAAAGTGGAACGGATTCCAGCTCGAATTTCGTTATACGGTATGTTAAAATGTTTTACTTCAACAGATTCGTAATGGGCTGCCAGCCGCACTGGGTCGTGTGTTATAAGTATCTGGCGGCTTGCTTTGTAGTTTGCGCACATGGATATGGGAACTCCAAGATCAGGACCATTTTGGAATGGATTCAAACAATTTTACGGAGTTTACCACAAATTCCTCAAACATTTCTGTGTTGTAAGCTTACCGCATGGTATAAGCCCGCGAATTTATACATATAGCATTTCTGCCAGATTCTGTAATCAGGAATCTTGATTGCATTGTATCCTGCTGCGAAAACAGTTTTGAACTTTTGCATTCGTTACGCATTTGCCGTGGAACTGGCTGGTGGTTGGACAGTTTGCAGTTAGCAATAGTTCATAGTATGGATAAGTTGGAGCCTCCCGAAAAGTTTAGCTTTCCATTCGAGCCGTACGCTATCCAAGATGCCTTCATGCGAGATATTTTTACGACCATCGAGGAGCGCAAGATTGGGTTGTTTGAGAGTCCTACGGGCACTGTAAGTCAGCTGTAACACGTAGTGCAGTAATTATCTGTTTTAAAAGTCGACTGAAGAATTTCTTTTTATCGGTGAGAGCGGGTAAACCATGAAAACGAAATTCACAGCCTTGCGGGTTTTTTACTTTTCCAGGGGAAATCCCTTAGTATCATTTGTGGAGCCCTTACGTGGCTGAAGGAGTACAAAATCGGGATTGAGACACGTTTGCGAAATGTCCTCAGCCAAGAGTATGCTCATTTTACTCTTTTTTTTAATGCTTATATGAAAATGCCAAATGGTTAGCAAGAAACTGCTTTAGGAAACTTCTTGCTGCCAACGCGAAAGCAGGTATGTGTTGTCTTTGCTCCGCACTTGTGGTTAGTTGAGTCTTGGTTTTATACTCGCACATCTGCTCTACTGCACGGAGTCTTGCGGATTACAGATAATTGGTTGGCGGCGGATTATGAGTGCTCCAAAGAAAAAGAGAGTTGTCGATCTCAGCGAGTCACGCTCGAAGGTCTGCTTAAGCGTGAATTACATTGGAAGAAAAGGCGTGATCAGTTGTTTTTACAGAAGAAAACGAAGGTATGAATTATGAAAATTAAATACATCCTTAACGAACTCTTGCTTGGGATTTTCGGGGGTGGCTTCTGGGATTTTTGATTTTAAGCAGCAGTAATTTGAAATTTAAGAACGACAGACATTTGTAACGACGCACTTTACTTCGTAACATATTCTGTTTGCGAGAGAGGTTTGTTGTGTGTGCATTGTTAATTTTTGCGGTAGGAGAAAGAATCAGACGCCCTTCAGGAAAGTCTGGATTCGATAGAAAGTGTGTTGAAAGAATGCCAGAATGGAGGCGAGGCTGATCAGTCTGACAAAGATCTACTGGTAGAAGATTTCCAGTTGGAGGATAAATTTGGTGATGGTTTTAAGATAGACGAAGAGCAGACCGTGATCCATGTGCAGAAAGTAGGCAACATATGACAAAGCGATTTAGGATACCTTTTTTGACTGATATTTTGCGTTACGAAGAATTTTTAAAATTAGTTTCACTTTCTTGTGTTCTCCCATTTTTATCGGTTTATTATTTATGATTGTTATAATGTTATAAACATTCGAAAACGATTCCGCCTGCTTATCGTTTCAGATTTATTATGCCACAAGAACACACTCTCAGGTGACACAGTTCATCAGCGAGTTGAAAAGAAGTCCTTTTGGATCTGTAACCCGTGTCGCTGCGCTGGCTTCGCGTCAAGTTAGTAAACATGCAAACTACCTAAACCTTTTCCGTTGCGACGACTAGACCGAAAAACATCGAATTTTATTAGAATTTATGCATTTTTGAACCGGTGCAAAAGCTGAAGAGTGTACACATGATCAACGAAAGATGCATAGAGCTTCAGAAAGGATCCAAGAAAAAGTGTGAAGATGGGACCAAAAAGCGCTCTAAACGAAATCCGGAGTCAGAGAGCAGTTGCCCGTACTTTTCCAAAGATCTCTTTGAAAATCTTAGCAATCAGATTTTGGTAGGCTGTCTGTGTTAATGGTGTGATATAGTGGTAAACTGTTGACTGGAATTATTGCCTAGGACGAAATCAAGGATATCGAAGATTTGACGAAAGCCGGAATTCGCGAATTAGCTTGTCCGTATTACGGGAGCCGGTTGGCTGTTCCAGATGCAGAGGTAAGTTTGCGATGCGCTATGCGGCTATGGTAAAATTAGTGTCGCAAATTGTTTTCACCGTATGTCGATACTTGAAAAGTCGTTGGGCTGGATTTCGAAATTCTTCGTAAAGCTTTAGAAATCTGTATTAATATGGTTGTCTGGTACTGTAATGGAGACTACTGGAAATGTTTATACCTTTGAAAGAATTCAAGAGAACTCAGTTATGCATTCGGAATTTTTGCAGGTTGTTGCTCTTCCTTATAATATTTTGTTTCATAAAGCCACGAGAGAAGCCAGCGGCATTTCCTTGCTCGATCAGGTGGTAATTATCGACGAAGCCCATAATATCTTGGAATCAATAGCCGGAATGTATTCCTGCGAGATTACGGAAGCGCATATTCGAAAAGCTCTGAATCAACTCCAACAATATCATGATCGGTATAAGTCGCGTTTGTCGGCCATGAACTTGTTGAATATACGACAACTGTTGTTCGTTCTGGAAAAACTTCAGAATATATGGAAAAGAAACCCTGGCAGTGGTAATCACAGCATTGCAATAATGTTTAAATTTGACATGTTCCTGTCTCTGATGTGGCATCAGCACGGCTTAATTATTTCCAGAAAATGTCAAAACGGCTGTAATGAATACCGACCAGTTTTTGATCCTGTGCGGACTAGAAAGCATTAACCTCCGAGATCTTCTGAATTACTGCGACCGAAGCCTGATTGCAAGAAAGGTAGTAACACCGCAGCTTGCAGTCGCATGTGTATTATATTAATGTATACCTTAATTTAGCTTATGGGATTTGCCGAAAGATATCCGGAGTCAACTGGTAGGCGACTTCGCTCGTTAGCTAAAACAGAAAAAAAATTTCCCTGTTTTCACAGCGCAGAATGCTTTTTAATAGGAGAGGATTCCGCATCATCTTCCAGTTCTTTCATGTTTATTGAATCGTTTCTTGACATGCTGACCACCATACCGGCAGACAGTCGCGTTTTCCTGTTTTACGGTATCGACTTGTTGTTACCCTTTGGCATTCTCCTCTGCTCATTAGTTAGCACAGGGTAGCTGATGAAGTACAGAGTATATAGATTTGGGATACCGTGACTTAAATTAAATTATACAGAATGATGGATTGTATCGAAACTTCAAATGGCTTAGGGAATTTTTGTTGTAGAATCGTCCGGCTCGAAAAGAGCAAAATTCATGTTGTTGAACCCAGCTGCTTTCGTCAGAGATGTGTTTGCCCAAGCCCGATCTGTGATATTAGCCGGAGGAACCATGCAGCCGGTAAACAATCTCATTCTCTTAAATCCCCGCCGACAGTAAAATAATTTTTATCGGTCTCTATATTGTGTCTTTTCATGGTAAAAGTTTGTATTAACCTCGATCTTATTAAAACGTATTTCTCAGAGGCTGAGTATTGCCCAGGCGAATACTTTATTAACATTAGGAAAAGGTTTTTCGTGTTATTTTGTTGTAAAAATCATGTTGGTGTCTACGCAGATGTCAGATTATGAGGATCAGCTACTCTTATTAGCCGGTGTTCTGCCGTCGCGCATCCACAAATTTTCTTGTGGCCATGTTATTGGACCGGACAGGGTGCTGCCAATCGTGTTACGCAAAGGACCAGCTGGAACTCAGTTCCATTTCAGTTATCAGAATCGAGGGGACGAAGGAATGGTACCTGTTGAGTGTACTGTAGTCGCACTACTTAACTAACAATTGTAAGTTATAAATTTGGTTGGGATAGGTGTTGCAGTTTCTGCGCCTTTTACTGAATGTCTCCACTATCATTCCGGGTGGGATTGTATGCTTTTTTCCATCGTATGATTGTGAAGAAAGAATGTTTCAAATTCTGGTGAAAAATAGTGAGCTTTTGCGGAATGTCGAAAAAAAGAAGAAGGTCAGTATTTGCTACCGGATAGGATGAGGTTTTGACATTCGTTTCCGAAATTGGCTAATTTACATTCCCGTTACAGATTTTTCGCGAACCAAAGCGGTCAGCCGATGTGGAATCGGTGCTCGAAGCCTACGCTAAATGTATTTCGGTATATGGTTTGATTGGTCTACTGAACGTTTGCTGTTATGTACAAAAGGTTTTTCTTTTGAGAATCCATCGGAAAATCGGACTGGAGCGGCACTTTTTGCTGTCGTAGGCGGGAAACTCAGCGAGGGCATTAATTTCAGTGATGAATTAGGCCGGTGCGTTATGATGGTGGGCATGCCGTATCCTAATCGATTTTCCGTGGAACTCCAAGAGAAAATGGACTTCCTCAATCGAAAACTGGTACACTGTGCTTTGGTTATGCCTGCGGTTGCTGTTGCGAGCACTTGGTGTCGAACTTTGGACAGGTCAAATCGGTTTCCGGAGCTCTGCCGGGTGAAATGCATTATGAAAATCTTTGCATGAAGGCCGTTAATCAATCAATTGGTATTGAGTAAATTTTTTTGCAGCGATATTTTTCCTTGACTGATGTACTCTGTAATATTCTTTCCCGTTGCTGCTTATAGTTTTTTTTCCACCTGTAAACTGTTTTTGTAATAGGCCGCGCCATCCGCCATAAGAATGATTATGCCGTAATCCTTTTGGTGGACTCGAGGTATGGACATCCTAACGTATCCCGTGCACTACCAAAATGGATCGGTGGGCAGCTGAAGACAGCTGATCAATTCTCGGAAGCGTTTGCGGAAATAAAACGAGTATGTATTCATTGGCCATCTTACATTGTTTCTAAAGCATTTTGCCCAGCTGTTAGCCTAATTAATTAATATTTTCTTTTTAGTTTTTTGGGCGTTTGCAGACAAAGATTTAAAGCAGCGGTTTCATACATGTTCCACGATGGCCACGACTCATGTCTGAAGTTGAATCTCGTGTACGAGTATGTCGTTTCTATGTAATTCGGTTTTCATGGTAAAAAACTAATTGTTCAGTCGCTACTTTCCTTCGTAACACGCTCCAGTGTTCTGCGTCCTGGAGCCGTTGTACAATCTCAACTTGGTAGGGATTTTACGGTACAACGTGTAATGCCACCACTTTTAGATTTTTAATCAGTTACGAGTATTATTTATCAGTATATCCACTATTTTCTTGATGTTGGGTGGAAGAGATAAGCCAGCATGTTGTAACAGAAAGGCCATTTCGGTTACTAGTAACCCGAGTAAATGAGCAATCAAAAATAGCACCATCTTTACGAAAACTGGATGAGTGTTTTTTCTAGAGGTGGAAGATGTAATACTGCTTCAAACAGGATTTTTTAAGTCCGCTTGCCAATGATTGTGCAACAGTTTGGTCCAAATTTAAAAAATTCCCCCATAACCGGCTTATCCGCGCCTGCACCTTTGACATTTTTATTCTTCTTTTCGCATACTCCGGGCGCGTCGTCCAGCGATACAATTTTGCAATTCCATCCGGTGTAAACGATCAAATTGCCTACCGTTCCACGCTTCCATATGCCCTGGCAGTCTGCGAAAAGAGTTACAAACTCTGCCTGTATGTATTATCATAATTTATACTTTCAACTTTTTAATTAGTTTCACGTAGTTTACTCCAGTTCTGTGGGGTGTTTCCGTCTGCGTCGTTCTAACATGACCAACAAAACAGCTGGTAATTATTTCGCGATCAGTGGACTGACTACAGAGTGAATTAACTTGATTACGGTATTCTGTACGTTAAGGACGTACAATAATCGTTTTTGGTACGAGTTGAACAAAAAACTTTTGATCAATCATGCGATACGCGCGTGTTGATTTACTTATTTTGAACGAAAAGAAACACATCAATTAGCGACATTTATTGTTAACATCAAGTCCTTGCTCTTACTTGCATAACCGATGACTACCAGAGATAACGTGAGAGCTAACATCAGGGATTTGGGCAGCATTTTTCACAGCGTGGTGGAGTTTGGTAATAGCATCCACAATTATCTGAATGTAAAAAAATCAGAAAGCCTCGCCGGTTACCTTTACCCGGTTCAAACACTGAAACACATGCCTTGGTCTTTAATTATATAGAAGTTACTGACAACGAGTGTGCGATAGGACTGCCTCGGTTGGGGAGGAAGTGCAGAAATCGTTTTTTGCTTGTCTATAACCAGTTTTTCCGTTAGTTGAGCAATAACCTAACTCCAGTTACTCATAATTTAATAGTACCAAGACGCATCGTATATCCGGATCAGAGCCCTGTTAGCGTGAAATGATTTGTTGTCAGTGCGCCAAATTATCCCCCAGGAAATTCCGTCTGTACTTCCAAAAAACTTCGGCGTACCGATCAGCCAAGTCCGAAGAAACTCGTAACACTTATAAACCATAAGTGTGTGGCCAGACAGAATGTCGGTTCATTAATATCAGATGTGCTGTACTAGTGCTCACCGTTTTCAATTCAATACAATGTAATTTCAGCTTACTAAGAAAATAATACTTAATTTTCTGAGGACCATACAAGCATATGCATAGTTGCATACAGTGTGTACAGATATGCATTGTAATAAGCGTATAAGCAACATTCTGCAAAATCCAAAAACAAAAAAAAATACAAAAGCGTGAGTCATCCAAACAACCATCGATTCGACTATAAATAAAATTAATAACAACTACAAAAAATCTGAACAAATATGAGATATCAAACAAGCAATAATACTGCAGCATCAGGAGCGAGTAAAACTAGTGCGTATGTACATCTGCAACAGTAATTACTTTGTATGCCGACCCATTCCTTTCGAAACCAGCGCAGACGGATTCAGTCGTCGTATTGCTTTCTGCACGGACTCCAGTACTATAGCTCAGCCGGTCTTTTCCAGGAAAATCCCGATCGTGGTTGACGGACGGCTTCCTTATCGAACAAACAGCTGCTCCGATAACCAAGTCTCCGTTTTCACTGGGCGCTATCGTTTGCATCCACTGCGATTGGGCATCCTCCTGGCTGTTGGTCGCAGTGGAATACCCGTGGTCACTGCTTTCTGGCGGCATCCGGTTGGCCGGTGGTCGATAACCCGGATTAATTTGGTACGCTGAGATAATATTGTCCATGTCAACACCTGCAGCACCGTATCCATTGGGAGGGCCCATGTTTTCCAAAAGTGCCGCGTTCGGACACTCTTCGTCGTTGTCCAGATACGTCACCTTAAAATTCTCGGGATCATTGGCGGCCAGCGCCGGAATAACGAGTTCAACACGGCGGTAGTAGCGGCAGCATATAGTAAGGACAAAAACACAACCAAAGCATCCCAGAATACCGCAGGTCAATGGGACAATGGCGGAACTTTTTTCCAGCACCATAATTTTCCGATCGTCACCTTAAAGCACGAAACGTCAATAAGTCGGTATATTTTAACATAGTTTTGTACCAACGGTAACCGTTGGTCAAGAAGCATAATTTGAAAAAAGCAGCGTGCGTCGTACTGATTGCGCATTTTGTTGTTCTACTCACGATTATACACGTTTTCAGCAATTGTTTCAAGTGCGTACTAATATTTATGAGTAATTTACCCCGATGGTCTTCGTCATCGTCCTCTGCTGCAAGTTCACCGGGTCCACTAGCACACCGGCCATGAAAGGAACAGAACCAACCTGTGTTTCCATTGCGCTTCTCATACGGACACCAATCGCATACCGTATCCTTTAAACACGCGGTCTTGGACTTCCTGGCAGTGCATGCCAGCTGACTGCACCGTGGAACAGTCGTGATTGCTAATTCATCCAGGCTCCTCAACTTGATATCATCCACTCTTTTGGGACACAATGAGATATTTTCATGATGGAAACCAAAATTGTGCGCGGCGCACATTCCCTGCTGCGGCATGCCACAGCGGCAGGGACACTCACATTCGTTGACCTCCATACGCCGGCAGTTCAAGCACGACCGGTCAACCACACTACATGGACAGAACGCCCGTTCATCCCGTGAACAATTCCCATTAACAATCACGAGGTACACATTTGTGCCAGGTACCAAAGCGGCAGCGAACGTTGAGCAAGGTTTGCTTGAGACATGGGGCCCGTAGTATGTCAAATTCCCTTCGTAATACCTTTCCCATGTTTTTCGGGATCCATCCTGACAAACTTTCTTCTGCAACACCGGATTATTTCCACTGAACAACTCCGTGGCCACAATCGGTTCAACATGAGCGACATGGAACCGCTCCAACGGACCCTTTTCAAAGGCTACCGCATTCAGTCTCGGGTGAGTAATCACGTATCCATTAATGTCAAGTAGGAAACAACGTACTCCAGTTTGACCACACCCTGGTACGATGTCCAGTAGTAGGGAATGCAGGTAGTGCACGGTTAATTCCGCACCAATGACCATGGCGACTGGGTCAGATGGTGTATGCATGGCTGTATGTTTCGCTTCGTGAATGGATCTGCTAAGAATGGTAACAGGTGGACCACTCTGTCGGAGAACGGGAGGAGCCAGCACAATCCAACCGGGAAAGCGAACGGCTTCGCGAAACCATTCTTGTTCAGCGGGATTGTACGCCCCATCCAACAAGACGGCTGGAAAAGATACCAGAACCCCGTCCATGGTGGCAGCAAAGCGACGAGTTATGTTGCCGTTTAGCAGGCTGGTATGAAAAATGTCCATCCATGCTCCACACATTTTGCGTAATAATTTTGCCTACATAATTATAATAATAAAAATGTTTCATTGTTTCAGACTGCTGCCACAATTACATTTAAACTTGGTTATTAATTACTTTCAAGCATATTAAGTGGAAGCCGTTGGTTGCAGTGCACCGTATCAAAATATCGCAAATCAAAACGGCCGTTTGTGCGCAGTTAAAGAAACGCAGTTAAACATTGCGCTTATCCAAAAATACTGCCTAGTATACCTCAGATTTCACAGGTAACAGCTTGTTTATGATGGAACTTAAATTCCCAGCTGGTGCATCCGACTGTCTTGTCAAAAATGTCATAAAAATTTCGATGTCGGATTTGGACTCGGGAATCTTCAAATGGCTGTAGGGGTTAAGGAAGGCATTCGCAGAGAGAAATAAGCCACAAGTATCAGCTCTTGCAAGCTGATTATCATAAAAACACAAACGTTGACCAGGTGTCTGCGCTAAATCAGCCCGATGGTACGTGAGATTGGGCGAAGAGTTGTCCAGAACCCACGTGTCAGTTTCTATGGTCTGAATTCGCGTTTTATGACCAGATCGTACGATGCAAATTATAAAAGGGGTTCCGGACACACGCTGCCATAAGTAGAACCGACCGGAAGGCGTCATCAATTCGGCTCTCTCAGTTGCAAGCATAGCAGCTTTAACGTCCTAAAACAAAATTTCGACAATCCACACTATGAATAAACTCTCACTCGAGCAATCAGATGGACTGCGAATAATAGATTTGGGCTAAACCGAAAAAGAATAATTTTCAGAGTTTACAAAACCAAGCCGAAGCTCACTTGAAATCCGGCGAAATTCTCCAAAAGGTCAACTAATGGTATGGCACCTGTTCGCCTATCCAGTTCCGGATGGACGATGGCATAACCGTTCACATTTATCACAAAGCAGTAAGAATTTCCAGCTGATAGTGCCATCCGATGATATAGACATTGTTCAAAAATATAATCGATAGCAAAATCTGCCCCCATCCCAATGGTTGCGGTGGTGGTGTCGTTCAAAACGAAGGTTTTAAAGACATTCACCGAAGTGACGTAATGGCTGAGAGATTTCGCGGTACCTTCCGAGGAAATATCAGATATGTGAGACAATTCGTAAGGTAGTAGTACTGTATCCAGCGAAAAGATGCGAGCGAAAAGGGCCATAGGAAAACTGATAGAGTTGAGATAAGTCGTTGTGACCTCGCCAAGACCGGTAAGCTGTGCCATTCCAGGGTCCTACAGAAATGCGGATGTGATTACGTGTAAAGTGTATTATGTCTGCAGTATAAAAAACAACAGTATAACTTATAAAAATCGTAATACTATCTATGGATATAAGTGCTACGGCAGAGTGACGAGTAATTAAAAACAGCCAGGAGCAGTCAAAAACCGCCTGTTTCTCGATCGAGGGATGGCACACTTACAGAAGTTGGTGGCGAGTTAGAGACGATGCCAATGTGGACCTCACGGTGTATTTGTGGAAGCGCCAATGCAAGCAAAAATTGTTTCAGGTCAAATCCAGGTCCAAAATTTTTAAGGGTGGTCAGGTAGACAATAACAGGCAAATCCTTTAGAAACGTGTTGTTTTTGTTGCAGAATAATGTTGAATTTCTCTTCTGTGAGTATTCTGGACGAAATGTCAGTCTGTCCAGATAATCAAATGCCTCCCTCGAGTTTTCATCCAAAAATAGTGCTGGTGAACCGCGACATCCAGCAGCCCGTATGTCGCATGTTATTGTGCCAGCAGTAACCAACAAAACCTGTGGAGACAATGAAAACTGTTTAAGGCAGTTTGTATTCCCAGAAAACTCTTAACGATCAACGTACCTCATCCTGAACATGGAATGTACGCAGCAATGCATAGACCGTATTCTTCATAATACTGAACTCCGCTTGTCCCACGCCATTGAAATCTAATATCAAAATGTAGCTGCGAATCCTTCCGTTGTCTGCCGATGCTTCTCTAAGTGCAGCCCTATGGAACATCCAGTATTTTTTTCATTGCACACTTAATTCAACATACTTAATTAGTAATTGTTGTAGATTGCGAACGCAACTCGCAAGCCGTACCTCGCTTGTTCTGGACAAATTACAGAATATAAAAATTTTCCTATCGGGTAGATCGGACAAAAATGTTTTTAGATATATACCGATAAATCAGAGAACTAAACCCATTGTCTGCGCTATGTTCTGCGGTCGCTAGCATTAGCTATTGAAGAAATGTAATCAAATGAAAAAGCGCCATAGTACCATCGGCGAGCAAAGCGGTTCACGCTTTCCGGTGGCAGTAATTGTTCCTCCATGATTCGTGCTGCAGATTCCTTTCCGTAACTTGAAGACAAAACGATGGACGAGTAACGAGATCTCGAACCCTTATAACCCACCCATACGTCCAACAAGTCTGCAACAAACAAATTCTTTTTAAACTATACTTTACCAGAAACTTTACTCATCCCAGCTCGGCGGAAAACACCTACTGTAAGTAACATTTGACATCATCTCTCGCAACGTTTCGCTCCCCGAACCATTAATAAGCCACGTTACAGTGCAAAACTGCACCTGCGCGACTGAATAATCATAGCACAAATAAATGGACCGACCATACAGTCGACTTTTTGCCACATCGTTTTTTATACGCAGACGATCAAACGTTCCAGAAAATGGCCATTCTGAAGAATGTCTTTCCGCCAGAGACATTTTCAGATAATCCACCGAAGAATTCAGCTTTCCTTTGACATCCGCCACGAGAAAGGACAACACACTGGACTCATCGGGATCAGTCATTGTGAATGGAACGGAATCATACAAAGTCTGCAAGAATACCGCTGTGAGCTTGCCGTTAACGAAAAAATTTTCATTATCGTTGTTTAATATGCACAAAAAATGCCAAGCAATGCTTAAGCTTTTCGACAGCCTGGTTCTGGACGTTTCGTTTAGTTAATTGATAGCGGGCTTTATGAAATACACGGTATGTACTTACCTGCATATTAGCCACGCCAATTTCCACATTGGCAGTTTTCCTTAGCGCTGATGCAATTTTTCGAGATTCCTTTACAACTCGGAAGTCAGCGATTACGTCCGATGCTGGCGTTGAATCAACGATAGAGGATGTTAGCTGGTTATCCAACAATTCCTGCCCCATGTCCACAATATGCTCAGTCATCTGCCATTCATTTAGTCCACTTTCGGAAACGCCTGTTGGTGGCGGAAACTGCGGCATATGGGGTTTCGCGGCATAATTCCCATGATATGGATTCGAGTCTGCAAAATAATATTGTTTCTGAACAGCTTTGTGACATGCCCAGAGATGACTTAAACAGGGCTGAACCATATGCATGATATAAATAAGTCTAATGGATTAATTAAGTACTGTAAAAGTATCGTCTGTATGTGTCTGCATCCTCCTTGCCAGTCACACAGAATTTAAACATCTTCAATGTAATTTGTTTCCTCTACCTCCGGTTATTTTGCTATCTGCTACGGCTTCTTTTTGCAGTTTTGGGCTTTGCAGGAAACCGCAGCACGAAAGAATCCCAAACAATATAAGGATAACATGAGTCAGATCCATTTCAGCCACTACAGCCTCGACAGGTTGCGCCGCTGCTAGCACTACGGTAGTCTGTCAATACGATAAATTTGATTTTCACAATCGAAATGGACACAACATATCTGCAAAATGATATGTAATAAACCATTGACCATCTGTGGAAGAAGATAGAACGAGCAACATGTATAGTATCCCAGAAGACCAGTGTCCTGTTGACTCATTTAGGCATCCACGTTTATTGCACGGTTCAAGGTGATAGTGTCGCGTATCGCGTTGAAACATATTTCCACAGAAAAAAAAAACCGATAGATATTTTTAGCAGCAATCTGCATGATGAAAACCTAAGCCAAATAAAGAAAATAAACAAAAACAGCAACTCTTTAGCAAATGCAGCGCTCCTGACAGTCAGTGGAATTCTCACGTCAGCTTCTACGAGTACTCCATCTATCGGGAAGAACGGTTTGCTCATTTTGCCGTCAAAGCAAAGACAGACAAGCTTGTTGGAAATCCCACGGGGCCCGTCGCTGAGTCCAGTACGTGTAGCGCTGCAGTCTGCCTAGCTCCCATACATTCGCCATGCAGCCCGATCAACTGGCCAGTGACCACCCACAGCGTCTCTTACACTTGTTATGCAGCCTGTTACAGTTACAGTCAATTTTGCAAATTAAGATGCATGCATACATACGTACTGTACAATATACTTCGTTCCCTGTACTTTCATCCGCACATCCAATATCGATTGCATTCGTTTTACTAATACTACCAAGTTGCTTCAACAAAGATTTTCTGCAGTATAAGTTGATTTGCTGGAGCCTGGATGTAATCTAACATTTGTACTTTTCGCTCCGATGCTGCCGATATATTGTACGATATTGTACGTAGTTCATAAGGCGTTCAGACCTACGCTGTCCAGTGGACCGGTTTCTGGAATAGGACCTTTGTCGTGGCTAATACAACGTTAACCGGAAACAATGTACAATGTTAACCGGAAACTACACACGACCAGTAACCCATGCAGAAAGGATATTAGTTCGGTAAGAGATGACCATTTTGAGACTGATTGCGAAGCTTAATACTGCAATGACAACTAATTCTAAGCTGCCGCTAGTGGAGTGGGTTAATGAGTGACCGTTAGTCCACCCGTACCACGAATCCACGATAACACGAGGTTTGATGGTTCGTCGGTGACCGTCAGTGATCTTACGAGTAAACGCATTACCCAAAAGTCAGTTATGCAATTGCGAACATCTTAACCGATACCGGCGCGATTGTCAAAGTGCACACACATTTTTTAATCAGCTGAAAAGTCAATGGGGAAGAGCAAGGGCAAGGGCAAGGGCAAGAGCAAGAATGATTTCAGAACATTCAGACAATCTAAGAAGTCTAGAAACGCTACGACGAATCGACGTTAGAACTGGTCATTTCGTACAAGTACGCATTGAGATGTTTCCGGTTGAACTAGCACCAATGAGATGTACATCTTCGCTACAGATCTCACTTGTACGGCTACAATACAGTGTTATTGTTGATTACTATTACTGAAGCGTTTGTTTTAGAGTTAGGGGGTGACCTTTCTGTGGGAAACGAAGGCTGAAATGTTTAAAACCATAAGTTTGTTCTCCGCAATCCGCACCAAAATGTGCTGGCGCTTTGTTTGCCCAATAGTGGACCAGCATGAGCAGCAATAATAAGCTATGGACAAGGCGACAATTTAGCTAAACCGAAACAAGCGAAACAGAGATGAGCTCCTTGTATACATAAAAATTTGTTTTTTAAGATTGACTAGAAATCACAAAACTGATCCATATGATCATACAAATTCTATTCCTTCGTATTTTAAACCATCTAACACCAGCTCTTCTTCCATTAATATGTTACCGTTAATGGTAAAAACAATAATGCGAGTAGTGAAAGTGTCACCCACTTCCATGATTCGCAGTGCAACAATAACATTGTCGTCAGTCCCTGGAACGAATCGTGCTGCCGAAAAACCGTATAAAGGATTGTGTTCACCAATATTCAGCTTCTGAAACTGCGTGTAATCGGCATTAATCGACAGCATCACATTAGAGCAGGTGTAAGGATGTCTTTCTTCGGTGAAATTCTCCGGACTGATTTGTCGAGGAAGAAAATGCCAGTGTTGCCGTATTTGCGACCACAGCACTGCTTCGTGCATTATATAACCCGGTGGTTTAATACCTAGCTCCTTTTCGATGGCTGCGTACTGGGTATTCCAATCTAGATGCTCCACAAATCCATCTTTGGAAACTTTTTTAACCTACAAATTAACTATTTTTAGAAAAAAGTGAAAATACAAACAAACGTGCTTGCAGCGTTGAAGGTTTACCCATCGCTGGTTGGCTTCGACCGATGGTCCACCAGGATTAGGAATTTTGATATCCGCGCTATGGCTACCCACGAATAAATGCTCGTCCTTCACGATTGACCACTCGCATTTGAAACCTGATCAAACGAACGCTATCATACACTCGGTAATCATTCACTCGTTTAAAGTGCCTTACATTACTTTACTATGTTCATATTGTATTCGTGTACTTGTTATATAACAGAGCGGCGTACAGATGTGTATTCGTGTACTTATACCGTATTTTGGATTTTATGAAACAGTTACCCTAATTTCATTTATGCGCATTTCAATATATTTGCTGCTATGACAGTGTGAACTGCTAAATACTTACTCTGTTAAATATCTTAAGAGAACATAAGTAGATGCTTCGAAAGAGAAATACTACCACAAATTCTAAACCTAAATTCAATTAGATTTAATTTTTGATTATATTTTTCTTAACTTATTTTATGGTTGTTCAGTAAAAACTTAGTGTTTTACCCTTTTGCTTTCTTCCATTTCCGTCGGCAAGGATGACCCATGGAACCACCTGGTTGTCGACAATTTCAAATATTATTCCCGTGCGATCTTCACAAGCAAATAACCTCCCATCGAACACCACAATATCAGAAAGTTCCATTCCACGATTTCCTGTTAACACTTTCCTATCATATATGTATGCATCAAAACTAACAATACCATTAATTCTTTTTGTCACATAATATTGTCGCGCATGTGATTCTACTGATCAGCTATTTTTCAGGTAACATAAACGCTTATTTATGCAGGAAGTGCGCATTAAAATATAACTAATAAAACTGTAAATTATGAATTATAGACGTACGTAGTTCCTGCTTTATATTGTTCTGACTTGTGTTTAAATAATCAAAACAGCTGGACATTTATGACTTACTGAATTACAAGTATATCGTATTCACTACGCACTATACTGCATATACAGTTCTATCGTTACTGGTTAATAGCAGTTTAAAAGAAGTGTAATATTGATTGTGATTAATTGTGTAAGAACTCAATCAGCATACTCGTACATAGGTTACGCACTGACTTTTGCAGACTAGCTACATACTAAGTTTTGGTTCATTTTACAAATTTTTAATTGCTTGCTGAACAGATCGGAACTTACCAAAAGCAAACTGTGACAGTATTATTTGTCCAGCGCCACTGAATGTGTCGGAAGCCACAGTGTGTTCTGCCTGGGTGTTGTTGGGCTTGCTGGCATCCCAAACAATATCAGCTTGTGTCCAGTCTGCTCTTATAATTAATTTTCCCATCTTCAGGTAACTTAGCCATGTGGATGCACCGGTTGTGTGTTTGGACAACATATCCTGATCGGAAATAATAGCCAGTTTATATTCCACCGATCCATCGTCTTTTATCACCGGTTCCGTCAACGGATACGTGATATTGTAAGGGCGATTGGTCAGCGGGGCGGACGCAGCTAGTCCTGATGGAAAAGAAATATTGGAATGCCGGTATGCATCATTTGTTCGGAAAGGATTCGTATTTACTGCATGGAACAGTTTAATTACTACAAACAGTACTCCAATAAAATTAACATTTTCCACGCGGACCATGTTTGCTGCGTCGTCAGAAAAATCTTGGGCTTATCCTGCTATTAAATACGCTTCGCCATAAATTCTATTGGCAATCTTGCGCCGTAAGCAACAAAACCACTTATTGACCAGACGATCGCGAGGATTGTGTAGTGACAACCGCCTTGTAATTCAACGGTTACTATTACAATTTATTACAATTGGTGTAATAGTGGTGCACAAAATATTCCACCTGCACATCACTTATATCCCACCGGCAAATCTCGATGATTTTCCGGGAACTTACGGTATCATTTTACACAGCGCGATTTTGTTGTAGGCTGTTATTGGGACATGCACACCTCGAGTTTCATTACGATGTCTCGTTAAGCAACCAATAAATTTCGGGAAGGGGAATAATTCGTTAACTCTAAAGCGACTTCCTGAAAGCCATTTCAAGAATAATACTGGTTTCCTCATGTCAGTTTTTTCCAGGTGTGAATGAACCATGTCGTAGTTCGCGTTTCGCACACGTGCGCCCTCTTGTGAGCGGAGCCGATTCCACAGCAGAGTGTGGCAGCGAACTATAGCATATACCACTTCTATCTAGAACAATATTAGGATGTACGCAACTGTAGCGGAAGCAGATTCAGCAGTTTTGAAGAACCACGTGTAGCTACAGTAAAAGAATGGGGTGTTTTCTGATGAAGTACGGTATCTCTATCAATTGCCTTATTTAGTGCCATTAGTGTTTAACGCTTAGTCAACACAATCCTGATCATAAGCACCAAACACGGTATTTACTGTAGATCTGTTTACTGTATATTCCACTTAAATTAATCTGAGAATCAAGTGCTGCATTTTTGATAATTATAATATGCATTTAGCCATTATGTATAACCTATGCAGTTACTACTACTCTAGCAAAACATACTTATTAATTGCAGTTCTAAGTTGACCTCAAAAACAGTTTTATTGCTAGCCAGGATGCTCAGCTCGTACGCGGTATCGCCTTGCTAAAGCTAAAAAATAAACAACTGAATGTAGTGGCCAATCTGACCCCTTTTTTTGATAAGAGGTGGGACTTGATGATTAAAACTCACAATAGACAAGAAAAATTTCTGGCTGATTAATGATGCATGATCGTATATTATAACTTTAAATCAACAAAGCAATCCAGCCAAAACCGTTCCAGGTTATTGTAATTCGTACTAGTCTGTAATTGTGTGGATGTGCATCACGTACTTGTCTAAGAAATGCTAACATGTAGGAAACGATCTTGACCAAATGAACCAAATAAAAACACGATAAGGTCATACGCTGTAGTTAAAGTCAAAGTGTCTATTGTACAATACTTCACAGGCAGCTGCGGAAGGCAGCGTTTTTTGTCATTTACTCATTTTCTCAGTGTACTGCAAACACGAGGAGTGTTTTTGGCTACCGGCGAAAATCATCAAATTCTAACCTGTACAGTCTACCCGGTAAAACTTGCTGCATCGATACTTCTTTTGTAATCAACCTGTTCATGAGCTACTTATGAATGCTACTTGTGCTGAATATGTGATAAAACCATTATTGTAACGACTTTCAAGCGTTTCTTCACTTTAAATAGGCATCCGCGCCAATTTACCGAACTTTATAAAAGAGGTATTATTTTGCACTTAACTAAACGGTAGCCGTTGATTTTGAGGTTGCTAATGGATTTCAACTTAAGCGATCAACCATTAACTGACAATGGTTACCATAGTACTGGTATCAGGGAGACCCGACGCCGTAACGTAAGACTAAGCCATGTGCTCTATGGCTACCATGATTACAACCCAATATTTGCTCCTGAAAATGTTCCTGCTGCAATGAAAGCCGACGAGGGATCGTCGTATGCAGGATGGATTCCTGACAGCTTTGTTGCAATTACCGGAGACACGGAGTCAGCCATCGCATCTGGAACTGGAAATATCGCCGTAAAAAGCCCTTCTCCCCTTTTGAGTCCCAGTGCACGGACAATCAATCTTACCAATTTGATACACGGCTACATTAATTACAGCTCTCCGACTGTGCAGCAGGTATTACCGTAATTAAGCCAATTAATCGCAATGCTACTTAAATGCAAATGCTTGAATAAAGACGTTGCTGCTACTGCTGCAGATCATCAGCATTCACCAGGAATCAGGATCATTGACTGTTTATATTCACACATTTAATCAAATACAGTAATACAATTATGCAAGTAAATGTACCGTACACCTACCGTACATACATGCAGGTATCTATATCTGTACACATACAGAACTATATCTGTAAATAATTATATGATGTAATTTGCACCGAGCGCGAAGCGCGAGGTGCTGCAATTAACTGATCGTCAAGACTACACGCTCCATAGCAGAGTATATACTTCCACAGCAGAGTTGGGAATGCGTAACAGATCTCAGTGGCTATTGCTCGCGCTCGGTGCAATAATGTGGTTATCAACCACCGCTAATGTATTTTTTAAATTGTTGAAATACTTAATACAATAATGCGTCCATATTAAACTGTTAAAGTACAACCACGACTTGCTACGGTACTGCAGCTGGTAGAAGTCGTGTTGCATGACTTTGTTACGCCTCTGAAGTTTGCGAAAAAGTCCTGTGGTAGCCGGCTGAGAAGGAACTTCGTCCTGGAACGAGTTTCATTCTCATCACTACGTATACAAACTACCCTAGAGCGGGGCTTTTTCGAAACTTCGATCGCTACGAGGACTGTATACTTTTATTAAATGAATTTTGTGCACTGGCTTTAACAGCATGTTCGTACCGGTTCACAGCTTGACGAAGACAACCCTCAAAATCATATGACTCAATCATGCAGTACAATAGCATTTCTTGCAGCTTTTGCACTTGAAAACTTATGGTTAAAACCATAGAAGTACAGCAGTCATAATGCTGCTGCTTGTACAACTGTACGCATGCGTAAACTGAAGAATAATTAAATTGTGTGGTTATCCATAAGCTTTGTGTACTGTTCTGTACATTGTACCATCCGGTTTTAAGTCCATGGATGCAATTAATCGTCACTACAACGTGGTTCTGAAAAGAGTGTTTCCATATTTTTATAGTTGCAATCGTTAACTGATTACTGAGTGCCCGTTCGAACAGGTTACTTCATTAACGAACGGCCAAGAACCCCGCATGGATACCAGTAGCATGCAAAATGACGGGAGTTCGTGCGCCACCAGCGAAGGTACGGTAAATCACTATGATCAGACTCAGAGATATGGTTAATAGGCGCAACATTCTTGGTACTTTTTGAAACCGCAAATAATAATTATACAAATATATTTCATATCATTATTACACTACCCTAGGCAGTCATTCAGAAACTTCCTTATCAGCCAACGTTGATCATACTCCAGATACCCAAGGCGGGGAAGCAAGCAGTGTGCAAATTCCTGCCAGCAGCAATAACAGACCAGCAACCCCGCAAAAAAACCAAGAAGAAGAATTGACTGTGATTCTTGCAACTTCCGCTATGGCGTAATCTGCACGATGCTGCATGCAGATGAAATTGCTATACAAAACCTGTAATTTTCTGACTTCAATTTCTCAAACCGCAGTACTTATCTGTATCTCACTGTCGTAAAGCCTCAAGTGCTCCTCAACTGTTTTCGGTAATTGCACGATACCAATTCAGCAATACGCTGCCCATTCATTTTGACTTGCGAGTTTCGTTTCTTGAATGCTTATAGAAGTACTGCATATGTACATTTTCATTTTACAACTTAAATTGTCAACCGCTTCGTACCCTACGTAGTGAAGGTTCTGTTGCACTTACATCCGCAGCGTGTGTGTGCCTGTATATATACATTCCAAAATTATTGAAATTACAACAATGAATACAGTTCAGTGAAACTTACCCAAATAAAATATTTCCAGTATTATTAGCAGCCTGAGACGATGGCGAAGGTAAGCCATTTTAAGGCAGCTAAATTCAAAGGCTGCCTTAGGAAGAAAGCGTAACCAACCTTAGCGGCTGAGAAATAATATTTTATGCGGTTAAGCGCAGAACATCGCTACTATTTTCAAATAATATTTTGCTGTTTCAGTAGCAGCTAAATTTTTACTCTTTTACAAAATAAGAGCGCACAGAGTCACTATTAAAATTGATAAGTTATGAAAGCAAGGTTACGCTGACGGTTTCCACTCGTGCGTCTCCACCAAGGTTGAGCGTTCTCTCATCCCTTATAAGGCGCCATTAAGGGTACTGTAACAGACAAGGTCCATGTGCGTGATAAAATCGACGGAATCCGTGCCATTGACTGCGGTAACCATGTCCAGTGCAAAGGTCAATCTAGAATTCTCCGGAATTTTCACTAGATGTACCGGTACTCATTAAAATTGTTTCGTAAATCGCGCAAATGCAACGTACTGTGCGAATATTACTGTCAAAATGCTTAAATGATTTAATCTATACGATACGAATCGTGAATCATCTGCAACAGATACAGAGTAGTTTCTTGTGATTAATTACGGGAAAGATTTCCCCAATACGGCAAGAAGTATGATCGAGCATTTGGCAGCCCGCCCGCCCTATTATAAGGTTTACACCGATGTTGCCTTGTATACTTGTTAATAAACTCTTGCGATGACCTTGCGTTATGCTGTTGAACCGCATTGTGATGGTCGTGCGCCAACTGTTGTGCCCCTTGTGAACGCTAAGCCGGCTTCCGGGATAAATCGCTGCCGGTCGTGCCAGCGTTTCCTTTGTTTATTGCTGGTACAGTGAATCAGCAGACCCACTAGAAGTTAGCAGCCAGATCGACTTTTGTTACAGTTGTACATTATACAGATACACCGTGATGACTGCTCGTACAATTAAGTACGGTTATGCTAAAACATAAGCATAAATGTTTATTGTACATTTTACATGTATCTTATAAAGCTCTGCACAGGATGTAATGTGTAGAACGTTGTTCATAGGTAATTAATTACATGGCGTGGCTGACTACTGACTAGAAAAGAACGGCAGCAAATAATCAAATTGAGAGAATTTGTAAAATAACTAACCCAGAGCCACAGTGACCAAAACTATTGGTACAAGTATTTTTATTATATCCAGTGAAAACCAATCCTGTAATAACAAAGAAAATATTATAATCATTTGGTTTTGCGTTTGCGTGATAATGCAGTGGATGCATTACGATTTGGCATTTTGCTGTGTATGCATTTGGTTCGCACACCGGTCACATTGTTGCACAGACTGCAAAAAAATCCACCAAAACATGAATAACAAAAATGACTGTTGCAGGTACGGCCGGAAGGAAACTTGTTTTTCCTGTTAGAAAAATGTAACTTTTCTCAAAAAATTATCCTTTAGGGTAGTAATGGCGCACATATTCTCCCAAGTACCTATGTTCTCGCCTACATATATCGAAAATTGCCGTGAATTAGTCGCAAGTTGGGGAGGCGCATTGTTTCTTCCTGCATCAGGCTTTATGCAAAGATGGTACGACATCGACACTCAGTCTTGTGTCTTGTCGTTGTGTCACTCCTGCTCATTACGGGTTTGGTCTATGGACAACGGGCGCGCTGTCCTTCCGCATGTCGTTGTCAGTCGTCCGGCGACGAACGGGAAGTCACTTGTGACCCACCCACCAGCGACGCCATCAATTTCCGGGATGTCGATCGTGATGTGACCGTTCTGCAGGTGACACCACAAAGCGCTGGACGCAACCCGCTCGGCACTCTTCCGGATGCCTTCGGTAATTTCGACCGTCTGCATAGACTTATTCTGCGGAGTGCCGGAATACAGCGCATCTCCATGGGTGTCGCGCAACGGTTGGGAAATGTCAACACGCTGGATCTGGTGGGGAATGACATAACCGCCCTACGCGATTTATCCTTCGATGGGTTGAATAATGTGCAAGTGTTGCAATTGGCGAACAATGGAATAACCGATATTGCGGATGATGATCTACGGAGCCTAAGGAATTTGGTGTCCGTATCTTTCTCTAATAATAGAATCCGCAGAATTTCTGCCGGCGCTTTTGCCAATCAACCCTATTTATCCCATCTTGAACTGAACGGAAACAGTCTGCAAGATCTCCCATCTGCACTGTTTGACAGTGTTATTAGGCTCGAGCATCTGGATCTGCGAAATAACCAGTTCACCGAAATACCTCGCGGTAATATAATATTAATAATTCTGTGTTCATAAGTGGTGCAGCGGAAGCTTTTAGATGCAATATGAGTAGTGTAGTATTTTAGAAATCACATCAGTTCGACTGAACCTAAAACGTGTTCGCGTTTTATAAGCTTCTAAGCTACTCTTGGCCCCAAATTTCTACAACATACTTTAATACACAATACTTTAATACATACATCAGAGTTTTATGCAGCATTGTTACGTTTTCATCAACATAATATATTGGAACACCTTTTTAATTTACAAAACATATAGATATCTTAAGATTTTAAGGTGGTCCTTTATCTCCTTTTAAATAAAAAAACTACTTAATAAACTAAACTACTTAATACGATACAAAATAAGCTTGCCAACAAAAGTCTGAACGGACGCAAAAATTAAGCAGGAATCAAAACAGGCGTAAGTTACAGGTTCACTATTGTTCTGACAGGTATCCAACGACTTCTTTCCTTACGCGTTCTCCTTTTTGACAACAACCAGTTGACTACCGTTCCCGGGCAGTTAGTCCAAATCTGGGAGGATTCCCAAGATATGGAGGACGTTTCTTTCCATAACAACCCACTAAGTTGTCAAGGATTGGAAGATCTCATTTCATTTTCCCAAAGCCGCGATGGTTTTAAGAAGGTCTGTGATATCGAAGCGACTCGCTACCTGAATCCCGGCGGTCAGGCGGTCTGTCCCACCTGTGATGGCAATAAGCGGATCGATCAGCTGACCAAACAGAGCATGCAGCTCATCCAGGGCAACCGACCGCGACCGCCTCCCAAGCAGGATCCGGGATATGTAGTCTACCATGTGGAGGATCCTGTCCGCGCACCGAAAGACTTCGATCCGCGACGGGATACAAAGCGCCCGCCAATTTCCAACGTTGAGAGCCAGACGGCCGCTAAACTGAAGCAGTACATGCCGGGTGCCGGAGTACGCTGCGATTCACAAAGATGTTACTATATGAGCGCGAAGTAAGTTCGCGGGCTGGGAAGCAGTGATATGAAACGTTATTTCATAATATGCACCTGCATCATGCATGCATATATATGCTGCTTTATTACGGTAAACAGGTGCATATTATTAAATGAGTATTATTTGCACCATAGTGTGTGGTCACAGTAAAGCTAAATAAATTATGTTTTCATTTGAGTTTTATTTTGTGACCGATAATTTACGCTTTTAATAGGATAAAATAACATTATTGTCTCAGCTAGTTTTGCATAAACCGATATTCTACTGTTTAGAGGCGTTAAAGAGTGGCGAACTGCCGAATATTTTTGCCAGATGGTTGGATTGGATCTACTGGAAATCAACGATGCAGATGAGCAAAAGCTTGTCATGAAATTTTGTAAGTAATACGTGTAAAGGCATAAATAACAAATACTTGTGCATTATGCCGTTCGCGATACTTGTGCATTATACTATGAAAATTATCTACTAAATTAAATTTTGTAGTGATCGATGCCGTTAAGGAAGATTCAAGACGATCTTCCCCAAGCAGAGGATGGTGGATGGGTATGCGGTACGACACCAACAAAAAGGCTTTTGTCTTCGCAACTACAGGAAATCCGATCCGTTATACACATTGGGGTGAGGATATTAGTATCAATAAGTCATTTAGGAAAGAAACTGCAGTGACAGAACAGTATTCAGATCGATATATTGTACTGAATACATACAATTTGTTGCAAATCGTTCCTCTCCATTAAAAGTTGAAAAGAATATTTTTCCGCAATCGCCGGAAAAGCGGAAGCCAACGACTAATTATGGACTATACCCGCATAATAATAAAAAACGCTGCAAAAAAACCACGGGGGGAAATAAAAATCAACAACAGCTATAATAGTAATTTTTATGCAGGAGAAGGTCAGCCTAACGACATGAGTGGTGGTGAAGACTGCACCGAATTGTGGGACACCTCGGACTGGAATGACGTTCGCTGTGTTTTGCCAAAAGAAAACATGTTTATCTGTGAATCGTCGGCTGCGGTCGGAAAGGGGCTTGTTGCCCAGGGTACTAACATTCAGAAGGATAACGGTAACCAATCTGGAGGTCGCCCGAACAAAGTTTCCGGTTCCGCGTCTTCGGAAGGCAGCTCATATACGACATTCTCCATAGTTAGAGATAACTAGCTAGTACCCAGTATAAGTGCGCTATTAATTCGTGGTATTTATGTATTTCTGAATTTCAAATGATATTTGTCACCAGATCGAGAGCTGCGCAGTTCTTTTGGACAGCTGTCTGAAAGCACATCGAAGTTAACAATTAAATCACACCAAATATCATCCATATTATATCGGTTTCATGTACTTATAATACTGCTTAATCATATAGCAAACACGATAAACTCCGGCCTTTGTAGTTTAACTAACACAAAGCTACTAAAATAAGTGGAAGGTCATATGAAAACATATTAGCCATATTAGGCAAATTGAGGTGTAAGGAGTGTGGAACATCGAAAGATCGTGGAGTCCTGTAAACCGAATATGTTTGAGCAAATACAATTTAAGGCTAACAAAATTACATACGATATGTAACGTAAATTACGTATACAACATAATTAGACTTACTCGGGAGAAAGTGCAAAGAAACTGCAGTACTGCTGACTGTAGTGAGATCAGTTACGCGGGGAACATACCCTCGGTTGAAGCGTATAAGCTAAAAAATACAAATTAACGTATAAGCTAAAAACAACTTAAAGGAACATATTTAAAAGTATATTAAGATTCAATTCTAAACGATGGTATTTTTAATATTGTGTGGATTGCGGTACGTACAAGCGTTTGGTCAACCGGCTCGGCACATAAAAAGTAATTCCGAACAAAAACGTTAATGTTGATTATATCCGTTTGCGTACATTCTCCAGCTGATGGGCATTTATCCAGATTGGAGGCCAAAAATTTTCTGAAAAGCATTCAATATGTGCATAACATACAAACTGCCAAGAAAATTTGTTAGATCAATTAGGTACAGACTGTATGTGTGCAAATTTTGGCAGCTACTTGTATCTGTACAACCAACAGTCAACAATTAAATCTTATAATTTATCGAAAAACTATAGGTTATACTCGTAGATCAGCCATTCTAGATCTACCCTATGTAATCCATTGCATCTGATTGAAACCTATAGTTAGTTCTTTTGTGAATCTTACTGGCATATTTCTTCGTTTCCAAAAATAGATCTAGCAGAAGAGAGATTTCTCATTTGGCCACTTCCTATTGCAAAATCTAGACATGGGATCATCCTGGCGCTGTCCGGAAACGAATTTTCGTTGTAACAATGCTTTGCGGCTTGAATTACATCTGCAATAATTTCGGTCATATGTCATGAATATTACCATTAAATTACACTTCAGTGCATGCCATCATTCATAAAGACATTTGGCAATAACCGTCAGTAACCTGATGGTGACTGCATCAGTTCCCTTATATGTAATACATAGTCGTGCATTCGTAGTTATCTTATTAGTGACTATGAGTCTATGTCTAATAATGTAATTATTCCTATGTAAGTACACATGCATATGAGAAATCAAAACTGCACTTCTATGCTAAAGTGTACGTATAAAATTATTATAATATTGCAAGTATTTGTCAAATTATGTTTGCCGCATGCAGTAAAAGAAATATTTTTTTTAATACTAGAAGAAGTATACATTCTTACGCGAACAACAACAATAAAAGCAGTTCATCTTGGCGTCTTAACACTAGCATGCAATGACCCCACACTACAATGTCAATATTGCCAAATGGGGACTACCGATCCTTGTATTAAATAATAATAAAAATAAAATCATAACAGTAATCAAACTAACTTCGAAAGTTTAAGCATAATTTCCTTATTCCCATGCGGTACAAAAAATTGCAAACCCACCTTTTAGCATTTTGCTTTTCGAATAAGTGCGCGTGTCCCCGTACATTCTTATTAACTGGTCAACTCCTGCGATAGACGAAAAACCGAAGAAATGCATTTCAGAAGTTTGTATTTTTGCTCATAAGATTTGGAATCTTACCGACATAAAAGGGGTCCAGGCTGCTTAATTCTTGGCTTTTTTTGCAACCCTGTGGCTGTTATGTTAAAGTAATAATTATATGACTTACTTATGGATTTGATTGCATGATTATGTTAAATTTAACCTTTTGAATTCCCGTAACGCCACAGATCGCCCGATCCCCTCGTTTGACCATTGTGTTCCACTGGACCAGTGCACCCGCATTCCACGTGGTGACGTTGGTGGCATTAAGAGAGATTTCGCTGTCCAGAGCTGCCTGCGAAGTGTCCAGTGCAGTTGGACACTTGGCAATATACTTGCTATACTTTGTGGGAATGTCAAACACCTTCGACTTGCTGTCTTTGATGATATACGCAGCCTGGCTCTTGTTCAAGAAACCCGTAAAAAAACTAAAAGGTGTCAAAGAGCGAAATGTGAGTGCAATACGTTATCACACCAGCAATGCCATCTAGTTGCAGGAATTATTAGTTTACTGTATATAATATTGTAAATTAAACTTTGTTTCAAGTCTTCGGCTTACGTCGGCGACGGAAGCGAGCAACGTACCTAAGTTTATCTTGCTCGGATGAACCACTTATATCATCGCTGGATAAAAAGGTCAAGAGCATATGCGGCAGTTCGCTGAACGGTAGTTCTTTGTTCCATCGCTCCAGATAACAGGCATCCGTTGCTACCGCTCCGTCATTTAGATTTGTCAAGTTCAAATCCTGAGTTCGCAGTGCGACCCTCACTAAAGTCGGAAGCTTGATTAAAACGGATTTCGGCAGCAGTCGCATCCGGTCTGGCCGTGGTCGTCGTATCACCGCCATCGAAAGAAAACCGATAACGATATGGAATGTACGTATTAAAGTAGTCCGCCATGGAAACATTATAGCTAGGCGCTAACTGATTTACAGTGTCTTTTCCCAACCGTTGCAATAGAATTCGTCCCAACATGTAGCCGCGCACAGGGCTAACTGGACCTTGTAACAACGAGTAGCCACCGGCAAAATTCTTCTTCCACGCATGACCCTCGTTGCCTTTCGACAAGAACGGCGAGATATTGTCGGGGAGATATTTCGGCTGAACCGCGATGCGGTCCACTGAATCAGGAATATTCAGAATCGGACGGTCAATGGTACTCTCAACGGCCGCCAAACCGACGACCCCGTAAGATGTGCCAAGCATTCGGGCGACGGCTGACTGGAAGGAGTAGCGCTGCTGATTAATGACCTGTTCATTGCGGGCGGAATTCACAATAGCAGGGTCGATGGATACTTCCGGCAAGGCAGGACGGTTACTGTCTGTTCGGTTACGAGTTCGACCTGGACGGCTGGCGGAGGCTGCGTCCGCATTGGAGCGATCGGTTCCCATCCGGGATGCGCTTTGTAATCGGGCGGCGATTTGCACGGCATTTGGACTTAGTTTCGCATAGGAGTCCTGGATTCCATGCAGCAGTATTATGATCCAGAGAACGCGATTACCTGCAGTACTTGAATCTGAAAACTGTGTTTAAGGAAGTTTCTAACTGCAACTAGAAAAGCAGTATTCTCGATATAAGGTCTTGTACCGGAAGTGAGCGTACATACCGATCATGTGACACGGCCCCCAACGTCGCATGATAATCCTGTCAAGAGCCGAACTTCGCGCGATGACGGGTTCACTGGGTGCGCAGTTTCACATTATTAACGAACGGGAATCATAAAATCCGTGTTTCATTACCGAACAAGCTTAACTTCGGCAACTTTTTACTAATTAATGAAAGAACTTTCAGTCCACCCCTGCCACTCTCCGTCGCTTCGAACAGTGGTAAATTATACAGATGCCGTAAGCAGCATTACTGATTTACGATTTATTTCGGTCGATTATAATTCTTGTGCGTATTATGTTAGTTAACACTCACTAATAATGGTATCTGGTAAGTGTACAGGTACTTCATTTGCTAAAGTTATCTACGGGTAATACTGACGAAAAACGCCTGGAGGTGGGTAAAGTATTTTGCCTTCTGGGGTTTATCACACTCAAATCACGCGAAACTGCACAAATGCACGCGTTTTACAAATCTTAACTTCAACTAAGGTCAGACATATTCGTCTCTGCGCTTGATATTGCTGCAGATTACTCTGTATATTATATGGGTTCTTCAATGTATAACAGATTAGGTATGAGCAATGCATGTGATGTCGGTATGGTGATATAGAATCTCGACAAATATATATTCAACATGTTATTATTTAATTCAGATTTGTCGTTAAATGTAGCGTTACAAAGAGCTGTGTTTATCTGTTGTTGCGTTACAAAGCGTTGTCGTTATATATAGCGTTTATCTGACTTCTTCGCTCGGAAATCGGAATGGTTAAAACAGTGCAATACTGGGTTGAACGTTAAATTTTTTCATCAAATCAATTATAAACCACATATAGAAGGACCAAGAGCTTATTGCTCCTATATACTGCAAGCACCACTGTCAGACTGATTCAGTGAGAGAAAACAACAGTTGCTATCTTTACCTGCAAAACAGTTAACAGCATGTAATAAAATAAAAATAAACAATCCAGAATTTTTCACAGTTGTGCTTCCTTCAAAAATATTTGCTCTAATTATAATGTTATCACGTTCTTATATCTGAAGATAAGCATAAGAGCACCCGAGACCCAAGCAAAAAACGATATGGATGTATTCGAGGCGGCATTTCCCCCGGAACCTAAAATAAACAAATGCTTGATATCTTTCCAATCCTTTTACAATTTGGGCCACCCGTTACCTTGAGACTGTGCTCCTGATCGCACTGAATTTGGCACTGATGATATTGTTGGACTCGGAACTCCGTCGTTTGCAGTCTGCCCACTTTGTCGCGCTTCCAATGCGCCACCTACACAGAAACAAGACAAGGTTTCTGCTAGTAATATTTCTCATATGTGCAAGTAACGCATGCTTACCAGCTGAGGATCCACCGGATCCTTGCATAAGTAATAGTTTCTGGCGAAGACATTCAGGTTGGTAAGGTCACTGACGGTGCACGGAAAGGTTGAGCCTTGTGGTATACACTTTGTAATGTCCGGGTTTAAGAATTTTCTACAAAATGAAATTGGTTAGTATCTACCATTTTACATCATAATCAATTACACATTTTGTAAACCAAACACTGCAGTGCGCAACCAAAAATTACAATGAGAAAAATACTAACCGACACACTTCCTCATTTCCAAATATGGAAGCGGGATTTTCTAAAGACGTGACTTGTGCCACATCCACAGAGTAATCCAAACATGGAATGATCTCTTTGGTGGCGTAATGTCTTTGGGATAGCATTTCTTAGCGGACGATACGATTTCTAGAAAAAAAAGAAATGCACGTGTTACGAACAAGATGTGTAATAACTCATTGTCTCTTCTTATTTGACCAACAAAATTATAAGTCATTCGCGTGTTAGAATAGTTACTCTATATTCCGTAGCGGTACGTTATGTAAATAATACAGAATTGTAGAAGTACTGTACCTGATAACAGAGTGGCGTCGCTGCTGGCATTTGTATAAAGGCTGGTCAGTCTTTTTATGGCTGAAAAAATCGCAACTATTATAATTCAGCTTGGCGAAGTAAACGTTCCATCTGTTAACCTGTAAAAAAGGGTTCTTCCGGGCCTGACGGTTGGTTCAGACATTCAGGAATCTGCAAATATTTGTTACGGTTTACCAAGACAAACCCTCAAAACCAAAAGCATGCTTTGCTGACCGCGAGTAGATGTGCTTACGCTAGCGTAACTGAACATTTTGCAGACAGCCGTATTGCCATTACGGGCCATTTCACGCCACTGCTCAAGAAGTGCACCAGCATAAAATGGCCGTTCCGTAGCGGTGCTATTAGCACTTGTGTTGGTAGAACTGTTCCCTGCCGACACCGCTGCAGTGGCATATAATTTCGGTATATTGAAATTACAGGCTCGCAGATTGTTCGCAGGATCGATTTGGAAAACATTGGTCGTCGCTGGTAATGTGCCGTATGGTTCAGCAGTGCTATTTAAAAACTGGTAGAAAAACCTGTAAACAACAACAACACTTGTCATCAATCACAACCTTGAAGAAGAGAACAAAGAATACATTCAACGGCAAATATTTATCCAGATAAATTACAACGTCTGAAACAACACACGCGAAGGAAATTTCTGCGTTTTGATAGCGTACTTGGCCTTGTCCGCAATCGCTTCTCCAGAGATATTATCACTCGCTAGGAACGTCAACGCCATATTCGGCATTTCCGTAAACGGAAGCTCCATATTCCATCGCGCCAGTGTGCAAACATCCGTTGGTTTGCTGGCTTTTGGTGCTGCGGTCGTTCCACCGGCCACTACCGGCGCCACAGTTGTCGTTGTAACGCTGGTTTCCGTTTGATAACGGTAGCGGTAAGGAACGTACGAGTCGTAATACCATGGCGGTGGCGGTCCATAATACCCACATCCGCATGAATAACAGCAACCGTTGTGCGAGTACAGGCTATGTGCCACCATACTGCCCAGCAGATAGCCACCAACCATGCCACCCGCACCGGCCAGCAGTAAACTTCCAGTTCCGAAACCACCACGGGAAAAGGCCCCACCGCCATAATTGTTGATGACGGTGGTGTGCGTATTGTACACCGGTTGGATATTATTGCGCTGCGAGGGAACGGGCGCGTTGGCCGCCGGTCGGTTGACAGCGCTCCGGGAGGCGGAATTTCCGGCGGCATTATAATTAGGTCGCGAAGACCCGCTGGGGGCGGAGCTTCCCCATCGGCTCGATCCTGCACCTGCTCCGCTAGCACCCGCCCCGGTGCCGCTGGACATACGCGAGCCACTGGCGCCCGCCCCAGCCGGCGACGACGAGCCAAATTTACTTCCTCCTCCCGTCCCGCCGACAGATCCCGACGGGGAAGACGACCCGAAGCGACTTCCGCCACCCGTGCTCCCACTGCCAAAACTGGACGATGAGCCGGAAGGACTGGATGAGCCGAATCGACTACTGCTGCTTCCGCTGCTACCGAACCCGCCGCCGCTGCTGCTGCTTCTGCCGCCGAATCCACCTCCGCTACTAACGCGACCCCCACCACCACCCGATGACCTTCCTGATAATACCGGCTCAATTAACTGGACAAGGAGGATCACGGATAAGAGGGTGGAAACTGAAATATGCACAAAAAGCAACAAAACAGTTTAGTTTGTGATGGCGGCAGTCAGTGTATGAGTGTCGTTGTCGTTGGAAGATTAAGTTGTTTTTAAAACACATTCGCCGTATATGACGTCATTACTTACATACATGATACATGTACTTCATAACAAGAAGTGTTCAAAATGCACACATCATTATTTTAGTTTTTTAAGAATATTTATACTTAATATGCAGGTGCAGTAGAGTTTAAAGCAGCGTCCATAATAATATATTATATAGTTTACTATTTCCTCTAACAAGACATTTCAGTAATCAGTGATTAATACTGCGTAAACATAATATAAATATTATGAAGAAAGACAATATAAACAAATATCTGAAGCATAATAACCATTTTACTTATATAAAAATAACTGCGTACCTCTTTATGTTCAAAATTAACAAGTCTTTTGAAACTCACCGAATGAAGACCAGAATTGTCTCATCATGGATGATGTTGTTTGAATTTGGATTCAGATGTGTCTTCCAGTACAAACAAGATTTGGTTAAAATTACAGTACGTAACGTAACTGATCAGGGTCAAAACCACGTACAATTTCAGAATCTTAAGATCCCCTCATCTTACGAAGGAATGTTGATAAAAAATCATAAATTAATTACGCTAAACCCCTCAATAATGATTACTCATCGACAAGTCCAACAGATACAGGATTACCGCTACAGTACGCCGTACAGGCAAAAATACCACAGGTAATATGAAATATCGATCAATATTTGTAAAGTATCGGCGATGCAAACACGTTGTTCACATGATGTCAGTGATGGTGAGTATTGGGTTCCGTTCCGCTTTGTTCAACATGCCATCCAGTGAATCAGCTGCAAGTAAACTTCAATGAAAATGCGAAATTTGATTCCGTTAGCATATCCCTGTGTAAGCGCCGATGGAAAACTGGTTCGCAATGAGCTGTATGTGATAACTATTTCGCGGTAGCAACATCGCGCGCGCAAGTCCTCAGGCCTACGGTTTGTTTACTTTGATTTGCCATAAAAAACTCGCCAAGCACCTTCATGCATTACCTCTGTGTGGAACAGTTAACGTGATGGCATTTGCGTTCGGTGGAGAGTGACGTCAATCCGTACGCAAACCTGTAGAGTGAGCAGTACGAAGTAGGCGGGCCGTAGCGTACTTTCTCAGTAATCTGGGAGAGTCTACCAAATCCTTGGCTTGACGTAAAAGCAGTAATCACCGACATGTTACTTGTCAGTATAAATTATGTAAGAAGAAGAACCTTGTTCATCCAGAGCATCTAGGAAAACCTGTTTAATACTGTGTTAATCCATCATCTATGGCATACAAATAGATAAGTTAGTCTTACGTTAGTAATAAGGGTAAAATAAGTTAGTAATTAGTAATAAAGGTAAAAATAAGATAAGTTAGAGGGTAAAAAAGTAAGGAAAACTAGAAAGTGTCATGGAAGACCGCAGCAACATGCCAAGCAGAGACTGGTGGTGTAAGCTTATAAGTATTAGTGCTTTCAGTTTTGAAAGTAATAATTAGCCTGGCTTAGCCTACATATGATGGACGATCTGTACCTGGAAGTAGAGATGGTGCAAACAGCAAGCCTAATTAGATAATTTCTACAGTCTATGTTTTGCATACATTACGAGTATTTCAAGTACTGTACTAATATCGTCGAAAGATTTGAACATAGTATGTATAAATATATATGTTTATTAGCGATTCAAGCAGCCGTTGCACCTTGTTGAAATCTGTGTCCACGCATGTGACTCGGCACCCTGTTATTTTCTGCAAAAACACTGCTTCTCCAGCCATACCGCATCCGACTAGAAGTAAATGAGATCGTTCACACAAGCCAAACGTTTTCGCTAACTGGACCAAATTTAATTCGCATATTGTATAATCAACAGCTGCATTGGCACGGTCATAATTATAAGATTGGTCCAAATCTAGTGGACAATGGCAAAGCACATTCCAGTAAGGTATGCGTGAACCGGAAAGAATCGAGATGACGTTTATGTCGTCAAAACTGAAAATTTCTACTGGGCCGGATATCCAGCTCCTCACTGTCCGAATAGAGAAGAAAATTGCGCGCCAGCGGACGACAGCTAGAGTAACGCCGAATATCCAGGACAGCCATATAGGTTGGCCACTGCAGAACAAGCCACCAAATACACCTCCTAAGAGGAAGATGGTCACGGGAAAGTTAAAAGGTATTGGAAGTAACATTGTAAAATCGGTATGTTAGGAAATCACATTTTGCTGGATGTTATGAGATCTTGTCTAATGTAAGTACAGTACGCAGTGTCATCAGTACCGAGTTTTGCAGAGCACAAAACTATCGTGCGTTAATTGGAGCTGAACAATGAACAGCAGTCACAATGTTTTAACGTTTACTGCTTGTATTATGTATGCATGGCTGACCACATTAACACAAACACCGTGATTATAACTACACCCATGCGACGTATATTAAGCGCCATCTGTTGTGACGTGTAAGATGCCTTCTGCAATAGTATCAGTTACTTTGTAATGCTGATTGCAGTTTGCAGGCTTGACAATTTTTCTTAGCTTTGAAAAATTGTTTTTCTAGCTAGCTGTTTGAATCTGTTAGTTCTAATTGTACACGGCTTTGCAAACCTGTGTTTTTAACTGCCAAACAGTAATTCAAAGATTCAGAGTTCTTGTTGAGTTTTTACCTATGGTTACAATCGAGTGAACGTTAATTAGTGGTAACATGAACAATGGATATAATTTGTGCAATGACTACACCTGTTTTTTTGCTGAAAGTGAGTTTTGATAAAAAACATATAACAAGCACAGGAATTTTCTTTATAACAGAACGCCATTCACACTGGTTCCAGCTTATCTCGAACGTACCGTACCTTTAGGCGAAGGCGGAAAGGTCACTGCCGCAAACAGTGTAGGATAAACTGAAGTTCTAGGGTTGTCTCATAATTCACGGCGTGGTTAAGATTACAAGTACATAGTTTCTGGATTCGGATCGCAATATACAAAAATTGCTTTAAGGGTCCGCAGGTGGTTTCGTTTTATATATTTCGTTTCAGTTGTAATTTAAGTGAAAGTTACAAATGCGATGGATGCTACTAAAATAGTAATTATCAGTATTACGGTCCGAGTACAATGCACTTTCGAAATTTATCCGTTTGTATATATGCGTCAAGGAGCAATTGTACGGTACATCCTGTATTTCCGCTTCCGATGGCGCACTTGGAGGGTTTGGAGGGTTTCAAGCAGCCGTTCAGTGTTGCATTTTAGGCAAAACAAAAGTTGTCTTCGGCCATTTTCTTCGAAATACCTGCCAACTTTCTACGCGGTATGTGGTGGAAACTGGTGTTACCGTATTAGTGAACTACAGAGTACTGTACACTAGTGCCCAAAATAATAGTTCAACAAAAGAACAGAAAATTTCTGTTCAGCTACGATATCTTTTGTACCAGTCCTATATTCATCCTTTGTCCTATATTCATCTGTAATTACAGCAAAAATTCAAAATCTGGTGACAGTTCCGTATAATTACTATATGCGGTACAGAAATCGTGCGGTTGAAGACCGATAATTGGCACAGGACCTGAAAGTGCGCTATCGGAAGCGGAAACACAGGATGTACCGTACAATTGCACCTTGACGCACACAAACGGATAAAATGCCCACCAACATGCATGATGCATCGCTCCACATAAGCCTCACACCGGTCGATTAGAGGACGAAACCAAGGGCGGTAGGACAACAAGCGCAACAGGTGTTCGACAACAAGTCTGCTGCCGTTACGCAATGTATTTAGAAATTAAGTTAATCATCCACTTTACTGTCCTGTAATATGACAAGTTCAACATCCACTTGATCGTTACATACTCAAAATCCTAATGATTGTAACGTAACACACAGTGGAACGTTTCTTCGTCCTTAGACCCAAACAAACCGAAAATGCCATCCATCAGCCGAGGTGAAGCCAATGATGTTGTTTGTCCATAAAGTGTTTACATACAGCTGATACAGTAACCTCTTCAAAATCGTCTCCATATTACAGCAGGGCTTTTTGGTACTGACTTGTGCGTTCAACTATAAGATCGTAACGCCGCATCCACACTGGCAAGATTCATTTGGCCATATTACTTACTCTAGCTTACCAGAAAATGATCGGAACACCATACTGACCGCATATAGTGGATAACATTTGAAGAAGTCCTTCATAAATCTAAAAAATGCTCACAAAAATCTTTTTGATTGTATTAATTTTAGTGGAAATTTTTACGACGACGGTTGCCATAAACGGTAAGGTTGTACCAGCGTATATGTATTATAAGCTCGTAATATAAGCTCGCTGGTTGTACCAATATAAACTCCTGAAACTGACGGATTTTACATGTTATGTTATATCATTGCAGATCCCCATTTTGATCTTCCACACCGGGGATGTTACTTTACCAACTGGTCACAATACAGAAAGGGCAAAGCCAAGTTTACCGCTGCTGATATTGATCCGGATTTATGCACGTATATTGTTATTGCATTTGCCAAGATTGAGAACAACACGCTCGTACCGTTAGAATGGAACGACGAAGGTGAATACATAACTCGATTATGAGGATATTGTCGGCCACCTTTAAAACATGAATCTACCGTCCCTCATGCACAGTGGCGACTATATTCAAGATACGTACAACATCTCATGATTTTAATTGCAGAAACTTTTCGGCGTTTAAATCAGTACAAGTTGACTCATCCAAACCTGAAGATTTTATTAAGTGTGGGAGGATGGACACTCAGCAATCAGCTGGTGGCAGTCTCCGAGACATTTGAAACTCGTCACGCTTTTATTACTTCTACGGTGGTCAGTTTAAGAAACTGGGAACTGGACGGACTGGATGTTGATTGGGAATATCCAGACGCAGCGACAAAAGAAGAATATTCTTCACTATTGCTGGTACAGTTTGTAGAGAATATTTGTAGGATAATCGGTGCTTGATTATTGATCAACTTATTATAAGGCAAAATGTTTCCTTTTTTGTTTAATATGTGAAACAGCTCTTTATAGGAACTGAGGGAGGCATTTGAAAAGGAAGCCAAAAGATCAAAGAAAACCCGATTGATATTAGCAGCTGCAGTGCATTTCACATCGGACGGAGGATATGATGGACGGATAATGAATCAGTAACTTCGCACAAATTTACCAATCATTAAACTGACAAAACAGTTTTGTTGCACTGTATACGGTATAATAAATACATGCATACCGATAATTTAATGGTAATAAAAAGGCTACATTGTACAAATAATTTAACACCTTTTGTATTTTTAAAAGTACGTAACATACTTGTATAACTTCCTTAAGCGGTTTGTACTTTCTGTTGCAGGGCATTGGATTTTCTTAACGTAATGGCTTATGATTTGCATGGGGGTAAGTGCAAAATTAATAGTTATATGATAATTATTATATGATAATTACCCTGTACAATGTTGTTCCTCTGAGTGGAATACGATAGACTCAGAAATTTTTTTGGCACAGAAAATTATTCTGGTCATCTTATAAACTTTGTATTTATCGTTAATATGATTGCGACGTTAACCTGACTACATAATGTACTGGCTTAAGATACTACTCTAGTACCGTGATGATGATTAAGTACTGTGATGATTAAAACACATCGATTAGTTCCACATGAATATTACTCGTAGTGATTTTGCTTTTAAATAACTTATAAGGTACCAAAGCACTGTACAGTAAGTAGTATTTCCTTTCTCAAAATCGAGGTCTTGCCAGTAAAACAATTTTAATTGGTTACCGGTATACGAGGCTTGTTTACATAACTGCAGCTTGGATTCCGGACAAAATCGGCCATCACGCGCCGTTGTTCAAAGGTCCATTTGCCGAAGAATCCCCCCAATCCGTTGTACGTTGATAACCATAAAGTTACGCCAGTTGATGGTGTCCAGTATAAATGACCCATATACCTTTATTTTTGGTTTTCTTGAATACAGTTCGTGAACTAATAATTATCTTCAGCTTAATAATAACAGGCAGCCACGATGAAGTCGTGGGAGCTTCTGGGCATTCCGAAGCATAAACTGATACTAGGTCTGCCGATGTATGGCCGCGGCTGGCTCATGGCCAGTCCGCTGGCATACAGCCTGGGATCGCCTGCCAAGGGTGCCATATCCACCAGCAAGTTCACCAGTGAAGCTGGTGCATGGCCCTATTATGAGATCTGTGACAAATTCAAAACGGACAATGCAAGTTATGTATTTGATAAACAAATTCAAGCCGCCTATGCCTTTACCAAAGACTACTGGATAGGATTCGATGACCGACTGACCGTAGCTGCCAAGGTGTCGTATAATGCAGTTTACCACTTGCGGCGTTCGTTTATTTCATCGTTTTGTAAAAAGGTTGTAAAGCATTGATTAAAATGTTTTAGACGAAATGGGCAAAAACAAACGGCTACGGTGGTGTTTATATTTGGGATTTGGCGCAAGATGATTTCCACAATATTTGTGGCTTAGGAATCAATCCCTTACTGCACGTTATACGTGACATTCTCACTAATACGAGAACTTCTAACGATTTCCCAATCATGGCGTCGCCTGGGACCACAAAATTCCGGCCGACCACTTTAAGGATGACCACCCAAACAACTACCAGGTCAACGCCAACCACGATCATACCGGAAACAACAACACCAGCTACAGTCATGCCCCGGCGCGTTGCACACGAACACCTGGTGACTAAGCCCCGGGTGACCTTTTCCATGGTGCTCGGTAACAGTCAACCCGTGATACCCAGAATAGCTTTGGAGAAACAAAGCAAGTATCAACGACATTCATTTATTATTTTGTGGGTTACGTTCGAACGAGGTTATACTATTGTGCAGATTACTACCCATTTGCTTCATAAAATAAACTTTATTGTTGTTACTGCTATAGTTTGTGACAAGAATTTCTGCATATGGAGTGGACCGGGTTCATTTGCAGTTGGCCGATGCGAATCACGATACTGCGACTGCGATGCAGGAAGTAATCCATACAGTCGGGAATGTAATGGTGGCTTGGTTTATGATGCGGCAAACAAATACTGCAACTGGCAGGAACTTGTGGAGGGATGCACTCGATTTAACGGCGAATCGCCGGAAGCGATATACGAAAACAAATTTCTTACCACTTGATCGGTCTACTTGTTTCCATTTTATTGTTTTTTAAATGTTGTATTCTTTCTGTTGGCGCTGGGACAGCTTGTATGTATTTTAGACAAAAGATCTTACAATGTAACGGTAAGCGCAAAGTGGCAAACTGCTCTGGGTCTCCTGAATCTATGCCAGCACAACTACAACCCGCTGCAAAGCGACATATTTTTGTAGCAGTTGGTAACCCAAACACAAAAAATTTAAAAGTTAATTACTGCACCAGGCTGCAGTGGTGTGTTATTGTTGGTACCGGTGTTGGTGCCGGTATTAGTGCCGGTGTTGCCACCAGGCTGCAAAGGTGTGTTGTTGTTGGTGCCAGTGTTGGTACCAGGCTGCAGGGGTGTATTGTTGTTGGTGCCGGTGTTGGTACCGGTATTGATGGGCTGAAGCGGGGAGTTGGGATCATTTGGCTGAAGTGGTGTGCCCCCACCGCCTGGCTGAATTGCACCGCCACCGCCTGGCTGAATCGCACCGCCGCCACCAGTGCCGGTGCCGTATGCTGAAAAAATAGTAAACCTGAATTCCAGGGTCTAATATTCAAACCAAACAAACCAATCTGTGTTTGTACAAACCAAATTAAACTGATTCTAGCTGACGCATTTATTAAAAAATGCTGTTGCCTATTATACAATGCGAAGTGCAGTAGGTATAGCTGAGACGTACGGTCTTGGCAAGTGAGGCCGGTTAGCGATGAGCATTGGTATTTGGATGCAATGGCCATGCAGTCGGTAAAACTCAGTCGGTTCAAATTCCCGACGGCCTGGTTTCCTGTCGTGGTGAAGACAGATTGTCCGGCTTGGGCATTAGTTGTGGGCTGCACCATGGTAATGGAGTTGTAGTCGAAATTGGTGTTGACGCTGACACCGTTGACTGGGTTAAAGCCGGTAGTCTGCACCGCTCCAGCAGTGTAGGCGGTGTACATACCAAAAGATTGGAGCGTTGTGTCGACTCTTGAGGGGTCGACAGTGATTGCGTTACCACGGTCCGGTCGGTTATATTCTGTTCGCAGCCCGATGGCATTTACCAGTCTGGCCATTATTTGACGCACACTTCCACAATTGCCGGGCGCATTTCCTCCCACGATATACCTGACATTGTCAAACAGGAAATGTTTAATTAAGCCAATAGTTACAGTAATATCTTTATGGTGTGACAAAAAACTATTTCCTTACATCTTCTGCCCGTTTCCGTTCTGTCCAGATTGACGACCAGGGACTGTTCCGCATACTGTTTGGGGTACTCTGTAAAACATGTAGCCTTAAAAATTAGCGCTTATTAAATAAAGTAGTGCGAACTACAGAGTAACAGTATGCGAGTGTAACCGATTTCTTGAAAAGTAGAAAACGATGAATAAATGAATGACATGCGCGATTTTCAGTGAATTGTCAATCTTCACTGACACACAGGTTCTGTTTTGAAAATGTATATTACCCTTGATTATTAACGTTGGAAATATATATGAAGTCGCGTCCAACATTAGGAGGTGGAACCGGACCGGCATAATATTCGTAAAAGATGATACAACCATTAAGATCACTGTTCAACTGCCTTATGGCTGCCCGGATGTTGGCGAGCGTAGTAGCATCTGAAACAGCATTTAACTTCAGGAAACGAAAAGGCTAAACTTTAGTTTCTGGCAAAAGGATACTGAGCGTTAAGCTGGATAATTTTCAACAGAGTGATTTAACTTTTAAACTTCGTTCTCCTTGTACATACCATATCTGCCCGCTTCAATAAAATATGGGACATAGGTCGTTAAATCATTGGCGTAGTTCTTGGACCACTGCGGATAGCGCGTATCAGCGTTGAAAACGGCTGCATGGGACAACGACACCGCACACAGGAAAGCGACTGCAGAAGCAGCTTTGAAAGACATTTTCCTCACGCGTAAAGAGGCCTCCGGTCGAAAACTAAACTTCGATGGGCACTTCGATTCTGGGTTGCATAAGCCGGAATCGAAGCAGAGGAATATATAATCTGCCACATCGTACACTCGTCATCACCTTTTATATATGCTGCTTGATACATTTTGTCTCTTTAATATTAGCTGATTTGGTTTGTTTTCGTTATTCCTGCTGCTCTAAAATGTAATATCATATGCTGGCGCATCTACTACGTCTACTTTAAAGTGTCTGACGCATTGATACAACTGCCAGGCACAAGATATACGAAATATCTGTTAAAAGGCGCTGCGCCGACACATTTTTCATGTGCCTCGACACCAGATAAATTCTGACAGTGAGGTGCACATTATATCTACGTCGACCAATTAAATGCGCGCGAATGAAGATTTGACATGGTTTAGTAGTGTGACTGATACATATTTTTTAATTTAATAATTAGTACTTTTTTTACCGAAATAGTTAGTATTACTTTGTACTTTAATAATTAACTGTATTCTGCAGCTAGAAGTTTCGTCGCAATTCATTTAAATTAATTGCATTAATACAACTGTGCGGTATTAGTCACTCTTTTACCAGAAGGGACTTGATACGTTTCTGGAATATCTTAATGCAACAAAGATAGTGCGAAACGTCGAAGCCAGTGTGCCCAAAGAAACAGTACGCTAACTAGAGTTACTTTGACCGATAGCTGGGTTTCGGGAGAAAAGCTGCAGCGTACAAATTCTTTTCTTAAGACATTAATTTGGCTTATTCGTACACATATACAAATATGCATATATTTGTTCCTATGTATTTGTGTCAACGTTTTGGTTCTGATTACTATGTTGCACGAGGCATATTGTGCGTTAAAGGCAAATCTAGAGTAAAAAGGCATAGTGCGTCGCGGCTGATCTCTCTGATCATCATCATCATCCCGTTATCCAGATCGACACAACAGGACGCACAACACCTTTGAAATTAATAAATTCAAGTGAGTAAAGCCCTCCGGCATTTTTCGCCTTGATGGCCACTTTGAATGCGGCGGGGTTGGTTAAAACAAAAATACCCGCCTTCATTGCCGGCCATCTTCTAGCATTTCAAAGTATTGCGCGCGCTTCTTTCCAGATCGTTAGTGCCGGCCAATCGATAAACCGAGCCCGCGCCGCATCATCCAGCCTGATGCCTCTTTTTCGGCTCGCAACAGCGCGAAAAACTTTCCCTCAGGATATCTACCGAGACGTTATTGTCATTAAGGTTTAAACGCCGGCTTACGCACTTTCTTATTGCAGTTTGACGCTCTTAAAAGTTGCGGTCTTTGTTTGTTCTCGCGAGTCATAGTGCTGTTTTTTATCCTGTGTCGCTTCAACCTCGTCCTCCTAAAGTGTGCGTTTTCCCAACGCTTGATCACCGTTTGGCATTTCGGCGGCGTACACTTAAGTACTGATGACCTTTCGTGTTTTCTCTGTCAACAATCGCGCGCTTGTCTTTTAACCGCTACGATGCACAAGGAAATTGCTGTTGTATGGTGCGTGCTATGCCTGCTGGCAACATTGTCCGAAGCAGCATTATCTCTACCTTCCAAGGATGTCATTAATTCCGAAGCCCATCTGAGCAACAAACTCAAACTGATCGCCAGAAAGTACCGTTCACTACGTCCGCCGGCGAGCTATAAGCTGCTGCACTTCTACGACACTTACGGTGATCGCAGTAAATTTGGCTTTGGACTGGGTAAACGCTCGGGGTCCATGGAATATAATCGCCAGGACAGTGTGGATGGCTATGTGCCGCCATATCCTGAATATGATCCTGTTTATGCCAGACCCGCATACGAATCCCAGCAGGAAGGATACGATTAATTACTGAATCACATGGGAATTAGTTATTTCAGGCCATCAACCCAACGATGACACATCACGTTTACTATATTGGTGTTCGTATTTCTTATAATTATTACAACGTCAAAACCTAGAAGTTGACCTTTCCTCGAAGAACTGACCTCGTTGTTTGTAACACTCAGTGGATGCTTTGTTGCCTCAACTTTTAAACACAACCGATGTCAACGCTTTGTGCATTAGTTTTCGTATTCGAGTTTGAATCATATAAGTGCAACTAAACATTTGCAAGTGTGACTTTAAGTGAAGAAGAATCATTCAAGTGTTACTTTCAGTAATAATCAATGTAGTAGCTGTTATATTTTTTTTAATTATATGAAGCAGTATAATGGGAATAAATCGTAAAGCCTCCATGGCCAAAGTTTTTCTGCAATCTACAGTAGCTGTTTTGATACGAGTGTTTTTGATACGAATGTCTAGCTGTTTTTTTCGTACATCTGAACATGTGCGTGGGTGGACAAAATATTCTGGAATGATCTTGCTTTTAGAATCTTATTCAGGCGTTGTCATAGCGGAACCAAATTCCATTGATGACATGGCGTCTCAATGTTATATGTATGATTTAGCCGAACAAACAGTGCGTTTAATAATATGTAAGTTGAAACTCCATACGACCATACAACACCTTCGCGCAAAAATTACTATTAACTACAGCATTAAAAAAACAACATATAAATTACAGCATTAAATTACTATTAACTAGAGCATTAATAACCGCATGGAACTTATTATTAACTGCCGGCACGCGGGCGTTACGGAGTCACACCTACATAGTACATACGCAACATTTGGAATGATCACAAAAACGCATCAATCTGTGTCTCTTAAAGAAATACAAAATATGTTATACAGTAAAGACAGTCCACGCATTTTGCAAAGCAGATTTGATTCTGTCAGTATTTCCAAAATCCAAGCAATGCGTCCTTATGACTGGAAAACTGGAAGTACAAAAAAAACTTTGTACGCACGGACTGCGCAACGGAACTCACTGTGTTATAATAGTAAATTAAAGTAAAGTGCCTGGTGGCTGATGTTGTACGTTAGACCGGGCAGATGCCTGTTTTTTTCATATTAATCCTATTAATTTCTTGTCAGAGTTACGCGTCAATAAACAGCGGGATTTCTATGCCCCTGATGTAATCAAAATCCACACTGTCTTAGTCACATAGCGACAGTAGATACCGGAAGAAGAAACGCGCATCCCATGAGGTAAGGGCACGCTGGCGAACGTACTGGAAAAGGCACTTTAATCCCGTTTACCCCTACCGGAAACTCGATTGTGCTGACGCGCATCATTTCATCTTTTGCTCATACACATGTTTGCCTTAGCCGTCGTCGTTCCATTTGTGGAGAGTCGAGCGTGTGTACGCTGATATGGGAATCTTTGCGTATACGCTGTAATGGTGTAAATGGAACGCGGGTGTAAGTGTTCCCGGATGAAAATAATAGCGCCCATACAGTGTAATCCCAAACACAGGCACATTTTCAAAAGGGAGAGAGAGTACCATGTTGACACAAAAGATATCTGACCCCGGTAGGGACACGGGGTGTCTTGACCATTAAGCCGGCATTTGGATACATGCCGCAGATGGGTGTTTCTTTTTTTGCAGACAAGCGCTCGCGCGGGCGCAGGGCGCAACCCCCGTGACAAGGCTGTGTGCCTAATGATCAGACTAATGACACCAGTTGAGGCGCACTCAACACTTATTTCCCGTATATCGCCATATCCGTAACCAGGAAGTTGGCTTGATTGGACGGAAGTGTCCTTTTATGTAAAGTAATTATGGGAAACTAAACCCTGTAGTTAATCACCACTTTCGGCTGCGTATTAAGCATATCGCTACGTGCAAAACAACCCTCGACATAAGTAACCAGCAGCCGACTGCAACGTCAGTCCTGCAATGTTGTTTCCATTGTCAACTTCCGATTATGTATTGCTCGCGTAAGTGATTATCAGTATGACGGCTATCAGCTGCATTACACTCGTTGTTAAAACAGGTCATTAGAAGGAAGTTTATCAAACGATAATAGGTTGTTTCTTATTCCTGCAAACACAGAAATATTTAGTGAAGTGAAGTTTATTGTCCTTGAAATATACCAATATCCACATATTATTATTTTTGTCTACACACGTTACTTAAAAACACGTTAACCCGTTAATATCCACACGTTATTGAAACAAGACCCGCTAATTTCGATTATTTTGCAAACGCTTGCAGTTTTAGTAGTAAAAACGAAACCGTTTCCGGTGGCAGGCGTAGCAGCAAAAGTAGCGATATTGATTAAGTATTACCAGCATGAGACAACACGCTACCGGTTGACATAACAATACGAACGAATGTTTGTGTTAAAATACACCAAAAGCAAAACTTTTCGTACATAACAAACATGTGGGTATGATACTTCAGCACATGGAAATCAAAATTATATTCACTCACTGGACTCATTCGCTCACAATTCTACGGTACAAGGAATAGAGTTACGAAAACTATCCAAATATCCAGTGCGTTCCGTTTTGGTACTAGCTATACTTCCTTGAAGCCTTGAAGTTCAAATGTATTAAATAGTTGACGCTGCTGATTAGTGTCAGTTGTTTATTAACTGTACTGGCGACACTACTCGAAAACAATGAAGGGTCACAAACTACGGTTACTTAACTAAATAAAAATTAGGGGAACATTTGATTCACTCATAATACACAATACTATATGCATAAATGTTTCCATCAAATGCTGTTTACTAAGCAAAAGTACGTGATACTGCAGTATAAATAAACGTTGTCAGAAAACCAATGGTAGATGACTAGGTATTCAAAAACCGTTCTTAAGGATTATCACCGTTGCGATGGCTGCAAACCGAGATTGTCATCAGCCGGGGATGTCCTTCCCGATTCAACATAGTAACGCTCGCAGAAACTGGCAATGCGTGAGACTGCCTCTTTCATTTTGTCTTCCGGTACAGTCAGGACAATGCGAAAATAGTACGGAAAGTCAAAGCACTGCAACAGAAAACGACATTATTTAAAATGAATAATGATAATGTCAACTTCCGGTAATCATGCTAATAATGTGAATCTCCTATTATTGTGCTGAATTCCTGCATTTTTTCTGGTGCGCTGAACTTACTTGACCCGGCAGACAGAACACGCTCTCCTCGCTGACTAGCTGGGATGTAAAGGCCAACTCATCCGTAAAATTTGGGAAATTTTCGATATTAATTTTGGTCATCATGTACATTGCACCGGCTGGCATGATGGGTGATAAACCCGGTATGGCGTTCATCCCATCGAATGCAATGATTGCATTAGTCTTTAAATACATATAAACTGCATTTCATCAACAGAAATTCGAATTAATCGTCTTTCTTGATTAATGCGTTATTTACTTCTAATGTGTTGATGATAGACTGGAAATACGTTTGTGGCACGTTTTCCAGAATCGATGGGACGGCACCTTGTACAAGGGCATTGGGACCGAGTATCCTTTGTGACAATGATGTCAGACCCGATCGTACCTAAACACATTAGGTATTCGCGTTAGTTATCAACTTATCACTGAAAAAATTGCACATGTACAATTTGTAAAAGTATAGATTTATATAGGTATACATATGTATATTTGCACATGTACCTTTGCCGAATAAAGATACATTTATATAAACACAGCCATAAATTAGGTATCACTCTGTACATTCAGAAAAAGACTTTTCTTCGTCAGACATCGCGATGATTTTAGTATGTCGCTGACAATATTATCAGCTTACTTCTGTTTCAAAAATATCATGGCGATCATGAATAGTTATCCAGCCCATTCTCCAACCGGGACAGATAAACCTGCCATGAACATAACATAATTTATGATTTTCGTTACGGTAAATGTTTAGGGGAATCGAAAGAGTTGCGTTGTACAGTTGGTGTTCAGCAATTACAAAATACTAAAGTAATGTACAATCACATCTCAAACGATTTCGCAAAAAAAACTACAAACTTTTTTGTAAGACCCCCGCAGGCCAAAACCGGGACCGAGTCAGTCAGCGATGCCAAGGGATAAAAAACATGACCGGGGAAGACCAAATCATCATAGATCTCATCGGCAATAACTGGAACTCTATAATAATGCGCCACTTCCAGGATGTCCTGCAGATGCTCCTTGCTGTACACGGATCCGCAGGGGTTAGACGGATTATTGACCACAATCGCCGCCGTATCGGCATCAATCAGTGATGCCAAGTGATGCAGATCAATTTCCCAATCGGCTTCCGGCTACACGCACAAACCGGCAAACACTTTCGTAATCATTATCAAACAACCGCTAACTGTATAAGCTTTATCTGGGCATCACGCGACCTTTTCAAGGTTGAGCACATTTACGAAACAGACCGCATGCTACATAATCGAGTGGATAAAACCTTGAGCGGCCAAGTTTAGGTGGTTATGTATTACCAGCAGACGATAGGATCGGCACTTCACTCCCAGAGAACAGGCGATAGTCTTATAAATAGAGAAACCGGGACAGGGAAGCAGAAGGTTACTTCCGCGATCACATAATACTGAAATGCACAGTTCCAGGGCATGAGAAGCACCGCTGGTCAAAATGACATCCTACAAAGAGAACAGTTAAAATCGCTGAAATGGCGTTCTGTACAGCATTTGTTAATTAGCGCTGCGAGTATACAAAATGTGTAATACCTTGGCAGTCAAAGGTGATTCCGGCCGGGCGGTATATTTTGCAACAGCCTCTCTCGCCGACAAAATTCCTAAATATGAAAACTTTTGATCAGAGACATCACTAATCAACACTGATACACTTTATTTTTCGCAGAGATAGTACTGAACTGAGCTTGCTATTTCCAGAGAAAGTTTTTAAAAGTTCATTCCATGTATTAGTGCATTCCTAGCATGTATTGTACACATTACTAAGTATGCTGACCTGTAGAAGGTGCGTAACCGTCAAACTTCTGCTCTCTTGCAGCTTTGACGACAGCTTCTACCGCTTCCACTGGAGGACTGAAGTTCCCATAGGTAGTAGGATCCCCTGGTTTTTATGATTTTGTAAATTATAAACAATAAAATCATGCTAAATAATTTATTCGTAGAGATAAACTGGAAATGCTGTATCCTCGGAAATAGACGGAATGGCTATCCCAAATCGTAACTGGTTTCATATAACCTTTTAAGGGTGTACCTATTGATAAGGCAATCATTGGTTTTTCGGGATTAGGCGTTAGCTTCAAGCCGTCCACAATCTGCCGAATGGGGTTTAAGGTATTTTTTGCCATATAGGAACTCTTAACGTTCCATGCGGTGCGCCCAGCCGTCGGGACGGCGCAGCACATATCGCTATCGTCATCTCGCGGTGAGCATGACTCGGCTGTACTCGGCACACCGTAATCGGAATCAACATCGTCAGTTGGCACGGAATTTCGTCTTCGTAAGCCAAACTCGTTCAGTTCCGGGCTTCCTAAAACGTGACCTTATGATAAGTTCAGCAGTCTTCGCAGTACCGTATTAACTCCTACAATTCCAGCAGACAAAGCTGGAGAATCGTGAAGGCTACCGCCACTGAGCAATACTAAATTAACATTCAGATACTAAAATTAGTTAATAACAGGATGCCTATAATAAAGAGGGTTCACAAAAAATGACTATAATTATAATAAACTAGGGTAGAAAGGGATGCCCATATTAGCGTCCTAAAAACCAGAAAAGGATGCCTATAACGGTGTGTTTTCTGCATAGCATCGACTTAGGGTACCTGCATTCAGTGGGAAAGGCTCAGAATTTGTTTCCGGGAGACTTGTCGCCCTGCTCGTCAGACACTTAGTCGTATGCATGCTATGGCCATTCTCCATGGTACCATTGCATAACATCACATTTGCCCGCATCCGGTCAAAATATTCCGTCTGATGCTGGCGAACACCGAAAGTTACGTTTTCCTGGCGCTCCATATTACCACGCGCTATAACGCTTCAATGGAGCTGGGTTGACCAGACTGAAAATATTGATTATCATAAGGTCAATTACTACAACTACGAAAATTTTTATCTTTAAGTAGCAAACCTGTAAGTCACAGCGCTGTAAACTATTTTGTTTACCATTTTGGGGGACAGCACGCCATGTACTGCTTAAAATAGTGTTACAAACTGATATCAAATTGAAACCGTTAAGATTTTTAAGCGTTGTTTATCGTATGAGAACGAAGGCAGTTGCTTAACGTGGAAACAATCAAAATTTTAATCTTACATAAAAAAGGAATTTCCAAACGTCTAGCCAAAAAAATTGTATAACAGTTGACCCAGCTGAACGTATAGATTGATTTGGTGTAGATCAAAATTATAACATCCAAAACTATGTCACGTAAGGACATCCAAATAAAACCAGCCAGTGACCTTTGGCACCATCATAGTTATTTCAACTCAAATTTCGGTAAATTTAGAGGTGTCTGCTGGTATAATATTTCTGCTATACCGTATACGCAACAATGTGCATATGAAATCTAATTTAGTTACGCCAAATAAATAACCAAAGCAGCAACGAAATTATTATTGCCAGATCAAAGATGGCTCGAAAACCCTACTAATTTCAAGAATACCTGGCCTGCAAAAAATAGCTGTTTCCAGCATAACATTATTTACAACCCAAATACAACCTTTTGAAATAAAAAAACTTACAGGGATGAATCCAAAGTAGCGGCAATTCGATTTAATCGAGTGACTTACAACAAGTAAGTGTTAGGCTGACTGCGTTACAAAATAATAATAATAATAAAAATAGCGATATGGTGCAAGGCAGACAGAATCTTCAGCGATAAACCGTTGAGACATAACTCGCGCACTACCGTCCATCGTACGTAACGCCAGATACTCCAACAACTTAATTGCACATATAATTAAATAAAAAGACAACGCATGATTGTGAGGAAACTAATAAAAAATACAATTTGAATTAGTGGACAATTACAGTAAAAGCGTTTAGAGTCGTTTGTAGCAGTAGTGTGTATTTTCAAAAATGATAACTCAAATGACAAGTCCAAAATGAAGTCTGGTTTATATTTACCCTACGTATATAATAATGTATGCACAATAAAGTTAGTGGTAATTAATCATACTATGCCGAACGGTTAATTCGAGTCGCTGATATTATCTAACAAATCGGACATCCCAGATGGACAAAGTTGGGCGGCGTTTCGTAGGTCCCGAAACATAAACCAGGGGGTGTGAGCGAAAACATCACCTGCGCAAATCTGGCCATTTCCGGTAGCACTTTCTGTTTGGACTTACAGTTTCGTTTTATGGAATTATTTGCGTGCTCGCTAAGCACGCTTATGCAGTTTGTTATTTGCAATAGTGCACAGAATTGTTTTCCACGAATTTTATCACACGAAATCAAATGACAAACTGATGTGGTTGATAACATCACCAAATCAGCAAACTAACGTCGATATCTATCGCGCACATAACGGATTATCGGTACAATTAGAGCGGAAAATCTGTGCTAGAAAGTAACAAGAAAATGTATGGTGATCCTTGGAAAGATGATAAAATATGTTAGTTGCAAACCGATGCATTGAATTCGAATAATTTTTAAGGAATCCAGTGACTGCACACACTCACAAAAAGTGCTCGTATATTAGTATTCTGGCATCAGTTATTTGATTTTCAATCGGGCGCCTTTTACGATACTTGGTACAAAGTATTTTTGCAAATAATTCCCATAAACATAAACAAGAAGTTAAAGTTTTTTCATAAGCATAATCACGTACAATTTTCTAGGTTTCCAAAATTGTTTACTGTTTCTATGTACCAATAACTTATCGGCATGAATAAATAACTTGCACGCAAACCTATCCAATTATACATTAGAAACACGGTATTATTCTTTCTTCTGACAATAAATTATTTCAAAATCTGCTGGTTGTATTTCTAATCTCTACAGATACCACGAAAACCTACAGTAATTAAATGTATGAAACAATAAAACCTGCACTACCAAATTTCTAAATGCTATAATTTTTTAGATGGTTTTACACATATTTTAAGCCATAAAACTTTTGAAGTCTACCTGTCTAAATAGGTTACCAACTTACTGCTCCTGCGGATTGTGTTAATCGTAAACAGCAATTACAATTTACAACTGATGCCGGCACGATTATAGCGGCATGATGATTTTTTGAAGGCGGCAAGATACTAAACAGTACCCTGTGGGCGGTATGTAGTACACCGCAGGTTTATTAATAATAATAAAATTAATATAGTATTATAATTTATAGACATGTTTTCTTACGAATACTATGTATGTAAGAAATAGTAGTGGAAATTAAATTAATTGGTGCTAAATATTATGTTATAAATATATAAATATGTTATTTAACTATTTATGAGACTTACGCAAATATGTTATTTGACTTACGCAGGAGCAAGCAGGAACACGTAAGTAATAATAAAAGACTTGGCTCTATCAGTCACTCTCTGTGACTCTCACAATGATTTTATTCAGTTTTATATCAAACGCAATTTCTGTTGATACATAATACCGCAACACTGTATCGGCTAGAATAGGCAGAACGATAAGCGGATGACACCTGTTGCACTTGCCTGGAGTAAAACTCACTGTAAAAGGTACTTACCTTTGACAAGATTGAGTGCGGCACTACTGCGCAATCTGCAAATGTTCACGGGCCAGTCACCTGCAGCAAACGGTACCGACACGACGAAGCTGCAACACTCTTGTTTTGTTGTCATATTTCACAAAGCGTGCGCATCTGTTCCTAAATTAGCTATTAATTAGTGGACAACGCCTTCGTCAGGATGCCAATATTACGATTGCAAGCGCTGTACTCGTTGAATTTTCCAAAAATATCCCGACTACTCACTCATCCTGCACGATGCAACTATCCTGCGCAGAGGTACCCAAACATTTGCACCTGACATCTTTCCTAACATGCCTAACGAAGTTGTCACGGCCTGATTAGAGCACTGCACATTGTCATACCTGGGAACGGTCCTTCGTGGCCGGAAACCCATCTGACGGAAAGCTACATTCACAATCCGTCACAAATCCCCTTCCTGTCGACCACTTTGGGTCGTCTCATTGAATACCAGGCGCGGACCATTGGAGATCGCGTGGGCTTCGTCGTGGCGTTTCAGAACATCCGCAAGACGTATGCGCAGTTCAGCCAGGACGCCAGCGATCTGGCCAACGGACTGGTTAGTTTGGGACTGCAGCCTGGAGATAGGATCGGTAAGAATGGACGGACTAGAATGGATTTGTCCGTTTTAGTCGGTTTTGCAATGCATCTCCTATGCGTTGGAAAATTTCTAAAGCAATCAGTCGCAAATTCGTAGTTTTATGAAATTCGTTCGCGCACTAACGACTGGTAGCTGTAGCACGGTATTCTACTACTATTTTTGTAACGGAAATATTTGAACTTGACAAGTACAGCTGCTAATATTTGCATACTGACAACACGGGAAAAGATACGTACAGAAAACTACACAGTGATGTACATCACCTCTAAATTTTATCTCTACTCTAGTGTGAAAGAAAATGATACAGCGAAACTTGACTGCAGTGTAAATTTGTAAATATAGGCTGGTTGCAATGACCGTCCATTCTGGACACCACTTTATTTAAAATACGAGTACCTATATAAATTTTCCTTGGCCAGTTTCTTGAGCACGTGTCTAATTTTTCGTTGTTGCGTTAGGCATTTGGGGTACAAATTCCTATGAATGGATGGTAATATTTTTTGCCGCATCAAAAGCAGGACTGATTCTGGTGAATGTTAATCCGGCATACAAAGTCCCGGAACTGGAATACTGCTTAAACAAAGTACAGATGAAAGCCATCATTGCAGCCGAGGGTGTCGGACCGTTGAATTACTACGACTACTTCCAAAAATTGCATCCAGAAATTCATAACAGCGCTCCGGGAAACCTGCAGTCAACGAGGTCACATATAAAGCGCTTTTAAAACGGTTCATATATTGCACTAATGGTAAAAGGAGTGTATTGTGGCGTTGCTTTTTACAGACTTCCACATCTGAAGCATATAATCATGCTTACTAAAACGCCGGAAAAATTTCCGGGAACTTATTCGTACGATGCCGTTGTGAGCATGAAACGCCAGGATAACGTTCGCGAAGTGGAAAAGCGAACAAAACTACTCCAGTCAGATGACGCATTTAACATCCAGTTTACCTCGGGAACAACGGGAACGCCAAAAGGCGCGTCGTTGTCGTCTTTTGGCATCATTAACGCCGCGTATTTCTGTGGTCATCGATTAGGTGCTATGACTAAAGTATGCGCTTAGTTTGGTTTACAGCTATAATTTTGCTTAATTTATTTCGTGTTTAAACTAGCTTTTATAGCGGGAATGCGTAGTAAAACTATATGTATGACCTTTCAGACCAAAGCAATGGTCGTTCCTTTGCCGCTTTTCCATATCTTTGGATGTGTGGGAAACCTGCTGATATCGTGTATTTTTGGAATGAAATGCGTACTCCCGTCGCCGCGGTTTGAACCGGAAGCTGTTTTCAAAGCCATACAAGACGAAGAATGCCAAAGCATTTCTGGTTAGCGAGTCTACACTTTACAGCATTGCTGCTTGGTGTGAAAAAATCAGTGCTGCCGACAGTTTTTGGTTTTATATTTCTTCTGTTGCAAGATTTGTGCGTATACTTTTGGCATTTTTCAGCCGTTCCGACCATGTTCCGAGATTTGGTCAATCATCCAAATTTGGCAAATTACAATTTATCTTCCCTGAATGTTGCGTTGATGGGTGGCGCTCCATGTCCACCGGAACTGTTGAAGGCCCTGAACGAGAAACTCGGGATAAAGCAAGTGGCAGTAAGTTAGCACTCGTATTCCATTTCTCACGTATATCACAACAAATTTTACAACGCAGGTAAAAAGCAGTAGACCAAAAAAGCAATAATAGCATAGCTGTTTAGGCCGGATATGGAGCAACCGAGCAGAGTGTGGCGACGTTTTTCGGAATTCTTGGCGATCCTGCTGAAATTTCTACGACAACAACCGGATATCCTCTGTCTCATGTTGAAGTGCGTAATTGACCTTCAGAAATATATCTCTAATTTGAAATAAATTCAAGCTGTTAGTTTCATAAACTGGGCTGATCTGTGAGAAGTTTTGCAGCATTTGATATGCAGGCAAAAGTGATAGATGTGGACGGCAGAATAGTGCCAATCGGGGAAAAAGGTGAATTATGCACACGCAGCTTTGGAACGATGCTTGGCTATTGGGATGAAGAAGATAAGACAAGGGAGATTATTGGGCCTGATCGGTGGATGAAAACAGGGTATGCGGCAAGATTTTCCGGTCTGCTACAGAACTGTCATCTGCGCCCTTTATCTCTCAGAATTGCTGTAGTAGAAATTTTGCAATTTCTCAGTGATTCGGCGAAAACATTTGCAATCGTTTTCACAGCGACCTGGCTAAGTTAACGGAAAAAGGATACCTGAAAATTGTCGGGCGCGCAAAAGATATGGTAGTTCGGGGTGGTGAGAACGTCTATCCGGTGGAAATTGAAAATGTCCTGTTAGAGCATGAACACGTACTGGATGTGCACATTCACGGTGTGCCGGATGACCGACTGGGAGAAGAGATTTGTGCATGGATTCGCCTACACGATCATGCGGAAATGATCAAAGCGCGTGATGAACTGGAAACTGCTTTGACAGAATTTGTGCGCAAAAAGGTCCGACAAATATCTAAAATTAATTACAAGGAATTTTTAGTTTTGTGTTTAGTGCTTTATTGTGTTTATTGGATCAAGAGCAGATACCGGATAGTGTGTAGCAAGACTACCGTTATTTTTATTCATTTCTGCTTTTAGTTGGCAAAATACAAATCACCCCGATATTACATCTTTTATGAATCGCCATTGGATATTCCCATGACTCCGTCTGGAAAGGTGAAAAAATTCGAATTGACGGACATGGCAAAAACACGTTTAGGACTGGGAGGAAAGACTACTTTCCAGAGCAGCTGATTTCTGATAAAATTAAATTATGATGCATTTCTGGCTGAAGTTGTCAGTTTTCATATTTTTAAGATTTGTTTTGTACATCGTAGTCTATGGCTTATTATGCTTACAGATGTATGGGTTTGCATCACACGGTTGGTGTAATTTATAAAGAATTTTAGATTTCAGCATGCTGTTATTAATGTTATCCTTTTCGCAGTTTTTATTAATGTTTTAACGCACAACGCGCTTTTAACTTAGGCCTCTTGGAAATTGCCAAATTGAAAATTTATGGAATATCGTAAAGATCGCAATGTTTTAATGAAGTGATGAATCGGTTTTCATTTAAAAAAATGGTGCCGCAGTGGTGCGTGCGCTATTGTCAAGTTTTTTTAGAGCTTAATGCTATCGGCAGCGGAAAACTGTAAAAGACAAAAAAGGGCGAAAATGCTACTAAATGTTATCGTTATGGTTGATGATTTTGATGCCGTTCGACTGGGTTAATTTGATGCGTGCTTGGAGTATTATGGCAACCGCCAATTTTTCGGACTTTTAACAAAATTAATGTTCCAGAAAAATGTGCAGTTGCCGTTGCCGTAAAAGGTATCGTACCGGTACTGTAAGTACAATATAAAACTAAAACTCTAATGCGCCCTTAAAATTTGTTTGCAGACTTGCAGAGTAGAAATAGCTTCAGAATAAAGTTTATACCGTACATTATTATTATTCTTTTCCGAGTTAAAATCGTCTACCTATCCCGGTTTAATAAAACTTGATTGATGCACACTGCATGGCTGCATGCTGATCATTACTCATTGGTGCGCTTTTCGCCAGTTTTCGGCATTGCAACTCGCACAGGAATGTGCTAACCGCGTAACGTGCACATATGCCCGTTATTGATGACTTCACTTATTTTATTCGATAATCTATTTGAATTTTGTTATCTGCAGCTTGCAGGTGCAGTATGTACATATCAACTGTTTGATTTGTTGATTCTGCCCGTGAACGCAGTGCCACATTTCTACCAATATACTCGTTCTATGATTTGGAACTCTGATAAGAGGAGACAGCATCGATCCTATCCTAGATCATCGTCTGTCGATTACGCATGGCTTGTGAACATGGAAGAAGATCTGGAACTGCGACAGCCGCTCAACGCAAGAACCGAGGCAGCGGCCCCAGATCCTGCTCCGGAATCTCCCGCCGCCGTCTACCAAATGCTGGCCGTTCCTTGTTTGCATGCTCGCAGTAAGGGACGGTTTATGCGTGCCATAATACAATGGCTGGTTTGTTGGCCGGACTACTATTACTACTACAAAATGCCCACGATCTGTGCGTACTATGGCATCATTCTGGTCTTGTCCGATACGGGCACCGATGTCTGGGTTTCGTGGACGCATTTCAAAGAGGGCCATGTGGAATGGGCCGGATTAACAATGTCCTTCATCATTCTTGCCATTGTTTTTGCATTGGGCTATCATGTCTTGTACCGGAGAGCGCACAAGTGGTACGAAGTGCATCCTGTGGGCCCAGTATACTGGTAAGCACAAATCTGCAACGGTGGGATGGCGCATTTCGATTACTTTTTGATTTTTAATTTGTCTACTTGATTATTTATTTTTTATTTATATTTCGTTACGTAATTTTTAATGATTCCCTAGTTTGAGAGTAGATTGAATTTTATCAAATTTTTCGGTAATTTTTCGTTTGCGTTACAGGTCGTTACAGACTGCGGCTGCTCATAAAAAGCAGCTTCAGTATAAAGATCCAGTTACGCACGAGACCGCTGTGCAGTTCATCCATTACACGCACGAATTAGCCAATTGCCAGAAGCGGACCAACTATGGCTGGGCGGACGAGACCTACCTGGAATCCTATCCCGAACTCATTCTGCAGGCTTATTTCGTTGCCCGTCTCCTGTCCACTTCCACGAAATCCAGTTTCGAGCACCCAGGGGCGGACGACGTCACATGGAATATGTGGTTTTCCATCTGTATGTCCATCGCGTCGCTCCTGAGTTACGAAGCGACGGTGGCCTATCGGCGACCGTACGTGCGTGTCCTCTTTGAGCCGTCCAATCTGGAGCTGATCGTGCGCATCATCCTCGACGTGATGTGTGCCGGACCCCGCTTGGCGTCGGTTGCGTGCTACTTCACAGTGGAACCGAAATACATCACGGTCCCCGCATTCTGGTGTCTGCATATCGCTGTAACGTACATCAGCTTCGTGCTAATGGCCCGCCGGAAGAAGGAGGTGGAGGTGCCGATCTTGCATTTGAAATCACATGAGGAATTCCGCGGGTATCGTTCACATCGCTCGCCGACGATTAATCATTTGCGTGCGACACTGGTCAGTGTGCTGTTGCCGCCGACGGCCAGCTGGCACGAGCATGCACAGCGGCGGAAGCATGGCCAAAAGGAATCGGTGTGCGCGAGGATTCGTGGGGGACTGCGCATGCAGTTTATCCTGGTGAGCCTGTTCCAGTTTTTGGAGAGCGGCGTTCTGATTGGTATATGGTTGTATTGTCGTTTCGATGAGATCAAACTGTTTTATAAGATTGCCACACCGACCATGGTGCTGTCGTTGTTGCTAATACGTCCCATCGTTGACGTCTTGTGCCAGATGCTCCTGTTGTCGCCAGTATCGATAGACGAAGCGGAACATTGCGATCGGTTTAAAGGTACGCGTTGAGCCCATTGTTGCTTCTTCAACGTAAGTTGTTCGGAATACAATAGAATTACATTCTCCTATTTGAAAATCAAAATTCTAAATTCCAGCTACTGCTTTTGTTTTCGCTGAATTAATGAAGCAGCTTTCATAGTTTTCTACAGGTGCTGTTTCAGTGTAAGTAGAAATCGGCTGCTTTTGTAGGGCTCGTTGCAAAAACAAGGCTGCTGCAAGTCGGAGCGGATATCTTGAATAATTATGAAGTCGATTTATTGCCGCCTCTTCGAAATTTGGAAATGTGGTTTCGTGTATATGGCCAGGATGACATCGACCACCTGTTGATCTTGCGAGAGTGCCAGATAGTCGCAGAGTTTTTTGCCCCTAATCAGGTGATTTCCCGGCAGATATCTAAAGCTTCCAATGCAAAACGAATGACTAGCCGCAGTCCAAAAGAAATTGCACCCAGCCAGCGTCCAGAAAATGAAGTACTGCTTAAAGCTGTTGGGTTCACAGACTTTGCCATATTTCGTCGTGCAGAACTTGCCGCGAAGAAATGGATGGCTACTGATGCGGATCGTGGTGCAGCCCATGTGGAAATCTCAGAACTGCTGCAGGCATGTCAAGGTGAAGTTAAACTGGTAGCTATCGGCTTGAATTTATGTGGTAAAATTTATTTTCATATTGGTTATTTGAATCTGAAGCGGAAATATCAGAATTTTCTTAGTTTTCTTTTGTCTGCAATATTAGTTATTTGCTTTGGAAATTCGGAAGATAAAATCGGTTAATCTTGCAGACCGCATCAGCTTGTGGAAAGATGTGTTTCTGGTTTGTCTAAACCACGAGCCTTTGCCTAAATCATTCACTGATACAAGTCCGGAAACGGACGTCCAGGAGGGCAGCTTGATTTCTGATTACAGGAAGCTGATCGATCTCAACAGCAACGCACTGAGAGAGCAGCAAAGTGCCGCTTGATTCTGTCCAAATCGTCCTGGTTTTCTTTTGTTGAAGTTGATCTTTATTTTGTTTTTTTGACTGTGATATGTTGCCTTTTCCGGTTTTCTTTTGTTGCATCTGAAGATAAAACCATGTTAAAATTTCGGGCAGAATACGGTGGGAAATTAATTCGTTTTCATGGCCGCGAGTTGTTTTGTGTGTGAGCGTGAACGCATGTTATGTGATTTTTTGGTGTTTAGCTGTTTGCTTGTTTGTAAGTACTATCGCCGGTGATTAAGAGTATGGGTGCTATTATGGTATTAAACATCATTAATTAAGGTAGATCTGACTGATTTTGTCGTGGGATTAAATGTGAAATCTAAGAAGTGGTTGCAATTAGCAAAACGTTTTTACAAAGGTTTGACTTAGCTCCGAAATGCGTGGGCTTATATGGCTCTCTGCTGGTCATATAAAATCTGGAAACAGATTGCACAGGTCCAGCCAATTGCTTTGAACTAACTAATAGCCACAGCAATAAAATATCCGATAAAGAGACTCACTAAGCTGCACCCGTTTCAGACTGTTCGCTATATATACGCACAATGTATGTAAAAATATGAAGAGGATTGTGCAATGTCGTTGACACTTGAGAGACCGACATCCTGAAAATCTCGGTTATCAGCAGTTTTCGATCCAAGCACTGGCTGCATTTCAGTGTCCTTCAAAGAAACTGACCTTACACAGAATGCTTACAATATTGTTGACAAATAACATCGCCGTATGTGGCGCTACTTGAACACCGTCCAGAAAATGTTGTACTTGAATTATTACAATATTCCTAAAACTGTCAGTTTCGCAAAATTCATCGTTAGCATCGTTGTTTCGGTATTTAAAGACAATACATCTGTCAGTTTATTCACAATCAACTTCCACTTTCTAAGTTTCTTCGCTTATTTAATCACAAGTCAATACATTCCAGCTGCAATAGTTATCCAAAATGAAGGCGACAGTAGCTAACAGCGTTGTTGCATTGGTTTTGTATGCCATCCTCGGTAAGCAGTGACTATTGCGGTTTCCCACGTTTACCAACAGCAATGCAAAATTAAAGTGTTTTCATCTGTTTACACTTTTGTTACAGATTGTTTACAACTGGTGAGCGCCCAAACATATTATCTGTGCAATGGAGTTTACTACACTTACGCCTATCCCGGCTGCACCTATTCCACAACATCGACCAGCACGGCAACCCAGTACCTGTGCAACGGAGTCCTGTACACCTATCCGTTCTCTGGCTGCACCTATCCTACAACAAGCACCACCTCCACAGTGCAGTTTGTCTGCAACGGAGTAACTTCAACAACTCCAAACACCCTGTGTAAGCACCGCCGCCAGCTCACCATTATCATTGCTGTGACCTTAATAGTGTATTCGCGTATACGCAATAGGTACATATCCGAATGCGCCCGTCAACAATGTCTACACCGGCGTCCTCACTAGCGGCACCACCGGTACAACCACCGCCTACGTCTGCAATAACATTATCACCACCACCCCGAGTGCCGCTTGCTACTTCCTGACACCGCCCGTCAACGGTCTCTCCACCGGTACACCGACGACGAACACCCCAGGTGCCACGTTCACCTGTAACGGTGCTACCACGACGACGCCCAACCCGGCTTGTATCTACCAGACAACACCGACCGGTACGGTGTATAACGGCTTCCTAACGGCCGGTGTACAGTACCAATGCGGCGGCACAACATCAGCCACTTACAACCCAGCATGTACCTACAACACTGCTCCGAATAACAACATTTTGGTCGGCACTCTCGGCAATAACCAACCGACATACACCTTTTTGTGCAACGGGCAGACGACCACTACCTACAACTCCTTATGTACTTATCCCAATGCAGCCGTCAACAACCAGTTCACCGGGGTCACCGCTACCGGAACTACCACAAGCACCGTGCAGTTTTCGTGTAACGGAGCAATTTCGACACTGCCTAATCCGGCGTGTCAGTATTTGACAGCAGCGGTTAACAATGTATTCTATGGAACCACTACGACCACCACAAGCACCACCGGAACACAGTATCTGTGCAACGGTGTCCTTTACAGCTATGCTTATTCGGGATGTAAGTGAATTAGTGAACAAAGTTCTTTTCAGTATGATAGTAGCCACAATTTATATTTTATTTACTTAAAAGTTATTGTTGTTAACTCTGGTAATAAGATATCTGCTTTTCTACTAATTTAGGCACCTATCCGACAACCACCACCAGCACCACTGGAACGCAATATTTATGCAATGGCATCCTCTACAGCTATGCTTATCCTGGATGCACATACTCAGGATTGACAGGATAAAGCATTTCCTGAGGATTACCCAGACTCTCACAAGGAACCCTTTCAATTTCCTGCTCATAGTATTTAGTATTTTCCAGTCAACTAGCAATAACTTTGCTTGTGTACAAAATGTATGTCTTACTGCATGCAACCGAAATCGCCACTGTGTAACATATATTGTAAAAATGTACAAATATACGTATCTGTGTGCTATACAGTAGACTGGAAACACCCCTTGCATGCCCTACATCTGCGATAATCAATTTTGCCAGTCTTCTGTTCAATATTTTTCGCTTACCTCGTGCATAATTTGCGAACTGGTCCGCTGCATCTCAATTTCGCCAATTAAGGAATATATAACTCCGAGATGATGCATAAAGATATTTCAGACGCTATAAAGTACTGCTGATTTCAATGTGTTTCGCCCAAGGTTCAATATAGCAGCAAAACAGACATATCAGAAACAGGGCATCCAGTCCAAAATTTTTTGTTATCATTCTAAATAACGGGAATTTGGCACCTTATACTTCTATTAAGAATGCATTTTGTGTCCGCCCTGTTAGTTGTGGCTGCTTTTGGTGAGTCTGCCTTACAGCATTTTTGCAAATATTTATGGTTAACTGCAAGGCATCGTAACTAGTTGCGCAGTCTGACCTTTCTCCGTACGTGACTATAAAAAAGCACTGCATAAATAATAATTACTCATAACTCATAAGTATTTTGTAGTTATTTATCAAAATATATTATCTAACAAATCATTATTTATTGGCAGGGCATTTTTTTTGTATCGAAGCCCAACAATACCTCTGCAACGGAGTTTATTACACCTATCCTTTTGCCGGTTGCACATACAACACCTTTAATGCCGCTCAAACGCAGTATTTATGCAATGGTTTCTATTACACTTATCCATATCCGGGGTGTACTTACAATAATCTCGCTAATGCGGCTGCTAACACGGGAGTAGTATCCAACAATAACAATTATCGTTGTAATGGAGTCGTTTATAACTTTGCTTTTGGAGGATGCACTTATCCCGCTGCCCCGACTAATGGGATTTTCGAAGGAACGGTACTACCTCCCGCGACTACCGCTCCTCCGATTCAATATTCGTGTAACGGAGTGCTCTACAGTACGTATATACCAATTTTCTCGTAATTTTTATATTTGAAAACCACAAAAAAATTAAGCGGCATGATCGACCCACGGATCTGGAAAGTTGTGAAATTATATTTACTTTTGCTATCAGTTTACTGAAGCCGTTTTTGTCAATACTCATACGTCGTTAACTACCCTGGCCAGTGGCCAGCAACATTTTTCTGCCGTGGGCTGTTTGCAACCTTTTCATAAATTTGAAAATTATAAAGTAAGGGTGTTGGAAAAATTTAGGATTAAATTATAAAACTGCGCTGCATTCGAAAGCCAAACCGATTACTTCACATCCACCACTAATTAAGCATGGGAATCAGTACTACATTAATTATTGTGGTTTCGTTTGAATATTGCAGCTTTCGCTTTTTCTGGATGTACATACTCAAATCCGGTAAACGGTATTGCCACCGGGACTCCTGTTGCAGCAGTCGCGAACACCGCCGCTGCCAGTTCCTACCTATGCAACGGTGTCTATTACACCTATCCCTATCCTGGATGCACTTACGGCAATAATTTCAATACTGGATCCAGATATCTATGCAATGGTGTTTATTATACTTATCCATATCCCGGTTGTACCTACGGTTAGGTGCTGTTTCAAGCACGCCTTGAAACGCAACTGGATGAATCACTTCAGTAATTTTTGTGTTTCCCATATAAAATGTCACATTTCTTTTAAAATTACTACCCGCATACGAATCACGTGACAATCTAAACAAAGAGAACAAGCTTTTCATTCAGCAACAGACATTATAAACAGTAAAATGCGGCCAACCGGCTTCAGCCAACTTTGAAGAGCATCTGATTATTCGACGGTTTCTGCAGTTTTGGCACCTTCAACTCGGGAATCACATCACAAATCGCTTTGACACTGACAAACTCAGCCATATTATATGTGCCCTGCGTCATAAAACAGTAGACAAACGGCAACTCCTGCACGTCACCTGCCCGCATGGTCAGCATCTGCCGACGCACACCCACAGGAAAACTGCGCACTGCCGTTCGGAACTCCACATTCACATGGAATGTCGCCGTCGCTATCACAGATGAACACACCAATCTCAGGCTCATCGGGACCACGTTCGTGTTCTTCCAACCGCCCTGGGGCATCTCTTTACACTCCACTCGCCAGTCAATTACATCCATATTCAGCGGCTCTTCTACGGCCACCAATTGTGAAGGCCCCGCCAGAAACTTATCGTGGCTAAATTTCGAAAGGATCTCTGCAATGTCGGGTGTGGTTTGCGTTGCAAGAGGCAGAGTTATGGAGCGGGTGCCATAAACACTGGTCGGCCGCCCGTCGGAGCTCAGGGTAATTTTCCACAGTAAGCGGAGGCCCAACTGTCTTTTGTCTGATCTGTTGACAATCTCCACAAAACGCCGGGCGGCTTTAACAAAACTGTGGTCAGCAGCATCCAGGTTGGCAGCTATGGTAAAACCACTTAGTGCTGCTGATGGCGCCTCCTGATGTTGTGTCGCGTACAACGAGATAAAGCGCTCCTCGTTACGGTAAATCAAACCCTCATCCGAGAATGGAGAACTCAGATTGCGAACTTCCCACGACGGATCCGTACTTAATATTTCCACCAAAGCAAACGGCAACGATTCCAACTGAACCTACAAAAAAATTCAGAATTATCTCAGCACTCAGCTGATTAATTATTTTAATATGAAAACTGACAAGCATTGCAAATTTGGTATAACTCTCAACCGGTAACACAACAAACCGATGTACGGTATCAAAGGATTTATCAATACGCAATGATTTCAGGTGCGTAATTTGCGTTAAACATTAATCCCCCTGATCCGCTACGCATATAACGCACAATACCGCGGAACACTAATTATTCGAAACATGCTGCTATGAACAGCCATGTTCCATGATTTTATTACCTCATTGACATGAGCGACCTGCAAGGTTGTTAACAAGTCTCGTCCCGCTGGTCCCACAGACTGCGACGATCCCCGTAGGGTCACCCCGGGAAAGACATCAAAGTCATGTTGCACCCGCCACACCCGATATTTATGCGTTTTATCCCTATCTTCCGACAACGGCACCGATTCATAATACAACAGGCTTTTCAGGGAGTACGAGCCTGGACAAGCCGGTGCCATAAACACTGCTGTTAGCACAACCTTCTTTCCGGGTTCTATTGTTCCATTGGGGATCTGCAGGGTGATAACGCCTTGTTCATTCGGACATCCAAAAAATAACAGAACGTCTGGCAAGGAGGAAGCGATAGCTACGTGGTCCACGGCCCGACGGCCTTGGTTTTCAATTGTTAACCCCAATCGCACCACCTATGATACGCAGAAGCGGAAATAGTGCAAAATATGGTTTTCACAGAAAAACAATAAAACTGATGGTAAGTCTCATGGCCAAATTTAATCACTCAAACAACAAAGCAAAATGCAGAATCAGAAAATCAGTATTTCTAATGATAAGTGCTACACAAGTTACCTGCCCAGCCAGAACCCCTTTTGGAAAATTTTCCCACTTCGCAACAAGCTTTCCACGAGGAGGAATAATGATTAAATCCAATCGCCGATCCAGCGCGTAAACGACGCTCTTTTGCTCAGCATTACTCTTATTCAACCGCCATCCGCGTAATGACAGTTTCTGTTCCCCGCGCACGTTAATAATTTCTTCTTCAGTTTCCGATTTAACAAATAACGTATAACTAAGGCTTGTAATTTTGAAGGAACCCGGGTGGTCGACTTGTATGAGAAACGATACAGTGGAAGAGCTCAGTGGAGCTAGGCTTATTTCCGACGGTTGGGCCGTTACGTGGAGATCGCCATCATTTGGAGATCCTTCTCGATGCCGAAACTCAGAATTCAAAACAATATGACTAATAAAAATAGCTGTCCCTAGCGGATTTTTCAATGGAATCTCCACAGATATTATTTCTACACAAAACAAAGTATTTGTATCAGCCACATGCAACTCAGGTGGTAAGCTAATATTTTCCAGTCAGTTTCAAAATTTCCGCTTCTGCACAGATTTATCATGAAAATACAGTTTAAAATTCCGTAACTGACGAATATGCCATGAATAACGGCTTCAACACATAACTGCATACAATAAGCTGTACTAACCTCCGACAGAAGAAACTGGATGGTGGCGATTATCGGTCACACTGTTGAAAATGAACTGTTGATGTTTGAAGACGGGATGAATGTTACCTTTAACAGCCACTGTCTTTTCTTCTAATGTGGACCACTGTTCATCGACCACTTCTACTGCACTGGCAGCAAAATCCGAAGCGGAACCAATCACAGTCCGAATGTCTTGGCAAGAAATCACAGGCAAGTTGACATCGGTTGTCGCATCACCATGAACGAACTTGTGACAAAAAATAAAATCCTTCAGAATACTATACTGCTGCGCTGCTGATTGCCGCGGTATTCCTGCAGAAAAACGTCGCTTAATAAAATTAATCTGAGAAGACTCAGACCACAAAAACCCAGAAAAGTGTATCATGATAGCGGTACGAATCATAAAAAAAATGAAGTAATATTTAATAAAAACGACAGAAATATAACAAACTAGCCTTAAAATAAAATCCGAGAATACCTGTTAGAAGGGGTCGAAAATGCTGTAAAACATCCGAGTACAGCTTGAGCGCCATTGCATGTCGGATAATATGTATCCGTATGTGGTCTTCAGCTACCATCCAACCGCGACCTTCTAACACTTTCAAAGCATTCGAATAAGTTAATATTCCAAGTCTTTTTTGGCCAGCTTTAAAGTAACGGAACCCGGCGAAAATCATCTGAAAAGTGAATTTCCTCGGACTAGGATTCAGTGGCAATCGCAAATAACAATGCCCGGCTTGTTCCAAAAACAATCCATACAACAGATCGAAATCATCCAGTGTTCGGCTTTTATAGAAATTGGCCGCATCAAGATATAAATGCAACGCCCTGCACACCTCCGAGGCTAACAGAACGGCTCTATAGCTATGATGCGCCATTTTACTCATATCTGAGTACGACTTAACAGCCGCATCGAAATACTGCAGCGGAAAACCTTTGGCGTTTGAGTGGGAAAATCCTGCAGTGGGCGACAGAAATACCGATAAGCCACACATTTCCGAAGCCGCAGCATAGTAATTCCACGCCTGATCGTTGCTGTAATCGCGCCGGGCGGACTGGTAAAACTGGAATGCCTGGTCGTACATTTGAAACATGAACGACAAGTCTCCCGCTTTGCGATTCTGCAGTTCCACGGCTTCGCCTACATATACCACTTGACTGAGGTTACCGCCACTGCCAGCCTTCTGCATGCCTTTCGGAGGCCCTTTGGGCCCCAGAAGTTTGCTGCTGAAATTCACGAGAGTACGGTGAATGCCTTTCTTTGATATTATCTGTAAAATAAAACGCAGCATGCGTTAAAACTAACAGTAGCATCAAAAACTGTCACTATTACAGAAAAGTATCTGATAGCTCTATTTATACGCGGTGCCAACATGAATCAAACTAAGTGAAATACATCCCGTGTCTGTAAAACATACGCACCAATTCATTCAACGATTTTATCTGCTTTTCTGCATAGGGAATCAAACACTTGTTGACTAAATCAATAATAAATTCACGAATTCCCTCCGCGTCTTCCGAACTCAACAAGTTTCCAACTTCCGGTTGTGCAACATCCATTTTTCCTTGAAATGATGGCGACAGCGGATGCGTGTCGACCACCGCACCATCCACTGAATCTTTCTTCTCTTCCGCCGATCCATTCAGCATCTCCGAGCTCTGCTTGACTTCCTCACGAGCAAGAACGCTCCATGCATTACCCGTAGACGGCTCATCATTGGACCGTCGACTGTTAATCCGCAGCAAACAACAATTCGATTCGCCGTACGTGGAAGCAAAATAATGCAGTGCTGTATCGCCACGAGACTTAGATTCCTCATTAACGATGGAGGCGTCATCCAGCACAACAAAAAACTTCAAAGTGTTCGGCCCGAACCAGCGAGGATATTTCTGGTTAGCCTGCTGCTGCACTTGCTGTTCAAGAAGCAGCTTAGCGCGAGCAATCGGATCCGGAGCAGATGTGGAGACGACAAAAAGGCAACCAAGGAAGTCTCGTATGCACTCATGATCGGACAGCGGAAAAAGGCGAATATAATCGTCTCGGAATGCTTCGTACCATGGAGCAACCGCTATAAAAATTTCAAATGCAAAACTATCAACAATGATTTTCCAAAACGGTCTTCAAGCAACAAACTAAAATTCACTCCAGCTAAAACAAACAAGCAAAAGATCTGCCAAAAAATTGAGAAAATGCCACTCACCCGGAATCCGTAGGATAGTGTCCCTCACATGTACATCTATCTGTGAAACGTTCCGCTCGTCGAATGCCTCAACAGTCTTTGCCACACGGCTGTGAAAAATGTTCCTGGTAATATTCGGATTCGGTGGCACGGCCTGTTCGATGGTCGACAGATGCAAGAAGAAGTTCTTCAAATAGAATCTATGGTTGGTCAAGTCCGAAGCGATGAGCTCCGCGTTCGGCCGACAGAATGGCTGCAATAGCTGGATAAAATTCAGATTATTCTTCTGACAGATGTCGTGTGCATCCTGACTCCACAGCACTGCCAATCTCGGCGGAAAACATTCCTGGATGAATTCTTTTGGTGATCGCTTACTCTGGGACATGATTCACGATTGGTGTTAAATTAAACTAGCTGGTTTATCGACGTGCTTCCCCAATCTGGGGCTTGCCCAGTTTGCACACATTTGCTAGAATATTCCACATAACGAGAATTTCATTTTTGCTGTCGAAAATGTCGTGAAGTTAATGGACACAATCCATTTCCCCTTTTCCGGAGATCGCAGTGGGATTGGACTAAGTGGACGAGGCCAGCGCAAAGTTTTTAAACAATTTGAAGAAATCCTTTCTTGAAGTCGAGCGAGCAGCCAGCTCAGCTAGGCACCATTCCACTAAATATCAAGTTATTCAAGTACTTATAACTTATAAGTACAGAACTTCCGAAAAACCGTCTGCTAATAAACGGAACACCGATAATATTCCGATTGTAAGTTGTAGAATTATTTCCTACTTGAATGGGAGAACGACAATCCGTCAGGTAATTTACATCCAGAACATCCACCGCTCCACAGCTACTTCAGTACTCGTATGCGAAATGGAAATTGCGAAGCGTAATGGGACGGTGAATTCCATATGGAAGCGTATGGACCTTAATATGCATCGTCCACATTTTCCCATCCGGTGACGTGATACCATATCCCCAAAGCTGAGCCGCTCCATAGGCGGGTGCGATACGAGCACGAGCAATAAAAGCTGCAATATAATCCATTAATTCGTATGTGTGTTTCTAATGTTATCTTGAAAACTACAAACAATTAAGAGTTTGTTTCTTTAATGGGTTATTCAAATTAACATTGGTTAAACTTAAAATTACGCAGTTAAGCGTAATTAAATTAATTAAATTAAGCGTTTGGTTTTAAAACTTGTGAAGTGCATAATTGTCGAATGTAAGGCCTTCAACAATTTATACAGCCAAATTTAAAACGCTACGGCGGCTACGCTATTGCTATACATATTTTAAGAAATACGCAGCTTATTTTTGTGACGCATATCATGAGGGGCAGTGCTTGTTTTTACTAAAGCTAGCTTTAAATCTTTAGAATTTAGAAGCATCGCTGAGAATCGTTTATGACGTTTAGTTAGCTCGATTTACTTATTTCTGTACCTTTAAGTAGTGTAGTTTTTTTTGTTTGGCTTCCATGGCATCAAGACTATAACCATAAGGTTTACAACAGCCTGTTTTAACATTTCACTGTGAAAAAGGCCTATGCAAAAAAATGCCTACCAGGTTTTGCTTTACAGTTTTCTATCTTTTTAGCTCTAATTAATTGATATTTTGCACAAATACTACTCTGCTGTATAAAACGAACTTGCAAAGACAGTCTTTTATTTGTGTAGGTTGTTTTCGAACAGCGCGAACAAACATCATTTTCACTCACAGTCACATAACCACTTTTCGCAGCGCGCTTTTGGCGTATGCCAGTCAAAAACTAATTATTAGCGTGGACATTTGCCGGAAAAGTAAATCAACTTTACGTAGTACAACGGGGTAAACATAATTGGACAGTGAACTTGACACGCATTTTTAAATGTATCCTTCAACCGGTATAGAGATTCACCGGCATGAACCGAGTCAAGTGAACCGTTCCCATGTGGCTAAGCAGGACAGCCAGCCGGTTGACGCCCTTTGCTTGGTGTATACGCGTAGCGGTTGTATTCATCCCCGCGCTGACCAGCGTCACTGGCCACTGTAAATGTTTCCTTCTTCAGCGCCAACGTTCGTGCTTACCGGCAGTGAACAGATAAACACACTTAAACGGTCTGTGATGATGGTCTCCGATTTTAATCAACCGGTCCGTCATAAACGATAATATAAGTTTGACCATTACATCGGCCACGAAGGCAAAAAATTATCAAACGATTTTAGAAATGCCGCATATACAACAGCTAATACCAGCTGCAGCAACATAAGCTTATTATGTTTTCCAGTGGTTAACTTCTGTGTTGCCGTTGAAGTGATTACACAGTTTATACTAGTGACTCTCTGCTGACACTAGGCAGGACTTCCGGTACTGTTGATGGGATACAGTTTATTTATATTCCACCATGTCACCTGAGGTTTGCTGCAACATACCATTGTTCTGCAATACTAAAATTCTTCATAAGTGATACATAATACATTATTTTTTGTTTTTCCTAATCAGTATAAATAGGTTTTTTCGTCGGATTGTATTATAATTGCAAGATTTGTTAGTACCAAAATGACAACATCATTACAGAATTTACCCAGACTTTATCTTCTCATGGCTGGATTAATTCCTGTGGTATGGTTGCAAAAAGTATCTCCTGCTATAAATACAAAATCAACTACCATCATCCAGTCGCCAACGTTGAAAATTCAGCCCTTTTCCGCTGCTACATCTTACGGTATGTGATTACAAATTTATAATAATATTTGATAATATACGTTTGACATATCATTTGTGAATGATCAGGTCTCATTGGCTCTCACAGTTTAATGGCCCGGTTTACATTGGTTAATTTGGTTATTATGATCTATGATTTTATTACTGAACCTACTAGATCCAAAAATCGCCGATCTGAAACTCTACGATTTTTCGTCGGAAGCCAACAGGCGGAAGCCACAGTTATACAATAAGCGTTATACTGAAATGGAAAAGCCGTACTATACAAAAACCTACGAAGGCAAAGGACCCGAAAAAGTCAGCTACGAGATAAAAGTGTATATTCCCAAGCATTTCGACCTGCCACCGGCATACCCGGCTACTGGCGCACCTGACGCCGGTCAGATCAACAAGTCAGCCTACGTCGCTCCATATGAGATCCCGGCTACGGAGCCGTATCCCGGCTATAACTACGAAGCCTACCCCATACCCTCACCTCCCAAATACGACTCCAAAATGCCCTATGGAAAACCATACTACCCGGACGAAAAGGCCATGTACGAGCCCAAACCGGCGTACTATCCGAATTACTACGAATCAAAACCGGTCGTGTATGAAAAGCCAATTTCCTACGATATTAAAGCTCCAGTGTATGAAAAGCCGATGGCATACAACTATGAGAAACCAGTGTATGAGAAGAAACCGGTAAAATACGTCCCGGAATACGAGATGAAATATAATGAAATCCCGTACCAAGAACCATACCCCAAAACGTATCCAGAACCAGTATACGAGCAAAAAACACCGCGCTACCCGGAATATACACCATCTTATGAGCCGAAGTACGAAGTCAAACCGAAGTATGTGGAGCCGTACGCCCCAGCCTATGAACACAAACCGGTCAAATATGAGACCAACGCATACGAGCAGAAACCGCCAAAACCGGAAGTCACTTATTCTCCGGCAAACAGTTATGAACCGAAAGGTTACAAAGAACCCAGCTATATACCATACCAGAAACCTGCGTATCCAGAAAAGGCAGGACATTACGACAAATCCAAGCCAATGCAGTATGATTTTGCGAAATCGCCACCGAGCTATGAGCAGTCTTATTATCCCGCAGCATCTCCGCCAATGTATTATCAGCCACCTTATCAACCTATGTATTATTACTATTATCCTCCAAAGCCTTACGAGATGCCCTCACCGCCGCCCTACTACCCTCCAGCACCGTCCACATATCAGTATTACGCCACTTCCGTACCGCCGGCAACCACGCACTCGACGTATGGCTACGCCGCTTATTCCAATTACTAGAGTAGCATGTCGTTAATTAAGGTTGTATGAACCAGTTGTGACTTTCCGAAATTCAAGCGAACGTTTGTGTCCGAATGGGTAACCTTTCCAGCATGGTAAATGCTAGGTAGTAGGTATATTTCTTTTTGATTGTAAGTGAAATACCTAATTAGGTGCAATTATCTGATGTTCAGTGTACAGCGGCTTTTTTACTTGCTATTAAAATTATAAGTAAGCGTTTTCAGTGAAGCTCCAAAAGACAAGCACAAATAGTCTTCTTCTTTATCGTACTGTTACAAAAATGTCCAGAACATAGTTATTCTTCAGCTCGCTTTAACCAAACTAACGCCACAACTAGAGAGAATAAAAAAGATGGAAACACAGAAGAACCATGCAGATCAGAAATCAGCCAGCCGACAAAGCTTTTCAGATTTTTAATGCCAGATCTTCCTGAAGTTTCGGGATGTTTTCCGGCCCAATTAGCTTCTCCACAATAGCCAAACCGAAATCAAAAGCGGTTCCCGGCCCCTGAAACCATAAAATTACGCGTTGTTTGATGTTAAAACATCGGAAATTGAAATATTTTGTAGTTACCTGGCTGGTGATGAGATGACCATCAATACACACTCGAGCGGTGCAGACTTTATGCTGTCCTGAAAATGTTATAAAACATGATTTTAGGCAATGCTTCACGCCAATATCAAATATGACCAGAGTCTAGAAGTAGATCACAAGTGCTTCACCACTCATCAGGGATCGGTTACCAGCTCCCATTCCAGAAAAATTTCACTTTTGTAACAAGATACAATAACACTACAGTAAAGTTAACCTTAAAAAACTGCTTTCATCGTCCATATTCAAATAGGATCATGGGCGCCACCAAACAGAATTTCATTGGCAAAACAGTAATTACGTATTGCATATATCGTAATATATACTTTGACTGTTGGCATAGTTTCGTTCAAAGGACAAAGGTCACTTTTCTTTTCTTCATATGAAAAATGAAATTTTCCGGAGTGGAAGCCGGTCAGTCCCAGTGAAGGAGAAAACAACACACACACACAGTCTACGCGCCTTCGGCAAAAACTGCAGAAAATCTGCCGACTGCCGGGTCACCTAACGACGAGCCTGGAGCCGGTGACAGGCCCTGACAGTGGTACTGGTCAGTGGCTACGATAACGGCGTACATGTACACCAAAAAAATTATTCACAACTAAGATAACAGATACAAATCTAAAGCCTAATACAAAAGCGAACAGAAGAACATCACCGCTTTACCCAGGAAAACTATTACCAAAGACATCACATATCTTAATTTAAGTTAGAAGTTTATAACTGTAAGTGTAGTCTGTACTGTACCTCCAGCTTTCAACTCGTCCCACTTCGATTTATGAGCAGTTATGCATTTCCCCACGCCAATAGAGTGAGATCGCAGCGCCATCGGACCACCACAGATAGCAGCAATCCATCCATTATTCATCTCCTGGCTGAAAAATCAGCCATAGGAAAATTATCGCAAAGCGTGATTTTACGCACAAGATAACCATAACTTCTAACACTACCAACAACAAAAAGATTGCTTACCGTTTCAGCAAATTTCCTACAGCAACAGATTCGGTCAGGTTTTTCGTTCCTTGCGGGCCACCTGCAAACAAAAGCGCAGTTTATTTATCACAGGTGCACAACGAGCCAAATACAATAAAACCAAAATTACAGGAAGTGCACAAGTACGACAGTGGATGCGGAATTAAAACACCGATCGATCAGTGCTACTGATTTCTTGAACGAGCAGTTATTTTCCAGAGTTGTCAAAAAAAAAACTAAAAATGTTATATAGCATCTCGCATACAAAATGCAGATATAAAAAAAATGACTAACCGATCGGATAATAAAGTAAAGACGGACTGCAACACTCAGGGCGTGTGGACTTCTAAATTCTAAATTCACCCTGCTACACTGTGCTTCTGGTTATGAGTCTGCAATCGCACTTGCCTGGCAGGACAACGACATCATAGGGCTTCGTTTCAGCAAGGTCCATGGCTTTGTCCAGACTCATTTCCGGCTTGATCTGCACTCCGCGGCTGCATTTCACCGCACTTTCCCCACTGAATCCAGCAATGGTAACTTTAAACTGCAACGCCCGCAGTTTCTTATTACTATGCCATATTTCGAAGCATCATTCGCATACGGAATACTTACGCCTCCACGGGACAGAACGTCGGCAGTGATCTAAAACGCAAACACTGGAATAATCAATACTCATTAACGAACAACTACGTACGTAATAAATACGCGAATACGGAATACTCAATATATCACTTTCGGTAAGGGAAAACAATTGACTTACAACAACTTCCGACTCTTCAGCGCCATCTAAAAAATATTAATCAGTCAAAGCGAGATGGAACCTGAAATTACCCGAAGACTACTACCCGTTGACAACCGGCAAACTTTCGACTAATTAAGCCTCAAGTTTAGGCTAAACAGTTTAAGCCAGGTACGCCTGCAAACCGGACATGGAAGAAAAATACCAACGTGTACAAAATATACAGCGCATTAAAAGTTCACCAAGAAAATCAATCGCGAAAGAACACAAAAGTTTTGAATGTGACCGGTTCCGAATATGTAATCCGTAACTCGTGGTTTCATATTCCGCAACTTACCGGACAGAATAATCAGCGCCGTTTTGGCTGGGGTGTTGGTGCCCAAAGCATCGGAAACTGCATCGATAACCTTGTCCATATTGTAGACTGATTAATGACGGAGCGGACCAACAACAAATTTCTAAAAGCGATTCCGTATTGTTTGCAAAAAATCAGCAGATAAAGTCATAAAGAAGCTCGATTTCGCAGCACCGTTTAAAACTGCGCGAAGTTGCAAGCCAGCGTGAAGTATGTACTTACAAATCCAGAAACAACGACAAGCAGGGAATGCCACTCACGGATGGAAATTTCCAAAGATGATAAAGGCAGTTGATGTCGCCGATGATTTCAAACTGTCCAATTGTCAACCACTCTAGCAGTCAGTTTCATTGATTTTCGGCCGAACCGACCCGGTCTGATGGTGAGATGACGGACGGTTTAATTTAAACTCTAACTGAAAGCGCGTTTAATACAGCGGTTAAAAGCCAGTTATGCCACACAGCATCCATCCCGGCACCGGAACCATCTTCGGGTTATTTAGATCAAAATTTTGTTCTCGGAAATCCGACCGCCTGTTTCCGCTGTTTGTGGGCTATGTTATAAGCACTGTACTTCTTCTCAGATTTGTTCGTTCTGCGATACTTCTTAAGTAAAGAACATTTTAAAGTAAAAAAAGGCTGACTTGTTAGGATAATGGGAAACAGATTGCAACTTTTAACACAATCACAGTGCTTTGTGGAAACTAACCTCAAATACTTTATTTGTGTATACGGTTTTAAGATTTTCACCCTATGGCTGATGCATGCAGCATTTGTGTGAAACCATCTCTAATGCCGGATTTTTTGACCTTTTGCTGAAAACTTGAAGTATCGTACTGTAACTGTAAGAATGCGTACTCGTAGCAATATTGGCAGTGAGCCTGTAAGTATCGTTTTACGATATCTTGTTACGAAAGTCTGAAGGCCAAAAAGAAGCACCATCGCAGACGACACCGCAACAATTTTACTTCGGCATCGAAGTGCTGACACTGAGAATATATAAATGTATATGATCAATATTTTGCATAACAAAAACGTATCAGAAATCAACCAAACCACGAGCGCAATAGATCAGAATTTACAAGTTAAAAGGCTAAATCAATCGAATAGTGCATACTGCATATAATCGAAATGTACAACATACCTACCCAGAGATAACTTCTACCATGACAATGAAAATACAGTCGAATGGATTAAATTAATACAAAAAGGAGAAGTACTTCCGGGCCACACTCCATACAACAGTTAACACAGCAGCAGGCGAAGAATTAGAAGAGCGGGAATAAACACAATCAAGAAATGCACCCTGCCGCGTCATTCAAGGATCACTGCATAATCCAAACCACAACTCCATGCAAAGCGGAACAAAATTAACGAGATGGATACAACAATGACAGGAATCACCGACATATGGGCCTGAATGGTAGGATTTCCGGAACTAATAAATTTAAAAATGGATGGACGCAATGAGCTTTCAATGCTCCAATTAAAAAACTTCTAAAATACGGGTTAATTATCCATCATCAGGCTTCCAATTTTGCGAGGTAACCAAAGAGGAATACAGAATGACGGCGAATGAAAGCCATGCCAAACGCATTAAAACACAAAGTCTGGACCAGCCATATCAATAGCCCATCGGAATTTATCACGCTGCGTTTTGTTATAAACTTTTTCTATGGGAACATCATTACTTTTGCACCTGCAGAAAAAAACCACCAGTCAATTCCTGATGCATAGTGTCTAGTTTTTCAGCTTTCCTACCCACCATGCAACCGTAATTCGGGGATCCAGATAGTTCAACTTGGACGTTCCCAGAGCAATGGTCTTATTCTCCTCCTTATCCGTGGCAGCAATCTCAAGCTTATGCAGTGCCTCCTTGGCCCGCTCATACTTCTGTTCTGCTTTATCCATTTTTGACTTATTTGTGGCGCTTTTGCTCTTTTTATAATCGTCCTTGGCTTCCTTATGACCCTTCTTGGCTTCTTTAACTTTATCCTTCGCCGCGGATATTTTTGCTTGAACGTTCTCCATCTGCTTGCTGAATGTTTTCGGTACACTCCTTTGATGGTTACAGAGAACGGCCACGGCGCGATTAGCGCGGTTGTACGACAACATCTTACCAGCCAATAAATCCTTGTCTACAAAACAAAAACCACTGTCAAGGGCACAAGGTTACTTGATACTGCCAAATTGCCAATCAAGGGAAATCGTTCACCGTAATTAAATCGAATCGTTCCCTGATGCCAGTTAATAACGGCAGTACTAAAATCAACTCAAAACAACAACAACAACAGCACAAACAAGTCACCTTTTGTGAGTTTCTCCAGCTGTTCCTGGAGTGTTATACTAGCATTGTACGTACGAAACACCTTGGCTGTCAGACCTTCCATCAGTTCACTCAGATGCTTATTGAGAGTCGTAGTCTAAAATAAAGCCAGTTATGAATTACTCGTGCATGTTACAGAATTCTGTAAAATTAATGGTGCAACTAATGGTTAAGTAATGGTCACGTACATTTAACCGGTCAAAAATATCGTCACCAGGATCCTTGTTTGCCATAAACAGTTTGAGGTTTTTGAAAACGCGCTTCTCCACTTCCACACGATTTTGGTATCGGATGCTGTCCTTACCAAGAAAATCGAAATCAACCATATATTTCTTCCCATCAATTTCGTCGTGCAATTTGATGTGTTCAACACGCAGGGAACAGCAACCCACGGTATCGGCAGTTTCACCTTCTTCTTTTTCATTACCAGCTCGAAGCGCTAGCTGTAATTCAGTAAGTCATGAAAACTAAGTCTAGCAGTACTTCACATAATCCTTTTGGTTCGAAGTAGCAAAACTTGGCGCACACAATCAGGTATACAAAATTCATCAACCGTGCTTCAGGGTTCAACATGCAAAGCATCATTTAGCGCTTATCAAACGACCAACCATTTTACGGGAAAGATAACTCTACCGTGCCAGGTAGAAGCGTAGAGCTTTTTTATGTTATACACAGCGGTATATTTATTTCAAGGCTTACCTTATCGATGAAGTAAAGCGCGACAGCGCGCTGTCGCGCTTGCATCTGCTTAGACTTCCAGTCAGACCGGTAAGTCGCACGGATGTCATCTACTTTAGACTTGAGCTTCCGAGCCGTTTCGTACTTCTTCCAATCTTTTTCGCCTTTTAACTTACTACTGGGATTTAACATGATATATTTGTTGGTTCCAAGGATATTTTCGTTCCAGCATGCCAACCATGTTACCTATCAATACACTCCAGATTAGAACTAGCCAGTTCAGTTTGAGGAAAATCAGTGATGCTTTGGCCTTTGAGTCAATACACGAAACATCCAAACATAAAAATCACAGTTGTTGCGTTCGGTCTATCGCAGATTTAATGACGCATCAAAATAAACTTACAAAACGGTGTATCATTTGGGTAAAAAACATCGGCGCAATAATTATGCTACCATTAAAGTAAACCTTCCATTAGTCCAACGATACTCAGTTAGTTATAATGTCGAGATAAAATTGTGAAAATGTTTTGCTCACCCTGTTATCATGGCGCACTTCTTTCCATTTTGTGCCCGGTGGAGGCTTCGGTGCAGTAGCATCCGAACTGCAGTTAATGATGACATCCTGAGGCCTAACGCGTCGTTTCAGCATACCCATTTTTGGGTGTTCCCCGCGACCACGGAAAAGCCCGGGAGGTTCAATTTTAAAGTTACCGATCTTTTCTTTATGCCCATCCATCAAACAAAATCCATATTCTTCCAACTGAGCTTGGTTTTCTTCCTTTAATTTCTGGCAATAGCAAAAATAATCCATTAAGATACAGGCCATGATCTTTGTAGAAAAATTTAACTACCTGCTTTTCTTCCTTTGTCCTTTGTTTTCGCAGTTCGGTTTGTTCTTTGAAATAAGTGGCCATCTGAGTGAAATCACATTTCCGAAGATCTTCTATCTTCTTCTTCTCTTCTGCAGTCATAACCTGAAGGCAAAACGTGAACTAACAATCTGAATTTGCTGCGTCGTCCAACTTATCTTATATGAATATCGCCAAAATAAATGACCAAATACGATATTTGAGATTAGTATCTAATACTGTATGTACAGCACATACTTTTCTCCAGTCCTTAAAAAAATTCTTGTTGAAAACTTCTTTCGTGGTGTAATCGTGGTCCAACATCTTCGCGTAGAAAGTCGCCACTTCTTCTGCTTCATTCGATAACTGCATCACCTTCCCTAAAATCAAATTATCCTCATCATTACCGCATCATCTTCCCTAAAATCAACACTAAAGTTTTTTTGCATGAATTTCTGCTGGAGATTAAATCAAAACATATCCTTTCATTACACAAAAATATCGGTAAAAAAATCCTTCTTCAATGCCCATTTTTTTAGCAACTTCCAGAGACTGAGAGACGCAACTCATTACTAACTTACTCCGCCATATCTAACAATTAAAATGTTAAAATTAATATTAAACAACAAGCACGCATTAAAAAGTGAAACAGCATCTATGACCATTTAAATTTACCATAAAACTCAGTCTCTTACACACTAAAGAAAAATACGTATTTGTACTTTATAAGCCGAGAGCAGCCAATAATTCTCTATGTCAGCACCGTCAAGGTAGGATTTTTCAAACATACGTCTATGCAAAATAAAATGAGACAACTTTAACCATGCTCTTCTAGACTGATGTCACTCACCATCATAAAGAAATTTCACGTGTGACGGAACTGGCTCATATGGAGGCGCAAACACAGGTCCTTTATGCTGAAGTGTTTTCCATTTTATTTCATCGTCACCGCGTTTCTCTTCCCACCATTTCCACACTTCAGGCTCTTCTTCTTGTTTCTTCTTACGCGGCGAACCAGCCGTGCTGGATCCAGGTGAACTCTTGACTGGTTTTTTGTCATTTTTTGAGCTGGATTTAGCTTTGTCTTTTGATTTGTCCTTGGACTTTTCTTTAGTCGAACTGTCTTTCGACTGTGTTTTCTTCTTTTTTGGCGCAACCTCATAATCACTGTCACCTTCGTCGTCCGAATAGTTCTTCTTTTTTTTCTTCGCACTAGATCCATTCGTTCGGTCTTTGGACGTCGAAGCTTCGGGCTCGGATTTGACCTTCTTCAACGCGTGATCACCGTTCTGCGCTTGCCGCTTCTTGCTGGATGAACCACCGTCGTTCTGCAACATGAGCAGTGCTTCCGCTGCTTCTCCTAATTCGCGCTTAACAGCTGCGGGTGACTGGTGTTCGGCTGGCCGTGAATCCGTAGTACCATTGGGAATACTGCCGTCAGCTGAGTGTATTTCTTTCTTTACTTCTGTTTTTACTTTGGCGGTAGGACTCATGATTGTATATCTGCCCAAAAGATTCCATATCAGAAAAAAACACAACAATGGCAAATGGTCACACTAAAAGCCTCCCTGTTCGACATCGCTGAAACATACAGACGACGAACAGAGCATATGAGCAGACGGTATACTACGAAATGGACTTAACCTCTGGCACGCACGCTGAGTTGAACATATCACGTCAACAGTACAGTACTGAAATCGGTAAAGTCTGCTAGCGCGAACTTAGAAAATTTCACCGTAAAATTGTTGAGAAAGCAAAGCCTGTAGGTGGCATTCGGTGCAAGAAAAATCGCGATCATAAGTGACAGAGTCGACATTGGCGCCACCTGTAACCTCCATAACTCACCAGTACAACAGGAATTTGGACTCTGTCTGGATAATCCGAGGTAGGAAAAAATCTAAGTCCACGATTACAGTGCCCAACTGAAACTCTAGAACCTACAAATTACAAGACATCTTAAAACTTTCATTTCAGATTTAATTATGATATAATAGTAGAAAAAACCAATATGTATTCCTCGGCAACAAGTTTATTTAAAGGCCACGGCTTCGCTAACTTCAAAAATTCAACCAAATACGTGCTACTTACTGCATCTCTAACACATATTTACAAACACCATAAGTAGACGACGTGAAAACAATCCTCTTGAACATGGTATTCTGGAAACGCAATCCACTCCGAAACGTCAGACTCACAATTTCTTACCTTTTGGATTATAGTGGAATAGGTTAGAAAACCAAGTTCAATGACGTGTAACAAAGATTGAATTTAACGAGCCTAAACGTTTGCAAAGTGAAAATGTGCTCAAGCTGCTGTGAAAGTTTGAGTGCGATCTGGTAACTTGTAAGCTGCAAAGCACGCCTGTCGTGCTTCGAAAATTACGCTAAGTCCAACCCGGCTTACGGCAACAGCATCCTACAGGGAACCGCTGACAACGACACAACAGGTGTGCACCGAAATGCGCCACAATGTGTACGTTTAAATACGTACCACATTTGGTACATTACCTTTGGTACGTGGTTTAAATATTAATTTTTTGTTTGTGTCCCATAAACTGTGATTTTTTATTACAGTTTATTTTAAAATAATGCCGCAAGTTTAAACCACAAAGCTAATTATTGGCGTCAGAGAAGTGAATTTATTATTATTCCACAAGTCGTTAATTTTACTGTATTATTTATATATATCTATTAGTTATCGAACTGAAAGGAGCCGGCATATGTTATACGAGTACATAATTATACAACACTACAGCTCAAACTCAAAGTGGCTTTACATTAAAATTATTTTAAGGAAAATGATCTGTGTAATACTATAGAGAGTACAATTATTTTTCCAACAACTTACAAATTTCTGTTTCAAACGCGATACCCGCTGCCCTGCTACAGATTATCAGTTCTACTTTCTCAAGTTAAATGGCAAGTTGGCAACTCGTTCAGAATTTAGTTAAGACTGTTAAGTGATCAGTTTATGGGGTAGTACAAATTTATAGTTCAGTAAGTACTGCAGAATTGCGCTCTGCTTAAGTAAGCACCTAACCGGTAAGCTTACAGCAGTAGGGAGCAACACTACAGTTCTATACACAATTAATTTTACTCTTTCTTTCGTGTCTATTTATGAAACTGCGGCCAAAAGAAAATGGGTTATAAAATAAAGTTGAAAAATAAATATAATAAAAACAAAAGTCAGTCTGGTGCGAATAAGGAATCAGATTATCACACTTTATGCAAAACGATTCAATCGACGTCTTCGAACTTCATCGGACTCATTCTGACTGGACGCATCTGTCCGAACGTTCCGGCTTGCAGATATATTCTGCGGGGCAGAATTACCGGAAGTTGGGGGTGCACTCTCCAACGGGACGTACGGCGCTGCATCCGAATTTTGTTGAGCATCCAGCTGGCTTGCATTTGCGCCGGATGGCTGTGGCGACAGACCCACACTCGGCGGTATCAGCGATATATACTGTGTAAACTGAATCACGGCAGCATCCAGAAGTGCTTGAATGTTGCGCAAGTGGGTCACGCGCAATTCCAAAGCGCGACGCTGATCCCCTTCCAGACGCGTCAAGTCTTGGTCAGATAACGCTGCAAAATTTGGGACTGGCATGGGAGGAACAGGCAAAGGCATGTTAGGCCACATAGGAGGAAACATTGACGGAAATGGACCTCCTGGAAACTGTGGCGGCACCGGAGCTCCTGGAAAGTGCGGAAATGGGACTCCTGGGAACTGTGGAGGAAACGGCGCTGCCGGGCGGGGTGCCCCTGGTGGTGCTGGTCCGAGCGGTACCTGGAACATAGGCACTGCACCGGGCGCAGGTGGTGGGGGCAATTGAAAATTGAAAGGTAAACCTTCAAATCGAAACAACTGATTACATATAAATACCAGAATAGTAGTTAAGATGATGGAACTATTTTAAAAGTACTGCCTTAAGTAAAGAAAGCGAAAATGCAAACCGACTCAGTCCAGTCAAGTAACAATTACTTATTACGCGTGTTAACAATTACGGCAACTAAACAAGAGTCGGCAAAATTCCATTAGGCTGCTACGAGACAGACGAAAATGCCATTTCTCAAGAAGCTAATGAAGCAGTGGGTCATTTTTAAGCTTTTTACAAACTAGATAAAAAACGATCAATTTCCCAAGAAATATATTTCACCTCCAGGGGGAAACATGACCGGAGGTACACCACCAGGAGGCGGTACAAGAGGAGCATTGTTTTGACCATTTGCAGGTGGAGCTGGTGGTGGCTGCGCTCCGGCTGCAGCCGGCTGAAAGGCGGTTACGCGCACCGGTCGCAGGATGTCTAAGCGACACGTAGGGCAAGTTTGCTGACGCTGGAACCACGATCGCAGGCAATGCGTGTGGAAAATATGATTGCATGGCAGCCTTTTGCAGCCAGAAATCATCTCTTCTCGGCAAATGATGCAAGTGGTATCACCAGCACGAATCTCCTCCAAAGTAGCATCGGGATAAAGAGTATTCATCATATGGATCGCCTTACGGGACATTATCACATCGTACAAAGCTTTTTTAAATGACCTGCAATAATATCAGACATACGGATGACGAAGAAAACGAAACAAAGGGCAAATCATCACATACTTTACAGCCATGTACATAGGACGTATAGCGAACAACGGGAAGTTATTCACGCGCATCATCAGAACAAGGAATGTCGCATACAGTACCACTTTGAAAAAATCTAAAAAGATAAAGGTTAGTAACCAACGAACAATTTTTCTCATGTTATGGTGAAGCATTGTAGAGCTTACTAATCGACAACTCCGAATACAGCAGCACAGCTGATTTCCTGTCCCACGGTGTCTGATCGTTTGCCAAATCAATGCAATGTAAAGCGTACTTGATGGTAATGAAGACAACCGAAGTGCACAAAACGGCGTACTAAAATCCCAAGATATGGTTAGACCACACCGGCACATCTCGTTACAAACTATTTTCAGAAAGTCCTTGAAATGTGCTTACCTCAAAACCAAACACTAGTTGTACCGAAACCCCTTTTGTTACCAGACTGTGGTAGGCATAAGCCGTGAAGAACATATCCGATAATCCCAATGTGAAAATCAACCCTGAAACCACGATGAGGGAGGATGAAACCAAAATAATGTAGAGCAATTATTAAGACTGATTTTATTGACGGTATTATTGATTTTGAAAAGTGAAAACTCACCTATAACGCGCAAATGGAAGACGCGTGAGATGACTGGTGTCCGCTCCATGAAATCCACACGGTCTTCCGCCAACCAGTGCAGGCATTTAAGGAATAACAACAACGTAAATAAAGCCACAAAATGCGAGCTGAAATCATCCCGGAATACAGTGAAAGCTAAACAAGTTTCCGTCAGCGCAAACCAGCTTTTTTCAACGAGATGCTGAAATGGTAAAGTTTAACTTTAGAATCAAGCGGATAACTGACTATAAAAAGCTAAATCAATGAAAAATTAAATCTGTAAAAACATTAAGAAACCGCAAACACGGTAACAAAACTCACACTTAGCGATCATCGAAAAACTGTCAAACTACAGTTTTTAAATACAAGTAACTTACTGTAAGTTATTCAAAAACTGTAGTGTAAGTTACTTACACGCACCGATTTTGCGAACGAAAGAAAGAAATTACGACGACAGACAGCAATTCAGAAATGACTAAAACAGCGAACACCGTTGGAGGAGCCTGCCGCCAAGCAGAAAGTAGACTGTAAACTGCACAAAACATGCCACAATAGTGACAATACTCAACAGACAACAATGTAACTTACCTCGACTTCTGCAGGTCGCAGCTGACCAAAAAATATCCAGCGAGTTATTTTCCAAGCCAGAAACATCATCGTGAGGCCTTGAAAATACACGGCCTACCAACGGAAATCACACTTTTAGTTTCACATGCACCACAATATAGCCTAAATCAAAATGTACAACAATGTAAGCAGTAGACTGGGTAGAGTAATGCAGTTACAGTTCGAGTACTAATCGTAAGCACTTCGTTGCTTTTAGTCTTTTATGTACATGAAAATTAAACGGACGGCCCGTGAGAATGACAAAAATACACCCTTCCTGGCTTCAGCAAACTTTCTACAACGGCACAAGCACTGTGATTTTCGAAAAAAGCTGCCTTAACTGCATTTGATGGAAGTTTAGCGCAATTGGAATACCAAACCAGCGAACTTACCGCCATTGATGCATTTGACTTGCTAATGTACACAACTGCGGGGTAGAACTGTTTCCTCTGCATAAAGGCATTTGCGATAACACCTGATGTTGCGGCCACGCTAGCCAGAAAAATGAGCAAATACGAATGATTTCTGGTCCACGCTGCGATCATCCTGGTTGCAGGTTGCTTAAATCAAATTCAATGACAGATTTCTCCTAGATATGGGTCGGTCAGTTTTTGGGCATTGCACGCTCGCAGACTCAAAACAAATAAAGTTCCAGGGAACTTCGACGCGAACAAAAACAATCCCGAGAAAGCGATAATAATCTAAGATTTCTTTTCGACTTCCGTTCCATAACATCAGTTTCTTATCCGTCCTGGAAGCTGAAACAAAACGATCTTAATTATCAAACACACAAAAAGGAATGAGGGTCGTAAGCGGCTAAAGTAAATAACTGGCAAATAATAATTCGGCCAAAATCTGAAATCAACTCACGCCAAGTTCAAACTTGTTATGGAGTACCAGTAGGGATCATCGATTCATCATATGGTTTATTACGAAGCGCAAGCTAAATCAAATCGTTTTTCGGGGGCGCAAGATAAACCAAAGCGCAATCAGAGACAAACTAAACACTGAAAGGGGCACAGTTGATCAAAAGTTATCACGTCGAGTCTTCGACACTTCTACATAAGTCCTCAAAAGCAGATAAAGCAAAACTGGCCAAAAACTAAAAATCATAACAAATTTTGTTGGCACGCCAACAGAATAGTCCCAAACCCGTCAACAGCCACCGTAACATCAAACCGCAAGCTGCCAACTTGCAAAGCTCGCCATATGGCAGACGCCACGTCAGTTGGGCCAACTTTTGTTGATGTCGAAGAAGTTCCGAATTTCGAATCTTCGAAGGAATAAGTTTCCTTTATTTATTTGCTGGGTTTATAATTTGCTTGTTGAAAAAATATTTATCACAAAATTTTGACACTATAATAACTACATAAGTACTAGTAGTGTAACTACTGTTTATTGGTTATTAAAATTAAATTGGCCGGCATAATGATCACTGGCTTCAATAATTATGCTATGGCAGGCAGGTTCAAAGGGAGCGGTGCGGTCACATGTACCATAACCATGGACTATAGACTTCCGCAAGCGGGTGCGTTTCAGAAGGGGAAATCTTCCAACGTAACATCCTACTGTGGCAGGGCAGCTCGGAATGTGCACTCGCTGAGTCGCCAGTGGAATGTGAATGCCACTCATATTTTTATTAGTGCGGATTTATATAAATTTACTTTTTACAGATAAAATTAAAATTTAAAAGTTTCGGATGCGCTAGCGCCGATTGTGTAACAGTTTTGTTCGAGACTTCAAGCTACTGATTTGTTGAAAACATAACGGATTTTGTTAACATTGATACGAGAAATTAGATTTGGAGTGACTTGTGCGGTATCTGCAAACGCTGTGGTGCCACTGTACAAGGGTTCCCGGCATACCTTCGTCGTACTTTTTGAGTTATTTTGAAAATGTCGAAGAGAAAATCTGGAAAAGTCAGTTTTGATGGGCTATGGACACCGGTAGCGGTGGATGAGCAGTTCATCCTGGAGAATGGGACAAGCATACGTCTTTCCGAATTGGTGGATTTTGAAGAGATGACCGATTATCACATCGAAGGCAAACCGACCAAAACATCAGCTAAGAAGAAAGACACCAAAGATACTAAGAAAAACGAAAAACGGAAGCGTGAAAAGAGCAAAGAATCTGCGAGGAAAAAAATAAAGGCTTTAGACGGAGCGGAAGAAAAAACGGATGATCAGAATCTTCAGAGTGAAGTGAAAGAGATAACCAATGAAGCACTCACTGACAGTATATCACCGGTGAAAACTGGTGTTGAAAAAAAGGCGAAAATATCCTCCAACCCGGAAGGGGTTAAGTCGAAAGAGAAACTTTCAAGGAAGAAAATCAAAACATCGCAAAAGCAGAGTGTGAGTATTGAAGAAGTTGAAGTTAAAACTACCGGGAAAAATAAGAAGAAGAAGAAAGCCAAGAAAGTTTCGGAATCCGTTCAGCAAGCTACGGACGATGAGATCGCGGTTCCAATAGATTCGGCGATGAGTATGTCCGAATGGGAACAGCTGCACGTACAGTCCAATATTTTGAAAGCTCTTTCGGAGCTGAATTTCACCAGTCCGACACCCATTCAGAAACAATGTTTGCCGCCAGCCATTGTCAGTAGGAAAGACGTCGTTGGTGCTGCAGAAACCGGAAGCGGGAAAACGCTAGCATTCGGGATTCCATTGGTGCAGAATATTTTGGAGGATAAAAACAATGAAGAACAAAAGACCGGAATTAAAAAGATATTACGGGGCATTGTGATCACGCCGACGCGGGAATTAGCCGTGCAGATTCGCAAACATCTCCAGTCTATCACGAAGTATGCAAATGTTTCCATCTGTTTGGTTGTGGGAGGCATGTTCAAGGTAAGTCTCTGCAACAGTCCTTCAGATTTTATGAGTTTATTTTTTTTTTGCAGAAGGTTCCATTCTTGTCGCCACTAAAATATTTCTTGTAATTTTATTTTTTAAAATTCAGTATTTGGGAATTTCGTATTGATTCTGTTTTTTATTAGCAATGAGTTAATGCATTTTCTTAGCTATAAATTATTAATTTTCCAGGAGAAACAAGAGCGCTTATTAAATCGCCAACCGGATATTCTTATTGCCACTCCTGGTCGCTTGCACGACCTTATCAAGAGCGGAACTCCGTATCTGCAGAATCTGGCAACAGTGCGATATCTGGTGATTGACGAGGCAGATCGAATGGTGGAGCAGGGTCATTTTCATGAACTGACCAGCATCATGGAGAGGTTGAATGAAGATGCCAGGTTGGCATCCAAAAGACAGAATTTCGTGTTTTCTGCCACATTGTGCCTGAATGCCGCAGCAGTGGTCGAGCGGCATAGGAAAGTCAGAGAGGGCAAGGATGAGGAAATTAATAAGTTAACCCATCTCACTAAATTCATTGGCCTGAAAAGTAATGCTGCCGTGGTAAACTTGAGCAGACCCAAGGGAATTGCGGACAGTTTAGTCGAAAAACGGCTTCCTTGTCCCAGCGATAAGGAAAAGGATTATTATTTTTATTACCTGTTGATGACGGAAGCTATGGGCAGAACTTTGGTGTTCTGCAATAGTTTGGATTGTGTTCGAAGACTTTACGGTGTTTTTTCGTATCTTTTATCGGGTGAGTGGATTAATCTTTATTTCATTCTCATATTTTATTTTACAAATTATCCATTATTGGACCTCTGACTGTGTCCGTTTGGGTTTTGCCGGTGTTATGGCAGCGACGATTTCTTAAAGTTACAGTACAACCAGTGATATTGGTTTATTTGTAGAAACTAATTGCTTTTTGTGTTCCTTTATAGAGACTAATCGCTCACCTCTTGTTCTTCATGCCGGTATGCATCAGAAACAACGTTTGAAGAATCTTGAACGATTTCATGCGAATCCACGAGGCGTACTCTTGGCTTCGGATGTGGCATCCCGAGGATTAGATATTCCCGACGTCCAGTATGTTATTCACTACCAAGTGCCGCAGAATCCCGATCTGTATGTACATCGTAGCGGTCGGACAGCACGATCGTTCAAAGTTGGAAACAGTGTGCTGCTGTTGGATCCGTCAGATGTTAAATCTTATAACGATATTCTGAGAAACCTTAAACGAGAGGAAGACTTTTCACGTATTGATGTGGATATGAAAATTCTGCATTTTGCCAAACAGCGCGTTGATTTAGCACGGAAGATAGATGCAGGTTTGTTAGTCTCATAATGTGCCACTTCACGTTTGCCGCGAAATGTTTCTTTCTACTAACAGGATTAATGTTTAAAGGTGTGCTAACTCAGACAACCTGGCATCTGTTCCTTTAAAATACACTAAGTTGTCAGTAGCATAATTGCTTTTGTTCTGTAATACAAATTTCCAAATTTTATAGTTGAACATGGGCTGCGGAAACATTCATCTAAAGATGAATGGTTTATCAAAGCTGCAGAGGATGCGGGATTGGAGCTGGATGATAGTGATGTTAGGAAGTTGGATATCCAGACTCACTCTTCGCGAAAGGGTCAGTCAAGGGAAGCAAAATCTTTGAAGGATCAGTTGAAAAGGATGCTTGCTCAACCTATCAAGATTAACATGCCTGGATTTTCGTTGAAATATCCCACTGTAAATTTTGCCTACAAACAGTTGGGTTTGGATAACTCGCCGAGCGTTCAGACGAAGGGAAAACCTGTTGCTGATCAAAGGGTTTAGCTAAGTACTTACTTCGTGCGTACATACTATTGACTGATTCCCACCAGATGTGAGACACTGTAATGACTTTACGTTACTAAATTTGTTTGTTATTCGTCGAAATTTGTTGGTTTTGCTGACATCAACATCCCGGGTTGCCCTTTTGCTCTACAGACTTGACAGAAATGCCGTGTCGAAATCGGTGCCTGAAATATTATAATCATCTTTATTAGAAATTTCAGAAAGACATCGATCATTAAAGGCAGACTGCCGTTATCGAAACTACTCCATTTAATACAATATCACAAGTTGCGTAGCATATCAGGAATGAACTAACAATAAGCGCAGCATGGATGGTTAAAAATACTTTTTCTCATCGAACTCCTTGTCCACGAGTGAGTGTCCCGTTAGTGGACACAATACCTACAGCAGCTTGATTTGGAACGTCTCTTGGACGAAGTTCTTTGTAAGTTTTAATTTCTTCATTCGTGAATACGCGGGACAATAAATCCAGTATCTCGTTATTGCCCAAAGCGTTGGGGTTCCGTATCTTTTTTGTGAATTTGTTGACTCCCCAAATCAGCAGCAGTAAACGGATTGGAATGAAATACAGTACCACGGTGGCCGCAGTGAGCAGAATTATAGTGAAATATGATATCCACGGCACCGTAAAGTCAAATGTGTTGGATATTCTCTCAGCCAAATCACCCACGAATCCCATAAGATTTTGTACGACTTTAAGCTGCTCTTGTGCCACGCGCATGCGGCTCATTAAGGTCACACTGGATGTTTTGCTGCTGCCAGAAAGGGATCGAACGGTATCGTCTTCCTCATCGTCCGAATCAACTTTTTGGTCTAAGTAGTCGGCTAGCTCATCATCGCGCGGATCGCGGGTGTATGTCGAAGATAAAAAGTTTAATTTAAGGAAGTATAATAAAAATATCCCCACCAATCCCGCAGGTACCATCCACATTTCGAAAAAATACACAGTCAGAAGATAACAGATAAAAACAGTCATGGAACGAACTCGTGATTCCCAGTTAAAACAGCTTTGTAAAAAGTGGCCAAATTCTAGAGCCGGTAACATAATGCATTTCAAGCGCGTAATATTCCGAACGAAAACCTAGGATCAAAAATGTGCATATTTAACCAAATGTTAACATGTTAACATGTTATTTTAACATGTTAACTATTTATGTTAACTATTTTTTTTAATATTTAACCAAATGTTAACTATTTACTTATTTACGTAATGGAAAGGTTCGCATTATGCTCGTACAGAATATGGATTTCCAATGCCGATAACTTAAGCCACAATATTAAATTAACTGTCATATATATTACATTACCGCCACCGGCACGACAGGCAGTGTCGTCTTATAGTGTCACAATATCCTGTAGATAATTGAAAGCAGTTTCTCTTTATATTTTTTACCTGTGTTTTAAATTTCCCCTCATGTTTATCAAAGTAAACTTCCTTGGGATGAAGAGTGCGAAAAGCGGCTCGAAAGGGATTATAGATCATCTCCATTTCCAGCAGAATCGATCCTTTGGCCCGACCTCGCAGCTTTTGATCCTTCAGGGCATACCAACGCCGTTCATTATTTTGTACTCGTAGCAATGGTATTGCGATACGACCCAGAAAATCAGATTTTTTGTCTTGGTCCATGTCCATGACTGTGATGTCCAGTACTGCATGGATATCATTCACCGGAAAGGTGAACACGCGGTTCCATTCCGGGTCGAGTGTCTTGGGCTCGACTTGGGTCTGCAGACGGGCATTAACTAGTTGCAATATGCAGTATGGGTCAGATTTTCCATTTAAATCGGCAGCTCGCAATGAACATCCTGCAAAGCATAACTGCAAAGCTTAACTAAAAATTGCAGAATAATTTGTGGCCATGGGCAGTAAATGAGGTATCACTGTAACCACCATAAGACACTTGTTTTATGGATCATGTTACCTTTTTACCACGCTATTTATTTTCCCACATGCTAGTTATTTCCCATGCTAGCAGTAGTCGACTACCTCCATAAACCAGTATTAACTGGATAGCGTAGAAATAGTATCTGCTTGTATTCGCAGTAGTATAGTCATTCTGTTAAAAAGAGATGTAGATCATGCATATAAAATGTTATCTACGTGTTCGATTCGATTAACAAAAAATGCATATAAAATACTGGAAGCTAAAAGGTGCGCTGTGTGTACGTAAAGCGCCAGGTTCAAGGAGCGCATATATTGATTTCCTAATTAGAAGCTTGTACATTGTTATAAATTCTGGAATGGTATCGAATTTCTTGAAATATGTATGGAAGCTATGTATGCACTCTGTACATTGGCACGAGATTAGGTTTGCACATCTTTATGGGTTTGCCAGTAGCCATATTTTGACAGTATGTCCTTTTGTGCCATCCTAATTGTTTTAAAGCTGCCTATGTCTGACAGAGCAGCTAATTTTAGGTCCCTAAGATCTACCATCCCGGTCAACAATAGACGGCAAAATAATTATTGTAAAGTACGTAAATTAGTCTGAACCTGAACAGGGCTACAAATGATTAATAATAATAAGTCTATGCTGCAACGGTTAATGGTAAAATATTCTAATGGGTTAATTATCATGTACGTACGCTATCGATCCTGCTTCGTGCAGTCGATCAGGTTTACTGGTGTATGTTAGATCTATGGCAGCAAGCCACAACAAAAGACAAGTAACTGTTTGCCAAAGTAACTCACTGCTTAACTGTTGACCTTTGAAACTTGTCGCCGGTTTGCCAATTCATGCATAGTATACTATATATACCCGAGCAGATTGTTCAAACTATCTTGCAGCCGCGGTACACTTACAGACGTGCATGTGTAGGTAAACATTCTTTTCTAACATTTACCAATGCAGATAAACTGGCTATATATTTCAAGTGTTTTTAGAACTAATGTAGCAGCACGCACAGCATTACGCAAATTATATTAATGTCATAGTAAGTACACATTTACCTCTGAAAACTTTAACAGTGAGCATGCCAACATCCCCAATATCGGTCAGGGAATTTTTCCAGCTGTACCTTTCCAGCATGGCTGTCCGCTGCATGCCAGTGCCATTGACACCCTCCTCGCGGGGTGAATCCGTCTCATCGCCCATCTTGTCGGCCGTCATCTTCCCTCCACTGATCAGCAGCGACAGATGCAGTGATCCACACACTTCCCCCATCTCGTTCCGCACCTCCACCCACATATCTTTCATTTTCTCCGCCTCAATCGCCGCCAGATCAATGACGCTCTTCCCGATATAATCATTGCGCATGCCCCGATCCCAATCCCACACCGTGATCTCCACGGTGCGGTCATCGGGGTCACAGATGAACAGGTCAAACTGCTCCATCCATTGCGGATTGAGGGTTTTATACGCCACACGGGTTTTATATTTGGCGCTGCCCAGACGGAATTTGCAGAAGGGATCACTGAGACCGTTGCGGTCCATGGCCGGTAGATCGCGGCCTTCGAAGAGGAAGATGGTCACGCTGTTGATCCATGGTTGCAGACCGTATTTTGACTGGCCACGGACGATGGCAGGGGGCGCTTTTTTCTTGGAGGCATCCCCGTTTATTGTTACTTCGGGCTGCAGAAATAAATCGAGTGTGCGCAACATACCCACGAAAGTTATGCAAACAGTTTTTGGTATTCCTACTGATACTGGGTGTTGGCATAAGTACTTATTACGATACAATCGTACGCCGACGTGTGTTGGTGTGTGATGTTCGATGCAAGTTTCATGCAACCGTTTTATCAGAGTAAAATCGGCAATAATCAGCATATTTTCTGACACAATTATATCGGAACATTCAAACTGATGTTAAAACAATTACAATTGTCTGTGAGTTGAACGGAAAAAATATAAACTTATCACTTTGCGAATTGGTAATTGTGCTGCAATAAGAAAACAACTAGTTGCATGTGCCTGTGTGCAGTTGTACTGGATAAAAGATTTCGATTGCGAATGATATTCAAAATTATAATATTATGATAAGTTTTACTTACATGGGCGGTATAGTACAGTACGGTATGGTGTAGTAAGTTTATTATATCGTTGTATCCATTATTCTTTGGCATGAGTGACGGGCGGGTTGGTGTGACGTAGGCCTTTGATATACGGTTATGGTTGTATCGTTATTCAAATTTAGCAGGAACTAAAAAAAATTTGTTCGAAAACTGCTATTTTAATTATATGATTTCCTTTCAAATTTTCACGTGTTCTCGCTCTTTAGCGCAATTATCTAGCAAAATCTTTTGCTCGTGCTCTAGTGTGTAAGTATTGTTTTAATACACATTCTGCATTATTATGCTTTGATAGATTTTATCGACAAATGAGCATCCACGTTTAGTTGCCATTTCCGTGAGAAGTCATTATAACTGTACAAGGCAATCAAATTACACAAATATATATTAATTTTAACTTGCAACAACCGTATATACTTGTAGAGTACATGTGCGTGCCATTTTTGGTATAATGGGAGTGATTACCAAAGCTCGAGATTAATAAAAAAATTTTGTCGTCATTCCCTTCGGGCTTTCTTAATGCAGCTTTCTGTTCAGCAGATCAGATATTTTGGTCGGTTCTTTGAGTTAAGGCCTGCCAAAATTTTTTAAGCAAGAAAATCAGTAAAAACCTAATAAAATTTCTAAAAAACGGTAGAATCGAGAGTTTTGTAAGTAAAACTTAAGCTGTGACTATCAGAAATGTACAGAACTGTACAGATAAATCGCATTGATATCCGTACCACGTACAATTTACATGCATACTATTTACTGTATTCGCTCGCACATCTTGAACCAGAGTGTGTAATGAAAACACGCATTCAATATACACACTAACCGCAAAATGCACGACTACGAAATATTGCTCATTTGGTTTCAAGATGAACAGTTCTTGTGACTTATCCAATAAATCAAGACTTTTCATTTAAATGACAGTTCACTCTGAAAAAAAGGTTCTGTAGCTGAAAGCTCGAATTGTCTGTGGTTCATCGCCATCAAGAATATTGACGCTGAACGTACCCCTCCAGGCAAACCACAACAAATCAGTTTGTAACTCGTGCTTATACAAAGCTGTATGTTACTGTCTTTCGAGCATAAACATGGTTAAAAAATTCTTAGAGCTCTAACTTTTTTAATATTCAAGAAGTTCTCCACAGTGATGTTGCAAAGACATCAGAAATTTATCAAATCGCGAATCGCGCATTTGGCCCGGTTAGTGTGTATATTGAATGCTTTTCCCGTACACACACTCTGTGGTTCAAGATGTGCGAGCGAATACAGTATTTGACACGTAAGTCATACATGCAGGTTATACACCAATTAACTTATGCTGTTGGATGCTGGACAATCTTATCTTAAATCTTTTATTTTCCTAAAGATGATTTTCATACATATCTTTCACCGTGGGTTTGTAAAGCTTCTTACGAGTTATATTATATGCGCACTGATTCACGTAGACGCGAACAGTCAAATATGTACCGGTAAACTGCATTTATTCAATTTTATTGAAGAAGTGGTTTTCATTTATTTTGTTTGAAAACGCTTTAAAGAAATTAGCCAATAATCTGTCTATTACACAGGCCATAATATGAAATAATTAGAGAAGTCATAGTCAGAAAAATATTCAACGTTAATTTTGGGTAGATAATTTACAGTTATTACCTAATTTTCTGTGCGATGGTTTGCGAACTTTTGATTCGGTTCTGCGTGATAATTATAAACTATAACTACGGTATATACACGTAATCGTATTAGGTGAAGTCGAATGCTTTTTAGCCCTCTGCATGTATATTACTCTTTAACTCTTGCTTTTGATCCACTGCTGGCGCTAACAAAAACGATGGTATTGGTTTGACAGCAACACAAAGATTTTTGCTGCTCTGATAAAGGACTCGATATTTCGTTTACTAATTCCCGAACCAGCAACGCTATTGCTAACTGCACTTCATGCAATTCCAGTCAGATGTTTCTTGGTTAACCAGTTGTTATATCCTGATATCCTTCATAATCTTTTCATACAAACTTCCGCTTCGATAATTTATTTATTACTCTTGAAAAACTTTTCTGTACCTCTGTCAGCTGACTTTCCAAAAGTTCCACAACAGTTCTCTTAGACTCTTTCGCGGATTCGTCACTCTTCTTGGACAAAGCGCTCTTGATTGACTTCATCTGTAAATCTGCTCGAGCAAGCTTAATTTCCAGAGCAAATTGTTCTTCAGTACATGAAGTATCTCTTAAACTCCTGTAGGAAAAAGATATACCAAGTTAGTGCACCAAGTTGAGATGTGCCTTCAAGTCAACCAGTCATTCAAGTTAAAAATTAACATGCACTAATTCGTATAAATCTGTTTAAGTATCTGTACAGTACCTACCCCCAAAAGCCGCATACATGTATTTAGAGGTCACAAAAACCACCATTGTTAGCGGCGCAGGATTTTCGAAGTGAGAATACTGCAGTCTGCACCAAATGATCCATTTAATGAAGATGTTCCCACAATGATCCTTGTACATTCATGGTACTGCAGCTGATGGTAAGCGACAGCATGTAACGGTCTATCCGTGGACCATCAGGATTGCAACCGGAAGTTACAAAGATTAGGGTTTAGACAAGGCGCCGGAACTGCACGAACTCAACTGACTTCCCAGCTTGGACTACTCCGATAAAAGATTGTTTGATTCGGTCACATTAAACATGCGTACTGCAAGACGTTGTGTACTAGTCTAATTATTTACAAGTAAGATCATGAGAGCGGCCCTCGTGCACTTGAGCGCCAAGAACTTGCGAATCGTTACTTTGCCTGCAGCGATTGTGCGGTAGGTGTGTATACGGAGCTTGGTGGGTATACGTGTCAATTCCATAAGAAAGCTATACATCCTTTTTAAGCCGTGCTACATTAATGAATGTAGAAACTATTCTGTTCTCAAAACCGGGGATTGCTGTACAATTAATTATCATGCCTGCATGATGCGTCGTAGATTAAATATAACACCAGTTTTTAATAATTAGTAGCATCATTGTTTTCTTGAAATTTTGTTAAACTGATATGACTTACACGGGATACACGATCAGAGGTGGCAGTGTTAACGTTGTCAAATATGATACGATATGTCCATTTGTTATTTACTAACTTAGATTTCGGAAAGATACCGGCAAATCTTCCGCAAATTGAGGCAGAAAAGTTCCCAAAACGGCAGCAACCAGTAACACATGCTCGTATCGATTGTCACAAGACACAACCAAGCAATCATATATTAATTCTAGTTTTAATTTATTACTTAATTACTTGAATGAAATAAACTTCTAGCAGAGAAAAATTGGCATTCAACTGATTTAGCCAACTATAGTTGATATTTTCTAAACGTTATTAGCGAATCACCAGATAGTATAATTTTCTTGCTCATACGTTTTCCCGCGCTCGTTGTGCACCGCTTCTTGCAGCTGGTCACCAGACCCGCTGACCGATTCCGTCCCATAAAGATCCTGTTCATCCAAGGCCGGCTTTTTTCCTTGTCCGCTTCCCTCCATGCGCATCAGTTCTTTCAGATTAAGATAGTTAGCATTCTTGAAGAATTTTCTCTCTAACGTCCGCCGTACGTAGGTTTCATTCCGCAGCATAAAACCGATCTTCTGCAACTGCTGGAAGCGCTGGTCGTATATTTTGTCAATACTCCGCAGTTCCAGCTGGATCAGCCGCAGTTGTTGATTGTGTTGGAAAAGCTGCTGTTGGCTATGGGCGATTTGCTGCCGCAGCTGGTCCTCCTCAGCCAGCTCAGCCGGATCAGGTGGAGCCGGGTTCAGTAGCTGCTCAAGCAGCTGATCGTATTCATCACGTGTGATTTGTAGCGATCGACGCTCTTCCTGGAGTCTTGTATGCATTTCATCGAGAGTTTTCCGGTGTTCTCTCTTTGAAGCTAAATATTTTAATATTTGACTAGCATTTAGAGCAAATCGAAATAAGTGATTTTAATTATTTTTATTTATAATTATATAGTTATTAATTACCCGCTAATTCCGCCGTCAACTGATCCAAAAACAACTTCTTATCTACCAGAATTTTCTTATTTGCTTCGTTTAGTATCTCCAAAGCGGCACATTGCTCTCTCAGAGCATGGACCTCTACCAGATTAGCAACAATTTCATCTTCCGTTTTCTGTACCACGTTCTGGGATGGTAGAACGCTGTTTACTTCCGGAAACTCCATTTGTGCATCGATTATGTTTGTGCGAGACTTCGCTTCTTCGGCTTGACCTTTAGGATTATTCAATTCGGCTAAGTGGTTCTTAAGAGCGATGGTCTACACTGCAAAAAATATGGTTAAGAATAAATACAAACATAAATGCCAAAAAATAGACCGTAATGGGCTAAGCAACGCAACAAACCTGTTTATTAATACGTTCAATTGTTTCCCGATGCAGTGCCATTTGTTTTCTGTGCTTCCTCACAATCGCCTGGGCATCGTCGTCTGCTAAGCAGGCGGTTTTTTGAAAATTATTAATCTGCATCTCGTCGTATTTTTTCCACCAACGCAACAAACTGGCGACTGCATCTTCATACTGTTCATCGAAAAACTTCTCCATTAGGTCCAGTTTCTTCAGGGACTTTTTTTGGGCATTTCGCACTCCTTCAGCCACTTGGCCATGGAGTTTTGTGAAAACTTCCCCGATTTGCCGATCAATTTCCACGGGTATCATATCGAACATGTGATTGTATTCCGTATCGGTAGCCTGGAGTTGATCACACACACGATGAATAAAATCATCCACATCATTCAAATCCAAAAGGTCACCAGGAGCCACTTGCACACCGTGATCGGTTAGAAGGCGATGTTTACGCAGTCCATCGGCGACGGAATGGTGCAGTGTCTCGGTGTCCTTACCCCGCGAGCGAAAGTTGTTAACCGCTTGCTGGATTTGTAACTCCGCTGATAAAACCGTTTGTAAGTTGTCCTCAGGAGAGCAATGTCCGCTAATCGATGTGTACAAAGATGGAACCACGGCGTACGAGAAGTCCAGCTGCTTGTCTTTTGTGGTTGATACAACATCGGTTTCGATTGCAAATGTAGGAGTCACTAATACCATACCTGGACCTGCCATTTATTTGACTTCAAAAGTTTCTTTTTCATAATAAAAAAAAGAGATGCAGCCGTTTTTGGATGATATTTATATATGCAATGAGACCAATATGTCCAAGAAAGTTTTTTCAAAACTCTAAGGTATAGGAATTTCGTTCGTCATGTGTGTAAAAAATTCATTGTTATGAGGCAAAGCGTCAAAAGTTACTATGGAATCGTAAGAGCTTGATTGATTTGCTACAACTGCACAAAACGATACTGTACACGCTGGAGGATATAGCTTTACTGAGTTACATTCATAAAAATAGCTAACAAAACTTTGCCGATCACATGAATTGAGTAGTGAGTGGAAACAAGTACAAAATTACATCATTCTGTTAAATAAATTTTTTATCCACAAAAATTTTATAAACTGATCGAAAAGCATGCGCGGAATCGGTTGCAGATTTAGCTGATCCAGGCGACTGAAGCCCTCATCTACAGAGTAGACTGTCTTAGTAGCCGTACTGCAGGCTGTAGTAGTTGCTGGACGGCTTGCCATGTCCGAGATAAGCTCCGTACTCCAATGAAGGATAACTTCCGTAGCTTTTGGGGGGCAGACTGTAAGCAGCCGATGATCGGTACTGAGGCTTGTAGCTCGAGCCTTTATAGCCGGCATTGTAACCACCGCCATAGTTGTTGTTGTTGTAGTCTTGTTGGTAGTTATAGTAATTCAGAGGGAAGCCAGCCAGCGAATTGTCATAGACCACATTTTGGCCGTAATAACGTCGCTCATCTAAAAGTAATTTACACAGAAATTACAACTTACACCGTACTGCTGTAGGTTTTGTCCAAAATGCAACCGTTTCTTTTCTTAATAAAGAGTCTAAATACAAAATAAAAAATAAAAATGCATGGGACTTAAGATATGTAAGGTTGAGTTTAGATAACCGATAATAGTATTGCAGTAAAACTCACATCCAAAAGGGAATCCAGCCAATCCAAAGTGAGGAGTATCTCCCCTACAAAATTTGGGACGGATAAAGCGGTACCTTGATGTGACTAAAGATTAAAAATTTACCTGTCGAAGTAGCGGGGATCAATGTGGCCGTAGCTGTTACCGCCATATCCACCTGATCGGTATCGCCCATACAGGCTGGATTCCGCTGGAGCCGGCTCCGAAAGTCCTTCTTTTTGAGCTTGTTGTTGTTGCGCGAATACGGCGCCAAACAAAACAATGCACCAAACGATCTATAAAAGTTATGGTTAACCATTATGCAAATACAGCCATATTAAGAAAGTAAGTTATTTATGAAAATGCTAACTGCAAACAACTTTGTAAACAAATTTAGAGTTTGTATAATACTTGTGCACTTCTGAACAAAAGCTATTTTTTTAAGAAAAAGTAGCAATACCCTGCCGCTTAATAAAAACTCAGCAACACGCGTACGTAAGCAAGCCTTGCTCGAAAAGTAATGTAATCTTTCTTTAATTAACTATGACCTGGAATGAGAGTCAGTAATAATATATTATCAAAATGATGGCAGTATGGAATAGATATACCGTGACTTACTGAGCGAATCATGGTGGATGCGAAAAATCCTTATTTGTTGAACTGTATGTATGCAAAATGGACGATGTCGCTATGAATATTGGTCAATCACGGTTGCTTTATATACTCCTTGTACCTGTTATGTTTTAAACATACATATAACCGGCTGTTGTTAGTTTGGCTAAGATGTCTCATTTCTTTGATTTTTTGATGAGTCTTGTCGACAAGAGGACGGTGAGATGTGTACAAGAGAGAGTAACGTGCATTAACATTTAACCCATAAGTATGATTAGGTGGAGCCATATGCGGGATGTTGCAGGTAATTTTTGAAGTAGCAATAAGTAAAGAGATATGTGTCCGTCAAGTCAACAGTTTTCTAACGTTTATTTAGAAGGATTCTCAAATGCTTTACTGTTGAGATGATCCTTTTTGACCACCGGATCAGTCAGCTTATACACGTATACTTGATCTACAAGTTGGGAAGATGTTATGTCTTGACATAATCCACTACAATATTATACGTGTCGCCGGCAATAATAAACATACTACATCCTCTAAACTTTTTCTGACAGGCAATACCAGTATTTAAATGATTGATTTAACGCGTACTGCAAATATTTTTTACAATGCATTTATAATGATTGAATTTAATAAAACTGAAAATTTAGCTGCTGTAGTTTTCCGTGGCTTTTCCAGGATAGTTTCTGGTACTGTAGTTAAGTACTGTAAATCATTAATTTTTGTTAAGCAGCGTCGTTTGGGATTAAAAAGGGTTGCCAGTTTTGGGCAAGCAGGAATATGTATGACTAAAAGAAATTTTCCTAAATTACCTCCATAAGCATGAGAGTTTCACAATTACAAATCTCCTAATTTGAAAGTACGTTCTAAACACAAACAGGCTTGGGTACGTGCTCAGCTCACGTGTATTTTAATTTATTCTGTGTAATCACTTAAAGACCTATAATCGCTTCTTAACAATCTTAACGGTTTCAAGAACAGACATCGAACGTGTAGCCAAATATAATTGAACGTTTACATCTCTGTAATCATTGCGGGTCACTGCAAAGAATCCGCGTTGTGCAATTTGCTCACATTTATATCGTTTGCATGTTTTTATGCAGAGAAAATAAAACAGAACAGTTTATCGGTTGTTTTAGGTGGCCGATAAGACGATATCGATTATGCACAGATTACAGGACTGAGTACTTACAATCGATCTGGATAGAAAGCATCTTACAATGCTGTAGAGCAACATCGGTAATAATTCACAAGAGAATAGACAGATATACTACAATTGGTAACAATACTCATTGTAGTAGCTATTGTATACTCACTGCCATCCAAAGATGCTGTGGGTTTACAAGCACCGGTATGTATCTTTTCAGTTTATTGTAAAACACTGCTTCTTCTGCTACTTTTTAACAGATGGAACTTTACAGTAGCTATCATTTACAATCCTTTTGCAGTATGTGTGCAAATGTTTGTGTCAACCGGTAATTGTGGCGCGAGGACTGCGGATATAATTAATTTCCGTTTTCTGGGCGACCAGATTAGAGATGTACTGATAATCTTAATAAAATTACTCATGTGATAATCTTAAAAAATTGATCACGGCGGGGTTGATGGAAACATTTCTTTCAATGGTACATTCCGGTAGCAATTATAGAGCGGTTTGCACAAATTCAGCCATTCGTACGTCAGAAACGTATAGGTATCTGCATATTGTGATCGAATTTAAGTGCACGTAAGAAGTCTAAAATCGGCGTCACGTGTAATTAAATTGATCCTCGAAGCTAACAAAGTTAGCAGTGGACACAACGGTGCACTGTGAGTAGAGTCACACGTGCAGGTCACAATCGTTTTTCCTCGCACGATCGAAGTGGCAGCAGCAGGTTTTAATGAAAGGGGTCTAAGTTTGTATTAATGATCGGACATCGAAAAGTCCATTGTACTTAAATAATTAGCGGGCTCATTTAGTAGTCTTGTCTAAATCAACAGTCTTAACCAGTTCGTTCAAGGTCGTTATCGGTGTGCTGCCAGGCAATCAGTAAAAAAATTAGGATCGCTCTTTACTCCTCCTTAACCAAGAGAATTACATCATAAAGGCGCATTAACCGCACTTCAATGGGGTTCACACGACGCTTTGTGCTGCCCACTTGCACGATAAGCGCTATCTACACTTCCGCCAACTGCTTAGGACTACTACACTACTTCATGCCCTTTAATGCCTCTAGCAACCCCAGTATAGTTTTTTTTGTTCCCACATGGAATTGCTGTAATTCGGTAATGAAAGCTGGTATTTTCCTTCGCAGATTGATATCGATCCTGTGCGCACGTGGTCAAAACGAAATGTTTTCGTTAGCTTCTAGCTGGAGATAAATTAATCCCGTGTTTAGTTGAAAAATTAATGAAATAATGTATACATAACCAGCTTAAAAAATACGGCACAAAATCATCGCATTTTATATGGTCTTTAAACTGACAAACAATGGATTGCAGTCGAGTTCATCTACGTATAACACGAGTACAAAAGCGCAACCGTCCTTGTGCTTCTTCCGCGAGCTTTTAGGCTTTTCTGCATTTGTTGCAGACTTAAACAATCCATGACCACTCTATAATTATGGTTTTTTAGACATTATAATTATGCTCTATCCCGTCTTTATCTTAACAACAAGCTCTATACAATCCATAATCACTTAATCATTATGGTTTTTAAAACATTCTTTAACGATATCAGTGACATTTAAACCCGCCATTTAAAGTGTGTTTTCCGGCAATTTTCATTTATGTAACTTCATCTTTGTTTCAATTCGGACTATCATTCAGCGCTGACCAAAATTCATAACCGTAAATTTACATCTAAAATGCAGCAGACAGGCTGTAAAGTAACTCATCCAGTGGTATAAAAAATATTTAAGGATATAACGCAGTATAAAAATTTGGCTTAGTGAAAGATTGGTGATACATAGTACAAAGATAAAGATATCCAAAAGAAGCAACTAAAAAACGAGTTAATTGATCACAAGGTTTGGGGGTTTGAGGAAGCAGCACAGAAAGCTGCTTCAGTGCAAAGACTGCTAACTGCATTGTCCAGCCTAATAAGCCGAGTAGGATTGGTAGCTGGATGGCTTATAATCATCATAACCATACGACGGCTTGGAGTATCCATACGATGGCTCTTGATAGCCATAAGATTTCTGTTCATAACCATATGACTTCTGTTCGTAGCTGGGAGCGGAGTAGGATTTCTGTTCGTAACCGTAGCTGGGATAGGACTTTTGTTCATAACCATAGCTGGGATAGGACTTCTGCTCGTAACCATAGTTCGGATAAGAGTATGATTTCTGCTCATACCCATAGCTGGGAGCCTGGTAGGATTTCTGTTCGTAACCGTAGCTAGGATAAGATGGCTTGTAGTCATAGCTGGAATATCCGTAGTTGTTGTCGTAAGACTTTCCGTCTGCAACACAGACATCGGTGACCTTTGCCACAGATATGACCCGCAGCGGATTCGGAAGTAATGCAAAGGTGGCAATACAAGTAGCAGGCTGAGAATAATAATTGTCTTACAGCTATCGTATGATGGTTTGTAGGAATCGTAAGATGGCTTGTAGTCATAAGCCGGAGCCTTGTAATCGTAGGAAGGAGCCTTGTATTCGTAAGAAGGCGCTTTGTAGTCATAGGAAGGCTTCTGGTATCCATCTGTAAAAGAATGTTTATACGACTATATACAGAAGACCGTAAACAAGTTTTATACTAAATTTTAATTCAAATCAGTATGCTAGTTACTTACAGCTAGGATAAGACGGCTTGTAGTTATCATACGATTGATAACCGTAGCTTTCGTAGGACGGCTTTTGATAACCATCTTTAAAATAAAAGGCAGATAGAATAGTGTTTTATGTGCGCACAATGTCGTGATCAGGTCACAGGTGTTCTTATCGGCAAACTTTGAAAATTGTCCAATATTAATTCTAATTCTGCAGTAATGTACTTACAGTTAGGTTGTTGGTATCCATAGCTGGGCTTGTTGTCATAAGAATCGTACGATCGGCCATCTGCAAAATATGCTGCTTATACATGCAGATCTGATGGCGGTTCATGGTGCAGTGTACAATGAATTCTTACATGGAGCAGGGGCATAACCATATTCTTGTTTGTATCCATAGTCCTGCTTGTAGCCATAGGCGGGAGCTTCGTAGCCACCATATCCGTAGTTATCATAGCCATACTGAGAATCGTACGATGATCCAGGGTAGTGTGAAGGATAACCTCCATATCTACAACGAACAAGCAACAACCTTCATTGTTTGCTCAATTGACCATCAAGCCATACGCGCGACGACGAAGCGGTCATCGCTTTCTAATAGGCTATTAAGTGACCTTTACTGATCAAACACACTATCCAGTCAGCAGCTAAATAATCCAATAGATTCAAGCACCACATGGTTTAAGAGTTGTTTACCCGTAATAAGGTTTCTTTGGCTTTGGCTTATCATAGCTCTTTTGGTAACCGGAAGCTGCCGGCTGCATGTCTTCGGCCGGCATCCCGACCTCCTTTGAACCGGCTACCGTGGCATTCTTTGGTTGTTCCGGTTTCTGACAAGCGGCTAGTCCAAAAAGAAGCACAGCCAGGCATAATCCAACCTGGAATAATATCTAACTTAATACAAAGTAAAATTTATTCCTTTTTGGTTACGTATAAATTCCTCTTCCACTGAAATAGCGATCGCGGCTCATAGATTGACTGTCGTATAGCTAAATTTATACAATCCCAATTCTATGGAAAAACAACGAGTCGCAAATAATCCAGATTAGAGGAAGGTCACGGGATACTACATGGGGCAAGCTAAAAGGACAGGCTACGTGCACATCAACGCTACCTGTTGATGCATGGTTGGCGGAAGTGGTCGACGTTAATCAGAAAAACGTATAGATCCCAACGCGATCAGCAGTGAAACGTGAGACTGTAGCGTGTGCACACACTGCGTTTGTCGACTGGACACAACTGGATGATGTCGACGAATGATTAGTAAGGATTTTATACTCTCTGCTTGCCTGGCAGTTAGAAGTGCAAAGAAAAAGAAATTAAAGATTTCTTACCTCTGTTTTGAATGAGTAAACAAGCGGACGACTCACATCAATGACTCTGAGCCTACTTTAGGTACATGCAGACACTCGAGAGTGTACTCCGTCCGGCCGTGCGCTGCGCCTCATCATACAGCGGGCATAATTTCCGTTATGCCAACTACCGCCACTGTGACGGCTACGCGCGCCAGGTCCGCCCGCGCCTGGTTAGGGAACTGCTCTGCATAATATAACCAGCTTTATGATTACACTCTTCATCTATAATCGCATGCAGAAAACGACTAAATCAAACGAAAATCAAAGAGTTCAAGTAGACAAACGTGGGTTAATTATAGTTTGAGGCTCATCCTTACATCATTTTCTCTTGTCAGTTTAAACTAGACAGGGCAATTAAGAGACCAACGGTCAGGCTGGTCGCGTTTGAACTCCGCGCGCGTCGTCTGCCTATTAGTTATTTTAGTACGTAACACTATTTTCAATGATATAATTTTTTCTTTTTCAAATTCAAAGGCAAATATTGAGCGCCGCTCTATTCGTGTACATAAACAATTTGGTCTTGTCTCCCGACATCCGTACGCTGGTGGGATGTCCGTCGTGATACAATATCATCCGGATATCGTCATAGCGGTAGAGTTCTATTCAGAATTGATCGCCCATTTCGATACTGTTATGTCAGCTTAAGCGCGGTGATGGACGTAATGGTGGTGCGCGTATGTGAAACGCTACCGCGCATTACGGTATTTTCGCTGGATTTCGTAATATGGAAAAAACTGCCCTCGTCTTACGATCCAGATTAATCATTAACATCAGCGCTGTCCGATCATTCCATCTTTTTCTTAATTAGATCCGTTCATTAATTATAGGCTTATGCCATGGGTGGATTTTTTCTTACCTTCGTGTAGTGGACCTTGCTGATGTCAGTTCCGCATCAGCGAGCTGTCCAACTGCAGAACAATCTGAGTGTTTTCGATGGCTCGGGTGGGGCGGTACAGCTGACGTGCTTGATATGAATAAAATATTGTATACTGTTATTTAAAATTATAGTGTTATGATACTGTAACTGTGATGTTTTAAACTTTAAACTAACTGCTTCATCTGAAATATAGCTCATCCTAACTTGTCAGTGCGGCGAAACAGATTTTTATGAATATCAGAAAGCGGCTTTTTTGCGAGAAAGCATACCCTGGAGAAATCTCTCTATAGGTCATCCGTATATAGATCTACATATACCGTGCCTAGCCTGATTGGGAGCTCATCGCACTACAGAGTACAGAGCGCAAAATGTTGAATTAGGCATCTAAAACACGGATTGGGTTTTAGATGCCTAATTCAATACGAGTATAAATAATTATTATTATAGAATTCCTGTATAATTATCAATATACTTATATGTACAGACAGTAAAAATAGTCATAAAATATTGCAGCGTTTCTACTTGCGAATGGAGAATATTATTTTGTTCTTATATAGATAGTTCGCATTCACTCCGAAAATAATGCAGAAATTCTATTCGGAAAAGTTTCTCTTTTGACAAATAATTTGTTCACGTAAATCTAATGGTAAGAGTAATTTCTGATGCATGTATGCACAGTACTTCTGTACAATATGTATACAAGTATACTGTTGGTATTGTAACTTGGACTTTTGTAGCATACTTCCTATATTTTATCTACATGACTACATACAAATTAAAAAAAATAATGCAATCGGCAAAAACGCAATATCCGGCGTTTGCGTAGCTCTGGATGTCGTGTGTCGGCAAAGGCCACACGGGACTAAATTTCAAAAATCTCTTAAATGGAAAATAATATTGAATCAGTTTTAATGCGCATCACAACTGCTGACAACCAACAGCAACAGACAAAAAGATCTTGTTTGGTTTTGACGGTACTATGGAATGGATACTCGTTCGATAATAGAGAACACAGTACTCTATTTATCGTTAATGGATTTTTTTGCGCTAATCTGTGTGCTGTTCCACCCCCCTGGAGGGCTTATTCCGAAATTATTATTTCGCACCACCATGCGAGCGCAGTTGCGTGGTGAAGTTTGTTTGGGTCATTCCATTTTCCACGCAGTGTTGTGGGAAACACAGTCTACAGTTGACTCTACACAATTTATTAATCCACAACTACAGTCTTCGAATATTACTTGCAAATGGCAAATGATAAGGAATTGATTGTTGTAGATTACAGACTGTAGACTGTTTAGTTAAGTCCGAAATTTGTTTGTGCAAGTTACGGCGGGAGCGGGGAAATAGCAAATTGTTGGCTGTTTTGAGCTTGCTACAGCAGACGTGCTATTTCACGGTCGATCGGTCTCTGTTGACTCGTTGAGCATACTAAAACGAAATCTAGCACAGCTACAAGCCTGCACTACGTGACTACAGTACGTCACATCTTTATTCGTTATCCACGTTTAGATCTGTCAGGACCGATTGCTGTTGCTCTGCTCGTGCAATCTGATCCCAGACTCCGAGTATTACTCTCAGTTGGGTGTAAAAGTCTGTGTTTGGAATGGCAGAAACCAAATCCCCCGTGGCAGGAACTGGCGCTACTGCTCCTGGCGTCTCTCCTCATTTTGGCACAAAACAAGACAATCCGGAAGGATTGGCCTTAGCCAAAGGTGAAGGTGGCTCAAATCCCGATCCCAATCCCACGGATGCTGATTTCCAGGAAACATTTGGGAAGAAGACTGGTGCAGACAATGCGCAGGCGTCCGGACGCGGAACGCCTGGCGTCGGGGACATTCCCGAACCGGAGGCAGCAGGTGATGCGGAAAAGCCAGCCCAGATAAGCTCTGGCAATAAGGAGGTACCGTCTAAGGAGGCGAAACAGCTGAAAGCCGAGATGGAAGTGTAAGGGTGTGGTGAGGATGCTGCCACGTGCTAGGATTTTCTTCCCAAGATTAAATTAATCCACTGTGGTCTGTAGATACTGATATTCATCGGATTGATTGTATTATGAATTTTTTATTCTAACCAGAACTTTGCCACATTGGCACTTTCAGTGAAATTCGCGTTTGTACCTACCAGACTGTCATTATTATGATAATATATATATTATTGATACTGTATCACGAGTACCGGTGTTTGTATTGTCTTGTGCAATGCCTGTTCCTTATTTCTTTGACTAAAATTGATACAAGCACAAAACGAAAAACGTGTTCACATTAAATTTAAGGACAGACTGAAGTACGAGCACAGGTTGTTTAGTTTGTTATTGTATTATGGGATTGGTTAATGACTGTCGACTTGCACTATAAAACAACTGCACAGAAGTGAGCGCTGCCCATTACGGACTGCAATCGAAGAAGACTAAATTTTAACTAAATTAAAGGCTTAAAATTATTAAGAAGACAAAATTTTTATAAAACTAAAGAATACCAAGACTGCCAAAATGTATGTGTTTTTGGGGCTTCGTATTCGACAGTCCTGTTTTAGACAACTCATCGAAATCCGTATTGCAGAATTTGTACAGAAGAATATTTATGTTGCGACCCATATAAACAATTCGCATTAAAAATGTAGCAAAAACATCGAAAAATAGGAAGAAAAGCTAAAAACAGCACAACAGAAAAAGTAAACAAAAAGATATTTTCTATCGTTTCAGAGTTTAAAACATTTCAGCACCCGGAGTACAGCATATCATACCAAAAAATGTACGTGCAATCATGCATTCTCTTTTCAACTCGCAAATTAACTTGATATGAATAGTTGTTATCCTAACAACAAGACAATCGACGGAAACGAAAACAAACGTAGCAAATAACGCTATAACGACGGAAATAATGAGCTTTTCGAAAAGAGTGCCCCATGAATATCCGTAGCAGAGTGCGAAGGTGTAAATAAATATAAAAAGGAGGTGAACAGCTTATGCACATTCTCCGTCTGCTACTGTCCCCGATTGCTACCTGCCCCACGGTTTCCACTTCCGCGGTGCGGTGGACGCCCACCGCGACCTATTGGACCCCGTCCGCCTCGGCGCGGACCACGATAACCCGGTCCCCCTCGGTTGGGTGGCCCCGCTTGGCGATAACCATTCCCAGCGAAACCATTACTCGGGCCATGTCCAAAACTGCTTCCATCCCCGACGAAACCAGCCGGTGGCTGGAAATCCGGTGCTGCGGTGTTCCAGTTATCTCCACCACCAAAGTGACCAGCATTACTGTTCGTCCACACTGCACCGCCGCTGAAAATATCCTGCTCCGAGTAGTCAGTGCTTTCAAATCCTCCATTCACCTTCGCACCCCCATTGCGAGTGTGATCCGCAGCTCCCAGCTGGAGTGAATTCTGCAGACTCTGCGTCAAGCTTGCCAGTTCCTCAGCGGTCAGGTTACCACCGGAAATCACCAGTGATTCCATGGGCGCAAAACTGCCACCGTCTTTTGGCATGATGGTGACTCGCTGGGCTTCGGGACGCTTTTCCGGAATCGCTGAATAAGATTGGCTTTCGGGTCGCACCTGAGTATGCGTTGCCACGGGCGGAGTAGGGCGTTGGTTAACAGCTTCCGTGCGGGAGGTAGCAGGAGCACTTGTAACGTGTTTAGGTGCTGACTGAGAGGGTGGCGCAGTTTTGTGACTCTCGGTCGCCACATGACGCGGCACCGAAGTTGCTGGCTTATATGTATATGTCGGCATAAAGATTTCCACTGTAAAACCAACTCCATTATTCAACAGGAATCGCGTCCAAAGTTTAATAAATTAAAAAAATCGATATTTTACTCATTCGTTGAGAGGCAGCAGTGAGAATGAGTATAAAAATAATAATCTTCAGTGTAAAAAATTATAATCTTCAGACTTCAGTGTTACTAACCATCTCCGAACTTATTAACTTCTCTCTGTAAACTTTCCAAGGAGTAGGAAAATCGTGGAACGGTGGCTAGATGAACGTCATTTTTGTAATCCTTCGTAAATGACTACAAAGGAAAATGAGAACTTATTCAAAGCTTAATTTGAAAAACCTAATAGACAATACTAACACCGCAATCTTGCTGCCAGTCAGCGTATTCTTTTGGGCTCAGGGCTGTCGCCTGAGTTACCCGATCAACCAGTTCGCCACTCTGGTTGTGTCGGTGATAAAGTATTTGACTAGCTTGATCTTCGCTGCGCTCCATATTACGACGAAGCGTTTCATAGCGGTGCTCTACCAGCCGGCGGATCTGTTCAAACGCAAAATCCAGGTTTTTTATGTCGTCCATGTGCATCTCCGTTAACTGTGTCAAAAGACGACTAAAGGAGGAGGCATGAACATGGATGTCAGGTATCGGCACCTCTACAAAACAGCGGTTTGTCTATCATATGTACAGCCGCTAATATTACATCGTAAATCGAGCCTCCTAAACAAGTATAGTATCATTAAAATCATTCGAAATAAGAAAGTATCGTACACAAACTGATTATCTCACCAAAATGTTAAATGTCAAATCCGTAAATACAATCACAAACACATAGATAAAAATTAATACTGACTGAAATGGAAGAAGACTGCATAGACTGTACACATACATCACCGTTACCTTTGGGAACGATCGCCTGTTTCGGAGGTGCAATCTCCTGAATCTCTTTCTTCGGTACGTTATCACGTTTGGGATGGGCTTGCACACTGGCTTTTGATGCCACGGACGGATTTTCTCCGTTTAGTTTCGCAGTGACGCTGCTCTTGCTTTTTCCCATTACGCCATCTTTATCTAACATATTAGAAGAGGTAAAGAAAATATGCTGGAAAATAGCTCGATTTCAGCATTAATACGCCAACACGCGCATTTAGCATTTACCCTGGATGACTGCTGGTGGCCGGCTGCTGCTAGCTTCGCTAAGGTTGTCCTTCGTATCGCTCTCACTGACTTTCTTCTTCTTGCCCGCCTTGCCCTGTACAAGAAATCCAGAATTAAAGGAATTTCATTGACCATCGGCCCATCTTGGAACTTGTGTCAACTGCATCACAAGAATTACTTTTACAATTTCGTACCTTTTTCGACGTAGTAGCCCAACCGCCAATCACATCTTCCGCATCTCCTGTTACGCAAAATTAACAGTCTTACCGCTTACGAATTAGCGAAACTAGCTTTAAAAACTATGACACTTCACTGACAAGTGAGAACATCCGACGCCGGACGTACATGAGACTACATCACTGATAATCGGCAAAACGAAATTTATAAATCATGCGCGAAAATAGTTCTTTCGTGGTTTCTACTTCGCAAATAGTTTACAACATTAATCTGATACCTGTACGGAGTGCTTCGACGACCATATCAGTCTGGTCATTATAATTTTCCAATAGCTGCACTAATTCCTGGTTACTCTTGTTTTTTGCTTCCGGGCATACTTCCCGCAGAGCATTCAAACGTTTTTTCGTTGCAGCGGTTATTTTAGCTGCTCCACTTCCTCCTCCAGCCATTACTACTGTTCCTGTTCGGGTATCGTACTGAATATCTGAAAAAGGATAGTGTTTATCAGTTTGAGTTTCCAAAGCTGGCTCCGAATAACACATATGCTAATCAGCTAATGGTAAGCAGAGTGGTCTGCAACCAAGACTAAGAGCACAAGTAAAACGACTGTTTGTAACTACCACCGAACAAACACGCTATAATCTAGCAGCAGGCGAAGGTATCCTAAAAACAATTCTATTCCCAATACGAAAAAAACAGTTAACGAAATCGGGAACCGTCGACTAAGTAAGCTTGCAAATGAGACCATGCCACGTCGCGGTCTACGTCGCTAATCGACTGGACCACTGTATGCCTGCTGTAAAACGTTCCAGCTGATCACATCGAGGTATTCCGGACATGCAAAAAACTCATCTGATATATAGGACACTCACCGCTCATTTTCCACAATGAAAGACACAGAAAGATGATCCAAACTAAATACAGGAAGATAACTATCAAAAACACTCACATTCACAGCGCATACCGTCACGGTCTGGCTAATGCTGCAGTGCTAGGCTGGCAAGCAGACAGTCGATCGCGCTGCTTCATTCAAAACTTTTACAGTGAACGATCAATGGAGCGACTTACAGCACAGTTAAATGGTACCGCAGGCTAACCGAATAAGAAAGAAGCCGACTGCATCTGCGAGAGCGCAGGCATGTATGTATGTATGATTTTGGCCATGAAAATTAATGATGAATGGCCATCGTCACTAATACAATCAGCTTTTCCTTTTTTAAAAAATGTAGATTTAATTTAATGCAACAAAATTTAATAACAGGAGCAGGTTAAGGAGCTAAATTTCCGATAATTATTACAAACAAAAAGTGCCTATTAATTTTCGCAGTTTCAAATGAAAACATATGTGCCAAGTCAGCCACGGTCGGTTCATATTTGTTCCCACGGCTCTTGCTCACGGTATCAATACTGATATCGGCTCAGAAATGGTTCAGTTCATCATTCACTACTAATGTATTTACGAAACTTTCTCGGCCTTGGATCTGTACGTAATCTGTTGAACGTTTTTCTCGGTGTGGAATTTGTGTAGCTTCAGCATCAACTGATTTTAATTTCGTTTCCGACTAATCCGTTTTACTCATCATAAAATGACTGGCCGAGGAAAAGGTGGCAAGGTTAAAAGTAAAGCCAAGTCTCGCTCCAGTCGAGCTGGACTTCAGTTTCCTGTGGGGCGCATTCATCGTATGCTCCGGAAGGGAAATTACGGGGAACGTATTGGCGCTGGAGCTCCAGTTTATCTGGCTGCTGTTCTAGAATATTTGGCTGCAGAAGTACTCGAATTGGCTGGAAACGCGGCACGAGATAACAAAAAGACTCGCATTATTCCGCGACATCTGCAGTTGGCCATCAGAAACGATGAAGAGGTATGACTAATAACCGTATAAGTAGTTGGTAGTTATAATTAATTCGTAGTTGGCTCTTAATTTTTAATTCAAACCAGAGCAAGTAGCCCATTTCCGGCTAAGATGACAATCTAGTTTGGGATTTTAAGCCTGGCTGGTGAATGCAAAAAAAGGAAAAGCTCCGAACTCAGTGTATGGTAGAAGTGATTAAAAGCCCTCAGATGAAAATCGACTCCCCCAACAGTAAGTTTGAAAAAAATCCACACCATAAGAAAGGCATCAGTGATCAGTCATTTAAAAAAATAGCAGCACTGCATAATGCGCTTCTAAAACTTAACCTATTTCTTGTTTGCGGATTATGGCTTTTCCGTTTTGTTAAAAGTCCATTATTTGAATTAGAAATTCGGTTACAGTATTTTTCTTTGCGCAAGATTTCCTGTAGCTGTATAGGCTCTGAGTTATAACATCAGAAACCGCAACCCCTCGTTTTCTCTGTTAGTTGAATTGCTTTTTTTCGCATTTACGGTCACTAACAGTGACTAACTATACTTGCAGTTGAACAAACTCCTGTCAGGAGTCACAATCGCACAAGGTGGTGTATTGCCAAATATTGCGCCAACATTGTTGCCGAAGAAAACAGGAGGTCCAGAAAGCAGCGGCGGAGGTGAACGTGGTGAAGGATCAGCGAAGCCGAAAGTCAAGAAGAGTGGCGGAGAAGCGCGTTCAGAGGCTCAAGAATCTTGATACCCGTAAACGCACGGTACATTGATTTTGATTTCATTGGAGTGCGTAGTATGCTTGCACATGCTCTTAATTATCCACGCTAAAAATTCGCTAAATATTATCTACCCTGGAATGGAATGTCCCGGCTTTTTAGCTTTTATTGGAGAAGCGAGCTTGATTGGCTGCTTGTGGTTTTTATAAATTTACAGATAATGTAAACTACCGGTTGAATCTGTCAACTGTACAGAAATAATATATATGTATATATGTTTACTTTTTGATAATATGAAAGGAAACCTGTGATTCTATGCGCAGAATTACTTAAATCACGCGAGTTGTTTGTTTGACTACGGTGTGGATATACTCAAATTAAACGATTTTCTTGATCACAATTCGTGATTTCGTGTGTGAACATTTTTATGGACTATACGGGCAGGAAGCGGTGTAGCATTAATCAGGACGCTTTTATTCGCTCTTTGTGAGTTGAATTGAAAACAAGTTATTTGGAGAAGGAGATATGTACGCGTTTTACATGCACCTTAATTATAATTTGCGTATGGGGAATGAGGATCGGGTATAATTTTACTGGCTCGGTTATTGACGGTTTGGGTACCTGCACGAGGTGTTTCCGTGCAAATGATATCGATTTTCTTACTTACTTGACGTAGCGGATTGAAGTCTGCGGAATCTCTGGAAGTACGATGCTTCATAATTTTCTGTAATGTTACACTATAATGGGCTCATGAAATATGCCTGACGCATTCACGTATAAATCGCTATCTTGTTTAGATGTTACAAAACGCCGGTTCAGCTCAGTCGTAAAGGTTAGTTAATTAGCTCTTTCTTTGCGATGGCGGAAGTTGTGATTGACCGTCTTCCAAATGGCGACATTATACCCGGCGGTCAGAGCCGCCACGTGGAAACACAGCGACGTCGTCGATTACGCCAACCGGTCATTGAATTCCCGAATTATGATGACGAGCTGAAAGAGGGCACGCAACTGCAAAATGTGTACAAGAAAGCTGGTTTGGATAAAGATCAGTCCGTTGATCGTCAGCCTCCGATTTTGCCTTTGGTACAAGACGAAACCATCACCCCAATTACGGACGAACTGGATGGAAGGACACCACGAAGAGTGCGCTCGCAGTACGTTCTCCTCCAGTGTTGCTGTGATTAGGTGATATTTACTAGGCTTATTTTTTGTGTGTTTGTACTCAGAATTCTCGATTTGGAGCGCGGATTAGCCATGAACTTAGCGGGTGTGAAGGAAGATATCGTAGCATTATCGAATGATGACTTCCACAACGTTATTCACCACGAGTCTGATATGGGACAGATTGATGTTCATACCGTTGATTCAGAGAAGGTGTACGTGGAGCGAAAAGGTCGATTCTATGCCCTTTCACATCGACCACTACAGTAAGCAGCGGATTCACATTAAATGCAACGGAAATTGCATTCTCGCAACTTACAGTTACTGTAGACTTACAGTTACTGTTCTCGCAACTTACAGTTCTCGCTTCTCTGAGATATTTTAAAGTTGCAAACATTTATATCATTCTGTTTAGCAGAGTACGTAGAGCCATTTAGCGCTAAATGATAATGAACGAGATGAGCAAGGGAGGCTTCAACAACACGCATCGAAAAATCCGTTTTTTATTGTTTTAGATGGAATGCTTCGGCTGATTCGCCGCCGTCTGTTGCGCAAGCCCAAACATCATCTGCATCCTCCATCCCGTACATCTACCTTGGTTTCCTCTTCTTCCGGCGTGCCTGTCTGTTTTCGCACGGACTCCTGGCTGGTCTGGCCTTATTCCACTGTATTGTCGTCCACACCATGACCCCTCCGAAACAATCTAACTGGGATCTTTTCGCCGAAATCTATATTCCCGAAGCGATCTGGGTGAAGACCGTGTACCAGCTGCTGATCGCTGTGTGTTGTGTGTCCTGTCTGTGTCGTACGGATTTGCTTGGCCGCGTGGACTGGACGCTGATACAGGAGAACTCCGAATCCATTGTGGCGCTAGTGCTGTATTTCGGTGCAGCCGCTTTGACCCATTTATGTGAGATAACCACCGTGCGCTTGTTGATGGAATTCAGTCGGCAGCCGGGAATTTCCTCCTCTGACATGACGAATGAGCTGAGCAGATGGAGAATTATGGATGCCGTCCGAACCGGCTGTGTTTGCTTTGGTGAGTAATTTTTTCTATTTTATTTCAGCGGGGTAATAACGTAATGGAGAGGATTTGGGTATTGCGGGTTTTATGGTGTTTTGGGATAACGAAAACGAGCTGGACAAAGCCATTTATAAATTTCTGTAAAACGCCATAGAATAATCGCGTTGTTACTGCAGAATTAATGTCTTTGTTGTGATTGTGCTGTGTGTAGGTTGGTTGCTTCTTTCATGGAATTGGAAACGTGATCGAATGCATGCTCATCTGAAGCCACGTTTCAAGGCAAAAGACCAGAAAGATCGCTCGAAATAGGACCGATTAAAAACAAGTCCTTCCTCTGTTTCGAGAGAGCCATTGATTTAGCCACTCAGATATTTCCAAGTTTCGGAATTGGAGAACTGCTTCATTGCGATACAGTTGCTGTTCCACTGAAAATCTGCGTGTAATGAAGTTACTTACCGTGCTTATGTAGATCTTAGTTTTGTTGTGCAGGTAAACGATTTAAAAGGCGGTGACGAATCGCTTTCGGTACTTCCGCTTTTCGCATGCGCTGTTATTGCCAGCTATGATATGATTTTTCAACACTGATATACCGACCTTCATTAAAGTTATTGTGATTAAACTAGATCTGTTCACGGTGCAACTTCCCGTTATGATGGCTTACTTACTTGTACAAAGTTGTAAGTGGTATTACCGTTTTAGCAGTGCAGTAATAAAACTACAGTTCCAGTACTGCGATACAGTAAATCAATACTGTAATTACATTAATCAATACCGTAATTACATTTAATTACATTACACCTCTGTAAATACTCTCAAGTTTGCATTTTAATTTGGAGTTTGCAGTTTTAAATTTGCTTTTCAAGAAATGTTTGTCGAATTGACATTTGCATGATCGTGTTCTGATGGAGCTGTGCATCACCAGAGAATATTTAAAAATTCGAGCAAAAAGTACTGGAAAATTCACCGCGAACTTCAGTTGTGCAGAAAGGTGCAGTGAGTCGGCTAGAAAGGTTATGAGTTATAACTGCCAAAATTTTGCTAGCAATGCTACAGTACGCCTGCAGCGGGAACAGGAACCGGTATCAGCGTTTGTCATTCTAATGTTATTTAGTACCGCAGTGTATTGTTTCGGAATTCCTCAGTAGTTGTTCCTGAAGAAAACCACGTTAAACCTCCTCGAAGGACGATATGAAGAGTTTTTTTGTTATTGTTCACCAAAGTCACACAAAGTTTTCCGCTGCGATCGCGGTAGTAATTAAGGTTGCTGCACATGTCGGTCGCATGTGCAGATAATTGTGTGTACATGTACTAGCGGTTTGGTCGGCCAATTGTTCTTCCCGCTATTTTTGCGACCATTAAAATAGATTCGAATCCATAGCCCATTAAAATTAGACAGATATATTTAAGTTTATAATGCAAATGTTGCCATGTGCAATGATGTTTTTCCCATGGATATTTTTATCTGTCATGGGTAATGGAGAATTTATTAACGAATGGCTGGTGGAAATTCCTGGTGGATTGGACGTGGCGCAGCAAGTGGCGAAAGAACATGGATTTATCGTTGTCAAAGAGGTCTGTAGCGGAGCTGTCACGAACTGCAGAATAATATACCTTTTTATAAATTTCACAAATTGTGCAGACATATAACTTTATGTGATTAAATGAGTTATGTAGAAGGCACTCTCAATGAAAGAGCATTTTAACTTCGGATTGTCCACTTCTGTGCATAATATGAAAATGTAAATACGCGGATTTAATACCCGCACCTCACGTCAAAGTATACATTATGTACATTTTTTGCCATCAAAACTGTAATTGGCTTCAGAACTGTTGGCGTCGGGTCTAATACTGTGCGCGCAAACTTTGACTTCGTTTCCGGCTACGATAGTTACTTATGAATAAAGGGCGTTTGTTGGAATCAATATTTATGCCTGCTTTTTGTTGCGTTCGATTGAAATTCTTCGCTCTTTTCGTCCCTTATTTAATTCCTGTTTCAATACAGTCATTGAACAACTACTACCGCCATGATCAGGTTATGAATACCGACGTTGTGTTGCAGCTACCGGAACTTCCGAAAGTGTTTCAGTTTAAAAGACTGGACAACACCTCCCACACCAATGATACTTTTTGTACACTCGGCGATTCCAGAAGCAGTTCCAATACGACGCTAAACTGCACCTCGCTATCGGCTACTTCCGTACACCGATCTAAACGAAAAGTTCCGGATAGTAATCCCATTGCAGCAAAACTGGTCAATAAACCGGCTAGCAATTTGGAACGCGACACTCGGGTAAGTTATAAAAAAACCTACAAAATTTGTACGTCGCTCTGTAGCCTTCGTTTATTGTTAGCAGTTTGTTACGCAATGTTTTTGTTAAAAACTAAAATGTATAATGTAATAATATATATAAATGTATAATACAAACTAGTTAATTAATGTATTCAACAGATTAAATGGGCAGAACAGCAAAAAGTTCTCGTGCGTACCAAGCGAGACTACCAGGACACCCCAAAATTATTTTTTATCGACGATAACGATAATGCATTTTCCATATCGTCCACCGACACCAGATCGGTTTCTCTTCCTGCATCCAATTCGGCACCAGACGCCGAAGCATTCAATGATCCACTGTGGGCTACGCAGTGGTACCTAGTATGTCTCAATATTTTTTGTTAACGTTATGTACGCATGCATATCTCCGTAAATCACTGATATTTTTCTTCGTGTCTGAATTTTGGATTTTTGCAGCACCAGCCATCCAGTAAATCAGCGGATCGTAATATGAGAGCATTGCAAGATTCTTCGCCAATCAGTCTGCAAGTTGCGCCGGTCTGGCAAAAAGAAATCACCGGCAAAGGCGTTGTAGTTACAATTCTGGATGATGGTAAGCGTGCACATCAGCTCTACTTGGTTAAATATTGTACATACGTTAATCTAATGTTATCTTAACTAAATATTGTACGAATTGTCCCACAACTGAAATGCATCCACTTATACTTTTGTGTTGTATAGGTTTGGAAAGTAATCATAGCGATCTCGCCGTCAATTACGTACGTGCATATAGACGTCTGCGTACAGTTCACAACATTGAAACACTGATAATGCATATACGATGGTTCTCCGAAGGATGCGGAAGCCAGTACCAACATTAACGGCAACAATCGGAATCCAACCCCACGATATGAGAATCCCGAAGACACGCACCACGGGACACGATGCGCCGGCGAAGTGGCCATGCAAGCCAACAACAACGTCTGCGGTGTTGGAATAGCATATGATGCACGTATTGGTGGCGTTCGTATGCTAGACGGAACGGTGACGGACCGCGTGGAAGCCGAGTCGTTTTCTTTCAACAACGATTACATCGACATCTACAGCTCATCCTGGGGACCGAGTGATAACGGGCGCACTGTCGAAAAACCCGGGTCAATGGCCGCGAGGGCATTGGAGAAAGGCGTAAAAGAAGTATGACCTTTATAATTTACTGCACCAGATAAGCTGGTGCCTAATAGAATTTAGTATTTACGTATAAAGCATTTAAACTTTAGGACCTCTTGTGTGTTTTAATGCTTATGTTTGTTGTGTGCCTTTGGTAAAACTCAGGGACGCCAGGGAAAAGGCTCTCTTTACGTGTGGGCGTCCGGGAATGGCGGGATTAATGGCGATTCTTGCGCCTATGACGGTTATGCATCCAATATCAATACCTTAAGCGTCGGTAGCACCACGGAATACGGTCATGTGCCCATCTACGCTGAGCAGTGCCCGTCAACAATGGCGTGCACTTGTTCCAGTGGATCATACTTCGAAGGAAAGATTGTATGTAATTGCACCAAAAAATCTTGCGAATAACAAGAGCCAGCAAGATAGTATTGTATAGAAGCATGAATTTTAGGTCAGCACCGATTTATTAAACCGGTGCACGTCCAGTCACACCGGAACGTCCGCTTCCGCTCCGCTAGCAGGTTAGAGTGGAACATCTACATTTCTACACTATACTTTCTATGTTGATTTACACCTGCTCGCAGTAAAATTACGTGTACTCGTACTGTTAATCATCGGCAACGGCAACTCCGGTAATAACAGCATTGTCTGAATGTTGTAGCTGCTATCGTTGCATTACTCCTGGAAGCGAAGTAAGTCAAATTATCGATAATTACTGCACAGACGAGTACATAATTTGGAAGCTGACTGTTAACTGCGGTCAGGAAAACATCGCAATGCAAAATCTAGCTCGATCTGGCTTGAATGAACAGTTTAGTGGTCAGAAAGATGTCCATGTTTTCCCGCAAGGCGGCGCAATGTTGCTAGTGCTCGGATTATGTAGGCTAAACTGCCATTATTGCTTTATTGCTGATCGTAATACTAAATTAAATCATCTTTGTGCTTATAATTATCGCTGGCTAACCAAGATAATGCATGCATGAAAAATCGTGCCTAATCGTGGTTTTGTTTCACCTTACCCTTAAGAAATTAAAGAAAGAGGCATGTACGTGCCGAATACAGAGGTGCGTACAAATTTTTTAGCAGTTTTCAATCTCCAATTTTGATTTCAGTAATAATCTGACATGGAGAGATGTAAAACACCTCGTAGCATGGACGGCTAATCCGTTTCCGCTATTGCATACTCCAGGCTGGTACGTCAATGGAGTGGGCATGTTAGTGCATCCCATTTTCGGGTTCGGCTTAATGGATGCAGCCAAATTAGTACAAGCAGGACAACTGTGGGAAACTGTACCGGAAAAGACCAAGTGTGCCATTCGTAAAGCCGGTATAGAGAATGCGTAAGAATTAGCCAGTTGAGTTAAATGTTTCACACGGCTTAACCGGTTTCGTTGACCTTTGCAGCCTGTTTTCTCACAACGAAAGCCTTGTTGTACCGGTGACAACTCGAGCCTGCCGGAACACTGTAAATGAGATTCGGTATCTGGAACACGTGGAAGTGATTGTATCGTTATCGCATCTCCGACGAGGCGTGGTGCAGATATACTTGGAAAGTCCAATGGGTATTGTCTGCAGAAAGCAAAATGCATTTAACTGTATCTCATAGCCGCTGTTGAATGAAAATCTAGGAACGCGAACCCTCATCGCACCGAAACGTCGAAATGACTTGTCTACTAACGGATTCGTTGAGTGGCCTTTTCTTTCCGTTCATAACTGGGGAGAGAATCCGTATGGGACGTGGAAAGTAACCTTCGAGAGTCAGGTAAGAAACCAGGATGTTCACGTAAAATTTGCAGAGATACATGCACACAGTAAAGTCGACAGCTAATTATTGACAGATTCGCAGAAATAAATCAGTTGTTGTAATGTAACTGTAATTTTCGTGGTTGCTGTAAATGTTGCAACTGCTGCAACAAGGTGTTGTATAAAAAATTGTGAAAAATTTGGAGCAAATCCACAATAAATTTTAACTGTTTTTCGGTAGGCTAATAGTATCTTAAAGTTGCAGTTCTCTATCTTTCGAATTAGTTTCCAAATTCATTGACTGTGTACAAATATAGGGCAACAACTCACAACTTTTTGGAGCTCTGCAATCTCTGAAAGTCGTTTTCCATGGAACCAAAGAGGAACCGAAATCAACAGGCGTAGTACGGGAGATGCGAAGGCAGCAAACATCAGATGCTCTGCAACAAGCTGATAAGGAGCCTTCCTAACAGTTAGGATAACGAACCAATAACACTTCCGATTTTTCAGTATTCCAGATAAAATATTGTTTCTGTTTGTTTATTTTTACTGTAATTTATTCTGAATTTGCCACTGTTCCCGGGCTTTCGATTGTTTTGCCAGATTCCGTCCGCTGGGAGAATATTATAGACGATAATTAAGGAAGTAGATTATTTACAGTTAGCTGTTGACTAGGCGGCGGCAGCTGAGTGTGTAATGTGTAAAATAAACTCAAAAACGGAAAGAATGCGCTTTGTTGCTCAGATTAATTCCGCTTTTATTTTGAAAGGATTTGGGATTGCTCTAGCGAGATCGATACCGCTTGTTAACGTTATTACGTAAGTACTTAACTGCGGCTGCGGACCATTCAGTACATGAAATCACCCTATAGTACTTGTACATCGTGCAAGCTGCCAGTCTGCAGGATAATAATGCCACGATTTACAGGATAGAATGAGTACTACTAAATGTAACACGGATACCGTATCGAATTCATTCTCCCGCCGTGGCAACGACAAATTAGCCTGTGTTGTTATTAAGGTATTGGCTTTCGCTTATTGCGGGAAATATTTTCTATTATGTGTCGGCCCACGTCCTTAGAAAACCAATAACGAGTACATCAGCAAGGAGCTGGTATCGATTACCGTCGAACGTTCTGCATCTGTAAGCCGCAACAGTTTACGGAAAGGTGCAAGCAGGGCGCTAACATTAACAATAAACAGTTTGCATCTGGCTTGCTGTTTGCTACGAAATTAATAAGTATGTGCATGAACAGTAGAAATAAACATTTGCTAGAATACACACAAGTTTCCTTATTGATAACCACTTCAAAACAAATAAAATAAATCGCAGAAGCCGTCATTTCAGGCTCCGGTGCCTAATAAATTTTAATTGTTCTTCTCATGCATCCATACGTCGGTGAAAGTTCACAGCGATACAACATACATAAGTTAGCTACGCTAACCGGCTAACTCCATGCCGCGTGGTTTCGGTATTTGCGATTTACGACTTGATGGCGAACGCAACGTTACAAACAAACATAAAATGGCACTTGATAAAGCATCAAAAATCTGCAACGGCATTCGTACGGGGCACAATAATCACCCATGAGACATAAAGAATTCCCTGTCCTCCGGTTATAAATTACGTTCCATATTGAGAAGTGCAAATAGTACCGTACATCCTTGTACATCGTTGTGATTAAAAAATCAAATGAACTCGGGAAATGCGTACGTGCGAATAAATCGGCGCATTACAACGCCAGAGAAAGGTGTTTATCTTAGTGTCGAAAGATTTCCAGTTTTGATGTGAAAGTGGTGCTTTAATTGTGATTGAAGGATTATGATTATTTGCTTTCATGACCTATTTGTCAACATGACCGCTGCTGACGGTATGTCCAGCCGTGGTATCCATGTTGACCGAGATATCCGTGTGCATGCGGCTGTTTTCCAGTGCATCCAGCGCCAGTTCCCGTTGTCGTTCCAGTTCTTTCTTGGCGAATTTGGCTTCCAGTTCCAGTTCTTCTTTTTGCCTGCGAAAAGATCACATATTAGATAAATCATTTTGCATAATCCAGACCCTATTAGCCGTTACAATGCGCAAGGATCATAAAGGACAGTTACTCTAGATTTAGATCTGCAATACCAGTTCTCATCGAAAGCTATGTAAAAAAACTGTTAGTCTATATTGCAGACGGTGGCTACTTGTCATACCGTTTAATGGCATCTTCTACCAATTTGCTCCGGAATTCCACATCCCGTTCATGTTGTTTCTCCATTTCCTTGCGAATTTTCGCCGTCTCCTTTTCGGTTTTCTCGCGATAGTCTTCCGTCAACTTGGCTATCTCCTTTTCATGCTTCTCGCGAATCTTCTCCTTTTCGCGGTAATACTTTTCATCGCGATCCCGCTTCCTTTCCAACTGCTCCGGCGTTTCGTAGATGATCTCGTCACGCGCTCCCGCTGTCACGCGCTCCACCGAGGCGGTCAGGCCTTCGCCCAGCAGTTCCTGTGCCAATCCGCTGACGGCATTCACGGATACCGCGGTGGTCGTTGGATGGATGAGCGGTGCATTGATGGTCGTACGGGTGACCGCCGTATCCAGGGTGTCGGAGTCGACATGCGTGCTGGACGAGACGTTCTTGATTGACTCCACCAGATGACCATCGGATGTGCGGACCTCCTTGATTTCTTTATGCTCGTGCGTGTGCGGCATTCTCCTCAAACGGAAATTCTTAATATTCAAGGCAAACGTATAGAAGGCAGAGTAAACAAACTCAAGTTTCTGTTGTGATTCGTGTGAGATTTGCAGACTTCAAACTAGGGAGTTGAGATCGAGTATTGCTTGTCAATTGTACTCGTATATATGCCGCCAAAGGTGTACTAGAGTGCAATTATATTGCACGTTCTGTTCAGGAAATGTTACTGAAAGGTTGGGTTGGGAGCTGCCGTTTTCCGTGGAATGGTGCAGCGAGAGCCGGCTCTGCAGAAGGGAAAATTGAATACTACGAGAAACTGTACAGGAGCAGCGTTTAAAGAATTGATTTCCGATACCGATGTTGTGCTCTAGGTGGAGTAACCGAGTTAGATCCAGCAATCGCTGGCGTGAAAATGTAATAAAAGGTTCAACTGTACAAACTGATGGGATTAAAGACGGCCCATGCAGTCGTATAGACTGAAAACCGACGGGTACGAGGCTTTGATCGTAAATTCGTACAGCTTCGCACATCAATCATGTGTTGCCACTGCATATTCGTATGTGGTAATTGTGTATACTACGCACGGTAAGAAGAATAGGTTAAAAAGAAGAACAGTTAAAAAGAATAGGGTTTTACAGTTGTCAAAAACAGTGAAAATTTGTTTACAGATTGCGCGTAAATTCAACTTGTTTCGGTAGAGAGGACTCCTGCGTTTTAGGTAGACAAGCTGTAGTACAGGTATGTTACCGTATGTATACACCTTAGCTACACAAAGCACAGACCAATATTTGCTCACGAAATATGGTGCGAAATCACATCACAATAATTAATTAATGCCCCTGTACTTGGTCTGTAGTAATCTGTACACGAAAAGGTAGTTTGTTCAACGCAGGTTTCGTGTGGAAACCGATGCGCGAAAGGTCCCAAAACGTTACTCTGGCGCTTGTACATCCCTGGAAACAATAGCTTTTCGTTAATACCGGTCCTTTTTAATTCAAATTTAACGATTTCGGATTAGTTTTTGCACCGGATTAGTTTTCGCAACTAATTAGTTTTTGTACCGGATTTGTACAAACTTACGTTAGATTTGCCTAAAGTTACGCCAATGTAAATGGAAAATATTGGTCAAAGTTTTGCTTCGAGCTAATGCTTCCATGTAATTTAGGTAAGCTTTTTTGTGTGCTACTATAACATTGTTAATCAAAATTTAAATGCTGTTTTGCAGATAGTTTAACAGTTTAGTTTAACAGTTTAGCTGTGAGTTTGTGCGGATGCTTCTAGGGCAAAATCTTACAGTACAACGGAAGGAGCAAATAAGCATTTAGCAATACAATTTGAAGCCGCGTAAAATAAATCAAACAATTTAAATAAATTGTTAGCAATCAAAAGTAAGTACTGTACTAATACAAATTTATCATACACATGATAACAGATCTAGACTAGAGTGGATCGCCGCCTTGGGTGAGCATAACAATAAGTACGAGTATTTATTATACAATATTAGTACTGTACGATGCCGCATTGCGCAGTATAAGTAGCAGGAATAGTCTTTTTTCGTTTCTTGCAGTATCTCCCTTCCTGCGCTTATTGGCCCCTTAAAGTATTGGAAACTTCAAAGCAGAAGCTCTTTTAAAAATAAACACAATGTAAAATATGTAGATGCGACGCATTACGAAGCTAATTGTGTAAGCTAGTTTTGTAAGATAAATACTATATTATTTAATTTGCTAGTTTTCGCTTACTTCTAATTTGTTGTCAGCTTGGTTTTACTTGAACCACTACGGTACAGATATAGAAGAATGGCATAATTGGTATACTTGTACACATTATGGTGCATTATATATCATACAAATTTACAGTAAGTAAGTAAGTGAGTGATAGTAAGTATAAAGTAAATATATAATACGTAAAAATTTATACAATACAATACAATAAGTACGTAAAAATTCAAAGCCTGAATTGTTGCTAGTGTTGTTAATCTTTTCTCTTTCGAAAAATACTCAAAGTTCAGAAGCTCTGTTAAAATTTATTTTAAATATAAAAATATGCATAAAGCAAAAATATTGTTCCAAATAAAACTTGATAACAGTATTAAAGTAAATAATGCAGAGCATGACTTATGTAGTGATCGGTATCACTGGCAGCTTGTAACCTTTGACCGACCGCAGAGTCTTGGTTAATTTGCACAGTAGTGCACCATTCTGTGCGTGGGCTATACAGTACTCATATGCGCCGTATATTCTATGCTCAGCTAACCGGAAGTGATTCGTATGGCTCGCAGACACACGGACGATGCTGCGGTCGGTCGACGATTGCCATCTGTGTATTTTTAAATGCCGTAGCGTGACACCTTCCCAACAGTGTACGGATACAGCGCATGTTCCAAATTGTTTGACCGTACTTACTGAAACTTGTGCAGTTTCACTTTACCTTGGTGACGGTTTATCACCTTTAATTCATTGATGTAATCTTTATCTGCTGAGATCTATTGTTTTTGAAAGAATTTTTAACACCATAGCGCGTTTTGCACTGACAATTCAGTGTGCCGTACACCCCTTATCAGTAATGCAGAATTGGTCTCGGTTTCAAGAAAGATCGTTCTTCCCATCACACTCCTGAATTTATCTGGATCATCCGTGTGGATTATCAGCCTCCCTCAAAACTGAATGTTGTTTCGTGTAGTTTCAAGCCTTTTTATGATACTGGAATTGTAGTGGCGACCCACAGCGCAGTCAGCCGTGCAGCGACATCGAAAATGACAGCCAAGAACGCCAGCAAAACCGAGCAGTTCTCCAAACTCATCCGCCAGATCAGCCAGCTTCCTCATAACAAGAACTGCTTCGATTGCGGCCAGAAAGGACCCACTTATGTGGATTTGACTATCGGGGCCTTTGTGTGTACAGGATGTTCAGGCATTCTGTAAGGTGTTCCTTCGACTGCATGACGACAATGACGATGCAGGAACCAAAGGAGTCTTCTGTGTTTTAGGCGCGGTCTCAATCCTCCGCATCGAGTGAAGTCCATCAGTATGGGAACCTTCGCGGAGGATGAAGTGAAATTCATGCAGTTTCGTGGAAATGCGGTAAAGCAGCGTTTAAGTGTGGAATGTCTGCGGATATGACTGCGCACAAAGCGGATCGCCCGAGGGCGAAAGTGTTGATGAGTTTATAGTTATTTCGCCACTTCCCTTTTCCCGCGAATGCTGCGTAGAAAGCTTGCAGTTTCCAGAGTACAAATATACATTCTTACCTATTAACAGTGAACAATCGAACACATGGTTTTGTTTAACTGCCAAATACTTGTTCATTGAAAAAATGCGAATATTTTAGACAAGTTATTTTGCGATTAGTGATAGTGAATTTTTGTTTTAAAATTTGTTTTTTGAAAACGTGACAGAATTCTTTTCATGGCAGATTTTTCTGTAAACCATTTTCGGTAACAAAATTTGAACTGTACAAAGCAGTAACGTTTCGGTATTCAGGTTTTCCCTACGCTGCGCTAAAGTTTAGAGTGGGAGCTTTTTGTTAAATTGATTTTGACAGGTCCCTGTAGGAATGGGAAAGCGTGCTGCCTACCACTTTGACGGCGAGTGACAGCGCTAGGCGATAGCTTGATAAAGCCAATGATATCGTCACCGTCGATAAGGTTTATTGGCGCGCTTTTATTAGCTTTTGGCTCAACTTAGTGTTTATTCTATGGGGAGGTCTATTTTCACTAAAGTCTGTGTGCATAATTGCGCCGTGAAAATAGACATTCTTGATTATTTTGTTTTCTTTGTAGTTCTGCAAAAAAGTTTGGCTGTTTAATTACGATCCTCAGACCAATCTGCGTCCACCCGAAGTGCGAGATGATCAAAAGATGAAAGATTTTTTGATAGCCAAATATGAAAAGAAGCGATGGTACAGTGGGCCGAATGAGCTGAATATTGGCGATCAATTGAAGCAGGATGATACAGGCAGCTATAAGAGTTTAACCGAAATGGACACCGGAACCTCTTTATCCCGTCGTGCATCAAGCAATTCACAACGAAGCCTGCGGCATGATTCGCAACTGAGTAACGGCGGTTCGCCCTTATCGACGGGAAATGGCACCAGCAATCAGCCACGAACCCACAGCACAGGAAGCATCAGTTTGGTAAGTTTACTTTTCACAATCAGTTTGTGCCGTTGCTAAACGTTAGTTATTCGGTTCTCTTGAATTTTTTATCAATTTTGGTTTCTACCCTGATTTGAAATTTGCTGTTTCTGCTATTCTTTTATATTATCGAAGTTTCATAATTTTCTGATTACTAATAATTACCAGAATGATGTGCTTTCATGAGTTACTCAGTTAGTGTCTTACATTATCGTAAACTCCGAAAGAGAGATGAAACGGAGATTTTTTCGATTTTTTGGTTTTCTTACCACGCAGGCATTTGCGTTTCACTTGGTCGATCACCGCTTTCATTCATAACAGCTTCAAATGACAGGAGATACGATTGTGCTAAAATAGGTTGTGCATCGATTATCGATAACCGGTTGTCCCGGATTCCCTCATGGGCTCATGGTAGCAGCCTAGCAGTTAGCAGTCATAACTTGCTTGTAGACATGAGTGTTAGGAGCTTATTTAACTAAGGATTAAATGAGAAGTGCTTACTCTAGCATTTCATTACATCTGCTGCAAACGATTAAGTCTTAACTAGCAGGTTTGTCATAGATTTCTTCTGGTGTTGCGCTATGTGGTTGTGTCTTCATTGTAGCCGCGCTCACATACCGCCAATGCCATTACCCACAATTCGGATTTCCCTGCACCGGCTGCTGTTTCTTCCAATACAGATGATCTACTGGGTGTATTTGGCGGGCTGAGTGTGGCATCCACTCCAGCGCCTGTTGCTGTACAGCCACAGATGCCGGTAGCTCCGACGTTCCCAGCCCCACACCGGTGCTGCGTCCAATTCCAACGACTGGGCCAATTTCGGCCGCTCACAGACCATGCAGTCGTTGCAGCCGTCAACGGCAGCCTTCCCTTCACATGACGCTCTGCCGCAGTCGCACTCGGTGCCATTCAATGCTTCCCCTTTTGAACCGGCCAAACCCATGCAGCCTATGTCGGTGATGGCGCCCACACCGAAAGCCGTGTCCCCGGCTAAAAGTGTGCCGAACAATCCCGCACCAGCTAAAACAGCCTCGGACAAATATGCTGCGCTGGCGGAGTTGGACGAAATGTTCCATGGAGGAAGCGCCGGGAGCACTCCACAGAATTCGTTGCCCAAGTCCCAAGGACAAGATGGATTTGGAGCCAGTTGGAGTGGCGCTCCACAGAATCCAGCGAACACGTTTGTTCGGCCGACGCCGTCGTGGCCGGCAGCTCCTGTTTCACAACAGAGTAATCCGTTTGGTTATACAAATGCATTCCAAGCACCGGTGAAAGACGGTTGGGGCGCCGGAGCGGGAGCTTTTGGAGGAGGGAACACGGCGTCAGCGTTTGATAGTAGCAACGTGTGGGGACAGATGCCGGCTTATGGAGGTCAGACGCAGCATGTCGATACAGCGACGAATCCGTTTTTGTTGGGGCCTACGCCGAATGCCGGATTTGGTCAGCCCAAGCAGGGTGTCCATCCGACGAACCCTTTTCTATAATGGATCTTCCCTAGGTTGTAATGTGTGTTTGATGCTGAAAATAACGGCGTAGTGTGTCTGCTTGCCGGTTCTTAAAAGCCCGAGATAATTTGATATTTTTTCTTCAGATTTTGGGGAGTTTTTGGTGGGAAATGTCTGTTTTGTTTAATTTGACATGGTCGGTAGTATTTAGCTAATAAACTAGATGTTCGAAGTGGAACTGAATGATGGTAGCTCTGCTGCTAATAATAAGCACTGAAGAAGTACATTTCGCAAGCACGTCAGCAAATGCTACAAAGTTTAAAAGGTTTGCTGTTAGATAATTAGACAATGATCATTAATTTCATGATTTGGTGAATGATCAGAATGGGTATGCGATCTTTCAGTCGATCGAAAGTTTTCCCTCTTTTCTCACAATAATTTGTTCCTCATAAAGTGTAATTTCTTGATTTTTGCACACCGCATACATTTGGACTATCGGCCGTGAAATGCCAGGACAGGATCAGACGGAAAAGAAATGGCTCTTGATTAGGTGCTTCGAATTCCACTGATTTGGATACCTTCCACTTGATTACAGTACTTGTCATCGTGACCATTTCGACATTTGCAGATACACTGTACTTAATATCAGCCACCTCATACTGGCATCACAGTTTGCATATTTTATCAAATTACCAGATTCTTGTCACCAGTCACTCAAGGGCATTGGTTTGCATTTCTGAAAGTTATTTAACATGCAAGTACGTTGGCTTGGCATTCCTTTCTTCGTGATGATTTAACGTGGATCACAATTTCTGCGCATAGGTCACTCGAAGCTTGTATTCGGTCAATCATTTGCGGGATACAATTGCAAACATGGGATATAAAAACAATTGTCTCCGCTTGTAGAAGAGCGATATTTGTAAATCGATAAGGTCGCAGGAAATTCTGCTAAACTCGCTGTACACACCGATACCAATAAATTCGGGATTAAGCTTTGTGTTTGCAAACATACGTAATTCACAAGAGGGATAAACGCTGGATTGTTGTACGCTCGTGACAGTAATGCTTTTTCAACAGAGCGCTGCATTTATTTCTTGCACTCGTAATACGGTATTTCACATTAACGTATGGCTGTCATTGGCTGACAAGTACAGTCATAATTCAAGTACTTTGTATAAAGGAAGTTGGAAAGTTCCACATTACAGTTAACAATTAAATTTGTTACACGGAAATCACAGTAAACTACAGCTGTTTCGTACTGCATAATGGTTCCAATATTAAGTAATTGCCGCTATACTACTTATGCACGTCTAATTGAATAACGCAGTAAAGGCGTAAAAATTGTGTGCAGTGTTTTATATTTTGTACTTACAAAGGTCAGGTTTTTTGATTTTGGAAAAATCAGGTTGTTGTGACTGGAAGGTTTGTCTGCTAATGTCTGTGCACTTACTGGCGCCATTACGAACATCAGATCGAAGCCTTGTTCTGGCCACACCGCGGTGTGCGCAAACATAATTAAATTGTGGTTGCACTGGATTCTGCTAAAATGGGACGTCTCAGTCTGCGCACGTATTAACAACACCCTTATCAGAATGCAGGGGATTGAAATCTCAGCAACCCTCTAAAGAAGTGAGCTCCGCTAATTGGACCTAATGGGAAATTGTTTATCTCCTTTTTTAGCCAATGGTATATGTTTATCTCTGACTCGTGGTTACGCTATCTATCCACAGCATCGCATTACTCGTTGTTTGTGCCGGTATTCCTCGATCCCGATCCACCCAGCATCTCGTATGTGTGTGAGCCTGTACAAAACAGTTTTCACTAAAGAACTGTTTGTGGAGCGGCGCGTACGCGAAACCTCTTCCTTAATTGTCCCCTATTAGAAGGTTAAGAGGCAGACGCGCGAGGTGCGTAATGCGAAGCTTTACAAGACAACTGGGCGCTCAACGCGCACGGCGCGGATCATCACCATTGTACAGCACAGCCTGGACCAGGATTGCTCATTTAATAGTAATCTCCTGAGATATGGGGCGTCATCGCAGGACAGAGAAGCTTTATATATCTATATAATCACGGGATGAACCGCGGAATCCTGACAGCGGACGGCGTCTATGCTGCGCAGTACTCTACATACAGTGCTCATTTTCGAACATCTTTTAGGCATAATAACTGTGGCAGGTGTGCCAGTACAGTACATTGTTACGTTCAGAACTGCGAAGTCAGTTTTTTCGTGGTAACATGTAAGTGTATGTGAGGATGGCATTAACTGAAATTACGGTCATAGTTTGATATTGGATTGGATGCTGTTTAATCTTCCGATACAGATACATATATACCGAGTGCAAAAATTTCCTTGTCGCTTGATAAGCACGCGACTGCTTGAACTTTCAATTAACCAGCAAAAAGAAAATCCACAAAGCGGACGCGCGCGTAGGTAATCGCTAACCGGAAAAAGCCCAGGCTGAATGTGTAATGGGAAAGGCAGTGACGTCGCATCGTTAGCGTACTGCTGGCTGGATTGTCCCTGTGGGTCGTGCGAGACATTCCCAGTAAATCTCATAATCTAATCGCCCCGAGAAACTGCTTTCCCAATCATGGAGGAATACCCGAGTTATTACTACATGGCCGACAATGCTTCGGAATTATTAGCCGACAGCATCTACAATGAGCTAATGCACACGTACAACAATGGTACATTCTTGACCTTTATTGTACTGCTACTGGGACTGGTCACGAATTTCGGCTTCCTCTGGTTGCTGGTGCGACGACCACTGCACAATAATTCCCGATTACGACCGTTTCTCATCAACCTAGCAGTGGCCGATCTGACAGTGTGCTTCTTTACCATTTCCTTGGAATTAGGGTGGCGGTTAACCATTCGCTGGACGGCCGGCGACCTCGGCTGCCGATTTTTCAGCACGACAAAGACCATTGGATTGTATTCGGAGGCGTTTGTCGTCCTGGCCATGTCACTGGATCGGTGCTACGTTGTGATGTTTCCATTGAGGCGCACGGCGCCGGCAAAACGGCGAAGAATTTTGCTATCGGTATCGTGGGCAGCAGCGGTCATATTCAGTTTACCACAGGTAAATCAATAAGCTCTGCTAATACTTACTTACTCTTGAAATACCAACTTCAAACTTCTTTTAAAACTCCAGTATCTTCATCTCCGTAACCACTGCAAGGTGCATAATACTACTGTATACGATCTCGAATTTGCGATACTGCAAGATAGACGTGCCACGTGCGGTTTCAAGATAAACATATGCGCGTGAGCCAGATATTTGCCACTCATAGGAATTACTAACGTAATTAATCAGGTGAATATGGTAATCATTTTTCGGCATTTGCGTTATTTAATCAAGTAATTGGAGTTACTAATGAAATATTTTCCGAAACTTCATCTGCAAGTATAAAAACAGGCTAAAGTAGTTTGTAAAAGTGCCCATCATTTGTTCTATTTAAGGCTGGTTGCGAAGCTAATGGCAAGAATATGGAAATTTCAAACTATTTAGTATCGTTACTTTCGTCACTCAAGCCGCTCATGGTGTTTGATTTGTAGTAATTAGTGATTACAGTTTTAAAGTGAACGTGGCTTGGTATGTCGGACCTGATATCACCAATTCGATTCTGAGGAGTGGTAGTTCAGCAGTCAAAGTTTACAAATGCGTAAAAAAAACCATAACTGCTGTTTGCCACTCTATAGCAATAATCCACCAAAACTGTATAAAATTATCAGCAATTTTAACTTAGAGTTCCTCGAGGTTATGAGTAAATAATGAAGTGTATTTTATCGTAAGAATAAAGTAGTTTAAAAATGAAGTAGTTTTAAAACATTGTCGGTAAGTGTCGCTTATAACCGGAAAATATTGGCAATCTTCAGGATATTTTATAAGTAACCTTTTCCGTCCATTAGTAAAATTTGCTAACTTCGGGTACTTATGTTGTATCATGCTTTGAAAGCTTTTCTTGTTTGATCCAGGGATTTATTTTCCATCTGGAATACCATCCGGACGTCCCGGAGTTTGCCCAGTGTGTGACCTTAAATACGTTTCCCGATGAGCGCTACGACAAAGCCTATGTCATTATCGCCATGTTGCTGATGTATGTCATACCGCTAATTATCATCCTCATTGTCAGTATTCTCCTCTTGTGGACTATCCGCAAGCCAGCAGCCGCTCATAGCAGTATAACCAACGAGAACTCCATTTCCGGTATATGTTCGGACACGTACAGTACCAACGAGTCAATTGTTGATCAGGCGCCTTCACCAAAGTTTATTGCCGGTCCACCGCGTGCATCCCGGAAGACTGGTCTATCACCGGTTCCGTCGCCTAATAGTGTGGATAGTAGTTCCCTGAAACCACTACGGACCCGGCTGAATACCGGTCTGCAGTTGTGCCACTCTGACACGGTGGTGCGACGCCGAGCACGTTCGCGCACTCTTAAGCTGTCCATTTTAATTGTCGTGGCATTCATTCTCTGCTATACACCCTACACGGCCATGATCACGACGGCCTTCGTCAGTGATAGTCGCATGGAGGATACGTTGCAGGGTGGTGTGGACTCGCAGATAATGGAGGCCTTATTAATGCTCTCCTTGAGTTTCAGCACCATTATGAACCCGCTCGTGTATGGCTGCTATATGCTCCATACTCGTCGCTGTCACTTAAAACCGTGGTGGAAAAAATGCTTGCAACGGCGCGCGCATGTGGTGTAATCACTTAACTGAGTTGCTCGTGCGACCTTTTGTTGTAGCTGTGTCGATTTTTTTGTGGCGACATCGTCTTACCTTTGATAAAACGTCAGAGTTGTTTGATATATTTCCAAAAACACCGACTTAATAGTGTTTTTCTGAGTGGCTAGAAATTATTATCATTACTATATTATTACATCAAAATGATACCTACTACAGTTATTTTTTCATGCATACGTGGATACAATAATCTGGTGATCTTGGCATTGAACTTCTTATGCACTGAATTAAAACTTATATGCCAACGTCCAACAGCAGTATGCCCTATGTAGAAATCGCTAATCGGATAAAAAACGTGATAGGACCTATATCTTTGTTAATTTTAAATTTAACTTTACACCATATCACCCGTGGTAATCGCTCTATTTGTACGACTGATAAATTGTGATAACTGTAAATAACATACAGAGTACCTAGACAGCTATCATCGGTATTTATCATTAATGACGCAACTTAGACTCTAAGAGGCGAGTAGATCGTAATTATAATTAAAAACTTAAAACTAATACATTCCCTCCGAAAGGTCTTGTGCGTTCACAACGTTAACAAACGTTGTATGTTTGGAATGCTTAAAAGAAACCTTAATCTTATCACTATTCCTGGATAGGGATCGGCCATTATCGTCCTTATCGCCCCGACAAGCAGAGAATTTATTATCTACCCAAAACTGTGTTATCGGGAGCATACGGATTATTTCTGCTATTCATTGCCTAGAATTTCATATCAAAACATGTTGTAACCTCAATCAATTTTTTTCGTAATAGCAGAACAAATACCTCTGCAAGTAAACCTCCAATAATATTACAGCCAAATTCGATTGTACATATTGTTGTTTAGCATATAAGTGTTATGTTGCGTTTTGACTAAAGGGCGCAAAAATGTATTTAGATTACATCATTACGTATTCAACGTGGTTTCTATCGATAGCTTATACCGTCATCACAAGTGTGTGGACATTTTTTTATGATGCATTCCTAACAAAAGAAGCCTAAGGTCAAACTGCCGCCTGGACCAAAACGTAAGCAATTTACGCATATTGCCTTTGATGTCATAAGGTTGCGAAAACCGCAAAAACTGGACAAAAAAATGAGCTTTCTATTTTTCGATGTTTCTATAAAACGGCTTAATCGCTCTTAATGTTGGCTCATAATGTACTAAAAAATCTTGAAAGTTTAACATTTTGCAGCTGAGATTATATTGGGTAACCTTCGAATGATGATCAAAGAAAAGGGCATCGGTCGTCTGAAGCTAATGGACGAGATTGGCAAAAAATATGGAGGAATATTTACGATCTATCTTGGCAGTACACCGAAAGTCGTTGTTACCGACTATGAGCTGATGAAACGTGTGTTGAATGAGGATATTTTTACTGGAAGGCCAAAGCGATTTTTTGCTGATTTATTCTTCCGGCGACTAGGTTGGAATTGCGAGATTAAAAACTTTTATTGGAATTTTCTGTATTTAATTTTTTTAAAAAACAAATGGATGATTTAACTGCGTGTATTTCGATTTCACATTTTCTTTCAAACGGTGTAGAAAGGTGATGATTTTGCTTCCGAATATTCCATGCCATGTTACACGAGATTTTACTGCATATGAGTACACAATCCTATCAACAACTCACTTAGTTGTCAGTTAATATACGAGTATAAACAAGTGCAATACATGTTAACGCTTTCCGCTTTATACAGGGCTACTATACAGCGACGGCCCACTGTGGAGAGAACACCGTCCATTCGCTATGAAAACATTACGCGATTTCGGACTAGGAAAGCCCTGGTTGGCCGGGACCATCGTGGAGGAAGCCAAAGATTTGATTCGGGATCTGGAAGCTACCAAACAACGACCAACCGATCCAGCTGGTGTCATTACGCACAGTTCAGCGAACATTCTGTGCGCCATCAGCTACGGTACTCGCTTCGACCACAATAACCGCCACTTCCAGAGACTGGCGCTGTTGACCTCGCGTATTATCAAAATGGCCGGCAGAAACCAAGTGCTTAACTTCTTTCCTTGGCTTCGACACATTCCATTCCTTCCTTTCAAAAAGAGCTACGAAGACTACACTACCAACTACGCGAAGCTCGATGCTTTTTCGGAAAGTCTGATTGAAGAGCATAAGAATAATTTTCAAGAAGGAGAAGCACGCGACTATATCGACGCATTCTTAAATGAGCAGCAGAAACAAATGAAAGCGTCCGGACAAACCACGTTTACTAGTAAGAAAAAAGTTTGACAGACTAGCTGATAAAAATTAGTAATTATCAAAACATTTTATGTGCGTAATTCAATGTCACTTCTGTCAGTAATCGATACATGAAGTAATCAATTCAAAATATGGCAATTACCAACAACAGAACTTGCGGCAAGTGGCAGTAAAATTGCCCACTATTTGATATCAGTTAAATTCTTACGCTAGTACGAGTACAGAATATGTTGTATTGTTGAATTAAATATGTATTATTTAACACTTTCAGAAAAGTGTTTCATTTAATTTAGAGCTACTGTAGCACCTAACGGTAAGCCTTTTTTTAACAAATTAAGTGGCTAACTTATACCCCTGATACTAACGCAATGCTTGCTTGAATTTTAGGAGAGCAATTGAAAATGTCTATTTTGACACTGTTTGGCGCCGGTGTGGAAACAACAGCGACGACAATCGTCTGGTCGATCGTGTTCCTAGTTGAAAATCCCGACGCGCACCGCCGTCTTGTCCAGCAAGTAGATGCAAATATTCCCGACGGAGGATTCCCAAATTACGAGAATAAACGTGCGTGCATTTGATACATACATTTCATTGAAGAATATATGGTAGTAACGCTAAATGTTTGTCGTAGATTTGATGCCGTATCTGGAAGCCTTCATTATGGAAGTTTTACGCCTCTCCGATCCCATACCGATTCCTGCTCGCCGAACCCTGGAAACAACAGAATTAGGCGGATACGAGATACCGGCGGAAACCGTTATCTATCCCAATCTCTACTCCGCCCACATGGATCCAAAGTTTTTTCCCAACCCCGAAAAATTCGACCCCGATCGATTTCTGGACGCTAACGGCAATATAAAAAAACTGGAAGGTTACATGCCGTTTTCCGTGGGTAAGATATTGTAGTATAACTGCACTATAATATCCTCTGTACTTCATAGTACTGCACAGTGCACATTATATTTCTAACTGGTAAAAGCTAATTATATATACAAATTTTTAAACTGACGCACTGGTTATAATTAAAATATTAATAGTTGGTACATGTAGACAGTTTGCCTAACTATACTTTTAGAAAGGTATCCGTATGTAATTCCCATTATAAATTTGGTATTACATTTACATAGCCCATTTGAGAGCTTCCTTAATTTATCATTTACAGGGAAGCGATACTGCTATGGAGAAGCGTTGGCCAAGATGGAGCTGTTCATCTTCGTGGCTAGTTTAGTCAAATATTTCAACTTCATTATTCCGGGAGGAGAAACCGTCACGTCCACAGATTCTATGTTGGCTCTGGTGAATGCACCCATACCCTTCCGTGTTGTTTTTCAGCCGCGCTCGGGAGGACGACGTTTCAGTATCCTCAGCACTGGTCATCGTCAGTGGGATCACTAGTCACTACTACCTCGTATAATTCACTTTGTCGTTCATTATGTATTCACGGTTTTGCTCATCATCAGCTGTATCTGTAATCTGTATGTACTGGGGCTTTTAAAAAAACATCACAAAAGTAGTAATGCTATGTTTTTTACATGCTTTCATATCGCTTCAAACTCACATATCACGGTCTCTAAGATAATGTAACTTTGTTCTTTCTCATCCAGCTACTTCTTGAGCAAAATTGTGTTAACGTTGCGATGATAATATTTGATCTTCCTTGTCGAAATTAGCCACTGTCCAGATAACAACAAGTGAGCCAGTTTCATTATAAATACATTGAATGTTTTATTAAAAATCTTTTTCTTCCACAGAATCAGAGACTTTTTTATAATTTGTTAGAGTTTGCGCGTTGCAAGCAGAAACTATACGTACTGTAATGCAATATCTCTGCAAGGCGGCTTCCAGCATGTCACAGCTACTTCCTTTCACGAAGAAGACGACTTCTACCGCAGAGCAGTGCCTACTGCCTGTAATAATAAAATATTATCTGATTTACTGTGTATTTTTGCCATTGGACCGACTTTGTGAAAACCCTTTATTGTCATTGCGCCTGCTTGCAAAATAATTCCACCGTTGAACCGACTTTGTTGGGTGCTACTTTTCTAGCTTTTATAATCACTTGCATTACTTAGTACTGTATAGCACAAACTGCCAACTGAGACTCAGGGACTCCATCTTCCTGCGTATTACTGGGCGAAGAGGTCAATTTTCATGTAGGTGATTATCGAGCGGTTTGCGCAAACGGGACCGGAACTGGCAGACCCGTTACATTCCAGTCTTTATTTGTTGTTTATATAGACTACCAGCAGTAGCGTGAACCACATTAGTCTGACTTCTGCGCTTCCTGCGGCTGCGGCGGGGTGGATTGATTAGTGGTTAATTCCAGATAATTTTATCGTTTCGTTTGTATTTTGGATTTCTTTTTTTATTTTTGACTGTGGGCTGTGGAGTTCCAGCAAAATGATAATCAAAGAATAGTAAGTCTCGTCTTTTTTTCCGGCGAGCTTACGGTTTATGCTTTGCTGCTGACTAACGTTTTTCATTCGTAGTCGTATCATTTTGCCTATGACGGTGGAAGAGGTAAGGCTGGTTTCCTGTACTCGACGTAGTCAATTACATCGTACACAACAGGAAAACGAGTACATATTTCCCGAATTTAACATTTTACTTGGAATTATCCTTATTATCGAGAAGATTAATTTTGTCATTGTCGACTGGAAGAGAAATTTTTTGATGATTAATTTCATTTTTTAATTTAGTATCAGGTTGCCCAACTTTATTCGGTAGCTGAGGCCTCCAAAAATGAAACTGGCGGTGGGGAAGGGATCGAAATTCTCAAAAACGAGCCGTACGACAATTTTCAGCTCTTGGAGGGACAGCCGACGCACGGTCAATATACTCACAAAGTTTATTACCTTCAGAGGTACGGATCACGATTCCGTAAATCTCAAATCATTCTTTTATGATTTCCAAACGCTATAGCAAAGTGCCGGCATGGGTTCGTGCGTTAGCGCCGAAGGGATCGTTGGAGTTTCACGAAAAAGCCTGGAATGCGTATCCTTACTGTCGCACGGAATTTTCCGTATGTGGCGTTTTTTATTAGTGCCAGTAATCATCATACGTTCTTAATGGCAGTAACGATTGATTTCTTACCACTTGTTTTACTAGACACTAATTTTTAGAACCCAGAGTATATGAAAGAAAACTTCTATTTGACGCTGGAGTCTCTTCACGTGGCTGATCGAGGCGATTCGGACAATGTATGAAAATCATGCTTTTACTTGGTTTGAAGTTGTCGATGCTTTACTAGTTGTTATTCTTTGGCACTGCTTATGAAGGTCCACAAATTATCCCCTGAAAAATTGAAAAAACGGGAGGTGATTATTATTGATATCGCGAACGACCCGGTGGATGCAAAGGTACGTGTTTTCGGATTTTCCGAGATCGTTTTCTCCGGTAGCTGAGGTTACGTAATCACAGTTGCCATCAGACTACTCAGTGGTGACGAAGTGACTAATGCAGTTTGTTGTTGTTTTTTGGTTGTGGACTTCTGTCCGGTTTTTAATCTGAGGTTAAAGATTTTTTGAAGAAGTGTATGAACTTTGAAGACTTGTTGTATGTTTTATGAATTTGTGAAAATCATGGGAGAATAGCCACTACAGCGCAATAACGAATTTCGCTCTGACGGGTGATCAGTGAAAAAAATTGTCGGTTTTTTTGAGCCGTTTGTTTCAAAAGATCTTTAAAAGGATTTCGAATGCATAATCAAGTACTAAATGAAATACTGTCGAAATCATGAAAAACATAACATTAGGTGAATTGGAATCCTTTCAGGAATATAAACCGGAATTCGACCCACGAAAGTTCCATTCCGAAAAGGCTGACCGTGGACCTCTTGGCGGTAACTGGAGGGTGGGGTTCTTATTTTTCGATGAGTAACAATTTCAAACGGGTGTGTTAACCTGACCATGTTGTCATCTTTCAGCAACACGTTAAGCCGGTGATGTGCTGCTATAAGCTGGTGACGATTGAATTTAAATGGTTCGGTCTGCAGAATAAAGTGGAATCCTGGGCGCACAAGGTTGGCGTAAAAATAGCAATCAATTAGCCATTTATGCGGTGGAATATTTTTTGGGATTTGATTGCTTCGTTTTAGGCTGAGCGAAAACTGTTTCTCAACTTCCATCGCCAGGTGTTTTGTTGGATGGATCAGTGGTATGGACTGACGATGGACGACATCCGGCGCATTGAGGACGAAACCAAAGCAGATCTTGACCGACAGCGCCATGAGGGTGAAGTGCGAACTCAGTATGCAGCCGGGGATGAGTGAAGGGTGGGAAAACTGGGATATATGTACGTCGGTTTTGTTTCTTGTGTATCGGATTTTGTCGGTGAGCATTTGGCAGTCAGTCCTTTGCGTTCCTGGGCGCATGATGAAAGTGTTTAATATATGATGATCGGCAGTGCATTGGCGTAAAGATAATATGTTAATGCGGTGCTGTTTTCATGTTGTCGGTTGTTTATTTTGACTCCCAAAAGTCGTTCTGAGTTTAATCGTTTTTTGGTTTGTTTTATTGCTTTACCGTGTTCTGAATGTTTTCGTAATATGACGAAGCTTTCTTGTCAAGTGGGCGCTCGAAATGTACGATGTATGTGGCGTTTTGAATGGTGATATCGCGGCATATTAAACTCACTATGCTCATACCCAGATTCCATTAAATCATTATAATTATCATGGCTTTTTCTACCAGGCGATGTTGCCTCGTAAACCAACCAAAATCTTTTAAAAAAGGTCATTCCCAAAAATTTAAAATTTTACTAAAGTAATTACTGTAAAAAGGAAAAGGAGTATGCACTACTGCCATCAAACCGAAGTTCTGCATGAAAACTAGCTGAGCAGCTAAAGCTACACAACCACTGTCCGGCGTCCACTATCCAGGGCAACGATCCCGGCGCGTTCTTTGCACTGGATAGTGGTGATGTGATTGAGACACCGAGACAGTGAGCCGAGCTGGCCACCATTGGTGGCTGGTCAGTAAGCGACCAAAATACCTATCCTGCTCATTTAACAGAACCCGCCAGGCCGGTGAGTGACCCAACTACAACACTTATTAGTTTATAAACATTTCAGCCTTTACCCTTTAGGTTGCGGGCGCAATAGGCGGAAGTCAGAGCCAACTCAGCCAAGTAGGCAAGTAAAGAAGGCAATTAGTACTGTACAGTATGTACTTTCCATACACTGGGTTACTGCAGTATTGCGTTGGACGAAGCGCAAACGCTACGGGCGCCAGTTACTAACTACGTATACCAGAGCGGCTCATACCGTACTTCGGAAACACGCAGGCAACGACCTTCACGACGATTAATAAGTACGAGTAATTTCAAATTCTCTTGTTGTGTTTGTGTTTCAACGGTACAGTATTTTACAGTTGATTAATTTTATGAACAATGTTACGTTCAGTCAGAAGAATGTGTGATTTCTAAATGGGCACGCGGGCATTACTAGAAAGTGTCAAGTGAACTTGCGCTTCACGGCTCGCACTTAAAATTATGGATACTTTAACTTGTCCTATCAAGAAACGAAGGTTTGCTACGAAACGTGTTATTCCCGGAACCTTATCTACGTGCAAGATAGCCACTGGTTCCCCGGGTTCCAGTCCAAGTTGTTCAACTGTAACCGGTGCGCGAGTCGCAGAAAGTGTAGGTACACCGAAATCGGACGAAGGGTCAGATAGTCCTGCCAGGAAACATGTTGAGGCAAACCGTTTCTCACCAGATGACGATCTTCGTTTGCTGCCACAAGAGCTGTTTGTTGAAAGGTACGCTGTTTGGGGATCCTATACATGAGCAGTGAGTCATTGACTGATAAATGGGACAAGAGAGCTAACGTTTGCGACTAATCCGGGAAGAAGCATGACTGTTGCGATTTTTCAGGGATATTTCGCAAGGTAAAGAACGCTTTCAGATTGCTGCCATTAACTGTGTGGATACGGAATCCCTGTCTCCATTCACTTATATCACGGTGCGCCATATGGCCGCACAGCTGCGAGATGTGGTAAAAGCCTCGACGGAAAAGTTTAAGACGGTGAGAGCATGCATTACCAGCGCACTTTGGTTATTCTTATACGCTCTGCGAAATCAGAAGAGGTACTGTAGTCACTGTCGACGGTGTTTTGATGCAGTTCTGCAGCCGTAGAAATGAAAACTATCGGATCTACAATTTTGAGTTACTAAGCTTTGAATATATAATAATTTTGTTTGTGGATTGTATTTTACGAAATAAACACTCAGCATATGGCTTAGGATATTCCGTTGTTACGGTTGTTTAGTTACTTACTCAACCGTGGATTTGGACTTGTTGAGAAAAATATCATTAAACTTGCGTTTTTAAAAATACCAAATCTTATTTGGTTTATGATGTATTAATGGAAGTTGCGATCATTCGAGCATTTTTTAGTGCTGCAGCAAAGATACCTGTTGGAACAAATGTCACTACGATACATGCCCTTGTCGCTTATATTCCGGAGAAGGCATCACTTACCAGGTATACTTCAAAGGAAAAAATGTCTATTGGTTTGTTCACATATTCGCATGAAAAAACTAACTTGAGCGATGAAAAATTTAGCTTAATTTAAAATCATATCCTGGAAAAGCAACTGCGTGATTTTGAAGAAGTATAGCTCGAAAAATTCATAAACAGTTTGTTTTTACGAAGGCAGAACATCGGGTGATGAGCCATCTTGACCGTGAACGTTTCTTACTGTTACAAATCAATAATACACCAAAGAACTGACGAAAGCGCGGGGCTGGTTAATGTATATCTGGCTAAAGTTTCTGAATTCTTCGGTGTCGTTTAGTATGGCTACAACGAAGAATTTATATCGTAGAATGACCTTCTTGTATATAATAAAATGGAGGCATACGACAATTCGACCATGATTATTCGTGAATGTGGATCCGCCTGCTGCTGTCAAAAGAAAAAATCGGTATTTCGGTGCGGCAATCGGGTTTTTGCTAAAAAATCAAAGTATGCATTCCACGAGAGCATGCTAGCTGCCTTATTAAATAGTCAAAGTTTCTTGTTGGCAGGGTTCAAGTCGAAATTTTTAAAACTGCCGATCGTGGATGGGGAGTGCGAACGAGAGAGGCACTGAGAGAAGGCCAATACATTGGCGAGTAAGCAGTCTGCTTGGAGTTTGTGTCTGCGTTTTGCAAACTGAATCTTGGGATGCAGGTATACCGGCATCATCGGTGAAGAAACCAAGCAAAGCGGTGATTACATCCTTAGTTTGGGACAGGCAAGTGTACTCGTATTTGTACTGGCAGGATAAGTTGATTGTGGTATCCATTCTTTTTAGCTGTACACGTTTGTGACTTTTGCTGAAGTATTGTACATTCGGTAACGGATGTTAATGTGATTATTACTGATTAAACCACATTTTATAGTTTGGCAGTTACTAGTACTACTGTACCTTTCAGACTCTGTTTTGCAGACCATTGATGGTGTTGATATGAGTGTTAATGCTGAAAGCAAGGGCAATTTTACCCGGTTGGTTCAAAAATATTTGCCTCTTACAATTAATTAAGTTTATTGTGATTTGATTTTTTTATTTTTAGCTTCATAAACCATTCGTGTTTTCCGAATCTGTTTATGGCCAAAATTGTTGGTGATTGCTGGACTCCTGGCCTGCCGCATTTGTGTCTTTTCACAGTCTGCGATGTGGCTGCCAATGAGGAATTGTTGTAAGTTTCCGCTGAATTTTCCGATAAGGGATTCATTTTACATTCTTGAATTTTGACAGACTCGATTACGGGCCGGATTACTGGGCGGCCAAGGGTGAGGAGGGCATTGCGTGTCGATGCGGAGAAAAAGACTGCAAATATGGTGGGTCTTTGGATCAAAAGGAAAATTCCGATTAATTCTTCGCAAGCGTTTATGCTGATCTCAAAAGGTTTACTTGTTTGTTGAATTCTGTCGAAATCTCATTTGTTGGTGATTTAAGTCTGAGGTGGCAGATTTACTGATTTCTGTTAAGATGTGATTTTACGTTTATACTGGTGGTTGTTAACCAGTTATTTTTGATTTTGTATTTTTTATAGAATCATTTCGCCTGGAAAGGTGAATTAATAATTGTTAAGAGTCTGAAATTGTTAAATATTGAGGCGATATTGTAAGTTTTTCATTTTTTCTTATATAAATCCAACCCAGTTTCCATATGCCGGGAATAACAATAAAACGGTGGACCGAGCAACGATGCGCACGCGAATATTACAAATAGGAACGCACGTAATCTCCAATTACCCTGGCATCGGAACGCAATTTTAAAAACGCCGCAATTGGTTCTTTCTGCTCCAACACGCTATAAACACTATCACATAGGCTAGGCAAGTTAACCGGTGGGGCCACCAACAGGTTGCACAAGGACAGCAACTGGTCAAACATTTTGGTTACCGCATCCACCTTCATCGAGCGAACACACTCCCGATATTCACTCACATCACAAATCAAAATCATCACCCCGTCGGTGGTGTAGGGCAGTTCCTGCAGTCGGTCTAGAATCTCCCGATGAAACCGAAACCCCATTTCCATAAATACACACTCCCGGTTCAGTCCATCCACGGATTCCTCCACTAAGCGGACAATTTTTAAAAAATATTGTGCCACTTTCCGCGCCGTGCTCGTGGCCGAAAACGTTTGCTTGGTTTCAGCGTACTCGGTTTTTCTCTGCTGTGATAAAAGAACGTGGATCCAGTTCATCGCCGCGTTTAAGCAGTGCTCTAAACCTGCACTGGACTTGCGCTCCAGGCGTTCTTTGGCTTCCCGTGTCAATTCTCGCAGTTTCTGGTACTGTGTGGGATACCTGGGAAGATTACGTAGCGAGTCATTCAGCTGCTGGACAGTCAGGTTGTGCATTACCGTGCACAAGTGAACTAATTTCAGGAACATTAAGTTTGGTTCACTCTTAGGATCCAACGGCGGCAGCATATTCGTTCCAATCTCCAATCCGTAGTCCATATGAATCAGTACAATATGGGTGATGATCGCCTGTCCCAGCTGCAACAGGCAGTGTCCCAACTGCTCTTCTGGAGCTAGTGCGTGAGCCCGAGTGGCGCTCTGACGCAGTTCATGGAGAATATTGAGCGCCAAGGATTCGTTTATCGTTTGTGTATCCAAATAATCTGTAGGTCGTTCCTAAAAAGCCAACGAAATTTCAGCCCAAATTCTAAATTACTACCCTATAACTTACAAAACTCTTCGTTTACATGCAATTTCCGCTACCCAAACTTGACTTGAATAAAACAGCAAGATTATAATCCTTGCCATATTTACACATACGTTAACAAGTTTACAGTCTATCCACACAGCAAATTGTACTTGTGGGCTTTTAGTTCGTCGAACATGTCACAATTTACACCGATTAATATAAGTACTTGTAGTTATTTCATCACCCAAGGCTATAGAAAAAGAAATGTCACGAAAGGTTGAGTGTTTATTTAAACTGTAATTTTCGGAACTGACGCTGGAAGATTATGCTCACCTTGAGATGATCGCAGATTATCGCCGGAATAGTTTTTGCTGACATTATAGTAATACCGACATTAAAGAAATCTTTTTTGTCAGGTAGAATCTGAATGGGCCCCGGCTTAGGCAAATGCCAATCCGTCAACAGGTGATCATAATACTGCTGCACCATTCCCGTACAGCGGTTTTTCAGAAACGCCACCTCGGTCTGCATGTAAGTGTTTAGGTAAGCATCAAACAACGTCTTCATAATCTTTTCCATCCGGAACAACCGGAAACGAGCCATGGACTGTTCAAGCGCTTTTGTCTTTTTGTGCAGCTCATACAGATCGCGCAAGTAACCTTCCTGACCTTCCGCCAGATTTTTCGTATCCAATTTCGCTTTCACCACGGTGCGCACTTTGTCTTCAATAATGTACGAGATAAACTTCTCCATGATGGTGTCCGGTGCTGGAAATATTTCATGGACAATTTTCGAAGTATCTTCGCAGATCTGCACAACATTCCGAAAGATGTCCGTAATGGAGGCATTGTTCAACGCTTCTGCCGAACGCTGTACGAAGCTGGCAATGCACTGTTGATATCCGGCTAAACAAGAAATAAACAGCTACAATTAGGGTGGTCTTCACAGGTTTTATTCTGATTAGAAAGTTTTTAGGAAACCGAGTAAGAAACCATTTGAAGACCACCAATATTGTACCAACTGCAATACTTGCAGAGTTTTTGGAACTGCATCCGTATCAACAAACGTTGGAAACCATTCAAAAATTTACTGAATAACATAAACACAACATGTGGCAACCATGTAGATATAGGTGCTCCAGAGTATTTCCATAAAATTTATCGCAACCTCATAGCGAATGTTCTTTTTCGAATAGTAATAACGGCCAACGTTTTCGAAAACCAATAAAACAAGTAAAGATTTGAAACTTACCCTGAAAATTCTGCAAAATATTTGCGGTTTGTTGCATGGTGTAGATGTCCATTGGTCGCTGGCGATGAGCGGTAGTGAACAGCATAACCAGTTCATTCTGAAACTGCGCATACCAGTCGAAAATCCGATCTCTGGCCTTATTGTAGATTTTATCTTCCGCTGTTCCCATATCTTTCGCAATCCGGTACAACCGCAAAATGGTATCTTCCGCCTGCTTAAAATCCTCCACTGTCCTACGCTCCCTGCTCAACTCCGGAAATGTAAATTCTGCCAGGTTGTCCTGATTCAGTTCCATGAAGTAAGTCAATAATTTTCTGGCGTCTTTCAATCGTTCACGCGGCTCACTGACGGACTTAATATTATCGCAGAGATAATACACTTTTCGGGCTAAATCTGTCAGTTCGCTTTCCAATTTGTCGACTTTTTCCAGGCTGCAAAATGCATTTGGATCAAACTAATATCCAGAATCAGAGAAAACACGAGTAAGAGTAAAAATAAAAAAAGATTTCCAAAAATCTCTATGGTCAACAATCAAAAATTTTTGTCGAATCCCTGACCGCATCATAAAGAAAATTTAAGGACTGACTTACCTTTCTTCCACTCGTTCAGTGCGTTTCTGTAGCTGTTCTGTCGCCTGCATTTCCTTCCGTTCCACATCAGCCTCGCACTGGTGATACTTAAGAGCAGAATGATTATTCATCTGCACCAGCGCATCGAACAGATCATCCAGGCTCTGCAGTAAGCGCACAGGATCGAACTGCGACACTTTCTTACTAGGCGAGTCTCCTAGAGGAGTGGTCGGAGTGCTGGAAGGACGCTTCATGTCGGTTAGGTTCATCAGCTGACCCGTGTTGCTCCCGGGGAAAACTCCCATGTTCCGCTGAATGTACGATTCCAGATACTCGTCCGCATTGAAATCAGGATCCTGGACTTCATGACGCAGCTCTTCCACATCCACCAGCGCAGATGACAGCATTCTGGGCTTCCAGTTGCCTTGTCAATTTTAAAAAAAATTTCAGTTAGGTCTGCTTGCTGTTTGCCCCATTTTGACTATGACCGTTTGTCGCTGGAATCTGTCGCGTTTCCCAGAGAGCTGTGCTCTGCGATGACGTTTGTGAATCTGCAGCATATCAGGTGGGAGCCTCTGCAATAGCCATTAGAGCACACAGCCGCCCTCGTATGCTATCTAACCGTTGGCAAATATTTGTTTTATTGGCGCTGTGTTTTTTGAACGATTGAATAGTTTGAATTAGTTTTAAGTTTCGCTTCCGAACTTGAATGCTCTGCTAACAATCTGCTTACAGCTTTTACTATCACAGTTCGCTTATCAAAGAAACATTTTGAAGGTAATTAATTTGTTCTGGTTGGTTTGAATTTTGCTTCATTTTGTGTTTAAACACTTGTTCGTGTTTTTGCTGTAACGAGTAAGACTGTTGAAATCAGTTCAGCCAGATCGTCGTTTGTTGACAGTTGTTGTACAGCGATGGATTTCCCATCAACATCGAAGCCTACAAATCAACAACCTTTGTCGAATCCACCTTCTTCCAGCCGACAACCTGCATCTGGAACCGTTCGAGGCTCGAACCTGCCAAAGTCTTTTACAGCTCCCAGTCCCGTGACGGCGAAGGCAACGAATGCTGCGGCATCCGTAACAGCTGTAAGCGCAGATCCGCAATCATCTTCAGCTCGACAAAGTGCTCGATTCGGAGCAACAAGCAACAGTGTTGTTGTCAACCCGAGGCAGGTTAGGCGACGGTGTATTACACGCAACAATTCACAATTGCATTTCGAAGTCCGTACGAGTATATTTTAATAAATACTTAAAAGTGCATGGTTCTATAATAGCGCGGGAATCCAGTCCTCCAAAGCATTCGCAGCGTTCCATGGGAATTCGGGAATGTGATGCCGGATTATGTTATGGGCTTTTCCTCTTGTGCGCTTTTCCTAAGGTAAGTTGCTGTTGGTTTTTGTGGGAGATGTATGTAAATAGGGCACTGACTAATGGGTCTATTTTTAAAATGTTTGTATATGTGGTTCTTTCAGTTTGAAGTACCACAATTTGAATCCGGAATATATTCATGACCGACTGAAGGCTTTGGGCAGATCCTATGAACTCCAAATTCTTCTCGTACTGGTTGATGTGGTAAAAATCTATTTCCGCAATAAAATATTCTGTTTCAGTCTACGCATACAGCTGATAGATCATAAAATCAGTTTAAGATGTATAATCACTTGAATGCAGCGAAACATTGGCATTGATTAGTTGTTTGAAATTTAATTTCGTTTTTCTCAGTTAGTTAGTATGTAACAGTAAGTCTGTAGTGAATTTTACGGTTTAGTATTTGAATTTCCTCTTGAACACTTGTAGCTACACCTCTTTACGATACCGTAATTTATTACGAGAGAAATCTTTGCAGAAAGAGCCTCATCATCCTCTCAAGGAGTTGGCTAAAATTGCCATTCTTTCGGACGTTACTTTGGTCCCGGCGTGGAGGTATGATATGGAAATGGAAACGTAGTTTTGGATTCTGACAATTTGATGCGATTCTATATATCTGACGCTGTTTTAGCCCGGAGGAAGCTGGGAAATATCTGGAGTTATACAAGATCTATGAGAATAAACCGGCTGATATGATCCGCGCCCAAGTGGAAGGAGATTACATGTCACAAGTCAGCACTTCGATAACTAAGCGAATTTTTTTTTACCTGAAAAACGGATAGAGTTAACCTATATAATTAAAAAACTGAGTTAATTAACTGACTGACGATTTTTTTTAATTTTACAGCTGACCGAAGCTTTGACTACCGTAAAATCTGTTAACAAGACCGATGCCAAGACGTTGTCCAATCATTTCAGGGTACGAGAAGCTAATTTGAAATATTGGTTAATTGTAATAAGAAATTGGCTAATAGGAAGGAAATAATGTTTGCAGTTATTTTTTTTGTCTGTAGTCATTAACTGCTATGGTGGACGCCTCAAAGGACGATCTCTCACTGTTGCCGGGTTTCGGAATGCAAAAGGTCAGCAGTATTATGGCGAAAGTCAAACTGTGTGGTACTCCATGTTGTTTTTATATCTTGTAATTTACTGTTAGGCTAAAAGGCTGCACGATGTGCTGCATCAACCTTTCCTCAAGAAACGAAATGCACATCCCGATAACGAATTATCAGAAATTTGAGTGTGAGCATGAATTTTAAGACAATTTTCCATGTGTTTATAAAATCTGTGATAGGGGATACTGTTTTTAATGATCGTTGATCTGAAACTCTGCAATAATTAACAGCATTGCATGTTTATACGTGTTTATTGCTGCATTGTCTCGAGCCGTTGCACATGTTTGCCTGTTTTAGTGTACAAAAATTTTTATAAATAAAGGAAAGTATGAAAACAGCACAAAATGTTAAATTAATTTATTGCCAGGAAAAGGGAGTAGAAAAAGACGTATCACAAAGGTGCACCGGCAGTGCCATAGTACAGTGGTAAGTTACGCGTTGCCAGGATTATTTTCCGTAGCTTCCTCCATTGTTGTTGCTGTTTCCGTAGCTTCCTCCATTGTTGTTGCTGTTTCCGTAGCTTCCCCATTGTTGTTGTTGTTTCCGTAGCTCCCTCCGTTATTGTTGTTTCCGTAGCTGCCACCGTTGCTGTATCCACCACCATATGAGCTGCCATAATCGCCATAATCACTGTAATCGCTGTTTCCCCAAAATCCACCAGCACCTAGGATAATTACAGGTGACTCACTTGTCAGCAATGCATTGGAAGCGCCAGTGATCGTACTATACAGTGACTATACTACAGTAAATTTATGATCGCTTTTTTTGGCTGCAAAAACTTATAAGGGTACCCCAAAGGCCATCGGGTCCCCAGAAATTGCCGATATCCAGCAGTCCGTCAAACAATCCCGCTCCAAAACCGCCATAGTCATAGCTGCCGTAGTCACCGCCGTTGTTATAGCCACCACCGGAGTTGTAGCCCCCATTATTTCCGTAGCTGTTTCCGTTGTTATTTCCATAGCCGTTACTGCTGCCACCGCTGTAGCTTCGTGCAGAAGCGCCAGTATCGACTGCAGCGCTGTGAACTGTGGCTATATTAAGTAGAAAACACAAAAAAACCGATGTTATACTTGTGCTGCCAGCTACTTGCAAAGTACAAGTATAATAGGATAAAGGTCATGTTAATACTATAGCTAAAACTGGACCGGGGACCAATAATCTGCTTACACGTAGCATTAAATTTAACTTCAAAAAAATTTTTAAATAAAGTTCAAGAAATACTGCAGGTGTGAAAGATTATTTACTGAGAATCTGACTTGAAAAAACAAAGATATTGCAACTGTGACTATCCACTAGCGATACCTGTTACTCCTAAAAGGATGCAGGCAATCAAAGGCAGCATTTTGAAGGCGGTGAGGATGCTTAGCTAGGTATAGCAGGAGGAAGAAATGAAAGGATAAACCGAACTGAATGATGGTATTCGCTCTGAATGCCACCTTTTTTATATACCATACAAAACATCATGCTGACATTTACATTTACGTTAAATAATGCACGAACGCGATTAAATAACGGTTATACCGATCGCTAATCGCTTGTCCCGAGTGCTAGCGATTAATTAGCCGAGAACCATAAAATTCCACTACCACATTAACGATACCACTATGTAGCAGTGCCTTTTACAGCTGTGTCACAATTTTTTAGGTAATCATTTTTTCATAATAATAATGATAATAATGATACGTATTACGAATGCACTCATAATAAGCCTGCGGATATAATGCATATATTTATAACTGTATTTACGATTTACTGATGTGCCGATGATTGTACTGATCAAGTGAGTACAGCAAAATTTTCTGCATGTTTCCGTATGCAGAAAACAAATTCAACAAATTGAGGTGCAAGATTTATTACTCCTGTTAAGCGACGAACGTTTCCAATATTAATTAACGGGTTCAAAATTCATCCACGAACATGAATTGCTTTTGCTTTAGCCTTTATGTAACAGTATTTCTGCTTTTCTACTCTACTCGTAGTGTATGACACATCGGGGAACGGAACTGACCTGTGCAAGTTGTGCCCATAAAGATTTGTTTCCGTTTGGGCAACGGAATAGGATGCTTTTTTATGTAATTATTGCATGATGTTCTTTCCAGTCCGATTGAACGTTGACACTGAATTTTATGATGATCTTGAAATAAATTAATAAAAACAACAGTAATTAGTTGCGCAGTCACTGAAATGACTGACGCATTCGTTACCTAGATAAAGGTGCGCATAGCTCGTGAAACGTTTCTAAATGTCGTGGAGTTTTTACCACAGCAGCTGTCAATTCTCTGAATTTCAAGCGGGAATTCAATACTTAAAGTATACCATATCATAATGTCTATTTATTCCTGGATTTCATCGTTTCCAGTAATTTGATTAAACTATCGCGCTGACTGCAGTTTTCTCCAGCCAGCATGACTGAATTATACATACACAAGAATCATACAGGTAATTTTGGTGAATTTTGCCCGACGATTATATGACTAGCACAAACAGTTTTTTCTCTTACAGGGGATTTTACAAACTGTTTTCAGCTGGACGTTATCAAAAAGATAATTAATTAAGAAGTAAGTTCCTGAACATAAAGGCTTTAAGCGCGGGTTTTGATTCGAAAAGGTGCCTATCGTCCTCCACTAAAATTTTAATAAAGCAATCGTAAAGTACGCAATGGATAGTTTTTACCTGGAATAAAATTCGAATGCCAGTACTCAAGCATTTATCTTGCCTCGAAGAACATATATAACATCTTGATGCAAATCTCGAATATCATGATAAGTTGCACCTATACAATTTCAAATAAATTTTTTACAACTATATTTGTAATTATTGTTCACAGTTATTAATAGCAGTAATAACACTGCAATAACAGTAACAGCATTCTATATTGCTCTCATCTGATTCTTTTGCTTATCAGTGTAAGATCATAACCTTGGCCTACAATGGATGATGGATCCATGATATGGTCCTCATTTTACGGAAAAAAGCTGCAGCACATTTTTTTTACTGATCTGTTGAGTCGCGAATGCAAGATAAAAAATATCTCTATTTAATTATTCCGTGACTAACGAATTTAGTAGAGAAGCCATGAGCAAAGCTGTTCAGGATCTGCACAAAACAGTGTTAGCGCAAGGTCATAAATATATTACACTGACTGTTGCATAAGGCACATCTAACACAGGGTCACAACAGAATATTTTACATTTGCATTGTGCGGTAAGAATAAATCATTAAAAACCCTAAACTGAATGTTCTACAGGGCTCCGGAATCCTAAACTGAATGTTCTACAGGGCTGCGGAATCTGAAATTAATTGTGTACGCCACACGGCTATGAAAATATGATTAGCAGAATTGGCAGCACATGTCCAGATCTAAAGCGGGGCCTTTTAATGTGCAACGCTTTGTATCTACTGTTCCAGAACAGCTACTGCTTTCGGAAGGTTGTTTTCTCTCAGATTGCTTGTGTTGCTCTTAAGCTACTGTTATCATGGTGAAACATTAAGCGTAGACCTTTTTCTGAAAACTGAACAGTAAATTCACAGTATAGTGACGCCTTTATTAAAACCGGTACCACAAAATTTGAAAGTTTTTTTATTAATACAAACGTGAACAGCTTCACAAAAACTACAGTTATCAACCCAGATGGATGTTTTATCAAAATTTTTGGCTGAGAAAGACAAAAAAATTATTTTTGCATTGTCCGCATGCTCAAACTTTACATAGAAATATTGTAATTTAAGGCACTTGCGCAATACATTCACATCTATTGATAGGTATTTATGATTGTATAATCATTTATGTTGCACGACTGCCCAGCTTCTGTAGTCATTTGAGACCCTTTGTTTATGATACCCGTAACGTACTGAGTGACTGCCTATTAGTGTACTCGTACAGACGATAAAAAACAAAAAGCCATTATTGCTTGAATTAATTTGCTTCCAGCTCCAGCAGACGAATCGTCGTTATTAATTTAGCTGCCCATGCTTTTAATGTACATTTTGTTCTCCATTTCCAATAAATTATCGAGAAGCAGTAACGGTGAAATTACCGACACTGTAATAAATCGTACAATAATTATTAGACCGCGAAAATTACAAATACTGCGAGGATACAAAGAACACAAAAGTAAAAAGAGCGTTTGCAAATTGAACATCAGTGGTTTATCGTCGACCATAGCCTGAGCCGGACGAGCTGGAACTGGAGCCGCTTCCATAAGATCCAGACGAGCCACCGTAGTTGCTGCTAGAGTCATCATAATCTGCAAAAACAAAAAAAATCTTATTCAGGGATTACAATAGAAGTATAATTGTTATTGCAAACATAAAATCAAGTATGCCTTGGATAGCTTATATACTGTAATATGCCGCACTAATTAAATATAAATTCCATATTAAGTAATAGCTAACACATTCTAGCTCCGTACATCAGCCAATATTTAATTTACCTGAATAATCGCTGCTGACTCCCCAGAATCTGCAAAGTAACAGTAAGCGTATGAGTAGGTGTGACTTATTATATAAATCACGACAAGGAAATTCTTATTATGAGCATTATTTTACCCGTCAGCTCCCCAAAAGTCAGGTCCCCAGAAGTTGCCGATATCTAACAGTCCATCGAATAAACCAGCACCGAAAGTACCACTGTTACCAATACCGGAGCCAATACCGCCATAGTCGCTGCTGCTGCCGCTGTTGCTGCCGTAGCCCGAGTTAGAGTTGCTGTTGCTGCTGCTGGATCCATAGCCCGATCCACTAGAGCCGCTCAACTGTCGGGAGCCGGCACCAATCCCCTGAAATCCCAATCCGCCCACACCGCCGGCGCCGAATCCGCTGCTGAAACCACCACCGAAACCACCACCGCCAAAACCGCCTCCACTGAAGCCACCACCACCGAATCCGATGGCACTGACGGCGGCTACGAAAATTCAAAACGCATCTGGCTGGTAACCATTGATATTGTGCTTTTTAATTATCTTGGTGACGCACCGAACTTTATGTATTCAACGTGCCTTGCACAGTGTTACAAACGCACAAGATAGTTTTGTAAACAGAATTCAAACCCAGGAAAATGAGGATAATGGTAAATGCTGTAATTAGATGCATATGGATCGAATAACCTTTACAGTTATTTCTTTCTTCAATGAATTTCTTCTCTATCGAATGCTATAAGCCATATCAGCATATACGTAAGTAAGTAGCATTACTTAAAGGAAAAGGCGTATTCATATGAAACAGTAGCAAAATAATTTTCTAAATAGCTTCGAAAACTAATAACCTAAACTAGCTTACCGAGGGAGCAGGAAAGGATAATGAAAGCAGTCCTCATTTTTGACAAAAGAAAAGCGGGAAAGTAGGTAGGTAAAGGATGGGTGCCGGAAGCGCAATATAAGAGCAGCTAACAAGATTTAAAATACAGTAAAATGTAGAAAGCGACTTTGGACACACTTTTTACACATGAATGCTTAGGCATATATAGTCAGGTTTTCCTGATTCGACCGAAGAATTATTGGATAACCACAGAATGTTGGGGTGTCGAACTTGACAGGTGCTTCCAGTGTGCTCTCACATGCAGCGCGACACTGTTCGAACAGTTACACATTTTTTTCTTGTTCGTTTTCCATAAGAGTATTGTTTTAATTCTGGTATAGCGTACCAGTGGTGTTGCAGCAATACGTCGGAAGTTAACTTCTTAAAAATCTGCTCGATAATCCATACAATGCAAACAAAGCGCGTTGCCTCCTCAAAACTTCGAAGTTTTACAAATTGTGCTTTACTTGTATAAGTTAACATGGCGCGGCGCATTCTGTCCGTTCACATCGGCTACCAAGGCTGCAATGTCGAACCTCAAGTTCGCGAACGTGTTATTAATTACATCGACTTTATTTTTGACGAATTCGAATGCTTCCGTAAAGAAAAAACTTACTGGTTGTTCGTTGCTTTATGTACTTCGAAATACAGGTTAGGTAAAGTACGTGGTTTCCTATAAAACTCTGGACACGTTTGCTAACGATTACAACCAATATTTAGTCCCATTCTTTTCTTTCGTCAAGTTATCAGTTTTAATACTGCCACATCCAGTTCCTTTACAAAGAGTTAAGACAAATTACGAACAAGGAACAACTGCCTTAATTTTCGCCATAGCTTTTACAACCCAGGCTATACTTTAGCAGTTTTATTCTTAAAAAATAAAGAGCAACAGGAGCTAATATGCTGTATTATTAGAAATTTTGAAGTCTTCAATTTGTTGTAATGTTTAAGAAAGAGTGATCAGTATTAACCGAATATCGTACACTGCGTTTATATCTAGAACAGATTCTATTACAGATGACTATTTCTACTATTATTTATTCGTTTAAAGTTTTGGCTATCGACATTGTATTGCTATGTGCTTTTGAAGCATTTCCCCATCCATACTTAGTAATTGAATGTGCTTCCACAAAACAAAACAAGCAAAATTGGTACATTCAATAGCGCTTCGTCAGCGGTAAGAGTGAATCTGGATTTACTTCGTTTATAAACATTTAATTTGACAATTTGACATTGTTTATTTTGAGCAACACTGCTCAGTACCGGTACGCTACAAATGCAATTTTCAGTAATCATACCTTCAATACTTTTTCATAAATAATCAAGACACTATGGATTTAGAATCCATCACCATATGCTTAACAAACTACAACTTTGATTTGCTTTAATCAGCTGTTTTTAACTTTATTTGTACTCGTACTTCATATTCGTAGTGTAACAGCTCTTTCACGCAGACTAATTGGATCAAGCAAAAGCGCGTTTTCAATATTTTTATCATGGTTTTCCCATGAGCAAGGCAAACAAATCTTGTCGATTTTCGAGGTTTCATTATAATTCACAATTCGTTATGGTATGCGACTGTGGAACCTTACTGCATGGTACACTCACTACACTGTTTAAACGTGCAGTGAGGTAATGCTAATTAATTTCCCTACTCGTACAGATAGTCTTGTTGCAACTGCTGTCAACGCAAAGGTCATGCTAGTTGTTGGTTGAATTAGTTCAGTACTCGTACATATATTACCGGCCTTCAACCTACGCCTTTCTTTAGCAGTGAAAAAGCCGGAGATAGCAGCTCCATCATATAATTTACCGTAGAGTTTACAGAACTCAAATTCTTTTAATAATTAAAAGCATCGTCTGTGCCTGATGTTTTTCCAAAAAAAATTGGCTGCTAAAATATTGCAGTGCGGCAGATACATAATCACATAAAAATAACAACTTCGATGCCCATCTTGATTGTGGTTAATTGGCTGATGCAATCACTTAGAAATTTTCTGGTTTGTGGGTGAAGTGGGCGCTGGCTTTTGATTACATCAATCGAGTTGATGATCGCCCTTTTGGAAAAATGCTGAGTCGCTGACCATGAATACACAGCGCGTGATTTTCTCATGAAATTTATCGTGATGTACCAGTACTGTCCATTGTAGGGCGGTACCATAACAACTGACAAATAGTTTGGCCATAGTGATGGACATTGGTAACAAAGCATAAGTAATTTCGCATATCTATACGATAAAGGAAGCAAAACCAAAAAACAAAACAAGAAACAAAAATGTGAAGGATTACTGCAGCGTAAGTTCCCTTTGTGGGACCGCAAAGAGAACAAAATGTATCTGTACAGCCAGGTAAAGTTTACTAATTATTGTTTCGTACTCGTAGGGTTTAAGAGTGAATGCGTGGTTATTTGTGGGCATCACGAGTTGTAAAGTTCTGTGTTGTTTTGCGGAATTTGTTGCATCCGGCGTGCTGCTACTGTATGTACATCTACGGTCTACCAACGTACGAATGTTTCTGCCGTACTTGGATGATGTAACTAGTGTGATAATAATAATACTATTCCAAACAATAATTCAAGTAAAAGAAACTCATTTATTTATTTTACTTATTAAGCAAAATAAATCGAAATGCGCAAGTTGTGGCATGAATTTTAAAACTAGCCAGATAAAGGTTTTGAATAAGAAAGTCGTTATTATATGAATTTCTATAAGTACTGCGCCCTATGTTACCTATAAAATTGTGAAATCGCATCAATCTAGAAAATTGTGAAAATCAGCAATAATCAACACGCCTACTGTACAGAGTACTACGAGTCCAATAGTTTAATAACTATACTTATAATTATTATAATTATAATTATGCTTATAATTATTATAAGCATTTCATTGCAAGTTGTAGCTGGACGCATTTATGTACTGGACATATTCATGTACGTGCAAACAGTCCGATGTACAATACAAATATATTACGCACGTGTAGCGAGCGTATCAAGCGATTTCCTTTTTCAGACGTACGGTAACCCATACGTTTTTTGTTTATACAAACACCTGATTATGGTTTCACTCCGATCAATGTGATGATGTGAGCGACCTTGTGTTCCGTTTTCTTTCGTGGTTGTTGACCTACACGTTAGGATGCAGCTCGACATTATCCAGGGCATTAAACCAAAATCCCCGGGTTGTAGCAACGTGCCTCGTGCGATACCGGCATAAAATTTAGTAGGGTATCGTTCTACCTGCTGTGCGCAGTTTTCGTATGTAAAATTAGGTAGAACGTAATATAGATAGACTAGAGTAGGGTAGGGTATACCGTATTTTCTTATGCGAGCTAGTAATTGCTATTCCGTTAAAATCAATCGCCTATAACAGTGTTGGCAATAGTATACTGTACGCAATTCTTTTAATTCTATATAGCGTTTGGCGACTAAATTTGTTGTTTGCATTTTATTAGAAGCTAACCTATTTTTGATTTTACAAAAGTCCTTCCGCATTGCATTGACAAAAATTACTAGTAAATTCACTTCCGCAAATCACAAAAGCTGCAACTGTTGTATGATAATTAGCTTTAATCACGGCCGTCTTAAGGAAAATTATTGATTTTCTTGCTCTGGTAATGCGCATCTTGGTTACCGGCATTATCAGCGCAACCGAAGCAATGAATCCCCGCGAATATATCATGGAAGTTATCCAAATTTACGAATACGTAAATGCAACAAGACCACAGTCGTTTGATCCCGACCTCCAATCGGGATGGAACTGCTACAATAACTGGTAAGTGGTAACCCAAAACAATGCATGCTTGCTTCAAGATACTTGCTATATATTTACTGCGTAAACACTATATTAAATTTTACTTTTCCATACATTATCTGTAATAGTACAGTTGCAAACATGCGCCGCAAGATTTCGTTATAAATGAACGTGCCCATCATCAAGAAAGTTTCGTATGTTCAATTAAATTATTGTTATGCATGTATGTACAATCCTAAATCGCTCTGGATTAAACGTCAATCGTGCAAAGTTGCAAATACACCGCGCAAAACGTCACAAGCAACCGGCAGGAGAAAGGCTATAATCAGAGCTGTTTTTAAGTATTTAGCGGCAGTTACTCGTATATTTGTATAAGGCAAAGTACAGTACAGTATTTAAACTGTTGGCGATGACTATACGTATATTATTATTTAATAAAAATAATGATTTCAGTCCTTATGGTCAGATATAAAACCTCGTTAGATATTGTAACTATTTGCGTTACGATATTGTTAAGTTTTTAAAACGGCGCCAACGTTTGGGTGGAGTGGAAAGCAGTTCGCCAAGAACAAGCCGATAATTTTGGCTGCCTTGGTGGCACTTTCGCGCAGTACTGGAGTAGAGCGGTCAAAGGCTTGTAGTGTTTTCAAGGTCTGTTCGGCGATTGCACCTGGTAACATCACGTCTACGAGATTGTTGTATTGTTGTGTATGCGACTTCCGCTTGGAAGATTCAAATGTCAAAGAACCGGCCAAGAACTATTTAACTCGGTACCTGGTTGTACGGAAGAGAAAAACGTTCGCTGGACTAGATGCATTCAGTGCCATTCACATCAGCCTGACAGCCGATAGGGTCAAAAACTGCGAACGTTTACTTTCTGTTAGGCCTAGACTCCAACTCTGACTCTGACTCTGATTCTGACCACTCAAACTCTGACTCTGACTATTCAAAGTCTGACTCTGACCGCTCAAAGTCTGACTCTGACTCTGAAGGTTTCTTAGGTTTCTTAATAGATTTCTTAGGTTTCTTAGGTTTGTTAGGTTTCTTAGGTTTCTTAGGTTTCTTAGGTTTCTTAGGTTTTTTAGGTTTCTTAGGTTTCTTAGGTTTTTTAGTTTTTCATAGGTTTCTTAGGTTTCTTAGGTTTCTTAGGTTTCTTAGTTTTTCATAGGTTTCTTAGGTTTCTTAAGTTATTCTTAGGTTAATCAGTCAGAGTCAGAGTTCGGACAGTCAGAGTCAGACTTTGAGTAGTCAGAGTCAGAGTTTGAGCGGTCAGAGTCTGAGTCAGAATCAGAGCTTGAGCGCGGGCCTTTCTGTTACTACGGACTACGAGAGAGTAATGATCCAGGCGGCACGTACAACAAAGCCCATTCATTTCTGTTTGTACTATGAATCACCCTACGCTTGGCCAATCAGTAGCTTGGTAGGATGGGATAAAACTTTTTGTACGTACGTATGCGCCGTTCAGGTTTAAACCAGTCAGGTAGCCCATTGCGAGTTTGAACGTGTTTTACCGAAACGCGTCAAAACACGAATGTGGGGGCGGAGTTGCACTTGGACTCGTCTAGCTATATAAGAAGAAGTGTGCTTGGACAACCGTGTATTTCCTAGTTCACTTCCGAACATTGCGATTGTGTTTATTTTTTATTGTTACTGAAACTATCTAAAATGTTGCCGCTGATGGAAGAACCCGTGTTTCCCAAGCTCTATGTCAATCATTCCCTGCTTTATAGGGAAGCGGATTTAATCAATGCCTTGCTACGAAGTTTGAAGATAGCTCAAAACGAGTATCGTATTCGGGTGGGATTTAACAACGCAATGAAGATTTTGGAACTGTAAGTACAGCCACAAGATTTTAAATGCCAGCTTTTAAAATTTTCTAGTTAATTTTTCATAATTTTTAAGTAAAATTTTTCCGACTTGTTTGACCATGTGATTCTTTAACAAAAAATTTTGAAATCAACAGCACGGAAGTTACTATTTTGGTATAGAGTACAGTTTTAATTTAATAGCAATAATGGCGCCGGTGATGAAACGTAAATAAACAACAGCCTTTGCTGTTTCAGTGACCCCTCATCGGTTGTTATGTGCATACTGCCAGTTGGCACGGATAAGAAAGATCCGTTATCGCACCTGCAGGTAATGTTAATAGAGGCATATTGCACCGAAAACGGAATACGTCTGCTTAAAGTGGTATCCTCGGATGAACTTTCCCACATTGTTAAACCGCTACCAGAGACCGATGACGAAGCGGACGATATGGAAGATGATTTTATGGATGATGACTGCAGCAGCTTAATTGTTATACAGGTAAAGATCTGTACTAACTGTTCCAGTTAGCGCATCTGCAACGGACTGCATAAGCAACAGGGCAATGTTGTTCTTAATACAGGAAAACAGTTAGTTAAATTACATCTTTCGTGTTTACAGAATTCCCATCATATGCACAATGCGGATTATGAGTTGCAGAAGATATATGATTGCGCCAGCTTGCACTGCAGTGCTCGGCCTATCATCCACTTGCCCAGTTAAAAAAGCAGCCAGTGCACTCACTACAGTATTACGGAATACACGCTGTTAGTAGCGGATGACGATACTCGGTGGACATGGGCGACCCATATCTGACTGTTGGCAGATGCAGTGCCGAACGGCTGTTACCAGCCCACGGATCGGACGAGAGGGAGAACTGGAGCATTGGTTTGTTGAATTGGGTTAAGCCTGGAAGAGGTTGCATACGATTTCCAAGGTCAATGGATACGATGGAAAAGTGGAACGCAACAATTGTCCCGGTTCATGCTTGCCTTCGAACAGCGGAATGCATCGAGCGGAAACGGTTTTTTGATATACACCTTGATGGGTGCCTTTCTTTCTCTATATCATTTTCTTGTAATCTGTAAATTTTGCTTTCATCGCCTTCGTTTCGCCTTTTTGGTATGTTTAATTGGACCATTCTCATGAATGATTGAATCAGAAAGTGAAAATGCAGCTTATTAGACCAATAAATCCATAAATTTGTTTTCGGCGCCAGTATTGCGATCAGTTCCATCATTGTAGCAATTTACTACGTTACCTTTAAATCGGTATTGTTTACGTGATTACGTGGTGCAATTACCTCGAGACGCATCTGGAATAATCCAGCGTAAACTGGAAAATAAGAACCTTACGGAAGGTGCCGCAAAGTAGTGCACATTCCACATAGGTTAAAGCCATCTCGACAGTCGGCATCACCATGATGCGGCATTTCCACTTGGTGGAATCGATAACATTAGATCGGATACGAGTACAAGATCATGAGATACAGGAACACGTCATCCCATGACACGTCACCAACCGCATACCGACACACGCATGGTTTACTCACTCCCTTGTGGATGGCGCGATCGCATCATGCGGTGCAGGATGTCTTCCCCAGAACCGATGAAAATCATTAAAATATAATAGAGGACTAGAAGTAATTGATTACCTTACTCGCATACTTACGTCTGCGTTCAAGGTGCGTGCGGTGGTGCGCATATGTACTTCAGAAATATACATTATACTTGCGTATGTTTGGTGGTTGCATTTGGCCACTCCGATAATGAATAATATTAGAAATGACGTCTTATAAGCAGATACACAATAGCATTAATTAATTTAATTTACCCGGTGACCACGTTATAAAAAATTACTCTTGAATTTCGCGTTGTTTATCTGAAAGCTGCGCAATGCATTACTGTGCTGATTTTTCCCGGTAAAATAATATCCAGAATAGAGTTTCTTCAGATATTATTGCATCAGCTTTTTTACGCGTACAGATGCTAATTTTGTAATGCTATTGCTGTAAATTTATTGAGCTATCCTTAAACAGTATAAACACCTGATCGCGTTCTGGAAATTGTGTTGCTGCAGATACCACGTAGAAAGCAAGATGTGCATTCTGATAAAGCACCGTCAGAAGACTCGACATGTGCCGAATACAAAATAGCGACTAAAACTTGCAAAATCATTACTTCTCGTTATAGTAAGCATTCTTATCGGCACCATGAAAGTGCATTATATTAATTTTAAATCACGATTTGCCTGTGGAATAAAAAAGTGTTGCATTTGAAGTTTTTTATTGGTAAATGTATGACAAAAATGCCAATTAAACATAAACATACGTAACATTAAATTTTGCAATTGCATCGTTCAACTAATTACTTTGCAGTATCAGATTTTATTAAACTATAGTAATACAGAAAATTTTGATTATTACTAATATTATTATTGCTATGATTATTTGATTTGACTGACTAATTTGATTGACCTGAAGATCTGCAGATGTGCAGATACAGTTAACGTACGTACGTACTATTGTAAATTTACGCATGCTGATCAGGCATGTGTAATGTACGTATTGGCTACCATAAATATGTACATGTGCTCATTATCTTATAAAAAAGCGCCTAATAATGAATTATAAGATGCATAAAAACACGTTATCATTCGGCAAGACACACCATTAATGTTGTTTATGAGCCTGCAGTTATGAAAATAGGAAAACACAAAGAAGCATAAAGCGAAAGTTTGCGGATTATGCTAGCTAATTTTCAATCCCAAGTCGCAAGCATCCCCGGCCCTAGTACAAAATTATGTAATGTTTATGTTATGTTCGATGTAATGCTTATGTTTTCGGATAAACTGATGTAGTTCGAATACTTTGAAATGCCTAAATTCGCATTGTTTGCAGGCTTGCATCCGGACTTCTGCTGCTTTTTTTTGTGACTGTGCCAAGAAGTTCAAACAAATTTTACGAATTATTGTGTGTATTGTTCAATAACATAACATAATGCAGTGTACTCATTGTACTGATGTACAAGTATACCATTTTTAACAATAACACGACCCACCCATTTGCTGGAAAAGTACTTTGTACCGGAATTTGGATATTGCTTAATCCTCATAAGTCATAAGCACTGCATAAGGAAATACCTAATTCCTTATGGTTTCATGCACCAAAAATTATAGCCTCTTCGGAGCTATCGGAAGACTGTAATTATGTTCAAGGTTCGATTGCGGTAAATTGCACTTAATATGGGTCTGATTACGTTCGCATAATTGTTGTCGCGGATTCTTGGGTTTTTTACCGGCTAACAATTCTCATAAATCGAGGTTGTTATGTAAGAACATTGCGGTAGCCGGCTAGAGATAATCTACTACCGCTGCTGCCGTCGCACATGACAAGCGTGATATTCAAAATGCGCAGACACGCTGTAACGATGCGGTGACGGCTCGAACCCAACGAAACGTTGGCCAATCGGAAAACCCATTTGTCGCACCCGAAAAACCCGTACTCGTACCTTCCGTTGCGTCGAAAAAGCGGCACAGTAGTGCATAGTGACACTGCATACGTTTCGCTACGCCATCACTACCGGGCACTTCATCGATCCGGCAGTTTTTGTCATTTCCAGAACGAGGCTTGAGTTATAGTGCAAGATCAGTATTACGGTATATGGCATGGCTTGAGCTGTGCATGCTAGCGTATACGGAATTTGCCGTATTAAATCGTATGTAGGATCCTACATTGATCGCGTTTGTTGTTTGTATACCGTTTTGGCGATAAACAGTGGTGTTTCCCTCTGTTATCTAAATGTAAAATACGTTTTCACTAGACGAATTTGCTTATGGGTTAAGTTTAAACTGATCTCTTCGAGTGGTTTTAATTATTAGTGTTATTATTATGATCGGCACGTGATGAAGTAAAAATTACACTTCTGTGACACGAATACTGATCGCCTGGATTTTATTGGTTTTGATTAGAGTTACATATGTCAGCGCCCGTTGTAATTCTGTTTTTGTTTTTTTAAATGCAAGCCCATTGCTTTTATTTGAATATGGGGATTGTAACAAAATCCTTCGATGTGGAGAAGAGCAACGCAACCTTGAGCAATAATGCCCCAGAACAAAAGCGAGATGTTCCTGCCAAACGTTATTCCTTACGAGTCAGCCTGAAAAAAGATTGGTAAGAGCTAGTAATCGTGTCTCATTGCAATAATGCAACTGCAAGTTGCCCAATACGTAATTGCTATTTGTATTTGCATATCATATGCAGCCATAATGCAGGTGTTTGCAATATTGCATTGTAGCTGTGTTTTGCAGTTGCGTAATACTGCTATTATTAATGTACGATAGGTAGGCACTCCCAGGCCAGTCGTTTATACTAGCTTGTGATCCGGTATTTTCCACAATTGCGGCAAATCTGCATACCGAGTCACAAGATATATATTGCATCTGATACTAGATGTTTTGAAGTTTTACGCTACTTTAAATTCTTCTACAATGTTTTAAACTGATCCGTGAAGAAGAAACTTTTATTAATTTCTGGTAAACCAGCTTCGTTTTGCATTACTTATTGTTAGTGCTACCTCGGCTGCGTTCGATTTCGCTTCAATCCCAATTTAAATTTTTTTTCCATTCTGATCCATCTGATTTATTTGCAGGCGCACCTGCATATCATAGATACTTATATAAAAATTTTGTTAGTTTGTTCTGTTTATTCGAGGTGCCCGCAAATGCAGATGTCGAAGTCGAAACGATTGAGTAACAGTAAGTAGTTATTGCCGTATTAGCGGTAGATTATTTCCGAAAACAGACACATATTAGTTTTGACTTAACAAGGTCTGAAAACAAACTAGTTCTTAGGAGTTTTTTATGGCTGCAGGCGCTAAACGATCACGAGTCTAGTTATATAGGGTGGTGCACACTGCACACGACATGCTGCGGAACCGATTGGAGAGGAAATGTTTTCTCTTTTGCATATTTGCGGCGAATCGTTTTGTGCGAACACATGATCGTTAAAGGAAGTGCTTCTAGGAACTTATCATAAGTCAGATGCTAACGATTAAAAAATACAGCAAACGGGAATTGCTTGTATTAATTAAATACTGCTAGTGCTATCTAATATCTGCGTACTGCTACTTGATTTGAGGCGGAAACGGCTGCTGCATAAGTGCATGTAGTATTAATTACCAAACTAAAAACAGTGAGCAGGAAAAAACCGTAATATTTTACTAAATAGGACAAGGCCAATGTTCCATATGTTGCAATGGTGCAATTTATGCTTGCAGGGAGAGCAATCTGGAGCGCGCCCTTTTGAGAAGTTTGTGCGTGGCCCGACAACAGTTCCGTATCCGTATGGGATTGGCGCAATGTTTACGGATTCTCGAATTGTAAGACTTGTATAACTGTGGAATTCATATGTAGCGTGCGTCTCTATTGTAATTTGTCATTCTTTGTATGTTGTAAGATTAATTACCTTGAATGTTTGCTGTTGTAGTGACGCTCGAACGGTTTCCATTTGTATACTTCCAATAAACGAGCACAACACAGACTCCTTATCACATGTCCAGATTCTCCTTATCGAAGCCTATTGCAGCGAAAACAAGATACCGCTGTTGAAGGTACAACGATATATCGGGCATATGCAACAGAATTTGGCAAATATTGCCCATACAGTCAATTATTGTCAGTATTATATTTATTACAGTACCTGGTGTTGCATTTTTCTGCAACGGCATCGCTGACTAATCGGCACAGTCATGATATTGATCGCGTCCGTTTTTGTATAGGTCCACTCCCCTGAAAATTTGTGGAACATAGTAAAATACAATAACGAAACCGACATTGAAGATGAAGAGGGAGGTTTCGAAGACGAAGACGAAGAGAGTGATGATGGAATCGTGCTGATATTGGTAAGTGCGGCCGATCTTGACAACTTTATACATCCATAACCCGCTGATAGTAGCACCGATAACTATACTTGTCAGAAGTATTTTTGTTTTGTGACGCTGGTAGCTACGTGTTGTGGAGCAATTCCCAGTGTACCAAGTTGGTGTATTCCTTTTTCCAGGCTTCGCAGTATGAAAGTCCAGAGGATGACCTTTTACATTCAGCCTACGAAATCGCTGCAGCAGAAACGAACAGTCATCCCATTGTCCGTTTAGCTAGCGGATGAAAACGCGTTCCCCTGACGCAACCGTTTCATCAATTCGTATTCTCTCATATTAAGCGTATGGCATTGGCGCGGTAATGCCTATTTACCAAAAAGCCGATCTGAAGCAGCAGTTAACAATGCCGACGACGCTGTACACAATGCAGATGTGATCAAGTGATACATGTTAATAATGTACCCGAGAAATAGTGATTCGGATATGTTGCGGGCTTTCGAGCAGAATGAAGGATGCATGGAAAAGATGTCTGTTAAAAAATGTATTGTTATTAAATAACTATTGCTTCTGGCGTGTCCTTTCTGACGGAAGTTGCAGTACAAATATGTAAGGTTTCGTCGAAATTGTTGCGGTTTATGCAAGAATACGTGCCTTTAGTTTGGATCTACAGTTGTTTGATTCTGTTATTCGTGTAAGTGGTGACCACTGATGCGCAGAAGCCGCTTCGCGAGCGAGAAAATAAAGCAAATCCCATAATGATATTATTATTATGATGCACGTTAATTATTACGATTCACATTGTAGCTGCATGAACTATAGGTTTCATAAAGCAACTTTTAACTCTACGCAAAAGGATTGTGTACTTATCGAACGTGAATTCTCTATCACCCTCCGAAAGCGCAGTAACACTAACTTTGTAAAATTAAGCATGATTCTATTAAAGCTTGTATTCTTTTAGAATTCTTACGCTCGACTTGGACCACCTTCAGTATATTAGCTTCACGAATCGTAAACCTGCTGTTCTCGCGATCTTCCTTAAAATTTCTTGAGTACTGGTCGAGTACAAGTGAAGAAATGAAATAACAAGATTAAATGGTACCCAAAAAGATGAAATAAAGACATGACATTTTCTCTTAAATTATTTGAGTTGTAGTCTGATATTGCACATGCTATATAAGCAACTGCGACTTACAATTAACTGCCATGCAGTTACAGTACATACATGGATATAATTCGACAGTTGCATATATCTGTACGGTAAATTTGTATGACTTTTCTATAGTTTTAATAATTTTTAAAGCCGTTTTGGTAAATACTGCAGCACGCAATGTCGGATTACAGCTGTACTTTAATGCAAACTGCGAAGGTGTACAAGTACAACCACCACAATTGCAGATTTCTGTTATCACAATACACGTAAAAGATATTAGTGGAGACGATGCCACATTTATGAAGGTTATGCAAACAGTTACCGAGATTTTTTTCCAAAACTTTTGCTGTGCGTCATTCTTGCCAGTTTGCATATTTTTTTCTTGTATTTTTGGTGTAAACAACTACAGGTACAGAGTCTGTACCTCAGTATAGCAGTTACCAACTTGGAAGTTGCCTATTTTCAACTATTAAATCAAGAACATACCAGCTTGCAGTTGGTGTTAGAACAAATAAAAACGGCAAATAGTGTAATAAAAATATTCTGTTATAAATCTGGCTTTATTTATTGTTAGCTTATTCTTATTAGAAAACGTTTCACGGGAAAACCTACTCTAGAGCTCGATGACCTCCGAACAGAAGACCAGTTATACCGTATATCTATCTGTTGCATCTTGCGCTAACTTAATTGATGCCTACATTGCATCAGCCTGCAAGGACAATTAAAGTACATTTAAAGTGCAACAGTTACGAGTGCGTGCAGAATAAGGTAGTTGCATTACGTTATACGATAAACACGGTACAAGCAGTTTAGGTTTATACGTGATCATGACATAACACGAATTATTTTTACATCGTAGAGTTAGATCTTATTTGTAACACAAACTGGCTTCATCGCGTGAGCGCTGGTGATCAGATAACCCTGAAATTTTTTTATTTATTTTTAATGGTTTTCTAGTAACGTTTTCGCGCTTTTAGTACACAGAGTAACTGCAATTCTTCGTCATGCGAGGGCACTCACCATGTTAGTTTGTTAATATTTCAAAAGTTTTGCACCCATACAGTAATAACTTGTAGCAATTTAAGGTTGTGCATGCCGAGGAATGGCAGCAAACACTGCGAGACAGATATACTTTTTTATGAAACTAACACTGAATAGACACAAAATAAATGATTTACTATCATAAAAAACCACTTCTTTAATACATACAATATATTCTCAGAAAGGGCTCAAGCACGAATTCGAGACAAAACATATATCTTACAGTCGAATCATATTCCTGCAAGCGATGGACGATTTTCTTGACAGGAAAAGCTGTACTGAATGATCCATGATTATTTCCAATTAAACGTAACTGTTCTGTGCAGTTGCTACAGTTTTGTAGTATTGACGGAAAAGTTGCAAAAAGTAAATATCAGATAAATCAATTTTTTTCCCGACACTATAGAAGAAAGGGAAGCAGTACAATAATACTGTTGGTAGTAAAATAATGCGTGCAAAATATAAATATTTTCGAAATTCCTAAATTTTAAAATTCTTAAAAAAAGCTTTTAGTTAGCAATTTAGCAACGGTAAATTGTTCTCCAAACATGCATCAAAATATATGCCGAGGATGCGATTTAATTTCTTGCGTTGCAAGATTAAGTAAATCCAGTAAGCGTAAAACCATATTATTAAAAATGTAAAGATAGATAATGTATCCAACTGGCGACAGTTATCCACGTGTTCTTTAATTTACATCCCTACGAGTAGATTTATTAAGCAGCAATTACAGAACAACATGCACAAAAACTGTTGTAATTGAGCAGCTGCACAGTACCGCATAAGTCAAAGCCCATGATTACAGAATTCAAGACTCGAGGAAGCACACGTTCTTGCGGTGAGTGCACTGATGATGATAAGCTTAAACTGAAGATATTTATCTGATTTTGTTACCGCAAAAACTTCGCTCTGGTTTGAAACAATTAGGTAACACTGATTCTAAATTGTACTTGTATGCCGACGATGTTGCAATCGTAGCTCATACACAGTCGGTCTGTGGAAATTTTGAAAAAGTATATTTTTGCCATAGTCATCTCCTGTCGCACTATTAACTGTTGGTAGTAGAGGATTAATTCTTTGTCATTGACCGCCAATGAACATATTTTCCAAATACTTACCAACAATGCAAACTCCTCGCTTTCCTGTTAACACGACGTGCTCACTAAAACTTTGCTGGTAAGTTAGTAAATTTGTATTAACTGTGCAGTACTGCATTTGTGATTTTGTAAACAAATACTGTACATATAGAAATTCTAAATTCACGTATCTATCTGTATTTCGAATGTAGTGTTACCGTGCGTTGCCCGTTAGGAAAGAATAAAAGTGCGATTCGATCTAATTTTATTTTATGCATAAACTATACGGTAACAATCAATTTTATTAGTTTTGAATTTACGGTATTGCATGGCGATCGCCTGAACGTCGACTGTCGACACTATAGAGTACTTATAGTGTCTGCAAACTGTAGTCGACACTCGACAGATAATTTATACGAGTATCCCTCAGGAACCGGTATTAACTGAGAATACTTTTGTTACGGGCTTGCTAGCGGTTTCATGAGTTTTGGCATACTGAAAAAACAGGATGTGTGACGAAATTTGGTCGAGCGTCGTGGGAAAGTTGCAACAGATCGCAGTTCCTTATTGCCTTATTCGGTTTTGCCGCATAAACTGGCATTCTGCAGCTTCACGTCTGCGTTGCAGCATATCGCATCCATTTCACTTGTCAATTATATTTCCTGTTAATACGTCATAATAATTCATATCTGCAACCATTATTACCGTACTATCACAGCAGCTTAATCTGCTGAATGCAAGAAATGCCAGCGTGCTAATTACATCGAGCCAAAAAGAACCGTCTCTGAGACTTGTACCGTACATGCTGTTACAGCCACAGCATGATAAAGCTAAAAAGCTCAATAGGAGGCGTGTTATCTTCGGCTTGCACAGTACTGTTTGTCTACGATTACTCAGCATCAAATCCGCCGCGCATTGCTCAATTGAATCCGTTACGTGTACTCCTGCCATTTGAACGGTAGCACTCGTTTAGGCACTATTTTGTAGTCTATTCCAACGCGACGGCGCCTGCATCGACACGTTTGCTTCATTTTAAAGCATAGTGTGCTTACGGATTCAAATATCTGTAGTACAGTCGTCGGTTGTCTGCTTAACATAAAGTTCTTCAACACGGAAGATATCTATCTGATACATTGATCCCTGCTCGCTTTTCCCTTTCCCAGTCGTAATTAACATTAAGTTCTTACGCCTTAATATAAAACTCCCAATTTGGCTACGCTGTTTAAACGGCGATCGACAGAGAAAGTGTCGTTAACTATTAATGCGGACAGCGATAATAAACTGGAACCTCCGAAAATGCATCAAAGGATCAGTTTTACTGTTGCGGGTGGGTCAGGTGATTCACTGGATTCCTTATCATTTAGGGAGAGCGATCTAGTGGAAGCATTGGTCAGCTGCCTCCATTTAGCCAAAGAAGAGTATCGCATTCGCATCGGATTTGAGCGTTGTCTCAATTATCTGGAAGTGTAAGTCAAAATTGAATGGGTTATACGTGGTAATGATTTACGAAAACGGTTGAATTTAGGAGCAGATACACTATAACGCAAGATGCAGTCGAAATAAAAAGCCTCTTTTATTTGCTGCTTCCATGCAGTTTCGATCTTTGTATGCTTTTTCAGCTTCAGTTGCTTATGTCCATTTTTCAGGTCACCGGACTCTGTCCTGATGTGCATTCAGGCACTGGGTGCGGATATGAAAGATCCACTGTCTCACATGCAGCTTTTGCTGATTGAGGCCTACTGTCAAGAAAACAATATCCGCGTTCTTAAGGTGAGTTCAGGTCAGACGCTGGGTACGAACTTACGGATTACGATCACTCACGGACCGAGTGACAAGGCGTGTCGAACACCGACGGACGACGCGTGCTCTGTGAAACACTGAATGAGCGTATACGTACGTCTCCAATGTCTGAGCGCCGCTAAGCGGTAGCGTTTTACAGTTTACGCCCAGGTCATTAGAGAGTCTGGTTTCAGTAATACCATTAGTATCACTGCAGTCGCCTCTGTGATTGTCAACGTAATCCATGGTCAAACTGCAGATGTTTAATTGAAAATCTAATAATTTTCAGCAGCGAAATTATTGATTCATTGTTAAATATGTAACGTAATTATTAAACTTTGAACATTGAGCAATCACCAAGCTTTGTAAAAACTGAATAACACTGTTCTTTCGAAACTGGGAAAAAGATTACAGGTGTTAGACTTTTAGGTACTCATTATGAAAAGAGCATCCGTCCGTCTGTTGCGCTGTGTATTACGTTCCATTTGATCAACTAATTTTCTCTATGCTAAAGTTTGTTTGTTTATCTTTTAGTTGGTGTGCCAAGATATATGGGAGTTGATAGACATGAAGTCAGCGGAATACTTTGAGGAATACAATGATGGGATTGAGGACAGCAGCGAAATTGGTGATGATAACATCATGCTGATTCAGGTAAACGCGCGGCATTCATGCTACACTCTCACGCCCGGTCCCTTGACTTTTTTCAACTTGAAATGTCGTCATTCAGATCAATAATGTTTACCCTATGACGTGTTCGTCCTTGTAGGCTGCTGCGATTGATCACATCGAGGACGAAGAGTTGCGCAAGTTCTATGATCTGGCTGCTCTGCACTGCCATGCGCGTCCCATTGTGCGCTTACGGAGCTAATGCATCCCCTCTGGCCGATGAGCGCTCTAACTTTCTGAAACCCTTCTGGAAGAATTTCGTGCAGTTTTTCTCCAATGAATTCAATGCAATTCATTAATGCCTACAATTTCGTAACTTAATGATGGAAACTCAAGATTCATTTCGAAGAGACCGGACTGACAGTTTTGATCGGTTAATAATTCGAAGAGTCTGGAGTTCAACTTTTAATTCGGATTTTGTCCGGAAGCTGATGATTACCCGACGCCTGCATGGCGAATATGCGGATGGTTTCGTCTCAGTTTGGATTAACAAAATGAAGTTGTAACTGGATGATTTTCTATGTCGCTCTAGCTGGGTTGTGTGGTTTTGAAGCATGCCGGTAAATAAAAGTGAAAGTTTACCGTATTTTGTCAAGTCCATTACGTCAAGTTATAGCATAGTTTGTCATTCATGGTTTTATTTTTGGGTTTTTTAAGCATTTGCAACCTGTTTTTGTACTTTTGTGGTACATTTCAAGTTCATCACCATTTGACTCCTTTTGAAACTGTTTTGGGTGTGTCGTTTGCAATTTTGCAAACGGAATTCCATTCGAGTTTGTGCAGTCGGAAATAAATGATGTCATCGCTACACTTGCCGGTATGCCCTACATACTCTGTACATACGCTGTACAGTGTACAGATACACATAATTCTTTGGGTGGGTCTATATATGGTTTACATCATTCTTTTCGCTTTACAATGTTTTTCCGGATGAACCCAACGTAATCGGTTTAGAAAATTTTGGCTGCTTATCTGCTTATCAAGCAAACCATTTAAATACTGAAAAAGCTGATTTTCTTAAAAATAGGGGCATCAATACTGCGGCTTTGCAGTCGCAGTTTCAAGCAGGTACGTAGTAAAATTTACACACGGATATGAATATTTGTAAGTAGTGTTGCAAGTTAAATTCCTAAGACCGGTAACTTTTAATTTTGCGCAGCCGCGGGGGAACGAGAAGGTACGTACATTAATCGGAGGTTCCACATAGTACTCACAATTTAATTTGCTCGAACCATATTCGTAATCTGTACTTGCATTTACATCTGTGAATTAAACATAAACTAACAGAACTAACGAATCAAATGCAAACTTAACCAACTAACGGATACCACCCTGTATGTTCAAACGCTCCATTAATTATTTTGTGTTTTCCAATGGAAAATACCGATGCGAGATATTACGAGTATGCGCAATACATCATAAAATTCCGTAACAAAAATCTGGCAGTCGCACCGTATCGATCATTAAATTGCCACTGTTGTTACAAAAACACAGTTATTAAAAAATTTAGAAAAACCAAAGGCAACATTAGTGCAAGGGTTTTCGGTGCGGAGCTGGGATGTAAAAGATGATAATCGTGCTGGACAACATCCTTGATTTCCGCTGTCAGACAATCGACATAGCTTGCTTTGGTCCAAGCACCATTTGCATCGCACTTTCTGGAGATTTTCTCTGCAAAAATTATTATGTAGATAATAGGCATTACATAATAATAAATAGGCATAATAATACATAATAATAAATAGGCATTTATTATTATGTACGTAATAGGCATTAATAGCGTACAAATTGCTTAACATCCTTCAGTACAGAGGGTTAGCAGTTTCTTAGATTCCATGCACAATATTTTGCACTTATTGAACAAAAACATGCCTTTCATACGATCGTTACGCAGAAAAAAGATAATAATATAATCTATGATAAGGTATGACCTTTCACTAATATTGTAGAGTAGGACAAGTACATCTTCTCTTTATCATAACAATATCCCAACTTACTGCTCTGATCCAGACCAATCATCTGCGGGCATTGTAGCATTGCCTCCGAGTTTTTATTAGCGGCTGGCCAGCATATATTACCGTCCGTACCTCCTCGACATCCACCAGCTTTAATAGAAACAACTTTGATTCTTATGTTAACAATACATCGACGTTTTTACTGCCCTCTCGTCGAGCGTATTTAAATGCTAAAGTAGCCCATGTTCTGTTAGTATCTGTTGCAATGCTTGCAATTGACTTTAACAAACACTTGTAAATTTATCGTGTTATTTTGTGCTCAAAAGGAAGCGGATTTTGACAAAGTGGTCTAACAACATCATCAGTTTTTTTAGTCAGATATTATTATTACCTTCTTTAGGCTCAAGCTGGCTGTTCCTTTTCAGCATCTCATCGCACTGGGCCGGGATCAGTCTCCACATGGCTTGCTGTACAGCGGCACCGGCATTGGACGTTAAGGCCATGGTACTGCCAGTCACCGCTGCCGCCTCGGTTGTTACCTCTGCTACCGGTATCGCTGTCGTGTTGGCATCCGGCTTCAGTACGATCCCTTGTCCCGCCACCCCGGCACCAGCGATCGGTGCTTCCGTGACGGCATTAGCAGCCGCAGCCGCCGCACTAACAGCTGCAGCAAGTGCCGCTTCGTACGCATCACATGCTTCGTAATTGGTCCATCCAATATTGTTCACCGGATCCGCATCCGGCGCGATACTTCCATCGGACTTGCTGGCATTCCAGGTGCCGTCCGTGCCGCAGTATCGCGTAGCCTGGGGTATTTGGCTCGGATCCTGACCGGACGCCGGTCGTCGACAGGGCTGATGGGCCTCCGTACCGGCAGCAGTGGCTGGCCAGCACATCTTACCATCGTGATTGCCACGGCAGCCGCTGCCTGCATTATTGGGTAATTTAGATAAATGCAAACAGGTGCTGTTTGATATTCGGAATACGATCGAAGCAGATATCTTAAAAGGGCAATTTTAAAAATGACCATTATACTGGGATGTTTTATGTAATAGATTATGACCAGATTGGGCTGATGAGCTGTTCGGATGATTTACGATACAGCTCATCAAGCCATAAGTGGAATGGACATGTGGTCAGTTCAGTGGCTGCTCCCTTTGTAGCTTCTGGTTTCCTATAGGTTCTGGTATCCAACTGATGGAATGTTTTCGGTAATAATTGCAAGCAGCGATCGGGTTCATTTAGCATCACAGCAGCCACACTTTAATTTTTAAGTAACTGACTGGATGGTGGTGAATAATTAAGAAGCTTTCTAAGAAACTGGTACAGATACTTACAGTAAACCTCCTGATTTACGCTGCAGTTTACATAATTATATATATATAATTCATGATCTGAGTCAGTTCATATCTATATATAGAACTACGAGTATCTGCTTACGTGTGAATACCTTTAATATATATTGTATTAAGAAAAACTAAGTTTTTGATACCACACAGTTCTACATAATTTTTTAAGAGAAGTGTTAAAAATCCCAAATAAATATAAATCTAGTGTGAATAAATATCTAATATCTAATTGTAAATTGTTAACTATTGTAGGTGCAACATGTGTTAAATTTACCATCAGCGTTAGTCTCGAATCCGTAGCGCTTGAGGAGATCTTCGCATTCCCTAACATCCACAAAGTTCCATGGTTTAGGCGGAGCAATCGAGGCGCTAGGATCGTACGTCTAAAATAATATCAATACATAATTATTATTATCAGAACAGAATTTTTCTGTGTATAACCAGTTTGCCGCAGTCCGCTGTGGTACGTGACTGGACTGTACAGTATGTCTTGTGCACAATGTTGTTAAGTAATTACTATACTACTAGATTATTTAAATACAAGTTCTGGTTCATACGCGGTAAAATACGATAATTAAGTTAAGTATGGTTTTTGCCCAAACAAAGTGCTCCATAAGTCAGATGTTCAAAACCGGCCACGATTATACTGCGCCTACTTGGAACAAATGGAGCAACAATGTTCGTTGCAAACAATATACGTAAATATCTTGGAACATATTTTAACTATTCAGAACCAGTGAAACGAAAGATGAAAGACATTTTGAAAGTGACAATTTCCTTGGCTAAAAAAAGGAAAAACAGCAGTGCCGACTAAAATGGCATACCGCTGCGCAGGGACGGAAGCAATAAAACTGTGGGAGATTGCAAACATTTCATATGCATAAGGATTTGCGTTTGAAAGACCGGCCTAGCTTAACGAAAAAAGAGCACTTGGATGATACTCATCCAGCAATACGTCGAAGATTCGGCCCATACTTAGCGATCCGTGAAAACGTAACTTGTGGCCAGACACTTAACAAAATAAGGCGAAATGTCAACAGAAAAAGTTTTCAACCGGAAAAAGAAACACTAGAGATGACTTCCGACTGCGCATCAAAAGGTATTTCCTGAATGCCTCCAAAATGTAATTCAATCGCTTATTTGGAGGACAATCCTATTAACATCTATGTATGTACTTACGTAGCTTGTCAGAGCAATTATTCATGATTAACGCACTGTATTTTTGTTTCTTAATTAACTGCGGAAATTCACCTATTCGATTTGGTCGATCAGTGCAATATTAACGTAACAAAGCAGCACGTGTAATCTAACGGTAGGCGAATCACTGGTTTTTGTGCAAGGGAATGAGCAAATAAAAGTGTGTAATTATTGTACTCGTATGGTAGATAAATCAGAACTGCACCAGCAAACACGCTGCGAATGTTGTAGATGGCTTGCAGAGCTAGAAGAAAATGCTTTTTACTATGATTTTGGTCTGAATTAATTTAGTTACATGCCTTGTGGCTTTTGCTATATTTTGGTGTTAACACTTTCGAATTTCGAAGCAGTGGTAACCTTTTCTTAGCGTTCGTATCTGTACTTCACTAATACCAAGTGCAATATTTCGCCGTAGCCACCATTCCATGTCGTAAAACGTTCTCTTAATGAATTATATCTATTATATTGTAATCTATTATATCTATTTATATCTATTATATCTATTATATAATTTATATCTGTCAACGGTAATTGTGGCTAATGAATTTATATCTAAAACAATCTATTATGCAATGAGATGCAGATTTCATTGTCAAGTAAATTATGTATATTAAAAAAATAAATATATAAATGTATATATTGAAAATGTCTTTCATAAAGATTTGGCGTCTGGTAAATGTTTGGCTTTTGTGTGAAGATTTTCTTATGTTAAGCAGAACGATCTGTCGCATGGTATCGATCCCAAGTTGAACGAACTTGGCTAATCTAGCTTCAAGTGTTGATTAATTAGTTATTCCCGCAAAGTGACCTACCGCGGCTGTGGTGTGCTGCTCTTCCGGTCGGGGTCCATAAGGATGCTCCTGATTCTGTATGGTGGGAGCAGGTGATGAGAAACCGTATTCTCTCACGCCGCCGCCCTGTCCAGGCTGCAGCTCGGCACTGTGCGGTGCTGGTAGATCCTGCCGCACAAGTTGTGCGTGCTTCCTTACGAAACTCGGGACTTGCATGCAGTCGGTGTAGTCGCTTTCCTTGATGCCACGCAGCACCAAATTCTCATTCACATTGCCGTAGTCTCTCCAGCGTCCGTTCACACATTCCCTTTTGGCGTACGCTGCAACGAGAACCATGGATATAGTGTAACATGTTATTTATCGGCAGTTCAACTGTTCTATATACACATGCCCACTATGCAGTGTACACACGCTGACACGCACACTGATTGCGTAATTTGCGAAAATGCGGTAATTGGCCCCATAGTTTGGACGATCTCGATTTAGGTCAGTTATAAAGTCAATCGCTTCACAAAGACATGACATTAAAATACATATATGACAAGCGTACATCGTGTATTCGTCGGACCATCGGGGCAAACTTGTAATAGCGTTTCACCGGGATCGGCTGGACGCCAGCACAGTAATCCATCGAAGGCCTGGCCGCATGTCAGCGCTAAAAATACACAATCAGGTTTTGTGGACTGCTGCTGAAGTGTGATGGCAAAAACGAATAGAAGCAAGCAGTTACGCATAAAGAGTCTATTACACATTGCGCAAGGCAACTATATTGCCATATGTGTTTTGAATATGGCGTACAAAATAAGAATCGTTAATCAGTCGTATATTGTAGCCGTTTACGTAGATGCTGTATAAACAAACTAAAAGTATTATTTACCACCGGTTCTTTACATTATCTGACGAGCAGCAAAAACACTTAAGTCTTAACTATCCATCGTTCAAAATAAACTGAGCACGTATTTTTTTAGCTGTTCCAGACGTTTTTATCCATACTGCTTTGGTTTGCTAATGCAGGGATAGCTTCTTATTGCACCGCTTTACAATTAAGGTCACATTGTAGGTTAGGTGAATTTTCCTGTCACATAAATGCGTTGACGGAAATAACGTGAAGTACGTACGATGATCACTATGTTCGTTTTTTCCCTTGCTCTTGAGTCGCTTAAGGAAATGGAAACAGCGCTCCTCACTGCCGAACTTAAATGTCGACTGGACGCTTGTTTTGACCGGAATATCGCTCTGTGCCGTGTGCGCGGGCTCAGGATAGCCGCCCAGCTCTTCTGGATGAACATGATTGTCTTCCGCATCCGGTGCAGGAGGGAGATGCGTCGGCTGTGTACGGTGCAGCGCCTCCGGATCTGCTTCGGCCGGCGGCTCTTGATGCTGCTGCTGTTCTGGGTGTTGCTCCTGTTGTTCAGGGGGCTGATCAGTAACTGGTGCTTGATTCGGGTCACTCTCAGCAGGCTGCGAGTGATCATCCGGATGAGGATGATCAGTCACATCTGCTACGTCGGCGGCGGCGGCTGGCGTAGATGATGCTTCTGTATTGACTAGCGGCGTTTCCTGTACACGCGTGTACTGTATACGTATGGGTATATGCATCAGATAGCCCCAATGGAATTCATTCATAGATGGACACAAAGCCGGCCATTTATATTTAAACTGCATGTTGTGAGCAAACTCAAACAAGGCTAAATTATAGATAATGGCCAAATTAGCGACGTGCTGATGTATTTACAACATGTACGAATTAAATGTGCTACATAAACATTAATCCTTACGTAAAACAAATGCCAAAGCTCGCACTACATGAATTCCTTGTGTGTATTACGTACAGTATTCACAGAGATTTTTGCATTATTACTGAAGAATGCGTAATTTAACTATGTTGGCCTTTTTGCGAACCAACTTTATGATCTCAGCTTTGTGGTATTGCGATACGTTAGCAAAGTATGCAGTGCATAAAACAACCTTATAAAACAACCTTATGATTCGATACATTAACGGCATTATCATACGTGCTGCACGATAAATTCGTATCTGATGGCACTAATTTTGTTCTACAGTTTTTCTTCGTTTAGAAGTCTTCTTCCGGGTAAATTATATGCATGTTGTTCTTTTTTACTGCAGAGCTGCACCACACACTTAGGCTAAAATATTCAAAATCAAAACTTAGATTTTCCTGTTAAAACTGGCTATTATACATCATAAATAATGTTTCAATATGGAATAAAATACCGTACCTAACAATAAGAGGACGAGAATACGGTATATGATAGCGATGTGATTGGCCTGGAACTGTTTTTTTACACGCTTAATAATGCAAGAAAAAAATTAGTTGAATAACTTTTGGAAACTTTTGAATACGTAAAAAGCCGAAAACCATATGGGAACTGCTGCCGGTCAGCTGGGCTAATCACAAGAGTCTGATAATCCTCTTGACATATAGAGCGGGAGCACACTTACAATCTTACATTATGCATACATACCAATTATGCTAATATCTACGGTGCCGCTAAGAATTTAAAATATCGATCCAATTTCGTGATACAATCGCTGTATTCAATACAGTATATAGTGAATATACGTACACTGAAATTCAATTCATCAATTTATTTATAACCTCTGTGACCCTTTTCGGCTCTGCGATTTAGGGACTGAATTCGCTTCTACGCAGACGTTTCCTTAAAAGTGTACAGAAATCACAGCATAGGCACAACAAAACAAAACATCGGGCTTTGCTCTGCTCTGCTTTAGTAATTAAGTGTACCGTTGATGGCTCCGCTTCCTGGGCATTTATACTGATCGGATATCCCAAAGACAGGAAGAGCAGTGATAATGCTATAATCCGCATGTCCATTCTCAGTTTTCAAACGGTCCTCGTTGTAATCCTCAAAAACACAATATTGCCGCCCCGGGCACAACACCAATCCGTTAATTACGAATCGGCTTGAGTTAGTTTTTCCCTAATACCAATTGAAAACCGTTTCCCACTGCACTGACAGACTGTTTACGCCTTTTTCCATACGCGCACACACACACACTCATAGGATGCCCCAGCAGTTAAGAAAAGGAAACCGATGATCGCGGTTTCGCTGTCATTAGGCGGAAAAATTCCGCCACCACATAAAAGGCACAACAGACTGGCTAGAGAATAGAAGAGCACTACCCAAGAAGCCGACTAGATGAATCCCGCTGCGGAAAATATGTCTAAACATATCCCACCATTAGATTTTCTTAGTCAGTTTAAGATCACCCAAAAATAGTAACAGTATACGAATAGTTTAAGGAGTTTGGTATGAGGATGCAGCGGCGCGCGTGTGCTGTGTATAGTCTCTGATTTTGAAGATAGGCAATCTCCACAGGATGATTACTGTGTCGGAAAATTTGCACCAGATCCACGCCAATGACATCCTCATAGTCGTCGTATAAGTACGTCGTCTGCAGTTGCATAGTGTGGTGCAATGTACTTAAACGATAATAATATCCCGGCATATTACGTCCAGTTTTTCCTGGCTTGGGCTAATTGGTTTATAAGGAACTGTTTATTTGTAATCGAACAGGCAAAAAGAAGTCGAGATGTGCCGGGAATATATCGCATTACTCCTGCAGCGGCAACACGTTACGAGAAAGGCTTTCGCATTGATTTCTTTCTGTTGGTGCACAGTAGAGACCGCCACAGTTTACAGCTAATGTAGTAAGACTGAATCAACCGGAAGCTATCTGCAGATCCGTTACAATTATGACGACATGCAGTCCACTACTGCACTATGAACGCAGGGAAAGTCAAGCAACATATATTCAGCTGTCGAACCCGATTTTTCACAGCAATTCGCTTCCTTATATGATAATTCTGCCCGCATATGTACCGCAAAGGTTAATTAGCGCTTCGTTACTGTACTGCCCGGCTAACAAGGTTTTTACAGTAGGTAATTTGGATAGAATTGGATAATGTGTGGTAGCCTACTAATACACATGGTAAGTCCATAATGCGCATAAATGAAATTCATCCATACGCTTAGAGAGCGGTACTGGGTTAAATTTAGTATGAAATAATAACGAACATAAAATTTTTTACTACTTCCCGCTCTGGATTATTCAGTACATTTAATAAAAGGAAGATCGTACAGTACGTATGGTGTCATATGACTCCATCGATCTTCCTTGTTATTAGAAAAACGTCTGTAAGAATTTCAACAAGGAACGTCGTTCAAAAGGCATGTTTTCATAACGCTAAAAACATTTAAATAAACTTTGATAAACATTTAATAAACAGATCTGAATGTGCAATTATGGGCTAATCTGGTAGAATTCCTTCAAAGAAGATACGTACTCGTATCCGTCATTTTGTCCGAAAGGTATTAATGTTTCTATCATTGTGGAATTATCTGACTTCTAACATTTTGTCCTCGGGTTTTTGGACTGCGGATCTACTAGCAGTTCTGACAGGTGCACCGTCAAACAAAGGAAGATGCTCCAGCATCCGTGTTGGGCACGTCGCAATCCGACCTTCAGCGCCTTCACACTTGTTGCATGTGTCCATGCACCGTATTCCCACGTCTGGAAGGGAGTTGTTATAAAGTTATTTTACAGAACAACATCATCAGAACTTAATATAGTGGAACAGTAGATTAAAAACTAGAATTTATTATAGCGGAAAACACCAGGATTGCATACTTAATTCTCTTTTCTTCTGTATATGACACCACACAGTGTTCCGGTTGGCTTGTGTCCCGTCCGTTAAGCAGTAGAATGTGGTGCGATTGGGATCCGTCACAGCTTTGTGTAATTTGGGTAGATTCAAGCTCACGGAACGCATTTTGTGGTGGGAATTAGTCAGCATATGGGTCTTCGCATGGCACGCTGTAAATGGTCGAACAACACGTGTTACCATGCCGGCGAGCTCGAAGAATTGTTTACGTCGGTTACTTGGCTGTCTTACTCGATCTTAAAGCGGACGCCTTGGGGCATTTCTCGCATGGAGTTCTGCATAGCAGGCCTAATGAACTGTCTGAAACAATGGCAAGGTACACGAGACAATGGTAATCCATACACAAAAAATAACTCAAGGGTATTTTTTAATCTACAGCGTAACCGCAAGCACTAGTGCCGAAATCGTAGAATATCGTTCCTAATCGGTGGCGCGAGCACAATACTAATTACACTATGATTCGTAGAAATGGTATAATTATCATACTCGAGTGAAAGGTTAGTCTTGCCAAATCTTACAACCAACTGGACACGAAATCTGAATTAAGACTTGCCAAACTTGGATGGTGATAATATTTACCTTTGTCTTTTCTGATTTTATGTGTACTGCAGAAGTAGCGAAATCTATTCTAATAACTGGGCAGCTGAAACAGACTGATATCACGCATTGTGCATTTACACAGTAGGCGAATGGAAAGGACGACAATACAGCTGGTGTTCGTATAGGGCCCAGCAACACGCTGATCAATAAGTTTTTTCGACCTCAAGTTGACGTACAGTTGTAATAAAATTGGTGAAGTTTTAATAGCAACGCATTTAGAACAGTAGATGTATCAGCATATACTGACACGGCCCATGACCTTTGGAATTGGCAAACTGAGGCTTAGCATGCAATTGGCAAACTGAGGCTTAGCATACTAAGTCCGTTTGTACCTCATCGCATTTATGTAAAACTGGGGTTAAGTATTTCTGTTAGAAAAACAGTGTTCTGCCTCTGTTAAGTAAATCTTACTTTTAGCCATTTCATCGGCAAGTTCACACACAGTATCGTACGTCCGACGATCGGTTCCACATACTTTGGTTACTTTGGATGCAAAGCCACCGCACTGGCACAACACCTGGTCGTTGGCGCTCAGCGTTGCGGTTTGCTCTGTCCGTTGACCCTCCACTCCTACAACACACCCGGCGACAGATAAATTCTTTTTCGTAACAATTATACCAAAAAACATCTGGCATCTAGTTACCTTTCACTGGCAGGAACGGAATCACGCATATCAGTAACGGCAATAACCAGTTCTTCTGGGTCATCGTGATGCTGGCCGAATGGGTTATGCTGCACTAGTGTTGATATGCCGACGGCGCCTTGCGTTACAATCAGGCCACTACCAGCTGCACAGACGATATCCCAACCAGCATAGGTGTCGACAACGATGCGCTGGGATATATAAAAGTGGTGATTGCAAAAACTGTGTTCAAGGTGATTACATGCTTACCATACTGGCCAGGAGAGCGTTTTTAAATGACCATCCATACGTGTTTTCCTGGTGCCCATGTCGAAATAAGTTGGAACAGCGGAATTTAATGAAGTCATTTCAATGTTGTCGCCACTAAAAGTGCTGATCGACTTCCTTGGGAGGAGAAATTCAACGATCGCAAAATGCAAGTCCATTTTCAAATGTTAAATTGCAAAATAGCGTTATCTTCGTATATAAACAGTTACTGTGATTGCTTTGTGATCTCTATCATCCGCAGCCCCTCGTCTAAAAAGACGGGAAAATTATGCCAAGGTTTTTGTTAGATTCGCCTTTGTCCACGACTCCAGACACTTTACAAATAACCACTTCCACGTTAACGTTTATATAAAGCTTCAGATAACGGGTAGCAGAAACTGCAAGCTTAGCAGGGATTATTACAGGAAATTTTGATATCGCTGCGCGAATCAAAACGTCATAGTACTCGTACAGGCTAAAACGTACAGACCGTTCGTTGTACCGGTTTCATGGGCCGCGCTTATGATTATTAAAGCGTTTACGTTGGCGTACCAATCGGTACGTTCTACGGATCGGGCTGCATGCACTGCATCACCATATCTGTATAAAAAAAAATATTTTACAACCTGATTTTTTGCTTTGTGCGTCAACAATGTGCTGGCGTGTGATTTTCTGTTTAGGCGGGTAATTAGTCGCTCTATTGTATTAATTTTGTCTTGCGCGAATACACCACACTACCCTATATATAGCGCTATTTGTATCAAAATGAAAAAAATATGACCTTAAAATAATCTACAAAATACATATCTGAACAATCCCAACTTTGCGACGATGGATGTTAAACAGCCATCGATTTGTACTGGGATTTGATGATACTATCGAATACTAGTACTGGCATAATAAAATACGGTTCACGACCGGTACTTGGCTAAAAACGTACGTAGGCTCATCCTTAACCGGAATTGTTGTTTCTTATTACGTCTTAAGCATTCCGGTTCCTTCCGGACATTTGAGAAACGTGCGACCTTGAGAAGATAAAGGACAACGCTTTTTATTGCTCACCCGAGCTTCCGCTAAATGCCTCTTCGCTGTTATTGATTCATAAATTCGTAGCCAATGGCAAATGGTGGTGCCGCTATGTTTTTCACCTATGCAAAATACTGGCGGGTGCGCTGATCTGGCGTCGTGTCGCCTGATCCGCAACGAATAAATAACTGACACGATGACTTACATACCAAACACCGTTTTCCGTATTATTTTATAACTGGTTCAACTGACCGTTTGGCCACGGTTACGCAAAAAACAAAAAACAATTAAAAGTGAACTAAAGGCGCGGGGTCGAACTAGCTACATAGTTTGCTTTTTGCTGCAACTATAAGTTCCGACAGGCGGCAGACTTTCGTTTCTTAAAATTTACAGTGCAGTACTCACAAGTCAGTCGAATTAAAGAACCAAGCGGTTATCTGTATCTCCGGAAAGACGATGTTTGACATTGTTTGTTACTATTGACTAAAACCCTCCGAGTACGCCTATCACCCAGTTATTGGTTAAAAGTGCAGCATTATTTTTTTCTCGTTACGCTATGCGTACGCAATATGCAGCCCGCAGTCTACCGATCTGCAGCCAAAAAATGTCAGTAGTAAAACCACGGTACAACATTTCGTACACTGATATTATTAATTAGCGGAAGTACCGATTTAAAGGGCAAAACTGATGGTGAGTAGGCATTCTAACAATTCTTACAGTGCTTTGGCTTTTGAGTCAGACCAGCCGCAAACAAAGTTAACGGTCATTGTAGTAATTTTACGACGAGTTTTACCAGCAACCCAAAGGTATAAGTACTCGCAGCTGTAGCTTTGAAGAAGCTTTTTGACAAGCAATCGCCGTGTTACAGGGCTACTATGCAGACAATAAAAGCACATATAATACGCATGCAAGCGTACGTTATGCGGACAAAAGTTTAAAACTTTAATTTATTAGATTGCTTTTGTTAAAGCCAGGCATTTAATTAATCATGTCAGTATCACATTCTGGGTATTGGTTTTTATGTGTGTTAAGTTAGACAAGCAATGTCGCTGACAGATGTATTGTATTGTACGTACGAATTTCTACAAAATAATAATTATTATCCTTTGGCTTTTAGTTTATATAAATACCAAAATACATTCTCCTCATAAAACGTACTTGTAGTTGTAAGTACGCTTATTTACATAAATACATTCCAATTTTACACTGCAGTCGCTACCGATTCTTTTGCAAACAAGAAAGAACTCGAAGCAAGTGCCACAAGAAGTTATTACAAAGAAAGCAAAAATTCTCAAAGAGTACGAAGTATACTTTTGAAAAGCATCATCAGAAATTAATTAATAATTTAAAAATCATAAAATACCCTTGACCGTTTAATTGCTGATCCTCATGACAGATAAGCGTGGTTTCTAATGCATTGTTCAGTGAGTGACAGGACATAAAGAAAAAAACATTACATAGTCTTACTACACTGGCGCCATGGAGGTACTTAACAGATTCTTGCCTTGTTTTCCATTTGCAGTAATTTGACGAAAATATTGACTCATAATGCCGGTACGCATTGGTAGAGTTTGACAAACAAAATTCGTCATGCCGGTAAATGCCGGCCCGGTGTTAGAGTCATTGTGCCGGTACTACAGAAATCGATCAGACGTAAAATGCATTCCATATCATTTTTTGCCTAAGGGCATTCTGCGGACCATTATTAGTGGAGAAGCCATAATGTTGCAAAAACTATTTATACTCGCCAAGCTGTGGTGTTTATACCAAGGTACTGCAGACCGACTGTTTCATGTTCTAAAAGACGTTTTTACAACCACATCACCGCTACGAAGATTTAGCTACAGCGTAATCCGTTACCAAAAATATGTCTTCCTCCTTGTGCATATTCGTAACCGTTTGGCTTTGCGCCGCTATCATGACCACATTTTCGGCTCCCTTAGTTGATTCGGGTAAGTAAAATAATCGCGCTTATCTTTGATAACCTCTCAAACACAGCGGTCCAGAGATTTGTAACTTTAGCAAAGCTATGTTACGTATGTTGCGGTGCGCTGCATAGAAACTCCATAAGAACTCTTCGGAAGTAATTTTAATAGTTTACATTCCGCCTTAATTAAAGTGTTACCTGTCGGCTGTGTGGTTGCGGCGTGCTCTCGATACATGTCAGTATTTTGTTTATCGATAGGTGCAACAGTTGTCAGCGAACCGGATGTTAGTGAAACGACGACACCAAATACCGATGTCGATGACAGCGAATATGATGACACTGATTTCGCCCAATCACAACCGGCGGAAAATCCCAATGATTCTTACGCATCATCCAAACAATCCACGAATGACATACAGACCCAGTTTAATGCTAAAAAATTCGGTATGCGTACCTTATAATTATTACCTTTAACATAGGCTGCAGTACTTATTGATCCCTTCTTGCAGCTGAAAAATGGAACCTACAAAATCCGAATGTGAAATCCAGTACGGACGATTCTGAAAAACAGAAAACGCTATCGATGAGAAGCAGTCAACCTTCTCAACAGTATCAACTTGGTGAACCTGAATACATTCCGGATTTGCCAGTTTTTGATCGAACTATCCTTCTGAGATTAAGGGAACAAAAACTTGCGGTAAGTTAAAAAACTGAAGTTGTTACTAATTTACTATTTGGTGCAACTGTCATTTCTTTATTTCAGGCTCAGAATGCAAGATCATGATACGCTTCGATTCTCTGCCGTACTGTACATAGTTCCTGCCCATAAAATGTGATTTAGATTCTATTGTTGCCATTACTCTCTCTGCATGTAAATATGTCAACAACTGTTTTTTGTAATTGCGTTGCTTTGTCAACTTTAATTTTGCGTCCTGGCCAACCTGCATCAGGTCATACGATTAAAAAGCAATATCCTTGAATTTCCGTACGATGGCGTCTTTGTTCCAGTTGCACACGCAATAACAATATTCAAAGAATTTAAGGCATATATTAATATTCAGAGAATTTAACGCATATTACTCAAATAGTAATTTATGTTACCCGTAGAATTCAATATGCCGTACAACCGCGCGTACAGCGCCGTACATACTACCCGCAACACAAAAATTAATGTTCATACCCGGTATCTATACTTCAACTTCATACGAACATAATGCATTCATCATTAAAGACACTTGTGAATGCATTTACCAAATTGCTGCCCCTATTTTAGAAAAAATACTTATAGTAACAGTAAGTAACCCCAAGTCTCATTGTTTGTTCTGTTCTTTTAATCGATCGAAAGCCCATAAATAAAAGCCGCTGCACATTGTCTTCTTTGCAAGCCATTAGCGGAAAAGTTGTTTTCTGCAAGGAGTTTTGGCATACAAAATATTTAGTACTTGTATATACATAATTATTAATTATTGGTGATTTTTTTCTTCCTAATACTGTTTCTTATTCATTTAGCGATACCATAGAATGACAGGCTGGACTGCTAGAATTCCGGAAAAAAACGAGCTTTTGTGCCCAGTTTGACAAAAAAGCAACAAAACAAACAGCCGATATTGGTTTTTATCAATAACGTTAACGGTTTTGATCATTCCAGAGGCCGCCAGCATGGCGACAAAAAGTGAGGGGTGAAGGTAACGATATTCGAGTGATGCATAGCAGGATGCGAAAACTCTTTGACTGCTGACTGATGTGATGTTTTGGTTAAGAAAAGCTCGAAAATCGTCAACATGAACAACACTACCGAATAGAATGCCTGACCAGCTTCTAATCCTAACAATTTCCTTCCAAAACAATGAAAACATGAAGACTGTGGAAATAGCCTAACTTTTCGGTGGTTTGCAACCTAAACGTGTCGTACTTACGGCGCTGTGGTAGCTCAGTACATCTTCACTGGACCGAGTTAGGATAACCTCCACGTCGGTACTGGTGACAGCTGGTATGGTACATACATTAAATAGAACTAGTAGACCCCGCGCAAACTGCGCGGATTAAATCAACGTTGGAATACTTACTACAAAACTGTGAAATCATTTTCGTTACTGCAAACCTGCAGGACTATAATATTGTTGCAAAAAAATGGGGCGTAAAATAATTCAATTTCCCCGGCAAATACAGATACAGTAATGACAAAAGGACAATTAATCCAAGCTTCGTTTATACCTCACTGACGCCTATCCATGATTTCACAATTTTTATGTGTACATTTAGCATTTCCAATGCGTAGACTGAAAAGAACCTTGGACATTAAAAATGTGAGAATTTTACTCCGAAAAAGTTTTGTTTTTTGAGCAGTTTCCTAAGAAATTGTTTTAGTTTTTACCTGAACAGCCAGAGTCAGCCACCAATCGAACTTCGCTCAGATACTGTAAGTATATCCCCAAAAATTATTTGCGCCCATTCTGCGCATTTTAAATTTCATTCCGCCCGCTAATAGCAACCAACTGATTCGCAACCGCTATAGTCCTTGATTCCACTTTCTGGTTACAGTACTTCCCAGTTAATAATCACAATGTCTTCAATTATAATTATTTTCAATGCGTAGTTGTTGTTGCTTTGATAGTTCATACGCAACATTAAAATTATTTAAAATTTTATTGCAATTATTGTGACATAAGATAGTATACTTTTAATTCGGCAATGGCCAGTTCACATAACAATAAGCTTGCGCTGGTAGAAACTAATTAAAATGATTGAAAGTTTAAACAGTAAAAACAGACCGCTGACTCTCCTTAATATAAGATAGTTAATCCATAGGCCCCAAATTAAACCGTCAAGGAAATCTCATTGTCTTTTAGACTGCATAAATATAATGCATAATCATGTTATAACCAAGCGTCAAGTGCAATGCTTTTCTAAAAAATGTTCTATACCAAAGATTTCGAAAAATTTGCTCCCACAAAAGGTCGGATGAGATTCGGCAACAAAGACGCGTCGATCACACCCGCCGTCGGAGCCCTAAATTTAAAACTGATCAAACCGCTTTGGCAGGCAGCTACTTCATCTGCAGATCTTTCAGACTAACAGTAAGTTCAGTCCCCGCTTCCCCACCGTGATATGTGATCGTGAACCCTTTGAAAATCTTCTTTCAACCCTTTCATTTTCTTCCTCGACACTGACTTTCGATGAAAAATCAATAAGCTCAAAAGCTCCCGAATGATATACGCTAAGGTTTGAATTTAATTCCGTATTGTGTTTAGCGGAGTTGTCAGAATTGCCTTTCTGGCTGTCTCACAGACTTTCACTCTGTTGGAGACAGTGGTGGTGTGGTTGGGTTTGCAGTGGTGGGTGCTTGACTTTCCCCGTAGACTCCGTATGTTAAGCTTTTTTAAAATTTAATTTTCTTTTGAGTCTCAAATATTTTAGAAAAACTAACCCGTTTCTGCTGATCTATGATCGAAGCGCTATCGAACGATCTATAGACACCAAAGTTTGGTTCAGTGTATCGTTTGCAAAAGGGAGATACGAATGGAATTTTGCTAAGGCTTACGCTATTAATATATAGAGAAGAGATTAGCAAAGCTAATTCCGGTTAACGCAGCGGAGGCGATCGCAAGGCTGGACGACTTGGTTGACCAGTGTCCAGCCAAGAAAACCCATTAGGGTGTGTCTTGGGATGCATATCCCGATGCTGTATAAGCAATGCAGTTTCGGTTGTGGATGTTTATTCATGTGTAGTGATTGTGCATTTCTGTTAGTGCATTTTCAGTTCCTGTTGTGTTGGAGTAAAGGTTGTTCTCGTGTAACAAGTTGTTCTTCCCTCCCGCCCACCCTCTTTGGAGAGGAGACGGGGGGTTGTTTTAGCAAGGACAGCTGGGCCGGTTGCGCCGGTGTCCCGTGTTCCGGTGCTAGTGTCTTCACCTAATGCCCAAATAAAATTGAATCGTTACGCGCTGCTGTGGTTGTTACCGTAGACTGCGTTAAATCGCATCTATCCCGCGTTCATGGTTCTCACGACCTTACAGATGAATAGCTAAACTTTTACCAGTGCTACTTATACCGGCAGTATTCTGTATTAACCATTACTTTTTTCAATTTTTTTGTTTGGATTAATGGTCTTCGGCCTAATTTTACCGTCGGGAGATGCAAGTCCCTAAATAAACCGGAGTCCAATCGATCGACATGCATATATGATCATGCCACAGCTTTTGCTGTTAATGTTTCGCGCATGACCTTTCTGTGTAATCATTTTCCACCCATTCCCTTGCGTTCCATTTTTTATAGTGAATAATCCGTTTTAAAAGTCCTTTTTTGTTACTTTCGCCTGTGCCAGCGCCCATGTCGCACATTCCGTTATTGGTTCGCCATATCCGCTAGTTGGCACGGACGCTCTTCTCGTAAACTATACTCCTGTAGTCCTTTGTATATCTGTTTGGATTGACGTTCAGATGACTTGCAAACTTCAAAAACTACTTCCGCACGCTTGTCCGAGCGTACGGCGTTTCCATCCATCTTTTCAAATTACGCACACTGCGCATCCTGTGTGTTTTGGACATGGTTTCATTCGGGCGTCTCTCTCCGGTTGCTGAAAATTCGATTTTACAAAACGCCAACTGGTGATGTGGCAAAGCTATTGGTACGGCACCATAGCAGCCTAAAAAGTCATGCAAGAACATGTAGCTGCATTGATTAATACGAGACGGAATAGGTATATCGAAAGACTGAAAGGTCACGCGCTGGTGAAAGGTGGTGTTGCGGAGGGCGCGGAGCATCACCGATTTTAATTACTTATAAGTTTATATTATCTTTGGCTGATTACGCCGTTCGCAATTATCTACTGCCTATATACCCTGGTTTACTATATTATATCTTTTCTTAACAGACACCAATTTAGAGTTATACTATCAAAAGTTGCAAACACAGTAACTATGTACCATGATTTTGATCAACAACGATTAATATCTCACAAAGAGTATTATCAAGTAAAATGGTAGTGCAGCAAAAAATGTGCGCCGCATCCTTGCACATCAAACCCATTTCGGTTGCTGTGGGATATGCAAGAGCACGGACGGAAGAATTAAGATGAGAAATCCAGCCGTTTATACGCGTGCCTGGAAGCTAGGTACATCTATTCGCGCCACTAGCTTTCGAAACGCTAAGGCCAGGGGAAGTCGGGGCCGGTGATAGTTAGCCAAGGAGATTGGACAGCGATTACATAAGCACGCTGGTTTACCTCGCTTCCTTGAATTCCATCGAAATCCTGTCGCTCGAAATCCAACGGGTCAACCCGGTTTCAATCAAATTAATTCTGGATCTCACATCCTGAAACCGATTTAAAAATCAACATGTGAATGAAGTATACATATTTGGTGCGACCACGAAAATAAAGCACTTACACCTAGCAAAACTTTAACAGAACTTGAAAATTACGATTTTAAAACAGTTAGCATAGCGAAAATTAAGTAACAGGTGAAATCATCTAGACGCGATTTGGACCAACCAGTAGAAGTTGTGATTCTGTGAACGGAGCGAAAGGCAGCGTCGAGAAAGGTTATATCACGTTGTGCATGGAACCAAAGGTAGTGCCAAAGGTTAGCACATGGAGCAAAAGGTAGCATGAAGAATTGTGGAACGAGTGAAAAGTAGTGAAATGTCCACCTAATTTTTAATAAAAAAATAATAAATATCAGGATATTACGAAATAATAAATGTTTAGTGGCTGAGCGCCAAAGAGTAACTGCAAGTTCAACTTGCGCCGGAAGTTGAGTTTTATTCTAAATATATTGAGAAACGAACTGACTCTAGAAGAGCCAGGGACAGCTCATAAGCAGGCAGGTGTCTTCGTATCCATGGATTACCGGAGTTGCATTTGCGATTGCAAACAACAACTGAGAGTTCGCTGTACGCGGCAGCGCAAAACCTATTAAGACTTCGACTGAGGACCGTTTACAAATTTGCGGCGGCGTTTGCGTACGACCTGTTTGACCGTTCAAACCCGGCCGGAGCTGTTCATACCTAGCAATGCTTCCCAGACTGGATATAAGTCGTTTTAGAGTTTAAAGAGTCCAAGAAAACAATTTCGTCAAGAAAACCGGAAGACAATCTAAACATGCAAGAAAATAAGAGGTGCTAAGCGGAACCAGTGGTGGTAAGAAGGATAAATTAAATACCAACAACAGTGAAAATCAGTGTTTTTGTAATCTGGTGTAATTTGCAAACTAAACCTGTCATGGCAGTTATGAACGAGCTGGAGGTTCTGGATTTGGCTGCAACGGATTTCAGAACATTACCAAGGGCTTCTTCAATAAGTTACCGGCTTCGCTCAAGACTCTGTAGATATTGCAGTTTCGTTGTCTTGTTTTTCCAAAACAGAATAAAACTGCAAAACATTTGCTAATTAGAGCAAGCAGGTAATAAACAATAGTTTGCAATATTAAAACCTCTGTATGCAGAAGGATGTATTAAGCACAGAATTACATTATAGGGTGCGACTATTGTCACCCCCCCTTTCGGCTGTTGCCACCCCCTTGCACGCCCTTTTGACTATTGTCACTCCCTTTTTTTAAATAAAATAAACACCCCCTTTGGCTATTGCCACTCGTCGGTCATTTTTTTCAACATTGTTGCTGGGTTGACCTTTCAGCCAACTTAGTAATAGTATTTTACAGTACTTGATAGTAAGTATACTTGATAGAATAAAATATGCATAATTATAGTACTTATTGTTTTGATGTCTTAAGTTTCTTAGGTTTTCTTAGGTTTTCTTAAGCCACCAACCAGACTTTCGTCATTGATCGATCGAAAAAGTTGCCAGAAAACGATCCCCAGCGCAAGACTCTAGTTTATAAATCCGCCACAAAGCGCATACGGCAAAGACCACGAGCAAACGACCGTTCCAACGCACGCGAAGGGCAGAATGCTTAGTACGTACATTCTGACGAAAGCACCATGCGGTATCAGTGTGACTGTCTCGCATCATGTACAGACGGGCTTCCATGTCGTCACACGATGGCCTCGAACGTCCACCAGAAGGAACCGCTGTTTCGTGCAAAGGATTGCCTCGATCGCTGGTCAAGAAATGCCAACCTAACTGGCACGAATAAAATTGAAAAAGAGCCGCTGATGGCAAAATTATAAGGATAAATTGAAAGGTGGTGACAATAGCCAAAAGGGCGTGTTGTGAGGGGTGACAATAGTCAAAGGGGGTGTTTATTTTATTAAAATAAAGGGGGTGGCAATAATCAAAAGGGGGTGCAAGGGGGTGACAATAGTCATTTCCTACATTATATTACATCCTGCTTATCGAAACTCCTCGCCACTTAGACATTAACTATAATAACACAAAACACAGTGACATATGGGATTGTCGTGTATAAGCGTTCACGCCGATTAAGGCTCCATGAACCATCTTTACTCTTCCACGCCTGTAATGTCAGTCGGTAGGCAACTCTTATAACAAACTGTAACAGCTAGATTATGGTGGAAATGAAGAACGACTTAGGAACACAAGAATCAGGAATCCCCAAGCAGGAACACTCCAACTACAACTTCCGGTCGCAGGTTCTATGAGGATCAGAAAAGAGCTAGGACGATTGTGTCACGAGCAAACCTAAGCACGAGTATTCTATGCAATAATCCGGGAACGATCATGTACATCAGAAGGAACAATTAAGTATTGCTGTCTCTTTATCCAATTCTCAACATAGTCCACAACACAAGGAAATTGTAATTAAAAAACAGTCTCAAGAAGTGAATCCCAAGACTCTCAGTGAGAGACTGATGCCGATATTAGCGAGAACAAGAACTTATATAGACTTCGCGCTATGAGATCATATACACCGCTAGTAAAAGAGAACAGCAAATCACAGCGTTGATTGACTAGATTATTGTTTATATTGCAGGTGGAAGGCGGACAGTCATCATCCGTACGTACATCCAGGGCGTGATCCTACTCCCACACGTCAGGATCACGCATCACTAGGGTAGTATAATACTTAACACATTTCATAGAAATTAGTGCATTAACGTATTTTATGGCTGTCCATCCACAACCATAATTACTGTTATACGGAAGCGGTCATCTAACTGGTCAGTAACTTAATCGAAACAGATTAAATTAGGACAACGTTTGATTGCAATCCACATTAGTACGGGTAGCTATGTTTAAGAAGAAAATCTTAGAGTGAACTCCTTGAGGCTGTGAACCGATAAAAGGTAGCTAAAGTTTGTGAACACAATGCAATATAGCGACCGAAAAATGAGAATCAAAATAGGTAAACTAATTTTTTACATTTACTCATAGAAATCTTGAGGTCTGTAAGAAGTAGTTTTCAAGGAACTTTAATACAAAGCTTTATGAGAATGGCAGGAAAATTCACAATACTACCAGAAATCGTCAATTCACATTAGTTAGGCTCAAAATTCAGTTATGAAGATTTCAGCGAAGGAAATCTGTGACACACGCTTAAAAAAATCGAACTTTAAACCTTAACAAACATCAAATAACTGCACGGCAATGATGCATCACATATCTGCATCGAGCGGGCAATTTTGGGAGCGCAAAAACGTGCGACATTTTCCCTTATGGTGTGCTTTCATTCCAGTCTGTAACTTCACTTTGCAGTTTGCACCTTGTTGCTGCCTGTTACCTATATATGTATTGCCTACCGAATTCAGTGCTTCCAAATTAACTAAAAAATTAAAAAAGTTCCTATAATTAACGATTAATTTAAAACAGTTAGTTAACGCTACCAGTTGCAAGTTAATAACCGCCAGCCGGTCAGCGAATTAATCAATACTCTGTACACCATTTATCCGCAAAATTTTTAAATCTAATGGACCCGTTGTTAATTAATTAATTATAATTAGACTTTTTAACACGTCGTGGTAACTTATAAGTTATGTTAGAGACTTATGCGCCCTACGCGCACTTTCTGGTTTACGCTACCAGAATGTGTTTGCATGAGTCAGCATGACCAATTAACACTAATTATAATGTTATTAATTAGTTATTAAGATTGTGCACGTAGCAGTGTCGACGATACCCGATAGGCGTTAGCAATACTTATTAATGGATAATTATTGAGGTGTACGATCACGGCATATCGCAGTGAAATGTAAGCTTTAAAATGTGTGCACATGAGTTTGCATGAGAAATATCCAAATTGGCGACTTTGACGCTCGAATATTCTACTCTCGAGTAGCTTTTCTAGAGCAACATTTACGAATATTTGGGGCGTGGATACAAACGTGCAAAAGACACCTCATCGCAATATGGACCAGTTATGAGCGCTTATCTTATCTCGTGCGTTACTCAGCTTTTGCAGAATTTTCACAATTGTCAGGATTTACTAAATTTCCGGTCTATTTTGAACCGGACTATTGATTTTCGGGGTTGAGACAAAGTTTAAGAGTATAACAGTTGTTAGACGAAATGCAGCTGCAATTTTGGGAACTGAATGCGCGAGAGGAATTTTCGTAGAGAATCAGTAATTATAGTTATTCTTCGGTATTAAAATTCTGAATAACTTTACTGAGTATTGTAACGATCGAAATTAGAATGTACCGCCAGCAAGAGTGTCAATTGCCTTTCTCTACGGATTATTGGTTGTTGTGTTATGAAGATCAGAATCCTTATTTTCCTACATTTTATTGACCGCATGTCACGGTCAGAAATATCTTGAAATTAGTATTGCTGCAGCTTGCTCTGCGCCTTCCGCGTTTCTTGCCTCACGCTTATGCGTTCTTGCTCCTCACTTCGCGTTGCTCGTTGTATCTTGCTACGTTGTACTTTCTAATAAACTTTTTGCGATGACCTTGCGTTACGTTGCTTAACCGCCATGGGATGATGGTGCTTCTCCCATTGTTGTCACCTGTGTAAGCGTAGTCAGCTTCCGGTCAGCATCGCTGCCGACCGAGCCAGCCTTTCCCACACTAACAGCCGACAGATCGTGGTAAGGTGATCAACCAAGTTGAAACCAACCCACTAGCACAACCGGTTGCTATTACAGTATTTACCTTCGCAAAATTGTTGCAAAGAAACGTAAGAGTACCTGTAGCCAAATAAGAATCCAGTCTAGTCTGGCTTTGTGTAACGGATTAGGCCGCTGTTAAGCGCAGTAAAGGGTGCACTTTCGTACCGGCAGATTACACTAACAGCTTTCCTGTCCAGGCCAGTTCATCCCTAAATATAAAGGGGATTTTACACAGTGCTGTCGTTAACAGCAGTGCAGTTCTGGCTGCTAACTGGCACCGCGGATCAAAAGAACCCTTGGTGCCAGTTCGTAATTACTAATACCATTTTTGATATATAGCTGTAGTGTTGAAAATATATAGCTGCAGTGTAATGTTTGCAAACTGTGTAAAACAGCTTCGACATTTGTTAGTTTTCAGTTGCTCTACTTAGAACTGAATTCATTCAAAATGGTTTATTGCAATAATTTGAAACGCGCAATTATTTCCAAGTACCAAGCATAAGCAACTGAAGTTCTTTATGCATTGTAGAGGTAGTAGTCATGCATTTACAATTTACAGTATGTAGGCTACGAGAATCTACGTCTTTGAACAGTTGTATTCAACGAACGTTGTGCGAGTAGGTAGCTGATGAAGTCGCTAAATTTGTAAAGTTATTGTTTAGCGGTACCTCAAAACTAGCCTTTGTCCTTAGCATTTTTGGGTCATAATTTTTTGTGCTGGTTCTGTTTGATTCGTTTTCTGGAGTATAGTTCCTCAAATTTCCGATACGTCACAACAATTTACTGACTTTATCCCCGCGCCGTATTATAACAAGTGCTATATCTGTGCATGAGATGTAGCACTTACTCGAGTAAGTGCTATATCCCTACTCTTTTATTTTACTAGCCGTGATTATTGTAACGTTAACGTTATTGTCGTAGTTGGGGACTGTAAAAATACGATTTACCGTCTCAGTTTTTTAGGCTATCTTTTGTGCTGTACAATGAATGACAGATTCAACACAAAAGAGCTGACTTATATGATATCCGTGGACCAATTGTTCAGTTGGCGCAACGCAGTCTGGCGGGACTAACTTAATCTCCTCAGTATCGTAATTTCTCGGCCAAGGTAAAGTTTTGCCGGAAGGTTCTTACGCATCATCATTAATCGCGATTCTGTTAACAGCGGCCGGTATTGCGGGGTGTACATCTGTCTCGTGTTCAATATAATTTTATAGGGCCACAAAAAACAATATAAATTAAATCGCAATTGTGTGGTCACTACCGTACCCACAAATTCAATTGCCTTTTCGACAAAGCTATCGAAAAGAACCGTGGACATGGTCGGTTGAGTAACCATTTTATGAAGTTTGGGCAAGGCATGGACGTCACGAACAAGTACTGCATTTCGATATTTTTTCTGCTATATATATTCGAGGCTTTCCGTGTTTGTTACTTGACAAGTTATGCTTGTTTAAGTTAAACTCCTATGCTACAGGCTATGCATAGCCTAGCTTCTTCGTTCACTTACCGTCTGTAGCAAAACACTTTATAAATCGAGCGGCAAAACATTTTCTGTTGATAGTTAACATTCGAGTTTTGATTGTCACCCGGGTGCCTTGCTACGCTGCCTTTCGTCGAGCTTTGCCGACAACTGCAAGTCCGTAGCAGATTCTACCGTATCTTGTTAGTACTAAATCCCATCTGGGAACTTTGGTCTAACGCTCGCACGGCTTCCCGGTTAAGGCAATCTTCCTGTTAAGTGACTGGCCCATAATTTGCCAATATTTGGACACCAAGACCATCACTTGTCAACAATATAACAGCAGTCATCTTCACCTGCCAACTTAACAGGTAACCTTTACCATACTTTTCTCACGAATTCTAGCTACGAAATCTCCTATTGCAATTATCATATTTCAAAATATTTTGTCTGCCAGAATATGTGGTAAAAATGTATGCGCGCGTTCTTATCAAAAACCTCCGCATAATGTATTAATTGTAAAATTATTTGCGTGTACTACCGCATGGTTAACTTGAAATAATTACGAGTTCAAATTTGTTTTGCCGGTGTTGCCTTTGCGAGCATAATTAAAAATTGTGGAAGCTCTTTGTTTCTTTGCATATTCAGCACCGTATATAGAAGTACCCCAAGAGTCAAAATGTGGTTGCAGTTTGAGTTTATTATTATGCCACTTACTTGTTGTTATTAATTTGGATGGGTAAATTTGACTTTATTAAACTTTTATGTCCTGCAGTTTTATATGCAAATAAGAGTATACATACAACAATGACATCATTACATAATTTCTCGAGCATGCATTCACAAAATTTCGTCGAAAGCATATTATGATATGCTGTAATGTTCCGTTAACGTATAACGTCATTTTAACTAACTAACTAACGTCATTTTTGTACAATATTGAATAGGCACGTGATACGTTAGTAGTACGGAATATGTTTAAAATTTGCTTCTTGAGGTTTCTCTTAAAAGAATACTGAAACAGTGCAAAGCTGGGTAGGAAAAAACACAAATATCTAGATTAGTAGGCAGATTATGTAACTTGCTGAGGCACGTGTCAGGTAAATGAATGCACTTTTCGGTAGCACTTCGTAACGATGGCTCATTGATAATCGAAATTTCACACTCCGTCACCCATGCATGTTAAAGTTATGTAGTGCTTCCCGAAATCTGCAAATTGGAGGAAAACTAGTCAATAATCTAATTAAGCAAAAGCCGGCACAAGCAGGAACCGTCAGTGTCAAAGTCATTGCCTTAAGTGATCGATAATTTATCATTATCCAACAACAGCGGTTGTCTAGATGCAAAACCGTTTACCAAAAAATTACAGCCAACCGCTAGACTTGTTGATCCCTCAAGGTGCATCCCAATTATTCATCGACTGCATTTTATATGACATGCCTTTTCTGTCTTTCTCACGATCAGATCAACCCACCATTATTTGCCTGTTGCAGGTCAAACCTCAAAACCTCGTTGAGAAAATTCGTTTATAATTACGGTTACAAGATTTGCGGTCAACATGAATAAAACAATCAGCATGGTTTTGATTGGACTTGTTTCGCTTTTGCCATCGATCGTTCCTCAACAATACGCTGAATCCTATGCGCCCGGGGAAACGCAGCGTTACCGCTTGTCAACATTGGATATCCTCCCGGACGACGACTCCGCCAATGCGATTGTCATTGAAAGGGTCCGCGATAAGGAAGTCACAAAGTCTCCAGATGTGCTACAACGGCGCAGGTTTCACCATAAAGAACAAGTTCTCACGGAAACCGCCCAACCTTTAGTTCACCCTGACGAGCCCGATTTTATTGTTAAACCCGAAATGTTTAAACGGCAAAAACGCGACCTTTTGCCATGGCAGCTAGCCTATCGCAGTCGCTACCAAGATTTTTTGAAAAAATCTCAGGAAGCGGATCCGGCGACTAGTACGCCCAGCACCACGAAAAAACCGCCGCGTTTACTCAAACAATCAAATCGGAGAAAATTTATTCGTCAGTTTGTCGGAGACGAAATGGCTTCGTCGATGATGGATGAGAACAGCGTCACCAACACGAAACCTGCTGTCGACGATCAAAGCACCGAGGATCGGCCGTTCGGCTTAGATGACCCATCAACTGCCGCCACCACCACAACAACCACTACCACGACTACTTCAACCACCACCAGCAAACAAACTACCGCTGAGCTGACAACAACTGAAGTCACTACTCCTGAGACCGAAACCACCAAGAAGAAGAAAAGGAAGCACAAGAAGAAAACCACCACCACGACCGTCGCCACCACGGAAGAAGACGACACCACCGAAGCGCCGACAACCGTCGATCCACGAATTGCTAAGGAAGCCGCGCGCATGAAAGAGGCTGCCGATGTGGTCAACGATATCATCGGCGGGATCAACGATAAGAAGGATGCTGACCGCTTTCCAAATCAGGACAACCTTCCCACGTGGGCCCGCAAGGAACTTGACATGGAACTTGATCCGCGAAAAAACCCGCTGCTGAAAGATTTAATGGTGGACAAACACAATGTCCTCCGCTCCATGGTCATGCCGGCCGCTGCCAACATGCTCAAAATGGAATGGAACGAAGAAGCCGCCCGCATTGCACAGCGCTGGGCTAATGAATGCAAATTCGAGCATGACAAAGGCGAAGTCCGTGTAACGCAACGTGAGTGCTAATTGTTTCCGCTTTTGCCTAATAGTAATACGATACATTATCATACGTTCACTACATACAAAATGCATGCCACCTAATCAATAATCCATTACATGTTTTTTTCTTGTGTCCTGTCAAGCGTTTAGCAGCCATACGAATAAATAATGTTGCAGAATTTAAATGCGGCCAAAACCTGGCACGTTCATGGCCTAAACCAATGAGCTGGAATCTGACTATGCAGCTGTGGTTTGACGAAAGGAAAGATTTTATCTTCGATGGTCACCCGCGAGGCATGGTTGGCCATTACACGCAGGTATGTCGACCCTCCGTGTCCATTTAAAAAACTGGAATAATGTTACTGAAACTTGGTTACAATTTGTAATGACGTCATTTCGTTGTAGTTGGTTTGGGCGCAATCTTATCAGCTGGGCTGCGGATACAAAGATTGCGGAACTTTCCACCACTACGTCTGCGACTACTGTCCTGCGTAAGTAGACGGCAAATTTCACTTCTAAATACACAAATTTAAATATTTATATACAGATGCCTTATCTTTTCTATTTATGAAACATGAGAATTATGGATGACCTCTGTCAAAAGTATAGCATATTGGCTTGACCCCTTAAATAGCCCTATGGTATTGTTACAGGGGAAACGTGGATACAAGAAAATACAAACCGTACAAAGATACGCCTAAAGCCTGCGCTGCCTGTCCAAATGACTGCGATGAATCTGGCACGCTGTGCAGTAAGTTCAATAAAACGCTTAAAATTTTTCAACTGACTGTCATTAGAAAATTAATGATCGTTGAAAAATTAGCAGATCGAGGCAGTTAAAATCAGACCGTTTATGCCGGATGCTCTCTTTTTGTTTAAACAGCCATGTAATCATGGCCACGAGCGCCAATTGACTTAATTAACGTTCCTGTTAAAGCCGCACGACAGGTGCGTTTGTGCAAGGATCGCAGCTGCGCCGCGAATCGTGTACGACAGGGAATGATATATGCACATGTTATGTTTCTCACTTTTGTCTTCCAAACGGGCATGCACAAACAAGTTTTCCGTGCAAACTTTCAACAAAGGACTTATGAAAGGCGCGTGATCTTTTTCGCTGCGGTTCGCGCGCGATGATCAGCGAGTTCTCCCTGTCAAAAGGGAAAATTAAAGTAGATGAATTGATTTGCCATGCCGATCGATCACGTCTGGTTGCGGCAAGGTATTTTTTCGTTTTACAAGTGGTAACAACTGCATTAGTAATGCTCCTGCTAAATCACTTTGCTAAGTAGCAAGTGCTCAGTTGGAACAGTTTCAAAAGTTAGCCCACTGTAAAATTTATTAGCTGAGTAATATAAGTAGAGCCTTCGAATTCCTTTGTTTAAATTTGTGCAATATACTATGATCCTGACCATGAGCCGACAGTCATACAGGAAACAACGCAAGCCCTGATCCATAACCAGTTTTTACAACTACCGAGCTTTGGCGCTCATTATTAGTTTACCTCCCCTGATCGTTGTCTAGAACAAGGGAACAGGGTAGTGTATTGCATATTGTAAATTATTACTGCTTATTTTATTATGATGTCCTTTATTGTGCCGGCTGGCAACTGCCCGTTCAACGGTGCACAAACACCTTCAAAGATGCCAAGGTATAAGAGGAAATAACAGCGCCAGATCATCGAACTGACGTTATTCAGTCAAGGACGTTTAAATTACAAACTCGTTAGCAGTCTGAAAAGAAAATTGCACGGTACACTGTGTAAAATCTTTTCCAGGGAAAATATTGCCGCTAGGATTATATGGCTTCTGTTGCATAGTTGTTCAAGAGAAAACTGTTTGATTGACTGGCAAAATGCTCATCTTTCTGCGTGTATTTTGTTGTAAATAACGCCCTTATTCAGTATCTATTTTAAGTGCATGATCAATTACCTTGCTTTCTTTCCAGCTAATACCTGTCCATATTACAATCAATACGGCAATTGTGATGATTTGGAGAAAGAGTTCAGCATCTGCACCGACAAATCGTACGGTCTGGAAGACAAGTGTAAAGCTACATGCAAATGCAAGGGCAAAATTTACTGATCCTGCCATCGCCTGAAGTTGTTTTGCCTTTTTGCATTCTCTTTGTAATATTAATTTTGATCTTTTTTCCTCAATTTTTCGGTCTCTCAGTCGTAGATTTGGAGCGGTTTGAAAATGTTGGGTATTTTTTATTGTTGCCAAGTTTTGTAATGTGGTGGTGATACTGGCATGTTCAATTGTGCAATGTACTTAATTTTCAGCCCTATAATTATGCATTCGTTTCATGCTTCAGTATGCAGTGGTCCACATGGTTATGATTCCAGTTTAATGGTTACTTTTAAAATTTTGTTTGTGTACGTTAACGTCATGCCTTTATTTGATCACTGCCTTTTGGGAATGATGTGGCAGCACTGCTTTGGTTTGGCACTTAGACGCTGTGCATGAATATCCGGAAATGAAAATTAATAAACTTTAAAGATTGAAAATCCAGACAAAATGTTTATTTGCGGCTTACTGTATCGTATACTAGAAGTCAGAAGACACTCAAAATGCTCGTTTCATCTTGAATTGAATCGCTTATTTAGACTCTTCCCCTCTCCACGGGTTACCAACGCGTACGTACAGGGAGTTGCGAACTGAGAGACTGTGGCCGTACGAGGACTTCGAAGTTTTCGTCAGCATTTATCTATAGACCTCTTGATATCTCGTACATAATAATTAAAGTGTGCGAACAGCCTTTTTTTTACAACTCTGCTTGCGGTAGAAAGAATTTATTAAATTAATTCCAAGTTGATGCATATGGCCTTGCCGGCATGATTCAGTTTCGTGCGTTAAGTTTTCGATCGATCTGACTTGAGTATACGCCGAATGTAAACAACTAGCATTTCGCTGATTACTGTAATGGCCAGGGTGATATTTAGATTGTGTATAAATAGTTAACTGCTTAATAAAACAAACAAGATTCCCTTTAATTGTTCGTTATTGTGTTCTAAGCTGCTGGTGCTAGAGTAAGAGCTCACTGTCATTTCCAAGTACAGATTTGTAAATGCAGTATGATTCATGATTGATCGAAAACCCTGGGGTGCACAAACGTTTTTCTTGGTCGCGCGATTTGGGTGCCTCAGGACAACGTAACTGCAATGCGCTTCATCCGGTTGCATACAAATGCTAGAATAATGCTGTGTAACAATAGAACATGAGAAAACTAACGCATTCCGGCACAGCTTGAAAAAAATAACTGCTAATTTTAAAATAACTTTTGAGAACGAAATTCTAAGACTGCTTTGCTTCGTAGCACCAAGTGTTTGGAAATTACTGTTATCCCTTGTGTGCGCAAATTGTAACTAATATTATCTTCTATGAGTAATAACCTCCTCCAGAGCAGATAATTCGATGAACTACATACAATGATTCTCAGATTAATCTAAAAATTATTCGTTTAGATAGCGGCTGCGCAGCAGACCCCAGAATACTAGAGTAGCGGCATTACCGCGTTGTCTCTCTAAACTGCATCGCTGGTCAGGAAGTGCCTCGCCCGTACTCTCCATCTCCAGTTTGTGTACTCGTTATCAAATTGCGAAATTAAATGGTTGGTGCTGGGTCCAGGTTTCCCATGGTTTTGAGTGTCATAGACAGGACAGTGTTATTTTATGTTTGGTATACATTTTATTTAATTTTTCTGCTTAATTACATATTTTGCCACCTTAATTTGCATTATTATGACTATAAAATAATTTTGCTCGTTCGGTTTGGGAATGAAATCTTTTTTGACTACAGTATGAAATCTAATCTTCCGAAGTTTATGCCGTAGCTGTCGTGCCAGAGGTTTATTTGAAAGCATTACCGGTAGCAGCAAGAATTAATACTTCTACGGAATACAGAGTTAGAAAGTTACACCAAATTTGTCAAATGCGCAGTTCGTCCTTTAATAGTAAAGCTAATGAAGGTCAAATACTACAGCTTTCAGGTTTCCATTTGCCCCATTATATAATTATTGTATCAAAACTCCTATACTGGACAAATGCGCATTTTGCGTACTGCGATACAAATTTTAACACGCATTTGCGTTAATTAATTTTAGAATAGTGAGTAGTAGTTGTGTTCAAGGATTAGATCTTGCTAAGATCAGTTAGGATGGACGGCTTATCTGGAATCAGTAACGGTAAGCGAATTGAGGAGCGAACGGATGCTGGAAGGGGAATCCCATGCCTGGACCTTGCATCTGCGGTCCGAATTGTTGCCACATGGCAGCCATGGGGTCCGGGTTCATTTGTGGACGGGCTTGATTGGCCGCTCCCTTATCGGCTCCCTGTTGGCGTGCCGGTTTATTGCGGGCCTTATCAAGGTCAGATGGGTGGGGCTGCTGCATGGGTTGTGGGAAAGGCATTCCACCGGCGCCGGGCATGGGCATACCAAACATGAACGGCTGATTCATGGGAAAGCCAGCGGGCTGATTCATGCGAAAGCCAGCGGGCTGTTCTTGCTTGGCCATGTGGCTCTGTTTAGCTTCGGCCTGGACCGGAAGGGGATGGGCGGCGGCAGCCATTTGCTGTTGGGGCAGCGCTTTCATTTCGGTTTTCTGCGCATCTTCGGAGAAGATCGCTGGGATGAGGGTGACGAGTAGCACAACGATGGTCTTCATCTTTGGTGGCAGTTACAACTAATTACAATTTATTACAGTACAGCCTGCCTCTTTGTACAAAAATATTTTTCAAGAAAAAAATTTCTGCGGAGTCCTTTGATTACTGACAATCGTCTCTGCATTAAGTACATCTACGCGTTTCCAGTCAAAGATGTTGCCAAGCTATAATTATGTTGGTTGAAACATTACTAAACTTTTGATATAACAAAATATCTAGAGTAAGTTGATTAATTACTGTATACTTAAAATTTAGTATTCTATGTACTTACATATTTTATGTCCGCCCTATAAGTCAAAGTATTGTATGCCACAAGATAACAACATTCCAATTCAGTATAATTTACGAATTTTTGAATCTTTTATTAAGAAACTTTGGGCAAAACGTAATCGTACTTCTGTTTCCTATGTGAAGTAACTGTCAATATCTGTATTAACTGATGTTTGTAGTCTACTGTCCGCCTCAAAAACACCGCATAAAAATATTTGTATAGTGACGTTAAAATAATCCAGTCCTTGCGTACCTAACTATAGTTTACAATAAATACTACGTACAATATCCGAAATCTTGTATCTATTATCTGTACATAATCAAGTACATTAAATCCGTACACTAGATTTCCGCACTTAACTTTATCTTTTTCTCTTATTCCTCACACATCTTACGTTTTTGGGCGCTACCTTTTATTCGGTAAACTTCCTTTGAAACTGTACTTCTTCTGCCCTTTATGGAAAAGACCCAGCGACAAGTTCTTACACGGGAAGAGAACCGCGAAACTGGGTCGAAAATTCGTTCAAAACCCTGTGAAGAAAAACCGGCACATGGGTGCCGAGAGTAAAAAATAAAAGGTCATGCACGCAAATAAAGGTAATGCCAAATGGCAGTGTACGGAGCCAAAAGTAGCACTCGAAAAGGTAGTGCACCAAATGAAAGGAAGCGCAAAAAGGTAGTGACCCAAGCTGAACAAGTTCGTTCACTGTATGTCTAAAAAGTAAAACGCCGGTAAAAGTAAGAGTATTCCTGCAACTACAAAATGCCAATACATTTTACTAATACAGTAATAATACGATATTACGAAAAATTTAGTGCGAATCGTCAACGTTAACACACACATTTTTATTGCACACGTAACACATCATTCAATACAGAAAGTCGAACCGCACGTGCTCGATATGGCAAACGCGAAGTGTGGGAGGATTCTAGAATATCCTTCAATTTTTAAGTAACACAGCTGGTGCCAGGCGCACGGTCAAAATTTGACCCCCGGAAATCATTGCCGACAGGGATGAAGAGTAGGTATATTATATTGTTTGGCGCTCGTTTTACGTCAATTGCAACAGCGTGTGACACGTTTTTGGGCAAAAAAGTAAATACATACCAAAAAATTATCTCGACACCTCGGGTTGAAGTAAATGCGGGACTTCGGAAATTGCCGGCTTTTATTTCCAAGTCAAAGCGCTAGGAATGCCTAACAAAAACACTCGCGTAGAAGTCGGGCGAACGGTGTGACCTTTGCCCGTACGTGAAGGACACTCACTACGGAGTGGGGAAGGCTTACAGGAGGGGCAGGACCGCTAGGGTAGGAGATTGTAACCACCTCCCGTGTATAAGGACGCTCGAAGAGATCCGTCACTGTTAAGCTATTGGCCAAATTAAGAAGAATACTTGAATCCAGAAAAACACTGTCCTGGAAGACTGGTTTCATCCACTAGCTGGCAGTAGAGATGTTTGGGACATCGGCCTTCGTTGAGATGAGGATTCGCTTTGCTGGAAGGAAAAATTCGGGAAGTGATCCCCAGGCATCGGTCCACGACTTCCTACGGAAGCGGTTAAGTATATCCAGTTGTTAAAAGAAAAAGCAGCCGTGATTTTGAAAGCAATGAATGCGCGTACGCAATATGCGCGACGGAAGAGTATCTACGTATATAAGCCACACTGATAATTCTGCTTGTTTGTTGTTATTAGTTTATCGTCAAATTCCAAATCACTTAATTATTGCAATATATTATCTTGCTGTCCCCCAAAAAATATTTACATCTAAATCTATAATACGAGTTACGTTCTCCTATATGTTCGGCGTATAACCATTATTAACCACTAATTAAAGCACTCCCGTCGTAAAACTACTGTAATTGTTTATTGTATTAAGTACTGTACATATGCTAATCTACCTACGGTCCACGGACTCCTACGCAGCAGCAGCGGCCAGCGTACAGGATAGGATAACTACTACTGTATAACACATGATAACTACTATAATACATTTCCATCTGCACCTGCATGACGCATCCTGTAGGGCATTTCACATTCATTTTTATGACAACATGAGCAGGAAATCAGAGCTATCAACAGTTAGGAAAATGTCTAATATTTTAAAAGTTTCAAAGCCTCAATGCAAACTTTGAGCATCTCTCACACAGAAGAAGCAGAAAACCGAACATTACGATCAAAAGTAATCGAGATACACAGGGCCATATAGTTCGTATTAGGAATCATAAGGCACGAAAATGGAAGAAAATGGAAATCAATGCAACTTAGACGAATATCAATTTATTACAAACTATCGTCACCTAAGCTTTTCGCAGAATATCATTAGCCCGCGTATTGGCCGCATTAACTCGATCATCCGTCACAATGGCCTTGGTGTTCAATCGATCGAGCTGCTGATTCTGACGCCCGATCTCCCGTCCCATATCCTGTCCCATGGCCTTCAATCCCGTCAACATCCCGCCCACCGCGTGCAGATTGTCATCCATCTCATCCTCCCGTGCATCGTTGGTAATGCGCTGAATGTATTGTTGCCGTTCCTGGCCCTGGAAGCGGGCGTTCTCCACTCCGCTCGGCTGGTCTGTTCGCACAGCCTCCACATCGCCGCGACTACGATTCTCCTCGAAACCCCGTTTATAATTAGTGGATTTTTCGAAATTCTTCCGTCGACGCCAGGGACAGACACACAAACCGCAGCATTTCTCCATCTGCTGCATGTTGCGCTCGGCCTCACGCATATCCTGGTTCATCTGGTCCATGTTGTCCTCCACGCGATCCAACTGTTCGCCTTGACGATACAGATTCTCCATGGTCTTGGCGCCAGCTTCTTGGGATTCCTCCATCATGCGCACCATGCGCCGTGTGGAGTCCAGCGACTGGTCGGTGGTGCGATTGATCTGCAGATTTACCTGCTCCAGCTCGGACTGGGGGTTGGCGTGGGCGGCCGTGTAGCTGGGATTGTTGATGCCACGTTGGTTGGGCGCTGGACCGAGCAGTTCGCGACGACTGTCAGGCAGACCACCCCGTGGATTATCGTTCAAGGGCGAGAATCCTGCGCGATTGGCCATTTCTGGGTTTCCGTAATGTTAATGAATGTAACGGGATGCACGGGTTGCAGGCGGATGAAATTCTGAGGAAAAATCAGCAAGTCAGAGTCAAGCAGAGCACAGTGCCAGGAATGCGCGACACGATACGACAATAATGATAGGTGTAAATTCTGTAATAACACTCACTCACACCTGCGCGACAGATTGCGCAGTACCTTACACCAGCGATCACGAGTGAACTCACTTTTTGACAATTCAAACAATAATTCAAGATAATGATTCTGGATACTACAGGATTACGAAGATAATTCAAAATTAAGGAGTAACCTTGTACATATACTTGTACTGAAAATAATTACAAGTTAGAATATTAGACAACATTAGACAAGAGTCTAGACTTTGAAGTTCAAAACACTAAGTACAGTGAAACTTCTCTACAACATACACCCTCCGTTCCAGGCTTTCTGAATGTTACAGAGGGGTGTATGTTATACAGAAGCACTGCCCCCAGGGGCACTGCCCTTAGGGGCTCAGGGGCCCAGCCCCCGGGGTGTTACTTCACCAAAAAAATTAACAAAATATCAGAGTATGGACATTATTCGGTCTGAATGTTGGTTTTGCTGACCTTTTGTATGCTTGGAGTTGGAAGATCCGGTACTAAACAGAATAAAAACAGAAGCCGGAACCTTCTTTTAAAGACACCGAAATGATTTTTTTCACCAGCCTGGCCAACCGTATGTTACGCAGGGGTTGCAAAAGATGGTATTAAACACTGTTACCGGTTCCATAAAAGGTGTATGTTATAGCTGTAAAGGGGTGAATGTTATACAGAGAACTACCCCTGTGTTATAGTCTACCGGACGGTTTGGTTCCGAGCCTCATGCATGCAGTAAAGGGGTGAATGTTATAGGAAGGTGAATGTTAAGAGGAGTTTCACTGTACTAGTGACTGCGAATTGACAATGAGTAGAAAACAATAAACCATGAATTTCGCATATTATATACCGTATACTAAGTACGCAAGCTCAGTTTATCATTGAATACGACATTCAAAGTGCAGAGATGAGATAGTATTTTCATTGATTTTTATGATAGTATTTTCATTGATCGTTTAATCTAATATTTTATGGAATGGTGCGTTCATAATTACTGGCCTAGAGTAGAAGTCGTCATTTGGCACAGGTTACCGATTATAAATTGAAAGGTAGTGACATACTGGCAAATTTGATACCGGTAACTGTCGTAGTATTCACCACAACAGTGTGATATAAACAGTGATGATCTGTACAACAAATACAAGTACCGTACGAGTAGTTTTACGTTAATTGCAGTGACTGCTGTCCAAAGTGTATTACAGTATTTACTTTACCGTTGTATCGTTACTAGTGTGCTCTGTTGCTGACCTGAATTATTGTTATCCGCGCAACATTAAGTACCCGTACATAACTATTGTTTGGGCCTTTATCTGCATGTTGCGGTCAAATATTTATTTTGTCTTCGTGTAAAACGACAGATTATGAAGTCGCAAACAAATTCAGCGAGCAATAATGAGTTTAGGATAAAGTTAATTGGTCAAGAAAAGATAAGCCTTAACAGCTACAAAGTCCATCACAGAAAACCGAATGACACGGCGCAATATAAGGAAATATAAATGAGCAAAACCCAATAATTTTATTTATGTATGTTTGATAAGGGAAATAAATTCTTCACGGGTCTTTGGATCATCACGGAAGTTACCAAGAACCGAGCTGGTAATTGTTTTGGCTCCCGGCTTTTGAACTCCGCGCATAACCATGCACATGTGCCTGCAATACAAAAGGAGTACTTTTATTAATCTTGCTCTTGATGTGAAAATGGGTTTATTTATACTACTGTATTCAAACTAATTATACCAGTACGAAGGGAAACTTACGCTGCCTCCATAACCACAGCCACGCCGGCAGGATTAAGTGCTTCTTGGATGGCGGTGGCAATCTGCTTAGTCAGACGCTCCTGAACTTGCAGACGGCGACTGAAGACTTCGACAATGCGGGCGATCTTGCTCAGTCCCAGCACGTGATTTTTGGGAAGATATCCCACATGGACCTTGCCCATGAATGGCACCAAATGGTGCTCACACATGGAAAAGACATCGATGTCTTTGACAATGACCATTTCCTGATGGTTTTCAGCGAAAATGGCATCGTTGAGGATATCTGCCGACAAAAAATACTTGTACTCGTAACTGTGACAGGCTTATCTCCACTGGCGATTGTAGGTAACCTTTCGGTGAATTGAGTGCCGTTTAAATATAATTTGTGCTCCGCATATTATTGGTATCCAGCTTATGTGAGCATTAATCTTGTACGAGTATAAGCAGAAACAACAAAATTGCTCTGTTGTAGTGCAAAATAATAAGAGTGACCCTACTGCAGCCCTCGGCAAAAAGTGCCAGTGGTGTACTAAATCGTAGAGTGTTTTCTTTATTCTAATATCAGGTTTTCTTTATTTTAGGTTACCGCTGTTAATTTTGGTAAAGGTAGCTTTGATAAATTTATGTACGGCTAGTGACGGATTTTATTCGTACATTTGTGGACCCAAGTAATTTGACAAGCTTACCAGAAACTTTCTCCTCATAACCTTTGGTGAAGAAAAGGAAGGCCTTAGCGGCACGATCAGGCGTCTTAAGTAAACCCTCGCGGTCAGGATTTTCACCAATGGAAGTTAGGAGAGCGCGATAGCTGGCAGCCATCTGCGGCATAGCCGGCTCGCGGATCATGGGGCTCAGCAAATCAGTCTCACCATCGTCACCATGTGCCCCAATCTTCTCCATGGCGTTAAGCTTGTCGTCCAGTGATTTGCTGGGGCTGAGATTCTTGGCATCTGCCTTGTCTTTACCGCTGAACAGTTGGGCCATGGTATTGAACATATAATGATATGCAATTCAAAAGTGCAAGTCCAACTGCTGCTAACAAGTCAGGTGTCTGAGTGTTGGGAGCGCTGCAGAACCTGTGAAAATGGCGGTTTATATATGCTTTTTTCTGTACTTTCAGCGCCATTTTGTTATCAAGCACTCCAAAGTAATTCTCTTGTTCAACTAACAATATCTAGGCGCTTTGGCACCGGTTCGCACATCCATAAATTTTTCAACATAATGTTCGTGACCTTTAGTACAGCGGCGAGTGTAAGGAACAATGCGCTCGAACAGATATCACCAGACAGGTACTAAGAAAATACTCGTGGAGATTATCATTAATTGCTTTAATCACAGCATACTCCACCACATACTCCGTCCATCGAAAATTCTATCTTTGTCGCCAGCCGATAAACAAAACCGCCGATAATAATGCTTGCACGTTCCAATTCAAAACTGAGAAAAGTATAGCTGGCGCAGATTTTGCATGTTAAAAATGTTTTAAGCTTTTTCCAGACTAATTTTTAGTTTTTACACAGCGTTCAACAAAGCGAAAGTTAATACTTGTAAAAAGCTACACACCCATATTAATCCATATAACTCGAATTAACTTAAAATTTACGAAATTTCACACAGTGTTTTAAATTTTTTCTTATTTCTACAAGATCATGCAAAAGCGCCAATTTGCGTTCTATAACGATGAATTCGGTTCTGCTTTTTGTACAAATACAGTTAGTACAGCAAGAATATTGAGATGCCCCATTTACTTCAAAGAGACTCTGTTTACGGCTGCCTTTTTACATGAACAAAAATCTTCAAGCCCTTTAGGGTACCATTGGCTGCTGTACATTATTTATCGTTTATGCAGATTATGTTTTTTTTGCAAAAAATACGTATAGGAGAACATAAACAATTACCATCTGTTTATAATTTCTCTGCTGGTAGGTATTTGTTACATTTTTCAGGATTGACAGCAGTGTTAGTGAGACCAACGAGCCTCGGTGCTTACAATAAAATTTTGCATCTCAAAGCCATTTGATTCAATAAATGAAATATTCAAGGTTCTTTTGGTGCAACCGTGCAGAGTACGATTATTGCAGATACTACTTATGGTCAGAGTGTAAGTATGTGTAGTTGTACATGTTTGGCTAATTTCCGTTATGCGGTGAGTGTACAACACTGTGCAATAATCTGCATCACGAGAGTTACATAACATCTTTTATTCATAAAATGCTCTTCAAGGTCTGTCATATAAAGACGCAGAAGTATTCCTTGATCATGCGGCAGAAATCCGCGGGAAACAGTAAGGCTGGCGTTGGATCTGTTTACATACGGTATATTTAAAGTTTATTCACATAACAAACGGGGTGCAGCTGTTCGTGACAAGGAACATCCTCGTGATATTTTTCTTGAAAATTTAAATAAGAAAATTAGCCATTAATGTTTATGTGACCGTGATTTACAGCCACCGTGACGAGAAGAGCAGAATGGTTCAACAACATTGATCGGCTCTTTAATTCCAGACAATACCCGGAAGCACCGCTTCTAGCTTTGCGTCATTCGCAACATGAGCAGCCGCATCGCCTTATAATTAGGGCTGCGGTTAATTTCGCCATATTTTAATTTGGATCAATTTGGTTGCGCACCAGCGGAGCGCAGCTGTGATTTGGTTATTATGCGGTACATGTCTGACTATAGAAAAAAACCGGTTCGATAAGACATCGTGGTTGGATTGATGTCCCTCGCGCGATGCTGGAAAAAAGTTCAAAAATCACTCACCTTGAACTCCAGGCATCGGGCCACCTGTGAAAAACTCGGCACAGCGTCCATCACTGGAGAACGGAGTTTTACCTATTACTGAGCCAGTCTGCGTGCACTTAAATTTTAAATGTGCACCACTGTGTCAATGATACCGGCGACACTTCAAATTTTCGAAAACACCGGTGCCGCTTTCTATTTGTAGCGATGGGATACGACGAGCACATCCGGTACCGCTTATAATTAAACTGTTGATCAGCGATTGCCGTCATCTTTTACACTGGAGCGCAGCTGTCCGCCACTAACAAGAACCTTCCGATATATCCTTTTTTTAGAGTTCTTGCTGGTTTTTCCACTGATAGTTGGTAAGAATTTGAAGCCATCTGTTGAAGCATACTTCACCTTTTAAACGATGACCTTAACAGCAATGACTTTTTAACGTGTTATACTTATACCATTACTTTTTGTTATTAAATTTAACGGTGCTGCTGCTTAGATTAATTATTATCGCTGCATACATGTTTAGAGGGTAAATATGATAACTATATTAAAGGTCAATCAGTTTGTAAAGTACAGCTGTACTTATAAAGTATCGGTACCGGTGTCTGCGTTTGCTATGCACGATAATTTCTCAGCCTATCAAATCAATTTTCTATATTGTAAGTTTTTGTTTAGATCTTCCCGAAACTGGCATCTACGATTGAGTGGGTACAATGATCGCAAAACTCATACTGTATTTGACGATCTCGTTTACTTGGGAGCTGTGCTTTGCCAACGGGATTAAATATCCCTGGCTGACTCGTAAGTGATAAATAATTCTTGCATTTTCGTTACAAGTGAAGAAAAGTACAGTAAACAACGAGTAAATAAATTCTGAATATTAGCTCGCAGATATGCAACATCCTCTTCTCTCTTGATTTACCGGTATAAGAAGGTTCCCTTATGATGTGTAGATTTACGGATTTAACAAGCTCTCGTTCGTTAATTATATTATTATTCGTATTAATGGTGCTTAGAATATTTGCATTCCGTTTCTGATATGACGTAGTAGAGTACTGTATACAATTAATTTACAGAAAAGCCCAACTTGCGTCAAGAATCGGATAAACTGATTTCTGGCTTTAATGGGCTGTATACGGACATTGACGCCCAAAACGAGTTTCCCGAAGTCACCGATGACAACGTCGGCTTGAACGAAGTGCCAAAAATTAATTATCCATTTGCCATGAGTAAGTCCTTATTGTGCATAATAATTATAAATAAAATGAAGCATGATCCACGCGACAGTTTAATAAAATTCTTTAAAAATAATGAATAATAAAACTTAATATCTTTATTGAGACAGTTGAACAAATTTTTCTAATTCCGAACTGTAATTTCCAGCGCACAATTTGCGAATAACACGTTTTGTGCATCAACGCATTGTGCAAAGTACTGTGCTTTACCCGAAAAAATTATCCACGCCTGTAAATTATTCCTCTATTTAATCAATACTTTCGTTTTATTTTGTAGTTAGACTTTCTTGTGAATTGTCTCGAGATAAAACTGGTACACTGCCACTAATATGGATTGTTCTAAGTAAATAAAAATAATTAGCCTAGACTTACTGTAAATACCGCTCGTGCGACTTCGAGTACAGTACTTATTACCCACCTCATACGTATGACAGAACACTTGTTAAACCTCTGCCTATGGATACGGTAGGAAATTTAAAATACTGATTTTGAAAAATATTATTGCACTGTACAACTCATTGTAAAAAGTATGGTTGTTTACATTTGGCATTTTTCCGACTAACACGTTTTCAGTCGTACTATCTCCGATACCGCAATAAGCTTCGCATCGCAATCAGTAAGTTTTAGCGAAGCAATGAAAATGACAGTAATGAAAGGACCCAAATGCAGATTCGACATTTCGCTTAAAAAATCAAAAATTATAAAAAATACCAGCTTAATGTGATAGAATGTATGTCAGTGTCACGCTTATAGTGAAATACTGGGCACTCCTGAATCAGAAGATGAACCGGGACGCCATCCAGCCGGTCATAAAGCGAATTCCTTTTCACCATGAAAACAGTTTCGCACCGGACAGCGAATCCGATGGCTCTGATGACTTATTCGTCGAACTCGGGGAACCGGCGTACCAACCAGATCCCCCGGTTTTGGATCGGAATGTTCTGGAAACCTTCAGAAAGCTTAAAGGAACTCGTCCAGAAACACCTAAGGCCGATTCTAATTAACCGTCTCCAGCTAGACCTGGCAGTAAAGCTGATTAGTCAATAACTGTATTCGAAATAACTGACAAGCAAATCTTTCGTGAAAAAAAGATTACTTAAGTTACAAGAAGCTCTTTACATGAAGGTCATTTTCATGGTAAAATAGACATTATTAGAGAAACACGAGCATGTTATTGCGAATAACATTCTAATAATTAGATTGAAGTAGAATTAAAGTGGCAGTACAGATTCCTCCCCAGAGCTGGACAATTCACATTATGAGCGCCAATATGCAGTCCAATGCACTCGTAGTTTCCTCGTACTTTGTATATTGTATTTCTTACCGGGAAAACTCATACAAGGAAACTAGTCAAAACTGTAAAAAGCAATAGCATATACGATAATACTATTAAAAAAGGGTGTACAAATGAGAATCATTGAATCAGAACAGACGTTGGAGGTTCACGGAAGCAAGAAACAAAAATAAATTACAAAACGCAGTTTTTATCAAGCTATCGGAAAATCACTAACGCTATGCACTACATTAAAGGTATGGCAGGCGTTTTCGAATTGCAGTCAGCTCGTTAAAAATCAACTCCAATAAGGCTGTGTTGTGTGCGGTATCTTCCTGTAACTTTCCGATCTTTTTCTACAAAATTCATCTGATTTGTTAAGTATGGAGCTACGAACTCACGGTACGGTACGGTGACTAAACTATTCGGTTCGCTCTTCCTACCTCGGCCTCTATAAGTCGTTCGCAATTTTCGTGTTCATAATCATAAATCATATCACGAATGTCCAATACCGCTACACGATGTTCCATGGCGGCACTGTCCAGTTTCGTGGCCAAATTCTGCAACTGATCTGCAAAATTCGAATCACGCTCGCTGTCCGAGGGCTTGCTGCCCGTCAAAGTATCGGCCGGTTCAACAATCGGAGAGCTTGCATTGTTTTCTATAATCGTACACAACATTAAGAATTTTTCCATTTCAGTCGTGCACTTGAGACGAAACAAAATACTTATACGTCACAGAAAGTGGAAATGTCTACTTTTACAAACGTACCAAGGTTATTGCGCACGGTAATATTTGGTGACAACGTCATGACTGGCAGCGTTTGGGAGGCAACCCCCTCTGACAACTCTTTTGGCTGGATACGTTGAACAGTAGCGAAAGGTGCCGATAGAGAGATGGAAGCTGTTTCTACCGAAGGTTTGCTAGAATGCACACGTCCTGCATTTCGCGAGATTGCATCTTTCACTTCTGGGTCTACAAAATAAATCGAAAAGGGAAATTACGATAATATCGTCACGATCTAAGAAATTAATCATAGCTGGAACAAAACTCCAGAAAAATTGCGCGTAAAAATTTTAATTTTTCAGGAATTCACGCTATTCCCGAAAATAAAGTAAGATCTTCGATGACTGGTAAATGCACAGCTTACTGGATCCACGTTTTCCTTGACGCAGATCCGTGACCGGCAACGAGACTTTTGGTGTCACTTGATTTCCATTGGCTCGAAGGCCTGTATGTCGATCCTGCCAATTGAACAGGATAAAAGATACTTTAAGTTTTCAACGTAGCAGAAGGTTTCATTACAGTTCCCAATGCAGGATTGACCTTCGCTTGCGGCTGCACAGCTAGCGCCACCACAGGCACGTTGTGCTCCATAAACATCCGCTGCGGCGATGGGTCTTTTGTGAGATTGTACAGCAGGATCTTTCCCGTGGACGTACCGCAAAGAATTTCATTCCCCGTTGGAAGGAACAGAATACTGTACAGCGAGCAGTCCGACATGATTTTGTTGAGTATTCTGCAAAATAAAAACAATTACAGTACACTTTAAAGCAAAATCCAAGTAAAGCCTCGTTCATCCTTGTTTAACAGAAAATAAAAATTTACTTTTTCTGTCCAATGTGAAAAATAATAATCTGGTTATCCATGCCAACAGATGCAGCAAGGTTCGGATTAGTGTGGGAGAAGGCACTAAAATGTGGAAAATTAGTGGTGTTGTAAAATTATAGAAGTCGAGTTGCGCATCAGTACATATCGTTGCAAGCAGCCAGATGGGTAGAAATGCTTTCGAACGGGTACGAAAACTCTTTTTTAATCGTATCCAAAAAAGTAATCGCTCCGCTTTCGTGCCCACAAATCAAGGTGCGCAGATCAATTGGGAATGGTTGCAAAACCAGAACTGCCTGCAAAAATAAAAAAAAATAGGTAAAAACTGACGCGACAAGCAATGCAATTGGTCTGGATAGTGTACAAACGTATTTGTTTGAACTAAAAATTATCTGAACATGAGCTAAAAATAGGAATAAACTTAGGGCGTGTGCATTACACAATCACGAACCTTCGATTGTCCTTTGATTTTTGTTAAGCTCGACTGCTCGATTTTCGTCGATCGAAACCACAGGTCACCTTCCGCATCCGCAATGATGAGAGCAGTATCATCCGCATTGAAAAGAATACTTTTAATTTCGCTTCCTATGGTGCTTGCAGGAAGCGTAGTAATTTTCGTGGTTTTTCGATCGAAGATCTGCACCAATCCTTCCTTGTTGGCGCCTGCCACAATCTGCCCATTGCCATTGCCAAATGCCACCAGGGTTCGCGAAATACGCTGTAATGGATGCAGAGCTACGTTTTGCAATTGTCTCAGACTCTCAATGCGTTGCAGGTCGTCAAAAGACACATACTTTGGATGAGGAAGAATCACGCGATCCACTGCTAACAGATTTATCACTTTCAGCAGCAAAAATCTCAACGGGAGCACCGATGCCTCCGTTGCGAGTAACACTCAGCAAGTAAATTTTAGCGACATCGCTGCCTTTCCGAAAGCCAACGACGGCGATGCAGTCTCCCTTTGGTGACCAGATGGCTCGAACAACAGATACAAAATCCGTGGACGATGTGGACGGGATGACGCTGATCTTCTCAGCGTCCCACACTTTCAAGCTGTCTCCAGCGGACAAGAAGTACGCAGCCATACTGCTGTACACCAACAACGTACTGGAGCAGTTTTCTAAACTGAACACTTAATGGCAATAATTAATAGCATCAATTATTAAAAACGCGACTTCAGTCACTTCAGACAAGAAAAAGAGAAAAACTCTCGAAGATCCAACCACAAATTACAAATAATTCGAACGATTGACAACTTGAAAAACGCAAACACAGGAACAAATGAATAGCGCCATGTAATGGGAGTGCAGGGATTCTTTGCGCTTGCGCTGTAATAGGGTTGCTGGAAGTCCTAGGTCACGCATGGGCCATGGCCATCTGCCTGCTGGTGATTAAAATCGTAAAATTATAACAATTGTACTTTCACTCTTTCCCTAGTTTCCCAAGAAAGCGCTTCTTCTGGCAGGCTTTCGTAAAATTTATTTCCTTTATATTCTCATGGTGTCTATTACGAGAATTGTGAAGCGCTTTGCTGAGGCATTCGCTATCAAAAAAGCGAATTTCCGTCATATTATTTCGCAGTTACGCACCAGTTCGAGTTCGACAGGATCGACGCTGGACACACACTGCTTTCTTTCCCAAATTCCCACGTATCGAAATGAATTACGGGAATCTCGCGGACTGTTTCCGCTTCCCGCTATCTTATGTATCAGTGGTCTACTTGTTCAGCATTTTAGAACAATTTCTACATTTTTTATCTTAAGTTTCAAGGAAGGCGCAAAATCCTCAATCAAGAATCATTTCCAATACCATCACATTTTATTAAAAACGATATTTTCGAAAGTTATCATCTGCTGATACTCGAGCAAGCAAACCCAGTTGAACATAGAAGTATAACAAATCAAGATCAGCCATAATTATATAAACAATCACAGAGTTTTTAAGGACGACCTACATTGTTTCTAACAAATCACAGATACATAACCACTGTAAAAACCCGACCGGCTATTCCGATCTTTCCGCAATCGCGTTCATAGCGTCGATCTTTTTGAAGTCAAACGGCTCAAAAGCGTACCCAGAACCACCATAAAATTTGTTTTGGAACTCCACCCTAGAAACAATACTCCAGTGTTAAGTATCAACAATAAACAATTTCAACATTGTTTTGAGAGTTTACCAATGCAAACGAAGAGCATGCAGGAATGCACTCATGCCTAATAAAGAAAACAAAACATAAAACACTTCACAATTCTATGAAAATTAAATAGGCTAAAACAATTTTCACTGCGTACCTTCCATGAACACCAGAATGCCGAGAGTGGCCGATGCCCACGCGGAAAACACGGCAAATACCAAAAACAACCCGGCAAAGTTATTAAACATGAAGGAATTTACGTACACCATAGTCCAAAGCACTTCCGACAATTCTAAAATATTCGGCATAAAATAAATATTGATTAAGCTTTAACAGTGCTGCAGTATTCGCACGATCGCGTATAAAAGGTTTACGGTTTACGTCACCACTCACGAGAATGTGCCAGACTTAGTGCCCATAACCGAAGATAAGATGCGGTGTTACTGATAACCCCCAAACAAAACTCGATGGTATGGATGGCTTGGTAGATCATAATATCAGAGAATGACTGCAAAAACATATTGGAGATTCGGAAGTGCACCCGGTACATTAGCACGTCCCGCCAGATTACAGAACGTCATTAACACCGGTTTCACCCTGACGGTGAATTAACCGTTAAACAGGCAAGATTACTAACTTTTCTGAATTTCGCAGCAAAAAATGAGATACTGCTACAAGTTAGTTAGCATGTACCGTACCGAGTTATTTTCGCACCATATTAAATTTTAAGTATTGTCATATCAAGAGGACAGGTTGCAGGCGAAGTAATAATACCGTATTATTTCTACTTAATTTTATAGCACCGGTGTAAAAACAATTTTGCAGTGTGGTAATTATTACCGCAAAAGAACCGGGCGGTACTTCTATCTATTTCAATTCCATGTGTCAGCAATTTTATCTGTTTACCTCACCACTGGCGTGGTCATCATGGCCGCCTGTGTTGGTCGTGGAATTATCATCATCCACATTTGTATACTGCGCCCGCTAATTGGAGAACAAAAAATGCTCATGTTCGATTTTCTTTTCATGGTCAACACATCTAACGGTAAGTTGAAAATATCGGCGGTACACTTACCGAGCTGCGAACCCGATTATAGATGGGTTTAATAAATAACATCCAGGGAATGCATAATACGGCAACTACCACCAGCGTTATTTGTACTTCTTTCTGCAGTTACAAACAACGTCCAGTTAGTGATTAATTTTAAATCACAGAAAGGATATTTCAAAAAGGGTACCTGATGAGGATAAAATGTGTACAATTTACATGTGCCATTGTTGGGATTTTCCTGACTATATTTCATCAAAAACATGTTGATCAGACCAATCAGTAGCTGCGGTGAGCAACTGGATACGCTGGCGTCGAAAATAATCCATTTGGTAAAAATTTGAGCCACCAGATAGCCAAACATGCACAATAAGAAGATCACTTGCGGAATAAATTCACAAATTATATTCAGCGGCTTTTTAAAATATCTGCAAATGACCAAAATCCATTAAATGACATTTCAAAGCGTGCCACAGCGGCAACTCACGTGTGATTGAAGGCGCTCAGACAAATTCCAAACATCATCTGCAAACGACAAAACGGAACTCGTTAATGATACTGACTTGGCACCACAGTAACAGAATCGACAACGGAATTGATAAGATGCTGATGATGGTACAACGATAAAATCTGGACACACCTGCATAACACCCAAAATGACGGACATCTTCATTTTGTAGGAATTGATGAAATTAATCTTGTTGCTAGCCATGGCCCACACTGGATCAATCCCGAACGGATACGGACCATTGTCATTAATGTAATCCGAAGAATTCGGGTTAAGCTGTATTGCAGGCTCTTGTCCTTCCGGATAGTCCGACATACTAAAACAAATCAAGCAAGCTTATATATCTGCAGCTGCCAGAATATAACTAATATTTATCGATAACGGTATATTGTGAATACGGCATCCATTTACTTGTAGTTCATTGCACTCCAGCGCGATCCAAAAATGTTCATGGATTTGCTGAAAATGTCGTTGTAAATAAATCCTGTGTAGATACTAAACAGACCCATCAGGAAAATGATATATCTTCCCCCAAACATGGTAAGAGCAATCTACAAATTAAAACATTTAATCATTTCGAAGGCTGCGGAGCAGGGAAAATGGCTACTTCATTAATTTTTACCGTAGGGAAAATAAACTACCTACTTATACAAATAAGCCGATGATTAAGGCACTTAAACACATTTTTTCTAGTTTATTAAAGTGTGTTAAATTCAGCTCCGTATAGTGTTCTGCATGTCTGTTTAAAGCCGATGAACGATGAACAAGCCAAGAGGATATTATGCACCGCTTTTACAAACGATTCTTCCAGGGCTCTTGCATTAAAAGATAAATTACCAAATTATAAATTTCAAGTAAACTACACATTTAATTTAAAACAAGTACTGTACTGCTACCCTGCACTTGTCCATTTATTTTGCAGTGCAGGCCCACGTACGTTGTATGAGCCCATTCACAATTCACATACACGGCCTGCAACTGCGTGCGAGAGTGCAGGCAGCTGACTGAACGTGAGCGGCTTTAGCTCTCACTCGCCTACAGTGCAGTAGACTCAAACCGTACAAAAGTCTGGACAAGTGAAGGGTAGCAGTACAGTAAATAAATTTTACTTACCTCGCCTAAACCTCTCCGGCTTTCTATCCATTTCTCCTTCCAAATCAGCACTGCTGCTAATGCTGCCATAATTGCTCCATGACCAGCATCGCCAAACATTACAGCAAAAAGAAACGGAAACGTAATGACTGTGAACGGTGCTACAAACAAAAATACAAAAGACTGAACTACAAACAGAATTTCCAATCAGAACTTGGATAAACATGTCACTGTGAAATATCAGCGTCAAAATGGTAAACAAGGGCTAGGGAATGAATGATTTACACATATGCTGAATGATTTACACATAACGATATAGTACCTGGATTAACTTCTCGATAGTTTGCCATCCCGTACGCATCGACAATCCCCTGAAAACCGGATGTAAACTTGTTCGTTTTGTGATACGTAGGCGGTGTGTCCTTTGTCGGAATCGGTGAAACAATGGACGGAACGTTACATTCGGCTTTTTCCTACCAGCAAATTTTTTATATCATTAGCGTATTTGTCTAGTTCACGGTGGCGTAATTGCGCTATTAGCAACATGCGAAAAGTGTACATGTCAAATACAAAGTAAGACTTCAACTGCGAACGCACATCACCATTAAAAGGAGTTGGCTACTGTAGTGCGTTAATAATAATTAAAAGAGATTTGGTAGCTTACCGTTCCAACTCCAAGAGCATAACGAATTCTGTCGAGTTCCTTAAGCGGACACCAGCCTTCTCCAACAAAACAGCGCTGCGTTATATCGATATTGAAATTGTTCATCAATGTGTAAACAGCTTTGATTTTCTGCAACTTCTTGCACCACAAATCAATATTTTTGGCTGACGCTGTCATGACCATCAGGCGATGTTGTTGAGTGTGTCCGATAAGCTACAATCATAATTACTGAAGCGTCGATTTCACTTTCGTTTACAATATAATGTTCTCAAATTTCAAGTAAACGAATGCAAAAAGTGCTGCGTCATTTTGCAGACGCAACATCATCCACTTTCGTGCGCCTATATGATTTTCAAAAACATTTTTAATTCCTACCGTTTTCAAGTCTTCGATACGGGTCATAACCTGAATCGCCATTTCACGCATTTCTGCACTGGTTTCCGGGCATGGAAAAATAGTTGCCTTGAAGCTACAACAGAACCGCAAACGTAAGTCAAAGCATTATTAAAGCGCAAGTAAGGAAGTGTGTCGTCAGTTTCGAAGCTAAATCATCAAAAGCACGGAACGCACAATATCAAATTATCAAAATATAAACAACATACTTTTACGAAAAAATCTGGTAGTAGACAGCACATGCTTAAGCCCTGGACATACGACATTCAAAATAATTACGATCTGATCTGGTAAGAATTCAGTTAGCACTTACTAACTCACTCGCACTGGCTGTTTAAATCGAAATGAAACTTACGCTTCACAGATCTTTTTTACTCGAACCTTCAATTGCTCTCCTTGGTAAAAAGCGAAAAAAGTTGATTTTCGTATTTCCGCTCCCTGATAGAAAAAATAATGCGAACTTAAATAAAACGAACACGTCGCAGGCTAATTTAACAGCGGAAAATACATGATCTATGTATCTACCGTGAGGGGATCTTCCAATGGAGTCTCAATATCATGGCACCGCACGAGCACAGTTCCTCGTGACAATCTCCAGATGAGCCGCTCGAAAGCTGGCACTTTCTGCTGTAGAATAGTTCCAGCCAGAAAGCTTATCTGCGCTTCGCGTTTAGCTCCCGGTATGGGCGCATCGAATTGTCCGCCCATGGCGTGCACTCCTAAATCATCCTAGAGAAAGAAACAGGCTTGTTTTTATGGTGCAGTGTACCGTGTGTATGAGTACTACTGAAGTTAAATGCAGCACAACATTTTATTATTTAGTCGCTGTCTTAGAGAAAACAAACAGTGGTGCGCATTTACTTGATCGAATATGGTTTGTGCACGGCGTAAAACGTGCTTCAGCTCGACAAGTTCCATCATATTCTTGCTCAGCGCTTCGTAGTTTCCGTTGACTTCCTTCAGTTCATGCTCCAGTTTATCCATTGTTCCCTATAAAATATGTATAAAAACATGCTTAGTCAAGTGCATTCAGCAGAACCGTTATAGACTATCCAGAAATATATCAAAAATTCGTATTTAGCGTTCTAAAAATGCAGTACAAGTATCCAGAACAAGACTGAATAGGGAGAGTTTGGATCCCAAATCGAAAAGCCCACTTAATGGCGTTCGCTTGTAAGGAAATTATGTATAAAGAAATACGTGTGGTGGTTTTAAATACGCAAATAACGAAAATTAATGCGCTGGAACAGTTAGGTTAAAAAAGACCGGATGATAATTGAATACCAACAAATTCCGTGTCATAGTGCACAACCACAGAAACGTACAGTGTAAAGGTGTATGCAAAATAAAATGGTTGGGATAAAATGCATTTTTCTCCAAAGCATTTTATCCATCTTGAAGAAAAATGCTTTATTATGTACATACCTCCAAATCGACCAACTCCCGTGGCAGCGGCGTTGCCGGATTCTCACCGACTCTTAAGATGGGAATTTCTTCGCGTTCGCATTCTTTTGTTAAGAAACCTGTTTCACATACGGCAAGTCAAGGTGAGTGTGCTCTCTGATAACACATATGTACACATATTACAACACAGAAAATATACGGCCATAATTTACTAATTTTTTATGAAAGCGTATCGTATAATACTTCTGTTATAAACAAAAAAAAATCAAAAAAATTTGATACACCTCATAATTCTGAAGCACTCTGGATATTACACTAACGTTCATCGGCTTGTCCCTTGAATGTTCAGCGATCACAAACATCAGCCGGAAAATGTTACCTACGGCAGTCACTTACGCAGTATCCTTTCCATTTCGTCACATCTTCGGATCTCGTTAACGAATTTACGTTGGAATGCATTGACATCTGCGTTTAACTGTGAATACAGTACCGGTTAATAAAATAAAGGTTTTTGTATTTCGAGAGTATGTAAAGTCAAAGAATAATAAACCCAAGCATGTTTATTACATGATTTATTAACATTGTCCGGCCATGCGAAGCCGAGAACACTTGACTTACATCTCGAAACTGGCAAACACCAAGCTCTCCAAGTTCAGCCACACAACAGTAAGCCGCCTCGGACTGAAGATAAAACTGACACAACACCATACGCTGGCTCCTGAATAAGGTTCCCATTTTCGCGCTGCGTTTTTTAATTGAAAAAAGGTAAATTCCGCTAAAAAACTAACGATCCAAATGGGCTTTCGACCTTGTTTGCCTCAGGAAGTGTGATCGAAACGGGCGTATCAGTCCGTTTAACTGCAGCGTACGCTAGTCGGCTGGCACGGCGCACATTTTTGCTGCGGTTATGGCCAGCCAATCACTTCAAGCTGGCTGATACAGCGTTTACACCGGTACGGTACACAGAAATAGCGAATATACAGTAACACCTAAATTTTTATCGCTTTTTCTTTTTGTGCAACATATGCTATGTTGGTCATAACTTGAGTGTTTGGCAGATATTGCGATTATCTTATCAGAAAAGTAGGACGGAATTTTATAAATTTTTTCACGTTCAAAGCTCGAATGCTGGTATTTTAACAATAATAATTTTATTATTACGCACTTCTACTTTATTAAGTTAAACCTTATTTAAACATTATTAAATTTTGATATAGTCTATCTTTGTAACGTTAATTAGGCTCAGAAGTAAACAGCTTAACTGTTTTCCAGAGCATGCAGTACACAGTACACTATATTGCACATAATATTACTGCTGTCCGAAACTACAAAATGTTAATTTTCACACAAATGCATTTATAAACTGTGCTGGGTTGTAAATTTGCAGTTGCCGACAACCTGGAGTTGAGCAGATATTGTATACTTTATCAGGAACTTACTATAGCTACTTACTACAGCTTACCTCACACTATAGTTTAAGTACTTCACTTTATGTATCTTTCGTGCATCTTCTCTTTCAAGTAATTCATTTCCTTACACGTGTGTCCAATTACAGTATCATCGTTATTCTTAACATTAGTACTACGCCTTTAATTTCAACCAACGTGTCGTACAATTAAAATGGGTGCGCTGCTGACTTGCATATACCGCCGGCATGCACTTGCTTCTGCTATGCAGTATCGTAGTAATACTCGTAGTAGATCACAATATTCCAGAGAAATTTTGTCGAACTTGATCAGAAACGTTTCCAGTTCATGGCGACAGGCTAGTGCGCATATAAGCGCATTTTCCGTGTTTACGTAATTGTAATCAAGCAAACATGCAGCTATACAAAGTTGCATTTATTGTCGGAATAACGAAACGGAAGTCTTTTTCAGGTTTTAGCTATGTACTGTATAATGCAAACAAGATCGAGCAAGTCATAGTCATCGAATGCGAGCTTTTGTCCTTGCAATCGCCCTTGTAATGTAAAAACTGTTGTAAACAATCTTCTTATTAAAAAGTGATTTTTGCGCTGCCACTAACGGCATTTATAAAGACTTTTAATTTTGGAAATATCTCCATCGCTGTAGGTTTTGTTGTTTCCCAGGACTTGATTGGCATTTTTCTTCGCCCGGATTGTCAGCTCGATTTGTTGATGGCCCAGGCACTGGAAGTGTAATGAGTGACCGACATAAGGTCGTACGGAAGATTAGTAACGGGATAATCTTCTGCCGTCAATTTGGTAAATTTTCGCTTGTTGCCTGTAATTTGTAGAAGATGTCAACAATTACGGTACGATTATGAATGCAAATATGATCTGACTTTTTTTCAAACATTGAAGTATACAAACTAAAACAAACACAGGATATCACGAGTTTCTTTTCACCTTCTGCAATGTTGTCCCAGTTGATTTGAATGTAGTTGTCGCGATCGGCGCGGTTATTCTCAAAAGTGAAACCTAGGGAAAACAATAGTCCTTGCTTACTTGTGATGAAATCTTAATAACAGAGTAACCATAATAATTATGTAAAACAAAATTACAGGGCGCTTGCGTACAATGATGATCGTTAAGTAATAGATCCCATAATGATGATATTCCCATAAAATACCAATTTGTAGTTATACTCTGCACTTGACAAAAATTTAAACTTAATAATACCTAAAACTCTCATAAAATTCCGAGCCAACGTTCCGCTTCCAAAGCACTCTGAAAAGCAATTAGTAAGTCACATAGTACAAATATATGGAAAGCACGTACACAAACGAAAGATGGTACAAAATATTACTAACATGGACCATTATTGTTAACCTGGTTATCTCCATATTTCGCTGGGATGCAACTGACACATTTCATTATCCATCCAAAGAATTTTCACTTACTTTTTACAGACAGCATGAGCGTGCTGACACCTTCCTGTTTTCCGATCATCGAAGAGCACCTGCATATGCAACATCGGCAGACATTAATGTGTCTGTATATATCGTTACCGGCAGATGGTAAAACGTTTACAGTACATTGTACTCATACCATTTGTTTCTTGCAAGACAATATTAGTTATTATTATGTTATGACAAAGCCAGTTTTGTCATCTCCGCCTTTCGGGAAAAGTGTTCCCGAATTATTCAGTTAATTTGGGAACACTTTTCACGTCAAGATCTTCAGAATAATTACGCACTTCAGTCCCGGAATAATGCTGACGTAACTGGTGTCTGTTCCTCTGGCTGCAACGAATCGGACGCATGTCTTTTGTGATATGGCGTTCATGCTGTTTTTCAGCTTGGTGACTTCATCAGCTGTAACTCGCAATACAAATATTTATGATAAGTAGTACGTGTTGCACTGGAGCATTAATATATGTCAAAGTGGAACAAAATGACAAAATTTAATGATTTTCGCAAGATTTTGCAAGGATAGATGTGTGCTTGTAGCCGAGCTGTATGTTAACAATACTGCAAAACCGGAATAAGAATGGGGATTTTGGTTGTCGTTGTTGTTTAATATTAACTTTTATTTATGTACGTGCAGAAAGACGACTAATGTTTGTGATCTGTAATGGCTAATACTGTTTCAAGAAGCTTACTTCGTAAAAATTTGCAATGCCTTGTTTAATTTTTATATGCGTGTACCAGTACAGCTGCATTAAAATATTTTTAATATGATTTTTTCAGGAAATGGAAATATTAACCACAAGATCTGATAAGGTGCACCAGCGATTAAGATCTCGTGTGTATAACACATGGCAATATTTGCTCCATTAATTATACTTTACGGTTTTTTGTCACAAATACTACACATGAAAAGTCTAGACGCAGTTTCTGATTTCTGTTATTTTTTAAAATGTTCTTAGTTAACCCGAGGCAAACCCGAGTGAACGAGCGCCGGAATCTCAATATTCATTAGTTTTATAACAATATATAAACTTTGATTACCTCCGAATGACGGGGAAATTTTGTACTTCACTTCTCCATTCGGCCACAAACGAAAAACACGCCGAGGTGGACCCGCACTGTCTTTTCCAGGGATTCCGCTGTCGATCCAACCCTTCCGGTTCTTGTAAGCATCGCAGGATGCAATTGTTAGATATGGTAACTGCCAAATTTACAGTTCCTTTATCGCTGGTTTGATTTACATTGCGCCCACCAGTAAATTGAAGAATCAAATAAACCCTTAAAATTAAGTGTTAAAAACCACTTACTACCTTACCGTCGGTGTCGTCGAAGACAGGTTGAGTGTTTCGCGATCCAGCCGCCAGTGTTTGGTGTTTCAAAGCAACAATGCCGGTCAATAACAACAGAACCAGCTGCGTTCGCATAGAGCCCATTTTTTAATGATTTTAAACGTATTTTCACTCTAAGAAACCTGACCAGGTGAGACACAGTATTTTGCGCTTGGTAAAGGGCGCAATAATATTTAACAGCAGCGACTGAGACGATGCGTAATTTTGGAAGCACCGCGTATACGGCCCTTTTCCTATTTCAAAGGTACACGTGCAATTGCATGGTGTGTGCCAAAGGATCGTGCAGTGTATTCCGGGAATGAAATTACTTACCAGAACAGGTTTGTTTGTTATTGTTTGGTTTACTAAAGAGAAGCTTCAGAATATGCATACATGTAGCCTGATTTGATGCCGGTGCGATCTAATCTCGGCTAGTGCTAGTAAAATCTGGAAAATCGTTTGGCGTACCACTGAGTAGACTTGCTGTTTTGGTGCCTGGATGAAACACTTGTAGTATCGATAACAATGTTCAAACTGGTAGCAGCTTGTAGTTTACTTGATGCAAGTGCGTTATGCTAAGAATGTTTAATACGCGTGTAATACAAAAAAGGAGCTATTTCTTCTTGTAATAAATAGTTCGTCACACGCACCGCGCCAGTAGGGTCTACATGCCGGGGCTGGAGAAATCCCAAAATTTAAAATCTTGTTTATTTAAGTAAGCGCAAAATTAGTTATTCTGACAATAGTTATTTAATTACCTGCTAAAAGAACCATCTTACACAATAAAGTAAATATTAAATTTGCTTAAGCGTTTAGATGCGCTTGAGTGCTTCCAAGCACGCTAATGCCGGTTTTACGCTAACGTATTTAATGCATTTACGACCAGCATTTATTTACGGAAATGGCGTAGAGGTATTCTATGCGAGCGTGGTATGTGCATTTAATCAAGCCATCTAGGTTCCATAAGAATAAATAAAACATCGAACAAGAGCTTTGTCATGGGCAGGGTAACCGCTTTTGATTGTCGCTTTCCAGAAAGGTCACACCACATCTGTATTTGCATCTTTCGATTCGTGAACCAAGCAGCGGCTAGCATTAACAATACAAAAGATATCAAAGTTTATTAGTAATGATAACAGCCGCCATTCAGCTAGCACCGTCGACTATGGAGCGAACACAACATGAGCAAACGAAAACTTTTACAGCTAAGTAATATTTGCAAACCAAAACTAAAGAAAAAAGGTTTTAAAAACTACATTTTATTGTAGTAGGTAACTTCAACAAAAAAATACCAGTCATGCTGAACCCCTCTCAAACTAAAAAACAATGAATTTCTAGCCAAGCAGCAACCCGTACTGCAACCTTTACTAGGGTTTCCAACCTCTAATTAAGGTAGCAACTATTACTGGAACTTGAAAAGGTCATCCGGGAAGGCTCCAGCTTCTTTCATTCTATCAATGGTCTTTTGTAAACTACTCCTTCCCGGTCCATGCAATGCCATAGAACGAGTGAAACATGATCCGGGGACCATCCCATATTTCTGGTCAGTCGCAGACAGTGTCGGCGGGCATTTTTGACTACCTCATCGCAAGCAGCCATTGGATTGGGATATTCATTGGAGCATGCCGAAGTTGCTGCCGCACAAACACCTAGTATATAGATCCACATAATCAACGTCTCCATATCAAAAATCTGTCGCGTCTTAGCAAAGATGTACAGAAATACAAAAGTAATATTAGTGGTATCCGGGTAATTGCAAGTAATCAATAAAGAAAAATCAGTATTTAATAAAATAACACATCAAAATTTGATGAGCTGAGGAGTATGTTATAGACAAACCGTATTTTCTTGTACACCTGGTAGACCATAATTCAGGTCGAACGATAGTTTGTCTGCCTACATTGTATATATATTTGAAAATAGGGTGGTAAGAACGGGATCAAAAACAGGAGCGTGCGTTGGAACCTAATGATTTATGGCATCGGTAAACGCGGAAGTTATGGTCGCTGCACGCAAATGCAATAGGCGCAACCTGCAGAATGAGGTAAAACGGTCTGTTATTAATCGACTGTTTATGCTAATTTGGCTGCGCAAGACTTACTGCCATAATCATTTATGCTGATATAGCCATGTTTATTCTTGTCCATGACCGATTTCACTATGAAAATGATGTCGGGAATCCACGCTGATCCAGAGCTTCACAAAACAGCTCGACGACTATCAGAAGGCAAAGATTATAGTAGACTAATTATACAGTATTTACAGGTAAAATCTGTCTTCCCAACTTTAAATTCTCAAATAAGACAAATAATATCTTCATGAAACCGGCATACAGTACAGACTACAGAGTCTGTAGTTTCACTACATAACAGTAAAATTTGGTCAACATTCATGTTAATTATGCAAATAGAATGCGTGCTCCTACAGTATATACGTGTTGCAGTTGCAGTACTACCTACCGCACGTTGTTCAAAATCTTTCCTTTAGGAGATATTAGGACGTGTGAGCGTCCTGTTAATTTAAACTTTAAAGCGTAAACTTCGAATTATGATATGGAAGAACAAGGATTAAACTTTAGTTTGTAACGACGTTAACAAATTTACTTTTAACTGCGGAGGATGCGCGCGTCCGGCCGTAACCTGATTACGCACGTATCATCAGTTTAAGCTGTAAACCCGTGCGCCTTAATTACATTTTGCTACATCTTTCTCTTTGGTTTTAAATAAGTAAATGAAATTCACAATAAAAATTTTGGCGATGTTGCAGAAGAAACTACTCTAGTGCTGCGCAGTTCCCACTGGTTGCATAATGCGTTTTACAACATCATCAATGCTGATTGGATGGTTTTGGTAAATGCCATATCGTATCAGTCATACAATAATTTAAAATTATGTGAACGTGAATATAGTAAATAATAAAAGAAGTAGATGATAAAAGTTTGCGCAAAAACATTTTTTAAATATGTACTCGGTTAGTTTGCTGCAATCAGCGTAGTACCTGTGCTCTAGTACCGTAGAAGCATACGTAGCCGTATACAGTAATTTTACTCCAAGCTTGATATACGAAATGTTCGAATATGCTGCTTGGTTAATTAGCTCCTAATTGTAAAGCAGATTGGCATGATCTATTATTGCAGAGTACAGAGTAATCTTTGCGCTCCGGCAATTTTTTCATACGCAATATTCGAGCAGAGGTCGGAAAATGTAGGCAATTTTGAACTAGAAACCCAGTCAGGGTATTGGTCTGTCTGCATATGCGTAGTATTGTACAGTAATCCTTCAGTTATAAAAGATAAAATAGTATTTTGATACGGAATAGATTAAAGTACACTATGGAATTTTGCCAATTTTACACTGCACGTATTCGAAGGTACAAGTGTGAACGTTACTTACCAATCAAGATAAAAATTTAAAATTGCCTTCTACCAGATAGTTATCACTTTCACAAGTGATATAGTCGGCATTGAGAGCCTACAAAGTTTGGTAGTCGATCGTAGTTGGGTCTGGGACCGCTTATGTTGATTACAAATTCCGTTAATAATAATATTCTCAGAATGTATATCAATAACATAATAATATTTCTTTGCTGCAGTGCAGTAGTAATCCACCATACTTCTGCCAGGTCCGTTATGACTTCTGTTTTAGTCCAGCATCTTATGGATTCTGACAGTGTCCACGTACAACCGAATGCCGACCAACAGGGGCAACCGGTGGTTGTGAAAATCGGGCTTAGCGTCACTGGCATACAACATGAAGTAATTGTGGCTGCAGTAAATTCTTATCCGTTTGCATAATTTCGCCGCTCGCTAATCGTTACATTTTGTCTGTACTTATTAGCTCGCAAGTTTGCATGTTCTTCGATCAAACGTAAAATTAAAACCTATTTACGAGAGAGGTTAATCAGTTAATTAAATTAATACATATTTTCTTTTTTCGTATATCAAAAGTGTGCTAAAATGCACTAGCTGCTGCGCTAATATACTGTAAACGTAAATGACCGAGAGTTGTGTAAATATATATCATACAATTGTGATTTCATACTTGTCATTCCGCTTCTGTTAATGTCGTGGCATTTGTTCTGTTTGGCGACTGTAGCGTCCCGAATCCAATTCGGTTAAAGTGCACGGTTTCCTGAAGTTGGAATGGAAGAACAGCCGCTTAGCTTGGGAACCTCTGGAATACAACAATATTACCGTTGCACGAGTCCCGTCGGATCATGTGTGGTTGCCCGATATCACGTTGTTCAATAAGTTAGTCTGCCAATTTTTAAGGATAAAATGAAACGCATTGCATTGTGCATTTACATTTTTCATTTTTTGAGTCTTCAACATAAACATACGTACATAGCTTTGCTAACTGTATATGGAATCAATGTTAATTATTATTATTAGCTTCGATGCGCGCAGCCGAGTGTTCTCGGAGGAAAAAAAGCTGGTCCTTGTGATGTCTGATGGCAGTGTGATATGGGTACCTCCCGTGACCTTCCCGATAAGCTGCAATAGCACGGAGACCAGAGCCGACGGTGGCGAACTGAATTGCTTTATTAAGCTAGGTACTTGCAGTAGTTTCCAGCGTCCCGAATCGTCAGTTGACGGAAGAATTTGTCAGTTCTTGTAAGCAAATTTGTTTTATGATTTAGGCTCTTGGACATACGACGAAACGCTGATTGACGTTCAAGCGGACAGCGACAAAATTGGTACGGTTTATACTGTATTGCCGAAAATAGAAATAGCTTTACACAAATGTCCTGCATGTAGATAATAAATTATGTTAATTATTTCAGACGATTTATACCTCGGTTCGAGCTATCGCATAACCGACAGCAAGGTAGTCAGAAACTCAGCTGTCTATCCTTGCTGCAAAGAGGCGTACCCGTCTATCGACATAACCTTTACAGCAAAAAGAGTTTAACTTAAACTATTGCTTGGTTTCACTCCTTTCATGCTGATTTCGTTATTTTATCGACAATAATGCGATGTGCTATTGAAGAGCTAATTGGTCACGTCACAACATCTTGCCGGTTACTTTTTGCTGCGTTGTTGGAATACTATATAAAGTGTTAGTACGATTTTGGCATCATTTTGCCCACATAATTAAAACCGATTCTGGTAATGAGACTGTTTCAAGTGCCGCTACCGCAAAGAAACTGTCGAAATGTATTAAGTATGATTTCAGGATGACAGCGATATTGTAATATGGTTATCTATACAAAGTACAGCAAAAACCTTGAGTTCAACGCTAGCAGCATATGCATATATTTGTAACTGTAAACATGATCATGAGTGTATAATACGTAATCGCATTGTCAACATGCACTCGTATCTTTGAGTTTTTTGTACCGAGACACACAACAACAAAGAAGTAGTTTTACAATATTTCGTGATAACATACTCTCGCTCAATTTGTTTGCACATCGGTACCCGAAAATAAACCCAAATTATTCTATAATCGACCAAAATACCATGGCCTTGCTAGTAAGTTTACAGGTCTCATTTTTCGGTGTTACAAAGAACAGTACCAGAGAACTGACTGGAAGGAAGCAGTTATCACCTTAGGTTCAATATTATTCAGGAAACATTTTCGAATTGTTTCGTATGGAAGACATAATTACTGTTTATGACTGTGCCGCCATGAGCGCTACAAAATATTTGAGCACTGGACAATGACCAAGTTATCTTTTTTCGTTATCGGCACCGGTAAATGAATATTGTGTCAATAACCGGAATGCTCGTACGTTTTTGCTAGAAAACTGATGACTTTGCCTTTTCGCAACGAAGAGTTCTCGAAACTGGGCAACAATACGGATCAACAAAGAGGTATCAGCAGATTTTCCCCGTACAGCTTGTGATGTTTCATAATTTGTAGTAAAGCAGATTAAGCGTAGGGAGCTAGTAAGTATGTGGTTCCATTGGTCCGGAATTTTTTTCACTGGATTTGCTTTCATTGCTGGTATTGTATTTATATGCGTTTTAGTTAACGTTGTGGTCACGAAAATCTGAGATTAGTTCAGCTCACCTGCATTACTGCATGCACCGTGGAAGACTACCGACACAGCCGCTTACTATTATATTACGTGTACCAGGCCGTTTATTATAAACCTTGTTAGTTAATCTGTTATGTTAGATCTATTCTTACTAGAATTTCTATCGAATAAAAAACGGTAAAGGGTAAAAGTTTAAATCCCTGTTAACGCAAAAATCCCAAATGATGCTCCTGGTTGCAAGTGCTATGTTCCTCCTCTGCTGTGGATTCACTGCAGGAAAAGATTCCAGCGAGGAATTATCTGATAAATGCGTAAGTATTTACGACTGGAGCTGCCACCGAGGCACCCGCTAACTGAAACGTTAATTAAGAAAAAGCAAATACGTGATTGCATGTAAATGCCAGTAACCGGTAACGGCAATTCGGGATATTCAAAACTACTTCTACCCAGACTGCTAATTACGAAAAGCACACAGAATGTTAATTATTCATCCTGAATCACAGGCAATGTGCATGCCCGGTACACGATGCGTCTATAAATCTGGGCGACCGGCTTGTCGCGCAGTGACGCACCCCGGAAGTTGCCCTCCTCCGCGTGGAGCAGAGCAAGGCTGCTTTGCAACCTGCAAGGATGATGCTGATTGTGGCGTGAATTATAAATGCTGCAGTAAACGGTGTGGAGGTAGAGCCTGCAAAAAGGCTGTTCTTTATTAAACCAAAAACACACTGCTGCAACGTGGCTCCTGCGTCAGTATTATCCATAACCGGAAACTGGGCCATTACGTGTCTGCTATTTTAGCTCACCCTGCCTGTTCTTTCTGTACCATCTTATGTATATGTTAGTTCTTTATTCTGTCGGTACTAATCTATTAAAAACACCGATTAAAAGCGAAATCCAAGCAGGTATGATATATAACTGTCTCTTAGTCCCGCCGCAAGGTGCACCGGAAAATGTGGTTCAACACTTTTTACAACTCAACAGAAAACAAGTGAAAACAAGTCGAAATTTGAATAAAATCTTATTAACAATAAAATCTAAAACATAATTTCCATAAAAAGGATAGCCGGCATTTCTCACGAATTTCTAATTATAAAATTCCAAGATTCCCTCCACTCCAGACCATGCAGCTCACTCGCACTTAATTCATCGAAGCCGTAAGTAATAGGCACAAAACGAACGAATGTGTAGATTACAGACATAATCCACACCGCAACCAGAGCCTGAACGGTTTTCGCCAAATACTCTCTGAAAACATCAGTAAAAATGAGTCAACTTCTCAAAGCAGTTCGTTTGCGCGCATCCGGGCTCACTTGTTTCTACACAAATCCATGATTTCCCCCATAAAGCCTCCGAGCAGTAAAAACTTGAAACCCAAAGCCGGATAGTAGTGATGGAAAAACAGGGTACGGTCCGTAAAGAAATATGGCAGCCAATTCACAACAAATCCGCCAAGTGCCACTTCAGCTGCAAAGCACACGCGAATCCACTGGATGTGATGATTTGGAAAAATTTCGGGGAATCTCATTCGGACCAGCACAACGAGGCTAAGTGCGACGACTGTTACCAGAAGGGCACAAGCGCCAGTGTGCCAAACAACGACATTTCCAAGTTGATAAATTTGCCTCTGAAACACGAACGCCATTTCAGCAATTCCGTAAAGTAACGAGAAATTACCATGCAAATAAAACGTATTGCAAAAAATAAACCCAAACAAAACTCAACAAAATGAATAAAAAACGACTGCAGAACGGCGAAGAATTATCGTAAATATGTAGCTGTTGTAAGTCAAGTACATATTTAGCGCTTGACTTACATTACTGCCTTTCTGGGCCCAGAAAGCCACACCGTTATCGTTCATAATCCAGTCAAAAGGTTTAGATCCATAAACATGCTCCTCCACTGTGTCTCTAGATAAACCTAGCATGCTCCATTGGAGTTCCCAAAACTTCTTCCACAACGATAAATCGGTGGCTTTGTCAGGGATAAACTCATCTTTAAGCAAGGCGGCTTCACGTTCTTTCTGTCCCGAGTGAGCTAAGGAATACAGAATACTAAGACGGTAAGTAGTCACAAAGAAACTTCCAACAAAAATGGGCCCAACAACAAAAACTCAACTTAATTTATCTATTACCCACAGCAGCACCTTCCCATACTGCTGTTATGATATTAAGCAGTGCGCAGTTTTCGTACCTGTGCTGTAGCGGTGCTCTTCCACTGTCCACAAAGACAGCGTAAATTTGCTTAACTGAACGCTACTAACAACTTCGAACTGGTTGAATGCCCATGGCGGAAGTTGCTGTCCAGAAATGCTTAACGTGGTCTTGGAATTGACGTGAATTAACTGAACGTTCGTTTGTATCGCATGCCAGTAGCGATCTTCCGCTTCCTGGTTGATAATTTTCTATACAACGCGAACAACATGGTAATCGTAAACACCATATCCAGATCGCAGGCATTTTTTCCAACGTTCTTACCACTTCCCAGAGCTCTTCAGCCGGCATAGTTATATTGTAGTCAATATAGCATGACACTTCCTGACACTCCGGAGATATTGGAGCCGCAACATCATGGCTACAAGTTAGTCAACAAATTCGACTTAAAACCACGGAGGTTTCAGCAGCAAACGCCCAAACCAATACTAACCTGTTGAGCAGACGCCCGGTCACGCCATGCACCAACTGAACAACAGCCCCATCTCTGACATGCTCCGGTGGCGATTCAACCTCCAAAATGGTCTTGTTGGGATGTTTAATAATCCACCAGTTATTGACGTCTTTGAAGGAATAGCATGTCACTTGTTGCTGGTGAGAGCTACCTCGTCCGTCATCATAACGCAGAGGATACACCTCTTTATGTGAGTGCAGCCAGCAAGCATTATCCTGTACACCGGCATGATTGCGTAGGGTAATCTGCGATCCGTAGGCCACATTGTACGGCTGACCCCGGGAGATCGCCGCTAATCCTCCCTAAAAATTCATAAATTACAATAATTATGTCAACTACAGATTTAGAGAGCTTTTTTAATATTTTTCAAGAATCTCTATAAGTTCAATTTTATATTTGTTTTACTTGTTAGATGAATTAGTGATCAAATTCGTTATAAGATGTAGCAGTACCCAGCGTCGAAAAATAAAAAACCATTGAATGCTGAACGAAATTCAGTAAACAATGACGGCATATCTGATGAGAACGGCGTGCTTTGCAAAAACTTCTGATAACCTCGAAGATAACTACGTTGCAACCTATTCTGGCAGTACAAACCTCAAGGCTAGCTTGGAATCGCGTGGACATCATGGTATCATACGGTCCAGCTTTCGTGATAACCGTCAAATGAATCAAAAACGATCCCACATACACTGCCACCGGAACGAATATCACAATCAGCACACAGTATATAAAATATTCTACGAGCCGTTTCGCGCTGATGCTCAAATCGTCCAACACTTTCCAATAATGTCGAAAGATAATCCACGTAAACCATAGCAAAGATGGAAAAGAAACATATTTTGTACTAATGGCCAATCCCATAAATAGTCCCACCAACAAACCCCACAACACACTGCTTCCGGATAGAGGGCGAGACTGCACAAATCTGAGAATGCAGAAAAGAGATGATAAAAGTAAGGCAAGATTCACCGAGTCTGTCATGACGAAACGAGATCCCGTGATGAGAGCGCCATCCAGGAGAAAACACACACCGCTGATGGTGGCAGCCAACTGGGAATATCCCAGATTCCGTACTATGCAATACGATAAAGGCACCAAGAGAGTTCCAAAAAGACACGGAATGAAACGCAGCACCCATATTGGTGTTTCCGGTGAATATGCATCTCCTAAAAAGAGGGGAACTAATTAAATCCCCGTTCTCCAAAAATCATCACTCATCGGTAAGTATAATAACAACAATAATAACAAAATAATAAAAACAACTAAACAACCCAAACAATAAAAAAGCATCGAAAACATTAATCACACAGTATTACAATAACTATAATTGTTAACACAAACTTATCATAGGATGATGCCAGATACAATATGACGATGCTAATCAACATTACAAACTTCCATCTGGCGGATAACGGAATTGTTACGGAAATCATCGGGAAATGTGCCAATATTAATATAATACACAGATTATCTTGTAGATATTTATAAATATCTATAGTTAATAATCTCAAAAACAAATTTATAATGTGATAAGCTTAATATCTACAGGAAAATAAAAACAGATCTTGTTACCAATTTTAGCAAAGGTTTCGTTTTGAGCACTGTAATTGGCAAGGTATGCAGCGCCAGCAATCAGCTGTTTGGCGAACGGTGGATTGGAGTCGAAAAAGAATATTCCATTGACGTACATGTGCACAAAGCGCGAATAGAAGAGCTCGTCGAACCTTCAAGCATTTTACATGTTCATTCTGTAATGTAACAAAACAGTTCGAACCCGGGAGACTTACACCACCACATTGGGATAGCCCAACCGCCAAAAGCGCGTCACAGCTGATAACACTGTCAAAATCCATAGCGGCCAGTCCACAGCTGCTTCACCGCGGGCTGCGTGGGACGCATCGTTTTTACTACTAGTCCCAGCCCAATTTTTCTCCGCCTTTATCAGCGGCTTCTTCGAAAGAAAATCCATGGGACTAACGTATAATCATCTACGAAGTTCCCATCATTCGGCAAAATCTCATTAGATGAACCGTGATGCACCGATGCTGTTAGTGTTCACTGCATCAACAAAGAACCTAGGGTTGAAATCACAATTTCAAACATTTCACATTTCAAGCTTCAAATCAAATCATTTCAAATTCAAACGAGGGTCCGTTTGAAATGTGATTTGAAATGACTTGAAATGTGAAAATTTGAAATTATGAAACCACCTGAAATGCGTTTGAAACGATTTGAAATGGAAAAAAATTTCCTTTAAAGTGTTATTTAATTACTTTTGAGTGGAGAAAACCATGAAATCTGCTTAAAAGTTCTTACAATAAAGTGAAATTGTTGATAAAATCTGTGAAAAAACTGTTATTGTTAACCATTTAGTTAATATCCCTGTTTATACCAGGAAAAATTTTTCGAAATATCCGAATAAAAAATTAATAAAACAATTCATTTTTAAATTTCAAATTTCAAATCATTTCATTTCAAATCAATTTCATTTCAAATCATTTCAAAAACGGCCAAAAGTCGTTTGAATTTCAACCCTAAAAGAACCAGAGTACCTCTCCCGAGGAAGAATCACCAGCTTACATGCGTAACAGATGATAACACTTTATAGAAATCTACAGATAAAAAAATACCGTAGTTATTCCACCGTAACAAATGCACAAAGCATATAGTAATATGTCGTAACTTCGAAGTTTCCAAGATGAACAATAAACTCATACATAAACAGTTAACTGGTCGCCTGAGTGGTCGGGTCTGTGTTTCAGGAAGTTTAGCAGACTGCTGAAAAGTACTGTACGAGTACGAAACTACGAATACATGGACTTCGACCTGCGGCATCGCTTACCGTAGGCGGTTACCGTAGGGGCTTACCTGGTTAGGCTAAATCCCTTCCGGTCAAGATAACAGTTTTACGTACGTATCAGATCGTTTTATTAGAAAAAAAACTATGAAGCTAGGACATATGGTAGCTAATTGATTCACAAGATCTGCAATTAAATGTTGTTAGGTGGTCGAAGTACGAGTATCAATTTTATTTATGTGATTCAGCTGGTTTAGCAGTTAGAACTTGGAACCAAAATTAATAATTACTAGTATTAGCAAGTTCCAACCGAGAGCGGCAACGAGCAACATCACAGAGACCGTTAGACTCAAAAGATATTCTGACGAACTTGCATTTTCGAAAGCAACTATTTTTTCTTCCCACCATTAAATTTAGCTTTAACGCTTTTCGCAAGAGATGACAGATCCGGTCGAAGCTTCGGCTGATCACTTTTCGCCGAAGCCATAACACCCCGCTCCTTTGCAGTCTCTTTTCTCTTCAGTTTCTCTTGGATAACAGTTTCCATCGCCTTGGTTTTCTTGAAAGATGGATCAGAAATGTCAATATTAAAATCTTTCGAGTTAAACAACGCTTTGAATCGAGGATCTTGGAGGTCCATGATAAAGTCATCAGATGGTCCTTCCGTAAGAACGGTCTTCGACTTTTTTAACAATTTTCTTCGCTTTCTCTTTTGTGCTTTCGTATCCTTAGCATCCACCAGAAGCTTCTTTAAATTAAAGTGCCGACTACTATCCTTCTCTCCCATAAGGAGCTCCAAACTCGCGGCAGGTAAAGACTTCTCTATCGAAACGTCAGAACCATCTTCGGAGTCCACTGCTCGTTTGGCCCCTATTAACATACAATAATTTACTGTGAAATGTGAATGTCGCATGGCACAGTACTGACAGCAGCGCTCACTTCACGATTAATTCATCTGATGCTGAGTCGCTTCTTTTATTACTGTATTAGTAATTTTGGTCTAGTGCAGCCTCAGTGTACAGGGCTCCCGTGGCGTTGCTAGAGTGATTCGCCACGGTTTTTTTAACGTAAATAACTAAAATTCTATTCAACCGGTTCAAAAATTTTTAAATACTCAGTAAAAAGTACATGAATTACTTTTTTGGACTGTGAATTTGAGAACAGCTTAATCAACAACACACAAGACTCATAGTAAAAGAAGCAACTCAAGTAAACTAACATAGAACCGGACAATAATAACTCGTGCACATTTTGTACCGCTGTTACCATCAGTGTAATGTTATGGCGATCAGAAGCGGACCTGGACCTCTTGCAATCCTGTTGCATCCATATAAGTAATAAACTAAAATAACTACTCCTACCTTTCAGATCTTGCTTTGTTGCTTCATCTTGCGAACTCTGTTCAGAATCCTCTTCAGATGATCCTTCTAAATCGTCGCTGCCCTCGTCGTTCCACGCAGTTTCTAAATCCGGTGATTCACTCTGCTTGCGACTTCGCTTCTTGGCTTTTCTCTTTTCTTTCTGTTTCTCTAGCATCTTCTCAAAAGGTGTCATCTTCGCTACTGAATCCTGTTTTTGCTTAATCTTCAGTTGTTCCTTAGCAGTTGTCTCGACGTCAGGTTCCCAATGGGCTTCCATGTCGATATCCTCTTCGTCGCTAACCGCCAAACCGGTGTTTTTGTTGTCTATTTGGTTCAGTAACGAGCGGTATTTGGCTATAGATGCCGGGTCTTTATTAGACACTACGGAACGTGTGTCAGCCAGTTCGGTCGCTTCATCCTCTGCTTCATCCTCTTCTTCAGATGAAGAGGACGCCAGATACGCCTACAATGGAAGCATATGAAGGAAGAATAAAAAACAAATACGCGGTGAACAAAGCTATCTTTAATTATGTCACAACAATTTAGAAATGATCAGAACAGTAAGCGATGGCCAATATGAGTCTACACCGTACTATTTTTGTATAATTATGGTAGAGAAACAAAATACTGTAACACAAGAAATAAATTCTGTAAAACTTTAGCAGTTCATTGCGTGCGCGTAAAAAAAGGATCAATTAGATTCTTTTTTCCCTGTTACGAAATATTGTATTAAATTTGTTACCTGCAAGTCATCCACTTTTTCCCACTCATTAGCTGTCAAAGGTTTTCTGTCTCTAGAAGTTTCGTCCCACGAACATCTTACACGGGACTGTTGCAACGCGGAAATTACGAATTCACTGGGTTTATAATTAGCGGGCAAGCTGGTAACTTTACTCTTCGGTTCATGATCAAACTCCATTTCATCAGGAATAAAGCGCAGATCGAGCGCGGCCGATGAATTCTCATACTCCAACCCATCACATTCTTCGTAAATTTTATTAGCCGTTTCCGATGAATCACACTCAACAACTGCATAATAATACTTCAGACGGTTTAGCTGATACTTCCGTAATTTTTCATTCGCAACAGCTGTATCTAAAAAATTCGAGACAATTAATGCACATCCAAACTGGAAACGCAAGCTCAATTAACGAAACAAAAAATACTGGTAAGCATATTTCTTCTTTCTAACTCACCTTCAGTGTCTTCCTCCACAGCATCCTCTTCTTCATCATCCTGGCTTCTAGCAGAATCTTTCAATTCCATTGGGCCACTGTGTTCTTCCGCTTTCATGCGCTGCAGTCCAAACTCCGAAGGATAAATGGCAACCGATTTAATTACTCCTTGAATCGGTTTGAAGGAGTTCAAAACCATAAAAATATCTTCAGCGCGGATACTGTCCCAGTCAATGTTAACGAGGCCCAGTCGCCTTGTAATTTCACTGGTATCTGGGGCGTCGGCGCTCATTTCGGCCCATGGATGTTCAATTTCCCCTGTCTCCGCAACCTCGGATTCAGATTCATCGTCCGATTCGTCCGAACTGCTGGAAAGGTTACCGATACCACGAGAAAAATCGCGCTGTAGATCGTCTTCCTCAGAGTCCGATGATCCAGATTCAGGTGCGCCTATTTTATAAACCATGGATTAAAATGCTGCAAAAATTATCCTTATCAAATTTCGATTACGACTACAACAGCTGCAGTGTAAATGCACAACCCACAACCGGAGTATTGTTTAAGTAATTTCGTAATTATCATAAAATTCCAATTCAACGAATCGGGTCAAATTTGCAAGGTGAGAGTTTCAAATGTGAATGAAAAGCTACTCACCGGCATCTTGGGGAAACTGAGATCCAGGCAAATGAAACCGTTCATCGCGGACCACACCAGCTTTCTTCGAGTTATCCGTTTTCGTTCTAACATTACTACTTTTTTCTTCATTTTTCCGTTTATCATTTAACTGGTAAAACTTTTCCAGATTATCCGACGATGCAAAATTGACAGGTCGACCCCGCCTATCCACCGTATGTTTCTGATTAAATCGTGTATCCGTAAACATAGTCTGGAATCGGGGATCAATCCGCACTTTCTTCTCTTCTTTTGGAATTCCTCGAAATCGAGGGTCCGTGGCAATTCTTGAAAATCGTTCATCCTTCAGAATATGATCCTGATCACTTACCGCTTGATGCTCTTTCGCCTGGATTTTCTTCCTCTTGCTGAACCTATTGCTCCTCTCATGAGTTGAGCCCGCTTTTTTTTTGGGTGCCGATGGGGTCTTCGCCATTCTGTAACAGTCTGTCAGCCTGTGAAATTGTATAGCCCTTCGGATTTAAAAAGAGCTATGATCCTCTAAAATTCACTATCAGTGAAAAAACCAAACTATTCAGGCACTCGTAAGAACTTCAGTCAAAAAGTGAAAATCCAAAAAGACAAAACTTCCGATATTTTCCGTTTTCCGGTTTTCCCTTCCAATGTTAAAATGTGGATTTTGGCATTTTACCATTTTGCTCGTATATCGGGCCACCATACAGTGATGCGAATGCGAAAACTCAGGGCGTGCTGCTGGCGATAAATGTTTTTGATGCTGCCGGCGGAAATTAAAAATTCATGACGTCACTGAACGATTGTGATTGGCTAGCCTTTTTCGTCCCGTTTGGAATCATGTCTTGCTCGGCAGCATGGCTCTGGCAAGCAGCTTGTGATGTTGCCAAAAACTTAAAATTTTGGCAACATCGTTTTGAGGTGTGCGGGGACGCTGGGGGTTGTTGCCGAACATGTCCGAAATTCAGATTGTGTTTGTGTCATTGCTCACCTACTACCGTCTTGCAATTACGAATATCGCCGTTTGAATTTACAACTTTACCGTGCAGGTTCCTTTGGATTTTCTCATACGCACAGGGTTTTTTTAAGTAGAATTGCCTGCTTCTACAAAATTGAAGCTGCTTTGAAAAAGCTGGGCGTATATTGAATTAACGCTGCAACTTGAAATTTGCACTCAAACGGCAGCTTGTTTTCGCATTCCCGTCAGTACTTACTGTATCGTACTGTTTGCATTTTTGCAAAGGCGATTGTGCTGTACGAATCGTGGGCAACTACTGACCGCCCCCAAATGGCATTTTGATACTTCCGAACTGATGTGAAAATTTCCTTGCGCGCATGGAAGTGGACTTACGGTTAGTGGAGACAGCTCAGAGTACCGGAAACTGAGTGCCCCGAGTGCTCAGACTTGAAATTATTTGCCACGATATGCAACGCTTTTGTTTAAATTTTCCATCTCGATTGATCACAGGTATCTTGCTAATGTTTTATTATCAATTTACAGGGAACAGTGTTCCAACCTGAACAAAATTTAAGTGTTATCTCAGCTTATCTGTTACAAACTCCGGCATTTTGCTTCAGTATTCTCTTATTATTACATATCTGCATGACCCCATGAACGCGACCGGAAGAAGTGCTCGTACCTCGTACTGACGTAATATCTATATTAATAGTACAGTATTACGTGCCACATGATTCCAGGCGTTACCTGTTTGTCAGGAGTTAAAACCCGCTATGGCGTTCTAGCACTTACTACTTACTTTCACATTCTTGCTTTTTCCATTCACACTCCACCTCGCTTGGGTTAACAAATTTGCGCAGATGGTGCGTATCCATGGACCATGGGTATGCTGCGCAACAGGTGTTCGGCGCCAATGATCCCAATGATCAATGCCGCCATTTCCGGTTGAAGGTGGTGAAAATAACACACCGTCCAGGCCGCAGCAGTCGGCAGCATTGACCGCAAACTCTTCCCAGTTGGCCACATGATCCAACACCTCCAATCACAGAAGTGACAGAACCATGGCGAATTCCTCGGGACGCTGGATAGAGATATCTCCCACTAAAGTGCAAAGATAAGCCGGACCTTTTCCGGTCGAATGCATTTCTTTCCAATGGGCTTTGCAATCTACACGATAAAGAATGTGCTGTTCTCTTGATTTAGTCTTGAATGAGTTTTACTTTTTACATGAATTTTACTGTTCTTTTGCAGGGATTTCTTTACTTACAATAATTATTAACCATAGGCCCTGAAAAATTCGTCGGCTATGTTGTGACGTAAAGAAGGACATTCAAAAATCATCGCACCTCAAATACCGATAACTGTTATGTGCACGGCCACTGGCCAGAATGACAGAATCAGGCTTAATTTTATTACCTCTATAATTTCCGGAACCATATCAACTCAGGTAATATCGGCACCGTATTCCTTAAGCGGCTCTGAAACGAATCCAGCGCCACACCCAATATTGATGATCTCCGCACCACGCAGGGGATTTGTATCCGGCAGAGGCTTCAGGGCAACATATTAATTTTGCTATACTTCTATACATTCAAAATCATCGAAATCCGGCAATGGTTATATCTCTGCAGCAAGACAAAGTTGCCTTCAGGATCCCACCGCTGCTGCGATAACTTAGTCCAGTGTGTCATTTCGCGCTGGTCAATAGTAATGTCCTAGTTTGTCGTATCTATACTTTAGTATAGTAGTCCTTAATACTCCTTTCCGTTAATTATAACCAGGGAAAAATATACGTAAGTAGTTCCGCACAAATTCGCCATGGAGTCATCAGCCATCCCACAAAAAATTCCAGAAGAGCGCCTTGCATAGCCTATAGGCGAAACTTTCCTTATTACTTTGTCTTTGCACGAGAAATTTAGAAAGGAAATAGTAAAATGTGCATTATATATGTGACTTTCTGGTACGTTATACGAGTAGTTCTAGAACTGCTTGTATATGACCGTACTCTGTATATATTAATGTAAGCTACAAAAGTTGGCCAGTAGCCCTAGAGTATTTTTGTCTTACCAAACCGGTCAAACTTACCATTAATTGTCGAGTATGCGTGAGTAAAACACAGGACTGCAAATCCTGAACATACGTTCCAAAAAACAAAATTCATCCCGGCTAAACAAAAGCTACGCATCAAACCAAATAATTATCGTGAGTCGTGACCGCCGACAGGTTACAAGTTTGAATGCTTACTTTACTTGTAGAACTTTCTATCAGTTATTTCAGACGACTGCCGTAAAGATAGAAAAGAAGCTAACATTTTAAATTTTGACTACCCAGTAGACCGGAAGACCGGTGAAAATGTGTTTTGTACATAATTGCATGCTACACGATTGACCGCTCATACCAGGTCAGCTGGGTTAGGTTCGCCGGAACGCCCGGAAGTCACTGGCCAAGGGTCGCTATTAAACCGACATCTGCTACAGGTACGAGTATATTGCAGTTGACAATTTCTGATACACGGATCTGCTGTTTTCGAGAAAAGTTTTAGAAACAGGATCGCTCGATACAAACGTTCATTACATTGCTAAAACACGACAAGCTGTAGCAGTCTATTTGCATTATTTGGCTGAAATAATTTGCCATGTTGCCCTTATCCGTATTATGAGTACGATCAAGGGACAGTATAGTTCTGACTTCGCAATTTTAAGCAAATTTCGCATTAGCTTTGTAATAAAATTTGCGCTAATTATAACAGTTTGAGAGTACAAAGTGTTACTTACATAAAGAGTTTAGTCATCCAATGCATTAATGCACTTCTATACAATATTTCACAAGCTAGAAAGTTATCACAAAGCTACGAAAAATCTACGAAGCTTCTTTGCTAACCGAATATCTGAAGTACGAATACTACTGCACGATTTGCTGGCTAATTAAAAGCCGAAATTTTTTTACCAGTTAGTGACCTTAGTTCTTTAAAGTTCGAATTGATCATTTCGGAAACTGAGATACATGAACCAGTAACCACAAAGTTGTTTCTATGGTGCCGCGCCACAGAAAATTAAGTAATATTATCAACAGAAATTACTGTCAAGCGTCGAGTTATCAACCAATTACTCTATCAACCAATCAACCAAGCGTCGAGTTATCAACCAACCCTCGTACTCCTAGTCTAGGACTAGGAGTACGAGAAACTCCTAGGGTACTCCTAGAGTAACGGGAAACAGCATGTTAGGAAACGGGAAGCAGCATGATGTATAATAGTTGTCACTTTATACGGTTTACAAAAATAATAAAATTTACGCTTTAACTGGACCAATTACAAAATAATAATAGCTATCCAGAAAACTTCCATAAAATTTCAAATTCAAGGTATATTACTACTTGGGGCCTTTCTTAACAAGTGGACCTGTAGAGCACAGCATATTGAATAGCAGTAAAAGTAAAAATTATAGTACTAGGCGTTCGATGTAAAAAGTTAAAAAATATTTTTCTACCTTCCTGCTGTGACATCTGTTCTAGCCAGCATCTGGATGGTTAAGATCGTAAACGATAGGCTGACAGATTCTGTTAACATCATATGTAATTATATTTCCGGACACATTACATATACAGACTGTACATGCACCGATTGTACGACAATCGAATGTAGTTGTGATACGAATTACAAGTTTTATTCATAATATCCTATAGGCTTTAGAGTTTAGCAGTTCAACGAGTTTATATTTTATTACCCTGATGATATTTTTATCAGCACCTCGGGCCTTTCAGAATGCAGAATTTTCAGATATGTAATGCAATATAAAAACCGGCATTTATTCTCCAAAACCCCGTTCCCAACGACGTCTTCTTGTCATGGTTGTATGAATTTGTGTCATAGTGCTCTGCGCTTGAAGCTACCTTGATTTTGAGATCAGTTCCCGAAAAGACATGACCTGGAACTGGTACTCGTAGCCCTTTCACATAACCGAATGCAATATGGATGGCCACCATGAAATGAGTGAATTAACCGCGGATTTTCTCACGCTCCAAGCGCAAAAATATCTTCCGAAGTTTTTGATTTCCTTGAGTACATGGCCATGGTTCACTATAGGCTGTGCAAGTGCGAGTTTAGCGGTGATCATCGATAAATTTGCTTTCCGAGGTATGCCAGGACCCATAGATGTGCGGCTTACAATACCAACTACAAACAAATACATTTACTACACCGCAGGACTCAGAATGCATGTTTTCCATAGTGTAAGTGATCACAGTGCCATATTAACACGTACTCGCCGGTTTTAAATTAACATTATACATACTTTATATTTTATTGCTTGTTGTGGTTGCAGTTAGCACTGATGGCAATACCGCCCTTTCATCCTCATATTAATGGCGTAGGTATTGTGCAAGAATAGAAATGCTCTGACCACTAATGTCGCTGTCAAATTACTTTTACGCTATGGTGTTTTTGTGTGACAAGCAAACCTAATTTAACCTATAAATCCAACGATAAGTTCAATTTTGTGCTTTAGGCATGATGTTCACGGCTGGAATGGCATTATACTCTGGATCGTGTTATGCATTTTGTTGGTCAAATAATGAGCGACTGAAAAAACTGCAACCTTTCGGGACGTACTGCTTTCTGGCCGGCTGGGCTATACTGACGTTATCCAGGTTTTTGTCTTTTTCGTAATGTTCCTAACTGTAAGCTCTTGTGACGATCGGGAATCTTTCGAATCAAGCACAAGTTGCCATTACCAGCTGGTACATAACGGATTTTTGCGCGATTAAATTCAAATCGAAATGTGCAAGATCCACTTGAAACAAACTGCTTTAAATGGTAACATTCGAAGTTCTGCATTTTCACATTTAGTAGCGCAAAAGCTGATTATATTAATCAAATTTACAAGTGACGATAAAAGCAAAATGAAAGAGTAGAGCACATTGTCATCTGTGGAAAAGAACGATTCACATAGCAGTGTTCAGCCCGTCCAGTTTCTTGTATTCATGCTTGTAAAAAACAGAAAGTGATGATGCAGGGATCTCTGCTAGTCCGACACACCGATCGAGCCATAAAATTAGAAAATCAAACTAAGCCAAGCAAGGATCAAACAGATTCCACCATAAGGTGCCATTTGTCGAAGCGTCTGACTTTGAGCCAAGGAATATCCATAACACGAACCACAGAAGCCCAGCATTCCCAGTGTGAACAACAGTCCTAAACAACGAGCAAAATAGCAAATCAGATCCTGCGCCTATTTAGAGCATCTCCGCCGTACGAGAACAGTCTTTTAACCGGTAAATAAAAAACGGTACTAATATTTGTAAGAAGTATGAAATAAGTATAAAAATATCGTCTTGGTGTCCTTAAATAATCGAATATCACAGAGAATACGATTTTCACTACAATCATCAAAATCCGATCACATAAGTATAAAAATTACGAGAACTCTGCCATCATCACGAGAACTCCGTTATTTTTGTACTGCTAAACAGTAAACAGTACAGCTACGTTATACGATGCCCATGTCCACGGCCCATGAGTACGAAACTAAAAAATTTTACAAAAGGAAGGGAAAACCTAACCACATTAAGGTGAAGTAACTGAACTGATAGTGTAATCTGAGGCTTAGAATCCCTCTTGTAACTTGTTAGACAACGTCACAAGGCTCACAACTACTGTTACCTGTCACTTTCGGATGACGAGAGAACGGTGCCAAACCCAGGGCTACCTGCAGGAAGACTGGATTAACATCACACCATTCAAACAGAACTTTCCTAATGACAAGCGAAGTTCGCAACAATTATCCGGACTTAATCATCCAACTGCAAGGCAAAAATTCATAGTGCATGCAATGCATAACACTTACGCTGTGAATTAAATGATATCGGTTCCCGGTTTCAAACACCTCCCGTGCCTCCGGTGTGGAAGGTTTGAAAGCATGTGCTCCGTAAGCACCAAGAATGACTGCAGCAGCACCAGAAACGCCAGCTAACTGAACGAAAAATCGGGCAGCAGGAGGGATCATCATCGTGCTCCAACTGGGTCCGCCGACTGCAGTAGTCTGTGTTGGCCACTGGGTTTTGCCCAAACTTCCTTTTGCGACGGGACCCTTAGGGTTAGGTTTGCCCTGGTCCGACTCGGTGGTAACCCAGGAAAACACGTAATTCAAGGCTTTTTCGCACCCTCTTGAATTTGTTCAGTGCCAGGTATGGCCATAGTCACGGCAGAAACTCAACCGCAGCTCAATGCGAGACCCAGGTTTACCCCAGGTTTACCCCAGGTTTACCCCTAAATGAAACGCAGGCTATACGGAAAGCGGATCACTTACGAGAATGGACAATTATTAGGAAAAAATCAGGACCGTTTTTTCCGTATGGTTTATCTTGCATGCGCAGTACTTTTTGCCGACCCTGGTAATTCTGCTACGTTTACGGTTTACCGTTTATGGGTTCAATCTTCAATGGAATCAATAATGCACGAAATACTTGCTGCTTTCAAGTTATTAAACGCAGTTTTGTTTTGATTTGCTCCTATTGGTTGCGGCTGGTGGATGGATCTTCTGATAAAACAGCGACGGCCAATCACAATTGCAATGTTTTCTGGTTGATGATTGATCTGTCATCAAAGGTGTTTGACATTTTGTTTTTTTCCTAAAAGCAAGTTTACCTTAGCAAAAACTTAAAAATAAAGCGCGAATTAAATTTAAATAAAGTGGGATTCGCAATTTTTTCGCAGTAGATAATCGGTATTTGGTACATTTAATGGCAATGTCCGCGGGTGATCTAGTTTCTGAGATTTTGATCGAATCTTGCATGCAGCGTGCCCTGAATTGTCGACCACCCTTATACGTCATCGCCGTTCTCATAATCAGCTGTAGCCTGCAAGGCTGTGAGTTGTGAACCACGAGGGACCGGAAATGCATTGAATTGGAACCCGACTAAACCTTTCAAGGGCAAGGCCGCAAGCATTCTGCCAAACTCCACACTGCAGTTTAATTCTTGGCCACTGTGGTTCCAGTATTCACGGTATCACCTACTGTGTGGGACAAAAACATTTGGATCCAGTTGAGTTGCATCAGTAAGCTGCAGGATTCTAATACAGTATTAAGAGTTTTGATAAACGGTTTAGTTTTGATTTACTAGTACCAGTGATTAGCCTGCCATTAGCAGCTATGCACCAGCTGATAGCTTTCCAATGACGACTTTTACGTCATTCTCTCTCTGGTGCTAACAAGAAGCCAAGAAGGATCGATTTTTTCATCTAGCTTTTTCCCGCCAAATTTGCTTAATCGATGAAATAGCTTGGCTTGTCATTAGTCGCTGTTGTTTTACAGCAGGAAACAGATCGTTGGGAAGGAGCAGGGTCTTTCTGTCACTTGCTTTTGGGCTTTGGCCCTTCGGCCTTTGCTCGCATATCTGAAAATGCTCTTCGTTGCTTATTTGGCTCTTCCTTTTAACCGTGTCGTTGTGCATATGAGCTCCGCCGTTTGAAAAAAAAACATTTCTTTGGAAGCTTTCCGTTACAAACAGCAACGCTTTATCCATTAATTTTGTTGTTTCGCAGGCCGATTGCCAAAAGCGTGCGTCCAAGTTGACATTATGCCGTCTCGACAGCCCAGCTCGGTGGGAGTGGAAACCATTGCTGTGCCATCGCCCAACGACAGCTCGACAGTTGTTCCGGTACGTCCCGCTTTCGGTGCATGGCCAATGTTCCAGTTAGGCAAATCGCGCTACAACTTGGACACGTATACGGGACGAGTGTGCCATTTCTTTAATATCATTGATCCCCGCACGTTGCTTACATCGGATACCAAGTTGCAACAGTGTCGGCAGCTGCTAGAGAATTATAAAAATGGCACCTTACCGCCCGGAATCACAGATCAGGACTTGTGGGAAGCACAGAAAGTGGTGCAGGCCATTATTCATCCGGATACTGGGGAGAAAATACCTATGGTTGGTATTTTTGTGCACGGTTTGACGTACTGCAGTATTAATAATTAAATTATTGAAAAGTTCCGAAGTTCACGTTCTTTAATTGAAATGTGAATTTTGTTCTTTTCAGCCGTTTCGCATGTCCGGCTATGTTCCTTTCGGTGAGTCTGATCCATTCTCGTTTGTGCGCTTTTGGTACTTATTAACGATAATTCTACTCGAATAATAATTTAAAAATGGCTGAAATTGTCCTGTGTACGGTTTTTTGTGTACGGCTAGCGTTGTTCGGCGATTCAATAGGTAGCATTCATCGGGATTCGGCAGTATGTTCTTCATCGACATTCGACAACACTGTACATTATGCAGTGCACAACTGCTTGAAAATTTACCGTAGTTTTTATTCAGTATTATATCGTTTATGATTATGTGATGAATTTAAGTACTGCAATAATTTTAATAGCAGGAAACGAAACTTGAGTTGCTTGTGTGATTTAAGAATACGAGTTACTCAGTATACATACCACTTTCTCCGTGCTCGCAACAGAACTGCTGCTGAAATACGTGAAATTAACATGGAAGGGATTCCTGGTGTTGAATTTGTGTCAGTGACTGTTTCGTGTTTTAGGTTCACCGATCGTGGCAGGCCTGTTACTGCCTAATCCATCCCTTGGCTCTATAATTTTCTGGCAATGGCTTAATCAGAGCCATAATGCCTGTGTAAATTATTGCAACAGGAACGCTACTCGACCGACCCCTTTCAGCAAATTTATTGAAGGATATTTGGGTACGTTTAACATGTCAGTGCTGTCACTAATATCATAGCTTATCTTGTGGTAAATTAGGTTTACATACATAGCGTGGAGTACTGTGGAGTAAGGATCATGAATAGTGATATAAATTTAATAACGGAAATATATTTGGGTATCGGGTATCATCTGTTTTGGTCGTCTGTCATGACGTTTGGAATGTTTGCAAACTTTCCTCACAGTTTCCATTATGCCGACAGGCCATGTGTTTCTGACTACCCGGATGGTGAGATCTTGGGGTTTATAAAATTTAATGTGTTCCGGTCGATGGAGCGTGCGCATAATTTTGTAGTAATGATTAATCACTAACTAAATATTATGTGTGTATGACGATAGTCGGAAATGATGTTTACTACGATTTGATCCTGTGTTGCTCATCTGCAGGCGCAGTAACCACAGCAGTGGGTGTTGCCGTGGGATTAAACCAGTTAATCAGCCGCGCGACCAGTATGCCACCGGCCACACGTGCCCTCATCCAAAAATTTGTTCCATTTCCGGCTGTGGCTTTTGCTAATGTGTGCAATGTCTTTTTAATGCGTCGCCAGGAATTAAATACTGGCATCGAGGTCCACGATAAAGCCCATAATGTTGTTGGTATCTCCAAAATCGCGGCATTTGATGCCATTAAGGATACAGCGCTGACCCGTATAGTCCTACCCGCTCCCATCCTGACCATCCCTCCGGCGATAATGGCCGCATTGGAGAAAACTCCCCTTTTTAAGCGTTATCCCAGAAGCTATTTGCCTATTAATGCTACGTTAGGGGCCCTGGCGTTTGGCTTAGCACTTCCGCTAGCCATAGGGCTGTTCCCGCAGGAGTCGACTATTCACAGAAATAAACTGGAGAAGGAATTACAGGATAAGACAAGCGATGAATTTCTGTTCTACAATAAAGGGCTATGAGTCCGTAAGTATTCTTTCCGATTCTCAATTCTGGTAGTACCTAATGGTAAGTTACCCTTTTTTAGGTGTGTATTCGCCAGTAATCGAGACTTACCATGTTGCTTTTGCAGTGTGTGGTCTGAATGACTGGGACCAGGAAGGTTGAGTGGATGATATTGGAGTGAATTTCTTCCCAGTGGGTGCAGTGCATTTATGAAAGACTGCTAAGCGGTTAAATTTACCTTACTTCATACTGATTTAGGTTTTTGGAAAATGTAGTCACGTTATTTATTTTGTTTATTCCTACTGTAGTTTTAAATTCCGACTTTGGTTACATTTTCGTGGCGATTCAGTGCTGATATAAATATAATTACTGCTTATATGGTGAGTGTTGACTGTGTTTATTGTCAACGGTGTACCCTATGGCTATTGAAGATAGCCAGAAACGTGCTGGGAAATGCTTTTGCATGTTGTGATAATAAATAATAAGTTCCTGCTAAGGACAATCAGAACATGTGTCTGTTATCCATCTGGTGAGCTTGCTTACATTTTTGCATATCCTTGGCTTTATGCTTGCCGTTGTAAATGGTAGACACAGTGACTTTTGAACTGGAAATGCGGGACTTAACCATTAGAAATTTTTAGCCAAAAAGAAAATTGTTATAGTACTAACGATAAATCTTTCTTTAAATTAAGTATTAATTTAAAGCAGTTATGTACCAACTCTAACAATAAGGAAAGATCCATTAATTATCACCACACGGATCGACCCACAAATTTTCGATACGTACTAGTACACAGTGTACAGTAGTCTACGTATTAATGTTGTAAGTACGTAGTACTTTATTAAGTTATTAGCCATGGTCCAACAACCAAGCACCTTACAACTGATTGCAAACTGAATGGCATTTTTTGAGAATTAGCGGAGCACCGTAAGAGAAAAAATTGTCGTGAGTCAGCATACGACCGCAAGCGCTGATCGCTATTTTTAGATGCCGGCAGCCGCAAGAACTGGTTTTTGGCACTAGTTAAAATTAAATCAAAACCTTAAGTTATACAATCGCATAAGTAGACCGACCGTGATTAGATGTAGAAACTTTTCAGCAGACTTCTTACTACTGCACTCCGTAGCTACTTCGCAGCACACGCGCACGCTCATGGCTTCCACATCCGGCGGTTATGTAACTGCTGTTTCGCTAATTGACTGCGTGGTTGGAAACTAGAAATCGCAGCAAATTCTTACTGGCTGCAATTGTCGTCTTATAATAAATGGACGATTGCATACATGAATAACATGATATAGTTAAAAAATAAGTAGCAATATAACAGATACTGTTGGCATAAGAATGTGTATTTGCAGACCTGTAGAAGTTTAGAATGTTAACTAATGCTCGGAAATCTCAATACAATAAGTGAATTTATTGGGCAATAGCCGCCATAACAACACAAATGCAAGCGCGGGCACACTACTTTACAGTTAAAATTTAAACGTTAAAAAAACAAAAAAAAACTTTAGAATACAACACAATAGAATACAATAAGTTATTGTTAATCATGCCGGTACAGTACTAGAAATCTATTGAGTTTAGCACCCTCATTGCACAATTTGTAATACGTATCTTATCTCTATTATTTTTATTTGTAAAATTGTAGTAATTCTCGAAACAACACCAGACAACACCTGGGCAGTGGCCATGCTTCCGGTGACTCGGAGTTCAACCTTAAATCGGTACAGTCATATTACAAAATGACAATTTTTCCTTTTTGAGTAACAACTACCCGAGTAGCAAGTAACTGTTGTCGGCATATCTTTATGGAGGCCGTACTCATAGACTACTGTACTGTACAAAGTGATTATTAATTAAGTGACTGCTTTTGTTTACAAGTAGCTTGCTAATAGGAAAACCAGTGGAAAAATCAGGTTAAAAAGTACAGTACGCGTACGCCGTACAATAATATTATACAGTACGTAATTATTATTAAGATATTTATTACGTACTGTAGTCCACCGTTATCGTAATCAAGATCAGTCTTTTTATCCATGTTTCCAGTTTGATTGAGAAGAGAATATGTACGAAAATTAATATGACAGTACCAATAATATGGGAACATTAAATTGCCTTCACCTTATTCGAAACGAACTGACGAGGGTCGATAATTATTATTAATAATGGCCTAATTGTAAGCATAATAAATAAAGGTCAAACAGCATCAAAATTGACAAATACCATGCGACATCAGGTAAACAGGTACAATGCTTACCAGCCATGGATACATTACGTACTTTGTTTACCGCAGTATTGTTCACCTGACAATTGTAGTTCACGAGTAGGAATTGTGGGCAGAATCCGCAGTTTGTTTGTTACGAATCCTATGATGGCGAACGATGGTCAGACACGAACGTGCAGTGCAATGCATGCTCGACGTAACGTGACTCAAGTGCTTAATTTTTCGCTCTTGGGGACATTCCTGGATTATTTCCTTGTACGATCGATTGCTTTCCGCAAAGCATTCGATCGCTATTCGGCATCCGTATCTTTTGCGCATTGTACAAATAGAATGGCAACAATCTACCATGGCGTTCTCTGGACATTAGTCATAATTCATCTTAAAATGCAAGAGTACATGTAAATGATGTGATATAGTACGGTATTAGTGCCGTACTTACGCGCCGCTAACCGATTTACAAAGATGAGTAAAGATTGGGGAATGTTAATAATTACTTACTATTAATTTATAAGACTCGTATTAATGATCTAATTATTGTGGTCTACGGGACTTAGAGTTAAAGGGTTGCCGGTACCCCGGTATCGTGTAAGCACATTTGCAGTAGAATACTAGAAGTGGTTTCCGAATGGCCATTGGCCAGTTAACAAACATAAGCAGAGCACAGGTAGCACGGGGAATTAAATCGAAGCGACATCACGTGTCAACAGATATGTCTATATAGTTTGCAAAATTCGCAACTTCAGTGATTAAGTCTGCTGGGTCAAAACTAGTACAGTTCCGTTCGCATTATGTCATAGTGGTAAAAGGCCCGTAAAACAATCCAAATACTACATGTATTATGTATCCAAATATAGATATGTATAACACAGTTGTTATTATATATAGACATTATTGTATTTTATATTTTATGTATGTACAATGTGCATTACAATTATTTTATACAGTATATATACCGTATTTTCTGCCGCAGTATTTAACTACATGCTGAAGTCCAACTTTTCACTTTACAGAAATTCCGAATTTCCGATCAACTGAATGCTAGCATTCTTGACGGGCATGAAAATGAAATCCGCCTAACATACCAAGTCACAAACGTCAAAAGGCAAGCATGCGATCATATCAGCCGTATCTGGCCTTTCGACGTCGTCCCTGAACAGTGAAATCCAACACTAGCCATCTTGAGGTAGCGCACACATTCGCAGTCTATTTCCGGTTAATATGAACATCGTATCGCATCCTTTGCAGATTGCTTATTTTCCTGACGTTTAGATCTGGTCAACGTTATAAATCATTTTCCTTATACCGTGCCAATGTGTTAACCAGACTGACGGCCTCTGACGGTCTGACCTGTTCGCCATCAAATTTGAAGAAATATACAGCCGGTTGCGATCGATAAAACCAGGGCAGGACTTCTCAGATCTGCTGTTTCCAGCAGCAGACTCGCGTTGTGAAACTGATCTGTCATGGTGCATTTTTAATTTTGAACGGGATCATGTCGTTTGCTGTTTATAGCCTGCGCAGTCTACGGCGCTGTGGATTCGGATTGCTTTAATGTTTTGCTACGCAGCACAATCATGTATACACTACACATTTTCGAACGGTAAGTATTTCTCCCGGTCTCTCACACATGCTTACACTACGATTACGCAACAATCGGACCGCATCAAAAACATTTTAATACCAGACACAAGAAAATGCCATCTACCATACCGAGAAAACTGTAATGTACGGTAAAAAAATACCCAACGTTCAACAGCGCTGTCCACTTATTCAGGAAAAGCGACAGTAAGGGTAGACAAATATTTCATACAATTGAAAAGATACACCATAAAAATTAATACAGGTACAAAATAACAAGCAGCGAATGACTCAGACATATTCAGTTCTGAGATTCTCCAGAGTATAAACTATATTATTAGGATACACAAGGAAAAACTATCCACTTCTGTCCCAAGAAAAGAGTACATTAAACCAGACTATTCCGAACAATTACGTATGGCCACGCGACGACACTCTTCTGCAAGTCAGAAACGCACACTTACAGCGTCTTCGGACCCTCCAATTCCTTTTTGGACATGAAGAAGCTGACAAGGAAGAGAATTCCGTTCAACAGAGCGATGGCGCCTGCGGCAACGCGAACCGCCTCTTCGTTCGCGTACATCAGGGGTCGGTTATTGTTATCGCCATCCCATTTCCACTTCTCGGTCATCACAATCTCCACGATCCCGGCAGCAATCAGCATCAGGGCCAACAGCATGTTCATCACGTTTTCAACCGTGGTGGCCTTCGGAACAATCATGGCGGATGTGGTGTGGAACAGGTATGCGATGAGGACAATTGCCAGTACGGTCAGAACGGCAGAGTGCGCACACAGAAAGTACACCTCACCGACAAGGAACAGCTCCCGCAAGTAGCTCAACGTGACTACATCATTCCGCCAGAGTTCCGGTCTGTTATTCATGTATTCGGCATTATAACGGGGAGCGTCCGCCGTCTCCGTGATGCGCATTTCCTGTCGGCGTGATGCTACCAGACCCATGGCCACCGCGGCCAGGATGAACTCCAACAACTTCAGGATGCCGGGGATTTTCCCCAGATAGTTGCTGTTGAATCCCGGTGTACTGGTGATGGTGGCATTCACGGAATTCGTGGAGGATCCTTTCGTGATAGAATAGTTCAGGGTTTTCGTCGTCGTGGTCACCATTTTAGCGATTAAAGGTCACTGGAATCAAGAGAAAATTCCGATGCGAATTTTAAAATACAGCCGGTATGCAGTGATGCACAGTTCAACAAAGTCAAATCGCACTGCTGCACTCGTTACTACTAAAACCGCTACGCGCTTGCTGTCTGAAAATCTAGATGTGAATAAATTCCTAGCGTGCTTTGAAGCTTTCTCTCTCTCACTCATCCAGTGTTAAGCTCTCTTGCCGCGCATTTATGTCAAACCGGTTTGGCCTGTTCTCTCTGAGTCACCGCCTTGCACGGGGAAACCCCATCTAACGGCCAATGTGAATGTTCGGTTACTCCCTCCATCGTACGAAAGAGGCGCACTGGCTCAGCACGGTTTATGCCGAAGACTGCCCACAGTGCATGCCATTTCGCCATCACTTTTATGAGTTTTATCGCTAAATTCGGGAATGCTTTCGTTCCGGGATTAGCTCGAAATCAGTTTTACCGGCAGAATTCCTCGAAATTGTAAAATAGATCCGCGAGGCATGGCGAGTCATTGGCGACTGTAGTGGTACACCGTACACCTAACAATACCGTGTTAAAGAAATCTAATCTGTAGGTAAATCTTTATGTACCGTAGCTAGATTAGAAAGAAAGTCATTAGATAAGTTATGCCGGCTTCATCAATAATTATTATAAAGGTGCAGCAGTGATTCACCGCACGATCACAAAAGAACCCGCAATAAATGCGCAATGATACTCATTTATTATAATAGTAACAATACTTGTAATCACGTGAATAATGAGGTATAATAGCTATAGTGCAACAAAAAAAACAGTATTTATAATGTTATGATTTTACGTGCCAATTGCGATATACCGTAGTCAGCACTGCGATAGGTTACAGTCCCGTCTAACTTCTCAGGACGGGGGGAGCGACCTCGCGCCAGATGCAAACGAACTAAAATTTTTTTAAATAACCTAGAAAAATTGCTTAAAACCCATCTATGTTCCCGCGTTTGCACCAGCTCTTTCCATGCCGTTTTCCTGTTTTCATCCGGAAGGGGGAGTGAAGCCTCTTCCCCAAGACGGACCTGCTTCGAATACTTCTCTCAAGATCAGAAATACCGGATGTTCTGCATTCTGCAATAATCGGTCTATCTGATAACTGCACGCCTTACCACCCCTTGATTAGAATATCGCGAAGTACGACTTACTGTAATTATGACGATGAGTAATAGTACTAACGATAAATACTAATGTATAGATATCTAATATTACATTTTACATGTCTAATGTATCATGCTAATAGCTCTCCTAAGCTATGTGACTATGTCTACAAGTACATTTGTTTGTAAAAATGATCAAACAATTTATTATACTGTACTATGCGTTGCAAACTTGCACGTATTGTTCAGTCCATAACTGTTAAGACGCCTACCGTATGGATTGTTTTTTTGACAGTTCCAAACTGTGCAATAAATGTATGGTTCCAAATTTTCAAGTATGTAATCCAGATATGCCAGCATTCTACCACAGACCAATAATACTACTTTGCTGTGATTCTGATTTCTACTCTAAACCAGATGGAAAACTTGTTTCTGTAAGTTGTTTACTGGTACGGCATAACGTTATTCGATCCCATTGCCACTATAAATACCGAGACAAACACTGAAAAAAATAATTAAAACGCACATACAGAACTTCTAATCGTATTACGAAGGCGGATCAATTTACAGCAATTTTTAATATAACGGGCCAGACACGGAACAAGCGACATTTTAATGCAACGCTTATCGTTACAATACTACAGCACCTGCAAAAGGTGCATTCGTTTAGCCCAGCGAAATAAAGCCCCACTACCAAACGGACAAAAAGAATAACAAGTCAACAATAAACTGAAAATATACAAGGTAAACAGTCTTAGAGACAAACTATAGTACTGTACTTTATGGACACAAAAATTTTATAACGTATTTCAACAATCATTACCACAGCAGAATGTGGCCCTGCGCTTCCTATCCTTGTTTCGTTGGAGCTCTAGGGAATAAAAGACTAGCATGAGTACAAATGTACAAACTCCTTATAACTTCGGCCCATGGGCGCTACAAAGTATCCAACGATAAGAAACACTATGTCGCCACTACTAACATTATGAGTTAATTAAGTGCACTATCAAAAATCACTTGCAAATGTCCACCAAACCGACCTGTAGATTCCAGATACTACCGCATGGTCACGTTCGTACGGTTCGAGGGTGATCTGTTCAAGCGGTTTAACTTTTTCACTCTGTAGCTTTTTAACTTCTTCCGCAAAGACCGCTTCCGGTTTGGCTGTGCTGTCAATGCAGTTGGCCTTGATCGATATGACGACATGACCACCGTTTTTCAGGTAGTGATGGGCGTTAAGTGCCACAATACGTGCTTGATCTGGTTGGGCAACATCCGCAAATATCGTGTCCACCATATCAACGATCATCCGATACTTGTGAGGATGCCGGGCATCCTCGATTATGGGTACCACATTCGTCCGCTTTTTGGCAACATTGATCAGGTCTCGGCCGGAACGATGGGAAAATTCAACAGCATAAACCAAACCTTCCTACAATAAATTATTTATTGTTGTTAAAAATTCAAATTTAGTTATTATGTAATTGAACAAATTTATTATTATGAAATAAACTTAATTTACCATCACTACCATGGCAAACGCAAGAACAAGGATATAAAACTGAGCAAATGCCAAACGCAGTACGGTCGCTTTCTACGAAACTTCAAATAATACGCGTATACAAGTGTTACCAATACGTAGCAGCAAGCTTCAAACACTTCGCAAAAATATCTACCTACCGGGCCAACAATATCAGCTACATGGGAAACAGTAGTCCCGGATGCCGCTCCGAGATATAGGACTTTGCTTTTTGGTTTGATCCAAATATTTTCAATTCCAGCCATGATAGCTGCTCCAAGCTTGGAGCGGAAAGGATTCCAGATTCGATATTCTGTTTTCGTTCCTTCCGCACCCTGTGAAAAACCTTTCCTAAACGCTGTTATAAGTAGATGAAACTACGTCGGCTTACATCAACACTGATACGTTTCTCGCCATACACGGAATCACCAGGTGTAGTGTTGATAGTACACAGCGCGTCTTCTTTGCCCCGGGAAATGAAAATTCCTGGATGCCGATGGGGTTCCACAATGACATTTTTGCCTCCTTTCATGCCTGCACCACCACCACGGCCACCGCCACCTAGAAATAACTTCATTCCACTATCGCATATTTTATCGCACATTTTTAACGAGATATTTCAAATTTTATTGGTACTCCGTAGTCAGAAATCGTCAACCCCTAATTCCAGCATGCAACCAGCGCTTCGAGGTATACCAGGATTTTAAAAGTGTTTGCCTTTACGATTAGCAGAAGCTGACAACCAGCATTCTCCATTTCAAGGTTCCATAAAGCGCAAAGACCACTTACGTCCACCTCGACCGCGGGGACCTCCGCGACCTCCACCGCGGTCCCCGCCACGGCCGCCGCGAAATCCACCGCGACCGCGATCACCAAAGCCCCCGCGGCCACCACCAAATCCTCCTCGTCCGCCTCGATCACCTCCCCGACCCGCTTTAAATCCTCCACCACGATCGCCGCCTCGAAATCCTCCGCCGCCACCACGAAACCCTCCACCGCGTCCGCCGCCGCGGTCTGGTCCTGTAATTGAAAACGCATTGGTTTGCCACAGGTCTTAAAGGGTACTGATTTCCACGTACTGTCGAATCCCATTTTGGACTTCTTAATTAAACTGATGACTTCCGAATAAATAGCGCACAGATACTTAAACTAATTCTGAGCAACACCAACAAGTAGCAAAAAAAGATCGTGAATGCTGCTGCACTTCTATTGGAAAGATTTATCATTAACAATTTTAAGAATTAAGATTTTGCTTTTTTTGTTACAACACCGATTTTCGGATGAATCGTGCCGGCAGTATGTAAAACCGTTCGTGACGAAACGCTCGCTTCATAATAATGCTTAAATTGCACGAATGCACGCGCAGTACATACTTGACTAGGTACGCTACTTGCGGTATAAACCGATTAATAAGTACTATTAAGTAGTTTGTGAGACATCAGCTTTTTTGCGAAAGGTCGAGCCCAGCTTCCTTTGCAACCTGCATATTCCGAAATCTAAAAAACTGCAAAAACTTTTGATTTGCATTTTCTTTTGGATTTATTGAAGCTTTTGATTTCTGTATGGTCATTGGTTAGTAACCGGCTGCTACTAACAGTCTTCTAACAGGGAACCGGAAATTCAACATCCTCTTCTTTTTATTCCAACTTTCTTGTCCGTTGCAGACGCAATATGTATGTATAGATTACAAGATCTGTGCAGAATGTAGTAACGATAAGTAACACGTATAGCCATAGAACAAAACGAATCTATTTATGTGACAATACGTAGAAAGGGAAAAGAAGTCCTGTAGCAATAATGGAAACTATCTCAATAACGTTTAAACTCAAAACAAACAAAAGAAAAGAATTAAGTAACGGTGCCGCATACGCACACCATCCAACAAGAACTCGACAGAAAATTGATCTGAAAAGCTGCAACAAAATAGCACAGTCTGTGGAAAGCAATACGAATGGGACGTCAAAATTCTAAAAGCCAATTAAAAACTTGTGTCGGTTATTGACACTAAATTCACAAAATTATTATTAAACAAAATCTGACCACTCAGAGACTTCCGCCGCTTTTGACAACCTTCCCTTGAAAAGTATGGGCAATACTAAGCATCTTCTTTCCTACGGCCTCGCGTGCACCGCCTTCTTTAAAAATGTCGCTTAATTCGCGAAACACCATCATGATCTGCTTTTCGTGGACATCCGCTGACAATACCGAATAGTTCCAATCGCGGCGTACTTCATCGGTAACGATTAGTAGTGATCGCCGCGGGATTTGTACTCGAACAGGTCGATACACCTCCTTCCGTTCCCATTTCCGTGGAGAAAACGTCAACACCGTATCTGCCAGTATACTGAAGATCACTACGCGGTTACCCCACATCCACTCATCCTCCACACGGGACTGTACAGATGACATCCTGTCGCTGGTCAGTTCCCAGTTGGACACAGCCACACACTGAAAACCATCTAATTCTTTCCATCGGCTAAAGCGGCCTAGCAAGAGCTGAGCAAAATGGGGTAATCCTGTAAAGTTCTGCAGATTAACACGCTGTCGTTGATAGTTAACCGAAGGTCCGTAGTCTTGGCGCCGGCATCCTGATCCGCCGTCCATCCACATGCGAGCATTGATACATTTAGTCAGGTCGCGTTCCTCATCACCGGTTAAAAACTCCGGCCAAAATGACAATTTAGCTGAAAATTCAAGATATAACCACTAGAACTACATACCACGAATCTAAAGTACACAGACAAATACCACAATACCGGAACGGTCAACTAATACACAGCTCTTAAAGACTTACACAACTGTAATGGCTCGCCTGCGTCATATCGATGTCGTGGATGCAATATTCTGGCAAACTCAAAATCCAGCTGATAAGCCATGTTGCACGTCATGCAATGGTCATATACCATAGCATTGGCGGGAACCGTAACATTGGTAGCGGCCGGAAGACGATGTTTCCAGGCCGGAAGATTCCGACACAGATCACACCGACTGCCACCCTTGCAGGAGCATGGCTTAACGAAATTATCATAAAAATCAGAGATAGCAGCCTCCTGCCCGTTCTCATTTCGGACAACATGATGGTATTTCGGAGAGACGCTCGGTATTTCCACAGATGCTAGATCGGCCATGGTTGTCAGGTAACTGGCACACGTTTTCTCCATAGATTCTTCCGTAACGCTTTCGGATTGAGCCGCACGTCGTGCTCGTTGGGCGGCACGCCTCTCCATTCTTGGTTGTACACTTTTGCCCAGCAGACCAAGTAACTGCTGCGATAAGTCCTTTGGATGAGATCGATTAACAAGGCCAGTGGAACCAGTCCACTGGAACGTTTCGGCCTTAACATCCGCTTTTACACAAGTATCACTATCCAATGATATCCTCGAATCTGCCGACAATCCAACTGACTGCAAGAAATCGTCCGTGAGTATTTTCATATCCACGGGGCCAAGAGATTTTTCTAGCGGTGGTAGAGATAAAATTTTTCGAATCTCTTGGATTTTCCCATCAGGCGGCCCGTCGATAAATAACGCAGAGGGAGGAATTACAGTATCGGTTGAGATGGCAACCTGCAACTGCATAGTCTGTTCGCATAACGATTCTGTCAGATTAATATCTTCCTGATCTTGTTGGGACTGCCGCGCCTTCCGTTCGACGGCCAATTCTTCTTGGAAAGTTTCAATGCTGGATGCTTGAATACCCTTGGTATTTATGTTCTCGCGGAAAGCCGCCGCTTCGTGACAGATGGCTTCGATAGTCTGTGTAGCTGAACGCAGATCGGTGGACAGTTCTTCGGAACAGTTTTCGAACAAGTGATCCAAACGTGCTTTGCGCTCTTCCTTCGTGAGAATGCGGTTGACGGGTTGACCGTTAAAGGGTGCTGCAGTAGGCCGTGCAGGGACCTTTTTTGCTGGATTGGCAGCACGTCCGGCTTTACTCATTGTAAGCCGTTTCCGTCGAGATTTGTTTCGACGATTTGGCTGCAATCATAACAGTGTTTTTCAAATAAATTTAAATACGGTCATAGACTCGTAGATATTCTTTAAACCCCTTGGTTTTGTCTACCACCTCACGCAGCCGTTCAAAACCCATAAAAATAAGCATCGGGAAAACTTGAACACAACCTACTATTAAATTATTAATATTTTGAAGTGTCCGATCGAAAACTGCAAACTGGATAGATGCAGTAAGAGTAAAACGACACTTAATATTACAAGTTACATGCGCAAAATAAAGCCATTTATCTTTATAAACATACGCTTTTTAGGATAGAGTACCAAAGGTAAAACAAAAACCTCGTGCATAATGAAAAGCCAAAAGACAACGCAATGTCGCAATCATACCTTGGGTTTTTTAATGGCAGGTGATTTGCTGGCATTGATTTCTGATGCTTTCGACGAAACCGGCGGCCGGCCGCGCCTTTTGGCTGGTACAGGTTCGGGAACTTTGAATTCTGCTTTGGTAGCAGCGGCCGAGTCCTGCTCCTTCGGAGCTGCATTATCTCCTGCGGGGCGAGCAAAGGAAGCACCCAGCTGCCACGACATGGGCTCTGGTTGGCTATCCTCCGAATCATCAACCATCTCGTTTGTCGACACACCGCTCTGCAGAAGAAGGGTGTCGTTGTTGGATGCCGGTCCATTGTCTGTCCACATAGATTCGGTTGCAGAAGGTTCAGAATTATTTCGAGTCTGCAACGCAAAATCACTAAACAACAATGCCATATTTATTTAGCAGAGCGGTTATTGATTCGAGTAAACCAATTCCAAATTTCAGTTCATTCTTTTCTGCCTAATCTGAGTAGAGTAGATGAAAAATTTCTTGATTAATTATCTTTTTGATGTTTCAGTTTCGACAGAAAATTATTTGCCATCGCAAAGCATAAACTGACAACCGGCAGCAAACAAGCGCTCTCGAGCCATATTTTCCTGTATCATTTTTTGTTACACTTCAAATCTCCCGGTTAACCATCCATTTCAGAAATAGTTTAAATACTGCATTTCTTTACATGAGTAAGATTGATTGATTATAATGTTGCTAAAATTATAAAAGAAGCCGAAAACAGCGGCACAGCCGAACACTAATGGTAAGTAATTAAAATAAGAAACAGACGGTGACACTTGACAGTACCGATCCACAGACGACACCAAGCTATCAAAAAGGCCCAAAACGCCCAGCCGACTTACAGATTCTGGCAAATGAGATCCGGATACCTGGGCCTGAATTCCAGGTTCCTCCATGTTGAAGTTTAACAATTAGAATTTAGAATGCTGAAATGTCCCCTCCAACCTAATGGATAACGTAAAGCCCGAATATATCACGGTTAACTGCACCTGACAGGCGAAACCGGATCAGTCACCACTCACAATCAGCAGTAATAAATATGGTTGCCGTCCAGTGCGCACTGCGCCAGCAGCCGTCAGCGCTCACAGTGCGTCAAGGGAATGTTTTAAACTTTCAAAGATGTCGACGGTGGGTTAACCGAGGTTATCAGGTGAGGTTGACAAAGTTTAAGCATTCACGCAAAAAGATATTTTGCTACCACGCTGCCTTATCAAAAATGACAATGGATTCATTGTACTGCATCCCGAATCACGACAACATCACTGCAGCGGTTGCTACCCGTAGTTCACGAAAAACGCATAAGTACTCGCATCGGTTTGGGTGGATCCAATCTATAGCTAAACACTCAACAGCAGACTGGTACAGTATGTGCGCCGTCAGTCAGTTCTACTTACTACTTAAGCAAAAGTCAGGACCCTTAAAACTTAAACACGGTAACTGATTAGTCACTGCATGGTAGTCAACCCCATCGATTACCTATATAAGCGCTAACGATCGATTTAAAATTAAAGGTTTTCAGGATAAAAACCGAAACTCGAAACAAAAAGGAAAAATCGACGTACAGTGTACAGTACCGAACATCGTCCGATAAAAAGTCCCAAATCACTAAATCAGTGAAGTCATTCGAAACTTTCGCTCCGCAGCATACAGTCCCATACGCATCGTTCACCCCTTGGTAAGCCGTTTAGGGCAAATTTCTCTCTGATTGACGGTTGTCCGACAGTCGACAACTAGATCCATGGTAAAGGGGGAGAATGCGGACTTGGGATAGCACGTGGCCTTATCGCGCCAACAGTGCGAGGTGGAGTAGCGACTGGAAAGGCCGAACAGGATAAAGCAACTAAATGTACTCTGTAGGCCGTAAGTACCAGAACATCGTCCAGGATCGGACATTCGGACTACCTGTCAGCGCTTTGGGCTTCGAAACTCTAGGACTAAATGCACCAGAAGCTACTGTACCCACCTGATCACGGAAATGGGTAGAAGAGTACGACAAGAAACCGGCGAGGCACGAGCTGTGACGAGCAACGGTATATCCAGGCCAGTGTATCAGCATAGAAATCCAGCGCGGGAGGGAAGCGCCGGGAACGCATCTTTCGTTCAGGGAGCAGCTCAACCGGGAGCAAATTTAGAGATTGTTCTCTGTTCTTAGACCTCGTGCGACTGTTGTTTGCTGACTCTGTGTACTGCTGTGTTATTCATCGTCACTATATACGCCTTATCGCTAAATCGCTGGCAAATTTAAGTAGTACAAGTTATGAAGTTATTGAACACTTACAAGTACTGTAACGGCGTGTGCCCTATCAAGTATCAACTAATGCCGGCCTCTCGCGAACAGAGTCGCAGCGCTTTTTCAAAAGGAACCCCTTTGAAAATGTGGTAAAGTGCCCGGTTATGTTTATTTGCACCGCACAGAAAGACCGGAAGCGATCCCTTGGTGACAATATTAGCGGTGTCCGGTTGACCAAGTACACCAATTTGAGCAACACACGGCGTCCCTGGGTATCAAAGTGGACTACCCACGGGTGAAACGAAACTTTTTTTCCGGCGGAAGTTGTATCTCGCGTTGACGTCCTCGAACGGGACAAAGATTGCACATGTAAATGTTGGCAGACGAAAACTGTTTCGGTTGTGGAACTTAGACAGTCATCCACAATCCACATCAACTGCCATCATGATCAGTTTAATTTCGACACGATCGCGACCGTCGTCCACCACGTTGCAACACTGACAGGGAGAGCCATTATGCACAATCCGCAGACAACTTACGAATGACATCGTAAATGATTTCTGCAAATCGTATCAAGTCTACACCCGCGTAGCTAAAACCATGTTCGATCGTTTCCGCTCTTCGACCTTTGCTCGCCATTTAACCGCCGCATAAACCACGCTGTGAGGATATCCATGGTCTTTCGCTTGTTGAAGCATTTTACTCAGCGGAAGGCTATCCTGTCTGGTGCCTTCCTGATGGGTTACCGCTGAGGCTGTCACGACCACACTGGTGTCACTGGGCTCTGTTGTCACTCTATCCGGATATTTTCGTCTAAGCCAGTCATCCGTCCCCAGTATCCCCACCAATACTAAAATGCAGATGAATATTCCAATCAGTGGATAGAACCAGCGCAGAGGATCTTTGACTTTAAGAACTGTGCTCGTGGTGTCGTTGCCACTCTCCCCTACTGCCACGCACGTGTAATTCCCGGCGTCAGCATACTCGACCGAATCGAAAATGATTAATCCACTGGGCTGCTGTTTGTTGTTCCGTTGGACTCGGGAATTATTTGCCGGAAAAGCTACGTTATCCAATGACCATAGCAAGGTCACATTTGGAGTGCCGCTTTCGATGCATTCGATTGTGGTGGGATCGCCTCGATCAACACGGATCACTTTTGCCATCTGTAGCACAAATGGTACGAGTTTCAGCGCGACCCTGTCCGACATTGTAACACCACTAGCAAACTGCACATCGCATTCGTAGATCCCGGCATGATTGTAGCCCGCTGCGTGGATCGTCAGTGTTAGGTCGCCGTTCTCGCGCTTGGAGTAATTGGGGCCGTTTGTATCCAGGAGTGTCATTGTGTGATTCAGACTCCCAAAAGGGCTGTACCTCCATACCACGTCTTGAACAGGCGATGTCTGAAGTAACTGACACGAAATATTCAGTGGCTTCCCGTTAGCCCGAAAGGTTACCATTGGTGGGCATTGCAAAGGCCTAATCGTCTCTTCGCGCGCTTTCGGTTGCAGTATGTTGGCGGTTCCGGCTTGTAATTTAAGCACTTCCCCATTGTTACTATCAGTAACCTTTGGTGGTAAAAAGCCATCCGTAACAGGAAAACTGTCCACGATGTGGCACAAATTTAAAAATAGTGGCACAAAATGGATTTTGACAGAGTGCAGATTCATTCAGCCTCAAATCTTTTGAACGAAGTAGTTACCCCTGGAGTGGAAATCAAGTATTGATTAAGAAAGTCTTATTTTCAACTTCGTTGACAAACTGATACGCAGGTATCACAGGTAGAATTTGGTTTATAAGGAACAGTTAAAAAATATTGTAAAAAGTTCGAAAATTAACCACTTTCAGACAGATTAATTTTGCCCTCTTGCTCACGTTCACCCCTGTTTGCACGCTGCTGCTGTTTACCGTGAACTTCGGTTTTACAGCACACGTCGTAACAAGGATATTTAAATTAGAAGTGATTATTTTTATTCCACGCATGCTTTTTCAGTGTTTTTGTAACGGCAGTTGTTGATTAAGTTATGGTGCTTAACTCAATCCACCGGATTAAACCAATTACCGTAGTACGTATCAAATCAAGCCCTGACCTAGCAACAATACCTGCAGTCACTTATCTATTTATTTTTACATCGTTTTTTTTCTTAGAAATTCTTATTTACGTACGTAAGTATGATTGTGTATAATTATTGCACAAAGGTAAGTACAGTACTACTCGTATGCATGCACATAAACTATATACTTCGAAAAAAAGGTAAACATTAATTTTTACCATTAGTAAACGTTGTACGGAAGTATGCAAGTTCATGAATTTTTTATATGCGAAAATAAAGCGTGAAGCCCGCCATGAAAAGCTGCACGTCCTACATTTAATATACGGAAAACGGGGTTCGATTGCCGAAGACAGTCGTATACGAACGAATGTTATGTTTCTTTAAGGAATTAGACCAATTCGATTTAGTGGTTAAATAATATTATCTGTCGCCGCGTTTGTTACAGCTTACGAAATTGTCAAGCGTATATTTAACGAAGTTTACTTTCGTTTGTATAAAACTATGCGACACAGCAGCGATAAGGCTAATATTGAAACAACCTATAAAAACTGTTTACGTTTTGTTACGCGAGCAAACGAAACTAAACTAACGCTCGGACAGCTATACGCCAAGATTTACTGCATGTCGCGTAATAACCCAAAATTCAATAAGGCGGCACAGCACCACCGCACAGGATAGAATAAAAATAACACATAAAACCGAAGTCTCGAAACGGAGATTTTTTTTATTGCTACTTCACTATGCTTTGTTGGGCATTGTAATTTTTGCGTTTAGTCTTTACCAACTTTAATTTCTCTAAAAGATGTGAACTATGCAATCGCGCCTCTGGAATGCGCACACCTTTTCCGAGGCATTCGTTTTTATGTTACTGAGAAATCCTGTAGTATCATTAAATACCCCCTGCAGTATACAGTACTTACTCGCGCGATTGGGTTACGGAGTGACAATTATAACTAATCTACAAATCGTGAGTTCTCCACCCAGTGATGGTTTGACGCGAAGAAGCTAGACATGAACCTACGTTTTGGTAACTAATTAAGCTTTATTTGGCGCTAATTTTGACATATATATCCTTTATTTTCTGTTAATTATTAGTGAGAATCAGTAGTGAGAATTATTGATAGTGATTATTATTAGTTTTATTAATTATTAGTGAGAATTATGTTTTAGTTTTTATTTTTTGTTGATTATTAGCGAGAATACTGCAGAAAACTGCCAAGTTAGATACTTCAAAGTTAACAGATCTTAGCTATTAATTAGTTATTTGTAATTGTACCGCATGTTCTTATTATCATAATTACTGTTTTAATGCTTGGGGCTACTGTTTTATCGCCTTGTCACGCCACACGTGATTCACGAAAAAAAAACAATTAAATGGAACAGTTAAAAACAAGATTACTGCATAATTAATTATCGAAACCAGTACTTACTCTCAGTTTTTCCAAAAGTCGATAAAGTACATAACAAATATTATCTACGATAGCCAATACATTGTATCTATCATTAACTTTTCCGCGGTTGTAAGTAAAATATTTTTATCGACTGTTCCCGCCCAGTTCCGAAATGCAGACGAATGAGTACGCATACCGGTCGAACTGAACTGGACACGGCATTACGTTCCAGGATACGTAGCTTGCTTCTGCCGTTCTGCGCTCGCCGGTATTCATATACTGTACGTACTGTATAAGTTTATCATCTGTTTCTCTAATAAGACTTCGGAGATTCACTTTGCCACTTATTCTTCTTGCGTAACGTCCTTTCGTGCAGTATGGGAAATGATATCTTACGCCTAAATTTGTTCTAATGCAGTAAATTAATATATTTAATGGATACTGACAGACGGTTTTCGAGACGTTTTACAAAATTCAGTAACAATCCAGCGCGGTGTATTTCGGTGTGGAACAGGATGTACATTGAGAATAGTTTTCTGCGTCGGTCTATGATTAGTTATGGATTTTGGTAATCGACATGGGATCGTTTTAACTATCAGAATAGTTCTTTTTTGCCAGGTAAGCGTAATAAGGCGCTTTCGGTCAGGAATGTTGTCGCTAGCGCGCGTAAAGTTTTGCATTTCGCCTTGCAAGAACAATCATTTTCTTGCTCCATAGGTTAATTTTGTTGCCTTCTACGCTTCCGGTGTGACTCCGCATTCCGCATGCGAAAGAAATGGTCGCAATGAGGTATTCCCATGATTTCTTCACCACAATCTATATATACACCATTCTGCATTCTACGTTTATGGAAACTTAATAATATTAATTTAAATGAGTTACTCGTATGAAGTACATATGTGCGCCGCCGGTAAAAGCGGCAGTAAGCAATAAATTATCACTGAACATCAATGCCGACTTACGACTTCTGAAATTGTGAAAGCGTCGGTTGTAGCCTACTTGATACGAGTACAATTACTGTATGCAAGCCCTCGGCTCGTATAACAACCTCAGGATGGTGTCTAATTGACTTGCACGTTTTAAAAAATGCTGGATGTCATTTTTAATTACCACAGCGATCGGAGAAGAACTCTTTCTTATGGACTGTGGATAAAATTGCACCGGAAGTTGATGGATCTCTCGATCAGGCGAGACGTCCGGCGCGGCCAGCTGTGGCCCGATCATACTTTTTTGGCACCATACATGTGCCGTACAGCAAGGTCTGGGATCATGTGTCAAGAGCCAGCAAGCAGGCTTTTCACGAGGCTGACCATGTGATATTTGAACTGGATCTAACTAATCCCGGCACCGTAAAGGCGTTGAGTAGTTGTCAAATGTTGCCAAACGGTGCGGAGCTGTCAAGCCTTTTACCTGGTGATCTCTATAGTCGCCTGAAAAAACATTTGGATTACATAGAGAATATGATGCCAATATGGATGACAGATAATCGGCAGGGTAAGTAATATGGATCTTTCTAAGCCCTAAACAAACCTCGGCTTATTTTATAACTTTTGTTTGTTCTTTTGTTGCTGGAATGTTTCTAGCACTATAAAAGTAGCGCGAGATTGGATGAAACTCGATAAATTACTGCCATCAGCAAAATTTGAATAGATTTTTCATGAAGTTATGCATTGTGTAATTAACAGCAGGTTTCGAATAATTATTACAATTTAGGTGCCTCTTGTTGCAGTATCATTTGCGATTCGCAAATACTTTAATTTTCTCGGCATAAAGTTGTTTAGCTTTTTTGTTTTCGTTTCAAGTTAGATCACGTATTAGCAAGCTGCGAAGCTGATACAGCTTTATAAATAATTAAATATCAAGCCGAAATGTCAAACTACTTATACATCTTTGTGTACTGCTACAAAATTATCGCCGACTCTGGGCATCATGCCGCGTGCGTCAGTTGCCTATATTTTCAAAGGTCGCGGTCTCTATGCGGAATATCTATTCAACGCGATAACGAATAACTGGCAGAGAAAGCGTCCTGTCTGGATAATGTTGATGATCAATTCGTTGACGGAGAGCGATATTAAATCGCGTGGTATTCCGGTGCTGGATTTGTATTTGGCACAAGAAGCGGCACGATTACAAAAGTTTACCGGTGCAGTGGAACACGTGGAAGAACAATGTCTGCCGTTAAACAGCATGAATCTGTCGCAGGTAAAAAGGTGTCTGAAGTGGGCACCGGTTTGCTAGAATACTCATTTCACGCAAACTAATAAGAGTACACGAGTGCAGAGTAAAGACTGCACGATTGTTAATGAATGGCGGACAGGCGTCCTTTACCTGTTGTGCTTTCTTAAGGCCGCACTTTTGTCGAAAGTCCCGCTGGTTTCGTAAATGATTAGACAATAATTCATCGGCTGCTCTAATACACACCGTCCCAGCGCACAAAGCATCTGGTGGGTGATCAAATCTTGTCTTCCGATTTTGTTATCTCTTGTGATTAGGGCGCGAGCCTGTAAAGCACTCTGTTGTTCTAAGGATAATACACACATCACAGGACACCGTAATCCGGTCAATATGAAATCCTTATTTTTTGTCGGTTACAACTGCGTCCAACAGTGCCGACGCGATGCCCTTCATCAATTGTCGGAACTGTGAATGCTCGGTAAAACATCGTAAATACGCGCGAGCGCACATGCACAGAACACACCAGAGTGCCTCACGAGGCAATGAAGCACTCGTAACTTCCTAAAACCTTTATGTTAAAATTAAATGTATTAGACAAAATTAATCAGGGTTTCATGCTTTTTTACATTTTAGATGAGGTGGCATTCAAGGAGAATTAATTGTACAGCCAGTGATAGTATATTATGTTTGCGTCGGGATGTATTAATTTTGCTGTTTATAACTTTGTAGCAGCTTATGTTTGCTGTTGTCTGGTGTCGTAGTATGCATTGGTTACTGCTCGATTAGACCTTTTGATGATGCTGCTCGATTATACCTTTTGATTTTTATATGCTTACAGTTTTTAATTTAATGATGTTTTAATAACTGAGCAGTTCTGTTTATACGTATTTTTCGAAGCCCGATGCAGGGAACTTATCGTACGGTAGTTAATTACGTACACAGGAGGTGCATGAATCTGCCCCTGTTTGATTAGCGAGTGACCTTTGTAAAGGCATACCTTTTCAAAAGTAGGTATAAGGATGCCGTGGTTATACAGACAGGCATCGCTGGTATGTATATCAAGTTTCCATAAATATGCTCGTGCGGACGTGCACGATCATTACCGAATGTTATGGAAGCGCTACTTAATGTATTTGCACAGATATTGAAAATGTCCAATCTCGCCGGTTTAGTAGACATTTAGAATCGACTTCAAAAGAGCAGGCACTTTGCTGCTGCTGGCTTGAATGTATGAGCAAACATTCATTGTCAAGAGATTCCCACTGAATAACAAATTCTGGTGTGACTTGTGTACTGCTGCATAGTTAACCTTCCTTGTTTTCGTGCTGATAAAAGCTTGCCTCACGTATATTTCTACATAATTTACTATATTACTAGTGTGTCCTGCAAAATAGCAATGACCTTTGGTTTGGCTAGGTGGAATGTTATATTATGGATAAATACACTACAAAGTGCGCGCAATATAACCAACCTTTATGACATTATGCTCTCAACGGAGGCGTTTTTTAAGTGTGGCTTTCTAGTGGTGTAGCTGTATGGCAAAAACTGGTTCCATAAACTAACGATTTCCTATAAATATACAACACTTAAAAAAATCGTAACTTTATCTTGGGTGCTATTTTGACTGCGAATTCGCTCAGGTCTTTAGTGCATATAATACGATAAAAATCGCAAAAATTTCCTATTCACCTGTATTAACATGCTTTGTTTGTTTTAATGTTTACTGTCGTGTTCAATGAAATTGCCGCTGAAAGAAATCTTTACTTTAGACAGCCGCTATAGATGACCTGTCAGTGGAAATTACTAGCAGTGACTGATAGACCTTTACAATATCCAGCTATGGAACGTGCGGTTTCCTTAATGGTAGCGAGTTGCACTTAAAATTAGACTTCATGTTGAATACTTCCCAACTACGGGCCGATTGACAGCTTAATACGTGACTGCTTGAGTAATTTAGGAAGAAATTGCCGACTGCCCTACTGCTAGTTTGAACGGAATTAATTACGACGGAAATGTTGCTAGTGGAAGACGGAACAATTTTTCGCTCGTGTAGATGCCGTATTTTATTATGGGATTCTTGGTAGCTGTGTGCCGGCTTAGCACATGGTTTTGTACGTATCTGGCAATTTAAAAAATTGTCAAAAATGTTTTATCTACATAAAATGATGTCTTTAATCAATACGGAGCTGCAGCGCAAATTGGAACGTACTCATTTGTTTACGTCGCCGGTTTTACATCGGTGCCGACTATTTGATTATATACGTTTTATTATTGTTTTGGTAATGTAGTACGTGTTCTGTTAATGTGAAGTTGCGTATATTCGAAGATAGTAAAAATTTGCTTAATAAATGTTTTTCAGTCGAATAAGAGATGTCTAAATTTTGTATTAAAATTTTGCACAACAGAAGGAGACGGAACGCAGTGCGCTTCTACCACCCGCGGAGCAGCCAACGCCTTACCGTTTAATGGACATTCAGTGATGTGCCCAATGGGCAGTCGAATTCATGCTGCTGCTGGCATTAAAAATATAATCACACTCGTACCGGCATTCATTGTCCTGTTTTACTGGACTCATATTACTCGGATCGCCGATAATTTTCATCGTTTTGTACTGTATTAGAAAAGGCCTCTTTGATTGATCAATAGGTGGGCACAATGAAAGCTAATTCTGAGGGCTTTTAAATCTAAGCGTATCTTATTATTGACGATTGGGAAACTGGATCAGCTCGTGTCAGACAACAGCGACAATACGCTATCGATTACCAAACGATCAAAAGGATTTTGTAAACTACAGAGCAGCCGTTTTGTTGAATGATATTATAGATTGAATGGCGTGGTCGGACATTCTGTTCTGTCATTTTATAAGAATGTGTGAGTGAAATATTATTCTAACACACCAACATAATTTCATATTCTATAAGCTCAAAATTTCAGAGGAGACTGCTGAATGAGTGATTATGCATGTGGCTACTGTTGACAGATTTGATCTTTGTAATGCCTATCATCAATTCAGCACCCTACCATAATATGAAATTTTGGTTAGAACAAAATGGCTGCAAATAGGTTTTTGATATTTGCAGATTTTATCTGTTTCTTTTTAAAACATGCTGTTTCAAGCTTTTAATCCAGAAAATGGAATGTCTTGGTATCGATGTCACTTTAATACGATGCATATTTCTCTTGCAGGTTGTATTTGCCCTGAATAGTTCACTTCATCAGCATGAAAGTATACGAGCCGGGAATGCCACGCAATTGCAAGCTGTACCGATAACATCGACAGACGATCTCATACATCATTATAATTGTGGTGATTTGGATGCTGTGATTTTTAAAAGGGATTCTTCTCAGGTCGGTTTTGTAATTGTAATCTGTATAAATTTAGTTTGGCTGCCGGTATTTTTGGCACCTTAACTTCTTCCACTGTGGAATTACAAAAGCAGCAATAATTCAAAAATTTCCTGTCCAAATTTAAAAAATTCGTTTTAGAAGCCTTTGTTCCGCTTTTCACTTTAGCTGACATGGACTTTTGGTTGTGACTGAGATTCTAGCATTACCGGTATTTGATCAGCTAAATTTTTCTACAGATACTTCGATATGTACAGAATTTATTAGATCATCGTTTTGAACTGCTGAGATTCCATATTATGATATATTTAAAAAAAGCTTTCGATATTGCTGTAACCAGTGCGTAAAGTACTTCAGTGTTCGACAGATAATCGCGGTATTGTTGTATACAGATATCGCCGATAACCTGGGAAGCAAAGGATTTACAAGGAGCACAGATAGATGAATATTTTCAGAGAGAATTAATTCAGAAGCGGAACAGAAGGATGGCCAAGCGAGTGATAGAATTACTGGAAACATATCCGAAAAGAAAGTTTTTCTTCGCATTTGGTGCAGGTACGGAAGGAAAAATTTTAAATCTGAACCGACGTTCACTTTTAGCAAATCTGACGCAGTGATATTTCATTTCAGTATGGCAAATCTCGCATTATAATTACTGTTAACAAGATTATAAACGGTGTTTATTTTATGAACGCCGCATAAGTTTTAATGGAACCGATATTCGGTCTGAATGTGCATCTGAATGGATAGATTAATTAATTACTTTAACAGTTGTAACTGGGAATGTTTTGTGCAGGGCACTTCTTGGGCAACTACTCGATTATTCACTACATGAAGGAAATGGGCTACAATGTGACCCATCTAGCAGTAAATCATCAAATTAAAAGGTACTTGATTGGCCGATCAAGCATTTAGCATGAATTTGTTCAAGACGATTGCTTTCAATTTGGCCAAGTTGTGTATTATATGCATGTATTAACTGCAGTCGCAGGAAGAATCGCCAGCGCAATTCCGTCCATCAAAGATCGTCTGAGAGGGACATTTACATCTCCCAACTGGCATACTGGCACACCAATGAGAAGTCCCTACAGGAAACGGAGGAGCACATTCTCCATAATCTACGCTCGGATTACGTAGAGGATCGGGGAGAGTACAAGCGACCCAGAGGCCACCGGAAACCGGCCCCACGGTTTAATGCCGATAATATTCAGCTGGCCAAGCGCCGAACCACCACCATACTACCGCCTAACAGACATTTCAATCAGCTGTGGATCACCGATGAGGAATCTTCGTAAGGCTTTCCTTGTTGGTTTTAGAACTTTATAAGCATTGTTCGTTTACATTACCATGTTTGTAATATCTTCGTATCTCTTACGATACTGTCTTCGAAAGAAACATACATTCAACTAAATTATAACTACTAAATCGACAGCTGGTTGCCGTAATTTGTCGGTCTACAAATTGGTTGAAAGTTAAACCCGCATCTAGGTGGCGATTTTAATACCTAGAGTAATATAGATTTGATATATACCTAAATTATGTAGCAGCAGTATAATTATGAAAGCAATTTAATTGAGAAATCAAATATAACCTGGCATAGTTGTAGACCGAACAGTAAAAGTCTGCAGAAACATAGTATCAGTGAAAACGCATATTCAGTGGTGATATGGCAGAAACTCGATCGTATCACGCGTGTGTTGTGGCATTATAGCATTCAAAACGTACCGCTTCTGAAAAGTTGATGTTTCTGTTTTTATACCAGAAATCCACAGAAGCCCAATGCTACCGTGCAATCCGGTCATGCCGTCCGAGAACCCAGTATTCACTCCAGATTTTGGGATATTCCCAACTCAGCTCGTGGAATTAAACCAAAGAATTCCTCTTATGCATTGCAATTTCATTTTTTATTAACAAATGTATATTTATTTATGACGCTGAAATACAGTGCTCGTTAAAAATACAGTGCTCGTTAAGATTTAATTAGGTTTTACAAAAAGATTTTTGCTTCGAAATTTCCAGAGGAGATTGCTATGATTGTGTCAAGTGTGCACTGTAATTCATGCAGAATGTATTTCTATCTATTGCACAAAATAAGCTTGCGCAGTTAATATAGAACTGCGAAATGCTATAGAATTCTCTTAGAGATTTACAAAAGGTCATGCAACAAATGCTTAACCTTGCACAATTTCTAAGACACTGAAGTAATTAGTTAGCTACCTAAGTAACTATGTGGATTGCGGAGAACGAACAGAAAAATTAGAATGTCAGTGCTATACAGATTCCAACAGATCGAGGCCCACTTTTCTAATTTGCATAGTGTTCTCGAATCCAAATCTGAATACGTACTATGACCAAAATAAATAGCACCAACAACTACGGTAGCTGAATTAATATAATGTTTTGATGTTTAGTTTAAAACAGCAAAGAAATTCAGAGTTTGTTTTTTTTAAAATTCGTTCACGATGTTACCATCCGCGGCAGCAATCAAATTTCGATAGCTATCAGGTCAAAGAACTGCAGTGAATCACTGGGTAAGTCGTGACAAACCTTTTTGTCTTTTGTTAGCCACGCTTATTCATGCTCCTAGTGTACACTTTAATATCGCCGCACCGGAAGTTCTCATGGTGCAGTTGTGCAACTGGATGTTTAATATGCGCCAGAATTCTGTGATGTATACAGTACTACTTACAATTTTCAAATTTTAACGCATACATTGGTTTCGGAGCAGAAAACTGTGATATCAAAAACAGTTGTTACGATGTCTAGTTTAATGCACTTGTTAGTGTACTGAATTAAAATCCGCACAAGTTTTCAGTCAGTAGAAAAATTAATGTACGGACTCGCACTTTGAATTTCGTCAGTGGATGTTGCACTGCAATTCCACCCAGCTGCAGACATTTTTGACACCCACAAACGCTGCATGTTTTTGGATGTTACATTTTTTGGCGTTTGGGATCAACGATGCATCATGGTCGCAATTTAAAAGGATTTTACGCATATTGCGCTGGAAGATTGAATGAGTAAGGTTTCCCCCTTTGACAATCACAGTTCACGAATTCCCATATTTTGAAACTGCCTTATCTCCATTTGATAATTGATACTAGGTGGTATTGATCGTCAAAATGAATACCACAATATTTTCATCAGTGTCGCAGTATTTGTTGCTGATATGCATACTACAACTTTCCTTCCTGATTAACGAATACGGAGCGGTAAAATGCCCGTCTGCGCACACATTTCGCCTTGGGCACAACCCAACTACCACTATTGTTTGTGCTGGCCAATCTTCCTACTCGTATCTCGCAAATGTAACATGGAAATTTACAAGGTTCAGTACAGCTAACTTTCCGGAAGACGAAATAATTATTTCTCCATCACACCGGTATCAGGTGCAAATTGACGGTGATAGCACTATGCTGACCATTCGCAATCCGGCGTGGGCGGATGTCGGACACTACAGGATTGTCTTAAATGAAACGGACGAAGCCGTAGTGGAGCTACAAGCCCTGCCTTGGATTTTTATCCATCCGGCCAACGGTATACACTTCTACGCGGGCACCGATCACGTCGAGATCGAGTGCCTGCAGGCGGCACCGCTACCAAATGTGACCTTTTCGTGGTTGCGCGATGGAGAAATTATGAACGAGTTTTCTCATCCACAGATTGGATTTTCGTCGAATGCCCAAAACAACACCAATGCAAAACTGATATTTGGCACGGTGGATTACTTGGATAGAGCGTTGTACACCTGCGTTGTGAGTGGTCAATATGGCAATGACACTGCAAACTTGCTGCTGCGCGTGCGCAGTCCCCGATGTTGGCTGTATCCGTTTACCGGATGCTTCGGTTTGCTTTTTATACTGGCAGTCATACTTGGCATTGATGAGTGGCGAAAGAAACGATCGAGAAACCGGGAGCAGGATGATTTGAAAGAGGTTTTTGCTGGAGGAAACCAAGTACGCGAAGGAGATGTGAAGAATTTTCCAGAGATTGTGGCGGTAAATGTGCCACCGAAAGGCGAACCTTCGTTTATTTCTTACAAGGCTCTTCAAGATCGCGAAATTCATGACTGATCGTGATTCTTGAATTTCGGAGAAGAATGTTGAATTTCGGACTAAATGATTGTTGATTTCTTATAAAACCTCGTCCTGTATTTTCTTCTTCATAAAAAAATCTGGGAAGTTCTATATATAAGGCACTTAATATTTCTTAAATAATTTTTTCCTTACGCTTCGAATGTTGAAATAATTATGCCTAATTAGTTGCTGATGTGCAGCAGCGGCCATATGTGATCGATCATCGATTTACAGCACAACAGCGTGATTTCACATCAGAGTGTGGGTATAAATTTCTCATGACTTCGAAGGGTTCTGGGGTTCTGCGCTAATCAATGACCTTTGCATTTCCAAACACCTACTCGTAACCCTGCATTATAATGAATGATTAAATGTATTTAATCACAGTTAATTGTGGGTGCACATCCCTCCCATTTTGGGTTTATGGCCGTTTGTCGGCTATCATTGGTTTGTTGGGTGGCCTTGTTTCCTCAGAATCGGAGATTCTGAGATGCTTGCTCCTTGATTGAGAGTTGTGTGCTTTGTTGAAATCATTTACTGCAGTTTTGGCAAGGGAAATTTTTCTCCCTCCCGCCCATTCCCATTGCATTGTTGTTGTTTAACTAAACTAGTTTGCTGCATTATAATGCTAAATAAATCTGACTTGCAAACTGAACTACTGAACTACTATAATGATTACTGTTTAAACATCAACTTCCTAGTATCCTGTGAAGTAAACCAAAGGTTGATTCAGGAGGTGCTGGGAAAGTGATGTTGAAGTACCGAAACTGACTGCAGAAACTACAACAAGAACGTGGTCTCGCGTTTTGTAATTTTTAAATAAGCGCGATCATGTTTTTATCAGGAAATGTGATGCGTAAATCATAACCGCTTTACGAAAAATACCGAAGAAATAATTATTACAAGGAAAAATACCGAAGAAATACATACTGCAAATACATCTCTGTACACATCGCATACACCGAATAACACGGAGTCGATCACTCGAAACTGAATAGGAAGGTGAATGTGACTGTAAATTTCTTTTATACCTTATAAAACACAGCAGTTTTGTATGAGTTCCGTTGGTATTGGAAACCTTGTAATGACGAAGATCTGCATAAATTCAGAATACATGTGCGATTCATAGATGTTTCGTCGGTCCACTTATCGCGTGTGTGTGATCGCATTAATTGATTACAGTAATTTCAGTAAAATGCCAAAATACGTTATGGACAACCTTTGATGTATGACGTTAGTCAAATTCTGTGGTGCCTTTTTATGTGTTTGATAAGACACTATTATCTTATTTCCTTAAATCAGGCATTGTGAGTTAAAGCAATTTTACGTTAAGTACATAATTCTGCCAGTACAAGTACAGATAGATCGGAAATAGGCGGTCCAGCGCTATTTGGTCACACCACCTCAGCTTAAAACCCAAATTAGTGACCTCATATTCGTTTTTGGTTGTCCGCGGATGAGGTTATTTAATAGCGCATACCGCCTGCACATTTTGCACATTTGGTGTACGGTTCTCCGAAAATTTTGATTCTCAACTTGTCTCCTTATTGTGCAAAAAAGTCATACAAATAAGGATACTTTCTTAACATGGGCAATCCTGTAGGCGATTATCCTGCGGCGCCAGGTCCGTATCCAGCAGGTACGAATTACTACTTACCTATAATATCATAATATTATTGCCGCTTTGAGTTCGGCGTGTTTAATTACTGACATTAAACTGAATAATTACAAACTCGTACGTATATGCATTTGCATTCTTGGAGTTGCAAATAAATTGTACTAACATGTGTGTGGTAAAAAAAATATTAAATAAAAAACTTTGAGAATTTCACCCCTCAAGAACCGAAAAGAATTTTCATATGATTTCGAACATGTGTTTGAAACTCCACAGGCCAGCAAATGCCGCCCCCTCCTCCGGCATATCCGTATCCACCACCCAACAGCTATCAACATGGAGCCCCTGTTAGCACCGTCATCATAACGTCACCGGGAGTTTGTTTGAGCCAGTATCCTACACAATTGGAGTAAGTTCGCATTTTCGTACGAGAGTTCAATTAAAATTCTAGTACGTAACTACAGGAAGCAGGGTCATCGTTTTTTTGCGAACGCAGGCTCAGCGTTTTGTCCTTTGTAACTACCAACACTCCAATGGTTAACAGACTTTGAGTTTTCGAAAAGTGTTAATCAAAAAAGCATTTTTGAAAGCATTTATCCAGTAACTTTTTTAATTTTGATTTAGTTATTTGTGTAAAGTCGCGCGCATGAAAACGATAATTTAAAAGTTTTTTTCCTTGAAGAGCGCATCTGGTGTGATCTATGCGTCGGTCGTTTTACAGGTGTCCAAACTGTCGGCAACATGTTGTAACGACAACTGAATTCGAAAATGGTGGATTAACTTATGCGCTAATGGGACTTTTATGTTTGTTCGGTAAGTTATATGTGTATCAGATCAGCTGGTTTTTTTAAAATTTTTGCCCTGATATGCGCTGCTACTGCACTTTTGGTTCTGCTTCTACTTGTATTATACATATCTATCTGTATACGCTTATGGTTAGGTTAATTTTAAACCTTAGTTCAACTTGCCGGTTATATCCTTCCTGCATTTTTATTTTTTTGAATTGTAGGATGCTGGCTCGGATGTTGCCTGATTCCCACATGGTGCGTACAGATAATTGGTTTTTGAGTCAGTTTGACAATATGCATTACTAACTGGTTTCGCTACATATTTTATGGTTAAGATTGATTGATAATTAATGAAATTAAAGCAACAGTAAAGTGTTTTGTTGGTGCTTTCTTACAATTAATAATACTTATTAGTTATTACCAATAAATAGGTATGTTGCGTGTGTTACAGTGTGGATGAATGCAAAGACGTCCTCCATACTTGTCCGAACTGCAAAGTCTTTGTGGGGCGCTACAAGAGAATTTAATTTCAAGGCGAACTATATTGTATTTTCTTATCTCTGCCGATTAGGACACAATAGAACAATTAATGGCAGCTAATCTGTGAGTTAGTCATATTACTCAAACTGGATTTCTTTGTTGTGGCGGTGCATGTATTTGCTTTATCAGAATAGCTGATTATTGTAAAACACATGATGCTAGTAGCAATATCTGCATATTCTTGATGGATCGAAATTGGAACGATATGCTTGTTCAGACAAAAAAGTATTCTTGTAGGGTTTTAATATTCATGTTGTACAACCGAATATCGACCAAAGTAAATTGAATACGGTATAGACATCACACAGGACATTAATAGCCTAACAATGAAAGGTCAAGCGCGCGATGCCTCAATAAGAGTTCAGTACATTACCTGCAGGATGAAGATCACGCAGAATGTGCTCTCCACTTCTTTCGGTGTTTCAAGGCTTATTGTTGCGCTGGAACACATTTACTGGAAAGACAAAAAACTGCGCAGAAAAATTGAACCTTTTTTCTTTTTCCGGCAATTTGTTTCTTTTTGCTGGACTTCTTCTTAATCCTGTAATTTAGCTGTCTGTGCATATTTGAACTTTCTTATCCCGCTTCTGCAATTACGCAAACAAATAGCGTGTATTATAACCAACTGGGTATGTTGAATGTTCGTTGTAACTTCGCTGGAAATGTCGAAAACGCAGCAACAGCCAAGCCAGACTGATTATGCTATCGTGTTTGAAGTAACTTTTCCAGTTAATGCCATGGCCAGGCGACAAAAAAGATGGAAAAAAAAGGTAAAAACCATAACGTCAGTATTATGTTCCAACAAAAACTATCTGGAAAAAATAAAAAAAAATTTCAGTGTGCGTCTTTGCCGCCGGATAACGTTGTAATAATAATCTTGTAGCCAATTTCTATGCGGCTGGTTTGTTGGCGCGTCCAGCCATTTCGTAAATTTTATAAATTGAATAATAGCATTAATAACATTATAATTACCACGACAAAGTTTCTCTTGATTGCCATAACCGTACCCTAGATGTGATACCGTCGCTATAGTTCCTTGGCATACTTTGTTTTTGAAATTTATTTTTGAAGCAGTATTCGTGAATTTGTTATAAGATTAAGTACTGAAAGTAATATACATATTGGCATATATTCTGGGTAAAGGATGCACCGTCACCTAGTGAATCGGAGTTTTAGAAATCAGATCTAGATATAATAGTTTATAGTTGCTTAATTGATGAAATGAAATAATAAACCAAACGACTCACCGCTTCTTTGTTACGTTGCATATATTTCGTGATTTCATATCGTTGCAGTGTCAATAATTGCCGTATCAGTCCACATTAACCGATAACCTTGTCATGTTCTGATCAGGCTTAAAGTAACCCTATCGCACATTATCGACACTTCCATCACGTTCCATGTTAGAAATGCGTAAGCAAATACAACAATTCCCTTACGTACGACCGGTACAGTTAAAAGTTTCCTCGCTAATAGAACTTCTGTGCAGTAGATTTTCAGCTTGTGCGGAAATTAGGTACTTCTACGTTGACCAAAGTTTTTAGGAATAATCTAACGCAGACGGTTGGTAAATTTTTCATATGGTTTTTTTTTGCTGTTGTACGCAAAATAAGTAATATTCGAGTATTAGTAATTTACCAAGCATATATATATTAATTTGGTGGGCTTGCCAAGACGTTAAGTTCTCCTTGCGCGTATGCAGTGCGTAGCATTCCTGTTATTCTACTCGACACTTCATTGTTTAAATTTCGCATAATAATGTACCGTTCAAAAGCGGCACGATATTGAGTTGTCATCTTGCCGGAGGTAGAAAGCTCGAACTTTGAAAGTCTTTTCCAGAAATTTCATAAGCCATGGATCCTCAAAATGGGAATTTCGAAAAATCAGGCCTGCCTGCAGCTGTTAACCCAGAAAATCCAGGCGGTAAGTGTATACGTATTGTAAAGAAAATTAATGAAAACCCACGATTTTAATGGTGGCATCTATATAGGACTACGGTAATGGTATTGGTAACCGCAGTACATATACAGTGACAAAAATGCACAAATTTCTAAAAATGTTCGTTAGGTCAACACGTTCCTCCACCTCCTCCTTACACACCATACGTCGGTCAGCCTGGCGTAGCGCTAGCGTCGCATACCACAACGGTGGTGGTTACAGGGCCCACCAGTGCCGATCCATCGGTTGTCCATTTCATCCTGGGACCGGAGCCCTCCCAAGGAGTGTAAGTTGAACTGTGCGAGTACAATCAGGATGCGGTCTACTGTGCGTATACCACAGAGTTTTTAAGCATACGTTTCTTTCATATCTGCTGCTTTTATGGAGATTTTTTTGCAGATGCCCTTGTTGTGGACAATTCATTGTGACCCGTATAAATCACGAATTAGGTAGTCACGCTTACACCTGGATGGCGATTTTTTGCATTTTGGGTAAGCTAGAGTAGGTGTTAATTTTTTACAACCTTTGCAATGCGTTGGAGCGTTACGCGCTTCGACTTCGAACTACATACAGTACTTTCGCAAAATACACTTGAACTAACGCATACGTAACAATAAGTATTTAAAAAACCGTTCAGATCCAAAAACTGTAATTAATGCACTAGTTTTAAGTAACAACCCGTCTTGGTTCTAGGTGGTGTACTGTGTTTCTGGATTCCATTGGTGTAAGTGCTACCATTCAAAGTAATATCTTACATTAGAATACACCGAGAGTTGTTAGTGTACGATACATAAATTTGGCATACTCTCTACTTACGATTATTAGTATAGTATAATACAGTTCTATAAACTTTTACAGTGATTTATTCCAGAATGCAACTAGGCATGTGCAGAATTAACCTTGCATATCTATATTTACATATTAATTACAGAGTGGATTCCATGCAAGATGTCTTGCACTACTGCCCAAACTGTAACACCCTTTTGGGACGGTTTACCCGTTAAAGACATTATTCCATCTAACTATACTGTACGTCTATATGCAATGGAACTTGTCCATGCGAGCCGTACCTTGTCCAGGAAACATATACAGAGTCTCTGTACTGAGGAACTGAATTTTCTGTCCTGGACTCGCTCAAAAGATTGGACATTGTGTTATTTGACATAAATAAGTTCTTTAGTACAAATAAAAAATTTTTGCTAAGATTGCTTATTCAAAAACTCGTCTAGCGCTGAAATCTGGTTGCTCCCGTATTCTTACCCTCTGTCTTGGGCGATATAATTGTTGACAGTGAGAATTTTGAAGGAGATTCTTCTAAATATAACGCGATTGCTTCTTTGACGTTTGACGCGCCTAAAAGGTTTTTCGTAGATTCTCATAATTCATTATACATAACCACAATTACAGATACATGGGAACATACGTGGTACCTCATTAAAAGTCCAGCTTTAAAATAAGCAGCTTTAAATGGTAGATTAATTTTGACAATGCGCTGCGGACCATCAAAAAAGTGGAGCTGCTATAACCGTGTGCTATAACCGTGAGCTACATGGAAATACGTATTTTTGTGCACAGTATGTAGACTAATATTCAACAGATTTGATAATAAATTTGATACCAGTATCCGTACAGCACACGTTTGCACAAGTACCTGCGCGGTTCATTCTTCCGGTAGACAAAGGGCTTGCGCTCGTTAAATTTCCCTGACTGATCCTATTCGTTGCTGCAGTACAATTTTGCCTTCCGTTAGCATTTTTACTGGTGTTTAGTCAGTGATTCTTGACGGCTTCGTTTATGACCAATGACTAATAAGCTTGTTCAATGAGCGGACGAGAAGGGTGAAGTCGAGCACTTTTAAATACGACCTATGCCCTTTCAGATTTGTTACTTCTGTGTTCATTTTAAGAAATTTTGCGTTATTTTACATGGTGATCTGATGTTCAGTTTGTGCATATCCACGTTATTAATCTGCGTTCTTCGCCCAGTTTCTTTTTTCTTTTCAGTGTTTTTCTGATAAACAGCTGTCGTGTGCAGATTGCACTGGAAACTACCAAGAGTCCGTTCTCCTTACAAGATTATTACTGCATATATATCATTACGTACATGAAGGTTACCGTAGGAGTCGTAAAAGTCGGCATGTTAAGCAGGAGTTTTTATGATAATTAACTATGAACGAACACAATGTCCCCAGGAAACTCTGTCAGCGCAAAGTGGCATATTTTACCTGTTTTTACAATACTGTTCATCTTTTTTGTCCATCCACATTGTTCCACTGGAGCATTGGCGACTTGGATGTAAGTATAATATTCTGTAAAACAGAATAGGATATTTTTTTCGCTCTAAAGTCTGTAATTTAACTGGCTATTTATGCAGCCAATCACGGTAGCATATCTTTTCTCTTTCATTGCTTTTGTTAGTTTAATAAATATGCAGTGCTTTTGTTTCTCATTAGTTAATCGAAATTAATAATTATCCAGTCAGTAACTCTTTCTTGTCCATAACATACTCAAAATACGTGATTTGCGCAACCGATGCGGAGACAAATATGCGTGATGACCTTTATAACGATAGCATGACTACTTTAAGTGCTTCTACAGTACAAGCAGTTTCTAAATGAAAAACGACACGCGGTTTATTTTTTAGAAAATTTAGATTGCGTGGTTTGCAGGCATATCGGCATTGCCGGATCCAGCCTATACCAAGCTCCTGATTTTGTACTAAATCCCCAGATTCACAGTGATACTCAAAATACACCGGATACTGCCTGGTGCAGTACCATCCCCGGTCTGGTTGATCACCAGCTTGTGCTTTGCCGGCGCACTCCCATTGTTTTCGCTCAAGTATCCAGTGCCGCCAAATTGGCCATTATGGAATGCCAGAATCAGTTTCGTCATGACCTTTGGAATTGTACCACCACTAATGATCATACCGTCTTTGGAAAAGTGGCTGTTAAGGGTAAGTAATCCACTATGTAATAATAACCTTTGACGAATTGTACAACATATGAGAAGTTTAATGGGCAGTCGTTTTCTCTGAGGTGTGTCACGATCCACGGCGTTTAATTTTTCTAATATGTACATAAGCATGCAGTTATTCAAAAATTAAGCTCTGAGCGACAACTTTCGTTCCCGCCATACAGTTATCCGAAAATTCTTTATACCGCGTCTATAAATATATTTTAAAATTGTGTTCATTGGATAATATCCAGGTTAAAATTTTTTTGTTGGCTTGTTCGAGAATCCAGATTAGACTTTACATGGTATCACGGAGAACTATGTAGAGATTATTCTTACATCCGACCTCATTGTACGCTTTTCGCCGGTTATATCAGTTTGGGAAACCACCGGTCGACTTCTGTTTCAGGCAACAGGGAAACGGCCTTCATTGCGGCCATCTCCAGTGCCGCCGTGGTCCACGCGGTAGTCCGCGCCTGCAGTTCCGGTAATTTAACGGACTGCTCATGTGATATGCGCCGTGAAGGCCAGCGTGATAATGTTAACGGATGGAAATGGAGCGGCTGCTCGGACAACGTGGAGTTTGGCATGGAATTTTCGCGTCTCTTCAACGACGCTCCGGAAGACATTAAGCGTCATGATTCCCGCAGTATACGGGATGTTATGCACTTGCACAACAAAGCAGCTGGACGAATGGTATGCGACGTCTGTAGTCATGTGTCAACAGGGACTTTGGCACAGTTTGTTTAATTGCACGCGTTAACACAAACGCAGATTTCAACCGTGTTGACAGCTGCTAACTCAGACATGTGTGCAATGGGACGACACAACACCGTCGAGAGCGTATGCGACCTGTTGGGTTAGCGCCTGCCTTAACACTTTCTGCAGCAGTGACCTCCAATGAATTTTTGACGTTTATTGATTTAAGGGACCAGTTTGCAGACGGCAGAGTGTACCCCGCAGTTTAAACTGAACGGCATAGCATAACAGCTTTTATGGACTAGAAACGTCCATTTTCGGGGTTGAAATGTCTAGGCGTAAAATCTGGCACTAGATAGGAACTGCGCCACCATAATGTTTTATGACCGGCAGCTTTTCTTAAATCCTAACCGAAAGCGGCGCTGTAGCTGGTGTTGCGGAGATGCAGACCGCTGATGCTTGTCCATTTCAAGTTGACACGACTTACACCGACAATGGAAATTTTACAAATTCCCTTGCAATGAATTTCAATCCAACAAATGAAATTTACAGTGCTCACTGACGCGTCTAATATTTTCCAAACGCAGACGTGTGCGCACCAGTCAGCCAAAGACTAAAGTGGACATAGCACAGCGATCCCCGCGTCATAGTATTTATCCTCGATTACCAGTAGGCGTACTTATTGCATCGAAATCAAAATTCACGATTGTAGTACTATGAATTATTTTGAATGCTTCAAAAGTTCCACAACAAAGTTTCTATAAACAAACTATTGCATTTCATACGGAAGATATATAAATATGTGAAGCATTTCTAACACCAGAAAAGATAACTCCTGTTCCTTATGATTCGTGAACATCCAGGATCAAAACGTTTGGATTTGACTGACATCTGATAATGTGTTGGCAGGAAACTGCGAACGAAAGCTAGTTTTCTCTACAGTAAGCATTCAAAGTAGAACGTTTACCTTGTCGCAAATACCCAATATCCGGTCTTGTTTCCGAATAATGTGACGACATATTTAACGTAACAAATCCATTTTAATGACGTAACATTGTAACAAATTCATTTTAATGACGTTCAAGGTAGCTAAAATATGTGTTCAGAAGAACACTGTACGAGTATTATAATAAACTGCTTGGCTTTCACGGCTTGCGCGTGGCCAGGACAGGACATACATGCATATGCTTTTGCAATATGTACATCGAATTTTGGGCTATGTCTTTCGCAGTTATATGAGCATTGGTCTTCCACTAGCATTCCTACGGTTAGGATAATGGTCTGAAACCAGGCGACTCTCAGACAATGAACTCATAATCAATTGACTTGTTTTTCTCTTTTAACAATAGCGGTTAAAGCAGGATACGACCTTTTTACGACTAATGTCTAATAGTAATTTGTCCTCAGACGATCTCACAAATACGCTACTTGATCGTAAAAATTCCCCGCCATCTAATTCGTTAAGAAAACCGCGTTTCTCGCAAAGTTTTATGCGACCATAATTATAGCATACGTTGGGGCATTTTATAGAACTCGTGTCTTACTGCGTGTCTTTTGCTTTGACTGTTGCTTTGTTTGCAGGCCGTTCAGAGATCCATGAAAATACAATGCCGGTGCCACGGAGTTAGTGGAAGTTGCGAGGTTTGTAAATGTCCAATACAAACGATCAACTGTTTTTATATTTTTTAGCTGCGAATAAACATTTATTTCGTTCATGATCAGTTTAAATGACAATATGTTTTGCCGTTTATTTCTGCAATAGATGAAAACTTGCTGGAATACTGTTCAGAACTTCCATGTTGTTGGTTCGGCACTAAAAAAGAAATACTCGCGCGCAGTGTGGATTGCAAAAAAATCTATAAGCAAGTTGAAGCGGAGGGAGATGAAGAGCAAACGAAAACCAATTCGAAAGGATGACTTGGTATACATTGATAAATCACCGGATTACTGCAGAGCGAACAGAAAGCGAGGTACCTTGCATCAGCCGTAGTACTATCTGTACAGTCCTGCAACGTAACCAGAATATTATTTTTTGAGTACATTCAAGAGATTGGCGATATCGAACGGAAGCGAAAGTGTATTATTAGCTGCCATTTACGGTCAGCTTTGGGTAGTATCGTTTTGTTTAAAAGATTAGTGGTCTAGAAATACGAGTAGTAACAAAAGAACGAGTCTGCTCTAACAAATTTACACGTTGAAGAAACAATAAAATCGTTATTAATAGCAATGCAATACCCAAAGCAATCTTGTCTTTCTTTTTGTCTTTTTGTCGTCTTGTCTTTTTGCAGAATCGTTATAAATAATGTTGCAGGTATTCCTGGAACGACAGGTAGAATATGCAATAGTTCCGTTGCGGCTTCCAACAGCTGCAAAAGAATGTGCTGTGGACGAGGTCACTACACAAAAGGTGAGAACCAAATTTCGTGATACTCTAAAATACCTTGCACGATTGTACATATTTACTGTGGTACTTAGTTTACATTGCTCCTATCAGTATTTAGCGCTTTGTCTAAAAAACTTTCAAAAAGTACTACGCAGTCATAGATAATGAATACTCGTACATGATGTATTTATCACTAACAAAAAATTTAATTTATTAGTTGTGTGGCGCAAGGATCGCTGCAAGTGCAAATTCATATGGTGTTGCAACGTCCAGTGCGAAGTCTGCCAAAAACGATACGAAATCAATTATTGTCGCTAAGTTTGAAGTTTTAATGCTGGAGCTTCCGACGCCGCTAACATCACATACTACAAATATAACCAGACATAAGCATGGGGATTCTGCTCACCCTACAGACACCACGAGAGTCGGAAAAGGCAAGCTAGGAATATTGCATGCGTCTTTCAGGTCATCGCTATCTGTTGGAATCAGTATTGTTGTTGAAATATGGATCTGATTGTCTGATCGTGAGCGGTATACCGCTTTTCAGAACCCACTAGTAACGTTATTTTGGTCTAGCGTTGTAGTTCTTTTGCATTAAACAGCCGGGCTTTCGCAGTGCAGTTAATTTACTCATTGTTTTCCGTTTGGTATAATTTTGTCATTTTAAGCGACTGCAAGGATACAATCATATAAATACATTTTTGCAGTCCTTAGATTTTGAGAAATTTGCAGCTGTTAATGTGTTATTTTTCAATCTTAATTATGAATTGATCATGCGCGGGATGAATGCAACAGGTGATTAAGTAAACAAAAGCATAAACGAACTGCGCATATGTACGAGCTTGTCCGGTAATTTCTGTCGTAAAGGTACAGATAGCACATAATATAAATATTTAGCGCGAAGTTTGCGCTATAGCGATTGCCACTACACTACGTTTGGCCTAACACGCAAATTTGTGTTTTTCGCTGTATTGAACCGGCAGAAATTACCGGACAAGCTTGTACAGTGTACAATTACATATGCACGTTTAAACATGTACTCGTACTTCTAGTCTTCCACACATGATCTCGTACACTACAGTTATCGCTACGTTACTGTACCTACATAGTACATACTACCGAGTACAATACATAGCTGGAGCCTGGGCAAGTGAAAGCCCTCTGCTTGTCCAATGGCTGCATTGAGTTGTTTATTCCGATCAAAAGCGATTCTAATGGAGACGGAATAACAAAAAGTTTTCAAGGCTGAACTGAACATAATTTCAAAGGATCACTTTATTGTCGTTCGACTGTTCACTATCTTTTTCTACGTTTTCCGTCGTGATATCTTTGTGATGTTCGTCATACAGTTTCCTGAAATGGATCAACAAGGATGTGACATTAATGCCTTTCTTCGCGGAAATAGGGAACACCGGAAGGTCGACTCTGGACTGCAGTTCGGATAAATTTGCCTGAGCTTCAGGGAGATCGATCTTATTCCCGACAATAGCACAAGGTCGATCGGCCAGTCCTGGACTGTACATGTCAAGTTCGTAACGGAGATGTTCCAACTGCAGCCAGGGCTCCGGCTGGGACAGATCAATGACGTACATGAGACATACACAGCGCTCGATGTGCCGTAGAAACTCTAAGCCCAGACCGCGATTCTTGTGAGCATCGGGAATAATACCCGGGAGGTCAGCGATCGCCAGACTTGTGCGGTCTTCGTACTCAATGATTCCGACGTGGGCATGTAGGGTAGTAAAGGGATAGCTTGCGACTTTAGGTCTGGCTCGACTCAGTGCACTTAGTAATGTCGATTTGCCCGCGTTAGGAAATCCCACCTAAACAACAACGATCTGATGAAATGGTATCATAAGTTCATAACAGAAAGTCATAGCATAAATGGCCATGCAAATATTGCAACCCGGGAACAAGAAACCAAACATACAGACGTAAATTTATCAAAGTTAGCAAAGTTTGGATATCGATAATAACCAACCTCTTTCATTATGAATAACCGAAAGCACAGCTAAAACTCGGACAATCAAAACAACAAAATCATGGCGGTACTCAAACTCTTGCAAGCAAGTCATCGAAGAATTCTAACGTAAGCTACCAGGAAACGATTCAGTTTTGTCTATGAAAAGCAAACAAAAATAAGAATAATATGTAAACCAACAATCAGACAGCTAGTACTACATGTATGTCAAATCATGTCATGCAGGAGACATTTATCACAAACTAAAAGCGGCACGAGGAGACAGACGCACTTACCAGACCGGCATGGGCGATAACTCTCATTTCCACGGTTAATTTCTTCACTTCTCCCATACCACCCACTTCGCGCACAACAGGCGCCCGTACTTCGTTACTCAGGAAGAAAGCGTTCCCTTTACCACCGGCTCCACCGCGGGCGGCTAAGAATTTAGCCTCATTCTGCTTCAGCTCCGTCAAAATAGTTCCATTCGTATCACGAAAAAAAGTTCCAACTGGCACTTTTACGATCAAATGGTCGGCATTACGACCGTTACAGTTCTTACTGCGCCCCTTTTCGCCCGCTTTAGCGGCAATATTCAGCCGCAAATGATTGAGGCTGTTCAAATTGGTGTCCGCTACGGAAGAAAACAAACAGCAAAATCAGTTTTTAAACAAACTCAAGGAAAACACTACGAAATAAACAAAATAAGTTAAATTAAACTGACCATATCATCATTATGTCAAAGTAACAGCAGCTCTGTAAATTATTAATGTCAATGTCACTTCTAATCCCTCTCACAAAACCAAATTTCCACTTGATCAGTAGTAGTGTAAGTGGTTTAGTAGCCGGACAATAGTCAATGCACCAAAGGGTTTTTTATTACTTCAAAAATGAGCAGCGACCAAACGCAGACCTGTTGACAAGTTAATGTCGCTGTAAATTATCATTCGTCTTTTATAACCAAGCAAACGTTTTTTAACCAAGCAGTCCCACTCTCTTAAAAATCACACAAAAAGTAGATTGATAAAACAAATTGTATAAAATGCCCCATAACTGCAAGACTGTACTTATACGTGGGTCTGTTACCTTCAAATATCACATGTCCCCCATTTCCCCCATCGCCACCATCAGGTCCCGCATATTCTGTCATCGGAAGCGATAAGAACGAACACATTCCGTCTCCGCCTTGGCCTGCAGCAACTCTCACCTCGAGCCAGTCGATAAAATTTTCGGCCTGCAATATATACTTTCATCGTTTCATTGGGATAAGACAGAAGCAAAGGTAAGCAGGCTAAAGTATCTTCTCGGATATTCGCATTACGTTAACGGTTAATAAAGAGTTGTTTCGTTTATTACCTCATGGCTTCGTTTGGTTTTATTCCGCTTCAATGGGCGCGGTGTCGTCTGCTCAGGATCCACGGATGTCGAAACCGAACGGCAAATAGCTGCATTTAAAATTGCTTTATTGCTGGAGAAGGCTTCGGAGAGATTCCGGACAAAAGAACTTTCAGAACGGAAAGCTCGATAACAGATAGAGTAGCAGAATTTTGTCAACATGCTGAACACGCGGATGCGCCGATTCGCCTATTGTAAGATAACTGCAATTTTATTGCATTTTTCAATAATAATATCCACAGGCAGGGGTAACAATCTTTTTAGTTTTCAGAACTAGAAGCGCAAAAATCCGAAAATTCGAGGAAGAAATGAGAAATCGCAGAAGTTTTAAGCAGCACTGCGTGACTGCAGTAAACGTGACTCCAGTAAACTGTTTCTATTCCGCAAAAATATTTTTCAAAATTGCCATCCGGTGGCGAACATAATTACTTTATTCTAAAACTGCCATCCGCCCTAGACATGCAGCTACAGCGTCCCTTCGTGTTTGCGTCATCGCGGAAGCGATACAGAAGCATGCGAGTGCGATGGGCGTTTGGAATGAGCTTATTGCATCAGTCAGCTGTTTTTCTAGCAAACAAATGGTCAGATCTTCAAAGGAATTTGTTTTTTTAGCACAAGAACTGATTTACATTTCCGTTATAATTAAACTAAAAATAAAATAGTATACTGTTTAAAATGCTTGCTGCTTAGCTATATTTGATGTGTGCTATCATACCATCGGACCATCGGTATATACAACGGGATTGTGTCTCATAATCGGCTGCCCACGTGCTAAAGAGTGAAGAGCAGTGGAGCTGTCGATTGTGCTTATAGTTATGGCAGAAGAAATCGATCTTATTCCCAGCGCTCCCGATTTGTTGCGTCGACAAGGAGATATCTCGCGGAGTTTTCCGAAAACCAACTCTCCACTTCGTGGAGTAGCCGCAGGTATCAGAAGTTGTGTATTTTGTTTGTACAAGCGTATTGATACTGCAAGCATCAAGCTGAAACATGTCCGGCTTAACATGCTGATCTTATGTTGAGATTTAAATTACTCGTATTTAATTTGTAGGAGCTATTACGGGGATGATAGAAATGTCTATAAATTTTCCCACCGATTTTGTCAAAACGCAGCTACAACTGGATGAGAAGTCTGTGACACGTAGGTATTCATACGTTTCTCCATCTTTCGATACCATATCTGTTATCTGGTTCGTTTAGCAGTGATTCTGAAGTTCTTGCAGATACACCGGCCCTATTGACGTTGTTAGTAAAACTGTTCAAGCCCACGGTGTGCGCGGGTTGTATCGTGGTCTGAACGTTGCTATTTGGAATCCGAAGACAGCGGTACGGTTTGGTGCGTTTGAGCAGCTGAAGAGCCTGCTGGCGGATGGTAATGGGAATTTATCCCCTCATGCATTACTGTTCTGTGGTTTCGCCGCCGGGATTTGTGAAGCTGTGCTGGCCACAACCCCCACAGAAAGCATTAAAGTCAAATTTATCCATGATCAGCATTCTCCCGTCAGGAGGTATACTGGACTGTTCCAAGGCATTCGCCAGATTATTCGGGAATACGGTATGGATGATAGAATCAGTTGCTTTAACGTCGGCACATTCATCCGTTGGAATTTAAGGAACTAAAAGTTTGTTATGATTATTTTTAAAACCGTGAGTCTTGTCTGTAAGACTACTTTTTTCTTTTTGATTAATCACGAATAGCGGTTCTACGTAAGAAATTTATTTTTCAACAGTGCTACCGTTGCCATTAGAAATGCAGGAAGGTTTTCTTATGTAAGTGTCTGCGCCTTTTTGAGAAGGTTGTTTTGTTGCAATACTTGCATGCAGACATAAATAAGCGTTCTATCTGCATTTAATTTTGATTTTTAAAGGGATCCGGGGAATTTACCAGGGTGTCGTTCCTACCGTTATGAAATCCAGCACCAGCCAGGGAACGCGATTCTTTGTTGTGGAGTCTTTGAAAGACTGGCGGAAGCGATCAACCGGGAAACCCGCCAGTAAACCGCTGATCGCACTCTTTGGAGCTCTCGGCGGTGCGGCGTCTGTTGTTCTTAATTCCCCATTTGATGCTGTAAAATCCCGTATGCAAAGTTTGAATTCCTGCAAATATCGAAATACCGTGGATTGTTTTTATCGGATGTGGAAACAAGAAGGCTTACTAGTGTAAGTTTTTTTATACCATTTTCAGACCGCGAAATTACGGAATCTGAGACTTAATCAACTGAAATTCGGTGCCTTTTTTCAGCATTTTTGAATTTTGTTTTCAGATTTTATAGAGGTACCATCCCTCGTTTAGTACGAGTGCCAACGGAAGTTGCCATTGTGTTTACGGTCTACGACATCATTATCAACGCCATGAATCATATATTTTAATGCAGCGCTAGATTGTGCCTACGCAATTACATGGTTGTCTGTGATTTTAAAAAGGTGGATCATGATGCACATACCGACATACGTGCCGAAGTTTGCAGATAATGGAACGAATGATTTTTTAAAATAATATATGTACTTTGTGTTTAAATTTTCCCTAAACAATTTGAGTGGAATTATCATTATGATTATTTGAATTTAAAAGGGTGTTTAAAATGCTTCAGACTGGTTTAATAGTCAAAATATCTGCAACTGAATTTAAAATTATTCGGCAATTCTGCACCGGTTCGGTAAAGGATGCACTGATAAAACGATTCCGTAGTGAAGTGAATTATTTAGTGAATTTAGTAAGACTAAGTACTACTAAGTACTTACGAAGGAAATCCATGATGGCTCGATGATTGCGACATCACGTCTTACGCAGCTCTGTTAGTAAACATAACCCGAAGTGATCGACCACGCCTCTTCCCGTACTTCTCGTAGACTTCACAACGCAACAGTCGCTCATTCAGAGAACAGATCTGTTTCCAACCAATCAGACCACCGTCTGGTAAAGACCGCTGAGAGAGGAAATTTTATTTCACAATGAACTCAACAGTGCGCCGATTTTTCTATGTATTCCTAAAATGTGGAAATTGCCGTCGCGGTGGAAAAAATTGACACAGTTCCAAATTCCTAAACGTACCAACTCTGTATATCTTTGGTGTGTTTGTTGTGATATTTTGCCGCTACGAATTCTTTTCTAAACGGTAACTTTGAGACTAATGATGCCACACTGTTGTGAATATCTCGCGAAGTTTGGACGCATTTTGGGGATTTCGAAAGTGTAGAAATCGGCATTTGAGTGTGCTGGACGGTTTCTAATGGTGGAACAACGTTTTCAGTGTATGGATATTTTTAACTATCACGATGATAAGAAATTTTCTACAAACATTTTCGCCTGAGCGCGTGGACCCTACAGTACTTTCTCCGATACCTCAGAAGACGTCAGCCAAGGGATCGCCATCAAGAAGCCAACTATTGAAGGACAGAGCCCAGAAAGTGCGCCAGAATAAACGAGCACAGCATCACACCAAGGCGCTTGTGGCTGGTAAGTTATTCGTTTATGGCTGGAAAGTATATTTATACTGCCAGTTATTTCTAATTTTTTGTCAAAGTGCAATCGAAGTTAATCACAAATATAAGCAGTATCCAGGAACTGAATTAGCATGGCGGCAGTTTCTGAACGTCCAATATTTGCTTCTCATGGCAATTTACTGAGACGTTCCATATCTTGTGTGCTTTTCAATTACGGTAATTAAATATGCATAATGCAAAGAAATTACTACTCGAAGCAGAAGTCACTAAATTGAATTTTAAAGTTTGTGAATGATTGTCTTATTCTTACAGGCACAATCGCTGGTGTTTTCGAAATCAGTCTAACGTACCCCATCGATTATGCTAAGATCCAGATGCAGTTAGACGCACGTTCTGACAAACCCAGGTAGATGGATGCTCTTTTGCAGAGATCAGCCATTGTTGTACTGCTGTCGACGAATTTTTCATCTTTGTATATTTTGCCAGGTTTTGCGGTATGATGGACGTGTATAAGCAAACTTTCCATGCCCACGGCATTAAAGGTCTTTATCGTGGATGGAATGTTGCAGTGCTGAGTCCCAAAACGGTGGTCAGGTTTCAGGCGTTTGAATTTTTCAAGAAATTGAATCTGGACTCCACGGGACATTTATCGGCTCATGGAAAACTCCTGTGCGGACTGGCTGCCGGAGCATTCGAAGCCGGTGAGATAACAGAACAAATTTTGCCCACAACACCGAATTCTGCATAATTAGATATTTACCGGGCAGTTTAATAAACTTTAATTTAAAATTGACCATTACCACGCTGTAGTCGTGAAGTGTAATAATAATTCATTCTTCGCCGACCAGGGCATTGCCGTGATTTTGCCCTTAAAGAAGAAAAACTGAACGTTTATTTTCAGATCTGCTTTTTTTCAGGAAAATTTTTTTGTTTGTTCGCAGTTGATTTATGGGTTAGAAATAGCCATACAGACTTCTATAATATTAAACTGACATTCACTCGCTTTTATGCCATATTACTTCTCTTTTAGCTCTGGCTGTCACACCGATCGAATCTGTAAAGGTGAAATTTATCCATGATTTGAACTTTCCGACCCAGAAGTATGAAGGAGTGTTCCAAGGAGTTAGGAGAATTTTAAGAAAGCAAGGTACTTTGACAGCGAAATTAATAGGTTATACGTAGTCAATGGTATTGTTTTTTCTACTTAGTCACTGGTATTGTTTTTTTCTGCTCGTACTAAGCAGCCCATGGTTATTTTTGTGTGAAAACTTTTATATTATGACCCGGTGAATGTTGTGAATCGATAATTTTTGCCTTCTAGGTATACGCGGCATATATGCCGGCTTAGTCCCGACTGTGATGAAAACTTCGACCAACCAAGCCATAAGGTTTTTCGTTGTGGAAAGCTTAAAAGACTGGCGCAAACAAGGCAATCCTAAAGCCAAAGTGAGCAAGCCACTAACAGCTGTTTTTGGAGCCATCGGTGGTATTGTATCCGTATTCTGCAATACACCCTTGGATGTTATGAAATCCCGCCTCCAAGGTATTGAGGCTAAGAAATACCGGAATATTGTACATTGTGCTTATTTGATTGCCAGCAAAGAAGGGTTTTCTGGGTAAGTTTTTGTTTTTTAACTGGTATGATTACGTATTGTTAATTGATTGATTCGTTGTTTTACAGATTCTACAAGGGGACGATGGCTCGCTTAATGAGGACGCCATTAGAAACAGCGATAACATTCATGGTCTATGACCTCGTTATGGAAATTCTGCACGAAGTGTGGGAACCCTAAAAGAATTTCCGCTTTTCGTGTCTATATCTCTCTTCTGGTACAATTTGCTCAATTTTCTCAAGGATTTTGTACGGTGTCAGATGTTTTGTCTATGTGTCTGAAACATTTTGTTATGGCAGCGATCAAAAATTTTTTGTTTCCGGGACAGTTGTTTTGAACTCATTAATCTCTGTAGATTGAATTGCACTTTACTGACTTTAGTGTACGGTAAACGATACTTTTCTCATCAGATCTGACAATGAGATGTAAGTAAATGACTGTAATATACTATACATAGCCAGAGCCTTTGTTAATTAAACTTAATCGCAACGCAATTTTGCAACATTAAGGTGCAAGGTGCTTGTGTTGAGTAATTTTGTTACACGATAGTGCAAGGTGTTTGTGTTAAGTTTTGGTGTTCAGATTGTTTTTTAATTTTTTATTTATACGGTAAACAGTGTAATGTGATGTTAAGTGTCTCTGCATAATGAGTTGTAATCTTGTCGTAGTAAAAAGTACTTTAGGATGGTAGATTGCAAATACTGTAATGTAGTTTGTGTATCAGCCCCGGAACCCCTTGGCCAGGGGGCCATGGCCCCCGCAAAAATTTTTTAACATAGCAGTCTACGGGGTCGGCTCACGCTAAAGCCAATACTCCCGCCCCCACCAAACCGAGAAGCTCCAGCCGCCCCTATACGAAACAGTGAACAAACAAACCACAGAGCCTTCGAAGCATCTGCCTTGGATAGTGGATATTATTCTAGTAACAATTATTGTTTTGTGTAGAAGTTGCGCCTCTGTCCTCGGCCTGGTGTACAGTTGTGCATTTTAACGTGATGGACCCCGCCGCATTACCCACAAATAGTTTGAATTTTAATGTCGGAGTGCTGGGCCATATTGACAGCGGGAAAACGTCTCTCTGCAAAGCCATCAGTACGACGGCGAGCACAGCCTCCTTCGACAAGAACCCACAAAGCCAGGAGCGCGGAATCACGCTGGACCTGGGCTTTTCCTCCTTCTGCGTACCGTTGCCATCGCATCTCGTCGCCCCGAATGATCAGATCAGATACATTCAGTATACTTTAGTGGATTGTCCCGGTCATGCGTCACTCATTCGCACCATCATTTCGGGAGCGCAGATCATGGATCTGATGCTACTCATTGTGGATGTTACCAAAGGCATTCAGACGCAGACCGCGGAATGTCTGGTTATCGGCGAAATAACGTGTCAGCATATGATCGTTGTGTTGAATAAAATTGATTTGCTACCGGAGAGCAAGCGCGAAGCAAGCATCAGTAAGGTACACCGCACTCTCATTAAATTGGTACTTGCTCAGATGTCCATCTGACTATTTTAATTTCTTGTGAAGTACGATGATAACATGACAAAGACAACGTGTAAAATTCGTAAATCTACCGAACATTAAAGGCAGTTAAACAAAACAATATCAGCATATAACTCAGAATCTCCACATGTCCATGTCATGTCCACCAATATCTGTAGCTGTAATAAACAGCCAATTAAGTCTTGTTTCTTGTCGGTAGACTGCATTTGATTTGAATTTTTAGTTTTGATTTTTATGTGACTCTGTAAGCATTGTTTAGCTGGTTTTCAAGATGATTTTATAAAATAATTAGAACAATCTTTTGAATTAAGTTGGTCAATTTTGTAATTGTTTGTAGATGAAATCTCGTCTGGAAAAGGTCCTTCTGACAACGAAGTTCACCGGATGCCCGATCGTGGCGGTAGCGGCCCACTCCGGCAGTTCGGAGGTATGTGCACGTGTATTTGTGTATCCTATCTTTTTTCTCTCTTTTCTTAACCGACATCAATCAGGACGTTGTAGGGTGAAGCGATTGGCCTCCAGGATTTAGTGAACGTGTTGGCCGAAAAGACATTTTTTCCGAAGCGGAATGCCAAGGGATCCTTACTGTTTTCCGTGGACCACTGCTTCAGCATTCGCGGACAGGGAACGGTGATGACTGGAACTATGCTATCCGGTAGTGTGCGCATTAACGACAACATCGAAATTGTGACGCTGAAAGAAACGCGTAAAGTCAAATCGATGCAGATGTTTCGCCAGCCGGTACAACAAGCGATTCAGGTATGGGGCACGATAGGCTGTTTTCCGTTTATGTACCTTTTTATCCCCAATAAGTGGGAGAAAATCAAGACCAGTATTGTTACAACGAGAGTTTTTTTCTTGATGGTATTTGTTTATTCAAATGCCGGTTCAGATTGATGTGTTGCTCTTTTTGTGCATGAGATATTTACAGCTGGTGAAAATTTTGCATCAGGACAGATATTTTAATTTTGTTCTAGGGTGATCGAGTCGGAATATGTGTCGCGAATTTCGATGCGAAGCTACTCGAAAGAGGCTTCGCAGCAGCGCCGGGAACGTTGACTACTTTGTACGGTTTCATCATTCAACTCCACAAGATTCAGCACTTTAAGCCTTCAATAAAAAGCCGATCAAAATTCCACGTGACGATTGGTAAGACATTCCAATATGGATATCTAAGCACAGGCTACTGGTGTACGATTTCATCCGATTTGGTTAACTGAAACCAGCCTTGAAATTTGGCAGGATGTTTTCTCCTTTTGCGGATGTCATGAGGACAGTTTCATTGGCATAAAACGTTTTTCCCGCATTTTTAATTCTCTTTTGTTTTCCAGGGCATGACACAGTTATGGGGAAAATCCAACTGTTCTCAGGTGTTCCAGATAGCGGGGAGAATTTCGATGCGAATCCGGAGTACGCGTTCGTCGAAGAAGTTGTCGATGCAACCGTACATCAAGAGAATGTTGTGATTTTTGCATTAATCGAGCTGGAATCTCCAGTTATTGGTCAGCGAGGACAGTTGATTGTAGCTTCTCGTCTGGACGCCGATATCCACCAGAACGCGTGTCGACTGGCATTTTATGGAAAGATCCTCGAGCCTTTTTCGGACAAGGATTACGCTAGTGCATTCCTGCCGAAACTGCGAATCTTTAAGGAGAAATTTAGAAGCGGACAAGTGGAACGAATGCAGGATCCCCATTCTGTTATCGTAAAAAACCTGGTAAAAAAAGAAACGGATACGACAAAATTTGAAGGACTGAAAGTGCAGTTATCCACCGGTGAAGCTGGGATAATTGATGGTTCTTTCGGAAAAAGTGGGAAAATCAAAATCCGCATTCCAGGTACGTACAATACGTGTCTAAACTTCGGAGTAATTATAAAAATACTTCGGAGTACTTATGAAAATCAGTTCCGCTTGGTTTCTACAGTGCTGTAGTATTGTGCTGAGCTGCTCCTTTATGTTATTTTATTGTGCCATATAGCCTGTGGTTGGTTAAGTTTATTACGGGGGTTGGAATTATTGTGTTGTTTTATACATGTGAATGTTGTGCACGTATTATTTATTTGTGTATCGGGTTAATTACACGGCTCTCACGTCTGTTGCCATTTTGTTGTACTGTGTAATCGGCATCGACTAATTTTTCTTTTGATTTTAGTGATCAGGCAGGCTTTATACTATACGAATACTCATGTCAGATACAGATACTTTTGCTGAATATCGTTTCATAATTTCAGATGGTTTAAAGCAAACAACAATCGATCTCTTGAGCAGAATGAACAAAAAGAGAACGGATGAAGATACTGGTGATAATACAAAGGCCCTAAAAACAGAGGATAACATAGAAGTGAAGATGATATTCAAAAGATATGTTTATGATTCCAAAAAGAGAATGATACAGTCGTAATGTCGGTGATTTTAGCTGCTCTTTCTGATCCTTCGGTGTTACGTTGTAAATTTTTTGCATTGGACTATGTGAGTGGTTGGCTAAATACTTTTAGCTGGCATACAGTGCCGTTAGTAATAAAAAATAAAGTTCAAATTATTATACGTACATGCATGTTGAGCGTCTTACAAAGTAATTTCAGGATTTGCAGCAAGATGTGTGTGAGTGCATCCATAATGAGACTGATTATGTCTATTTTAACGTTACAACATTTTTGCGCAGCATTTAACCTAGTACGTGCTTCCTCCGCATTGTGATGACAGACATTCACAAATTTTCACTCTGTACTGCTTATTAATGGAATAGTAGCGCTTCCTTCCGCAGTTTTGTCCAGCCCCGCAGAAAGTGATTAACGATAGTTTATATCAAGATGACTGGCGATGTGCTCATGAAAATTAGTGGAACTCGTATCGCTGTTTACCTTTTTTGATTTATCATCGGCGCTGTATCGGAAGAACAAAACATTTGAATCAACTTCAATAATGGAAGTTTGGCCATTCAGTGTTGTTTTTGTGCAATATGACATTAGCGGACTTTCTGTTTGCATAAAAGTACATTAATTGGTTCGATATTTCTGTTTACTATGTCATTAACTGAATTTTCCGTTTTTTTTTATAATTTTGTCACTGCCAGACTTGTAGCTATTTGTTGTTGTAGCTATTTTTTGTAGCCTTTGTATTTTTGTAATTGTAAATGCAACTTGATATTATTTATTACCTGTTTTTGTATAGACTCGCAATCAGTGTAATTCTAATCCAGTATATATAAGACTATTTACATTATAAGATGGACATTTTTGTTTTGTTAAGTTGTGTACGATTTATTTGCCGGCAAGCTGTACAGAGTAGTCGAGGGCGAACACGATACTGTTTTATGTAGCTGAAAATCTCGGAAGCTGTTTAGAGAATTCATCATTAGTGTCATGTACATAAGCCGCTATGCATGTTCGATGGCGAGACCTTTGAACTGTTGAGTAATCCTAGCCAATAACGCTAACATCTTCATATCCTTTCCGCATCTGTCGTTCGGGGTTTTTTACTCGTTAATGCTCACCATTCCTTTTAGCCAGCTAGCGAACGACGACGACGGGGGACTGGATGTTTATTTTCGACTGAAAGTCAGATTACACTTGTACTTATGAAATCGGTAAACGCAACTGCCAGCACACCCAGCCCAGCATCCTCTCGCCGCTCCAATGCCAAGTGTATTGGCTAAAGTGAGATGATTAATCCGGCGTTCGTTACCGCCCCGGCACACAACGCGAAAAAATCAATAAACACATGCTATTATTCTTCTTGCGCCCCGCGTACACACATCCACACGACGGCGAACTCCACACTAAGTTGTACGGTGGCCATGTAACATTTCCCGGCGACTGGGATAAGAGCATTGGGGAAGATGATGAGTCATCCGGGATAAGCGAATCGGCGACGCGGGAGCACAGGCCGCACTCGCCAGCTTCTCCTTGGCCGTGCAGCGAGGCATAGCTGTGCACTGTGCTATGCCGCTGTATACATGTACGGCTGCTGTCTGTGTTATATGTGTGCGCTCTTTATCCTCCCCAATCGTTCTGTAACTGTCCCCTTCACACTACAGATAATCCTTCATTCCCCCTGTATTGCTATTCAACTCCGCATCTCTGCCCCGTTCTATCCCGCGTGTGATAAACAACCATCCACTTGTAGTGGCGCGCACTCTCACTGGGGATATATATCTCGCTGCTGCTTATGCATTAAATGGATAAAACGAGACGTGGTTATGTCTGTGACCCATCTGGACTGCTGATTAGCCTGCACACTACGGCCAACACGGTGCTTAATGAGTGAATGGTGGCGGTTACGACAGGAAGTCGGCTGCTGTTTTGAAGGTTGACTTTTTTGACAAGCCGTCTATGTAGCGATGCCATCGCCAACCAACCCGGCTGGCCCCTCCGCGACAGCCAATGGGAAAGCGGCCAGCGGCAGTAGTGGTCGCGAGCCGGTGACCGCCCGGCAATCGCGGGAGTCGCGCAGTAGTCAGAAGGACGCCAGTACGGCTTCGCCCGGGAAAGCCAGCAGTGCTCACGCGTCCTCCTCGTCCACGGCGCATCATCATGAAGTGCAGCATGTGGGTCCCTATCGATTGGAGAAGACATTAGGCAAAGGCCAAACAGGTATGCTGGGCAAAGTGTACAGCAGTGTACTGTATATGGCGTGGTCGGTGTGGTAATGGTAGTAGTTGTCATTCTCGGGATGATGATGAACACGGTGTGTACGGGCCTGTGTTCCCCTTCTACTCCTCATCAACAAATAATCGACCCTTTGATAACGATTGATTACACGAGGGGAACGTGTTATGAGGAAATAGTGATTTTGAACGGTTTTCGCGAGACAGAGCGACCAAGTTTACTGGTAGCTTTTCTCTCGGCAAATGAGTTTCCAGTGTTGCGTAATAAATGGTGGAGTAAAATACCCACGTTAACGCACTACAAATTTATTAGGCCAAAACCCACTTAAATTCACTAGAAAAAATTGCAGCTGTTACTATACTCATTATGCAGGGCTATGGAATTTCACTGTTTCAAAGTTTAATTTTCGTCATTTATGAACTTAACAGTTCTTGAAGCCATAATATATATACGTATAATGAACCCTCTTTAATTTCCGCAATCAAACTATTTAGGAAGTCACAGTAGATGTTTACAAATACACATACCACATATAGATATTATTTGCAGTGTACATTAAATTACGTAGCACTGTTATTTACCTAAATAATTAAACAGATCGCTTTCGTAGGCTCATATATATTTTGTACATAGCTATGGTGGTTTTTACAACAATCAAGAAGTCCTGATTTATTAATTGTGCTTATGTTTTGTGTACCTGTTTGTCGGATAGCTTAATATGCGGCGTTAAGCATACACGTTCGATGACAAGCATGGTACCGGTAGAATCTTCAAATTAAACCGATGAGTAACAATGTACTGTAATTAATAATCATCGTCGAGACTAAAATGTAAACGAAGATTTGGCGACGCGGTAATCTTTTCGATTATGGATGGGATATCTTACAGTCTCAGAAGATTTTAGGTTTGCGTAACAGCATGAGCTGCCGGTATTTTGTAAAGTGTACTTATTTCTTATTCGCCACAAACAATAATCGAAAGGTTCGTTAACGACGTTGTGGTGGTCAGATTAGTAGCTGGATGTGAATTATCGTCGTCGAATCACGTGTGCCGTCTGAAAAACGCTTCGCTTAGAGTCTGGTCTACGTAAAATGCTTCATTTAGAGAACCGTCAGATTTCGTTTGGTATTATTGATTTTTCCCCTTTCCGTTTCTGGGTTCCATCGCAACTCCAGATGAAGAAATCAATGCCAGTACGCGCGCGCTCGTAATCGCTATGGTATCATTTAAAACAATGAGGAGACGATTTGCTGGTAATGGGTGTCCTATGCTGCCACTTTACTGTCAAACCGACCATGTCATACGTATAATTAAAATCCTTTTGCTTACCATTACGCAACACGCACAATCCAGTGTTTTGTTTACGGGAAATGTGTTTTTGTAGGTCTTGTTAAACTGGGTGTACACTGCGTTACCGGCAAGAAGGTGGCAATAAAAATTATCAATAAAGAAAAGCTTAGTGAATCCGTCTTAACAAAGGTCAGTGGCAAATAAACGGAAGCCTTATGTGCGTAGATGTTTTAATGTTGCCTTGTTGATGTGTTGTTTTGCGTAATGTAGGTGGAACGGGAAATTGCCATCATGAAACTTGTTGAGCAGCCTCATGTTCTGGCACTCTATGATGTCTACGAGAACAAGAAGTACCTGTAAGTAAAGGGAATGGCGTGACTGGGGAAATATGTCGTTATTGACAGGAAAGAAAACGGCTCAATATCTCTGACTTATTGATGTTATTGCTGCAGTAAAACCGTGTTGTTTGCGTTTTTATCAATCTTCTTTATAAAATAAGCTAAGGGTTTTAATTATGCTTTATTGTTCGGCACTATCTTGCTATTTACCTCAGACTGGCGTGCATATAAAACGCTGAATTAATTAAAGCAAGAAATGTGTAACTATTTTAAAGAATATTTTATACGAACCATTTCATGACAGTTTTTACTAATATATATATTGTTGGTCATTTAGTATGCACATTGGAAATATTGAAATTTTGGATAATTTGAGAGAAATCTAGGTTAGGAAGAACATTACGATTAGAACAAGGTCGGCTGGCAGCCTGCGTCGGCAGAATGCAGTGACAGTGTCTATGGGGTTTCCGATGTGATTAATGAAAGCCCGTGTTGTAGTTATTTACATTTTGTAGGTACTTGGTGTTAGAACATGTCGGCGGGGGTGAACTATTTGACTATCTAGTCAAGAAAGGCCGCTTAACGCCCAAGGAAGCCCGTAAATTCTTTCGTCAGATCATTTCCGCTCTGGATTTCTGCCACAGTCACGGTATATGGTAAGCACGCGCGAGCGTAATTTCACACGACAGACCTTAATTGTCGCACCGCTAGTATAGCCATTAACGAAAGGTTAACTTTTTCTTGAGTATCGCTTTGCGCTCGTTAAGCTTATGCTAATTGATTTTCTGTCGCAATAAAAATATGTTGAAACAGGAGGTGAGATATCTGAAGACCCGCTTTTGAGGTCATTGAAAATTTATTTCACTCGAACCATTTTTGACGAATTACGTGAAAAAGATCTCATTAACGCATAAGTACGAGATCAAGTCAAATTAATGTCCAAACAAATGGCACGTTATACGTATAAAAGGTGTCATGAACGTCGCGATTTATGGTTATAAAATACAAAATTTATTGTACACGTTGCGTTTATTGTACGCAGCCATCGCGATTTGAAGCCAGAAAACCTTCTACTGGACGACAAGACCAACATTCGAATAGCCGACTTTGGGATGGCTTCGCTGCAGATGAATGGGTCGATGCTGGAGACGAGCTGCGGGTATGAAAAGTCGCATACAGAGAGCCGTGCCGTAATTCATTTTATCCACACCATGACCGCCTGCTGTGCGCCGGCACCGGCATATTGAACAGCATCTTCCCGGTGTCATAATGGTAACTAACCAAAAATATCTTGACTTGATCATTGCAGATCCCCGCACTATGCCTCACCGGAAGTGATTCGCGTAAGTCTAAATCATGGGCTTGTACTGTGCATGTGTGGGCATAATCATAATGGCGACTTTATATGTATACCGAATACTTTTCCAATTACTCAGCTCTGAGTGATTACTCCTTCAGGAAAATCGATTTGTCCGTATACATACTTGTTTCTTTCGGTATACAGTATATGTGCGCGGAAATTTATAAAATTCTCGCTTTATTTAAAGCTAACAACAGCAGAATAGCCTGAAAGTGTGTACTAGTACTTGTGCTGTTGTGCATAATTTGCTGCTTGAAGGGATTGTAGCACATTTTAAACTAAATTACAGTTTTGGACCATTTGTATTAAAAACATGATTTGTTGAATTAAACGCTCTTCCGTCCCTATGCTTTAATTTGACTGTTACATACTGCTCTGATCGATGGGAATATTTATGGTGCATAAAATCCGGATATTTCGTATTTAAAAATTTCCTGTTGAAACTATAAAGCGCTTTCTATTTGCGTTTGATTTGGTATAATGGACGTTTCAGGGTGAGCGTTACGACGGACGGCGCGCGGACGTGTGGAGCTGCGGTGTAATTCTATATGCGCTGTTGGTGGTAAGTGGAGCATATGGATTGTTTTTCGGCCGTCGGCGGCAGTCCCGATTCTGATCCCGACCTTGTCTCGATTTCTCTCATTACCTTCATTAAATCCCTTCTAATGCATATACACATTTCACGCATGACAGGGTGCTTTGCCATTCGATGACGATAACTTGCGCAATCTGTTGGAAAAGGTCAAAAAAGGTGAACCTTATGCGAAAACAGGCGTACTTACTGAGACAAGGTTGCATGGTATTATATTTCTTTCTGCGCAGGTGTCTTTCATATTCCACATTTCGTCCCACCCGAATGCCAGAACCTATTACGCGGCATGATTGAAGTTGATCCTAATAAAAGGATGACGGTCAGTGAAAAAAAGAAGCATTAATAAAATTAAATCCGGTGAGATCTGTGCGGCCCAGGCGACGCAGTGCTACTGCGCCGGTTCTTTGACTGATTACTTAAATGCGCTAAATATTGCATTTTTTTACTTGTTTTTCCTAAAAAGCCTGTCAGACAGAGTAATTACGCGATGTGGTGAAACCAGTTCACATCGATGTAAACAGTAATATTCTCGCAACGAATTGCAGTAGTATATGCTATTTGTAAAGTCCTTTTAACATTAGTGCTAGATATAAAAACATCGATTTTGACTTTTCATTTGAGATGTTCCATTTCCGACTCGTTTTTGACATTTGCTGTTTCCTTGGCAGATCGCTCAAATCATCCGGCATCCATGGGTATGTGCCGGTGGTAAAGGCGAGCTGGAGTTGGAGCTTCCGGTGGTGCAAATCGTCCAGGTAAATGATTTTCTCAACGTTTTTTCGCGTCTTAACCATGGCCATTGTGCGGTGGCAGTGGTCCTGTTGATGCGGTAGATGTAGCTGCGAGCTGCTGATCGATTTCGTATTTGTGCAGACCCATATCATTCCGACCATGGATGCCATCGATCCAGATGTGCTGGCGTGTATGACATCGCTGGGATGCTTTAAAGATAAACAGAAGCTCCTGGCCGAAATGCTCAACAATCGGTGAGCAATGTACATAGGAGCCATTTGCTGCTTGCGTGCCATCATTAATTAATCTCGTACAGTCCGCCAGCGAGTCATGTCGTGTACAAAGGTGTCCTGCCGACTGCTCTTGGCTTAATTATTTACGCCGACGTTGCATGAAAAATAGCAAAACATCTACGGGAAGGCACTTTGTTACTGAACACGGCGAAGGTGATTTCCATCAGTGCAGAAATTGGCTTAATTGCAGAATTTTGTAAACAGTTTTCTTCTGGTTGTGTGTATCGTAATTCGTCGCTTACCGTAAGAGGATAATAAAATTTAAGCCGTCTTAAATCTTATATCGGCAGTATTCTGTATTACCTGCTAGCCTAAAAGTTAGGCATTTTAGTGTAAGTATTTCAACCTTGTTGAGTGGAAAAAAAGGCAACTTTGGGTACATATTGAGAGGAAGAAGTTGTGAACGTGCTTTTCTGTATAATAGCAGTACAAGGATCGGAATAATAAAATAAATTATTTTCGACAATGTTTGCTTACCATGTATATAAAACAGCATCGTAATTAAATTTTTTGCAACACTTTTTTCAGGCATATATAAAAGCAATATAATTGCTTGATAAAGGGAAATAGTTTGGTTGATGGTGTGTAATCGTTTAGGCACAACATGGAGAAAGTCATTTACTTTCTCCTGCTGGATCGCAAATGCCGTAAGCCATCCGACGATGATGATCATGAGCCGGAGAGTGGTGCAGGAGGGAACAACGGCCTGCAGCCAGTATTGGATAATAAGCTGGTCCGCTCGCGATCCGAATCCACCAAAGGCCACAGCCAGCGGCGGGCCGTTTCGGCATGCGCCGATCCCACGTCCACGCCCAGTCTTTCCTCACTCGATCCGCCACGCAAGCGCGTCGATCAGCGCCGCTACGACGATACCGGCACTAACGGCGTGGAGTCCAGTGGACGGATTTATTCGCAGCTGACACTCGGCTCGCCGGTATTCGGCAAGAGGCGGGGCGTGTCCTTCCAGACATTGGATGCTGGATCCTTAACGGTCACTCCGGAGCTCAGGTAAAATTAGAGTTTAATGGATCAACAAATATTTTCAAACATCAAAAATATTTTATTTATTTTTTAGTTGATTACCTGTACCTGGTTTATGTTAATGATTTCCAGATTCCTCGAGACGAATTTTATTTTTGTAAAAGGTCAACAGAGCCTCATTTTATATGCTTTGACGTTGTGCTGAAATACTTTGCTTTCGTTGATGTGTTATTTGGTACCTAGCTTATCCAGAAAACTGAAAGAATCAAATTAATTTGTAGTTCCTACAAAAAAAACGTTATATTTTATCGTAATATTGCATTGTGCAGAAACCGTCCGCGCCGCACCAACACCATCGCCGGTGTCAATCCATCGGCAGCTTGCTCATCCTCCTCCTCATCCATAGAATCAATATTCCAGAATGCCAACAAGAACGCCGGAAGGACGCATTATCAATCCGCCAGCGCGACTGCCGTGCCGCCGCCGTCGTCGTCGCATCCCGCAGCCGCGTCCGCCGCGCATGAAGCCGCCAATTTTCCCCCAACTAATCAGGAGCTTAATCAGGATGTATTCAATTACGAGCCCAACAAAGCCTACAATCCACCGGAGCCCGTCGTCAAGCCCTTTCAGCATCCCTTCGATGCCAGGCCAACCGTCCGCGATGCCAAAGCGGCACGTGCTGTATCCCCATCCACCAGGTGCGTGTATTCCGCTTGTTGACAATCTCTTGAAAATCCCGGCAAACAAAAGCATTCTCTGTGTGTGTCTAATTATAACCTTGGCCGGCGGGGCTGGCAGGGGTGGCGTGTACTGTGTATGGTGAAATAAAAAGCGCTCTTTGTCACGTCTGCAGAGCTTCGTCCACGGTGAGCGCGCCGTCGAATAGCGACGCCAAGACAGCACGACAGCCGGCTGTAACACAACGAACACCGTCACTGAGCAGTGCCAATGAGAATGAATATCCCGGCCGGAAAAGCTCGGCCTCCGCGTCGGTGCCCAGTTCACCATCACCGTGGCGCTCCAAGCTGAGCAATTTGAAGCAGACCATTATCGGCACACCGCGATTCCATCGGCGGAATAAGATGGCATCGGAGAACAGTGTGGAAGAGGATTCCGGATTCGGGACGTCTTACATGAAAGAGAATAGCGTGATGGATAAGCTGAATCGCTCGACGGCTAAGAAGAGAGAGGTTTCTCGAGATCCGTCTACGGAGTAAGTCTTGTGCAGTGGCTGACAATAAATCTCGAGTGCCTTGGCTAATACCGGGCTTCACAGAAACGTGAAACAATATACGTTACATAAAGGTCATGTGGTTTCCTTTTACAACTGAAAAAACATGATAGCAAGCAGAAAATGTGCAGTGATTTTGTCAAAAACATAATTTATGAACTATCTCCGTTCGCCTGCTTTCGAAATATCATAATTGTTTAAATCTGCAGGAGTGTGACCAGTCAGTTGAGTAGTAACGGCCAAAATCGCTCATGGTTCCGCACACTGATGGCCAACACTACCAGTTCGATGTCCACGGGTTTAGTAGCTGATAAAGACGGAGAATGTTGTTCCTTCATCATATGGAACAAGAATCTTACGGACATCCGACAGGAACTTCAGGAAGCCTTTAAAACGGTAAATGTTTTTATAAACGTAGAATACTCGCTAAAAATAATTTAATTTCGCGAATGAAAACATGTAAGAGCTATATGTTACGCCGGCGTCCAAAGTGAAAGCTGTTTTGGAAGCCTCTTCTTTCTAGGTGCACCATCTGTTTGCAAAACAAGAGAATCCCAGTCTGTACATCGTACATTACCGCCGTGGCGGAATCGTTGCAACCAACAGCGCTGGACAATCGTCAGCATCGAGTACGCCACGTGGTGGCTTTTCGGCTGATAAGAACAACATTTTGTCCTCGGCTGGTCAGTTTTTATCCAATCTGCAGCGATCAGTGAAGTTCCAAACGGAACTGACAGCCACGGGCGATGAGATTTCCGGAAGAGGGATTTGCATTACCTTCAAACTTTTATCCGGTATGACATCGATGCGTCTGCTTGATTATCGAAACCAAAATAATTCTCATTACACCAAAACATTTTGCACTGTGTTAAAGTCGACCTAACCAGTGCTTTCATTAAAACATGTTTAATCAAGCACAATTTCTTTTCTTATTCATGCAGGTAAAGGGCAGTATGATAAAAGTACTTAACTATTGTACTTGTATTGAGGCTGCCTATAATTTGCGGCTCTGGTTTTTGTAGGTCCAGTGCGGCGCTTTAAACGCATTTGTGAGCATTTACAAATGTGTTTAATGCAAGCCGCTCACCGTCAGCGGTCCAGCGAATCCTTTTCCACCAGCAAACCTGATATAAGCTCCCGCGGTATGTCGCCGGCACCGGTTAAGCGTTTCACGGATGCCGATGAAGATGCACTGTCCAGCATTAGCACCCGGGAGGAAACACGACGCTACAAGCCCGTCTCGGCACCCCCGCCTGCTCCCTCGCCCCTTCCACCGCAAGAGAGCAACGTTGGGGGAGGAATGGTGATTGAGAATCCCTTGGCGCAAATGTTCGATGCGGGAGCGGGGAGCAGTAGTCGTCGGCGACGACTGGAGAGCACGGCCAGTCTCATTAGCCGCATCACGGCGGAAGTCGCGGCTGCAGGCTATACACATGCTCAAAACGACAGCGATATACTAAACATCGGTAAGTGATAACCCATTATTAGCAGTGAAAAACCTGAAGTGCTTACAAAACGGGGTGGACGACTAACATTGCCACATCATACAGCCTTTGGATGTAAACTACATATTTAAATATAAAATCTTAGTTTATTTCCGATAACTAGTTTTTATAAATATGACAAAAACCTTTAGCAAAACACATGTTATTATGAGCGAATTAACGAAAGACCAGGAAGCAGAAGCAAATAAGTACTACTGCACTGTTTCATTGGCGTGCACAATAAATTTTTATGTGTACTGGTGTACTTGGTCAAGGTTGTGAAAAAAAATGCAAATGTTTGTATATATATACTAAGAATTATTGTGCGGCTTCCAGATTATACGCCACCGCCTCCAGTACCTCCTCTGCCTCTTGCATCGGCTTTGATTCAGCCCTTCGATCCCCCTCTAAACGACACCATCACGCCGGTGACCTTTATCCGCGAGTCGTCATTCTCTTCCAACTACGAGACGCTGAGTCCCTACGACTCCGCACCGAGCTCGGCGTACGCGCCGATCGGCATTCAAGACTGGTCATTTCCCAGCACACCGGCTCCGTCGCCTTCGCGACTGAGCCTGGGCCGCGGTGGTGGTGGCGGGGCATCCCATTTCGCCGCGCCGGTCAACAGCGTCAGTGTGCTAACCGACACTCTACGGCGACCGGATCTGGATGATATAGATTTGGCTCATCAGCTGCAGCTGGAATATGATCCGGTTAGTCCGGTGTATGTCAATTTGAATGATGACGAACGGCTGGCGCAGGAGACTGAGGAGAGTCTGCATTTGTTGAATCAGTTGTGCTCCAATCTGGTATCGTCCATCAATTCCAGCTCAGCGGTATGACCAGCTCTTCAGGATGTACTGGAATTGATTGGGCTAATTATTCCGGCGCATCCTTTCACGGTGGCTCGAGCGATGTATGCCATCAAAAGAGGCAATGTACAATCCACCACAGACGGCGTATTACGAGTAAAATTGGTGATATTTATAATTGTTTAACTGATTCTGAGAATGATTTTGCTGATTGGAAAGAGGTTGGTTATGATCACATGCGATTCTCTCCACTGATCTCGATGAAAGGAAAAGCTCTAATTTATTGGAACTCCTACCGGACGAGTCGCTTTCGTTCTACTTACGCCGTGCTTTTGCTAATAAAATTTTAATATTTTCTTAATTCATGCCAGTGTAAAGCTGAGTGAATATCACAGGAACTGCAAATTGGTCCTTATAAAATCTCGTAAACTCAACAAAACAGCATCGCTTAGAAATATAAGGCGGCATCATTTCACAGGAGAACCATTTCCAAAAATATGTGACGAATAGTCATCAGCTTTTTTCTTCTCTGTACCCGGTGGGTCCGGCCAGCCGTCCACCCACTCAGGGCTATCCGGCTGTAGTCCACAAGGTCGTGCGGGATCTTGGAATTTCTCACGGATCCATTTATTAGAAATCCACTTGACACCGGACAGCACAGGACATCCAGCGTGCAGCATGTTTTCATTGCCTAAACCGTCGCGGTGCAGATTGTACCAGAAAGCGGCACTTCCGCGTTGCGGGTACAGGGTCACATTCAAACGAGGAAACACCGTCGCCCCACCGGCTTCCACATCGCTGAGGTAGACGAGCAGGGTGGCGATCCGGTCGCCCCAGTTCTCATGCATTTGGGCGTAGTTGATTTCTTTCAGAGTGCGAAAGTGATCGAAATGGGCTGCAACCACCAAAAAAGGAATGCACACCTTTGGCGGTTGTGTACAGTACTATGTTTTTAATTTCATTGGTTCCAACGCTACCGTAAGCATATCATGTTCACAGAAAAGGTTCGTTTATTCGTACGTATACTGCTTGAAGTCTACTTTCATACTTCAGCAATATTATTTTTATATGGAATGAATATGTATGGTACGTTACAGCCTTACGGGCTTCAATAATTTGAGAAAATTGAGAAAACCTGGTAAAATGGGAAGCTGACAAAACCAAACTGACCATCGTAATGACCGCCTATTCCGTAATTGGCCATTTGAAGATTTTCTGCAACTTCCATATTCAAATTCGTAACTTGTCCAATTCTGCGGTTCAATTCACCAATGACGGGGTCTTCTTGCTCCGCTATAAATGCGCTAAAAAGAATAAAAAAATGATTTGATTGCCAAATTCTGCACGAACTCCGATGTTGCGGGAAATGTTGCGCAGCTGGCTTAATTCTGGCTTAATTTATTCGTTTAAACGTAACAAAAATAAACTTGATCTTTATAATACTAATAACAGCAAAATCACGAGCTTTGAGGTTGCGTTTGAGAGTTATACCTTTTGGAAATTCGAATTCGCGCAGTTTCCGAATCACCAGTCCCCGCTTTCACTACCATTGCCCGTTTCATGTGCTTTCTGGACACCAGTTTCACCCGTTCGATTTGAGAGTTCAGTGCCACATCGTGAATAATGTAGATTTCGGGATCAGTATAAGCCATCTCGAATTTCAGCGGCTGCAGTAATAAGGATGGGTTGTTCCATGTTTCGTAAAAGCATCGCAGTAGTGACAGTACGGTCTTGTTCTGCAAAATGTGAGCTTGTACAAGTGTTATACACAACGTGCGCTATAATTATATTATACAGTCATACAGACACAAACCACAGATAAGATATCTGTATTTTAAAAAAAAATTTTTAAACTAGTCTGACATGTACTCTTTATCAGCCTTCCAGGTGCTTAATAGAAATTTAGTTTTCTCGAAGTATACAGCCAAAGTAGGTTCAACGAATATCATGAAATTACCAGTTGACCTTCTCCACGACACAAGCGCTCGTAGTGACCACCCCGGACTAATTTCTGTTTATTGTCCGCTGGTTTTCCTTCAAGATTTTTGCTAGCGATGAAATCTTTGTATACTTGAATGTTTTCCTTAACATTGGGAAATTCCGGGTCGAGTTTTAGGAGTTGTTCAGATAACTCCAACGCCCACGGCGCATCGCCATGGTTGTACACAGAATGTTGCAGCCAATCTAGGATTTCCGCCTTGCGCAGCTGGGGCTGGCCGAATTCACGCGGCGCTTTATCTTCTTTTTCATACAAGCTTAAGGAGAGATTTAGCCAACGATGAGCATAATCGTGAAAATGCAGATGCGCTAGATTGATGCCCAAGAGGAAGCAATCGACGGACGTGAGATTTTTGGTTTTCGTTGGGACGCCCGGAATATCTCCGCTGGCGACGACATCTTCGTCCAAATCATAGGTGTGTTGCAAGCGCACCAAGGCTTCCGATGCACCTTTGAGATCATCTTCAACAGGAAGTTTTATTTGGTGGGAATCCGATAGACGTTTCACCTCATCTACGGCAGCTGCAAAGGTTTATCAGATTATTAATTTTAGCAGCGAAATACTGTAAGCATTTAGTTTACTTTGGTGCCACACAATTATATGATTACTAACGCCACAACGTTAACAATATTTATGATATTAATTTTCATCTGATGAAAATTAATTTTATCTTTTTTTTATCATCTATTAATTTTTTCAACTATCGTGCACTTAGATCACCAACGAATAAATTCACATTTGTACAAAATCAAATACGAAAAATTAGAAAAATATGTGTGCTCATGTAGAATCCATACTCGCAGCAAGATTTAAGCCAATAAGCTGGGAATAATATTGCCAGTCGACGCCCAAGTGCTTGACAAAACGGAATGCCGTGATGGGATGGTACAACTGTGCGGAATTTCCTTCCCTGTTCGAGCGGATTAGTAGATTCTGATTGAATTCCTTTTGTTCTTTTACAAATCTGCAGAAATGCTTGTCTTGCGGTGAACGTAATGGCGATGTAAACCAAAACTAACCAAATTAACTAAACCGCTACGCATAGGGCAGTTTATTTATCATGCCGTTGAAGTATTTACAGAGTAGTCTAGAGTACATGATGGTTTGACATGTTTTATACGCACAAGGACTTCCAAACTCTTCTTCCATAAATTTCATCACAACCGGGTAAATGGAAATTTTTTATCACAGATGTGTTTAATTTTATTTGACAGACATACTTTTCTATAACCTGTATTCGCTCTTTCTCTGCTCGGACGAGCTCTTGCAGGACATGGGTTAATCGCTGTGCTGATCCAACAAGCGTTCCCACATCCGCCATTGATGTGAACACATCTCCATTATTCGAAGAAATATTAATCGCCAAAATTAACAAGAACAAACTCCACCAGCAAATCATGTTGGCGTATGAATTTGCGTATTCCAGGTTTGAGGTAAATGAGATTATAAAACAGAATTACGGAAGCTGATTGCCGCGGCCACACATCGATCATAAGAATTGTGTCCACATTATCCGTTACATGAGACCGTTACAAAACGATCATGTACGATGGTTTAGAAAATGCATGTTGCAACATCATTTTCAGCATATCAACATTTTACTACGAGTACATTTGTACTGTCCCGTTGTGTAAATTCACATGCGAAAAAAGATCACAGGGATTTTAATTGTGGTTTACATTTAACGTAATATCAACAGATTCAACACTCCAGTTTTACGCTATCTGATGTTGAATAAACACCGGCTATTTCCTTAAACAGTTGTTGTCTAACATTGAAAAATACAAGCAAGAGAAGTCTACTACACAAACGTAAAAAAAGAAAGCTGATCAATTGTGTTGTCGATAAATATCAAAGTTCAGCATCCTTTGACAACGATCAGACAATCGGCATTATAATGACCTCTAAAGTCTGAGCATAGTGTGATACGGAGTGTGTCCACCTTCATCACATAAGCTTGCATTGCTATCAAGATTTCTTTACGGCGAGAATGTTTTTTACACATTTTCAAATGCCAGTTGCTGCAATCGCACAGAGATCTGCAAGGTGCAAATGCCTTTAGGCAAGACGCTAAATATCACGCGCGACGTCGTAAGGTATATGAGAGACGTGAAAACGGTGTAGGGTATATGAGAGACTGTTACCATAAATAATGTCAATAATTAAATACATTGTGGCAGCATATAGATACTAGCTACTAAATCAAAGATACCAATTTTGACTTTATCCACATCATTAAAACCGAAAAACGTTTACGCAAAGTAATTGTATCTTTTAAATAGTTGCTTTTTTTTATATATATTCAGAAGTGAAATTTAGTCAACGCACTCACAATATCATGTTTCATTCGTGTTTATCGATGCTGTGGTTTCAACAAATGTTATCATTACCAGCACAATCCAGCTAGCGCGCTTTTACTTGCATTAATTTGTAATGCTTCGGGTTCAGTCTGCTGCACAGCGCAAGGTGGATACCGGACGTTAGAAAAGCAAAGCTTCGGCTGATCTCTCTGGTTTCTTGTAATATTGTGTAGTAAAAGAATGATTTCCTCGCACATTGAATGACGTGGATGTTAATCTCATTAAGGTTTTGTTGTGTATTTACAACGTGTGAAGCTTATTCAGAATCGCCGTGTGAACTGTGCCAACTGAATGTTTTCCTTAAACATAATTAATGCGCTCAAGCTAGCTTTATTTTATTTTGCTGAATAGCGCAGTGTTCCTGCTTGTCATGTCAGAGGTAAGTCGCCGTTTTCACATCACGCCTTCGAGTAGGAAAATCTTCAACAATAACAACGAGATCCCGTACACACAAAATTTAAAAGCAATTAAAATAAATATAACCAAAAATAAAATTCTAAAACGCCGATTAACGCTCCATTTGTTCCTTAGCTGGCTCCATGTCAGGCCAAACCACACCGGGCACTTGTCTTGAGAGACTATCCTGCACCAAATCACAAGGTCGCCTATCATGCTGTCCAATTTCCCTTATCCACTTATTGGACACCCACTTATTGCCGGACAATACCGGACACCCGGCATGCAAAGTCCGCACATCACCCCGCCCATCCCGGTTTAGATTGAACCAGAACGACGCTGATCCCTTCTGTGGGAATAAGGTCACGTTGAGCACAGGAAAGGTGGTTGCGCCACCGGCTTCCACGTCTGTCATATAAATCAACAAGGTGGCAATACGGTCGCCAAGGTGTTTTTCAATGTGTTTGGTGTTGATATCATTGGGGTTGCGGAAGAAATCATAATGTGCGTCATAGAAGCCCCCGATACCGTAATTTGCCACTTGCAGCTGTTCGGCTTGGTTCATGTCGAAGTTTGTTACATGACCTATGCGTCGATTCACTTCGGGAATTACCGGATGAACGTGTTCGCCCAAAAATGCACTGCAACAGGGCAATATATAAGCAGAATAACTAATATTAAATTAATAGGTAACACTGAGTAATCAATTAGAAACGCAATACTTTTAAACTAAAACTCAAACACGAAGAATATAAGCAATACGAGTATTCACACATAAAAGTACTATGTTCTAGTATAATATGTAGTACTGAAACTTTTCACTTTATCCTCAAGTTATTTCGTGGCATTCATCAACACGCCGTTGGGATTTACGCTCTATTGGGATTGATATTAATTGCTGATTCTGCCGTGCGGTTTTAAGGTTTATAGACCCACTGATTTACAAAACACGGAGGCTATAGCAATCGGAAGGTTTAATGGAAAGAGTACGTGTACTTACGATTTCGAAATACGGATTTTCGCGTATTCGGTTTCGTTTGTGCCGGCTTTAACAACAGTAGCCCGTTGGAGGGAAACCATTGCTGCTTCCTTTATCATCTGCATCTGATTATCGGTGATCACGTCGTGGACAAAATATATGTCAGGATCCACATAAGCAACTTCAAATTTCGCCGGTTGGAGCAGCAGGTATGGATTATTGTGTGTTTCGAAATAGCACTTCAAGTGCGGTACAACTCTTGGAGCCTGCAAGGAACATGATTTCCAAAACGTTTCTGGATCCCAGCAAGTACAATACACTAGTACTGTGATTATATAACAAATTTTCTAAAAATAAATGTTGCTGTTCAACGTGCTTCAAAACCTATGGTAATATGTTCGTTTTGTTAAAAGCTTTATCCAGGTAAATTCACTTGAATCTGTTCGAGTATTTACGTAGCGTAAACGCCGTAAAGATGAAACGTAAAGTGTCCGCCAGATTGGCGGGATTCTAGCTTTATATAACAAAGTTATGACCAAACAAAGTTTTCAACCGGAGTTACAGTACTTTGCAAACTACAGCAAATTTATTTTGTCATATTTAATTATGCGTATGGTCATATTCCACCTTTGCTTTACTTGCAGTAAAGCATTTAACTGTAGGCGAAACGCAACCAAATTAGCAAACACAAAGATAAGAACTGGTAATTTTTTCGCACGCGGACTTTATCCCGTCCGACCATTGTTAAGCAATAAGCGTGCATGGTCTACCAGCGGCTAACCTTTCAATCTGTTCAAGTAGATCATCGAAGATTGCATAAGACTATCCAAACGCTACGCTTGGTAAGTCTTACGCCAAATTTAAAATGAATGTGGGGCAATCACCGACACCGGAAACACCTACATAGCCGCCAGCAGACTGACATACTATACGCACTCGTATATGCAATGACCAGATGCAGCGCAAAGGAACACTGCACCTCGATTACGCTGCTGCATTAGCAAAAACCGCTTTCAGTGCGTACAGTGTTATTTTGAAAGTGAAACCCGGCACATTAAGCCCCTGGCCACGACAAGTTTATTAACATTATAAGTTTAAAAATAATTTCATATGCTTTGTCACATCGTTAAACTTGCCACTGTGCCTACCGGGGAAGTTCATAAACACTTGATTACGCATATTCTTCCTATCTCTACAGAACGCGCTTCAAATTGTTGTGATACATTTTTGTAGTGGATACACAGGTAGCATTCAAAAACGCTTTAACAACAGCCTTTATCAGGTTAAGCATGCTCGGAACTTCCGATCCGTACGTGCACATGCGTACTACCTCGTACAAATATATCTGAAAGTAGTCTAATATTTTGAAATCTTTAAGCCTAACAAATTTTGGGCAAAGGGAAATTAGTGAAAAACACGAACAAATTATACATTTAGAAATGAATGCACATTCCTACACCGCGCTTTTCTTAAAATTAGGCTTTGCTCAAAATTTATTAAAAGTCAAGTTTACTGTATTTTTGTAATAAATATCTTAAATATAATTATCGCACTACTCACTAACCAACTTTCCTTCTCCGCGACACAGAGCTTCGTAATGGCCGTCATACTGAACAACTGGGGGGAGGCCGGCTTTGATCCCTCATTTTTTGTGCCGTCGCGACGTCCAATTCAGCGATTAAATCCGAATAGAATTTGAAATTAGACTCCAGTGTTGGGAAATCAGGGTCAAGTTCACGGACAACCTCAGTTAGTTCCAAGGCCCGGACTGGATTTCCGCCGTGATAATACGCATACTGCAGCCAGTCAACAATGTCAACTTTCCTGATTTTTGGCATCTCTTCCTTTTCTTCATCAAACTTCCGCAGGGAAATCTCCAGCCAGTTCGCCGCATAATCATGAACGCCTTCCTGAGCCAGTCGGTGACCTATCAAATAGCAGTCCAGTGCGGACATAGGCGGCACCTGCGTCACATTCCAGTTGGGAATTTTTCCAGAAGCAAAATCTTCAGTGGTAATTTTATATGTGCGCTGCAGACGAACAAATCCCTCAGCGGCACCTTTTATGTCTTCTTCTTCGGGAAAGCGCAGAGCCGATCGTTCCTTTTCAATATCGCGTACAGCCGCTGGAATGGAAATAATCTGGGTTTTAATGACAGCATTGGAGTCATTCCAGCGAGTATTCAATTACCGACTAAAAGTGCTAGCTCAAAAGGACGAACTAGAGAGCAGAGAATAAGTCAATATTACGAATGAATGCTAAATGCATTTATAAAATTTTATCACGTATGAAAAGATATTTTATTAATAAAACTTTTGTTTAGAAAGGAAACTATAGCGGATATTTCTCTATGTGGTACAGTTGTATAACATAATTATAATGTGCTCAGCGAAATAGAACACGCCTCTCCATAGATATACTGTAGTACCTCTAGCAAGCTATGATAAATATGGATCAGATTTACTGTAATTTCTCTTTCTGTAATTAGCCGGCTATCTCGATCATTCTGCATGCCTCCGATAATTTCGTCGAAAGACAGAGGTCGCACTCGTCATATAATTATGCGATTAAAATTTTTATAGGTTTTTTGCTCATTATTACTTAATATTTTTTCTTTACCTGCACCCATATCATACAGCAAAAATCTCTTAAGATTCTCCCAGTCGGCGCTGAGATGTTTCACCAAGAGGAAGGCATTAACCGGATGTGAGACCAGTCGTTCCACATCCGCGCCAGGTAGCTCGTAGACGTCTGTGAACTGTTGGATGTAACTGCAAGCGGACACTTGTTTACTTCCTTGAGAACGGCAAGAATCAACAGACCGTCTGGTCACAGACCACATGTACACTCAGATATTTCTACAAGTGGAAGTTTTAAAATTTGCCTGCACACATACATACTTTTCAATGGCCGCAATTTTCTCCTTTTCCGCTTCAATTAGCAGCTCCAGAATATTGAGAATTCGTCCTTCGGTATGTATAAGGTTGTGCACGTCCGCCATGGAGGTAAATACCTCCGCCCACACATTTTTAAATAAAAAGACAAAACTAACAAAAAATAACTTACTTATATTCATGGCTGGTGAGAAAAGAAACTAATGCTTACGATTGTAATACTGCATAATTCTTCTACACAAAACGTAAAGTAAAAGTAAGAAGAGAACAAAAAATAGCACACCGACAGTTTACGTTCTAAAACACGAGTTTACATACGAGTTGCATATAATTGTGGAACGTCATAAATATAGAGACGCGCTGGTCTATGAATCTATGATCATACACCCGCGACGCTGAAGAAAACTGCGAATCATTCGATCGTAGCTGGTGATATGAGTATTAACGCATTGTACTGTTAAAGTGCGTGTTTAAAGGTAGTTGCTGTGGAAGCCGCGCCGTTGATCGACCTAGTGCTAAACCTCAACATAACGGATGCAAAAAACGTGGCGTTCACCAACCAACCTGCTGTTGGCGCTTTATTCGGAAAATAAATCGGCGGCAAGAAATTTTTTGGATTTGCGATTACAGGCTGCATTCTGGTGATTCAAGTTTGACGCACAGCCAGCAACTTCTTAAATGACAATCAGCAACCGGCTAGTTCAAAATTAATAGATATCGGCTGAAAACCGGTTGCAAAGAAACCTATACATACAATGTAGGACTAAATGGTCGCATAACCCCATACCCAGCATTCTGTACGCAAGCGGTGCAGTGCACTTGTACGAAACGGATATTTTGAACTCAGTCGTACAGTGCACTGCGCGGCATTCGTACTGAATGTGGAGATGTTGGGTATGCGACCATTTTGTCCTAAGCTGTACGCCTTTAAGACCTGATTTTGCGTGTTACAATTCAGTAACTTTGATCCTGTATTATTATCTTAAATCCTATTAGACAAAATAGATAATCTAAGACTTCAATTGACACAAAGACACTTATTTACATTTTTGTGTATGAAAACTGCAGTAATTGCTAATGCAAAGGATCGGAATCTCTTAACCATGCAAATTGAAAATTTTAAATGCAGGCAGCATGAAAACGAAATTTGTTTCATACTAAATTGACATTCGTGTCTACTTTGTTTGTGTGTGGACTGTGGTTTGTGTCTACTTTATTTAGTATAGGACTGTGGTTTGTGTCTACTCGATCGTCGAGTCGTCGACACTACCGCGATTTAAACCAAATTATGGAATTGTTATATTAACTCATGTTGACAATACAAACATATTTCATGGCCACCATGGGAGCCTGCAGCCACAAATCTGTGCAAGAGAGCGGTCGTAGTTACTCGTCAAAAGGTCTGATTTATCGGAGGATATACAGTACGAGTACCTTTGGATTTGGTGAACTACAGTAAGCGACTGCTGCATGCTGTAGAGCTTGCGGTTGCTACTCGTAATTTGCCGAAAAAGACCGGCATGATTACGGTACGTATTGTGCAGATTACGCATAGATCCGCGAATAACTGTAGATAAAATTTTGCTACTAATAATTTATTCTTTTCTACATTTTTACTACACACGTATTACATTTTTTACCTGATAAACTTGTAGAACTATGCATTACTTATTTATTAGCCACAATTTGTAATTTCGTGAATTTTTGATAGATGTTGCACACAGGAAAAAAATAAAAAATAAAATTTCCTCCTTTTAAGATTTAGAGTAACCTTTGCATACAAAACTGTTTATGTTGGCAGGTTAGAGCTTTACAATTTTGGATACCAATTTATCAAACAGTCGCTCTGCACTTTATACAAAATTAGGGAAAGTTACAGTATTTTGGAAGTTGGAACGCAGTCGGCAGTAGTGTCATTATTTTTGTAACAAAGAGAAAGACGTGAAGGCATGCTTCCCTCGCTTGGTTGCTACTTGTGTAGCACGTTGTTTTTTAAGCACAGCCACAGATTACAGTACTTTTCCTTTGCTGCGTATTACAACTGCATCGAAAAATTAATGCTAGTCTAATCGCTGATGTTCTTGTTGTTGTTCAAAACATTTCATTCCCTATCTTACACCACGATTTCGACAAGCATGGCATTGTTAGAGAGGCTTCCCAGTTACCAAATGGAAATATTCGGTATGTTATCGTCGTTGTCGTAAATAATTACGGTGCCTTTGCCGTTTGGTGGTTCGCTGTGATTTACTACAGTAATCCATGCGGTATTTTTAAATAATTTCTAGATATCATACGCTATATCAAGGATCCGGAACATCCACAGACTCTTGAGGATCTTAAAGTGGTGTACGCGGAAGGTGTGCGCGTGGAACACAGAAGCAGACACCAGGAATTGAACGAGTGCCAACCCAGTATTCCGATTCCTACCAGGAATGTTCGCGCCGATACTATAAGCTCGGATGAACGTCTTAATGTTTATGTGGAATTCACTCCCACAGTTCCACACTGCTCCTTGGCCACACTCATTGGGTTGTGCATCCGTGTGAAACTGGAACAAGCGTATCCAGGTACGCTTGTTGCTTGATTTGTTATTTAGCTGTTTTCGCAAATTCAGTGAAATAAACTGTAAAGTGTCAATGTAAGAGCAGTAAGATGAATTTATTATGCAACACTTCATAACTGCGATTAGTCGGAGACTTCGACTACAGTATTAGCATGTCGCGTTTATACCATGTTCCATCCCTTGTCGCGTTATCAGTTTTTCATATAGATTTCTCACTTCACCGGAAATGAATGGTCCCAAAAACGTACACTAATGAAAACATAATTATCCCTTTGGGTTGGAGAAGTTTATTCGTAGTTGTGGTCAGTTCTGTCTTTTAGGTTTCTCTATATTTTTTTCATCGTTTTGTCATGAAAATGAATTACCTGGACAGAAGTACAACAAAAGTTAGTTTTGAAGTTTTTGTATATAACTTTGGCTTTGGAACTTGAGAGGTGTGAAATCGGGTGAGTGGGGATTAAAATTTGTTTTTGTAAGTTTAGGGCAGTTGAAATTAAACGTCTGTGTGAAAGAAGGGACGCACAATACAGCAGCGGAGATCTCTAAACAGCTGAACGATAAAGAACGAGTGGCCGCAGCAATGGAAAATTCTCAGATGAAGGACCTTGTTATGGAGTGTATATCATACGCATAAATGGCATAATATGCGAGATTGTTGGCGACGTCATACATTACATGTGCAGTGAATTTGGGGTGTGTTATTGATGTGATATGCTTTTGTACTGTTATAATACGGTGGAAGTAGTCATTTATTTTGATGACTTTTCATCGACTGTGATATGTCTAGTTCATTATTATCATATATCTGATTCTTTCGTTATAAATGGTGTGATTTGCCGTTTGAACATAATTTGAAAGTTGTCACAGATGGATGGCATATATATTAGATGCTTTGTTTTACAAACGGATTTTAAAGTAAGAATGCGAGCTTTTAAACCATTTTTGGAATAAATATAGTTTGATGCAGCCAGTGTTTCGGGTACTAAGGGGAAGATTTGACTTTATTCCAAAAATTAACCTGTGCGTTTGATCTTTCCCTCTTAATTTTGAAAGAATTATTGAACAATTAAATCCAGCAAAGAACATGTATTTGGCGTGTTGCACTCAGTAGAAGGAAGAATACATTTCACGCCATTATTATAACGTGGCTTTCATCAAATTCTTTCGCCTGCTCAGTAGGAGCGAGAATCACCAACATATAAACGGTAGAAAGAGATAATGATAGCGACCACTTTAAAAGTGCATTTGTCGGAAAAGGTATCCGGTGAACGGGTGGAGAGACAGTTTTCCCACTTCTGAACTTTACCATCTTCCCGGAAAATCTCGTTGAACAAGTACCGAGACGGTGCTGTTGATGCGCGGATCCGGACCATTTACGTACACTTTCCAAGGTCATAAGTCGGATAAGTCATAAGTTGCAGAGTTTTCCAGTCGGTAGACTCTGTAGCCAAACCAAGTGTCCGATAAGCGCAAAGTCGACATAGAATGCATTTATTGCCCTATAGCCAAAATGTCCACTAGTGTGGTATTCCATCCTCTACAGTAGAAACTAGAAATACTTCACCTTCACACCAACAGCAATATGTAGTGGATTATAAATAAAGTTAAACTTGCTCTGCGGCTGCCGCACGTTGTCGCCATGGTCCGCTTTCCTTCTCGGCTACGATGATCTCCTCTCATATCCTGTCATTCGTTTTTTCGTAATAAGCAATCTGTTCGAGGTCAAACATCGCCATTGAGGGGTCATGCTAACCTGTTGAATTTCTGCCGTACTGCCACTGAATGCAGAAACTAACAAAATCGGCAAGTCGGGAGCATTTTACCAATGCACTCGAAATCGGAATCTTTGTGATATAATTATGGTAATTCTTTGTGATATAATTATTATTATGGTGCAACAAATTGCAGTATCTTACACATCTAACATTCCTAACACTATCAGATATTTGTGGTAAAGTAGGGATGAATTTTCCGATTCTTTAACTACGAAACCACGGGTCTGGTTTGTCACACGAAGAAATCACCGCGAAAGTTTTCGACGTCGGGTATCTGGTTGCACGAAAACATTCAGTTTTCGATTGCACACTGCACATTTCCGGCAGACTGTTTGACGCATTATGCCTTCTGATCCGTTAGCACAAGTATCTTTTGTGTTGTACGAGCAGGACTACTCGTAGTGTAAGCGCAGACGTTTCCGGTTTAAGGTTACTAGTTCCCAGTTGCAACTGACCCTACTCCGAGGGAGCAAGCTTGGCACGGGTAGAAAATGCATGTTTTAGCATTTGTAATATGCACGGAATTTCTTTTAAACAACGATGCACATTCAAGCAACGATTCTTATCACAAAGTATTCATTCTATGCACTTGCTACAACGATGGTGTTTGCGCTGACTACATTCGGCTCGGGTTCGGGACTGTCCTGAAACAAGGCGCATGGCCGGGTAACATACTGGCCACCTTCCCGAAACCATTTGTTTGACACCCATTTCATTCCCGACAGAACCGGGCACCCTGCAATCAAGCACAAGCTGCGTTATTTACTGTACTGTTATTGTGCACGATATTATTACAAGATCTCACTGTTTCACGATATTATTTCACTGTTGACTGCTAAGCCCTTAACTGCATGCAAATGCATTAAACGGTTTGTCCGAATGTGCTTCGAACTAGGACCACTCTGTATATGTGTAATCTTAGTACCGATAGTCTTATGCTCCATAGATGATAGAACCATAACACGCAGAACTTCACCTGAATGAAGAGTCCGTTGATCCGGTTCGCCATCCATATGGAGGTTGTACCAAAATGCCGCAGCGCCCTTCACCGGAAACAAGGTGACGTTCAGGTGTGGAAAAACGGTTGCACCCCCGGATTCCACGTCGCTCATATACATCAAAAACGTTGCTATTCTGTCGCCCTTTTTTGATTCTATGAGATGGTGACCCACCCCCTCTTTATCGCGGAAAAAGTCGTAGTGCGAATAATAATATCCACCGACACCGTAATTATTAATTTGCAGATGTTCGGCCAGAGATGCGTTCAAATTTGTAGCATGTCCTGTGTAGGCGTTGACCGTTTTGATCACCTCGTCCACGGATTCCTCCAAGAAAGCACTAAGACAAAACTTAATCGTCAAAAATCTAACTAGGAGCTGCAACAGTTATGTCATACATCTTGGATATTCTTGTATCCGAATTCACGCCTTGTGTAGAATTTTGCGCAATAACTTTGGCTCGAAACAGATGCTGCGGGCCAATCTTTTTTATTCTTTCCGCCTGGGAGTCCAAAATGGCATTATAAACGACATAGACAACCGGATCTAGATTTGCCAATTCAAGCTTGACTGGTTGGATAAGAAGATACGGGTTGTCATATGTTTCCAAATAGCAGACTAAATCACGGCTGAGTTCAGGATCCTAGTCAACAGTTCAAGAAAAACGGAAATGTATCAGGGCACATATGAAATTGATAGTGCATACCGATGTGCAGGTCCTACTGATAATAAAATAGTTACACAGGAAGTCTCCGCATCTTGTATTTACCATCAAGCCTAACCGAGACAATTATACGTAGTACATTCAGCATATATGTATCTGTACGATCCGAAAAAAATTCTAATAATGCAATTGCATAATAAACCCAGGATACTTAAGCCCACGGTTTACCATTAAATCTTCTCCTCTGCATAATGCGGCGTAGTGGTCATCTATATATTTGGGCTGGATGACCTCTGACTTCATCCTTTCCAGTTCCGCTGCTGTACCATTCTCCACAATGCCTCCGTAAGTCTTCAGATTGTCCGGAATATTGGCGTACGTCGGATCAATTTTCTGTATATCTTTCATTAATTCCAAAGCGCGGTAAGCATTACCACTATCATGAAAGATGGAATATTGTAACCAGTCCAGCAATTCCGTATGCGTTTGCGTTTTAACCGTTTCTGTATTGAAGATATCCAGGGATACTTCCAACCAAGCAGACGCCGAGTTGAACTGTTTCTCTAGTGCCTGCTGATGACCCACAATGAAAGCCTCACGGGAGGTGAACGCCGGTGTTCTTCGTGTTCCCGGCACCTTTCCATAGGCGATATCTCGTGGTTGAATTTTGTACGTGTTCTGCAGGCGATTGAATGCCAAAGCGCTGCCCTTAATGTCGTCTTCATCCGGGAAGCGCCGTTCACTGCGCAGCAGTCGCACGGACGCAGTACGGTCTAACAGTCAAAAAGTCCAAACGTTCGACATTTACGCTGTGCAGAGTGACTCAAGTTGGTAATTCTCACGTGTACCATTAACAATGCTTTCCTCGATTTTTGTACTCATGAGTTTCCAATCTGCTGTCACGTGTTTAATGAACTGGAAGGCTTTAATGGGTGAGGTGGCAATATCTTCCCAAGTATCATCCACGTGGGAATTGTAAGCTTTCTTGAACTTGCTAATGTACCTGGCAAAAACGATCCAAATAATTTTTTATATTATATTATTATTACCTAATACGGGTATTTATTGATAATATCAGACTGATTAGAGTGCCAGGGTATTGCTCATATGTAAAACTGCAGTGCAGCTCATATGATCAAAATAGACATCACCCCTTATGGTTAGAACCCCAAGCCTCTTGTGCCGCAATGGCAGCCGCATGAAGTTTGTAGATTTTCCAGCGTTAGTTTTCTCTGCAGCTTATATCTATACTTATCCTAAAAATTTTCAAGTAAAAGTTGAATAAATCCAGTCACCTTTTAGCCAAGGTGAGCTTTTCGATTTCTTTTTGTGCTGTTTCCCGCAAAATATCAAGCAGATTCTTTTCCGTATCCATTAATGTTTCGACATCCACCATCGAAGCAAAGATATCAGAAGAAACGTAAATCGGTAGCAGTGAGGCCAGGACGACAACGGCAAATACTTTTATGTGGAACTCCATATTTCGGCTACAAGAAATGATGCAAAAATAGAGAAAAAACGCCAACACACTGTCGTTTTAACTCGCCTAAATAAAGATTAGCCGAACGTATTTAAAGTTGCACATATTATATTGTGATTTGTATCCACTAGCTAGCTGTGCAGTACTGTACTTCACAATATATGTAATTCACCTTATTGCTCCACCGGCACGAACCCAACAGTAGTTTTTAAGAAGACAATAAAATTTATGTCGTTACCATTTAAACAGTTATATCAAAATTAGTAAAATATGAAAGTTACAGCAACAAAACGAAGTTTAGGGACACGGCGACCGAGCACCTACGAGTCTGCGACAACTTCTTCCAATCTACGTTTGAAAGCAAGCATAAGCCTCACCGTCGTTTTAAGTCTGCGAGATGTAACGCCTCGAGCACGAACAGCTTTATAAAAGGGCAAAACCTAACATTGATACGAACGTTCACACGGCAGTTAGGCTATGCTTTCGCTTTTCATATTTGAAAAGTTAATGCTGGTATATGCCCACGAGGCTCCAGTTGTACATACATTTTGTACGTATATATGCCGCAGTAAAAGTGCTACCACATAATTATAAGGTATAATATTATATTCTGCAATGACGTATAATATTCTGCAATGACGTATACGTTGGCATAACATTCTGCAATTTTGCTGAAGTGAATTCTTATCGCAGACACAGTTGTAAACTCCGCGTCAGTGGATGCAAGGGAATGAAAATACAGTAATATGATCATGAGTAGTGTATGATCATTCTATAAACTGTTTTTACCAAAATACCCAACTGTAGATAACTGAACACGAGCACTGCATACGACTACAATCTGCTCTCGTAATACGAATTACTATTATTATGAACCAGAAAACGAACACGGTTATAGTAAATGGCATAACCAAAGAACTGAAAGAAGCACCGGAAGCAGCTCGCTTTTATGGAGTTATGCAGTTTTAAACAGAATCCATACTTCTACTAGCTACTAGAAAATTACTTAACTGTACTCTGCAAAGTACAAAGAATAATCGTACACGTAAGTCGTAATTGTCCTAAATTTGGCACTTGACACTTTTCTATATATCACTGTTGATCACAAAGGGAAAATATAAAAATAACCCAAAGATGGTCCAAAAAAACAACATATCGTAATCGTTACTTTCCATCGGCGATTTATAAATTTTACATCAACAGCCCGTATTATGTAGGGGGAGATAGGTCAAAATCGGCGTTTTTTGGCGTTACGTTGTTTATGGATGGCCCCTAACTTAGTTGCCCCAGCGAAGCAGACAGCGCAATGGTTGACGGTTGTGGCGAAACCTTTACTACTGTGCTACCTACCTATATCGGCATGCTTTTCGTGGATTGGCAGCATCGCAGCCCATATCAGCGAATGCCAAGTTCTAGCACAGCCTTTACCAACCAATTGAAAGTTCTTCAAAAGAAACGTTCCTCAAATCGGATTTCCTCAGGATTAGCGGGCTGTTAAGTTGTCGGAGAACCGTAGTACCGGATGTGTGTTATGTTACTTTCTTGTTGAGTGGATGTTACTTTCTTCTTTGATACTGGTCCTGTGTAAAGCGATTTTAACATTGTGCACATCTAATTGCACTAACTGCGGCCTGACAGTACTTACTTATTCGACCAACGCTATGGCTCAAGTTTGTATTCATCATCTTTGCGCTTGCTCAGTTGATCCTCTGAATTTCCCGCATTATGCAAATGTTGTTTCCATCAGGTACTAACCACAGCCAGTGGTCAGCCTCAGATCGTCACGGCAAACGGCCAGCAGTTCATCCTGCAAGCGGTGCCAGCCCAAGCCACTGCTACGAATCCTACCACAGTGTCTATCCAAACTTCTCCCGGACAGGTACCTAATGGGAAAATTCATTCAGAACTTCAGCTGTTCATTTAACACGGCATTCGTCTTAAAGGTGTTAACAGCAGGCCAAACGCTAATTGGATCGGATGGGCAACAGGTGCGTCTTCCTCTGCAGCTCTGCCTAGTACCGACTGATTTCGTTTATTTAACTGACAATGAATAGTAATCTGAAGTATATGCAAATTATAATTGTATTTGTAGCAGAGCAAGTTTTGTTCTGCGGGACTCTGAAGCACAGATTTTGTGGTGCAATTCGTGAATTTGCGTTCCCGGTTTCAAACGCACACGGAGATCTAATAAGTACTGTTTTTTTTCGAAGTTAAGGAGTCAAAAATACGTCGCTGGGTGTTTCCGAATTCAGTTTGGCATCAACTGAAAAAAACATTCGCATTTAAGAATTTTATTACAGTCAAGCTGTTATTTTGTAGAATAATTAGGTAGACAATTGTAGCAGTCAGTTGCTTCTTTGAGGCTCTTTCGCTGTTATGACCACTTGTACTGACTTGTCATTTATGCGCAACAACTGTTCGATTCTAGAAGGGTTATATAGATATGACTTAAAATCTGATTGTCTTTTTAGTACTTTATAACCACTGGAACACCTAACCTTGGGACAACACAACCTGTAAATCTCCAGACAACCGATGGCCAACCTTTTTTAGCCAGACTTCTGACGAATCTTAATGATGTGGCTAATTCTGGTGGTAAGCAATCTGGAGCACTCGTTGCGTTTGGATATTCTGTTTTGTTGATGATAAGTGGTCTTTTAGGGAAGAACTGCTGGCTGGAATTCCCAAGTCAGCTTTTGAGCTTCGAATTGTTCATTAAATTAGGCTTCCTACCCAAAGTGTTGTATTTTCTAAGCGATGTGTTGGAACGTGCGAAGTTATTGTATTGTGTTGTTTTCAGGCCAGCAAGTCTTTCATTTATCAGGCGGCGGAGGCCAGGTGGATCTCTCCGGATTGACGGTTGGAACGTCCGCGAAAGTGGAAGAAGACGAGCCTTTATATGTGAATGCCAAACAGTACCATCGGATTCTCAAGCGTCGTCAAGCTCGAGCTAAACTAGAAGCCCAAGGTCTTATATCAAAAGAGCGTCAGGTAAGTTGTGCATATTTTTGCGGATATCATGAATAGTATCGATGAAAAGGACAGAAAGAATACTTGCGTTACCCTTTAGAAATACTTGCATGAATCCCGGCACCGACACGCTGTGAAGCGAGTGCGTGGAGAAGGAGGTCGCTTTTCGTCTGCCTCAAAAACAGGCGACGGAGATTAGCGGATACTGATCCTATCGGCGTTGCGGATGGTTTTTATCTGAAACAGTGTTGACTCTTCTCACTGCAACTTTCAAGTTCTCTGACTATCGTCTGAAGTTTTTATGCACTGCGCTTTATTATGCTGTACTTGTAAAATTTTATATTTGATGTGTCATGAGCTAAGACGTTTTTCGTTTAGAAGCACATTTTGTATATTGCTATATTAGTAAATACATGTTGGTACCCATTGGTATAATTTTGTAATTTGACTACGTTAGACGTAAACAGTAAACAAAAGTGAACACGTTCAAATTTTTGGACATGTATTGTTCAAGGAGGAAAATACAAAAAAAAGTTGAAGAAAGTCGACCGCAATTTATCGTGAACGAAAGTACTGTACAAAGCAACCGATCCACAATTAAACACCAACTTCGCCGCACAATGCCAAACTGGTTAATACATACATGTATTTATCAAAATCTTTCCAATCTGTGATAAGAATAATTTACAGCGGCATTCAACGCTCACATTAATTTAACAAAATAAAAATTCCCTATCGTCAATAAAAAGCATGCTTCCTGTTTTTCTGCAAGCCTACAGCTCCTTTTCTCAGTCAGTCTTTAATAATCTTGATAAATGAATGAATATGATGCGGGACCGCTCCTTGCCAATCGCTAATTTAAGGGCTTGGACAGCTAAAACAAATTTTTAATTTAATGAAGGATTATTACTGTGTAACACTCCTCCTGCATAACTGATCATTTCATTTCACCAGTTTACCTCTTCAGCTTTCGCGGCAAAAACAGCACGCGCTTCTTTCATATTCGCAGGAAGACCGCGATATTTTTGCTGTAAGTCCTCCTTCAGTGCATTACGCTTTCGTTGGAGATCACGAATTTTCTGCAGGCACACAAAGGATTTAAGGATCACAAGAAAAGTGAGTAATCATAAAGTTAATAATTTGTGAATCACAAACTGTGATGGCTTCATTGGTATAAGCTTCGAAGCATCTCCATCAGATTTTTAGTACGATTGTATCAGTACAGTACTTGTATCAGTACTGACTCTACTGAGTATACTCTCTTAAATTTCTGCACAAAAACGCTACTCTAGATCTTCATGAGTAGTTTTTGCCACAAAAATTCAGCAATGCTATGCCAGTTCACTGTTTATTTAGCGTTTGCTATTTCACCTCTTTTAGTTTTTCCAGGTTGTCAAGGTCAATTTCCTCCGAATATCCACGAAAATTTAAAACTGAGCGTATCTGCTCATGGCTGTCGCCTGGAGAAACAATATCCCGTATATTTTCTTTATCGCCCGAATCTTTGTCGTTCGCAAAAAATTTGATGTGTTGGTTCGAGTCAAATGAAATCAAAACCGGAGCATTTTCCGCTTCTCTACAAAGATCAACGGTGAGCGATGTTAGTTCCTTAAGGTAGTGAACAACGTTAATTTTATCGTTCGGTGTTAAAACTGTAGTTTGTTTACAGTGACTACTTGCAGTGTAAAAGAGGGCCACGAGAAACCATCGAGACAGGAACATACATGTAAGTTACATGTATGTTCCTGTCTCGATGGTGTTACATCAGTGATGTAACACAGCGAAGCTGCGTAGTGGCCTAGTGGATAGTTCGTTATGTCAGGGGTAAATAAATAATTATGGAAGTGTCATGTACCGTACATACCTGAGTGCCTTTCCGCAACGCTTTTCTAAATCGCCGCGCATTTCTTCCTGATGTTTAAGGTTTCGCTCGGCGTTAAAAATTGCACGATCCACAGTAGTCTCGCGCTCAGCCATCGCACACAGGGCCAAGCAAATAGCAGTTTTTGAAACAGATTGAATGTCCAGCAATCGACAGCTGGTTGCATGAATGTCTAGGTTCCGCAGCGTTTCACACACATCTGCATTAAAACTCTGACTCGAGAGATCCTCTGATGTCTCCAGCGATGCAGACTGATTAACAGTGCCGTCAGATTCAATGCTCAGATTATGATCCATTTCACCAAAAGGACTTGGAAGATTTAAACTTTATACATTTCTACAAATTTCGACTTTTTAAACACAATGCGATGGGATGCCCTGCAGTGCGGAAAGTGGCAACAAAGGATGCGTAGCGAGCTTTAGTAGTGTGAGCGCGGGATCACTAGCGTTCACGCCAGTGACGCTACGCCACCTGGATTACGACATCATTACGTGTCCGTTATGTCTCGCTTCTGATTGGCTGACGGCTATAGCCGTTCATTGTTTTCTGTTTAGTGGGCGCGGCATGGCGCGCATGCGAGAGCGACTGAATCGGGCTCTTCGCTCAGTGTTGTGGTGTGTTCACTTCAGTCATAAAGTTAGCAAGTAGCTGATCGTGATAAGGATGGATTCCTGGATCTCAATGAGTTCTGCGTGGCTATGCATTAACTGTATTGCGGTGACTCTCAGATCGCTACATCTCAGCATACCGCTACATCTCAGCTCTCTGCCGGCTGATCCGAAAAGGCTGCGTTTTGAAAGAAGCTTGCGAATATGCAAAGTACATAGCAGGCGTTTAGCACATCAGCACCAACAGATCTGATGTACAATAACCGCTAAAAGCGCGTGTAGAGCAAAGGGTAGCTGGCCTGCCCTTCTCTGTGACTTTTGAAAGGGAGAAGGGAGCTGCAGGACACCTGCCCTTCCCTGCGTCTTTTTTGAAAGGGAGCAGGGAGCTGCAGGACACCAATACCTACCGGTTGAAAAAGGCGATTTGGACCGTGCTGCAGGATCGTCACAGAAGATGGTTTGCAGGGAAGAATGGGTCTGATTCAGACCGCTTGCCATTTTTATGGCTTTTGGACCGTTCTGCGAGGCTGCGATGTAGCGATCTGAGAGTCACCGCAATACAGTTATTATGTTGTTAATGCCATCCGTCAGGATAAACGATCGAAAAATGCGCAGAATGGTCAATCCAAGCTCAGTGTGTCTCCCTTGCCACCTGTCGTCAAAACTAGCGCACCGCTTTTGCGTAGCACATCACCCCCCAAAAATGGCAGTATTTCGAGCATTCCGATTTTTCTTCGCTGTGATCAACCCCGTACACATATTTCCACAAATGTCTTGCCTAAATTATCTCAAACTCCTATTTTACCAGTACGACCACTATCACCTGTTAGTGTTTTGCAGCCGTCTTTACCGGCGCATTCCGGAAAAATAAATCTCGATCGGACAACAAATGGACTTAATCATGTTGCGAGATACAAGGAGATTATTTTGCAGAAACGGAAGGAAGTGCAACAGCTGCACAGAGATGTACAGCAGCTTCGCTCCGAACGAAATACGTACAAAGACACCCTCAGTGAACTGAATAAGACGAGGTTAGCGGATTTGAGATTTTTATCGGAAATAAACGGCACGGTACGAAAGAAACGGCATGAGGTGGATGAATTGAGGACGAGAATTAACAACATCGCAACAGTTTGTTCTACATGGGATAGCGATGTGATGCAGAAGCAGCATTTGCTGACAGAATTGCGTGCTGCTAATGATGAGCTCCGGTCAAGTGAACCTGTGAGGCGAACATCGTTTTCAACGCTGGACAGCCACATTGCACAAACGCTGGGCCGTCTGGAGCGCTCAAGAAATGTTGCGGCCTCTAATGAAGTGAGTATTGAACTGCTTGGAAAAACAATGAGAGATAAAATGGGCTATATTCGTTCGTTGGTTCAGCAAGGTGCCAAACAGATTTCAGTAAACCGGGAATTGTGTCAGGCTTTCGAAGAAAAGCGAACTCTGATCGAGAATCTGAACACAGCCACCACTTCCGGAAGTTCGTATTCTGTAATCGCGGAAGACGAAGAGACGTTACTGGCCATCGCATCCTACACCGGAGAAACTGCGAATGAGCTTTCCTTTGTAGAAGGAGATATTATTCGGGCTACAGAAAAGCACACTGATGGATGGTGGTTAGGAGAGAATTCCCTCGGCAACACAGGTTATTTTCCAGCTAATTTCTGTCAGCCTTTGAAAAATCGCGATCGCCGCGAATCTGTATCTGAGTTGGTGAAGGAAGAGAACGTTCGTTCGGCACTAGCTCTTTATCCCTATGCCGCCCAAAATTCGGATGAACTATCGTTTAATCAGCACGAACTTATTGACATAATCCCGGCTGATGGGCTCGATAATGACTGGTACATGGGACGCAGTCGAACCGGAGAACGCGGGTTGGTTCCGGCTAATTATTTGAGGCTTAATTCTGAGATGGAGAAACAACCTGACGCCGAACCGGCGCCGCCCGTGGTAAAAGTGAGTCCGAAACGTCAGTTGGCCGTTCGGGAGCTGATTGGCACCGAGGAAAAATACTTGAACCTAATAACCGCGGTGGTGCAAGTTTATTCCTTTGCTCTGAAAAAACGCCACGCCTCTACTGAGGATGAACTGAGTGTAAGCCCTATAATACTATTAACTCGTTGTGTTGCCGTGTTTTTTGCTTATTTGTACTCAACGGTTTTTATGAGTATACGGAAAAATATATATAACTTTGACAGCAGCAGCAATAATTTTGGAATAAAATATTGTTAGTCATTTTATAAATTTACTTGTTTGGAAACAGATCCAATTTTTTTAACAGGTTTACCGTATTCACTATTTTGTTCAAAAAAAGATTTTGAATGTGTCTGACTTAAATTTCCATTCATGACCTTTTGCTACGTAATTCGCGGTGTTCCGGTTACAATTCTTTGTAGTAGTACGATTCATAACATTTTTTAACAAATATGAAATGAATCTTCGTCGAAATATGTAGGAAGCCTGCGGGTATTTGTCGTCACGCGACAGTTGACTGGTCATTAATTTCTGGGTTAACAACACAGCTGACAAGTGACAATAACTACCGCTAACTAACTCAAAACAGGAGATTTACCATTCTCCGCGTCGGTGACTTCCTGCATAGCAGGCTTATATAACAATGCATACTTGTTTGATTCATGGTGGTTGTTTTGTCTTTGCAGCAATTGTTTTCGGTGTGGGCGATATCATCGACTGCACCGCTACCTTGGTCAAGGCGTTCAATGTACGCAGCAAACTGACAGAAGACGGAGCACTGGAGACTGTCGGGGATATTCTGTGCGAATATTTAACCAACATCACCCCATACATGAATTTCTGCAGCAGTCAAGTAAAAATGGGTGAATTAATCCGAGAAAAAACAGAAGCAAACCCGACTTTTGCGGAAGTGATTCGGCAATGTTCGCAGGATCTTCACATGCAGGGCCTTCCCTTAGCGGCAGCTTATATGAAGCCCATGCAGCGGATGACGCAGTATCCATTGTTAATCAAACGCATCTTAGATTTAACACCCGAACATCATCCAGATTGTGCTGATCTCAAGGAAGCGCTACGGAAAAGCGAACTGCTCTGTGACCGGGTGAATGAAGGAGTGCGCGCAACAGAATTAACGGAACGCTTAGACTGGTTGGATAAACAAGTCAACATGGATAGCTTTGCGGAAAATCTCCAGTTTACTTCGCAGACTAATTTCATGGGGCCTCGGTCGCTCGTTTATGCCGGAAGTCTTTTGAAGGCAAAAAGCGGCCGAGAATTGGTTGGATTTTTATTCAACGATTTCTTCTTTTGACTACACCACCACGCCCGTTGGTGGACAGTCTGGGAAATTTTACGTTTGAAAAGCGCCAGTGGACAACCTGCATGCTGAAACTGTACAAAAAGCCGTTGTTGTTGTCCGGTTGCAAAGTGGCTTTATTACCGGATGAAAACACGTTTGCCTTATCGTTTCCCCATTCCGTCAGTATCTTGCTAAAAGCCCCCACCGCGAACGAGTGTAAATCTTGGAATAAACATTTTCAGAAAGCCGTTACTGATTTCAGCGAAATGGAAAAGCAGATTAATTCACCAAGAAATCGTTCTATCAAGTTACATACTCCCGTGGGGTGTTGCCGACTTATCCTGGTGGAAGGAATAGACCTGTGTCCAAGTGCTCGAAAAGTACATTGTGATGCATTTTGCAAAGTATCTGTGGGATCACAAGAACAGCGTTTTTGACTACAATTCCTTCGCTGCCAACGGATTTCTAGGGCGGACAGAATTGAGACTGAAAAATATGCACAAGCAAACAAAAGGCTCGAATATGGCAAGAAGCAGAAATCTGGTGTTGCAGGAAGTGATGTCGGGTGAACTAGTCGTCAAAATCGATATACAGTTATTCCCACCCGAGTCTTCTGTGCTTCCCGCGGTGATGCCCTTAATGACTATGCATTAGTCTGTGATTTTTACTGTACAGTTTGCAGTTTTTTGTGTTGATTTTGCTTTTGTAGTCAGATGACCATGCCAATAAAATTCCATGGGTTTTGGTTGACCGTTTATATAAATTATTCTGGTTTACAAAAACATTTGGCTCAACGAGCTTAGCATTTATTTACCCGTGTACCTAATACATACCTGCTGTACATTTTATACCACTTACCTACCAGTATTTGTGTATGTCGGGATATTTTGCGCGGATTACTAACTTGTAAGTAGTAAAACGAATATAATAAAAATTACAGTTTCTACCTACCTTTAGATATAGTCGTGGTGTTTTCCCGCGTAAATTGACTTTGAGTTTGAGTTAAGCATTTTTGAAGAACGTAGTGGGTAGGATAGCCATAGCTATCGACGTATTGATCGCTTGTTTATTTTTGCTTGGCACGCATCGCTCCCGCTATATGGGTTCATAATGCATCTCCAGAGCTGAAGACTTTTTCCGGTGGAAGGATCTGCTGTGGCTTTGCAACATTGCAGTGCTACGTATGATACAACTACAATCAGCTTAAGTACGCGAAGATTAACGTGCCGACTTTCTTTCCCACGATATTAAAATTATTAATTTTGTTATTGAAAGCATATCAGTACATTACTGTAAATATCGCGTGCGCGGTTTGCAACTACAAGTACTGTACTCCTACTCAATTCAGTGCCTTTACTGACAGTGACAGCCACCACACCTAGACCGCTGAATCAGCCAGGAGGCATCCCAGATTTTTGCTAGAATATCGTGTGATAAACCCGATTTTAAGAAAAAATCCCGCGCGGTAGACTGATCGATTATCCCATCTTTGGGTCGCAGTGTAAGAAATGTTCATGATACTTTACCTTTTCGGCACTGGGTATCTGGTCTGCCTGCACTGATAGGAAATTCATGATGGAGATGATCGCCCATGAGGAACAGGAATTTCACTCCACTGACTTCAGCAAATACCAACAATTCCTGTAAATCCAACGAACCGATGTTGAAGACATATGAAACGGTCCAGTCACAAATTCAAGATATAGTGAACTATGTCAACAACCCACATTCGCCACAACCTGGAAAGGTAAACAAGGTCGGCGATAAAACATCGTGTTGTGATATACCTGTACAAAGTTGCGAATTCGCTAACATATCTGCGACAGCCAAACGAGATTTTTTTAACTTGGGTTACTGGGTTGGATTTTAAATATTAAGGCAAATATTAAGGTATAAACGATTAAGTGACATTCGCTTACCGCACAATTCTTACGTTCACAGCAACCTAAGGAAAAGTGCGAGAAGCGACGAGAACTCACTAACCGATTTACTAAGAGCACCGGATACAGGTACAGTCCACAGTACACTTTCTCACAAAAGATCTCCTTTGACATCAACCATCCCCCGCCCTTTCAGTGCAAGTATTTCGGCAAATTTTTCCAGCAAGTCACCTGACAGTTGTAAAGCTATTAATTAATAAGAACAAGATAGAAGCTACTGTACTCTGTAGAACAAAACATTTGAAAATTGAAACTGGCGCGACGCGACTCCTCGCTGGAAAAGGATAAATGATACAACCCTACTACTGTATGTAATCGTAAAATCGTATTAAGGGCTGACCGCCATGGTGGCGAACGTTACTTGCAATAATTTCAGCTGGACGGAAGTGTTCGGATTAATTATTCGTAACAGCAGCCGGTTTGACTGCTATGGCATTTATCGTTGTTTTCTGGTTATGTACATCCTCGGTTTCGGTATTTTTTTGTAAGATAGTTTAAAATTTGATTAAAGTAGCGTTTAAAGTGCACGCAATACACATTTCAAACAGGTTTGGCTACCGCCTACCGGCTAGCTGGTGCCGCACTCTTACTACAGCAGCTCGGCATATTAGGGGGCATCCATAAATTACGTACGCAGAAAACCACGATTTTTTCACCCCTCCCTCCCCCTTCGTAGCGGTCCGTCACGTCTGCTTGAGCCCTCCCCTGGTTCGTTCAATCGTAATACATGGAGCTGACCACCCCTCCCCTGGGTTCGTCGAGGCCGTCACAGCTTGTCACACTTTTTGGACCCCTCCCTCCCTGGTTCGCTGCGTACGTAATTTATGGATCCCCCCTTACCTTGACCTAGATACGCTGCGTGAGGATATCGATCGATTTACTGTACGTCATAGCAGGTTATAGAGAGCGGTAGCACATTGGTTCCAGCAAACGGAATGATGATCTATGGAGCCGTTCGCGGACTGCGAATTGTTTCTCACAATATGGAACCCCCTGCATCCTAATAATACAATCTAGATATAATTATCCCCAAGCCAAAGCTGGTGATAATTTCTTCGGTTAGCTGACTCAGCTAACCATACTTTTACAATCTCTGAAAAACTGAATTTTTTTGTTATTACAGGATCAACATACAAAAATCATATGGTAAACGGAGCATTTGTGGAAAAACATTTTCCTATCAGGGAATCATATCTCAGTGAGTTTGAGAACTCTTTCGGTGCGCTATGTCAATCCGTTAGTTTTGTTCCTGACGGAGACAACGATGATGACGGAGTAGCGCGTGTGAACGAGTTCGTGATGCAGCACACCAGGGGAAAGATTCGCGATATTCTTTCCCCATCCGATGTCAACGATCAGACGAGACTAATATTGGTCAATGCACTATATTTCAAAGCGAACTGGGAAAAACAATTTATTAAAGAGCGGGCCATAAAAAAGCCATTTACGACAGTAGCTAGTACCGTTGTTATGGGAGACACCATGCATGTCGTACAGGAGTGCAATTATTATGAAAGTAAAGAATTAGGAGGAGCCAAATTCCTGCAGCTGTCGTATTCCGGAGATCTTTGTAGCGCATATTTTGTGCTGCCCGGGCAGAAAAAAATCCAAAACAAAGCAAAGCATTTGCTATCGGCTTGTTTTCATTCGCCTGATGAAGCTGTTCTGCCGGAGGATTCTGACCATGGACTGAAAATTTTGCAGCAATCGTTAACACCTGCAAAGTTATTCAGTGCTATTCAGAACATGTCGCAAGTTACCTATGGAACTGTTCAACTTTCAAAATTTTGCCTAGAGAAAGATCTGGAGATGGAACAAATGCTGAAAGATTTGGGCATGCCCTCTGCTTTCTTGGAAATGGTAGCCGACTTTTCGGGAATCTCCGCGCAGAGATTATGTATCGATAAGGTCAAGCAGAAGGCATTTATCGGTACGCGGTATGTTGTCTAGTGTTAAATAGCAGGAAACTCCAACCATTTGTCTGTGATCTAATCTTTGTCTTCCTACCGTAGATGTGAACGAAAAAGGAACGGAAGCGGCGGCAGCAACGGTTATAACAATGATCAACTGTTGTCTTCCTTTCGATACAAGAGCTGAATTTATCGCTGATCGGCCTTCCATCATTTTTATTCGACACCATTCAACCAATGCTATTCTTTTTTTTGGACATGTTACTGATCCATCTGCTTAGAAAATACTGTCCATATAGCATACTCATAACTCATAAGGCCTAATCAACAACACAGTTACCATATTATCTTGTCTGTAGTCTGTCCTGTCATTTTCGAAAGATACTATACATTTTTGCACGCATGCGTGTTGACTGCCGCACACAGTTAGCTTGCATAATAAAAGTGTTCATTACGTGCTACTTATCACTTTCAGGGCTAGCCAATGGTCAAGAATGAAGAATTTAAAACGCGTAGAACCAGGACAAAACGTAGGTCGTGCCTGTTCAGTCAAATATATATGCTACTGGAGGAAAGAATGAAGATTTTCGCAAAGCTCGTACTGAAATACCTCGATATTTTTATCTATTATTTAATATATTTTCTATAGAAGTTTTTGTAGGGGTACGACCTTTGAGTACTTCATGTAATCGTGCGTATGTACGTACGTTTTATATTTTGATATGTCTTCACAAAAACATTATAGAAGCACTTTAAAAAGTGCCGAAAGTTAGCAACCATGTAAATGCATAGCACAAATGAAGGTCTGTTATATACAATACAGACCAGGACAGGTACATCCACTTCAGAGAATTCCAGTGTCTCAGACAGAAACCATCTTCGCGACAAGATCTCGGATTTAACATGGCCTACTGGACTTTGACCGACCTACTCGTTGTTACTTAGTCTGTGCAATTCATACTATTTACTATTACCATCTGCGCGTAGACGTATAGCGGTAGCAGACAGACTGTACCGGTAACAATAGAAAGCGAAGATGGTTTCCCCATTCACACGGGGCTAGCTACTTAGGTAAGTTTACAGGCTTATAACGGTACCTTTGTTACGGTAGCGGACAGATACAGGGGAATGCGCTAAGGAAAACGAGCGATTAAAAGTCTGAGCGATTAAGAAGTTGGTCTGAACTTCGAACTCGTTACGCAATTGCCATTGGCTAGCTGATGCCACTCTAGTGAAGTTTCTTAATCACTACCGATTAAGAAGCTGGCCGATCAAGAAAATTTGCAAAATTTCTTGATCACTCTGTTAGCAGAGCGATTAAAAAGACGAGCGATTAAAAACTTTCCTAACTCAGGTTTTAATCGCTCGTGGTTTTAATCGCTCGTTTTCCTAGCGCATTCTCCTGATAAATTATTGGTACCAAAAGAGAATGCGCCATGGTTTCCCCATTTTGCATTTGGCCAATTGACTAGAGAGTCTCTGTAATGTGAGACTCAGAAGTAATTGCAAGAAAAACGGTGAAACTTGAATACCATGCACCAAGCCACAGTTGATACGCTTTTCATTTAGCTATTCTGGTGACTTTTATTATAGCGGTTTTCTGCAGTTGCTAGTAAACATTCTTTTGAAAACCGCCAGAGCAGTAAATATTATGGTGGTAATGCAGCTCTGGAATCGGCACCAGCTGATTTGAATGAATCGTTGCAATGATTTTTTGTTTTGTTTGTTCGAGGATATATTGCAATTGTTTTGATTAATTATCATTCTGTGTCAACTTTTCTGTATTACCTTTTTGTTCTGTGCTTTTTTGTCGTTCAACGAATTGTCAATAAATAATATAGGTTGCAAATAACTATTCCAGTACATACAGTATAATTATTATAATAGGTTTTGTAATTATTAGAATTACTTAACCAAGTTATTTCCCTACATTCTACAACATTATTCGCCAACAAGCTAAGTCGTAAAACACTAGTGTTACCGTACAGTATTTAATTCATTACGTTATATTACCAGACAGTAAATATCCACTTCTCCGGGATAAGCAGTTAGTAACGTTATATTATAATATTGTTTAGGATAGGATTTTTAACTATAATAATTATAATAGCATCCAATGAAGCACGAAATGTGCGTCAATGGCACATGTGATTGCGCTGTAATAACGCGGTAACCGTATAGGCTATGGCGTTTGGTGGACATAATCGTTTCGCATATCGGCCGAAACGGTGGTCAGACGCGCTGTGTGATGCCTTATAAAAGGCGGCACGGTCGCTGGTGGTCACCGGCTTAGGATTGGCCGGCTGATGTTTACATAAGCGCGCGCTTTCAAAGCGTTCGACGCCGCCTGTCGCGAAGATAGATAAATGTTTTATGACTGTTAGCGTACCTAAAGCGCAATCTTAATATGCGCCTTCATTAGTGGTTAGTGCTATGGTAAATGCCACTCGTTCCCAATACTGCAATCTTTACGGATTGTTAACATTCTCTTCAAGTCGTTAAACCAAACAGAAACAGAGAGAAACAGCAAGCGGCGACAAACTGGAGCCAAAAGGATCCACTTATAGTGGTATGGCCCGTTTGCGGAGAGCATTAACTGCATGTACTCTGCTGCTCATTCCAGTCGTCGTTGTCAAGACTCAAGAGCGACAAGAATCGTTAAATTCTATCAGTTACCCTGTCTTAAATGTTCTTTGTTCATAAATGTTTTGATAACAATGAGCACGGGGATAGATGTCTGTTCAATCTCCACGGCGCACTTGTCGGCCAGCGACTACTAAATCTGCGACTGAAATGAGTAATAAGTGACCAGCGGAATTATCCGGCAGACCGTTTCCTTCGAGCCATAACGGTCTGCAACCGCGCCACAAAATACCAAGCCTGTGAAAAACTGGGAGATACTGTTTCAAACTTTCACGTATGATGTATCCGAAAATAATAATTGTTAATCCTGTTCTGATTTTTCATATCCTTATTGTTCAGCATTAATAACGACCAAGTGAGCAAATGACAATCGCAGCTTGTGGTTGTTGTGTGAGCATCCATTGATCATGCGTAGCCCATGGCCGGTTCGATTATCATCGTACCGACCGCTACTCGAAGCTTTCGTAGTGCCGTGTAAAGAGAGATACATATGTAGGTACTCGTGCTCGATTCTGTCACGGCTATAAACCTGGTTGCAAATCAGCAAATCTCTGCTAGTGGAAGAAGTACTTAATGCAAGAAATCAATATCTGTAAAACATGTACCGTGCGGTACCTACAGGCTGCACACATAAAATTTTTATATGGAATAATTGCTTCCACCGGTCACATGATCAGCGTTATCTTAAATATACATTCCATTATTTGTTCTTTTTACTGTAGTTCAGAGCGGAACTAAATTGATCCGCGGATATAAGTTTGGCTGAAAGCTTGAAACTATCCCTTCATTCGGCAACCTCTGGAATAATTCATCATCAACACGGTTGCATGTGATACGTCTATTGACAGCAAATCCGCAAGATTTCGAATCATGTCCTTTGCTACCTGGTTCGATGGGCATAATCGCGCTAGTTCAGCTGTCCGGCGTTTACTGGGATGGCGGCAGGGAGACGAAGACGAAGCATGGGCGGCCAAGGCCATTGATGCCTTGGTAAAGAAACTAAAAAACCGAAAGGGTGCAATGGAGGATTTGGATCGAGCGCTGGAAGTACGAAGCGCTAATTCCAAATGTATTACTATTCCCAGATCACAGGATGGACGCTTGCAAGTTAGCCACAGAAAAGGACTACCACATGTACGTGTGACAGTTGCAGTACTTAGTATTATGTTTTGTTTGTGAAATTTTGTTTGTGAACATTATCAGGTATGACGGACACGATTTTTAAATGGATAACGTAATGACTATTATGAAACATTATTGTGGATTTTTTACTAAAGTTAAAGTCAGAAGTGTGTTTGTTATTAGGCTCATAGAAGTGAAATGAATAAGAAGTGGTTTTATTCTCTGCCATAGCCCTGGTCCATTTAAATGTGGCGCATATAAAGTATCTTGTGGGCGCCTTGAGGTGCTGTAATTGAAGATGATTAAGGCACTGACAATAATTTGACGGATGCTGAATGCCTTTATATTTTAGTACATAATTTACATAAATATTCGTTAACTGTAATACTCGTATGTATGTATTTATAGTAACTTTACAGTAATTAGAGTGTTATGAATGTGCATATACATGTACATATGCTATTGACATGCATTGATACACACTTAAGCTTATATATACTTATTATGCATTTATACAATGCTGCCTCGATTCTCCTGGCAGAAAAATACTACTGGGTACTTCTGTTCTAGAAAATTCCGATTTTAATGTATTTCAGGTAATTTACTGCCGTGTGTGGAGGTGGCCAGATTTACAAAATCATCATGAACTGAGAGCCGTGCAGAGCTGCCAGAATCCTTTTGAGAACAATACCAATAAAGACGTCTGCATAAATCCATTTCATTATGAACGGATCGAAAGTCAATCATGTAGGTCCGAAACCAACTCTAGGTTGGTTAAAAGGTTCTAGCTCGACGGAAGTAGTCCATTCGAGTGAATATCCCTTGACATTTATCGAAATGCGACCGCATGCAGTTAAAATGCTCAAAGTTTTAACTATAAGTCAACTACCGTACGTGCTTGTATGCATGCACTGTAGTCTTCAGTCTTTTTCGCGGAAATCATGTGGTTGTTCGAATTCCGCTAAAGGTCAGCTTTCTCCAGCTCAAGCATAAAAGCGTACTTTCTCTGTGTAGCTGTATTACTTATTAGTTGCAACGCCATTATCGTTAAACGGACTCCATTTTCCATACACTCCGGTCACAGTATACTATCATGTAGTGTGCTTGGGTCATCATTGTGTTATTAGGTCTGTGGATGTCCTTGCCCGAGTAAAACAACTTACAAAAAAACGTTAGCTAAATATTAGCGGCCAAAATTGGGACACATCCGTTCACCTAATGTTTTACTCGGGTTGGCATTTAGTTACGCAAAGCGTGACAAGAATGCGAACGAATTTATATATGTACAGTATCTAGTATAGCTGCTATTTTTCTCACATTAAAATTGATAGTACGATTTATTCTCGATAGGTAAATTATTGAAGTATCACAAAAAAACGTCCCTGACCGTTTAATTAGAATCGAGTGGTCTTTGACATATATTGTGCATAGTCGTGCATTTCCAGCAATTTGGACGATCTCCTTCTTTAGTGTCTCAAATGCCCCCTGTCTTGGTGCCGCGACATGATGAATACAGTCCAACTCATGCCAATCCGCCATTGTTCCATCAAATGCTCAAAGATGAAGAATATACCATTCCACGCAACTTTACGTACGGCGAGCCTCACAGTCCTGATATGGCTGGTAACCGGCATGTTTTTAGCCCCATCCAAAGCACGTCAAGCAGTCCACTTACCAATGGAGGATTCTCTTGTAAGGATTTTGCACGATATTTTTCGAAAATTTTTATTGAAGCAAGCAAGCAAGCGCATATTGCAGCATTTGCTATATATAGTACTAATACTAGTGTACGTTTATGGCGCTGTTAATGCTTATTGTACACGTTTCAGTTCCTCCTTCGCCATCTTCGCAGCCATATAGCCCACACTGCTACACAGGTCCGCAATCGCATAACCTGCTTGACGAAGAAATGGGGGGCAGCACACAAGCGGCACCGAATATAAAGCCAGGTACAGAGCCGCGGCCTGACATAAAACAAAATAATATGGTTTAGTTTTTCTTTACATATGCTGAAGTATAGTATATTTTTTACTCGTGCATTTAAAAAAATGTGTGCGGCAGAAAACCTGCGCACATATATTCAGGCAAGGAATCTTAATCCTCAGTTTCTTCATTGGCGAGAAAGTACATTCAGAAAATATTTCTGACGCTAGACATTGCTGGTTGTATGATACCGGGGCCAGGGTCTGCCAGTCAGCCAGCAAAAAGCACTTTTTATGTACTGTACCATAGTATCAGTAAAGGCGCATAACAGCCTTCAATGGTGCTATGACTGTACATGTATAGGTAAATATACATGTACAGGTAAATATTACTGACATCCGTGACATCACTGGCATGTACTTCCCAATATTGCAAAATGGAAATTCGTTTTGCTTTAGGGTAATTTTCTCCTGTTTTATAGATGACATTGTAGCTATGGTTCCAATGGAGGAAACGGAAATGTGGTGCACAATCCAGTATTATGAACTGAATGCGCGCGTTGGGGAACCATTCAATGCTCCACGTTATACGGGGCCGGATGGCATCGATGTGGACGGCTTCACCGATCCAACCGTTAATGGGAAGCGATTCTCACTGGGGCTGCTATCCAATCTTCAAAGAAATTCTGTCATTGAAAATACGCGACGTTGTATCCGACATGGTATCGTTAACGATTACTTTTCCTTTTTTCCTTAATAATCTATGTACGTTTTCTCGATAACTTAATGCTTTAAGCAGTGTACTGTATAAGCTGCAGTGGTTTTGAATTTTTTCTCTCAATCGGTTTGTGTTAAGCATTCATAAATTATACGCGTACTCAATCAGCGAGAAAACGCTCACTTATGTTTTTAATAGTTTTTTCTAATCTCCAGTGATTCCTCTTGCACAATTCATCGATTTAACGCTGCGTTTCAGGGGTTCGACTGTACTACACCAATGGAGACGTTTATGCGGAATGTCTGAGCAAACATTCCATATTCATTCAGAGCCAAGAAAGCAATGTCCGTCATCAGCTGAATCAAGCATCAATCGTGAAGCTGCAGCATCAAAGGTCACAAAAGATATTTTCTACAGCTAATTTCGCCAAGATTCTCCAGAGCCGGGCTGAATCGACGCAGATCAATGCGTATGATGCTGTATTTGAACTGCAGAAAATGTGCATCATCCGCATCAGCTTCGTTAAGGGTTGGGGAGCGGATTATAACCGGCAAGACGTCACTAGTACGCCCTGTTGGATTGAAATCCGCCTGCATGCTCCTATGATTTGGCTGGATAAAGTCCTCACACAATTGCCACCTCCGCCCATCATGCTGCAGTCGGACACGTAACAATCACCCAGCACAATTGACTAACCATAAGCCATTTCACGAAAATCTCAGCAGTAATTCCGGCCAGTTTTTCGCTTTCTTTTTTGACATCTTTCCTTTTATATGGTTATGTAGCAGCCGTTAATTTCAATACCGTAGCTTGATAAAGCATCAATAATGTCTTGCCACTTACCGCAAGTTTTGCTTGCGCTGTACATAATACTGTGCGCAGCCAGAATCGCGCTCTACGAGGTGCAGAACGAATGAGCAAAACTGCCAAAAATAGATGTTCATTCCTTCTCTACTGTGCTTCTACAGCACGGTCCTAGTGCATCATAATACATAATACATAATACGTATAATTGTTAAAGTGGACTGGTAGACTGGCTGGCATGTATGCAATACTATGCAGCGCATGTTATGCCGTATAGCAATATTGTTATTGTAGTTTCATTTGCTGCATTGTTACTTACTAGTTTCACCGCTTTCTTTACATACTAATGGTAAGGTGAATTTTTGTACAAGTACGAGTAATTTTTGTTTTCCAATAAAAACGGTTTCGCATTTTCGACCGCTATTTATCGCTACAATAAGTTTATGAGCGCAAACAGACGAGTTCCTTGCGCATATAACGAACGAATAACAAGAACATATAACATAATTATAACGAACAAGTTGCGTTATTTTTTTCATGAGCCGGGAAATTGTGTAATTATGAGGGGAAGAGTTGTGCTACCATGTTGCATCGCTATCTTGCTTGACATTTACTAATACTTGCAAAGCAGGAAACCTTAAAAGTTGAACTCTGGTTTGCGGATTACATCCGAAGGATGCAGAGTTTTACTTAAAGGAAGGTATTTTCGTATGTCACCGAAAAATGAACAGCAAACTCAGTTAACAACATGCAACGATATTGCGTTCAACATAATGTTCTCGGTATTAATCGTAAATTTAATACGGTACTGGTAATTGTTGACACTGGAAAACGATACATAATTCGTGAATACAAAAATTATATGGTAAAGTTTCTATTTTGTAATGGAAAGCAGTATCTGGCATTCACATAAGATGTATGCTAATTCATCCAAACTGATGTCCCACTGTTACAGGTTAAAATCGTGCTAATGTTACGGTTATGTGTGTTGCGGTGTTACAGAAATCAGGCTAAGTGCTCTCACCAAAATAAACAATAGTAATTTTATCTTATCCTACGCAAATTTTTGATTTCTTTGTTTATACACTTGGCCATCACATGGTTTTGTATTGGCTTTGAGAATTTGATACAGTTATTTGCGCTGGTTATTATCCCGTCTTTGTTCGCCCGTAGTTAATAAACACATTTGCAAAATATAAGCCATCATTTCCCCGTATTTGACAGTTTCTCTCTGATGCAACAAATGCTGTTCTGTTCAGATCAGTAACCCCATCGCCTTCCCTTGTTTGCAGATTCGCAAAATTGCGAAATATTAATTTTTCTCACTCAACAAATCGATTAATACTGGTGTAGAACAATCGTTGTATGGTATTTACTATTTAGCGTGCAATCATGGACTGGTCACTTTGTGTCCTCATCATTCTTACGGCTTGCTTTTTATACAGCCCGGTGCTGTGCCGACGATTCCATAATGTTATGGAGGACGGGGAATTTCGTGCAAAAATTATGGCAGTTAATCCGGAAGCAAAACTAAACACTGTATGCGCTTGCAATATTCAGTAAACAAAGTGTGCAAAGTCTGCAGACTTCTAGTATTCAGAAAAATAAAACTTAAGCCTGACTGACGGGAGATTCAAAATTGTTTCGGTGCTATTTTGCAGTCCCAAATTATTGCCTTTCATGGATATCCAGTGGAGGAATATCGCATTCAGGTACAGTAGCAATGTAGCATGATCGTACATAATAATATCTATATATACGAGTATATGTGCATGAGCTTATATTATATAACTGCATGCGATAACACTGGACAGTCCGATTCACATACCAGCGTAAAACTATTCCTAACTGATTTTAAGAAATCGTTGAGAAAACTTTAAGAAATCTTTAAAATTCCAATGTTATTTTTGCAGAGCGAAGACGGCTACCTTATCTATATCCAAAGAATTCCATGCGGTCGCAACATGAGCAAAACCGGCTGCTCTGGACGCCCAGTTGTAGTGTTGCAACATGGTGAAGCGTAGCATCAAAAACTTATACGATAATTGATACATATTAGAGCAATTAGTGCAATACATATTAGAGTCCGAGTTTATAATTTTAATATTTCTTTATGTATTTTCAAAGGCGTTTAACAGTAGTTTTTTGGATTGCCAGGATTGGAAGCGTGTTCTGCCAATTTCGTTACAAATCTTGTCCAAGAAAGCCTCGGTTAGTTTCAGAGTTTCGTTTCGTTTCGTAGTTTTCTTCCTACGTCACGACTGGTAATAAAATATAATATTACATCAGCATCAGTTCGCAACTCCAGGATGAAATTTTAGTTGTTGACCGACAGCAGAATTCACCTAGCACTTTTTCTTTAAGAACTTAAACTTTAAATAACAGTACGATAAATTTTTGTCTTCTGCAGCTTACATAATGGTGGATGCTGGTTATGATGTTTGGCTTGGAAATATGCGCGGCAAGTGAGTCAGTGCTATGGGATAATAAAAATTCTTTCCTTGTTTCAGTCCAAGGTGAATTTTTGTTTCTATCGGCTTTAGCTTTTATGGACGAGGACACATTAAATACCCTGTCGATTCCGCGGAATTTTGGGATTTCAGGTAAAGGGAATAAGGTCCCGACCACTTTTCGATTATAAAATTGTGGCTTAAATGCGTATGAAATCCATGCCACTCGAATAACTTACAGTAACTCTGCACCAGATTAAAAGTATTCTTTATTATTTAGCTGGAAGGGGACTAAACCAGAACTGCCTTGTAGTGTTTGACCTTTAAGCTGTTACAACAAAAGGCCCAATTCGGTTTCTTTTTGCTTTGTCAAACGCGTGGCAGCTTATAATAAAAATTCCAATATCAAAAATTACTTTCTTTTCTATGCCGTTTTCGTACCTTAATGAGCTTAACCACTACAACCCTGAACCAATTCTGTCAACAGACATTCATTATAAAATTAAAAGTGAAGCAATATTATTGGATCAATACCCGGCGGATTAATTGTATTGGTACTTAAATTCCGTTTTTATTGTGTATGTCGGCTTACAGTTTTGACGAAATGGCCAAATACGATGTACCGGCAATTATTAACAAAGCCTTGGAAGTAAGTGAACAGAAGCAGTTAATTTACGTCGGCCACAGCGAAGGCAATCTCGTCGGATTTGCAAAATTCTCCACCGATACTGAGTTTTCCGAAAAGGTATTGCGAATATACACAGTTTAATATTCAATGTACGGCATATATTTAATATTCAACATTTAACATTTATAAGCGAATGAAAACACACTATTAACCTTTTAGGTTAAACTTTTTGTGGCCCTGGCACCTGTTGCATATCTGGGGCATTTGAAAAGCTTACCTTTCCGAGCACTCGCTCCGTATGCTCGCCAAATCGATGTGAGTTCTGACCTTGCGATATTATAGCAATTTTTCAAGATATCAAACCGTGTTCAGTTTATGGTGGCGTGTTAATTTTCAGCTTCTGCTAAATATTTTTGGAGATCGTGACTTGTTACCCGGTGGCAGCTGGTTAAACCATTTGGGAGAAGCATTTTGTGCTATAGAACCCATCCCGGCGGAACTGTGCGCGAACATTATTTTCCTTTTCGGTGGTTTTGACCATGATCAGTTTAACAATGTAATTATAAGGAGACGGACACGCGTTGCAACGCAAATCCTGTGACCGTTGCGATGCCCTGCATAAATATTGTTTTCTACTGTGACCATAAAAACATTAATTTTGCTTTATAACCTTCTACCCTGCTTAGCGAATCGTTTTTCAGTCCCGTGCCGATATTTACATTGCTCACAACCCTTCCGGCACATCCACCCAAAACGTATTCCATTTCGCTCAACTAGTCGATTCCGATCGGTAATCTCGCTTAATTTATTGCGTTACTCTTTCCAAAGATTACCTTTTGGTCAAACAGATGCCAAATGTTTGATTACGGCTCTAAAAAAGAGAATATAAAGCATTACGGGCAGCCAATCCCCCCGGAATATCCCCTTGCGGCGATAACGGTTCCCACGGTACTTATGTACGGACAAAACGATATTTTGGCCACACCTCCGGATGTTGCAAGTAAGGATACCTTAACATATAGATATTATATTCATCAGCATGTAGCTGGCACACGCATAATCGCGGTTGCAACTTTGGTTTCCAGCGCGCAGTACAAAGTAGAAGTTTTCTGTTACAGGACTGCAGGGCACACTAACGTCCTTAGTGGAATCGTACAAGGTCCCGTTCGATAAATGGTCGCACCTCGATTTTATTTGGGGCATAGAAGCCAACAAATACGTGTACCAGGAAATACTGCGTGTAGTAAAAAAGTACTCGGGATGAAAATGTGACTGCACGTGGAAAGATAACAAAAAACAATACAAAAAGTAATTTTTTTATCTTTTCGGTGTCCCTTTACAAACTAAATATGCCTGCTCCTAGGCCTGCTGTGATATATTTGTAAATACTATCCTGCCGCTGTGTTGTATGTAAAGTAAATTTTTCAATATCATGTGACTCCGATAGATTAGATGGTATGATATGATGCGTCTACGCTTGTTGTTATTGTGTACAAGTACATTACAAAAATATTTTGAATTTGAACTCACCTTCGGACGATACTGCGCTGTGACCTATGTTTTTGAACTGCATTAATTTAAGAGCTGACTTTGTGAATATTATTATTTCTGTGAGGTTCCTGTAGATGATCTGATTAAAATTTTGGACATGTGTGTCATGACAGAGAGCAAAGCGTCGTTCCCCTTGTAGCCTTACATCACACTTCGTATAACAAAAGATAATAGACAATTAACTCGCTACTTCTAGAGTACTACATTACTCTACCATGTGCGAATGTTTTGCTTCTGATAAGCCAGAGATAACCATGCATCCACTTTCCAGTATGATTTCGTAGTATTACCCTAGCAGTTTACCATTAGCTTGCCTTTGCCACACCAGACTGATATTTTGGTTTATAACGTGGATATAAAAACGAAACTTTATTACTTTAATGCCGTTCCTGTTGGAATTTCTGAATGAACAGTAGTAGTCACATTTTTTCTTGTACTATAGCTAACTAATAAAGAAGTATGGAAACCGGCTACAGCCTTGCAGTGCAAAATGGGGAGCGTTCGCGATGTTTTTTCTTTCTTTTCGGAATAATTGTTGCAACGGTTATTACTTTGGAAGAAGTTGACAGTGTATTGTTCCCAAAGAACCACAATGCTCGTGATGAAACCAGTAACTTGAAAACTTTTGCAAAAGGTCTCAAATATATACCGGATCCAGAAGCATCGATGAACGTGGTATGTGTTCCCAAATTAATATAGTAGATGCTAATACAGGCAGACAGTCCAAACATCGAAGACTACGAATTCCCGTGCTTTGAAAATGAAACATGATATAAAAGATTGAACTTGTATGCGTAGATTCAAGCACGTGTTTTTAATTTATAGACAGAAATTATAAGGTATTATGGATATCCGGCAGAAGAATACAGGATTCAAGTGAGTGAATGTCTTGCAGTTTTTTTCCAGTTTGATTGCTAATGGCAGAATACGTAATCATAGGGTTGTAAATGGAACTGCGAAATTTTTTTCTTTTCAGACCGAAGACGATTATTTGATATACATTCAGCGGATTCCATTTGGTCGAAATGAAACATCGAAAAAAGAGCCATCAGAAAGACCGGTCATAGTTCTACAGCACGGTAAAAGGCTGTTTCACAACCACCGTAGAATTATTTGCATTACTAGACAAAGTGAGCCTGATAATTAATAATTATTAAAACATTTTCCCAGTGCATTTTCGGATTCTGCCTCTGAAAGATCATTACTTTTTTGCAGGGTTGCTTTCGAGTAGTGCTCATTGGATAACGAACCTGCCCCATCAAAGCCTAGGTGAGAAATAACCATGCGAGTATGTAGTGGGGAAGGTTTCGTCGCGTCGAACCAGGATTCGAATGTTTTGTTTGCACAGCTTTTATTTTGGCGGATGCTGGATATGATGTTTGGCTGGGAAATATGCGTGGGAACTTTTATGGCCTTGGTCATCGAACTTACCCAATAACTTCAAAAGAATTTTGGGACTTTTCGTGAGTAAAGTAAATATTAAAAAAGAGCTGAATGGGATTAATGGAGTTTGCTGTCTGAAGGTTTGATGAGATGGCCCAGTACGATCTACCGGCAATAATTAACGAAGCAATACGTGTTTCCGGTCAAGACAAAGTTGTCTATATCGGCCACAGTCAAGGCACATTAATTGGCTTCGCTAAATTTTCCTCGGACCATTCACTGGCCAGAAAGGTCAAACTGTTTATCGCAATGGGGCCGGTAGGATTTCTGGGCCATATAAAATCTCCTCCTTTGTTGCTGTTGGCTCCGTTTTCACGGGAACTTGCGGTGCGTGCGCTGTTAAACAAATAGACTGTTTAGCTCTTTCGTAGTACTACTGCAGTAAAAAACCTTAGCAGTAAACTCGGCTCGGACTTTCTTCGTCTCGCAGTTTATGTTCCGGTTGTTCGGATATCGAGACTTCCTCCCGGACTATCCTATAATCAAATACCTTGGAAAAACCTTTTGCGAAGCACAGCCTGTTCCAACCGAGATCTGCGAAAATGTCCTCTTCTTGCTGTGCGGATACGACTTTGCCCAAACCAACTCGGTACGATATAATACTGCATGTCCTGCTTACGCTTTAACACTGGATGACATTCACGAATTTAATATCTACCCTAGAAGTACTCGTATAGATATTCACTTACCGTAACAGCGATGGCGAGTGCAACTACATGTACAGGATTTTTTATAATACTGTATAATTTGATTCCAGTCTCGACTGGATGTGTATCTGGCTCATACTCCCGCGGGTAAGAAAACCTACCGCCTATCTCCAAATGTGCTTTTGTTAGGATGTTTATTAAAAATTAAATGGCGTATTTGCACAGGAACATCTACACAGAACGTTCTGCATTTCGCTCAGCTGGTTCACAGTGACAAGTGAGTCGGATTTCTGATGTTTAAAGACTGTATACAAATTACAACCTACCAATACGGGTAGCATGCGGAGCACAATTTATTGGTTCCCTTTTATTACGGAAGCACTTCACATAAAACCCAATAGAGCATTGGCTGAGGTCACCGTTTTTCCAGCACTATCCGGCAGGTTTAGCTTAATTTTTTATCCGCTGATCGTTGCTGACTGATATACTGATCGTAACCATCTAACCACTATATTCAACAGATGCCAAATGTTTGATTTCGGTTCTGAAAAAGAAAATCTTAAGAACTACGGCACGCCCGTGCCACCTGAATATCCACTTCATAATCTGACGGTGCCGGTTGCACTGATGTATGCTGACAACGATTGGCTTGCTACGCCGGTAGATGTCATGAGTGAGTTTTTGGCTCGATTAGTCTCAAAAATGCACTTTCAATTCAAAAGCCAGCCCGGTTCTAATTGTAAACCAGTTCTTCTATAAATCGTAGGGCTAGAGTCTACTATAACTTCCGTTGTCGACACGTATCGAGTGCCCTATGCAAAATGGAACCATTTGGATTTCCTTTGGGGTATCGACGCCAACAAATATGTTTACCCTGAAGTATTCCGACTTCTTCGAACACACACCTAAAATTTTTAAATTACAAATTGACTGTCAAACATTCGATACTGATTCGCGCGCGAATTTGCATGATAGTAAACATATTGAAAATAGCTCTACTGTATAATTTGTTTTCTTGCTTCGGCTTTACGTATAGCTTTGTGGTGAACGCCGACAATAAGAGTATATTTATCGTTAGTTGCTACTTATACGTGATGGGCAGTACTGACCGGAAATGATTGATATTTGTACTGTACTCGTACATGCTGCATCTCCTCTAACTGGTGAAGTACAGTACTTTTTTAATTTTTGCTGATTGTGCAAGGTGAAATATAAACTGAAATTATGGGAAGACGTCAAGGCCACTTTGCAATGACTACCCTACTGTATGCTAGTAACGCTGTACAAGTATACTGTTTTATATAGTGTAATGTACATAGACCGGTAGACGCAGCCGGTTCAATCCACGGAATTTTCCGCCGTCTGCCAGCTGGGACCCTTGGTGTGGTAACGTCATGATAAGTTCTTATTCACAGTTCGTTTGTTGTTAACCGGTTTAAACTTAAAAGGTTTTGTAACCGTTTGTTTTGGTTATCGTTTGCTCTTTACTGACTTTCTGAGTACTAAAATATCTATATGCAACAATTGGTTGCGGTTTGATATCTTTCGTATTCCTTTTATGCATGCAAGTAAGTACGAGTATCTGCATAAGCAGATGAGCCTTTCGAGGCAGTTGTTGAAGTATGATTCAGAAAGCCTGAAAGTTGATCATCATGATTTGTCCATCTGTGAATGTACTCTGAAATTCGAAGGATATTCTCACCATTACCAGTGACCACACATGCAGCAGAAAGTAGCAGAGAACGATATCGGAGCATCTTGATTTACCACTTTTGTTCCTAGACGATACCATACTGTTCGACATTTTGGTTTCGATGCTCGGGTGAAATTTGTACCATTTTTGACTGACAGGTGAACGTCTGCCGTTGCATTACAGCACAGCAGAGCCATCTGGGTCGCGATGCTTTTGCATTTGTATTGCATGTCTTTTTAATCGGTAATCATATTATTTTTAACGGAAATTATTTGTTTCTCAGTCGATCGCAAATTTCTGACCACTCGTGCAATGTGGGATCTATTCAGTTTTGAGCGCAACCGTTCATCGTGATAAAGCGTCGCTAAAAGCTCTTGCAGCAAAGATTGCGCAATACCTTCCACCCACAACGGCAACACTCGCTTCTAGCCTTATGCCAGCTTAAAAGCTTCCTTGGTTTGTGTTACTGTTGTGCTGTATTATGAAGTATCGCATCGGGGAGTTCAGTCTTTAAAGGACTGAAATCAGATACTTCTCTCGTTCTCCTCAGCGGAGTGGAAGAACTGCGCGTGAAAATCTCCTTGAGCTTCGATCCGTGGGAATCACGATGTTGAGACCAAAGGTATAGTCCCGTATCAGCATTCCAAACACAGTTTTCAGTTTTTTTCGTCTCGGTTAAGTTCTGTTAATTAGAGTCTAAACTGCAGTTTCAGCTTCTGGATTTATTTCGTTGCAATTTTACGTCGGTTGTCGTAATTAATATAACTTTACAAACTGTTTTTCAGGGTTTTACTAAAACATTGCTGCTTGCGGTTATTGCCGTTGGACTGGGATCGTCATTTCTCTATGGTTTTAATATCGGCTCCGTCAATGCACCGCGAAATGTACGTTATCCGGTCAACGTTGGATCACATCATTGATACTTTTTTTATGATTTATGAAACAGTATTATGAGCTTTCTAAAATATTTTTGAAAGTACAGGTTATGGGGCAATGGATTCGCGGCATTCAGTGCCAGCGCCTGAATGCATCTTCCGGTTATTCCCTAATTGGTGATGATTCATTTAATTCCTCCAGAGAAAGTTATGCGTGGTGCCGTGAATTAACCAAGAAAGAACGACGAAAAATTTTCAAAAGTTGTCCAGAATTGACCGCCATCTGGACAGCAGTCGCTACGATATTCTGTGTCGGTGTGAAAAGTTTGTTTTATACACGCACGTTTCTCGTTTAGAAACGACTGTTTTCCAGGTGGTTTCATTGGGTCACTATGCAGTCGTGCCATGGTTGCGAAATTCGGGAGGTGAGTGACATCAAGTTTTCGCTGTTATGCATTTTGCTTCTCTGAAGCGTGCTTACTTTGCTGTACTAGATAGTGTTACATCGAATTATATGATTCACTTTTCGGATGTTGTTTGCGTTGTTTAATTTTGGATGCAAAAGAGATTCGATTTTTCAGTTCACTATCTGATCAATTTTTGCAGGAAAGGAACATTGCTTATAAATGCCGTACCTGGTCTTATTGGCGCCTTGTTGTTGGCATTCGCACGGATGGCGAATTCATGGGAAATGGTCATCGTCGGTCGTTTCTTTGCGGGATTGAATGGAGGTAAAGCGTCCAAAATGGTCTGTAAAGATGATACAGAATCGTTATTAGGGAAACCAGACGCAACGAGGGGGTTTAATTAATAATTATGTGGTTGTTGATTAAGTGATTACTAATTTACGGGTACAATAAGTACTACCGTAGGGTTTTAAATGTGACTGTTTGCTCTTTTCTAGGTGTGACGTCTGCAGTGGCACCCTTATACATCACGGAAATTCCTCCTTTGAGGCTTCGTGGAATATTGGGTGGAATTCATCAGTTTTTTATTGTATTCGCCATCCTGATTGCTCAAATTCTCGGCCTTCCTCAGGTGTTTGGTAATGCGACAGGCTGGTCGTATTTATTTGGTCTTGGAGCAGCGTCGGCTGCTTTTTCATTAATCACGCTACCGTTTTGCCCTGAAAGTCCGAAGTATTTGTGCCTGGACAAAGATCATAATCAGAAGGCCGAACATGGTACTTTCGATGCGGGTTTTTTCAACTGGGGAACTTTATGGGTGAACCATTAACACCTTCGTGGAATTCAGTTGTTTTTTGCAGCTTTGAAGCGTTTACGCGGAAGCACAAAATATGAAGAGGAGATGAAAGAAATGTTGGAAGAGAACGAACGCATACGTGAACATCCGCCCGTTGATATCTTGGGCATATTTCGAGATCCTTTACTCCGAAGTATTATGATTGTCGGCATAATCGTTACCAGTAGTGGACAGCTTTCCGGACATGGCACTGTGAGTTTTAGAATCTTTTTCCACAGCATGAGGATGAGAATCTGCGTAATGATTTTGTAAGTTTTGAATCATCTTTTGATACTAGTAGAGGTATGCAAGCGATGATAATATACAAAGTTTTTTTTAAACAATGTATATTTTAATATTTATATACTATATATATTTGCAGTGTAACATTATTGTGAGTTCGAAAGATGAGTCCATGATCCCGTACCTTCGAATATGGAAATCTTTTATCGCTTTACTCTATAGCAATCCACTGACTGACATGCAGTTTGTTTTATCGTTTTAGGTCATTTATTATTCCACAGCAGTTTTTGAGTCAGTTGGCTTATCTGGGTTGAACGCCATTTATGCAACCATTGGAATGGGTATATTGTACGCCATATCAACCTTTGCTACGGCCTCGGTTGTGGAACGATATGGACGAAGACCATTGATGCTTTTGGGATTGGGTGGAATGTGTGTTTTGACTGTGGCACTTACAGTGTTCACTGTGATGTTTGTAAGTCGGAATACTCCAATTTAGGTTACACATTTCTTCTACAACAGTTCTGTTTTTTTGCACAGGATAATCAGATAGAAACGGTACCGGAAACAAAAACAACGGTTATAGGAGATGATAGCATTTGGATATCCTATGTTATTATAGTTTGCATCTTTTTGCACACTATTATTTATGCCGTTGGACCCGGTATGTTGAGGCAGTTGTGCTTAACTCTTTGCGCGAATCATTTAGCTTGATATCCATTTTTGCAGGAACGATTCCGGCATTTCTCGTCAGTGAAATGTTTACGCAGCGCCCTAGAGCAGCGGCATCTAGTATAGCACTCGCTACAAACTGGTTGAGTGCCTTGATTACAGTGCTTACCTTTCCGTTGCTGCAGGTTAGTAGAAACTAGAAAGTTGTTATTGCAAATTTTTTAAATGAGTATTAAGAATATCACCTATTATTGGACTATAATTCGTTGTAACTCGACTGTTATTGGTAAATGTGTTGTACAAATTTGTTATTTGCTGTTTCAGGCGGCTATTCAAGGTTACACATTTATTTTCTACGCTGTTCTATTGGTCTTATACTTTGTGTATACGTACTTCAAACTTCCGGAAACCAAGGGTAAAACCACCCAGCAGATTTTAGAAGAGTTATCTGGGAGGAAAGTCGAAATTGATCCCGATGAAGAAGCACCGTCCAAATCTACTCGAATCGAAGCCTGAATTTTTATTTTTATGCAATCTCTTCCAGTCTGTGTAGTGTGTACCTTGCACTACTGGGTGTTCAGACCAGTTTAGTGTTGGGATGTTTAAAAGTTGTATTGTATTTTGCTTCGTTGTGGACTCAAAAGGTGTTATGTCCTCCCAGCGTGTATTTGATGCAAAGATACTCTTTTGTTATTTGGGTGTGTCTGTATTTTTATTTACTTTTATGTAAGTAAATAAATAAATTGCGGCTGTGACTTAAACGCAGCCACAGTACAGTATCTTTATTGTTTCGGTTGTCCCTGTACAGTACATATTGCGTACCTGTGGTGCTTTATATCACGCGAAACGTGTCGCTCTACAGTCTACTGTAGCTCAACCTGTACTATTATATGTCGCACAAGTGGTTAAAATGCCGGCAGAAGCAGAAAATTAATGCGCTGCAACCGGCAGTTGTGTAATTTCGTAGCGGTGTGCGGTACGACTGCAGATGCAGTGTGATCAGAATTGCTGGCAGCGATTTTTTCACTTTCATGCAGTCAATTAGCTCAAAGCCACTTTCTCCGTTCGAAAAAGGCCGAAATCGTTTTGCCAACAATAAGGCTTCGCTCTCACATAATATTTCATAATTTTCAGTACGGGCTTCTGCGGTTAGTGTGATCTAGAAATTCGCGTATTGTTGAGGGTGATTGCAAAGGAGATCCCACATACAGTAGAAACATGACACAGTGGCCTGCATTATTTGTTCCAATAATAATCTCCACAATATGGCGGCAATGTTATGGCGAAGTGTTTTCTTCTACTGCGCATATGCAGTCTGTGATTTCAACAGAAATCGAAATGGTTAAACAGCTGGAGGAATATATTGCGCTTCAGGAAGCTAAAGTCGACAAGCTTGCGAAGTAAGAAAATATTTTGAACTATAATTCTGCAGATGTTCTTCCACTCTTTTTGCACGTTGTGGGCGACATACAGGTACATAGATAAGTTATCTGCATTGTCGGAAGATGCGGAGAAGCATGGGATTTTGCATCCAGCGGTGGCCTTCCTTCATTCCAAAGTACTGTCAAGGGATTTGGATGAGTTGATTGAGTACTACACAAAACACCGTGAAGCAGGTAAGTAAAATGCTTGCGGCATTTTTCCCTTTACGCAATTATTGTAATGCATTAATTTTTTGTTCGGGCGCTTCCAATACTAGAGTAGTGATGCATCATGTACCGGCTAAAAAATAATATTGTTTTCCGGTAATTTTATGCACTGCTGCAATTCTGCATATGAATCTGTAATTTTTGGAGCAGCTTCCATGTAACAATTAAAAAACTAAAGCCATGCAAAAAATTATTTTTTTGGATGCATCGGTGTTGGCAAAAGATTCTATGTGCTGTAATTTCTACTCGTAGAGTAGGTATTGCAGAGGCGTACAGTACAGTACTACATTACTACGTACCTACAAGGGCTACACTACCTGTACTATGTATTGCAATTCGATATTCTTTTCGTTTGTGTCTGGAAATTTTTGCATTTTTTCTGTCTTCAGCGTACCTGGTAGTTAATAAATTCTGGGATCTCTTTTGTTTAGAACAAAAAGCTGAGTCCATACGGGCTTTCCGGAAGAAGCAGCCGTTTGCCCCCGACGAGAACGATCTGCGTGGCGCCGTTATCGCCCTGACTCGCCTGCAGCGCACCTACAAGATCACCGCCAAAGAATTAGCGGACGGTAGTTCGCCTGCTCTCCCCACCGACCAGCCTAAAATGTCGGTCAGTGACTGCTATACCGTGGCAAACGAGCTTTTCAAACAGGAGTGGTACGATCAGAGTTACGAATGGTTCGAAATCGTGTGGAATCGCTGCACCAACCGGGCCAGTGGTATTCTGCTGCCGGATCCCGATGGCGAGTGTACCGCATCCGTCGTGGCCAGTGCGTTGGCTAAATCCAGCTACATCCTGTACCATGTGGACATGAACACGACAGCGGCAGTGCTACAAGCCGCCGAAGCATTGGCCTACGAAGAGTCCAATCGCGATGCACTGGACTATATCAAGTTGTACTACACGCCGCTATCGGATTATCACGAGGATCTGGTGAACTGGACACAGTCCGACCAGTCCGATGCAAAGCATCCTGTACATCGGGATGACCGGTTTGATTCACTGTGCCGCGGCGAAGATAATGACCGGGTAGGTTGTGGTCAGCGATAAAGGCACCGGAGTCTGCGTTAATTGATCAAAGTCGCGAAATGATGCTCAAAATGTACTGCTGTTCGTTTGTGCTCTGCTTTCTCAATTGTGATTAACAAAATTTTATTGTCGGTAAACATCTGCATTTCCGACTGTGATAAAAATTCGTCCAATGGTCCGCATCTTCGGCGTAATTCTCGAGCTCTCCGCCCATAAAACTAACCGCAGTCAAAATAAAGTGTCATGACGTTATTACTTATTATTAAAGTTGTCAACTTCGTGGAGTGATAATTCCTTTACGTAATCTTGCACTTTCGGTTCTGGGCCTATGTTTCTTTGTGTTGTATAAGTATCAAGTATTGTATCTACATATTTTACTTGCAAGTTTTGCACTGTACAATACAGTGGACGGATTGCAGTGTTTATATACTAACATATCGCTGGTCGGTTCACGAGCATAAACATGCGTCATTTCAATTTTCATTTTCTCGCATGGTGGGCTGCCTGTTCGTGTGGTCCACGTTTCATTTGCGAACTCCATCATAGTGTAAGACTATGAGTATTTATGTTTCGAAAAAAATGTGCAGGATCACCGGACCAAACAAAAACGGCCGTGCTATCAAATTTCTTTTGACAAGCCTTTTTTGAAAGCCCAACCAGTGCGGGTGGAGCAATTGAGCGCTGATCCCTACATCCTTATCTATCGTAATTTTATGCATCCCAAAGAAACTGACCACATGATCCGAATTGGTACCGAGTTCCTGGCCAGAGCAGTGGTACAAAGGCCAACTCATCTGAATGGCTCCCAAGCTGTAACGGATTATGATATGGATCAAGTGACCTTTACGCGGACTGCGAAAACGTACGTAAACGTGCGTAAGCCAACAAAAACATTTAAAAAAACTGAGATACTGGCGATTTTATTTTAAACAGAAGTATATTTTTTATTATTGATACAAATTATAGTAAAACTAAAATTAATTATGTTAGGTTTTCAATGCAATTTTTTCCCAGTTAGGTGTACACGTGCTCTTGTTAGGGCTTGGTTCAATCACGATTACAACGAACTGACGCGCGCAATTAGCGCTCGAATTCATCAGTTCACTGGTTTGGACATGTCTGGAGCGGAACAGTTACAGTTGGCTAACTATGGAATTGGCGGTCATTATTATCCACATTACGATTATTTCGGCCATGGTGATCCGCGCATGGAGCCAAAAGAACTCGAAAAAGAACGCATCGCAACATTTATGGTGTACCTGACTGACGTACAAGCAGGCGGTGCTACTGTTTTCATAAATCAAAACATAACCGTCTGGCCAAGGAAAGGCGATGCTGTGTTCTGGTACAATTTGCATCGAGATGGCAAAGGCCACAAGGGAACTCTGCATGCTGGATGTCCGGTGCTGGCCGGTAATAAATGGGTACTGAATGTGTGGATTCGCACCGAAGGACAGGAACTAATTCGACCATGTTTAATGCAACCGGATAGCCCGACCGAAACCCAGGCAACTAAAATAGTGACAAGGATATCGGAAATCCTAATGTATCTGAAGAATGCCTAGTCTTTCAACGAGTTTATAAGCCCTGCAGAATTTAATTTATTGTTAGGAAAGAAATAAATATCATATCCGTAAATCACATTGTCCCACTCACTGGCACAGACGAATGCTTTATCCCATTTACAGTCCGTCAAATTTTAACACCAACACCAAGTTATGCATTTCCACAAGTAATTATCGCACATACACACTCGTAAGTGCTTAAAAACTCTTTTTTAATATTAATGACATAGTGACCGTAGTGAGATCCTGTTGTTATAAGAAATTACCAAAATTACCAATCAAAAGATGAAAAATTTCAATAACATTAGGAACCGCAAAATCAGTATAACCAAACACCAACCATAATATAGAGCAAGCTATAAATGACTTGGAGCTGTTCACTTTAATTTGAACTCATGGAGCTACAATTTTCGCCTGTCTCCGGACCAAATAAGGCGTTAACGCAATGGTGATGATCCATCGAAGCGGGGCAGTAGCCTTGTGCAAACAATAAGCAATGATAAGTGATCCCGGGATGACAGCTTCCGCAAGGCGAGTAGCTAACAGCGTCAGCGGTGTCAACACGCCAATTTCCCCAAAAATCTTCATCACATCCACAGGGCTAAAACACAAATGAATGTCAATCTACAGCGAATAGCTGATAGCGCCCATCGCAAGAATCGACAATCACAAGAAAGTTTCTAATAAATGCTGTCATGCAGATTTGTTCAATCTCCATAAAATTCCATGCACGAATTTATTTTAAGAGTCTGAATAAATTTTCTTGCCTTCCTGCTCTTATATACAGTAATTGATACGAGGTTTATTATCGTATTCCAACATCCAGTCAGTTTAGCGCTCACCTTGCAACGAGACCCCACCAAAAGAGAAGTGATACGATGGCACCGGCAGTATGCACTGTAAGAGCGGTAAATCCGTATTTGCGGTAAACTCCCACTAGTTTCTCGGCTACGCGAGCCGGAAAGGACTGCATTATTTCCGCACTAGGCGTGCTAAGGGACTGCCCCACGTCCACAGACGCGCACCTGAAAACAGGACCAAACCAGCACAATTAAAAGATCAAACGAAACCTAGCTAATCTACTACAGCAACGCCTACAAGCGGCAAATTTACCGAGCACCAGCAAGGTTTTCGCACGTTGCACGAGACATAATGTCATTTCGGGGTCGTTCCCAAGATCTGGATTTCATCACAGATAATTCCCGTGAAGAAATGAGAGGATGAGGAGCCAAACTACAGCTTCTGTAGATGCCACTGCACATTTGGACTGGTATTCTTGGCTGGAATACACCGCCGAAGATGTTCGAGAAAACAGCTAATCGTCCACTGTGTATGCCGCTCCATAAACGATTGAAACTTTCCATTCCGGTAAGTCACGTAGTGATCGTTATGATTTATGAATAAATGATAAATCTAATGGCCTACTCTAAACTTCAAACAAATAAAACAAAACCTCTTTCAGATTTTGGGAGACGGACGGCAGTCGGTACGGGCGCAAGCTACGTAAACAAAAATCCGGAATTTTCCTCTGTGTTAACTGCTCTGCCCCAGACGGCAGCTAGCGTGATCGGTGATTACTCACACGTTGCTCTCATCGGCTGCGTGCCAAGAAATGTCGACAAAGTAACGGAGTCATCCAAAACCACAACAGCATGTTAAAGCTCGATCAGAACCATCGGATCGAGAAATCTCGCTTTTAACGCTTATCAAGGTATTTACCTTACGTTTCGTTCTGTTGCTGCTCGCTAAACCTTTGTTTCTACATAGTGCACTGCCCGAAAAGTTCTCCCACGGGTTTTCACACGATACAGAATACTCACTTCGATTTCATGGTCATTTTTTATGAATGACGTGACTGGCGTCAGATAATTTGGGAGCAAGAACCAACGCCTCAAAACTTCTTTGCCATTCCCGCCACTCGCCCTTCCAGAATTCAGCGATTTAAGGCTTCCTTTGAAGTAAATATAGGAATCCCAGCGAGGGAGGATAGTTTGCCGCCTGGAGCTGCGAGCCATTCGCCATTATCTTCATTTGGCCTTGGTTGAAGCTTGAGGTGTTCCGTGCATCATCGTATCAATTTTTAATGATAGCATCTTCGATTGAATTCTAATCACTTTGAATCAGCCATGGCTTCGTATCCGGTTGCTAACCCTGGTGGACCTACCGTGACCACTCCATTGACAGGAACACATATCACGATGGATCGGCAGGTTGTAACCACAACAGTGACAGAAACCAGAGTGCGGGGACGAAGAGTCCGACTTTTTCTAACTGGATTCCTGCAGTTAATTTTTGGTGGATTTTCCCTCATTCCCGTCCTGCTGCTGGCACAAAATCCTGTGACCATAGCAGCGTGTGCTTGGCTGGCTTTTTCAGGGATGGTTGGATGTATCGGAGCCTGTCTGTCATCCAATAAAAGCTCTACATCGGTGAAGTACGATGCAGCCACCCGAACTCAAAAAATAATGACTGTGCCACCCATATTTCCAAAGTTCTACATGGGAATGATGGTCGTTGGGTTTCTGTTAGGTAAATAACAAGGTGATAAGATGCAAGGAGTGTATATCTGTACAGTGTACATGATTACACTACTAATACCTTTTAAGCTCCCCGCAGTTAAGCAAGCGGCAATAAGAATTAGGTTGCTTAAATCTATTTGATTTGAAGTTGTTGGTTATATTGAGTGGATTATCGCAGGTGCATCGTTTGAGCAAGGTGGATATAAGGTACCCTATCCACCTTGGTTTAAGCAATGCAGTTTGTTCTGCTGTATAGCAATCCGAGTTAGGTATTTCGGGAGCAGTAAGAAAGTTTAGTGGCATTGTATTTTGTGTCAGTAGAGAAGATTAATGCAGACTGCTGCTGTTTGCATCAGTTTTCAAATTTGCAGCAATAGATCTGAGAAGATGATAATTTTTGTGCAGAGTTGTTGATGATGTTGCTACCGTGCGAGTCGGTGCGACATGCGTGATATGCACTTTTGCAAAATGCAAGAGTGCATACGCTTTTTCGCGTACATGTTTATTTTGAATCGTTGCAGCTGTTGCCTCCGCCATTCAGGGGATCGTTTTGATCGCTACGCATCCTTGGTGGTACGTTAATTTTGTTTTGGGACCGCTTGCGACGGGCATTGGAGTGTTCTTCGCATTGAACCAAATGATCATGATCTGCTGCGTATCTCCCATGGTGCAGTCGCATACTTCTTCTGCGGAACAAGTGCATGTGCAGCCGGTTGCGGTCACCGTTGCGCCGCCTTCAACGACATATGGGGCCGGGGCATACCAGGCCGGAGCCATTCCTTATCAAGCAGGACCGTCTGCGCCAAGCTCCAGTTTATATCCATATATTGACGAACCGGTCAAGGAAGACCCTCCGTCGTATTCTGAAGCTACGCGTTTCGATCACCCTCAGAAAACGCCTACCGCACCCGAATTTTGACATCTTCGCATACAGCAGCACACGTGGACATTTTTACTGCACCGTTGGATCATGTTTTCAAGTTTTTTTACTTATTGTGGTCTTGCAATTTAAATGTTGCTGTACACTTGCAGATTAAAATTCTAATTGTCTAACGATAAAAATAGGTTCTGTTGTAGGTTTCATGGGTGCATTATTAAATGCAAACAAACGTGCACTATCGATACTTTATTCTTTTGCATAGGGAAGTTTCATATAAAATGGTTCTCTCTTTTCCGCTGGAATACATTTCCGAAATTCAATAATAAGTTACGGATAATTATCAGCAAAACAAAACACGAGCGTAACAGCGTTTGTGTGTACAAAAAGAATAAACATGCGGTCACCGATGTGCCTGCGATAAGTGGATACTAGACGTAGTACAGGCACCGTATAAATCATAGTAGACCAGTAGTAAACATTTTCGTAAACAAGTTCATTGACGGTACTGTGTCACGATGGGACGTCACAACGTGCGTACTGCGTAGTGCGCCATTCATAAAATTACTGTGAATGATTGTGAAACGTAAGTACATAAGTGTCGCTGATTGTACAGAGCCCGCTAAAACTTACTAATACAGATCTTTAACTCTTGCTAGTCTTGCAACCCTTTTATTATTAATTCACTTTTACTATATCCTACGTAAATTTACTTTGTTGTAACTTTATTTTTAGTCGGCGTACTTTACTGTTATTGTTATATAATGTTTTCGTTTCCTCTTCGTCCGAAATCAGATAGTTCTTTAGCACATGATGAGCCACGGAAAATTCCATGGTGAAACGTGAAAAGCGAAAGCAACACTGCAACAGTTCTTGCAGTGAAGTTAGTGAACCGTTCTCGATGGCGTATTTTTGTTTTACTATCAGTAATGCCCCACGGGAAGCATTGTTCGGTGTGGAAGCGTTGATTTAGGGTCCTTTGGTTACGGAGCATATATTTTGCGGACGACTGTGCCCGCTGCCATTCTTCGAATGGAGGAGTATCAGACCCTTGGCTTTGGGCTTTCGATTTTGCCTCCAACTGCAGGTTCTTCGTGAAATGAAGCAGGAGGTTTGTTCTTGAGTCTTGACTATCGTACATCTAGATCCAGACTAGCTGTTTTCTTGTCATATCGATTTTGTTTGTAAATTGTAATGATTCTGTAGGTTACCAGGACGCTTTTGTTCTCTATGCTGTCAGTAGGGATTGGTTCGCCGTTCTTGTATGGATATAATTTGGGCATCATCAATGCACCACAAACCGTAAGTGAGCATGGTACTGAATTTATTATTACTTAAGTATTGATTATTATCTTACTATTAAGACAGTTTCAAGTTTTGACAAACGGCTACAAACACTGTTTACACATACAGGTGATTGGCATTTGGATTCGCGATATCCAGTGTGCACGATTGAATGCTACGCTTTCGCCAGATCCAAATGAGACCGCGGTTTGGTGCGTCCCCTTAGATGAGCACGGAAAAGAAAATCTTTTCGAAAAAAATTATACTCTAAATATCATATGGACGCTGGTTGCGGCGATTTTCTGTGTCGGAGGCACACTTGCGGCTTTCGGTAGCAAAAAGATCATCGATCTCCTGGGGGAGTACGTGAAAAAGTTCACTATGCAGCATTAATCTTCGCCACTGTCCTTGAAAAAATTTCCTTGTAGGAAGAGATCGCTCTAGTCAATAATGTCCTGGGTGTGGTTGCTGTTGTAATAATGGCATCCTCGTATGTTGCTAGCTCGTACGAAGTGCTTATTGTTGGACGATTTGTGGCTGGTTTAAACGCTGGTAAGCGATTCGTTCTCTGGTTGTGTATTTTACAAGTGTATTTTGTAGGTATTTCTGCAAGATTGATCTACCGATACTTTATTCTATTTGGAAACTTACTAATTAGTTATATTTTTATACTATTTTAAAACTACTGTATATTCGTTTGCCTACTCTGAATCTGACATGTTATTTTTGGGAAATGAGAATTTGCAGCTGCTTGCAGGTATTACAAGTGCGATCGCACCAATGTATATGACTGAAATATCTCCTTTGAAAATTCGAGGTGTTTTTGGTGGACTCTACGAGTGCTTCCATGTTTTTGGAATATTATTGTCGGAAATCATTGGCTTGCCATTTCTATTGGGCAAAGCCGGTTTATGGCCAGTACTGTTTGGTTTAGCTGTCATTCCCAGCCTTTTTCAGTTGTTTACGTTTCCTTTTTGTCCGGAAAGTCCAAAATATTTGCTTATGGATAAGGATAAGCCCGGTGAAGCAAAAAAAGGTAATATTACAGTGTTCTCAAAGGCCATGGCGAGAATACGATTGTGTAGAACAATTGCTGCGCTTTAAGTACTCTGTAAGTTTAACTTATTTTTACAGAACTTGAGCGATTACGAGGCTCAGTGCGATATGATCAGGAATGGGAAGTCATGCTACAAGAAAAGGAAGATCTGCATCATCGCAAAGAACTTCCGATAAGGAAATTCCTGAAAAATAAATTCCTTATGCGCGTGGCACTAATTGCTGGAGTTGTCACTAGCAGTTCGCAGCTGTGCGGCCATGACACGGTAAGATAAGCTGTAGAATGAGGCGCAGGAGTTCGCCCTTATTGGTGAATACAGTACGGGTTACAACTTTCTGCTGTTAAAATCAATGGGACTGTTCATTTCGTCTTCTCCTTTCATAGGTGATTTATTATTCAACCGGTATATTTCGAAGTGGGGGGTTAACAGGAGACAGCGCAGAATACGCTACCGTTGGTGTGGGTGGTGTTCTTCTTGTCTCAACAATTGCAGCAACTTTATTTGTCGATCACGTTGGACGCCGAATCTTGTTACTGTTCGGCTTGGGTGCCATGTGCGTCCTTACTGCTATGTTGACGGTTTTTCTTGCTCTTTTTGTAAGTACAGGTTGCATTACCTGGTGTTACAGTATTTCAAGTACAGAGTACGTTGGGTTGCCCGTTTCGTTGATTGTTGTGGGACTTTTTACCAGTTCTTGAACAGTCCAACTGATCGTTTAAGCATTGCACCTAAAAATAGGTTCATTAAATTTATCGTTAATCTTAGGAAAAAGCACATCCGAATGGTTGTGAATCTGGAACCGTTGGTGCCGGCTATGAATGGACCCCATATGCTACTATGGTGGTTATATTCTTGTTGTTAGTCACATTTGCCATTGGTCCAGGTACGAGAATAAAGAAGAACAAGTTAGCAATCGTATGATACTATAATGCAAAATTATTTGCTAACCCCAAAGCATAATCTAAAGTTTTTGTTAATTAATTTATGTCCATGTTAATGTTAATATTATTCTATGTGGTCTTCTTTTGCACAGACTTGTGACAATTTGTGGTTATTCGCAGGCACCATTCCACCATTCATTACTGATGAACTGTTTACGGATGATGCACGACCGGCTGCCTCCAGTTTGGCTCTAGCCATTCTTTGGATTTCGGAATTGATACTCGTGGGAACTTTTCCCATTATCCAGGCACGGTTGCATCATACATGTAGAAATGCCGCATATTGACTCGAACTGGCAGTAAAAATTGTTACTGGGACTTGTAAAGTCTCACTGGCAGCTTAGTGGTGAAGTATTTCCATAGGTGTGAGACACTCGTAGTAGATTCTTTATGCATAACTATTTGCGACACCTGTAATAAGTACGTTATACTTGTAAATACTGTATTTGTTTAGTTTACAGTCATTCATGTGGTACAAGACTTGCAGCTTCTGATCCAAAAACGATAAGCATAATTCTCGCTGTTTTGCAGTCGGTCATTGGCGCATACACTTTCGTCATCTACGCTGTTCTTCTGGTCTTCTACTTTGCTTTTACGTTTTTCCAACTACCAGAAACAAAGGGGAGAGAAATAGAAGAAGTGGTCGAAGAACTTAAACAAAAATATGGAAAGCGGGCTGGCAGCCGTGACTCCTAACCGTTCCTCTGGACGAGCGGTAATGCACTAACACTTCAGGCAACAGCAGTATTAGCAGTAAATCCAAAAAAGGATCTGTTGTGGAAAATTCTCTTATTCATTAAATACTGTAACGTTAGAAACTTTTGATCTGGAATCTTTTGCTTTCGAGAAGCGTGAATAATTTGTCCCGTCCAACGGTCCAAGTGCAATTTTTTAGCTGTGAACTGTTAAATGTTTCGGACAATCTGAGATTTGCTTGGCTTAAACTCCACCGATGCATTCTTGTTAGCTGATGACATCGTGCTTTGAATATTAGCGTTATATCTGTATAACGCCGATTAAAGACCAAAGAGGCATATGAATAAATAGCAATACGTTACCAACAATAGAATAATTATTCAGTCCGCGTTAGCATTCAACTTGACATTGCGCAGTCTGATTCAGAATGGCACATTCACCACTCAAATTAATTTCCGTAATTATTTCTTCCTCTTTCAAATGCAGAAAAACACACTTTTCAGAATCAGAATCAAAAATTATTATAAAAAAAAGGTTACAAAAAACTTGCAAAGACGAATACAATTAATAAGTTAAAACAAAGCCAAATCACGCTGCCACGTCGGGTGGTTCCAGTTCCGTCACGCGCCGGACGTTCTTAAAATTCCTTCGCTCAGAAGGATTATCCGAGACACGAGAGTCTCGCAAACTAACCTTGTAAATTTTTAAAGAAGTCTAATGGGAAAGGATTCTTGCAGCTATACAAGGCATTCTGGTCTCTAGAGGAAAGGAAATGAACTCTGAAACGACTTCATGCGACTGCTGTTTGCCCGCTGTACGATCGCTACTAACCTACTATAATGCTAGATCAGGAAATGATCCAGATACGGCGACCTAAACGGAATAGATCCCGTGGAGTGAGCAATGCTGAAAGTATTGCGAACAGCGAAATAACACGGGACGTCCGCTCCTTCCGTCCAGCTGAAATTATTGCAAGTAACGTTCGCCACCATGGCGGTCAGCCCTTAGTACGATTTTACGATTACATACAGTAGTAGTGTTGTATCATTTATCCTTTTCCAGCGAGGAGTCGCGTCGCACCAGTTTCAATTTTCAAATGTTTTGTTCTACAGAGTACAGTAACTTCTATCTTGTTCTTATTAATTAATAGCTTTACAACTGTCAGGTGACTTGCTGGAAAAATTTGCCGAAATACTTGCACTGAGAGGGCGGGGGATGGTTGATGTCAAAGGAGATCTTTTGTGAGAAAGTGTACTGTGGACTGTACCTGTATCCAGTGCTCTTTAATAGTAAATCGGTTAGTGAGTTCTCGTCGCTTCTCGCACTTTTCCTTAGGTTGCTGTGAACGTTAAGAACTGTGCGGTAAGGGAATGACACTTAATCGTTTATACCTTAATATTTACCTTAATATTTAAAATCCAACCCAGTAACCTCAGTTGAAAACTCGTTTGGCTGTCGCAGATATGCTAGCAAATTCGCAACTTTGTACAGGAAAATCACAATACGAAGTTTTATCGTCGACTTTGTTTACCTTTCCAGGTTGTGGCGAATGTGGGTTGTTGACATAGTTCACTGTATCTTGAATTTGTGACTGGACCGTTTCATATGTCTTCAACATCGGTTCGTTCGGATTTACAGGAATTGTTGGTATTTGCTGAAGTCAGTGGAGTGAAATTCCTGTTCCTCATGGGCGATCATCTCCATCATGAATTTCCTATCAGTGCAGGCAGACCAGATACCCAGTGCCGAAAAGATAAAGTATCATGCACATTTCTTAACACTGCGATCCAAAGATGGGATAATCGATCAGTCTACCGCGCGGGATTTTTTCTTAAAATCGGGTTTATCACACGACATTCTAGCAAAAATCTGGGATGCCTCCGATCGTGATAAGGATGGATTCCTGGATCTCAATGAGTTCTGCGTGGCTATGCATTATGTTGTTAATGCCATCCGTCAGGATAAACGATCGAAAAATGCGCAGAATGGTCAATCCAAGCTCAGTGTGTCTCCATTGCCACCTGTCATCAAAACTAGCGCACCGCTTTTGCGTAGCACATCACCCCCCAAAAATGGCAGTATTTCGAGCATTCCGATTTCTCTTCGCGGTGATCAACCCCGTACACATATTTCCACAAATGTCTTGCCTAAATTATCTCAAACTCCTATTTTACCAGTACGACCACTATCACCTGTTAGTGTTTTGCAGCCGTCTTTACCGGCGCATTCCGGAAAGATAAATCTCGATCGGACAACAAATGGACTTAATCATGTTGCGAGATACAAGGAGATTATTTTGCAGAAACGGAAGGAAGTGCAACAGCTGCACAGAGATGTACAGCAGCTTCGCTCCGAACGAAATACGTACAAAGACACCCTCAGTGAACTGAATAAGACGAGGTTAGCGGATTTGAGATTTTTATCGGAAATGAACGGCACGGTACGAAAGAAACGGCATGAGGTGGATGAATTGAGGACGAGAATTAACAACATCGCAACAGTTTGTTCTACATGGGATAGCGATGTGATGCAGAAGCAGCATTTGCTGACAGAATTGCGTGCTGCTAATGATGAGCTCCGGTCAAGTGAACCTGTGAGGCGAACATCGTTTTCAACGCTGGACAGCCACATTGCACAAACGCTGGACCGTCTGGAGCGCTCAAGAAATGTTGCGGCCTCTAATGAAGTGAGTATTGAACTGCTTGGAAAAACAATGAGAGATAAAATGGGCTATATTCGTTCGTTGGTTCAGCAAGGTGCCAAACAGATTTCAGTAAACCGGGAATTGTGTCAGGCTTTCGAAGAAAAGCGAACTCTGATCGAGAATCTGAACACAGACACCACTTCCGGAAGTTCGTATTCTGTAATCGCGGAAGACGAAGAGACGTTACTGGCCATCGCATCCTACACCGGAGAAACTGCGAATGAGCTTTCCTTTGTAGAAGGAGATATTATTCGGGCTACAGAAAAGCACACTGATGGATGGTGGTTAGGAGAGAATTCCCTCGGCAACACAGGTTATTTTCCAGCTAATTTCTGTCAGGCTTTGAAAACTAGCGATCGCCGCGAATCTGTATCTGAGTTGGTGAAGGAAGAGAACGTTCGTTCGGCACTAGCTCTTTATCCCTATGCCGCCCAAAATTCGGATGAACTATCGTTTAATCAGCACGAACTTATTGACATAATCCCGGCTGATGGGCTCGATAATGACTGGTACATGGGACGCAGTCGAACCGGAGAACGCGGGTTGGTTCCGGTTAATTATTTGAGGCTTAATTCTGAGATGGAGAAACAACCTGACGCCGAACCGACGCCGCCCGTGGTAAAAGTGAGTCCAAAACGTCAGTTGGCCGTTCGGGAGCTGATTGGCACCGAGGAAAAGTACTTGAACCTAATAACCGCGGTGGTGCAAGTTTACTCCTTTGCTCTGAAAGAACGCCACGCCTGTACTGAGGATGAACTGAGTGTAAGCCCTGGAATACTATTAACTCGTTGTGTTGCCGTGTGTTTTTGCTTATTTGTACTCAACGGTTTTTATGAGTATACGGAAAAATATATATAACTTTGACAGCAGCAGCAGTAATTTTGGAATAAAATATTGTTAGTCATTTTATAAATTTACTTGTTTGGAAACAGATCCAATTTTTTTAACAGGTTTACCGTATTCACTATTTTGTTCAAAAAAAGATTTTGAATGTGTCTGACTTAAATTCCCAATTCATGGCCTTTTGCTACGTAATTCGCGGTGTTCCGGTTACAATTCTTTGTAGTAGTACGATTCATAACATTTTTTAACAAATATGAAATGAATCTTCGTCGAAATATGTAGGAAGCCTGCGGGTATTTGTCGTCACGCGACAGTTGACTGGTCATTAATTTCTGGGTTAACAACACAGCTGACAAGTGACAATAGCTACCGCTAACTAACTCAAAACAGGAGGTTTACCATTCTCCGCGTCGGTGACTTCCTGCATAGCAGGATTATATAACAATGCATACTTGTTTGATTCATGGTGGTTGTTTTGTCTTTGCAGCAATTGTTTTCGGTGTGGGGCGATATCATCGACTGCACCGCTACCCTGGTCAAAGCGTTCAATGTACGCAGCAAACTGACAGAGGACGGAGCACTGGAGACTGTCGGGGATATTCTGTGCGAATATTTACCCAACATCACCCCATACATGAATTTCTGCAGCAGTCAAGTAAAAATGGGTGAATTAATCCGAGAAAAAACAGAAGCAAACCCGACTTTTGCGGAAGTGATTCGGCAATGTTCGCAGGATCCTCGCATGCAGGGCCTTCCCTTAGCGGCAGCTTATATGAAGCCCATGCAGCGGATGACGCAGTATCCATTGTTAATCAAACGCATCTTAGATTTAACACCCGAACATCATCCAGATTGTGCTGATCTCAAGGAAGCGCTACGGAAAAGCGAACTGCTCTGTGACCGGGTGAATGAAGGAGTGCGCGCAACAGAATTAACGGAACGCTTAGACTGGTTGGATAAACACGTCAACATGGATAGCTTTGCGGAAAATCTCCAGTTTACTTCGCAGACTAATTTCATGGGGCCTCGGTCGCTCGTTTATGCCGGAAGTCTTTTGAAGGCAAAAAGCGGCCGAGAATTGGTTGGATTTTTATTCAACGATTTCTTCCTTTTGACTACACCACCACGCCCGTTAGTGGACAGTCTGGGAAATTTTACGTTTGAAAAGCGCCAGTGGACAACCTGCACGCTGAAACTGTACAAAAAGCCGTTGTTGTTGTCCGGTTGCAAAGTGGCTTTATTACCGGATGAAAACACGTTTGCCTTATCGTTTCCCCATTCCGTCAGTATCTTGCTAAAAGCCCCCACCGCGAACGAGTGTAAATCTTGGAATAAACATTTTCAGAAAGCCGTTACTGATTTCAGCGAAATGGAAAAGCAGATTAATTCACCAAGAAATCGTTCTATCAAGTTACATACTCCCGTGGGGTGTTGCCGGCTTATCCTGGTGGAAGGAATAGACCTGTGTCCAAGTGCTCGAAAAGGACATTGTGATGCATTTTGCAAAGTATCTGTGGGATCACAAGAACAGCGGACTGCCGTAATCGAGAACACAATAAATCCGAAATGGGATAAGAATATGACTTTTATTATCTACGATTTGGAGAGTGAATTTCTTTCGCTGACGGTTTTTGACTACAATTCCTTCGCTGCCAACGGATTTCTAGGGCGGACAGAATTGAGACTGAAAAATATGCACAAGCAAACAAAAAGCTCGAATATGGCAAGAAGCAGAAATCTGGTGTTGCAGGAAGTGATGTCGGGTGAACTAGTCGTCAAAATCGATATACAGTTATTCCCACCCGAGTCTTCTGTGCTTCCCGCGGTGATGCCCTTAATGACTATGCATTAGTCTGTGATTTTTACTGTACAGTTTGCAGTTTTTTGTGTTGATTTTGCTTTTGTAGTCAGATGACCATGCCAATAAAATTCCATGGGTTTTGTTTGACCGTTTATTTAAATTATTCTGGTTTACAAAAACATTTGGCTCAACGAGCTTAGCATTTATTTACCCGTGTACCTAATACATACCTGCTGTACATTTTATACCACTTACCTACCAGTATTTGTGTATGTCGGGATATTTTGCGCGGATTACTAACTTGTAAGTAGTAAAACGAATATAATAAAAATTACAGTTTCTACCTACCTTTAGATATAGTCGTGGTGTTTTCCCGCGTAAATTGACTTTGAGTTTGAGTTAAGCATTTTTGAAGAACGTAGTGGGTAGGATAGCCATAGCTATCGACGTATTGATCGCTTGTTTATTTTTGCTTGGCACGCATCGCTCCCGCTATATGGGTTCATAATGCATCTCCAGAGCTGAAGACTTTTTCCGGTGGAAGGATCTGCTGTGGCTTTGCAACATTGCAGTGCTACGTACGATACAACTACAATCAGCTTAAGTACGCGAAGATTAACGTGCCGACTTTCTTGCCCACGATATTAAAATTATTAATTTTGTTATTGAAAGCATATCAGTACATTACTGTAAATATCGCGTGCGCGGTTTGCAACTACAAGTACTGTACTCCTACTCAATTCTGTGCCTTTACTGACAGTGACAGCACCACACCTAAACTACCGCTGAATCAGCCATGCTGCGTTCGTTATTTAAGGAGCGGACTACATCCGCGCATGTTGATGTGGGTACGTAGAGAAATCGGAGGCAGGTATAAATAACAAACGTCCGATAACCGTACAGTTACTGCTTTAATGCTATCGGGGCAAGTGTTCTTGTGGTCTGATAACTGTTTAGATTTCTCGTTTGCCGCTTTTATTAACGCCATTGTATGTGATATCTATATGTGCAGATGTCTAATTACTTGTCTGTTGTAGTTGTATGTAGTCGCAGTTACAGTACATACTTACACACAAGTATCCATATTTATTTACGGTGTACACAATTGTTTATAACGCGCGCAAGAAAGTGGCGTCTCCTGCACGCTTGTGAGCAGAGTTTTTTACCAGACTTTCTACCGAAATCCGGAGATTGTAATTAAATTTGTTTCCTTTTAGTCAAAATTGTTAGTCGAGTCGATATATTGCCGGAGCGGAAATGAGAGGTATTCGGTGAGAAGACGTTGTTGATCCCTGCAGAATTGCATAATCTCGCACCTGCCTAAAGAATGTCGACATCAGACTCTGTTTTCCCTTCGTCCAGCCAAATTCCGTCCGACCACCGTACTCAAGTGACGGTATTCCTTTACGAAGCCAAAGACTTACCACCGATGGATCGCAACGGTCTAAGCGACCCTTTCTGCAAATTCCAGATCGGCAACTCCAAATTCCGATCGCGCATCATCCGCAAAACGCTGAATCCGCAGTGGATGGAGGAATTCAATTTCTATCTGCAGAAATCTGACAGTCGTGTACTGAATGTCAGCGTGTGGGATTGGGATCGGGCGCTGAAGAACGAAGTGATGGGACGCGGACAGGTTGATCTCGCGGTGTTGTCGTACGGAATCAGACACGATCTCTGGGTGAACATTATCGAAAAAGGAAGCCATCGGGGTTCGGTGCATCTCTCAATTTTGTTGCAGGACAGTAGCAATAAAAAGCAGCGTAAAATCTCTAAAGAGAATGGGGATGTTGTAATGAAGAATGATGCGGAAGTGGTCGACGATCTGCACGAATGGGACAATTTGTCGTTGAATTCCGACGACGTGCCGGAACCAACCACACCCACAATCCGGAAACCGTTGGGATTGTTAACGGTCTACCTGCAGAAATTATCCGAACTAATCGCCGTGCAAGACGCTGGTGGAAGTGTTGCCAAGAATGTTTACTGTATTCTGCAATTAGGACGGGTGAAATATCAGACACATAATGTATCGCGAAACACTAGTCCGGAATGGAACAGCGAATACGAATTTCCGGTATATGATGTGCACGCGGCATTGGAAATCGTGGTTATGGAGAAGGATGCCAAAGGCAGGAAAAACATTCTAGGCTGTCTGGCAGTTCCGCTGCTCAACGTTCACTCGGGTGTTCGCAAGGGATATAGGTTGAAGGATGCGAGACTGATGCGATTTCTCCAGCCAACGGTCTGGCTGCAGATGAACTTGGCTTATGATCTCACTTTGGCGGCGTGGAGAACGCTTCAGCCACAGGAAGTGGTCGGGTCTGAACTGGACAAAAAACCTGGAAGTCAGGTAGGTCAGCTATTACCAGACACTAAATTAATTAAAAACTTGATTAATAAATATGTATAACAGTAGAGCGACTGCGGCGAATCATATGGTTGTTTTCTTAAACAAATGTTTGGTTTTTTTCACCTTTTCTGATGCGATAGTGAGCCAATACGAAAATTTTTATTAGTACTCGTATTGCAACAGATAATAATTATATAAGCAATTGTTTTACCTTACCATTAAGTAGTCATATTTTTGAGTAGAATTTCGAAGATGTGTGGCGAGGTTGCTTATTTATTTTCAATGCTTTGCGGGCGCACCTGGAATGAGTCATTTTGATTTACTATTCAAACTTCTTCTGGTACTCTATGAATTATTTTGACCAGTTGGCTATGTGCTGCATCATTTGTTATTCCTGGCGGTGCTTGCTATTAATGCTTGTTAATTGCAAGCAAATGTATACAACTGTGTATGCTGTGCAGTACACAGTCAAGAAGCCTGCCATTCGACCTAAAACAGAGAGTAGAAATTGAAAAATTATCGAGATTCATTAGTGCTTTTATTTAATAAGATATTTCAATTATACTGCGCTAAAAATATGTCGAATGGAGTGGCGAAAATTCTGGAGTGTCAAATGTACTCCATAAATAAATTCAGGCTTAAGTGGCATAATTCTTGCAGAAGTGTTGTTAAATGTTATTAGTCGTTAAAACATTATGTTGTATACGACTAAACGTGTGAACGGATCTCAGTGAGTACTAGCAAGTCAGCGACTATGATTTTCTTGCATTTGCAGATGTTGGTACATAAAGTTAATCAAATTCGACGCGTAGTAAGCATTTGCTCCGACGCTCTGGATCTCCTTCGCGCATTGTTATCTTGGGAAATTCCTACCTACTCCATCATTGCCTACGTCCTGTATATCTTTATCGTGTACTTTTTCCAGTTGTATTGGATACCAGTGTTTTTGTTAGCATCATTCTTAAAAGGGTATATTGATCGGCTATCCAACCAGAACAGCGACGCTCCGGAAACTGAATATGAGGCACAGTTTGACAACGCTTCTGGTGAGGCTTCCGTGGTATCGTCGGCTTCAACTTCTGGATCGAGAACAACGGAAACCTGGAATCCCCTGACCAGATTTAGAGCAACCAGCGAGTTATTACAAATGCTACCGGAAAATCTCAGTTCAAGGACCTTTTGGCGGAAAGTGTTCAGTCGCGAAACCGGCAGCAATTTGGTGAATAATGCCCGCACAGCACACGACCAAGCACGATTTGTACAGCATGTTCTGGAATTTTTGGCAGACGTTTATGAAAGACTATGCAACACATTTAATTTTACTGTACCGTGGTTGTCATTCATGGCCGTTTATATGCTGTGTGGTGCCATGGTCTTATTTTATGTGTGCTCTTTTCGCACCATATTACTGATGTGGGGAACGTACGAATTTTCCAAAGGTTATTTTGGATATAATAATTTCGAGCTGCTAGCGTTTTTATCTCGTGTGCACACAAAACACGAACGAAAGATGTATAAAGAAATGGTTTAGATTTATTATACTTAAGTACCGACTGTGATAATATATGTGAGCAATACGTGCGCAAGCGGAATAAAAAGAACGCGATCGGTATTACCGACGGTTGTTGCATGTTCTTTAATTTTTTTATTATACGTTGGTAAGACTTAAAGAAAGTGTTATTTCGCGGCGCTCGCCTGCACTACTTGTATAGTCTATAGATCTAGACTATCTGTGTGCACAACGAATACTTGTTACATTAATTACTAGATAGCTAATACCATCAGAAGCATTGGTTGTGCACCTCGAGTTAACCCTTCATGAATAGATTTTACTAACTTTCGATCAAAGGAACCTTGCCGATGTAAAATATTCGTTGCAGTGCGGTGGTATCAATGTTACCCATGCCCGTCGGCGATTACAAACCGGCCGATTCAGAAAGTTAACTGCAATACTAAAAAGGTGGTAGCCTGTCTACTTATGGTACGAGTATCTTAAACCTTTTCTCTAAGTTTCTTTCGAGACATTCGTGCATCAATCTCGCAAGCGCAAGATTATTTGGGTGCTTATATAATAACAAACATCTTATGGCTCACTCAATACGTAGTTCCCAGCTACAGAAAAGCCAGTAACAAAATTTTGGTTGGTGATGTTTTCAAAGGGGCAGAACTGAGGTTCCTAAAAACTATGACAGTCCCATCCCCCACACCACCGCCGCACTGCTTGCTGACATGTCAAAGAATTCTTATTTAGTTTTTAAATTTTAATTAAAATGTAACATAAAAAAAATTTGAAAATATTTTGTACGCCGTTAGGCTTTTAAAAATTAATTATCTTATACAACGTATACAGTCGCAGAAATGCATTAGTATATTTGTATGTGATATACAGATATATAATCAATTAAAATTGGAAGTGTGGATGTGTGATCAAAATCTGTTTTATGACTAATGGTGTGTGGCAATGATATAATACTATCAGGTCATAAATAAACATGATTAAATGTTTTAAGCGGTACCGTACATTGCCGCGCGTTCTGGGTGGAAGAGAGGGGAATACCGCATTTGATGTGAAAGTGAAGTTTTGTTGTCACCAGAAGTACAAAGGTACAGGCTATGATATCTAATATGCTGCGATAATTTCTTGAAGGAAGAAATGCCTTCGCTGAAAATGGTTTTTGTGTCACTTATTGTTATTTATTGTAGCAATTTGAAAATAGACGTAATCAAGTCAGTTAAGACCAAAGCACGCAATCATAAAATGCAGATTTTTGAAAGCTTATTTTGGCTCATACAAACATTGCTAAACCTTTACTTATTTATGACATGTAGAACCTTCTAGAACGACATATTGATGACATGTTGTACGCACCTTCTGTAACGTTAACGTCGATCCTTCGACGGATTAGAGATCCAAAGGACAGGACAAATATTTGGAACTAGTAAATAGTGATAATACTAGTAATAACATATATTCATTCGTTCAGTAACGGCAACAAGCAAATGGTTCGGAAATACAGTTTTCCTCGTCTAGACAACTACGGTAAATCTACCGAATTTTTAAGTCGGCCAAAGTGGTATTAACATATAAAACTTAAATTAAATTGATCTGGGCGGTTCAATGCGGATAAATGGACTTTCCTGATACTAATTTTTATACGAGTACATTCTGACGCATTCATATACGTCTGAATGGCTTTAATTCTCGCTTAACATATGCTATATGTATCTATATAAATATTTCATCATTATCCTGATTGTGAGTAGCGCTTTTTTGACTTCCATAGCCTTTTACGTAACTTGGAAGCACACCGGTTGAATGATGGAATTTAGGCGGTGCTAAGTAATCATAAAGTACAGACGGAATCTACTCTGTATGCACTTATCAGAAAATTTACTATTTAATTCGCATGAATGACGTTGAAAATCTTACTTATATAATTGTAGTAGAGCGGTTGACTTATCGTTCTGGTATCTGCACGAACCAGTTTCCAATATAGTACCATGCCGGAAATACTGATCTACTGGCATTTGCCGGTCGCAGTCTCTATTGTCTATCTATCGTCTAAAGCAAAAAGGGATTCGCTATAAAAAAACCACCACTTATAGGCGTCTAGTACAATGATCAAACAGTAAACGAGGCGGCAGGCTGACGAATGAAGTTTTAAGCCGGTAATTTATTAGCAAAATTCTCCTGGATACTATGAAATATGCACTACATTAAAACCCACCTGTGATAGGCCAAATAACTTTGCACGTTTACCACAATGAATGAAGTCGCCTGTGGCTTCTTGGCACTTTAGTGAAATACTTCAAAAACCAGAAGCTGAACCATTTTGGTGGTTCCATATTATTATCGATGATCTAGGCAATCAAATATTCACTTATGCTGATACATGGTGCATAGGAAAGAGAAATACAAATCGGGTCAAATAGGATATTTACCACTTCCATAAGATTTTATCGACTTTCCCTCCTGATCTGAGTTCTTTTGTTACCCAAGGATTTATCTGGAGTGTTTCCTGCCACCATGTATCACCGAAATGTTTTCATTCCTTTTTATCTGGTCATCGGATTGGGCGTTATTGGTAAGCAGCACTTACCGACTGACCGATTGCATGCAATTATTATATCAAAAACTAACTGCGCTGATAATTGCAACTTCTAACTAATTACTACAAATTAACGCGTGTTAATATCAAAAATTTCTGGTTTATGCATTAACGGTTTGGTTAGCTGGGCTCATCATCGTTAAAGCAAAAATAAGACAGTCATCCTGTTTTTTTGCGCTTTGAAGTTTTGGTAAATTGTATTTGGAAATACTGGAGCGAAATTATGCGCTTACTGTCGTCGATTTAGTTTAATTATATCCATATAATAATTCTGTTTAGTTGTTCCTACAAGTATAGATACTCGTACTAATTAACTGCGAATGCGTAATGTTCTAATAAGTACGTAATGCTGCAGACATGCTTACCATGGTATTTTTAGCCCAGACCGTAATTACTAATAATATTAGATTCATATATAGATATTATAGTATGCATCTCAATATCAGCGTAACGATGTTACGCCTTGCTTTGCGACCTTAAAGAATTATGGCTGTCTCTTTCCACAGAAAACCAAGCACTGCAGTGCTTTGTTTGTACCGCCAACCTATTGCTCAACAAGGACTGCAGGTATCCGCAATACATTTTAGTGGTGTTAACAGAATCAATCTTAATTAATACGCATGGCGGTGACTAGAAAATTTCAAAATACCCATGGGCATTTTTTCGTTGTTTGTAGATCTCTATCAGCAGCCCGTCTTATCGATTGTCCGGATACAAGCGACCATTGCAATGCTATAATCACCGATATCGATGGTAAGGTCTCCGTAGTTCTTTGTATCCTGCTCTATGTACCTTTATTATTTTCTATGTTTACAGTTTATAGAAAACTAGTGTCTACATATTCACAGGAAGCATGTACTTAAGAGCTAACCTGCATATAATTACAGTATGTATATGTAAACTTGCGCTTTTATAAACTGTATACATGCACATAATTATATTTAATACTCTTGCTGTACGAAGTACCATACCTGGGCACTTCCGTGTAATTAAAGGATAAACTCCATGTAAGGTACTTCTGTGCTGGTTCGAAGTACCAGTAACTGCCTAAGCTTGTAAAGAAAGAGGAATAAAACACTAATTATACTTTAAGTTTATTTTGTTATGTTACGTCGTTGGACATTTAACAGGTTTGATCATAGAGAGAACGAATGGTTTGACATCACTTCAGTATTGCACGTTTCATTCAAAGAGCCGGCTCGTTGCTTGTACCTCTAACGTACCCATACAACGCCATTATGGTTTGAACAATTAAAGCAATTTTTGATAAACATGTAGATATACACCTCATTAATTATTATTCAGTGGCTAATGGGCATACCGGCACACAATACATAGGTCTTTGACACCTCGCGCTTACCAGTGCATAGTTGTAGTGGTGTTGTATTTCGTAAGCAGCACAACCTATAGCCCTGATGATGAGAAAATATTCCGCCAGTGCGTACACGGCTTAGTTTTCTGTAGGTATGCCAATATGGAAGCAAAAACATCATTGTAATGTAGTCAAGGAGGAAATACCTTGCTTTATCATGCCTTATGTAATTCTGTTTGTGTGATTTTGGTTGACAGTGAAACGGTCTACAAATAGCGCCAAAACAGTAAATCATGAACTATTCTTCGCCACATGTACAAATTCCTGTGCATGCATCACTACACATAATGCTCATAATATTGAAGGATTAACCAGGTGAAAAATAAAAGTATTAACGCTTCCTTATAAAAATTTGATACAACAAAATAATTCGGCTAACATATTGGATTTTAGTCAATAATCACTGATGCTGATGGAAGTCTTTCCTGCCCTTTCCTTCATCTTTGAATGTCTATTTTATTGTTGCATTTTAATCATTACGTACTTTTTTACTGCTTATAAAATTATTTAAAATTTGAGTAGCATATACTACATACCGTAGCTTTTTTTGTCCGTAGAACCTGACATAATGGTCAGCACATCGATGCAGCTGCGTAGGCTTGTACTGTACGGTACTACCACTACTCATATAGGTTTTGGATAACTGTGCAATGCAGTGATAAGATACAAAAGAATGACACGGGGGTTTTATATGTACTGTAGCTGAAAATGTAATTAAGCCTTCCAAAAATAAATAAGTTTAAGCCTTATTTAGGCCAAATCATCGTGAATCGGGGATGTTCGGGTAATGTGGAAGCGTGGGGTTACGGCAGCGAAGAGTGCGATATAATGACAAACGACAAATTAATCGATCGTGCCGTGGCCTTCTATCAGTGCCGTGGTGATGGGTGTAATAATCTTGAGCCGGGCCAAATTACCACCGAAACCAAAGTTGTTGCCAACAACAGCAACGTTAATGTCCCGAAATTCGCTCTGACCAGCAATCTCAAGAGCGAGCACATCGTTGGCATGGAGAATCAAATTTCCGACTCACGTGCCATTGTCACCAACGAGGAAGAGAAATTTATGCGGCGCGGCAAGCAGGCTAATGACGACGCTGATCAACAGGATGATGAGACGTACGGCGATAATCCTCGCAAGAAAACCCGCTCCACCACCAAGGCTACCACACCGACCACCACGGAGACGACGACGACGACGACGACTACAACGGAGGAATCCACCACTACCACGAAACGACCTATCTTCACCACGCGCCCTATCATTACCAGACCGCGCCGGAGGAATTTCACCATCTTCGACCGGAAGTAGAAGTCTTTTCTTTACATTTTTTCTCTGCGTATGGGTATGTTTGACCAACCTCCAGGTTTGTACGGTCATGAAAAAGCTGGAGGCTCTTTCCAACAGTATTTGTATCGTTTTGAATTATTGTTAACAATAAGAATTTTATTATTCCGCACAACACTGCCGCTTGTGCTACAGCACCATGCAATACTACTTATTCTGCTGCTAATCCATTATACATAGAAGTAATAATTTTTATTTTACGTTGCACTTCGGCTGCGCTTACATTGTCGTGAACTTTAATTACACTGTGCCTTTCATATAAAATTTAAAATCATGCTCAAGGCCCATATAATATGGTACACTGTCTGTTTCTTATTTGAATATAATATTATATCTATTACCCGATACAACATAAAAATTTTATTACGTATCATATCAGTTTTAAACTTTTTGATACTTGCAACTGCGCTGCGACGCACTTTGATTCAGTATACGAATACATCGGATAGCGGTTTGACTGCCGGAAACAGAAGTCAGCTTCGATTGGCAAACGACTGTGTCCGTATAATGGTATCGTATTCAAACTGTTTGCCGGTTTCAGATCGATATTCGATAGCATCCCAGGTTGTACTTACTTCCGCCATCCTGTTGCCTGTATCAACGGTCTGGATAGTGGAAGGGCAATGTTGTACGCAAGCACTGCGGCACAACTTCGTTGTCTTTAAACATCAGCCAGCCAGTTAAAGTAATCCTTCCTGCAGGGGAGCCTAATCGCGTGCTCTGGTCTTCTTGCAAAATGTAAAGTGTAAAGCAAAGCCTTTTAAATGTTATACAAGGTTGTAAGTATCGTTCTGGAACACACCATCACCCGAGTTTCCGTCAAACTTTTCAGGGACAGACTGAACAGTACTATTTATTCTCTAGTAGCAAATGTATCGTGCATGATTGTTAAATCCGATACAATCTCTAGAAAGATTTGATTATTTTATTTGTCGACGGACAATCCTCAGAGACATAATATAGCATAAGTATATTCTTTCCCTTTTGCTCCGTTTCTTAATACCATCTTCCTGTGGACAAGACACGTCCTTTGGTTTGCGGAAATGGAAGAAGGTAAGCGCACGTACGCATGTTCGAATTTTGGCCTTTAACCAACGTTTAGCTAACGTTTTTTTACAAACTGTTTTGCTCGGGACGTTGCATCCTGCTGCTCTACCGTAGAGGGTCGACATCAAATATCAACCCAATACCGCAGAAATAAAATTCAGTCAATTTTCTATCGTTTACTTTAATTTCAACAGTTTAAAAATTTTTAACTCAGTTATTCGACGGTAGCGCCGGTAAAAGTGTAGTCCTAACAGTTTTATTATTGTTTTCTGGACGTACGAGTGCATGCATTTGCACGGCTTACGCGTCTAACACAATACGGCTTTTATAAGTAACATTACCCATAACGCCATTTTATGCACATGTCTCTACAAAAATTTTCCATGCGTTTAAACCGGTTGGGAATATTTTCTTGTTTCTATCCACGAGGTTTCCCAAATTTTTTGTCTTAATTAACTGCTATTATCATTGAGATAATATTGCATGATTTGTGCAATTAAAAGCGCAATCCGGTTTGATAAACGTGCCCTGAACGATATGGCATTAGTCATGAAAATCTGATGTTTCTATTGTGCAGAAAGCAAAACAATTGCGGTTAAATAATTTCTTGTTTGGTGTCTTATCAGATTATGCTAGCCCTGGGATAATTTCTCAAGTATTGTTGCCGAACATCTCGGCATGACCACCTCCGATATACAGCCAACATCCAGTTTCGCCGAAATGGGAGGCACGTCATTGAACGCTGTATCGACGGTGCTAAAGTTACAAGAATCCGGATATACCGTCACCGTCGAGCAGTTTATGCGCAATCAGAATCTGGATGCGTTGTTGCAGATAGTGACGTCGGCTGATGCGAATACTAACCATCAGCATGACTATGTTATAAAAAATCTTAAGGAGAATATCGAACTAATTCCTGCCGCGCAGAAGCTCTTGTCCGACAGCTTCATGGCAAAATGTGAATGGTATTCTAAGTGCGGCAATATGCTAGCAGATGACCTCACGACCGTGTATGAAAAGTGGTGGGATGCCCTGGTCGATGACAGTTTCGCTGTTCTTACCCAAGATGGCACGATGAAAGCGGCATCTTTGGCCGGAGACCTGACGGTCATACAGAACCTGGATTTAACGGATATTCATCCGCATTTCATCACGATACTGGATATGCTACAGTCCATTACCACACCAGTTTTGCTCAAGTACAATCCTCAAAATCGTCAGAGTGCGTAAATTTATCTGACTTTTTAAAACATTTTTAATTTGCAGCAAACCACTCATGTAAACTAAAAAAATCATTAAGTTTCCCTTTAGTTTGAATACGATCGTATATCTTATTAGTTCATCTGCAGCTGTGGTAAATGCTCCTGAAATGCCGCCACATTTGCAGTAATAAATACAATCATGCACGTGATTCGTGAGAAAAGGTGCTGCGATACATTGGCTATATATCATGACTTTTTTGACAGATGTCGTTTTTTCAAAATTTATGCTTGGAGCCGCCACAGACAATACGGCCGAAGAAAATGTTGCTTTATTCCTGCTCATGGAGCGAAAACTGCGTGATTTGGCCCAAGAAAAGCATTACACAATTACTTTGGCAGAAAATGTGAGCCCGTTAACGCAGGTATGACGATAAGCTTCCCATAATATTACCTAAAAAACACACCTGTTTAATCGTCGTGCGGTATATTAACAAAAATTCCATGTGGCTAATAAATCACTCTCTCTTTCTCTCTATCTCTGTAGCAAATATCGGATTATTTGGGTTGTACGCGCTGTGCAGAAATTTATCCTTGCACATGGGAAGATGCCGATGGCCAAAAACCTTTTGCCGCTTGTAGCATGGATTTTAACGTGACCGTCGACGTTTTTGAGTTAAATAAGCTTGATGAGAAAGAGTAAAAGTAACATTATTGAGATTCTGGCTTTATTTGTAGACTATAATCTCAGTTTAGGAATTGCCCGTGTGTATATGTGACGTGTAAGTTCGAAAAATTTAACTTGCTAAAAAAGACGGCAAAGCTCCTTAATACCATGTGAACGAAAAGAAAAACTAGCTGGACACATAATAGCAGTAAAGTCGTATTTAAAACCAAAACAATCACATCTTAATTCGTCGTTTTAAAAAATTCAAATGATTTTTATTTATTAGTGTTTGAATCTTTTTTGTTGGCGGCATTTTTCTCTGTGTGATTCGAAGCCGTTCCACCTCGTCCGTTGCCGTTTCCGGCGGTTGATCCAGATTTCTGAGGTAAAGCAATTGGTCCAGTTGGTAAGAAATTGCCTTGTCCGGGCGGCAGAACCGGCACAGGTCCGATTGGAGTCTGTGCATGCAGCATCATATGCGGCCCACCCCGTGGCACACCCTGATTGGGGTTAATGTTAAATCCACCCGGTCCACTTGGTGACGGCGGCTGAAGTGGCGATCCCATCGCCACGTTGGGTGGAAAAAGAAACGGAGCATTGGAAGGTGGAGGCACGTTGCCGGTCGACCGTTCATTGCAGCTGGATTGAAGTTCACTGGGCCTCCCGGCATAAATGGCGGTTGGTTTTGTTCCACCATTTGGCGCAGGTCTTTGAGCGCGCTGATATTACGCAGCAACTGGTCGTTAGCTAATAACGTTAGGTTCTGTAGAATGGTCTCAATGTTGAATGGGAGGGGAAAGGGTGGCGGCGGAATTACGGGTTGGTTATTAAAGGCGCTCCGGGATTATTGGGTTGTTCGGGGATCGGCGGCGCAGGGGAGATGGATAGGTCACGACTGAAAACGCCGCTACGTTGCCTGCTGGATTCGGTGGGGTCGATACAACCCTGCTGCATCAAGAAATCGTGAAAATTTAGCTCGCCCAGGAAGCTCATACTGCGTTTCTTTGTCCATCTCTTAGCCAGACCCAATTCCAAATAGTTGCCAACCATTGGATCAAAATTCTCGCCAAATCCATATCTGTTGTTATAAGAGACTGGTTCATTACAACGTAAAAACTTGCAGTACGGTCATCATTTGTCATATGTAATTAAATATCCGTGTTACCCGCGCTGCAGTATGCTGTTCAGTAGCATGCTCAGTTCTCTCGTCAAAAGTGTTGTCGAGCTGTCCTTTTGGTGGTTGGGACTGGCCAGCAGTTTTATGCTTGTTCCGAATTCAATGCCTGTATGACAACAACTAATTAACAGGTCCGGAAGGTCGGCGCTGTGACCGCCCAGAACAGAGCGTACCGTGCAAATTTTCTCTTTGGACAGGAGTTTGATCTTCGTTGGCCATTTCGTAGTCCAGCACCACAACCTGTGTTCCCTTGGCAGCGTGATTGTGGATGGCATACAAAGCAGCTTCTTGTGTAATAGGCGTAACAAATAAAAGGTCATTGGCCAACTAAAACAACAATACGACTGTTCATCGAACAGACACGGGGCTGCTGGTTGACTGGTTGACTATTACCCGAATCATGTTGAAACGCAAGACATCGGGATCCGCACCTTCGGGACCACCAAGCAAGTTGTACTTCTGTATAAGAGCGTCCATAGTCGCATTAGGCAGGGCATGACATCCCGTTCCCATAGGTATAATGTCGTTAATATATGTGTCTAGGGCGTAGGTGATTTTCGGCAGTCCTTGGCCAAACATGTGCTGCTTGTGGTCTATACAAATTTAGCATTAGAAAACAGATCGCGCAGTGTAAAACCGTTCCATGCAGTCAGACATATAAAGCCTGCATACACTTTGCACAAAGTACTTGGGAAAATAAGTGCTAGCTACTGGTGTGGCTGTCACGTCATTAGGTTTGCATTTTTAACGATACTACCGCAGTACAGTATTCGACGAGGTATCGCTTCTTATAACGTGTACGACTTATATTTCTGACAAAACAGTTGAAATAATTATGAGTAGTATTTTTAATTACTAAGACAGTTGTCTACTTACGCCCAATTAGAGAAGCTGCATCTGCGGTTTGCACTGTATACACACTTCCCCCAGAAAAATTCCATGGATGCCGGTCATCGAAAAGAACAACCGGATCGTACAGAATGTGATGACCATCCACCACTAATTTCCAGGACATATGTCGCTGCCAGCACAACGTAGAGTTAGTCACTTACCATGTAGTTTATTATATGGATACTGCATTTCTCGTAAAAAAAACCATTGCTCTGAATCCGAGCTCAGTTCACTAACATGTTCCGTTCGGACAAATATCTGGACTCTTATGGCCATCAGTTTTTGCATGCAGCAGTTTACCATTGATGGGTCCGTCAGAGCGATCGCATCAGCTGCTCGTAGCATATCGGTGGCGCTGCGGTTGGTTAAGCAATTAAAAATGGCTGCCGACGTCATTTGTACCGCGGAACAGTTCATTAAGGCGGCTAATTTCATTGTGTCCGAACTAGAATCCTTTGACATCGCCCACGGTGCAAGGAGCGAGCCGCTCATAAGCAAGGTGCTGTGAACGCGATCTGATGGTAAGTAAAAGCACAGCTTTTAAACTGACCATGACCATACGCTTTTATAGGTAAAACTATGTAGGTAAACCGGCGTTTTGTAAATCGGTGCGTCGGTTCTCTGTAACCAGGAACGGCTTCAAATTAAACCGATTTGCACAAATATTACCAACACCGTTCGAGTGCTTTGATTTAACAGAGTTAATACTACCTAATTTAACTGATGCAAGAAGAAATCATATTAAATATCATTATACTATATTCCTTCATTCCTGCATATTCAGACAGCTTTCATACGAAAGGTACACGTACTTCGTATATTTGGGTCCAGCATCATTGCTGAAATTAAACTGGCTCCAGTATCGTGCCCACCCAAAACAATGCGCTTCTTGTCCCCACCAAAAGCTTCAACCGTGGCGTACAACCATTCGAATGCGGCTTTGAGATCAGCTAACCCCCAATTTCCCGGCGCAACGCTATCCTCGGTGCTTAGAAATCCTTAAAAATATTGAGGAATGAGTAAACATGGGAATTTATTATAGATTCTGGAAATTACGTCCGTCAGCATAGCATAATTAAAACTTGTAAGCTTTAGAAGTAAACTAAGAAGATTATACGATTACGAAAAACAGGGGAAGATTATACGATTACCAAAAACACCAGTTCGATACTGCACGGGTACAACGATAGCCGGAATCGTCTGCACTATGTTTCCAGCTCCCTTCTTTTGACCACCGAGTACTAAAAAATTTCAGAGTGCGGTAAAACAATGGTAAAATTACTGTTATATCTGATTAGTTACGAACAATACGATCGGGGCAAAAACATCATCTATAGAAACAGCATTATAATATTATAATTTTATGAACTACTAGAAGACAGTAATGTACGTCTACTGTACATCTTGTGATACATTTCATCATAAAATTTAAATTTTACGGTACGTGTTTTTATAATAACCATCGCCTTCGGCTCCAAACGATCCATGAACCCAGAATAAAACAGGGTGCAAGAAATTGCTGCTGGCTGTTGGGGCAACCGGTGGGACATATACATCCAGGTAGAGACAGTCCTCGTCCATTCGGATGTCCGGAGAAATCCTAGCACTCTGCCAGCATGCCGGCCCGTGTTTGTCGACATTATTGTTGATGTTACCGTAATACGACAAATCCTCATTCAGAATTGGATTCTGGTATGCGAAATCAAGGTAAATTATGCGTGTATTAAAAATACCACCGGAAAACAGAGGTATTAAATTTCTCAATACATGTAGGAAATAAATATTATGAATTTTTCTGTACTGAGACATGCTAATACGCAAAAACCCACAAATTTACGAACTTATAATTAAGCTATTAACACCCGATAACTTAATGGTGCATGACATAGTTTTGTGGGCAGGGGCATATACGTCGTATCTACAATATATATCTATATATGTATATCATGATATGAACGGTTAAGATGTGGCAGCTTCAAGCCTTCAACGATTCTTTTTGATGGGTAGATTGATTTTACAGTATATGCTGAGTAGGATTTTCAGTACCACTGAAATTCTTCTTTATTTTAATTATGACAACTTACACTGAAGCGCCTGGCAGAGGCATATTTTATTCCCGGATAGACCCAAGCATTCCACCCAGAAACCGTAGTATTAATTAATTCCCCAGCAATGAGATAATTTCCCAGTTTAACGTTCCCTTGATATAAGGCATTCCAGTCAATATTCGCTCTAGTGGAACAAAAAATTGTAGAACTAATAATTGCAAATAATTCCAAATTTATAAAAGCCATCTTCAGACTATAACCAACCCGGCGTACACAGTGATTCCATATAATTGCATGCAGTAGATATATATAGAAAATAATTCTGCCACAATTTTACTGAAGCATTGCCGTAATTATTTGTTTACTTTAATTTTGTTGTTGTTAGATGATCTTCATAATAGCCTTTGTGTGTTTGCACAATAGGCAGCTTATAAGCCGTTTGCATGAACATGTCGACGGCATCAGTAAATAGACAGGATTGCTGGAAATCAGACGGCACGTCATCACTGAATATACATATAGTGATGACGTGCTATTAGATTTGGTAATTACACCAAATTATATTAACAACTGTTTTACATGTTGCCATATGTAGCGGTCAACGTTCTTGACATCCGGAACATCAATGTTGCACATGCTACATATAAAGGAAACTTTAATTTAAAATTGCAGTATTGTTGTTGTGCGGTATTGCTGCTGTGCAGATTCTGCGCCTTATATGTCGCATCTGGCACCTTTTTGGCTTCGTAACACGCATTTCGTAACTTACTGTTAGGGAAAAATGCCGGTTGGTTTACAACTTCGGCACTAGAAAGTAAGAAAAAACCCAGCCTATCAGAAATGAGTTCTACCTTCGCTACAGAATTTGGATTAAAGTAAGTACTTATCGTATCCGCGATTATCATTACAGTCGTTATCAACCAAAAGAGAAACCAACTGTAGTTTTTCACTCCATACCACAGCTGTACAGATGATACAAAGTGCGGACGATGGAACGACACTGAGCGTCCAGGTGTATGGGCCATGCTACGTATTCAAAGTGTAATAACTTTTGCAAATCTGGTGTTTCGCGGCTTTGCATTCTTGATGAATAAAGTTACCGCAATACTTGCAGTGCATTTCAGGAGTCCTAACGAGAGATTTGTGTTCGGTATAGGTTGTATTCTGTATAGGCCGTACCAATGCAATATCAGTATCCATAATATAGACTATACGTATGCATGTATTGTACATTCTTATCCCATACCACACGTATATGAGCATGGCGTATGGTACTACGTGTGGTATTTCCTCCACACTGCTTCAAAGTGCCGATTGGGCGAAACTAAAGAGTGTTCGGGACATTACGGTACACGTCAAATTTGTATGTTTATTTCTACGATATGTTCCTCGCGCATGCCGCCCGTAGAAGCCGTAAATGTAGGACTTTGCAAAAGCAACAAAATCAGAGCTCATAATAAAGCAAGGAACTGTAGGTTGTTGCTGGTTATTGTACCGAATAGTCTTAATTATACGTTTATGCATTCATCAGTTAATACTATTTAACGATTATAGTATTTTTTGGGTCTGCAATCATGGAAGACGGTATGCTCCTTCGATTTGATTTAATGGTCATATAAAATAATTTGTAATGCGTAATGGAAAATGCAGAGTTGCTTACTAGCAAATTGTAATATCAAATTATTTCTAATTTTAAAGTGTCATAGTATACGACATCGCTTAGGGCGGCTGTAAATTACCGTGACGTCATAGTGGTCATCGCTTAGTACGAGCATTTCGGTCGAACTTATTCAGCGCGTTGTCTTTTATGCCAGATTACGCCAGTCCGTGGGACAATTTTCAAAGCATCGTCGCCAGTGATCTCGGAGTACCTGCCACCCACATAGACGGATCGTCAACCTATTCCCAGCATGGTGGAACATCGATCAACATTTTGTCCACTATCCTAAAACTGCAGCAAGCCGGACATGCCGTTACATTGGAACAGCTGATGCAGCAAGATCTCAATTCCTTGATGCAGTATTCTGCACCATCCGGCGAAAGTGGGCCCAGATACAACTTTTCCGTGCGGTACTTGGAAGATGCCGAAGAAGGATTTGTACACCAGGTCTTCGTTCTAATTGGGGAAAGCTTCACACAAAAATGTGAAATGTTTAGCACCGCTGGAAACATGACAGTCAATGATTTTGTGGATATGTTTAAAACTTGGTGGGTGTACTTTTCCAAATACAGCTTTGCTGTGGTGGATGAAAAAGGGATTCCCAGAGCCGCCTCTCTCAATGCGGATCAGGTAGACTTGACCAACGCACCGATTGACAAAATTCATCCACACTTCGTTAAGATTGGAGAAATGCTGGACGAGATTACGAAACCTGCCGAACATAAGTACAACCCTGAGCTAAAGAAAGGTACGTTGAATAAAAATGGAGACTTAATTAACCTACAGTAGGGAATGAAGCAACTTAAAAGCGTGAATTTTGCAGGGCGACATCAAAGTGTTAAATGTGAAATACTGTTTTTTAAGCAATCGTATGCATAACGCGTGAGACTGATAATTTACGAGCTGCACGAGCTAAAAAATTTTATAAAGCTTATTTTTCAAGAAATCTGTGTATAATCAGTTACTAGTAACATTTCTAGGTTGTGCATAAATAAGCCTAGCAAATAAGCAGACAGTAAAATTCGCTCTCAAATGTATATAAGTTAACCTTCTCAAAAAGACGCAAGTTACTTTAGACGCGCGTGTACGGGTAATCGATTTATGTGGAATATCTATCTAGCGACACGAGTCCTACTGATGTCAGTACCTTGAAGTAATGCAGCGCAAAAGAGATATCGAAACTATAAATATTAATACGTATCACATATTATCTGGCGTCCACTGCGTGCTTTTTTGAGCGACATTTATGGTTTCTCTGGCCTTATGAATAATAAAACGATCCTTAAAAGCTTCTAATTGCAGGAATCGTTTTCACAAAACTGTTTGTTGGGGCATCGGTGAAAAATACACCGGAAGAAAACGTTGTTCTTATAAACATGGTGGAAGTGGAAAACAAGCTTCTGGCGGAGCGGTTGCGCTTTCAAATTACTCTTGCAGAGAATGCAAGTCCGGTAACGCAGGTAATAAGACGACTACAGTAACATTTATGGTTTCTGTCCAAACTGAAGTTCTTACAATTATATACACCTCATCTTACTGTATTACATGAGGTTCACTATAATTTTAGTAGTACGAAAAGTAGTAAGTACCATTAGCGCGCTCAAAGTGTCGGAAGGGAAATTTTGCACACTGCAAGGACAAGTGCGGTTTGCGACAAACGAAAATTTAAATATCATGCTGTACATAAATCGACTAGAAAAGGGAAATATCTGAAATTTTAACCTGCAATATTTGCTAGAATACGCTTAGAATTCTTATATATTTATTGGGTTTCGAGGCTTGAGTAAAAATAATGTACATTTCATTGCCTTGCGGTTACTTTTCAGGATATATCCGCCCATTTGGGATGCATTCGGTACGGCGAAGTTTATGTGAATAAATGGAGAGATTCGACAGGAAACATACCGTTTCCTACATGTCCAGATTATTTCAGAATGACTGTTGATGTATACGAAACATTCAATTTTCCCGCCAAGAAGAACTAAAACTTTTGTCTTCCATATCTCAGCAAAAGGTTTTTAAGCTGACTGGTTTCAACGGATGTTGTAACCAGTCGCCTTATAATTATGAGGTATCGAGACTTAAGGTTTTTAATTAGAAATCCATATTTATTCCGCCGTCATGAACCAATAACTACTAGAAATATACAAAAACAATGTCGGACTGCTATAATAAGCGTTAATCGTGCTTAGCAGCTGCACTCACGACGTGATAATTTTATTGGTATCGAATAATTATAGATATGTAAACATTAGGTGTTCTTGATACGTACCATATACTGTATGATGTAAAATGCATAATTATAATAATATGTAGAATATCACCAAATTTCGTTGTCTTTGTTTTAATTTTGGTATTCACCGAAATTTACTGCTCAACTGCTCTTGGTTTTCCGTTATCTGCACCATACCCTTAGTTCTTTAGTCTGGAACACTATGTTGAATCGACAACAGCCGCGCGTATCCAAAATTGGAGAAAGCAAGTTTCTTTGTCGCTGTTTACGTTGCGCTATACACTTTTACTCTCCGTGTTAATTAATGCTGCAGGCTACACCATGTTTTCGTATCGTACGCTAACGGGTCACGTTTCCCCATTTTCAGTCCATTAGCGGGATTTTTGCAAAATGTGAACCAGCCTACCTGCAAAGCGCAACAACCTGTGCCTAAATACCTGGATAGCAGGCACATCAACAATTATTCGCAACATGAACGCCTGTACTTACTCCCACACACTGACGAACACATGCAGTACGTAGTGTCTACCGGAAGCTACTTGAATTCAGTTCTACAGTAACAGGTGTCGAGTTAATACGCAAACCAAAATTAAAGATTATAAGATTTACGCTACGTCAACATAAGTTTGGATGAAATAATTCTTTGAAGAATTAATATCTCGTAGGGTACATTTCGAAATGCATATTATAATCTGTGCTTTTACAGTAATTCAGAATCTGCCTTGCAATACATTATGCGGCGCGCACTAGCTGCCCTAGAGTTTAGACAATTTTTGTATACGTGTACGCACGGCGAATCGTACACGTAAATTCCATATCGTTGTAATGCGCTCTAACAGCCTTCTATGAATAAACGAACCTAATTTAGGGCTAAATAACATTTGCACAAAGTATGGTTGTTAGTCCATTTTGCGTTTTCTACTTGGGAGAACATTTTCCCCCAATATTGGGATGTAAGCTGCCGAGTCGCCAACGAGACTTTCTTCCCGGCTCTATGGGCCAATCATTTAAAGGGCTAATCAAAACGGCTACGGAGACTGCGCCTAACGTCTGTGCCGCTGCATATGGAGTATTGTATATCTATGTGTGTCCCTGCGAACACGATCATAATCCCTTTTATGTGAACGTCAACATCAAAGACTCATCAAATTAGATTCTGTTCACATCAAAAATATAATCACGGGATGAACACTAAGTATGGCCTGATTTTTTTAATCAGCTTTACAGCGAAGTGTTGATGTAACATGTCCAGGTCTGATGGTTGTACACACGAAATGGTACAGCATGGCGTCAGATGATCATGACCTGCCGGCCAGTATTATGATTATTACCGTTATTGTTATTGTTACCGCTAAACGTGGAACCGGATTTTCTTATCTAAAAAATTTTCAAAAATACTTCGTGATATACGCTAAATCTCATAATTAAGATCCTGATCCATCCTTGGTACTGGAGGTAAGCCACGTCCAGTTCTGTCCTCTAATTACCGTAGGTGATGCGTTTTTCATAAAAGAGCGGACTTTAGATTTGCTTTAATATTTTGGATTGTAGACAAACTACAAACTAAGCTATGAAAGCTTCAAAGTTTCGTTGATCCTTTACGTGTGTGCTTAGGGTAATGTAGTAGTGTAAACTGTCGAAATGTAAGTAATCTTGTTTGTCGTTTAATTGTGAATATTGTTATACTGACCGGTTTTAATGAGGCTGTAATATTATCAGGCAAACTCGGGCTGAGGCTATAAATTTAGAAACCCTCTAGCATTACTACTGCGGTGCTTTCCTGGTGTGTTATGCCTTGGGCTAAAAGAGGATCCTGATGATCTGCAAAACTTGAAATATGGATAATATCTCCCGTTTTGTCACCACCTAAGACCGCACGTTTTCCTAAATATTTTCCAATGTTTATTCCAGATTACGCACATAGGAAATTAAATAGCGTTCAAATAATTATGGATAATAAAGTAAGATTACCATACCGCAAATTATAAGACGAAGTGTGCATATATGCGGGTCGTATTGCGGATGTCGCATGACGTGCATTATAAGAAGTTACTACATCCCCCCAGATGAATTAAAAATAATTATCCTAGTGCACATTGCTTTACAGATTTCACTTATAAATATGGCTATTGTAACGAATACCTAAACTAAAAGTGTTTATCAGCTTGAATCATTATCACCGTTTACCAGCCTTGAAAGCGAAGGTGCAGGGGATGGTCCCCAAGACATTTTAACTCCAAACAGCCGTGAAATGCTATTATTAACGATAAGTATCCAGTTATTTCTATATAATGCAGTTTATTGATAATGCAATTTTTTGCAACGTTACCTGGACAATTATACTCGGCGCAGACGGCAAATGCACACCCGGTTCTACGGCAAGCAAGTTTTTGACGTGCTTTAGACATCGGCGGAGCACAACACGCAGTCTTTAGAGCGGCATGTTTCAATATACTTATGGAGCCCGTTTTCATATACATTTTTACGTCTAAAATACATGGTCTATGGAACTATATTATGGCCTTTTGAAACTCAAAAAACACCCATCCTAAGGACATCTTTTGGATGAAGAAAACATGAGCGCTTTTTTCTCAAATAGAACCGGGACATTTTGAAATTTTGGTTCCACAATAAGTCTGCTGAAATTTGTTTTGCTCCATTAGGGCTTTTTGCCTCAAATTAAATGGATCCTTATAGACGATTTGTGGATTGGTAAGTCAAGTTTACTGTTTGGTTCATGTGCATGCGGCACAGTACAATCAAACCAGTCGGTATTGAAACTATTTGTTAAATATTGTGAATGTACCTGGATAAGATCGGCAGTACCAAGTGTAAAAGGGATCGAAATAACATCATCGAGTATAGTTTGATAAGCATTTAGGTTTGTAAGAGTTGTTTACATCAGTGTAAAGGTTAGCGTTATATGCGCTGCTCGCATTCAATTAATACCTTCATAATTTGCAGCAGCAGTCTTTTGTATGCGTATGCGAGCAATTATGGGCTTCGTAGCATATTTACAGGTCACAGAACAACAGTATGTACCATTTGACATAAATTCGTAACTACTAAGACTAAATAAATATGTACATGGATACCCCAGAAAGTCTTGCCTGTAGAATTTTTGAATATCAGTGCACTGTCTCTTACGTTATTGAAAACTTTTATGGCCACTTTTATCGTTGGGTAATTACCATCGACTACCTATTTTAAATTTGCTTGTTGGTCTGCTAAAATTGTTGACATTGTATCCGAATAAAATAAGCCAAGAAAAGCAGTAAGGCTTTAATTTTTCGAAAGTTAGTATGAACAATTTTGGTTCATGACATAATAATTTATTTACTGTGCGTAGTTTTATAATAATGCTCAAAGAATAAATCAAAATTAAAACAGCATAAAACAACACTGCAGGCCCAGCTCAGGGAGAATTTTAACCATTATTCTTTCGAAGTTACACTACCTCAAAGGTAATCCATAAATCTTTATGGTTGTCGTGAGACATTTTGTAATAGACGAGTAGGATGTGGTTGCAACGAAGAATGAAACATTGATCGATACTCAACCTTAATAAGCACCACTCTGTCAATTCAATTTTTTGCGAGACATATAAAACCTTTAGCCTACATGAAATCGCCATTTGCAGATGTGTTATTACGGCCATATAATTTTTCATGGTTATCCTGCGATTAACAGTAGAAGTATAACTCCAGCTTTTGTATTGTTTCACGGTCAGTGTTTGCACAATTTAAGGGCGGTTTAATTAAGTACATAGTTAGCCTTACTTAGTCAGATAAATTTTATTTAGACTCGCTCAGCAGTATTTCCCAATAATGGTAATTTTTTAATGTTCAGTTATTACAAAATAGAATGAGAGAATGAAAATCACTTGCAAATATTACATATGTACTGATTTATTTTGCAACCACGAAGATATTTTGGCAGCATAAAAATTAACAGCAGTTTTCCGCTTGCTGTACAATTTTTGTTTACCAAAATCAAATCTTTTCGCATATGGTAATATTGCCCACTTTCTTCCCGAACTTATCTAGTTTCGCCACATTAAAAGCGTGGGTGAGCATTAACAGCATACAATGAGTAACAAATACCACTAACAAATCCGGAAAGATTAGTACGGTCTTTACTTTGTTCTCCTTTTTTTGTGTTTATGATAGCATAAGATGCGTCAACGCTTTTTCTTTTGTGGGCATGCATGATCACACCAAACCGATAGCTGCGTTGTGCGCCCGTAATTTACAATTGTTTAGCCGATAACCATGCAAACCGCGAAGACAACTTTTCAGTGTTTGTGTTTCGTACACTGCAGGGATTAACACCAAACACCGGACACATTGTCTACCGTCGATTATCCAATAGCTGATTACTTTCACGGGGATACGATTTCGATTACACCGGGATTCAGTGCAAGCCCGTACTGCAGTCGAGCAAAGCAGTCGCTATATACTCTGTAGATAAATCGTTCCCACAACTTTTATATCATTCGACCTGCATCGTTTTATCCTGCGTCATTCTTCTACGTGCTCAATAATGGATCTAGGCGTGTATCATAATTCCCCAGCAAACTGCATTAAAATTCGCATTATCAAAAGACCCATTCACGGTCTGGGATTTCATTTAAAGAACGAAAATAACAGCGCCGTGGTAGCCGGTCTTATTGCGGGATGCGAAGCGGAAAAAAGTAACCTTATTCGCATCGGCGATCGGATCACGGCAGTGAATTCCATTTCCGTGGAGAATATGCCATTTGAACAAGTATTAGCCATCCTAGGCAAAGTCCCCGTGGAAACACCTGTCATTCTGCTGCTGAAAGGTCCGCAAAATTGTCGAACACATTTGGTGACGACCTTTGCACCGGACGGGTCACCTGTGACGATTCGGCATACGGAAAGTATCAACCAGATCAGCGTAAATGGACTGCAGCCTGACACGCGCCAGGCCGGAAATCCCAAAAACGGTCCGCCTATGAATTTGGCGGCCTTTGGCAATGAACTGCAGGAGCGGTTGTCGCGCATTGAAGAGTTCATTCAGGGAACATGTCGAGTATTAAATGCGGTCAACACGGCTCCAGTCGCTCCGGAAGCCAGTATTGTTCATACGAAAAGCGTTTTGGGTGTGCAGGGAGGCAGGGGAGAGGAACAAGTTGTGGTCAGCCCTCGCAAAGGTCACAATCTTAATGATGATATCAGTGGTACGTCTGTACTTGCTGAAGTGCACGAATATTATAACGCTGCATCTATTACAAACGGTGCCACTTAAGTTCCATCGATTAAAGGTCTTTCGTCCTTGTTTTACTGAACTCTAAAATATGAGACAACGATTACGCTGATATAAACAGAAATTTAAACATCTAATATAATACGAAGTATCTTATCGTACATGATAATAGGGGTTTCATCAATAAAAATTATAGCTTTTCGTATTAACCGCGCAAGGCGATAGCGAATCATTGCAAAAAGGGTTAGTGTTTCGATTAATTTTATGCAGACGGTATTTTTATTTAAAAGAGGAGGCATGCTCTTGCATAGCGCATGTTCTACTAAGAACACGAAGTTACATTATATATATATTGCGTTATATCTATATGTCCAATTGCACGCGTATAAATTAATCAATAGATTTCTCGTACACTGTATTCGTTTGTTATGACAGTAGCAGTTTCATATCATACATCAGACCACTTTAACTTGCAGTTATGGTAGTATTTTTATTGCTGTATTTCTCTTAAATCATCTTGATAGATTGATATCTTGGAAAGTCAAGAAGACCAGACAAGCAAAACGCTTGCTGTGGCTGCTTTCCTTGTTTCTGAGCCGTATAAGGCAGCGCTTTTCCAGAAACGTTCTCAGAAAATTCCGTCCCAGTCTCATTATTGTTTCCGCATGCGTTAATTTTACGCAAGCAAATGTTTGCGGTTTGTTTATAAGCGTCTTTTTACTTAAACAGTCAATAATTACCCAAAAAATTACGGCACGACACTGACAGATTTTTACTAAAAATATGCATTGTGTTATTACATTGTCGGTTCAGATAACGTTCGCATGAACGGTCCTGTCCCGCGTGCCGTATATTCAGCCGTGACTTCCATTATCCCATCAAAAACCGGCGATAATGACGATGACGGCATGGGCAAGACTGTACATTTGGACAACCTGAGCACCGGTTTCAACCAGCTAGCCGCTCGTCGAGGCTCCCGATTGGAGCCGGAATTAGCACTGCATCTGGAAGCATTGCGCTTACGATCGCCCAGTCCCACGCTGGTCAATCGAAAATATGTCAAGTTGCGCAATGTTATGGACGGGAAAACGGCCATGGATACGCTGCACCGTGCCCATAGCGAAGTACGTATGTTAGCGCTGGTAAAAAGACCGGTAAAATTATCAGTTATCAAATAAGCCCAATTAATAACGCTTATGCGAGTTAAGTTAGTACACATGCATTTTTTTTATTTAAATTATTGACGCAGTTTTGATCGTATGTATAATACCCAAAGAGATGTCTTCCTCCACTAATCAACTTATGGTTATTTAGACGTACAAGGTAGGAAGTTCAACTTTTAAACTGTTATGCATCTAATAGCTAATTATAAGCAGCTTTGAATCAGCAGCTCCTGTTATCTCGGCAAAAGGGAAAGGTCATTTGATGACTTCAGACTTTGCATTACTGAATGATGTACTGGATAAATTTCAGAGCGTTGGGTGCAATCATCATCGCTGTACGGCGTCTCTTATGAACACTGCGAAGCCCCAAAACTCTCAAGCCCGATCCAAAGAGGAAGTGCTAATATTAGCCAAAGATTTCATACGGCAGTATTTCGAATCAATAAAGCGGTAAGGATTTCTCGATAATATGCCCAAAGACATATGCATTGAATATTCAGAGTGACGTACGCACCTACAATTACAGTATCGAGATCTATATTGGATATATGTATTGCTTGTTAAATTAAGCAGATAAAAGCTTTGTATCATACTGAAAAAACAAATGGCGAAATTTACTAACTGACGCACAGAAAGCAAACAAATAATATGCAAATTCTAGCGCTCTCGGCTTTGACATTTGTACTTGCAACTCTGATACTCAGAAATTGTTCGTCGCCTGCTTAGTGACGGCTTCTAAAATTTGTATACATTATTATATGCCACATGCGCTGTTGCTCGGAAAGAAATATTGGTTTAAGCGATGGTCATTTAGATTAAACACTCCAGCCCATGAAACAAGATGGGCGGAAGTGGAAGCTCAAATTCGCGCCTGTGGAAGTTATGAATTTAAAGAGCAAGAATTGACGTTCGCAGCCAAAACGGCCTGGAGAAATTCCCAGCGCTGTATTGGGCGCATACAGTGGTCTAAACTGCAGGTATTTAACACCTATTTCATGGTCAACAACATCAAAATTAATGTAGTCGTACCAAGACGTACACTACACGAAAACACAAACAAAATCTTCATCGCGTCTCTTATGAACATTGCGAAGCCCCAAAATACTACGTAGCACATGAAATTTTAAACATCGTAGGTCTGCCTGTACAAAATCATAAACTGCTGTTTTGTCATTTGCATGTATATATATGTAAATTTACTTCAGTGAGCTAATTACTATCTTATGCATAAATTATGTGAGCTTGTAAATATATGTTTAGGTGTTCGATTCACGATTTACGGACACGCCGCGCACTATGTTCCAAGCGCTATTAAACCACATAAAATATTCAACAAATCGCGGGAATATCCGATCTGCTATAACCATCTTCAAACAACGCAACAACCCCGAGCAGGACTATCGCATCTGGAATGCGCAGCTGATACGCTACGCCGGTTACCGGCAGGAAGACGGCAGTATTATTGGTGATCCGGCATCGGTGGAGTTTACTGAGGTCTGAAACAACAGCATTATATCAGCAATTTGTCGGTCGATGGAAAAGTTATTTGTTCTTTTCTGCTAACAGTAGGTAAATATTGGTATTAGGTGTGCCAAAAGCTGGGCTGGAAAGGGCCAGGTGGACGGTTCGATGTGTTGCCCATCATGGTGTCCGCCAACGGACAGGATCCGGAACTGTTTGATCTGCCCCGGGAAGTGGTTCTCGAAGTCCAGATCAAACACGCAGAGTAAGTACACTAAAATAAAAATAGAAAAGCGATTACAGTGTTCGCTGTTTTTCGTGTAAATACGAAAACTTATGTGTGTGATATTCCATGTGGTGACTATTGTTTAGTGTGCGAGAATACTTAATAAATTTCTTTGTTCGACGGTAGTTCACAAAACTTACACCTTTTCTTGATTGTTTGTGTGGGAGAAACTGATAAAAAGTATTGCATAAACAGGTACACAAAACTTGAAAATTTGGGACTGAAGTGGTATGCTGTTCCTGCTGTGTCGAATATGACCTTTGATGTCGGAGGCGTGTTTTTTCCGGCAGTTGCCTTTAGCGGTATGCCCTTTCTGTATATATGCCAAATATTTAAGCTTAAAATTATATAAATGGACATTTATGGAAAAATATTGACTGCCCTTTTGGTTTAATTAGGTTGGTATATGAATACAGAAATTGCAAGAGATTTCTGTGATACCGGTAGATACAACCTTCTAGAGGCAAGTTCCTATTTAGGATAGACCGTTTACGGTCTTTATTTTTTCTGGTCAACCCTACCAGATAAACATGCATTTTAGGATGTCGCCAGCGTTTTTGGATTTGATTCTACTAGAGTATCTTCACTATGGAAAGATCAAACGTTTCTGGAACTTAACAAGGCAATATTGCACAGTTTTCAGGTGAATAACGCTAGTTTTACTCAGAACGATTTATATGACTTGCATTTATATTATTAGATTTATATTTTAGAACGATTAATATTTCTATTCAATGATTTATAAGTCTGTTCGTATCTACTACTTTTCCAAGCTCACGTCGGTAACAAATCTATTAAAACAGGAAACGTTTTACCGTTTTGTGGCGCTTTGCAAAAATATATAAATTAACTATAGGCTCAGACAACCTTGAGGTCCTGACAAAAACAGCTTGATTGTATATTATGTAAACATGCATAATTTCCATTTAATTTGGCATGCAACGGAATATACTTATGCTGACGGTTTTCTTAGACGGCTAATGTAACTGTCGTGGATCATCATTCGGCGTCAGAATCTTTCATGAAACACGTGGAAAATGAGCAGGTACAATTTGTAAAGCGGCCATAACATTAATTTTCATGTCGATTTTTAAAAGTTCTTTTATTTGGAAGTAGCGTAAAACCTTTAAACGAACTATTTCCCATCAGATAATCTTTCTGGTGCTTAAATTATGCAGAAACTTCGTGGAGGATGCCCGGCTGATTGGGTGCGTGGAAAATGGCAATTTTCGACTGCCATTTTCGCATTTATAAGTGACGTATACGTCAAGCATTGTATCGTAGGTTTGGATTGTTCCTCCATTAGGCGGAAGTCTGTTGCCTGTTTTTCATCAGGAGATGCTGAACTATAAGCTTTCTCCTTGCTATGATTATCAAGTTAGTACTTAACAGGCAGCGATATATGCGTACGCATTTTGAATAATATTAATTATTTACTACTAATGTGTCAAAATTTGAGTCTTGTAAAATTCAAACTATAATTATTATGGTGCGCATGAACAAGAAACACCATTTTTTATAGATGGCTCGGGCCAGTCATTTACTTCCTCGTTAAACAATTTACAGAGAACGTTTCAAAAACTCCATACAATATGTATTTGCGTAATTTCTATACCGACACACCTTAATGCGGCTAATAAAAGGAATTTCGTAGGAAGAAGCCTGGCGGGTACACATTTGGAAAAAGGATAAAAATAAGTCGAGCAACCGAAACTCTATGAAGCGTAAATTTGGATTTAGGGAAATTGCAAGGTTAGCGGTCAACCAAATGAAATACGTTACCTTCTGTAGGGCGTATGCGCACAACTGCACATCGCGAAGTGCAGTCTACCGTCGCAGCTTACGGGAAGTTTCGTGATGCAGCATAAGATTATGTTTATTAATTAATGAGAATGGTACGCCACAAAAAATTGATTAAGTGGTCCGTGGTTGTAAATTATTTCCAGCCATTTAAGTGTTTTGACATAAATTTTCACATTTACCACCCAACGACTAGAAAATGAAAGATATACAGAAAAACGTGATCGATTTGACCTTTTTAGAGCCGTCAAGTTTTCGGCTAAGCTAATGTCTAAAGCACTGGCAAGAAGAATTAGAGCGACTATAATTTACGCTACGGAAACGGGAAAATCGGAAAAATACGCCAGAACACTCTTTGATGTGTTCAAGTACGGATTCGACGTGAACGTTATTTCAGCAGAGAACTACGATTTAACACATCTAGAACACGAAGCGCTGATTCTCGTTGTTACAAGCACCTTTGGTAATGGCGATCCGCCCGATAACGGCAAGGATTTCGCTAGTTATCTGCATCAGCTTTCATGTCCGGATGACACCACCAGGTCGGCAATTTTATGTTCCGCAACTGTTTCGAGACTGACTTTCCAAAAATTATTACTGTTTACAATCTTACCCTCTTTTTATTGATTCGGTGTTTTTAGCAAAGCCGTGCCAACATATTCGCGAGTAACGCACCCGTTGTCCACGCAGCGCCCATCAATACAAGCGGCCGAAGCTCCACAAATCGGTATGATGGATCTCGGCGGTCCTTTAGGAAACGTGAGGTAACGATATGTATATTATCAACTGATTAGTTGAAAAATATTATATTTTATCATTGTGGCTTGCTTTGTTAATTGTTTGCAGCGAAAATACAAAATACAAAATAGTTCTTGAGCGACAACTGATTGTTATTTACTGAATGCTTGTTGTGCACGCAATACTGTATAAAGTGCCGCAAGTGTACATTTTTCCACAAGTACAATTATTTTAATTCTAGGTACAATTATTTTAATTGTGGGTATGTTTAGATACGCGGTGTTTGGATTGGGTTCCAGTTCGTACCCGCACTTTTGCGCATTCGCCCATTACGTCGATCAAGCACTGAATAAGCTGGGCGCTGAGTGTATACTACCTATCCACACAGGTGATGAACTGTGTGGCCAGGATCAGTCCTTCAAGAAATGGGCACCGGAAGTCTTCCGGATGGCATGTGATGTGTTCTGCCTGGGTGATGACGTCAACATGGCCGACGCTAAAGCAGCATTCTTCCAAGGCGACAGTTCGTGGACGCGTGGGCGTTATCGCATTCGGACGGTGACCGGGGGTGTGGCCGAAGATATGCAAACCGGTAACTAATTTGCTTAGCTGTTTTAAGCATATGCAGAATCTTGGGAACGTAGAGTCGCAACGAGAGTTTTTAACTACAGCTTTGGCTGCCACCCATAATAAGACCATTCTGACATGCACACTGAGTGAGCGGAAAAATCTCCAAAGTGCCCAGTCCAATCGTCAGACTGTGCTAATTCACTTGGATAGTGCCGAAGATCTTTCATATGTGCCCGGGGACCATGTGGCGCTGTTCGCGCAAAACGATCCGGCCTTGGTGAGCGCACTGTTGGAGCGCCTGAGCATTAAGGTTTCTCCTTCACCGGTCCAGATGGAGGTCTTGGTGGAGAAGCCGGCAGTAGGTGCGTGCCAGTTTTCAATGGTCATGTCCAACTCATGTGCACAGCATTCGTCTTTACAATAAACTAGGGTAGTACTCTGTAGTATAAGGGCTTTTGTGGTTGGATGTAGGTGGATCTAACAAGACATGGTGCCCAATGGAGAGACTACCGTCGGTTCCTCTTAATGTCATCTTTTCATCCCTGCTGGACATCACGACACCCCCATCTCAAATGCTGCTAGAAAATCTGGCATCATTAGCAGCTGATCCTGACGAACAGGAGCGATTAATCGTTCTCTCGAAGGTATCTATTATGCTGTTGAGCCTTTGTAACTGTAAAGTGTAAACGCAAGGTACTGAGTCACGAAACTGGCAAAAGTTATTAATTTTTTTTAAAATGCTAATCTGAGTAAAATTTCGTTACTCTAAACTAATTTAGCCGGAATGCTTTGTATGTACTTTTGTATATAATATTTTTATATGTGGCCCGGAAACGCTGTGTTTTCATTGCTTCATGAACGATTTTTTGCTGCAGAATACAGAAGCGTACGAAACTTGGAAACGCTTTAACTGGCCAACACTAATCGAAGTCTTAGAAGAATTCCCTTCGATAGAAATGGACCCCACCTTATTGCTGGTTGAGCTTCCTTTATTGCAGCCAAGGTTTTATTCCATTAGTTCGTCCCCTTTGGTCAGTGTCCGGCAGGTGCACGCTACGGTCGGAATAGTGACGTAAGACATGCATGGCGGGATCCTTTCTTTTTATACTTTATTGTTAACAATTCTGCTTTGAAAATAAACCAGTTATCAAACCAAGAACGGCAATGGACCTTTGCATCGCGGCGTATGCTCGTCCTATCTTAGTAAACATCCCATCGGCGAAAAAGTGTACTGTTACCTCAGAAGGTAAATACATCCACGTAAATGTATGTAGTTATTTCCGGTCTGTACTAGATCCGCAACAAGGTTGATAATTATTGATATTAGCTTTCACCAGGAATTAATGCTGTATAATAATTTATTTATCACCATAATTCGTTAGTGCCCCGGGATTCCGTCTGCCGGAAAAAATATCCATTCCAATTTATCTCATCGGAGCCGGAACTGGCATTGCGCCCTTCCGCAGTTTCTGGCAGCATCTGCTCCACACATATCTAGCCAATCCGACTGGTCGCAAACCAGAGATAACCATTGTTTTTGGTTGTCGAAACCAAAAGATGGATCACATTTATAAGCAAGAAATTGAAGACCTGCAAAAGTATGGTTTACTACGAAAACTGCACCTGGCACTTTCCCGTGAACCCGGCGTACCAAAGGTAAGTAAACTGTCCTCACTAAAATGTTGCCTGCAAAAGTTGGCGTAGAACTAAGTATATTTTTGAAAGCTATAATCCAGTTGCATGCTTGAACCTTCGAAGTGTTCTCCAGCAGAAAGGCGATGATATCCACAGAATAACCAGAAAGGTCATGTGCATTGGTCCATTTGCTATCTTGTTTAGACATACGTGCAAGATGTCATACCCTTGATTGGAGAAACATTGCATACGGATATTTTTACTCGCGGCGCGCATATTTATGTAAGCAAACGACCTGTGCTGCTAACGCAATTTTGTTTTGATTATTTTACTGCTTAGAGTTCGGGAAGACACATTACTAAGATCGTTTTCGTAGGTTTGTGGGGATGTCGGAATGGCAGCAGGTGTTCACGATGCCATTAAGAATGTCATTGTCGCACGAGGTCAAACTGAGATGGAGGCCGAAAACGTTCTGGACTCTTTGAGAGTAAACACACACACGTCACACATCGTTATTTTCATGTATGCCCCTGCGGTTTCAACATCTGAACGCAATTGATATTTCAGAGCGGAGATCGGTATCATGAAGACATTTTTGGCAACTACAATATGGCTTCCGGCCTCCAGTGAGCCAAATGGATCGTTGTATTCTTCTAGGGGACAACTGTTTCAGCGGCATTCATGTTTATCTTTGCGTTGCGTCATCACCGGGCTTGTTAATTTGGAGCGGGCAACAGTATGTCGCTTTCCAGCCGGAAAAAATGTGAATGTGAAATTAAGGAGCACGACGTTTTTTGATTAGCAGAACTTCGACATACTGCAGTTTTTACTGTTTTATTGGCTAGTCTTGGGATAATTTGGCTGAATACATTATCCTTCTGGTAATTAATTTGCTGCATGTATTTGCCGGCAGAGCTTTCTATAAATTAGAGAAAGAACATATGTATGTAGAAGTGCTAATTTATAAAGCTTGATAACGAAGCACAAGGTGTGTTTGAGTACTGCTGCAATATAATGCACCCTAAACATGACGCGGAGGTTGCAGAGCACGGATTATTGGCGGCACCCGGCCAGTTGCCACTTACATTGTTAAATTCGCTCAACTGGCGTCGTGATTACCAAAATTGATAGTTGTGGAGTACAAAGAAGTAGAAATTTTGCGTCCTGTTTTAACCAAAAGGTATCGAATGCAGAACAAGTAAACCCGGCTGAAAATTTGAGAAATCTTGACGGGTATATGCCGTATATCGGCAAAACTGACATTGATTCTGCTAATTTCTGTACCATCATTGTCCATCCAAATTTGCAAACTGCTGCACTACTGCACATGTTGTAAACTGATACTAAAGAAAGCTGTTTGTATTTGCTTGAAGAAAAAACCAGTACGCGCACAGATGCAATAATTATAAGATAGACCTATCTTTCGTTAATGCATCAATAAGTAACAATTTACTGTGCTACCATGGAAGCGCGTTGTAAGCGCTTACCACGCGTCTGTCTCTCACGCGCGTCAGAGGCGGAAAAACGCCTGTCAACACATAGGAATCGTAGGAAACAGGAAAACAGCTGAACCGCCGCGGGTTTGGCGCATTTTTAATACGCAGATTTTGTACCATAGGCATAGGGTAATACCTGTATGAGCCTCATTGTGCGAATTATGCTCTCCAATACAGCTCCCTCGACCACCGGAAGAAACAGCCTGAACATATATATTGCCGTCTATAAAAGGACAGCATTCACAGCAAACCGAGCACCGAGCAAACCTTAAGAGTACTTTACTTAACTAACCGGTAAGTTAACTTAACATGTTCGCGTGATAATTAACTTACCCATTTATGGTGGTAAGTACGTTACAACTTGCAAGACACAACGCAAATAAGGTTCGTTTTCAGATTAGTAGTCACAAATTTGTTTAATCCGAAAACTGGGCAATGGTGGCGGAGCGAAAACTGTTGAACGGAATTGGTTCAAGCGGATATCTGCGCATTAAGAAGTAACATCCTCCCCAAGCGGTCCACTTAACCACAAGCCGACAACAAAATGCGGATTTGCATACAGTAGTGCTTATGTACCATTAGTACTCTAGGTACTACTAGGTACTAGTATAGGTCTCAGCAGCCCTAAGGGCAAGCAAGCGAGCGACATATAGACATTTTTTGCAAAAACAAAGATAGCATCAAGGATGGCTCCCATATTGCAGCTGTATGTAGGCGTAGGAGTGCAAGCCCTTAGCATTTTTTGCTTAATTCGGCAAATAAACAAAAGAAATGGCGCACGAAGCAACGTGCAAAATGATTAGTATGTTAATTTTTAAACCCAGTAACACTGTATGATGATTCCTACCGACATTTTAGTGTATGTTTTTAGTGTTAATGCAAGTAATGACTTGTCTCAAAATTATTTTCTTAAAAAGTAATATTTCCCGTGGTACATAATATTATGACAACATTTAATACGACTGTAAGCCTCAGTTACGTTGTGCAAAATTATAATATTGCACCGATATGTCGGAGATACGAGTATACCGACAGCCTTAAATTCTTTGTTTTATTCGAAAACTAACTGCTATCGATAAACATGATTATTTAATGTTTTCTCGATAAAAACAAATCAGCAGAACATATTACGGATGATTAAGAATCAAGATGCCACCTCCAATGTGGGGAAGTGCTGAAAGTGGGGCAAAGATTTGTAAAATTATTGTACATAATGTAGAATGTGGAATAACGCAAATATCATCATTATCATTTCATCAAACAATCTTAATTACTACCAAGACGTCAAGGTTGCGATGCCGGCTAACGTAAGATATACCTTAACGATATATGCATCTGGGAAGCACTGTATCTGTACTGTCGAGTCAACTTGGCATTTTTTTCATTCGGCGAGTTGCATCCGATTTAAATAGGATATAACTCACTGTACAAAACGGTGCTGCCAAGTGAGTCGACAAGAAAATGCCTGAAGATCTTTCTCAAATTCCTCGAAAGAAGGGTTTGCATCCTTCTGGTGTTCGATATTTTCTAGAGATGGGAATACTATATCAGTGATAACGACTTCTAAATCAGAAGTTTCGATTGCCCCTTCCATTAAACATTATTCTTAACACTGACCTTTTGCACATGGTTAGCTTTTAAGTTCATAACAATTTAACAACAGTATAAAACAATGATGATTTAAAGTCGGAATATGCAAATAATATTACGTTCACATAATATTGGACATAATAATTATTAATTCAGAACGGGTGCCTAAAATAAACACTCTGCGAAATGGGGTGCCTATAATAACCAAGGATTTTAGGAGTTGCCCATAACGGTTTCCTCAAAAATATTCGGAAATATTCAGAAATAAATTGAGAAATATTCAGAAATATTTAAAAATATCTAGAAATATAATCAGAAATACTTACAAATATTTAGAACTATATTCAGAAATATGTAGAAGAAATTAGCAATGTTTAAAAACATGTGGAAATTGTTGGAAGTATTTTTCAAAAAGTTTAAAATTATTTCTAGAAACATTTAGAATTATAAATAGAAAAATTTGGCATCTTTAGAAATATATTTAGAAACAATTAGAAACATTCAAAAGAATTCAGCGTCTTCCAGAAATATTTAGAAATAGGTAAAAAGTTATTTTAAAATATTTAGAAGCATTTTAAAAATATTTAAGAATATTTAGGAGAATTTAGCAATATTCAAAAGTATGTAGAAAAGTTTTTAGAAATATTTATAGAATATCTTTAGAAATATTTTTAGTAACACTTAGAAATACATATGAAAATATCAGAAATCTTTGAGAATATTTTTAGAAATTTTTAGAGCAATTTAAATGAATTTAGCAATATTTGGAATTATTTTTACTAACATTTGTTAATTATATTTGGAAATATTCTTAGAAATGTTTAAAAATACTAATTTAATTCAAACGCTCGTTCAGAACTTTATCCTTGGACTTCGAAATCTTTATTAAAAAGTTTATTCAAAACTTATGTCTGGAACATCAAAATGATGTTGCACAATATCTACACATAGCACTATGTGGCTTTGGATGCAAAATATGAATGAAAATATGAGTTTATGAAGTGCACTGTAGTCATTGTTCAGCCTTTTAGGAGAAGGTACAGTTAACACTTCTTTTTCAGTCCAGAGGGTTAGCGCTGCCCCTTTCATGATTTGTTAAGAGTACTTAAACTGGCCCCGTACAAGTTGTTCAGTTAAACGTCACAACGTATGATGCGGTGCATTGTCCATATATATATAAACCAAAGCATAGCGTAGAATTTGTTGTAAAATTGTGTTTTGGCCACGACAATTGACCACAGCAAATGATACATTTTTTCGTTTAGTCTAACATTCATCTGTCTTTCAAAAGATCAAAATTTTTGAATTAACATCCGGTGACGGGACCCTGGTTAGAAACACTGAATTTGTTTTAAGATTAACAAATTATTTAAATTTATTTAACTTTTTTAGATATGTAGTATTTTTAAAAATATTTGAAAATATTTTTTAGTATTTAAAAACATTTCCAGAAATATTTAGAAATATATAAGGAACTACTGGAAATCTTTTGCAGAAAAGGTTGAAATATTTAGATAAATTTAGCAGTTTTTAAAAATATTGAACCATTTTAGAAACATCTTAGTAATATTTAGAAATTTATTTTAAAGAAATTCTAAAAATACTTTGAGTAATATTTTAAGATAATTGCATGCATAAGCTACATACAACTTCTGCAAAAGCAGCATAATAAAATCCTAGATTATCCTTTTCGTACATCAAAAGTCATTTACAAACCAACCCGGATACTTCGGTTGGACTCGCCACATTAAACTGTACCAGAAAAGTGCAAAATCCCGGTGGCGACCTCGGGGAACCCGAGACCTCGAACCCGGGGACTGGGTTAGACTTGCCACATTAAACTGTACCAGAAAAGTGCAAAATCCCGGTGGCGACCTCGTGGAACCCGAGACCTCGACCCCGGGTACTTCGGTTAGACTCGCCACATTAAACTGTACCAGAAAAGTGCAAAATCCCGGTGGCGACCTCGGGGACCCAGCGACCTCGACCCCGGGTACTTCGGTTAGACTCGCCACATTAAACTGTACCAGAAAAGTGCAAAATCCCGGTGGCGACCTCGGGGACCCAGCGACCTCGAACCCGGGTTCTTGGGTTCTTCGATGCCATTCGACTCAGCGTGTCGAGTTGTGCAGGTTAGCAGCAAAAAGTCAGCGGCGAACCCAGGAACCCGGGTTCGAGGTCTCCGTGTCACAGAAAACTCAAATCTCATCTATAATAACGCAAGCTCGCTTCGCTCGCTTGCTTGACTAGTACGTACTAATAATAAATTTTTATTTTTTATAACTGTTCAGCAAATCAAGTTCAGCTTTCTTTTGTTGGCTTTATTGTTCATCGTTGACGGTTCTTGACAAGTGAAACTTTGTACGACATTAGTTAAATTTATTTGTTGCGGTGTTCCCTGTTTGCGGAATCATGGAAAGCGCTTGGACTTTAGTCTTCGTTTGTTGAGCACCTCTATCGGAACCGTTGGTACTTAAATTAATTCCGCAATCCAAGCAAGCTCTGGCGGATCTGCCGAATTCAGTAAGTCTGTCATTTTCCTAATTTATGTGGTTCGAATAAGGACATTGCGGGCCGATAAAATTTAATGCGTAAAACCAGTGAAACATAGCTGCACTTTATAGAGAACTACCTACGTATGCGCAGCACGCTTTTATACTTAGAAGACTGCTTACGGTGCTTACCAAAGTTAATTTAGCACTATGTTATTGGTATTAAAGGTGAGAGCGTGGAAGGAGAACTATTTCACTACTACAGGAATCCGCGATGCCAAACAGGAGCTTAAGAGCTGGCACTAGTTCCAATGGGAAACCGAACATCGTCGCTGTCCCGCACTCCAACGGCATTGCCACTCCAGGTAAGAAATACACAATCTACAATGGTGCGCTCAGTAGCTAGTCAGGTAAAAATATTAAAATGCCTTTTTCGTTGTGGTGTATGTTATTGTATGCCAGAACTGCAGTTGTTGCTCCAGTTTGGCAGTTGCACGCTTTTGGGGGGTGTCAGATTGCGTAAACGTGTATTTTCGTTGTAGAGGACATTCACCGAGATCCCCTCAACTTCACGTACGTCGGCATCCACGATCCGTGGGCCAAAGCCAACGAGAGTGACAACTGCGTCGCCACGTCTTCCAAGAAACCCGACAGCAAAGCCCCTCGCGTCGGCCACACCATCTACGCGCTGCAGTTCAATCCGCAGCCACCGGCCGATCTGGTAGGCTCCTACAAATACCTCGTCGCCCTCGTCACCGCCGAGTTTGTCATTCTGGTGCGGGTGTCGGCCGACGGGAAGGCTTTCGAGCACGTGGAAGTCAGTATCGTTCCCAGTCGCGTCTCCGCGGCCGAGACGAAGAAGGACAAGAAGGACAAACCCTCCACCGACTGCAACGAGGATCTCTACACCGTCCACTGGATCAAGGATCCGCGCTCCTTCAGCACGTGGTCGGCGGTGGCGGTGGCGGGACGAAGCGGGGTGATTCGGGTTATTGACTACTGTGCGGCGCCAGCGCGCTCCGGAGCGCTGTACGGACATGCGGGGGCGGTGAACGAGTTGTGCTACTGTGAAGAACATCCGCGCTATCTGCTGTCGGCGTCCAAAGACCATACCATTCGGCTTTGGAGCATTGGCTATTTGACCTGTTTGGCTATCTTCAAAGGCGCTCAGGGACACACCGCGGAAATCATTACATTGGATATGCACATTAACGGGCGTTATTTTGTTTCTGGTACGCGGTTTTTATTCCGCTTTGTATTATACTTACAGAGTTACAGTCAGCACAGTAGTTGGAATTTTTCAAATATATCCGTTTAATTTTTATCCGTATTCTCGGGCATACATTTTTGGCTCTTGTTTCTTTAACATCCGTGTCTCTCTTTCAATCTTTTTCAGACTATATTTGCATTAGTGAATTTTTGCGTTTGAATTTCTTAAAATTTTCCAAAAAAAGAACGATTTTTCTGTATCCAACAATTTTTTGTTTTTCGTTTCAGGAGCGTACGATAATTCCATAAAAATATGGAACCTTTTTGGGCCGGATAATTCGACGTTGTTGGAGGTTATTCGGGTGCATGCTGTTAAAGCTGATATTCACCCAGCCCTAATCGACACGCCTGTATTCTCCGTAAAAGATGTTCATGACCGCCAGATTGACTGTGTTCGGTGGATTCATCAGAGTTCCAAAACCTACTTTCTTATGTCCAAAGCCAGTGATGAGCGCATTAAGATATGGACACCGAGTTTGTCCCATTCCAGTAAAACATCCGGCATTGGTTCGGATTGGCAGATCTGCTACACGTTGAACATTCCAAATAGTAAATTCTGGTTTGTGAAATTCGACTACCTTCGACACCCTTTCTACAGGCTGGCGATCGGTGACGATCTGGGTTGTATCAAGATATTTGATCTCTTTGCACTGGCGCACCAGCGAAAGGTAGGTGGTGCAGTGTAGGATGTAGTGTAGTTTAGCATTTTCCCCTTTTTCATCTTCTTCAAAGGGTTGCGGGAATAATATGATATTATTCTTGCAGCAGCATAAGCAGATCATCAAAACGAAAAAGAACAGACCTAGTTCCCCTAATAAAGCTGTGGTGCGATGTGTGGCATTCTCGAAAGACGGCCTGTTTCTGGCGGCGGGCACTGACGAGGGAATGATACACATGTTCGGTCTCAACGGCATCCCTGCAAGTAAATCCAACAACAGTGCACGGCACGGCGTTACTGAATCGGGATCCGAGGACGATATGGAAGACTACTAAATGGAATGGTGTAAAGTCTGATTTGATTTCTACTTTCATGCATTTACTGCTCAACGTTGCCGTTATACCTTGGTTCGGTATGTATTGTATTTATTTGTAATCCGTGCCCGGATTTATTAGTTTTTCGTCTGTTACTCTGTTATACAAGCGTTGTATAGATACGGTGTGTTATTCTTCATTGTACAAATGCGATAGTTTAGCTACTTAATTTAAGAACTCAATGCCTTGTCTTATTAAGACTTACAAAATTGACACCCTTCTTGGTTTATTCAAGCTACTGTTCTAGCAACCAAGCGCATCCCAGAAACGCAAAACTTTTGTGTAGTTTTTAGACCTTAATACCCATCCTTCAGGACCTTCTAGTGACAGGTACGTGCCTGTGTCGGGGGAATAGGAATACGATGGGTTAGCAGAATATCTGGAATGAAATACCGGTTGTGTTAATTATAACCCTATTGTCATTGCAAACGAGTTTTGAAAATTGGCAGAGCAGTTTTGGCAAAGCCTCAGGATTGCAGTACCCGAACTGTATGGCGTTGCGAACCAAGTTGCGCATTTGAAGCGATATTTCCGAATACGACTGCGACGAAGTGGCGATTAAGTCTGTGGCCAGTGCTTGACCAAATAGGAAGACTAAGTCCAGCGTATGGAACGCTCCTGTTAGAAAACAAAATATTAACACTTAGCGGATGCCTGATGGTAATGCTGCTAATTGCAGAATGAAGAGGCAATTTTTGCTAGATGTGTATAGGTATACCGAGTGCTCTCTCAGGAGCAGTTGGTAATGTTTTGCTTCCAAACTTGCTGTATGAAATGTTGTACAGGATGCTTCCGTTTGATGCCAGGTTGTATTTGGAATATAAGGTCACCTCCCTAACGGCTGGTATAGCGAAGAATAGATCCGTAGCTATCTGCATGATAGCGCTCATGAGTACGGAAAACGAATAAAACGAAACACTAGGTTCCTTATGACGATATGTTTTTGTTACAAAGAATCGTATAACGTTAATAATATGTGTATTATGTCACGATCCGTACTTCTCTCTGTTGATAAATAGTTGTTAGTCTCTCAAAATTTAATTGTTCTGCTGGATGAAGCGAAACCCAAACCTCGATAAGTTTTCTTCGAGTTTCTCCCGACGACTGGCTTTCTCCCAATCCATAAAAGTTGTAAATCGACTTCACAATTTCAGTTGGAGGAGATTTGCAGCGTAAGAGAGAATGAATGGAATCCGGATATCTGTGGAAAAAAATTACATTTTTTAAATAATGATTACTTAATATGCAAAACTACCGTTTCCTAAATGACGTAAGTTGCAAGTAATAATTCATCATTAGGATAGCTAATTCATGCATTTAATCATTATTCAGAAAATACGATTTGATTGTGTCTCTGCACAGTTGGACTGATACAGTGATACACCATGCATCACCTTAAGCTTTTGTCGACATACCTGACCTTTGGGAACCAATCGACCACGTTCAAAGCATTAGCGCTCTGCTGATTCCAAAACACTAAGGATTTGAAGACAGTTAAATGTTTCAAAACTAATCTGAAAAAACTTTGATGAAATGCTCGATTTTTCCAAAAAAGAATCCCGTACATTCAATGACAAAGCTCGATATACCTGTGCGTGGTGATGATTTTGAAAGCGCACACACCGCACAATCAGCACTTACGTTCGGGTTGAAGTAAGATACCGGCATCTCTAGCCAGGAATCCATTGGTGTAACCTCCAGGTAGCTGCCATGTCCTAGTGCTTAACACTTTAGCCGGTTCGTCTTTTATCAAAATCCCGTCAACAGCAGGAAGAAAGGGTATGAAATACTGCAAAGAAAATTATTTTTATTATTTGCCGAGAAATTATAAACATTTATGTACTCCGATGAAATTTTGTGAAAGAGTTCACATATATATCCTTTCCTAAAGTTAATTAGCAGCAGTAACTGCTGTTTAGATTATCACCTTTCCTAAACTGGTGAGGTTTGACGCGGCTTGCATTACGGTATTGGCATCAAACTGTAGCATGCACTGCAGGATCGCATCCGTTGAATCCACTGGACATGCCAAAATTTTCGCTAAATCAATGGCCGAGTTTAACGGAGTTTTCGCAAACGCCCAAGGCGCCAGCGCTGAGCCGCTCATTTGAAGAACTCCGTGGACCAAACTGGCTGTAAAATATTGTTTTAGGTAGTCATAATAAAGAAATAAATTGCACCTTTTTTGCTAGTCAATTAGGGCAACCCACCGCCATTATCCGGATCCAGCATCAGATAAGAAGCCAACGCAGCACCGCTGTTATGGCCTATAAGTGTGATAGAATTTGGATCACCTCCAAAATTGCTAATTTGCCCGGCCGTCCACGCCAGTGCCAGCTTGGCGTCATAAAGGCCCCAGTTGCCGGAAATGGCGTCATCGCCAGTGCTGAAGAAACCTGTTAGCTTAAAAATTATTTTTACATAAATTGCATATGTATTTATAAGCAGCATGAGAATTCATAATCACAAATACAGTGTGCAAAAATTGGGTAACTTCGTAAACACTTTGCAGTTGCACTACCAAAAAGACTTGAATTATCCATACGAGTTACTGTATTAATTTTCAGACTGACTGCTGGTAATACCAAGCCACCTGGTAAGCAGTCATAAATTACTGGCATAGCTGTGCCGCTTGTGCGAAAACTGCACCGTTCAAACGAACTTAATTTACCGAATGGTCCCAATCTGTAATTCGGAATGACGATCACAGACTGCAGGATGTTGGACAAATTTGCGCTGGGATACATATCTTTGCTACCACCTAAAAACAGTTTCGAGAGTCAGTTTTATCCACTCAGATTTAACTAGCGGTGGTTGTTAACCACATTATTTCACGAGCGCGAGCGCCAATACCACTGAGTAGTGGTACTGGGTTTGTGAAATTGGAAAGTGAGCCATGACGCTCTTCGTGGTGTCAGACAAATTTATGCTCTTGACGATCAGTTAATTGCAGCACATCGCGCTTCGCGCTCGGTGCAAGTAAAAACGTGTTTACAACAACCACGTCTGCATATTGCATAACATGGTTTAAGCACGAGCTAACTAAAGTAATCACAACGGTGCACCTACTAGGGCTGCTTACCGATTACCGTTAGCCGTGTCTAATGTCTACGAAGGTTCTGAGGTTCACAACAAATGAATGCGTGGGAAAGAAAACGACAATGATTTGGCACATTAAGTTCTAAGTAAATTCTTACTGGCTTTTCCCGGTATCCTTACTTTTGAATGCCCCTCCATGAAGGAAAACCATAACCGGAAATTTCTGGCATGCCCCTTTTTCGTCCGTCAAGGGACCGGGTGGAATGTAGACATCCAGGTATAAACAATCCTCGGATATTAGATTTGGTTTCACGCCCGGCTGAATGCACTGAAATCCGGTCAGCGGCACATCCGGTTGGCCATAGTAGGAAAAATTATAATTCGGGAGAGGCGCCTGATGACCGAATGCAGTTACAATTTTCGTCGTAAGTTTTCTCTCGAAAGGAAACTTTCGTACTTTAAATCTACTGGCTGTTCCATATTTCAGACCATAATAGGCGAACGACTTCAGATCGCCCTTCCAGATCCACGTTGTTGTTGCTGCTATGGTGGTGCCGGCAATTTCGACCGCACCGCTTTGTCCCGGGCAGAGATTTGGCGTGCGTGGTGTAACGGGTGCCTCGGTAGAGCTTTCAGTTGTGGTGGTGGTAGTGGTGGTGGTAGTAGTAGCCTCCGTGGTTGTTGTGGGAGTTGTGATAGGGATAGTGGTTGTTGTTGTGGTGGGAGTGGTGGTGCTGTTACGAAGAGCCGAGGATTTAATAATTTAAATGTAATATTTACATATTACACAGTATAGTTACACAGTACAACGAAAACCTGCCCATTTTATTTTAGAGCGCGTGCTGAATCAGCTGATCCCATTAATGTATGTAGAAGCCATCATGTACACTGTACAGTTTGCCAGCTTCTTCGAGATCGACGTTTTAGTTTTTCTCTATTCTAAACAAACGATTTCAGACGAAATAAAAATTTTTCGTTTTGTACTGTATTCGTTTTTACAAGTTATACAGTACTGATATAACTGTGTCACTGTGTGCACCGCAAATGTATGGGTTTTGGCGACGGGTATTAAAACGCGCGAAACTTATATTATGAGAAAAAGGGCCCGCTGCAACAAAATGTTTATAAAAGTGACACAAACCGCGTTTAATGTTCATTCTCGAAGCTGATTAACAATCCGTTTTAACAATACTAATATAAAAGTTGACCGCGCGGTTTATATACGTATGTTCTTAGGTATAACTATTTATACGAATAACCAAGAAGCTGATCATGAGCAATTTATTATAGAAGTAGGGCTACCAATTAATTAAAACTACCCGTGATTACGTATTAAATACCTTACAGCTTGCTCATCAGTAAAATAACTACAAATAGAGCTCTAGAAGGTATTAGGAAACTGACCAGCCTACCGTTAGACTTTTCACATCGAAAGTAAACAAATAATAATTATTTAAATACGTAATATAAGCATAGCTATCTAGCATAGAAAATGCAACACCATACGACCGCGACACCGCCATGATACGTATAAGTAGTTTAGTTCACCTTTCAGTTGTCGTAGTCGTTGTGGTCGTGGTAGTTGTTGTCGTGGTGGTCGCTTCCGTTGTAGTGGTGGTTGTCGGTGTGGTCGTCGGCTCTGGTGTTGTTGTTGGTGTTGTTGTGGCTGCCGTGGTTGTAATGCCGAATAGCCAGCCCAAATTGGAAACGATCTGCCCAATGCCTTCCACGTTGGCGGTTAGGTTAACGCGGGGAGAAGTAGAGGCGATATCAGAACTTTCAGTAGTCGTATCGCATTTTGCAAGTTCTGTACATGAATGCGATATCCACAACACTGTCAACAAACATTTATACATTCGCGGCATGGTTGGTTATTCGATAAATCGCAACGGAACCCGATTTTGTACACAAATTAGAATGAAACTGTTTCGTTTTCCCAAATTTAAAAATCAGGATAGGGTGCAGGGTTTGGTTACTGACTATACAATTTTACGGGAAGGGATTTGCCGATGGCGGCTCAATGCGTTTAAACTAGGTACGTGCTACCTGATCGAACCGCAACGAGAAAAAAACGCGAATTACTACTTTGTTTGCCCACGTGCTAATGAGATATTTTCCATAACGCTGCAATTATTGCGATGGCCGTGAATGACACACCGGTTTGAGGTACTAGTATCGTGACGATTATCGTGTGAGAAAAGTATTACGGCATTGTTCTTAATTGAATAATTGACAGTGCATTAGGAAACACGGTAAACATCTAACAATAAGCAAATAACCGAAACGTGCAACACAGACCGGTCATGGGTAAAAACCGGAATGCATTCGTGCTCGACACATTCTTACAATAGATTTCTATCGTTAGAAAAGTACTGCGTATAATTAAAGCAACAAAGCCAACTTCGAAGAATTTTATTAACTTATACAACGGCATTTTTTACGATTGACTGTGCAGTTATGGACTTCTGGTCTCTGACTGCAAATGCAGTAAAATGATTTTGGCGCCACATCCGAAGTGTGAGTCGTACGGTAACAGCGCGTACCAAACAACTTTCTTGCCTTGAGTACAGCACAACAAACAACAGCCACGCAAAAGCTTTAAATTCTTAATGAATGGCCACCGTGTAGAAATAGTTTGCCATGCCTGTTTGAAATAGTTTTTGTCGTTATATTCTGTAGCGTAGTTCAATACGTTATGTACACGTGCACTGCATTTTGCCTGAGGTTTAACAACTGATGCGTAAATGTCTGCACTCTGCAGTCTAACAGCAAGCACTGTGTTTTTGTGATGGTCAATCAAAAGTTGTAACGGCAGCGTACAAATATAAATTGCATATTGTGTAAAACGAAATTGTAATCGTCTTGGCAGTTGTAATCCGCAGTTTCGCTGCCAGTATGTGATAAATGAAGGGATAATTGCATTTGGAGAGGATATCATTTGCGACAGCAGGACCAAATCAACATCAGGATCATTTCTCAGCACTATTGGTTTGCATTTCGTGATCAGTTTAGGATGCAGCTGGACTGTGGCGGCCACTCCGTTCTCATTTCTGACCCACACTTCATAAATGGTGATAAGGTCACGACCGCTAACGTCTCCAGCTAGCATTATCAAAAGCACCAATACTGGAGCTTTCAGTGTGAAAAACATTAAGCATCCTGTTTGATATAACTGCAAAATTTTAAATTTTAGAAGCTAACCGAAAACTAATCGAAGTAATGTCTTGTAACATTTCTGTGTAAAACATGTATGGGAACATTCTAGCGTATTCTTGAAGGGGATGAGTCACTACTGCCGCCATTGACTAATGCACTGAATGAATAAATTCATAATTGTTAAGAGAAAGCATATCCATAACAGATGAGGCGGATGTTTTATGAACACTGCAAGCAAATACACCGACCGGCAATGGCCGATCTCATATTATGGTGCAAATGTACAAATAGTACCGCACACAGTAGCGCCGACACTCCGCTGTCGGGTTAGATAGGAAGGGGGTGGTTTCCTCGACCTTATGTTAGCCAGTTACAAACGATGAGCTATCCCTTTATCTGTTTTATTATAAAATTCGTCATATAGTCCAAGCGGTGCCATTAGAGCAGATGTGAAATCGTGACTAATAAATACGAAGTACACTACGTATGTATGCATGGGGATGGCCGTAGCATACCATCAATTTTGTAAAGCTGACTTGCACACAGACTTGCATGCGCTAGGGTAGGATATGTGAGACGATAAAATAGCCATTTATCGTCCAGCGCGTTCACAAGCCCATTTTCGCCGAGCGACCTACATAGTGCAAATATTAATACTACTCTTTCACCGACCGGAGCTTGTGCATAAGTGGGAATTTGAGATAGGATTTTCTCTCTATGTATAAACGCGTTTATCCTTCGTGAAACTGCATCCAAGTGTTACCGCAAATTGTTAGCTTTTGTTCAAAATTTGCCGGATGCGAAGGAAGCGAACGATACTTATTACATTATTAATTAGTAATGCCGTGCGAGTTAGTGTGGCGATTTCGGCTGCATTTCCTTACTGACGGCGAGCAAAGCTGATATTCGTCTACTTTTCTACTAAATTTATCTATCATTGTGGGTATACAGTGAGAGTTCTTCTATCCCAGTCTGTGTGAAATGCCCTGAACTTGCAATTAGATAAGCAACCAGCACAAATCCTTGTGCAATATAAATATACCGTTGACCCAAATAGTAATAGTTCTGCTGCTTGCGTAAATCAAGGTTCGACCGGAAACGAGCTCGATTATTTTGCCTCTGCCAGCACCGCGCCGTTTATTAATCGCACAGATTTTACACTGGAATGACTGGATCACTTGCTGCGCCGGCATACTCGATGAATGAACAATCAGTGGATAAGAAGCGATTTTCAGGTAAACACCCACTTGAAAACTTTTAGCTGCATATCTATACTTTCAGTACCTTGCACTGCACTCAGTTATGCATAATGAGGACTTTACTAGTGTTTTGCATCGTTTAAATTTCACGATTTATTATACAAATTGAATATGGACCATTTCATCGGCATCTTGTTGGTGCATTGGGTGCGTATATACCGGTATGCTGCTTCATCGATGACGCAGCGATAGAGTTTTAAAAGTTTATGCAAGCGATTATACCCAACAAAATTTTTATTGAGCGTTATGTAGAGACCCATAGTAGATTCACTGAAGTTGGTTTGCGAGTAGGGTAACTTTTGATTGGACACCTTTGTGTACTTTGTGTAGATTTTAACAGCTTTATAAGTAGACACAATTCCCGCTTTTAATCTTTCGTGGCGCTGTCCGCCATATTTTGTGTCGCATAAGCCTAGCCACAATATGCAGAATACCACTTGCATTTGACTTTTGGGGCATAATACATATTCATTTAATTTAATATACACATTGATACTCGTATAGACTGATGTCTGCGCATGCGCCACTTTTGCAATTATGCGGCGTTAACCTGAATCCCGATTTTAAAATTCTGTACTCGTAGGGTTTCTTGTCAACATATCTTCCCAAGTTTTGCCCCAACACTCCTGCGGTTGTTAAGAAATTGTAAGACAATTTTAACTGAGTTCACGTACGTAAGTTCACAAGTACAGTAAACATTTACTATTTTCCAAGGTCTCACTGCACGTTTGATATGAGCATGCCAAAGCTTTTTATGCAATAATTGACAGTGAGGTTGACTGATACCGGCATCTAGAGTTGTTAAACGCTATTTTAAACATATAAAATTCATTTTGTAAATAATTACGTAATTGTAGTGGAAACTTGACTTACTTAAAGTAATTGCAAAGAATGAAAAGAATAAAAATCTAAATTACTTTGCATATGTAATTAGTAGTATCAGACAGCAGAAGGCCAAATGTACCGTGGAAATTACTCGTTGTTAACAACAACAGCTGCATTAGACTTACAGTGCATTAGAATTGTTGGTAGTACTGGAAGTAGTAGTAGGAGAATTGTTGGTAGTAGCAGAATTGTTGGTAGTTGGTAGTAGTAACTCCACTAAATTTTAATAGCAAGTATCCAGAGAAATCAAATTGCGTGAGAGATGAGATATTATTTTTCATCCTGTCACGAAGCGGTATTATTGTATGGCTTTTTTTGTGAGTGTGCAGGAAGGATAAATGCGTAAATGTGGAAGATTCATCTTTTGGCATGTTGATTTTGTCGTATGATCCCACAATCTGATTTTTCCTTCCTTTTCCTTACAGACAAATATGCCGCTGATCCAGCCACAGACTACAAAGCCATCGTGACTGTGATTTGTCAATCCCCTTGCTAAAAGACCCATCGTTTTTCCGCGTATTTGCACACCGCGTCCGTTGTCCAATAAAAGAGCAAAAAACAGAACATGGATAACAGCAGCACAATGGGCCCAGCGCCATTCACGCCGCCCACTGAAGCATCCCCGGCTGTAACGGCCGTTAGCACTTACCATCCCTACGTGGTCGGCGGTGTATTTGGGCTAAATGCTCTGCTTTCCCTGGGCTATTTGATTTATTTACTTCACTATCGAGCCCACAATCATATGGGTGGTTTGATATCCGGTCTACTGCTCCTCACATTCTTCTTCTCCGCCATCCGTGCTCTGCTCATCGGGCAAGCGTTTGCAACTGAAATCCGTCAGATCCTGGCGTGGACCGACAGTATCCGGACGGTATCGATTTGCTCCATATTCGGGTTGGCCTTTATTGCCGTGGTACGCAGTGCCGAATCGGAGCTGGTCAAAGCCAATATCGCCAGCAAGTTGGCGTGCATAGCGTGCATTCTGGTTAACTACGCGATTGCCGCGGTTCCCACTATTTTATGGCACGTTAACGTGGACCAATTGGTCGGGAAAGCCTTACAAGTGGCCTGCGACATGTACTTTATGACATTGCTCTGCATCATGGGATTTGCCTACATTTTTATGCTACCGAAAACTTTATCGATGGGGCGTAATGCCAAGGCAACTGCCATCGCGCCGCGGCGTATCCTAACCGCGGCACTGGTGGGATTATTAGCGGCCGTTGTCGCGCTGGTGTATGTGATGTTCCTGTCGATGGGATTTCTAACCGAGCGGTTAGGGATTGACTGGAGTAAGAGTGTGATGAGCGATCAGTCAGTGTGGTCTGATGTGCTGCGACATCTGTGCGCGCTGGGCACCAGCGCAACGGAAGCGATTCTCACTGGGCTGTTGGTTATCTGCGCTGTCCTGCTAATCAAAACACCGCACTCTTCGACGCCGGAATTATCACCGGCTACAGCGCCGGAAATGCAGGGCTTGCTGTATCCGGGACGCAATACAATTAATAATCCGACGGCAGCTTATCGCCCTGCCCATGCTGTCCACAGTAACGGCTACCATCAAATTGATTTATATAAGAACGGCAAATAAAATTAGCTGGTGTGGGAGATACACGTGCTGCGTATAGACTATGAAGAGAAAATCGGATCGGATCTGGCATTCCATGGCTGCACCTCGTTAATCGTTTACTCTTTGGCTGAACTGTGTAAATCTGTGCTTACATCTTTTTGAAAAACATTAACAGATTGACGAAGTATGTGGGCAAAGCTATAAATGGAATTAGACTATAGAAGGAAGTAGTGAAAAGGCTGTTTTGGTTTATTAATGTGATATCTTTTATCTCCGTGTGTACCGTCGATATCTTATTAAATTGCGAGGTTTGCAATTTTCCATGTGCATGAAAATCAAATGGGCGAATAACAAACTGCAAAGCATGCTACGGCTCGCGATTAGCAGAAATGTCGCCAGCGGAAACATTTCAAAAAATCTTTCCTGAACGCTGTGGTGCTCTGTTTGTAGAAAAGCAAAAAACCTTGAATGAACAAAGACAAAACATGATATAAATCTAAGAATGCAAATTAATCATGGGAATAAAGTTGATTTAATTATGAGTTGACATGTTACAGTAGAAGCTACGGGCTACCGTAGATTAATTATTACGCATTACTTCGGACAAGACTTGCGTTATGATTGTCTTCGTCTTTAAAATGACAGCCTATTGAACATCCAATCCAAAGTCTGAGTAACAGTACGGTATATGGTACAATGCTGAAATTAAAACATATAATTATAATATACGTACAACGTACTGTACCTACGTAGATTATTGTACAGTCATAACAAAATATAAAATTATACAGTAAGTACCTATGTACAACTGCACCGGCATCGATGGTAGGGAGCACAGCTTTATGCAAGATGTCCACATATGTGAATTAGGTGAATTAGCCTGGGCCCTATACGACTATACGTGCTTACGAGAGCCGTAATTTTTGTATAAGTAAAATAATTTTATTTATAAGAGTAATCTGATTTGAATGAGTTAAGTACTTGTATTCAAGGCGGAAAGGCGGGGAAGCATATATATGTGACTCTCCCAGACTAACAAAATCGTGGTACAGTTACTACAGTATGTACTACGTACCGTAATAAAGTAACGAGAAAACGATAAGAAGGCAACGAAAGTTATTCATGCAAAGAACAAACGTCTACTTAAGGTTAGGAGATGGGAAATGGGTTCTGGTCACTTCAGGCTTTTTTTGGAAATAAGTCTGTGGCAGATGAATCGAATCCAGAATTTTAGTGGATCGCGACTCTGACCTTTTGAAATCTTGTCCTCCAGACTCCAGAGAGCCGAATACCGACTCCAGATGCACCGGAAACTCACGATCAGAAGACACAAAAGGCTGTGTTACTTATTGTTAATTAATTTCGAATTCAGGTATTGTATAACTATTCTAGTGCTGCAGTTTTTTTGTGTACAGGGTCTTAACATTTGAAATGCAAAAGTTAATCAGAGATCCTTAGTCAATAAAACCGAAATACTGCTTTGTCTAACTGCAGTACAAAATGTTATTATTGTACAGTTTGCACTCGTACAACTGTACAAGTGCAGACTGTACAGTATACCACCTACACCTGTGAAAGATAATCTGAATCCAACCGCACAGAGTATTAATTATTATACAAAATTTTTAATTTATTCAAATAAGTACATAAATAACATAAAACGAAAGAGTACGAGTGCAGTACATTGCACTATACTATATTTCCCAATACGGTAGGTGTGACTTGTGACGTTGTGAGTGCACAGCTGATCCAGCCGCAGACTGATCGATCCAGGCACGAGATGGTAGATCAGTACAGACTTCAGTACAGACTGTACTTGCTCGTATGATCGTAGCTATGTTCATAACAACTGTGGAACCGGTTTTAGCCAGAAAAGAAAATTTCTTGAATTGTTGCGGCCTAGCGTAGTCGTCGAGAACGATTCCACGGGCGTGGTGGTACTTCGCTGTCCTACTTGTTTTAGCTACGAATTCTACAGGAAAAAAGGTACGCTTGAAGAAACGGGCCAAACGGCTGTCAGTTGGGAAGCAACTCCGGTATGGTTCTTCTCCTCACGTTCAAGCACATTAAGAATCGCACTTTGTAGTTAAATCACTGCAAGCAGCAAGCCCACTCAACATGCCACCGACGGAAGGATCTGAGAAGTACTTTGTCGGCGTGGAAGGCGGCGGTACCTCCTCGAACGCCGTCCTGCTGAGCAGCAAGGCTGAAGTGCTGGCCACCAGCAAGGGCGACACCACCAACATGTGGAACATCGGCATTCCAGCCACTTGTGCAAATATCTGGGCCATGGTTGTCGATCTGCGCAAGCAGGCAGGCCTGCCGGACGGAGAGAAGATCGCGGGAATTGATTGTGCCTGTCGGGTGCGGACGATGACACGGAGAACAAGAAACTCGTGGATGCCCTGGACAAGGAATATCATCTGGCAGAGCAATATGTCATTGAGGCGGACACCATTGGGTCGCTGGCCACGGCTCTTCCTGATCTGTCCGGGATCGTTTTAATTTCAGGTAATTAATGAATTGCAGTTTGAAGTTTTGGTTTTGCTGTCGTAATTTTTGTCACTGCTTTGCGTTTTCCTTTGAGTTTTTCGGTTTATTATGCTTATTTGTCATTTGCTCCAGTGCGCTTTAACTAATTGAGTGAATTTTCAATTTTTGGTGGCGCAAACGCGCCTTCTAGACAAACTCGTATGCGCTGTATGAATCAGCAGTTTTTGCCTTGAAGTCATTTCTAGAACATTTTTGTGCAAATAATTGCTCACGTTATCTGCGTGCTGCATAAGCATAGATAGCGTAAAGTAAACCGCATATACCGCTTGTCAAATTATCAATCAAAGATGGAAGTGGAACTCATTTGTTTGATAATGACTTCCTTATATAATATTTTAATTCTTATTATTGCCTTATTCATTAATATTAATCAGCAATGAATTATTGCACTACAGCTAACTTAAGAGTTTTCGTTCTGTTAGAAATGTTTTGTTTCCGATGCGGCAAACCGTTGTTTCAGCATATTATTTCACATCCAAAGTATGGATTTCAAAGATGTAGCTTATGAACAGGCACCGGCTCGAATTGCGTTTTGCGCAATCCGGATGGAAGCACTGTCAAATGTGGTGGATGGGGTCATTTACTGGGCGACGAAGGCTCGGCGTACTGGATAGCCTTGCGCGCCGTGAAGATTCTCTTTGACCATGACGATAATTACCGTTTAAGTGATTTCAACGCGGATAAACTGCGAAAGCATGTTTTCAAATTTTTCAACGTGAAGCAGCGCTCCGAAATTCTGCCGTATTTCTACGCACCTTTCCAGAAGTCTGCTATTGCCAATATGGCAGCGGCCATTGCCGACGGAGCAACCGAGAACGACCCCCTGTGTAAATTTTTGTATCAGGATGCCGGAAAACGTCTGGCACAACACATTAAAGCTATTACGCCGCACATTTCCCATGAGTTGCTGCAGAAAAACGGCGGAGTCCCGGTGGTTTGTGTGGGATCTGTCTGGAAAAGCTGGCAACATCTGCATGATGGTAAATAAATCGCATGACAATAATATTATTAGTAATGCTAGTTTGAAGCACGACTGCTGTGGAACTTTGTCACTGCATATTATTGACTATGATAATTTTAGTGTGTGCTTTTAAGCAATAATACCAGAAAGTTTTTACGACAATCTTGCAAACCAGTTCGATGAAGAGGTACCCAGAAGTGGTTGTAATTTTTTGTGGCGTTAGTAGTTTTTGGATAATTACAAAACGATTTTGAAATGAAAACAAAAAAAGCTACTAAAAATAATGATGTTGTTTGAAAGGTGATTGGGTTGTTTCTTTTAGGCTTTTTGGAAGGGCTCGATCACTGTATTCCGGCTCTTCGTCTAATGCGCCTCAGTGGCTCATCAGCATATGGCGCGGCTTACTTAGCTGGTTTGAAGTACGGGGTGCGATTGCCCATCGATCATCTTCGCCCCACTGAATTGTTTTACGAGTTCGATGGCGCTACTTGCTCCTTGGAGGAGAGCAAAAAAGATGCGCTGGATCCGCGAACGCAAGCACACTGAGGAATCTGTGTTGGACGATACTTAGTACGGTGTCCTTCCTGCCCGGCTTCGATTTTCGTGTTTACTGAGAAATCTATGTTTTTCCTTTACTGCTAGAAATAAGCGCTTTTAGTATACTGCTAGTGCTCGGAGCAGCTTTAGCCTGAATTTTGTGTTACTTTGTTCTAAGCATGCAACAGCTGCAATTTCAACGCATGCACGTTGTAATAATTTTGTGTTTTTATTCTTTTATCCTAACCGGTCGCTTGTTAGGTTAGGCACGTTCGTTCTAATGGAGGGATAATTGTGGCTAATCATGGTAAAGTGTTCATGATACCGGTATTGCCAAGCGTAACAAATTTTACAGAGCTTAACAAAATTTACAGAGCTGTAAATTTATTCTTCCATTTTGCTATCTCCTCGACTCTTGAACAAAATACTTCTGGACAAAGGTAACATCTAAAAAGGACATCTGACAACTTCCTCACAGAAAGAGTTTCAAATGCGCATCGAATACAAAAATTCAGCTCCAGGCAGAGTTAGCCAAAAACTATAGCGGCAAGCAGTCCACTGCAGCAGCGCAACCTATAAAAAACAAACATGTAGCGGGAATTTTTCGGCACAGAACTAAACCATAAGGTCTAAACTGCTTCCTAACACGCTCTCGTTCGCTCTTGCCTTTCAACTGGCCTCGTCCTATTCAATACATTATGAATAGACAGGTGGCGAAAGGCGAAAAAACTTACAAAAACAGAAACATATCACATTCATTAAACACTTACTATTCGCGAATCCTGTGTGAGATGTAAAAGAACCTTCTGGCTAGAAACTGCAAAATGAAAGTCAACAGTTAACTTCGCAGCGCAACAGTTTTCGAAATGCACAATCATAGTGCGCGAGATAATTATCAGATCTGAATAACAAAAATCAGCATTGTTCTCTAAGTTGACGCGCATGAGTTGTATCATCACTAAAGAAGCACACATAATTCCACATTAAAAGAAGCGAAAAATTAAGTATTCACCTTATCTAATCCTTCCACGTTAGCGATCTGCAACACAGAACACGTTATGTCCTGCACCTATGTAGGGTGTCGTCTGTTGCGCTTTTTTCGATTTCTTCAAGTTTTACACATTACGGATTAACAAAACTGGTTGTTAATTAGTGCCTCATAGAGTGTGGGTAGCAGTGCTCAATTCAAGTCATCACACCAGCGTTATCGCCGATATGCTCCTGAACTGCTAATCACAGGCTTTTAATGGTACGAGTAACCATCACATCCCAGAGCAATCACTTTAAGTCAGCATGCATATAATATAACTGCCTACCTTTTTGACGACCAATACAATAAACTGAATCTGGTACGGCAGCCCACAGAAGTTCCTAAAAAGAAGCGACATCAACACGACCGTTTATTCTATGCCACATAGGAGATTCAAAAACAGTTTTCAGGTAAAAATAGTACTGTAATCAATGCGATTCATGCAAGAGGTGTCAACTCATATTGCTTCATCATATTAGAATCGAAGAAATTATTTCAGGAAGTGTGGCTCTCAAGTCTCACCTGTATATGAATAGTCGGCCAAGCACCATGATGATTCAAACAACAGCAAGTACCATTCATCAGGTCTGCACAACAAGAGAATTTTCAATAATGTAGAGTCTACCAAGTGATAAATGCCCACTAATATAACATTATAACGGACAATCAGGGTTAAAAAGCTCGATTTCAATGCGTTTAACATCAAAAGGCTCAGAAGTTATCTGTCATCATGGATAAAAGTTGGCATGATGTGGCGAAGCCAGAAGCCTACCTAATGCATCCGTTGTGAGACTTGTGACAAACCAGTACTCCGGCAAACCTGCAATAATCAATACAGCATTCATTAATCCCAGCACACCAAATCCGAAGAGAGAATCAATGCGTCAAGTCATTGTACCAATATCAGAAGAACGAAAGTGAAATTTCCATGACACCCGAAAGTGTGTCAAATTTGCAGGATACTCATCCCAGACACGAATGTCAAAATATCTAGAGAAAATTTGATGAATTCTTACTTTCCAGTTTTAATCTTCACTTAATTGGTTTCCGATCCGGCCGAGACGCCTGTCATGCTTGTATCGACACCTGAAAAAAACAACGAAAAATCTAATTACCCATCAATGAAAGTCGAAAATATTTCGCAAACTTCGTTGAGAATATCAGACGTGCGCTTCTACACAGCATTTCAGGTCAACGAGACTAAGAATTCATCCAAGCAACACGGCAATGACCACCCAAAAAGATGTTAGACCAACCTACTATCAAACGCGGCTTCCTTGACAAAGTACACAAGGGCAATATCCTCCATTACCAGTTTCTATAAAACAACGGTTACTAAAAAATTGTGCGATTTCTAGAGGATGGGACTGGTAACAATGACAAGGGTCGGTTCCAGCACCGAAGGCATGAAATCACCCGCCAACAATCTTCCTCCATAATTAGCATATATGGTATCTCCAAAAAGGAAAACCATACCAAGAAAAGAGGGCATTTTCTCTGTTTGTCTATTCCGAAATTCTTACCTTATCCTTTCATCACGCAAACCAACAAGAGGGATTCTATGAGGATGCTAAAAAATCGCAAGGTCAGAACGCTTTAAGAGCTAACACAACGCTTTTAGCGCCATACTCGATCTCAGACATGTTACCAAATTCAAATAATCACAGCGACTCATAAGAGGTGTCAGAAAGATTTCATCCTTAACGCTAAACGGCGAATGGATTACTACGGTAAAAGTGTGACTCACCTGTTCTCAAACAGCCATCACTCGTGCTCCTAATTTTGTAACCTAAAAACAGGCATAACATCACCACCGGAATAACGCATCCACATCCCTATTCCCTACGTATGTTGTGCTCAGAGACAATACGAAAAATGAACAAAACAGAACTGGCGAATTCCAAAAATATATAAAAATTCCCGGCGCTCAGTATGTATTTTGTACTTCAGAATTCTGTCAGCGACTCTAGTTTGAGTCATCAATTGCGCCTTATGCAGAGACAATTTTCATTAAACGCTCAAGGAAGTTCCATTAAAATAAATAACAGCCCATTAAAGCACTGAGTTGCCGCAGGTTGCGCAATCAGTTGGACCATAGTCAAACAACACCGGTATCGAAGAACCAGACCGTGGGTCTCTAAACACAGTGAAGAGCTACTTACTGAAATCTCTTGAATTTGTCCACGGCTAATCACGATTAACAAACCGCAGAAACATTAACGATAAAAAATCTGGCGTAACATTGCGAACAAAAATTACACACCTGTCACAAGTAAGTTCAACTCAACAGTTCCAATTAGCAAATTACAAATAACACCATACGGTCCATACCGTTTATGGAGACCTGCTACACTGCTGCCGACGCCGCGGGTTGCCGGTTGCTGATTTCGTTCAGGTTCCCCATTAGCGCTAATGGAACAAAATTAAATCACAAAGAGATCGAAGCTAACTGGAAACAAATCTAATTAAATTGATTCCGTAACCGCTTCAGACTTAATATTATGGTCACAACCCTTGAAGGATTCACAAACTCTAGCCTAAGTTCATCATATTAGCGGCCCAAACGTGTTATTAGGAACTGTGTTCTTCTCGTAGACGATTCAACTTCCGTACTCCAACACTTACCGGCACCGAATATGAAATTCATGGTTTCCTATTTCACACAGGGACCGGTTCTCCGAGACGTTCAAACAGCAAATTTTCCCGGCTGTGTAAGCAGAAATTCTCGCTTTAAAAAAAGTCTCAAAACCATAATCGCGATTGAACTTTGTAAGAAATTCGTGTGATGATCAATACTACTTCAAAAAATCAGAACCAACAGAAACGAATGAAAATGGCTAATTACTCATAAAGTGATGATAAACAGAAATTTTGGTTCTCGAAGAAAAAATGTGCGGTCGCGATTTGGAAGGCTACGGTATGGCCCAGTTGGGCCGTACGACTGCCTGAAACCAGATACCGTACTGTGCTGTAGCATGATATCCAGCTACCGAAACACTTGATTGGATCTGCTCCACGAGAGGCGGCGCTACACGTACGCTACACCATATGTTCACAGTCACACCCTATTATGTACCTATTAAGGCCATGGCTAGTTTGGCTTTATTCAAGAGTCAGATGAAGAAGGTCGGTTTTTTAAGTTTCTTGAAATCGTATTTTCTTTTTTGATACTTTGTTATATCCAGTTTAAATTGAGAAAAATTCACAACTTAAAACCGGAAAGATTGGCTTTAAACACACAGTTTAAAATGTGAACTGAATAAATCACGCTAAAAAATTAACTAGTCTTCAGGCAACCATACAGAATTTTAGATAGACCACCCAGAAAATCGTAAACGTAGTCCTCCTGCACCTTGCGAGGGCTTTTTTTGAAAAAAATTTTGTAAACTTCACAAACTTAAAAAAACACATTTAGGGTTTCGATTTTCGTAAATAACTTGAGTTAAAACATTTTTTTTCAAAATCGCTCTCGCAATTATACTTCTAAGGCATTTCCACACCCAATGCATCAAGTTTAAAAATTATGTTAGATCGCCTGAATTAGGAGTTAGTTTTCAAACTTTATCTGGTGCAATTTGAACGGTAGCCTTCGAAAGTTCATGCAAGTTTATATCACTCATGGGCATGTTGACTGTTTCAGCCCACCACACATATCAAACCATAGTGACTATCCAGACAGCCATTGCCCGCTTCTTACCACACTTGAGTGTGATCAAAATCTATTGTCTTTCGGTGTTTGCTTTGATTCCGCTGACCAGTGCTGTTTTATGGCTAGCAGTAGAACAAAAGATGCGTAGCCCGATTCTGTGCTCTCCATTGATTTCATCGCAGGTGCGCTAACTTGCATATGCGTTCGTAATGGTGAGCCGGGCCAGTCACTGCTAGCATCGTTACTCAGTTTAGGCAGCTAACTTAAAAAATTTATATTTCATAACCCTGGAATTTTATCACTTCAATGTTTTTACCATCGGATAGAGCAGTCTTCAATCTGTAAAGCGCCTTACTTCTGCAAAATGGCCTGTTATGAATAAAGCCGAACTAGCCATGGCCTTAAGTACTAGTACTTTTTTCCATACTCATATCAATTTTATTAACTTGTAATTCACTTAAATATTTTACTTGTAAAATAAAATAACTTTTTTCTGGGTATAAATACGCCGGGAAGCGTCAGAACTTGAGGGATGCATTTCAGTGCCGGCAAACACTTAGTGTTTGCCGGTGTACGAGTATAGCAACTACTGTTGTCTTCGTTTTATAAGAGTACTTACGTTAAAACTTTTTTTTACAGTATGCTGTGTAGTTTTTCAATTATCAAACAACTGTTCACAGAAAAATTTCACAACAACTTCAGAAACGATCACATTAAGCATCAATCGACAGAGGCGGCCTAATCACAGAGAAAATTTGGTCTAAAACTTCATCGTTTCCGCTGTTCGGTTAAACGAGCAGCGGAAAATACAAAGAACGGGTTTTAAGGACCAGAAATCGTTTTGTGTAATACGAGTACTTCTATATATGATACAAGCCCAGCACGGATGAATATTGGCCGATGACTATTAAAAACTAAGTAATTCCAAGGATGTGTTGCTTTGCGATCGCTTACAGACTGTCATAATAATTATTAATAAACCCGTACGTATGTTTAGTAATATTATGATACACTTTACATAAGTTAATCGAAACACGGACTGTCCACTTGTACATACAGTACATAACTTGCAATGATCACTAGCGTGATGATGACTAACGTGTTAAGTTAAGTACGTACATAAATTTTTACTTTGTATTGTACTCGTACTTATTGTTAAGTAGCAGCTCAAAATATAGATATTTCTTGTGTTTTCGGTCAAGTTGTGTTAGAACAGTGTGCATTTCTTATCGCGTCAAGGGTAACAAGCTTATGATTGACCACTGGACCTAGACAAATGATTTTGGCAAAAATTCAACAATCTTGGATCCACCGCTACACCTAGAAAATTTTGATGTACGTACTTTAAAGCAACAAAATTGGTGAAGTAGAAGCCGAGATCCTTTGCCTCAAAGGACAGAGGCCGAAGTCCTGGCACAGATAATCAGTATTCATATAACCAGTTACCATTCATAACGATTCATGAAATAATTATTTATCTGAAGAATGTTCACAGAGGAAAGCAGCAGGAAAGCGCCCTTGAAATGCTATAACAAACGAAGTTCCGAAAAGCACTTACATAGATACAAAGCGATGAAGCAACAGGAATGACCTCAACAGTCTACATCGTTTTGGAAAAACATGGATCCAAACAATCACATTCATGATTTATAGAGTTATTCTGAGAGGCTAAACCAGAAACAGCAGGTCTCCCATGTCAAAAACAAACAACACAACAGCAAACACAAGTAGTTACAACTTTATAATACAGAGCATAAACGAGGTAAACGAATTTGACAGCTGACACAAACTACCAAAAATATTAAAATATGCACCTATCTTCCAGTTAATGCGGGCCCAAAACATCGCAGAAATTATGCGCGAAAATCTTCAGAACTGAAGAACCACAGCGAACCAGATAAACATGCTGAATGCAGCACACAGAAGACGGAATAATACGGATCATTAAAAAGCTAAGACGTTAAGAGCGATGGTTACTTTTCAAAACGTAACGCCGCTTGCCGCCAGGCCCTCCCGGCCTTTCAGTAACGCAACCAAGAGTGCCATCCGCACATAAAGCCCATTCTCAGCCTGCCGGAAATAAGCCGCGCGCGGATCGCTATCCACTTCTGTGGCGATTTCCTCCAACCGTGGCAGGGGATGCATCACCCGCATCTTCGGTCCATCTCGTCCTTCCTCCAGCGCCTGCGTCATCATCGCTGGTGTAAGGATGAATTTCCCACAGGCCGCTCGGTACTCCGCCTCGGACGCAAAGCGCTCCTGTTGAATTCGCGTCATGTAGAGAATATTCGTATCAGGCAGGGCCTCTTCCAGATTCTCAAATGTTTTCTGAGTCACACCACGGGCGGTAAGGAAATCTCTGATCTCTTCCGGCATCTCCAGACCCGGGGGGCAGAGGTAGCGCACCTCCTGAACGCGGTAGAGTGTCAACAGCTTAGCCAATGAGTGCACGGTGCGGCCGTGCTTCAAGTCGCCCACCATCGTGATAATCAGTTTGTTCACCGTGCCGATCTCGTCCCAGATGGTAAACACGTCCAGCAACGCTTGTGACGGATGCTCGCCGACCTTAACCAAACACCAAAATTAATCAGACAAATTTTCGGTATTTAAAGAACTGAATAATAACAACTGGCTAACGGAGTTCAAGAAGATTAATGACAATTACCCCGTCCCCAGCGTTTATAAACGCTTTGGATCCACAGCGTTCCGCCGCTTTCTTTGCCGCACCCGGCAAGTAATGTCGCTGCACAACAACGTCACAGTAACTGGCCATCATACTGGCAGTGTCCTCGAGGGATTCGCCTTTTTTCACTGACGAGGTATCCGGATTGACATACAATACATTTCCGCCCAGGCTATAGAAAAAGGAGCTATTAACCACAATACGAGACATGATCATACAAAATAGCTCTACCGCATCATAGCCGCAGCGAAGCTGTTCATGGTTCTGGTGCTAGCTTCATAAAATATGCACGCCATGATTTTTCCAACCAGCAACGGTTCCACGTTAATATTCTTCCGCAAGGTATCTTTGAACTTTTTTGCCAAACGAAATAAAGCTGCCAGCTGCTGTTTTTGGAACATGCTGACAGAAACGACATGGTGGCTAGATAGAACAGGTTGCAAGGCGTTGATTGAGGGTGTAACACTTAACGCCGGATGCAGCGGCACGAGGGGCGATGCGGAACGCGAACCACCCACTCCATCCATGGCAGCCAGCTGATGATTCACATCCGGCATGGATTCACTCAACATTCGCGATCGCTCTCGGCCAAAGCGCGCTGCTTTCTGTGGAGACTCGCCGGGTGCTGAGCCGGGAGTAGCTTCAGGTGGAAACCCATTCGGCAAATGGAAGTCCTGTGCAAAACATCGTCAGACAAATATTTAGTGGTAAAAAATATCAGATTGTTAGTAATACAGCACCCTCTTGAACAAGCCGGTTTACATCAATGCAAACCTAGTGGTACTATTAAAACGCTTTTGCTTCAGCTGTCAAGTACACTTTCTGGGATTGCGGCTACCTGGTTACCGCAGATGTCATATTAGATTTACATCCAAAACGTCTGTTACGGTATCAGTACTCACCTGCGGAGTAGCTACGCGTTCCAAGCGTGGGCGGTGCGTGACTTCAAAGTCATAACGATCGCTACGCACATCTCGTCCATACCCCGGCTGACCCACCAACTGCCCATCCACAAAAACATCCTCTCCGCGCAAATGAACACGTCTGACTTTGCCCCGAACAGACCAGCCCTCGAACGGCGTCCACTGGCATTTGGTGAACAACGGTGCACCCTGTCCTCCAATCACCCACTCCGCATCCAAGTCCACTTCTACGTACGTGTCCGGTTGTTCCGGAAGGCCGAAGATCCGGCGCGGATTGTCATACAGCTTTGTAATAATGTCTTGCAATGTGAGACGTTCCTCGTGAACGGCGGTCAGCAGGAGAGGAAGCATGGTTTCCAAACCGGGAAAACCTTTCGTAAAGCATTCCGATAAACAAATCTGGTTTGTCAGAAACAGATCTTTCTGGCACCAACCTGGTGGAGATTTGTTGCTCTCTTTTTCACTAACTGTATGGGGGGCGTGGTCGGTAGCGAAACAATCAATAACATCTAAATTTGTCCACAGTGCCTCCTGATCCTCTCTCGTAGCCAACGGCGGCTTCACTGCACCACGACATTTCATCGGCTCGGTTTGCAAATCTTCTTGCGTCAAAAACAAATGGTGTGGTGCCACTTCACAAGTAACTTTCGTTCCCTGCGCTTTTGCTTTTTTGATCAACAGGATTTCATCGCGTCTAGAAATCATGCAAGCGGTCAACAATTATGCGCAACCCATACTGAACCTTACGTACTAACCTGCTCACATGGCAGCAATGTACTGGCCGGTCGTACAAATGCGCATACAACAAAACTGCTGCCAGAGTGGGGCCTTCCGCATGGACGCAAATCAGCCGGTCCTTGGGGAACTTTTGAAAATGAGCCATCCACGAGGTCATATCCGGCAGGAGAAGTGTTGAATTTGTTTCGTTCAAGTACATCTTCAGTGCTACTGCCTAATGACGCAAAAACAAAAAATACTAAAGCAACAACAGTCACACGGATCACGATAAGTTGTACTTAGTTTGTACCTCACGAGCCAGATCTCGCAAAACCGGCGCGTTGTCTTCATTGGCACCCAAAAACAGTCCGTAATCACATCGTGCCTTTTCTGCGGCCAACTTCTGCACCATCGTCAGACTCTTTCTGTCCGTAATGGAGGGGTTGGTATTGGGCATGCACAGCACCATTGTCACACCACCAGCCAAGGCGGCTGCTGTGCCACTTTCGAAATCTTCCTTGTGTGTCGCTCCCGGTTCCCTAGGGTACCATAACTCTGGGTAATATCGTTGGCTAACTCCCCAGCATAAACGCTTACCTCAAATGAACATGGACATCAATTAATCCCGGCAATCGCATCACATTTCGACTGGTGATACAATCCGTCCGACGTCGCAACTCGGGTGGCCGGCGAAACTTTTCCATGGCTTCAACCATCAGTTTGGCTACTTTCACATCGGTAATCAGGGGTGTGGAAAAATCCACCGCAGTCCGACGAGTCCGGTAGCCTCGCGTGGGTTGTTGTGACGGTATTAGCGTGGACACGCGCGGTGATCCGCCTTTCCGATCTGGCAAGTTAATCACTAAGTCGAATTCTTTGGATGGTAGGTAGCTGGCGATGCCCTGCAGCTGTTGCGACTGCTGGACAGAACCGGAAGATGCATCGAAAGGCCAGTCCACAAGAGTGACAGGAACATTGCGATTCGTATAGTATTCTGCGGTGCCTTGACTCCCGAACAAACTACAATCAATTCAGCAGACTGAACAAATGAGTGAACAGTTAGGCATCCAAGAGCAGTATCGTTGATGGCCGCTGAACAGTATATATAACAAATCTGTTGACCAACAACCAGATGTGTTTTACGCGACAATAATTTCAAAATATTGCAGTCGTCACTGGCACCGCCGCATGCACTCGATTAACGCGACGAAAACATGTCAACCAACCTTCGTCAGTGACAGTTGTACAACTAGCAAAAATGTTACGATTTTGACACTTCACCATTCCTCGTTCGAGAAACTGCCAATGTAAAGAAACTACATTCGGTGCTTTCAACAGCGAAAGAAACTACCGCAAGCCGCATATAAAAGTAAGTACAATACTCATCGTTACACACAGGATGGTAGGTTGGTAGCAACCCTAACTAAACAAATTATATCAGCGATCAGAGCTATATAACCTTGAAAGCAATGAAATGCTCCACTATTAAAATTGTAGGAAAACCAAAACACAAAATAGTACTAAACTCATTCAACAGAATCCAGAAAGTAAAATAATACACTTAACTAGAATCCAGAATCACTTAACGCTGACAATCATAACCTTACCGGTATCCCATGCCTTTCAGTTTTTGAACACTATTCAGCATTTCCTCTTTGAGTTTCGTGCTCCCAAAGCTGAGAAAGATTTTTCCGTTGGCCGGCGGATATCTGAACCCGCTGCTAATCATGGCCTTCATAAAAGCTTCGTGCCGATCGATCCCGTAGCAGGCAACCTCACCCGTACTACACATCTCCACCCCCAATGTCACGTCGCAGTCCGTCAGACGGGAGAAGGAAAACATCGGCACTTTCACACCAACCCGTTTATCTTTCCCGAAAATCACATCCTGTGCTTCCACGGGCTCACCCAGTGCCACACGGGTCGCCACTGACACGAAATCGTGATCTAAAGTTTTCGAAACGAAGGGAAAGGACCGAGAAACACGCAGATTACACTCGATGACCTTCAACTGATTGTCCTGAAACGCAACGATCACTGAAGTAGGTAATTCCTATTTAGTATTACTGAAGTCTTGACATTCGACATACCAGAAAACGAGAAAAAGGGTTTTTCAACATTTACACTATTTACGAATGGTCATGCGACGATAACTAATCGCCAGTAACTGGAAAAAGAGACTAATGCAGTTAAATGGCCTGCCGCACTGACATAACAGTACTAAATACCGAAATTCAATTAAATTTTCTGTCAGCAGAACGCTTTAGGAGTCAATCAAATAGATTAAGTTGTCAATATCGCATCAAATCAATACTGTAGAGGAATCACATAATACGGTGCTCACAAAATTCTTGATCATTCAACAGTAATTCGAAAACAATACGAAAACATCTGGGTAATAGGTACAGTAAGACTGTAAGTGTAACGTCTCAAGGACATCATCTGCCTGAAAAATCAAAGCGGACTACTTCGCCTTTTACCTAAACTTTTGAAACAGAAACCTCAAAAATATATTTAAAAGATTTACTCATAACCATAAGAAAGCTTATTTGCCAATTAGCGCGACAATAAAGAAGAAAATCACCTAAGGCAGACGGCTCAGCGAAATAGATGCAATTTGACAACTGAATCAATCGTTATTTGAAAAGGTGGATCAAGCACTTGACACCTGAATAACCCCTCTGGCACATCTAATAAACATTCGTTTTTTCCCACATTTCATTTTATCTAACTTACCTTCGCGATCAACTGCAAATTAAATGGCCCATTAACTTCCAGTTCCCGTCCAATATCGCGCACGATTCCTTTGATACGATCCAGTGTTTCCTTATTCAGATCATACGGTGGTGTTACCAGTGTGGCATCCCCACTATGAACACCGGCATTCTCCACGTGCTCGGATACCGCCATGCATACCACCTGGCCATTGGCCGCCACGGCATCCACATCGATTTCTTTGGCTTCTTCAATAAACTTGGAGATTACAACTGGATGATCCTTGCTCACAGCAGCGGCTTGTTGCAGAAACAACTATAACGAAATTATTATGCATATGTACGTCGTGTTTTGTGTATACTATGTTTAACTGTTTACCTCCAGATTCGAGGCAGACGTGGCAACATTCATCGCCGCTCCACTAAGTACGTAAGACGGTCGCACCAGACACGGATATCCTGCTTCTTCGCAGAACTCCTTAGCTTCCTCCATACTGCTTAATGTGCGCCATTTGGGCTGTTCGATTTTAATTCTATCCAACATACGCGAAAATTTGAAGCGATTTTCCGCATTGTCGATTGATTCGGCACTCGTACCTGCAATAATAGCAGTTATAAAAACTTTGTCATTTTCTTTGACTTGCTTGCGTTTACCAAGAATTCTGACACCATTCCGATTCAGATCCGTCGCAATATTATTCGGCAGCTGTCCGCCCATGCTAAGAATGATCCCATCGGGATTTTCCAGGCTATATATTTCCATCACAACTTCAGTACTGATTTCTTCGAAATACAGTCGATCACATTCGTCATAATCCGTGGAAACTGTTTCCGGATTGCAGTTGACCATTATGGTGCTGCGGCCCATTTCTCGCAGATTCCTAAGACAGCCCACCGCGCAGCAGTCAAACTCGACACTGGATCCGATGCGGTACACTCCGGAACCTAATACCATGACCATGGGATTCTTCCGGTTGGGTATGAAATCGACATCATGCTGCTCCGCATGGTAAGTCAAATACAAATAGTTGGTGTGCGCCGGCCACTCTCCGGCTACTGTATCAATCTGTCGGACGAAGGGATGAATGTTCAGACCCAGACGCCTTGTTCGCACCACGGATTCAGTACTATGTGCAAGCCTAACAAAAGAAAGTTCAAAACCTTGTTTAAAAAGTTTTTTAATGGCTTTTCATCGATTTGTTTGAATGACTACATAAAACAATTCACTGTCACCTTATATTTTTACCGTTATTGAAGTTAAAAATCATACTTAGCAATCTGCTTATCCGAAAAACCTAAACGTTTGGCTTCCAGCATTATATCCCGCGTGAAACGATCAGTTGATAATTTTTTCAGTTTATCTCCAAAATTAATGATTCCTTCCATACGGTACAAAAACCACCGATCAATTTTCGTGAGGTCATGCAGTTTGTCAACAGAATAGCCTTTGGCCAATGCTGTGGCGATGGTGAAAATGCGCTTATCGGTTGGATTCTCCAATTCCTAAAATATCAACGATATATAAACCTCTAAAAGATAGAAATAGTAAGAAACGCACATCGTCAGATAACTTGTGCACGTCAGGGTCGAAACCCATGAAATGGTCGTCCACCATTCGTAAAGCTTTCTGCAAGGCTTCTTCAAAGTTACGTCCTATCGCCATTACTTCTCCGATGCTTTTCATAGAGCTCCCGATCTGCGTAGATAAAAAATTATAAGCATAATAAAAAACAGCGCATGGTAGATGGTAGTGCGATTTTACCTTTGTAGAAACGCGGCGAAATTTGTTCAAATCCCATCGAGGCACTTTGACAACACAGTAATCCAGACTTGGCTCGAAGCAGGCTGTGGTCTTCCCACCAGTCACCTTGTTCATCAGTGCCGGCAAACTATGGCCCATGGACACTTTGGCAGCAATGTAGGCCAAAGGATAACCTGTTGCTTTGCTAGCCAGTGCCGAACTTCGCGATAAACGAGCGTTGACTTCCACAACGTAAAACTATTACGAATAACAGCAAAGATGGAAACCGATAAAGCAGTGCACCCACTAAATACTATACCTTTTCTGATAACGGATCCAGTGCATACTGTATATTGCACTCGCCGACGATACCCAAGTGTCGGATAATTTCAATACCAGCACGGCGTAGCAGATGGTACTCAGAATTGGACAAAGTCTGACTGGGTGCAACGACGATAGACTCGCCGGTGTGAATCCCTAATGGGTCGACGTTCTCCATATTACACACCTATATTATAGCATAACCAATTAATTTTAAACTGTTACCAGAAGCGGCAAGTCATAGGTAAGTTGCACTCACAGTAATACAGTTGTCGAACTTGTCTCGAACGATCTCATACTCCACTTCCTTCCATCCCTTCAAACTTTTATCCACGATGATCTGCGAACTTTGTGCCAAAGCCTTCGTGGCTAACGCTTCAAATTCCTCTCGGTTATTCGCGAATCCAGATCCTTGTCCGCCCAAAGCGTAAGCCGACCGCACCAATACTGGGTAGGTTAATTCTTCCGCCGCTTGTACTCCTTCTGCCACACTCGTGGCAGTTTTCGAAGGTGCTACACTGTATCCAATTTCCTTCAGCTTCAAAGCGAACAGTTCCCGATCTTCCGTATCTTTGATTACTTCGACGGGAGTGCCCAGAACTTTGACATTGTATCTCTCCAGAACGCTTTTCTTTTCTGGGTGGTTCGGATCCGGATCATGCAGTTTAACCCCACAGTTCAGAGCCGTTTGTCCACCAAAGTTGAGCATGATGGCATCCGGCCATTCAGCCTTGATTACCTGCTCCACGTAATCGGGTGTGATTGGTAGAAAATAAACATCTGTGGCCAGACCTTTAGAAGTCTGAACCGTAGCGATATTGGGATTAATCAGAACTGTGGATACACCATCTTCTTTCAGCGCTTTAATGGCCTGTGACCCAGAATAATCAAATTCACCGGCCTGTCCAATGCTTAAACCGCCGGAGCCCAAGATTAAAACCTTCTTCGGTTTTTGTGCAAAAACAGGATAGGGTGGAGGAGGAGCCTTTAGAGCTGAATCTATCGCTTGTGGTAAACTGAGATCGCTATAGGCCGCACCACTTTTGGACTTATGGACGGTATTAAGAAAGACATCAAAGAGACACTCCAAATCACTTGGTCCAGCCATATGCTCAGGGTGGAATTGTACACTGAAAAAAAGCACACTCGTGTAACAAACATATCACTGAACAATCACGAAAAGAGCGAACAGGAAATGCGAAAATGAATTACGCAAAACCAATGCAAAACCATCATCACAATAATAAAGCTATTTGGGTGAGGAGAACGCCTATATATATTAGACGATAAATCTTTCACCCTCAAGATCAATTTAATTTAATTAATCAATTTTTAACGATGTCGATTCACGCTGACTAGCTCTTGAAACTAAATATTGCCAAATATGAGAAACATTCATTCAAGATAAGCAATGAATAACTTTAAGATACTTATGGAAACGAATACGAAACATTTCTGGGTTTACAGGAAATATTGCACCAATCGTAACAGAAGATATAATCAGCAAAAACGTACGAGAACACGGGCTTCTTGGTGTTGATTAAGCCCTCATTGCTCTTATCATTTGCATTGACAAAGAGCGTTTTCCATTCGCTTCCACTCTTCAATTTTTCTACATCCACTTCGTAGCCATGATTCTGGCTAGTGATGTAGCATCTGGTCGTACCGGAAAGTGTGCAAGGTTGGTTATGCCCCCGATTTCCGTAAAGCATCTTTCTGGTTTCCGCTCCAGCCGCCCACGCCAGCATCTGGTGCCCCATGCAAATACCGAACACCGGCTTAATCTGTGGCTGTTCCAGATACGCCCGCAGATTGCTGATAAGTGGAGTACACAACTGCGGATCGCCCGGGCCATTACTAATGAACAGACCATCGAACGAATTCTGCAGAGGAAGAATGGGTTGGTCCCAAGGAAAGATCTGAACGGATGCGCCGCGTCGAAGAAAACACCGCAGCTGGTTGTATTTCAAACCACAGTCCAGAATGGCAATATGTGGAGATCCGGTGGGATTCAGTTTAGCTGATGGTTTCTGCAAGTACCAAAAGCCATTTGTAATGTATGTTACAATTGTGCTATTTTTGTCTAATCAATACAGACAACTTCCAGCGACTTACAGAATAATAACACTATGAATAAACCTATTTCATAACTACTATGGCAATTTTTGTGCCAGGTAATAAATGGTGCAGTGGTGATTTACAAATCTCAGTACAATATGATGATTTTGACTACTCCAGTACAGATTATTACTCGTCCTTAGCCTTCGCCGTTTTTCTTGTTTAATGAAAATCTGAGATTGAGATTATTTTAAAATTCTAATTGTAGTACAAAGTACAATGATTATATTGTGTACTAGCGAATTATTGAAAGTTGTTAATTAGTGTTGCATTATAGATATACTGCTGCACTGCACTGCCATCTTATAGATATGTACAATACAATGTTTCGAACTTATAGATATGTTTCGAAACAACTAGCCGCATAAAGCAATCGCAAAGTACCGGCTGTGTTTTTTTTTACCTTAATGGAGACCTCGGCAACTAAATTCCGCATTCTTTGATCTTCGAACACCATTTTTGGTATGCGATCTCCCAGCACGATCTGAAACAAAATAAATTATACTGAATATCATTATTTTAAAATTTTCACGATTCCTAAAATGAGAAGTAAAGCTTTTAAATGATAAATAAATGATAAATAAAGCGAGAAATAAAGCTTTTCTGTTCCTATAATTGGTGAGCTCAAGTTAACATAAATTTACAACAGTGCCGGCGGGAACCAGAGTTGTTTATATAATTACGTTACTGCCTAGAACGCTTTTCCGGGCATTCAAAAACCTTAAACTAAACGGACGTCCTAAGCTAAACATTTCGACTTTCAACAACAAACCAGCATAAACAGCAAGATTAATCGTAATGGTTAAGACTATGGCCATGCAGGCAGTAAATAACGACACGGAATGAATTTACTGGCACAAAATGTTGCCAGAATGAATCTTACCGCCACTGCTACTGTCGGCCAGGAAATCAGAGCAGAACGATGCCTCCGACAGATAGCACATGGACACAGTATAAAAGCTCCCCCAGGATAACTACTGTACAATAACTCATTACGCACAACTGGACTCTTACCTTGCCCATAGTCGTTCCGTGTTCACGCAGGCACATTGTCAAAGATCGCGTATCAACGCCTGAAAGCAAACAGGAAGCGCATCACAACATGATTGAAATTGTGATAAGTGAAGCAGCTCCAAATTAAGCACGTTTTATGCGACAATACTGGCTGGCAACTGCAAAACTTATTGCGAAACACCAGATCTAAAACGCGAAGCTGAAAAATCACGCGAAAGTTAAAATCCTTCAAAAAATCCGGAAATGACAATCGAAAATATTTCAGAAATTCGGGAAAAAGAATTAAAATAATTCAATACGAAAATTCATGTAAAAAAAGTTATTTGCAATTACAGAATCAACGACTGTCCGTGCAAAACTTGCCTTCGATTCCGACAACTTTATGTTCTTTCAGCCATTGATCAAGCGATTTGCGGGCATTCCAGTGGCTGAAATGCTGGCTGAGCTCTCCGATAATCAATCCAATGGGCCAGATTTTATTGGATTCATACCATCGCGATAATCCGAATTCATCACAGCTGTCATCCGGCACTCCATAATTGCCGATCATTGGATACGTCAACACCAGAATCTGTTGGTGGTACGATGGATCGGTCAGGGATTCCGGATAGCCGACCATTCCGGTTTGGAAAACTGTACGAAATCATTACAATCGACATCAGTTCATATATCATCAACATATTAATAGATGACAGCACTGTATGAGTAACTGCTTTTCGAATAAATAATTATTACAGATTGTCAATTTTATGGAAAAATTACTACGTATTAATACAGCAAAATTTTAAGCATTTTTATTTAAGCCATTGTGAATGTGAATAGGGAAAAGCTGCTGGAATAGCTATACAGGGAAGAGCTGCTGGAATTTCGGCGCAATCCAAAGCCTTGGACCAAAAGAAGCGAGCAACTCAAACAGGCACACGAACTTTGATAACATTAAAATGAAGTTCAGAATTGCTCTTTCTGAATCGCTCCGCAACCTCAACAAGTTGCAGGATATATTCATCGTTTTTAGACACAATCCACAATTCGCAGCTGTTTATTCGTCAACAGGTTTTCCTAAATACGAGCCGCAGACCAATTTCCAAAACAGTTGTAAAACGTTACTTGCCAATTTCGCCTTCAGTATCGTGCGGTTCGCCGAAAACTTTCCCGCGAAATACGCTTCCATCCTTTAGGTACAAGGTGGCGGTAGACGCCATAATAACCCACCACGCGATACCCACAGAGATGCGCAATCACTCCACAGGCACTCTTCAGAACGACGAGGATACCCGCAAAAGGTTCCTCGAGTTCGCCGGTGCGTTCACCGCACGGATACTCCTGACTCGCCCCTACTGCTCGGAGACAACGCAGATTTTCGTAGAACGCACCAGCAACCCGATTACTGCGTCGACTTTAAGCAAGACGTACTGCCAGATAAACAAATGTTCTGAGGAATCAGGTAATACAAGAAGGGTATCCAAAGCAAACAATATTTCACGTACTCCACAGCCTCCAAGTGGCAAGTGAATTCACGCTATGAGCCAATCTAGATGACAGAATGACAACTGCCAATGGCTTCATAAATGTGCCCAAAAAGAACTAAATAAAGACTTTCGGTCTACTCCAAAATGTTTTAAGATTGACTATCAAGTTTAGGACTGATCTTATCGACGAAAACTATTCAACAGGCAGTGAACACTTTTCTGACTTTCACGAACGAAGTCACAAAGCACAGCTTCTGCTTCGAGTGGAAAGCCTGCCCTCCTAGGATGGCAGTTGCCCGCCTTACGGTCAAAGTGTACTTAATCAGCTCCAGCCGCCTCCACGGTAACTCGCCGACACTCGGTTTCGTCACTTCAATTTCGCCCATAGTTTCACACTGGAGTCATGCAGAATGATATCCCGCTCTACTGCCCCAGTTTATGTTCTAGTTTTACACTTTTACCTAGTTACTCCTTAAGATAAGAGATTTCGGATTTCTACGGTACGTGTACACATGACCTACTGAAGTTAGCTTAAAGACTTAAAAAAGGGGGTTTGATTTTAGCGTATACGTAATTTCAAAGAGGTCCACTACCGGCACCACGATCTCACTGCAGCAGTGCAACGCTGCTGTTTTTATAGTGCAATCCTGCAAGGGATTAACGAATAAACCTCAAAACTTGCGCAAACGCTTTCGGACTTGCCGCATAATGCATCCCACGAGAACCACCTCATGCGAGTAAAGAAGATATGAAAACTGTAGTCCAACATGCGGTAACAATATAGTGCAAAAAAAAGAATAAAGGTGTATCTTGCGTATCTTGACGAGAAAAAGTTTTCAGTGTGCAACTGTAAAATTAGCAACCTATTGATTAACTTTGGCTTTATCGATAACAGCACAAGAAATGCATTGCTAAAGGGCAGTCTGGTGACTATGCCCTGCTTCCGGTGCGACTTGGCTTATAACATTCAGCTGTTCCCGATGCTGATCATTGAATTGACTGTAGCATATATCCAAACATAAATATGCTGAAAGCAGATCCCTCCCAATTACGGTTCGTAATCTCTGTGTCAAATGTGTGAAATCCGGGCGTAGTCTCGGATCAAAATTCCAGCACTGAACCATCAACTCGTAGCTGCAAAAACAATACGAACAAGAGTAAAACTTTTAGCGTATTTATTTGGAATCCGAACTCAGATGAGCGATCACGTACATGGCCGTTGGACACGATGTCGGTCGTTCCATACGGTAACCGTCTCGCAGTGACTTCACAAGTTCCACAACGTCCCCAACGTCCGTTCTCATGTTGGCATAAGGATGCTCCCCAAAACTAAATATCTCCCACACTGCAATGCCAAACGACCAGACATCGGATTGAACAGAGAATCTCCGCTCTGTTATCGCTTCCGGGGACATCCATCGGACCGGAAGAAATGCCTACGGACGGTTGAGTATACAAACAGACTAATACAGTATATATAGTACAATACAATCATTCTGCTCTGCTTTGACAACTGCGCATTTCTCGTATGAACAATTATGCAAAATTTCTTAGACAACTGCATGGATAAAACGTGATTCGTACGTCACCTGTTGATCCATAAGAACGTATTCGAGCGTTTGCTTAGCCATTCCGAAATCGGCAATTTTCACCACGCGTCCGTCACAGACAAGGACATTGCGCGCTGCCAAATCTCTGTGGATTATGGAGCGACTGCCTAAGTATTCCATTCCACGGCTGATTTGAAAAGCGAAGCTCATAAGATCATTGGTCGACAGAATTTTTCCATCGAATTTATTGTTATTATCACTGTTTTTTAGCTGAAGATCCAGAATGCACTGCAATCGGTCGGCTTCGTCGTCGTCGAACGGCAAAAGGTCACCGGTAGCACTTGTGTGGCTGTAGAACCAAGCATCGCGATGGCATTTTAGAAACTTGGCTAGGCAATCGTATCTTGAAAATTCCAATAACAACAAAGTTTCCCCTGGAATTTAACAAGAACAGCCATTCAATATAATATGGTGAACGATTGTACCCGCAGGGATACATATTATGTTGAGTTTTCAGTCGAAACGTTTTATTGTTGTATACCCTTAAGAACCACCCCTATAAGATTGCAGATATTTAGATGACGACCGGCTTTTGACATGATTGCCATTTCTTCCATCAGCTGGCGAACATGTCGTGGGTTCTTTTTGTCGCGCGCCGTCTTAATGGCAACTTCTGCCGGACACGCAACGTTGATTAATCCGTTTGCAATGCCTTTCCAAACAACTCCAAATTCTCCTCTTCCGAGAACGAGATTACCTGCAATAAAAGGCAACTTTCAAACTGTACACTGATCATAGCTATTCTACAGACCGTCAGCATGACTACGTTAACGTCCATGTTAATAACTGATGGCTTTTTAAACGAACAACGTAAGTAAAATTTTTATAACACACGTGACATATTTAATATACTGTATTCCAGCCAATACAATATCGAACAGAGTACGTGTTAATTATTAGGAAATAGCTATAGGCACCCCCTTTCGCACCCACTTAGACTATAGGCACCCCTTTTCGATTAATTAATTCCTGGCACCCGGTCGCGTGCGAAAACTATAGGCAAACCCAATTGTCCGTTGCTGTGTTTTTTTTCTTAACCTTAGAAAATTTCCCCTGCTCATGTAGTTTAACTTGCCGCCACATTACGCTCAGCAGAGATGGGACGAAGCCAGAAAGGTGTGCAAGCCGGTCATGTCAAGATTGCGGAACTTCCGCCTAAACGATTCGTAAAGGCGGCATGCGTCCAGGTGCTGCATGGCGCAGATCAGTTTATTTTGTCTCATAAGCGATAAGATTATGAGACAAAACTTCTTTGTGACCCAAAAAAACCTGTCAAAGAATTTTTATTATACTGTACCTCTGGGAAAAAAATAAAAACGGGTGCCTTTAGTTCGCTGAAAAAACGGGGTTCAAGATTTATCTAACAGAAAAGGGGTGCCTGTAGTAAAAAAGGGTGCAAAAGGGGGTGCCTATAGCAAACGGGGGTGAAAGGGGTGCCTATAGTCTCACCCTAACTATTAAGTACCACTCAAAACGATTCAAGATTTAAACATAAAAAACAGCCAAAACCGTTACCCTAGGGTAGTTTACTGCAATTGATAGTAGTGACCTTACTCATCTCTATGTTTGCTAGCGGAACTTCCAGCAGACGGACATAATTCATCACTGCCGGGTTCATTTCTGATTTTTCTACGCTTGAGTATGCTAGATTATCCATCGAGTCCTTCCGCATTCCCCCTGCTAATATCTCCATTGTTTTCAGTTTTTTGATAACATGCCTGCGGCGCCATACAATGGCACCCAGAGCGCCTCCGGAGAATAACAACACCACAAACGTGATAACGCAGCCGAGGACTGGAGCCAGATACGGTGATCCGTCAGCGTCAGCGTCGTTCAGCGCCAGAAAAAAAGATCCATTGGAATACATGCGCACAACCACGTAGTCTATCATATAATGCACTGGAAAAATGGAATTGTCCGGATGGCGATTGACCGCGAACGCGCCTCCAACCTTTTTTAGTTAAAAATACGTTACTGCGTAAGTTTTTATACATTTTTATAGCTGTAATTGAAATTTTCTCACACCCAACTTCATAACCAGCCCCAAAACAACTGACGGGATTTGTTTCACTTCCGCAATGCTGTACACTTCGTGCCCATCGATGTACCATCCCAAATAGGTTTCTGTCCAGATTAGTTTGTAAGTGTGATAGTCCAACGAGAAATCTTCAGTGCTGATTAAACCAACAAGCGATAAGATCAAGCAAGCTGCTAATTATAATCATAATTCGATAGTATTGATTTCGGTAGCAAAAGTAGGTATACTTCTACATATGCAGCTGTGCCAGAATTACAATCTACCTGGTGTAATTGCTTTTGATTAAACTTGGCTTTTGACCATCCATGTAATACGATTTCATTTCAATCATTCGGGGATGCTCCCCTAAAGCGCCGACTACGGTAACGGACGGTGGCCAGTAACCTTTGCACGACTTGGAAACGGGAGTGCACATCGGACTGAAGAGGAAGATCACCGATAGAATGGATTTCCCTTTGGCTACTTTAGCACGCCATTCTACTTCGCCATATTTGAAATAGAATTTGTTCATGGTGTAAATCATTCCCGATGTGTAATTTCGATTTGCAAAGAATGCATCCACCTACAACTTGCTCTTATGTACAGGCATCGATCATACCCAGCCTAATTTAACGTTAACCTACCGTAGGTGCTGTGTATTGTACATGTTATGCATGTTGCTGGTATTTATAAAATATTACGAAATTAATAGTTTATGTCAAAAGTACCTGACATAGCGCACAATAAATAACTATTTTTTGTTCATCGGACCCTTAAATGACATTGTACACAACAGAATTCTAAAGATCAATGCGTGACTTTATGTGCAGTGCATACTCACTGGGGTACTGTTGCGGTCTTGACCAATGTATTTGGCCGTAATCGTCATAGTCCCATTGGAAACCATTACATTGTTAGGCAGAAAATACTGGAGCTCGCCGTCGACATTGGACGGTGTATCAGAAACATACCATTTTCTTAAATCTACTGTGTCACCATCGAAATCATCACGAAACACCTCTTTAAGACTTTCTTCACCCATAATTTCCCGTATGAACAGAAGAAGCAGTGCAACACAAAACAGTAGTCGAAAAGATCCGAGTGCCATGACGTTATATGCCGTAATTTGCAGAGCACGGATTCTATAATGCGCATCGAAACTTGTGAAGAATGTATTTCCAGAATATCTGAATGTCGTAAAAAATCAAAGCGGGTGTGCTATTTTTCCATTGCAGAGTCGATTTATCAAGATAGACTTGACTTCAAACTCTTCAGGAGTTTAGTCGAATGTCTTGAGTACTAGTCGGGCAACGGAACCGGGAAACAACGTTAAGTTAGTATAGATTATAAAGTGTGCTAATTTTGTAAAGTAAGGAGGTTTCCATTTACTCCTGCCAGTTCACATCCAAGCACGCCACTGTGACATATCCGGTCCAGAGGCTACAAGAATGTACCTGTACAACACTATTGTCGCTAAGTACAAAAGAATGTTCTCGCCTACGTATAATAATCCTGAAGCAGCGACATGCCGTGGTAATTCAGAACGTTTCTTGTCGCCGGCATTGGCTAAAAACATTATTATGTTTTGTAGTAAAGTACCACGAAAGTTGAAACTGCGCATTATGTATCAGACGACTGAGACGAGTATTACTAGTACACGTTTTAAACTGATTTATTAATGGCATGCATTGCTGGAATGGGCTGCCATAAATGGCTGCTGGCTATCGGTAAGTGTAGAAAATCACACAAAAACTTCTGAGTGGATCTGTATGCGCTACGAGACAGTAGTACACTAGTAACGATGTTTATCATTCATAGTTTCATACATGGTATTCGCTAGTTTTTCCCCAACTTCTTCGCAACTGAAGACCTGTGCGCTGAAACATACCGCACAGGTCATTCCGACGCACAGTTTATCTATGAAAAAAGGCAAACACCCAAACCGCCCTTCAGCAGCTATTAATCACTTATGACATAAAATATTTAGTTCTAAACAAAAACAAAACAACGATCTGAATATTCAACAGCAAACGTACAAAACAGCATACTGTAGAAAACAATCAATCATTTGTGACAGGAATGAAAACAATGAAAACTACCACTTATTATGCAACTCTGGAATTACCACCATTACAACCACCGTCTATGCAGTAGGGTCTTTCTGCATTAGCTTGATATCTGACTCCACCATCTCTTTCACCAGCGCATCAAATGTTGTAGACGGTGTCCATTTTAACTGTGTTTTAGCCTTGCTGCAGTCTCCCTGTAGGAAGTCCACCTCGGTCGGCCGGTAGTATTTGGGGTTGACTTTAACGCGCACTTTGTTGCTTTCCACCTCAATCCCGACTTCGTTCTCGTTTTCCCCTTCCCATCTGCAAAACACCCATTAGTGCACCTCTCCCATCAGCCCTTGCGGTACTTCCTGGTTTTACCGAATAGTTTTTCCAATCACGCCGAAAGCAGCTTCAACAAACTCTTTAACCGAATGGACTTCGCCCGTTGATATGACGAAATCTTCAGGTTGATCTTGCTGCAACATGAGCCACATCGCCTCCACATAGTCCCGTGCATGGCCCCAGTCTCGCTTGGAATCCAAATTACCCAGTTCAAAAAACTGTTCGTATCCAAGATGAATTTTTGCTACTTCGCGAGTAATCTTGCGTGTAACAAATGTCTCACCTGTCCGATACAAATTTTTACGCCACATTTAAGTAATTCATCCTTCCTGCATCAATTGCTAAAAAATACTGTTTCACAATGAAAATGATTATTCTGTTGATTTAAAATTTTCACTGTCATGATAGTGAGAACAAGTCAAATTGGCAAGTTACATCTTTACCTCTACGCGGACTTTCATGGTTAAACAAAATCCCGTTGCAGGCATACATGTTGTATGCCTCGCGAAAATTAACCACAATCCAAAAAGCGTACAATTTGGCTACACCATAAGGAGATCGCGGGTAAAACGCCGTTGTTTCCTTTTGCGGTATTTCTTGTACTTTTCCGTACAATTCACTTGTCGAAGCCTGGTAGAATTTGACAGTATCACCTAAACCACACGTCCGAATAGCATCCAACAAGCGTAGTGTGCCTACGCCGTCGACATTTGCGGTGTATTCTCCCAGGTCAAACGATACCTGCGATATACACCATGTTCAGAACCTTCACAAATAAAATTAGAATAACCACCCAAGACACTGCGCACAAAGATGTTGTTTAACTGTAAGAGCACCGTTCAGATAAGCTGAGTTAAGTGATCAGAAGAAAATGTCAGCACACAACAGCGGCGGCATAATCGTATTTATATGTAACAACAACTGTTTCTTTGCATTTTCAAACTCCGCTGTAGCCAAAGCGTGTAAATTTTATTTTATTATATTTATTCAGCTTACTTTCACGTGGCTTTGAGCACCGAGATTGTACACTTCATCCGGTCGCACTTCGTTAATAATTTTAACCAGGCAAGTACTGTCGGTTAAATCGCCATAATGCAGTACCATTGCTAAAAAAAAGCATAAAACAGATTGTATTAATTACAATCACGGGCGAGAATTATTTGCTGTGGAAGTGACTACTTACAGCCTTGGCGATGGGTAGTTGGATCATCATACAGATGTGCAATGCGTCCAGTGTTAAACGAACTACTCCGGCGAATAATCCCATGCACTGCATATCCTTTTGAGATCAGGAGTTCAGCAAGATACGATCCATCCTGTTCAATCAAGTGAAAGCGATGTTAATCTCCGCAGCTCCTTATGATAGTTTCTGACTCCTGATCTCATTTTCGTGCGATTACCTGTCCAGTGATTCCCGTTATCAAAGCGACTTTTTGCCTGCCATCTCCCACAGCGCGATTATCCGTCTTTACAAGGCTTCCCATGCTGGCGAGTTTGGCAACAACTAAATTTCAACGGCAACCAGAGTCTGGAAACCGAAAATATTATTTAAACGTAAGAGTTATTGCCATGCTAATCTCCATAAAGATTAGCGGTAGCTACTGCCTACTGGGATATTGCGCAAGCTACTCGTTAAGTAAGTAAATAAGAAGTCGTAAATCAATGCTCAGACTCACAGATAACGTTAAAAGCGTTTATGTACGGTCTTACCTTGGTATGAGTGTTTAAGCAACAACCGAAAAGATCCGGCCAAACAACACACAACAAAATCTTTCCAGCTGCACAGGAAGTAAAGAGGACTTTCTGCGTGCGTGCGACGTTTTCCACTTCGGCTGCAGAAACCTGTACGAGTTTCAGCGGACGACTCGACGTCAACAGTGGCACAGTAGATTTTGTTGAAGAAAACTTCTCAAAAGATAAGCAAAAAAGCGATAACGGATCCACTCCGTTTCAACCTTTACGTTACAAAAATAAGCCATTTACCTGTAAGAAGCCTTCGCTAACGTGGCAGTCACTCTAAATAGACAAATGCACGGTATTCGCCGCTTTGTTTTGAAGGTGAGAGAAATACAAATGCTTCGTGAATGCAACTCAAAAGAAATTTTGACATTTCGAGCCTCTAACAGAGAATTTACTGGATGCCACCAAGAAATAACCAATCAGAAGCGTTACTGGGTGTGTCTGTTATGAATGAGTCATGCTAGTATACGCGCCACTGTTCTGTGAACACAGAATCAACGGTCTTTTCTCTTTGGAGACCAGAGAACCTCAACAATTTAAGTAATTTCAGGACTTGTTTTCACCTAATTTCATTTTAACTATACATAATCGCATAGTTATGCGATCTATGCATGTCATGCAATTTCTCGAATTCGATTCCGGTTATGGTATTCTTAAGTCCGTGAAGGCGTGGATATTGTGGAATTACGTTTGTGTGGAGAAATACTGGACTGGGATATATCAAGGATTCAGCAGCATCTGATGTGCTCTTTCGGATTTGGGCCATCTGTCACCTGTGATTTGTTTTTATCTCTGAATGGCTGGTTTCAACGCACCATTAGGAGACAATCTGGTCAAAAAAGACGTACCACGTTTAACGCAGCATTTTGCTGACGCCCAGAGGACCTGTGTCCAAATAAGACTGTCATCTGAACAGCGGCAGCAATTAGCAAACTTAGAGCAACGGGTACGAAGCTACCAGGGAAGTGATCCGCTGAGCGTTTGGTTGAATTATATCGAGTGGATTGATAAGAATTGTCCGGATCGGGATGACGCGAACGGAGCACTGTATAACAATCTGAAAAATGTGTGCCGTAAATTTTATAGTGAAGGCAGAGAGACAAAGAAATACTTCGATGATCCTCGTTATGTTGGATTGTGGATGAAATTTATCAGTTTCACAAACGCCACTTCCACTCTGCAGTTCATGTATGAGCATGGGGTAAGATCTAAGAAAAGTGCTTGATAGCAACTATGTAAATTGAAGACATTAATAAATTCGACATGGGGAATTGTTTAAATCGCTGCTTTTTTTGTTGATAATGTTGTGTTTTGCAGATTGGTACCACATTTCCCGAATTATATACAAAATGGGCCGAAGAATTAGAACTGACGAACGATCTTCAAGAAGCCAGAAAAGTGTTGGAACGTGGCATTGAAGCCTGCAGCATCCATCCGGCTAAAGCTTCGGTAGTTCAAGCTTGGTACAAGGAATTCTTATCTAGGCATACAGCTGCATTTCCTGATTTATCCGGAGAGAGAATACTTAAAATTAGCCGTGACATTCAGTCCGATACTTCACCGTGCTACAGTTTGGGAAGTCAGGGCAGTGACCATGCGCGTTGTGAATCCAACGAGCGAAAAGGTACTATATTTTTATAAAAAAAACTCGTATGTATGCAATTTTACACTGTATCTTCAGTGCTTGTACTCTGTACAAACTACGGTAATTTGGAAAGGAGCATTGGAATTACTATGGTAATGTTAAAAATGTTGAAGCGAAGCGGGAAACAAAATTAAATAAAAACTTTATGACTTTAGGAGGTTTACCTTTTTTTAAATTTTTCATGTTCATTTATTATTTTTTGTGTTCATTAAATATAGTTTTCAACATTATTTCCCTCTTATGAATTTTATTTAAAATGTGAAGGCGTGACCGATGTTACCGACAAAAGTTCCGTATTCTTGAACATGGAGGACCTTCGGTTCGGTTGGTGATAAGGCTAAAAAATTCGGAAACGTTTTCATTCATGGAATTTTGTAGAGCTTGAGGACGTTTGGGGACTGTATGCAATTGCAAACAAAAACAAAAGTGACAGTCTGGCAGCCGCAATATGTTTATTGTCCGTTCACGGCGGTGCGCGTATACGGTGTTACCGTTGATACTGGGTGTTCGTTCTTGAGCCTTTAGTCGTATTCTGTAATCTACAGTAATACTGTTCATTCTTTCAGTGGAAGGTATTCTGGATAATACAAGAGCGTCCAGAACAACATTCGGCAGTGATGCATTGGAATACCAACCATCTGGCCGTTCGCTGGCTGATTCGGCTTACGGAGCGTCGATTTCCGATAGATTTACCGGTGACTCCCATGTCACCAGTTCAAAGCCAAAAAAACCTCGGGATTCTTTGTGCATAAAGCGATATGAAGGGCTTCATGTCGCACGCCTTTCTGCATTAGGAGCATCAGTCCCCATGGAAGAGTCCACTGAAGAAGAAGAATCGGTTTCTGAAGCCACTCCTGGTTCGGAAAAAGCACATGTTGTCGATACTACTGATTCTGAGTGGTCGAATCTCCTTTATGCCGATCCAAGCCGGAATAAGGGCCCCACCGCAGCAACGGTCAAAGAAATCTGCCCTGGTCCTCCCGATGGAAGTGCTTTTATGTGGAATCATTGCATTTTCTCTTCCGGAAACGACGATGAGCGGTCATTTGAAGAAAATCTGGCTGATATATACAGGAAGAGCGCCGAATCAAGAAAAAAAACATTGTTGGAAGAACTGAATGATTTACGGAAGAAAGCGTCAGAAGCGGGGATATTTGAACGTTCGTTTCGAGAAATGACCGACAAGTGTGAGAAGGCTGAAGTCAGACTGCGAGCAGCTGAAAATCAAAGACGGTACAAGTGTATTCAGAAAGTTAATATGAAGTTAATATGTGTATCTGTCATGAAAAAATTTTTTCAGGCTATTGGAAGATCACTGTCGTAAAACGGAAAGTCAGCTTCATACCACGGAATATCAACTGAAATTAGCCACTGAAAGAAAGCGCTCTTTGGAGGACATGTTGTATCGCTCGGAACAGATAATCGTTTATTTGGAGAAGCTCTTGCACAACCTTCACGGATGTTTAGCACAAATGCGTAAAGATATCAACAATGACGACATCAATGTTAACGATGTCATTTTAAACCTGTGCAAAAATCTTCAGCATAAACTTGATACCGTTTCCACAGACCAGACTACCGGGGAACTCATTGTTCTCGAAATCATTCGTTCGGTAGTTTCGGATTTGTCCCATGCGTCGGAAGATCGTAAATTACGCCATTCTGTCGCTGTCATCCCACAGCCTAATCGTTTGCAGACAGTGACGGAAAAAAACGAAGTGGGTTGGGAGAGCGAGCTCACTGAAAGCGAACTTGCATCCAAAGAAAATATCGTTCGTAGCAGTATTTCGTCCTCTTCATCCGTCAACCATCAGCGGAATTCCGCTGAGCAAAGTAATCCCTACATCCGAGCGATGTGGAATCAAACCCTGAACACTACATCGGCTCGCGATGCCTTTCCAAGGCTCTCCGATACTCAGCCGGACGTTATTGTGCATCAGGAGACTGTTAGCAGTGTCACTGTCATGGCTCGGAGTGTTTCCGAGGTGGATGGAATGGTGACTGCTTTACCGATTCGCCAGTCCTTAGCGCCAAGAAAATCAGCAAAGGTTATGCACACTAGCGCTTTTCAAGACCCAGAAAATGTCCCGGTTGTGCGCAGCGAAGTGCTGCCCAAAGCGGATTTTTCCATCTTCCGGGATTCCTCCAGTGACCCACCGATGATTCCCCGGGTAGAAGGGAAGAGTAGCGAGAATGCCGACCAGCCGGCTGATGATGATCGTGAAAACACGCCGCCAATTGAGTCGGTATGGTAGGCATGATTTAGGTTCAGGCCCTTATTTAATTTTGGAAAATAAAGCAGCAGGGCTGTCATTGTGTTATTTTTTTCAGGGTCCGCTTGTTGCTTCACCTCGCCATGTGGCTGGTGTTTTAAATGATTCGCTGGAACATCCAGGCATTCCACCAGACAGACTCGCTGACAAGGATTTCATTGAGGTCATCGATTCCGATTCAGAGAAAGAAGCTGAGATCGTTCCGGAGAAACCAGTTGGCATTTCTCCGGAACCGCAGACCCTTACGGTTGGCAAAACCGGCCCGAGAAAAAGTATCATTACGGGATTTATAGCGGATGCCAGCACAGAGTTCGATTCAACTTTCAGTGGGAGAAAAAGCATTGGATTTACCGATCAGACTTTACCTTATATCCCGCAAAGCGAAGCGGAGTTCTTCCGCAATATTGACCACCAGAAACGAATGGCTTCCACACCACTCGTTACCACAATAACGGAAGAGGGTCAAAAGCACCGCCTTCAGCCACGGCTGTCGTATCTACCACCGAAAAAGCCGTGAAATTTTGTTATGTTATTGTTGCTGGCGTCTTCAAGTATTTTCTGCTGATCAGCATATCTGAACGGTTTTCGAAGTTTTATGGTGACGTTCTGAAATTTCTCATCTTTTCTCTCGAGTTTCGGTTACGTTTTAATAGTGTCTATATTTAAATTTACATACTGTAATGTGTTGAATATTTTAATTGCTCGGTTGCGTGCTGGTTACGTTGGCTTTTCTTTATCATACCGAGCAATTGAATTTTACCAATTAAACGCATGAATTGACACTAATAGTAAGTTCCCGTGCTGCAGTTTTGTCAGGCGTTTGGTTCAATATTTGACGACGTACGGTATTTAGCTGAGTATTTACTAAAACCTGCATAATTTATTACGTAATTTACGTGATATTCCAAAAATCGCTTTTCAATACTGACTGCAAACATTTAATTTTGTAAGGACTACTAAAGACTACCAAGATTTGACCATAAACATCATGGCAAACTACCCTATAGTGCTATCGGTAACTTTGGCTTATGAAAGGCACAATCGATTCTTTTATTTACAAAAACTCAAAAAATGGAAAACGTCCAAAAGGAACTTGATAAGCTGAATAAAATACCACACAGTGAAAATACAGAGGTCACGCGAACCTTATTCCACAGCATGTCGATATAACAACGCGAAACAAAACTGACGAAGCATGCACCGAAGCATAGCTATTCTAAGCAGAAGCATGACGTACAAAATAAACGTTGGAAAAGGTAAGGGCGTTTTCTGCTGGTTATTTGAGCCTAATTCGGACGAGACAAATAATAATTTTTAGTTCGAAAGGAAACCACCCAATATTAAAGCCAAACTTTCCACTGTCATCTGCGGAACAAAGATGAGAGCACACAGCCGCTCAGCCCATTTCAATAATCGCCGCAAAAAACCACCCAGAACTCCGCCATAGAAAGGAATGCGCCAAACCCAATTGATTAGCTTCCGGTTAACGCTTTCTTCTTTCCCAATCAGTATTGACTTTTCTTGTCAATCGAGGCGCGTCGCTCATTGACAGCTGTAAATGGATAATGACACTACATCAACCACATCTCAATCAAGCGTTTTTTGCCCAGCTGGTTGGGTATGCTGATCTTTCAATGTGAATCAATTAAATGTAAATCACATAAAGAAGCAAACGCTGACATGTAAGCCCAAAACTACTGTTCGCCATGACTAGTTTAAAATCGTACGTAGTTATACGAATCAACCATCCATAAATAATAACCGGGAATGTTACATTTAAAAATATCGCATTTTTTTACTACAGAAACATATGATAATTACATTTCATGCAAAAAATACAACTCTTAAGTTTTCAAAATGTTAACAACAAAAACTGAAATAATTTCTGTACAAAATAAAACATTCGTTGACTGAACATTTCTAATAGCCAAGAACACAACAAAACTGGCCTTGCAGGATTCAAGCAACATTCTGGGATAACATTTTTATCTAAAGCCATGTGCTTTCTAGTATAGAACTACACTACATTAAGTAATGACTTAATTAATTATTAATCGAAAGCCCTATTTAAGCCAATCTGACATACTGCTGCATTAAGCAAGTGCTACCAGATCACCCACCATATCCAATGCCCTGAAGTTGCAGTAGAATGGCTTCAGCCACCTTGCCCGGTTCCTCATCCAAAACAAACCCATCCGTATCTTGGATCTAAGGAGAAACATAAATTGACTTTCACATCCTCCCAGATTGGCCTTGACATTTTAATGGAATGCCCGGTTCCGTTACATTCATTATCGCACCTTAAGCCACTCTGAGGTCTCAGGATAGAGGCGAGAATTCAGCTGGATCGTCTCCTCATAGTATGGGCTCTCACTGGAGGCGATTAACAGGACACGACAACTGAAACAGAATAAAGTCAAGGAACGGCTCATTATTAACCAAAAAGATGTCCAAGTTGTCTAAGGACAGTTTCATTTCTCATTTGATCGCCTATCACCAGAATATTTATTGACACCTCAATGAATAGCTTTATCTTTCGTAAAGATATGGTGTTTCCGTTCGGCAAAAAAACCGACTTTAATTAAACAGTTATCTCACGTTGCCCAATAAAATCGATAGAAGTACGGAAAGACATTTACGGCCTTCTATGGCAATCGATCAGCAAAACAATTTCATAATAAAATCACAAATTTATACTAGGCAGGCAAAACAATTTTGCGACTGACACTGAAAAACTGGTTAACGACAGCGCAAAAAAAACGAAAATCTACACACTTCACGAAGCACTTATTTTTGGGTCCTTTCGGAGGTAAGTAACAAAATCAATAATGAATTCCATAATCTCGTATGCGAAGTTTGCCGCATTCTCATCAATACATGAAAGAACAGCTTCAACGGAAATGTATCCGCTTGAGATAGCCATTACTTACGTGATGCGCGGAACTGACTGGCGCCGCGCGGGATCTCCTTCCCGATAAATATTGAAATCTGTGCGGCTGCAAACGCACAAAACAACCAAATGGAATTTAATTTGTGGAACGACAACCTAACGCTGAACAAATGCTACCAGCATTATTATCAGGCAAACAGCAGCTGCTGCCAGCTAAACTAACGCACTGTTCTGTGTTAATGGCCACTAACGAAATGGTTAGAATCTATTGTACATCTTCCAAGTTGAGAATATGGAAGATCCTGTGGTTAGCCACTTAGTACGTACTTGATAAAAGAATCAATAAAGAGAGCCAAATTGGTGGGATTGACGTTCTTCGCAAAGTGCTGGCGATAAAAGCTGACGAGATCGGGACGATTCTCCTGATACTGTAAAGCAAAACTTCACATTAAACACCGTAGTTTTTTATTATCTGCAAAATATAAAGATGCCTACCTCTTTTCGGTCCTATGTAAATCTGATAGCTAGAATGGCCACTACTTTTACAGGTCGGCCAGCCTTAAGTTCAATTTTAAAGCTTATTTATTCCTCTCCTTATCATTTTAAGAAGTGAAGGCAATATAAGAATAGCCACAACCGCACAGGAACCAAAATTCTGGAACCCACGGATTCGTGCAATCCATTTTCTATACTTTATTTATGCCTTTGCGCAAAACCAAAGTACAAGAGATGCACATCTCGCAGTTACATCAAGTACCTTATTGAAATAATTCCACATCAAATAATCCAGAGACGCATTGGTCATTCCACGCCAGCGCAGTTGCACATTGTTCCATTTCTGCGATGTCCATTCTCCCCATCCAGCCACGCGTGAGGTACAATTGACGAGAGTTAGTGCATCCACTTGACTGGGATACTTGATCTACCGAAAAAAAACTGCTTTGTTGATTATAGTTAATCATGAGAATTCACCAGCCAGAATCAAATGCCCTGCGGCAAAGAATAAATTGCTACATATAACAACTGTGTTTTCATGCAGAACATAACAATCATTAACATTTCCTCATCGTACCGCGTATCGAGCCAAAATGTTTGCTCCAGCGCCAACGCCAATTCCAATAAAATGTTGGATACTGCAATAAAATACGTCAACTTCTATAACTCACAAAAATTGTATCGCAAAACTGAAGTGGGTCTGCTTGAAACCAAAATTAAGTTTTTGTAAATTAATACTTTAACAGGGGGGTCGGAGGCGAATTACCAGATAACGAATACAAATGAAAGATTGATTAACGGTTACGACAACAATTAGACGTTTTGTCATGTTATTTTATAATTTCAAGACGATGTCAATCACCTCTGGCTCTGTATAATAATATGCCTCATGAATTTTACATCAGTAAAATTGTTTGTATCGGCTATAGTTATTTGGCATTTACGATCCATAAAGGCAAGCACATGATGCCAGATCAACAAACAGTGCCCACTTTACCGACTGCAGCCAGCATCTTCCGACTCACCCGTTGGCCGTCCGGAAGCTCTCGATCATATCTGCCATATCATCCATGGTGGGGTAGGGTATGCTGCAGAAAGGCCTTAGTCACACGACATGCATTTAACCAGGTTGAACAGTACAGTGACAACTGACACGCAGTGCCATTAAAACATTTCCCATTAAACCTATCTCCTTCGCACAGACAGAGAAGACTTAAAATTAAAGACTAACCCCTCACGCCAATTCGGAGCGCTTTCTTCTTGTCCGGGAGCAGTCAGATGATAAATACTAAAATGTTTTGTCACTGCCTGCATGTCAGGATGGTTGAAGAAGGTCCGGAAGCAAGTAAAACCTGGTCGAAGGAAAAGAATAGAGTGAAACTTATACATACTGCAGTAATCATCCATCAACCGCGTACCGTTCAAGCCCAGATCGTGGAACGTAATGATGGGAACTTTTTTCGGGTCACCTTGCTTCCAGACAGTAAAGTACCAATTTTTTGTCTCGTCCGCGACGAACTTATCCTCCTGTGTAAGATTTTAAGTAACATTTTGCGACAATATTTCAACACTAATTAATAAATATTGCCCAGAAATAAATTAGTCAACCGACTGAAACGATTTCATGATGAAAATCGAAAATGATTTATGATACAACTGCTTCTGCTCCTCTTCTAGTGTACGGAATTTAGCATATTTAAATGAGAAATCAAACATAATAAAAACAAAACCATAATGGTGCCGTTAGTAATAAATTAACTATGACTGAAAACCTTGAAGGTAAGAATTAACAACAATAGTGAAACCAATCTGACTACTAAAATACCACAAAATTCTAGACCGATGACCATTACCTTCAGATGTTTTCAATTAAATTCGAGCGGCCAAAAATAACTAATTATACGTTAAGGGCAAAAAGTGCAAACTCTTTAGTCTTAACTAGTAAAAAAATTACTAAGAACTCGTCACGACCCACGATTCACCACTCTACCAGCACCGAACCTTTATTGCTTCGCTTATTTACAATTTCCATTTATCATCAGCAAGCTGCAAGCAGCGTAACTGCAGCGTATACATAGACCATGCTGCAAGTATCTTATCGAATAAACCATTTTTTTCGAAACCCTACCGATCGATACCTACATAGTAGGTAAGTACATTTCCTAAATATCCTCGGCGACTATTTTCTTTAAAAATGCCAGCAACGATGTCAAGAGCCTGACACAGATATTCTAATTATAGCACACACACAGAGTAAAGTGTTACTACATGAAACGTATTACCAACAGCGTTAATACTGTAATAATATGCGTAGCAAAAAGCGTGCTGCATTTTTCAAGAACTCAATTGAAACAATCCAGGCTTATCCACTCTAGACAGCCTGACATTGCAAGATTGCTTCCATCCGCACAGATAGCACCAGGGTCGACATTACTGTACTGCACAGGACAAACCTGAAGGTCCTCGTGATATTGTGGAGGATTCATTCCATCTGGCCCACCGACAACAACGTGCACATCCCGCATTTCCATTATATCAGGGAAAGCTTCTGCACCTCGAACGAATTCTGCATTGCGGCTAGCAGTATCAGCCATTATCAATCTCTTTCGCAAAAACTCATCAACATAAGCTAGAGGGCTAACTGTAAATTACAGCTGCAGCACAATATCGAACCCCGACAGCGCTAGGCAGCAGAAAAGATAAAACTGCTGAGCGAGCTTATCCACGATCAACCGAATGAAGATCTGAAACCTGTAAAGCGCAACTACTAGAATCCAGCCAGGGGAAATGAAAGAAATACGCACCAAACATCGATTAATTAGCACGCAACTCTGCCAGATCAGATAAAGATGCGCACATAAGTACAAAGCTGACCGTGAAGTGCAAAACTACGGACTGTCTTTTCGGAAAAAAACGAGCTGTCTTGCAATAGTGCTACGCTTTAGATGTAAGTACTGTACTTCTTTAACACAGCTACAACACCCAATACTGTACAAGTACGAGTATTTTCTGCGTATGCTATTCGCTATTGCGTTAAAACTTAAACGTGACCGTGAGTCACGCATCCATTCACATCCAAAGGGCACGCGGAAGCCTTCCGCGTTCCACAGGCTCCATTCAAAGTACTTACGGTGCGATGCGAGAGTGCTATCCAGTTTTTTATCCATCCCATGAGTTAGGAGCGTAAGACTAATTAGTACCGTGCTCTGTGCTCATGATCAGTGCTCACGATATTCATATAAGTAAGTAGTTATCCCATATCCAACCAATCATGGCGGCCAAGCAATGAACATCATGATCGCTGACCACACCGGAAGCGCTATTCTTTCGGCTTTGAACAGCGATACAGAAAGAGGACAGCAGCTTCTTCCCGGCAAAGTAAACAACATAATATTAACCATGAAGTATTATATTAACAGTAATTAATTCGCCTCATGTGAATGAATATCGTATTTCATTCAGACGTACCGCATGAAAATGTACGATATCAGCGAGCTCAAGTCAGCGTTCCGCAAGGAAGCCAGCGTTTCGGTGCAATTTTACATCAAACCAAAAACAACTATCGAAGCAGCCACGCAGAATGACATCGACAACGAAACAATTACGCCGCTTTCCCAGGCTCACGAGCATTCGGATGCCAAATGTAAGGCTCTATCTGGACTTATAAAATAAACACAAAGACAAACATACTGGTGGTGGCTTATTTACTTATTCCATTGCTCAGATAAAAAAGCCCAGCAGACATGAACAAGTATCAGCCTATACGACTATTAATTACCAACTATAAATTACTATACGACTGTTAGTCACATATCTACAGTTTCTGCATTTTTTTTATGTGCTGCTAGCTTATATGGTTTTCGTGGAAACTGTCGGACACCTGGAGGAAAAAAAGAAAACACGAAACGGAGAACGATCGTTCCGTAGCCTCAAAGTCTGGGACTGTTCCCAAACCGCATCATACAGAATCGACTTATGGGGCCACATCGTAAGTTATAATATTACGGCCTACATTTGCAAACATAAATTATTATAAATCTGTTTAAAGGCCACCATCTTCCTTCCTACGATTTATGAAAAAAAAGTTGTTTACTTCAACAACTTACTCTACACTCAATACAACAACGGCGGCTTGCAGTCAAGTTATAATAAGACCTATTATTATATTTCGGAAAGTACACCAGCAACAACAATCACAAACTGGGCCTTGGACATCGGCTTGCTCGAGGAACAGCTTCAACAAGAAAGATCGCAGCTTGCGCAATCCAGCACGAAGCGCACGGAACGCGATGATTCAACACCAGAAAAAGCTAAACGGTCAAAACCAACTACCAACCAACCATCAAACCCATCAAATCCATGATACCGTTTTCGTAATCCCTATTTTTCCTTATCCCTATCTTTCGTATTCCTGTCATGCCGACGCACTGTGAAATACAATAAACTTGATTTAAGTTCATTCATCCTGCATCTTATACAGACTACACAAGTTATTCCTGCAGTTTATTACAGTACTAAATGCAATAAAATTGCAAAATTTTTGTCGTAAGCCTATATTCATCCGCGTTGGGCTTGTTATATGAATACTAATTATCTGTGCCAGACCTTCAGCCCCTCTCTTTTGAGGCAAAGGATCTCGGCTTCTACTTTACCAATTTTGCCACTTTAAAGTGCATAAGAATGCTCTCTGCGCAGCGGTGGATCTAAGATGGTCAATCTTTTGCCAAAATCATTTGGCTGGGTCCAATGGTCAGCCATAAGCTTGTTACCATGGACGCGATAAGAAATGCATACTGTTCTAACACAATTTGGCCCAGAACAGTAGAAATACGTATCTGACCAGTGAGCTGCTACTTAACAATAAGTACGAGTACGAGTACAATACCGTACAAAGTAAAAAATTCATATCTATATACTGTAACTTAACACGTTAGACGTCATTGCAAGTTATGTACAGTACTGGATGTTCAAGTAGACAGTCCGTGTTTCGATTAACATGCAAAATGTATCATATATATATAATTATATGAATACTGATTATCTGTGCCAGGACTTCGGCCTCTCTCCTTTGAGGCAAAGGATCCCGGCTTCTGCTTTACCAATTTTGCTACTTTAAAGTGCATAAGAATGCTCTCAGCGCAGCGGTGGATCTAAGATGGTCAACCTTTTGCCAAAATCATTTGGCTGGGTCCAGTGGTCAGCCATAAGCTTGTTACCATGGACGCGATGAGAAATGCACACTGTTATAACACAACTTGACCCAGAACTGTAGAAATACTTACCCTGTGCTCCTACAGTCCTACTCAACAATGAACACAATGCAAAGTAAAATTTCATGTTAAAATGGCAGTCATCACCCCAAAATGCAACTTACGTACAGTATGTAGACAGTCCTGTTAACTTATATACAATCACTACAGCGTGTCAAAATAATTATTGCTAAATGCACGTCCGGGTTTCGCAGTATCATAACAGTTTGTAAGCAACCAAATTCATCACATCCTTGGAATTATACTCTAATTCTTATAGTCATCAGCCAATATTCATCCGTGCTCGGCTTGTATAGATATTATACTAAACATACGTACGGGTTCATTAATATTATGACAGTTTGTAAGCGACCGCAAAGCAACACATCCTTGGAATTACTTATTTTTAGTAGTCATCGGCCAATATTCACCCGTGCTGGGCTTGTTATACTAGTAACCATAACATGCATAGCTTTCTTCTCTTCGTAAGAAGGTGTTAATTGTTGAGTTTGGATGAAGTAGGGTTAATCCACCGAGATCGTGCAACATTATCAAACCTGACCTGACGTTGAATATACCTACCTTCAATACCTTGTCAGCATTGCATTAACCATAAGTCTTCATTATTTAGGTCTGCAAACAGTTACATAGGGTAATATTTATGTTAAAGTTTTAATTATATCGTAGTGCCCTATATCTATTACATACTCTATGCAATAGTACAGTCAGCAGCGGCGTGACCTTTTCCAAGAGGGGTCAGTGGAGAAGCAGAAACATCTCTCTCCCGTTTCCTTCGAAACGGCTTGTTTCCCGGGAACGGAATTTCTTCCCAAAAAAAAACAGACGTCTCCATTCCTGCCCAAGCTACTCAGATAGGTTCCCTTGAAGTTCACGAAGCCCCCTCGTCGACGAAGACAATGTACACCATTTAAAATCATTATATATTTTTAACCAAGTATATTTTCGATATTGGCCCATAATACATATTGGTTTGGCACTCTGATTGCAATACATTATACAGTGCCCAGATTGCGCACGCAATACGAAAGATAAAAGCACACTGCATTAAAAGTAGCAAATTTTTAATAGGTCAGGTTTCGCTCTCGAAGACACATACATAAGGAAGAAGGAATTATATTTGCAAAGTATTGCATAAAGGACCAAAGTAATAACGTAAAATTATTTATATAATATTATAACGCGTACATGACACATACCAAATGTCACGACACCATAATATTTTATGGCAGGGAATCCTGGAACTAGACCGGAAGTACAGAGCTTGGATTTCTGCTTTGTACATCTTAAACGCTCATTTGAGTTCTGTAATTCTGAATGCTCATTTTATTGTCGGTAATGAAGGGCATACTGTACACGGAGTGTACAGAACTGTATCTGTATAAGTAAGTTACTGTTAAGATACCATATGTAGTGCCAAAGTCGTAATTTTCTGCAGGCTTTATGTGTACTACTTCTACTCTTTTCAACATATCGTAATCCATTTAACACTCTTTATAGTTGCTTATATTTAATTTTATAATATATCACTGTCTTCCATTACTTTTGTTTGTTCCTTTGAGTCCTGTCGCTTTAACATGATTCAAACGCAGTCTCAAAGTCGTTCGCTCTGTCATGATCAGTTAAAAAATTTGTTGAAACAGTAACATAAAATATTTATATGGGTAATTTACAACTAGAATGAGCAAAAGAAGTTGATGCATTAAAATATAATGAAAAGCCTTGCAGCTTCGACCTGTAGGACAGTCTTCGTACGACATAGGCGTATCATTTACGAACACGGTTCTTGAAATACATCAGCCTAAGCGGTTGGAGGTGATTTTTTTCTGGGCACCAAATTGCCGGAAGATTTAGGTGTGATGGAAAGAGCTGCAGAGCCTCTTAAATTCGACGGAATCCAGTCATTTGGAGGTGTATCAAAAAGCGGTTGATCCGTATACAAACGCGAATTGGCAAAGTCGACATAACTAGAGAATCTGAAACCACACGTACAGCCTTATTGATAAGTTTTCAAAATACTGTAATAAAATATACAACTTGTGAAAAGTCAAACACTGCTGTGGGTTGAATTAGGAACACAGTGCTGTCCTAGTGTTAACTGCTCAATTAAGTTATGGTTATGGCCAAAGCAGAACAATTACGAACATCTAATTCTTACCGTTCACAATCCACATTGAAAAAATAGTCGCACACTAAGGTAATCTGGTTGAAGAGAGTTGGAGGAATACATAAATAGCTTGTCATATTTCCGTTTACATCGCACCTAAAGATGTTCAACATGACTTTTTCGATGCGTAAACTACTCAAAGCATATTTTAACAATTCATATTTTCTTTATACGGGCAACATGATATCAAATATATCACAGAACATCAGGAATCTTTACATCTCATTTTTAAAGAGTAATAGCACACCACTTTACCGGTGAAAAATTTGGCATCTGGAGGCTGGGGAAGTGTCTGCATAGAAGCCCGGATTTTTTTTAGCGCTACAATCGAAGGTTATGTCTTTGGGAATTTCTTTACGGATCGGAAATGATTCGCCCGGCTTCGCATTGTACAATATATCCATGACCTGATCCACGTCCAGGGCGGGTTTTAACAAATCAAAAACATACTGTTTATCCCCGACGACAAATAAAGCAAGATGGCCGACAAAGAATGCAAAAGCTAAAAACAATTTAATGGCATTCATGGTTTGCACCAACGGTTTACTTAGGTTTAGAACTCAAAAATTAGAAGTAGTAAAAGTACTGCTAGAAGCTTTTTTGTACTGAAAGAAGTCCGTACCGCAAAAAAAAACAGTTAACCAAGTAGTGAGGATAGCCTAAACCCTGAGAATCAAATAGTATTTATACCATATCCGACAGATGGTTCTGATTTATTCTAGTTTGCTTATGTTCGTGAATTATGAATCATAATTATTATTTCGATGAGTTTTTGATTTCTTTCAGTAAACTTCCGCATGCTTAGGACTTGGAGTACTGGCTGTTTCAAGTTGGGTAGCATTGTGAGAAGTAAGAATGCGTAAAAAAGTTCACTCGCTTCTGACCACACCGTAACAATTAATAATAAACTCAGACAATGCAGCTGTTTATACATTTGTGTTGCGTATTGCAGAAGACACCTACCTAGTACCTACTGGCATACCTGCTGTGCGTACTAAACTGCCTTACCTCATTTCATCGCAAACTAGTTTTCATCGAGCGGAAGTTTTGTGGATCATTTGCTTTTGGTAATGTGGTGTGTGTGGTATTGTAATATATTATACGGATGAATAACTAAGTGTGAAAACTAAGAGTAAGGGTTTTAGCATAATTTTTGTACCTCTATTTGATAGTTGAGATATTGGCAAAGTTTGTTTCACGTTTCATGATCAAAGAACAATCATAAGAAAAATGTAGGATGTTGCCCCAAACTTCTTACCTCAAAAATGTTGCTGTATAAAATTTTAATCGAGCGTTTTCTTGCCATGCTTTTATCGTTTGTATTAGATAATTTTAGAGCTGTATGTACTTATAGCGGACACATAATATCTGTAATAAATTTTATCGTCTGTAATTGATCTTTTTGATAATGATGATATAAGAATATGATTCACTTTATTGTACTCTGTATTACTTGAACATCAGTCTGATCAAGGTGATACTTTGTTATGAACTGAATGGTAGCAAAACTGGATGGGAGCATACCTACCGTACATACTAATGTGACCTGCAACGGTTTATTTTAATTTTCATGTACTCTACTGTACAGTGTATGGCAAAATTAATGACAATGCGTTTGAAGTTTGAGTGGCAAGCTACACCGATGGCGAGAGGCAACCGCGCGCTAATGCAAACTCAACTCCAGGCTCTATGTAGACGAGAGCGGGCATTCGTAATCATATGAAAGAATTATTAGTTATTTTGAATAAAATCTAAAATTGTAAACTACCTACCGGCAACTGTGAAATGCAAACGCTTAGACAAAAAAATTCTAGCGTACATTCATTTACGATGCATGTGCGCCTAACTTTGCTAAGAAGAACTTACTAGTATTATTAATCATTACCCTGGCCGTTTTTTGACGGGCCGGAAACATTGGCCTTAGAGTTAAAATATGTCATAACGGTGATTGACATTCTCCAGAATACTTTACGTAGAAGTACAATAAAACTGTTTGAAAATTGCCTGCTGTCGATTATCGACCGCACCACTACTTTGGACTCGCGCGGCACAAAATGGGTAATATTATTGCACACTGCATATACGGTTGCGTAACTGTAAATATATACCGTGTTGTGCAAAGGCACGCGCACATGGCCGATCAACGTCGATATATACTGTACATACAGAGATTTCGACCTGTGGGATGACGTGTATCGAAGTTTCATTAGGACTGTGTGGTTGTTTGACCCTACTTCCAGTAAGCCAGGGAAGAGTCTTTGTGATGCGCTCATAAAATGGGATTGGCCGGCAGTTCAAGCTGCTGAATCGTTGTCATGTATTTGATGTAAAACCACGCTTCTATATAACGCATGTTCAAGCACTGCGAATCTGCGGTCATACTCACACTTTCGGTCTAATTTTTCAAATATCATGTATATTCATATCATATAGGAAAGCATCAGAATTTACAATAATACATAAGAAACATTTTTATCAATCCTCAAAATTTAGGTGGAATTTGTTTAATAATATTCTGTAGTATGTGCTTATGTGTCGTATGTGTTGCGTAATACTTTTTGGTTAAATAGCAAACAGACTTATAATTCATGATACGCAAAGTACAGGTCATCTTATACAAGTAAAGTGAAATCTTCCAGATAGCAATTTGCTGTCTGTGAGATTTTACTACTACAAGATTTGTAGTTTTGGTGGCTCCACATAAGCAAATAATGTTAGTTTGCTTATTATTGCATGCGAATTTATTTAGTTCTGGTCAGCAGATCATTGCAAATGTAAGCCTGCAAGCCTAAATTATCAGGCTGTACAGCCTGATAATTTAGGCTAACACATGTGTTAGCACTTATATCATACAAAATCTATACTTTAGTATCCCGTGCAATATATATCAAAGTCATATTTTTGCATTTGCCAAATCTGCAATGAATATGCATACGATGCTGTTGTTGGTGCTGCCGGCACAGTATACAACAAACGTTTGTGATGCGTGCATTGCGAGTACTGCACTCTGCCCGTGCCTGACAGTGGGATAAGAAGGCGGGAATAAGAAAAAGGTTCATGACACATGGGAGTGTTACACTGGCAAATACAAACACTGCTCCAGCGCCAGGCCCAGGGATGATTCCCCTCTCTATATAGCCGTCAATATCAAGTCAGTATTGCGCAAGCTTGTATTGCATGCTGTAGCATTGCTATTTGCATGTGACTTACTTTCCCATGACTACTTGAGAGATTCATCTTTTTTACGCTTGAAGATGACGGATACCATGTTCTTTGTTAAGCATAAGAAATATCCGTTGTTATACGATCTTTTACCACACAACGCCGGAGAAGTGTGTCGTCCGGTGTGTTAGCGAAAAATTTCTCTTGAGTGCCCACCAAGTGAGATACATGAATGTCCAGTTTCAATTATTTTTTCTGCGGTTTACTAAAGCATACAGTACTGTGGTTGCTGTTATAAGCGTTTTCACGCTCTAATGTTTATACACCCTTGCATGACGGAGGCATTTATCTGTTTGCCAATCCTTTCGGTAAAGACTATTAAGTGTGCAGATTAACACAGTTATATTTCCACAATTTTCCTTTGAGGCTTCTGCGTCAGGGCTGATTCATTTTCAAAGCGAAAAACACCCTTTCTTTCATGACATATACCGGCTCGTACTTGTGGAATACGCATGTGTGGCACGGCTGCGGATGATGCTTATATTGCGTAATCACCAATACGTTGCAAAATTGTCGTCTTTCGTGCTGTTTTCTTACTGATGATACTCGCCACAGTTAACTGCATTCGGATGTAAATATTCCCCTAATCCACAGGAATGATTCGTATCAAGGATTTTGGCGTATTGATCTTTACGCTAATAGCAGGTGAGCCAATTGTGTACCAAATCTTATGCGTACGTTTTGACGCTTGTTTTTGCCGGGTGTGATCGTTGCACCGTTATGCCTCAATTCGATCGGAAGTTATCCTCACTTAAAATCATCTAAAAAAGTTCATTCGAAACCGTCAGCTGTGTGCTGATGTAACTTAAATAATTAACAATTCCTGTGTACCACAATGACTGGAATAAGCAACGTCTGCAGTAAGTAGGTAATCTAGTGCGGCAATCAAATTCCCGAACGCATAACGTTAACGTTCATGCAACCAGCCACATGTTTATGGATATTATTTTTTGTCTTCATCACCACATAAAAAAAGAAAGCACAAATGTTGAGTACGTGGATTATTTATTGTTACTTAAACTTTCAATTAATCAGTTCCGCTCTCTAATAGTGCAGACTTCGTCAGTAGGCTGCACTACTGTAGAGCGGCACTTTATTAAGATTATTATATCGACCAGTTTACCTGGTAAGTACATCGCTGGCACATCGCTCACTTTTTTCGCGATTATTAGAAATTAATTTGCTTTGTGATAACTGTGGTCATCCAACATATGTATTATACAGCAAATAAAAATTTTTAAATCTGCAGTTATCGTATTTGCATCGCATTGTGTACTAGTTGTGCTTGAAAACGTGGAACTAACCATAAGAATATACGCACAGATGGGCAGGGTTAATATTCGCTTTAGAAGAACATTTCCCACGACTCCCACCTCAAAGGTGATTTGTTGATCGTCTCTATCAACTTTTGCAAAAAACAGTCAGGCTGTTTTTAATTATGTGCAGTGGACAGTAAATAATAAATTTTTGGCTCGTACTTGCTTCTATACATATATGGCATTTTCCTGTTATAATTATTATCAACTATCGGGATATCATGAGGTTAATCCATACGAGTATGATACTTAACTGTACCAGACGTATGCTTGGGTTATTTAGAAAACCGCTCGGCATAATCTGTAAAAAAAATTGTCACGCTGATGAGTGATTTGCGTCGGCAACGTTTAACTATGGGCTTTCTTTGTGGATTTATGCGGTTAGCAGCATTGAATTACAGTCAGTTTTCGTCCTTGAGAAACACAGCATTCATCTATACGTGATGTTGTAGTAGAAACACAAAACCAGCTGCTGCAGCATGCGGTTGTAGTACGCAAGATTCCAAGAAAAGCACAAGAAAAAGCTTTCTCTGTGCGTTGTGTCCTATGGATCCAGAAAGGAAGTGCAGCAGCTCGGTAATTGCGTAACATTGGGCGTTTGTTGCGAAATTGCTCTTTCCGGGCATGAAAACTCACTGGAGAATAATCAGAGATTACGTAAGCGAGTGGTTCGGGAAAGACATACGTCACGCATACAGCATATATCGCTGGTGTTATCCCGTATCCATTGCACAAGCACGGGCCTAATGTGATTTGGCCTGGGCTCGTTCCATGTGATATTGTGATAGATGGGAAGGAAAGGGAATAAATTAATCTAAACTTATGAGCTGGAAACGCAGATAAGAACGCATAGGGATAAATATAAAACGTCACATGATACCCATAACCATGTCTAATCAAAGTGCGTTATGTGTCTACTTACCACACCGCATGCTGAGTGATACGTCACTGCATTGTAAATTGTTAAAAATTGCCAGAAATATAACATGCTTGAAGTTTCTGACTATGTGACAGTAAGTGCAACTCCAAAAACGGTGGTGCAATTATATCGTGGTGTTGAACGTCTCTAACGCTGTGAAGGTAGAATACGGGTTAGGACAAAAATTAATTATTGGTTTCGTATGCGTATAATCATTAAATTTGTGTTCTCGATGCATTGATCATTGCTTATCGGTAGATCTACCGACAAGCAATGAAGCAAGTGTAAACAGACCGCTGTAGATTAATCTTAAATTTTTATTTTCACTAAGAGCGTTTATAACTAAAGAAAAAAGGAGTTATAAAATCTGGCTTAAGGGCAGCATTAAAATCGTAAGTTGTACGTATTCGCACTGAAGATTGACCTTAAAGCGCAATAATAAATTGCCGATTAACGCAAAGAACATTGATATAACCAGCAAGTTCTTAAATTTCAGTTTCAGTAACCGATGCCAGCGGGGAAGCCTTACTATGTGCTGGATCACCGCGGATTATTGAAAGTTCTCCCAGAAGCCACTGGGGATACATTGCATCACCTAATCATGCCAAATCATATCCAGCTGAGCATATGCAATGCACGTTTAAATTTTTACCGAAGGCAGATGAACAAATTCAGCTAACGTTTACTTACTTTAATCTTCGGGAATCCGACAAATTCCCAGCGTGAGTATAACATTGTCATCTAGTTGCTAACACTGTATGCATGCAGAATATAGACTATAATCTATGTACCTCTTAAGATGCGTACATTGACATAAAGACATACTTTTTCACAAGGTCATACTTTACGTTTTCCATTGAACGATGCTTACGTAATTGTCGCGCACTTGCATATTACAAAGGTTGCAGACTGGTGTTTGAACTGCTTTGAAATTGTGAATGAGCGTAGTATCGATCCAAAAGGTTGAGATCTGCAACACAAAAGAGCAGGTGTTATAATATTATGACCTTACCGCATGTACCCAATGTGCAGTACCACACTTTTGTATTGATCATAATCGGTACACTATAAAATTAAAAAGAATAAAACGTTGTTTTGTGTTGCGAGGCTAATCGTGTTGATAATATATAGTAGAAGTACAAAATTTTAAGTGTTTTACTTTGTCGCGACAAAAGACCCCGTATTTCCTCATTTTTTTGGTCTGTGACGTTTCTAGTTCTACCCAGCTGTAGTTCGTCGCTCTAGCCTTACGTTTATTCATATTAACTGCCTCAAATGGAATCTCCAAAAATGTTTGTTATAACATTTAATGCCGGAGATGCCTCATAAAGCATCCATAATTGATCGAGAGAGTACAGTTTTGTAATCAGGAAATTAGCAACAAATTTCCACTTAGTGAAATACCAAAGCTGAATAGCCAAAGCCCGCAAATGTTGTAATTGCCATAATAGAAATAACGTAAGATGCACACAGATACGAATAAAAATGATGTACTGTATTCTTACAGATCGCTAAACTGCGACTTGTCGGACTCTGTCAAGATTTTCGTGGGCACCAACAGTCGGCCCACTTCCGATCCCGGAAATCAGATCGGGGAATACTGTGGTCGCAAGCAACCTGAGGTAGTTATGGCCGTTGGACCAAGACCTTTGACCGTCTTGTTTACCGTACGGGCAAAGGAAAATCCTAATATAAGCTCGGTGTACATGTTTAAAGCCAAGTACACATTCCTTAAGGATTATGGATTAAGCAAAACGATTGCACAACAAAACCGCACAGCAGGTACGGACGTACTGGCGCTGATATTACAAAGCAGATGTTCTACAAAAGCGTTTGTTAGTAACTCGTGGTCAGTGTTGTGAGCATATATCACAATAATTTTAACGTTTTTGCGTACTTTATTCGCAGTGTTGCTGTCATCAGTAATCCATATTATACTACTTTGGATAATAACATTAAATTGCTTAGGATGTCATTTCATATATGATGGAAGGAGAGTGCCGGCCACTGGAACCTTTGAAAGGTAACTGATAATTTGATTTCGGCTTTTGACTAATTCGGATTCAAATTTCCCACGATTATATCACGTCCTTCTTTGTTGTATATTTCATTTGTTATTTATTGTTTGTGCTGCTTGCAGCCCAAATTTTGGAGGATATTATCCGTTTTCCACCAACTGTATTTACACATTTAGATCATTTAACAATCAAAGCCTTCGACTGCGATTTAACACATTTGAAGTGGAAGGACAACAAGAGTAAGTCAGTTAAATGCGACTACATCAAATAGTAAAAATCCAAAAAAGTACATAAATGACGCAAGAAGCCAGAATACGTGGTTGGATATACTGTATTCTTTGCGCAACACGGAAACTCTCGTATTCTGACTTATGTTTTTGCAATACTGTTGCGCAGTGGAATAAACTTGTGATTTATTTCCTATCGATTCACGACTGTATCAGCTGGCAATGTTCAAGCTTCCGTTTTATATTTGCAGTTGTCGACGATCGGATGACGATATATTGCAGATTAAAGAGGGCGAATATGACTGGAAAGAGTTTGCTGCTCCGGCCGAAGAGGATCCGGCAAAACGGCAGTCCAACAGCCAGCTATATTGTGGCTACAAATCCCCACCGGAGCTCAATTCTAAGAGCAATGTTGTTAATGTAATTTTTAAATCCGGACAATGGCGGACGAAGCTTGGTTTCCAAGGGACTTACACCTTCTTCGGGCATCCAGGAATTTATCTCCCGGCTAGCTGTAAGAACTGTTTAACTTCCGAATTTCAGCAGAAATTTCACACCGGTACCGCATCTTACTCGATTGACAGTTCGCCATTTGCATAAGAAATTACTAACTTCACAAATGAATAAAACTCTATGGAAGTATCTATTCAGTATCCATGTGCATCTTTTAGAAACCTTTGTTACACAAGGTACCGCAGTAGAACCCACCTAAACAATATCAACAATTGTTTGGGCGGGTTCTACAACAAGGAAGAAATCGCAATTGTTTCTTTTATTTAGGAAGAAACAATTGCGATTTCTTCCTAAACAATTTCTTTGTGTAGCATCAAATCATAATATTGATGCTCATCCGTTAGAAAACTATTGACAAGTAAGTAATTTAATTCGAAAGCGAGGTTTTGGTGGCATTCGGTAAAGCTTGTACCGCTACCTAGGTTTAAAATTGTTATTTCAGCCTCTCGAAATGGATACGACATGGTTCTATTAACATCCTTCCTAATTGTTGTGCTGGTTCTGTGGAACGCGAACAAGTAACATGCTATCAAGAGTCAATTGCAAGATGACCATTCCACTCCGATGTCTGCACAATCCAATTTGCTGCGCTGAGCCGGCGTTGTGAAAAATTGATATCTGGTTAGCATTCCATCTGGTTGGTATCCCAAAGAGGATACAAAATCAAAGGTATTAGTATTCTTTTTGTGGACAAATCAAAAAGCATTTACAGCGCCACTCGGTTTTCCAAACCCGTTTGGTTGTCTGCTCTCTCTGATGCTCCTCTACGTTTCGGTCTCCTAATTTGATGCCTCATTATATATATATTTATACGTAGCCAAAGTTTTATCCTTTTGTCAAGTGTGTTTGAATAAGCATTTTCCCCCATTACGTTGATTGATTGTAAGTGGACTTCCCGGTGACAAAAGGGTGACTTCCCGTATCTGATGGTTATACCAACAACGAACGCCCAAACGGATGTGTCACTGATGTGTGTCAGTCTTGTCATAAATTTTGTATGTGTTTTTGTATAAGTGTTTCCTGTCTCAAAATTGTCTGTGGTTTGTTCTGACAAATTCCAAGCTAATTTTGTAGAATAAAGTTTCATCGTTCTTCTTATAATACTAAGGCTTCAAAATAGTACTCGTACGAGGAACAAACTGCAATAGCAAATAATTATCGGCTGCAGATACTTGCGACATTCAGGTAATGAGCTGATCATGAAGTTTATGTAGCCGATTTCGCTTAACCATTTACAAAACAAAACTTTTTTTATGTACCGATTAGCGCCAAAATTAAAAACTTGTAGCTGTATATATAACAGCTGTTGCAAACTTGTAGCTGTATATATAACAGCTGTATTGTAGCAGCCGCAAACATGTACTACTGCGCCGTGGAAAAGAAATTTATTCACATCTTTATAAATTTTCACAAAGTATGTCTTCTACGGCGGCTTGCTGTCTAGAGCTGGTGAATCCGTATGCTCGATTATATTCGTCACTTCTGTTAAAAGTGGGAATCTCTTTAAACTTGTCCTGTTTTGAATTTAATGGTATTTAATTGCTAGATGATTGGTAAAATAATACTGACGGGGCAACATTAAGAAATATATACAGTATAATATGTTATCGTTAGAGTGTTAATCACATTCCGGCATTCTCGATCACGCACTTAAGGCCATTGGATGTGACACACGCTCGTAAAGGGATGGCCTTTAAAGGATACTCAAACTATCCAGTGTCCTTCAGCTGAATAGATGTTTGGATAATACGTTAGCTTCTGCGACTGTAATGTGCATCGATTTGTTGTCCTGTGTGTATGCTATCCAGCTCGGATCTCGTCCATTCTGGTGTTTATATATGGAGCGGGATATGGATGTTTGGCGGAGGATACGGGGCCGGAAGGAAATAGCTCAAATGCAGTAGCAAGCATTATAATAATTCTACGTTAGAGCCAGCAGCATCTGTTCCGATAGCTTTTAATTACTCTGACATCCGTTCAATTAACAATCCCGATACTTCCTCTTCAAACTCCGCGTGTGGTCACTTAGCGTAATCTTCCGATCATTGCCCGCGGACAGTTAGGTCGGAACCGTGAGAACTATTTCGTGCGTATCTGCTAGTTGGCGATTGTGTTCATAAACACAAGAAAAACCGCTAAAAGTCGTTGCACGAGTATCATGATAATGGTGATACTGCACAGTAGAAATGGGTTGTTTTCGATAATATTTTTTCACATTATCAGCTTTAATTTTCAGAAATAAAACAAAACACATCCACAGTACTCATTTAAAAAATTTTAAATAATAGTTTAATTGCTTCAAGATTATAATTGTTTGGTTAATTTGTGAAGCATCGGTGTATATTATTCTCTATTTCCGGGCCAAATGTACATAAATCGATCCACAATTCACGATCAGTTGTTAGTGTATAGTGTATACCTATTTTACGCGTACAGTTAGTCGTGAATCAAGAGAATAATAATTATTCCGAATAATAATTTTTTGCTAGTTATTAGCAAATAGGATAATTTCTTTGGGTTATATAATGTTACCATGGATGACCAAAATTCACTCAACAGATGAGTCACGTAGTTATTTAAATTGGGCTTCATAATAATGATTACTATATTTTTTAAATTAATAATAATATTATGCTGTACGTCTTTGCAGTTCTGTAATTACATTAGTGAATAAGCAAGTACGTTACTAACAATAAATTGCATTAGTACACTGGTAGATTTTGTATCGTTAATAATGGTATTATTTTCATTCATGGTTTACAGAAGATTAGCAAGTACACGTGTCATATTGGCAACACTGTGCCTCTTGCAATTGTGCCTTAAAAGTCCGACCTCTACGGTTTTCTCACTTAAAAAACGCACTCGTAAAACATTACGCCCGTATCTAATCAAGCGAGTCCTTATTTGACGTTTCCGGTCGTCATTCGCTTCCGTGCTTCCATGGCCGTCAAAGACACGCACCTGCAGCCAATCGTGGAATCAGGCACGGAAAACCCCTTAGTCCGGCAACAGCAAAAAATCACTTTTGACATTCTGAAGGATCTGTATGAACGACAGCTGATTTACAGCGACCAAGTGGAGGATTTACGGCGTCGTCTGTACACACAGGACGCAGAAGAACAGACCCGCTATTCGGATGTGGAAGATAGTATGCAGAAAACCACGCAGACCTATGACGAACAGGAAAGAATTATCGAAATTGCGGATTATGTCTCGGAGGAGCAGGAAATCATAAAGCTGTTGGAGGATTTCGAAACTGAGCAAGAACGCGAGAATATGCTGATTTATTTGTCTAACATCATTGACCGTCGAATGGAGAAGATCTTCAGTCGAGCGCAATATCTGCGCTCCAGTATGGAAAAGCGCCAGTATGACTATTACTGTAGCTATAAATTCGCTAAAATGATCAAAACTTACGCCGGCTCTTACACGCATTTTGGCGCGCGGGCCGCCGATTTTTTCTCCGCCGTTTTTCAGACCTTTCTTATGTTGGTCGTACGGGCGATCCTGATCTTACGCGTTTTATCGGCTTATTTCGATAATTACAGTGGATGCCGGACAGCGCTGTTTTGTGTGATCATGATCACCGTATCAGTGAATATGTATCTGCAGCGTCAGCTGTGGGATTTGACCTTCTTAGGTAAAATCTTCCGTTTATTCCAGCGAATTATCATGAGACTGGATTTACTGATAATGCCGGCCATAATGCGCCTGTTACAGTGGCCGTTGGGTGTGTCATTAGCAGCGGCGGAACTGCTGGTTGGGATGGGGGAAAGTGGGTTAAGATTGATCAGCAGGAGATTTGCGGCGACGCAGATTGTCAGTAAAGTGCTAAGTGTAGCCCACTGGCTACAGAACAACACACTCGGCCGCATAGTGGGGCCGGATAGCGCTCTTTTCCGCTGTGCCAGCGCACTGTGGTCAATGATTGATTATGTGTTATGTCCATTTTGCTCCACCTGGGAGGGCAGTGTGGTGAAAAGTAGCCTCTGTGTGTATGCTGCCGATGGGCGCGGAAAAAACTGCGCCAACTGGTTTGACATAATAAACACGGCACTGCATGATGTTATGGCGTGGCTAGCACGCGGGCTAATAATGTTAGGCTGGACAGTGTTACCGTGGAATTGGTGGCAGTTTTTCGATCATGTCGAGGATGGGCTTGTCAAGTTTAAACGCAATGTACTCGATGCATATGCAAATGATTAAAATCATATTTGGGTCAGGAAAGCTTGGATTTCGAAACTGAGCAAGAACGCGAGAATATGCTGATTTATTTGTCTAACATCATTGACCGTCGAATGGAGAAGATCTTCAGTCGAGCGCAATATCTGCGCTCCAGTATGGAAAAGCGCCAGTATGACTATTACTGTAGCTATAAATTCGCTAAAATGATCAAAACTTACGCCGGCTCTTACACGCATTTTGGCGCGCGGGCCGCCGATTTTTTCTCCGCCGTTTTTCAGACCTTTCTTATGTTGGTCGTACGGGCGATCCTGATCTTACGCGTTTTATCGGCTTATTTCGATAATTACAGTGGATGCCGGACAGCGCTGTTTTGTGTGATCATGATCACCGTATCAGTGAATATGTATCTGCAGCGTCAGCTGTGGGATTTGACCTTCTTAGGTAAAATCTTCCGTTTATTCCAGCGAATTATCATGAGACTGGATTTACTGATAATGCCGGCCATAATGCGCCTGTTACAGTGGCCGTTGGGTGTGTCATTAGCAGCGGCGGAACTGCTGGTTGGGATGGGGGAAAGTGGGTTAAGATTGATCAGCAGGAGATTTGCGGCGACGCAGATTGTCAGTAAAGTGCTAAGTGTAGCCCACTGGCTACAGAACAACACACTCGGCCGCATAGTGGGGCCGGATAGCGCTCTTTTCCGCTGTGCCAGCGCACTGTGGTCAATGATTGATTATGTGTTATGTCCATTTTGCTCCACCTGGGAGGGCAGTGTGGTGAAAAGTAGCCTCTGTGTGTATGCTGCCGATGGGCGCGGAAAAAACTGCGCCAACTGGTTTGACATAATAAACACGGCACTGCATGATGTTATGGCGTGGCTAGCACGCGGGCTAATAATGTTAGGCTGGACAGTGTTACCGTGGAATTGGTGGCAGTTTTTCGATCATGTCGAGGATGGGCTTGTCAAGTTTAAACGCAATGTACTCGATGCATATGCAAATGATTAAAATCATATTTGGGTCAGTTAAAGCTTGCTTGACGTCCCACGGGATCATCGCCTCATCTAACACAACTCGTGCGCCCCGGCCACACACACAAAAGGCAAACCAAATCCACTGGCATATTAAACTTTTTCTCTCCTGATCTTAATTGCGTTTTCCATGATTCACTTCTTTTTCCCCGTCAGATGCCCTATGTGTAACCGAGGATTTAATATGACGCTAAGATCAATATGGCAGCTGTATATTATTCACTACCATGGTAATTTCACCTTGCAGCTGTTTAATCATAGCTTCTTCAAGATCCTTTCTTCGCCAGCGCCAGCACCGAGCCGGCACTATCTTCCGCATGAAATCGCACGTTGCAGATGCCACAAAAGCCCAAAGCTATCCATAGGGTAACATCTGATGCGGCCTCACACGGAAGTCGGCGTAATCATGGTCTTCATAGATTTTGTTGCGCTCTGATATGTTTAAATCAAAAATTTTAATCGATGAAAAGTTACTGCACAGGTAGATATTACGAGTATTTTTTAAATAGTAGTAAACTAAAATATAAGTACGAGTACGGATAGTGCGATATATTTCACGTTTTGGACTCTTGACTGTTGCGTACAACGAAACCTCATCTACGGAGATACTGTACAACTCCGCAGCAGTTCAATCAAAGCTTTAGTTCCAATAGTCAGTGTACAAGTACACAGAGTCCAGAGGCCCAGAGCTATCCGTGGCATGTGATTCAAGCCGCGAACGGACATCCCGAGTTTAACGTCGAAACCAAACGTAATTCCGCTTCGAATTAATTCCAGTTTGCAATTAATATGGAGCCCAGTATATAAGCCAACATGCCAATGCCAGTTAGTTTAAATCAATCAGAACATGCAGCCGATTTCCTGTATCATACATACACGGAGTTCAACGGACAGATTATTAATGGTTCAGTTAACTACTACCATCGTTGTTGTCGGCAAGATAATTTCAAAGGATCCTGAATTGTTGGATACAATAGATCCAAATTATTTGTGGTTTTAGACCGAAGTTCGGCGCCCAGTACTCGATAAAGTGATTAGTAAATGCGATAGTTCAGCGCTGTCACAAACTGTGGTACCCAGAATTATCGCCAAAATAGTTTAATGGATCACTAGATTCATTACTATACGTATCAACCGCAAAGCAGCGGTACAACGATATTCGCTGAAACGACATTATTTATCGACGCAGTTATTCAGCGCGGTCCGCAAACCAAAAACAGCAATACCATAAAATTCTAAAACATTTGTCGATTTTTGAAGGAGGTAAAAGCGGTAATTCATTTACAAAAAGCGTACGTAACTACGTATTCTTTTTGCACGTCGATGAACATCTCAATTCTCACTCCACGCTAGTAAAATGTACGTAAACGGTAAATGAAACCGATTTACGGTAAATGAAACCGAATGTCAACTGACGCCTGACGGTAATTTATACGGTGATGCTGTATTGGTAATTAAGGTACTCACAAAACGCTCACAAAACCGCAAAAATCCACAAGCAAAGTCCAAAGTAAACAGATAAAAATTTACAAATCCGTCCAGAATATTAGAATTTCTGTCACACCATTCCTTGCTACTAAGCCAACCAAACTTTCCCTGAACTTAATAAATAAAAAAACAACTAACTCGCTCATTTAGGTACACAAACAAATACTAAAAACAAGCGACAAAAAAAACAACGTTACTTTCGCGCTCCCAACTCCTTCTTCAAACTTCCGGATCCTGAACCAGTCAAGCTTGGTTCATGGGAAGACATTTCCGGTGAATCCAAAATCACACCCGGCACCGTGCCGCACACGGCCTGCTCGGCGCGCTGAGCCAAGGAGCTCAGAAAGGCCATTCGCGAACTAAACTGTGAGGGATCCTTCAGACAGTCCTCATAAGAAGGATACTTCATTCGATAAGCAGCTTTAACGGCATCGGCGCCCAACGCTTTTCCTTCAGCATCCTCGCCCACAACCACCGGTCGCAACACCGACGGCTCAATTAAGTCAAACCCTTTCATAATGCTCTGCAGCTCTTTATTGTTTTCCTCTTCATCGTCACTGTTCTCGCAAGCCATCGTTGCTTTCAGCAAACGCACCTTTACTGGCATCTCGCGGAACTGTATATTTTGTTTACTTACTTTATTACCGCTTTTTCCTCCTTTTTTTGGCCGGGGTGTCCGCATCTGGCGCGTTTCCATGTTTTGTACGATGCAAGCAATTCGGAAGTCTTGGTTTCCATTTTGAGCGGCTTTCGCTTTCGCTGGCTCAATTTGGACAAACTTCAACGATTCCGCACTATAGCTGTAGTCAAAAAACAACTCTTCCCCGGCTAGCAAATCCCTTCTCGCAAAAATTCCGATCCGATTTTCTCCCTGCACGCGAAATATCTCCGGATAGCAATTGGGACTAAGCTTCGAATGATTGGCATAACGAATTTTATTTCCCTTCCGCGCCGCATCCACCACACACTCCACATTCAAATCAAACAGGTAGCTCACTTTAATTTGATCGTAAAGTTTCCCACGGCGCTCTGCTTCCTCTTGACTGATCACTTCCCCTGTGTACTCCATGATAAATTCCCCGGTTTTGGCATCTTCCATGATAAAAGCTCCCCATCCGTGGATATCTGACGGGCCGCATTTAACCCTTTTCTTCGAATTAAACAAAATGGCGGTATTCTTACAACATCCGCCTTTGGCCAGTTTGGCCTGACAACGACATAGTTCCGGGTCACATTCGCGGCGGGCCACATAACACGGACAGCGGTTATTTCTGCAATCTCCCACACAGTTGCAGCCCGGAAAACGATTGGCGCAATTCGACGGGCAATCACAATACCGTTCGCAGTAGGTGCGCCGATCGACACATGTGCAAATTTCTTCATCATCACAGCTAACATTCGCCCCGTGGTTACAGGGAATATACTGGAAATGGCGCACGTGGCCCTCCTTCATCAAATCCTGGCGCATTCGGCGACCGGCTGGCGCGCTGGCGAAGCGTCGAGCGGCCTTTTGTCTTGCACGAGCGCGTCTTTGAATTCCTGCGAAAAAATAATAACCAGCTCAAAACTGTGCGCACCAACTGGCAAGTCTAAAACGTGATTACCGTGCACATGTGGCACATGGTTATCATACGATTTATAACGAACATTAAACGCTGTGTTATCAGAAATATCAACTCAGGACTGATGCGGGAAATCACAAAAATCAAATTCGCTGCGCGTGGTTTCAAAATTAGACCGTAACTATGACATAAAATTTTACCATTAGTCTCGTCATATTCCGCCTCGTCAGGTGACATTAGCAATTCCCGGATGGCGTCGTGCGTGAACTGACACGGTCGATCGACAACAACGGCCAAATCACAGTAACTATAGCTTTGTTCATCGCCCTCCGTCATAAAAGTCTTTAGAATAGCCTTGTCGGCTAATGTCAGCGGCGCACAATCGGACAGCGGAATTGCGGTTTTCGTTGGCTTATTCTGGTGACAATGGTCACCACAGGGATTGCTAGCCAAACTGGGGGGAACCAGCGGATACACTTCCGCATTACGACTACTTTTATATGGATGCTCCAAGCAGTCATACCGGAAACAGCGCGTACAAAGGATTCGATTGATGGAGTCAATAAAGCGGGAGACTGTGGGGGGCTTGCCGGTCTCCGCACCCAGATTGTGCAGGTATGTGTGTCGCGGTTGGCCCAAGGAGCGATAATACCGATGCATGACACCAACAGGTGTTTCCGTACCCCCGAACGCTTCACTTATGGCATGAAAGACTTTTTCCGGAATGTTCTGTTGTTGAGGTCCATTTGAAGACGTGCTAGGTTCCTACACAAATTCCATTACTGATTTATTTGTATGCATTCGGTTGATTGACGTGTCAGATTTTACTGCTGTAGAAAGGGATAAAAAAGAGTACATGCAAGATTTAAATAAAACCATAGTAAAACGTCAACAAAATTCCCAAAATTCGTTAACAAAACTAATCATTTACGGTCAAATTAAAGAGTAAAATTGAATCCTCGATTACTGTTAATGAGTTTTTCTCAAGCAATTTCCGAGCATGCAACAAAAGTTTATTTAAATCAGATATACCTTCAGTGTATGTTCATTCACTGATTCCACGATTTCCTTGATCCATTTGTCACTCAAAAACAGATTTCTCGTGCGGCGACATTCCACAGTTTGAGCCGTTTTCACGTACTGTTTTTCGTACTCTTTTATAAACTTACTATCCAGCTGATCTACAGCAGGACAAGCGAACACTTTCTCGTCTTCAACAACCTCATTCCGCGGCAAGGAAGACCAGGCGAAATATCCAGGCAGCTTTTCAATCAACGGCAATTCACGGGCTGGCCCGCATTCTGAATCCACTGTTTTGCCTAACCAAACCATTCTGACATGAGACGAATCATGCGAATCTCAACAGACAACATCTGTTACAGACACTACAGAAGCTTTCGAAGACGATGATGTTAAAAACAGTTGACTAATTGGGCGCCCTAATTTCAAAATGCGTCTTGGCAAACCGCCAAAAATTTGGCGGACTTTTCAGAAAAACGTAAAACACAGGCATTCTGGTGAAAAAAAATAAAACAAACTTCGTCGCTTCTCTTGAATAGGTTTCTGTTTTCTGAACACTTACCAATCAGATAGGATCGCTTCACATACTGAGATTCCGCAAGCAGGTTCCCGTCGACGTCACGGGCAGGAGACACGGGATTCTCCCATGGATTATAATAATTTGGCAATTCCAGCATTTCTGGATGGCAGACATCGGCTGGCCTGCATCGTTCGTTTTTGTGGCCGTGTTGCGATATGGCCTTAATGGCATCCAGAAACTTCTCTCGTCCCTCTTCTTCTTCTGTAGAATGCATGCGTTTTTCCAGTTTTTTCGCACACTTACACGCCACATCGATAAGTTCCTGCAGTTCCGGATCGACAGGCGGTTTCGTATCCACCAACAGATCGGCTTCATTGTGGCCTGCCTCAGCTTTTCGTTTACGCTTTTTGGCACCCTGGGTGTCTGACGGAGGTTTGTTATTCGACGCACTTGGTCCTGCCTCGCAAGGCTCCATGTTGACAGCACAACTCAACGAGCCAACAGACGACAATTAAAGCACGGTCAATAACGAAAACCAGAGGATAGAGATACGCCTCACTCTACGCAATCGGACGGGCATTCCATATAGCCAAAACTTCTTCACAAATAAAAAAATGAAAGTAAGACTGTAAGAAACTAATTAAATGTGCATATTACTAACAGCAACTTACGTATGCGAAAATAACGCCATGATAAAGGATATCAAGGTAGTTATCACTGGCTTAGTAACAACGACTGTTGCACCGAGCGAAGCGATGTGTAACAAAAGCGTTAGCTGAGCACGAATTTCCTCTGTCCCCCCGAAAGTCAAGGCGAAGAATGTTCCGTAACACTTTTTCAGTTCAACTTTACAATAATAGATGTCCCTCACTCCGGACTCGGAGATAGAACTCACCGTGGAGCCAATAAAAACGCAAGAAATGTGTCGCCGCGAAATTGCTGGAAAGCCGTCAGCAGCTCGTTCGTGCAAGCCTGAAGCCGGCAAACGGCTTTAAATTTCCGTGCTCCCCAGGACAGATACCCGTATGACCGTATCTATAATTCTACGGTTCTACCTATTGATACATCCACTCTATGAGATCTTTCAGGGTCAGACCTTTGGTTCCGTTCTAGTTGGGAAACCGGCAATCTTTACGTGATACTCAGTGATATTGTGATTCCAGGTATAAACTTGCTGTGCATGGATGCGATATACGTAACTTATGGTTATAAGTACTTACATCAGTTACATTATTACGTACTCGTACTGTATTTCTGGCACTTCCGTGGTCTTCGGCGCTGCTGTAGAGCTGCAAGCTAAGAGGAAATAATTTTATGAGAACAGTTGGCTACAACCAAGATTCAGTTTTGTTCCATCTGCTTTCGATTTTTTTGGGTCCTGGAAAAGCGAAAAAATACTGTACTTGTGAACAAATTGGAAACGAAGTAACAGCCGCTACCGGCCAGGTGAGAAACGCGCGAACGGAATTTTTCGGCAACGGCTACGTATACAATCTGAATTCAACAGCAGCGATATGGCAGGCTTCCTGACCACGATTGCCTAGCGGAAGTCTTTCGTTGTGAACATGATTTCATAGAACAACTACTGTACGGGGTAGGTGTGAGACCACCGCGATACCCGATAACTCAGACATTGTAGCCGGAAAAAGTTTTATCAAATAACTGAAATAAGTGCAAGTACCGTATCGAGCGCACCGGGCAAATTGTTTATTGAGCCATTGGCCGGCAAACTTTTGAAGTGGACCTGAATTTCTTCTCGCTAAATGTTGAAAATATTTAATTTTTCAGTAAAACGACTTTTAAAATGACTCTTAACAGCAGAGTTCTACGAAGGCGCGTCACGATTGACACACTCCGTTCACCACCGTCCACCTTCACCAATCCAACACCACACCAACACCAAGTAATAACAAAAAAAATCAAGAAATGAAAAAACTATAGTTTCTATCATCAGCTGCAATAAAAGAGAAAATCGTCGAACATTTTCCGCTAATTCACCAAATCACCGAGTGTGAAATCATTGGCCACAAGAGAACTGCCGCGCCCAGGCTCACATGCCGTCATGCATGGGAACGTCGCCATAGACAACTTCCCTAACTTCCCGTGGGAGCTGCTGGGGATTGGTCAGGAGCTACAATTTTGTACACACGGTAACCAACGGAAAACAGGAGTTTCAGCAGAAAGAATTTAGAAAGAATTACACGAAGCACATATCCAGATAGGGCACCGGCGCCAAATACAATGGCTGTTCCCAGCCATTTCGGCAGAGCCGGTCGGTATTTCAGCAACGCCGTGGTGGTATTTATTTTCGAATTTGAATATGGAGGATAACGTGATCTACAACAAACAGACCAATGTTAATAGTCGTGTTTTGGTTAAGTTAAGCAGTTAAGCAACAATAGAATATTCGTACGCCAGCAAAAAGTCCCATCCGAGCTTCTTCTGTAGCACAGAGCGTTTGTGAGAAAACGTTTCAAAACTAGAAAAGCCATGGTAAGAACCGATTCCACTGGATCCAACTCCGCCAAACGGAAGTGCATCAACTGTAAAGTTACCAAACCAAATGTAACTGAAATACGCAAAAATGAACCAATATTTATTTCAATGAGACCTTGGATACGCGCAAATCACACTTTATTAGGAATTTGTTTGATGGAAATAAACCACAACGTCATTGCTCGACGGCATAACTGGAAATCAATATACAGTAGTCTTAAGTTTTCATTAGGCGATTCCAGAAATATGTCAGATTAGCGTAATTTTTAATGCAACATCAAATAATAAATTTTCCAAGGAAGTCAAAAGAATTCAGCTTGTTTATACACTGAGAACGGGGTTTACATATATGTAAGTCAATCAATTACGGAAAGGAAAGCGGACTATTAATCTTACCTGCGCAATGCATAATAACATCGTTGATGCAAGCTCCTCCACTAGTAGTCTGCCTGAGAATCTTATCGCTCACGTTGTTATCGTTTGTGAAAACATATAAGGCCAATGGTTTCTCGCCACTATTGACAAAATTAATCGCGGAATCGATATCTTTAACTGGAACAATTGGCAAAATCGGCCCAAAAATCTGAAACAAAAGGTATATAGAATTCCCAATGACAGTTTACTTGTACAGACTACAGAAAAAAATTACAAATTTAGTGAGAGATAAAACGAAGCCTAAAATCACCTGAACAAACGCACGAAATTTGCAAAGACAACAACTTCAAATGTCCGCCAGGCGCCAGCTGTTATAGCCAACAAAATGGCAATTTCTCACCTCTTGTTTCATAACGGGCGATTCCGGATCCACGTCCCTCAGCACTGTGGGTGAAATGTAACGGGATGTAGTATCCACATCGCCACCGAAAGCAACATTTTGCTGTTCCAATAATCCTTTCAATCGGCTAGGAAGACAATGAAAACATCAGTACAGAAAAAAGCAACCGTTTTTCAGTAACTTACTCGAACTGCCGAGTGGACACAATGCGGCAGAAGTCCGGAGCTTGTTTAGGATCGGCCAGCAAATCTTTGGAAGCCTTTTTCATTGCATCGACCAACTTACCTTGAACGGCAGGAGTACACAACACGTAATCAGGAGCAATGCATGTCTGGCCAGCATTTAGGTTCTTTCCCCACATAATCCTTTTGGCTGTCAAATACATATCGGCTGTCGAATCCACAAAAACCGGGCTGAAACCACAAAAAAATTTTAGAACCAATTTATCAGAAAGCCTTAACTGCCATCCCAGTTTAACGGAGTGTTATATAATACAGTAGCATCACCTTTAAGACAGATTCTTTTCAAGGCTGAACCTTTTTCCAGTACCGCAATTACTGCTAGCAGCAAAATCTACGCAAGAATACCACTTCTAACCTTTTTCCACCAAGTTCCAGCGTAACGGGAGTAAGATGCTTCGCTGCAGCTTCATACACGATCTTCCCGACCATAGTGCTTCCAGTATAGAAAATATAGTCAAACTTTTCTTTTAATATTCTCCCAGTGTCTTCAGGACCGGCGCAGACAACTTCGAAGCAATCCTACACAGAATTATTAACCAATTAAATCAAGGTTTTAGATTTCGCAACAAATATCTATATTTCAAAGCTGTACCTTGTCCAGGTATCGCGGAAGCAGTTGCTCAATTGTGCGCTCCGTGTTTTCAGACACTTCGGATGGTTTGAGCAACACACAGTTTCCTATCAAAATACTACCGTAAACTCGCTAACCACCCAGAAAGCATTTATTAACAAAATTTTGTTTGTATCTAATCAACCAAAAATATTCGAAAATACATATTCAGTTTATTAATACTCTACAATATTCTTTTTTTCGTTAAATAAGACTTCATTCAGAATATTTTCCCATATACAATACGGAAATTATTTTAATCATCTTGTGGAAAACTTTTTTTCAAATACAATACGACGTTAGAAATGAAAAATTATTCGTATTACCAGCTGCGATGGCGCCAACCATGGGACTGAGCAATAAATTCACCGGGTAATTCCATGCGCCAATAATCAGCACAGTTCCGTAGGGTTCATACAGAATGTACGGATTGTCCATGAGAGTGGAGATGGATTTTTCCACCTGGATATTTTACCACTATGATAAGATCAAGCTTCAAGATATTAAATTGATAATTCTTCTGTAACGATAACATAACACAAGTGTCACAGCAAGCGTATATACCGGATGCGGTCCCATCCATTTCTTCAAATCATGCAGGCACTTCCGGATCTCGTTCTTCACTATCTCTATCTCCGTCAGAATGGCCTCTTGCCGAGGCTACAAAATCATATCGCACGCTATTTTTATAGCAACCATATGTGTACAGCAACAAAAAATTCCGATCAAAATTTACCTTGTGCAGATCTTTCCATAGTGCTTCACACAGAGTGTCGGTGTTCTCGTCGAAAAAGCGCAGCAACTGCGTGAGCTGCGCTTTTCGGAAGTCATATGATCGGGTCTTCCCAGTGCGAAACGCTGCATTCAAGCGCTCCACAATGACTTTGGGATGGCCGCTGTTAGTATCGCCATTTTGGGAAGGTGACAATCTCATGGTGCTGTTCTGTAAAATCTTCAGACTGCAGAAGCAAATTACAGAAGCAACCGATATTCCGCAGGGGGAGAACTATAAAAAGCAAAACAGACTACACTGCACTTGTAATACTTGGTCAATGGTCTCATTATAGTAACTAGCGAATAAGCAGTTCTGATAAAGCAGTTAAAGATTAGAATTTTCCTTTGTCAGTTTTTGACTTACGCACCTGGACTTTGATCGCAAACTTTCGCGGTCATCAGTTATGATTTGTCCGTCCTTATCAATTTCTGACACAACCAAAAGGATAACGAGGTCTTCCTTAATGGGCAAATAACAGGTCTAGCAACTTTTTCATCTTTGACCGAAGTCGTCAGCTAACTTTCAGATACTTTGTACAAATGACACACAACACAAACAGGTTTTGTGGATTTCTGTTTTTGGTTGCAGAACTGCGACAGCTCGCATACGTACTTCTATACTTCAAGACAGTTCACACTTCATAGTATAGAAGTACGGTAATAACGATAATAAGATACCACGTATAATAATCGTAAGATACCACGTATGTACGTGTATGTGGATGTATTGTAAATTTACACATGCATGGTTGTATCCACATTCTACAGCGAAGAAGCAACGGGTAGCATACTTACACTGGTGTAAAAATAATTATTTAAAATGTCACATTATTGGACATAACGGGATTATGGAATTATTGGACACAAACTACACAGCTACGTACTATAGATTAATAAATATTTTTGAAAAAAAAACGAAACACCTGACGCTCTATAGAGTAGTCACACCGGGTGGCAGCCACCATGGTTGCAAAGCTAAACAAAATACAGTAGAAGCATATCCCTTAAAAATCTACTTTCTATGGTAGAAGCACGGTACAAAATTATCCTTTTCTATGGTAGAAGTATGCAAGTACTACCACAAAAACTACGAGCGAAAAAACGTTGGGAGTACGAAACTCTTACAATCCTATTAATTTTTCGAAGTTTACACTTTACAGCTGCGATCAAACAAACATACAAATGTCACATACAAATGCACACTGAAGGTGATCTTTAATTCCTCAAGTAAAACGAAAGCAACTACAGTAAAAAAGTTATGAAGACGGCATTTATTAACAATTACAGTGTACTCCGTCACTGCCTAAGAACAAGTCTTAATATCAACAACACAACAGATTAATAATGAAAGATACCAAGAAAACCGCAATACAAAAAATCTAATATTTATATAACGTCCAGACCGAAAAAAACACCCGAAGTTTTCATAGCAATGCTCTGGACCACGTCAGTAACATAAGATTCCGAAATCACTTTCCTTGTGGATTTGCAAAAAATCATACCGGCGAAGTTATGCCGTGCTCTCGTCGGCTCAATCTGGCGATCCCGTCCAAAGTGACTGCGATTCCTACCGGAACTTTCAAAAGACGGACAAAGCTATCCACTGACAACAAGACGAAACTGCTTCCATCGATTTGCTGCACAAAAACAAACAAGGCACTTCATGAATTAAATGAAAGCATTATTTAACGGACAACCATCCCATAAGTTTAATAACTAATTGAAAAGTTTATGTAATGAGAGACAACAAACCGTGAAGTATCGATCTTTTTACTGCGAATCAACGAACAAATCTCATTTTCACCTCTTTACGAAAGGCATCACAGACCGCTTGATCAGATCCAAACAATTTCTCCACCATACTGAGGATTCCAGCAGTATCCATGGTGGGAACTCTCTTAATGTCGATCTCGAATGCTTCAACCACATCAACGACGGAATCCAGAGCATCATCCTCAGGCATGCGCCGTATTCTCTTTCTACGTGACCCCTGGTGGAACGAGTGCTGGTGGGATATTGCAGTATGGATGTCCTTCAACAACATGGATAGTTTGGTCTTCGTCGGCAAATGCGGCATGTTCTGCAGATCGGACAAATCGCCGCAGTCCATATCAGCCGCACAGTGTTTGCAGCGACTGCCATCTACAAAAAATACAGAAATTTATCGAAAACAAACACAAATATCTGCGAAGTCGAACAACATAAGCACTTTTCTGTTACGTACTAAATTCTGAATATTCTACAGGCCAAGGAAGTACGGATTTATTGTGGGTACTACCGAAAGCTAACTAAGCACTTACTTCGCCTGTCACTGCCGATCATCTTAGACAGCTCTGCCTCGCTTTCGGAAGGTCTAAAACAAAAATGCACAAACTAATCTTGATATGCTTTGAAGAAACAAAAATCCTTCAGCCTTACGGGATGAAAATCTTCGACGCTAAAACCTTGCGCGCTCCAGGCGTGTCGTTTGCTACCGCGAGAATGACGGGTCTGTCATGGCTCGTTCCGCTTATCTGTATCCCAGATATAAATCCCTCCAGCAGGTTCAAATTTCCCCCAAGCAATGGGTTGCTAGGTGACAGTGGGGCTAAGTTATGAATCTGCATAGGCAGCTCATCCGGAATTGACAAATGAAAATACGAGAGATCATTTTCGCTCTTCATGGCAAACTGCGGCGGCAAAGGTGTGTCACATTTGAATTCCATTGGTAATTTTCGAAGGCTGTCACTCAAAACAAATACTCGGACTCGATCAGTCGAGCTAATTAAAATGTACCATGTTTGTGAACGATAACAAGACAGAACAGGAAAGAAAAAACTAATCGTGCGTGCACGGATTATGCAAGGCAAGAGGATAACTACGAGCACCAGTGTTTCGAAAAGCGAAACAACAGCCAAAAGGCCCAAACCTGCATTTGCAACAGCAAAACTCTATGGCAAAACTGACAGGAAGTCATGAACAGATGTCAGGGACTCAAAAGCATTAAGGCTTACTCATACCGGCGATATCGGCGTCCGCCCTGGGTTACACTATAAATTTTGTGGTGACTCATTAATTTGTGCCGCGCTTTGATGACAACAGGGTGTCTGCGTGTAAAACAGGCGACTTTACTACAGCCGTTTTGCGGCACTTTACCGCGCTGGCGCAGGTCTGAATCTCTGAGTCGTCTGATGATGCTTACTAATTACTCACTTTAAAACCATTGAAGATTTCTAAATTGGACTATTGTAATTTGTAAGCCAGGCAAGTAAGTACATCCTGATTAAGTTTTTCTAAAAGTGTTTCATTTTAACTTTACAACGCAAAATGATTACCCATACCAGCGTTATGCGCACCTGTAATGCGTGCAGGCATCACCTGTGACCCTGTGGCCTGTGCACTTGCAGCTTTTACCTACATATATATGTACAATATATGTACTGCACTTGCTTCTACGATTTAAACCTGGACAGTTGTCAGGAATATTGATTATTGCATTCACGAAGGAGAAATCAACCGGGATGCGTGATCCAGTTTCCAGTGAACCCTCTGTAATGCGTTAATCTTGTTTCTTGGTTGGGTTGATCAACGGCCATAATAACATGGTACCGGAGAAATTTATTTGAAAGTGGCTTACCAAAACACTAGCTGTTGAATAGCAGTGACTCGCTGCTTTGGGATTCTTATACTTACTATTCTTCGAATCGGATCTGCTAGATTCTTTCAGATAGTTTACAGTGTTTACTGTTATACGATTCCCAGTGTCATAGTGTGTATCCACTATTCAGTCTCCAAGGTGTTCTCCAGTTGCTGGTGTTCTGATTGCAATTGTTACAACTTGTCGTTGTTGGGGGGTTGCGGAGACATCTCTGTGTGGTGGTTCTGGCTCATGTTTTGTTGAATCGGATTTCGATTCTCATTTTTTATGCTGTGCCTGACAGCTGAATTCGGAATAACAATTTCATTAATCAACTGTCCACGGAAAACGCGAAGATATGCATATTAGTTCATTTGGTGGAGCTTCTGTAGTATAGTGTTACGGACGGGACTGTCTGGACTTCACAAATAATCACAATGTGATTGTTTGGTCAAAATCATGGGACAAATCATCAGCTGGCAGGATTTTTCGCTTGATTCGCGCCATTACTGAACCGGTGTGATTTGTTAGTATTCAGAATGTCGCAGCTATCGAGAACAATGGATGATATCAATCTGGCTGAAGTGGAAGAGATGGCACGTGGATCTGGTCCGAGACCACCGTCTGATCGTCAGCTCCATTTGAGTGTGTACTTGTAATCAATTAATCCGTACAAGTATTTGTTATCTGTCACGATATCATAGCACTGTTGATGACTCGTAATTATTAGATATTTTTCCATGAGTGAATGCTTTCCAATCTGTACACAGATATGCTGCGGAAGAAGATCCAGCAGCAGCGCAGCATGGTGACCAAATTATCCAGGGATGATTTGGAAAATCAGCACTTACATCTTTTGGAGGAGCTAGAAATTTTGAAAAAAGATTCAAACACCAAAGATTTGTATATCAAGAGGTACGATAAGCAGCAGCCCAGGTGTTTTTTTGCGAGGCGTTGTTTATTTGGATTATCCCATATCAAGATGTGCTGGGGTTTGGCAGAATTACTGGTATTTTTTTACTGTACCTTAATGGAGGATTGTTTTGGTAATTAGGCTATCCACAAAAATTCTGAGGCTGCAGAAGAGCGAGAATCTGTTTCATGATGAAGGAAATAAAACGCTGAATGGATCTTTGCGCCTTGAGATGGAGCAAAAAATCAGAAGTCTGGAAAATCAAGTGCGTACGAGATTACTTATGTGAAAAATATTGCACGAAATAAATTCCAGTTATCATAACACTGTTACATACGTATGCTGCATACGCTTGTCCACACCGTTATTGACAATTAAAGCTTGATTAGGTAGCGTAGTAAGAAGAATTTACAAGTTAAGGTCGTTTCAAATAGATTAGAGCGATGCCTGTACGAGTGCATCACGTATCGATGCTGTTGGGCTTTCGGAGAGTGCTCATTAATAATTGATTTTAGTTAAAAACTGCCAAAGTGTACGGAACATCACTTGCTGGCAGAAGAGGATCTCGCACACCGGAACCAAGTATGCCGGCTTCCAACAAAGGTCAAATCGACATTTTACGGAATCAGATTCAGGCACTAGAAGTACAGCTGAAGGAGGAACAGGAACACCACGCCCAAAATGTAAAACACCTAAATTATTGTACTGTATTTAAAGATTTGCTGGATAATTGCTGTCGCTTACTAGTATTTTAAGTTTTTATATTCTGTAGTGGGAATATTTTTAGGTCACAGAATTACAAAACGAAATTCAGCTACTGAAGCAGAAATCTGCAAACGATAACGCCCGCTCAGTAATGTTAGATAACATGGAAGTGACACGATTGACCAGAGAATTATCGAAATCTTCCCAAGAACTGCAACTGCTGAGAAGTGACTACAATGAGATTAAGCCGGTTCGCGTGGTTTGATTGTACTGGCACCAGTCGAGATCTTAATAATTTTGTTTTCGCCTTTTGTACAGAAGTTTGAAGAGCTGCAGATCAACAAAATCATCCTTACAAGGGAAAATGAGCGGTTAAAATGGGAAGTGGAACGCCATGTTCAGAACGTGGACAGTGTAGAACGACAGCTGCGGGAAGCGCGTGAGAAGTCATTACAAGGCATACAAGTAAGCGCATGAAAAATGTCTTCGCTGAAAGAAACGATTTTCCTATTCTTGTTTTGGTTTGTAGGATCAGGAACGAATAGCCAGAATGGAAAACGAGTTGACCCGGTTAAGGCGTCTGGAAACGGCACCCTCTGTCTAATCGTGCCGAGAACAGCCAAATGCTCCACGGAACAAGGTTACTGAAGACGTGCTACAGGAGCAGATAAAAAATTTGGAATCGGAACTCGATAAGGAATACAAAGAAAGTCAAGCACTGCGGAAGCGTCTGACGGATCGTGAGCAGGAAATGGAGAAACTTCTTAAGGACATTACGGAACTCCGTAGTGCTCATGTTCTGTTAACGAAGGAGTGTGAGAATCTGCGGAATCGAGTGCATGACGCTATTGAACCACTAAAGGACACTGACGGCTGGTTTAAAATTCCCCCTGTTAGTTCGCATTCGTAATACCAAAAATTTTATATTTGATCTTTCGCATAAGTATACAATAAGTTCATGGGTTCGATTTCGGTTGATTTTTTGAAAAAAACCTCATAAAATATTTTTTTAGAATTTGCGCAAAGAAGAATTTGGCCATGCCCTTCGCCTATATGATTCCTTCCAGTCACGGCGTGATGCTGGAACTGCTACAGAGCCGTTTACGGAACGGATATCCAATGTGCCAGATAAACAATTGGCTACAGACGAAGTCGATCTAATGAAAGGAGATCTGGATCGCTTGAATCGTGAACTAAGAGTCACAAAAGAAGAGCTGCGAAAAGCTCGAGATATTTTTAGTGCCGAAAATATGCAAAACCAACGAGCATACAATGACGTACGAAGCCAGATATAACAATGGGCGAAAAGTGCGTCGGTCGTAATTTTTACGTGTTTGTATAGGTGCAAGTGGACATTGATCGGTCACGGACAGAAATTGCCAGTCTTAAGCAAAACCTGGAAGAAAGCCATCGTGAATTATCGAAGAAATCAAAACTTGTTGAGGAATTGCAGCGTCAGTTACGCGACATTGCAGAAGGCAGCATGGTGTACAATTTGGAGGAAGATTTGGTGGATCAAAGTCGACTTAGTGCGGATAATATTGTGCTGCAACATGGGGATAACCTGTTGCAGCTACACTTTGGGCCATTCGCTTTTAATCAAGAATTCTTTGCCCAAGCTGATGCCCTCCGGATTTCTCGATGGAGACTTAAGTGGAGCGTTTTTGGAGAGGATATGTTCGCACAGGATTCAGAACAGTTACGACCGGATTTCGATTTCACAGCTGTGCACTGCATTACAATGGACGAACGCATTATGAAGGACATTGCTGAAGTGAGTAATCGATGATAAAATACTTGGATGTTTTTTTTTCGTTTTTTCATTAATTATTTTTAGGGTTTTATCCGCATTGAACTTGTCGGCATTCGGAATGATTTTTCAAGGGCCTTCGCTTTCGCTACATTTAGCTGTCGCAAATTCTTGACCGAATCCAATCTGAAACTGAATCGAATCCGTGGCGAGGTGCCACTGGTTAGTCAGTTCAATATCGGAAAGGATTTCGGCATTATGGTATATTGGATGCGGTTGAAATTTGATGTGCAAGAAACTCAGGCACTTTTCAAGGTAAGCGGTTTTTTCAGGGCTGTTACGTTTGGCGTTTGAAAATTGCCCCAAATTTTTGCCAATATGTAGGCTCGACAGAAAGCGTTGTCGTATGTCGAGAGTAAGGCGAACGGATTACCCGATCCCGATCAGCTTTGGCTGCAGGAACAATCTTCACTGGCTAATTTGCTGCACATTGAAGTGAATAACTGTCGCAGCGTGAAGGCCTCAACCGGTTCCTCACCTCCAAACCCGTGTGTGCTGTACCAGTTTTATAATGGAAAAACGACTTACACACCGACCATCATTTCCAGCGAGAATCCCCGGTTTGAGCACCGTGCCACGTTTCGTGTTACCGAGGATGAAGATCTGCGACATTATCTTATGCACAAAGTATTACAGTAATATTATAGAACTGCTTATTACTGTAGAGTATTATTAGTTAATGTAGCAGTATTTTGTTGTTTTTTTTATGCCAAAATATGGACATGCAAAGAAGATTTCATCCCTGAAAACATGATTTAAACATCGTCACGCAGATGCAGACAGTATTAGCGTAATGTGCTTGCAGAAACTGGATTTCTACGTAACCGATACAAAGGATTATAATGACGATCATTTCCTGGGCTATTGCCAGATCAGTTTGTCGGAATTAACGGAGCATCCCATACTGGACCGCGAATTGCAGCTTTTCGCTCAAAATGAACATCCCAACGGTACTATTACGGTGTCGTTATATTGGGAACGACCATATGGAAAACACCAAGACAGCAACGGTTATTCTGCAGCTCATGTGCCTAACCTTTCCGCCCGGGTTAATCGAGTCAGTCTCACCCCCAGAGGCAGTTTGGTTAGCGTGACACACAACGCAAAGTTGTTAAAGGTGGACAAGCCGAACGAGCCGCATACGACTAGTCCATCCCGTCATCCTACCATCGACAAAAGTGGTATGCCGGCTCAGAAAACTGAAGAACCACATCCTATTCCGCGAAAGAGTATCCGAATTGACATGCAAGCTAATGCCGCAATGCAGGCGGACTCACGAAAGGGAAATGATTACTTTTCGCCACCATCATCGTCCAATCATCGCACTGTCAATCATATTAGTAGCGGCTTTGAGCAAACTAGGGTCACATTGTGGAAAACGGAAATGGACATGCAGACAAAGCGGTGAGTCGTGATTACAGAATGTTATTAAGGAGGTGTTATGAGGAAGAAATATTTTGGTTAGTAACGTGGTCAGTGTCTTCTGTCCGCGGATCATTCGCCCTAATTTACAATTCTGAATTTGGTTTTTTTGCGGGCTGCTTTTTAATCTCTGAGCAATGTGACAGTTAAATGTTAGTAGTTATTTATGACTGAGGTCCATGTTCTTTCTCAGTAACTTCTCTGTATCTGTTAATATTAAACTTGTAGAAAAACGAATCCGGTCGTTCTCAGCGTGGAAATTCGGTTGACAGTATTTCCGAACCCCCAACTAACCGCAATGGCGGATCAGCCAGAAAGACATCATCGAACAACCCGATTCCACAACGCAGGGATAACCACTCAGAGGAATCCCGCACGGCACTGCCGCACTCCGATGTCACTCAAAAATCGAAAGACGAAATAAATCGAAATAATGCCAGCCAACCTACGTCTGCCCGAAATCTGGAGGCTCCTCGCCGCCCACCGCGAAGGATACGGGATACGCCTCGTTCGGAAGGCGCACTTTCTAGTCGCGGAAATATAATAGGTTCGCCTACGGAAGGCAGCGGTGATGCCACAGCACTGATGAGCCCTGATCACGTTCAGACTGTTCGAGCGGAACTGCACTCAGTGCCAAATGGCGATCTCACCCGAAAACCTTCCAATGCTTCGAACGTCCGGCAAGCACAGATGGGAACGAGTCCAAGGAATATCCCCGAAGATAGCGTTGTGATTATTGTACATTCGTTGTATTTCATACCGGGAGCCTCTGTCCTCAGTGATGATAGGCCTGGGGAAGTATTTGTAGTGATTCAGTTTTTATCCGTGGAATACGAGTCTCCTCTGGCTGTGATCAAGCCGAACTTGCCTAACAAGGATCTGACCTTTGAATTTCAGAAAGGTACTGCATCCCGATAGACTTCGGTTTCTCATTTGTGTGATTATTTATAACAGAAGTGTTGCGTATATCATTTTGTCATTTCAAAAGTAGAATATAACTTGAAATTACGCGTAAAGAGGGGGATTATTTCGAAGAGATAGAAACATTCGGTACTGCGACCACCGGCCCGGCCTCATAGTTTTCCTCATGCACCTTTGATGCGCATGTGTTGTCATTACATTGTACTAAGCAATCTTTACCTGTTTTTTGACGTAAACCTCGTTACGATTTTAGTTTTCCCTATGAATTCCAAGACCCATTCCGAGGAACGTAGACTGGTGTTTGATATGCTTAACTCCTCTCCATCCGGACGTATTCAGTTTAGTGTATACTTGCAGTTAGATGACGAGGATTCGGATTCTGAGTTGATCGGTGTTGCCGCTCTGAGTCTAAACAGGCTATTAATAAAAGAGCAAGATGCAATCGAGGCCGAACTGAAGTGTGGGTTTATTATGCGCTTTGTACGATAATTTACTTTTTATGCATTAATTTTCTGGTGTTTTACAGTAATAAATCCAGCAGATCGAGTGACCGTTGGATATGCTAAAGTTACCGTCCATGCCGTTCAAGTGCTGCTTGATATTCGACAGGAGTATAGACAGTCGGTGTGATTTATGATCCCGGTTCCAGAAACGAATTATTGCTTAATTTCGATTACTGTACAAAGAAATGAATCTCGGTGGTTGAGTGCTGCTCTACGTGAACATAACTGATTTGTGAACTGTTTCTCATTTTGATCTTCTTAAATACGCGGTTGTGCCGGCTTTTTTGTTTGTGATCTTTGTCACCAAAAAATGCTAAATTATGAAATAAATCAATGATGATGTTGGAGAGACTTTATCCTAACTACAGATTTGTCAGCAAATTCATTTTATCACATCACGTTATCAACTTCTCAACAATAGTAATGGCTCTGTGCTCGCATTTCGCATCCACAAAGGCTTAAGGACTCAGTTTCACCTTTCCCGATTGTCCCGATTGTCAAAATGCACACGAAATCGCCGTAACATTTAACCATACATTTACCCGGTATCATTTAAAGTACAAAACAAACGCAAAAATACAAGCAGACAGCAATGACGTTTTCATCAGTACAAAGTATGAATGCGCACTTAGCCGGCCGCTAAAATCACAGGAGATTTCATATATCCTTGGTTTAGAATTCCGTTACTTTGGATGTCGAAGGAGCAAAATAATCCGTAATTCTCTTCGTCTTTGGCTTCGAAGGGGGCGTTTTCGTTCGGACTGCGATAACGGGATCTTCTAACTTTAATCTAGAACACATTTCAACACCAGTTCATTCCACATCGGTTAAACCAGAAAACAACCTACTGGCTGCCTTCTAAGCGGACCAATCGTAACTTGCAAAATTATGTTTGTGTAAAACTTTTTTACGTTTGATTTCATCAAGAGCATGCCAGAAGCGGGACAACATAAAACATGTAACAACTGCTTAATGTTGAAAAGTGTAACAACTACCGTATGCATCAGTTTACTAATTCAAGTCTCAAGCACACCTTTTTGTCCCTTTGGAAGATACATCACTAAGCTGTTCGGAATTGAGGCAAAGATCGATGTGTTGGTTCAGCTGAACGAAATCTGGATCTGTCTGAACCGTCTGTGCACAATTCGGACACTCAATAGATATTGCCGGCGCCAACGTGTTTTGATCGACTCCTGGCGAAATCACACTGCACTCGTTAACTTCTTCGTCCAATTGCATTATGGGGGATTCAATCTCTGTATGAGCACCGTCAGTGTCGTGAACTGGACTGCTTTCGTCGATTTGTTTTGCAGGTACCAAAAACTGCGAAATGCTCTTTTGTTTAAATTTATCATCAGCCGCAGCAACATCCTGTAACTGGGATACTCTCACGCCTGGACAAACACACCACGCGTAATTAGCACTAAGGCAGAAATTACTGTAAAGCGGAGCATTCTGTCGTCATTCGGCATTTCGTCACATATTCGGCAATCTTCTCACCCATTAACCGTAAGCGCAGTTTCCCATTTGCGTTCCGGATTTCCGTTTCCAGCAGTTTCTTAGCAATCGGGTAAATTTCATCCGCATGTCCGATCAGACGAGGCACAGAATTAGCGCGAGTATAGGTTTCAAATGTGATTAACTTGAGCTTAATGGTTACGCATCTTCCCTGTATAAGACATGCCGACTGCAGAATCTGCAGGCTAATTTTTCACGCCAATATTTTGCATAATAACGTGAGCAACGGCTTACGCATATGTTTTTCTCTTCCATGGATTCTCCCAAATCTTCCGTAAGCTCTTCCAGTTTCTTAAACAGATCTTCTGGTTTCCACAGTTCTCGGAATGTTCTAAAAAAGCGATAAAAGTAAAAAATATGCCTAAATCTGAAGGGAAAGTTCTGGCAAAAACTGAGTTCCGAATTTAACAAAAGAATCATAAAACAACACAATCTGCACAACTGTCAACATCACAAAATAGTTGTGCGAGACCTGGAGTAAACGCCCAGATACAACGATCCACGTACGGTAAATTGTAAACGCAAACAATTAACTCACACTTTACTGGCGCCAGTCACACAGGCTGCGATTATGAAAACCAACAGTCTGAACCAAGTGAAAATTACCTTTCCGTGCTGATGCTCTTACGCTCATCATCGTTATCCAAGACAGTAGACCCTATCCCCAGTGACACCCGCAAGAAATGCTCCAGGGATAAATCAGAAAACACCAACGCCTGTGTAAATAAGTGATTGATTTCACACAGTGCTAAGCTGTTTCCACTGACAGCGTCCTTAATTCCCCATTGTTATGCATGAAAGACTCACCAGAATGTCTCCCTTCGTATTCAAATCACCGCATGTTGTTACACCTAGTGCAGTTAAAATCTCCTCCGTTGCCGCACCGATACCTGGTACCTAAATCATATTCAAAATCCGTAAAAAGAAATAACAAAAGGAAACAGACTATGATCAATGCGCAACCTTTACGGATGACGCATTTGCAGTGTACACAGTACACCCACATTAGTTTGCTCAAATGAAATCAGTCAACGAAAAACAACGGGGTTGCCTACCTTTCGCACTGGGAGATCACGAATGAACTCCAAAATCACATCTCTAACTGAAGGCAGTTGATATTGACCGTTGGGTTTGTTCTTATCCGTACAGATCTTGGCAAGCCTACAACCATATGAACCTACTGCAGCACCATGCAAACTAATACTTATACCGTATTCGTACACGAAATTTATTACTGCATATTACTGAATTTATACGTATCAGAACTCTTAAAAATTCTGTGTTATTTTTAGTGACTAGGACCATATTAGTAAACTATCAGTCAATTAATACAAAACGAGACTGAGAAAACTGTGATATGAAAAATCAATAACAAAGGTAAAAAGCAAATGATTATGAATTCGTTGATTTTTGCAGGAAAACCATACATCGTGTTACAAGAAATCCCAGCGCTGCAGGTTAAGGATGTTTTCTGAAAGATTCTTATTCGCAGCTCATGTACAGCACCATCCGCATCCACCCCGGCAACAATCTTCTCAGCTGGACGCCCACACCGGGGACAGCATGATTCTATTTCCGCCCCACTGTCTGGATGAATCGGGTCAATCGATGCTTTCTTTTCAGTTAAATACAAGCAGTCGCACTGCCACACCGTGCGCTGAGCTTCCGAAAACTGACTTCGCCTGTGGAGATGATCCGTAATGTCAAGGTACGCTTCGTCCAGCGATGCCGAAACGAAGTTGGGATCGTATTCCGCGAACAGCTGTCGTACGATTCGACCCACATCTTGATATTTCACGAAATTCGGTGGAATGATTATGAGATCAGGGCAGAGCTTTTTGGCTAGAAATCCCGGTTGAGCGGCGCGCACGCCGTATCGCCTGGCCACGTAATTTGACGTAGATAACATTGCTAAAAAGCATAAAAATTATCGCTACGAAAGCGAAAAATTAAAACAAATCTGGAAAAAGACACAGGCGTTAAATTTATTTACTTAACTATTTTTCCTGACTGAGCCGCCACTAATCGCACATCTCAAATTTTCCATTTACATATGAATTAAAACAATTCCCATTTAATTTTTCTTCTGTTGAGCAAGAAACTGATTTAAATGCCAAAACTTGTACCAACCATTTGGCATTAATTAAAAGCAACAAGGATTCATCGCGTCGAGGGTTTAAATCAAACCAGCACATCAAAACCATAATAAAAAATCAAATTAAAAAAATTTTTTTACCAAATCCACTAACCGTTCTATCGTAGTAGACTAGTAGTTGTCCAGTGCGTCAGAAAAAATACTATTACAAAAAAAAGATGAGATTAACTTACACGAACATCCAACAGCTACAGGCTTGGTTTTAAGCTGAGGATTATCGCGCATTTCCACCGCCGCAAAGAACATATCCATGTCCACATGCACGATTGTGCGGCTCAAATCCCGCTCGTCTTCCAATTCTTCAATAAGCCTCTTGGCCTACAACACCAAATCTAAGTAAATATTTGGGCTAAACACTGACGTAACGACAAACGTTTTAAATCTTGCACGTATGATTGCCCGTATTGTGGCATTCGTCATCTAGAGAATAACAACTTAATAAAACAGTGTACATATGCTGATATGCAGTTCTAAAATGCATACCTTCCGTTCCGCTTCTGCGAAGTCCTCCGCTGACGCTTTCGCCAAAACGTCCTTTTTCGAGGCAATCCTTTCCTCTATCAACTTATGTTTAACCTTCTTATTTTCGTGAAATAGAGAACCTTTGGAGGCCTCCGTAAGGATTCGACTAATATCGTCTTTGGAAAGTCCATCCATCTGCGAAAGACCCGCTTTGTTGTCGTTTAAACGGAACATGCCCCCGCTGAAATCGGCCATTGTATATCGGGAACTGGGATCGTCAACCCCAGTTCACCGTGCGGAAGCCACAAAATACTCCAAGAGAATTCTCAACCTTTAGAACTAATAAAACAGAACTGAATTATGTTTTCGGTGTCTGTATAATAGTACCGAACCAATAATTATTTCAGTAACACCATTAATTTAGTTGTTGGCGAAAGCGGGAACTGAGCAGTGAGCACAGCTGCACGGCATGTAATAGGCTAATAGCGACACATGGCAATGAAACACTGTCGCCCGACTGCGGTGGTGCTCGCGGTATTCGGTACCAAGAAAGTTGTAAGTACTTGAGTCTACTTCCAAAACGGAAAAATTGTTGAAAGTTATACTTTCACAGCTGATGTGATAAACTACTTATTAATAATATTAGTTAACGTTCAAAAACAACTTACTAAAAAGAATTTCACAATACATGTGTTATGTAAGTATCAGTAGAACACAGGCAAGCTTCCTTCTCGTGGTCGTTCCCTTTTAGCGTATGTGTTTGAAAACGTGCCCTTATACAGCTGCTCACTTGCCTTCCATAGAATTTCAAGTTGATTATTAATCGTAAGTACTGATACAACGAAAGATACACTATTTGCACTTGTTGCCATCTGCATGAACTGCAGTTTCAGCATAATCAAAGCAGAATAATCACGTCGACGAATGTACTATTGCTGCCAGTGTGAGGTTGTCAAAATGGACCGAAATATTATAAATTTTCGAAAATACTGTACACGTATTGTTGTAGTGGTATCTGACTGCAAGAGTTCCGCGTATAACCGCAACATTACTGCATAAATCGCAGTATTGCATAGGTATATGACAACTATACCAGCTACTTTCAGAAAAGGTCATGATTATCGAAGGTTATGACATCGATGTCGAAGTCGTAACTGCGCAGCTGCGCGCATGCATTTCACGTTTCTAAGAATCAAGCAATCTTTTCTTGTTAGTAAATTAAAAAATAATTAAGACCACCTGTGCGTCCACCATATACGGCTGTTAGTTAGTTGCATTACGCGCACGAAAGCGAACGGGTGGATTATTGCATGTTGGAGTCGGTTTCCCTTTTCTCATATCCTTTTAATCTGGTTAATGAACATCGATCCATGCAAGCGTATGCCGGCCGGCAGTAAATCTACCTGGGTTTCTTTCTTCGGAGCATTTCTATTTCCATCAATCACCTATTCTATGATTAATCACAAGATGATACAGTGAAAAGCAGAACGAATAATATAACATCCTATTCCACCAGATCAATACGTCGTCTATAACAGAGTAGAATCGTATTTATCGTCATCATTATTTTTGAATTTGTTCATCAAGATATCCATCCGTTCTGTGATTAGTAAATTACTGAGATTCGGTCCACCGTATGCTAAGATATCACGTGATGGGCATTACAGTAATGAATTTGGGGAGCCATTTTGCCACGATTATCTATCATGTAAAATTAAGACTGTTTCGGAAAACCACGACTGTTACTGTACGCATCCATAAATATTAATAATCAGGATCACAACTAATCATGCTTATTGACGATGATCCTTCTAATTGGCTTTTGGTTTGTAATCGCTAATTTGGCCATATCTTCGCTTGCGCATTTGAATATTGTGTCGGTGACACTCGGTGGATTTCCTTCCTATCGATATGGATTAACCGCTCCCACTTACGACATTGCCTTGGAGGATGCGATGACCACGTATCCCGACATTCTTCGAAATGTTTCGTCGTATTTGTTTCTATAGCATAGGACGGACGAAAAACTGCGAAGAGGAAGAAGACTTAATTCATAATCAAATAGGATTTATTTATCAAAATCTAACTGCAATGCGTGGCACTCCCACGATAATACAAACTTCCGGTAGGTTAAACCATGAAACACCTAACTTTGACGAGCAGTGACTTTCAAATTTCCACTGCTGAATTTATTAGTCATAGAGTCGGTGTTATAATTACACATTAAAATAAAAAGAATACCTAAAGTGTTGTTCGAAAAAAAATCGAAAAAACACGTGATTTTGGATGTTTTATCATATGCATAATTTACGCGTAGGTTGCGACTCCGTTGCTTTCACGTTAGGAGATTTTGCCCGTGAGCTGGATCTGCCCCTCGTCATAAGGTAAGTAAGCTATAAGTTGTCAGTGCTGTTCGCCAGCAATAGTTTCGCGATTTCGCCAACAATTTCCTATGCGTTTTAAAAACTATCTCTTGGCGAAAGGTGATGAGACGCGGGTCGAAAAGACTGAATAATATGAGAAAATCATGCAAATGCCGTATTCTCCAAGTTAATTGGATTTTCTGTAGGGAACAAATGTTACAAAAGTCATTACCGGGAACAGCATTTTTAACTTTTGCAGTTTAATAATAATCGGGATATCAGTTATTTATTGTTAAGATACATAGGTTGTAAATGGCACAAGGAATTAGGGTGCATTTTGTTTTCAGCACTGCCGGCAATCCTGAACTTTTCAGCGATATTCGTTTCCCAACAGTGATTGGCTTTGGCCCGGCCGATCATTCCATGCTGGCTCATGCTGCATTGCGATTTCTACAGAATTATAACTGGACCACTGTAACATTATTGTGCGCCAGGCCTAGGGACAGTGAGAAATTATCCCCATTTGATAAATCTACCTGCAACACGTTGGAAAAGCACCTGAAAGCCCATCCGCTTGACTATGATGTCCACATTCTAGGATTTAACCCGGAAAACACTACCAGCTATCTCTCTATTCTCCAGAACATAAGACGACAATCTAGAGGTAAGCAAGCAAATCAATCTTGACACGCCTGTATATTTATATATGTACGAATGGTAAGAAAAACCTTGTTGTGCTAATATTTGCTTTTTACAGATTATATATATTGGATGAATGCACGAAATTCTCATATGTTTTTATTTTTATAGTTGTCTTTCTATCGTGTGCGATTTCAATTCTGCGACCAATTATGGTAACTTTTTGCCCAATCATGTGTCACATTACATGCTCGCACTATTAATTCAAACCACGTACAGATATCCGCTATTAAAACAAATTCCATATATGTTTATAAAAATGCTGTGTTTTCGTTGCAGTCGGCAGCGCACGCGCTGGGAATGACCAAAGGAGACTACGTATGTGCATAATACAGTAAATCGAATGCTATGTAAATATTGTCGCTGATTATTAGTGGTTTTTGCGTGTGATTTAAGTTTCAGCCATCATAAGAATAATATATTAAGGGATAGGTGGATGCCTGATTTTGAGGATGGTGATCATAAGATTTCAAAAAAAAACGTTTCTAAATTACATAATTTCTTTACGCACGCTATCCAGTGCACAGAGCCGTTAGGTAAACGTATGACCAAACTGCAATATTACTGAGAAAATGATCTGTAAAGTCAAAGTAATTGCTTTCGACTGCACGAAACCAAAACATCCATTTTTTTATAAAATTTTTGTTATCGGGCTCTTCAGATTTATCCGTTCTAAGTTAACAATCCGTAAACCGGCCAAGGAGTTTAGAACCCAAGAAACGCGGAGGCGAAGCCGAGGCTGTTTCTTGTAAGGTATAAGGTAATATAAGGTACTATAAGTAAGTAAACTATAAGTTGTCAGTGCTGTTCGACAGCAATAGTTTCGCGATTTCGCCAACAATTTCCTATGCGTTTTAAAAACAATCTCTTGGCGAAAGGTGATGAGACGCAGGTCGAAAACACTGAATAATATGAGAAAATCATGCAAATGCCGTATTCTCCAAGTTAATTGGATTTTCTGTAGGGAACAAATGTTACAAAAGTCATTACCGGGAACAGCATTTTTTAACTTTTGCAGTTTAATAATAATCGGGATACCAGTTATTTATTGTTAAGATACATAGGTTGTAAATGGCACAAGGAATTAGGGTGCATTTTGTTTTCAGCACTGCCGGCAATCCTGAACTTTTCAGCGATATTCGTTTCCCAACAGTGATTGGCTTTGGCCCGGCCGATCATTCCATGCTGGCTCATGCTGCATTGCGATTTCTACAGAATTATAACTGGACCACTGTAACATTATTGTGCGCCAGGCCTAGGGACAGTGAGAAATTATCCCCATTTGATAAATCTACCTGCAACACGTTGGAAAAGCACCTGAAAGCCCATCCGCTTGACTATGATGTCCACATTCTAGGATTTAACCCGGAAAACACTACCAGCTATCTCTCTATTCTCCAGAACATAAGACGACAATCTAGAGGTAAGCAAGCAAATCAATCTTGTCACGCCTGTATATCTATATATGTACGAATGGTAAGAAAAACCTTGTTGTGCTAATATTTGCTTTTTACAGATTATATATATTGGATGAATGCACGAAATTCTCATATGTTTTTATTTTTATAGTTGTCTTTCTATCGTGTGCGATTTCAATTCTGCGACCAATTATGGTAACTTTTTACCCAATCATATGTCACATTACATGCTCGCACTATTAATTCAAACCACGTACAGATATCCGCTATTAAAACAAATTCCATATATGTTTATAAAAATGCTGTGTTTTCGTTGCAGTCGGCAGCGCACGCGCTGGGAATGACCAAAGGAGACTACGTATGTGCATAATACAGTAAATCGAATGCTATGTAAATATTGTCGCTGATTATTAGTGGTTTTTGCGTGTGATTTAAGCCAGCCACATCATAAGAATAATATATTAAGGGATAGGTGGATGCCTGATTTTGAGGATGGTGATCATAAGATTTCAAAAAAACGTTTCTAAATTACATAATTTCTTTACGCACGTGTTGATCATGGGCAAACTCATTTTCGTAGGTATTTCTTTCGCCACAGAGCGTCGCATATCAGAGACAAACCAAACGGCCGTGGTCGGCTAGTGATACCAATGATGATGTACGACTTGAAAAGTAGAAAACTATAATTATCTGGATACATGATTAATTCTGTTGACATTATATGTAACTGCAGAATCATTGCAATGCCCTTTTGTTTGTAAAGGAGATATTATTGGCTTATCGATCGCTAATAATTTACAACATCATGGAGCCGGACTGGCAGAAATCGGGAGTTCTCATGGACCGCATTGCTTTCGCTGCTGCTAGCAATTATGAGAAAACTCGAGTCAACCTGACCGAAGTGAGCAAGGCAAAAAAACCAATTTATACGTATCGTATAAATACATAATTATCAGTGGTGCAGTAACATTCTTTTGGCATAATATAAGTATTGTTATAGGAACATTATTACAGGACATTTTACTGTACTGCTTAACAAGACAATCAAATATAGCTGCGGATGCTAATGCTACCGGCTTTGTGTAATGATTAAATTTTACGTCCTTGGTATACAAGTATATTTACACCTTTAACTCAGCTTGTTCGAACTGGTATTTTTCGTAAAATGTTAATAAAATGTTAATTAGGGGCATATTGTTTTAGATTAACATGTTAAATCTTGCGGCGTACGAAGGCTTCATGGCCAGTGCCCAGATGCTTAATGAGTACCTGAAAACTGAGAAACGCCAAAACTTTTCGGGTGCATCATTTGCGCAGATGTTTGCTGAAAGGAGATTCTCTTTTGTAACGGAAGAGGTTCGACTTAGCGACGCTGTTGCCCGAAACCCAGATATAATTTTTCGACGCTTTTCCTACCGTACTAAAGATTTTGAGGTAATTTTGTCCTCCGTACATATGCATAAAAAGTTTTGCTATTCGGTTTGATGATTGATAATATTATAATGTAGAAAACATGGCGATTCATTGCCTTTTTGGATACACTGGAGGCAGTCTCCGATCTAGCCGAAAGCTGGCCAGGAGATAGTCCACCGCCAAACCGTCCTGCCTGTGGTTATATTGATGAATCATGTGATGTTCTGAAAGGTCAGCCTTTAGTAAAGTAAAAAAATTGCCGTGTAACTTGTAATGCATATCGTGGGTATACAGTGTCTTACGCAGTTATCATTAATTACTCCTGCATGATGTAAGCAGTACATCATAGTCTCACAGATGCCACTTTGTTTAGGGTGCAAGCTGTATTGCGTAATCTGATTAATATACATATAGAAGTATATATAGATATACTGATAACTGGCAATGTGTTATCCAACGATCGCTGTAGTAGTCAACCGCCATAATTAATAAGAGGGAGCTTTAACTCTGCACCCGGGATGCGGTCGTTAGGAGCGTCTTCGCCAACTTAGAATGAAATGTCAAAGGATATAAACTCAAATTAAATATAATTCAATTAATTGCTTTAATTTTCGTTGTCTCAGCTGAATTATGACTGTCCTAATAGTTTCACAAATCCTGGTAAGAAGCTAGGAGAGGTGTCCTGTAAATGATCCCTATACTTTGCGATATTATGCAGTTACATACTATACGTATTTTGCTGTTAACTATGAGAAAAATTGTTTCAGGCCAGAGATTTATCCTTTCGGTGGTTATTCCCGTGGTGCTAGCTACATTATTTCTGAGCAGCGTGGGTGTGTTTTTCGTAATTCGGTACGTTCGGAGTGGGTCAAGAACCTGAACAGCCAGCAGATTTAATGGGAGGTTATATATATCACATCGTGCGCTTCTGTTTGATTTTAGGCGCATCAATAGTTTGGGGCAAAAAAACCTCGCCTGTCGGTGGCTGTTGGATGCAGCCTCCTTTGTCCTCTATGACCTTTCCCACGCCCTCCGCATGGGTTTAGTAGAATCACTGACAAACCCAACAGGAGTAACTCTGAAGAAGCGTATTACACATGGATATGGTGAAAAATGATGGTGCATGGCAAAGACATCGTTTTTGTTGATAATATAATGGAACATCCTAACAAGCTCCTTGACCATTTCACCTGCGTGAGCGATATTGCTTCTGCAGTAAGTGAGCCACTGTTCGCCCAGCTAAATTTCCTCCGTTCTAAAGTACTGTATCATTTTGTTGCATACATAAAATATAAAATTTTACGATAACAGATAAATTATTAATTGTGTGGTCTGTTGGAGTTCCTTATAAATTTCCCTTTGCAACAACCGTAGATAGCCACCCTTTCCCATCGCAATGTTGGCTACTTTTACGGGATTCTCATGAACGGATTTTCGATATCATCAGTCTGGCGGTATGGAAGCAATGGATCGCTCCGTCACTTTCTGGACGCTGATTTGTATCCAGTTGATTCTACTGTTAAATTTTCCTTATGCTGGGACATATTATCGGTGATCAGTGCTTGGTGCTTGCTATTAAGTGAATAAGTGCAGTGCCGTAAACTTACATGGAAAGACCCGCATGTTTACATGTAGTCATGTACTACTAATCGTACAATAACTATTTATGTACTGTACCAGTATTATAATATCTGCTAATTCCGTGTAATTCAGTAATTCAACCCGGCAAAAGTTTTTGTATGAATGTGGTAACATATCGATATTTACAGGGATTGCATCATCTTCAAAGCTGTCCAAGAATAAAATGCCACGGGAGCTTATCCAGTTTAACCTGCATGGTGGATGACCGACTGTCGCTTCAGTTAGTGGGAATAGGTTCCCGTGATTTACGGAGAATTGTTATCAGTGCTCTGCTATCAAAACATGGGAAGTCACATGACCATGTAGCACCCCAGTCGGTATTTGATTTATGGCTGGCTCCAGAACTTTTACTTAATCCGCTGGCGGTCTCCACCGAGTCTGGTGATATGTTCAGCCTAGCTATTGTGATTGGTGAAATTTGGAGCAACCAGTATCCCCTCAAAGTGCCCCTCCGAAAACCTCTAGCGCTGCAAGGTTAGCAGTTTGAATTTTAAGTAGCTACTAGCTAGTTTGTTTATATAGATTGAGCATACTTGAATTACGGAAGTCATGAAATAAATTTTAACCGAGATAAATGGACGTTAAGTTTTTCTTGTGTGAGTGATATATTGTGACAATTATTATTGACAGGACGTTTGCAATATAAACTGCTTTATGTACCTTCGCACCGCTCTGTTATTTTGATACGATGGCACAGCTAACCACTATATATAAGTTCGTTTTATCACATTATACTTGAGTAATTTGTTTCATTAAATGATTACTGTAAGCGAAAGACTGCGCACATTATGATATGCAGTATATGCGGTATTCACGTGTTACATCTGCGTTTTAATTAACCTATCCAAAGATTCGCAATCTGGTGTTTCCGTTCCTTGATATACAGTATGATGCGTTAATTACAATTAGAAGCCTTATGGAACCTGATTCCGACACCTGGAGGCAGCTGGCCTTCACGAATATCTGTCAAGCGACCGGAAGTGCCTCCTCAACTGCATTCCGCCCTTTCTGCCTGCTTGAATACCGATCCGAATAAACGGCCTACTCTGAAAGATTTCATAACGTTGATGATGGACCGCTATCCACGCGAGAACATAATGGACAATCTGTTTCGCCGGCTGGAATCATATGCGACGGAATTAGAAATTCGCATGCAGGAGCGTACAGCTGAACTACAGGAAGAAAAAGCCAAAACTGATGAAATCCTCTCCTTGCTAATGCCAAGGTAATTGATAAAAGCTCCTGAATACCGTGCTAGTACGAAGTGTTTGTAAGCCTACAAAAATTTTATTATTAATAATATACATCGAGTAAGTCACACTGATAAGTCTGATTTTGAGCGTGCATTATATGACTAGAATTATGTTATAGCTCAGTTGCCAAACTGCTTCGGAATCATCAAATAGTGCATCCAGAAATGTTTGAGTCGGCGACCGTGCTCTTCAGTAAAATTCCCAACTTTCTGATTATATGCAGCACATGGCCCGGCATTCACATTATTCAAATTTTGACAACCTTGTATCGAATTCTGGATGACCTTATTTATGCGCACGAAGTTTACAAAGTCGAGGCTATTACTGATAGCTACATGGTTAGTAAGCCGCAATTCCGCTAGATTAAACTAGGTATTTTATAAACCCTGCATCTCAGAAAATCCTTTATCTTTAAGGTCGCCAGTGGAATACCACAGCGAATAGGTACGCGCCATGCACTGGAAGCGTCACTTTTGGCAATCAGCTTTCTGGATGGTTGTAATGCAGAGCTTGGCAGTTCAGCCGAAATACCACAAAAACTGCAATTACAAATTGGCATACATTCCGGTATGCGCGTACAGTCTATAGCTATAAAATACATTAGATTCACATATTCTTTGCAGTACTAATAATGAATCGAGATTTAGTTGTAATACTGTACGCACTTACTCGTAATAACAATTATTTTATAGCAGAAATATTAAGAATTTAAGGTCGACTACCGCGCGTCATATGAGCGATGCCATGCTTGATGTCTGGAAGCTTACAACTACGCAGTACTCTTGTTAAGCAAAATTCTTGTATTTTAGGACCCTGTGCGGCTGGTATTATTGGACACCGGCTCCCGAGATATTGTCTGTACGGAACGTTTTGAAAGCATAATAAATTTGTTGAAGCTATTTAAGTGTTGTGTGTATATACGCGTATGATCTAGAGTTCGCTGTAATTTTAAGACTATATAGCAGCTACATACTAGCAGGTGCTTCGAATTTTGCGTTCAGGAAGAAACTGTGAAATTCACAGGTTTGGTGATACCGTGAACACTGCAAGCCGCATGCAGACTTACGGCGAAGGTCAGCTGGAATTTCTGCGATACACGTACTTTGTATATGAGAGTTTCTCCGATATACCAGTATTATACGATTTTAGTAAACAAAATACACATTGGGCAACAAACAAAAGACCTACTGGATGACTACCCGTGCAGTAATTTTGACATCGTGGAAAGGGGAATTCTTAATATTAAGGTAAAACAGCAGCTTACAATCGTACTACAGTACAATAATATTGCTGTATTGATGTCTTACGTACATATTGCATTATATGGCATATTGCATCATTTTGTAGATAAGTTGTAGAAAAACACACGATATTACACAATAAAATTTTTATGGATAATTTGATGCAAATGTTTGTACCGATATATAGGTGGCCTTTTAGGGTTTACTTTGGTAGCTGCGCATCTGTGATGTAAATATAATGCGCAAATTAATTAAACATACGTAATAAGTTAGCGCCCGAAGAATTTCCATTTAGCAAGAGCGATTATGATTCAGAAATGTTTTGCACTGATAAATTTTTGCCTTTCTTAACAGGGAAAAGGAGAAGTGGATACATTCTGGCTGATACCAACCATAAAAATTTAAAAATCTTTGGCCATTGTTAAAGAGTCGTATTTAATTGGAACCTGAGTTCCTTTTTTATACAATTAACGCTCGCAGTTATTGATGGAGCTTGATAAAATTTAAGCGCGTATATATGGCACAAAAATGATTTTATTAACCGATTCATTATGACTTACCTTGCAGTCTTCAGATAACAGCAAATAAAGAATGTCCTATACATGAATATACTCGTCAAATTGGTACTCGTAATTATTAGTAAACAACTATTTGTCTGTGGACACAGAAGTGTCTTCAAAACTCGTTATATTTTACTGACTGAATTACCGCTAAGTGGTTTTCATTTAAATTTGAACAAAAAATGTATCAAAAGCGACTATCTTATTTTTTGTTCGGGGGCAGGTCAAAAGCTCCTGGAAACTGTCGTTTCAGCAGAGAATCCTATCATTAAATTTTACAGTATGAATACCGGTCATTACACATTCATCCAACACCTACTAACGCAAATATAGCCTTATACAAAAAAGGTGGGCAATGGACTGATTAAAGCTACCTATCCGTACTTCCGGTCCAAACAACGAAGAGACGGTTGCATGTTCTGCTACTCATTACTCATACTTCCTCGTGTTTTGAATATGGAATAAAATAAAAAAAGGAAAATTCGAAACACGATCAGCCTTTATACGAGGTAATTACGGAATTTTTGGTGTCGGTCAGCCGGGCCTCAACTGGCGTACATGGTGCACTTTTTGTTGCCAGAAATAATATTATCAGTAAAGCTATACTCCGACACTGGATACACAAGCCGCCTTGAAGTTCAATTAACAAAAAGTAAATAATTGATCTACAGACTTTTCTGCGTACGCAATCGTGGAGAGCAGCTATAAAAATAATACTTACTATTGTGATAATTATACGGCCAATTAAAACAAGGAAGCAGCAGCAGACAGGCATTTCACAAAAATTTGAGGGCGGTACTCGACCATCAAATTAGAATGCGGTATGTGCTGTTTAGTTTAACATACTGGAGGTCTGCAGGAGTTGTGGCACCGTACATTGGGCTGTAACAGTGCAATACATTCGTACGATCTTTTGATTTCCGTAGTGGTACCCGACGTACAGCACGAAGTATTATAGTCGTCATCCCGCAGTGTGGTGTTTTGTAAAAAAATAGCATTCCAAAATTTCTGGAGCTTTTTAACGGGATTTTGTGCGCGAATAATCAAAAATCATCTACAGCACTGTACAGCACTTGCAATGGTGTCCTGAAATCCTATGTCTGCTATAAGGTCAACGCAAACCGCAGATCTTTAGATTATCAAAACTTCTGAACAACAGCGATGTCTTAGCGTATAATTACACCCTCTTGTGTATTAATATATTGCACGGTTAAACTGTTTGCATTTGGAACCATTATATCAGTACCAGTATGATTTTGTTCATCCCATTTATTGCTGTTTGTGCTTCTTTGTCCACCATTGCAATGGGGAATGGCTTAATCCACGTTGTCAGCATCGTTTTAGGCGGAAATCCTGCTTACGAGTACAAACTGTCAGTGCCGACATATAAACTTGCATTTCAAGCAGCACACAACATCCTTGGAAACTTCAGTTTTAAAGAAATCAACATTTTCGAACGAGGAATCAGTAAAAGTTGTGACGACGAAGAGAATCTGGCATTCTCCAAAATCACACAGATCTATCAACTTATATATCAACTAGATGGCCCGATCGTGATGCAGACCACCGGCAAGTAGCGTAGCGTATTGTAGAACTAGAAATACTGTTAATTAGCGCTTTTCGAAAAATTGCTGCTCTCAATAGCATTCTTGTGGCATCTAGATTCAATCCTACCTATAAGAATTAATTTTTAAAACAAGATGCTGGAAACTAGCAAAAAGCTGGTATGATCACTGCACTAACAGATCTCCGTTTGCTTATCTTTTTTAACCATTTAACCGAATTATGATCTAACATTCCTAAACAGTTAAAATATGCTTACAATTAGTTCTGTTTAATTAATTCAACCTTTCTTTAGGATGCACAAATGTGGCACTGCTGTTAGGCAATTTTGCGAGAGAGTTGAATATACCAATGCTGATAAGGTAAAGTGAAAGTTTCTTCGTCGACAGTAGTTAATGTTTCTGGCACCTTATACCCATAAAATTGAGGTAATCTATCGTTGCATAATATTGACACCAGGCCATCAGGTGACGGTAGTCGTGCTCCAATGATGTGCAGTTTACTTATCGTTAATATAACGAACAATTGCAACACTGCTTTGTATACTTGTACGGAATTAGCACGTCTCGCTTTCGCTGTAGTACAAGGTTTGATTTGCATCATAAAATTTACTTCGCACACGCACCGAAATCGCTGTCTCACATCCGACAGCTATAACATGATGTTCTGTAAACGACGCTAATTTCTATAATATCAAGTTATTATCAACACAACTAATTAGTCCTGTATTTTGATAGCACAGCAGGTGATCCAGCTTTTCTGGATAAAAAACGTTTCCCCAACACACTGAATTTTGGTCCAGCTGATCATCGATCGCTGGCGGACGGAGCCAAACAGTTTTTCCGCACATATCAGTGGTCAACTATAATGCTCCTGTGTGGGACGCAGTACACTAGTGCTAAACCTTTTGACGTGTCCACATGTTCAACATTATACAACGTGTTGACCACAGGAAACGAAGTAGAACGCTTTGTTGTGTATCGCGCTTCGTTTAATCCCGAAATCCAAACCGATTACACATACCATTTATCGCAGTCCAAATCTCGAGCAAGAAGTACGGTTTTTCTAAACGCTTGCGTTACTTAATATTTCCAGCTATACGAGAAATATGATAGCTAAAATTTTGTGCGGCGGGTGTTACACATAATAATATTTTCGAATATATGTGGCCTGTCTGTCTACACAATTTCATTAGATGTATATCATGTATTAATGATCATGATTATATATGTAGATCGATTTATATAAAATCGGATACTCGTACATCTGGCGCAACGAGTTTTCATGTCTTTCAGTCATTGTTCTGTGTCTGGATGCTGCATTCGTACGGCAAGCGATGGTAATTCGTGTTATTGCTTATAATTATTAGATCGCCCTACGCAATTAAATGAAGAGCCATTAATTTACGGATATTTGCAAACTAATTCTGCTCTACAACTTACGAAGTCAGCATATGACCAGCTTCAGTCATATAATTAAAATAAATTGTCGCTGCGAGCGAATAATAAGGATGACCTTCTCATTTTCTTTGATTCACTTTATTTACTTTATTTTTTCTAAGAAAGTCCCTAACACCTATTTTGCTACTAAGGCGCGGCAATAACTATTTATAAACCAGACAGTATAAGATTTCGAAACTTGTCAAATTACGAGTGTGTGCAGGTAGAAAATTGAAACTGCTTGCAGAATTTTTGCTACCCAAGCAAAAAAGCCTTTGAAACAATTTACATGTTCTAGATGGAAGCAGCATCCCTAAACATGACAAATGGGGACTACGTGAGTTGATCCAGATTAAGTGATTAATTAAGACTGCATTATGCGGTTCTGTACCCAACTGCATATGCTGCATTTAACATAAATGTTCTAATAGGTTTTTCTGTCGCCTCAAAGCAACGTTTATAAAAACCAACTGGACCGAATCTGGAATAAGAACGATTCTAATAACATGGTAGGGAAGCAAATTTACGTGAACACCAGATTAAATTGAGATTCGTGTAACTTGCAGATGCTAATTCAAGCTTTTAAGACAATGATTGTGTATGCAAATAAAGGACCAAATTGGGATGTCATTTCCGATTTGGTACAAGGAATACAAGCGAGTTCAGTCACCGATAGCACCAGAAGCAGTAACCAAACTGGGATCCCTTCAGTGACGGTAGGGTATCAGGAACGAAAAGGGGTTTGCAGCTACGTTTTAAGTGAAACAGAATTCTTTTGTCTATAAGCAATATAAGCTAAAAACCAAGACATATAATGTCATATACTGCATATTGTGCACTGTTGCACGTGCAGCATGTTCTGATAAGAGTAAATAAGTATACGAAAACTAGTTTCTTTTCCAGCGGAAGATTCGCTCATACGCTTGCCATTACATTGATTACATTGATTTTGCAGGTGAATAGTTTGAACGTCGCTGCCTATGAGGCTTTTATGGTGATAACATCCATGTTGCAAGAAAACAGTACTCTAACCCAACATTATCTTTCGGTCCGGGAAAGGTCGCCAGAGCTAACACTGCAATTCGTCCAGCAATTCTGGAGTCGGCATTTCTATCTAGACTCTGGAATCGTGCATTTGAATGCCTATGGTTATAGGCGAACGGACACAGTATTTCTACGTTTCAATGCCATTTCAAAACGTTTCGAGGTGAAATCATGGTTTTGCAAAAACATGTTAAATGGGTCACTCGTAGTAGTACTCTGTATTAGGTCCGCCGTAGGCATATGTGTTATTTACAATATTTATGAACGTTAAACTAACAAAGTTATTATTCCGTTCAGAAAGAGTACGCCAAAATGTTTTCTTGTAATAATATATATTACTTTGTTTTAATGAATTATGTTCCTTGTATTAACAATATCATCGGAACGAAAATACAATCGGTTAACATCATGAAGTAGATTGCTTTTGTAGGAAGGATGGTTTTTTAATGTGTCCCAATTCACATTGGCGGCTATACCGAACATTTCCCAAGCGTGGCCAAATAGTAGCGGTCCACCACCTAATCGTCCAAAATGTGGATACGGCGACGACGAGTGCTATGACGATTCCGGTATGATCTTAAATCGTTATTATTATGTTAATTTTAATATGAAACAGTTTTCAAGGACAAAGAACAATTCTTATTGGAAGCTTTTTTGCTGTTGCTGGAATCGTGCTAACGGTTACAGTGATTATCTTTGCCATCAGGTATGATTGCATTAGAAATGTTGTTACATTGCAAACTTGTCCATGAGAATAAAATGGTATATTGCGCCTTTACATTTCACCAAAAAAGAATTTGTATAGGTTTTTGTTACCTTTAATTTATTTAGATGGTCAAATTTTCTCGCCATGCAGAATAACGCCTGGTGGCTCTTAAATCCTGCTGCACTTTTTCCACTTCAAGCCCAGAGTCACGTTTCTAACAGAACATCAACAAAGGTCACGGATGCGCAGAGCATTGTAATACCGTGGATAAAGAAATACTCCAACTCCAGATTTCATAAAGTGCGATTGTACGAGAATTCATTGGTTTTCCTTGAACTATTGGTGCACAAGTCAACTTCTAAACCACACATTCCAAATAGTCGGAAAAGCATCGCCCTAATGAATAATGTACGCCACGACATTTTCAGGGATACTCACTGGCTCCACAATAGCGTCCATTTTAACTTTTTCTGTATTAAATCAGATAAAAGGTTTATTGCACGTAAATATTGGCACCTTTATCGGAACTACAATATGGGATAATGCTGTGGCAGTGGTGTGGGCGTGTGAGTCAAGAGGTCCGCTACGGTTGCTTCTGGACGCCGAAGACATACATTTTGACATGCCCATGAAATTGTCTTTGTGTTGGGACGTACTTGGGGTAAGGAGGAACTATTATTGTGCATGCACTTTTGCCCCGATACTTGAATTTGTTTATTCGTCGGATCACCTTTATTATTGTTCCTGGTTTGTAAGTTTATCACAGATAGGTACCCTTCTGAAAACAGCTATAAGGAAAATTAAAAATTAATACAGATACTGTTGCAAATTCGAATAAACCTGGTGCGGATGAAAAAAAGATAAGGAATTAAACGATTACGATACGAAAACGGTCGTATTCGGATGCTACTAAGGATGCGTTATCTGTTCGATTGTGCAGGGTATAGCATATTTACATCGTTCCAATGTCCCATTCCATGGAAATTTATCCAGCTTTACCTGTTGGGTTGATCGAAGATTAACCGTTAAACTTCTTTCAATTGGCACAAGACGCTTAATGGCTGACAAAGTTATAAGTAAAAGTACCACTAACAGGTAGACTGGTGTTATGTATTCGTCCGAAGTTATGCCTGACTTTGTCTTCGCCGGAATAAATACAATTCCCATTGCACTGCCCTGAGTGCCTGTACGACGCACTTTAATCACTCTTAGAAAATCTGTGCAGCCCTGACTCCAGCATTGTGTATCTCGGCCTTTTGCACGTTTTCATAATCATGATAAACCGCGAAATGTTTTGCGGGAATAAGTAACTGATGATTTCCCATAGGACCTTGCGCGGCGGGTATTGTTGGACATCGTCTTCCTCGATATTGTGTGTAAGCCCAAAACTGTTACTTATTGCGACAAAGTATCGTTGGGATAAATAAAATGCTTAAATGAATTTTTTATTTCATTCTATTTCATTTTTTAAAGTAGAAGGAAATTCCTTTTCGCTTAATACTCGTAGTCTCGTACTTTGGTTTTCTTACGGCAGTCTTGTTGCATTTAATGGCAACATATACAGATAATTGACAAGATTTTCAAATCGATCACCCTTCAACCATAAAATCGATCGTGACCTGTTGGCAGCACTGTTGTTGAACAAAGTAACTAACGGCTTTATCGCCCGTCGCAGTTATACCTTTGTTTTATAGAGCAATTGAAAAGTGTTTTTTTGCAGATTTGGGGACACAGTCAATACAGCCAGTCGAATGCAGGCGTATGGAGAAGGTACGCACTATGCACCTACAGTGCATGGTATAATTAAAATGCATTACTAAATTCTTCGCTCATGGCACACGTGTTGATAATAAGTGCTTGTCACCCATTATTCTAGGCGGAAAGATTCACATTTCGGAACAAACAAAAAATTTGTTGGCTAAATATCCTGATTTTTTAATTCAAGAAAGGGGATTTCTAGAAATTAGGGTGAGTTATAAGGTTCATCTACGACATTACTGTAGCATAATTATACGAAGCTTTCCAAGTCTTTTTAATGCAGTTTTTGGCTTTCTATTGCAGGGAAAGGGAAAAATCGTGACCTTTTGGTTGTCAGATGTCTAATATATGCTTGTGTAGGATTCTTCACGCACAGATCTATTTTGCAATCCTTTATTACAGTTTGGGCTTGCGTATATAAGATTACCCTCAAAGGTGAACATAAAAATAAAAGGCGGAATCAATAAAAAATCTAGCCTAAAAAAGTAAAAAAAATCAGCAGATTAATAGACAAGAACAGGGGATCGACATTCGACACCACATATTTATGTAAATACATCAATACAATCCTATATTTTTCAGTAATTGAGATTAGGCACACCATACCGGGCAGTGTAATTAGGCATTTCGGACCAAAATAATACAAAAACGTCAATAAAGAGATGTAAGCCGAATAGCCGATCCTTAAGCTTTTTCATATCTATGCCACACTTATTCCCCAGTGTTCATAGACATCATCGCGTTCTTCACTTCTTCCATACGTACCAACATTTCGGTGTTTAGGAGACCATGACGTCTTACTTCACTTTCTAATGTTTCTTGACGTTGTTTCGACTGCTGCAGTTTTTCTTTCAGATCACGGACACGGAGCTCATTGATATTTTGAAGATTATTGAACTGCACAACAGAGTATAGGTCACCAGAGATGCATTAACATTTTGGTTTATGATACGTACGTTACTGACATACTGCTGCTTGACGCATTAGAACAATTTTGCAAGCTTTTGATTCATTTTTCATCTGAATTGTTCAAAATTATATTAGAAATGATGATATATGCATTATGCATCTTTTTAAACATATTAGAAATGCTTTAGATAGCTGTTTTTGTTTCAAGTAGTATTGTTTGTTACGTTTGTATGTTTGGTATACCTCAGCCTGCCAGTGTGCTACTTGTTGACGAAGCAGCTTGTTAACTTGCTGCATATCCAACAAACTCTGTTTTTGCGACTCTTCCATTGCGATTTCCCGCGCAATACGCTCAGCTTCCGCTAATTTCGTTTTTTCCCGCAAGGTGAAAACCTGTCAATGTAACCCTGAAAACCTTTCTCATGACAGGGCTAAGCGTGAGAACGGTGTACCTCTGACTGAATTTCCCGATTCATAACTTGCAAAGATTTGTCTTTGACCCCCAATTCCATTTCCAGTCGGTGAATTTCTTCGGCCATCTGTACACGCTCATTATTGAGCGCTTCACAGCGCTCGACGGTCTGTTTCAGGCGATCATTCTGATCTTTCATGCTCTTCTCAAATTTGATTTCCCGCTGGTTCATTTCCTCGATTTTCTGCTTTAAAGAGGTTTGTATACTTTCCACTAGTAGAGCTAATCGATCCCGTTCTTGCTCGACGAGATGCAGACGTCGGTAAAGCTCTTCCGGCGTTGTCGTCTGCCGGTTAGCCGTCAGGACGTCGTTCTCCATTCGGTTGACATGTTGTTGGAGAGCTTTTATCTCCCGAAGTCCCCGGTTCACTTCAATATCTTTATCCATCACTTTACTCTCCAGTTGGCGGACATCCTCTTTCAGCTGACTAACGATGTCTTCGCTGGATTGTTTGATTTGCTGAATCTACAATGCACATTTGATGGAATGCTCACAAAATACAGCAATTTAAATAAGTAAGCAGCTCGATAATTTTGTACATTTAATTTGTAGAGTGCATATTCTGCAGAATTCGGTTTGCATATCGATGCTAGTGGCATTGTGGCAGTTGAGTGCATGCAGGTCGACATTGAATTATTTCAGTGTTGTACGCACTTTTGCATCGCGGAATGCAGAGAACTGAATTCGTAAACACTTCTACTTTGTAGTCTTGTATTCGTTTCGTTTTTTCGGTTTTTGTTTGCTAGTTTTAGAGCCTTAGCATAGGGATATTCAAAATCTAATTTCGAATTGTGTGGATTACGTTCAATAAAATTGCGAACGCTTAGAAAAACGGTATGAACCATAAATTGTGTAGACAGCATAAATTGTACGGAAAATTATTTACAGATATATTGCAGTTCCTGTAATATGTAAGTGCACTAGATTAGGAAGTGGCCTACCAGCAGTATACGTATGAGTGTGTCATACATACATCGCGTTTGGATTTTTCTGTCAAATCGTTGTATGTTTTGGCTTCTTGTTCGCGAAGTTCGGCCATTTCCGCCGCTTGTTCCCGCAGCCGTTGAGCCAGTTGATCGCGCGCCCGAATTGCTTTTTCACCGAATTCTACGGCTTCCTCCAGTTTATTAATGTTTTCTGCATTATTGCGACCTAACTCTTCGCTAAAAAATAAACATCCATGAAGTATGTTTTGCCTTTTTCGAAATACTGTATGTTTAGTCAGCGTTTCCGGTCCACCTTACCATTTTTGCGCCAGAATTAAGTTTCGTTCTACGGCGGCTTGACTGTCATTCATCCGCACATTTCGCTCTTGTTTAAACATCGTAATTGTGGATTCTGATGTAGCCAGCGCCTGTTGTAAGCTAAAACATCTAATAAAATAGCACATTTTTATTTACGTGTTTTCAACTGGAAAGAGGAATGTTCAACCCATGCATTACTGGCACTGCTTGTTCAAGCCGAATATCAAATGCAAGGTTACACTTGGGCTGGCAAAGAGCATATACTTGTACATGTATACTATATATTTAAATTTATATAATGCCATGATTGTACTTTTAAGTGACTTTGAGTTGTCTGTACGTGTTCGTACGAATTAAAAGTACCACAACGATGGCCTGCAAAAATAGGTAGATCCCGTTTGCATTGAAAATAAAGGTACACATAAGTAATTATAGAAATTGAATTTTTAGGTAAATTATGTATTAGAACTATCTATACGATGTACCGGCGTACCATTCTAAGAGTTTTCCTTGTTTTTTAAGTCCTGATATTAGCAAAATTCTTTTCGAATTTCAGGAACTTGCTGTTAAACTGTGTGTACCCATTTTAATAATTCATAATTTAAGCAGTTTTCGAAAAGAAATTGACTGCTGGGCATCACGGAGCTGCAGTAATCGTTACTCACTCGTCCGTCAGACGTTTAATGGTGGATTCCGATTCATTCAAATTATTTTCCTGCAATTTCGATCTGGTTCGCAACAACTCCAGCTCTTTCTGAGCAGCCACCAGTTCCAGGCGAATCTTTCCCTTTTCGTTTCTTTCCATTTTGTACATCTGTCGCAGCTCAGCCGCATCGTTATTCAGCGCATTAATGGTCATTTTGGATTTTTTATAGATTTCAATGGCCTTCTGCTGCAGCAGTTCCAATTCCGGATGTTCCGATTCCAGGCGCAGCTGTGTTTCCAAGTCAAATATGCGACTAACGGCATCCCGCAGAAGCTCTTGATAACCGTCTCGCTCGCGGGCTAATTCATCGATACGCAGATTCATTCGCGATTCCGCAATTCTATCCCCGCGGTCATTAACCGCAGCCGTTCCATTGGAGCTGCTGGCTGGCGGAAGTGAAGTTGGATGACGGCGATGCTGCACTTCACTGCCATAAGAAGCCGGCATCCCCTGATGGGCAAAAAACAGTAACGGTAAGTCCGAGCATTGCTCAGAACTCTAATAACTGGTAAAGCACCTCCTGGGCTACGGTAGGCAACAATTACGAGTACCCTTACTGCTAGAAATATACTATATTCTTAACCATGAAATCCTGCATAGCTGTGAATTTACTCGTACTGTTAGTATTGTACTTACCGCCCTGACGTACAGTATGCTCGTACAACATAATTACGATTTACGAGTAAAAGTACTTACTTATTCACAGCAACAATTACGAATTCTATCCCTGCTCTATTTTATTTAGCATTGGCGAAAATTATGAATCCAGATTCGGTCATAATTAATGGTATTTTCAATTTTCTGAATAACCCTACACACCTTGAAAGTAATTACATATGTGTTAGATAGATATCTAATCTCCATACTGTACTCACGTAAGTCACGTTCTACATTACAACATAACTTTCTTAGAAAGCTGAAGACAATGATAAATAGTTTTGCATTCACTATTTGTCTCATCCTACAGTGTTCTTACATTTCGGGAGACAAGTATCTGCGCAAATTACGCACGATTTTCTTTTATATTTAATAGTGAATTATAATTATTAGTTAAGTAATTTAATTCTCACCTTCTCGGTATTTCCGTCATGCTTGGAACCTCCGTTCAGGACACTTGTGGAAGCAAATTCAGCAACCGACATTCCATTAACAAACAAATAAATAGGCCTGTTGCAGCGGTACAACCTCTGTATCTGAATGCTCTACGCTATAATTATTTCAGATGGGTGTCGCTAGGAATAACGAACGCTTGCAAAAGCCGTATCTGCATCGATTCACCCGGCCGAAATAAAAAATTACACGCTGCGGCTGATGGTGACAAAAACAATCACTTGTAGTGTGCTCTTGCGGTTCAGAGGTTTATGAAAGAATTGCAGTGCAAATATTAGATCGTTGACAGAAGTCTGGACGTTTTCAGCAAATACTGCAGGAACAATTGCTACCCTGATACCCTTTACAGCAGCAGCCGGAGCGGTTTCATTCGGTTCTCACGCCCCAGCCTTGACATTGACATGCACGAGATAAGATTGGTAGAGCGTAGTATATGGCACAGCAGGCAACATGCAGAAAAAACCATTAGTTCTAAATTGAAATCCAGCGTAAAATGTGGCTACAGGAGCATACGGCCGTGGAAAATTGTGGATCAGAATTCAAAGAGCACCAGACATGACGTGACGTGCTGGAAGCAGTATCAGTCGCATTGCAGTTGGGCGCCGTATTGGGCAGACACTCTACACGTGGAGTTGAGCGCTCTACTCAAAGAGACACCACTTGAGCGCAGCCGGGAAACAGGGATCAGCCGCTGTAACGTGCCAGCTCAGTTTCTGGATCGATCACATACGTCGTTGCGCCAGGGGTGAGTACGATAAATGAGTCCCATGGCCATTAGGCTACGGTACAGAAACAGGAAATTTATTGCTCATTGCATGCAACACGGTGCGGCTGTTGCGTAACCACATCATTAAGATCGCTTTTTGATACCGTTTAAGATGCTATATGAAGCCGATACGGTAGTTCTTTTATGCAAAATGCAACGCGAATATGTTGAGATATTTTCACGTTTTAGTAAAATTGTTAGTTTTGCAGAAGCTAAACTATCGCATTCACGAGTTGCGGAAATATTCATGCCTTTGGTTTCTCAAAATTATTCAGAAGAATCGAAGAAGCCGATCAACGATTTCTGGAAAAGTTGGAACAAATTTAAAGCGCTTTACACTGTTCATTCAGTACGCAGCGCAAAATCTGTAACTTGTCTTGAAAATAATAAAATACTTAAAAAACAACGGGCACCCGCTCATTGCCGCTCTTCAAAAAAATTGTATCACCCGACCGTAAATCATAGTGCGCAATCTCTTTCTGATCATCGTCTAATACAAACTCCACACCGGGTTGACTTGGCGTCTTGTAGGCAAGAACCTGTGCCACTTCAAGGGGCTCACGGAACAGACGCTGGAATATACGCTTCAGTTTCATGACACTTATGGTCGGTGGAATGGTTTTCTGGTGCTGGCAGTCGTGGTGCTGCAGTGTCACCGTCAAAGGAGCCGGTGTCAGCTGGATAGCAGAAGCCGGGATAACTTCATCTTGCTCCAGAGGTCCCAGTCTGGCAACTATGTCCAGAAAGCGTGGATGACGGGATAAAAACAGGGAGCGTCGCTCGTCGTTCCCGGAACAGGAAAGATATTCGCGCGCGAAATGCCGCATGTAATCCAGCTCGGAATCGCGCCGCTCACTCGTACTGATCTAGAGAAAGTTTATTTGGCAACTTTATTTTCATTCAGCAACTCTATACAGTAAAACCTCCCTGATACGTACACTCTTATGTACGTACACCCTCTGTATTAAGTTCACCAAAACGTTATTCAAAATTACTGTAAACTGCAAAATACACCTCTGAGTTCCGTACACCCTCTACATTACGTACGAAATTTTTAACGGAGGTGTACGTATAAGAGAGGTTTCACTGTATATATCATTTAGCAACTTTATTTTCGCCTCGATCCGTATGCTATTTCAAATGCACCCATAGCTTTAAATAAAAAACTGAAAACCCGTATATTAATCAAAACGATTCACACATATTAGAATAAGTCAAAATCCAGAAACCGAAAAACATCTATTGAAATTCTTATGCAGTTTTGTGATATTTTACGAGCATTTACAGAGCACAGACAAAACATACAGCGTATAACGCGTGATAACAAAGGTTTACATACCGGGCTTTGGTTTAGCATTTTCAAATTAGCAATCTTCGCGACTATCCACTGCCGTGCTGTTTCTGGAGACTCGCTGTCCAGGAATGAGTTGCCAGTAATCTTCAGGTTTTCCAAAGTTTTCAGTTTGTTCAGCTCATCTACCGATGACCACTACAGATTAGCCCTGTTAGTCGTAATACATACTGTACACTTTCACACTTATGGTTAGAGTATTTTATGAGTGCCGAGGGTTAAAATCAGAGGAAACTGAAACAAAGCTATTACCGGTATCACGGAATTGACTACGTAGCAGTGGCACAAAATACTGCATACTTCGAACTCACGGTTTTCAAGGCATTAAGCTTAATCGTCAGATGCGTTAAATTCGAAAAAAGATCGGTCTTGCTTCCAGCCGACGTTCCGGAAAACGAAATTTCTCCGATGTTGTTGCCACTGAGTTGCAAGGATTCCAAACTGGAAAATCCACATAAACAAGAGGTAAATTTTGTACAAGTAAAGCACATGTCGTAAGCAAGCTTTTGGTACCACATGATAAAGCATATTATGGCCACATTCATTTTTCGCAGGACCAGACTGCAACTCACCTAACACACCGACCTAAAGGATCCAAAGCGTTCCAGTCTGCTATCGGTGGGGATTGGGAATCGAGATCAATCAGCTTAAGCGTGCTGAAATTATTCCCGACAACAGCCGGATTTCCACAACTATGGATGCAGTTTTCTGAGAGATACAGTTCTTCCAAACGAGGAAACATTTCCGAAATGCGTATGACATCTTCCCATACAAGCACATTTTTTCGCAAGACCAATTTCTTTACTCTGCTATTTGCTGGCGAGGAATGAAGATCGACGTCGAAGGCCAAGCGGTTATCAGAAAGATCCAGGGCGTCCAGACGGGGCAGAGACTGAATTAGCGACATGACAGTGGACCAACAGCCGATCAGGCTCCGTCCAAGACCCAAAGAACGGACATTAGGAATCAACTGACTGAGATCGTCTTTCAAGGGCATCGGGATACACACGTTTAGACCAGTCAAATCCACAAGGGTCAAACGCTCGAGGTTACTGGAAGTACCCAAAACAACACACGGTCATCAGCAACGTGCAACATGTCTATGCGCCACTAATTAATTACTGCAACCGAGAAAGAAAGATAAAAGCACGATACTACAAGTACTACCAATTCTTTAACATTCATAAAACATTTTTAGTTGCTTAACTTTGTACGGGAGCGGTTTCTAAAAATTCTTCTTTCATGTGAAAGCGTTTGACACTAAATACTTCAACACGAAAGAAATTACTTAGTAATACTTACAGTAATTTGACTACTGCCACAGAATTCATCATTAAATTTAAATGCTATCTTACCTTATTTTTTTCATGACTTTCTCCCATCCCACAGCCAAAACTTCCTTATTTCCAAAGCTAACTCCGAGGTGCGTATCCGCTGGCGTCCCGTATTTTTCCATCAGCGCAGCGATAATAGTCTCGCCTTGATTTAATTTACTCATCGGGATGAACGAGCCACTGGAGGGTCTATTTATTAAACAGCGGCACATGCTTATCACTTATCGTGACTCATGCAATACTCGTACTAAGACAAGAATTACAATAATTATTACACGGAAGACAATACATCCGAAAATAAAATTAAATTAAGTACGTAACTACGTATGTATCAAGTCATTCAGTAAGGTACTGTAAAGTCTAGGACCAGGAGGTTACTTAAGTAATTCAAAAATTATAATTAAAAATAATAACAAATTCGCTTCAACCTACCAGTCCTACCTGCACTGAAAGTAGCGTATTCCTCTGAAAACCCCATCGTGAAGGCCAGGCTGACTCTCGTCCCAGCAGATCCCAGCGAAAATCCCTAAAAACGTTTCATTATACCGTCTAGCGTCTGTACCAAGAGCAAACCAAAACAGTAGAAGAACATCTATGCTGGTACATCTCTCGAAATCAGACCATCCACAAGCAAATTTCCTGTATTGATACCTGGATGCTCGGAAGAGTGAAGGGCTCCAACAAAGCACACCGTGCCCCTTCGATCACCGTACATAACACGCGTTCCCACCCTGAGTTCTGCCATTCTGCCACGGTGAGAAGGATCAAGTGTTAACTTCTAACACTCCATCAAGGCATCGACAATAAGGTAGCCGACCGCGTCGTCAGAGCAATTTTAACAAAACAATGGAAACAGTTTAAAACACGACCAAATGTCCTGCAGTAAAAAAATAGTCACACAACATCATTCCAGTTCGTGGTTTGGAAATGGAAATCACGAAATGTAATTGGGGATTGGCATTTTAGCTCGTTATTTGGATCCGTATTCCCGTGGATCATAAATAAGAACTTGGATCCAATCTCAGTGGACTTTCGTCGCCCAACATTTCTTTGAGTTTGTTTTTGCATTATGCGGAACTTTCAACTAACGCGATTGGAGACTGCATTGTAAAACATATTTAATTATTTGCGGTTTGCGCGTGTTTTGACGATACCGGTTTCCTTCTGATGATCAAAGCATGAGTGGTGGCAGAGTGAGACCGTCAGCATGGCGAACAGTAATAACTAATTTCGTCAATTCACTTAGAAAAGCTCCACCAAGGGAGTTTATTGGCGAAGACTATTTGGGAAACCGTTATTACGAACAGCCCACGCGTAAGTGAAAGAATGTCGTATGTGAACATACGAGGCTGAATTTCGGAACATCTGTTTTCGAGTACTTTAGAGTTTAGACTTGTAAATAAATTTTTGACTTCTAGTTTAGTTTTGGACTTTTGGTTCAAAACTTTAATAAGTTTTAGTTGTTACGATGTGGCTCACAATCATCATTAATTGTGCATTGAACACCGTTTGTGTTTGCAGCGTACTCAAGTAACAGGAAATTAGCTAGATCTCTGGAACCTGCGAACAGGCATAAATATCACTTCGAGCATGACGCTCGATGGGAAGAAATTCCTCCGGAATGGGAAGGTACGGTTTTCCGGATACTCGTAACTCAGCCGTAAAGCTGATTTCTCTCTTTAACTTTTGCCGCTTTTGCAGTCTTAAGTTTAGATTCTTGTTTTTTTTGTTCTTACTAAGAAAACATCCTTCCTTACTTCTTTCATGCATGAGCGTAAACTTGTTTTAGTAAGTACTTGTACAGTCGTACTAATTAATTTTTAAGCCCAGATTTGTTTTTATGAAAAGAAGACCCAAGTAATTACTAAATTTATATATTCATATACCTAGAGTAGATATTATTTATGTAAAGCAGTTCTTTAAAAAAAGTTAAATGGGTTTTAGCGTGGTTACGCAACAAACGGAAAGATCCTCCTACAGCAGAGGTAAGTGCGCACTACGCAGTAATGAACTGTAAGCTATGATTGTGCGGCTAAGCACCGTTAGCACACCAGTAATTGGACAAATTACAAATTGTGATGGACGAATTACGTATGTAGAAGCAAACCTTCAGCAGTCGGATATTTTTCTGCAATAGGAAATTCAACAAAATATTGCTTTGATGCTCCAAAAGCAAGCTAACGGTGCTCGTCTGGAAGCTGAACGAAGACAACAGTTAGCCAGCGCTTCTGAACGGCTTCCGGTGCCGGCTCCAGTGGATTCCGATGCCCCAGGTTCGATAAGTCAAATTTTGTTAAATGCAGTATGTTAGGTTGCACTAACAATCATACATTTGTTTCAGTTCCCTTTCCCGGTACGATGATTTTAATGTTAGTGCCACACAAGATCGCTCCAAAGTTGAGCCAGAGTATCATGCCACTATTCGAGATAGAACAATTCGTTGATATGACACCTCGACGAGCGGGTTCCTTTTGTGCTGGGCCAGTGTGGGAACTTAAACGTCGAACGATTTTTGAACAGTTCAAATGGTTGTACGGTTTTAGCAGTAGTTTGTGGAGCGTGCTTGGTGCTGCTTACTGCTCAGAAAGGTGTGCTATAATATAATTATGTTAATATACTTCAGTGGCTTGCCGCTGTTTATCCTTGAAACTGTACTTGCACTCTACTTGTATGGATTCTGTATGGTACTCCAAATGATTGCGTGAAGTGAAAAGAAGACTTTGGGACAGAAGCTTGTTCATGCTTTCGACAGCAGCAAAAGTACTGTAGTCTAGCGTACATTATAGCGTCATTATGCCGGTACACGAACTCATTGTTAGGCTTTATGACGGTATAATTAGGAAAATTATGGAACTCCATAATAGTAAAAGTGGCAAACCTGATGCAACAGCGAAGTGACCAAAAATGTGATAAAGAATACATGACACAGCGGAAAACAGAAGAGAAAAATCAGACGTTAATAACTCTCGAGAGGCGCTGGATCTTGTTCAGTAAATGATCACCTTGCTTAATGAACAACTGATATTGTCGGTTCTTGTTGTCTGGCCGGGTTGTTTCCACTACACCGTTCACCTTTAAGAAAAACAGGTCTTTAATGCCATATTCCCTTGGTTCATCACAACCAGAGCAGAACTGAAGCACATCTATTATAGAGACTGATGATCTGCGATTCGCCGGGGATTTCCGGTTTTACAAATTATACGAGCAGCGATACTTTAAGATAAGCAGTTTTCATAAGAATTAATAAGTTACAAAATTACTGACCTTGTCAATCTTGCAATGCAGGCGACCAGCGGCAATAAAGCGCGACAATTCCTTGTCAATAAAACCAGCCGTAACGCCAAAAGCCTGGCCCATATAATCGAGCGTCAAGGATTGATAGGACTCCAACAGCTGGTTGTAGGCGAGGATACGCATTTCCCGCGTGTAGTAGCGGTAATGGTCAGCCCAGTACCGGTCCACTTTCAGTTTCTGCTCAACGTTTGCTGTAATTTGAATAAAATCACACAATTTTTTTGAAACTTCAAATAACTTTTTCGAAAAGGAAAACTTACCCAGCTGCAGAAAAAATTCAGCATAATGCGATCCATACAACGAGCTGAGAAACTGTCGCAAATCCGGCAATCTGAACAAAACTTCCGCAATTTCAGCGCTCCGGACCACCTAATACAATGATATTCGAGGAATAGTCATTAGCAGCGTTATAAGAAGCAACGGCCATAATTATTGTATCTACGGTATTCGCTCCGGTCGCAGTGAAAAGTTGCAAAACCAGCAAACAAGTATGTTGGGCAAGTGCTGTATCTGTATAACACTGACAGTCTTGTCATCATAAGAATAATATGTACTTGACTAAGGTGTATAAGGGATAACTATTAACTATACACCTTGCTTGTACAGTACAATATAACTTTGGTCAACATTCGACTCAACAATGCAACTAAATGCCTTCATGAAAGCGAAAGTAACTTTACGTACAAATGGGCAGAGGGCACCGCAGTGAAAAATTAAAACCACAGTTAGATCCTTATCCCCACTTTTAAATGACTTAAACACCTACTTTTTCTTTAAGTTTCACTCGTTCCAGTGTCAACATCGCGCACAAGACGGCATACGTCACGAAGGTATCGTAGTCCAATATCTCCGAACAGGTAAATGTGCTAACTGAGTCCAGGAAATTGGTGGTGGCTTTCGGAAACTCACGGATCTTCATGAAATGCAAACCCTCGTACACCTTCAACCGGTTTCGCCGATCCCAATCACCGCCCTCCTCCACTAGGCTGTGCATAACAAAATGAAAACCGCTCATAAAAACTGGCAAAAGCCAGAAATGATATGCACGGACAATAAAGTAAACACGGCAGAAATTTCTGAAAATAAGTATATAAGCCAAGTAGTATGCACCTGCGTGCTTTATCCAAATTGCGAGTGGTCAAATCCAAATCATCAAAGAAGAGACCAATACGGATCATTTGGAAGATCAGATCGAGTTTGTTGCCGTGTCCTACGGTTTTTTCGAAGCACTGTCGAAACGCACTTTCAGCCGCTTCCTAGTGAAATCAAGTTGGGCATTCTGAAACATGAATTTCTTCAAACATGGTCCTACCTTGTCTCCAGTGCGGGAAAGATAATTAAACTTCGCAAGGTACGCTTCGCGCACTTCAATGGATCCCAAATTCTGTTCGGCATCCAAAATTGCCGCATCAAGTTCCTTAATTTTTTGCTCGTTCTTTTGCCGCAGTTGGTTAAGTAAAGAAGTGTCCGCATTAAACCCTAATGTTTTCGTCACCATTTCATAGTACGGCGCCATTTCTACAATGTCAAAAATTAATTAAATACGTCAGAAATTAAATTCTTAGCAATCAACTCACGAATACAAAAGCTTTACCGCCTTTACGAATCAATAATTTTGTAGTTCTGCATTCTGTTTTTAAGCGACTCGACAAATCGAAACGGTTCCAAGTTTCAGTAAAACATTCGACATCTGATGAAATCGTAACTGACTATACGAAAAAGCTTGACCAATCTACGTATACAAATAAAACAAAAAAACTGTTAAAACCATTAAAAACAGTTAAAGAACTGTACTGTAAAACTGTACTGTAAACTTCCATTCAAGCTGCCAAAGCACGCACTGAGTAACCATTAAAGATGTTTAGTATGTAAAGAAATCTGAACTGGCATAAAAGGTTTTGGACAAACCATTGGCTTTGATTGCCTCCATTAGTGAGTTCTTCACCGCTGAGTCGTTTTTGAACTGGTCAGTTTTCAATAAAAACAACCACTGAGCAATCTGGAAATCTGGGTTCTTCTCCACTTTGTCCTCATTGCCATCTGAGGCCTCAGACGGTGCTGTAGAAGCACTCGAAACGTCTGGCATGATGAATTCAAAACAGATCCAAGATTAGTCAAAAACACCTACGAAAAAAGGAAAAATCGAAACTGTATTCCTCCAGGTCTCCTGAAAACAATGCAGAGAACTACGCAGAAGAACTTGGAGGCCTTTCACTACTGCTCCGTTCCGAGAGCATCCTTACACTAGAGCAGGATCTGGTCTAAACGCGGGTTTCCAGGAAATGGCTCAATAACAAAAGATTCTGGTGCTTTGGATCTAGGAAATTTGTATCTGAAAAACTTCGAGGGTAAGAAACAGTGAATTTCAAACTTTCACACTAATCACTGCTAATCATCTAATGCATACTCGTAGCAAAACTCACACTGCAAACATACTCCATTATTTCGAAACTGCTTCGTAATCTGACAACCGCAGAAATCCAGTTCCATTGGAAGTTGTAAAAAGAGCAGTCGCCTGCCGCTAACGGGATGCGACTGTATGTATCATAGGAAATTTTGGGCTGGAGGAAATGTCAACCCCGAATAAGGATATCCGATAAAATTAATGATAAAAATCATAAAATTATTACTTATGAGTTATGATAAATGAAAATCCGATTTTTTTTATAAATTTGTAAGATTTTTTCGCAAACCATCTCGAGTTTCTTTGAAAAGGGTTTTGTGGAGCGGGTAGCATATTCAGAAGCAAAATTTCATATCCCATGATCGAGAATTTCTTCGTACTTTGCTTGCGATAGTACTTTCCATCTACATACGCACCATGTCCCATTTGGGATACGCTGGCTTAATGGCTCTTCCTAGATACGGTTGGTGTTCCTGTTTTATCATTAGCAAAGTCTCTACTGCGAATTAGTGCGATAATAATTTGCAGTCTTTCTTCAATACTGCAGTCTTGATTGTAGGTGAAGGAGCGGTTAGTTGCTTGTTTTATCTCGCGAAAAGAGGTACCGCCACCTCAGCCAGCCGACCGTAAGTTTAAGGACAACCGTATGGCGTGAGAATTTGCAGTGATTTTACACTTAATTTTACTGCTTGAACCAAAAGTGAAGGGGTTTCTCATTGTTTTTGACAGTTATGTCTGAGCGAAGTTGAGCTAGTGTGTCTTCCTGTTCGTAGATCGCACGCTGTTGGTTTGATGGGTCCAGCAGTAAGGAATTTACTGGAACAATATGCGATAACGAAGGAAAAAATCGAAGGCACTGGACCAAAGGGAGTTATTCTTAAAGGGTAATAGAATAAACCATAAATGATTAAAGTACTTTGTTATTTAATTTTCTCAATTTCAATCGCTACCTCAGCGACAGCGACAGAAAGTTACAGACAAAGCATAAGTAAAACGCATGAAAATGATAAACAGCAAAAATTGTGAAAAGTTTTTCCAGTTAATATACTGTAATTCGACGGTTTAATAGAATAGAAACAAGAATAAAGTCCAATAAAGGTCTTTAGAATTGTATGTTTTTGGTTTTGGAAAGTGTCTTTTACTCTTTTTTATTATACTCCCTCGATTAAGTGTCTTTTACTCTTTTTTATTATATTCCCTCGATCTTAATCATCTTATTTATTGATTATTGCAGTACACTGTAATAATCTGTATTAGTTTCCTGATATTTTCGTTGTTTTTGGTACGGTATGTTGAGTTGTTCCTGAATCATGCAGTGCCTGGAATACCACCTTAATATTTGTTAGCAGTTAGCACGGAAAGCATTTTCTGAAATCATGGTATAAATCAATTCACTTATTTTTTGGCAGAATTTGGTTGACTCTTTTGGAGCGACCTATTTCTCTAATACTGCAACTGCACACATAGTTGCAGAATTGTTATCCCGTTGGTTGTCCGTGGATCGAAAATTTGTAACGAATCGTCTAGAAATGCTTAATCACTTACTCTTCTAGTAATGCATGTGACTGATTTGCTGAAATGCAGAATTTATCATATTGCAGAGATGTTTTACATTTTATACAAAGCCAGAAGCTAAAACCAGCGGTCATTAAAGTTCCACTTCCTGTATCCAGCGGTAACTCTGCTACGCCGGCAAAAACGACTGTGCCCTCTGGGAAGCCTGGACCGAAAGACTCCCGAGGGCGTATAAAATATTTTGACGTTCCCGTTCCTCACGATATTAAAGAATCTTCCACTGCTGTCGTGAAGGGAAAGGTAAGAAGTCGGGAACAGTTGCGAAGCTGATTTTTGTTGGCATTATTCAAAATTAAGGCCACCGTTATTTTTCGTATTTTACTTTTCGGAATTATAGTGACATTAGAAATATTTGCCCCAAAAAGTATACAACGGATTTTCTTTTTATATGCAACGTATTTCGAATTTCTCTTGTGACGGATCGGCATCACGAAAGTAGTGACAATGTTTTGTTGCAGACAGCTGTCCCGCATGGTTATTTGTATGCAACTTGCAGAGTGGACGAAGCGCTGAAGTATTTTGCAGAAAACACAAAAGATAAACAGCCTGTTACTTTAACTGACGTAATCGTACGGGCTGCGGCATCAGCTGCTCAGGTGAGCCACCCCGAAAGTGTTGTGTTTATGTACGTAGTTGCTGGAAGTAAGTACGTTTAATAAATGTGCGATAAGCTTCCTCAGCTCGACCTACCGGTAGTGGAAATTCTTGCGTAAATATGAAGCGACTACATTGCAGTACAGCGAAAGATTTTTCTTTTGGGTGGTGTAAAGCTGAAGTCTGTTGCAATTACACGAAATATCTTCGTTTCAGAAAGCACTTTCACAATTGTACTCAAAGGAAAAATATTTGGATCTGGGTGTGCAATCGTTCAGAAATGGAAAGTTCGAGACTCGCCTATTGAAGAAAGCCAACGCGCTAAGAATAAAAGATATTAGCAAGCAGCTAATGGTACGTGTGTGCTACATACGTAAACACCTGTTTATTTAAAGCTCTTATCTCATGATCGTGAAACGATGACTTAAAATTTCCTTGCACGGATCCTGCATAATGCGTTCAACGTAAAGGATTTTGTAGGAAAGTGGCCAAATGGATTCGACTAAAACAAGTCATCTTTCTCAAAGGTACAGAGTAGACACGCTAGGTGCTTAAAAGTTAATAGAACCGCTCCGATGCAGGTTGTGCCGTATAAGTACTTGCACTTTAACATCGGTGTTTTGTGTACACAGGGTGGTCAGTCTCGTTGGGAGTCGGTTAGACCAAATTACGGAAGTTCTGACCCCCGCGCAGACGTGGGTTCTGTCGGTCGGGGATGCACTAACTCGTATCGACGCACAAACTAAGGCGCCATCAAAAATCGTTACGCTGGCGTTCACTTACAACTCCGCTATAATTTCGGAATATGAAGCTTCGCAATTCCTTGATAACGTGAAAAATTCGGTCGAGAGACCGGTATTTATTTTGCTCGGTATAGGTGGTATGCGACCACAAATGGATAATAATGCAGTTGATACTTTGTGATACGTGGTTTGTGGGATTGCGATAGTTCTTGTTTATTGGCGTTATTCAACCAAGAGCCCATGATGTAACGTATTTATTTAATTGTGCAGTGAATTTATTTAGAAGTCTGAAAATCTGTGAAGTGCATATTCTTTTGATGTCGCTGTTTGACTGTGTGGTGGTGCTGGTTAGTTGTATAAGTACTACCCGTAGTAACCGAAGCATACATGGATTTACTGTGGTAGACTGGTAGTCAATAATGCTGGATGGAGAGGAAATGGTACACTTGATATAAGTACTTCTAGATATAACCTACGATAGTTCTTTAGTAATCTAAGTGCTCGACGACACTCGATGATTATTAATGGTGAACCTTCAATTTTCAGTGTCAAATAACGATAAAAAATAAATGCGCATCCAAGAAATGTGCGTACAAGTATGTAGAAAACTGAAATGGTGAGTGCTGCAGTGATAATTATTCTTTCAGAACAAGCTGCAGGCTTCAGTCACTGTAAATGATATTTTTTGAGAATGTACAACATTTGAGTCACACTATTGGTAGACCAATGACAAGCATCTGCAAAGAAATAAGGAAATCCCGAGTGTACAAGTTTGGCTACTTACTTATTCACTTGTTAATGCTAGCACTTACTTTTGTGGAAAGCTTAAAGACTGCTGCTGCCTGTTGGGGTGCGATCTGCACGGGCAATCCAATTTCCAGCCTATAATTTTTTGGCTTTACTGAAGAAGAGGTCAGCAATATCCTGTCGTCGCCGACCGCTAGGCTAATCTGCTTTAAGTCATTCTGGAACAGAAATAAACAGAATATTAATTAATCAACCACAGTCCATAAAAATTCACAAAGATCCTTCCTCTGTCCCTTCAGTAAGAATCCCTACCACGTTTCCCAAACTGATTTCGACTTTTAAATGCCGTGTTTTACATCCCTCAGGATCCATCCAAAGTTCTGAATAGGGTACTGAGTAATTGTTAGAGCCAGATTCCAGAGGAACCCTCGGTTGCGTCAATACGGAAACAGGGTGGCTAAAATTCGGCATAATCAGCAATTAGTAAATTACATCATATACATCGTTATCATTTGTTAGTTTGATACATACATACTCGTACATACACATCGTATTCATGCTAACAGCGTTTAATATCACAAACACGTTACAAAAAATTAAAAAGCCGCTGAAGTGGGCCTCACTTTTGAATTTCTTGGACCAACTTTGGTTTGGTGCGCACTCGCTGTTCCACAATCTTACCAAAAAACCTTTTTCCTTTTAGCGTCACTGCGCCTAAAACCAAATGTTGGTAAGGTTATTTCCGGCATTCCGAACTGCAGTTCTTACTTCTGCGATCGATAGCTAGGCTGAATTTGTTTTCCAGTGCTTCCATTCCCACCGATATAAAAAAGTGGTAAAATAATTCGCTCTTCTCTATTTTTTGATAAAGGGATGGATGAACAACGATGTCATAAACACGGCAAGGCTCTCCGCCTAAGACAAAGCAAAGAAAAGTGTGTTTAGTTCACCGTCTTATTAAAGATTAAGTCGAAAAGAGAGAGAACTACTGTGGTCAACTTCATCGTGAGGATCACCGACACTCATGGGAATTCGCATCGACTCTGCTGACGACTGCAACCGCTCTGCAAGATCCGCTTCGGTCAAATCTTGATCTAGCGGCGGAACCTAAAAAATTTCACAGAAAAGTAAAACATAATTACGGTACTACTGTACTAATATATCATATACTCTATGCAGTAGTCTATGATAGAACATGTTTGGTTTGTCCCTACTGATTACCGGGAAAGGAACAGTTTTTTTTTCCTGGATGTGCAAATCGTAATAACATCAGCATTTCAACTACCTTACTACCATACGAAATTATTTTAAATTTTATTTTGAAAGGCCGACAAAACCGTCGATCGGTAGATGGTACTATCCTGTGTCTGGTTTTAAAATCTTTGTGAACATACTAAATTCGCCTAAATTTCATTAATTTGTATATTAAAAATTAAAACGTAAACCAGGTATTCAGTGGCCGTCAACGCGCCGCACTCGACAACTACCTTAATACCATACGAAATAGTAAATGGTATTTCAAAGCCGAAAAAGAATGTAAGGTCCATATAGCCTAAAGAGCATATTCGGTCGTACCTTCTCAGAAAAACACACGTTGATGAACACTTTCTTTCCATCCGTAGTCTTCATTTTAATGCACATCCCTGTAATTTGATGAAAATCAAGTCATGACACACTAATTCGCACCGATTCAGCCTCCATGTGCGGGTACACACCTGGCTCAGGAATCACGGTAACATATCCCTGCAGTTTGCTGTTGAGCTCGTCTATCTTCACGGGGTCGAAGGGCCACTCAATACATTCTCCGCAAACTCTTTAAATTCTTCTGCCTTGTTTTCCCTGGGTGCCCTTGCTGCGGACGGTACCTGCCAAAGCAAAAATTGCAGATATTGTACAAATTGTACAAAGCATGCGCATTAAAAAATCCATCCATACGCGAAACGAAGGGCTTCCAGAGAGGGAATCATAGCTCTTTGTTAACCGGTTTTCCAGCTCCAACAGGGTTTTGTTTGTGGCCATGATAATTATGATCAAGTACTATAATCCGTATAAATGCATAAGAGGTTTTGCACCAACGAATCTTGCTGAATTTGGAAGGACGGTTGTGTAAATGACGGACAGTAAGTCGCAAACATCCTCACCATCAGTCCTGACAGTCCTACTCACCAGTCAGCTGCTAATTCAAAAGAAAAAATTCAAAAGAGAAAATGAGTTTCTCTTTTGTTGTGGTTTGTGGCGTACCGAGACGAGTGTAAGCATCTGTGAGTTGCTGAGCTCAGACTTCAGACTGCAGAACAAGGCAGTCAGACTCCGCCATTGACTTGGCACGAGTGCTTGGCACAGCCTTCATCGAAATGGCGGCTTTGCTCTGTCTGACTTCTGGAACTCAGCATTTATTACTTGGACCATCGACCGTTGGCCCGTTATCACTGTGTACGGTTACGAAAAAAGTTAAAACATTTTATTTTTTAAATTAGAAACTAAGAAAGTAAAAAGCATTGTTAATTTAGACAGATTTAAAGTTTTGAGTCCTTTCGACTTTTAGTTTCTTTGGGTTTGTATTTGCTCTAAACCAATTTTTCAGCAGACGTTTTTAGCTTTCCGTCAGTTTATTTTCGATGCAAATACTTAGATAGAGGTACTTATTCATGATAAACTTATTTCAGTTTCTATCTCTACAGTGTTCAGTGTACAGTCAGATTTCTGATCTGGACAATTTTTAAGTGGACATTTTCATTTCTAACTTGAAAAGCGGAATTCTTGGGTTCGCTAGTTTATTATAAATTTTGTTTTATTGTAGATTGAACCATCGTTCTCGAGTTCGAGCAGCTGCTGGAGTTATATCTTGGTCCCTGAACCTTCGGAATTTTAGTTATAGACTTGCTGGACAGATTTATCAGAGATGAATTGGTCGTGAATCTTCCATTTTTTCGAAAGGAACTGGAGCGTTTTTCATTCTTCTTTACCATTTGGTATGGCTTACCGAACTTTTCCTCAAAAGGGAATCCTCATCTGCCTGTGTGCTGTATGCTCACTGAAGTAAGGATGAATTTTCGTCAGCAAGACTTTGGCACATCGTTAGAGAGCTATTCTATCAGTCGTGAAATTGGCAAGGGTGGGTTTAGCCATGTATACGAAGCTGTGGCTGCAGTTAGACACCCGAACGGAATCTTCAAGAAGAAGGTTGCTGTCAAGTGTGTTGACCGGAGGTCCGCACAAAAGGATATCCTCACCCGCATCGACAATGAGCGTAACATCCACATGGAGCTCAATCATCCGTCGATTGTCCAGATGCTCCAGTACTTTGATGACGGTAACTACTCGTACTTTGTTCTGGAGTACTGTGAGCAAGATCTGGCACATTTTCTGGATAAACGGCCTACCGACGAAAACACGGCCAGGCATATATTCCGGCAAGTTGTTAAGGGATTGATTTATCTTCACGACAAAAACATCATACATCGTGATATCAAACCCGGAAATATTCTGCTGACCGCAAATCACGATGCAAAGATATGTGATTTTGGTTTGGCTACACGGTATTCACGATCGGCGCCGGAACACACGACACTGTGTGGCACACCTGCGTTTATGGCACCGGAAGTGTTATCCAACTCGCACACAATTGATTCGGATAAGTGGAGCTTGGGCATTCTCCTTTACACGATGGTGGTGGGATGTCCACCAAAGCCACCCAGCAGTGCTCGCGGATATCGTGCGCAAGAACTGTCGTTTTCCGCTGTCAGCGCTGCAGCGGCTGATCTCATTACTTCGTTGCTGCAGTACGACGCGGAAAAGAGAATCTCGTTGGAAAAAGTCTTGTGTCATCCGTGGTTGGATGGCTCCAGTAGCCTCAGAAATTTTACCTCGCCGAACCGTTCAGCAGACAGCGGACATGGGTCTTTCAGTCGCCCAGCAGTTCGGCTTCGTCGTCGAAATCTCGATTGCCGTTATCGCATTCCAACCGGGTATTAGGGCCGATTGCTGAGAGCAGCACATCCGATTTTCAAGAGAAACCATCATCGCCAGATAGCAAACAGCTATCCAGAGATGCCGGTGCGCGTAATTCTGGAACCTCCAACCTGATTCAGCTTAATACTCAGTATCTGAAGCCTCAGCGTGTATTATCGACTGATAAAGTGGTGCGGAGCATTTTGGAAAGCGGAGAGGTCGTTCTTGAACTGGTGGAAGAGGAGAATTTTGCGAAATTTGTGAAAAAAGTGTTCCGGATAAGCGGAGATGGGAATATTGTACGTTATGGATGTTGCCGTCATCTGTGGCATTGTGCTATAACAATTTACTGGTCATCGACATGTTATGTTGGTGTTTGTGTCATGTTTTAGATGTATGTGTACAAACCGACCAAGCGCACACCTTTGAAAATGGGCCCACCACAATTGCCAAAGAATCCGGAGACGGTTCTTTTCAGCAGTTTATGCAATCGATATGCAGCTGTCTATCAAATTGCCTACCAGTTTGTAGATCTCGTTAAATCCAAAACCGTTAAACATTGGATTGCCACTGACAAAGCTCGAAGCTGTTTAATGCGGAACGATCCTCATCCCAACGTAGAATCTGAATTTTATGACGGTAGCTTACAATGTTTTTTTTTATTTCTGGGATAATTTCGTTATCAATTTACGTTTTTAGGTGTTAAAATTATACACAGCGTTAAATCCATTACGGTGAAACCGTCCAGTGACCCACACACAACAAGCTCACCTTTTCAACAGATGCGCCGCCCAGTGGCGAGTTCGATTCCTACTGGAAACACCATGTTTGGGTAAGTTTTTGTTGTTACCGGTGCATGCCGAGAGTTGTGTATTCTGTTGTACATGTTTCATGTTTACAGTGCAGACGGCGGCTTATTTTCCAAAATTCACAAGCTATCGATGGTGATTCGAGGTTTTCCGAGATAAAAGTTGTTGCATTCGGATATGGAAAGTATGCAGTTTGTGAAATGCATCGTGACCCTAACATTCAGGTGGTACATATTTTGATTTGATTTTCCAGACTGAAAAGGCCGGAGTCAGATGTGCACAATTTGACAAGGCCTCCGGTGAATGCTGGCACTACCGGCAATGGTAATAATTCATGTGAGGAATCATCCAGGAATTTTCGGTCTCCGGTAAGCGAGCAAAAGTAAAACCAAATATGCCTGTTGGTAATGACATCAGCCTTTTGTTGATTCAGGTGCTTCCCCAGGATTTGCGCTTCGGATCCCATATTCTTAGCGATCTTAAGCCGTCTTCCTTGCCATCTCGACCGCCTTCGTCACCTGCATTAGGCTACAGAGACATGTCAGATGAGAGTTTGAAAAATGGAAAGAAGACTTTTCCTGACGGAATGGTCGTATCCGGGATTAATACATCTGAATTCTGTTTCAAAACGGCGGATGGTCACACCGTTTAGTAAGTTTGTTTTCACAGACAAATGTGGGCTTCGTGGTAAAATTCATAACAGAACTTTCTAGTGATATGTCAACTACTAGGTTTTTATTATGCATACTTAAATTTTAATATCTTATATGGAAGTACTATCTTACATACCATAAAAGCCGGTATTCCTTTTGAGGGTGAGAGGTGGACAGGTTTTCGGTGCATGTTTAATAATCCGCATTTCGAAAGTCTTTCGTTAACTGTTAAGCAGCTTCGTAGAGCCTCGGTGTCTGTCTGTTAATATTCCTACGTATTAAAACGCCTTAATAATTACGCATTTTGCTTTTTGTAGTTATCCAGTGACAAAGATTCCGGAGTATTACAAGCCTTACATCGAACAAATCAACAGAATGCTTCAGGATAAAGTGAACTTCCTGTAAAGCCGCAGTTAGATGACTGTAATTCGCATCGTGGTTTTACCTATGTTAAGCCTGGAGATCTCCGCTCTCAGTTTGGAACGCAGTATTTTTTAAAGTGTCTTTTTTTGATTCATGTACACGGATTAGATGCTTCCTTGTAACCGCTGCTGCTTTTCTATAAGCTTACTTTTCGTTAAGGTTCGACGATTGGTTCGGTTTCTTGTATTTATCTATTGTTACAGTGTTAGTGCTTCCCCGTTAGTTTTAGCATCAAGTTGTAAACCAGAACTCAGACTGGAGATTTAATTTTATTCAGCACTTTTCAGTGATTGATTGAAATTTCAACGATGAAAATATCATTAAACAGAATCGAAAAGTGTTTGCTACTCCTGTTATCTTGGCTTACTCAAATCTTTTTCTAGTTTATCATATATTTGAGTTTCCGATGGGAGCGAGGCGAACTCAGCAAAAACGCACAAATGGACGTAACCTAAGACAAGCTGCTTGGTTCCGGTCTGCCAGTGAGTAGGAGTGTGCATCTTTTTGTAACAGGATTGCACTACTGTAATTGCATGTTTGTAGTGTACAAGTACTTGCCAGTAACTCTAAAGTCTCTAATGACTTTGTTTCTGTTCCCTTTTTGTTTGTGTTGAAACAGGAATCAATGACTGTAAAGTTCAGGAGGCAGTAGCGTTTTTCAACTCATGAACTACGTTTCTCATTAAACTTAATTGCAACCTTACAGTACGTGCAGTACGAGGTGTGTTGTTAATTGTTATTGCACTGTGCCGTTTTGTTCATGTTTTTTTTCTATTATTAAGTTCCAGTGGTACAAGTACACTATTATTTACTGTAATGAGTGTAACGCTATCATTCGATCTATTCTGTTACTAAGTTTTAATTTGATTCATTCTGTTTTCTGGATTGATTTGTAGCTCTGGTAATAATCTCGCTGGGATCAGTGCCGCGACGATCTTTGATCGTGAGTTTTCACTGCAGCTGTTATTACTGATTAGAAAATTATGCCTAGTGCCTAGTTTATTCCCAAATGTGAATCGGTCTAGACTTTTCAGTAGAGACTTACAAAGCTGTACTGTACGTGACGGGAGCGAAACCCGTGAACGTACAGAAGCTGCTAGACTACAAGAAATCTATCTTTCGAAATGCGTGTAATACAACCCTTCGAACTATTTTGTTTTTCTGAATTAGTAATTTGCTGAAGATGTTTAAGATAAAGCTGCTATTAAAACTTTGGATTGATTTAATTACAACCTTGAATACCGGTTAAACTTAAAAGTACTGACGGCGCTACGGCAGTACTGTTAACTTGTTATCCGGAAGTCGATTCGTTTAGGAGGCGGTCACAAGTGCTACCACACACAGCACCATGGAATTGCGTGTACAATTCAAAATGTACTGTACGAGTATGCCGTCAAATCAACCAGTTTCAAATGATTGTGAACTTGTCTGATCGGATCAACCATCTCATCTTGTACGCCGTCCAAGTCAACTATGTTGTGCGCGTACATTTGTATCTCACTACGAGCTTCAAGGGAAAAAGGTCGAAAGACATCGCATTCTCGGTCTCGGACGGACTCCGTTAACCCCAATCCTGTATCCAACTGTGTTTAAGGTCTATTGTGTTGCAGTGCGTCCTACGTAACTGATAGCCTATCAGTTCCTGCTATCAGCATCTGGCGCCTGTCGTCTTGCTGCTCCTCCACGCATTACGCCAAAGTGACGGACAGCTTATCCCGACTCTCGAGAGGTGAGTTTTGTCTGCGTTTGTTATTGCAGTGTAATCCGTGCGCCATGGATGCAGGCGATCGGGGAACCCTGTGGTAATTTGACAGGGTTCTTCTTTCTGCAGTTGCAAACTTATGACTTAGGTTTTACTGCAGTATGTGTTATTGTGCAATTCGATCATCAATCTGACGCTGAAGCGCAATGCAGGTGCAGACTGCAGTACATGTTGTTGTGCCACCTCACTCACTGCACCATGGCTTGGTTAATTTTACGTTCTTTTTATCGAATGAAGAAGGAAACGGCAGTGCTACTTGCTTAGTAACGGACGCTCGAGTGAACGAAATGAAGAAAGTTTTCTCTTTGGTGTAGTTGTGGCAAATGGTACTTTGTACTTTGTGATGAAATGATCAATAGGCAGCGCGATAATTTAGATATGGGTCAATGATTCTGCTGGAAAGTTTTTTACGGCTGACAATAGTGCGTTTAAAAGCCGACGGTGAGGACAGTGAGGAGGTTTGGTTGATCTATGCGCGGAGGTGGCATGGTCGTATAGCTCATAGACTCTTCTACGGATTGACAGGGATGCTGCTCATTTGAGCATAGCGTCATCAACGAGCCGACGACCTTGAGAAAATGTTATGAACAGACTTCGCTGTCGCACTGCACTCACTACTGTAAAGTGTAAACTGGTGTGCACTTGCAGCTTTTTATACGAGTACTAAACTACATGTAGCTAAATATTTATTAATAATGATAAGAAGTTACAGGATTTATTTTATTAGTTATGTGATGAAGCATCGATTCGCCTGACCTGTAGTACAGTAACGAAATCTACAGGAAGGTACGAAGTCGAAAATAATGAATCGTGGGCTATTTATTGAAAACAATTTAGTGGAAATGTGAATATGTATTGTTGTTAGTCTGATGTAGTAGATGTTTATTACTAGTATGTAGTAGTACTTATTATTCATAATGATTGTGAGCCTGTCCGGACATATTTAATACTAAAAGAATCTTCAAATGTAAAAATGTGATGATAAAATTAAAACATTTTATTCGGTTCATTCCGAATTTTTTGCTTTGTTAAGATAAGGTTGAAACGCATAAAATGATATTATGTAATGAATATGGTAAAGCCAAATGTGTATTTGTACGAATAGAAGTGTTTAATACTTGTATGGCGGTATCTGTAGGACTGTATGCGATTTTTTCGTTGAATCTATATCTCGATGTTAAAATATATACATAATACAATACGAGTAAGTATTGGATATAACACAAGTATACAACACAGTTGACTGCAATAGAGATAATGCATAGTAAGTATCATGTGGTTTAATATGGTATTTTTTATAATTAACAATTGAAATTTTCGAATCCGTTCATGCAGCCGTGAGCCTGGAAACAGCACTTTTACTTACGGTACTCTTCGTACGAATAGTATATCGACCTTTCCCGTCATGTGTGCCACGTATCCGATCCGGACGCCGGACGGGATCGTGTACGCTAGACATCTGTCTCTGCTGGCTGCTGGTCCCGCTTTGAAAGTGGAGAAGAGAGGTTAATGCTTTACCTGATTATGAATTCCAGCTCATTCGTAAAATGGTAGCATGGAAGGAAATTTCGGACTGATGAACTCATAATTTACAATTAATTCTCGGTGCTTTAGAGCGTTGATAATTTGATATTCACGAAGGAAAAAACTAAAAAATAAACATTAAAACTTAAAAGCTGCTGAAATAGAATTTAAAAATTTGAAGTCCAGGTTTTATTATTTTTATTATTTTTACTTAAGGTAACATATAATTAATGAGAAACTATAACTTATTGTTAGGTTGTTTGGTTACTTATCTGGTTAAAATAATTTCGTTGTCCCAGCTTGTGCATTACAGTGCAATTTGGTATTGGTCTCAAATTCCTAAAACGTCTTCTGCGTGTACGCGATATTTTCTGCTGAATTGTACTGTAGGTGTACAAAACAATGTTTGTTTCGCGATTACAGGCTTACAGCTGCATTTTTTTAGATACTTACATGGTTTTAAGTACGTATATATGTTTTTGAAAACAGTAAGAACTTGAGGATGAACTTGCTGATTAATTTTTATTGGTCCTGAAATAGCGTGATATGATAATAAACCCAGAGTATTATCGGTCATTTTAACACTGGTATAAAGGCGCCGAAGAATGGAGATTTTTGAAATCTGAAAGTCTACAGACCACGTTTTACCAATCGGTCGCTACCTTGTGGGTTTTTTTTTTATTTTATTTTAATGAAAACTTATGTCGCTTCATAATGATAGGAAAACAGAAGGTTCTCTATAGAGTTTGTAGAATTAACGATCTGGCAGTGCCAAATCAGATGGGGAGACGTAATTGGAATTTGTGGTTTGTTATTATGAGCATGTTCGCTTGCCCTGTAAGTGTGCGATATTAAAATCGCTGTGATTAACGTGATAAATCTGGTTTGTTAACGTTGGGTGTGGTTGTCACATTTGCGTTCTAGTACATACTGACGCTGTGCATATGCAGAGTGCATGGAGACTGGAGAGTAGAATAGTTTGCTTATTAATTATTAGAAATGTTCTAGAGAACGTTGTTTGTGGATGGAAGTGGCTTTAAAACCAAAAACTAGCTGCATGTGGACGGGAAGATAAAAATATTTCCGGTGCGTTCAGAAGCCAATTACACAATGCGGAAAAAGACCGCTGAACACCCAATACTTAAATTGTAAATAATACTGTACGTAGAGTTGTAGACGTACCGCTACCATAATAATATAGTGGACTCAGAACTTACAAACTCGAAAGTAGGCCCCCGACTGTAAAAGCTGTTGATGCTAATGGATTTAAAATAGAAACTAGGTCAACCAGCATATTTGTGTATTTTTCGTTCGTCCCCTTCGGACGTGGTATCGATTGAAGGAAGGCCCAGTCGTCTCCGGCAACGACTGCGAGCCTGTGACTGGATGTCTCAGTCGGATTTTATTGGGTGCAAATCTGGAGCGATAAGATCTGCGGCTGCGTGGAACTATGGCGCGTTTTGTATTGTAATGATCTTCAAAACTTTCTTACTCTGGTTTTAGTGTATCAGTGAAATAGCTGAGTTATGCATACACGGACGTTTAATTGTTAAATTTGTTTTATTTTTGCGGTTACTGCTTGTGCAGGTGTGCTTAATCCAGTTTTAACTTACTGGACCCAATTTTAACTTACTGGAGAAACGTTGCTGGAGAACGTTTAGACATTTTAAGTACTTTACGGAAGCATTATTACTGGCACACAAACTGCAGCTGTTGACAATTAAAGTCCATTTAACAAAACTTTTAAAAATAATGTAACCAGCGTAGAAAATTTTCCAAGTGCATTCTTTAAAGGTTATAGTCGCCGTGTTGTTTGCATATGGTCTGAACGCTGGTACAATTATCGGCTGATATATGTAGCGTAATTACTGACGCTGGATGCTAAAGCATACGATCGTTCGGACTGGGTAGTGGGTAATAATCACATGATATATTACATGTACAAGATGATGAGACGATCGCTACATGATTTTCATTTGATGTATAATTATTTTTCCTGTTGTCAGTTTTAGGGAAGACTCGTAATATACGTATAAAGAATATCGCAAACTGCATCCATGCTTTGTGCTTGTTACAAAAACCGTCACTCAGAACACTAATTGTAAGGTTTGACTGAAACAATCTACAAATAACGATGATTTATGACGAGGTGGTGTTGCGCAATACGCAGTTCACACGCTAGTTACTTTTGCTCTTCTGCTTAATTCTTGATCGGGTACTTCCAGATTTCGGAACAAAGCCAACTCTAGAAAGAAATGGGGTGCTGAATATGAGGATGTTGTAGAGGAACCGGCTGGACTCTGATCCTGAGGAGAAACACCTGAAACGAGAAGTAACTTGCAGTTCGCATTCGTCAGTGAATGATGTTTTCCTCGTTTTTTTGTTTTTAAGGTATGATCATCTTCTTTTTTGAAATTTTTAGAATTGCTTTTGTTATGAGTAGTTTGGTTACGGAGACGGACCTTAAGTATAATCTTAAAGTAGTGAGTTCTTCGGCAGAATTCAGAGCGTGTAATGGTCGGTTTGTGAGTGCATGTGGTCGTTTGTAATTGTACATCTGTAAGCGTGGAGCAGTCGACGGGCTTTCTGTGAATGATTTACCTTGGTTGAAATCTTTGTTGTGTTGGCGCGGCTGCGAATTGTGTAATGTGAACATTCAAGGCAATCCGATCAAGCCCCTTGGTGCTTGCTGTTGAATTACTTCAGGGAATCTGAATTGGTCAGAGTTCTGATAGTGAATTACAGTGTATGTGAACTAAGTTTGTCTGAATTTGCTCTGCTTTTTTTCCACAAAAAGCATGTACTGTTTAAAATCAGAAAATGCCATGTTTCGCCCGAGAATTTTTCAACAGTGTGAAGTGCTGTTGTCACTGCAGTCTTCGATATGCATTGAAAACATCTACGCTTTTATATTTGTTATTTTGATAATTCTGCATCCGCTGTGCGACGATATTCCTTAAACCACATTATTTAATAACAAGTTGCCAATGTTTTCTGAGAGGTTTTCACAATAAGCTAGCTACGGTAAGCGATCAATAAAGTGGAGGATCGTGTAATAGGCTATAAAATCTTTGTGGTACATTCGTCTTGATTTGAAAACCTGTCAGAAAATGGCGTAGTTTGCGCTTTGTATGGATTCTGGAAGCAGTATACCACCAGGTGTTTGAAATGCTTCGTGAACGGTGAACATGTGCAATCAGTTCTCTTGATTTATGGTTCCAACTCCGAGTGACTTACGAATTTTGTAAACTCTATATTGCGCTTGCAAAAGAATTGGGTGAACCTGTAGTGTTTCCATTGTTTTTGTCTGATTAATTTGAGCTCGTCTGCTCTGGATAGGCTTATCTTTGTTATGATTTACCGTTATTTATCACTTAACCTTCAGCATGTGAAATCATTAATGTGCACACCTGTACCAGTGGAAACTGGGCTGAGGTTGCCGATTTTCGACAGGTTGTCTGACGCACGGAAAGTTATATAAAGTTATGTTTTTGACTATTTAAAATTTTCTTATTTCACGGAACTTTTTCCGAAATGTTGTTAAGATGTGAACAATAAAAATTTTCTCCCGAGAAAGTTTGACAAGTGGCTGCTTAGAAAGTTAAGCAGTTATCTTAGGTATTTTCAAGAAGACCGGTACCAGTTGGTTGATCGATTGAGGCCAACAGAAAGTAAAATCTGTTGATAGGTTGGCTGCTGGTTATTGGCGGCCTTGTTTTGATCATCAATTGTTTCTGGTGGGTCTTCGGACATGTCGACCTGATTTGCTATAGCTTGTTGTAGCTCGTTTAGATCGTTTGGGAATTTGGTGACTTCTTTGTCATCCGATGACATGTTCTCGTTGCGAAGAAAACTCCTTAATACATTAGTTATATCGTAATATCTTGTCTTTTATGCCATTGAGTGCTGCATCGTGTCGTTGACGAGTCTCTCTCGGCCCGGAAGAGTTCTACCACAACGGTAATATCACTAATGCATCATGTTTCTTGTATAATTCGCCGATCGGAATGCGATGAGGCTATACGTTTTGGTGCAGTTAATAAGGAACTATTTGTGACGTCATCGCGGTGCATACTCGGTCGGCGACGGCGTGCATGAGCCAAGCGTGAGTTGCATAGATAGTCGAAACCTAAATTTTTGTGATTGGGAGATTTCATACGACAATTATACTGACTTGTGTCGTTGCAATATTTCAAATCAGAATTTGGGTTATATTCTATGGCATAGAACATAATGTGACAAGCGCAATAGACCACCCATGCTTATTTGTTTGCTTCGAGTGGCTTTCGGTGGTTGTGTTTTTGCTTCGTGTTGTGCCTGTTTATTGTGTTGGCGACTGTGACCGGCGAAAACTTTTTTACTTTCTTCTCCACACTAATGCATTCTTCCTGTATCATTGTTTTGCTTCTGTGTACTAATTCGATAAGGATTGTTAGCTAAGTAGATGTGCTATTTTTTATCAAAACATTTATTTCTGGAAGGCCTTGATAGTCCTTGCGCTTAAGCTGGCTGTGGTACAAATGGACTATACAGATTCAGAACGGCAAATATTGGATGAATTTTTCTGTAAGTCTTTGATTACAGAGTTGAGATTTTGTGTTTTGTTTTAGTGCTGGATGTAAAACAAATTTATCAGAAAGTGTTCAGCGGCCTGCTGGCTGCCAGTCTGCCATCCAGTCTGCCATAGGTTTTGACTACTACAAATAGTACCTACTAGTACTGTATTTGTTGAGAACGAGTCAGTGTGAACGCTAATCAACTGTAACTGGGATTACAGTATTGTATAGTGTATTGTTATCTGGCTTATTTTTGTTGGGTTTGTGATTTACCGTTACGGGGTATGCAGTATGGTATGCATATGCAGTATGATGGATCATGGACGTTACATTAATATTACGTTTTTGGTGGACAGCGGGCCGTAGATATGCGGTGTAGCCTCAGTGTAGGATATGAGAAAGCTTGATTACTGCATAATGCATATTGCATAACGTCTGCCATCTGGTGTTACCGTATGGCGTTTTATGGGTGGGCCTTGAAAAAGGTGGTACGAGTTTATGATAACCCAACCGCAGAAAGCGCGCGTTCCACTAGGGACACACCGTAGCCGGCGTAGCGTACTGTTTGTACTTCCGGCTTCCGCAGATTTTCGGGCATCGTCCCCCTCCGGTGTCCGTTGGACTCGTGTGAATTCTGATGCAATGAATGCAGCGTGGGCTGTGACTGGACACATAACTTGCGCGTGCATTTCCGCACTTGCATGAACTTTACCAACGCTACGTGAGGCCCGGATGAACCGGCTTAATATTCAACTAATTCTCCTGCTTAACAAGTCAATAGCACCGCGATGGGTTTTGGCTTTCCATTGCTTAGAGAAAATAATTGTCAGGACAGTGGACAGCTGAGATAAGTTCATTTAACCTGGCAGCGTGCGCGGGGTTGAGCAAACCACTTGAACGGAAATCACGCTGATAGGGTATATGCAGTCGGTGTTCAAGGCGCAATGGTTCAGAGATGTAGTACCCGCGAGTCGCGATTGTACCGGGAGCCGCTGATGTGGGTACGCGGCATGATACGTCATTTGAAAATGAGCTGGGGCGATTGCTGTAAAAAAGCTTAGCTGCTCTCGAAATTTTTTTCCGCTGTTTGATAAGGATGACAGTGTTTATTTAGTAGAGAGAATAAATAATGTAAATTGTAAAGTTTTATACTTTTGCACTTAGAGGAATGTTTTTACCCGAAAGGTTTCTAACTGTTTACTGTTGGGGTTAAATATTAATTAGAATTTTAGCAGCTCAAATACAGATTTTATGGGCTTGCAAACGAAGATTCTGAGAGCTTTTTTAATCAGATTCTGAGAGGTTTAACCTGTTATCCGCGTTTTAATTTTAGTTTCTATCAGCTGTTGTTTGTTTAAGTTTATGTTTCGAACTGCGCAACGCCTTAGGACTTCGACGAGAGAACAATCGGTGTTTAAATACAAACCGGTTTGGCTAGATTTCCAGCTAGATGTTTCCTTTTTTTAAAAATTATTCAGATGGTATCCTAATGTTCGGCCATCACTAGTAAGTAGTAATTTATCTACAGAATAGTGAGGCTTTAAAATGAACTGAGTCTTGTAATTCAGGAAAGTATTAAGGTCATCAAACGCATGGTATGGTGCCGGTGTCTAGCACTTCAGATAAGATAGTGTTGGGCCCAACAGTCATTCATTTTGGAAATTAATTAAGTTGACCAAAACTCGAACAATTAGTTCCCAAAACCTGAGCCACTGCAGCGTATGTATGCATAAGTTGCCATGTCGCGCAACAGTGCGTAACTGATTCAACTGGTATTCGTCAAACTGCGGTATCCATCTGTAAGTAGCCATTTGGCTGATGCTGATTTAAATAAATTTAATTAGCAGCGACTTTGTTCTTAATTTGCTGTAATGTGAACACATTTCTAACTGCGAATTGAAATGCGGGTATCATGCAGGGGATGATATTAGGTAGATTAATCCGCGATGGAAGCACACGATGTAAATTATAATGTGTGCTTTGCGGCACTTACCTTCACGGAATCTGTACGATCACCTCTTGACAAGATGAGGTCGTGTTTGTTATGTTAAGGAATTCGTCGATTCAGTTTTGACTGGTGTAATATGTTCTGCAAAGTGCATCAACCTACAAGTGGACTCGGTAATATTACCGCAGCTGTGACATAATAGTTTTGTTATTGTTCATACACAGGTTAATTTCGCAGTAATCCATCAAAAGCTATGGATTATTTTTTGTGCATACATGATACTGAACATATCGGTTAGATGAACTATCGCTCACGTATAAATGTATACTTTTGATAAGAATTTCAGGTAATTGGGCCTATGTTTTGTATTGTGTACTCACGCAAATCAAATGTAGGAATTAAAAGATGCATTTTCGGCAGCGTTTAAAATACTAATAAATATATTATTTTAGTGAGTAATAAACCACTGAAAACAGTTTTTGTTGGCGGCAGTTAATTTTTCATAAATTTGACATCTGGGTGTGTAAAAGATGAATGCTAACCTTCAGCGATCATGATATGGAAGTGTGTTTTGCTGTCACATAGGCATGCAAGGAATCGTTACAAATGCAGTACTCGTACTAAATATAAATAATTATTATATGATATAAACCTCAGATAAAGCTGTCAGCCCAGTTTCAGAATGTGCATTTACTTTTACCATGGTTTCTACTCTGTTTTTATGAAACGTTTGAACTTTCTACGCAAGTTCTGCGTGACAGCTCATGGATAGCTGTAATATATTGTACAGTACTGTAGTTGTTAATATTAATCTTTGGAGGATGAAAATGAAATTAATAAAGTGTATTTGACGGGGGCTGATAAATGTACGAGAACGCTTGGCAGTCATTTTATTACAAAATGGGAATATCATTAAGTTGCTTAGCCTTTTAGAAATTATACACTGGAAGTGATAATAATTATGTCGATTTCATCGAGAATTCGTACAGGATAAATTATTAACTTGGAGGTGGGCGATCTGATCTATCGTCTTTGCTAAAATATTTTAGGACTGCCATTTTTGTTGTAATATGCATATCTATATAAGTTCGTACAAACGCTTTGCTCCAATCGGTGACGTTATTTTGAACGTACGGTTGTGATTTGCCGCGGTACGAGACGGCTGACTACACATGCATACACACCACGAACACAGTGCAGTGTTGTTGGCCGCGATTTGATAATAGACCACATTTTCCGCCCGCATATTGCACAATCTCCTACAAACTGGTGGCTAGCGCAGAGAAACGGCATTAACCTCGAGTGTCCTCAGTATCCGATCTATTAGCGTGCAGGTCGTTGCCTAATATTACCTCGCACTCGAAACTCTTTTTCGGAGAATTGCTTTTTTGCGAAATAGTATTCTGATAGATGCAACTGTATTGAAAACTACAAATTCGCGCGATGTCATCGTGTCGCATGGTTGACATGCAGATGGGACTAAATTATCCTATGTTTCCAGGCGGTCTAAATGGTGTCAGCCAGTCTGGACTGCACGTGAACGGACTGGGTCCACCGGGTGGCACAGTGGTCAATACGGTCAACCAGACCATTCCTCAGATTCCTGATACCAGCAACATGTCGTATGGAGGGCTGACCTATCCGCCGGTCTGCTCCACATACTCGGTGGGGAATTTAACACAGTTCACCATGAATACTCCTTCCCAGTGCCTGGTGTGTGGGGATACGAAATCACTTGGTAAAAACTACGGCGGCTGGACGTGCACGGGCTGCAAGTCGTTTTTTCGTCGCTGCATCGAAAAGCAGACAGTCCCGCGGTGTAAGTACGGCGGACAATGCGAAATCGATCTGTTCATGAGGAGAAAATGCCCAGAGTGTCGGTTAAAAAAGTGTTTTCGTATTGGGATGCGGATGGATTTGGTCGCGCGGGATGATCCGAATACTCCGAAGAATCCCGATGAGGGAGAGAATGTTAAGCCACCTGATCATCGGTCCCCTGCCAGCTCGACATCCAGTCCGGCTCCCGCTGTGGTAACAACGGCTGGATCGGTGAGCTCGCCGGCCTCTGTGACGCACAGTGCATGTGACGCCAGTCTCGCCTCCCTACCGGAACATCCTCACCAACAGACTATTAAAATTATCACGTATTACCAGGAGATATTTGATATACCCAGTACGGATGATATTCAAAAACTGACCAATTTTGCCTTCACGGGTGATGTCCAGTTCGACAAACAACGGGGATTCGAGCATTTCGCCGAGCTTACCATACTAGCCGGTAAGTTGATATTGATTTATTGCTTATATTTTATTTGTAAGTTTTGTTGCTACTTGTAGGATTATGTGCATATATTAGCACAAGACGTTCTATATTTGCTGCCTAGTTATCCCAATACGAAAACACTTCTGTACTTTAGTTTTTAAACAGCTCATAGCATATCCATATTTTTTCTTTTTTTTTAGACTTCAGTTGGTTTTGTTATTTTTGATGTGAATTAGTTTTTTAACTTTTTCCCCCCTTACTCTTTGCGTTAGAAAAAGTATATTTAATTTATTTTCTTTGAACTGTAATGGATTTTCTTTTGATGTAATCGCTTGGTCTGGTTAATTATTATGGAAACAGATTTGCATTGTTTAACATTTTTGGGTTGATATCGTCAATAAACGGACGATAAGTGATAGTGGAGTGGTTTGAGCAATTAGGAGATGTCAGTTAAGATGGCACCCGTTCTGTTGCACGAGGACACTCAGAAGGGGAAAGTAGGTTGGCTAAATATTATACTATTTATATTTCTTAATTATGATACATCTCCGGCGCTCAAGTTAGAATGGAAGATGATCTAAAGTAAGCATAGGCGAGGACTAGCGGACTGTCGCTTCTGCGATGATTGACAGTTTTAAAACACAAGATCCGTGGTGACTAATGACGTCACAGCGGAAGTTGAGCGCTACAACGGGACAGCGTTTCGGATTCAGCGATAATGTATGGAAATTGCTAATATTAATTACGAACTTTCACTGGGCGCTCCCATATTTGATAACGCATAGCAGGAGAGCGAGAGAGAAACAATTATGTTTTTATGGCGCAAATACTTGCTCATGGTCCGCCGCTTGTAATATCACACCAATAGCGAGAAACTGGGTCAGTAGAGTTTAACATACAGGCCTAATGGAATGCTGGTATGTTTTCTTACGTAATGAACCTTTGGAGCGCGACGGTGGTTTTCGGTACTAGAGTGCGCGTAAATGGTTTCAGTGATTCGATAGACAAGTAAAGTATACCAATAATGTAGTATGTGGCTATTTGTAGCCTTAGACCAGCTCGTGCGCTGGTGCACATATTGGGTTTAGCTGTGTTGTACAATGTAGTTGAGAAATAAGTATAAGTATATCACTGAGAACCCTTACTGAAACAATGGAATTTCGGCTAATTGTATGTAGGTTATAAGCGTTTTTGTGGTTGGTGCGTCTGTATTTGTGCGAGCGTGTGCGAAATCGGTCAGTGGAGGGTCTCTTGGTCCAATTACCAACTGGTTTGGCGAAGAACCGCGACAGTCTACTGTATCTATGAATCACATAATTATTTAAAATTAGCGGCTCATCATGTGAAAAAAATCTTCGTAAACGTTTTAAACGGAGTTTGAGTATGCTGTATATGTACTTTCCTAAACTACAGTCTACAGTATTATCTTAAGTTGTCAATAAAAAAAATAAATGAATTGTTTTGAAAGTTTTTTTGGAATTGGATTAGATAATTTTTCATGCGATGTTTGAATTCTGAAGCGCTAATGCAAAAGAAGTGTCAACAGCTTCTAAACATGAAACCTACTTTTGAAGAATTGTTTGAAAGCATTTATGTTCTAATAATCATTATTTCTACTGTCATGTAAAATCGATTTTTTTCGAAACTCGTGCATTATAGTGGGCGTAGTCTCGGTGTGCCACAGTTGAAGAAGCAAAGTGAATGTTTATTGAGTGCCTTCCTGACCCAGAAACTGGGGCTTCGTTTGGGTCTTGTGCTGTGTAACCGTATATGTCGTTCATATATATATATGCTTTTGTTGACATAGTGAGCCGGGGGTGCTTGAATGCTGCAATATACCCATTACTGATTACTTAACAATCAATTTGCTTCCCGTTTAAGGCAAACGTTGGCCTACTGAAGGTTTCTGTATACGAGATAAGGCACAAACGGGGTTATATTGTTGGACATGCCGCGATAAGTGGTTTGACTAGTGAGAAAAATACCAGAAAATAGAACTGGATAACCTGATTTGCGTCAGCCGGGAAAAATCTATTGTGGTTTTTCTCTCCACTGGTGATGGCTTAATTCAGTGTGAAATATTTTCGAGTTTTTTGAAATTCCGCAAATAACGCACTAATAAACTGAAAGTTAACTTCGGTGCTATGTTGTGTAGTCACTGCCCTATACGTTTCACAAAATTTGTTCTCATGTTTGAGATTATTGTTAACCTCTAACCATAAGGTCCGCAGCAGAAGTGCAGGACTAGATAATGTAGCGATAATCATCTGGTAGCTATAATTTGACCATCAGTTGAGCACCATCATTGAGCAACGATAATCTGACAGTCTCAACGAGCTCCAAGATGGTTTTCTCAGCTTTAGCGCTGAGATTAACGATTTCTGTATAACCAAAAAATGGATTTTGCTTACACTGCGTAGTGACAAATCTAGTGGCCTTAAACGCTAGGGTAGTGTTCTCTGATTATGCAAATTGTTTGTACAAACTTATCGTGTGGCCAGGTGGAATTTAATTTTTTTGCAGAATTTTGCAAATTGGTGTTTGCTTTTTGATTTCAGTACGTTTCAGGCACTATGACGGATATCGAATAGTGTTTTTTGCTCAGACGTGGCCTTGCCCAGGTGGAAGGCTTGTTTTTAAATTTGGGCATATGTATGTGTGTTAGGAAAGTGTTCTTTGGACCCGTTAGTTTTATTAACACTAGCACTAACCAGTAACCAATAAGATAATTTGATGCGAATTAAATTATGAATAATTCACATCGAAACTGTAGGAGGAAAGTGTGTATCGATTGTCATAATTACCTGCTGTTCATTGTTCCAGATGCGTCGTGATAATTTTGTTCAGAGAAAACCAAATTTGCTTTTGTTGGTTGATGCACCTGCATATGTGCGCGTGTTTCATGTTGAAAGAAAAAGATGGTATTTTGAGAATGAGGGTATTCTTCTGCCGTTGCTCAATAACCCACCGAATTGGTAATGATGTTTAATGTCTACAGCGGCGCGCGAAGTTGGTATAGCGGAGTTTTTATGGAAAAGTGGTGTTCTATGGCTCGAAGCAAGTTCGTTGCCGGTCGACGCTGACCGCATTCTCGCCGGCATATTGTCGCGACCCAGCTGTGCGATGTAGTCGAAAGCTTGAACAGAAATTATTGAGAACTTTTTGTGTTGGCTTATGTTTTGTGAACATGGTAATAAACGGATGCCCCGGTGATTTGTAAAAGAGGTTTTATTGTATTTGATCCATTTAGACTGCACAGCGTAGACTCATGACGGAACACACAAGTGCTTTTGTTTAGTATGTAATATGTGTGACTGTATCCACGAACAACTGTTTTAAAATTTTGTCAACGAAAAGGTTTTTGTAGTTGTCAGTACAGTGAATTAAAGCGAAAACAGGGCCGATTTTACTGAATTATGATAAATATTGCTCCCGTTTGTAGTCTCTCTATCACGTACAGTAAGAAGTGACAGGAAAATTGTATAGCTAACTTATTTTCGTAAACTGAAATGTCGTGAACTTCTAATATTCATTTCTTTCTGTGGGCACGAAATGTGAAATTTCGTTCTAAACTTTTAATGAAGATTTTATCTGTTATAGTGCAATTGGTTGTACGGTTCGCCAAACATTTACCGGGATTCGACACACTGGTCCTGAATGATCAGCTGGTGCTGTTAAAGGAGAGCTCCGTGGAGGTTCTTCAGCTGCGCACGGCACGCCGCTACGACGTGTCCACCGACAGCATCCTTTTCTCTTCCAATCACGCCATTACAAGGGAATGTTATAAAAGCGTCATGATGTCTAATTGTGCACACAGTATCTACAATTTTTGCCGGCATGTCGTGAATCAGAAAGTGGACAATGTGGAATATGCACTGTTGACGGCGCTGGTAATCTTCTCACCGCGACCCGACCTGGAAAACCTGCCGGCCGTGCTGAAATGGCAGGAAATGTATTTGGATATTTTTCAAGATTACGTGAAGATGCGACGCAACAGCGAACCGAATGCATTGGCCAAATTGCTGATGATACTGACCAAATTAAGGTCACTGGGTTCGGATTTCAATGAGATGTTGTTCTCTTTGAAACTCGAAAATCGTAAATTGCCGCCGTTATTGGAAGAAATTTGGATTAGTAGACCGGTATAACGCTGGCGTTGATGTCCATAGTTTATCGTCGTTTTCACTACTACTTTCTTCTCATTTGGAACGAAACAACCCGGTTGATTGCACACTTTCGTTATGGATGGATTTTGTGAAAAGGGGGGATGCAGACGCATTTTTGGTAGAAAACGAGATATTCTACGCACCAGATGCTTTAATTGGGGGAAGGAAAATGTGTGTAATTATTTATATGGTTCGATTATTTAATCTGTTGTGGAACAGCGAACTCTCTCTTACTTTCTCACTTTTCCTGGACAAAGTTATGGACACACAGGGTGGAAGGATTTTGTAGGAGAATGCTGATCCGGTTGTATGCTTCCCCCGTTGGTTTTACCAAAGTATTCAAGATAAGCCCGAGACTGGATCCGGTTCGTCGTTGTATTCGGATCACATTATAGACTGACTGTCTCCCGGGATACTACATTCTTCGTGTGTGCTACGCTGTCCGTGCCTGCCTTACAAAATGTACCTGTTTATTTAATGGAGCAACTACTGCCATGCACATGCGCCCGGCAAAGAATAGTATCATCTCATGACCGGTTTTTTTTAAAATTGTACATTCGAACGCTTTTAACTCTGGGTATAGCCGTTTTTAATCATTTGTACATTATGTTTTTGGATTTCTTTTTACCGGGTTCTGTGCATTTTTAATGGATTTTTATTTGCTTTTATGACAGCTTAAGCTTGTGTATGTTGCTGATATATGACTCTCTTTTTTTATTATTGGTATTTTATATGTTCCCGGTTTTCTCTTACTGATTAGCTCATGTTTCTTTTTGTTCTGTTCTTCCTTTTTAGACGAGAAGTCTGTATATTATTCCTTTCTTTTTTTAAATAAAGCACTGCAGTATTTGGTACGCACTGTATTTGCAGTATTTGATACGCACTGTAGATGCTGTTGATCTGACTTCCCACAGGTGCAAAGCGAAAAACCAGGATAATATCTATAAACAAGAAACAGCTGCGGCTTCGGGTTCAGTTTGGAGTGAATTGTTACATTAGGAAAGTGCACCGCTGTTGGATGGCATCGAAAGACCGAAAAATGCGGGAAACCCAAATCTGGTTCCCGCAGAATTTCGCCAAACAGTTTATTGAGTTTAGTTGAATAAACCGTTTGCCGAGGGTGCTTAAAAACTTTAAAAAAAATTTCCCTTTTTTAATATTTTTATGTGTTCATTATGTAAATACAATTTTCAAAATTCATTTCCATGTGTTTAAAAGTACTACTTAACATCATTAATGCGTGACCGACGTAACCGACAGAAGTCCGTTTTCTTGAACATGGAGGACCCCTTCGCTTCGGTCAATAATAGCACTACTCTATAATTATAATACTACTCTCTATTAATAAGAATAAGCCTAATAAACGTCAATGATGTGACCTTTAAAGTTTAAACAAATGCTCCATCCATATTGGTCCAGTGCAGCTTACCTACTCCAATAAATAATCACGAAGCAGACTTTGGCTGTTGTTACAATGCTGTTGTGTAAAAACTCCAGGCGTTATACATATTATATAGTACGAAGGATTTAGACGAAGATTTGTAAAACTACAATTCCTTGTCATAATTGTAAGATTAACTAATAAGTACGATAATGAAGGTACGAAAGTTTGCATGTATGCATGCTTCAATCGAATAGTCAAATAATGGCAATTGCTTTTTTTTATTCATAAGAGTACAGCACATCGGGAACCGATGATATTCACGTTCTTATATGCCGCAGCAATCTGCATAGACATTTTATATTAGGGAGTTTACAAGAGAACCTTATATTAAATCCTTCCGCCGTCTATACCAGTCGGTTTAAGCCGTGGTATCCCGATGTCCAAGAATTTTTTTAACGCAAACAAGGGATTAACAGTGTTGCTTAAACCCAGCACGGGAGTGGGCATTGGGTACTTCGATTCCGCCGGATTCATTGACGATGATCCCGACGAGGACGACGAAAGTACGGTGCTCTCTTCCGTACGCTCCAAATGTGCGTTCCTAATACTGTATTTAGTGGAGTTTACTTTACGGTCGGTGGTGACATCCTTACTGGAATCGCTCTTGTCACTGCTCGGCACGCTGCATTCTGGCGTAAGCGGATGTGACCGTCTGTGGGAAGTGATGACTGGAGATCGGCCCACGTCGAATTTCTGGGAATATTTTAATATACGGCCACGTCGCCCGGATCCCGGATCGGCGTGACCAACGGGAAGGGACTGCTCGAATTTCTTCGGCTGGAAGGTCTTGATGCGCTGATCGGTGCGCAAGGGTTTAAACGCGGATGGACTGGTTATATCCGGTTTGTACTCCACACTTTTAACATGGACCGGCTTCGTATGTTTTGGATGCGGTTGGTCGGAGGGCGAAGAACGTCTGCATGGGAGCGGGACAATGGCGGTCGGCTCCGGGCTGGTCAGTTTCTCCACGGGTCGTCCGACGTCGTCGTGGTGGCCACTCTTTTTGATGTGCTTGGCCAGTTCGGTCAGACTGTTGTAGGATGCACCGCATTTCAGGCATTTTAGTATGGCGCGTTTTTGTTCAATGTCCTGCATCCAGATATCTTGACCTCGGACCATTTTCTTGGGGAATTTCGAAGCAACGATCCCGGTAGCGAAATATTCTTCCAGTTTGGCCGAGAGCTGCTGGAACGTTGCGGGAAGGGGTGGTGATGCAGTGGACATAGGGTGGCCATGGTGAGTGGAGCGCGAAAGATCCAATGCGGTGAATTCCGGATCGCCTTTCTTTTGTGCAATTTGTCCATCACGTGAAACAGAAGCAATATTCTACATAAAACATTCTAATGGTAATTATTTTTATCATATTATAACAGTACTCACAGCTCGTTTAAATACGCTGAAATCAGTTAACGTTCTGCTGTATGTACTCAGAATGCATTAGATGTACCAAGTTATACTTACGGAAACTAAAATATCTGAACAACAAGAGAAGTGCTTTACACTTTACAACAATTTCTGTATCCTGTAATGTACATTATTATTTTGTTTCGAATTTTTGATACGCGGTAATATTTACGCTGCAAATTAAATTAATTTGATCCAAATGCGCCTCTTCAGCTGGCTACGTATCGCTGCATACGTACTTTGACAACAAATGCACTGTGCGATTGCGATGTGCGTAAATCGAGCGGTTCCGTTTGGGTGAGACCGGGAAAAAGCACGTTCGGTGTAATTTTCGCTCGGAGGGGACTACCATTGATGTGTGCATGGCGCGAAACGTCAGGGAGATCCCGACTTCCGGTGTCGTTGGGTGAAATCTCTGCCGAATCGTTTTTCGATTTCAGTTTTTTCACGACGTGTTCCAGCTTGGACGCATCCTCGGTCGTTTCTGCGATTAACCAAACAGAGTTACCGATGAACCGTTTTCAACGTGAATCTAGAGATAGATATCAGTCCATATTCGACGCTTTGCTTCAGAAAAAAAATAATAGAACCTATTATTACTGGCGCATTCACAATTAGTAATCTATCTGCCAAATAATTTGTTTTTCATGTGGACGTTCTAACAAAAAATTACTATTATTAACACGAGGTAGTGGTTGGCTGAATTACGGTTTTGTGGAACGCGTCAGTCAGTAAACCAAATACGGTAAGGTGGCAATGAATTTTTAAAAAATGAAAGATATTTAAATTTGGCTTTGCACTCATTGTACTGATGCCTGTGAGTTTAACAGAAGCATTCATTTTGGTAATTCTGTTTCTTGATTGCTTTTAGGTTAAGGGAATTTGCGGTCCACAAAATGTCTTTGGTGTTGTTAGTTTTCCTCGTATGAACACGAAGGAAGTCTGAAAGTCTTACCAAGTAATAGTATTTAATGTACCTAACGCAGTCTGCAGACTTTCTTGCTAACCTTGGAAAAATCATCTGTAGAGTCATTAATTTCTCTGTGCACCGTGTATGCATACAAAATTTTCACGGTTGCAGGTATATTCTGGTACAGGTTCTACGCAGTGGTACCCGGAAGTTATCTTCATGATCACTTTAAAAAAGATGGAAGTGTAGTACTATAGTACGATATAATCGTATACATAATATACAATTACATGAGCGGTGGGCCTTTCTCGTAGTACACGTTTAACATAGCGCATGTACCGTACTAGTGCTCCGTATGTATTGCGTTTACGGAAGTAATTGAATGGGAGATCCTGCAGCGACATCATGGCATAAAATTTCGAACACAATCGAGAGCATCTTAGTGGATCTAAAAATTGTCTATCCCAGAGAATAAAATCAATGATATCATTCTGGCCGACAAAAGGAGCGAAACAGTTTCGTGTCATATAAACGCAGCATAAGAACTGACATACGGGAAGTTTGTGGATCGATGACTGATGAAATGACATTTGTTGGACTGACAATTTGACACTGATGGATGATCAAGGAATTTCGCCACAGCATGATACTTTATAATATTATCTCCCAGATGAAAAAGTCTATCCGCATTCGCCCCTTTATACTTTCATCATTATTCACCATAACCGACTGCTGCTGTCGCACCGAAGCACTCTATCTGCATGCTGGCACAGTTGCCGGCTTGATTAACGAATTATGTAACGGTAGTACATGATCGCGTTAAAAATCACTTATAAAATTATCCGTAACATACCTAGCAGTTCAAATGTGTTGCCTGCAAATGTAAGACGCAGATTAATTTACAGATTTCGGTGCACAATTAAATTAAAGGGAAACTAATGCAATATCTAATAAGTAAAATACCGTTCCAGGTCAAGTTTCGGCTAAAACTTTCCTGCTTTTTTCACGAACTAAAAATTTCATCTTGTAAGTAAGCAAAAATAATTCAGGAATTATTCTACAATAAACACGTGTATTATGAATCATTTTTAAACTTCCGATCGTGTGAAATACTGTTTGTGTTTGCATCCACAATCTCGTCACAAAATAATAGGTTGTGATATTCCGTTCGCTCGCCATTTTGCCGGCTCGTGACTGTTAGTAGTTAACACATAACATTTCCTTCGTTTCAATGAGCAGATGTTAAAGTCTTTTATTACTAATACGAGTATAATTGATAAAATAAGCTGTGAAACAAACATGACGCGCAAGAGATCAGGGCTTGTAAACAATGCGGTTGCGGAAGTAAAATACACAATCATTAAATTACTGAGGTGATACCGCCAATCGCATTATCATATATGCACATTATTAGTAACAGCATAGTACAAATTATAATGGTATGACAACCGTTTTTGTTTTGTCCAAAAAGTAGAAATTCATCGCTTACCGTTCGACCACTTTGGCTGCAATTTACAATACTATCAAATACACAAACTAGAGTACGAAATTATTTTTTCACAGTAATGTAATGCAAGTCGTTAACAGGTAATAGTGTAGTTAGTATATAGCGTATGATAATATAATTAATTACACTACTACAAAGGCACAAAACCTAAGTCTGAACGCGGGTATTTGTGCAATAATACCAAGTTACCAACCATGTTTTGGGCTGGCTCCGGAGTGCTTTCTTGGACACTCTTGCTTGCGTTTCCCCATGATAGCTTTACAACCACGCAACCATGTAACGGTCATTCAATATGGCGGAATGTTATGTGAACGATGACGGATGCGACAAAACAATTTTTATACTCGTAAACGCGGCATTATGTCACAACTCAAAATATTAGATGATAGAAATATTTCAACTAAGACCATTCACCGAGTGGAATAAGGAGTAATTTATAAGAATAACTATCCGAAAAGTGCCGAAAGATTAAACACACGTTTCAAAAAATTGTATCTAGGGGGAAGCATATGCAATTACAGAGGCGATGCAGAAATGCCATTGGCCCATTGCTCAAATTTTAAGCACATAATAATCGGATAATCCATAAAACCGCAGGACGTTATACGGAATTAATAATTTGGCTGATTACGGAGAATGCAAAAGGGAAACAAGAAAAGCCTCATGAATTGTACAAGATAGTTGGTGCATAAAACATCATGTTCGAAGTGCACAGCCTAGAAGGCACGGCCAAAACGCTGTTGTGTGTTTCATGTTCGGAAAATTGAACAGACCAAGCCTTATAGATGAATTGCTTGGCAATCCGGATTGGTGCTGCAGAAATTGACATTTGACTGATTTGTGACACTTTATTTATCATGTGATGGTTGATTTATTAGACAATTTCAGGATCGCTGCCTGAAACGCATTTGTTGCAAAGCCTAGCCTGCGCGCGCCGATGGTAATGCACCGTGCCGCGCTTTTACGACGAAACAGTGTACCGGCATCAACATGTCATGCACAGCGACGTATCTGTGTTACATTATCTGCTGCTGGCGTTTGTTCCGATCGGAAGCCAGTTCGTAATTCGAAGTTTTCCGCTATCCGTCGGCTTATATGACTTCGTAGTGAACATCAAAATCAAATTGTACTGTCGAATACATCATCAGAATACAGTAATAAGGTGTACAAATCGCTTATTGTGCGATTTCTTCCTGTGTAACATGTTCAGGTTTCCACACTGCAAAAGGTTAATCGACCATACATCGGAAAATTTAATTACGAGTATTAAAAGTATCAGCTCAAGTACCATTAGTGCTACTATTGCATAGTGATACAATTTTCCTTGGATTCACGGTTGCTTTTTTCCGATGGCCAAGTAAAAAATGTACAATGCGATCCATGTTTCTTAGTTTGTAAATGTCTACATATAATTGATAGTTTTAAAGTTAGTACTTAATTTTAAACATTGTGTGACATTTATAATGCATTTAAATTTTATGGAAAATTTTTTATCTCAAAAATATCAGCACGTAAATACTTTAAAAATTCGAAAAAGATATAGTAGTGGTGGATGGTGGTGGACAGTGCTTGCAAAAATGACCCAACTGGATTACTCTGTGGCAACTTCCGTTCGGCGGCACTGCACAGTAATAATGCACGGCAGCTTTTTACAAATTTGATAAACTTCTTTACCCTTAGTCCTTACCAGTTTTTGCTTCTGTTTTTTATCAGATTCCCTTTGGTGTTTCATTTGAACTTGTTACTGGCTGCCGGCATAGGAGCAATGGCCATCCGATATGTACGTAGAAATTACGCAGTGCACCAGCAGTTATATAATATATCTATATATACTTCTATAGAGTACGTGTACAGAGTAGCTTTTGAATTTTCCAGTTTCGTTTTTGGATCGTCTGGCTACAACATTAATATTAAATTAACAATACAGTACAGTATTGAGTACATAATCAGCTCACACCTTGGTTTTACAAGACTTAGGTAAATACTGTATCATAATTCATTCCAGGTAGTACAGCGTTTTTTCGGGTGAAGTATTTGTTACCTGCTTTTGTTGCATGAGATGTATCAAAAATGAAATCATAAAAAAATTGCTTAAAGGTTGCCTACTTGCTAAATAAAAGTTCGCAGTGCTTTTTTTGTACATTACTGTATTAACTGATTAATGTAATGCAAGTTGGGATTGCAACTCCCTTTTTGGAGGGGCTTAAGGGTGGGGGTCATTACTTCGGGAAAAATTGTTATTTCAAAAAAGGGAGATTGCAAAAAGACCCTTCAGTGGGATATTTATTTTGGGAGGGTTTCTAAATTGGGCGGGGTAAATCACTAATACGATAGGATACGGTTTCTGAGGGCAGCTTCGATCATTTGCTTATAACCATAATGGAAATTAGATTTTCAGCTTTTCGCTATATTTTTTGTGTTTCGGGTGTACAGTGTACGGAAATCGAAGGAGTATTATTTAACTGCTACACAACGTGAATTTTCAAAACTAACGGAATGCGCATGCGCAGTTTGCACAACTGCGACGCAGTTTTTGGCTAAAATAAAATTTGCTCACAAGTATTGCAAACGATAGCCCGTCGTGCATTCTACTGATGATTACTACAAAGTACTCGTATGAACTGTAAGAACTGCTGCCAAGCATAATTCAAATAGCTACAAAATCACTTTAAGATGTTGTGCATACAACACTTTAACATAATTTCTTACGCTTAAATACGAGTAAGAGGATGCATATAAAAATATCTTTACTTTGCTTGGGCTACAGAAAACGTAGTACGTAAAAATATACACTGTTCCTCAAAACCCAGTGCTGTCAGTAAGATATTAAATGTTGCAATAATCACTTATGTACAATAAATACCAGAAAAAACCATGTGATTTTTGCGGCGCAAGAGCTCGAGTAAAGCAACCCGCCTGCGCGCTGCAGATGAATTTTAATTTGCGGTAGTGTTCCAGAAGCGGCATTTCAAACTGGTCCTTGAACTTGATTATTACGGTATTGTTGGTAATGGATGAACGCATCGGCGCTGTACAACCCGACGTTTAGAAATGCAATGATCTACAAGAGAATAAAAAGGACACTGACTAAAATAATAAACGAAATGGCTGTGCGCCCGGCAAACGGCGCGCATAGAATTTGGCTGTGCGCCCCGGTTGAATTTATTATAATTATGGTACAGGTCATTCAACTATTGAAATACGTAAATACTTAATTGTATAACTTTTTAGGTGGGACCAGATAGATGACAACTTTTCCCACCCGACCCCTTGCGAGATCTCAAACCAAAAACATTTATCATCCCTCAAAGGGCTCTAGTTGGACTTGAGGTTGCAAGGTCAGTACGCATCTGCATGCACGTACATACGGAGTGTAAATGCGCGTTTGAGCTAGGTCAGGAAGGGTACTGACACATTAGAAAATTTACGAAGTACCACCTTTAAAAAACTGCGAAGGTTTTACGTAGAACCGTGCTACAGCATTAAGAAGGCAATTTGCATTAACAATAAAGAACTAGTTGCACCAAGAGGAATAAATCAATAGGCATAAGTAGAATAAAGGAATAAAACAATGGGAAACAATTAGAATAAGAACTTTCAAATCAACTTCTCAATCGTCATACGTACACCAGCTGCTAAGTAGCGGTCATAAGTAGAGGACTTGTCGGAATTTTCTTTATTGTCACCTGCAATCAACAGACATCACATTTATAATTCCCAATTTCCCACAGTTCAACACAATTAGAATTTCACATTTTACTTGAATTATAAAATCGTTTTTTTACGAAAAACTATACTTTTAAGACGCTACCCAAGAGTGCAGTAAGGAAAATAATTCCGCGCAGTAAACCGCAGCGCAAGTATACGACAAACAACATACGAGTTAAGTCTCGTATTTCTAAGTTAAGGTAACACCAATTATATATGCATATACAAAAACTGCATTTTAGCGAAGCCCAGTTTTACTTTTTATCCCACTTAAATGAGATTCCACACTCCACCACATGGATTTCGAAACTTTATTTTCTATTGCCTAGTTTTCTTACCTATAACTGTGCGTGCTACTTGGACGCTGGCAGCTATAGCATATAAAAGGGCTGCACCGGAAGCGTAGACAAATTCCTAATAACAGAAGTAAAAGCGTATTGATTATACACGTAATTCACGTATAGAGGTCTCTCGGTGTTTCAGTAATGCAAATTTTACGTGCGGCAATATTCACTGCATGTTTATGCAAACAAAAGACTCATTACTGAACTTTTGAAACATGCAAATGCAACTGCAAAATGCATTTACTGCGGTAATACTGTTGTCAGGTCGACTGCACATTTCCACTATCCGTATTTTTGAAACGCTATGACATAGTGTCAAATATTGTATAGATGCACATACTTCCCATAGACAGACATAACATTGTTATATACTTCTATGTTTCTTTATGGAAATTATGTGCATTTATATATAATAATATGTATTTATAGCAAGATTATCCATATCTAATAATTAAAAAAATATGTGACAGCAGCTTATTATTAATAAAAGCGCAATCGTGGAAATTGCTGTTTGTTATACTTGAAGTACCATACTTTCATACAAATTTTTTTCATGGGCCGAGGATGTTTTGTAAGTATGAGACTGTGTTTCAGGCATAAATAATATTCATATACGGTAGCACCTAGCCGGGAAAGAACTACGACTGCATTAATTAGTTCCTGCAGACCGCTCAGTATGTGAGATCTTTTTATTGCTTTAATACTTGAAATTTCCAACTATACAGAGTAGCTCTGTCGATGTGGCGTTGGAATTAAAAACGAAACGAACTGTACACTGCGATCCTAGGCCTGCAATAGCATTATTATTACAAACCTACCACAAATGGCCACTGGACTCCTCCGGGAAGTGTGAATATTTTTGGCACTTTTGCGAAATGCAGGAACAATAGAGTAGTTGAAATAATAATGCACAAGATCACCACAAACAGGAAGAATTGATTCCCGGCAAAGTATGCTCTCTGGCATACAGCGCCGCATATAACACCAACCACCTACAAATGAAAAACATCAAAGTTTTCGTAGTAGTATTATACTGGCAAATTTTTCCTAGGTTCCAACGCACAATTTCCGCAATTTTAAGACATCCTGGAATCGAAATACAGTAGCGTGAATCAACGCCCATCATTTTTCTAGTAGACTGAACGACGCTAGGATTAGAACGAGCCGGCGGAGGAACTGCTGAAGAACGTGCAGGCTTGATATCCATCACACACACTGAAATCGAAATCTTATCCGTAAAAAAATATATAGCAAATCTCTTGTGATTTTGTGGTATTTCCACTATTTCGACGTATTACTGCTGCCGGAAAAACTCAGCAAACATTAGCGCTATGTGATGCCTAAACTACCGATTTCGTCTACAACAGAAGAAATAACTGCGCATACAATGCCTTTGACTATGTGCACAACCGAAGGCACTGACCGCAAGCCTGTACGGCAGTAGATGGTTTTCGTTAGTAAATTATTACGCATAGATTTCGACAATAGCGCTATGGTTTGTCACCGAGGGTGCGCGACAAACCGGTTTTACTGCTCATTCTGCTGCGTCCAAACTGCTCCGAGCTGGTTTTTTAAAAGGATAAACTTTTTACTTTGTAAGCTGTAAAAAAGTATATCCAGAATTCCATAGTCATCAAAATTAATTAGCAGTACGATCGAGTTAGCAAGACTGACCATTCGATCGCAAGCGTTATGCATATGTACCTTTATGTCGGTGAGGACATTTGGATCGATGATGCGCCGATTCAGGTAACTAACTTGTAAGGTTAAGTTTAAATCTTCTTGGCGTTGCGCCGGCCAGTCAGAAACTAAAAAGAGTGGACTACGACGCAAACTTAATTAAATACGAGCATTCGAAATTATTTGTAGGTGCGTTGGAGGAAGTCACATACACAAATACAATAGTACAGGCGACAGTACTAGTACTGGAATTTGTGGCGCAGATAAGAGATACAGCTAGCTATTGTTATGGCTATGAATTCGTAACTGCTATGAATTCGTAACTGCGTAGCTGTGAAATTCAAGCATAAATTACAAAAGCATACTTTAATGGCGAAAAAAAGTAACAATATCTATATTCATCCACTAGACAACAATTAACTCGTAAATACAATACATATCCGACCAAAATAAGAAACGCGACATCGATCCTCCACGAAAGGTCAACTCGCTGTAAATATGATTCGAAAACGTTCTGTGTGAACCGTATAAGTTCGTAATTATATAAGCGTTGGCGCCGAGTACGTTGGATCGATGTAGTCCGTAGGAGTTTGCTGTACAGCGAACGTTGTGGTTGCCAGTCATTAGCATGCATCAATTTTTGTCGCACTCTGCTTTTGATATGCGGAATGAACACTGAGCGCACAGCAAATCAAACCTGCGCTGGATGGGTTTTTAAATGTTGTTATCTCGCGTTATTCTTATTTCAGTGAACTATATAGTTAGTAGTTACAGTTAGTACTGTAAAACAATTGGGTCAGAGGGACATGGCTCAACAACAGTCTAGTCAACATCATCCCAATTCGGCAATACCCAAGACGGCATTAATTATTTAATAGTTTAAAACAGTATATTCATCATTTGGAGCGGCGGTTACCTGCAAACATGAGTGACTCACACGAGTGACCGAACCGAGACGAACCGCCGACTACGTTCCAAGCATGGTCTGTGTATACACAGACCATGTTCCAAGTCTCATTCCAAGTCTCTCGTACTGCACACCGAGACTTCGATTTCCTTTATAAAGTACAATACTAACTAGCAGCCTACTACTGTACAGTATGAATACGATCCTCTCTAAAACTAATAATAATTGTTCCACTCTGACTTTGTCGATCTCCAACTTTTTGGTACCTTCGGTTTGATTTATTAGCAGTGATTTTCCGACATTCATTCCTGATAAACCATTATTTCCGCGTATAACTTGTGGTGTTAATATTGCGCCTGGTTTGTGATCGCGACGAGGCAGATCAACGAATAACGCTTCCTGACGAGACGTACCCACTCTACGCTGTGCTTGTTAGTAAGTGACTAAGTCATTACAGTTTCCCGTTTATATTACTACAGTAGTACGGTATTAGTGGATTTCCTAGGGTCGTCGCCATTCCCCAATTCCATCACGACGCCCAGGAGCAGAAACGTTAAAAGCTGAAGACGTATGGTTCAAATTTCGTTGCGCAGTCGTAATAAGGTACGTGGGATGAGGGGCTTTTCGTACCACACCAATATGGTAGCCAGTTTCCATAGATGCTGCAAGCCTGCACTCTTACTGAATGATAATTAATACGTTAGATGATTAGAAGCTTTCTGTTGCTCTGCTTTGAAATCCATAATCATGCGCAGACGTTTTATGCTTGGCCTTCGTATGCGTTATCCAGAAATCGGAATGCGGTGCCTAGTTTATACCACTTTAGAGCAGGAGCTACTGTACAGTGTACATACAGCCTGCGCAGTGCACAGCACAGGTATAAACAGTAGGTCCTTCTTGGAGTAACTAAGAGTTCAGTACGCCGTACGGTAACCCTGTGTTTGGTTGAATTACGCCAGTCAGGGCAGGGCGCATTGGTCATCCATTTCGTTCAGGGACTACATGCTGAATGCGGAAAAATTAATCCATGAAAGCGATAAGCTTTATACTCCGAGGTAAAAAATGTCCGACCTCTAGCACAGATAGAATTCTAAGTTAATACGGTAGCAGTACCACGCTTTTGCGTGGTACTACAAAAAAACAATAAGTAATTTATTATGGTGCTCATGAATTTTACTTCCTGTTTTACACGACAGTACATACAGTATGATTGCGGTAGCAGTCGGGGTGTCCTCGGCACCTCGTTGACACCATAAGCTAAAATGTTAGGGTTGAATTTTTGGGTTAAGTGATTGATGCTAGATTTTACTGTACTTGCTACTTTCCGATGGGTTCAGTGTTCATTTCTCAGTCTCCGTTCACGTTAATGCTGCAAAGATTGCAACAACGTCCTTTTTCTTCTTGTTCTTTTTATTTTCCACTTCTATATGTGTACTTCGCGGTGGAGATACAATATTTTCTTGTGGCTCCATTTGAGACGTGCAGCTCGCACACACTGCTTGTTCATTCTTTACCTCGTTATTGGTGTCAGCCCTGATGTTTCGGCAGAACCGTACAAGTACAGATACTTCTACTGCCTTTACCATTAGTTGCATATCTATGCCAAAATTTCGCAAAAAATTTTGAATGGCAGTAGTCTGATAGATGGTCATAGCTGATGGCCTGGTGTACTATGTGCAGCTACAATCTGAATCGTATCAAATCGTATTAGTGTTGTTTACTTATAATAATTGCTTTGCGATTTGGTTGGTTAGTTTCATTGAACCGCTTAAACAAGATTCTTTTGTCCGTCTTCTTTCCAGAAACCTTTGAAATGGTTCTCGACCTACCATTATTCTTGTGTAGACGACGGAAATTGAAAATTGACTGTTAGTTTGATCGTGCATTTTTTGCCGGATACAGAATGCACTAAAAAATGAAAAGTTAATTTTGCCTTGTAGCCATTTTTTTCGCAGTCGGTGTAGAAGTGCCCGAAACCCTTAAACTTTTTACTGTGTCCTGTAGCTGCCTGGTTCAGTTTTCTGGCTCTTGGTCAGTGAGTAGGCACTAGGCAGCTTACTAAATACTACTCGTATAGGCTTTCGCTACACGTAGTGATTCACAATGACCGAACCGGTGACCACTCATTCGGGAACTATCGCGTGTTGTTGAATCACTCCGCGTTTATTTTTGGATCCCAAATTTCCGATGGTCCGGACAGACATATTTTCCAGTAAATACACTAGCTGAATGAACCTTTCTCGGTTTCTCTTCGTGCATTGGGGTTTTCCGCAGTGGAATAATAACGGCAGAAGCCACTTGCATATGACACGCATGCGCTCAGAGATCATAATCTTCGAAATTTTGGTACAATGCCAAACTGTTTAATTTGTTTATTCCAAGCCGGTAAAGTTTAAAAGCTCTCCTAGCTGTTTACCGATGAATGTGTGAGTCCTTTAAGTTTAGATATACACCACGCCCACTCTGCCGGAAGTCGTATTTCGGCTGTCCATGCCAAAATTGTCGACTGGTTTTCATAAGTCGCGACAACAGTCTGCCTTACCCGAGATTACGTAAGAAAAGTCTGCTGTATGAATAAATGTGAAGAAGTGAAGATAAAGGCCGAATCATTTGTATGAACTGCCATTGCACGTTTTGGAATTTGCAGCGCATGCAGTTTTTTTGTGAATGTCTTGCCTTACAAGTTTCTGTCGCCGACAGTGAACAATATGAGTGTCAGTGTACATCGGAATACGACGACGTTGTTTTCAATTGCACTTTTAATAAGTTCTTGAAATATCCTGTTGTGTGATTACACAAAATTTTATCGTTGATCGTCCTTAGGAATTCGTCCTTAGGAATAGGTACGTACTGTAGTAAGTATAGAAGTATCTTTGTTTGTTACGCATTTGCCGGGTTCAGTTATATTGAAGGAATTCCCGGGAAAGGCAGCAGACATTTTTCATAGAGGGTTTCTACGCTCTTATGTCAACTTCTTAGAATTTTATCAAATACCAGTGCCTTGTGTATGCCGTCTGCCGGCATCCCAGACATGCCGTGTGTGTGTGCGGCGAACTTATCGTACGGCGCTGTACAGTAGTTTACTTCCGAACAAAGTATTACTTTGTTCGGTGTTCATCATAGAACGAAAGATTGTGTTGTTAACCATTTTGGAACAGCGCAACAAGATATAAACTAACATCAAATGCCTAGCAATGACATGTCGCTGTTGATAAGGCTGTTATCGTTAAAACTTAAAAGGATTGCATGTATTCTCAAGGTCGGGTTGAGACGATAAGCGCACATGGGCCGTATTTAAACCGATCTAGCCCCTACTGCGTGGGAATATTTGAAGACAAACTATCGATTTTTGTATGCTGCGGTTGTTGCAGACGATTCACAACTGACAATTCTAAACTTTTAGAATGACTGTTCAGTCTGGCCATTAGGTTGATTCAGCACAAACGTACTGTAAAGGAAGCACAGCGCTGTCACTGCACACAGTGCTGACGGGCGACAAGTACTGTACTATCGATTTTTCTTTCCCTTTCAGAACCTATGTGATATATAAGCGGCGCGCTTTTCAAAGACTTTCCACGGGAACCATTTCAGCTACAGCGAAACGCGTCATCGTCGGAGCATTTCGAATAGCTTTTCCCCTCTATTGACACCCATCTATTTTCTGGATAGAAACGATACTCGTATATATCGTGAATATCCAGGGATAGGGAGAAATCTTCTGGTCAGGAAGTTCCTCGTGCAGTCAAAACTGGATTCGTTCAGAGGCAGCTGCTGTTTGAACTCTGCGAATGAAGACATTTGTTGTTGCTCCTGCTGTTCACGGCCATGTTGTGCCTCCTGCAACATCCGCCGTACATTCCGAGACCACCGATGTTGCTGTTATCGGTAAAGGGCGCATTAACAGGCACGAAAATCAGTAGTTGACTGACGACTGTATTGTTTTTTTCCGGATTAGGTAATGGACCATCTGCGCTAACGCTGTCCTTTATATTGAACGGAAATTGGCCATACTACAATGGAAGCCATCCGGATGAAATTATCCATGCCCGATTGAATTACTACAAGAACAAGTCTATCCTGGAAACGGTACGTGCAAGCAGCAACGTGACTGAAGATTATATATAACTGTACGTTTTACACTACAAAATTTGCAAGGTAGATCATATAGCGAACCTGCATTAGCAGCGGCTGTTTTGGAAGGAAATCGCAGAAAGAAAAATCAGATCGAAAAGTTCTGTAGAGGCACTGCAAAACGGCGGTAAACCGCAGTATTTCTGGTTTTTGGGCTTGATTTGGCAGAAATCATACGATTCATTTACAAGCAATACGAGCGGCTTTTTCAACTTTTTACATTAACTTGTTTTTAGCGTTTATCTGGTGAACAGTAATTGATACTATTGAACTGTAATGTGTGATGTATGGTCGCTATATTTGGTGGCCCCATTATATGTTCATAAGTTGCCAAAATTTACGACGGAAACCGCAACATCATGGGCGAATTTTCTCGAAAGATATGAAAACGAGTTATCTTGTAGTGGCTTGTGCGTATCGGTGAAACGTAGCCAGACACTACAGACGATAAGCGGCATCTTGTAACTTGTATTTTGTGAGTCAAGCAGCCCGTTTCGTGGTTTCCACATCGGAAGCAATTTCTGTTACCTTTGCACGAGTTAATTGAATTTTTACCGGAATTCAGTCATGCTCGTCACGTCTTGGAGAAGTGTAAATTAGCCCTGTATGACGTTGGTGGGTAATGATTTCCATTTCTTAAGGGATTCAGGTAATTCAGCGTTGGTGGATGCCTCCTGTACAGTGTACGACATGAATATTACTGGTGGGGAACTGCAGGATTATAAATTGGCTGCCCATTGATTGCCAATGACGTATTGTGAAAAATGCGGTGCATGTTACACCTCAGAAAAATTTGGCAGAAGTGTTCTTTTCTAAGATATACTCGTATAATGATTTTCTGACAAGGTCTGGTTGTTCATAGTCAGCTAGCATTCTGTGGTGACATTCCACTGCCAAATCGTTAAGATGATCAATACACAAAATCAATAACCGCAATGCACACAGCGACAGTGGCGATTATCTGCACAGCAGAAAAATTTTCATTTCTAATTGGTTTTATTATAGCGCCGGTGACGTGCGGAACGTCGCACTCATTGGTTTCATTAAAGGGGAGAGCTAAAAATACCCTTCTATCCAGCTTTGATTGGCAGTTTTCCACCGCCTTTTGCTATAGATTTGCAGGCGGGTAAATGGGGAATACTAATAGTGTTGATTAAGCATGGAAAAACACAAAATTACACCGATATACGCGGTTTTATAATTATGGATGTTCTGTTGAAACTCAAGGCGTTTGAATTGCTAATTACCCCGATGAGAATTAGGTGCACTATAAATCTGGTCAAGATTTCGTATTTAGAACTGTGAATTATTTACTCTGTTAATTAATGGATTGGCCAGAACATGTAAAGTATTGCCTTGCCTTTATGTCAGCGAAGTTCATAACATTTTATTGAAGAAACCGCTACGTAGTCCGTTATGGGAGAGCGGCTGCGACTTCTTATCTTGTAATAATATAGCCAATGGATAAAGTATGTTGTCCTGTTGTTCAGGATTTTGGTGAACTGTCTTCGGGCGTTTCCGGGCAGTCCCGCAATCTCGTGGCTAATCTCTTCGACCAGCTCCTCCACCCGTCCACTGTGTATGGGGACGTAGACTTAACATCCTGTGTCTCCTGGAAACCTGTGGATTGCAAAGTTCCTCACCTCATTCTTGGACCACATCCGCCTGGTGGCGCATGGCAAAAAATGCACGGTTCCAAGAAAGCGCTCAGTTTTAACAACTGGCTGGAACTGCCGGGTCTCCCTCTGGAAGAATGGGTGACTCGCAAGGGATGTTGCTTACGCCGGCGGTTTCCCGATAACTCCCGGCTACCCTTGGCGGTATGGAAGCACTATTACGAAGATTATCCACATGAAGTGGGACTGGAGGATAGTTTGCGGACCGGGTACTATGTGACTTCGGTACGGAATCTCGCCGCTCATGGAGACGCGGAAACCGGAGAGAATGTTACGGAGGATGGTGAAAATTTACAATATCCTTGGGAGATTAAAGGAGAGCGCATTGGACCGGACGGCGAGCCGGAAGCATTCCTTATTCATGCCAAAAAAGTTGTTTTAGCTACTGGTGAGTTGGTACTGAAAAATGCAGCACAGAACATTCTTTCGTTGTTATAATAAAAGAGCATGGGCTGGGTGATTGGTTTGAGGCTGTGTGCTTTCAACACTGCAGTATTCGAGGGAGACTACTAGCGTGAAGTCTTTTTGTGTTTATTCATCCGCGATCAAACGAGGCGTTTAGTAGGTGGAAATTCTGGTGTATATTCTATTACGGAAAGGCTCGGTTGGGGATCGATTTTTGAATGGGTTCGCCTGTGTGACCTTGAAATAGGTTTACATTTAGACCGCGAGAACGACTGGTTCTTTTGTTATATTTCCGGCTTTTATGGTGTATGTGAATCCGACTGGACTTTAACTGCATGGAGAAACCATACCGTTTAAGCTTGAACGGTATGTTTTCCTGAAAGTGACTGAAAAGTCCGTTTCCATGCATTCCCTTTGGCAGAATGTCAGCACGGTTTAAATACACAAAGCATCTTTTAATCATACTTTTACCGCTTAGAATGTTGATAAAACCGGCCATATTTACGAACTTATTTATAAGAAACGGCGCCAGTAATTTGACTAGATCCTTGAGCGTCATATGATTTGTGTACTGCTTTATCGGTGGTGAAGAACTGTAGAGTTTAGCTTTCCGGTATAATTAGGTGAGTACAGCTTTGAAATGGCTGACATTGACAGTGAATACCTGCGAGATACGCTGCCAATGGTTGTTTATTTTCACTTCCTACAATGCTGGCAGTGTGCCTCGGTGCGATGATAAGATGCGCGGAAAGATTGCTTACGATGGTAGTAATGCGTTCCTGTTGGTGCCGACACGACATATTTTAGTTCGAAGTTGTATTGTCATTGTGCATCGAAAGTTCCATAAAAATACTTATGTTAGCTGGTAGGGTTGTGATAGGTCCATTGCATATGACTGGATAAACCAGTGAAAGTGCTGAGGCATTCTTGCAAATAGACTATGACTGTAAAACATGTTTACTAATTGGATGATGTCATTGTAGGTACAGCCGAAAACCCCAAACAGCTGCACGTCATTGGTGAGCATCGCAGTTGGACAGGCCATACATACGATGACATGCACAACTTCATCGCGGACAATCTCCACTTGGACGAGCACGGAGAGAATACGAAGAAAGCCAAACGCTGCTGGTCCCGAGTCGTCATCGTGGGCAGCGGTCTCACCGCGGCGGATGCAGTTGTTGAAGCGCTAACAGCCGGCTGTCATGTCTACCACATATTCGACCCGAAGCATAGCATTCTATCCCAACTCAGTGAGCGCTTGTATCCCGATTATGCGGCCATCTGGAAGCTGATGAACGGGGAAACCCGCGCGCAGTCCACGAATTTTACCGGTCACTACACGCCCTTTCCCTACGGTCAGGTGGAGAAGATTACCAGTGAACATACCGTGTGCGTGGAGAGCCAACATGGGAAAAAGATCTGCCTGAACAAGATCGAGTTTGTGGCTGTTTTAGTGGGATCGTCACCACAATTGTCCTATTTGAACAGTGACATCAGTCGCAAGCTGCCGATCAAAGCCGGGATGCCGTTGGACTCCAAGCGCAATCCGGTGGCGATTGATCAACTGACGCACGAGAGCATTTACCAGCCGGGACTGTTTGCACTGGGGCCGTTGTGCGGGGATAACTACGTTAGGTTTATCCCGGGTGGCTGTGTGGCGGCGGCACGGAGTCTGATTGCTGACTTGACAAGGTGTCTGTGATTGATTGGTGTAACTTTCGTGTTGGAGAGATGAATCGAAAGGCTAAGTCAAAAGACAGGTGGACCGCACAGTTGTGGCTTTTTTGTATGAAAGCTGGGGGTATTTTTTGCGTGACGAAATTTTATGGGGTTTTTATTTTGTCTACGCTATTATTTATTCTTTAGTTTATTACGTCGTTGACCTGCAAAATTGTTATGTGTTATACTCTGTATTTGAACTAATGACGCTGTACTCTGCTTGCTAGTGCTGTTGAAGCGAAGATCTGCTAAAATTGTATCAAAGTTGAACATCTATTGAGTTGGGATTGACTGTTTGCAATAAAGGTTTACGAACCATCTAGTACCATTTATGCACTAGCATTCGTGAACACTGAACAAAACAATATAAGTGTACAACATGTATTGTAGCACGGATTTAACACGCTACTTACATATTTCGGAAATCGGAATATATGAAAAAAACAAAGTTATCGAACACATTATCGAGATACCGGCGCATCCAGCAAGAATACTGACTGAAACAGCTTCTCCACTAAGTAGGCAGATGAATAATCGCCAACCGGCCCCATTGCGCCTTACGAATACCTCTACGGAATACCGTGCTTTTGGACGGTTTACGGTTTTGACAAGCCCCATTTTTTTACACCCCATTTACTTGTTTCAAAGTTGATTGTTATAAAATATATAGTGATAACTGGGACATCTTTTTTTATATATGTTATTATGTATACAGTAATATTTCCGCATTAAACCTTTGCACCCTTTTTTATACCCGCATTTTTTCCATCAAAGATTGCAAGCGTTGCGAAGGACGCTAATTTATAAATCAACGGTTGCTCCGGTCACCGGTGAATCGTCTACAGGGACATCGGCGTGCCTCACGGATCTTCAAAAGCTGTTTCGCTTTCCAGTTGTCATACTCCTTGCACTTCTCAGCTTTTCGAAAGTTTGAAAATGAAATTTACCGGCAATTTGAAGCTGTAATGATATGCTTATTGTATATCTTAATTTCTTAACCTACCGATTTCATAAAATATCACAGTAACCTTTTATAATACTGTTAGTAAATAATTATAACTATAGATATTATAAGGCAAGGTTGTAACAAACTGTTACAACCTTGCCTCATAATGGTTATAATTATTTTATTTGAAATAGGAAAAAATTGCAAATGGAGGTATGCGGACTCAAAGTGGACATTAATGATTTACATTTACAACGATCAATTAAAGTAAGCTTCGTATAAGTTATAACGTATTTATCGAATGCCACTGAACGGTCGTGGCACCGGATTAGGCATGGCGCTTTTCTGCCTTATACCGGACTATAACTGGAGTGTCCTTAATAAATTACGGTTAGGTCCAGGTCCAACTGCTTTGGTTTTCCTAGTTACAATAGTAACAATACTCGTATTTTCAGTTACGTATTGGCATTGCTATAGCATACTTACATAGTAGCTTATAATTTATATGTAGCATACAGTATCCTTAAAGGTACTTCTCCTTTTTTCCAATCCATGCAGTGGGTTCATTGGGTTGTATGGGCAATCTCCAACTAGCAACGACCTCCCGGAAAAAATAATCCTATCCTAGCCTATTGCTACTGCATCAGTTTGTGACTTTAGATGGTTATGGGGAGTGGGACTGTGCGACGCGGCACCATATTTCATGACGTCCTGACTCCTGACTTACAGGCGACAGCCGACAGGCTAGAGGGCACCGCCGCTAGACGGCATACTTTTAAAAGAAATTTCGCGTTATTTTTCTGGCTGGCCAGATTCTATGGCCTATTTGTATCCAGACTTGGATATTGGACAACCACAACCTACATAGCTGATATAAACTATTAATAACCTTGAATATTGCATCGTTTGACCCGTTTCCGGTCCTGGAAGACTAGACAATTAGGTTGTAACTTTGTAAAGCGTCTTCCGCTACACTGGAGGCCACCAACCCTGGCCTGTTCTACTTGCTACTGTGAGTATGCAAGTGGCTCAGCCCCAACGGTAAAAATAGCCGAAAATGTATCAAATGGGGCAGCCAGCGCTGGATGAAGTCGTTTTGTCTTTTGTGTATTATACTTGCGCGAGAGAATTACTCTTGCTTAATTGTTTAACATTTGTTCTTTTCTTTTATTTTGAACCATTTTATTATTTTGTTCTGAAAATTCGAATGGAAGATGGATGATCTGGGGTTACCCGATATGAACGCCACAGTCTGGAACGTTACTGATCAGTTCAACAGCGAGCATGAAAGCACTGCAAGTGCAGCCAACAGTACAGCAAGCACTCCAGTGACTCCATCCCAAACAATGCTGCTGTCTGAGCCAACAACGGAATTAACACTGCTCACCTCCATCCCTCTGTTGTTATCTTCCATATCGACATCGCTCACCTCATACCGTCAGGATGTTATACCCTCAACGGCAGTCCCTCTGCCATCCACATTGCACCATCCGTCCCTTCTCCAACCGAGTCCTGGCTGGGTGCAAGCCAAAGCTGCTTTCGGTTGGACGTGGGATCTGCATATTTACGCACTGGGTTCACTGTTCGCAGTCGTGGCACTGTACAGTTTCCTGTGCATTATACAACTATGCCGTATGAATAACACAAAAGGCGTGCGTTTGTATTTCTCTTTGCTGCATTTTTTAATATTTTTATTTGGCACCAGTCGCGCGGTGTTTCTTTTGCTGGATCCCTATAATCACAAAAACCTCCTGCCCCAAATGGTGGCGGCGGTGTTTCTGCATTTATCCTTCCCGTGCCTTACATCGGCATTCTGTATGGTCCTCGCAGCGCTGGTACGCACAACGAAGATGAAACTAATGAAGGCAGGGATTATGAATACGTACCTGTTGTTGGGGATTTTATTGGGAAATTTTGCCTTCGCTATTTCCGCGGAGATCGTGGTGGATGTCTTCCTCTCCACACAGAAAATTAACGCAGTGGCCGTGGCGTCCCAGACGTATTTTATCGCGTGGAGTCTGGGACTGGGTTTAGGCTACCTGGTGATGTTTGGGCGGTTGGTCGATGCGGCGCGAGACGCTGACGGTCTGGTATTGACGGGTACACGGCGTGTGGCGGTAGCGGTGAAAATGATGCTGGCCATCGCGATGCTGCTGCTGTGTTTTGCCGGATTGCACGTCTACGGATTGATCCGGGTGTATGGATTTCTGAAGGATCTCAGCGACTTGGTTGATCCGTGGGAATGGTATGGCTTCCATGTGGGAACGCGTATAACCGAGCTGGTGCTGGCGGCGCTCTTGGCCTTTGTGGCCTCTTTGACAATCTGGACGAAAGCGGCGCGGCAGTATAATATCCCGCCGCCGCTGCCGCCCAGTCGCGTCGTGAAAGAAGAGGGTCAGGCCCGTGAGGGTCTGCTCAGTCCCGACGGCATGCGCCTGCAGTCCATCCGCAACCCGCCTCCGTCGCCTGGTATTGTGCCGAAGAATCGCAGGGATTTCCCGGTGACGTTTAATCCTGAGGGTGGGAAGGGTGATGATAGTGATTTCTTTCTTCCACAACGATTTGTGATGGCGAACAGGGCGCGGAGTGGGGTGGCACGGAAGGTGGACAGTCATCTTCTGGAGACTAATCCCATACATAATGCAGATGAGTACGAGCGGTATGGATAATGGAGAATGGCTTATGTGCGTTAAATTCCGATGCATTTATTTTCTACTTACCTTGTTTTCTACTTTACCAATAATGTTGCTTAATTTGTATTTTTTGTTGTTTTCTAATGTCTCAATCTTTTGTTTATCGATATGTGATAACTATCAACTTCTGATTGTTAACTACCGCGAAGCCTTTTAATTTTTAACTCTCCAATGCAAAGCTTTTGATTACTAACTTAATGTTTCCTACTTACTTACGCCAGTGATGCAGTTTATGCGTCAGAATCCTGTCAAATCTTAATGTGTGCATATTTTTAGACATTAAACGATCACAGTTGTGTGCACATTTGCATCTGAAACCGTAATCCGTAGTCCGGACTCCTTAGCCCGGTTATTATACGCAGCACAATCAGACAATCTATGCAAGAATTTTTAACCGGCTCAATTGTTATGTGTCGGAAGTTGTCGCATCGGGATTATTGCTGATATGTAATTGTACTGCCATTATTCCACTTTTAGCTCCAATAAAGCGTTGCTGGTCGTATATAGATAGATATATGTACCATAAGCTTTCTGCAAATAATTCAGTTGAAATACCAAGAGCAATGTAGCATTAACGGTGCCGACAATAATGTAGCGATTTGGTTGAGTTAGCTTCCGAACAGATTTGAAAGCTTTTGTGGCTCTTTGCAATGTGCAAATTCTGTAGTCACTGACAATGTGCAAGCAGTCTTAATCTGCAGTTGTACCATTCGTTTATCTGATGAAATACTGTATTCAAATTGAAAACGTGTTTGAAGTGCTCTCGTCTATCATCTACGGGAGCTCGAGCTGCCGAAAACGAACGAATTTTAAGTGATGTGATGTTTTTCGAATACGGTACACAGTCTCTACCCTACTATCTATAGTAGTACAAGCATAGAAAAGGAAAATACTGTGTACACAGTATTTTCACAGTATTTTCCTTTTCTATGGTTCAAGATTACAAGTATGTGTACAGATATTCGCAGATACAGCATACACTGTACAGTGCGATGGTATAGCTTTATTACCTAACAGAAAAATATTGAGCATATGGACTTTTGTAATTTCGCCATGCCAGCCGCCTGTGCCTTATCCTCTGAAAAAATATTTCTTTTGCAGGTTGTACAGTATTTTCATCAATATTGTATTGTATCTGTAAATTTTAATCGGTATTAGTATGTTGAGTAATACTAGTAATCAGCACTGTTGCGTGCAGAGTCCGCGAAAATAAAACAATACAAAGACCTTAACAGCTAGCAATAATTTTGGATATTTTTACCGAATCGAAAAAATTCTAGTTACCGTAGTACTTACCATTACTGTAAGTAAATACGCAATACTATTCAGCTTGCAGCTGACCAGAGACTGTATGCAATTTTCTACGCAACCTTGCAAGAAACGAAAGATTTTCAAAATTAACCAAATTTTCAAATAGCCTTAAAACCCAAAGGTTTTCACATAAGGGTAAAACGTCTCCGTTAACGGAGTTTGGCTACTGTAGTTGCAATAATAATAATAATAATAAAAATTAGTTTAATCTACATTTGTGACTTACATATGCCCCTAGTTTAATTTTTTTGAACATACAGGACCCGCGGAATAATAACGATATCGCTACCGCCTCGCAAAGCGGCTACCTTAATATGCCGCGTGCACCGGCTCGGTGCTGCAAGCGAAAACTGCAATGTCGTCAGCACCGTCATCGGTCGAAGCCCTGATTTTCAGATAGGCCCAATACGAACTTGAAATAGAAATTTGATTAGAATGCCCATGATGAAATAATTTTTCCTGATTTCTGTATTTAAGGAAGGTACAACCTGGTTTTGTCCAGTTTTTGGATAATTTTGATAGTAGTAAACAAATCACCCGAGGAACATAATGCCGGAAATAAAGAACGCAAAAGACGTGCGCCAGGCCTTTGTGGACTTCTTCGTGGGGAAGGAGCACACATACTGGCACTCGTCCTCTGTGATTCCCCTCGACGATCCCACGTTGCTGTTCACGAATGCCGGCATGAATCAGGTACAGAAGATAGAACGTTAGGGATGACCATAGCCTGCGTTCAGTCAACTCCTTGCTTACAGTTTAAACCGATTTTTCTGGGCACCGTCGCTCCCAACAGCGACATGTCCCGGCTGGTTCGTGCGGTGAACAGCCAGAAATGCATCCGCGCCGGCGGCAAACATAACGATCTGGACGATGTGGGCAAAGACGTCTATCATCATACGTTTTTTGAAATGTTGGGAACGTGGTCATTTGGAGATTATTTTAAGGTACGTGATGCGTGGCATTCGTTAATCGTTTGTGACGTTTTCAGGGAAATTTGCAGAGTTCTTGATCTGTTTTGCAGCAAGAAGCTTGTTCTTGGGCTTGGGAGTTCCTCACGGGTTATTTAGGATTGCCAAAAGACCGACTTTATGTAACGTATTTTGAAGGCAAAAAGGAACTGGGATTAGAGCCCGATAATGAATGTCGCGATATCTGGCTACAACTTGGGTAGGCAAACAAAATATGCCAAATTTTACCGCTGTTAAGTATAAACTTGTCGTTAGATTGTTTATCGTTAATAAGTATCGTTACTATTGTAGCATTTTTGGTACACTAGTATTAGCCCTTTTAATATTTATTAAATTATTTTTTATTTCAATTTTTGAATTGAAAATTTTATTTGAATTTCATATTTTAATATTTTATAATATTTAATAATGTTTTGTTAATGCAGCTGTTTCGTTATGATAAATCAGTCATACTGATACATAAGTCATTGTCAGTCTTGCTTCATTTTCTTGAACGATTCTTTACATTGATTCGCTTGTAGTTTGAATCCTTTGGATGCATTACTAAATGCGCTCTCGATAGGTTGCCTGCAGATCGTGTGATCCCGTTCAGCATGAAGGAGAACTTTTGGGAAATGGGTGAAACTGGTCCGTGTGGTCCCTGTTCCGAAATTCACTTTGATAGGATTGGTAACCGGGATGCATCGCAGCTGGTTAACCGTGACGATCCCGATGTGTTGGAAATCTGGAATCTAGTCTTTATCCAATTCAACCGGTAAGGTTTCTATTGATACTGTAAACCCACATGGGCAGCTTGTGAGAACGAAGGGCTCAGTTGACAATCTTTTGCAGTGAGCCAGATGGTTCGCTATCGCCTTTGCCGAAAAAACATATCGATACTGGAATGGGTTTAGAGCGCTTGGTGTCTGTTATTCAGAACAAGAGGTCCAACTATGACACGGATTTATTCATGCCGATCTTCAAAGCCATCGAAGCGGTACGAATATACAGTACCTCGGTTTTATTGAGCGAAATACTAGTGGCTTCCTTGTGCAGGTTATTTCATTACATCAAAACTGAATTAAAAAATTATTTCCAGGGTACTGGAACTCGTCCATACTCTGGAAAAGTTGGCGCCGAAGATACGGACAAGATAGATATGGCTTATCGCGTTGTCGGCGACCACATCCGCACTCTTGTTATTGCATTGTCAGACGGCGGTCGTCCGGATAACGTGGGTCGTGGGTAGGTAAAACGATGAGTGTTCATGTCTTTTCTCTTTGTATAGCGCTTTAAATGACCCACAAATGATCTAAATGCAGTTGTCAGGAACTGTAGATCTGTAGATGGAATCTGATTCATTCTGTAGTTATGTGCTTCGCCGTATACTGCGCCGCGCCATCCGTTATGCATCCGAAAAACTGAATGCCAAGCCAGGATTTTTGGGAAGCTTGGTGGAAACTGTCATCCAGCTCCTGGGTGATGCCTTCCCGGAAGTGCGCAAAGACCCTGCGATGGTTAAGTTAACAATCGACAATGAAGAGACACAATTTCTTCGCACACTCACACGCGGTCGACGCCTTTTGGAGCGCACCATCGGCCAGATGGGTGACGGTAAAGTCTTACCCGGTGACATTGCCTGGAAGCTGTATGATACTTACGGCTTCCCAATTGATCTGACCCAGCTTATGGCTGAGGAGAAGGGTCTTTCTGTGGATATGTCCAGTTATGAGGAGGCGAAACAGAAAGCTGTTCTAGTCTCGCAAGCCCAGAGTGTCGTGGGCATTGCTAAATTGGATCTGGACGTACACGCTATTGGTGCGCTGAAGGACAAGGGTGTTCCGGTGACGGATGAGACCCCGAAGTATGCGTATACATATAATAATGGCGTGCCGGCCCCGCAAGTGCGGTATCAGTTCTCGGAAGCCACCGCCACTGTGTTGGCCATCCGAGTGGAGAAGGGCTTTGTTGAGGAAATGCAGGGTGGAGAGTGTGGACTGATTTTGGATCGCAGTAATTTCTATGCAGAACAGGGTGGACAAATCTTCGACGAGGGGTTTATCGTTCGTTTGGGTGCTGACGGAAATGAGGTTAGACGCATTATTTTTAAAATTAATTTGAATGAAATTAGAAGGATTTTTCTATGATGTTCCATCTTTCGGGTCCGAATTTTCCATGTGGACACATTCTCCCTGAGTTAATACCATTACGTAGTCGCCTAAACCCTTGCTTGCATAATTCATGCTATGGAAGCCACCGTTTTTTCTTAAATTTTTGCAGGATAACAGTACGGAATTTCAAGTGAGCAATGTCCAAGTGCGTGGCGGATATGTATTGCATACAGGAAAACTAGATGGAGTATTGAAAGTGGGCGACAAAGTCAAATTGTTTATTGATGAAGTAAGTTTTCGTTAAGGATTTTCATGAAATTCATGTCTTTTAATTATGAATATAACGAATATTTCAAAGGAACGGAGAAAGCTGGTTATGAACAACCACACAGGGACGCACATTCTGAACTACGCTCTGCGAACCGTGCTGAGTGAAGATGCCGATCAACGCGGCTCATTGGTAGCTCCGGACCGTTTGCGCTTTGATTTTGCTGCCAATGCTGCCATGACGGTACCACAGATTAAGAAAACAGAAGAGATCGCCCAAGATGTGATTGGAAAGAACCAGGAAGTCTTTGCCAAATTCGCTCCACTGGCACAAGCTAAAAGCGTGAAGGGACTTCGTGCCATTTTTGACGAGGTAGGCTTGTTTGTGTTACCTGCCTTGTAAAAACTTAATAATGCAAAACTAGTGATGTACCATCTTTCGGGTCCGAATCGCGTCTGTGGACATTTCTCACTGAAGTTCTTTGATTTAATATTTATATAGCTGATTGTATTCTGTTAGTTTTTGCTGACATTATGTTTTGTTGTTGCAGACGTATCCCGATCCAGTGCGCATTATCAGTGTTGGTGTACCGGTTGATGAATTGCTGGCCAATCCTGAAGCCGGTTACGGTTTTCAGACGTCTGTAGAATTTTGTGGTGGCACCCACCTGCAGCGCAGTGGCCATATTGGTGACTTTGTAATTGTCACCGAGGAGGCCATCGCCAAGGGCATCCGCCGTATTGTGGCTTTGACGGGACCGGAAGCGCAAAATGCTCTGCAACGTTCCAGCACCTACCGTGCTCGGGTAGACAAAATCCGTGGAGCCAAGAGCTCTCAATACGTTTACAGAACGTTATTAGGAGAATTGAATGCCGTTTTTGAGGAGTTGGCCCGTTCGACCATTCCAGTGTGGCAAAAAGATGAAATGCAGACGGAATTGACTAACATCAAAAAGGAGCTTGATAAGAAAGATAAAGAGTCGAAAGCAGAAAAGGCCCAGAAAGCTCTAGAACACGCTAAGGATTTGGTCGGAAAGGAACCGGATTCGAAGATCAGGGTATATCGTTTGGACCTGGATAGCAATTCTAAGGCCTTGGATGCGGCTGCCAAGCAAATCCGAAGTGTGGCACCGGATGCCGCTATTATGGTCTTCAGTGCTGACGAGGATGAAGGAAAGCTGCTCGTTTTGTCGTCAGTAAGCGAGAAGGACGTGGCAAAGGGACTAAAGGCCAACGAATGGGTGCAGCAAATTAGTTCACTGATTGGTGGAAAAGGTGGAGGCAAGGAATTGTCCGCGCAGGCCACCGGAAGTAACGTGAAGGCTTTGAACCAGGCCATGGAAATGGCTAAGAAATTTGCTGAATTAAAACTGAATGGATCTTGAATGAAATTGATTTTTTTTAAATACAATTTTGGGTTGTTAATACAAGTAACTGGAATTTTCTAGATTCGGCGTAACTCGTTGCTTGTCTTTTACGAAAACAATTTTTTTTAATTTGCCAGACTTTTATGTTGCTTTGTTCGTGCTGGACCGCGCAATGTACTACTGTTCTCTCGCTGTACTCGGTGCACAATCTTTGGTTAGCACATTAAAACTACGGATGTTTGTCTACCTAAGCACCGGATTCTTTTTTTTTAAATCGAAAGGAAATCCATTGCCAAGGCAGAAGAATTTCGTGGTAAAACTTTTAGTCAGTCAGAGAAACCAGTTTATGCTGAGAAATAAAAGAACAGGAGGTAAGAACACAACTTACCAGGATTTCTAAGAACGCACCGAGTGGCAGCGGTTTCGCTTTAATATCAATATATACAGAACAAAGCATACCGAATTTGTTTTAACACCGATAAAATAAAATCTCTGAACGTAGGTAAGCAAATTAATACGATCATGTAGGGAACCGATACTATCAGATTATCAACTCTCATCACTTCAAAGTCATACAACACAATCCGTTGAACAATGCATACACGTAAAATAAACACAATTCACCCATCATTATTTGACTACATACGCTTTTCTAATCAATTTGCGATGCGACAGCTACACACCATTGTTATCAGGCACAAGCGAAGCTAGCAATCCGGAAACGAAGTTGACACATCCACCCCAAAATCCTTGTGCCGGCTGATTAGGCGTCACATTGATTATACTCCGATCCGCATTGTTACCAGCCATGGCGGGGTCCACTGCGCCTTCAGCTGCACCCGGGACAGGTGGGGCTGCCGGCGGCTGCTGCTGTTGTTGCTGCCGGGTACGTTCACGCCAGCGGCGAAAATCTCGCACCGTATTGAACAGCAGGACCAGAGCGAATATGGCAAAGGCGGAGAAGAAGCGTGCCGTCGATGAGTACAGAAAAATAATGAGAACAAAGAGCAGCACCCGCAGAGATATGTACATCCAGTCCAACACATCCCTGTGTCCGGGGGCATTAACTTCTTCAGCTCCTATTTCCTGGACAGCTGGTACATGGGCAACCTGTGCGCGGTGAATGCGGACAACAGCCACTGCTGGTGCCCGATTGGGCGGATGGGGTGCTGGGGCAGGGGTAACTTGTGCAGCGGCAGGACCTGGAAATTGGTAGGGAAATCCGAACGTATTGAAAGGCATTGGCATCATTCCAGGCATCGCTTGGCTGCAAAAAATACAACACATCACGTCAGCGTTACGCAATCTCAAACAAGCTGGACTGTTCCCACTAACAGAGACCCATATACGTGTATTTATATTTAAGTCTTAAAAGAAAGATATTCGTACCGCATTCTTAAAAAAACTAAATAGTACTTACTACCATAGCAGAGCATGGTATGCCCCAAATGCGCTCACAAATCACTGCGCTCACTTAACTGAATTTACCAGCACAAATTAACAAGGAATATTTGTAGATGTCCAATTACCTCATGTGGTGCATGTAGCTTTGAATGTAATTCTGGTATTCTTGCACCATCTGATCATTATATCCGAATCCATACTGATATGGCGTCCACGCGGGTGGCACGTGCGACGAAGTATTGGCTGGGGCTTCTTGTGCGGGCTGCTGTACATGGCGCTGACGCAATCCGTCGGATTCAGTCACATCAGGGGCGGCATGCTGTGTGGGGGTTTCCTCTTGAGATCGCGAATGTACCAAATGCAAAACTGGTGGAAAACCTTTCGGGACCTTTAGAAAACAAAAACAATATATTAGAAAATATCTGGCAGCAGCAGTACCTACAATCCTTCAACTAGCCAACTTACCGATTTAATGCAATCCTTCAGCAGATGATCATCGGTCAAAATCCGTCCTCCAAAAATCAACTTTTGCGCTTCGGCTCTCTAAAATAGTCCACAGTCATACAATAAAAACAGGAAAATGCTACAAAATCGCTTCCCTGCATGCGAGTACTGCGCTTACTGGTTTTCTGGGCAATGTGTCTTCCAAGTGCTTTTTCAACTGTAATATAGTCCACGACGGCAATACACTGGTGGAGAAATCTTCTTTTCCTTCCCCAAACGGCACCTTTATAACAACCGGAACGTGCTCCATGATTCCACCAATTAAATCAAAACGAATAGAAACGCAGGTGAGGGGCTCCAAAACTCCCGTAGGCCGTGGCCTAGCTAAATTCCAGCGCGACTCACCAACCACAAACTCACACAACAATTACAGTAAACTGAGTAAAGACGCAAACTGAGACACCCACGCTTCTCAAGTGATAAGTTACAAAGATTACAAAGGATTAAAAAAAAGCCGTAAAACTACAACAATCGTAAAATCACTTTTCACTACAGAAATTATTTTAGAATCTGGGTAGTACTCGTACTATTAGCGTTTCACACAAATCACGTAAAACACTAAACAGGGTAAAAACTTTCGTCCTTTCTGGGATCTCAAATCAGCGTGCCTTTCGAGCCAACTTTCACTTTGAGCGGAAATCGTACGCTGATTAGAAACAGGAATGGCAATAGCTAAGCGATAGAATGGAATCAATGGATCAGGTGGGCTTCATATGCAACCAATTGGGTAGCGGCACGTAAAGGAAAACCCCGCCCCTTTATTGGTTCCAAGATTGATGGGTGAAAATGTTCGTACGGACTACGGAATGTCGTCATATGTGTTCGACGGGCCTCGGCTCGACTAAGGACCGGCTTGCCAGAATCGGTCTGAAACCGGGCTACACCACAAACACTTGTCGCGGCGTCGCGCGACATTTTCCAATTCCCGACGTGTTGCGGTGTTGAAATCAGCGTTCGTAAACCAGTTTCTCTTAAAATGAATGAAAAAGAAACTTGTCAATATTAAATTTTAATTACTGTGCATTGGCCATTGGTGCAAACTGTAGAACCAGTTTCTTTTAAAAGCAGGAAGATAGTTCAAGATACCTTTTACGGTTTACCGGCTCTCTTACCGGTGTCCGGTACTGCAGCGAATTGCGCGGGTACAGAGATACGTAGTTTGAGCCGTATTGCTTATCCAGTTTATTCCCATACAAATGTAAGTATCGAGGCGGAACCCCATGATACACCTGTACAGCATACCTTATGATTGAGGTCCCTGCTCGAAAGTCAAGAGATTCAAATCATTCAAGCTGCATTTTCTCAGGAAAACGGGACGAAGCATTTCAGCAACGAATATCTGGCATTATTTCGGTCGATTTGAAATAGTGCACAATAGTTGTACATTTCGTATATTTTGAGAAAATAAAAATTGGCATTATATTTAGTTGGTTTTGAGCTTTAGTCGCTTGATACCTTCGGCGCTTTTCCGAAATCAGTGGTTTTCCTTTTATCCACGTTCCAGTCGTTCCTTCTAATCATCATGAGCCGTGGAGGTATTGGCACGCGAATTTTCGTTGGGAATCTGCCTCCTGATATCAGAGAAAGCGAGATCAAAGGTATGGTACTTTGGATCCATCCGTATTCCGTAGTAATGCCGTGGTTCTTGTACGGCTTGTTGCCAAACGGTGGTATCAGGCTGTTTCTTTTTGACGTCGTCGAGTGACTTACTACGTCCATTTCAATTTTCATTCCGTTCAAGAGCAGTGCTGTTATAGATGTATTCCGTAAATACGGAAAAATCGTGCAGATGGATCTGCGAAACAAAAGTCAAACTGGACCTCCATTTGCCTTTGTGGACTTCGATGATTCTAGGTGACTACCACGCTGCTATTATTAATGTTTTGTATCAGTCACCAGTGGTCCAATTAGCAGCTTTGGTGTAGATGTTATTGTCTTTAGGAACGCTTACTCTTTAGGGAGCCTTTAGGGACGGTTCTTATATGCTCTGTTCTTTAGGGACGCCGATGACGCCGTCCGTGCTCGTGATGGCTACGAACTGGATGGATACAGGATCCGTGTGGAGTTTCCGCGGGCCTACAGGAATTCTGACGGTCGTTTTGTGAACTCCCGTGGCGGCGACCGGGACCGCCGGGGAGGGGATCGCAGGGGAGATAATTATCCATCCAGGAACACGTTTAACAGGCACTCAGGAAATTCCATGCGGCGTTCGAAGTACCGCGTGAATATTACAGGTGCAGTACTTTCCCCGTCTTTTGAATTTCTTGGAAATTTGTTATTTTTTGCATTTTATTTACAATCTTAATAGCGTGAAAGTCTTGCGTTACTGCGTCGAGATAGTTAGTTAATATAAGATTGCAAGCAGATATATTTATAATTTAAGGTGCGGCTCGTAAAACTTAGAATTTCAAAAATGGCAGAGGACAGCTAAATTAAAAGCGTTTTAGACGGAACTTGTTACAGACTGCGATATCACTGTAGTGAAGTCTTTGCAATAGCAGCTGAAGCCTGAGCATAAATTGCATCATGATGGTCATAATTGTTCCTATTTAAATGAAATGTCGTTTCGAATAGGTTTGCCGATTTCGGGAAGTTGGCAGGACCTGAAAGACCACATGCGTGAAGCAGGCGACGTGTGTTTTGCTGACGTCAACAAGGATGGAACTGGAGTGGTTGAGTACATTCGCGAGGATGACATGAAGTATGCAATAAAGAAGCTGGACGACAGCAAATTCCGATCCCACGAGGTACGTTATTGTAGTTAGTCCTTCAGAGGAATGCGGTTACTTACTTTGCTGTGCTAAGCACCTTAATCCGAACTTTCCCGTTTCTAGGGAGACACATCGTACATTCGAGTGAAAGCAGCTGAAGGCAATGATAGTCGTCGCTCGCGCTCCCGTTCGGGATCTCCTGCTGGACGCAGTCGTAGTCGCTCTCCAGTGGGACGCTCTAAACGCGACTCACCCAGAGATGAGCCGGGAAGCGACAGAGACAGCAAGCGTGTGAAGCGCGAAGCTTCGCGCTCTCGTAGTCGCTCTTCGCACTCGAAATCGCGTTCCCGTAGTAAGACACCAGCTTCGCGTAGCCCGTCGCAGGAGAAGGAATGAACATGTATCACACAGTTTTTGGTCCGTATTCGTCTTGGCTGCTCTGTGTGAACAATGGTAATTGTTTAATCGAACCACATTATCTTCATTACGACTGAAGGCATTAATGGGAATTATGGCATTGTAGTTCATCGTTATTATGTCACCTAATGGTATTATGGTAGCACATTGCTTTTTATACCACTATGCATTTTTTGAATAGAATTCCATTGTTTTGTTTCAAGAAGCGTGTTTTCTGGAATGTTATTATTGTCAACATTATGTACATGTTAGCGATGTAATTACCCATTGCACTTATTTTGCACTTGTGTTTCTCAGAGCTATGTGTTCTGTCTGGAGGACGGATCGTAAATTGGCTTCGAGTTCGATTTGACACAAAAACCATAGGATGAGCCTAACGAGTCGGGTTTTGCGAGCTAAGCATGGGGCCTGCAAGCCGTCTGATACGGATGGCGATCGGCATTATCTGGGCTTTCCCATGTGCAAGCAAGCGGTCGTCGTGGGGCACGAAACGTGGCATATGGTACTTTTGGTCGATAATTTGGGAGGACAATATCGTCGGAGAAAAATAGTTTGTTTGGGATTTGATGGGATGGGAACGATTATGTCGCTCGCTTGGAGGGGAAAGAAAGCGAAGCTTTGGCGTATCGCGTAGGGAACGTAATGCTGAACAAGTGCGCGTGCTGGAGCAGCAGCTGTGGGATGTTCCAGCGTTTGTAATTTTACTAACGATAACGATGTGACATACGCTTCTGCACGAGGGTTCCCAGCCAAAACTTGGTGAAACCCGTACTGTATCACATGCTGTCCTTTGTCCAGGCTGTGATTCGCACATCGCGGTATTTATGATAAGTTGTGCAGTATTAATTTTTTTGATTTATGAAGGCAGAATAAATAAAACTGGTACCTGTTAACAGTGTTGTCATCTCATGGCAGTGTGGATGCAGGTGCCACGGAGTCACAGACGTTGGACAGTGCAACATTTTATTTGAAAGTTGAACATGATTATTTCAAATTAATTAATATTAAGCGAACATTGGATTGGTTGGCTGTCGGTCCCGCAGTTCGCTGGATCAAAACATCTAATCCCCGGACTCGAATGGTGGGCAATGGGCATAAATGATAGTGGTGCAAATTGTCGACTACCGGCATCATTGTAATTGTACATAATTTTCCTTATATAGATATTTTGCATGATAAACTTCCTTATGTACTTGTACTAACTAGTGTATAGTCGTTATGAATACAACAATCAGGAAAATCACTTGGGAGAGAATTAAAGCGACCTAATTGCATTTGTATGGTTTTCTGCCTTTGTCAGCGAGATGACATCAAGACAATGATTGGGAATTTGGAAATAAAACACAACTTAAGAAATTTTAGAGTAACAAGTTCATACGCTTACTGTACAGTTTATCGTACGTATTGTGCAAGCGCAGCGCAACCTCGACATACAAAAGAAACAATGCAATACTTCGGTAAAAATAAGTACAGAAATGCAATTCAGCGTCAGGAAAACCTTAGAAATTCAAGAGAACTCGAAAAATGCAAGACATTGACCATACAACCAACATTGTAGATTGCCTTGGAAATCTCGGGTGTTTTGGCTGCAGCTGTCACGCGAATACGGAAAGCGCCCTGCATCCGGTCGCGGTCGTATATGGTCATCCAGATAAGAGGCATCCAACATTTTCACCGCAGCAAGCGTATCGCCAGAAACATTGTGCACATTATGGGCAAAACATATTGCAGCGATATACTGTTAGCTGCACTAACCCCAGCCAGAAACCAGTACGTTTGCGGATCGACGAAGGGATACTGTCCTATACCCAGTTTCTCATAGCCACCGCCGAATCCCGGAGGTCCAACTACGCCCACTTCCGGATTGAAGCTAAATCCATTATAGGCGCCACCCGAACCGTACCGCGGCCCGTACATGCTGGGATTGTAATTGCTGTCAACCAGGAAAGTCTGGGTAGTTCCACAGTTAAAAAAATTTAAAAAAAGTTATTACTGTATGAATACAGTTAAAAATGTTTTAAGTACTATATTTTCGAAGAGCTAATGTCACCACGCGCTTTTGTTACTTATCTTGATGGCACACGCCACTGAGTACTTATTACATCAATGGTACAATGTAAGACTATTTCAGTCCATCGACAGATCGCCTATGAATTTCTCTGTATATCATAAGAAATAAAAAACATAGCTATTGTTAAAAACAGAAAATACAAATCCTTTGCGCTTTGCGAAAGACTGCTTGCTTTCAAATTAATGTGATGTTGCATGATAAGCACGACTATTCAGCGAGATATAGGCAAACATTTAAATTTTTTACTATAAAATAATAAATAATCGCCGGAATCGAAAGGCAATTCTCAAAACCGGATAATTGTAGTACAGTACTGGTACTTCAGTGTTCACGAATCTGTATACAGTTGGATGTCAGTTCCATTTAAACACATTAAATATACTACTATCTATATTTTGCGTTGGGTGCATCTGTGCGTACCTGCCCGGCATAGCATTTTGATATTGCGCATATCCAAGCTGTCCTGAAAAGTTCCCACATTTGGATTTTTTACGAAACATGCATGGGTGCATTTCAAAATTTAGTTGGCTAGAATATAGATATAAATAAGTAAATAAATGCAGTCTTTAAGACTACCGGGTAGTACATATTGTACTAATTCCAACAACTTATGAGTGTGCTAATATCTATATTGAAACTGGAAAAGGGCGAAATTTCGGGTTACCGTTAACGTTAGGAGAGCACAGGAACACGGTGAGCAGCAATAATCCCAGTTTGCGCACAATTTCGTACATTTTCGTTGGCAGTAATGACTATAAAAATGACCGAAAGCGACAATAACAGCAATCAAATAATACTGGTTTTCAAGTCAGTGCTTGCAGTTCCGGTGTAAATATCAACAAAACTTGTCAAAGTCCAACACACGGTCCAGAGGAAATTTGTCAATACAAAATCTGGCTCAACCAAATGCAAAAGCCATTCAATTGCCGCATTCTGTTGTTAGTTAAACGTGATTGAATTAGAATTTGCAGACAACTGGAGCATTATACGTTGGATTTAACATAATTCTAAATTATGTACATATGATCTTATATGTACAATAGTATGCATATCACACCCAGCGAAAACCATCGCACAGTTTGGTGACGATTATTCCAAATATATAGGCGCGTGCATTAGAATGATATGAGTGTTAACTAGTTGGCACTAACTTTGAAGTAAACGACTAAATGCGATCTTCCACAGCTCAATATATTACGTAAAACGAAGGCGCTGAACCAACTAATTTGTAGCAGCTCAGTTTTCCCACAATCGGTCCATGGAGTATAAATTATGCGAGGCTGAATTATGATGATATATATCTAATAATCGGTAGCATAATGTGTAAAGACATTGTAATTCTGAAATGAATCGATTGCGTCGAGGTTTTCACACGGCTTCGGGATGTGGTTAAAACGAGGTCAAAATGAAAGTGTTTTCCATTTTATAAGTCTTCCTACAGGTGAGTCGCTGAGCTTCGCTAACGCGTGCAACGTGTTCAGTCATATTCCGGTTTGATGTGGAGTTTGTAGACCAAGTCTACAGAGTAGCACCTATAGCGATATTTGGCGCTTGGCGGCGCTCGACGTGGACAAGAGTCGACAGAAAAAACGAGGCGCTCGACGCAAAATCACAGCGGAACTATTAATTTTGGACTGTACCTGCTTCTACCGCAAATCCAAAGTAATAGAAAATGGTATACAGCGTTATGAAAGTGAAAACAACACTGGACGGTATACTTGTACATGTACGGTACAGACCGTAGATCTGATGCGATATTATAGGAAGTAGAAACTGAGCGTAAGCCGGCGACACGAACCAAACCGGTTTCACAGATGACCATAAACGAGTAATCACCACCACATGTAACTGTGAAATGTGCTTTCACATTGGTAAAGAAAACAATGAATTATTATTAATAATAATAATTTATTTATTATTATTATTAATAAAGTAAGTATTATTTTTGTAAGCCTCAAGTTGCAGGACTGCCTGTATCAATTTATCAAACCAAAAAATCTACATCTATCAAACCAAATCTACTTGTATTTAAGTGCTTTAAATTGAGTTTAAACTTTAAAGCCATGCTTTTGAGCACTGTATTCTGCACAAGCAGCACAACTTATACGGACTACTCTAGATATTCCTGCACTAATTGTACATTTTAATACAAGCTGTACGTATTACAATTACTGATTTACCGTTAAATACAATTTGTAAGCATTGTCCATTAACGACGTAATAAATAAATAACGACAAGATTTCGCTATGCCAATTTTTATTCAAACTTGGAGAGTAAAGTCATCCGTGCTTTTACATCCATGCTTTTACAAGAGCTCAAACAATGATCACATTCATTCTAGAATAAAACAGTAAAAATTAACCGAAAGTTGTCACATAAAAGTTTATACCGGTGGCTGCGCATTTCTGGCCGACCTAACACTGTGTTTTGTTCTCTTTTACCGAAGCTACCGTTCCCATTTCTTGGCCCATCACATCGACAATAAGGTCCTGTTTTTTCATAAAATATTCTCGAAACCAGTCAACATGTTCTTCTTTCTCTCGTACGGTAAGGAAAGGATTTTTCGATAAGGCGTACACAGCGATATCCATAAACTGTCGGATAGGACCCTTTTTGGGAAAACCAGCAAGCAGGTGGTGAAGAAATACATGTTCAGAGAAATCCACATTCTTCTCGTGATCAAGTACCCCTGCATCACAAAACAAAAACATGATTTTCTCGTTTTACAATTATACATGTTATTTAAGAGCGGATCAGTTGCAGGAACTGACCCTTTCTAAAACACATTGTTTCTCACATCTCGCGCGTTAAACGATGTTAACACCTTATTGTTAGCTCAATTTCAGTTTCCAAAGCACAAACATACTGTTCAATTATTAATTATCATTGCCATCACTAAACACAAACCTTGTTCATTATCAATAGGAAAGTTCCAGAGCTTGCCTTCTTTGGTCCAATTCACCATTTCTTCAAATGCATTCCTGGGAGGCAGAGACATTAGCGATTGCAGAGACTCTTCTTCGAGCTGCTGCCAAATCTTTAGCCTGAACTGAGGCTTTGCCCGTAATGATTCCACATCCTTGAATATTTCCAAAGGCCGACCACCAAATATGTCTATTCGTTCCATCCTAAAACATCCAAAAAGTGAACGTAGTTGTAGTGCACACTGTGCACCGAAATGTTCACAGCGATGCAAGCATCAAAGTGGTTTGAGAGTTGAAAGTACAAATCTCGTGCAGCATTGGAGGCACACTACACGCAACGGAAAGCGCTTTAGAAATTCAAAATACTGAAAAGGTGTTACCATAACTGGGAAAAATTGTATGTGGCTTACACAGGCGGGGGCTGTCGAGGTCGAGCCCGATCGCTTGCTGCGGGTACGGCACTATCGTTCATAACGGTCTCCATCATCGCTCGGATAGGCTTCTGAGCAGTTTCCTCAAAAGCCTGGAAGGGCACCTGAGCTCCCACTTCGACGGGGGGTTTCGATCTGTCGATCTTCATTCCCGCTATTAGATGACTGTAAACAAAGATACGTAGCGGCTTTATTGCCTGCTTACAGTTCACTGGCTAACAGAAAATAACACTTCACTGGCATATAAATTGTGAGCACCTAAGAAACAAACGGGCAAAAGACCGCAACATTACAATTCAGCCAGACAAAAACCAACCTTAAATCAGCAGCTGACGCTTTAGCTTTATCCGTCTGCTCGGCATGATCGAGGAGTTTAGCAAGCAATTCCGATTTTACCGTGGCCGGGTCGATTTTCGGTGCAAATGCCAGAGATACTTTTTCCACGGCGTCCACTAACTGAGGATCCACCCTGAGATGCAATTAGATGTACAAGAAAACAAAAACACAGGACTTTTACTGGTGCTTCATTTTCTGCAACCCAATCATAAATATTTACCGCGGAGCAGCGGTCGTCGACTCTTCCTTGCGCGGAACGTCTGCTGTATGGGTAAAAGCAGGCCGTTTTCGCACATCCTCTCTTTCTCTTTCATCCACCGATGACTGTTTGCTGCCATCGACTTTCATACCAGCCAGTACAGTTTTCAGTTTAGATATCGGAGATGGATGTGGACGATCAGTCTTGGGAGTCCGCAGATCCAGGACAAGCGGCTCCTTATCCTTCTTGGAATCATTATCCGATGGTCTCATCGCGACCGCGGTCGTGGATGCAGTCCTCGCTTGCAGCACACCACCAGCATGCAGGCGTGCTGATTCTATGCATCGAAGATACAACAAAATACTACGATGCGACATGGTCAGTAAACTTCGGCTGCTGAAGTTCTCGAATTCGTCTTCGTCGAGTAAAATTTTGCAAGGAATCAGCCAGATTTCAGACCCGACAAACGTCAGGCAGACCCAAGGACTATAAATTTTGTAAACAATGATTCTGGAGCTCCATAAAGCTACAAACAGGGCACCGAATATCGTAAGGAAGAAATCTATCTTGCAATTTCATTTACTGTTAACTGGTATACTGTGAAGTGTATATGAGCATGCAAAGCCACTATTTACAATTAATTTGTAACTAACGAAATCCTACAACAAAAATGGCAAAAGGCACAAATGCTAAAAAATTAATACATAGTAGAAAAAAGCAAAAACCTCAACACGAACGCAGGAACGCTGTAAAAAAGTATAGCTTAAAAGCCTTAAAGCCCATAGCGGTATATGTGCACTACCGTGGCGAGGCAGTCACTGTATGTATCCGAACGTCTCGTGGATACCCCTGTCTCACGTTTCAACTTCCAAAAATCGCAACAAATTTCATTAAAAAACGTGTTGTTGGTGCTTAGCCGTTTACAAGCTTAATATTTTCGCAGACTTGCTTATTTAAATTTTACGAAAATAACAGTTTTTTTTCGCTCGAAACTATGGTGTAAAAAAATAATATCGTACAGCAGAGTCGCACCTGATCATGTACCGTACAGGTACATTGTACACTGGTACTACTTCTGCCATTAATGACATGTCAGTCATTTTCCAAAAATAATGTAAAAACGCTTTAAAAAATTAAATGTAACCATATTAATTAAATACTTGTACTACTGTCGATGTACGAGTATCATGTATAGACCATATATTTATATTTGTACTTCCATATTACTTTGTAGATGGAATACGAGCAAACTGGAACAGTGGCGATGTTGCGGGCAGCACATACGGGCGCCAAGAAGCATGAGGCACGACGCGTTTCCGCCACGCGCCGGTACGGTTTTGTGTATCGACGAAAGCAATCCCGCGCTCATCAGTCAGTTAATGTGCACACATGGTTTCCCGCCTGCCGCCAACAGGCTTTGCAGTTTGTACAGGGGATGCTGTATCCTTTTGGATTGTTGCACGATGCCTGCTGATAGGCTGCTGGCGCAAAGTAGGGGTTGGCCTTCCACTGCAGTTTGATCCCATTTTATGCGCACGCTTTCTGGGATGTCCCGACCCGCTACTATGGGTGATTCTGGAATCGTATCATTGATTTTTCTTCCTGGTTGCCGAGTGTATCTAGGTGAATTTTCATTCTTTTAGTTGGCGGTTTAGTTTCAGTTTTATTCATTTTGTTTGGTGAAGCGTTCCAGTCCGGCTTGTGTATTACATATGTATATTCTATTTTGTCTTAGTTCACTTTAGCTTTCGCTTATGTTAGTAGTGCCATCAATGTAATCTTTATATATACGCGTCTATTGTTTCAGTTCGGTTGATCGGCTGATTTTAATTCAGTAAGGTTTTGTTTTATCAGACTATCGTTGTTCATCACATTTTGTTTCTACATGTTATTCTATACTCCTTATTTATTATTGCGTAATTTTTCTTGTAGGTTATTTTATCAATAAGTTCCATCCTTATTTGACCGAGCGCGCGCGAGACTATGGCACCGCGTAGCCAAAACGTTCCATTGGGTAACTGCAGGCTCTGGCCGGCGTTGGAATATATTGATTTTTCTCAATTGAAATTACTTCGTCGGTTGTGTTAAAAATATTTTGTGCATGTGGCGTGCTATTGAATATTTGTGTTGACATTAGTTTTTATTTGTTTTTAAATGTATATAGCAGGCGACGACATTGAACGCGGTCTGTACGTTGACGATGTCGATGTCCATTCCAACGGATCCCGCTCGAATAGTCCGCACAGCGGCAGCACCGGATCGGCCTCAAACAACCGCAATACTAACCTGATTGTCAATTACCTGCCACAGCAAATGACACAAGAGGAATTTCGTAACCTTTTCGCATCCAAGGGACCACTGGAATCATGTAAACTAGTTCGCGACAAGATCACTAGTAAGAACGCGCCCCCAAAATTGTGACCTAACTGTACTGCTATGAACTTAATTCACAAAAAGCAACGGTTCAACCTGGTTGACGTCAGCGGCAGCTGCAACGGTGCAACCCAATCGATTCTATCTGCATTTAATTTTGGCGTTTTCACAATCAGTTGCCCACTAGTCATACGTACTTAATTCACTGCATTCTGTTGATTGGAAGCTTTCCGTGCATGAATCATATTGTTATATTATTGATTTCCCTCTTTATCATCATTCTCTTGATTCAACCTGATTTTGTTTCTTATGTTATCGTTTTTATTTTAAGGTCAAAGTCTTGGCTACGGCTTCGTTAATTATGTCTCACCGGAAGATGCACAGAAAGCGCTGGCTACACTCAATGGACTGCGTTTACATCAGAAAGTCATTAAGGTACCGCAAGCAGCTCCACCGTTAGATCGAATGTGTCCATCTATTAAAGGGCTCAAGTAGGGGAAAATGCAACACACATCATAACACTGCACAATTCTATGGGACATTGATCGAAACTCTCCCATACAACATCACACACGCACGCGGATCATTGAGGCTAGTTATTGATTACCAAAGGCCACCTTTTAAGGGTACACTGCAACAGATCCCATTATAACGTCCCGACACAGAAAAAGAAAATAGGATGACACCAAATGCATTACACATCAAGGAAACTTGAACGGAGTAAAGTAACGCATGCAGCCGGCAGAATATTCGCGCTGCATATATGTTTGCAGTAAGTACCTAATCGATCATACAGTACTGCGTTTCCTTGAATACAAAAAAAGACATACGAAAAGATTGCAAAATTGTAGTTGTGAAAATAGAGCATTGGTGAAAAGGTCACTTATAATTGTAATAATCGTACTCTGTTTATATATATAATTAGTTTGGTCTGGTGGCTGAAAGACCGCGCACTCGCAAGATTATAGCAGTTACTATCCAATGTAAATCTTATTAACTTTATTCTTTAATAGCAATCAAAATAACATAAACTGCAAGCGCGGGCCCACTACGCCATCAATTAAATAGCTTGAATACAGAAAAAGCCGGCAACAAATCAATGAATATATATGACAAAGTATTCGACAACCCCGAACCGGATGCTAGTTGATCAGCATATCTGAAGCTAGAATTTCTTTCAAAAGTTTTTTTGGCCTGGCTAAAAACAGTACGAGTGAGTTAAAATTATTGCACAGTGGGCTTCGGCTAAAAGTAATAGTTTCTCTAGTGACTAGTGTTGCCAAAATGCATATATAAAGCCTTGGCGGGCGCCATGTTGCTATTACGGCAGTAAGATGAAATTTCATCCCGCCATGCCCGATGATCAGACTTTCAGTCCCGACTCCATACAGCAAATTAGGGACAGTTTTGCTTTGCAGGGTCCGTACAGTCGCTTTTACTCGCCGACGCGATTAGTGAGCTCGACAGCACAAGTTAAGTGGCTACATTCGCTCGGCTTGTCGATTGCAGCTGGATACACTGTGTTTTCAAGTTGAAATATTATTTCCGCATCAAAAACACATGCTGGTCGATGTTTTGTTAACAAAACCCTGCAATAGCGCGAATGGTGCGTTTATACAGAACCCAGTGCGAGTACTCGTACAGACAGTATAAGTACAGTAGTACATAAATTTTATTTTCGAAGTGTACTGTACAGTGTACACTATTATCCTGGTGATGCTGTAGCTTGATATACTGCATATTCCTCCTCTTGAAATGTCGCCATTAGATTGTAAAAAATCGATTTACAGACGGAAATGAGGTTACAATCCAATAGAGAGATCCATCATCGGGGACGTATTTTTAATACCGAACACAATGGCTGCAGGATGTTATTTGAACTCGACATTAGGTAGCATGTCTGGGTGGGAGAAATTTGTTCCCTTGCATTCTTAGTAGCCAAATGGATACCCTAACTTAATTAAGCATCAAACACCGTAGACGAGAATAGCAGTGCTGTACGCATTAGTGGTACAAATTTTTGCAGTATTGTAATGCATAAAATTGCTAGGTATATTCAACCAATAAATATACGAAAATGATCTCTTGTCAGGAAGGAAAGAATTTAATGCCCGTGCACAATTTTCTGTAACAAATTTCACATACAACAGACTGCAGTTACGGTATTTCTAAGAAGTCGCACGCTATTATGTGTCACGGATACTCGTATCCAGTTTGTTTTGTTGTGAATAGCTTGCAATGTCGGTAGTACTCTGTACGACGAGAAAGGTACATATCAAAGATACAAACTGGAACTGTGAAATTGCTGCGTCAAATTTAAAGTATATTATATGAAAATCTACACCCTCGTAAAAAACGTAGTGATAAATTCTTCGTATGGACGTCATCTGGCTGCGAGTTTCTTACGATGGATCACAATAACTCTTAATTTCTCCTGGCAGACAGTTTCCGGTCATTCGAGGTCAATCAGTTCAGGTTACGTAAGGACACGGCTTCATTGATCAGCAGTCGCACGCACTAGTATACACACACAATCACACATATCGCAGACCGGGCACGGCAGGCAATAGCGGTTATTTGAGGATAAACAAGAGTCGCCAGGTGCGAATGGATTTGAAAATGGGCTTGCGATGGTTGCCGGCTGTGCAGCGCTGGCTACTGATCAGATTGACCTGAATGCCCCGTAGGAAGTCAGACCGTCTCGTGTCCAGGGAGCGGCCATCTGCTTTACAGTGCTTGACTGAATATTCAAAATGGCAATTGAAAAGGGATCATGACCATGCTGTAAACGTTCTGGTGAACCAACCCTTTTTGCCATCTATGTATAAGACACACTGCTGCTATGCAGATTTACCAACTGTCAGTAATAGGTGAATATCCATATTCGGCCATTCGGCCAACCGGTGAAATGTACAGGGGAGAAAATGATAATCATAAAATGATAACCACAGAGTTTTTAACCATCTGCTTCCCTCTGCTCCGCTTATTATTACTCAACACACAGACGTGTGGCCGTTGGGTGAAGAAATTCAAACAGGGGCACGTTCGATGAATTGTGTGTTTCTCCAATGAATTGTGCTCTCCAAAATTACTTCAATACTGTACTTTCTGTAGACTTCAAAATTTGTGGCACACCAAGCGACATATCACATTAAACCCATATTTCAGTTAATTTGCAAGTATTACAACAGCAAAATGAGCCTTGCTGCAAACACGGGAAGAAATCCGACTTAAGCATCCAATGAAATGCTCGGTCCAAACTGGCACTGACTTGTGATATCTGAACAAGCAATTTGCCATATTAATAAGTTAAACGGACTTTCGTCTCGCTGCTCCGATCAGCCAATAAACGCCAGCATGCATTTTTATGGCATAAAAGTTAGTGAATATTTAACATACGCTTGCTTCTTTGGCTTCGAAATAGGCTGCCAGATTAATTATCCATGATGATCGAATGCCGAAATGAGAGATATGCATTTGATGCCTTTAATTTGTTAAATATTTTACAAAAATAATTTGTGCCTGAAAGGCTCGCAGTTCTTTTGCATGAGTACAACAATAACTTTGTTAAGCAGTTTTACGTAGTGTATATGTCATCGGACATAAAGAATCATCTCCAGGTGACTCATGCGGTGACAACAATCAAATAAAGCAGAAGTCAAAATCAATAATGACATCAGAATAATGTTATGACCTTTTATATACTGTATAATGGGACTCTAATGCAAACTGGATGTGAGAAAATTTCCAGAATAGTTAGTCATAAGATGCATAACAAGAATGAGTCGTGCTACTGGACAGGATGACGGGAAGCAGTAGAGCAGCTCTCCAGTTTAATTTCCGGAACTAAATAATAACTGAGGATTTCTTTACATTATACTCGTATGTGTAGGTTTCCTTGGCACGTCCCAGCAGTGAGACAATTAAAGGAGCAAATCTTTACGTAAGCGGTTTTCCGAAACGTTGGGAGCCAAAGGATTTAGAACAGTTTTTCTCGCCGTATGGAAAAATCATTACATCCAGAATTTTGAGCGATTCCGTCTCCGGTAAGTATATTCGGCAAAATTTTTCACGACTACAGTGCCACGTTTTTAAATTCAAACAATATTAAGTTTAAATTATATCCATGTCTCTTGTTTTCCTGAATTGTTGTCCTTTCGTAATTTGCAGCGCGGTTGTACGGTTAGAATGCGGCAGATGTAAGTAAAATCATTTTGTTTCTTTCACACCAAATATAGCCGCTGCAAAACTTATAAGGAAAAAATGGTTTACCACGGTCCACGGTTATTGTTTTATCGTTTCTTGATAGCTTGTAGAAGGAGCGATCAGGCCTTGTGCACTGTACGACATGAATATGGCAGAATATTTTTATTACTGAATAAGTCCGCATTAGAAAAACCTGTGATTTAGCATATCGTACGTGAAAATAATCTAACGTTTATTTATTATCTGTAGGACTCAGTAAGGGCGTGGGATTCGTGCGTTTCGACACGCGCAGCCAAGCGGAGCGGGCTATTGAGCATCTGCACGGCGTCACACCGGAAGGCCACAATGAGCAGATCCAGGTGAAGTTCGCTAATAATCCATCGGCCACGGCGACCGCACTGGCCGCGGCTGCAGCCGCCGCGGCGTCCATCACACCACCGTTAACCGGACGCGGAATGGGCTTCGGGATGTACGCCGGCGCCAATGGACTCCTGCCGCACGGATCTTTATTTCCTGCGCTGGCCGCCTTTGCCAACAACGGCGCCTTGACCGGTGCCGGAACAGCGGGCTTGGGTTTGGGTTTAGCATCGCCTCTGGGCCTGGGGACGTCGGTGGCCACGGCATCCACCGGGTCGTCCTCATCAACCGGAAGTCACAGAAATCGCAATACGGCAATGGGTCCCATTCATCACCAGACACCGCGCGTTCGGTACGGAATATACTGGCTAATTTTATAGGGAGCTTTTTGAACAACCGGTAATTTAGGGAATACTTACATTGCTTGTAAGTGCAATGCTTATGGTTAGCTATTTACACATGTGCCTATAATAATCATCGTATGTTTCCTTAACTAGGTACTCTCCCATGAGCTCTAATGACATGCTGGCCGCTGGTAATCTACTGGGAAGCAATTTAATGGGCATCGGATTAGGCAACACAACGGCAGGGTTCTCTTCCAGTAATAGTGCCAGTTCTGGAAGCGGATGGAGTATTTTCGTTTACAACCTCGCTCCTGATACGGAAGAGACAACTTTGTGGCAACTGTTTGGTCCTTTTGGTGGTATTCAAAGCGTGAAGGTAACAGTATGAAATTAAACAACGTATTTTAATGACTTGTACACGCTTATATTGTGCATGCCGTAAAGCACGTAATGACATAAAATAAGCTACTGATAATCAGTTTTCGTCTGTTTAAGCAAAGTTTAGCCGCAGTCATTCCGAATTCCATAAAATGCGATAGCTTTATAAGAAGACATCGTTTGAGTAACGTTGGTGCATTCTGAAGCTTTGCACTGATTCGTATTGCAGGTGATTCGCGATGCCGTTTCCCAAAAATGCAAGGGATTTGCTTTCGTAACCATGACCAACTACGAAGAAGCAGTTATGGCAATACAAAGTTTAAATGGATATATCCTTGGCAATCGGGTACTCCAGGTTTCCTTCAAATCTAATAATCGCAAGTGACCATCCACTTTAATCTGGTACATATGCTAACCGTTCACGGAGGATAGCTGAATCTCACTGGACAGCGTTCAACTCTTAATTTTCGTCTTCTCGTACATGTATTCTCAGTGCAGCCGGAAGAAGGATCTTGATATGATTATTTCATTATATCGACGTAACTCGTTTTTGGTGTACTGAGTTCAGTAGTGTTTTAAATTTATTTTATGTTTATTTGATTCAGTTGAGTTTTAATAATTACTCGGTGCTATTAAGTTATGTGCGTGCTGTTATTTGTGTTTTATGTTCTTAGTTCCGTGCTAATAATACAATCGTCATTTTTCTGATTTTCCATTTTAAACATTCGAGCACTCAAAGCATACCAAAGCAGCAGAGTCTAAGGAGCTAGTCGCTTTTTGTTTTAATTTTCAGTTATTAATACGCCCATATTTCCCGTTTGTGCTAATTGTCGTTTTAGGTGCATTTTGTATGTGTTGTTATGTGCACCGTTGTTAGTTAAGTAGCATGCCATTGCACAAATACTGTAACTGGCATTCCAACTTCGTCATGCATTCCATGGGCGAGCGTCTGACTGATGACCGTTGGAGCACGGAAATGTTCCTATTTATTCCGTTTAACCTTTTAAGCGGTGATATTGTTAATTTGTAAATCCTGTGTTGTGTATTTAATCTTTGAAATTGTTCCCGTATATCCTTAAATGGATGTGGGGCAATCCAGCTTCAATTGATCTCAATTTGTGCGTTAACATTCCTGTTTCGCATAAATGTTTTATCGTATTTTAACTGGATTCTGGTACACCTCAATAAATAATTAATGCTTCGTCGCAAATGTTAGTCGGTAGTGGCGATAAATTTAATTCGTCCCTTGTAAGTGGAGAAAAACATGTCTTCAATAGTTCAGTTGATCCCAGATTTTATCGTTACTTGCGTTTCCTGGGTACATGCAGATTATCGTTTTCTGTTCAAAAAACCCATTTCCCTGCGAATTATAATTACGGCTTAAAAGCAGACTTTTGCAAAGAAAATGCTGCAGTAAAACATTTTAGTTGTGAAGAATTTACACACATCATAGCCGATATTGGTGGGATACCCGATATGGGAACAGGCTATATGTGCTAATCGGAAATGTGTTTTCCATTTGGACATATGTTTTATCAACAATATGCCTGGAAAAACGTGTTCCCCAAGTGTTTGACCACAAATGCATGTACCGCGGTTAGTAACAGCGACCAACCGCAAAACGGAAGACCTTCCGAGTTCAAGTGATATTAATTATTGTGCTATTCTAGTATTCTGGCACTTTTTAACTACGTTTCTACGCCATCACGGTAGTATAAATTTTTGAAGTTTATAACTGCAATTTGTGACAACTTCTGTGTAAAGATGCAAAACGATACCTTTTTCGAGGCAGATGCAATTTTTTATAAGACATCATCCTGTTTTCTAATTTAGTATAATCTATAAATACAGTGTACCTAGTATAGATAGCTTCGGTCAAGTTCAGAACAACATTAATTTTCAAAGGTCGTCACGAGCACCTGCTGATGAGCTAAATGTTACAACATACAAAGAGTTTCGACAGCCTTACTAAAGATGTCGACAAAACGGACACATCAGCGGCAACAATTGCTCATGGTAACTGCAGTCGCAGATTATCGTGGAACACACAGACGTAAGCGGAAAAAATTCATGCAGACAAAGTAGTGCAGGGTATGTAACTCTGTACAAATTGTAGCAGAATTTACAGTTCTCACTGAATGAAACTGGCAGTAACGATTTTTAATTTAGTACTAATTACACAAAATCGGTAAGCTGTATACACGTTGCAAAAGTTTCGCCAAAAGATTTCTCTTTGTCGTCCGCGCCGAGAGACCTGAAGACTGTCGACTCGGTGTACGATTTCCATCTTTTACTCGTGTTTGCCCATGATGGCTTCCTTGATCTTCGCACCGATTGATTTGTGATCAGCCCCGATACTGTCGTGTGACTGATAGTGCGTGACAATATTCTGAGTTTCGCTGACCGTATGTCCGGCCACGGTGTCCAGATTAACTTGGATGTTGGCATGATGACGACTCCGCTCCAGTGCTTCCATCGCCAGCGTCCGTTGTCGCTCCAACTCCTTCGCAGCGTACTTAGCCTCCAGGAGGATCTCCTCTTTCTGACGCGCCACTGCTTCCTGCACCAACTTCTCACGAAACTCCACATCGCGGGCATGCTGCTTCTCCAGTTCTTTCCGGATCTTTTCCGCTTCGGCTTCCGTCTTTCTGCGGTACTTTTCCGTCAGCTTCTCCACTTCCTTCTCATACTTTCGGGCAATGGATTCCTGTTCGCGGCGATAATGCTCGAGATCTCGGAGTTTCAGTTCGTAGGTTTGTGGCGATTCGGTGATGGTGGCGGCGGATCCGGCTGAAACATGCACACTAGCGGCCGACGCCTGAAATCCGTCGGCCACAATTTCCTGGGCCAGCCCCGTGGCGGTGGATATGACGACAGGTTGGACATTGCCCAAACTGGGTTTGCGGGCGTCCGTGTGCGTGTATACAGTCTGCTTTTCTTGGAAGGATGACTGGTGGGAAGAAGTAGGGGAATGGTTGTCGTGTTCGCGGAGGGCCTCATACGTCGATCCAGGCTGATCTTTAATCACTGTTTCGGTCTCCATACTGGTATACGTGCGGCCAGCGGCACTATCCACCGCTGTTTTACGAGTTTCCGTATGTTCCATGTGTTGACACTAATGTTTTCCGCTGAAATGTAATAAAATAAAGTGTAGCTTCGGCAGGTCAGAGGGGAGTACACGCTAGGTTTGAGAGTAAGAGCATGTGACGGGAAAACAATAATGCACTCATAAAGTCATAATCGCAGAACAGCTAAGAGGGATGTTGTTTTGAGGATGGTGTGCAGCTAGCAGAATTGCAAATGTCAATCGATCAGGCAGACTACATGATGAAATATTCACAGCTGGGATCTAATATACAACGGGACCGAGTGCGCCACTGTGCGGTACTCTGTCGGTCAGCTTCTTGATAGGATAACTGCCGGTCCCGTATAAAACCGTTCATCGTCGCAAATTCTGCTACGGGATAACGGGAGCAAGCAACAACGTTTGCCTTCCTGTTTACAGCGCCTCGGTTTAGACTACAGTTTAGAATAAAGTTTAAATTTGGTGTGAAGATTAGAATGATGAAAAATTAAAGAAACAGTCATGTTTTGCCGGCGGTTTCGACTGGGTTGCACCAGCGCGTTAGACTGCAGTTGTGACTCCGAAGTACAAACCGCCTGATTTCCCAGTCCAAGGGCTGGTCGGCGTCCATATTGAAAGCGGCAAATGCCGACAAGTGTAGTTGTGTAGGTACTTGAGTATCGATTTATTCATAAACCGTCAGATATTCCCGTAATATCGATTGCTTTTCTTGTTAAGCCTGATGTCGGCCGGGTGCCCTTCACGGTTAACCCGCGCGCATGAAGGAGGATATTAGCGGAAACGACAATACGCCTAATTGCTCTGATAATGCGGTAACGCTGTAACGCGCCTATGCAGTTGACTTGAAATGCTTTACTAAAGCACTTAGTAAACAACCGCGAAGATAATCCTGTCGAGACATTTTAACACCGATTTAAAAATATTGAAGTATGGAGACGGCACACTGAAGTAACAAATAAAGATTTTCAAATTATTTACTGGTAAAAGTATCACGCAATTTCGCACTCAGCGATTTATGAGGCTCTTTTTGATCAGCCGGGATGTCGACCACTTCCATCTGCTGGCTCTGACTCTGGCTTTCGCTGACCGTGTGGCCGGCCATTGTGTCCAGATTGACCTGGACATCCGCTTGTTTTTTTGTCTTATCCAGTGCCTCCATTGCCATCTCGCGCTGCCGTTCCAGCTCCTTGCGGGCATATTTTGCTTCCAGGGCGATTTCCTCTTTCTGCCGCTCTATGGCTTTCTCCATCAGTTCCTTGCGGAATTCAATATCGCGCTCATGCTGCTTTTCCATCTCTTTACGGATTTTCTCCGCTTCCTGCTCGGTTTTCTTGCGATATTCTTCGTTCATCTTTTCGACGGCGCGTTCATATTTACGCACCAAAGCTTCTTGTTCTTTGCGGTAGTTTTCTTGTTCACGGAGGTATTTTTCCTGGGAAGTCAGTGTCTCGGTCACGGTGACCTGCGGGCTGGCTCCGGTCACGCGTGCCGCGGAGGCAGAAAAGCCTTCGCCAACAATTTCTGCAAAATGTACAGATGAGCGTAATGTTTTCTTTAAAAAATGTTATAATATAATTGTACGGCGAGTCTTCAACACGAATAATCCAGCATCTACCAGTAATTCAAATACGTACGTAATTATATAGCATACAAGCAGTACTACACCTATTAAGACGAAACAATAAATTTTAGGGATTGTCACGTCTTCAGGATAATGGGTGCTCTATATTTACGTTTTTTTTCAAAAATGATTTAGAATTTGAATTGGTTTAATGCATTTGCTGAATTTTGCACTGCCAGCCATTAGTTTATCAAGTATAATAGCTGTGCAACCACTTTAGGAGGATCGTTAACAGTTCACAGTCGTAAAGTCACTGGGAAGAAATGGCCTACAGGTTACTGTATGAAGAAAGGTTAATACTGTACAACTGCAGTTTTATAACGGTACAGGTGGACCATAGACTTGCTGTTTTACATACACAGACAGCATGGGAATTTAAACCTGGGAAGCATGGGAACCTAGATAGTTAATTATTAAATACAATACCTTGTGCCAATCCCGCAGCCGAGGAAATGATTAATACTGGTGCTGGCGGGTTGATTTGCGGTGTTCGGACATCAGTGTAAGTATAGCTGACATTTTCCTTTTTTTCGCTTTGGGAGTGTCCAGATGATGTGGCCGACGGAGCTCGGAACTCGCACTTTAGCTCAACTGTTTTCTCGAAGCTACCGCCTTCTGCATCGGAAAAGTCCGTTCGGTGCTCAGAGTGATTGACTTCTTGCGCCATGCTCGCTGTATATAGGTGAAATTATTTTAAAAAGCAAGAATCAGCTTTGTATTATTTGCGTTGTATTTTTTGCGGAAGTGACTGACATACTTATGCAGACAGTGTTGACGGGCAGTACTCTGCATTAAGATGTGTATTTGGGAGACGTTGCTAGACACCAACAGTCAAACAGATACAGTAGTACTTACTATAATGATTATTAAGATGTGAAGCCTTCACATAGCCTTCACGTAGTCCTTTAAAGGACTATGCTGTATGTTTATGCAACAACAACAACAACAAGATGTGAAGCAGTAGTGTAATGCTGGCAAAGTACAGTAGTAACTAGTACTTAATAATTAGTAAGTACTCTCACTTATTTCAAAAAATAAAATAAGGGTAAGTCGGATCAGCCGCCAAAACCCGATATTTCTTTTCTGTAGCCATGACAGTAAGTACTCGCACCAGAATAACAGTAAGTAAGTTTGACCCGAGTGGTTTCGCTTTTCGCCAGGTGGATATCATCAAAATCCTGTGATAATGACTCAAATTACGAGGATTTTGCTTTAAACGATTAGAACATCTGTACAAAATTAGTAATTTGCTCTCAACATATCAAAGGAAAAATTAATACATTCTGAGTGTCGGCATTTACAGATACTTCTAGTATACTACTTAATTATAACATTTCTTTTGAAAGTAACAGCAGCTAAGATATCCGTACATGTGCTTGCTCAGACAGTGGAGCTTACAATGTTAGAGGGAAGATATAGAAGCCGTCAACGACGAAACAATGCTTCTGACAGCTTCGTTTCGAAGCGCCTTCGACTGGTAATAGCCAAACATTGATATTATTATATGTCCAGTACATGCCCAAACTCGAGTTGGGTTTATATCGTAGTCAGCCTTTCTCTGGAACCTTCGACCCAGTATGTTAGGACGTTGCCTTTTCCTTTGACCTTTACAAAACCCCTTGGGTAGATGTCGAAGAGGTTCGGAAAATATTCTCTCAGAATATCTGCCGATGCGGTGCTTATCTGAATTCTGGAAGGTTCTCCTGTGCTCTGCATTCTCGAAGCCGTGTTAACAGTGTCACCAAATCTGCAAAAAATCGTGCTGTACTCTGTAGTGATACAGGTAATACTTGTGTTACGCAGCGGTTATACTATTTTTCAGAGTGTGGCAGTAGTGCAAAGAGAAGATTTTTGGTTCATAGCCTTAAGCAAAGCTGCTTTGATTTTGTGAAATTTACACAGTTTTACATCGTATAATTATACTTATCAGTATTCACTTGTTTTTGGAAATTATTACAGATGAAAATAACATACAAGCAATATCGAGGCTTTTGGTTGCCCACCACAGCAGCGACACACGGCCCTAAAGAGGAATCACTTTCTCACAATCGTTAGTTGTGAAATCCAAAGCGCCAAAATCTGGATTCCAAAGAATTATTTTTACCAGAGTTGGCTCCACTTCGCAGTTGTAGTTCAGTTGATTTTGCTGCGGCAGTGTCTGTGAACTTATTGTGCAGCGACACAACAAACGAACAAATTTCTTTGGTGTGAAAGACATCATTGCGCTCGGGAACGCCACTTGAAACCTTTAATCAGGTCCACACTTTAAATGTAACTCGTAATTGGACAACGGCAAATTTTGGTGTTTGCAAACGAAAACGTGTAATAAACTCTAATGCTACCATGTATGTCTCCAAAATCGTTTCCACTTTGTACACATCAAACCGATGCAGAGTCCTGTCGAATAAGGAATAGATAGTGTTCAACAGATCAGTAATAGCCGAAGGTGTCGCCTTCCCAGCAAAACCGTCGAATCCAAATATACTCGTAAAGAGTATCGTGGTAGAATCAAATGTTTCGGGAAGCACGCTGTAGCCGGTACGTAGTTGCTCCACAACATACCTTAAACAAGTTGCAGTAAAATATTCTTCATGTTAAGTTAAACACTGTATTATGTATCACGTCGTGCAAGCATAAAATTGTGCGTACTTTGGCAACATTTCTTGAAGGAGATTATCACATTTCCTCCTTTCGGCAACTATTGCCTGTGTGCGTGCTGCAACTTCGTTTTCCAGTGTTTCCGCATACGCTTGCAGGCGATCCCAGATTTCATCAAGAAGATTTCTCTGACGACCTTTCATATCGAGAGCGCGCAAGGTGTCATGGCGAATCGAGTTGATATCCCGGCGGTTTTTTGGATCTTCCGACCAGCACTGCTCGATTACCGGATTCAGCCGACCGGCTAGATTGCCGTCATGGGACAGCATGGGTCGCATCAAGTATTGCTGTTGACCGCCATTTTCAATCGCAAAAATAATTTCTGTTATAAAACGCCATTAATTACTAGCCAAAAACGTTTCCGTTCTTCAAATCAACGAAATAAAAAAGCCGAAACCAACAAGCAAAATTTTATAAAGCGTTCGCTCCATTCAAACCAAAATTTTTGCAGGCCGACTTAATTAACCTTATAACTTAACTTAGTTTACAATTAAATTAGGTTATTATTATATAGCGAAATAAGTAAAATAAAAAAGTCGCTAGGCTTTGCCCGTCCGTTCGGTGAATCGACAAAACGGTTTGCACTTTGCACCTACCGGAAGACGTCAATCGATTGTATTCCACATATGGTAACGAATTCCATAAAATCTCATTGAGGATTATACCAAGTGAGTAGATATCCGTCAAGCTTGACAACGGTGCTGCACCCCTGAGTACTTCCGGTGCTGTCCAAAATTTTCTCCAGATGTCAGATTCTTGAACTGCCGGACTTAGCTTGCCGTAATGCTGGTGCGTTAGCAGGTGATAATAGCCAAACTTAGCTATTTTTAATGAGAAATGTCTGTCAATTAAGCAGTTCCATCCTGTAAGAGTGCCGTGAAACGCCAGAGGAGATGAGTGGATCCAGTGCAAACCCTGTCGTCACCATTTCGTATGAAATGACATTATTCTATACACAATTACAAGAAAATTATAAAATGTCCTCAGCGGGCTAAACATAATTGAAGATATCCACCTCTATTAAGTCCAGAATGAACGAGATGCGTAGCTGATCTTCGAAAAACGGCTGCTCAAAAAGGTCGTGTAGAGATCCTTTGGAGCAAAAGTTGCTCACGAAATATAATGATTGATGTTCCCGATAGCCGCACATGCCAATAAATTTATTTATATGCTCCTGTGGCGCTTCTTTCATCTGACAAAAACACATGATTTAGAGGATACCTGTGTGCGTATGAAATCCTTAGCTTCCTGTCACTTTCTCAGCTCGCGATCGTAGGTACAGTGCAACTAAAGTAATGAAGTGGATGTACTGCCTCTTTAACGTACCACTCGTAATATTTTTATGATTTCCTTAGGATATTTGATTAAGTGCTGCTTATCGCGCTGTCTTAAAGTTTCTCCATCGTCAAAAACTTTAGCCGCTTCCATCGGGACAGGAATTCGATCCGCCCAGACATCCATTTCTTGGTATCTTGCATGACCTTTTGCCGGAGTATTATTCACCATAATATCCTGTAAAGGCGACCTGCCGGTAGGCGCATACATACAGAGACTGATGCAGTTGATTTTTCGCGTTACTGTATTGTCCAGAACTTTTCGTGTCGAATTGGGTGTAATCAGAATAGTGGAGATCGCTGACTGTTGGGGTTGTCGAAAATACAGCTGCGGACGATCAAGCAACCACCACGTGCTCCGAAGCTCGGCTGCTCGGCGTACTTGTCTGTGCGCAACATAACAATTAATTTTTCATGATTTTTTTACGTTAGCGATCAAGAAAATAAAATCCTTAAACCTTCAAGCAAAATATGATTGAAGAACTAAAAATTTTATTACATTGCGTTAAATACATTTGCACAGGCGAACGATGTGTACGTAGTACCTAATTATACATGCTGATGCAATTAAGATGAGAAGTAGCCCTGAAACCGGTACTCCCAGAATCAATCCATAAAACTGGCTCAGGGAAAGTGTATCTGGAATAATATAAAGAAACGGTTAAACAGTGCGTTCGAAAGGTGAGTGCTAGCATGAGCAAAAAGGTTACGTAATTGCCTGTTCTGGTGGCACACGATCCATGATCGCCTCGATAGCCGCAGACCGGCTCATTGGGAGGAACGTCAACGCTGCTACGCTTTCCACCCCAATCCATGGGCTTTACTGAACGTAATGTGCGAGAACTTTCGTCTTGATACATTGCGACCTGCCCAAATATCATTAGTTTCGCATTTAATAGCTCTAGCTAAGTGTTTGTGTTTGCAAAATGCAACACAATACAATAAACAAATCCGGCTTTCGTAAAATCAAAGTAAATACTGGTACTGCAGGACTGCACAGTACTATTCTTGCTGCCTACCTGCCATAATCCTGTTTCTGGATTAAGGTCATTCACCATGCATTTCGTGCTGCGTTCGCCGGCTATGTCAATATAGACATCGGTGAAATTGAAATGAAATTTCGAATCTTGAAACTGTGCTGCAAGCATTGTGCCATCCTTCCAGTCGAAGTCCGGCTCGGATTCGTAAAGGTCACTGACAACCTATGCGAAACATTGTTATTGGTGCCTTGGTAAGTAATACATACGGTTTCCACACGACCACTGTTTCTCGTATGATTTATAGTTTACAAAGTACATCGTGTTTTGTGTGATGCGTCAAGGACGTGAACCGTACCTGACCAAATATTACAACCGCCAAATAGGTAGATGTTACTGCCGGTTGTAGCTGCAAAAAAATTTCTTGTTATTTCACAGAAACACAGTAAATGGCGTTGTGCATATATTTTTCCAACGATTAGCAGGAACTTTCTGTACTTTGTTCTCTAAATCTACTTCTACTCTACCTAGGAGCTGGACTAACCGTATACTGTATAATTATAAATACGAGTATGTATAGCTTCTCAGATGTTTAATTCGAAATATCTGTTGCAGATTTAAACAATCCATATGAAATTTATGAATAGCATTATGAAGAGCTAAAGTATTATGAAGAGCTAAAGCGTTATGAAGAAGGGCTTATGTACCTTCTTTCAGATTTCTACTCGGATCTGTTAATCTCTCCTAAATGTTTTTGTTAGCAGAAAATTGTTTTTGTTCGACCAGACTTGAAGTCTGCTCTTGTGCCGTAATAATTATAATAATTATAATAATAATAATAATAATAAAGTTTTGTTCTGGCATACAAACTCGTTATATGGTTTTACCCCTTCGTCCGGTTTGTACAAATAACCAAACTCTTTCCAAGATTGCTCTTTCCATTTCTCCACCAACGCTACGGACGGAACATTGTAAATAACTGGATCATTTTCCACAAAAATTAATGATCGGTAAGCTTCTTTGGCAGCGGTATCGAATCGGTCTCCAAAGTGCCAGCTGAAATTGCCGAATTCATCAAGGTCATGGAAGGATGCTTGCGTAAGGTAAACCTACATTGAAAAGTGTATTCTAACTTTTTTATAATTAAAAATTCGATATTTTATTCGATATGGTTTATTGAATGAATTTATCAGTACAGGGCAAAAAAATGAATTTGCTGCTTGCGCCGCTTATTGTTACTAGCTTATGCAAGCCTAAAAAAACTCGGAAGCGCCAGAAAGTAAATTAAACTTACATATTCTCCATTTGTCATATTAAGGGAATGTGCTCGCAACTGCAACATTTTAGATGTCTAAATTAAAGTGCATGATGAATGTATTTTTATATCCTTTTATCATCTTAACCCAGCTAGCTGGATAGAACTATTCACACGTACAGGTACTTGGATAGATTATTTGTAAATAAAATATGTTTTATACTGACCATAAATTTCCTCAAGACGTTAGAGTGAGAGAAGAAGAAAAGCACTGTAAATAATAAATTATTGCTTCGTTATATGCTACTACTGTATATATGTTTTAATCGCAAGGTTGGACACTGATGTAAAGTAATATCGGAACTGCAGAATAAAAAACCATAGTACTCTGTACTTGCCTCTGCTGGTTGTGTTGAATTCCTTTAAAATTTCTGTGTCATTTTCCACCTTTGTAGAGCGTATTCGTCTAATTGTTAACTGACACCCAGGTACTAGATCCGGCAGATATTTTGCCAGTCCTTCCATTCCAACTTGGTAAGACCGACTGGCATCAAGATCCAGAACGACAAATAGATTCATCCAGTGAAAGTACTTGAAGACGTTTGAAGCAAGTAATAAGTAATTTGTCGGAGACGTTGAGACTGCAGCCACCCATGTGGGAGCAATTGTTTTATTGCGCTGATCTACAAAGCTTGAGGAGCTGAAACCACAAAATTAATATTTCCTTATTCAATTTGATATGAAAGTTACTAAAGTTGTGAAGCTTTAATATAGATTAAGGAAAAATTACAAGAAATGATTGAGGACGCAAACGATTTTCGTTTTGTAAAGCGCACAGCTGACAGCGGCATAGTATATTATTAACATAGGACAATAAAATCAGTTATGTTGCACAAGTATATTTCATAAGTTAAATTTGTAGAAGAAGTACGTGGAAAGACTGTACTGCATCTAAAGGCAGGCAGTCTACTTTAAACAATACTCGTATACTACAGGGGATAAAACTATTCTCTAGTTTTTGACCTTTATAGTGGACCGAAAATTCGATTGCAGAAGTATCCCAAGATAGAATTAAATTACTGTCGTCCGTACATCGTATGACATGTCACGTTAGATTAATACATACGCGATACCCTAATGATTCTGCTATTACGAGAATTTCTGCAGAAATATAACGTTGAAGGGTTGCTACCATTAGCGCAGTGGCATTCACCTAGTTATCAAAAGGATGTTCCAGGAAGCTGCTAACCGATTAACTTCCATACTTTCATCACATCCTGCAAATGATATGCGTGCAAAAGTTGTAAAGGACCATTTTTGTGTGTACATAATTTTAAAAAATTTAGCTACAGCGCAGATATACCGGTAGATCTGTATTTACGATTAGATCTGTGTTTGTATTGTAGCAGTTGTTTACTGTACTCGCTCATAAGCAAATTGAAAAGAATTCGAACTAATCCTATCAATCCAAACATCAAACAGGAATGCAAACCACAAATAAAACATTAATTTGGAAGTATTTGAGAGCTGAAGACTATAAAGAGCTTAATACACTGTTATTCAATATTTCAGCATTCAATAATTATTAATGACTCAAATACCTTGATTAATTGCTTTATCATTTCATAACTACATTATTCAGTTAAGCAGTGTTATGGCATACAGATATAAAAAGTATAAACACGTAATAAACTCAAATCCGTGTTAGTTTGACTTATACGATTTCATCTTTGGAAATTTCATTGTTATTGTCTACTTTAAGAAGCTCTCCTTTTCGATAGTTACCTGGTTCGATAAAGGCCGTCAAGTCCGGTATGCTTGATCTTGTGTAGTACCATTTCGATAAAGCATAGGATGTATTGGATTCGATCATTCGACAGACAGATGAGTTATCAGAATTTTCCAAGTACAAGTATGTATGCAAAAAGTTAATTTTTTCGCCATATTTTCGTTGAATCTCTTCCACAGCAGAGTCCATAGCCGGCGCCGAATACGCCAATGAGGAGTAACTTACAGGTTCACGAAATCCCAGAGTCAGAATTTCCACTGTGAAGGTACAGCTGGCAACATGCAAACAGTGCAAAAAAATGAAACGATTCAGCAATAATGGCCCTGAGCTCGATGAAGGTATAACGGTTAACATGACGTCTGGTTAAAAAATGGTGATGCGTTGACCGACCGGTAAGAATCGAGCACTGATTCCCGGTTAGATGCGTATGGGCTTTCATCACCGGAATGCAATTTCATCGGATTATCATGCAGGAAGGACACGTCAAGAAGAGGAACCGGAAATTCATTGTATTCAGTGCATCACGAAGTATTAATAATGCGGCTTCAGATTGGGATTTCCCGTCATTCACCTTTTGCAGAGTTACGTTTCAATAACTGATATATGCAGAATTTTTCTGTGCTACATCCAGTTTGCACTACATGTTTTTGCTGTGCAGTCTGGCGGTTATTAATTTTCCGTTTGGATTTCGTAGAAAAGTCTCATTTAGACGGAGATGAAATTTATTGATTTTGCTATTGAATGAAATTTTATGTTTGGATATTTATACCGATATGGTGATACCCATCGTAGTAGTTCTTCTGGCGGTTTTGTAATGCACGCTTCAACAATAAAATGAAATACTACAGCTCTGAATACTACGCAAGTTATTGGAGAAGTTATTGAAGACACGGCATAATGTCTCGCTTCTTTGCGACGCGGCAATATTAACCGGCAGACAGATACAGCCGCAACAATATTCTTGCTGCATGCATGCGTATCAGTTATTTAGCCAATATGTATTGACGTCGCCTTTGCCTTTAACAAAAACGGTACCGCGTAGTACAATGTCAAAATATGGATGGTAATCCAGTAAAATCTTCCGGGTTGTTTCGGTTATCTGCACTCGATTGGGTAATCCTGTACTTTCCATTCTTGAGGCGAAATTGACAGTATCTCCAAATCTGTTAGCAACAATTGCCCAAAGATTACAAGCTCATATAGTATAGCAAAGCGGATAGCATAACACGTGATAACGGACTTACAAACAATACCGCGGTTTTTGAAGACCAACGACGCCTCCAACACAAGATCCTGGTAACACACAAATGCATACTTTTACACATTTTTCATTGGTTGCTTTTACGCCGACCGGAAGTTAAAGGTCACGGTACCAAAATTCTCATTGATATTTTTTGGTTTACTGAATAACAGGCGAGCTTGTTGTATTCGTTGTTTACAAGTCGCATACAGTAAAACAGCAAATTTTCAACGACTGGGTTAATTACCGGAGTTAATTCCACTCCGTAAAGAAAGAAAATGGGCGAAATCACTAGCGGCAAAATGCTGCTGCAGTGCAAGGGCTAAAGAGCAGATTTCTTTTGCGTGGGCAATACCGTTACGTACAGGCACACCACTAGCTACCTGTCAAAATAAAAGCATTAACTTATATTTTCCGCAGTGATACTGTTTTCAATGATGGGAAAGTTGAAAATATGAAGAATATTGGTATATTGGTAGCACAGTATATAAATCGTACCATATACACTTCCCCAATCGTCTCCACTTTGTACACGTCAAATACAACAAGGACTTTGTCGAATACCGAATAAACCGCATTGAGCAATTCCGTCACATCCGTTGGTGAAGACCCTGCCGCGTACTGGCTGAAGCCGAACATATCGCTAAACATTATGGTCACCGAATCAAAGTTTTCCGAGTTAACGGTATGTCCGGCTCGAAGTTGCTCCACAACAGACCTAAGACAATAACAGCAAATATTAAAAAAGTTAAAGAAAACGATTTTTCATATGATTTCTTACGACGGCAGCATTTCCCGCAAAAGGTCATCACATTTTTTCCGTTCGGACATCAGCGCATGGGTGCGACTTGTCACATCCCGTTCCAGAGTCTGAGCGTACCTGTCACCAGCAGCGAACAACATAACTTGTACGTTCAAGTTTAACAGAGTCTGGGCGTACATTTCCAGTCGCTTCAGAATTTCCTCCATGAGATGCCCGCGCCGTCGATCTTTGATATTCAAAGCAAAATAAACTTCGTTGCGGACGGCTTGGATAGTTTTTCGTCTTTGTGGTATTTCGTCCCAGCAGTTTTTTATCACAAAATTCAACCGTTTTCCTAAGTAGCTGCTCTCGGAAAGACTTGGCCTTGGCGTCGTTTGAAGGTTCTGGCCTTTTCGTATTTGCTCCAACAAATCTGTAACAACCAAACAAAGGTCACGGCTGAAAATGGCATGCTACAGCGCTGCTTGCCGCTAAATTATTAAGCACATCATTCACAATACAACGCTGGTTTTAATCAATTTAAAATTTGCATTATGTAGTGACATGCCAATTGCTGCCAAGTATTCTTTCAGGTCGTTGTATGGCAGACTGCTGCAGATTATCTGGTTAAGGATGACTCCCGTAGCGAAAATGTCTGTAGCACTGTTGGGAGCCGTTATGGCCATTTTAAGGAGTTCCGGTGCCGTCCAAAAGAGCTTATCGGTTGGTAATTTCTCAATGGAGTACGGCATTGTTTTATAATACGGCTGGTCGAGCAAGTGATAATAACCAAATCGCCCAATTTTCAGCGCAAAATGTCGATCAATAAGACACACCCATCCCGTGAGAAAACCGTGAAAGCGCACAAACGATGAGTGTATCCAAACTAGACCCTACAACCAATTGGGAAGAAAGTCAGGCTTATCGGCATTTTGCTTTCCGGTCAAAGCACGATTTGCTCCTTCGATACTCAACACGTGATTAAAACTATATTACGTATTTATAGACTATTAGTTATCAATAATGTGAGAATAAACATAATGTTCACGTTCACCTGCAGCAGCATTAAGTACGGTAGTTGATAATCTTTGGTTAATACTTGGATTATTGGATACTCCAAGCGTGTCGTTTAGCACGTTTCAGAATTCTACGAGTACTTAACAGTCGTACCTCTAGCAAATCGAGAATAAGGGACACTCGAAATTGATCTTCAAAATACGGTTGATGAAATAAATCATGCAGGGATCCCTTATGACAATAATTACTAATGAAAAATAGCATTCGATGGTCTGGATATCCACACATCCCAAGAAACTTGTTAATGTTGTCGGAAGGAGCGTCGCGCAGCTATACAAGTATATATATTTTAATAAACAGCAGAGAAAAATAGCCGCGCTCACCAATCATGTGCACTGCCTACGTATTGCATATTATATAGCCGTGTACAAATTATCGAATACCGTTCGCAAAATATCCAAGACGGATGCAGAAAAATTTATACGGCCAAAACCTCTCCGTATTTTCTCCCCGTCGCTGAACATCTTGTCGGCATCATCCGGCAAAGGTATTTCGTCGGCCCATACTTCCATGTCCCTGTATCGCGCCATACCTTTTGTTGGCTTCATATTTTGTCCCTAGGATTGCAGATTAAATCCACTAAGTTAAATTTCTTATTGCGCATGAAAATGCTTTGCGGCATACTAAGTATTGGAGATTCGTGTTTTCCGCTGCCGAAATACGACTCCCAGCAGTGTGAAACTGCAGGTACGTGCGGTCAATCAGCCACCACGCATCCCGGAACTGTTGGATATACCGGTAGCGCCTGTTAATCGAAAGAAATAAGGCATGTTTAGTATTTCTACCTGATAGCCGGTTTAACTAAATTGTCAAAAGATTGCCGACATAAATCAGGCACAAATTCGCAAAATTAGCTATCACTAAACAAATTATATAAAAAGATCAATCTATCAATTTTACTTTTATCCTTTATAGTAAATTTCTTGTGCATTATTTTGTAATTAGTGATTGCAAAACCTAATCCCTTATACATTTACGCAATTAAAAAAAGCAATTTTGCAGTGCTTTGTATGTGTGCTTTGCTTACGCTATTTTGGGACCTTAGGAAACTATAGTTTTTGTTTTTGATATGCGCACAGAAAATAGACATGCTATTTATTATATAGTTTGTGACCGAGAATCGAGCGGTATGAAAGTGCCGGAAACAGTAATAACTGTTTATAAAATGCTTTATCATTGCACTGACCTGATGGCAAATATGGAGCACAAGAAAATCACCAAGAGAACGCCCAAAAGCGCGCCGAAAATGGTTGCGTAAGTTCTTTTTTCGTCCGCTGTTTATACAGTACTGCATTAGTTTTATTATGTTGACCCCGACAACATGGTTCTCTGTTCGAGTCCGCGTTTTTCCAGTTACAGTGCTTACTAGATATCAGTGCACAGGGACCTCGATTGCCTCTGTAACCGCAGATTGGTTGATTCAAGGGACTGCTGTTGCTTTTTCCTCCCCAGTCAATCGGCAATACGGCATGCAAGCGGCGAAATTTTTCATCTTGAAACATGGCGACCTAAAAAAAAGGAAAAACGCGGTCCAAGTTTATATGACTCGTCACATCATCCAATTTGCAGTTTTGCACCAGCTTTTTATAACAAATAGAATGCAGAAAATTTTTTTGACTGACGATAAGAATGTCATCTTTATTTTACGCACCTGGTATTTTCCAGTTGTATAATTAAGGTCATTAATCATTATTTTTGTGCTGCGCTCTCCGGCCAGATCAAAGTACACGTCAGTAAAATTAAAATGAAAACTGCTGTCGTAAAACTGTGATGCTAATAATGCTCCATCGGATATATTGAAGTCCGGCTCAGCTTCTAGTGTATCGCTTATGACCTAGACAAATTCGCAGCAGCGCACTATTGTTAATGCAGTCATGATTAAAAACCATTTCTCTTTCTCTATAAACTTCAAGGTACCTGTGCGAATATGAGGATGGATAAGTAAGTGGCGGTGACTACTGGATTCACCTGTAGACATGTACAGATGCAGGTAGTAAGCTAATCCAATATACATACTTCTGTGCGCAAGTGCATGGAGAAATAATTCCATCGTTAAGTAATTCCAGCGCCAGGGACAACAAGCAGGCCGCAAAACATTTTAATAAGTTATTAGAATCACCTCTTCATTGTTTTCGTATTTAAAGTGAAAATTTGCGAATGATTGCCGTTTCCATTCGTTGACCAGTTTTGAGGATGGTGTACTGTAGATGACTGGATCACCTTCGATAAACAGTAGTGATCGATAGGCTTCCCTGGCAGTTTCATCAAACTGGTCACCATAATGCCAGCTAAAATTTCCGAACTCGATAATGTCGTGGAATATTTGCTGAGCGACATAAACCTAGGGTAAACAGAAACCACATTACGGTATATCCCAGAGAAAATAGCATCCACTTTATTCTTTTGTAGCAAAATCTTGGAATAAACAAAATTACAAATAAATACACTACATGGATAGGAGTACGTACGTATTCTCCATTCGTCATGTTCATCGCGTGAGCTTGCAGCTGAGAAAAATTGACAAGGTTTAGTGAAGCACAGTTCTACCAAAGTGGATCACTAAGCTTACCATAAATTTTCGTAGATTATCCGAATGAGAAAAAAACAGCAACACTGAAAAAAGGTTTTTATTAGCCAATTTTTATCAAAATGCGGCAACAATAAGCATTGCGACATGTTATATGAGTACAAACCTCTGCTGGTGACATTGAATTCCAGCAGTATGGCGCGGTTATCGATGCCGGCGCTTGACCTGACCGAGATTACCGTTGACTGAAAACCGGGAATCTGGCTAGGCAAATACTTCAAAATTCCATCCACACCAGCATGGTATGATCGACTGGAATATTTTATAATCATTATTACGAGTATTATACGTAATATACGATGCTTTTGTGGCAATCATGGTGCACTTTACCATGGTGCACTTTACCATGATCCCCGCTGGTGGATGTCAGTTTAAGTTACTGATGCAGATACTGGATACTCCACCCTTTAACTTGGTTTACAATCATCAGATCAAAATATTATCTCACCTAGAATCCAAATCTAGGACCATAAAAATGTTTGTCCAATTGAAGTATTTAAATAAATTAACCGGAAGGAGAATGTAATTTGTTGCCGATGCCGAAACAGCGGCTATCCAGGTTGGAGCAAGAGTTTTGTTGCGTTGATCAATTCCACTTGCAGAACTGTAATGAGCAGATATAGATATAAAAGTTAATTTCACTAGCTGCAATAAAGAATAATTAATTGTTATGCCATGCGATGTTATAAGCTCGGCATATTCAATAAGCTTATGTCAACACTACGTAGTAAATACAAAACCTCGTAATCATTAGAAGATTCCATGCGGCAACCAGTTGGTTTATTTGATACATATCCGAACATGCTGAAAAGGTCAGCGGGTCATAATCAAGGAAATAAGTAAGTATCGACACAGTAGTAGAATTTTTGGAATAATATAATTGCTAAATAAATATGAGATATGATCTGTCAAAACATAAATTAGAGTGCTTAGAAGGTGATTCGTTGCATGCTTCTTACTTGGGGCGATGTACGCTGCCGCATCCCATCGTTCTTTTGAATTGTAGTACCACTCGGACAATGCATAAGCAGCTTGGGCTTCAATCTCGTAACAATCCATTGTTCCATTTGGTAAAAACAAGAACGTATGCAAAAATTCAAAGCGTTCCTTGTATTTAGCTCGTATCTCGACCATGGCAGAGTCAATGGCAGGAGCCGAAAATGCCAGCGAAGGATAGCCGATCGGCTCGCGATATCCCAGTGTGACGATCTCTATGGTGCGGACACCGGAAACATCGTCATCAGCGCGTTGCACGTGAATTCCTTGCCAAAGAACTGAGGTAATCCATATAAAGACCTCTACGTAAGTCCGTCTCATATCATGATCGCAGAATGAACTACTAAGAAAACAGCACTAGCTGCTCTGAAAGAATACGGCATTAATAAAGGTCACTTGAATATATGAGTGGCGCTTTGAATGAGCACTTCCGCTTGAACAGCATCGTGCGTTACAGTCACATGAACAGAATGAGGTTGTAGTAAGTACCAAAGAGACAATTCAATGAAATGGACAGTCACGACAGTCACGCAGCAAAAGAAATGCACGATCCGCAAAAAAACACAGCGAGGAACATCGGATCATACTCCGACATTCGGTCCGATTTTTACTATTAATCTTTACGATACTACGTAGATCAATGTACAAGTAAGTACGTCAATGTTGTAAAGCAAGATTGCTGTTCGATATTAAGCTATCATATTTCCAGAACAAACAGGTTATTGATGCAGGAAGTGTGTCTATTAAGGAACGAACTCAATCAGGAAAAGGAATATCCCGTCCCATCGTAAAGCGATGTGGAGTCGATCAAACGGGGCTTTCACTGTTAATCCCAGTGTTATGAGCCCATCATGGCTGGATGTTGTAATCCAATGTAATGGAACTTAACTGCATTTGCACTCTTTACTGACATGCGAGTAGCAGGTGTTTTGTCAATATTTCTAGTGCCCTTCGTCTAAGGTGTGACAAATAATATTGAACACTGGTCAAAAATACGTACGAGCTACTTGATACTCGTGAAGGTAGCGGATTTCGGTGATTGCTCGTTCGCTACAAAATCTCTCGCGGTCTTCAAAGAAACGTAGTCATTGCCACAATATTAAGATGTTTTTCCTGAATGAATTAGTGTTTTCCATTTGATTCGTCCCTTTCGAGATCACTTATTTACCGGTTGGGCTGCAAAACTAAAAAATTTTAGTTGCACTTACACATAATTACATTTCGCATTCCTTGAATCCAAAAACCATACAGTATATACGAATACATTGGCAATTTGGTAATCAGCACCTGGCTGGACACTATCGATATTAAACCACTGAGGCGAAGCAAAACATCCCATTTTTTAATTATCAATATGTTAATCATAAATTTGAAATAGTGTGAATTAAAACACTCTTATAACTTTACTCGCTTACAAATAGCGAAAACTGTGCGTGTAGAAGTGTTTGAACTTTAGCTGAACATTGCACAGTTGCACTTAACGTTACAAACGTTTTCGCGCCGTTTTCTGAGCTGCGCAAATTTACGCACGCACCGTGCTATTTTGCACTTGCTCGTTAGAAGGCTGAGTGTCATCCCAGCTCAACCTTATAAGCACATGACGTAAGAATTGCCGAATTTTTTATCGTTAATCACACTCGTGGGAATTTGAGAGAACTTACTTGAACTTTATTTGTTTTAAATTTTTAAGTTGCAGTAACCGACAATTCTAGCGCCACAAATTTCATTGTCTTATGTACAATTAGGGCTGTTATTGTTTTATTATTTGACGAAGTGCCGCAAAACTGACTGTCTAATGAAAAAATGCAGGGTTTAACGTATTTCAATGGATGGACTATGTTGACAGATTCTTGTCAGTAGCAGCTCACTATTCAGCGTTCTCCCAAAAGTCTGCCATTAGCTGATAACAATCCCATTTGCTTTTGTAGTCAACGCAGGATACGGACGAACTTGGGGTTATGGATTGGCTGCTGGAGGGAATGGAGCGCACTGGAAGCCGCCGGGCTGGCGTACGGAACCGTGCCCGTACCAGGCATACGGTGTAGTGTGTCCGAACGGCAACAGGTGCCCCAACCTCCACTTCGCTCCGCAGGACGCTGAGAATCGCCAGCGTCTGCGCCCGCTGATTCTGCAGCTGGCCAAGGCGTTCAAAAAGAGTTACGAGGATTATATCGCCTATCACGCTCATTTTCAGCACCAGGCCCAACAGTACCGGGGTGAGCAGTGGAACCATCAAAGCGACGCTCGCCACTACAAGGGCACGGACCCGGTTGCACCGGTAAGGATCGTAACGGGTGACTGGTCTTGCTTGTCAGTGGTCTGTAAGGTTATTACGGTCTTTCGTATGTCCTGTATCCGGTGGTTGAATTTATATAATTTTCAGCTTATCCGTTTTCTTGAAAATGTACTTGTTTTGTTTTTAAACATGCTTTAGTTTCTATCAAGAAGCGTGATATATTTTCGATTTTTTGTAGGACGGATGGTACAGTGATCGAAATTGGCAGCGTAACTATCCCGTATTTCCGGGGAACGGCGGCACAAATACAGCATGGATCCTGCCTCCACCATTTGCGCCCAGGTACGGTTTTTTTCTGATGATGACTGTTAGTTGATTAGCTGTATATAGTGATTAGTGAGCAAGCTTAACTTTCAGATTCTGCAGCTAAAGCCGCGGTTTTCAAGTTTTTGGCGCTCGGTGTTAAAAGGGAAGAGCGTTGCCCATGTTTTTTTGTGTTATTTCCAAATGCAAGTCTCCGGCGAATTTCTTGATTCTCTGTTAGCCTGATCTTATTTTTTTACAGTCTTATTTGTTATTCATTGTGCATATACTCTGTAAAGCTCAGTCGAACCTGGACGGTGGCAATTGTCCCAGTAAAAATGTACGTTGTACATCATTAGAAGCCTCAGAAATCTTTAGCGCTGTGAATTTATTATTCGTGGTCCATAGTAATACTGGAAATCTTATTGCAGTACAAAAATAATCAGCAAAATTGAACTGTCATGCACTATCACCGAGGAAGCACAAAAAAGTGTTGTTTCAACATGTTAAAGGCACAATTACAGCAGAACTACAGTAGACGATTATAAAACAGAATGGTCCGCCGACAGAGATTACTGAATTTCAGATTCTAACCAAAATATTATGGATAGGCACTACGCATCAAACAATATAAAACCTATAACAAAATGTGCTAACGAGCGTCAAGCGGTGCAAATTCCTTGGTCCTGTGCATCAAAGACTTCTAATATTATCGAGAAAATCCAACAAACGTCACTCCTAGCGAACCTTATGGTGTAACAAACGCAACTTCCAAATCCCTCTGTTTACTAGATGCCATAATGCGATCCTTTGGATCTTCTCCCACGGTCGACGCAAACATCCGCATCTTATCCTTGAAGGACAATTTCTCCGGTGATGTTTCATCCACAACAGGCAGTCTTGTTTTCGCATTCAAAATTCGGTTCCGTGGATCATTGTAAACTTCATGAATACCGACTACAGCCACTGCCGTTGGTCGCGCTGCCTCTACTTCCTGACGGATTTCCATGCCGGTTGTCTGCCGTTTGACAACAGTTACAGGAACATCAGTACAATGACTTCCGTTCATCTCAGCAACATGTTTGGAGCCGTTTGTGAAGTTTGGCGACGTCTCCCGGCCCGTAGCCACTGCAGGCAACGGGTAAGTTGTTTCTTGGACACGAACATATTGGACGCCATTACTGCCGTTGTTCAAATGGTCCCGACTTCGTCGCATTGCTTCGTTAATAGCATGAGCCTCTTGTCGACGCAGAAACTGGTCATAGTCCTCCTGCTGTTTGGTCCGGTACACCTCTGGAGCCGCGGCAGCAGCTGGGTGATGCAGATGGGGAGCGCTCTTCGGAACGGATGTTTTTGGAACAGGTACAACGTTAACCGGAACTTGCCGAAGGTTAGGCGTTTGTTCATCATCGTCCTCGGCTTCCTCCTCCTCGTCTTCGCGGTGCAGTACTTCTTCCGCTCGGCGTTGAAAATCTCGTTCCAGCAGGAGAGTTCGCAATCGCTCCTCTTCATGTTCACTGAGATCGCCCCGGTTCTGTAAAGCGGCGATTTCATTATCTCGAACTCTGCGGGCTTCTGCGATGCGTTCTTCCTTTATCCGTTGTGTTTCTTCGCGGTTCCATGGAGATGATGTAGGTGAGCCACCATTTTCGCCGCGTTCTTTAAATCCACGAGACCACGACTGGATTTCTTGGGCTATCGGAACTCGAGCAGTTGAGTTACCGGGATGTGGAGGCACAGCAATGCGAACTGGCTGTTCTGTTGGACGTACCTAGAAGACCACAATCATCAAATTCACTCAACACAACCCTTTTGGCACGTAGCTTTCTAATAAAATCTAGAGATTATCAAAAATTACAAATTTTCAGTTTCCAAAACAGCGAGCTGTCCATGCATTTGCAGTATAATCTGGAAACTGACCTATTGGTTTCAGTGTCAGTAATAATTAAACTGCAAAACCACAATACAGGCTTCAATGCACACAAGTCTGTATATAAATTCGACAACAGCATGGTATCATAAATTCAACTGTAACATTCCGCCTGTCTTGTGAATAACAACAACTAAAAACGCAGCAAAAAAAACTAATGAAAACCTTTAATTTTCATTACCAACGCATACCTGCTGCACATTGACAGGATGAAGTTGAATCGTAGGGCTAGGAGACTGGTTAGGACTATCAACTGCCCACTGCACCCGTTTCTCGCCTGGTGGCCTTCCCGTTTTGTCCATCCGCTCCATGCTCACGCTGCGCTGAGAACCGCCCAACGGTCGTGCTACAACAGCGGGAGGCGGACGAGTGACGGGGACCGGAGACCTTTCTCTAATCGAATTCTGATGAATCTGTTCGCGACGTCGACGCAATTCATCCTCCATTTCCAGCATCTTTGCTTCCTGACGGATTTTATCCCTTTGCGAATGCATCTGCGCGGCAATCAGCTCGCGGACCGGAGATGGAGAGCGCACGGTCACTGATCCCTGCGGCGGCTGATATCCATCAGTCTGGAACTGGAAACGATTTGCGGGCGCTTGATTAGGTGATTTCACATCCGTAGGCGGCTTTGTTACACGCAATTTATTCACTTCCGGTGGCATGAATTCCGTGAAATTCTGGGATACGTAACCGCTGCCATTGCGCAAATAGGGATTGGATTCCCGAGTCAATGACAAGGTGTTGCGATCGATACCGTTCGCAATGGGAGGCTTCACTGCTACATAAAAAATGTTGAATTAGCGCTGCAGGATTACAGATACGTATCGCATCACGCTAACAAACCAGTTGGAGGAGGTGAAGGGCTGTTGAGCATAGTGGCAAGGCCATGAGCGAATGCTCCCTGTTTCAGCACTTCCAAATGAACTGTTTGACCGCTCTGGGCGATCAATTCAGCGGCACGATCCTGACTTACTCCGATCAGACTTTTTCCGTTTACTTTCAACAACTGGTCACCCGAATACAAACGTCCATCCTAGAAGCGCCGAAAAATCAATGGCACAACAGAAAATAACCAGTAGTAAGAATTCAACTGTTCTCTAGCACCATATCTAAAACAGCTACAATGAAACCACCCTTTCATAGAAGCGGATTTCGATTTACATACGTAATTATAAATTTGCCCTCTTTTATGTATCTGACTGCAAATTTGCACTTACATGATCAGCAGCGCCACCACGAACAACGGATTTAATATAGATCCCTTGCTTTTCTTGCCCTGAGCCCTGGTGAATACAGGAGCACAAGTTACGTAAATAAGATAACATTATCGAGGATCTGGAGAGATTTTCGAAACAACATGAAAAGTTGAAAACATAAAGATGTGAACAAATGCCCCACTCACTCGCGCTGCGACAATGCTCAGTCCAATACCGCTGCTGCCTTTCTGGAAACTTATTTCCATTACGTTTGGGAGGTGTTGCGTGGGATGCATGACTCGACCATCATACGATGTCTGTAAAGAAAAGAAACATGCATATAAATCAGCACCAACCGTACTCGTATTCAAAGTGCTGTATATTATGCCTACCATAAAAGTACACTGTGCAACAAAATCTGATAGACTCCGGATCGCACCGTCACAAATGAAAGATAAATTTAATAAGGTGGTTTACAGCCATCCAAAAATCGCTAATTTCAGGAAAAAAATAAAAGCTGTGCATAATCCGCCGCATAAGATTGTTAAATCTGGCAAGTTCATGTGGATCCACTCATTCACAACTGAACTTACCAATACATACAATTGTAAAAAACCGTCGCGAACAATGACGGATCAGCAAATAAACAGTCCTCACTCAAACTGTCCTACACGAGTCGCTCGTCGCTCGAAGCGTTTTGGTTTGTTAAATCGCCCCCACACACCGTAGTGAAAGCCAGCTTACGACCGTGAAATGACTCAACTGACCAAGCTACTGCACCAAACAGGCTAGTAGCATGTACGCATTCAGGTAGTGCTTACACAATAGGTAAAGAATTTTGTATGAACATAGGAGCATGCATATTCTATTAATAACTTTCACTGTTTTAATAAACGATAAGCAGCCCTGCTGATAATTTACTGTTAACTTACTGAAGGAGAGTGATTTCCAGATGAAGGTGTCAGATAGACAGTCCACAATCCTTGGGAGAACGGGTGAACACTCATTTCGCAAATTTCTAAAACATCAAAACAAACACTAGCACCAAATTCGTTATGCAGTGCAAAATGGATAAGCAGTACTTGAGCGGCACAGTGGTTCAAGGAACTCATGAAGTCCAGTTGGAACGCCACACACAACGTCCACAGAGTAACCGTCTTCTGGAATGAGAAACTGGGCCGACAAAGCCATGTCTTCCTCTAACTGCACCGTTGATCCATTCAGTTGGGCCGGCTCATCGACCAGATTCTTGGCGATGGATACCACGTTGTCGACTAGATCACGCGTGACGTATTCCTGTGGGGCGGGCATGTAATGCTCCATAATAAAGCGCACTTGAATGGAATTGAGCCGATAACAGGCCGAAGCAAAGTTGGCGAAAAACGACTCATCCTTAGGCAAATCGAGCAGATTAGTGACCTACAGCATAAATCTCAGTAAACCACCAATCCAAAACACGTATCTTCTTCTGATAGAAATCAATTTCATACGAAATTTTCCATTCTGGGCATACAACTCACAAGTGACTGCAGAAATGTGACAAGCACCATCGCCAGTGATTTCAGCTAATTCTAAAGAAGCATTCTATTCATACCAACCTGAATAATTTTACTGAGATGACAATCAGCAGCCAATTCCAAGCCCTGCTTTTCAGCCCACTGTAGAACATGATCCAATCCAGCTCGTAACCAATTCCCAAAATGTCCATTACAGTGTTCGGGATGTCGGATCAAAGCATTGAAAAGCCACACATTAACGAAATGAAATAGACGCGAGAATAGCTGAATGGTAAGCGCGGCGTTGAGTCGGCATCGCCGCAATAGCGACATGGTCACTGAGAGGACATTCAAAACATCACCTAATGAAAGTGACACTAGTTAAACTTCTTGATTTAAAACTTTTTACATTCTGTACAAAAGACTGAAATCAACATCATTCTGAGGGTGCAATATCTTGCTTAACGAAATCGTGTCTATAGTGCATCTCCAAATTTTCAATAATAAGACAAATGTTCAGTCAAAATAATATTTACGCAAACAGCCTTCCAAAAGCAATAAATAAAAATGCGAAACGAATCTGCCAGATGTCTAATCTCTTCACCCTATGGCTGTTCAAACTTATCACACAAGCATGCTAACCGTAAGTACTACCCAATAGAGGAATAATCAGATCACCATACGATCTACACTACACACACCACACTGCGACAAACATACCCCAGCCGCTGTCGGATGAGACAAGCTTGAATAGCCCCGGTAATACACCAGCCAACTGCTCCTGCTGTTGGAGTGTCAGGTGATGAAAAGCCATATGAAGGCAATCGGCCAGTATGTCATGGGCATCTGCTCCATACGGCGACATGTGGCGGTCTAGCTTGAGGAGATGGAGCAGCTCGGAGGCATTAGCCAGCCAAAACGCCAAATATTCCCCATCCATTGCGTGCTCTTCCACGACTCTCACGAAAACGGTAGCCATTTTGTGGAGAAATTTGGTCAGCAGGTGGGCACGCTCCGTGGGAACAATCTCTGGGCGGAAATTGGTCGAAGCACGATATCGGGCGGCTATGTACAGGACATAGGCGGGAGATAATTTGAACGTGATCTGCATGGGATTTGAATGCAGAATGACCCCGGCCAGGAAAATATCTTCGTGATCTTCGCGGAATTCAATTGTGGCCGGAAGAATAGGCAATTTGCTGGATAAGCCGTTATGACGACCAAAAACATGCACATCCGGAGACGATCGATGACTAAAAATATCGGTAAAATAAGTGCAAAAATAAGGCAAATATGCCCGCATCACTTAAACCACTCTTGAAGACCACACCCAAGAAATACTGCGTGGTGCACATAATCTAAAGGCAGTACATACTGAAATAATTACGTAATCTTTCCATATGTCATCTACACATTTTTTTCAAAAATCCGGAAAACTTTATGTAGCAAATTTACCAGATCCAGATTCCAGACTGATGTATTTTACCAACTAATGGTAAGAATGATTTCCTGCAAAGCTTTAGTAAAGACCGGCGATAACTCTGAATGATTAATTTTCAAGAAAATGAGTCACCAAATAAGTTTAATTGGGGGCATTGTTGATCTGACCGACAATGCCCATGATGACCGGTTCCACCTGCTTACCTGTGCACAGAAGATCCAGTATCCATCATGTCATGCTCACTCGTATCCATTTGTAAGGCCACATGTTTTCGCAAATCACCATCCGGAGATCGTTTCGGCAGCGCAACCGACGCGAGAGGAAGCTGTAATTTGTCGCGGTTTAAAGAAGGAACCGGTTTAGCTGTCTCATTGAAACTCTGTGGAGAAAAGAAGCGGAAAACATGGCACTGCCCAATTCGAATAGCCACCCCATTCTCCACAATTGCACGATTTTCAATTTTCCTTCCATCAATGGTGAGGAAAGCGCTTGGGACCGCTGGACAAACAGTCACTGTAGCCTCCAGCCGGTTAAATACACAATGTATGGGCAAAACATCTATAGCCCAACAACAAGAAATATACTAAATCATCAGGATTTACTGACATAGAATTCTATCTAAACACTGATGAACGAGGGTTAGAAATATTAATTAAAAATAAGTTCTAAGCTAAATGAACGTAAATTACAACGATATTAAAATCGCGGAGAAATCTTGAAACTGCAGAGAGTCAACACAGAATGCCTATTTTTTACCCAACCGAGTTGAAAAATATGGTAATAAGTTGCCAAGCTGTTTTCCGTTTTTTAATTAATAACAATAGGGAGGGTGGAAGTGGGTAATGCCGGAAATTTATTATTTTACCAGAAAACAACCAATTCTAAAACATCTGAATCTAAAAATGACCGAGCCATTTATTCACTTCCTGCTTAATGCTACCCACCTGGAGAGCTGAGATGGAAAAAGTTGGCAGCGCCCAGTCGCAAATGATCATTTCCCACTTCAGTAATTCCAGGAAATAACTGCACCGCCTGTCCGAGCCCATTCGGCAATACCTCCACCAAATATGGATTATGGGACAGCAACGGTCTGGTGATTCCGTTTTCCGTTTTATGGTCATTCGCGATTAAATCGGACCGTTTCTTCAAATTAAATATCAATATACCCTCTTGAGCAGGAAATCTCATCAAAATCTGCAGCGGACAATCGGACGGTGAGAGTATTTTTTCCTTAATCAGACTGGGATCAACGGTGCCAGCATCCGATCCCACCGGCAAAACGGCCTGCACCAGTCGATAATCGGAGTAATCGTCACGTTCCAGACCATATTTCTCCAGCGTCTGTTTAATGACCATTTCCGCTGTGTCGTTGATGGACAGCAGCAGTGTTTTGTATGGAACATCCGGATTAATACTCTCACCAAAGATTTTCAAAGTCCCACCCGTATCCGGACCACCATCTTTACTTTTGAATTGCTGTAATTTCTTTTCCAGTTTCTGTTGCCGTCTACGACGCATAACGGCTTCCGGATTGGAGATGCTGCGATGGAAACTGGTTTCCGGAAGCTGCTTAAACAGGCGTTCCGCATCATTTTCTTTTGAATCGTAAACAATACCCAGAGCTTCGTTAGCTTTCTTCAATTTTTCCTCCTTTTCCTTCTTCTTCAGTTCCTTCTTTTCTTGCTTCGACATAATCCGAGCAGACTTTTTCGAGTGCTCTCCATTTTTTGTTTTTTCGGCACCGTCGTCATTTTTCAACAGAAATCGTCCCTCTCTGTCATCTTTGTGCCAGTTCAGCTGAACTAACAGAGGCTTTTCGTCGTCACGTAGTCTCCTTTCCTCACCATTGGCATGCACTTCATAGATGCTAAAATGAGGAACTGATAACATGCGCATATCGGGTCGAAATTTCTCGATTAATATTTCGACGATTTCGCGCACAGTTTGCGCACTGCACACTCGAATGCATTTGGTGGCAATTTTCTGAGAATCATCTTGGAAATAAAAGCGCATTACGCCGTAGAACTGCATGTTATCATCAGGCTCACTCAGTTCAAATAAGTCCAGACGATTGGCATTCCACTGTGCAATGATCGTCCGCAGCGTATCACGATCATGCGATCGTGGATCCATCACGACGTTGGTTCGGCTGGGTCTTACAGCAGCTACCATCCCGTCAGGAGCTCCCATTTTATGGCTCTTACACGATCATCCACGAAGCAAAATTGCATTGTCCGAAAATTAAAGCTGTTGGGTTTATTTGATGACGATCAATTCAGATTGACTCTGATCCGCGTTGCACTTGCACAGATTAACTCCAACGGTCAAGTCAGCAAGCGTAACAGTAGTCTGAGTAGTGAATCATATCCAGCCAGCACTAACTCATTTTCAATATCGATCGAAAATTTTTTGTACGCTTAAGCTTCCCCGAGCAAAAATATTCCATAAATGTACTTGACGCAAAGGAATTCCGGAATGCATAAAATTCTGATAACATCATAACACGATTACCCGATAAGAATCGTAAACTTGCAGCATATGCGCACTGCAGAGCATCTTGACAACGTCAGTAGCTGACGACGGATGGAGGAACATTTCAAGCTTCAAGCGGATCTTTCTTGTAAATGGGAGGAGTCAACCGACTAACTTATCGGATTTATATTGTTGTGAACAAAAGGATACTGGACTACATATACACATACGGTGCTGAATTTCAATTTTAATCGAAATAATATTCATATTCAGGTAAGGAGAACAGTCAGTGCACAACTGTATCGCCGCTCACAGGAATAGTAGCAGGAGCTGCAGGACGACGAGCAAGGCACTTAAATCGGTCAAAGAGCGAGACGGAGCGTCCATGCGTTCACTTGAGTGTGTCCGCACACACAGCGTAGACACAATCGTGCGCCTCGTTAGCTCCTCCTACTTTAAAGTACAGTACTTAGAGCGCAGAGGCCATCTTGACCTTGCGGCTGATTCAGCATCCTCTGCCAACGCATAGGTATAGATACTGCAGATACGGTGTGTAAGCAGCGGTAAAGTGTAAACTGTAAACCAAGATGCATAATGGGTATATATACCCATCACCCACCCACCTTATATATATATACCCACCCTTGCAATATACCCACCCACCTTATATATATATACCCACCCTATATACACTTCGATGTGATCAGAACTGCAATGAATTCGATAGTGGTCACTGGTCACTAATACTATTGGTCACTAATTAGTAAGTTTGGATTCTGCTACTTACTTCATGTGTAAGAACATGGCTGCTGACAGCCCCTCGCGGCTCGCGGTGTACGGAGTTGTTGCCGTACTTGCGGAAGGCAACCCCCAACAAGGCCCACAATCAAACACCAAAAAATTTGAAAGCGGAAGTCAAAGCTACTATTGTGACAATGATTTCACTTACGTGCAGAACAAAATGTGTTGTACGACGTTATTCTTTGTTCCACAATAATTATCGTTGTTTTAATGTTCCACAGTTAAGTTGCTGCCTCACCGATGCCCGGGCAGAATGTACATCAAGGAGGTGACAATTCAAGGATTTCGCAGCTACAAGGACCAGACAGCCGTTGAGCCATTTTCCCTAAGCATAACGTTGTCGTTGGAAAAAATGGCTCGGGAAAAGGTACAGTACCTAGATGAAACTGCTAATATCGAAAACTATTTCTCAGCAGCCTTGCTAGGCACAATTGTAATGTAGTTAAAATTAAAATACGTCTGCTGCAAAATTGCGTGGTTGTGCGTTATATTGCAAAGATGAGCAGCCGCGAACGTGATCGCTGAGGCTTTTCATTTGTTCAGGCATTCTGCTTCGCACTTTTTTTTTATTTCGTAAGGATTTAATCATTTTAATGTAAAATTGTTGCAGTGCAGATACATTTCTTTTACACTATGCTTGGTTTTCCTTGAAGCAACTTCTTCAAAGCGATTCAGTTTGTTCTGGGCGATGAATCGGAATTTGGAGCACGTCTCGGTGCTGATTCCCGTCAGAGCCTTCTCCATGAAGGAACCGGAAATAAAGTCCACACAGCGTACGCTGAAGTGGTGTTCGACAACACGGACGGTCGAATCCCCGTCGAGGGCGATGAAGTCGTTATCCGTCGCACCATCTCCGCCAAGCAGGACCAGTACACCTTGAATGGAAAAACAGCCACAAAACAGGATGTGGCTAATCTATTCGAGACAGCTGGATTCTCCAAGAGTAATCCCTATTATATCGTGAAACAGGGAAAAGTGAATGAGCTCTCCACAGCGCCAGTCGAGAAGCGTTTGAATTTGCTGAAGGAAGTTGCTGGAACGAAAGTACGTAAAACCTACAAAAATCACAAACTCTTTTTTAAAAAAACAGGTTTGACACACTGCATGTTTTAGCTTTATTTTTCGCGAAAAATTTTGAGATGTTTTCTTGCATGTTTCGTTTGTTTTTAGTTTTTTTGTCGCAGTTTTGTTATGTGTCGTTTATTTCTGTTCTGGTTTTTGGTTAATTTTAATTTGGTTTCTCTTTCGTTTGTGGTCATTACATGTTGTTTCATTTGTTGCTTTCCTTATTGAAAGGTATACGATGAGCGTCGCGCTGAAAGCCAGGAGGCCATGAAGGAGACGTCTGAAAAAAGCGAACAAATCCACAAAGCAATTAGCAACATGGAAGATCGACTGAAGACGCTAGAAGAAGAGAAGGAAGAACTGAAAAAATACCAGCATCTCGATAAAAAACGGCGCGTTCTGGAGCATACAGTGTTCACGAAAGATTTGGAAGAAGTCCGCGCGAAAGTGTCGGCTCTGGAGATCAAGAGCGAAGAAAAGGATACATCACTGAAAGGGCTGCGAGCCGAAATGCGCAAATTTGGTGATGAAATCCAGAAGGTGGAGAAAGTGCACCGTGAGACGAAATCAAAGGTGGCCCAGTTTGAAGAGGAAAAACGCCAGGTGCTACAGGAGCTGGAAGAGCATCATCATCGAGAAACACAGCTGGAACTCAGCATAAAAGATTGTGAGACCGACGATGAACAGGTAAGTTTTAGCACAAGTCGTTCAAATTGTTTTGAAATTTATAATGATTTAAACACGGCTGTTTCTGCTATTCACAGGTGAAATCAAATAAAAGACAATGGGACCGAGAATTGCGCGATTTGAGAGACAAGATCGAACAGACAGAAATTAGGCTGCAACAACTGGCCCCCAGTATAACGAGGCGGTCGCGGAGCAGGATGCTGTTAATAAGGATTTACAGACTAAAAAGCAGCAGCGAAGCGAATTGTTTGCCAAACAGAATCGCGGTGACCGGTTCCGCAGTAAAGAAGAACGGGATAAATGGCTATCAACGGAACTAAAACGCGTTGGTGCGCTTATTACTGACAAAAGCAATACTTTAAAAGCGGCTGAAAAGAAGCTGGACGGCGATCGCCAAAAAATCAAGCAGCTGGAAAATAGTATTAACGGTCTGGAAAAAGCTGTGACTGAAAAAGCGAGCAGTATAAACGCGATCAGATTGTCTTCTACGAAGATAAACGAGCCAAAGAAGAACTGGTAGGGACGCGTAATGACCTCTGGAGGAAGCAGCATAGTCTCCAGGAAGAGCTAAATCTGAAAAAGGATGAGCTTCGCAAAAGAAAAAATGATCTGCAGTCACAAATGGGTAAATCAATTCTCCGCGGAGTTGATGGTGTACGGATGGTGATGAACGAGTGGAATGAGGACCAGAATAAACAAGAATATGTCCAAGGTTATCATGGTCTTCTTATTGATTGCATCGTTTGCGATGAGATGGTTTATACCGCGGTGGATACTGTTGCTGGAAATAAGTTATTCTATCATGTCGTTGACACCGACACCATCGCAGCAAAAATTCTGGAAGAGGTTAATCGTCGCAATCTGCCAGGAGAATTCAATTTCTTACCACTGAACCGGTTGAGTGTTAAGGAGGTGGAGTATCCGGATTTGGGTGATGTGGAGGCGCTTCCCTTAATCAACAAGATCTCATCTCCTCAAGAGGTGGAACGGGCTGTGAAATTCATTTTCGGAAAGACATTAGTCTGCCGCTACCTTGAGCTTGCTACTGATCTCTGTAAACAGTACAATATGGATTGTGTCACTCCCGATGGGGATACTGCTAGTCGTCGTGGAACCATGACCGGAGGTATGATAAAACTTTTTTTGAAGGCAGTGTGATCAAATAGTACACTGATTATGAATGGCAGTTGTCGGCATCTGAGTTTTGAATCTGATTTGTACAAGGACGAAAACAATCGACTAGGCGGTACAAGTTTCGTTATTCGCTTTAATCCCCTTTTTGTTTGCATACAGGTTACCTCAACCGCAGAGAGTCTCGCATGATGCTGCAGAAGTATATTCGTGAAATTACAAAGGAAGAACAACGAGTCCAGGAGCAGCTTGATGAAGTAAAAACCGAACTGGACAAATATGAAGGTAAGATGTCGCAAGTTGGCGCGAGGGCTGAGCTGGACTTTTCAGTTGTTTTGTTGTTTCTTAGCCGATCTGCAGGACAAGAACAATAAACTTTCTTCGCTGGAAACAAAGCTGGAACGAATAAAAGCGCAAAATGAGCGGAATAAAATCGAGCTGGGCAAATCTAAGGAAGAGTTTCGGAGCTTGCAAAACGGAATTGAGCCACGAGAAAAAAGTATCGCAGAAATTCGCACGGAAATTGCTGTTCTGGAAACCACCAAGCACACGTTGGAACAGGAAAGAGGGACCGAGTTGACCAGCGTCTTATCGGATAGTGAGCGTCGTAATATCGATTCTCTGGACGCTGAAATTCGGAACTTGACGAAGCAAATGCAAAACCTGTCCGAAAAACGTCGTAATCTGGAAATGCAGAAAAGTAATCTGCAGAACAGTCTTCAAGATAACCTTAAACGTCGTGAAGATGAATTAAAGGGTTCTATTCAAGAATCTACGGCGGAAAGCAGTGGGCACCGGCTTTTATCCTTGAAACAGGAAAGAGATATGGTTAATAGGGCCGTAGCAAAGCTTCAGAATGATATTGTTGAACTGGATAAAAAATTGGACGAGCTGATAGATCAACGCCGAAATACGGCTGCCGAACTTGAACGGCTGCGATCGAAGGAGAGGGAGCTACAAGAAAAGATTTTGGCCGAATCGCGGGAGCTTGATAAAATTATTAATCGTCTTGTACTTATGCAGAAAGAAAAAGATGAATGCCTACATAAAATTCGAGAGCTGTCGGCTCTGCCTGCGGGAGTGGATAATTCGGAATATATGAAGAAATCTGCTCGAGAACTAGGGAGGGATTTAGACAAAGTCAACGAGGAACTGAAGAAGTTTGGCCATGTCAATCAACGCGCCCTTGATCAGTACGTCACTTTCTCGGAGCAACGTACCAAACTATTGAGTCGCCGAGACGAGCTTGACCGCGGTGAAAAGGTAGATCTGGTGGTTTTAGGGTGGTGAAATCCATTATTACTTTAGCAGTTAACGTTACTGAAGTGGTTCATATGTTTGTACTGACAAATGAACTAATTTGCTGGTGTGCTATTGCCGTAGTCGATTGCTGACCTTATGGACAACTTGGAACACCAGAAATACGAAGCTATTACACGCACATTTCAGCAAGTTACCCGGAACTTCGAACTTGTTTTTAAAGAGTTGGTTCCTCAAGGCCGGGGACTGTTGACATTGTTGAAGGGATCGGAAGAGTCCACTGTGGAAGATACTCAGCCATCCATGGAAGAACTCAATAAGTTTACTGGTATCGGCGTTAAGGTAAGCAAAATTGTATAATTCTTTTAATTTCCAACCGAAAAATGACGCGAGCTGCTTTCTATATATTCTTCTCGTAAAATGTTTTTTCTTGTAGCATAAAAAATAGTTGTCTTTATGTCAGTACGATTACGTTGCTCGTCTGAACCTTTTTTTGCTCATACATACATATTCTTGGGAGAAGTTGGTAATAATGTTTACTACACCCTGGGAGAAGTTGGTAATAATATTTCTGAACCATGGTCTTCCTGCTACAGGTTACTTTTACTGGCGGCACAGGGGAAATGAAGGACATGAATCAGCTTTCTGGTGGTCAGAAAACACTGGTGGCTTTGGCAACGATATTTGCCATTCAGAAATGCGATCCAGCACCGTTTTATCTGTTTGATGAAATCGACCAAAATCTTGATCCTGATCACCGTAAATCCGTAGGACGTATGATCGAGAGATTAAGTAATAATGCACAGTTTATCACCACAACATTCCGGAGTGAGTTGTTGGAACACGCAGATAAATTTTACGGAGTCAAATACGATCCTAATTTGAAGGTAAAATGTTGCCAGTCGTGCGAAAATTCAGTTTAATGTGTAATACTTGTGCGAGCGTGATTATTTGTTAAGTGAGACCTTTTTTCTGAAATTATGACAGCGATTAGGAGTTTTTAACTTTCTAGTAGTTTTCTTATTCACTGTGGGGATTTCAGGTCAGTCGCATTCAGGCTATCAAGAAACAGGAAGCTCAGGATTTCATTGCCGACGACGAAAGTCAGGGGAACACTGAACTGGCGTCTTCGTCGAATTTCAAAAATCTTTCTGCCAATGGATCATTACAGTCGTTCAATGCCGCTGACGAAACTTCGGACGTTGCAGGAGATGTTGAAATGTTCGACGGGACAGTCGCGGTCGAATCTGTCGACGAAGAATGAGCTTCGACTTCGTGACGCCTTGAATGTTATTGTTTTTGTTGTTTTTTTTGTTTCTGCGCCCTGTCAGTTCCATGATGGCAAACACTGCTGAACGCAGCGGGCACTCCAGTTTTATTTTAGTTTTAAAATTTCCAGGGTGTTGCACAAGCAGTATCAGTCCGAAATAAGTCAGGCGTGCGTTGGGGTTGTTTGTAAATTAAGCCAATGTGCTGTGTGCACATAATTTACAAATCAGATTTTCTTTGATGTGTTTTTCATTTTTATTTATAACGTTCCTACGTGACTCTGTGCACGGTACAGTGGCAAGACAGGCGGAAAAAAACCCAAAGGCAGATGTTTTTCTCTAAGCACGAAATTATAAAAGCGTCCGGGAAAAACACATGGCGTGTTCAATTGCACATTTAAAAATGCCGTTATTGCAGTCTGAATCCGATACCTGTTTAATTCAGATTTATAACTTCACCCAAACGGAGATCGACACCAGTATTGTGCAAGCAAATAATTCAACAAAATACTCGTACTAATAAACGTTTGCAATTATAAATAGTGCAAAAATGCGCTCAAAACCGAAATAATTACTTATTTTCTATCATAATCAACATTTCGCCGAGGCTATTCCGTAAGCACTAAACAGCTTATGCAAAAGAGACCGTAAACAGAACTGTACAGAATTTAAACAGTGTCAACTGACAAGCTTCCAGTTTCAGACGATCAACTACGATTATTGAAGTCGATTACTGAAGTAATTTTTCTGCTTTATCATTATTACTTATTATTACGTAACTACGTTCAATCAGTCTTTTTTGTGCGCTCTTCATTATCGGAGGAAGCTTCTCCGGGCAATAACACGTGTCCAGTATTCATCAATATAATTCCAACAAGCATCAATGAAGCGCCAAATAACCAGGTAACCGTAATGTAGTCACTGAAGAGAAAATACCCAAACAAAGCGGAGCACATAAAGTTGCATGCTGTATTAATCGCCAGTGCTTGCAAGGAGTTTCTTGATAACCGGAGAGCCCTGACATAAAAGAACCACATTATTCCATTCATGAGCAGAGTGAGCAAGATGAATGTCAATCGGAAGACAGCCAGCAAGTACAAGGACGGGATTCCACTCGGAACAATCAAAGTAAGAAACTCAGGAGCATCTCCCATCACAAACTTCGCCGAAACTGACGCCAGAGCTCCCGCGAATCCCGCGGTGGCGGAAAATAGAATGTTCAAGGGAAGCTGTAAAGCAGACATGGCGTTTATACTACCAACTTTATCTTTATAGTACGATTTATATAGATAGATTACTTACGATATATTAGAATACGGTTTTTTTGTAATAGCCGTCTTACCATTAGGATGCAGCGGTGCAACTGGAAATATCCTATTATTCAATAGCATTAGTGCAGTAAAAAATACAAAGCAACAACGCAAGTCGCTCCGCACAAGGCAAAATTTCTGAACAGAAAACAATCAAGAACATTAATTTCACTAACTCGTAAATACTAATAATAAAAACTGAGCACTCGCATTTTCTTCCGTTAAATTTTAAAATATATTTTTAGACTGCAAAAATTAATATACTGTAATATAATTACACGAGTGGTCGTCGCATCAGGTAGTTCGACCTTCGGGGCGGTTGCAATAAACTTTGTCAAGCACACCTCTCCAAGGGCGGTCGCGTGTATATAACGAGATGAATCAGGTACGTGCCGTTCGGTGACAGACTTTTGCCACAGATTCGGCATGCGCTTTGTGATACAAGGTTAGGCCAGTTCTTGTTATCATTTTACGTAACTTTTGTAATGCTATTGTTCACAATTTATCCCCAGTTTGTGACCACCTCCAATAAGTTGTATATACCAATAAACTATCGATCTATGACCATAAAGTCCATAATAAAATAAAAAAATGCACCCCTGGTGGGGATCGAACCCACGGCCTTCGGTTTAGGAGACCGACGCGCTTCCACTGCGCTACAGGGGCTACGCGTTCAACTAGTTTGGTTTAATTCTTTAAGCAACAGAAAAGCACATTACGATTCATGAAGTTAAAGAGAAACTAAAGCCTAAAGGTTTTACGTATACGTAGAACTAATACTCACATAAACGGTTTTATTTTAATGTTTTCTTTTACTGATACTTGTGTAATTCGTTTTTCAATTAAAAAGTTAAGATACATAAATACTTTGCTTTTATGTTTGTTGAATTTGCTCCTTAACAGTTAACGCTATAAAAAATTCAGCTGAAGGTGGTGTTTGTATGAAAACAATCACTATGGTGCTGCATTTTTAATTACTATGTACAATGAATTTTAATTAGGTATTATGTTGCTGTCATTTAAATCTAATATGCAGTTTTATACGTATTCTTACGTACAGTCTGTATGCACCACAGAAGCCAAACATATTTACGCGGGAAAATATTTTCGTAGGCTACGAGTTAGCATAAATAGTCACAGTACGTAAATTGAACATGTAGCCACGCATAAATAATGGAATCGTGCGTACAAGTACGCAGTATTATTAACATAAATATAGCAAACTGAAGCATGCATATGGTGACCTTTATAAACTGCAAACTCGCGCGAATGCCTGTTTTGTGTCGTAATCTGCACTCTGCAGTACGATCGTGAACACTGCATGTCAGTACCGGATGAATCCCAAGGGTGTATGGCGTGATCTGGACAGATTTTAATCACTATATAATTATTGTTATTATGCTTTATATGCCATTTTTATGGCAGTGTCTAGGAACATGTAAAGCTTAAGCCGCACGTAAATATCGAATAAAGCATCACGAGCCTCAGTAGGTGTCTTGTTGCAAATGCACAATCCATTTGTTGCCCTTCCATTCGGGGTCCATTACATAACAAAAGAATACGTAAGTAGAATAGGATGACAGGTGTCTTGTATCTTTTAACCCTTTCATTAAACGCATAGGATACCTAGCTGCAACCTCCATCTGTTACCGTCCTAATTATAAGTACACTATGAACTTGGATACCGATGATTCAGATCGTGATCAAAGCGTATCGCGCACTTGTAAAGGTTTTCTCTTTCGGTTCAGCAACCTTTTCTTTTTCGTTAGTGAACATTCGCTGACACAAAATATTTCTTGGTTACAGTGTATCTACATTTGAAAGCAACGAAATAGAATTTTGTTTCTTCTCGCAGCCGGCCCAGCCAAATCATTAATTTTATGTGACAAGATTTATATATTTATGTAATTACTGGAATTAACCGCATGCTGACCTTGGCGTTTGCTGTTATAATTATACTCTACTTACTTTACCGTTATTAGTCTGTCACGGTTGTATATGCGGATTGATATACAGGTTTGGTTATCCGGATTTCTAAAACCTCTCCTGGACACTTGGTGAAAATATTTCTTTGGAAAAGCACTGCATTGTACTTTGATTTGTACTGCACTCTAACCGTTACTTGTGCTGTATAAAAGAAAGAGATATTTTTACAAGTAATTTTAATAGTTATCGCTGACAATGACTCCATCGAATGAACAAGAATTTGATCCTAGAACGATTGAGTGGGATTACCATCCATTACTGAAGGCCGTGGAACACGGTAATTATTCCTTATTGGTGAAATTCCTGGATAATGAAAAACGGAAGCGCTTCGGTTTGGATCGGGTCACTTGGGCTCGTACAAAATCTGGACAGACACCTATTTTAGTTCTACTGTGCAAGACCCAGAAAACCAAACCAAAGACGCTGTATCAAGTTTTACAAATTTTGCTGGAAAAATTTAAAATCGATCCAAACGCCATTGATAATCAAGGAGACAATGCGCTAATGTATGCCGTGCGGTATGGTGCAGATCTCGAAATCGTCAAACTTTTGCTGCGCAATGGTGCCGATCCAAAGCTGCAGAACCACAACCAACTGTCAGGACTGATTTATGCAGCTGCTAAATTGCGTACCGACGTTGTACGACTGATTTGCCCAGATTATCGGGCTAAAACATGTGCAGCCTTACAACTGAAATTTATCAACTTGGATATTTGGACTGAAAAATTACGTCTGAGTCCCAGAGGAGACCGCTTAGAAGTTCCAGCCATGTTGGAAGGGTCACCCAAACGTAACGTGTTTGCCGAGAGTTCCAATTCACCGCTGAGTGGAACGCCTATTAACGGTATTCGCTTTCGGGTGTCACCATGTTCACCCGCCTCCAGTAGTAGTCCTCTATCGATGGTGGTCAACCAACCTCGAAACTCCGCTGCGGAGACGAGACGGACCAGTGAAGACCGCACGAACACCACATCGACATCCAAGTCCGGTACATGTGACGTGAATTTCTCAAAGGTCATGCGGCGCGTCTGCAGCGCAACCTTTGACGTGCGCTTGTTCAAAGAGACTTCCGGTGCGTTGCAGTTCGCACAATTAACGCACAATTTATGTATCTACCTGGACGAAACGGATTATCCGTTCGACAAAACTCCAGAACCCCTGGAGAGCGAACAGGCCGACGTGCTTGGCGACATTGAGGAAGAAAGCACCGAGCGGGAGCCGCGCCGCACTTCACTGCCGGCAGCTTCGGCTCCAATTTTAATCAAATCACGCTCCGTGGAAGACTCCATTAATAAGCCACGGGATATGTCGGCGGTATTGATTCGGGCTTTGCCTCGGGAATGTAGAAAAAATGCATTACAAGGTGGTCATTTAATAGAACGGCAAGGTTCCGCTCCGCAGCTGCATCTCAAACGGAAACCCCGAAGTACTAGTGAATCGTCGGATTCTTCTTTCTGTCCATCGCCAGTTTCTGGATTATCGGTGAACACCGGCCGACAGCACAATTTGATGATATCACCCTTAGCGGTTACAAAACTGCTACCGAAATCCGATTCCTAAATCTCTGCAATTTTTTACAGGTCGTGGTTTTGACGATATTCGCCCCCATATTGTCAATCGGTTTCTTTTCAAATTCCACATCATTATTCGTACCGCATGCATGCATATAATTATTAAAATGTACGTTATATTGTATGCTATCTGTACTCTTGGAGCCGGTTTAACAGCATTGTTCTTTAAATAGGAATATTCGTAATAGTGCATTGATATTGACGTTGATATTGATTAGTTCGTTGATATTGCGCTCTGCGCGCTACAATCACACCCGTGCTATTTTAAACAGATCGAATACAATAGCAATACTTCGATGCCATACGTGAACAATTAAAGGTAGAAAGAATAATCGTACCGGTTTCTATTTGAGAATTTTCAGCTGCTTCAACGCTGAACTAAACAGTTATATATACAGCAGCGTAAGCTGTAATCAAACATAAATTTTATGTCAGTGTTGTAGGTACCATGCACCTTTGTTATTTTCATTTACTTGTGGAAGATCAGTTAGCATCTTGCGAATCGGCTTGTACTAGACAGTTGATCGATCCGCCTAAACTTACGAAGTATCATAAGCGAAAAGTCTTCGTACGCGGTGACCTGATTTAATTTTACAGCTAAATTTTAACTTATAATATACAGTAAATGCGGTTACTTTAACTTGTGTACAGGTACCGTGAAAAAATAATATAATAAACTCTGTAGGCATGCACTATGCAGCTTATTTCTCACTGTGGTCGAACCACTGCTAATGACAGCCATTTTATAACTTATAAAATGCAATATTTTATTGTAGTCGACTAGTCGGCCTTAGTAATCAGGATCAGTTAACGTTCACGATATGAGCGCAAGAAATGCTTGCGAAGTAAATACCAAACTGAATAGTCAAATGAGACTTTCCCACTGCAACTGTACTACTGACTGCGTACAGCAATTAGGATTACCAGTAAATTACAGTAAACGTGCCGGCTTCCGCTTTTGATGCGGTGTTTGAAATTAATTTAAGCTCTGACAATAAGGTTGCGCAAATTTTCTTGACCATTAATTGCGAAATTGTAGTACCGCACCACACTATATATTTTCAGCATAACAGCAAGCGGATTGTTTCCAGGCATCTTGACTAATCGTAAGATCTCCGCAATAATCATAAGCGCTGCTGTCTGCATGTGCAGGAGCGAAGATTCATGCCGTGAGCAATGTTTTCGTACAAGGACTTCAACCAAGCATAAGAGACAGAAAAGACACTACTACTATGGTGTACAACTGCACTCCAAAAAAGGTCCTGATCCAAGAAAGGACTTCCTAAAATACGCACACAGTAATTTAAGCCATGAAGTCGTTCTTCACGCGTATCATACGACGGAGCCACAACCGAAAGATATTCCATCGTGAATCTCGTTTTCTCATCTGCTGCGGACCAGCGTTACCCGCCTATGCCGGCCGTGCACAACTGCTGTTTGCTTGTAGTCAGTCAGTCGGCTGCTCCGGGTTGACACACACGTAATAGATCGCGCTGTTTAACACATATGCTGGGCGCATATACAGCTGACTGAAGCAAACAAAATGGGCAGGAACATTTCCGAATCTAAAAATTCTCACCACTTAGACTACCAGACATCGGAGGCAAAAAAACCCGAGCGCGAGATCGCATGTATTAGAGAAGTCGGCAACACATGTTGGGTGCATGGGGTGTATAGATAGCCATCCGTAGATTCCCGTTAACAGAAGAGAGCAATTCTGCACAATTGCTGTCGTGCTCTTCGCCAGCTTTCAGCTGCTCTGACGGTTCACTGCTCTCCTCAAGCTTGCGCCTAGGCGTTAACCTGACCACAGCTGTCCAGTAATTCCTCTTACCAACCACCGGATATTAACTGCTACTCTTTTGTTCTTGTGGATCAGTTCGATAACCCGTTCGGACGATGGATTTCTCCGCATCCAGGTATACAACATCCACCAAGGGAACCAGCGCGGCCGACATCGGGGTGCTGTCCCGCCTTGAGGTAAGCTATACAAAAGACGGTGTGACCACATCCTCTTCTAGGACAACGACAAGTGCCGCTGATATTGGGGTGCTGAGCAGACTGGAGGTAAGTGTTGGGCTGCAACATGGCCAACGGTTCATGTCCCCGTCCGTGTCACCTGGCTCGTGCGCGTGTCACCCAGGTCAAGATGTCCTTTCTCCTGCTGTCCGCTATTTAGCCGCACCTTCAATAGTTTGTGTGTTAACACACCCGTTCATTTTTTCCTGGGTTTTCCGTTCTGTTCGAAGCGCAACTGACCATCGGTATTTTTCAATGCTCCTTCCGATGCCTGTACATTGTTTGGTTGAATTTAATTGTATATCAATCTAGTTGCGCTTTATCAGATAACGTTTTCTTTCGTTTGTGATCTCATGCGGCAACAGAAAATATTTTTTCGAAACTTCCGGTTTAGCTCCGTGCAACCGTATCGTTTTTTAAAATATGTGACATTATTAAGGATATAGTCGCCGGTTTTCTTTAGCAAGTTTGTGCTTTGCTGCGTTTTGCTCGTTAGCATTACCGCTCGGCCTTTGAATAACCGAAGAGGAGATAGTATTAAAATTTCGACATAATTACGTATAAAAGAAATCATAAATTAATTTTAAATTATGGTTTAGTATTAAATTATGGCATTAAAATGGTACCGAAAAGATTAAATTATCTGAAAAATTACGTACTTTATTCTGAATTAACGCATTGATATCGATTGTATCACCCAAAGTGAGTCTACTGGTTTTAGGCGGTAGGAATAGATCGCGCCTTGATTGAACAGTTTCGAAGCAGTTCCCAAGCTTGCCGCCCATCGTTTGTCATCACACTGCAGGCGTAGAGCCAGGGTTCTGAAAATAACTTTCTTCCGTTTACCATATCTGAAAATTGCGCGTTTTCGGCGGATGCTTTCGTAATGTTTAATTTAGACTCGCAAAAGATCGCGCGCTACTATTGGAGAGGGTCTATATGGCAGTTTACAGTAAAGCACAGGCTAACAGACCCAGTGTCAAGGCAAAATTTCTGGCTGTTTTCTGGCAGGAAATACCACAAGATATGTAGCGAGGCGGCAGTATTTTGCAACTAATCCTTGGAATATGAATCTGTTACGAAATCAGTCCCGGTCTAATTAGATAGCAGACGTTATGTTACCTAATCGGAAAATGTTCCAGCCACCTGCATTAAGTTTACAGTGGCCTCGACCACCTGCCTTGAGTTTACAGTGGCAAGTCGTACTCAACGCCGCACAAGCGTTATGCTGGTGCAAACTTTGCGCGGTGAAGCATCGTTTTGATTGCCTCGCACCCTGTTAATTGCAAGCCCATTGAACTTCCACCCGGACGTCCATGTTTTGCCGGCTGCTTCCATTTCCTTCCCTTCTGCTCCACCCAATCAGCCCCAGTTGTGTTGACCTTTTGTGTTACCATATACAACTAAATTGATTTAACTCTACTTACTTACAAACATGGATGTTTAGGACAAAATCAGGCTACTGCAGGAAGATCTCGAAACTGAACGGGAGCTGAGAGCCCGGGTAAGGTCATCGTGTATCTGCCGGTACTGTACAGACCGTAATCAATTTTAATTTTTTTTATTCATCATCAGATTGAGCGGGAACGATCCGACTTAGCCGTTCAGCTGGTCCAGCTGAACGATCGCTTGGAGGAAGCTGAAGGAGCTCAGGAGGCGCAGGTAAACCATGGAGCACGTTCGAGCAGAAGAAATCTAGCAACAATTGCGTCGTCAGCTAATAGTATGAAAGGCGTTTACTGACGAGGCATTACATCTTTGCAGACGGAACTGAATCGCAAACGTGATCAGGAGCTTGCCAAACTGCGAAAATTGCTTGAAGATGTCCACCTGGAAGGTGAAGAGACCACCGCTGGACTCCGCAAGAAGCACAACGAATCACTGGTTGAACTGCAAGATCAAATTGACCAGCTTCAGAAATCCAAGCAAAAGTACTTCTTGAAATTATAAAATTTTCCTAACTATTTTCTGAAACCTGATGTTTTTAGGGTGGACAAGGAACGCAGCCGCATTCAGGCAGAGGTCATCGATTTGGTCGCCCAAGTGGACCATCTGCGCAGCGAACGGGTAAACGATAACTGCAAATGATATTACGATGTTTAAATGTTTAAGTCGTTGTTCATTAAATACTAAATTTTCGGAATATTTAGGACCAAGCTGAGAAGAAGTACGACAAGGCGGAAGCTGCGGCCGCCCAGGCTACTCAGCGTGCCGAAGAGTACAATCGGCAAGTGCAGGATTTGAACAACCACAAGACTCGGCTGGTTCAGGAAAACAACGACCTGATCCGTGACATGCAAGAACTGAAGAAGTCCATTGAAAATCTTGACTTTATGAAAACGACTCTGGCTCGTCAACTGGAGGATACCAAACGCAAACTGGAGGAGGAAGAGCGAGTATGAGAGATACGTCCGACATACAAAACGGTATAGCGCTGAACAGTAAAATATTTTCCAGTCTCGCCAAACTCTGCAAACAACTGTCCACAACCTGGAGACGGATATTGAGACCTACCGGGTCCAGATTGAAGAGGAGTCCGAGTTCCGTATGGAGATCGAGAAACAGTTGTCGATCTCTAAGACGGAAGCGTCCACCTATAAGAGCAAATACGAAGCTGAACTGTCTGCCCATCAGCTGGAAGTCGAAGACATCAAGTAAATCTACGTGGCATTGTGACAATCAGCTGTATCTTTATTAAGATATGTTTTAGGAAGAAGTTCCATCTCCGCCTGGTGGAAGCTGAAGAACAGGTGCAGAACGCTTTAGCCCGTGCATCTAACCTGGAGAAGCAGAAGAGTCGTCTCCAGGCCGAAGTTGAGATCTTGATTGTTGATCTGGAGAAGGTACGCAGTTATTACAACGGTCAAGCGTAATCATGGCACTGTATTATCAAGACGGTGTTTATTTTTATGTGGACGTCTTTTTAGGCTAACTCAGCTGTTCAGCAACTGGAAAAACGCAATGCTGCTTTGGAAGACACCGTCAACAGCTTGAAACGTCGCATCGATGAAATCAGCCTGGAACTGGAAACCTCCCAGCGTGACCTGCGCGCTGCTCAGGGTGAAGTCAACCGACTGAAACAAGCTGTCGAGAAACTGACCGAGCAGCGTGACGCTCTGGCTCGGGAGAAAAAGAAACTTGAAGGTAAATCATATAAGATGCTTACGAGGTACTAGACTAATCACCGCATTCATAACATGTGCACAGATGACCTCCACGAGTCCAAGGAAGCTCTGGCGGATGCCACTCGCCGCTTCCATGAACTGGAGATCGAACTGCGTCGTGTGGAAGGCGAACGTGATGACTGGCGTCTGGCTTATCAAGATGCCGAATCTCTTCGTAAGCAGGAAGAAGCAAAGGTCATCCGCTTGACTGCTGAGAACCAACAGATCCGTGTTGAATACGAACGTCGTCTCCATGACAAAGAAGAGGAATACGAAGCAATGAGGTAAAACTTATTGCGGTGTTTATCTGGCCATTTTGCCAATTTGGCCATTCGACCATTTTTGGTTTCCGTTCCGATTTAATAATGCATACTTTTGAACTGTGACCTTCGATCTTTCCAGGAAGCAACTGACCATTGAAATTGAGACACTGACTGCCCGCTTGATCGATGCCGAAACTAAGTTGAAGACCGAAGTTGCACGCATCAAGAAGAAGATGCAGGCTCAGATCACCGAATTGGAAATGCAGTTGGACAATGCCAACCGCGCCAATCTGGAAGCCCATAAGACCATCAAGAAACAGCAACTGCACATTCAGGTCTGCACGGTTATGCATTACAGGATTAAAAAAACGTTAATCTGCAGCAGAAAAATTTACATTGACCAGCCTTTGGTTACAGGAACTCCAAGTTCATTATGAAGATGTCCAGCGTCAGTTACATCAGACTTTGGATCAACTGACCATCATGCAGAAACGTGTCCAGACTCTTCAAGCTGACAACGATGAGCTGCGCGTCGCCGCGGAACAGGTGCAGCAGTAGCTTGATCTCCATTAAACTGTTCACCACCCACTTTATTTGTAGGGGCTTAACGAATACATTATTTATTTACAAAGTTTACCAACTTTGAATATATGTAAGGTCTATTTCTAAACCTGTTGTTACGGTTTGTAGGCGCTTCGTGGCCGCAAGGCTGCAGAGGCTCAGCTTGACGAGGTCTCGGCTCGCGCTCAAGAACTGACCACCTTGAATGCTACTCTTCTGGCCGCCAAGAGCAAGCTGGAAACTGATTATGGCTCACTTCAGTCTGACTTCGATGAAGTCAGCCGTGAATGGAAGGGTGCTGAAGAACGTGCAACTCGGGCTCAGGTAAGAGGCGAAAAGTCGCATACTGTTGCGTGACATCAAATGCCTACCTGCACATAATTTAAATTTTGATAACATCATTCGCAGGGTGATTTGAACAAAGCCGTGGAACAAATGCACGAGGAACAAGAGCGGGCTATGAAATACGACACCATGCGCAAGGCTCTTGAAGGTCAGGTTAAAGAGCTGCAGGTCCGCCTGCAGGAGATGGAGGCGTCTGCTCTCATTGGTGGAAAACGCTTGGTCTCCAAACTCGAGGGTCGTGTAAGTTTTCAGTCTTCGGTGTGTACTCTAGTTAACAGGAAACGTTAATCAAGTCGATCTGTAGATTCGCGATATGGAAGCCGAATTCGAAGAGGAACGTCGTCGCCACGCCGAAACCCAAAAGATCTGCGCTAAGAAAGAGCGACGCATTAAGGAAGTCCAGCTTCAGGGAGAGGAGGACCGCAAGAATGTTGTTCTCCTTCAAGATTCAGTTGAAAAACTGACCGAACGATGCAAGCTGCTGAAACGTCAAGCTGACGAAGCCGTATGTAGTTATCAACATCTTAGGGTCACCGGTGTTGTACATCAGAGAATTACTTGCAGGAGTCTCTGGCTCTACAAAATGTTACCAAAGTACGAAAATTCCAGCGGGAGATGGAAGCTGCCGAAGATCGGGCTGATATGGCTGAAAGCAACCTTTCTCTAATCCGTGCCAAACACCGAAGCACCGTAACTACCAGCTCTGGGGGCGCTGCTCGCGGAAATGTTTATGTCCTTGAAGAACGGGCAGATTACACGTCAAGCAGAAATTATTAGAAGAAAGTCACTCACAATAATTTAGTTTAACTTCCAAAAGCATGCGCTAATTAATGTCGTTAAGGTGTCGTCACTGTTGATGAGATTAGACGTCAGTTTCATAGAGCTTTCGAGCTTTTCGATTGGTTGATGTTGTATGTTAGACGGGCCTCCTTGCAACGACGGAGGCAGAAAACCTAATGGGCAGCGGTTTTTTTCCAACATCCGCAATTTCTATGCTTTTCCCATATTTTTCTGTTTGTGGTAGTCACTTTAATTATGCGTAGATGTGGCTTTATTTAATCGAAAGCCAATATTCTAGTAAGTCTTGTTACCGTGAGTATTAACTATTTGTCTATTTCGACATCCCACTTGATCCACAACCACAACTGTAATAAAAACGTTAATGTTGTTTTGCATACCGGTGGTCAGCACGTAACGTGATACATCTCCTTTGTTTTGCATTGGACAACTCGCTACCAAGTACCCGCATATCTCAGCCGTCGTAATTTAAGGTTTAACTAGTGCTTTACGGTGTTTGAGTAAAAAAGGATCACCCAGTACATGCATGATACTTTTTTTGGAGTGTATACGTTTTTTAGAGCGTATACGTTTTTTTAGGTGTACTGTACAGATAAACGTATAACTGATAAGTTGATAACTAAAGGAAGCACAGCTTTACCGTTTTGTGACCTTGAAGTACGTAGCCATTTTTTGAAACATTTTGATTAATTCATAGAGCACCAGTAAATAACAGATAAATTATAGCTCGAAGTCAAATGCACTTTATGCTCTAACCTTGAACGTTGACAGGCTTCCCCTCAGAAAATTTTCCTGTTTTCTTTGCTAATAAAGTAGTTAGTGGGAATACCTAAAACATAATCTGATCGGCAATGTTTCAGTAGGCGTGGCTAAAACCCAATTTAAAGGATAAAGGTACATTTAATGATAACTCATACTTGTGTTCTAAAGGCACTTTATCGTATACTCGTATATTGTCTGTGTACAACTTACACTCCTGGTTCGTCGGTGAAATGTATTTTTTAGCATAGTGTCTGCTGCCCGTTGATTTCTATTGATCTTGAATAATTTGTTAAACGGTTTGCCAACATAAACGTTTTAGGAAATTTTCCCACTTATCGAGCTCTGAGATGCGTACTACGCGGACTTCACCAAACAATACATGCAATGTCATGCATTATAGCGCCAAATGCTAGTCATTAAGGCGACAAGGGAAAACGCAAAATTAAGGATTGTATATTGCCAAGTCACTTATTCAAGGAAAATCGAGTGAGGAGGCAAATTTGCAGTGATAACGGGTAATCTTAGAGTAGGCCCAAAAAAATATTTTCACCGGCGAAATAGGAGCAGTATCTGTACAGTATAGTAAGTACGAGTAATACGGTACATTGACAACACATACGCTACTTTTATTTTAAATTGATTTTTTGCCATGCCCACTGGGCCATTGCCGATGAAACCATTTTTTAAGTACTTGCACTGCCTACTCTGTCTTCAAACAAAAGATAAAATGTTTTTGAGGAGGATCTCGCGCTCCCTGAATTTAATTCCCATGGATCTTTATGTGAGTACTTATTATTTGGGAGACTGGATTCTGCATGGTCCACGTCAAACCCGAATTGAATGTCTAACACTATTTACGTTCTGTATACCATAATTATTTTTATTAAAGCATGGTAAATCTAAAACATCTGATTCGTGTCCACAAGCGCACTGCATCGGTTCGTTACTTTTTATGTTCGTAATATAGGACACAGAATTTAAAATTAGTGGGAATACCTAAAAAATAATCTGATCGGCAATGTTCACCGATACAGAATTCTGTGCTCTTAATTCCGTATATAGAACTACAGTACATGCCACTGCAACAAACAACAGCGACATTAATAAGGGCAGTTTATCAAGGTTACCTGCATATGCAGAAGCTCATAATTTACACAACTGTAATAAAATATAAATATTTAAGTGCTTGTATGGGAACAAGAACTGGATCGACCCTGAACGAGACTGGAACCGGTTTATGGTTCTCTGTTACTGTACAGTCTGTACTTACTTCTGCTGTATACAAACGTGAAATTGTCTGTGCGGCAAAAGTATTTGAATTGCCTAAGCTGATATACGTTTTCCCCGCGTAAAAAAATTTCGAGAAGTGCGTTTATACCAATTGTTACCAGAAATTCGAAAGCCGTTAGTAATACTCTACCACTTCTTTCTCCTTTAATCCTAATTGCATTGTTTTTTTGTGTCACTAGTTAGTTAGTTTTTCTTACTTTAAGTGTATTGCATACCGGTAATCCACAAAAACAGAAGTACCGGTATACGAATAATTTACACGCTGCATACGGAAATAAATCTTGTAAAACATATATACGTAACAAGCAAATCCACAACTGCCTCGTACAGTATATATCAAAAATTTGAAGATCACAACTCACCTTAAACGGTTGGTTATTCTAACTTCATTTACTTTTTATGAGAAGTAACGAATTGGCATTGTGGAACTGTTTATGAAAGGACGCACTGAATGATTTCAGAAAGGCCATCAGATTTCGATGCTAAAACTATGCTGTGCGGGCCTACAGAGTTGAACTTCGGAATCCAGAGTCATACAATGAGCCTGAATGAGGGCATTTTACAAGTAATGCATCAAATCTAAATCTTTATGTACCAGTACAGATGTTTATTGTTTGCTTTGCTCAATTAATGATCAAGCACACCAAATTAAACTGTTTCACACTGAAAACAACAGCTGTGAGAAATGTTAATATTTCACAGGTGTTGCGCTTTTCTTCATGTAACTGTTATGATGTACTGCACGGTTAGCAGGTGCAAACTCAGAAGATCAGCCGGAATTCGAAAATAACACTGGCTTGGACATTGGAAATTAAGTACTGTAAATGCAATTAATGCATATCGCAATAAGATGTTGTTTACACTGTTGGGACTTCTGGATTAATCAGCTGCAATTCTTTTGCAAAACATCTCACAAAAAATTACCGGCAAGCATTTCTCTCAAACTGCGTTGCCAAAGTCATATGGATGGGTTTTCAATATAAGCGCTGAACTAAATACGCAGTTAGCAAGTAAATCAAAAAATCCACGACCGCCAAATAAGAACTAAAAATAGAATGTTTTACTCGCTCTGAACAACTGCAAAGAACCGTCATCCATGCAGTTCACCGTAAACCATCACATACAAACGCGTTCAATAAAACCCAACAGAACATAACCCGCGTCACACTGACATTTTCTCGCTCCCAAATACCCTGAACTCGTTTTCTTAACGCCACTGCTAGTACGTCTCAAATGCGCCTGCCGGAACATCCCGCATCCTGCACAGACCGACCACGCTCTCAGCCAATGTTAAATATTCATATTCCGAAAATTCTGCTGACACAGCACAAGCAACCACATTGCAGCATTCGTTTTTCCCAAACAGTTGTTGTTGATGATTGTATTCCCCGCCACGGCAATGCAATGGCGTGATTATTATTAAAGTATCCTGTGACCACTCGTCTTTTGATGATACTGCGCACGTCAGCGGATTGTGCAGCTGTTGACCTTTACAGTATCCAGTAGATAAAAATGTCCTACCGCACATCCCGCCATTCAGATCACGTAAGCTGAAATTTTCTTTTAGATATGCAAAATGCACAACGGCCATATTGGTTGTGTTTAGTTTGGCACTCGATCAAGTGGCTCATCCGCGGACTATCAGACGCCATCTTCCAGACGGTATTCGGCGGTACGTGAACGTATACTGTACATCTTCAGCGCTGTAAAACGCGATTAATTTGAATGATATTTTTGGTAAGCATTACTGCCGCATTAGTAATAAGATTTCCGACTGTATGCCGCTATGGCACATGATAAGTTCAGATTCGCTGGCTGAACGGTCGAGTATGTGCACACTTGAAGTGCTGCGCAGATGTTTATAAGCTGGACTGTTATTTACTTTTGATGATGACTAATAAAAAAACTTCCGGTCGATTCTGTGGCCGAGAAAAGGAAATATCCAGTAGAGAGGAAACGTAATCGGACGATTTTTTACTTGTTCAACATTTAGCCTAGATTTAATGGATCAGGATTGCTTGCCCACAAATATTTCATTGAGCTCGAGTAGTGACTACCGGTCAGTTTGCGAATCCAAAACCTTAAGCCTTTAAGTATTGTTGGGCACGAGGATAATTTACCTCCAATCGTTCTGCCGCTATTTTTGGCTGTGAAACGTGGATTTGAGTTGCTCAACCACTTAAAATACCGCGTGTGACTTCGAAACGCGATAGATGTATTTTCCGGTATGATAACCGCTGTATCTTGGCCGGAAAGACATTCGTGCTCATCTCAAAAGACTGGGACTGTTGTGCAACATAATATACGTAATGTGTTTTACGCTTGTTCCTTTTGAAAGTTGGAACTTATCTGCGGCATTACTTATTTGCGCATCTGAGCAGTTAGCTTTGTGATACAGCAGGATTACGAAGTCCAAGACTTTTGCTGGCAACGCTTGCATATAAGAGTACGACGTACATAAGTTGGTCTAGTAATATTCTGTTATATTTATTATTCTGTTATTTCTGTTATAAATATTTAACACTGGGTTAACTTAGTATTCTGCCGTATTATGTACTTGTATATCGATTAATTATAACAGAAGTTCAAATTTGTTTTTGACGCTTGCAATTTGTGCCACCCATTTAAAATAACGTTAACGCGCTTGAATCAGGATTAGCAGAATTTTTAAGAAAACTATCCTCGTGCTACTATTATTTAATTGTGTCTGGAGACTAGCGATATTTCCTTAGGTTTTTGCGCAGAGCTGTCTGTACCTTTACATTTACTACAATTATATCGCGACCATAATGTTACTCTATCATTTGTACACCATAAAATATCGACTTCTGAAATCCAAAATTTCTAAGTGTACATGTTCCTACTCCACAAAGAAGAAAATACAATGAAAAACAATAGATAATATATTCTAATTATACAATACGTTATACCCTGTATACGGTCAATTCTGACACATTCAATTCTTACGGTAGTAAGTTAGTAAGTGAGTATATCACTCTACGTGTTTCTAGAAAAAAATTATGTTTTAAAAAATTTCCGCCCTTTGTGGTGTATTGCGGATGATAAATAAAATTCTTAAATCAGTCTCCTAACTGGTGAGCAGTAATTAGTTAGACGTGGCACTGGCAGTAGTTATCAGACAAGCTTTAACTTAACCAAAAATTATACTGTAAGTCTGCATAACAAGCTACAGTAATCAATATTCTCAGCATTCACAGTTCATATACCGGCAAAAAGTTTTGAAAACATCTGCAGCTTTCGTCTTCCGAAATAGTGCAGCTACGATAATTGAACGATTTGGCCAATTATCTCCTGAATAATGTTGCAAACCCCTTTGGTTTTCAGGGCCGTTCTTACAGCAATACTCCCCACATTTCTAACTATTCCCCTTCAAGTAGCAGCTATCTCCCCAGTCGACCGCCGGCCTACCCATCAACGTCCAGCACATATCTCAGCACTCCGCGTAGCAGCTATCGACGCTCTTCACATGACGTTGGCGATGTTTACAAACGATCATACGAACCAAGTTCAACAAAGTACTCCAGCACGTCGGATATTGTTGGCACAGGAGATTACAGTACACGGTCGGGCGCGCATAAATACGATCACGAGCCCTACACCAGTTCCTTAATTTCATCCCGCGCCTCACGTTCCTATGATAGACTCCCCGCCAACGATACGGACATGTCATTTGCCGGTACAACCGTGCGAACAGCATCTGATTCACCCTATCGCCGTTATCGCAGTCGCGACGAATCAGCATCAAAACCACAACCTGATGAACGCGAAAATGAGGCTGCTGCTGACGCAGATGCTAATAAAAAAACTCGTTATCACAGTCCGGAGGTAGCGGCAATACCGTCAAGTTCAAGATTGGTGCCAAGTGGCCATGATGATCCAACGCGTTTGGACGTAATTGAAGCTGACGCGGATGCAGCCCACAAAAATCAGCAGCCGAATTCTGTGGCGGACGCTGACCATACAACCGCTCGTAAACCGTCGCTGTCCAATGTTAGCGACAGTATCACAAAAGTCTCAGAATGGCAGAAACGCCTGGATTCGGAAACGCCTGAACGTTCCATTCCCCAAACCAGCTTGCCAGATCACGCTACTCCGGAGATAAAGGTCTCGACATTTGATACAGACTCTGACGACGGGGAGGCCTTTTTCTCCACCAAGGAAGATGTCAGTCCTTATAAACGAACAGCGTCACCGTATCTCAGTTTTCGCAAAACCGACAGTAGCGATGCAATGGACACCATGTCATACAGGTTAATGCATAATACAGTAATTACTATTACACCAAAAATTATTTTATCACACTGCCTAAATGTGATATTTATCTGTACACAGAATACACATTATAAATTGTACCGTGTCAAACATTTGTAGTTTGAAGGAATCGTTGAATCCCTGTCCGGGGATAAACTACTTGAGAAAACATCAGTGCTATATTTAAATTATATTGCCGAGACGTAGTAAACTAAATAAATTACGAATTTATAAAGTCAGACCTAACCATAATAGGAGTATAAACATAAACAAAAGGTCTTAGCTGCCTAGTCATAACTGCCGTATAAGATGGTATAAAATGCACCTATCTAAATACGCTGCAATGATTATTTTAATGTTGTAGAACACCCGGCGAGCTTTCAGCAGGTTCTCCTCCTCAATCATCCCTAGCTGATGTCGACGATCACAATCTCGAGACAGATGAGGAAGGCGCGAATATTCCCAGAACGCCTAGTCCAGACGAGCAAATTACTAAACTAAACACGTCGAAACCTCCGCCAGCCAAACCACGCGGAATATCCTTTTTGCGCAGTGACAGTCGGGAATCAACTACCAGTGGCCGGCCTAATCGCTGTTCATCATTTCAAGATCTGAGGGATATCGACAACGCAACAGATGAGCCAACAGTACCTAAGCGCCGTCTTTCCGCCGATAATTTCGACCGGAAGCATATCAGCTTTTTGCCCACGACGGACAGTAGAACAACGGGTGAAAAGGACACCGACAGTGTTAGGTCAAAACGCAGCGAAGACGGCCGCGAGCTGGATTTTATCTCGGACAGTGGCCTACCGGAATCGGAGTTCGGCGAAACTGTCCGAGGATCTGATTCAGAGGAGGAACTACGCGTGTCACATCGTAGCCGTTCTGGTACAAAAGCAGCGGACGAGGATGAGCCCAGCACGTTGATCATCGGTAAAGAGTCGGCTGCGCACAGTGACGACGACACGATGCATGAAGTGTCACCGCCGCGCAAAGATAGTGCACTGGATTCTTCAGATGATAAACGGAACTGGAGCAGTATGAACAAGACTTCCAGGCGGAAGTCCAGTTCTGATATCAGCGATTCCGTATATGATGCCCCGAAAGACCAACCATACGTTAGTCCGTATCGTAGAGGCGGGTTTTTAAGTTTTCTGAAGAGAACCAATTCAGCCGGTGATGAGCTGGAAACTACACCAAATACGGAAGAAAAAAAAGAGACAAAAAAGCAGCGCACCGATAGCGTCGAGAGCGATTTCTGGGATTCGTTTAATGATGACGACAAGCCACGTTCGAAGTCAGCTGACCCTTCGACCGCACCAGTCAGCTATGAAAGTATGGATACGGACGATAATCTGCGTTTCGATGTTTTTTCGAAAAAACGACTAAGCATTGACAACGGAGTGAAAGACGAATTAGTAAGCAAGAAATCTCCTACTACTCCATTTCTCAGTTTTCTGAACTTCAATAAAAATGCGGATGACGAAGCGTTTCCAGGCGCGTCAGATAAAGGTCAGTGCCCTTTCACAATGCGTTTTACCTTCAGTACTTAAATGGATAAAATATTCATCGAGTAAAATGTAACCGTCTGTGCTAGATAGCCGTATAAAATAATTTTTGCGTAACGGCGTACGAACAACGGCATTTTGCCGAATGTAGGTGCTGTAAATATGGTAATTAACAATATTATGCTTTGAAAAGCCTCATGTTGCAATAAACTGGAGCTGAGTGGATGAAATAACTGAATATATGATTACTAGAAACGCCAGAAAGTCCGTCAACAACAGCAAAACTAAAGAAAATACCCTCTGTTGATTTCTGGGCTGAAATTCTCAGTGACAACGAAGGTCACGAAGAGAAACACCCATCTAAGCCGTTACCGGATGATAATGCCATGAATGATAATACTGCAACCAGCAAGACTACGAGCCGTATATCGCAAGATGGAGCCGGCAATTTCTGGGCAGAATTAAACTCGTCAACAGAGCCATCCAACAGCAAGTCGAAGCTGAAGAAAGACGAATCCCAAGAATCGATAGACTTCTGGGAAGAACTAGGCAAAGACGACAAAAGCAATAACATCACAATCGGCCGATCTCTGCAAAGCCAAGAATCCAAGGATAGCGCGCCTGATTTCTGGGCGGAAATTAACGAAGCTCACAATGAGCCACAAACATTCACCAGCAAGGCAAAACTGAAAAAGAATGAATCACAGGAGTCTGTTGATTTCTGGAAGGAGTTAGGAAATGAAGACGAAGGAGAACAGAAGTCAGCTGCGCGGTCACTGAAACATCAAGAATCGGCGGACAGCGGCTCGGATTTTTGGGCGGAAATTAGTAATGATGCCGACACCGAAGACAAAAGCAGCAAAAATGTTCCTTCGCGCAATAACGACGATCCAGGGCAAAACAACAATACAAAAGCAGGCGATGCGCGATTCAAGAGATTGGAAAGCAACGACTCTGTTGATTTTTGGGCTGAAATTAATCCCGCCAACGATAGACCGGAAAATATTCGACAGGAAAAAAATGATTTAGAAGAGATCGACGATAGATCTGGTTCAGAGGTTCAACGCGCAGTATCTCCGTACGCGAGAAGCGGATCAAAACTAGCCAGACCGAGCAGCCTGCCATTAGGCGACTCAAAACCGGGAAACACCGAAGCACTGGCAAGGGAGAATGACCAAGACATGCCGGCTTCCCCGTATTTACAGAGCGATAACTCAACGAAAACACCATCGACACCGGCGACACCGCCAGAACCGAAGCGTCGGTTGTCCCTGTTGCGGCAACGGAGCCAGTCTGCGGATACTGAAGAGACGCGAGCGGAACCGGCTGCCAAATCTCGCCCACCGCCCATTAGCTTTCTTCGGCGCACGAGCTCCGCCGAAGTGTCTCTCAACGATATGTTTGCCGCGAATGAGCTGCCTCCGACACCCAGATCACCACGCACTAATATGGCGTCTCTTCCGCCCATCATAAGACGGTCACCTTCACCTTCGCCGGCCAGCAAGCGATCGCGTGGCTCGGTGGATTCCGGTTCGGCAACTCCAGAGATCCCAAAAAGTCCTGTGCGGGGACCGAAATTTTTTGCTGCCGATACGGTGTTTCCTGGAAGTCCAACAATATCTCCTTCGGCCGAGAAGCCTATTAGCTTTCTGACCGCAAAAGGCTCAGATATATCCGATAAAGATAGTGAAATGAAGGAAGCATCGGAGGTAAAGATGTCGATAAAGTCGCCAAATTCTGAGTATCAGCCAATCAGTTTCTTAAGGCAGTCGTCTTCAATCGCTACAGAAAAAAGCAGCGCAGAAAATTTGCATTCCAATATATCCTCGCCAGTTACAGACAGTTCAAAGGCATTCCAGACCGAAAAAACAAGCGAGGAAAAATCGCAGGCAAAAGTATCTCCAATCAGTTTTCTCCAGCCCAAAAGTGACAATAACGTACCTAGTGCAAAAGTATTCAGCCCACCACAAAGTCCAAGTCCGTATGCGGCTAAACGACAGACTTCCCAAACCAGTACTGTTGCTTCCATCTTCACAACGGAACCGGAGAAAATTGACATAAAAAGTGGACGTTCATTTTCTCCGCCAGTGCCGGCACAAGCAACAAAGCAACGGGAACAGCTTCAGGAATCACCTTTCAGCTTTTTGCCTAAATCAACCGAACCAAAAACCCCGGTGACGGCTGCAACTCCTGATGTGACACCTCTTAGCTTTCTTCCTAAACAACCTGAGACGAAACCCTCATCTAAAACACCTGCGGATAAATCGGCTGAATTAGCCGCTCCCGTCGTTACAGTGGAGATTAAGCCAAAATCTCCAACGACACAGACTCCCCAACAAGATAGCACGAAAATCCGGTCCAGCTCCGTTGAAACTACAGCCCAACGGTCGACACCTGAACCACCTCATCCAATGACCACCATGCGACAAAGGTCACAGTCTAATTCACGGGAGGGCGAGACCGATTCACCCGATAGCACACTTCGACGTCGACAACGCCCGTCAGCAAAATACGCTGAAACTGATATCGAGTCAAAACCGCCGGTTATGTCAGCGAAAGATAGACTCCTCAGTAAAATGCAAGCGGCAGCGGTCACGCCTGAACCGTCGGACCCGTTCGGACAAAGAAAGCTTTCAGTAGCACAACCCAGTGTGAGAAAATTATCAGCGGAAAATATTTCACCATTAGGATCACGAAAATCATCAATGGAAACAACTGAGTTAAGTGAGCAAGAAGCAAAACTAAAAGCGTCACAAGAAGCTGCCAGGCTTCGCAATATTGAGAGAGAAAAAAAGGAACAGGAACGCTTGGCTGAAAAAAAGCGACAAGAAGAGGAACGATTGCGGAAGATAGAAGAAGAAAGGAAACAAAGAGCGGAAGAAGAGCAAAAACGCCGAGAAGAGGCAATAAAGAGACGTGCCGAGGAGCAGCAGCGGAAAGCCAAGGAAGAGGAAGAACGGCAAGAACGAGAGCGCATTCGTCAGCTGGAAGAAAAACTACGAGAAGAAAAACGACAAGTGGAAGACGAGCGGTGTAAGCGCGAGGAAGCGGAAAGGGACGCAATGGACAGAGCGAAGAAAGAGCGCGAAGCCAAGCGACAAGCACTAGAGGAGCAGAGAAAGAAAGAGGCTGAGGAAGAGCGGATGCGTAAACAAAAACTGGAAGAAAAGCGGAAAGCGGACGAAGAACGCCGACGAAAAGAAGAACAAGAAAAATTCGAGGAAGAAAAACGTAAGCGGGAAGAACGCGAGACCAAGCGCCGGGAACAAGAAGAGAAACGCAGACAGGAATTAGAGGCCATCAGACTAAGGGAAGAAGCCGAAAAGGAAAGACTTGCAGCGGAGAAGAAAAAACTCGAAGAACAGAAGCGCAAATTAGAAGAGGAGGAAAAACGGCGAGCGGAAGAGCGGAGGAAACGGGATGAAGAGGAGCGAAAACGGAAAGAAGAAGAAAGGCAGAAACGCAAGGAGCAAGAACTACAAAAATATGAGGAAAAATTTAAAAAGATTGATGAACATAAAAAAGAAATTTCAGACGTCGCCCAAAGAAATATCGAAAGTCACAAAGAAGCCGAACGGAGAAAGCATGAACTAGCTCAAATTAAAATGACCGAGCAGAAGGAAGTAGAAAGAATCCGTCTGGAAGCGGAAGCTGAAAAAGCGCGCCAACAGAATGAAAAGCGTATGAGAGGCGCGCCGGAGCTGGACCCATCGTTAAAGCTGCCTGCTCGCCAGCCGACGCAACCACTTCCACTGGATGCGGTCACGACCGTTCCAAAGCCAACAGAAAAGAAAGTCGGTTCCCTCAAAGACAAGTGGGAGCAACAAGCTGTAACCGAAACGCCTATGCAAAAAGCTTTCACGCCTCCTCAACAAAAAATGGCAGAACAAAAGGCCCAGGTATCAAATAGTACGCAAAAGGTACAGCCGCCAGAGGCAGCATTAACTGCCCAGAAGCCGCAACCACAACAGCAGCCACAAACATCGACGACGCCAGTATCCGCGCAAAGTCCATTTCAAACACCATTACCACGAGATCTGAGTGAACTCTCGAAAGTAACTTTACCGGCATCCATCAGCCAACCTCCGCGACCTACGACCTTGCCGCTAGCGCCATCGCAGCACATTTACGATGAGCCCGGTCCCGTAAAAACTGTTAATATAATCCGGGCACCACCAAAACCACAGAATCAGAACCAGCAGATCAAAGATAAATTTGCCGGTACTCAGGTAGATGCTGGCCGACCGCCCGTTCAGAGCACAGGACAACCGCACAAGCAAGCCCCGAGCCAACAAAGCAAGCACCAGGTTCAGCCGGAGCCTGTCTATGCTGAACCGGATGTTGCACAACGTCCCCCGCCACCAGGACAGCTGAAGCCGCAACGCTCCCGCGGATCGTACATTGGCGGGGTAGTGGATATTGACGATCTGCTGGGCGGCAGTAAAACAAATTTTCTACAAACGGCTCGCACTCGATCACAGGAACGCCCCGGCTCACGCAGTGCCTCTCAGAGTCGTGATCGAGCAGCTGACCAGACTAACAGCCAACAAGCTTTAGGGCAGAGCGGGAAAGCACAACCTGCACAAGGTGTTTCTCCTGCTTCTCCTGCTGTGCCCTGCGTTGTGCTGGAGAAGAAAGATTATGTAAGAAAACGCGTGTGGCATGAATTAAGGCGCTGTCTACGCCCCGATGTGGATGTCTTCTTGGGCTTGCCCGCTTTGCCAGACCCCATGATTGGGAGCTCCCAAACCTCGTATGATATCTTTAAAATTCCCGGAAAAAGTTCGTACTGCAATAAACACGGCAAGGTGAGCAAAAACTTACTGTAGTATCTACTTGTGAATTTTGATCAAATGCCTATCAAACATGTGCTGCGATTTCTCTAAGCACTTGTTGCTAATAATGCTTTAGTATGTTGTAATACAATAGTATGCTGTACAGTACATAGAAGAAAAACGTAAATCTGACTTTAAAGGACATCCGTGCATCGACGTTGGCCATATATAGCTAAGCCGAGGACCATTTAATTTTTCCGCCACTGGTTTGAAATTTTTTATTTTGAGAAAATATTTGTAACTTTGAGGCTTATTACTTTACCTTACCGGAAGCAATCCTACTTCCTACTGAACAAAACTAACCGCTGTCTGTGAACATAAGACATACAAGAAACAGCCTCGGCTTCGCCTCCGCGTTTCTTGTGGTCCATGGCCACTATATTCGATTTCGAACGAGTATTTATATTGGCACAACATCAGCATTCTATATTCTGCCTAACCATAATCGGTTTATCGCGCAAAACCACGGATTTAATATAAAAATGAGTTGATGGTTCTCTCCATTCAGTATTAATTCTCTCAATTGAATTCGTGATTCTCAACTTCATTTTGTTGATTGTCAGTAGCGGTAGGTCGGTCACTCACTCTGGACACTATGGACAGTACCGGTAGCTTGGTAACTCATTCTCTTAACGAGTCCCGCCCATTGGACAGAACCGACAGCGGTCACTCGTTAACTTCACGGGCTTTGCAGACTGGACAGTAACGGTAGCTCGGCCACTCGGGCTCCACACTGCACTGACAGTACCGGTAGCTCGGTTACTCGTTCACCTAATGGGCTCTGTACACTGTCAGATAGCAGCAGTGGATAGTAGTAGTGGCAGTTCGATCTCCGAGCTTCGCAGACTGGACAGTACTGGTAGTTCGTACTCAACTAACTAGCTGTGTGCAATGGACAGTACCGGTAGCTCGGTCACTCGTTCACCTAACGGGCTCTGCGAGCTCGGTCGCAGGCTCACATTACGGGCTCCGCACACTGGACACTATGGACCATACCGGTAGCTCGGTCACTATAATATGATATTCCGAAGTGATCACCCGAAACCTGACGTGCTCGAAACCTGACGTGCTGTGCAGTATACAGTCGGCATTCTTTTCAAGTTCAGCCTCGGCTCGGCTCGGAAACGGCCTCGGCTTTGCATCCGCGTTTCTTGTGGTCAATGGTCACTTTATTTAGTTTTCAATAAATATTTATTAGAATAACATATTTCGTCGAATCATAATCGGTACATCGTATTAACGCAACAAAACGGATTTTATATAAAACACGGAATTTAATTTTATATGATTTTTTTAATCAGTTCATGATTCTCTCAAATCACCATAACTTCTCACAACTGAATTCATGATTCTGTGGACCTCAACCTCATGAATCTGGGTAGTGGAAGCTCGGTCACTCGTTCATTTGACGGGATCTGTGCATTGGAGAGTAGGGCCAGCTTGGTCCCAAGTTCACCTAACGGTCTCCCTACACTGGACAGTACCGGCAGTTCGGTCACCCGCTCATCTAACGGGTACTGGACAGCTTCGCGAGATGGGTCACCCGCTCGCCTAACGAGCCCCGTACACTGGACAGTACCGAGGGCTCAGTCACCCGTTTACCGAACAGGCCCCGTGCACTGCACAGTACCGGTAGTTTGGTCACTCGTTCGTCTGACGGGCTCTGTGCACCCGTTAACTCGGTCACCCGCTAGGTCGTTTGCCTAACGGGCTATTTGCGCTGGACAGTACTGGTTGCTCGGTCACCCACTCACCTAGCGGGTCCCGTACACTGGACAGTACCGGTAGCTTTGTCACTTGGTCGGCCGGCACTCGTGCAGAATTGTCCTCGATGACAACGTTACATTTGTAGTCGTTCTTGTCGTAATATCGGTTTGCTAATTAAATTCATTCTGATAATTTAAATAGTAGAAATGACTTTCATTTTTTAGCTATATTTTAGGCAACATTGCCTGGTTAAAAATACCACGATGATTATTATTATTACAGTAATTTAGTTGCATTTGGTGAAGGTAATCAAAACTCTTCCGCTTTGGCGTTCGAAGCGGGAGAGGTTTTGAAAGAAATGAATACTATCTGGCCGGGTTTTTGACTACGGGCTTTCAGAATATAGTATTGGTTTTGGTCAGTCTTTTTTGATTTGCCGGCTCTGGTGTATTCCATTCGTGGGAATACAGATCTGAATTAGGATATATCGTATATTATTATTTTTTTTTTGAGTTTGTTGGTACAGTACTTACTTATACTATGTATTCAAAATGAGCGGTCCGGTTTTAGAAAATAACCGGTATGTTTTCTAAATTATTAGTTCTAATACTTAATAATATTTCAGTGATTAAAACTGAGAGTGACACTTGAGTGGAATCATGAAGTCGTCATAACTGTCCCGATTCAATAATAGCTTTAAAATTGCTAATACCGAATCTCCAGTTTGTTGATTTAAATACATATGTCATGCTTGCGTCATATCTATATACGAGTATCCTAAGAATCGCATGATGCTACGTACGCGCGTTTGCCGTAGGGCAAAAGCAATTAAGGTCTTCTGTTGGGCTCGCCCACGATCTGCAAACGGCGAAGAGAAGCTACGTTTGCGCATTTCGTGGTCTTGGAATAACGATAGAAAAACTCGCCAAACTGCAGCAAATGACAGACGCCGCTCGAACCCATGCTATTCCCTCGCCGCTGTGGCGCGCAAAACACCAGCATTTGTTTCTGCTCTGTGACTGCGAACGAACAACGCTTAAAAATAGCTACAGCGCACAACTCTCACATCTGTCAGGTCCTGAACGGAAATAGTGTCTTGTTGACAATTCTAGAACATTCAGAACTTAACATCTGACGGCAACAGAGGGCCAATCGATGCGTTTCAGTTTTCGCAATCCTCACAACCATTTGTTAAAGCATTCGGTCTCTCCATCAATTTTTCAATAGCATTTTCTGTTCGATTTCTTCTAAGTACGTGGACAAGAGCCCAGTAGCTAGTATGGGTAGCCAAATCAGCCCATTAGGACTTCCGCAGTGACGTACTTCCGGTTACTTGGCTTTGATAGGCTGCAGACAAGAATGCCCGCCCACTAAATGTATAGGATATTTGCCGTTTGCGACACTGCACAGTGAACCGCTTTTGTTGCTGGCGTTGTTTTGCAAACCAAAACATCCACTATTATTTTACTGTAGCCATGAGAGACTTGAAACAGTCCGTTTTCTAAAAATTTTTGTTCTCGCCACGTATGCGTAACGACTTTGGAAGTTATGTATAACTGATCAAAACAGCGCACAAACATTCCTGCGTCCGTATCCTTCTTCTCAGTTTGATTTCTCCGATGGTCCTACGATGGATCAAACTCAAGTCTTGTTTGTTTGGATTAATGATTAATCATTTTTATTGAAGCGATTTGGGTGTTAGCTTTCGCTGATTGATTTGGAATTCATCATGACTTTAGTAATAAAAGTTCAGTTTTTAAACGATACCGATCCGTTTTCGAGTACACAGTATCCAGAACCAACTAGACCGCCCGATTTTTCATTCGATGATTCCATTCCGCTGTCAGAGCAAATAGCTGCAGTTCATCGGTTGTTGAGACCCCCTCAAAGAGTAAGACATTTTAAGACTTGCGTTGATAACATTATTTTTAACGAATCTATTTAGAGCTGCATTTGCATTAACATTATTGTGTTTATGATAAACAGATGAAACAGATCATTAACTTAAAGGTATGACCATGACCGTATGAGCAATATTTTCTAAAAGCTTTCTGACAAAAATTTTGGTCATAGGCCACGACCAGCGATTGAATTGACTTTTCTTCAGTTTTAAATGCGAACATATCTGCTTATTAACTTTTTGTCCTTCCTTCGATTGAGCGTTGGGTAATTGTTAACTTAATTTTGTGGTTTTAGACGTCTTGTTATTACGGTATTCTGGTGAGGTTGAAACGGCTGTCCTATGTAAAGCCGCACTGCCGCAGCATCGTTAATGGCTCGTTACAGTATCGTCGTGGGTTCCTCATGATCAACAGAGCAGATAGTTTCAGTGGCTTAGTTGCTGGCGTTCAAGTGCGCATGCGCGACAGATCTCCAGAAATCTGCATGCGGAAGAGTTTGTTTGCAGGACGTATAACGGAGAAATAGAACGGTTTATTTTTAGTGTCAGATTTCCAACCAACTGTCATCCATACTTTGAACGTTCTGAGATTGGGACAGGCTCTGCACCAGGGCACCAGCGCAGATGCAGCGCTTTCATTGCGAATTTTCTTCAATGGAGCCTGCGGCTTTCTGTGCTAATAGCTGGTTTCGAATACTGTACAGTTTTTGTCGAACTATAATTTTTGACCTAGTGCTTAACTGCTTTGGTCAGAAGTCTTCGTGCAAAATAGAAAAGCGAAATTGTTTTTATTGTAAATTAATGAGAAAATTATGGCAGAAAAGATACCGGTGTGTTTATTTGTAACTAATGATTTGCACATCGCAAAACACAGTACTTACTGTGTACCGGCAGCGCCGCTAAGCGCTATCGCAGTACATGCTACACTTACAAATTAAGGCTGAATAGTTCAAACAAAGTCGGTGAATAATTCAGAAAAAAATTTTATTTTGGCATCGACATTTTCTGTTTTGGAGCTTTAAGTTTTTAACGGTACGCATTTGTCAGATGCCCATTAGCAGGTGTTTCGGTCCTAAACAAGAAAAAGTGTGTCTTGGCACTAGAATTTTTTTTCACGAAATAGGGTTATTTCTGTGCAGGTTTCTGATTATCACTTACTCTGTGATCAGTGTTAGCTCGATTAGCAAGTGTAAACATTCACTGCTATACCTGTAAATCTGCGGCAGTTTTGCCATTGTCAGCTAGCAGGTGCAAACATTTCACCTCTCAATACGTGTACTCAAGCGTGGCTGAAGCTGCGAAAGCTTTTTTGCTGATACGATGTATTCAAATGGCACTGGCTGATACATCTTTTTCATTGACTGCTCAGAAGTTTTGTTACCGGTAAGGGCAGAAAGCCGTTCTTAATCAGAAAAACTTTGACAATGTAAAGCAGCTGCAACAAAAAATCTAACACACAGAAATTTTACAACAGGAGTATGTTTTCTATTTTATCCTGGCCAGGTAGTATTTCCTCGTTGAATCTGTATGGATAGAATCCAATAAGACACCTTAGACACGTTTTTTGCCCTTTTCAGTATGGGAATTGTGAATGAATTCCAGAACCGTAAATACAAATTTAGTTGCAGTATCTGTACTTACTAGTAGATCTGACAGTTAATGGTAAATCATTTAATTTCGTTGGTAATACATAATTGTATTCTGTGGAGCGTAGTCCTGTTCGGTCAGAACTGGTGGCAGCAAATGTTCGCGAAGAAGACTTACCGGCTTCCTGCTTTACAGGTTGACGACTGTGCCCTACAGTTGTGGCGGTACAATGACGCCGGTCAGCTGGAAAACTCCTCGTATCTTGATCTTGAGTCAAGTATTGACGAACAACGAGAAGAATTTGACGGCTTCTTCCATAAGTATGTCAATGCTTTATGGTTTACGTCTGGCAGCATCAGTGTTGTCTACAGTCTACCTTACGCTGTGTACGAGTGTAAACAAAAAAGCACTTACGGTTATGAAACGGGATACCGTATGGGTTTGCAGGGCGTTTCCTTTGCATCTATTAATACGATTCACTTGAAGTCTTCACGCTCTTTTCAAATTAGATGAAAAAGCAGACTTAATATTAATTATGTAATTATAGACTGTTTGTGTTATGAAATATTCCTAATGTCAGATACAGCGTCGACTTTGTATTTTGATTCATAAGATTCCCTTCGCTCTTATTTAGACAGCTCATTTGGCAGATTATTTGCTTAGTACAGCTTGCTTTTTATTTTAATGACCGTCGCATCTTCGTAACCTACAGTTGATTTGTGAGTTTTGTTCAGTGGAAACTTTCACGAATCCGAGCATGTCTCCCAGTTGTGTCTCTGGTTGCAGTCGTCGGAACGCCATGATATTGCGGACATCATTAACGGTTCGTGTGCATACAATCGTCGGTAAGTGCAAAATGTAAATTTGCCGTTATACAATAATTTATTTAATATAATGACCATGTTATATAGCAGAAGAGTGTTGAACAATTTTTAACCAGGTTTATGCCACAAAAATTTGATTTTTTCTTGTGCTGGAATTGTTTGACGTATCTGTAGTAGTGATTATTAACGTTCTGCGATATGGTATTTTTATGCTTATGACCGGTCATGGTGTCGCAAAAACATTGAAGTTGTGTAATTATGCGGCTAGTCATGAACCATATGATGTGAATTCCACGCAAAGCGGAGGCGTTGCGGTGCATAAGCATCAGTTGTTGTCATTCATATGTTTAAAGTTGGGTACCACATTGGTCGTAGTTGTTGACCATTTTGTTATGTTTCTAGAAAAGCTTCTACACTCAGATGGACGGGAGTTAAGAAGGGCTTTGTTTTCCCTTAAGCAGATCTTCCAGGCAAGTGTTGATATGTTTTTACGCCCATGATAAATATGTATGACAGTGAATACTGTATGTATGTATAATATCTATATATGTTAGAATTTTAGTAACACTTGTACTAATGTGTGTTAGCTCGAATTTACGTTTACATTGTATTCGGGTGCAGATGAGTGATCGCTAAGATTAATCTAAGTAAATTGCGCAAAATTGAGGGAAAAATTAGTGTGTTTTTACACTGCTGACAAAATTGTGCTTGCAGGATGATAAGGATCTTGTACATGAATTTGTTACACATGATGGGTGAGATATCTAAAGAGGTTGCGGGAAGAGATAAAACATGATTCTAATGTTTTGCTTTGTAGATTGGATTGTTTAATGAAAGTCGGAAGCGAAGCCGATCATAACTATCAGAATTACATTCTGCGAGGTACGCCAGGTCACCTTTTAATACTTATCGTGAGCTTTGTGGCGCCGATTAAAAAATTTGTGGTTTTGACGTGGGTAAAGATTCCGCTATTCTTGCAGCACTTGGTCAAGTGATGTTGTACGTGGACGGGATGAACGGCGTTATCCAACATAACGACACAGTCCGTTGGTTGTACACACTTCTTGGCTCTAAGGTTAGTTTCAAGTGCCAGCTGTCTGAACGGTGCATGAATAGTGTTTTGAATATAGAATCGCTTTGAAAGCAGAAGGCGCTTGGTTTAGTTTTCTTAAAGTAGGATGCATTTTGTGGTCAGACATGTAGCTTCCCGGAAGCAGCTTGTTTTCGTTTTTTGCAGTACCGTCTTGTGCAAAAAACTGCGTTGAAACTTCTCTTGGTCTTTGTGGAGTATGCTGAAAGCAATTGCGAACTCCTGGTTGAAGCTATTGAAGCGGTTGACAGAGTCAGTCGCGAGAAGCCATGGTCAAATGTAATGAAAATTTTAAGCGAAAAAGATCCCAGCGATCCGGAACTGCTCGTCTTCGCCATGACACTGATCAATATGGTAATGAGATTCGAAGCCAGGCGCTGCTTCCGTAGCATTGTTTTCGTGTTTATGGTTTGTACGGCTATCTTAACAGTACAAGTAGACTGTTGGAAACGTTGATTGGTTGAGCACATATTTTAATTGATTGTTGCTTTATGTTGCGAAAAGATCAGTTAACGGCATCTTATGCTGAACTGTGACACATGTGTTGAAGAAAAGTCAGTGATCCATTTTAAGATTCTGCGAGACTTTGATTCGCGTTTAGAAAATAGTAGTTTATAGTGTACTGAAACGTATTATGACTTGGTACCGGTTGTTCATTATATTGAATCGAAAATGTGCCTGCCTAAATGCCTAAATGTGAACTATTGTGTATCGTTTTTGACAGACCGTGCAAGGCATTCCAGACCAGGATACCTTTTATGACGTCGTCGACCATCTCGAAGAACTGGGTATGCTTGATGCTTGCGAATATCATAAAAAGCGAAAAGGCTCGGATATGGAATTAATACAGCAGATCGAAATATATGATGTGAGTGGGTGCATCCTTGATAGTGCTTGTATCGGTTGTATGTACCTTCGATTCCTTTACCCGCTTTCGTTCTGTTAGGCTGTGCTGAAGCATGAGGATGGTATGAAAAGTGCCTTACCCGATCAGCCGAACATTCGACAGCTTCCTAGGACCAAGAAAGCCGGCGAAGAACGAAAGAGTCGTCGACATGGCGGTGCCGGGCCAGAACAAGTCAATGGAAAGCCGAACGGTCATTCGTCCAAACCGATTTCTTTTCTGCAACCTGAAGCTGCCAAAACTCAAGTGCCTGCATCCCCGTCCACACTGCGAAAGCGATCTGAATCACCTTATGCGGATCCTGGGGATACACGACGGAATCAGTTGACAACGCCTTCGCCCAACCGTGCCAGAAAAGTGCCTTATGACCGAAACGACTCAGGATCGTCAGTGGCTTCCAGTACGTACAGTCCAGTGTCCACTTCTGCAGACTATAATGCCGTTACCAACCACGCACCTGGGAAGACTGTGGAAGCGGGAAGAGGTGAGCTTTGTGAGCAAGTTTACTGTTTGTTATTCTCGATCGTTACTTTGTATCAGAAAGCCAGAAAAGTTCTCTGAGTTTGGTCTGAAATTTTACTTCCAAACTAGGTGCGCCACGCCGATATGGTGAAGTTGCTAAGCCCGCTGCTGAGCCTCCTAAACCATCGCCGACATCTCCTTTTACGCGTCCTGCACCGCCCGGTATGGGCGTCAAGCCCACGGTGAATGAGCCTGCACCAGAGCCCGGACGCCGTGATTCCATTATGACTGAGAAGAAAAGTTTTGCTATGGGTATGATGTACGCGTCTACCCCGGATAAATCTACCTCCCCCACTCCGCAGCCACCTGCGGTTTCTCCAGCAGTTGCACCGTTCAGATATCCCGTCCCAGGGGCTGCGCCGGCACCTGTTGCTCCTGCAGCTCCAGCTGGTTCACTTGCTGAAAAACTGGCCAAGGCGCGTGGTGGCCTAACAGCCGCCCCTGAGGTACCAGATGCAGCGCCTGCGCCACTACCAGCGACTTCGCCTACGGCTCCCATGACTGCCAAAGCCCAGGCTGCCGCTATAGCTGGTGCTATTACTAATAAGAACCTCAGTCGAGGATTATCGAAGATTGACGAGCCGGGTGCGCCATCCGCAGCGCCAGCACAAAAGTCTGAGACCGATTTACTCTGGGAAGATCTGGAAAGGACCTTCAAACGACCCCTGAAACTTAACGAAATGGACTTCACTGACCTTGTAGCCGGGGATGATCTCGACGTGCTTGCACCTCAAGCGATGATGATGGGCGCAGGCGGTGGTCCCCCACCGCCCCCGGGTGCTCCACCAGGACCCCCACCACCTCCTGGCTTCGGTCCGCCGCCACCTCCTCCCGGTTTCGGACCTCCACCACCACCAGGAGCTCCTCCTGGTACTTCCTTGACGAAGTCTTGGTCAGCTTTTTCTAATCTTATTTTCTTGTTTTGACAGGTCCGCCCCCTCCTCCTGGATTTGGGCCTCCTCCGCCTCCGGGTTTAGCCCCACCTCCTCCCGGACCTCCGGGAAGCAGGAGTGCCTCCCCCGCACCGGGTGGGAAACCTGGCAAGAAAATGGTCAAAGTCTTCTGGAAAGAAACGAAAAATCAGCCATTACCGCCTGTGATTGCTAAAGAAGGAACAATTTGGGACAATGTTAAACCGGTCGAAATTGATAAAACAAAACTGGAAGCCTTATTCGAGGCAAAGCAGAAAGAATCTGCCAAGGTTTGTGCAGCAGTCCATGTTACGCGTCATTTAACAACTGATCTCGCTAATTATGCGGGTTTTTGTTCTTGTGCGTCGTCATCACACACGACTTTTGTTTGACTAACAGGTGGAGGTAAGGCATAACCTTGAATCACTAAACTAATATGGACTTGGAAAACTGTGTTCACATTTCGCTATTGTTGTCTACAACAGGCCACTACCGATAAGAAAATCAAAGATGTCGTCGTTCTGGACAATAAGCGATCAAACGCCATTAACATCGCATTGACCAAGTTACCACCGGCTCGAACTATTAAGACAGCAATTATGAAGATGGACAGTACGATCATGAGCAAAGAGGGGATTGAGGTAAGCCTTTTCAAGAGTTTGATTTTTGAATCGGCTAAATAATGTTTCGGTGGTTGATGTGTCGGGATTTTGCAACATCTGTGTGACAAATTCAAAAACAGTAAGCGGTATGCCTACGAATTATTAGTAAACGAGGATTTTCTGTATGTTTCGTGCACAGTTAATTTTGTTTGCAGAAAATACTTTCTGGTTTGTTACCAACCGATGAAGAGAGGACCAAAATTTTGGATGCTCAAATGGCGAACCCTGAATTACCCTTGGCTTCGGCAGAACAGTTTTTGATTACCTTGACTACTGTTACTGATCTGGTTCCGCGGCTGAAGTTGTGGTTGTTTCAATTGGATTTCCCCAATATTGAAAAGGAGGTTGCTGAACCGCTCTTAGATCTGAAACTCGGCATGGAAAAGCTTAAGAAAAGCGCAACGTTCAAGAATATTTTGGGCATGTTACTAGCAGTGGGCAACTTCCTGAACGGTGTAGAGGCCAAAGGTTTCCAGATTGATTTCCTGACTAAAGTTCCGGAAGTGAAAGATACAGTGCGGAAAGAGAGTCTTATGCATCACGTTTGTGACATGATGCAGGAGAAATTCCCACAGTCCACTGATCTGCATTCGGAACTGGGAGAAATCTCACGCTGCTCCAAAGTAGACTTTGATGATCTGAAGACGAGTCTCGATAAAATGGAAACGGAATGCAAAGCGTCTTGGGATCACTTGAAGGCGATCGCGAAGCACGAGCAAGGAGAAATGAAGCAGAAGTAAGGTTTCCGTGATAAATGATATTTTTATTTATTGGAATGGGTCCAATTTTCCAGTGAGCTGTTATCTGACTAACCAGTAAATCAGAGTAATTGCCGATCTGTACAGGACAACTTCTTCTTCGCAGTCTACAATAATTATAACAAAACGGATAACAGCCTGGTTTGACTTCCGTCATTTGCAGGATTACGCAATTTTTGAGCGATGCGGCGGAACGGATTATTGTTCTAAAGATTGTCTATACGCGTGTGATGAACCGGTTAGTTAGTATACGGTTTATGCTTTATTTGCATTATCAGCCTTTCAGTTGGGTGGCACTGAAGAATTCTGCATAATTTCACAGTTATCACAAATTCCTGATATGGATGGGCCTTCCGATGTCCCAATCAAAGGAGACAAAGCCGCATCAGTTTTGTAAAATAATTAGTGAGTTCGCTTTGGAGTACAGAACCACACGGGAGAAAATAAAAGAAAAGGGCCAGTCAAAGATTAAGTACAAAGATCGCAAGCGAACGCGCGGCAAGCTTATTACCGAGGTGAATCTAATTTGTTTAACTTACATGCTACTGTTAGAATATGCAGCTTGTATTTTCAATATTTTGCTGTTTGTTTATTTTGCTGTTTGTTTGGATGCATGTTGTATTTTGAAAATCGAAGTCAGTGATTAATTTTTATGATTCATTTTGTAGACGGATAATTTCGCTGGTACTTCACCGACACCTGGTGCTCATCCAGAAGATAAAGCTCTACAAAATCTTCTGAAGAACGGCACGGCTAACGATAGCAAAGTGGCGAATACTCACGGTGTGAAGGTGCGCACTCGGCAGTCCTTTGAGCCGGCCAAGCCAGCTATTGCACAGGGTGCCAGTGATGACACGGAGGAAGAGGATGCGATGCTAGAGAGTCTGGTGAAATCTGCCACTGGTAGCCGTAAAACTCCTGCCGATAGAGCCGACAAGAAAAAGCAACCGTCACGGATTGTTAATCGCAAATCCCTGCGCCGTACACGAACGCTGAAGCTGGATGAAGTCGATGGGCCGCAGTAGTTGGGCCGAATAGATTTTATGGCTTTTTATTTGTAGAGATTAATTATTCTTCGTGTCACAAAAAGGGATTGCGATATTTGTAATCTCTTGACGCGCATTTTTTTGTGATTAACCCCCAAATTTTTTGTGCTTTTTGCTCCGATTTTGCCCTAATCAGATTTGCGAAGTTACTACGTACTAAGTGTTCTTCTTATACTGCAGTAGTATTTTTGGCCTTTAGATATGCTGCTTTGCTCATCCGGTTCATTTGAATATTTTATGATGGTTTTAACTTGTATATAGATCTTTTGGGTTCGAGCTGGCCGTTTGCTCGTGGTTTGTGTAGTCTTGAGCTTTGATAAAACAATTTAAAGAATTAAAATCCGTTATTTAGACGTTAGCTACTTAATACCACTGTCAGTCAACAATGTGAACCACGAAGATACAAAACATCATAAAATGCAACCGTATCATTACGGTGGTAATACAGACTACAGGGTAATACAAAGGAGTAATATGTTGTAGACATCTAGCAGAAGTATCTACAACGTACAATATATTATGTGCGACGATCATTAATAGACGATCGGCCGACATTCACAGATGCTAGTTCCTTCACAGGTCTTCCTTCTGCCACTGGCCCACTGCCCAGATACTGTATTAGTGTAGTATGGAGTACTATGAAGTATGGACATGTATATTGTTAGTGCTTCTACTGGGTGCCCGATAGCAAGCCGTCAACCATCAAAACACCTTGTAATTTTAAAATAAACATTGTGTTACCAATGATCAGATTATAAATGACCGGCACCATAAACATGCAAAGTTGGCACCGGCTGCCGCACCGCGAAAGATGACATGCAGGTAGCGCCGTACTTGTAAAACTGTTGTGCTACAGACTCCGACAGTTTGCCGTTATGATAACCTCATGGACAGTGCTGAGAAATACACCCATGTCCGAGGTTAACCAACACATGGAATAGTGATGCAAATTTTTGTGTGTTCAAATCTGTTGCTACCTCGGATTTAAGTATTTCTTCGTTCATTTGCTCTCATCGCTTCTCGTTATTTCGATACTACTCAGCTTAGCTATACTCAGCCGGTTTTCTGCTTTGGTGGGACAAGATGGAAATGTGGTAAACCGGAAGGAATTTTTGGACTAACAATAATAATGGGGATGTCTCAGCGCAACAGTGTATATATAATATGGGTGGTGATCGTGGTGTTGGTGACCATGGCGGAACAAGGTAAGCAAGTACACACGGGAAATTACCACGCTTTACGCGGAAGACTGCCGCAAAGCAGACCTCATTCGATATATAATAATTAATTGTCGTTGTCTGATATATTTTAGGTCGTCTGTCTTATATATATGCAAACATATTTTCGTTGGTGAAAAACAAAACCAAATTAATTTTAACCAATTATAATGATATTCGTTTTAAACTGCTGCTAATATTTGTTATATTGTTTTTCAATATTTGCTGTATTGACTTTTATCGAATAAGAATGCATAAAATTATTTAATACCAACTCGCATTGTTTAAAGCGACTAAGAAACATTTCTTTTGGTTATTTAAACTTTGGGCTGTGTTAGGGGTCTGCTTGCACTGCTATCAGTGTGACAGTGACATACATCCTGGATGCACCTTAGCCCCTAAACCCGAAGCCCTAGGGGAATACCTGATTGACTGTACCGGGATATCCAACGTGACACAGTGCGTTAAAACAGTTGGACCTGCAAGTATGGCGCTATTTAATCAAACTTCAATGTAACAATTAAATTTTGCAGTTAGGTCTTTTTAATCAGTCCGGTTCATGATATTGAGCAATAAATGTGTGTAGAGATATTCAATACTTACTTGTTATGATTGTCATCTCCAGGTAAAATCATACGCGGCTGTTCGGCAGTGATGTCAACGGAATCCCGATGCACTTCAGAGCGAGGACTGATCATATGTACATGCGATACCGATTTATGTAATAACTCGCATCGTGCGAAATGGCGCGTGGGCATTATTTATTCCGGCTTTTTTCTTTTTTCGCTTTGTTATAATTATGTTTGAAACATTGGATTCGAGTCAAAAATTTCTATCATTCTGTCCACAATATTGATCATATCCTGAAAATCTGTTTATCTGCGCGCCGCCGAAAAAAAATCAGTGCTTCTTGACTAACAGTGATTTCTTCGTTATTTAGCAATGAGCTATGTACTGTGCACTGTCTTTCCTGTGATACGGTTCCGCCATGATGCGATATTAAAACTAGTACTATGTTGCTCTTTTGATTATTACATGCAGAACTGTTTGTGCCTCCAAAATATGTAGCACTGAGGAGCATTCTACAAAGTCCAAGGATGCTAGCCAAAGTGTTAAGTTGAGTATCAGCTGTTGTTTAAGTGCGCTAACGGTAAAAACTAACTCGCCGCAAATCCAGTATGTTGCGTCAGCAAATATTCTCTCCCTTAACTGCCGCTTTACATAATGACACTATTAAGGCAGAGGCACATAAAAATAAAACATTTACGCAACTCTCTTCTGGCAAGTGACTAGATTTCGCATAAAACATGCTTATAAATGCATTCTAAAGTTATCACTATGCAGTATGCACTTGCCCAAGAAGCACACTGTACACGAACACAAGATCTGTTCTCACATGGAAGAAATACAGTATTTGTACAGATAGTTGTACTGTACATACATATGCTAACAATAAGTTCAACTCATAAATCCTACAAATATTTTATCAGAGCCAGTGTGAACGGGAAGACTGTGAGGAAGCTCCAGGAAGTACGGGATGATGTATTGCACATCTCTACTTTGCAAAGGCATTGGCGGTTTCCGTCTTTATATTCGCACACTTGATCGTTAGAAATCGGCAGCTTAGTCTGATCGTAGTAACAACCCCGCCATATATGTCCTAAAATTTGGTAAATCCAACATTCAATCAAAACTCATTGATAAATTTTGCTATAACGGAAGTGTGTACACAAAACTACAAAATTAGTATACTTGCTCTTAAGAAAATTACGCCGCTGTTTCAAATTGTTACTTGCACTGCACTTTCTCATACTGATAAAGTAGACCTAATACTAGGGAATCACGTTATTAATTTTTACTTACCATCTTTATAATAGATGACGGCGCAGGAATTGTACGTATCGGCTCCATCTTTGTTACAATGCTGTACGAAGTTATCCCGGCAATTGTAGTTATTTTTGCAGGCAGAACTCAGAGTCTCACACACTCTTCCATCGTTGGCGTTGCGGCTATTACATGACCAACAGCGTAGATTGGCAAACTCTAGTAAGGATCAGTGTCATTACTGTTATACTGCATAACTTCATAACTGTTATACTGCTATACTGCATAACTTCGATCGGTGCAAAAAACTTGTAAATCTGGTAAGCAGTCATCTTTCAAATTGTGCAATGTCCTACCTGCTGCTCCTGTGGCGAAATGTACTACAGCCAGGACAGAAAAGAATACTTTGAGCAAAAGACTGAGCATTTTTTGTAATCCGAGTTTTCCAGATTTGCACTAGCGAATTGTGTGTAAAGAATCACATTCCGTTCTTTAAAGGCGGTTTCCGGCTTTCCGCAACGTGAACGTAGTTAAAAAGCCAAAGATAAGTGCAGCGGATTACACGCCAACCCTGTCAGCATTGCCAGCATCTCTTAAAATAAATTCACGCCATCTTTCGATGACAACACTCCGATACACCACGAGAGATAACTTCTCTGTGTATAGTTGTGGGGTACGTAAGTTTATAGAGCAAACACACGCAAGAGTCTCGGAGCGAAGTCTTTCCGAGTTTAGAAGTTGGGCTGTGTGTATCGATCTTGTGCTGCATGCTGCCGGCGCATCGAACATAAAAAACTGATTCTTAATAATGCAGATTACCATTGCGTAAAATGATACAGTAGAATGGAAACTGGTTATTTCACTCAAAATGTCACACTGTGTAGTACGCTGTTACACATTGGCATGCGAATGAACTAGAGTTATTGCGCAGAATTACGCTTGTGTGTACTATTGATGCCAACAATGTTTAGCATTGTGTTATTCTGCGCACTACGAATTACAGATGCATAGAATACTTAACACAATGCTTTGACTTGACCGACACGAAAATCACCAGTCTTATTAACATTCATAATCTCTGCGGTTTCGTGTAATATTAATGTCATACGAACATTTGTTGGCATAATCTGTTTTGCGCACATGGATGGAGCGGAATAAATTCAGTTATAGGTCCTTATTGTCAGCCGAACAACCAATATATAAGAAAATCAGTTCGGATTTAAAACTGGTTAAACTGATTGATATTCCATAGTTCGAACGTAATTCTGTGCGTAATTCTCTGTGGACTAACACTTCGATAAAAAGAAGTGCTTATGTACTGTATCTAACAGAACAAACTACAAATTATACAACTACAGTACAGAGTAGTTAACAAATGATCAATAAAGCTCCAAAAACCGTAATAGACTGTATAGACTGTATCGGCCATTCTGAACCGCGTGTAAATGCTCGCACCTTCATATTTGCGGTGGATGATCCATATCGCACGATCGGCAGGCACCTTCTGGACTGTTCTGCATTATTTTGTGCGCTGTAGAGTAACGACTATTCAGTGTATTGTTTTCTGGCCCAGTCGTTCGTCATCTCCGCCACCGAGTGGTCCCAGTATGCTTGAGCAGAAACGAATTCATTTGGTAATTAGTCAATTACCATAAAGACGCGTGGCTCAGCTGTTGCTTGCGTCGTCGCATCTTCACCATGCACTTCACCATCCTGCCCTATATACATATAATTAAGGGATTGTCTCATTAGCAGCGGTTTAAGAGGGGCACGGTGACGGGAAGCGCGCGGAAAGAAACGCGCGTGCGCCCTCAGGAAAAATGATCGAGAAGCAACAGGCTGCTGCTGCTGGCAGCTGCTTTATTAGCCCAAACACGGATCGTATTTTCTGTAAATGGCGTATGCTGCGCTATGCATGGTAGGACGCGTGGCTGATCGAAATCCATTCATTCTGACCGGCTGCTGTACTGTACGCCGGCTTGTGTTCCGCCGCTCACTGTCTGGAATCAACCTGTTTGACACATCAAAGAGCAGAACGGACGGATGGACACCGGTCAGCAGGAATAAACACTAGGCTTATGCTCCTTAAGACAGTCCACACCTGTCCATCATTAGATCGAGCCTTCTTCAAAAGCTTTCTAGCATCTTTAGCAAACATTTAGCGTATAAATTCTGACAGACTCGAGTGCAAAAGAAAGCGCAGAGGATGTGTTTTTCCATCACGGATGAGAATATTGTTAATATGTGCAAAAAATGACTGCAGAATATTAGTTATGGTTAGTGACGATTAAATGCTTCACAATCTTAATCGTAATGTTGCGCTACTACGAAAAAACAGGAGCACGTAAGTATCTAAAGATCAAGAGATTCAGATAAATCAGGTTGATCAACAGTACTGAGTACGCATGCGTAAATTCAAATGTTTTATGTTTTCATGTTTGTGTGTATGTACAGTGTGGTGCCCTTTTCTTTTGGAAACTCTCGTACGAAAAAATGATCTTCTCAAAGTACGTTTAGACAGCAATAAAGATGGATGTACATAAATTTGCTTAAAGATAAGTTAAACTAATTAATAGACCGTAATACGCCAAATGTTATGGTGAGCATGCCGGCTTCGGCTTGTGATACTGAATCCATGTGCGGCTGTGCCCGTTATAGAATGTGATGAAAATCAGCAATTAGCCATCTTTCATTAAGAAGGGCTGTGTAAATGAAGGAATAATTGAAATTTCATTCGCTTCCTCAATTATCACATCCGTTGTCCACACAACAAGTCAAGACGGGTTCATACTGGTGCGGTTTCATTCAAATGGACAAAGACCAACAGCAGCTGTTACATGGACTTATATATAGCTGCCTGTTCGCGCGTCAACTCTCTGTGTCGGTCTCGCTCTTTCACTCCCTTTCGTCTCCTCCATTAACTTAAAGTACATAACCATTGTGTGCCATTGATAAGTTGGGGCTGGCTGTGTAAATGAATGAAAAATGCTTGCTATTCTCCCCATCACAAAACGGTCATTCTTTGTCCATTTCCGCATATGCTGGCAGTTTCCGAAATATTACTACGTTTACCGTACAATACCGCATACGCTAGATTAAGTGAAATACTACGATTCAGCAGATTTCAGCGGTTAAGACATTAGTTGTTGTCCGAGACAGCCAAAATGTTTGCAACAGGTATTCGCTTATCGGGTGCGTTAGTGACAAGCATACCGGTAATCTCGGAAGTTTTCGCTTTCTTGGTTGGAACTTGGAAGATACCAGAATCCCTTTCGTACCGAAAAATTTCCACGAAATCAGGCGTGAACCATCAAAATCACAGAGACAGTGAAGACTGTTCCGTTCTAAATCATTTACTGTATGCGAATTTTCTTTCATCCTTACGGAAGAGATTACAAATCATTTAGTAAGGTTACAAAATTCAGCTGAGCGTCAAACAGTACGCTATAGCGATAGATCATAGCAGATTTAGGCGTGAAAATAATTCACATTGCAAAAAGCGAAGATCAGAACATTAAATTTTACTTGATCTGTTTGAAGAAATAGAGAACGAAAATTAGCTTAAAACTATTTCGTCTTTAATTGTTTTTTTGCAGATGTGTTCTGACTGCATTCGGCATTGCTTGAGTTCGGCTTTCTCTGCAAATATACCTGCAAAATCCGTTACAAACACAACTACATTTGTGCTGCAGACAGCAGTCACGATCAAGAAATAGCAGCAGGTGACCTGCACCCTTGAAATATAACGACCCTTTCCTTATTATGGTAGGACGATCTCAGGCTAGTTAGCTGATTCTGCCGATAGACACCAGTTGATGATGAATTAGCAGAGCAATTTCTTCTCATATTGACCATTTGGTCGATAAGGGTTCGTTTATGCACCAGTCGTTTCTTTCTAAACAAAACCATTTGGCTTGGGTGAGGCCCGGTCAACCAACTGTCGCAACTAGGAGAAATTATTTTGTTGAGATGGAGAAGAATAGACGTTTTCCTTTGTTATTCAGATTTGCTGCAATGATAGTTTTTAAGACAGATGAAGAAGGAAAAGGAAGGATATATCACTTCATTTATGGAAGAAGCGAAGATAAGGTCATGGTTAAGATACAAAGTAGTTAAGGCTAGCAACTGACAAATCTGAAGCGAGAAAATCAACTTGCGAATTTAAATAACTAAATAAACGCTGTAAAATTGGTTAATGAAATTTTGATTGACCGAAGTATTTACCGCTTACTGGTTAGATGTACAATATTTTACTCAAAGTCTTATTTGCCCAAAATGCTTATAGGGTTTCAGCAGTGCGTTTACGGTTTAGGTACCACATTTCTGTACTTGTCACGCTCTCTGGAGATGTGCACAGGTATCCCGTGCACTAGCCACTTTGCAAATCGCAAATTACTATTTCCCTGCGTAATTTTAACAAGGTCCATATTATATTTGCCAGTGCAGCGCGACGAATTTATGTCTGCAGCCTGCTCCAATATGCAGCCTCACTGAATTCTGTATTATTCTTACTAGAAATTTACAGGTGCTAATCGTCCCGCGATGGGGCGGTCCTGCCGTGCTCTGACTGGCAGCTGCTTGTATGCTGATTGGCTCGTGGGTGCCCGTGCACTACAATTCCCGTCTGGATGGATACCACTGGCTAGTAAATGCAGCCGGTGCATATGAAAAGCCTATGTGCTTTCTATGTCGATCACGCTCCAACAACAATCGGGAAACAGAATAAGTCAGTGGTCGCGCGAGTGGACATTTCAGTCAGTGCCAGCTGTTGCTTTTCCAATTTTCGGAATATATGTGATTATCTTGGATATCGCGCATGCACTGAACATTTTGATGCTTTTTTTATCAGAATTGAGCTCATTTTATTGTATCGATGCGCCAATTTTCGTTTCCATGCATCTGATATCAATGTATCAAAAAATGTATGCCATTAATTTGTGTGTTATGGTAATCCTGCTCGTTGTATCCTTTGGTCAATCGGTAAGTGTGCTGCCGGCATGTGATAAGGATGTTTGTCTGAAAAGTTTTTATAATATTCGAGATTCCTTAGCAGTTGTTATTATCTGCGTCACTCACGTTTATTGCCTCAAGATTTTATCTGATAATATTACGAATTGTGACGATGAAGCAGTAATATATAATGACCCGCGTCAAATTGTTTCATAAAATTGTAAGACGATTATGCTTGATTTTATAATTTTTAAGCATTGCTTTCAAAAAATTTATGAGTTACTGATGAGTGTATTGTAATACTTGTAACACGAATACTTACCTGTAGCACTTCTTGGTCAGCTGCAGGACTGCCTAAGACTTATCCAAGAATTAGAGAATAAACTTAGAAGTCACGTTATCCAGTCCATTCGAAATCGATATCCTCTTTTAAAACTGGTTGAAGTAGTTTACGTGCAACAGGATAGTCATAATTATTTGAAAATACTGTAAGGGATGACACTTTTGGTTACTTTACCCGTGTGCTTCTGCTGTCGTGTAAAGATATGCAATATATTGTGCGAGTTTCGGTGTCAGTATATATATATAATCTTTGTTTTTACTCAAGATCCTGAGATTCATTGAAAGAGTCTCAAATTTCGCACTGGTTAAAAGCTGGTTATCGTTAGTTAGTTAACTTTTTTTCCAATTTTTAACATTACAAATATAGATATAGCGTTGCTTACACTACTTGTAAAATTGTAAAGTCCAGTCATTGGGAGTGTCTGTGAGAACCTGCCGCGCATTGCGCGTGTATGTGTCATGTAAACGCCGTCAATACATCGTAAACACAGTTATGATCAACAGCGCCGGACAGAAGAGTATATTGATTTTAGAGAATTTGTGTCTTTGTTTTACCAGTAAACTAAATAATGAGGCGCTTAATACAAACTCTGCCGCGAGACTCTTGAATAAATGGCGAAAGGAAGTACCAAAGTCCGGTGTTCCGCAACATTTTCTAATAAGTCAGCAGCTTTTTCGTCGCCTGGCGTGGTAAAGTCTAGCTGTCTGATTTTCCATGTTAGCATCCGCACCATCCCGGTACTGCATTGACAATCACCCGCTCTTATTAGCTGGCAGGTGTCCAGTGTCCAGTCTCAGTAGGGATGATGGTGTTTGAGTGGGTTATAATATTATGTGCTGGCCTTGGTCAACGCTGCATATTAAATATCATGCAGGCATTGATCAGTGGCGTTTGTCCACTTGATGTCGATCAAAATGGATATGTGTTGATTCAGCAGTTCGATTTATCTCGGCGTCCTTTTTAAACTTGCGCCCAGCTAGCCTGCCGGTCTGTCTGTTCCCTCTTGCGCTGGCGGGATATGGTGTGTATTAGCGGCAATGAAATACCGATATGCTCACAGCTAGCGCAACTGGGTAGCTTATCAGTCAGATGGACGCACGCACTGCCGGCGTCATATTTAGTCCATAACAGGTGCTGACATATGGCAGGTTGCACACCGCTTGCTGCAAGCTTTTCTGATTCTAACAATTAGTTGTTACCGAATTCGATGCCCAAAGCGGATAGCTTGCAACTGTTGAGGAATAACGATAATTTCATAAAATTCTTTATCATATTCGTACTTACTACTTATTTTTGTTTCTTCGAAACAAATACATGGAATATCGTCGATGCACGTTTTCAAAAAAATAATGTATTCTCCAGAGTAAATAAAATTTTAATTTCCGACTAACCTATTATCTGTACTGCATAACATTTAATTTTTTTAGTAACCATAACTTATCGTCATAATTAGTATCACTGATCAATGCAAAATTTATTAATAGCAGTTATACTACTAGCATTGATAATTTTAATTTGGCTTGCCTGACATTCCACATTACCAGTACTGTATCGGTGACCACGTTGCAACGGTTTCGCATTGTGCGAAGCCGGTGATAAGCGCGTGCACAATGCCCGGTGCAGCCCGGCACGGTCCATAGCATGTCAGACATGCGCGGAAATCTAATCTGCTTGCGCAGGGTTGGGGTCGCGTGGATCTTTTATGTTCTTGATCCCATTCTTAGCGCAGCAGGGAGAGGTAGCTGAGTTTTCTCAAGGAGCTTTGACAAGCAGATCGTTCTAAGGTGCTCCGGGCCACACCTGTCCATTGTCTGCCACTGCAGTCTTCATTGAGCGTGCGTGCAACTGCTGGACACTGAGTGTATGTGTGTGTTGTGTGTATAATGTGCCATAATGCAGCACAGGACTGCAGCCGGACATATTCGATCAACAGGCTGTGCTCTATTTTTACAGCAATCATATGTCCATGGCCCAGCAGATGGTTATTGTAATGCGATCGCACTTTGCGCCGCACGGCACATAGCCGCACTATTCCTTCTAGCAATAAATCTTAAGCAGACGAAAGCGTCCCAATGAAAGCCGCTTTCAATTAGAAGTGGGAAAAATAGAACATAAAAATCGCTATAATAGAAATGCTACGCTCTGGTGGGCATTTTTTATGGCACATTTTGATGTTTTGTATATTTTCATTGCAGCAAACACAGGCGTCTGGGGTGTTTGAAATCCGACTAAAGACCGTGGAAAAATTAACCTTTACAATTGATCGTGTGGGAGGCTGCTGCAAAAACGCTAATGGCGAATGCTCCGATGAATGTAATGCCTATTTTCGGATCTGCCTGAAACACTTCCAGAGTAATATTGTTGCCGACCCACCCTGCACCTTCGGTGCGGTAAAAATCTCGCCAACCTCTGATGCCGACGGTGTGGACAATTCAATTCTGGAGAAATTTACGACCAAGGCATTCCCGTTTAAATTCAAATGGCCGGTAGGTTATATGTCCACACATGTATCTGTCGTATGATTTGATCAGTCATGTAAGAAGTTTTATCCACGCTGGCGACTGGACCAGACCGGTACTGTCAAACGGTTCAGTGGATTTTCTCACCACAAACTCCTAACAGAATGGAAGATGAATTTTCCCCATTGTCACATGTTATGCCTGTTGCTGTCAGATTAGCATTTGACCACAAATCCGGCTCTATATAAAATGATGACTTCCTTTCCGCTGTAAAATCCTCTAAGCAAATATGCCAGCAGGACTGCCATTTTTATGCTTCGGGCAAAAATATTCCATTGCATACATTTCTACAATTCGCACTTTCTTTTTGCGAAAACTGGGAACGTAATTCAAAATGGAGAGCGAATTCAGCCAAACATTTTGTATCAGAGCGTTTATAACGGCTACGTTGCATATGTGACAAAAAATTTTTATATTTCAGCTTGCCATATTGCTTAATTGTTTATTTGTAGAAATCTAGTAAATTTTCGTAGTAAAGTCTTGCGTAGCTGAAATTGCTTACGCAATTACCTAACAGTAACTTTTGTCTGCATTGTATGTAAGGATAGCTACTAACTAATCTAGCGCATGACTGCATCTGTCATCGTGGGAAATTTACGACATTTTTCGCAATCCAAGTTTTTATTTACAGGAGTCATTTTCGGTAGTTATCGAAGCCTGGCACCAACCGCAGCCATCCCCCATCGATCATCACGCAATGGAGGACAACCGCAGTCGTACTGGTAAACATCTAAATACAGATCACTCGACACTTGTTTGATGTGAAATTTGACGATTTTCAAAATGTGCCATGTTTGTATGTTAATTTACAAATTATGTGTGTGTTGGCGCAGATGACCAACTGCTTGCGCAGTTCTCAGCCCACCACACCCTCCGACCCCATGCCAACTGGACGGAGGTGGCGGCTTTCAGCACGGGTACGAATACGCCGCTGTTCTACGCGTACCGCATTGTCTGCAATGAGCACTACTATGGGATCGGCTGTGAAAATTTCTGCCAAGCCCGCAATGATACCCATGGACATTACATGTGCAGTAAGAATGGCGCCAAAATCTGCTCAAACGGATGGACTGGCCCCTATTGCGAAATTCGTAAGTTCATTTCTTTTTATTCATAAGAGTTTATGTCAGCGTTTATTCAAACTCTGACATAAAAATTCAAGTTTGTTGAGTTGTATGTTGAAATTTCTCAAATGGTCGAAAACAACGTAACATCAGTTCACATATGCAATTTAATAATTTAATAATTTAATTTATTGTTTTCTTTGCTCTAGTCATACTTTAATGCAATTATAAAATTTGTTTAATAATTTTATTTTTCTGTAGCAATTTGCTCCCCCGGATGCCACGCGCAAAATGGATACTGCGAAGTTCCAAACGAGTGCAAGTAAGTTATATATTGGCTCAATGGTTCAACGCTAAATTTTTAAGATTAAATCTAAACCCACTTGTTCGATGGTTTTCTTCTTAAATTACATTACTGTTCATTATCGTCGCTTCATATAGATATTGTATTAATAATTAAAATGGCGATCGTTTGCAGGTGCCGTCTTGGTTGGCAAGGGCGTGACTGTTCGGAATGTATCCGCTATCCCGGTTGCGAGAGAGGCACATGCCAGCAGCCTTTCCAGTGTAATTGCGATGAGGGTTGGGGTGGCCTCTTCTGTAGTCTAGGTAAATTACTTCCGCAACAATTGACACTATTCCAAAGGCTGGACCAACAATCCTGATTGGTCGGGTAACACGTGGTTTGGCTTGGCGTGTAGATTTTCTATGGCAGTTAACATGGTCTACACGCCAGCACGTGTGATCTACGTCACAGGGGGTGGAGAGGAATTGAGTCAATTTTCCACACCAAAAATTCTGCCGGCATATGCTTTCTCTAATGAAAACCGACGTGACAATGTGAAAGAATCTCATTAAAATTTAACTGAATGTCTTTAGAAAATGGGAGTGTTGTAAGGTGAATTTTTCATATTTGCAGATCTGAATTACTGCACTCACCATCAGCCATGCGACAATGGTGGCACGTGTGCCAATACTGGTCAAGGAAGTTATACGTGCACATGCGCCGACGGCTTCACTGGACGCAACTGTGAATTGCGGAAGAATCCATGTGTTATTGAACCTTGCCGGAATGATGGAGTTTGTCGAGTGAGTGCTACTTAATTAATCAAACTAACCAAAAAAAGTTTGCTGTATTAAAAGCTTATAACCGAATGCGTAAAAGCGGGTTATAATTATTATGTAATGATGAGTAATATTGACGAATTCTAATCTAATAAATCTTAATTGGAAATATGTTTTATTGCAGTCGAGCAGACCCGGAAATTATACATGCGATTGTCAAGAAGGATTTTTCGGCAAAAATTGCGAATCCACCACCCGCACTTGTGTTGACTCCCCGTGCAGAAATCAAGGCCTGTGCCACGATAACCCCGCCACCGGCTACGAATGCTCGTGCCCTTCGGGGTACACCGGCAAGAACTGTGAGCACCGTGTGGGTCTGTGTAGTCAGAACCCGTGCAAAAATGGCGGTACATGCGCTGACCTGTTGAACACATTCTCCTGCACATGCCCGGCCGGATTCGCTGGCTCCACCTGCCAAGTGATCCAGCAGCAGTCCGTTGACAACTGCTCACTCACTCCGTGCTTGAATGCTGGCACCTGCATCCACGATGACCGTCATCACACCTACACCTGCCTGTGCCCGGCCGGCTACGATGGTGCCCTATGCCAGCAGCCACTCTACGATAAGTGTGCCGATAATCCCTGCCAGCACGGTGCCAGTTGTGAGGATCGGAAAGAAGGCGGTTTTCTCTGTCATTGCCCGCAGGGATTTGTCGGCAAGTTGTGCGATATCCCCGATGAGACCAACAGTATTGAACGCCTATCCATGACCGGATCAACATTGCGCCTACAGAGCGCCAACTCTGTGGCAAACGGCCTGACATCCGCCCAGTTGTACGGGGCCATCGGCGGCGGGGTGGTACTGGTGGTCCTCATCGTGTTGGTTGGCTGGGCTGGTTGGCGCTGTGTCGCTATGAAGAACCGCCAGCGGGAGCAGCGAAAACGCGCAACACCGGCAACGGAAGTGAACTTCAGCATGAACAACCTCCATAAGGCTCCGTATTCGATCCCTCACGGTCCCAAGGAATGGAAGCCAATTGTGACGGTGCAGACGGAAGCGGAGGAGTACTACGCGGTGCTGCCGAAACGGAACAATGGATGCCCGCCAATTTATACGCCCAGCTCCTCAGCCATGCCGCTGGCGGCGAGTGGAAGTGGGCCGTTAATGAAAGATGCGATTTATATGAAAGTCATGACGGATCCACCACCGTATCACTCTCACCACAACTATCGTAAATCATACATTTCGCATGCTGATAAATTACTTGATTCCAGTAATATTGATGAATCGTTTTCTGGTTACAAGACTCTGCCGCGGCGCAGCTATGCAGTTTGTTGATTTGATTGAGAATATGACTTTTATTATCGCCTTTTGGGCTTCCTGTTAACATTTTTAAAGCAAGTTAATTTTTCTACATCTTGTATAAATTGTTATTAGGCCTTTGCGTGGACTGATGGCAGCCACGATGGTGTGAAACTGATATCCTAGTGGCTCAATAATAACTGCATTTATTGCGTTCAAAGTCCCGTTGCAAAGCTGCGTGAATTACCATAAGTATCAAAATTAATTTAACTCCATGTTACATTATTATTTTGGTCTTCGAATGGCATCCAAGAATTGTTTTCCTTGCGTCAAATTATTTATATAACTTATTCTCTTTTTTTATTTTGATTTTATTTTATTCAGAAAGTATAACGAGAGTAGTTGAAATTGTGTGGAGTATATGGACACTGGTCAGCGAATGCATTATCGCATCCGTTATCGATCAACAAGTAACAACCGACCCGATTCGAACAGATGCACAAGTTTAGGTCATTCACATCCCGAACTTGGCTCCAACGTGGCCAAAACACCTGTTGGACATACCGACATTTAAAATAAACTGTACAGTTCTGTGAGCAATCAAAAGAAGCACTGCCACTACGGCAGCTTTCGATGAATCTGCAATTTTACAGTAAAGGTGAAAAATATCCGCAAGCAACCTATGACGTCGACCTGTACACGAAGCTGGCAATCAGATTAGCGCAGGTATCCGTATACTATACCGCTTTGCATCATTTTATTTTTTCTGTAGCGAATTCACATCTGTCCTTGAGATCTCTTGATTGCCTTTTTTGATTTGCTCGCGCATTTAGTGGTTCAACGCAATACATCCACAGGAAAATGTTGCAGTTTCTCGTGTTCTCCATAACCGTGATGCTGACCGCAGCTCAGGATTACAGCAACCCTGGATCCTGCTCGATGGCGCCCGCGCCCTACCGAGCCATCACATTAATCAAAGATAGCGGCACGGTTAGCGGTACTGTTAAAATTGACCAGGCCGGAGCAGGGCAGCCTACTATGTATACCGGAACGATTTCTGGACTTCCTGCTAATAGTAAGTTTACAATCTGGAGGCGGGCGTTAGACTGAAATGCAGATTAACTAGAAAGTTGAAGATTACCAGCTGTCTACAGGTATACTCATGTTTTTACCCTAAAGGTCAGCACGGAGTTCATGTACACTACTTCGGTGATCTCAGCAATGGGTGCACCAGTGGAGGAGATCACTTTAACCCTCTGAACATGACCCACGGAGGCCTTACCGATATGGTCCGCCATGTCGGGGATTTAGGAAATGCCGTAGCGGATGGTAAGCGCAGGCAGTGGCGACTGGCACGTGCCGCATATTTCTTTGCGAGTAACTGAACAAAGCGATACGGTAATATGCTTATCACGATCGCAATACTTGTTCCATTTTTTTATCTTGGAGTGCTTAATTTTACTACGAAAGCATTCATTTTTTTTAGATATAGGTGTTTTACTTCCTGAGCGTAAGTACGGTATTATAATTTTTGCTTAACATCTTCTGATTGCAGCTAACGGTGTGATTACCATATCCATTACGGATACGGTGTCCCAGTTGGTCGGATCAAACTCAGTGATTGGACGGTTGTTCGTTCTTCACCAGAATATGGATGATCTGGGAAAAGGCGGAAATGCTACAAGTCTGGCTAATGGCAATTCCGGGCCGCGACTGGCTTGTGGGATCATTGGTTACCGGCAAAATGCGTAATACCTAAATTGTTATGGGAAACATATGTTCACTGTGGCAAATCATCTATACGCTTTGTCATTATATAAATATAGGCAGTAATTTTTAACACGACTATGTGATTACATCACCTATACATGTAATAAAACCTTTTCGTGCGCTCAAAAATTGTGGTTGCCCCTGTAGGAAAGGATGATGTACGAGTATAAGTGCCGTTAATGGAGAAAACGCTTTTGTGCATTCTGATAATACATTATTGTTGTGACATCCTTTGTATAATACAGAGTTACAATTAACGATAAATTATGTAGGCGACATTGTGTACAGACCAAGCGTTTGTACAAGCACGGGTACTCATATTCATTATTTTATGCTGTGACCGCATCGTGCATAGGTACGCTGCTACTGGTTTGCATTCTCTTTTGTAAATTTTTTACAACATCTTTTACGTGTCGTTCGTGAACTACTGTGGAAACAATGTTGGTTGCACACGCATTGCGTCCTGTACAAGTAGCGAAATATCTATACCATCCTAATGAAAATACACTTTATTGTTCATATGCCTATTTTCGAAAGTATAGTACTCGTATTTTTGGAGTAATTCTCAATCCGTTGTCTGACATTTCCGGGTTGCCCAAACTTTACTAGCCATTCCCTAACGACCAGCATTGCAGCGTACGAAGCCCTGCGCATCCGTAATCCACCCATTTTGTCGGTTTTCTCCTGCCGTCGCTACAGTAGCAGTACTGAAACATTATAAACCACAGTTACTTCCTGAAAATGTTCGATATTTGGAAATAAGAATTTTTAAGCATTTTTAGCAGGTGGCGTCCATGCTTTGTTCGGTTAAAATGGCAAAGTTCAATACAAAAGTTCATTTTTTTGTAGTTCAATATACGAATTACTACTTGCACTGGCAAAAGAATAAACTACAATATATGTTTGGGCCACACAGTGTATTTTTGTAATTTTCCAGTTATCAAATAAACGAAATAATACTCATATGCCTATACTAGTTTTGCTTTTTAGCAGAAAACTGTTTAATGCGTTTCCGGTAGACTGTGAAGCCTCTTTACAGAATAATCTACGATTCTACATACGATTTATATGAAAAGATTCGATAGCGAGAGAACTTACTTATACAAAGACAGCCAGTGCATACGGTAATAATCAGACCCAGAATCAGGAAAAAGGCGGTGAATCCAGGATTCATGGCGCTGGAAACTTTTATGGCGATCGTATGTTGTACCACAATGTACAAGTAATGTACAACAACAAAGCAGGATTTCACAAAACTGAAATCTACCCAAAGCAGGTATTCGAAATGACACCAAATTGTCTTACATATTATAGGTCCTTATATGTAAACTCGCATTTATCTAGCCAACTTACAACTGTCTAGCTAGGGATGTATTGTTTACAAACTAACATTCGCTTCTTGAGGCTATATTTGGCTGCTTGTTTATGTGGAAACTTCCATCCCGTTATTCACCAACAAACTACCTCGCGAATCACATTAACTTGTAATAAAAGGTTTATTAATTTTAATTGGATAATTGCAGAATCGATTTGTACTTTATTAGATAATGTTTAGTTTTATTATTATTATTTCTACATTTACGCAGGCATTACAAAACTTACAAAAGCGACATTTCCGTTTTACTGTACCTATCTGTACACGTATAAATACTGTTCTGATAGGCATAGTTCTCTTCTCAACTTCTCTTCCGCTACAAGTTACAAAATATTTTTAATTTGTGCTTTCGGTACAACCGTCGTTTAGGTTTAGGATTGCATCAGTTTTAAATCTCAACATCGCTTACAGCAAACGAAACAATAAGCGTGAAAGACAGAAAAACAAAACATTGGAAGCATGGTATGCGACATCGCCTCGTTTTCTCGTGCCCAGGACCTTCACACACTTGTTGCATCTAGCCTGCACTTATCTACAATGCACCAGTATATCCGGTAATCCATGGGACAAACTGGCCAACGCGTGCGTAAACTCCTGGCTTTTTGTTGGCTCCGCATCTGTTGATAAATTTTCCAAAACTTAGTCGTAATCGAAATTATCAACCTAATTAGTACCAAATAATTTCGCTTACCCAATACCCCAGCTTACAACACCGATAACTTCATAGTTCCCAGCGCTGTTCTTCTGGACGAACGGCCCACCGCTGTCACCCTGAAAACGACAAAAGAATGCGTCAAAGGTCACGAAGTAAAACATATGGTTGCTTATTTTAGATTTATGTTATTCCAAACTACGATGGGTTAGCACTATGACGCCGTTTTAATTAATTAATTAAAAATTACCGGATACAGCAGGTTCGTTATAATGTAATTGTGTCATATTGGTTTACCTGGCATGAGTCTTTGCCATAGGATCCAGCGCACATCATGGAGGTGGTGATCATACCTCCATAATAATCAGCCAGGTTGCAGGTGGTGCGTGCCACACATGAAACTTTGACCTGGCGCAATTTGGTGCTGACGGCGCGCTCCTCCTGTATCCAGGGGAACAGTGTGCCAATGGATTCCCGACCGTTCTGACTGGTCTCTCCCCATCCGGTGGCAATGGCCGTTGAGCCGGCGGTACAGTCTTTGCCCGAGGGCGGTAGGCAAGCGGCCTTGACGGAGCCGGTAAAGGCAATGGTGCCGTCAATTTCCAGCAGGGCGATATCGTTGTTGATGGTGTTGTCATTGTACTGCGGGTGCTTAATAACGCGCTTCACTTTGTAATTTTTGGCGGTGGCTTCCTGAAGAGTGGAATCGTGCTGGCCAACCCGAACTGTGTAGGCACTTGCACTTGTGGTCCTGTGATTTAAAATCAATAAGAACACTGATTGGCTGATAAACATTATATTAATAGAAAACGATCACGAAGTTATGGAAAAGGGCAACTTACACGATGCAGTGGGCAGCGGTCAGGACCTACATAAAACAACATAATCATCGAAATTCAAACCGGCTCTTGCTTTGCCACTTACCCTAATAAAGTTACACTGACGCATTGAATTTTCTCTATAACCATACCCATTTGGAGCCGATAATGGTGCCTCCGCAAATCCACTGAGTTGAAAGAAAACTTCTGTAGCCCAAGTGGATCTGCCATGGATGGCTGTTTTTCACCACAATGGTCCCACCTGGCAAAAACCGTAAAAACGATTAAAGCTTCGTAAGATTCAGCGCTACAAGGTCGTACAACTTCTCTCAAAAAATTATTCTGCCTCCACTCCATAGTCTTTTGCCCGTTAAATTTTTAAAAATCGAATTAATACGTTTTTGATTACTTACAAGTTAAGGCGTTTTAGTTACAGAGAACTGGTACTGGAAGTACTTAGTTCGCACGCACCTACGATTTTGTCGACGGAGTCGCTGCGAGCGGGGTCAACATCAGGCCTGCCGCATTGCTGAGCAAAAGCAGCACCTACAGAAATAGCGGTCTTGATTCAGCAAATCACTTTACATGCTAATAATTCCTTTAAATAAAAGTAAAGACAGGAAGGATGCGCGCTTACCTAAAATGGTTAGGATTATTACGAAAGACCTCATCTTGAATCAAGTGCAGTAAAAACAAGATGAAGCGCTCCACTCACTGCACTTGAATTAGAAAACCGTCGGCGGGTCTAACTGGCAAGTAGCGCTTCTGATTTCACTATATTTCTGCTATTGAATCGAAATCCAACAGGAACATTGTTTCGTTTTATCGGTTTCTGCAATGTGACCTTCGAGTTATCAAGCAGAGCTTTCCGTCACGCGTATTTCTTTTGTTCACCTGAGAACTGATATCACCAGTGTCGAAAAACTATCCACAAGCAATCTTATCCAGACTTTTCATGGGAGCAAGCCACTTGGATATGCAGCATGATTAAGCACTTAGTACGCTTCTTATCGTTTATTTAATATCAGCAATAAAACAAAACCGGAACAACGATATAGGCTCAGCATTTACAAATGCGAAATTTAGAGTATGAGTAACTGCAAAACAATGTAATACTTAGCACAACAGAGACGTAGACGAGATTCACCAACCCAACACAAAATTCGTCATAAGGCTCACATTGAAGTGTATCACGACAGTTTAACTCTTTGCGATGTCCTTCAAAGCACAACGGCATCAAACAATTTCTCCTTCTTCGTATGTAACCAATTCCCTGTGATCGGGTTTTGCTTCGGAAGCCGAACCTAAGTAGGCAAACCAAGCAAGCAACACATAATAAATGCATTACGTAAAAATTTACCAACACATCAATAATTCGTACCGGCTTCAGAAAATGTGCGTCGCGGAATTCCAGGAGAAGTATGGTCGGGTCGTCGGCGATCCGGCGCCAGAGTAACGTGTAGTGTCACACCGTCCACAACTTTGTTATTCATTTCCTGTATTGCTCTCTGTGAATCCTCCCATACTTTGAATAACACAAAAGCTTGTCTGCAATGTATACAATGCACGATATAATTCAACTACTTACTGACACCGCGCCCCGCAATAAAAACCATTCATTTTTCGTAATTTTCAACGACGAAGATAGCTCTAAAACGATCTTACCTTGCTTGTGGTACAGATGTTACTCTCATTAATGGACCGAATTTTTCGAACAAAGGCCGCATGAAACCTTCATCCACCCTATCCGCTTCGACGTAAACCATCTTCTGTCGAAATCCTCCCCCACCATTATTATTCCATCCGCGCGGACGATAACCGTTTCCGTCCCGAGGCATTTCGCGAGCTCTTTCCCGATCTGCATAATAAACCAGAAGCAATGTACGACTTATTAATGAGCGAAATCAAATGTACTTAAGTACTTCTAGCAAATACATAAATCGGCAGCCGTGTAGTTATTCTTTACTGTTACAAAAAGTCAAAGCAAACCGAAGAAAGGTTTATTGCAAATTACATCAACACGAACTAGCTATTATATACTAATAATAAGCAACTTCACTTGTCATTAGCTGATTAGCATAAGAACATTTATAACAAGCATTCCACTTATTTAGAAATTATACGGGTAATAACGAACTCAACGACGTAAGGCATCAAATTGTGCAAACGCGAATAACCACAAAATCTTCTAATGGTCACTAAACCATCATTTCTGCAAATTGAAAACCGCTCGAAAGCGATGGTTGTGTGGACTAAGGATTTAATGTAGACAACTTAAGTTAATATACCACTTAAATATACAGCTAATTTGTAAAGAAATTAGGGGAAGCAATATGAAAAACCCACTTTACGTTTTTCCACTGATCAAACGCTTGTCAGCAAGAGGAGAATAATTTTCGAAAAAATTATACCACTTACTCGGTTCCGAACGATCACTCGCCGCTTTATCGACGGAAGAGTTCGAACTGGAAGAAAAGGAAGAATCATAGAAACTTCGCGGTTTGGGTGGACTGAAGGATTCTTTCTTGGGAATGCGCGCAGAAAATCCGGAGAGGGGTGGTCTCGAATTCGATTCAGGTGGTATTCCGTGTCGACTGTCGAAATTAGTGGAAATATCACCAGCGTCGCCGGAAACATGGGAAGAATCGGAAAGCGTTTGTGGAACAGTAGTTTTCTGATTTTGTAAACGCCGTTCCAGGTTACCCGCGCGTTTGAACTGCGTCTTCGGCGCCGAGCTCTCGGAGTGAAGCTTTTCCAACAGCTGAAATGTAAAAATAAGTAAGTAGCATACGCTGTTTCTTGAGGACTCCGAGACTCGATTTACACAATTTAGTGTGCTTACGGCCTTACCCCAGAGCTTTTCAGTTTTTTCAAAACAGTACTGGAATCCTCGGCGACCACATCGCTCACACGCTTCTTAGACGCGGCCGCTTCCGCTGCTTCCTTCTTCTTTTGCTCCTCATTTTTCTGCAAATTGATACAGGCTATCATACAGCGATCCCAACTTCGCACAATAATAAGAATGCGAAACATTAACATATTATATGATGTAAGGGAAATATCTACCAAAGTGTGGTATTCCGCATAAATCTGCTTCAGCTCGTTTTCAGCTGCAGTTAGCTCCTCTGGTAACTCCATGAAATGTGTAGAAAAGTCCTTTTCCGATTCCAACAGCACCAGTTTTTTTATGCATAAGCATGTAGGTACGGTATCCGTAAGAATAAGATTAACGTGAAAGACGTAAGCAAGCTAACGAGAAAAAAATTACAAAAACAAAAATTATCAAGTATCAAGATTTTCGAAAGCAGGGTCGTAGAATGTCAAAACCTTTTCAACATGGGCCCCGGGGGGGTTACCCCAGAAATATAATCAAACTGCCGGCGCAGAGTGGTGGCTATCCGAAAAAATCCCCTTGGATTTGAACGGCTGACTGTTTATTGTCACAACAGGTTCATCTGTCTCTTTTGGACCTACTGCTGAATTACTGGTTTATTACTGGCTCCGTATGTACCGACTCTGCAAGCAAACGATTTTCGTGCATTGGCGAGTCGGCGACCCGTTTCATTCGTGTCTGGTTTCGGTTTCTTGAGTTATTCTAGATTTCATAGTTTCCATCCAATTCTTCTCGAAGCCGAACTGTAAATATATATAGGAAGATCTTTGTATAAAATGGTAAGGGAGAAAAGAATATTTGAAAGTCTTCTACTGGAAGACCGAAAATATGCATTGGAATGATTAGAATGCTGTTAAATATTTGCGTGCGTGCTTGCAGTCCCACCGTAAGTTTTCCGCACCACGCCATGGTAGCATGGGATTCGCTCCCAAGCGCCGGGCACGTAAGATCCGTGGGCGCGTCAAGGCGTTCCCCAAAGATGACCAGAAAAAGCCTATCCATCTGACCGCTTTCCTGGGTTTCAAAGCGGGCATGTCGCATGTTGTGCGTGAAGTGGAAAAGCCCGGTTCAAGTAAGTAGTTCAGAAGTGTGAACCTCGGTAGCCAGAACTACGAAGACACCGTAGTTTATTTTATGAACATTAAAGACTTTTGAAAATTTTGAAATTAATGTATTTCAAAAAAATTGCAGAGGTGCACAAGAAGGAGGTTGTTGATGCCGTGACCATCTTGGAGACCCCGCCGATGATCGTTGTCGGTGTTGTCGGCTACATCGACACTCCCAAGGGTCTTCGCAAATTCAAGACCGTCTTTGCTGAGCATCTGAGTGATGACTGCCGTCGACGATTTTATAAGAACTGGTATGTGTAGTTTTCTGTGCATAAGCTGATGAAATGTGAGGTGTGCGACACTTCACGCAGGGGAATTGGCCGGTGTAGGCTCCTCTCTAGCCGCGGCTAGATGAGCCTGTTTACAAACCGTTTCTGTCGCTGTTGAGGACACACTGAGTCTCCGCTGAGTATTACTCATGAGACTCGATTTTCCCCATTCAAAGGTTCCGTGCTAAGCGCAAGGCTTTCACGCGCTACGCCAAGAAATGGGCCGACAAGGAAGGCAAAGCCGATATTGAACGGGATCTGGCTAAAATGAAGAAGTACTGCTCGGTCATCCGCATCATCGCCCATACCCAGGTAAATGCCTGTCAGCGTTATTATTAAATTAGGTTATTACCAGAATATTCAAAGAAATTATGGGTTCGTTGCTTGTTATATGAGGCTGGTTGTTGTAGCAAAAACTGCTGAAGAAACGCCAAAAGAAAGCCCACATCATGGAGATCCAGTTGAATGGTGGCACGATACCGCAGAAAGTTGATTGGGCGCGCGAGCATTTCGAGAAATCTATTTCGATTACTGATGTCATCGCTGAGGATGAGATGATTGATATCATCGGTGTAACGAAGGGACACGGACGAAAGGGTAAGCCGGAATGGGCTTAACAACTTCTAAGCAGGTTTAAAACACAATCATAAAAATTCAGCCTAAATTTGAGGTTACTGTGATGAATGCATTGTGTGCTTTTCTGAAATATATGACGACACAGTATGCTGCCTTCCTACTGAAAATGTAACCACGAAATTGTATTATACTAAGAATGCAAAAAAAATCAATTTAGCCTAACGTCACAGAAGTTCGTGGTTGATAAATTTTTTTTATTAGGTGTCACATCACGTTGGCATACGAAGAAGTTGCCGCGCAAGACTCATAAAGGTCTGCGCAAAGTGGCTTGTATCGGCGCATGGCATCCGGCCCGCGTCAGCATCTACGTGGCACGTGCTGGTCAGAAAGGCTTCTTCCACCGCACTGAAATCAACAAGAAAGTGTACAAAATCGGGAAAGGCATCTTCCAAGACGGCAAGATCAATACGGACACCTTTAACGCCAGCACGGCCGCCGATATGACAAAGAAGAATATTACTCCCATGGTAAGACGCTGTTTAGCTGTCGTCGTAATTCTTTAAGAACCTACACTGGCAAAATGACAGGATGATAAAATGGGACGTAATACAGAAATCAGTGTTGAACCTTTGCGGATATCTGATGGCTGCCTTCATAGGTTTACCAATTTGTTTTGCTGTGCATTACTTTTTGAAACAACAATTATTTATTAATCGTTTCGGACTTCAGGGCGGATTCAAACATTATGGTGAAGTAAACCATGATTACATCATGCTGAAAGGATGCGTCATGGGTCCCCGAAAACGGGTTATTACAATTCGAAAGGTGAGCTGTTGTATTTGACTCAACTAGTTGTTTTATTCGCGTCACTGACGTGAATATTGCCGTTTCAGTCCCTCTTGGTGCAAACCAAACGTGCGGCCCTGGAAAAAATCAACATCAAATTCATCGATACATCGTCCAAATTCGGGCATGGTCGTTTCCAGACAGCCGAAGAAAAGGCTTCTTTCATGGGTCCTCTCAAGAAGGACAAAGTCAAGCCCAAGGGATAATACTTTCGGTGCTGCGGCTTTTTATTTCTTGATTTTGGTGCTAAATTGAAATTAAATTCCTTCAAATATAACGGGGGCGTACGTAACTTTATTTCTACACCCAGACATAACACAACCAAATACAGAAATTTCAAACGTGTAAAACAGGCAACGATTCTCGCAGTGTAAAACTTTAGGAAGATTAAAAATTCAATCATATACATGCAAGTTAAAAACCAGAAAAATACAAGAATATCAAAACTCTAGCACAGGCAACAGGTTGGAACTAGGAACCAGGTACAAATGACTGATTCCTGTCAGTATTCTGGAATTACGCTGAAGGCAGGTTTTCACGAGGCAATATAGTAATTAGTAATTAGTAATCAAGAGACGCTTCCACTGTATCCGCTACTGAATGAAGAGGAAAACAGGCCACTCATGGTCGAGGTAACACTACTAATACTGCTCAGCTTTTTAGCGACTCGCTTCTTTTGCGGAGGTTGAACATTTCTGCAGATAAAGTGAGACAGTTGAGATTAAAGGAACTATCCTAAAGGAGTACTGAAATAAAAACAGCTTACGATTTATGCTGACGTTCCTCGGATTTGACTGACAACTGCTTATTTTTCTCACGGAGCTCGGCTTGGAGCGTATCTGTTTTCTGCCCTGAGTGTTCCAGTTCGTCAATCTGTCTGGTCAAATCCCGTTTCTCATGACGAAGTTGTTGTATTTCCTGGTATAAATCGCTGTCTTCCTCCTAAAGAAACGAAACAAAATCTATTATCGTAGTGGAGCAGTTGGAAGAAAACAGGGTCAACTTACTGTCAGCGTTTTGATTTGAATTCGCACTAACAACGATGATAACTCGAGATCTTCGCTCCATCCGTTCTTCAAAGGTACAGATCGAAATCCCTGTCGGATACAACGCACGGGGAAGGTGGCCTGACCCACTAGATGTTGATCATTAAACATATCGATGTCCAGAACGATAAAACGGATCAGAGCCAGATCGGGATTGCGGATGTCAAAGTCGCATGTTTCGTTCCAGAACGGATTAAAGCCGTTATCATCTAAATTATGAACCATACTGATCCACACTATAAACTTCTTACTTCGCTACTACAGTAACTTAATCCACTTACTGATCATATCAGTTCGGAATTTGTTGCAATCGTAATCCGCACCCGTTACTTCTACCTCCACCAATGGACTAGAAATACCCTTTCCCGATTTGAGGAGATGCCGGCCGGCGACCACCTTAACACAACGGCAACCGTATATACTCGTAATAATGACAAAAACACAAATATTCAGTTAGAAAATATCGTATTTTTTACCGTAACAGACAAAACTATCGGCTCAACAATGCCTTTCAGCGTTAAGGCATTGTATGGATCATAGTTCTCATTGCGCATAAAAGCCGGCTGCAACACATAGCCACATTTTCCGTTCTGCATAAATCGTCCTTGATTAAGGTGCATCGGAGCATCTTCAGAAGTCAAAACGTAACACTGTAATTGCACTTTTCACAATTCGGCTGCACAACCGGTGAGTTAACGTTTTTAATTACCCGGAGTCTGATAATTCAGAGCAACCATTTGAGATCCACAGTTCCACATCCGAGTGGGATCATAATTCGAGGAGTTGACGCGTTTACCCATGGGATAGATGCGACTGAACCGGGTCTGGTTGTACCTATTAAACGATAATTCATGCTAATACAACGATCAGTAACAAACCAAAATAGTCTGTTTCTTCTACTTCAAGAATGTCTTGCAATTCGCTGGTGTTAACCATTTTTCGACCTTCGTTTCTGAAAATGATGACATGCAGCGAAAATCAAAATCCGTCCCTTCAAAAAGGAAAAAAACTTCAGTTAATTATTGTCCAGTAACAAATCCGCGATGCAAAAACTGCAGCCGTACTGTAAGGATCAAACGGAACGCCAGATCTACAGTACACGATCAAGTCAGACAATTCCCGCGCGCAGTTAACTTTGACTTCCTGCCCAAATGTGAGCCGACTCTGTAATTAACACAATGTCATCTACAAATAATTTCTGGATAAAAAAACAACAAAAACAATTTAAGAGTTTAAAACCAAATGACACGTTTACATGACACGGTTCACCTGTTCTTTAGAAATATCCACTCCTTGTCGGATAGCGTTCACCCAGTGATGCATATCATCGGCACTTTCACAAGCCAAGTCCACAGCCTCTGGTCTCGGTCGGTCAGGGAACATGGTCAGTCGGAAGACAAACTGCTTTCCACTTACTCCTCCCGGAAGCTCATGGAGAACGCAATCGGTCACATCAAATGATCCTTTTTGTTGTGCCCCAAAAATCGTGTTTTCGCCATAAGAAATGTAAGAATCCCGGCGCTGATCGTCATCAGTAATCTCTCGAACGTAATTAGAGGGAAACCACCGCTGTTCTAACTCATAATCGCCCTTCCACCTGCACAACATTCAAAGGGTTCCAAAAAATTACTGCATGCTTTACCACACACACTGATCATACCATTTTTTACCGTACCATTGGCCTTCAGCTTTGTAAACGTTATTGATTCTTGCTCCTTTGGGGAAAGTCAGCTCATCTGGACGCTGAGCAGTATATGCAAAGAGGGCTTCGCAAGTCACCTGGAAAACCATATCACCGGTAGATGTGATAGTCAACACGTACGAAATAAAATATAATTCTTCAGAATCCACAACTCAAACTCACCACAAAATTTGGATTGAAGTATTCGGCATCCAACGAAGAGGAATCCTTATCCTAGAAGCAACAGAGACACCGGTATGTATAACATATCGATTCGGAATGCGAGCTAGTGCAGTACGGCAGTCTTTAGCGCGTTAGTAGTTCACAAACTTAGTTTAGTATCCATCCATTTACAGCAGTAATTACTGCAAGAACAACACTAGAGCGCATGGTTGGATAAGCCAACCGTACATAAGTAAAAAATTCATAAACAAATCCACATTACTTCAGCAGGGTTTAACAGTCTCGTAAATGATCGACATTAGATGCGGGCCTATTTAAAAATTTGCAAAAATTTCAAAATAAAAGGCCTTTAGGAAAAACTGCCATCCTTCAGCTGCGGCGATAAAATGATTTTCAGGCTGCCCCAATAATATCCTTTGCTCACCTGTGGAACTATTTCGCCGTTAACAATTTCGGCCTGCAAATCCACACGCTTAAGCAACTCAGGAGTGATCGGGATTTTCAATCGGACATCCTTAACGAGCGGCGTCTTTTCAAAATGTTCGACCATATCAACTAGGCTCTCAAATTGCATGGATCCCAGCAGATAAAGCCGCCCATCACGAGCAACGCGACAGTGTTTATTCTGTTTGTCGGCTCTACAAGATCGAAAGCACTAGACTTTATCTGTCATGATTCAATTGCAAATCTCTCGTCAGAATGGTACCATACCTAAATGATATCGCATATCGGGGACAATCCGCTTCAGAGGTCTCACTTCTTCTCACAAGAAAAGCACCGTTCAAAGCCAGCCTCTGGAGTATAATGTCCGCAGTCACCCGCGATACGTTCTCGTGATACCAGCTGGAAACATGACCTCGGCACGTTATTTTAACTGACTGAAAGTTTTAAAATACCGATATATTATATACCTTTTATGTCTATGCGCTTCAGGTTGAGGAACCGGGTGGGCGAGGATAATATCAAATTTTGCACTCTTGAGAGGATTTTTCTTATAGTATGAGACCAAATCGTACAGGCTATCAAAGGATTTTCTTTCCACCAAATAATACTTGTACTTCGTCGAGCGCCGTGGACCAAGCTTACGATCAGTTACATTAATCGTTCCGTCACCCGAACATGAGCCGTTGGTATTCACGGCTTCTGGCTTGTAATGGATTCGACAATGATGAACATCGCCTTTTCTTCTAAAAGTAGAAAAATTATTTCGAAGGAAACGAGCCGCCGTAATAGATAAACAAAAACGAGCACAGTCACTGAAATACTGTAAATCGTATTCCCGTTATGATAATAATATCATAAAATTATATTTATTTTTATCATCAGAAGAAATCTGTTCCATCTGTAACAACGGTATCTGGCTTCTTTTTCAAATTTCCCAGCCTATCATGTTAAAAAGGCACTTTAACCATCCCTACATAAACTTACAGGAATGACAAACTGTAATCACCAACGAAAGTGCTGCTCTGCCGGACCAGGAAAGTTCCATCTCCCAAATGAGCATGCTGCAAGATTAACTCAACAGCCTTTTCCCGAGCAGGTTCAGGCAGCTTTCCGTGAAACCAGTTTTCCGCCAAATGCAAGTCCTCTGCAGACTCCCGTAAATCTGGTTCCTGGGAGAATTCATTTTCTTCGTTTCCTTCTTCCATGGTCTGAGTATGCCCGTTTTCATCATCCGGTGGTTTCTCCATATATGAAAGGCGCGTAGCTGTCAAGACAAAATAATGTGGAAGCCACTCGTGACTGCCGTGCTCCTGAAGGAACATGATGCCGTTGCGGTACAGGCTGACGTCCAAAGCTTCCAGGGAGTCGCGGAAACTGTCATCCTCTTTTAAAGTAACCGGGGTACGGATCAAAGTCTCCACGCCCTCTGGCAGTTTCTTATGCTGAAAATACAATGAGACACAGCTGTCAAAACTGGTCTTAACAAATACCTGTTAACCACAGATACGAACCTTAATGATAATTTTCCGTTTCAGCTGATTGGGAGATGGCATCAGCTTTTCATTCATATCGAAAGGTTCGGTAAGAAGAAGATCTGAAACGGACGTCGGTTTTATTTTCTTCGCCTTCGTAAAGAACGTATTCATACACTCTGCATGCATACCTCCCAGTACACTCCGAAAAGTTTCAGCCATTTTCCTCTGCCGCGGAAGCGAACAGTGATCTTCAATTGACAGTATCACAGGGTAACTAAAAATCACGACATGGAAGTACTGACATGCAATTCCTAAAGACCCGTTCCGCTGTGTTCATACCTACACTTGGAAGTTCAATACAAAAATTAGCAAAGCAAGGCCAGAACGATATACAAATTCTAATGTATAAATATTACTACAGTACGTTTACATCGTTTTTTGAGAAGTTCACAAATGTCAATCCATTGCACTTACTCAGACGTCACAAACGCATGATCTCGTATACATTCCACAACATCAGAGAATTTAATCCGTGAGGTCAAGGTATGACCATGGTAAATCCATGGTTGATCATCTTGTCCATCCCAAGTGTCAACTGTAAAGAAAAAATAAAAAAATTAAAGGAGAACACAGATTCTACATGATATCTTGAAAATCTGTACAACTTACGCTCTATACATCGGCATCCCATACGCAGACATCTGGCGTAAGCCTCAACAGCAGAGTCACTTGTCAATGAATTTCCGGTGAGATATCTATAATATGTACTCTGTACTTGAAGTATGCCAAATTAACATTTATAAAAACAAAACGATTTTTATTTTGGAACACCTTGTAATCCACTCGGCAATGCCATTATTTCAGAAAATTCATTTGCTTCGTTTCTTTCTTTATGCTTCTGCTACCCACTTCTAAGCCGCTGCTAAATTTACTTCTGCTACCCACGTACGTATTATGAGAAGAAGCAATCCAGTAATGTGTCAAAGGCTGGTCCATATCCTGGGTAATGCGATCATGAGTGGAATCCCAAATTGTGTTTTGCCTCGAAAACAAGTAATTCATAGCCTAAACCAGATTAAACCATACCAGCATTAAATCTAAATTCAAAAAAATTAACCTTATCCAGTGAAAGTTGTTAAGTACGCTTTTACGGATTCCTTTCTGCCGTTCGGGCAAAGTTCGTGTAAAATAGAAAGGTTACGAAAATAAACAAGACTACGAACTTCTGTTGTATTGAATGATGGTTCATCCGAACTCCGGCGCAGGCCATACTGAAACTGATTCATCAGCTCAACAACTTTCCCATCCCGCTTCGCCCAGGATTCGTGCTGTTCAGTTAACAGGAAGCGCTGAAATTCTTTGTCATTCACTGTTTGCCTGTTGCCGGAGTAATTACCAAAGCAATCCAAAAAATATCTGCAAAGTCAGGTTTATTGGATCATGTTATTCAAATTTTATACTCATCGGAGCGTGTCGAACCTGTTCCACTGTCAACAGTTTACAGCATATGGCGACAAAAGCATTGAAATTAATTTCCCCACGGCCGCTTGTATCCAATTCCTGTTTACACAGTGATCTGTTACAGTTCAAATACGACATGCACATCTCGTCCCGATGGGACCACTTTTATGCACCTGGAAGAGATCTTTCAATCGTCCGGTTTGTACTTTGCAGTTGGCACGATACAGAAAATTTTTTGTATCGACAAAATTTATGCTGAAACAAGAAGTACTATTCACCCGGACCGCGACAAATGACCACTAAACAGTCGGTGAAAACATTACTTACCACATGCGGTGCCCCCGTTGATGAAATTCCTTGCTTAGCCATCTGAAAAAAGCATCAACGACCGCATTTAAACCCCCATAAAAACACTCGCCCAGAAGACTTAATGCAAGTAGCGCAAACAAACAGAGCCAACAAAGTTTCTTTGTGACAGAAAAATTTATAATTAAGCAGGAGACAAAATCATCTGTGTTACCGTCAATTCAGGGCTAAGTTGTTCATACGTGGCCTACCAAACGTTTATTATTTCCGGTCTTTCCATTAACTATCTGATACAAGTATCAAACCAGAAAAGTACTATATAGTATATGAAATTATCGCACTACTGCACATACAAATAAACCAATAAATATATTCATAATTAGTATTATCTATCCAGGAATACGTAACACCGAAAACAAATAGTCAAATATGTGACAAGAAGCTAATGAATGAAAAACCGCCACATTCCAGAAAAAATGGGGATTGCATTTAAGAACGTTTCTTTGAACCACACAGAATGTTGATTAATATTATATTACCACTTTTTTCCAGTTTAAATTTATCACTAATTTCTTTATATGTAATGGCAAATCTAAGCATTACTAAACGCATTTCAATTCAAACAAAAATCCACATAAAACATCTGCATAGTGTGACAAGAATACAGGCATGTGAAAAACTACATATTCGCAATTTTGAACGTTAAAAAGCATTGAGCAAGCAATGCGCGTTACAGCGCGTAGTCGTAAACCATAAAATTACCTCTCCAAATGCAAGCTGTACGGGAGACTTTTTGCTTTTTCGACATCCTGCATTAATGACTGCAAAATCTTGTGGAAATCGTCCAGCGTCTGCCTGGATTCCGCTAAAACAAAGAAAAAATTTGTAAAATCAAAAAAAGGAGCACTAACTATTTTAATTCAGTTTTGGCCTACGGATAACAGGATCAAAGTGATCACCGCAATGATTCTTGAGCAACGCTCTAGTAAACGTACCAGCACAGCTAATCGTGGCAAGACGAAATTCCGCTCCATAGTGGATAACCAACGGAAACAAAAAACGTTTGGCATCTTCAGCGACTCGTTCAAATTCGCGCGATATTTTGTCTTTACGCAATTCCTTAATATCCCTAATGTCAACTGTAAAAGAAGTAATCAGAACGGAAATGTTGACTGCAATTAAGTAGTCATCGGCAAATTTTGCATCAGTTTAAGTTGACTAAGAGTCTAGGTCTCACCAAGTCCTTCTAAAGGTTTGGACCGGAAATGCTGCAGGTGTGCGCTCCAGCCAAGCTGTCGAGATTCCTTGCGAATAACAAACAAACGCTTTTCTGGTCGTCTTTTCGGATAAAATTTAGTCAGCACTACACCGGCGTCAGCGAAATGATCTAGCATATCGTCCAGAGTCATTGTGAAAGTAATTCACTCTATCCACAGTCCGGTTGTTCAGTTAATCCATTCCATACATCGTACTGGCCTGTATTTTCAGATTCTGTGACAGAATGTCTGAAATGCAGACACAGTTCTCAGTTATGCCTGAAATTTGAATAGAGGTATGATACGCTCATCCGAAGCTAACAATAAGAAATGGATAGAGCCGTGTAGCTAGTCGTTTTGGCCTATACAAAGCAGTAAGCACGAACTCCAGAAGTACTAATCAAAGGAATGCTCGCGCTGGAGTAAATTGTTAGTTCGCTTAATGAAAATCGGAAGATACTATACAAAATGGCAAATCTTGCAGAAAAATCGGAGTTGCACTGTCAGTGCTCCGCTCACCATCTGACCAACGTGTGAACTGACTTGATATCTAGGTGAGTCACACGGAAGCTCATAAGTTATAAGGCAGCAATAGTGTTAAAGTAACTGCACACATCGGTAGTAACGTGATAGCGCGGGTTGCATTTCCAGACTGTTTACATTAAACAGGTCAATTCTAGTAATTCAACAGGTGATTAATATGAAAATTCGGAAAGTAATTTGCGTATCAAGTAAAATCACTAAAATTTAAATGAAAAAATGAAACCACGAATTTAAAGACAAAGTTTATTCAATAGGAAAACAAATATAGATATTGTATAATTATTGACCGTTCAGTAAGGGAACTTCAGCATTTCCAGTACCATCAGCCCGTGTGCAATTGCGCTATACGAATCACTGGAAATGGAATCAGCGTATGGATTTCCACATAATTATCCCATAGGAACGTGCTTGACAGACCGTCACAGACGCGCTTTCCATAACTCATTACAGTACGTACTTTATACTGCTGTGGAAGCTTGAAAGTTGAAACATTTATCATTTATGATTTACGTTTGAACTTTGCGCTGCATGCATTCGATATCCCGAGGATCAGTCGTCCATTATCATCACATTAGCTAAAAGCTGGACGAAATTTGGACTTTTTTACTTTTCACCTCACGTCAATAGTCTGAGATAGAGAGAACAGCCTCAGTTATTATCGAAGTGGTGAGTTGAATTCAGGCATGGACCCATTTGGGAACCGCAGCAGAGCAGTGGAAAACCTGGTTGTAGATGCCGGAGGTTTTCTTCGCCATGTGGAGTTACAGGTACGAAATTATGCAGTGCGCTAAACTGCGAGTGACAATCCATCTGGAACCTTAAAAATTTACATTGACTTCGTATTATTTCGATTGCAGAACTTACTTTAAATAATGTAAATTCTTCAAATTACAGTACTTAATTACTTCTTGTGTTTCTGATTATAAGTAAATCTGACGGGATTTAACAGATTACCTCATTACCACCATAAATCATAAGTAATAAGGTAACAGACTTTTAATCGTAAATTTTCATGTACGAGTATGAACGAATACACACAGCACCGATTACAGAGACCTTCTATGTGTGCTAACACCGGGACCTGCTTTTTTAGAATCTCGGTCACAGGATTTACACATTACACGATGTCGTCGCGGAAATAAAAGACAAGAATACAAAGGAGCGCCTTGCGGTCTTGCCTTACGAAATTCATTTCCGGGAGCCTCCCGTTGAAGTGGTTAAAATAGGTATGCAAAACCCCTGGAGACTGGCCCCACTGTAATTATGTTGGCGGATATAAGAAAATACGATTTAAATTTTTTTCTGTATTTTTCAAGTTATTAATTGCTTTGTAATTGTAATGGAAAGTATGAAGCAGTTCCGTGACGTCTAAAAGTACATTGCTTTTGGATGCAAATGGAAATTGCGAGATCAGTGTGAGTTATAACTACTGTTCTTCGGATAATTGCGGAGAAGAGCTTTAAAGCTGCACTACAGTTATTCCGAAGATGCACTAAAGCCTTCGCTCTTAGTTGTCAGGAGTTATTTATTATTTACTTACTGTTACAGCCTTTGTTGGCTGTTGATGGTTTGGATGTGATGCCGTTATCGAAAATATTGCTTGTTTTAGTGACCGATTTTGCAAAGAAAACGGGGGATTTTAATAATTTGTCACCAACGGATATTAAAGTGATTGCCCTGACATTGTTGTTGGAAAAAGAAAATAACGGACTGGACCACATCCGGACTAATCCGCTTACTGGCAAAGTAATTCCTGAATATTCCTTGTTGATTTAGTAGCAGCTTTAGACTTTAGAGTACCCTGTCTGGCTGATTTTGTTTTGCTTTATTTGTTTTTCGTTTGATCTTTTAGACGCTGATACACAATCCTGTTTCCACCGATTCAGATAACAATGTGCGGCAATCCTCCGTTCCGGGTTTTTTTCTTCCAAAGGTGCGCTTATCACCATGAATCATAGTTATTCCGGCTGCTGTCTGCGTTGCTGCTTACAGGGTTTGCTGGAAAGTAATTTTTTTTTATTAATATTTGAATTACGATCAGTAGGCATACATCGTTTTCCTTACAGGATGAAGACGATTCAACTACCTGCTCCATACGGTCCAGAAGTACTCGCACTTCGGAATGTAGTTTCGTAGCAGACGACATCCCACATACTGAGTGCGAGTCGCCAGCAGATGTTACTTGTGATCCCGGAAGTGAAAATTTACCGCTGGACAGTGAGAATAAAGAAGATTTTGTAGCAGTTGCTGTAGACCTTGAAAATCTCCGCCTATCGGAAACGGAGGATGAACCGACCGGTGGTGGTCAGGAAGACGATTCAAGTTCAGCACCATCCGTACAGACCGGCGCTTTATCTAACTTTGATGACGATGAAGGCTGGATCACACCGACAAACGTTAAACGAGTTTATGAGAAAATTGGCGTGCAACGAGAACAGCCATCCAACAGCAATAAAGTTGCCTGCTTGACTACGGATTTTTCTGTTCAGGTTTGTTTGTTATTGCCGTATTCTGTCGGCCTGTATTTTCATGCTTCCTACGACCTGTTTAGAACGTCGTACTACAAATGGGGATGCAAGTTATCGGGCCGGATGGCATGCTTATTAAATCTTTGCGGACTTATGTTTTGCGCTGTTTTGCTTGTTTCAAGTAAGTCAGTATGTACATAGATGCCAGTTGCATGCGTGATGCATTTGCCATTCTTTCAATTTTTTAATGACACTGCCTCGTCTTTTTAGAGTTACTCACAATACAACCAAAAAATTTTGTCCATCCTGCGGCAATTCGACGTTGAAGCGTGTTTGTATGACCGTGGATAAAGACGGACAACCAAAATATCACATTTCCACCAAACGGCCTTTGAACACTCGCGGAACTAAGGTAAGTACATACGTTTATAAACGTACTGTGGTTTCTGATCCGAAAAAGTATGGCGTTGGACCGTTTTATTGTGCTTCTTTATGGCTTGTGCAGTGCGAATCAGTTTATACCTGCGTACGAAAATCTGAAAGCTGCGATTGTGTTCAGAACCTGAAAGATTGTAAGCTATAACAGTGTGCATTTGTTTGTAGTTCTCTTTACCCCTGCCGAAGGGCGGAAAGCATGCCGTTAACCCCATCCTTTGCGAAGATCAACCTCAACCGCACCATTTTGCTTCCAAAAAATCCCTTCAGAAGCTTAATGCAATGGACACGGATTATATTTGTCGGGACTCTCCATTTTTAACTAATGATTTAACTAGTAAAGCATCCCAGCTTGGGCGGCGTGGAAATAAGTTGACCGAAACGAAATACTGGATGACGAAAAATCCTAATGCTGCTCGCAAACCCAAAGGTTGAATTCCTTGGCGGGATGTTTTCTCTTCCGATTAAAAATTATATATCCGCTTTCATAAATCGTGCAAAAAAAGCAATGCTTATACAAGTAACATACAGTAAGTATTTACTTCTATTTACAGCCCTATCTGAGCAGGGTGATTCGCTTTACAGTGCCGATCGCGCAGATGCAGTGCGGCACGATCACTGAGCTGCAGATACAGTTCACTATTTTTTACCGAATCGAAATTTAACAAAACAGCAACCTAATTCAATAAAAAAGGGAGCGGAAATGTTGCAAACTTATCGCTCCATAAAATGCTTCCATCTTCAGCACAAGGATAATGCCAGACAACTATATCTTGACTTCCAGTTCCATGAGATTGTAGCCAGATGCAGGCAAGGCAGTCCATTGTTGAATGTTGACTTATCCAAAAAAGGCATCACGGAAACCTGTCTAACAGCCTCAAAAGAAGTATTTCAAAGGCCGTTAGGGATGATGACTGTGAGGTCCAGGCAATCGTGTTGATGGTCGACTCTTCTCAGGGTATCTTTTGGCATCACGCTGCAGAGAGCAGTATTTATCTAAAAAATTGTGAAAAATACAAAACAAATGTTTCTTATAATCAGTACAACTAGAGAAGAGAAAGTGTAGACGCCGAAACAAAACCTTGAAGATTTTAATTTCTGAGCAGGCGCTTTCGAAATGTACCAAACAAATAATCGGTTATCGAGTACATATCAAAATCTGAATCTAAAAGCACTGTAATAAATCTTACTAGTAAATCCCTAGCAAAAATTTTATGGTTTGGTTTATCTACCATCTCGGAACCATTATATCTGTATTTCTACCTATGATAACTTGACTTGGGTAATTTTTAAGTTTTTAACATACACTCGTTTAAGGTCACGTCATGAGGATTCCCTTCAACTTACAATCAACGGTGGCAGGAGTACAGACGACATTATAAGTACCACGCTGTACTAATTAGAGGTTATTTTAGAATAAAATAATTACTTTTTACGTGTTTCTAGTGTACGATTCCGACTGCGTTTCGCAAGATTCGAGATACATGTACAGCAAAGCGCATTAATGTGCACTAACTCACACAAAGTCCGAGACCAAAACTTTTAAAAGTAGTCGTTAAGAAGCTTAAGTACTTAACCAGTAAGCTTACCAGCTTGCTCTGAATCAAGCGGCTTCTTTTTCGGACAGTACTCGCCGAGATGTCCAGAAAATCCACAGTTGTAACAGGAAACAGGTTTAGGGAAAACAGGCGGAACGGCAAAGTTATGATGCGGTGGTAAACTGTAAGGAACATGACTGGGCAACCGCGGACCGCTCGGCCCAGTTATGGAATACACACGAGGGAAAGCACCAATTATTCCTGGTGCACTACCACTTGGTCTATTATTCGTTATCGAAAACTTCTCCTGTGCTGCAACCATATGAACCACATCTTCCGCTTCAGCGGCATTTCTCCGCAGTGATTCCACGTCATCATCCAAGGTTTTAGGGAAGTTCTGGGCAACCGAATTTGACAGGGAGGGTGCGACGAGTGGCATGTTCTGATGGGCAAAATGCGGGAATTCCGTGGAAGAGGATACAGGCAGCGCGCTTACTGTTTTGTTGCTTCCCTTTGTTTCCTTATTTGCAGCAAAACTCTCTTTATTAGAGGCCAAACGAGAATCTTGAAAATCACAGTTTTCGGCAAAACTACTTTCATGGGTATTTATAACAAGTGCCTGCTCAACAGCCCTGCTTCGAGAATCACCATAAGGCGCGGCTTCGTAAGCATTCATGGAAGGCGCCACTTCCAGCACCCTGGCAGAAATCGTTGGAGCTTTAGGTCTGTGGTTTACATTTCCGCCCAGAGGAGGGAAATCGGCCTTAATGGTGGGCGGTTTTTTCTCTCGCTTCTCGTGATTGTAAGGTGCACGTCCGAACGGGGGCGGAGATTCGTATAATCCGTTCGGCAGTCTGTCAGCCCTAACCAGGGAACTACAAGTTGCAATCAATTCTTTAGCTTGTGCCAGTTTATGACTAAAACGTCTTACCCCGAAGCAGTGACTGTAGACTGCTGCTCAACCGGCTCCGGGGTAAGTGCAGGAATATCTGCATGGGATTTCAACTCTTCCAGCTCCTCTTCGGTTTCTTCTCTGGATACTTCCGCTTGCTCTTCCGCTTCCTGTGATAACAAAACATAATTTTGCCGTTCTGAAGCAGCCTGTTTTTAGTTCTTAAATGTAAAACACATTGTAAAATGATTTTAGGCGGCCTTCGTCAAAACAAACCCTGAAGATTTTTAATTTTTGAGTAAGCGTTCTCGAGATGTTCCAAACAAATAATCGGTTGTCGAACCGGAAAGCTGCGTGCCGGGCTACCATAAGTGTTATAAGAATTAATTCTCGCAAAAGTTTTTGGCTGTCGGAATTAAAACTCCACGTTCCCAACTCCGCCCTTTGCAAAACACCGAAAAAGATGTCAGCACAATAAAAATTCAGTGGGTGCAATGCCGAAAGGTCCACAATAAACTGGCGCCGCAATCCATCATTTGCCATAACCGTGCGCGGATCATAATTCTCGTAAAAATGTGAAAGACGGACAAAATCATTGGCCTGATTGACGGAACCGGCATAGAGCGCTTCGTCCCGTTTCAGCAGCCCATCAAGTATTCCATGAATATAGCGTAATTCCGTGGGAAACAAGCTATGCATCAACAGGTAGACGAAATCCATGCGCTCGAATGTTTCCAAACCACGTGCCCAGGCCAAAACTTTGGGTGCTGTATACTCGCTTGTACCGGAAGAAGCTCTTGAAGACATGGTAAACCAATTCCCGGCGAATATGGAACCGCATAATTCATATACACGTACTCAATGACTCATGTCAGAGCATTCGAAATATCGGAATGTAATCAGGATCAGCAAGACGGATGCGTGTTAATCCAGACAGATGGAATCATCAAACTAAGAAGAAGACATAAATCAAGAAACTATAAAACTGAGAATTTCATAATATCAAATTAATTTGTAATTGTATTAAAGACTGTACTGTCATCTATATAAATAAAAGGATAAGCCTTAACGAAATTCGGTGTGTGTCATCGATGCGTTAGCGCTGCTCTCAACCAAACCCGACGTCGATAGGTCGTCTGATAGCCCTTAACGTACAGATTTGCCACAGCAAAAGCCAGTTTTTAAAGAAAATCAAACATTTGGAAAAACTTCAGAAAACATTAACATAGAAAGCTAATGGGAAAAGTCAAGAATCCACCATCACAAAACCGACCAACCACTGTTTCGATAGCCCTCACGCGCTACTAATTTGCTAGGACTGTGAAAAACATTGAAGTTTTGAATCATGACTATGTATTATTCCATAGTCTTGAATAAATTTATAAATTTTTTTGATAGTTAGCTTCAAGAAAAAGAAGAACTGAGAAAAAAGACCTATAAAGTCTTCGAGTATGAAGCCGCAGTGCAACTGCTCAAAACTTTTTCTCAAGGAACTGTCGTTCGCGGTGGTTTAACCCGTTTATAGTAGCCACGCTTCCACGGGTGGTTGCCATTGGTACTGATTTGCTGTTGAAGTTAAAAATTTACAGATCTATTTAAAAAAAACTTTTAATTTTTTTTTCTGTGGACAATTATGTTCCAGAAGGGCGGAATTGCGTGTCTGGGGCTGATTTAAAGGACAGCAAGCCATAGCCGCACATTTTAGCGACTGCTTGGCAGTCATCAGGCGAGAACCGCAGTTAAAGTATTTGGCCCGGTACATAGTACTAAATTCGTGAATTTTAAGTTCATTTTAAATGTGAAAACAGTGCCAGAACTGCCTCCGTGTAAAACCATATTCATGCATATGTGCGTTTACATGCAGAATTTGAAGAAGATCAAGGCTAACGACTTTTGAAAGACCTGGATGCATTTAAACTTTTGAATTTTCATACAGCCATAAGTCCTGAACCAGGTGCTGCGCGCTCAAACGGTTTTCACGCCAATGTATACAAATCCTCTGGCTGCAGTATGTCATAAAACAAAGCAAAATTGGGTTTGGGAGTGCTCGAGTGGAAGTTTTCGCACAGATACACGAATTTGTGCTATGTACCGGCCAAATCCCTTACAAGGTAGCTGCATGCTCACTACTGACCAGCGACTATTGAGAACAAGAGAATGTTTTGGGAAATTTAAAACTTCCGTTAGTTTGAAAACATAAGGTGAGTCTGCTCATGATGCAGCAAATATGCAAGAAATTTTGCACAAGTCCTCGATTTTAGAAATAGCTATCAGCGGAGAAGGGAATACAGCGAAATGCTTCTGTCCTCATTTAATTAAAGTGGTTTAGTTTGTTTTGTGGTCAAAGTAATAGTGAAAAGGTGACTATTACTGTTTTTAATTTATCACCCGTTAGTGTACTGATTGTTGAAGGGCAGGTGCAGTGGTGCATTAGGGGTCAATCTGGGATGTAAAGTGCCATAAATTGTTATCGGATACGTTGAAAAGCTCAGAATGGTAAGAAAAAGAGGGAGAATGTTTTAATACTGTAAATTACAGGGTCCCTATGTAGCAGCTGCACGAAATTTAACTGATGGCGACTGATCTGGAAATAAACAGATCGGAAACAAAAAAAAGTCACCTGTTTTTGGGAGAAAAATAACTTTAAAAATTTTGCATTTCAGGTTTTAGCCATTCCGCAGTCAATTAAACAGTCAGCAAATTTTCCAGTTATCATCACGTGACATCAACTGTGCAGTGTGCAGGGACATAATTGTGTATTTTGTGTATAGAATGCTACGCTTCGTTCATGAAACCTGCAGTTATGAGTTTACATATATTTACATACCGCAGTTATGAGATTTAATTTGCGCTGAGTTGTGATTTATCCAATGCATTATTTACTCCGCGCAATTTGCGCGTCTACTAGTACATTATATTGTATTACACAGGATTGTACTAAACCAGACAGAGAGCGCCGAGTCTCACCATCAGCAGAAGGATATACAGATAATTTAACAATATATAACCAAAATCCGAATCGATACAATTTCAACTAGCGGAAAGAACAAGAAAAACATATTTGAAAAGCTTTAGCAACTTGGAAACACTTTCCGCCAGCCTTTTCGAAATTCGAATCAACCACTGAAACGATGACATGAGTAGTGTAACTACAGAACCTCTCGGGTGTGAATCTTGTGATGATGATTATTGATAACCAATTCAGTAACTGTTCATTTCTACCTCACTATTCTAAGGACTGCAGTAGATACATTATAATCATACAGATATTTCGAACTACGTACATGCAGAAACATTACGCATACGAAATCAGATTTACCTTTAGAAATCAATTTAGAATGTTACCGTTTAACCGTTAAAGTTTAACCAGTACTTAGTCTCCAAAGTTTTGAAAATGCTTACTCTAGGGCTACGTGACTATGTCGAAAACCTCGCTTCTGTGACACTTTCACTCATGAGGCTTGTGGATAACCATAATGTCCATAAGGATTTCAACCACAAGAATCCTCCCAGGTTTCGGTATATGATGGCTCTCAACATGGGCTACAATATTGTTGGTTGCATAGAGTGGAATATGGACCTGGAGCATGATCCAAGATCATTCGAGTAGGACTGTAGAAGTATATAAATACAGTATATATGTAAGTATTGTCAAATCGCGCATATGGACAATCCTTAACAACTAATAACTGCACGTAGCCAATCTCCTACCCTTACCTCGGCAGCTCATAAGACGGCGGAAAGGCGATTCCCGCGATTCGACTACCCTGAAGGGCACCAAACTTTTGCACCAAGTCCGACAGTGGGAAATAATGGAATCAAGTTCGTAGTTTTCGCACACAGGAATGTATATAATCTGTACTTACATTAAAACCAGTTTATTCTGTTTACAGTTTACTCCGTTTACTGTCTACACTCTACAGTTTAATTTTAAACAGTATCTATCGTTTTGAATACTGTTTTCGGCGTCTTGCGCAAAGCGGCACTTCTACTAATACTTCCAAAAAAATAACGTATATGAAAATCAATGCAAAAATCAAATTAATTTGTATAAGGAAAACGCAAGCAACAAGCCGAATTTTTTTCTGTTTTTCTAACCCAGGAAAGCTTGTTCGCGGCGGGATCCGGCACGGGCATTAACGTACGCGAAAGAGCACGCACGATTACGAAATACATACGGCATACGTACGAGTACTACCGCACCGCGTACGCAAGCTCGCCGCCTCTTCCTGGTGCTTATGGCGGGCACCCGCCTTGGCGGGTGCGATAAGGCGGGTGTAAACCATCAGGTGGGCATCGGTAGCGGGCAATGCAGAAATGCATTTGCACAGTGCACTTTCCCGCTAGCTGCGCATTCAAGTTGCTAGTGCGAGTCATAACTAGCGTTAAAGAACTTGCTAACGCTACTCCACGCTTTATGATTATTGATACTTTAAACCAACCCCAATATTGTTTTACAAAAAAGATTTACCCAGATCTTTCTAAATCGATTTGTTGTTGCTTAGTTATATTTAAAAATACGCAATGCAGGATAAATGTCCCAGTGACCCATTACTTTGACTGCGGATTTATTCTCTACTGGCTCCAGCATTCACTTAAACTTAGTAGGTGTTTTTAAAGCACTAAAACGAATTAATTTCTTTTATACAAAAATACAAAGGTGAAAGCACAGGCGCAAAATATTTAAATATATAGTTTGTTTTCAAAACGCTTGCGTGGAGACGATGACAGTTATAAAATTAGGACAAGCAGTTTGATATACTAATAAATAAAACGAACATTCCGCATTCAAATATGAGATGGCAACTTCTCCCAACAAGCACCAATATTTACGCCTACGGTTTGAGCAGCGCCAGGTTAATTTAATTTTTAATTGTAGCTGTCTACAGTTAACAGCGATGCCATTTGTGCATTTATGCACTGAAAATCATCAATACTTTACAGCAAGCCAAATTATGCATTTATGTAATCAGTTTGGTTTTTTAAATAACTGTCCAACGTTAGCGCATTACAGAGCCAATTATATGGCTTTCATTTATAAGTTGTTAGAGACGCAAAAAAATAATAAAAGATATCATTTTTTAAGCACGTGCTTATGAGCTTATCGCTTAGAACAACAAGATGATTTTATTGATATTTGAAAAATCGAAGCGATCAAAGCAGCTGCTTTGAGAAACAATTTTCGACCGAAGTGGAACCAAAAAAGAGGCACTTTGAAAGGGAAAACCAATTTTGCTTCAATCCTAAAAGGGTCTTACAATTGCAATCTTTACTTGCGGAAGCAAAGGTAACAGCATTTCTTGACATCAAACGGAAAGCCTAATGTATAACGAAATAGGCTGCAAACCTAAATTCAAAGGAGTGTTTCGTGAACGTTTTGATTCAGGGCTACCAACTTAGGCCACAGCCTAAATCTGATAACTGCAGTTTATTAACAAAGAATGCATTTTAAATAAGCCTTCCAATTCCTGCTCGAATTGAAGATCAAAACAGGTACTGTAAAAGAATGTTCTGTGATAAAGTAAATGAATGTAAAACACTTAGGCTGTGGCCTTTAATTAATGAAAAATTTGGCAAACTGCAGTAATAAAATAAAAAAGCGTTGAGTAAATCGCGTTTTTCTCAACCTTTTATGTGATACAGCTTGAAACCTTTTTTAATTTGTTTTGAAAACCATCATGGTGTCAAACAAGGTTGTATGGGACTAAAGCAAAGACGGTTTACATATATGTAAGCAGTTAGTAGACCGAATTGCGTTTGCTGTTGCTGGTCTCTGACTGGCAGCCTGAATATCTCGTAGATTTTAACGGTACGGCTAGAAGACTTAATCGAATGTTAAATTTTTTCATTAGCGATAAAAAATCGTAATTATTAGAATGATATTTGCTTAATTTCCGGGCATCAGAGTATGCCCGAGACTCTGTGGGAATACGGTACGGTTTCTATGCATTTAAATACATTATGCCTGCTAAATAGCTACCACTGACAATATCATTCTGTACGTTTCGAGACCGATTTGCGAAGTCTACTGTTATTTTAAAATTTGGGCACTTTTTTTTATCTACGTAACTCACCATTTTTAATTTTTGCTGTTAATTTTTATATAAAGGTAATTTTAGTTTGTTTGGTGCTTTAAAGTAGATAACCATATATAACGGCTGCTTGAAAAATATATATGGTGTCAGCTACGTTATTTTTATATTCAACTTTACAAAATAAAATATCTGAAATTTTGAAGGTGTCAAAGCGATCCACGTCATATAGCTTCACATCCTTGATCCTTTTCTGTTTTCAGGTGGTCACGTGATTGAACGTGTTGCCTACATGCAGGACAGTTAAACAAACAGAAAGACTACAAAACGTTCGTTTTTTGAGAGTTACAGTTTTAAAAGAACGAGTTTAGTTACGAAAACAAAAGACAAATACACAAAAGTTTAAAATTAAAAGGCTCGTGGCAAGTAGAACTGCACTACCGATTAGGTAAGTGCAGCGCACTTGATGCCCAGTAATGTGTAATTGGCGGTGCCCGCCACTGATACTGAAACCCGCCTTAGTGCACTCCGCCATATGGTGCCCGCCATAAGCACCTGGCCGCCTCTGGCCTCTTCTACAGTCTACATACGTAGCGTAGCTCGAGTCATACCGGGCCTGTGCTTATGGTTAAACATAAAGCGAAGTGTGTGCGCGGTCTCTGCCTCCGTTTTTTCGTTTTGGGAAGACAATTTTCAGAAACTGTTCGACAGTAGTGTTCAGTGTTAGCAAATTATTACGTAAATTTTTTTGCTGCTCTGGTAAAATTCTTATGATGCAAATTGTTTTCGCTTAACCCTACGTAAATGAGTTGATATTAAATATTCTTACATAAAGTCTGCTTGCCACTTTTAATTTGCCGTGTACGGGTTAGTTTTTGTGGTTTCTATAGCGAGCAGTAGCGCGCGAGTTTCTATAGCGCGAGCTTTCAGTTTTTTTGTGGATTCGCATTTTTAGGAGTGGAATTTGATTTTATTATTTTAGCTATATTTTCGGTTTTAGTTTAGAGTTCTGTACTATTTTTTATTTATTCGAATTTGGAAAAATGAAGTGGAAATTCAAGGAGCTCCATCCATATGGTAATAAACAATGACTTCGGTGTTAATTCTCTGCTATGGAAGTGTGCAAGTCACTGAAGTCAGGTGTCCCTAATTTTTTTTGTCTAACGCTTTCAGTGGAGAGAAAAAAGGAGAGTGAAAAAATTCGGGCGAAATATCCTGAACGCATACCAGTAAGTTCCCTGGGAGACATTGTTCTTCACATCTTTAATACAGAGTAATGATCGACCAGGTGTCGCACATGTTATTTTAATATTCTGGATAAAAATCATAAGATATAGTGATAAACGATGAAACAGTCAGCTAAAAGTGGGAGTTATAGATCGTTTGGTATAGAAGTAATTTATATGAAACTTCAACTTGTTGTATCCATAGGGCTTAAGTGTGGCTGGTTGTACCGTTTCAAGTTTTTTTGCTGTACCCAAACAGGTGATTGTCGAAAAAGGCCCTGGAAGTAACATTCAAGAAATCGACAAGCGAAAATTTCTTGTACCCAGTGATATATCTGTTGCTCAGTTTATGTGGATAATTCGACAGCGTATCCAACTTCCCGCAGAAAAAGCCATTTTCCTCTTTGTTGGAAAAGTTCTTCCGCAGAGCAGGTCGGTGATTCTCGAAGGCGTGAGTAAGGAATGTTATCAGCGCTGCACTATGTGTCGTGCATACCTTGTGATTCCTTATCTGACGTCATGGATGATCGTTGTACCCATCTTGATTAACCTATTCTAACGAGCTTCTTGGAAAAATCGCGTCAAAGTGATCGATTAAGTTGCTAACTGCAGTGTTGTTTTGTTTACAGTGCCAGTCTAAGTGAAATCTACGAAGAGCATAAAGATGCGGTAAGTGAACCGTGCTCCGTAATTTGAACCTGTAGCATTCGATGGTCAAGCAGGCGTTAAGGCTCACAAATCACAATGAGCCTCACACGTTTTTTACTCAATTTTTAGAGTGTATATCCATTTCATTTTCAAATTTCAGACTCTAATAATTAACGATGCATTCGAAGCAGTACATGTTTCATTTCCTTCATTTATTGCTTTACTTCGCAGCTTTTATTTCTTCAGGAAAAGTTTTGTTTCGTTGCACTCTATACCGCCTAAAATGTTGGTTCTGATATTCGGTATTTTTTAAAAATTTGCATAATTTATGACAGGAATGTTAAGCACTTTATTTTTTCAATTTATCAGTGCAGACTTATGTCAGCATGAGGTTAGCATGTTTTGGCTGACAATTGTAAGCTCCAGAGATGAATCGTTGTTGGTTTTAGTACTGCGAGTAGTAAGTGAATTACAGGCTGTGTTAATTCATGTTGTGATTACTGCAGCAGGCTTTTGTTTGATTCGATACGGATTACGCTGAATCGAAACATCTTTATTTTACGCTTTTAGGATGGTTTTCTGTACGTATGTTATTCGGGCGAGAATACATTCGGCTGAAGATACTACGGTATGGATTTGACTTGATTATTCTCAGTTGGACTTTCGGAAATGACGAGTGCTCAAACAAGGGATTTGTATTTTTCTGGAGATTGACAGAGTTGCTATGCTTCTGTGAGAATTTGCGAATACATTCGTCTGTTCAGAGTATTTTGCTTTTCTAATTATTATTTACTTATTAATTACGCAATCGTTTGGTATGCTGTTTTGCTTCCTGTGTTAAAACATCGATGTTGTAATTTGCGAGATTTCTCGGATTAGCCTGTTTGGCGTTTGCTGATTATTCGATGATATTCGCAGTCTCAAACAGAATGCGGCTTAATTGGTGTATTTTTACAGATTTGATTGATTCATTTGTAAATTGTAATCTCGCTATATTTATCGCTCTATTTTAGTGATATTAATATGGAAACCCTTGCACGTGTGGCTGGCGTTCTTTGCTGTTTTCACGTAAACAGATACTTTTGCGGAAGGCTGGTTAGGTGCCTTTGAATACGCCAAATAAACCCTCAAAGTGATCTGCATCATATGTTTATACCACTTTACATTTTTCTTATATATATCAGTCGTTCCATATTCTGCAAAATTGTAAGACTAGTACCTAACTGTCACTGGATTTGTTGTCTTAAGACAGTCTCAAAAATGCATCCCACTGGAGAGTAAACCACGACTGATAAGAGTACAGTATACGTATATATGCGGTTTAGACTTCCAAAATGCACATAACTGTTTTGAAAATTACTCAGCGTTGCATTTTCATAAACTTATTTCAGACACTTGATTAGCACTACTAGTGTGTTTGTTTCCTACAGTAACAAATCTTCGTTTTCTTTCGCACAGCAGTTTTGCTTGTCCCGGCATTTTCCCGACCATGTAGTACGCGATCGGTAAAGGTCACTTTCTGTGAAAACAGCCACCTCACGCTCTTGCTGACTTCTGTTATTGGATTTGAGTTGTTATTCTGTGCTTTTTTTTTAAATTAGTGCCCAACTGACCATACAATTGCGAAATTCAATATAAATTGAACTTGCAGACAGGCTAGGGTCACACGAATGAAGAGCCACCGCCTCATGTCACCGCTCTACAATCTCCTTATGGCTAGTCATAGTGGAGCATTGCGCCAGTGCGCAGCATTTTGATTCTGCAGTGCACATGAGTGGTTAAATTTCTGCCTTTTAAGTTATGTGATGCCGATGGAATCGGTCTTACAGATGTCTTACCCTCCTTACTGGATGCGATGCTGTAGCATCCATATCGCCCAAAATAATCACTGAAAATAAAATAACTGGTATGGCGGAAGGGTTTGCAGTTGAAGCCGGGTAAGGTACTTACGTTACTCGTATATTGCTTAAACGGATGAATATCTTCACGCTGCAGCATGGTCGCGGTGTGCTCGATGCCATGCCGGCTAAGTATTACGCTATGTTTATCAAAGAAAACTGAACGTCGGACATGCCGGTGCAGTTTCAAGGAATACATATCTCATAAATGACGGACTTTCTACATACGGCGCTTGATCTGCGAAGCTGGGACAGAACGCACAGAGCCCAAACGAGCACTTAAAATCATTTCCGACGGAGACAAGTAGACCGTCGCCACTAGCCGACCAGCTCAGAGATGGGAGGAGACGATGATGCCGTGGCTGATTATACATGCTGGAGCGCGTCAGGTCTACGACGCTTTTCTGGCAATTAGTTCTCTGTAAAGTGGTACGTTGCGCTATCTGATGCGACGGGAAAATCATAGATCAAGAATTAAATCATCCTTTGCCCATCCTACTTTTCCGTTTCGGGAGTTGTACCGCATACTTAGGCTGTGAGTCGCTTTGTATTGTGAATGAAGAGGAGCGTATGCCGACACTTTGGACACATTATAAATCTGTAATCATGGACGTATAATGCGAGTCCCCATTGTTGGGGACGCATGTCGTCGAAAAATTTGTTTTTATCTCTCAAGTTTTTTTGGACATAAATCCGCGCGCAATGTGTAGTAAAGTGCTTATATGGAATTGATGAAGGACCATCTAGTTTGGATTGCAAAGGTTATCAAACATGCGATCTCTCGCGTGCGCATGGATTATCATGCCTCGTTTATGTTTACACGAATACGGCTGAACGAGGAGTTTAGCTTGTGATAAATTTTTATTTCTAATCAATCGGAAATTGGTTTTGATTTCTGCTTTTTTTTCACACTGTATTTTTTAATTTTGGTTCTTTATCACCGGTGAACACTTGGCAGCTTCGCGGATTATGCAGTTTATGACATCTATTCGGATCTATTCGACATATGCTCGCTTACATATATGTACTTACATATATGTAGTATTACCGCTTACATTATATGTAGTATTACCGTGACCATCCAAACGATGCTGTGAATGCGATACTGGTGGCTAGTTAGCATTTACCACCACTAACACGATGATAGTACTGAGGGAATACAATTAAATTTTCCCGCTAAAATGCAGCAACAAAATTCAATCCAACATGAAGGTCGCCAGGTGCAGCAGCCGGGGCAGCAACAGCTCCCGGGTGGTCGATTTGATTTTGACGATGGCGGTATGTACTGTGGCGGATGGGAAGAAGGGAAGGCCACAGGCCACGGTGAGTCCCATGTGTCGCGTCGTCTTGGTAGCGTGGCATTTGCTTTAAGCAGCGCATTCCATATTTGATGTGCCACCTGTGGGTGATTTCCATTTGCAGTCCATTACGGACGAAAACCGTTAAAAATTATTTACATATGAGATGCTTAGATTTTCTTATAAACTTTTATTAAATTTGTTTCTTATATAGATATTATCTCATAGAACATATGGTAAGCGTGTCTGGATAGTAAAAGTGAGGCGAACGTTTTGCTTTTGCTTACAGTTTTGCAGCTGTAGGATGGGGTTGTCATAACTATAAGCAAGGTGTATAAGGGGTAAATGATTGTCCTAAGTGTACGATTGAAGTACACGTCTTACTTCCATACAGTTCTTTCTCTCTCTCATATTTTTCTTCATCACCAAAGTGTATGATGTAGTAGTGATCAAATTATTTTTGTTATCTGCTACTTGCTAGCAGATTACACAAATAATTCCACAGCGCTGTGGCCCCGTTACAAGTCAAACTGAGGAGGTGTAAGACTAAATTTGTTTACTCGAATATATTTCTAAACGGGACATTGTTCTCCGACGATAGAGGTTCTAGCTTGCCGTGCCGGCTTATTCATCCTAATACTACATTAGTATCACTAAACATAATAAGGAACTTTTTAGTTGATCATGGTCAAACTCGTGAACAGTTGAACAGTGACAACAGATTAATTTTGCGGTTTTTAGCAGTCTTCTCGTTCCTTATAATAACCAACTAGCGTCCGAACAATTCAGTTAGACTAAATTTAAGTATTTTTGGTGTTGTTTTCCGCTAGGTATATGCACTGGTCCACGAAATCAAGGTATTGTGCGATCGTTCTACACAATTGGGAACCATCAAAATTAACTAAGCTTTCGCTAAAAAAAGGTGAATACGCTGGGAGCTGGCATCTGGGTTTCGAAGTGAGTGGATGCTATACGTGGCCGTCGGGGAATACGTTTTCGGGTCAGTGGCAGAACGGTAAACGGCATGGGCTCGGTGTGGAGACACGCGGGCGTTGGATTTATCGTGGCGAATGGAATCAGGGCCTCAAGGGGCGATACGGTACCCGTTCCAGTCTGACCACCGGCGCCAAATACGAAGGCACGTTCTCCAATGGCCTGCAGGATGGATATGGCACGGAAACTTATGCCGACGGAGGTAGGTACCAGACGTTCAACGCTGTTTTCACAGTGGTGCGAGCGTTCGATTTTCTTCAGTTGAAATTAGTGTACAGAGTGACCTCATAATTTATTATACCAAAAATTTGATGTTTTCCTCGTTCATGGCTTATGATTCTCGAGGATCAGTTTACTTTGTCCGTTACTTAAATAACTAGTTAATTAGTTGTACTGCAGTTCTTTTTCAGAAGGTAACAGAACTACTATTTTGCTAACTATTGCTAACTTAAAATCAATGAAAGTACTTAAATAAGTACGAGCTTGATTTTGAAAACGTTGTTTGCCTTAACTTAACTAGGATTTCTTTGCTACCGCAGTGTACATTATTATTATTATTATTATTATTATCGTACTACAGTAGCCAAACTCCATTACGGAGACTTATTACCCTCAGGTGAAAACCGTTGCTAAACCAAAATTTTATTGGAAAATTTTTTTATGTTAATTTTGAAAATTTTACCTTTTTTGGTTTGATTTTACCAGATAAAGTAACCTGGGAGAAATTACATAAATCTTGAAAGCCATTACGTACTACCACCAGGCTAGGCAATTAATTAAATACTTTGATTATTAGGTGAATACGTAGCTCCATTGTAGACTTAAATACATCATTCGAAAACCGTTGGGCAAACCAGCTATTGGAGGGAATTTACATACATTGGGCAAACCGGTTATATGGATAGCAAGCGAGAAACATACGTCAATATCAGCAGGAAATATTGTGGATTAATATGATGGATACATGGGTGAATGGAATAACGATAAGCGGATTAGGTGATCGTGTCTGAGCGTAGCGATGGCGAAATACAGGCGAATGGCAGTATAATCTTCCGTATGGTTACGGTGTGACGTACTTTAGGATGCACCAAAGAGGCAGGAAAATTTGAAGAGCAATATTCATATCATCTCGAAGCACTCCCAAATTCATGTTGCTTCTTGATGATCCGAAGAAGATCCACCAGGCGGCCAGTTCGGCGCAGATGAGAGCAATATAAGACAGTTTGATGTGGTGAAGCACTCCCAAATATGCGAGTGCGGTTTCTTCTTGATGATCGAAATGATAGTACATTTCAGGTCTGCCTGCATTCGCGCATGCATGCATGCATGCATATCTACGTCTACAGACTCTACACCGCAGTATATATACGCGTACTATAGCACTTAATTCTCTTGTTAATTTGATAAAGCCGTCCGCCAAACTGAAAATGATTTACGGTGTATGCAGCTATTCAAGTAACAATAGTTCTAGTTCTCCTGCTTCATAGGTAAAATTAACCATAATCACGTTTCATATTTTTTCAAACTTTGCCATATTTCTAAAATTTCCCGCAATTGTTTTGTTTTCAGGGGTTTTAGTTTCAGCAAACAACAACATTAAGGCCATCCAATTTTAGAAATTAAATTGTGGTTCTTACGTACATTACAAGAGTATTCCGTTTGTTTTACCTGCCCGGCCTCTTACAATTACAAGACATTTGAGCGATACAAATATATATATATACCTTACCCGTGTAGGTTTTGGGAATCTTCCAGTGTCCACCTCTAAACGCAAATTCTCCTCAACATGGTTGATTAATGTAATAAACTATGTACTGTAATGTATATATATGACCTATTTCAGATTCAGTGCAGCTTCATTTATTGCAACTCTTCCATGGTATTTCCCTGATTACCGGTATGGTAATCACTTCGACACGCCAACATCTTGTCTGGCATAACCTGAGAGGTTCTGCATGAGCCAATAATAATGATAATCTTTAGGTTTAGAACCGATAATACAATTGTGGTCAATTGTCGTTCGTATCATAATTATGGATAATCGTAGTCGTAGATATATTTTTGCCATGACCTCTTCGTTATCATGATTTCTTTCTGCTCATCGTAGGCACTTTTCAAGGACAATGGTTACGTGTCTTCTACGCACGGTTTAGAGTTCGCCCGTTTCTACTGTTCATCAGCAAAAAAATTGCATTCCCACCAGCGAGCCGGAAACCCATGTGCCGGAAGAAGAGCAGGTAAATGTACAGTGGCTAGGCGGAATTTCATAGTAATGTGTCGGCGTCACGGCGGCGTACAATATACTCGTATCTTGTCATGCGGCACACAATAGGTATACGTGGCTGATGTCAGACTTCCGCCCTGTTTACAAAAAAATCCCCTCAGTTTTGTTTTGCTATTAATGCTAGGAGGACCCCGCTGCTGATCGGGACCATAAAATAGAGCAGAATCGCGGTGGCTTTATACTAAAAGCTCATAGTGAAGAGCCGACTGTGGAGAAAAAGCGCAAAACCTTCGCGGAGAGCAAAGACCAAATGAAAAACTCCATAATTGTGGACTTCGGCTTAGGAAACAACACAGCACTGGTGACATTGACCAGAAAGTAAGCGCGAGAAATTATAAATCTTGAATGCAATACTGTACTTTAAAGACAGTAAAGTATATTGTATACTGCATATATGTGGGCCATATGCGTAGCTCCTTGCTAACATCATGCATGGCAGTTTACGTAGGCACAGTAGGAATTCATGCAGCTCTGGTGGATGGCTCGGCGTCCAACATAAGTTTTATCAGCCAGGATGAGATTCTGGATCCCAATATCACGGAAACGTACATGGGTGAATGGAAGGACGATAAGCGCACTGGGTGGGGCGTGGCTGAGCGGAGCGATGGCCTGAAATACGAAGGCGAATGGCAGAATAATCGGAAGTATGGTTACGGTGTGACGTACTTTAAGGATGGAACCAAAGAGGAAGGAAAATACAAGAACAATATTCTCATATCATCTCAGAAGAAAAAGGCCACCTTCATGTTGCGCAGCAAAATGAGAGAAGACACCAGGGGCCAGTTCCGCAGCGTCCCAGATTGCTCAAAAGCGATATTGCCGTGGGCCGGTACATCTACGTAAAATAAGCATTCTCGAAATAAACTGAATTACTACTCGTAGTTACTACTTCATACTGGTTTTATTTGCATCAAGAGATCGTATAATAAAGAAAAGTAAAAGAATTATTTTTACAGATAAATGAAAACTACGCGAATTTTCGGTAAAATTAACCATCATTTAGGAGAAGAATTCCCCTCTAATAACTGGTTAATATAAGCGCATTAGCTAGCGCGCAGTGGATGTCACAAAATTAATGCGCTGTTAAGATTGTGTTCACTATCGTGGTTTTGAATGAGACAGAACTGCTACGGCTCGAGGAAAAGCCGAACAAGCGGAAATCGCTGCCATGAATGCCAAAGAAGATGCTGAGATTGCGAGAGCGTATGCCAGCCAGTTTGGTCCCGACTTCAGGCAGGGTAAGACCGAGGTTGTTTATACAGGAATAGAGAAGCTTTTCCATTCAGCACTTGGCCAGATGAGAGTAGCTATTTTGGGATAGACGGCAGTCGTCCGTCTGATTGACTGGTAAAAAATTCTCTGTCCTGTGAATGCCCTATATATTACACCCACTTTCCGATTAAATTGGACATCTTGTCGTTAGTTTCACAAATTTTTCAAAATGATTAACCACCTGATGAAAGGATGGCAAAAATGGCGGCTAATAGTGCTACATAATGTTTCCGGCTTTCTGCAAGAAGTTAACCAACTGATTTGCTCCATTACTTTAACGTATAAACTTAAGCGCTTGAAAACCGAGGCATATAATTATTAAGAAAAATTTATCATAATAATGATCTTTCATTCAGAATTTCCGGTTGTTATAATTATTATCAGTATGCAGCCAATGCTAACGTTGTCAACAGATCTTTAAGCAATAGCTAAAATAAGCAGGTAACAACGTTAACTGGACACAAAGTGTTAACTACTGCACTTTTCAGGGGATCAGCCTCAGTTTCATACTGTGATCAGTCAAATCGACGCCGTTGCTCACCAGCGAGCCCAGTCTCTGTACGGTGCCGGTCGCCGGCCGGCTGCTGCCAATGCCATCCCAGATAATCGAATGCGTTCGAGTGTTACCGATGAGGAATCGTTTATGCCGTCGGGAATAGCCGCTCGCATCGGCGGACGCCTAACTGTCGACGACGCTTACGTGGCCGACCAGCCGACCGGAAGTCGGCGCCACAGCTTGGTACCGCCCATGACCGACGAAGATTACGCACCGGAGCAGTTTCTCAATCGGCATTCTCCGCGACAGACCAGCATGCGTGAATCCGTGCGCTCCCACCGTTCGAGCCGAACACCCGAAGGCTCGCTTACCGCACAGAACGCCCAGGCCCGATCGGCGAATCTGTTGGCTCCGCGGCGTGTCGATCACGGCACCACATCCGTGATGGCAGCCACCGTCATGGAAATGCCCGGCGAAAGCCACACCCCTGGGGCCGCCGACCCGCAATCTCCCGGTACCGGAATTAAAGTACACCGACGCCGGTTCACCATATTATGCGGCCACTCCCAATCCCGCCCTGCTAACACCGCTGCATGTCAACCAATTAGGCACACCGGAATACATGCAGCAGGTAGTGGATAAACTCTCCGTCCAACAGAACTCTCTCTCCGCCCGTCGGGTTTCTCTCCAATGTTAGTGGACAGCGGCACCAGTACGCAGCAGTACCATCCGCTGCGGACGGCGCCTCCTCCGTTATCACCAATCAACCGGCGCAGCACTTTACCCGCGGCTATTCCCGACCCCATGATACAGATCGTCGTACCGCCGAAACCGCCCCGTACACCCCAGTCACAAATGACCACTATACAGGAGAGCCGTAACGGTAGTACGGGAAGCTCGCTCAATACGAAAACCATTGTCCATAGTCCGTCAGATACAACCATGACGACGAAGACATCCCTGGGAACCCTTCCGCGGCAGCCGTCCCAGGATGTCCCCTCTAATCGCTCATCGCAAAATGCGGTCAACGGCTCACGTGGCGCTCTGGGGAGAAATCCCGCGCTTGGGAAAATCCCCAAGTTGGGCTCCATTAATATGGGGGCATCGTTTCGAGTCAGTATGCCGGATATTTTCGAAGCCGCAACCGTCGAAGCGCCTCCGCCGCTCTCACGGGAAGAAGTGTCCCGGTTAAGCTCTGAGAGGCGGGAAGCGGTTAGAAAAATGAAAGAAGAAGAGGAACGGATACGGAAGAATCCGTTATTGTTTATATTCCATCCCGCTGTTAAGGTTCGTATTCACTTATCAGCATTATTTCTTGAGAACTGAGACATAATTACTAATATTTGTTGTGAATTGATCTTGCAGGAATTTTTGTACCGGCACCATATGATTTTACTAGTGGGATTACTAAATATGATTTTGTTTTATTTATTTATGGATCTATTACATGGCAATTAACGACATCCACTTTCGGGGTTGTTTATTAATAGGTTTTACCCGCATGCCGATTGGAATCGTAGTTAAATACGATTATACACACTCTGTTACGTTCGATGTTTTTGATATCTAAATGGTTTTTTTTATCCATCATCCACACGCGTCATGTTAACGTTAGCCTTGTTCTGGTGTTATTAGCGATGGGTCGCATGGTTGTCAGTAAATTCCGCATCTTTCTGTCAAGGCAAAGAAGGGTGTGTGTGCTTCGCCGTGCGTTTTCAAAACAAATAAATTAACAGAGCAGGTTGTTAACTCAAATTTGCGAAATTCTGGTCTGCCAGAAGTGCTTTCTAGTTTGTACTGTTAAAGTTCAACTCACTGTTCAAGCATTTTACGTACGATTGAATGATAACGTCTGAGGATGGCTTATTTTCCAGCGAACTGTGTGAACAGAAAAAACTTGACAGAAAATGTTTGCTGTTTGTTATCAGTGCTGCACAAAGCGAGTGGTAGTAACTAGTAAGTAAACATGGAATGCTGAGCCCATATTTACATCCTTGGCCGCAGGCTGTTAAAAATCAGGATGCTCATCAGCCTCAGCCTCATCCCATAAAAAGGGGTACTCTGTGCAAGACTACAAGTAGAACTGTAGAGTGTAGAAGCGTGGCAAACTAACACTAGAGTATTTGGTATGCCATGGTAGAAGTACTTATTCGATAGTCGATACAGATACATGCCGACTCCGAGTTCAAATCTATGCTTCAAAAGTATATTATTGTAGGATATTAGTAATATGTAGACTAATAGTGACTGTATAATATGTATATTAATTATTATTGTTAAGAAAGATAATTTTACATTTCGTGCTTAGATACTTTGATTCACTTTGGTACGTATCTTCACCATCTTGATTCTTGACCGTATAAATTTTATTAACAAGAAAACTGTTGTTTGTCGCCGTGTCGGGTTGTCGTGCACACTCCGTGCACATGCGCACGTTAAGGTAAAAAGTGACGCACTTCCGTATGGTACTGAACGTCATTCAATTCATTCAAACGGTGACTTTTGTTTTTGTCACAAACTTACAATGGAATTGAAGTGTACTGCTTTGTAATCTCTAATAATCTAATTGTATTTGTAGTTTTTATTTGGGATTAATCGCCCCGAAACTTATTTGTAAACTTAATGTGCAGGCCGCTCAACATTGAAAATGGAGGACGCTCTCAAGCAGCGTCTGCGTGCCCTACATGCGTCTCTTTGTTCTTCGACTGCGGATCGTGGACCCAACGCTGTTAACAGTTTCGCGAACTGCATGACATGTTTTTCATCCAGCAAAAATCATAGAGGCTCTGATATCGTCACGGCATTCCATCGCATGAAACGCCAGCTAGCTGCCATATCTTCTGCTAGCGAATCCCAGATCCGTCACTTCGAATCTCTGCGAAGATCTGCAAAAGTCTCCTTCCCTGCATAGAATTCCCGAAATAGTCGAGTTTCTCCATTTTCTTTCTCAGACCAGTAATTCCCCCATTGGTGATGGATTATGGCTGAACTCCATCGACCGCAACTACCAGTCATTATCTCCGGAATCCGGATTCGCCTCAACGCCTGCGGATGGCCCTGCAGCAGGAATATTCCCTGGAGCGACCATTGGGAAGACTGTTCCCTTTCCCGAAACCCGTGTGCTCCTACCCTGTCCGCCTACTTCGCTACACGTGTGTAATCTACCAATAGTCAATGAAAATGAGCTGATACGGGATCTGTTGAGCGTGGTGCATGGGTTTGAAGGGAGCATTGTAAAGTTCGTTCATGATGGGTGTCGTTTCGTTCAGAGTCGAGAAATTGAGCCTCACATGCAGGAAATGGCGCTGCGTATTGCCTACACGGGATGGATTTGTCATAAACTGAAAAAGTTTTGTATTCAGAAGAGAACGGATAAAGTTGGTGGGTTATGCAGCCAGCGAATGTGCGCTGTCGTGGAAGATGAATTACAGTCGCATCGGAAGTTGGTGTCATTGCTTGATGCGAAGGTTAGAAACAAAACCACAGATTTATGATTTATTGGACTTTTATTCGTGATATCTGTGTCTTCGATATTTTTACGTTTCCTTATTTTTCCCGCTTACTTGGGTTGTGGGTTCGCAGTTAGCATACACTAAAACAAATAAAACTACACATGGCAAAAAAATAGATTCACTTACAAAAAAGAATAATAAGGTAATAATAAATAATTATGTATTTACACATTTAATTAAGTGTATTCGTATTACATTTACTTTCATTTAGCATTTTGACTGCTTGCATTTTTGGCTGCTTTTGATTTTTTGCCTTGAGTTGTTGAACTTTGCATGTCACTTGAAGTTGCAAGCACACTTGACTTGTAGTTGTAATCGCATTTGCAGTTGTCTACGCAGTTGTTTTGCTTTTGCTGGATAGGTTCATCGGGATAACCCGACTACCGTTACCGATTCTGGTCTCCATTCTGGGCAACTCACCTTACGCAAATTTGAGCAAGCTGTTTTTCCCATCAGAACGCGTCTCGATTCCCTTCTCAATCTCATCCGTGGTGCATCAACCGGCAAAGGCGGAGAATTGTTAACCTCGCTTCTTCACAGAATGGCTGAAGACGGCGATCCGGACGTGCGACAGTTGGGCGGTAAACTGATTGCTGCGGCCGTGGAACCTTTTCTAATTCAGTTGTGCCAGTGGGTTTATTCTGGTTACCTCCACGATCCGTATCACGAGGTTAAACGCAGATTTTTATGTTTTATGCAGAATAAGTCTAAGATTTCGCGTTTTTTCAGTTTTTTGTCTCTCTGGATCACGCATCGAGCGCGGAATCCTTCTGGTCAGATCGGTACAGAATCTCCGATTCCATGATACCGTACTTTCTTCCAGCGGAAGTGGCTAACCAATTATTTTCTGGCGGAAAGTCGGTGTCTTTTATTCGTACTCATTGTAATATGCGGTGCAATATTCCGGGAATGGAGGTGTACAACAGTGAATGGAATTCCGAATCGATGGATCTCGTGTGGGATTACCAGGAGAACAGAATTAAGCCGCAATATTTGCGCAGTCTTTGTACAGCCAGTGGAATTGCGACGAAATATGTGGTGGATATGCTTTGCGTTGACCATAAACTTGACCTTCATTTGCTGGTAAGTTCATAATTTAGTTTGAATCGTGTGTTGTATCGGGATCAATTTCGAAGATTATTGTCGGAATAGGCCCTGAGAAAGTATTTCCTTATGAGCCGTGGGGACTTCATTCAGATTATTATGGATAATTTGCGGTAAGACAAATTTTGGTACACGTGTTTACGAATCTTTTTTTTATTTATCTGTACACTTTTTTTCCGGCATGCTGCAGTGACCGTCTGGATCAACCCACAGTGAACGTAATGTATTCTGCTAATCTTACGGCAACACTGTACGAAGCGATTAATATGGACTTGGAAGAAGCAGAGGTGATCAAAGCTTTGGATACAGTCATGGTTTCCGTGAGAAGCGATACGGAAATTGGTTGGGATGCGTTCTCTTTAGAGTACCGGATCACAGGGCCGTTGATTAATGTACGACCGTTGTGGGTTAAACGATTTCCAGTCTTTCATTATAGCTGACCGTCACCTTTTCATTGTAGGTTTTAACAAAGCACGCCATAAACAGATACAAGAGAATTTTTAGCCATCTATGGCGGATTAAGCGAGCTGAATATTTGCTGTGTGCATTATGGCGACGGGAATTGAAGCCGAAAGCGGGCGCTTCGAATTTTTCAGGTAAGAAGCAAGGTGGGGGAATGGCGAAAATATCTTTTGTTTAGCAGATATTTGAATTGGTACGCTGGTGCCAGAATGCTGTACAGTGAGAACCGTCTTGAAGAAATCTCTGTCTTATTGTTTGTACGAGATTACTGTAGGAGTACAGAACTTGAACACAAAACAACTCTGCTTGCTGCGTTCGTTAGGGATGGAAGCACTGTGCCACGAAACAAATTTAATGATGCACAGAATGCTGCAATTTATTCGCCAGATGCAGTTTTGTTTTGATTTGGACGTTTTGCAACTTGGATGGAACAAAGAAATAATAGCCGATAACTTGAAAGCAGCTAAATCGATTGATGACCTGCTGGCATTTCACAATGCCGCTTTAAATGCTATGGAAGATAAATGCTTTCTTCGGGAGTCGAAGAACTTGCCGGTAATTCTCAGCTGTGTTAGTCGTCCGGCATATGTTTTTACGAGCCGTTTCTCAAGATTGTTATCTGTAGTTAAATACCTTAATGGTGTGTTTTAGAGCAACTGCGCGGACTATTTGAGGGTCATCTTAGATCATATTGTTGCCTTCGAAGGACTCTTTGATGAGGTGGAAGACTGCCTGTACCGGTCGGATCTGGATGATGAATCTATGGAAAACATAGTTTTTCGGAAAGCACACACAGTGTCTCAGTTACATGCAAAATTTACGGTAACCTCGGTCACTGTGCTACTTATTGTTAGCCGCTGTCTACTGGTAGTGTTATTTTTTGCAGCGTGACGTAGCTCAGTTTACTTCACAATGGGAGCTTTATGACACAGACTGTTCGGTACGCTGTCAGTTGGATTATAATAGCAATTATATGGACTCCGATAAGAAAGTTCGCAATCAAGAAGCGCTCAATGCCGCTGGATTTGCGAATTCATTTTCTTCCGTAATGGAAAATCCCAGTCAGTTTGATGCCTTCTGAATTTATTTACAGTATTTATTTGGGTACTGATGCCTTTATTTGCCTGATTTGGTGGCCTTAAAATGTGGCTTCCGGCACGATGTTTCCAAATTTGTTGGCCTTGCGATTGCCTTTTCTGATTACATTGATTTTTTAGTTTTCCACTAACCGAAAGCATTAGTTTTGCCATGGAAGAGTTTGCGATTTTATATTTCGTTAAAGCCCACTGTTTTACTTTTGTACATTGGTTGCAATGCTCGATGATTTGCTCTAATTTTAATATTTCAGTATTAAATGAAGCAGAACATTTGACATTTGAGATTCATTCAGCGAACACTTCCGGCTGACTTCATACCTGCTATTTCATGCCAGATTTTGCAATTTTATTGTCCCAGTTTGTACATAAATTATGTACACCAAAACTACACCCGAAATATTGTCATTTCGACAAAAAAGCGCATCACACTATCACAGATAAAACATAATTGGTCTGAAAAACATCCCGTCGGTTTTGTTGGCCTGCAATCGATTCATACAAAAAATTCGACATATCTCCCGCACTTCGTGTGTGGTTATTTTAGGTTTCATAGCACAGCTCAATACAGGAAATACATTCGCCACGACCACTGAACCATCTTGTTGGCTCCGAAGTATTTCATACCGCAAAAATGTAGAATTTTTACGATCATGGCGAATTACCAGCACGAGATCCACGATGACTTTTACGGTGTCTGCAAGAAAATAATCAAAGAAGTCCCACAGCAAATCCGAGATTCGTTGACGAGTGAGTTCCTGCGGAAGAAACGTCGCTATCACCCGGAACAATTCTTTTCGTGGCTTTGCTGTGGCACATTGTCTACTGTTACAGAACTGTGAGTACGTCGGTAAGTCCATATTTTTGCAAGCTTGATCAATACGCGCCAGCCGAGCCATTTTAACGACGCCTGTGGAATCTTCAACCACATTCGCAATCTGCTCGGCGCTCCATCCGATTTCTTTTAAACCCCCACGGAGTTCATTTAAACGACTACGCGATTTTGTAGCAAGAATCTCTCCGGTATCCTTTTTGACAGATTTCATCGTATCGAGAAAAATCATCCGTTGGACAAAGCGGTGCAGTGCGCTGTCATCTGCAATGGCTGACGACTTTGTCAGGAGCTCAATGAAAGGCGCAATGGGGTGCTTGGAGCGCGCGTTGGAAGACAATAATGTAGCGGATAGATTGGCAAATTCCTTTGCAACAACCTCGCAAATCAGTTGCACAACATTAGAATCTGGTTCATAAAAGTCTCCTGTTGCTGCAAAAATAACGTTAGACACGACGGCCCTTCGGTCGCTCGTAGTCACTGCAAGAGAAAGATCTTCCATTGGATTGCAAATTTGCAGCGACACTGTATCCCAAACGTCAATCAAAGGGTCAATAAAACAAATCCCATAACAATCAAACGGTTGCAGCAGTGTTGAGATTGCTGTTTGCAAGTCAGCAAGTGACCGAAATGAGTAAGCAAGGGGTATACACAGCGCCGATCTGTTAATAAGGCATCCGGAAGTTGGAAACTCCAGATGGAAGTACAGATGTACTAATAAAGTAGTACGTAATTAAACTGATGTATGTAATTAAGTACTTACTCGTACTGTACTTTACAGTCTTTAATAAGGAAGTACTAGTTTGGGATGACACGGACTGCGGTCGCGTAGTACGATACGAGTATAGGCGAATGCGAAAACAATACGGTCAATACCCGTATTTCTTACCATAATATTACTCAATTAACTGGTTATAATTAATAATTACCATAATTATTCTAGTATCATTATGTTCTTACTTTGGTTAGTATGTAGTCAGTGTTATTAAATTGTTTGAAACGCACTTACATTGTAATAAAAAAGGTTTTAAATAAATTACAAAAGAAAATTAGAATTATTTACCGAATTTTTCTCAAGGGTTTCTGTTTTGGAATAGGGGGAAAAACTGACGAAATTCCTTGCTTTTTTTATCCTAGCCGAAGCCTGAATAGCTGGTGTCTGTCATGTGTCTGTCATGTTTGTCATGATCAGGATATTATTCAGTAATTCTCGAGGGATCGCTTTCAAATTTTTTGCAAATTTAAAAAAGCTGTTATGAAAAACTTACTCTTGTTGTCCATGTTGCATTTTTGATAATATTGCACGGACTTGGATGAACGCACTGCACTAAAATAAAATATGTCCGACTTTGTTGCTTCCGTTTCTTATTGATTTTGAAATTCACTGTCATCTGTTAGTACGGTATAATCAATAATTAGAAGTTGTACTATATTTATACTCATACTAATTTTATAGTCTATATATGAAATACGAGTATGAGCACTTCTGCAACAGATAAACAAAACAGGTAGTCTTATCTGTAGCGGCGCTACCGGTTGCCGATAACGTTATCAGAAAGTTGACCTGTCTGAGATCATGTGGTTCTTTTATTCCCATTCCCTTCGCAACTAACAGGATAGGTTTTGCAGCTTGTATAGAAATTCTGTTCGAAAAAATCAGTCGCTAAATTTTAAATTTTGATTTCACATTTTAATTCCTGGCAAAATCGAAGTTTTGCACTTTTGTAACCAATGTCATACTTTCGGAATTGCAAATGAGCACCGTACAAAATCGCCCCGGCATGTATAAATCTGTAGTCAGATTAACATGATACTACCGGCATTCGAAAGCATCATTTAGTTTTAATTTATGGTAATCTTTAACCTGGTCCGTAAGAAACCACTAGTGCGCGTAAGTTCATAGAGAGCGTAAGTTTATAGTCAGCGCAATGGTATACGGCGATGCCGAGCAGGCGAGGTACTATTATAGATATCAACATCGTAGGTAATACTACATATGTAGGTATTCTTATCGTTATTATTGTACCATTATACTGTTGTACATTGGACCTTATTCCAGTTTCAATGTAACGCAGCAGAGATGCCGCGGCATACAGTGCCAAAACTGATTACGAGCAAAGAATGTCGATGGCTGCTTATGTTCATATAATATACGAGAACGTAATTACGAACTGTTTGTTTACACTGCAGATCGGTACACGTTATACAGGAAGTTTCATAGTCATTTTCTAGAGCATGTATTCGTACGATCCACACTCATCATTCAAATACTTACTTCCATGGCTGCGGTTATCCGAACGAGTAGTGCATCGTTCTCGAGTTGAAATTAACGATAAAACAGTCTAATGTTGGTATTGTTCTTGGGGTACGAGACTACGAGTACTCATCTCCAATTCTCTAAAATCGTAAGAGGTTGTCCATGAGGCAAAATACAATTTTGTTGAACAAAATCTATTGCAGAAAGACAAACACGTACATATGACCGCTGGTCCGCTACTGCTGCGCATTCCTTATCAAAATCTCCTGTAATCATCCAACTGATTTGTAAATTTTGATAGCCGGAAACAGAAGGATGACCGACACCGCAACACTGCCGGATGCGGAGCGGGATCTCCAGTCTCTGGAATCGGGTACTCCGCTGGAATCACATTTCTCTGGGAAGCGACCACAAACCGGTGTGCTCCGGCTGAACCGGCAAACGCACCAGATTTTATGGATTCCCGGTGAGCCTCGCGGACGACGCACAGGTAATTAATGGTCGGCACCGTCGATCGATTGCATTAATAATTATACAAACATATTTCTTGTCCAGAAAAATTTAACGATGAATGGATTTTCTTTCGCAGTCAATCTGCACTCAATCAGGGAAGTGCGGAATAACAGGACGTTTAAAGATTTTGAGAAGTCGGAAGACGGACAAGTGCATATGCAACCCCAAAATTATTTTGTGATATTTTACGGTGATTCCTTTGTGCTGTCATCTTTGAGCTTTAGTTGTAAGTTGGCTTGACAAATTCTGTTATTACGTGCTTGTTGCAACGTGGGAGCATTTACTTATTATTTACTTATTGTTATTTTATCACGTATCTTCCAGGTGAATCAGTTGATATTCCTAAGCGCTGGACACGTGTTTTAACTCAGCTCTGTTGGGAATACAAACGATATCACTTTAGTGATCTCTGTCAAATGTAAGTAAGGCGTGTGAAATAACACTGTTTTGTGGTCATGATCAGTATGTTCAAATGAAAAAATAAAACCTGTTCGAAGCGGTACTTATATTTTCAACAGGTGGTTAAGACAGAAATTTGATTTGGAGAAACAAGCAAGACAACAGTGAGCCAATGATTGTCATCAGTACAGATTACAGCATAGACAGTATTTGATTTCAGCGAATTAACTTTTTTAGTGCATACTCTTACAATTCCGCTTTTGCAGCCTGACTTTGCAAGACACAAGGCGGTTTTTTATCAGTTGTAATTTGAAATTGGACATCGGGAAACTCCGCGATGACCTTCTGGTACGCCCGCTTAATTAATCCGAGCTGAAGAGTACCAGAAGTAGTTGTTTATTTAAAGATTTAAAATGATACAGTTACAGTAATGTAAATATTCAGCTAGTTATTCGCGTGCATAATTTTAATTAACTAGCTTCAAACTATCAAACTGATGCAGCGTGTCAACGACCAACTGGACAGCAATAATACGTTACAAGACCATATCGTGCATTTTGATGATTTCCATAAACTTTACGGGAAATATATGCGCGAAGTTACAACAGAGGTAAATTTACAGATGTATTTCGCTCCTTTTATTGAATATTGACATCATGCTGGTGTAAAGTGTATTCTTACATTTCTGTTCTTGTATGCACAGTGATATTACATACATATACTTAGGCTGGATTCACACTGACTTCTATCTATCCGATTTTCTATTAAAGCGCCGCCCAAAACGGCCGGCTTCTTAGCAGTACGCGTGAACGCGGCGCACTCTTCTAGATAGATTCCTATATAGGCAGCAAAATTGCGTTCACGTTGACACCTTTGAATAGGTGCCATAAAAGTTGTTGTTTAGGCGCTTGCAATAGGTGGCCGTATCTGCGTGAACACGTGCCGCCTTACATTTACAAATACTTACATTTACCATTGTTTTAACATTGCTAACTTGCTGTACTCAGTGCTATGGAAATTCCGGAATTGTACTCACTGCAGTTGTAATTATATACTTGTACTATCAGTTTTTCTTAGTTTGTTTTGCAATATTAGCTACCAACAAATATAGTATTTTGTAATACTAAATAGGCAAAAATTTTTTAGCAGTAATATTTTTGAGGTCTGAAAACCAGATGCATTCCATCCTGTTGGGCTTATTTAAAACTCGGCTTGCTATACTGAAATCGCTGTATAATACGCCATGCGCTAATATCGGCTTGCCATAATCCAGCGCTAGCGGTAGACATGTCAGATAGTTCTATATAGTTGTATATCTAATTTGTCTGAAATGGTAATTGGTACTAGTAACTAATAACAGAAATGATCAGCCAAATCAAAATATCTTTTAGGTCATTACATAATAATTGTGAGTGCATTCCATCAGACATGCTGCTTCAAATGCATACTCGTATACAGTATATCCGTACAAATAGGAACCTCAAGTGGTTCCTATTTGGGTTAACCATTGTCTCTACGGAGCAGAGGGAAAGGTACCTTTCGATAGCAAAACTGTGTTTACGCTGCATCCTGCTATCTACCAATTAACAGCTAGGTAATTAACGTTAGCATAGGTGTGCTGCGTAAACGCAATTTTGGGACCTAATGCAATTAGGCGGTTGTCCCCGGTTGAACTCAAAACCCGCTAAGCAATTAAGATTGATAGATGTATGCGTGAATCCGGCCTTATTCTACAGTACCTCCTTATACGGCAGACAATAAAGCGCCCATTCGCGAAAAATCTCTGCTAGCATATTTCTATGCGAAATCTGGTGTAGTTTATATGACCTAAATATAATAGCATTAAGGAGAACTACGTTAATTTTGTTTTGTTGTTAGATATATGACACCTACCTACACTTTCATTCCGCAAACCAAATCTCTATATCGGAGACAGACTTTTCCCGCTTTTTATGCGACGAACAACACGAGCCCGAGGATACAGTTTCCGAACGCATCGACCATCTTTTCGGACCCAACAATCGCGATCACGATATCACCCCAGAGCAAGTTAGTTGTCACTACGCATTAGGCGTGTGCCAATATTACTTAAGTACTTTAAATTGATTTGATCCTTTTGGAATAGTTCGTGGATTACTTATTTTCGCGAGACAATTCAGTATTTGATCCGAAATTCTCCACGGTTTACCAAGATATGACGTTACCTATGACTTACTACTGGATCGCAAGCTCGCACAATACGTACGTTTGAATATAGGGTACCCTTATAGGCACCCTTTTTTAGACGTTGATAGTATGGCCTGTCAACGCTTGTCAACTGGCGGGAACTATCTTCCATTGTTTTGCACTTATCACCGGTTCCCAAAAGCTCGGTTTAATATCGCCGGCACCTATCAGTGACTTTTACCTTTTACGGTCATACAGAAAATGTGAAAATTGCTTTTATTTTATATAATATGTGACTAATAGAAGTAATATTAATGTTCTTGATGAGCTGTGTTAGCAGTAGCAGGGTATATTAAGGGGTGCATATACTAAACGTGGGTGGAAGGGGTGCGAATAACGGTTTCCCTAGCATAATCCAGTAAATATATTAGAACCTATAGTTTCTAATATATTGAAATTGAAAATTATCTTTGCCGGTTGTTAACCTTGAGTATATTATCTGCTTTAGCTCACAGACAATTTCCTAGACTTCGGATGTTCTGGTCAAAATCTGCCGGATTACGGCTTAAGCAGATAATCATAATTAACGTGCTGGCCAGATTTTGCTTTTTCAGGTATCTTACTGGGAATCAGTTGAACAGCGAATCTTCTCCGGAAGCGTATGTCAGATGTTTAAGGGCCGGCGCCAGATGTATAGAGCGTACGTGTTCCATTTCAAAATTTTGAAGAAACCAGGCAGTATCCCAGCATACGCAGCTACATACAGTTTAAAGCGTGGAGCTTTTACTTATTTTATTTTTCTATTTAGTTTCGCAAGTACTGTAATTATCGAATTATAAGCTCCCCCCGAAATAGAAGCTCCCCCCGTAATTAGAGCCCACCCTTAAGGTCATTTGAAAGTTATAAGCTCCCCCCAAAATATGAGCCCATGGGCTTAATTAAATGCTATACAGCCCATATTAGCCAATGCCAAAAAAGTTAGTTTGAAAAATTGAAGCACCCTCCGAAATACAAGCCCATGCCCGTAATTGGAGCCCACCCCGTGAGGCGTTTGAAATATTTGTAACCCTGGGGCTCTAATTCGATAATTACGGTAATTAATGGATAGCCAAAGTTAGCAGAATGTTAATACTTAATACTGCAAACAAATTCGTTTTTAGCTGAAAAGTGTATTGGATGCAATTGCCGAGCACGCCTTCGTTGCATCTCCGTAAGTGATGTCATTGATTTGTTATCGAGCGTTTTTGTGTAAACTTTTATTAATTTAAATTAGCATTATCAGTTTTTAAATGAACGTTGTTTTTAGATACCCCGTAATTCTCTCGATCGAAGACCACTGCTGCACGAAACAACAACAGACAATGGCGGAAATGTTTAAATTTGTCTTTTCGGATATGCTTCTAACCGCGCCACTTCAAACAAATAGCAACAACATGATGCCATCACCTAGGGATCTTTTGGGAAAAATTATTGTTAAGGTAATTTGCGATCCTTTAAACTGAAATTGGCTAACTGTAATGGGACCTCAGATCTCTATGTACGGTTCTTTGCTCGCAGCACAAAGTGCTGAAACTCGATTCAGGAAGAGGGAGGGACATGATAAAAACGTTATCACTTAATACAAGCTGCAGTGAAGACGAAAGTACGCGAAATCTTCCGGCTACCGCAATAACGCATCGTGGTAAAATGCTCGTGGAAATCAAGAACAATTATAACGGCGCCTCATCGCTTCCGAACAGGAACATACCCGATGTGGAATGGATTTCCCAGTATTTTGTTTTGGCTAACAATAAATTATACCACATGGACGAAGAGCCACATATCGACGAATTCGATGGGTCGCAAACAAATGACAGTGCCGAAGAGGTAAAAAATCACCGCAGGTCAATGGGTATGCATGAGCAGATTTATGGCTGCAGAAGGTCATGCGGACCAAATATACAGTATGTTCTTTGTCAAGTAATAAAATTTTTTTTAATAATAGAGGTTTTACACGAACATCAAATCTCATGACCTTTCATACCCGAAACTAGCTTTGAATGCCCGTGATAAATGGTTTCCTCCCAAATATGCTGTATTCGTATCCACAGGAAGCAACCACAAATTCCGAAAGCGATTGTGACCTTCATTTGGACGAGCTGTGGTATCACGGTTACTTAGTTGGGCCGACTGACGCAGCCCGGTTGCTTGATTCTTATGAGCACAAAACGGATGGATTATTCGTTGTAAGAAGAAGCGAAAACAATCCAGGCGACTGTACGATATCCTTTCTGTAAGTGAAGGCACTTTCAGTTTTTGGAATGTGGACTCTCTGCATGCTTTAGTATTCGCTCTAGATCTATCTCTCTGGCTTCGAATTTTGACGTCAAAAAATGGTTTTTGTGTATTCTCAGACGAGATCATAAAATATATCATGGCCGGATCAAACATATGCGGGAGAATGGAAAAAGCGTGTATTTCATGGATCGGAATATTGGTGTCGCCAGCGAAATCGGCCCGGGACAGAAGAAAGCCGATAGCATTTATGAACTGGTCACGCATTATCAGTCCAGACCACTGGTTTTCCATTACGGCAACAGCAGGGAGCAGTTTGAAATTCTTCTTCGCGACACAGTACCGCAACCGCAGCCTCATTTGCAAGAGCCGTGAGTTTAAAGTTTAACGCGGTTAAATTAAAAAGTTAAGAAGATATGAACGAGTACCGATATAATTATCATGCGACAATTTATGTATTCCACATATATTCAATATTTACTAGTTTGGCTGGTAGAGTTGCTGATACCACGATGCCATAAGAGCACCAAAATAAGTTGTGAAATACTACAGCATTTGAGTACCACAAAATATGAGTATATGCATGGCGCGGCTATTTGTGTTTATTTTATTCTAAACAATAATGTTGCGGCAGATGGTTTCATGGACATATGACCAGAAAAGTTGCTGAAGAGATTCTCGAAATGCGGAGTAAAGAGGAAGGTTTGTTCCTCGTTAGAAACAGCCAAAACGATCCGCAAAAATTTGTGATTTCCTTCAAGTAAGTGCGGCAGTTATTACGGATAAAGTATTTGTGACCTTTCAGTTTGTACACATGTTCGAAGGCCGAAGCTGCTGCTAGAAATCAATACAGTACGTATACTAATTTTTTATGGTATTTTCAGTGCAAGCAACGCGCCAAGACATTTGTCGATTGATCACGAGAAACGTTTGTTCCACATTGACCCTACTGTAAAAGGATTTGAAGCATTGCGAGAAATCGTGCAACATTTCCAAAGAGTGCAGATTTTCAATCAGACCCGGCTCAGCAAAGAAGGTGTCAATACTGCTGAGGCGCAGCAAATGCTAAACCAAAGAAATGACGTAAGTGAAGTACGCAAATTATTGATACCTGAACGAATTAATTTGTATGACGTTGTGCTTCCACCTAGAAACACTATCGCGGCATTATGGTTTTGCATGTGGTAGGGGAACCCCATTGGAGGAGACGTTGGCGCTTCTGTGAACTATTTCATAAATGGACAGCCTTACCATTATATTCCCTACAGGGTAATAAGGCCACTTTAGCATTTGTGTTTTGTACTACTCATATTTGATTTTTAACTAAATTATTCAGAATCGTCTCCTAAATTATATCTAACAGAGCACCTGCCGAGTCATCTTTGATTACACCGCTCGTTCACCGGAAGAACTGACCTTACCCATTGGCGCCACGATAACAAATGTTGAGAAATCCAGTGTGCGAGGGAGTGCATGGTATTAAAAGAATTTCGATGTATTGCGCGGCATATTTACAGTTATCAGAACTGATAAGATACAGCATGCACATAAAGGAGCTGCGCGACTAATGAGCTCGAGACCGGTATGGTTTAGACCACCCAAGCATCTTTTATTCGTAGGTGGACGGGAGACTTCGGGCAAGCTTCCCGCGGCTTGTTCCCGGCTGCCGTTGTAATGGAAATAAAGCCACATCTAACGCGGTATTCCTCTATGAGCAACCACTGGGATGACCTTTTATTAGGTCCCACCCAGCGTGGTTGCATTCCCCTTTCCAATGAAATGACGGTGAAGTGTGCTAAGAAGACTGAAGAAGACAAACAACATATTTTCCGTGTACGATCTAAAACTCAGAGGATATCGTTCGCTTGTGAGAGCCGGGAACAAATGAACGAATGGATAAGAAAGATCAAGTCCAGCATAAGCGATACCGAGAAACAGGTTAGGTTGCATAATCTCTTCATACACTTCATTTCGTTTGCTTTCCGAAAGAAGTTGCATGTGTCTCTAAATTGCAGAAGAAAATCATGGTCAATATGCAAGCAAAATGGAAGTGTGCAAGAGAAATGTCGGATATTACCATTTATTTTCACAGTGGTTCAAAATTTGACCTGAATCGTAAGAACTGTTCTAAAAACCCTGAATAAAAGTTTTAGAGAGTATAAAACAATTACAGCTTGTAAACTCAGCTTTACGAAAGTTTTACTTTTTTTCGGAAGGACCAAGTGAGAAACCAGATTTTCGCAAAATGACTTCCTTCGAACAAACGGCCGTAAAAGAATTACTTGGGAAGGACAAATGTAAGCAGTATTTAAGGTGAGTGACCGTGTACGATCCTCGTTCCATACTAGCGCAACAAATTCAATTTCTCAATGATTTAGTTTTTTGGTCTAGATACCACCGCATCCAGTTCAGCAGAGTCTATCCGGATAAGTGGGCAGTCATGTCGGCTAACTACGATCCTGTTAGGGCGTGGTTAGCGGGAGTCCAAATGGTAGCTTTGAATTATCAAAAGCCAGGTATGAGTATGGTTCAAGGGAATTTTAGGGAACCATCGCATGTTGTATCTTTGTACTGTACAATATGTTGCAAAACTAAAACACATGCGGGTAGGATGTAAAACACATGCGGTCATGCGGAATCCGCATTGCGGATAGATATTGTGCTTTACAGCATAACCCTTCTTAGCGATTGAGAGCGTGTAGGACAGCGTATATGCATTACAGTACTATCTAACAATAAGTATACGTTTGACATTCTGAATGCAAGAAAGTGTGTTAAAACTGTAACGTGGACGATAAAAACATCGACGGTGATTTGCAGATGAGCCGATGCAAATTAATCAAGCCAGATTTATGGATAATGGTGGATGTGGGTACGTTTTACAACCGGATTACATGCGTTCCGACAATTATGATCCACACGATCCTCGAACACTATCGGTAGAGCCAATTTTCATCACTTTTACGGTATGTCTATTTATAAATCTGCTACTGGCGTATTTCTTTGCAAAAGCAGCATGAATTTGTACTAAAAAAGCTGTTTTTTTATTAACTAATAATGATAACGAAAAACGTAAGGTCATTAGAGTTTGATCGACGGGAAGGGCAGGTTTATAATCGCATCTCATGATTGTAAAAAGGCTAAACTGCAGGTTATTGGTGCGCGAAACCTACCCGGAAGAGCCGGATTTTCTGGTCGGTCAAAATGCATTGTCAGGCCAAGAGTGGAAGTGCATATTCTGGGAGCACCATATGATTGTGCAGCGAGAATAGTCCAGCAAAATGCCGGTAAAGTGTAAACGTAGAAATAGCCAACCAAAGTAAGACGTTTTGCGATGCACTTACATGTCGGCAGGGGAAAACGGCTTCAATCCACTTTTTAACGACGCGGTGTCCTTCGATATTCACAACGTGGAAGTGGCTTTTGTTCGCTTTGTGGTCAACGATCTGGATCGATTGGACAATGTGGGATTCTTAGCCCAAGCGACCTTCCCTGTTAAAACACTCAGGACCGGCTTCCGTTCCATCCAGCTGAAAAACGGATACGGCGAAGATATTCCCATGGCTACTTTACTTGTAAAAGTCGAGCGCATTAGCTTGAGAGGAATTGATGTACGACTTGAGCGATAGAATCGATAATATTATAAATTCTTATTACTTCTGATGTTTATTACCTCTTACTCAAGTTTTTTTTTATATTTTTAGAAAGAGAGCCAGGGAGTTTATTTGGCTTTGCAAGATTATCGTCAGAAAGTTGATGATATAAATCAGTTAAGGAGTCAGCAAGGCAATCAACCCCTTAGCAATGAAATGAACAACGAACTTAAAAAAGCTGAATCTGGACTGGCAACAACGAGCGGTTTATGGCTGCAAATTTTGTAGGATTTTCTCTTTTGTTAGTGCGTTGAAAAACATCCATCTCCTAAATATCTCTTCTTTTCAGGACAAGAGAAAAAGCGAAGTCGATGAAAAATCGCTCTGGATAAGAGAAAAGATTGCTGTTTATTAAAAGCGTTGGTGCCTGACCTGCCGGTTCCGACAAGATCCGCAGTGACCACGGGTAGCCTTTGCTTATCACCGTTCAGACTATTGTTATTGCACTTTGCTTTTGTTATCAGTTAACTGTTTGTCAAATACTGTAATCGCAAAATCTATGTGATTTTTTTCTAGTTTTATACACATTTTTTGTTTTTTTCCGCTAGTTGTTGATAATATTTTTGAACGATTGTTGCACTGTAATAATAATGAGCTACACCAGTTACCATTCGGTACAGGGACGTGAAGAGCACAACAGAAAGTACAGTACAACCACTGGAGCACAAACTGTGGAATACGCCATGAAAGGCAGTTTCAAAGGCGTAACTCGCATGCACAAAGCTGCCGCATACCGGATTGATTTAGGCCCCGCATAAATACTGTACAACGTAACGATGCTTTCGAGTAGCCCGACTGTTATGCATAATTATAATATGCCAATCTTATACGTACATTAATCATAAATTACAAAAACTAGGTAACATTTGTATTCAAATGAAATAAAAAAAAATTTCCGCTCCTGGGTGGATTCGAACCACCAACCTTTCGGTTAACAGCCGAACGCGCTAACCGGTTGCGCCACAAGAGCTACTCCACTGGATATAAGTTTTTGCGACGTCTGAGGATTTGCTTCGACCGGTTTGTATATTACAGTGTTATAACTTATGAGTACGGTATTAATAATGAACATATTGTTTAATACTCTTCATGGTGTAGGATAATTATACGGTTGACTTTACAACATTTTGTATCAGTCCTACCTTGATTGCAATATCCTTTATAAGAACGATTTAAAACTTGCTATCTTTACATTTTAAACCTCGTTTTCGTGGTTTTAATCTTAACAGCCAAAAAAGGAAAAACAGGTAGTATTTGAATCGCGAATAACCGTCTGAGCACCGAACACCTTCGCAATAACCCTAACAAAAAGACGTAAAATTAAAGCTAATGAAAAACTGAAAATAAGACAAAAGGAAAAACTGGAGATGCGGGGGATTGAACCCCGGACCTCAGCCATGCGAAGACCGCGCTCTACCACTGAGCTACATCCCCATTCACACTGCATTTTTGTTTACTTAACGAACTACTAGAAGCAAGACTGCCCTGTAGCCGTATGATTGGCGTAATGAATAGAGAATACTCAGAAGTCAGAATAGCGCTTTGTTTCGCCATAACTACCTTTTGTTTCGGCATAACGCTCCTTATTAAGAAACTATTAACGAACCCCGAACTCCGAATATTAACGAATTAAGGAATTATTAACTAACTCCTTATCAAGGAATTCCCCTAATGTGACGTACTTACTATAGCGCGTTTCGCAAACTGGCATGATGCCAAAGTTGCCTGCATGTTTACCCGGATGCAGTGGCGTAGGGAGGCCGTAAGTGCTAGCTTTGTGGGCCACGTCCATAGACTTGTATGTTAAAATTTTCGTTTGGGGGTCACGGCCCCGTGATCCCATACCTATCAACGCCACTGCTCTGGTGTGTGAATTCAGTTCGCACACATACTGTGTAGTGTGTATGTATCGTAAAAAATTGCAGCTTTGAGCAGATCACGAAGTTAAATTAAATAGAAAATTAATTTTCTGATATTAATTTTTGTTTCTTACTTCTGTTAGGCTGTTAGCTTTTTTCATTAGGGAAAATTTAGTAAGGAATCCATCGGTAATGTGTGGCCTTATCTCAGTTACCTCTGTCTGGTCTGGAAGTTTTCAAATTGATTGTTATAGCTTACCTTCGCTAATCGAGATTTGATGATTCCTGCCAAAAACGCTGAAATGGTTGCTTCTCCGCCATCAAAGAGACCGCTGAAGGATTCACCTGTCTGGGAAGAGGCACCCCCAAAGAACTGGGAACGAACCCCGATTATCCATCGTCCAGACGATAAAAAGCCTCCAAAGTTGAAAAAGGAAGAACTGTTGGATCCTTCATTGCATCGTTTAGCAGGAACTTCCTCTCAGGAACGGGGTGGTCTGGAGATCCGTAAACCTGCGTCCACTCCGGATCGTTCTGCACGATCTGCTGGCAGTACTCCTTCGCATTCTTCAGATGGGGAGTTTCGAGTGCCCCAGCCATCGTTACTGGGTCTGGACCGGCTAGCTGCCCAGAAACGGAAAACTGCCGAGGCCGAAGAGACCCGTAAAATGATTCATGATAGTTTGGAGAAGGGCAGTGCGGGTGGCGAAAAACGCTATCGTAGTCAGCGCGTTGAGACTCCATCGACAACTCCTGGCATTTCGGATGAAGTGCGGGAGAAGCTGGCAGATCGGAGAAGGGATAGAGATCGGGGGTTTCAGGTGTCGACTTTTGACAAGAAGAACGAGGGACGCCATGATCAACGACGAGACTGGAAGCGTTATGAGGAGTCGTCGAGGCGGTCCCGATACGACACACAGTCCAGAAACGAAACCAGAACGCCACGAATACACCCAAAAGGTAGGCTCTGTAGGCTCACTGTTAATTTTCAGATTTTTATTTGAGTAATTTGACGACTGTTTTATTTTAATAAGTGTTTGTCACATATAGCAAGTCATGTGTCATACACTTTTTTGTTACAAAATCAGTGTAAGTACGAGTAGTGATATTTAGTATAAATACTAATATGAATATTTTCTGTTTATTTTTACCATTTACACTTCCTGAAATACGTATGATGCTTGCGTCAACAACGGTAGGTCTTTTTAAACGGAACAAAATACAGTTAAACTATCAAATAACTTTTGTGCATTTATTTTTTATTGATTTTGCGTTCGCATGCAGAAATACTTATTTGCAATCCTTTAGATACTCCATCACGGGCGAATTGGGATGACGATGATCTGCCACGCTCCAGAGGGCCATCCAGCACACCGTTTACTCCGTCGTATCGATACAATGAATGGGCTGACGATCGGAAACGTCTGGGAATCACCCCGAAACCCGGTGCGGATAACGAGGCCAATGATGATGGTGTTGTAGAATTCGCAACAGAAGAGGAGCGACGTGCTTGGGAAGAAGAGCAGAAACAATTGGATCGCGACTGGTACGACATGGAAGAAGGCTACGATAATGAACACGGCGCTTTCGCTCATGTCTCTGAAGAATATACACGGAAGCGTGAAGAGCAAATGGAAGAGAAGCGCCAGAAGAAACTCTCGGCCCAACAGCGACAAATTAATCGGGATAACGAGTTGTGGGAGACCGGTCGACTCATCCGTTCCGGTGTGGTACAGAAGCTAGATCACAGCACGACGGTGGAAGAAGATGCCGAAGCCCGGGTGCACTTGTTGGTGCACAATATCATTCCACCGTTTTTGGATGGGCGCATTGTTTTTACTAAGACCACGGAGCCGGTCATTCCTGTTAAGGATCCCACTTCTGATATGGCAGTAGTGGCGCGAAAAGGCAGTGCGGTGGTTAGATATCATCGGGAGCAGAAGGAACGTAAGAAATTAGTACAGAAACAATTGGAATTAGCCGGAACGCGCTTGGGGAATATTATGGGGATCGAAAAAGTACGTTGCAAAGTGCGAAATAATTATTCCTTTTTGTTAGAAAAACTAGAGGATAGTGTAGGTAAATTATTAATTATTTTCGAAGGGTAACTTTCTGAAATTAATGCGTGTAGAAGCAAATTTTCAGGTTCAGTTCTGTTCGTTATGTCAAGCTTGTTGTGATTGATTTTAATTCTTTGGTTCTGTACTTTTTTTCTTATGTAAGACCTTTAATTTTAAATCGGATTTGGACTTTTGTTGCAGGCAGTCGACGAGAAGGAAGCCGACGAAAAAGATTATCGGACGGAACATAAATTCGCTGATCACATGCAAGAAAAAAACGAAGCCGTGAGCCACTTCGCCAAAACTAAAACGATTTCTCAGCAGCGCCAGTATTTGCCGATCTTCGCCGTGCGTGAGGAACTGTTGAACATCATACGGGAGAATAATGTCGTAGTGATTGTGGGAGAAACTGGTTCAGGAAAAACGACTCAGCTGACACAGTACTTGATGGAAGCGGGTTACTCTAGTTACGGAATGATTGCCTGTACCCAACCTCGGCGAGTGGCTGCCATGTCTGTAGCCAAGCGAGTTTCGGAAGAAATGTGTTGCAAGCTTGGCGGAACGGTAGGTTATGCCATTCGGTTCGAGGACTGCACAAGCGATGATACGGTAATCAAATACATGACCGATGGTATATTGCTTCGTGAGAGCCTACGGGAGCCGGATTTGGATCATTATAGCGCGGTAGTGATGGATGAAGCCCACGAAAGATCGCTTAATACTGACGTATTGTTTGGATTATTGCGGGAAGTGGTAGCACGGCGTCAAGATCTGAAACTGATTGTTACATCAGCTACTATGGATGCTGAGAAATTTGCACAATTTTTTGGTGGAGTGCCTGTTTACATAATTCCAGGTAAAGTTAGTCTAATGATCTAATCTACTCTAATCTATATTTTGGGTGCGAATATTATACCTTTGCCTTTGGAAAGGTTACCTTTGCCTTTTGGGATAGAATGTCTTTAAATTTACGTCAGCTATACGTTCTGTGTTTCTCGTATTATTTTATTTATTTGTTGTAGCAGATTTTCATGTTGGTTTTTCTTTTCAGGGCGTACATTTCCAGTGGAGGTTAACTATGCCAAAAACCCGGTGGAAGATTACGTGGATGCGGCGGTTAAGCAATCTGTTCAACTGCATCTACAGTCGCCAGCTGGAGATATTCTGGTCTTTCTTCCTGGGCAGGAAGACATTGAAGTAGCGTGCGAACTGATCAAAGAGAGACTAGAGCAGATTGATGAAGCACCGCCGCTGTCGGTGCTGCCGATTTACTCACAGCTTCCTAGTGATTTGCAAGCCAAAATCTTTCAGAAAAGTGCCGATGGTTCTCGCAAGTGCGTAGTGTCCACCAATATTGCGGAAACGTCCTTGACGGTTGATGGCATTATGTATGTGGTGGATGCCGGTTACTGCAAGCTGAAGGTGGGCAGTGTTGAATGATACTATAACTCAGGCTAACTAATGAGATAATAATGTAAAATCTATAACCAGCTGATTAAGCGCGAGTCGTGCATGTACCTCACTACTATAGAAAAGTTACGACAATCTGTAATACACATACACCAGCATTACAAGTTTACAACTAAAAGTTTTATTCCAGTAGCCGTCATATAAGTATGTTAGTAGAACACTGACGTCGGGATTGATTTGCGGTGGTAATTCAACTTGATTGACAGGTTTATAATCCAAGAATTGGTATGGATGCCCTACAAATTTATCCCATATCGCAAGCCAACGCCAATCAACGATCTGGTCGTGCAGGTCGTACCGGTCCCGGGAAATGTTCACGTTTATACACCAGCAAGCAATACAAAGACGAAATGTTAATTTCCACTGTGCCGGAAGTACAGCGGACCAATTTAGCTAATGTCTGCTTGCTCCTCAAATCTCTTGGTGTACAAGATCTCCTGGACTTCCATTTTATGGATCCACCACCACAGGACAACATGCTGAACTCCATGTTCCAGCTCTGGATTCTCGGAGCTTTGGATAATACCGGCAGTCTCACCCCGCTGGGCCGCGGCATGGCGGAATTTCCTCTCGACCCGGCGATGTCAAAAATGCTGATTGTGGCACTGGATATGGGATGTAACGCGGAAATTCTGACCATCGTTTCGATGCTGTCGGTTCCTTCCATCTTTTTCCGACCGCAGGGACGCGAAGAAGAGAGTGATGCAAAACGCGAGAAGTTTCAGGTGCCTGAGAGTGACCATTTGACATTTCTCAATGTGTATAATCAGTGGAAACAAAACGGTTATTCAAGCGGCTGGTGCAATGATCACTACATTCACGCCAAAGCGATGAAAAAGGTTCGGGAAGTGCGTCAACAGCTGAAGGAGATCATGGATCAGCATAAGATCGACCTGCGGTCTTGCGGATCGGATTGGGATGTAGTTCGAAAGTGCATTTGTTCGGCTTATTTTCATCAGGCATGTCGATTGAAGGGATTGGGAGAGTATGTCGGATTACGAACAGGTAAGTGTTGGGTTCCGGCTGCGTTTCATTTTCCACCAGAGAAAATGGTTATACTGTCTCCTAGAATTAATGGGTTTCACTAACAGTCATTCGAAATCCTGAAATCATTGTCTGGCAGTCCAACCCAAAAAGCGAAACATTTGGACAAATTGCGTTGAAAACTATGAAAACGGTGTTTTGAAGAGAACGCTAACGCTAAGATATTTTTAGAATGTTGTGCTGCACTGCGAGTTTGGATTTTATTTTCGCAGGCATGCCTTGCCATTTGCATCCGACGTCAGCTCTTTATGGAATGGGTTTCCAGCCTGATTACGTAGTTTATCACGAATTGGTTATGACATCAAGGGAATTTATGCAGTGCGTCACCGCTGTAGACGGCCAGTGGTTGGCCGAATTGGGACCAATGTTCTACAGTGTCAAAGAGTCTGTTCGCACCCGTACGGAGAAGCGAAAAAATTTCCAAGCTATCGAGTTAACAATGGAACAGGAAATGGCTTTAGCGCAGCAACAGATTGAAGAGCGGAAGTCGCGCCAAGAAGAAACACCTGCTAGTGTTCGGAAAAAAATGATGATTGTCACACCGGGGCAGCGAGACCCAGGCACTCCCCGAACGCCATGGAAGTCGTCAAGAAGTTGTGGTCTTTAAGGGTTGATAATTTTTGTTTTTTCCGAAACATCTGATCTAATAACAGAACAGTTATCAAAGTTGTAAATAAATATAGACGTCTATTTCTGAATCGTCTTCATACTGGTTTGGTAATGTCATAATTTAGCACCGAGATTGTGATGAAAGAGAGCAAAAAGTGCTCTGAAAAGCTCCCTGAGCTAGCAATATGGACAAAAACTTCAATGACTAAGATATTAAACCGGCTCCATCCGACGGAGAGGTAATAAACAGCGCTTCCGGTAATTTAGCCGCCCTCTGTGGCTGCTTGGCGAAGTAATCTTCCTCCACTTTCTTAAGAAACGCTTCGGCAGTCTGTTTGGGCACGATAGCCACAGCACATCCGCCCCATCCTGCTCCCGTTAAACGGGCTCCATAAGCACCGCTGCGCTGCATAACCGATACCAGATCGTCCAAATCCGGATGACTGCATTCATAATCATCACGGCAGCTAATGTGGCTGTCCTGCATCAGCACACCCAATCGCTTGGCACACTCGTGTTTACCATCAGCACCCTAAATAATCAACCATCATTTTCACAAACCATGGTTTTTCTTAAGTGCGATAGGACAAACGGAGCAAAACAAAGTGTACTTCTAACCAATTGCCGTACATTACATGTATTCCGACTACTCGTAGCAGCTGATGTATTACCTACGAAGTGCATCATACATAGTATTACATACTTTTCCGATTTCACACGTTTCCTTAAAAACTTTGACACGATCCGTTTCACTAAAGACATGCCGTATCCTTTTCAGGAGTTCAAAGGTCTGTAGATTCTGCGTAGAAGCCGACAAACAGTGGGTCTGCAGTTCCTCTTCACTAATCCCCAATGACGCACAGACATCCGCTCTTGAATAGGGCTCGGGCTTGAATGTCTTATCGACCAAATGCAACAGTGGTCCCAAGGAGAGATGCAATTGTTTCTGCAGCTGGGAAGCCTTTTTAATAGTCCGCCAATCGAGATTATGAATATGGGCCAATATTTGTACGGCAATACGGCCCTCCGCCACCCGTGTGTTGAAGTGATTGGTAGCGGCCTTATTCAGCTCCACGCAGGAATTAGCTACCACGAAAACAACATCCTCCGGCAATACAACATCACTCGAACGCAGCGGATCAAATTCAATCAATTTAGCTTTGCCGGCCTGAGCCAAGAATGAGATTGCTTGGTCCATCCCGCCGCCCTCTGTCCCGATATAATGCTCAGCTTTGGCACATATCGTAGCTAATACATCCGCTGGAATATCTAATCCATTAGCCTACAAATTACACTGGAAATTGGATTTGCATTTACCGGTTCTTTCTCGAAGTATACCCGCGTACAATAAGTCGAACGTCAATCTACCCACGCGCCCAAACATTACAAAACGAACAACACAAACAGATTTACGTTTCTGGATAAATATCATTACTGTAGCGTTGCTTGCAGTTTGCGGCTGAAGAAAATGAACAGACAGCACGAAAGCAAGAAATTTAAAAGAAATATTAACATAAAGTGGGAAAGAAAACAACCAACTACTGATGTGGAGATACAGAAAAATTAAAGGTGATCTTGGGCATAAGAATTAATTAAATAAATGTACTCACTTTCATCGCTGCCAGGGCTGCACAGCATACCAGCGCACTGGAACTGGATAAGCCGGCATTGGGAGGAACGCTGCCATCGACCATAATCCGCATTCCCCTGAGCTGCTTTCCAACCGGAAGCTGCTCCTGCACACCTTTCAGTCCGCACAGGACATAATGGTGCCATTGTGGTTTGCTCATGTGATTGAAATTGAATTCGGCTAACGAGCTGGTGAAGTCGCGATAGCGGTCGGATTGGACGTTGCACAAGCGAAGTCCCTGTGCGGCATCATGCGGCACCGTAACCGCCATAACGATGTCCTGACTGATGGCCATGGGAAGGACAGGATACCCATGGTAGTCAATATGCTCGCCTGCAGCATTCCCAAACAAAATTTTACTCTGTAAGCGCCTGCGCGGTGAAGAGCAAATTCAAATTAAAGACCCAGGGCGATAGTTAAAGTCGCCTCTACTGCAATATGTTCGCCTGAATTCCGTCCATTATCCATGCTGAGCATAGAAACGAATGCAGAACAAATCGTATGAGAATTTATTAAATTACAGTACTGTAATCTAAATCCGTACGCATCACAAGTTGCTAAAATAGACAAATAAATAAAAATAAGGGATTTTTTAAACTTGTTAGGTTTGTGTTACAAATTACCATAGTATATAATTGTTGACTTGCGAACTTGACGATCAAAATATCGATTTTATGGATTCTGTCCGCAGTAACGAGTATACAAATAAAATTCATCTGCACAGTGTGCACGTTACTTATCAATACGGGATATTGAAGTTAGCTATTCTCTAAAACGCGTTTTCAGCAATGGTGTTAAGGACGTGAAGCCGGATTGAGATCGGGAATGCTAATTTTTTCATACAATGTCGGCATAAGTACCATTTATTTATGCTACTAATTGTGGCCCCAAATTCCCATAAACGCTCAAAGCCTAAACTCCAGTGGATTCTCATTCCGCAAGCCAGTTAGTAAGTACAGTCCCAGTACTTACTAACTGTAACTTTAATAGGCCTGCCTGGCACAGTAAAACAATTATTACTGAATTAAGCAAAAATCTAGCAAGCCTACATATGGTTATAAGTAGTAATATGCCTACAATTAAACAACCTTTCATGTAAGTACAGATATAAGAAGTGTGTCCAGACTTGAACGTCCTAGGACGCAACCATTAATTCTCCCACGAAAACGTAATCGTCGCACCCCGCAAAGCTGAAAGAATCGTACAGATGCTATCGTTCTTACCAATAAGGTTCACTCGGCCAGGAGCACGCACTACGAAGTGCGGATCTTCTCCGAACTTATCCCGGAACGCAGAAGACACTCTGGACAAACGATCCCTGGACTCGCCCATTCTATATTTTGGATAGAAAACAGATACCCATTCAAATATGTAATCGTAAGAAAGAGCGTCTTCTGCCACGCAAGCACTAGCGTCGATGGCTATAAATCAAAAAACGTCGAATGACGCGATGAATTACTTACTGCTCAATGTGTTCTGCAGTCGGCAGAAATTGCAGAATCAAGAATGAGGTAAAGTCTAACAAACTAAGGAGGACAAATCCACGGGCGCGAGCCCGTGGAAAGGATTTGGAAAGGAAATTGCCATGGAATTCCATGGAATCCGTGGATTTAAGGAAATCCAAACGGATTTCCGTAATTCCAAGGATTTCTTAGTTTTCGTTGGAATACCGTTATTTAACTATCTATTTACATAACTATGAACAAAAAATCATTTTGATTAACTTCAGCTGCTTAATTACTGCGCATTCGTCATTAAAAACTTCATTTGAAACTCCAAACAGATTAAAGAAACCTAAACATTTACTATCTGCCTATCATAAAGCAAGGCAGACTGGCAGTATTATATGCTGCTGTAGTATAGACTGTATAGTACCGGTACGATTTACGAATACTGTCGGCCATGCATACGCAATTTGAAGAAAGCGGAAAACAACATAAAAAGTCGGCAGATTGTAGATTGTTAGCTACTGAGCGCTGTCGTTAGTAACTCCGTATCATCCTTTCCAAGAAGATGACTTTGATTTTTCTCTTGTTTTGGTCAATTTAAGTATACGGTTTCATATTTTGACTTCATATTTTGACTTCTTGATTTATTGACAATACAAAAGAAATAAAATAGAAACAGTAACGTTGGCGGCTACTATACTGGCGACTACGCTATTTCCAAAATAAATCGTATGAGACCGGAAGACGAGATAATGTAAAAATTTGCAGCCACCTGTCGAAAAACAACACGAAAAATGTTTTGTTTCATTGTTTTTCCCTGACATTTCTATGCGCTTGGAATTCCAAATACAGAGAATCTGGAATTCCAAGCAAAAATTGGAATTCCACGGATTTCCTAAATTCCAATTTCCAAATCCGAGCCGCCCGCGAGGAGCGCGGATTTGGAAATTGGATTCCATCCGTGGAATTCCATTTTCCTTGGACGGTCGTTCCTTATAACAAACACAAACATCGCTAAGCAAAGTTTACAACGCAGAATGGTTTAAGGTATGGTAAGCCGTATGCCACAAGAACAGAAGATGCAATCATACCAATCCCGGCGTCGTGCTCCACCCTTCAGGGCTCATAATACCAGGCATGCAGATGCCAAATTTTTAAAAAATGAAATTCGCTAACGGGATTTTAAAAATGACTTTAGGTTTGTTCTTGGCAGTTTATCTACGAAATTTAAACGTAATGTACTTCGATCGGCTACTCACCAGTCGCTACTTTTGTGCATTAGAAATGTACAAGTGCATGACTGCTGATGAGCGCAACGACGTATACTCTGCATGGTGATCCAACTGACCATTGTATTTCATTTTGCAAAAACCGTAAGCCTAGGTCAAGATGCATGGCTCATCCTCACCATGGATGCGATCACCCAAATAGCAAAAACGACCACGTACTAGCGAATGCTCAAATTCTGGTACGTATTAGCACAAAATTCTCTGATCACATAAAATCTGAAGCCGTAAGCCTTCGGCCAGGAAGAACATTCTTAAGCCTTTTCAAGAGGTCTGCCTCATTCATGTCAGGGGAATGCGTATCCACAGAGCGACTCTGGTCATCTGGAGGAGAGCTGGTTACATTCTCTGCATAATTCTGAGGCTTTTTCGGCATTCCATCATCACTGTTGGACGATTCCGAGTCGCGGTGCGTTCGGGACCGGCTCTTTTTGTGCTTCTTGCGTTGTTTCTTTTTCTTCTACGAGAAGTAAACAGTGTCTCAATAACAATCATCCAACATATGCGAGTGACAGGTAAACCGCAATTTCTCATGTATTTATAATCAACTTGTACAAGCCAATGCGTATCCAGTCTCCAATCGAGAAATACCGCATATACCTTTTTCTGTTTCGACTTATGATCCCTAGTTTCGTCTTCGCTCCTTTGATCTTTGGCCGAAGAAATCTTCTGCACAGCGACATAAGCAGCTAAAACCTCAGGAGGCGGTTTGACCGGCCCAACCAGTGATTCGGCAGGTTTAACAACGGGAAATTCCTTTTTCTGTAGCGTTTTTGCCATCCTGTCTATTTCGAACAGTTTCTGGAAAGGTTCATTCTGAGAAGGATTAACGGGGAGATCGTCCGCCTCTTCAGCTGCATCCTCTACATCCGAACTAGCAAAAATAGCGCGAAATAAGTCCATGGGTGGTCGTTCGCCAGTTTCTTCAGCAGCCTGCAAAAACATAAAGACTGTAATTCGAAGCTAAAACAACATTTCAAAATTACCTGAGAAGCTTCGGGCTCCTGCGCAGGAGCAAGCGGCACTACAGGTAAGGTAAGCTTCGCCTTCGGAGCATTTCCAACTGTCACCGAACGCGAGACAGCAGTTGCCGGTGGTATTTTTTCGGCAGCAACTTGTTCCCCGCTGTCCTTCGTTGGCTCGGAAGAATTTCGTTCTTTCGGCAAAGACATTCCATCAGGAGCGTTTAGGAAATTAAACAAAGAAAGTTTATCTTTCTTTACTTTCAGCAACCCAGTGATGTTTGAACTATAAATTAAAGAGTTTTTCAGAAAAACTCATTTCCAGTACAGAAGGAAGGTTCTTACCCTGGGTATGGGTTAGGAACATTGAATCGCTTGCACATTACATTATGGGGATGCCATTCCAAGGTATCGCGTGTTAATCGTCCGTAAAGCTTTTTCTTTACCGCTTCTTTTCTCTCCTGGCTTACGTCCTGTTAACATAATGATAAAACATTTCAGCAAATTTAACCCTCGCTAAAAACACAGAAACAAGTGATAGCGCCTTGAACCATGCAACAAACAACTCACTGCCCGACGCACGTTTCATACTAGCGCTTCCAAATAACCAATTGCTACCGTGGCAGAATTTAAAAAAAACGTTAAAGCTAAAGTACAGGCAATTACAATTCACTTACCGAAGAGTTTGTTGATACTTCCACTTCAGTGGAACTTTCTTCCTTTGCCTGAGCACGGGTAAATCTTGAAGCCATAACCCCAGCCATCGGCCGATAAAGGACAGCCGCTCGATGAAATTCCATCCGTTCCCTTTCGCGTTCCCATTCCGTCATACTAGCTCCGACGTCCATCCAAACTTCTTCGATTGCATCTACCATTATCGAAAACAGACAGCAATTTAACACAATGTTACTACCACGTTCACTGACTGCACCACATCATATAATTAATGGACCAGCACAGCACAGTACATAAGTAATTTCTATCGTAAATTTATTCTAATGCCCGTGAAGTACAAACCTTTATTTCTCTCCTGTCTTTTCCGCAAAAATAGATCATACCTCTGCTGCTTCGCAGGGTCTTTTTCAAAAGGACGAAATGTCATCTTTGATTCAAAAGTGGCAGAACAGCCAAACAAAGCCAGATTTTGTCTCCGCTGTTCGTCTACCGTCGCGGTTGGGGGCTCCGGTTCTGGAATTTTTTCCGGCTGTGATGAGGGTGGAACAGCTTTCTCGGCACCACTCTGCTGAAATGCCGGTAACCGGTTTCGTTGAGCAGCTGGAATAAGGTCGAAGACGGATGTGACGACCGGTGGCTGTCTCCCTGCATTTTCTAAAACTTCGCTGCGCGACTTTGCATCATGTCGATGCATTGTCTGAGTAGGACGTTCATCGCTCGTTTTTGTTTCCACTGCAGCCGAATCCACCATATGGATTCCTTTAAAACCTTTCGGAATAACAGGTGGTGGATAAATTTTTCGGTCATGAAGTGGCATAGATCCACGCTGAAACCCTTCCAAAACCCGTTCCCCGTACCCGGATTCGATGCCTAAAAAAGAAAGAGCAACTTCATTTATTCGCTAAAAAAACAGTTTAGTAACAATCTGTTGTTCGAAACTAAATTAGCATCATCATATAAAGAAAACCCAAATCCTCAAATCATCCAGTACTACACTAAATCATACTTTTCATATTTCGGTTCTTTTTTTCGACAGCTTCTCCGCCAATAACGCGGTCATATCGTGAGAAATCGTCCGTAGAGTAGATGTCATCATCGTCGTCCTCAAACGCTCCTACGCCAAATGCTTGGCCTGTCATTCCTTTTTTCTTAGTTTTGGCAGAAGCCGTTGGAGCTGTTACTAGTACAGTCGTGTCCGGCTGTTCAAAAAGGCTAAAATGCTCGCGTGTCCCGGACTTTCCGGATAGATCGATTCCTTTATATCCTAACCCATGGAAATTTGATTTCGCATCAATTTTTGGAACCACAACGTCGTCTGGTGAAAACAATTTTCCTCCAGCACGGCTATCAGCATCCTTAAGATAGTATTATTATTTATGTGCTAGTTGGGGAATGGTGGAAAGACGTTATTACGATTTGCACGGCACAATAAAAAAAAACCTACTTGAGCGTCCGTAAAAGTTCCGCTTGGTATCAATCCTTGCTGTACCCGCCGAAGATATTTATCAGTTTTCCGTAAGCGTGGACCAATTCCCTGACCAGGCTTCCAGCCCATCTTTCTTAACAAAGTCACTCCAAACGATTCACTGCAGATAAACCTAGGTTAATTCTCTCTGTTTTCAGCATCACCTGTACGCTTCAGTTCGCAAACCTCAAAGGCGCCAACATATTCTTGTAAGGATCGTCAAATCCACTGACACCGTACTTCCGCTTCTCATTTGCACCGGACTGGGCAGCAAACGCGTCTCGGGTTGTCACTTTCTTCGGAGCTATGCCATGGTCTGTAAAATCCTAAAACACAAAAAAATCAAAACAAGTACTAAAATTACAACAAACGATTCTGGACTGAGGAATACGAGTACTTGCTTTAAATAATTTTTAAGACGATTTTTAGAAATACAGTACATTGTTAGAAACTATTTTAAAACAAGTGGATGCGAGCAGATGTCGAATGTTAACGTAATCCCAAAGCCATGATGAGAATCAATTCCCACTAACTATTTTCGATATGTAATGTACTCGTATTTATGAAATAAAAGCGATCCATTCCCACCTCCCGAAACGTTTTACTAAGGAGTAAAAGTGAACGAATCCGCGAAAAAGTCAAAATTTAAGCAATCTTTTTAAAAAATCTGCAACTTCTGGATGAATTTCATAAATCACTGACTCACTTCCGTGTCCATATAATCTTCAGGGCGTTGGCTATTTCCTTCCGCCCGGTTCTGTCGAGAAGACTGGAAAGTTCGCGGTGTCCATCCTAAGAGCGAGCCGATTGGTCTGAATTGTCTCCCATGCAGCCACGCTTACTTTCGATCACGGCGTTAAATAAGGACTGCGTAGTGAGCACAATACCTTCGATGGAGCCGACCGTGTTGAAGTACCCGGCCGAAAATCCTCCAGTAAAAGCGCCATGGAATCTCCTGCGTCCCTTTTCATCTGTGGCAATCTGCTCCTGGATTGGCACGGGCTTCTTGCCAATAGTTTCATCTGTAGAACGGGATATATACTCTGTTCACTGTTTTTACAACATCAGTGTACAACAAAGTGTGTAACGATCCTTTTCAACACTTCCAGTACCCACACCTTTAAAGTGGCAAAATCGTGTAAAACCTTCAACCGTGCCGCGAATTTATAATTGCCAATGCCACAACCACAGTTTGTAGTTCGTACCTTCGTCCAGTTGTTCGACAGCCGTGCCGTAGAAGTTAAGGACATCAATGTTGTCATCTTTCTCGGACTCTGCCATCTTCAACTTCAAGGCATATGGCAAACGATCACAGTTCACAGGTAACTGAAGAAGACGAAGGGCTCGGTCTCAGTGAGCCTCAGGGCAATCAATCGTAAGATTATCAAAATGGGTTCGCATCGCAGAAGAAAAAATGCGGACAACAATCATCATAACATGGACAGAAAATAATATTACTGTAACAATAAAATTGAATAAATCATAAATGCGGGAAAAAATTATTTTAAAGCATTCCTGATTCCATACCAGAAAAATTTAAAGCTGATGTAACAGTAGCGCCATCTGAAGGCGGTGGGCAAATGTTCCAACAGCTGATTAGCTTATTTAGCGGTGAACGGGTGAAGTATCGTACCAATGTATGCCCTGCAAACTTGTTGATCACTTTTATTTATGAGTCTGTTTCCTTTTGATTGGAAATTACGGTTTTGGTTTTTTTTCAACAGAACTATTCAGATACGTTATTAGCGGCCAATAAATTATTACCCCATGTTCAGTTTATCAGTTAAGTTATTAGCATGTCTTTTCCGTTCAAGCAATGAAATTCTCACAGAATCGAGCCAGCCAAGCCCAAGAATTTACGAATAAAGAACCGAGCCCGAAAACAAACTATCAAAAATCCGCGATCAGACGACGAATTTGGATAATTTATTTCTGGCGACATAAAATGCGGCAACCAGGGAGCTTAGTTGGATCTTTTCGTTGCACCCTGAAGCAAGTCTATGCCTAAAAAAATTACAACAATAATAAAAACCAAAATTACAGCTTCGTATTTATAAAATGCGGACGTACTCAATATCAGCCATTTTTTCCAGCAGATAAATGCGAACTGGACCAGGAAGCTCAACTACAAAAAAATTACCGCCATTACACGGGCATTTTTAACAGTCTACACCTAAATAATTCGGGTCAATAACGTACGCTCGCCGACAAAGGAATGAATATTTTCCAATATATCCTGGACTGCATAACACTTTCCTGTTCGCAGATCGTCCACCTCATCTGCAGCTTCACTGAACGGTTTATTCATCATGGTGGTCACTGCCGTTTCGATTTCCGACTGTAGAGGATGCCCGGCGCAACTGTACACATTATCAGCAGTGATATTTGCATACGCCATCCATGTGCACTGCAACAGGTTAAGAGCCTTGCGCATATCTCCTTTAGCCAGACTGAGAATGGCGTTCATGCCGCTATCATCCCATCGGGCACTAAATCAGACGAATCCAATAAGCACATCTGATATTTCAAAACCAGTCGGAATAAGATTTTATAGTCTTAAAAAACCAAATTCGGATTTTAATTTAACAGCATAATTCTGCAGAACAAATAGTTTGGTAGGTCTGAACAGGCAGTTTTTATACAAAAAACAGAGCAATATTAAATACCTACTTTTCTTTTTTCAGAATGACTTCCAACCTTGGCTGAATCTGTTCCATTGTCAATGGTGCGAATCGGAATCTGGTGCATCGCGACTGAATGGCAGGAATAATTTTGGAAAGATAATTGGCAATAATGCAGAAACGGCAATGGTTGGTGTACTTCTCAATGACTAAAAGCAAACAGCAAAAATAGCCAATAACTAATGCATTCAATTTCCATCACTGCGCCTTGTCGGTACTGGCGATCAAGGTTCCAAAAAACTAATAACTATAAAAAACCCTGGTCTCGGAAATTCTGAGCCTTAGTGCAATACATGTTTAATACCTCGTCGCAGCGCGTTTTGAGCATCTTTGGTCATGGAATCCGCCTCATCCAAGATAACCAGTTTTATTTTATTGCTGAAGACATTCTTCGCACTAACGAAATCCACAATTTCCGTCCGTACAATATCGATCCCGCGATCGTCAGATGCATTCAGTTCGAGCACCAACGACGGAATCTCCCTTGGTTCGTACAGCTGTTTGATAATCGCCAATATCGTTGACGTCTTTCCCGTCCCAGGCGGACCGTAAAACAACAAGTGCGGTAAACGATCTTCCTTAAGAAACGTTTGCACTGCAGAAAAATGAACAAAATACGGTTAAATACCTATGCTTATCACAAGCAGCTTGGGACAAACAATGTCGCAACATTAAACAAATCTCACAGAAATTTAAATATCCGATTTCAGGACATTAATAAATATTAATAACAATTATTTATGTGAGCAAGTACTCCGGAGTTCGGGCTAAAACTCACGTGTGGAAAGAATATTATCGTGTGAAATCAACTCCGTCAACGCGCTGGGTCGATAGCGTTCTACCCATGGCAGTGTATTTGAGAGAGTTCCCATGCTGAATCTGCAATGCATTAAACGTTAATAACGGTTAATTGAAAATTTTGCAGAGCCAGGCCAAATTATAGGTTTCCGGAGTGAGCAACGTTAACTGGGTACCTTTTATCGGTATTCCACTAGTCCAGGCGAAAATCTACAGATTACACCAGACAGCTATTGAAACTTGAAGTTTTGATTTGTGAGAGACTCACAAAGCTGCAAATTTCCACAAAACAAGAGCTGCAACTACCTATGCCCTGACAGCTTTTTAGCATTTTAAAATCGATGTGCGAAGCAGGTGCGCGCTCGGTTTGCGTGCCGAAGTTGTCGCTATCGCATGCCACCCACGGGTGCTGCGCCAGATTCAAAAGTCTTGCTGTTCGCTTCACTGTTTACAATTTTACAGAAAATGTTTTACTGTAATAATACTGCCCTCTAGAAAGCCTTTAGTTACGTCCAATCTGTTGAGGCTATAGCTTAAAAAATGCAGGAAAAAAATTTAATAAGAAAAATAGAAAGTTTGCAAGTAAAAAGTTTTTGGAGAAGCGAGATATCAACGATTAACGCTTTTTGCGTTTAACATACTCCTCTACGGGGCAGTTTGCCATAGACTTGTATGCTAACTGCAATTTATTTAAGACGTTGATATCTCGCTTCTCCGGAAACTTTTTACCTGCAAACTTTCTATTTTCCATAATAAAATTATAATAATTACAATAAATTCCATAATAAAACTATAATAAAAAGAATAAGTTACACTTAATTCTCAAGTTTTCCCCTTTTTGCAGCATAATTCGTCAGGTTCTTTTTAATTTATTTTGCTTCAGTTTTGCCAGTTTCGCCGGTTGTTCAGACATCTTTTCAGGCCGCTTCTTCCCAAATTTTAAATCGAAAAGATCGTCACGCTTATTATTAACATAGTTCTTCAACAACAGATTAAACGTTTAGCGCAAAAGAATGTACTCGACTTCTACGTAAGAGTTACACGAGCAAAGATCAGAAAGAGGGTGAGTCGGATTTTAGTCGGATTTGACGATCCCGGCCGTTCCGTAAGCAAATCTTTTTTTCTTCCTCACGTTTCTACTTTGCTGAATCCCGCCTGAGCTGCTCCTTCACCGCTTTTCTTTTTCGGTCCTAAACCAACAGAATAAATTTGCAGCCACATAAAATATTCAAGCGCGTAACGTATTCAGGTAATGCTTTAACTCGCACTTGTTCTACAAAATTTGACGGATTACAAAAGCACATAAATACGTACAGATAAAATCTCCGCTGTGAGCGAGGTGCTTGCAGAACTTTGGGATATCGGGTTATTGCCGAGCACTGGTTCAGCACATTTGTCTATCGTGATGATTCTGACAGTCCAATTCATACGAGCATCACGCGGTGTACAAGTTGAGCAATTTAAACAATCACCGAGTATCTGAAAATAATGCAAAAGCTTTATTTACTGACCACTATAGCTCTCGCATCATGTTACTTGTACTTGCAAAATGAACTCAAAATACAGTATAGAAATAAAAAAGTTTCAAATAAGCATTTGAGCTACCATCAGGCTGTATCAATTGCCTACCTTCACAGTTCGCCCTTCCTAACCTTTTCATATCAGTTGCATAGGCGACATGGAGAAATCGACGCTCATCCTGAAGCATATCACGGTGCCTTGTTGGAATCCATTCCACATCAAAGGGGCGCAGTGCACAGTCATCAAAGTCCCGCGTAGTCCCGTTCGTTGTGTCAGTCGTATAGCCGATCGTGTGACAAACTGCATGTAGAGCCAGTCTTTGCCACAACTGTTCGCTCGGCACAGCGATAGTTAAAACGATAAGAAAACGATAAACGACATTCCATTTCAGGTTGTAATAAACATTTAGGCAACCTCCAACTATTAGGAAAGAATGAAAACGACAATATGTACAGTACAGTACAAAAACAGGATGCGAACTCATACTATTTCAGAAATAAATATTGCGAAATAAGAATAATTACCTACTAAAATGAGTGAAAAAAGCAAGATTTTCGAATCTGGCGCAACACCCGTGGGTAGCGGGCTCTGACGACAGCTTCGGCACGCAAACCGAGCGCGCACCTGCTTCGCACATCGATTTTAAAATGCTAAAAAGCTGTCAGGGCATACATAGGTAAGGGGCATATCTGCAACGCGAAGATTTTACAGGGATTTTTTGTTTCGACCCTTAGCTGCCATTCGTGTCGTTTACGAGGTTTAGAAAATGTCACAGTAGTTTGAGGTTTCCCTGTTTGGCTGCTATCTGCAACTTTTTTTTTAAAAAAATAAGCAAAATCTAAACTGTCTAAACTCTAAACACATGTTAAAAAAGTCAGTGTCAAGTTGTGCTGACTGCGGAATCTTTCATTATCCAAATTAGTATGTAATTGTAAAACTGTAAGATGTAAGAACTTATTTTTTATCAGTTTGTAAATACTAAGTTAAATATAAAATAGTACTTTAAAATAACACTTGGTGTTGTGCTGTGGATATCGTATTCGGTATTGAAAATGGCAAATAAGCAGGCATTCGTGCCTATTGTCGTCATATATTTAAAGTGCATATTTTTCTGACGTGTGAGTGCAACAAAATTGCATTGGCCATATTTCTGGACACATGATGATGACTTGATGAGTGAAATCAAAGTCCGAAGCTGTTGAGGTAAGTCGCAGTTTTCAGGTTCCTGTGACTTCTGCTTACAGCACTGGAGTTTGGCTCTGCGCCTCTCATAAAATATTTCATGGCGCATTTATCAGAGTTTTCTAGGATGAGTAAAGCGCGAGCCGGGGTCCCTATCGAACTTCACATGGACAGCCTCAGTGACGTCCGCGAAGCTCTTAAAAAGGCCGACCATCAAAATGCTAATTCTGACAAATTTGACGACGCTCTTATGGAGGATACTCTGCATCTAGGAGTCGGAGCACGGCTTAGCGCTGGCTCGCAGAACAACGGAAACCACGCCGGTGACTGCGATGGATCGTTATCGTGGCACGAGAAAGTCATTGTCGCTGTGGAATCTCAGTCGTGTTCGGAGCTGGAGAACCTGTTACTGCATCCCAGCACCGTTGTTGGTGAGATTCAGCGGTTCGCCGAAGACATTGTTATAGCTGTAGCTTGTTCACTGTATGAAGTCTCCTCGGATTTTGAATCTGTCCTGCAAATGCTAATGTTTCTCATCGTGGAATACGGTAAGCCTGCGGAGTTAATCGTTGTCTTTCACACTTTTTTCGACAAGGACGAATTTCCCGGACCGGATTGTGCTACGTTTTTTCTGCCGAATATCCAGGCGACTTTGTTGAAGCTGGAAAAATTTCGTCTCATGGAACTGCAGTCCATGTTGTCTCAGATTGATTACTTCGTTGCGGATTTCCACTGGAATGCAACAGCGGACGACGATTTCACCTCGCTGGTGCATCTGCAGTCGTTAGTTTGTGATTTTGTCCAGCCGTTTGTAAATGAAGTATCTTTGTATCGTGAAAGCTTTGACTTACCTCCCGAGAAGGATTTCTCGGCGCTGGAAATCGTGAAACGTTACCGCAACTGCATAGCGCGTGCCTTGTTGCATATTTTAGCCGAACCCCTCGGAATCATGCCAGTGTCGTTTGCCGAGGGATTTAAATCGTACCAGAGAATAATCGGGCTTCTTGGGAAGGTAATTGGCGATTTCACAATATTCTCGCGGTGGTCGGAGTCCGATCAGAACAGCCATGAAGACGGCTACTGCGAGGATTACCAGATTCCCATCAATTCCGACAGTATTGCCAATCTGGCGTTTCTTGTCCGGTATTGCGCTGTTCAACCTAACCATTATCCATCACCACTCTGTGCTGTGTACTATTTCTGTGATATCTTTGTGCCTTTCTCCAACTCGCATGGAGTGTACGCCTTGCAGCAACATGTTGAATTTTTGAAGTGCCTGCTGGATGAGTTGTCCGAGGAACGTTGGACAATGGATAATGCTGACTTTTCTGCCTTGAGTCATCTTGTTTCTGACCTGTTGGTACAGGCTAGCGCACATCCCAATTCGAAAGTCCGTCGAAAAATCTACTTCGTTGTATGTACAATGTTCTCTCTTTTAAGCCCGATGTTCTTGATTAATTTCGTATTGACTGTGTGGAAAGAGGAGCTCATGCAGTCGCGACCGAATGCGCTGGAAGTCCTAACTATGGTTGTTAAGCGTCCGATAATCAACCAGCTTCAACTACCCAACTGGAACGAGGACCACATCACTGAGCGGCAGTTTGTTTGTCTTTTTAAAACGTTTCTGCAGACCAGACGGGAGGGATCTGTGGCAGATTGGGCGGGGTTGGCGTCGTCCATAATGGGAATTTTCACTATGATTCTGGGCATGGACAGAACTAACAGGACTGGTATTTCGGATTTAATTAGTGGGATGGAGGATTTTTGCAACTATTGGGAAACTGAATTACGGGCCGGATCGGATGCTATAAAAAATGATGCCTGGGTTGCACAAGAGGAAAGCCGTACTGAGCAAAATCGGGCGTCCCGGGGATCAGCTGGTTTGTCTGGGAACGAGAGTGTCGAAACGGTGGGGGAAAAAGTCGAATCGCAACTGGCGTGGTCAAGTTTGATTTCGATGGCCGTCGACAGTTTACGAAATCAGTTGGCTTTGCACCGTTAAAAGGTGTTACGTGCATATGATTGATGTTGCCTCGTGCTGTTTTACGTACAGTAGTTTGATAATTTGATGGACTTAATGATTTTAACCTTATTTTCTGATTTGGTTCTGTTATAGCACTTGTTATAACATATGCACCCAGCACTGTTGTCCTTTGATTTCGTTTCAGTTAAGAGTCGGTTAATGTACGGTTAATAACACGCGCAAAAATCTAATGGTTGCTTGCTACTTGTAGCAACATTTTAAGAAATTCTTGTTCGCCCTGAAATTCCTAAAAAAAGCCAAAGAAAGCTAACCGGAAAGCCGGGAAAGGTGACGTAGGTGCAAGTTTTTATTGCAAAGTATGTAGTATGTATGTAGGAGTACGAGTAGTCAAAGTACAATACTTACAAATTATTTTTAATCTGCTAGTTGGATATGCACTGGTATTTGGTATGAACCTAGTATGAACCTACTATAAATCGTACCTAGTACTCCGGCATAATTCATAATTGTAAAAACGCTTACAGATAGCTCGTTTTTGTATTGCGCCTGTGTGTGACTTGCGTGAGTTGCGACCACCCTTAGAGATGTATTAAAAGTTAGCGCAAACGAAAAGCGTAAAGGCATCGATGCCAGTGGCATGCCACAGGTTTTGCCTTTGGAGGCGCCAGTCACAGTCGCAGTTTAAGTAGTGTCACAGTACTTTTGGATCATTTTGAAGAGAAAGAAAAATTTTTATACAGATAGTTTTTAGTGACGAGTTTATACTCTAGGACAGTCTAATTGTAATTGTACAATAAGTAGTACCGTAATTTATTTTTGGTGTGCTATTTGAGATCTTGAATTAGCGACCACGGTAAAGAACTCAAAACTGCTGTTGCACTTTGAAATATACAGGTCGACTTGGAGAAGCCTTCCACCTGGACCACAAAATTTTTTGGTGCGTGAACTGTAAAGGCAGAAAAGCTGAAGATCGATTCCCAAGTACGTAATTAAATTCTTTGGAATTTGTCGGTACAGTAAATCGATTTCGTGTTTTTGACATTAACGAAAATACCGATTTTTCGGTGTTCCCTTGCTGGTTGCGAAATAGGCTTTTCACATCAGCCACTTTCTTCTTGGGTAAGCAGTGAATTCTTAATCGCGTTTTGTGCGCACTTCCAGTGACTTCCTGTCTGATAGTACGATTCCTACTTTCGATAAGATTGCCTTCGATCGCGTAGACATAACCTGTTTGCATAGACGTATTTGAAAATATACTTCTAACATTTGATTTATGCGCATTTGTTACTTACATATCTATTACTGTAAGTTTCTCCGATAAACTTTTTGTAGCAGTAAACGGATAGTAGGTACATACTTTGGATGGACTGCCAAGTGCCAACATGACAACCATCCATATCTATTTTTAGAATGCTTTCTGCTTATTTGTGCATTTTTCCATGCGTACAGTAACTATGTGTAGTCACTGCAGTTCTATGACGTTTTTGAAGCGCATAACTGATTACATTTAATTTTGAAGTCTTTTTTTACTCTAATAAAGGAATTTTCGGCAGTGTGTGCCGTGGTTTTGATTTCCTGACCAATATTATAGCGTTCTTTAATATTCGTACACAGTCGTAATTTTTAACCTCATCGCATTGGTTGTGATTGCACTTGTTTTGTTTCCTAGAATTATTTTCTTTCAGATGTTTATATGGCTCTCGGAAGTTTTAATTTTGGCGCTCTGGGACTGGCCGAGAACGCCGACGTGTCCGATGTCTTCGAGCGCGCCTTTAATCCAACATTTGTGAAACTCTTGTCGCAAACTTCCGTCCCGAAAGCAGAATGGCAGCATCTGTTTTTCACCGTCTACAAATATGTGATATGGTTCGACGACGCAGACCACGTGCTGGCCACCAAGCTGTACCAGTGTCTGCGCACGGACGTCGAACAGTGCGCACAATCCGTGGCCGAGTACATCAACGAAGAGGACGATCGGATCTTTCTGGAGAAGTACGTTAAACGCTGGAACGACTTCTATGTGCAGTCGTCGCATGCGCCTCTCCCGTTCCATTCCGTGGATACGGCGCTGCTGGAGCAGACAGATTTCGCGCGGCAGAGTAAGCACGACAAGGACTCCATGAAGCCCATTCAGCGCATGATGCTGCAGGTGTGGCAGGAGATCGTTCTGACGCCGCTGGCGACACGGCTGCTGAAGATTGTCGCGGACATGCTCAATGTAGAAAGGGAAGGGGGGTTTATTTTCGGCGATCTCATTGTCGGCGTACGGGATTCGTTTTTGTATGTCAGTGCGTCCAAATCGTTTTTCGAACAGAATTATGAACAGGTCAGTCGGCTACTTCATAGCGAGATATTCATGCAGCTTGTACTTAGTTTTTTTTTGTGCTTATAATAAGTGTGCAACTGTGCGGAGTATGGCAAGGAGTGATTACTTCCTTTTGGGCAATTTCCATAATTTTTACTTTTCGCTCGGTTTAACTGAAATTGTAGCACGTAATGCGGTGGTTAAAATATTTTGTGCCATTGCTTCAGTTAACTCAACTAACTGCAAGCGCCATCTTCCACTGTTTGTCGGAAATTCAGTGTCTCTTTTTGTACGTTGTAGGTGTACATTAGCAGTCTGGAAAGATATTTTATGCAAGCGGCTACCTCGCGCTTTACCACAGGAAACGTGGTTGAATACTCCACATGGGCGGAGCAGACTTTCCATGATGAACATGCACGTGCCAAAAAGTACCTGAGCTCGTCTCCCAAGTATAAAGAACCTGTCAATCGAATGAACGAGCGTTTAGTGGAAATTCTGATTCAGAATCCGCAAATTTATGATGCTGTTTCTAATGAAGCATGCCGTTTGGTCGAGGAACGACGAAGTGAACCCTTGAGCGTTTTGTATCAATTGTTGGACCGTGTGCCGGAGGGATTAGAGCCGTTAATCGCTGCTGTGCAGGCATATATCGTTCGTAAAGGAAAGGACGATATGCTGGAATCGGCTAGCGTTGTGGCCTCTGATCCTGAGAAATACGTGGAAAAACTCCTGGGTTTGTTTCGGTCTTTCTCCCAGTTGATTATTGATGCCTTCAACGAAGACCATCGATTCACGTCTGCTCGAGACAGAGGCTTCCAAGAAGTGGTCAACGATACTAGTGTGTTTTCCTTCCAGCTGAAGGGCCGAACAGGAAATCTGGAATCTCGTTGTCCAGAGATGCTGGCTAATTTCTGTGATTCTTTGTTGCGGAAAACCGCTCTTAGTCGACGACTGGGGTCGGAAGAGATTGCTCAGCGATTGAAAAGCACATTGCAAGTGTTGAAGTATGTATCCAGCAAGGATATTTTTATGCAGTTTTATCAGAATAATTTGGCGAGACGGCTTCTTCTTGGGCTCTCGGTTGATTCGGATTTGGAGGAAGAGATGAGTAAATGGCTGGCTAATGTGGGTATGCCGGCGGAGATCATATCGCGAATAAATCGGATGTTCATGGATATCAGAATCAGCGAGGATCTTAGTAGAGCCTGGCAGGAGTATGCGAGTGGCGCGGGTTTGCGATCGAGGAATGGGGAAATCGATCCTAAAGTGCTGAATGTTTGTTCTTGGTCGAAACCAGGCGAACGGACGGCTTGCGCAATTTCGCCGGAAGTGGAAGAATTCATCGTTGAATTTGAGAAGTGGTACTGCGAACGATATCAGGGACGCAAGCTCGTGTTGGCGGGAAACAGTTCCAACATGGTCATTCAGTTCGAATCACGAATGGGGACGTACGAGCTTGAAGTGACGATGTTTCAGTGGGCAGTGCTAAAAGCTTTTAAAGTGAGTTCGTTGCTTGTTTTTGACACGGAAATTTTTCCGATACCAAAATTCATACGGTATGGTTGTCATTTGATTGTATAGCTACGGTAATGGCATTATTAATTGTTGCTGCAGAAGATTATTTCGCAAATATGACAGAGAAAATTTTGTTTTTTTTGGACTTTTAGGATTGTGGAAAAGCAAAATTGGGTTTCGAAGCTGTACAAATGGCAACTGGATTGCCTCTTGTCGAGTTGAAGCGCACGCTTTGGACGCTTTGTACCATGTCGAAATGTGGTAACCAGGTGATGGGCTTTGCCTCCCGGGAGCGGTGTGATAATCAAGGTAAGGTTTAGAAATTCATTTTTATGAAACTGCTGGTGAACAATTATGTTTGTCCACAAAGGCTCTTTTTTCAGGAATTGCGTCCGGGTTTTCTGCAAAAGATATAGATAAACATACTGTGTTTTGGCTGAATATGAATTTCGCACCGGTTCGTGCTGGAAGGCCACAAAGACGCGGCCGGATAAATTTAATCGGGAAGCTACAAATCGGTTCGGATCGGTCTATTGAGGAGGATCAAGAAGGCATTGCGGTGCTGCGAGAGCTGCGTGTTCAAGAAGCGATAACCAAGGTGATGAAAACGCGGAAAACGGCTTCCATGACAGAAATCCACACTGAGACAATTGAATTGTTGAAAAATTTGTTTGTCCCCACTCGTAAAGTTCTGAAGGAACAAATTGAATACCTTATCGAAAAAGAATATATATCTCGTGATGAGCGGGATTTTGGTGTTTTCCACTATGTGGCTTGATGATAGTGTATGTTGTTAGGCGAAAGAATTTGTTTTTACAGTAATTTTTCCCGGTGAGAATCTCCGATGGCATGACTTTGGATTTTCGGCTGTACTTTGTTGAAAATAAGATGTTTGCCTTTTCCAGCCCTGTTTCGTAAGCAAATTCAGCAGCTGTCGAAAAGTTATGGATCTCCCCCTATGATAAGAAGTCAGAACATGATAATGCAGTTCCGAATAATTTTTGAGCGGATGCTGCCTTCGGATGAATAATTTTTGAGCGGATGTTACAGTAGTACTGTAGTCAAGACTCCTGAGTTCACGGTTTACTTGCTGGTGTATTGTACTCGTAAGTCGTATACACCATCTAGTCACAGTGGAGTTTGGCTACCGGTAATGAATCAGTTGGATTGTCATATTTATTTGGATAATTCTAAGCCGTGTTAATTTATTGCACAGTAATGTTAATGATTAATTAGCACAAACGAAAAAATCTTGAATTTCAAACTAAAATTAGAGTAGTACTTACGATAATTAATAATTGCCTCTTGAAACACATTTATATACAATCGTTACTGTTTGCACTCGTACTGTACAGTACAGTAGGTGTCTTGCCAACTTGCCATAATTAAACGGCACAACCACAGTTACCACACCACTACGAGTACGGGTACGAAGTAGCGTGCAAGTCTGCAAGACAGCACAAAATCTTCAATCATTTTTTATCCCCGTGCAACATTTTCATCGTTACACCAAAATTTACTATGTATATTCTGATACTTTCTACAAACAATAATCAAGTACGAGTGTGAGGAAAGAGTTAATATTCATTGCGTACTTATTTCACTGTTAGTGTACGATACGTATTGAAAGTGTTAATGTTGAAATTACTGGAGGTTTCAGTTGCTCGACATGGAAGATAGACGATTTCATCGAAAGGGAGATTTTCCGTATCGCCCTCGACCGTACAATCACTACAATGCCAACCATGGTGTTTATCCTGCCCGACCACCAGAACATCCTTTCGGATTTCGAGGTAATTTCCCGCGAGAATATGCGCAAGATCCTGTTGCAGAGAGAATGAGGCATCCTTTTAATTCTCCACCCGGACCGCCACTGATCCATAGTCAGGTATTCCAGAATGCAGCTGTCGTCGGACATGGTCCACCTTTCGGTGAATTTGATGGGTATCAATATCCCTTTTCTCCTGCTCCACCATTCCCTGCGCTTGCTCCACCACAGATAGCACGACTGCCATTGAATGCTTGGCCACCGCTGGGTCCTCCAGGCCCACCTTGTCGTAGGGCGCTTGTTCCGCACAACCAAGCTCCGTTTCCTGAACATTGCTTTCCTGATGTGCGACCACCAATCCGTAGTGGCCCTAGGAATAGACCATTCCCGTAAGAGTTTTTTATTATTTTGGTGGAAATGATTTTCATCGCGCAGCTCAAGTTGAATGTATTTTGTTGGATGCTCCTATGTCGAAATTTACAAATTTTTGATTCTGTTTGCCAGTGTTGGTAGCTGAAAGTTAAGTACAGCCATTGTGCGCCGATAAAGCAATTAAGTAATTTTATGAAAGGCGTTTTAATTTTGTGATAGCTGTGCATGGAATTTGGTGTGTTTGTAATATAAGGAACTTGCTTACTTTATTCGGATTTTTAATTCGGTTTCTTATTAAGCGAATATTTATTAGTCACTATGCCTGTACGTACCTATCTATGTTTTATTAATTCATTAATAGATAAATATGTCAGTATTTTTTAAATTCTTGATGTTAGTGTAAACCTGGTTACGAGATGCGTTCATCAAGTGGTATTTTTTGTTTAGAAATAACGCTCCGGTAAAGTTTCCCCCTCCGCGAGCCCCGTTTGCACCTACGGAAGGTGGACATCCGAATCGTAGCGCGTTCAACGGACTCTCACAATTACCGCATCGCTTCTGCAGTAATTTCGTGCAACCATCTGGTAAAGCAGACAATGCAGCAGTGGATATAAGCAAGTGCTCTGTTGAGGAATTGCTCGGTATGCGTAAGTTTGCGGACGCAGCACGCAAGGCGATTAAGGATAAGCAAGTCACAGCGTTTCCGTTGGATTGGTTTGTAATGCCGCTGTTGTGTTCCGGAAACATTCAGCTGCTGGAACAGTACGTTGCGGAGGGGAAACAGTTGCAGGAGAAAATGGTCCAAATGGTTATGGTTTTATGTGGACAGCAGATTGTTGTTGATAAAATTCTTCGCGTAAGTATAAATGAAAATGCCTTCAGTACCATAGGATAATGTATGACTCCAAAATACTGTCGATATATATATGCCTGTAGCCGTTTGAAATTTGAATGTGAGTTGGGATAATTTCTGTTCTCGTTATTATTCGGAAATTTGTTTTAGGACTTCAGAGACATTTGCATTCCACGCCAGTGTGCATTGAATCAGAAGTGCATAAAGAGGCATGCAATAACCTGGGTAACCAAATTTAAACTGGATTTGAGTATTATTCGTGATATCCATCTCGAAAGATGCCGGGCCGCGCTAGTCTGGATGACCAAAGCATCCACTTTTGGAGATATCAGTGAAGCAGCTTGGTTAGAAACCATTGCAGCTACTGCCGAACCGTTTAGTGATTCCTTGATTCCGTTTTGCTTGAATCTTCTCTCTCGTTCACCAAAACAAGCGTACGCGCTTGGAAAGCTGATGGTCTATTGGGAAGTACCTGTATGGAGAGGCCGAAGTTCCGAAGAAATTTTGTCCAATGCCGTAAACATTTTCCCAAGCGAAGAAGGTGAAGGAATGGTGCACAAGCTGAATTTGCCACAAGATCGAATTGTGATGGTTGACTCTGCCAGCACTTTTAGCACAGCTTTGCCTCAAATCCAAAAATCGAGTGTGATAGGAATCGACTGTGAATGGTATACACATCCAGCATATCAGGAATCGGCACAGCTGGCGTTAATGCAGATCGCTACTGAAACGCATTGTTATCTTTTGGATATCCCATCATTAAAGCAACTCCCTAGCGGTATGTGGTAAATTATCTACTGAAAGGTATCTTTGAAAACATATTTTTTTTACAATCCTTTCTGGTTTTTTGTGCTTGGATTTCTTAGTAGACTGTTTTCAGTATCAGGTATATGTTGTTTATCAAGACTTGGGATGGATGTTTCATGTTGTAGGAGTGATGGAGTGGACGCTTCTTGGGGATGTTTTTTCATCCAGCAACATAATAAAGCTTGGATTCGGAATGGATTCAGATATACGAATGTTGCATAATTCTGTTCCGGAATTGCATGATGCGCTGCGAAAGTTTGCATTTATGGATCTGAAACAACTAACGGAGCAACTCCATAAACAGATTCCCGATCTTTTCGGTATGTTCTGTTACAGTGTCCCGTGCTTGAGATTAAAATACTGACAGGACAGTACGTAATTTTAAACGCTTTGATAGTGTGGCTTTCAGGCTTGGTGTAAAATGCATGATTAATTCTGTAATAGTTTCTCATTTAAATTCTATTGCTGATAATTTCGCTAAGAATTTTTATTACTTAGTAATCTTACACTGATTCAATCAGATTTTAAAGTGCAGTGGAAATCGGAAATTGTTTGGTTTTATGAAGATACTCGTAGTGAACGTGAGAAGTCGTGCAAACACGCCGCAGCGGTCATAATCTCCCTATCCACACTGAAAATGTGGCTGTTTTTAGTTCCATCAGGAGAGCCTAGTCCTACCATAGAAGAGCCGACAAACCCACAGCAAACAAATGAACCTGACCAAGAGCCAGCGAAAGCGGGGCCGAAACCACAGACAAAGTTTTCTTTATCCAGTATCGTAGAAAAATTGCTAGGATCTCCGCTTTGTAAACTGGAATGCCGATCAAACTGGGAACGGAGACCACTGCGGGAAGCTCAAATCAATTATGCGGCGCTGGATGCTTACTGTCTTTTAGAAGTGTACTGGCAGCTGGAGAAAGCGTGCTCAGAACGAGGCCTACCTTTTCCCCCTTCAAGCTCAGAAACTCACCAAAATAAACATGGCACTTCAAAGAAGGCCGAAAAGCGAATGGAGCGGTGGATGAAAAAGAAGAACCAAGCGAAACTAGATACGGACAGCGCAGATGTGACTGAGAAAAACGATTGTCGAGAGAACGGAACTCAATCTCCTACGATTAGTTCGGGCGCATTAAAGGTAGACAATAATGATTCTGATGCAACGAGCGAAAACGGTCAGTGCTCGAAGGGGCTGGAAAAAAATAATTCGGATGGTGTCATTCGGAACACAGGAGCCGAAACTTCTCAGAGTCAGAACCAATAAATATAGTGGTGCGGCAGTTGTATAGTTGATGTCTCGTATCTTGGTGTGATGCCGGAGATTAATTACAGCCCATTGTGAAGAGTTGTTATACATACCGTAATTCCTTTTGTTGATTTTTGTGAATGATTTGCTCATAGACTCAATGACATAATAGAGTAAAAGTGCATTTCGGTTTTCGGATTTCCTTAGAACCAAGTGGTGTTGAAATGGAGTTTTCCTTGCTGTTTTGTGTCAATGCTTTTCTGAATTTTTATTTTCTTGGATGTACACCTTACGGTTATCACGAACAAAATTTCGAAAACGGAAAGGTTTTCGCTTGAATTCTTCGCACGTCGACATTCCTTCAGGCTACAGCAACCTTCGGATGTCCATTCCATTAATACTGCTACAACAACTACAAAAAGTAATCGCGCAAAATGTCATCCAGTAATGAAATTCGAAAGCCATCGTGGAATACCTGTCTGTAGTATGCAATTTGGAAACTCATTAGATACTGCTGAACACGAGCTACACAGTTCACGTTTCCACTCCATTTTGAAATGAACTCCACACAACTTGGTAAGCGCACCATTTATTACAACCCAAAACATTCTCAGTTATCACAAGTCATCTTTAGCGAGATCAACCGGCGTGGCAATCTGAACTCACGCAATCGACAGTCCCACTAGCGATGCGCTGTCCTGTTCTATCATCCGACCGCCGATTCACTGCGCTGTGCTGCACAGCAAGCATGCAAATACGGAAAACTGCCTGGACTTCTCTGTTTTCTCTTTCGAGCCAGTCGATTTCCAGAGGGCCGCTTAGAGATTTCCAAAACTCCATTTTTCCAACTGCCCTTTCAACGAACAGTTTCAGACGGTAAACCTTACCCGTCAAATCATCCTCTATTTGCGACATCACGTCGTTTCCTTTCGCCATCCATGTTAATCCTCTGATTCCAGCATCATTCTGCACCGGAAGTCCACAGTTGTCCAAAATAATACTTCCAGGTTTTAATAAATCGATAAGTTTCGTGCGCTTTAAAACCTCCAGGTCGGAGAAGTTTCCGGGATAGATATTTGATATGAAAGAAACATTTTCATCCGGTTCAGTAACAATCAAAACCTTAACTGTGGGAACGTCTGCAGCATTGCCAAAACGTTTCTGCTTAGGCAAACGCATTTCGAAGCAATGCAGAACCAATATGCCTTCTTGATGTGTTTTTGAATGATAAAATCCCAGATTCAGGGGCTGGCGACAATCCGGCCATGCGGCAATTTTACTGAATTTTTCCCGCATAACGTTCATCCAGCAATTGTAATATTCCCCTACCGTAACCTGACTGACATCGAATAATGTCGAGATCAGTCCATCTGCCAAGCCAGTTTTCTATTTGAACAAAGTCACGAAATACTGATCAAAGTAGCTCAACGACATTGTCTTGCCGCGTTTTCGTGAGCGATCGGGATTTTGATTTTTGGACCGTCTAATCGGTATCCGGTCAACAAAATCGGAATTTTTACCATCCAAAAAATCAAAAACGAGCGTATGCAGAAGCGCATACGTGGGAATGCCGGTCAGGTGCTTGATAGCTGCGTCGTTATCCTTAAACTTCTCAACCCGAAACTCCAGCTCCCTGCACGTCTGTAGATCATTCTCCAGTTCTTGCTTTTCCCGTTTTGCTAGCTCAAGAGACTCTTTAAACTGCGATTCTTGAACGGTGCATTCTAAGCGAGTAGCATCTCTTTCCGACTCGACATTCTTCTTCTCGGATTCCAACTTTTTTATCACATCTCTCAATTTCCATAACTCCTGGTCTGTTTTCTCTATAGACTGTTTCTGTAATTCTTTTTTTTCTTTGAGAAGCGATATATGGAGGTCCAGATTGTTTCGGACTGTTTCCGAAAATTTCAATCGCTTTGTGGTCTCTTCCTAAAAAACAAAAAATTATCAGTGAAAGCTGATATCACACAATACCAAAACAGCGCAAGAGGCAAAAAGCGTCTACAGAGTATTGTCAGTGAATCAACTAACTCTACTTTGTTTGTTAGCTAAATTTTCAGGTACCTATTTTAGTTATCAGTATCTACCTATGACAAGATTGCACATTAGTTGACACTACTAGGTATATCACCCACAGGGATGCATAACACTCCATTTGTTTTAAACCCAATATACTGTAAATCAATAAAAAGTTAGGTTAGTTTTTATACAAAAATGAAAAACACACTTCAGGTGTTTTCATCTTCGTATAAAAATCGTAACTATAAAATATTTATATATGGTGCTTTTCTTAGTTCACTGACCAGTTTCTTCGAAGCGTCTCTCGCTTCTGCCCGCGCTTTCCAGAGCGACATGGACAATTCAACAATCTTCCCCATAGCCTCGTCGTAAGCTGTTTTCAGCTCCTCCGGAGACAATACACGAGGAACACTAGCGGAGGCGTCCACTATTTGACGGTGTTTCCTTTGCCTTGCAACATGGATTGATGGTCGCAGGTGCGGAGGTAAACAGTCAAACAGAGACGGAACAGCACTTTTTTTTTAAAAGGTGGCGTTTTAAACCTCTGTAGTCAGATTCCATGAAGTGCGCACTGCACATTCGAACGCCAGCCTTGGGTTGCCAGTTTTTCCTTCTGCACAGATGTGTCCACTGGCGCCGCCGTGTACGATCTTCCACCTTCGGAAATACGAACATCCTGATTCCTGGTGTTTTAGACGTGTTCCGACAATGGGAAACCGCGCAGCTATTATAACCAGATTTTTTCCGCTTTGGCTGAGCAGCTGGTTCAGTAACTTCAACTGGACCAGGAGCATTTTCGATGCAATCAGAACTGGCGGACGCAGTTGTATTCGTGTTATCGTGCTCGTCCTCCACATCCATTTTCAGTGGTGATTGGTGACCAAAGCATACATTCAGCATGCAAACAAAATAATTTATTAAATTCTTAAGGTAAGTTTACCTTTAAAATACAAAAGTTATTATAAGTAACTTACAAGTTGCAATTAATTTGTTTAAGTAATTTACCGGAAAATTTAACAGGCAACAAAAGTTACAAAACACAAACATATTTTGCTGAACGCAGATTGCATCAAAAATCCAAAGTCGCTTTGGCGCAGCATTTACAACTGCACGGTGCACAGTGCGCAGGAAGTTGTCATCGTACGGCGCACGGCGTTGAACGGCTGGGTCCTTCTGCTGAATGCTGATCTGCTCACGACTTCAGTAAAGTTCAGTTGATTTTGAAATCGTGGAACGATACGGATCTACATACCCGATTCTACTGTATGGCTTTTATATTCGCGATTTATTTATTCTGCTTGTTCAATGTGTGGACGCGTATTGAAGTACATTGAAGAAGGCCGACTTTGCGTGTTGATCGTGAAAACCTAAGTAGATAGCCTAGGATAGGTAAGCCGTCAGGGAGGGTTCACTATAATTTGGGCTGTTTCACTTTTCAGTGTTACTCACCTTCGTTACTGCTGGGTTTAAACCGATTCCCCTAGATTTTCGACCCCAATTATTTTAGGTTTATCAGTTGTTACTGCCGTTCTGACAGATAGACTGGACTAGACTGCTTTGCCTGTTTGACAGATGGTCTAGAAGTACGGTGGACCGTCACTGCTGGAGAACGGAATGGTTTGGCACTGCTTGTGCGGAGACTGGCTATCACTGGATCTGGTTTGCAACGGTAGCGCAGCACTGTTGGTCAACCAGACGCCTGACGGAGGTGCAGCCCAGGAAAAGTGGAATTTGTGGCCTTTGTTGATGGGCCTCGCCAGGCGCGTAAAGGAGCAGTCGCACTACCGGCTGTGCAACGCCTGGCACTCTGCTCGTCCACAACCTGGCGTTCAGCGCTCCCTTCTAGCGTCCCTTGGTCGTTGTGGTGCGACGGCCGTTACACGCTGGCAGTCGGCAGGATCGCGAGCGTGCCTGTACAGGCGTAGCCAGCTCTGGCCAGGCTGATTTTGAATGAACTGTTTTTCCGTTGGCTTATACGAACCATTATTCCTTTCCGACGGTGCACACCATTGCGTACCTTTATATTCAATCTTGTCACCCGTGGCTGCGCCATTGCAGTTGATTTATTTAACGGCGTTGCTGCTCCGTGTCTGTTTGATCCCGGCGAGTGAAGTGTGGTATTATTGACGATATTTATTTCCCGGAAAAAATGGTAGCGTGGCTTGGAGTCGCTCCCGTGGAGGATCAGCTCCCGGCTGGCCGCCATGGGGAGTCAGAAGGTTTAGCAAACGGTCAACCAGTGAGCAGCGCTGCTGCACCTATGATTGCGCCGATTCCTATCCCTTTGCCGAGGCCAGTAGCTGCGTCTTCGTTTGGTAAGTCTTCCTTAATTCAGCTACAATTTGTTGATAGAACATTTTCCTCTTAATAATGGTACTTTGTTGTTAGAATTCGTGTTTTTGAGCTGTTTGAGAAAGAAAGCTTGCAACGCTGTGCTGCCAGATTGTTATCATTTGAATAAGTGATTCGTAGAAAACAACTTAGTTGTAGCAAGTGTACTGTAGAGTGAAGTGATTTAGGGATTTAGGTGCAGTATGGAGTGTTATGGACTGATGGAGATATGTATCGCTCGTACCGTCCTTGATCCACTTAAACTTAAACACTCACACAAGCTGAAATCATATTTCTGTGATTTTTTTCTGTTTTCTGGTGGTGGTTTGCTAGTACATCAGTGTTGCTCATCTTTTGTGAGATTTTTTAGCCTAATAAAGCATAGAGTTGGTGATTCGGCGTAATTTTGGATAACTTATTTCCACTTTTCCTGTTTCGTGCTTATATCTGTTCTGCATCGTTATTGATTACGCACTTAATTCACCGATCACGCGCTAAGTCGTGTTCGTTTTACCGGTCTGGAATCGATTGCCCGCGAACAGGTTATTGGCGGAAGTGTATTTATCAGTCGAAGTAAATCTGATTCGTTGATATTTTGCGTCATGTTCGAATGTATTCAGAGTAAATTTTGTTTTTTGTGTAGCGGAAGCCATGAAAATGACGTGTGTATTATGGGTTGCTATTGATTTGCTTAGTGCGTATTGCGTAACGATTAAATCATCCGGGGATGTCTGGTATTGATAAGCAATGCTTCGACTATGATTAAGTATTTTAACAAAATGATTAAACTTTACAGATGGTGGTCCATTACCGGAAGTGAATTTTCGCAATGGCGGACGTATCAGACGGGACAGCGCTCTTCAAAAAAGCAGCGATGCAACCACGAATGGGGTAACGATTCAGGAATCGTCTGCGAAACCGCCAGCAGCTATAGAACCCAGTTCTTTCCCGCTCTCGTTCGTGCCCGGTCTCAGCAGTTCACCGGTGGTTCGTTATTTCCGACGCCGCAACGACAGTGCACGGGTCGGGGCAGCTGCTGACACTCGACAATCCGACGAAGAGAGCATCATTTCTACCGAATCGTCCACCATCTGCATTACACCGGACGGCATCATGGACAGCCACACAATCAATTCGCAGAACGTTTTGCCGGGCCGTCGAGTCGGCGAATTAGACTTGACCGTGCCGAAAGATAATTTGAGCGTAAGGGATATAGACTTAGAAGGAGGTGGAGTTGCGAATGAGTCTTTCAGCTGTGACGATGACGAAGGACCGCATCCGGTGCATATCGATGCCGGTCTGCCACCTGTGGATGTTGTCGAAGATGTTTGCACCGCGGCGAAAATGCCTAACGATATTCCGATAATTGATGCTCTGGTCGTCGAGGGCGTCCACATCGGCAAAGAGAAGCTGAAAGGGCTGGTGCTGCAGATTTTTATCCCATTCCTGCTAGCAGGCTTCGGTATGGTCGGTGCGGGTGTACTTTTGGATGCTGCATTGAAGTGGACAGTGTTTACGGAAATCAGTGAAATTGTGATTATGGTTCCGGCATTGCTGGGGTTAAAAGGTAACCTGGAGATGACGCTGGCATCCCGGCTGTCCACCCAAGTTAACATCGGGGGCTTCGATGTGCCGCGGCGCAAATGGAAAATTATTGGCTGCAATATGGCGTTGAACCAGGTGTTGGCCACGGGTGTAGGGTTTATGGCTTCCCTTTTCGCTGTGATTGTACACGCCATTAAGCACCACGGCCAGGTGGAGACTCAGAATGTCATCCTGATGTTGGGAACCGCCATGCTTTCAGCGTGTTCCACAAGCATCATTCAAGGTTATCGAGGAACGATTAATTGTTACCCCAACCCTTAGATAATTTCTTAAATTTATATTACAGACAGCATCATGATAGCGACCGTACTGTTTGCTAAGCGCTTCCGCTTGAATCCCGACAACATTGCTACACCGGTTGCAGGAACTATTGGAGATGTGCTGACGCTCAGCATCCTGGCTGGATTCAGTTACTTATTTTACAGTGCCTTTAGTAAGGAGTTTTCTGTTTGTTAAACTACATCTGCGTTAAATACATGTGTGGAATTTGCAGAGACATCTTATGCCATGCTTGGTCCGATTGTGGCCATATGTTGCCTGACTTGCCTGGCGATGTTGTGGGTATGGGTCGCGCGACAGGAATCCAGCACTCGCCATGTGCTGATTCACGGATGGGTGCCTGTCGTGGCTGCGATGCTGATTAGTAGTTGCGCAGGACTCATCATTGAGCAAGTTAACAGCACCAGCCTTGGCTATTTTAAAGGACTGTCTACATTTGTACCGCTCATTAACGGTAGGTATTTACTTTAATTTTACGGTGTAAGAAATATTAATAGCGTGCAGGTAATTTTGTTTTATGTGTACAGAGTACTTTTTTTGTTGTATCTGATTCGAGTAACAAACTTAATGAACTTCTGTCATAATGTATTGTATGTGATATTTGTGGTAATTTTGCACGTGGTTTTTGAATAGGTGTGGGTGGAAACATCGTGTCAGTGCAGGCTAGTCGGATTGCTACTTATTTGCATCTGGCATACACTCACCCGGGACATATACCGCCTGGTTATACGTACTTGTACTCACCTTGCCATTCCTTCTGTTCTCGCTCGAACGTTAACGCACGAACAGCCCGCTTGTTGCTGCTTATGGTAGTACCAGGCCATTTGATCTTCCTCTTCACAATCTCCTTTGTGCATACAGGATCCACCAGTATCTCACTGTCGCTGCGGTTTGCCGTTGTCTTTCTTGTTATGGCATTGATTCAAGTGGCTGTCCTTTTGTATGTTGCCGATATTCTGACTCATTTCGTTTGGATGAAAGGATTAGGTATGTAGTATGTAGTACTATGTACTATGTATGTCTTGCTGCTGGATAATCACAGTCGTCTTCAGATAGTTGCATGCGTAACAAGATACCGTTTACAGATCCCGATAGCCAAACTATTCCCTACCTCACAGCGTTGGGTGATCTCCTTGGAACGGGGCTTTTGGCTTTTGCATTCTGGTTAAAAGGCGACAGTGTTGGATCCTAACTCAAGTATTCGATTGGAAATTGCTTGATGGTTTTTCGGAAAAAAATTTGGCAATAAAGGATTTTGCACTGCTGGAGCGTTGGTAAAGGTGGATTTTATCCTGGATGATACTGCGTTGGACCGGATCAGTGGTTGCAGTCATTAATTTACGGCCAGGGAATATTTTTCAAACTAAATCCGTTCCTTCATGACAGCGTGATAATGGTGTACAGAGTACAGGACAATCGTTTTTATTACACTTATTTGATTTTTTGCTTTTTCTCTTCCAATTGTACAGATGTTCTTCATAGCGGAAGTACGCAAAGCTGTTCTTCACCTTAAAAGTCTTCGTAATCTGTCAGTTTTTAAGCGGCCCATTTTCAGTCATTTAAGTGTTAGATTTGCATCAGTTTTGAATTTTCTAGCTCTACGGTGGAAATCCACTACCAGCTAGCACTATCGCATAAATGATTGTTGACGGAAAAACATCTGGCACATTTCGTGAACCGCTCTGGACCTTGTGCTGTGCATAGTAATTTGTTGCGTCGATTGTATCCACCATATTTGTCATGAATTTCACCCATTGGAACTATTGAAAATTCCGACAAAGCTTCCTGGGGTAGACGACTTTGTAAGATAAATCTGTCAATTTCAAAATCGGTCGAGTTACAACTTACAGCACAATTCTTTTTCTAAAAGATGCGGCGATTCAGCAACGAAATTTCCATGATACAAATAACAACTGCACCCAAACAATTAACAACTCACCAACAGCAAAAGTCATACTTTACAGCAGTTCACACAATACCCAAAACATCAAACGCATAAATGCTTTACAATTTAAATTTTAAATTTCCGCTTGCACTGTAGAAGCACACATCAAATAGACTTCTTGCTCATCTTATCCCAAGCCGTACTGGCAAATTCGCAAATCTTGGTAGGCGCATTAGAAAGCATGGAGATACCACAAAGAACCCCTGCAGCCAAAGATATTTTAGTAGATGAAGTTAAAAAGTGATTAAACGAACTAGCTCACTACTTACACCTATTCCACGTCTCTCTGCAATCTATCTGAGGTGCTTTTACGTCCGGGAAAGGAATCTATCAAACAAAAAAAATTCAGACACAATAATAACTAAGCCAGTTTGATAGCGATTAGTAGCCGATTTAATACCGGTTCACGGTATGTAGTACCAGCGTATATGTAGTACTCGTATGTATATGTAAGCTCGCTGGTAGTACCATAGAAAAGGATAATCCTTTTCTATGGTAGTACTATGTATTTATGAATTTACCACTTGCAGTCATCTCTATCATCTATGTGACAATACTACAGTACATTCTAGCGGAAAAAATGGACACCAAAAATTAGTATGCGTACAAATACAGTAACTGCATTTCCAATTCCTTCAACAAAATATTTTTTAAATGGCCAAATGCATAATAATGTTAGCCAGATGACCCAAATGATGCCAAATCCATTATAATGTTTAATGTTCAGGTAGTTTTTGGCTCGCTAAGCACTTAAACCATACGCACAAGTCCGAAAAAATTTACAAACAGGCGAACAGCCAACTCAAACGACCGCAACTTCTCCTTTTATATAGCGGATTACTTAACAAGTAAGTCCTGGAATCTTACCTTGTCTGCGTAAGGCTTCAACTGAGGAACGACAGTGCCAATAAAAGAATCTTTAGCATCCTGGTATCCCGTCGTTGCAGCCTGGCTATCCTTCCAGATGCCATACCAAGATGTTGCTTCCAGTGCAGCAATAGCTACACCCACTTTAAGTGCTGTTCTGTAAAACAAGTCTATACTACCTTGAAGTTTAACTTTTGCAATAATTGAGTACGGTCAAACTAGTCATTAAATTTATGAAACATTAAAAATTTTACGGTAGACAGGACACATCAAATCAACTCTCAGTTTTACTGGCCATGCGGCCCATGCACTTACTTCGCAAGAGGTTTCATCATGGAATTTCACGGAACAAATAAATTCTATTATGGGACAAAAATAATGGTATATGTAGCTGTCGTTCTAAAAGTCAATCGGATGATTCTGGGATTTTCTTTGTACGCAGGAATCCGGTGGGGCGAGTCTCAGAGTCTGGGCACGTCAAAGGAGAAACACAGGGAACGGTTCACTAGTCACTAGCTCAGTAACGATAATCTCACACGCACTGACCGATACACAAGAATGGCTACGAAAACTTCGACCGGGCCAAACGAAGACTTACACTGATGCATGTACTAAAAACCTAACCGTCTGATAAAAGAAAGAAAGAAAGAAAGAAAGAAAGAAAGATGGCAAGGTTTTATAATTTATTGCGTATTTTTGGATCCCAAACCATAATCTGGGCCATGATAAACAATTACACCGCTTGCGGCCTTCAGCATCTTCTCACGTAACTTTCGGCAAATTAGAGATTGGTGCTAGCTTCAGGGTGAACGAAATGCTGATCTCCCCGGGTGGCAACACTAAAGTAACCAACAGCGTGAGAAACTGCGTTGTTAAATATACAGTCAGGGCAGATCTTGATACAGTTTATTTATTATTGTTTACGTTTTTTCATTTTTTGAAGTTATCCCTAAACCCTACGCGCTAGACACTTCTGCAATAATATTTACGTTCTTCTTCATGTGTTATTTGCAAAGACCGCAATTGTCTGCATAATGCATTTTTCTGGTAGTCTACGTAAAATATATCTCACGGCAAGCTCGCCAAAGATCATTCATCTTCTCCTGGACGCTGCGCCGAAGTTTACATTCCCTAGTGAGTCCACCGTCTGCAGTTGTTGTTTTAAAAGAGCGGTAACAGCGCGATAGACATCCATGTAAAACTCCCGATACATTAAATATGTCTTTTACTGCTTCAGCAGTTACACCTTGCGGCCCGAAAGTTCTATCGCTATCCCACCTGACCGTTAGGTTTCACAGCACCACGGGATCTGGAAAACACGGTACGTGTTGTATTTTATTGTTTTTGATTTTGCTGTTTGATTACTTTCTGTTGGACTAGTCACTAGCTCGATACAAACAATGCAACTGACCGTGCGGAAAATGTTTGGCTAGATGAAAAACAATCCGGGACAACATTCCTGTCTGCACGCGCTATCGTCGAGAATTCTCCCAAAGATCTTCAGCCATACTTGAGGCTTATTAGAGCCGACAAACCAGCTGGTAAGTACAATTTGTTTCTTTAGTAAAGTGGCGCAGAAGGTTTTTGTTTTGTAAAACTTTTGGTTCTATAAGTTGTGCATATATATCAGTTTATTTATATGTGATGGATTTGTTATTTTGCTCTTCATCGTGTTGGTTGAATACTGTTAATAAATAATGTTAGTAGGTACAGCTTTTTGTGGCACCGGTTGATCTAGCGTTTTTTTAGGCACATGGCTGCTTTATTGGCCTTGCGCTTGGAGCATTGCCCTCGCGGCTAATCCCGGTGGTCTACCGGATGTGAAAATGTTGACTTTGTTCGGTCTTGGAGCATTCTTAATGCGTGGTGCCGGATGTATTATTAATGACATGTGGGACAGGGATTTCGATAAAAAGGTTAAAATTTTTTACTCAGCTTGTTTATGAACGATTCTCCTTGAATATTTTTTGTGTTACCATATAATACCGTTTTGCGATTTTTTTGCAATAATGTCATCGAACATGAAACAAAGCGAGCGTTTCTGGAAAGGCGTCGACTGTGTTGGTTCTCTTGTTTACTACTTACACAAACCGCTTCTGACTTTGAATTGTTTACGTCAAGTACTAACATTATTGTTCCGCTGGGGTTTAATCCTGATCGTAGCAACAACAAATTCATATACAAGCGAAAACGTTTCTTAGAAAATTTTTAATTGGGTAATGTTTTTCTAGGTGGCCAGGACTCGTGAACGGCCTCTGGCGTCTGGAGAAATCCAGTTTTTACCGGCATTAATATGGTTAGGAGGTCAACTCGGTCTTTCACTCGCTGTTCTGTCCCAGTTCAACTGGTTTAGGTACTGAAGCTTTATCACATTTTCCTGCACTTCAACACATTCTTTTCTGGTCTTTTTTAGTATTATACTTGGAGCGTCCTCTTTGGGAATTGTTGTTACTTATCCGCTTTTCAAACGGTTCACGTTTTATCCACAGCTGGCTTTAGGTAACCCTGCTGCGGTTTGTGGTTATGCAAAAAGCCACATTTTTCTTCTGTAATTAAATTTTAGTTATTAGAACGCGGTAGACAGTGTTTACTTCGTACAGGTCTGGCATTCAACTGGGGAGCATTATTAGGATACGCAGCTGTCCGTGGTTATATCGATCCGTATTCCGTGGTGCCGTTATATCTTGCTGGTGTTTGTTGGACTATGGTTTACGATACAATTTATGCTCATCAGGTAAAGGCATACTTCCTACGAAAAATGATTTCCGCATTTTTTAAGTTTCTGTCATAAAAATGTTATCACCACGAAATATTGTGGATTATTGGGGACTGGCTTAAAGGGTTTTAAGAACTGATAACGAACACTGAGAAAATACTCAAGTTGACAATGTTAGAAAATCGAACTAATCGTGGACCGTAGTTGCATCATATACTTTTAGATTGATAAATTTCTTCTGTTGATGAAGCTCCACAGCTCTGTTTGAAACTAACAAACATCGTCTTCTCCATTAGGTCTCACTGTAAATATTTTCTTTGTCAGGATAAAGTGGACGACGCTCTGATAGGCATCCGATCAACGGCATTGAAATTTGGTGAACGAACACCGCTTATATTGTGGGAGTTCAGTGCAGCGATGCTGTTTTCCCTGGGTGTCAGCGGCTATATGGCCGGTCTGGCCTGGCCATATTTCATGGGTTTGGTCGGTGCAGCTGGACATTTGACATATCAGTCATTTGGTTTGAAAATGGATGATCCCGCTGACTGTTGGGAGAAGTTTAAATCCAATCATTATTTGGGTGCGCTCATTTTCTTGAGCATCGTAGCCGGGAATCTCTTGCGTTCTCAAGATAGCGAAAAGGAAAGACAAGAATGGAGAAAGGCGGTTGCTCGAAATTTTCCTTGGCGCAACAGTGAAAGCTGATATGAAACATGATGCACCTATTCCGTTTAGTTGTGATAAGCTGTACGCCTTTATTAAAACAAACTACTTCTGTGCCGTTTGAAAATGAAAAAATTTCAGGTATTTCAAAGAAATTGCTTTCAGGTTAACAATTACATTCGCCAGCTTGGCGTGTGCCGTGAAATATAGGCGCAAGACGAATTTGCGTAGGAACGATACGTTACGATTGAGCAGCACATGGTGTTACATGTACTCCGTACTTCAGTATACAGAAAAGAATCTAGAGGTCGGTGATTATGTAATTATTTTGACTGGCCTGTTGCTATTTTAGGAAGACGCCATGCTGCAATGTTTTATTTCTAATGGTAAACTATCGGTGGGTCATTGTGATGTACTTATCGCTTCAAATAAACTGGCCAACATGTGACGACCGAACAATCGCACGCAAATTCGACATCATCGCGGATGTAAAAGTAAATTATTTTATCAAGTGTGCTAAAACCCGATGAAATTTTGTGATCAGAATGCGAATCGAAGCTAACGACCCTAATTCATACTGCCAAAGCGGACGTCTACGTATACGATAGCGTCACACTTACGTAGTGTGGTATCCTTTATTGCACCCGGCGCATCTATAGGTCACGTTGGAAATTTGTTTTTTTGATCGCGTATTGTACATGAATAACTATGCTCACGACACATGTCATAAAATGCTAATACGATGTCCTCTAGTGTCGAGCAGCAGCAGTCATTTATGACTGTATACTGAATGATATTTTTAGCCACTAGGCATCGTTCATAAGGTTATTATAAGCGAGCAGATTGCCGGTATAGTTGAGTGGCGACTTCGTCGCTATTGTTGTGTAAATAAGGTATATGGTTTGCGCGGTGATAGTGCGGCATGAGATGAGGATGATTTACCGAATGTCACTAAATCACTCAAGGAGCAAATTCTCTGATAGACCTCAGCGAAAATAGTTGTTGTTAGTCCGACCTTTACTGATTAATATTCTATTGACCATACACGGCCCCAGGTGTTGACTGTCAGATCGTTCTACAAGTTATAAACCGTCTATAACTGCGCATAATTACTCTACGCAAAGGACACGCTTACTGCTGTTTGGGGCGCTGTAAAACTTTATACCTGCAAGCGAGCATTGTAACATATTTTAGTAATTTGTTATTTTACTTTTGATTCCTGATAAGTGCTACAAGCAGGTATTTTTAGAATGCAAACTCACGTAATTGCACTGCATAATATTGTATTGTCCGCGTATGCCGATATACTTCTATATCCTTGTAGTAAATTGTATTACCACTCCGCAACTTCGGAAAACATTGTACAACTTTTCTCAATAAATTTTTTTGTGACAGCCGATATTTTTTCCTTAAAACATTTTGGCATACTGCTGTTCATAAGGGCCACAGTACGATTATTCATTATTGGATACGTATTTAAAGCAAACTATCAACTAGGGTACATGATACTCCACTGCTCGACACGAGTTTTGTTTCAGTTACCTTTATTCGAGTATTGTTATCTACCTCGTCTGGATTTTTGTATTTGTTGTTTTAGATAAAAACTATTTTGTAATCGTGGAATTTTGCGAAATGTAAGGCAAAACTGCTAACTTACGTAAATTAGTAAATTAGAACAACAGCAGAGTGGTTGTTGGTGTGCTTATGTATGAGTAAAAGTACCTTTCCGATCTAAAATTTAACAAACTTGTTCTGCAGCAGTGTATGTAGTCTAAAAATCAAATTCGAGATCAAGCCCACTTCCCAATTAAATAACACAGTCCTGGTACACGACACGGTATGTTATGCATAATCAGTGCGATTCAAAGTCATCGACTCATGGTCACAGTATTTCTATAAACTGATAAATTTTCGCGCAGTAGGATAATGAAGACGTTTATATTTTTATGGTTCCGGTTTTGCTGGTGATTGCTCCCTGTATTGGCGTGTAACAAACGATCGTCAGCCGATCCGATACGACACTCAGGACGCATGATTGGACACATGGCGAATGGTCAGGTTGCTATTGCACCCAAGTGCGGTCTACTCTCTTTTGATAGGCAAACTTATTTGCAAGACGCGTGTTGATTTGTCTGATAGGGGGCATATTGCTAATAACTGTGGAGTAAGACGGTAGTCACAGTACTCTCTTCTGCTCGTACGGAATCGTACGGAATACAAAAAAAAGTTTTTAGAATCTGGATACCGCATGATCCTTGTCATAAGCGCATAATGCATTTTCAAGCAGTTTTCATTTAGGTCCCCTTAATTTTTCTCTAGTTGGATTATGAATTTATGATCAGCACTCTCCGGTAAGTCATTATTTGATGCAAATTTAGATGGAAGCCCCAAACAATATTAAAACTGTACGAAAAAGATTATTTTTTTATAATGTAAGTCACAGCAACAAGCTGTTTTTAGAATTTAACGCGCAGTTTTGCTAATGTAATGATTACAGAATAGTATTGCCCTCAAGCTAATCCACAATGGAGTGATGTAAAGCAATGCGACGAAGTCGTCAAGTACTGCATAATACAGTGACATTTTTTAAGGTCGCACTACAGTTGACAAGCGTCGATGTTCGGCCGCAGATTAAGCGGTACGCTTGCCATGTACCCATCTCACTTGGGCCCCTGCTTAATAGTTAATCGTGACTACAATTCTTGAAAGCCCGACTGTCATTACGAGTTAGTTGGAGGGTCGATTATTTTGCAGTCGCCCAACCGGCTGTGCAACTCTACAGCTACTGCCGCGGCTGCTGCAATCTGGTGCCAGCGCTACGAATTTTCCATATTAAGTCATTGGCTGTTACGCCGCGTCGCAATATCATCATCCATCATCAACTGCTGGACGTGATCATGAATAATGCATCATTTCATTTGTCGACTACATCCACAGTTCCCCTTCGTCATCCCATGCTCATGCCTAATCATTCCGCTGAAAGTTCCATTGCGCGTTTGTTATCATCGACGACGGAGAATTCAGTGTATCACACCGCCGCCATGCAGTCGCCCGCTAACAACAACAATAATATGGGATCAGTGCCATCCACCCCGCAGCACGCTATGAGCTTTCCCGGCCAACGTGACCTTTTACTGGGGCCCAATGCCATACATTTTCCGTACCTCGGCGCAACATTCAATGGCTTACCGATGTTTCCGACGGGTACTTTTGGTATGTTTCCATCCTATGGATCTTTTTTCCCCAAATCGCCGGTGCTGGGATCTCCTGTTCCCAATTTTCTTAACGCGTACTTGATGAATAAAGGTTCGTTTAATGAACAGGGAAAATCCCTCTGTAATTGATCCATCTAGAATTCTTGAATGTTTATTTATTTTTTTATTAGAAGACGAACTCCTTTGGCAAAAACGGAGTCCGAGTAACTTGCCGGAAAGTCCATTGTCAGGAACCAGCCGGAGTTCTCCCGGTGACATCGTTTCTAGCCATAAAAGTGAGTACTTAAGGTTAATTGTTTCTCATGAATTGTACGTTCGAAGTCCGTGCCAGTGTATACATAATTATCTAGCACAGAAAATTTACGGAGCGTTTTTCAAAACTGTTTTCGCAACTGTACTCTGTAGGAGGGTTATCTGTTGTATCGTGCTATGTTTTGGTTAACGGATGAAAAGGTCAAAGCTGTTTGTTAGTTTTCTCGTACTATCCTGTCATGCTACTGATGAATACGTTTTATGCGAAGCTACAATTAATTGTCTCTGACAGCACAAAACAATGCACGGTTGATCAAAAATTTTTTACATCCTGCTTCGGCCACGATGATCACAGCGATACGGTAAATCAACCAATCCAACAATGCTTTAAGATTTCTATTGTCAAAACAGTAATGACACTTCTACGATTATCTAATACATACTAGGATTGCTGCAATCAAAACCGCGCGCAACGTAGCTCTACAGCAAGCAGGGAGTGGGAATCAGGACACAAATGCGGCAACAATAGAATAAGATAAGATTTTTGGAAACAATCTGCGCATACTGGTAGAGAGAGAAGATGGAGTCATTAAATCGTAGTCATTAAATGCATAGCGGGCTGAATTGACTAATCTTGTTTGTCGAATTTTTGTGGGTTAAGAGTAGCATGAGTGGAAAGGAGTAGAAACAACACCAGCAGGCCGAAATACCGCCCGTTAATCCATACAAAGACCACCGTGTGGTGCCTTTACATAATAATGACATTTTGACTTGATTCAAGAGGTGTTCGTGGGGATTGTTCGGCCGCGAGAGAGAACTTGTTAAAAGATGCCGGTGCTAATGAACCCTGCTAATCAGCTGGAAGACGAGTTGTTCAAGCGTACTTGAAGCGTATTGAAATTGTTTGCCAGTTATCTCGCACCCGAATGCTTCTCACCGGGGAACCGCTGATTTAATCCGTACTGTATTGTCATTTGTTTTCTTTATTTGCCCACTTCTGTGCGCTGCACAACAGCCGAAGTCAGGGCTCGCTTTCGAAAAGATGGCACATAAATGACACCTCGCTTACACATGACAGTCCTGCCAATCGTTAAAAGTTGCTAATGGCTGTGGTTTCTGGACTTTCGGCACATCTGTCCAATGTCCATTGTTCTGGCAGAGCAAAAGTACTGTTCGGCAAATTTTACAATTTCAGGTTTCGAAATCGTAGCGTACTATAGAAAATCGTTTGGAGTATGCACAATCGATTTTGACCTTTAAAATTTATTGCAGAGCATTAGCGCATGCATGATCGATTAATCATAGGGCAATTATAGATTACGTACGATATGAACCCACTTAATTTAAGCTGCGACAAAGTGCTTATTGTTTATTACTCTGGTTAGCTACTGAATCTTACCATTAGATGTTTCGGATGGTTACCTAATGTGAACACTAATTACAATTACTCTACATACTGCTGCATCAATTTTGCAAATCCTTGTCTGATATGAAATATTTATTGCTACCTAAAAAGTAGCCCGTTTACTTTAGGTCGTTCTTTTCTTAACGTAGGGGGCTTCAATTTTATAAGGTGTTTTCAAAAATTACGCGCTATTGATTGCTCGTCATTACTTTAATTCATGCCAGCACCAAAAAAGAAACTTTAAGCAGTCCAGGTTGAAGCGCACCAAAGCGAGCATTCAATACATTCATTTCGCATGCAAATGCACAAAGCAGAATTAACTGTGCTTTATTAATGCTGGAAGCATTCATGAGATTTTAATATCTCGGTGGAGTTATTTGACAGTTGCTGTAGTGAGTACTGATGAAAAGAACAAAGCCGTCAAATTGAGATGCAGATGTAAAGATCAATGAATTCCGGCTTAGCCCGAATGGAATCTCAGTTGATTTGCTACGAATCCGCAGACGCGGCAGCGTACACTGGCGAAGTTAGTTATTCTTGACTACTCCCGAATAACACTTCCACGCTGAACTATTTTTCTGGGTTTACGACCGAGAACAGAAACAATGGGCCTGATGAGCTTGTGATGGTTGGGAAAATATTTCACATTTAGTACACCTGGTATGTAGCGGTGGGTTGATAATTCTGTGCAGCACCCAGTAGTTACTTCCAATTAAGCGGAAGGGATACACAATCGTTTTAGGGACTTTGTCATGGCTTTCATATGATAATAAGGCCTCATGTTGACACGAACGCCTTATTCCCGAGCCACCCAAGCTGCCCCGTGGCCGCTGCACTCCTACGGCCATTCAGTAAGGACAAATTTAACGCTTCTCTGATAATCGCTGCAATGACACGGCGGTAAACTTCATTACTAACATGACCTCCTACAAAAAATAGCAAAATATCATTAGCACTTATTAGTGCCGTTGTTTAATGCTGTAGCCTGCAGTTGCACTCAGAGAATGACTGTGACTCAGTGGCTTTATGTACAGTATATGAGTGAAAGTTTTAAAAAAACAGTGATGATGTAATCGCACAACTGGTTTGAAATTGATTATTTCCAGGTTAGAATGCACTAAGAAGTGGCATTTGTTTATCATTTGTTTATCGATGAATTTTGTACCCTATGGAGGTACCAGTCTACCCTCTACACCTTGGTTTTAATCAGGGCCGTCGCGAGGTCCGAGGGTAGGGGGGGTGCGCGGTCGCGCGCCAGTTTTAAAATGGCTCAAAAATTGAAAAAAATCGTAGAAAAGTGGCTCAAAAAAGCCAATTTTCTACGCTTTTCTATTGTAATTTTCGGTGTGCCAGCGCCAGTTCCATTTTTTCTCGCCAGCGCCAGTTACGCCAGCTCCCGGCGCACCATTTTCCCGTTTTCTCCCTCCGGGAGGGCCCCCCCCCCTCGCGACGGCCTTGGTTTTAATTATTGAATGCCGATCGACTAGTGTTGCCGTTCGTTACGAAAACGAAAAGTCCTTGAATTTTAGTTATCGTTACGAAAACTAAAATTCAGATAGTTTTGGTTATCGTAACGAAAACTCTCCGACTTTTCGTTACGGAAAACTCTCCGACTTTTCGTTACGGAAAACTCTCACGACTTTTCGTTACGGTAACTGAAAGTCACGTTGAATTCGTATGCGTTACGATAACGAATACGAAAACGAAAACATTTTCATTCGGCAACACTAGGCCCGATCCGTCTTTATACCGAATGTCTTTGAAAAGATCATGACCAGTGGACAGTGACATGCGTTTGTTTGCGGCATTAATAAAGAATATCATGGCAATAGTCAGCACTAAATCAACTGTTTTGTATCTCCAGTCATTAACGTGTATTAATTTGTGAATGCGTTAATTTGTCTGCGTGAATAAATTACCGTACTTTGCACAGAATGTTTTGTCTGTCACCTGATTATTGCATTGCTGAAATGTAAACCGAGCCGTTTTCGAAACAACTAGCCGAATAAAGCAATCGCAAAGTACGGCTGTGTTTTTTTCAGAGAGGTTTTAGAATTTACGGTACTACTGATGTTCGTAAATCGTAACCCATAGCGTCCACTGACTTGTGAGCATCAAGTAAATGTTGAAATTACAAGAAAAAGGGCTTGCGTTGGAGCGCAATGGCAGAATGGGACGGGACGCCTTCACGTAAAAGCGATTTATATTCCCGAATTTTGTGTTGTTTGTTATTTTATTGTAAAGTTTTTACCGGTAGCAGACAAAATTTGATTACAACTTTAGGAAAATCGTGTTGGAGTCTAACTAAGCAGAACAGAAATACTTCTACCAGTCTCCATTGTGCGCAAGAGATTAAATTTGCTACTGCACACGTTGCATGCGGTGTATATCAGTCGATTCCGATGTTTATCCGGTTACTTATGGTAGATGCCTGGTATTTAATCGCATAAAGGTGACCGCCGCGGTATGTGTGAATATCACTGATGTTCAATACAATTGCGCAGATGAATAAGGTGATAAAAGACCGGTGGCAAGAGTTGCAGGTGTGTGCAAAATGGCCTGAAATGTCGCTTGTATTGATACTTCTCTTTTGTTTCCGCACACTCTAACGGACAACTCAAAAGCACTTCTAAACTTTTCTTTCTATTTGAGCAGCACACACTTGGCAGTTTTGCTTGTTTGTTGTTGTATCTGAAGTGGCTTTCATGTTGCATCTTTTAAACTCAAGAGATGGATCATTTACGTTGATTCAAAACAATAAAGGTAGTTTATTTATTGTACAGCGCTAATAAGGCTTAGGAATTTCATATGCGTATTTCTATACTGGCAGTAATGGGGTCCTGCTATTTTATGTGCAGTAGTATTGTACAGCACAGAGTCTGTGATATTATTTTAATTATTTTAAGCCGCTAACTGTAGAATTTCAAAAACTGATTGTGCGCGCGCAACTTTTTGGATCGATTTGGGAAAAAGGTCAAGCCATCAAGGTACAGTTCACGTTTAGTTTCGTACGTTTTAAAAGTTGGAGTCTCGTCACTGCACAGCAAATACGGTTAAAATTTTCACTGCCACTTTCATCTGTTACACAATGTTTACGACTATTTTTCAATCTAAGTATATATACAAATTTAGTATACTACTGTACATAGAAATTGGGTTTGGAGCTGTCTGCTGTAATATTGCGATACAATTCACAAAACGCCTACTTTTGACTTGACCGTAGTGGTGTTGATTGATATGCGCACTGCTGCATTCGCGATGGTGGAAGCAGAGAGCGCAAAACAGATTTAATCAAGTTGAGCTTGTTAAAGTTTGATTAGTAGGAACCGGCCGATAGATGGTTAGCAGCATTCTTTTGAGCAGTTAATCTCACCGTAATCTGATTATCGCCCCTTTCGGACAATGTGACAATTCTCCTTTTAATTGATGTGTTGATTAGCAATGAGAGCGGTCAGGGAGTTGAGACCGCGGTCGGCAGTTGCTAAAAAGAACAACTCAATCTCTCTCGGCGCAGAATATATCTACATCCCTCGCAACAGCGCTCTAGTTTACTGACTTTCCAACAAGGAACAGAATGGCACGATCGTTAACCAGCTGTGAAATTCCATTATGCAACCGAGGCTATCAAATAAATCACTTCTTCCTCCCTGTTCCCTTGTGATCTTTGATATTGTAGCTGTTGGCACATCAGCTCAGCAATCCTCACAAATAAAAGGAGGCTTCCTTTGCTGACCCGACAAAATTCAACATGATTTCTTTACCCACCTGCGTAGGCAAATCCTCGCGGGAATAAGATTAGCCATGTGCGTAAAGGAGGCGGCCGCTCTCTTCTGTGAAGCGCCCGACAGTGCATAGATCCGTTACGCAAAATTTCGTCTATTCCTTCTTCTACAGTAGACTGTTTCTGACTTACAGGATTTTGCCGGAGCCGCTATACCGATCAGAACAGTTGTCCAGTTTGTGGACAATCAGTGGTGGGTGCCACGATGCAGGAACACTTCCTGGAAGAATTAAAAGCCTATCGCCAGACTGTGCATAATATGGATCCGCAGACCGGCACCCCTGCAGAGCACGTCAAAAGCCGCCACGCGAACTCATTGTCGGCAACGCCCACGGAAATTGATTCGCGCCTCGAAGTATGTAATCGTAATGGGTAAAATAATCACCCTTCGATTCCCTTATTATTAAATTACCTCTTGCAAAAGCCATACGGCACGCACGCTTGAGATGGTCTTAGCAATTATACGTTGTATGGGCTCTGCGCAAGTAATTCTTACAGGACACCATCTCGAAACATGTTCTTGGTGTTAATAGTATTAAGGTGCCGTTTGTAGTATGTACTGCATACGTATATGTACCCAGAGAACTGTCTGGTAAAATAACTTGTTAATTTATATTTCGTCAGAAACGGATTGCACTGTACTTATCCAACATACCATTTTGCACAGATATTTTCGAAAGTGCGCAATAACCGGAAGGCTCGGCTGCCCTCTACACATGAACCCTCGCGAACACGTCCCTCCGAAGCCGGTGACCTCCAAAGAGAACTGCGACATGGATCTCGACACAAACACTTCGAACCACCTCCATCTGATCAAGCACATGGAAGCAGTGAGGAAAAAGAAGATGAACTGATTAATGTTGATGTGGATAACGGAGATTCAGGTTCTCCGGGAAGAAATAGTGTCGACGAACCGAGTTATTCTAGAGCGTCGTTGGTTGTCTTTAAAAAACATAAGCGAAAGCTGCAGGATTATGAAGAGTATTCGCCAAGAAATGACGAAGCAACGAGTTGTCCGCTAAGGTCACCAACTGAGACCAAGACAACGGCATGTTCGGAATGTCAGGTAAAATGAAAACTAAAATATTTTTATGCCAGTTACGTGTTATAAAAGCTGTGGCGCCTAACGTGCACTATATTGCAAAGAACACCTGCTTACTCGGTGTGAGTTGCGAAGGTTTCGTTTTGGATGTTATTGTATTAAGACACAGTACGCTTACAGCGTCACCTTTGTAATAGTGTACTGCAGTTTATGCGGACTAGTAACTGACATCGCTTTAACGGTTTTTATTGTTTTGCAGTTGGATCTTCCAATTACGATACTATATAAAGCTCGTAATTGTCAAAAGCACTGGTACTGTGGGAAGTGCCGCTCCGAAAAGAATTTGGTAAGGAGCTAATCGTAGTTGGACATCACGCAGAAACAGACTACTGTTCGACGGTTTAGCGTTTTACACACTATTATTTAAGTAAACCAATTTGTTACCGCGCCTGTAGGCTTGTCACTCATCTGCGACGGCATAAATAAATCATTTGCATTACTCTCGCTAATTTGTAAATTCTTTCCGCTAAAATAGTGGAAGCGAATTTTAAAGTTACTGTTATGCTTTGGGTTGTAGATGAAAGACGATCGTTGCATCCGGTGTTGCCAGAACGAAGATTCATAAATTAATGTATCTTGGATTCTCCTTACAAATTTGCTATACATGTGCTATGCGTCTCGCAGCATTTGAGATCGCTGTTGTGTTCGCCGTTATTACTGATACCATTCTTGTAACCTTGTACACAGATTTTATTACGCTAACTGTTGTGTTCCTGATTCTTTTTACATATTGTATATGCGGCCGGCGGTATTAAAAATAATAATAAAACAAAACTGACAGAGTTGTTTTGTGACCTTTGCCATGTAATGGTCCATGCTTTCTGCGTTCGTTCGATGTCCGCATGTGGCATTTTGAAATAATAATTTTATGTTTGAATAAAAATAAAACAACACTGGATGATTTAATACATTTCTGTAATCACAAACAGTAATACGTACACTGGTTTTAAAAGAGATACTGTTATAAGCAAACATACACATAGGTAGTTTCAGTTTTATTTTGCAATGGAACTTGCCGGAGTTGTTGAACGTAACGAACCGACATAGTCATCATACTGGGCTAGGTAGAAGTTACCGGCCAATGGTTTGTTTAAATTGAATTCTGTTGCAAATTCATGTAGTGAAAATTTATAACGGGGTCTAGCTAAATGCTGACGTTGAACTAATGGCATATTCGAATGCTGTTTGTACACCACTGTGATGTATCGGTGGATACCTACAAAAAATAGAAACGAATCAAACGATAGTACCTGTACTGAAACCCGAAAACTGTGATAACAATACATTAATTAGATGTTATACAAAGGGAAAGGTTATTCTTAGGTCCCTACCGGATTCCTTTCTTGGAGGCCTGCTGCCTCGATACTCCATCAAGGTTTCTCCGGCGGTAACGTTGATTCCTGGTATATTGACCACTGTCCAATGGTTAACGGCCCCCATCGAGTTGTTTTCTTTTGTTGGGACATCTGGATCTTTACAATCACACACAAATTATTTACACGTCGATTTATAAGTTTGTTTACCACTTCAGTTTTATCATGCAGTCTCACAAATTTCTAATTGATTAGTTTGCGTGACGTAAGGACATCCTTTATTTGACCAGGGTAACATCGACCACAGGTCCACAAACAATGTTGCGCGATCGCACAAGCGCCTTGGCTCAAGTATACCAGAAACGAAGACAAGAAATGCGTTCATAGAAAACATTTGCGTTATTTGTAAACAATGGAATATCGGCAAAATAGCTTGTACTGGTTGTTCACATATTTAAACTGTTTAATTTGCATTATTACCAATCATCACGAGGGCATAGAATGCGTGAGGCTCAGTTTTCCAAACCACCACTGGCGTGTCCTTTACTTGAAACGGAGTGAGTTCATTTCCATAAGACACCACGACACCGGAACTGGGATAGCTGATCTGACAATAAGCCGTACAAGCATAACGTTCATAGCATGGATGGTGCGAGTTCTCAAATATGCGTACAGTAAACAGATTGTTGAGATATGTGAAGTACAATCTATACATAAAAAGAAGAAAAACTTTAGTAGCTAAAATTGTTTGATTAAGCATACTTCTAAAGAGTTTGGTGGAACTTCCTTCAGTACTCCCGGCACCACATCGTGGTTCAAATAGTTGTGCATAATATCACTTTTGACAAGACTTGCGTATCGCAAACATAACTGAGACCTGAAGTGCAAACATGCTGGCATCCAACGCAAACAAATACGACTTTCCCATTTTTGTTAATTTTGAGGAATCGCTTATTTAGCCTGTAGGTTAGAAAATTAGCACAGTAAACCGCATTGTCTTTCACTAATGATAAAGGAAACTGCAAATTAAGTTGCGCTTTGGTGACATTCGTCTATAGCAGTGCTTTTATAAATATTAGCAGTAAGCAAGTAACAAATTTCTGTGTACTACGTGCCGTACCTTTGTTGTGAACCATGTTGTTATTGCAATATCTTAGAAAGAACCCCCTCGCTGTAAAAAAGGCAAGTTGGCATATAGCTTTGCGATATATCTGCAAAGATTTTACGAAGATAAACTGGATGCCGGAACACAAAAATCCAAAGTGCAAAACGAGCAGTTTAAGTAATGAAATTTACTTACAATGGTTAGTATAATTTACAATTGTATACGCGTATGATCGACTGACAATTGTGAGTTATGTTTAATAATAGATAAATGCGAACGACTTAATTTACATACATCACTCGGCCAAGAACCTCGGTGAACTCCATATTTGCCAGCTTATGATTGGTTGTGGTATCGATTCTTATGGCGTTCTCCTAATTTGGGTTGAAACTTTAAATGTTTTAATTAACCTTTTATTCAAACTCTCAACTATGCAATAAAGCTGTCGGAGAGCTGCTACTACAGTAGTATAATAGTATAGTTGGTATTGTGTGACAACTTGGCAATAATCAACTAAATTATGCAGCATATCATGATCAGGTTACGAGTAGATCCAGGAAGCGCAGCAGAAGTGAGAAGGTTCAAAAGTTACGAAAATACAATTGGTTTGCGAAGCGATACGTGCATGATTATTAATATTAACCACTGGCATTTGAAACCATTACTAACAGGGCCCTGGACAAAGAAATGTGTCACGATCAAGGAATTGTCAAAGAAGATTAATTTGTGAAAGTAGTGGTAACCGTCGGGGGAGTTCTTACGTCAGAGAATCAGTACTGAAAATGAGCGCGGAAGTACATGCAGTGTCTGTCCTCGGAACATATGAGCGACAACTAGGGACGTGGTTTTAGATTTTGGAATGCCTGATCGGGAATAATGGATCCCGTCGTCCCGATGTTGTTTTATCTCGGCAGCTTTATTCTGGGTATGTTAGTCGCACATGAATAAGATTTTCAGAGCATATCAATTAATGGTAAGGTGCAAATAAAAGACGACCCGCAAAGGTAGAAAAACCGCTTGGAATTGGCCGCCGCTGGTTACCCTAAATGATTTGGATGGTAGTTCCAGTTAAGCGCTGGAATTGGTGGGCAAACGGTCAAAAAACCCGTCATACTGAGCCACATAGTAATTTCCCGCAAATGGATCACCCAGGTTGTGCTCCTTTGCAAAATTTTTTATGCTGAACTTCCTCCGGTCACTAAATAGGGCACCGGGCAATGAATTCTTGTCGATTCTTCCGGTTTGCTTGTATACCAGCTGAACGTAGCGGTGTAAACCTTTGAAAAAATTTCGATCAAGTAGCGCATGTACATCTGAATAATTACAAAATTGCTACTCGTATATTGTGCAGAAGTCAGTCGGTTTTTGATTATTTGCGGATAAAGTACGATTTAACTGCATCTAATAATTATTTATTATCAATTACCAGTGGGTACTGGGTACTGTTCGGCTTAATTTATGCGCCGCGTTGTAGCTTGTAGTTGGTTTTCTGTTTTATATAAATTACCTGAACCTTTCGGTGGATGAGGCCCACGATAAGACTGAATTACATCTCCGCTGGAAAGGTCGTTCTTCTTAACATTGATCACCAGCCAATGATTTATACTTCTGGTGACCGGATTTTCACGGTTAGGCACATCCAAATCTTATTTTGACGAAAACACCAAAATGAGCAAATTAATCTTTTAATGCACCAGACACTGAGCTTTGTGAAATGAAATATGTTAGGAAAACCGGTGTATGTTTCAAAGAAATTTCTGAGATTGCGAACTACGCGTAAAACGCATGCACATATACGCATGCACGCATGCGTTATCGTAATTATCTACGAACCTTATACGAGTAAGTACGCAAATCTAGCAAAATTTACAAAGCTCAAGCAGTACGACACTAATAAGTACCAGTCAAGTTTTATGAAATTTCGCAAAATAAAATATTGCGACACTAAATTATCTCACCATGAGTTCTTCTATTTCTTCTCAGTTCTATTTTGGCTTCTGTAACGATCGTTTTACTTTAAAAAATGTTCTAGGTAGATACCTGACATGCTGATGGTAAAAAGGTCGCTGTCCCGAGAAAGCCATGCAACATTTGGTTGATGTTCGGTGTCTTCGGGTTTCAACTCATTTCCAAAATTCACTTCTTTTCCTTTGGTATAAGTAACCTACATTCAAATACTGTACATACAAAATTAGCATAATTAAAATGTCATTGGCATATACACTGACCTGCAGCGATTATGGAATAAAAACTAGTAGGACAGTACTTATAATTTGATCTGTTGGGTTGTATAATCAACTGCATGTCATGCTCTCTGTACATTTTATATCCTTGTTAATTGCCTACCATATTTTACTGTTTGTTCGCAGTCTCTCAAAAATTCATACAGTACTTTGGCCAATTTTCAGAAATACAAATTTAAAGCTCGAGATACTAGCTATAAACGTTTAACGTAAGGGCTAAAAAAACTATCAAGGATCAAATACTCCCGAATCATAACTTCACATCTTTCTATTAAATCTATATACATACTTGTACATGTATCTATCACGTAGTCATAACAAGTACGTAGTGTTAGAATTTTGACATTACTAAAGTGATACGTATACTTACCATCAAGCCTTCCTGGGGAGCTTTGTCAACCAGATCTGGAACAACCTCGCCTTTGGAAAACCTTTCTGCTACGTTCTGATTGACACCTTGCACAGCGCTAGCGCAACTCAGGAAAAGAATCCACCAACATCCAGAAAAGTGTGATTGCATTGTTAGTAGCTGATTATTGAGTACTGCAGAAAACGCTAGCCAGTCACAAATACATAAAGAATTTGGAGTAGAACAATTAATTTGCGTGTGAATTACTGTACTCTGTACATACGTATCGCTAATATTCTAGTACAAATATACGGACCTTATCGGCATGCCAGTATGCACAGCTAGGGCGTATAGGAAGGAAGCAAATCCACGTTCTCACGGAAGTTCAAAAGAGCTAACTCCGGTTTTGTGAACAAACTTGTCAAGCAACTTTTTCTAATGTAAGTGGGAAGAGAACCACCAAGTCTACGATATGGTATCAAAATTTAATATCAATAACTAGCAAACGCACGGCAACACGTGCAACCGGTTTTGCATTTTCCGTAGAATACGCCGCCTTAAAAAATTACTACATACATACTTTTTGTGTTGCTTAACCATTTTGTCGCTGTTATTCTTAAGCCGATTATAATTAGATTAATATTATTATTATACCATGAGTATCCATGCAGACTTGGCCAGGTACTAATGTTAATTACTTTGATTTTGTGGTGGTAAAGAAATCCTATTTAAACTACTTCCAAGGATTTCACTTTTGTTTGAATTTTACCAAAGGCATTTTACCAAATACAACACGAATACCGGTAAGAAGTATGGACACATCTGCGCAACCATATCCACATTTGTCCAGCGGGCTCCGTTACATACTAGTACAGGATTTCCGCGATGGATTTCGGCCCACCATGGACTGATTCAAGCGGCATGCCATAATGGTGTCGATGTTCCAGTTTGACTCTTATTACACTACTTATACCCTTATACAGTACGTACTGTACTGAAAAAGCTTGACTTCGGTGATTGTTGCAACTTGTTGCAAATTTGTTTTTGGATGTTTTTGGATGTTTGGATGTTTTTGGATGTTTTGGATGTTTTTGGATGTTTGGATGTTTTGGTGTTTGGATGTTTTTGGATGTGAATTGCTTACAATAATTATAAGTTTTCAACACGTTGACGATCTTTGCCTGCATAATTTCCTTACACGAAATTAGTAAGCAGTGCTTGCTCGCTATCAAGCTTTCTGTTCTTAGTTTCTCAGTTTGTTATTTTTGGAATGACAGCCGATTGCAAAAGGCATAAACGTGACGGCATGAAAATGATGGCGACTGTGATTTTCCCTGATTTTGTCCGTAACTACGAACGATGTCCGAAACGGCAGTCCAGGTTCATCTAATCACCTCTTCTAATCACAAGATTAGAGTGAGCCAACGAAGGTAGGTCGAACAGAAAAGTGTAATTTTTTGTAGTATTGTTCTGATAGTTGTTAGTTTATACTAGTATAAAAAAGTAGCTGTACCTTTGTGTAAAAATGCCGTGGTTTTTTCGTTTTTGCGTTGAGAGATGGACTTATTCTGATTTCTGAGCTGGTCGGTTCGGGGAACATCATAACGCGCCAGGCTAGAATTACTCTCATAAAAATTAAAATTGATAAAAATGATAAAATACAAATGTTATTATGAGTTGTAACTTGTAGTTGTAGCATGCTATTTATTGACGATTGTTGTAACATAAAAATTGTAATTATTGGTTAATCCAAGCCTGTCTTCGTTTTTCGAGCAGGACAGAAATATTTAAGTCCAGTTGTCAACTTGTCCACCGTTGCTTTTTTTGTTAACTTACAATTAACTTGATATTGATATTTTAATTTTTTGTAATACAGCTGCGCTGTGGTAAAGGTGAATTGATTACAGTATTAATTCGTTTTACATAAAGTATTCTGTAATTGTAATTTGTGCGCCTGCAGCGATCGTAATCTGAAACCTGATTGCTGTGCATGCGAAGTGATTGTTAACGCTGTCGTGCATGCCTTTTAAACCATGGTCATCCAGCAAATGGAATGTTCGATAGCTTCCGTGGTATCTATGTACTTGGAATCCTTGAGTCATTTCAGAACCGTTTTCTTTTAGTTTGCTTGACTGTTGTTTGCTACTTGTTAGTAACGGATGTACAGTCAGTAGATACAGACTTATACCGTATATTTTATTTTGCGTGCTTCGTGTAACGGTAAAAATAACTTTGTTCAGTAGTTCGTTATATGTTAAGTATGTATTATGTACAGTAGTTGTTTACTTTTAAAGTATTTTTTATACTACAAGTATCGGTCGCGTGACCGATACTTGTAATATAAAAATAAAAAGTATACTGTAGCCCCCCGCACAAGTTGCTCCACTGTCAGATCCGGCCGTTGCCTTGGCCCTGCACACACTGCGCTGAACAGCGAGCAATGCTAAAATTAATAATAATAATAATAATAGTAAAGATAATATTATTATTGCAACTTTGATTATTGCAACTCGTGCCCTCTGCAGTGCTGAACCGGCCTTCTTCGTCGGCCCCATAATGCCGATTTTATATGTTTTATACGTATGTATTTTACTGGTACTAAATCTGGCTACTCCTGGGAATTAAGTGAGTTTTTCAAGGTATTTTTTTGCTCCATTACAGTTTCTTCCATTCAGGGATCAGACATTGCGTATAAAATGTTCCGCAGGACAAAATCCTATCCAGTTCCTAGCTACGAGAACAATGGTTCCCACTCTCCTCTGATTAAATCCGAATCGTGTGGCTGTGAACCGCGTAAATCCCTTACCGGCGAACAGAAACCGGGAATACTGGCTAAAATACGCTCCCGTATGTGCCGGACATCCCTTCAAGAGAGAAACGGCTCGGACTGTGGATCTCATCAGTCCGATTCCATTCGCAGCAACTGGTCAGTCTCTGTCAGTAAAATTCCGTTGAAGCGAACTTCCGTTGATAATGTGCCAAACAGTGGTCATCGGCTTCTTCACGAACGGCGCAGTGTCACTGGACCGTTGCATCTTCCCGGAAGAGGGGCATCTCCTCCGAAATCCGGTAGCTGTCGCCGATCACACCCTTCATCCACCGATATGCGCTCACCCACCACTCCACCCAAAGTCCCGGCGCGCAGTCCCGTGTCATTGGGATTAGTGCCGTCGAGTGGCAGTCCCCATAGTAATCCGGATATTCATCGGCTGGTGAAGATTGCCGAAGTGGATAAGCCCATAGAGGCGCGTCCCTTGAGTCCTCCTACGGGGCTGCATCGGCCGTTGAGCATGTCCCGCTCCTTTAAACCACTCCCTCCGCTGCCCGTAACTGAAGGTGACGAGCATGATGCTGTCGAGGGTAAGTGGTTGTGAGAAATGTGAAGGTTCACTGTTGTTTGAGTATGTCAAAGATCGCTCGTGCAATGTCTCCAGGGCAGCCTTTGACAGACGCTCCTTTGTTTTCAAGTTGCTGGCACAGCTGTTGATCGACTATTTGGGGACTTTATGTTGGCAGGCGATTCATATCCTGCGAACCTTGTACTTTATTTCGATTGATTTCTGTGCCTTACTTGTCAGATCGGCGATGCCTGTAATTACAAGGCGAAGAGTATCTTTTTTAATATGGTCGGTTAATGAGTGGTTTGTCACAACTTACAAACATGAGATTGTATCATCGCACTGAGTGAAGCCCGTACATACGGTAGCTGGGATATATCTGAAGTTATACTTTGGTTATTACTTAATACGTAGTAGTTAAACTTCAAACGCGTTTTACGATTAGTTATGTTTAATTTTAAATTTAAATAAGTTGCGCCTTCTGGAACGCAATCAAAATTTTGATGAAAAGTGTACTAGAGGGGATCGGATCGAATAGCAAGCAGCACAAATATACAAGAACTTCAAGAAGGCATTTCAGCTATGTTGCAAAATTATGCAACGTGCCAGACATCTGCTAAATTGCGAATCCATGTGATCATAATTGTTTGATAACCGTACCGACTCGAACAGCAAAACACATAATATTATACCAAAATATCTTCGAAGGTTAATTTCGTATCTACGTATGTGATAATTCTTTGTAACTCGATTTTTGAGCTAGTGGACAAGCCGGAAATTCATTTTACGTCTATTTAAGTGCACGTTTCATAACCGCGTAGTCAAGCCCCGCGAAAACGCACTTGATTAAGTTTTTCGATTTTAGATCATGTTGATCAAATCGAGGAGAACGATGTTTGTGACAACAGCGAGCAGCCGCCCAACGAACACGCTCCGGCCCCTCCAGTTGAGCTGTTGTATCGACCAGTGGACGAAAGTTACTCAGTGACATCCGAACTCCAGAACCTGGCTCATCATGGATGGTACTGGGGGCCGATTTCGCGGTCAGAGGCAGAAGAACGTCTGGTCGATCTACCGGACGGTGCTTTCTTAGTGCGAAACTCGTTGGACAGGCGTTATCTCCTGAGCTTAAGTTTCCGCTCCTTCCAACAGACTCTCCACGCGCGCATTGAGTACGAGAATTGCCGTTTTAGCTTCTATCCGCAGATTGAAAAAGACGCCTACCATTCAGTTGTTGATTTGATTAAGAGTGCTATGGAGAAAGCTTCGACGGTTTGCTATAGCCGCAGTCGCCAGCCAGATTCACCGGCATTTCCGGTGCGACTGACCCATCCGGTCAGCCGCTTCGCGGAAGTAGGCAAGCTGCAATTTTTATGTAAATTTACGATCAGGTTGCATATAAGAGCCGATTATTTGGCGCAGACGCCCCTGCCTGAGTCGATCCGGAAGTACCTCTCGTCATGTCCCACTGATGGTTAAATTTTTCATTCTTGTTGATGTAATTGTCTTTTCTTATTTGTAGATATATTTCATTCCGTTATGTACGATATTTTAAAGGAGGTTTAAAAACTGAGCTGTGCGATTCGATATAGGTATCTGTACTTGTTTGTAAGTTCTCTATTTGCTCAGACTGAACAGTGTTTAATTATTTTGTTAACAATTCACCGCTTGTTCAGTCAGCTAATTATTCTTTGAAACGAAATTTTTACAAATCTGCAAGAACAACAACAGAGGATATCACATCAGAAATGTCGCCGCTGATTGAGGCCGGTGAGATTAGCGATCTGCAATAAAGAAGTGACATACTTTTCTTATAACAGACTAACAGCCTCTAATTCTGGAGAAAGGGAAATATGTGTCTTACAGTTGTAACGCCAGCATTGAGCAACGGAAGCGTGTTACTTAAAGGCTCTTGTACCTAGAACAAACAAACATCAAATTCGATACATCCGCTAAGTGAAAGATTAGGTAATCGCTAAGTCTGACCCAACTCTTTCGATTCAACCTTTTAACGGCATTCACATAGCCTGCCTCGCCAGTTTCATGCACTATGTACATTACATGGGTATTCCGATTATAACCAATAAGTTACCAATTATATGATTTTATATAATATCTACATAAACCCATCTATGCTAAGCCGAAATATCGAAGTGATTACTGTTAAGTGATTAACCAAATTAAAGCTAACCCGGTCAATACGGCTATGTAACCACAAATAAGCATCCAGTTGACGGTCTAGGAATTCCCAGGTATCGACAAAGCCATCCGACTTATCTTGAAGCATGTGCAGTTCAGTAGCGTTATAAACCGCAGCCAGAGCGGCACGCTTCCCATACCAGTTGGACTGAAAAATTAAATATTATATGCCGATAGCAACAGCGCATGATTAACTTCACTAATTTTCTCATAATAAAAGAATATTAACACGTAATTAAAACAGAAAATAACTGGATTAAAAGAAACCATATGCGAGGACGAAAGAGCCATCACTGTCGTGATTTAATCGGTAAGGAAAACACGAAAGCTTTTAAAAAAATTAAATTCCCGAAAACTTACGTCTACAGTGGTATCTCCGCTTAAATACCACATTTCGTCCACCAGTTGGCCAACCAGTCGCATGGCTTCCCGTGCATACCTGGGCTGTGCCAAAATTCCTAAACCCGATGCCCACCATTCCAGGAGAGGCGTGTTCAGCATTAAACGTTCTTTTATGGCCTCTGCGAAAAACCTCTTCAAAGCAGCATGACTGCCACCTGCTAAATTTTTCCGACTTCCACACGTTCTCACGAAGTCTTCGTTATTGCTGTTATAAAAGTATATCACCAGATCCGCTCCGCCGCGATCGAACAGTCCGTGAGATATCGAAGGCAAACCACATTCGGCAGCTCCTGGAACGATTTCCAAAATCTATTAAAAAACATTTACGAAAAACACCGATGCTCTTGCGAGCGGAATGAGTTCCGCCGTATTTTAAGGCATATCAATGTTTAACACAGTAACGATAAAAAATCTGCTAGAGAAAGAGGCACCTGCTACCAAGGCATCTTCAGTCCAGCCAAATTCTTCAATCTTCCTCAACGCTGCCTTGAGAATATTTTCTTTGACTTGCTGCGAATCGTCACTGCAGTTGGGAGACTGGTAAGCATTTGAGTGGAGGCGCCGTTCTGAGACCACGGAATTCCGAAGAACGTGAGCGCTCATAGAACGATACCGCAGTACGCCGCTTCGATCTGCACAGCAAGGGAATTATCCTTAAGTTCTTCATCTCCTTACAATAACACCAAAGAATTCACATGTTTTTAAACAATGTCAAGTGTCAGCTGCGCTTTCAGGGCATGATTATAATTTGCACTGTTTATACTTTCACCGCTTGCATGAAAAGAAAGCTACACCAGATACAGTCATGCAATTCATAGGGGTTTGTTGACTCAACTTCAACGAAGGAGAAAACAAACGACAAATTGAAATACCTGCTTGGACGCACCATTTGCATTGATCCTTGAGAAAGCAGACGAAAGTCCGGCACGCAGAATGGGCCTCCACATACCCACCAGGCAGTTTCCAATCATAATCCCTTCAATCCGGATTCGGTTTGAGCAGTAAAGACTTCCATATAACAGTAAGCTTAGAAAGTTGGCGGACTTCTCGAGTTACTTGCGTATATAACCTTTTTCGAGAACACACAACAGTACATAATCGCAAAAAATTTACACAGCTTCTGACTGCATAGTGCAGTAGATGCTTATTAGCATAGAAAGTAAAAGCCTTGTATACGTGCAACTAAAATCGAAAGCGGCGACAAAACCCATCTGCGCCAGGCGGGCCGTATGATGCCGTCATCTTACGCAGCTACGTACCTGCACAAGCGTATCATTGCAATCGAGGGCGGAGCATCGAAGTTACAGGGTAGGAGTGCGTGTGGGTTACAGGGAACCGTGCAAGTCACGCTATGGTTTACGCTGTTAGCTATCTCAGTGCCTCAGTACAGCCAATCTGCATTCCACCTCAATACAGCCAATCCGCATTGCCAAAGACTACCATTGAACCATCACCATCAGACGCACCGAGAAGCTAGCTCCCTCTGCTTATCTGGCATCGGCTTCCTCGTTGCACCCACTGATCTCCAAGCTGTGTCCGGCGCTTAAGCCAACGGATGTAACGGTAGCCACTCGTGCCTGGAAAGTTATCGCCAACACAGACGATCTCCCGGCGGAAGCACTGCGACACGTTCAGAAGGCCTGGGACACGCCTACGACGCTACACGCATTTTCTAGGCTGACCTCATTGCGCACCACAAAGGATGAGGTCGCTCACCTGAAGGCTGTTTCGGTCCCGGAATCCGGCGTATGGATCCATGCACTGCCCGCAGCAAGCCTCGGTAATCTGCTGGAAAATAACGCTCTCCGCATCAGCGTTGCGTTGCGTTTGGGTGCACCAATTGTATCCCCGCACGTGTGCGTGTGCGGTGGATCGGTTGACGAATTAGGCCGGCACGGACTCCGCTGCAAACGATCTGCCGGACGGCTGCCACGACACGACGGTATCAGTGGGGAGCTCACCCGAGGACTAAAGACAGCCGGTTTCCCAGCCAGAATGGAGCCGAAAGGTCTTTCAGCGAAGGATCGCAAAAGGCCGGATGTGATCACACTCGTACCATGGGAACGCGGAAAGCCGCTGGCCGTCGACGTGACTTGCGTGGACACACTTGCAGCCTCTTATATCGATCGCACCTCAATGAATGCCGAGGCCGCAGCTGAACATGCCGAAAGAGCGAAACTGACGAAACACAGCTGGCTGCAGCCACGGTATAACTTCATGGCGGCAGCATTCGAAATTTACGGACCGTGGGGAGATGGAACAAAAAGGCTTGTGGATAAGGTTGGAAGCGGTATGGCCACCGCCACAGGCCAGAAACGTGCGAAAGAGTTTTTTAGACAGCGGCTCTCTATCCAGATACAACGGGGGAATGCGATTTGTGTAATGGGTACAATTCCCGATCAGGATAGCATTGAGGAAGTGTTTCTGTTATGAGATTAATGTTTTCTAGTACTAAGTTTGTACTTGTGACATGATACTTATTAAAGGTGCAGTGCCATTGAACATACATCGATATACGTATCACTTCCACCCACTGCTTGCACTACGTACATAATCTGCCGTAAGCTGATCACTTGTTTTTTGATAACTTTTGTTTCACCTTAATTGTAGCTTTCAGGAGGAAACACGAAGGAGCAAATCAAATATCACTACGAGCTCGTACTGATCAAGAAATTCCGATCAACATTCATAGACAAATTGAACTTGCACGCGAAGAACGCCAAATCTGGAATTACGGATATTTTGGCATGTCAGATCGTTCAGCTCCATTCGCACTGCATGGCCGAGATAACTTTCGCAATCAGCTTCGCTCAATCAATCAATTTCGCAATCGAATTAGCGAAAAATTAAATTCACCGCAGGTACACTTTTTACACTCCAGAGCACGAGAAATAATACTCAAAATTATTACTTAAATTTCTGTTAATCACTAGAGTCATTTCAGCATTAATCTTTTAATTCCTGCTGTTTGTATCTGGAATCCCAATTTGTTGGGTTCTGAGATCGGCAGCGCAAGAGAGGTACAGGGAGCCCCTGCACACCGCTTTGTTGCCGCTTCAGTTTTTTTCGGTTTACTTGTGTTTTACGCTCGACATGGTGTACAGGGACATCCAAAAACCTCAATTTCGGGCCTTAAGTCGTGTTTTAAACCGCCTAACATACAGTAGTTAGAACGGGTACAACCTACACTTTTATTTTCTATGCTTATTAGTAACGTAAGTACTTCGACAATAATTAAATTTTTGAATATATAAAGTATTTGGTGCTGTAGCCGCCGCTCGAGAGACGGTTGGCTACCAAAACGTGTTAAATTTTCAGGGGCTATAGTGGATCGGGATACCAGAGACAATTGTGGAATGTGGACTAAAGCTCAACATTTTTTTTCGTCCGCAATCTGAATGTGAATAAATGGCTAAGATTCTCTGAAACTTCACCGAAAAAGAGCAATTTCTGCCAAGCGGTACATAAAACCGCGACCGGTTGCGCAATGTAGAACTAGGCGCGAGCGCCGCGGGTATCCTAAATAGGTAAGCGGCATCCTGCCAATTCTCAGATTCTGACAACTGAACAGTGAAAAAACTTTTGCCGCCAACACCGTCCATGTTTAATAGGCAAATGAGCACCAGTTGTCACTTATACACCAATGTATTCTGTGATTTTACTGACAACTGCAACAAAAAATCCGGCTAGGGTGACATTCTAGCAGGGGATCTCAAACGTGTCGATATTAAAAAGCGTTATCAGCGATCCAGTCGACGAAAGATCCAACCCTTGTGTAAACGCCGGGTTGCTTGGACCAAGCACAACTAAAAGGAGATGTGCGGAATGAAGTCACCTTGGATAATGCTCCAGTTTTGCAATATGTAGCTTACCCGTGTCCCCAGCTGATAACTCCTACAAGATCGAAACCGCCATATCGATTCAAGCACGCCAAAGGTCCACCGCTGTCCGCCTGCAATCAAAGATGCACAAATTCAGGACGATTTTGTAGCAAGTAATATAAGGGAAAATGCTTAAGAAATTAAAGTGCCATGTTTCATACATTATTCAGCTTTGCGTCGATCAAATGCATACTCATAACCGTTAGAACCAAGCTATTAAACAACCAACTACTTTGCAAGGATCTTTTCCGCCTTCGTCGTAGCCAGCGCAGATCATCTGGTCGGAAATTAGTCCAGGGTAATACCGCTGCCGGCACATTTCCCGCGACATCGTGTACACGGCCACCTGTTGCAGGATGACACTCTGCGCGCGTGTCAGGGCGCGCGATTGGATACTGCGAGCCCATTCGGTGGCCTCTGTGTCGCCCCAGCCGGTCGCGAAACAGCGCGTGCCGGTGCTGGGATCGAATCCTTTTTCTGGCAGACAAATAGGCCACACTTCCCGACCGAACTGTACATTTTCTTCTAGCTCCAACAGCGCTAAATCGTTATCCGTGGTGTCTGGTCGATACTGAGGATACATGATGATACGCTTGACTTCGTAATTCTCCTCAGAATCCTCAATTACAGTGCGGTCAAAATCTCCAGCCGTCACTTGGTATTTGCTTGGAGTCTGGTCACTGCGAATACGAGACAATACTTTTTGTTTGAGACGAGACAATAGTTTTTGCAATATTATTGCTGCAAAAAAACAGGAATCGCTATACCGATACCTCGTAGAGGATGTAAAGGATTTCTATTTAAAATAAACACTTAGTCAGTAATAATTCTCGGCTTGTCTACTAACTGGTCAACACAGTGAGCCGCTGTGACGATGTAGCGCGGTGATATTAGACTTCCGCCGCAAATCAAGTCAATGCTTGTTCCAAACCAGGTTGCACGCCTGTACCCAATCCGCACCTGCAAAATAGCGCGATTTCCGAATACAGAGTATATTGATCTGCTGACTGGATTTTAAACTTGAAAACGTAGTGCTATTACAGAAACATTTATAAATATCTCTATTACATTTGTGGAACCAACGTCGACAAGTTCGGTTTCAGATTTTTCTGACCAAGTCTACTCTAGTATATACAGTATAAGCAATTGTTCACTTACTTGCCATGGCCAACTTCCTTTGATGACGTCCTGACCGCCTAAACACGACCAACGGCCACATCTCAGTTTATGTACTTGTGCAAAGCGTAATAAGCGAAAGTTCAGTCACAGTATTCGTATTATCTTTCATAATAAAAACAATAATTTATCGCTACTTATTATAATTAATGTTAAAGCTGATCGTACCAACAATTTTGTTGATTTTTGTGTTGGGACGGATGGAAGGTATCCCACATTGATTTGCTCGGCCAGTTGGCACAAATACTAAATCAAAAGCAAGATGATCCGATCAAATAACAGTTGGCAGGAATAACTGTATCTTAAATCCCAGTGCAATTATTGAGAATTACCAGCTGCAAGGAAAACCAGTTCGATGAGTCCACCTATCGAGACCATTGTGGCTCGAGATAATTCAAAGCTCGTATTGAATCAATATAACGGTGTTTTCCCGTTATTGTGATTCCCGAGTCAATTCGGTCTATGGGAACACAGAAGAATAAATCTTTTGGATCCTTGTTACTGCCACACACTGGCACACAAATGCCGCAGTCTTTAAAGGCACTGCAAACAATTATCTCTTACGTTATTGTACTACAAGTACAGATAAACAAACATTTTTGTTATCAAAATTAGCTGATTAGATGTGACCTTTTGATATCAGCTAGTCTATCAGCTAGTACTTTGCATGTGCTGCTTTTAACGTTCCGGTGAATTAGCACAAATTGCATCGCTAAAGGCTTTATCATCATGATGTCACATCGGGTGAACGTAACAGTGTTTTCCAAAAGTGCTGTATTTTAACAGAACTCAAGAGCGATAAAGAATGACAGCTAGGAGGCCATCAGCGGCCGCGAAAAATTATGTAGCCTGAGCTAATAAACATGTAAGCATGCAGCATGTAAGCAAGCTTAAGATGCAGCAATTTTTCCTTCGATCCAGGCTTTGAATTTCCCGATTCTCGTATACACCCCTGGACGCCTTTCCGCCGCGCATCTAACGAACACGTAAACTCAGCTTTGTATGGTACAATACCAAAGCAAAATTGTTTGAATAATACACAGTCTTTATTATTGCAAAATGCATGATAGTTTGGTGGAATGGTGGATTACCCATGGCCCCAGCTTGTTACTCCAACAAGAGTATATGTTTGTGCAGATTTCCCATTCCCGGTACTGGTACAAACAAACGGGCCACCACTATCTCCCTGCAATTTGTTTATTCATGAGTATTATAACTGAGTTAAAGAATATGCACCTTTTTCGGACACCGTATTCACACAAAAAGCAACTAATTATTTGATTTTAGTTGTTTTACCTGACACGCATCTTTGCCCGGGCTCCCGGCACACAACATTGCATCGGTAATCTTTCCTTTATAATAATCCGTTCCATTGCAAATACTTCGGTCCACAACGTTTACGAATACTTGTCGTAAGAGGCTGCTTCCTAAAGCCGCTTTCGTACTGTGTTCCGCATAATAGGCTTCTTTTCCAAATATTGGAGGTGGTTTAGGATCTGTGTGACCCCAACCTGTGGCCGCGCACTGTAAACAGTCGGTTGCATACCACTCTTTAGGAACAGGTCAAGGGAAAGTCTTTCGCATCTATATACCTCTGTTCCGGGAAGAGGATCGTGCCCTTCGTCCGCCAGACATGCCGGTTGAACATAATCAGAATACTCGATGGGCGTTGTCAAGTGCAGTAGTGCAATATCATTTTTGTAAACATAAGAAACATAATTCTCGTGCACTATAACTCTGTCCACTCCGTAATTCCTTGCATGTGGTTCCTGAATGCTAGAGTCATGCTGACCGACTCGGATAAAATGCAGTGATGCAGTCTTCCTAGTTGTGTATAATTAAAAAAATTATTTAAGCGAATCACGAAATACATATTTTTGTGTTCATGACGCAGCGCGTACGGATCGACGCAGTGCGCGGCTGTAATGATCCACTGCTGGTCGATGATAGTTCCGCCGCATCCAAATGTTGTTGTGTTGAACAGACCCAGGAAACTAACGGTTCGAGCGAGATGAATTTGCCAAGGCCATGACCCTTTTTCGGCCACTGTTCCCCCTGTTTAAAAATACGTAAAGCATTTATAAAACTTGTGTAGTACTTGTTTCCGTAACTGCTGAAACTTTTCTAACCAGTATAGTCTCCATTATTCGGCCATTAAAGCTTGCGATACCTACGATTTTGTCGATAAACCGGTTATGCTTGGCCGGAAATACTGTTCTTCCGCAGCCATAGTCAGCATTAACGGCAATGCACGGTATAACACAACAAAGGATGACCGTAAAGTTGTACAAAATTTGCATTGCTTCTCGGGTGTTATTAATATAATTCAGCAAATAAAGTAACATAAGCTAAGCGGAAAACATTTGTGCCATATTCCTTTCCAAAGCAATAATATTAACTGCTTACAACTTACATACAAGTACTAACAGCACTCCTAGTGTTCCTAGCATGGAAGTTCTGCAGCCGGAGTAGCATATGTCAGTATCTGACTGCGAGTACGCATGAAATGCATCATATCTACAAATTATTATGTTTTATTGTACATAATATCTATATCCTGTGTAGGTACAATACAATTGCCACAATTTATGTATATGCGCCTCGGCTTACAATTGTTAGGAGTTGCAGTTAACTGGTGTGCAGTAATAAAATGCAATGGTCAAAGTGACAAGTTGACAACATTTTGATGCTTCTGTACGACGGCGTTTCATTATAATACAAAACGTGTTTGTCACCCACTGTTGAGGAAATTTTAGGGCGACAAAGTTACATTGTTTGGATTTATTATTAGATCACGCTGTATTGTCCCTCTAATCAGAAATGCAGTGGCTTGTAATCAGCAATTTTATGTTATCGAAGTTCGTTTTTAGCTTCGATGTTCTATCGAATTCGTGCAAGTGAATGCAACCAGCAAGCCGATCTGTCAAATCCAAAACAATCCCAGACACAATAAAAAGTAAAACGGTAAAAAAGGTTAAATTTCATTTGCAAAAAAGAAACATAAGCTTAACAGTTTTGTCTCATTATAATCTTGCAGATCGATTCGTTTTCTCGTAAACATCCGGAAAGGCCCCATCACACTTCAACCGCGCCCGCATTTCATCGTACAAAGTGTGATCGAACATTTGTCGAAATTCTTCTCTGGTCATATAATTGTCCGCGTATAGCATTTGAAACCTGTGAATTATTAATTTCAAAGTACTATACTTCTACAAAAGCTAGTTTTCGCCAAAGCATTTAGAATAAATTTTCTTTCTTACCCGTGATGGTCACGAACAAATGCCTCAAGCATACGGGTGGTGGTGCGGAAGTGAAATTTGTCCGTTTTTGGCTCCCCGTACGCACCAATGTCGACGTACATTTCTCCGTCAGTGGATGGATCTAATTTATATGGATGCACAAAACCTTTCTGGGACTTTAACCAGAACGGGCATAGCCAGAGTGGATACAATTTAATCTCCTCGCTAAAAAACCGCAAACTGGTTTTCAGATGCTGTAGTGGCACCAGCATATCCTGTATCATCTGGTGTTCTTCGTAAAGCTTTCGGATAGTCTCGCCCTGCGTCAGCTTGAGAAAAGATACCTTTGGTGGTACCAGCCAGCCAAAAAGATATCGGAAAACTGGATGATTACCAAACGGAATAATATTCTGCAATGAACAAAGCAAAGTGCACCGTGGAAATCTACAGCATCGGAAATGCAGTTCATAATTATGAGAGAATGTTTTCCATCAACTCGCACGGCCGTAAACCAAACAAGCTAATGAAAAATTAATAATAAATTAATTACACAAAAAGCACTAAAAAACTAAAACATAAAAATATCTAAAACACAGTAACCGGCAAACCGGCAGGATTAAGGCGGAAAAAGTAGCAACCAGGTTCAATAACAGCTGCAGTCAATCGTATACTCACTTCCAATGTCCAGAAAATACTTCGATTATGACGGTGATAGTAATGGGAAAGCGGGATATATTCCACACCTTTTGCTCTTCGTTCCAAAAAAGTTGCGACATGTTTATAAAACCACGGCTTCCAATAGTATCCAATAGGATTGACCTGGCAGTGAAAATCATTAAAATCTGGGAGCATAATGATACTGTAAAACACACAACTACAGATAGGTAACGCAAAAGCAAAATTAATGGTGGCTTACTTGTGCACCACCTTCAACAACATCGGCAAACTTGCCGCTCATCACAACACCGGATTCTTTCGAATATACTAATCCTTCTACGAAATGACTTCCCGCACGATCCATAGATTTCACTGTTAATGTTTCCACTAAATTTTCTAAGGAGTAAACCGGCGTGTATTCCAGCCGCACGTATTTTGATGCCGGAATGATGCGCAGTTCAGCGGAAACGAGAAAACCCAGAGTTCCATGAGACCATGGAACTGACAGAAACAGATCTGGATCCGAGTCCTGTATAGATACAGAATCGGATTCGAAGTTATCCGACTACTGAACTGAATGCACTTCTACAGCAGATATCCAGATATGATGCCTCTATAACACTACGCAGCAATGGAGAAACACGAAGTAACATAAAACAAGATACCTTCGAGCATTTCTTCACAGATCCGTCTTGCAAAACAAGCTCAACAGACTCGACAAGGTCCTGAAATAGCCCATGGACATGCGATGACGTCTCAACCTAAAATAAATAATATGTATATCAGTAAGGGATACAAGAAGCGAAACACCACCACGCAGCATTATATACTTAAATAACTTACTCCGACTCCCATAATCATCCCCCCTAAAATGGCACTGTCAGTTAATCGTTAAAGGAAACGATATCCGGCTCAATATTAATTCATACAAAATGCAGATAAAACTAGAACATAAACTTAACCACCTTTTCAAGATACATCGATGGCATACTGCTCTACAGTTTTCTGATATTTACCCGCTGTTAAATCATCGAGTTCCGGAACAACGGGTAGCGTGAATCCGAGTGGCAGCAGCGCCGACATGAGCTGGCCCATTGACACCAGCGGCTCCACACGGACAATACGTCGCTGTACGTCAACTTCCAGAATATCCATCAGATCGATTTTGACGGCGTTTAGCGAGTGTTTGTACAGTGGAGTGCGAAAACTCATGGTCAACCATCCCGAGCGCGCTGTACACATCGGCTTTCGACGGCCGTCTCGATTCCACTTCCGAATCTGTAAAATCTCGTTTAATAATGGCACATCTGTTGTTGCATTTCATGCACAAAAAACACGCGGTACACTTAACCTGCTCCTGAATCTCCTGCACGCGCAGTTCATGATTTTGCGGCGCACTACGAAGTGCAAAGATAATCTTGCTCCGGATCAGGAAAAACGCATTATATAAGATGGACGCAGGTAGCAGGAATAAGCAGACGAATACCCAGCGATAATGAACAACGAAATGTTCGAAGCCGCGTATTCTGATCAACAGGTAGGTTCCAGCGGAAATCATCGCCAAGGCAGCGGAAAGCAAGTACACAATCATGTTGATTTACCGGCTGTCGGCTTACAAAGTTTGAAAAAATTTGCGAAACAAACCGAATACCTGTAAAGACAGAAATGGTGTACAGTAATAAAGAAAATTCGGAACGACATGAACAAAATAATTTTCAAGCGGATTCTGTCGTTTTCTTACAGTTAGTGGGCCCACACATATTGTTGTACAATACATATCTACGCATTGTTCATTGTTGCAACGTACACATAATTATATAATAGTATATTGTACGAGTACTTCTAAGTTCTACAGATATAAGCATAGTGAAAAGATATATAAATATATATACGAGTACTGATATAGTAAGCTTCCAGCGTCACTCTGTCCAGTGTCATGCAGTTGCCCAACTCTCTTGCTTCCGCGATGATAATAATTTTGTCACAAAAGTTCTCAGGTTTACCTACTTAAATTATTAAATGTGCACCCGTAAAATTCAGTAAAGCGGAATAATCAAATGATTAATGATACGAAATTACTAATTCTCACCCCAAGATAGCGGTAGTACAAAATTGGTTAGAAAATTATTACAAAACGCGTTTGCAGTAAATTTCAACAGTGCAAAATTTCAATCGTAAATGGTGAAAAAAAATTAGTGAATGCAACCATGTATAGCGCATTTAATCAGGTGAAGACTCCAAACAGCTGATTTAATAACTTTGACCTCGCCGAGCGATTTGCATCTCTCTGAAATCTGAACTTATGGGCTGGTGTGCCGCAATATGTACTTACGTTCATAAAATACGTCTGTATATATCTATATCTATAAATAGTTTTATAGATATGTCCTTATTAGTCTACAATATTACGAGCCACTACAGAAGGAATTCAGTGCAGATTGCCGTTGTTGTATAAATACGTGTTATATTCAAAATTAATTCAATATTTTCAATAAGGATTTAAGAAGTTCCAGCATGCGTTAAATTTTTACAAAATGCATTCACCTCAAGTATGAATCGGAAACTTCATCAGCGGTTCATATTGTGTACATCTTGCAGCGCAGTTTCAGAATGATAATTAATAACTTTGAATAAAACTTGTTGTACACTTAAAAGCTTAATTGAACCGGGGTTTTTCTACAAAGAGGCCTATATTCCAATCTGATTGAACCATATTATTACAGATTGTGTCGCATTGTGGCCTAACTTTGAAGTCCCACTACTGTACTTAGATCATTTAAAATTCGAAGTCTGAAGCACTCGAATCAGCCGAACGCAAGGTAGAATTTCATGTGGTAATTTATTTTACATCTGTAACAATAATAGCCTACCTAGTAGAGGCTGAAAGCGTAAGTAAAATCGCAACACAAAACCAGCGAAAATCAAGTTTATGTTTACAGATCTCAAGATTTTACGACAGTGTGCTTCGCATTCTTTTTCTTGCCTTCTTTGGCCTTTTTGGACTTGAAATATCTAGCATTCTGATGTTTAGCCTTAAACAACTCTCCAGCTTTTCGCTTCCGGTAGCGCTGGAATTCCGCATCCTGCAACAACTCATCCACAATGGTTCGTTTCCGCTGCCGTTTTGGTATCCTTGAACTGTAAAAATCAACTGGACTGTCCACAATTTTACCGATCTGGAAATATTTCGGCAAGCCTTTCGTATCGTTGGGCTTATAGAAGCGCTTTGGATCCAGTGCGTCGCGCATACGAAGAGCTCTCAGATCGTTCTTTAACTCATCGGTCAGTTCAGGTGCCGGCATGTTATACCAGTCTTCGCCCTTCGTCTTTCCGCGCTCCTTTTTTCGGTTACGTTTCTGTACAAGTTTCGACTGGTACAGTGGCGGGATGGAATGTTTGCTCTCGAAGTCGGGAGTGATTACACTTTTGGCTGTGACTGGATCGTCCGCTCTGCAAAACTTCTGAGCAATCCGTTTTACGCTTTCAGACGCCATCTCGTCTAAAGGCAACCCAAAGGCAAACAGATTTAGATATTCAACTACTTCCAGTGGCACCGTCTAGGTGCCAGTAATTAGAATATCGCCAGCGGTTCACCACGGTTCGCCGTCGTCGAAGAACACTTCGGGTATTCGCACACAGACTGCCCAAGCGACACTACAATCATGCGATGTCTGATAGAATATTTGATGCAGTAGAACTTTAATAAAAGTCTTTAAAATATGTATTCGAGACATGGGGTTTCGTCATTTTGCTAAAAAGTTTTAAAAATGTGTAACAATATAATAATATTAATGTAAGGTTTTCGCAAGGCTGGACGGACGTGCGTGCTGGAATATTTGTAAGTACGTTGCAATCGCACGGGGTGGTTGACTATAGTGGCAGAATAAAGCTGCCTTACCGCACTGGCTCGGTGGCCAGAAAAACTTATTTTCCTCAACTTGAGAGATCTTTGCACTTTGCAGCCATACCATAATAACGGCATAACTTTACAGTTCACACGTCATGAATCTAGATCCTTCAAAGTTATCATTCACGGCAGGCTTCAGTGTCACAGTGTGTTATTAAATTCGGGGTCTATTTAAAGGCAGTCACAATGGAAGATCTACCAGGGTCTTTTGATGTTGTTATTCTTGGAACGGGTGAGATATGTTTACGCTGAGAAATTTATGCGAAATTGCATAAAAACGCTGAAACTCGTTACAGGTCTTCCCGAGAGCATTATCGCTGCTGCTTCATCCAGACTGGATAAATCGGTTTTGCAGCTGGATTCGTAAGAGTTTCTCTACTACTTATGGTTAAACAAATTCATTTCTACGTGAAACTGTTTGCAGAAATGCGTTTTATGGCCGCGATTGGGCAGGATTTCGATTAGACGATTTTCGAGATCATCTTCGTGCATCTAGTTCTGGAGGAAATAGTGTGAGTGTGTGGATGCATATTTCACTGCTTTTCGCCTTTCCCGCTTATGTAGTTCAGTTTTTGACATTTTTCTTACAGATTATATTTATTTCTTAAATGCTCATTGCTTTCAGAGTGCTTTAAGAAATCCATATGAAATTCCGGAAGGCCTGATCAAAAGTGATGAGATTATTCTGGAAGTGCCCTGTCAGGCACAATCTGTAACTAACTTTGAAGAAGTCATTTATGCGAAGTAAGTAAATAGCCTTTGCGATGTTAAGTATTATAAGAAATGGTATTTGATAAGCCGTAGTATTGAGTTCTGTTTCCTCTAATTTAAGTTTAATTTAAATGTGAATTAAATAATCTTATAAAGACTGCTTATACGGTTTCACTGTTACACTAGCCAGCCTACTCGATATCAGCTTCCATGCAACACTCAAGCATCTTCTGCAGTAATTTGAGAATTCAAGCTTATAATGGTTATGGTCTTTTATGATTTAATTGATTTGTTTATTATCTTAGTCTTCCTAATCAGTTTTATAACCAGTTGTGCATTAATGTCTCTTGGGGTTAACTTGTAGAAATGAGACAGTGGAGCCGGATATTGCACCACAATCCCGCCAGGAACGCTACAGAAGACTGTCGCAACGACATCCCTCTGGTTCATCCATTGGTAGCAACGGAAGTCAGAGTACGATTACTGTTAACAGACGACGGCAGCATCACACCGCTGTAATAGTGAAGCTAATAAACTGCACATTGTAAAATCTTTTGCCCCGTTGTTACTTAATCGCATTATCGCAGATGCGAGGCATTTTCGACCAGGCAAGGCAATGTCATTTTAACACCTGTAATGTCATTGTCGAAGTCCCATGAATGGGTTGTCTGCTCCAGGAAGATAATAATAATAATAATGCAGTCCAGAATGTATCCTTTGGAAATTTACCTGTCTTTTTTCTTGTAGGTGAGTCCAGTTCTTCCGTGTCGACCCCGACCGTGTCTCCGTATAAGCCGATCACATTTGAAGATGTTCTCAGTCAGACACGTAAATTCTCACTGGATATTGCTCCCAAATTATTCTGGACCAATGATGCCTTCGTGAATTTATTGACCAATTCCAATATTAGCCGTTATACTGCTTTTCGGCTGGTGCAGGTGATTGCTACAGCAGTGGAGGGTCGAATTGTTGAGGTGGGGAAGATTTTTAACTGGTTTTATGTTACCTGCGAATCGGAATAATTAGATTGCGTGCTGATTGTGCAGGTGCCATTCTCGAGATCTGGTATATTTAACTATGCGGATCTGGATGCCAGTGATAAGCGAAGAGTTATGAAGTTTATGCAGACCTGCACGCAGTCGGAAGGTCACGAAAAGGAATTAGAAGCGGCTAAAAGCCTTTCCATAAAAGAATATCTTTCCAAGCTAAAGATTCCTCTCCATACTGTCCATTCTATTGTGAATGCAATTGCGTTATGTTCCACCCAAACCCCTGCAGTAGAGGTAAGAATTCGCAATTTAAACTACTGCCCTGGTAAAGAAATAAGATTGAAACAAGGAAAGAAATCATGGTGTTATGCTGCAAGAACGAACCTAAGAAGTAAGACGAAACTGATTAACATGGCAAAACACAGGTTATCGTGTATCAGAATTTATTAGTTTTTCAAAGCGCCCAGTATATCCAACAGAGTGTGAGATCTCACGGTTTCTCAACTACAGGCGTTTTCGCGGGTCAGACGATTTCTTGCCGCTTGTGGCCGATACTCTTCCGATTCCAGCCCATTCTTATTTCCTATATACGGCTGTGGAGAATATCCACAGTATTTTGCCCGAATTAGTGCCGTTTTTGGTGGGATTCAGTACCTTAAACGAGGCATCGATTTCATTGTGATGGACTCCAGTCTGAAACAAGTGAATGCTATTATTTCCGAGAAGAAGAGAATTGACTGCCAGAGCTTGGTAATACCAGTGGAATATATGCCCGCACAGCTGAAAATTCTGGGACTGTTGACGAAGTAAGACTTGACCTGACCATATTTGATACTTACCTTTGTTTGAGATTTAAAATTGTTTGATTTGAAGATCAATCCATCTTGTGAATTTTTCAAATAAGCTTATACTTACGTGTTTATAATTATGCTTTAGGCAGATTTCTCGCGCGGTCTTGATAACAAGTGGCTCACTTTTTGTGCGGCACAAGCCTGATGCCGCTTTCATGCGCCTCGGGAAGGAGGATGATGAACTGGGTGTGATAATTGTAGAGGGATCGCCGAATACCGAAATTTGTCCGAAAGATTACCGTACGTATCATACCTATGTTTTGCAACCGTCGCTGTAATGTGTGAAGCCTGGTGGAGTCTCCGTTGTTGGAGTTTGACTACTGTAGTTGCAGTAATAATAATGTGGCGGGCCTTGTCGTTACTCGTTCCTCCCTTAAAACATTGTCCATTACAAGCCGGCAATTAAATGATTTCCTGTGTTTTGGGATAGACGTTGTTTATATGTGGATGAAGTCCATAGCAACCGCCCGCGAGGATCTGGAACCGTATGTCAAAAGATTCTTTGAGCCCATGCGTGCAGGTATTATTTAAAAAATGGTATGGCAGCGTTCGGTTGTAACGAGTGATGCATTTGTACTTTGTAGATTACTTTCCCATCGACAAGCCTAAAGTTCTGTGGGTTTGCTACTATAATCATGCTCAAACTATCGTTAATACAACCGATTCGGCCCAGCACCCGAAGAATATTCGGTTTGTCAGTGGTCCGGATGGGTCCCTTGATTATGAAAGTGTTCTCGAAGAGGTGATATCGTAGTTTTGAATATCTTTACGTTTTTAAATCGTGTCTTGTTGTGACAGATCAGTGTTTTATAACTGTTGGGTTTAGGCGTTTTATAACTGTTGGGTTTAGGCTACCGGTGTATTTCGGAGTATTTATCCGGACGTTCCCTTTTTACCTCGCGTACCGGATCCAGAGGATGTAATACTAGATGGTGGTGAAAATGCAGAGTCCGGTGATAAATCCATAACGGTACCCAATGGCATGTGAATATCGGTGAGACTAAATGTGGATATTGTGGGAATGTCGCATTAATGACACTGCGATTCTGTGGTTGTGTGTGATAAACGTGAATTATGAATGACGAAGTTATCCGTTTATTGTTGCATCACATCGATGACTGTTTATAACTGTGAGTTGAATTTGTTTCCAATTATAATAATCGATTTTTCCCTAATCTGTCTTTTCTCTTTGCATACGTACCTATATTGTAAATTTGATTATGTACTATATATTTGAGAATTTCATAATATATTAGGATTTCTGTAATGTATTTCCGTTTTCATGCTTATTGTGATGCCCAATTTGAACATCACTAACTATGCATTACCGTTGTGGTTTGCACAAAAACACAGAATGATTTTATTTCTGGTTGAAATGGTAAAGAGATTCAACTGGGAAATGCTGCATCGATACATGGAACATCGAAGAATGTGAATGACGCAGATGATGAGTTACATGTGTAGAAATAAAATGAGATTGTGTGGCTTTTTACTCGCTTGCAGAAACTTTACGATAGTTTCAAAAATAACGAAGCTGTTAGCCCAGTAGATATTCTTGCACTTGGCGTCAACAGATGACAGATAACTTTCGTGTGATTTATTTTGCATTGTTAACCTTTCGATTTTCGAATCTGGATGAATCGGGATATTTTGTGTCTCTGATAGCATATTATGATATAACACTCATAAATCACTTCTTTGAAGATGTTACGCTGCTGTAAAAAACGTGACATATCTATAAAAAGTGCAGTTTTGTACTTACGATAAAAAATGTTTAATTTATTATTTGTTTTTCCTTGTCTCGCTTAGTTACTGCAGACTCATTATCTGCATGTTGGTTAGAAATTTCTGTCCGTACATGTACTTACGTCCTGTCCGTTCTTTGTTATACGAGCAGTAAAATATCAGCATGTTAATTTTTCCCGGTGTAGTTTGGAGTGCAAACCATTGTGTGAGCTGCAGAACCACAACAATGCTTTCGTGACTAAATAATGGCACTCCAAAGATGTACGAGTAACACGAATGTAAACCGTTCTGGCTTTTAAGTTTCATGCGAGCACTTGGATAGGACAGCTAGCATGTTCATATAAATTCACATTCATCACAAGTACCGGAAGCTTTCTTACTACTCAGTAGCTGTTATTCGACCAAAGAAATATAAATAAAATTACCCCGTCAGTACAGGATTATCAATTATGTACGAGTACCTTCTTTGCCAGCACACTACAATAAGGCAACGATAGCCGCTTTAAATATTGAGCCTTTTTCCACAAACCGATACGATTAACAACTCATTTAATTCAAACGAATGCATGCAAATCCAGCTAACATAAAATCTATAATTACAATGAGTAAATAATGCTCTACAATATAATTATACGCACCCAGTCTGATTGTTCATCGGCATCTACCCTAACTAGCTGTACTGATGTAGAAGTTATGGTAAACTGTTTTACCCATATGGCATTTGGCAACTAATAAACTTACCGGCGCAAAATTTTTAAGTAACTTAATTTTTATTCCGTAATTAACTGCAATTTTGGAAGGGTGCGATACCACACCAGCACTACATACACAAATATACTTTGTACCTAATACCTGTATAATAAGTATACTGTTAGCAGTTGCAAAAACGGTTTAGTGAGCAGAATAAAAGGGCAGCGCTATTAAAAGCAGTTCACACTGCATTTTGGCGGACTGTTTGTTCTCCATGTACGCCAAATTCAGAAATCGATCGGATTCGCTTTCGGGACCTATGGCGAACTATCTTGTAATAGTTACTGTATACGTTATCGGAGAACAGAATGCAGCAGTGCACAGGATTGTCCATCCCACGGAACACGATAGCTCTGTCCACAATTTAAATCCCCATCATAAAATGCATACCGGAAGTTTGGTAGTCACGTCTAAGCAATTCGGATGCAATTATTGTTATGCGATTTCACGTTCAATACATGAACACGCGTACCTAATTTTAGACAAGGATGAATATAGATGGCGACATGTGGATCGTAAAGAAGTCAGGAGGATTTGTTAAATACGAGTCGCATCCAATCTTTATATACATCTGGCAAATGTTACACATTTTTGGTTTGTGCGCCTGCTTTTCTTTGGTAATTTTGCCGCATTGGTGTCATAGTCATCAAAGTGCATCGAATCTGAAACACATCCCGTAAATCATTTCTAATACTGATCCAACAATTTTATTGTACCAAAAACTCAGTTGTTGCTTATTTTGTGTTGCTTATATTATAATATTTATTATTGTCGCACTGTCATATGTGCACATCGTATATCTGTTTGTGCTGGAAATATTTGGTCCATTTACTCTCCACTCCCCGTTTTCATATCATGGCACGCAAACATTCCATCGAAAACAATTTATGAGACCCTAGACTGTTTCTTTTTTCTGTCTTGCTTTTTGGAAGATGATGTTGCCCATCTGCACGCAGCCGTTTCGCGTTGCAGGTTTCCTTAAACATATGTGTACAGTGTAATCTGCTGTTAAGGCAAGTTTTTTTCATCCCGATATTTGTGAAAATATCGGTCAAAATAATCTTTGTTTCGGCATACGTTTTTTCTGATGGATGGACAGCCGACACTTTTTGAATGTTATCACTGTCAGTGTACGGTGACAGGTTGTGACAGTGGAAATGAAATTGTGCGCCTCTCAGATTTGGTGTGCATTTTCACTTGGAATTACATGTCTGAATTATTCCGGTAATTGGAGACAAGTGTTTGCTTCTTACTATTGACATTTAACTGCAGATCTACTTAATTAGCATACATTCATGTGTTTTATAGTCTCCTGTTCTGATGATCAAGAGCGATTGGTTCGTGACCTTTTCCGTAACTACAATCCATTATTGCGGCCAGTGGAAAACATTAATTACACTGTCAACGTTTCGTTTGCTCTCACTTTGGGATTATTAATTTACGTTGTAAGTGTCTGTTATGTGTGCAAAAGTTAAGCTGCATATGTAATCGTTAGTTTAAGAAAAAACCATTCATGCATGGCATTTACAATTCCGAATTTCGAAGATTACTTATAATTAAATGATGCATTTCGAAATTCGCTACACAGAATTTTGCATAACCGACAAAGGTTCCTGAAAAAGCAAATCAAAAATAGCATTTAGCAATGATTGCCATTTCTTGGAGAAAGTACACTCGATTTTGCTGCATGTGTTTTGCGAATGCCTTCGTAATAAATCCCAGGCTACCTTAATAGTTAATGTTAATAGTTAATTCTTGTACTGTACAAATTTGCAAAACACAGACAGGAATTTTAAAAATCATTGCGTTTAGCAAAAAAACTTAACCCATTCGCACGCGTAAAATATTTTAATTCCGTAATTAATTTTAGCCTTGTGCCTATTAGTAGAATCGCACAAAAAAGCGATCGCGTTTTCTTAAACTTTTCACGTTTTCTTAATGACCACTTCTTATTTACATGCTTTACAATGTTTTGTTTGCCTTTTGTTTTGCGCATTTAAATTTCTTTTGTACTTTGTATTCATTGGCTGTTGCGGATTGTCACGCATCTATCTATATATAATATTTGTATATAAAGTTACACAGTTATAGAGTGCAGTGAACCGCTGTCCTTTCAAGGTAGAAGTACAGTATATAAAATTCCTTTTAACAGACTGTTATTTTTCAATCTGCGTATGATAAATAATTGCTGTTCTAGCTAATCTGTGATAGATATCTTGTTGAAAGCGTTATTTATAGGGTGTTCCCGAGAGAGCGCATCCAGTTTTTAATTATCGCATTTTCAGAATGAACGTCAGCAAGTTATGAAAACGAACGGATACACGAATCTGGTGAGATGAACATGATGGAAGTGTTGAGATAGGAACGGAGCACATTGACGTTGAGCCCAATTAAGATTCACCAATTAAACTGAGCCATCTTGCAACTTTCAACAGGAATGGAAGGATCCACAGTTTGTCTGGGATGCGGGCGAGTACGGCGGCATTACGGCTATACGCGTACCGGTGGATAAAGTCTGGACACCGGACATTGTCCTAATTACCAAGTAAATATACATCAGTAATACCGCATATATATAAATATTTTCATTCGAGCAGCTAATCATGACGAATCACCGTGTCACAATGGTATGCAAAGCCCTCTAAATACATAATTTCGTAGTACAGATGGGAAATTTGGACCAAGTTATAAATCAAATGCAGTCATATACAGCGGAGGAAGTGTCAACTGGCTACCGCCGTTTATTTATAGAAGCTCCTGCCAAATTCAAGTGGTCAATTTTCCTTTTGATGTGAGTATTTGAAGCAGCATCTTTGAATGCAATGTTGCACATTCGCGTTTCCGTCAAAGCATTTGGAAATTACCTAATTACGCATATGTCATTTGTACTAGTGCAGTAATTTGGCGCAACATGTTAAATTGTGGAAGCTGAATATGTATACTCGTACATAACAGTAATTTCTCTTTCCTTACTGAAGTTATACAGAAATTTTTCTAAAATTCAGTATATCTCTAGGTTTGTCTCTATATTAGACAACTGTATCTCTATACATGTTAGAGAACTTTTACTGTTAATCACGAATATAGATATTATACCTTAATGGTACATTTCCGGATATACAGCAGCAGCAGTGCGAAATGCGATTTTCATCGTGGACGTACGATGCGCACGAAGTGGATATTCATCCAAAGAGCACCGTTGTGGACGTCAGTAACTACCTGAAAGGTGGTATCTGGGATTTAGTGGATGCGCGCATTCACCGCGTAGCGTACGACCAATTCGCTTATGCTTCGCGCGGCCGCGTACCGCGCGTGGACATTATTGTCACCATTGTGATCCGCAGGAAAGCCTTATTTTATACTGTGAATTTGCTCATTCCCACCGTCCTTATTGCGTTTATGACGGTTTTTGTCTTTCTTTTACCCACTGTTGCCGGAGAAAAGATTACACTGACGATATCGTTGACGTAAGTGCGGTCGAAATTAATTTTTTGCTCTGGTTAGTTTATTAAAAATGCTTACCAATAGTACTCGTAATTGCACAAAATATGCTGGTAATTACCGAGACTGTCCTATCAAACCAAAGCTGCAAGATAATCAATATGCCGGATTGGACGGACGCATATAAATGCTTTTCAGCTGGTTATTGCTAATTGCGCAAATCTATTTCAGGTTGACCATTGTGGTTTTCCTGTTGTTAGTTTCCAAAATTCTACCTCCTGCAGATACGATGCCTTTGATATCCAGATTCCTTCTTTTTATATTTATTATGAATTTGATTTCCGTATTTATTACGGTTATAACCATCAATCTCAACTACCGTGGACCGAAGACGCACGACATGCCGGAATGGTTGCGGGTTATTTTTTTAAAGATATTTCCGCCTCTGCTGCTGATGCGCCGACCGCCTATTCATTTACTACGAAGGAATAAAAGCAAATTATCGGATTACGGAAAAACCAGGGAGACACATCCTTATAAACGTTCCGCAGTGTTTTCTCGACAGCGAGCGGCTCCAATCGAATACATTCCCATGACCAACCAACGCGGAACTCCCGTGACCATTGCGGGATTACGATTTATGGACGATACGGATAGTGTGGAGGGAGAGGAATTCTTTGAGCTCAGCCAGCATCCGGACGCGGCAGTTGTGGCCAATTCCGTGGAAACTATTGCGGCCAATATGGAGTGGAATAACGAAATAAAACTGGTATTCACACTGAACAACGAAATAAAACCGGTTAACTTAAAGAGGCTTAAATGTAACAGATTAATTATTATCGTAAAAAACAGCAGTATATGTACTTGCCCAAATAATTTTTTTATAAATAAAAAACGCGTTTTCCATTTCCCGTTAATTCGATTGTAGTCAATACCCCGGTACACTGCACCACAGTGATCAGTCAACCAGGCAATGTTCACAAGAAAATTAATTTAACGTTTTTCCGGCAGATCGAGGAGGACTGGAAATACTTTGCTCTCGTTGTGGACAGAATTTTATTGTGGATTTTTTTCTGGGGCACATGTATTGGATCCATGTGGATAATTTTAGGTGGCGAAAATATTTTTATTCAGATTGACGAAGAGGCGACCATTGAGCGGCTAAAAGCGATGATATAATACGTGCATACGGTATATACTTCGTAGTATGTATCAACATGATACCGTGCATCGTGAGCATCTGAAAACCGTTTTTTGAACAATAGATATTGAATTTGTTCGGGACAATTTCAAAGCAAACGATAGCTGGCAAAATTTTGGATTCTGTAGACCTTTTTTTATTTTTGCATTGGAACTTCTATGATTAATAAGTAAAGGAGTTAGGAGCCGTAGTTCTTTGGTGAGCAAACACATAACATGGAATGACAAAGAATTTAAAGTTGGTGCATAGGCACGACATAGTCGAACAGGTACGGTGAGTTCAGGATGATGCCCATTGATCCGGCGGACGTGACAATAAAAAATACCCACAACAATAAACGGTCGATCACTTGCGACACAAACCGCCAATCCTCCGAACTCTGCAATAATTAAGCCAAAAATGTTTTCGTTTGAAAACGCTTAGTTTTTCTATACTGGTGCCGCGCCCTACAGTAGTGCTGCTGACAGTCAGTAGTCTGCACAGTTGTAGAGCGGCACTGGCTATCCTTAAGATCCGGTCACAGATGACCTTTCTATGAAGGGTAAACTAAATTAAGTTGTTACGCTCTTACTTCCTCGAGATTGGTTTTTTGTCTCATGTTGTCCGCGATATACGCCACGGCTTTCAGTGCATGATTGTAGCCGGGAATGTCGGCTAATAAATCCGCAAGCATCTGGGCTTCCTTGGCAATCACGCTTTCAATGCTGCGTTGTGACACCAGCAACGGCGACGTATTAATTGTGCGGCGTGCCGGCGCGGGAGACAGACATAATGGCAGTATGGGGCTGTTGCGTCGCTTGTTGTCGGATCCACATTCCCGGGTGTACTCGTTCTGCATCATTACGGTCTGGCTACTGCAGTGCGGATTACGATAAATGCCCGTCCGTGAGTAGGGATCAATCTGACGCGGTAATTGCATGGGCAGCAGTTCGCCGGCGCGGTGCATATGCATATGCGTCTTTTTGTGCCGCGTCGGTCGTCGCATACATAACACCATGGGCAGCACTTGTAGAAAGACAACACGCACCGGTGCCGGCATTGTGTGCGTGTTGCTGCTGCGATAGCTGATGTTAATGGCGATTACTGTGAAGAACGCCGACAATACGTTCATAATAAATGTAAAAAACAGGAATTCCGAGAGCAGCGGTAATACATCGGCGGGTGGAAGAATATTCGACATGAGCAGTAAGAAAACCACAATTGCAAAGAGAATCGACAGGCAGACGTTTGTTTTCCCTTTACTGGGCAAAAGAAAGACAAAACCGGACAAAAACGAGATCAGAATGCATGGCAAAAGAATGGTAACAACGTAGAACAACGATTTCCGGCGGAGACGCAGGTGACATTCAACGAAATCCCGCTGCACACCGCCGATAACTTTTCGCTGAGCGAAGATTGGTGCTTCAATCAAATCCCACGTTCCACTGCTCTGGTTTCGATAGTCCTTGATTTCAAAGATATTGGAAGGCACGTTAATTTCCAGTTCGTTGGAACTGTATGTTAGTGAACGGAAGTACATGACACACACTTGCTCCTACGTGGAAGACAGCGAATACGGTTGACTGTTTTTTGCCTTGGCAAAGATAACATTATATAGTAACTTACATCGAAAGGAAAAAACCTCGGGTTGATGGTGCAGCTGCTTTTAGAGATAAAAGGGGGCACCCATTGTATTTCTCCCTGGGGAGATATGAGTAAATTACACCGATATGTCGGCCCATAGTTTCCATCTGTTCTGCAGCAGAATACAAAATTCGATTTAATACATAATTTTCTACCATATACAAGAAATACTTGTATTTGTTAAACGCAAAACGACACAAGAAAATGTTTGTAATTCTTTGTTGTTCGGCAAATACGCTTATCTTACGTGGAAACCAGTGCGATTTCCGGCTGCCAAACTTTATTGGAAGGAAGTCTCAGGGTGGATAAATTCGCTCCGTAGGTAGAGCGATCAAAGCGTAATCGTTCATCCTTCCACGACTGGGCAAAAAAGGAGCCATTTACAAAACTAAATGCTCGAAACTGATATCACTCTTTGAAAAAATACGTACAAGATCCAGATAGCCGTTGATTTTCATTACTTGTTGCTGATCATTCTGGAAAAACCGCAACTGGCTTAGAATGTTGACTGACGATGTACTTGTACGTATTTCATGCTTAGATCTGGGTTATTAAATCCCCTGAAGCAAATTTAAAAGATACCTACCACCTGAACCAACGCAAAATGTACATACAATAAAGGTCAACGTTTGCCGATAGAAATGCCTTTGATCTAACAATCACACAGTAATTCATACAACAATTCGCCTATTTAATCATAATACGGTATATGTATTACGCAGTCTCAACCATCATGCACAAAGATTGTCTTAAACTTGCAGTCGAAAGTTTATTGTTTGCTGCAAAAGTAGGCAGGTAACTCATTAAAGCCTTTTAAATTCCATTCCTTTAGCGTAGGAATTTCAGTATGGCTAATACATGAACAGTAACAAAACCAGACAGATAATGATAGAACTGATAGGGCAGAAATCTAGCAATCTTAACATGTTTCAATGCATTTAGCAATATAGCGAAAGAACGGCTACAGTTTACCGAAAAACAGCGAATGGTCTTAGAATTTGCATTCAAATTTTTTGAATCTTGCATTTTCATTGTATATATGAATATTGTACAGAATCTTCTTGATGTATTGATCCATCTCAACGATTTTTCATTGTCAGTGGTTAATAACCAGTAAGTTATAGTGATGACGAAAAGGATCTATCCTCGGCAGTCGTCTTATCATGCCGAAGTATCACGCTGGCTAATTATTAATGGTTTTCCGTTTCACCAAAGCTCTTTTGTAAGATTTATATATGGGATGGCTCAACGTACACCTGACAGTTTACGTTTTACCACGCATAAGGACCGCGCGCATACCCGTATAAAAGTTCTTATTGCTCTTAAATTATCTCAAAATATAAGCTTATCAATATGCATGTTCGGAAGTTTAACGACAGATAGGATTCATAAAGCAGCTTCCACGATATTAAAAAATTAAATATCGTGCAAACGTAAGAATAGCCTCCGAATAGGGAATCATTTACTTATTAAATTCTTGCTAGCTTTATGCGCAGCAGATGTCATACAAGCAAGATTTAAAAGTAAGAGAATATATACACCCATGCCCAGACAATGCATTTACTCTCTGGTTTTTTACATATCTATAGATATTTGTGACTATTAAACGAAATGTCTAAGGAAGCAACGTTCCAACAAGTACCTCAGTTGGTAATTTAGCCCAATTCACTTGTCGTAACGGTAACTGCATGTGTGCAGTTCATTAATACGAGTATTATATAATACTCTTCTGAGACTTACGACGTAAATTATCACCGCCAGATTGATGCCAAACTTGACAACAGTTTTTTCGTTCAGTTCGCCAGGTCGAATGAGTTTGTTGTATCCTTGAAACATATCCTTGACCAAACGCTGTTGGTCGTCACTGTAACTGCCAGATAACCCTGAAAATCGAAAATTTTAAAAGTACGAGTATTACACCAATCGCGAATTTGATTCCATCAACGCAGAATTAACTGATTAAGATAGCAGCCCGTTACAGTCTCGGTGCCGGAAGAAAACACTATAGTCTCACCATGACTCAATAAACAAAACTGGTATAAAAACAGCGGTATGTGGATCTGTCTCCGCATATGCATGGGAGTGTTTACTTCTTTCCCAGTTAAAACGGTTTTACTCGCAAGGGATATAACAAATGACACTGTTTCGATACAGCGGAAGGAAATGCCTGCTTGAAATTAATGATCTCGCCACAGCATGCTGGTAGCATGTGACTTCCTGTGTTATCCAAAAAATTTCCTCAGTGTGGTCAATCCGTCCCAAATATACGTACACCGGATAGGTTACATTTTAATGAAACAGACTGTGCCCGCATCGCACAGTATGATTTATTTAAGCAATTAGGTGCCAGTTAGGCGACTGGGCTGAACGAGTGCACATTAAAGATTGTCTGAGCAAATGTGGCGTCATAGTTTACTTCCGTTTCCAGCGGGGTCAAAAGATGTGGAGACGGTTAGACGGTATTGTGTACATTTGTTCAGGAATAAACTAACGACGACGTCTGTAGAAGCGCAATGGGGCAGCGAAATGCTGACAACGCCGTTACACTCTTTGATCGACTTTCGATCCGTATCTCCGGTCCACTTCATCCTCTTCCTGAACCCCACGGCATAGATCTTGTGTACATCGCTGTATCCCACAAACCACATTAGTGTTAATCGGATGGGACTAGCTGGCAGAGTTCGTCACACATTTCGCATGAGAATTATACCACGCCATCGGCAGCCAGATTGATTTGGAACAAGCTGATCAGGAAGCGTCATGGATACAGGATACTATAGATCTATAGCTGTATGTGCTATTATAATGTATGCGCAATATTATTATTATATTGCTTTAGCATATGTCTTTGTCGTGTTTCGATCTTCATTAAAATTCGGTAGACGCTTAAGCATGGTATTGTTTATATAGTCGACGGGCGCATTGGGGAATTTTGAAAAAGGCGATGTAATATTCAAGCTTATCGATGTCGACTTCCTTGATGAAAGTGGCTGCTGTCAACGTCCGTTAAGTAATTAGAATAGCAATCCAGCAATCTGGATTCGGTACCGATTACCAATCGCAATATAAAAACTATATCCCAGACTCCGGAGGCTAGCTTTAAACCAACGCTTGGTTGTATATATATCAGCCTTTATTGAGCTCCGTATGCTGTTATGCGGCAAAAAACCCTTATTACAAATTAGGGAAAAGGCACGCATAAAAAATATAAACTAAAAATAAACTATTAAAAATAAACTTAAAAAATACAATAGAATAATAAATTCATTGTTGCAAATTCTATGGACAATAGGAGAAAACAGATTTTACATTACAGATATCCGTGACGACACAATAATAAGGTCTAATCTAATATATAAAATGTTATCCTATTCATATGGCAACTTCTTACTTGAAATTAGAAAAGCTTTGTAACTGTCTTAAAAATGTTTAAACGTTTTCTACTTCTATAATATTTTTCTATATAATATTTTTCTATTTTTACCATTTTCTGTTCAGTCTGTCCTTTCCAACACAAGATTGTACTCCATTGTTTTCAGCCTGCTAGTGCGGCACGTTTGATGCCTTCGTACTGAGTAAACTCGGTTTTCTAAATCTCCTCAACATTATTTGCACTTGAACACGTTTATAAGACTTACGTGGTAAACTAATCGCTGGTTTTCTTTATACGGAAGTGCACTGCTTTACTGTTTTCTTCCGGTCCGTCTCCACGCCGAACTGCGAAAAACCGTGGTGTACGAGTATTTATTGTTCTGCTATGTTACCATAGCAGAAGCATAGCGTTACCACAGCATAGCTGAAGTGCCATAAAAGAAGGATTCCTATGCAAAATTTTCTTACGGAAAGGACGATCAAACAGAAAACTAGCAACACGAAAAACAATCACTAATAGAAGCAGCAATATAGCGTAGTAGATGAAACACAAGGCGGGACGGGTTACAACCGGTCATATTCGTGGATTATGGCGTAATCGGTGAGACAGTCCACAAATGCCGGTACAGTAGCTGCAAACCTCCAGCCATTCATGAAATGTCTTTGCTTTTCTCCGGCAAAACTCGATTCTGCAATAAACAAATCTTGTTCGATGATTGGCATTTGCTTAAGAAGGCTATCCAACTTGCAACGAAAGCAAGAACCATTACGCAGTGTTTGTTTCCACCATTACGCAGTGTAAAATTAAATATCAGTGCTGTAGTACGATTATAATAATTTAGATATTCTTTTCTACACGACATTCTGTTGCACCCACCAAAATTCAACGTATTGTATATTGCATTGGGACAACATAGTCGAACAGATAAGGTGAATTCAAAATGATTCCCATAGATCCAGCGGATGTTACGAGAAAAAACACCCACAGCAGTAAACGGTCAATTACTTGGGACATAAAGCGCCAATCATCGGAGATCTGCCAAAAAAACGTCAAAAACGTCAAAGACAACAGATATTGTACGAGTATTTCTAACACGTCGTATATTAATCGCAAATCGTATATTAATCGCAAATTGTACTCAACTTCTTGCACGTGAAGTGCATTTAGCGCGCCGAGTTGTTCAGTTCGGCTGACACTCGTCGAACACCAATACGTAGCTAATTATTTCAAGTAGCAATTTCCGAAATATTTGAAATAACATTTGATTTCGAATATTTTGCTTTTTTATCTTCGTTTCCATTACACAGTAGTTGTGAGTGACTGCTTACACTTACAGTGGCCACACTTTACAAATTACTAAAAAGTACATCGTACATCTTCGAGGTCGGTCTTTCGTCTCATATTTTCCGCGATATATGCGACGGCTTTCAGTGCGTGATTGTATCCAGGAATGTCGGCCAGTAAGTCAGCAAACATCTGGGCTTCTTTGAGGATGACACTCTCAATGCTGCGCTGGGAGACGATCACCGGAGACGGAGTTTTGGTAGATTTACGCGCCGGCGTCGGCGTCAAGCGCAGCGGCAAAATTGGACTGTTTCGGCGCTGCGATTCCGTTCCCAATTCCCGTACGGCGGCCTCATTCTGCATCACCACGGACTGCGCATTACACTGTGGATTGTGGTAGATGGCCACGGCGGAATACTGATCCATTTGATTGGGCATCTGCACGGCCGGTTTTCGTCCGTGCATTCTGGGTTTAATATGCCGCAACGGCCGTCGCATGCACAACAGAATCGGCAGCAGTTGCAGGAAAATAATTCGCATCGGCGCTGGCATTGTGTGCGTGTTGCAGCTGCGATAATTGACGTTGATGGCGATTACCGTAAAGAATGCGGATAAAACATTCATTATAAAAGTGAAAAAGAGAAATTCCGATAGTAGCGGTAAAACATTGGCCGGAGGGAGGATTTTGGACATGAGCAGAAGGAACACCACGATCGCGAAGAGGATCGATACGCAGACATTAGTCTTGCCTTTGTTCGGCAGGAGAAACACGAAGCCGGTCAAGAAGGATATCAGTACACAAGGTAGCAGAATGGTGACAACGTAAAACAATGATTTCCGTCGCAGACGCAGATGACACTCAACAAAATCCCTCTCAATACCGCCGATGACTTTGCGTTTGGAAAAAATGGGCGCGCCAATCAAATCCCAAGTGCCACTGCTTTGGTTGCGGTAGTCTTTAATTTCAAAATCATGTTTCGCTAATTTGATTTCCAGCTCTTGCGAACTGTACGTCAACGAGCGAAAATACATAACGCACAACTGCTCCTAAAAGTGAAGGAGAGTACATATTTTAATAAATAATATTTCGAAGAAAATTCAATAAATACGGCTCACATCGAAAGGGAAGAATCTTGGGTTAATGGTGCAGCTACTTTTGGATATAAAAGGCGGTACCCATTGTATCACTCCTTGTGGAGTGATAAGCAGATTGCACCGATACGTCGGTCCATAATTTCCATCCGTTCTATAGAAGTATGCGAAAATCAACATCAGTTTCTAACCATGAAAGAAAAGTTATCAAAGAAATCTCGCAGCAATTTCCATTTCTTGCAGTTTTGCTTTAATGTTAATTTAGGTATGACCGTATGAATAAAAATGCGCTAGATTAGTAAGTTTGTTGTAAATAAATTTTGCGACGGTAATGGTTGCGTACGTGGTAACTAAAGCTATTTCTGGTTGCCAGACTTTATTGGACGGAAGTCTCAGAGTGGACTGGTTGGCGCCATACATAGGATGGTCAAAACGCAGACGCTCATCTACCCATGTCTGTAAACCAAAAATAATAATTAAAAATTAGCACCAATACTTTGTAATTCGTATATTATGTTTGCATCGCACGTCTTATGCAAAACCGCCTGGACTGTCCAGGGCACAGTGCTCAGTTCAGTTAGTTGTAATGGCAGGAAACATTGAACTCTTGTTTATGGATGGTACAATCCATATAATTATGGATTGTACTTTTGTTAGATTCAAAAATTCATCTCAAGCGCAAATGTCCAAATTGTGCACTAGAGAAGAATTTATTAAATTATCATCTGAACAATATTACAACAGATTATTTTCTCTGTAACTATACTGCCCGATTGATGTGTTAAAGAGAAAGTCGTAAACTTGCAGTCGTTTTTAATTTTGTGAAAATGCTATGTACAGATGGAAATGTCGTGGTAAGTGACCTATATCAAATTAATATGACTTTTGCATCACATTATTCGTGCCAAAGAACGTACCAGGTCTAAGTATCCATTGATTTTCATAACTTGTTGCTGGTCATTCTGAAACAAAATACGCACGGGAGATTTAATTTTCAATCAGGAAGAATTTTTCAACTAGTAAAATAATATTGCCAGTACAATTTGTCGCCGTTACTTATGGTCAATTTCCGTGTTGTATTCATAAATACTATAGGTACTACTGACTAAGCATTTCTAATTAACTTGATATTATATAAGTAAAAGCCTGTTTTACGTTAAGAGCACAAATGTAGCCTGTTTTACGTTAAGAGCACAAATGTTAAAAACATTAACTAGGAACCGCCGATTATGGATGCTTTACTAGCAATAAAAGTCCAATTGTAAGTGCCCATGTATGCGATAAGTTTTCATAACCTAAATATGAAATTTTTCCTAAATGCTTACGAAATTTTGACGGCTATAAAATTATTATGTATCTCCATCGACATACAAACAGAACTGCGAGCGACTACAGTACTTTTGCTTCATTGCATAAGCCCAGTGTACAGTATTGTCTCCTAAAGCCCAGTAAATCCTTGCTTCCCGAACTCCCAGCTACCATTAGCTATACGCATACGTTGGTGGAGTAGGAACACTTGATGGAAAACTTGGTCCGAATTCAGTAATAACACGTTAATATTGATGTATTGATCGATGTTCGCGGTTTTTTTCACGTACATGTCAGCTATTCAAAGTGGTTCATTACATAGTCCGCTAAGCGTTGATGGGAAGCGTATGTTTTCGACATGTGCTACCCGTGCCACACTAGCCTTAACCTTCTTGTTAGCTAATTGTGAATGCTTTTCCAATTGTAAATGCTAGATAGCAATTGAAAAACAATTGGAAAATGTTTTTGATTTTGGAAATTTACTTGCCGGTTCTTTGATTTTCGCATAATTTGCTGTAATAAGCAGCAGAGTTTGTAAAAAATAATTAATATGTTATTATAATTATTGCAAGTATAAACACAACTTACACAAGTATAATATTCACTTTAATACAATGCCTGTAAAAGAGCGCTTGTACCCTGTAGCGCTATGGCTTTGTTCTCAATGTGTGCGAGTACAATGGGAAATATTTGATCTGTTGATAATATAAAGTGTAATATTTGAAATTTAATGTAGCGTCCAACATTACTTCTCGCAAAATCTGGTTAAGCACGTCATGTTGACAAAAAACTATGTAAAGCTTGTTGACAAAAAACTATGTAGAGCTTACTTTAACGTACAAGTTTATATACAATACTGTTTATATATTAAAGAATAAATTCACCATATTATGGAATTACGTTATGCATGTAAATATAATATAGGCGGCAGAAACTCTTTATCTAAAAAAATTAATGTGGTTTTCACTACGTAGTGAAAACCACATTAATTTTTAGATACCATACTTCCAAATTTGTACTTACTCGTATACGAGTAAGTACAAATTTGGAAGCATGGTATTTACATGATGCAGTATCCCTACATGATGCAGTATCGCACATGGTCAAATTAAATGTGCCCATTTTCGCAGCAGATTACAGCTACGCAATGATTATCCAAGTTGTTTTAGTCCAGACCAAGTAATTAATACCTTCTGCACTTAATTGATGGAAATGCTTTCCTTTGAGCTGTGTAATTGTATACTGGGTTTAGTGGGTTACTTAGATAATTAGGACTGCCTTTTTTATTCGATCAAATTCAAACGGCACAAACGATCGCTTACCACATAGATGATCACCGCCAAATTTATAGTGAATTCTACCACGGTTTTTTCATGCAGTTCTCCTGGTCTTATCAGTTTATTGTAGCCCTGGAACATATCTTTAACCAGACGCTGTTGTTCATCGCTATAGCTTGCTGAAAGTTCAAACAATGTAAGTATAAGTAAGTATCCGGGGGAAGTATGTGGGGAAGCCGGTTGTAGTATAAATCTTTTCCTTGATATACAGACATATTGCATATCCAGTACAACAAGTATAAAATTTTACGATAACAGCGCTTATGCATAAAACACGAAGCGCTTATAAAACACAAGTTTTTTAACAGTGGTCTTACCATAGCTTATCAGAACTTGCAGTGCAACAACAAACAAGAAGATCGCCAAATTCCACATGAAAGTGCTGGCGTGTATAAATCCACTGGGTTACTGGGACTGCGTTAAGCGCCAGTAATATTATTTGAGCAGCACCTCTAACACAATAGTTTCCACCGGATCCGGAAATCTTGCGGCCATATACGTAACAGATTTAAACACAGCCTGTAACAATGTTTAAGAAAATCTTCATTCGCCGGCAATCAATTTTCTGCCTTTAATTAACAGTATCCTAGGCTAGCAAGAAAATATCCTCAACACAAATTTGTTCTGCGAGCAAACAATCCGTTGGCAGCTGCAACAATAGCGGATGTGTAATAAACGTTCTCTAACCAAATGCAGCGTCATAAGTTGCTTCCGTTTAACGTTTAGGGTCAAAGTCGTAAAAATGGTTAGATGGTTGTACACATTTGACGGGATGAAAGCAGTGGGACGAAGCTAATAAAAAGCCCTGTCTGTGTATGCGCAATGGCGCGGCGAAACGCTGGGCAACATTATTACACTCTTCGATCGGCGCTCTTCGATCCGTATCTCCGGTTCATTCCCTGTCCACATCCCTGCATACATTTCCATATATACAACATACATCCTAACGCAACTAATAGGATGCAATCAGCTGCTACAGTTCGTCACACATGTAGATATGCATCCCCATGAGCTACAATCCAAACTAACGAAGAGAGACAGGAAGAGGCCAATTCAACCCCAGGAGAAAAATGCGTTGTTTGTTTTCTATCCCTACCGTGACCAGCACGACGCCCGATAGCTAGATTGATCCTCAATCATACGCTTACAGCTCAGCATAGTGTTGCGCTTTGTGCGGTGTTTATACACATCGCTGGCATATCGCTAATAAAAAACCACGGTGCAGCTGCAAATATAGATATTGTAATTTATGTATTGCTTTCCTTGGTAAATACGACCGAGCAACTATGTTACAAGCAGCTGAAACTGAATACGTGAATGCTGAAAAATGTTATATTGCAGTTCTGCTAATTACACAGTACGCAATATACATACAGTATAGGTGAAATACTTCGATGTAGTTAAATAAGTACAAAATCAAGAGCATGTGTCCTGCATGCCTTATTCTGCACAGCCGATCCATATTTTTGCAGTTACATATCGTATATCTGTATATCTGTACAACGTTTACTAATCTCTTTGCACAAGTACTACATACTATAAAGCAGTATTGTAACTCCAAAGATCACATGGAACCCACTTTTATAATTTTAGCGAAGGATTATTGCCAGTGCATCCTAAATTTATGAAAAACGAAGCCCGGAGTTTTTCGTCTCGATAATTAAACTGTCGCGCATTACTTTTACTAATACTGTACTACGTTCGATTGCTTAACGGAAATATTGGCAAAGTCATGCGGGTCGCATTTGCATTTTAATTTGTGCGATGTGTTTCTTGACTGCCAAGATCCAGATATCGGCCTTTTTCCATTAATTTGCAAATTTAATGAACCGATCAATCAGTTACGATTTGAGCAAAGCAACACACATATGTATTGGTCGATCATATTGACATGTGAATAGCTTTACAATACAACGTATCTTCTAACCGAAATGAGCCGGATTTCATTTTTTTAGGCTCACGATCACGATTTCGAGCACAACCGAGGTTTACGAAACTGATTTTAATAACCTACATTACTCGAACTCTAAAGTAAAGTTGTTCTGTTAGGACAATGATCAGTTAGAGGTTCAAATAAGTGTGGCGAGTTAAGGAGAATGCTGACAGAACCAAACGCGTTTCCCAGGAAGAACAGCCACAACAGCAGACGGTCGATGACAAGTGCAATGTACTTCCAGTCATCAGCCACCTGGATATTAAAAACAGAACTGCTTTTAACCTGGCAAACAGTTAACTGAAATAAATTACTGATCAATATGTAGCAGCATCTGTTGGTTAGCGAACACTTTAAATACAGAGATACGAGTACATCTACCGTTTTACGTTCTTTTGCGATTCTTCGGTACTTATATAAAGCCGCATCCACTATATTACGAATTTTATCATTACGCATCACTTACATAAATCAGTCCGCTCACTTTAATTCCTTTTTAAACTTCTAAAGAATTTTATTTCCGATGATTGTATTAACGTTTTCATATAATTATATATACTTAAACAAATTTATAGTAATAGTAATCACTGTACGTTTTAGGGCTGATTATCAATCAAATGATTTTGTATAGGCGCACACGTTTGTGTGCAACAAATGTTCACGGACGAGATTCAAGAAATCGAGATACTTCTGGAAATTATCTTCCTAAGGTATCACAAAACGGGACAAGGACGGAAAGCACAATTACTTCCGGTTGCTTTCGCAATAAAACTAAAGAAATTTAAGACCAGACTTATGCAGTAGTACAATAACCCCTGGTTTACAATCTATAAGTACATAATCTAGTTACCGCATAAAGCGTGCAGTAAGTCGAAACAGCTGAATTGGATAGAGAAGTGGTTTTGGCTACTTAGAAATTATTAACATTGTTATTATAGCATACATTATTGCTGTAAACAAGCTCTACTAATAAAAATTATTTTCTTAATGAGATCGTATTCGGTGTGCGATGCTGGTGAATGCTTTAATTCACTATAAAACAATGACAACGGTTCAAGTGTTGAGTTAACTGAGGTACTCGTACCCTTTTTGTCGAGTTAATTTGAATAAATTACTGTTTCGGTAAAAGTGCGCTAAGCCTGATAAGAAAAACATCCACAACACAAATGGCTCTTACATCGTTGCCTTCTTCGCCCTCCTCGACATTCTTGGCAATAAATGCAACATTTTGCAGGGCGTCTCGATAGCCAGGAAAATTGCTCAAATATTCCCCGAGAAACTGCAGTTCGCGCATCATCAAACTGCTGGTACTATCAACTGAGGCAGAAAAGGCCGGATTATTGGCGACGATGCCTCGATAAGAATTAAACCTCAAGGCCACGATGGGACTTCCTTTCTGATTGCTGGGAATCATTCGGTCAAACGATGCTTGAGACATTAACTTCTGCGAATTACTCCGACTAGTTCGTGATCCCCATTTAGACCGGCCCGGCGAACGGGAGCGGCTGGGCGGAGAAAATTGGCTACCGCCATTATCTACTCGGACACTGCTAAACAGTTTCCGTTTGCTGACTTTTTCCGGCCGTTTTATCCTTAACATGCGTGGCAAAATGTTTAAGAATATCAACTTCACCCAGTCTGGCATTTCGTGGGTATCCGGCGAGCGAAAATTCCAGTTGATCGTAATTACGGTGATAAACGTGGAGATTAAATTACATACAAAAGTGAATAAAAGAAATTTGGTCATTAAGGGCAGGGAATCGGAGGGCGGCAGAATATCCGTTAAAATCAACAGGAACACTACGATTGTGAAGAGAATGGAGATGGCCAAACAGATTTTCTCTCCGGCGGCAGTTGGCAGATAGAAGACAAAAATTGTCAGAAAGGCAATACACACGCAGGGCAAGAGAAAGGTGATGACGTAGAACTGGGATTTGCGGGCCACTTTGAGATCCAGCTGGACAAAGACGACCGGCTCTTTGCCTTCGCGGTACCATTCCATGCGGTACAAGCGTCCGAGGGGCACTTCCGCCAAATCCCAGGTTCCGGAGGGCTGTTCGCAGTAATCTTTTAGCTCCATGTTGGGCGCCTTCAACTGGATGTCCACGTCGCGAGCATTGTACGTCACCGACCGAAACACCAGGTAGCATTCTTGTTGCTGAAATACAGGGCCGGGTATTATTTTGTTTTAAGTATTAACAAAAAGTAATAGCAAATTAACTGGTGGAAGTTACCATTACCAAATAGAGCTAATAAAGTAATAACAAATTAATTGGTGGATACTACAACTGCCAAAGGCTCAGCCTTTTGCGCCATACTATTTTAACGTTTTGATTATTATTTACACTGACACATATCGCCATCAGTTGGTATCGTATCAAATTACGGCTGAATCTGAGAATCTCGTTGTCGATTCAGTAAAAAACAATCAAGCGCGCAAGTAGAGTCAACTTGGTTAGTATTGTTACTGCTGCGATTTTACACTATTTCGTTGAAAACGCTTTCGATCGATTGTATAAAAAACACATAGAAGTACATATTACACTGTTATTATTACTGCAAATACCTATAATATTATGCTGCAGGTTTCAAGGTAACCTGCGGTTTTTACGGGAAGTTTGTTTGTGTCGTCAGAGTTTCTTTTTTAATAGATGGCAAAGCAAAATTAGCATGATTTCAAAGTTGCCAAATGCCAGTTCCATAGGTGCAAGTTGAACGTACATCGAACGGGAAGTAGAGAGGATTGGTATCGCAGCCGCTTTTGTAAATGAACGGAGGGACCCAAAAAACTGTTCCGGCGCTGTAAATGAGGGCGTTACTTTTAAAATTGGGCCAAAATTGACCATCCACCCTACAAAGAAAGAAATTTGAATATAATCTTGTTAAAAGGGAATCGATCGGTCCATAAGTTAATAGTTCAACCACCAGCATCCGCAAGACGACAAGCGTATGTCATAATTACGTATTCGTTAATACGATATCCGGCTGCCACACTTTATCAACCGGCAAACGTAGAACTGTAATTCCTCCATAATCGTCGGGATTCCACTGCAATCTTAGATCGGTCCACGACTACAAAAATATTGTTTACATATTGGTGGCACGGACAAACCCGGGAATTCGCAAAACGGAAACAGTAAAATACGTAAACTGTTTTCGAAAAATCCTTTATTTAAAAATGTTGGCGTCGCTTATTAATTGTAGCATTCGTAGTGTCTGAACGTTCTATTCGGTTTGTGGAATGAGCATCACATCATATAAATTTTTTTAATCAATAAAAATTATTTTTGTAGTAGATCATTAATTTTTATCTATAACTTACCATGTCCAGATAGCCGTTAGTCTTCATGACCTGATCCTGGTCACTCTATACAAGCAGAACCATATTCAGTACGCTCAAAATAACCATCTTTAGTATTGCTTAATGCTACTGTAGCATATTACACAATTATTAACTAACGGCAGAAAAAACATTATATACCAAAAATCAGGCAAATGCAATGCGTCTACATGTATAATTATTGTTAAAACGAGATTTATTTCAGAAAAAGAAAAAGCGCAGGCTTCGCTCTTGATGAAGAAAAATTTGACATGTGCAGTTTACTGCATAGTGCATCCCCAGATGTAGATCCAGCTAACTTTCACTGAGTTGAATGTTTCCGAGCTAATTTTTTGTAGCTACTCGTACAATAACAAAAAAGTAAGCTCTATTTAACAAAAAAAATCTAAAGTTTTCCGTAATCCATAAGTTTGTGCGGGTAAGGCATACGTACAGATATCTGCATAGACTGGCTGTTACTTTTTGACATATTAAATAATATCTTTCCCGGCGAGATGTGAACAACTGGAAACAATATGTTGTACAACCATATCACGCAAGTTTTACATATTGTTTAGCTTTAGTGTGTAAAACAGTAAAAGCACATATAATTATTCACACCGATCACACGTACCACGTACACGAGGATATTGAGCGTGAGGCCAAAAGTAACATTGACAGTTTCGTTAATGGACGACACTGGACGGCTTAGTTTATCGTACCCTTGGAAGAGTTCTTTTATTAAACGGTCTTGGGCTTCGGACCCATATGCTACACAAGAAAAAAAGATCTTCTGTACAGTCAGCCGCATGAACTTATCACTAAAAACCAGGAGAACCGCTGCATCGTGGCAGCTATCTGTACGTGCAACCATTCCCTACCTTGTTGTCCGAATTCCAGCAACAGGAGCAGAAAAACAAGATATATTACCATCTCAAATTGCTACAGTAGCTGTCGGACGCTGAAAGCGAGATAAGTAGCGTAGAAATTCACTGCAACCGTCTTAGACTTATTTCCTGTAACAAGTTGGATATGCATGATGAATAGTCGGAGTTGGAGAGAGTCGGCAGTGTGGACTGCGCTGAAGAGGATTTCCTAATTACGGAAGATAGAAACCGCTAAGATGACAACATGTTCCCGCTTGATTGCTGACAGGTTCGTTTACGAAACGTTTCAGCATGCATCAGAGTATACTTGAATGACGTTCCAGTTCATATCAGACTTCCGCCAACACAAGCACAAAAGCCGCACACAGACGCACGTCTGGACTCTTAATGATTCTGTTAAAGAGGAAATATTAAACGCCCATCGGCTAAGGAACAAATTTCTCCTTATCGACCCGCTTGTATAATCCAATTGCCGGCACAAATGCAATCCAGCAGAATGGATACTTGTGCAAATGACAAGTACCATAGGGGCAAAATTTAACATCCAAAACAAATACGCGCACCGAGATCTGTGCTAAATATACAGGGGTCACTTAAGCACAAGTGACAAGATATGTTCGTGCTTTGTTAATGAATTTTCAACCTGACGAAAGATTTATGTAGTAGCATCCTGTAAGTTGTCTCCTACACAATAACACTTACGAAGGCGTGGGCTAGGAAGAAGACCTGGTTTGCAAAATTTGAAAGGTGAATCGAAATTCAAATACGATGGTTTTCATGTTCAGATCAATTTTAACGACGAAAATCAGCTATATGCAAGAAATATCATTTCTAGAAAATTAAAAAAAATTAAATTAAAAAGACCTGACCCGATCAAGATTATCAACGTAGACAAAAAAACATAAATTCTGCAGAAAGGTCTCTATACCTTTGAAAAACTGAAAATGCGCGAGAATCGGCGAGATGCATACGTGTATTGCCGCATGGTAAGTGTAGAAGAACATAATCACCAATTTAGCAGCCAGATTACCAGCAATGAACCCCGTTAAATGATACATGTTTCATTAAACTCATCAAATTACATCACGTACACTTAGCCAGTCCCAGGGAATCAAGAAAGCAGAGCTCAGCGATAGCCAGACGATCCCGGGATTATTGCGCCCTGAGGCGCTGGCAATCCAGCATCTGGCTAGATACCGCTCAAAGAACACCAATGACACCACATTCAATCAAAGTCAAATCGAACGGGGAATACTTTATTGACATACGTCCAGCTCGGCGCAATGCTGTTGCTTTTTCTTGTCATTTATGCATTTGGGCTGGATAAACTGTAGTTGCACAAATATATGACAATCTCCAGCGCTCTATAAATATGTAAACGTATCTATACAGGAAATGTCTCAAACTGAGCGAATGTCATCATCACGAGGCGAAACGGAACCCAAAACCAAGTAAGACAGCTCAAAGCCAAATCCACAAACTGCACTAAAACTGCCAGAACTAGTATTACAAAAATAAGTAAATCAAAAATGTCTCACATCTAAAAAAACTTTATAGATATCTTAACACAGACAATTTGAGAAGACGGAGTGCCATAAACTATTCAGCTTTCGTTGACTTTTTCCGCAATAAACCGTACAAAAATGTAATCATCTCCTTTTCCGTTGTCCACAGCACCAACACCATGAAAATCCCCAATATACCTCCAATAGCAAGAAAACCCAGGAGTCCGACAACGGTAGAAATATCACAGATTCTGCGGAAGAAATACACGACCATAGAAACCACCGCCGCAGCTGCCAGGAAGCGGCTATTCACCAGTACACCGTGCAAAGGTCGGGATTCCGTGTCTTTGTAGTAAGTGAAAATGAAATGTACGCTGTGAAGTATTCGCAAAGCCATGTTAAGAATATTCGCCAGAATGAAGCCAACCGGTCCAAACTGTTTGACAAAACTCCAGGAAAACAACAGGAAAGTAGCAGAAAGCGCGACAAGCTTTTGGTTATACCTGACACCAAAAGAAATGATAGACAGCGTTTGCGATAAAACGTCATAAACCGACATGAACAATCGAACCAAATTAAGCGAAAAAAAAATTTAATAACGAAAGGAAAGTTATCACAAAAACAAAACTCGCGGCTCAAAACAACCGAAACGCAGATTAAAAATAAAGAAGTCAGTACCACAAAACGAAAATACTTCCAGCCTGAACTATGACAAAAGCCCGTAACGTACAGCCATCCAGTATATCAGTGAACATCCGAATAATGGTAACCAAATAGGACAATGATGATGCTTAAAGCGGAAATGCTCTTCAGATACACCTCCAGCATTTTAGCTCCGAACTTATCAGATTCCTGTAAACAACGAAGAATACGATTAACACAAGTAAAACGAATTATCAGTTGCACAAAAAGTGGCAACACGGGACATGCACTGTGAAGCACGAAAGTTCATTTGGTAGTGAGGCGGACATCAGATCAAAGTAGTTATTAATATATTTACCGACGGAACTTCTGCCCCACCGGGATCCCGTGACAGCACTTTTGAGAACAGGACATACGCATTTTCTTCAACTTGTTGAAACAATAAACGCGCGACAAGAGATCCGAGATTATTGACAACATCGTACACTCCCTGTTCAGCGAAAGTCAGCAACTGGAAACAGGACATGATAAACTTCTCGCCTTCCGTCAAAATCTGTTTCAAAAAGGACTGCCACGTGAAACTCAAAGTCAATTGCCATAATCTCTCCGGGAAGATGGGGGCAGTACGGCTGGGTAAAAAGTCCGCAATGCTGTTGATAGGATACTTGATCGCAATCTGATTTGGATGCAACAGTCTTTTGATGTAGTGATAAAATACTATACAGTAGACGAAGGAACCAATCAGATGAGAAACGGCAAAAATTAAAATTCCATACTGAGGAGCCATAATTATAAGGACGGCATTGATGGAAGACTGGATCGTCATAGAAAGGAATTTAGCCATAATCTACAAAAAATCGTAACGGAATGTATTCGACACCTACAGTACATGCGTTGTCGCCAGGCCGGTTAACCGAAAGTATTAAACGACAAAATAATCATGAATGGTAAAAACTTCAGATTAAAATAGATTTACCCGCAATTTGAGGAACATCATTTCCTGAGCAAGGACATACATCGGTTCGACAGTCATTTCGATAACAGAAGAAAGTCCGTACGCAACAACTCCGAATGCGTAAAACGGGGCATCCGGATTCTCCATTAGGAAAATCCACAGCATTGATCCCACGAACGTTAAAAGACACGAGAATACGTTCCTAGAATAAAGAAAAGACCTGACACAAGTCAGAAAAATTACGTCAAGAAGCGTTAGCACCTACGCAAGCCATATTAAATTGACGGTTTGCTTCCATTCTTCTGGACGAATATTTCCTGAAGTTGCACGGCGAATTCCTTCACGACACAGGAAAAGTATCGTAGTATGCAGCAATAGCAGACGCACATTGACAATGCCCAGCAAATCTTTGGAGATGTAGCGCAGAACGAGTCCGTTCAAAGCAAATGTGAGAAACTTGCAGAAGATCTAAACAAGAGACAGCTGATCATTGTTTGGACGATAAATTGTAATGTACAGTACTCTAATTGAGTCTTATGTCCATATAATATATAGCTGCATTACCTGTAGGATTATGTGGTAATACGTGGATGTGACGGTCCCTGAAAAAACCGATGTAAGGTCTTCGGAAACTTCCATTTTTGCGAGGTAATACCATACAAAAATAGTAGTACCTCTTTTAAATAGTATCGGAAATCGGAATACATATCTATATGTATTGTGTACGTATTGTTGATCTATCGTACGCTAGCGCTTTCGAAAAGGAGAAACCCACAGAAAATTTCTGACAACTCTACGAGCCTGCACTGCAACCCCAAGTGGGTTGGCAGTTTTATTTATTTTCTGTTGCTGTTTTGCTTTCTCGTGTACACTGTACCGTGTACACTACAGTTCGCAACTTCACACTGTATCAGTGTATCCCCACGAGGAACTGCGAAGCTGCGAGGGCTGATAATATCGTAATAATCAAAAAACTCTTTGATCGCTTTGGCTGGTGCGTTTCGTTGAAAACTGAAGCTGAAGGTGGATCTTTTGTCTAATCTGCCGACATGGTTTTTGCATTCTTCATAAGCACACTACAAACGGGATCCGCGAAACTGCTTTATTCCATAGTCTTCGACAAGGATCCTTCTATTAGTGATCGCCAAGATCGTAAGGACATCCTGCAGAAACTATGCAGCAAACTGGTATCCGAGTACGACGCGGTGAAACGCTACACGAACCGTAATGACGCCGCGGACTATGAACGTCTCAAATCCGACAACGTTCTACCTGAATTCTCTCGAGGCGTGGTGCGTTTGGATAAAGGCGAGTACTTCGAGGATGGGAAAATCTTGTTGTGGTTCGCGGCCATCGATTGTGGTTTCGCCTTCGTGCTGCAGAATTGGGAGAGCGTCCACGCCGCTACGCTGAATATGAAATTGCTTATTCAGAACCTCCAACAGTATACACGGATTATGACGGAGCCTGCGTACTGCATCCTGAAGCCTGAGCGGGTCGAAATAGTAGTGCAAAAATCGCTGGCCAACGGTGTGCTGCCGCTGCATACCAGTGCCATGCTCAAGGAGCGTCTTAAGGAATTGGATAAGATTTTCTCCAGACTGATTAAAGAGAAATGATGATTGCACGACATAACTGGTGAACTCGCTGGGCAAACTGCATTGTCTGTTAATTATGGTTTTTTATGATTGTTATCTGTGATACCCGCTTTCGTTCCATTTACGGACCACTTTCGTTCCAGTTTTCAAGTTTTATATCATATTTTAACAACCCTAACTTCAGCATTAAGTAATCTGGTATGCAAGTTATAAAATAATAAATTGCAAAATCAACAGAAATAGCTCTGTTGTTGTTAATCGTAATCAGCAAGGGTAAAACGACGGTAATCTGACTTATCAGAGTGTGGGTGGTTGGATAGCGTCATGCAGCAGTCGATTTTTGAACAATTGTAGAATGCCGAATAGAAAAGCAGCTATGTTCCTTAATTCATACATTTAAGACCTAGAAGTACAATTATAACGGTTACGAATTTAATTGATTTTTATTTAAATAAACTTGATTTTATTTGTGTCTCCAAAAGCAATCTAATCAGCCCTTAATCGATTGAATTCGCGTGCTTGCAAATAAATCCAAGTACGTTCTGTGAATGCCGAAATAGCTCAGTTGGGAGAGCGTTAGACTGAAGATCTAAAGGTCCCGTGTTCAATCCACGGTTTCGGCAAGTTTTTATTTTTTGAAGGCTTTTTGCTTTGGAGTTTTTCCCGCACGTTAACCTACAGTACTTAAACGCTATTCGTAATGCATTTTGGTTCTTCGTAAAATATTTTATTGTGAAAACCTTTTGTAGGTACCTACCGGCTCCACGCGTGCTAATTGAACCAGCGTACAATGTACTAATATCATAGTGTAAAGATATATGCCAAGCAGCCAATGTAATATCAATATTTATAGTAATAGATATTTATATTACCTTGGCTCCACAGCAGGGTGTCGGGTGGTAAACGTCCCGTACCGTTCTTTTAAAGAAATTATTTTGACGATGAATATTTTAAATTTTCCTTAATTAGCAACTAGCTAGAAAAACAGCTTTGTGCTAGCTCATAATAATATCAGAGTAAACTAATGTTATTGTAATAACGGGGAAAACGAAACAATAGTATCGTATTATTCGTATGCATACTTAATTTTTTTGCTTGCAAAATTAGTAATACATTTAGTATACGGTTTAATAACTGTACAAATACGTGAAATACCTACCTACTTGACAGAAGTGCTTACACTGCTACACGTTCGCTACCTGTTGCTGTCATAATAATTTTATTCTATCTATACTGTATGTGCAGATACGAGCATGTATGGCGCGCGTATAGTAAATATAGATATTACTTAGTAATACTTACTATAAAACGTGTTGGGGAGATGGTTGTGAATACTTACTCGTGAAATCTGATGTCAGCGCGGCACGTGGTTCGCAGCAAAATCGCTTATGGTCCGTTAACACCTGCACCGCTGTGCGGCTTTATGTGTAATTTATTCTGCCGTGAATTACTGAATTCGGCCTCGTCCCGAATTCAAAGCGAATCTCGTTGCGATACAGCAACTCCACCTCGCGAGGTGGCTTCGCGTACCGTATCTGTAGGCGTGGTCACTGAATACAGCCACCTCGTGCGGTTGAGCAACCGTACCATAGCGAGATTCGCTTCGAATTCGGGACAAGGCCTTAGTTGTATGAGCATGTATTTTTGCCCACATTTGATGGTAGCCGTTACCCGTTAGCGCTAGCGATTATTTGCCGCGATGGTTGTTTAGTTTTTACATACGTAATCCACATTCTACACCACAGTTATTCGTAAGCCAACTGTAAAACTGATTTTTAAAAAGGCTTTTACACAAAAATGCCAAGAATCGTGGTATTTGGTCCTTCTGGTTCTGGGAAATCCACGTTATCAACAAAGCTGTCTTCAGTGCTGGAGATACCGTGCGTGGAATTGGACGCATTGCACTGGGAGCCAGGTTTCATTTCCTCTCCAGCCTTTCTGTCTCGCGTGCAAAAGGCTGTGGAGGAAACGCCCTCTTGGATTGTCGATGGAAATTACAAGGAAACCAGACGATTGACGGAAGCACAAATGACCCATGCAGTTTGGTTGAATTTTCCCCTATATATTGTTCTCTATCGTATTTTAAAAAGAACGTTCTGGCGATGGTGGAGTCAGGAGTTGTTGTGGGGAAAATGCCGGGAATCACTGTCTAGCATATTTTCCATACAGGAAGGACTGATTTATGCCGTTGTCAAGAATTTTAGGCGACGAATAAGAGAGCATGAAGCGCGAGTGGAACAACTGCGAAGCAGAGGTGTTCACGTATGGATATTCACTTCCACACGCCAAGTTAACAAATTCGTTACCTTGACGGAAAACAACAAAGATTTATTCGGTGATTCAAGAAATATTCATGCACCCGATATCGTGACGATCAGCAACATGTTGCTTAAATGTCCACCTTATACCGTTAGTTATACGTGAGATGTGTTGCTTGCACTGACTTGTACTAAACGGCAAACCTTAAGCAGCTTTCTGCGGTATACAGCGGTAAATAGCTTTCTGAATCATTGAAAGTACTTAATTTCCTAATGCTTTTATACTTCCATAATTTTTATGAAAATTATTTTGAGCAGTGAATTCCTGAGATTGCGGCAATTTTTATGTGCTTGATGACAGATATGGTTGCATCGGTACGTCTGTGTGATACCTAAGTACTCCTCGAATGATTCATTATTTCGAATGTGATATAAACCTAATCTGTTAATTTAATTTTTTTTCATGTGCCCGCGCACATGTCTGGATCGCAATTTATACTTCTACAGCTTCACGCTATCAGAGTGATAATAAACAGTTGCACATAATAAACAGTTGCACAGTTGAAGCTTGTAATGATTTCATTTTTACTTGAAAAACCCACTAAAGTAGTGGGTTTTTCAAGTAAAAATGAAATCATTACAAGCATCCATCGTGTTTCGGGTACTAACAATGGCAAACAATCAACGATGTTATGTACAACTAGCACAGTAATGAAGTCAGTAACCGTTGCCCTTTAGCGGCCTGATATGCCATATACCTGCGGCATCTCCATCCCGTTTATGAATCCGCCTAAAAGCGGGGGGCTGAAAAGCGGAAGAGCTCTACCCGGGATGACACTGTCTAAACCAAGAGAATTTGCAGCGGCACCGATTGCCGGCTGTGCACCAGTAGCTGTCGGAGAACCTGCGCTATGGCTGGAATCTTGAACAAAAATTTCCGATGGTCTCAGAGCTTGTATCTGGAAAATGCTGGGATAAAGAGATTGCACCGTAGTCGGCTGTTGTCCTGCAACACGGCATTGCGGGTTGTTTGTAGGCGGTCTTCCACTGCAGAAAGCCGTTTCATCCGAACAATCCTAAATAGCAAAACAAATTACTTATCTGCAGTTAGTTGACAAAACAAGTTTTCAGTTTAGCCTATGAAACTATGGGGCATAATAGCATATATACATACAAATAATACAATTAATTGGATGTGTTTATTAGCACATAATAATGTTTTAAACGGCTTTTGATAGCAAATTATAATTGCCATATGCCGCTTTAACATGTGACCTTTGTACAGGTTTAGTGCAAAACGCGAAACCTGGCCGTGAGCGTTCCAGTGTTTACCAAACCATGCATATTTAAAAATAATTGTGTTTCTTTCGACTGTAATGGTGCGGATATGAAATAAAAGTTGTATATCTACAGTACTCGTACGTATTATACTGTATAAGAGTATATGGATTATTATACCTCACAGTCAACTTTGCCGTTGCATAGATCTTCGATAAATAAGCATTTTTTGTAATCACCACAAGGAACTTGATTAGCCGGACAACCTGAAACGGTAAACCGATAATTAGCTAAACTATTATGCAGTTAAATCTAGAAAAATAATCGAGAATCACTAATTTTGATTTGGGTAGCTGTATCCGCACTTACAGATTCCTTCGACTTGTGTTGCAGCTCCTCCACTAAGATCAAGTGAATGCGAACGTCCTTTTGCGTTTGTGTTGCAGCGACATTCATATCCTTCCAATGCTTTGTCTTTGATGTCGTAGCACTGGGAAGCGGAAGCGGGACCCTGGCAAGGTTTGGCAGCGCAGTTGGCCGGCAGGCACGTTGTACCTGATGCATTTGGAATATACGCCCTTCCGTCGGAGAATTTGCCGCAAGCGCACTGGCCTTTGTCTGATTTCTCAGCAATTGCGCAGTAAGAATTCGGAACATCTCTTGAGCAGGTAAGATCATGTTGGCAGAGTGTGCCGATCCCTAAAAGCAATCATCATGCAATGCATGTAGGATACTCGTATCAGCTACTGCCAGTATCAACTTACGGTATGCATTCATGGCTAACGTGACATCAGTAGAATAACAATACTTATAAAACTTAATTACCGTAATTATCGAATTTGCACCTCCCCTATAATAAGCCCCCCTCCGAAATAAGCCCCCCCCCCCTCCCATAACCCGTTTGAAAAATAGCGCCTCCCCCCGAATTTGCCGCCCAGGGGGGCGCTATTAAATGTTAAATTAAGCGCTACAAAATGATAGATATACGGTCATATACCGCAAATTTTTATTCATAATAATTGTTATGATTTGATCAATAAACAGTAGAACAGTCATAAAAATAATGTGATGTTATGCTCTAGAATGCTGCTCGCAAGTTGTGAAACTGCAAATACCGCTATCTACTGGGTTCAGTTTCAGTGGAACAGGATGCACAGTCGTTTGAAAAATAACGCCCCCTTAGAAATATACCGTTTGAAAAATTGCCCCCGAAATAACGCCCCTCCCCGAAATAAGCCCCCCTCCTCCAAGACCTTTGAACTTTTGCACCCCAGGGGTGCAAATTCGATAATTACGGTATTTCAAATTTTAAACTGAATAAATAACGTATTGCACTTACTGACTGTGCAGTTTGGATACAGGCCTCCGTGTTCACATGCGCATTTGCCGTAGCTTTTCTTTTCCCTTCTTCGAGGCGGATGATCACAAAATGCGCCGGGCACGATAAGTTTGCACACATCAGCTGATTTTATACAATTGCCTACAAAGCAAGTGATTAAAATTTTTATATATTAAGTGATCACAGAGAAAACAACACTGCAGTTATCCAATTAAATCGGAATCAGTTAGCTAAGACTGAACCAGCGAATGCGTTTCTGACTTACCGGTCAATCTGACGTATTCAAAAGGAACGCACGTCACAAAATCAGGAAATTCGTTTTCGAACACTCCCACTATTTGCAAAATAAAAAGTCCCAGTCAGGTCTTATATACTGTATATAAGATTTGCAAATTTATACTGCCATTTCAGCAGGAAGGCAATTATGAAGGTAATTAGAATGAAGTATGAAGGTAATTAGTAAGACTGACTTTAACTGTGCATTGTGCAAATGCACTTAAAAATTATAAACCTTTAAAATTCGTTTCGAAATTCTTACTGGAAATGGTTTTGTCACATTCGCATTTAAGAGTGTTAGGATTGCAAGCTGTGTATGCCAAAGGGCATAATGCTTTCCCATTGGTGCTGTTGGCTGCGGGGTTACATGGGACACCTTCAACACTTCTCTGCACACGGGAAGATGCCGGACCATTGTAATTTGCAGGGTCATACAAATGCACCAGCCTTTCACCATGTATAGTCTGCAAAATTTCTTCACAGTGAAAAACAATGGAAAATATACACACAGATAAAGATATCGGTCAATAATAACATTATATGACCAATAAAAGTTCATCATAAAAGTTTACCGTAGAGTCAATGTCGTTTTGTTGACGTAAAATGTTTTGTAGTACTGTATATATACGGAAAATATCGATATACGGAAATGCACAAGAATACGTACGGTGACAGTGTCACTGCATACGATTTTACAGCTCTTACCAAGATAAATGTGTTAACTTTAACGACGATCAAAACCAAAATCCATATTAGCTTCATTGTTGCGCATAAGTGGCCGTGTTCGAATTTTAACATAAAAATTACAAATCGTTAATTCGCAGTGAAAAATTTTGTAAGGAGACTACTAGGTAATTAAATTTGTACTGCAAGCTATGTGTCCAGCATATTACTGTATCTTGTGAGTTTCGAAGTGCAAAAGGTTCGGTCACCCAAAATCGTTACGAATAAGGAACTTAAAGCGGGCATTGCTTGGAAATGTTGGCAAAATTCAGCGCCTTCCCTTTCAACTTTGAGCTAATAAAAAATGTTGCATTTCATGAATTGGGGTTCGCAACTCTACAGAGAAAAAATCCGAAAGAGATCCGTTTCTTCGTACCCTTTCGACTACGTCTACAGCTGATCAGTGAGACCAACAAACCTTTTGTCTGTAACTCGTAACTTACAAGGTAGGCACTATGTATTTGGTTTGTACGCACTACCCAACGTAAAACCTTTAACCGGTCGATAGATCCTGCTTGCGTACTTTTAGAATTATATTTATTTTATTTTTACGAAATGGCTAGTCGCGGGAGTTTTCTGGTGGAAGGAAATTAAGAGTAAAAAGATATAAAGCACCTAAATACTTTGTATATTATGATATCTGTCATGTCATGACAACCCCGGAAATACTGTTAAGTCACCCTTGTACTCGTACATAAAAGTAGATACCGTAATTATCGAATTTGCCGCACTGGGCGGCAAATGGTTCGAATACCATGGAGCAGGTGCGCTTATTTCGGGGAGGTGCGCTTATTTCGCGGAGTGCCTTTATTTTTCGAACAATAAATTTTAGAAGGGGCGCTTATTTTTCAAACAATAAATTTCGGAGGGGCCCATGATTTTTCGAAACAACAGCGCATCGTGCTCTATTGAAAATAAGCGCCTCAGTTACCGAGTATATGGCTAGCTAGCAATGTGAGTGTGATACCTATACTGAAGTACTTCCATAGTAGTAACTGGGTAATTTTTGTTGCTACATCTTTGATTGTACTCGAACATATGGCCATGTTAAAGTTTCGATCACAACTCAGCTACATATGATTAAGTAAATACGTTTTAAAACACAAAATGCGGTGTAATTACCGGTTTATTGGACTTAACATTTAATTACCGCACCGGGTGCGGTAATTTCGGGGGGTGCGGTTATTTTTCGAACATGAATGCGGCGGTGCGCTTATTGCGGGGGGTGCCACAAATTCGATAATTACGGTAACTTGTAATATCGAACCGGCATCACGCACATTGAACTAACCGGCGTTTCTGTAATAATTAGCCCACACAATGCATGGCATTAATGCAATGGCATTAGTACTCGTAATTAAGATAGGCGACAGATTTCAGTGAAACTGGTTTGTAAGAAAGCCGGCGTATATCATCCTCATCGGCGAGACGTACTTCCGATGAAAAAAACTATCACCTCCACTTTGAAAAGCGACTGCCAAGCAGCTATCCGTCTGAAGCTGGTCAGTGGTCAACGGAATATTGGAAGTCATCCACGTGCCGGCTGCAGAAGACCAAAACCACGAGCTGTCGCAAACGATAGCAAAACATTTTCCTGAAACGAGACGGCTGTCTAATATGGAGGAGACGACTGTGGAGCAGCTGATCCTCGGTCGCGTGCCACCGAGAATCACAGCCAGCACTGTAACACTTCACGTCGGTCGAGCGGGATAACCGGAACTATTATCACGAAAGAAATCTTCAACCGGGGAACGAAATTACGCACGGAAAAGAGGCAAGGGCGAGAGGAGCACGAAATTCTTACGGAATTTCTTCGGGAACACAGACAGAGATGCGAACGGCACTTATGACGGAACAGACGCGTTGCGCACTGCGCAATGCATTTCCCCAGAAAGGCGGGCTAGAACTTCCTGCAGAATTGAATCTGTGCCAAAATAACGAGGCCACTTTTCTATATGCGGATCCATGGAGGAAGCATTGTGCAGCCCATGTTTAACGGTGTAAGCCACTACGTTTGGCGCTGTATAACTGTACATGTGACATCCCTGGTCTTGCCCGGATCTACTGTTCAACAGGTCAAATGTCCACAGACTGGCTGAAACTGCAGTTACATTTCAGGTTTCCCATCCGGTCCTCCGGACAGCAAGGGCAAGGGTCAGATCAGCATCGAGTACGTCCCGGTCCACGGACAATTACTTGAAGGAAATACTGTAACTGCTTGATATACTACTCGTTTGCCTTTAATTTACCTATGACCTATTACTGGGCAAACAGATCCAAAACGCCAACTACGCCCAGGAGGACGAACTGCGCCACTGGTTTTTAACCGTAATCGAAACCGGCACATTGGCGCCTTCTCCAAGGTCGTAATTCTCGAACGAAAACCACGGTGAAAGGTCATAACTGCACAGTAACAGCAGCAGATACGGTGGAAATACGCCGTATATATACGGTTGCATCTGCCCAGCGGATACAGATCAGTTGCGCTGTGAATGTTGCTCACATACTAAACCATACGATAACAACTTTAGGCTCTGTTTCATAAATTCACCATCTCAAGAAAAAATAAAAACGTTTGTGAACGTGTGTTCGTGGACGTGACGTATGTGGACGTGTGTCTGAGAAATGATTGAAAGAACCCTACAATTTCCCGTTTTTGCCCTAACTAGTAGTCGAAAATACTCCGCGAAATGTTCTCGCGCGGTTTTTGGTCTGTTAAACTTTTTGTTCGCAGTTTTATTGTGCCGGGAAAAGCTCTCGCGTGTAGTCAATACTCATAGCGCGAGATACTCTCCGCGTAGCCAAAACTCATAGCGCGGGAGTGTTCTCGCGTGTAGACATGACCTTATTTTTATAACCACGCAGCACAAATTCCAAAATTGGTAAAGGATTAAATCAACATATATAGAAACAAAAGCGGTGTACCGTAATTGCATGGATTTAAAATTATTGCCAAAACTACACGTATAAAATTTCGCATGAACAAAATGCTTCCGCTGGCGGTAAGCACTACAAGCACTCACTGAACAAGCAGCCGCACAAAGTTCCTGCTGCTCATTGCCATAGCGTAAATTAATATCTATATATAGACTTCATGTAAAAATTTATTATGTTTATGATTTTATTGCTTTGTTAGGTACCGGTAATTGTTATACTTTTTTAGACTTTAATTTGCGAAGGTTTATAATTTGTTGCTTTTGCTTCCCAGATCGTTTTCACTTTTCATTACTGTTTCTTTTTTTAGACTGGGGTGTACGGACTTTCGTGCTTGCGTTTTACTTTGGTCAGATGTTTTCAAAAGTTTGCATAGCATCGGTAGCAACTACTTGCAGTACTTTCAAACCGACTGAATAGGTGTAGCCAGTGGTGGATGCTGCTCATTGATAAGGAAGTTCCTCAAATGATCAAATCGCATAATGAACGGGGAACTTGGTACTGGTATGTCCTGCTATTGGAGGTATCGCTGAACATCTGCGGGGAATATTCCCCCACAAGCACAATCGCATCAGATAGGCCGAAAGTTTTCGTTGCCCTAGTCGTGCGAAACGCGGAGCATGTGCTGCCATACGTTTTGGGTGGTTTGGAACGACAGAACTATCCACAGAACAGGATGACCATCTGGTTCGTACTTCTGGGTTGGGATTAAAGAAATGTGCATCCACATTTGGTTGTTCAGCTTAGATTGTCTGTTTCATGCAGGATCAGAACGGACTGCAACATGGACCAAACCAGCGAGCTTCTTAAAAAATGGCAGCAAGGAACGAATGGTGTATACGCGGCTGTCGATTTGGAAGTTCTGCCTTGTTCGCTCCCACACGAGAAATACCCATTTGCGATGGATGATACACGAGCGCGACATGTTGAAATGCTGCGAGACACAGCCATGGCTACCTCGCGCCAGCTGGCTTATGACTTCGTTATGGTACGGTTGTGCACGGTGTGATCTGTGAAGTGCGCATGCATTCGAAAACGTCCACTGGCATGTTCAGTTCTCGACAGCATTGCAACGAGTACGCTTTCGTCTTGTTATTGACATTCCTGTGCAGTTTCTGGATTCCTCATCGTTTCTTGTCGATCCTTCCTCAATTACGGATTTGGTGGATTCAGGCCGGTATGGGGACTGTATGTGTTTTTTGTCAGGGTTTAAAACTCTTACGTAAAAACTTTATAAAAATTGTTGAGCTTCTGTAGAGACTAGTTGGCGCGCTTCGAGACTGTGTGGTAGCATAATTGTTTCATTTATGTTGTTTGGCTTTGCACTCATAGCGACATCATCGGGCCATTTTTGCCTTCGCTCAACAAACATGGAAACTTTTGGTGCAACACTTCCACCGAAGTAAGTCCAGCCATTTGCACGTTTGCAACAGATGTTCATAGTATTACTACGTGTTATTGTTAATTTTAAAATGTATGGCCATAGTCCTTGTGGCATTGTTAGCGTGATTACGAATGAATTGCTCCCATAACTACAGAATGTACAGACTACAGACTCTGTACTTGAATGTAATTAATTGACTCGACATTGCGTAGCTTTTAATTTTTTGATTTGTAGATTGCACTACGTATAGCGTATGGCGGTGGCTCATTGTCAGTAATATTTTATGCCTGCAACTTTTTTGTGTTGCAGGGTCGTTATATCAGATCTGAAGATTGTACTGAGATTTTTGAATTTCAAAAACTCGGCATTTTTGACGTTGGCTTGGTACATGGGGTTTTAATGATTAATTTGAAAAATCCTGATCTCCTGGATCTGCGGTTTGGCTCAGAAAAGAGCGACATGAGACAGTACCAGCAATTTCTTCTCAATATGATCCGTCGAAATGTTACGGCGAATATTATTAATAAAAGGCAATACGGATACAGTATGATACCGTTAGTTAACGGTAGCACTTTTCTGGACCAGACTGATGGTTTCCGGAATCTCCAGCTGGAAGTTTTGGGTAAGTTCATATTTGACATGGGCTGAAGTTGTCTTGTTTGATTTTGCACAGAAGATCATGATGTAAGTATCACCTACCACACTCTCGCTATTGGTTGCATTTTGTGTGGTTTTCCAGTGTATCGCGAAGCCATTCCGCAAACAAAATACATCACCGTTGAAGAGGAGGATCCCGATACACTGGGTTTTGACCACATTTATTTCATAAATTTGGATCGGAGACCGGACAGGAAAAAGCGCATGCAGAATAGCTTTCAAGCCCTGAACATGGAAGTGGAACGTATTAGTGCAGTTGATGGAGAGTAAGTCGTGAGATGTAACATAAACTGAGTCATCGCCGCAGGCTTATCAGCTGCGAATATTCATCAGACTGTATCAATCTTCATAATTTTTGTCCAGTGTGACAAAATCTTGAGATACATTTATTTCCGTTGGTATGATACACTCACACTAATTCAACGAGTCGTTAACTGCATTTAATCCGAGAATGGGCACAGGAAATTGAATCATGACTTGCTCGACACCATGGGAATTTCAATGCTGCCCAGCTATGAGGATCCCGCACAAAAAACGCCCCTTGACAATGGGTGAATATGGATGTTTTCTCAGTCATTACGCAGTGTGGCGCAATGTAGTGGAGAAAGGGTATCGGCAAGTGTTAGTACTGGAGGATGACATCCGTTTTGATTACAACGTTCGCCATCGCATGACCCAAGTCTGGGAGGATATAGACCGGCTGAATCTCGAATGGGATCTCATCTATCTGGGACGGAAGCGATTGATGGATGATGAGGAGCCCTATGTGAAAGGCAGTCAGCATTTGGTGCACGTCAGCTATTCATATTGGACATTATGCTACATGTTGAGCAGTACCGGAGCGCAGAAGTTGTTGGCTGGTAATCCGTTGACCAAAATGGTACCTGTGGACGAATATTTGCCCATTATGTTTGATCGCCATCCTAATGAGGAGTGGAAGGGCTCTTTCGAGAATAGGGATTTGCGTGCGTTTTCTGCATATCCACTGCTGGTGTATCCGACCCATTATACTGGAGAATTTGGATATATCAGCGATACGGAGAACATTGCGGAATGGGGTGATGGATTAGATGATGGAGCAGAGGAGCGTGAGCCGATCAGCGATAGCGAAGCTAATGGCAGGGATTTGGCCTTGTCAACGCATGATGAACTTTGAAAGGCGTGGTTGTGTTACTCGTGTGCCATTGTTAGATACATTTGATAGATTTTCGTGCCAAAATCTGGTGCCTTGACAAATAGTTCCTAGTTTTTACTGTACTTGTGAGATCTAGTCTGCTATTTTTTGGGATTCTCAGTGACATTCATAGTATTCTTATTTCTTTTCTAGCGTTGTTTTCTGATGGTGCAGAACTCTGATTCGGTGTTTTTAATTTTTATTAATTTTTTTTACGAGTATTAGAACAACTGACATCAACTTTGAGATCTAGTGAAATATTTTTATTAGACTTTCTTAAAACTCTGTACATTGTATTGATGTCCTGAAATTAGACTCCTGGTCGTCAGGACGTGATGTGTGATTTTTTATAACAAATGTTTGAACAACAACGTCACCACAAAGCTGCATGTGCACAGTGGAAGTGCGGATCATCCGAGAGATCATGCCTCTGAAATCATTAATAGCAATTGACAATATATTGCCAAAGAAATCATACAAAACACGGTATTTCTTTGAATTTATCCAAAAGCCGTTTTGTTTCGCTCAAATATTCATGTTCGGCCAAATGCCAACGGAAATCTTTCTGTAAACGGTATATTCGAGGTTGGTTGTGATCATGAATTCCGTCGAGCAACATTCCAAAATCGTTTCTGTAGAAGTTGCAAAATGTTGTATTCTGCATAATTATTATGAAAGTAAAAACTACTTTGCTTTCAAAACGTGGCACAGACAGAGATTAGAACGGTTTTTGATATTAATTTATACATACCCATCTCTCAAAAAATTAGCTAATAAATTGTGAAACTGACGCTCCACTTTCTTGCAGACTTGTTGTTCCGACAGATTAGTGGCACGCATACGTAATCCAAAAAGAACTGCCGATTCAACACCTGAATCAGTTAAACAAAACTTGAAAAGACACCAGTAGGTAGGTACAGACAGATATGCAAAATGTATATAGTCAATACCACTAACCGAATTCAGTGTTATATCCGCAGCTTGATGAATCAATGTCAAGGTCAAAAATACGATAATTAGAATGTTTGCTCGAATCCAAGGACTGTTTGGCAAAGATCTCATATTCCATTATTAGCGGTATTTTATCCACCAGTTCTTCCACATGCTGAACATTTGCAAATTGCAAACAGCAAGCATTCGATATCAAGGGGTGTACAGAAAAGATTTAAAAAATGTATTCATACCTTTTTCGATATTTCTTTGTTTTCGTTTAGCAGAGAATCGTTCTCGTTTAAAAAGTGTGTTGCTATAAAATCGTGATGGGCAAAGGTCATATCACAGTGCAGAAGTCCTGATATTGTGTGGATCAAAAGGTCGTAATCATCGCTCCTAACTTCGCTTTGATAAACTGCTCTTGAAGGTCCACTAAAATTTTTTATGTCAAAAACTGCGAAAATAACAAAAGGAAACAATCATTCCATCAAAGCAATCAGCAACTACCGTAAATTGTAAAATGTCGTAGTACTATGCAGCACGATGCTGCTGCTTGTAGCATAGTTTACACTTTGCACAAATCGCAGTATAATCTGCGCGTACATTGAATGTAAGACAATACATAGTTTGATGCGGTGTTGCGATACCTGAACTGTGGAGTTGCTGATGACTAGGCAGAGTAGGCACCATTCCCCGTAGAATACTTCCTTCAAATGTGGCGCTGCGAAATCTTCGCTGAGGTTCATCTGGTACAACATCCAGTTCCAGCGATGGGAACCAGTGTACGGATTGTGTACTGCTGTTGGTGGTCTGTATAAGCATGTAATATGAGCCCATTCGCAAACAGAATAATTCTGCGCAAATACTAATCACGCAGAACGGCGACGTTTTCTGCATCTTAAATAATAAATGATCTTAGTGTAATTTACAACAAAATGGTTTCATATTGCGCATTACAGACAAACAAGCGCAAGTGCTTTCAGTTCATTATAGTTATATCGAAGTTGACCTTTTTCTCCTCGGCGGCTGTGAGATCCGGCTCAGGTGTGTTGCGAAGACATTTGAGCAGTTCGTCGGAAGTATTAGTTGAGCATTCCAAAGTGGATGCTAAAGTCATGCTTTGTGGTAATCCAAAAGGCCGCACTGAATATTGCCCCGCAAAGCTGGCAGGACTCGTGCCCAACAGGATAATGCCGGAAACTATGCCTAACAGACAACAATTTACATTATATAGCCTATGCAACTTTTTTTTCACGAGCAGAAGCAGCCGTTAGCGTTCTCCTTGATAAGGATGCCTTACTCTTTATTTCGCGGTCAATCAGTAAAAGAGACGCCAGCAGCGCTCCAGAATCTTGACCGCAAAGCGTGATCCGCGTTGGATCCGCCCCAAAGCGATCAATAAACATCTGTATCCATTTGAGACCGATTTTGATATCTTTTATTCCCCAGTTGCCTTGTGCGTTGAAGTCGTCAAGGCTAAGGAAACCTGGAGATTTTTTTTAAAGTTGATGATAAAATTGTTGCAGGTTACACAGGCTATACTTCTATACGAGTACAATAAGTAAACATTCTGCAGCTGAACAGGTAAAACGCACCGGCAGAGAACAGGTAAAACGCACCTGAATGCACTGTATGGTCTGTGCTCGAAGTGTTAAATTCGTTACACTCACCAAATGGTCCTAAACGATAATTTATGGTGACTACAACAGCATCAAGTTGTTTCGCCAAAATTGTGCCGTTCAATAAATGACCTGCTCCACCTGCAGCAGAAACGCCAACCACTAATTAATCTGCCAGAATAATTTACGGAAATCGGCATAGATAAATAAACCTTCGATTCATTAATTGGTTTGATTAATGATTTGAGAGCAAAACTTTAACTGTGAATACGGATCGCTCATTTTTCTATATTACCGGTAATTCTATATCCAAAAAAATGCAAATTTTAAATATCCTATGAACCATACTACATTAAGAAACTGTACGGAAGACTAAACCGAAGCGGAAGTTAGCCGTTTGGATGGAATCGATAATTTCCACATGCTGCACATCCGGCCGCCACTGTCACTTTCACTCAAATGCATTTGTTAGTCTTTTTATACTTCATGAATAAATCATGATTGACTGTGGCTATAAAAATCTTTTGCTAAACTTGCCCGGCTAAATTTGTAGCAGTCTAATAATTTGATTTCCTGCACCGTATCGACTGATTCAACTCCGCTGTATTTTGTTTCGATTAGAACGCGTGGTAGCCGTATGTACGGGCTACTTCGGATGTCCAGTAACCGCAGCTGCTTTCGCTTAGTATCAAAGCTTTCAAAATATTAGAACAACATTGGCCGTAAAACATCATTTAGGATAATATAACAAAATGCGCAAATTGCTCAGCTATGGGAATACCGAATATATATTATAGTGAAAACCTGCGCGGGCGTGCCTTTAAAATCGCCTCCGTGAATGTAAACCATGACAGGCCAGGCTTCTTGCTTAAGCAGCGGATGCTCCTTATTTACGACCGGCAGATGTATGTTGAGATATAAACAGTCTTCGCTGACATTATCCAGTCTTTCCCCAACCGAAATGTTCCGCTTTTGTAGTTGTGGACACATTGGTCCAGGTGTGTCAAATGGCTTCCGCTGACCGTTTTTGCCACGGAATTGCTTATTATCGTAATCGTCAAAAATTTTTGGCGCCTAAAAACAAAGCAGTGAACTAAAAACAAAGCACAATACCCAGGTGGTCGCTCTGGGAGCCTTTCAAGAAGGTATAACAATGGTATAGTATAACAAACTCAGTCCGTTCAATAATATATATAGCGTGCAATTTTTTGTACTTACAAAATTTATGAAGTTGGCGCTTTTAAAATCCGTTACCGATGCGTAATTAATAACAACGACATTGTGTGAGGAGATTAATAATCCCGTAAATACCCAAAATAAACTCAGAGTATACTCTTAATACACTTTCTTTCCTACATTAATGTTGTATCACAGTGATTTTGGTCTGGTAACTTGACTCAACAGTTACGAACTTGCATGTAGATCTTTTCCAATGATGCGCTAACATACTTTGTAATTCGATGAAAACTGCTACACTGTCGCATCGTAAGCATGAAATATGGCAAATTGCTGCATAATATACTGCATACATATCGCTAATATCTGGGGGCACCCAGTAGTCAGCAGTGACCACTGATCACCTTAATTTAACAGTTTGTTTATGAGGTATATTTTCCATTGATTGCATTACTGTAGCTAGCAACATTTTCTAAAATAAACAACCCGATATGCATGTTGGCGAACAGTAACAAAAAAAGTCTCACCCTTATCGCTGCAGAACATTTAGATATTCCAACAGTAACTTAAATGCTTTTCAGAATATGCTGCTGTGTACAGATACTCTATAAAAATGATATAATCCTGATAAGCAAATATATAAAAATAAATATGTATAAAAAAATAAGTTTATGTATGCGGTTGCAAACACTGACTGTGAGCTGTGTACTATGCTTTTGAGAGCATTTAAAATTTTTTCATGCAGTCATTGTATTGAGGCTATGCATGTCCTCTGCTGGTTTTTTCTGCACTATTATTTGTCGCAGATATGAAATGCTTATAATTTTGTGGAGTTTTTTTCCAGAAAATATTTAATGGCGTGGCTTGCTGCATTACGCATCACAAATTACTCACGTATCAGCTAAATAAATTCATTTACCTGGAACCGCTCTGCTGAGGCATACTTCAGACCTAAAAATTCCCACGATTTCCACTCAAGATCATCGGAATGCCATGAAAGGCGCCCGCTTATTTTGGACTGATGCAAGTGTACTTCACCATTATAAAGATTGGAATAATCCATATAATTGAATGCCCTTGCGCCACATAACCCGGCTAGCATAACAAGCATGCTAATTTTCATTTTGATGCAATTACGTGTATACTATACATGTAGGCAAATGTAAACTACCGTATTCAGGAACTCCGAAATTATGAAATGCAGCAAGCGAAGAAAACGGGAACAGAAGGTTCAAGTATGTGACATCATGAACTAATATGATTTTGCGCTTTCTCTGGAGACAAGTACTCTCCACGAAAAGGAATCTGTGCTCTGGAGGAATAATCATATTTGATGATTGATTAAATCGTCACGCCCGGGTGCAAGGAATAGGATCGGGTTGCGGTTGTAGTACAGTACACAACCAGGGAGCACCGCATTGTGCAATGTACATGTACAATCCCTTTCGTACAGTGCGGTTGCGCGCCAGCATGTCGTACTAAACTCGATACACGTATAATACAGTATTTACGATTAAATATTATAGTATACGTATGTACGTATATCTTGTAAAAGAGTCATTTCATGGCATCTACAAGTGCCACTACAGTAACCCTTTTACTTGTGGAACTCTTGGATGTCCATATTTGATCACAAAGAAGATAGTTTTCAAAAGTGGGGACAACAGCAATTGCCACGTATTCACTTCCTACAAAATCATTACTTGTAGCATTAAGACGATCGAAAACGTCCCGAGTAAAACAGCAAGCAAAAAAACGTCAGCTAAACGCTATTTAAAGGTCAAAATTTGGACACATCCTTTCACCTAGTAGTAGCCTAACAAGGGGAGTAACGCAAGAGTTGCTCATTATTGTATTATTTGTTTTATTCGTCTCGTGAGGTATTTATAGCTTGTTAATTAGAGGTGCGCATGCACAACTTCAGCAGTACGTGCAGTCTGTAATTCCGCCCGCCTCAGGAAGTACTGGTTATTGAAAACTGCAGATATCTTTTTTTTATAATGGCAGTACGAATGAAAACTACTGGAGCTTTAAATTTCGGATTATACTACATCTTCCAGTACTGCAACAGATATTTGCGAACAACTGATGTTGAAAATTCTGTTACATGCAGTAACAAACTTATCTGCATTGTACTGCAGCTTACATAGGACACTTTGCTGGCAGTAGCGGTCATTCACTTATATTTTTTTTGCAAAAATTCGTCTGTATTAGATCAGACAAATGACGCAAATGGTTCTCCCAAAGATTTTTTTAGTACTATTATTATTATAGAACAGGAAATAATTAGTTTTACGAACGAGGGAACATAGTGTTAATAAAAGATGGGAAACGTGAGCTTTGAATTATGCTATAGCTACATTTGACCTTCTGCTATGGAAAATACCGAAGTACACAATCTTGTTGCATGCTTCACACTTCTTGCAGTAAATATTGCGTTTATAGTTCACACAAACAATATGTACCAGCTCATTTGGTTTTAATTTTAACTTGTAAAGCAAGATAGCGATCGATACGTGGTATGCTAAAGAATTTAGATATTTAACGACATCTACCAAGACGGTGTCAGAGAATTATGCGAATCAAAAGCGTTTACAATGCCGTCTCTTTTGATTACGCAGCAATGGCTGCAGCATACAGTTCCAAAAGTAGGCATTCTGTATGCTCACAATCAGTGAGAATTTTTTGATTAGGTGATCAATTGATGAGCTGTTTTCCATTTTCAGTGTTTTACACTGTTGTTTTGCACGCATGAATGTCCATAAAACCTTTGCACACATTATTATGAACTGTTTGGGAATGCAGTTGGGATATTAATGGCCTTAGTGGGATATGATAGTAAGAATGTTAAATACAGAAAATACACTCAGTCTCTAGCGGCACAAGAACGAAAGGAGGGCTATTAGGACTGCAATCGCAAAAAATCGCCGCTTGATAGCAGTTAATTTCGTTTTATGACTTAGTTAAGTTCTACATGATTTCTAGCTGTTCCCTTGTTTAAATCTTGTCCACGTGAGACAAACGTTTGCTTTGAATTTTGTTAAAGCTGTCGTATCCTGTCATTCGATTTCCGTTCAATCGATTACAAAGATGCGGCTACACCAATCAAGCATAATCGCTACGTGATTGTGGTCATTGCGTTGCGCCCTTGTCAAACACCATGATAACAGATAACGTATTATTTTTTATTTGTGGAACAAACGAGCATCGTTGTTGTCTCAGTATTTGTTCGAAATTACGTTTCTCTAGAATTAGATTCGTGTTTTCCATGGCCAACGGCAGCATCCGATCGTTCAGTCGTTTTAGCTACGAAATGAAAAGTGTGAAACGAAGTACTAGCCTAACTTATAGACAAAATTTGTATCTTATTAGTCTCCCCCCCGATCCGTACGGTTGTTAGCTAGATTTTTAACGGTCCGTACGGTTGTTAGCTAGAGCTGTAATTTTTTAATTAATGTCCAAATTTTTAGCGGTTTTTATGTACATTTTTACATCTAGAATACATGGTCTACGAAGCTATATAATGGCCTTTCGGGACTTAAAAAACCGATCATGAGGAAATGTTTTTGAATTTTTTCTCCCTTGTTTAATCTTGTCCCCATGCACGATTTTTCTCGAATAGAACCGGGGTACTCAGCTTCATCATTTGAAAGTTATATTAAGTACTTAGATAACTATAATTATGTTATTTGTAAAACCATGACACCGACAAGGCCAATAACCTTTTGTTGATCATAAATTTTAAAGTAGTGATTATGAATCAAGCTGTTTTATTTCGCAGTATGGTTCGACTTATGCGATTCATGTCCCTTGAGGAAACGATGCGGCAAAACTCGAAAATCCATTCTTCTAACAATAACACCCTGTACGAGCGTCCAAATTTATGTTGACAAATTAATTACTTCAACCTCAACAAAACTAATTAAAATTTTCTATCAGAACCGAACCAAAAACGAATGCAACCAAATGTAGCCCGCCTGTGTTTGTAGATGTTGTGTAACTCGCTTGTGTTTTAGTTTCTCACGATTTACGTAAAAAGTGCGAAAAATTTTGTTGCTACTGACGCGAATAAAAAAAGATGCATACCAAATGTAGCTGATTCAGCATCGAATTGAATTTGTCCAGGAAAAGCAAAAAGTACATGTAGATGCCGGGTACTGGATAGCATGCATGCGCGCCTCGATCATAATAATCTTGGTTTCCTGAGTGCGTTATTTGCAGATCTTATCACTCTATGAAGGTTCAAAATGAGGATCTCTTATCGTAATAATTTTGCGATCTTGTTTCTAAAAACTGGCGTTCGGCCTGCATTTTGTATGTGTGACATTTGTGGACATAGTGCTACTATACATGCTTACCCTACAGTACACGGCAGTGTACAACTTGTGCTCTTTGAGTCGTTCACAGTACACGGCGTCCAGGCGACCGAACACTTGTACGGTGCTGTTGTTAAGCTTACACTCGTGGAAGTTTTCACATTTCAGAATACTTCGAAAGCTAGTGGATTGGCACATATTCTGGAGCTTGTAAGCAGCAGCAAGTGCGTTTCCTATATATGCTTTGAATTATTCTAAAACAACTCATGAGTAATGCACTGGTGCTTTCAGGTAAAGAAGTGCTTCTATAGGTGACAATCCATTGCTGTTTCTGATCGGACCATGGACACCGAAGAGTTTCGCAGACGGGGGAAGGAAATGATTGACTATGTAGCGGACTATCTGGAAAACATCAGGGACCGTCCGGTGTATCCCGAGATAGAGCAAGGATATCTGCGGAAATTGATACCTGCTGCGGCGCCGCAGCAGCCGGAATCATGGAACGCTGTTTTCCAAGATATTGAACGTGTTATCATGCCCGGAGTAAGCGCTGATTAATTAAACAGTAACAAGAGCACTACCATTTTATGTAACAGCATAACGTAGAGCAACAAAGTATTTGTACTCCGTATTAATGAGTAGTGAAATCTGCAAACAGATGCATTGCAGTTTACAATGGTCTATTGGAATGATTTTAATGAACAGAAGTGGTTCATTATTATCATCAAAACAGTGAACCGCTTCCTACTTACATAATATACAACTTTTCGCAACATTGATGTCGAAGAGTATTTTCTGTATAAAGACTGTACAGTAACAATATAACGATCAATACGTGAAGGTGACGCATTGGCATTCACCCCGATTCCATGCCTATTTTCCATGTGGAAATTCATGGCCAGGGATTTTGGCAGACATTCTTTCCGATGCCATTGGATGTATTGGCTTTTCCTGGGTGAGGATTCTTGTTATCATCGACCAACTTAACGGTTGTTACATAAGTAATATAATTTATTGTTATCCTAACTTGTAAGCAAGCCTCAAGCGTGGAAAAGGTATTATGCTGCACAACAGAAAGCCAGCTGCATGTATCGACTATACTGTTCATTAGTTAGCTGACCATGACCCGCTTGATCTGCAGGCTGCAAGTCCGGCATGTACGGAACTGGAAACTGTTATGATGGATTGGCTGGCTCAGTTACTTGGGCTTCCCGAACACTTCATGTTTAGTTCCAAAGGACCTGGTGGTGGAGTAATTCAGGTAAGTACTATAACTACGGTAGTTAGACCCAGCTGATTCTGCCCTGCATTTTCATAAACTCGTGGTGATTTTTAGGGAACAGCTAGCGAAGCTTGTTATGTTGCGCTGCTAGCAGCAAAATCCAGAGCAATTCGCAATGCCAAACCGCAATACCCAGATTTGAGCGACGAAGAAATTGCTTCTAAATTGATTTGCTATGAATCCGAACAGGTACAGTACATAATAATTTTGTTATCAGATTCGATACTACTGCTTGCATTTGCATTGCCCACTTGGCTGTGACCGTATATGCACAAACTTATCGTACGCAAACATTATGGAACCGTTTGACTAATACTTATGCCTTGCATTATTACCCTATAGTATTAACTTTCCTATATCTATTCGAGGCTCAACATTGTTATTTTTCGGAATGAACAGCAAGTACTAAGTAACATTGGCAATTTTCGAAGGCACATACCGCTGCAGAACGAGCAGCCATGTTGGCCTTCGTGAAGTGTCGTCCACTGTCAACAGACCAAGACCTATCTTTGCGCGGTGAAGTCTTGGAGATCGCAATAAACGAGGATAAGGGAAAAGGTTTAATACCGTTTTATGTAAGAAACTGACGAATGTTTTTGACCACGTACGGAAGTTAACCATTCTGCAGTTCTCAGGCTATTGTTTTGCAAATATACTTGCAGAACTGAATAAGTCAAATAAACGCAAATAAAGAATTATTTTTGGAATTACTGTCTACTGCTCATATAATAGCTTCAATATAAAGTGTTTTTGAACATTTGCAATAACAACGAGTAAATTTTGATTTCTCGTGCTTCGTTGTTCGGACAGGTCTTGGCTACACTGGGCACAACGGGCTGTTGCGCGTTTGACAATTTAAAAGAATTGGGAGCGATCTGTCAGGCCCAGGATATTTGGCTACACGTAGACGCGGCCTACGCCGGTAAGCCGGTGACCTTTGGAAAGACATACTGCGCGCAGGGTGCACTGCAAGGATCGAGAATTTAGCACAGTATAAAACGACCACGAGCCTAAATGCGCGTTACTACAGTGTGGATATGCAACGGTTTGGTTCCAAAATTTTTGTGCAACCTTGAATTTGTTCTCTTTCACAGGGAGCGCTTTTATCTGCCCAGAATTTCGGTCTTACCTGGAGGGGGTTGAGTTAGCTGATTCATTCAACTTTAATCCGCATAAATGGATGCTTGTCAATTTTGACTGCTCCGCACTTTGGTAAGCGAATATTGTGAATGTCAGGTGACGTATATGTACATATCTAGATCTGCGCAGACGTTATGTTATCCTCGAAATCTGACAACTTTTTACAGCTTGATTTCTCGCAGATGAACCATACAGTAATTCAAGTTCAAGGCAAGATAGGATGATTTAAGTTTTAACTTTGTCGTTGTGGACGTAGTACGTACTGCACTTGCCTGCAGTATTTGCACTTTAATAATCGAACATTTTCTCATAATAATGTACGTACAACATCTGTGTATAACTGTTAGTTTCGCATTTCTTGCTTTCTAGGATTGTGGGTCATGTAATTCTTATCCTTCAATTTTCTTCATCGCTTTTTCTGTACTTAGGTTGCGGGATTCATCTTTATTAGTGCGAGCATTCATGATAGATCTTCCGATTCTTATTAAGCAGCCTGAACACGGAGAAGCGATGCCGGACTATCGGGTATCGGTGCTAATTTTGCCCATGTTGCAAATTGAACTGAAGTTGATAAAACGTTTATTAATATAATTTATACATGTCTACATATAGCACTGGCAAATTGCACTTGGTCGCCGATTTCGTTCGTTAAAGCTATGGTTTATTATGCGATTATATGGAGTGGAGGGACTGCAAAAGTACATTCGGGAAGTAAGTGCAGATTTCGCACAGCGCGACTCCTCATCCTTCAGTTAGTGATCTTCGCATACTTTCCTCCATGCACCATATCCTTCTTTCAATAACTAACCATAAGTAGCATTCAGATAAAAGTAATAAGAACTATCAATGCTGCGTTGTAACTGCGTCCAGTGCGAATTGCTGACTAGAAGTTTTTTCTTAGCAAGTAAACTTGGCTCACGAATTCGAACGAATGGTCAATAAAGATGGACGATTTGAAATTGTTATTCCTGTTCGTCTTGGACTGGCATGCTTTCGCTTACGGCTAGAGGTAGGAGTACAGATACTTACCTGCATACTTAACCATAAATACTATGAACGAATATTTATTTTCGCAAATTTTAGTATCGGTATTTCAGTTTTTCGATTCCAAAACTAATGCATTAAAGATATTAGAACCGGATTATAATGAGAATGACTGTTTTCAGGACGACAGCGACAAATTGAACGAGAAACTGCTGGATGAAATCAACAAGACCCGGCTGATTCACCTGACGCATACTAAAGTACACGGGCGATACGTAATTCGATTTGCCATTTGCTCGAGGTTTACCAACTTGAAAGATATCGAATACTCATGGCACATAATCCAAAAAGTCGCAGAAAGCGTACTACAGGCTGAAGCTCAAACTTCGAACAGTACAAACAACTAGACTAGCTGGAAGTTCCTGTTTCCATGTTGCTATAATAATAAGTGATGAAAAGTCAGTGTTATAAACCTGCATTTTATTCGTTTGAGGCAGACCATTTTTTGTGGTTTTTACGTTAACTCTGGAATTAGTGATGTATATTGTATACTTATGCCGTTTCTACAATCGGCCAGTATCAATAATAGTAATGCCTTATAAAATTTTGAAATTTGCAGACCGGAAGTATGGACGTTTGAAATAAATTCAGGGCTTTATGGTTTCAAAACTGTTTGCGTTTTCATAATTATTTTCTTTGCCTCTGTGGTTTCATGGTTTGCTAGCATTTTTGTTTTCATTCATAGTTGAGTATCTTTTTGACCTAAAGGAGTATCGTACGATTTTATGTACTTATGACTTTATATTATGTACTTTTAAGTAATAATGTATTGAATAATTAATTGCAATGATTTTAGAAGTTGCGATCGAAGATGTGAACGCAAATACAGAATATAAACAAATGATTTTAGGTAGCACAGCAGCCCTGAGTCCTGACAAATAAAGTCCGCTCCTCGGAGTACAGAATCACAGATTGGCTCAGCTTATGTTTGACCAATTACAAACTTTTGCTCCACCTACAAGCCCTACTAGTTCTGCATCATTAACATTACACGCGAATAGTCTGGTGAAGTGTTCATTTGCATTGAACTGCTAGGAAAGTGAGTACGTAGCTGAGGGAGCCTTCTCCGATGCTGTTTTTTGCGGGGGTTTTATTGAGATAGTATGTGGTTTCTATAGTTTAAATTAAATTATGGATTCGGAGAGAGAAATTACACAGGAGTTAACTGGTAAGTTGTTGTTATATTTCGCCCTGTTCGTATTTGCAGAATTTCAGTGGGGTGATTGTGTTCATACATCTGAAAACAAATTCTGGATTCTAAGATCGATCGATACAGTTATACCAACTGAGAGAAAACGTTGTCCCTGGGCCTAAGCAATCGAAAAAATTGCTTGATGTGGCTTTAATAATGCCCGCTTATTGACCAGTCGGTTTGAAATTGAGCGATATGGACCTTGATCGTGGTTCTCCACTCGAAAACGCGTCTACTGCATGAGTGACTCATTGTTGAATATTGATATGAGATATCATTGCTGCCCTACCTACCATGCGTAGACTGCCCTAAATGTTGTTTGGCGCAGTTATACGGTTTTACCTACAAATCGCGTGAAATGCAGGCATTTTATGGATTATTTTGTTTTTGATAGAAAGTGTGATTGCACATCTCCCTAACCATAACCATGTGCAGTATTTTTTGTTCGCGTGATTTTTATGATTTGTTGGATGCAGACAGCATACGGGAGGTGATTGGGAGGAAAGTGAAAATCTCTATGCTGTCGCCTGTTCGATGGGAGAGCAAGCCGGATAAATATGAGCAGCGCATCCTGGTGTGTGCAGTGTGTGGCCTGGTTATTATTACTGCGTGTTTGATTTTTCGGCTGTTTTATTTTGTAGGCTTTTACGGCATGTCGGTTGTTTATCCTGACGGCTAAAGTTCCCAGCAAGGTATTTACGCTAAAATTGTTCTGACTGTTTGGTTAAACATGCGCAACGATCAGCACAATTGGATGCGAGATGCGTGAGGCTGTGGCGCATATATTGTGTGCAGCCAAGGCGAACGGAATAGACGAGAGCGCGATGTGTTGTGTTTGAATTTCTTATCGGTCGTGTGGTCATCTGCCAAACGCTTGCGTGGTATTTCTCCAGATCGATTGGACGTTCAACTACTTGGATCTGGACATTATTGAAAGCAAAAAGTCAAACCAGGTTTGTTCGAACAATGAGTGTTACCCAAAGCAGAAAAAAATCATTCAGTTATTTGGTATAAACATGACTTAACATTTGCGTCGATTAAACTGTTTTCTTGTCGGAAGACATACAGTAGTTCTTTTTGAAATTTTGGACGATTCTTTCGTTAGCAGTTAATTGCTTTTGTTGCACTTAGAATAGTCCTGTTTATATCGGCATGCTTAAAACATTTGAATGTGATAATTTGATTGTAATCTTTTCCGAGACCTGACATAGCAAGTGTATAAAAGCTTAGAATTTAGAAATGTATTCAAATATTATTTTCAGCTGAAAATTTGACTTGCCTGCTTCATCAATCGTCAAATTATCATTAACGCGGGGAAAATCTGTATACACAACGAAAACTTATCTTTACGGAAAATTTCGTTAAATGCATGCAGTTTATTATTTGTGTACAAATAATTCATCTATGATCGAGGTGGTTCAGAACGATTTAACAGCGTCTCGTTGAAAGGTTGCAATAATTTTTCACCGTTACCTTGAACTCTTGATGCTTTGGTTGACATGTAATCCGCGGTCGTATTCATATTGTACAAATATTTTTGCCTGTCTTTCTTTGTGCCGGTGAAGAATAATCATGGTCATCAAACCGTCGCAATTTAGTGATACTGTCAACATGATTTTCTGATTTATTATAGTTTTTTCTTACCGTGGATGGAAAGATTCACAAATTTTATACGAACACCACCACCAACGAACGGGTGGACATGATGATAATGCATTTAGTCACTGCAGTGAAAAGCATCTTTCCGGCTGCCCCCATCGAGTACGGATTACCATTCGAATTAAATTGGTGTTTCCAGATCATGGTGAAAGAAATGCGGTCAATTATATGTCTGTTGTAGACGGATAGTGCGAAAAATAGATCTCCTGCCATATGAACGCCTACAGAATCTTCAAAATATCCTTGAGTCGCTTGAAATACGGGATTGCGGGCCATGCGGAGGTTATTCTAGGATGTACGCCTGCATGTGTGATTATCACTGTTTACCTTATCGGGAAGAAGTCGCATGGGATGTGGATACTATTTATCACGCGCACAATACTCGGGAGTTTTGCCTTCAAGATTTTGATCATCTGGAACCCCGGTATGTACAGATTGCTGTATGCTCTTTTCAGACTTGCTTCGGGGAATGTTTTCCTTTTGCGGTTTGTAATTTTTGTTTTGCATCTTATTTTGCATTTTCTTATGCTCTAGCGACTACAGTCTTGAGAACGTTAGTACGGTAAATGGTTTTTGACTGCGTTTAGTGTAATTTATGTGGACTTTTGAATGTGGATGGAGTTGAAAGAAACCACGCGCTTAATTGTGTACACGCTTCACTGTATGCATAATATAATTACCGTTTACGTGAACCTGTTTTTCTGGTCCATGAAATTTTACAGACCCGACTGGTTTTATAATTTCATATTATGTGCTTACATTCAGTACTAATTAGTTGTTAAAAGGTTTTTCTATACCGGAAAATATTTGAACCTAATATTTTCCTTTCTGTAGCCAGATTCCGCTGTACGGGATGCCGGTGAAGTGGCATCCATAGGCTTATCCGCTGATCAAATCGTATTAATTTTCGTGTCAAATAACGTGTCCGGTGTTGTTTGCACAGTGATCTGATTCCCATCATTTCTGCACTGGAGCATAATACATGGTTCACCCGTCTTAAAGCCAGTAACATCAAACTGGTAAGAAATAAGAATCATATACATAGTGGATGCTACGTAGTAACGTAATGTATCGATTTTGTCGTGGATTCTGCTATGTATTGTGGTGATTCGTGTTGTGCAGTTACCCGAGGCGGCCGAGCAGATAATCAGGGTAATGAAGAAATCGACCAGTCTGGAGGAGCTTTATATGGACAACATTGGTATGAAGGGGTGAGTGAAGAATTGAATTTTCTTTGATTAATCTGCGCCTCCTGGGGTAGTTTTTGTGGCATGGCCTACAAAATGATAATTTAATGGTCATTACGTTGGGTTGTTAGGGAATTTGTTCACAAGCTCTCCATGGCCCTTATTGCCAACAGTTGCACGGCGGTGCACAGTCTCAATTTGGCTAATAATTTGATCGAGGACAAGGGTAATTTTATGGCTATTGTGGATTGTTACCGTTAATTTAGGCATAATAAATGCATGAATTTCTTCCTGTGATCTTGGGCAGTAGTCTGTTGCGGAAGGGTTCGTTCTGCTTCTCGATGTTTTAACTTGGCTGGTTATGCAGAATATCGGAGTAATACCTTTGTAAATTATAATCGCATACGCTTCTCAGCTGGATGCTTTGGCAGTGGGCTAGTTTGCTTTAGTATTTGGTAAAACACTGCTTCATTTTGTGGAAGCTCAGCTATGGAGAATTTAGGTAAAAGTTGTCGCTGTCTTTTTGGCTACTTGGGTTTTTATGTACAGTGATTGCCGGCTAATACACTGCTTTCAGCTGTGGGCTTCCACTTCTAGGTTTGTCCAGTTTATGTGGATTTGTGGCCAAAGCTTCTCCTATAGCAGGTTAACAAATTTTAACCTCTTGCAGCTTTGCATGCACTGTGTGTTGTGTTCTCGTTGCATTTCATGGCGTGGGGTGGTGTTGCACATTGTCATGACTCGTAAAGATAAAATTATTTTCCGCTCATGATTCGTCATTATACATTACACTAGTGCATACGTGTGACTTCCGGTTTTGTGTGTGTTGCTATGTTTCTGAACTGTTCTGACAGTCATTTGTCTGATTGTAGGCGCTAACCATCTTAGTGCTCCAATATGCAAAGCCACCAAGGGCCTAATTGCACTTAATTTGGCGCGAACGGTGCTCAGCAGTAAAGGAGTCAATGCGGTGGCACACGCCTTAACCCTCAACAAATTTATGGCCACCACATTGAAAACACTTAGTTTTGCTGAGAATTCTTTGCGCGATGACATTTCGGTATGGACTCCTTTTTGTAATGTTGTTTAGTTGATAATCAGTGCCAGCTACTCATAAAATATGAGATCTCTGAAATTAAACTTGAAATTTTTGGTTTGGTACAATATCGGTATCGTTTCCTTTAGCTTTGTAGCAGTTAAGTAATTAGTTGTGAGATGGACGCATTTTCCCTTAACAAAATTTTTGTTTTGGTACCGTTGAAACGGAATATTGTACTAGATTTTGAGTAATTTTATGCACCACATTTACGGAGTAGCTTATATGTAAGAAAACGATCCACTGCAAAATGTTTTAACACAGGCTTTTTTATCCACAGCACTTGCTGCGGTTTCTGGGACAGCCGAACACTTTGACCCACTTGGATCTGTCTGGCACTGAATGTAATCTCGATAATGTATGTTTGACACATGGTTGCTTGATGTTACTTAACGTTGTGCAGAATTTGTTCCTCATAAGGAGCTAATTACCAACTGTTTCTTATTTCCAGTTGTTTTTGGCCTTGTCCACGGGATGTCATACTCATCTATCTCACCTTAACGTCTCACGGAACGTTTTTGCGGCGAAAAAGAAAGATGTTTCCTCTGCCTCCTCTCAACCGGTTAAACAGGTCCGATATCACATCTGGGCATGTCCCAGCAAAGTCTATACTCTGTAGCAGTGAAATGATTCTCTGCATTTTATAGTTTTTTACTTCTGCCAAATCTTTAAAGTCTGTGGATCTCTCGTCCACACGACTGTCCAGTGATATTTTAAAGTAAGTGCGCAGATAAGAATTTCAGTATATTCACGAGTGATATTTGGTTTGCTACCTACTCTAGATTACAGTGGACATATCCAACCTGAAATATATCAGTATTCGAGTGCTTTTTTTCGTCAACGGTTGTGGTTTGGGTTATATAGGTCATTACTTCTTGGCTTTGCCAGTAATGCACATTTATCCGACGTCAAGCTCAATTTGAGTGGCAACGATTTCAAATCCTCCCATGCGACGCAGATCATGGAAACCTGCTTGCCGGACATACCATGCATTTCGTCCTTAGATCTGAGTGAATGCAGTAAGTTGGATTACACAGACTTTCTTGTTCTTTGAATTTTTAAAACTTTGTAAAAAATTCACTTCCTTCGTAGACTTGGATCATGAATTCTCAGTGGCGGTCTTGGCTATTGCCCGAAATTCTCATCTACGGGAGTTGAATCTCGCAAGGAATTTTCAGAATGTTAAACCAAAGTATATACTTGTGATAGTTGCAGTATATTGCTTTTTTTACAATTTCATCACTGCTAATTTTTTAGGAATTTGCCTCAGCTCTTGAACGCATTGGTTCACTTAATCCACGATGAGGATTCGGTATGTTCAAAGTGATATTTTATTTTTGGCGCATTTGTGATCCTACCTATGAAAAGTTGGGTTGTCCATTTTTGTTTTTGGAAAAAAATATGGTTGCATAACTTGCACTTCATTGAGCGGTCGATGATGAGTTGGTTTTTTATTTCTTATTTACAGAAACTGCAGAGTCTTTCGCTGTCTGAGTGCAGGCTGAAAAGCGGTGCCGGTCTGGTATTGAGCGCTTTGGGTAGTAATCAATATCTGAAGACTATTGATATATGGTAAGCATGTGTGTTGATTCTGTGCGATTACGCCATTTAGTGTTCGTTTTTCTGTGCCTAGCGGTAATCAAATCGGTGATGCGGGTGCTCGGATTTTCGCCAAAGCACTTCAGGTCAATGCTAAACTGGAGACAATCATTCTGGACAACAACAGCATCACCCATACGGGTTATCAGGATTTGGCCTGGGCTCTGGAGAAGAATCATTCCATAAGGCACATTCCTTATCCTGTTTTCGATGCAGCTGCTTCCATGAAAGTCGTACCCGAAAAATTTGCCACCGTTCTGAATGAGGTTATTCGAAATAAACTGTAATTAATTCGGGGATTATTACTAATATTTGTAATGCACCAGTTATGTAATTTTGAACTGCTTAATGTTTTCCTATCTTTTTCTTTTTGCGGCAAATAATTTAATTTTTTTCCGTCTGCTTTGGTGACTTTTCTATCATAATTTCAGTAGCAGTGTTCTGATCGGATGTCCATATTTGCAGATCGAAAAATTGTTATGGAGAAATCAAGAGCCGCAGACGAAATGCAATGAACGCTTGATACGTTTGAAGCAGGGAGTGGTTTTCTCCAATTCACAGCAGATGGTGGATCAGCTTATCTGTCAAGTGCAAGATGGTATCGATACATTGAAGCGATGCCCACAAGTGGAAGAGTTGGACACGACAGCCCTGGAACTGGAAGGGAACGAATTAGTCACGGATGCCGATCGTTTTAAACAGGTGCGCTCTTCCATTTAATGCAAGTGCTGCTGACTAAGTACGAGTATATTACGCATGAATTACAGTTTCTACACCAGCTCCATGAGTCTACAAATGACAGCAGTGAATACACTGGAGGAGTCGGCAATTTGTTGGAGTATTTTGTTTCCCAGTTGAATCAGACTGTCGATATGCAACTGCGGGATACCATTGAGAAAATGTGTATTAAGGCCGAAGAGCTTTATCCTCAGATATTTCGCCGGAAAAAAGTTAGTATTTTGTTTGCAATACGATGACACTGTATAAATGAATGGTCTTTCGTGATTAGAGTTTTAAAGGCGATTTACTAGCCTCAGCGAGGATCCCACAGGATTTCTTAACGCAGTGCATAATGCGTCAACTGGCTGGTGATGTGGAAGCGAAAATGAGGTAATGAAATAACCCGCAAACGGAACGATAACAATGGTAATGATAGCATTAAGCAGCTTGAGGAGACCGCAGCGGTGTCCTGCATGGTGCCGTATCTATAGGCAAGTGTGATGTGAACGAACGAGAATGATCGTGATCGCATGCTATGTAGAAGTTATTAAGCTAAACTGTTTGCAAAACAGACGATCAATTTCCCTCTTAACCAGCTTAGGATCAGATTCCATAGCTGTTCTTTGGGCTGGATTCTTCTTAACAGCCGACAATTAGCCTAGTAGAAGTGTTCGCCGTTTACAAGCTTAGTTGTTTTTATTTTGTTTGTGGCCTGTTAGATTCCTTTGGATCATTCGAAAGTGTTAAAAATAGAATTTCGGTTTTCGTTTATCGTGTTGGTTTACTACGTTAATAAAAGGTTTTTTCTGTTAAAAAAAACTTGAAAAAGCTGGCTGAATTGCTGATGAGTTGCTGCTATTTAGAGGAGCACCTTTACTTATTCTTATGCGATGTAGAAATAAGATATCGAGTTCTAGCTGTCGCGTTTATGATTTACTCATCATGTTATCCGAAAAAAATACAATAATACTATGCGTGAATACAGATTTTGTTCATTTCGGTGTTCCCATACTCGGGCGATCCGATACCTATGCAGTTGTTGCCCTTCTTGACTGTCACTTATGTTTCTTTGCAGCGAAGTGGTGCTGTGCGCCAGCAGCCGTTTGTCTGACCGCGTACTGGAAGATATCATCAGTAGCATGTCCAGCTGCCACAATCATCTGAGTAACGCCATCAGATTACACGCCGAGTGGTACAACAGCCATAAAGCATCTCCACATCGTGATCAGAAGCAGAAGAGTTCTGCTGTTAATGGCACATCTGAAACCATAGAGGTTAGTATAACTTTTCCAAAACTTATGGGTTTCTGTTAACCGGTGTTGGGCTTTTCTTTCTGTGCTGCAGATCGTTACCGTTAAGGTAAGAATCTAATGGGCATTAAAAATATCATAAAATTTCCTTACCAGTAACCCGCAGCATTCTTTCTGAGCTAGCTAATCCCTCCCAAAACTAACTCCCTAGCTTTCTCCCAAAACTAGCTAATCCTTGTTGCGCGTCTGGTAATATGATTAACGATTTACTGTTATTTAGATTGAAATCTTAACATTTTTGTGGAAATTTAGACATCGAAACCGCGATCGTTCTTTACGAGGAAAATTAATCTCCGTCCACAAAGTATAGCCGGCAATGATGTGGACCTGATTGCCATCGAGGAAGCTTTGAAATTGGAGAGTGTTCGTGAGGTGCCACCTTCTCCCACTGAAATTCCTCAAGAGGAACCCCGTCATCTGCACAAATTGGAGCATTTGAACAAATCGCGTCCAAAACCTAAACGCAACCGTCCTATTTCGAAACCTCCCATGTCAAAATCATCCGGCGACATTCCGCCTATAGACGATGGTCTTGGGAATTTTTTTGCTCTTCCCGAGCTCAACTCAGGCCATCCAAATCGTCTTTCATGGAATAAGGCGGATGCGGTTCAGTCATTACCCGTCTTCATGGCCAGTCCATCTGTAGCTCGGAAAGAATTAGTCCGGCCTGCAGATGAAGTGGTTAAGCGCACATTCGAACCAGTTGTGGAGGAAGTAGAGCGCAATGACACAAAAAGCAGTGAAACCGGTGCAGGTGGTAAGGCACCATTTGGGCTTTCAGAACGGGGATTCACTGCTGATATTATGGCAGAGATGCGAGCTAAGCAGGAGGCTAGAGCATCGGGGATATTTAATCTGAACGTGAATAATGGGGGAAACGTTGAACCTGTATCGAATGGACGGAGTAAAAGTCCTCCACCTCCTACCACGCCGAAACCACGATCTCGTATTGGAGGCTTGGGAAAAAGTCTCGGGGCTAAAAGTTCAGGTGAAAAAACTATGTATTTTCTTCTCCTTATGCTAACAAGTTCTATGAAAATGAGTGTGGCCCATTCAAAACAAGGTCTGACCAATTAATGCCGTAACTGCCCGTTTGTTTTGCATGCCGCTGGAATCCGTGACAGCTAGTGTCTGGAAACTAGGATCTATCGAAAATTGGTCTATTGTCTTCAAATTATTGACCGTAGAACACTTTTTACTGCGTTTATCTTGGCCTTGATCAGTTAAACTGGTGTCATGGCAGTTAAATCGTCATTTTTAACTTCTCATTTTTTATAGAAGAACACGAGAATGGCTCCAGTACCTCACCACCATCACCCACTACGCCTCTCTCCAACACACCGGACAGTTTGGGACATTTGGATACGGCTAGCATTGGGTCGGATTCTGGTGTTATGAACGACTCCGGATCCCATAAATCTGTTCGGGCGTTGGTTTCCAGTTTGGAGCATGCAACCGGTGACGATGTGGAAGCTATGCGGAAGGGAGCATCGTTACCGCGCACAGTAATTGCAGGTAACTGCTAACAGAAAAATATTATTGTCACTTTTTAATTCAAATACACTAATTAGTTGCATGGGTTTTAATCTGAAATTCCCTACGTAATGTTCAAGTAACGAATTCTGGTACCATGACATAGAAGCACTGCTTGGTACATGGAATATGAGTAAAAAAGATTGTAGCCGCTATTAAAGTGAAATACCGTAGAAAAAAATTAACTTCGTGTCCTTTACCAAATTTAGCGAGTGTTACGCGCTCCAAATCCATGCGCTCCGCAGAGACTCCTGAACAAAACAATGTTCCGGCTCCTTCAAACTCTGGTGGCTCTCCACCCACGCCTAGTCGTCCGATGCGGACTCTTAAACTGAAAGATCGCGTCAAAAGTCTTTTTAATGATAGCTCAAAGGATGTCAAAGCTCCTACGGCAGCCGATGGAAAGACCAAAGTTATTGAATTTTGAGTTTGAATGCTGGTTTTGCAGTTTTTATGAGTTTTTATAATGTTTTATACAAAAATGCCAAAATTTAAAAGTTTTATGTTTTTATTGGTTTCTGTGTCATGTTAGAAGTTTCTTGACAGTTAAGTCTGCTTTTAAGCACTCATGTCATACGCCTTGGCTGACGTGCAAGAAATTTCATTCCGAAATTCTACAGCTTTGTAGCGAGGCTTAATCAAGCAAACTTTGGAAAAACAAAAACAGTTAAATGTGGCTACTGTGATTCTGCCATCATATTACATTGAAAGTCAGCACTTGGGCGGCCTGTATAACGAGTCTCTAATAGCGTCTTCAATCAAGCTGCATAAAAACTGCTTAAATCAATTCACACACCTGCAGATACAGTGAGATCGAAACTTCAAACATTTGGAAACTCAAAATAAAATCAAACGGTTAAAACCAAGCAAATCAACGATGCTTTACTCACAAGACCTTCAATTTCTAAAAAGCAAAACCGGCAACAACACTTCACTGATTGTGAGTTCACTCTCGCGTCTGATAAAACAGTATATATCCCGTTTCCGAATTCTTCTGCAAGTCGGAAGTCAGACCGTAGAAGTCCTCCACCGCCGATGCCTCAATGCGTTCCACAACGTCATCATCAAATAGCAGCCACACATTGTTACTAGTCTTGACAATACTGATATAATGTCCCCGATTCGGTCCGCTCCCACAATGCACTACCACTGCTGCCAAATCGTACAGCTTCTCCGGGTTCATACAGTCACTGGACGTGTTGAACAATCGCAATTCCAACGGAAACACCACACGGTAGGACAATTTTGTGTACCGGTTCAGTTGATCCACGTATTTGAAACGTTTCAAATGAATGGCTAAAATGCGCGGCAGACGCTTCAGCCTCATGCACTTGGTGGCCTCCTGCTTGGCCGAACAGGTTTCACAGAAATACTTATGTTCCGCCGACAGCGTTTCCGTGCTGCTGAAACCACGGAGACACGCCGACAACGACGTATGCTGATCGATGTCCACCGACAAATCAAGGAAATCCTCGTCTTTACTGCTAACTGTTTCGCAGTTCAGACACTTAGTTTCGTTTGTCAATGTTCCCTGGAATATTTCATGGATCCAGGTGGGTTCGGTTTTGTCGTTATGCAGGTAGCCATTTCGAGTATCCGTGGAAGATGCGCCCAGCCCAGCGCCGATTCTGTTGTTGACGGCGGATCCATTTACTAATGGAGCCGTGGATGCTTGTCGTTCCGCTTGCAGCAGATCACCGATGTAATTCAGGAGATAATTTAGGAACTCATGGGCATCCTGCTGCATAAAGTTGTCGAAGGATTCGTTTTCCTTTCGTAGACGGGCTATAAATTTCTTCGGGGCAATGGTGCCCAGCTTCTTCTTCTGGCTGACAATGTTAAAGTACAGATCCGATAAACAGCCCAGAAGATTTTCTTTGGAGCGTTTATTCTGTACACGATACTGTAGAACTCGGTCGCGAAATGGTCGACAAAAATACAATGCCTGTAGCACAGAATTGCAGTAGCATGTATTTCCAAAATTCACCTAAAATGTTCGAAAAATTAGATTATTTCTGCAAATCGCACATACTAAACAAAATATATGCCACATGGAATTCTGTCGCATATGCCACGACTACTTCATCCCGTCATCAATTTTGTCAAGTAATAAGGTTTAGCATCATAGCAGCAACTCAAGATCATCACAAAAATAAGAAAATGCGCAGTCAAAGAACGAGAACATCCAGCAAAAAGCGTACAGGGAAGATGTACAGTACTGCTGCTACATAGGGAAGAGACATGTACAGGGTGCGAATAATAATTACATTTCCGACCTACCAGGCCATAATATCTCTCGTTCACCGGGATCTGCTCCACACCGAGTTCTTTCTCCAGCTGAGATGCGTTGTTACCCATGTTAAGATAAGAAAATCTTCGCAGAAAGCACTCGGGCGCCACTCCTTCGGGGGAGGCTGACTTTTGCGTTTTACCAGGAAGCACTGATTTGAAAAATTTCTTGGCTGCTAATTTCGGGCCACCGTACCTACATAATCACGGCAGATAAATGACCAACCCAGATCTCAGAAGCTACAAAACACGTGCTGGACACGTTTTGGCATACCTCATCAACGTTTCTTTCTCTGGATTCAAAGCTCCCGTCTCCAGACGATCGTCACCAGAACGTTTCATTGACGATCGACAAAGCCCACTACAGTAGAATCCTTAACCATTCATTCCGGGAAACACCAGACTTTTCAGGGAATAAGAGTCAAACCGTCAAACAGCCAAGGTTTCCCAAATACATAGGAGTAAGTAATGATTGTAATCGCTGAGATGTTAACAACAGGCTGAACAGAGATCGCGCACGTACATTCACACAGTCATTCCCCAAGTCAACAGATTATCTTAACTTTCACCCTTGGATATCCACAGAATCGACCAGTCCAAATAAAAAACGAAAACGAAGAAAACATTAGAAGCAGCAACTTCGGATTCTGGCTAAACAGGCTGGGATGTTTACGAATTATGGTGGAAAAGTGGCAATGATGTCACTGAAAAAACCAATACAATCCTGAAGATGCTGATTTGCATGTGATGCGTGTATACATGGGCGGCGGGCGCTCTGGAAATAGTACTGTACTGGCTCAAATGAACGGCGCTACTCCATGCGGAAAGCGTGCTAGACGCAGACGGAACCGCCTTCACTTCTCGCCAAGGCCAAAATGCGTACTTTATACTCGTACAATGAATGGATCGCAAAAATAATAAGTTCCGTAAGTACTTGTTTGTATGAGTTATCGCATTTTCGTTGACCGCTTACAAAAGTGCTAAACGGTTGTAATTAATTCAAATGTTTGTGTAGAATAAATTAAACATATTCTAAAAGTTCGGAATCTCATTCTCGAAGTTACTGTACTTGAGACATACGTGATAGAGCAAATTCGACTGCTTGCGGCAGTTATCACTTATCCCTGGGCCACAAAGAAGAGCAGCGTTTCATTTTTTCACTGCCAGCGGGCGGAGTCTTGAAACGACAACAACATTACGCACTACTGACGCTACCGTCGAAATTTCAAATCATTCATCGTTCATGTCAAATCCGCACCTGCAGGCTCCGGCTGAAACTTTTCCGTTTTTCAGAATCAGTACAGTACTTAATTAAAATTTTAAACATTCAAGTACCTAAACTAGAAAGATCTACCAGTGGCCTAGCGGCTAGCAGCCGATTTACACTGCCCACATTTGTTTGCGGACTTACTTTGGTCATCGTTGTCCTTCGACAGCCTTTGCGTGTGTTTGTGGCAGTTTCGCCTGTTATTCGAAATCCGTCTGGAGCCAGCTACCAAAGTTTTGGGATGGTTTGGTTGTGGTGAGGAGTTCGGACAAACTAACCAAAGTACAGTACGTACGCCAGAAATTTTGTCGTAGAACTTTGCATTTCTCTTTTTAGCGTTTGTTTTAAACTGGCAGCTGCATTACAACAGGGGGGAAAACGCGGTTACCTAAATCTCTGTTGAAAATCACGAACACGCTCACACGATGGACTTACCTGAGACTCCCAAAGATGCCATTAATCTCGATATTCAAAGTAAATCTCGGAACTAGCAGGTTTTCCTGGAAACCTGCAACTTGAGTTTTTCCAAAGAAATGGACTGGTTCTCCTGATAATCAAGATTTTATTTAGAAATCATCAGCGCGCTCGTCGAAGCGGAGAACGACAAGGAGAAGGATGACAGCGTTAAAAGTCAGATTTCCAATTCAGTCTACGCGTTGGGAATTAAACATCCGTCCAGTGTCATTCCGGCGCTGTTGGCCTACAGAAAACAGCAAGTACGTTTGCTTTCCAAGATGTTTATGTTTGCGCGCATCCTGCATTCTTGTTTACTCTATCTGTTTAGCTGATAGGGAGATCTAATGTACGGTCGTGATTGTAGCATATCAGTCGACAACAGAAACTGTTGATTTTAACAACCATCAACAGTATTATTGATCATGCGGATTTACTAAGTAAACTCGACGAAAAATTGGCCATTTACATCATTGAAGCGGCGGTTGCCAGTCTGAATGACAAGGTAGGCCAGATTTCCCCATTGTGAATACTCTTCATTGTTGTCCAGTTTCGGTTCAGACTATGCGCGATAAAAGATAAACGCGGCGCAATCTGTGTTCTGAATACAGTATATTTTTATGCATTTGTTCTACAGTTCTCAAAGTAATTTTAGGCACCGAACTTAAAAAATACCTGTACCGGAAGCTTTCATATTCGTATTGCTATATTGTTAGAAGGGTGTTTACTTGTAAAAAATGCGTGTATTCGATATGCTTTTGAATTAAGGTTTACTTGATTTTGGTTTTGTAGGAATTGGTGGAAATTGGTAGCGACTTGCTGGTGTCCATGAGCAGAAACTTTTGCATCGAAGTCATGAAGCAGATGTTGAATTTGTTCCAGCCTGGTATTCTTCCAACCGTGACAACATTCCAGACATTTGGTCGGATATTCTCAGCCAATGTTTATGATTCCATTCCATTCCTGAGTGCTGTCCTGAGCATGCTAATTCCCATGCTGCCGGAAGCGAAGAATGAGCCGATCAGGAAAGCCATTTGTAGCGGTGAGAAATGAGGATTAAAAAATGGATTGTTTCGGACCTTTTGATAGTATCGTGAATTTTACAGCCGTATCGCAGTTTTCCGAAGCTTTGTTGGAATATGTGGCTAACGAGAACGAAGCTCCGGATCCGAGTGTGAAAATTAGTTTTTATAGTCACGAGTTCAATGCCATTTTTGAATACATTCTCAACAATTGGTTGGCAAAAGTCAGGGATCCGGAATTGGCATCCTATGTGCTGCATGCATTAAGCAGCGTTGCCCGGGTTATTTCCAAGGAAAAGCTGCAAGAACAAGTAAGCATGCTGTAGTCCAGAAATCAAGAACTGCATGCTTCATGGATTTGATTCCCATTTTTTTCTCTAATTTTTTTTCTAGGCGGAAAGGCTGCTTTCCAGTGCTGTTGCCATTGTCCGTCGTCATCCCCATGAATCTAATGCCACAGCCGGTCTGGCTGTTGTCCTGGAAATTCTTGCTTCGAATGTTCGGTCCACGTTGGAGCCGCAGTTAGATGGCTTGATCGACGTCATATTTGCTCAGGTGAGTGTCATAATTAGCTCGCAGTGGCAGTTGTGATACTGTGCTGTCTTTTTAAAATTCGGTTGTATTCGGTTTTAGCATCTTGAGTTATTTTTAAGCTGTTAAAATCTTGTTTTTGCATCCTTACTTTGGGTTAGGCTTGTGCGCCACCAGATTATTCCAAACCGATGGGCGTGAAGTCTCATAATGAAGTGCTTCGGTGTTTTGCAATCTTGCATTTGAACTTTCCCGACAAGATCATCAGTTTTCTGTTTGGCAAGCTCAGTCCCAATGTTCTTAAAATGACCGTTAATAAGGACGCCACCGATCGAACCGTGGTCGGAGCACTGACCATCATTAACAAGCTGGTCAATCAACAAGGTTCGTAACTTTGATTCCTTCCCCTTTTGTATGCTACAAGTATAATGCAACTTGTGTGCGAGCAAAGTTTGTTTCTGCTAGACGTGAGCTTCTCGTTCTACGTGACCCCTCTCCTCAAAGCCTTAGATCCTATTGTCTCGCCCACACCACCGGTTGCTCTGTCCAACAACATAAAATTATCAGTTGGTCAGCTAATTCTCACACTGGCCGATCGGCAGTATTTGACGCTCGAGAACTCTCCTCAGCTGATTGAGTTTGTTATCAGACAGTGCGCAGTGCCTGCCACAACCATTCCTCGCTCCCCATCCGGCCTAGAGTCCATTACGGATGAAGCTTTGCGCGCTTCCTGTGAGAATGTCCTGCACCTGTTGACGACAACGGTGCAGGGTATGGAAAGCCACTTGCTGCCCAGTCTGTTTGATTTCGTTGTGGATGGCCGCTATACCGAAGCCGTGCGCACTGTTGCTCGGTGTCTGTGCCATCTGAACACCAAGCAGGATATTTTTGCCAGTCTACCCAACGGAATTCCCGGAAAGCATCCGACCCTACTGGAGCTGTTTACGCGATTGTTTGTGCTGAGCGGTTCCGTAGCAGAAAAGGCAGACGATGAGGCGCTGCTCCGATTGTTGCAACTTGTCGCGACGAGAATTTCCGATGTAATCAAAGAGTTGTGGGATGGAACCATAGATGAATTGGAAGTCTTCGTCAAAACCACTGCTGACCGATGGGATGAGAAGGCGTGGCATGAATCGCTTTTAAAAGTAAAATTTATGCATACTTTTTCGTGTATAACACGTTACGGCTGATACATTTTTAAAGTTCGAAAGTAATTTTTTAGAAAAATTCATGTCCGAACGTGCATGTTATTGAAGCCTAATTCTGTGTTTGTTGTTCAGCTGCTGAATACAAGCCTGCGAGACTTGCGCAATGTGGAGCCAGATTTAGTCAATCGGATAACGGAATGCTTCGCCTCACAGATTACGTTGTACACGGAATATCCCAACGAAAAAGCTTTTTTATATTTGGCACTGGGATCAGCCTTAGAAATCGCCAACGATCCACTTGTGGTCAATAAGGCACTGGACGGTATCTTCTCCAATGTCTTCCATCAAAAATTGACAGAACGCCAAGCGTGCGCTGCCGCTACAGGCCATGCAAGTGCTTCACATTTTGATTTGATTTTAAGCAAGTTGGATGGGTTTTCATCCAAAGAGTCACATGGGAAACGTTCCAGTTTCTTGAACATTTTCAGTGGTGGGAAGGACAAACAGGATAACATGGACGAAAAAACGAAAGCCACTATGGTATTATGTTATGCCCATGCAGTAGTTGGAGCACCGAAACCACTGGTGTTAGCGCGTATTGACGATATTATGCGCTCCATTATGCCGCTCTTTGTCGGCGCGAAGGATTTCGCCACGAAACACGCTCTATGTCGATTGACGGAAATGTTAGCTAAGACACTACGAGAGACCAATACTCCTCTTGAAAAGCGTGCCAATCTGATGTTCCATATGAAAGATTTCGTCAAAAGCGAACCTTCAGAACTACGGTCATCGGTACGGGCGCTGGCCATAACCGCCTGCTCAGAACTAGCACTGTTGCCTCCAAAGATTCCCATGGAAGAAATGGAAGATGCGCTATTGTTGTTTTGTAATAACGTCTTCCCTCTTCTCCCTCCGCGTCACGATTCAGCAAGTCCGATGCAGCTGGATTTAACCAATAACGCTTACCTGAATTACGAAGTATTGTGGGAAGCAACTTGCACGGCATTGACAGAATTTATGATAACGATGATCAGAATTTACCGGAACTCGGAGGCTTTAACAGCACTGCTGAAAACGCTGAAACCGTTTTTGGAGTCTGATTCGGATCATGAGCGGTACCATTCGCTGGTCACATTGTACCGCGTGGTACAGTCGGACGCTATGAGTGAACTGATCATATCACCGGTGCTGGGAATGTTATCCGGGATGATGGCTACGCGGGCCGTCGATCCCGATGCGCGCTGCCGAGAGACAGCTTTACAGTGTGGCAGTCAGATAGCCGCTGTGGCAACTATGAATAAAGATGCAGATGAAGGTTGGACAGAAGCGGCCAAGTCGTCCTGGTTAAAAGAAAGTCTGACCTCACATGCGTATGCCACGAAAGTTGCAGGGTTGTTCTTCAAAATACTAGAAGGCGAGCAGCTGTTAAAGTATGTCCGACAGTTGTATTATCAGGGATTGATGGAAAAGCGCGTACTGACCGCAGCGGGAATCGGAGCGATCTTGCAGGCAACCCTAAAGCACAAATATGGACCGGTTAGTGGACAGAGTGTGGAGATTGTGGCAGGATTGTTGTATGCACTCAAATTCCTCAAAGAATCCACCGTCAAAGTGGCCGTGGAAGGATGCATTCGAGCCATAGCAGAGCACGATACAAACATCGTTGCACAGGTGTTGATGAATCAACCGGTGCCTCTCCACGCGTAAGTACACTAAATACACTTATTAGATGGGATTATTCGAGGGAACCGAATGCAGATGAAGCCTAAACTAAAAACTATTGTATGAAGTGAGTTCTTGTAGTTATTTCGGGTACCTTTCTCTTGCGCTTTGACCGAAGCAGCCCTTTCTGCATGCGCATATTCTTTTTACAACCTCTATATTTAGAATATTTATGCAGTGAAACGTATTCGATATTATGAGAACACTATGTTATATCACCTTCAGAATTTTCTGATGCAGCTCCGTGGCGGACCTTTGGCGTTCTCTGGGTGCCGTTCCAGCGTTTGCTTCCGTTCTTCTGGTTCATTGTCTGGACGCACTGCGCAATGGCCCGCTTTTTGCAGAGGTGCATCCATCAGTAAAGTGCGTTTCACTTCCGGTCTTACAGAGCTTAGCTGTATTAACGGAGCTCTTCCAAGCGAGTGGCAATGTGGAGCTTCTGCAGGCCAATTTTGCTGATATATTTCCTGTCCTTATGGTCACCGCCGCAGCTATGGTTGGAGCTCAACCTCCCAAGCCGCCTTTTGTGGCGATTGCATCTGAAAACAGCGCCGTGGATGCCGAATGGAAACAAGTATATAAGGTTAATCCTTCCCGATTGGCTGTTGACTGTTTGAAGCAACTACTGAAGAACACAAATTCGGTTGTGCCGATTTCATTTGAAATGATGGAGGACACCGGCATGTATGCAGAAGGACTGTACGTTACCAGCAAGTGCGTATTCCAGTCAGTTGACATTAATACGGGAAAGATTGTGTCAAATTTGGCGCCGTATTTGGATTTGGAAATTGATGCCCAGCGTGCCGCTGCTGTCGCCATGTATGCTGCTGTAAGTGATTACGGTTGCTTAAAATTTTTCCGATCTCTCTCTTTTTTCAATCTTTTGTTATATTTTGCCATTCGGTTTAGATGTTGGAAAGCAAGAAGCCCAGTAACCACTCTCAATTAGCTATGGTTGTGAATCATCTGGGAACGAAGAGCTCCGACCAGGCATCGGTTGTTCGAATTTTTTGCATTCGTGGGATCGGTAGTCTTTCAAATTTTGGACCGGATATGGTAAGAATAATTTCGTCATTCTTCTTTTATATTTCTCAGTACTCGTATAATTGCTGATTACTCTATACCTACTGTATTGGCATAAAGTGGAGATCTGGCTGTGTATTTTATCTCCTTCGGCATTTGTTACGCTTGTGAATGATCGGGCTGGTATGGTTTGATGGCGAACGCTATGCTGATATTTCAATGGTATGGTTATACAGGTTGACGCACACGCGCCTGTCATTCTGAAAGTTATTCTGGCTGGACTGGATGATTCAGCTGACAATGGTATGACGAGCGCACCGGTGGAAGCTATGAAAGCGCTGAACAGGATCATCCCGATTATTGACCGTTCGCGTATTCAGGATGATTTAATCAGTTTTGCATTACGTCTGCGACCATCGTTCGAGAGCGACACGCCCATGATCCGTGGAATGGCATTTGCGTTGTTCGGACAACTGGCTGCCGCAGCGGAAGGTGACCATATCAAAGAAGCTTTTGTCCAAGAGATTCATAACCTTATGGTTATTCTTCTACTTCATCTGAACGATGAATACATTGAAGTGTCACTGGTAAGATATCTGAACCTCATCGGAAATGTCTTCAGTGCTTTAGCGCTAAATATCAGTATGTTGCACAATATTATTAAGTGCTATACAGAGTATTATTGTTTCGTTATATCGTTAGGCGTTATTTTCGTTTCTTTTTGTGTCTTAATAAAAGCTTTTCGATTGTCGTCCCAGTTTATTGATTTTTGTTCTGTTTCACGAATTTCAGTCTACCAAAGCAGTCTTCCGGCTCCTGTTACCGCTGATGAAATCTGAGGGCATGAATAATGCATTTAGCTATCCCGACGGCATTACCTATGGACGCTTGCTGCGACTGCTATGCACCTCGCTGGTACGATTTGAAATAGTTAAAACTTCGTTCAGCATTCATAATTACAATTGTTTTTTTACAGGGAACGGAGCACCCCGACAAAATCCCAATGTACATTAATCTGGTCATCGGTTATTTCCGCTCCGAAAGCGCAGCAATGCGATCTAATGCTGCTCTGTTGGCTGGAAATCTGGTGTCCCAAGCAACAGCGGCCAACGAGAAAAACGCTCTGCCTGGGCACATCTATCCGTCACTGGTGCAGATGTTAAGCGATAAAGATGCCACGGTCCGATTGCGTGCCGCGGAGGCGTTGGGAATGCTGTATTGAGTTACACGTGAGACTAGATTGCAAAATTTTTCATGCGTTTTGGCCAAAATTGTGTGAGTTTATTTATATATTTTATATGTTTTTATTTGGTTGGCACTGGAAAAAATGAAATATTTGTATGCATTAGATACGAGTTCAGTTGAACTTGAATCTTCGTTTAGTTCTTGCTTAACAGCTACAGCAATCTCTGCTACCTAGACTACTTTAGAATATCTCTGGTGTTTGTTTTTGCATCCTTCGGTCGATAAACGCCGGTTTCGTGATGTGTGTGTTTCGCTTAATGTAAGTCGAAGCATTTCATAAATTGGTAGTGCTGACAATTCTATAAGCTTCGACCGTATTGTGATGTTTATTAATTTAATCGTTCGTTGTTTTGGTTCAGTCCATCAACAATAACGATTATTCGTCTCATCAGGCTCGTCGATTGTCTTATCAGGTCTGTATGCAACCAGAGGTCTTGCGTTTCGCCGCAGCTTGCGCCTGATGATTCATACATTTGCGCATCCTTGTACATATGTTTTGAATTCTTTATTTAGCCTCTTGTTATTTATTTTTTTCCGACATTATCACCTAAATGTGCACTATATCAAATAGTTAAGGAACACCAAAACAAGTTACAGTATAAATCTTACAACGTGAGAAAACCATCTTGGAAAGGTCACAGCATAGGCACCAGTCACATAAAAAACAGTACACATTACTGTCCTCTTCGAGCTGGAAAGTGGCATTAATTATTTCTGTGGATAATCGGGCAGTGGACTGCTGTCATACTCGTACACTTCTTTGTCGCTTTTGCTAATACTTCGCTGCCGTATACACAACAGCGCCGACGTGACACACGATGCCACCAGGAGAGCAAAAATCAGCGCAATGCCAAAGGCGAAGAGGACTGTGTTGACGCACAGTGTAGAACTGTCGCCGGCTTGCGGGGCGATGCGGAGTAGTGATTGTGGCGAGGTGACGTCTGCCGGGGATATGACGCGAATACTGCTGGACAGAGGGATTTGACCGGTGGACTGCACCGTGGACAGAGTGGTCAACGTCTCATTGAAGCCGAATTCCGCCGCCTCACGCCGGCGACGATCAAAGACGGTGCGACGACGCGGCCCTGGAGTGGGACGGGGTCCATAACCTTCTTCCGGCGGAGGCGTGATAATCTTGGGCGGAACATACGGTGGGCGGGGCGGAACGTATGGCGGGGGTTCGGGAGTTTCCACGGGATACTGTTTCAAAAATTTTCAATTAACTGGTAAGTACGGATACAATTTTACGAGTGCCCTAGAGATTAGTTATAGTTATGCTGTTACAATAGAATATGGAAAGCAAGACTCCTGCGAAAGGTCAATATTTAAACTATTAAGCTCGTAATTAATATCATAGTAAAACTGAAGTAGTGACGTACGACAATTCTTCGTCGAGTAGTTGTCGTCGTCGTCGTGGTTGTCGTAGTTGGGGGCGGAGTAAGCTTCTTGATTGGTCCATAACCGTCATCGGGGATAACTGGTGGCGGTGCTGGCGTAGTGCGTCGGTGCAACTTGTAGCTATTGTCGGGAACAACGGGCGGCGGCTCCACTTGACCATAATTTCTTCCGGAGCATTGTTTAAAAGGACAGCCTCCCTTACAAACGGCAATGTTGCACTTTATGTTCACCTACAATCAGGTAACCGTTAGCGCTGTGTGACTTCAAACCCGACCAAGCAATTCAGAGGCCAAATTTCAGTTTCTGCGTTGTTTCCTTTAAAATCTACAAAATATTGTGCCTTTGAGGCTTTGACAGCGCACGAATGTTCTCCTTATTCTGCCATTAACATACAGTATAATCATCCGGGAATTTGAACGCTGTTAAATAGGCATACGCAATCTGGGCAGCGGTATTCTGTGTCTCCCGTGTTGTCTGCCATTGGCTAATCAGTTTCTCCTTCATCACACACCCATTCTCATCGGTCAACTGAATCTTATTCCTGTTCTTCCCATCCGTGGCGTAGCAGTCCAGGACCTGAATCTCCATGGTCACATCTTTCGTCTGCAGATAGATAACCAGCGTCAGCGTGTCACCAATCTGCACAATTCCCTCCGCAATAACCGGCGCAAATGGACCCCGCCCCACTTGTACCGACATGGCTGTCGTTACGTCGTCGCCATTGAAATTCACGCTGGTTGCAATTCCCATGTCCACGCGGAACGGTGTGAACGTGATCGTGTTGCGGAAGTTAGAATTCCAGTTGCAGCGCACTTTCCGCGCCACATCCGTCAGCTGCTGGATCATGGCGTCATTCTGCATGATGATGGTGTTTTCGATGTAGCGTATAGGCGGGGATTTGGTGTCATCGTTGCCGCTCTGCGTGCCGCACGCATTAATGGGAATAGTGAAGGTGAATTTGTTGAGATTCTGATTGGCCTGGATGAATACACAGCCTTGCGTGTAGTACGAGCCTTTGGAATAAATGATGCCGTTGAACACCATGTCGAACTGTATTGTCACTTGCATGCCGCTGGCGTCGCATGTGGCATCGATTAAGGTCAACTGGGGAGTTTTTACGCGGGACGGCATTGAATACCCCATGGAATCATCATCGTCTCCGTTGTCCCTGGCCGCCGAACATATCTAAAAATCCACAAGAAACTTTGCATTACAAATCACATCACTCTAACGGTACCACCGTTACAACGCATTTCGTAGCATTCGAACCACTTTAAGGTCAAACTGAGTTTGTACGTTACCACTTCCAAAAAGGTTAAGAGGCATTTAAGGGAAGTGGGCCGGTACATGGTACCAAATTCGTGTACATGCACGAAAACTTACACTTTCGCGCACTCCCAAACACATTTTTGTTTCAGTTTATGACATTCTGTAGCCAGAAGATTTGCATACACTGGTGTGAAAACCGTTTGTGCGCGCAACATCCGGTTCGGAAGTTATGACTGTTAGCAAATTCCGAAAAGTTTAAATGCATTCAGGTGTACCAAAAGTCTCATTATGGACCGATCTCTTTCAGATTTTGCACGTAAATGCACATAACCACGAAGAACGTTTTTACACCGATCCACTGTTCTAGCATGTTTTTCAAATTTTAAAATGCATTTCAAAAATTTTAAATTTTATTTTAAAATTTGAAAAAAATCATGCAAGTCTGGATCGGTGTAAAAACAATCTTCATAGACATGCGCATTTACGTGCAAAATCTGAGGGAGATCGGTCCATAATGAGACTTTTGGTACACCTGAATGCATTTAAACTTTTTGGAATTTTCTAACAGCCATAACTCCCGAACCGGATGTTGCGCGCACAAACGGTTTTTACACGAGTGTATACAAATCTTCTGGCTACAGAATATTAAAACCCGAAACAAAAATGTGTTTGGGAGTGCGCGAAAGTGAAAGTTTTCGTGCATGTACACGAATTTGGCACCATGTACCGGGCCACTTCCCTTAAAAAAAATTTTTATATAAATAATAAATTTCAGTATATGTTTTGCTGAATTTGTTGGCAATTTAATTGTAGGTTGCATAATGGCTTCGAAAACGGTGCATTTGGTGATTCAACCGTCAACAATATGCTAAAAACTGCAATTTCTTCACCAATCGTAAAAAAGCATAATACTTTGTATAATTATAGTTTTGAATAGCCAAGTGTTAAGTCACAATCACTCCGGAACACTACGTTTTCCTCTTCCGATAATGCATGCTCGTTGCATATCTCCAATGTGTAAATTTATTAATACCGGCGTAAAGAAGTTCTCATTATTTCCAACTGTGAGAAACACCGCTATCCATCTGTTTTTCTCAGTAAACAAACAGCCGCAGCGCATAAATTAGGATTACGATGGTATTAACGAGCCCATCACGGATTATGAGACCTTTATCCGATATAATCTCATTAACATACCCGAAGTGCCATAAAGACTCCGAGAACGATGATATCCGTTGTCAATCGACACATAGTGAAAGCCCTGCAAAGGAATATTTGTAGGTCAACAAGCAAAAAAGCGAAAGCTGAGACGGAATTAACAGTATATGCACATTCAACCTAACTGCATCATACGCCTCAATGAGTAATGAGTTAAAACGACAACATATGTTTTTATTGATTTAACTAAATTTAATTGTATCTGATGGCTGAAGAGGTAGAGAACGCGCTGCTCGGAAGCCAGATCTCTGCGTTCCCGATAAACTCTACGTTCATTAAAAACTTCATCGAAGTCACACTCCAGGATTTCTTTCAGATGTCGCACATTTTAGTAGTCTTGTTAGTTTATAACACATTCTTAGTTCTGATGCCGACTAATCAAACAAAATGGTGTACCACTTTAAGATGTTACATTTATCTGTAACTGTGGTCGGCCGCGGGGTTCAAGTTCAAATATGTACTTACAATTGGCACATGCTACCGAATTACTCTATGTGAAATTTTTATAATGCCGCACGAAGTAATTTATGCGGGTGACACTGAAAATATTATGACTGAAAGTTGGATCGTGCTCCGGTACGGTGATAAACACCACGAACAGTTTCAGAAACAACGCGATGTAAAGGTATAAAACCGATTAACTTTTCAATCAGCAAAAAAGCTCCCTTAAATAAGTACAAAAAATTTCTAACAGTTTAGTTTAAGGATATCCGCTCAAGACGGTATTGATCTCCATGCTTACTGATATACAGTATTACGATAACAGTTTGTATTATCGTATTTTTTTAGAAAATTACCGTAGTACAGGAATAATTACGTGTAGTGCTTTTAAGAAATTCAAAACGCTGTGCGCGAACACTCGCTATTATTCATACTTTCGGTTATTTAATCCTTTAACACAGGTTAAAACTTAAAACCGGATGTTATCAGCATCTGCATAAAATTTTCCGCTCACATATAACTAAAATGGAAGAAAAAAGCTATGTAGTATTGTAGATGAGATCAAGGGTACAATAAACCAGCTAATTCGAGCGAGCAATCGCCACGAACTGCGGTAATAAAGCGAAATATCAGAAACGGGGTTAACTGGGGCATCATAATTCAATGCATCACCACATCACTAAACGGCATCGAGATGCTTCAAAAAGAAGACATTTCCGTATACGGAAGTATTATGCAATACAAAAGAGCACTCTTGTAATGCATGACAACCGATTAACAATCCGGCGTTTATGATCGCCGATCATTTTAACACCTGTGTTTTTCGACAGTTTACGTTACTGCGGTATACAATTAGTAGATTAAACACTACCCGTGCTTCCGTTTAATGCGTCCGTCGGGCATAACTTCGGGCACCAGAATGTGGAATAATCACTGAATTCTAACTTCTTTACGCGGTACTTCGATAGCAGCCATACCCCGGCCCTGGCTTTCACAATTATACCCACAACCGGTATCGCTAAATTATGCCTCCTACTGCATTCAGAAGTAACAATGCAAGACCGGAAATTCATTTTCTGTTTATGTTTCTGATCTAGAAACTCTGAATACCATCGAACGATTAAGCTATAAACACCTTTGAGCCACATTATTCCAGTTACGGAAGTCCGAGCTCAATCAAAATTCCATTTGCAAATTTTAATATTAGTTTGTAATAAATTGAGACCTTCAGAAATTAAAACTTGTTTTTGGAAATATTCGTTAACAAACCGCCAACAGGGATCGCAGCGGTCTTGCATTGCATAATTATACTATCTGCTGCATTTATGCAGCAACTGCATACGCATAATTCTTATCAAATACCAGAAGCAGAAGACGGAAGACGTAGCAAAACACCATAATTATGTTACTCTTGAATATGCGGCAAATACTTCGAAAATTCTGGGGTATATGAAACTGCATCCGGCCTGATAGAAGTACAACTGCTACAGCCTACAAACAGCTGTGAGCCAGTGAATACCATTGCAGCTACCTTTCCTGGAAAACAAATGCGTTTATGGCACTAGCTTCATAATCCTAAATAAGCATAAGTTCCACAAAAAATACGTCAAAATCTTGTATATTTCGGAATACCAAGGTTTTTTAAATGTTTTTTAAAGTGTATGAATATTTTAAAACAAGGAGCATTACATGCATTAAATGTACGGTCAGAATTAGTCTGTGACTATGGAATGATCCCACCAATTACATAGTTGACTGCAAACTGGAAAATTTTGGAAAATCAATCAGCGAGAATTTAGTCGCATGACTGCTCGCAATGGTACAGCAAAGAGCTAACAGCTGCTTAGCTACTGGCGCAGCTAAAAAAATTATGTACTTTGTTTGAAAACTTTTGGAAGCATTTCCGATGAAGAATGTGGCGCTTTATAGCCGAAAACCTTTGCATAAACTAGTAATAAGATGCATTATGAACCAAACAAACTGCACGCACCTTATGAAACCGGGTTCTAATCAACAAGTGGAAGCTCCAAGCACCGGCTTCCCACGTGCAGCAGATTAATCTTCCACTGCACAGAGAGACATAAAACCACGATGAACGGAAGAGTATAACGGTTTGCTGATCTTGTAGGTACCAAAACGACAAAAAGCACTTTTTCTACATTTAATTAAAATTAAAGTAAATCCCTGGTCAATGCATAACGATGGTGGCGGTAGTAACATATAGATAACGGAGTGGAAAAAATCCTTAACAACTTTAGTAAAGTATTTAATGCCGGTGCGCAGTAGAAAAAAGAAGAGTATGAATAATGCCCGGATTCACCAACAACTGCTCGGATGTGCAGATTTATTAGCAATACTTCGAAGTTATTAAATAAGAAAACCTCCGCACCGCAGCAGTTGGAGAGTCACCTTATAATGGTCACTCAGCTGGTGATATAATACACCAGCAGCTATCAATATAATTCATGCTCCGCCCCTTTCAGACGCCATGCCTCAGCGACTGCTATTTGCCTGCGGACTTTTCGATTTCAATGGTTTACTTTTGTTTTCCATTTCAGTACTAATGTATTTAAGTATGAATAATCGCAAGAGTAAACCCGGTGACAAAGTCGGTGGTATTTTGGTGAACGACAGAAAGCAGCTGATACATGACACCGAAAAAAGATGCAAACGTGCATATGCATTTAGAAGAAATCAGGTACGAGTAAATAAGAACAATAAGCAAACTTCTCTTGGGCTTCTTGTCAGACCGCCAAAGATCGTTATGGTCATCGGCATATTCGGTGGGATGCGGCGCGAGTGATAAAAGTTGCCATCGATCAAACATTAATAAATATACACCCACGCCACGCGTTTAAACTTCACACTCTGCTTGTCATATGCACATTTGCGTTGATTGCCACCCAGCTGATCACTTTCGATTGCTTTTTTTACTTTCAGACCAACACTTTGGGAACACACTTGCCACTACCTGCGTGTTTTTGCAAACCATAGGCTGACGCGGTAAAAAACCTTAATCTTCGATACATATCGCACTGTATTACAATCTTACCTGTGCACGCACAGCTTGCAACTGATTTGGAATTAGTAGGATGTCAAGTTTTCATCGTTGTCCACTAACAGACAGACAAAACGCTATAGTAGAATTTTAAGCTGCTATATCGACTAACTGTGTATGTATTATACTTATAGGTAGAAAAGTAAATACAAACAAGTAACTACAAAGAAAAGTGCAAACGTAAATATACAGAAAAATTAATACAAATAAGCATGACAGAAGCGGTAGTTTGGTTCTCGGTCTTTTGTAGACTTTAAGGTGACCTTATGGTTAGTCAGCGTGTAGACCACACCATGCAGTAAGCAGCTAATTTGTATACCTTCAAAAAACTTTTGGAGCATGATAGTTTTTTACAAAAAAATACCCAGATACCTATACACATGTATGTGTAATTGTGTACCATATGCGTAATAGAGTTCCCTAAAGGTTTAGCTTAATTACATTGCTGACTAATAAGATAAAATTCCTAGTAAGTCAGTTCGTTCAGAAACATAAACGTATTGTAAACATGTTACAACATCTAGTTTTTCGAATTTTACAGCTACAATTTAAGTTATTTCCGCCATGTTCGACCTGGGCAACATAGCAATTTTCCCCACGCTTAAAATGTATTTTGCATTAAAATTTAGCCGCAAATCGAACCGCTAATGGACTTGACTCGGCCATGGTCACGGCTTAATTAGCCGACGCGCGGCGGCGCGGCGCAAACTCTAAACAATTTAAACGGTTTGCTGATTGTGAGTACGCTTCGTTCAATACTTCTACAGCACGAAAGCAATGCGGATTTGCAGTGTGCAAGGCGGTGTCAAGCGACACAAATTAGTGCGACAACTTTTTCGTGCGTTGTTTTCTGAATTTTAAATCAGTTTCTCTGCGCCGTAAAAGAAATCCGCCGCATGTTCCAGTTTTTGTCGGCGCATAACATAACTATAACAGTCAGTACGACGATGAATTTTTGAGTCATCCGGCATTTTTATGACCACGACGGACTAGATTAAATGGTGTATTGATAGTAGCGTCAACCTAATAGGCCTTTTCCGCAAGTGTGTTCACGCATATTGTGTAACAATTCCAAAACCAAACGAAAGATTTCAGGTTAGTTAATGCACTGAGAGATTTATCATCTGTTAGTAAGCAAATCGCTTTTGACTCACTTAAAACAACAAAATAATTCATCACACATTTGCAGATCTGGATACGATACTGGCCAAATTTTCAAAACTGTTTGCAAAAATACGATTCATCCCGACCGCAACGTGAAACACCGGCGCCGGTGAAAATGACAAGAGATTACAAACAAACCAGTAGTTTAAAAAATAGCTCGCAATCATAGAACCATTTCCATTTATGCAGGTATGTTGGCGAAATCAACTGGCTCCAAACTCCATAAGTTTAACCAGCAGCTGTACGTCACGGTTTTGAACAGCACTGCGACAACGCGTGAAGAGATCGGTTTTTGCGGCCCCAACTGCAATCAAATTATTAGCTTTGGTAAAACAGAGAAATATTTTCGACTTTCGAAATCAACCACGAAATCGTCAATTTATAGTCTATATGAGTAGACCGTACTTTATGAATGACCTTAAAGCGTCAGAAGATATCTTCAGTTTTTTATTCGATATTCTATTACGAAAGCATTTAATTTTGTCATCTCATTCGGTGGCGCTAAATTAGTTTTAGACCAGTACTTTATTCAAAAAGATCTTCGAAGTGTGTAATTATACTAAGTGCGTAAATCATATTATTCGCCGAAGCCACGTTTAGTCAGCGGGAAATCAGAACCCGTCAAACTCGTGTAGCCGCCAATTGTCAGCCGTTTTTATTCGACATAATAAAACCGGGGATTCCCTTTCAGGCTGACAGGTATTTATTAAGCCATACAGCTATAAACAGACCGCGTATTTTTTCAAAAAGACGGATAGAATTTTAAAAATATGTCCGCTAATTGTTCCACTGCAGCTGCTGTTATTTACGACCCCGCAACGGGCATAACTATTGCTAACAATTCGCTGTACCTCGCAATCTGGCGGCTTTATCAATGGTTTGACTGATGAGCTTTAAGCCGCTGGTAAATTTGGCCTGTGCATCGATTTGTATACGAAAATCACTCAACACATTCTTATTTTGATTGCGCAGCTCCAAATAATACTTTCTGACCTCTGGCCTACAAATGCACCAAACAGAACCGATCACTTATAACAGATACGCATCTTCGTTAACGATCGTTGTGCATGCGCGTGCGCGCGCGCAAATTAAGTACCATAATTCGAGCACTTTCGTCTCTTCGGCTTTCATCAACAAACTGCGAATAGCCGAACCACGGTCAGCAATATCCGCCGCTTGACGTTGGCGATTTTTTTGATACTCATCAATCTGTAATACAGAGAGCGCGGTACATTAATGTCAACTGACCGGTGTTTATCTATAAATTTTTTCCTTATTCTAATAATCATTCAAAAATGTTTCCAACAGCAATATACAAACAAACTTTCAAAATAGCAAACAAAAACCGTGTTACCTGTACGAATACGTCTTTCAAGCTGTTGAATGCTTTGGGAAAGTGTGCTCGAGAAGACAAGAGTTTGATTGTCATCCCTTCGGCAATACTTTCAACAATGTCGCCGGCTGTGTCAATGCAGTTTGTCATAATTGTTACCTAAAGAACAATCAGCCCAGTAAGAGCCCATTTAACAATGATAGTAATTTGACTAATCGTCTACTAATCCGGCGACCAACAAAATGCATCATCCGATAAAGTATAACATGCTCAAAATAATACCATACTGTTCCGATGGCTTAATACGACAAAAACCAGTTCCATGTAACGCCACACTGGTTTGAAGTGTGCCAGCCACACGAATCGATGCTTTCTCAATACTTCTACCTGATATTCTTTACCGACAATAAAGGGGAGAGAAAATTAATAACGTGTATCCATTACAATGCAAGTGGCGACGCTTATTGTCCAAGTTATTTTACTAACAATATTAAGGCCGTGTTCCATACTTCCGTTGCACGCTACATTGTATATATCCAAGCTAAGTGTTTATTACTGCCGCCAAAGTTTATTGAGGATACTTTTTTTAAATGCTAATTATATTACTCGAATTTCGTTCTAATTAACACAATACTGACACACTTGCAGCCATAACTTATATTCCCTAAAACTATGCCGTATGAAGATTGCAAAACGCAAAAATTGCAAAAATCGCAAAAATTGCAAAACATTAAGTTTTCATTAGTTTCTTACCACCTAAAAGAGCACTCTGAAGCATAATAATTATTTATACTATTTGGTAAAACGCTTTTTTCAATGCTTACCTCGCCATCACCTCCCATGTTAACTTGCAACGGCGCACCGTCACGAAGGCACCGAAATTTGAGCACAACACCACTAGGATCCCCAGCGGCCTTCACATCACTTCGTAGGAAAAAATTTTCAGAAGCCCACAAAAGAAACTGCAATCAAAGATTTTAAACGGCAAAGTCTGCGCGAAGTACTCCCTGCATCTACACAACCTAGCAAGCGCGGTGTCGCCAATCGTTGTATTATACCCTGTTAATTCTTTCGTGCACTTGAAAGGTCACATAACCTTCGGGACTCTCAAGCGCGTCATCCAGGATGTTGTAATACATAGCAAACCGTTTAATTCGGATGAGTTCTCCATGGCAGAAGTAATACCGCCTGCAAAACACGGGAATGCCATCAGTCATTATGGATGAAGTTAAGTTAACAACCATACCGATTTTCTTGACCGGCCATAACCGTTACAAACATATCGATCGGAGTATTTTTGGGGATGACGATGGGAAATTCAGCTCTGCTGGACATGTATTTTTCTGGTAGTCGGCTGCAAGGATATATAGCACCATGGTGTAAAATTCATCAAATAGAAGTAATCAAAATCTTACTGATAATAGCTTTCTCCGGAAAAGACTCCTTCGGCAAAGATCACCACACCAGCAATTTTATAATCCGCGATATTGGTCCGCACAGTGAATTTCAGACACGGCTGAAACAGGTGACCAAAATTTTAAATTCTGAAGCTTCCCCATTCTGTTACTAGAATAACTTTTGCTCAAATTTACTAGCTAATTATTACAAGTTTTAACCATGATGCAGATGTAAAACGCAAAGGCCTTTTTGGTAAAAACACTTAACCATTGTTACGTAGCCCGAGTTTCGAGTTATTCACCGAGTTACGCTACCATCGACAATACATACAATTTTTGTGCGAGTTAAGTTAGAGTTAAGTTTTCAGGGGAGCGAGTTAACGCTCCAGAGTTACGTTATAACTCGAAAATAACTCGCGTTAAGTTAGACAGTTAAAAATAACTGCACAGGTCTGTTACGTACGCAAACTCATTACGTACGTTTTCAAATAAATTCGGGAAGGCACCTCCAGCTTCTAACAACTCATCTCTTCTCATGAAATTTTGCATTTGAGAGGAAAAAACTTCGTTTTTGTGGGGCTTCCTATCACTGTCACCGGAAACGTCAGTGGAGCCGAGCACCGGCTCGACTTCGATGACCACTTCGGCATCATCCGGCATGGTTGACCACTGGTAGCCGGCATCCACAAACAAACTCCGCTCTTTTGTCGCTACAGAATTCTCAACAACGTTTTCCGGCTTCTTTTCGCTGCTCTCTCGATTTTCCCCACTGATCACTGGGTCCTGGCTTTCGGACTGCGGCGCATCCTGCAGGAATGTTACCGTGTATTCTTTAGTGCTGCCATCTTCTATGGCAAAGGCTTTGACTAACAAAATTCCAATCAAAATAAAATTATAAAAATAAGAAAGTTATGCAGGCTTGACATTTCTTTCTGGCTGCACCAAATGTACCATTTCCTTCCGTGGAAGTAACCAAAATGTAGCTTTCTCCTCGATGCTTTAAATCACCAACTTCCATAATTTGAGCAACTGGGTCATCCATTTGGTACTTAAAAAGCAGGCTTCCATTTAAGCGATCCCGCACCTCAAACTAAAACCAAACAACGCTCATCGATTTTAACTGGAATTGTTGCGGTTTTAGACGAACCAAAATGCGTCAGAATTTAATTTTGTAAAGCTCGTGAAACCGCGCAGCTTTAATTAGTCCTTTTTGTACACCGATGCAGCGTTTCCTACACTGACCTTCCCGTTGGACCAGCCGCAAAAAATTTCAGGTTCACCATCGCCATTCATATCGAAACCCAATAAGGACAACGGTTTGCTTTTAGATTTTATGCGCCATTTCCGTTCATACTGCTCGTAAACGCCGACCGTTCCATTGGCCAGACCGTACACGAAACACTGATCCTTGAGTGGTGCAAGGGAAGTGATCGTGTCGGTTTCCATCATGGAGAAGATTTGCTCGGTTTCACGGAAAATCCTTATCTGATGGTCATCACAACCGGCAATAATCTGCACTCGACGTAAAAAAAACCCTTCATGATTTTCTGTTTTTTTTTTCATAAAGGCGCAAAGAGATCGAAATGCTTACTTCGATTTGCCCATCTTTGTTGATATCAAAGAGGATCAGCACGGCCACATTATCGCCCGTCAATGTCCATAACGGCTCGTTGCCATCCTCATCGAATCCTTGAAGTGCATTCTGACCGCCCACAATGGCTAGTGTTTTCTTAATTCGCCCCGTTCGACCAACGGTAATACTGGTCGCTCCACCGGTTGTCTGCGAAAAAATTTAAAATGATTTAGTTTTTGACATATCTAACAAAATTATAACAATTATTACATAAAAAACCGGCTCATTCTACGCTTAAGCTTCTAAAGATCTTACAGATTTGCGAAAAACTTCTCGATTTTGGGGAACGTCATAGACGACCATTTCCGTTGATGTTCCTATAAATAAATAATCGACCACGGCATCGGTGGTAAACCTTCCCACTGCCAGAGAAGTAATGGTCTGATTTATATTCAGGATCTGCAGATGCTCTCTTGCCGGCACAATTCTCGAGGCGTACGCCGATGCCGACGGCAACCTGCTTATCACAACCTAGTCAAAACAGTCAGTCGTGTATTTGTTCCCAGCAATCACCAGCTACGCAAAACTACAGATACAGATGTGTATTCCTGACATTCCAGTCTGCGAAATTAGAATACAGAAAACCTTAAGCACTTCTTTTCCGAAAAGAGAGATTTAAGCATTCCACTCTTGATTTTTACAACAAGTAGTACGAGAATAAAGTAACCGAGAAAACTGTAAAAGATTGGAATTTCTATTTTTACCTTGTTAGCCATATTCGCAGCGGCTAAGTACATTTCACCTGGCGCAAATTCCCCCACGACCACTCGGCCAGGCCGGAGCATATGCTGTAACTGCAGATCGTATAAAGCGCGCAACATTTTTTCCAGTTTGCGACAACCGTTCAGTTCGCAAAAACAGCGCACAAAAACGCTGCAAAATTAAGCAGTTAGCGCCAACACCTCCTGTAGATCCAAGATTCCTTAAAATCACTTCGTAAATAAAATCAGTCATAAAACAGGTGAACAGCAAACGTTATCCTACGGTTGATAAAAGGTTACATTTATCACATCGAAAACGTTTTCAGCCGAATTACATTAATATCCAGAACTGCAGACACTGTTTCGCAACTACAATGTGCACATTGGACAATTTTTGTGGGGAATCGATTAATACTGTACAGTTGTACCTGCAGTATAATGTTGCCTTCGAGTTGTGGGACGAATCGATCATGGAACGCTAGTGCCGGATGTAAACATCCGCAATACCTACGCTATGCGGCCCTGTATGGATGGAGTCATATTATGCCTGCGCAATCTCACGCATATCGGCAGGCATGAAAGTAAGTAATCCCGGTCCACAATCGGCTTCGACTGGAATCTGGATTACTCCAGGCATCCGTGAATTAATATGATGAATTAAGTACTCGTACCATAGATGTCCATTTTATTCTCGTTTTTAACAACCGAAGCAGCATTAGTACTATTGTACTCCCACTGCTTCTCCGGATTAATTACAGTACCATAAACTAGCTTATTTCGACAACAGCCACATCACACAACCGCAAGCCTGCATTCGCAAGCATTAATGAACTTTTTTATTGAATTAGTTGTTCAACAGCATCACTGAACGCAAAATATGACAACTCTATAAGCTAAATCAGGAGGATGTTCCTTCAAAGATTGAAGATGTTGGTTTTTTTGCTGTCAACAACCAGCCTATTCGAAACATTTACGCACTGAGTGGGTTCTTATACAGGAATCAATATCACAGAGAAATGTCAGTAGAAACTACTACTTTAAGTATTAATCAAACGTCCATGTACAAGCATTTTCAAAGCACCATACATTTTGCAATATGCTCTGCTGATCACAGTTCCGCGTTTTGTGACATTCACATGACTAAACATCATGACTAAACCGTTAAGGTCATGACTAGACGGATTCTTTGAGTGGACACACAATAACAGGAAACTTCTTCAAAGTGCGAGCCATCATTTATCACAGTACCCCGTCCGACAAAGCTCTTTTCCATAGCAAATTATGAGATTTCCTATCATGTGCTGTTCAGTTGCATTTCCGATTTCGAATCAACAATAACCAGCCCATCTTCGAGAACTTCCTGAATATATAAAATGACAATTTTATCTAAATTACTTACATATTTACGAATAAACTTCTAGATACATTTACCGCAGCGAGAATTTCCTTGGCATCGGGATCATTCTGTAGTATGACAAACAACTCGTCACGGGTTCTGCGTACGCGCTTCAAGACTTCCTGTTCCGTTCTGCAACATAATATAATTGTATATTTCAAAATTAGAAAATCTTTTGCGGTACGGTTTCGAAGTGTAGAACTGTAACTCAAACTAACCGCAGCTGCTCTTTTAACGATTGAATTGTGGCCGCAGATTGAGCAAGTTCGTAATTTTGGTCCCGCACAACTCGACTTAGTTCGGACACTTGCTGGCTGACTTTATCTTCGACCTAAAATTACGAAGAATTTTAAAATTCGAAGTATTACAGTTGTCGGTTTCGCGAATGATTCTAACAGTACAAAATAACCAATAATTCGTAGCTGGTAAAACAGTAGTAAAACTGGCCTAACGTTCAGAGTGATACCTTTTTGTCAACATCTAACAGAGAAGATGTTTTTTCCTGCAGAGCTGCGCGGAGATCAGATAGCGTACGCGAAAGGTTGTCGATTGTCTTCTGCTTATTAGCCAATTCCCGATCTGTAACAGAAACGGTCAAAATCAGTTTAAGGAAGATTATCCACGGTTGATATTTCCATCCGCCGAACGCGTACCGGTTTTAAAGGACAGCTCAGCTCTTTCTTGCATAGCATTCCTCGTCATGGCATCCAGTCGCACGTCTTTTTCTCTTAACATTGTGGTAAGTCTGCGGATTTCGGTTTCAAATCCATTTTTATTCTTTTCGCTTTCATTGGAGAACAGCTACAAAGATCAGTCGATTTAGCTGGGCACGAATCAAAATACTCTAAACACTACTTCCTTCAGCGCTTCATCACCAACCTGATATTTTTCAGTAACGTAACGACGCTCCTGCTCTACCCGGATGAGATCATTTTCTATTTTGGTGTATTTCTGTTGCAGTTCATCGCATTCTTGGGCTTTTGCTGCAAGCCGTAATCTGGTTTCCAAGTAGTGTTGCGATATTTCCGACTGAGAAGTTACCTTCCTAAACAGCGTGAAAATCCACGGCATAACAAACTCCCTATTCGTAATGCCGACTGCTGAAGCTGCAGTTTGATCACAATCCTTACTCTAATTGTAGCGTTCCCAGACGCTCAGACGCTTTATCCAGTTCCGACTTCAGAGCAGAGCGTTCCGTCGAAACTTCCGTTAAAGAAGCGCGAAGATCGCTAAAAAAGATCTTGTTTTACAGTAAAAGTTGAGCACACGTACCACCAATTCAGTTTACTTTGCATTTTAAATCCAAATTTGAATTACCATACTTGTTTATGCAGGAAATTTAGTAAAGCCTAAAACTAAATTAAGTAACTAGTTCTATACTGTATAATACATTGCATACTGAATCTGAGATTCGTAATTCTGTATCTGTTTCCGCACAGCTTTATTGAGATCCTTCATTTTTTCGCTGTCGACGTCCTTCAAAACCTTTTGGAAGGAATGCAAATAGTGCTTCCGATCCTTTTCGCTAAAAAACGGTATGTTTAGGCTAACTGCAAGTCAGTGCACATTTAGTAAGCAGGGTTGCAGTAACAAACGTTTATCACAAATTTAATACAATAAAATAAAGCAGCAGCTAAAATGGAAACAATAAGCCATTTAATACAGCTCACAGGTACAATTCACAAATATGTACTTGTACGTCATACTTCTATGCAGCGCTTACAAATAAAATCCTTGTGTAAACATTAATTATCGAAAACTGGGAAAAAGCTTACTGTATAATTTCAGCATTTCGGAACAGAGTTTCTCGATCACGATTTAACACAACAATCTGATTTTCTGCCGCTGACAATTTTCCGCTCAGTTCCTTATTAGCACTCTCCAGAAAGGTGTTTCGTCCAATCAGAAAGGTTTTGTCCTTTTGCAATAATTTAACTTTGTCATCCAGTTCGCGCACATGTTGCTTCAAGTGGTCATATTCCCTCAGCAGGCGCTTTATGTTTCTCCTAACCAAAAAGAAAATCTTTACAAACACTGTACAATGGGAACGCCCGTACAAGCCCCACCTTTCTACTGGATACTCTGAGTTAGCGTAATCCAACTGAAAACTTGATTTTAAGGCACTGCTTTGCAATCGATTGGGAAGGCCTTCAGCCAGATCCAGACCAGGAATTATTGGCGAATGCATAATATTTCTAAAAAATGTTTTATCTGACAAAGTGCAATTCAAGCAGTCCAGAGCACAGCCAGATAAATAAAATACAAACTTGTCGGAAGCCTTGGGCGACATTGGCATTCCCAGATCGTTAATGGACGAACTCTCCACGCTGAGAGGAATCGGCGAGCTTTCTGGAGGAATCCACGATGTACCCAGGATGGCCTACCAGAATACAAGTGATTTTTCAACTGGGAATATAGAAGCTTCACGTTAATTTTTTAACATAATCTGGCATCGTAATGCTGGAAATCTGAACGCCTTGACTTTTGAGGCGTCATTTGGCGTTACAGAGGACACGGTGATTACGATGACTGTTCTAAAATTCGAGATTGCTATTTATCGTTAATGCAATATCCAGTAAATTATTTATGCCCAGCAAAATTTTTTACATTTCCCGGGTTTTCCTTTCTTGCACCAAGCGTGAAGTGTATGCTTCCTACGCTGCCAAATGCTGAGAACCTTTCCACACCAGGTTAAATCCACAGACGGCTTACGGCCGCTTACCTTGTCGATCTGGTCCACATAGGAACGAAATTGATTTTCCGGAGTGAAGTTCGAGGCATCCTCCCACAGTCGCGCGAAATCACTCTCGAATTTTTTTCTCCCAACATGATGATTATGACTGATGAGCTACCATGAATGGAAGAAAGTGCACCACCAGGAGCCTGACCTGACCAGTGACAGGCTATTTCTGCTGTATAACCTTAATTATGGCCGATGGCAGCGGCAGTATAAAACTACGTAGATTTTTGCCGTATTAATCTAGTGCACTGCAACAAATACTGAAACATTAAAACCTGTCACCACAAAATTGCCTTCTTGCTGCGATGCAAAAATTAAACTAGCATTAGTAACACAACCCTGGAATGCGTTAAAAATCACAATTGTACTTGCACAATTATTTTCCCAAGTGAGTAAAAAGTTGCAAATATAAGTAAACAAACCATTTGTTTTGAAATGTGCACCTTTTAATATGACTAACAACTACGTGAGGCGATTACGTTAACACGTTAGCACTGACAAAATGATATTACGAGTATTACTTACGCAAAAATCTAATGTAAGTACAGTATTACAGTACTCGTACAAAAGAAAGGTTTAATAGTGAGTTTTAAGAACGAGTGCACCATTTAAAAGTCGATAGATCAAGATTCCATTTTCCATTTACTGCTAATTTTAATTTCGCAAATTTTTTGGTCCGCTTAACGTACTTGTACGTAGCGTGACCGCCTAGCGTCACACAACCAACTTTCACCGGGAGCTTGGTGCTAACACGTACGCAGAAGAACAGCCGGGTGCGTAAATGGTAATGCCGCTGCGTAACATTATCATCACGAGTATTTCTCAACACTAACTTTCAACAATCCAAAACAACAACTATCAAAGTACCCTTAAGTTCGAATAACCAACCCAGAAGAACAAAACCATCAATTTCTTTTCTGGTCATGGCAAGTCTTCGATAACTATGACCAAGTCTCGGTTTGATATCTACCATCCTTTTGCATCTGTTGAATGTAGGCATCAGCATCATCCATGGACATTTTGCTGTTCTCGCACAGAACTCTTTTCAAGGCAAACGTAACATCAGCCGGCATTTGCTTCGCATTTCCAGCTAAGTAGAATAATCCTTCCTGCTCATAAACGGCTTCAAAAACCAACTGCGAAGCGGCCTTCATTCGGTCCTGTACGTATACCTTTTCAATTTGGTCTCGCGAAAATGCTGGCGGCATCATAACTAAAATACCATCTTCTTGTAGCTCCTTCCATTCTTCGCGAAAATAATAATCATGGTCTTCATTGCGACAGCCGAAAAACAGAATGGATCCTGAGTGACTGCGGACTGCTTGGTCATGAATGAAAGAGCGAAAGGGAGCCACACCGGTTCCGGGGCCGACCATGACTACGGGCCGCTCGCTTGCCGCGCGAAAACTCATTGTGCCCGTTTTAATCCACATGTCCAAGCTGTCCCCAGCTTGCACTCGTTTCAAATAATTTGAACACAATCCCATACGAGGCTTCTGTAGTTTAGTCTTATACTGCACCACTGCAACCAGAATGTGCAGTACTGTCTGGTGACGGAGCGGTGAGCTGGCAATGGAGAATGATCGCGGCTGCATTGGAGGGAACAAATCAAACCAATATTCAAGCGGCACGCGGGTTCGGGTATCGGAAAAATCTTGCAGTATTTCGAAAGCAGTTCGCCGCGGACGGTAACAATATCCGTATAACTCATCAGTACCTTCCGGGCTTGCGAATTCTTTTAGTCGTTCTTTCTCTCTTTCATTAACAGCAAAATGATGTAGCAGTTCAAAGAAGGATCGTCTTGGTACACACTGTAAACAAACATAACTTTACTACACAAAATGGCTCGCAACTTTCAATGTATCACTTATCTCTACCTGAAAGTCCCATAAATTTGTGGCTGCTTGACGGATTGTGCACGGATTGGATAACCGGCATGGCAAAGGAAGTGCTGCGTCTTCGTCGTGTAAGCTCAGTGTAATGACTTGGTTTCCTTCCAGGTGCAATAAAGTCAGCAATTCTTCTACTTGATCCAGACTGTTTTTAGGGTAAACTACCATCACGTCTCCGGGCTGATACACAAATCCACTGCCGGCTATATCCATTTTAATCAGTCTGACATCCTGCAAGGATACAAAAGTTCTAACCGGGAAACAAATCGATGAAAATAAACGCCCCACCTGGAAAGTAGCTCAGCTCTCGAGCGACGGTGTACAAAATATCATACGACACATACTGCGAGCGCCAACAACGTCCCAACGAAAAGATCAAGACTACAATTATCTTGTCTGAACGTTAGCACGAATATAGCAAAAGCAACAATAGACGCCAAAATTCTCCTAACGCTAAACTGGATCGTCCAGCGCTAGGAGTAGTGTATAGAAGTACCGATAAGACGACATCGGTATACGATACACTATATGTACAGCGTGTCCTAAATGAGCGCTACTGTACGATTACTGTATTTTGCATTTCAACATTTCTTTTCCGACAGCCAAATTTTGAGCTTTGCGACTAATTGTATATCAGTTTGATTATGAAGACATAGTACGTACTTGAAAATGTTCTGCTGCCGTAACACGATCATTTGCAATAACGCTAGCATGAAAAGGATTTTCTGCGTCGTAAGGTGGACCAACAGGTAATCTGGAGCATTCAACATTTGGAACTTCGAGTGCGTCCTTAAGGCAAACGTTAAAAGACGGTTCAGGTCCTACGGGTGCTGCTTCATCAACGCCCGCGGGCAAAGGAAATTTTTCATTTAATGCTTCAAAAAGCCCCTTGATCCACGGTTCCGCAATTCCATCGAAACCAAGTTCGTGCTGATCATCGGCCAGTCCTAGCTGATATAACGCCACAGCGCCCAGTCGCAGCAAGCGTTTGTGGAGTCTTTTCGACGTGAAATTGAAATACTGGTACGAAGAATCACCCAGGCCAAGCACGGCAAACTCAAGATTCGTCAAAGAATTCGGTGGTAGACGCCGTCGCAACAGAGATCGCCAAAACACTTTCATGTTGTCAGGCTCCTCACCTTGTCCCGTTGTGGATGCCACAAAAATTATAAGATTCGTCGTCATCAAACGTTCCGTGGTAAAGTCGTTCATGGCGTACAGCTCAGTGGGAAAACGACGTGATTTCGCTTGTCTGCGAATCCGTTTAGCCACATCAGTCGCTGTACCTGTCTGACTTCCATGGAGAATTGTCAATAGTGGTCGCAGGCAAGAGGTTTTCATGGTCATTGCCAAAGCGGTAGTAAAGGGGAAAAAAGTTGCACGAGATTATTTGATTCCGAAATCACATTGGTTTTAAATTACAGAAGTTACTGTACCTGTTTTAAGCAGCGATAATGCTGGTACAACTATAATACTATAAATTTTAAATAGTAACATTACACGGTTATGGTTTATTAAATACTCATAAAGTATCAACTCATAAAGACCAGTTGCCAGTGAGAACTTCTTAAAAGTCAGCCAATCTGCTGCCACTTGCGGCTTGCCAGCCGGAAGTTTTTTGCAGTTTGTGTCCCGAAGCGCTTCCGGTCGAACTGATGGAGATGCCGGATCAGGGCGGACGCTTGCAAGACCGACCTCACTAAAACAACAGTAATAATATTATGAAAAATACTAACACAGAAAACACTACTTTCTCATTAACAGTTAACTAGTATATTTTGAATTTTCTCTGATACTAATTTTAAATTATTAATAAGATTGATTTAGCGCATCTCGGTAGGTATGTAGTACTAATCGTAAGTACTTTACGTTTATATTCCCTTTTTTCCAAAGAGCCAAAGGGTTATCAAAATTTGAACATTATGTAGACCAATGATAATTTATTGTACAGTACAATAATGTACACACAACCATAAATATAATACAACTGTATAAGTCTTACCACAGAACAACTGTATAAGTCTTACCACAGCCAAATTATTGGGCTGTGGCATTACCGTTTATGCTACATTTATTAAACACTGTGAGTATTTTGCATTAGACAATATCCTACAGCATAAAATCGTATACAGTATTGCAAATGCATGTACAGTATATCTATACATAGGTTATAGTTATATCAGAAGTATTCTTTTAAGTACCGACTTTATTATAAATACCGTACGAGTAACTAAAATTAATGCTAGTTAAAAATCGTCGGTTTGTCAGAGTAACAGAAATTTATTACAGGCAAGGCCAGTGTCACTTTCAAAATCCCTGCTTTATTTTTCTACAAAAGATTATGAACAATTTCCACCGATGTTTGGATAAACAGTTCATTTGTTTACCGTTAGACAATTAAAGAGAATCTGAGTATAATCTTTCCCAGGCTAAAATATATGAGTATTTTCGAATTATTACTTACTATACTCGTATTGTCACCTTCCGTCTTGAATGCATTAAGTGCTTTGCTTATTTTCTTAGTCGCATCAGTGTAAAAAGCATCAAGATTCAAGATCACACACCAAAACGCAGAATAAAACAACAAATTTCCCAGGAGCCCGGTATACCTGTCCACACTAATCAAATAAGTTATGGTAACCACCAGATCAATGAGATGATATGTACGAAGTGAAGACATCCCTATAAAAACTCAAATTACCCAGTTTATAATAATAGCGACTATAGCATTTCGAAAGCGGAAGCAGAACAACATTAACAGCCCGGTTAAGAATATCGAGCTCCTTTAACACCGCTTGAAAAACTTTCTCATGGGTCGCTAAACTCCTTTACATGGAAGTGCGATCTTTGTCCATATTCGATCACATTTTGCGTCCTTCGAGGCTGAGATGTCCAGCCGATCTCTTCGAGGTGCTTCGCTGTTGCTCTTTCATGCCCCGAATACGCTTCTCGAACCGATTTTGAGGCTTCGCCCCGGACGAAGACTGAAATAACAAACATGTGAAGCAATTTGCAATAGCAATTGAACAATGGCAACTGAACAATAGCTTGAACAACAGCAATTTAACTAGTGAAACATCATCACCGCAAAGATAGCAACGATGTCAAAATACATAAGTCAAGAACATGAACTTACGCGACGTGTGCCTTCCGCCGATTCCATAGAGATTTTCGATTGCGGACGGATAACGTAATCTCTCAAGGATGGCTGAGGGACTCTGGCGCGAGGAACATTTTTATTCGGATCATCTTCGGGGGTTTCTGCAGTACTGCGACGCTTCTTCTGGTTGTTCGGAGTAGAAGGACCGCCTTCGTCATCGCTGTCCGACTGTTCGTCCATGCTGAGACGACGTTTGGAAAGCAACTCCACGTCACGCTCCATCCGTTCTTCGCGAGACATTGAGCGATAATTTGTACTAGTTCCAAAAATTGGACGAGACCATTCCTCTGTAAAGTTTCCATATTTCCAGTTCACACTCAGCTCTCAGACACTAATTACTCGTAGGTAATAATTTAACGCTTTTCAACTTAAGAGATGCTGCTGCTATCCATTAGCACTTACGTATCAATTTGCCCGCTCTAGTCCGGTTTTCCTTAAGCTCTTTCGGATGTTTATACAGTAGCATAACGGCTTTACCAATACCACTGTTTTTAAGCTGCTCGGGGGAAATGGATGACATATCTTCAAGGATCTTCAGAATCGATTCGCGAATCTTGAGGTGTGTCAGATTACCGTCCGGAAGTGGCGCCAACCAATCCTATAAAAGTCCCAGTACGATAATTCATTTTATGTAACATCGAAAGCATAACCTCGATTCGGTTCAGCACACGAGAGATTAAGAATCTTCAACAAAAAATCGCCGAACATACGGCAAGTGGAGACAGAATACCGCAATCCAGAAAAGCGGTCTGCAAGTCTTGCTTGCGTAAGATGTTCATAATGCGAGGTAGCATCGTGATCTTCTTCGTCGCACATTCGCCGCGCGCATTGGCCTTCCGGTCCGTATCCGCTGCTGCCTTCATTTCCGTAATGATTTCCGTAATCCGTTCGTCATGATCGTTAATTAAATCCACATCCTGGCGTTTCTTTCGCCTGTGTGTTCGACGCCGCTCTTCTGATTTCTTCTTCATCATGATATCGAAATCGGTCATCTTATCACTACCAAATCAACGAACAGTGATAAGTAATTAGTAATTACCGTGCAACGCGGTATAATTAACAGTTTATACTGGTCTATACCATATTTGTTTAATTTGATAATATTAATAATATTTCACTGCTGTCAAAAAAATGTAAATCGACAACAATGGCGGTCAAAGCATACAACCGATAAACCACAAATTCTGTCCGCCGCGGTAACTTACTCTCCGGGGTCGGACTTAATGCTGCCCGTGTGGCTGGCATTATCGTCATCATCATCCGCTTTTCGCCGCTCGCCGTGTTCTTTAGTTTGCTCGGAAGCAGAGGGACCAGCAGCGTTACCTTCATCATCAGAGTGATCACTCCCAAAAAGATCCTCCGCATTAGGCACTACGAATAAAACTGACAACGGTTAACGTAAACCCTTCCAACAAAATTTGAAAATGTGCAACAGCTACTGATAAAAGATAAATCAAAAACCAATTTCAAAACAAATCGCACTGTTCTTGCTCGTTCCCGACTCGTCTGGCTCGTCGTCGTTGTTTTCCGCGGGGCTACCATTGCTAATCGGAGGAAAAGGTGTGTTATCAAATAAATTGCCCCATGAACTCGCTGAGATTCAAATAACCTTGTCTGTCCGGTTCCGTTTTCGGGATCTGGCAACTCTGTACCGTTGCCCACGTCTTCTTGAGAGTACTCATCGAGATCCAGTTGAACGTCCCGATCACTAAGCCCAAGGGGACTAAACGCGAAAGAGATTAATAACTTCTAAAAACAGCACCACGCTACCACGTTCTAAGATATCGCACTTATTCAGATGAGCCTTCTCCGCTGATTCCACGTGTTCCAGGCCGAAGGATTCATCTGGAGTTTCTTCGAAGGCTTGCTCTTGGGCGAACTCGTTCAAGCTCATTCTCGAGAGATGCTTGTCACACGGACCTTTCGATACGTCGCCTTAAAGCTTCCCTCTCTCTGGGGTTTAACTACAGCCTTTCGACTATGGGAAGCAGAAAAGGAAAACCAAATCTGAAATTTAAAATAAGGAATTTCAACAACAAAAATTACAGTAGTACCAAAATTATCGTATTCTTAATTCGTGGCTGATCTAGCGCATTGCTGTAGTAAAAATGTATTTGGGCATTGGGGCACCACAAAAGGTTACAAACACGGATCCAAATCTCGGAGGGTTGCCACTTGCGCAGATAATCATTATCGAATCGCCATCAGGTATCTGTTTCGGGAGAAAGTATGAAAATTAATAAGCTTCGCAGTTCGCACATTTTCGCCCAACTACTTATTTTAATTTGTTTTAGCCATACGAGCAGTGTCATCAATTACATTTTGTAAGGCAGTTTGTAATACTGACTTACTGCTGGGTTTTATATGTCAACAAAATATGTCATTACTAATTACATTCTTTACAGCAAACATTTGCCGTGAATCACTAATGCCAGTAAACGAGTATTGCGAGGAATGCGTTTAGATTGTTGATGCCTATGCTCCGCGCTCCCTGATTGTTTAGCGCTGCTTACAGTTACGCAGCGGCAGCTTTTTTGCTGCTCTCATCGCTTATATAGGAATTCGGACACCGGAAGTCACAGCACAGTGTTCATACCAAAAATGAATACTTCCCTGCGGCTTTCGGGATTTTTACGCGGGAGTGTCTTTCGGTATCCGGAGTCACTGCTGAAATCCCAAACTCGGCAAATAAACCAACGGCCAAGGCAGCGACTGGAGCGCACCGGATTGTTTCCTGGATTTCCTCGAATATGGGCCTCAAGATTTCAGCTCGTTGGATTCAAAGATAGCCCTGATATACTTCCCAGCTTAGAACAGCGATTAGCAGGTACGCATAATTTTAGCAGCTGTACCCTTGTTATGTTTAATTCAGGAATACGCTGTTGTAGCCGAGAATCCTTACGACGAAGAAGTGGAGCGATTGATTAACATTGGCATGCCGCTGGACTACGGAAGCGAACGTCAGAAAAAAACTGAGAAAGACTATCGTATCAAGCTGCGCGAAGTGCGACGGAATCCAGCGTTGGAAAAAGCTGCCCGTCATCGTACTTGTAAGTTGCTCAGTTGTTTCCATTTAAGGTGTCACCTAAAATTTGATAAAGTGGACCTTCTGCATAATTCTTGTGGCTTTCTTGCTGGTTTCACAACTTTCACTAGCAGTAATCATTTTGTGGGATTTATTAGTGAAAGCAGACCTGAGCAAGGTTTTGGATGAATGGGAAACAGAAGCCGGTCCCGAGCAGATATCAGGAGCCGCAATGCACTATGGAGTGTTTGAGGATCTATTTGGTGCGGCGTATTTTATTCCCTATGTACCGATTCGACCAGGCTTCCACACGGATGATTACTATACTCCGGTGCACCGCGGGAACCACATTTTACCCGCTGATGTAAGGATGTAGTTCTGGTACTGGACAATTCAAATTTGATTTAATTTCCGCTTTTCATAACTTAACTTAATTCGTCTGAATAAGTATAGAAGTATAGTAACAACATTATTATAGTAATTTGCTTTTTTTTATTCCGTAACTGGAATTCGTCTAGGCCATGAAAGTTCCCGATTTCGTTTATGCCGCGCCAGATGATACGTTGTGGACACTTACGATGGTCAATCTGGATGGGAATCTGCAGGATTCCGAAGCGGAATATTTGCACTGGATGGTGTAAGTGGTACAGTGCTGCTAAGATTCCGTATCATTGTTTTTACATTTGCTTACAGTTATTCGTTTTATTTACCATTTGTCGGTGTCGTATTTGCTAAATTTAGCTTGCGTACTGATTCCCGCTACAAACAAATAGAAATTCCGTACTGAATTTGAATTCTCCGTCTTCAGCGGCCGTTAAACGTTGTACTGAAATGTATGGGTGTTTGTTGCAACAGAAGCAATATACCTGGAGGAGACGTTGCCAAAGGCGAAACAATCGTGGATTACCTCCAGCCTATACCTGTACGAGGCACCGGCTTTCATCGTTACGCCTTTTTGCTGTTCCAGCAAAAGGACCGGATGGATTTTAGGGCACTGAAAACTTCAGAACTCAGGTAAAATGTCGACAACCGTGTGCTTTATTCGGTAAAGTAAATTGCCGGCTGTTTGATTGCAATGGAATTTAGGTGTTCCATAGATTTAATTCACCTTGACAGTATTTTGCTGCCTCGCATTGTACGTTTGCATGTTTCTTGAGGTAGTTAGATACTTATCTAAAATAAGAGAACTCAAATACATCATGCTACTTCAAACGCGTACTTGCCTGAAATTCGAAAAACATCTATTTCAAGATATGTCATTTACAGGCCAGCGTTTTGTTTTTCCAGGCCCACTTTATCTGCGCGAATCTTTCGTATGAAAGAATTTTATCGTGCTCGCCAAGATGATTTGATGCCTGCCGGTTTGGCTTTTTTTCTATCAGAATGGGATGAGAGTGTGACGGACTGTTTTCACAGTATTTTGGGTACTACTGTAATTGTTTACTGACGCTTCAGCTTTGTTATAATCCACTTACCTTACTATGTTAGATATCGCGGAACCTGCCTTCGAATACGAGCCTCCCCCACCGGATCTTGAACCTCAGGCAAAATATCCTCCTGACGACATACCTTTTAACGTGTAAGTTTAGAACATACGTGTAAGTTTTGCTGGGATGATTGGGAATACGGTAACCGTAACCGTAGACGCAATGACGAATGAGTAATGAATGACTACTCGAGTAGTGCGCGAATAATGAACGCGCAGGTTAGCGGGAATTTTTGCTCATATTCAGTTGGATCATTTCGATGTTTTACAAAACTAGCCAGTGCAGTAGGTAGCAAAGTACACGCAAAATGAAGATAAAATGTCGCATTGATTTATGACAAAACGAGTAGGGAAGGCATAGTGCTTTCGTTATGCTTTTTGTGTCCGTCCGTTCGGCGAAAGCGTAGTCTGGGATTCTAGGCCTCTTATGGATTTACAGATATACATACAAGGTGATATAATTTTATTCGGTACTGTTCCGAAATATCAGCATTTGAATAATGATAACATTGTTGTAGCTACCTTGACCGATATCGGGACAAAAAGGAGATTGCGGAAGAGGTGGTAAAGAAGCGGTTATCTCGAATTTCTCCATTTGGACCGGAGCCGGCACGCCTGAAATGGCCGTTGGCGCAAAAGTTTTTATACTCAAATCTTAGTGGCATACCCTCATGGAAAAGGTTGGAAATGAGAAAGGAGTTGCTTGGTGTGGGACGATACAAGTTGCTATATGATCCTCTTGCTAAATGGGGCTAAGCCGTTCTCATGAAATTGCTTAGGTCTTGAATTTTCTTTGACTGTTACGAGTTTTGTAATTGTGTTGTTTGAAGAAGCAGCCGATATGCTGAATTGTACCCTATACGAAATTCATTAAATGTGCAGATGTAAAGCTTCAGATACTTTCCGAATACCGGCAATCGTTTTAAAAATGTTGAACGCTTCGTTTCAGCAACTGAAGTTTTTGTTCATGCTCAGAGCATACAATACAGACTGAAAAACAGTTAACAGCGGCCATAAACAAGTATTATAGTATCACTTTATTTTTTCGTATTTACAGGAACATTTTTGGTTTTTTTGGCAGTTTTCGCTAAAGAACAAAAATGCAAGGTTCACGTTTGGATAGATCCGAACAATTAAACGCATTAATTATCCAGAAAATACACCGTTCAATAGAACTGACAAACAATAGGAAAACTGGCGAACACATTACTGCGTTTAATCCAAACGTAAACCGAGAGAAAACGTATCTTGTGCGAATGGCGAGTAACGGGCCTCCATTGCGATGCAGAACGGTGAAGAAAAATTCTATACTGACAATAAAACAACAAAAACCACCCTTGCTACTGCTGAAATCGTCGATCCACAGGAAAACAATGGGGCGTAAACTCTTTTTAAGATCTTTTTCATTATGATGATCACAGGAAAGGAACGTTCTGACCGCTTTTCCAATCGTTGGCGCATATAAACCAGCAGATTAATGGACGTGCCAAGCTGCCAACACGACTGCAGTGCAATGCACGCTCAACCAGGTGCGCAGTCCATCGGAAATCTTATCAAACGGTCTTTTGACGGATAACACTTCGGACCAGCACACTCCAAACATCAGCCGTGCTCAATCAACACACAGATAACAACTGCAGCCATATTGCGCAAACACGATCCACTGACAATCAAAAAATACGGCCCGTACAAACAGAAAAAGAGAGACTGTTTTTAAAAAAATCCATAAAACAAAAAAGCGGCACAGTGGCGGCGTAATGAAAGAAGAAACGGTGTGTAATGCGGACGAAATCACAATGATGAAAGTACAATCCCAAAGGAGACTCAAACATGCAGCGCGCAGTTTGCATTTTTGTAAAAAAGAAAACCTAAGGCGAAAACGGCGCTTCCATAAACTGTGAAATCCAAAGGAAAATGATTTAATACGAACCACCGACGATGCCCAGCAGCAGTTATATACAAATACACTTTCATTTGGCGTGCTTTGGCGAGATGGCAGACACAGTACCGCCTCCGGTTTGCGCGGCCTCCGCTTCCCCGGGCTCCATCTTGGGCTGCTGGCCCACCCAGGAGCGAATCAAATGTAGCTCCTTCTGCAGCATCTCCACTTGCAGCTCCAAGCGGGACTTATCGCTCTGCAATTGCTTCAGCTGCGTATCTGTCTGCAGGCGCTTGAGTTTGCTTTTGGCACGACTGCAAAACAGGGTTTACCATCAGCAATCGTACTCGCACCTCTTCTCCAGCACTTTAACCGAACGTTACAGATATCATTATAGACAAAATTGACTCACCTTTTCCGAACAGCTTCGTTGTTTCTGAAAACAAACAAACCGAATTATATCCCAACGTACAATCTTAATTAAAATCGCCAATTTCTATTTTGCAGTTAATAGCGATTTTTCAGTTCTCGCTAATATGTAGCTTATTGACGCAGAGCAACCAACTTGCTTCCCTTCTCTTGCTAAGCTCCACACAGTAAAAGAAATCTGTGAACGATCTGCTACTCCAAGCAGGCCAAAATGACGTCACCATCAGTATCAAACCGACCACTGACTGAAGTTGTGTTAATTAAAACCAAGCCCTCGAATCAGTCTTCAAGAATTTCGGGAACTTTAAAAATAATGACAGACACGAAAATTAATAAAAACTGGGAGGCATAAAACAGAATTTTAGTAGTAGCCTAGTAGGTCCAATATCAAGCGGCAATGTAACTACAGAACGAACTTCAACAAAGTCATAACTGATCCTGCAGCAGCGACCACTACGAGTATGTTTTATTCTCGTAGTACAGAGTAGTGGCCGTAATTGCGCTTCACGCTTTGTCCATTTATAACTACGAAATCGTACGATGCAAGGTGGCGGAAATAACCATAAATTTTAAAGCAAATGCAAGTGGGTTTAACAGTTCACACCTGATCGCGCAGGTGTAAATTTTTGGTCACGTCAGCAAACCTTCGAGCTTGTTATTGCCGGCAGTGCCGACAAGTCGGGCAAAAAGAAATACCAGGCAAACGACAATCTTTGATCGTACAAAGTTTTAACAGCTTCAGTGAGCTACCGTATCTGCAAAATAATTGTAAAACAATATATTGTTAAAGCGATTTTTCCACAAAATTTATAACTTCCAAAAACAACCAAGATAGCGTAGTTCAACTGATTCCATGCAAGATTGATTACGGCACCACTACTCATTTTACTGCCAGAACCAACGAGAACCATTCAATGGCGCTCACTGCTCACCCTGATATCAGCGGCACGAAACCGCACAAGTTCTTGCGACATCCTAAAGCTGGGATTAAAGTTTTTCACAAAAACAAAAACTATAATAATTATGGTATAATTTTCTTTCAGAATAAACTGTAAAGCTAAAGGTAAAATACGCTTGCAATGTCTGCAGTTAAGCAAGCGAATTAACGAAAAACCTTGAATGCTTGGTATAAATACATCAAAATTTGTTAACACATAAAGAACATTAGATTTTTATAAGCAAAAAAAAATGTGCATTAAAATGTATTGACGGCGCGCATGTGCTGAAGTACGTGTGTTGCTCGAATACGCTAACCTATACAATTCCCATGCACTACTGAACTGGTGATTTTAAAAACCTTCAGATTTTAACAGGATAACAGTAAAAATGTAAAATTCCTAAATATTCAACAATTTTTGCAGATTTGCTAACTAAACCTTCCATCAGAAATACAAACTACATCAGCCAACATGTTTGCATCATCGACTATCAAGTGAACTTCTGTGTGGACTAGATCGTCAGACTTCGATAAAAATCGTAAAGCCTCAATGCTTACTTCATGCACCGCACGAGATTAGAAGCGATACAAAAAACCACCGTAAACATTAAAACAGACACTTTTATCAGTGGAACTGACGGTAAACCCAAAAGTAACAAAGTCCTCAAAATAACCTTGAAAACGCTGTACTTCTCGATCTCACTCAACACTTGACAAAAACTGCTGTGCGTATGCGATTCCCAGTAGGTCATAGACTCAACCTATCCTTTCAAGTAAAATTCTTACGCTGTTTTTTTCTTTTTCGTACATCCTGAAATATTCGCAGCTATCTGCTATATGGAAAAAAGCCAACTACGAACTAGAAAACGTCGGTTAATCAGCATTATTACCTTTCACGACGAGCTTTGTACTGTTCGCTTTCTTTGTCCACGGCCTTGCGTTTCCGTGGTGCAGGAACATTTTCCGACGGGGGTGGTGTGCCACTATAGCAACTTTCAATGGCCGAATCGTTAGAGCCGTCCGGTGATGGAACATCAGCCGGAGAACCAGGCGAGTAAAAGCCACGCTTTGTCAACGATGGAGGGGACATTACTTATCGTCGTTAATACTCGCTGAGATCAAAGAAAGCACAATTTGGTATGAAAGGAACCGATCACTCGCGAAATCTAAATGCAAGGGGAGCCGAAGCAAAAACTGCAAGGAGAATAATCGGGGAACCGTTGCTCGTTGCTGGTCTGCAACTGCAGAAAATAGTGGACGCGTTCTCGCTCAAAACATGTCTGCAAACGAAATGTGGGGACTGGAGCACACAGCAGTTCTCTTTTCCTCGCCCCAGTCTTTCTTTCGCTGACAGTCAGGTTGTTGATGATGCCATATAGATATACAGTACACGTACTATATCCGTACTTGACAAGTGTATTGTACGTGCGCTGCCGCTGCATTGCTCTATGAGACAACGCGCTTGTAAGTACAGTAACTATACCGCACCCGTGAGTCATTCATTGGTGCGGCTTGGCGGCAGTGCTCCAGTGTTCCGCAGTTTCTTTTTGATGTTGTGCAACTGGATGACTCTGGTGTCCTCAGGTTTTCTTTCACAAAATATGGCCACCTTTTCTGGACGTTAAAAAAGCAGAAAGCAAATTTTGATCGTGCTTAGTGGATTTACGTGTTGAAGACGAGACAAAATCAGTATCATCGTATTCGTAGTTTGTGTAAGCCACATCGCGAAATGCTGGATGCATCCTTACCATGGTTAGTGATCCAGCTATAAGGCGCCGGTAATTAGCAAGATTACGTGGATTCCTATGACAAATTTTGACGTAAATTTTGTAAGCAAGCAGCATAAATCCATTACCACATAAACGACATAATTATAGTCATATGATTAATATCTGGAGTAGTTGTGCGTAAGAAAAAAATGAAGCCGTTAACTTGGCTGAGAGCGGTTAACTGCGATTTTTACTCCGAAATCAGAATCTTGAATTTTTATGACCTCTCATTTGAAGAGAAATGTGTAGCAGTGTTGCTTTCTTTAGGATGAGTAAGTAGTAAGTACTTTACTAAAATCTGTAGGTAATATCTGTAACTGTAAGGGTAATCGCTTGACCTGGTGTTTAATTCGTTCAAAGTGGTACTCGGGTAGTTGTTCTGCAGTTGGTAAACAAATAATACCGATTACCGGTAATTATGTACAGTAACCGTATTTAAAACCTTTCAGTGCTGTTATAATCTTTATTAACCCCCATAACTGCTAATGAAGACTTTGTTTTCCATTTATAGCAGTTTAAGATCACCGTTAGCAAAGTCAGAAAACAGCGCAGGCCGCATAATATTATGTATGTTTGCAACAAACTGATCCTGGACAAAAACTGTTCGCAACAAACTGATCCTGGACATAAACTGATCTTGGGCATTGTGAAAATAAAGCAGACTGCAGTTTGTCACCATCAGACTTCTACTCATAGCGGTCAGCCAAGTTAGTGATGCATGTATTTTTGAGTACAGTACTACTGGGTAGTACTTGAAAACATTCGTTATATGTAGAGCAAAGTTGATGGTAACAGCAGAACAAATCTACACGTACACATGAGATATTTTTAAAGTACCTTAAAAATGCGAACACTACGATAAACCAAAGCTGCGAACAGTTACAGTAACATAACAGATCAAAATTAAACCGGATATAGCACGTAATTAATTAGGGATAATTTTCGTGAAATCGTTAAGGACAACTGCGGACTTGAGAAACCCATTAGACATATGTCCGCTCATTACGAGAATGTACATATGTCTGCTCATTACGAGAATGTCTTTCATTTCGCAGTTCGCTTTAGCGCTCGGCTTTGGAGCCCACACGCTGTTCTTCCAAAATTTGGTCAGCAAATTCTTTAATCACTGTCCAAGAGTATTCGATATCATTGGAAGTGGTGCGCGAGGCACATACACAGCAGCGAATAATGAACTTATCTCGCAGTTTAGACGGAGTCAAGTAGATTTTTCCGGATTCATTAATGCGTCGAAGCAGTTTTTCGTTCAATTCATTTGGACCCTGTTGAAATTATGATTATCATTATATATAATATGATTTCTAAGGATTTTTAATATTGAAAAAACTTTTAACTGCTGCAGCATGTGAATAAAATTAGTTACTGAATGACCGTTTAAACTGAGGTTCCGGCTTGGAGTTGATCGTGACCTTACATGTTTTTGCGTGCAAGTTTAAATTATATCATAAACCACAGCTAGTTTGTGCTTGATCAGTGCACATATTATTATTACCTTCAGACGAAAGCAAGTCAATCCCATCCGTACGGGAACAGCCAACTCAAAGCGATGATCAGAAGCCAAAAGTTGTTCGAATTCCTTAGCCAAGGCGACTTGCTACAAATTATCCAAAACTTAGCATCTGATCCGTGGCTGCGTTTTAAATAAATACCACAAAAGAGTTAAGTCACACACTCAGCCGAAAAAAATCGATTCATATATTTTCATCATATTTTTAGGAAATTTCTTCCTTATTATAATATTATTTGCGCTTACAATTGACGAATATCTCTATAAGTATTTTAAACACTTTGAAACCATGCAACAATCGCTTTCGTTTGCAGCCGCATTAGAGGAGACCGGAAATCAGCTACAGATTCATATACCCGTATATACCGTACTCACTTCACGTATTTGTCGCTGGATACCTTCAACTCCGTACATGCGCATAACAAACCACAATTTCAAGGAGCGAAATCGCCGACCCAGTGGAATTTGCCAGTGCTACGGAAATGAAATATTACTGCAATAATGACTAAGAGTAAGATCCACTTATTTACTTTAATTTTGGGACATGTGGCCTGTAAAAGTTAACAACGTATGGCGCTCATTTGCAATTAAAATGCAGTACTAGTTATCATTAACGATTTTCAAAAGGTCACTAACCCGATAATCAGGAACCAAACCCTGCTTGTCGTGGCGTAGATATAATGGGTCCACATTAAACGCTTCCACTAATTCGGGGCTATTTTTTACCCTGGATCAAAAGAACGCCATGCTGACTGTCAAACGCGATTTATTAAAGGGATTAAGGATACATAACGGGATTATTAAGGGGCTTGTATACGTATACAAGCCCTTTTGCCAGTCATAATACTAAATTTAAATACTTATTGCTTACTAACCCCATAATGTAATGTATAAAAACCATATTCTTCGCGACCGGCAAACGTATCGTATTTACACTGTATATTATAGGTTGAAAACGTTCACAGTACTAATTACTAATGGATACTTCGTTTTTAGTTCGTCTTGTAATAAATTAAATAAAGCTCACACTTCCAAAAACACAGTTGCAGGAGCATCGGTCTTACCACATAGCTGAGCAATCAAAGTTGACCAGCATCCATTTATGAGGATTAAAATTGAACGAATCAGCCAATTCTACACCATCCATGTAGTGACGAAATTCCGGGCAGATGAACGCTGATCCCGCGTATGCCGCATCGACGTGCAACCACACAGATTCCCGTTGGCAAATCGGTCCGATTTCCATCAGGTTGTCGAATGCGCAGCAGGGAGTTGTTCCCAGTGTAGCTACCACCTGCCCATGCCGTTAAAGGTACTTAATTCTGCATTCGATACGTCTTTATCGATTCTTACGATTTGTTTACACAAAATATCCTCCTACATTCAAGACTACCTTTAGTTTTTGAAGGGATATCGATATCAGCCTTGAAATAAATTAAAAGTAAATCAGCGCCTCTTTACGTTTATTAATCCCATGTCATCTAAAGATTTGCTACAGCTCCTTTATATGACAATTTGCCTTTGCGCTTAATAATATTACCAGTACTAATTAACGCTAAAGGCAGCAGTTATAAAAGAAATGCCTTACGTAGAACGGAAATAATCCATTTGCTTTGTCCTGCTTTATGGTTTCCTCCAGTAACGATGCATTCATTGAGAAGTCATCATTGCTCTTAATCAAGCGGATATTAAGAGCACCTACAAGAACGCAGGAGCGTACCATCAAAATAATTATCAGCAAACCTTTTATTGTTATTGCTGTGAAAAAGAAGGGGAAACTGCCGGAAGACGTAGGAAGTCTAAATGAGCTTTTATAATTGTCATGCTCCTTACCCAACATAGCCGCCCGCTCCACAGATGAGTGAGCCTGATCTGAAGCATAGCACATCAGCTTCGACAGGATATCCATATCCGTAAAACCCGGATGGTCTTCCTTGATCTTTTTCACAGCTCGAGATTTTGCTGCAAGGAGAGCCACAACCGTAGCTTCGCTAGCAGTGCCCTGCAATTTCGTTTACCCGCTTTTATTTGTAGTTGACGACGATGAATGCACATATACCGAATATACTATTTAAGGTCACATCGTACTTTGCATGGAGAAGCCAAAACTTTTGGTTTACCTGAATGACTCCGCCACCTAGTCCACCGCCGCAGGAAAGAAATTCGTTTGGCAGTTTCAGCATTTTGCCTAACCAATCCATCATTACCACTTCCAACTCGGTACAAGACGGACTTGCAGCCTAAGAGAATGGTCAGAAATTAGAGTACCGGTACCGATATCTTTATTAAAAAAGTGGATTGTAAATACCACAATATTAGAATAGAGCCAAGAGGTACTGAAAAGGAAACTGAACGGATACCTAAATTCAGGCTATTGCTGCACCACCATGTGCAGACCAACTTCACCACGAGATAGGGATTTTTTGCCCAAATGGTAAACCTTGTTAGTAAGTATTGTAACAGTGTAACTGTATTTTCGGTTAATAAAACTTTTATGTTAACGTAAAGTACATTGTAAATCAGCGCAAAAAAACATTGTAAATCGCAGATCATCTACGGTTTATCATCTGTTTTGATATCAACATGTGAAATAAGCAATATGATTGTGACACTGTATGATCGAAGGCAACCCTCCTCCAAATAATTTGTGTTAAAACCGGCAACGGCAAAAGGAAGCAACGATGCCCCTTTTATTATAATTATCCTGTACAACAATTTGCCGTATTATGTACATATCTTATGTACTAGTATATGTTACAAAATATTAACATTGACATGTGTCACCGTATTCGCGTATATAGCTCGACAATTCCGTTGCGCTAAATAATCAAAGGGCAAAACTTTCAATAAGCATTATGGAACACACTGGATAGCTCTAAACCGATAAGTTATCCCCAATTTGCATAGTGCTAATGATATTGCCTTGTTGTAAACGTGAAGTGATTCTATCAAAAGCGGTGCCGAAGGGAATACGAATGTGGTGGATGAAAAGGTATATTATAGGCATTTATCGCTAACGTCCACAAATTATTGTCAGAATCTCTGTAATTATCGATAGTCAGCGGAACGAAAGTTACAAATACGGAAGCAATGAGGGAGAATGAAAGGGAATGCATTCCGGCACCGGCTGTCAAACATTAGGAGTATAAGGATGTAAGATCGATGGCTACCATACACTTCTGTTAGCATGCTTGATCGGCAACGCGTGCCATGAATGAACGCCTAAAGTTGATTTAAAAGTCACAACTTTGGTATTCGTTATACATCCTGTTGGTGAAAGCGATCTATAATCGTTAAAAAGTCATGAAGTATTTGCAGAATATGTGGTTAGCATATGAAGTAATGAATATTTACTACCTTGTTGCCTGTAGAAAATTTATTTATCCATGTAGATGCTATGCCTACCCATGTAAATCCAACACACCCGATCGCATCACTCAGAATGTCAGCCAGGATTGCGGGATATGAATTAGCTGTTGGGAAAAAAGCGTTGAAGCGTGGACTGTGCCAGTGTGTGACCTGCAAGGAATCTCGAAACAATAAATATCTCAGTTCTGCTAGCTGTTGTCTGTGGAGGCTGTTAATTTTGTTAACTACGCTCGATTTAGTAAAGATTAAATAAAACGTTTTAGTCAGATCGATTATTTTTTATTTAATGCAGATTTTAACTTCTAGCGATAGAAAACTACCCAAAATTTAGCTTAGGTAATCCAGTCCATATGCACCGAGAGTTAATTTCATTGTCAAGTTAACTGAGTTGATATTGTACACAACCTCACGAGTCAGCCCTTCAACAATAATACATAATTTAACAACAAGAGCGACGGGCTTTATTCAAACGGACAGTAAACTCTTACGCGACGTAGTTATATTTATTAATTTTGTTGACCGGTTGATAGGATCTTACAATTGCTTTTAACTTCATGTAAAAACATCGCTTTATTGATACTTTAAAAAAGGTTTTTCGCCGTTTTCATTATGATAGCCAGTAAAGATTTGACAAAAGAGCTCATTAATTTCACTATTACGTTGGATATTACGCAAAAATTGTGGTGTGCTTAAATTGAGTTATATAGAATAACCATATATGTTTAGTGATATTATGATCATTAACATATGCATTGCAGGGCAAATTGTGATATTTCAGTGGTATGTCATATTTGATTTTTTTTGTATCTCGTATGATATTGTAAGCTCGTAACATCGCATGTGAAAAACAGTCAGGATTACTCAAAGTATTATGAATATGTACTATTTCCTGTAGATGCATATATGTACGGTACAGAGTACAAATATAATATACAGATAGATGGAGCTATTTGGTATACGAATGCACCCGTAAGGTGGATCATAATTAAATAAACAACAGAACATCCATCTCGCGCATCGCATCATGGGCAAATATTTGCGGTCCATCGTATAAGTAATAAAGACAAATAGACCTTCGTTAATTTTGGTGAATAAGCAGCAATAATAAACTGAAAGACCTAATCCCAAAAGATACAGGTGATAGAGCAGAGTTAAAACGATATACAGAGTACAATCAATTAGCACGATCGAATCCACAATGTGACAAAGCGTTTAATTTCTTCCATACTCTTGACTAAGCGAACACCGCTGTTATCTGAGCTAACAATACGCTCCAACTCTTATGATGACAAGTTACGATGTTATTTTATCAAGCCAATGTAATAAACAAAACAAAAAATTAAACAAAACAGCAAATGCAGTAAATCAGAAAGCCATCCAGTGTTATGTGATTTTATTGTTTATAAAGTACCGTAATCAAGAAAACCCGATGCATTTAAGATTATTTCACTTCGGCATAATTAAAATAATATTAACTAAGTACATAAATTTAAATTTTTTTTTGCAACATCAAAATTATTATTCATTTTAATCGGTAAGCAATATATCTATATATTCACAGGCAAGTCACGATACGTACCCCGGGCATGATGACGCGCTCAATGTCGTTGAATACAGCTTCCCATGATTCCCCTTTGTCCGGTGCGTCTGCGGGTATCAGTTCCCGCATAAAGCCAGGCTTCACAGTTGGAAATACCCTTCTATCTCGAATATTTTCGAGATATTGGATGACATAGTCTATCATCTGACGGCCTGCTACGGCGAACTTTTCACTTTCCATTACTAGGTTGACGTTGACCGTGACCTTTTACAATTAGGAATAGAGAAAAGTCGAGCAAAGTGAAAGGTCACACTGTCAAAGCGTTGCAAGTATTACTGATGCAGCGAAACAGATGCGCGAAGAGCGACTATATTTCCTTGGGAATTTGCGAAGAGGTATGCGATTACCTTAACGTCCAGAATATTTTGTTATGGGCCATGCGCCACCGTACTTTTCATATTGTTGAACTGCACTTCGTTCAGCATTCACTTTATATATCTATATCCCGTCCGCTGAATGAGCATAAGTTGAATCGCCCTTGATAGAGGCAAGCAGTCCAATGGGGGGTGGATACGGGATAACAGATTCCGGTTTTAAGAGCTGTATGGTAGCCGCAACGTTCCATCGATTTTCGTTGTTACAGGTGGCACAACGGGAAGTGGGAAGTGTACAACTGTACATGTACAGTATAGCCATGGCAAAATAAATGGTATGCCATGGTATATCTGGTAGCTGTACAGCACTGCGGCAGTAATTTAATACGATATTCTTGTACCTTTTATAAGTTATAACTGCAGTCTTTGCATATATATATATACTTACGCAAATCGAGATATGGTAACGTTGCTGTATTCTTATAATCGCTACTATACTTTTTGTATAATTGCTATGACATTTTTCTACCCTAAATAAATGCCTTAAACGTTTTGTAAGTATTTGCACTTCCGTATCGTGTTATGAGCGTCTTCTGATCGAGCTAGCCTTTAATTTTTTATCATAAATTTATAGTTATGTGAAACATCGCTTACTTTCTTGGGCAGATGTAAGGGCCGAAGCCTTTAAAAGCTACGTACCAGAATTTAATGCAGGTGCCTTACTTTATTCCGGAATTTTCTGTATGAGTATTGCAAAGACATAGATGTAATACTTGAGGATATGGCAGAATCTGACATTATACTGACCACAGTGACCAGTGACTACGGATCAGTGAATCAAAGTTTTCTGGTCTACTGTGCTTATATAGTATTAATTTTACTAATTGACAGGATTGACACAAAGCCACATTAATTAATTTACGTGCCACTTCGTCAGCGTACGCTGATATTACCACCAAAATCACAACAACCAGCTCATAAATACACCAAAATATATAAATATTTTATTAGATATTCTTGGCCAGTCACGGCTCTTTAGTGATAGTGAATTAATGACAGCAATTAGTGACATTCTTGTGCAAAACGTCCATACACTTCTATGAAAGTCCGAGAAAGCTTTCGCACTTACTGTTGAAAAATATTTACAGTATCTGTTTTGCATCAAGCGCTTGTAAAGAAATGTGGTACGCCGCTGTTTACCTGGGCCGTTTACCCAGACACAGGGAAATCGAAGTAGCAGGTCATGGAGCATTGGTTCCAGTTCTAATACTCTTACAAGCTCTAGCGAGGTTCTGCAGCGAGTATACCTCACTGCAAAGGTTACGATGGTATTTCCCTTAAAACGGTCTACCGTGATGCACCGTGAAACCAGTATTTATTGTTCTGTACAGCTTGTACGCTAAAATTATTGTTTAGCCCAACTCGATCTGTGTGTTAGATCGAGATAAACTAAATATTTGTTCTCATCATTGATATCACTTTTAAATTCATATTAGCAGATAAAATGCTTAACTGCGGCCACTGTATGCGTTTGGAAGAAGGCTTTGTTTACTTGGTAAGTTTAGGCAGGCAGGGTTACAAATTGCAAAAGGTCTTGTCAGGTCGCTGTTAAGTTTTCACATTTTATATTTCTGTGAACAAATTAGCACATCAACCTGAACGCTAGCTAATATATTACATTGCTTTAGTATTTAACAATTGATAGCCTATAAAGGCTCGTTAAAATTTATCGGAATATTGGTAATAAAATAACAACTTCATATCTGCCCGGACCCAAGCTTCATATTGCATTTTTGATTGCTATGATTCTGGCATTACCACACAATTTTGAGTTAGCATAAATAAACCACACCTTCCCGAAGCATTGATAGTGATAACTAAACGGCGCCGTAAATATTTATTGGTTATTTTTCTCACAAAGTATTCTTGTCTACAACAATTATCATCACAGGCTTTCACAGGGTACATGATAACTAAATTTCTCTAGCATGCATAAATGTATTTAGTATTTGCATATGTCTGTTTAGTGTTTACATACGTTTTACAGAAGCAGCCGATGCCACTTCGCCATACAATCCTCGAAGGAGTGCCGTCTCCGGATCGTCATAATATCAACGTATCAAAATGTCGGGAGTCGCGTTTTTCTATTGTTAGAACATTAATGCTTGGACAGATAAATTCACATGGACAATCGGTAACAGGCAAATGTTATCTTTTTCCGCTGCCCGGCGCGTCGGCGAACAGGCGACACTGACTGCACGACAAGTAAGCGTATGCGGTTTTAAATCATATCGTGGAAATTGGTGAACTAAAGTCCGCGGATTTATAAAAGGTATTATAATTAAGACTGCCGTTCCGTCGCATCGTAAATAGCTGCATGAATAATCTGTACATGCTCATGGAATCAGCCAAACAACATAGTGTGATTCGCTAACAAAGTACAGTAACCTAAGTTTTCGCCGGGTTATAGGTGCAGAAGCACTCCTCTAGATGCACATAAATTTAGGTAATCTAACTGGTTTTGTAATTTCCCAGCAAACACTCTAATTAATTAATAAATTTTATTCTGATAATGATTAACTGGATTTTCCAGCGCAAAAAAGCGCAAATTTTTTTTAGTTTGCTCTGAATCTAACTGAAATTTTGTTTGTAGGTGCAATATTAAATAAAGTAAAAGCCAATTAAAGATTAGTAAACTGTTTCGTAACTTTCAGTAATCGTCAGCTTTATTCAGTGCACGATTTATTTCTTTGTAGTGAAGAGCAACAATAACTGTTACTGCGGTATGCATGCAGTATAATACAATGTATCGTAGATTGATTTGGGGCTGATTTTGGGCTCACCGACCTTTATTAATTATATTTTCTGATTACTGCTTTCTGGAATTTTTCGTAAGTTTAAGTGCAGTCATTCGTCGCTCTCGTAATTTCATAAAGCTCTTGAGTAAAAGTAACTGCGCAAAAGTGAAACTTTCAAGCTCATGAGCAATCATACTGTTTTGATTTAATTTATTGTAATAGTTTGTAGCATTTCGCTCAAAGCACAAAGCACGTATTATTGTACGATACGATTACACTTTACAGTACCTGTCTGACGGCGTTCGGACAGTCTGGCGCGTGGAAAGAACGTTCGACGTTGATACATTTTTGGCAACAAAGTCTACGGTTTATCAGCTTGGAGCTCGACAGTCGACTTGGCTCTAGCGTAATCAATAAGCCCTCCCAACCTTATTCCGCCAATGAAACCCGCCCGGTTTTGATTACGTAGTTTGCCGGTGGAATTTAACAAGTATTAAATTTCCAGTCAGCGTAAATTCATCAACAATCCTTACAGCAGGTATCTGCTGTATCTGAAAGTACTTAAGCAACAGTTTCTGGAGAACTCGGAAGTGAAAGCAAACCGTGGAAGTTTTGGTTATTTATAGTTAATAATAAATAATACTCTTACCACTGATTCACTGTTATTTATAACCATCTTGCTAATTAGCACTTGATTTGCATTCTTGTTGCAACTGTGATCTGTTGGTTTGTGGTTTGCCGGTAAAGCACGTGGTGCTGTGATATTGCTGTAAAGTAGTTTGGTTTGGCTAGCGTCGCACTTTGTCGGCAACACCGCCGGAAGTCAAAAGTTGGCACAAACTGGCGATCGCCTTTTATAAGTTGATACATTTGTGAACTTTGCATGCGTGCGAGGCGGCAACGCTAAGTTGTTGCTCCAACAGTATAATGCCTGTTATCCTCACAAATTGGTGATAATATCATCATGTCGGTAAGAAAATCGAAACGATGATTCTGCTTTAAATTTTTGGTTTTGCCTGCGTTGCTCATCATTGTAGTGCAAGCGGTTTCCGTAAAACCGACTGCCACAGAATTATATAGATATGTATTAATGTGTATATAGCTTATTACGCTACTGCCCACTGTAAAATCGTTCACGCGAAATAATTTTTGAATTTCTGTTTTCTTTCTTTACAAGCAGACTGAAGCATTTACCAATCGCAAGATCAGTGAGAGATTTTCAGCGAATTTCTTACTGACCCATTGCTTTTTGTGAGAATTTTTGTTTCGGTCACAACACTATCACACAGCTCTGATAGTACTGTAGTATTTTATGCACTGAATTATTTAATTTATTTGAATGCGTTTAAAGCGAGAGGTATTACTGATTACATTATTAATGTGGAAAGATTCGAAACCAGCCGGACGTCCGTTTCAGGACGTCTAGTCGTCTACGAGCGTTGAGCAGCACGTAGTTGTAGTAGGACCTCAACTTGTAAGTAGGTAGTCTGTCTACAAAAGTAACATTCGCCGTTGGAAAGTTGGTTTTCATTTCATTTAGGCGTGGGACGGCACTAGTAATTTAACGCTCAGGGAGACGGCTAGGAGGACTTGTCGTATCTTTCCTGGGGGTCGGGTTACTTTAAAAACTGTTCGAGCCAAATCCTTAAGTACTGTACTGTAAATTGTAAACTGTAAACTATAGAAGTATAGGTACGTATTGATGGTATTGCATCAGACAGCTGCGAACGTTCTTGTATTCTGGACATTTTTCCATATGATTTTAAATCTAGTACGACTGTGCGGGTGCTGACTTAAGAAGCCTGACTTCTCTTATGTTTTGCGAATTTTTTTGCAGTTTAATGTGTTTGGAGATCCTTTTATCTGCCATTATTCCAAAACAGAAGCACTGCAGGACGCTGGATCTGAAGTCCCCTTTTCGGCCTTTGCTCAGGGTTTTTCTGGATATTTTTCCTTTCATCAAGTAGATCCGCAGTGGAATTCAAGAGCTTGCCCGTCGGAACCCATTTCACCTTCTGTTTCGCGCTCTGATTCCTGCTGCTCCACGCCGTCCGTGGACGACAGCTTTTTCAAAGCAGAGCAGTCGTTTTACCCTTGGCACTGCCCGCGTGAAGAAATATCCCTCCCGAATCCGATCAAGGCTGAACCCACAGAAGAATACTATCCACCGAACAGCCACTTGTCTGCCGATTCCTCATCGTTTTCGAACGATTTATTCACCGAGAGGAATAACCTTATTCCAGAGTGTGATTTGGAAGAACGCTATCAGGATTTTATGCAGTTTCTGAAAGAAACGACTGATTTAAATGGTTTAGAAATCGACAGTATGCCATATGAAAGTCTTGAAGAATACTCCTCTGAATCAGCAAGCATGAAAAAGAGAAATTCGCAGAAACCGAGGAAGGCAGGTAGTTCACCGCGGGCATCTTCGGGACAACAGACTTCGCCAGTTGCATCCAGGAACGCACTTCAGCGGAAGAGAAAATCAAACGGGAACGACACCCGGTTTGAGCAGTCGCGCAACTCGAGTTCGTTGTCCGGAGATGACGACAGCTCGGCTACGAGCAGCAAACGCTCCAAAGGTCTCTCGTCGGAAGAATGTAAGCATAGAAGTACAAACAATTTATTTTGTGCACATATATGTATATTATCTAATGTATAATATTTAATTTTGTTCCATGCTTTCATTTCGTTGTGAAATGAAAGCATGTCGCGTTTGGTTTTGTTCTTGAAGTAAATATTAAACAATGTATTATTTTGTTTCTATAGCATTAGTTGTGAACATATTATAATCGTATCATAATTTTGCGCTACAATTGTAAGTGATAAATTACAAAAAATTATTTCTAGAGTTGAAAGTAAAAAATTACAATATCGTAAAAATAATACAATATAGCAAAAACATTAATTGGCTCGTTCTGAAGTGGAGAACGACAGTGGGCAATTCTGTGGAATTGTTCCAGATATTTGTGCGTGTAATGTTTGCTGGTCAGACATTACAGTACACTGTATTCGTTGCAGCATATGCTCAAAGGCGCGAGAAGAATAATACCGCTGTACGAAAAAGTCGCGAAAAGAAGCGCCAGGAAAACCAGCGCTTCCTCGAAGAACACGAGAAGCTGAAAAAAGAAATCGAAACGATAAAGACTCAAAATGACCAGTTGCAGACGGTGTTAGCGGAAGTGGAAGATGGTTTACTGGATACAGGAAAATCGAAGGAGGAATTAACGGCACTGGTCCAAAGCGCTAAAAAACAGCTACTTCAATGAAAGAGTTGATCATAATTATTTACCTGTTTCCTTTACAAAACGAGGACTGTGCATGTTTGTTCCGTCTTCGTTTAATTAAATGATGGTTTTATTTTTTACCAAAGTTTAGGTGTTAGCTGAATTAGTATGAACCCTGAAGATATACAATATGAAGGCGCGGATTGCGCGAATAAATAAGATGAATAATTCAATGCAGAGAAATAACTGTTTTCAAATTCTGATGTCTCTGGACTGCCAGGACAACCCTAGACAGGGCTCATGAGGACCGGCTTTCGACTTAGCTCTACAGAACGAATCCTTCGCACCACAACAGTAAACAACTAATTAACTACTCGTATCATTCAAAATTTCAGATTATTTGCCCAGTTGCAAAACAGTAGCTGTGTAATTTACTGTTAAACACAAATTATCTGCCTGCCCATTTTACCATCGCGATTCGCTCTCTCAGCGCGCTGTTTCGAAATTCACTGTACAGGTAAGGTACCATTAGGCATTAGCCTTGCAGTGGCTGTCTGGAAATACTACTGACGGAATCAAACACTCCCGCTTGACAATCAAATTACCAGAAAATTTTCCGACTTTCAATTGGTTTTCTGTTGTTTGCATTCAGCAACGCAAATTAACAGGAAATTACTTTTAGAAAACATAAGTAGCCATTTTAAAATATTGTAATATTTCTTAATTTTCTTTCGTCGCTCGTTTAGCAGAAGATGTAAAGTATGTAGGTTGCCTCGCTTGCTGCTCCACGAGCTCCATAGCGCGCAGCTCGGCGTCGCCTGCGGCTCCGCCTTCTATGAAAAACGAAGGAAATTATTGGGTTTCGCAAAATCTCTCGTTCTCAATCATGAAGCATTCCCTTTGGATGACGCGCCTAACGACCGCTAAGCAACTACCTATTATGCAGTCACTCAAATAAAACTTGTTAGCTATACTTCTAATGTCTTCTATGGCTTTGCTGCAGTTAATTTAACGAAGCTCGTGTAGGATATGCAGCTGCCAGGTTGCTGTCCTAGACCATAAACATACAATATCATCCTCCCTAAACATGCAGTACCATCGTTTTCGGGCATCTTGTTCCACAGAAAACAAATTAACAGTACTCAACTTGCGAGTCGCAAGTCATTGCAAATTTTGCGGCTTCAACGGTATATCAGTACCAATGGCAACCGCCCGTGGAGACGTTGCAACTTTAAACTGGTCAAACCACTGCGAACGGCAGCTCATTGAGAAACAGTTTTGAGCAGTTCCGTACAGTACTCGCAGACTTTGTTAGGTCTTCTTTCCTACCCACATCTCACTGTTTCTGACGCCATTTGCTTATGAAAAATTCATGATTTCATTCAAGAATCAATACTACGGAATAATACGTGGTCCTGATTCAAGAACTTTCCTCCCATCCCAGCAAAGTTGACCAAAACGCGTTTTAGCTGTCGAGACAGTGGTGGGGTGGTCAGTTTTGCAGTGGTGGATTTTCAACTTTTCCTATTGGCTTTCTATGTTAAAGTTTTTGAACTTTTCCTTCAAACCTTTGTTTTTCTCTAAAAACTGACTTGTGATGGCAAATCTACACACCATGGGCTATCGAATGATACGTAGAGATGGAATTTTGATTCAATGGATCGGGCTGACGAACTCGACAGAGTGGGAATTTCGTTAAGGCTTACGCGATTATTATATAGTGATAATTTGATGTGTTGCGCCAGATTTTGTTAAAATTTGGGTATTTACGATTAGATCCTCGTACAACATACGACAAAGTTCGTAACGGGATAGCAACCATTACCAGTTACCCTAAAGAGTTTATCCGGCAAGGGCTGTCTATTCAAATACATCAAGAAAACGCAGTGTACTGTATGTAATGAGAACGATTCCCAAGCAAGATGTAAGCGTGTAAACTGTAAGCGTAGTACAATACAAGGTTTCTTGCTGTGGAACAAAATCGTTTAATTAAAACTCTCAATAATTTATTGAGGTTTTTACCGGCTTGTGAACTTGTGGCACTACTTGTACCCTGTCATGTTTGCGGTATTTCTTAACCTTAAAACTTGTTAAAATACCATATCATGATATGGTATTGTAGTCCGATTAAAAAGACGTTCAAGATGAAATGTATGTACAGTATTGTAGTCCGATTAAAAAGACGTTCAAGATGAAATGTAAATACTTAAGTACTTAATTTTCGCACACTGTATCAGAATACTTACAAGAAGTCTTGTACATATTGAACATAATACAATACATACAGTACCACAACCGCGTTACACACACAATACAGTACATACCGCACCAGGCCACCAGCCCACAGCAGCATCGCTAAAATTTAATACTTAACTCTAAATTTTCGTGTCAATTGGCAGTGTTTCAAGTATTCTGCAGACTGCAGTATTTAATATATAATTTTGGTAAAGACTCCGCACGCCACCTTAATTTGCTTCTTTCAGTTCTTTGTATAGATATTGTGCTACCTTTTGTTTCTTATACAGGTATGTGTACAGTTGTAACACCTCACCTTGCAACACCATCGACTCCGCATACCACCTGAATTATTAGTATTATGATACCTATTTTAATATTTCTGATAAACATTCAGTGAACAAACTCTTTAGTAAATGATCATTGTATACTTCTACCGCTATCGATTAAACATCAGAAAACAGAAGCAATCGCATAGCATCAGCAGACAGCGGAAACAGGCGGCCGAAATTTCGGTGATTTCGATTTCAGAAATGTCTCACAATTTTTCGCCGCCGAATCACAGAGAACATTAATTATGATCTAAGTGAGCCAAGGCTGGGGCCGTTCCCAGGATGGATGCCGCGTTTGCGCGATGAATAGTTATTTCGATGCTGAACCTCTGGCGCAGATACTCCGCTAATTGCACGTATCCCGCCTGTTTTTTCTGCGAAGCGGGACGACAGCGTTCCGATGTAAAGGGTAGATCCGAGCAAAAGTCTACGGGAGATTTGATAGGTATGGGAGGGGTCAGGGACTCGGCGCGTCATCAAGATGGGTTGTACTTGTTATAGGCTGTGATTGGTTGTTACATAGCTTATGGTTAGAATATTCCACTCGATTTTTCCCTCCTTACTTTATTGTTTTATTAATTTTTTTAGTTCTTTTTTATTTTTTTATTTTTTTTATTTTTTTTATTTTTTTATTTTTTTAATATTTTTTTATTTTCTTATTTTTTTACTTCTGTTATTTGTTTTACTTATCTAGCTGAACAGCCCGCTCGCATATTGCCAACTTGGTTGGCAAAGCTCCTCTGTGATTTTGCCATATCATCTTGCCCAATTCATTGATCAGCCGGGAGGCTTCCGGTCGGAGTGGTCCCAGTGTGTCCACGCCCACCGCACCGAACAGGTAGTCCTGGTACTTCGCGGTTTTGTTCCGGCCTGCGCCGCTGCTGCGCCAGCTTGCGTGGATGTTGCTGCGATATGTGGTAAGGATCATAAGGTCATCGTACACACACATGGCACATCCCATGTTAACATTTTGCTTCGTTCCCATGACACTAAAGTCACCGTCAGGGCGTTGGCCGTTGGTTCGCGAAACTCCCAAAGGCTCGCTGAGGCGAAGGCTCGTTTAACTGTGGCGTTAATTAAGCTGCTATGCCTGGACTTCCGGCCCCGACTTTTCTTGCAGCTCAGGCCGTGATAACCTCGAGCCTCCACCCATTCATTGCAGATGCATCGGTGCGGACTTACGATCAGTGCTCCCAGGCGCAGGCCAACAGCAATCCGTACGTGCGGAAGTGCGGAACTGCGGATCCGTTCAGTTGGAAGATGCAATGCTGTAGCGATAGTATTTGCGAACGATAAGACCGCCAGTTATGATTCATTCCATCGCGTTATGAATTTGTAACCGACTTTTCTTGCAGCTCAGGCCGTGATAACCTCGAGCCTCCACCCATTCATTGCAGATGCATCGGTGCGGACTTACGATCAGTGCTCCCAGGCGCAGGCCAACAGCAATCCGTACGTAGTGCGGAACTGCGGATCCGTTCACTTGGAAGATGTACAATACTGTAGCGATAGTATTTGTACGAACGATAAGACCGCCCAGTTATGATTCATTCCATCGCGTTATGAATTTGTGTCCACTTTACCGGCTAGTTTCCTTTCTCATGAATTTCTAGAATTCAGTCTTGTGCTCAGCTTGCTACAGCTTGCATCTACTTGATTGTTCCTCTTGTTGAAACTCTTGCTTACAACCTTGTCGCGTTCTTGATTCCCTTGTCATTAAACATGCCTTGAGTTACGTTGTTGCGTTTGACCACTTGGGAGTTGGGATGAACTTGCGTCATCCCAATCGGAGCCACCTTTGTAATTGCGTCACATCTGTAAGAGCGTCCTCGGCCAGCATCGTTGCCGGCCGTGCCACCTTTCATACCAACAGCCGCATAATCGTGGTAAAGGCTGATCGCCACCCCACTAGAACAGCAGCCAAATAGGCTGTTGTTACAATACCGTCAATACGTACAGTATCATACCGGCAGCAATCAGTCTACGGACAACGTAACTGTCGCGACTTGGGCGCATGCCTGTTACACCAGTAAACGTTTTAAAACACTGATTTCATTACAGTACAGTATTTTGCTTCTTTTTTTAATATCGGGCTCCTGGCCTCCTGCTACGTACAAGTACTACCTACTGTAGTAATCAAAGCAAGCGAAATTAATTTTAATACCTACTTTTGAATACTTATTGGATTTCGTTTGTTCACGGTTTTTCAGAATATTACTGTTGTGAGTCGTGACGGTAATCCATATTTTGCAATAAGTCGTCAATTGTATTTAAAATTTTTACTACAGTACTACTAGTACTTTATCAGCACTTCACCGCTCGTTGCGCAGTTTTGAATCGTGAGTTTCGAAATCTTGAAACGTTTCTCGTTTTGCGCTCCTGCCGTTCCGTTATGCGGATGGCCTTAGAGGATTAGATGAACATCAAACTTTTGGAAACCCGAAACATAATGTCGTTGCTTTGGATATGAATAGTTTCTACGTTCTAGCAAGTGGTAGTCCGATAGCAGATAGCTCGACGTTGTAGTCTCGAATTGGGTTTTGACTTTCGATTTGTGATTTACAAAATCGCACTATTCCCTAATATAATTGTTAAGGATACTGGATTGGATAGATAATACTCGTAGTGATTGTGGTGATTCCTACTTGCCGATTTGCCCCAGTGGGTTGACTGACATTTGAGTTGACTCGATATTATTGTGCTTCGAAGCTGAATTCCGGTTTGAACCGGAGAAATTATATTATTATTGTACCAAATTTAAACGGCAGCCAATTTTTCATTTAGATATTTATTTTTGATTTTAATTTAAACTGATAAAAAGGAAGACACTCTGTTTGTACAGACAGTACAGTACCAGCTGTTAGAACGGTATTGTTTTGTCACTTTGTGAATCTACAGTTTAAGGACCTTCGCAGTTTAATAACCTCAGACGGTCAGACCTCACTAATTATTAGTGTTAAATTGTTAATGCGTAGATTCAAGATTGTAAGCTGAATGTTTTCATGCTGGTTTACTTTTATTCTGCATACGGTATTACGCGAGGTTACCGCTTAGTTTTTATTACAGAATTCGGCCTTCAAAAAATTTGATAGATGCTTCGAAAATGAGTGCGGAAGGGATAAAACGACAGGAGCTGGTTGATACCGTGGAAGAAGCGCTGAGCGAGCAGCAGGAAATGTAGGTCTGATGACTCTGATTGAACAGGCATAAACGTTTATGACACTCTGGTTTTGCATGGAATCATTGGAATCTCCTAATTTTACGGTGTTATTTCAGTGCCTTGAACGAAAACGATGATGATGCAAACTCCCATGCCGTGCGTGCGCGTCGCGTAACCATACTGTACTCCGATCGCGATGCTAGCGAACAAGCTCGCCATCATAGCCACTATGTCCGCACTAAGCCTTGCATCGAGTACAAATGGGAGAAGAAATACTACGCAGGCCATTTGGTCGCCGTTCATATGTCCGGGAAGATCTTCGCTTACTGCGTCCAGACCCATCACAGTGGCAAAGTCCGGGTGACGAACGAAGAATCGGGCGACAATCGCTGCTTGCTGAAGGAATTCGATACGCAGTTGGTGGATATTGATTTCGCCCACATCCCCGATGCCATCTACATTGCGTGCATGGAGCAGAATGGCTGGTGTAGTGTGTTTTCCGTCACCGATGCCAAACCTATGACGTACGAATTGATGATTAAGGTGAGTACTCGAAGTACTTAGACGGTGAACGAATTTCATTTCCCTGAGCGATTCGTTATGTTATCCCGGTAAAAATCCAATATAGGGACACCATCAGGATGACGTCATAATGACGTCATTTTGCATTCGTTCGACTCAGAATTTTTTTCTGAGTCGAATGAGCTGTACCCGGAAACAAAAAACTGTCACGTGACTGAGATATGATTTCTTATCCAAATCCTGGAAAAACACTGGGATACCATCAGGATGACGTAATAATGACGTCATTTCGCCCTCATTCGGATCAGAATTTTTTTCTGAGTCGAATGATCTGGGACCGAAAGCAAGAAACCTTCACGTGACCGAGTTCTAAATTTTTATCTAAATAAGCAAGAAAGTTTATTATTGAGATGACGTCATAACGATTTCGTTTAACAGCTATCCATTTGTTTCCTATTGGGGAGTCAAACAAGCTGGTCTTCGAAGCTTCAAATAACAATTTGAGAAAAGTTTTGTTCTATTTTTTATACAAGAGACGAACAAAACAAAGGACCATACTGAAACTGATTCATTAATTCATTATATTCCCCTTGTATGTTTGAAGAAAGTAAGGAAAACAGTACTAAGTTTGTAAAAACTAGGAAACTGAGAAACCAACGCTAATATAGACCAGTACCTAGAAAGTACTATGACAAACCTAAGAAACTGAAACCACTGCTAATATAGAACAAAAAAACTGGAGTGAATCAAGAATAAACAAGGAATAACTTAAGAACATAAGACACATTGGGATAACTTTAGAAAACCAGCTAAAAAAACTGAGAAATCTATGGCAAATCTAACAAGCATAAAGCAACCTAAAAGCCGGAATGTAACCTAAAAAACATGAAAACGAAACGAAAGCCTAAGAAGAAAAGCAGAGAACGAAAACCTAAGAAACTAAAAAACCACCGGTAATGGTAACTAAATTATAGTAACATTAACAGTAACATTAACCGATAATAGCAACAGTAACTACATTGTACTAAAACCAAGCTAAAAAACCACAGAAAAACGAAACATATGAAACCTAAACATAAGCTCAGAAATATTAACAAAAACAAGGAACCTAAGAAGAGTAGCGTAGAGAACAATGCTAATTCAAAACAGTATCCAGGGCATAAGAAAAACCTACTTAATCCAGAAACCGTCGCTTATACCCGTACGCAACAATAGCTTGACAGCCTACACTGTAGTACGAATAACGTAAGCACCTAAAGGAACATCTAGAATAATCCAAGGAGACATAAGAAACGTGAGAATAACATTAGAACCCTAGAATATCCTAAGAAACCTAAACACCGAAGAAATTTAGTGAACGTAAGCAAAATCGAAACCTGACCTAACAAAAGTCGGGAGGAACCTAACAATCCCAAAAAAAATCTCAGCAACCTGATGATAACCTAGAATTAGCCTAAGGAATCTAGAAAAACCTAAGAATTAACCTAAGATGATTAAGAAAATTATAAACGGAAGAAAAATTTGAAACATCTAACAAACCAAAAGAGTCTATGAAGCCTATGCAACTTAAGAAATCTGGCATGTTACTAGTTCTTCAGCCTCGTTTAAAAAAGGAGCAACATTGCTGTGGGGTGTTACTGGCTCTGTCTCGTTCAAAGAGAAGAATAACATTGTTATGGTGTGTTACTAGTTCTGTCTCGTTTAAAGAAAGGAGTAACATTGTTGTGGAGTGTTACCACTTTTTTCCCGTTTAAAGAAATGAAAAGCGCTGTGATGGGGTTTTGCTAGTTGGGTCTCGTTTTAAAGAAAGGAGTAACATTGTTATGTGATGTTAATAGTTGGGTCTCGTTAAAGAAAGTAACATTGTTAGGGGATGTTAGTAGTTGGGTCTCGGTTAAAGAAAAGAACAACACTGTTATGGGATGTTAATAGCTGGGTCTCGTTTAAAGAAAGGAGTAACGTTGCTGTGGGGTATTACTAGTTCGGTCCCGTTTAAAAAAAGGAGTAAAATTGTTGTGGGGTGTTACCACTTTTTTCCCGTTTAAAGAAAGGAAAAACGTTGTGATGGGGTTTTGCTAGTTGGGTCTTGTTTAAAGAAAGGAGTAACATTGTTATGGGGTGTTACTTGTTCTGTTTCGTTTAAAGAAAGGAGTAACATTGTTAGGGGGTGTTAATAGCTGGGTCTCGTTTAAAGAAAGGAGTAACGTTGCTGTGGGGTATTACTATTTCGGTCCCGTTTAAAAAAAGGAGTAAAATTGTTGTGGGGTGTTACCACTTTTTTCCCGTTTAAAGAAAGGAAAAACGTTGTGATGGGGTTTTGCTAGCTGGATCTTGTTTAAAGAAAGGAATAATATTGTTATGGGGTGTTACTTATTCTGTCTCGTTTAAAGAAAGGAGTAACACTGTTAGGGGATGTTAATAGTTGGGTCTCGGTTAAAGAAAGGAGTAACATTGTTATGGGGTGTTAATAGCTGGGTCTCGTTTAAAGAAAGAAGTAACGTTGCTGTGGGGTATTACTAGTTCGGTCCCGTTTAAAGAAAGGAATAACATTGTTGTGGGGTATTACTAGTTCGGTCCCGTTTAAGGAAAGGAGTAACATTGTTGTGGGGTGTTACCACTTTTGTATCGTTTCAAGAAAGGTCAAGAAAGGGGTAACATTGCTGTGGGGTATTACTAGTTCGGTATCGTTTAAAGAAAGGAGTAACATTGTTGTTGGGTGTTACCACTTTTGTCTCGTTTAAAGAAAAGAGTAATATTGTTATGGGATGTTCATAGTTGGTTCTCGTTTAAAGAAAGGAGTAACATTGTTATGGGGTGTTACTGGTTCTGTCTCGTTTAAAGAGAAGAATAACATTGCTGGGGTGTGTTACTACTTACTACTAACTTACTAGTTCTGTCTCGTTTAAAGAAAGGAGTAACAGTACTGTGGCGTTTTACTAATTCTGTCTCGTTTAAAGAAAGGAGTAACATTACTGTGGCGTTTTACTAGTTCTGTCTCGTTTAAAGAAAGGAGTAACATTGTTATGGGGTGGTAATAGTTGGGTCTCGTTTAAAAGAAAAACATTACTGTTGGCTGTAACCAGCCCATATGTCTCGATGAAAGAAAAGAGTAACCAAATAATCAATTTGACAAACTTAAATTGCTTGCAAGGAACAAAACAAGTTGGCTAAATATTAACCTTACCGCTGGATAACTGTTAATTAATTATATAACTATGTTCAGTATTGCAATTAAGTGACCTTCTAAACCCATCTTGACCTTTACGACTGAAAAAGATTTCTGAATTGACCAGTCATGTATGACCTGTATTTGACGTCATCAGCGAAAAAGTACTCGAAAATTCCGTGCTAAAATCCTGAATTTCCAGAAAATGGTTAAATAAATTAATAACTTGGTCACGTGATCTCGGATCCACGCAATTCACATATCATTCGACTCAGGATTTTTTTCTGAACATAATTAGCTGTAAGAAGTTCTTTTCTGACAGGTCTCCTAAATTGGAGAATTAAAGTGATTTTTATTCTGAAAAAATCCATAACTTGGTCACGTGACCTGAGACCCACGTGATCTATATACCATTCGACTCAGGATTTTTTTCTGAGTCGAATGAGCGATAGAAAACTTATTTCTGAGAGGTGTCCCTAAATTGGACTATAACCGTTATCCCGCTTTAGATATGATATTACTCATATTAGTACTTAAACATTTTCTTTTCAGCAGCACGTATGTCATTGTTTTGTGTCATTTCGTCATTTGCTCATTTATCCCGTAATAAATTGTGGTTTGTGAAATTTAGATCAGCCTGGAATCCGCGGAACCCATACTTCCCGATATACCTTGCCGTGCTGTGTGGTGTGTTCACATTCCCGAGAAGAATGCTCCAAAAACTTCCTTCGAAGACGTTAATGAACCTGCGAATCGGCTGATCCTCACTTGTAATGGAAAAGCCGTCGTCGCTAGTGTTCCCATTGTACAGAAGGCTGCTGGTGCAGAGAAGAAAATAGTTATCGGCAGCGAAGCCGTGCGAGGTGTTACGATGACTCCTAATGGTGCAAAAATTTGGGATATTAAAATGTCGCCGGATGGGGTAATTGTTTGTGCGGCACGAGAAGATGGCAATGTTCATTTCTATCAGGTTTGTTGTTTTGTTCAGCTGGTCCATGGATATCAGTTATTAATTTTGTTTTTATGTTGTTACAGTGCGTTCTGGACAAAAGTGATGCGCCATCTCAGGATCCGGCCAACTTAGTGTACACTTGGATTCCGCACGACGGTCTGCCGGTTCACACGATTCACTTTTTTGATGATTTCTCTCCTGGAACGAAACAGGATCAGTTCTGGATGTATGCGCTTAGCGGCTGCGAATATGGTCGGCAGTTTCGAATCTGGAACTGTCAGCACTGGTACTGTCTGCAAACCATTGATGTTGCGCCTTCACCGCTCCGTCCCACGTCCCTGCCGAAACTGCACGTCACTGTGGACCCTAAAGGAAAATATATGGTTCTGGGCGATGCGGAGCGCAACCTGCTCATGTATCTCCGCGTAGACCAGGATCCGGTTCGGCACATGGCCTGTGTTACCTCGTTAATGGAATTTCTTGTTGGTTCTCCCATCCTGAGCTTGGCTGTGGTGGAAGTTAATCCTGTCCGGCCTTCGGAACGAAGCGTGCCGCAACCGTTAGAGCGTGAGTGGCGCATTTTTAGTTGTGGCTGTTGGATTAAATAACTTCATTCCTGCTTGATATGTATAGTACGTTTATGTATTTGCAGCAGAAGAAAACGGTTTTGAGTCCCGGTTGTTGACGATACACTCCAACTTGCTGCAGCAAATGTCCATTGCTTTTGTTGGAGAGCAGTTGCCCAGCCGGATGCCGTCTAATGGCGCGTTTTATCACGAAGAAAGTGCACCATTGCAGCCACGTAAGGAGGTTAAAGAAGGATCACCCGCTGAGAACGGTGACGCAAAAACCAAGAAAAAGCGAAGCAAAAAAGCGCGTGATGCATTTTCTTTGGACGACGTACCGACACCTGTTATGCCAGCCGAAAACATCGCCACTGCCAACGGCGGGGAGAAGAACTTGACGTTCCAGAACTCAGCTACACACCGGAGAAATCCATTAGTCCCGCTTTTGTTCTGCAGCCACCCAGTGCATTCGATGCAATACCTTCTGTGCGTAGAGAAAGCTCTCAGGCTAACACTCCTACGTTTGTGAAGGAAGTTGCCGTGGAGGACGAAAGCCACTTGCTGAAAGAACGGAATGACTTCTACCTGCCACGTGATAATTCAGTGGCTACTAACATCAGTACTGTATTTGGAGTTCCACCAGTCGAATTAGGTGCGTCACCTCCCAGTAGCGATATCGCTGATAACTTCCGAGCTATTCCCGTGGAATATGGTGAGCTTCATTGTCGTTTTTGTTTGTTTGGGTTTTGAATGCTGTAAATATTTTATACTTACGTTGCTATTAATTTTTTGGTTAGTAATTAAATATAGTTATCCGTTGTTTATTATTAGTTTTTTAATTAGCCTTACGCATCTATTTATTCTAATTATTAGTTATTGTATTTGTTTTAGGAGGACGAAACAGCCAGTCTTTCGATCCTGACCTGCGCAGCCGATCTGGACGACTTTTGATGGACGAACGGGTTTCGAAATTGGAAACTTCTTACTCGGATTTGCTGAAGCTGTGTGCCAGCCAACACCAAATGCTGGAGCGACAGACCACACTTTTAGAGCAACTGATTGCGTCTGCGGGTGCATCCTCATCAAATCAGGCTATCGGGGCCGGTGACGCTTCTGTGGATGCTGTGCTAGCAGCTTTAACCGCTTCTGTTAGAGAAGGTTTCGTAAATTTGGTTGAAACAATGAGACCGCTCCAGAAGTTTGATACCCGCATGAATACCATGGCTAACGATTTGGGAAAGATTGTTGAAAATAGTGTTGGAAAGGAAGTCAAGAATCAGCTGGCTCAACAGAATCTCCAAAAAGCTATGAAGCCAATAAATGAGAAATTCGTGACGGAAATGACCACCAAGTTGGTGACCTTTGAAGCTGGTATACGGCAGAAGTTTGAAGATGTATTTCGCGGCCAGCAGTTTGGTGCTTTAATGGCGCAGGCCTTAGCACCCCAGTTTCACGATGCTGCGCGCCTGGCTGTACAAGAAGCAATCAAGACTCAACTGGCGCCTGCTGTACAGGATGTAATGAACGCCTCCTTGAACATTATGAGCACCACTTTCGCTAGTGGCACCAAAGAATATCTGGCTCAGGTTAGTAACCCTGTGGTGCATTACTTGAATTTTTTTGTTATGAATTCACTTGATTTTACAAGTGTTTAACGTACATACGCAATGTAAGTTTGTTGTTTCTGCTGTCTATGGCGTTTTTTTTTATTTGGACTTCGTGGATTTTCGTTCAAAGTGTTTCGTGTTTGTAGCATAACAAATCCCTGGAAAACCATTTCACTCGTATTGATGCAGCCTTGGAAGAGCGCATTCGCGGCCTGGAACAAGTGGCAGAGCGAGCCTGTACTGCTGCTGTGCAGACCGTCTCGGTAGATTTGCTGAAAGAGATGCAGATGATTGTGGATCACAGCACAGAACAGTTGACAGAACAGATTGTAGAGTCGCTTGGCACACAGATCTCGCAAAACGTTACCAGCTCTGTGAAAAGCGAACTTCGGGAGCAGCAGAGTGTTCTGCATGAAAGCATGGTCCAGGCGATTCGATCCGGCATTGCTACCCCAGGTGGACAAGTCGCTACTCAGCACCATAAAAGTCAGCAGGCTTTGCAAGATGTAAAACAAGCATTGACACGCCAGGATTACAATTCAGCTTTCCGCATTGCCCTTTCTGCATCAAATCTGGACGTGGTTTTATACGTTTGCGAAAAGGTTCCTGTGAAAGAGGTAACCTAAGATAATATAGTCCGTGAAAAACCTGTTATCTGAAAAGTCTTATTTTTGGTTCGACTGAAGTTAGATGAGCGGGAGCTCAAGAAATCTGAGCCAAAACCCGGGTACATCGATTCAGTCGTACTACTGGCAAAAAATATGTTGTTTTTGTTTGTGAAATCAGCTCATATTGGCATTGCAGGTGTTTGGGAAGCCGAATAACCTTCAGATGCCCGTACTGTTTTCCCTCATTCAACAGTTGGCAGTGGACATTGCATCAAAAACTGATCTGAAGCTACAGTATTTGGAAGAGGCTTTGCTGGCGATTCAGTTTGACGATTTGGAGCCGAGTTCTTCCAAATTTCTGCGCACTGTGCTCAGCGATGTGATGAAAGGACTGACCAAATTCATGCAGTCCAATCCCAGTCATCCGCTGTCGCGCAATCTGAAACTGTTGTCGAATTTAGCATCCCTGCAGCTAACTAACATCACTAATCAACAGGCTTCGCGAGGCACTGACTAGTATGGTCGTTGGCTATGATCATGTGAATGTGGAGTATTTCTTTGAGACAGCTGTATCTGTTTGTTCGAAACTAACCTTATAGAGACGTAGAAGGGTTTTTTAGCTGGATTGTTGATGATTCTTGTTTGGGTAGAAGCTTTAAATACACTTTATATATACGCGTTAGGGTTGATTCGTTTGATTGGCTCTTGTTTGAGGTTGAGCTTTTGTTTGTTGCTTTTTTATTAAGAAATGATAACCTTGATTAAATTATTATCGCACAAGATATCTAGCAGAGAATTCTTGCTATTACTTATTGAAAAGAAGTCTACAAAAAGAGTATCAAACCCATCAAGTTCGAGGGTAGTGCGATAATGATCAGTTCTGCGATTCATTTTTAATTTATTCCATGATTCATGCAGTTAAACTATTATAGTAACACATCAGGATCGCCGAAGCGTGAGCTTCCCGCACGTGTGGCACCAATTCGTGATTCTCGCCGAGAATGCAGACTGGCAGTGTGTCATTTTGACGTCACTAACATACAGGGATTTTACGGTGCGCCAACAGGAGAACTACGCATTCGCTCTGTTTCTGTTCGTGTGCTGTCGTATGGACGGTGGTGTGATACCGTGGCCATAGCACTGTCGCTTAATTTAGGAATATTGTAAATATTTTTATCACACGTTTTTTTTCTCGTTTAAAGAGGATAGTTTTCTGTAAATTTTCATGTATCCGCCCAATTAAGAAACATTGCGAAAGCGCGCTGTTTAAAAAGTGCCGGGATAAGCACTTGTTGTTATGGGCATACGATGACTTCCCGGCGCACCTTAGGCGCACGGCTCCCAACCGCCACAGGGCGCCATCCGGGCGAGAATCGTCAATCGCGACCACTGCGCGTTCAATATCTACTCTATGTGTGGATGCGGGATGCCGGCTTGGTTATAGTGAATTAATGAAAATTATGTGCTTGCTGCTGCTTTCTGTTTTCATATAAAGAGTATTTTGTCTGATTTGTCATATTTAAAATTTAGCTAAATGGACGCATACGTTACAGAGTTCACATCAGGGATAGTTTAGGGATTCCCCTCTCCAGTTTCTACGTTTTCCAATCTGTACAACACAGGAAAATAATCAATATTAGCCGCCCGATGGTACTGTACGTCCGTCGACCGATTGACTGAAACGGCAACTGTAAAATGTAAATGCTCATCGACTGGATGATGCACTATGAAAGTATGAAGGCACGAAACTCCACTGGCGTACAAAATACCTGCATAAGGTCCGGATCCAAGGTCGTATAAAACGGTTTTCTAAATTACATGACTAATTATAAACTTATCTCTTTGCTGACACTGCGCTTGTTATTCTGCATATTGTTCTGCATACTTGCCTGATCCTGATGGTGAGCAAAATTTGTTGTCATCCACTCGGCGGTATCCTTAATTGAACGAAGATTGATTTTAAGTACAAATACAGTACGTACGTAAAGAGGCATTTACTTCTTTCTTGAGCAGTGCCAAACTTTCTCCTTCATGTATTTTCATTATGGCTGATTATGAGGAAGATTTTGAGGAGGCTGATTTTGTCGATACATCCGTGACCGGGGAAGCAGAGCGAGACGACAAGAAGTCGCACGTTCAGATTTATCTACCGTATTCAATGGAAACAAGGGTGCAAAATCACTAACCGCCGATGTCGCAATTCACGCACAACCCAACGAGAAAAATCTTTTTGACTTTCTGTTTAAAAAGCGAGCCAATCCTTCCGTAAGTGACGATTTTAATGTTGTATGTAGAATAGAAAGGGATAAAAATATAAAACTGTGCGCACCTCATGGAATTTAAAGTGAATAGTCCATTGCAATAAGAGTAAGAAATGTCTCCAGGTTGCGTCCAGCACAAGAGATTTTCACTGTCAGTCGGAAGCTCAAACAGAACTGATCCGCTTAAGCACCGCGTGGACACAGAAACCTTGCTACTCCGCAAAAGAAAGCTCCGGTCTGATTACCGGCAAAACAAAGCCGCACATGGAGCAAAACAACGAAGCTGTTAAATTATCACTACTCACGCAAAACAAAGCTGATGTTATAGGGAGTCAACCCGGCAGCTTGAATGCTTTCTTGAAAAAATCTTCTAACTTGATCCTGAGTATGATGACCGAGGAAAGGCACAAGAAAAGCATTTTAAAAGCTGAGCGATCCAAAACCGACGATACGCGAACAGTGACTGATCAGGTGTCCGTTCCGCTTGCAAGTCCACTGTTTTCCGCATTCGGCAACATAATTTCCATTCGAACCGCACAGAATTGTGCGTCACCGCTATTTCTTGTATTGCATGCAACAAAGGATAATAGTCCACCAGTACAAAGCCGATTCCGCGGCTGTGTTTCCGGGTGGAATGGCTATTCGCCAGGTGCAGCGTTATTCATTTTGGGTTTGCTGGAACGACCGACGTGCCTCGACTCCTTCTCCGATTCTGACGGCGTCCTGCTTGTTGTAGCTGGCGTTATTGATGGAAGTATAGCGTGCTGGGATGTGCGGGAACCGTCTTCGAATGCAATATATTTCGATCAAGAATCTCAGATAGTTCAGTTACCGTGCTTTGTCAGTTGTGCTACGACACCGAGTCATACGGAGAGTGTCTTGGACATTGCCACGATTCAACCCGGTTCACGAGCCAGTTCAGCCAAATTTGTGGTGTCGCTAGATGAATCTGGAATAGTAATTGTGTGGAATGTAATGCATTCGGTGAAGGAGAAGGGGCGAAACAATGAAAATACTGGTGCCGGTCAAACAGTTGAGCTTGTCCGTTCAAGAACGATCGATATATGGAGAAACTGCCCCAAAAGATTCGTCATTACCACCATTTATTCCGACGGTCGCAGCACAAACCAAGCCTTCGTCACGTCCTCAAATGGGCATCTACTTGGTGTTTTTATGCAGTCAAGTCAAAGCACAATTTCCTACATCAACACCGCAGGCGGAGGTAAATTATGGAAGCAAAGCGTTTTTCCGAGTTTTGCTCGTTTTGACTTCTGTCTTGCCGTAAATACATATATATAATCCAATACGATGCTGTTTGTCGGGTGGATTTGAAGCTGATTTCAGATATGGGTTGTTTGTTCTTGTACTTAAATTTTTTTTGTTTAATTAGGATTCACATCACTTGTAACAACGATGTCCTTCTCGCAACACTTTCCTGGTTACTTCCTTGTTGGTTACGACAATGGACGGATAAGCTTGTACAACACAGCTTATCGGATATGTTTGAATTCCTGGTCTTTAGCCGCTGCTGCCAGTATTGTAGGTCTGTATTGGTCAGAAACCAATCCAAAATTATTCTACTCCGTTGACAGCAAAGGAAATATTGGTCTGTATAAGCTGGGAGACAAGATCTCAGAAACTCCTTCGCAAATCTCCACTTCCTGCAGGGGCCATCTCCTGCTCCGCGTTGCATCCTTGCCAGTATGAAAGGGCATCACTTGATGCTGTGCCAGCCGGACCAAACACTGACCGTTGCCACTGTTAATTCCGCACTGGATAGAAAGAATACTCTTTTGAGTACAGAACTGTTTAGTGATTTTCGTATCGGCCAAGGAGGAATGGAAAATTCAGCACAGAACGGTCACCTTAACGTTCCCGGTGATGATCAGTAATGAAAGTTTTGCTGGACGGGACTTCACATCCATCATCTTCGCGATTATCTCCATCGATGATTTATTGATTCATAGCCTAATCTGTTACGGCTCGTTACAACAACTTACAAGGACTTTGTGATTGTTTTGCATTGATTAGCATTAAATCTCATTTATTAATATTAGCATTTGCCGCTGTTAAACAGCATCAGACTTCAGCACAAACGCGTGTTTTGGTTTTATCTTTGCTCAGTGCTAAGATACGGCTTTTGCTCCCAGTCCCAGGTGAAAGGGTCTTGAACATTTTGACATAATGTGCTTTTAGTTGTACGATAATCCTAGTTAGTCCGCAAACTTACGGATTAGTTTTTAACAGTTTATTACAAAGCCGACGAAAACGGATATTACCATCAAAAATGTTTTTCCAATTTAAAATAATCGTAAGAAAACCACAACTTTGGGGGTTCCGAAGTGAGTGCGTACGTGACGTGCGTAGGTGCATCGCACGCAGTATTGATTGTTTGCATTCCAGACCATAAAAAGCTGGACAATCAAAAACAAATTTATGTGGTTCTACTGCGATCATTATAATAAAAGTTGTTTAGGTTAACCCACAAGATGTCACTGGAAACTGGAAATAAATCAACTTCCGGTTCCTTGTATTAAAAGTTAAGGTTTCGACTAATAAAGAGATCAGCAAAATTAGGTGGGCGATTATAGCCACATACAGAACTGATAAGCTTACAGTTAAGTGAAATTTCGCATAGAACGGTATAATTATTATTATTTTGAATTTCTTGAATGATTTACCAAGGAAATTACGACGTTTATAATTTACTGAATACTGCTTCAATTAGACGACAGGTTTAACGGTTTAATTAGATAACAGAATAACTGCGGCTTTAGTCAAACGAATAAACGCGTTTCATCTGACTTGTACAATGATTTAAATGCAAATGATGCCATTTTCTGTTGTGTTCGTATAATGTAGAAGAACGTCCACGTCTTTCTGGACAAGAACTCCAGCGAAGAACTCATAATTCCGGGCGATAAAAAGCATGTGCTTGTCGTACCTGCACCCTGATCGCTTAATCACCAGTTTAGAGGTTTTCCTGATTATAACATGCAGCAACTTTGTGTTTTAGCAGGCTGCTGCGGAAGTTCTGATGGGCGACTTTAGTAGGCAGTAAAATTTGAGCTAGCGAAAAGATGTACGCAGTACAATTGTACTGCACAGTATTCGAGGTTGTAAGTGGTGCCCGAGTCTGGAAATTAATAGTGGAAATAGAGTGTAACGCAACCGACAATCAAACTCGTAAAATTATTACGGAAAAAATTTTAATAAAACATTTTTACTAATAGCCGCGAGTCCCGCGACCGTCATACGATTTTGCAATTGAGAATCACGAGTCACGACTCCGGCGCATGCATGTATCTCCAGCCAAATGCATCCTCTCTTCCAGAAGTTTGATTCAGCACAGTATCGCCAAGATACCCACTGAGGTGTCGGTTAAGTCAGATCCGAGGCGAATCTAGTGTGGATGACATGTACTGCAGTGCCGCTCTAATGTCTCCGGTAGCTGTGCAATGCAGCATCGTGGTACTGTGACCTCGGTGAATGTGTACAATGTTACATTATTACATACTATAAATTAAGTTCCAAATGTTGGGAATGTTCCGAACTCGGGGCACTAAAGAAGACAAAATTACTCCAAACCTTCCGGTTCAGTCGGCTCAAGGTGGCGACGGAGGGCAGTCGTAAATGTGCTGTTGCCTACGAAAAACAGCTATATCTATATCTCTGGTATCGCAGTTGGTCATGGACTGACATGGAAAAAAGGAAAAGTTTCGATTACTGTACTTTTGAATACGTTTATATATATATAGATATGCGCTGCCAGCGCACTTTGCGTGGGTTACTGTCCATGAGTATTATTCTACAGCAGCTAACAAGAAATTCGGAGACGGATTTTTTTACTGTTTAACAGAGCCTTAAAATCTTCGTGAGCTCGTTTAATTTTCGCAAAAGAGGGTGCATCGCGTACCAGCTTTCGCACCGGCTTACGTTGTCAGAGTATTGTATAAATCATAATACATATTAGTAATATTATGTATAAATTGATCTTACGGGGCCATGCGGACCCAACACTTAAAAAATTGCAAAATATTTTTAAACAAATACAAAAAGCATAAGCACCTTTGTTATGAGCTCGTTAGTTCCTTATACGAGTATCACAAAAAGGTCGTCAGGCGAGTTGAATTAGATAAATGACAGCATCATAGCGGGGCATGTTTCTCGCGATCCTCGCGGTTTCTCGGTTTGTGCCTTTTGGGAAGTCTGCAGTTCGGCGGCTTGGCTGACCAAATTAGCAGCAGTTAACCACCATGAATCTTCCAGTTCTTACAGTCTTACTGCTTATATCCATTCTCGAGTTAACATCTCGTCTTTGCTTTATTGTTGGTTCATACAATCGCACGGCAATAATTTGGGTTGCTTTAGAATGGATTTAGATGCACTACAATAATATTGATACACCGTATCAATGTACAATGTACGCCTACTGCTACTTTAACTACTCGCTACTATATAACAAGCGGGATTATCTGCAAAGCTGTCTCCCCAGGCGGCTATCATTGCGTTCGGGATCAGCGGGGTGGATAGCCCTCCGGAGCAAGTGTCAAGACAATAATAATAAGAAAGCGCTTTTGAAAGGGTGGGAACAACCTCAACACAGAAACCAAACACTGCAAATCGGAATTCCTGTTTTAAAACGGACAGTATTACTGATTCCAGTCTCCAGATAGTCCTCGTTCGTTTCTTGCTCTCGGGAACTTTTTATTAGCGTGGGATGTGAAGAAACGCAAGTGCAGCTGAGCATGAGAAATAGGAAATGCCTCGGATCTGGATCCAGTGCGCAGTGACTCGTTTTCGATTTTCTTGTCATTTTGATGACTGGTGTGCTATGCATCCCCATCTTTTGTGATCGTTGCGAAGAAGGTACACCATAAAATGCACAGAAATTGCGTTTTATCCAAGGCGAATTTCCTGTCGACTGTTGTCGAGCATGGCCTGCACAACTGCCGCCGTTCGTCGGACGCAGCATGCGCGAAAATACCTTCGCAAGCGCGTGTGGTTGTTTGCGGAGGGGGCGCGTTAGGGACTTCCGTAGCTTACCAGCTGACATCCGCAGGATGGAAAGATGTGATAATATTGGAGCAGAATAGGTACATAAACACTAAATAGGAACAGTGCGTCAAATCAGAGAACTACCCTTTTCCGCTGCTTGGGGCTTTTGTAGTGTTCTGGGGGGTTCGACGTTGCTGTCTGCGGGTTTGATGCGACGGCTGGCCCCCTCCTTCCTCCAAACACAAATTCTGACCTATACAAATCAGAGTTTCAAAGATCTGAAAGCGAAAGGTTACAATCTAGGTAAGGAAATTTCTTGTTTAGCTGTGTTACAGCATTGTGGAATATGGACTTCAGAGAATATTTTTCACAGGATTGCATCGTTCGGGATCCATCACATTGGCCAAAACGTTCGACAGGTTTGACGAAATCAAGCGACATCATTCTGTGGCGAAGTATGTGAATCAAATTAAAATATTCCAAAAATTAAAAGCTGCAATTGGGAATCTTGGTTTAAGAGCGCACGGGTTCGAAAGTGAAATCCTGACGCCCGAACAAGTGGAGAAGAAGTTTCCGTATTTGCACACGGCCGATTTATTTGGAGCTTTATGGGTGCCAAAAGACGGTTTTATCAATCCCGTTACTACATACGAAGCAGTTTTGGATGTGGCTAAAAAGCAAGGTTGTTAGCTTTTTTTCCTTGCTATTTATTACGAAGTTTCAGAGTTGAAAAGCTTTACGTTATTTGTGCGTAAAGTGTTATTTTAGTTATTCTGTTCGCGTATTAACGCGGCGGTACAGCCGGTACTAGTATATCTTATAATAGTACTGTCTTGGTACTACATACATGAAATAATGCATTTTGGTTTGATGCTATAACGCAATTTTTACTTCTCTAGACGAAACTGCGCTGTTTACGGTTGGCTTGTGTTTTAGATGTATGTTTGTTATTGATATGAGATTGCTTCACAGTTACTTTTTTAAATCCAGGTGCAGCTGTTTTTGAAAATTGCCAAGTCACCGGTGTACAAGCACAAAATGGGGCTGTAAAAAGCGTTACGACCAACTTGGGTGAGATTGACTGTGAATATTTCATCAACTGCGCCGGACTAGTAAGTGGTATACTTCCCCCCTTGGTGTGCAGTACTGGGAGCTTTATTTAGATTATTTAATTGGCAGTGGAGCAGAGAGGTGGCCAAAACCGGTTTCCGGAAGATTCGTGTTCCCGTCCATCCTTGTGAACACCAGTACTTGATTACACATCCCGTTTTCCCCCATGAGGACCAGGAATATCCTATTGTTTTTGACCTGGACAATCGGATGTATATGCGAGCATATAACCGTGGTGTTCTGTTTGGCGGATTTCAAAGCGATGCCAAAGTGGCTTTCCCCAGCAAAATACCCAATGACTTCTCACAGAAAATGCTACCAGAAGACTGGGATACATTTCGTACGTCTGGCTGCGTTTTTTTGAAATAAAAAGGAACATGTCTAATAATTTGGTGTTTACTTATTCGCAGAACCATTGTTGGAGAATATTTTACACCGTGTTCCCAGTGTGCATAACGCCGAACCTATGAAGTTGGTCAACGGTCCGGAAGCGTTTACGCCAGATGGGCGTGCGATTTTAGGCGAAGCTCCCGAGGTAAGGATGAGGTTGGCGAATGGTCAGAGATAAACGGCTAAACGCCTAAAATAGAAGTATGGATTGTCGGAACTTTTTTACTTAGAGCAGTTACTTGTGTATTGATTGTCAGCCGCTACAGAGAGCTAATGTGAACGATTATACGGTGATTTTCATTGTAGTTGAAAAAGTATTACGTGGCCGCTGGATTGAATGCCAAAGGGACGGCAGCTGCCTTAGGCTTGGGAAAATTACTGTCCGATATGATTGTACATGGTTACCCTGAATATGAGACATGGGAGCTCGATCCCTGTCGTTTTTTGGATATGCATAATAACCGCGATTATGTCAAGGCACGGATACGGGAGGCATCGAGTGAGCTTCGCCTTGAAGTTTAAAATGGCCGGTGTTCCAACGATTTCTTTTAGATTGGGTATTTGGGATTAATTATCCATTTCGCGATGAAACAGCGCACGCTGCGCGGAAAGTTCGTACTTCATCGCTCTACTCGTCTTTTAAATCTCAAGGCGCAGTTTTCGGTCAGTTTATGGGCTACGAACGACCGTTGTTTTTTGTGACGGAACAGATGAACACGCTGCCCGATCCGGAGTTTTTTCCGGCTACATTTGGGAAACCAGCATGGCATGCGGCGGTGGAGCACGAGTATAACGCTTGCCGGCATGGCAGTGGATTAATTGATTTGTCGTCTTTCAGCAAATTTGAAATTAAGGTGATTTTATGGCGCTCTGTTTAATGGTTACCGTGAACTAATAGTACTCATCGAATAGGATTGGTGAATCTTAAAACAATGCAGTCATTTGTTTTTATTTGTTAATATTTGGCTCAGGGAGAAGGCGTAGTCGAGTATTTGCAATATCTGTGCTCGAACGATGTGGATATACCAGTTGGCGGAATTGTCCATACCGGCATGCAGAATGAACGAGGTGGTTATGAGAACGACTGTACCATTACGCGATTGGGACCAAATTTGTAAGTTGCTCGGGTTCTATAAATTTCACGCGCAACACGAATTCTGCTCTTTATTAGTTTTCTGCTGGTCGCTCCGACTACCCAGCAGACGCGGTGCAAGAAATGGCTAAAAAGAAACTTACCTCTGAAAAGTGGCATCTCCATAGATGACGTTACGAGCGCATATACCGGAATCAATGTCATCGGTCCACTGGCGCGGGATCTCATGAATAACTTTGGGGACATGTCGCAAGCGGCCTTTCCTTTTTCACTTGTCAGGCAAGTGTCTTCCTGCTTTTCCGTTAATTGTTGGAGGGTTGCTGAGAAAAAGATTTGGGCTGGACATGAAAACGATCCAGCAGTTACTTCACTGTATTAACTCATTGTTTATCTGCTGTTTTTCTTTAAATAGACCATGAATATTGGCTATGCTAGCAATGTGCTAGCCTGCAATATTACGCATACAGGCGAAATGGGATGGGTACTGTATATCCCAAACGAATACGCCTTATACGTTTACGAATGCTTGCTCAACTTTGGAAAAGAGTATAATCTGACGCTAACTGGCCATTACGCCATGCGGACGCTACGTATTGAGAGGTTCTACGCATTTTGGGGTCAGGATATTGACAGTACCACTACACCATTCGAATGCGGCCGGGCTTTTCGTGTTAAATTCGAAGTAACATACATACGCACTTTTCTATGTGCTAATTACTGCCCTTTACTTGTTTTGATTCCTGGGGTGTTATTATTCAGAAAGAGCGGTTTATTGGCCGTGACGCTTTATTAAAGCAGCAACAGGAAGGGGTACGTCGGTCCTATGTGCAGCTGATTTTGGAAACCCATGACATTAATAACGATCCATGGCCGTGGGGAGGTGAGCCGATTTACTGCAATGGAAATTTCGCTGGTAAAACGACGACGACAGGATATGGATATACTCTGGGACATCAAGTTTGCCTAGGATTTGTGAAAAATATAGACCCGGTAAGTCTATATTATATATTTGTTTTTGTAACATTAATGTAAATTTGAAATAGGGGTACGCATAGCTTCATGATGGCGAATATGATAGAATATCCTTCGTATATCTATATTGTTTCTACCTTTTGCTTCGTGTACTGCATTGCGTAATTTGTGTTTTGAAAGGGCAAGTTTTTATTAATATGCTACCAGAACTGGCTTGAAGGAAACCGCCTGTCTTCTTATGCTGAATTTTTTCTATGGGAATATTATTATTGTTTATCGATATTTTACAGCGTGTTTTATGGTAGTGACGACTGATAACTTTGTTGTCGGCAACATTTGCGGCTAATCGCACTGATGGAATGCATTATGGCCAGTGCATGCTTCCATAAAACGATAATCATGCTAAACAGCGCACGTGTGATACAGGCACAGTTTTATATGAAGGGACTATTGTCTGCTTATTGCTTGCATACGGCGAGATGCTCAAAAAAGATGATGATAATTATGAAGTATAGCGTAACGGACGAATGTAAAAAAATTGTGTGAGATGGCTGACGGTGCTTATAATTGCGGCTTACTTTTCCACTGAGCAGTTGCGTGTGTGCATGGCTTGTAAAAACTGTTTCGTTTCTCATGCACGGCATGTTATACACCGTCGTAAATCTTGACCTTTCTGACTTAATGTAGCTTTCTTTCCATTACTTTCGGTTTATTTTAACAATCTTTGGGCTGCAAGTTTGCAGCTGTGCTGATTACGCAATTTCGTGGTTTTTATTTAATTGTGTAGTTCGATCGGAGTTGCACTTTCTTGTTAACATTTGCACTTGTTGGAAGCGTTGACAGGAAAACGTTTCAGAAAACCAAGCAAGAGCAAATATTAACTCCAGAATGGATCCAGAGCTCACAGTTTGAGGTGGAAATTTCTGGCAGACGTTTCCCCGCCAAGGTGAACATTCGATCACCACGGCTGCCTGCTGTTGTGCCAAATGAGCATCCGGATGTGGTTAAGTATCTCACAACGCAAGGTGACATGACAGGAGTCTCAAAGAAATTCAGCAAAGTCACAACAAACGATGAAATATCCAAAATAAATTAAATCAACAACACAGTGGTCTGTGTTATCTGTGAACGTTTGGCGTGGGTTTGTTTTCCTGTGGTGAAGCCTGTGAGCATTAAATTGTATAAAGAAACGTTGTTCTGAGTTGACGGATCCTTTGTGAGTTTGTTGTTTGATAGAGTTTTATAATGTTATATAATGGATGAATGTGTGTGGTTTTACTGCCGAAATTGATGATTGCACCTAGTCGTAAATAGCGACGATCTTGGTGGCTATTTTCTGATACAACTTGAAAAAGTGATGAATAAACGGCAGCGGTAATGAGATCCACGCAATTTGCTCTAGTTATGGACTAACTAATTAGCACTGTGAACGCATTTATCGCTGTTTTTTCTATGCGATACGTTGCCCTTTTTTCTTGCTGCACTTGCTTACAATATATTGCAAATGATGCCGGATCCTACGGTAGTATCCATTGGTGCCTAACACAAATTAGTCGATTCCTTACTTCGGAAACATTTTTGACTGTTTTCACAAACCGAACTGTCAACTGAAACATCGAATCATACGAAACAAAGTTAGCTGCGACGTTCCACATTAAATGAATTTTTGAAACTAAAAGCCCGGCAACAGACAGTTTTAAACGGCTGCGGCATTCATTTTAACTGAATATGGAATAACTTATGGTTTTTCAGATAAATCGTACTTAAATTATACGAATTCGTTTCAATTCTTTTGTCTTAGCATAGAAGCATCTTTTTAAAGTTAGATAATGTCAGGTATAGACTCTCCATGATGGTCACAGGCGGTGTTGTTGACAAAACACATTTAGGCACTAATTGACCTGCGAATGGTCAACGTAGACCACAAGCAAACCAATGTGTAAGCCAAATAAAAACACCAGAAAAACGCTAACGTTATGTGATTTAGCAAATGATGGCGGCCCAGTTGACTGGATCGCAAAAGTGGTGCATAGTACGGAAGGAAATAATTAAAAGCACTTACTAGGTGGTCTTAGTTCTAAATGAGGGGGATAGTTTTTGTTACGAGTTATGGCGCATTTACCGCCATACAAATACGTACTCTTTACGCCCCCTTGCGTGCCGGCGACGTTCGTCTCTTTTAAAACACTAGAGTACTGATTCCAGAGAAGGTTGATCTCCGCAACTACTATTACGTACAACGGAGCTGACCAGGCCATTAATATGCAGCCGTCTTTGCTGTCCGGTGGTACATTACTTAATATCGCGAGTATTAACAAGCAAGTACCTGCTCCGCGAACACAATTACATATACACTAAACAATAACGTAATAAACATAAAATTATTGTACTTACCGTCTTGCCATACAAACAGTGTAAATACATATCTGTACATTTCCTGTATCGATATCGAAGTATATATTGTACGTTATTAGATGTACTACGCGTTGCATGTTCCGGACTTCTGCCTAATTGGGGCGAGAGGCGGAGACATTAACTGCCACACTTCGGTACATATTATACATAATCTGATATTTCAACATTATATTGTTCAACAGATAACTTCGATATTATTGTATATTAGGCCTGCCGTACGAAGCCGAAACTGGCATTCTGATCCCGCGGACAATGATGAGAGGCTACGGTAAATGAAAGGTCACCAGAAAAGATAATTGTAGTTAGTGCCAACTGCCAAGCGATCCCGTAACTCGTGTCTGGCCCCAATTCTGAATCGTCATTTGATAACCAGTGATCGGTCGTTCTTAGCCAAGCCGGTTTAAAGCTGGCCGGGATCCAGTATGGAAAAATTTTCCTCGTCATCTTTGATTACCTTATATCTTTTGCTGATTGATGTGTATCACGTCTTATGCCAGGTAAGCTTGAGTATCGATAAAATTCCGACAATTCAACTGTCAACTGTCAATTTCAACTAACTATTAATTTCTCCTTAGAATACAACATTTCCTAGAACATCATTAGTTAATGTTGCTAAAGTAAACTGCAATGTATCGTGAAAAGATGAATGTTTCCCGAGTAAAACAAAAAAACGTTAGCTAAACGTTAGTTAAGGGCCAAAGTTCGAATTTTGGCCTTTTACTAACGTTTAGCTAACGTATTTTTTACAAACTGTTTTACTCGGGTTTTGGGCTACCCACTTGTATTCCATGCACAGTAACTGAAGCTACTGTAAATTAGTATTGCGTGTAAGCGTGTTGCCTTACCGAAAAGCAACCTGCTGAATCTATAATGGTATCATATTGATTTTATTTCGAACTGACAAAACATTCTTCCGGTTGCAAATTGTAGCAATGGCTTCAGACACCAAACCTTTTATTCGGAATAATTCTTTCAAAAAAATGTGCGTTTGATATTATTACTCGGCCGGTGCTGCGGATTTGAAGTGTAGCACAAGAGGCTACCAACACTTTAGAAAAACGTTTAATAATATTGTAACTATTGTCACAAGCAACAGACCGCCATATCTGTTAAATGTGCATAGTCGTATACAACGTACGGAGCCTCCTTTTCTTTACTTTTTGGCAAATTCTGAGCTTGTTTTTTATGTGAGAATAAAGGAAAGAAAGCGAGAGCGGGCAGAATAACAGCTGTGGATTGCAATCAGCAGCGCGCCACGCGTCAGTCAGTTTTATATTCCCGCGTAGGAAGGAAAAAAGATATGGGACAACGTGAATGATAATTAGACATATCGCAGAAATGTTGCTCTTTTTGCGAATGAAGTTATAATATGGGAAATGTACGCATCCGATAGTGGCCAGTCATGCGTATTTGATGCTATCTGCAATTTCGATTTTCCAAACTTTGTGAAAAAAGGCGGTTTATAGTTTTCAGTTCAATTTCGGAACATGCTAATGCAGATGTCTTAAAATAAAATAATTTAAGCTAACGCAATTATATCGTCACTATCTTCGAAATTTGTGTAATTTTTCTAACAGCTGGAATTAGATTCATAAATATTTGTACATAATGTGCGCAATTAAGTTTACTAACTGGTAAGCACATCAATCAAGCGTAATCACAGTTACCGGCATTTTAACTCTGAATATATCCTTATAATTAAGAGGCTCTAAAAATGTAAATTATGATATTTTGTAAGTTGGACTTGTTAGGATGTACGAATGACAATTGTTCCTACACGAAACAGATGCTTTGGAAATAACAGTTAGAGGTTATAGAACAATGCCAATGGGGACGTGGCGGCTGGTCCGACCAAATTAGTGTCATTGGATGCATCCTGTGGGGCAACCGCAATTCATGTGGAGATCGTTTTCGAAAAACCCTTCGACGGAATAATATACTCCAAAGGAGCTTTTTATACGCCGCAGTGCGTGTACATTTTACCCGGATCGGGCGAAAAAGAATATTCCTTCGACATTCCCATCAATCAGTGTGGCACAACCGAAAACAAACCTTCTCCGGATAGTAAGAAAGGCGAAAGGTCATTCGAAAACACTCTTGTTATGCAGGTAAATGGCATGGTATCGAGTATCGACAGCGCACAATTATTTATATTCGCTTATTCGTTTTTCTAATTCTTTTTTAGAATGATGCTCATTTCCAAGACATTTTGGATGTTGTCAGGCGTATCCGTTGCTCAACTGCGTCATTATACGAGAAAATTGTCGATTTTTCGCCCATCAATGTGCGTACTTAATGTACTTAATGAAACCGTTTCTGATGACCTATCTTTCTAAGTTAATTAATTTACTATAGGTAAATATGAAAGATGTGGTTACTGCATCATTTACCAGCGACGACGTCAAAGTTAGCATTGACGTACAGAACGGACGCGGACCATTTTCTCCAAGTCTAAACCAAGGATTTATACAGGCAACAAAAATCAACTTCTTGTTGTTTCTTATCACTAATCAACAAAAGCTTCAATCGCTTCAGTATTTGTAAGAATACGTTTTTTTACAGATTGGCGATACAGTGACACTGGTAGTGTACATGACAGCAGAATCCGGTAACTGGGACGTTCACGTCCGCGAATGTGTCGCTATGGACAGCCAAGAGCGTGCTTCGCTTTTACTGCAAGACAAACGCGGCTGTATCAGCAAACCGAAAATTATGTCACCCTTTGCCATTACACGCGATAAGAAAAATCCGAAAGTTCAAATTGCGTATTCCTTTATGAAAGCTTTTCGCTTTCCGGACGACATGCAAGTGCAGATTAAATGTGTTGTCGCAGTGTGTCGCGATGAATGCGACCGACCGGAAAGCTGCAGCGCTCCTGCTGCGAAAGGTCAACTGACCACGCCATATACTGCGGGGGCGTCTAACCAGACGGATTCCGAATATGACACCAGCGCTGACGATGAATCCACGTATCCCGTAGAGCAGACAACCCTACCATACACCGCTGCCGGGAAAGGTTGGAAGAAGCAGCCAGCGAAAGAAACTTCCGTGCAGTTGCCGGTTTTGACCAGTACTATGCTGAAATCCAGGAGAAAACGTCAGGCTAATGTAGCCGATGGATCAGCCGGTGTTTTACCGGTTAAACGGATTTTTAATGTTATTTCCCCCGAAGATATCGCGAATCTCCGCAATTCATCAGTGGTGTTTATGGATGCCAGTATCCCTGCGAATGCGCTATGCGTTAATCAAGCTATGTTTATTGTGCTAATGGCGTTCTTGTTTATTCTGATCATTTCCACGTCTGTGGCGCTCACAATCACCTGTATTAGGAATCGGATATTGCGGCAGGCGGAAAAAGCGGTCCATGTCAACTTCGACAACTATACTGATCAACGGTATTAATAGGTGAGCTAAACGGGCCAAACAAAATCCAACGGAATTATCAGAGGTGATTTGCTGTTACTTTCATTGTTGTGTATAGTATATATGTCTGAATGTGTATGAATTTGGTACATTTTGTGAATATGATACAGAGTTATTTCTTATTATACAGATATCTTTACTACCCTTGTATTGTATGTGGCGGGATGTTTTATAATGACATATTTACCACTTTTGCGAGGATGAGCTGTCTTTTAGTGTGACTGTGTGAACGAACATTCGCTCACCTGATTATTTCCTCAATTAAATATTGCTACAAAAGCACAATACCCATTACACATGCAGAAAGATGTAAGCAGTAAATCCTTTTTACACAAAATGTAGCCAACAAACGAACGAGCCTCAACCTACGTCGGTTCATTCTAATTTAACTAAGAAATGATATTTCAAGCAAGAGAAGCCTTCTTTCCACTTGATACTTCCGCCCACAGTTCGAGACGACCGCTTCGAAGGGCTAACGCACGAAACCGCAGCAACAAATACATCCAAGCGCTGCAACAGCGCATTTCCGGTCACTAGAGACAGTTCTACATGCATAGTGGAAACTTATGTGCTGTCACCAACTACAGCAAGTCAGAAAGTACATTAAAGTGCGAGGCTGACAATGACATTGCTGCGCGCCCTTTTTCGCTAAAGGTGACACTTACTGCGTGAATGAAATAAAACGAGGGTTTTCCACTTCCTAATTCTTGGAAGCAAAACCGGAACCCAGGCACCCAACAACTGTTTCCTCAATAAATTTATTTAAAACCATTTCCCATACAATTTTTCACGGGTAAAAAAATAAAAACAGAACATTACAAAAGGACGGAAAGCAATATTTCCCATAAAATCAAACTGGAACATACAAAGACTGTAGAGTATTCCAAATAAAAAAATATCTCTCTCTAAATCTTGTTGTATCACAAACCCTGACCGAAAGCAACTGCAGAATCAACACAAATGGCACCTGCAATCAATCAATGAAAAATCAGTGTTTGACAAAAGAATCAGACTAGGTATATATACTGAAATTTTATAACGCAGCTAAATACTAAACTTACTGCGGACATAGCGGCTGGCGTTGAACTCGAATGGACGGACAATGCATGTTAGCTAAAGCTTGCAGGAAAGGTACATCCGACGCAGGATTCAGTGATAAATCCTCCAAAGCGGAATCTGCTATCGTTTGTTCCGCTGTACAATCTGCAGCATGGAAGGCCGACAGAATCTTTTCGTTCAGAGCCGTAAAATATCCTCCAACGAATTCCGTCGCGTCGAACCTTCCCGAATCGACATGCATTATGGAAGATCTAGAATAAGATTATTCATCAACCACTGCACAAATATAAACGAAGTAAAGAAAATAACGAGCACGGCAACTGCAGTTGTGAGGATCTGCTTCAACAGCACCGAAGTTTAACATCCTTAAAAATTTAAGTATAATACAAGTAAGTAGACAGTGGACACTAATAATTACCGCAAATTATAATCGTGCATCAACTCGGAAAAATTTTCCTTTTCCATGGCGCTTGTCAGGCAGGTTCGCTGCAAGGCCGGATCCTGTATGTGCAGTTGATTCTTCATTATAAGTACATCGTAGCAGTCATTTTTTAACTGGTATATCAGCTCAGAAGTGCCTAAAAATTGGAGAAGGATTTCTATACGTCTATAAGAAACCGATAAACCAAGAACCATCCATTTACATGCAACGAAGGTTTTTGATTGGCGGAGTTTATCGATATCATTTAGATCCACATAGAGAAGCAAATTGTAATCCGGTCTCAGCGGGCTGCTAATGTCGTAATTTCCAATAAGGGAGCACAAATGTGCTGAAAATTACAAACTGTATTTGATGGACCCAAAGAGAATTACACCGGCAGTTTACCTATATGGCAAAGATCAGCAAATGGCGGTGTGCCCAGGATAAGTATGCGCTTGCGCAGTAAAACACATTTCCACAAGCGGAATATATCTGCGCCCAGCAAAGTGCAGAAATCGCGTACAATTTTGTTATCGTGCATCAGCTACAAATACGCATCACAAAGTCAGATGTGAATTTTTTTTTGAAAATAAGTAACAATGCCCTGACATAAAAACTGCATCAGGTTTGGAATTTACAGGATATTTCATTCAAAATTGTACGCCCTTTCATTGCATAATTCCTTTTAATATTTTGAATTAATTCCGAAAAATTATTTTTCAAGAAACGAAACCACGTATCTAACGAAGAAAATTAAGCCCCTAAATGAAGAAAGGATTACCTCGATTTCTGATTTGTTGACTCGTTCCATTACTGGAGTAAAGGCATTGTCTACAAAATCTGAGCGTCCACCGACTAGATCTTCCAATACATGGTAGTCACCGGTTGAGTGCTTCCCTTGACTGCAATAAAATGCCTATATTATAAAAGCACAATTAATTGTCCATTCATTTCGCAATATCTACCTCAATTCGGACTGCAGCACTGTGCGAAATCCCACGATATCCTCCAACCGGCGGCCCAGCAGCCCACAGGAACGAAACACGGCGCCACGCGCACTGGACTTGTCGGTTTCTGTGCGGAAATATGCCACCCCATAATACGATCCTATCTTGAATGTCCTACAATTGTAAGCAATAGTTCTACTGCTCATCGGCGGAAAATGGTACCGGTTGTACGTTAAGTGTTATTACAAAGAATCGGAAGAAACGGTATGAGCGCCGCTTGGCAGAGCCTTGTACTCCACACCTCCAATATCAACACTGCCATCCACAGTGTGCGACCATTCTATGCGGTTTCCTGCAAAAATACAAACGTTAATGATCACTATCATCCGAACCAGTTACTTAATTTTCGTAATGTAGCGTTGGCGCATCGTGCCAGTCGTAACCCGCACCTTGCTTGGCGTCAAAAACGACAACAAAGACGGCTACAACGGGACCCTTCGGAGAATCCTGCGCGGATGATGGTGATACGGACCTGGCTGCAGATAGCGGTTTCTTGTGGCTGGAAGAGGGTCCGCGGTGGCGCAATCCGGAAGTATCATCGAAAGAGATCAGATTATCTTTTTCGTCCGATTGTTCGAAGGAGTCGTCTCCTAAAAGACGGATATCATCGTCCCCGTGTGGATGCGCTCGTGAGACCATTATATGCCTGTGCGTCGACTACGATAAAATGCCCCGTCAATCAACCTGTTCGCCACTTGCCAGTAAAATGATCTGTCAATAATAATATCGACACAGAGTTATTGGTAAATATACAAAAAAAGAGGCAAAAAATAGAGATACAATCGATTTCGAAAGCAGCGTAGATCAGCTGCATGCTTTAAATAACAGCTGGAGCTTGGATGTGTACAGAGATATGCCAGTGCACCACATCATGATTGCGCAATAAAATTCGTGACGGTGAAGATTTGACGCTGGCCCATAGACACATATGCTATAACTTAAATTTTCAAAAATTCATAACTTTGTTAATTTTCGCGTTAATTTTTTGTGAGTATGCTTTAAAAATATAGGATAATATCTACTATTAGGCAAAATGATTTTTTTTCTGTTTCCATCTTAAGGTTTGGCACTGAGCATACGTGGTTAACATAGCCGCCTACGAAATCTTTAAATCAAATTAAATGACTTCTCCATAGACTTACATGCTAATTACCTAGGCACATAGTGCGCAACCCTAAAAGAAAATCGAAAAAACATTTGTTATGCCTACTAGTATATATTATTCTGTATTTTTAAAGCATATTAAACAAAAACTAACGCGAAAATTAACAAAGTTATGAATTTTTGAAAATTTAAGTTATAGCATATGTGTCTATGGGCCAGCGTCAAATCTTCACCGTCACGAATTTTATTGCGCAATCATGATGTGGTGCACTGGCATATCTCTGTACACCTTGGATGCGCGTGAAATGGAAACGGTAAAGACTACCGTAAACTGTAAAGCCCAAAGAATCACCGCAAGACGCAACCGCACAAGGCGCCCGCAGTTCACATTCTACGAAGGCGGTTGACATAGCGTCAAGGCGTCTGATTTTGCCTAATTGAACTTCAGCTGCAGCAGGGGTGGAAAATAGTCAAGATACTTAGTTTCAGATAGTTTCAGATACTGCACTTATACCAAGGTACAAAATTGTTTTGTACAGTATTATTTTGCACCTTACTTATACTCATCGTTTCAAAATCAAATTTTAATAGGTATTATTGTGTTTGTTAATTTTGTTTCATGGCTGATTGCTGGGTAAAAGAAATTGGAAATATATTGATATGCGTCAGATATGCGTAAGTTAACCGACTAAATTTTTTTTGCAAATACGCAAACCAAATCTTTGTTTCTGTGCAACTAATTTAAAAAGCAGTATTGCCCCTCATTAATAGCTTGAAAAACTGATTAAACCCTTAACGGAAGTCCAAAGGTAACAGCGATTAGTGGTCACGAGATGACTTGACAAAATCGTGCATCTCTGTCTGCCTCTGTGATATGATTTCTAATATACAATATACATGTATTCAGGTGTTTCGAAAGTAGTTATAACCAACTAGTGAGATAATGGGAGATCAAAACCCGTATTAAACAACGCGCTTTGATCATACGTTTACAGATTTATCAAATTCGTGATGACTGTTGTAAGCGAATCTCCGTCGACGACAGCCGGAAGTGCTACTGCAGGTACAAGTAGGTGCAGGTACAGTCGACAAGGTTGTGCATAGATCAGTCCTCGGTTAGATGCCTAAAGATTTGTAAATGCGTGTACCTGATTGTTGCGACAGTAGAAGTTTTAGAAACAAAAACACTACGCGTGGTGATAAAACATTTCAGAAGCAGTGGCATAAACAAGGCGTGCGAACATGAAAGTTTGTCGAAACTGTTTCGATATATCGCTAGATTTACTTCACTCGTATACGTAGTGCGCACATGTGCCTACAGAAACAAAAACAATATAATTTGTTCACTATCTGCGGTAAGATACTTTTAAATTATCTTATTTTGATGCCGTCTGCTTAGTGTTTACGGGTTTGGATTTTGGAACAAGAAGGTAAAAAAATTGTCCGTAACAGTTATAACAGCTTTTACTAATAATGCATTCCATTGTGTTGTTTGGTGAGATCTGGAGTGCTTTGGTTGCTTTTCGAATTTCATTTCGTTTCTATGTAGCTTTGAACTACTGCCTGCAGTTGTACCGCAAGCGCATTCGTTATAAAAAATTTATGTCTAACGAATGTTTTGTGTACAGTTTGTTGACGATAAAACTAAGATTTTGCAGTTTTGAAGCAGGGCGGACGTTTGAAGCGCTCTTGCAGCAATTTCCAAAATGTCCGACACAGGATTAGTTCCTTTCGGAACAATTCTTATCGCAGTGGTTGTGGTGGTGCTCGTGTATCTTGTTAGAAAGCTGCAGATCACCCGGCCAAAAAATCTGCCCCCGGGTCCATCTCGTACGTCCATCAAATATTAATTCACTGAATCTGCAAACATGAGAATGGTTGTTAAATCTGTTTTTAGCTAAACCAGTTATCGGGAGCATTGGGCTAATACGAGGGAACGGCATGGAACGCTTACAACAAGTTACAAAAATTACAGAAAGCTACGGTGGACTATGCACCATCTTCCTCGGCGATGTGCCGCATGTGTTTATCAATGACTATGAAACAATCAAACAAGTAGTGCACGATGATGTTTTTGCTGGTCGGCCGTACACTTTACGAGACCACTTTTTCAAACGCAAAGGTACAGTATACAATTGTAATAACTATATTATGCATTCATTATTTGTATTTTAATGAAGCTAGTCAATCTACTCGTACACGATAAAAAATTTCTTTAGATTTCATAATTCTTATTCATATTTGGCTGCAGGGTTTAATACATGTAACAATGAAATAATTATAAATTTAAATTGATTACAAATATCAGGCGGAGTAGTGACAAAATCAGGAGCTTTTTTGTGCGTCGATCACGATATAATTTTGTATTTCCTTACAATTAGGTTTATTGTTCACCGACGGAGAATTATGGAAAGAACAACGACGTTTTGCGTTGTCCACTTTACGAGACTTCGGCATGGGCAAGGCTTGGCTGCAGGATTTAATTCTTGAAGAAGCCCGTGAATTAGTACAAGATCTGCAGGCCACAAAAACGCAACCGGTTAATCCCACGAGCTACATTACGCCGTCGGTAGCTAACGTGATTTGTGCCATTTCCTATGGGAAACGCTTCGATCATCAGGACGAGAATTTTCGCCGTTTAACCATGCTTGTTGGCGAGAATATTCGTCTGGGCGCAAAAATGGGCTTGATTTCCATTTTTCCATTTTTGCGCTTGATTCCCTTCAGCAAGCTAAGAAAGCGCTTTTTGAAATCGCTCCAAAACAATCGAGATATTACAGATTTTTGCATGACCTTGTAATGGATCACAAAAGCAATCTGGAGGGCGAGCCCAGAGATTATATTCATGCATATCTGAATGAAGCTAAACGGCAGGAATCCAACCCATGTACCACATTTACCGGTACATAATCTATATTATATCTACATAATAAGCCAAATAATGCTGTTACATAATCAACAGGTATTACTTTAGATTTGTTTGTGATGTTTTTATACGATATCTATTTGGTTGATCTATAAGAGCTGTCCTGAATTATTTACAGATGAACAGTTAGCGATGTCCATTTTCAATCTTTTTGGTGCTGGAACAGAAACCACATCGACAACACTCACTTGGGCAATTATATATCTGCTTTTGAATCCCGACATATATGCAGAGGTTCAAGCCGAAGTTGACCAAGTCATCCCTGAAGGCCAGTTTCCCACTCTAGACGAAAAAGGTCACCGTTAATTAGGTCTTCCGAATATGCTATCCATAAATGCTACATGCCGTGTTTACCTATAAAATTTATGTGGAATACTCGCTTTTTAACCGTTTCAATAAAATTAAGGCAAAGTATTTGAAAAGGTTGTAGAGGAAGTGACTGAATAATTTTTCTACTGCAGAAAATTTGCCGTATTTACAAGCGGTAATAATGGAAGTCCAGAGAATGGCAAATCTGGTACCATTTGCTGGACGTAGTAACACGGAGCAGACCACTTTGCAAGGGTACGACATTCCGTTAAATACTACAATTGTGCCGAATCTATATGCCGTTCATATGAATCCAAAATATTTCCCTGAACCAAACCAATTTAATCCCAAACGTTTTTTGGACTCTGACGGCAAAGTCAAGCAAAAAGTGGAAGGATTCCTCCCATTTTCAGCTGGTCAGTAAAACTTCATAAGTGCACAGATCGCGATGTTACTAAATTCTATAATTTTTCATAACTTTTTTTGAATCCTTCTAGGTAAGCGGTTTTGTCTGGGTGAATCTTTAGCAAAGATGGAATTGTTTATATTTTTTGCAAGTCTCTTAAGACACTTCAATTTCAAACTACCGCCTGGCGAAGCTGTGTCCACTAGTGATGCCGTACTTGGTACCGTCCTATCACCGAAACCTTTTAAAATGATTTTTGAGCCACGAAACGTTTAGCTGAAACGTGGACTATGATAATATTTCAAATTACAAAAGACATGTGTACTTCTCTGTGTTTAAAGCCACGTTTGCAGTTCGATATGCCGACGAAATAAGTGTACGGCTTTCGGTTTGTCCTGCAGATTATTGGCATTTTTTGCAGCCATGTAGCATTTTTCACTTTTGCTTTTTGACGCTGTTTATAATTAACAGTTTAGCTTTTGAGCCTGAGAAATTACTAACTGCTACATAAAGTAATTTGTTGCGTTTGGTTGCGTCACTGACAATGAATTAACTTCGTTAAACGACGTGACACGGGCGACATATTTGTTATTACACGTTTACACAATAACTGAGAAAACCGATCGCAAAAGCGCCTGAAATTACGCAGCTACTGCAGATGTAAATATTGATTAGCAAATGATTTTGCACGCAGTGATATTGGCTTTATTTTCATCGTTTGCAAATACACCTGTCATTCCTCAAATCGATACATCCGTCAACACTCTTAGGCCGGCTGGATTGCGATACTTTGGGTACACATTTTTCATTTTCTGCGGCAATACAAAAATGATTTCATTTGTGTTACCTATGGCCTCTTTTGTAACTTATTCCCTAATAACACTGCTGTGCACTATCTGTTTACCGGCATCATCTAACTGTAAAACGGAAGTATTGAATGTTCACATTATGAGTTGGGGCACCACGAATGCGGTGTCACAACTGGGCTCATTACCCTACACCGCACCGCCGCTGCTGACTGCGATTAACGAAATGCAAGCGAAATATCCATATCTGAATATTTCTGTGAAATTTATCTACGATGAAGTTTATTCGAGTTGTTACGATTTTGCGGATAACATCGATGACATGGTATCTAGATATTACTATACGCATACACAAAACTCGATTTCAAATGTTGCCTACGCTTTCGTTGGAGCAGGTCTGTAATTATGCTAACGTAATAGTTCTGATGCAAACATACTGTATGTACATGGTATATCTCCCAATCCTATAAAACCCATTATCCTATAAAGAAGTCATTTTTTGATATTTTTTGTGCCGATGCCTTAGTTTGAAGTCTGCACATGTGATACTAGGTTGTGCGGATATGATCAATATGGGAAGAATGGCGGCTAACTGGAATATACCACTGATCACGAGGTGACCTTTATGAATATTCACGGACTTTATGCACATTTTGCACTGAATACTGTACATATATCCTATATGGATAGTGTTCACGATCTTTTGATTTCAAGTTTTTATTTATCTGTAGCGTTGCTTCATCCCTAATTATATCCGATAAAGCGATTAGCCCGACTTGGATTACAACAAGTTATTTTCCTCAGGGAGGCTTTGTTACCCTTTATCTCAATTTAATTAAGAAATTTCAATGGGTTTCGCCGTACATTGTTGTGGATCAGTATGCGAATGTTATGTTCAATTCAACAGCAAAAACATTGCATTCAACTATGGCTCGTGCTCTGGGAATTCAACCTTATTCAATTATATATTTGGATACACGAAGTTTCGACGAGATAAACAAGACTCTCGACGATTTCAGACGCATTAGCAGAGGTAAGGCAATATAATAGACATATAAAATTCTTACTTTTGTGCATGAGTTTGGCGTATTTCAGTACGACTCGTATTATAACTTTAAAGGGAACAAACGGCCGACCACGATTACAGTTTAACCATTGCGCATATAGACAGCGCGAGATAAACTTGTAAGAGTGCGGTAACACTAACCTGGAAGTCGCACATCATGTTACAGTATTTAGCAGTTTCAAATTGATTTGAATCAGGGAAGAGCTGATAGGACTTTCCTTTAACCCATGAATCCTCACAAAACAATGATTTTTTCTCCTAGTGATGCTGTATTTCGGAAATGCCGCACCTTTGCGAAATTTGATGGTACAGTGCATCTTGTTTAATAGCGCAACCTTTTTTTGCTATTGTACAATGAACCTTAGGCTCTACATTTAACCGCCAAGAAGGTAGAACTGGGCTAGCTCATTAAACTTGAAATTCTTTTTGCAGCTCACCGCTTATAACAAAAACTTGACAAATGGAGAATTTGTAAGATGTGTGGAAATGGCTGGACTTCAGGGATTTAAACCAGAGTTATTTTTTCAGATTTGACTTGTCTAAAGTGTGCCGTAAAGCTTGATTGTTGTTGTACACAGATTTATATCGCAATGGCACCCTTTGATCATATTATGTTTGGCAATTTTACCTGGAAGTATGGCGACCGCAATGACAATGTAAGGATATTCTTTGCCGTGTTTGTCACATCCATGGCACTATATTGTATTAAAATTTAAAACGATATTCACTGTAATTTTTGGTAATGTGGAACAATTCTGCCAATAGAACTTTAAGTAAAGCATATCAGCAACAACACATATGGACGCTACTGATTATTGTAGATTGCATATTTGGCTTTTCGTTCGTTGATGCTGTGCCGTCCGGCTGACGTTGAAGATGATACTCGGACTGTTGATCGAAAAGAATCTTACTGGAAACTGTGGCGTCAAGATGCAAAATCTTACTATGATTTCGCGTATTCGTCAGTCCAACAGGTTAAGGCGGCAATAAATGCCAACAACAGCAATATTTTCGATTTACAACTTTTTACCATAGCCGCGCGACTACCAGTTGGCAACTTTCGCAGCCATTTCCATGTTGGCATCGGTGCGTAAAGTTCTACCGCTTAATTACTTAATTTGTATACTTTGAACAATTGAGTTTGCTAGATTACATTCTGTGTTTTTGTTTTTTTGCCGGATAACTGGATAGGTGATCCACGAAACTTACAACAGTAATCCGAAGTTCAATTTTCGGGATGGACGCAGATTCACTCAGCTGTTCTTGAACCGGACCTTCGATACAGAAGTCGGCAGCATTGCCATAGATAGCAAAGGATTTCGGCAAATTGATTTAGTCGTCAGCATGGTTATCGACAATAATCCGGAAAAATTTCGAGTGTGAAAAACACTTACTTTAAATAACTATGAGTTGTAACTCAGTCAGTAAAACACCTCGGTATTGACTTGTGTGATTTCCACCGACTTTTTCAGCCATTTTTGCGCCAGTATGCATCCACCATGAGACTGATCGCGGTGAAAAATTTTACTGCACTAAACAACAGATACCCATGGCCGCCACCAAACGAACCGGTGTGTGGATATTTGGGGGACAAGGGACCTTGTGCGACTGGTGCGGAAGGTACATATGTCTGATCCCCAAAGGCCACTATAGCGCATTATGCGGCGATACAGTTCTAATGGACATGTTTTCAATGTGCAGATAAAGGCTGGATTTATGGCTTTCCGATCGGCTTGTCGGTTGCGTTGTTAATCGTAGTCGGTGGAGTAATAGTAATACGAATAAAAAGGTAAAGTAATCTTTATTATGCTTAGCGTACCGTTCGCTATGAATAATTCAGCTCAAATTTCACGTGGCTAATGCTCAGTGCAGAATGTGATTAAGGTGTGTTAAACGCTACGCTTTAAATTCTTAGCGGGTGGCCAGTATAGATTTTAATGCATGTGTCTCTGTTGATACCTTTCCGTTGTTGTTTCCGTTAATACCTTTGCGGCTAAATTCTTTTCCAGAGAACAATCTCGATCGTCGCAGTTCGATGATCCATGGTGGATTATCCATTGCAACGAACTCAGTGATGCAAAAGGTCATGGTATATCATGTGTGAGAGACGATGATAATTGCTCTGTTCCCCCACCTCCAGTGCATAAAAAACGGGATATGACGTATGGACAACGCATCCGGTCCTGTTCCACAAAAGCCATTTTTCGGGGAGGGAATGTTTGGCTGAAAATGTTGGGCAACCACATCCGCTGTGATTTGGCCAGTATCGGTTTGACCAACCATTCAATACACATACAACATACAAAACACAGCCTGTTGGCTATGTTCGAAAAGGTATCGAGCTCGAGCAAATGCCGTCAAATACCGCGCCGACCAACCGAAGACATGGTAGTTTGTTTTCGATACAATACAACCGATCTAACTTACAAGCAAATTCCAAAGTTCAGTATAAATATATCTTTAAGAATATATATGCCGTATGTATTTGCAATAGAATTACTTGTAAGTTCTGGCCGATAGAATGCACGAATGTACCGCATTAGCATAAACGAATCTTTTTTGTACAATAGCTGCGAAAAATTCGACACGACAACCTAATCAAGTTTGTCGGAGTGACAGTATTTTGCGATCCTGCTAATACAACAACTCTCTTTACTGTGTATGAATATTCGGCGAAAGGATCTGTGCATGATCTTTTCTTGAGCGAAGCACACCTGGACCAAGAATTTTGGCAGTCTATGACAATCGACTTTGTAGAGGTCTGTGATTAATATTAATTTTCATCTGCTTTATCCACCTGTGCCTGGTCCTGTGGTACAACGTATGATGCAATAATTTAAAACATCGCAATTTTTTACTGTGTAAAACACTATAAAAGTGAAAACATCGCAATATTTCATTGTGTTTTACGTCTCGGTCACCCCTATGGTTATTGATATCATACGAGCAGATCATAACTTCCGGTCAATTTGTTTTGTTTTCTCCATAGGGTCTGCTTGCCATCCATTCCTCACCGCTCAGCTACCTTGGTCGGCTCATGGATACGAGTTGTCTTATTGACCGAAACTTTACTTTGAAACTTGGGGGATTGGGACATTCAGTTTTGAGTAACTTATTAGAAAAAAGTCCAACTGCTGGAGATTTGGATACGAGCATACAAAAACGCTGCTGGATGCCGCCAGAAACGGCGACAAATTCGAAGAAAAACTGGAACAGAGCGACGGACGTTTTTGGTTCGGGCATAATTCTGTACGAATTGATTAATCAAAAATCTGTCTATCTACAACTACTCAAGAAAACACCAGTGGAAGGTAAGTTGATTCAACATTCAGTACCTTTTTTATATATTATTCAGTTCGCTGAGGTATATTATCAATTAGTTCTGAACTGTTAAAGTGCTAAAAGGAATTTGTTAAAAGTCATTTTCACGGAGAAAAAATCCTTTTAAACGTTAAGCATGAGTGTATATGTACTTGAGTATATATGTAGTTAGTAAAGGATTTCGGATACTGAATTTCGAAGCTCACCTTAAATGGGATATGATAGTTCAACCTATTCTTGTGATAACAATACATTGTTCCAGACTTGCGACGACGACTCCAGAACGAAAATAAGAATCCGTTATCCGATGAGATTTTGACATGTGATACATTCCAGTACTCATATCCTAGTCTGGACACACTCGTCAGAAAAAGTCTTTGTTCCGATCCGATCCAGCGGCCTTCCATTGCTGTGATAGCTAATGCCGTCAAAAAAACAATATTCCCAAAAAATAAGGGATCAAAACTAATTGAGCGTGTACTGCAAAGACTGGAGAAATTATCCACGGATTTGGAGATTGTCGTAGTACAGCGAACGAAGGAATTAGCGGAAGAAAGACGGAAAACCGACGATATCCTGAAAGAGATCTTTCCTGAGTAATTTACGTCGTTTTCGGGTTTCATTAGCGCACCCGGTTTACACAGCCTACACTCCATACGAAAATTTGCTTATACTTTGTAGTATTGATCGTGGAATGCAGTAGCACTCTGTGCTCAACTTACTAAGTACCGTAATTAGTAAATATGTAGAGTAGTGGGTGCATTTCAGGTTTGCCGTCCTTCGACTGCGAAACAACGAAGCTGTTGCACCGGAAATGTTCGACAGCTGCTCCTTGATGTTTAGCGGACTATGTGGATTTAGTGAGCGAATTGTTAACGAATCTCCCTTATGGATGACTAAAACACTCGACGAAATATATTATTATTTCGATCCTGTTATAACCACATCCGGTGCCTACAAAGTGGAAACAATTGGGGATTCTTGTGTGGTACGTTCAATCGCTTCGGCTAAAATTGTGACATCGGGACTCTTCAACAGTCGTGCAAATTTTATACATCGAAATTAAAACCATATCAAATTGGTATTTCAGTAGTGCACGAGTACTCAGACAATACGGTCTAATAGACTATTCAAGATGTAACTTTAACTGAAAAGGTTGCATCCGGTTTACCGATCAGGAACGATAACGACCATGCAAAAATTATATGCCACTTGGCTTCGGCACTCATGACAACAAGTGCAAAATTTTTTCAAATACTGGAGCTCCAGCTGAAACTGGGAATACATACAGGTACAAACGCGAATTATCAATTAAATTGTAACAGTATAATGCTTTACTTAAGTGCGCCTCTTTCCGAACGTTAACCCATGTGAATTCGCAGGACCATGCGCTGCCGGGATAATAGGAATTAGCAGGCCAAGATATTGCATGTAAACAATCTATGTCGAGCTACTAACGTTTTTTACTGCGCTGGATTGTCTCGTTGTAGCTTTGGAGACACGATTAACGTCGCTTCGCGGATGGTCAATAAGAGCGCACCATCTAGAATCCATTTAACTGCCGCTACTGTGCATTTGCTCCATACAACATCCACTTGTTTTGAGATTATCCCACGCGGCATGATTGACATCAAAGGCAAAGGTCCCATGGAGACGTTCTGGATTACACCCACGACCGATACCCACAACTGATCGAAGGCTATGCCATAAAAATTTCAAATCCGAACAACACACCAAAAGGAAAAACATATTTTTACATTGATGTATTCAGGAAGTGGAAAAAAACCCAAAAAATTTAAGTAATCTTCAGGTTGTCCAAGGAAAGACAGTATTAATCAACTTGTGATTCCAAATTCAGCAAGGTCTGCACAAGTTCAGGACATTGTGGTAGTGGAATCAGCCGGCAAAATTCCACGAGGACTAGTAAACGGTCCCGAGTATAAACTTGTAACTGCGAAGGAATCGTAATCTCCGAAAATGTTGTGCTGTATTTTCCAGTAAAACTACAGTATATGAGGAAATTGTTAAGTCTTACCATGGAAGCATTCCTATCAGGTGAACTGAAGTTCGTTCTGTTTCTTATTTCCCGTGCAGATCGTTTTTCCTGCTGGTACCAATATAGCAGAGCACGCGCAGCATGCGAAATGACTTCAGGGATGCACTGCCTCACGTCAGGCGTTAGCACTATCTGATAGATCTCCAACTAAAAATGAAAAAAAGTTTGCTTTAACGGCCAGGCCAGATTTTGGCTTCAGGAAAAGTTAATTCAGGTGAATTAGTAAACCAGCTCTAGCTTCTTACGGATTCACGAAGAGTCTCCACATTCAAAGGTACAAAACGCGACCGTTCAAGGATTTGTATGGCAGAATCCAAATCTTTTCTATCTAGTAATTCGTAGAAGGAGAGAACATCCAGCAGCAACGAAACGTTAGACATCACGAGATCATTCTCGCTGTTATCCTGCAATCTGGAGAAAACACTGTCATAAAAACATTGTCATACGGCCAGCAGGACAAAATTACACTGTAACTGACAAAGGATATCGTATACAAATAAATATTTAGAAAACGTTTGCCGACAGAAGTATAGTAAATATATGTCTGTATAAAAATAATGCTTGCCTGTTAGTGTAAGCCGCTGCAAGCTTCTGTACCGCAGAGCGTCTCGGATTAGGAACAACATGGAGAACAACATCGCACAATTCTCTAAGCAGAGTTCGCATTAGCGCTTTACCCTGTCCAGCAATCTCATAAAGTTTTACTGCCGGTTCAAACAATCCCTCTGCATCAAATTTTTCGGCAATTCGAGCTATCACAGACTCAGGATTGGGTGAGAATTTATAAATAATTCCAGTAACTCTGGCTCGTTTCCCATTGGATGCATCCACCCGGACGTCGCCAAATAATTTCAACAGTTTATTCATATCATCAGCCAAATCTCTGGCCAATTTCCAGATGTTCCATTCAAAGAAGCTGCTGAAAGCCAGATCAGCCCCGGTCTCCAACATCACATCGCCAAGCTGGAAATAGTATTCACAAGCAACATCAGGGAAGCGTTTGCGAACATGTGCCGTATATTCCTCAACCAAATTCACGAAATCCAAATAGCGCAGCTCATTGGCATCGGGCGATATCATATCCATCACACCATTGTTTACAAGCAATAAATTACTCTGCTTTAGACAAATGGCCATGTGGACAGCATGTATGCGATATGTTTCGGTCTGTGACAGCTTCTCGATGGCCGCTTCAAACTGACCAGTCAACAGATACACCAAAAACGTCTGCAGATCATCACAGTTCTTCCCGTCAAATTTCTGTTGCACGAGAGACTGCAAGTTTGGCAAAGTCGATCCCTTTGCGTTCAGTTCTACTCGTGACAACTGCAGCCACAGCCAGTCCGAAATAGTAACGGTGATCTGGCCAAATGATTCGGAAGAATCTGTTCGGGCAATGACAGAATAACACGCTTGCTTGTACGGGTCTTCTTTCAGCGATGGCAACTGACGCGAATAAAAGTTCCGCAATTCGCGTTCCTTTTCGGGGCTTAAACGCCGCTGATTGCGGTTGTAATCATACAGGTACTGAACAAAAGTCTTCGTAGAGCTATCGCCCTGATTGGCGAATTCAATGGCAGTAGCAACATCCCCCACTCGGAGGCTATAAAAGATTAACATCCATGCGGGAAGATTATGTATCCGTCCACTCGGTAACGCGGTCGAAATTTTATGCTTCATCATCTGGCTTTTCGTGTAGGTAATAATCACATGAGAATGGGTTGAAAGTTCTTCTGGAACCGGCGAAACACGGGCGCGAGAAGCAATACTATCAAATGCGCATGTTTCCAGAAAATTTCGGGCAGCCTGGATTAGCGGCACCGCGAACAATTCAGATTCACGGAATTTCACAAGGTCTTGATCACTGTCGCATTCTGACAAGGCAGAGATTACGTGCCGGAAGGTTTTCCATAACTGCACCGCATTCTGTTCCGGGAAATCCTTTACTTTCTCGAAGAAAACATCAACGGAGTCGAACGGCGTAGAGCACAGAATACTTTCATTGCACTCCCGCAACTGCAAGGATAAATACGATGCATAGACAATACTTACATCTAAATCTGTCCATTACGAACGTAGCAGTTTCCCGACAAGATCGATATCCGCGAAATAAAAAAAATTAATAAATAACGCACCTATAATTTTTACATACCGTTTATAAACTTACAAAAAGCCCAGTACATAATGTTTCAGCAGCGTAGGACACGTGGCATTATCTTGCAGTTGTATTATTCTGTTTATTTGCAAATTCAAAATTTAACAAAAATCCTACCGCGCGGGAATATTCAACCTCCATAAGAGTCATAGCTCGTTCACCACTTTGCATATCAGCAAGAAAACCAGCCTGCGAAGATTTCATCTTCGCTAAATTAGAGCGCTGAGATAGAAGTAATCCGGAATAACCACTGTGCGACACTTTGGCCATATCGCGAAGCACCTCCGTGTTGCACCGCTCCAGGTCGCCTCGGAGTGCGGCATTCTTCAAACGATTTTGTAAACCACTGATGAACGATCGATCTCCGTCCGCAAGACTTTTGATATCGTCCAAGTACTTTTCATCTAAAGACTCCTACAAAATCTCATCAATTTCAGCCAAGAACAAAACATGGAAAAAATGGTAAAAAAACAGTGTTCAGTAAAGTTAAAACAGTGAGGTGTAACAAGCAGCACTCCAGAATGCGAAAATGCATTGTCTTCGTCGAACCCTAACGGTCTAACCTGAACGTCACGCGGAAGAGAACGGATGGTCAAACCATCCACATCGGTTCCGAATTTTCCCAGTACGCCGTTTGACCCTTATAAAAAGAAATGTGTCAGATTATTAAATCTATAATGATATTAATGAGCTGTAACACACAAACGTGACAAACGACAACAAAGATAGGAGCACTGAAAACTGGCAAAACTGCTGCCACTTGCCCGTGCTACCGTAGTGTTTAGCGTATTGGCATACCTGCAGCTTCGTTCATCTGGAGAAGAACGCTACGATAACCAGTGACCATTTCCGCTTTTATATGCCGGAGTCCAGTTTCTTCCGCAAGCGTTGTGGGGTAGGACACATCCATAGTAGAACTATTCTGGACAGATCGTGCGGCGCTCCAATCCATGGAATCAAGTGTTTTGTTGAGCGGGTTTTTTAACGACCCCCTTTCCATTTTCTGCCATGAACGCCGGGACTTCAACAATTTTACTGAAAACTGCTCTTCACTGGTTTTATGCAACACTGGCTTACACTGCAACAATATAATTATTATAATTACGACCACGCTACGGGTAGTATATTATAACTAATATTTTGACGATTAAAAAGCAACCTGCCACTACTACAAAGAAACCATCTGCGATTCTGCCGTCAAAGTTGAGCCGTTCAGTTTTCAAAAATCATCAAACCAGTACCGGCCCTGCCAGTACTGTATATTATGCATAGCCCACTAGGAAATTCGCTTACACTCGCCACGGCATACCCTCGTATCATGCCTGCGCTCGTTACTAGAGGAAATGCGTCAATTGGAAAAACCGTATGTTCGCTCAGTTTTGAAAATTTAACACGAATTTTCGGTAGCCTTGGTAGTTGGAACCACAACTGCAGCTCTTTACTTACGTATTTCAACGTTAATCATTTAACTTGAAGCAATTTTTGTACAAACCATATTTATCAGTTCAGAACTGCTATTGACAATATTCCCTTCAGATTTGATGTCAGTTTTTCATCTGTCAGTTAGGAATCTTAAGCCCAAAGAGAAATGGATGTGGACCAGAAAAAAGTACGTACGAAGGCTTCGGTAGCTTATGCAATCCGTTATTACTTATGATTAGATGGATTCGGATTACAATACATAACGCAAGTTGCGGGAATTTTTTCTTCTAGGCCAAGAAAAATCGTAAGGGCAAGAACACCGAGGTGGAAGATATTGATATGGAGAAGGAGCTGAAAGAACTCGAGGAGAATGCGCCAGCGCAACCCAAAGCTCCAACTGGGAAAGCTGTATGCAACATTCTGCTATTCAGAGCATCTTCAAGGGGTCGGCTTGAATGCTTTTTACTCACGTTAACGAATATTCACAGGGTAAGAAGGGAAAACGGAGGGAGGAAATTGATGCTATCGACATGGAAAAGGAACTGGAAGATGCTGATGAACCACTTAAGAGTTCTGACGCGAAAGGTTCCAAAGCTCAAAAGGTGAGTGTAAATTGCATCATCGTTGATTTTGTAATGAGTTACGGTTAAATATAAAAAAACCTGTTGGTCGTCCAATTCCACGCTTTTATCGCAGGACGCAGATTTTGCTCCTTCTCGCTTTTTATTTGAGATCGCGTGCTAATATGCATATTGAGTACAGCGTACTTCAACTTTAACTTATTTGTATTACTGTACAGTGTATTGTTTTAGTGCTCGCATTTGATTTTTTTATTTAATAATGCTTGGAATTTGTACAATATATTACAGACTTTTCCTCTTCGCTGTCACCAGTTTTTGATAGCCCTTTTGTTTTTCACTTACTTTTATAAGTTTTATTCTTAATACCCCATAAAATCGAAAAAAAACTAAAAATCAAATTAGGTTTTTTTTTCTGTTCATTGTTTTAAAATCCAACTGCTGTACTTCGGTGTGCAGATGCAAGCTAACGTGCATTTTACTGGAGTTTCACGTATTTTTAATATCGCATAAATTTTGGGTACCTGTTGAAACGAAAGCAAAGGTAAACTGATTGAAGACCTTTGAGTATACAACAGTGCCCGCTTTTCACTAGGGGAAGAAACCCGGTAATGACAACGGCGAAGTGGATGAAGAAACAGCAAAGCCGCAACCTGAGGATTCGAAAGCTGCCAAGGTCCGTACATTCTAAAGTGCAGTGGCCAGTTCCGGTTGAAATTTTCTTTCGTAAACCTTACAGCATACACACTGGGAATGTTTTATAGGGTAAAAAGAATAAGGGAAAGAACGATGTTGTCGATAATGAAACCGAAGAATACGAACAAGACGAAGAAAAATCGCAACCCGAGCTCAAGACATCAAAAGTACACAGTTATAATTTTATGATTTTAATGTGCGGATACCGTAAAATGCGTACACGAGTAATGTTCAAAATACACGATAAAAATAGGGCAAAAAGGGGAAAGGGAAGAAGGAGCTTGAAGATATTGATATGGAAAAAGAACTTCAGGAGTTAGAGGAGTCTGCTAAAGTAACGGATTCGAAAGCTTCAAAGGTGAGCTTGCTAATCTAAGAATCGGGTGCAGGAGCATTACGAGTGGATTTCACATTAGAATTTGCCGTTTGGACTGATATGATGATAAATGTGTGATTATCGAGACCTACAGAGTATAAGCTGCTTATACTAGTTTAGAAGTATGTATTTATAATCGGAAATGTGTTTCGTATTGAACGTGAACGTTATTTACTGGAGCGGAACTTAGAAAAATTATGCTATAAATGTTTTATATGTTCTCAAAATTGTGTTTTGATAGGGCAAGAAAAAAGCAGGGAAAAAAGATTTAGGTGATTTTGATATGGAAAAAGAACTGCAGGAATTGGAAGAAGAATCTAAAGCAGAAGCGAAATCTGGCAAGGTGAAATCAGTAATTCTAGCATATACTACAGGTGCATCGTGGTCAAGCTTTAAGCCTTTTATGAGTTTGATTCCTGAAATTTAATTCTTTTTGTGTGAACCTTTACACTGGCTATGCATTCGGTTGAATGTTAATATTGTATTAGAAAACCAGCGCCAAACAAGCAGGACAGAAGGAGGCTCCTGCTCATGAAGGATCCAGCACTAGTGAGAAGTCAGCGGATAAAAAGTCTGCCAAATCCAAGGAGTCGGAAAGCAAGACCGGAAGCCAAAAAGCAGCCGACGCTGATGCGGAGCCCGCGAAAACTGGGGATAAACCAGGAGCGGCGAAAAAACCGAATAAACAAGTGGAGCTGATGAAGGAACGATTACGAAAAATCAAGGAAGAGGAAGAGCGATTGCAGCGCGAGGAGGATGAACGCATCCGCAAAGAGGAAGAAGCAGAGCAGAAACGACTGGAGGAGCTGCAAAAGGAGAAGGAGCGCAAGGAAAAGAAGAAGCAGAAAGAAAAAGACCGGATTCAGCGCCAAAAACAGGAGGGAACATTTATGTCCGCTAAGGACAAGGCGAATAAAGCTAGGGCCATGGCAATGCTTGAAGCGTTCAAGCAACAAGGGCTCCAGGTTGGGGAGAAGCCGGCGCGTGGAGAAAGGAAGCCTGGCGATAAAAGTGAACAGCGGCAACTATCTGAAGAACAGAAAGAAGACATGCCGCCGCAGACTGCCGCTGAAATAGCTGAAGCTGCTGGACAGGGCGACGAAGCTGAATCGGATGACACCGTGGAAGACTGGGATCAGATATCTGACACCGAAGAAGCTGCGGAAGGAACCGAAAAAGCCGCAGCGAAGGGTAAAGTGGTTCTCGTAGTTTGTTTTTCGGCGATTTTTTTTTTGGTACAATACACTGGTAGCGGTATACGAATGTGCCTTCATATTCGTATCGAAGGTGCTAATACTGTAGGTCAAGTTAGATGAGTTGTATGGAGGGCCACGTCAGATGAGTTGTTAGGTGCGTTGTAGGGAAACCGTTTGGGGTTGAAGTAGCGAAAATCGAGCGGTTATTGCAGGCGCACAGCAATGAACATGGCTGGCAGGATTTGAGAATTGTGGCCGATAGGCCAAATCAAGGCATGGTTCAGGCACACCATGAAAATGCCTGACATATTAACATCATTGGCATTGCTTATCAATATGAAAAAATCAAAATCAAAAATCAATCAGCTTCTCTTAAACAAACTGATACTTCTGCAAAATTGTAAGTGTTAGGTCCTGGGACATCGAAGTTCCTTGAGCACCGCAGCACACGGTTACCCTCGTATGATCTTATCACTTATTTTGAAGTCATGGTTTTAGGTGCTTATATCTTTAGAATCGCGTAAATGACTGACAACCACTCATAATGTCATGGAGTGGATTTTCCATAATTCCATAATTGAGGTTTTTTCTCAATATATGCCTGTGTCGCAGTATTCAGTTAAGCGTACCTATGCTAGACCTGTGCAGGTCGACGATGACCTTTGTGTTTCCTACATGTCCCTATAACGATTAGGTAACGCATCCGTATGATAGTGACCTTTATTCAACATAACACTGTGCCCACAAAACAATGCTAATGCTAGGTAAACCAGGTGTAGATTGGGAGTCGACTGAGAGTGTGCTGGTAGACTACTGACTGGTACGGTGTGGAGGGGTGCTTATATGGTCCTGGTCAGGATGGGCTCGGCTGCCACGGGTGGGTTTGGTGTGGCGACAAGCCAATGACAGAGTACCTGACGGCATGATGATGTAATATGCGGTCAGCGTTATGTCATCTGACCGCGCAGGAATGTGCAGGGCATACCTGCACGAAAGCTTCCGGTGACTAATGGTCGTGCGGTGCGACTAGTGACGATGTCGTCACACCTGGCGGCTCCATAACTTCTCAATGCGTCACCGCTCTGTCTCCGTACCAGATATGTAGATAGTAGATATCTCGATTTTCTGTTCTGTTTTAGCTGAATTAAGTCCCGACGTTTGAGCAGTCGTGCAACGATATGCCCATGGCGCACGTAACTGCCTTCGGAAGTGTATGAGTGCTTGTTAAAAATGAAAGGGACGACAGAGAGAGAATTATCTTCATTCGAGTCGTTTTCCCTTTAATTTCACTTGGTCGCAAAACTAAAGATACAGATTTGTAGAGAATTTTATTCTCTACCTTAAGATTCTAATGAACTGTTAAGAAACCTGTGGAAACGTTCAGAGTGGAGCGAAAAGCAGGAAAGTCAGCTGGTATTCCTCATACAGTTTCATAGCTAATTGTAAGCAATAAAGTGGTGGTCGGGCAACGTATATCAATGTGGCCCGCACTCACGGCTATTGCTTCCTCAACAGTTTATTAGAATCATCATTTAATAGAGAAAAAAATTCTCTACAAACCTGTGTCATTAGTTTTAGGATCAACTGAAATTAAAGGGAAAACGATTCGAATCAACATAATTTTCTCTCTGCCGTCCCTATCAATTTTAACAAGCACTCGTACACTTTCAGACAATAGGGCGTGCAATGCGCACGTGCAAGCTCAAACGTCGGGACTTAATTAGAGGTCCGAGTTCTGTCTAGTGATCGTTTTGGGCATTCATTTTCAACATTCATCTAACATCATTCTAACATGTTTAATACTTGTTCTTTGTCACATTATTCTTAAATCATAATTGCACGCATATGACTATGATACGTATTGTTTTAGAGAGTTTGTCTGCGCCGATGGAGATGACCTCGGCTAAGGAAACCGGACCGATACAGAAATTGGGGAATCTTCGATCGGCTGTTGTTTGCGTTCTAGGGCATGTCGACACAGGGAAAACCAAGATTTTGGATAAAATCAGGCGAACAAATGTGCAGGACAACGAAGCCGGTGGAATTACGCAGCAGATTGGTGCAACCATGGTCCCAGCTGATGCTATTCTGAATCAAAGTTCCATGGTGCGTGGATTCGGGGCTGATAACCTCCACTTACCGGGACTATTGATCATTGATACTCCCGGTCACGAATCTTTCAGCAATCTGCGCTCCCGTGGGTCATCGTTGTGTGATATCGCCATCTTGGTTGTGGATATCATGCACGGCTTGGAACCTCAGACAATTGAATCCCTGAAGCTGTTAACAGGTCGAAAGGCACCATTTGTCGTGGCCCTGAATAAAATTGATCGACTTTTTGGTTGGAAGAGTTTACCCAAAATGGATATTCGCGACGCCATCGCTGCTCAAGCCAAGAATGTGCAACATGAGTTTAATGAACGGGCTAGGAAGATTATTGGAGAATTTTCTGCCAATGGTGAAAATGCCGCACTGTTCTGGGAAAACGACAATCTGGACGAATATTATTCAATGGTACCTACCAGCGCACATTCTGGCGATGGAATGGGTAACCTGATGGCGTACATCGTGGAATTTTGTCAAAATAGATTGAACAAGCGCTTGACATTTTCAAATGATTTGCAATGCACTGTGCTGGAGGTGAAAGAATTGACCGGTTTGGGCACGACGGTGGATGTGATATTGACCAATGGCTCGTTGTCGGATAGTGATACGATCGTACTAGCGGGATTTGAAGGTCCCGTAGTTACCCAAGTGAGGGCTTTGTTGATGCCGCAGCCTCTTCGAGAACTCAGAGTGAAGGTTAGTGCGTTGTTAGTGCTCGTTACCGTAATCGCTTTACTATCTCTGATGTACAAAAAAGCCCTGAAAAATGTCTGCAGTAAATGTTTTAATGGTCGTTACGATGCTGCCATCTCATCGTTGTGCAACCTTTAGAATCCCTACGAGAAGCACAAAGTTGTTCATGGAGCGCAGGGTGTCAAGATCTTGGCAAAAGATTTGGAGACATGTTTGGCTGGGCTGCCGTTATACGTTGCTAATACTCCGGAAGACCAGGAGCGCTGCAAGGTTTGCATCTGCCTAAAAATAATTGTAATTAAGCATTTAGAATGTGACTATTGTGTAATGTGTACTGTATATGTTTAGGGGGAAATAGAGGATCAGTTACAGTCAGCGTTGAAGTCCATCCGGCGGGAAGATCGAGGAGTTTACGTTCAGGCATCTACTCTTGGGTCTCTTGAGGCTTTGTTGGAGTTTCTAAAAACTTCCAAAATTCCGGTATGTGACAGGGATGCATTTTCTGGTAATAGCGGCCAGCCGTCGGCTATGTAAACTTTGCAACACTGTTGTGTGTTCTCGGGCTTTTCAGGTTTGTGGTATTAATATTGGGCCAGTCCATAAAAAGGATGTGCGCAGCGCTTCTGCCATGTTGGAGCATGATCCGCAGTATGCCGTGATTCTGGCATTTGATGTGAAAATTGAACGGGAAGCTCAGATATTAGCGGATGAACTCGGAATACGAATATTTGCTGCGGATATTATTTATCATTTATTTGATCGTTTTACGCAGTACCAGGACGAATTGAAGCAGAAACGACGAGACGAAAACAAGCATGTAAGAGCACCCGAGCGTTTGCAGTTCACTGAGACATTTAAGGAACCTGCTGTGTTGTTGTCTGAATAATTAAGTCTCGAGTTTCTATATGAAGTATGATTACTATGGTTTCTTTTTTCAGCTTGCCATATTCCCCTGCAAATTAAAAATTTTGCCCCAATTTGTCTTTAATACGCGTGATCCAATCGTTGTGGGAGTTGTCGTTGACGCTGGTGTCCTTAAAGTGGGCACACCGCTGACAGTTCCGTCGAAGGAGTTCGTCGATATTGGCATCGTCACCAGTATTGAAGTCAACCACAAACCGATGGACATTGCCAAGAAAGGTCAAGAAGTTTGCATTAAAATTGACCCCGAACCTGGGGCAACTCCGAAACTGTTAGGGCGCCATTTCGAAATAGAAGATACGATGGTCAGTAAGATTTCACGACCATCAATAGACGTTTGCAAAGATTATTTTAGAGATGATTTAACGAAAGCAGATTGGCAGTTAATGGTAGAACTGAAGAAGCTGTTACAGATAATGTAGATTTGTGGGGGCTGGTCGATTTTCTGAATGTTTTACTTTCGCTTTAAACCATGGTCTTTTCTTTCCACTGCAGTCAATTTTTGATATCTAACTAGAACTAATAAATCTGAAATTGTATGTTATGCAAGGCGGATTCATCCGCGATCACAGATTGCTTCAACTACGCTTTGCTCCATAAGTACAGGCTCCAGACAGCGTTGCACAGCGCTGCTGACTATTTCGTCCAGTAATGCTGTTACCAAACTGCAAAACGAACAAAGCGAATGTCATTATTTTGCTATCCAAATGTTAACAAAAATATTCTGGTAGATAACAGAATAAATCCACCATTTTACCGTATCTTTACCGTACAACTTTGCTGCACCAGTATTGCTTAAGTACTTAAACTAAGGGCGTCGTGTTCATTTCCACTATAAAAGCTTTACTGTTACAAGAGATTCCTGAATTATTTCCTGGTACTCACTTTTCGTCGCTAACGAACCGCCAGAGATATTGCTGCAGGTAATAAGCATCCACTTGAATCTGTTGCAGACCAAATTTTCCAAACGTTCGAAGTCGCACACATTCCAGTAGAGTTTTTAGTCCAATTTTCACAATACCGGTCAAAATGGATACTTTCGCAAAGTCAACATCTCCGAATATTTCAATACGCTCATTAAATAATTTCTGGATGTTACTCAAGAGGCTCGTATCAACGGGCGAGTAATTTGTCCAATTGGCGCTACGAGCTTGGCTCTTAATAACACTGGGCCGAGTGCGCTTACTGGAACCGCTACCGGCATCTTTTCGGTGCCCTTCCTCGAACAACTGACCCACTTGCTGGTCGATGACGGTCAATTCCTCGACTACCCGCTTGACCACGGCCCGAACCGTGCGGGGCTCGTTCGTACTTAGCCAATCGCGAGTCTCTACGCTCTTTCGGATCATTTGCGAAATCGAGAGACCCTCTTGATGCACAAAATAATTGAGCAGTTTCTGAGCAGTATCCTTGGCGCGCTGCATCATGTTAGATATTGTCTGGCTGGCAACGGAATTTTTGTCCTCGACGGGGAAATTCTCTCTCGTGACGTTCATTGCGTAGGAGATGGTGGACTGATTCAAATCAAGGAAATGCCGAGACAGAACAAGAAAAACTAACGCCGATCCGGCCAGTTTGTCTCCACCATGTTTACAGAAGCTCTAAAAAACTCCGGGATAATCCAGTAATTCAGGTGGGAAATGTAAAGCTAGTTAAGCTACTGTACCTCCGAAAGCGATAACATCTCTCGAAAATGTCCGATTACCATTGTATCCCTGACATCGACTTTACAGAAATGGTCGTAGAAATTTTTGTTCGAAGCGAACATGATTTCCGGTTGTACAAAAGCCTGCAAAATTGATCACCGACGTTACTGTTCATTGTCAGCATAAGTAAAAAGACAGCAATAGTGCGAAAAATTCAAATTATAGTAATGGAACACTAAGAGGCGGAAAAACAGAAATATCTCTGATGAAAATCACTTTTTCAAGTATCCAAAATTGAAACATTAGGAAAGAAATGATAAGCACGCGCTTAGTTACTGCTTACCTTGAGATCCGCTAACGCTATTTTAACTCGCTCCATTAAATTCGAATGCACTTTCTGTACACCAATCATCAAAATTTTCTGGGTCGAATCAGTGGCTGTGAATTTTACGGAAAGCATTTCGCGGACTTCCTCCAGAGTTTCTACAACACATATACAACATACCGCTTAGAAATACGAAAGAAAACTTGCAACAAGAACTTTACTTCGGAAGTCGTCATTTAGTTTCTCCATGTATTGTCGACATCGCAGGCTGGCAGCTTCCTGCACCATCTTCGACCCAACACGCGAGTAATCGGTTTCGCTAATAAGTCGATCAAGTGCTTGTAAACGTCGCGAAAAACGATCCAGAGCGCGAACATAGACATCACATGTCGATGAATCCAGGGTCTACCAATGTAAACGATGCAAACGTTAAGAAATTTCAGAAGTTAAACATTTCGGCTAAATACTCGTAGATACCCGGCATGAAACTGCCACCGCATGAATTCCCAAAGTTACTTATCAGTGAAAACTCTTATACATAAAACTGCGAATAAACTCAGTACAGGAACCCGCTGCGCAGTCATGGTCAGACGAAAAAAGTCAGAAACAACAGGCAAACGGTAACACTTACTTCATTCATCACACGCTGTCGGACTAGATGAAAATACCGCTCCATGAGATTGCTGACAAATTGGAAAAGTTTCCTCCTGGCAATTTCATTACTTTCCTCACTGAGTAAGAAAACAAAAACTATACCCGCCCTCACGCACAACGACGCCAATTCAAATTAAATCTCAACTTACTCAGCTTGAGTGTTCTCAAACCGGCACATGAACATATCGTTATAGCTGGCCACAACGAGACAGACATTGCTTAGAAAACCATTCGATCCCATATCCACGAAACTTAACACATCGACAGCTTCCAGCCGAACGCCAGGATCGTTCCACTTGGCCAACTGTTCATCCAAAACCGCAAGATCGTCCTGCAGTCGAATTTCTGCATGCGCAAGAAATTCCTGACACAGAATTTCCGCTGGTTCTTTCAGCATAGTGAACAGCTCAATACATTCGGCAAGTTCACGTGTTGTGGATGACTTCCGGCGGAATTTTTGATAAAGCGCCTTTTTCAAATTGTTCATAATGTCATTGCAGTCCTCATAGATTTTTTTGAAAGCTGTCAGGTAGCGGTATTCTTCCATAACAGTTTGAACTTTGCAGTAAGCGATTACCGCAGGGCGGTAGCTTTCTGTATCTAAACATTCTTGTAGCCTGCAATGCAAACAAACTGGAACATAATTTTTACAAAAACTATTATTTCCAAAGAGAAGTACACTGATATATACAGGACTAATAATTAGTTTCATCACGGTATCAGGTAACCCAGACGTTTAAAAATCAGGAAAGAAGTTGTTTAAAAGTGATGGAGGTCATTCAAGAACACCAAAATGCCATACTTTCAAAATTTGCAAGTGTGGCGCGAGAACTATTAACTTACCCATATAGACGCCTATATGGGAACAACCTTACCCATATAGGCGTACAACGCAAATTTTTACAGTAACGAAGTGTCTCGTACTTACACTATTGTAACACATTTAACCGGACACGATTCACATTAGCTGAAAGGAGTATCACAAGCGAGTTACGCCTATTCGTTTCTTACCGAGCAGGTAAATCATATAAAAATTGAAGTCGCTTCAAAATGGCATGGGTTTCAGATAATTTCTTGATCTTCGATCGGTTAGGATCCAAGGAAGCGGTTACTTTCGTGCTGAACTCGTTAATAGCTACCATGTTTTTAGCCAATTTTTCCATTTCTTGTTCCATCTGACCGAAATCCTGCTTCATCTGTAATCAAAAATTAATTCTATTTAAAAAGCAAATTTTTACTGTCCGAATGCATAACAGAGAATAACGCACAAACCTTTCTTATAGTGTCAGTAGCTGTTATGAATTTGTTGTAATTTTCGTACACCAGTGTCTGCATATCGCTATCCAGAGCTTTAATCTGCTGCACCATCTCCGCTTCATGTTCAATCAAGTCCACCAAAGCCTCTTCCTGCAAAATGAAGCATTGGAAATAAACCAACAACAACCGGCAAAAAATACTGCGATAGTGCATGTCGGCTCCGTACCTTCAAAACGCGTCGCAAGTACTGGTCCGGATCGAAGGCCGTTCCATTAAGATCCAAAGGATTTCTTGACAGAGAAGGGTTTGTAGTCATTTTGTGATTTTCCGATAACGAGAGGCGCAGACAGTCCTTCAGTCCCTTTGCAAAATCTTTAACTTTTAATAGGAGCACTTAACACTTCCATTCCATGTATATTAAAATGATTACTGCACTTTAATTAACAATGCGCAAAAAAATAAGTAAACTTTGACAACGACGACAAGTCAAAAAAATGTTATGTTTTGTGACGCCGAAGTCAAGGCTTGAGGACAGACTGCTCTTATGCCATCTAAGCGGCAGATGAGGTATGGCGTGTGCACTTTGGCGGCACTTCTTATCATTCCGTTTAAGCCGAAATGACTAGGCGTTACGTCTTAAGCCCTTCCCATTAAGACTCATAAAGCATGACGCATTCGCGCCTTTCGCGGCATGTTTGAGCTTGAACCAGAAAAACCTGCAACAAAACAACCCACGTGTTGGCTCAGATCGCATGAAAGGATCAGTACGTAACTACGTATGTGGTTCGGTTTGCTGACATAAATCCGATTTATTCAGCGGTTGGGAGTTATTCTACCTGTTTTGTTTTTTGTGTGGAATAAACATTAGTAAATAACAATCAAACGATTTCATCGTAGTTTTATTATTGACTTTGTATATCTTGGTGTACTTCTGAAATCTTACATCGTAACCGGATTCCGCAGTTTTCAACCAGTAATCGTTTTCTTACCAAGGTAACACACGAAAATTCTGGTGAGTTCTAAGTTTTTGTGTTGTGTTGTATTCACTGGATTTCACTCCACCATCTTCACCACGTATGAATTTCAGGATATCCTTATCTAATATACGTAGTACGGCACCGTGTTAAGATAATATCTCGTTAAGCCTTTTTGTTGATGGTTGTATTGTCACTCCTCGCCTTCGTCGTTCACGCTTCTGAAATATGTAAATTTCCATCGCGTTGGTAGTTCGGTAGCCAGTTGAAACACTTGTGTTAACGTTTACCAGCGTTACATAGGATCGTTATTGTTCGTCTTGTTTTTTTAGTTTTTCGAGTGTTTTCTAAATCGTCTTCATGAGCCTAAAACGGATTGTTTCGTTAATTCTTAACATTTTTCTTAACAGCTTCCTAATGCCGATGGTCGCGAGAGTTCGTAACGCTTTGCGGAAGTTGATCGATGATTACGGTTCATCTGGATCAGACGAAGAAAAGTCGGAGAAATCCAAGTCCCATGCTGGTTCACGAAAGTAAGTTAGATATTGGAAGGAGAGTTTTTGAAATTACACCATATATGAATAGTTTATGCTGTGTTAACGGTAAGTACGTTGTCGGTAACATATGGCTGTTACATAACAGGGGTTGGCTAGGTACAGATAAGCACCTACTGTAATCGCGTTCCCGTTCTGCTTGAGTATTCCACTTTCGTCATTGAATAATGTCTCTGTTTCTTGCTCACTCTGCGTTTTTTGAAGGGCTTCAGTAAGTTCAAAACGCGGGTCCAAGGACAGGATATTTTTCCGTCCCACACAAACGGTATCCAAGCAGTCCAGTGTGTCGGATGATAATTCCCAGTCGTCAGGATCGAATGTGGATGAAGATGAGTGCCAGAAAACCGGCGATGAACCACCTAGTAGTGGTAGTAACCTCAACGGTTTACTCGGATCCGAGCATCCCACAGATGAGACACCCAGTTTGGACGTAGCAGCTGACGCAGCCAGCGATGAGGCAGAGGTGGACGGCCAGCGCACCCGCGCGTTTCCACACTTTGCGGGCAACTGGGCGACGTTTGTTTACATTATTCGTAAGATGCCACTTGAACACTCACTGTGAAGTGACGATCCTGTTACCCTTAATATTAACCCCTTTGACGATTTCAGCGCGAGTAGAAGGCTTGACGCCGTTGTTTACGCAACTGTTGGCGGAAGTTCTGAAAATTCCGGACATTAAACATCTTAATTGGTCGATGGTGGATGAGCCGCACATCAGCTTGTCGCGTACTGTAGTGTTGCGTTATCATGAAATTCCGCAGTTCACGGCTCACTTGAAGGCGGAAATAAAGAAGTCATCCATTCCCCGGTACCGCACTTTTGTCCAGGCTTCTCTTTTATATTTTCATCTTCTGTTCATTGTAGGTTCACCTATTCGTTTGAAGATGTTGAAATTTACTGCAATGATCAAGCCAACACGTACGTTTTCAGCACTTTTTTATTTTTATGCTAGAAAGCGAATAACAGCTGCGCTGTTACTGTATTCTTCGGTGTTTATTTCGAGTGGTGAATATTTAAAAATGTGCATGCTTTGCAGTTCGTTCTTAGCATTGCGTGTGGGTCGTGGTTCGGAAGAAATGAGTGGACTGGTGAAAATAAGCGATACCTGTTTGAAGAGCTTCAATATGCCACAGTATTATCAAAAGCCCGAATTCCATTTGAGCTTTGCTTGGTGTCCAGAACAACTGGACGAAGCCGACAAGCACAAACTTCTGCATACCGTCCGAGTAGGTTATAATGAGCAGCTGATATCATGTTTTCCGGTTTTTCTAATGTAAGCATTACGTTCGTTTTAGAAACGGCTGCAACACTTGGAATCTCAGTTTGCCGATGAGTTCGATCAGTGTGCCAAAGCGGTTCATTGTCGAAGTGGAAATCGAAGTTATTTGATGCCACTGTGATGTTGTTAGTGTTTCTGTTTGGTGCCTTCGATGGTGATGACGTACCTTTTATATTTGTTTTTTACGGTTACCTTGCATTCTTTTCTTGTTGCTGTTCCATGAACGGTGTACTCTTAATTCGTCATTATTACTCTAAATTGATTTTTACGATTTATTACTTCTGTACTCGTTTTGTAGAAACTAGAAGTACAAGTGTTACTGCAAGGACACCATGTGTCCAGTACAAACCTATTTCGGGGAAGAACTGTTTGTAATAAAAGTTTAAAAACACCTATGTGAAAGACAAAGCGACAAATAAAACCAGAAAATCGTGGATCAAAAATCAGACACAACCAAAAGATTTCTTAAATTTATGGACGTCTACGTCGATTTCGTGCAGTTCTCGGAATTTGGCGATCACCAACCATCGTGTTGCCTTCTTCAATTTCACCACGGATTTCGTCTGGCATTTCAGAAATTTTCTGTTGCGCCTGCATATGGAACATCAGATCTGCCAGCTGTTCTTGAAGGTCGCTTTTTTCCTGCAAGAGAGAAGTCAAACGATAGATAACAAGATCGTAGTTAGTGGCTTACTGCAAAACGGCAATAACTTACTCGATCTTTCTGAGAAATTATCTCCAATAAAACCTGGATTTCTTTTTGGTTTTCCATCAGTCCTTTGCTCAGTTGCTGTTCGTTGTTTAATTCTTTCGTTACCTTAACAAGCTGGGCCGTGAGCTGAATCAAAGCAATACGAATTATTCCACAAACCACCTCTCAAACGTCTGCGAAATTAAGATCAACTACCTGATTAAGCTTTTTCTCGAGCGCCTCCTTTTCTTTAGTAACAGTCTGAAAGTCTTCTTGATTAGTTTGGACCGTGTCTACTTGACGTAGTAAATCGTCGTTTTGTTTCTTATAATGTCTGAGTCTCTCTTCCAACTCCAGTTTCTCTTTCCTCAGATTGTCTATCGTTAGCGCGTGTTGTTTGACTTGGATTTCAAACCGCCTTTTCTCAGCACTGACAGCTGCGAGATTATCATTTTCCGCCTCTCGGCTGGTTAATTCTCGTTTCAGTGCCTCAATCGCTTCCTTTTGCTTCCGCATTTTTGATTCGTAGTAATGCCGTTGGGATTCCAGTTGGGCATTCAGGAGAAAACTGTACTGTACAAACGATAAAAAACCATCATTTGTCACAAAAGGAAAGCTAACAACGGTGAATTGCACCAAATTTACTTCGAGCGTAATTGATTCCATTTTTTCGTCCATATTTCCTGATCCATCCTCCATTTCCACCATTTTGTCGGCACTTTGGCCTTGAATTAGCCGATGCACGTAACCATCTCCAAAATAGTCCCAAACCCTCTGCGTTTTAATATTTAACGCATACGTATGTTGCGTTTCCTTAAAATGCCTATCAAATCAAAGGGTTGCTCATATGTCCTAAAATGTGTCACTGGAATATGGTTGCCCCACGTACGCTTCTGCGTGCTTTCCGGAATACCGCCCACATCCTACATGACCACATATCAAACACAGCCACAAATCCTATAGAAATTGCAAAATTTTTCCAATCCACTAGCGTAAACACGATACTCATGTGTACATCTTGATAAGTTTTCTCACATCTGAAACCATTCCACACTGAACGCATGTCTGCTCTTCCGATGCCTGTGGCGTCTGGAAGTACCGACACACTGGACAGCTTGTATCGCCCCACTGCTGCAGGCAGGCCCCGTGGAACGAATGGTTACAAAGAATGGTGAGAATTCCTGTAGATCCTTCATCCTAGGAGACCATCGATATTTTTAAGATCTGTGCTTAATGACATCACAAACGGAATATTTTTTCATGCAATATGGCAACCTACAAATTAACAGGTACAGCTGCCCCTGTGTTATAGGCTACCGGACGGTTTGGTTCCCAGCTTTATGCATGCAGTGAAGGGGTGAATGTTATAGGAAGGTGAATTTAAGAGGAGTTTCGCTGTACTGAACTAACTGAAGTATCGAGCAATATGTAATAACTACAAGACTAATTGAACCTATTTAGAAACTTATGCAGGGTAACCCAAATAAAAACAACTATAGTCTGTACCATTTTATCCAAACAAACAGTACATGTTGGTAGCTCCGTTGTTCCTGGGTATGGGCGCATTCCTCCTCCCTGAATGAATCGGAAATTGGTATAAACACGCAGGACATCACATTTTTTAAATTTCTTTCTAGACACTTGATGTTGTAATTCTTGCCTCTATATCTTCGACAGCGTCCACTTTTCCAACGTAAGCCAGACGACATATATCGGCTTCGATAGAATTAAATGGAACGCCATTGAAATGGTCGTAAAACCGATCTGCAGCTTCCTGTAGCACCACAGCCTCGGCATAAATCACCACAAAACCCTCCAGTTTCGTAGAATACCTACCTGATTTTTGAAACGCAATAACACCATGTACTGACTGGGCGCTTGGTCGCGTATAATGCGCAGCCGCTCGATTTCTGGACTGAAAATTTAACAAAGCATTTCCAACATTATATCATGCAAAATCTAGCAACAACCACGGAAATGTCGGACTTACGAGAACGATGCAGTGAATGCCAAGAGATCTCTTATCGACAAATGCGCTGGCACAGATAACATGCACAACAGAGTACTGCGAGCGATCCCAGGTTTTAAGGATGTCCGCTCACTTCACCAAGAAAACACAAGCACTACTAGAAATTTTTAATAAAAATTACGTTTACTGAGCAGCACTCCGTAACAACGCTCAGTAGCTCACGATGATAAAAGATTTTCGTACTTATCGCGATACAGGTGGAGAATTCCTTTTACCATCTCCACACTGGGATTGCCATAATAAAAATTGACCAGAAATTCGTCATCTGCAAAGAAACCAACATTTTTACTGATTTACTTAGAAAATTTCAAGAAATATGACTGAAAATTAATACTGCATTGTAGTTACAGATAAATTCGGGAAGGCGAAAATATTATGTTATCACATACTTTGAACAATTTCACCCGAAGCGCTTTCAGAGGATTCAGATTTCGCTGTTGAGGTAGTTCTGGATCGATTTCTCAGTCGTTCATGGGGAGGGATATCTGAAAAATTGTAAGTAATATCCATGAGTGTGCTATTAAAACATAAGATTCAAAGCATCGTAGGGTCGTACCATCCATACTGAGCTGCGCCGCTACGGGGTTGTAGGTTTCAATAGTGTACTCGCGAAAAGCACGCTTTCCTCTCAATATCTGTAATGCGCTCAAAAATTCCTCTTTGCTATTATAAAAGAAATCCGGATCCGTGCCTTGTGGAAATGGCCTGGACACTAAAAAACACCAATCAGATAATCACAGAAAAATAAGAAATCTAGACTTATCTAGCCTTAAATGGTCACGTATTTGTGGCTTGCGGATAAGTGGTACGAAGCCCACGATATGAGGAGTTTTCGTCTTTATACCAGCAAAATCGAAATCCGATGGCTTCTTCCCGTGTAATTCCAACTCTAGCCGTATATACGCCAGACAGACGCTCATATCCAGGAGTCAGAAAGTCCACGAAAAGACCCAGAACGGCAGCAATTCAAAACTCGAAGGTATTGTGCGTAGGACTATGACGAGTGTCGATGAGCAGATCTGGTCACCCGGGAAGTTATAAAACTTCAGTTAAGACTTGAGACTTCTGAAAAAGCTTTCGTAAACCCAGGTTCAAGCATCAGACGATCATACTAGCATGGTCGACCATGTACAAATTACAGCACTTGTAATTTCTCAAGGAGTTTCTTTAGGAATACAACTATTATAATTGTAAAGTCACTAAACTGTAATACAAAAACCAAAATACAATTAATTTGGATTTTGGTACAATGCGAACAATAATCTGTTAAAGTACGACGATATAAGGAGTGTCACCAAACGGCACATCGGTTCGCACGGCGCACATGAACTGCTGTACATGCTAGCCCTGTTGACTGCACTAGTGACATGATTTTTGACGTCAGCGCGAGCTTCGCCGAGTGACTGTGACGTCACCGCGGAGTCAAACGCGAAGCGCACCAATACAAAGGTCACAGATGTTGATACAGTCCAGCAACTAGCATCAAGTTCGTTTTTCGCACCAGGAATGCTACCGTTCTAGGTCTGCATTCGCATTTGCTTATCGTACGCTACATAGATTTAGACCATAATGAATATATATGTCTATATAGACATTTAGTTTCTGGTATTAGAAAATATATAAGTTGACGATCAGTTTGCAACAAAGCTACCTATGACATTTATTTTATTCTTCTGCTAAGTAAACGTAGTAAACCTAATTTTAGCTATTTCACAGAATCAATACTTATACGCCATTATATCATATATCCATGTACGTGACAGTTAAAAAAATCAAATTATGTTTCGTAGCAGTACCCGATCCCAAGGCATGATTTCGAACGCTCAGACAGATACAGATTCACACAGATTTCGCACAGACGGATATTGATTTCGAGCACCCAGCGGATCGCTTGGCGAATACCCAGAACTGATTGGTTCAAAATGGCTATAACTTTATTCTGCCATCATACGCGACAACTTCTTTGGTATCGAAAATCTTCCCAAATGTTTCTTCATCTTTTAACGCTTTGATTGACAGATCTCATGAATCAGATCCTGTTATAACAGAAGATTTCATCCAGAACCAGATCCTGTTAAAATAGGATCTAGTTCTGGATGAAATCTGCGAACCAATGCATGAGGAAGAGGAAAATTGTGGGAAGATGAGGAAAATTGTGGGAAGATTTTTGTTACCAAAGTTGTCGCGGATGATGGCAGAAAAAAGTTATAGCGATTTTGAACCAATCAGTTCTGCGTATTCGCCAAGCGATCCACTGGGTGCTCGAATCTGTATCCGTTTGTGCTCGCTGGGCGAGCGTTCGAAATCATGTCTTGGGACCGGGGTAGTGTATTTCATAAATCGTACAAAACGTCTGAAGGCAGGTCAAGCAAGCGGAAATGGTATCCCTACAAACAAATACTCGTACATACAATTATTTTAGCACATGGGCTTAATAACTTGTTGTTGTTAAGATCGACTTTTACTCGAAACAATAAATTGAACAGTAGATGGCCGTGCATTCAATTTCAGTGTACACTGTAAGCCGTAAGGATAACTCGTTGTCAGTGGAACGGAAATAAAAATAAAGCCAACCAAACTAATTTTGGGATTTACAGTATGCAAAGCAATCTAAAACGGCTGTGCGGTTCTAAAATTTATGCGACGTTGTGCATAATTGTTACAAATAACCAGTAAGCGCCCACCCAATCGCAAGATTTTTATATTAAGGATTAAACCAACTAGCCATAACCATAAACAATGGCACTGTGCAGCGTTTTCATAACCGCTAATGCCACAAAATACGAACAAGCTACTTTGGACGATTCCACCTGATGAATGGCCGAATTTGGATTCTGACTGGAGGCAGAAGGTGATAAACTACTGGAACCAGGATTGACCGGTGCCACACTTGTGTCACCTGGTCTAACGGTGGTTGTCGGGGTGCAGCCAGAAAAGATCCCGGCATCGTTTACGTATACATTATTTCCCGGCGTCATGGGGTTTTTGCACACTGGGCATTCGGCTTTACCGGTAGCATTGCAAACACGTTGATAACCACCGCTCAGTCCATTTTCGTTTCTTAGCCAGGAATTCAGTTTGCTTAAACTGCAGCTGCAGTTCCATGGATTGCTAGCCAAATTTAAGTTCAAAAGACTGAGAGCAGTCGTGGCAAAATAGTTAACAAAATCTTCAGGAAATGTGGCCAACAAATTGTTCGAGAGATCCAGCTTCACGATGCTCGGCTTTTTCAAACTGTTAGGTATGCTTGTCAATGAATTGTAGTGAAGCACAATTTCCTAAAATTACGACAAAGTTTTTTACAAAGCATCTGTAATATGCATATTAGTTTAAAGTATCCCAACTTGTAATGTAACTAAGGTGTACTTGCCGCTTGATCTAATTAAGTCACGTAATAAAACATAAACAACACTGAACGTACCTTAAGGTTATTAGCTTGTGCAAAGATAGCATCATCCAACTGGGAAAGCTTATTTCGCGAAAGGTCAATCTTTTCTAGACTGATTGTGGAATTAAGCGCCTCAAAGGGAAGGTTATTTAATTGCATACCGGACATTACCACTGTTCTCAAACGGCTTAGGCCTTGAAGAACTTTTGTTATATCTGGAACAGCATTATCGCTTAGATCAAGGAAATACAACGATGACGATAATGGCAGGAGAATTTCCGGCTCCAAAACGGTTAGGTTCATTCTCGCCAGTTTGAGCGATTCTATGCTGGCTCCCATGAAAACATCGCGAGGTGATACACGGTTCTGGTCAATTTGCGCGCCGGTAAAATCCAATTCTGTCAAGTTGAACTGTCGAAAAGCACCACTCGTAAGGTGGTCAATTTTGCTTCCGCGAAACTTTAATACTTTCACTTGTGGAACAATTTTGGAAAAGTCGTTGGATGAAATCTTTATGGACTTTGCCATTGAAAAATCCACTTCTCTCAGGCCGGAACAGTTTACCCAACTTCCGTAATCGATATTGGGAGCCAGGTCCAGCGCAGCATTGCGTATTAAGAAGTGTCGGACGGCCGAAAAGTTGCTGCAGAAGCTGGAGGGAAATTCGCTAACGGTATAAGACGGGCAGCTAATGCGCGGTTGATCTGATATCGTTTGCAAACTGACGTCAATTTCCTGCATCATAAACACAGTTAACGTCGTTTATAGTTTACTGTTATGGTCATCACGGCTCATACGGACATAAATTAAATGTATTGTACTATAGGCACAGTATGTACACTTATTCACAAGCTACCTGGACCATGCCGCCTGTGCTAAAAATAACTTATAAGGAATCAAAATCTCAGATTTACAGTACGAGTAAATCGTACTTTTATTAATTCGTATGTGACACAACAGTACAAAATTATTTTCACGGCTTTATACCTGCAGTAGAGGAACGTTCACATTTTTTGCCAGATCAATCAGCAGGTTTTTAAAATTCCCGAAACAATTTTGAGATATATTTAGCACTTTGAGGTTGGGACAGTCCAGTTTCATCGGAGGCGTCCATGCTGTTATGCCGGTGCCGACAAGGGAAAGCAGTTCCAGTCGCGGCAGACCCTGAAACCACGATTTGGTGCTGTCACCTGCGTCCGGCGGTGTGTGTAAATCCAAGTTGTTGTCCAGAATTAAGGTTTTTAAATTTGGTAGATATCCAACAAGAGCTGCATATACGTAATATTGTCCAGAATCTTCACCGTCATTAAATTTTCCGCTCAACACATCGCTGTTCACCCCGGCGTTTGTAAAATTAATCACAGATAGCGTAGATTTAATTTTATCAAACATGTATGTTGTAGTAGGTGAGTCCATCACGGTTTGTCGTGGACTTAGTTTAACATCCACGAAAGTAAGCTTTTCCACACTTTTTCTTTCGAACATATCGGGACGCAAAGCAACGGTATTATTTAAAATGTCTGCATTGCCCTTTATGTAAATTTCCTTTACATCGGATGTTAATTTCCGCAGCAAAGTGGAAGCGGTGCTGCTAAAAAGTTCACCAAGTAGTTGAGTGCCGTTTCCACACTTGAAGATTTTCCATTGCACGTTCCCTTCACAGCGGCACAAGTCAGTAACACTAGGTGATGGAGCTTGATCTGAACTCATACAGTCGGAAAGCAGCATCCCGTTAACGAAATAACTGGTTTTCAGCAGTGCAAGCACGGCAATGACAAAAAGCGCTGAGCACTTTTTAGTTTTCATTTTGGATGGTATGATCGACGTCGGATAACAATAAAAATCAAAATGCGAATAATAAACGAAGCCCGAAAATATTATACTAACATACGTACTATATGAAAATTTGCGTAGCGGCAAAACATGCACAAGCCCAGAACAAATTTCCAAATTACCAATAAGCTAGATCACTGACGTACATACATTACAACAATTGTGACAGGCGGTGTAGTTACTAAGATTTTAAATGCAAAACGAAGAACTTTTCAGGTGCGTGAGTGTAAGCTGAGCTACGAGTATATCTTTATGCCTTCAAGTGATGTCGCATAAATAAGCTGGAATATCCTTATCAGCTAAATGATTTGTTGTAGTGCTCAGCTTGGATGAAAGTAAATATGTTCGGACAAGTTTTAGTTGAAAACAATAAATTATTCCGTAATAATTTATTACCCTTATAGTTATACCATACCTAGTCAATGTGCAACCTTCCACACCCATCCATCGGTATTTACTTTTACTGGATAATAAACGTATGGAGATAAAACATACGAAATGTCTATAGATCGCTCTGGGTCATAAAAATTTGGATTCGCTTATTTTCTACATAAATTCGTTGAGTTAAGCGTAAAGCTAACACACACAAATGACACCGGCTACACATTTCCGCATGTAGAGTACATGTGACAAAATACCTTTGAAACTGTACATGTTTACGCTTTTTATGGTATTTACTTTTATTTCAGTTATGATCATTTTGGAATTGATTTAATTTTGCCGGTGCAAACGTACTCTGCCAGAGCGAGTGCGGTCATGCTGTGAATTACTGTGTTACGCAAAACACTTAAAATGAAATACGTTAGTATATCTATATATCTAGGAACGCATATAGTATAGATATAGATATAAACTGTTTCTTTCGGCTAATGTTTTAGAACCATATGCATTCGAGTGAATTTCAGTTACACACCAATATACATATAAGTGAAAGGTGCAAAACAGACATAATTGTTTCATTCGTAAACAATAAATGACGGCATAATAATGTTAACATTACATCACGTAATCCATTTTAGTGCCATGGAAAACAATAATGCAAAATAACAATACTCGTACAATTGATAGTTGTGGTGGAAGATTTCATAATCAGGCAAAAATACAAAGCTGCATTAGCAAATCCATTTGCGAATCTCGAAACCAAATTTTTATGACCCACCACGGTATAGGCATTATGCTTTAATTTGACTCCACACCTTTATGGTCCAGTAAAAGTACATATTATAAATATCGATCCCTACGGGTACCTTTAATTCTGATAATTACCTACAGATACTATGGACCTGTGGTTGCAACTGTACACTTCATTCGTTCTGTTCTCCCAGAGCACGGTGCTGCTTGTGCGCACGTTTCACATAATTTTGATAGGCTAGTGTTATTGGTGCACGATAATCAATATAGATATACCAAAATATGTTGAAAACAAACCGGAAAACAAAAGTACTCGTATTCTTTTTGTTTTCTTTTTTGTTGTACTATCTTGCAGTTGCCGATTTGTTGATATTTTACAACCGACAACACCCACTTAGTTGCGTCATTTTGGCATCCACCAATGACGGTCGGTGTGCACAGCTGGCAATCAGCTGGTTAGAATTGCCTACGCCATAATTTTTTCTTGCAGTCGTCCCGAAGACAGCACTCGATCGTGTCTGCGCGGTGTTTACCATTAATTGAGCTATTCAAGGTCGAGTACTGGAGAAGATATACAGTAGTTTTTCCCCTTATGCCAGAAAATGTTTGCCCGTAAATTAGCTACCCAGGTTTTACGACGCGCTCAGGGAGCTTCCCTGAACGTGTTGACGAGAAATACGGTAGCAACAGCAGCCGCTCCACAGCCTATCCAAGAGCCAGAGATCCATTTCAACAAGGTGGGCAGATTTTGTTTGACTCGTCAGACACATGGTTGTTATTCTCGTAATCTGAAACTTTTGTTTCCGGTAGATTTTCATCAATAACGAATGGCATAATGCTTCTTCGGGAAAGACCTTCGAAACCGTCAATCCATCGACGGGAGTCAAGATCACGGATATTGCCGCCGGGGATAAGGTTTGCTTTGAAATTTTGAAATCCTTAAGTGTCGCACGCACAGTAGTTTTCCTGAAACAACCCTCTATTGAAAGCATTGCTTTTTTAATAACAAGGTTAAATGCAGTATTCATGCTTTATTTTAAATAAATCTGAAAATAATCAACATGCGTTATACTTTTCATTCACTACATGGACACCAGCCCTTGTCAACTCAGTGGCTGAACTCACCTGTTTTGTGCGAGCTATTTTCTCAACTATTGTGTACGGGGTGTTTTCACAAAAATGTTGTACTATCAGCCATTGCATTTCCGTATATTATGCTTAGGTAAGATTTCCTTACGGAAACCGTCGAGCAGACTTTTGTGAGCCGTGAGCGACTTTCCGTTTTACCCATAGAATGTCTTTTTGTGGTAGCATTATACTCGTATGGTTTTATTCTAATTTCCAGCGCGACGTCGACAAGGCCGTGAAAGCAGCAAAGGATGCCTTTAAATTGGGCTCTCCCTGGAGACGCATTGATGCGTCTCAACGCGGTCTGCTCCTCAATCGCTTGGCGGATTTGATTGAACGTGATCGTAACTACCTTGCGGTAGGCGCACTACGAGTATTGCACCAGCACCTAAGATTGTACATGAGCAGTAATTCATCTGTTCTGTTGGTTTAAAGAGCCTCGAAACGCTGGATAACGGGAAAACCTATGCTAATTCCATGGCCGTCGATTTGGAGCTGACAATTCGATGCTATCGCTACTACGCTGGATGGGCAGATAAAAATCACGGAAAGACCATTCCTCTCGGTGAGAAAAATGCACTTTTTGGTCAGATGAATTTTCCAGCAGCTGCCCAGCGCTACCAGAAATACTGTACTGCAAGCTTATTTATCGTATTTGGTTAACAGTGACTTCGTAATTATTTTGTGCCAGAGCAGCTTGATAATTAATTTTGTTAGTCGGTCAGTAATTTTCAACGTGAAGTGGTAGTTTACTGGGGTTGGTGGTTCGAAATTAGCTTTATGACATTTGCATGCTACAGGCTTTCTCTGAAAATTTTTTGAGAATTGTGCATTATTTTGTGCATGCCTAGTGACAAAGCATGTCCCTGCCAATCATGGTAGAAAATAAAGCGATGCTGTTGGGAAAAATGCATTTTGTTGTCTCTATTCAAGTACGAATGACGCAGCAGTAACTGTAACTGCCTAGTAGTCCCTACCACCTGCTGGGTAATGTGAACGTGTTGATTAACTGCTTTTCTTACACACAGTTTGACTTGGGGGCTTCCTTTGTAAATAATTACCTGCTTTGCTTTGAAAGCGGAATTTTTTGGTACGTTCAGGTTTTGGATGAATCCATTTCTGTACCCGTTATCCTTAAACAATTCTGTTGTGCTACACGTGCGAAGTGTGCCGATGAATGTCTACTTTAAACGATACTGTACGGATGCAGTATGGTGGCTACAATCGGGTGCTGCAAATTAAAACCGGCACATGGATTACTGAAATTAGCAAGAAAAATTTTAAAACAACATTGTTTTGTTCATTGGTTAAATTAATTGATAGCTGATAGTTTGTTATCTTGTAGTGTGCAGGTTTGCTTGAACAGCTGGTCTGTGCATTGTGGTGGACAGTTTATACCTGTAATTGTGTTCTACAGACGGAAACTTCTTCTCATACACTCGCCACGAACCGGTTGGTGTTGTTGGACAGATCATTCCTTGGAATTTTCCTTTGCTTATGCAGGCCTGGAAGCTTGGGCCGGCACTGGCTATGGGTAACACGGTTGTGATGAAACCGGCCGAGCAGACTCCGCTGACTGCACTTTATGTGGCTCAGCTGATTGCTGAGGTGCGGTTAATACTAACCGAACAATGCAAACGATATCGATTGCGAATGTGGTATGCAAAGCAGAGACACATTAAGAACATTTTTGCTTAGGCCGGATTCCCAGCCGGTGTTGTCAACATCGTCCCTGGGCTGGGGGAAAGCGCAGGAGCTGCAGTATCATCCCACCCTGAACTGGACAAAGTGGCTTTTACCGGCAGCACGGAAGTCGGTCGTAAAGTCATGGTAGCAGCCGCCGAGAGCAACTTGAAACGTGTGACATTGGAATTGGGTGGCAAGAGTCCCACCATCGTGTTTGCCGATTCGGATTTGGACAACGCACTGGCCCAGACTCACGAAGGGCTTTTCTTTAATCATGGACAGTGCTGCTGCGCTGGATCTCGAACATTTGTCGAGGGAAAGATCTATGATCAGTTTGTTGAACGCGCCGCGGATTTAGCTAAGAAGCGAGTAGTCGGTAATCCCTTCGATGCACAAACAGCCCAAGGCCCCCAGGTATATTACACCTTTTTCTCGCGTTGGTCAGTTTTGGGGTTTCGCGTATTTACAAATCGCTCATGATTAGATTGACCAAGAGCAGTTTGACAAAATTCTTGGCCTGATCGAGAGCGGGAAAAAAGAAGGCGCAAAATTAATTGCGGGAGGCAAACGCCATGGTGACCGAGGTTATTTCATCGCCCCGACTGTTTTTTCCGATGTCAAGGATAACATGCGCATCGCTGTCGAAGAGGTGCGGTAATAACAAGTGATATTTTAGCTTTTTTTGTTTCTACTAAAGAAGTGGGTTTTTTTCTTATACGCAGTTTTCGATGCTGTGAAAATATCAATGACTTGCGTGTTTAAGAAAAAATTTTTGGTTCTTGATAGATTTTCGGCCCAGTCCAGCAACTTTTGCGTTTCGATAACATGGACGAACTGGTCGAACGCGCCAACAACACCATCTACGGTTTAGCTGCCAGCGTTATGACCAAGGATCTGGATAAGGCACTTTATTTGTCATCTGCTCTGCGCGCTGGTACTGTCTGGATCAACTGCCACAACGCCTTGGGGTCCCAGGCTCCTTTTGGTGGCTTTAAGCAGTCGGGCATCGGTCGCGAGCTAGGCGAATACGCTCTTGAAGCATATTCTGAAGTGAAAACGGTAAGTTGCAGTAAAGTCTACGGGCACCTTTTGCTTTGCTTTGTTGCACTGGTCATTCAGGTTATGAAGCTGCAGTTTGTTTGAACTTATTAATCCTGGTTTACTGCGCATGTGGAAGGCTATCAGTGGCTTACAGTACTTTACAGTTTACATCGACTATGGATACATATAAATAGAGCATACTATCATAGTCATTTGAAATTTAATTTAACATATATATTTGGACTTGTTTAATGTAGTGTTTATTTAATAGCAGGCTTTCTGCTGTAAGTGTGCACAACTCTCCTCATCATCTGTATTGTTTGTTGTTTATTTTAGGTCACTATCGCTGTGCCGAAAAAGAACTCTTAGAAGTTTAAAAGTCTCCTTGGAAGTCTTTGCTTTTCCAGTTCTTAGAATTGACACCTAAAAAATACGTTCAGTTTCTCTAAGGTCGTCGGTGATGGCTCACAATAGTATTTGATTTCGTCGTAAAAATTATTTTTGAAGTATTACTTAACGTTGCTTTCCCGTTATGATTACTTGTATAATCTTTGAATAATTTCTGGAAATGCCATTTTGTGAGGTTTTTCGCATGAACTGAATAAAACACCGAAAGTGTGCGAATTGAATTTTACGGTCGAAATTTGTAAAGTCAGCGGCTTAGCAATGCGATGAGGACTACGCCGTTGTAGAGTGTGGGTGATTGTGTGAAGAGGCCGGAAGTTGGGTGTTTGTATTGTTAGACTAAAGATCGCAATCCAGCTGTGAGTCAAACTCGTATTGCTTTAAAAAAGATCTTTGTCACGATGGCTTCGTGCATTTCCGCACTTATGTTGGAATATAAAGTACCCCTGCAACGATCCGGTTTGTGAGGGGCGTTGTGTATGTTCATCTCATTATCATATGCGAGCAAGTTTTTCGCAGCAGTTTAGCCGGCGGCACCGCGCGAATTTGCTTGCAATATATATTCCGCTGGTAAAACTCACGCTCACCGAGTAAGTTGCTAACATGGTCCAAAAATAAACTTGTTGGACCATCACAGACTCGTTGCAACAAGCACTGATCTGAGACGATTTTACAATACGATCTAGAAAAAACATGCAACTACTATACAGATGGTACAAAGTATTCGGTCGACAAACATAATTTCAAAGTGGCTCACCCACCCTTTTATGCCGAAGCGGCCAATGATGAGATTGTAAGGCTGCTGACATGCCCAAATTACTCGGCTGCATAATCTTTGGAGCGGTATAGGAGCGATATTAATCAGCCGTAAGACTGCCTATTTGTCAATGGAAATTATTTTTCTTTGGCCGTAACGGAAATTTTGAGGTGCAAAGGTGTGCTACATTACACTTCTATCGCCGTAATTTAAAGCCGTAGGTGGGCTACTTCGAGCGCAAAATACTTTTCCGCTTTCGACTAATTCGTGCGGTAAGGTAGTTCATATAGACATATACACGATTTATTTTACAAATTGCTATTGGAAGACAGACAAATCCTCATACCGTATCCACCGTTAATTTTGTTTAGTTAACGGTTTATTTTTATGTCTCTTTCACAGTGAGCGCCTCAGGAAACACTATTATTTGGCCACCCGAAAATGACTCTCCAAGAGATTTGTGAAGTTATTATAGCCTTTTTCCTACCACCATTAGCAGGTAAGTCGGTTCGAGGTCACATTAAAGTCGTTCCATCACTACGAATAGTACATATGCAGGTTAAAATCAGTCAGAAGAGCGGATGTAAAAATTTCGTCTTATAATAGTAGTAAAAATGGTAGTAAATTAAAAAAGCACGGATTACTTGGTGTATACGGACTGAAGGACTTAATTTTATGAATTTCAGTAATGCGTTTAACGACGGTAATGGCAGTGATATTTGCAGGCTTGCAGCTAACTACGAGTAGGTACAGATACCTATCAAATATCAATACTGTATTTATGAAACATTTTTAAAAATTGAGTTCTTTTATAACTGTTTTAGTCCGATTGCTAACAGATTGTAAAAAAAACAAAACAGATTCTGGTGCCAAAAGATACGTACATGCATGCAAGTGCGCTGTACTGTATAATACACGCTTACATAGAGTAGCTGTTATTTAACAAGGTATGGTACAAGTAAATAGTACTATTGTAAATAAAAATACATGTAATTAATGCTATGAGTGTATTGTGCACAGTCGCTTCTCATGTTAATTGGGACAAATTCTTTATCTGATTATATATACTGAGTGGCGCTCGTTGATGTGCATATTGAAAAATAAATCATTTTTAATACATGTATAGAAGTATTGTACAGACAGTAGCTCCGCTAGCAATATTTTTATGCAAAATAGTGGAGCAATTACCGGTACTTCCTGTTTTTTACAATTAAAAATTTACGAGTATTGTCATACCTACCTGTACTACAATATTACTAGCAAGTAAACATTTACCACCTAATTTAAACCCATTTGGAATTTTTGAAAAATTTTATGTTTATTATTCATGGTGAAACGAGATTTGCCACTTTAAATGAATACCGACGGTACGCATTTTATTTAGTGGCCTTGCACAAAGGAATTGGCAAGGATTTTTGGATCAACTTGTTACTGACGTGCCTGATTTGGATTCCCGGTGAGCTGCACATTGTCACCAAAGATAACAGTTTATACATACCGTAACATACGTATTTAAGACGAATAAAACCGTACTGAAGAATAAAAAATTTAATCGAAGTAATCGGCACATTTTTAAGATCTTGCAATATCGAAAATAAAGTAGTCGGAAGTGTATTTCAATGCACTTCTGAATCGGCGCAGTAAAGACTTGCCTGAATAAAATTACGTAAAAGAAGTACTAATTAATTTTGTTTTGTAAATATTAGGGATCATCCATGCGCTGTACGTAATCTGCGCGTCATAAATCGACTCCACTTGGCGATGGGATACCACGGCGCCGAGCGAGGCTCACACTGCCGATGGATGAACAATTCCTACCTTTTATCCAAACTATTTTTAAGGCTATATTACTGACTTCCGTAGTCTCTTCAACTAACAATAAGTGCGGTTCGATATGCTTCCCGTACGACTAATCTTAAAGATCAGTGCGCGGCATTTTTATAACAGTTCATGGCTTTTCAGATTCAGATTCAATCTAACAATTTTGAAAATCGATTCGAACAAGTAGATGAAACACCAGAACAATGCTGACCGCGATTTGCAATAAAAAACATACCATAAATGCATAGTTCTACTAGAGCGAATCTTGAAGCGAAGCTTGAATATCAAAAATATAAAACAGTACACAATCACATATGCAGTCAGCTTCATTAAAACCGAGATTCTTTCTCTACCGAGAGCAATCTCTACCAACACATTTCAATTACCTATCCGTAGGCGCCTCCTAGTCCTCAAGCAACGACACCGAGATCAATCATCATGATCACCATCGTCAGCAGTCAGACAAATCGTCGTTTCTTTCTGGATTTTCTCCATAACCGATATCATGGTCTCCATTAGAGTTTCTTCCATGACCAATTAATACTTCCGGCGGCAACCGCAGCGGATTTAATTCCTCTGTACAGGCAATTTTATGCGCTAAGTTTCCGCAACTTTGAGGAGGGACTGCCGGTGCAAAAGGCGCCACATCATCACTGGCCTTTCTACTCGGCTTATATACGTGCTGCACATGAGCCTGGAGGACTTTAACGAGATCGGTGTTGTCCTTCACTATCTGGGCGGCCACTTGATCACAGTTCCTGACGAAATGCATCAGAAATCCGAGATCATATCCATTGCATAGAGTGCGTAGAGAATCAACCGTGGAAGACGGATCGAAAGCACACGCCATGACGCGATAGATGCGCTCAAAATCGATGGTGTGGTCATCCACCGGCTCTCCGCTGACGTCCGGAGTTTCAGAGATTTCCAATATGGCCTAGACATATATAAGCCCACTAAAAATTCTGAACAAAAACTTAGAGTATTGTTACCTGTTTAATATCTGGGAAAATTTTTTCAGATTCCGCTGACTCCTTTTTGCTGCACGCTCGTATGACAGCCTCTCTGCAGTTCTGTAACAATCGGTGTGTTGGCCGTTGGGTTACATATTGTTGAAGCATCTCCAAACATTAATAATCTGAAAACACATACCACAGCATCCATTGCCGAAACACCGAATCCCAGATCAAACTCCGAAGACAGTGCAATTTTACGGGAATTTTGCCGCAAAAGGCGCAAAAACTCCGAAATCTAGAAGCACGCAATAAATACCATGCAATAAATTAATGAGTACCACTAATACCAGCAATGATTCTCATTTCAGTTTTTTTCGAATTCACAACACGACAAAACAACGTGCAGTTACGTCACACGCTACTGTGGTACGCACTTAAAATAAATTTTAAAATTTAATATTATTCAAAATAAGTAATAAAATATATCAGCGTAGGACCACAAGTAAGTGCATACCAGAAAGCAACCAATTGATTACTAATTAAACTAAGCAATAGCAAAATCCAAATTACTTACATCTTGAACAGATCTTGATGGCAGATAATTCTCGTAAATTGCCTGTGGACTGGCATCCAGGCCGAGCTCCTGCAAAGCTTTGATCAAAGCACCTTTCTCCTCCTCTTTGAAGAAACTCAACCAGGCGAAACTCTTTCCATAGTCAAATTTTATGTTTTTTCGCTTTGTCAGACGCTGATACGCAAAGTTGTACATTGCACCCGATTCTTTGTCGACGGTTTCCCGTTGATTCTGTTTAAGCGTCTTCGGTCGGCCACGAATACTTGCAGGTTTCTTTGCTTTTCTGTTACGCTTTGAAAGCTTATGTGATGATTCTTGACTGCCCTCGTGGCGAGGCAGTTCGGAAGCGTCATCAATTTCGTCTTCCAGGTTATTTTGTCCATCAGCAATTGATACCTCGCCGCTCAGCTGCTGTACAGTTTTCTTTTGTTTCCGGCGACGCTTTGGTTTAGTTGTTGAGGAGCCTAAATTTCCACTTGGTCCAGGTCCGAGAGAGCCATCCGAAGGAGCTCCATCAAGATTTTCCAGTAATTCGTCCATTGCAGACGCCTGAGACAATATGAGACATACTGGTACACTCAAACTAATGAATTATTAATGAGTAACGATTTGTGTCAACCACCCGATTATTGTACTCACTGGTGCAAGGAATCAGTAGCAACCAGTTCTTCTCTGTCTTTGCTCTTCTTGGGCTTCCCGAACGCGTGAGTCACATTGACGAATTCCGAATAAGCAGAACTCCAACCCTTGCAATAACCCTAACTGTAATAGACAAAAAACTCATCGTTAAAAAAGCCCTAAAAATTGAAAACTGCCAGAAGTCGAAAAAACTCAAAAAACCCATAATTTTTTTTACCAGCTTTTAAAAAGTAAGAAGAAAGTGCGTGAATGCCAGACGCCTAGAGCGGCGACTGCGTGATCAGTATCAGGAAGCGGTGTTCATCGCATAAGGAAGTTTCCGAGTCAAATCTGCCCATTGCGAGTTGCAGACTTGCAGGCGAGATCTGCATTCTGGTCTCTCAGTCTCAGTTGAAACGATCTTCTTTTTTTTCGACTTTTTACGTGTGCGTGAGCCCGAAGCGTTATTTAGCGGTTTCATTTTCCGTTCTTTAGTTATCTGTTCATTTACTTGGAAGAAAGCCAACGAGGACCTTTTCTGGCAAACTGTTTCTTGGTGGTTGGGCGCTTCTGGTCAGCGTTTGTAATGTTGAACTCAGTAAACTGTATCCAATACGGAATTTGAGCCTACTGACTACTGCTGGTAGCCCGTAGCCATCAGAAACCGCCACCCACGAAACCAAAACCGAAGTGAACAAAAACAACAACATGGCCAATGCAGCAGGCAAGGCTGGTCGACAGCTGGAGGGCGAGAGTGACACAAGTGCGAAGAAACGCCGTTATGGCAGTATTCTGGTCGCTGCGACGCCGGACATCACGGCCAGTTCCACAGACGGAAGTGATGAGGGTGAAGTGTTGTTTTCCAGCGAGCGCGAGTGGAGAAGTTTCGCTACGGAGTATAACTGCCTTGTACGACTGGCAAATGTGGCGCTCCATGCCAAAAGCAAAGGTGCGGTTTTAATTTTTTTTGACTGAATTACTAATACCATGGTCTATGTATACTGATGTACCTACGCTGCTAATACGGAGCTTTTTTGTCTGTTTGTCACAAATACCATAATTTGTGATTAATTTGGTTTCCGGAATCTGCTGTTTTAAACTCTGGTGTAAGCTGTTCGTTGCGGGTGGTAGTTTTGACTCATATAGTTTTTTTATGTAGACGAGCCCATCATAGTCCACTTAAAGGAAAATCAGGAAGACAATGAATGGATGATCGTTATCGAAAATACCAAAGAATTTCCAATCGGATTAAAAATCAGTGCGTTCTCGGTCCATGACTTTAAGTACGTTGAGAAGCCACTGTTGATCATCACACCGACCGCCGAATTCTTCCAGCGTATCCTGGACAGTGCTCGCGCCATCGCTGGTCGCATTGGAAACAATGGCGACGCTTCGGCCCGCTGCATTCTCATTAGTTTCGATAAACGCTCATCTTCGAACTTCTTTGTAAGGTTTAAACGAAGAGTTAAAGAAGGGCGCATTCATGCTGAGAAGTTGCCTGAAGAGGACGAAAAGAAATACTTGGAGCAGGCCGGTGGCGCTGACGTCAGACTGGCCGCGTCTTTGTCGCAGTCGAAAGGTGCCCAATCTTCTATAGGCATGTCGAATTCAGAGCAGTTGGCACCGTCTTGCCCGAATCCATTCCACATCCTCGTTGATCTGCTTGGAGTAGCGGCATTTCTGGGAAAAGACGCGATGTTCTGTTTCGTGCCGTCCAAGAGAGTTCTGAAAATCTGTCCCAGTCGGTACGCTCGTCCCAAGAGTTGTATGACGGTTGACGTTGGAAAATTTGAATATTATCAGTATGACCACAGCACCGGCGCTTTGCGCATTGCCTTCAATGACATCAGCGCTGCTGCAGATATCGCTCAGGAATTGATTAAATTGTCTGATGCAAAAAATCTTATGGAGCCTGGTTCTAACAAATTGCTTTGCGGATCGGCTTTGCGTGCAATTCTGAACGAGAGTGTCAATCCTGTTTGGCTGCACGAGGTTTTAGCGGGGATAGGTATTCCTCGTGATGAACTGCCGAAGGATAGTTTGGCCAAATCCCTTTTTCCGCATATTAAAGGCATAGGACTTCCTCGTGCTCATCATGTTAATGGAACGTCAGTGAAAGGTCCATTGGATAATATTGTACCCTTGGATAACTTTCTCCCGCCCGAAAAATCGCATTTGAATCCTATTTCTGTCCTCACTGGCCAAAATAAACCCAAGACCAGTTGGCCTGCAATGGTTTCTGCGCCAAAGGATTTTCGGCAATCAAATGGATTACTACCGCCGTCAAACAAAGGTTCTCGCATGTTCGAAGCGTCTCAACATCAGACACTGCGTAAAGATACATCCACTGATGCACGAAACCATCGAAGTCTAAGTCGTCGGATTATACCTTCCGTTGTTTCGGCGGCAGACTATGTTCGTTCGTCGTCTGAGGAGGAAGGAAGAAATAGCTTACAGTCCGTTGGCAATAATGTGGCAGTAGGGCTGATGAAGCCGGGTGAATTCTCTTCGGCACCTATTATGGTTATGACCCAGTCGTCTGATTCAACGCAACGGTGCCCCGTTCCACTGGACATTAGCCTCGATACGCTTGGCGTGGCAGGGTTTCTGGGCAAGTCTGCTATGATTTCAGTCTAGCGAGAGAGGAGAGCTATTAAAATTTGTCCTAGCCCCGATAGGCGTCCAGAAGGTTGTGTTTATGTGGACGCTTGCGCTTTTGAATTTTACCATTATGATCACCGCTCCGGCGCTTTGCACTTGGCTTTCAGAGACAACCGAGCCGCGGAAATAGCAAAAAAACTTACTGAATTATCCGACGAAAAAGATGCTTTGGTTGGGGACCGAAGAATGAGTAAATTTCATGGATCGGCTTTGCGGGCGATTGTAAACGATGATGAGCGTGCAGCTGGTTGGATCGAAGCCGCTTTGATGGGGATAAGCGTTCGTCGTGGTGACCTCCCTACATGCGACCTGGCTAGCGCTTTGTTTCCCGGTTTTAAAGGTTTCGCATCTCCACTTGGACAGACCGTATGTCTTAAATTATCTTATTATAGTATTATTGTTTGAATTTCGCTAAATCGATTAAGTAATTGCTTAGAACGGCCAGAGAAATGTTGTTATAAGCGATTTTCCGGGTAAGAGATATTTTTAGAAAACGAAAAGTTTTTTCAGTTTTTCACATAGCTTCTACGGTAGAACCGCCCTAATGCCGGTCGTTTTAAAGTGTATCTTTCCATGTTTTTCTTCAGTGTGTGAATACGATGTCGTTTGGTTATAATTCGTAACAGCAGAAGCTACAAGGAGAATTAAAGTGATTAAAGATTTGCATTAAAAATTAAACAACCCATTATATACAGTACTTTTCATAAGTTTTCTGCGTACACAATCTGTATTTTCATTTGTACGTTAACATCTCTCTCTCTGATTTGAGTACAGACTGTACAGTATACTGCGTACGATTAATAGTACGATTTTGATTTGCGTTGATAACCTTTTTTTATCTTTAGATGCAGATTGTGATTATCACGTTAGTACACCGCCAACTTTATTATCTAAAGTTCTGAACAGTCCTTCCAATTCAACCTAATGCTCTGTGTTCACTCTCATAGCTCAGCGGCAGTGCATGGCGTCTTGAGCTTACAATTGTTAAAACACTTGTGTTAGTTCCATCCGCTGATTACCTCACAGCTCACTTGCTTTGATACGAGTATGAAGTTTTGGTCCCGCTTCTAAGTTTTCTGTTAAAAACATTTTTTCATTTTGAAACCGTCGTAGGCAGAGTAGTTAAGGATAATTTGCAGATTGCTACATCTGGTTCCATACCAGCGCCTGGGAAAGTAAACGGTGCACTGGTGTGTCCTGACGTGTTTATAATGGATTCTGCTGGCACCCGCTCGGTCATTAATGGCCGTAAAAACCCTACCAAACGAATTTTGATAAAGAATGGAAAGGTGGTGAACGATGATTTGGAATTTTTCGCGGATATATTGGTTGAAGATGGAATAATAAGGTAAAGGCATGTACCGTGCGGGAAAGCTGGATGTGCACGTCCTTGGGTAAATTAAGACTGGTATTAGGTAAACATGCATTGTAAAGTCTACGAAAATCTTGGTGTTTGTCATATCAATAATAATTATGATTTGAGTACTGTATCATGGTTATCATGATACCTTCTGGCTTCTAGCATGGTACATTACCATTACTATCATGTTCTTATCGTTCATAAATCATCGTATAAGTACAGAAATAGTCAGCGACTAATTATGGAACGTTACCAGCAGTTGTAATTTCTCACGTAATTTACCGGTACAACAGTACTGAACCCAGGTAAAGGTTACAGTCAAAATTTTATTTCACAGTTAGATTAAGTTATTAGATTAAGTTGTTTCTCTTCCTGTGAACTGCAAGAAAATACTTAAGTGATAGTGTGAATAATTTAATAAAAACATGGAGTTTGCTAGCAGAATTTGATTTTACAGTGCAGTGGGACCACAACTCGAACTACCGGCAAATACGACAAATACTGAAGTGATCAATGCAGAAGGGAAACTTGTAATCCCAGGTGAGCTTCCTGAAAATGTGGAATTTACAATATACAATGTAACGTCAAACATTTTATTTGGTTCAGGGGGCGTTGATCCACATGTCCATTTCCAGCTCCCGTTTATGGGCACATGTAGCATTGACGACTTTTATTCCGGAACAGTAGCTGCGGTAGCGGGAGGAACTACCACAATCAGTAAGAAAAACTTTGCTTTACGAAGTAGCATGTTTGTCGCCTAATACTCTAAACAGGCCGGGCGGACACTGAAATGTACTTCCATATTATACATAAAGACTGAAAATCTCACCGTCTCGTTTTATGCAGTTGATTTCGCCATTCCGACCAAAGGTCAGTCGCTACTGGACGCCTACAAACAATGGCGACAGTGGGCTGACGAAAAAGTGGTTTGTGATTATTCATTGCATGTTGCTGTTACTTGGTGGAAGGAAGCTCTGAAGGATGAAATGAAACTTTTAACGGAAGTCCATGGTATATAATTTTCTAATTAAAATTAATTAGGACGATAAAAGTACAAGTGCACATAGTATATATTTCGCGGTGAATATATTTAAATATATTTAGTATAAGTAAATATAGTGAATATGTTTAGTATATATTTAGCGGTGCACATAGTATATATTTGAAGTATATATTTAGCGGTAATCGTCGTTTTATTTTTGTTCTGTGAAAAGGCAAAATTTCGCAGACATGGTCCGAGTAAGGAAATGTTTAATTTTCAGGAGTCAACTCATTTAAGATGTTCATGGCATATAAAGATGTTTTCCAACTGGATGATGCAGATATGATTCATGTTTTCGACTGCTGCAAGAATATCGGCGCCATTGCCCAAGTCCATGCGGAAAACGGCGATATGGTGGCAGAAGTAATTGACTTCTTTTATTCAAACAGTGACAGCAGGCAAGAATTTTTCGTTCTTTAGAATGTCAGGCGTTTGTTAGCGGCTGGTATTTGTGGACCGGAAGGTCATGAACAATCTCGACCGGAAGAAGTGGAGGCAGAAGCCACAAACCGTGCTATCATGATCGCCAATCAAACGAACTGTCCGCTGTATGTGGTGCATGTGATGAGCAAGAGCGCGGCCATGTCCGTGGCCGATGCTAGACGTAAAGGCTGCGTAGTGTTCGGTGAACCAATTGCGGCAGGTTTGGCAACCGATGGACGGAATTATTACCATACTTGCTGGCGGCACGCGGCGGCTCATGTTCTGTCGCCACCGTTGCGTCCAGATCCTTCTACACCGGAATTCCTCATGAATCTGTTAGCCAAGTTAGTGCAGTATCTAATTATAAAAGTTCTGCCTAGTCGCAATGATTTGACCAAGGACTCATAAAGATTTCCATTCTGCTCCTAAAAAAGTTGTATTCCTTTCGGCGACTGAAAGATTCTCTGATCCCACTTTCATGTACAAAACAAACTCTTGCCGGCGTTTACAGCAATGCCGGGAGTTCTTCAATACCATCCATAAGGGCATACGACATTTTGCATAATTTACGTGCATAAATTTTTTAAATTGTGATAGATAGCGCTGTGACGCGATACCTATTTATGTCGTTTCCAGTGGCGATCTGCAGACTACCGGAACCGATCACTGTACATTTTCATCCGAGCAGAAAGCAATGGGAAAGAACGACTTCAGCAAGATCCCCAATGGAGTGAATGGAGTAGAAGAGCGCATGTCCTTGCTATGGGAGAAAGGAGTCCGAACGGGAAAATTGGATCACTGCAAATTCGTTGCCGTAACAAGTACCAATGCGGCCAAGATTTTCAACATATATCCACAAAAAGTAATTTAGGCTTTGCCTTTTTAGGCTTCGTTTGTAATACTACATGTTTCAAAACTAAGTGTGCACAGGGCCGTATTCAAGTTGGATCCGATGCTGATTTGGTTGTGTGGGATCCGGACGGATCAAAAACCATTTCGACTAAAACACATCATGCTGCGGTGGATTTCAATATTTTCGATGGAATGCACGTTCACGGTGTGCCGCGGGACGTTATTACCGGTGGCCGGATTGTTGTTCGGGATGGTCAGGTATACATCTTTGCGTGTTGTCAACTTGTCACGGTTGTTTATACAAGTACAGGTTAACACAGGTTAATAGGCTATCTGTAACCGTGATGAAATTGTTGAACTGTCAGTTTGAGTTTACTGTATAGGTTGCGTTTTCCGATCAGTTAGCTGATAAACAAATCAAAAAACTTTAAGCTGTAAGAGTTTGTTTTAAAACTCTTTCGCGTTTCAGCTGCTGCCACTTCAAAAGGGCACCGGAAAATTTGTACCGACGCTTCCGTATTCTCCGTACGTTTACAGCAGAATTCACCAACGTGATAAGGTGAAAAGATATTATTCTGTTATTTTGGCCAGTAGTTCTGCCTAGCGGAAAGTACTATACTTGTGTGTTTCCCTTGTATTGTCGCTCCGAAATGGTACCTTCATGAGTTGTACGGACATACTCGTATTAGCGTATTGGGCGCGCAGGTGTAACATGCAAATTTCTGTGTTCTCTTTTTTGCAGATTCCGAAATGGGTCAAAGTCGACCGCGATTCGGATCCGACTTCCAGAGTTCGTCACTTATCGGGTGGATCAAAAGCGGAAGGCCACAAACCGCTTCTTCGGGGGCTGTCTGACTATGTTGATGGTTGATATGTCAGACTTGTACGTTCCCAGACTTTGAGCGACTCATTTCTGCCAGATTAGTAGTATAATAGTACCTAATGCATTTCGTAGTTTATGATACTTAGTTTTTACATTCTTTTTTTCTTCCGCTACATTCGTACAAGCTATTACTGGGAGCCTCTTCCGTTTTCATAAAGTTGAATTAATTTCCCTTTTTAGTTGTAGTTTATGATTTTCTGTGTACCACATCTGGTGCGGCGTGATGTGCTTAATAATTGAGATTTTTAAAATTGTATAGCTTCATCTTTTGTCCAAGTTTGGGCTGCTTTATTGGTTCATTAAATTTGCAGTATACCCTTCTGTGAACTTTCTGAATCGACGACAATAATAACTAGAGTAGAGTATTATGAGCCATTTTACATGTGCCAAGTAGTAAATTCTAAAATGACAAATGAAGTAAGCACGAAGACAAGACATTGCAGCAGAGTCACCCTACCAATTTTCCTAGGCAGAATAATGCTATGCTTTTTGTTGGAAATGTGAGTTATTATAGTAAAGGAGAAAAATGGGCCTTGTGATCTTATCGTACTGATATAATATTTCTGTAATTTAATATTTTGCAGTGGCTTCATACCAGTTTGCGGACTAAAATTGTATCTAATTTTTGAAAAATCCAAAAACTTCCGACCTCCTCGGAGAGGCGGTATAGCAGGATTTAGCCAATAACTTCTATTCCCACAGATGTTCGGCCAAATGGTAATTGAAGTGCTTACTGTAATGATTTTATTCTTTGTTCATTTAAAATTTTAAACGATCAAAAAATTGTTATAAACTATAAAGTTGTGGTTTTGTTTTGAGTAAGTGTTATAATATTGTTATCGGACTATCCGTACACGATTCGTGGTCTTCGGGATCAGGACCAAACTAGGAGTATCGAGCGCTTGTAATCTGTGTGTTGGAAGTGTCAGCTGCTTGCGCCGCTACGGCTAATTGCAAAAATGAAGAAGACGGCCTCGAAGACCATTACAGGAAAGAAGCGAAAATATTCCATGAAGTCCAAGAGTACCGGTCTAGTGCAATCATCCGATCCAAAAATGGACGTTTCGATACCTATTGATCAAGAAGACATTGCGAGAGAGGCTGAAAAAGAAGAAGAAGTGGATGACGCTTTTGACGAAGGTTTCGAGCTTTTTGCTGATGGCGATGATTATCTGAAGGATACCTGGGATACTTCGCGTAACCGTCAGTCCAGTAAACGGAAAGCGGAAAAGGCCTCCAGAGATGATGAAAATGCGAATGATCGACTCAAAACCAAGCAACAGCGGAAAGTGAAGGCCAAGGAAACGAAACCAGCGGACGAAGACCTGCAAGAACCCAATCACGTTCCCGAGGGAACCCAAACGGACTTCACCTCCAGCACCATCGCATTTCATGTGAATATTCTTCCTGATTATTATCCGCTCAGTATGAATTTATGATTATTTATTTTACAAAATTTTCTGTACTTAGGAAATGAGTCTATCCAGGCCGATTCTCAAGGCGATTTCCGATATGAATTTTTCATCGCCAACTCCAATTCAAGCTTCCGCAATTCCTGTTGCGCTGTTAGGCCGAGATCTGTGCGCCTGTTCGCGAACGGGAACCGGTAAGGGCTCTCTTGAACCAGTTTTATCATATAATTTTTATTTGTTCACTTTTGTTATATACTCGTACTTTTTATTCGGGCATAATTTTTGCTTTTAAGTTTTATATCTAGTCCGTGGTTATTTTAAATTTAGGTAAAACTGCGGCTTATATGTTGCCTATTTTGGAACGGTTGCATTATAAACCGAGAGCGGATGTGGCCACACGTGTGCTTGTCCTTGTTCCCACTCGCGAACTGGGAGCTCAAGTTTATTCAGTTACGAAGGATTTAATTAAGGTATAGCGTTTGTCGAATTTTTCAAAAAGAATTTTTGTCGAGTTTGTATCCATACGCTGTTCATCAGTTTTTCGCTCCAGTATTTTCCAGATTATATCCAAGTTGCGCTGGCTGTTGGTGGATTGGATATGAAGAAACAGGAAAAAGAACTGCGGGAGAAACCGGATATTGTCATCGCCACTCCGGGTCGCTTGTTGGATCATTTACAAAATACACCATCGTTCGGGCTCCAGCAAGTGGAAATTCTCGTATTAGATGAAGCGGATCGGATGTTGGATGAATATTTCGCGGAGCAGGTGCTGTACATCCGTTTGCAATATCTTGAGCGATACTGGTGATTGTAATAATGTTTTTAACATTACGTAGATGGGCGAAATCATCAAAATGTGCGCTGCCACGCGACAGTCCATGCTCTTTTCGGCGACATTAACTGAAGAAGTTGAGAAGCTGGCAGCCGTTTCTTTGAACGATCCGGTACGCTTGTTTGTGGACGAAAGCGCGTCGGTCGCGGCGGCTTTACGCCAAGAATTTGTCCGAGTGAGAGAGGAGAATACACGAGAAGCGCTAGTGTTAGCGTTGTTGTGTCGAAATTTTACCGAACGGACCCTTGTTTTCATTCCGACAAAAGTCCAAGTCCATCGCTTCTATTTGATTCTAAAGCTGTTCAAGATGAAAGCTGCAGAACTGCATGGAAATTTATCGCAAATGCAGGTACTGCTTATCTTTATAGATTTCTTGCTTCTTTAGTCTATTTGCATTTTTTTTGTACTCGTACTTTTTTGGGCTTTGTACGTCCATTACTTACAATTAAATGCGCATTCCGCTGTTTTTAAATATAGCGACTAGCTGCGCTGGAAGAATTCAAGGAATCTCGAGTAGACATCCTTTTAGCTACAGATGTTGCCGCTCGTGGATTGGATATACCGTTTGTGAAAACTGTGATCAATTTGTCATTGCCAAAAACACTGGAACAATATATACACCGTGTTGGTCGTACAGCTCGTGCCGGGCGAGTTGGACGGTTGGTTGTCGTTTATCGTCTTATAATTTTCTTGTACATTAGTTGGTTTACAGGCGGTTTGTTTTTGCAGGTCGGTTTCTTTAGTCGGAGAAAACGAACGAAAACTATTGAAAATTATTGTTAAGAATGCCCGCTTGCCAGTTCAGAACCGCATTATTCCTCCAGGTATGTACTATGCTGCAGCTTCGACGGCTTGTTTTATTTTTTGTTTTTATGGATTGTATAACGTTAGATTTTGGCTATTGTAGAAGTCATCAGTAGCTATGTTAGCAAGCTGCAAGCCATGGAGAAAGATATTGAAGAACTGATGAAAACAGAAAAAGCTGAGAAGACTCTTGCTCAGGTCGCTAGCGATATTAACAAAGCGGAAAGGCAGTTGAGTGGACAAACAGTGGACGATAAACCAGGCAGGAAGGCAGCTATTCCAGGATTTCATAAGGGCAAAAGCAGAAAATGGAGGAAAGGTAAAATATAATCATTACGATTCATTAGTCTGAATAATGCAGCTGAAAAAACCTTCCCTTTTTGTTAGTACATTCTGGTTTGTTTAATAGGCTCTGAACCTGCAAAAAAAGATAAGAAAAAGAGCCTCAAAATGCCCTCCGATCCTGAGGACAAGTCTCTGTCTAAAGTACAAAAAGCCCAGGCTCACAAATTCAAGAAAGATTTCAAACCAAAGCGAACTCGAGCTTGCGTAGATGTGCCGAACTTTGGAAAACCGAAACCATCCACTGGTACGGTTCTGCCGCTCTGTAAACTTGGTGCTTTCTTTGCCAGTTTAATAAATTTGTCCAGCTTCTTCGCGCAATGTTTAATACTTTTACAGACTTATAGAAATGATGGCTGTAGTATGTACTAGGCAGTTAGGCAGTATGTACTGCCGGCAGGCAGCAGAAAAGAACAGCATCATAAGATGCCGGCAATAAAGGAATGTATTGTCCGTATTTCGCAGATTTTATCGTGAAAACTTTGTCTAGAGCCTTGTTTTAAGTTGTTTACAGTTGCATCGCATATTTGAAGGTTGCACTTACAATTTGTACTTTTGCAGTTGTTCAACCTATGTTCTTTTAGGTTCTAAGAAAAAGAAAGGCGGCAATAAAGGATCTACGTTTGCCGCGGATTTAACCGATACCAGGAAGAAAGGCGTCAAAAGATTGTTGAAAGCCGGTGGAGGCCGCCCGAGAGACCGTAAAGGCAAAACACGTAAAGGGAAAGGAAAGCGATGATTCTACACCCAGATTTCCACAACTTGCGAGATATCTTTGTAAATAGATTTCACTGGTCTGTTTGCGTCCACCTGGAAAGATTAAAATATTAAATGAAGCAAAGCAGTTTCCGGATTGCGGAAATTTCTAGTCGCCGTACCGTGTACAGTTTGTTGTGTGGGCCGTAATAATGGGCCAGTTCCGCTACACATGAATGAAACCATGTGAGACGGTTCTCTACTGCTTCATGCACGTCGTCCGGTCGTCGACTGGTTTTACTGCGATCTGTCAATCGGCTTTTCATGATTTCATCATCCGCCTCCAGTAAAATCACTGCTCGGGGAAACCCGATCTGTTAAGAATGCAATTAATATGACATGAGTGTTCTTATCTGTTTTACACTGGTTATCGTACTTCGCGCTCGTATTGCACGGCTTGGTGGAGATACCTGGGAAAACCATGGATGATAAACGGCTTGCTGGCCTGTTGAAGGCGCTGGGTCATTGTGGCTTTGAGGACGTACATCGCTTCGTCCTTAAATATGAAAGAAATCTTGATTATCCGTGGAAGTGATAGGCTGGCCGCTGGTAGCAGTGATCTGAGTCTGTGGTTTTTTTATGAAAACCATTAAACGTTCAGACCCCGTTACACTGACCATGGTGAGCCCGTTCAGGCGGAATTACTCGTGGGCGGGGTCACAGCGTTTAACGACGCAGTACTGTACTGGAACGGTCCATGCTACCTACTTCAGCTACCTAATTGTAAGTACAATTTTTTAGCATTACTTACCAAAGGGACCATTCCACCTTTGTCGTACGCTTCTTGCAACCTGTTAGCATGATCCGTCTGTCCTTTGCGAAACGTGTCCCTTATAGCCTGACCCATAGAAATATGGTGCATGTCGAAGTCTTCCGCTAACTGTTTGCATTGAGTGGCTTTGCCGGACCCTGGCCCGCCTGGAAAGCATCTCGGTGCACACAGTATAGTATATTTTTAGTTCAATAAGTTTATGCTAGTGGTGACATAAATGAGTTTTGATAACTCACCGATTACGAATATCACCGGTTCCCTGGTGCGTTGTAGCAGATTCAAATTCAGATCAAGAGTCGGCTGGTTCTGAAATATTACCTCATCGGCAGCTAACCATAAGTGAGCTAACAATTGATAAACGTAAACACTGTATTTCTGATAACACTGTTTCCTACGATTAGAACTTGGAAGTACTACTACGGAGTTCTACCATTCATATTTTAGATGCTGTTTTGGAATGTGATTTTAAGTTCGTAATTTTACGAAGGTACCTCGTCCATTGGCTGGCTTGTTTGCACCTTAACCGCACTGAGTATACTGAAGTAACTTTTATTGCAGGTTCCGTCTTCCGGTTAGCGCCGGCGTATGGAGTAAGAATAAGACACAAATTTCAGTTCACTAGCACAGTATGGCATTCCAACAATAAATAAATGTGTTAGTTCTACATTACCAAATTTGGCTAATACCACTGGATTGTTTATTTCCGTTTAGGTCATTTATCGTAGCTCAAGCAAAAACATACAGTGCACTTAAGTGAGAAACGTTGTGTTTTACCCAGCAACATACGCGATCGGCTGGAATAGGCAATCACACCGATTTTCGGAGCATACACGCACAAGCTACTAACTCTCCTTCAGAACCAATTACAGCTTTATTTACAATTGTTAAGAACGTTTTGGCTGCGTTAAAAATTAGAAATCTCAAAGCAGAAAGAACAGTCATTTCAGTGGATTAACCCAAGAAAACGCTAGCGACAGAAAACCGGAAGACAAACTGCCTGAGTATGAGAGAAAAGACATCGAAAAAGAGGATAATGGATACTGCGACTACTCAAATTCACATACACAAAAAACCAAAGCAATGATAAAAACGAAAAACTAACTGCACAAAAGCCAGATTTTTACAAACATCACGGCGTTTTCCCGCTCCTCAAATAAATAACTTTATCCGGAACTCTTTTTACAGATCATTTGCACTACTGGTCGGAATACCCGGAGTGGGCGTGGAGCCAGTACGAGGTGTGGAACTCGGTGTTGGAGAGCTGGCCGAGCTCAGTGTGTCCTCCAGAACATCATCCAGTCCGGGTATCAGTCCTGCCGGTCGCAGCACCAGAAAATTGAGAATATCGGATAGCGACATGACGCCGTGCACTTTTCCGTTATTGTCTGTCACAACCAATCGATGCACTTCCGCTTTGACTATGACATTCAGCACAGATCCCAACGTGTCCGACAGCGCGCATTTATGCACACCTTCGAACCATTCATTACGATGCTCCAGCGCCTGCTGAATGGTCACATCCAAATTGCTGTACGTCTTCTCCGCGGCTAGATTGATGACATCGAATTTGGCATAAATATCCACCACTTTGCCGTCGTGGTCGACTACCGGCAGGGCCGATACACGCCGATTGACGAATTTCGTTAAGGCGTCTATGATTTTACTATCCGGGGAGACGGTTTCGATATTCGAGTAAGTGCCAATCTGATCCTTCAGCTCCTCAAGAGTGCGGTTGAGAATGATGGGCAAGTGCTGATCATCGGTGGCTTCGGTGATTTCTCCCGCCACACTCAAACGCATCCACTGAGATAAATACAGCATGAGAAATTTCAGGATACGTTTGTGGGTCAGGATGTATAAAACGTTTCCGGTACCCGGATCGATCACGGGCAGGCGATGCACCTGTTAATGGAAAAATCTAATATAGGTAGCCAACCGAAGCGTACAACAGGATCACGCGTAAACAACGGTAAAACCGACTAAAGCCTTTCCCAGTGGGAAACATTCTATTCCTAGACGAGGGAATATTGTCGTTTCAAATCAAAACACCGTAACCCAATGAACAAGGAAAATGAGAAATTCCTGGTGGTACAGAATCGAGAATAAATGCATTCTGGACCATGAAAAAGGTTTCTAAGTAGTACTCAAATTTCATCTTCTTTAACGAACGCGCTGACTGCTTACTAAAACTCTTTTTTGAGCGGAAACAGCTTGATAAAATAAAAAAGTGTACACTGAAATTCGAAGCAGTAAATGCTTCAAAAATCAATTCTTAAATAACCAGGTAATTTTCACACAGAATAACTGGGTTTCAAGTTTGACCACTATGCTGTAACCACTTCGGCGAGTTTAGGATGTTTTCATTGTTTTGGTTCATGGTTTACCTTATTCTGGATCAGCGTGCGCACAGCATCACAAAGACTAGCTTCAGGGTTAATCCATACGAACTGTTTCTGGTGATCCTTCAGCACGTCCCGCCATGTCTGAATCTTATGCTCCTCCAGTTCTTCCATGGGGATCGACGGGGTTCGGAAGTATTTATGGAGAATGGAGATGAAATCCGTCACAGTCAACATCCCCACAAACGTCTGCCGTGAGCTATCCCACAACGGGGCCGCTCTGACACCATTGTACACCAGAGCGAAGAACGCTTTCTTCACCGACAGCTGCGTATCGAAGACGACCAACTTGCTGCTGGTGGGGATCAAATCGTAACAGGTGTGCGCTTCCATAAACTTGGCGAAAACACCCAAACCATCGCGGTAAAATTCCGTGCCTTCTTCGAAGAGAATCTGATCGGCCACCGGATAGGCATGCACTTCTCCCTCTGCATCCCGATAGATGACGGCAGTGGGATTGATACTGGGAGTGTCTAGGCTCTTCTGGATCTGCAGTCGCGGCAGATTGGGATGACCGTGCATGGAGGTCGACACCGTCAGTCCCGCTCTGTCACCATCCTGATTGCTACTGCTGCTGCTACGGTTAGCCAGCACGGCTGGCTCCGAATATTTGCGTTTGTTCCGATTGGCAAAGCGATTTAGCTGCTTCTGTAGAGACATGATTTACGAAGATTCAGACCGATCTGTTCGACGTAGCACTTTCCCCAGTTCGTGTTATTTACGGCAAACGATTTTCGGATCAAAACAGTAACAAAAACTCAGAATGGCAAAAATATGAAGTGATCTCCGGATTCACGGCCACATTCCACTGTAGCCCAAAAACCACATGTAAGTATCCGCCAGATATATCGAGTCTAATAACTTTTTAAGACAACTTATTAAAAAATTAAATTCGGTTTTGAACAGAAATTAATTTAACCAAACGATAGTCTCTTCATTATCATTTATCAGCAATCAAAGATAAAATCAACACATGCCAAAACATCAGACTGATGAAGGAAGATAGACGAAACCCTGGATCGACACAAACACCAGGCAGACACCTACGATTTCGAAGTCCTTCGAGATAACCGCACATAATGCGGACAGTCAGCTGACCCTTTCAAGGGGGGGCCAGTGCTGCCGTCTAGCAATTTTGCATGCCTGCTTTTATGGCGCCGATGGGGCGCTTGATGGCCTTACTGGTACTGCCTGTGCCACTATCGATTTTAATTTTAAAATGTTGACATTTCTTCGGAAATACCGCTCTTGCAACATTACGCGGCGTTTTTTGTGGGTGTTAAAATTATCAGTGCCGCAACAGTGTCATTGTTCATTGTTGTGTAGAACAACTTCTGTTTTATTCTTAATTTACCAGTAAAAAGTTGTCGGAACACTCCTAATTGCCGGAGAAATTTCTTCAGCAGTTAACATGGCAGCAGCATCGGGATCTGTCTTTGCTTTTCTGGGTCCCTTGGAAGCATGCTTTGCTTTGATCGGAACACTGATTGTGATCTCTTTTGTGATATGCACGTTGTATTTCTTGGGGAAGAACATTTACGTGTTTTTCTTTGCTGAACGCCTTGGGCATACCGTGGATTTCAAGAATCTTGGAGAATGGGCTGGTATGTGTATATCTGAGAAAATTTCAAGGTTGCAACTTGCAAGCATGGCGTACATACCAGTAAGTGGCATGATTGTTGAGTGTGCATGACGCATTGGTTTTTTAGTTGTGACGGGGGCTACGGATGGGATTGGGAAGGGATACGCTCTGGATGTAAGTGGCATGGTTGAGTATACTGCTTCCTTTAAATGGCAGATGCGGCAATATATCCTGCCTTCCAAACTTGGAGTGGTTTACACTGAACGCAAAAAAAATAGAAATATTAATAGCGAGTGGTTTGAGAAAGGACGTTTAATGTATCTGATTTCACGTTCCAATCGGTAAAATACCGTCACAATGCAGTGAAGTGCACAGTGTTGTTTCCATTTTGGATTTTACGTTACGTCGCTGTATTGGCAGATTGGTTATTTTTTTAATTTTCTGTAAAAATAGAACATTTTGCCCTTCTGTCAAATTACAGCTTGCATGTAGACAGTTGAAGATGTTGACATTTTTTTTTGTCTTCAGTTGGCGCGGAGAGGTTGCAACATCATTTTGATTAGTCGGTCGGAAGAGAAGCTGCGCAATGTTGCGAAAGAAATTGGTAAGTTCCGATTTACCGTAGAATAATTTCACCGTAATAATGCCCGGCTTTGCGGTATAGAAAACCTTATAGTACTTATGTCTTCGAATCGAACACATTCTTACAGAAATGTCAGTTTTCCGAATTGTTCTTTCAGTACAAGTCTTTTGGATAAAAGTATAGCTTTTTGACTTTTTACGCACAGCTTCGAAGTATAATGTGCGGACACGCATCGTTGTGGCCGATTTTTCTTCGGATGAGACGATCTACGACAAAATTAAATCGGATCTCGAAGGACTGGAAATTGGAACGCTGAGTACATTTAACCAAATTTATTGCTTATTCATTGCTATTTTCTAAAGTTCAGCCGGTCTTAGTTAACAACGTTGGTGTGGGTGCCCCGTATCCGGAATATTTTCACAGAATGGTCGGTGGCGATCAGACTGCGTTGAATATGATTCGCGTCAACTGTGTCGCACAGACCTTGGTAAATTCGTTTGTTGTAATTTGTTAAATTTTTCTGGGTAATGAGTTTAATTCTCAGATGACGCGGATTATCTTGCCGCAAATGGTCGCTCGAAAGAAAGGAGTCATTGTCCACTTGTCTTCTGGTGCCGGAAGTGCTCCCGTTCCTATGCTTGCCGAATATTCCGCCACGAAAGCATTCAATGATTTCTTGGGACGGGCGTTGCAGCAGGAGTATGAGGACCAAGGCATTATTTCTCAAGTTCGTATCCGAGCAGACTGCCTGCGTTGCAGAAATTATGGATGTATGTCTGTCTAGGAACGCTGAGCTGTGTGTTTTTCAGGTAATTATGCCTTACGTGGTGGCCACGAACATGTCGGGAATGAAGAAGACGAATTTATTTATTCTGGAATCCGAAAGCTATGCTCGAAGCTGCTTGAATAGCGTTGGATTTCTCCCGCGCACAAATGGCCACCCGTCCCACTGCATCCAGGTTAGTGGATGTTCGATGCAGATTTCAAAAGGCTTTTTGTACACACTTTAACTCCGTTGGGTTTATTTTGCAGAACTGGTTAGGCTCGATGATTCCCTACTTTTTGCGCGCTAGATTGATGCGCTCTATGATGGAAAAGTGGCGAGATATGTCGATTGCTAAACTGAAAAAGAAGGGCGAATATAAAGGCGAATAACTTGAACGTCTGCAACACCTATAATTATTATTATTGGTTTTTCGTTGAAGTCCGGTTTTTTGTGTTTGTGGTAGCCTCGACGTTTTCAGGTGTCAGACTTTTCTTTCAGCTCATCCTAATTGCAGTTTGAGAGTACCGGGTACGCTTGATTTTTTCGATTCCTTCGTATTTTTCTTGTTAGTGACATATTTACCACTGGAAGTCGCCACCTTGAAATTTGATTTTTCTCGGCGCTGACGGTTACGGGTGAGGGTTTTGATTGCAATAAATTTTTAGTGCTTCTGGAATTCGTGATAAAAGCGACGTCAACAACTCTACTATCATAGTGCAAGTGACATTGTCCAAAACGTTTGATTTGTTTAATAGCATTTGTTTAATAGCTTCATGCACTAATTATTCAGCGGTAATCAATGAAATGTAGGGAGGATGGACGGAAATACGTACTTACTGTACTCGTATTATAAAAGACCGAAATTGTTGGTGTACGACGGTACGTACTAATGGTAAGCACTGTAATTGTGCATACCAACCCAGACTCTACATATGGTCAACAGGTCGTGGAACAAATGCTGGTCCTAAATGTTTTGCCGCATAATAAATCCTAGAGTAGCGGGAGTTATTGACGGCACCATTTGAAAATTATTAACGATTAAATACTGTACAGTAGTACTTGTTAAAGTCTAACCTAAGGTAAGCCTGGTTCAGGCAAACTAGTGAACCCACTGCACCCTTACATCAGAAGTTTTGTTCTTTCGTAATCCAGTAAGTGTTTCCAAACGTAATAGTTATGGAGTTATGATTTATTAAGCTTGTAAACAAGCGCGAATTTTCGAGATAACCCAACGAAATAATTTACGATTAACTAGGTGAATTTTATCCTTTCCATAGACATTTCCATAGATCATGGTTGACCCTCCGGCCGGTGGTGGCGGCTGCCTGGGCACTCGAAATAATCAGCTGATTTACCTTATCGGCAAGGCACATTCATACGGTAGAGTGTAGGAACACATTTTAAAAAGCTTGATTTATCTCCCGATCACCATAAGCAGTATAAACTCAACGAGTTCTCATTCGTGTCTTCTGATGTTTAACTTATAAGTGGATTTGTTGGTTGCCACCACCAGTGTATCCCGTATGTCGAAAGTCTTCACATCCGCTTTCCAGACTTGTTTGGTGTCAGACAAGATTTCCGGATCGTCTTTAATTAGAAATGGAGTGGTTAAAGAAGCAGATCGATTCGGACCATGAAGAAAAGAAGCTTTTGTTCCCTGAGAAGTTTGTAGAAAATCACGGCATGCCTCTTGGTACGGTTTACATTTCGACGTTCGGTCGAAAGTTGGCCGATAAATCGCATCTAACATTCATTACTCTCTAGATCTGGAATGGATCAACAGCGTAAGATGCAATTATAATGCCGTCGTGCAAAATGTAGACGCGATCTTGGCTCGGAGACCTCTATCTAAATCGGATCAAGTAAGGAAGCCGTATTTTTTTCGGAAATGAGCTTCATGTGATTTTGTACACTCCATTTGTAGCTGGTGTGGCTGTTACGAGCGGTATCGTGTATTGATTTAACCACTTTATCCGGCGATGATACTGCAGGCAATGCTGCCCGTTTGTGCCATAAAGCGAAACATCCCATACAGGAAACGTACCTTTCTATGATGGGATTGCAAGATTCTGGTGAGACATTAATCATGAATAATTTATTTTGTTTGTTTTAGAACATGCATCCAATGTTGTTCGTATTTTGTTGCATTCACTGTCGTTGTGGGAGTTTCGTAATTATTTGTTCCCTCATACTATTCTAGTGATGTTCCGTTTTTTACATTTTCAGAAATTCATTTCTTAGCTTGTACATTTGCATTGATAATTTTCAGACCTGCAAACAGGAGCTGTCTGTGTTTACCCTGCTCGCGTGGCGGATTGCGCAAAAGTATTAAACGCTGTGGAGAAAAATTCCACCAAAGCTAAGCTTCCGATCGCTGCGGTTGCCACCGGATTCCCGAGCGGCCAGTATGCTTTACAGTCCAGATTGGATGAAGTCAGACAGGCCGTTGGGGATGGAGCAATGGAAATTGATATTGTAATTAACCGTGCTCTTGCGCTGAAAAATGACTGGAACGGTAAAGTCATGCTAAATTTACAGCCGGCTTCTGTAATTATGTTAATGTTAAGTTTTATTGTGCTGCAGGTCTTTATGAAAAATCTAATGGTCTTGGATGAGCGTGTGGCAAAGCGCACATGAAAGCAATCCTTGCTGTTGGCGAGCTGAGTTCGGCGGAGAATATTTATAAATGCAGCCTGATTGCAATGATGGCTGGTATGCATACTTTCGCAGATACTTCATAATTATTAATAATTACAGTCTAATATGATATTATTACAAGATTACACCATACTAAATGACTCGCTCTTTCGGTGTGCAATCATTTCGGATCTAATGGTCTGGATGGTTGGTTTATGTGAAACTCCTTATTTGTGGCGCAATGAACTCACCGTGTTTTCTATCCCGCACTGTGATAATATTAAGTAATTAGCAACATATTTGCCATTTTTCGATTATCTCCGTTTCCAGGTTCCGATTTCATTAAAACCTCAACAGGGAAAGAAACGGTAAATGCCACCTTACCAGTAGGACTTATAATGGCACGGGCGATATGGGATTACTGGAACCGAACCGGTTTTACGGTGCGTTTGGACTGCTGTAAAAATGATCGGATGAAATAAATAAGCTTTGTATGTCATGACGCTGCAGCTCGCACATTTCAGGTTGGCTTTAAACCAGCTGGAGGTATTCGCACTTCTGCGCAAGCGATTCAATGGCTAACACTTATGCAAGAGACTCTTGGACCACTTTGGACACACAATAATTTGTTCAGAATCGGAGCCAGTGGTCTGCTGACAGATATTGAAAAAGAAATTCATTTTAATTTGACTGGAAAGCACGCAGTATTAACCGATTTTCCCATGGCATGATTCCAGTATGCGCCTATCGGGCTGTGCGATCCTGATTTGTTTTTCACATTTCTAATGCTTAACAGATCCAAAATGACTGAATGAAATATGAACTCAACATCGAAAGTAAACTACGAGTAGAAATTTAATACAATCGTGCGCACGGATAACAGTTAAAAAACACACCCTTATTACATTATGGCGAAAAAACGTAAACTGGTACGCAACGGCAAATTAACTGCTGCTGCGAAATGAGGTGGAACCGCAATTTACGCATAAACAAGCAGGAACGACGGAACATTTAATAAGCAACTGAAACAGCAAGTCAATTCCGTCAATAACAGGGGAATTCGAACCAAATTTCAACAGAAATCCAGTGCATACTTTCAAGTAAACTTCTCACTGATGTCCAGTTCGGGCTCGTCTAGCACGTCCACGGCCACGTGCAGCTCGCGTCGGACGGGTAGCGAGAAGCGAAAGACGTCCGCCTGCAACAGCAGAGCCACTGCCACGAGTCGCAGCGATACCACGAGCACTGGACACTGCCGAAGGTGCGATAACAGGTTGCCGCTGACGAGAGGATCCCAGTATTCCACTGCTAGATGCGATGCTTATTCCGGGAGAAATCGAACCTGGAGAAGCACTACGTATACGTCCTGATGGCTGTGAACGCCGTGGACGTAGTATGCGACGAGTCGGAGACAGTCGAACTGGAAGGGCGCTTAATGTGGGAGGGTCGTTGATATCCATGTCCACTGCTTCTACACACAAATACGATTAAAAAGGTCAATACTGGTACAAACTACATAGTAGCAATACCAAAGCCACTAACACAATGAACACGCCTGTGGTACTATACGTACCACCTTCACAAATAATCCGGAAAGTTCGGAGAAGCAAATTTACAAACTTTACCAGTATTACGTACTTAATTGATACAATGTAATACGTACTTAATTGAAATAATTACTGACATAGCTACCCAAAATACTAGCATCTGTTACAGGATATAGATATTCATTAACACCTACTCCAGTACTAATGCTTGATTCAAAAACAAATTGGTATAATTAGTGTAAAATATAGATATAAAAACATATAAATTGGTAATTACGTAATTAGTACTATAACTCGTACCAACAGAATCGATGCTCCCGGGCGAAGGAACGGCCGGCTCAACCGACATTGGCCCAGGTGACTCTGGGAAATTTTCAGCAAAACCCCCATCAATGTCGGCCGGCTGAGCATCATCAGCGATTTCCACTTCTTCCAATCGGGCATTCAATGCAGCTGAACGACCTCGGGATGTAGAAGGAACTGGACCGGGCACATCATCATCCGCCGGAAAAGAACTTTCGCTATCTTCCGAAGCATTTTCCGAATTCTGACCGAAAAACTCAATATCGGGTTGATAAGGGGTTGGCGGAACTTGTGAAGCAGTAACATCTTCAATAGCTTCGGAGGGGCCGAAAAAAAGCGAAGGTACTTGTGGCATCCTAAGAGAGAAAATTTTAGTGAAACGCATACTTCCGTGATTCTGTGCGCAACTGTCGCCCCCCTCACGTCACAGCAACACAAAACAGAACCATTATTTATTAGTAACTTATTAACTTTCATTTAATACTAACATGCTGTTCTCGTCTCCGCGGTGTGGAATAAGAATTTTGGGAGTAGACGGGACAACACCGTACGAAGCTTCGTCGCCCACGTCGTACGCAGAGGAAAACTACAAATGACAACATTGAAAATGTTCAACAATTATATTTCTGCAAAGGCAGAAAGCAGCACATACAGCGCCAGGGGTACGTGGTGGCGCCAAGAACGGGTTAGTATGGATCACCACCGATGGCCGCATTAAAGTGGGCAGTTCGGGAGCCATGGAACGCCCAGCCAGGGATGACGTGCCTGGTTCGTCAATATCAGCGATACTGCTACCGACTAGACAACCGAATTCTCGGGACGTAGCGGCTGTGTTCTCCGGTCGGGAGACCATTAGGTCGGGAGCATCTAAATCAGATAAAACAGGTCTGCAACACAATATTCCATTCCGCGTTCACACACTGCCGTAGTCAAGGAATCATTACCATCTGGAAGCTCCACGTGCCCACTACTTCCTGGTAAGCGTATGCTCACGGAACGTCGCACGTCAGAGCTCGGCTGCACATCTTGGCTATCATCCGTATCATAATCGGTGAAAGCATCAGTCTGGAAGAATAACACGCTTGTAAAGAACACTTAATAACACTGAGGTATACAATGACAGACAGAAAAACAAACGAAAAAAAACAATTCCAATTTCCTAGAAGATTAAAAAGGAGAAAAAATGAGAATTTTTAACGAATTTACAGCCCGAATGGTCTCAAATTACATACATCGGCGCGGTCAACTTGGATGGAGCCAGCGGCTGATCTGTCTCGTAAAGTATCCGAATCAGATACGAAACTTGATTCCTCCACACTGGATTCCTGCAAATCCTGCGCTGGAACAGCAAGGACAAGCGGCTCTTCGACCGCACCACTCACTCTCTCGAGCCTCTTTTCTCCTGATAATTCCAGATGAAGAGTGGGAGAGGATAAGGCCGAACGTGAATTAGCTCGTGCTCGTAACAAGCTCGCTGATCCCACTTGTCCAAGTGAGTTTCGTGCCGTATTAGTGCTACTAGTGACATCCGACGATGTTGGGGAGGTGTCACGCCGACGTTTCTGTTCTGGCGAGCCTTGCTCACTTTCGCGTGCCCTTTTCAGTGCCGAAACCTAAAATGCATAAATTGCAAATTGATAGCTCCTGGGGAAAATATAAAAATTACTGTACTACTCCACGAAACCAAAACCGTACGTTAATAAATGCTAATTTCCAGTAGAGTTGTTTTGGAAACTGTATGTGAAACTGAATCACCATTCGGAAAATAAATCAAGTCTATACTGCCACCGAAACTAACCATATAGTGAATGATATGTTTCACGTATACTATTTACATTTGATTCTCCCATGGAAGTGCTCGGCAAGCTTCCTTCCAATAAGCGGCTGGACGAAGCCGACTCGTGGTGAAAACCAAAAGGTGTACCATGGAAGTCGATGCGGAGCTGGGGCCAGGCTGCGGACTGATACCACTCTCCACAGCCTGTGGATTAACTGCCAGAAATGGAATGGAATCTGGTAAGCGTATCTGAGGCATAACCCTGTGAATTGTGTTTATGGGATGAGAATGGGGAATGACAACGGCCGTGGACTTCAATGATGACGGCATCGGTGACGTCTGAGCCACCGGTTTTCGAGGCAGCCCGGACCCTCCTTGAGACACCCCTGTCTCTGATGGTGGCTGACTCGGATTTGGACGAATAACCGGCATAAGCGGACGAGTTGACAAAGTTGCAGGCGACTCAAACCGTTGGACCTGCTCATAAAAACGTTCACTGCAAACACTGTAATTTTTAAAGCCTAATAATGTCCAGTTAGCAGCTCCATCATGAACATAAATCTATCAATTTAGGATACCTTTTCGAGGGCTTCTGTTAGTTCTTTGTGCGACTGTGCCAGTTGGTCCTTCAACTGAGAAGTCTCTTGATTATAACGTTCAGTCGCTTGGGATTTGGTCCGATTGGCTGCAGCTAGCTGTTTTTCAGCAATCTCAACCCTTTTGGACAAGTCCTGCTTTTCTAGTTCCATGTTGACCTTCATCTGGTTGCATTGCGCTTCCAAATCTTTCACCTGTTTTCCGTGAGTTTCTTGCGTTTTTCTCAACGCTTCCTTGAGATTCTGAACTTCCGTATCTTTGGATTTTAGTACTTCATTATTCATCGTTCTGATCTCCTCCAAGCGTTTCTGATTCTGACTAACGTTCTCTGAGTTTATTCGTTCCAGGTCCTGTCTGTATTTCCTGTCAGCAGCAGCCTTTTCCTGTTTCAGTTTCGCAATTTCATGCCGCTGCTGGTCATTATCGAAACGCTTATTTGAAGCATCCAACTGCTGCTGCAAATTTTTGTTTTGCTCCATTTGACTGATCTTTTCCCGTTCCAGCTGCTGGACATTTTCCTGGAGCGATGAAATTATCGCTTCAAATTCTTCCAACTTTCGATTCAACTGTTCGGAATTTGCCTGAGTTTCAGCTAACTGTCTGCGCAAATATCCGGAATTTTCGATAGCAATGCTGAGGCGTTCTTTCTTTTCGCGATATTTCTGCTCCCAAGCAATGGTTTCCACATTTCTTCCAGAAACAGTATCGCTTTGATGATGCCAGGGTGAGGACGCTGTATGTGCGCTTCCGATGCGCAGGGTCAGCGTCAAATATTCGTCTTTAGCTAGATTAAGCTGCTTTTTTAACAAATCATTCTCAGTTTTCAGATGCTTCACGATTATGTCTGTATCAATAATGTCAGCCGAATCGGATCGTTCCGCGGAATTTCGCAATCCTTCCCATACGATTTCCCGCCAAGTGTCCGAATTCTTTCTCTCTTCCGTCAAATACTGCAGCTCTGATTGAAGAGCTTCCGTTTTCCGTTGATGCAGAAGTTCCGCTTCATTCAAGGCAGCCTGCAGTGACGATGCCCGCTTATCTGCTTCAGACAAACTGGCTTTCAGGAGATCAACGTCCTTCCGCAGTTCACCGACATCCTCGTAAACGGTTTCGTGAGAATGAAGCTCGTTTTGGTATTTCTGCTCCAACTCTGTTATTGTTTTCTGTTGTGCGGTAACTTTTTCTAGTAACTGGCTGCGATTTTCAGTTAAAGATTTATTTTTGTCACGCAGTTCGCTGTTACGTTGTTTGTTGTCGGAAAGCTCTGCACGTAATGCGGCGACTTCGGTGGTAAATTGCGGTTGCGCGCGCAGTTGTTCAGATCGAAACTTCAAAGATTCCACTTCGGCTTTCAGTTGAACAATTCTTCCATTTAATTCACTTTCAGTCGCCTGCAGAGAAAATTACAATGAATATCATACCAAATGTTGTACTTTTTGCAGTCACTCGTTTACCAGTTGTTCAGAGCAGTGGTTATGAGCCGCCTGTATCTCAGCAATCCGTTCAGTTAAAGTCTTATTTTCCATTCGAAGATCATTGGTGATTTTCTTTTCAGCGACAACTTCATCCAGTCGCTTCCGTTCCCTCTAAAAGCAGGGACAATTCAGTGTGACAATCACAAATTCGTGGGTAAAAATTCCTATTTTTAACTTTAGATTATCATGATTATTACACGGTACAGAACAACGAACAGAAAGACAACGAAATTTACCTCGACCAACTCATCACATTGCTTGTTCTTCGCTTGCAGCATCTGCTTATTCACGTCACATAACCCAGACCATTTTTGCACTTCAAACCGCGCCACCCGAAGATTCTCTTCCACCTGCTTCAGTTGGTCGTTCTTAGCCTTTAGATCGCTGACCAAATTGGAATCAGTCGCACTGTGATCCGGATTACTGAAAGACTCCATTGCGGCGTGATCGGTCTGCAGTCGCTCCACTTGAGTGCGTAAAAATACCGCTTCAGCCAATGCCGCTTTCAACTGGCTCTTCAGTTCTTTCCGTTCTCGCTGATACTGCCCTTTATCATGATCGGAAAGAAATGCCCAGAGAACATTTTCATTTGAAGCAAGGGCAATGCATTTGTCGAAGAGTTCAGAATTTGCGGCCAGCAGGGAAAAAAACCGACTTTTCTCCGAATCTGTATCTTGGAGCTGATGCAATTCGATTTCTCTAGCGTTTGCGACGGAATCCGATATCTCCACTACGGGGGTACTTTGTCCTGCCGAAATCTGCAAACGATAGGAAATATAAGTATGACTACGTATGTGAGCCTTTCAAAAGCAAAAAGCAATTCGTCGCTAAAAAAAATTCTATAACGTATGTGCGACCACCGCAAATAATTCACAACAGAGATGCAAATTTATTCAATCATTGGTAAATTATTACACATAGATGAACAAATAAATATCACCCCAAAAAACATCAAAAGATATAATATTCTGATTTATTTTACCTCCTTTAGGGCAAATAACTCCTTCCGCGTTTTCCGTAAAGCATCCTCAGACTCTTGCAGGGCATTGCGTAACCGGAATGACTCGTCATTGCTTTCGTTCATACTCTACGTAGCAACCGAACAAAAATTACCCAACGGTAAAACCGTGTTAGCAATTTTACCAGCAATACTTTTTCTGCCTGATTACGATATTCAGTGACATCATGATCGCGTTGCTCCAGATCAGCCGTCTTATTTTCAGCAGCAACCAGGGCAGCGTACAGTTCCGAAATCAATTTGAACTGCTCAGTAGGGTTTTCCGATAGGCGTTCGAAATAACGTTTGTGAAAATCCAGTTCTTTTGCGAGTTCGTCCACTTTCGAAACTTTAAGGCGCAAATCAGCAGAGAGCTTTTCGTTGGTTGACTGTAGTGAATCCATTTTGTCGGCGTACACTAAAAAAATTAAATCCACTACATGCGAGAGAAATTTTATACCAGAACGGTTTAAAATTACGTAATCAAGGAGAAGTAAACTCACATTTTTCTATAGTTTGTCGAGTCTGCTCATTGTCCAGCGCCTCGTTTTCCAGTTGTCCACAGTATCGCGTCAACTGCTGAACATTCTCTTGAAAACCACTGAGCACCGATTCGCGTAAGTTATGCTGATCTGCCAAATGATGCAATAATTTTTCGTTTGTCAGTTTACCCTGAAAACCATATAAAAATCATCATTTAACACAAGGTTCTTCTGAACTGCACTCAGCGCACTCTAAAGTACAAGACACATTTTGCACTGTAAGGTAACACAAATCACACTGAACCTACCTTTGATACTTCACGATAAGAATTTTCCGCTCGAACTTTTTGGCTGTCCAACTGCTTGACAAGGATGCCATTCTTTTCCCTTTCGGTCCACAATTCTTCCTGCAGATTGACCAAATTCTCCTCCAGATTTTTCGAATTCCGGAAGTGCGTGGATGTGTTTTCTACGATCCTGTGCTCCAAATCGACAAAGTGGTTCTGCAGATCGGAGTTGGCCACCGAAAGCTGTTGGTTCTCTATCGCGAAGCGATCCGCCTTAGCCTGAGAAGGCAAACACAAATAACAAGGTGTCAACCAATGCAATTTCGGAGGTGACAATTAACAAACCTTAGCGATAAATAATTCCTGTTCCCGTGTGGCAAGAGCCAATTTCAGAGTGCGTAAAACACTCATCGTCGCGCTGGGATCTAGATTGACAAAACGTAAACCATTTTAACTTTATACTCTGCGTTCAAAGAATTAAAAGTAAGGCTATTGAAAAGTTTTTGTCAGGTATCGAACGTTGGGTGCGCTCTTGATTTGCTCGAATATTTGTAACAAGTTATACGCTGGTGAAAACTTTCGAACCTGCAAGTTGGCTCTCCTCCATGATGGATGATTGGGGCCCACAGATGCGCAACTTCAAAGACTCATCACACGGGACTGGACGAATGACGGTACAGCTTCCTCCGAATTCAAAATTTACGACACTAATTACAAAGCAAACTTGGTCTGTGTCAGATTTTCCAAATCCGGTGTAAAATTTTCAATATTAAAAATGGCTATAAAACGGCGGTAAACACTACAGTAGAGTGAGTAGACGAAGTTCTGAACATCGAAGGACGAGCAAGTAAAGTACGATAGGTACGAGTACTCGTGTACCGAAGTTTAGGCAGTCTACAGGGCTACATCATCGGGGAGGGCGTTGCTTGAGAATCAGAAATTTTAGCTCAAGGCATAGGCGTACCGCAGCGCTGTTCTACTTGTTTTAGTTTGTTCGTAACTAATAACTTTAGTGGTTTTCACGAAACTTACTTTGGACTTTGAGTTTCGAGGTTTTTATCTTTCCTACTCTTTAGTAGGGGTATAATACCAGAAGGTCCTTATTTTCTCATCTGCGCATTTTGAATTGACTTCTCTGGCTGTCCCAAGTTTCCCGGACCCGTTTTGGAACTGCAGTATTAGTAAGTCACTGTAAGTGATCTGTAAGCCAGATGCAAACCTTACACTGACACGAAAAAACAAGTATTACTGTATTGCTGTACTGCTCACTAATAATTACTTTTACTGCTTTTCAATTTTGTAGTCTTAGCTCTTGCTGCTTAACATTTAAATTTCCGAAGGTGGAATAACATCTTCTTAGCAAAGATAGCTCATAGGTAGCCGTTTGTTTCGCTAGCATATGTTTGACTCGTGACTAGAGACGACGTAAGGTGCATTGGCCATCTGGCAAGTCTCGATGGCCGATATGTACTGTATGCACTGTATAATTACTTCAACAGACTTACTGAGTTTACTTCTTTTTGGTTTTGTTAAGTGATTTTTTAACGATTCATGATTTCTGGTTCTTTTGCAGGCTACGGTTGCCTGCTGATTGCGGTTACTTTAGTTCCTTTAATCTTTGAAGATGGCCTTACGTGTGTTTTCGTCATTGGCTCGAGCCGGAGTGCCTCGGATTTTCAATTCCTCCACCGGCCTGAGTGCCAGTGCGGCACCGATTGCATCTGCTGTACGACAGCGCGGAATTCCAGTCCGACATTTAGCTGTCTCTTCCGTTAACCGTTTGCCGGACTCGGTTGCATCGTTAGGGGCTCGCGTTCAGCATCGGGCACCAAATTTCAAGGGGACTGCAGTTGTGAATGGCGCCTTTAAACCGGTCCAGCTGTCCGATTACGACGGAAAATGGTTAATTATGCTTTTCTATCCTTTGGACTTTACCTTTGTTTGTCCGACGGAGATTGTCGCCTTCTCGGATCGTGCTGACGAATTCGCCAATCTGAACACGCAAGTAGTGGCCATCTCCACCGACTCGCACTTTAGTCATCTGGCCTGGACGAATGTTCCGCGTGCTGAAGGCGGTCTGGGCCCGATGAAAATCGCGCTTTTGTCCGATTTCTCAAAGCAGATTTCGCGGGATTATGGTGTGTTGATTGAGAACGAAGGGATTGCACTGCGCGGCATGTTTATAATTGATCCAAAGGGTGTGCTGCGGCAAGTTACCATCAATGATTTGCCGGTGGGAAGGTCTGTGGATGAAGCGGTTAGGTTGGTGCAGGCTTTTCAGTTTGTGGAGAAACACGGCGAAGTGTGTCCAGCTGGATGGCTGCCCAAGTCCGAAACTATCAAGCCGGATCCGGTCAAGGCCAAGGAATATTTTAAAAAGGTCGCTTCAAAATAAATATTTACTGGAAGTACTTACTGCATTTCACGCTGTGTTACCGGAAGTCGTTCGTGCCATACAGTTTTTGAATTACGAGAATGTATGTGGTTTTGTGGACTACGTATGCTTTTGTTTGTGCGGACCGGATGCATCTGACGAGTGAGTAATGTATATTGGATACAGAGCGGAGCTGGAGTGACACATTTCCAGTTTTTTTATCAGAAAAGATTATACAAAATATACGGAAGAAGATGTGAGCGATACCTGTTACAATGCATTTACTTTGAAATGATGTTCATTACTTATTACTCTAATTATCTAATAGTACTTAATACTTAACCCAGTACTACTGGAATAGTGTCCTAAATAACACTGCAACGGGGTGAATTAACTGCATTTGTCACACTTGATCATCATGAATGCATACTATTGCATAGTACTTAATACTTAACCCAATACTACTGGAATAGTGTCCTAAAATAACACTACAACGGGGTGAATTAACTGCATTTGTCACACTTGATCATCATGAATGCATGAAAAGTAATTCTGCTGTAGAACTAATGACTATATTCTGTTATCTTCGATCAAAACCAAATCAATTTTCGAACGAAACTTGCGTAAAGATTCAAGGTCGTATTATAAGGCGACAGACTAGTACCAAGGCATTACACTACACTACGTGATAGCAGCGGTCTTTAATCAACCGCTTAGAAATGATGACCGCCAGTCGTAATTGGAAGAGCAAACAAAGCTGTCTTCCGTCCGTTCCTGCACATATGCTCAGCCACCCGCGTGCACCTGCGACTGCTCTATGTCCATTTGGCACTACGCCAAAACTTTCTTGGTTTGCCTTCTGAATGCATGTGCTGTTTTATACAGTTTACAACAAATCTCATGTATTACGTATGTCGAATAAACTTTCGTGATATGTATTATAAACTCTAAAGTGCAACGAAGAGAACTACAATGCAGTACTTACAATATATAGATTTAACCATAATTATGACAAAGACAAATCAATTCCCATTAGTATTTAATACCAATGTTTAACAATGCGGTAAAAATCTTTAATATGAGTTTATACGATAAAATTTGACATGCGTCAGTTACGGCACTAGAAGTCTGAAGCCAGCGCTATTGCTGCGCATTGGCCTTTCACATATGCACACAGTGAAACGGACGGAGGACAGCAATGTTTACCTACTTCGTTAAGGATTGGAACGTACATCGGTTACCGGTTGAAAGTGTACAGAGAGAGAATTTCATTGCTATCACGTAGTGTATGATTTGCCATGGTACCGCCGTACCGGCCCGGTCAACAGATAATATCCCGTAATAATTATTTCATTTTCATTCAGCTCGACTACTCAAAATTTCCAGTCGTTTTTTTTAGCAGTGGCACTTGTATATTTACTGGCAACCAGGTTCACTGATTGTAAATTTTGTTTCAAGAAAAAAATAGTGTACATCAGATGTGTCAAACCGGTACATATTACGGGTATTACCACGTAGTGTAGTGTAATGCCTTGGCGGTACTGTACCTTTTAACGAAATCAACCAAGTACAGCACAACCAGAAATGTAATCATCGCTTCCCTGGGCGGTTAACAGCAATGCAAGTTGGACAATTTTCGTCTTTTTGAAATTGGGCAAATGTGAGAACGGGTGCGTCTGTTTACCAATCCAAACTTTTCTGCCTGGGATTTTAGAAGTTTTCAGGCCAAGCTGGAGGCCAGTTTCTAGATCTGCACAAAATTGGTATGTACATAAAAAATATTCGCCAACAGCTTGCACTAGCCGGAAATCGGATATAAATGCACTCTTTCATTCTTGAAGTTTGTTATTGCAGGTGCAATGAGACCACCCAAATCAGTCTGCATCTGTTCTTTTTGGGACAATGCCTAGGTACCGTGAAGGAGACGTCATTTTTCGAAGCGAACCATGGGTATATTGCGTTTTGGAGAGTGCATCCACGTCAATCTGCTACCGATGTTTGCGACAGCCCGATGAAGGGGTTCGGCGGTGCACCCAGTGCCAGTTCGCGCATTACTGCTCGGATCAGTGCCAGGTTGGCAGTTTTCAGCGCTCCTGTCCTCCGGTTTGGAGGGAATTCCATTATTATGATATGATTTTAACAGTATGAAGATTAGATTTTTTGTCTCTGCTCATGTCAACAGAAAAGTGACTGGACACTGCGTCATCGGCCGGAGTGTAAAGTCATTCAGCGAATAATGCGAGAAAAGCCATCTGAGAGCTTGCCACGCGATTTTCTCTTCATTCTTTGCAAAATGATACCGAAACTGAAGGTAAGACACAATGCAGCTTATTGGTACAATTGTAACTTTATCTTAAGTTATTTTTTCTGAATTTTGATCCACTAGAAAAGTGCACTCGCTTTTTGCGGGTACTGCATGACCGCAGTTTTAACTTTTTTTGGTAGCAAATACGTTTGTAGAATGCGTGTTATTACTAGACGCGTGTAATCGGCAAAACCGTCCGTTTCATTTATACGTATGTACTTGTGTGTAATATACCTGTGTTTTTGTATTGGTAAGGACTTGTGTGTAATATCATAGTGGTAATATACTGTAGACTATAAAATAAATGCATTGTTTTCTGTGTGAAGAAAAATCATAAATCGGACAGCGATGGAGCCTGCCAACCGCTTTCCGTGCGTACGTTTGAAGATCTGATGTCCCATGAACAAGAGTTTTCCCAGAATCCAGCTCTCCCGGTGCTTTATGCTTCCTGGAAACCATATCTGGATTTGCTGGACAAAGGCAGCAGTGTTTGTCCTGATGTGGATGCCTTTATTCGGTTGTATGGGAAATTTAACATCAACGCCTTCAGTTTAGCGGATTATTTCTTGGGCGATACGGGAAAAGGTCTATATTTGGGTCCATCCATACTTGACCACTCTTGTATACCGAACGCTGTTCAGATCTTCCAGGGGACTACTCTAACTGTCAAAGCCATACAAGATATTGAAAAAGAGGAAGATGTATGCATTCTGCGGCACTTACAGTTTTTACCGTATATTATGCACGCTTGAGCCATTTCGGTTCTGGATTCTGTAGCCAGAGAATAATGAATACCGCAGTGATCACCTTTAACAGTACCTATATGTTTGTTTTAGGTTCGGATTGCGTATATCTCTACGTTTGCGACGACAAGATTTCGGCGAGAATATTTGAAACAACATTACTTTTTTATTTGCGACTGTGCGGCATGCGTCAATGTTGAGCTGGTATCGTCGTGAGTGCTCCCTTACCACCCGCACCTTATTTTCCCACAACCTCCTTCCCCACAACCCCCTCCTTCCCTGATTTTCTTTCATCTCCTTCCCATGTTTCGACACTGTATGACCTAGACCTTTTGTTCCATCCCTGCTTTGAAATCTGACATTTTGTAAGGGTACTGACATTTTGTTTCTTGTATAGGATGCTAAGCGCAGTGCTGTACAGTGCACCACGGAAAGGTGTCCCGCTGTGGTACCTTTGGACGAAAAAGTACGATTTTGTAACGAATGCGGGGCAGACAATTTGGAACGATTATTGTCCGGTCGGAAACATCTTGAGCGAATGTGGAGCGATCACGACCGCATAGTGGAGGGCAGCGAAAGATTTTCTTATGAAGAGATCTTAAAAGTTTTGCAGCAGGATATTTCTGCCGCTGAGAAATTGCTTCATTGTACGAATTTCTTAATGGGAATTTTTTATCGGGAGGCGGCAGTTGCATTGGAAAACTTGGGTCGGTATGACGAAAGCGTGCGGTATCTGCAGAAAGCTCTTCCGGCTATGAGGTTCGTTTAGATATTGAATACCAGACAGCTGAAGTCAAGTAATTCATCGTGTCAGGTCAGTAATTGCAGTCTCGACTAATTGCAAAAACGGCCTACGTAAATTTTATAGTTCTCACTTAACAACTGTTTCGATAGTCGTAATGAGTCTCTGTATCCTTTCTAAATTTTGCAGGATGCACCTGAGCAAGTATCAAAGTGAAGTGACAGGGGCTTTGTCGGAGACAATGTACTGGCTTGGAGATAACCAACAATTTTCGGATGCACTACGTGTGGGAACAGAACTTCAGGATATTCTCAGAATAGTTCCTGGTGAGAATACTGAGATTTATGAAGAATACTCAAAATTTCTTCTGGAGTGCCAGACGATGGAAAGCTCCATGATGACAAGTAATGCTCATAAGCTTAATCACTACTGGCCGTAAACGTAATACTCACGATCAGACCTCTTTGAATTCTTACTATCCTTGCAATGATTACTATCCCAGTTTGTGCTTTTGACTCGTTTTACTTATGGTTGTTTAACACCGAAATAAGGTACGGAACATGCTTATTCCTTGTCATACCGAGTAGTGATTTTGATTGTCATAAATCACAGCGTTGTGAAGGGAATTTAAAGACCACAAAATAAAACAAATGTAAAACCAAAAAATCACTAGGCTTTCGAAGATGCAGTTACGTTAGGAAGAACGCACCAAGGCGTTTTAATGAGATCACAATGCAGTTTGACATTCACAATTGTGCAACTGGAACCATTGATAATGAGATCATAGCGATTTTGAATTAAAAAGCCAACATTATGGACACCACCTTCTCTGTCTCTTTTCCGCATGGCCTGAAATGTACAGTATTAGCACAGCCCAGTAACGTACGTAGTAGTATTATTGGGCTGTGGTATTAGTGCTGTGGTTCGAAAGCTCCAAGAATATTAATAATTTGTACTATAAACATTCAGGCGAAAAATTCCTACGTTACAATAAAGTTAACCTAATATCCACATATCCTGCTATAAGAAATATCACCACAATTCCACAGATACGAGTATTATAAGCAACTTGGTTTAAACTACAGCACCCTTAAACCAATTCCTTTAGAATGTCACTTTATAATTAATACACGTACATCGCGCTGGCCTGGTAATCGTTCCACATCACGCTTGCGCTGTCTGGCGTCGTGGATGTGTAAAAATGTTCGATATCCGGATGTGATACCAACTGGTCTGTTAATCTGCAATCCATTTTAGTGAATGAGCATTCCATCTAATGGTAAAGACATTTCACACCTTCCAAAAACCGAAATCTCCCGTTTATTTCAGTGTTACGGAAATTTTTTCCTTCAAAAGCATCAAATCAGTTCAATTTTCCGAGGCTTTTAAATCATTGTATCAATAAATAACGATTTTAAAAGAAAAATGTAGAAACGCCAAACTGTTTCATAATGATGCCATATTACGACGAGAAGTAAACATATGTATGCGCTTGCGAAATCTCGCACCTGAATTTTCGATTCGTTCAATCTGACATAAAATTCATCATCCTCCATCCCCCATCCCCAGTAATTGTTCGACATCCCTTTGACACGCTGGAAATCCGACGTGGATATTATCAAAATCCCGCCTATAAACTTCTTGTAATGATAGCGAGGATGCAGCTCCGGAGAGGCGATATGCATCACGGTGTCAAGCGCGGGGAAATCGTAGCGGAGATCCCGATTATCGGGTAATAAATCCACATCGTGCATAACGACATAATCATGCGTGTCTTTCGTGTACAGAAATCCCACGTTAATCAAAGACGCCCGGTTAAACCTACAATTATTTAACAATTTTCGCTTTAACAATTCGCCGATACACTGAAAAACGGATGGCGCTGAGATATCAGTAGCAAATGCGTAGTAGTCACTACATACGCAGCAGATGCAAACGAAACGCGAAGCAAGTTAGTATGCACACTGTAAAACGAATGGAGCGCTTGGTGAAATATAAATCCCAATGAAACGACAAGGTTTGATATTCTAGAAGTGCTAATTAACACTGCAACACATAACATGACCGACCTGTATTCGTCTACTTGATTGATCACAAAAATGTCAAAGCGTATCCGCTGAGCTCGGAGAAATGCAGTCATATGCGGCACAAACTGTAAGAGCTCATCAAAACGATCCCGAAACGGCACAATTACGGCCAAACGATGGTGTTGGGGAAGCGGTAAAGGAAGCAGGAAGTACAGCAGAACAGTTAGGATGAAGAACAAGACCAAAAACCCCGTACAGCAGACAGCCACAACAATCGGAATTGGATACGTTCGCATCCTCCGTATGTGGTAAATAATTCTTCGGAAGCGAAGGAGCGAAGCAGTCTGCTGCTCTCTGGCCATTTTGGAACCAACATTGCATGCAAAATCATCACATATTTGTTGCGCTATAACATGTCGGTTTCAAACACCTGCAGAGAAAAACAGAAGAGATTCATGACGCGATAGTCGATAAACGTCAGTAGGTGCAAATTCCACTGCAAAACAGAGATATGGCCCATATGGGATAAAAATATGCTCCAGCAAAAAGACGCTTTTTCTATTCAGAAGTAACGAAACACTCTTAGAAAGCTATTACATATTCATAATCCATCCACAATTTTTGTGATCTTAAATGTAACAACAATGTCTGTACTAAAAAAACTTTTAACGGATGTTTTAAAAACCTTTTTTAAAAATTTTATGAAGTTACTTAAAGTGGTCAAAAAGATCGAAGAAACGGCACAAAGCAGAAACAGCATAGGAGCACAAATCTGGGTTGTATCGAAAGCGCTACCGTACACCCAGCGACAGTTACGTGAGTACGTTGAATTTTCGCACTGACCAATATCCTGCAAAAAAGTCTGGTAGTTATTTCGAAATTTAACCATAATTCAATGATAATGGTTTTGTTCCATAAATAAAAAGGCAGACTATGATTTTTCATTTTTTGTTTAAAAAATAGTTGTAGGTTCCTTAATCTGATGAATCTTGGATCTTAATAGAACTTGATCAGCTTCCTTGTCAAGTGGTGGCTGTTACGAAACGTAGTTCTCGTCTCTGGCTGTGAGAATTGTGAAAAATCTAAACTCGTGAAACTCGTGTTATGGAGAACTCGACCTGACGATGGCGCTTTATTTTTGATTTCCTTCTGCCGGAATAGTGGAATACCCTTTAATATCTTGACCTGCTGCGTCTGGGCATCGTGCCGTGCGTTTGCCAAAGCGTGGAACCATTTGAGTGTTTCGTCATCCAATTCGGTGGCACAATGGCTGGCAACATGGACGACGAAATGAGACGGTTCGAAATGGAGTTATCTGGTGGCTCTTCTCAAAACTCTTTAAGACCAAATATTGGCCGGGCTGTACCACCAGGATTTCCAATGGGACCATCTGTTGCTAGCGCACCAGTCCGATTTATTCCGCATCAGCTGCAGATGAGTCGCGCCAGTCTGCATGCTGCGCCCGTACCAGCTCCCCGACCACCTCATGCTCAGCACTTCACTGCCCCTCAAGCGCCACCATTTTTTCCTCCCATGCCAATGCCACCAATGATGGCACCCCCGATGTTTCCTCGCATGAATACTCCTTCTGTAAGTGGCAAAAATAAACGCCGAAATAATCTCTGGTTCCCGAAAATTACGGTTTCACGGTTCTTATCGTTTGGAGAGTTTCTGTTTTCTATTATGTGCTTGATTATTCGTAACTTAGATTCTGTTATCAGTTTGATTTCTTATTTTTTAATTATTTATAAAGATATAGTTAATGTTCTATGAGTGTCAGTGATTCTAAGATTTTCTGTGTAGTGTCCAGTTTCGTGATGTGAAGTTTGTACGAATACTACTACTCACCGTTAACAAATGATTATTGCTGATAACAAATCATAACAAAATTATAATATGCAGGCTCAGCCATCAACATCTCAGGCGCGCCAGGCAGTACCATCAAACGTCCTCCAAGTAAGCGCCAACAAAGCCATGTTGGACGCCCAAAAAGCCATGGCCATGCAGACGAAAGAGCCGCCCGTAATGGGCCCACAGATCACTCCCAAAGCAATTGAGGATAAAGCTTTGTCAAATAAGTCTAAGAAAAAGATGAAATTTACACGAACGGCAGGCGGTGAAGTGTGGGAGGATAGCAGTCTGGCTGAATGGGATCCGCATGATTATCGGATATTCTGCGGTGATCTGGGCAATGAAGTCAATGATGAGGCGCTGGCCCGTGCCTTCCGCCGCTACGCATCCTTTCAGAAAGCTAAAGTCATCCGGGATAAGCGCACTAATAAGACCAAAGGTTTTGGGTTTGTCAGTTTCAAAAATCCCGAGGATTTCGTCCGCGCCATGAAAGAAATGAATGGCAAGTATGTGGGAAATCGTCCCATTAAGCTACGTAAAAGCTCATGGAAGGATCGTCAATTAGATGTGGCGAAGAAGCGCTTCAAAGAGAAGCAAAAATCGGGGATGCGTGGTTAATTATGTCTCTTGGTTTCCGCTTGTTTTTCACCGGTTCTCTTTTGTGCACCTGTTGGCCAGTGTTTCACCGCAATTTACATTCATTCTCTGGTGTTTCTGACCTGAATTCAAATTTTTAGTGCATTTGTCATAAGATCCTTGGATTTTGCATATACTTTCTTCTGTTTTTACCGTGTATTTACGATACACTTCGTTTTCGGTTTGAGACATTTCGTTTATGTGAAATGTCCGGCAACTGTACCGGAAGCCATAAGGAAGCCATTTCTCATATGCTGTCGCAAGTGTCGGAATATGTTTACGCCGGCTCTTCGACGGGCTGTCCATTTTTCCATCGGCAAAGACAGTTTATGGTCGATATAATGACGAGAAATTTCTTGATCGTGGTAATTATTTACTCCTGATTGGTCATCCGTTTCGACTCAAAAGTTCAGAAAACACTTGACGCATACTGCATAAATCATTGTTACGCTTATTTGGAACTATTGCGCTTTGATTCACCGCTTACTAATTTTCGGATGTTGTTAAACAAGTACTCGAGCATTCAAGAGACAAAAAATCTGCTTTGTTGCAGAGTTCATCCGCTTTGGGAATTCATTTGGCGCTTGATTTAAAAAATCCTGCTAGTAAAATAGCCAGTGTTGGGCACGAGTGGAATGCTGCTTGCGTCGGAAAGGTACTTTCAATTCAGTTTTCCACTCTTTAATTAATTTATTTAAAAATTTTTAAAGCACCAGCATTAAGGATATTTATTGAATTAACAATAAGAAATGAAGATTTGAATTTGGAATGAGTCCTTGAAAATGAGGGGACAGGAAATTGTATAGGACTACAGTTTGGAGGCTTATGTGATAACTGTGCAAAGGTAACAGTAATACCGAAGAAACCTGCTTCCGCCGTGTGCTTTGTTTAGGTGTTTGTGAGTAGCCCACTCGTAATTAACGGATCCAGCGTGATGTGGTCAGGATTCATTGATTATTCAACGCTCGCAGGAAAAGGTCATCTTGAACCCACGAATTTAAAATTATTTAAAAAATAGTAAACAGACACACGAACGATCTTGCTCTCTTTTGTGACTGTTACTTGGATGAGTCTAGTTTATTACGTATTTATTTAAATAGCCTGAACTTGGCACATTATTTTATGCCACTATAAAAACCATGCCTAACCAACCACGACGATATCATTGTGGTAAACTATGCACTCCTTATCGCGAAGCAGAAGGATCCGAAGCCGTAAAATACATGAATTACTGTCTTTCTGTTGATTCTCGTGCAGTGTGTATTTTCAAAGAAATAACTACCATATAAAGCGGCTCTGCTGGTGATTCTACAAACATTCCTCAATTGATTTCTATTAGTTCGCAAATACCTGCCTTACGACAGACTGACAGTTTGCCATGAACGTAATACTGTACTGTTATTTGCTTGAAATCTGTGTGTATTCTCCTTGCTGTTATTTGTAGTACTTATTAGCTACCGCTCCTGTAAATGCTTTCGCCGGGGCCAAGATTATAATTTATTCTTTCCAGCGTTTAATTTATCCGGTTGATTCATACACTACATCAACCCTTAAAGTTAATAATGAATCTTGCAATTATTTTTCTCTGCGGATTTGCATTGCTTCTCCGCTGTGGGCTCGGAAGAGCCGCTGGCCAAGCAAAAGCGACCACAGGTGCAGTCGTAGTATCGACATCAGCGAAGTCCGTCATCTCCGTAAAAATGGTCCAGCCTAACATCTACTCGGAACCGCTGGTCTACGCCAAGCTGAATGCGGCCTACGACCAGCTGGACATGATCAAAAACTCCAACTATTCTGTAATTATTCTTGATCCACAGGAGTCTGGTTTGAATCACGATCAGATTATGGAACTGCGGCACGGAACCAACCGGACAATACTGGCGTATGTGTCCATCGGCATCGCTGATACCAGCAAACCCTACTGGCGCCCCCAATGGACCGGCGGTTTCTTTCCTGATTTCGTTGTCCAGCCGCAATACACCGAACTGACACCTGGTCACTATTGGGTGCAGTTTTGGAAAGCATACTGGCAGCGCATGTTGCTGCGTTACATTCAAGAACAAGTTCTGAGCTTGGGATATTCAGGTTTACTGTTGGATAATTTGGATGTTTATCTGCGCGATACCAATCCGGATATCGATGAGCGCGAGGAGATGATAACGTTTGTGCAGGTTATCAAAGAACAGGCACAACAGTTTTATAAAGATACAAAGATCTTTGTGTCTAATATCAGCGAGTTATACTCAGTAGACCGATTCAGGAAAACGGTCGATGGATTTCTTGTTGAGAATCTGTGGTTTGAAAAGGACAAGAATTTGTTGAAGGAAAACAAAACGAAGGTGGATCAGAAACTGAGCATTCTGCAGCAAGCGCAACGGGATGGAAAAGTTATTATATCCCTTGACTATTCCACTAACGATTCCGACGTGTGCACGTTTTACGAACACTGTTCGTTACAAAAATTTTTCTGTGCCGTTACGGATCAGAAGTGGACTAGCTGGCCGAGTGAGAGTTTGTACAGCAGCTAAACGAATTTTTAAAATTAACATAAAGTAAACTAGTTTTTAATGCAAACAAACCTCCGTATTTAATTATTTTAATTTGAATCAGAACCCATAACACAAGTACCAGTACTCGTTCAGATACGTATGTATACATACGTCCTTTATTGCGGTACATTTTACTAATCGTAACTAACTTATTAACATCATACGGATTCCTATTGAGCACAATATAGATAGATACGTTTTTCGTGCAATCTGGGAATAAAAGATCTGCTGTCGAAGATGTGATTCTTACTGCTTTATTTATCGAAATCTTTACTTCTTACGGAATTCATAATATTATTATATGCTGTTGGGTTAGTCGTCACTGATAAAATAATTTACCTTTAGGTACTCGTGTATGATAATGTGTGAGTTCATTTAACATCAGATGACCTTTGCGATTTCTGCAGGGATATGCATACCGAAAACAACCACAACTGTCGTCCAGACACTAACCACTCAAAAACCCTCCAAAGGTCCCTATTCAAATGCGGGGCGGCGTTTTTTCTCCTTGCTGAATCTTACGCTGGGAATCGTCGCAGTTATGTGTATGCTACAATGGCTTTGATATCTTCGATTCCATGGCAAAGCGTGACTAGCTAGTCGTAAGTATTACTTATTGTTAATACAGCGCCAACGTTCGACATACCGTATTAAACTACGGGGGGTTGAAAATGTGAATGACGGAACATTGATGGAACACATGCAGATTTACGTTTATATTTAATTGGTCCTTTTGGGATTTGCGCTAACCAGAATTAATAGCGCTTTTCAAAGCTATGGAATTCCGTGGTGTTACAGCATGCTGTGCTTAATTGCCTGTATCTCGAAAGAAATTAAAATTAATGTTGTTATTCGTAAGGTGTAAATAATGAACATCGTGCGTAAATTAATCAAACTTGTCATGGAATATATATTTCTGAAATGCACAGATTATATTTTTATTGCTGTTAAGGGCTTGATAAATTCCTTGTGGGAATACGGTTACGTTAGATTGTACGAGATTGCAGGAAAAATCACTTATCCCACTGTTAACATTACCGTAATATGTCGAACATAGTATAATGTTCTTTCGAGTTACGGAACTTCCATTTCTACCTTATTGCTACATAAGTTTTGTTGGCAGGTCAGTTATTATTTCTGCATGTATTTTTCGAGCCCAAAATATACTGCAACTATAATGTGCAGCTTTAGTACATACAAGAATTACAACAGTGTAAAACGGTATGTATAATATTATGTAGTTATGCTATATAGTATACAAACGCTTTTGCTTCGCATGCCGTTACCTGTTTAGCGGCTCTCATTATATTTGAACGCGGGAACAGAAGTGGATCAGGAACGCGTGTGTGGTACATACAAACATATGCACTGCAGCGATGCGGGGCTTCCATGGATGATCCCTGGCATCGGCTCCAGGGATCATACAGCTATGCCGCGGGATACCTGCTGTTCAGCAGCATTAAAACTTTTCATGCATTCGCTTCCGGCAACACGCATATGTATCTCCACATCTCGCCATGGTATCCAGACTAATCCAGTCAACTCTGACGACATCGCTACTGCAGAGTGGTTGACAATGATAAACAATTAGCACAAGTTCCGTTAGTAACATTTTTCAGACCATTCATTTGTATCCCTAAATTGTTAATTACTGCATTTGCAGACGTCATTCACCGTTATGATGCTTAACTTGAACAAATGACTACGTCATAAATACGAGCACTGTCTAATCGCATGTCCCTGTAGTAAATATATCCAGTAACCAAAAACTCTAAGGATAGTTTAGCCCAAAGAAATTAGCAAATCGTCAATATCGTCAGCAATTTGCAAACTTATGGTGCCGGTTTTTACGTAAAATATTGCAGTAGGTGCTTAGTGATACAGAATGTAGCATCTGTAATCATTAATTAATAGTTTTAGGCAACTTTCATTCGTACGCAGTAAATTCATATTGAATAGCTTTCCATAAATAATTAATTCTGTTATGAGAAGGAATTTGTCACGTTCGTACGAACCGGCAGGTGATGCAAACAAATGGTTTTTGGCAACATGCAATCTGAAATTGTATAAAATGCAAAAAAATGACGATAGTGCAGTACTACTGTTCCGAGAGACATCGTACTTTTATGCTTACTGCTGTTAAGATGGATGTACAGACTCCGGTCTTGTAATAATTTAGAATCAAGCCAATGGTAATTTTCAGTGTCAGGTGGTCGTTTTCTGTGACTTACGACTAAAGTTCTGAATTGTAATTTTTCTTCAGGAATAAACTTTGTTTTAACGTATTCGTAGTAAAGAATTCAACGAGGTAAAAACAATTTAAGGACCTGAATGTTCACAAAAGTTGAATTAAATGCAAATATGCAGTGGCTTACATATGAAATATTGTCTAACAACAAGCTTATAATATATCGTTGTAATCGATTTAACGAATGCTAAACGGGTTTTCTAACCCAAATTAATTTTGTAATGAACTATGGTGCTTTGAGTTTTATTTATGACGCATTTTCAATGCACCGTTAAGTTACAACCAAAGGTCATTAAGAATAAACATAAAAAATTTATTGAAAGTGTTGTACAATCTTTGAAATGACTAGAATACGCAACCTACCCTTCCCGTTCGTCTTTCGATTGCTGGTAATTGTTACCAATGCGCGGTTACACACGCATCGCCTGCTCCCCATATTAGCCCACATAATGAAGGCGATCATGGATTGGGATGTCCCTCAAGTATATTCTGCTGCAACTAAATTAAATGTTGAAAGGCCATCATATGATTGCGGCAAACATTGTACGAAGACGCCTCTCTATTACCACATTGCGACCATCTGATGCTACAATGGTATGCAATATTATCGGATAAATCCCAGATGTTGCGTAATATTACATAGATGTTCTGGGAATTTCTTGGCCCGAGCGGTCAGTAAGTAAGGAATATTAGTGCCGTGTTGGGGGCGGCTCAACGGCGCTCACATGAGCATGTAAATGGGCGCGCGTGCTGTTTTCTGCTCTCCCGCGGTTTCCCGGCCGTCCCGGGTCCTGGAAATTCTCCCCAGCTGTCAGTATAGTTTTCCATCTGATGGTTAATTGCACTAAGTGCGCGACGGACCACCCCCTTTAGACGTGATCGTTTTGAGGGCCCAAGACGATTTTCTCCTAGTTGCACGGCTGCCCTGCGCTGCTGCTGCATGCTACGCATTTATAACGTATACGCACTGAGGCAATATATGCTGCATGGATTAAACATTAGCCGCCACATCCATTAATGATTGCCGCTACATTTCGTCACCTGGAGCATTTTCTCTCAAGTATCCCATACATGGCGACGTATTTGCCAAAAAGCGGGAATTTTCATCCAACATAATTGTGCCGTCGGTATCGTGGTGTTAGTGTGTATTAGCAAACATGCCCATATTGTACTGTCGGTATTGTTCCTGAACTGCGCATGTGATCGTGATATTGCGTTATTGGATGGTCCAACATATGTCTGGTTGTGGTTACTGGCGGAAGGTTGCACCGCTTGTACAGCCTGATTCAGGATTGCAGTTTTCCTCTATTACATACAGAATGATTTTAATAGTGCCTTTGTGCCTGGGCACGGTATCTCCATACAAATTGCAGAAAAAACTACAATTGCGGCTTGTATGAATGTGCCGGCGTTCATAATCCAGCGATCAATTTCTCGACAAGGTCGCACGTACGCCGTGTGTTATGAACTTGTACATTTCTTATATTCAACACTGTAATAACCGCTTAGATTTGCTCGGTACATTTTGTGATAAATAAAACCGGAAATCATCGGGATTTATGTTCCCACACCGTCTACAAAGGAGGATCTTTTCGTTGTTTTGCATGCATAGTTTTGATTTCCGCTGACCGTTGAAAAGAATCACTCATCCACAGCTGCATTCGACCCAGTGTGTGTCGCTGCAATGGCGTCCAGTCCCAGTCGCAGTCCACGGCATGAACCCATACCAGAGAATGGACATATTCCATTAAAGCGTAATGATGCCACGACATCCAGTGAGCGATGGAGCAAGAAAGAGGGAAGCAGTCGCTCAAAATCCGACCGCCGTCCCGCCCGATATCGAAACTGGGATAATCCAATGAACCGGCGAGCTTTCTCTTTGAACTTGAAATCCGAACGGCATTATAGCTTCGACATAACCGGGACACGGGAATCCATCAATTTGTTGAAGAATGTTGTCAGCTTAACGAGAGAAGAATTAGCTAGTAAAAGATTAGAAATCAAGTACTCGCCACGCCTCGATGAGTACCGGCGTCCCAACGATGCCGGTTTTGTCAAACTGAAAGGTACAGTAAGTGTAAATTAAGAGATTTGTCGCTCTGCTTATCATAACTGATAACAAGTTAATAGCTTGTTTAACAAAGAGCGCAGATAAAACGTAAATGCGCAAGCAGTCTTCTTACGGAAGATTTTCCGAAGGACGTAGCGCTGCATACGTCCACGGGTATATATATATATATGTATATATATACCTGTAGGTATGGATCCATGTCGAATCCTATTGTAACTTGTAAGTTTGTAACACAGGATAGGGAAAAACCGGATAGAGTTACATGTAAGCAAACCTAAGGCAGGCAAAGGGGATGTGCCTGTAACTGTATAATATAGCCAAAACTACAAGTGACTGCGTATAAGTGGACAGAGATCCACTCGATCAAGGAATGAGAGGAAAATGTCCGACGTACGTACAACCTCTGCCTCTGTTTCCGTAGCTAAAGGCTTTAAGGCAGTCTTGTGAAAAGTTGAAAGTGGTGATTGGTGTTAGTAAATAAAGTGGACGCCCAGCGGCTACTGAGATTTGCAATTATAATCTACATTGGCAGTGGAGGTTTTGTTCGTGCGGTTGTGGTAGTATAAAAGAGAAAAGTTCGTGGGAAGCGTTGCATTAGATGTCAGTTTAATTTTGTTTCCTCGGGAGTTGTGAAGTTGGGTTTTACTGTTGAGGCTCGGCATACCTGTTTTGGATTATAAGGTCACATATCGGACTGGATTATCTCTGGTGAGGTAAGATAGTGAATCCTTGATGCGAGGAGTGTTCTCGGAACTAGGTAAAATTGGTACCAGCTTTTTTTGCGAGTAAAATGAGTTTTGCAAAAGTTTGCGTGAGCAATGAAGAAGAGCCGATAGAGTGCAGCGTTGACGCAGTGACCGATTTAAGAGCAAAGAAAAAAAGAATGGCTTATATGTGTGAGTATATGGGAGACTATCATGGCAAACGTAAAAATAACGATGATGGAGCAGATACGGAGTGCAGTGGACTGTCAAAAGTTAAAAAAATAAAAAAACGTGAAATTAAAACTGTAGCGGCTAGCGGATCAAAAATGTCTCTGAACGAAGAGAAGGAATTGCCCGCAGATAAATACGAAAATGAGGATGCTTTAAAGGTCGCAAAAAGAGAAAAGCGGAAAGTTTATATGCGAGAGTACCGAAGGAGGGGTAATAATAACGGTAAAACAGTTGAAGTTGAGCACGGTGAACAGCCAAAAAATCGGAAATACCGAACACGTTGCAGTAACAAGGTATCGGCTAGTAGATCAACAGATGGTTCCATGAACGAAGCGCAGGAATTTTGTGCAGACGAGTTCGAAAATCAGGATGTTTGTAAAGCAAAAGAAAGAGAAAAGCGGAGGAATTATATGAGGGAGTATCGTAAACGTAAAAAAATCGGCGGGAAAGATGAATTTGATCACGTTTCACCGTCAATAGTTACTGCGATCGGAGATTACGAAGAAAAAACTATAGATGGTGAAAATGCGAAAATTTGCGGTGGTGATGAAAGGGAAAAGCTTTGCATAGAGAAGCATCAGCTGTTAAAAGTGAAAAAAAGAGAGAAGCAAAAAGTCTATATGAGAGAGTATCGACGCAAACAAAGGGGTGTTAAAGGAATAAAAGATGCAGTTGGAATACATAAGCGGAGGAGAGAAAAACATGTGTTGGGTACGGAAAACTTCAAAATGAAAGGTAGAAAATCGAAATATTCGCCGAAAGGAATACGGATTTGTGAGATCTTTGGGAAGTCATACAAGGGTTCCGTTAACGTATCATATGTAGGTTGCGATTGCTGTTCAGTAGTTGAAAGGAGTGACAGGTGTGATAGGAACGATGGAGTAGGGCATCCTGAACTACCCATTGATTGTGTTTTATGCCATGATTGTGGAAGATTTGAGGCAAACGAAGTTACACCGTTTTGTCCAAGAAGCTTTACTTTAAATAATTTAGATCCTGGTGAATTAGTGCCAGAACTGCAGCTTGGGTATATGGAATTACAGTGCGTGCGGTTGATATTTCCGTTTTCCACGATTTTGTTTCGAGCTAAACGATTACTGCATGCAGCTGGGCAGTTTCTTCATATTGTTTCTGACATTAATGAGTGCACTTCTGCACTTTTACCGAGACCATCTAATGAATGTCTGTTGGCAGTAAATCAAAGAAAAGGCGAAAACGCTGTAACTTCGCATTATTCTGTAGATTTTGACACGGTGTATACCGCTCTGGAATTTTAAGAGAAAACAACAGGTTTTATGAAAATATTATACTGAGGGGTCGAGAAGACGTTTTGGAACAATATCAGTGCGCCGATGTTTTAGTAAAAATTGATGTACACGACAGCCTTGCACTCATTAATTTTGGAGGTGTAATTCCTGAAGAATTTTCTACAGGTCCGGAAAGGACACTGCCTTATCAAAATACGGCAGTCTTTAATTTGAAAGGAAACTTTGGTTTGGAAGAAAAATGCTATCCAAATTTGTTTCCTTTTGGTAAAGGGGGTGTGGAAGATGACCGGGAGTGTCGCATAGATTACGGAAAGTATTTTGAAATTCGATTGTTAAGCAAAGATAACCGGTTTCAGAAGGATCCGTCGTACGTATTTCGGTGTCTTAATGTTTATCAAAGGGAGTTAATGTGCAAAGAGGTCAATTATGTATTACGGGATGCCCAACAATTTACTAATGGCCAACGGGATACGGTAGAACTGTCTAAATGTTTGTATCCAAAAGTGGGAGCTGTTTTGCGAGGTACAGAAGCGTATTATAACAAAGCAAAGTGGCAAATGAAAAACATGTTTAGATGCAAAGGTCCGCCTCAGCTTTTGTGAGCATAAATTTGCGGAATTGCCCGGAGTTATTATGTTTTGCTCATCCAGAAATTTACGGTGATATTGAAAGTCATCAAGACTTGGGAAGAACTGAGCTTGCAACTGAGGAAGAAATACTGAAAATCATAAACGAAAATTGTGGGGTTGCTGCAAAAATGTTTCAAAAAAGAGCGGAAAGTTTTGTTACATTCTTGCGTTCAAAGACATCTAGGGCGTTTCCAGAAGGAATTTATGCTAAAGATGTTTTTACTAAAATCGAATTTCAAAGAGCAGGTTACCCCCATTTGCACTGTCTCGTTTGGCTTAATGTGGGTTTTAATTACGAAACGGAAACTGGAAAAAAGGAAATTATTGAATTTTTAGATAATTTTCTTACTACGCAAATACCTGAAAACGAGGCAGACAGACAACTTGTTTTAAAATGCCAGAAACACGTTCACACTTTCACTTGCCGTAAAGGTCGAAAATTGTTTCGCAAAGATGCTGAAAGTAATGTTGCTGAGACAGAGAAACACGTCGTAGGTGAACGGACAGACGGTAAATGCAATGTTACTGAAAATTCACCGTCCGAATGTGAGTCTAACGATAGCGAGACAGGAGACGTGCCCGAACGAAAGTTTAAACAGGAACGCATGTTATGTAGATTCGGTTATCCCCACCGAAGATCTGAAACTACGCGCTTTCTAACTTCTAAAGAATGGAAAAATAGAGTTAAAGGAGACAAAGAAGTTACTTTGAAGCGATTAACTGAAGACTCCGTGGACATTGTCCCATATAATATGGATTGGATAAGGCTATTTAAATGTAATATGGACGTTCAGGTAGTTTGTGACGTATGGGCTGCTATGGAGTACCTTTTTAGTTATGTCGCGAAACCCGAACAGAAAGATAGGGAAATATTGAAAAAACTTTTTGATGATCCGGACAACTTAGAGAAATACAATTCTGTCAGGAGTATGCTTTTCAAAGCAGCCAACGCAGTTTTGTCTAACCGTCAAGTCGGAAAAGTAGAAGCCGCCATGATCGTTTTAAAGTGCCCGTTATACTATTCCACTACATCTTCTGTATACGTTGACCTAAAAAATGCTGAGCAACGGTCAGAGTTATTAAAAAGAAATATAATTTTTCATGGAAATTTCACAAATTCGGATTTTGTACCAACAATGCTCATTAACTATAAAAATCGGTTATCAGATCAGCATTCGTCGGAAGTTTCAAAGTTTTTGGAAAAGATGCACCTCTTCGATTTTTTGCAGTGGTTTGTCGTTGATTCCACCAAAAAAAGTTGCATAGAAGAAAATGTTGATGGTGACGATATGGAAGCTGCAGACTGCGTCGATGTTGAAAAACTTGTTGTAAATCCCCTTTGGAAAAAACAAAAAAATGTAGAACCGTTTGCTTGTGTAACAAAAAGACGGTGTGCGCGTTTATTCACTACTAATGGTACGCAAATGCGAGTGCGGAAAACCCCGAAAAATGTTGCTTTTGCGCTTAGCAGTAAAAATTCTCGGGATAAATTATACGGGATCTGCATGCTGACGTTACCGTTTTCAACAACAGAGATCAATGAATTGTATAACTTAAAAGGAACTGATGATGAATTTTTAAAGGCATTCGAAGCTGTAATTCCAGAAGTATTATCCAGTGCTGAATGGTTGCCGGAAACTTACAAGAGCATGATTAGAGCCGAAGTTGAGTTGGCTGGCAGTAAAGAATACTTACGAAACATGAGAGTTCAGAATACTTTGTACAAAGGAAAAGACGGTTGTGCGATAGCAGCGGGTATTAATAATTCAGAAAATAATGAAACAGGATGTAGTTTTATCGTAGAGAATGTTGATAAAACTTGTTTTACAGCTGAACAGCTTGCAGTGTACGAAACTGTTGAGTCATACCTACATCGATGGTTGCAACATCGAAGAAAAGTTGCAAATGGAGAGAAATGTGACGATTTAGAGCCGTTTCGCATCTTTGTGCAAGGATCGGCTGGCTGCGGAAAAACTTACCTTATAAAATCAATAATAAAATTGGTCAGAAATTTTTGCATTGCGGAAAAAGGAATAGTATCGACAGCACGATACCATGGTGGTTGCTTAGTTGCTGCGCCCACCGGCTGTGCAGCCCATAATATCGGTGGTTCAACGCTACATGATTTGTTCGGATTGGACGTGCAAGACGGTGCCTTTCAAGGGTATCGGGTTTCGACTGGTCAGAAGTTAAACAATCTGCGTGGTAAACTAAACGGTGCGATAATGTTAATTGTTGATGAGATATCAATGGTAGGAAGGAAGTTGTTTTATCAAGTCAGTCAGCGGTTGAACGAAGTCAAAGATACCGTTCAAAAAAAAGGCTCATTTTTTGGAAACCTACCGGTAATTCTTTTCGGTGATTTATTCCAGCTGCGGCCTGTCCAGGCAAAATTTATTTTTGAAAATTGCGGGGAACTAGTAGATTTGTGGAAGCTTTTCTCGCCGGTTTTCTTTAAAATCAATATGAGGCAGCTATCGGATGACGGCTTTAGAGAAGGGCTTGAATCCTTGCGAAAGGGCTTGCTAACAGTTGAGTTCGATAAACTTTTAAGGAGTAGGTGCCTGAACCCATCAGTAAATCCTGATGGGTACGTTGACGTGAAAAGAGAATATGAAGAGAGGTTTAAGGACACTATTCATCTTTTTTACCGCGTCAAATGTACTCAAAAATTTAATTTTACCTCGCTAGTGCAATTAGCAAAGAGTGCTAGCACGCCTGTTTTCGAAATAAAAGCAACGGATACCGAAGATTTGGACCACATTAAAAGAAAGAGTGTAAAGAAAGCTTTGAAACCGTCAAAAGATGCTAAAAGTACGGGTGGACTAAATGAGCACCTGCATGTTGCAAAGGGTTGCAGGGTTATGTTGACGCAAAATATTGATGTCAACAGCGGTTTGGTAAATGGAGCAAGAGGTACTTTGCTCGAAATGTTGTGGTTTCGAGAAGAAACGGGAACCGACGAAACCACTCCTGAAATACATGACTGTTTGTATCCTGACTGTTGCAGACCAGATACAGTTCGAGTCAAAATGCCCAGTAGAATGAAAATTCTATTTGACGGAAATACAGAACCATCCATTATTCTACCAGTCACTTCATATTTTTTTGATTTAAATAAGGTTGCGATGCGGAGAACGCAGTTTCCGGTAATTTTGTCTTACGCTATGACTATTCATAAATCTCAAGGCGCAACAATTTTGACTGGGTCAATAGATTTAAATTTCGGCAAGTGTAGGCCGCAGGGTGGGTTTTATGTCGCTTTATCGCGCTTTCCTAGCGCATCGGCGTTTGTATTATTGGATTACACTCCTGAATCTTTTGCGTTTTCAAAATCAGCATTAACTGAAATTCAACGGTTAGAAGCATATGGAATTCAGTCAACGACTTAGATAAAATAATTTTGTGAAGCACACGAAATTTTGAAGTTCAGTTGCTATTTCGTTATAAGAGCTACAGTTGAACAAAAACGCTCAAATATAAATCAAAGAATTACAGAAATGACATCGCCAAAAAAGTTCAAAGGTCCAGCGCCGCCATTTACAATTGCCGACGCCATTGGAAAAAAACCCGATCGGTAGGATACTTTATCATAATTTTTGTTACTGTTTTAATATGATTTTTTGAAGGTTCTCGCTGACAGTAACTGTTGCGGAAAAAAGCGCAGTGCGTTCGAAAAAAGGCTATGGTAATACTGGAAAGTTCCAATCTGTCACTCTTGTGGATGCCACCGGCATCTTGCCCATGTGGATTAATGAACAGTTCCTCGTCACGTATGGAGAACAACTGATCGTTGGAACCAGTTATAATTTGCGGTTTGAGAAAGGAACAATTCAACCAGGAAAATCGAGTGTGGACGGAAGTTGCTACTTCATTCCAAGCGTGAATCCTGGATACGGATTGGAAATCATCAAACTGGAAGACCAAGGTATTGGTACAGATAATGTTGCATCATTTTGAAAGCCGTTTGCCATTTCGAATCTCGCCAGTATTATAAATTAACCGTTCAGTAGAAAAAATGCATCATTTTTGAAGGTATGAATGACAAGCATGAATAAAATATTTTAAAATAGTTTATTTTACGTATAAATCAGTGAATTGTTGTACGAGAAACTTCAAAGTTAAAGCCACGAGCACTTCCTTTTTTGTAGATGGATTACTGAAAGCGGGAACGCTGGCTGAGCATGGCAAGGTTACTGTGAGCTTCCGTCAGCCATCTGCGTACGTCATTGCTACCTGCAGTGCTAGACCAGTGGATCTGGGGACAGTTGAAACCGAAAGTCAGTGTGGGTTCTGTGACTGCAAGTTGTTGGATGAACCTCATACCGGAAACTCGTTTTGTTCTGGATGTCAAAAAGAGCCAGAAGGCAATGCCAAGACTTATTACAAGCCAACGCAGGCAAGTCCTTTGTTATTTATGACGTGTTATGTTTAAGTAATGACCTCAGCCAGAAGGATTGAGGCAAGTTGGTAAAGACATTGGTTTTTCGCCATAGGTTACTTTAGTAGATCAAAGCGGTCAACTGGATGTGGTAGCTGGAGATTCCATTCTGTCGAAATTTTTCGGGAAAGCAACGGCATTGCCAACGGCTGATTATGATTGGACATCAAAAACAACCAATATCTTGAAACGCCAGTGGACGAACACAGCGGTAAATTTATATGATTTTAGTCCGTCTGTACGTGTTTGATTACTTGGTCATATAAATGATTACCATATCAAACCGTTTATATGGTATTGGTAGGATGGACCAGTTAACCGCTGGCATTGGATTGATATGAAGAACGGTAAGGTATTGATAACAGTCTAATAAATGGCAAACAAAAGTCGTCATTCGATTCTATAATATTTGTGTTGTATACTTTTTCGCATTTAGCAGAGCATTATGCATATTTGTTTTAGAGGTAACCAAATCAAAGAGCGGTGGACCTGGAACCGGAAAACAGCAAGAAAAACATGGGAATGCGGATCAGAAGAATAACAGTGGTCGAGACAATCGCAAGGGAGGCTGCAACAATTGAGAAGTTACAAAAACATTGAAATAACATTATAAGTGTTGCTGTGCTTTATTGTTTATAACCATCTTGCGTTTATTCCGAATTATGAAAACAAAAACACATAAATTTATAATAGAACCTAACGTTTAATATTTGTGTAGATACGGACCGAACTTACATCAAGACGGATTGGTCCATTCTGCGGATGTCGGAATTACCCTCCATATTTTCGCATTATAACGTATCCCATGAATGCTTGGTCTTATTATTGTCTGCATGTGCTGGAAATAAGAACTTGTTGGGACGCATTTGACTCTCAGTATCACTAAACGACATTGGATTATTTTCTGTAAACAAGTTGTGTTTTGCTCAATTACACTCTTACCTATTGGTTGAATGGAAAACCGCTCTTAATCACCTGCTTTACTTAGACAGTGAGCGCTTTATTTCGTTGTTTGCATGAATACAAAATGGTTAGCGGAAACGGTATTTGCTAACTTGGTTTGTGGAAAAAATAAAATTTTCATCTCCAGTTTACAAAAAATTAATTATTAGTCGCCGCTACATTCGAAAACAACATCATTATAAGTTGCTTAGATTTTCTGCTGGCCGATATGACGCAATAAATTCGGTTTTCCTATAGCTCGTTCCAGCTCAGAGACAGTGAAATAGGCCGTAAATAACTGATGTCCCATTATCAAAGAGCAAAATGTGCACAACAAAAATATAGGTTCATTTCAGTTCCATAATTGTACACCGGCACATGCCACAACGGAATTTCCCTTTGAAATATAAAAAGTTCATCCAAACGATCAATATCGTTTGAGAAAAAACACACAACCTGTTTCCTCAATAACATACATATATTCCTGAACAAAATTTTTCATAAAAACGATATAACAGAAGCAGACCAATCCAATGCTGTAATTTTAAATCCTGTTTTACAGCAGCCGGGGAATATTTCATAGTTCCGTTAATCAGGTTTGTAAGATTTCGTAATCCAATCGTCTTAATCGTTATCGCTTCTGCGGTAAAGGCGACAGTATCCATGGTGTTGGTGAAGCCTGTAATAACTGCTACACGACCTCCTCTTCGCCATATTCCACGGATAACCAAAGATTTTGGACTTGTCTTCAAATAGTAAACAAACCATGGAAAGCTGGAGAGCTTTAGCAAAATCACAGTACACCGCACTATTAAAGGAATAATATTTAAGCACTACCTTCTTCCCACGAGCTTCCCGGAAATGATATTGTGGTCGATTGTATGACCTACGTCTGGCAGATGCTTTCCCAACGTAAAAAATACTTTTGACAAATTCAACAAAAGATACGTTATTATCTGTCTTACGTGACAAAACGTAGAGATAGGCAGACATTAAATATTGCCATATGGGAAAAATAATAAAAAAGTGCCTCTAAATTTTCATCTGCAGCCGATACTCAAGTAAAAAAGACCAGGACAAGGAAATGAAATCCACGCATTGGGTTTATCTTATCTGTGGATGGTGATCTCAGTTTAAAGATTAGCTCTGCACTGACCAGTACCAAACGGCTTTGTTTATTGTAAGCCGGCGCAGTATTGTTGGTACTAAGTGTACGTTATCCAACTGCGTGACGGGACCGCCAGCGGATATCTGATTTTCTTGTGACGCGTCACTTTTATTTTCGAAACTTTCTTACGTACTTTTTTTCATAAATATGTCAGCAGATTCTGATATCCGATCAGCAAATGCATAATTAAATTCGAAGAGTCTATATATAAAATCCACCGCAAGGTGTGAACAAAAATTAATTCCGTGCCGTAACTTGACCGAAGTGCACCAGATCGCTTGCATTTGCAACGCACACTTTTTATTTTGGGAAATAATGGAGATTTAAAAAACCAAATGTAATCCAAAACAAATGAGCCCCTTAAAAAACATTATCAAAACAGAAATATACAACGGATGTCTAACAGACATTTTGAAATATTCGCCGTAAAAAAATTGAATTCATCCCGTGACCTTTACCGCCATTAACATGCTTGCATTCTCCGAAACCAAAAATATGAACTCTCTCGAAAATGTCCTTGCGGTAAATCCGTAGCCAAGAAGTGAACGCCTTTTAAAACGAGCATCGAGTTACGAATCGAGTTAGGAATCTGAAACATTTGCGCCCGTCAACCACATATATGCTTCAATAAATTGTCTGGATATTTTCAAAAAAGGCTAGCGATAAAATTATTCTTTCTTACATACGCTATCAAGTTGTCAACCATAGTTACATTTGCAGATAATCTGTATCAAGTATACGCATCATCACTGACTGCATACCTTATTCAAAAGCGCATGGGCAAGGCTGTCGGCGAATTCCAATACCCACTTTCAGAAGCTCTCGCGATCGTGGAGTTGGTGGTGTGGACATGGTTATCTCCATGTAGGTGGGGTATTTGCGTCGATCCAACCGGCGGCAGTAGCAGCGATCGTGAATCAGAATTGGCTCTCCAAAGATGTTGTCAGATACCGTCAACTTCCATTTAAACTGAAATGGCAAAACCACGAAGCATATTGCGCGGAAAGAAAAAGTAAATTTAGACATGTCTGCACTTTTCAAAAGCATTAACAAATGCAAAGACAGGAACAAAGCAATAAAAGTTTACCACGTTAAATGACAAAACCGTATCAATAGGCAACACTCTGCTGCAGTTTCCAACGTGAAGGAAGTGATTTCACAAGCACATTTTAGCAACCATCATAGGCCGCAGAATTGGTCCAAAAGCATAATGTCCTCGTGTGCACTACCAACCTGACGTATGACGCCTGCCACCCTGAAAGATACTGGCATCCCCATCCTTTTATTACTAATTAAAGAACATCTATTTCTCTCATGGTTATTCTGTTCTGTGCCAAGTTGATTTACTTGCAAGCAAACCAGCTTCGCGACAGTGTCTCCCGAGTGCTCTTTGCAATAAACCGAAAAGCGGCAAAATTCCAGTCATAGAGATCACATTAATCCAGTCGGTTTAACTTAAATGGTATAGTATTAGTAACATGAACGGTCAATAAAGTGACCGGAAAAGTGACATTGAGCCACCAGCATGGAAAGCAATCAATGAGCAACAGCTGTGCTAGTAATAAAATACCTTTCCCAGCTAACTTGTTAGGAATTACTTATTTGAAAACTTGTTAGCCGTCACCATGTTAACTTGTTAGAATTCATTTATTTGAAAACTTAGGAACGAATCAAACCGAAATGCACCTACGAAAAAATATAGAAATTAATACTGGATATTCTTTTAACCGTTTTGTTGTGTAGCACAATTGTTCCTTAACAGTAAACGTTTTCGTTTTCAAATAAAGGAAAAAGGACCAACTCCGAAACCATTTTGGAGTTCCCACAGCACATGTTCTCACCTACAATATTATTCGACTCCGGTGCTAAAAACTACCGTAAACGTCAGCCGTCAAAGATCACGCATGTGAAAGGTCACGATAAACCATCTTAAGAATGATATGTAATAACCATCTTTATGATCAAACACATGCGAACCAGCTTTATTCCATCCACGTAGCAACAGAGAGAAACAGAGAGAGAGAGAGAGACTAATTCAGAATGTCCCTTAATTAATCTGACAATTCCATCCCGGAATTTGGGAATGACACATTAGCGGCTGCTTTATAAAATCGGTTTCTTCTACTTAATCGGTCTCGCGCCACAGAGAAACAAATCAGCATAAATCGTCCTGCACGTATTAATATTGTGTGGCCAGTCGCCACCCTCAGAATTACAGACATATTAGCGGCATCTGTCACAGGAGATAGTGTTTCTCAACGTATACCGCGCCGGACTCTCCGAATACATTAAACAGGCTAAATTATCCAGCGCGACTGATTAATGAGACTTTTAATGAGACGCGACCAGAATGGTATCGATAATCTTTCCAAAAATATCGTGAAACCACAATAAACTTTCCCAGCCATGCGATATGCGCACATAATACCAGCGTGCCAGATCCAACAACAAATATTCAGAGAAATGTATTAAATTAATAATGTTACTGGGTGATTATATTTGTTGGTTTCAACTTTCAAGTACAACAGATCATTAAGATTTTAGCTTCCACCTCACTGAAAACCCTTCATAAAACTAGTCTATAAACCACCACATTTGTAACACAAAGTGGCGTTCTGGGTAGCGCATGTATTGTGCTTCTTAAAACTTTATTACTGATAGTACGTTTTCTGTTTGGCATATAAATTTACAGAAATAAATCTGCACAGAAATGTACATCCTTTTGTAGATAATGTTTCTTTAGGCCTGTATGCTGGTATGTACGTATCACAGAATTATGAAGTCAGTATGTACGTAGCACAGAATTATGAGGTCAGTCGTGACCACTTAGAGTCAACAATTTTAAAATTTTTAACCATTTGTCTTTTATAGATATCGGTATGTTGCTTCCATAGCAAGAAAATAAATAATGTCCTCGTATGCACTACCAACCTGACGTATAACGTCTGCCACCCTGAAAGATACTGGCATTCCCATCCTTTTATTACTAATTAAAGAACATCTCATCGAACATTATTACTAATTAAACAACATCTTATTTTCTCTCATGGTTATGCTGTTCTGTGCCAAGTTGATTTACGAAAAGCGGCAAAACTCCAGTCATAGAGATCACGTTAATCCAGTCTGTTTAACTTAAATGGTATAGTATTAGTAACAGGAACGGTCAATAAAGTGACCGGAAAAGTGACATTGAGCCACCACCATGGAAAGCAATGAAAGAGCAACAGCTGTGCTAGTAATAAAATACCTGCAATATTATTCGATTCCGGTGCTAAAAACTACCGTAAACATCTGAAAGGTTACGATAAACCATCTTAAGAATGATATGTAATAGCCATCTTTATGATCAAACACATGCGACCCATCTTTATTCCACCCACGTAGCAACTGTTCTCACAGAGAGACAGAGAGAGAGAGAGTGACCAATTCAAAATGTCCCTTAATTAATCTGACAATTTGATTCTGGGAGTTGGTAATGACGCATTAGCGGCTGCTTTATAAAATCGGTTTCTTCTACTTAATCGGTCTCGCGCCATAGAGAAACAAATCAGCACAAATCGTCCTGCACGTATTAATATTGTGTGGCCAGTGGCTACCCTCAGAATTACAGACATATTAGCGGCATCTGTCACGGGAAATAGTGTTTCTCAACGTATACCGCGCCGGACTCTCCGGATACATTAAACAAGCTAAACTATCCAGCACGACTGATTAATGAGACTTTTAATGATACGCGACCAGAATGGTATCGATAATCTTTCCAAAAATATCGTGAAACCACAATAAACTTTCCCGGCCATGCGATTTGCGCACATAATACAAGCGTGCCAGATCCAACAACAAATATTCAAACAAATGCATTAAAATAATGTTACTGGGTGATTATATTTGTTGGTTTCAAGCTACAACAGATCATTAGGATTTCAGTTTCTATAAAGCACCACATTTGTAACACAAAGTGGCGTTCTGGGTAGCGCATGTTTTGTGCTTCTTAAAAAGTTATTACTGATAGTACGTTTTCTGTTTGGCACATAAATTTACAGAAATAAATCTGCACATAAATGTACATCCTTTTGCAGATAATGTTTTCTTTAGGCTTGTATGCTGGTATGTACGTAGCACAGAATTATGAGGTCAGTCGTGACCACTTAGAGTTAACAATTTTAAAATTTTTAACCAGTTGTCTTTGATAGATATTGGTATGTTGCTTCCATAGAAAGAAAATAATTAAACAATAATCTCGCTTTGCAAATTTCGATAAAAACAGATCGCGTTTTTTCCAAAATGTTTGTATACTATTACTGTATGCGATTTATGCCAGTGTGTTGAAAATTAATCAACAGAATTTTAACGTTACTTAAATCAACTGTGCAGGGTAACACTGCAGTTCGCAAACCCCCGTAGAACACTCGACAGCTTTCTTGTATCCTCGGCTGTACGTACTCAACGAAGTGACCGTTGAGAATCCCGACTATTTCACACAGCTCCCCTGCACACAAGCAAAGATGCAAGACACCCGCTGGTACGTGTTAGAAAACCGTATCGGCATGTTGCTCTGGGTTGGACCAAATGTGGACCAGCAATTTCTGCAGGACGTTTTCGGAGCTGTCATAGCCGGTCAAATCGAAGTCGATAAGGTAAAACTTGATTGTAAGCGGTCTCTAAATTCAGCAGAGACATGGTTCAGTAACCTGCACGATTTGCAAAACCTTGTGAGTGGATATTTTCCACACTATATACTCTATGAACAAGTAAAATTAATTGCCATTGTTACCGAATAGTATTCTTTTTTTCACTACGATGCAACGTAACAACATTTGTCTTCTAACTAAGTAACAACATTTGTCTTCTAACTAATCAGCAAACTGAGGAAAGTGAGTAGCATCTCCTGCGACATTATCCACCGAGTTACAATTACTCCCTGATGTTATTGACTGGAAATTTACTATTACTTAATAGTTCCTATTACAATAGCAAGTGCTGCAGATCAGAAATAAATTATGCACAACAATAACGGGAAAGGGAAATCCTTCCTTTTTATCTTTAAAATCAGCAAACCGAAGTTACCAAACTGAAGCGGAAACGGAAATCAACATCAGGCGGACGGTATTTTCAACCTACCACGAGGCGGCAGCCACATGCAAGAACTGTTGCAGGAGACCGGGCTGCAGAAGAAAGTAAGTACCAACTGGAAATCTGTTTTCGTTTTCTGCAGTCCGAAGAAAGTAAAGATCCATCAAGTCTATCTGTATACATCTTTTTGATATATCGAAATTTGTTTATGGTTTGAAATACAATACACCGCTTATTATACCGCATATTTATCAGTAACAGTTGTCTGCTGAAGAGATCGATCATTTGTTAATTCCACCTGTTTGTTATCAGACGTGCTAAGTCAGTGTTTCTCTCGTGGATTCTCATCGTTTTAAATCGTCGTCAAACCTTACTGACGTTACTCACCGCCATGCCTAAACACGATTCCATTTCGCTGGCCGATTACGACTTGGAATCCGGGGAAGAAGACTATGCGTTTGCCAATTATGACAACGATCGTTTCGCTGATGAGATGGACGAACTGGAACGCGAGCGAGATGGCGAGGCTTCGACAGCCAAAGATGCTGCTGCGAAGACCGTCGATCGGAAAGATGGAAAGACAGAGGAAGCTGCGGAGAAGAAGCCTAAACGAGTCATGGGGCCGCCTGTTAAGTTGGACCCTGTGTGGACCGCCGGGACTGCCGGCGCTGGTGAAGGATTTCGAGAACATCAAGTGGCGTCCCAACGGATGCGACGTGCGAGCGTACCAGGAATGAACCAGTGAACAGACGAAAAGTTGGATAACCAACAGAATACGTAATATGTACTTTACGGCATTTTTAGCGCATTGCTTGATTACTCTAGCAGCATCATTATCACGAATCATAAAAATTGCACGGTTGATCAACAAAATGGTATTAATTTGGATTAAGATTTGATCAACGCTACTGGTTGTGCATTACTACTAAATCTTTGGTTACGGCAATATAAGACAGTTTCGTCTACCGGTTTAGGTAAGTATTAACAATTTACCTTTCTGTCTATTTTGTAGAAAGAAAATCTACAAATTTTGATGAGGAAAATGGAAGCGTGGGCGCACAGCATGTATCCCAAGGCTCGCTTTGATGACACGCTGGAAAAGATCAAACATATTGGAAGCAAAGCCAAAGTTAAGGTCAGGCAGCTGTGCAATGTTCACGTCTTCAGGTAAAAGTAGGAAAACCCGCTAGTAGTGCAGCAGGCGATAAAAAATCAAAATGACCGTGCAGTCCTTGCTCTCTGTCAATAAAATGCAAGCGACGAAAATTGGTCTGTTTGCTGCTATCGGTCTTTGATAATAACATCACGACGGGTACGATCAGCCGACAGTCTTCTGTCGAGCGAAGGATCTGCATGAGTTCCGCTTGCATTAAACAATCTTACAGACGTGCGTCAAAAGGCTGGTTCGGGACTTCCGGTGCTTCCCGAGGATTGCGTGGGGGCTGACTTAATCGAAACGGACACTCCTAGTAAAAATACGGGAAACGTTGCGGCTAACCCTAGGATTTCTAATAATGCTAAAGACGAGGATTTCGCTTGGTTTGAACAAATGATGGCGGATTCTGACGCACTGGCGCAAGCACAGATGCTTTCCTCGCTACCACTCGTGATCGTTAGCGCTACCACTCGTGATCGTTCGCGCAGGTTGGTAATTGTGAGATCCTTCTTTAATATTGACGCATTTTTCTGCTTCCGTAAGCTGAACGGATGTGTAATAGCGTATGCGCTTCACGTTGTCTTGTCAGAACAGTGACCTCAGGCAGCATATACTACGTAATGTTCCTCTTGATGCGGTGTTGTTAATAGTTTGTCGCCTGTCGTTGTGAATCACTACTCGAATTCCAATCCAGAATTGAAAGGTCAGCCTGCTTTGAATAAGCAGAACAACAATTACGGTTCGGAAAAAGCGCCTCTTCTTCTTTGATCAAACTAGGGTGAGTACAATGGTATAACTACATAACTAACTAACTATAACTACATGGTAGAATGGTATATAATTTCACTTGAAAAGTATACCCGAGTGAAAGCTCAGTCATGGTTTCAGAGAAAAGAAGAAACCATTAAGATCTCCATAATGGATAATTTTCTGGAGGATGATGATTTTGATCAGGAGCTCAATGCCATGGAAAACATTTCGTAACATGGTAAAAAGATGTGCAAAATTGAAACATCTTTTGCAGTCATTTAGTTTTTTAATATAAAGAAAGATTACGGGTGTCAGACAGGTGAACTATCAACAGTTTTCCAGCTTTTTCGTCTGGAATGCATCAAACTGCTGGCCAACCGGCAAAACGGAAGTTCATGATGCAGGAAGATGACGACGATATTGGGAGTGAGTCAGGAAAGCTCTTGATGCGAGTGGACAAAGGTGGTAAAGCCGCTCAGCCAGAAAAACAAAGGATTATGATCAACGAAGACGACGATGTTGTTAGCCGCCCGAATCGTGTCCACACCAACGACGACGCTGATGCCATCCCGGCGGGCATACGAAAGGATGTATTCAGTGAAGACAGCGACGACGATGCCGTCAGCCAGTCGAAACTTGTGGCCGCCGAAGCACAGATCGATATCGCCATTCCGGCGGGCAAGCCAAAGACTGGGTTCTTTCAAGTCGATGACGATGATGTGTCTAACCAAACGGGAAAAGCTTGTAATTGTGGAAGACGATGACGACAACAATGTTGTCATCCAGCCGGCTAAATGAAAGCCTGTAGTCACGGAAGACGACGACAATATGGATAGGGCGAACTACGATGAGATGGACGCGCTGGCATTCATCAATGCGGATTAGTCGCTATTATCGCTTTCATAGCCCCGCTTTGTCATAAACTGACGACCATACCGATGTATATCGCCATATTTTGCTGACGACTTGTTGTCTCTTCTTTTTGGATTGTTCACATTACCTGTTCATTTGTGCTGCAGCTACATCTACTGCGCTTGTCATTAAAATTTTTGTGTTTGTATTCCAGTGATGTGCATTTTACGCTTTTCTAGTTTCTTCCTCATTCCGAAGATTTGATTTAAAAACAGTATTGTGATTTATAATTCTTGAGGATGTGGCTTTATAGCATGGTGATTCGTCACTTTTCATCTTATCTGTCGGTTGAATTATCCGGTCGTAGACTTGCTCTTGCTGCTTCAACACAATAAAATAATCTTTTTTAGCGGCCAGCACCATGCAGTTAAAAGTTTTTATATGACTAATTTGCTTGATGCATTTGACTAGTCGACATAAATAACAAATTCGCCGCTAAAAATCAAAATTTATTGGTTACTTGTTAATAACCTGATATTTTCAATTTTGTGAATGCACGTTTAACATTCTAGCCTAGTGAAACATAAGATTCATTACGAAAAATACAAACTACGATTTCCAACAACTCAGAGTTTACGAAAAAACTAAGAACTACACTATCGGTAAAAATTGAGTTTTAAACATTGTATTAGCAGCACAGTGGTATTTCAGCTGTTCTGAAAATTAGAAAAAATTCGTACACGATTTGTTCTTACTTCCTCATCTCTTTTGTGCATATCATATCTCACTACAATGGAAGATAGTGTTCAAGATCCAGTGCTGCAATGCAGTTAAGTCTTAGAACGACCTTAACAATTACATGACGGCGTATATATAAGCAGATGCATGAAATGTTTCAAAACGAGCGTACCGTCGTTGTTTTCTTTGAAAGCCACATAAGTTTAAAAAAGGCACAAATGTTACTTCATCCAGTACGGCTGCATTTACCGCCCAAGGGAAGTGCCGAATTCCCCCCAAGAAACCTCTTTTAAGCTGCGCTGCCCTGTTACAGGAGTGGCAAAGCTGGTAAATTATGGAGGCAGCAGATGTGTATTTACTACCAATAATACCTGCGCTTAGCCAAAAGAACACGTTCTTTTGTTACCAGGTACACGGCGGGGACGTGGCAGGCAGTGTACCCAAACCTGGATACCTTTGTACGCGGGCACCGTACCTCACTAGGTATCCAGGCCGGCCGTAAGGTCCTTAGTGCCCGATATGATATATCATGGAAAAGGACTTTATGCTTAAAATTTGCAAAACGATTAAAACCAATAATTTAAACTTTATTAATGTCATATTCCACTGCATGGTTTATTTCTTTTTCGCCAAGTAAGGCGAGTTTTGCTTGTTAGCTAAAAACTGTTGCATATTCTTAACATACGGTTTCAAATTGCATTCTTTCATCTTAAAGTTCAATTCGTACTCATGTCTTGTGAGACAAGCGTATTCGAGTAGCTCATTACCGATCTGATTTGGCACGTTTCTAAAAAAAAATATCACTTGGTTGCCCCTGTTTTGGAACGTCTTCCACTTTCCTAACCCGTCCTTTCGTTTGCATTTTTTCACAAATTCCGTATCGAAATTTTCAGCGCCAACTCCGTATTTTCGTTTTTTAAAAAATGCGGCAGGGTAGGCTGTTCCAGGTAAGCGCAGAATCTTAACCCACGGACACGTAGTCATCCTTACCAAAGCCGCTTCGTCACTCGGATAAGAAAGTTCCTATTAATAACGCGTACATTACCACTATATATGTTTACCAACATATATTATTTATACGTTGAGCATGCCAACTTTCCGAGACAACGTTAACTTATCTGCTGTGGATTTGTCAAGATAAAAAAATAACAAATGAATAAGCAATAAAATAACCAATTTTTAAGCAATAAAAATGAAATAAACGAACATTACCGTTAGGTAAGCTCCCTTAGCTTTTTCTGTAAGGTCGTAGAACGGGGCCACAGATTCGCAGATACCAAGTTGTATGAGTACTTCTGGAAAACGCAATGCTAATCCAAATGTATCAATCATATAATACCGAAGGATCTTGTACAAACCGTTTGTCATTTCCAAGATTTCAATCCCTCTGTTCTCAAATGCAATCTGATATGTCGTTACGAAACATTCAACCATAACATGGGCCACGAACGCCAGCCTTGACATTTTTATGCCGTGTTTACTGCCGCGAGTGCAGAAAATGTTAGCGGCGGTCGTCAAAGTCGGCGCCAAGCGCTCACGTTCTTCTGATTCTAAACTGTAAAAATATTTTTCACGATAGTGTAACCAATAATTTATCTGAACACATACATGTATTGATCATTCAATTTGATCAAAAATGCTTCCGCTTCTTTGGACATCCGAAATTTCTTCCCATTAAACACGCTCTTGGCCATTCTTAAAGCCGACTTCATTATAATTTCCATATCAATATTTCCATTTTTCAATTGCTTTGCAGAACTGGTAACGAGTTTTGCAGGAACTTGAGACTTAGCGCCACCAACAACCAACTGTCTACTCACAAGCCCGTCCATAACCCCCAGTTTCGAATTAAGCAATTTCAAAAAACCCATCCGGATGCAGCACTAAGAGGCTGTTAAAGTATATGTCATCAGTTTCCTATTACAGAAAAAAGGTTAAATAGCGCTCGCTTGGTAAGACGCGTATTTCCAAATTTAACGTACTAGAAAACCATTTTTGCCATCTAAAGACGACCATTTACATCCGTTATGCATCTGTAGCATAAAATCTTTTATGCCACTCTCTTTATTGCTGAATAGTTTGTGCGCGGCCTGCTCAAAGTCATCACAGTAGAGCAATATGTTTTTTCGACTTTCCCCTGTGGTATCTGAACCAAAAACCAAATTTTGCAGACCGGCTTTTGTTGGTGCCCGTATCCTGAAGAAATCATCTCGGCATGATTAGCACCATATTACACACTTATGCATTATGCGAGGCGTTTATTGCGTTATGTTATATAACGGGTTAAATACCCATTTCGATATACCTTGCGTAATTTTCGTCTTCGCGCATGACCTCGTCAACCCAATCAAGAATCTCCATTGGGCCTGTTTTTCCGCACCCATTCGGCCCGACCACAAGCAGACTTAAATTCAGCTTTGTCTTCTTTAGTCCAAATGGTATCTTGACAAAAATTACATTATTATTCTCACCTACAACGCCACTGCTTTTTCTATCCAATTCAAAGAGAGTCGTCGTACGTCAAAATCAACAAAGTACAAAGATTGGAACTATTTATTCAAAATGTATTTTATTCCTCCCTTATTCCAAATATAATTGATCCATTTTTCAAACATAAAAATTCAAACTGCATCGCATAAAAAGTTTCCTGCATCGAGGAACATAAAATATGTGATTTTGGTTAGTTTAATTCACAATTAACTGAAATCTCAGAAACAGCTTGAGTATTCTGTTACGGTCTACTAAACTCTGCAGTTAAAAATGTTTGTATAACCATTTATACATTTATGTATTTATTTCATTTTATGACCACAAAATGTAAACAACATAGAACACAAATCTGAATTTTTTGGACATAACGTGTGCCTACTAATATAATATTATGCCTCATACTACCTCAGCGCTGCATTTGTCAAGCACAACAGCGAACGCGGAAGCCATCACTGCGAAGAGTATTTCAGGCGTGCTCCCTACTGCCTTCGCATACCATTGCAATATATTCCCTGTTAACGATTAACTTTAATAATTTGATTATCTGTTTCATTTTGTGGAATCTGGTTACCATACGTCCTCCCAAAAATTTTTCGAAGGTCGATCGTCGAATTAGCACACTTGGTGGCGGCCGTGTAGCAAGAGACTTTAAAAGCACTATTGCGAGTGTTCGGCATTCTACTATTTCCACACGTTTTCTTCCTTCACTTTTACGTTGTCTGCCGAAACATCGTCTAATTAAGTGTTTTGTTGAGCCACGCTACGAAAAGGTCTACACCAAAATATATTTCTTTGATCATCGTTAGCATAAAAATATGGTGCCGCGGAGAACCTGCGCTGCAAAGTGATTGAAATCTCTATAATCTCTTACAAGATGATAGTACAGTAAGTATTAAGGAAGTGGGCCGCAGTTTACAAGCAATGAAAGCCCTAAGTCTGTACATAGACCTAATGCAATACATGCCAATCATTATACCTAATACCATGCCGCGAAGAAGCTGCGCACAATTAGGTATCAGATTGGCATTACGTCTACAAGATACAGCATTCATTTACTAATATATGTCTATCAATTTACTACTATATATCTATGTCCTACAAGTTGATAGTACAGCACTACGCAAGCCCACTGCAGTTTGCTAAGACTGAAACACCTAGGTCAACACATGGACCTAATCGTAAATGCCAACTACTATACCTAATACCGTGCCGCGAAGAAGCTGCGCACAATTAGCTATTACATTGGCATTACGTCTACAAGAGGCAGCATTAATTTACTAATATAAGTCTATCTCCTACAAGCTGATAGTACAGTACTAGGGAAGTGCAGCGCGGTTTCCTAAGACTGAAAGACCCAAGTTTGTACACGCACCTAATCATGAATGCCACTTATTCTACCTAATACCCTGCCGCGAAGAAGCTGCGCACAATTAGGTATTACAATGGCATTACATCTACAAGATATAGCATCGATTAACTAGTATATGTCTATCTCCAACAACATAACAGTACACTACTAGGGAGCTGCACCGGAGTTCGCTAGCACTGAAAGACAGACGATGATAGTAGAGTAATACTATTATATATCGTATATGATCTGAAATATGTAACGAATCTCTAACTCACAACTCGTGGTATTTATTCTATGCGAACGAAGACAATCAAACATGCTTAGTAATAGACAACAACTTATGACGCAAAGCAGTTGCAAATGCACGACGAGGCGATCCAACAGAAGAGTACTCTGCATACCTAAGATGAATACCATCTTCTGTAAGATTATCATCTTTAAACAAACCCGAAGGAATCAAGACTGATATATTTCGTGCACTGCAACATTCCCGGAGACACTGATTGTACACCTTAATCACAGTATCAGCAAAGTTTTGCATATACTCCCCCTTATGCATGTGCCGATTAAACAAGCCTAACACAAGAAATTTGTCGCTTCTTTCGGAATTGTCCTCACAAAACTTCACGAATCTTGTTACAAGATTGGCAACAAATGTACAGACTTCATCCTCCGAAGCACCCCCTGTATGCTTTTTCAGAAATGCAGTGAGGTCATTCGCGCCTGCTTCAATTACGACGACTTTTTTCCGCCACGAATTATTTAAGTTCCACTGGGCAGCATCTAATACACCCGATGCGAGAGCACCAGATTTGCTTTCGATGTATACAAACATGTCGCGAATTTTCACAATCTTTCTTATCCAGTAGCGAGCGAAACTGTCTCCGTAAATCACTATGGGGAACGAAGGTATGCCTTCTCGAGTAGCATCTTTCATGACACGTTTTGCTTCGTACTGGTCACCGTAAAACGATTTTGTACGGTAGAAACATTCCATTTGTTACCTACAAGTACCTATTTTTATGAAATTGGAACCCTTTTTATATCAAACTGAAAATTTACTGCAAAACTTAGAACTGACCATTAATATCGTGTAAATACAATGATTTTATACTGTACATACTTGCAATATGCAAAATCACTAAACAAATTCAGATCACGCATTAAGCAAACAAATTACAGAAACCCTGATAACAGAAAACTCAATCCACCCAAACAATTTATCACTGTAAAAAATAGCCATACGCAATAATATCATAGAAATTTAATAATATTATAGAATTCCAATAATATTATAGAAATGTTTCTATATTATAGAAATTAGCCGTACCATTTGATAAACGCCGTACGATAAGTTAAACTCCTGCCGTCCTGCCTGCCATAGACAGCCTCCCTAAACATTTAACACTGTGCTATGCAGAGTTCCGCTACAGTCTGCAATCGTTTTTCTGCTCGTAACCCTTACACTTTTGTGTTCAATTTAAAATTACTAAACTGATTTCAATTACATTAAAATAAATTTTTACTAAGAACGATGGAGAATTGTGTGTTCCATATGAGGATAATCCTTCTTTGTTTCGTTTGTTAAGCTGTACAGCGCCCGTGTGTCGCTAAGGACTAACGACATACAATACTGCAGCCTGTAGCCTCTAACTCTACGGCCTATCCATGGTGACTTTTGCTGACTTTACTTACTGTCATAACATTCTGAACCCAGAATGCCAAATAATCCAGCAACAAAACAGCAAATCACCCAGGAACAGTTAGTCCGTAAGTCATCACACTACAAGCTACAGCGCAAAAAGAGCAGTTTTACTACTAGAGTAGTATTTTGCCCAACTCCGCAACTTCCCCCTCTTAATAGATTGATGTTCTGTTCCTGGATTATCTGCTGTTCTGTTGCTGGATGATTCGGCATTCCGGGCTCCGAATCTAAAGACACTAAGTAAAGTCAGCAAAATCTGCTAACAAGTTGGCAATAGATAGACCGTAGAAGCTACAGGCTACAGTACCATAGAAAAGCACTATGTACTGTATTGTACATCGTTGGTCCATAACGACACACAGCCGCTGCTCAGTTTAACAAACGAAACAAAGAAGGGCTGAAATATGTACAGTAAAACCTCCCTGATACGCACACTCTTATGTACGTACACCCTCTGTATTAAGTACACCAAAACGCTAACCAAAATTACTTTTCACTGCAAAAAACACCTCTCAGTTCCGTACACCCTCTACATTACGTACGAAATTTTCTTAACGGAGGTGTACGTATAAAAGAGGTTTCACTGTACTCCTAAGTTCCAAAGATTGCTCTTTTGAAAAAAGTTATGCCAACTCAATCGAACATTGCGCGCCGCCAGTACCCAATATAAACTTGAAAACCTTTTTTTCGCCCACCCACTACTGTACAGTGACGAAAAAAGAATATTATTTTGCACATTACAGCTGTAACAACACCGAATTCACTGCGGTACCTGAGTGTGACCTATACCCTACGTGCTGCTCACTCCAGTCCGTGCCAAAATCCTGTCGGGAACCGTTTCGCACAACTTTCCCCGTCGTGGATAACGTCGCTATGAAATGGCAATCGGCCTAACTGAATTGTTCTCCACGTGTGGTACTGATCTTCAGGGATGTTATGAAATCCAGTAGTGATGCGGTACACAAATCAATACTAGACCGTCAGTCGTACTGACGCCTACATAAACTTGCTTAAATTACCAACTTTGGTTGAAAATTGTTCTCATTCTGTGTGCGAACCTGGCGTTTACTTAAATATATCGTTGCCCAGCAATTACTTGCCGCCTTGTGATAAATGGTCTTCAAGTTAACTGTCGCAACTCGTAACGTTTATTCCTGTGCGCATAAATGTGCAATACTGTCGCATTCTTTCGCTAACTAAAACTCAAGCAAAAAATTTAAAAATAATAAAACCACGGAAAATAATGACTTATGTTTGGAGTTGTCTTAATAACAAATTAATATAAGAGCTTAAAAATTAGAATGTACGATTCAGTACGAATGAAAGATGTTATGATTACAATTTACGTAAAGGTACGTTTTTTCGTCTGTTAATGTTAACCGACATGAGCTACATGGATTATTTTGAATTTTTTTATTCGTGCTTTGTTCATACGCATATCCGTGGTAAAGCTGGAAAATTACTCATGTCACTTAATAATACATATTAAGTATCATAAAGAACCGCCTAAAAAAACATGGATAGTATAACGATTTAAGTAACGTTCGATCGGGTGTTATGGACTTCTTAAGTTCTTAGTAACCATTAGCGATGATAGTGGTTAAGGGTGCTCAGTAAGTCGAACGTAAAAAAATCACCGCCTCTCTCGAGTGATTGCCGACCCTTCACTGGCGCTGCCTGCTGCTAACCAGCCAGCGATCCCCGTCCCGGAACTGCATCCACACTCACACAACTCTACGTATGCTGTACACACCGACAACTTGATCCCAGCATATAATTCCAAATAAAATTATCAGCAAATGTCATTAACTGAGTCAATACCATCACGTATTACTCGATATGCCGGTTGGTGCTCTCTTGGCACAGCGCATCACGCTGCACTGCGGGATTAATCTCTGGATGATGCCCTTCAAGCATTGAGTTTCCTCCGGCCTTGTATCCAGCATTACAGCGCCAATTACGTGCCGACGATAACGAATCACTGCCTCGCAGCAATCTTCCCCTCTACGCAAACGTTTCTACTTTTATAGCGAGTGTACTATTTCGCTGCTTTTCGCACCAGTATATCAGAAATTATTATCTAGCCCAAACTAGCTCTCTTGATATCTATTATTAATTCTGCACGAAAAAAATGAATATGTCAAATAAACAATGACGGTACGCATTTTAAAACAAATACCCTACGGTAAAGTAAAACCAAAGGAATCAAACAAAGCGGCATGCAAACAAAACACCGAGAAACGCTTCAGACGGCGAAAAATTGACCTTTTTAATGCAGACACTGCGGCTCTTTCAACCTATACAAAAATCAATAAGGGCAATGTGCATGTCTTCCTCAGTTCACTCACCCATATGGATAAACATTATTTCTCCATATTCTAACCATTTCTCTACCCAGTTTCTCTACCCTATTTCTCTACCCTATTTCTCTACCCAATTTCTCCACCTTATTTCTACACCCTATCCCAGTACCATTTTTCACTCACCATTTTCTCTATCCTTTTTCGCTGCCCAACTTCTCCATCTTATATCTGTACCCTAATTCACCCTATTCACTACCACTTTTCTCTGACCATTTTCACGACTTTATTTCACTACCATTTACTCTCTAACCATATTCTCAACCCAAGTTCCTCTACCCTGTTTCTCTGCCCTTTTCTCTACCCAATTTTCCACCTTGTTTCACCCTATCTACTACGTTTTCCACTCACCATTTTTCAACCAAATTCTCTATCCTATTTCTCTACCCTTTTTCTCTACCCAATTTCTCCACCTTATTTCTACACCCTATCTCACTACCATTTTTCTCTAACCATTTTCTCAACTTTATTTTTCTCTAACCATTTTTTCTGCCCAATTACTCTACTCCATTTTCTCTCCACTTTTCTCTACTCCTATTCCACTCCGATTTTCCCCACGCTTTTATACGACGCTATGCACAATTCCACATTACTACATCCAATAAAACAACTCATATTACTACATGCAATAAAACTCTCACACGCATATAAGTGAGTAGAGTACCATTTGTACTGGTACTGCACAGCCCTCAGTACACTTATCTGATGCTGCACGTTTTGGAGATAGTGGCAGTCGGAGACTCGGAATCAGGTCGAGACTAATACACGCATGCCCGTACGCGAGGTGGTTGCACTTGCCGCATACTATTTCGCAACAATAGCCGTCCAGCTTGCACTCAGGCAATCTTCCCGTAAACAACTCCACAACAGAAGTTTTTTACAGTTATTATGTAATAAAACCCGTCCTTCGGAACAGTCCCCACGAGGGGACGCCCCGCTAGGGTTTCGAGCAAAAACGTTCATTAATATTGTCAGTTTGTAACGGGTACTACTGTAATTACCCAGTCTTTTAACACGTAGCTTCACCCTGACAGCAAGTATGCCGCCGTTTCAAACTTTGTGTATCAGGTAATGGGTCGTGCCTGCTGCAATATATTGAGTGTGGTGATAGACCACCTGCGCAAATTAAGTATGTAATTTTACAGAGATCTCCAAGTTGAGCAGAATTAAATATAAAACCAGGTCAAGGGAAATTATGTGGTGACAATACCCCGTAAACAGTAATACTCCTACATTTCTGTAATACCCAAATAACATAATAATACGATACATACGAAAGCTGAAAAATTATTGTACAGATACTTTATCCTGATCAAGCTACCATAAAGTAGAACTGTTTAGCAGATCTTAAGGTGAACTTGCTCGCCGTATGCTTAACAACGTATGCCACTGTTACACCGGCTATACCGTAAATTCGTAATTATACATTATTGAATAGTTCACATTTTAAAAAACGTCGAGATATAATATTACCATGCATTTTGTAAGTCAATAGTGTTAATTGCTTCTGATTATCGATTTTTGCCTGCCGTATGCATATTTTTGATTGCGTTTATCCTCAACGGTCTAATTTTTGTTCTTTTGCCACAAGATTGTCGGTGAATTTAATTAATTGTAAGTGGAAATCATTCGCAAAGTCGTGGTATACACGAGGCACAATGGCCCCGCGATTCCAGCTCCACATGCATTGCGTATTAAATTGTGTATGGGAAGTGCAGGAAACGATCCCTACTCCCAGTTGAATATTTTTTTCTGCGAAGTTAGTTGTTTGCGAAGCAATTGTTCAATCAGGGATAGCTATTTTAAATGCAGCAAACATGCATTTCCGATTTTTGGTATTTAGATACATCATTTAATACCTACAGACTGATTTTGAGCCATTAAGCGGGAAAATTTTTGCATCGATCAATATGGTCACAGTAACTGCGAAAATCAATCTTACAAGTTACAACATACTGTGTACTGCATGTACTTCAATATGTCCATATATATCGCCTGTGGGTAATATTTTCCCAACGTGACAAAATTAATCCAGGCCATAGCCGCAGCTCGGCATATGGCAAAAGTAGCATTAAAATAGTCGGATGGAGCGGGAGCGAGTTAAGAGTTTCTGGAGGTTGTTGTGCTTAAGTGCATGATAAGAGCTTTGTACTTTAAGTGCAACCTGGAACAACAGTTAGTGATGGGGCAGTAAGCGCGGAGCCTAACTGCACCAGTATTACACATGCTGCTGTTGGACACTAGCGTTAATTTTAACTAACTTCCAGTTTCTTTTGCAAGATTCCTACCCAAATCATGAACCATGCGTTTTCGTCGAAGACAATAAACTATTTTTAGAAATTCTTCTCTGAAATACAGATGTTTAAAAAGGTTAAGTCTTACTGCGATTAAAGCTTGCAATTCTCAAGAACAATTATTACAATTGAAGCAATATTATAATCCTAAACAAGCGAAAATTTCGTAAATTCTTTGTGAGCAACAATAAAAAATAGAAACAGAGGTTCCATGGCTCATGTATTGTAGTTGTAGTTGTGTTGACTCATGTTTTGTTGTGGATTGTAGGATGGAAAAATCTGGTGTATGCTGAGCGAAATATGGAACTGGTAACCGAGCATAGGCAAATGGGAGACAGCGAAAAGGTCATGGTCTACCTTTCGCGAAATCCCGGAACAAACTCGTCCTGCATGCAATGGAAATTTGACTTTACTGACACAGGTGAGTTTGTATGATGTTTCATTTATGAAATACTTGTATAATAATACTCTGTGAACAGAAAACATTATGATAAAGAACGAAAAAGAAGGCTGTGACATTACTTTTTAAAAAATTAGTTTTACGTTTTATTTTTCAGTTATTATTATTAAGTTAAAAGTTAATAACCAGTCAGATCTGATTCGTGTATTGAAGGTTTAAGCATTGACCGGCTCAATATTCGATTTTACTACGTCACGTCCGAAGATGGCCATGTAAAAGCGTATCTGAAACCCGATTTTCGAGGAGAGGTGGACCCACCTGAAGATCCGCCCGAAAGGATTGTTTTATGGTCCATTCCCACTATGCGGTCTATTCCGGAAGCACAAGGTTGGAGAAAATTCAGTCTTATTGTGGAAATGGGATGCAAACGGAGTCCTTGTGTTTTTCACCACACGCAGCTTTTTCTGCAGCAGCAGTCTGGTGGCTTCTTTGAAAAAGAAGAAAAAAAGTACCCTTTCAAAATTGAAATTGTTTTTGCGTAATCTTCTCCGGGAAACGTCTTTGGCGAATTCATTGGATTTATATTCCGAAATTACTAGAATAGTTATTTTGATTTCCGTGCTTTACCTGGCCATTGCTAACAATGCTGAAATTTGTACTTTGAATTATTCCAGTCATATTTTCTCCTTTTGCGGAAGCGTGCGTTAGTCTTGTCCGGAATATAAAACAAAAAAGATCTACTCACGTGAAAACGAGCTGTATTGAGCGTAAATTCTGTCTGCTTTTTACACCATAACCGTAATCACTTCATTTTCACTTTAGCATCGGTACGTCTATATGCTATATATTGTCATTTAATTAACTCAATCTAGGGAATTTCTTTCCGCTGTCGTTGCATGCGCGGCGGTGTACAAATATAGCAACTATAATAGCAAAAACGCTCAAACCAAGGTAATTGCGTTAGCGACATCAACAGTTACATGATCGCAAACGTGCTGAAATGGAGATGGATGATGTAGAAAAAGGACTACAGTGACCCCTTGAACTCCTTGAAAGATGCCACCGAATATGATTACATTATTGATCCAATTTGGATATCGTGCCTAGTTTCCTGAATATATTTCGAAGTGTCAATACAGTCTGCAGATAAAAATTTCATTGAAACCGAACTACAAACTTAATGCTCAACTACCAATATTAATAGAGAATGCAACAGATATCATGACCGAAAATTTACTCGATTGTATCGCTGTATAATTAACATACATATAGATGTTTACAGGCTAATTCGTACAGGAAAATTTCAATCGATTCAACTGCACTACCAAACTGTAGTGTTACTGTTTCACCTTCTTTAGACTTTAGGATGCCACGACCATCCGCGTAAAAATTTTGTTTAGCACTGGTTTATTTGAAAAGGATCTGGATTGAAAATTTTTAGAGTTATGATAGAGAAAGGACATCGAATGGTACAAGAAGTCGATCGTTTCCGAGCACATGACTATGTTAGCTTTTTAATTACGGTAAAATAGTTTAGAACGCTTTGTAACGTAGAAAGCATGTGAAAATGTCAATATAAAAATAGCCTTGTTTATATGTGTGATTAATTTCTCACTATTTTACGCAGCAGCAGAGTCGGCAGTTTTCTCTCGTAAGTGCTCTATGCAGCACGACAAAGCAAATGCAGATGTAAAGATGTAAAGTGTATAACAAGCTTGTTGGTAGCAAAGTAGTCTCACTGCGTACTTTATAGACACTAATGTAGAATTCAGCGCTTCTCGTGATCAACATGCCTCATACAAAGTTTTTTGAAAAGATTAAGAGTATGTATTTGTAACAACATGACACTCCTTTATACAGCTAATGCTTATGTTTCGATTATATCACTACTGTCTGCCATGACAAACAAACGCCTCCGCCACCGATGAGCCACATAAAAACCTGTTGTATTCATCGAAAGTTTCCTAGAGGAAATGAATGCTTAGTAGATTAATTATTACTGGATTTCGGTGGTGCAGTTTAGATTTTTATTACCTTCTGGCACCGGTGTCGCTGTGTAGTGTGTATAACAGTTAAGTGTTGCCACAATTACAGATCAGTTATTTATTCTACGGGCACGTACGCGCAAAACGGTGTTATAGAACTAACTAGGACTGTACGTACACGGTTTTTTATAATCTTACAGCCGAATATTTAAATAAAAACCATTTGAAAAAAAATTATTCATCTATAAGCACTAACATCTTTCATTTGTTTCAGTAGTAATCTGTGATCTCCAAGATGTCCTTGAACTGGAATGGAGTATACAAACACGAATCAGATGAGAATCTGGAAGCCTATGAACGTGCACGAGGTACAAGCACATAACTATTTGTACGAGAACGGTAAATGAAATTAATATGGATAAGAATGGTCTATACAGCTATATGCTTTTTTTAATTTGGAGACTATCCACTTGATTGCTTATACGTTTATGAATTGTTAATTTACATTACGACTGGAATACACTTCGTGGTGACATAAAGTTTCATTGCGATAATTACTATTACCACGGAATCGGTTATACTATTATATGTAGTACTAGAGTAGTAATAGTTTAGTGCTAATTTTCGTCAAAACTAGTATTTAAATCATATAATTTTTATTGTGGTTATTTTTTATGGCACATGCGTTCTTCATTATACATTTATTATTTAGACAATCAATAAATCTACGATTATTTACAGGCACTCGCTATAAGCACTGAACTGCCTAAGTTTGCGCAGTGCCCATAACGTTATTGCTGTTTTTTTATTGTGCTATTAATTAGCCATCTACCGCTAAAAAACAGGTACACTAATTTATTTTCGGAAAGGTTAAACTGTTTGTTTAGGTGTTACAGACGATCAGCTAAACGTAATCCTTAATCAACATCCCGTTGTGGAAATCCGGCAAGATGGGGATATCTTTTATATGGTGAGAAATGTGCTTTGAAACGTTTACGTTCATTAATAATTTGTAAGGAGATTTTTGTAACATCTATCCCCGCATTGCTTGTAAATACAATGTCAATGTTCTGGGAAAAATTATTCGGTAAAATGCAAAGACGTCATAGTCGCAAAGGCCATGATGGCAGAGCCGCAAGGCACTGCATTTCTGCATAATTACCTGGAAGGGAAAGCACATAGCAACATTAGCACTGATGTGCATGGACAATCTTTGAAACAACATTGTCCTCCATTTATTTTGTTCTTCCTTCATATTTATGATAATTATGATATGAGAACTTCAGAAAGGTGTGCGCCTTTCTGGTTTACTACATTTTGTAGGTGATTTAAAGAAATTCAGTTATTACGCTTACGCGAAATACATACATTCAGTACGAGTACGAGTAGTTCTAGTGCCTTATGCGGTACTTGATTTTACGGTGCTGTATTACAGAAAACCACGCTAAATTTTAGACCCGTGCAAGAATTGCGGTTTAGGCTGGGTCAACAATGGCAGACTAATACCCCGGATGGACGGAAAGTGTCGGTATGCCGGTAAACTTCTGATTAACTGTTTCCAGAACTGAAAAATCTGAATTATAGATCCTCCTAGCCTATCCTAGCCTCGTCTAGATCTTGTACTGTTGCAGATAAAGTTCTTCAAATATTCTGAAAAGACTTAGTTACGCGAAGTGGATAACAAATCAATACAATTTTTCAGAACGTGTTCCTTGAAGAAGGAAACCGCCTAATACAGAGAATGACTGACGAGGATGGAAACTTCATTGAGTATGTCCGCGAACTGAAAGGTGACCGCCTTTACTTGGTGAGTTGCTAATAATCAACCCATCATTGTCATCGATTGATAACGGTAAAAAATTCTGCTGAATGGTGTTTACGCAGGAGCTTAAGCGTGGGCCAATTCTGGCTAGGAGATGTTTCAAAAAAGTAAGCCAGCACGACATATAAAATGCCGATGAAGCAGCTGCAGCGATGCGCGGTAATGATGTTTTGATTGTTTTTGTAGGTGCCCGGCTTATAAGGAAACCGGCAAAATTCATCAAGAAGGGTCGTCTTCCAGAGACTGCCTGCCTGTATGACTAGATTCTATTGCTGGAATTTGTTATTGTTTCAATTGATTAAAATTGTTAGCGCTGGATTGTGTCTCACCTTATTTGATAAAATACGACGCTAACTGTTTTTCACGTCTGTTCCGCAACCATTTAAAGGTAAACTGGCGTTTCGTACTAAAACGTGTCGAGAGGTTTTCCTGACGTGTAGTTTTAATTACTGTAAGCATTTTACACGGATAACAGTGAAGTGTTGAACTTAAAATTGCTACGGTAATAATATATTATAATTATTGTGATGCAGGTAACAAGCAAAGAAATAAAAATTAATGTTACCCTTACAGCGCAATACCGTAAGACTTCATAATTATTCGTGACGCTGACAGCTGACCTATACGCATTACCTGTAGCATGCAGTCGTCCAAAGCTAAATAAGTGTACATACCCGAAGGGGGAACGATCGTGAGTCGGTTGCTGCAAGATACGAGTACACAATGCACGAGTAACAGTCACAATTGTGTTATGCTTACAGCCGGTATGTTGACATCGCGGGAATTTCGAAATTTTTTTGCTAGCGAGCCGCACGCCGCACCTACACTAAGCACCATTGCCGGAAAACGACAAAGTAACAAACCTAACTTCTGTTGCTTAATATTAACGTTTTTTGTACTGCAATTATGATGCAGACAGCATGTGCTCTCAGAATGTGTAAATACTCGTTCAGTATATGCTGACTGACTACACGAAAAGTAAAAAACCATTGTGCACATGCGGTAGCACTATAAAAACTTATCTCCCTGAAATTTCGCTGATTACAATGCACATCGAGCAAAATGTAACAAATTTTAATTAGCTTTACATTGGTAATTAACCAATAACTACGGTAAATCTCTCAGAAATCTTTTGCGCGTATACACTGCATTTGTTTATAATTACGAAGTGGTGCATGCTCGCAGTGCCAAAACAATCACTGCACGGAATCGGAATGCAATCGTCTGGGAACTGCTAAAATGTTTCGTCGCCGTCGTCCCAGTCCGACACCAACTACGATTACTGTTGATGATTCTTTTGCTGACAACGATGCGATACATTCACGAGGGATCACTCATACAGCTCACCAGGAAACACGCAAAGAGAGACGTTTCGCTTTCATAAACACTGTAAGATTTATATTACAATTAGCATTTTGCACTAACTATGTACATATGTACCACAAAATACTTGGAAGAATTTACTGAATTCATTAGAAATATATTGCTAGTAAATTCGTAAAACCGCCTTATTTGCACGAACTAAACATATCTTGCTATAAGATACATCTAACAATGCCCGGTTTCCCTTATTTTATCGCACAGGGACGTACTGTCTGCGACACCAAATGCGTCTGCAAAATTGCCCACAGACACAAGAACAAGCCCCGTTTAATAGTCCGAAGAGTTCTATCCCATACGTTTCGCGGCGTAAGCAAAATTGTAACTGTTATGGGTTTCTACTTTCTTTAATGCCACTCTATTGGCATTGAATAGGGCATTTGTTTCCTGTTATGCGTGCTGGACAATCCGCGCAGCGCGCCGACGTATCTAAAACAGTGCGTTGTTCAACGCGAACTGCGCGTGGAATATGCTGATTACCTCAAGAGCACCGGCGGAATTCCCAGGACAGTCCAAGACTTTTGGTATTCTTCTGCAAAATTACGTATTAATTTCTGTAAATGCTAATTCGGAGAAGGGTCAGTTTGGGACAAGTTGAAAGTCAAGAAATTACTAACGCCTATTATGGTTACGTGATTTGTCAGAGTTACAGTACGAGTCTGCGAGTATATAACTGTTAAATCTTTGTTTGTGTGGATAATGTACAGATACGTACAGTTTTTAAATATTTATAGTTCCTAGCTCGTCTTTTCAAAAATGCACTCTTTTTGCAGTCGCATTTTGAATACTATCACAGAAACTCTGCTTATATCTGTGCAGGAATGTTGACACTGAAATTGCTATGCGGGACGCATTATTTCCTGAACTTCCGGAATTTGAGCAGCGACGACAGCGCGAAATCGCGGCTAGCGACGACACCCTGCAATGGTCCAAGCGGACGAATAATGGCCGCTCCACAATACAAATTACCGCAGAAGCTACGTCTCCTGCATTAAAACTTGTTACCAATTCCATGCAGTCTTCCAAGCCACCCCGCGAGCCTGGCAAATCCGTAAAAAATGTAAATAAAAGACCAAAAGTCGAGTACAAACGTGCTGAAGATGCACTGTCGAAGAAGGGAACAGAATCTAAGGTCACTCGACCGAAAACAGCACTGACAACGGATACCGGTAATCACGTCACTGATACGGTCACCGGCGTTAAGAACGCCAACTCTGACAGGCGCACTGGTTCCCCGGAAATTCCACCACCACTGCAAATTAATACAGACCGTTTATGGGTGGAAGAGCGTATTATTGGCGCTTTTCTTCAGTCACCGCAAAAAAAATCCACACGCGGTCGGCCGCGCAGTGTAAGATGGTTTTTGGTCAAGTGGAAAGCGCTGAGTGTGGAAGATAGTAGCTGGAAATGCGAAAGTGAGCTACAGTGCACGAAAGATATCCAAGCTTTCCTCAAAAGACACGGGTAGGATGCGTATTACTGCCGTTATAGAATCTTTCTTAAGTCTAGCTTCGGTTCATTTAATACCATGTCATTTCTTATGATATTAAATGGTTTTATTTCCGTATCGCGCCAGTATATAATCCGTTTATGTTCTATCGGCAGCCGTCCCACACTACAAAAGCGGAAAATCCTCACAAGCGAAGGAGTACAATATGAGGAATTACAGTTAAAGAAAAAGCGAATTCAGCCCTTATTGGCTGAGGGAGAAGATCTGACTGATGCCATTGTCTGTTAATAATAAATATATTAAATGTTCCTGCTTTCGTTAAATTTGTTGGAGTTGGAGCCTATCTCTCTACACCGTTATCAACACTGCAGCACTGTAGCAGAGACATTTTTTGTAGAATATTTTGTAATTGATGTTTACTTTTTTCGCGTATAGGTAATATGTACTTTATACTGGCATTAACTAAAACTTGTACGTACTAATCAAGAAGTCAGCGAAATATCGAGCTTCGTCAGCACAAAAACAGTCTTTTTTTCCCGTTGATGGCTAATTTTTCCGTTCTACACAATTAGTTACGTTTAGGCTTCGTATGTACATAAAGGTGCAACAGTATTGCTGATATAACAATTATCACAAACAAGGAACAAAAAGGTGATCTAAGGAACAAAACAAAAACTTAAAAAAAAGATGGTTCAACATATTGCTCTAAATAAATGCATCAAAAGAATTGTAACTTGTAATCAAGCTGCCTAGACAATGAGCCGATCGACGCAAGTTATAATACTCTAGGAGATCCCAATGCCTTAATCACAACGCTATTCATACTTTATGCAGATAAAACTTTTCAAAATGGTTAACAATAGTGCAATCGCCATGGGAAAATGTGCTTGGCATAGCTTTAATCTCCTTCATTCGGGAAATCACGCTGGTATTGCTGCCGGAAAACGAAGCATTGTTCCATAACTCCACATCATCCACACCATCGTCTGATAAATCTTCGCCGTCAATCAAATGCTCACGTCGTCGTGCTAGCGATGCATATCTGTTATGCTTAAAGGTCGAAAGACAAGCTTCTATCAGCTGCGCCTGTAAAACAAAATATACTCGTAGTATGAGTACAGAGTTAGTACTGTCACAATTGTACGTTTTCACATTTTAGTAGTGCTACGTAAAGGTGTAAAATACAGGTGTAAATATGTAATCCATATTATTCAATAGTAAGCATAACCAGTATTCAGTAATATTCGGATATAACCAATTATCACCGGGCAGTAGCTAAAGACAATATTACTATAAACACCACTTATCCCATCACGAAATAGCAATGAGTACAAAGCACAAAAATGAATAAATCACTGCATTATTAGCCTTACAATAAAGAAACTGGGGAAATCTGCGAAAGTGGCTCAAATTTAAACACAGAACCGTTTAAGTACACATCCATAGGATACGAGAAGTTTTTAATTGTCCCAAGCGGCAGACTCTTCTAAACGGCAGAAGTTTTATCGTGCACACAGTCCGTACCTGTTTAGAGTAAATTCGGAGGGATCGTGTTTCAGCGGCCACTCGACTTCCTTTTTCATTCAGCACTGGGATTTTCATCGTTATCATAAGACAAGCCGTATCGACATTTGTCATGGCATCGTGATCAGGTGGTTGACGGCAGCAAAATGTGAATTCATAGTGCCTTAACGCCAATAAATACTCCTGAAAGACTCAACGAGTAAAATGGAAATACTATAACAAGCAACAAATGTCTATGTGCAAAGTACAAAGGTTTTAGAGACAACTTAATGAAGGGATTTACAGAAAAAGCGTACCGGGTACATCTTCAATTTTTCTACTGAAGGCAGAATTAGCATGCCTTGTTCATTCACAGCAATCCGTACGGCAATCGCTGACCGTCCAAACAATGTCTCTGTCAGCCGTGAAGATGGTCGAGCCTCCATAACGCCGTTAAAAAAGGCCGCTCTGTAAAAGTCATTTTAACAGATATTACTTACTAAAACTATAGTAATGCATAAGCGTGCATAAACAACGAGTGTATCTGTACTCTGTGTATCATCGAAAAAGAACGATTGGAAAAGATCGCAAATGTAGCACAAGTCAAGTTAGTCAAAACAACACTGTAGTATCAATATGCGTGCTCGATTTCATTCAACACCACTAAAGTGACGGGCCGGCCAAACGTACCCATAAGCAGGATTTGCCTGGCAAATCAACAGAAACCTCAAATGAATTTCCTCTGCTGAACTAGCGTACGTTTCCTCATAAGTCGCTTTAATTAGATCCTTAATGTCACGCTCTCCGTTCATTCTACGGTAACTATTATCGTTCAGGAAAAGAGAAGGAAAAAACCGTTCGAATCTGAAAACACGGACACACTAAGACACACTCGCATAAAATTATTTACGATATAAGACATGAAATTCACTGCTTACCGCACAGATGATAAGAAATCCGAACCTTCAACAAAGCGCCCGTGCACTTTAAATAACAGTAACACTCCCAAAGATACCACATCATCTCGGCTAAAGAGATATTTGCAGCCCAAGTATTTGATTTGTGCTTCTTCGAACAAAAGCTGCAGGAGACGAGAATCCATGATCTAATAAAGAACTCCAGATTGTTATGGTTCCAGCAGAAAAAGCAACACAATAACACAAATGCACAGAAATGCGTACCTGACGCTCTTTCGCAATGGGAAGAAAAACAGATCGTTTTACATACACCAAAATGCCTGCGATTATACAGTGAGTTGAAGAATAATCCAAGAAAAGCGCGCCATATCCCTGATCAACATATGGCCCAAATTCAACAGTGCAATATAGCCTACCTGGGTTTTCCGTCACATGAACATCTGAGAATTTCTTCAAAAAGTACCCCCAATATTTTTGAATAACGAATGGATTATGTCGGGCTTTCAGTTGTACTTCTGTAAAAATACAGTACGTACTACGTATAAGCAAGAAAATTATGACTATCACCAAACCGCCGGTAACGCAACTTAATTTAAAGTGCTAGATAGAATACGAATACACTGTATAATCAATCCGCTTATTCTCGGTCGATTAGAAAGTGCATACCAAATTCAAGGTTGTCATCCGTAAACCACACAGCTAAGGCGTTTTCCGCTTCCAAACGGTCAAGATTCCTGGCGCGGATAACACAGTCCACAAGCTCTGGGCATCTGCATCGATATCCTCCGCTCGGCACGAAATCTACTGGCGAATTGTCCGCCAAATATGCGGTTATTCTCGGCCCAACTGCAAAACAGTAAAAATGACCAGAGAAAAGATCCACACATTACAACAGCAAATCCTGACGTCCAGGGAAAAATTACTGAAAGTAGTTTATGTAATTACCAAGTAAACTGCCAATAATTCGGTCTATCGACTGGTTGCTGGTGGCAGTGCGTTGTTGATAGGGTGCAGCCAGGGTGGGTCGGGATTTTTCCGAGACACTGGAGCCACGGGAGACTATTTGAAAAAATTTGTAACGTATTACAAGTTTAAATACAGAGTTCTTTGTGAAATTCAGTGGCTAGTACCTTGTAATAGCTTGAAACACACTACTTTTAACATTTTCTAGAAAAATGTTCTTATAAGCAAGCAGAATGCAGGTATAATTAAAAATCATCAAAAATTAAGTGGTGTAAGTCTTCAACTTGTCCGTTTCAGACATTTCTGGCATGCCTGAACTGTTGCATGTTTTGTGTGGGCAATAGGCATGCTACACCAAAAATAGCTACCCCGACTTTTGCCTTTATCAGATTCAGATAAAGGCAAACGTGCGCGATGTTATCAATGCCAGATGTCAAACAAACGCAGAACGGCTATCGATAACCGGACAAATGCTAAACAATCCGTATACTCGGTGGAATATTAATTACTGCATGTTAATTATGAAGGTACTAATGGTATGTATCTACGAATAATTATAGTGCACACATACTTTCCGCATGGTCGACAGACGGCTCGCCAGAGAAACCTGTCTCGATCTCTTGCACGATTTCCACACAGTCTTCGGCGCTTTCGTCTTGTTCATGAATGGTGAAAGGAATGGACGATGTGGGTCCGCGCGCCGACCCTTGACGAGCACCAGGCCCCGCTGGACTCCATGGAACCGTGCGCAGCGAAGTCATTTCCACGCGCGCGTATTTTCCTCCGGTGGCTTTCGGCTCCCAGTGGTAACAGTCCAAATCCGCTTATTATAAATTTTAAACACGATGTGCTGGTATGATAGCAGCCCCTTTGAAGCAGCGCTGATGGTCCACTCCAGCGATTTACTACAAAAACTTCTCCAAACATCCAATCACCGTCCTTCGGCTTTATTAATGACTGTTCTCGCAGAAACTATTTGACAACAAGTAAACCATGCAGACTCCCCGTTAAGCAAGCAGTGACTGCTGAGCAGCCAACCTTATCACATGCAAACGAGTTACGAAGATCTGCATCAGAAACGGATAACCATGTAGCGGTCTGCGCATTGCATTCACAATCGCGTGTTCGCAGTTTCACACTGAAACGGTCAAGTATAACATTTCTAGTTTCCACTCATCAATAAATATCAGTCCAAAAGACCAAAAACAAATCTTTGAAATGGTATCTGCTAAAACATTTTTACTGTATAAAAATTTAAAATCTTAATCTTGTCTTTCGAACAAAACTGAACAATTAAAAATAAATTAGAAACCTTACCAAGGACGAACGGAGAACGGGAGAAGTGCAATGACTCTAACTTTAGAGTTTTTACGAGGGGTTGTAAACACAGCTGTCTGTCTTCTGATTGGCGTTCATTCAGAAACCACAACAATCGTCTACAAACTGCAACCGACACAAAGCACTAGATAGTGCACGACAATTAGTTAGAAAAATTAATTTTGATACGTACTTTTATCTTTTATGTAGTTTGCTGTTTGTGATATTTATCGCGGACTGTTTTAACTGTTAAACAAGAAAGTTCCCTGCCTGTTTGAACTGATTGCACAGAAGGAATGCGTATTTCACCTTCTTTCCACTTTTATGTTTTGTTAGCAAAAATTTGTGTGTGTGAAGTGGGAAGAAGTAAAAGCTACAGAATTTGTTAATTGAATCGGGTTTTGATATTTTCCCTGGATTGTTATGTGGTATTAAATAATTGTTTGGGTATTTTGTGGACCCTTTGTATGTTCCACTTTGGTCGTTCGTGTGAAGTTGCTCAGCGATCTTTGGTCTTGGAGCTTGCATCCAACTTTTACGCTAGATCACAAGCATCAGATCATGCGTTAAGATCTTCGCCTTTTGTTTAGATTTCGAAGTCGTATTCCTGTTTTTGTATTAGTGCATTTTACTTGGGTGATTAAATGTGGAGAAACGTCGCGGAATGGTGGAGCTCTTACAAATATCGATTTGTGCCATGGATAGCATTCTATCTGCGGAATAGGTAAGGCGTAGTTTAAAAAGCAGTGAAGTAAGTATATTTTGAAATATTTTACTGTTAGACTACCATAATATTTACCATCGTGCAGTCAAATACAGTCTTTTGTGTATTATACATATATTCGTGTTTCAGAGCGATAAAACTCGAGAAAACAGCCGTACCACCGGCGGAATTACAGGCCACGGTAGCTGAACTGGCCAAGTATCTGGATACGACTGTTCGCACGGAAAGAAGGGATCCGTTTGCACCACTGGCAAAGCGTATAAAAGAAATCAGCTCAACCACCCTTTCCGAGGTGATGGGCTTTACCCTCAGAGTTAGAAAAAGCCGAATTCCCAAAGCAGGCAGAGGAGTTTTCGTCGAGGTACACGTTTTTTTATTTTGTTAGTGTAGCTTGCTTCACACAAACTTTAAATCTCGGAATACAAAAAAAGGAGTGGTTAAGGTTGAGAGCGATTATGTTCTGGTATCAGTTGCATTTTTGTCGGTAAAATTCCAAACGTAAAAAATTGAAATAATTATAAGTATTTATTGCTGGGTGCGATATAATGGATGGTGGCACATTCGTTACAAATCAGCTTTGTGTTGACAGGAGAAGTTCAGAAGACTTACTGTCTACACTTACAAGTAGCCTTGTCGGGCACTTGCAGCTTCTATAAGGTCCTGTTGCGGTCCTGGCAGACCTGCTGATTTTCGCTATTGGTTTGCCAACTTCGCATTACTTCATTTAATAGTTACATCATAATATTGTGACTACGTATTTTAAATTCAAGAAACTAGAAACGTTTTCTGCTCCAATAATTATTAGTTTTGTACTGCTTATTTGTTGCATTAGTTTACAGTACTTGTTGCGTGTGGTGAACTGCATCCCGTTACGTTTTCCATGCCATGCCAAGATTGTAATTTTGCGATATGCGATTGTACGTTTCATTGACTTATTATACCGCTCAAGCATTGTGGAGTGCTAGCATTGGCTTTCCCACTTTTTCGTATCGATATTTTTTAAGATTTTGTTTTTCGCAGAGCGGCGTCGTGCAACCGGATACTCTGGTTGCTCTTTATCCCGGAACGGTGTATGACGCCGGAGAGCCGGTTTTATTGCAGTCTTTCGGGAATCCTTATATTATACAATGCGGGGACGGATCATTTATCGATGGGAAACCAGGAGGAATCTCTCGTCTTATTTACAGGTATAGATAACAACTACACACCGCTATCGTACATAGGTATCCGCTATCGCATAGTGTGACAATATGGCGTTTGAATATGGATACCTATTTACGGTCATCGTTTTACCTAAGGAACCAGCAGTACGTTTTACGACCTGGTTGCTAGTGCAGGATTATCGCGCGAGTAATCATTTATGACTTAAAAATACGATATTTTTCCTGAATGCAGATCTTGCGCCAATCGTGACCAGTTTCATGGGTACCGATTTTGTGACAGCAGCTGGATGGATCGAAAGGATATGATGAATCCATATGCTGTCGGCCAGTACGTTAACAACGAACGTCCGCCTGGTAGGTTTCAAAATTTTTTGTACAGTTTTTTCATCGAAGCTGTAAACAAAACGTACTCTACCAGTCTACCCTACCCTAATATAGTATTCCGACCATGGGCTGCTGGCTGAACGCTTCCTGGGATTAAGTTATTTTCGGTGCAGTACTAGACCGAGTAGACCCGTGCTTCTGTGTAAATATTCGTCCTTATGCCATGGTCTTCTCCATAATTTTTTTGCGGAAGTATGTATTTAAATAAATTTGGTGTTTCGTTACAGAATTCGTGGCAAACGTTGCTTACCATGAATTTGACTTACCTCCGGAATTTGATTTGGTCTACCGAAAATATATTCCAAATGTTCATTTCTCTCCAGAAAAGGACAGGTGAGGTTAAGAAAGACCAACAACTATGCCGCTGGCAGTCTTTTATAAGTAAAGTACTACATAATGATCCCATCATTTAATAATAATTGTAGGCCGCTTCGGATGATTGGCCTTGTCAGTTTGCGCAGCATTCAAAGTAAGAACTGTGTTTTATAATTTCTATTGATAGCAGATATGTACTTCTTAATTATTGTAATTGATACTCTGTTGTGCGGTGATATAGTGGGCGAAGAGCTGTATTCGTCATATTTTGCGTCATACCGGTGAGCAGCGCTGCGGAGCTTGACTGGTTTGAGTAATTTATTTAGATGTTTTTCTGCGGAGTTTTGGGTAATTTATTTAGATGTTTTTCTTTGGGAAACACTGCGACATTAGTGCATTTATTGTTTATATTGCAACTGAGGCTGCAACTGTCGCCTGTCGGTGATATTGGCCTTGTGATGTGTTCTGCTTGGAGTTGATAAAAATTTACGTAATTTTGTCGAGATGTCTCGGGCGTAAAGTTGGGCGCAGAGGATCACAAAGTATAAAATACTTGGTATATAAAGTACAATAATATAGATATGTACATATAAAAACGGCATTTATTATTCGGGAAAGACTGATACCGTAATTATCGAATTTGTGGCTCCCCCCGAAATAAGAGCCCCCCCTGTAATAAGCCCCCCTCCCCGACCCTGTTTGAAAAATAAGGCCACCCCCCGAAATTACGCCCCAGGGGGCCGTTATTAAATGTCAAGCGCTGCAAAATGATAGGTGTACCGCAAATGCTTTATAAAATTGTGAACAAACATTAAACGGACATCAACATAATGCGGTATTTGTAGGCAAAAAAGTGTATAGGGACCTTAGTATATGGTCGAAAATGATGCCGGGAAGGTTGCGCTGTTGCGTATACCGATAATTACTGCGGTCAATTTCACTAGAACAGGATGTGCAGTTGTTTGAAATATAATGCCCCCTCCCAAAATATACCGTTCGAAAAATAATGCCACCCCCCGAAATTGCGCCCCCTCCCCGAAATAAGCCCCCCTCCGTCATAGCCTTCGAACTATTTGTACCCCAGGGCCACAAATTCGATAATTACGGTACTTGGGAAAGTCGCTCCTGAGAAAGTTCGACCGCCAAGAAAGGCCGTACAACCTTCAAAATCGTGCTTGTCCCCCTCGTACTAGAATCGCAACGCCACACCACGTTTGCCAAATTGCCATTTTGGTCTCCGAATTTTCACAACATTTCGTTCCAGGTGATCTTAAAATTTTTTCGAATTTTATCGTTTTATTTTTGCGTAACCGTAAACCACAGATAAGCTTACGTAGCTGCATTTTGTTGTTTTGCAAACACTACAGAATTTGCTTAATTTGAACGCTTTTCATTTGAAAAGATTGGCAGAGCGGATGTTGGAGCGCAAGATGTGTGCTACTTCGGCGAAGTGCTCTACTTGACGACTGAGCATCACTAAACCGTCTAAACGGCTAATAAACGTAATCGGTTTTCTGGAATTTGCTACCTTTTTGATTCCTGAAGTCTCCTCTCCCAATTTTTTCTTGAGCAGTAATCTCTGAAGGGTATTGTTTCGATTTGAGCGGTAAGATGTGTTTTGCAGTTCCCATTGAGTTTGAGACTTTAAGTTGTTCCTTCTGCTGGTTAGAAGGTGTTTAGATAATTGTTATTTGCTGTTTAATGCGCTTTTCCATTAATGATGGCGTTTTTGATTTCGCATGTTGTTATCTCAATATGTCGTAATGTTGCAGACACTGTTTCACATGATGGATAAGCCGGAGGCGGGTAAAATGGCGGGTGAAGCCTCGCAAAGCGCTGCCAGTGTACCCGAGCCAGCGCACGCTGACAATGCTTCCAATGGAGGTCCCGCCGCGGCTGCAGGCGAACCAGCGGAATACGCTGATGAGGAATTCCAGGAATATGAAGACGAAGACTACGGGGAGGACCTGCAGTATGAGGACGAAGAGTACCCGGGTGGGGACAACTTCGAGATCACCGCCACCGAATCGGCGGACTTTGGTGAAGGCTTCGAAGGCCAAGTAGGCGACAGCGAGCAAGGTATAGCTACATGTTGGTGTGCGTCGTGTCAATATGTGGGGCGTCCTTTGTAGGAAGAGGATATGCTTGAAGATGTGCGCACCAAAATACGCGAGATGGAGGAAGAGGCAGAAAAACTGCGCCAACTCCAGTCTGACAGCGAAAAAACAGGGCGCCCGAGTTTAGGCCAGCTGGGAAGCAGTATGTTGATTCCCAGCACACGCCGCGAGCAGCCCAAATGAGACTAACGAGCCGGTGTTTTGTTTCTTCCAGCCACCGCCACACCGGATACGGACAAACTGGAAGTGGACTCCCGCTCCGTGTATGTCGGCCAGGTGGAGTACAGCTGTACCAATGAAGAGCTGGAGGCGCATTTTCGACCCTGTGGACAGATTGTGCGCACCACGATCATATGTGATCGCTATTCCGGGCATCCCAAAGGGTAAATTCTTTGTGTAACGATTCGTGAAGCAGTATTTCAAATGGTTGTCTATACAGGTATGCCTATATTGAATTCGCTAATAAGGATTCAGTGGATGCAGCTGTCGCGATGACAGATACGATACTTAAGGATCGCCAACTCAAGGTAAGGCTCTTTCAGCTTTATAACTTTCATCTTTTAGTATGGCTCTTTCTCGCCATCTCAGACTTCTGCACACAATCAGCAGCCTGCTTTCAGTGTGTGCCGGATCACTTCAGTTTTTTATGCCTTAGTAATTTGAACCTCAATATTTGAATGATTTAGTAGTGGATGGCCGTGTCGCCTACAAAAAATAGCACCGGCATGTGTGATTTTGGGATTTATTTTAATGCTTGATTCTGCGACTTTATAATGAAGATTCTGCTTTGTTTTTTAGGTTGTAGCCAAACGGACAAATCAGCCAGGAATGGGCACTGCTGCCCGCCGTGCGCGACGCCCGTATCGCGGCTATATGCGATCACGCCGACCGTCCTACCGAGGATACAGTCCTTACTACCGTGGACGTAGTACGTACCGAGGTGGATATCGGGGAAGCTTCCGTCGATCAAGAACACGTTACGCTCCATACTAATCAAACAGCCAGAGTTCACTTGACACCTCTCCATATTCTATGCGCATGAAGCCGAAGTGACGTATTATTGTTGCGAGACTGGACATATGGGACAGTGGATTGTGTAGTCTGCATCGCCCAATTGGAGCCGCTCGTCGGGCCCACGTTAATTTGCAATTCCACATTGTATGACTTTTTTATGGTTGCTGCTGCTTGCATTTACACCGAATAGTGTTTAGGAAGTTCAAATGGACTTACCTAAACTTCAGAATTTAGTAAGGTTCAAAGGGCCATCGAGAAAGCTAATTGTTGAATTATTTGAAAAGTTAACACGAGGAAAACTCGAAAATAAATGGCCGGTTATCACATAAAAAAAATGTACTACTTTGACTTTGCCCAAGCGCAGGTACCAAAGCGAAGCCAAGCCATTGGCAGCCACAAGCCATCCGGGTAGCCGTCCCATTACAGTAATCTTCTCGAGAATTACAAATTACTGTGCAGTAGTTTCTCACTCCTAAGGTTGCTAATTGCTTAATTTTAAAGAGACACGTTGTACACTAGTAATTGAGTAACAAATACACTGTAGTTTGTGATTGCGTTCTACATATAACATACTATAATATATTATACGAAAAGTCTATAAAAGCAAAATTGTTCCGTGGTGCCAATTTATTGACGTTTTGAGGATCTGGACAGCAAACATAGAACTGCACTATGAAGCTAAACCCGAATATTACAAATCATTGCTGGCGATGTAACCCATAAAATTCTTGCGGAAGCCGAAGTCCATAATCTGAAAAGCGTAAGCGAGAGTAGAGATTAGCGAGAGTAGTGGCGCCAATCTGCTACTGAAGTGAGATTTTGGAACATTACAATGCAAAAAAAGTGAAGAATCTAGAAGTGCGATAATATACCTATCTGGGGATCCACAGACTACCGCAGCCTGCGGGCTTCGCGTTCACTTTCCATAAGGGTAAGGACATCGCCTTCGCGAACGGGTCCCTTGACGTTCCTTATGATGTTGCGGTTAGATTCATCGAGGAACTCCACTCGCACTTGGGTGGCTTGTCCTTGGGAACCAGTCCGACCCAGCACCTTCGTGACCTGTGACAATTCAAAACGTTTGAGGTCTGACCAAATAACACACCCTGCCACCACAGTTGACAGACTATAGAAAAACCGAAACTACAGAAACCCCGAGCCAGCTTCGGGGAACTGGCTCTTTCTATAATCCGCGTTCTACAGTATCGGCGAACCATCTTACCTTGGCTAAACGGATCTTGTCCATGGTACCCACAAAGTTTATAAGAAAATGTTAAAAACCAGGAATTCTCAACAAATTTACAAATTTATTCGAATGAAGTGAAACTACAGCAGCCAGACTTCATGCAGTGTAGAGTCCGGATAGGTGCTCAAGGAAACTTTTTTGAAACGACGAAATTCGTACATCCAAAAATAACAGTTCGTTTCCTGGCACACTATACTAACTCTGTCCACTGTTACCTCCCTCTATGCATGTGCCACGGATTTGCTTATGTAAAAAACTTCGCTTCGCTCGTCACTGTAAAGTCTATTATTTACAATAGTGACTAGTATTAGTGTAGTACTGTAATACAGCAAGACTGTATCGTACACGGTACAAGGGCGGCACAACTTTTACATGGGAACCCTGGCACTTTTCTCGGACTGCAAAAGGTCCAGTTTGCAGCGGCACATGTTTTCAAATTCGCCTTTTCGGTTTCACCAAATTAATTAAGTATTAAATTCGATCATTTTTATTAGTGTAAATCGGAGCAGGCATTTTGTTATGTATACTGGCTTTTGTCGAAATAAAACAACATTAAGTATATATTTCAAATTGCAATCTTATTAATAATTAATTAGACGCAACTCTAAATTAATAAGTATTGGTTTGTGCGGTAGTCTGTAGTCTGTACTCACCATGCATTGTACTATTTTTATAGGTAATTAAATTTTAACTAGCCATGATTTAAGTCCTGAATATGTAAGAACTGAATGAACTTAGAACTGGATTTGTAAAATAGTAAGAAAGCAAGGGCGGCATGCTTTTATTTATTGTCAAATAAGCTTATCGAAGTTGCGAGAGTTGTGATTGGGTTTCGCGGATTTAATTTTATTCACGTACACCTGGCGAAGCAGAAGCAGTTTACTATAGCGTTTAGCGACTACAATACATAATAGTGACACCAGCCAGCCTGCTGAGCCTGGTGCTCGTTTAGAACGCTTTATTAAGTAATAATTTTGTGTATGAAATGTATCGGCTACATCTGTTGGGATTTTTAATGGCCCGCTCCTATAGCTATCCGGTGGCCGGCGCGAGCCATACGGGCCTACGGCCCACACCATATGCCGCGACGTCGCGGTACAGTGTACCGTTTATAACGCTAATTGTAAGTCGTTATTGAACAGTTTTGTCCATGTGTTGTACTACTACAGACATCGTTCCCTATCAGATCGTCTTTGATGTATCGTACTTGGAGACACCGAAAACTGGAAAAGGTGAGAAACGCAACAGTAAGTGCTTTGTGCGTACCACAGTAGCGCAGAATTAAATCAATCAGTAAAACTACCACTTTCGTCCTAATTCCGGCACTACACGTCCACGAAACAACGCCGCGCTGATGGGCTCGAAATGAGATGCATTTGCGGCACGTTAGTATAAGTAATTTGTAAGTAGCGTTGCAGTCAGCACTCAGCATATGCCGACCATTCGCCCGCTTGTCATGCACTGACTGATTTGAGCAAACACGCTGACCAACTCGATCTATATTTATGAGCGATTTTTGTGGCGCTCGACTTCGTGATGTGGGCGTTTACATCATAAATAAAAAAAAACCATTTCGATAATAACGTTCTTGTTTAAGGCATTAGTCACAACTACAATCTGAATCAAGTCATGTCAGCACACGCGCGTTTGACGCTTCAGTTTCCATTTCCGTTTCCCAGTTATCGCTAAATACAAGCGAAATCACTCACAAACTACGGTGCAGCTGTGTTCGAAAGCTCGTTGGTGTTATATGGTACCACTACTGCCAGTCTGCCACATTTCCTCTCTGAAATTTTGTTTCCCACAAGAATACTTCCGTACAGTTATGGACTCCGAAAATCCCCAGATTGCCAGTGTAAAACTATTCGTCAAAGCCGGCATGGGAGATGGATCAAGCTATGGAGCATGCCCTCTCAGCCAGCGTCTGCACATGATTTTATCTCTCAAGGCAAAAAGCGGCGAACTGAATTACAGCGTGTACGCCATCAGTTTAGCCAAACCGACGGAAGAATTTAAATCGCTCGGTTTGCGACATGTTCCCGCCATCAGCATCCCTCAGTGCGATGTTCACCTGGACAATATGGACGAGATTCTCGAATACATCGACCGGACGTTCTACAAAGTTGACCTTTCGTTTGACAACGTTTTAGCCGAGCGCGCATGTAAGGATCTGTTCTCCAAATTCTGCTTTTTTATAAAATCCGTGTCGAAGGATGCTTTCGGATTGACCGCGGAACTGGAGAAACTCAATGCGTATTTAACACAACGCGGCTCACAGAAAGGACCGTTTCTGTGCGGCAAAGACATGACTTATTTAGATTGCGAGCTCCTTCCAAAACTCCAGCAAATCCGTGTGGCTGGACGAGAAATTAAGGGTTATGAAATACCGGAGAAGTTTGAGGGAGTGTGGAATTACCTGAAGGCGGCGTATGCAACAGATGTATTTCGCGATTCCTGTCCGAGCGATGAAGAGATCATACTGCATTGGATGGACAAGACGGAAATTGGACTGACCGTCAGTAAGCCGCAAAAACGACGCAGCGCACTGATAAACGTTAATGAGAAGACACATTCATTTAACGTTCCCAGCGAAAATTTGCCCCAGGAGAAATACGAAATTAAAGAAGTGGGAAAAAACATCCAAGAAACACTGAACGTGCCAGACACACCCAAAGAGAACAACAACGTTGTTCATCTATGACTTCAAGATTTCCCTGCTTTGCATACATGTGTGCTATTCAAGACACTTTTCACTTTCGTAAATTGTAATAAGTATTTAATTTCCTTATCGATCACGTGTGTGGTCACTCACTGTGGTGCGCAAGATTGTTGACTGCTCGCAAAAGTTCAATGCTCACATAATCTTAAAATAGCTCAAGATTTAAGTTTTGCTAACTGGCCAAATCGCAAATGAAAATGCTGGTACTGTATCGTGCGAAACGAAGATACTTGTACTTCCGTGAATACACATCAGTGTCACTGTGTCAGCTGTCAGCACAAAATTAAAATGCCATTTCGGTTAATAATAACTTTTGAAATACTTTGTAACTAAACCACCCGTGAAAATTGTATTACAGTAACCCTCACGTGGAGATAAGTCGCAAATTACGTCTGCCTCCTGCGCTAATAGTTGCCAGTTTTTCGTTTCAGTTTCCTATAGATTCGTTACAATCTGTGCGCCACAACAAGTCAGAATAAGCTGTACTTGACCAATCCAAGCTGGAAGCTATATATTCTTTAATAAAATAATGGGCTCAACTAGTGTTGTAAAAGTTGTTAACATTTCCGTTGAGTAGCGTCTGATGCACTTATAAATGTTTAACTTAAGACCAACCGGTTAGTGTACTGCCATATTATGCGGTCAAAAGACCCAAGAATTGCATATGGACCATGACCATTTGCTCTTGGTCAAACAGATTACCTATGCATAGACAGCATAGTGCGTAACTTTTCTAAGTAGTCGGGAAGTTTCATTATATACATCATACATGTATATAAATCTATAATCGTTTATTGGATTGATAACCGTTTTCGTCATTATCTCCCAATACTATAATAAATATCCCCATCAGACTAGACGTTAAATCTTTGTATTACGTACCATATTGAAAAACGCCAATTTCCAGACGGACATACGAAGTATTCGCTTCAGCCTAGGGAATCTTAATTAATTCCCACGCACAAAAAAAGACAATGACAGTACTTGTACATGTACAATTACAACAATGCTACTACAGTCTATAACACTTGAGACGAAAGCAAATGTTTATGACAGGAATGCTGCGAATTATCACCAAACAACACGTACTCTGTACAGATCTTTAGGTCAGCGACTGCATGCCGGAATTTTCAAATTCGGACCAGGCATCGTTCAACTCCATAAAAATCATCTTTGCTCTTGATAAATGTGGCGATTCGGTCAACTAAAAATTAAAAGATCCAGTTTAAAACAGAAAATGCCATCACAAAGCTGGACGCTTAACACTTGCAACTTTTAAAAAAAAATTAACAGATTTTGGAACAACTGAGCATTCAATTCTACAGGCTGCTAGTACAGCGACATCTTGGCGACACGTCTATGCCGTATGACTGAACAATATCGAATACTCACTTTATCTGGGTGTACGACCAGAACTGCTTTCCTGTATACCCTCTTGACTTGATCGGCTGAAACCAGCTCATGCATACCTACTCCTTTCCAGGCACACCCATCCCATAATACAGTATTTAAACTACACAACAAGGCACGGATATTTCTCCGTTTCCCCTCCGTCCATTCCCGAATCTACGAGACAATTCGAAAATTCATCGAAATTAAAGGATTTTGAAATAATCCCAACTCACCTTCAAAGTTTCCGGATCAACCGTTTCACTAACACTTCCGCTTGTTTTTCTTTCAGTGTTCTCGGGGGCCTGGTGGCGTTATTGAAACCCTGCGGTAACATGTCATCCAGGAAGTTTTGATTAACAACCGGCTTCGTACCGGAATATACCGGGACCTCATTGGTCGTGTTCCTAAACTGTGCATAATCCGGACGGTAGTTCGTAGGTTGCTGTGGTTGTTGAGGGGTTTGATAAGGAAATCTCTGCGGTCCAGCTGCACCTGATGGAAACATTGGCCTTGTATCCCTCATATATGTGGACTCCCCGGCGTTGGGGATCGGATGTTGGCATTCATACCCATCACCGGATTACCGGACTGCCCTGTGCTCATGCCCATCATGGGGTTGGCCGGCTGCCCAGGACGCACTGGCGGTGATATTGATCCACCCAAATTTCCCAAATCCGCAAACGGATCCCGCTTCATTCCGGCCAAATTCGAATTGGAAGTATTTCGAGGTAATTCCGCAGTCATCGGGGTCAAAAGCGGTTTACTAGAATCCTTACCGCCAAACAAATCGCCAAACGGATCGGGAGCCGATTGGGAAACGGGTTTCGAAGCGGCCATACTGTTCAGGCTGTTGTTTGATCCCGGCCGCGACAGATGCGGTGACTGGGGCAAAAGTAGCGGACTAGCACGATTTGTCGGTGTGGCTACACCAGTTACGCTGGGAGCAACCGGTACACTCGTGGGAGAGCTACCGAGCGAATCAAGCCAATTATCCATGCCAGATGTGGGAGCAGCCGCAGCAGTAGGGGATGCTCTGGATGTAGCACTGACAGGCGGCGGAGGCTGGGATAGCGCACCCAGGCTCATGAATGGATCGATAGGAACATTCGTACCTTAAATTAAAATCCGCATTATCCTACCAAACATCATGTAAAACCAAAATGCACATAAGAAGTGATACAAAGTTCATTTCAACAGACTAGGACATTTTTCTCTCAATTATTTTGAAATAGGGTAAATAGTCATTACTGTAATTGGCAGCAGGTGGTTCCTTAGTAGTCGAGCTGTCCCATTGATTTCCGCCCAACAGGTCAAAATTCATAGTGGCCGATGATGGACCCTGTTGTTTTACCACTGAGGGTCCGCTTGAAGGAGCGCTAGGAAGAGCACTACCCATATCCAGCAGATCCTCGACGTATCCTCCAGTTTCGGAAACTGGCGGAGGCATTGGCGTCTTGCTTTCTGCTCCAGCGGGCACCTGCGTTGTCGGCTGAACTGAGGGAATTTCGGAACTCCCAAGTCCCAGCAAGTCTTCCTCTGGTGTCAACAGCGGCTCAGGTGGTGGGTTGACTTCATCCAAACTGGGAGACGCGGAGGGAGGCCTAGGAGGTACCACAGCCTTTTCAGCAGGTTTCGGAGATCGTGGTGGCTGCGGTCGCGGCGGTTTCGGTGACGGCTGAGGCATCGGCCGGGTAGAAGGCGGGGATACAAAATCGACTTCCTGATTGGGCTGTTGACTAATTTTACGATTCGGTGTGGATTCAGCTTCCGATTCCGAATATGACACAAACCTGCCGTGTTGTGATCTGGCCGATGGGTTCTCAGCTTAAAACAAAATCATATACTGAGCAAACAAATTTATCAGCACAGAGGGTACAGAGAAAGTTCCAAGAGCAATTACTAACAGCAACAAGCACATTGCAATGTACATTTCAACTTTACTAGATATTTACCTGGCCTCGCACTGAAATCTTCTTTGACCAGATTAGCAGCAGCCTGCTGAACGTTTTTGACAATATTTTTTCCACCCTTAACTAAATTTCCCAGAAGACCACCGCCAACGCTTCCGAAAAGACTTCCCTGCTGTTGGCTCTGTGTAGGTTGACTAGTCGGGGTGGGTTTGTTTTCTGTCGCTTCGTTTCTTCGTTGAGGTACACCTACATCAAAACCAGATAAATATGCCAAGTTACAACATTTTTATTTGAAAGCATGGTAGCCAGAAAACCAAAAGAAAACAAAGGAACATAACCAAACTGAAGGAAGTCAACTTCTGACTAACAACGTGCACACCGGTTTATACGAAATTAATTTCATAAACAAGTATGTAAAAAATGCAAAATAAGTCGATTTACAGACCGCGAATGCTTGTGAGCCTTTTTATTATAATTAAAACCTGCTACGAAACGCAACAAGTACAACACTGGTTTCGCTGAGGAGGATAGTCCAAGGGTTGCGTACCCGGATTAGGTGCCTCGACCACTGGAGAGGGAATTTTGACGGTTAATGATTTGTTTGTTTCGACGTTTAAAGTTTCCGCCATAGATGCCAGAATTTCCAGCACACCATCAATATTTGGTCTAGTGACTGGATCAATTTTGAGTAATCGACCTGAAAAAAATTTTTTGTTCAACATATTAATTATACAAATAAACCGAGCTGTACTGCACTGATATAATTATACAGCACCGCATGCTTACTGATGAGATCGTTGAATATTTCATATTTCCGGTTGGGTGGAAAAGAGTATTTGGCATTTAAAATCCTCAGCTTGGCCGAATCCTCGAAAGGATGGACCATGTAACAAAGAGTATACAAAATGCAGCCCAATGCCTGCAAGGTTCGTAAATTAGGTTAATGTCCAAGTGATACAAGCCCAAGTTAACGTTTTCGCTCACCCAAATGTCCAGCTTTTCGTTTATAGGATAATTATTATATAAATCCAGCATTTCTGGGGCACGGTACATGGGAGTGGTGTTGCGTGTCATCTAACAATAAACCAGTTCCAAATAATATGAACCAATTGACTTAATGAGAGCACTGGGAACGGGACAGAAACAGTTACTTAATATATAATAAAGATACCTCTTCCTCTACCAAATTCCTCCGTAAACTTTCCCAAGACATATCGGGAGCATGGGTTTCCGTTGTAGCACTACCGAAATCACAGAGTTTGACTTTGCGATCCTCCCCAATTAACAAATTTTCCACCTTGAAGAACATTTGGGATTAACACAAAGACAAACCAGTAAATATTTCAGACAAACCGTAAATATTTCAAACCGTAAATATTTCAGTATACAGTAAATATTTCAGACAAACCTTGAGATCACGATGGATTATTGCCGGACTCTGTTTATGCATGTGCTGTACCGCTTTACATGTTTGATAAAATATGGTAAGAACATCTGGCACCGATAGAGGAAGTTCCCTGTTTTTGAGAAGGCTGATCACTTGTCCTCCTGTGATCATACAATAGCACACACTATAGTGATGGTAATAATTGCAAAAAAACGAAAAGGAAACGAGTCATCAGCACAAAATATAATGGTGAAAAATACACTAGCGGACAACCGCTATTTAAAATCGAATACTTGATTCTGTATTAATTTAGAAGCATTACCCGAACAAAATTCGGTTAGAATCAAATATTCCTCCACATTGGCTTTTTCTGGTCTTTTGCACAGCGCAGCTGCGACGTACCCAATAATATACGGATGACCGGTGAGTTTTTTCTATGTAACAACAATCCACTTAAAAAAACCAGCAACAGAAACAGTGGGATCGCTTACCAGGAATCGGATCTCTTGTTTAATATTCTTTGCCGCATCTTCATCGTGTGCTAACAATCTCTGCAATCATCATGAGAAGTGTTCATGCAACGGGAAAAAACAACACAGATAGGCTAGGCTGAATATCGATTTATAAGTCCAACACCATCTGCGGATCAATAGCGTCGTTCATATGCCAAGCTACGGCAGCCGCTTTCCGTATAAAACAGAGTGGAGCAGTGATGTGCATGTTGTACAGGTTTTGCGGTTTTCGTGTTGAAAACCGCAAGGCTAGGGAAACAACACTGATAACGAGCACCAACGTGGGATGTACCTTCAAGGCGTAATCTTTGCCGCCCTCGACATCCTGCACCAGGTATACATAAGCGTATCCACCTACAACGCAACTTTTTTAGCATAGATAAAATTAATGAAACCGACGAGCAAAACTTAGCAAAAAGGATGAGCGGAAAATCATCAGGAAAACACTCTTTAAGAAATAAACAGCGAAGAGAAAAAACGCATACGAGTCAAATTTTAATGGAATAGTGTTTCGACGTAATAAATCAAAGAATTTTCGAAGTTTCACTGGTCAAGCACAAACATTTTTTAGGATGTTCAAAGCGAGAGATCACGATTACTGCTAACAGTTTCTCCATACATTCGCAGCAACGGCAAGACAGTTTTAAAATATTTTATCGTATCTATTAAGATTTTTGTTGCTGCGCTAATTTGCTCATATTATTGACATCTGAAGGCTCTATTTCAAAGGCAGTTTCTTTACTCGTAATAAATAAAAACGGTGCTACCCAACAAAAAAGTTTACGATTTTCATTTATTGGTTTATAAATCGTTTTTTAAATTTTAATCGACAAAGGTGGAACTGAATTTTCATGGTAAGTAAAACTTGCGCTAACCTTCCGCAATCAGCCTTTTGACACGGAATTTTCTGTTCTCGATTTCTACAATATTTCCCACAAGGTCAGAATCGTCTTTCACAGCTGGTGTTTGGCCTCCACCAATGTAATCCAAAGCACTTCGAATCAGATCCCCCATGTCTGCTTATCCAATCCGCCTCGTTCAGTTATGTTAAGAAACAGCTTCTCCCTAAAAATGTCCGCATTTACGATCCATCACATCGCGATAAATTATTCGATTGGAGTTTATAAGCACCGGACATAAAGCATGTTGAGACAAGCAAGTTTGAAAATAAAAAAAAAACATACAGATTAAATTTTCCTGCAATCTTAAGACTTACAGCTGCAGTAAGAAGCAACACTTCCCGGAGAACGGTCACAGTAACTCCGTGAAAGAAAATAAATCCGCAACTCTGAACTGAAAAAAACAGTGAGAAAATAAAAGCAAAACCTGGGCGATCACAAAATTAAAAAAAATTTAAAATCAAACTAATCCACATTACGTAGATCTAGATTCTAGATCCAAAAAGCGAAGGCCACTTTATTACACTTGCGGATCTTACACTGATAAAAAGTAAACTCGATAACACCCCCAATATGTTGAAGCACGGCAATATGTACGCTATAGCATTTCAGTGCAGTACCGAGGTACCATATAAATGTAGAATAATAATTTACCTTATCTAACAGCTATCGTACTGTGCATACGACATAAGCTAATTAGCCCAGTAACAATAATTGCGCACGAAATAAGCACAGCAAGTAAACAAATCCGACAAGCACTTACCAGTTAACACGCAGGCATATAACAAAGCTTCTGGGTAATAATTCTGCTACTCAAGGATAGCCATTTTTTAAAACTCCAACTTATTCGAAATCTGAGCGAAACCTAAAAAAACGCATGCATCCACAGGAAGGAAGAACACTCTCCACGCTACTGGCTCACTGCTTGTGCTGTCTGGCAGCCTGGCACAGTGGGCCAGTGGCACACTAACCACGAGAACGGCAAGAAAAATTTCCATCACATGGCAAGCTGAAGGGGCCTTTGCAGAAAAGGGCTTACGGACTACAGCAATGTTTTGCGCCAAACAGAGAAGCAATAAAAGCAGTCCTTTTAACATTCCAAAGGCAACCAGACAGTCAAAGTTAACAAAAGTTTTTAGTTTTAAAACACTCACAAACTGATCCTATTCTGATCTTAAAATTTTAATATTTTATTACTAGTAATTATTGCCTTTTAACTCGTACACCAGTTAAGCACATAGCGTTATCCGGGTTATATTTTTTATAAAGTTTTTGGAGCTGTGACTTCTATTTTGAAATACTGACTCTCTGGATGCAGAGTTCCTTGTGATTAGGAAGATAAGATATAAGGACAACTGAGTCACAACTCATTCTATTAAATGGCGAATCAGCCATTAACTCCATTAAGCCCTGTTACTCCAGGAACTTCTGGCAAAGATTTGCCAAAATGCTCAGTACAGGAGTGGATGGGTGGAATCGAAGGGGAACATATTCCACGAAGCGACCTCAACCAGATCGTCTTGGATTACTTGATATGTGGTTAGTTTCGCACATCGACTTCGATATTTTTGTTGCTACTCGTAACTTACCTTGTGTTGTATCCAAAATCTGCACTTATTTTCCGTAGCCGGCCATAAAGATGCTGCTGTTAAATTTTCCCGAGAAGCTTCCATTCCCATGCCAGTTGAACCGTCCACAATGGATGATCGTGTTAAAGTTTTGGATACTGCTCACGAGGGGAAGATGGCTGAGTGTATGAAGCTTTTGCAAGAGTGTAATCCCGAACTGCTTGAACAAAATCCAGAAATTTATCTCACCATGATGGTTAGTCCAATGACTTAAGTCACATGTAAAATGGGATGCTTATGTTACATTTAATTTTTAATTAAGGATGCGATAAAATCTCTGTATTTAAATCATTTTCTGTGATTTATGAAGCATTTGTAAGACCTTCTTGTGAACCTTGCTTGCTATCTTACAGAAGCAGATGCTAATTGAGCTGATCCGTGAGAGGAAAATCAGTGACGCACTGCAGTTTGCGCAAGATGTCCTTGCCGAAAAAGGAGTAGAAAATCCTGCTTTATTGGAAGATTTTGAGAGAGCTTTGGCTCTGCTGGCTTTCGACAAACCAGAAGAATCGCCGTATGGTGATCTCCTTGATCTCTCTCGGCGGGAAGAGGTTTGTCGGTTATGCGCACCTTTTGTTAGATTTATCCCTGCTTCCTGGATTTTGGAATTTAACTTTTTTATAGGTTAAAGCACAGCTCAATGAAGCAATGCTGTCATTTGTGGGCAGGAATGCTGAATCTAGGTTGTCCACCCTCTGTAAAATGTTATTATGGTCTCAAGATGAACTGAAAAAACGCAATGTGAAGTTCCCTAAAGTTTCAGATTTAACCACTGCTAAAATCGGAGAAGACTCCACGGAAAGCAGCTCAGATATCCCTATGTAAAATTTAATCCGTGCTTTCGTATACATAGTTTTGTCTCTTCTGTCTGACTGTCTGCCGCCCATGAAAACGGGTTACAAGAAAAGGAAAGATATGTCTGTAAAAATGGAGATGTGCGCATTATTTGGTCTGTTGATCCGGCTTCAATCAAGTTCAATGAGTAAAGGTTGCGAACTTCTGCTTTTATCTTGATTAAGGTAACCAACATAAATAAAACAATTTGACAACCAAGTTGAAAAACAACGGTATTTTAAAAAGATTTAAGCTAAGTCAAAAGCAGAATTGTGCAATCTTGAATATGAATGTAACAAAACAAAATTATCAAGACTGGGGAATGCGAAAGCAGTGCTTCCCCATTCAGTCTTGATAATTTTTTCGTTAAGGTTAAGCAGGACTAATGCTAAGTGTTTCCGAAGTCTTGCTTCGCAGTGGTAATGAACAAAAATACTAACGGTAAGCACTGCTCGCTCGCGAACACTGAAAATCATCAGAGCGATTTTAAAACGCCGGAAAACAATATGATCTGATTTTTGATGACCCATTGATAAAGTTGCTGACTTCGGTTTCAAAAGCCTTGATACTGTGGGAGAGAAAGTCACTCCTCAACTCGGGACCATTTTCTGCAACAAAAAATACTGTACTCACAGCGCTTGTAGTTTAGTGATTGGGGCATAAATGACTGTGTTTTCGGTGTCAGTAACGCAGGACTTTGTGTAAGTTTGTGTTACACAATACTTGCAGATCTCCTTACCGCAGTAATGTATGCGGCTCCAAAAGCTGCATCCTTTCCGGTTGTTTTCTCGGCAGTCGGCAATTCAAAAACACTGCTAACGAATGTTTTCAACTGCGGAAATGTCCGAAATAACGATCCGGTTAGCACGATCCGGTTGATCCCGCACTGATGTACCACATGTTTTGGAATCATGACTTCCAGATTGCTAATAATGCCACGCAAAATACCGCGCACCACAGCTCCAATATTGCAGTTTCCAGTCCCAATCTGCGTGACAGAGGCTAGCGTCTTTGTGTCGTAACGTTCACCAAATGGCCTGTTAAAAAAGAAGAAACATGCGCATGCGACGATGAGAAAAAAGCTGCAATATAAAGAAGATAATTCCACCTGTTACAGTTAGCATACCCAGTACTGTAAACTGAAACTGATGGCTGTAAAAAGCTATATCCTCTGGAAAAACCTATTCGATCGTTAATTGGGCAAATAGACCGTCAAGGTTACTAAAGCCTAAAGCGACCTTAAAACGCTGTCCTCCTGCTTAATCAGAGCGTGCTTTAGACTTAGGTTTACACAGTGTTTTAAGCGCATCCAGTACCCAGAGCAAGCCAAGAAAATCTAATGTGCTTCCGCTAACTATTCGTATTAAACGATTACGATTACAACAATAAATAAAGTTGATTACTACGGGGCGCGGGTAGTACAGCATTATTATATTGTACGAACCTTGGGCTGATGTGAGGATCATTTGAGAGTGACCAGTCGACGCTGTTGCCTTCCTCTTTGAAAACCTTCCACACATCTTCCATCGTCAGTGTAATACCAAAAGATTTCGCCCAATTTGTCACCATAGAGGCAAACAACTGCAGAGCATTTCCACCGTTTAATGATGGAGCACACAGAAGATGTCTCTCATAAAAATAGCTGCGAACGTCACATGATGCCGGTGGAGACGCACTGACGGAATTATGAATAAAGGTCAACTGCGATGAAGTACTGAAGTTAAGGACTGGAAACAATAAAAAATATTAAACGCTCTAATTTTAAGAAATAATCAGGGTAAACAAGTCCGTACTAGCATCATTCTCGTTTTCCAACGAGGCCACAAAAGAACACTGCAGATCACCCATCCCAACGGATACTGGAACATCTTTCCGGATACTTTTCCAAGGCATTCGCAATGTACCGGCGAAAAACTGACTGGAATGTTGAATGTCGGGCAAAAGGAAAACGGGGGCTCCAGCTTCCTTTAAACTGCAATGAAAGTCAGGTAGGAAAGAGCGTCAAGCAAGACATGCACGATGCAATAACGCAGCGGTATGCATATTGCTTCTTAAGCCAGTTAAGACTACATACATAGCGGTATTCCATTCATTTTTCTTACGATTAAAATATCCCCAGGCTTCGGCATTTTGGGGCGACATAACCGGCTTGGTTATATCGCACAGCATCCAAACAAAAAAGTCCATAACACTTCCTGCTGTATCATATCCTCTCAAGAATTCCGGATCATTTCTGACAAACCATAATAACGAACAGCATCCATAACCTACAACAGCGACAACACAATTAAAGAAACGATAGTTGGTTCACAATTTCACATTAATCATTTACGATTTCGGAAATTCGGTACCCAATTTATCATGCAAAAATTCGCATCCGAGTAGCATCAGCATGCTCATCGTCAGATATCCCAAATTTTTACAGTAAATACTAAATTCCTATGCCTTAAAATTTGACCGCTAAATTAATTAACCACACACAAGCTGACAGACACAACGCACCGGTGGCCAAGACTTGTTCGGGCTCCGGGACCGGAAGGGATTCCAAAAAACCCGTTGAACACCTTTGATCCTGCCATGTGATTAAGTGCGAGATGGCACCGGGCTTCTGCAAATCTGATTCAAGTGACTCTCGTCTACAGGCATCCGAATTCCATAACACGATGCCATGCTGTTGCCCACAGATCCCGATGGCCTAAAATAAAAATCATGCAGTGTGTTTCCCGTGTCACAACAAACGTGTATGGTGTTGCAACTCATTTTGTTCACTCACGCACCACACAATGTCTACGGCGTCGTGGTGAAGTCAAACTGCAAGTTTCTGTAGTATTGAGACTACTGACTGAGTATTCTCAATATTGTAACAAACAGCAACAACCCATCTGTTGCGCAGGCACTTACCACAACGAGTTTGAGCCATTCTTCCTTGACGGAATCCAGTAAAGAGTTTACAGTGTGCCAGATTTTTGGGACTGACTGTTCACTTAAAAATTGCAGACTGCAGTCTGCACCTTTATCAGCTGCGTCTGTTGTTTCTTTCTGTGGGGTTGGAACAATATCACTGCCAGTTTCTGCTGCCTTCTCGAACACGACTTCTTGGGAAAACAAATCAACGAGGCAGATTTTCGCAGAGGTGGTGCCGATATCAATTCCTAAAACAAGACTCTGCGCACTGCCAGGTAACATTATGGTCGGAATATCAGAATTTTATCTAAGCACAAAAATCCCAGATTTTTTATGGCAGGTAATCCCAGTATACGGTAACGGTACCACAACAGGATCTGATGGCACTTAAGATTAAACTCAGTTGTCAACTTGTCACTGACCATGAGTTGTGTTTTCAGATTTTTTGGCAAAAACATTCTGCAAGGCAGATCTCAATACAGGCAACCCCACTGAGGGCGGGATTTGCAATGACGAAAGCGCTAGAGTAGTCCAAATTGCCGAAGAACACCGTAAAAGCCAGAGTTTTTTAAGCTTTTCAAAGCTTATTTGTGTTTCTTTAGTCGTTTTCACTCTTTTATTGCAGTTGGGATTTTATTTCTAATATAAAATAAGCAATAGGAAGAGGCAACATGATTAAGTACGGTGCGGCAAGTTGCAAAGCGGCTGTTGGCAACTTGGTTTCTACCGGTATACGGCAAAATTATTACTGCACGAGTTGGTTTTGTTGATTTATTCCAACGAAACTTTTCAAAATCTAAGAAAAAAATGAAGCAGATACTGAACTGAACAATTTGCAAAATTAAAGAACTAATTGGGACTAATTTACATGGAGAGTACCGAGATTGTATAATCACGCATCGGTGATTTAATATGAACAGTTGCACACAGTACCGCACAGTGCACAACTGCACATTGCATTCGTATGGGGAAAATTATTAAAAAATGGTGGGAAATTGATTTTAAGTCATGCACGTTAAATATTTAAAGGTTTTTTTATTTATAAAAATAGAGGAAGTTAATACGCATATTTTGCAGTTCGAATCCCATTCAACAGAAACAGAAAAAGGGGAGCAAACCGATTTTTCCCAGCATTTTACTACAGCCGCGCTAATATGCGAGCTACTCTACTGATGACGTAACGAGTCAGTGGTATTGCCTGTATTGAGATCTGCCCTGCATTCTGGTACTGTACATGTACATTACCAGCACTGAGATCAACAGTACAGTGTGAACCGCACCCCGAAGGAGCGCGGTATTACGGTATGTACTTTTGAAAGACGCGTTCCTAACGAAAGACGTGTGTTTTACAAAAAAGTGAAGTACAAAAGTTTTACAAAGTGAAGTACAAAAATTTAATGTAAAATTCTATGTATGTGATAAATCACTGAAACTTTATTAATAAATAAATTTATTTGTTTCATAGCCAAACCCGGCAGAGATCACTTAAACACCGGAAAAAATAAAATTGTCTTTATTCGCGATGGAAAAAAATATCAGGTAGAACAAAGTTACAAAAGCTCAATGGCTCTTAAGTCTTAATTCAGTAATGAAAATAAAGTCGAAAATGGCTTTACATCATGAGTACACATTTTACATGATGGGTAACCAGTACAGTACTTACTACCGAAACCTTACAGTCAACAAAAACTGAAGTCAATAAAAGTTAAGGACAGCAACAACTTGCGTTAAATAACAAACTTATACACCTGAAATAAAAAAAACAAGCGGAAATGCAGTATAGCACGATCTTATCGCTAAAAATCTCGAAATGAAGCAGAATTGTTCCGCTTCATTCACAGTCGAAAAAGAATGCTTACAATTACATCTGACGCAAGTTATCAACAACGCCGCATATCAGTCTTCTCCATTCCTTGGCGCTCCCCTGCCTGGTCCTCCACCCCGAAACGATTTCCCGCCACCCCTTCCTGGTCCCCCTCGGCCACGATTCTGTCCACCACGCCCACCCCCTCGGCCTCCGCCGCCCCCTTGATAGCCGCCGGCTGGCCTTTTATCAGGTCTGGATTTATTTCTGGCCATGTCTGCTTTCACCAGCTCAGCGACCTCGTCAGGTACGCGCATGTATTTAACTGAACTCCCACGGACATAACATTCCGCTATCTTCCAGAACCGTTCTCCGTCTTTGGAAGTACAAATAACATCTTTCAGATTTAAGTTCATCCAATTATCCACATTGGCTAGCTGTCCATTATATGTTTCTCCATTTTTTAACTCCACCAGCACAGGATGATTCTGCAACCACATCAAAGATAATGATAAGTAAGTGAGTCTGTAAGTCCGTTCATGATAGCAGATAGCTGCATAAGAGATTACAAGTTTACAACGTATAGTCGTACACAGCTTGTAACGTCAATAATGCAGAATTAAAATGCAACATTGGTACCAATAAAAACATTCGTTATTTTATAAGAGTTTTTCAAAAATGTGTATTACCAAAGCGCCACGAAGAAGAGATAAAGGCAGCATAACGACGGGCACAAGGCGAATGTCTTTATTCGTATGTCAAATCCCAACGAATGGCGAATGCGAATGGCGAATTCAAATAAATAAGGAGCTTACTGCATTCAAGCCCAACAAGTAAAACTGATTCCACAATGACAAAAACAAAATTATCGACTGCCTCTACTTGGCCATCAAAAAATCGATGTTTTTTTTGGAAATCGTAGCAATGAGAATTATGAAAGCCGTAAAACGTAAAACCTGAAAACATCCATTTCCGACAAAGAATCGCAACATGCTCCATTTCCATCCCCTTGGCCAGTGGAATTGGAGGTGATGCAACCGGTTGTTCGTTTTATTGGTATTGGGTGTTAGCCGGCTCGAGTTTCATTTATGGTCATTACGAAATCAAAAAATTTTATACGAGTAAGTACAAAAATTCAAGAACTTTTGGACGTGTAGGGATGAATTTTCGGTATTTCATATCACAGACGTTTCTGCAAGTTGTACCGCCGTTATATTTTTATTTACGTACTTTCAGACCTTTCTGGCTTGTGCTGGTGTAAACTTCGAATGAGATTGTTTCGTTTATTAACCTGTCTTAATGCTGGACTGACTTGTGTACCTATCGCCAGTTATCCTGTTATCGTGCTGGCAGTTACTACTCCGTACATGAACGAAAATGCCTCGCGAACTTCATGTTCACGAAGTCAGGTTTTTCGATCCGAAACCAAAAGCGGTCCATTATCTGGCATATGAGCCGAAATCGAGACGCTTAGCAGCAGTCAGGTAGCTGGACTGGGTTTTGCTTTTCCGCGCATTCTTGTCAACTCTGTCATTGAAGGTGCAACAACGATCTTGACGACCAGCTTTCTTCGACTGATGGCAATAGGCACGACCGTTCGCTCCCGTCATCTTACTTTATCGAAATATGGAATCTTCGCGATGGGCCTTGCTTGGAACTCCAGATCAATCTGGGTTCGGAGTGGCGACAAAGCGTGGAAGCAGTATGCTGGCGCAGTTCTCGCAATCTCTTTGTGTCTGGAATTCATGGACATGTGATCCTAGTTTGCGTGGAAAGTGGGAGAATTCTGGTACTCAGTAACTCAGCTAACAGAACACAAAAGTCACAAATCTTAATAAATAAATAGTTCAACCCCAGCTTGTGCGCGGAATTACTTTACCCTGGTTGGTTTGCCAAGTGCGTATATCTTGTATTTTTTCTCGTGATAGAAAACTGTGGCTGCCGTTTCGGGAGCAGTGTGGTCTCTGGCCATGAACCACACTGCGACTCTTTTAGCAGCCGGGACTGAAGATGGATATATTTCCCTGTTCGACGTTAAAGACAGTGGCAGTTTCGAATACTTAAGAGCACTCGATCCAAAAGGAAGTGAGTGTTTTGGTGCAAATGTTCTGGTGCCAGTAAATGCCTTGACTTTTTTGTCAGTAGTTTCAACGCAGTGTTTCATTGTGTCCCATTTAAAAAATTAGACAATTCTGAAATTTACAATACAAAGAGTGACTGTAAATTGTAGGCCGTGTTCTCGCATTATCCTGGCATCCTGATGCCAGCAGTGAATTGTTAGCAGCATCCGGTCGCGGAAAAATATGTGTGTGGGATACGAAAAAGGGTGTGGTTCGGCAGGAAATGCGCCCGAACAAGCGAGGAAAAGAAGAAACCATTGTGTCTAGTGTGCTGTTTTTAAAGTACAGTAGCATATCTCGACCGCTCTGCCTCCAGTACTACCTTCAGCCTGAACACAGCTAATCTTCTTCATTTGCAGAGATGGTACGCTCGTTTCCGGTGATTCTACGGGAGCAACTGTTTTCTGGGACATCGCTACGGGTACTTCTTTAATGGTGAGGACCCAGAAAGGCTGTAAGTAACGCTAGATTACTACTGTAACGTGCGCACCGTGTTTTACAGAATTTCACGGGGCATCGCAGTGGCGTTCTCTCTTTGACTTCCTTAATTCTTCCCGATCAAATAATGGTTTATGCGAGTGGAATGGATCCTACAACATACGAATTCCGTTCTGTTAGGACGGATGTCGGCGTATCGCAATGGGTACAGACATTTGCCCGCCATTCTCATACCCATGATGTCCGAGCATTATGCTCAGCCAGGCAGCGCATTATTTCCGGTGGACAGGACTCTTATTTGATCATGACAGGAGTTCTCACAGATAAAATGTTTTTAAAGATTCCATCTAACACGGAGGTATCTCATTGAAAAATGCAGAAATTTTGAGAAAATACGTTACTTCCAGACAGTTCCAGTTATTTTTTTAGGGTACCGTTGTTCAAGTTGCTAGTAATCCGATACACCCGGAAGCCCCGTTGTTGTGCCTGCAGAATAATAACTGGTTGGAAATATGGTGTTTGACGTCGGTGTCAAATGGCTGCATTCCAGATTATACGTCGTTGTTAAGGTATACCTTTGCTAAAGGAAAGGAAATAATAACGGCATCCGCGATTGCAGACAATGGTCGTTGGTTAGCTGTAAGCAGTCCACGTGGAACGATAGTCTACAGGATAATTCTGGTAAAATAAGTGCGGTATTTAATTTTTAAAGTTGCATTACGATAACAAAATTTCAATTGTTTAGTCGGGCGATCAAAGTCAAATGGACTTGAACATCATTAAAGCGGTATCTTCCAGTGATATTTTTCTGGGCGCCGCACATCGACTACACTTCTGTGGGAACAGAGACGAATTGATCGTGGCAGACGAGAAAAGTCTTTACATATGTCGAATGCGCTGGGCACCTGATCAAGGGCAGTTCGGCGCTACTGTCGAGAAAGTGGAAGATTTGCACTTTTTTGGCGAAGGTACCACTTACCGGTTTAAAAATTGTCAGGAATTAAGTGATAGCAACTAAGATTGTGAGAATTGTTTCAAAAATGTTTGTTTTGTAAAACAGTTGGAGTTTTGCTCCCCATGTTTTCAGATAGTTTATAGAGTTAATCGACATAAGTTATGAAAATTATGTTACGATTAATAATTACTTTTTACTTATCTTGACTGCAGATTTAGACGATAGCAGTATGTTTAGTGGCAGTGTACATATGTGCATGGCATCCATACGTTTTAGTCACATAGGAAAATGGAACTGCATACTATGGAATTGCTGTACTTTTTCACTATGCTGTATCGCATAACTTTACTGCATTTAGTGTCAAATACAGATATAAATATTAAATACATTACGGTGGGTATTGGTTTCCTCGTTCTTAGATGAGAGGCTTCGGTTTTTGACTTCTGGTGCGGAGGGGCGATTTGTTGCATTTGTCAGTTCACGCGGGGATGTTAAGATTTACGACAGGAATTCGAAAAGACAAGTTCACATGGATGTGGACGAAGATACTGAAAATGAATTCGTTACTACTCCGTATGAACCGATTTTGCCACCGCAAAGCGGTTCGGTGGTTGTTAGCTGCGCAATAGCGGATTGTGATGCTCCGCTTCTTTTATTATCATACGCCAATGGAATTGTTGCTAGTTTTAATATTATTACACTGGAATATTCTAAAATCGAGGGAATTAGTTTGATGGACTGCAACATTCCGCTGACCCACTGCAGTATTTATCGGCATCTGGTATTACTTCATAACTGGCAAGAAGGCTGTTTGCTGGAAAGGAGCGGAAGCAATTGGATTGTTCGTAAAATGTTGAAGTTCGACGAGGTAAAATTTTAAGTTTGTTATTAAGTATGTACAGGCATGCATTTGCAAATCCTTGAGTGGGACAGGCTTTATCAGAGCGCCTTCACTTTTTAACAGCTACCTGTTGTGCAAAATTATTACTAAGCCTTGTGTGTTCCTTTGTTGCAGTTTTTGATAAGAAGTTTGTTTTCTCCGAATGGAAATCTTGTGAATGTGGTACAAACTCCGACCATGATCCACAATCAGTTGCCTCCCATGATAGCAAGGAAGATTTTCGGTATTTAATGCATTTGTTTCCTGGTTGTTTATTTCACACATCGAAGTTTTTCGTGGAGACCTTGTTAATGTTTGATTGTTTTTAGTGTGAATGTTTTAAATTAGTTTTGCGAAACGCCACTGAACAATACTTTTAATAGCGAATCATTAAGGGAGCATAGACTCGTGCAGTGGTAGATCTCTTTTATCAAAACTTAGAGGGATCATTATGCTGGTGAAAACATGCGGTATATTATTATACCGGCAGTTAATTTAATGAAGAAAAACTGAAAAATATACGTTGCTTGTTTATAACTCAAGCTATCAGAAGCATATTTTTTAGGCACTGGTATCATATCAAATTCTACGAATATTAATTTGCACTTCACAGATTAACAAAAGCTATAAAAACAAGTTTGTCTAATTATCGCCAGTTTTAAAGCCATTGCTCTACACTTTTCGCAGTACCGTGCGTAACAGCCGCACCATGGGAGGAGAGTATTTAGTCAGATCGAACGAACTTTAGAAAAGTCGAAGTGACAAAAAATGGCTCGAAAATACTCGTTCGTAGTCGTAGTAAACTCGGTAACTGCGCGATACTTGTAAGTTGCGGGTTTTGGTTGGTATTTTTGGTTTTTTTGTGGCTGTACAGCTCTGGAAATGTGTATGGCTTCCATACTTATATTCCTATTACAATAATTATAGTTTTTCAAAGTCCTTGCTTTGCTTCCCGTGCTCGTACAGGATGTCAGATAACTCTTGTTTGTTGATTTGATAGTACAATGGCTAGTCAGCGCGCTGTGCGCTTCATTGTTGGTGGTCCGGTGAAGTTTCGCACTTGTCTGCACGTTTGCAAACAAGGAGCCAATCCATCTGTGTTGGCCGTTCCCTTTGCTTCTCACTTGTTCTCGGACGCCAGGAGAGGCAACACTGAATCTCGTGCGCACAGTTGCTTGAACCCGCCGTTCCCTTCGCGCACGTCTGCCAGGCAGGTATGTGCCCAAGGAACTCTCCATGCATTTGGACGCAACCGAGTAGCTTCCATCAGCCTAAATGGCATTGTATCCGGCGTACCTACTTTCCATCTCTCCTCGAACGGTGTGAGATGGTTTTCGACGTCTGTTAGCAGACGACAAGATGCTTCGGCTACTGCCACAGCAGATCCAGTTATTGCTCAGAACCCTCCGTCTTCGGTAAGCGTAATGTTTCGAGCTGTCAGTGTGTTAAGTAAATGGGAATGCTAACTTGTGTGATTCTCCGTCCCTTCAATAAACTGTTCATGCTGCAAAATCATTATATGTATAATGTATTCAACACCACTCTAAACACTTTCTTGTGGGTTCTGAACATTAGAGACCGCGCATAAATATCAGGCATTAGAATCTTTTCCCCACCGATTGTTTGGATCAATGCGTATCGTGGGAGCTTGATCAATAATTTTAAACGCTTTATGCAACCTGTCCAGATGTAAAATTTTCACTGGTTAGGAAAGCGGTGCGTTTGTAATTCCGGAACCTCCACCGGTTCCCACACCGCTGCCGGATGGAGGCGAGTTGGTTCTACAAGGAGGTACGTCCGATCTGACTGCCTTGGGACTGGGAGGATGGTGGCCGACGGGGATGTTTCAGCAGTTTCTGGATATGCTGCATAGTGCTGGTTTGCCGTGGTGGGGCGCCATAGCGCTGGGTAAGCGTAAGTAATTAGGTTTCGGGTATTCCTTATAAATTTCTGTCGGCTACTAAGCTTTGACGATTTGATCTCATGTTTGGGTGTTTTCTATTTTCGTGATTGTAAATGACCATGAAGTCGAACTCACTTCATGGCTCCATGCGGGGCGTGAGAACTTTCAACGACTGCACGGGACATTTCACTTTTGCGCACCTTTAACACTTTTTTACATTTTTTTGTACCATTTTGTCAGCCAGATGACAAAATCATGTGCCTGACAATGATTCATGTACAATACAGAGTACAAATATGTTCGGGTGAACTTGGGGTGGAAACAGGTTGCGGCGCAAAATCAGGCTGACGAAAGATGGGTTAAAGAAAAATCTAAAAAGATTAACCGCAAACCGGTGTACCAAAAGTCTGATAAATTTTCCTAACTTTTTAAAAGTTTGCAAAAAAAGTTCACTTATATAACCAGAAGATCATTCTTCCACCGAATCAGAGTTCACCATTTCTTTATTTGAATTTCAAAATGAATAACTGTAAAGGTCGATCTTTCGTCAACTTGAGACTTTTACCATCCTTTAAAAATTCATTTTGAAATTTGAAAAAATTGATGAAATTATTATTCGATGTTGGGACGATCTAAGCCGATCTTCATAGTTTTTGTTATGTGCATAGTACTAGTATTGTGCAAAATTCGAAGAAAATCGGTCCATATCTCGACTTTTGTTATAAGTACTTGAAGTTCCTGTTTGTGTTTAGACTTTTTGAAAACTGGAATTTGATTTCACGCATAACTCCCCAACCGGATGTTATGCGGATGAATGGTTTTTGCGCCAGTGTGTACAAATCAAACTGACATTGAGATGTCATAGAACACCGCACAAGTATTCGGGAGCGCGCGGAAACGAAAGCTCCCACGCAAGCGCATGAATTTGGTAGTTGGTACTGCGTACCACGTACCGTGTCACTAAGTGGGCCATTTAAATTGACTATAGGCATAGCTGTGTAGGTTTTAGGGTGCTTATGTTATTCATGCACAATTATATCGATAGCAATAAAAATAAATAAATATACTTTTGTCAGGCACTGTAAATTGAATCAGTGCACTGGTTGTAGCGACGTTTTGCCTGCGACTACTTGTTTTCCCTCTGGCCGTCAAAGCGCAGCGTAACGCATCTGTTCTGCAACAGAAAATGCCAGAAGTACAGAGGGTGCAGGCGAAAATGACCGAAGCCAGACTACAGGGTGATGCCATGGGAGGTCAGAGTCCAACAGTTCAAAAAGCGATCCTGGAAGCTTTTTCTTCCAAATTTCCATAACTTATTGTTTACCGGCATTTGCTTTTAAACTTGCAGCTGCAATGGCATCATATGAACTACAAGAATTAATGAAGAACGGAGGGTTTAACCCGATCAGCTCCCTCATCCCTATGTTTGCTCAGGTTCGTTTCCGGTACCAAAGCACTGCAAATATGTGCATTGTGCGACCTGCGTACAGTACTCGTGCTTGCGTATTGTAGTATGAGCGATTGTTACGTGTTAATTATTGTTCTGTTAGAGCGCGATATTTATATCGGTATTCATTGGACTTCGTGGTATGGCCAATGCCCCAGTGGAGTCCATGAAGGATGGCGGATTATTTTGGTTTACCGACTTGACGGTTGCCGATCCGTATTACATTCTCCCAATTGTCACCAGTATGACACTGCTAGGTGTAATGGAATTGGCAGCGGAAAGCGGGGGTGTGGGAGGCCCGGTTGGTGAAGGGCAAAAAGTGATGATGAGATGGGCTATGCGCGTACTTCCCATCATCATGTTTCCTTTCATGGCTCGATTCCCGGCTGCTATGTTGTGTTATTGGTTCACCTCCAATGCATTCTCGTTGGCACAAGTGGCTCTCTTCAGAATTCCCGCCGTACGCGAAGCACTTAAACTGCCTGCCATAGTTCGCCACAAACCAAGCGCACTGCCCACCAAGAAAAAAGGTCTTCGCGAGAGTTTTCGGGAATGTAAGTGGTAATTCAGTTTTTAACAAAATCTTCTATCTGAGCACTTCCGTTGGCGTTACAGCGATGCAGAATTCAAGGATCTCCCGGGAAATTGCGGATCGGTCTCGCATCGACTCTGTACGTTTTCGTGAAGCGGGAATGGGGCCTATTCAGAAGACCTACAAGACCGATCCTACTAAGCGGCGTAGGGATGCCGCTAAGAAAACTGCTAACTGATGACCGTCGCTCTTATTTTGCATGCCGGAGTATCTAGACAGATGTTGTGAATATTATAAATAAATAATAATTATGATTATTTCATTTCTGTTTTATACTGTTTATGGCATGGTTTTATACTGTTGATAGAGAAAAGGGAATAAAAAATCGTTTTTGACAAGTCCTGCTGAGTGCTGACATGAGGGCATAAGTTAGTAATCCGAGAATTTTAGTAAATTGCTAGGTTATGGAAGATTCCTTGCTATTTCCTTATTCATTAGGTTTAATTTCGTGCTGTTTACTCTTACGCTCTAGCAAAACTAGGAAATGTCAAACGATCGCACATAAACGGCAAACGCTCCCATGAGACATATTATTTTGAATGCTGTGTTTCTGTGACGACCGCCTTAGGAAGTTGGATTGTACCAGAATGTATTAAATTAAAAATGATGTATTAAATCTCTCTGATGGTACGATCAGTTAGAACAAGTACGTAAGTTCTATCGGGATTTTTGTACTTCGGTACTACACGAGTAATTAAGAACATACAGTAATTAAATTTTTAACTTTGGCATTAGGTGCGTACGATACGATGTAATAATTATCTATAGTTCAAGTACAATTACGCTGGAGTCTGTTGGACGCTTGCGGTCAGGATTCCCAGGTACTGTACCAGGACCCAAAAATTAATGCTATGGTTCCGGGATGTGGTGCCACTAATGCCACTTTTACGGTATAATTTATGCTTCGATGGAGAATGCCCACTGGACATTGGTCGCTGAATTTTGTGTCGTTTGGAGTGACCATTGGCTAGTTAAAATGTCCCATTTTAAAATGGACGATGTGGTCTATGGATGTCAGGTGCGTGCAGTGCACCTCTAGTGGTACTGCTCTTATATAATTTTTTAAACATTAATAAAAAAATTAGGTGGTTACTAATAATTTTGGACGTCGGTAAGGCTCGGGAGACGCTACCGTACTTCAGCCTGCACGTCATGTACGTCGTACGATTGTACGATACCCTGCACGGCTGCATTTAATACGTATAGCACAGGCTGCACAGCATACGAGGTCGATACGGGAAAAGTTTATCACAGTTCTTCCGTGTGACGCTGTGCAACTTCGCGTAGCTGCATCGCCCACTGGAATTTTTCCTGCCAAATCCAAAATTCTTATCTACTGTTTATTTTTAAAATAGTTTAGCGGGCAGAATCGCGATTGACATTTCGTTTTAAATAGTATTGGCTTACCGTTTGTGTTAATTTAATTCTTTCGATCTATCTTCTGAATGAGGTTGACTTATGCAGCGTTATAGTGTTTTGCTGCACTTCCAAGGATCTAGCAATATTGAATACTCACTCTCTTGCGTCTTAATTCATCAGTAAGTACTGGTTCCAACTTCCGAACCGTTAAAATGCCTAGATTATGGCAGTAAATTGACATTATTTTAAAAGATTCGTTAATCAGGTACCTTTGAAGTTTGGCAGATAACATGTAATTCGGACTGTACAGTACTTAATTCGTAGAATTAATAATAACAGCTGAATAAAATTTTATCGCATGCGTGTTTACCAGAACTAAACAGCGCATATCGCTGTTGATGATGTACTTTCTGTAGCAGATCTGTTTCCCGTGACAGGGAAATGGCGGAACTTGTAATGTTTCTTCCGCTATTGAAATTTTTTGCTTAAACTACTTTTCACATCGATACTTGTACTGCTAATCAAACTGAAGTGCTAATTAAGCTGCAGCGTATATGAAACCTAATAATACCAGTTCTTGGGAAGTGCGAAAAGCCATTAAGTAATTTATTTTGTTACTTATTTGTCATAATAATTTGTGACAGTTGTAATGAAAATAATTGTTGGTTTTATTGTTTTTTTCAGCAGTTGAGTTAATCCCTTACAGTAATCGTTTTTCGGGCGAACATTTTTATAACTCCTGAATTTATCTTGATTTAAGTCCTGAAAGGTTGAGACATTGACAGTTTTTCGCGCCCTTAGTGCCCAAAAATATTATTTAGTACAAATTATAAAAGAAATTTTTGTCGGCTGCTGCGACGAGAATATATTAGGTTTCCTGTGTTCCCTGTGTTCCCTGTTTAGTAGCTCTTTTGTAGTTCATTTACTTACTACCTTACTTCAGTAAGTACTGGGGCGTAAATTTTAAAAGATTCGTTAATCAGGTACCTTTGAAGTTTGGCAGATATACGAGTATTTAATTTGAATAAAATTTTATCGCATGGCTTTTTAGTATTTTTTTGTTTGTATTTGCAGTTTGGTAGTTGCAAACTTGAATAATACATTTCTTGGGAAGTGCGAAAAGCCATTAAGTAATTTATTTTGTTATTGTTTGTAATGAAAATAGTATTGTTTTTTCAGTAATCCCTTACAGTACGTAACATTTTTATAACTCCTGAATTTGAATTTTTTCGTGCAGTATTATTCAAATTAGTACTGATGGAAATTAGCTCTTTTGTAGTTCATTTACTTACTACCTTACTTTCGGGGCGTATTTCGATACGGAAGGTTTGGTAGTTGCAAACTTGAATCATTGCGCGGCACTCACGTTATTGTTAGTGACTAGTAGGAGTCACGTAACTGACTTTGAATTGCAGTGTCGAGTACTGATGGAAATTTACCCGAAGGAAGGCTTCAGTCAATGCCCCAGGTGTTGGTGATTAATCCAAAACACAGTCTGCTGTTCAAAGGTACTAGAACTCGCGTCAGTCGCAAGTTAATTGTGAAATACATTTTGCTGGAGTCTCGGTGATAATTAATGTTGAGCTTCATCATGACGATACCCAATGAGTGATGATTTGAGTTTATTTTTCTTCAAGCATTTTCCATAGCTTAATTTTAAATACTTTGTAGAGTCATCCCCGTAATGCCGGTTATTCACTTATGTATGTTGAACCGAATATCATGTTGTAGGTCCTTCGAGTCAGTCCGCTACAGTAACCATTACATTGACGAATCCCTCGTCAAAGATCGTCGCTTTTAAAGTGAAAACTACCGCACCGAAACGTTATTGTGTGCGACCCAATGGAGGAGTAATAAAAGCCGGCGAGACGGTGTCCGTCAACATTGTCTATCAGCCGGGTGACGGAAATGATGCGCAGGAGCGGGCACGTCACAAATTCCTCGTGCAAGGCATATTTGTGGACAATGACCAGGTTCAGTTGGATCAAGTGGTACGCTTCCTTGTCTGCGGTTCGCGCGTTATGTTTCCAATACTAAGTCTTATTTTTTCAGTTACCATAAATCGTTGCTTTTTGTATTTGGATATGATTGCGGTTTATTCGGCTGTTGTTCTGTACTCAAATTGCTTTCTTTACAGTGGCGTGATATCCCCAAGGAACGCGTGATGGAGTCAAAGATACGCTGTGTTTTCGAAGATACCGACGAAGGGGTGACGGAGCAGAAATTACCTGATGGGCGCAAGACCGATTTGGAAGGCGCCGATATGGATCAGTCGATGCAGAAAATCACTGCTGCTGCATTGACTGCCACTCATCCAGATGTGCGCTTAATTGTTGCTTTCCTTTGAAAAGTTTTCTTGCTCTATTTTTGCATGTGTTGTGTAGGCTGCTACCGGAGGTATAGACAGCAAAGAATTGGAACTCCGTCGGATGGCTGAAGATTATCGTCGAGCTCAAGACGAAATTGCTAATTTACGCGATGAAAACCGTCGGCTTCGGGTAATTTTCATTCTCTATTTCTTCATCTGACCGAGAAGCTGGACAGAATATTTATATAAATAACTGAAATTTTTGAAAACAAAAACTCAAATTATTCGGAAATAATTGAAAAATAGATAATTACATTGTACTCATTTTGTTTAATAAATTGCTTCTGTGTAGGAAAATGGCGAGCGATTGCGTAAAAGTCTGCAGACTGCAGGTTCCGTTAGTGGCTTACCAGGTGGAATAGGATCTCAACAGGACCTGGCGGCAAACTGGAAGAATGATTTGACAAAATTACCGATTTTGGCTACAATTGTTGGAGCCTTGGTTTTGGGTATCATCATGTCGCAGATTTTATTCTGAAAATGATATCAGTTTCCCCTGACTGTGTTGTATCCAGTTATCCCCACCTCGGAACTGCGTTGATGCGCATGCTTTTGTGCTAACGGCAAGCTAGCATCCTTTGACAGATTTTTTGTTAAAGTTCTATTAGATCCTAAAATTTGTCAGATTCGCTCTGTTTTGATTAACGTCAATGGTCAGCCACCAACTATTTCCGAAGTAACTGTCGTTCTGTTACAGATCCGTTTCTAACAACTTTCCGTTTTTGTCTTAGCATGTCACTTTCACCACTTGATATGTTTGATTGAGAAATTTTTGGCCTGTAAATGCTATAACTTTCAGATTGATTTTGCGCTGTAGTTTCCAGACGTCAAAAGAATGGTTTGAAATGTTTTGGATCGATTGACAGTTGAGAATCATCTCTGCACCTCGCCTTATCAACTGTAGCGTTCGTAACTTCCTCGTTCGTAGAAATATTGAATTACTTGGTACGATTAACTTCATTTTTTCGGTTCGAAAATTTTTGTGTCCAGTGTTTCTAACTTGCACCTAATGAGGAAGTGGAAACAAATTACAGCCATGAAAATGCACCGAAAATCTTTCCCACGTTTTATTTGCAGTATATTCTACACTTTTTATCTGCCAACAATAATGTTTATATAATTAGTTAATATTTATGCTGGTATCACTAAAATGTAGTGTTTGCTTGTTCCAGAATAACCATTTATTGATAACCTTTGAGCGGCATATTATTACTACCATTTGCAAGTTGACACCCGTGCACAGCCATTAAGAGCGGCATTTATTAAAGTGACACGAAGGTGCATGACGTAGAAGAGCCGATAATAGCCCGATATCTTGGCTGGCCGTGTCGTGTTGTGGTACGAAAATCAGGAGTTTGGGAAACTCGATCGGCGCATTGTTCGGGATGTTAGCGCAGCAACTGTTATCGATTTGCTGGGTGGCATTTGTGCTGCGCGCGCGCGGCAACAAAGCGTGCTTAGGCTGGATGATGGTGGCTTTCCTTTTGCACAATGCCTGCCAGTGTGTGTACTGCCGGTGTCGCACATTCTCAGGCGACGCGCAGTCCCGGCTGGGATCAGTGGGGATATGACAAGGAAAACAAAGTCTTTGATTACTATCATAAACGGTGCAAGCATGGATTTGGATAGGGCGCGTACAGTCACGATGCACGATCCTGACAACTGACAATCGAAGGATGGACGGTCGACGTTGAGCGACCGATCGCGCGCGGCACAATTGCGCCATGACTGCACTACACAACGGTGTGCGCTGCAGCAGCACAAACAACTTACTGATGGCAATCGGCATTCTGTCTCTGCCTCAAGGAATGCGGCTATGAAAATGAATTTGTCGATGCCTGTTTAATACGTACGATCATATATATGTATCAAAACGGGAACAGTGCTCCAGTACAACAGTGTCCCATTAGAGTTGCCTTTCTTCCCGTATAGTGGCAGCGTTAAGAGAATGGCACTGTTCTCCCGTCCATTCGGTAGAAGTACACATGACAGTATACACACACAGGCAACACAGTATATGTATGTATATACACACACATATATGATGCATTGATCTAAAACTTGCATTGTGCTGGCAATGCGCAAGGAAACGGCCAGATCGCCGAACCATTGTGATTGTCTCGGATCGGAGCCAGGAAAATCAATATTCTTTTATTATACATCAAGGCTTAGAACAGAACAGGTCATCCCTGCTTTCCATTTGTACTGAGGAAGAGAAAGCATGTTGTTCAGGAATTCATTCAAATGGGGAATTGACGTTCAATCTATTCTCCTGATAATCTCCACAACTGGGCTACATAACAGTGGCTGGAGATATATATGCACTCGTACGTGTTGTCTACTTGTGCGGTGTTACCCAAATCCGGGATATAGCGCCAGTCCCAGCACTGTCATGTCGTATAACAATGGCGTTCTCCGAATTGTAAGAAACTTCCCCATATAAGGGTCAGAATCAAGCAGTTCCCTTTAATATTTAATGACTTTCTTAGGTACTGTTCCACATGCAATGAAAATTTCAACACGTCCCGCATCCAGACGCATTTACCGGTGCTATCAGGCTAAATGTTGTACATTTAAGCGCCAAGTCCTCTAAACGAGACAATTCTCCTATGTAAGGGTGCCAGTTTGGTGCACGGCTTCCGGTGAAAACAAGTGGTCTTGACCGTTTCCAGATTCTCACCAACTGAATACTTCTGACCAAGCAAACTGCGGAAAGGAAGTAAGTGTACTAGCGTTCGCACACGGAATGCCAGAAATATGTATAAATTTTTTAAAAAAAACACGCTGGTATTAGTTGTAGAACAGTATTGGTGACACTACTCTAGGTAATTAAAACATTTTTTATCTGTACGTCTCTTTGCTGTCTACCTGTCCTATAGCGCACAAGAGTTCCGTTGCATTCCATCAGTGCGCATATTGCACATCTACACAACTACAGAATTATGTATCTAATATTTTGGTACTTAGTGGATGGAGTATTGTATTTCAGACAAGTAACGCAGTAGATATGTGAACGGTTTTAAATTTTGTACTACATTTAATTTTTTGGATTGTACCATTCGCATGGACATAGCTGACTTTCTGTAACTTAAAGCCTCTCTCACAGAAATTATTTCAAAATGTTTAGTGCGGTCTAAGTTTTCTAAAAGCGGCACATCGTGTTATGTGCTTGTCAGCATGCTTCTTTTGGAAAATGTCAGCAAAGGTACGATCGGATAGTGTATCTTGGTATTTGTATTAATTTTAATAACTGTAGGAAATACACAATACGCGCTGCATTTGACTACGAGTACTCATATAATTATTTGCAAATCTTGATATTTGTGTCATATATATATATACATATACAAATGCTATTAATTTATTTGGATAGAAATAACATAAAATACGAATAGTCCAAATTAAAGATGTGCCTCTCTAAAATCCTTCGTTAGATTTTCTTTGACAGTTGGAAAAATGGTATATTTTTGGCAGTATATTATAATTAATCTTTTTAACGTTGTTGGGAGGGAAACAAGAAGTCGCTCCGAAATGCTCGTTTTACTGACCGGTGATATTACTGTGATGGTGCTGGTATTTGTTGTATTAATTTCGGCATTCCTTAAAACAATATTGTCTGCATATGCAGTTGTGTATTGGTGTTATGTGTGATGAAATAACATTACTAACCGGTAAGCAAGCTATAGTGGTAAAGGCTTCCGATAGGACAGGGAACTATAAATCAATGTAACGCAGGGAAGATATAACTTTCAAAACAGATCCATTAAGCTACCCTAGGTAAAAGTTGCAGTAGGATGATGATGGGTATCAGTAGCGCAACCACACAACTGTCTATTCAAAAATTAATACGCACGTAGGCAGCGATATCGTATTATTGAGCAAGGCTACAAAATTAATATACTAACAAGTACCTTTCTCTAACAGTTCGTAAGTACATGAATGATACTGGTCACAACGAATTTACTTAGCTTGTGTTTCTAGTGCATACCGCTAATGTGCACTATACTACGAAGGGCATTGTTTATAAACTGTTAAAATTAACTTGTTATTGTTGATAGCGTATGTATTGTCCACTCCGGGAACTTTCTACTGTTTTGAGTGGGTTATTGGTTAAAACCAAACATGTGAACGCGGAATGCAAATGCTCTATGCTACCATCTTTGACTAAATTGGGCACCTCAAAAATTTCGAGGTGCCCAGTTCAATCAAAGATTTCGAGTCGAAATCGGGCGTGTCTTGTGTTAAATCGGAGTCATATTTCTGGAGTTTTTTGTATTGCAGAAAATTTCTGCAATTAGTAAGCCGTACTGTGGAGCATGTGCGGTACCGGTGCGGTTTCTGATGTTGCGATGCGAATGTCATAACAACCATAACAACTGCTTATCGCCAGTACTTCTTACAGTCAACCATAATGTTGTTAAATTTCCCGGATTATTTGCTGTTTTCGGTGGCGTAATTACCGTGGAGGTAGAACCACGTGTAATGCATCCATGTTTTGATTCAACTCACTGCCGATTGTGCAGTATTGCACTAGATGCAACAACAGCGGTCAGTGACCAACGAGCCGGTCAGCGAGAGAAATCAGATAGGCACAATAGAGATTTGGGGCTGGATCGATCTGCATCCCGGCGGGGCGGGGTTACAAGGTCACTATAAGCTGCAGCGAATCCGATCCAGACATGTTGGTTATTAAGGCATTGGGTTAATAGGACTTGTTTAGAAAAGACCGCTGACGGCTGACCTCAAGTGGCCGACTGATTCACTGGAATGCGAACTGAACTGACCGCGCCGCTCGGCGCAATGGATTTCTCACTAAAACTGCAGCAGTACGTACGCACGCCTCATTGTTCGCACACTATAAAGGCATTTGCTGAGTCCCGGTTTTGTCTCGGCAGCAGTGCTTTCATGATCGTTTCTCGAGTAGACTCTTCGCTGTTCTCAGAGTTCTAATAAGTAATTTAAAAACCTTGAATTAAAGTACATCGTTATTGAGAACAGTGGAGAAAACCGAGAAATACACCGTGTGGCTGCAACCAACACACATTGCGGCTTGCAATGTTTCGAAGCAATGATTATTCTTAACCTGCAGCAATTTGTTGAATGTGTTTATTGTAGCTTGTATATAGATCTACTTTAGATGGTAACTGTTATACATAAATGTCATTTGTCTGTTAATCTGCATTTCGATTACGATGGAAACCATTTTGAGAACTGAGTCTATGTTTTGTTTCAACATATTATCCCGCTTCAGGAATAACATTTGCTGAAGGAACTGATCATTGATTTATCAGATTTTAGCATTAATACGAAGATGCCAACATAATCGGAAAATAAAATTGCTTTTACAAAAATACGAATTGGTCTACCACAGCAGAGACGTGCAGATTAGATTTTATAAACGTAGTCTTTGATGTTTCAGGCTTTAGCGAGTGTAACTTTTAAATCTCGATGGTCACTTTCCGTTAATATTGTATGTGCACTGAACTAGGTTCTGCACCATGCTGAAAGCGAAGGGGATCGCTTTGTCAAGATTTAGCTTGAACTGAGTGTTAGCGAAAAGTGCAAGCAATAGAAAAATAGTTGTTAAAAATAGAATCCCATACATACATCCTTCAGCTCTAAAGCTCGACATGATCATCATAATTATTTAACCCGACTCTCTTTATCTTTCAAACAGTGGATAGATATGTGGCTGCTGTCATATGCGATACTAGAATGCAGCAGCAAGATGCAAAATAGCAAATTTCATAGCCGTGCAGTAGTACTCTGTGTGTGCAAATCAAGCAACAAGACAAGCAACTCCAAACCGTCGAATGGAATGTTATTATTAGCAGACCATACTGTGCATATTATAATGGCCTCCATTTATGGATATCATCTCAAGCTTTTCTTTCATGTTTGTCAAGACAAGATGCTCTTTTTCGAGAGATCTTCCTCGTAATATGCCGGAGAATGTTCGATTCTTCACAGCAACAAATTATTTTTATATCAGAACACAAGACTGACATGTAACATATATGTACAGCAAGTTAAAACCGCACGAGTACTGTAGTGATTAGAGAATATAGATATTCAGATGCTGGCGTTGCTGAGATCTATTTTTCTTTCCCTTGCAGAAGCGGCAACACACTACCTGTATGCGCAATAGCAACCTAAATTTTAAACAGTTACACAAGTAAAGATCTCACAAATTCAGATTCTAATCTAAATGTAACCCCTATACACAGATAAATTTTGTTTTATTATTTAAAACAATGAAACACAGTGCATTTAAATGTATGAATTCTCACATATTTTGTGCGTAGAGTGTTGTAAAATATTCCCAGTTTAGCCGCACGAGATACAGACTGAACACAATCTGCACATCCTTCAAAGCTTATTGTTTGTGGACGCATATTCTGATGTCAGTGCTGGTGTCTTTTCTTTCGCTTTTCTGAAAACACTGGTATACAGTCTTAAACGTTCTCAGGTCACACGTGCAAGTTGCAGCATTAGTAAAATAATGGTGTTTAAACTTCAGACTTGGTTGCGTTGCGCAACAATTGGATGCATATTCGTATATAGGGTACGTTTGTGATAATTTCACTGTCGGTTTATAAGGTTACTTATCCTCCGCGCACTTCCTGTGTCGAGGCAATCATAATGTACAAGCGCGTATACCGTAGCGCATAAGGACGAATACGATAGTATTACATGTCTTGTTTCACTGACGACGCACACTATAGGCAATTAACGATCGCTGATTACTTTAGAAATCTGAAATGGGTCAAGCTAAGAATAGCGTTGGTATATCATTAGGAGATATCATTGAAGTGGAGGCTTCTAAACAATAGACTGGTTTCTTGATCTGGGCAGCTGTCGTTTCGTTCCACACTCGACATACTCGCATAACAGACTAGATTGCGAGAACACATGTTAATAGGCCGTCCCATTGTAAAGTTTAAAACTAAAGACATCCCTGCAAATGCAATACAGTCAAGGGACAGATCACAACAGTACAGCACACGGGCAGCTACCGTAGATACTAAAATTGAATACGTCATAGAGCAAAGAGTGGTGTATCAGGCTATATGTGCAAGAGACGGCATTTGTTGCACACAGAAGAAAAGGAGAAGGAAAGTTGAGCTTGAATAACAGGCGCATAAAGTTGAAAAGTTGCCGTCCTGATCGCCCATCATCATTTCTTACATCTTTTCCTATCCGTACAGCTAACAACAGAACACTTTGGAAAGCAGCGTTTTAACGACTCATGTGTGCGCAACCGCGAGAAAACCAAAATCCATTCTTAATAACCGGCATTAATCTGACCGGCTTTGTCGATATCCCTATGTGACCCAGACTATGTCCTTACGATTACCGTTTCCGGCCACCGGAAGCGCACTTCTTTCCCGAGTCCCTCGTTCAGCAGGTAAAAACGTCTTTGTACTTGGTAGTACTTTCTCGCACTTCTTGCTCCGCATAAGTTTCTTAGCACAGCTGTATAACTTGAGCATAGGTGGGTTTGTTAAGCTCTACGAATGAGTATTTTGTCCCTTGTGAAAAGAACTTGTATCTAGACCAGATCTCTTGCCCATCGTTTGTAAAACAAATGTATAAAGTGAACTGCCATACGGAGGTATTTAATTTAGCGGGTTACGAGTTGTACCGTTTTAATGCCGATTTAGTTCAGGCTGATATGTTTTTTATTGGGCTTAAAAAGTGCAACATATTTTTTACAAATACTTAAAATCTGACGTATTAGAATTCTTTATGCACCCATTTTATGAGTGTAAAGCGCTAATATCGCACTTGGGCATGCTTTTACGGTAGAATCACCTATATACCGACTACCGTACGGGAGGTGATGAGTACAGTATACAGTATCACTCAGTACAGCGGTAGGTTATTGTTCTTTATATGCGCTTTTTTCTCATTGTGTTATGCTGCGTTGTTCGACGTCTTGTGATTATTTGTTGATTTCGTTCAGGAATGTCGAATAATGGCAAGAATCGTACACACTTAAAACTGCGCAACGACTTCGATAAGAATACCGTATATGGGACTTTAACCACAAGTACGCTGATAATGCTCAAGGAAACGCATTTTGCCGGTAAATGATCTGCTGTTAGTGATCACAAACAGCAACAAGAATTGTTTGGAACGTAGAGTTCGTAAATGCTATCGTGATTCGTGCACCGCTGTTCGCAGTTCAAGCTCATCCGGTATTACTTGATATACGATCATTCTTCGTTTTCTTTAAACAGATGAAATTTCTTCCTGTTGCTGTTTTTTTATTACAAAACGTTTACAAAAGTTATTTTGACACAAACATTAATGTCATTCTAACGAAGCCGGCTTTTTACCGGTATTCTCTTTGTAGTTGTACAAGTGTGCGGTGCGGTACCGTTACACTTCCTCAAAAATAAAAGATTGAATAATATGCACTTGTTGCTTTATATATCGATTCAATTCGTAAATTTGACTATTTACTTGTTGCTTACACATGCTTATGAAACTTTTCGCAGTTTGCTAAAGTTTAATATTACCTCCTTAACATGCAGTTAAATAAGTTTCTTTAGCAAAAACTTCCGGTAATAATCTTTATCGAAAGCGGTTTTTGCGATCCAAAATAAGTATGTCGAAATTCGAATCCATCACAGCAGCATAATTACCCCGTAAAAATGAGTATCATGCAGTAGCTTCAGCTGCAGCGCCGGCTGAACTTGAATAGATACTAATAAAGCCATTTTCTGGCGGAAACGAGCTCATTGTTTGTTTTACAACAAATTGCGATAGTCATGTATAATAAGATTTGGCGAACTCGTCAGCAGGTTAATGTTTTTCTTTTGCATGCATCGCTTGTGTTTTTTGTGGATCCCCTTGTGTGGTCGCGGTAGTCATCTGCTTAGAAATATGCTCTATGATCACTCTATACTCTATGCGTAACTATAACAAGACAAGGCATTTTTATTTTCGAGCAGTTGGTTGCTTAACATAGCTGGCGCATTTGTTTAAGTTATGGATTGTGCATTTAGATAGAGAATCGACTGTGTGTATTATTTGATCGACTGTTGCCTCTTAGCATTTGAGTCAAGCAAACAAAAATTTGTTTAGAATTTATCTGTATGGGAATGGTTCACATACAGATACAGCCACCATAGCCGGCTTTGTTCTCATGCACATTAAAATTCGCTCTCCCGACAATTGCATACAAGCCGATATATTGTTCAATCATTGCAGCACCAATCTATACATAGCCAAGCGTACGGATGAGTTAACTTGGCTGCAGCTGCAGTGCTTTTTGGTTTTAAACCGTCGCTTGCAACAGCAATTGTCTATTCTTAGCTTATTTTTCCCGTCAGTGTTTGCGAAACCGGTGTTTGCCTTGTCAAGGGTAAAATCCTCGGAACAAAGTTCTGCAGTGTCTACTGTTATTGTCCATAGTACAGTCCGGTGCTGGTTGTGTCGAAAGAAAGATGCTCATTGTCTGGTTGGGTTAGAATTTTATCTGGAAACACTTATAACTCGATCGGCTGTGTCCGCCGCTCTTCTCTAGGTTAATATGCAATTGTAAAACGGTATATACACTGCACTACGTATCGCTATGTGTGCGCGCATCCGGTCGACATCGGTCGGTCGTTCTTCTTCGCCCCTCCTTATCAATCACTTCGCTTGAGATCTTTTTGGCTTAATATGAAAGTCTTACTTGTTTGTGTGCCTCTAACAATCTAATAGGCCGCTTGTCTTCTTTGGAGTTTAAAGTTTTACCTAAACACAATCGCTTTTCTGATGCTCAGACTGTTACATAGTGTAGCGCTTAGCTTGTGCATTGCACTATTGTTGTGTAAAGTGGCCCCGGCTCTTAAGGTTATTTTATTTTAATGAACCACCTCGAACGCACGTTGTGGCCTGTTGATTACCAAGCGAGCAATGAAGATGTTTTATTGTTATATATTCTCAATCTGGTTTTCTCAATTTGATGTCGTAACTTATCAGTTGTAATCCAAGTTGAACTGCGGGTGGGTGTGCGAAACTACTTACGCACTACACTTACAAATACAATACGTACGAGTGCAACTATACGCATCGCATCGGCAAAAATTCATCAAAGTATGAAACCATTGTCTGGCAGATTCGATTGCCGGGGTTAGTTACTTAAAAATTGGAACAAAAAAACCAACGGTTTAAATGCCTTAAAAATTGGTTTACAACGAACGAAAAATGCGCTTTACACGAGAGAACAATATAATGTTAATTTCATATATATAACTGTAATAGAAAACCCTTAATCAGTTTCTGTTAATCTCTAAGATTATGACTAAACCACTACAATAATACGCATGACCATATTGCATGGCAAGTAATAGCATTGGATATATGTACAGGCAGTTTATCTGTTGATTTATGCGACGGCATCTGCGAGTCTGAAGTTTAGTCGTACGTTACAACTTAAGCCCAAAATGTCTTCGGAAAGTTGTTTGTCGCCGGTGCTTTTGTTCTAAATTTAAAATCCCATTCATCGTGCGGATTCTCATCGTCTAGTGATTATCAGGAAATCGAGCATAACACACCGAAGGAGTGGTTTGAGTAACATAAGGCAGTGCGGAATGACTGCGAAATTTGGCGGCATTTGTATATTTCATTGAGAAGACGCGTTCGATTGGCTGGTGTCGTATGAAGACGGGCGGTTTTAAATTTTCTCCGGTTCAATGCAGTTGCGCTCCGATGTGAACGTAAGATTGGATTGTTTTCCGTTTCCTTAAGGGATTAAGAAAATCTTGAGCAACATTTATTGTTTGTTTGACGGTATTTGGACAATCGAGAAATTTTCAAATGATTGAAAAGACACTTCTAGGACTATGCTGCGCTTAAATTCTTTCATTAATTATTAGGAAAACCAGTGTAAGAGGTGACTGGTATACTTTAATTACTTGATATTTGTGCCATCATATCATCCGGCAATCGAAAAGTGCTTGCATCAGTTTCATCATAAACGCTATCTATCTATAGAATTATGTCGAAATCTCATGACGGTGCTCTGTGGACTAACACGAGTAGTTCCAAGATGATGCATTCTTTCTTGACTTGGACTTCCTTGAATGGTAAAACTGTTGATATTAATGTCTGTATCTTTTATTTTTGTGGTACGTTATAAGCATAAATGAAAATACCAATTATAAACGGTTAGTTAAAGTAGAGTGGAATTACGAAATTGTTAGTTAGCAAGTAGAAGTAAGGTACTGTAATCTTACGCAAATTGATGCCATTGCGCATAACATTTACACGTTGCACTAGAACCGTCAAAGTAGCCCAGCAGAGTCCCTAGATGATTACGGTAGAAGAACGATAGGCTGTAATCTTAAAAGCAGAAATAAGTATACAAACTGTATTTCACCGAAATGCGCATTTGATTACGTTTTTCGACATGTGACATTTTGTTGAGAAAACTTTACAAGTTGTCTGTGATGTAATAGGTTGAAAATTACTCGCTACTTACATATTGTAAATGCGGTTGTGACCCCAGTTCAATTAAACAGTAGTGCAAGCGAACTGTAATTGTCTGTCCCTAGTCCGTAAACATGTTGTTTCCAGTCCGAAGCACAATTGTTTTGTCTGCATTCTCAGCGTAGTATTATTATGAAGGTGCCTTTCTGGGCAGTGAGATCGCGATCAGAATAATTCCGAAACAGAAAATGTAGCTGGGATTCGGCACGTACTCACTCCACTTTGTGTGTATGCGCCACAATGCAAGTCACGTTGAATGTGCTGCAATCATTGATCGATTTTCAAATGAGATCCTATTGTTCTCTGACACAATATTATCGTCTGGCTTCGGCGCTGATCTTAATCAAAGCATTCTTTTCCTCATTGAATTCCCAGCTGAAAGGCAGCATGAACCGGTTTATATCAAATGAAATTCGCTCATTATTTATCACGCATAACGCTTGCGTACACTCCGGTACTGTACTACAGTACACAGTGCAATATGCACTCTGTTCCATTCTGACCGCCCTTCGTTCCGTGTTGGAAAATGACGGAGCATTGTTCACGCCGGCGATCTACCGTGTGCTTTTGTCGCTTTGTTTAATCGGTTGAAGAAAATATTTTTATCTTTTATAATCGCACTGCACAGTGGTGCAACAGCAGCACAAGTACTGGCCATGCAACGACGTCGCAGCAGTAAACGATTATTTGCCGGGTGTTAACAAGCCAGTCGAGACGGTAGCAGATTTTTATTCATTTTCGTTGATGGCTATCAAAGTGAAACACTAACCGAAAAAACCCCTTATATGAGTGAGCCAATTGTGTAGTCTCTTTCAATGATTAACAGTCAACGATAAAAACCAATGGGCAACTTAAGGCAATCAACAGCAACACTGATTTTTATTCTTATGTATATGTCGTTGTTTTTCGCGTGCGGCGGACCATGAAACGCCGAATGCTTAGTAGTGTACTACCTGTGGCCAAATCTATTGTACAGCGCCAAGCGAGAGACTAGAGAGAGAGAGAGAAAGAGAAAAATGATCATTGTCTGTCGTGTCAACTTTTTGCCTTTCTTCCCCTGTAGACATGCCATCACGACGTAAGAGTACACCTTGTAAAATTCCCACCGTCAGCATGCCGTCCGTGAGTAGTGCTGACGCCGCCAGCTGCACACCGGCCCCATCCAGTGTCACACTGCCGCCAGCTGACGCTGATTCCAGAATGGATGCCCAGCTGCCAGCTGACAGCAGTTCGCCCGTGCCCACCGGCTCCGATGTGTCGGATCCGAGCGGCAGTCAGGCCGATGGCGAGAGTATTATCAAGGTCCAACCGGAAAGTCCCGGGGAGTGTTCGCGCCGCGTCAAGGAGGAAATCTCTCCCCGTCGCACGTCGGTTTCGCCGGTTGCCGGGTCGAAGAATCTGACGGATGAAGGCCTGATGGTGTTTTACATGCGGGAGCATGCCAAACTGATTGCGGCCATTCTGGGCGAGAACGATCTGGCGTCGGACCATAAAGAGCTGTGCTTGCAGCAGATTATCAGCAGTGTGAGGAATGCGCGGGACAGACTGCGGAACTTAAACAAGGACCAAGTAGGTTGTGTACGCGTCGGACGTGCTAGAAAATTTACTAGTGCCACTTCAGTGTCACCTAATTATCTGCTATTGATTGTCACGTGGATTTGCGATATCAGAATCGACACTATTAGTCATTACGCCAGCAATAGTGATTTACTGTAGTAATGCATGTAATGCAGAACAGTGCTTTATTAAACTGGAATGCTTTCAGAATCAGTGTTTCCCTGTTGCAGAATTCGGTTCCAGTGACGACCAATGGTCACAGCAACCATTTGTCGCCAAGCTCCCGCCCGGATACGCCGGTGACCAAGAACGGCAAAGCATCGCCAAAATCCTCCGCTGTCTCGTCGACTGGTTCACCCAGCCTTCTCCTGCCGGCGGCAGCCACGGATGCCCAAACCAATGCGGCCATGTGGGGCATGCTGCACTGCTATCCGTTTCTGGCCCAGATCCCCGGACTTCCTTTCTCCGCCATGGCTCCTTCACTCACAGCAGCCGGCACCGACTGGCCCACCAGTAAAACTCACAATGAGCACAAACGCTCGCATGACGCACACAACGATGACATCGGCGGTGCACCGCTGAATCTCTCCGGTCGCCTACAGAACCGGCCAATCAAAACAGCGTCATCCGGCTCAAACACGGCTCATCAGCGTCACGCGGATGCCATGGATCTGACGAAGCCGCGGTTCGCGGCGGCTGCAGCGGACCGCCACCGCGATGACCTGTCCATGCTCAGTGCAGCGTCGTTTCTTGAACGGGCCAAGTATTCGGATAACTACCGGTCCAGTATGCATTCGATGATGGGGAAGAATGTGATGCAGGACGATTTGGATTACTTGTCGGATGAGGAAATGATCGTCAATGGTACCGTTGATCTTGTTCCTACTCTGTGCCCATACGGCATTTAGTAACTCTTGTTGTGGAAGAAATTTAGCTACATTTATGAGTGCGCATGAAAAACAGCTCATTCATAAATAATTTTTATATAACTGATAGCACATCGTGATATTCGTTGCAGAGCGCTTGAGTGGATCAAAAGGCCGCCAATCAAAAGGTCACCGTGAACGAGTGGATGATGACGCGAAGAAGCCGCACATCAAGCGTCCCATGAATGCATTCATGGTATGGGCGCGAGAAGAACGAAGGAAAATCCTGAAAGCCTGTCCGGATATGCATAACTCGAATATCAGCAAAATTTTAGGTGGGTGTTTGTTTTCTGTGTATCTGCAGCCATGCTGTAACTGTAAGCATAAGTGCATGTGTATATGGATTTTCATTTCAGGAGCGCGCTGGAAAGCCATGTCAAATGATGAGAAACAACCATATTACGAAGAACAGTCCCGGCTTAGCAAACTCCATATGGAGAAACATCCAGACTACCGGTAAGACATTGTGCGTGAATGGGCAAAAGGGCAAACGATTAGATCAATATGTCTTAAATAACCTTCGCACGTTCGATTTCGCTGAAGCGAATAACTGTTTATGCTGCATCACTAATAATGCCCTTTATGTTTGAACCTTTCCCAGGTACCGACCGCGCCCTAAACGAACCTGTCTGGTTGACGGAAAAAAGTTACGAATAAGTGAGTACAAAACTCTCATGAGATCTCGTCGCCAACAGATGCGCGATACCCTTCTACAGGGAGATGAATCTTCCAATTCTTCGCTAGCACACTCCTTCGTTGGATCGCCCAACAGCTGAGAGACAATCAAAAAGCACGATCCTGATTATCAAACCGGAACAGTATCCCCACAAACGGACCTGTGCCGTGGCGCACCTATTTGTCAGTTTTGTTTTTGCCCCGTTTCCGCTCCCTTCGAGTCGGCTGCGCTCTCCCACGTCTCTCTTCTTTCTCTCTCTCTCTCTATGCCTGGACCGATGCTACGCGATTTCGCCGATCGTGTCCATTGTTTGTTACACATGCCGATACTCCCGTTTGTGTGTTATTGTTGTTCCTGTACCTAGTCGTGGAGTGTTTTTGCAGATTATCATCTGCATAAAAGAAAGAGGGAGAGATAGATGGGAATTTTCCCCAGAGATCGACACCATGACAAAGAACGCAGTTTGTTTTGACATGTTCGAAAAGATCTGCTTAATCCGATGTTCGTGTGTCCCTTTGGTGTTTGGCCGCATGATCGTTATGTTCCTAACGGTTAATTGAGGTATGCCGTTAACCTGTTTCCGATTGTACCATAACCATTTGGTGTTCTATTTGTTTGATGGTTGTTGCTTACTGTGAATGACTAAGAAAACCCGTATTTTTATGTATTAATTCAATAGAAGTTGGATAAAGGATAGTTCGCAAGTCAACTCCATTCAGCAAGCATTAAAGATCAATTTGAAAATACTACTTCGGTGAAACACCGCACACAATAAGCAACCGCACCAACGTTAACATGGAAGACTAGATGTGTAGTACAAGCAAGAAGAAAAAAAACGATTAAAAAACAAGTAAAACTCTGATAAAACCCAAGTAACAAAAACAACAACATCCAAATCGGTACGCTAACTTGCGCAACCTATAAATTTAACAATACTTATCAATAACAAGACGTAAAGCAGAATAATTAATTAAATTAAGTTCAAGGCCTTTCTCGTTCCGAAACTGGACACAACATCTTTAGGAGCCGTAGATCCAATCAGCTTTGACAAATTCGCAACTGCCATTTCCGCTGAAAAATTGAAGACAATATGTAATTATTAACTAGAAACGTTCAACCCTTCTAATAAAACGCGACGACAAGTTTCAGATTGAAAACTTGAGAATCATGAAGTTCGCATTGGATCAGTACCACGCCCTCAAAAACTGAATAAAAGATTTAAAATTAGAACGATAAAATTTTAGAACTCTAAAACGTTCAAGACAGCTAAGTTCAACAAGAAAATACCGAACATTCCAGAAACTGAAAGCTATTTCAAAAAATGGACAATGGCAGCCGATCACGTAACTTTCTATGCACGTATCTCATCACCGACATACAGTATCAAAGCGTCCGCTAGTAAAAACCAAGTAGTTCAACCAACCTAAAGAACATTCTGTTTCGCTTGGCGTGGGTACATTTCCCAAATGTACTATGGGAGCAGTAGCCAACCGTTTCGTTTGCTCCAGGTATAACTGATGTAGTATTTCGCCATTTAACGTCAACAACGATTCTACATCACCGCTCGCCTTGGCAGCAGTCCCGGGCCGCATCATATCCGGACTGACGGAATCGAGAAATCCCACATCAATCCCTTCGTTGGTCAGTGTACGCAGCTGTTCCATCATGTCCGTGCCACACCGGTCGACACCTTCCAGGGGAAGCAGATCATCGCGGCCTGTGAGCGCGGCGGCGTTGAGCCATTTGTTCTTGTCCTCTTCCGCACGGGTCACGATGCGCTCATTTAACAGATATACCACCTCACTATGATCCCCTCCGGAAGCATCGTTGATCAGTTTTTCAATACTGCGTTTCACCACCGGATGCCGCACTTGTTGGCCCCACCGCATCAGACTGAACAACAAATCATTGCAAGTTTCAATGACCATTAGAATGTTTGCAAACGTATTTTGCCAAATTAAAGCATAATGAAATCATTCGTTGGACAAACAAAACAACAATACTGAATTAGACTTGGGAGCACCATCATATAGCACTCATAGCACGAAATATTAAAAATCGGAAGTTCCAGGTTTCGCTTTGTCTTTATCATAAAATCGAACAAATTTCAATACTGTTTCACGTTCATACAGTATTTACAGTAAACTCTTTATTTAACCAGCCATTCCTTTATCAAACTACCGCTTAATCTTACCTCTCTGCGTAAGCTATGCCTTTATCGCTGCCGTATGCCGAACGAAGCATGTCCACTTCCTCCTTAGTGAAAATTGAACCCTTGGAATCGTATAGAGGGGCATGTGATGAAAATGATCCATAGTCTTTGTAATACTTCTCCAGCACTGTTTTGAATTACGACCAATTTAGACAAAAAGAAGAAAAATCAAAACGGTGACAAGAATAATGGAGCTGGTGTGATGAGCCACCAAGGAATGCCGATATGCCAATGAACTGAACGCCAGCCTGTAAAATGTTCAAATTCTGCTTAGTGTCAGTTCCGGATATCAGATAGCCAAATTTATCGAAACAGAATTTAACGCTAATTTTTCTTACTCGAGATAAGTACAGGATACATCACCGCCAGTACTTAGCAAAGTAAGATACATCCATGCAAAATATTGCCTGACAAATAAAGATTCACTTTCAAGTACTTACCGAGCCAGTTCATTTGCTGTCTCCAGAAAAAGTTAAAACCTGCAACAAAAAAGGAAGCAATTAAGATAACGAATGACAAGTAGCAAGCAACGCGCAAGGGTCTTTTGTACCGATCTCTGAAGCCGTTTGACAAATCAGTCAAACAGCACCGAAATTGATCAGAACTGATCTTCTCGTAACGCTTGAACGGATAGCACACAATTAACAGCCACCGTCTCAAAGTACGAGGGGCAGAATCGGATTAGGCAGCATTTAAGCAATACCTAATTCCTATTACTAAATTCAGCTTATTTTACAAAAATACAGAAGCTGTAATAGATTAATTCAAGGAGCACTCGTAAATAAAAATTACCTCTGTTAGCGATAGGATCGTCGCTGCCACAACCGGCCCGGACAGCATATATGCGATCTGTAACGAAAACAGGCATACTTAATATTTAATAATCAGTGATAGCCATAGTTGCTATCTATTATGTTTAAGCAGCACTAAAGTGTTAATAAAATTATAACGGTCACTGTTTTCGACGTGCAAATCCCCTATGATAACTATCGAAGAGGAGATCAAATCGAAAATGATCTATCTCTTGCTGTCTTTGAATACTGCTCGAGGCAACACACAAATGCGACAGCAGAGAGAAATCCGAAATCTTGCGCAAAACTTTCACAGCATTGGTTAACTGCGACAAACATGATATTGCCTCACCTTCATACATGAAGCGCTACTAATTCAAAAGTCAGCACTCGACGGAATTAAAGTTCCAAATCCTTCTTCGGCACTTTTTACAATCTGCAAAGAAAACCAAGAACATAACGCTGTCAGAGGATATTTCCTGGAAACTTCAGCTTTGTAATAGTGTATCTGATTTTCAAATCGTTACACAGAGATAAATTATAACGGGATCGTATCAGATAAAATTCCTTTATCTCACTGGGGATTAGCGAAAATTATTGAAAAATACCGCTTGCCCAAACCCAGGAGAAAAACAAAACCGGTTTCCACTTTAGTAGCTCGCAAACTGATACTTTAGAAGCTCACCTGTTATATACAGCCCTTTCCTCCACAAATCCAGTGGCCCATCACAACAACTACGTCTATAACACTGAGATAAGATACCTGTGGCAGCATCCATTTTCAGTCGTGTGTCAAAGGTCGGCAATCGATCGCTGCCGACTTTGATCGGTCCAGCCAGGGCACCAATCGTCAGAGTGCTCTTCGAATCTGGATTTAGCAAGTTTAACGTAACGCTTCCATCTGGCATTCTTTTGGGCATTATTAACTGAAACCAATCAGTTAGTAAACGATTTCGCTATCATATTGCAATCGTATTGTACCAATGCCTAAACATTCTCACATTTGGCTTCCGTGTTGCCAGTTGATCAGCCATTGCTCTGCCAGCTCTTCGCAACTCTTCCAAAATTTCCTCGGCGTTCTCTTGTGGAATATTTTCGTACGGTCCAGACAGACTTCCAGTTCTAAATCATTTATAAAATTTCTTATCGTGGATTTAATGAGAAACCCTCCAACAAATGCAGTACTTGAATTTAGACGGTGACATAGTCGGCGATGTCATGGGTTCTTTAATATCGACAATATCTTCTGGTAACGGAGCAGCCGCAATTATTTCTGTTTCACCACTAGACGTCGAAGGACCCTGCTGTGCAGCGAGAAGCGATTGGGGAAGTTGCCGGGATGTCACAACAGCTGGAGGAGCATCGAAGCATAGTATTTCTTGTGGAATAGAGTCAATGCCTTGAACGCTACGTTTGGCGTACTGAATACGTTCCTGAAAAGCACATTGTTAGTAAAAACATTAAAAGATATTTAAATGCTTAAAAAACTGATTTCACATGTAATTTTCGCTATCCCCATCAAAGCAAAATCAGTACAAACCTTGCTCATCAGTTTCTGGCCGATTCTAGATAATTTCTTGGCAGCCCGATAGTAAATAGTATCCGGCATGTTATATGTCATAGCATTACTGCAGATCAACTCGAAGTCATTCTGCAAAAAAAAAATATAATGAAATATTCACACAACCATCCAACCCATAAAGACCAGGAGGTAGGGGCGATGAAATACAAATAGACAGTCGAAAGCTCACTTTGAACTGTGGCAGATTTTCGTACCAACCACGCGCTAGTTTTTTTCGCATGGTACTGAAATCCATGGGATGCTTAACTAACAACGAATAATTCGGTGCGATGATATCCGTGATGGGAAAGCCGAAGAACTTCTTGTCATCTTTGCGCTCCAGATAGACTAAATAATATTCTAATAGCTGCTCAAATGGTTCCGCGGGCTTCTGAACTGGAGACCGAATTGCCGACGGAACAGCGGGTGAAGGCGCGACGGGAACAAGGGGAACCGGAGCGTCGAAGAATGGCAAGGCAGTCGATGATGTACTCGCCGAATCTGATTTCACAGGACTCGATGTTCTCTTGTCGATGTTCTGGTATAAATCCTATCAGAATTTCCATCATTATTTAATTTCAGTAAGCGGCAAACAAGGGAAGCAACTGCTCATACAAACACTAACAAAAGTTGTTTATAAGACTAATAAGAGTACAAATAAAAATCAAGGAAAATCAACTTACGTTAACACTGACTTCCTCTTCCTGCTTCTTCTTCCTTTTAGCTTTACGACCACTTTTATCTCGTTTGTTACCACGGGCTTTTTTCTCTTTCCGACTCGATGCTGGACTACTAGCCACGGAATCGTTGGTCGAGGAGCCCAACAAACCTGGAGACGGACTGTGTAGGGACAGATTAGACGAGGACTCGGCTTCGGCACTGCGGTTCTTGATGGCTGATCCCAATTTCAACACCAAACGGGGAACCTTCCCAGGATTTTGCCCTTCGGAAGTTATACTGGAACTCCCGCTGCCCGTCCCCGGGAAAGTAAACGGATCATCGCTAGATACGGATTTCGCAGCGTCCTCCTGTGCAACTTCAACAGCTAATTCATTGGTCGACTTGGAAAGATTAGGAATGCGAATTTTTCGCTTGAGCGACATAGTAACTAAAGATTACACTATAAATGCACTCCAAGAATTTTTATCCACTGAACTTTGTGAGTTAAGGTCTTAACTGGCATTCCCCCACAAAAATAACGAACTTTTGACTAGTTTTGGGGAAAATTTGCAGTCGAGAGACTCTACAGTCTAGACGGCTGCTGACGAATGACGATAGCATAGCGAATGACGATAAAACAACCCTCGCAGTTGGCATGGCGTTCGATAGGGCTTACAAGTCGCCTCCTCTTGGCGATGGACAGTTGTAAATCTCGAAGCGGAAGCAGAAGTTTCACTGCCCTGTTTTTTTACTATTTATTTTATCTGAGCCATATTAATATTGACTTTAAGCGACAATTACTTTACTATAGTACCTAGTAACCTACTGTACAATGGACTAAAAGCACTACAAATTATCAACATTTTTTTTAATTGGTTGTGAACAAATATATGAGATAATCGTAAATTTTCCAACTTGACGATTGTAAATTCGCGTTTGTCGCAAAGGTCGTTGGAAATTTTTATTTTTCAATGATTTCCAAAACTTAATGCGTTTTACTGCACTTAATATTTCAAAAATTTACGAGTAGTATCTGCAGAAGTATTTATGGGTAGTAATTTACAAGCAAAGGTTTACCCCGACGATTTTTGTACTGTTTCAAAGGATATCGCGAGTACGACGTGCAGCCTAAGAATATTAATGCGTATCGGCGGTACTACAGAGATTAGTACTGCCATGTGCGTATTTATATTTTTGTTGTAATAACTAAGTACAATCCACTATGTGTGCTCCGGCGGTCTGGTGAATTAAATGTCAGTCCTCACCTGCTAGGGTATTTCAAAACTAGAAGAACAAATTCACTTTGCGAAATACATAATACCGTACTTGTGCAGTAAGTGTTAAAATTACAAGCTGTAGCCTGCACGTAGCAGATATCTGTACATCTACGGATTCAAAAATTTGTTTTTGCTCGATCATTAACGCTGCTGCTTCCAATAACAGGAATAACAAAGCAAAATAGTAGAGTAGCTATCGTAATAAATAACATCTCAGTTGTATAAAGTATCCCGATTGCTGGCTGGCTGAATGGTAGTAGGAAATTCGACAACGGTTGTACTACAGTGCAAAACACCCGGCAGTTGGCGTTACCGGCTACTTCCATTTCCAGCTAGTTCACAATGCCGTTCCTAAGGTATGAACGGGACACATTCCTATAAAATTAACGTAACATCACAGTGGCAGATGTGTCAAAATTTATAGAATGATTACCTTTTGAAACGACGGTCTTGCCTTCAAAGCCAAGTAATATCGGGCTAAGTTCGGTCTTTTTGTCGCATTAAACAGTCGATCGGCGGTGCCCTGCAATTCCAATCGCCCAAGCAGCACCGCAACCACAATATCCGCATTTGTGAAGGAATTGCCAAAAAGCCATTGTCCACGGGCGGCTGCGCAGGAAACGAAAGGTCAGCATAATGTGTGAATAAAAAATTAAGATGTATAGAAGTACTCGTATACGGTATACAGATATAAAGGTTTAAAAAGTTCAGCTGCACTGAGTGTGTTCTGCAGAATGGACATGGCAAGTGCTGCCATGCTGGAAAATGGAAGGTTTTGATTTCGGATTTACCGTTTTTTCCAAGCTGAGCGTCAAGATCATCCAAAAAGTTTTCAATGGTTTTGAAATGCGCTTCCACTGCCGCTTTGTCTGTTTTCAGGTGGTCATCGGCAGCTACGCGGGATAGTTTTTCTTGATATTTCTCCTTCAGTTCGGGGTGTTTTTCCATCATCTCCTTAATGACTGCTGGGCGATTGCCTAGTACTATGACCGGGGAAAATGACGTAAAATCAAATGAATGCTGATAACTGACTGACATCATAGTTGACATCGTAGTACTGCATATATTATCAGAATGTATCAATCACAGTACCCCAGTATGTAAGTATATACTTAATTATAATAAATAAGTTTCATATTTTATTTGTTTAATTGATCCGATTCTGTTCAAATTCGTTTGAATTCTTTGTGCAGTATATACTTTTAACTCACGCTGGTATGCTCCTTTGATAGGATCTGGCAGTTTGAAGTCTTGGTCGACTACCGTTGGATGCCACAGTAATCCAGTGGAGAGCTCACCAATCGGGAGCGCGCAGCAACGTTTCCGTAGTGCTTCAACTTCCGTGTCCTGCTTCGCTCCTGAACATAATGATATAGGACTGTAATTTTATTTAGTGAATTACAAATGGAAGCAAAAATCGGGAAAATTGCAAGCCTCCAGAAGGTAATTTAATTATTGTTTTTATTGTTGCTGCTGGTGTATAATTTGGGTGTGGCTCACTGGCTACTACCAGTCTACCACCACCTTTCACCACCTTTAGACTGTTCAGACTACCACTTAAAAATGGATTCTAGCACGACTCTTGGCTATTGTCACCGCTTTTTTACACCTCCTTTGCCTATTCCCACCTCCTTATATACGGGCGACGGCGATCGCTGGGTCCTTATGGAATGGTCAAAACTCAACAGCAAAAACATTATTGTGACATTTTTACCACTGCTTTCGCGATCGAAATCATCAACAATCGAAAAACAGAAGAAACAAAATTCAGGACCAAAACGATGCGAGAACATTTAGCGAACAGCTGCAGCACAGAGAAAATGCGGTTGGATACTTTCCGGTCGGCGGTGGCCCCAGGGTGGTGAGAATAGCCATTTCCATATTATATATTTAGTTTTTATAGCGGAGTACAGTATAACGCTGAATATATACCTTTAATTTCATCGAGGTAGTCAATGATTGCCTGAGATCCATTGACAACTTTTCCGTTGACCAGCATAGCCGGCACTTCACAGGCTGGATTGATTTTTACGTAGTCGGGCTGATAATTTTCGGCTTTGAAAATATCCACAGATTTACGCGCGAATGGTACATCTTTTTCCACAAAAGCCAAGCGAGCCTAAAATTTCATTTTAAACTAATTCTTTTGATCCCAAATATACAGGTAACAGCACTCGTACCTATTTTACACGGGTGTTTAATTGTTGTAGTTTCTATTATTTGTACTCATTGTTGTTTAAAATTATTACAAGCGGTAGCAGATGGATACCAAACATCATGAGGATAATTAACTAATCGAAGTTCGAAATTAAATAAAAGTCTCTGGTGAGTATATCTGGGATCTACTTTAATGGCTAGATGGAGTGTATTGTAACGCTATATAATCATTTACCATCTGGCTCCAGTAACTCGGGTGAAACTCGTACAAAACAATATCCGAAGAGCCGCCATGAGAAGCCATCTTTAGCTGTCAAATGAGAAGGATGAATAATTTAGTTCAACAGGAATTTCAGAAATATATCAACTTCGATCTTTATACTCGATGCTGCAATAGGGGTACTCGTATAATCGTGTTAACTTTAAAGGACGATGTCTACACAGCATCTTGTACATATTACGATTAATGTAATACCCAACCATTCATTCAGTATATAGTATAGAACACCTCTACAGCGAAATATGCGAGCCTTGGTGAGGAAGTTTTCTTCTTCTTATGGTGATTGCAGAAAGTTTACTAACTATATCTACCAAGTACCAATGTCTACAGCGGCACTTACATTTACAGTTACTTACCGGGGAAAACTCACAGTACGTCGGAACCTTTGGTAATAATACGCGAAGTGTGGGAATTAATTGCTTTAGTGTGCACTTCACCTTCCGGTTCCTTACAGGTTACAATACAATTTTGACGAAGTTAGCTGCTACTCTAACTCTACTAACAAACTGTCAACTCTAGCAAGTAGTCTGATTTCTTAAAGTGTGCACTGTTTTACCTAAAAGATCGCAACACGCTCGGTGCAAACTTTTGCGAGTGCGCCAAGCAGATCTACGTACAAGAACCGCTCGCGTGCCTAGATGTAAAACTTATCGATCGTAAAGAATTTTTGTCGTGGACTCATGATTGTATAGACAGTCCCCAGCGACAGCAAAGTCGGCATTAATCTAGTTCTCACGCGCAAAATGCTTTCGCACCGGCTAACAATACTGTAAGTACAGTACTTACTGTAATAACACCAGATATCAATACACAACACCTTGTTGTCAAATCCGCTGTCATGAGTATGAAGTTGACAATGCTGCACTTCCGGCATAGACTATAGGTGTCTACATGTACCGGCGTTCTGCCACATGTGATTCTGTACTAATTATAAAAATTAATAACTGTTGTCTCATTTGCTTACCAAAGATAACATTTAAGTGTGTGTGTGTAACTTAAAATAAGTGTGTAACCCATCATAAAATTTAAGACCATGCGCAACAATTCAAAATTGTCCGTAGACGTACCCTAGCTGTTTTATCAACATTCTAACGAGTAAAAATACTGTTATGATAAAAATTAATCGAAGTAATGTGATAACATTTTCTTAATGATGCAGTTGACCCTTGAACAGCGATGTTCATCCTTGAAGTTGTTTGCCGATGCTAATCCAATATTAAGTATTTGATTTTTTCTTTTCCTAAAAATTTAAGATATCGCGCCGTTTGTTGAATGTCAATCAATACTCATGGTCAATACCGGTACAAAACTGTTGCACACTAATCTACTTTCTTTATATAAATTTGTGTGTTAATTGTTGGTCATGCAGGTTGATATCTCCAGGTAATCCATAATTAATTAATTATACATACTTTCCCGCCATTACTGTGCTTCTTTCACTTACGTTACATGCAGTAGTTCTTTCGTTTTTCGATATGCGAAATCAAATATTTCTTGTCGTTGGCTGTTATGCTAACCGAACCAGTAGAAAAGCCAGTTGACGAAGGATGTATAAGAGCAGCCGTTTGATAACAGAAAAAAGGACTCAAAAACAATAAGGATAACACAATATTTCTAACAATAAGCAATCAGCTGCTATGCAGACTCACAACAGCCTGAAAAAAATTTAAAAAATATAAAAAAGATAAAAAAGTAAGTTAAGTGTATCTACTTCGTTCTAGGTATAGTAGCGTCTAATTTGACACCATCCTCATAACTCGATCCGGCCGACAATATTCCATCCACTAGTTACTCCATTTCGGGAAACGTGCTCTTATGACATGTTAGTCACACATTCCTAAATATTAGCGAAAATGCCAAATAATGCCCAGTTTATATCATATTTTTTTAATAAGAGGAGCTCGTACCACAATACGGCACACTTCGACAGTAATCTCTTCTTACCTGTTGAAATGACGGCCTTTCTTTTAGCCGTCGGTAATAATCGGCTAGAAACACTCTTTCCGTCATATCCCAAAAGTGTCCCGCTCTTCCCAAAAGATCCAATCGCGCCAGCAGTGTGGCCAAGGCAATATCGGCATTGGAGAAGTTTCGCCCGAAAAGCCATCCATCGTAATGCTTTCCGTCGTGATCACCTTTGTAAACCCACATAATCATAAATATCTATACGGTTCAAGAAATCTGAATACGAACGGAACAATAATACTAATGTACAGGTCAGTCAGCAACATTTCGTGAATGTTATACGTCAATACCATGCATCCGAGCAGCAGTGCGCAACTGCGCATTAACCTGATCCAGAAAGGTGTCCAAATCGGCTAATAATTCCCGCAGTGTGTTTTCGTCCGAATTGTTTTCCACCTCAATTACTCGCTGCAGTTTGGTCTGATAGAAGTGGGCCAGATGTGGATACCGCTGAATGTTGTCAATCATAAGCTGCTTCCGGTCAACTCTTCCTGAAATCGACCACTAATACTGTCGTAGCGATAAAAACGTAACAAATTTTTACGTATACAAATTACAGCGTCTACAATATTCCAGACGCATAAAAGTAAGCGCAACTGAATTTACTCACGCGAAAAATTATCGATAACATTTTGAGGAATTTTAGTTCCCTCGAGAAGATGCGGATGTCGAACGATTCCCAGTGTAATTTCGGCCATGGGAAGATCAACGCATCGTTGTCGGAATGCATTTATTTGCTCCTTCTGCTGATTGTAAAATGGGTCAGGATCTATTTAAAAAAAACAATGCATTTTGTCAATTCTTGTCGGGACTCAGGAAGCGAATATTATCTCACCGGTGGTAATGCTATCCAGGTAGTCGATAATCTCTTGCGATCCACTGATGGCTGTAATACTGTCACCATTTGATATAGTGATAGCCGGAACTTCACACGCCGGACTGATGGCCACAAAATCTGGAGCGTATGTTTCTCCTTGAAGTATATTTACAATTTTGCTCACATAAGCGATGTGTTTTTCCACAAATGCCAATCTAGCCTGGAAGGCAAATACCGAAGGTTCAGTTACAATATCAAGAAAGCTGTATTATATTCAGTACAGATTATTGTTATACTTGTTATTGTTATACACTTTATATATGATTTATGTTCACTAGACTTTGTATATAAAAATTACACATATAATCATCGTCAATACAGCTATGTACTCGTATTACACAGCGCTCCAATGGATAATGGTGTTAAATATTACAGTTCTCAAAAGAAAGCTATACACCTAACTGGTAAGTACTTTAAAAAGTAATAATTTACCATTTGGCTGAAATATGAGGACTGAAAATGATACAAAGTGATTTGCCGATCAGGTATCTGGCCACTGGAAGCCATTGTGAAAACCAAAATAATTACGCAACAACAAAAAATTTGGGAGCTGATGTGCTAAATTTTAAGATTATTAACTAGTCTTTTTCATGGCTACAAAAATTCGCGTCAGTGATTCAATCCGCCGAAGAAGAGACAAGCTAGCGCGTCCACGCCTGCATTGCTGCAAGATCGGACTTTGATCCGGGATATCGCGCACAGCAGCGATACAGAACGCCTTATATTGTACCATCACGACAAAATCTTGCGAGAGCAAAACGTGAGCACACCTGTACGGTACATATTACTTTCTGCAAAAGCATTAAACCGAACGTTTTACACAGACTGTCGAACATTTATTTTTAACCAACACTCGTAACCTAAAATTCTGCATCCAGCAATAATATTGCAACAAAGCCAAACATAACCAGATCACTCACAACTAGCAAGAGTCAGCAACATTGCGAATTCGAAGCAACTCTGGCATACAAATTTGCCCGCTTCAAATTTCATCTCATTGCACGCACAAAATTTTGTAATTACCAGATTGTAGCGTTTCAAGTAAAAATTTAAAAACGAACACTAAACAAAAACTAGCATATCTGGCAATCAAAAGCAGCTAAATGTCACCTCATCACAAAACATCAAACAACTATTTTCTTCGGCGCATCACTATAAAAGCCCCGATCGCAATTACGCCCACCACTGTCGCAATTCCCAAGAAGGTCAAGCCGTGGGCGTACAGGAGACTGGCTCCTCCGTACTTAACCAGATCGCTTGTAGTGACGTGGGTAACGGCGACCTGGAAAATATCAATCAATCCGGCATGTCGTATAACAATAACCGAGAAAAAATAATCCAAAAAAATTTTGTTCACACCAAACGAGGACTGCGGTTAATCGAAACATGTGTCAAAACTCGATGTCGATGTACAGTACAAACGTCTGGCGCTAAGTTAAAACAACTTATCCAAACCGGCGGATGTACAACCATACAGGTAGTTTTTAACTTTTGCATAAACACACCTTCTGGAAAGCCGGACGGTCATTTAGCCGCTGATAATAAATTGCTAGATATGGTCTTGTTGATATACTCCAGAATCGCTGTGCTAATCCCAGGAAATACAACCGGCTTAACAAAATTGCCAACGAAATATCCGCAGTGGTAAATTCCGCCGCACACAACCACCAATTTCTTCGTTCTAACCAATAAAAAAAATCGTCATCAGAATTTCTCAAATAATTATTTTCAGACTCACCATCAACGGTTGCGTTTGTTCGCAGATGTTCTTCAATCTTGTCAAGCAGCAGATCTACCTCATTTAGTTTCCCGTTGACAGCATTTAAATCATCCGCTTGACTGTCGTTCTGCTCCACTCTGGCCAGTTTATCGTTATACGCATCGCGCAATTCGGGGTGTTTAGCCATGTAAGTACTTAGAAGTTTTTTCCTTTGGAAAAAACGCTCTAAAAGCAAGACAAATAAATATTTTATTTTAAGACGATGCAGTACTGTACGAAATTCATAACAACTGCTGAACATATAATGGCCTGCGTGCAACATTTTCAAATTGATCAGCAGTTGTAGTAAGCATGCCTCTATGTACTGAACTTACCTCCGAGTTTACTTTTCACAAAATCTGGAACTTTGATTTTGTCCGTCAGTTCCGAATGGCGCATATATCCGTACGTAATCAGTTCAATCGGTACTGCATCGATGGCATCCCGAAGATACCGCACTTTGTGAAATCTTAATAGAAAGGAACGGATTAAAAATAATTTATATGTATTTACATCAACTAAACGGTAAAACCTACTCAATGCTAGACCGCCCAGGCGAAAGAGACACGAACCCTGTAAATGCCACCACGATAAAGCGCTAATCATAAAGGAACTAAAAAACTTCCTTACCGGTTGTATAATGTTCTTCGAGGTAGTCAATAATTCTCTGTGAGCCCGAGATAATCTTCGTTCCGTCACGCAGAACGGGCACTTCGCAGGCAGGATTGATCTTGACAAACCATGGCTCATAGTTCTCCCCACAGCTGATGTCGATAAATTCTAGCGAATGAGGAATACCTTTTTCCAGCAGTGCCATTCTCACCTAGGAAAATAACGATCAGTTCATGAAACTTGTGCGGGATATTAATATCGTACTTACTTTTTGGCTGTAAAACGATAACGGATAATAATACAGCACAATTTGGGGTTTTGCGCTGGCGCCATTCATTGTTTTGGACATTACTCGTACAGGCACTTCGTTCACTTTGTCACACGATGTTCGCGCATTCGGAATTGATTGTCCGCTCAAATATCTGCTACCACCATAAATGTCCAAAATTACTGGCTGCTGACGCTGTTAATATGTGAGTAAAGTTTAGAAAATGTTTTAAATTTCAACTTCCGGCCTTCCCCAATATAAGCATTAAAATTCGAGTACAGATGATCCCGACTCCAGAGCCAAACAGTAGTGGATCGGCTTGTTTAGCGTGTACGCGATTTTGGAATAGAAAGTCGAGACAAAAAATGCGTCAATGGGTAGTCGTTACGCAATCAGCCGCAGCACGTCGTCTAGCGTATCTGGAGAGTGCAATGCTATGTTATTGTGCAGCAGTGGCGTTTTAAGCAATTTTATTGCTGATTTTACTGGCATTGCACCATTTGTGGACCCTCCGGTTGTCGAGCGACAACGTAACAGAAGCACGCGTGCGGTGGCCCATGCCACAGGCTGTTTTAACGTAAATCTTTGAAAATTCATAACTTTGTTCATTCCTCCATTAAATTTTTATGTATAGTCGTGAAAAATGCAGAATAATACACAGTATCAGGCAAAAGAAATGCTTTTTAATTTTTCTTTCAGGATTGTGCGCTGTTAGCCTGCGCGGCTAGCATAGCCGCCTATGGAGGATTTCCCATAGGCGGCTATGTTAACCGCAGGGGCTCATACTGCATTACCCTAAAGAAGAAACAGAAAACATTTATTTTGCCTAATACTGTGTATTATTCTGCATTTTTTAAGCTTTTTTTTATTCTGCATTTTTTAAATTGCTTAAAACGCCACTGCTGCACAATAACATAGCATTGCACTCATCTGGATTCTGTAAGAATACGCGTACAGTACTTACTGCAATTTTATTTCGATTGCATGGCATCCAATACCTACTCTTTCGGGAGTCTTCCTTAACTATTTTTCCATTTTTCAAACAGTCTTTCATGAGCTATATTTAAGTAGAATAGTTTTAAATTTATCCTAACCGCATGTTTCGCTTAAAAATATCGAAAAACTTCTTTCATCGAAATAACACACACTCTTGACACTGTATCTGTTTCAAGAGAGAGATAACGACAGAACGCTGTTACGAGTGATTGAATGGGGTGCAGTTGCTGAGTTGATTTCAGAGCTTGATACCATCTTGCGTTTATGCCGTTTTGCCTAGATTTTACCAATATAGAGTACAGTATACTACTGACTAGTGAGTGTAGTAATCGAAAAGTTTGTCAGTAGAAATGGAAAATCTGTCAGAGTTTGAGTTATGGAAGCAGGGTGCCGAAGCGAAAGTTTATCTGGGTGACTTTTTCGGGCAGCCTGTAATTGTCAAGGAACGTTTCCCGAAGAAATATCGTCATCCCGCTTTGGATCAGAACCTCACCCAGGACAGATTCAAATCGGAGGCGCGCATGTTGGTGCGGTGTAAAGCTGCAGGTAAACTAGTAACGTAGGTTAAACCATATTCTCCAGAGTTTTCGTCCGATATCAGTTTTAGAATGTCCGAAATTTCGCGGACCCGATGAATAAATCTCTCTGTACTTGAAGTACACGTTACGTGTATGATGTCCTTTTGTATTTTTAGGTATTAAGACTCCGACCGTGTACTACGCCGATTACATATCGTGTCGGCTGTGTCTAGAATATTTTCCCGGATCCGCGACAGCAAAAGATTTCATAAATGAGAAACTGCTGATGAACGATGAGCGTAGTCGTGATTTATTGAATAAACTGATGGCATTGATTGGTAGTAATGTCGCACGACTCCATGATAATGATATCATCCACGGCGACCTGACCACCTCCAATCTGATTCTGCGGGAACCACATGATGATCTCGATTTGTACTTTATTGATTTTGGTTTGGGATACGTGAGTAAAAGTCCCGAAGATAAAAGTGTCGATTTATACGTTCTGGAAAGAGCCTTCCTGAGTACACATCCAGGTACGGAAGAGCTGTTTGCGCTGTTGTTGAGAACTTATCTGGATAAATCTACCCGAGATGGAAAGGAGATCGCTGCTAAATTTTATGAAGTTCGTCTGCGGGGAAGAAAGCGAGTGATGATTGGATAATGGGTAAGTCCTGTAGTCCTTGACAGAAAAGTAAAGGGGAAACCCGAAACTTTGACACCTTCTAGTTCTACTAGTCAGTAGTAACTACTGACTAATATGCGGAGTTGTATACTCGTGTCATAGCGAAAAATTACTGAGGTAGTTAGCTCAGTTTTCCCCGATTCCCCCTGCCAGCCTCTCCAACAGAGTATTCCATTTTTTGCTGATCATCCGTTCATTGTAATTACAACACGGTAAACATGATACTAAACAGCAAGTTTTAGAAATTTTTCGTTAATTTTTATGGAACTACGGGATAAGAGTACTAAAGACTTCATTATTATTAACTTTAAGATCAGCAAATCACGAGTGATGCAGCGGAGCTTCAGGTGCGAGTACAGATTCGGTGTTGTAGAGGGCTTGTGGTTGTTTTTCTTCGAAATTGGAAATGAATAATTTTAGGCGTTACTTGATTCATTCAACTCTTCGTCAGCTCGTTTATCATAGTCTTTAGGCCACACAAAAAATCTGCAGATATTAGTATACTGTTAGCTTTGCCTTTGCCGTAATTTTCCGGGGTGGCTCTTCCCTCTGCAGCTAATACACGGTAAAACTGACTTGTGAATATTGTAATCATATTTATTATTACTTTTGTTTAACTTTGGTTACAATAGCACTTGTGCTTTTGCATGAAATTTTCTCAATTTCTGTATGTAACAAAAATTTCCGATTGCGAGTGAATAACGAAAAAACAATTAAAAAAGAACTGCGCCACACTTGATCAGTTTCAGAAAGCAACAATATCTACAACGGAAAACTGAAAGCTTAGCCAACTTAGCCAAAAAGACTAACTAGGTTGCACACAGAGTTGGACCGGCTAACTAACACGTGGCTTTCGAGAGCGTAATCTCGAGCGTAGATCCGAGGATTTGGAAGGTGTATTGAATTCTTGTAGTACGATTCCTGCATCATCCAAAGAGAAGTTGTTCAACATATATAACGTCTCTTCCGTGTCAAGATCGGAATCGTTCTTCAAACCAGCCATCAGCTGATCAAATATCAGTGGCTTATGCAAAAGCTCTTCGTCCTCATCCATGGGACCATTTTCGCAGCACGAATTGTCACCGTGCTCAAAGTGTCGCACAGGTTCTACTCGTGCCCTGGTCGCTCTCGTGCTAAGAAGCATTTTGCGGTCTGATGGCTTTCCCTTCCTCCGCAGTTCATCCGCTTTTTTCTCTGCTAATGCAGGTTCAGGTAGGGGTTCCGGTAAAGGGGCAGTGTGTAGAACCGGGGGTTTCTCCTCCTCACTTCGACTAGTAAAGGACTGTCTTCGTGGAGAAATGGAAGCTGGATCGATTTCCTTGGATTCTGGTAATTCCTCGATACCGAGTTTAATCCACTGGTAAACACTGGACAAAAATTCACTCCTCGATTCGTCTTCCTCTTCATTCTTTGAAAGCTCACAAAAATCTTGGATGTACGAATTCATGTCGGCCAGGTCAGACGGTGATAGATATCTCGCATCGGAACTTAACAGCAGTTCAGAGAATTCGACATCGACGTCTTCCTCTTTGGTAAAACTTTTCGCTAAGACAAAATTTCTCTTTTGCAGAAGGTCATACATCAATCGTATCTGTAAAACAAAAACACTGTTAAAATGCTTTCATGTTTATTTTCGAAACTTTTTACGAAATTACACTTCTTTCTATATTCCAAGCGAATCAGCTGTGCTACAAGATAGCCAATAGAAAAGTAGAATCTTCTTAGTTTTTATCAGTTTTTTTTTTAAAAAGTCCAAAGCCTTCCTTGATGAACGTGACTAAGGCCTTGTCCCGAATTCAAAGCGAATCTCGCTATGGTACGGTTGCTCAACCGCACGAGGTGGCAGTATGCAGTGGCCACGCCTACAGATACGGTACGCGAAGCCACCTCGCGAGGTGGAGTTGCTGTATCGCAACGAGATTCGCTTTGAATTCGGGACGAGGCCTAAATAACATTTCCACGAGAGTACAACATACTCTTTCGGCATCATGGCGAATGCCTTTCGCATAAGAAACACTGGTCATGTTCCACGCTGCTATTAACGATATCCTTCGGTAATCGAAATCCGGCGCAGACGGTGCAATCAGAGGTTGGTAAAAGTCGTCCTACAACAGAAAGAACGAAACAAGTTGCAGCATTTGTTTTAAAGCAAGCTACATAATACACAGTTACCCCATGACTGTAATTTCACCCAATGAAAACACATAAGCACCATGTTGCTCGGTTGGGGTGACAAAAGAATTGAAGAGAAACGAAATATTATGACGCAGACCGCTTTTAGCCAACCCGATCGTACCTGCAGCTTGCATTTCCAATATTCCCAAACATCGAACGACTGGTTTCCGCTTAATCCAGCTACCGTTCCCATAGCGTTATGATTAACAACAGCTAAGACTTCTGGCGTAAGCTCGATAAATCTGCGCAGACGCAAATCTCGTTTTTCCCAGTTAATTAATAATTTAATACGGTAATCACGAACTCGTAAAGCTTAAATAAAGCCTTGGCTTTATTTAATACCTTTGCAAAGCTTGGTATTCCCTTTCGAAACGTCTAGGTGTACCTTCGGCGGTTTTGCAGATCACTGTTAGCACCATCTTCATTCTTTTAAGGATAATCTCATTTTTCTAGAACCAAGACAGATAAATATCATGGTAAATAGTAAAAAGGTAACAGCGAGCAGGGATGCTAGCTGTGTGCGCTTTTTAAAAACTTACTCTTCTTTCCAACATATTTATCATTACTTCAAACATTTCCACAGGAATAGGTTTCATTTCTAGAAGTCAACACGGCAATATTCAGGAAGGACAGACAACAGAAATTTGTCAGTATTTTCAACCCACTTTTGGTTTGTGCGATTCGGTTGTAGAGTGTGATCCATTCCAGATCTTGGCTAGTAAGATAATAGTCCAGAATTTTTTCTCGACCTCCAGATAAGCTGCGATTATTTTTCAAGAGTTTCCCTTTTGCATCCCGTTTCTGTTTTGCTTTGACACTGAAACAGGCACGTTAACTGCCATATTAATCCAGTTGACAGCCGATAAATAAAAACAATGGGCTCACACTTCGAAGTACTTCTACAACAGCTTTATGGCGATGCTAGTGCACGAAAGTGTGAACGAAATATTTCGGTATAAATTTAAAACTGATATAAATAACAGCAAAAAAAGAAATGGTATAATATAAATAAAAAAAGAACGCTTTCAAATTTATATTTTATCAGATAATTATACGGTAACTTACCCATAAATTTCCGGGATGGCAACACGATCTTTTCTAAAAAATTTGACAACATTATTTAATAACGCGGAAATGGTGTGCAACTAGCCATAAAACGTCTTTCATAAATTAATGCCTTCTGTCCATGTACGTATAAGTTGATATAACGTAATAAAGTACCAGGCTACTACAGAATACCTTGGTAGACTGACGTTCTGGCTTTGAGGTATTACTTCTATGCCTCGTTTTTCTAGGCTCTCTGCATTCGATTTAGGAAATTCGCACCAATACGCTTCGCTATTATTGTCATCAAGGCTTTCGTGTCGGCTTCTGATGCGGCCAACCACAAATTTGGAAGAAAGCACCTACAATACGCAACAGTGAATTCACGGTATGTATAGACTTCCATTCGGGCTGGTTGCTGCGTTGGTTCTTACCACCGCTTCATTTTGCGTGGATCTCCTGCTCCTTCGGGCAACCGGATGATCTTGTTCTGTGCATAATGGACAGGGTGATTGGTGATGATAATGAAATTTACAACTGTGTGGTTGGTATGTACCAAAATTACCAAAGAGTTGTCTATATCTTGAGAAGAGTATTTCTTTACTGTATCAACTTAAACGTCCTATTTTTCGTTAATGCAAGTCATGATTATTTTTTTATTAAAATCTTTGGTTACCAGAAGGTCTGGCGTCGGTGGCACTCGACTGCTCCGATTCACTGATTAAATCCCGCTGTCTTTGTAAGTGGTTCACTGCCATAGCAGGTCCACCAACCGCAATGCAGTCGCCCTGAAAATATAACGATTAACCTTGTGAAGCAGTTCTATTATTCTTATAATGACAAAATAAAGAAAAAGTTTTCGAACGAAATGTAAGTTCAACAAGTAGGAAAGTTTAATTTGCAGTCGAAAAACTAAAAAGTAGTCCACATCCCGCTTGTGGCAATGTGGTTACCGCCGAACGTCGCTATCGGGGTCGGATGAGGCCACGACCGAAGGCTGCTGTCAATACGACCGACACACGTGTGACACATGTATTTTCTTTATTATCGTTAGGCGTTAGCAGTTAGGACGAGAGTAAGTAACTAATTCAGATTATCAACTCGAGAGTGCTATCAATTAGAAAAAACACCTTAATGAAATTAAATCTACACTCTACTGCCTATTTTTGCTGAAATTCTCAAGAGTGGTCGCGACTTTAAAATATCGCAGCGCGTCAGACCACACATTTTCCACCCCTGGGGGGCCTGGACAGGCTTCTCTGATATTTGATTGTACAGTACATATGTATAGATATACAGTATTTATACTCGTACCGAACAAAAAGCTGCACCATTTTTGCTGTTGAGCATTAAAGTGCAAAGATAAGGCATAAGGCCAGTTTTGAATTAACGTACACAAAAAACCCGAAGAAATTAATGCTCTACTATACACGTCGAAAAGTTGCGACGGTGTCAGAAGTTTCCGTAAAGACTCTCGCGGGTCAGCCACTCAAACGGACTGAAAACGAAAATAGACGATAGCACCACGGATAGAAATTCGGTCAACCGACCAACATCGTAACGTTATTTGGTCCTGAGTCCAGTTCAGTGATATTAATAACTGAAGTCTTAGATCTATCGTTGGAAAATGTTGAACTTGGATTTCAGCAGATGATATATTAATTTTTGGAAGCGGAACTGCAATATCCCGAAAAACAACGCTATGCCAAATAATAATATGTGGCAAGAACCGGGAAGTTGTAATACTCCCTTAAGTTCCAACTAGACAGTTAGCCCAGCAAGAACTGGTCGGATGCGACGTTACTTGCAGTCTTGCATGTTACTTCATGTCGACCAAACAAAATTCTTACACCGCATATTGACTTACCCTCCCAATGCAAACGGATGAAATGCGAAAAATTCCCCACGATTAGAAACAAAATTCTAATTTTTAATAAAAAAAAACAGAAATATGAAACAACAAAGATTATGATGCAAATCACCCAAACAACTGTACCGTGCTGTTGAGGCACTTTGATCAGGATTGAAGGGACCAGTCCGATAAGCGTGGAGTTGACTCCACCTGCTCTGGGATGTCGCGCCGTCTTCGATGCAGCGCGTAAGCTTCAATGCTGAGTTCAATGAAGTTTTGCCACATGGTCTGGCTCTGATGTGTGAGGCCACAGTTCACGACGCGACGGGTAAGGCTACCAAGCAGTCGAGTGAGTCATCCATTCTCAAGGGGGCCGTAAGTGCAGCACGGTGGGTGACACCGTTAACAACAATCGGCATTGTGAACGATATCGATGAGCGAATGAGATGAGTCACAATTCCGGGACCGATAAATAAACTCATGGTAAGTTACCGTAAAGTTGCTTGCTTTGGTGGATGCTACAGCCACAACCTTTCGCTTTTTCATTTTTCCTACGATCATTATTAATAAATCACCATACTCTTAAATTTAATTTGGGCTAGCCTTTTGAGTTAGATTGTTTCATAGACTCACAGTGATAAATTATTGCGAAAAGAATCTTTTCGCACCAAAGCAGCAGAATCGCTGAAGTTCGTACTGTTCTTGTTTTTGTGCAACTCTGGGAGGGATATCAGTAGGTACCAGAACGGATTTTTTTTTGCAATTTTAAAATGTGATTGTACAGTTTCAACTTGTGTATTATTTTTCGTTAAAGTGCAATACTGTAACATTGCTTATTCCGAATACTTTATTCGGATGTGGGATTCTTCATACTCGTACACAGGCTCATATTCGGTAAATGAGGAAAGTTTTGTTTGGGTAATTGGGTTATCACTTATGTGTTATAAACATTAATTAGATCTTCTTGTTGTATCTACCAAATGAATTCCTCCTGTTGAACTTGCAGTTTTCTCGCTATTGTTTTGGGTTAACTTGTCATAATATCTGGCACGATAAGAATAGGATGTTGAACAGTCATCTGAACAGTAACTGTAAACTGTCGTCAGTCCTTGAAAACTGTTAAATTTTGCAGCCAGAATGTTGGGAGGAGGCAATCAGTACGCTCGTCTGAAGACGAATCTGCGCTTAGCACTGAATCGTCTGAAGCTGTTGGAAAAGAAAAAGAGTGAACTGGCACAAAAAGCGCGACGCGAAATCGCTGAATATCTGGCATCAGGCAAGGAAGAGCGAGCTCGCATTCGAGTCGAACACATAATACGGGAAGACTACCTTGTGGAGGCAATGGAAATGCTGGAAATGTACTGCGATCTACTCTTAGCGCGCTTCGGATTGCTGGAACAAATGAAGTGAGTGACGTATGAACAGCGAAGAAGACTGTTAAAGCTGGACTAGGATTAGAAAACTATGGTCAAAATAAACAACAAAGTTAGCTTCGAGGTAAATCTTGAGAAATAAGCTACAGAAAATAGCAGAAAAATATGCGGTTGCGTCTTTCGCAGGACTATGGATGAAGGATTGGAAGAAGCTATAACCAGCATTATTTGGGCAACCCCGCGTTTGCAATCCGATATTGCGGAATTAAAAGTCATCACCGAGCAGTTGACCGCTAAGTTCGGCAAGCAGTACGTGCAAGCCGTGAAGGAGAACCAGTTTAACACCGTTAACGACAAACTCATCCGTAAGCTGAGTGTGCAAGCTCCCAAACGGTTGCTAGTCGAGCAGTATTTGATTGAAATCGCGAAAAGCCACAAAGTTCCCTATGAACCGGATCCGCGTGTGATGTCCGAGGAGGCCGGACATGATGCTCTGCTGGACTTCGCAGCAGCAGACAGCATCGCGGGCAGTGTCAACCGGCGTCCACCCGGAGCGGGCAGTGGCGGAGCCGGAAGCGGAGGTGGATTCGGTGCAGCAGTCGGCAGCGGAAGTCTGCCGTCGCAGAGTTTGCATGTTGAACCGCCGCCGCCGATGTATCCACAAACACAGTCGTTCCGCGATTATGAGAACAACAATCCTCTGGATGCTTCGAGTTCCATGGAGGTAGGTGGGAGATGGGTTACGGTTCTGTAAATCTTGCACATCTTTAAGCAGATGAACTTGAGTTTTTTCGGTATGACTCTCTTCTCGTTCTTACCACTGACATTCTGCTTTAATGCTTCGGTTCTCATTTGTTATCTTTCTGAGTTTCCTGATTCATATTCAAGTGCTGTTTCTGTATGTGTGATAATATCTTTGCTTGCACCTGCAATTAAAAACCGCTTCGCTTTGTGTAGCGCTTTTTGCGAAAGGATTTCGAAGCCAATGAAAATCATAATGTTGACGAACCTACCACTCCCACCGCTCCGCCGCCTGCATACGAAAGCCGTAAGTCTGTGATTCGGTGTTCGTTAATTACTTCGCGTGGAGATGACTAATACAGAAATTGTGTTTTGTAGCACGTGATCCCGGGAAACCGGTACCACAACCTCGAATGCATATGGCGCCGGTGAATCCTCCAGCGCCACCGTCGATCAGCGATCTTCCTGAATTACCTTCTGTGCCGCATGATGATGACGAATCACCACAAGGAAAGGATGACGATCATCATAGTAACCTTGATTTCGAAGATTTAAATAGACGTTTCGAAAATTTGAAAAAGAAGAAGTAAATCGAATGACGTGGTGGCTCTCAGCATTTGCATTGCTTTTCCCATTGATTTCCAGACTGTTTCACCTGGATTTATGAATTACTGTTAAATTTTTTAAGCTTGAATGGCCTGTATGCATACTGTAGCCTATCCAATCAATTTGTTGCATTAATTTCACTGATTTTGATTTTTTGCTGCACTGTTCGGTTTGTTTATGTTTTACTGATAGGTGAATTACTTAATTAGGCAATTGATTTTTAGATTGTATTTTGTTCAGTTATGATTTTATTATATGTATATTGTATTAACAACACGCTGAGTATTATGTCATTGCTGGTACTTCTCTGCACGTCAGAAGCGTTTTTGTTAACAATAAATATGCAAGACGATAACGAAGCTTTACTAGTCTGAGCCCGTGGGTTTAGAAAACTTAACATTCGAGGTGATTTTTCGGTTACCCGAAGTGCATAGTGGAATGAACTTTCAAGACGAGCAAAACAAATAAATATCATTCATCGGATTCATCAGTTTCCGATGCATAAATATCGTCCTGCTCATCTTGCTTTTCTTCATCAGATTCCGAGATGTCCCACTGAGGATTGTTCATATCCACTTCCTTCTTCTCTTTGACTTCGAACTACAAAATTTACAGCAGGATTAATCGGAACGGCTTCAGTTTTGTTAGCAAAGAGTTAATTTGCATGACGCGCACCTTAAGATTGGTGACAGTATCCACATCCAGATACGAATCCGATTTGACCACAACAGAGTAATTATAAGTTCCAGGCGACGGAGCCGTGAATTTCAGCTGAACACTTTCCTCCGACACAAGATTTGTGACTAGCATGGGTGGTGAGACCAGTCGTCGCTTTTTCTTATCGACAAGAAAAACCCACCACCATTCTTGTTTTTCCTGTCGTAAAATTCAAATCGTGAGGACACACCTCTGATATAATCATAACATCGGGAAAGTAGCTAATCTTTCCTGACCTCCGGAAAGTATGGACAATGTACTGGATGGGAAAATTTTGACTTCAAATCCGGTATCGTTTCACCGCCCTCGCCAAGATCCAGATAATCCTCGTCTTTTTTGTCCTCATTATCTACCAAGTCCTCTTCGGCATCCTTCTGCGGTACACTCTCATTGTCATCACTCTCATCGCGGCCGTTCTCTTTTGTAACCTTCTCGTCTTCACTGTCACTTCCTGAATCGCTTTCGTCGCTTTCTGAGTCTTCCGCTTTATTGACAGTACCATTGACCTTCTTAAGTTTCTCACCCTCTTCGTCCACATTCTACAAAACGGGACCACACAAATTATTATATCTAGCGGACAGTTATCCATATACATATCCTAAGAGGATGCGCACTCACAACAGCAGGGGCAGCGTTTTCTTTGCTGTCGCCTTGTCCTTTTTTGCCTTTCTTCACATTCTGCACTTTCTTCCCTTTGGACTTCTTTTTGTTTCGCCGATGGGCACTCTTACTGTTCGTCTATAATCATGCTCGAATTTTTGAAAGTGCCATAAGACAACAGCTAACATTCCATGTACATATCTCAGGTAAAACTAATCATCAAAATATAGATCACACTACCTTTGCCGCCTCCTGAACTTCCGTCTCAGTTTCCGGAGCTTCTTTTTCTGTGTCCACTTTAGCTGTTTCAATCCATTCCCCCAAATTCGCCCGCTTTAGCGTAACATTAACAGTGACAATCGCATCAGCTGTTACGGTATGCTCATCCTCGTCGTCGACAACTACGAAAAAGGCTCAAGTTTGCACCAACGAGCCCGATATTATATCCTAATCTCCTACAGTAACGAGTACCTTTAAGAGAAACAGCGGCATCCACATGTGGCATTGCATTACAGACACTGATCACATCGTTGTACTGCTTATCGGTCAAATTTCTTAACAATTTGCGCCGTTCCTCTGCAGGGAAACGCAGGAACTGCACCATGGATTTGATGTTACGTTTCTTGACGAAAAAATGCCGCAGGATTTCATTATCGATATTAGGTAGCTGCAGTAGTGGGCTGCAATTCTCACTTAATCCCTGCACCAACATCTGGCTCAATTTCATAACATTCTCCACAGTTTCAATGCTGGGCATTGTGGGAACTACAAACCAAAGACTCAGGTGGCTTCTTGTGGAAATTCTCAGAAGGTATTACCACATACTTTGGCGAGTATAATACCACTGCATGAGGATCGCACATGTGCTAACCATTTCCTGGATTAACATCGGGCATTTCTTCAGTATATAATCCAGGTCTGAATAAATTTAATAATTATTGCATACGAGCCTTAAAAACTGGATACGTATGAAAACCATGTAAAATAAAATAATTTTTGCTCCAACAAATATACCTTCCCGAAGATACCGCGCTGGTATTTCCATCCGCTCAAGATGAGCCAAGAGCAGAGTCCGCGCTTTTACACTATAAGGAGCTCCGAATGGCCTATCCTTGATTTTCTCTTGAACAGTCCCAAGACTTTTTAACATCTATAGACGAGGCTCATAAAGACGAGGGCTTTTAAAATCATCATAAATTATACTTTGTTCAAATAAGTAATACTTCTTCCACATGAAACTCACTGTCCGAATATCACAAACAGTAAGCAGATACTGTATTATATGTGCTGTTATTGTATGTACAACTCATTCTAAGCCGGAATAAAAGATCAAGATCGAACAATTATTTCGATACCACGCCCTTACCGCCGGGATATATAAATTGTCGTCGGGCCTTTGCACGATTTCCGGATTATACATTGTTTCGAACTCACATGCTCCGCTAAGTATCAATAATACTCCTGCATACGAAAACAACACGTCCGGAAATTAAAAACCGTGTGCAATATTGCACTCACACCACCGGGCAGGTAACGATGCCACTAATTTGTGAAAACGAAAGTGTTACAACGTACGTTTGATGTTCAGCGTCGACGATCGGTAAAAGTAGAATTTTATTATCTTTGTAGTTTCGATCAGGACAGCTTCGCTTGTGTAACGAATCGATCGGTACCACCATACACCCTAAACAACAAAAATATAACACAATCATTCAAATACACCAGCTTTACGAAAATTACGAACTGCTTTTTTGTACCAACATGTACGATAATGAATAACATCTATTGCATAACAACATCAACGTAGTACGGTATATTTGTAAAAATAAAAATTAAGCTTCAAAAAGCACAAACATAGATAGTTCAAGAAGTCTGAAACAGCTTATCGAAAGTCGGCTCATTCATATACGTACAAGATTACACAAAAGCGTTCGTATGGTTAACAGCAAAAGAAATTAATGTCTTATTATTCTTATCCAAACTGACTTCTTTCGATAATTCTGGCAATTTAACTCAAAGGATAATTTAAATTCAGTACTAGACAGACTTAATGGCATAGAAATACTTACAACTATAGTAGGAAGCAAAACCATGAACACCAATCCATATAATCCCAGCACCTAAATAAGAAAAAATAATGTAAATCGTCACCTTCTCTTCCATTTTGAAAAGATGTTATTTTTCAGGAATTCATATTCGTACCCATATCGAATTTTTCCCCTGAACAAGCCAAACAGGCAAGGCGATACCGAATTCAGTCACACCCGGCCCATCCGGATTTCCGTACCTCTCCCAGTTTTCACGCGCAGCATCGTCGGTCAGTCTAAACACGGTACAAAAATAATTGAAACAGCATACCTGTCTGTACTCGTGCTATCCGTATATAGATATTTGATATTCCGAACATACGCTGCATGTGCTTTCGTTATGTTAATGAATTTGCTCTCATTGCCTCCCTGCCGATCAGGATGGTACACTCTGCTCAATTTGCGGTATTGGCGTTTTATATCTTCCACCGTCGCCCCCTAAATTAACAAAATCTGTAATACAATCTTTGCCACGATCCAACGTTTGTCCGAAGCGGACATACCGGTTCAAGTTCCAAAATTTCATATGGATTCCAGTCAATCACTTCGCGCTTCGTGGTGGCTACTGTGTACGCTATGAAAGCGACAAGTATCCATCCAATCGTCAGAATGATTTTTCTGTAAAACAGAAATCATCTGTGCGCTTGGGTAGCAGAGAAAATAAAAAGCGCGGGTTTGTTACATGAAATTCCTTTTTAAGCGCTTCTTCGGCTGGGAAGCGCGCAGCTTGGAACGCTTGTGTTCGCAATTATCACAGGCACATTTGAATCCTTGCTTGTCTGCATCTGAAGCCCAAAAATGTATTTGAGATAGTGCCAGTTAACTGGATTAAAATGAAATGAAGAAGAATTAAAACACAGTACTAAATACTGTCATGATCGGCAGAACTAACTATGAGTTCTTCACAACAACGGGAACTCAGTAAAGTCTAGCTGAAATACAAAGTGCTAATGTAAACCTCAAACCTTTTTCTTCTCCGCGCGGCCAAAACATGTAGGAAGATGGAAGAAGTACTAAAAGTAAGAAGGCCAGAACGAAATACAGGAAGGTATCTCCCTGCTCGTCGTACTGAAATTTCATCGCCATTTTCAAAAATAGGTAAAATATCCGATAAAGATGCGCGCTGGCGCTAACAGAATATCAAATATTTTAAAATCCCCGGCCGGGTGGTCCCAGAAAAACGTTTGTTTCACAATCACTAATCAGTGAAGGGAACAATACTCCGGATTTTAGTTCGACGAAGTCCAGAGATGCCAATATCCTCTGCGACAAACACAAACCGAAACGATGATATATTAGAACTCCAGGAGATGATTGTCGATTCAATACTGGATGATAATAATATAAATGCCTTATCCAATTTCTGGATCGCAATCTGGAATACGCGGATAATGATTTTCTTCCAGAATCAGAGATTCGAACGCTTCAACACCTGACGGCTCCGAACAGCTGGATGCCAAACGGAGCAATATCAATCGAGCAAGCCACTTACGTGACCAGTAGCTCAGTGATTGCCGTCAAAATACCATTATTTTCATTTTAATCTCATTTAGGCTGACTAAAAACCAAATTCAATTTCCTTTCACAACTGCATAACGGTATTATAAACAAAAATTCGTAACATGTTTTGCCTATAGTAGGCATTTGGAAAAACAAAATCGGTAAAAAACATCTGAATTTCTGGGTAATCCGAAGTATTGCCGATTGCACAGCAAACTTGCAGTACGAGTAGTATAGTTTCACTTCGCAGCTAATCTGTATTACGTGGCTTTACTCATTACCGTATCAGAAAGCGAGATACTCTGTTATGTGCGATCGAGGGCCGAAAGTACTACAAGACGTGCTATTGTGCATTGTGCAATATTGCAGAATGCAGGCTTCTTGACCAGTACGAAGTCGCATCATCAGTTCCGTAAGTGGACCGTAACTTATCAGTCACGTATAGTAAAATTAAGCAAAATGTTGTTTTTTCAAGATTGAGCGATAAACGGATCGTTCGTATGCAGCTCCGAAAATTGAAACAATTTTAGACCTTTGAATCTTTGAATACCAAAAATTCAAGGTGTACAATACTGCAACGGCAACTTTTAAGCTGCCACTAGTGGAGTGGGTTAATCCACCCGTACCACGATAAAACGAGGTTTGATGGTTCGTCGGTGATGTTCCGAGTTAGCGAATTACCCAAAAGTCAGTTATGCAATTGCGAACATGTTAACCGATACCGGCGCGATTGTCAAAGTGCACAAACATTTTTAATCAGCTGAAAAGTCATTGGGGAAGAGCAAGGGCAAGGGCAAGAGCAAGAATGATTTTAGAACATTCAGACAATCTCCGAAGTCTAGAAAATCCACGTTAGAACTGGTCATCTCGTACACGTACAGATTCAGATGTTTCCGGTTGAACTAGCACCAATGAGATGTACATCTTCACTACGAGTACAGATCTCATTTGTACGGCTACAATACACTGAATAATATTATAGTTCCATCGCAAGTTTTCTACCTTGGCAGTGAGTGTGATATATCTGAATTTGCCATCCATCTAATTGTTAGATTTTGATTCACTTTAGTTTGACAGCAGTAACAATATACATGTGGTGCAGTATCTTTCATTTATTTGTAAGGAATAAACTTAATTACTCTACAAAATTATAAAGATAAAACAATTCAATACGTGTACAAACAGCGGACTTTATAAAGGTGTTACACCCACAGCCGTTACGCGCTAAGCATATGGTTGGGTATGCAAACACAAAATTTTAAACTTGAAGTCCAGTGTAAGTTACTGGTGTATTGAAACCAGTTTTGATAAAACACGTTAGTCTAAAGTAATAAAGATTTGACTCTGATAAAGACGACTACTTTAGGTCTTGGAAAATGCTCACGATAAAGGTCATGCTCATGGATGGACGGGTAATTCGTGTCGCATATACTGTACAGCTATAAGCACGGCTGATATTGTCACATAGGTATGGTTAATTTCATGAATCTTTCGATCGTATGTCTAATATGAATAAACTATTAAAAATTGTATGGTTATATGCAATTAATTTGCATACTACTTTTACTGTTTATTCCATACAAGGTATGCCTCGCGCTCCGCGCTCGGCAAAACCATCTTGGACGGAAACTAATATTTGACCATTCCTTGTTTTTTCCTTGATCCTATGACCACAGGCTATATTTTTACTTTTTTCCTGAAATGGTCGTGCAGTTCTGATTGTTTTCTGCATTAGTGCGTTGAAGGCCAGTTTTGATCGTAGGAAACAATACCTTTGGAAAATCTCAAATAAAGGCATGCTCATGGATAAGGAATTTAAGACTTAGCTGTTGCCACACTATCACTGTTAGAACGTTCTGACGTTCTAACAATCGGACGTTCTTAATTTCACGTAGGTTGGTTAATTTCATGAATCTTTCTGAAGACGTATGTCTAATATGAATAAACTATTAAAATTGTATGGTTATATGGAATTAATTTGCACTAATACCTGCCTTACTGTTTATTCGTAAGAACGTACTGTAGTACCTGCGCTTTTTTCACGGGCTCGGCAAAACCATCTTGGACGGAAACTAATATTTGACCATTCCTTGTTTTTCCTTGATCCTATGACCACAGGCTATATTTTTACTTTTTTTCCTGTAAATGGTTCGTGCAGTTCTGATTGTTTTGCTGCATTAGTGCGTTGAAGGCTGCCTAGGCTGTTTTGCTCGTAGGAATGTACAAGTACCTAACTGACACTTCCAGTACCCTTTGTCTCGTGCCTCATTAATTAATATTAATTCCAATTTTCTATGTATACTTAGAACTGTCGAAATCTCTCAAACGTGACCAAGATTTTAATTAACTCCCAAGATCAAAGGATTCAGAAGGCACTCCTATGGAAAATAAGGAATTTTCCAAGACTTAGCTGTTGCCACACTATCACTGTTAGAACGTTCTGACGTTCTAACAATCGGACGTTCTTAATTTTTGACGTTCTAACGTTCTTACGTTCTAAATTTTTTACGTTCTGAATTTCTAACGTTCTGAAGTTTGGACGTTCTGACGTAACTAATATTTAACCACGGGTGAAATTTCTACGATTTTACGATGCAGGTTGAACCTTTGAATTTTCCAAACGTCTATTTTTGAGACATTTTAATAAATGGCTGTAACAATTCCGATTTTTAAAATTATTTTACTAATACCGTGCGGGACTCCGAGCGCTGGCAACAATTTGTTTTACTCGTAAGAACGTACTGTAGTACCACACTATCACTGTACCAATATCTAAAGAACGTCATTATATTGCTCCATTTTCTATACTTAAGAACATGTCGAACTGTCTTCTGACAGACGCTTTCTAAACGAAATCAAAATTCAGAAGGCATACCTATGGAAAATTAGGAATTTTTCAAGACTAAGCTTGACTTGTACTGACCACGCCTCGATTTATCCTTAAAAACCCAGGAAAAATACGTTTTGAACGGTAAGCTTGTATGAATATAGGGATATAGCATGCTTGTCTCCTCAGTTTATTATTTTGTTTATTTATGGAAAATTGACAAAATGTGTCACAAAACAATCGTGGGTACTTTGAAATCTGACAGCATGTGCATTAGCTATGACTATGAGATTTTTAAAACTTTCACAAAAAATGCAAATTATTTTTGTACATTATACCACACCATGTAAAACAAGTTTATACCACTGCTATCAACCACAGGCGCACGGCATTATCTGCTACGAAGTTATCTATTTTTAAAAATTTATCGACGGTCTATAAATCTATCGCCGGGAGAAATACTGGTGAAGGTTTAGTGAATGAGTAGGTACACAAAATATTGTGTTCAAGCACTAAATAACTGACAAATTAGTCAACAGGAAATAATATTGAAATCTTATGACGGCTTATTAGAAATTTTGGCGCAAAGTAAAAATTAAAACCATTCATCTAATGCGCAATGGAGCTAACATTAGCAACACAAAGTATTAGCAACACAAAATACGAATGCAAATTTACAAAACTATTGGTGAGATTCTCGGTTGAATAAAGAAATAAAAAACTCGCAGATCTATTTGTAGCATTCGCGTTGTTTGTAATTCGGTCCGACGAAGAAGGAATGCTTGCGCAGCAGATACGGTATCGCCAGGACTCAGGAAATTTGATCCCTCAAAATCATGTGAAAGCCGACGGTATGACAACCGTACTGCTCGCTTCTTTCAAACCGACTATTTTCCGCGACGCTTTTTACGGGATGTAGCTTTCTCAGATTCCACAGACGAACGATACGATGCATCGCTGCTTGGCGTGTCGTCCCGTCCCTTCTTTTTACCTTTCCTGTTGAAATAACCAGTTTCAGTCCAACACGAACAAACCCAAGCAAGACATGATAAGGTTTTACCGGACACTGTATGACGATTTGGTTTTTGCATAATATCGAGCATTATCACGTGCGGCTAAATACTGATTCTCCATAGAAGTCGCTGACATTAAACAATCACCGAACACCCATTCGTCATAGCTAAAGAAAATAAAAAATGGCTTATAAGTTGGGAACACATAAAAATACAGCTGCATTCACTTACCATGCATTTTATTTACACTGTACATTGTAAGCTACAATTCGCAAACACTATTCACAACAGGTACTTACTGTATGTACGTATTTCCTCCGTGGGACAGCGAAATAAAAACTTACATACTCGTAACGTAAAGCTACACATTATATTTCCGTAGCGATGTCAACAGTGAATGCAAAACTGGCGCATTCATGACTTACCTGGACGAGGAATTATGGTAATGGATCTTGTAACACGGGACCACAGCCGGTGCTGTGCCATCATGCTTATCATAATTCCCTTTTCCCACCCCGATAATCCTTCCGGTATACCAATAGGGATCACACGCAGATCCCATGCATGTTACTGTTTTGACGTACACCTGTTCTTCTGCAAGTCGAAAATGCAGGTTAATTAAAAACTGTATCTGGAAGGATGTACCTTGCACAACGTATTTATACAACACGCCGAGCCGTTCCAGGATATTTTCAATGACGACAAAACCACACGCTACCGCATCGAACAGTTTCCTCTCCTTTAGTAACCTGATTTTCCTCTAACTGTAAGGACTTATTAATATTGCTACAGCGCTACTCATGATTATTTAAAAGAACATATTGTTAGCACAAATGAAATGATACAAAGATCTAGATGATCAAATACAGTAACTGTGGAAGAATTAAGTCAATGCCGGTACACGTTCAAGATGAACAGTTCATACACGTTAAATGTGGGTACTGTATATCGTAGGTGAAGATTGTAAACTACGGTTCACAAAAATTGATCTGAAGTGGGTACCGCCGTACCGGGGGCAAAAAATTCAGGAACGAAAGCAGTTTTTGCGAATCACGGTCACGTTAGGCTAATCCTGGGCAAAGCAGTAGTGCATGTTAGTGCAGCAATTATTATCTTTCACTTTACAGATTTGCAAGATATGCTGTATCAGTTACAATTATCGAGTTAGCAACTTAGCACTTACAATCGGCAGTAGCACCCATTCAAATTTAAAATGTACAAAAATTTTGGAGTTATTTACGTTTTGTGTCAGTAGTAAGCCTACAGTCATCCGTTATTTATTTGTTCGATAAAATGCTTTGCGCATACCGATAAATTACACTGCGCCATCGCTGCTTGTGCAAACAATTAGCAAGGTCAGAAAATTAAGAAATACAAAAATGTACTAATTGTTAGAAGTTGTTAAAAGATGCTTTATTCTTTCTGACATCAGTCTGGAAGTGTGACAATGTTACCATAGTATAATTATGCGTACTTTGAAAGTTTGTAAATTAAACCGCAAACGTTCAGCAAGTTCAAAGGACTCATTTTATCTTACGGCGAAGGCTTTTGTTAGATCATCGGTAAAAAAATAGAGTAATCAGTTACAGGTATAGTTCCATGGTACAGTACTGTGCCCGTCTCTCATTAATTTTATCATACAACTATACAAGTATAATACAATACATTCGTATAATACATTTTATCATTTAACTATAATGCATTCGTATTCATTGCTTGATCAATATGCTAATCAAACTTCTGCAGGAAAACAACGAAATGTATCTTGATCATTATTCTTGATCTTGATCATTATTAATCTTGATCATTGAAAGCCACATTGTTATATTGCATGGCAGTATCGGGACAGTTTTGAAATATTTTAATTAAACAATTAACGAAGTACTTGAACTATTCATTCTTTAGGGCAAAAGAGCGGCTCTGCGTAAGCGCTTACGGTATACTGCGGCACCAGTGTGCAGACTTACTTACCTTTCCTGAAACGAGGCTTTTCGCATGTGTGCGGTGCAGAGCCGGTGCCGCTCGTCGAAGGGATTTCCGAATGGGCTGGCGATGCCGGCTTTCTCTCTGTCGTTTCCCTTCCGCTATCATCCACGTTCTGACCACTTTTGCGACGACTGTCTGCATCTTCATCTGGAGACCTTTGGCTGGTATTACTCCGACTGCTGACAATGGACAACGATCGGCGAGGAATGGGATCGACAGGGTCTGAATCGCGCAGATCACTGCGTGATCTGGACTTCTCTCGGACAGAAACATTCTCAATGCGGGTTTCCCCTGCATTGCTATCCGTGTCCACGCTGGTTGCTTGTGCGTTGTTTTCCTGCATGTTTCTGTAAATTCAAGCCGGGATGTCTGCGATGCACAGATCAGTTAGCAAGATGAGGATTTCTTCCACTCGTACTGATAAGAGAAGATCGCTACCTACCCTATCAAACGTTTTTTATTTTCAGAAATGCGCGAGGAATTTGGATTTTACACAGCCGCACAGCTGCGCACTGTAGCGTACAGCGCCACTCCGTAAGCCGACAGTATTCTCGCTTCTGGTTAGATAATATCGCGTAATTGTCACACCAACTGGATGCTTGTGATGAAATTGCAGGATTTCCGCAAATGCATCTCGTCCGCGCCGCGCGCGCTCAGCTCTACATACACATATTGATCATCTCCACATCCATGGCATATTCTCCTCTGTGGATATTAAAGGCACCTGTGTTTCCAAATTTGCCAATAATGTAATTGCGGCCGTCGGATTGGATTATAGACAGGTTGGCTACATGATTGAAAGGGTGTTGCATTCAGCAAGCAATAAGGCTGCGCGCTGCCGCCGTATACCGGATGAAGAAACAGGATAACCCACCAAAACACTGCGCTGTCAGATCCCACCTGACGTCAAAGGTTATCGTGCGGAACTACACGGTATGCCCGATATATATCCGCAAATACGGTAATTTGAGTGGAAAGAAAAGAAAAGGTAAACGAGCGAGCGGTGGGATAGAGCACGACCATCCAGGCGGGAAAAACTGAAATATTCACAACAGACATCAGCAGGCTGCCGCCTGCTTGCTCGCTGTTTACGTCCCGTTGCCAGCATCATAACATGGTGGCTTACCGGCTAGTAGATAATATCGCGCATAGTTCAACGTGGCCATCCTGGTCATTTGGTTAAAGTAAGTACTCGTAAGTCGTACTGTACCAGAGTGTACCTACGCTCTAAATTATGTACAAGTATCTATACTGCTATAGTATGACATTAATCTGTCCACTGTATAGGTATTGATTTACTAGTACAATATATTGTTTTGTACTCGTATTGTAGTATGATGTACACGTACATTGTAGGTCTTGTCGGACAAGACATTACTGTGGCCCTGTGGATATTATTAAGTTTACCATCGAATTAAAAATGAAAATACTGGAATATTTTAGAACGAAACTACTGGAATATTTTAGAACGCATATCCAAATTATTGATGGTATTTTGATTTGGAATAATTGTTAGGCTTCACAAGATAAAATTAAGATTGGTAAGAATGACCGGAAAATACAAAAACTTCGTCAATAGAATAGTAATATAATATTACAAGTATCGGTCGCGCTAGCGCGCGACCAGTTGTGTTCGAGGTATGGAAGAATGAAAGAAATACAAAATATACTTCGTAGTGACATCGTACAGCAATAAAAAAAAGTTTGAAAAATATTCCAAGTATAAAACCCCAGCGAGGCCAGCTACGAAATTATTTTAAACATGTGGAAATGCGGACAGTTTTCAAGCTTTCCGGTTACACGCGACCAGTTTCATAAAAACTGTGAAAGCCTCCGTAATTTTTCTTTTTGTTTGCTTTTTCACGGTTCTTTTCACGTTTTTAATGTAACTTTAAGTTGCCGAACTAACGAACTGAAAACTTGAATTTTTTGGTACGACAGATAATGTTTAAACGGTAATGAAATGGATGGAGTGGGATCTTTTACACGACTCCCATAAAAAACCATTCAGCCGATATTTCAGCGCAGAATTAATGGAAAGTTGTGGGAAACAATTAACGGTTGCCGTTGCCCAAGGTGACCTCGCAGGCTGCTTCGTTAGCTACTAATAATTGTAAGATATTCAGCCGTTCAGTCGAGCTATTCAGCATTAATCAAAACAAAATAAATACATATCAATTCTGTTAGATTTCAAGGTTAGTGATACCCAAGCTACCGCCAGTATTATAGAGCAACGTACGTTAGTGAGTACTGAGTACCCAAGCTACCACCAGCTCGTATCACAGAGCCGCTACCAGAGGGAATACGGTAAACGGGCCACGGGCCGGCTTTTAGATATTTAGAATTAATTACATATAAATTAGACAATTTAGACCGTGAGCTAGATATTGAGGTACTCAGATTTCTAGATATTTTAAAATTTCGAAATTCTGGAGGCTCAAAAAATTAGAGGTAACGGCCCCGCTGCGCGGGGCCGAGTCGAAATATTTAGAAATATTTAGAAATTCTGGAAATGTTAAAGCTTTGGAGCCGACTTTGGAAAAATTTATAGTGATTTTGAGGTATTCGAACAGATTTAGAAACATCTTAAAGGTTTCAAGAATCTTTTTTAATAAATTATGTTTGATGGAATTGACAATTTTAAACAACTATAATTTAGGTTGCTAAGTTGCGAAACTTGTATATTTGCTCATTCGAGACGTTTCCAGAATTTACTGGAAATTTCTATGAACTTTAAACGCTAAGTACTGAAAGTTTGAAAGGTTTTTTGAAAACGTTCCGGAAACCAAAATTTTTTTTCCAAGCTGCAGGTAGGAAGCTTTGGAAGATGCTGGATTTTTTAAAACTATCAAAAGCCTCACAAACGGAATCTCGAATTAGGAGATATTTTCCAAAACTAACAACCTTTAAGTACTGAAAACCTTTAAGTACTAAAGCTTTAAAAAATTTTTTTAGACCTTCTCCTAAACGTAAGATTTTTTTAAAGATAAAGGTAGGAACGTTTTTGCGACGCTCTATTTTATAAAATTATCAACTTATCGAGCAAATCAATCTTGGTTTAGGAGATAATTTCCAAAAAATAAGGACGTAAGGATATATGAATCTATTGATATTGATATCCTACTCACTGATATAAATTTCGTTTGTTTAGGAATATGTCAACTGTAAGTAATATGCAAATGCACAACTTTTTCATGGTTCACTGGCGCTAAACAGTAAGAAAGCTATGTATCCACAATAGCGGCTCCGCCGGCACGATCCGCGACAACAGCAATCGATGGATTCTTTCTTGTACTTGTCCCAGTAGCGCGACAATAATAATAACTTACTGGTTTGCATTTTGCGCACATATATACAGATATTCAGATACACATACTGGTGGCTGGATGTGCAACAGTAAGACTGATGGTGAGTGACAATAAATAAGACACAGAACTAACGTAATTAAGTATGAGAATTTACTAAATACTCACACTTAATTACGTTAGTTCTATGTCTTACGTTTGTTTTATTTTTATGAGACGTGCGTGTGGCTAAATAAACGATTACTGGGGCTTTTTTTCAACAAACATTAAAAAAATTGAGAAAATTAATGGTTTGACCTAATCTTCTATCGCGCTTTTACTGTGCGAGAGGTTGCCAATCATCCAAGAACAAGTTTTATCAGTCATCCAAGGGTTTCCATGGAGGCGCAGGTATTATACGAGTATGTTATCTCTTTATTATTCTCCGTCGGAGCAAAATCTAACATAATTGTTTGCCCCATGCATTTACTACGGATGGTAATCACTAATCACCTACTTCGTACTCGGAATTAAAAGCACAGGCACTGCACGAAATAATCGAAAGCAGGAACATACAGCCATTCACATTTCACAATATGAAGAGCACGAAAACTTTGTGAACTTACACTTATATGGTATGAACTTGTATTTGTAGTCCTGCACTACTTTACAGTTACTTCCATACGAGTATACAAAATGTGAGTGGTAGCGGACAACTTTCTTCAGTTATTTCTCCTTAATCACATGCGATACCAGAACGTTTTGAGCAATCTATAAATAATTAATGCACAGTTAAGTTCGAGTATAACCCAGCGAACCGGCAACAGATAAACGTTATATAAAAATCTTGAACAAAAAGTCCAACAGTAACGCATCACGGAGAAATAGTGTTCGTGGAACAGCTTTGCATATCCTAGCGCAAAAATAACAAACAGAACACAAATGCGCAATAAAAATTTAATACTAACCAAAATCACGCAGATCAAATCTGCCTATCAAAAGAACACCAGCGAAATCAACTTTCACTAGCACTTGTAAGTAGCCGATTCCTAACAACAAAGAAACTCGCACTATCCGTCCAAATCCGCACCAATGCAAATGCCCAGTTAATATTTAATAATGTATTCAGTAGTAACAGGAATATCGATAAAGAACTCACAACCGCATCGAACTGTTCGTAATCTGCCTACTGTTTACTCCTACATTGACGTCCCATTAGTTGGCTTCACTCCAGTCCAGCTTAATTTGAAAGTCTCGCCATCTTCTTTAGGGGTTTTTCGAAGGGTTTCCAATAGTGAATCGGATAAAAAATGGGAATGATGCAAACTATCTTCCGGTTGCTTGGATTTGTCCTTCTCAAATGCCACAAACTTGATTTTCTTCAAATACTCCTCGTCTGCCTCCACGTACATTGCATCTCCCTCGTTGCAATCCACCAGAACGTGTTCGTCAATAAATCTAACACCATGTTGTTGTTAGAGCGCTGAGCAATTCACAATAAACTCCATGCAATAAAATAAACATAATCAGAAAAATATTCTTCTGCATTCCGTCCATGGTAAGGTTTCAAGTGTTCAATCCATCATTTTTCTCCAAGTGAAACGAGACCACTAAATATGGTATCAACTATTTACTTACCGCAAAATGCTGTTGTAAATAGCCAAGAGATCTTCTCCACAACTACCGATGAGTCGTTTGCCATCAAGGTTGTAGAACTTGACCATTAACTCTGGAAAAATATTACAACTAGTTTTGCACCAATTCCTGTTTACGACGCACTCGTTCCAAAGAAGTTGCCTATTCGATAAGCATTATATTTTATGTAAGTACATGTACAATACTCGCATATTCGTCTAACCGATTGCCCGAGTCAGATGGACAAAACCATAACTGTCCGTGTAAAAACTGTCTTTCTTCTTCGTTTTCTTGAGTTCCGAGTGCTGAGGTACTTCCATGCGTGTCAAGATCGTTGGAAGGAGCTTCGCAAAATTTTCATTCAAAGCCTGCACTTCAGCAAGGTGTGCATTTCTCCTACAATTCACAATTACAATAAGCAATTCGCCAAATTATCTGCGGTTAGTTTCAACTTACAACTCGGCGGTCATACCGTGGGGCACCTGCTCGATATGTTGCCGATATCGATTCAGAATACCCGCAACAGATTTCTCTGGTACAGTAATATGTTTCAACAATTTTCCATCAACGACCGTTGCGATGTAATTTTCCGCCATAGCTTGTAACAACTTCGGAGGCCATGTGATGCTCAGCACAGCGTTGTCCTGCAACCTTCTCTGCACAGCGGCTTCAGCATATGCCTGCTTACACAAGAAACTGTTTTGTTTTAATAATCACTGTCCTGAGTGTCAGCATTAATGTGGTATTCTTAAACGGTGCTAACAAAGCTTACGAAAAGTCGTGCTGATTCCACTAGCTTTTCACGCTTCTCTTGAGCTGATTTCTGCTGCTCTAAGCTATCATGCGTGACACCGACGGTGGACATTATACCGTGAATCAATCCTTCCTGAAATTTCGATTGTTTATTCGGTTGCTTGGGATTCGTCTTGTCGTAGTGGTATTTCAGCACAATATAATCTTGCTCCACTCGTGCTGTAGAAAATTTTTGACACATCGAAAAAGTCATACTAAAGATGCTTACACCGATCGCTGGACGCAATCTTAAATTTTTCTGTATAAATAGCAAAACTGATCGGTTAGGTAAATACCCGATCCATGTGCAATTATGCAGCTAAAAAATGAAATCAGATACGAAAACTTGACTCACGTCGTTTCACAGCAGGCTCTTCCGGAGTTCCCTCACTTTCCTCCTTTTCCGGCACTTGTTCAACAGGTTTGTCCAGCGGTGCTGAAGTGGGTACTGCGGGCGTTACCGATTCGCTGCCCAAACCATCTTCTTTCTTGACAGTCACTTCAGTCGGAGCCGCAGTAGACGCTGGTGGTAGCGCTGTTTCGGTCTTCGGTCGTCGGCCACGTTTCTTTTCTTCTGTCGAAAGGAAACTCAACAGTCAGTCACAACACACAGCCGTCCAAAGGATTACTGTCACAATAGTCAAACGACTTCCACTTACGCGGTTTTACTGGTGGAGTTCCCGGGATCTCTTTAGGCACACTAGTTTCTTGGCTCTTTTTCTTTTCCGTTGAAAGCGCTTTCGGTTTCAGGGCCGATTTAATTTTTTTTTCCTTAGGAACTTTTTTACCTTCGGCTTTCCTGCGAAATATCGATCGATACGGTTGACATAACGTATCATCTTTTGGAAACTTAGGACATACAGTTTAGCATCATATTCCGCGTTTTCGTCATCAACTTTTTTTCGGTTGTCGTCAGTCAAATCCATCATCGAATCCGCCATCATCCACTCATCATGGCTGAAATACAAGCAGCTTTTTTCCGTGTGAAAGTGAACATTATCCTAACAATGCTCAATAACAAGATCAATCGAGCTTGTTTCACCAACTGCAGATATCACTTACCGCGGTCCCCAACCAGGATAGTGAACAAAATATGAATAAATTTCAGTTTCCGGGTGCTCGGGATGCGGGCACTTTTCCCGTTTGCGCACCTTCGCTGCATGCCATCTTCCGCAATAAATGACATAAACATCAGCCCCTACAATTATCACACAGAAAGAATGTATTTTGAAGTTATTGAATTCTAGCAAAAACACGTTAGAAAACATTTTCGGAAAGTCGTTATTTAAATCGCTTTCAAGATAATAACAATAGTTAAGGTCTAAAGGATGAAGATTACTGAGCATAAATTACAATCAATAAAATTATAAAAGCATTAACTGGCACTCTGAGCTCTCAGCTCCCTAATCTTGTGTAACTGTACGTCACATGTAAAAACTGTTTTACACTGTGAATTCGGGGACACCGATGACCTATCAAGTACCGATCTGAAATTCTTTATAAAATTCATCGTCGAGATTCTTCGATGGATTGCGTTTGCTGGAGCCCTTGGACGCTCCCGAAGCTCCGGATCCAGAAGCAGCTTCTGCTCTTAGTGACTTTTCTTTATCCATTTCTATGGCAGGGCTCAAGTTGTGTCCAGATGACAGCTAATCAGCTATCAAAATCTGCAGACAACAATAACAGTAAGGAAACATTTACCTCCCAAAACAGTTTAATTCTAAATTCTAAAAACTGTTATTCGTTATAGTTAAAAAAGTGTTTATCTCTAGAGACATCCGGAAGAACTGTTTACTGAAAAGGATCAATTACTTCTGAAATCACATAACTGTTTTCGTTGGTCTATCAGCCTGAGTTCAAATTAAACAAGCTAATGATTAGCCGCTAATGCAAAAAAATCAAATAAATTTTAAAATATTAATTTTAATACCGCGGGAAACAATCCGGAACATATTAATTTTTGAGCTAGAATCTACCTACTCTAGATGCCACAGTGCAAGATCGGTTGTGCGGTCAGTCGGTCGGTTTGGTTGTTTGTTTTGGTGCCTTCTGTCGACCCGTTGCTAGACCGGCTTATTTATGGTGCACGGTATCGGTCGGTACTTCAAGCGGGCGGTCGGATCGGACGTTTGCTTTGAGATTGCTTCTGATGGCAAGGTATTTGCCAAGCCGTCGCTCTTTTTGTGAGTTCTCTGCACAACGTACTGAAGTATTTGAAGTGCAGTAGTATGTGCTGTAGTCTGTACGTAGTTGTACTGGTGGATATGGATATTAAGAGGCAGTCATTTTCTTTAGAAATAAACTTTATACGAGTACGAGAACAGGAGATCAATCGCTCTCCAGCTGCATCCTACGCTATTTTAATTTTAAAATAATCCTTGAATTTTTTCGGGATTTGTTGTAGTTTTGGAACGTCGAACATGCGGCTAGTGGGGGAATTGCACGCTCATTTTCCACTTTACGCCCAGCAGGCACAAAGCTGCAACAGTCTTATCGTTTCGTGGTGATTGTTAAAATCAGTTAATCCCACATCCTTCTGTTAATGGAAGATGGCATTCCCGCATCGTGCTAATTATGCACGTCCCGGTTTCAAGCCCGTTTTGATACGTTCTGATCCCGAGTTCGAGGGCATCAACGATGCACTGTTTGGAAAACCACGCGCCCAACCTATTATACCCGGTGCAAACGACAGAGCGTCGTCTCCGCCTTCGGAACAATCCCTGCCCTCCTCGCCTCCGAGGAAATTTCGTAAAAGTGACACGAAAAAGAGACGACATGGCCTGGTTGATGCTCAACAACCGAAACTTCTCAGCGAAAGATCTGAGATAAAGGTATTGATTTGTTCGCATGTCAACATGCAATAAATAATCCAGTTGCCAATAACGAATAATGGTTAATGATTCAGATTTTAGCCTTTGCGAAAAATTTTATGTTTGCGGCAGTCTGAAGATGCGATTGTTTTTTATTTTGTACCTTAAGTGCGTGTTTAGCTAGTAGATGCGTAACCGTAAAAATAGAAGGCATTCTAAAGTGCATCCGCATCAGGTGAATTTAAACCATCCGAAATTTGTAGTGTTAGCATTGTGGTCGCAATTCACAAATTCATTTTTTGGTGGCTGTTATCAGATAAATGCGGGCATTTGCTGATTTGAAAATTATTGGTGTTGTTTGGAAGCGTCTTAAATTGAAAATTCAAATGCATCCAGCTGTCAACATGATACAGCATTTTAGAATTTTGTGTCTGCTTATAATTATTTGAGAGGGACACCGTCCCATTACTGACCGCGAGTACTTCGGCTCTGCCTTCGTCTTGATGTTCAATGTGTAAAAATATGCTTTTATGAATGTTACCTCCTTGATGGTTTTGTCATTTTTTTCGGAAAAGGTGTTAGGTTTTGATTTTCTAGCCCAGCGACGAGAGAGATGAGGATGCCACCAGCATTAAAACAACATCGACAGTTGCATCTCGCGGCGGAGGAAAGAAGAAACGGAAACCTGCCCTCACCTACGATAATATCTCTGCGACTGTCCGCAAAGCCGTTCGTCCTCAAATACCGCATTCGAAACTACCGAAACCGGTTATAGACATGAAGAACGACCCGGAAATGTTGCGTTTTGAAGCGGAAATGGAGGCATTGAAGAATTACACTCTTAATGTTGAATACGAAGACGATTACTGGCGGGAAACAAGAATGAATGCCGAGCGCGATAGATCCGAAGAATATGCCAGAGCGGCGAGGGATTTAAATGATCATGCAGAACATCTCCGCTATCAAACGTATGTCTTACGTAATTACATTGTCTGTCAGGGAGATATTTCTAACCAAGATAGGGTGTTTTCATTTATTAGAAGAGTGCTGGTGCGACAGTAACAAGCTTATTTTATAATCTTCGTGAAAAATATGTATGGGGTTGTTTTTCTTGAATATTTATCTGCAGCCCTCTCATCAATTTGAACCAGTCGGAAATTTCCACACCACGGCGATCGCGAGTTGTGGTCCGGAAGATTAAGCCACGGGTAACCTTTGCATCTCCTTCTACGGAAATCGCTACTCCAACCAGGCCTCCTCGCCACAGTATCCAGCCAGCTCAGCCAAGCGGTGACAATCGGGTTTCCAGTCGTCTCACAATCAATACTACTCCCGGTGGCCCATTATCTTCTACCCCGATCAATTCCAATCTGAAGAATCGCCAGTTGGATATAACCGACATGTCACCCATCGTCAGTGCTTCTCGAGTAATGGGGAAATCGAGGAAAACTGTGGATGACGTTGTAGTGCCGCCGAATGTGGCTAAAGACATTGCGGAGGCTGCAGATGAAGATTGGGTTGATACTAGTAAAAGCAAATCCCCTGTAAAACCTGTTCAGCGCCGCCGGTCATCAAGAAAAAAAAGTGGTGTTGAAGTTAGCAACGATGCCGCCAAAACTGGCATTTCCCTTGTTCCTCGGGAAAACGATGCGACTAGCGTCGATGCGCAAGCGACCAGTCGTCTGCCTGAAAAGGATACAGTGGAACCGGTTATTGCCAGTGTGGCCAATGTTACCAATTCTCGAATCGGAAGGTTTAAAAAAGTAAGACTTTCGACATTATTATCCGTTGGTGAGGCAACAAGAAGAGCTCGTTATAACTATTTGCAGCCAACTACTCCATCCATATCGACCCGGCGAAATGCGGAAGACTCAGAAATTGTGGAGGTAAGATACAGCATGCCGGTTCGTCGCGGAAGGAACGAAGCCATCCATGTAGCTAGTCCATCTATATCCACTCAGCGCGATGCGGAAGGATCACGCACCGTGGAAGCTCGATTTAGCATGCCTGTTCGTCGCAGAAAAAACGAAGTTAATGTATGTGTGATAGTGATTGTGCCTATGAGAGTTAGTTTATTCTAACAAAGGAGTGACTCTTACAGGATTCCAAAGATGACTCTGCGCGACCAAATGAAACTACTACCTCCAAAAGGGCATCGGAGCGTACTGAATTTGGTACTGTGGTTGTGGCTACGGCGTCCAGTATATTTCCTATTCGCCACACAAGAGCGGTGAGCTTCGCATATTTTTGGTTGTGCTATGTGGAAAACCTGGATATTTTTGTTTTCTAACATCTGTTTGTTTGCTAGTCAACTTCTGGGAGAATTTCTCGAAACACAACCGCTCACACTCCGGCACCAGGTCATGTGGCTCCTGGTAAGTTGGACCTTTTGCATGACTGACAAGAATACGTTGAATCTCGAGTTGACGATTTTTGCATCGTAGCTGGGGTCACACCGGCATCTAGTGTCCACTCGAATGTATCCGGCATTCAGTACAATATTCAGCGTGAATCCCTTTTTCCATCCTTTTTCTCGCCAGCTGTAGTGCGCTTAAGTGAAAAAGCGCGTGACTCGCTCACCCAAAGCCGTAATAACATTTCCCGAGCATCCGTGCGGAGATCCGTTGTCCAGGGCACTCACAAAAGCCCACTTAATCTCCTGCTGGAGATTGCCACTCCTAATCGGATTATAAATACTGATCACCTCCTGGAAGGCGAAGGTTTCACAGATTTAACCAAAATTGGGGAGGGATCGTTTGCAGATGTATACAGCGCCTTCCGGAATGGCGAGGAGGTGGTCCTGAAGATTGTTCCCGTGGATGGAAAGTATGCCGATGGCCAGGCGCAAACATCTCTTGATGACATCTTGTCGGAAAGTATTATATCCATTGAGTTGACCAAGTTGTTGGTCGATGGAACGGAAATGTCGCTGGCTCCAGTATTTGCCAAGACTCATTTTATTAAGGTGAGACTATTAAATTTTACTAGATGGTTTCGAGTTTCGGTGCCCATCAGGTCAAAATTGTTACTAGTAGATAGTAATAATATTACTACTTTCGAATGCTTTAGCTTTATCGCAGATTAAGGTGGTACTTACTGTTTAATGATAGTTGTGCTCGACTTATTACATATTTTAATGTCACATACTACATACGTATTTTTTCATTGATTCGTGTTTTGTCCGGTTTAAATGAGCGTAGTCAGTGTGGTCGTGTTACTGGTAGGGTTTTCAGAATTTTCGTATAATTACCCGCAAGTTGCTGCTGTGTGCTAGGTGGCCGAAGGATTGTATCCGGATGAATTTTGCGATCGCCACGATTCGTTTGCTCGCAATAATCCAGATGACTGCTTGAATCAGCATCCGTTAGCATACGAACGGGACCAGCGGTTTGTGATAATTGGACTAAAGAACGGTGGACAAGACCTTGAAAACTTTCCGTTAGCAGACTATCTGCAGGCCCGCAGCGTATTTCAGCAAGTCGCTTTGGGTCTGGCCATCGCCGAAGATGCTGCAGAATTTGAGCACAGGGATTTACACATCAGCAATATTCTCGTTCGCTTAACGACTGAAGACCACATTCCATTTCGATGGTAACTTTTCGTTCTTTATGTTTTTTTATCAGTTTATTGTTGCGCGAATTTGAATATAATGTAGAATACATTTTGTCAAGCTCGAATATTTATAGAAGAGGTATGTTGTGATGTTGATTCCCTTTTAAAGTTACTGAAATTTGTTTTGTTACAACGACACTTTGTTGTTGCAGGAAGGAACAACATTACAATGTCCCGACTCACGGACTTCAAGTGACCATAATCGACTGCACACTGTCGCGCATTCGCCAAAATCAGCGCATCATTTTCAAGGATTTGTCCAGTGAGAAGCAAATCTTTGATGGCGAAGGCGACATACAGTATGACGTGTATCGGGCAATGCGTGATGAGAACGACAACGATTGGAGTACATTCCAGCCTCACACAAATGTTCTTTGGCTAAAATATCTGCAGAAGAAACTTGTGAAGGAAAAAACCATTAGTCGCGGTAACAAAGAGTCTCAGAGTGCTAAAAGAGAACTGGAGAGATTAGGTCCGAAATGGAAATGTCCGTCGGCAGGTGAACTCGTGAAGAGCACAAAGATGTTCAGTGATCTCTTGGCAGTTTGAATGTTGCGGTCACAGTGTAAAGGTCAGGGTGTGTTTCAAATTTGAAGCAATATAAGAAGTCTACTTTTTTGTTTTCGTATTTTTATGTTATTTGCTTTTGCAGGATGAATCTCAGGAATTTGATTCTCGTTTGTGTTTGCTGCCTTTCTGTAGTTCACCGATCGTGTTGTTGTCTTCGGTTGAAAGTAAAACGAATTGTGTGATTTTCAATAAGAAGCCACCGATGAAGAAACCACCGGCTTTTCTTACCTGTACGGTTGGTACTTTGTAGCATTGTTTCTGCTGCAAGCACCGGTACAAAGATTGCGTCAAGCACAACCTGTTGCATGGTTCTCCTGGATTTATGTTGGAACGTGTTAACTTTTTTTGTTTCCGTGGGCATGTAGAAATCCGTTATCAAAGTGTTGGTTCGGACATGAGCCATTAGTATTAACGTCTTTATTTTTGGCATTAAAACCAATTTTGGGATTTCTCTGGATGATCGTTGCTGAAGGATATGAGCCAGAATGCGTACATTGACCACACGTGTACCTACCTCTTTCAAAACTTGCAGTCAGTTCACTGATTCTACGCAGTAAAGTGCTTCCTACAGTTCTTCCTCCATTCAAATATACGTACTTGTGCTGCACAGCAGACTGAGCAGAGTAAATCTCGTACTTTTATGTTTTATTAATACAAACCGAAAACAAACAAATATTAATTTTTAGAATAAAACAAATTTTCGAAGGTTAGTAATAGCATATCTAATAGATTTACAGTAGATTTATTAATAATTTTGCTGATTTAGTTTATTACGGTACTGTAGTAGATTTGGTAATACAGTACATAGTTTCATTTATACTTCACAGATACTTCACAGAAGTACAGATATTCGAGCAGACTTCATTCAACGTTGCACATGTACATTACTCATACCAAAAGTTGTGCTTGTGCATATACCCCTGGCGTGCTCTGAAACAATTCTTGCAGTCCTGAGTTATGCAATTTTTTCGAATTATTGTATCGTTTGTTTATATTGTTCTGACTTACTGCAATTTTTGTAGTTCCGAGTTTTGCAGTTTGTTCAAATAATTGTATTGTTTGATAATCGGTACTCATACTCATCGGTACTCATTTGGAGAACTGTTTCCGCGCCATAGATCGCTGTCAGTGGTTGTCTGTCACATTAGTCCGGTTCAAAATAGACCGAAAATTTAGTAAATCCTGGCAATTGTGAGAATTCTGCAAAAGCTGAGTAACGCACGAGATAAGATAAGCGCTCATAACTGGTCCATATTGCGATGAGGTGTCTTTTGCACGTTTGTATCCACGCCCCAAATATTCGTAAATGTTGCTCTAGAAAAAGCTACTCGAGAGTAGAATATTCGAGCGTCAAAGTCGCCAATTTGGATATTTCTCATGCAGACTCGTGTGCACACATTTTAATGCTTACATTTCACTGCGATATTTCGTAATCGTACACCTCAATAATTATGCATTAATAAGCACTCTAACGCCTATCGGATATCGTCGACATTGCTACGTGAACACTCTTAATAACTAATTAATAACATTATAATTAGTGTTAATTGCTCATCCAAACACATTCTGGTAGCGTAAACCAGAAAGTGCGCGTAGGGCGCATAAGTCTCTAAATAACTTAAAAGTTACCACGACGTGTTAAAATGTCTAATTAAAATTAATTAATTAATAACGGGTTTATTAGAATTTAAAATTTTGCGGATAAATGGTGTACACTGTATAGAGTATTGATTAATTCGCTGACCGGCTGGCGTTTATTAACTTGCAACTGCAGCGTTAATTAACTGTTTTAAATTAATCGTTAATTATAGGAACTTTTTAATTTTTTAATTAATTTGAAGCACTGAATTCGGTAGGCAACACATATATAGGCAACAGTAAAGTGCAAACTGCAAAGTAAAGTTACAGACTGGAATGAAAGCACACCATAAAGCAAAATGTCGCACGGTTTTGCGCTCCCAAAATTGCCCGCTCGATGCAGATATATCATATGTGATGCATCATTGCCGTGCAGTTATTTGATGTTTGTTAAGGTTCAAAGTTCGATTTTTTTAAGCGTGTGTCACAGATTTCCTTCGCTGATATCTTCATAACTGAATTTTGAGCCTAACTATTATCACTCTTGCTTCTTCTTCGTTTGGAATGACCGTTGTGCTTGGCAAGGACTGGGGGACCAGCTGGATTTGCAATTAATGTTGGATGTCCGATGGCTTCGGTTGGAGGAGACTGCGTTGCGACATACAATGGTAAAATGACGGAAAGCTTGGAAAGGATTGTTTTTGCTGATGAGTCGCTTTCGGACGATAACAAGCGCCATGTTGAGCCATTCTTGCGAGGCCACTTCGATCCGCAAGAATACTCTCGTGAAGTACTGCATAATTCCTCTGTATCCTTGGCCGAGCACCTTTCTACGATCGACAGTACAATATCCATCCTCGACAGCAGTCTGAAAGGGCGCGTGGTCGACGATCACGAAGCGCTGACCAGCAACATTGTGGCACTGGACGGACTGGAAGCGTCGCTCATCGATCTGGAAGCAGCTACCAGTGCGATTTTGGAAAGCACTGGCCACAGCCTGACGTCCTTCAGGAAACTGTATGATAACTATTCCGCCCGTTTGGTGGAATGTGAGCGTACCAAGAGTGCGCTGGATTTATTGCGAAAAGTCAGCAAAGTGACGGCGACAGCGCAGACACTGCGTGCATCTCTCGCCAGTGATCGTTTGGAGTTCTCCAAAGCAGCTGTCGCGGTTCACGATCTTGGAGGAGTTTGTGATGATCCAGAACTGCGCAACGTCGTAGCGCTGAATGAAGACCTGCCGTTCGTGGAAAATATTGTGAGAAATCTCCCGGTGATGTTGACACACAGCCTCTCCGAAGGACTGGAAAAACAGGATTTGTCGTTGATTGCGGAGATTGTCGATGCATCGCTTTTGCTTAAGCTGTCTGCACAGCTGCTGGAAGGTGAGATTTCAGTAATTACTGTTACTGACACGTCAGTACAGTTTTTCATTTGCCGCTTTTTTACTATTTTGGTGCATAGTATCGAAACCAGAGTTTCCACTGTCCAGAACCTGCACCTGATGATATTAGTTGCCATTTCATAATAGATTAAACGTGATTTGGATTACTATATTCGCACATAGCGAAAGTTGACAGGCGCAAATTTTAATATGATTCAAACGATAATTTGAATAATCGCGTTGGTGGCAGCTGGAGTTCGAAATGCGTAAAAATTGTTTGTTGGCGTAGTCCGCATTTTTATGATTTTCAGAGTTGACACAAAAGTTATTGGATGGTTTCCGTACCCAGATTGAGGAAGGATTAAACATTCATCTTTTGGCGAAATCCGATGCGGGGAAGAACACGGGGAAAGTTCCGGGGCGTACCACTCTTCCTTCGGTGCAAACATCGCCCGCGCTGCGCACGGCATTCTGGTCGCGCATGGATGCCATTTTCAGTCTTATATGTCAGAATCAAATTAAAATTGAACTGCTGGAATCGGTGTACATACGTCGTTTTGACGAGTACGTGTTGTATGTGGTGGATGCTCCGGATGTCGAAGAAGGCCGAATTAGTGAGGGTTTTTTCGTTGCCGCGTTGGATATTCTGAAAGCCAGTCTGATGCGATGCGGAAAAGAGTCTTCGTTTTTACAGCAGACACTGGAGAACGAATATCCGCGTCTCCTGAAAATGACAAAAGAATGTCTAGGCCGTTTAAGAAATGCCAGTTTGTTTTTGGATTTTTCTCTGGACAACCGATCCAGCGCTACATGGCTGTTTCGGAGTGCTGTCGAATCGTTTCAAGAGTTATTCATTTCTCGCTCGCTTTCAAGACTGCTGGATCCGGTAAATGTTGGTTTTGCTGATTCGAATGTTTGCCCCTCATCGGATGACGTGGAAAGCTTGGTACGGGCCATCACCAATGAAATAGTCATTTGTCCATCTGATGAAATTTTGGGAATTTTGATTTGTAACAATGTGGGCAAGGCTTTGCGGACGACGTACATCAAGTTGGATGAGATGGTTGCGAGTGGTGGTGAAGCAACGCAAATAATTGGGGGTTTAACCGTGAAGCAGAATCGCAATTTTCAGATTGTTAACATTTCCATTTATTTGAAAGAACGCTTACAACAACTTCTCGACACAACGTCGGTGGCTCTTCCGGTCAGCGGTAAGACCGCCATCGTGGACGTACTGACAACCTACGAAGTACCGGTGAAGAGTGTTTTGGGACCTCTAATGAACTCCATATTGGATTCGGTTGAAGCTATATTGTTGACAATGCATCAGGAAGACTTTTCACTAGGTGAAGGGGAGGTTGACTCAAATGAAATGCTGGACTCGCCATGTTCCTTGTACATGCGGGAACTGCAGGTTGGTTTATCTAGCGGAATTCTTATCTAGCGCATAATAGCCTTGGTGCTTAGTGTTCGATTACTCCACTTTTGGACCGCTTAATACTGCATCAAATTTGTGTAGAATGCCGATGAGCAAGATAAGCTGTTAGCTTGAATACTTATCGAAAAATGCGCAGATTTGTGAATTTGAGATTCTTCTGCGATAGTAACGCTTCGTATGGTTGCAATAAAACTGAAATGTTTTCAGGATTTCTTGCATCGAATCCAGCAAGTGTTTTTCGCTCCGTTAGACTCCAACAAACCGATCATGCGCTCATTCATTGTTGCGTTCGCTCAGCGCTGTTTGAAACTGTTCGTGCGTCATATCAGCTTAATCCGTCCGGTTGGCAAACAGGGTCGTTTGAAGTTGGCCACGGACTGCGCCCAGCTGGAAGCCGCTCTGGCCCCATTGAATCTCCATCATTCCGAGTACGGAAATGCCCTGCAGATCCTCAAGGCTATGCGCCCACTACTCTTCCAGACGCCAGCCCAAATTGCGCACAGTCCATACTTGGGAACAGTTATTCCCTACAGTACAGTGCTGCATCATCTGTTTTCCCGAGCTCCGGTGGAGTTGCAGTCACCTTTTCAAGCTTCAGGATGGTCCGTCAGTAGGTACTGTAGATATCTCGATGAACATCCAAGGGAAATGGAACGATTGATGATAATTAAAGCCAGTTTAGATAATTACGCAAATACCGTGAGAAGCCGGGGTGAGACACATTATGCGGTGATTTATCCGCTTATGCGTGAAATGCTCGGTAAAGCTTTGGAAATAACACACTCAGATTCTTAAATATTTGTTGTTTACTTTATATATTTTGGTTTGCTTTTTGTATGCCTTTTTATAATTTGTTGTTTTTCACTTCTCGTCATGGCTGAAAATGAAAGGAGTCGACTGAAATGTATTGTTTTCAAGACATTCTTGCCGAAAACATGATGTTCGGCTGCTCGGTTTTAAAAATTATATAAATTATGATACATAGTTATTTATCATATTAAAAATTTCATCAATTAAAACGCTCGGTGGATACTATGGTCTTATGGAAATTCCACTGAGTGAGTCAGTATTTCAGTTACAAAATTAATTTACAGTTTTAAGTACACTTGCGAAATCTTTGGCAGTTTGCAAACAATCCGATTTCTCGTATATTGTGCATGTGCTCCGGATATGATTATATTCCAGTAAGACATAAAATGTGTTGACCACCAAAGAAAGTTAAAAATGGTAAACGAATAGTTATTATTGGCTTACAAATCGTTTAGGTATAGTACAGGTTTCTGTGTCTGACGCGATATCTACAAGTACTATCTATGTAGCTTTGCAGAGTAGCATACTTTGTATTAAAGTTATCACGTCATAATTATGATGCAGTTATAACACTTTTAATTCTTACTCAGTTAGCTCTATGAAACGAATCTGTGTGATTCAAAAAGCATGTGGTATGAATATGTTGGACTTGAATGCACAAAAAATGTTTTAGTCTACCTTTGTGCTGCTTTATGTAAACTTCGTGGCCGACAATTAGCGTGTCGATCCTGCAAAAGTGAGGGCGCTGTCGTCTGACATTCATCAGCGTTTTTGAATTGCCTTTTTGAGCTTCTAGTGGCTTATAGAAATGATTTACTTATTATTATATGTCCGTATCCATTTTGTAAAATGAGCAATACTGGTGGCTGGGCCCTAATTCTGTCTTTGTGCCAAGTATTTTGTTGGAATTTTTATGCCAGAAATAAGCGTCGTTAGGTGATTAATTGTGGCACTTTCATGGCCGTGCGTTAATTAAGGCTCGTCTGACAGCGCCTGTTGATCGTAAGTGGCATATCTTGGCGCTCATATGTCAAAAAACATTATGCCGAAAATGGTTTGACCATAGTTGTCTTTCTGTAGTAGAGTGATGGTACGGTTCTTATTTTCAAATAAAAATGCGATAACATAGCCTTCGCCTAAAACCGTAAATCTCTGCAAACCAGAAAGACGATCGAGATTTTTGACGTTAAATAGATCCAAAATATATTAAAACAGTGAGCATTCCAAGTTGAGGACTTTGAAAATCCCTTGTCGACATCTACTTTTTTTAAAGCATAAAGTGATTAGTTAAATTCCTGTTAGAGAAGTTTATGTTGCAGTGTTAACTCAGGAAGTTCAAATGTTTACCCTTGCACGTTGTAGACACAATACGCATGCAAGCAAAATATTTAGTATAATATTATGAACACATTAATGAAAATGCACTGCGTAGGTGCTCACTTGTCAGTAGGAACTCTAGCATTTGACCTTTAAAAGTTTCTTATTTTGGTTCTAACCGGTTTTGTCGCATTCGATAAAAATTGTCGGTAAGTAATAAAAACCGTTAATACGGATAAAACACATCAAAGTGAGCTCGTTTAATACGCGTACATTCTCGTATACTTCTGTAAAACTGTAAAATAAGTCTGTAAAACAGTTCTACAAATTGTGTTCATAATTGCCAGTACTGTTCGGAGCACGAGAGCGTTTGAATTTTAATGTTAGTACAAATAAATTAGAAGCATGCTACGATTAGTTATACCTATCCATCCTGATTCTGTTTGGTGGGTAATCGCATAACTGAGTGGAACATGCTAATACCGGTAAATTAGACACTGGTACTTGCTAAATCTTCAGATTTTATCAAAACGGGTATTTGGTGTACTCGTCTGTTTTTGATTAGCTTTATATTTATTTCCTTGTTGAAAAATCAGACCGGAATTAATGTTATAAGCACAGTCCCGGATACGATGCCGGCACTACTGTTGCAGAGTGGTAAAAAAATTTGATTAAAAAATAACGAAATTTATTGAAAATTACGCCATTATTACTTTTTAAACATGTATTATTGCAACCACAGGTAGTGCTTATGATGCTTACCGGTACAGATGCGGTTTTTTTTTGAGTGTGGTTTTATCGATACTCGTACAGAAAGTCTTGTGAAATCGGATACGTGCATGTTATGACACAGAGATGTTGGAGAATTGTTATATTTTGGCTTGTGTAATGTAACCACACTCTCCTTTTATTACCAATCATTTAGGCGTTAAAACAGACGTTGTTTACAGCAGATGCTAAAGAAATGATTATAGCTTTTAACACTTGTTAAGTGGCAGAAACATCGAGGGTCGTTCACGTTATGAATGTAAATCAGTGCCCAGAGCGATCTTTGCACCGGCTCTTGTTAAGCCATAGTGTAAAGGTTCCCACCCAGTCAACGCCGCGGTTGGGCCGACATGGCACGCTACCAACCGCTGCGGCTGCTAGCCGGCTTCCGTCGCGCGACGAACGTCTGCGGTGAAATCTCCGGCATTTGGTGTGGTATTCGACACTAATAAGCCTCAGCTGTTGTGCTGCAGTGCATCTTAACATCTGCTCACCATCGAACTGTCATATTTCCACCGTCGGTTGTGTGTGTATGCTGGATTAGTGGCGTAAGAACAATACTCCGCCGGACAGCACAACAATGGCCCACGATTCGGCTGGTAACCGCAAATTCGCCATCGTCCTGTCGGTGTTCCAAGTGATTTTTATCATTCTGTTCGGGATTTTTGGGAGATATCACGATGATGCGCTGCCGCGCTCGGGTCTGTCACACCAGACCACCACGCTGTCGCCGCAGGAACATCGTGGCAGGCGATCGGCGGACGGTGACAGTGAAGCGTACACGTGGCCCAAATATGCCATCCAGGATTATTATCCCAGTACGTTTGCGAAAATTTAATTGATTTTATTGTTCTAATTAAGTTTTACTTTTTTGCAGTGTTTCAGGATGTCCAGTAAGACAGTCTGCCCACATAGTAGTTCTCCTATATAGCCTCTGCCAATGACTTGAATAAAACTGCTTTTCCTTTTTACAGTGTAATGATGTTTATCGGTTTTGGATACCTGATGACGTTTCTCCGAAAGTGAGTGAAATTGTGTATAAAAGTTTACTCATATTTGTCTTCTTCTGCAAGTCTTGAGTATGCAGGAGCAGCACGTCGCTGATCCATAAGCAGTGAATATGTTATCGTCTGAATTTGTGCAAGTAGTTATATAAATTTAATATTGATTACATTTGCATGGTTAATTACTGTTGCAACTTTTAATAAATCTTCTACTGGAGTTGCTATTATAAAACTGTTTGCAACGAACAATTTGGTTAAATTTGGTAGTTTTGCGCATTGCTATAAAAATTTGATGACTGGAAGGTGGGGAGAGATAGATTACGAGTTAAACACCTTGTTCTACCAGCTTATCATAGAGTGTATCTGTATTTAGTGCGAATATAATTATTTGCGCATGTATCAAAGCTAGCTAGAGTGATATTCATATTACGGGAACTGCATACGGATGGCGCAGCTACGTCCAGGGTTATCTTTGCTTACCGCGAACTAACAACTTGATAACACATAAGTATCTTAAGCCGATGTTATACTTCCATATGACGGCCAAAATGATTATGGTTGCACGTAGTTAGTAAATGTTAATGCGAGAGAGGCATTAATGATTCTCCCACGAAAATCATTTGCAGTTTATAAATAAATATTTGAAATTAGATAAAGTTATATTTATTGTAACACGGATGAGATGAATTTTTGCAGTCGTACCACAGCCCACTAAAACCACTAATACTGGTCATAGTAAGTCATAATGCAAAACACGTACACCACATTGGTGTTTTGTACTGATGCATGGTTTAGATGCAATGTTTAACGGCGAAAACGCCGACAAATCCAGCTGTCTGCGACACTCTAAAATACTAAGAGTACTAAAAAGTATATCTACATGAAAACACTGATCAAAATTGATATTCTAATCTTGTATAATATGTACCTGCAGCGTTGTATTACAGCAATTTAACCTGTAAGTTAAGTTTACGGAAACTTTGATGGAACAACGCAGTTAGCATCGCATTAATTTTAGTACGAGAACCTTGATAAAATACTAGGATTTCGTAAATGCTAGGGTGTTATTAAAATGAGATATGACGGGAAAAACTGACGAACAAAATAACCTAACGGTAGTTCTTATACATATAAGAATTAAAAAGTCACTACTAAGAACTAGAGTAGGCAAAAATGTTAGTGTTGCTGTGTATCTGTAAGTAATACGAAAATAGTACTCGTAATTCGCACGACTACCGCTGCGGTCACGCCGATTACGCGCTCAGCTGTGTGTTCAATGGCATTTCCTACTGTATACAAATGTTTTGACATTTATCATGCGAGTACAAATTGCTCTTCGTCGCATCCTTCTAGATATGGATATTCGAGTCTCGGCATCAATTTCCTCTTGGCCGCTTTCGTCATTCAGTGGGCCACCCTGATGCGGGGGTTTCTCCACATGGAGGGAATGAGCTTTAAAATCGACTTGACCACGTATGTCGCGTGCCTTTTAAAATGTTAATGATTTTTTCTCTCGCAGATGAAATGGCAATTAGCGTAGCTGTAAAACTGAGCCTTTGATTGCAGACTTCTGACATCGGATTTCACGGTGGCTGCCATTCTCATTACGTTCGGCGCTGTACTGGGCAAACTTAGTCCACTTCAGGTAGCTGTTTGTGAATGTCTTACGCGGCAGAATTCGATACATTTGCTCTTTGTAATAGCAGAGGAAGCGATTGTTTAATAAACCGGTTCTTTTTAAAGATGTAGTGAAATGAATTGCGAGGTTCAACAATTTCTATGAAAGATCAGCGGCACTTATTTCTAGTCCAGACCGCTCGTGTTGATTCTGTGACGCGTTTTAAGCCTTGCAGTGCTGTTCAGTATAAGTCAAAACACAGAAATTGCTTGCAGCATCTTGTGGAAAATTGAAAAGGCCTTTGCGTTTTATAAAAAAACATGAAACTCTCCAGAATGGATAAGGTCAAAAAAGTTTTATTAAAAGCCGGGTTTTACAGGGAAATTAAAATTAAGACAGAAAAAGCTAACAATAAGTAAATATCATTCGAACATAGTAACAGATGTGTAAAATTACCTTGTCTTACCTAATTGTCTAACCTAGATTTGGCTTACATTGTGTACTTCATACGTTTATAATAACTCACTACGCACTTGAACATTTTTTGGTTTTGTAGTATTTGATTATGGCCTTGATTGAAGTTGCCGTATCACTGGGGAATGAATACATCTGTGTACATTATCTCAAGACAAGAGACATTGGTGGCTCGATTTTCGTGCATATTTTTGGCGCATATTTCGGCTTGGCTGTGTCTCGAATGTTGTACCGCTGGGAATACAGCGTAACCGATTTCAATACACTGAAGTTCACCACGAAAACAACTGACTTGTTTTCCATGATCGGTACTATTTTCCTTTGGATGTACTGGCCTAGCTTTAACAGTGCCGTGGCTGAAAAAGAATTTCAACAACGCGCGGTTATCAATACATATTTTGCCATGGCGTCGTGCTGTGTGGTTACATTCATCTGCTCACATCTGTTTCATCACAACAAGTTCAGCATGGTGAGCTTTTTTCCCGTGTTTGCCAATCAAAATTGCGAGTTTTCGGTTGCAGGTACCATATTTTAGCTAAATATTATTTTACTAAATATGCGTCCCTTCAAATCAACGACAAATATAACTTTATGTAATGACATATAACCTCGCAAAAAATATTTTATCCGTAGTATTAATTAGATGTGGTCGCAGAAAAATTGGTTAATAACCGTGGTTTTCATTGACGAAAAGGGTAAAAAATGAAAAATCTGTGCTGGGTAAAAACATAGTATATACGTTTTTTAGTGGCATCCCTGTGACCCTGTCAGAAGGTTAAGACCTACTGTGTGCATTGCAGGAACTGGTTCAGAATGCCACTCTCGCCGGCGGTGTGGCACTTGGCGCAACAGCTGATATGATTGTCCAGCCGTATGGTGCACTGATCATCGGAGCCGGTGCCGGCATCCTGTCATGTGTTGGTTTCCATTACATAAATGTAAGAAAGCATTTTAAAAATATTCCAGAACACCGGAACTCCTCCATACAGACTTTGAGAGAGTTATATCATATCGGTTTTTTCTCTTTAGTGACGCCGTTAGCCAGTACTCTTGCTAATTTCTTTTCTTCTTTGCAGCCAATTCTGGAAAATAAATTAAAAGTGCATGACACATGTGGTGTCAACAATCTCCATGGAATGCCTGGTATTCTTGCCGCTTTGATTAGCGGTGTTGTATTCGCTACTGCCACGCCAGCATTATACGGAGATAGGTTAGCCACTATATTTACTAGAACTATTTATTTGCTGGTTTACATAGAGAGAACATTTGACATATCAAACGAAAGCTATGCTCGGCAGTCGGCACCAACTATTAAGCAGATGGCATTTTTATTCATTTTTCGGTTTTCTCGTACTTATTTAATAGCACAGTATTTTTGAATTCTCTTGCTGTCTTCTGTTTTTGAAATACATTTTTACATGACTGTGTAATTACATGTTTTCAAAATGTGTGTTATTTTGTACGATTTGAATAAAAACGTCAACCACATCAACAGGTAGCAAAACGAATCTCTATCGATATCGGTCGAACTTTTGGTGGTGCATTTCCGACGGCAGCTTATAAGGCTGAGCAAAATACTGGGAAAATATGTGCGTCCCGCAGTTGAATCTTTCGAAATGTTGTCTGGGCTTTAAAAGCTTTCATGCAAATAACATTCTCTGTAGATACCTATCGTATTAGGCGAAAATTCAGTAGCACTTCTGATTTATTAGTTTCTACGACATCTACGGAAAGCAAATGGATACGAATGCAATTCAAAAAACTCCTCTGCTGGATTCGTCTGGAAAGTTCGTACCAGAAAGGACACCCATGCAACAGGCCGGATTGCAGATGGCAGCATTAGGCGCCACGCTCGGCATGGCTATCGTTAGTGGAATTATCACCGGTAATGTTCAGTAGGATTATTGTGTCCGTTTTTTGTCGTCTTAAAGTTATTGTGATCATCGCTTGCGAGTAATGACCGCTGCAGGAATTCTGGCGTAGCATTCCATTTTGGAAACTGGTGTTTATAGCTAAGCTTTACTTATTGCAATAACGAATTTTACATGGTTTGTATTAGTTTGCGACAAGCTTATTGCTTGGTCAGTACGGATGCGAAACTCGCAGCCCGCAGAGCAGTGGTTTTAACGCTCGTTGTGATGCCTCGGTTAAAGATATTGTTCTATGCAGGATTGATCATCCGAATGAAGATCTGGGATCCGCTTCCGGGACCGGCACTGTTTGATGACGCTGCCAACTTTGCTTTACCGGACCCGGTGCCGTGGGAACAGGAAAGCGATATTCGTCATCGTTTGCGTACTATCGGCCGTGACGATGAGATTGCCGCAGCCATACCCCTCACGAAGGGTTTCCCCAATCCACGCGATGAGAGGGTCTAAATGATACGATTAATACTGCATTTATGTGTTTGTGTGCCTTGTTTATTGGTGTCAGTTTTTGTAATTTTCTCTTTCTTGATTCACGCCTCTGAGTCCTGCCTGACGTTTTAGTCTTTATTGTGTGGTACGGTATTTTGGAATGGGTATTGAGTTATAATATTAGCTGGATCTAGGAATTACTTTACTTGAAGAATTTTAATGGGTGTTGGTGCTACAGAGTTTGCAGTTACCGTATTGGTCCGTATGAATGTATAATTTAATGTTTATTACTTAATCAACTGTTTTATGGTGCCGCCATTATGGACGGCTTTTGCACGAACAACAGCATAGAGCTCCGAACCTTTAAAGTTTAAACAGCAGGGTGTATTTCACATTTATTTGAAAGCTTCCTGCATACAGTGCGATTCATTTAACACTCTTATTGTTAGGGTAGATAATTATTGAATGAGTTTTTATACTTTATACTAACTGCCGTCAGTTACCGTCATTTGGGATTTATTTGCAAATTGCACATGACAATAGATCGGCGAACTATTCGCATCTCAAGCTGCAAATAACGAATAATGTCCAACAGTCACTAAACGTTTTTCTGTTCGCTATCTCAAACAATGTTAAATTTAATAGAAAATATTAAACTGTGTATTATAGTATATACACAACTATACGAAAAGCGTAAGCGATAATGGAAGTGCGAATCGGCGATCTCACGCATTTACATACACTCTACTTCTTTTGTGTCCGTTGTGTACAGACTATTCAATCGATACTAACAAAGAATTTGAAAGGTCATTTTAAAATCGTTTCTGTGAAAAATTTGAAACATCGGCCGCTTGGTGTAAAATGTGTCAAAAAATAATTTCTTTCTGGTTTAACAAGTCCAAATAATTTGCATTGTGGATTGTGACGTGATCTACATATCTGTATGTACCACAGGTTACCATTAGCAGTGCAGTCATTGCAAAACTGTGCACGATATGTTCGGTTCATTGTGCGCGAGTAATAAGTCTACTATCACACTATAACCGCCAATTTAAAAACTCTCAGTATTACCAAATTTTATGCTAATACTGTAAAATTAATAATGTTTATTAAAGTTCATTGAAAGATAGCGTACATCGCGTGAAAACCTGTTTTGTAACTACTTATGTGAACGATAACATCGACCAGAATCTGGGATGGCGCATGTGATGTGCAAATATAAAATATGCACAGGATGTACAAATTTGAGATCAGATCGAAAACGCACTCTCAAAAACGTTTGTTTGTAGCAGTAAATTTCCATTTATTTTTTCTAAGCTCTTCTGTACCGATCTTGCTCTCCATCGGCCTATTTGATAAAATGCAGTGAGACGTTCGTACGCGAAAGGGCACCTTGCGTTTGCCGGAGCCTTGTATCATCGTGATTCATGAGCCGTAATAATGTTACCAAATCCTTTTTGCCCGTAAAGCAGCCGATCTGGCCAGGACAACAGCTGATTTTGCAGTCTAATTTGACAAATCGATGTCGGCAAATTAAAAAAGCGACACCATTTAATTACACTGTTTACACCTTGCTATTGGATATCGTTTGATCAATTAGAACGTTCCAGTCATAAAATGCACATTTATTTGTCGGTACTGTCGGCTGCTGTCGCACCGCAGGGTTAATGCGTTTTTTCGTTGCCATATCATCACCGTACACATGTCGCGCGAGGGCAAAAGACCTTTAAATATTACATGGAAATCTAATGAAATATGGCGCAATTAATACCCACCCGAACGTAAAGGAATTCGTGATGTGGTGTATGAATAAAACAACTTTGGCGCGCAAAAACAACAGCCAACAGGATCTGCCAAAAGATTTTTTCCGCTTCTCTCTTCCAAGCGCTGGATGACATGCCATGCGATGTGTCGAATAAAAGTAAAAGTTTTTTGTTTGCTAGGTGATGATCGCTGCGCCACGGGGTTAAGCGATTTGTAAGTGTCAAAAAGTTATGACAACTATTCGCATCAACATCACATCAAAAACACCTCACCCACCACAGAATCACACTTCGGCATTAGCGAGCCAGCCAACAAACATCATTGATTATTGTTGTGCTAATACCGTGTTTTATTTAACATTTTAGCGATGTCTGAAGAAACGTTTCTTCGAAATAATTTGACAGACAACTACCAATAATTTGAAACAATGGTAGAAATGTATTCCATGCTCAGCTGAAGGCTAAAGCTTTTCTTTACGGTTAAATTTGCAGGATTTGGCCTAATTTGGTAGTGAATTGGTACATTTGGTAACGTATTTTGCGACTAATTTCATTTTTAATTTTTTGTTAACAAAGAGCTGCATGCTCGATATGAAGTGGATAATGGGCAAAAGGTCACCTTTGTTAAGTTTGCATATCATTAAGCGGAAGCTACATTACGGCAACACGCTTTTATGATATAATCTTTTACGCTACGCCGCTTTTCCTGTTTTCTATATTTCATTAGTTTTCTGTATTTCATGACTTCTTTATGACAGTTAAGTAATTAAATAAAAATCATTTTGAATATTTTACTTGACATTCGTTAATTCAAACGTAAGCTGCAGGCTACGGCGCCACATGGTGATCATACCATGTGGCTGTAGTCACGTACATTCTGATTTCGGTTTATGCAGTTATATTTTACCTTAAAGGTCAGTTTAGACCAGTATTAGTTATCGTTTAGCAGAGTGTAAACGTTGCAGTTACAAAGTATTTCAGTCTGGAGTAAAATTTTCTTTTTGTCACCGCTAGACGCCATCGTCGACACTGGATATTTTTTCACATGAAAATCGCTTTTTTTCTGCATAGAACATAGAACTTTGTAGAACAAGAATACATTGTTGCGAAGTTTGTGACCTTTGGATAAATGTCTATTATGTAATTACTTTTTGCATCGATCTCAGAAGCGCCTATACACAGCACACTTTCAGGAGTACAAATAATATTAATGATTATGTTATCGGTTAAGTAAATAATTATTATATTATCAGTCGAACGACTTATTTTTTTTTAAATTGCAGAAGCACCAAATTACATAACTCAAATCAAATAAACGGAATGCAATCTGCATTTTACACTTAATACGCGCTTTAACATAAAATTTTTGTTTATGAATATATATGTATCTGCACATAAATTTACTAGAACCAAACTATCAATCAATCACGGAAAACAAATGCAGAAAACAAATATTATTTTTATCATTATTTTTCCAAAACGTCAGCCCAAATAATGCAAATTGCGTGCGCATAAGGCATGCCTGTGCTTTTACAAACATGTTATTAGCACCTTTACTTTATCCTTAAGGAATCGTAAATCTGCAGACATGGTAAATGTAACTCTGCCATATTTTTATGGCCCTGTTAATGTCTTAAAACTGCTACCGGACACGTGATATATGTAACCATAATGGCACCATATTACTTACTGTATTTAGCAAAGCGATACACTTAAAACTCTGCTGGATGGTAAATTCCAGTTGGGTGGCTGATGAGAAAAGTCGAGGAATGCCAAAAATTAAACAAATGTTAGCACTGTATACAGCACACTATCTTCAGAAAGTACTGGGACAAATCTAGCCTTTTTTACTCTCCTTTGATAAGTGTACTTGTATATGTTAGCTGCCATTTACAGCAGCAACAAACGACAAGTTTTGGGTAGTTACTGTACTGTATAAGTGAATATTACAAGAACAGCAGCATGTAACTATTTATGTACCTTGACTGCATATTATTATATCAGCATATATTTTTCTGTACTCCGAGACCTTGCTAAAACAGAACTCTCCTCTGACAACAATTTGTCATTAGCCACATCAGCAACACGGGCGTTCAAGTATGTGCGCACTTTCTCACCTCAAAGTGAAATGATGATCATCAATTTACATTTGTGATCGCAATTACAGACTGTTTAATGGTTAGTACAATTTTTTAAGCCTGGATGCTTTCACATACCGTTACAACTCGCTGTCATAATTAAACAATTTTGATTGCTCCGGACAACTCGAGTCACGTTGGGCATACTTAACGCGGTGACAATTGTTTTCAGATATTTCCGGTTAGCGTCCGCATCACATAAAAATATTGCAAGTTATTTGTTTCGCGATGTAACCAATCTGCTTACTTTGATGAAGGTTACAGTGGCCCGCCCACAAATTCCGTTCATTAGTCAAAAGCCGTAGGTCTTAAGTTTATAATTAGCGATGTCTTCCATCGTTTAAAGTAATGCGCGGAAAGTACCTCGTTTATCCTTGTTCTGTCGTCACGTTGACTACTGAACCGTGTAACTGTATTTCTCTACAACTGCCGGTGCAGCATATACTTTGGCTTGCCAACACAGCTAGTTCGACATCCAGTTAATCATTTACGGTGACCTTTGAGCAGCACAACCCCATAATGCAGGAATTGGGGTGGCGTCGAGGGAAGTTTGGGATATTGGTGTTCCTCTGTCAGGTTGCCTTTATCATCATCTTTGGCTGCCTGGTTGACTACGGCTGGGATGCTACGCCGGTGTCACGACGCCCGGCAATGTTCCGGGATGACCATGCAGAACAGCAGCAGCGTAATAATCCCAATAGCACGGGTCCGGCGGTGACCTCTGATGTCCATCTGGGCAGGGAAAAATTCCTAGTCACCAAAACATCTGTTGAGTCGTTTTATGCCAGTAAGTTTAAAGTAATTATTTCGTAGCGTTGGTTGGCTATCAATTGTCAATTATTAATGTTGTGACTCATATTCTTATTGTGAGTCTAATTGCAGTCGATTGAAAGTTCTCGCTTGCAGTGTTTCAAGATATACACGTCATGATATTTGTTGGATTCGGGTTTTTAATGACCTTTCTAAAGAAGTAAGTGAATCTTTCCTCAGTGGTATAGTTGAACACGCGACAAAGAAACAATAAGAATAAGCTTAACTAAGAAAGTTAAGAAAGTTAACAATAAGCTTAACTAAGAAAGTGGTATTCACGGGATTTGAAAGTCCAGAAAACTCTCCGTCCGACATAAAATTCTCAACGAACTGTTCGTAAGTATCATGTGACTCTGTCGTCGAGGCACACAGTGCATGTTGCAATTAACAAAATTAGCAATTGTTCGTTGCTTCCGGAAGTCTGAAATTTTCTTCATTACATGGAGGCTGTTCTAATTTTTTTGTGTTTTAGTTTGTAATTTACAACTTTTGCTGAAATTCAGTGAAAAACTGTACCGTACAACATGCATTGCATTCTAACTAATTAAGATGTATGGCTTGCAATACTAATACTGTACTAGTACTTATCATTATTCAAGACAAAAAACTCAAATTTGCTGTTAGTATTTTTTTAGGTACTAGTACAACAATTCATATTGACAGTATGTTTGCAAATAATGCGCCTTAATTATCTCTCTTCGAACACTAGGCCGCATAATTCAATACATTTGGGTTGAATTATGTATTACAAGCTTGCAAGCGCCGTCGCACATCAAAAATGTCTGCATCTCAGCTGGTCAAACTTATGGGCTATATGGATGGTAAAATATTGCAGATATGGATATAGTGCCATTGGCATGAACTTCCTGATGGCGGCCTTCGTTCTTCAGTGGTCAAGCATTGTTCGCGGGTTTTACCGGCTACCTGAAAATAACTGGCGCATCCGCATCGATCTGGTTTCGTAAGACGCTTATACTAATAGATCCTTCTATACGTAAAGTTTTTATAAAAAATCTATAAAAAAAATCTTAAAAAAATGTCCTACACAGTTTTTATAACAAAAATACGGTAACGCAGCAATTTTGTTGTTTCAGCCTAGTGTGCGCTGATTTTACAGCCGGTACCGTGCTGATCACGTTGGGTGTTGTGCTTGGGAAACTTAGCCCCATCCAGTATATCGTCATGCTCATGTTCGAAACCGTCCTGATTACTGTAAACGAATGGATTGGCTATGATATGTTCTTCATTAAGGATGTGGGTGGCAGCATCACCATCCACCTCTTCGGCGGATTTTTTGGTCTGGCCTTAGCCCGCACCATCCACCGGAAACAGTACTCCGATGCAGAATTCAACAACCTCAAGGAAGGAAGCACCCTAAATGACCTTTTCTCCCTGATCGGAACCATGTTTCTGTGGCTGTTCTGGCCGAGTTTTAATGCGTGTACAGCCGTGGAAGACGGACGCTACCGAGCAATTTACAACACATATTTCTCCATTGCGGCCAGTGTTCTGGGCGCCTACATGGTTTCCAGTTTCGTCAAGCATGAGAAGTTTGCCCTGGTACATTACAAAGTTGTTACAATGCAGGAAAATTATGACTTTATTATGATATGACAACAAGCTCGTAAATAGCAAAATTTATCACTAGCGACTTGTTCGTTTGATTAGGATATCGTCCAAAATGCTACATTGGCCGGCGGAGTTGTGGTTGGCTCCGTATGCGACATGTACTTGTATCCTTACGGCGCACTGATCTGTGGTTTCTTTATTGGTATCATTTCCGCCCTTGGCTTTAACTACCTATCGGTATGTCGCAGTTTCAACAGGTTTTTCCAATTTTAAACCTTTTGGTATATACCACTTAAGCTGGACAGAGGTGCCGCAAGCGACAAAATTACCGTGTTAAATATATAGTTTCAATTGCAGCCAATACTGGACAGGAAACTGGGCATCCATGACACTTGTGGAGTGAACAATCTTCATGTCATTCCCAGCTTTGTCGGAGGCATTTTGAGTGCTATAGTGACTGCTTGTGCATCTAAAGAACTCTATGGTTCCGGGTAAACCTGCCGGCATTAGAAACACTTACACTTTTAGGTTTTATTTAAGCGGATTTGCATTACGAAACAAGGCCTTTGAAAACGACTAATGTTTCTAAAATTTCAGGTATTACACCCAGTTCCCGGCGCACGTTCCACCAGCGGATAGTGCAGAGTACGCTGCTCTCCATGCAGTGAATCCTGATCTGAAACCCGGTCTGGGATGGACACCCAGTGTACAAGCCGGTTATCAGCTGGCAGCTATGGCCGTTACCATTGGCATTGCAATTGGGGGAGGAATTATCACAGGTAAAGCTCACCAGGTTCCAGGTTCCAGGTTCCTCAGCATTGTATTACTAAATTATTATATGGGGTAAAAGAAAAGAAGATAATTAGTAACAAAATTTGCAAAAAAAACAGGATTAGTAAAATTGACAAAAGACAGAACTATGAGTTTTGAGACTGAAAAAGGTCAACCCATACAGGCTTAGTGTTGCGGCTACCAATCTGGAACACTCCAAACGCTAACGAAGTGTTTAATGATGGAATCTACTGGGAAATGCCTGCAAAATTTTCCAAGGAAGAAGAAGCTGCTCTTCGAGATCGCCTCGATCGCCAGGAGAGGGGTCTGCCGGAAAAGGAACATTACACGACTGCTGCTGCTCACGGCATGACGCGTGTGGATGTTGTAAATGGCAAAAGACTAAGTGTGGTCGACAAACATCACGAACACTTGGCCTAAATTACAAAAAATTACTTAAGTGTGTGATAGTTTTCAGAGTTTTACCTTGTACAATTAGGATACGGCAATAAGGGCAGCAGCAGCTTTTCCTTGTTAGTCCACGACCACGGAACGGAAAGACAGTAGCTCAGATAAAGCAAATGTTTACAATCATACTAATTGTAAAGTAGATAACAAGCACGTGGGTTTGCGGTCATTTCAGATAGCTCCTTCCCAAAGACTAGTTATTTGTACTTCTCTATATACTGGCATCCTAGCTCTTTTGTTGCATTAGTTTACTAATACATATTTCTGTGCATGGCACTTGTCCACTGTCCATCCGTAATGGTCAAAACTAGATATCAAAATCCTTTTGGGCTGATGCGGAAGTCGCGAATCACTATGGTTAGTTCTTATTTTACATGACAGCTGCGCTAAACCGTTAAAGGTTGAACAGAAATGATAATTATATGGATAACCAAAAACAAATATGATGAGCGAACACAAGATGCACTTACAAGATAGAGTGAATTATCGTATTATTATAACTAAATGAACAAAAGATTAAATTCTGCTGACGATCAATGGTTACTGATTGTGGTAGTATCGTGCGCGTTACCATTTAAGTTTTTGTGCCCCTCCAGATCTGTTAACACTCTTATCGTTTCTTTATCTTGACGTTCCTTGTGAATACTGTCCTTTTCTGTTGAATTGTGTTGTTTCGCACTAAAATGATGCCTTCGAGTTCATCATTAAAGTCCGTTTTGGATCGACGATCCGGCACTTCAGGATTAGATTCCGGTTCAGCTGATTCGTTAGGAGGCCAGTGGTTACCCACAAATAAATAGTACAAAGCAGCACCGATTAACATTCCAAGGTGAGGAATTAGGGCCGGCATCCAGAACCATGCCTTGTTAGAGTGGCTGCAATTTAAAAGCAGCCACAGATCAAGGTTTACCTCGGAAGCGGTCCTGTGCGGTTTCACTGAATCCAAGTTTTTTTAAGAAACTGTCTTTCGATTAAGTTATACTCGTACATACGATATATAAATTCTTACAACGATAGGCCAAAAATGTCAGTGGGTTGTTCACATGAACATTGGTTAAACACAAAATCATGCATGCATACAAAACACAAAGTCAGTGGTAAAATTTAAGCTAAGTATCACTTTGGTTTGGTAATAAGTGCCGGAATGTATGCATCAGAACTGTATAAACTCTTGTAATAATTTTACTTTTAATTTAGAAGTTTAAAGCGCAAATGCTATCCAAAGGGTGAATACATATGAGCCAGCCTCGTAAATGCGTAATACGAGTATATGAGTACTCGTACAGTACGACTATGTTTCGATTTGATACGTACTTATCGATTAAAAAATCCCATCCAAGCAGTACACTAAATATCCGACCGGAAATATCGCGTGCTGGATTTATAGCCGAACCACCCAAAAGTCCAAAACTCAGCCCAATAAGTGTCAAGAGTAATCCGGCCAGTCCTGGAATATGACTCTTGTGGCCAAACATACCTCGTTTGTCATTGACAGCTAGAAAAACCAGCATGAACAAGGCGCTATTTGACATCTGTAAAATAAAACCTTCATTACGATTTCCGTGTAAATTTGAACATATATCCCCCATTCTCAAAACCGGCGTATTCTCGAATAGATGAAGAAAAGACTCCTTCCAATTTTAGGTGCGAACAGTACATTAGTATTGTACCACATAGCAGCATAAGTAACAGCAATATAACTATTGTAGTTTTGCTTCATTGTTGAATACTTAATGAAGTAGACTTAAATTTTAATATTTATAGTAGTACATATATTGATTTTTAATAAAGTGATTATATTTATGAGCTTACAACATTAACGAGACATGCGAGCCAAGTAGCTGAGGGTTGAGATGCGGTTGCGTAGATGCTTCCAGCCGCTTTCACTTCGTAGTCGGTAGCTCCTTGGATAAAATGGTAATGGGCGTCTGAAAGGTATCATGTTGCGTCGTTACACGGTTTACACCAGATTAGGTTTTTGCAGTCAAAATTAATAGTGTATGGCCGATTAATTTAGCTATTACTACAGGTTTGGATCACATCCGTTTACCCGCATAAACCGCATATACGCTGCAGCAGGCTGCAAACGCTCCTAGATACTGTGCTATCCAGTGTACGAGTAGCTGCTTCCATGTCAGATTTCCCAGGATGGCAAAGACGAAGCTAACAGCCGGATTGATGTGGCCACCTGTAGTTTTAGGCATATTAAAACAGCGCCTTATCAGGATAAGAAATTTTATGCCTGTAGAGTATCCGGCTAAGCCGCTAAGGTTTGACGGCGGCACAGACCAAAATTATAACAAAGAAATCAAGCGGTAAGTGACAATTTCATGTATGCACCTGATGTTCCGCTCGCAACATACATTCCCAAAGCTAACCCGATTCCTTCACCGACAGTTACAACGAAAAAATTTGGAGCTTCCCCGGCAAGAAACGTTTCTCGTGACCCTAAGATAATTTGTGCCAAGCATCCAACGACGCATATCTAAAAAAGAGTTATACAGAGTAGTTAGTTTATTCAATAAACACACTGTACAATTCGAAATGCAAATGGCAAGCAAAGCAGTCTTATGAATTCACTACATCCGTCAATTTACCAAAAGCCTTAGCATGACAAATCTCGCAGAAGAACGTTGTATTTGTGCTAGTCATTTTTTTGCAAGATGTGTCTGATTACAGAAACTGGATTTAGCATGCTGATTTTGCTTCTACTCACCACAAAAATATAAGTACCTAACGCTTCCGCAAAGAAACGGCGACCCAAATCATTCCGGACAAAGCAGTGTGGTCTCTCGTTATCCATGTACAGTTACGTGTTAACAGTACACTTATTATGATAGGGATCCTCAAGTTACGAAAGAAATTCGTGTTAGGATGAAAAAGTTTAAATGGAAAAACAGCCACCTTCGTATCAACAAACCAAATCCTTTGTAATCGTAAGGAAATTGTTATCCTTGTACATGTCACGAAATTACTCCAAGGAAATATGCAAAATATTCTTCGTATATAAACCAATCAACGTCAGTGCGAATTGCAGCAAATAAAATGTTTGCAAAAATTTACAAACAGCGGACTCATATGCAGACGTATGTTGCAAGCTTACAACGCTTCGTAATTAATTAACAAAGGAAATGGCTTTAAAATCTTGCACTTTAGTCCTGCACTTTTGCTAGTTGATAATATCAGCGTAATCTGATCGAGAAAAGAAAACCAAAATCACGACAACCAACGGTTTATTAGTCATTTGCTAGCTCACATTCGCTGTCTCCCTTTTTTGATCCTGCAAAATGTATCCTCTCCTTACAACTCATAAACCGCGGTTTTGCGTGACGAATCTTGCAGTGTAACTGCAAACAATTACATCACATATTTAAAAGCGCGAACCACAGTCTGGAGCCATTGTATGTACGGCATTGTATAGCGTAGACGTTGCACAGGCAATACAAACAGATTCGGGAAGTGCTCGCATACATCAACAAGCTAAACAGTTTCTTGCTTGGTTGATTATTCGTGTTCATAACATTGTTACGGAGTTAGCAGTAGTTAAGCAAGCCGATCTCCACATGTGAATGGCTAACGCATTTATAGGAATATTTGTATGTTATATATAGTTATTATTTTGTGACCATATTACTGTTGGTGTAAAGTTGTAAACTGTAAAACTTTAGCGTGCATCTATTCGTTAGGTCATCTATTTTATACAATTATAATAAAGTTTGCGTAAAATATTTTTCATAATATACACCTGTACAACAACTAAAAAAAATCATTTAACTAGGTAATAGCATTTTGTTCATCGCTCACAGTCTATAAGGCAAGTATCGCACGGCACATAACTTATTTATTTGGTTTCTACAAAGCATATTGACCCTTCAGCTGCGCGCATACGAATATATGGAATACATGTAGCTGCCATGCAGGAATAAAAAATGTGAAAATATTAATTAGAATTTGCCACACTTCCGGTTCGACATGGACAATGAATTCAAGGAGCATACTAGTGTAACGCTTAAGCGAATGATGAGATGGTGTATTAATCGAAGTGGACATCAAAACGATTGTTGTCACTGCCCTATGCCATATGATCAGATTCGCGGAAATCCGGCGGGCATCCCAAAATTTGTAGGCTGACATTGAGGACAGGCATTAACTTCTCTCTTGGCCAACCGACGTTCCGCCCGTTTACTGATGTTGACCTGATTAAAAATGACACAGATGTAATGACAAGATGACGTAATATTAATGATCACTGGCGTCAATGGTCCGTTTCACATTTTCCGCCTTTGTAGTTCAATGGGAAACGAACTTCTTTTATTGAAATTTTTTCGTGAAACTGTACTTCTACATCTACATACAAACTTGTACGCACACACAGCATGTTACCGTGTTGAGCAAGGACGCCAGTTAATTAGTAGCTGTAATCAGAGGAACTGAAAATTTGATAAAAATAAAAATTCTGTAACCTACCTTTTCAAGATTGAACAATGCCGTGAGAAATCGGAAAGCAGATAGAAGAGCAATATACTCGTATATGTATTACTCATATGGCTGCCCACTAGTGGCTATAGATAGAATACATGAAGTAAGTATGCGTAAACTGGTACCTGTTTCGAGTGGCGCCGGTTTGGGATCTATGGCTGTAACCGGGGGATTTCGATGGGCTTGGATGGCAATGTCACGTTTTCCCAGACCAAAAGAATAAAAGGACTTCCGCGGATCGGCAGCTCGTTTACCTAGCCCGAAGCTGTATGCGCCGCGCCCACTGCGCTTTTCTGCTTCATTGTCCCACAGGTAATCCGGCTCATATGGGCCTTCGAAATCGGCCATCTCGTCGTTCACCATGCCGGCCGCGTATAACCACATGTATCAGAATCTAAACCATAATCACGTCATTATAAAAATCAAATATGCATGGTGTTGAATGGTGTTAGGAGCAAAAAATACAACACGTATGTTTGATAACCGAAATATTTTACATTTAGCAGTGACGTCAACACTGTTGTACTATGCACTAATTTCTCTACTGCGATGTGTCCTCTCCATTCAAATAAGTATCACACGTTACGAACGTACATCGCAAGGGCCTACGTAAGTTGTAAATGTTTAATTAGAAACCTTTAATAAGCAAAAGCCATCAAAATAGCAAAAAAGCAAGTGCGGGCACAATACATCGTAGTTTAAATTAGAATAGTTCCATCAGTGGAAACAATAAATAAGGTACACTGCTTCCACAATTGCATTTGAACTGCGTAAACGTTCATGTTCGTCATTCAATGAGTAGCTTCGTATTATACTTGTATAAGTAGGAGTTTTGTAATTTTCAATTTACATTATCAGTTAGTTTAGAAACATCTGGGACAAAAAATTTTTCACCACGCAGGCATATGTTAGAGGAAAAAAGCACTCCCTGAGTACGGCATATAACCGATCATGAAACGATGTTAATAAGAAACTAAGAATAATTAAAAATATCGTCATAATATACCATGCGACTGATCGACATATTGCGCTCCCAAGTAATACTAGTATTACTATTACCGATAAACGGGTGGTATTTCTCACCTTTTGCCCAAGCCCATGTTGTACAGATATTTGTCGTATTGTCCACAATGCACCAGCGCACAGAATGACAGGAGCGCCACTAGAAATGTTGCTATCAGATAGGACTGAGAATGAGCGGTCGCCATTTTTCCAAAATCAAAAGGTCACTTTTCAAAGCACTTTTCAAACGAGCAGGAAGAGCACAGCCAAATCACCACCAAGAGCTGTAAAAATGAATGCGAAGTGTAATGATTACCAGCTACTGTTTTTCAAGCATAAAAGATACAAGTAATCAAGGAAAACGTTTATTTGAGTTGTAAACCAAACTGCTGCAAGATCAACGTCATCGGTGCAGTATGACCCTATATAATCTATTTTATACGCATACTGTTTTCTCCATCATTCTAATAGGATCAAACCCGGGTATTCTAATCCCACCGTAATCTACACCAACGATTCGAATAGCTTCTTCTTTAGCACCGAGAGTATCATTGAATTCTTGACGTATTCTATTAGGAAAAAGCACTTAAAAGGATGGTTTCGGTTTACGCGCGCGCTCCTGTTGTCTGAATGGAAATTTATGTAAAACACCCGTTTAACTAATACAATTGTACAATGTACAACATAAGGTGCAGCTGCCGCCATGACAAGGAATTTACCGTCTCACTGGGACTGCAGTTGAAGTCAATCCCTATGTTTTCTCACTGCACACAAAAGACTAGAGACAAAGCTAATCAAGCACGTCTCTTTTGCAACAGATTCCCACTAGCATAGTGGCAGTGATCTGTATGAATTACAGTTATTTACAGACAAACCGGAGAAATTTATACTCACAGGGGGATCAAAACCACTCAATTTTAAATCAAATACAACGGGATATGCTGACAGACTCGAAAAGAAAACTAAATCGTCCGGATGATTGGCGCAAATGATCTATTCCATTGCGTCGATCGTGGGAAATGAACTGCGCCGACTGTGGACACGCCAGCTGCACTTCTACCAAATTTTGCTTAGATAGTTATAACACTGACTCATATATATAGTGAATAGACTTATTGTTTTATCTGGGCTGATCACCGGGAATTAAAGCCGAAAAAGCAACACAATCACAGTTTGCTTAACGGGCCATAAAAAATGGGGATGAACCCGAGTCTTAGTATCGGCGACTGTGATTGGTTTGCCGGCAAAAATTGTTCAGGGAAAAGCCGTAAAACCAGGAGTTGAAAACTATTGTTTGACGCCGGTAGCCGCAATACGCGTTTAATATGATCCCGTAAATTAAATCGGCTCTTTTCGTGCCCATCACAGTACAAGAAAATAAATCATGCTTTATCGTTAGGCGGGCCAACCGCTACCGGGACATCTATATCTGGTCAAAATGGGAATGATTACTTCCTGGTTGTAAACGACATCCCCACTTTAGCCCAGCTCTTGTCGGCTACGGCGCTTATTTAATTACTTCCCCCAATAAAATATTCCGCTTACGCAGAGCGCTGATCACTGTTCTCGGCAGCCTCCGATAATGAGACGCTATCGGACTACGGCATTCTCCCGAAATAGATTCGCTCGTTGCTACTGGTAAAGAACTGTGATTACGGAATTCATTAGAGTTTTAATTTGGATCCATAACTGACCTGCCAAACCCACCACTTCGTTGCGTCTGGTAGACATAGAAGTATGCATCGTATTAAAACATTCATCACACAATACATCTATGCGACGAGTACAGTAAGTACTGCCGGCACTTCTAGATCTACAGAAGTGACCTTCGCACATATATTGCAACACATGTTGCCTTTTCCCTAAATCTTCTGCGATTGAACCGCTAGTGAACTATTCAATATTTAAACTGGGACTCGTGATCGGGATTGAGTTCATGAATAAAAGATTCGTTAGTACACGGTAGACGACATAAATTGCGAAGCATTCGAGCTTAGTCGCAGCATGCGTATAAGTTAAAGTTTCATCGCCTTACTCATTTCGCAGTAGGTTGTAACAAAAAATGTAAAACGAGACCGATAAAAACTGTTGCTGATTACTTCCGGATCGTGTCAAGGCAGGCTTCGTTACCTAGTCAATTTGGCATGAATATTATTTTTTAAAAAAATTCACGGTATCTATCCAGATGTAATATATATTACGGTATTGTTATTGCTTGAATAAAAACTCTTTCTAATGTTCGCTTTTGAGACTTGATGGACGCATGCTGGATTACTGACACAGGCTTGTGCTTATACGAATATTCTAACAATGGAGCAACCTCATTAAATTTTAACTGATTAACAAATATGTAGCATTAGCTGGCTGTTTGTTGGCTGTTGTTAACCTTAATAAAGAGTAGGATGAGTTTATTGCCCTTCAATTTTTTATCGCTAAATAAAAGAAAAACTGCTCATATTGAAATTTGCATTAATTTTATACTCATAACTTAACTAATAACTTGCAGTTACAGATGCAGTTTTCACGGCCACTTCAAGCGCGGCGATGGTATATGGTATATTACCAACTCATCGCAAGTTTTGATGGGACGGATTAGGTGTTATGATGCACAGACCGTTGACCTCTCCATGAAATGTTCGGCACACATACGAGTAATGCTGCAAGATAATTATGACCTTGTAGGGCTAACCAATAACGTTTTTTGTACCATATTCATCCTGTCCATATCTGAGCAGGGTATCAGGGATAATTTCATTTGGCATTGAGTGTGGAATAGGCGTATATGCCGTTTAGCGTATCGTGACCTTAATTGTTTTTCCATTAACGCTGAACCCGTTCGTGCATGGAAAATGTACTATCCGTAGCCATATACTGTAGTCTGTGTGCAGAACCACAGCCCAATAATGCTACTACATATTTGGCTGTACAGCCAAAAATACGTAGTAGTTTACGTAGTAGTACCACATGTGGTTACACTATGATGTGTCGGTTGTGTCCTGTCCTCTGTGACTACCACTAGAAACAAAGCTGGTAGTTATGAAAACCTGTCTCATAGTTGTTCATAACATTAAAATTGGGAATCTGAGCACTTTATTGGTACCGTACTGGTACGCACGCATCTCGCTAAATCTACAGTCATCAGTTGGTGATAAACTATAACGCAATTTTTACATTGGTACATGTGTTCTTGTTCTCGATGTTTTATAACGTTATTAAACTGATTGATCTGCTGGCGATTCAGATAATGCAAGACGTTTTGAACTCACAATCAGTAAGTCGGTAGTGCGTAAATTACTTCTCGGTACTATAGTACTAATCTGACCAATTAAAGACTTACCTTTCTTAAAACGAATCCAACTTCAACACAAAGGCCGGAAAACTGACAAGACCACAACTATAGATCAATCTAAAACATTAGGATATTTTTTGTAATCTCGTAAGAAGCAAACGGAGTTGGTACATGTACAATACTGGTACGTTGCTATTTGCAAAGAAGCGATAAGGCCGGTAGTTAAAACAATATGGAAGTCACAAAGCAATAACACACGATACAGTGGCAGAAAAATGAAAGTTACATAAATATGTTAAAGACGGGGCTCGTTATGCGGGAAGTAAAATTAAAACAAGAACACCGAAGGTATCGTAAATGCAGTTTTTATATATGATTTGTACGAGTACTTACTACTATAGTGCGGATCCCGATGGAAATGGGCAGTATATGCGGAATCTGGGCGTAATAACGTGAAAACGCCGCCTTGAGCTATCAGTGACTTCAAACCGCCGCAATGTCTGTATAACACACCGCCGCAATGTCTGTATAATGGTAACACAGCTGCTGCCTCGGTTTCCGATGTGCGTTAACGCTTTCCCGCTTTCATCTGAATTCTTAAAGACAACCCAGCAGATGTCATCATTTCAACGAGCTCTTCTCACCGCAGATTGCTAATTTGTTTGCGCTTTTACACGTTTCAGCGGCCATCGTTTTAACTGCGTCATTCAACGCAGCAGCTCATTTGTAATACAAACATAATACTTGACTCTATTCCTTATTGTGCATCCAGTATAGCGAAAACTGCAGGAAAAAAATGTCTATAGAATATGGCGTCTGCTGGTGACCTTCTCGATGATCGAATGGACTTCCGCTGGATGCAGCAACAAGCGCACATCCGTACCTTTTTGCCGGTTGTGAGCAGGGTTTGGTTTTTAGCGGCCATGACCGGTTTTTCGTAAAAGCACTTGCTGAAATCGTTCGAAAAGCACGTTTGTTTATGTACTTCGGTTCTTATAAGTGCGCACTGAATTGTATAGCGGAATAAACAATTCAATGTGACGCTAAAATCACGAGGTAAAAGGGTATAATTAAAACTGCTGTCGATTGTTATACACCAATATCGAAGATTACACAACTGGCACATTAACAAGAAATGTAAAGCATTTTTAAGTTTTGCACAACCACGTATGTACATGTACAGATACATACATGTTCGTACATGTATTTCAATATAATTATACTGTATAATTCCGAGTTCTAGCATGAACGTCTCTGAGTCTGCACAATTAATCAAATACATATGAATGGAGTATTGTAAAACAGCTTACTTATTTGTTAGGGGTAATATTTATTGCATTTGTTTCGTCGCTTCTATCCACTATGCTTATCGAGAAATCATGCTGATTAAAAGAAGACACAGCGTTTCGTATTCGAAGCATGAAGAGCAAAGTTTTATACAAGTATGGGAAGTAGCTGTTGAGTTACATCTTCCAATCCAATCAAAATTTATAAATCGAACGTACTTTCATTTCTTGCACATAAGATATGCCGCCATTAGGTATGTAAGCAAATACAATTTATTTTTTTACCTTTAAAGTACTGTAATTACAATGTCTTAGTGCGAGTACTTTGTAACGTGTTTCTGTATTTCCGTTGTCTTCACATTGGAAAATTATGGCTAGTGTGGACTTTAAGCCTCCTGTTGAATGCTAAGGTTGCCGCCCGGCAGTCGCTATACATTCACGCTTTTGGAATGTTAGAATGATTCTGTTTTTTTTTATTTCACCTTAAAATTATTTAACCCATGAAGTGAGAAACAGACGGCTTATACAAACCGCCACAAATTATACAAGTATTGTACATTAACAAAAATGGTGCTCTGATTGTACATTTATTTCTTAAGCACTACACGCAGTAGCGAATACAGTCAACCCGTGTGCAAAGCAATAGTGACCAGACTTTCAGCAGGAATCGGAGAAGCAAATACGCTAACCCAGAGAAAACCATCCACCAAAACCAAAAGTGAAAAAGCCATTCATTCTACCACAAAATTTCTCTGCTAATATTTCGCAAAAAATGCATGAAATAAGGTATAACGTAGCCGGAAAACAAGCAAACAAACATAAACTCCAAATTTCGCTGCAACCATTACCACAAACATGGAAAATCAACTAAATGCACAACATCCCTAAATACCGCTCCAAACACCACAAAATTAACAACCAAAGCCGGCAGGTCACACAAAAATGGGGGGAACAGCAAACTTTATATCATTTAGAACTACATGCTACGTAAATACAATATAATAAAACCATTCGATCAACAAATCAATCTGCAAGCGCGCGGGTGCTTTCACAAAATACATAAAATGCTCTAGGTGCCAAAAAACTGAAGTCTCGGTGCCTCACGTATCAATGCGGGGTTTAAGAGACCATCTCTTCTTTCATTACGGGGGAGGCAACCATGGTAGCCTCCGCACTGGCAGGTGTCACGATACTCCCCGTCGTTTCCTTCGCTACGCTCTTTTCCTTCTCGGAATTCTGATGGCGCTGCTCAGCACGCACCTGTCGCCGACTGGGCATCATAGGGAATTCTGCGTCTGTAGCCTTACACTTGAGCGATTCCACATCGCCCAAGGCCGCCGAGGGCGGAATACCTGTGATTCCGGTCATGGAGCCGCGGACGGTTACGCATTTACGCATGTGCTTCTCCAACGTACTGGGTATGGAGAATGGGGTGTTACAGAATCGACAGCGGTAGATGTCTTTCCCTGCACGACCATGCGTTTTCATGTGACGTGTCAACTTGCTGCTCTGTGCGCAAGCGTAATCGCAGAAATTACACTTGTATGGTTTTTCACCTAAAAGCCCAAAAACGGATAACTCAGCCTCCTCCTATGCAGTACTGCTTGACAAGATATATGCTAATTGTAAGCCTGCCCAACAGATACTCTAGAGCCAAAATTTTTAAACCAAGACCCAAGTTAATACGGCAAATATAGTATACACAGAAGTAAATTATATACTTATAGCACTGGTGCACAAAACAGCTTAGAATATTTCTAAATCATCTACCACATAAATACCTGTGTGGCTTCTACGGTGAACCGTCAGGTTGCTGCAGTTTTTGAAGGTTTTGCCACAAAATTCACACACGTCTTTCCGAGATTTCTTTCCATCAGCATCGACGCTGCCTTCTTGGCCATCCACTGCACCGGATGGTCCTTTCGGCGAATTGTCATCGTCATCCTCCTCGTCCTCTTCCTCCGGCTCAACAGAGCCTTCACCGTTATGCAGGGCTTCGCCGGCTTGACTAGCATCGGCCTTCGCTTTGCCTCCGCCATCGACACTGCCGTCTTTGGCAGTCCTTTTAGATCCTTTTTTCTGACTAGAATACCATGAATTATCAAAGAGATCGCGATTCAGCATGCCAACCATGGACGGGCCGTATGGGCGGTAGCGGGGCGCCAGAGCACCGGCCCGATTCTTGCGATTTTCATGTCCGTTGAATTTCTTCAACACCTTCCCCGATGATGTATCGGGTTCACTGGAGGCTTCCCCAGTATCATCTGCCATTTCATCGTTGATACGTAGCGCCGGTTTCGACGCATCACCCTCATCGTCCTCTTCAGCTGACTCCATGGCCGCATCGTCGTCGGACTCCTGTTTCAGACCAGCAGCGGTTCCGCGCGATGACCACGAACTGTTATTGTGGACTTTCATATGTCGCTTCAGTTTACTGGCCTGCTTGCACGCATAGCTGCATTGACCGCATTTGTAGGGTTTTTCTCCAGTGTGCGACCGAATGTGAACGACGAGATTGCTATGAAATCTGTAAAAACAGTGTTAAGTTTTTGCCATTAAACAGTACGTTTTTGTCATTTTTTGTTTTCATTAAACCGTAAGTTTTGTCATTTGTTGTTTTTGTTTAAGGGAACTTAAATTGTACTTGAAATAATTGGATAGAAAACGAAACAAAGTAAAAAAACTCATTTATTTTAGCTTATTATTATAACTACATCATATTAGTATATGCGTATGTACATATACACATATGACTTGTATGAGTACATTGCTTATAACTGCGTGACAATCAGAGACCCTGCATCTCGGCTTCTTATTCTGTATGCAATCCACTTATGATTTATATCCATACCTGAATGTCTTGAAGCAGTGCGGACATTGGCGAACTTTTTCTCCGGATCCCGACTTGGCGGCCGGATGTTCGCGGTTTTCAGACGACTCTTTATGATCCCCCGAAACGGGTTCGCCACCTTCGCTACCCACATCACCCAGCGTACGACCAGCACCCGGCTCCGATACCAGCACCCCACCCCAGGTGGGAACTCCACCGGCCGCGCTGGAGCTGCTCCCGTCGGCGTCGAATGGACCGCGCCCGGGCATCCAGTTTCGTGGATTCCAGTTGCTGTACCGTGAATCAGCGCTCAGTGGTTCGTGACGATGCAGTAAGCGAGTGCCGCCGTTAGAACTGCAGTTTGACGGATGATTACTGCTGGACATATCGTGACTGCGGGTGAATAACGTTAAACGATGCTCGGACTGCAGATGGTTCAATAAATCCAGCGCATGAGAAAAGGAATGACGACAACCAAGACAGACGAGGTCTTGGGCTTCACCTGTAAGTGAAATTTGGCTGATCAACTGATGACCATTGGTAATCATATGAAAAGAGTCCAGCATTGTGCTGCACAGAGAAGAAGAGAGAATTCTCCCGGCTTGGTTCTTCTGATTTAACTACTCTAGTGGCCAGTGAAAGTGACTACAGTGCTGACCACTCATATTAAGACAAGACTGACAAGGTGAGTATCGCTACTGAGCCGATGACGTCACGCTATTTTCAGATTCAGCCAGGTTTAACCGCCGCCTGGGAGTAGGTGGAAGCTACGGGTACAGTGAGTGAATGCAAGTTAAGCAGGGCTGTGATTGCTGATTTGTCGAGACATGAGCACGCGTGCGGTGGCCCATGCCACAGGCTGTTTTAACGTAAATCTTTGAAATTCATAACTTTCCTCCATTAAATTTTTATGTATAGTCTTAAAAATGCAGAATAATACACAGTATTAGGCAAAATAAATTTTCTGTTTCTTCTTTAGGGTAATGCAGTATGAGCCCTGCGGTTAACATAGCCGCCTATGGAAATCCTCCATAGGCGGCTATGCTAGCCGCGCAGGCTAACAGCGCACAATCCTGAAAGAAAAATTAAAAAGCATTTCTTTTGCCTGATACTGTGTATTATTCTGCATTTTTCACGACTATACATAAAAATTTAATGGAGGAATGAACAAAGTTATGAATTTTCAAAGATTTACGTTAAAACAGCCTGTGGCATGGACCACCGCACGCGTGCTTCTGTTACGTTGTCGCTCGACAACCGGAGGGTCCACAAATGGTGCAATGCCAGTAAAATCAGCAATAAAATTGCTTAAAACGCCACTGCTGCACAATAACATAGCATTGCACTCGTACAGTACACTGACGATGAGTACAGTACCGCATGACTCGTTTTGATGTTAAGTGTACTTACTTAATTTGTAACGATAAATACAGTACAAAGTACATGACGGCAGCGGAAACGCTTCCCAGATGAGCAACCCATTTATAAAAAATTTCATACTACGAGCCTACAGAGTACGTGTAACAATTCTAAACAGAAATGTTTAATCATAATTGCATCATTATCTGCTATCAGCTTTGGTTACGCACTGTAGGGTCACTAGGGTTGTACCTATGCCAGTCGAAATTTTAATGATCAACCACTTGGAGTCATACCTATTAAATTTGTTCAGTATGAACTATGAATTTGGCTTCCCTTAAAATTAATAAAACTATAAAGCAGCACGGAAGTCCGGGAACTAACTGAATGAACTGAACTCCATCCTAAATTTCGCTGCCGATCATAAAAAAACAGATTAAAATCATATATCGATAACTCTCTCACGCACAGGAAGAGTATAGTAATTTAGTAATCACAAGCAGCAAAAATTACTTGTGTAACTGGATGAATTAAAAATAAAATTCAATCCTTATAAAGCAGAAGTATATTAGTATAGTATTCATGTGAACTATTTCACAAAGTTTTTTCCTCGGCCCTGAGCTTCCACCAAATGTCTGATTCTTACTCGCCGGCATTCACATACGAACTATGAGTACACAAATACATATTAGCGTTTAAGGTTTATCGGTCCATGGGACATGGGTTTACACGGAAGCAGTGCTCTCCAATAAGATCATCACCTAATGAAAGTATAACTGCCATGGTGTTGTCCTTTCCATCTATTTTTGGGATCTATGGGCAAATCTTTATGAACTTTATTAAGAAAGGGTTGACTTACTACCAAAACGTTATTCCTGATATCAGTTTTTTCGGTTGAACTTACGTTTTCGAGATAAATTCATTGGATGATCGTGCTCTTCTTCGGCACAGTTTTCATTGTCACTGGTCACCAGACTTCCCTGGCTACTGTGAGGACGCGCTTGGGAAGCATCCCGCGATATAACTGGCGATGACATGTTTCGGCTAAGGCTTGGCGTTATTGTTGAATCCTTTAACTGATTAGTAAAGTTCTCCTTATCACAATGGTCCACCTTATGCTTTATAAAACTACAGATATCTCCAAGAGGAAACTCTGCTTGGCACATGCCACAGACAAGCGTATCCATAGGCGAATCAGCCAACCCTACAAAATCAAGCAGCAACATTAAAATCTTTTGGCTTTTGCAGATTTCCCACTGCAACAGGATCCCATAAGACGGAAAACGTTTTCGAGATTTAGTCCGTCAAAATTACTAATCCACCACTTTCTATTTGAAAGCCGATATTTTCCACAGTACTGGGACACAAGCTATTGCTTTACGCCTTTGTACGTAAGACGGTAAGCGTTATCCCGTAAATGTGATAATTCCTGAATGCGTAGCCGCCGAGCCGAAAGCATGCTTTTCATTGAGAACTCCCGAAAAAAAGGTTACCATAAGTTTAATGGCAGACACACCGCTAACTGTCATTCAAATAATGTTCAAACTTGGAACAGATCTATGGTACAAGGCTACCACAAAGCGATGGTAGAATTTAAGGGGAAAAAGTAGAATTTTTATTATATGCGAATAATGCGATAAGCTGGTTCCACAGCTCGACTGTTGTATTAATATTTAGAGTAATTTTATTGTAAGTTGATGCCATTACAACCACTATAAGGACCATCTTTTATATTCTACAGTATAACAATCACAAAATCAGTTATTAACAATATATATTAAATCTTGTGCATGTGTACTTATACAGCCCGGTCGAACGCTTTTGTAATTCGTTGCAACTTACCGCTTCCTCTATAAACCAGAATTACTTCAATTTCCAAAAGAAAAAATCATGTCACCGATAAGAATTATACATTTTATGAAAACTTTGGTATAGTAATGTGCCTGACCATAACCGAAGGTTTAAATAAAACTACGGTCTCGAATGGAGCATAACATATTTTGCTCGTAATCTGGTCGCCTAAAAGCCGACTACCGGTCACTTATGCCGTAATAATATCCGCTTGCATGACCACAGTCCACTCAACACCACCGGGTGGATGTTATTCAGCCCGTGCACAACAACAACCCAACTGACCAATGGGCTGCTTGACCGGCCGTTGACCAGTGCTTGTTTGTGCGATATTAAATTGTTTTCGCAACTGGCCACTGGTCTTTCCAGTAGATCAGACCGTAGTGCATACATGCATCTTCTTCAAATAGAGTACCAAACCAGATGATGAGTGGACATACATTTAAATTGTAAAATTATGATGAAAACTGAAAAATACTCGAAATGCTGATGGTACCGTAACAACCTGTGCTTCCACGTTAACGATAATCATTTTTTACAAAAATTTTTTTTCTGAAATGGTAAGTCACCGTACACATTAGAATATTGCACAAAATATTTTTCGCACAGGAAAACAGGGCATTGATAAAGCGGTATGGAAAACTACTATTACTATTTCGATTAAAAAAATTGGTGTAATTGTTGCTAGATCTAGACAACTAGCTAGGTACGACTTAAGGGTGCTAAATATAAATAAATTTCATCACTTGTGTAATTATAAATCTTACTTACCAAAGTTACCATTAGTTCTTTCGGTTAAAGTAGTATCCACTATCCAATACCGTGGATTGTTCAAAAAAATGAACAACCCACACTCGTAAATTTATAAGATAAATTCTTAATTCATGAATTCATTGATTCATGAATTTAGATCAGTGATTCACAAGAAAGCGATATACAAAACAAATCTACAGTCGCAACTCGCAAATGTAAACTACTGTATTGTTTAAGCCTTTAAGGATACCGATATGGAGTGGCTATAAGCCAGATCAATCATAATCGTGAAAGCGCAATATTTTACAAAACCGCTGTATTTCCTCGAAATATTATATCATATTATATTATTATAATTTACTTAAATATATAAACTACAGTGGTTTATCAAATTTACCTAAGCTTGCAGGATTAAATTGCAATCACTTTCATCACCACCATTATTTTATCAACAAGTACTAGTACATAGCTAGTAGCTACGACAAAAATCAGAATACACGAGAAGAATCAGAATATCTATATACGCACAAATTGCGATATTGTTTCCTATACGCATTACTTTATTCCACGATTTACTCCATGGAACTGTATTTACTGGAAGGTGTGCGCATAACCAGTTACAGTTGAAATGATTAAAATCAATGGACAAGTGCTATTTGCAAGAATATCGTTCGTACTGGCCTCAATTAACAATCAGGTGATGAGCGGAGTACGGACAACGGTCACTTACTTACTTACTGACCCACATCTCCTCTCCGATTCACCAATTTCCTTCACAACAAATCTGAACTGGTCCACCATAGAATCTGCAGCTATATTTGAGCTTGATGTAAAGACTGCATGTGAATGTGGTTGGGCCGGTCGTCTCTGACCACTAGGGTGAATGACCGACCTGAAACCGGCTTTATCCGCACTGACCAACTGACCCACTGTCAGCTGAATGACCACTCACACTTTCAACATATAATCGCCGACAACACACATTTTCCCTTCTGTCGTTATACTGACCAGTACTACAAACATGCCTGATCCACTTATGGAAAAATGTCACTGACCTCGTCTGGTAAAATGGTCAGACCAGTCTTTTCAACGTCCATTTTAAGGACACAGGACAGGATAGGCGGTCACTAGCTATCTCAAAGCAGGAATATCACGATACCGCCAAGTGAGTCTAAACTTTAAATGTAATGAGTTACAACCACATTTTCCTGCACACACGAATGACGCTTCGTTTCCGAAATTAATGCTCAGATTAATTTTTTAAAAAAAGCAACAAACAATTTAGGATTTAATTAAAACTGTAATAAACTCTAAAGATCAGACGAAACTAACTGTAAGTAATTTTCTGCCATCGCCTTCTCGGTATACTGACAATGAGCATTGCTTTATTATTATGGTTAGGGAGCAACGAGCGTTACATATCTGAAAAGTGAAAATATACAGTCTACAGATTGTCGTACTACTTCATAAATCGTATCCACACTTAAAGCATTTAGGTGTGTTTACAAATATTAGCTTCAGACTATCAAAATTTAATTACTGATGCAGCTGCAATTACGTATTTGCGATAGAGAGAAATTTGCTGGGCAAGTAATATGTACTTTTACTCCACTTTTTATGATGAAATATCAAGGCAGTTGCAAGATCGCAACAAACAGTTTGAAAACGAATAGTAACTAAAAAGACCTCTCAAAACTACTCTTAAAAGTTAGTCGTAAGCCATTAATACTGGAATATTACAGATGGACCTAATTTAATAGCATTCAGATTCAGTCCTGCTCTAAAAAAATTCAATAAAAAAAGCCAACATAATATGATTTACATACCGTGGACGACTTAAAGTGCATTAAAAAAATGATACCTTTAACTGACTCTGGTGGAGGATCTAATCCTTGCGGCTTAGCAGTATGTATTTTGTGGAGATTTCGTGCAATACTAGGCTGAGAGAATTGATTCCATGGACGACGGAGCAACCTTTTGAAATACTAAATATCTCTACAGACACTACAACTTAAAACTGAGTGCACAAGTTGCACGTGCGGTGAATTACTTTGTACTGTAATTGTGTGTTTATGTGTAACAAATCTCACAAAATGAAATTTCAAGTATAAAGCAAATCTACGACTAAGTACAAACTAACTAATTACTGGTAAGGAGTCTTATCGGTACTCATCTAGTTGGTCAGTGCGTGCTGGATATTGTTATTCATCTCGAAATCTGAGAATTAGCTGCGTGCGCAGTTGCGAAGCTGCAAATCATTGTTGTTACATAATGCCTGTTCTACATTGCCGGACCTACGATCGAATTGTATTCTGCAGTACCGAATCGCCGATCAGTGATCGAAGCTCTAATATGTACGTTGGTTTCCACTGTCCTGTATCGGGTGGGTATAGACTCCCGTTATCGTGCACTGTAAACCTTTCGACCTGCAAACTAAAAATCGATGACGTCCACGCTTGGGTCCGTCGCTGCACGTATTTGGCGGAAATAGCCAACTGAAATGACGTGAGCAGATCAGAGTTCTCACTTATGCTCTTATTGCCGGGCTTGTTAAACAATATATATGTGTACCGCAACATATTGCTTAGCGACGACGATGCCGCTACGAACGGAACCGTAACGCGCTGGTCTGGCCGACTCGTCCAGCGCGCGGCGCGGCGTTATCTTAGACCTCGTATTTCACTGTGGAAAACGTCTGCAAGGCACAAGCTTGAGTAACTACTGGTCTTTCATGGGCTAAACTGGTTCGATAAATGGAATGCTCGTAATATCTGTTCACGCCGCTTTCAAATGAGCCATACAGACTCGAATGCTTGGTTCGCAGAAAAAGAAAGGAAGCCAGCAAGGACGGAAGGAAGGACACTGAGTTATACATACGAGAAACGATGAGCCAACGTTTTCGCTTGCCAACGTACATACATACATGTAGATGTACTGGTCTTGTTAGCTTATTATTACCATCAGGCAAGAAGTGGGCAAAGAGATAAATAACATAGGACAGTAACCGGTTTCACACCGGGGCAGTATCCAGAAATATCATGGCTAAGAAAATTGCAGTATCCCACATTTTGCCGGAGCGTCAGACTGTGAATGCTGTCAAATCCAAATTACATTGCAATTTTCACGATACTAGTGATTTTAATGTAACATCACTGTAAGCTAAAAATTAAAGTAACTATTAATTCTGATTCGCTACTCGAACGTTTAAAAATTAAATAAAAATTTGCGTGTTTAAGTTATGCAAGGCAAATAATTATTTAGATGTCCTATCAGTATCAGACAGATCTAGATGAGTACTGTAAATGTTTGTAATATCACCATAATTGAGCAGCATATGACAATAAGCATTTTAATTGCTTATATTTTACATCACAAAAAATTAACTGATGACTCGCATTTGATTCAATCAAACTGGTTTCATGGCAAAAATTTTTTTGCATCCCCATAAAATGCCCCGCCCAAAACAAGAAACACAAATTATACACATTTTCTTATTTAATAATTACAAAAGCGTATCATTCTCTACAAACATAATGGTAAATGTGGAAACTCTTTCCACACGTGAAGAACCGCCAATTTCCGCCAGAGGCTCTTCCTATCGAAACTAGCGTTTCTGTTTTATGGTCGCCTGTGTACGAATACCCAGCGACTACTGGCGTTAGTGGCGTAGATATGTGCGGTATGATTTTGCCGGCTTCATAAGCTCAATCAGCATGTTCGTTCGATCCGTTGACTGGCCAACCGCAGAAACAGAAAACGGGCCCAGCAAAATGAGAGCACTATCGTAACAGTGCTGAAGCAAAAGGCGACCCCATCTAAGATTTGACGGTTTCTTTCTCGCGAACAGAAATATAATATTGTGAAGGCTTTCTTTCTACATCCGAACTCAAACACTTTTGTTCATCGTTGCAATAGCCTCATTTCGAATGACCTGTGTCTGTTTGTTAAACTCGTCTATTAATTACTGCGGCTTATCGGTAACCCTGCCACAATAAATCGATGATTTAGAAATTAATGAGACCGTATAACAAAAATTAATAAGAATACACAGTTTATTCATAGTTAATTATCGCAGTCCATTCAGAAGCAACTGAACGTCTGCGCCCAGCTTGGTAAGTCATTACATAACTGGCAGCTCTGTGTAGAGCTAGCGCTGAGTTCCAGTGGGCAGAAAAGAATCGATGACTGAATATAACTATCACGTGGAACAGCCTGTGAAGTACATACGAACCATGGTTTGGCATCGTACTCGTACCTAATAGTCTGCACGAAACATACGAACAAACCCAACTCGATATGATTCTGTATTTAGGGTCCTGCCTTTCTTCGATAAACACAAACACGATAGGGCCTGACGACTAGACAAGTCAGCCCATATGACAGAATACTCGGTTTTTCCTTATTGTACTGCCGTGGTTCAGTGGAGAAACTGCAGAATTTCTCAAATTAAAAAACATATGCTCCAGTCTCATGGTGGGAACTGTCCTGATCAAAATCACGATAAAGGACATACGAGGTAACGGGGATACAATGCTATCGACCTTGTTTGTCCGTTCCCAGGTTCGAAGCGCAATTGTTTAGACAAAACCTGTCAGTGTAGTGCTCTTGTCTTACCTGGTATTGATGTCCGACATGGTTGGGGCCGATCCTGTTTCCTCCGTGACATAGTTATGTGGAATCACCGGGAAGGATTAGGAAAGGGGAGAAAAAGAAAGAAAGGACTATCTATCACCGTATTTCTGTTTATACTGTAGTGACTATCGAATGGACTGACTGGTTCTATAACCAGTAGAAAATCAAATTCTCCAACAGTAGTGACTCGCAGTAATACTGACCAGATAGCTGGCCGATGTACAACCGCATTCAGTCTAACGTTGTACGTATGGTACCAACCCACCGTACCAGTGTCCAATGAGCACCAATGTGAGCTATCGAGCTGATATCTCGAGCCAGAGGCGTCGAAAACGCTGGCGTTTTGCCCGGGTAGTATTTTACGTCTACTACCGGATGTAGTGGTACCGGTGAACGCATGGAACATGGTCTTTCCAAATAGCCCATGCGCATTGCGCGGCAAAGTAATCACCCGAAAATCCCTAACTGGAAGAATTGCATCGTGCACGAATGTAGGTGCTGCATGCGGCGTGTGGCTTACACTCGACTAATAATTTGTCGTTCGTAGGCAGTACTGCCGAATCAGCGATTGCTTCTCTTCTTCGCATATTGTGGATTTGATAATTAATTTAATTTTACATCATGTCATCATCAAAACATTTTATCAAACGCTTTCATAATATTATACGCTTCACGAATTTTTAGCCCCACGAAATTTGCATCTGATTTTTCAGCCTCCAGATGCTTTTAATAACCACTACTGCTTAATAAAAAAACAACTGTTTGAAAGCTAATGGAAGAGAAATGCAGTGCAAAAATGACATGAGTATCGTGTAACAGAAGCATCAAAGAAAGATCACCGAAGAATATTGAAACCACACTCGCGCTTTAATACACTGCTTAACTTTAAACCTGTGAAATTTTTGGTGAAGAGATAACAAATTAAAAGAAAAACTTTAAACCTTTGTTTAGCCATTGTAAATATCACCACTTAAATTCTGCGGTACCACGATTAACGATAACTAACGTACATCCGTAACATTCTATACGATCTATATAGTAAGTAATATTATAAATGCTGGATCATGTAAAGTACAGCATCAATTAACTTGACAAACATAATCTTTTCTATCAACTTCTATGTGCTTAGAGCCGGAGCATGGTGTCGTCGTTCATGTACTTACTTCATTAGAGATTCGTTATTTCGTTGTAATGTTTCAGTAATTATACCAACGTTTTAATTCATTTTGCCAATTTATCATGACTGCTCCTGCTCGTTTTGTAAGTATTTATAGCCCATGTCAGAACACACGTACAAAAAGCGGTAAACGCGAATTACTGTAGCATAATATCGAAATAAGGCTCGCACAAAATCGATGTATCTGATATCTATAACTATAAATTATTACAGATATCTACCTATAATTTATATAATTATCTATATTTACTATTTAGGTACCTCTGTGGTATTAGTTTTATAGTGTAGGCCCACTGTAGGGGAATAAAGCAGTATGTACGCTGTACGCAGTACTGCACCAACAGCAAGCAATCACTGTTAAAATGAACGCCAACAGTGAAACTTATTGTTGATATAAACATATTAATAAATTTAGCTTACTGGCTTTCTGCAAGACTCCAGCATATGTAGACCTGATATCGGGCGCATTTCAAGCCGGCAACTACTCAGTCAGTTACTTCTATTATAGTACTTACTATTCATGATCTCCTAATTTTCAGCTATGCTTATAATACCGTTATTATTTTATATAGATATATCTATTTATTATTTTACTTAAACCAACATTGAATTTATGATTAGTCATTTTCTTATGGCTGTGTAAGAAATGTGCCGTTTGTTGTTGATCGAATAAATATATAGTAACCATCATTGAAACGAGAGCGCCAAACCACACTCACGGCAGAACCTCGATCTTGTACTCATAGTATCATACAGCAGTTGGGTAGGTATTTATGACATTGTATGAAATATCTATACTGTATAGAGTATAGATATATTGTACATAAACATAGTACAATACCGGTATCAGTTCTACTCTGTAGTAATCAGCAGAACTGCGAATCGGTACATCACCTCCACCTTTCCAATCAATACTTATACAGAGCTGCGCGCCGTTGAAAAGGGCAACTCCTCTCTGACGTTTATTCATGTCTTCACAGGTGTAGTACTAGCACAGCACCTCACTGAAAAATTACAAATATAAGGGGCGACACCAAACGCCCCTATATAAATTAATAAACGTGGCATATTAAGTAAACAGCGCCAATCAGTGTTTCCGCTTTAGAAAACTTCAAAAAATTGATGAAACGACTGGCATTATCATGCTATCTAAAACGAAGGCAAAAACAACTGCTCCTTATCACAGCGCATAGGTCTCTTTCAAAAGACTGATAAGGCTCTCCCGTCGAAATCGTCCGGCTTCGACAATAATCTTATCAACTACAGCTTTCCGTAAATGCATATTCCCGTTCAATTCATTTATCATATCAAGAATTGGCTTGAAATCTAAAAATACAGCAAGCATAACTGCTTACGTAGCTCCAAGGAAAAATATTGCGTCTTTTCTTCTATGTGTACTCCCGTTAATCGATTCTTTACTTACTTCGACCAGGTGTTTTAATTGCTTTCAAAGCTCGAAGTCTGCATTGTTGAACAATATCATCATCCAGAGTCTGCTCATCCATTACTTCGTTATTCTCATCAGTGATGCCGTTTGTCACTGGCGCGAGTGGAAGGTCGGTAGGTGCGTCATTATCTACCGCCATTTCTTCCAAGGAGTTGGATGGTGCTAATGGCTCGGGAGGAACCATGTATAAACGCCTTTTAGGAGAAGGTGGGGTGGCTGGAGGTTCAACAGGCGAAGTCGAAGATGTTTTCGCTGTTGCCTCGGGTTCCGGTTCGTGTCGTGTGCTCTTAACAGGCGAGCTTAAGCCGGCAGGGGTGCTACTTCGACTTCGCACTTTGGATATCTGGATTGAAGGAGCGAAATCCCTGGGTTCCGATAAACCGCGACGTTGCCGTGACATACCACTTGCGCCGGTCATATCTATATCAGCTTCGTCAACCATACCACCCATCCCACCGGGCACAGAAAGGGACATCGACCGCTGCTTCTGTAGATATTGCAGGGAGCTTATTGGAGTGTATAGGTTACTATTTTCAGAACCATTCGCATTTCGCACGCAAACGCAATACTTTAACTTAATTATAGAATTTCGGTCTTGACATACTTTCTTATTAACAAACGGATTTCCAAACACATTTTGCCGTTCAACCTTAAGAGTATCATCAATCTCTCTGAGAGGTGGGACAGCATTTTTTATGTGGTCTTGGTAGTTGCCCATCTGGGCAATGGGAATAGATTTGTCTGAATCTGAAAACGTATGTTATAAGCTCAAAACAACAAATTCAAAGATAATAAAGACAACTGGGATAGCTTACTTTCGGTGCCTTTCCAACGATCGGGATACAGCAGAGAAAATTTTAAATGGCCTATATGGCTTACTAAATCTTCACGTTCGACGTCGAACGGATTTCTATGTAGGACAATATTGGCTCTTTGAAGAAGGACGGTAGGTGGCCGCAAATGCATTTTAAAGGTAGCTGCTTCGCTTTCATTTTGTTCAGCGATACTCTTGGCAAGAAGCACATCAAACGCGTCTTTTTGGCCCGACAGATCACGTTCATCACCGCTCATCACATCACGCTTGGTAAAATTTTTCCAGCTTCTACAATTTTTCAGCAGAAATGCTTGAGTTCAGGCAAATCGGCACTGATGTATTCGAAAATACCTCTGAATCACAGGAATTAATTCCGGTACGGCAGGTGGTAAATTAAAAAAGGCTTGAGTAGAATCAAATATTAGCTTTGCCTAAAATTCAGTAACAATCCCACAGCTCGATCAGCCGTAAAACACACTAACAAAAATGCTACCCACTTGAGTTTTCACTCTCTTCAAATAATTCTGCAGATCAAAGCTTGGCTGGTCGAACGTTTCCGGGACGAGCGTATGTAAGTTAACTTTGAGCAAATACCTCCGAAGAGCCTACGACAATATCCCGACCCACTGAATCGAATTGCTAACCAGAAGAAACATTCGTTATGAGGGTTATGCTCATACCGCGACGGAATACCCCGGGATCGACTGCACATAAGCATCGAACTGACTCTTCCATTCTTTTCTGTTTGGATTACGTCCGAATTTTTCTAAAGGTTAAAACCATAGTTAGTGGAAGTGCATAAATCACCAACTTTCTACCAAATGATACGAACCAAAAAGGTCAAAAAGTCGGGGATAATCGATTGGCAAAACGCTTAACGTTAATACCGGTGCATTTTCTGGACCAGTAGGCTGCACTGCAAGGTATCCACACATTTGATGGATTGTGCCGCTGTCCAAATGATCAGCATCAACGTATACCTGGCAAAAGTGGTGCCAACATTAAAACATGAACGATATTTATCAAATCTTCCCAGTAAATAATAAGAAAAAACAGCAATGCTACTGAAGGTTTCAAACTTTACCTGCCAGTGCTTGAAACGTTCTGACTTCTCGGCAATTTCCTGAGTTAACGGAGAACTTTCAACTTCGTATCGGTCTACTGGAAAGCTACTATCACCCAATAAGGGAAAATTTGGAACGTCTTCCATACAGGGTCGATATTTTAAAACGGGGTGAGCCGTTCGCGGGGGCTAAAACAACAGAATCTCAAAACAATCCCCAGATTCTCCACAACCACATGGACATGAACTTACAGGGAGAGTCTTATTATCAGGCCAGAAACCTTCAGGCAATGGCCAGTGTCCAGTAGCGTGAGCCTTCTGAGGGTTGCGCGGCAGGTAGATCATTTTGTTGACAGCTATGGATGTACTGGTAAAATTGTGCTCTTCTAGCGGCTCTAGACGGACCATTACTCCGATCTGCATGCTGTCGGCAATTTTCAGCATAACAAGATCGATGGCTTTCACAGAATCCACCAGAAATGAGCGGCCTAATCACAGCAAGATGGTTTAACAATTTTTATTATGGTTGGAAGGGGAAATGCAGAGATCACCTCCTGTCATGCTGCTAAAGCCTTCCAAAACAGAGTTGTCACGAGGCAGATCGTCCGGGGATAACTTGTCGTCACTCCGAACTCCCGGTATTCGGAAGACAACACTAAAAAATCGCTGATCCCATCGGTAAGGCTCTTTGGTCAGCTCCATTCCGGGAATGCGATTGTTGATTGCAATATTCAGCTACAGCAAAATAACCATACTCGGTTACACAATCAAACGGTGATCTAGCCGTCACTCATCAACGTACATCTGAAGTGGAGGAAAAGGAATGACCATCGGTCAGGAGAATGATCACGGCGGACTCAACGAAAAAAGGATTTCGACCCTGTTGAAAATTCAGACAGCGAATTTTTAAGCACAGCTGATCCGCAGTACATTCTGCTCCCCATCGCCGCCAACACTTACTTGTCCGTACGTATCGATACCGCTTTGCAACCGATTGACATTCAGCATTTCAAAGGCAGAGGAGATGATCTGAGATCCATTTGATACTGCAGTGGCTTGCATATTTTTCACTTCATTTTGGAATATCACAAGAGATTCCCTCCATCCGACCTTCAGATGCGTGGGCGGATCGTCGAAATTCATCAGCATGATTCGGTCTAGCCTGTGGTTGAAATCCCTCGCACGAAACTGTACAAGAACATCCACGATTAAATTATGGAAAAATTTGAATAAATTCAAATTTAAAAAAACTTGAAAGTTTAAATTTCTGCATTATTCCCGCATGGAGAGAAAGTAAACCCTATTTGTAAAATATTTACTGTAATAAAACATAAAAAATACTTTAAGAAACGTTTCCAAAGCCTTTTTCGCCACATCCAGTAAGGAGCAACCAAAATACGTCTTCTGGCACATGGAGATCGAATTGTCCACAATAAACAAAATTATTGCCATTTTTCAACACAAAAGTTCCTCAAACGGAAAAGAATGGGCAATATGTCTCGAGCACACGATCGTCGAAACCCAAAGATCATAAGGGCTATCCCATCATAAGGGCCAAATCCGTCGAGAGTTCCGCGCAGAAGGATTTCCATAAACAGTTATCCAGGTGCATCGTTTTCCCTCCAAAAACCAGAAGGGGTTAAGCAGTTTGTGAAAGAGCCATCCAAATAACTTCAAAACAGAAACAAAGCCACAGATTAGTGATTTGTCAGCTAGTTTTGAGATGGTTGTTTCCTTGACGAACCATTAAAGTCAAAGACTCTAAGCCTTGTCCAATTTGGACCAGTGACCACTAATCCCGTTTATCCTTCATACCTACAATCTGATGCGACATTATTACGAATTTACAGTGCAATTACAATTTACTGCAACAACAACCAAAAAAGTGCAAAACGAAAAGGTTTAATCACAGTCGCTAGATGCAATAAAGACGAGTCCCTGCTTGTCGTAGCACTTAATGCAGAAATGGCTAACCAATACCGAATGCGTAATTTTTACATTATTTGATGTTGGTAATTGGTTTACAAGAAGCTGATAATTTGATTGAATGAAAAATCTCAGTAAACAGCATAATCCAAAATCATCAATAATTTAAATTAGCAAACTAAAAATAAGCCAAAGGCAGAGCGAATTTAATCGGAATATCAGAAAAACTGTTCGAAGGTTGCCGTACAGGTACAGCCGCGCACGTACAGACATCCATAGGCCGCTGGAACCCCTCGGCCCCTTGAATGAATTTGAATGCGAGACAACTTGAATGCGATTATGCGAAAGATTTACAAAAAAGGAGGCAAAAATTTAACAAAATTACGGAAAGGCTAACGAATTACGATTATCGAAGAACAAGAACTTATTAAATTAGGTAGGCAGAATTTCTTAATATTAGTTAGTATAAGAACAATAAAGTCCAGGGGCGTAATATGGGGGGGTATGTCAACCGGCAATAATTTTTGGAATTTGACTACCCATTTTTCCAGAAGTTTTTGCGCGAGGCAAAATTTTTCGATTTTAGGGGGTTTGACACCCCATGTCAAATTTTTTCACATATAAACTGTATCACCGACTATCTGGATTCGCTAAGCAGTAAGCACGGTATTTTTTGATTTCGTTGTTCCGATTTGTCAGAAATTCCGCCAAATCTCAAGGCAAAAACCGAAAAGTAAGTTGAGCAACTCATGCTAGCGAGTCCTGTTACAGGCGAAAGCCTGTGCTGCACCGAATGCACTGCCCTTTCGCCAAGGAAAAAAATAGGCACATAAGTACAATGTCAATGATCATTGTGAAACCACAATTCAAATGCAAATCAGTACAGTAGTTTCAGAGTCCAGACTCAGGTCCACGAAAATTAATTTAAACTTAAAAAAACTCTACTTTTGCTGCATGGCAGCTCAACTAATACCAAAATTAAATAAGCATAAAAAACTGAAAAAGGCAAAACGCTGACCAGTACGTTTTCAGATTTTTTTTCCGCAATTCGTAAAATTGCTGGGCGGAAGTCGCGTTACCAAAACGATATCTACAAGACTACAAGTATTATTACTGTACTGTATTTATATGATACACAACGCAATTGTGTTAATGTACGGATATTAAACGACGCAAAAGCTCTTTTTCCTGTACAAGATCTTTCGTGCAAGCACAAGCCAGCCAATCGAAATCGATTCATTTCGTTTTCTGCGTTCATAAAGTTTGAAAGAGAAAAGAATGTTACCCACACAATTCACTCTAAATACAGGCCTTTCAGTGGCTATGTCCCACACATGCTCCCGAAACAGACACATTCACATTCAGTCTGAGTTTTATCGATTTTGCGATTTGGGGATATGGCTCGAAATGCTAAGCTTCGGAGGGGTTTCTGCCCGATTGTCTAATATACGAATGTTATTCGTGTTGATTTCATACTGTTCCGGAGTTCCTTAGTCCTTTTGATCTCCACTTCTCCAGTTAGTAAATTGGAATACCAGTTGCCGTCGTAGTGTAGCTGAATTCCTGATTGTGTAGGGCAAAATTCTTATTCAAGTTTATTTCCGTGATTTAATTTTCGACCGGTGTTTTCGATGACTTTTTCCGATGACTGGGTAATGGGTGATGGACGGAAGATGTTGTCATCTAAACCTCGTGGAATGTACGAAACTCTTTGCGATGGAAATTTTATCGTTTGACAGTTATTTGGCTTCAACAATTGCGCAAATTGTGGTTTAATACTTTATAGGTACAACAGATTCAGGATCGCAGAAGATTTAGCGTTATGTGAAGAAGGTAGGTGTGTAATGTGTAATCAGTAATCAGTAATGCTTGCTTGTTGCTGGCAGATTAAAAAATAATTCGTGGCAATTTAGTATTTACCAACTGACTTACGTTCCCACTTCACTGTATTTCTGTTAAACTTCTATTGTCCAGCTAGTTTGAATTTTATTACTCTTTCAGTTATCAACGCGCGCCCATTCTCCGCGCCCAATAAGAACGCAGCATGGACAGAAATCGTGGACAACTTAAACGCGATACCAGTAGGCTTGTCATTGGGGTTACATTACTTAAAAAAACTTGTATTCACTGCATAATTTATAAACTAAATTTTTTTGCCAGTATTCAGTGAGAAACTAGTGTTTTCAATTTGAATTTATAGTTGTTTAGCAAACCAACGGACGAAAGAGCATGCAAGCAACGCGTAGAAGACCTTTTGATGCAGTTTCGCACGAACGACGTTGCGAAATTAAAACGGTCCAGAACCGAAGAACAATATGAACAGTTAAAGAGTTTGTTAGCCGAAATTGCCAGTGATAAAGAGATCTCAGAAAACTCTCCCTCTTCCCCGTCTTCTCGTCCGTCTCTTCCTAAATCAACGGGTAAGCGGAGCTTCCCGATTTCCATGGCGGAACCGGAAGTGTTTCCTCAGCGCCGGCATGCCTATCTCAATCAGCAAATACAAGAAAGCACTAAGCCGGTTGTTAATATTGCCCCTAAACCAGCCCCTACGGTCGTCAAAGTGGTTCGCGGGGATCCTCCCACCGTTCACGTCCCAACCGGGACGGGATCAAGTAAGAAAATGTTTTTATCAAATTTTGCAACACCGCAGATGTTGACGGTAATATAATGTGCCATGATTGCGATGGTACAGTAAGCCGAGTAAGGTGTTAAGGTAATACCGACATGGGCTCACTTTTACCCGAGAACTGACCATGAGTTGAGATATCATTCGTAGGATAGTCTACCTAGCCTTAAGAACAGAAAATATTTTTGTCTCTTACTCTGAAACAGAACCTGGCTTAAATGCATGCGAGTATATAGTGAGTTATATTTTTATGTCTGAAGTTGATTAATTCAGGTACAGGGTGGCCACGCCAAGTTGTCACCGAAAATTTAATCAGTTTTTAAAAATTGAATTGTTTTGGTGACAACTTGATGTGGCCGACCGGTAGATGCATTTTAGTTTTTTGCTTACAAAGAAGCTGCAGTCGTGCGTGTTTCCGTATGGTTGAGTCTAAATAGTTGACTAATCCTTTTTGAATATTTGCAGTTCCGATAGAGACTCGAGTTGTGAAAGCAGGCGTTGTTAATGCACCGGATGCGGATCAGTTAATGACGTTGACTCAACAGAATGCTAGACAACTGGAGCTGCGAGAACGCGAATTAACACAAAATAGGGAAATTCGCGAAAAGGAGCTTGAACTTGAAAGAGAGCGACTGCATTTTGAAGAAAGGAAGTGGCAGCAACATTTGGACCAGTTTCAGCAGCAGTTTGATTTAATGCGAGAAATGCTACAACTACAGCAAGAACAGCAACAGTTGTTTTTCTCCTTTTTTAGACAGCAAGAGTATGGAAAGGGCGAAAATAGTGGTGGCGAATCATCCTCGTAAACAAGCTGTTAGTTATTGTACTTATTGTTTAAACTTCCACTCGAAACTGAGAATCTTTGACACTTTTGTTTTGAAAGCTGACATCGATTCCAAACAAGTTAGCACAATATATTTGTAGCCTATCTGTTGTTTCTAGCCGGATAATTTTGCCAGTTGTTCACTGCTTTGGCTTCCAGGCCCATTGACACTTTCGTTTTCGCGTTTTTAGAATAATCTCTGTTTTAGGCCGCTGTGTAATCGTTAACTTGGCTTAGGTGTTGGTGTTTTTACCTCGTTTTTGAAGCGTTTTACCTTATCGGACGGTTCACAAATATGATAATGTTATGTAATTAAAAATTCACAGTTTCTCACCTGGATTCATTGTGTGTTCGATTTGTGAAAAATGTTTGGGGAGCTTGCGTGTTACACCGTAAAAAAAAACATGTTAGAAACGTTCGCTGCATTCCTGATACCAGAGAAATTGAACGTTTTACTTATACGCACTGTGTTGTGTTGTAATATTAATAATAATGTTAGGTCACATTATTAAAATTATTTTACTTTCACGTTTTCTTCAGCAGACTATTTCCCTAGTGGTGGAGCCATAACAGAGTGCGTATAAGTAAAGCGTTCACTTCATTTTGTACTGTACTTCTGTATACGTAGGGTAGTAAGGTGGGATGTTTCCTTTCTAATACTTCTAGTCGGAACTTAAGTTTCAACTTTCCTTTACTATTACAGTACTAAATTACTAATCGACAAAAACAAAAAGCAGGATGATATCTCCCGCTCTATTTTATTGTAACAGAAGCTCTTCGTGCAGTTATTTTGACTGAAACGAAACTGCTCAGATAACTTTGGTACCAACCTCCAGCAGGTACGCAAGTTTGACTAATAGCCTATCTGTAGGAGTACAGTAGAAGGATGTATGTATTGTACAACATCTTTATTCTGTAGAAGTATACCGTACAAGCTGAGCACGGATAAGGTACGGGTTTCTACTATAATTAAATTATTGCATTCCTCTAATAAAATACTTGTTCTACACATTCTGTACCTACTACCAACTATCACGGACTGTAAAGTGTGAAGCAATAATTTAATTTCATATTTGTTGAGACGCTTTAAAGTAACGTATGTACTGTATCATTTCACTTTTATCACGCATTTAACAAATCGATCAGGACCAACTATCAGCACAAAAACTAAAGATTTAAACTGACAGCAACTAGAATTTTTAAAATACATACAATTGTCACTAATTCACCGGAAAACATATCAAAACGGTTGCTGTAGCAGCATTTTAAACAGTTGCTCTACAGAATTCAGGAGGTGTTACGGCAGACAGTCTTCTACATTTGCGCTACATATCCGCTCGCGTTACATAGGTTAATATTGCTGCGAAATAACTTATTACACGAAATAAAAAAAACATCTCGAACAGGCTTGCACATTACATTGGGGTACATTATTTTCACAGTTCTTGGGAATTGGCGCCGTACATCTGGACATCGCCACGATCAATTTTGTAGTCTATCTCAACGGTGTAATCGTATTTGGATAAGTATTTGACCCATTTTTCGGGTGGTTCTTCGGTGGTGGCGGAAATACTGCGCAAAGTAGTGTGTGAAGCTGTGGCAGCGGGCATTGTAAATTCGACTTCGGCGCTCTGCTCAAACCGTTCCGGCATAGCATCATAAGCATTAAGGGTCAGCCGACAGGAGAGCATGTGGTTGGCATATGCTCCTATAGGAAGTTTTGAATGCTTCACTGAATGCTGTATCACAATCATTCAAGGTTTTCGTTAATGATATAAGCTTTCTTAATTATGCCACTGAACAGTGAACACAGCGCAAAAATATCTATGTCCTTGCAGAAACACTATCCCGGTAACATTTACAGTGGTTAGGCTCAAATTCGAAATTGTGGGAACAGTCGGTCACCTTGCAGTACCCGTGAAACTCACCTTGACCTTCTTTCGGTAAGCGGCTTATTCTCCAAACCAGTGAACGGAAAACATGCTCATATCTCGCAGATCCGGTTGAAACCTCGATCATACTGTTTTGTTCAGCATGCGGATCTTGCGCAGCTGTCCGTAATTTCTCCGACATGCCCTGTGGTCATAAAATCTGGTAAATACAGAGATCAGATCAAATTTCGAATATCAACTTACTTTAATTAGTCCCGTTGTTTTCTTCGTAGCATGTTTCGCCCCGTAGCCAAAAAGGGTCTCCGTGCGAAACAGGTACACCCATCGTTCGGGGATGGGCACACGAATCTGAATGTCATCGCAAGGCTGTGCTCGTTTCCGTGTGTAGTAACTAGTGGTCATCGCTTCCACTCTTATCAGCACCTTGTAGCCTTCCATCGTGATAATAGCTTTGACGGCCAGTGGTAATTCCCGGTTTTTAGGCGGCCGTACACGAAAGCGTACTAATTCGAAAAAGGTCGCATCTGGCGGGATGAATTTGATCATCTTGGATTGACTGTACTCTTCTTTGGATACGCAGTGATGCAGGTCAACGCTTTCCATGCGAATCCACTCCTCGGTGTAGATGGGCAGAATATCGTGCCGTCCCACCACTTCCTTTCCACGCCGCACGATATCATTCAGACCGAACTCCACTGTTGGCATGCCAGACACAAAACACAGACAGAACACCCGTACGCGACCTTTGCGTTCGGAAATAATCCCCGATTTGTCCACTCGCGCGGTAAATTCATCAATCACATGCGCTTGGACCTCCTCCTGCTTGTAGCTCATAGGCCGTTCCCGTACCATCGGCATTCGGAATAATGCATCCTCAATTGCGTGCATAAAATTTTTTAATGTTCGCACACTAATACATCCGAATTTGAGCAACTCCGTCGTCTGTGAGGCATGCTCGAGCGGTAATCCCAGCTTGGTAATTTGGCCTTTTGTGATCTTGGGAATCTGGCCGGGTCGGATGCCCACGCGTTCCTTATAAAAGACATACTCTAGCTTGGTGGTGTGGATCTTGGTAAAGACATCCAGCTGCTGGATCGATATTTCAGTGATCATGTACTGTCCCGAGAGGGGAACTTCATGAAAAGGTTTCTGATCGTCGGCTTTATTGAACAACTGCAGCACGGTATCCGTTAACTTAACGTGGATTTGCTTCCAAAATCGATTGCCTGTCAGTGTTTTCTTGGGTGGCCAGCGCAGCAGCAAGTCCCAGGATGTCTGCGGCAGATCCCAAGTAAATTCAGCTAACGGCTGACTGTCATCTTCATCAAACAACGGCGTCTGCACAGATGCGGATGTGCGACGTGAGGCGTTGGACGTCACTGAACTGCGCCGGTTCACACTCTGCTTGCGTACCGGCAGCCCTTCTGGCCGTTGTGGTGAATCCCATATATCAAATTTATCATCCTCAGCGCCGGTAATCGCGTTAGTCGTTGGTGGAGGTATGGGTGATTCTTCCGGTACGATGGTTGCAAAAGGATCGAAGAAGGAATTGTCCAGATTATTCGTGTCCAAATTAATCTTTTCTGGGGCATTGCTCTTGTACTTGGCGATTAATTCCAGGACATTTGCTTCATCATTTCCTGCCGAGGCGTTTTGTGCATTTGCTTGACTGGCGCTGAAGGGGTCACTATCAAAATCCGTAACAAAGGCCGCTGATTGCTCCGCTGCTTCTTCTCCCCACGCGCTGGCTGATTTCACCGGAATCGCCTGTGCTTGTCTGGCTGGTAACGGGCTCGATTCACTCCGTCCCACCATACTAGCTACTTGTGAGACAATTCTGGCTCCGGGCTCTGGTTGACCTAGCGGTACGGTGGCTACTTCCTCATCTGGGCTTTCGTCCTGAGTATGCCCAAATGTCGCCGCAAATGTTGCATCAGAGTCTTGCGATGTTGAGTTGAGAAACATGTCTTTGCGGGACATCGCCGGGGTAGGTGCTGGTGAAACAGCGGGACTTGGCCTTGGTGGGACTGCAGGGCGGGGTGGTACGGGTGGAAGCCGACGCTCTTCAGGTCGAGCAGGTGGCGGTGGAGGAACAGGTGAAGTATTTGCCGGTGCATCCCATGCTTCCCACCCTTGGATCACTGGAATCTTTGCACCTTCGGGAGCTGCTTCTTCTTCCCATGGATTTGCCTGTCTTTCCGGAGGGACAGTTGATGGTTTACTTACAGAAGCATCTAAATAAAAAAAGCAAATTTTGTTCACTATTGCTTCTAAACATCGGATATTCAGTTATACGGTATAATGAATAAACGACATCAACATTTTTTGAATATTTGTAAAAATATTTTACACATATGCTGTGAAAAACCGCAGAAATATGCGGGTAAACACCGACGCACCGGGCAGTCCAAAGGGATCGTCAAGCGGTCCAGGCGACTCCGACACTAGGCTTGGTTGTGTAATATAGCCTGAATCTCCAAATCCGTCCGGGTCTGCCACCTCCGGTGCTGCTGTAGTATTTGTCTCAAAGCCGGTGTTAAAGGGGTCAGCTACCACTTCGGACACCGTACTCTCAGCCGCAGCATCGCTAGCAGCTGGTGCATCGAAAAGACCAAGTAAGTCATCGATATTAGAAGTCTTTGTGGCAAGAGCACTTTTGGCGGCAGGAGGAGTTGGTTGAGGTTGCGATACGGCCGTTGAGGTTATCGACGCTGGCATCTCGATACCTTTTACATCTTTATTTTTCATGCTACCCGCTTTAGGTCGGGCAATTGGCTTAATGTCGGTGGAGATCACTTTCGGAGGTTCAGGCACTACACGAGGCTTTACCGGGGCAGCTTTTGCTGGCACCGAGGTCACCGGTTTTGAAGGCTGGGGTGGCGGTACAGGTGCACCAAAAAAATCCGCCAGTTCATCGGATACGGAAACGGCAGTTGGCTCGGCGCTTTGAGCATGTGACAAGTTAGCCGGTGTCGGGGAAGAGGAGGTGACGCTCGTTTCGGTCTTTTTAGATGGTGGAGGTGGTCGGGCCGGGGATGGTTTTCCTTTTGGGGGAGGAGGACGAGATGGTGGGCCTTTCTTTTGATTATCAGTTGTTGCTGCCACAGACGCAGAAGTTTCATATAACCCCAGCAGATCGTTGACGTTATTGCTAGCGTCAGGCACAGCGCTTTGAGCAGCTGGATAGCCTGATGGCTTGTCCTCGTGTGGGGGAGATGTGGGCGTATGGAGTGGAGTGATTTTCTGCTTTGCCTGATCCACTGCACCTTGCACCCGAGCGGTGAGTTTTTGATATTCCTGCCACTGTTGCGAATATGCCTGTGCAGATTGAACCTGCTGTTGACCAGGGGCGCCGGGTGCTTGTGCTTGCGGCATTCCCACGTAGTTCTGCTCCATTTCGTCGAATAGGTCTTTCTTTTTTCCTGAGGAATATTTTCCTTTTGTTATTAAATTCACAATTTTCTTTTTTGATGGTTTCAGCCCTGCAATTACATAATTTTGTAAGTCGTAAGGATAATACGTTAAAATAACTTAAATTATGAAGTTACATGAAATCTTTTTCTCCGTTTATATATGTATTGCATCTAGAAAATGTTGGGTCATCTTATAGAAGTGCAAAGTAACTGCTTTTTAATACCAGCAAAATTCGTTTTTGCAACCTGTAAAATTATTCAGTATAGAGTATACACATAAAAATAATGTTAAAGTTAAACGGTGAAGTACGTTAAAGAAAGTAATAGAAAGTTCTGTAGATCTGCAGACAGATGACCTTATTAATTTTAATTAAGCTTAAATGTAAAAATGTGAAGGAATTGTAGAAGTAACATCCAAATCAGCTTTCCTCTCTCGGTTTGTATGCAGAAAATTGCCCTACTCACGCTTAACATATTAATAGCGTCATAAATCACAAAGCCGTAAATTGTATGGATTATATGAACACAAGTGCTACTGGAACTTAAGTATATGCCCAGGACGCCTGTCACAACGCAAACTTTAGTAGGATGCGCTGAATGTTTCCACTGATTGTAAATTCACCTCTTTCAGTAACACTTATTTAATACTTGACATTTCGTTCTCGTAACGCAGCAGTTCGGTAATGAAAGCCAAACACTAACTCGCAACAACTTAGAAAAAATTCTAAAATATTTAAGTATTGCCGAAACCATTAGTACACTGAGCAGAATAATAAGGGCGAAAGAAATCCCGGGTTTTTCTGTTTTACAGAGTGACGTTAAGCCAGTTTTTGTATGCATGAAATTTGCGTGCCCAAGAACCAGCGTTTCTGCTCCGGTTATGCTACTGCTAGTCGAGTTACAAATTTCAACATATGTTGCTGCAAATTGCAATACACACAATTTAACAATCACTACTTTTAAAATACTAAAAGCAAATTGATGAAAGAGACATAATTCCACGCGATAAATTTAACAACAGACATTTACACGCAATAAGTTTGCTTATGTGAGCCGGTAGTGGCAGTCTTACCTTTTGCTACCTTTATATATCCTGGTACAGCTGTTTCCTTTTTCTTTGGCTCGGGTCTCATGTTTCCATATGGTAAGACTTCTTCCGTATCATCAAACAATCGCTCTTTGGGCAATGTGGAGGTTAATTGGTGTTGAACGGAAGCCGCGGCTGCAGTTTCATCTTCGTCGCTTGTGTCGGCATATTGTTCCGTATGAGCCGCAGTTTCCGGTTGAACGTAGGCGTTAAATGTGGGCCATTCTGGTTCAGGCGCTGCTTGGTTTGCTCCCCATGATTGATCATAATAGTCCGCACTCGGCTGTGATTCCGTCGTATTACCGTAAGCGGAATCATAGGTTTGATCGTAATTATAGGATGATGTTTGCTCATAATTGCTGGTGGACGAATAGTCGGGTTCTGCAGCAGTGCTACCTCCAGAGTACTGAGAATAGTAGTCGGTTTGATGAGCTGAATAAGGCTGTTCTTCGGTCTGCTGGTATAATCCAGCATGCTCATCCGTATAGCCGGCAAATGATTGTTGTGCCGCGGCACCGTAGTAATAATCATAGTACTCTTGTGAATTTATGTCATAACCAGTGCCGTGCGGGTCATAGATAGCGGGATCATATGCCGGCTGCTCATATGCCGCTACATCCGCCGTTGCATGCTGCTGCTGGCTGACATCCGGCTGTACAGGCAGCACCTCATGTTCCGCAACCGCATTACCTGCACGCTCATCCTTAACTTCCTCTTCAGTCTCAACAACGTCAGCGGCACCTTGGAGTAGCGGCTCAACGGTTTCTTCTTCCGGGACGATTTGAGTGCTCTCCGTGGTCTCATCTTCGGGATTCTCCTCTACATCCAGTGACGTATACGGGACTTTTGATAATCTCCGATGTTTTGTTTGCATGGCATAATCAATATCTGTTTGATCAATAGCAGTATCCTCTACTAAGGGCTGGAATGATGCATCACGCTCAGTGCTGTCGGTTGGCACAGTGTGCAGTGGTGCAGCTGGAGCGCTGATATCGTCAGGGTTCGGCTCTTCATCGGCTTCAGCGTCCTCAGCCTCCAGCAACGGTGATTGTTCCTGTTCGAGCTGATGTTGGTTATTCATGGTAATAGCATCGGGCGAAGGGCCAGTTGGTTCGTAATGTTGTGACGGTTGTTGTACATTACTGACAGCAAATGCAGTTGCCAGATTGTCCTGCGCTGAATGCTGCAGGGGAATGCTATCGTCTACACGATTGTTCGCACTCGCAATATCGATCGCCGATGGATCCGACATGACGACGTCATGACCCATCGGATCGGCCTGACTGCCAAGCACAACTGCCACACCGTCAACATTGCTGGTGATGGTGTAATCATTCATAGCGCTTTCCTCACCCGTGTTATCTAAAATAACTTGTGCCTGGTAGGAAGTGCCAGTGTTGTTCCCATAATACGAGGTGTCGGTGTAATAGGCAGCGCTGCTGTCAGCACCTGTACCATCCGGCGCAGGTGGCTGCCAGGATTCGTAGTATCCTTGTGTATAATAACCATTATCAGCGGTATAACCTTGATCCGTATAATAATAGGCACTGGGATCATAATTCAGATTTCCCTCGGTCTGGTAATAACCGGCAGCGTAATCCGACCAAGCAGCCGCTTGACCGGCGTCAGGCACTTGGGCATTTGCTTCGTCGGAAACGGGAACTTGCGGAACGGCAGCGACTTCGTGCACTGTGGAAGCTTCGGGAATTTGGTTGACTGTTTTCGGAGGCGGAGGCGCCGTGGCTTTGCGGGTGGGGGCGGGGGGCGCTTTGCGCAGAGGCACGGTTTGTGTAGGAGGGGCAGTGGTCGCTGGTTGGACGACTTCTGTAGCGAGGGGTGATTCTTTGGAAGAATTTACGGAATCCATTACTTGAGCAGCTGATTCAACAGTGGAGACAACATTAATCGGGCTGACTACCTCTACATGTACAGTCGGCTGATTCTCTTCTGTAACATGTACAGTCGGGAAGTCATCGTGATGCGGAGTGCTAGAGGGTGTGGGCTCAGCAAACGAATTTGTGGAACTACTATTAGCTGTTTGCGTAAATGCATTGCCGGAGAAGTCGTCGAATGATGTTGAGCGGGAATGATCGGATTCGTCAGCTGAATGCGCCGATCCATCCTGCTGCGGTGGATCCCAGCAGATCGATGGACTGGGCGTGACTACCGTTATCACCCGGTGCTCTTGCGGCGTCCAGGCTGTTTCAATAATAACAGGAATGGGTAGCTGATTGCTGTGGGAGGCGTGGTCATCTATCTCAAAGTCCGCCCAGGAAGATCCGTGCTCGTCGACAGCTTCGCTTCCCTTAGACCGCTCCAGACGTGAACGGCGCTTATTCAGTAATCCTTGTTCACAGAAATTGCGCCAATTCTCGGGATCGGCTTGTCGATCTTTTGCTGGCTTGCCGGTGGTGGTATCTTCGTCAAGTGAATGGTCCTGGTTTAAATGGAGATTCAGTTTAATGCGCTGCGTCGGCGAGGAAGCCGGCTGTTTTTCTGCCTCGGCAACATAAGCGTTCAAATCAACAACGGCTATCTCGCGTGTCTGTGATCGTGGACGCTCTACCGGTGCAGTGCGGAATGTCTGTCGCTTTTCTCGCTCATCTTTTACCCTTTTTTTAAGCAGTATCAGTTCTTCTTGCGCTTTTTGTTTCAACATCTTATCAAGTAGATCACTCGTTGAACTGGCTTCTTCGTCTTGTTCTTCGACGGTCAGCAGCGTTTCACCTTTCTTCTTTTCTTCTTCTATTTCCGCTAGTGGACTACTCGGATGTTCTTGTTCGACAATGGCCTGGGTGGTGTGTGGAATGTCAGGTGTATTATCGTCCGTTGGTAGTGGTTGATGGTGCGCATGCGGAGGGGACGGTCGCTTCTTCTCCGTCTCCCGTATTTCCTCATCCTCCTGGATAGAAAATTTCTTGGTCACTTCGAATGGTGAAGGTGGGTTAGAAGGGGATTTATTACTTATGTTAGAATGACTATCCCTATGACCGTGTCCGTGCACGTGATGATGCGGATGATGACTCCAGACAGCGCCCAGTGACAGTCGATGCGCTGTGTGTAAATTCTCCGGCTCTGGTGGTGTAGATTTGGAGCGACGCCGGTTATTTTCGCCGTGCCCCGGAGTATGATGAACATCTGCGTGAGTTGTTAGTGCATGCTCATGATTAGCGTGATCACCAATGTGTGCCATGCGAGTACGATCAATTAGCGCTTGCAGCTTACTAAAAGCATGTGATTCCTTCTTATTGCGTGAAGGTTTAGGTGAGAGACTATGTGAAGGCATCGTACGGTTCATGCTGCCGGGGCGGTCACGGTCAATTCGGTTTGCATCCACACTCAAAGCACCACCACCGCCAGCCCCACGTGCACCGGCTGCATCAAACTCATCTGTACCTAATTCCATCTCTGCCGCCACAATTTCTGTCCGATTCAATAAGGCCTCCAATTTGGTCGTGGCGATACTCTTCTTCTTCCGCCGCGGTGAAAGACTGGCAATACGCTGCCGAATTTGTAGCATGGGGGATACTGAGCGGGATGACGCTGAACCGGTGTCGTCTCGGGTTTTCTTGTTAAATGGACTACGGAAACTGGAAGAGCGGGATTTCGATTCGGACTTCTCACTTACACCCGACGTGGCCGACACGACGCTGGCCTTCTTCCCCAGCAGGCTGCGTTTGCGTTCACCTTTCTCCGGTGGCGGAGCTGTTGCAGCGGCTGATTTCGTTGTTGGGTTCTCCATTTTTTGCACTTTACTAAAACTGGTCGGCGACTTCTTTTGCTTCCTCGTCAGATCGAGTGTACTAGGACGCGTGGGTGACGGTGCCCTTAAATCCGCATCTGGCTCGGGCTGAAGAGATTCCTGCTTCTCATATTTCTCCGCGCGAGATGGCGCCGGTGCCGGAGCGGCTCGGAAATGCACCGCAGCTGCCTGGTGCAGTTCGGTCATCGGCTCTTGGTCAAAAGATGTCTGCGACTGTGAGCTCTTCCTCTGCTTTGATGGGCCTTTTACTCCGTCTCTAAGAGCACTGCGATCAGTTTGGCAAGCAATCGAACGGGTTTTTACGGCAGCTGTATTTTCCTCCATTATACTCGTTTGGCAAAGAACACCAATGCGAGCGGATTTTTTCCCGGTGTGTTGGTCAGTTTGACCAAGGTTACACAAATCTTCTTCGAACGAATTACCCTCTGAACTTAGACCTCGATCAAACGAAGCCAGGGGCGCAGGTCCAAGCTGTTTCTGCCGTTTTCTCGGCATGGAGAATGCCAACGGGATCTCGCGAAGTTATGACCTGCAAATCACAAGCAGTGAACCAACAGTCGTAAGGATTTTTGACTTTCGGTCAATCAAAGAGTGACCGCGCTAAAAGATTATTATATACAGATGATTACAAGTACTTCACTGCATTTTTAATTGCGAGATTAATCCACTCACAGCTTCAGTTGGAACGTATCATTTCTAACAATCGGTGTAATAAAACAGATCCAGATTTTCTGTTAATTATTTGATTAGTAATTGTACTCTTAATATCTACTGGACTGTTTAAAGGTCAACAGAGAATGTCAGTGCTTCTTTCAATATAGGTAAAAGTTGGCAGCATAAAAAAGTTCAATCTATAGAATAAGTCCACATCGCTTAGGATACAATGCGTACTCGTACCGTCTGTATGTACGATAGTACAGTAATTTACATAAGTTTTTTTCGCTGCGAGCTTGCATTTTCTTTCCTTACTGAAATTAACAGTTGTGAAGTAACAGTTGTGGATACCTCCACGGGTTTGCGATCTTATCTCTTTAATAGTGTCAACTGTCAAGTGTCAACAATATTCTCTATGCCGACCACTAGTCTGAGTTGCAGCTATGTACTGCTATAAATATTTCCTCTGCCTAATTTATTTTTGTAAATGGGTATTATAGATTAAAGATATTTTTTCTATTACTGTATCGGCGCAAAACATAATGAAAAATTATTATTTTAGGACGGTTACAAAAAACAATTTCATAGTCGCACATATTCTGAGGTCGATACCAATTACAGGAGTCACAGGGTCCAAATAACAAACACCGCAACGAAATGTAAACTAAACCAAAAAAGAATTGTCGGCAACGGATTACCCACAGGCATTTCAAGTTGTAGGCACACGTCAATTCTTTACTCTTTATAGAGCATGAACAGCCTATTTAAGTAAAATGCCTAAAAATACTTCAAAGAGATCCGAATATAACCTGCCAAAGCAAACCACGCAGAATCTCTACGCTTTACATATGTTCCCGTTCGATTATCATATGGCTGTCATTTCAAACTGATTCAGTCAAAAACTCTGTTTCTTTACTCCTTTGGCTTTGCATGCCGAATACTGCAGGTCATTAAGATACTTTGTGCGCCATTACACATCGTTTAGAATTGCTACAGTCACACTTGCGCTAATAAAATGCTCCCGTACGATTTTCTTAACTTCTAATATACTACATCCGTACGTCATTTATATATTCAGTGTCTTCTGCTAACGCCATTACAGAATCCGCATGGCAAAAGTTGCGTAAATTTTCGACCGCCTGTTCCTGTAATACGGATGTAGAGTATTACGGGCGTAATTAAATAATTAGGTAGCTGCAAAAATCTCGCTCATGTTCCGCACTGCCCCGTGTTCAGTGACTTTCTACTTGGCTCATGCATTGGTATTTTTGTACCGAAAGCAATATCATTTAGATTTTTGTGTATGTGATGCAACCTGAACTTCAGTATTATAAACTAAGTGTCTGCCAAAATTGTGGGTCCAAAATATATGCGTACTCAAAACACTAACCTGGATAATCATCTGTCTATCCTAATATTTCAGTGACAAGAACCGGATCTAGAGTTGATAAAAGACTGCACCTTGCTTTTTCAACTTTATGGGTTTGGTAATGGTAATACTCTTTATAATAATTATGTTGCTCAACTTCAAGACAAAACTGTGCTATATACTCGTACATCCAAACATGCAGATATCGTAGGCTTTAAATACAGTATGTACCGTACGGACGTTGTTGGAGGACATAATGTTCGGTAACACGACACTAGTGCAACAGACTTAACGTTACTAGATCCCCATCAAACGAGATGAAACTGATTCCCAGGATAAGCTGGCAATATGAATTATTAACAGCTAACCTTTACAACACCTTACATAATACAATACTATATTAATTTCATTCATGGTTTTGCGGCGGAAGTAACCGCAACATCCTCTTCTACACATTTTCGACGAAGCTATCCGGTTATCAGCTTGCCCTTAGCAAAGAAGCACAACAAATTGCTATCGACGGAGGTATATAATATCTTGTTCAAGTGCTCATGTATGTATTTGTGCTCTAATGTTTACTAGATGGGAAATAAATTTTATGATTACTTCTGTCATGTCAAGGCATGTCTGCATTCTGTGCACCAACTAGCATTACAATGCTAAAATTTCTAAACGTCCATTCCAATTCATATTCTTCCGGTTTTCATTGCCTGCTTCCAGATTTACTGTAGATCATGTTAATAAACGAATAACTGCTATAGTCCGGGAAATAACTCATCCAGTACAAAAATGTCGGTACCACTACCACCACCTATACCGGCATGGCGCCCATGAAAAAAATATGTCTTCCTCAGGCTTCCTGTATGTACACTACCGTAGTGAAGGTATAATCGACAACCTTCAACACAAATGCAACAACGCAGTGAAATAAGCACACATGTTCATAGCTGATATAGGAACAATACAGCTTTCAGTTCTAGCAAATTCTGTAGATTCTCCCCATTTGGCGTGGTTTCAGAAAATCAATCTATAAGTTATTTAATTAGTTATCAAACATATATATATGCATAGGACAGCACATATACACTTTTTTGCGTGTATTATAGCAATGCTTCATTAAAATTTTAGCAATTGTCCAAGCCATGTCTGATTTTAAAGTGTTTGTCTTTGTAATCATGCAAAACTTCCAACAGATAAAATTTATGATTATCCAAAAAAAGTTATGAAATGCTCCAATATACGCGGTGACTCGAGTACCCAAAATTTTCAAAAACAATTTTTTTATGAGTTGAAAGTCTGCCGCACGAAAAAGGTTCCGCGCGCTGTATGCTGTGGAGTGTTTCACTTTGTCTGCACGTATGGAAGCCATAATTACCGCTCTGGAAAAGGGGTTCATTTGTGCCCTCATGGCCCGGCATGAGAATCAATTGCGTTAGAAACGAAGAGATTATTCAGGACACTGTGCAGTCCCTTAACGCCTCCAAAAATATTAGGTGCTTGCCGAGGTATGTGCGGTACAAAGTGCACACGGCTATTCTAATGCGACTACATATCTAGCATTTCCTTCCAAGCGGGATCGAGCGGTTCTCAAAAATGGGGAACAATCGTGCAGATAGACATATCGCTTTACCTGAGAAACATTTTCAGTAATGCCTTGTTTACTGTATACTATCTACATACGTATATGTATGCCTTCCATATTCACGAGTACACGGACAACTACTGGGGAGGGTGTGTTTCTTACTACTAGTGCATCACGGGATCATTAAAACCGTGTTTGTTAAACTTATAAAACCAAGTGGGCAATTTAAGTCAAGAAATGCCACTTAGAAAGTGATATGTTTGTCATGGGAATTATCGGAGGTAGCCATAAAAGGCAATTAAAATTGTCACGGCAATGTATAGATGGCACGTTACCTTAAAATTCAATTGGGGAATCTGATGGACTGTTGGTCAGCCCCATACACACATCCACTTTCCCAGAAATTCGAACATAGTATTCAAAACCACTGCCGAATCATACACTCCACCGAGAACCGCATGTACGAGAACAGGTCAAAATCATATGCGCATTTCCCACGTATCATCATAATTGCCAACACCGCATCCACATTCTCAATCATAAACTATGTCCAGTGGTAGAAAATATTCATAAATCATTTGGGGTTGCTCTTTGACATTCAAGCTCACACAGAGGGAGTGGAGACACGTTAGCGTATTCCACTAAAAATCCTTGTTAGTGTTCCCCTTGATTACAGCGTATTTTTGTGTGCCAAAGGGACAACACTGGCAATGAGAGAGGGAGAGGGCGCGAGACCGGCGGAGAGAGTATCGATCCCAGCTCCCCGTACTAGATGCATTTATTGGGGAAGATCTACGAGGCGACTTACTTAGATTATCTAAGATGGCCAGGCGTGTTTAGGTACAGTTTAACTGCCGCACATATATTCCAGCCCGCTTGTACAAGCTAGGCGAGCATGCATGGATTATTTGTTAGTCTATGGGTTCGTATGGATAGTTGGCCACAAAATACTTGCGCGCATATATATGTAGGAGAGTGGCATTCATTCCAGGTTTGGTAGTCCCGCGCGCGCACCCGCGCCGCTAGATCAACTCCATCGTTTTCCAGTCATTGCATAACTACAACCACAAATACTCCAGGCAGCTGTCTCTGTCGCTTCGTGGAAGTAACGCTACCATTGCCCCTGTACTCTGTCGGTCTGGCGGCGCAAGGAAATCTGAATTATATTCAGCTGCCAGTTGCCGATGCCGCATCGGTATCCGATAAGGGCAACGCTTAGAGAGCAGCCGGGAAAAAAATCGAACCAACGGGCTACAACTTCCTAACAAATATTTAAAGAGAGAAGAAAGAGCGCGACTAGCGGACGACTGGCTCGACGTTAAGTATTGACGTGCCTCAGTGTGCGGCAGTACGCTGCGCCGGGTACCACGCAATGTGCTTAGTAGTTGGAAGATGAATAGCTAACGCAGGAGAGAATCAGTTATACATTGAAGCATCATCGATAGATCTCGGATCGGTGTACTGTGTGTGTATGTGTAAACTGGAGCGGGCTGCGCACATACATACACACATAAGAATTCTGCTTGGGGATCCGTTACATATATGCGAGGAATATGGATGCTGAGTCCGGTCCAAGTGGTTAGCTTTTTTCCGCTAACAGTTCTCTAAAAGGTCTGCAGCACGTTTTGCATTATTGTCTGCGTGCTGTGCTCACAGTTTATGGTTTTTCCTTCCACTGGGCTACATCTCTCTCGCTTTTCACGGCGTTCGCAAAAGAAAAATATGGACACTCTATTGATTTCTAATATCAAATGTACAAAATTTCTTTATGATTTGGTACGGTTATGGCGGAATAGCACCTTAGGACTATTAGTGCTCACTGCTCACTGTTAAGGGAAAGGGCACATGGTGAATGCATTAGAGCTTATTTGTTTACCTGTGCCCGCCTGCTATATATATACCACAGTCCACAGATGTTGCTTTCTAAATCTTCGTGGCGTGTGTTAAGGACAACGGCGGCTTAAACCAAATATAGCAAATCTTAAATTTTTACACTGTATAAGAGATAATATATATTATAAAGTGTCTAATTTGCAAAGTACAAATTGCAGTTGTTTAACATTTTTTCTTTGCTCGGTGTCATAAAATTCTGCCATCTCAAAATTGCTCCGTGGAATTTGTTAAAGTTTATGATGTTTAATCGCTCTAAATCTTTTTATGTAAACAGTTCCGATAGTTATAGTTATAGTATTAGTAATTGTCGTTTGATTGGCTTTATCAAGTTGTTACCGGCATCGTTCTGTGCTTACTTTACCTAACTCGGATTCACAAATCAGAGATGCATTTATTTCGAATTCCACATTTTTATTTTCTTATCTATCACAATTATTGACAAGACTGAACTAATCACATTACTTTATTCCTATCATTATGTTTTCGAACGTATTACAGTTAGTGTAGCATGCAGATGCTTCAAGCATTGTGAATTAGGTATGAGGACAAATACACAATACTAATGTGAATAGGCCTAGGATTGGCACTGAATAGCTATTTAAAACCTTGATTTATTTCAACGGAACAAAATGTTTCATTCTACTTCACAGTAAATTAAATTTCGAAATAGCCTCATTATTTTGCAATGCAGAAATTTAATTGATTTCGGGTAATGAATGTGCTTAAAATCTGCCAAATCGGTGCTGAAATCAGAACCTCGTGCAGCATCATAACAAATAACTGCAAAAGATATCAAACACAGATACTCGTACTGTATCCGACATCAACACATAATGTGCTCGTACGGATCCTGGACAGCCATACTAACTGCATACATACTATCTAATCGCTAATTAATTTATTAAATTATGCAAATATTGATTCTATTATTGTTTTGCTAATTTGTAACTGCGCGCATACACTTTATCTACATATAATTTCAGCTATGAATCATTCTCTTATAAGGTACATTGGTTATATGATACTGCTAGCCTGACCTTTGCTTATACAATAATATATAAGTACTTAGTTGAAAGGTTAACAATGTCTACCCATAATTACCGTGGGCATGGCGCTTCACAATCCGGAAAGCAGCTTTGCCACTGTACATACCAACGTTAAAATCTTATATGTGTTGTTTGCCTGGATTTTAAATTTTGTGAATGTGCTATTGGTTACAGATTATGGGAATGGCGATTATTTAAACGAATGCGAAATATATTTTGTAATTTGAAATAGAGAATGGCTGGAATCACAAGATCTGCTGAATCGCTTTAAGCCGGCAGACAACTGTTACGTTCAATTTTTTTGCAACCTTTTTTACTGTATATGAAGTACATATGCTGTTAATGCAACTTCAGTTTATTTGATGCTACCTGTTACAGTTTTTGATATAATTAAACAAGCTGTACATTTTCGAAATAGAAATATTGTAGCACAAGGGAAACCCATTATAACAAGCCTTGTTCTGCCTGCATTAAATGGATTACAATTTACAAGACACTGCAAAACTTTTTCATATAATAATACTGTGCTTAAGCAGCGTTGCGCTAGACACACCTTACCGTACACAAAACCGTTACTGCCAAATGAGCGCTGATTAAAATCTTTGTATGCCTATTATAATAATTAGTTTCATCTCAAGTCAGGTAATTCGCGCTTTATGGTAAGGCGCTTGTATGGGACGCGACTTGCTGGGACACGGTGGCTGTATCTCATGTGCATGCTAGCTCGAAGAAAGCGGGAAGTGTAGCACAAATGGCTGAAGCAAGCAAGCGGCGGACATACGATTTTATCGAAGATATGGGTTATCTATTTTATCCGCTGGCAGTCGAGACGTTCGGGACTTTCGGAACGCCTTTCGCCGAGCTGATCCGTTTCGTCGGCAGAAAGATTCGTGAAGTTACCGGAGAACCTCGGTCTACCGCCTTTTTAAGACAACGTTTCAGCCTAGCGGTAGTCCGTGGTAATGCAGCAGCTGTTTTGGGTTCACTTAACGCACGTCCCAAGATCATGCGTGACACTAACGATTTTGGATGTTTTTTTAATGTTTAAAAATTTGATGCTTTTAATTAGTGTAAACCTGCGCAGGCGATTTGTTATGTATGCTGGCCGAAGCCGAATAAAAAGTGTTAGTCAGGTAATTCGCGTTTTGAAAGCGATATAAAAAGTTAAAGTCAGGTGTACTATATTAAAGGCAAACTGCTTGTACGATAGCACCACACGCCCAACAATTGCTTACCGGTGCAAGCTGCATGAAGAAGCTAATAAAACGGCAGATTTCCGCACGATTTAAATTTCAGTCGCAAGTTACAAGAAGGATTAGTCCAGTCTTAAACCGATTAACAAGTAATCAGAGCACAATTTGGCGGCCAGACGTCTAAGGATCTGCATAACTCCAAGGGGGCTGTTTGTTCGACAGGAATTCCGGCGTCAAATGGAATATGAATTATACAGTAATTGTATTACCGATGGATCAACTTCGTGCTCCGTGCTCATGCATTAGTATGCACTACACGATGATGTGCATTTTGCACAAAAATACGTAGTGTAAAAAACAGATTAATTAGATAATTTGCATCACCACGTTAAGCAGAAACTGCAAAGATGTGCGTTGAGTGTGCAATATTGCAATGCACCGGGTTTCCAACGCCTGCCATTCTGACTAACCACATTAAACTGCATCGGTACACGAAAGTTAGTTATGCATAGCATTATAAGTCATTGGAGGTGGCCAGTACACTGGATTACGTACGATATCTTAATAGAGGGGCGACGAAACAAATGTGGAACAAGGATTAAAAATATACGGAGCAAATATGTTCACGATTGCTCATTTAATGCGGCACCGCCATGCCGGGGAGAAAATTCCCGAACTGTTCCATCCGACATATAATATAAGGGACTCTCTTAGGCTTGGTATGAAGTTTGATGGATTTGTCGTGAACATGCCGAATACATGACTTTATACACGCACAGTTTTTGACAAGCACGTTCAATCCCGGTAATTTGATCTGCTATTCGCTCGTTCCAAATGCCTCCCATCTTCGCATATCGGATCCGACGTAACGCTATAGCCACTACGAACTTGGAAGAGCACATAATTGGCAACTTAGCAGTCAGATTCCGGGCCGAACTAGGAATATCGATAGTTTTAAAAAATCGATGCATAAATAAGAAATCAGCTGCGTATGTGGGAAAAAATCAGGAGCACGTCGATGGCTAGACTTTGTTGCACTTTTGTTCTGCAGCATGAGTAAACTGGATTTTTTCATGCATCAGATTTACCACGGATGTAAATAATTAGCTTCCACTTTTTTAAAACCAATGTTTATTTTGGCTTGGGCCTTGGTTGGTGGCCGCCTTAAAGAAGATACGATTATCTCGGTAAAGTGATTAATATTAATCACTTTGATCTCGGGATACGCATGTAGAATTCCGCCGTTAATTAACTCATCTAATGCAGTTAAACAAAGGATTACAGTTACGGCGTTTGAGACCCTAACCGTGTCGACCTGTCTGTCGGCTTCGTTAAATTAATATGAAATTACAACATTCCCCTTTGTCATCAACATGCTTAACGCTCTTTAATTGTGCCAGAAATGAATGAAAAGCATAACATTCAAGATACATAATAATTATATGGATATTTTTTAAAAAAAACGTCGGTTTGCGATACTCTTGCTGTATTTATATTAAAACGTTTCACACACAAAGTAAGCACGTCGACTCAGAATCATGATATTAAATTATTAATATTTTTAGATATGCCGTAAACATGTGTGCAGAATATACCGCAAGCTAATCAGCACCCACAAAAGCATTTTATGATAGTGCGTCAATGCACATATTAATGCTTAATTTACACAGGCGTAAAAAACAGTAAAGCGCTGTACAACAACAGCAACACTTTTTACTACGCACTGCCACAAGATTTTTCCAAAAAATGGCACCGTATTGTACAGTACATAGTTAACATATTATGTGACGGGAAGACAAAAATGATATGCGCACGGGCCGCTCTCAGTACTCTGTATATAAAGTCTACAGTATCTATATTCGTGTGCAGGCATGCGTGATATCCCGCGTCTATGAACATAACTAATGTTGTACGATTAAAACATGATGGGAATTGTGGAAGCAAAAAAATTACACGTTTTGGTATTTTATACGACTTTTATTCGGTAACGGTTTTCTGTGCTTGTTGGTTTGCTAATCTACAGTACTTCATACTGGCATAAATGACACTCACTGGTCAGTTGATTACAATAATCACTGTACTTCCGCTAACGTTAACTTACCAGTTAGCCTGAATTAGGCAATTAATTAAAAGTTAAGACATGTTGAGATTTAAATCAGAATGTTAGAGCAGCGATGGAAACTTTCTTGTATTGCACATGATTATTGTGTATACGTGTGCCGTGACAGTCGTACGAAAATGGCACGGTGTTGTAGATTTTTTAACAGGTCGAGTTTATTTATGCTTAAATAATTTTTTTACCAGATGACTAGGACTGTCAGTTTGTTTCGGCTTCCGATTGTGTTGTCGTACCGAGGTAACTCGATGTCCTGGTAGTTGATACCGACTTCTTCCGTGTGCGGGACAGTGGTATTCATTTTCCTGGAAGTTGAAATATGTTCCCGCCATTTCCCTGTTCATAGTAAAGAGTCACTCCGCTAGTGTGTGATTCACGACTCGCAGTGAGACGGCAGCCCATTTTATAATCAAAATGCAGGAAATTTGGTATTAATTCTGATTTATTAGCGGATTAGCCCTTGGTTATTTTCAGCCCACTGGTCTTTTCAGGTTTTCAACAGTGTTGAGGTTATCACTGTGTAAATCAGTTTCCGATCCATTGTTTAAAGTCATTTTTCGGAAGTTTGTGCTGCTTCGAGGTGAGGAATTACTGACTAGACCGTGCAAATCAGACGTGATCCATTCGGATTTTGGAGAACCCATGATTGGTCTCTGGTCTGCCTTGAAATGGACGGTGTGGCTGTAGCTGTCCCTGCCTCTCTTCCGGTTCCCGATGATCTTTTAGTTCTGTCTTGATGATATAGACAGTACTGACTTATCCATTTATTTTATGTGCTGTACTTAAGAACAAATTTTGTCCGTATACGTAGTAAATTGAAAAATCCTGGAACTACTAATATTTTTATATCGAAGCAGTCGGGTTATTTCAGTCGAAATTTGTCCATATGTTAGGTTTTAGAACTTCTCAACAGCACCATTATTGATTACGAAATTTTTTGTGATGCATGAGGAACGATGAGTTCCCAGTTCAATCATGTTTTGGAGAAATGTTATTTCGTGATGGACACGCTGTATTCATTTTATGCAGCTCGTTTTTTTCTTAATGATTGTGGAGAACTCGCCAAATTTGTTTTCCAGGGTTTTGTACACAAATGCCTTGAATTATCTTGATTTATCAAATTCACTAGCGTTTTATCGTTTGTCCGCAGGACTTTACCGTTCGTTGGAAATTTGGTACGTCAAGAGCATTTGGGAGACAGACTGGCGTCGTAGTGTGGTCTGTCTGGTTCGGACCTGCAGTTTGCTGCACATAGCCTGCACAGGTCAGAACCGTAGTAGGTTGGCCGGCCTAAAGATGCATAACTGGTGAAGATTACCATAGTACTAGTAAAATAATCTATGCTTTTGAAGCCTTTCAATAATACGAAAGATACGACAGAAGGGACAATAATACCAATTCAGCGTTTTGTAATTTTTACCTGTCCGCTTGTATTAAGTTTACCGTTTTCCCGTTATTTACTTCATTATTTATATTGTGAATCACCGTTCACCACCACTCCTTTCTTCCACCTACAGCTGAATGTTTGAACTGAGGCAGCTTTGAAATTCTCGATATCAATATTTTTTCAGACCTTATCTCGGCGGTGACTTGTTTGGCACCATCTGGTCGCGCTTCTTAGTAGGCGCGACTTAATGGACGCGCCTGGTGCCAGTAATAACGCATACGGTGAGGTCCATAATACTGCATTATTTAATTATAAAGCATTAAGCTAACTTAACTGTTTCAGGCACTCTACTCAATCACAGTCCCAATGAACCCAAGTACAAATTTTCTGGTCAGCACTACGTCAATCATGGCGAAGAGGACCAGATGGTATGTGCGGAAAGAAAAAAAATGTTATATTTTTCGTTTTAATATGCAAATGTGACGTTAGGAATTTTTAGAGCTATTAGCAGTACAGTTTTGTTCAAATTAGTGAATGAATTACATTTTTCGAATATACTGCTCGTTGTGAGAATAAACATTCCCGGCAGGAAATTTTTGGGTATCGGCGAAATCACGTGAAGACTGTACTGACATGGCTGTTGGTGATCGGCACGGCCGGCTTCCTTCATTTGTTATTCTTTTGGAAACCGGAATGGCGATTATATATGATGTTTTCGCGTTGCTCGCTGAACATCGCAACATGCGTTTTGCTGAAGGTACATGCTAATAGCAAGTGTGGCTGTTCCAATTCATTAACCGGTTTGCAATTCAGGATGAATATGGGCAGCAGTTTGTCAGTCGAATTGAAATTTTGGATTACCGAAGTGCTAAGAAAACGTAAGCAATCCGCTGCGCTCTGATACGTCAGCTGCTGAAAGAGCATTTGTGCATGATGCATTGCAGAAAATCCAGTGATGCGGAAGAAGGATTTGAGTTAATAGAAAGCGCTCCATTTGTGGTACCTGGAGGAAAAGTGAGTTTGAAACTTCCGTTCAGCTGCAGTAGTCGGTAAACATTTGATAAAGTTAGAACCGCCGCGGTTATTTTCTAGTTTTTATCGTATTGAAAATGGTAGAGTTTTCAAAATCAGTTTTATTACTTGCAAGGAAGTACTAAAAATCTGATTTTTCATGACCGGCACACACTCATGCCCATTCTTATTCATAGGGAAATTTTGTCCCGGCTGCCACAATTAAATGCTTTGAATGTTGTCGTGCTACGTACTGGTGGAATGAAGTCATTCATGGTTTCGAGAAAGCCCAGGGTCTCGGTGATGATGTGCCAGTGGAATATTTCCTTGAACAACAGGGACTCTCCAAGGACGAGCAGACGAAGAGGTGCTGCGTATGCATTTAAAAATTTAAAAATTTGACTTGGATTTTTGAATGACCGATTTGTCTGTAGACGTAGGCTTTTTGGTGAAAATTCCATCTCAGTGGAAGTGGAGCCAGTATTTCGGATTATGATAAAAGAAGTGAGGAAGTTTAACTATTGCACATTATTTCCTTCCCTTTCAAATTTCCTTTCTGTTTAGGCTCTTAATCCATTTTATATCTTCCAAGCATTCAGTGTGACCGTATGGTTTATTGATGGGTAAGTGTACTTGTGCATTCAACAAAATCACCAAATTTGTGTTGACGTTTTTAATTTAGATATGTTTATTATGCCGGCGCTATTGTGCTGATATCGACTGTTTCCATTGCACTGACTGTGCACGAGACCAGGACGCAACAAAAGGCTTTGCGTGATCGCGTTCATGATGTCGAGGTGAGATAACACAAGGCTCTTAGGCGATGTAGTTTTTAGTTTACAGCGACAATTATGCTTACGAAGCACCTGTTTAGGCTTTCCCGTATCGCTTGTCCCGCTAAATGAGCTTTCCGAATTTACCAAACATAATGTCGTCAAATGATACTTACTATTTTGTGGTTTTTATCCATGTTCTTACTTTTTCTTGTCGTATAATAGGTAGTGCAAATAATGAGGAGCGATGGAAGTGTGGAAACAGTTGAAGGATCGTGTTTGGTACCCGGTGATATAATTATCATTCCGCCTCATGGATGTACAATGGTTTGCGACGCTGCACTCATTGCGGGAAATTGCATCGTTAATGAAAGCGCCCTTACAGGTATGGTTCGGAATAATAAAATTAACTAGACGCCACTGGTGAAATAAGTTTCGCATTCATGCTACGAGTGCATTATTGCCATTCATAGCGGTCGTTTTAGGGGAAAGCGTACCGGTGACTAAAACGCCGCTCAACTCTGATCAGGAAAATGAGATATTTAAAATTAGAGCCCAGGCTCGGCATATCTTATTTTCTGGAACTCGGGTACTTCAGACAAGGTTTTATGGAAATGAGTTAGTGAAAGCCGTTGTGATACGTACAGGTATTTATCGCTTTTTATGTTATACTCATTGAAATTGAAAATTTGTACTTTTATTGATGGAATTCACAGAACAGTGTTTTTGATAATTAAAAGTGATTCTTTTCTCCAGGATTTATGACTAGCAAAGGCGAACTAGTGCGCAGTATTATGTTTCCGGCCCCCGTGGATTTCCAGTTTTATCGTCACACTTACATGTTTGTTGGGGTTCTCGCCGCGGTGGCTGGATGCGGTCTCGTATATTCAGTTAGTTTAAGGGTATGGATAAACCTGTAATATTAAAAAGCCGAGATATTTTACGCAACATTTCTGTTAGATTTATCGTCAAGAAGAATTGAAACAGATTATTATCCGTTCTCTGGATTTGATTACCATTGCTGTTCCTCCCGGTAAGTATGGACCTGCGAGAAAAGAGTAGTTTTGTAAGGAGACTATGAATATTGCGACTTCGCCCCGATACCATAACCTTGTTTCTTTTAGCGCTTCCTGCTGCACTTACCGTGGGCATTGTATTTGCGCAACGAAGGTTGAAGCAGTCGAAAGTGTTCTGCATGAGCCCGAAAACGATCAACATTTCTGGAACGACAAATTTGATATGCTTTGACAAGGCAAGTTTTATATTTCCATATTTTAGGCGCTGTTTTGATTTGTGGGCTTTTGGGCAGACTGGAACTCTAACTGAGGATGGGTTAGACTTCAAAGGAGTAGTTCCAGCGGAAGACGGAAGGTATTAATTTTGGATGTTTATTAGTAGTGTTACTGTCTTGTAGGTTCAGTATCGGAATCAGACTTAAATGGGTATAATTCTGATCGTTCACTTCTCAGGTTTGATCAGATGCTTGAATCAGTTGTGTCGCTGGATCGCGGACCTTTGATATTGTCCATGACGACCTGCCACTCGTTGACATTGATTAATGGAGAATTATCTGGGGACCCTCTGGATCTTATAATGTTTAAAGCTACCGGTTGGGTGAGTCTTATTATTTGACAAATTAACGCATTTATTTTTGACATCAACATTAATTATTGCTGAAAAGGATGTAATGGTTTTAATGCGCTTTCTAATTTCGTTTCGTTAAATTGAATTGTTTAGACTTTGGAAGAACCGCATACAGAGGATACATCCAAATTCGATCTTCTTGTTCCAACATTAGTTAAACCCAGAAAACGACACGCTGAGGAAGAAGTATGGTCTGGTTTATTGCGGTGCCGTTTTAAGTGCTTGAAAAGATGTTTGCGCCATTAGGAACCGGATGAGGTTGGCATCGTACGCGAATTTCCCTTTACGTCAAGTTTGCAACGAATGAGCGTGATCGTCAAACAACTTCATGTGCAAACGTTCCAGTATTTTTGCAAGGGAGCACCCGAAAAAATTCTGACGTTATGTCGGCCGGAAACAAGTGCGTTGTTTTCAGCTTCTTGTTTCCTTTTATTTTCTTACATGGTGTTTTTGTAGTTCCACCTGATTTTTACTCCAAGTTGGAATCTTTCACTCGGAAAGGCGATCGCGTAATTGCGTTGGCTTGGAAAGATTTAGGAAATGTTCGGTTTTTAAAAATTCACAAGCTGAAAAGGTAGACCCAGCCTTGACGAGACTTGATTTGTCATTTTACGTTTGGTGTTTGTTGGACCTTAGAGAGGAACTGGAAATCGATTTACACTTTCTGGGCTTCTTATTGATGGAAAACCGCTTGAAACCAGATACGACCCAGGTCATCGGAGTTCTGAAAAAGGCCGGATTGAGACCGGTGATGGTTACGGGTGACAACATCCAGACAGCGATCAGTGTGGCTCGGGAGTGTGGCATAGTCGGACTTACAGAAGATATTCAGATTGTAACTGCTGACCAGCAGAAAATGAACTGGGCGTGGACGGCCGATATGACAGCAGAAGATCGGGTATGTAAATGAGAATCTTTATCCTTTGTTTTCTTAAAATATAACTTTGGTATTCCGTTTGCTAAAGCTTAAAAAAATAATTAAGCCTGTTATTTTGCATTACTAGAAAATGCTTTCCAAAGAATTGGCCAGGGGACATCCAGATGACAAGATTCATTTAGCTGTAGCGGGATCATCATTCGAAAACATCCGCAAATTCCATCCTGAAGGTTTAAAAAAGGTTTGCATATTAGCAGTTCCATTCTGTCTGAAGTTTAACCAGATTATGGTTTTAAAATCTGATAATTTGCATTTTTAGCTTTTGCTCGAAGGGGCAATATTTGCGAGGATGTCACCTTTTGAAAAGGAAATGTTAATTGATTGTTTTAAAGACGAAGGATTTTTTGTCGCTATGTGCGGAGATGGGGCTAATGATTGTGGTGTAAGCATCCAGATATTGTTTACCTTTGGGCATACTGCAGAAATTTCTTGTGCAGGCGCTGAAGTCGGCACACACAGGAATCTCATTATCTGAATCAGAGGCAGCCGCAGCGGCGCCATTCACTTACACGAAGGGAAGCATTCGATGTGTTCCAGAAATTATCCGCGAAGGCCGCGCTGCTTTGGTCACCTCTTTTGGAGTATGCTTTAAGATTCAATTGTTCTATTGTAAAATTATACTTTGTGTCGTTTTGCAGATTTTCAAGTACATCGCCTGTTACAGTTTGACGCAATTCGTTTCGTGCCTTCTTTTGTACTGGGTTAGTTTTTAATCTGAGTTGGCTGTTTACTAAATATGTTCGCAATTCTTGTTTGGCATTTAGGTGAAAACCAATTTAGCGGATTGGCAGTTTCTGTACATCGATATGTTTGAGCTGACAATTTTAAGCATAACGTTTGGCCGAACTGGAGCTTATAAGCGCATAGTAAAGGATCCACCGCCCTCGAGCCTGATGGCATTCGTTCCTATATTTTCCCTTGTGATGCATTTAATTATTGTGATAACGGCACAAGTTGTTGCATTCCTGTTGGTCCAGCAGAAGGATTGGTTCAAACCCCGTGACGTGGTGCTGCTGGAGTTGAATGCTACGGATCCACATCACGAATACCGATCGTACGAAAACTATACGGTCTTTACCGTATCCACTTTCCAGTACATTTGGTTAGCGTTGGCATTTGCGAAGGGTCCACCGTATCGACGGCTGATTTTGACCAACGGTAAATTTCGTCTTTTGCTTATGCTGTTTAGGATCAAGTTTGTAGGGTGGACGTAACTGTTTGTCGAATTAAGCGACACAATGCCTCTACAGTTTTCTATGTTTGCAGCTTTTTTCATGGCGACAGTTGTGTTCTTCTGCTGTTTTGACACGTTTTTGACACTGTGGCCAACAGAACCTATTAAGGCCTTATTTCAGGTAAGTACGCATTCTTCTGCCTTAACAGACAGACTTTCCAAGTTTATTGTTAAACAAATGGAATCATTTCAGCTGTACCCACCTGAAGATTTTAATTTCCGTGGAACTATAATCGGTATTGCTGTCGTAAATCTGCTTTGCTCGTTGCTGCTTGAGGCAAGTACTGAAATTACTTCCAGTTATATTCAGTTTTCAAACCGAAATGTATTCGAAAGAACAAACCTTTTTTCAGATATTTTGTGTGGACTATGTGATATTTAAGAAAGGCGGCAAGCATGTTAAGTGGATACGCAGTTCGACATACCTTGGTGATATCGAAGCGGCGATTCGCAGTAAAATTGATACTCAGTGGTGGACACACATTGAAATCTCACCGTCCAAGCCTCTTTTGGCCACAGGACCTCCGTCCAGAGAGTCTCAAGCCGGAATTGTCGGTGGTGACGCGTTGATTGAGCCGTCACCGTCGTTTACTAGCAACATGGGTGGCGGTGTGACCATGGGCGCTGCAGCCGTGCCCTATCTTGAGGAATCTCCTGTTTTCCCCCCTGATCTCGGACAGCAGTTGAATCTTCTTGAAGCAGGAGTCTATTTAGAACCAGGAGCCGAATTTGCGGATGAAGAGCGCAGTAATGAAGATCGCAGCGAAGTGATACCACTTTTGGATCCCCCTCCATTGTCTCTCTCCAGAGGGCACAGCCGGGAACCGGATTTAATGGACGGGAATCATTATGTTTCAGGGGACAGTTTTTTGAGAATAGCTGAATCTGAAGGGTTACTACCGGCCGATCAGCTCGACGGGGAAGAAAGTAGGCCGGTAGGACCAAGCGCTGGGTTTGTGCATCCGAGAAGTACTAGCGACGAAGGAGCTGGATTGTACCAACCGGATGTGAAGTACACTTAACTGACCAATACAGACTTTTGTGTATTAATTTTCCATTTTTGTGTTTTTTTATGGGGTTTGTTGAATGTTCAGTTGTTATTTCATTTGTTACTGTACCATGTTTTGAATGGATCGCTGGTCGAATGGGTCTGGTTTCTGGGCTTGGTGTGCAGCCCGCGATAGTTGCGCTGGACAATTCGGCCGCTAACAACTAACAATCTGTCGTCTCACTGTGTCTCGGTTTTTTACGAATAAAAGATGACTTACGAAAGCAGTTGGCTTTGCACTTTGATTTTTGGTTTGCTATTATTGAACAAAAGTTGGCTTTTTCAAAATCATCTCTCAGCAAAGGGTAGGTTATACTAACTATAGTTGGCTATTTTTTATGGGTTTAATCCAGCGATGTTAGCGAGAAAATTTTGCTACAATGTTTTGACCTTGTGAGTTGTGATACTAATTGCGGATTGCCCCGTGCACTGGCGCCGTGATCTTAAGGTTCTTCAAAGTGTTTGGTCTTCCAATGTTTTACAGCGTTGATGAATCTGTTTAGTAAACCACGTGAATTACAATATAGCAGGTGACAGGTTCGTATTAATTCTAAAGCTGAAACTTCTTGCTTTCTCATAGATCACGGGTTAAATAATGGGTTAGATGAATTAAATTCTATCAACCGGTACACATCGGAATATGGCAGTTTGTAATCTGGCACGATACTACGCAATGCCTAATGCCCAATGGTAAGTACCACCAGATGGGATTGTAAATTGTTCTTCAGCATCTTTGACTGGTACATTCTTTCCCTGTCTTTTCTTTAATTAAGGCCAGCGCGTATCATCCCCTCGTATCATTACATGTCATGGTCCTTCCATTTTGGCGCAAGAATCTTGATGCAGAAATGATGCTTTAATAGTCTTATATAGACGCTTACGAGGTACACTACGTAATCTGGGATTTTGCTGGCTAGCGGTAAACTTGGTGCTGTGCTTGCATCGATTAATTACGTGCCAATAAAATCCCAGCTCTTAACAATAAACCAGAACCCCCTCTAAACCTTGCGTTGCCCTCTGTAACTGCGGACATAGTAAGAATAAATCTTCTTTCACCCCAACCCGTGATGACTGGCATTAATTGTCATCTCCCTTCCGGTCAGCATCTTATTGGCAGTGCAAAGCAGTTTAGACTTTAGGGAAGGTTTTTTATTGGGTTACACAAATGAACATTGGTTAAACGCTGTAGAGTATACATTCAAAGATAAGTAATGGTAGTGGATCGGCCAATTCGCTAAAAAGCAGCTAAGTCGGCTCTTGTAATAGTTATTTATTATTTATACTGTAGAAGTACAAGGTAGCCTCGCGCATTCGCGCTCGGCACTTAAGTACTGGAAATTATGAATATTTTCAAATAAGACATAAGCACACAGGAAATTGTAAAAATTTTGGATAATTGGGAAGGTATGGAAAATGTGATTTATTTAAGACTAAGATTGAAATCGTATATACGCTTTTGTAGTCGTATTTCATAAGACGTAATAACGTTCTAAGGTTTAATTTTTTACGTTCGGACGTTCTTACGTTCTGACCTTCTAACGTTTTAAAGTTCTGACGTTCTGAATTTCCGACGTTCTGACGTTTTTAATTTTTCACGTTCCGACTTCCTGACCTTCTGACGGTCTAACGTTCTGATATTCTGACGTTCTAACGTTCGGATATTCTGACGTTCTGAATTTCTGACGTTTTAAATTTTTCACATTCTGACATTTTGATATTCTGACGTTCTATCGTTCTGACGTTCTAACGTTCTGACTTTCTAAAGTTCTGACGTTCTGATATTCTGACATTCTGAATTTCTGACGTTCTGACGTTTTTAATTTTTCACGTTCTGACTTTCTGACCTTCTGACGTTCTAACGTTCTAATATTCGGACGTTGTAACGTTCTGATATTCTGACATTCTGACGTTCTGACGTTTTGAATTTTTCACGTTCTGACTTTCTGACCTTCTGACGTTCTAACGTTCTGATATTCTGACGTTCTAACGTTCTGATATTCTGACATTCTGAATTTCTGACGTTCTGACGTTTTTAATTTTTCACGTTCTGACTTTCTGACCTTCTGACGTTCTAACGTTCTAATATTCGGACGTTGTAACGTTCTGATATTCTGACATTCTGAATTTCTGACGTTCTGACGTTTTTAATTTTTCACGTTCTGACTTTCTGACCTTCTGACGTTCTAACGTTCTGATATTCTGACGTTCTAACGTTCTAATATTCGGACGTTGTAACGTTCTGATATTCTGACATTCTGAATTTCTGACGTTCTGACGTTTTTAATTTTTCACGTTCTGACTTTCTGACCTTCTGACGTTCTAACGTTCTGATATTCTGACGTTCTAACGTTCTGACATTCTGACGTTCTAACGTTCTGACATTCTGAATTTCTGACGTTCTGACGTTTTTAATTTTTCACGTTCTGACTTTCTGACCTTCTGACGTTCTAACGTTCTAATATTCGGACGTTGTAACGTTCTGATATTCTGACATTCTGAATTTCTGACGTTCTGACGCTTTTAATTTTTCACGTTCTGACTTTCAGACCTTCTGACGTTCTAACGTTCTGATATTCTGACGTTCTAACGTTCTGACATTCTGACGTTCTAACGTTCTGACATTTTGGATTTCTGACGTTCTGACGTTTTTAATTTTTCACGTTCTGACATTCTGACGTTCTAACGTTCTGATATTCTGACGTTCTAAATTTCTGACGTTTTTGATTTTTCACGTTCGGATTACCTGACGTTCTGTTTTTTGACGTTCTGACTTCTGATGTTTTTACGTTGTGACGTATAGATACTGTATAAGCGACATACTGGGCGATGTACCTTTTATGGACGTTTGGGTACTAATTTATTGCTCACATACCTCGTAACAATTATTATCTATACTAAAAAGAAAGTATTAATATGTATCCGCTATAGTCTCCGTGGTTACAGTCATCATGTTAAGTACGAGTACTTACTTTGTATTGCTGTGCAGACTGCAGTAGTGAATACTTCTTCGAGTGCTCTTTACGTTTCCTATACTTAAGACCTGGTGGAACCATCTTCTGACCACTGGTTAATTAAAAAAAACAAAAATCTATTGGCACACCTATGGAAAATATGGAATTTTTTAAGACCAAGCTGGACTAAAACTGACCACGCGTTGACGAGTCTATAAAAACGGCGCATAAATACGTTTTGGTCGGTAAGATTGTATGAATATATATATATATATAAAGATAATAGACAGTGTCCTATACAGTACTGTACTTACAGTATTAAATACATGTACAATGTACATGTACTAGTACAGTAGTAAGTACTCCCATTTACGTGCTTATCGCACTGCGATTCATTGCCCATGCACTACGATTGTCAGCTATTATGGTTACATACTACAGCGTAACTGCATACATAGCCCATGCATACTAGTTAGTTCAGTTTTTTTTCTGGCTTGGAATTCTTTTAAGTAATGTAGAAGTTATACAATTCCAATTAATTTTTTGTCGTTTATCGTGTTATGTTATGACTTATGAGTATTGAGTTAGATGTTATTCAGGCAGATACTACTGTACTAATTTGATTTTTTGTGGTCTGGAATCATAATGTTATTGGATTTGGTATGCGATTGACTTTTGCGGTGGTGTAGGAAACAAGGACAATGGTATAAACACTAACAACTAACAAATAAAACACTTGTTTCCATTTTCTGTGGAAGAAATGGCTCAAGGCAAGTAAATGCAAGAACCGTAAAATATTTTGGGTCTTGCTATTTTAAATACATCCGTTGTAGTGTTATCAAGAGGAACGTTGGAGGAACTGTGCAAAATTGCTGCACGATGGCGCGTGCACGGATTAGGGCGACGAGGGTTCGCCGCTCCGGCTACGAACGCCCGCACTGACACCTCCGCAGAACCCATGCAACCCAGTAAGACTGGACCAACTGGACGTGTAAAAATAAAAGTACCCAAGCGAATTGATCGCAGCCCTACCGCGATACTGGAAACGCTAGCGTCTACCGTGGGTCGCGATCCTACAGCTCCGCATTATCGATTCATGGACGGTAGATATACATTCCGTGACACTGGTGTCCCCTTGGTATCTTTGCACCGTAATTTAGAAAAAGATTTGCAGATCCATATTTTATCCCTACCAACAACTTGAATAAGCGCGGCATGGCACTGTCGAAAGAATCGGGCCGGAAAGCAGCGCGCTACATGATTAAAAAATTCCCCGACATCGTGGAGAAACCGCATGCTGAACCGACGATTCCCGCATTTCTGCCTGCGTCCGTGGCCGATCCAAAGGTGCCGGATTCGTGCACAGAACAGGATATGGTGCAATTTATGCGCAGCCATGCACTGGCGACAGCGACGGCAGTGTGGAAATCCCTGAAGCAGCAAGGTGTCAGCATCGCTGCGGAGCTGGAAGAGGAGCTGCTGCAGCGCTTATGCTTTACCAACAGTGAAAGTATAGAACCCGATCAGGTTGGCCTACCGGAGGAGAGGTGGTATGTGCACTACCTACAGAAAGAGGTACGAAAGTTTAATGCAGATTATGCCGATCGACGAAATCATACTGCGGATAAGCTTGTTCAGAAAATAATATAATAATTGCAAATAAAATTTTTTGAACCGTGAGTGAAGCGCACCGTTCAAAAATTCAAGCCGGTTATTATTTCTGGATAATTCCCTAAATTTTTTTCGTTAACTTTCACGGAGTTACACTTGTGCAGTTTTTTAAAATACGGTGTTATACTTGTGAATCTGAGTTGTGATCGTTTTACGAGATTTCATAACAATACAGAAACGGTATGAATACAGATGCAGCCCAAATGGAAAATCGGTGGACTGGCGGACGAAGTGTTTAACGGTATGCAGACGAAATCTCCTGTCGCGTATTCCGCCATGATCTGTGGTACTGCTAAATATCTTGCGGTTGACATCGCCAATACGCTTTTTACCGAAATGGAGCAGCAGAATATGCCCATGACCGTGGATGTGTTTAATGCTATGCTGGGAATTGTGCGCTATTTGCGCGACGACACCGACAGTCGCTGGGAGTTAGCCATGTCCTTGTTGTCAAAGATGGATTATTTGGGTATTGCACCAAATCTGCACACGTTCAATAATGTCCTGGATGCGGTGTCTCGTGTGGCAATGTGGAGGAAGGGCCGCGATATGGCGCTAGCCACCGTCGCGGAAATGTACCGGTGCGGTATTGAGCCAAGTCTAGCCACATTCTCCTATCTGTTGAACATCTTTTGCCGAGAACGGGGACCAGTAAGCCATATTCTACACGACATTCTACCATTTATAGAAAATAACAAATGGACGGCTCAAGATGTTCGTGACACCCAGTTCTGGGCAGCGGCCATGGAGGTTGCCACTCGTCATTTGCAGGATCCGGAGGCGGCCAAGCGTGTGCATTCAGCATTAATGGCGAATAATAACACTGATTTCATTGTGAATGCTCACAAGGAGCAGATGTATTACAATAATTTTTTAAAATTCTTGGTCGTCAGCGAGACAGTGGAGGGATTTATGAGTTACTACGATGATTTGATCCCGATGACTTTCACTCCGGATGTGGCTTTGGTTGTAGAAATCATGAGGTAAGCGAATTTGTTTCGAAGGATCATTAGCAACTACTAACGTGTTTGATTTGCAATTTAGGTATTGCGTATTTTTGGAGTGTACTTTAGGTATTGCGTAATGGTATTTTGGCGCTGTGTAATTTTTGTATATCAATTTGTTTGTAAAAACTAAAAGCTGATTTCGGCTTTTGTTAAAGTATTCAGTGTTGTTTCACTCGTTAATGGTAGTGTTGCTATCAAGTATTCGAATTCAAATCAGTTAAATTTGATGGAAGTATGATTATTATGTTTGTTTGTTAGAATGTTGGAAACTCATGATCGACTTGACCTTCTTCCACGGATATGGAGCGACACGATTTTATTTGGCTTTGCCCTAAAGGAAAATATTGTGGATACCATCTTGGAGATCATGTTGGCTAATGGAGATGAGAAATTAGATAAACGATTTTCCATTATTGCCCAAGACATCCAGAATCGTATAAATAAACAAACGCCGGACCGTGCACAGCTTCTCCGTTGGACTGGGCAGCGCTGCGGCGCCGTCAGTTCTCTCCTACTACGTTTTGGTCTGATCGACGAGGCGTGGAGTGTGCTGAATATGTATATAGCTAAGCAGGACGAGTTCACAGGAGTCCCGAGTGCAGCAGCTTTGTCTGAAGCTGTTGATGCATTGTTATCAAAGGGAAAAGTGCATTTGCCGAAACTGAAAACATTATTGAAGCTGGCTAATGATGTTGGATTTGATGATGTGACGGCGAAGGTTGACGATATTGTGAACAAGTTGGCCTTGGGCGAAGAGGAAGCCGGTGCCCTACGCGTGGCTGCCGGTGCAAACGCCCCGCGCGCTCTCAAGCCGGGGTCGGATGAAGAATGATGTAGTATGAATTTTGTTATTTTTGCGTTTTTATTTTTGAATGTTGTGGGGCTGTTTGCTCGCTGGTCGGCAATAAAGCAAATTCTTACCCCTTGGTCCGGCATGCAGAAATAAACTTTCATGGAACAGACTCAATAGAATAGGTGTCGAGTGGCAGCAGTGTGCTTATTTATAAACATCTGTCTCGTCTCCTCTTTGTGCGCTTTTGTCTTGCGACATATGTACGATACGTCACTTTATACCACGTTGGTTAGCTTCCCCGATCTTCCGGAATCATGCATCTTGTTGTTGACAGTTTTTAACAGCACGTAATCTGTTGTTGCACGATCAAGTTTCACTATACTGTACGTTCATCTCATTACATACCCCGCCAAACAAACGTCTCGGCTGTACCTGGCCGTTTAGTTCAGATGTTAACTTTTTTTATTTTCCGTGATGTCCGTAATTCAGAATTTCATTGTTATCAAGCGGGCGAGCGAAGCGAGCCCGCGTTTCTTTTAAGGTGATGCAAAGTGCAAAGTTCCTCACGGGGAGAGCCAATGCTGTCTAAGCGGTTCACCATGTGTGACTTTCTGTTCTGACCAGCTCACCACGAGCGTAGCATGACTAGACACATGTATCGGAAGATGCCCATTCTACATATTTCTAAACCTGATTTTAGTTTTTCGTCCGTTCGTACGGGACGTACTAATAAAGTTAAGCCTGCGATCCGGCCGCACAGTGAGTTTGTGTTTCTTTATTCTGGCAATCGTAATCATAGCTGCTTCGTGACCTTACGTCTAGCTCCCTGGAAGTGCTGTATAAGCAATCCAGGTGAGATGCTTTAAGTGCATCGTCGAAACTACACTAAAAAAGACTGCAACAATACATAAATGTTAAATAATTAATAAGTTGTTAGTACGGTAGGAATACAAGGGAATAGGTATTAGGAAGGGATACCGGCTGATTGGCAGAGAACAGTGAAATCAAATTATAGCGGACATAAGATTACAACCAAAATATTTACAGATACATGGAATACAGTAGCACAAAAGGGTATCGGTTTCTTCCGTGGTACGAACAGGGTGACATCTAACCTTTAGTAATCAAGCGGGCGAGCGAAGCGAGCGCGCGTTTCTTTTAAGGTGATGCAAAGTGCAAAGTTCCTCACGGGGAGAGCCAACGCTAATGTGACCTTTAGGGTACTTGACACCTCAAAAGACGTGAGTTCCTCACGCGGCGAGCCCGAAAGGTCACAGTGGTGACCCTTAGTGACCTTTTGGGTTCTTGACACCCTCGAAGACGTGAGTTCCTCACGCGGCGAACCCGAAAGGTCACAGCGGTGACCTTTAGTGACCTTTGGGATTCTTGACACCCTCGAAGACGTGAGTTCCTCACGCGGCGAACCCGAAAGGTCACAATGGTGACCTTTCGGGTTCTTGACACCCTCAAAGACGTGAGTTCCTCACGGGGCGAACCAGAAAGGTCCCTGTGGTGACCTTCAGCACCTATGGTTCACTTCGTACCACTTTATAAAATCAGCCGCTTTTTAGTTCACCTTGTTTTCTTATGCATCCCGCACTTATCCTGTGCGCCTTTACGTTGTACAGTAAAACCTCTTAATACGAAACCTCTCGATATAATACAGACACGGTTCCATCGGTTCGTTTGTTATGACCGGGTTTATTTTTATAGAGAAGGCAGCGTTGTTTTTAGGGGGCAAGGACAGTAGTGTGAAGTGTTGGCGGAATGGCCACAAAAATTTTATTACTGCGGCAGTTAACAAGACATTAAAAACGTAATAAATACAATGCCAAATATAATTTTTGATGAAATTAACTGTTAACTAACTGTCTTTAAGAAAGTTATAGAAAGCAATATAATGGGTTTGCTAAAATTATTTCCTTCAGACGTTAATGTAATGTGATTGCATCACATTACATACGCGTTACTGTATGTACCGTCAGAGTATGCAGCCGCAGCTGAATGTAATACAGAGGTTCTCTTCACCCGTAAAACTGCATTTGGTTCCGCGGAAAGTGTATGTAGCTGTTATGAAGAGGTGAATTCTATAAAGAGTATCTTCCGTATGCTACAGTCTACGAGACTATCCAGTTCCTTACATTTTGAATGTTATAGACGAGTGTACCAAATAAAGAGTGTTTTAAGGAGAGGTTTTACTGCATTCTGCCTTTTGCAAGTGCATCTGACTTTGTCTTACTGTGTTGCATTAACGTACTCCCACGAATTCACCTGTATGCTGTCCATCATCAACAGTCCATGTTGACAACGTATTTTTTAAATCTCTTTAGTTTTCTGCTGGAGCGGTGAATGCGTGTTGAACACAGACCGAATACGTGGGAATGCGCTGACATGCTGCAAGAAGCTGCAGTAAATCAGTCATGAAGGCGAGATAAGCGAGGGAAAATACTTTAGGAATAAAGGCAGAATACAGGAAAAAAAAATACAACCTTTATTGCGATTTCTTCCCTATCCAGGCGTGCATGCCTGACCATTACTTACATCCAGGAAAATCCTATAGTCGCGCAAGAGAACAGGACAGTACATTATTTCTTATGCTCATAATCCAGTTACATAATATACATCTTTTTTTTTACTTACAGCGTTTAGTCTCCCGGCATTAAAACCCAAAACCTCCGATGCTTAATTACTGTTAGATTTAAGTTTGTTTTGAAAAATTTTTTTTTTCTAAAATTTTCCAAAAGAAATGGAGTAAAAGGGAAAGCATGGAGAGACTAAACTAAAACAAAAATGTCTTGTTCTTTTTGCGACTGTACATATCTTAATTTCTTATATCGCAATAAGGTAAATTGTAACGGAACATCATGTCACAACAACCATCATCGGAGACACGAGACTGAGGACCATAACAGCATCAATGACGATCGTGCTGAGATCGACCGGCAAGCAAGAACGACTAACGTGCATTAACAGTGAACAGGTTGTTCGGGCGTGGTACACTCCACTCTTTATTCGATTTATTTAGGAAAATAACATAAGAACAAGTTAGGGAAATTACTTTTAAGTTATTCAATAGCTGCTTCGTTTGGCACGCTTTCGCAGTTTGCCGGATGGTAGTGGCAATTCTGGCGATGCCGGTCACGGCAGTACGGGCAACCATTCCCCTTGAGCCGATGGCTAGGTGGTAGTAGTCGGTCTGCCATCCAGCACTGGTTAGCTGGTCTACCAGAGGAGCATAACGGCAGCGCTTCCTGGACTCCGCGTTGGCAAATCCTTGCACGGTTTCAAAGGGAATGGTTACCTCAGCTAAAATAATACGCTTCTCTCCGCGGTTAACACAGCATAGATCAGGGCACAGAGAGGTAGGAAGCACATCAAGAGGGATAGTGTTATTGTGACTTTCGTAATTCTCAGAATTTAGGTCAGACAAAATTTCCCATTTATTTTTATCAGCCACACCAGTCAAGAAACGAAAGATAGCTTGAACAATGCTATTATGGCGCCAGGTGTACCGATGGCTGTTCAGCGACACCGAACAACTGTTGAGGATGTGACAGAGAGATCCTTTATCTGCCCCACATAAATCACAGTTAGCCGAAACGATTTTTCCCCATTTAAGCAAATTGGTGAAAGACGGAGAGATATCGAGAGCCGATTCGATCATAAAAGTCACCACATTCTCGGACAAATCGTACAGCACTGATTTCCACGGTGCATCTACAACCTCGGCTTTAACAATTTCTTGCCACGCTCCCTGCTGTATTAAGCTTTCGATCCGATTTTCTCTCGCCGCCGAAACATGTTGCTTTACTTTTCTATTAACAAGCTTTCTAATTGCTGACTTGTTTGCCCCCCCTCGCCTGCCGGTTTCGATAGAAGTTTGCACAATGTCTACAATAGCATCATTATTAGAACATGCCGACATTAAGTTATCACTCGCAATCTGTGCCACAACAGGATCATTAGAACACAGCGCGTCCGTTGCGAAGGCAGCGTGTGATTGCGCATACACTGATTTCAGAGACTTATAATTCATCCCACCCAGTACATACATGAAATCGCAGTTAGCAGATACATTAATATTTAACCATTTTTTTATGTATTTATTAACAAGTGCTTCCAGTGAGTTAACGACTGCTGGAGACAGGTCATGCATTGTTAACACAAATCTCATGCAAGCAACAATGTATTCATCATAAATTTTAACTTTATACACGGCACGTAATTTCAGATTATCCACTCGTTGCAATAAAGATTCCAGACTCGTGTATACTAAGTTTCCACTGTTAACAGATTAATTTTTATTAAAAACGTGCACACCAAGAAATTTCATAGGATCACTCGATATATCCGGAATTTTTACGCCGTTAATTTCGAACGCCGTTTCGCACGAAATACCATTTGAAAGAGAAAAGCAACGACACTTGTCGGCATTTAAAGTCAGGCCAATAGAATTCATATGGCCATTCACATCACGGATTAATCGGCTCATGCTGGTTTTGTTATTGCAAATAAGCGTTAAATCGTCTGCAAAAGCCATACCGACAATTTTTTCCTGTGGAAGTGCATCAAGTGCTATTCCGCATTTTTTATTTTTACTTTCTTCGAGATATTCAAGGATACAATTAAAAATAATAAGAAACAATGCACAACTCATGGTGTCACCTTGAAATAAACCTACGTTAAACGGTATAGGTTTAGAAAATTTATTATTATGTTGAATTTTTACAGAAAGTCCGGTATAGTAATTATCAATATAAGATATTAAATATTGAGGGAGATTATAGCGACGAAGTGCAGCCAGAAGCACTTCCTTCCTGACAGACCCATACGCATTAGTAACATCCAGCCAGGTTATGTGCATTACCCGCCTTTTATCCCGTTGCTGCTCTATCAATTTCAGCAGCTTCATCGAATGTTCTCCACAACCGTTAGTCGCTTCTACAAACCCCTTCTGTACATCGGTATTAATTATATTATTTTTAATGCAATACGACATTAGCCGTTTCGAAATAACAGAATGAAATACTTTTCCAATACAGCTTGTCAAAGTAATTGGGCGATAATTACCCGGCATAGAGGCGTCGCCTTTTTTATACAAAAGCACAGTTTTACCCACTTTCCACGAAGAGCATGCGGTACCGGTTGACAATAGCCTATTGAACATGTTGGCTAAAAACATATGAACAGCCGGATACGGTTTAAGAAACGAATAATTAATGCCATCTAACCCGGATCCTGCAGACGCATCCTTCTGTGATAAAATATTCTTAATATCGGAAAGCAGAATAAGCGAATTATCGAACGCAGTATTAAAAGAGTTATTTTTCAGTTTATTAATCCACGAAAAATTAAGAGGAGAAAGATTTTTAGGATCACAAATATTTTGAAAATGATTTTCAATATCACCCATTTTTAAAGCATCAGGACTGGGAGAAACAGACGATTTTAATTTTGCATCTATAAAATTCCACTGCCGCTTAGTAAACCACGAATCGTTTTCAGCACGT